TTATAGAATTTGACATTAACTTTTGCTGAAAAATTACTCGTCACTTATATTACCAACAGCATGCATTTAGTGATAGAAAATAAAATGATCTGATATAGATAATTCCGGTCTACCGTGTCTAGAAAATTTGAATCATGGTGCTTGAAGGTTTAGACAACTCATTATCAGCCCCTGTGAACAATACAATTGCCGCATAATCAGCCCCAGGGAATACAGACGAGCTTGCGTCTGTAAATTTATGGCGTAACCGCGTGGAGTCCGGAGCAGGTTAGGATTGGAATTTGAATGCCCTTCTATAATGTGAAGAGAGTTAGCTCTTAAATACCGACGAACAAATATAAAAAGCGGCTTCAATTGACTTAAGCAAATAATTTGCCTCAGGATATATAGAGGTTTTCGGGAGTATTGCTTGGGACAGACAGTACCAGATGTCTTAAACAGATGCCATGAAAACTGCCGTGCCAAAGCAGGTCACCGATGGAACTTGGATCCCTTCCTAGTTTTCCCCAAACATAACTAAGCTCTGGATACAATAAAAAAAGAAAAGAACAATATTACAGATAGAAGGAAAGTGGGTGAGCTTACATTATTGGAGAAATCACAGCAGTACATTTTGTTGGCATGGCAGGTGTCAAATAATTGGAGAAGGCTGCAAAGCCCTGTTTCGGTATCGCAGCATGATGGCTGCGAAACCTTACCTTGGCTAGCATCCTGACTACCACAAGTGACATCACGGGCAAATAGGGCCTGAGGAGCTGCGGCCACAGAAAGGGCAAATAGAGTGGTGAATATCATGAACTGCATTGTTTTGCGGACATTCCCAGCTTTCCGAAATCTAATCGAGGGTATGGAATATTAATATTTGATGATATTCAATGTCTTGCTCAAATTAGTTGATGGTAGGAAATTCTATTCTTTAAATACTGCAAAGCAATATTCATACCTCCAAATTCTTAGCAGGGCCAATTCCTGGACAGTTAAAACTATTCTGAGCATTCCTTCATACATAATAATCATTCCTGTGAAATGCTTTCAACCTATTAGAGATTCCAGATTTTATTTAAATAATGTGGAATTTTTTTATTGTTACTCAAGTTTAATTGCTAAGTAAGAAAATAACATTCTTTATCCATAGATATGTGTATTCATTACAGGCGTGTGTGTATATTTATACGCTGAGCTCATTCTAGGGGATATGCAGGTAACCCTGCCACTAGACTGCGGCAACATCCTCTGGATATTTGAGGATATCCAGTGGATATGTAACAGGACAAACATGCCTAGCCTCGCGACTTTTTTGAGAGTGCATTATTTATGCAGATTCCTTTGTATTTTTCAAGTAATCACAGTGTGATTATTAACTATTGAAGTTTTTAATCTGGTAGACATAATTATATTGTTTTCATATAACACAGACTATCTCAAATCAATCTGAAATCTATCAGGTTGCAGGAACTGCATGTCAAATTTTAACAACGCACCCTCCATTCGTAGGATTATACTGTAGTGTTTCTTAAGGCTGGAATCAGGTGTTCGTGAAGAGCACAATACTTTCAGGTCGACCTTTAGTTGTGCATGGGCCATCTTGCTAAGACTAGAAGCGCAGCATTCACTACCATTGGACAAGGGAAGGCCCTAAATAGAAAATAAAGTTAGGCCTAAACTTTCTTGTGAATAAAGTACTTCATAGGCATTTACATGCCAACCACGAAATAGATATAAGCTGATTAGTGGTATTAACCACAGGTTCCCGCATTATTCCTGCGCTTAACCTATTCTAGCGTTAACTTAAACTACTTTAATTTTGCTGGAACTTTCTGGATGCTGGAATCATGGGTCAACATGTCCTACTAAAGGGGTGTGTCTACATGTTCTTATTGGTTTTATGGTCCATCAATAAATTACAGTGATAGATTTCGTGCTTCACACGGTACAAGATGTCCTCCTTATTTTCCAATCTTCGTAAGTACACACAGTGTCAATGAAAAGGAGGGCCTTTCAGATCTTCAGTATTTGCCAGATCGAGGAGAGCGTTGTCATAGCCGGACTCAAAACTCCGAAGCTGTGACGTGGGTTGGCACGGTATTCTTCCGAAACAAATCATTATCCGAGGCCTAGGCTAAAAAGATGCGCCGCTGAAAATGCAGGAAATTGCCGTCGACAAGACAACTGTCATTCAGCCAACCCCATAAATAAGCACCGTATATATTAATCGCCCATTCTGGACATCCGTCATTGAGTGGCATCAAGCCAGGTGGGTAGTTATGAGGATGGACGAGTATCGCCGAGAAGAACTTTCGGCGATTGCTCTCCTCTTTATCCTCCTTCTTCTGGTTAGACGGGATTGTTGTAGGAAATAAGACGTACCGCTAAATCCTTTCGAACATAATCCAAGGGTAGATGATTGGCCTTATTTTCTTATAGTATATTTTTTAGACTATATTATATTATAGTATAGATATTACATTTAATCTCTAAGGTTTTACAGACTAGGGTTCAACCATATATAGCAGCAACAATATAGAAGCTAACTAGAAAGATTAATGAGATCTACTACTACTACTACTATTACTACTACCACTACTAGAAACGAAACTTTCATAGCTTATAGCTGGGTAGGGTCGTAATACCGGAATAAATAAAATAAATCTGTGTTTAAGGACAGGGACTTTAATAGCAATAATCATAATAATGGATTTTATAAGAGAGTCCAATGTTTTAGTTTTAATTTTTGCTTTTAGGCTCTCGTTCTGGGCAGTTAGGGTTAGGGTTACTTTTAAAATTATATTAGAATTGATCAATTAGACACCGCGCCAAGATATATTGTAAACTAATTTTATATGACTCGAATAGTATCTCTGATTCTGCTTAAAAGTTATATAGTCACATGCGATACAACCACTGCTAGCATCTTACTGTTCAACTATCGCCATATGGGCTAGAAGATTTAAAGCATTGAATGTAAAGGTAGAAAGGATAATTAAAGGAGACTGAACAGAGGGAAGCTGTCAGGACACGAGAGGGATTATTATGCTGAGGCCTCACCGGCTTTACTGCCGTATATTAACTAACAATTCTCGTCATTTTACGGCCGGTGCATAATTATCTAGTTTTACGACTAACTATTTGCCATTGGAACATGAGCTGTGCCCTGCAAGTGGCCCCCTCCGATTGGGTCAATTCACATGTAACAAAGTTACACTGACGAGCACTAACAAATCAATTGATATTTCTGGGGTTCGGGCATCCATTTCAGGCTTAGCGTTGTCTAACAACACCTTACAGCAACCTCCCTTTGGCACTGGCACTTCGCATCAAGAGGGCGATAAGCAAATTCCTGAGAACTCTAGTGTTCTGGCCCTGCTTACACAGCTAAGCTTATCCAAGCCACGACTGTTACAGTATTTCGAGTATCCCTAGCTAGGGGCCCGTCATAGTTAGGTTGGCACGTGATATTCGTAACCAGTATTTAGCTCTGTAGCTCTCACCCTGATAATGAGCGAGCTACCTATGTAGTTAGTCAATTATGTGTTAACTGCAGTTCTCTTGCATTTTGGTATCTAGGGTGTACCTAGCTAGCTTTGTATACTGCTAGTGAGATATTTCAATTATAATTATAGAAGACTTCTACCCGTCGACTGTCAGTTCCCTCTAATGGGTCATTAAGCAAGTCTATACAGATTCTTATTTTACACCACAATCTCAGTCGTGGCCAGCTTCTCAACCGAGGTTTCATAGGGCTTAAGCTTCTCTTCTATATTACCCCCTTTGCCATAGAACATCTGGACAATCTCAACGGATCATCCTTGTTGTTGGGGGTTAGGGTTTGTCCTCTAGTCATATTTAGTACTGTAAGGCCCCACTCCGGGTACAACACTGTTACTAGATAGCTGCCTTATATTGCCTGCAACAACTAGGCGCTAAATACAAAAATATTAGGTGTAAAATACAGTCAGCATCTTTGTCGGCTGTACAATCTTGACAGTTAATTGTTAAGTTAGCGATTGGTTGCCGCCGTAATCACCCTGTGAACAACCTCGACAAGTAGAATGGGCGCCTGATACACTAGGCAGCGAAGCGCCATTGGATGGATCATGGATGAGTCACGGGTCATCCGTATCGGCACTAGCATCGCGCGGGGTGGGGCGGCTAGCCTGGCGAGGGTCATCCGCGCGCTCTTCCTGCTGCTGATTGGACATTGCCTTCTTCACTGGTCATCCTCCCGAGTCACGTTGCACATATTATCACATCGTCATGTATACATAACATTACATAGTACGTGCATAGTGCTTGTATAGGCGATTACATAGGCTAGGGCTATTCGTAAATCAATTGATGCGATTCTCATATGTAGCCATTAGCAATTAGCAATTGGAAGGCTTGTTGGCAATGTGTAGGTGAGGCGGCAACAAACAATCGTGGTGCCTGCGATCATAAATCATAGATCATAATAATAGAAGCAGGCGAGGCTGTGACATCTGCAGGTCAGCCGAATTGGGCCCCCTCATTGGTGGCGGCGGGGGGTCACACGCGGCGCGCAATGGGAGCCTGGCCATGAGTCTGCCTACTGACTGCCCTGCGTTGAGTCACACCATCAGCCTGGCTCCTCGTCATCTGCCATGCCCAACCAGCCAGCCCTTCCACCAGCAAATAAAACAGCCAGCGCCTGCTGCTTATTCAATCGCCACCATCAACCATCAACCATCAACCATCATCACCCATCGGCCCTCAACCATCACCATCAAACATAAACCGTCAATTGTCAATCGCAGTCTTCAATCGCCCGCCACCAAGCGCGTTTGCTACTGCTATCTTATCTCCGGCCCGCTAACACCACCAGCCGCTGCCTAAGATCCTCTTGATACGTAGTACCCCACCGCTTGGGATTGCGCCTCACCGCATCCCCCGCAAATCGCAGCCTGGCATCGCCATTTATATATTAAGTCCTTCCGTCCCTTCAGGCAGCATCGTGGAAACATCATCAAACTCCGTCGACATCCGCTCTTCACGCAATTCCGTGCTGCAGCCGACCGTCGGCATTGACTCTTGATTTCAGCCTTATCGCCGGGAGGCGCATAATCCCGCCTCGCCACCAAAGAAGACAAAGCGTCTCTCTGCTCTGACAAATCACATCCGCCTGCTCGCTCTTCCATTGTCTTCCACTTCGCCTTTCGCATCAGGCGTCGTCATATATCGCCTTCTACACACTCCACCACTCTACACTCTCCTCCTACACACTACACACATTCAATTTACCTCCAAGTCACCTCTTGTGATCGATCCGCCCTGCAGGGAAAAGAATATGACAACGCTGCCGTCGCTGCCTGATCACCAATTCCGTTTGAAGATGAATCGCTTACCGTCAGTATCCAGCCTCATGTCTCCGCCAGAGACCAAGCCGCTCGATAACTTCCCTTCCGTCTACTCTCATTACAGTGCGTCTCAGGAAGTCAAACTGCCGCCCATATCAGACGACAGAAAACGCACTCAGTCGGAGCTGGTTGATTTGCCATCGCCACCTGTCACCCCATATGCAGGCAATAAGAAGAGAAAAACGAACCACGAACAGCCCGACACAGACAACAATGCCGGCCTTTCTCGAGATCCCGTGCTCTATCCTCGAAGCGAATCCTTTACCGATGCTGCCAATGATGAGCCTCTCTTCGGACCTGTTCCGTCTGTCACCGTACTCCTCGACCAGCACATTGCCACTCATATGGCTCGCTTTGAAAATAAGGTTAATAAGCCTACTCGTGAGGAGTATCATCTTGCCCTATCGTGTGTCCCAATAGTATCAACGCAATACAACCGGAACCCGTTCGCTTGGGCGAGAAAGGAGCGGGAGACGCTGGAACGGCAGATGGCGATGATGGATCACGGTCGCGTAGAATTCCACTCAGCAAATTTGAAGCGACTTGCACCTGCACCTTCTAAGAGGACTGTCACCGGCCAGGCTCGTGTCGCACGAACACCTCGGCCAAAACGAACTCCCAAGTCCACACCGACACAGCGAGTTTTGGATGATTTTAACTCTGGCTTGTCTTCATCATTGAAGCCTTCGAAACCTTTGGGGACTAATAGAGATGATATCGACTATAAATCGTTGAAGGATTACTCCCCACCTATGCATACTCTTGGCGGAAACACCAAGGGCCTCAAAGCAGACTGGAAAGGACAGATGCTTGATCTTAGTAACGATCCAGATCGTCATTGCCTTGATCCCGCGGAAATAAATCTTGCTGCTACTTTGCGATTGTCATGCGCAACATATCTTTGCAGCAAGAGGCGTATCTTCGAGGCTCGTGTTAAGGCTTTGAATATCGGAAAGGAATTCAGAAAGACTGATGCCCAGCAAGCTTGCAAAATTGACGTTAACAAAGCAAGCAAGCTGTGGACGGCGTACGACCGGGTCGGTTGGTTTAAACCCGATCATTTCACCCAATTTTTGAAGTAACTTTCGATGGCGTCAAGAATAAGGCGTGTCCTCTGTATCTTCAAAGCTTTCACCGGAGTTGGCACAGCTGGTCTGTCCACATCCATACGCTGCATCAGTTAGACATGTCGTCATTCCGAGGAGTTTTGATTTCTTTTTGCTGATTACCCAACATGCTTGGTTTTTGTGGACCTTTTTGGACATCTTTAATGAATTATGTCGCTAATTGACGTGATGCCTTTTCATGTATGTACGACCCTTTGTTTTGGCTTTTTTGGTTCCCTTATTCTGTCATTCTCTTTGGTTTTGTCTTTGAACCACATCTCTTTCAAGTTCAAATCTTTTTGCATGATGTATCCCATTTTGATCTCCCGTCGACAATGGAGATAATTGTTTCCAGTGGTTCAATTGGTTCTTCAATGGTGGTGTTCCATGCCGTTCATACCCAGATACCCTGCTCCAATCATATATCGGTATTTCTCCTCTTGTCTCAAGACTGTAGTATATTCCTTTCCAGTAGCACTAATAAAATTAGCTTCCAATCCATCGCTGTTGGGGTTGCCAATGGCCCAATGGAGTTCCGCGCAGAGCGTAGTCGTAGCGTACGCCGTAGGAGAGTTCTTCTTGCTAAGAATAGCAGAGATGGCTGTGCCGCTTGGGGTGTGTGGCGGAGACTCCGGGTCTTACCTAATCCTATAATTGCCACGCCCGCCAATCACATGCGCTGGGCCCTTGAGCGCTGGACCGTTTGCCGTGTGTCATTTATGCGTTTTGAATGTTTCACATCAGTATCGCGGACGACGACGCTGCACGCATCTCCCAGAGCTGCTCAGAGTATCCACACGCTCGTGAAGTACTTTGCCAGCCCAACTTTCTACGGCTCGATCCAACATACATGACTTTTCTGTCGTAACAAATACTCTGCTCAACACCTAGCATGTCGCAAACAGCGGCGACCCGGGTCGATTCCATCGGCGACCCGGATCATCATGGAAATGACGACGGCGAGAAGAAACCAAAGAGCAGGAGACCAGCAAGTGCGTGAATCCTCTTCCGATCTCGAATTCGAGACGGCAGAGCACATATGAGAGCTGAAAGATCAACCAACGCTAATAACCTTGTCTAGATACTGCTTTTCGTCAACAGCGTCTCAAAGCATGGCAGTAAGTTCACAACACTTGCCAAGGAAGCCTCAAAACAAGTCACTAACTAGACATCAGGCCAATCCTCACACCCAAATCAGTGCTACCCCTATTCCTCGTTATTGGCGCGATATTTGCACCACTAGGGGGTGTCTTAATCTGGGCCAACAGCCAGGTCAGTCTTTGCCAACCGCTTCACGATGACGTTAGCTTAGAAATGTAGGTTCAAGAAATTGTTATCGACTACACACACTGCGCTACGGAGGCTCCTACTGGTGTCCCTACGTCTATTCCAGATGGAAGTGTGACTTCGACATTCAAGTCTACTTCATCCGGTCAGGTAACGTGGAACCGCACCGCCACAGATAATACGACTATGACAACGAACTGCTCGCTATATTTCAATATCCCAAACTCTATTGGCCCTCCGGTCTTTCTTTACTATCGACTTACCAACTTCTACCAAAATCACCGAAAGTACGTCCAGTCCCTCGACACCGATCAATTGAAGGGTGTGGCTGTCGATAATGGCACTATCAAAGGAAGTACTTGCGATCCCTTGACCATTGATGGCGAAACGGGCAAGGCTTATTATCCTTGTGGCCTCATCGCTAATTCTTTGTTCAATGACTCGATTTCTAGTCCTGTACAAGTTGGTAAGGCTGGTGGTGAGGAGATAGTTTATAACATGACAGATAAAGGCATTGCTTGGTCTAGTGACAAAGAGTTGATCAAGACTTCCAAATACCAGCCTTGGGAAGTGATGCCCCCACCCAACTGGAGGAGAAAATATCCAAACTATACCGAAGATAATTTCCCAAATCTTCAAGAAGACGAGGCGTTCATGGTTTGGATGAGAACTGCTGGCCTCCCAACATTTAGCAAGTTGTCTCTAAGGAATGATGACCAGGCGATGCCTGATGGTCAATATAGGTTGACTATCGAGGATAGTAAGTATTTGAGAAATATCTAATCGGTATGCCCTAACGTGGTTGTACAGGCTTCAACGTTACTGAGTACGGTGGCACCAAATCTATTATAATCTCCACACGAACAGTTATGGGCGGGAAAAATTCCTTCATGGGTATCGCCTATGTTGTTGTTGGTGGCGTTTGTGTACTGTTAGGTGTGATGTTCGCGATTGCACACTTGGTGAAACCAAGGTATGACGGTTATCTCCCGAGCTTATTTTCCTATACGAGCTCACACTTATTTAGAAAACTTGGCGATCACACCTATCTCACGTGGAATAATGAGCCTGCTCCCGCTGGTGTGGCAACTGGACGCGAATAGACGTGGGGTTAATACATAGGGCCAGCGTTGACCTATGGCTTTCGTGTTTCATACCTGATTTTATCGTTCAAGAGTTTTTCCGCGGTTGGGATTTGTTCCAGGTATTTAGTCTTGCTTCGATCTTGTATACATGGCGTTTTTCCGATATTCTCTTATGCCGATAAGTACCTTTGAAATATCCATTTTGATTGACGACTTTATCCTGTTCTGGCACTCCTTCATCCATTTTAGGAATGGTAATGTTTCCTTATTCGCGCAGTCATTGCCTTCATTCCGGGTATGTTTTCATCACATTCCGATTACATCACAATGTCTATCTAGCAATGAATCCTATTGTTCTCTCTTACATTCCATGGAACTTCCTGAGATTTCCTTGTTATGACTGACACGCGCGCTTTTTCCCTATCAACTTATAGTACTTGCGTCCGCCCTTGTTTGCTAGATACACATCGATGTCTCTACGTTTGTTTCAGTATGCATCGGGGTCTTTGCTATTCTTTTCTTCTTTCACTATCTTCAGCTTTATTAATTCATGATCAAGACAGACAAGGACCTAGTCAATTCCTTCATAGTGAAATTTGCGGCACTAATGCTCCAAGTGCGGCTCTGAAAGATGCGCATCAGCGGTTCTCCAGTAGCCTCCAACGTGTGATGACCGAGAGCCCTGAATCGCTGCCCACAATTGAGATTGAAACATGGTTTCATGTCGTAAGTACAAGCGACCAGGTTAACTTAGTCACGAATGAAATGATAGCATCACAGGTATGGGGAATTCAATCATTACTGTAGGGGTTAGACTAATGTTCAATGATAGTATGTTTATCTTCAACGAGCATATGCCAATGCAAGCATAAGCTACAATTTCATGGGTGTCGATCGTAGTATCAATGATACTTGGGCCCGCAATGGTGACGATAGGGAAATGAAAAGGGCCTTGCGACGCGGTACATACAACAGCCTCAACATTTATTTCCAGACCGATTTACAGGTCTCGGAGTCAACGAGCAATGTAAACTCTCGTCATACAAAGCATCGCATTGATGGAATAATATCGTCGCGAGATTCTCAGTCTTCACCAAATCTTTTAGGGTTTTGTAGTCTTCCCGACCCGAAGATCAATTCGAGCAGCTCCTTCGATGACTACATCACTGATGGGTGCAACATACTAGCTGCGACAATGCCTGGTGGTTCCATATCACATTATAATAGTGGGGGCACTGCAATCCATGAAGTCGGCCATTGGCATGGGCTTTTGCATACTTTCCAAGGTGAAAGTTGTGCATCTACCAATGAGGGTGATTACATTGCGGACACGCCGCAGCAGTCAGTTGCTACCGAAGGCTGCCCTGCTATCAAAGACTCTTGCCCGAACTTGCCTGGGCTAGATGCGATACATAACTTCATGGATTACTCGTCTGATGATTGTTATCAGAGTTTCACCAATGACCAGGCAGCTCGCATGAGAAACATGTGGTCTTCGATGAGGGAGGGCAAATGATCTGTTATCGATGTACTTGCGCTATCCTGGACAGAAAATATTCAGTGTATACCGGATTTTTCTTGTTTATTATTGCAGAATTCAATTCTTGATCTGATGCGTGTTAAAAACACATGTGTTCAGGACTGGAGAAATATAGAATCATTCCATTATATAGTGAAATGACACGATTAGTTTTGATAATACAATAAAACGAGTCTGGACGCCTAGCCTAGTGCCTAGAGAGGGGAATACAAGCACTAAGTTGAGCCAACGATATCACCAATTTAATAAACCTTTTTGATAAAAGCGGATATTGTTCAACATAATTGGCATCACGACGCACTGGCTGAAAGATATCAAAGAATTTTTTCAGCGCTTTCGTTTTTTACCGCGCTCATCATCCAATCCACTCTCCCTATCCTTCTTCTTTGCCTGTTTCTCCAACTCATCCCAGTCCTCACCACTTTCCTCATCCATACTGAGGTCTTCACTGGCTTCGGCACTAGCATTATCATCAAAATCGCTGTCGTCCTCCGAACTTTCCTCAGACGCATCTAGCTCAGATTCCGACAACTCATAGGCAGATTCCTCCTCTTCGTCCGAGCCACCCTCCGAGTCAGATTCCGCGGCCAAGAATGACCATCCTCCGTCGGCAAAGAACGCATAAGGATCACTAACAACGGTTTTCATGATTGTACTCCAGTTTAGGTTCAATGGACCTTCGGTAAAGGGAATATCCACAGAATCAAGCCAATCCTTTACTCCTTCCAGCGACTCGACGGGGATAGTATTGATATGAACCGGTGGTCGATTGAAATCTTTATACACAAAAACAAGATCGAAGTTTTTGAGGCCGAACTAGATTTCAAGATGATTAGCCATTTTTGAACTGCATTGGGGATGTCGAAAATACTCACCTGTACGCGCTCTAGATGAGCAACTTCAATCTCATTCAAGGTGACGGTTAAGAATGGTGGTTCGGTCAGCTGCACAATAGCATCCGTTGTAGGTTGGATTAAGACGTTGGATCTGTTGGGAACACCATTGAAACCAATTTCTCGGAATGGGATATCAACATCTACGCCCTCATCCTTTCCGGCATCAGATATCTTCTCAGCGAAAGATTTAAACTCTCTGTCCAGAGCGGCTCTACGTCTTCTCTCTTCTTGCTCTGCTTCGAACTCCTCTTCATCCCCATAGCGGTGTTTGCGCCGACGATTACCAGTTTCATCGAATTGCATTTCGGTGGCCTCACGGTAGAATTGAACATCCTTTGTCTTCCGTTTACCAACCATGATTGGGGTTTTGAGATGCACATGAATGATGACTATAAGTTCATGAGCACATGGTTGGAAGAAAAGATGTTTCACATTGCTGAACAAAACATCAACATGTTCGTTTCGAAGAGGCGATTGATATCGAAGACCGTTTTGATGTATTTCGACCTCTCCTGGAACTCGCTTGCCATCTAGCGGCGGACGAAGGTAAACATCAGGAAGTTTGATGGGTCGTCTGTCTGATTTGGGAGTCAGTAAATAAACTAATATTGGGATTCAAAGATCTCATACTGCGAATCTCTACAAGCTTGTCTTGTTCCACAACGTCTTCCATCTCCTTACGCTCCTGTTCTCTGCGCAAAGCAGTTTTTCGAAGCTCTGTTATATCCTGGGCAATCTGTGCAAACCGGCTGTTGTCCTTGGATCTCAGAGTCAAGTTTCTGACAAAGTTTGCTGACGGATCCTCAAAAGGCTGGTCGTCCTTCCTTCCAACTCCTTGCCCCGGAGAGAGGAAATTGATACGTAGATAAGCATATTCTCCCTCATCACTTTTGCTAGCATTTTTGATCGTGTTGATGTGGAATGGCACTGGGCGACCCATTATTGGCACAATCACTGTTGACGCTTTGTGATCAACGTGCACTGTCAGGTCTTTTACGCGAGAAGGCAACTGGTTATCACGTTTGTAGGACTCGAATCGTTTGAATTTCTTTTGAGCCACACCATTTCCGTCTCCGGTGGTGCCCGCGAAACGCTCAAGACCTTCTTTCATCTTTTTGGCGGCGAGTTCCTTTTGATGTTCTCGGCGGCGAGCTTCAGCACCCTCACTTACCTGAGTTGGCCGCTCTGCACGCAGCTTTGTCTTGGTGATGTTCTTGCTTGCAGTAGCATTTGATTTAGCATCGCTTTTCTCCTTGGGAGCCTTCTCGGGTTCTTCTTCATCGCCGAAATAGAAAGAAACAGAATCCATATCAAGACCCGCATCTTTGGTAAATACGTGGGCACCCGTTTCACCAACTCGTACGGTATCTGTGATGACCATGGAGTACGATGAGTTCTTTTTATCTCTTGAATCTGAATTCTGGATATCAGTTAATCCAATAGAGACGTAAAGAGTCATTCCACTTTTAAGAGTTCGAGTATTCTTTCCATTGAGAACCATGTTTGCATCTCGTATTTCAATCCCGATACCAGCGCCAACGTTCTTCAAGAAATGCTTCTCCAAGTCAGGACGTTTCGTGCGAACGATACCAATCGCCTTGTTGTATACATCCTTGGCTACTACGCCATCTCGAATGTCCTTGATGACCGCCTCGTAGACATTCACGAGAAAACCATAATTTGCCTCTTGAGCTTTGGTTGGATCCACGAGATAAGTTCGGGCAATTATTGCGCTGTAAGTCTTGTATCTTATACCGAATCCAGCGACAATGATACCTGGATGAAGCTCACTCGAGTCAGCGACTGCGGTCAAGCGCAAGTCATAATTTCCGCCGCTCTGAACTACAGGGCCATAAGCCCAGTCGATTTGTTGAGAGTCAAAGCCGGGTGGAAGTTTCGCCAGCTTATTGAAGAATTTTGAATCATCGATTTTGGCATCGATTTTACTGGCCAGAGATTTGTGGGTGATTTTTTTACCCTCATCGAGTAATTGCGACATTTCATCCACGAAATATTCGGACATGAGACCACTGCATGCCCTAGCTGCGTTACGCATTGAGACCTAATATACGGCGTTAGTAATTTTTTTGAACCACTATGAGCAAGGGTCGTTACAAGTTCCTCTGGCCCTTTAACAGATAACGCTGCCACGGAAAGGGCGGGGGATATATCGACTTCCTCAATGTCTTTCAGTCCATCCCCATAAGCTCGTCTCCAATCTTCAGCAAAAGGTCCTTGAGCTGTATCCTTGGACAATGTCCCAACTTTTCCCTATATTATCGACACTGGTGTTAGTACAATAGATGTTTAGGCGAGGGGAATGGAACTCTCACGCCCGCAGTTTTGATCACATCTATGCACTTTGCAAAGGCCTTCGCCTTGTCTGCAGGATCTTTGGATGTGACTAAAATCTCAACCGGAATTTTGCCACCTTTGAGTGGTTCCAAATGTTTTGCTACACAATCCTCATAGTCAACATATTTACAATCGAAAACCTCGAAGAAAACTTCCTCACCTTTCTTTGCCGTTGTCACAATGTACATCGACTCTGTAGTGAAAACAAAAAGAGTTGCAGGGAATTCATAGCCGAGAAGCCAAAACTAAGAAGAAGAATTGTCAGAGTGTTGAGGAAAATACATCGATAGATGAAGAGTTTTGATACTCACATGAATTGCGTTGGCTTTTTGAAAGGCATTTGATTCGTCTGTCTTTCCCATCAGAATCACAATGGAACCAACTCCTCCAAAGACACCGGCCCCTGATCGCTTGTCCGCCTTCCATGCATTGTAGAAGGTGGACAAGTGATCGAAGAACACCGTCTTGTCTATGGCAATATCTTCCGCCATGGTTGGTATGTGGCGACCACCACGTTAGATGGATAAGGTGAAAGTGATAAGTCACAAGAGGAACAAGATCGCATGAGACAATGGTGAAGTTTTGAATATTCTCTGTATGTTTTGGTATTTGGGGTTCGAGAAGGGCGCCTTAATAATGACAGAAGACCAAATGAATAATGGCAGGCGGGAAGGCAAGAAGAGGACGCGAAGCGCGTTCAATCAAGCTCGATTGGGTTAGGCGTCCGTGCTCCACCGGCACAGGGCAGGTCATGTACCGACTGTAGAGAAGGCAGGTGCGCCCCGTGGTACTTAGTTATTTGACCAGGCTGGTTTTCATTTTCTTTTGTACAGTTCTTTTCTTGAAGATGGCCGTTACTTTTAGAGCGATACGATAGGTAAGTGATATACCCGCGGCACCTGTGGTTCGACGCTGATTTTGAATAATTAGATGTCTACGCATGTATAGAAAAGCAAAATGCTCAGCTAGACTACAGGCTTTCCTGCTGTTTATACCCCCTGCATTTGTCATTTACAATGATATCACCTACCAAGTCGACTTTCGACCAAGAGCCGTTACTGGATAATGATAAATCTCGTCAAAACCATCGCAATAATGCTGCCACGGCGGCATCCGCTGCAGGGACACGGGCTTTCAGTGCGCAACTGGTGGCTTTCTACTTTCGTGCTCCCGTGAAATCTTTCTTTCGCACTCGAGTTGAGTACGCTGGTCTTTCACCCCCTTTTTTGTATAGGATTGGCGTTGATTGATAGTGTTTAGTTACTTGGTACTTGGAGTCTCGTTCTGTGAATTATATTTCGTTGCTCATAAAATTGACTCTACAGGCCTATGCACGCGCGATAAACCCTCGAGTCGGTCAAGAAAAATGGTCGTTGCATACAACCACGCCGGGTCTTCTCGCCCATGCTGTTCGTCTCCATGGCTGGAAGTTTTTACCTAACCAGGTTCTCCCCCTCTACTCGCCAATACTACGTTAGTCTCTTGCTCGCTACAATGTCATGCAACTGATAACTAACTCCAAATAGCGTTGGTGCCATACTTTATACATCTTACCTACAAATTTTGAGCGCACTTCATGCTCCTACAGAGCATAATAAAAAGCGGACATTCCCTCCCCGCCGCCAGCTTCTACCTTTATAGCAGGACTCTCTGCGGGTGCCATTCAATCCGTGATTGCTGCGCCGCTTGATGCCTTGCAAGTTCGATTACACACTAGTGGCATGCTGGAGGGTCACTATCGAAGCATGTGGGATTATGGATGGACGAAACTGCGGGAGATTGGCGTGCGTGGAGTATTTGCTGGGTGGACACTTTCATTCCTGCGAGATTCTTTTGGCTATGGATTATTTTTTGCTTCGTTTGAATATGTCAAGTCGCAGGCATACCTGTCATATGTGACCTGGTATTACGGTTACCTACACTCCAGAGGCGTGCCACCAACTACGACATCCCAGGATTTCCATGGTAAACCAACAATAAAACCACATTACACAATGGAGCTGTGCTTTTTGATGGGAGCAGGTGTTACGGCGTCATTTGTGCAGCAATTCATCCAACATCCCCTCGGCATCATCCAAGACTTGCATTGCGGCCGGCTAGAATATCTCGACCGACAGCTGGCGTTACGGCATTCTCGTTCGCAAGTGATGGAGCATTACTATCATGCCTACCAAGCAACTTTCCGAGAATGCCAGAAAAAGGCTAATAGAGCTGGGGGTTGGCTGCGGTGGCTCTACAGAGGCTTCGTACGGCAAAGCATCCGTCAGGTGCCTAGTACCAGTGCTGGTCTCGTGATATTCGAGCTGATGAGGAGGAAATATGCTAGTGCGCCTGATGCAGTTCTTATCGAAAAGGACGGCTTCAATATTCTCATGACATGAACATAATGAATTTCCGGTTCTCTCGCTGACTCGTAGACTGCGGTTCATGACATCCCACGGGTGTAGCAGTGGTCCTCGACGCGGAACCGATGAGTAAATATTTCCTGATTCCGGCGTAGCATGTGTGAATATCGTGTGTCGTCGGTATTTGTAGAGCTGTCGGCTAAGGTCAATGACTAGCCCGCTGTTGGTTGGTATATCTTGCGGGGCGCGGGGAATATTGATCAAGCCTCTTCAGTGGTACGCTCTCTACAAGGACATACCATCTTCAACAATGACGTCGTACTGAATTAGATGCCCTCTTTTAGTGCTGGGCGTCAACTTTCGGTGGCTGGTTGCACATGGCCTTGCAATTTAACGGCAGTTGTGCGCACGTTATATGTGGTATAGCTTCTAGGGGAGCACCAGTCGCTGTTTGTTAGGGCCAGTAGACGTCCAGCAGTCTTCTCTTTCCAGTATAATAATTACTTTGTGCAGCCTGATTGCGCTGTAATAAATGCAATTTCAACACAACGCCTAGGCTAGGTTGGGCAAGATGGATCGCAGCTGTCCACGGTATGGTTGTGTTGAACAGGCATGCCGTATGTGGCGTGCACAAGGGCGATCTTAACTGCGACGGATCAGGCCCGGCAGCCCCTTTGGCGTGCACTGGCTCCACCGTCGTGTCTGCATCTTTCTGCCCCGGTCTGTCCATTTGCATCCTCGTGCAGCGTATTTCGCCTGTATTACTATCGGTAACGCGCCCGTGTATGGTTAATTATTACTAACTAACGATCAACTGTTCTCGCAGTGCCAGCCTGTCCTGTCCTCTCCCAAACGCTTCTCCGCATCGCTCTAAAAGGAAGCTTAAGGACACCGTGATCACCTGCTCCTTGCATCTGCCTGTGTCACAAGTGCCTGATCCGCCCGAAAGCCATACCCAGTCGGTAGAGGCAGCAGGCAGGCAAGTCAGTGGAACTCTAGTACCGCTCCGCTTGTCCCGTTGTCCCTACTCTAGATCTAGCCCTCCACTCACCGTTCTGCTCGGTATTCTTGCTTCCCCTCGTTTTCGAGAAGGGCTGGCATGGTCAGCCCGCTGTAACCGCCACCATTCCTCTCACAAAGCCATCCCGCTCCGCCACGCCTCCCATCCCCTTGCTACCCATCCGATCACAATCTCAAGATTCTGGGGATCGAAGTGCCTCGGTGTTGGAGCAGGAAACCAGGAGGAAGGGCCACAGCCGGCGGTCTTCCTTGTCCTCGCACTCCGCCGCTTCAGACTTCTCGATCTGGAGCGATACCGGCGACCTCGCCGAGCAACTCGCCAACGAAGAAGATCCTCTTCAGATCGAACTGCGGAAGTCTGTCGATGGTACCCAATATCGCCAGCGGTCCCGAGCAAAGAGGGTACATTACTCTGAAGAGACTTCTCTCGCACAAGGTGGCATAGATAAGGAGGCTATCGAAATCCCGGCACTCGGTTCGCGACAGATCTCCAAGACAGAACAGTTCTTGGCTATCATCATGTCACCAGGCGCCAGATCAAGAGCTCGTTCCCACGGGCTGGTGGGAAAACCACTTTTGTATGTCCCGAATCATCATCTAGAGGGCTAGGTCTTAGATAACTTACTATCTTTAGGTACTTTACTAGCGTTTTCGTTTCTCTCGGTGTGTTCCTCTTCGGTTATGATCAGGGTGTGATGTCTGGCATTATTACGTGAGTCAAGACGCTGGCAAAGAGAAGTGCCACCCATTGACTGTTTGTAGTGGTTGGCATTTTAGAGATTACTTTAATCAACCGTCCCGAGCGGAAATCGGCACTGTCGTTGCCATCCTCGAGATAGGAGCTTTAATCGCATCGTTGTTGGTGGGGAGAATTGGCGACCTTATTGGGCGCCGAAAAACTATCCTCTATGGATCTATGATATTCTTTGTCGGGGGCGCTTTGCAGACATTTGCAAACGGTTTGCCCATGATGATGCTTGGGCGCATTATAGCTGGTCTTGGCGTTGGAGCTTTATCTACTATTGTTCCTGTCTTCCAGTCTGAGATCAGTATGTTTTCATTCAGCAGGATTTCGTTTGCGTTTGCAAAGAAAGCTAACATGTGTTAGGTCCCCCCCATAATCGGGGGAAGCTCGCCTGTATTGAGTTCACTGGTAATATTTGTGGCTACGCTGCGAGTGTTTGGGTCGATTACTTTTGCAGTTTCATCGATAACGACTATTCCTGGCGTTTGCCCCTCCTTTGCCAATGTGCCATGGGCGCCCTTCTTGGTTTTGGTAGCATTCTCATTCCGGAATCTCCCAGGTAAAAATTTCGCCTATCAACAAGTTAGGTTGAGAATAGCATATCTGACATTTCTGGATATAGGTGGCTGTTAGACAATGACCATGATGAAGAAGGCCTGATTGTCATTGCCAATTTATACGGTGGAGGAGACATCCACAATGAAGAAGCACGACAGGAATACAGGGATATAAAATTCGGCGTTCTCACTCAGCGACAAGAGGGAGAAAGATCGTATGCCGACATGTTTCGTCGTTACTACAAACGTGTTTTGATTGCAATGTCTGCTCAAGCCCTGGCTCAATTGAATGGCATCAATGTTATATCATACTACGCTCCGCTTGTCTTTGAGTCCGCGGGCTGGGCTGGCCGGGATGCTATCCTGATGACTGGTGTGAATGCAATCACCTATCTGGCATCCACTGTGCCCCCGTGGTATCTAGTTGATGGATGGGGCCGACGCCCCATCTTACTATGGGGAGCTGTTGCTATGATAATTTCGTTGAGTTTGATGTCATATTTTATTCTTATAGACGTGGAGGCAACTCCGACACTCACTGTCATTTGTGTTATGGTTTACAATGCTGCCTTTGGCGCATCCTGGGGTCCTATTCCTTGGCTTTACCCTCCTGAAATTCTGCCATTGAGCATCCGAGCCAAGGGAGCCAGCTTGAGTACCGCCGCAAACTGGGCTTTCAACTTTCTAGTTGGGGAGGTCACTCCGGTCCTCCAAGCATTGATTAAATGGCGCCTGTATCTGATTCATGCCTTTTTCTGTGCCTGCAGTTTTGTCGTAGGTAAGTGGAAACTCTTGTGCCAGATGCCATCTGGTTTTCTTGCCCTCTCTTTTGTCCTACGAGGCTAATTGCACCCAGTATACTTTTTGTATCCCGAAACGAGGGGTGTACGCCTTGAAGATATGAACGATCTTTTTGGAGACGCCACCACTGCCATGCCAACACCAGTAACACAAGCCGAACGCGACTCCTTGATGGGATTTAACTCACCCGTGCCTTCACTTGACCTTCCTCGTCACAACGGTCAATTCAGTGCCGAGAGCGCAATCCCCGGTCTTAACATCGACCCACCAGCAATCGGAGCAGACAGTCGTAGCAAGAATAATTCTCAGAATGCGCCAAATGACACTGAAAACCGCAATGAGGGTCTTGGTGGTTGGATATCAAATATGTTAAATCGAACCAAAGGCTCGTCCAAGGGCAGCCAATACCGACCCGTCGATCAGAATGAAGAGGCATAGAGAGAACTAACCCCATCGAGTCACTTCCTGAGCGGTCTGGTGTAGATTCGGAAGGATACACTTTTTTTAATTTTTCACCTGATTTCCTATGCTTGACTCCTCTTTCTTCTTTCTCTACACTAACCCCCTTTTTTTGTAATTTCCTTTTTTGTGCACGTATACTATTAGGGATCTTCTTTGCTTTACTCTCCAGGGTGTTGTCTTCTGGGCCATGTTAGATTTCCAAAGGCAGAGGGCCGTTAGTTCTTTTCTCTATGCATTTGCCAGGAACAGGTCAAGACGATCCTGATGTTTTCAGGCGGAAGGGCCTTTGCCACTGTATATTTCTTTCAGCCACTCTCACAAAGCTGAAAAACCATCATGTATATATGTAGGTCTCCAGCAAGATATCGAATAGACTATTCCTGAATTTCGGCGAGAATACTGTGCGTTAATAACTACTGTTGATTTGTGGTTCCTGTTTGGCGCCGAAAGAAGCTCGGCCGGCTAAAAATAGCGCCCGCTTTCCGGCCGTGCCAAGACTGTACGAGAAGATGCGGAAGGGACAGCCTGGTCTCGCTCGTTTATACCTGCCAACCTGCTTAATTGCTTGCTCTGCCAACCAGCAATCCGGTCTATGGCCGTTCTTCTCTTCTTCTTCTTCTTCTCCTTCTCGCCAAAATTATTCTGATCTCTTTTCTCGACCGGCTTCCTTTCCTTCCAGCGTTCAATTTCTCAATCTACCGGCAAAATTCCCAGCAACAACAACAGGCTTCCCTAATCCGACAAACCGCCACCCCTGATAGTCATGCTTTGTGATTAAAACTTTACATAGCTGCAATATCAGACATGACTTCTGCAGATACGGCTTTTGCCTCTGGGCGCCAGCAAGGCCCGGACGTTCGCCGCAGAAACGTGGGAGAAGCTCTAAAAGGAGACTTTGATGCCTCTGTTGCCACCACGCCGAGGTCAAAGAAGGCCCCAAAGGTATTCCGCTTGTTTACCCCCATCACCAAGCTGTCTGGATGCTAACGCGCACTTGAATAGCATCAATCCACTTTCGACGATTGGGAAAATGTTCTTGCTCCACTTATATTAACGGTCTTTTCTCTTTTCATTCGTTTGTACCGTATCGGTTTATCCAACATTGTGACTTGGGATGAGGCACAGTACGTGAACGGCCAGTGCTCTGTTCCTTACGTGTATAAGCTCTAATTGTGTACTGTTCTCTAGTTTCGGCAAGTTTGGCTCTCATTACCTGAAGCGTGAATTCTATTTCGATGTCCACCCACCACTCGGCAAAATGCTTGTCGGCTTGTCCGGCTACCTCGCCGGATACAATGGTTCTTTCGAATTCAAGTCTGGTGAAACTTACCCGGAAGAGGTCAACTACACCTTCATGCGCGTTTTCAATGCTCTTTTCGGTGTCGTTTGCGTGCCCCTGGCATATTACACTGCTCGTGAGCTGAACTTCCGCAAGCCTACCGTTTGGCTAGTTGCATTGATGGTTCTATTCGAGAATTCATATGCTACCATATCGAGGTTTATTCTCCTTGACTCTATGCTCTTGTGCTTTACTTTCACAACTACGCTCTGCTGGGCTCGGTTCCATCGTTTACGTGCACAAAGTTTTTCAGTTGAGTGGTACGTTTGGCTATTCCTTACAGGTATAAGCATCGGATGTGTCTGCAGCGTGAAGCTTGTCGGGCTATTTTGCACGGCTCTAGTGGGACTCTATACCGCAGAAGACCTTTGGAATAAGTTTGGTGATTTGAAAATGCCCAAGGTAAGCTTTTCCATGGCTACTATCAATACCCATCTTTTTCTAACTTGGCCCAGGTGACACTGGCGCATCACCTCTTTGCGAGAGTGGTTTGCCTTATTGTAGTACCAATCTTAGTCTACATGTTTTCTTTCTACTTGCACTTCTTGATTCTGGAGAACAGTGGACCTGGCGATGCCCAGATGAGCTCCCTTTTCCAAGCGAATCTCAGAGGCACCGAGGTGGGTAGGGATAGCCCTCTCGAGCTTGCGCTAGGCTCCCGAGTTACTCTGAAGAATATGGGATACGGTGGTGGTCTTTTACATTCTCACGTTCAAACCTATCCTGAAGGCTCAAACCAGCAACAGATAACTTGCTACCATCACAAGGATGCCAACAACGACTGGTTTATCTATCCAAATCGGTATGAGCCTGAGTACAACCCCGATGGAGACTTGAAATTTGTCGGCGATGGAGATGTTATTCGTCTTATTCATGCGCAGACTGGACGAAATTTGCATTCTCATGCTATTTCGGCACCAGTCACGAAGGCCGATTACGAGGTGTCCTGTTATGGCAATACAACTATCGGAGATGACAAGGATCACTGGGCCGTGGAGGTTGTTAGTGATGCTGCCTCGAGGGATAGAAGCAGAGTCCGCACTCTTACGACGGCTTTCCGATTACGGCATCCCTCCCTCGGATGCTATCTAAGAGCCGGAAATGTGAATCTTCCTCAATGGGGATTTAAACAGATAGAAACGACTTGCGTTAAAGAAAACAAGCCTCGAGATGTCTATACTCATTGGAACGTAGAATCTCACGTGAATGAGAAACGTGAGTGAACACCTCTATGGTTTATTCACCCCAAATAGTCGCTGACATATTTGACCAGTGCCACCTGGCGATCCCGGGTCTTACAAGTCCCCCTTCATAAAAGACTTCATCCATTTGAATGTTGCTATGATGACTTCAAATAATGCGCTTGTTCCTGACCCCGATAAGCAAGACGATTTGGCTTCAAAATTCTGGCAATGGCCACTTTTGCACGTCGGACTACGAATGTGCTCTTGGGATGACAATGTAGTCAAATACTTCCTCCTAGGAAACCCGCTGGTGTACTGGGGCAGCACTGCTAGCCTTGCTGGCTTTGGCTTGATTGTTCTTTGGTACTTGATTCGATGGCAACGAGGCTATGTGGATTTGAGCCCGAAGGAAATTGATCATATCCATTATTCTGGTGTCTACCCGGTAATTGGATGGGTCCTCCATTATTTCCCCTTTGTCATCATGGCTCGTGTGACCTATGTCCATCACTACTATCCCGCTCTTTATTTCGCCATTCTGAGCGCTGGCTTCTGCGTAGATTGGCTTACCCGGAGGCTGAGCAAGGAGCTGCAGTGGGGCATATACACGGTTCTATATGCGGCTGTTGTTGCTCTGTTCACCGTGTTCCGAGCAATTGTTTTCGGCATGGAGGGCTCAAATCAGCAGTGGGCATACTTGAATTGGTTTAGCACTTGGCGCATTGCTAACTAGTGGGGATGGGGGAGGATGATTAGGAGTTTCGCCAGAAACGAACTGATCTCGATGACTGGTGTCTTTTAAAATTGCAACGACAAACAACCTGTCGGCTACTACTGGGGTAGATTTTATGACTGTTGGAGATTCTAATGTTGTATTCCTACTGCTATTTCAATTCATCTATTCTACCGCTGGTTTACTTCGCTGTATCATAATTCATATTAAACACTTAAATAATTGTTCGGTTCGCGCGTCATGACAGATGGATGAAGATAGTACATCGTACGGGCATCTTTTAATATGTGGCGTGTCGGCTCTTACCTTTTTTCTTTTCAGGGCTGAAAATACCCATGGTGTTGATTAAGCAATAACGAAGCAGTATATGTACAAGATAATTCACCATCTTCAACCAAAAACCATCAGCAGCGCAATTTTAGAGTATCGCGAACAACACTATATTTATCTATAGTATAAGCAACGAGTGAACATTGTCTTAGAATTATATAAAATAGCCACCTGGGAATATGAGGGTATCGATGCGAAGAGCGGCACTCACACATACGTCGAGATTGTTAACGGAGGTTAGCAACAGCCATTAGTACTCCAACCACTTCTTCTATTCATAGCGTCATTCAAGCCCAATGTGATAGTTCTGGGTCCGGCTGCATTGACATTCCCATTGGCGCCGTATCCTTTGACGCCACTTCTCCGATCATTGAGATCGTATTTGCCGGATTCAATATTTCGATAAATCCTCTCTGCGACTTCTAGGAAGGCTCGCTCAACGCCGTCACCGGATTTGGCACTGGTTTCTATATAGCCCATCACATTATTGAGTCTGCACCATTCCTCTGCCTCCCGCCTTGTGACTTGGGGTTGACTATTTCCATCCTGCGCATTGGAGTCACCAGCCACGAGATCACTTTTATTTCCAACCAAGACAACAACGATGCCGTCATCGGCAATCTGCCGCAAATCCTGGAGCCACTGCGTGACAGAGGCAAAGGTAGACGGGCGTGTAATGTCGAATACTAAAAGGGCACCGGAAGCTCCTCGGAAGTAGGAACGTGTGATGGATTTGTATGTCTCCTGGCCAGCGGTGTCCCATAGTGATAACTTCATTTTCTTCTGTTCCTGGGGTTTCGGTGCCTTTCGTGGTGGACTTGGCAAGCCTCCAATATCCCTTTCCTGCTTCGTAGTATCATCCTGTAAAGGCGGACGAGAGGCTGACGACGCGTTATCTAGGACAATGCCCAGGTCATCAGAGGCTGGGGGTCCAACAGGAACAATGCGAGAGCCAAACTCGACACCGATGGTCACGTCATGAGCGGGAGAAAATCGGCCTTCGCAAAGACGAATCGTGAGCTAGGAGGAACATCGATGGTCAGTTCTCCATTGTAACTGTAGACTCTCGCGAGCCTCGTATATGGGACTGGAATAGGATAAGCTTACGCTGGATTTGCCTGTGCCGGAATCACCGATGCAGACGAGTTTGGCAATGTAATCCCATGGCAGAGACATTAAGATGGCGCTCGGGTCTGTGGAAGGCGTGGAATGGTAGATGGAGCTAGATTGCCGAGACCAGTTTGTCCATGAATCGCGGCACAACAGGATGCCTCAGTGCATCGTTGAGTGTGGTTGAGCTGCGATTGGTTGGATGGACACGATTGTTCGTCAGAGGAAACACAACCGGGTCACTTCCCCGAGCCTAAATAAGTGACAGGCAGAGAAGCTGCGAAACAAGGAAAACGGTCGTTTCAGATGGTCGTCACTTCAGATGCACGCGGGCTTGGAACAGGCACATGAGGTCGAGAGTACTTGGCACGTGAAAGAAAGCAACTACGACGTGTGGTTCCCATTCCGCATATACGTATATATACTGTAGGTCTATGAGCTATTACGCATTGGCCCAACCTCGATGAATGGTTAAGCAGTCAATCAATCAAATAAAACTACATAGATAGATATATAGATGAGTCTGCCTCTTCTAGACTACGGGCATATATACATCCACGATTCTAACAGCTGGTCCTGGCCGGCGTAGAGCGGATGGTCACGCATGCAGATAGCGCCGTAATATCTTAACAATTAAGAGCCTCAGGCAGGAGGACCTCCTGCCTTGGCGGTTAGGCATCGGCCCGGAACAACGATAAGGACTGTGGTAGCTACGTGCCGTGTACGGTATAGGTATAGTAACTACCAAAGTATTAGTGGGCCACATGACGCATGTCATTCTTCGCTACTCTTTACCGCCTGAGAGCATCAGACTCCGTTGTTTAAACCCGAACAGCGGTTCAGCATCCTGTCCTGCTCTGCTCGCTCTTCATAAAGCAGGCATGCTTTATTCCCTCGCACTCCCTGACAACTAACCCTACAGAGCTTTTCTCGTTTCTATCTCTACACCTCAGCGGCTCCACCGCTATCGTATCAACGACCTCTTATCTCGACAATCACAAAGTAGAATATCGGGGCCTCTTGGCTGGACCATGTTTTCTGAGTGTATGTAGGATGATTCCACACCTGCTGTGCCGTTTCTCACGAAGCCTTTAGATGCATCCCGGTTCCTAGCCCAGTCCCAGTCACGACTCGCCAGTCAACCCGAAGGCAGTAACCGCACACGTGGGGATGGTAATAGGCGGCCGCAGTCCAATTTCTCAAGATACAACGCCTCTCGCAGCTTCTTGAATCGAAACGACAACCCATACAATGCTACTACATCCCAGACATCCCATTTCCCATTTGCATCTCGGTCATTCGCACAACAGGCCCCTCTTTTCCATAGTGTCACCGACGAATTCCGTGAAGAAGATGACGAGCATGAACATGAGCGGGAGATCGCAGATTACTATGCGCTTCAGAGGTCACGCCGACATTTTGGCAACAGTCACCTCGAGGAATCTTCCGAGCTCGATGATGACGAGGAAGACACTTCTCAGCATGACGGCTTGAGGCATACCTCTTCAGCAGGAAATGGAATCAGAAGCTCGTGGAGAGAAGATGCGATGGGCACTAAGAAGCGTACAACTAGATTTCCACCTACAGCAGAAATTGACGAAATTGACGAGCGGAGCGAGGATCACGAAGATTCCCCAGGAAAAGGAAAAATGGTGGACGTCGGGCTTGACGCTCCAACAAGAGATAAAATGGGTGCCTTGTCCAACAGTGCTTCTGACTTTATCAGCAATGATGTTCCAGTCCAGCAATTTCGTAAACAGCCTGACGTTTTAAGCGACTATATGGGAGATCAATCGACATTCATTCCAGAAACTGATAGGCAGGCACTGCTCCAAACGTCGGGACATCCAAGCTCTGAAGGGTCGTCAATTCCCCTCTCCATGGCGCAGGCAGAGCCAGAGATTCCTTCAAATGATGCTTTCTGGGGACATCTCTTTATTTTATCGCTGACTGGGTTGTTTGCCACAGCATTTTTAGTGTACTTGCACACGGCTCTACCTCCGGATGGTAAATGGAAACTGGGTGACACAATTTACACAACAATCCACAAGTCCTACTTCCTACTTGGCATTTACACGATGGTTTCCATATTCGTGTCTCTGCTCTGGCTTGCTCTACTTCGCGCCTACGTGCGGTTCCTTGTCTATACAATGATCATCGCTGTCCCGACGATCCTATATTCTTTCTCTCTATATCCATTTATTTCGAGCTTCAGTGGCTTCTGGAAAGGCCAGAGTCTTCAGGATAAAATGATGCGTTGGGGTTCCGTCATACCCTTTATATTATCCACTCTTTGGATTTACGCGGTCGTTCGTAATCGTCACGCTACTGGGAAGGCAATCAGCATCCTGGAGTTTGCATGTCGAGTACTGGCTGTGAATCCAGCACTCCTTGCCCTTGGACTGTTCACTCTAGGAATCACTGTAACGTGGACTTGGCTCTGGATGATAATGTTCACTCGAGTCTTTCTCGCTGGACACGTTGCTTCCAATTCTTTTGTCATCAGTGTCAGCAGCTGGTGGCTAGGTATCTATTTCGTTTTGGTTTACCTATGGTCTCTCGGTATCATCTCTGGCATCCAACGATGTGTGACAGCAGCGACAGTGAGCCAGTGGTACTTCCATCGTCTAACACAGCCAAACCCTACTTCTACCCAAGTTGTGAAAGCTGCAATAACTCACGCTTTCACAACACTCTTTGGCTCGATCTCTCTATCTTCCCTACTTGCACTTCTTCTCAGGCTTCCAATCATAGTCCTCCCAAGGCGCATTTCATCTATCATCACTTTATTTGCCTATTCACTTATTCCGACCCCTGTGGCGGCTCTTGTTAACCCGTTGGCTTTGACTTATGCCGCTATTCATTCTCAGCCTCTGGCCCAATCAGCCCGTGGGCTCACACAGCTAGCGGTATTTTCGACGTTTACTACATCTACATTGTACCCACCATCTATTTCCCGCGATCCTGGTGACAAGTCTTCCTTACTTCCATATCGACTATCAAGACTGATTTTACATGCCTGCCGATTTGCCATGTCTTTAGCCCTTGGATTTGGCGGGTGGGTCACCACGGCTCGCAGTCTCGATGTGATAGGGAACAACACATTTCGAGGTAGCTTGTACGCATACGTTATTGGATTAATAGCGTCTGCTATCGGCTGGGGTGTTTTAGGTGCGATGGAGAACGTTCTTGCTTCCGTCGTTGATGCTGCAATTGTGTGCTGGGCTAGTGAAGTGGGCAACTCTGAGCGCGAAGCCAGATACTGTCGCGAGGCAGAGTGGTTGTTCAGAGATACTGCGAACTCTACTGCTGTCAGCCATTGGAGCCGAGTTTGAGCCTTTTTTTTGGGGTTTTATCTGCATCGGTAGGTGCGTGGGTAAATCATAGCGACAATCGGATTTAGTTTCCATTCAGAAATATACTTATTCAGCATCTCATAAACAAATGGACTCGGGTATTGTATTTGCAAATTATACCCAGTTAGTCATTAACACCTTTTCATCTAGTAATTCAGAGCTTTTAAATATAGCACAATATATGACAAAGATCTTACCATTATAGTAGATGTTATGTAGCATCGAATGAGTCCTGGATAGGCATGATTATCAAAACAAAATTATGGTTAGCCACATGTGCACAGCAACTTGGGAGTGATCCTGGAAACATCTAAATCTGATAATATTGAAAATTACTCCACAGAAAATTAATGAGTGGGATAGACCATCTTTGAAATATCTCATGTGTAATAATTACTAAGTAAACTATTTTGTAACAAAGACACACGAGAATCAGATAAGAACAGTAATTTCAGTAAGTTACTTGAAAAGGCCAGCCCATTCCACAAACAAGAATAGAAAAAATAAAGAAGAAACAAACGATACATGGCCAAATCCAATCCCAAAGGGGACCTGCGCTAGTCATAGTGGTATCATGAAATGTCATAAAACGAAATATTAGAAAGTAAGAAGGAAATTAGATGCGAGAAACGGGGGGAAAGAAATAAGAAGGTTAAAAATAGTCATTATGAAGGCTTGCAAAGGAAAATATAGGGTTCCAGAAGTCACCAGTTCCAAATTTACAACTTCAAGCGAGCTTCGAATTTCAGCCCTTCTTTCCTACACCATTCGTCTAGAAGAGTCACACCGAACCGCACAGTTTCCATAGGTGTAATTGTTCGTCCGAAGGGGAGGAAAAAATCACCGGCATAATTTCCCGGTTTGAAATTATTCTGTCCACGTTCTGAATAATTTCGGGACCGCTTTTCCCATGTTTCAGGAAACGTATTCGCAAGGATATCGTCTGAAAGCTCCTGACTCCCTTCTAGCCAGAGCCGATTAGCTTCCTTGAAATTTTCCGGAAGCCGATGTTTGAGTTCAAAGAACTCTTTCTTATGAGTCCTGTTCTTGTCTGAAGCAAAAGTATTCTCGTCACTTCCAGGGGTAGGCACCGGGCTGTGTTCACCAGGGATAGCACAGACAGCAAGTCGTTCCAGGTCCAATGAGTGGATAGTATCGTGAGATACAGCACCAAGAAGAAGACAAAGACCACGAAGATGTGGATACACATTGGTAGTCTTTCTAACCACACGCCAATAGGCAATGATAGATCGCCAATTTTCAGAGCCACCAACTTGCCGGGTTAAAACCTTATAACGATCGTCTGCAATAAATGCAACAATGAAACAAAGTATTGCTTCAATGGCAGATGCTGCAGCTAGTTTCCCATCTGGGGCAGTTATCCCATCGCTAGTTGCCCTGCTTCGTGAATAACGGTCAGCGATATGTTTTAGCTCTCGGCCCATACCAGCATGTTTCTGGAATTCCTCTCGCCAAGATCGTCGGTCGTCGTCTCGTAGGTTCGTCTGAGAATCTCCGTGGGCCGAAGGCGTCCTGACAATCTTTTCTGCGTTGCTATTAGGGGCTTTGGCAGATGAGCCGAGAGGAGTTTGTACTTCAGCCTCCCCAGAGTCTGCACGGCGTTGATGGTTGTTACGGCTGTCTTTTATAGGTGTTGAATATATTGTTTTGGAAGCCGATGATTGTTGATGTGATGATGATTTGACAGAGGTAGTGCTAGGAACGTTAGTTCTCTCTAAAGCTGAGACTTTAGAAGTGCTGGACACATTTTCTGTATGGCCTTGACTTGGTTCCTCATCGTACTGGCGCCTTTGGCCCTTTTCTCGTTGCTTATTATCAGGCCTTCGTAGTTCTGCATCATCTCCAGAATGAGACTCCCTGGGGGGTTTCAAAGGTAGGTAGTCTGTGGGTTTACGTTTCCCCTCAAACTTGAGCAACGCTTCAACCCGTCTTCTGTTGCCCCGTCCGTATCTAAGTCTGACGATGAGTTTCTTAGGCTTCGTAGTTTCTGCGGTGCCGAAGTCACTCCGTTTCAGTTTCACTATTTTCGATGGTGATTTCTCACTATGTAGAGAAGTTGCGTCGACGTCTGTATCTCGGTGCGTCGAGTTAGTTCTAGAAGAACTTATATTCGAGTTTTTACTCTGGGATTCCTTATGAAGGGGTTTGGTAGATATCGGCTTAGAATCTAGAGGCGGCTTGCTCTGAACCCCATCCCTGGATGTATTAGAAACATTTGAAAGGTCCCTTTTATGATCTGGGCGTTTGGATACTGGTGCATCGTCCTCTATTCGGGCCAGCTCTTCCTCCAATAGAGGAGGTAAGGTCGGAGACAGGAGTGCGGGAAGTCGTGGGCTAGACGATGTGGGTGGAAGGGTGGGAGAAAGTAGAGCAGGTATTTTTTTGCCGCTGCCTTGTGCTTTAAAAGACACATCTTCATGGCTCTGAGACACTCGCATACGTTTTGGAGCTGGTGCATCTTCTTCACGCTCAAGTGATCTCCCAGATGAACGTTTAGAACGATTATCTTGTCTTGAGTTGTCTGCAAGAGAATCAGGAGCTTTGAAGTCCTTTGCTGTGCCTACAGGAGGGGCTCTAGAGCGGCCTTGTTTCGCATCATCCTTAGATATTTTCGGAGTGCCACTTGACGGCTTCTTGACCGATTCACCCTCGGCTCGTGTTTTATAGTCGCTCAAGCTGATTTTCTTTTTGGTTACGCCATTTTTAGGTGTATTAGATGCGCTAGAAGTGGTTGGAGGCTTATCACCATTCTTTGCCATGTTATCTCCGTCAGGATCGGACCAGTCTCCAACAGCAACGAGTAAAGAATCCGTGTCGTGATGCATCAAAAAAGTCATGTATTGAAGCTGTTGTTCGTCTGCTGCAAATGGACCCTTCTTCCCCACTGCCCAATTGTTGACAAACCGACTCCCAAGGCGGAATGGGATGTCTGTTGGAACAGTGAGGAGGTATGGCGAAGCAGGAAGCACGCGGTCTTTCAATTCAGTAAGTCGGATATTAACGGATTCGAGTTCAGAGGGTACGATATTTTCGTTTGCGGATCCACGGTTTTCGGTATAGTGATAGGACGACCGATCTGGTGGATTCGCGGACATCGCCAGAAAGTACCAACAGGATAAGTTTGCTGGATGTTGATAGGTTACGTGCGCTTGTTCGCCGTTTCCTACTTAATTTGACATGACCCGATTCGTCGCGTTGGCGTTGTATCTCCAGGTGATATGCGTCTGAAGAATCGCGATTTTGAATAGAGTAATATATAGGTATTGCGATACGAGCACGGCGTAGCGACAAGCGTTCGTTGATACCTATGCTGTTCAGAACAGCGCATCGTATGGAAAGACGATTCGAAGGGATTTGCTGGTCTGCGACAGCCTTTAGATGACAATGGGATGGACTGCCTCGAGTATTCGGTATTCGCCTGAACAATCAATGTCGTCCGTGGCCTCGGGGAGGCAATAGATGAGAGTTAGAAGAAGACAAAGGCAATGAGGGACGAGAAACAGCCGAATGCGCTTTATTAGCAGCGAGGCAGAAAGCCCTTTGTTTTCCTCCAGCTAAAGAAGAGCGCAGAAGGCTAGACACAGCCGAGAACGAGAGACCGTTGTTGCCATGGATAGGCGGCTGTTGACGGTGATCGGAAGCTGATACTCTTCTCCACGCGAACGGAGTTCAGTGGCACGCGGTCGCGGGAGTCGCAATCAGGACAAAGGGGTCCAGCAAGCCAAATATCGGCGGACTCAAGAGCGCAGCGGAACTGCGAAGTACGGAGCGGTCGATATACGAGGAAGGATAGGTGGATGGGTTGATCAGCGGATGCTTGTTGATTAACCTGACGGCAACTAACTAGTCGACGGCGGCGTGCGGGACCATGTCGGCCTCGCCCTCGACATCCTTCGAGCTAACGCGATAATGCTAAATAAGGCGCATTCAATATTGGGACTAAGAAAATCATCTAGGAGTAAGTATGAAGCCTACCAGAACGCTGATTACTACAGCTTCACTGGTGTTACTACTGCTTAGGCTGTTATATAAATACTGATTTGTGTTGACGGACCATATATATTAATTATTTATTCTTAGTGTAACAATCGCATTGATTTCCTGCATGTCTTTGATGCCAAGCTGATTTGTCTATCAAAGGCGATCCTGCGCCAGGGGTTTAAGGCCACCAGCATCTTCAATTTTGCTTTTATGTCATCATTGATAGCTTATTGTCTAGAATATACAAATTCCAATGGGGCGGAAGAAGATGCAAATCATAAGAGAATATGAAATGGATCCGGCATTACAAAGTGTGTGTTGTGAATAAGAGTGTTCAAAAAAGTCTTGGTGATTGACTTTTCCCCCCAAAACGCCAAAAAGACCAATATGCAAGAAATTAAGTCGTAAACAGAGTGTTTAACATTTCATCGCGAAGTTGCAGTATCACCAAGCTGCCACGTAGTCTCTTGTTTCGTACCTGGAGGAAGGCAGTTTCGAGAGAGGCTTGTTCCCCGAGGGCGGACTGAGCTTGCGCGGTCATCTCCCTTTTTCTCGTCGGCCACAGACGAGGTCTCTATTCGCTCTATGGGTTTAACAGGAGGGAAGGCGTAGCCGTTGGAATCCCATGTCTTAGGGGTAGAGGCCTTGTTCAACGGCAAGATTGTCTCCCGCTTACTGAAGTGATCAGCATTTGCTCGTTGATCTGCAAGGTCATCGTGACTATTCCGGTCATATAGGTACAACCCCAGGAATGTAAGGGAAATCCCGACAGCTTGAGTTGATGTCGTGTGATTTCCAAACCATATGATAGCAACGACGATGACGAAGACGCGCTTGATCAATGATGCTACCGAGTATGAAACCGGAGAGATCATAGATAATAGCACGAATGCTAATATGTTTTGGGCGAAATGAGAAACGCCATTGAAGACGAATTCAAGGAAAAGGGCGCCATGATCTAAAGAGCCTTTCTTTTCAGAAAGTGTGATTGCGCCATTGCTAAGGAAGTCGGATAGCATAGGGTACCCTTCAGCGATGACCCATATAGGGAGCGTAAACAGAAATGCCAAACCTGAGCAGTAATAGAGCAGGTTCAATTTATCCATTTTGCGCCGGCCAACAAAGTTATGTTCGGATTCAGCACGGGCTGCCTCGTTGAAGAGTTTCTTTGAGAATATGTTCTGGGACACAAACACCAGGGCCGCAAGCAAAGCACAGGCGATCCCGAAAAAATTGCTAGAGAATCCTGTCGAGCACGCCAGCATCACGCCCAATGTCAAAGGAATTAAGGATAGATATGTCGCTCGTGCATATTTGATTCTAAAGAAGATGCGGTATGCTAAGACGGTAAATAATGGAGAGAGCCCCTTAATCGTGTGGACCAAAGAAACAGGTATTTGAGATGTTGCCATGGAGCTCAAGATATGACCCAGGAGCTGGAAGATAGCTAAAGGCATTGCTGTCATGATCACTTCACGAGATGGGGGTGCTATGCCATTTCGAAGCGCTGGAATCATCTTCTTCAATGAAGGAATAACAACTGAACAGTAAGCAAGCAACATGCACCATATTGAAACAAAAGCAAACTGTATAATGGTAAGCGTTATCGGTTTTGGGAGTGCATTGAGGATCGATTTGGAAGATGTATTGGTAACGGCCGATGTCATGTACCAGATGAGACATAATCCCTAGGCAGGTTAGCGGCAGTCTTACAGCAATATGAAAATTGGCCAGAAGGGAAGTTCCTCTCACAATAAGCTTGTAGGACACTGGTGCTCGAAGTGCCTCTGCTATTTCGTGAGCATTAGCGCTCATGCTTGAATTCCGCATTCGAATAGTGCTTATTGTTTCGCTAATGCTTTTGCGCGGCCGATGCTTCGAGGCAGCTCTAGGGTCCCATATTACATGGCCCGCGGCCTTGCGGCTTTGCCAAAGATCTTCTGAACCCGAATGTGCGGTGCGCTGGTTGCCATTTGGAGTGGTATCGTACGCTTCATCCACGTATGCAGGGAATTTGTCCATCGGGCTGTTCTGGTCCTGAGGGCCCGGACCTTGCTTATTAACCTGTGGCCAGTTTGGCTGGCGTATGGACGCACGGCGTCCAGTGCCCGTCACTGTGGTGGTGCTCATAACTCTTCTACCGACTTTCGAGCTGCAGGATGACCGACAGGTCGGAACAGGCTTGTGCAAGCAACAAGCCTCGTGAAGATGAGCTGATGACGAGTGTTGGCTTATAGCGAGCGGCTGGTTGATGATGTTACGTTTTCGGACTTGAAGCTAGGCATGGGGAAACCGGGGAACGAGCGTGGAATTGAGTTGAGGATTGCGCGACACAAAGAGCGAGAGATACAAAACTGACGGAGGCGTATTGGACGATGGATTTGATGAGGCGACTGCCAATGTTAATGTGAATATGGTAAAGTGAAACCGGCTGGTAGCGTCGGACTACGGAGTGTACCGCGCCGCCGTATATGGCATCGATTACTCCGGAATCCGCCCTGGTCATGCATCGTGGCGCTAACTTACCATGCCAGGACCTTGCCCCGATTAGGAATAGCCTGGGCGGGTGTTTCAACGCCTGGGGCCTGTGCCGCTCCTGATTGGTCACTGTTTTGCGTCTTTTTGATACACCATCACGTGATCAAAAATTCCTCCACTGCTAATAATAACTGGCAGGCATTCTAGATCATTTGACTGTTCACGTTGATATTTAGCATCTGCACATCAGTGGGAATTTCTTACCTAGAAGGATATCTCTATAATGAAACTATTTTAGAGCATTTCATTCTCTCTATGAGTGAGAGAGAGCTCTGCGTCTGAATATCAACTCTATGTATACTAATCACAACCCTGCGTCTAAAATATGCAGGTCAACTCATTGATATTAGAATATCTGCACACATACAAACCTACAACCCTGCTGTTTGTTTGAATAGACAAGAGGTCTGCTGCTAATAAGCTCCCTGTTAAACAAACTTAACCTGGAAAGCGTCGGTCTACGGACTGCACTGCCTGTTTGCACAGAATAGATGGACTAGAAGAACCTCACAGAAATAGAAAATAGAGCGCACAAGACTCGGTGGCTGTCTGGTTCGCTCTTTCCTGCACAGTGTTGGTCGCTCCTTCTGTTTGTGACAGGCCGCACACCTGTTCCCTTTTGGGCCGTCTCTCTCTTGCCTTTGCCCGCCCACCCTCGCGTTGTTGTGTGAGGAGACCTTCTACCTTCTCTCTCTCTCTCATCTCTACACCTGCTCTAATTTTTCTCTTCATTTTCCTTCCCCCATGCCACCTTCTCCTCTGGTAGTTTTTGCATTCGCTCCTTCTTTCCCCCGCCGATAGTGCGCCTCAGTAGCCTGTTGAATCACTACTTCTCTAGAGATCTACTGCTGCCATCTATTTGTCTTTGATTCCCTTCTACCATAGATACATTCTGGCATTGTCACCATCTTCATCTCGAGGTTATTTTCTTTTTCTACGTTGCTAAGCAATCATTTTCTTCGTCTTCCTCTTTCCCTCGTCTTTTTTGTCGTTCTCGCCGTTGTTGCTGTCTCTCAAAGCATTGATTTACTTGCATCACGTATTGTAGTTTCTTCTGACGAGTTCCTCCAAAACCCTTCCCACCCCCAGAATGTCTTGTTCCTCTGAAGGTGCTACTGAAGAGACTCCCGAAGGCTGTCCTGTCTCTGAACGTGCCTCTGGAACCTCCGAGAACTGGATTGACGCGCATCTATCACCACCTGGACAGGACTTCTTGGTAAGTCCTCCTGATGTGATTGACAGAAACCATTATTGTAAGGAAGTTTCTTTTGTGTGACTGATGATTTCACGTCCAACAGGGAGGCAAACAAATACACTCGTACCATTTGTCTAATCCTCTTATGTCCTCCAAAAGGGGGAATATTCAGCCGAAGCCAAACACAGATCACCAAGAAGTGGCAAGCAAGGTTTGAAAATCAACATAATATCGCTACTGCTAGTGCTAACTTTGAGATGATTATCTAGAGGACGGACCGCACTCCATCTACCGTAGGCCATACAGAGTCTCATATCTCAGGACTGGACAAGATCCTCGCAAAGCTGTCTCCCAAACCCCAATCTAATGCCAAAAAAGCTCCCATGGCCTCTGAAACCAAGGGAAAGCCAGATGATAAGCGTTCATTGCAGTCCGATAGCCAGCAACGAGACTTGCGGTCTGTCAGTAGCCCGCCCCGAACCATCAGCAAAGACCTGGCTTACAGCGAAACATCCTTTCCAAAGCAGGCAGTAAAGTCTTCTATTGCAGCGCCTTTCATGAATAATGCAGAGAGCGTTGGCAACACCAACATTAGTCTCGTCGACACAGCTGAAATGCTTCGCTTGAAGCAGGAGCTCATTGCTGCCAACTCTCGCATTGCCCAGCAGGAGCAAGAACTAGCACAGACTCGCGTCATAAAACATACACTCGATCAGGCCCTTGGACCTCCGTCTGAAGCTGACTTTGGGGGTCGTGAAATTACGGATCACACAATTAGCGGCCTACAGTCTGCTTTCAATGCCTCCGCTAAAGCTTACAATGACAGAACAGACTCCTGGGTTCCGGATGATGCCAAATCAGATATATCCGAATCACTCTCTGCTGGAGCGTACAATAGAAACCGTGGCCTATGGACAGTACCTGCTCAAGCTGCGTTTGGTACTCACCAAGGGAAAGGTTGCCCGGAATCACCTTCAGTAACTCATAGTGCCCTCGTGCAAGACTCTGCTCATCCATGGACAGTCGCCGTCTCAGGAGCAAACATACAGGCAGCAGTGCAGCAGCATCGAGTATTTTCTGGCCCAGCAAATACTGCCCTAGATGGTCGGTACAATGGTGAGCAAAATCCATATTTAAATGGGATTAACTTTGCCCCTCGTCGCTCGATTACGCAAATGAGTCGACCTACAGCCTACTTCCCACCGATGCCGGCCTCTTGGGCGCCATTCAATGGTGGAGCTCCAAACAACATTACAGGGAAGTCCGCATACACCACCCCTTCCATCAATTCTTACCAGCAGGTTGGGCTCTATCAGATCCCTCAGTATCAACCACGTCCTATTGGAACCCCCCTCTCTCCTACAGCAGCAGAATTCACTTCTAATAGCACGCCCGCTGACACATGGACTGGAACAGCTGTAGGTTACGCCCTTTCTTAACGAAACTAGTTGAACTTGCTGATTCAATATAGAGTACCGGAGCAGCTGCAACATATGTGACACCGCTAGAACCAATAAATTATCGCCGTTTGCTTGACAAGAATGTCTCTTGCGACTGGAAGTACATAGTCGATAAGATTGTCTGTAGCAGTGATCAACAGGCGTCCATTTTTCTGCAGCAGAAGCTCAAAGTTGGGACAGTTGAGCAGAAGTATGATATCATAGAAGCCATCGTGAACCAGGCGTATCCTTTGATGATTAACCGCTTTGGGAACTTTTTGGTTCAGCGTTGCTTTGAACACGGGACCCCTGAGCAGGTCATTGCCATAGCCAATGCTATCAAAGGAAACACCTTAAGCCTTAGCATGGATGCATTCGGATGTCACGTCGTTCAGAAAGCCTTTGACTGTGTGCCTGAGGAACACAAGGCTGCGATGGTCCATGAGTTGCTACGACGAATCCCGGAAACAGTAATCCATCGCTATGCTTGCCATGTATGGCAGAAACTATTCGAGTTGCGATGGAATGGAGAGCCCCCGCAGATAATGACGAAGGTTAACGAGTCATTACGAGGCATGTGGCATGAGGTGGCATTGGGTGAGACTGGTAGTTTGGTCGTGCAGAACATATTCGAGAATTGTGTTGAAGATGAGAAGGTGAGTATTCCAGTTTCTGGGAATGAGCTTCATGCTGAAATAGATACTGCGAAGCGCCCCGCGATTGAAGAAGTTCTGGCCAATATCGACCTTCTCTCACACGGTCAATTCGGTAATTGGTGTATCCAACACATCTGCGAGCACGGAGCTACACATGACAAGAACCGTGCAATCGAGCACATCTTACACTGGTCTGCGGATTACAGTATGGATCAGTTCGCTTCCAAGGTTGTCGAAAAGTGTTTGAAGATTGGCGGCCCCGAGTTTCTGGACCGTTATCTGGCAAGAATTTGTACAGGGCGTGCTGACCGACCTCGCATGCCTCTGATTGATAGTGAGAAGTAACCCAATATATGAAAATTCTTCATCTGCTAACGTTACATAGTTTCTGGAGACCAATATGGCAATTATTTGATCCAGTGGATCTTGATCCACGCTGCACCTCATCAGCGTGAGTTGGTTGCTACACATATCAGGTATCGTATAAACTCCCGTTGTATTCAAATTGATGTCTAACGAGTCTTAAGAAAACACATGGTGTCGTTGAGAGGCTCGAAATTTGGTTCTCGTGTGGCTATGCTGTGCTGCAATCCTTCTCACGCAACTCGACCTGGTCCTGGAGCTGGAGTGCAAGCGAACACCAGATATGCAAACTCCAGTGACGATCGCCTGCAGGTATCCAATAGCTCTGGGAATCGTTTCAACCGAAACAACAGCAATTGGGGACCAACCTTTCCTCCATTTCGTTGATCTCAACTTCTTATATTCAAGAGTTATCATCCAGATTTCTGGACTCTTATCAGGGAGCCCATCATGAATATCTTTGGCGGGCAACTTTAACAACACTACCATCAATATCTCTAGACTGTGGTGAGCTCTTGTCAATACCCATTGGAGGGCGTTCGTTAACCATATTATGTTCAGTATCAGAAAGCTTTGCCTTAGATTTTTGTTTCGAGCATTTCGTCAAGTACAGATCACCAATTTAAAGAGTTCAAGCCGGCATATCGAGCGCTTTGGTTTACCATGGCATTGCTCTGTCGTCTTCCTCCTTTATTTACTATTGTATTAGGTGTCTTGATTACGTCAAATGTCCCCTCAACTTCTCTCACTCCATTGGTTCTCTGGGTGACGTCTCCACGAACAACTTTTACACGGTATTTGATTAGCGTTCTGCATTATTGTCGAGTGGACTATGCGCATACTTTTATCATAAGGGCGGAGATTAGCTAATGACATATTCAAATTATCAATGGAAAAAAGAGTTCATTATGTAGAACTCAGGGGCATCTAATGCTAAAGCACACAAATTGTAGACAAATGGCGAATTTCATCGACTTTCTTGCAGGGCTAGAGATGCGTTATCGTCACTGTTTTCTACCTCTGTCTTCTCCCAAGGCTTACGCCTTCGGGCCACTTTGCTCGGTTTTTCGTGACCCGATAAGACTGTGTCAGGTATATCCTCAATACCAGGTATTGGCTGGCCAGTTGTAATGAGCTCGACGATATGAGAAAATGACGATGGGTAGGCTGGTTCGGCATCAGCTTTGCCCGCGCTGCTCGATGTTGATGGTGCCGTTGTACTATTTGGCGATTGACTTGATTTCTGGGTTGTGGCCTCTTCAGCTGGCTGCTGAGGAGCCGAAGTAGAGGATCTGGTTAAGCTATTATTTGCTTCAACCCAGCTCTTATACGCGGAAAAATCGACCGGCGGGCTAATCTGATTTTTTCTAGAAAGAGATGTGTTAAAAAATAGTTGCTGAGTGTGCTGTGTGATTCGAAGCCAACCTGGAAATATAAAAGCACTTTGCTTGTAAAACAACGTCATCCTCTCTAATAAGTTCAGCATCCAACGCAGGAGTTTCTGGATGGCCTAGGATTGCACCTAAGCCTTTGCAGAAATCCGAGTCCGACTCAAAATCATATGATGCGATTAACTCATAGAGTTTTGTAGGTGCCTCGGTGTTTGTTGTTGTATTCGGGAACGAAGTGGTAGACATTGTGAAGATGGCTCAGTCACATCATAGATAGTAATTATGTGTGTGGATAACTCCAGCCATTGAATTCAACGGCCGCCAGGGTCTGGTCCTGCTGAAAACAAGTGATTATCAAGAAGGAAATTGTTGAAGCTTGATGCGGGGAACCCGATATCTATGCCGCGGTTTCTATAATAGTGGGGTTCTGTTTGACGCTATGTTACATACTATCACGTCTCCTAGGCCTTAGCTATCCACCAGGTGATTGAGAATGCTAGAACTGTCATATTTTGCTTAAGAAGCATCATTATATTATTTCTATATACTGCAGTCTGCAAAATTATTTCCCAGAGACGTTCCCTACAAAGATCAACCGAGAAAATATGCAAGAAGCTTTTCCTTAAAAGCGACTTAACATTTTGACAGTATTTCTAACCGCCTCTGTGAGATCGAACTGATAAATTGTTGCTTTGGCATCCAGGGCAGTTGTGGACAATCTCGTGAGCGAAAAGATCGCAGTCTATGCAAAAGTGATTTTTGCAAGCCGAGCATTCATAGCGGCTGCTGACACTCATTCCTTTTGTTTGTTTCTCCGAAGTTTCCCATTGACCCGGAGGAGGCACCGGTGGAAAAGTGATACCGCAGGAATAGCAATTTGAACTATGTAATGCTCGCTTCCATGGGACTTCGACCCAGTTGATAAGGGGGAATAAGTGATGATACGAACGAGCTAGATGTGTCGAGAGAATTAATGTTAAGCCGCATGCAGGGCATTCTGCTGGAAGACCGCAGACTTTGCTCCCACATCGCGAGCATAAATATCCACCACATGATGGTTTGGAGTGACAGGCGCACAATGACGGGAAAGATTCTACCGTTCGAGACGGAAAACCCATCATCAAAAGCGCATTGCTGGATTGCTTGTATGAGTAGGTTGCCGGAGGAATAGTGACTTCCATCATTAGTTCTCGGAAGTGTTGCTCGTTCAGAGCAACACCATATACTGTATCATCACCGCCGTTCGTTTTGGCACAGAGCTCGCGGCAGATTGCGACTTGTGCGGCCAAGCCAACAATACTGACACGAATCTGGTCTGCGACAAGGGATTTCAATGTTTGGTGTATGTCACCCGGGTCAGATGAGAGAAGCGACCCGAAGATAATTAGAACTTCGCGAGTGCCATGACTAGGTGTGTGGCTGTAAGTGCGTAAGCTGGGTAGATCGCATGCAAGATGCAAACAGAGTAAACTCACAAAAGAGCACCCCGGGCCATTTCCAATGCATTCTGAAGACTGGGAAGCCCTTTCGGGTCGGATAACCGTAAGGCTTGGAGAGCAGTGATGTGATCGGTGGGATTTCCGCTCATGTCACTTATCCGCACGGCCAACCCATCCTTCATGCCGAGAAGTCCGAGTTGGGATATAGGATTTTGCTCGAAGAACTCTATGACGAAGTCTTGGGCATATCGCAAAGCTAGAAGATAACGGGTGGGGCGAAGGTCTTTCTCTGACATAGATTGGGAGAGGTCGAGAACCAGGATCAGATGGCGGATGATTCCTCGCTGTAACGGGGTAGTGTCTCGAAGTAGTCTAGAGGATACATGTTAGCACCAGAACTTCTCAGTCTTGTCCTAGACCTGCGCTTGGTTTACCTTTTCCTTTTTCCAGCCTCTAACAAACCCTCGACTGTCGAGCTGATGGTGCCGTCGGCGCCTTCCACCACCGATTCCCACGTCCTAGATACCTCCCATTCAGCGCCGCCATGCTGTTTCCTTCGGCGCGGACGAGCCGAGGCAGAGACAATGTGAGCGTCGACATCATCCTCATCCTCTGAAATAGATCCAATATAGTCTTCATCGGAATCAACCATATTGTTTGTTGTCAAGCTAGGATAGCGATGTTGGGTCCAATCCGTCGCTCATGCGGAATTTCGGAGCTCCAGGCCCGCGTCAAGCTTGGGCAGAGTTTTCAACCAGCGTACTAATCATATGCCTTGCTTATAGCATAAGGAATAGTAAAAGGAGTGGATGTGTGCCGCCAACAGGCGCACTCGCAGTAGTGAATTTGGTCTAGAGAAATGTGGTGGAGCATTGCATGGAATAAGAATAGCTAACCTTGATTGCTTCTTGCCTGTGGAGTGCACATTACGCCCCGCGAGCTGTCTGCCGCCCGCCCACCAATCCGCTTCATACTTTTGGACCCCTCGAGAAGGCTCGTTCAAAATTTATTGTCATCTCTCCAGACCATCTCATTAATCTGACCCGCTCATTATGGCGTCTGGAGATCGGGATATACTGCCAGACGTGTAGGTTCTCATAAGGTTAGCTTGAGTATCTACTTGCACGGTAATGACTATTTCTATAGGCTAAAACCAAAACATTATGATCTTTCACTTTTTGATCTGGAGCTTGGTGGCTCCTGGAGCTACAGAGGGACCGTGAAAATTGAGACCAGCATTGTGAGGCCTACCCAGGAGATTGTACTAAACGCCAACGACATAACTGTTCAGGAAGCACGAGTACTGGCGGATAATGGTCTGTCTAGACCCTAGACTAACGTTCCGAACTAAGTATCAAATGTCACTAACGTTGACATAATATAGGTTCATCTTTAATAAAAGCTTCTGATATATCATGGGACAAGAAATCGGAAAGAGTCACGTTGTCCTTCGACAAGGAATTGGCTAGCGGAGATGTTGTATTGAAGATTGATTTCGCGGCCACTATGAACGATCAAATGGTAGGGTTCTATCGTTCCAAGTATAAGTCGGCTGGAGTGCCATCTCCAGACACCCCCAAAGTGGACGAATTCCATTACATGCTGAGCACGCAGTTTCAAGCTTGCGATGCTCGAAGGGCCTTTCCATGCCTTGATGAACCAAACCTCAAGGCCACTTTCGATTTTGAAATTGAAATTCCTAACGGTCTGGTGGCCTTGGGAAACATGCCCGTCAAATCTGAGCGAGCAGGAAACATTCCGGGTAGGAAAGTTGTATCCTTTGAGCGCTCACCAATTATGAGCACCTATGTCAGTAGTTTCTGGTCAATTATGCTGTATAGTGCTAATCATAAACGAACTGTAGCTTTTGGCTTGGGCAATTGGTGATTTCGAATATGTCGAGGCATTGACACAGCGCAAGTATAACGGGTCTAGTATCCCTATTCGCCTATACACCACTAGAGGCCTTAAAGACCAGGCACATTATGCCTTAGAGTGCGCTCATAGAACCGTGGACTACTTTTCGGAGCTGTTTGGTATTGATTATCCTCTCCCAAAATCTGACCTTTTGGCCGTCCATGAATTTGTCTGTTTACCCTCCGTTCTTCATTATTATGAATTTCTACTGACACGCCTACTTAGACGGCCGGGGCGATGGAGAACTGGGGCCTGATCACCTATCGCACGACTTCAGTCTTGTTCGACGAGGGAAGTTCGGATGAGCGATATAAGAACTATATCGCTTATGTAGTCGCACATGGTAAGCTAAATCCCGAGAATGTCTTTTAACGACCCTTTGGATAAGGCTTTACAGCTCAAATCTAATCAGAAATATAGAATTGGCCCATCAATGGTTTGGCAATCTTGTTACAATGGATTGGTGGAATGATCTTTGGTTGAATGAAGGGTTTGCAACGTGGGTTGGGTGGTTCGCAGTGGATCACTTTTACCCAGGTGATTTTTGCAAAGCCTTGCTTGAAACTCTGGACTAATTTGTTGGATCTAGGATGGAATGTTTGGTCCCAGTTTGTGGTAATTAACACCCGAGTTATGATGGCCAGTTTTGATTCTGATAATTCTTTAGGCTGAAAGTGTGCAAGAAGCGTTCAAACTCGACTCGCTACGCGCATCTCATCCAATTGAGGTTCCTGTGAAGAATGCTATCGAAGTTGATCAGTTATTTGATCGTATCAGTTACGAGAAGGGTAGTTCTATTATTAGAATGCTTAGCAGCTACCTTGGTCAGGAGACGTTTCTTCGTGGAGTTTCAGACTACCTGAAGAAGCATGCATATGGTGAGCTCTCATGCGGACTTTAGTAGAGCATGGAAGCTGATACTTGGGTAGGAAATGCCACCACCGATGATCTATGGTCTGCACTTAGTAAAGCATCTAATCAGGATATCAATGCCTTCATGGTAAGTCTCAGACCTAAAAAATCTACTTCCCGTACTCAACACATATATAGGATCCGTGGGTCCGCAAAATTGGGTTTCCAGTTGTCACCATCGCTGGGGATACAGGTCAAATTACCGTGCGGCAGAGTCGATTCCTTTCCTCTGGCGATGTCAAGGCAGAAGAAGACCAAACCATTTGGTGGATTCCTCTTAACATAAAAACCGAGCAGAAACCATCCAACTCTATGCCCCAAGCTCTCACCGAAAGGTCGAACGTGGTGCGAGGCATTGACGATAGCTTTTACAAGGTGAACAAAGATCAATGTGGCTTCTACAGGACGAATTACCCACCAGATCGCCTGGCAAAACTGGGCGAGTCTCTTCATTTGCTTAGCATGGAAGATAAAATTGGTCTTATTGGAGATGCTTCTGCACTTGCGATTTCCGGTGAGGGAACCACGGCCGCGCTACTAGCATTGCTCGAAGGATTCACTCAAGAAACTAGCTATCGGTAGGTTTTGTAAGCTTGATATTACGCATGGTATGCTGACCGTTCTACAGGGTATGGTCGCAAATATCATCGTCGCTAGCCAATTTACGATCTGTATTTGCATCAAACGAAATCATAGCAGCCGGCCTGAAAAAGTTTACATTGAAGCTGGTGACCCCGTCCATTAAGAAAATTAGATGGGACGTCGATCCCAAGGAAGACTTCTTGACTGGGCAACTCCGGAGATTGCTTATTTCTTTGGCGGGAAGTGCCGGACACGAAGAGTAAGGACTTCCTACATCCTTTCAACCACTATGCTCAAGTCAGTTTAGAACTATTACCGAAGGAAAACGGATATTCCACTTGTGGGCTTGTGGCAAAGATCCTAACGCGATTCACCCGACCCTGCGACTTGTTATATTCTCTCTTAACATTGAAGAAGGCGGCCGTGTAGAATTTGACAAGATCAAAAACACATTCCTCCAGACAGAGGCGGCGGACGCAAAAGAGATCTGTCTTAGCTCATTAGGGCGCACAAAAGACTCGGAATTAGTGGGTGAATATTTGGACCTGATTTTCTCGGACCACGTTGCTATTCAAGATATCCACAGTGGTGCTGCATCTTTGGCGTCGAATTCTCAACACCGCTATTTATTGTGGGAGTACATGAAGACTAATTGGGACAGTGTGGTGGTCAAAATATCGTCAAACAATGTGGTGTTTGAGCGATTCTTGCGTTTAGGGCTGGCCAAACTGGCGGACGGGGCCGCTGCCAGAGACATCGAGGCGTTCTTCCAGGACAAAGATACCGGGGGCTATGATCGGTCCCTGGTGGTAGTACTGGATAGCATCCGTGCTGATGCTCGCTACAAGACGCGAGACGAGCAGTCGGTGGTAGAATGGCTGCAAGCACATGGCTATGCATAGAATACATAGGCGGGCGAGGGAGTAGAGCAAGATATATACAAAATTCAACACAGTCAACACAATCAACACAATCAGCACAATCAGCACAAATCAACACAACATCAACTGATCATAAATGTAATGTAAATGACCATGTAGAGAGCAACGATTAAAGATAGTTAAAGATCATGGGAGCGACAGGCGTGGTAGTGGCGGGTCCTGCAGGTGGTGGCTACGCAGCGGCGCCAAACCCAGTTGGGCCAAGCATGGCGGCCACACCTGGCAACATCCAGCCAGCAAGCACAGGCATAGGCACCTTCGCTGAACATTAATACCTCTGCTGATCGTGCTCGACCTGTTGGTATTCTTCCTGACTACTGCCTCTGCTGCTGCTGCTTCCCGCTGCCTCTCTGCTCAGTCCCGTGCTAGGTCTCGTTTATTTCTCTCGCCCGCTCGCTGCTGTTTATTTCCTCGAAGTCCAACCACCACTTCTCCCGACTCTCTCCCGCCTTCTCTGTCATCAGCCAACCGCTTTCGTCATCATGAACCCTGAGTGGTATGTTTTCTCCTGCTCTTCAGTACAGGCGTGCTGTGCTTCGCTGTTTTCGCCCTCACTAACGTAATGATGCGTTCGATCTAGAGTTTCTCGCCTTATCTCCTGAGCTTCGCCGTTGCCTGCGCTTCTTTGGCCTTGCTGCGACCCATGTTTTCTGATATTTGTTATAGATACGACTACCTTTTCAAGCTCCTTCTCATCGGAGACTCCGGTGTTGGAAAGTCTTGCTTGCTGTTACGTTTTGCCGATGATACATACACAGAGAGCTACATCTCCACCATCGGTGTTGACTTCGTACGTCGCTCGTCAAACTCACTACAACGCTCATGCGATTTTTGATATCGAAGCTAATTCAGCCCCCTTCTCTAGAAAATCCGCACCATCGAGCTGGATGGAAAGACCGTGAAACTGCAGATTGTGCGTTGCCTTTCTTCTCCCCGAGACCCTCTGACGTTTTGACTAATATGTTTCATAGTGGGATACTGCTGGCCAGGAACGTTTCCGTACTATCACATCTTCCTACTACAGGGGTGCTCACGGTATCTGCGTTGTCTACGATGTGACAGACATGGACTCCTTCAACAACGTCAAACAGTGGTTGCAGGAAATTGATCGCTATGCCACAGAGGGTGTCAACAAGCTTCTGGTCGGCAACAAGAGCGATATGGAGGATAAGAAAGTTGTTGAATACACCGTCGCCAAGGTTCGTTGTTGTGTTGCTCATACCGACTAGACTTATCTTTTATTAACCGCTTTTTGTTGTGATAGGAATTCGCCGACAGTCTGGGAATCCCATTCCTGGAAACATCCGCCAAGAGTGCCTCTAACGTCGAGCAAGCATTCCTGACTATGGCTAGACAGATCAAAGAGCGGATGGGCACTGCTACAGTCAACAACAAGCCTACAGTGCAGGTTGGTCAAGGCCAAGGGGTCCAGTCTGGCTCCGCCGGCGGTTGCTGTTAAATGAGACCTTCCCATGTTCGTTTAATCATCATTTTGCTCTGATGAGTTTGTTCAGAGTTTGACTGCATCATGACAACGCTTTCCTTGGTGGATCTGTACAGGGTGTTCATAGACTGGAACAGGCTCGTTCGTGTGCTTGCTTTGATTACTCTCACGGGACCCTGTACCAGGCCGCTTTCTCCAAGCTTCTACATCTCCAATGAGCACATGTCTCCTTTGGCATTAATGATGCGTTGTTGTGTCTTGCGGGGACATGCTCGATAACGGTGTCTCTTGTGTGCCTTGGTCTACGTCCTCATCCCTTGCTATATTTCTTTCGTGTGTCATGTTACTCGTGTCCAGGTCTATTTGTTCATTCTCGGTTGTCTCTTCTTTCAGTTTGATATTTGTCACTTTCGTGTGTGTAGGCTGAAGTTACGCGTTTCTCTCCAATATGGACTAATGACAAGCAAGATACAAATTTCTCCAAGGCGATAACGATAAATCGCGTACTAATACATCGACTATCAATTATCCGTAGACCAGTAGACGCTTGTCCCACGCACTGCAAGCAATCTCCGATGCAGATCGCCCAGCACCACGTCCGAAAGAAGACACAAGCAGTGAAGCTGTTATCACGCGCGATCCCATGAGCAACGATAATCCTCGGGTGAGTTCGTTGTAGCACCGACATGTCCCCACCAGAGACTGGCTTTACCACTCCAATTACTATTAATTATGTATTCGAGTATAATGAGTGTTACTGAGTGTCACATGCGTGCTGCATACTGCCCCCGTAGCCTTCCTCGTCGACGGCGTCGGAGTCCTGGCGATTGCGGGTACTCCTAGTTCAGCCGAGGCAGGAAGTCGGCAACGTCATACGCCGTCCCTCGCCCTGTGCGAGACTGGCGGCCAGTGAGTGACCCTTGCTCATCATTTCGCGATCATATATTTGACTACAAGACCCGGCCTCAGTGTTTGCGCTCCCGCTGCTGTTTCCCCCGATTCCCCTTCTGCATTGCGAAGACATCTCTCGTGCATCACGCCCCACCTTGAACCGAAGCCGTTCAAAGGTACTTACTTCACTTCATTGCTTCACAAACAAGTATTTTTGCTAATATGTCTTGCCAGCCTTTCCAGATACCATGTCTCAATCAACCGTGGAGCAGCAAAAGGAGGCCGCCGCCGCATCGGCTGCCGCGCAGCAATCGGACAACATCACCCATGCCTTGGCTGGTGCAGGAGGCGGTATTATTTCGATGGTCTTGACGTGAGCCCACTTTCCATTCCGGTCACCGGCTCGAAGCATAGCTAAAACTACAAAGATATCCGCTCATTACGCTGTCCACACGGGCACAAGTCGAATCGAAACGCGCGCAGACTTCAACTACTGATGCTATCCGACACATCATTCAGCGAGAGGGCATCACTGGCCTCTATTCCGGCCTGACATCGGCACTTTTCGGGATCAGTGTCACAAACTTTGTCTACTACTACTGGTACGAATGGACTCGCGCTGCCTTTGAGAAGGCTGCGGTGAAGGCCGGCCGTGCTTCGAAGAAGCTCACAACCTTTGAATCTATAATTGCGGGTGCCATTGCTGGCAGTGCCACCGTGCTTATCACCAACCCAATCTGGGTCGTCAACACCAGAATGACAGCTCGGAAATCGGAGTCAGATGAGGAGGCTCTGCCAGGAGCTCCCCCTAAAAAATCACCATCCACCATTCAGACCCTCTTGCAGTTGCTTCAAAACGAGGGACCTAGCGCACTCTTTGCTGGTGTTCTTCCCGCTCTCGTTCTTGTGATCAACCCCATTCTTCAGTATACTATTTTCGAGCAACTTAAAAACACTGTGGAGCGGCGACGACGAGTGACACCAACGGATGCATTCTACCTCGGCGCAATTGGAAAGATCCTTGCCACAACCATCACTTATCCTTACATCACGGTCAAGAGTCGCATGCATGTCGCTAGCAAGGATGGACCCCGTGAAAGCCTCAATGGAAGTTTGAATAGGATCATTAAGGAGGAGGGATATACCGGTCTATACAGAGGTAGGATTCATTCCTAGAGTGTGAAACATTTGGGCTAATTATTTCAAGGCATTACCCCCAAGGTCAGCCAGAGTGCAATTACTGCCGCTTTCCTTTTCGCTTTCAAGGACGTTTTATACGACGCGATAGTTGCTGCGCGAGGAGGTCGCCGTGCTATTGGCAAGTAATCCCGACATAACTATCTGCATTTGTGACTCCATCAATCCGCGCCAATAGTGACGCCTTGAACGAATGCGTCACCGCGACATAGGGAGATCATGATTGTTCAGTAAGCCATATCCGGCCCGGCTACTATACGAACCCGATACTGGACGGCTGGCTATCAGAAAAAATACATGCAGCAATGCTGTCTCGATGATGGCAAAATCACAACCTAAAATTGATTGATGTATCAACAACATTCTGTAACATAATACGGTTGAGTTTAATGTAAACGGCTATGAAGGCTCGAACAAGTTTTCTAGTCGACGATCTGAATATAAATTCCAAAAATTTCAAGCTATCTATGCATAGTTTATAATGAATTCAATGTTATGCTTTGTGTTGATGCAATCACAAACAAGTCAAGATTCAGACATAAACCAATGTTACCCAGATCGGTAAGATGCGGTTGCCGTGCACGTGCCCTGACGCGGCTGCTAGGAATTAAGGCGGGCGATATGGTCGCGTTTCCCATGCTTATCAGAAAACAACTGAGGTTCACATATTTATTGAATACTCCCTTTCTCCTCACTTTCCTCTCCCTTGTTTTTGAGCATGCTATTATATGCGTGGCTACATATAACTGAGTTTATATTGCCTTAGTTGTTTAATCATTTACGTTCGATTGGGCAAGCAATGTATAGGAGTTATGGGTGGCTCAGATGAGTCTTCTCGCGAGAGAGAAACACTACTTTCACAATTCTTGTCATACCGTGATCAAAGGAAACAACTTTCGGATATCCCGTTACGGAAAATACGCCATGCGCAAAGCCAAATCGATACGGCGACGAGAGCAGCAAATGTGGCCCAGTCTTCAAGCCCCGTTAACCATCAACTTCCACTCCCAAAACGAAGAGGCCGCCCTCCAAAACGAGCGCTCTCTGAAGTTCCATCAAGAAACTTGGTAATTGGACACTCTAGCACATCGCATACCACAGAACTGGAATCACCACCAAGACGAATCCAGGCTGGCCCTCAACGCCCCAGGCGATCAAATGCTCGCTTGAATAATTACTATTCAAAGTCAAACTATTCTGGATACGCTCGAGATTTAGTTGATGAACACGAAAGGAGTGAGAATGATACTGAGGATGAGGAGAAATCAATACTGAACGCTAAGAAAGCTACTCCCTCGTCCTTGGATGTGTGTATACATCGGCCACAAATCAGCAAGAGACCTCGCGTTATATATTCCTCAAAGAACCTTCAGATCTATCGACAGACTTTCGCATCTCTTGACGAAATTGCCGACCTACCTGGCAAGTTTAGATATGAAACAGAGAGCAATCCTTCGAATTACGCTCAGAAATACAAGCGAGATACGTCAAACCCTATCCTGCATGTTGCGTTTAGCGAGGAGGAAATCGAAGCTATGATTTGTCTTCTTGGCTGTGATTCACCTGATACGATCTCATCTGAAATGAGTTTGGCCGATCAAGTAATCCACGTTGTTAGATCAATGCCAAAGTCTCGTGTTGGGGGACGATTCATTGCTCAAATCAAGCGAATGGTGAGGCTCGGGAAACTTCTTGCCAAAAATGGCTTCGATACTCTTGCTGCTTATCACCAGTCGCTCGAGTCTGTGAATCGACAAATGAGGGGCTTAATTGAATCCTTGTTGAACCAGATTTTTACTGGTGCAAGTGCAAGCTTGGATTCTACAAAATGTCTTACAATGGCTTTGAGGCTTCAAAGACGCCGAAAAGCTGATATATCTGCCTTCATCAAGGATGCAATGCTAGGATGTTTACCGGCAAGACCTTATTACGTGAAGGCAACGAGCAACTCTTCCTTGGTGCAGAACCGCCACCAAGCATGTCGATTTTCTACTCGACTTCAAGAGAATTCACACTCAAGCTATAAATTACGAAGGGGTCATTTCTGGAAAGGTGCCTCCAACGATGTGATCAACCTTGCCTGGTCTCCTGATGGCACTAAATTCGCAGTTGGTGCTGCAGCGCAGTGTGACGAACATAACATGCAATACAACCGTTGTAACAATCTGCTACTTGGTGACGTGATGCGTAACTCGATTCGAGAATTACCAGCTCATCGGGTACCTTATCCTGTTGCGAATGCGCTTAATACGCATCTATATATGAGCGTTAGTGCTGTGCACTGGTTCCAAGATGCCTTATATACAGCCAGCTACGACAAGACTGTCAAAGTTTGGGATGTCTCCTCATATACGAATGCGATTTGTACAAGAACATTACATCATGATCACAAGGTTCAAGTCATGGCGAGGCAACATAATTCTAATATTTTAGCTACAGCAACAGATGTCTCAGTGCATCTATGGCATATGGATGCCTTGGGCGAAACTTCTCAATGTCTTGATTTCTCAAATCAACGTTCTATTAAACACCCTCGTATGATTCGGAACGTCGATTTGTTACCTTCGAGTTTAGCATGGGGCTCTTCACCAAGAACGAGTAATCTGTTGGTTGCGGGTTTTTCTGGCAAAGAAAGCTGTGAAGGAGATGCATGCCGGGAAGGTTTATTAGCCATGTGGCAACTGACTGAAAGCTCTGTGGTACCTTCTCCTGTCCAGCCTAATGCGCAAAACATTTTTGATGTGAAATTTCACCCTTCAATGCCTTGGTTCGCAACCGGTAGTTCTGTTCCCCCAACAGGGTCTGGAGCGGGTAAAGGTGTGCGATCATTAGTCCGTGTCTACGAACCGTCAGGCATGAAGAGATGTGCAGTCGAATTTAACTGCCCGGCCCTTGATATCAATGATGTTACATTCTGTCCAATGGACAAATGGCTCATTTCCGCCAGCTGCACAGATGGTGTCACATATGTGTGGGATAGTCGAAATCCAGAGCAAATCTTACACAGACTAGCTCATGGGGAAGCATTGAATCAGCTTGATGAGCAGCTTACCAGAGAACAAGCAGACGTTGGAGTGCGAGTGGCCCTCTGGGGAAACAGTGTTGACAATTTCATGACCGGTGGATCTGACGGCGCTCTCAAGTCATGGAATGTTTTGAGGGCACCAGAAAACGTCTTTATTGAAGACATTGCTGTAATTGAAGATGAAATCATGTCAGGAGCGTTCTCCCCGGACAAATCATCGTTGCTTGTTGGAGATGCCGCAGGCGGTGTTCACATATTCTCCCCAGGCGCGGATGCTGTGGAAGAGTTGAATTACGATTACAGTCACGAAGACAAAGAGTCGCCAGCGCTGTCTCTAGATTCCGGAAAGTCAATAGGACGACAGCTTTTATCGAGCAGACAACTTATCCAGCATTCTACGTATGGCGTATGTAAAGGACCTGCTTATAATGGGCCGTACGCTGCATGGGCTAGGCCGGACGGCACACCTAGAGAATTACTACCAATTACGCCGCTTCTACCTGAATTTGAACATCAGCAACTAGACGGGCCAGTCACGGCGTCTGATTCACACGGGATGGATGAATTATCGAGAACTATACTCGAGATGCAGAGAACAGTGGCCCAGATTCGCAATAAGGTTTCTAACAAACGGAGGCGAAGTCAAGAAAGCCAGCAGAGGGCCGCTCCAAAGGTCACTATCGACCTGTGCAGTGACGGGGAAAGGATGGTATCGAAACCAATCTGGATCGACCTGACAGCGGATTCGGATGATGATTCTGGCGACAACAACCCATTGAACGAGGATTCCGACTTGGAAGACTATTGGTTTCCAGAAAGCCACGCTATTGATGCTAATATCAGATATTCCAGTGTATAATCACCCGATTCCAAATAGCAACCATGCTTGCACACGTGCAGCTGAACGCACGTGAAGATTTCGAGGGATGTCATGCGATTTGCTTAATTGTAATATAGGGAGCAGCAGCCTGATAGACGCAGATAGCAGTGAAGAGCATTCTCCTAATTCGGACTTGACATTATTTGTTAGGCGCGAGCTGTATACTTAGTCAAGAATAATATGGCGGGAGCGTGGCTGTGCTGCTAAGGATTGGCTTCTAGAACTGTCTCCGTGCATAATAATATATCCTGCGGAATAATAATACACGAGGAACCGTGACATAATTAGCTCCCGAGGGATTTAAGTCGCCAAGAATACACCGCCACGGTCGCCTATATTTCGCGGCTGCCTCAACGGTCGACCGCTGTCATCTTCTTCCTTTATAAAGAGTTACTGTCGGCGAACTCTTTCTACTCTTTAATATCCAGGAATATCAGCTCTTTCGTAGCCTTTCTGTCGCATCTCCACCATCCTCACAGAAACCAGTTTATTCAATTGAATCCAGGGCGTTCAATCGTCCATACACCGATGTCCTTCGCCCCGCCTCCAGGTCCCCCGCCTCCGCCAGTTCCGCCAGGTTGGAAGGCTCAGTTTGACGATCGATACAAACAATGGTAAGCACCTTTTGATTATAGGTATCGAATCTCACTGTCTAACGCAACCTAGGTACTTCGTCAATCTGAAGACTGGTGTTTCTCAATGGACAGTTCCCGAGGAACCAGGTGACGCACCAGCAGATGCGCCGCCTTCATACCATGATTCAGGCCCAGCTAACCCCGCTGTTGCTGCTGCTGCAGGCGACGATAAGTCGCGCCTGGCCTCCAACAACCCTTACAATCACCCGAGAGGCAGCAACATCGACGATGACGCCAAGCTAGCTGCTCAGCTACAAGCCGAAGAAGACGCCCGCGCCAATCGCAACAACGGCGGAACTTCGCGTGGCGAAAATGTAGACTATTACAATTCACAGCCCTCCCCTTCGCCAGGATCGCCACAGGCACATGTGTCTGGCGGATCTCAGACTAACGCGCCACCCGCTGACCAACGACAGCGTGGTCTTTTAGGGAAAATCTTCGGAAAGTCGAACGATCGGCCTGGTGGTCAGCAACCTGGATATGGGTATCAGCAGAATCAGCAGCAGTATCCGCCGCAACAAGGGTATGGATATGGCGGTCCTCCTCAACCGCAGTACGGCGGCTATCCCCCGCAAGGTGGCTATTATCCACCCAACCCTGGATATGGGGGTGGTTACGGCTATCCTCCTCAGCAGCAGCCCGTAATTATTCAGCAACAGCCTGCCAGGAGCAGTGGAGGAGGATTGGGTACAATGGGTGGTGCTGCGTTAGGTCTGGGAGGTGGCCTTCTCGCTGGCGCCTTGATTACAGATGCAGTTGAGGACCATGACCAAAATGAGTATGATCAAGGGTATGATCAAGGGTATGATGATGGCGGTGGTGACTTTTAGTTTTTCTTCGTGCTTCTTGCTTTTGATATACTCCCCAGTTACTACTATTTTTAAGCCCTTCCTTTCTCACTTCTGTGGTTGTTGCTGCAAGCGCAACTTAGTTTGTTTTCTGCTTTCTAGTGTTTGATCGCTTTCAGCATGATGCATAAAATTACGCGTTACGAGTGAAAGAAGCTACGACTTTACTGTTCCTCTTACACCGATTAAACATGGTCCCGTCTTCGAGTGATACCCTCGATGCTCTTCATTCTATATGAACTCTCTTTAACTAAACGTTGTCTTTACTAAATAAAGCAACATGCTCCACGAGACATTGTCGCCAGATAGCTCTAACCAACACACAAACATCCCTACCCCCTTCTCCTTGTCCCTGCTTCCCCCTCTCGGCCTGTTGCTTGCCCTCTGCTGGGATTAGAATTACCTTGAGACTGTTCAGTACTGCTCGATAGCGGGCTAGTCGAGGCCCCAGCCATCCAGCTAGCAATATCAAACCCCTGCGGCGCCGCAGAACCACCCGCAGCAGCTCGACTAGCCGAAGAGAGCGGGCCGGAACGTGACTGTTTCTCAAATTCTTCTCGCATTTCAGGATCCACTAGAAACCCATTAGTATTACGGTACAGCAAAAAACCGGATCCTCTGGAGAGAGAGAGGTGGGGGAGACGTACTGTTCTCAAGTAGTTTCGGTATACCGACTGTTGCTGCGAGAGCAAATAGTGCCAATAGAATCATAGGATTCTGGAACAAACTCATCGGCGAGACTGGTTTTGAAATTAGGCATTGGCGATTTTTATTTTTCTTGATAAAACTCACACTTTGGCCTCTCCTCATAAAACTGTCTCCTCCCCAACACCCTCGCATCAACAGTCACATTATCATCCCCACCCTTCGCAGCCCCAGCCTGCTGCGCAACGTATTTTTCCGCACCTCGGTTCTCCCATTGATTCCCTCGGAATGTCTCCCAAATACCAGTGATCGCGCCATCGCTGGAGACGTCGACGCGGTACGGAGCAAAGATGTAATCTCGGGATCGGATGTCGAGCAAATACGACTCTTTGGACGATGAGGGTGGGAGATCTGCGAAAACGAACTCGGCGGAGCGAGTTAGGGGAGCGGTGAGTATCTGCTGCTGCTGCTCGGTTTGAGAGGAAGAGAGGGTGGTGAGAGTTGCGTGGGTGTTTGGTGAGAGCGAGTGAGGGTTGGGGAGGACATTGCTGGGTGGTATTTGGACGATGAGAGATGCAGCAGCTGCTGTTGAGTAGATGCAGCTGCCTGCGGATAGCAGGGTCAGCAAGTGCAGGAGTGCAGTCATTGTGAGATGCTTGCTGTGCGGGAGTTGGCGGTTCTGGAGGAAATTAAATGACAACGGAGGTTGACGCATTTTAGCTATCGGTGCCAAGCGTGCCTCCGCTATGTTACTAGTTATGAATTTACCCACTGCGAATTATTATGGGCCGTATACTTGATTATGTATTCGCGCTCGAATATCAACTATCATGATTGTAAATTCATTTAGATTTATCACAAGTATCGCTCTTACTATACAAAAGATACTAAACGTTGAATGTTGAGCTACGCGGACCTGAATACTAGTACTACATGTAAGGTCCAGCTACCTCGACCACTTTTAAATTTTATGAGAATGATACGCTGGTCACTATGTAAGTAAATACTGTACATCCAGATCTCCACAATATGTACAAACCATGTCAAAAAACCTGCTTCGGGCAGATTTAGAAGTGCGACATAAAACTGGAGATCAGAATAAATGGAACTCAAATGTTCGCAATAAAGAATTCTAGAGTTTAGCCTTCGGCGCATCGCTTTCTTCCGCAAGTTGGCTGTACAGGTTGTCCAACAGAGTGCGGAACTTCTTAGTGACAATGGGGCGCTTCAATTTCAGCCTATACATGTGTCAGCAAGCTTACTCTTTCTATTTCAAAGCATATAGTTAACCGAGGAGCTTACGTTGGTGTGAGAGTCTCGTTCTCAATTGAAAAGGGCTCAAGCATCAGTGCGGCGTTCTGGACTCTTTCATATCCAGCAAGCTTGTGTTTCTTCGCGGTACGTTGGAAGTCCCTAAGGACAGACTTGCGTATTCTATCATCTGACAGAACTGACTTGATCTGCTCGATGTTGTTGGGGTCAATGTTCTGGCGCAAGATCTTGCTGGCATAGGGAGCAAAAACATCGGGCTGAACACCGAAGATTCCGATCAAACAAGTCTGGAGGCTGTCTCCATGGACATAGGCTTGAGCAAGATAGGTATGCTCAGCCGTCAGAATACCCTCCAAGCGTTCTGGAGAGATATATTCACCCTGAGCCAACTTGAGGACATTCTTCCGGCGATCAATGATCTTGAAGCGACCGAGCTCGTCAATCATGCAAACATCACCAGTGCGGAACCATCCGTCCTCGGTGAATGCAGATGCAGTTTCTTCCGGGTTCTTGAAGTACTCCTTAAAAACGTTGTTTCCACGAAGCAAAAGCTCTCCACGAGGGTAAGGCTTGTCGTCAACGAAGTATTCCATATCAGGGAGAGATACAAGACATGCCTCAATGGCCGGCACGACACCACCACAGTTGCTCACGGAGCGATCCTCGGGATTTTGAGTAACACCCTGAGCATACGTTTCGGTCAAACCATATCCCTGGACAAAGTTTGCGGAAGTAGCAACTCGCAAAAAGTTGTGCACCGTTGGATCCAAAGGTGCCGATCCAGAGGCCATAAGCCTCGCGCGATCTAGTCCCAATGCGCTAGCGACCTTCTTGGTCCAGATACGATCATAGATGATATGTTTTTCAGTTGCCGTGCTGGGATCGGCGGGATTGAGATTAGCAAGCTTAGTGTTGACCACATGTCGCGACAAGGTTCCCTTGAAACCGGGAGCGTCCACTGTTGCAGTGCTTACAGCGCCGGCAAAGCGTGTAAAAAGACGAGGCACCGATACAAAGGCGTTGGGTCGCAAAAGCTTCAAATCATCAACTAATTCAAGAATATCGCCGTGGAAGTATCCAATAGCTCCACCAGACCAGAGACTTCCTTGTTCAATGAGACGCTCATAAATGTGCGCCAATGGAAGATAGGACGCTATAACATCGCCAGCTTTTGCATTGGTGAGAGACAAGCTGCAAGATACACCGGCAATGGCATTCTTGTGGGACAAAACAACACCCTTGGGAGGGCCGGTTGTTCCCGAAGTGTAGTTGATGGTCACGATGTCCTCGGGAGATGGGGGATTGTAAGGTCGGTTGAGGGATTCGCCGAGCTTCTCAACTTCGTCAATGGTGTAGATTGACAGGTCCAGACCAGCAGCCATGTCCTCCAAAAGAGAACGTTTTGAGAAACCAGGTTGCTCTCCAGCATCAATAGGATCCAAGCAGATGATGAACTTGAGCCCAGGCAAATTAGGCTTCAGCTTGATGAGCGTAGGTACATGGGGAAGTGAGGTGACAACACAGCTCAGTTCAGCATGATTGACGATGTATTGGGTGGTTTCGGGGCCGAGAACGTCATAGATAGAGACCGAGAAAAGAGCCTGCGACGTGCATGCCAGATCTATTGCAAAATTAAACACGTTTCTTCGGTTGTATGTCCGCACGTACCTGTGATCTGCCACTCCGGTCTGTTTTGGCACCAAAGTCCCACGCCGTAATTTTTTCCACCACGTCCATGTTTATTGTGTAGTTCCACGATACCGACACCAAGGTTGGCTCGGCGTTTCTGGACGGTCTGGTAATCGAGCCATTGGTACGCACCAAATGTCTTTGTCACTGAGTTGTACGAGCGGGAACCGAGACAGCGGCCCTTGGGGTTTCGGTTGGCTAATAATGCATCTCAAGTTAGGCCTGTATCTTCCAAGGGAACTCAAGCTATGTATATATATACCGGCTGACTCGAACATATCATGCACCGTCCGGACCTGTCCCAAGTGCAATTCGTCAGTGCGGCGTCAATTAGTCGTCCATGGGAATGGGTGGTTACCTTAGGGTCGAGAGACACGAGCAACTCCTTGTGAGAATTCCATGCTCGATAGACCTTACTGCGGCCGGGTTTCTCGGATCCGGGCAGGGCGACAGAGTACGGCTTGCCCTTGGGAGGCGGCGTGCGCAGCTCCTCTGCCTTGGCGGCATAGGCGGGTTGTTGCGAGAAAAGCATATTGAATTTGCAAATGCACTTTCAAACAAAACCTAGATGCGACCAGCTGGTCAGTAGGAAATGCGAGGGTGTCTTCACAAAGGACAGCTCACTATGCAAGTAGCAGGAGACAACAGGAGAAAGCAACCCAGCCGTAGAGAGCTGTCCGCAAACAGAACAAGGGATGCGAGAAGGAAGAACAAGAGCAAACTGCGGATAGGAGCAGGAGCAGGAGCAGGAGCAGGAGTAGGGGTAAGAATAGGAATAGGAATATTTAGGACACCCCGGACGAGAACGGCAGATTGGCCTGGAGAAGGGACAAGCATGTGCTTTCGCATCTTCAAAAAGCTGGCGGGCCAGGCAGGCGGGCTGGTGGGGAAGCACTGGCCAGTAGCCGCGAAGCAAGGGTTACCACCCGCAAACTGCCTCGGCTGTTGCCCAGCACGGCCTAGCGCTCTCCACGGGGCAGCTCATATAATAAGCATAATACCATGTATAATAATAATAATGCGTCGGCATAAGCTGGCGCATGTGATGGGGTTGCGAGAGACGAGACCCGAGAGATGCGGGGATGCCTATACGAGAGATGTATGCGATAATTATATGTTGTATTCGAGCAATTACTAAGATATAAAATACATGCCAGAGCCAGCCAATCACGCCCGTCGGCGAAATGTCTCTTCAAAGAAATAGCCTCTGCCAGAGGGAAGTCGGCTCGTCCGTCTCCCAGCTCTCGTTTTCAAGCTCAACACGCCCCGTGTCGAGATCTGCGTCAATCGGGCGCACGAACTTGGTGCGGAAGACCAGTTTGTGTCCTATGTATAGCACGGCGAACAGAATCAGACTGATGTAGGCGACGAAGAAGCTCGAGACGTCGAAGCTGGGAATCCATGCCGTGAATCCCTGCGTGAAGATGATGAAGACGTTCCAGAACAGCCCGTACCAGGCAAACCAGGGTTGCCACATGGCTTTGTACGGCAGCAGGTCCCGAGAGATGTCGCGCGCCTTCAGGGCCCGCATGAACGCAATGTGGCAGCCGTTCAATGTCGCCCAGCTGATGAAGCCGGCAACACTGGAGATGTTCATGAACCAGTTGAACACGGTGCCACCGTTGTTGGACAGGTTCATAAATGCCAAAAGACCGATGGCAGACGTCAGGGCGACACCGTAGTACGGCACACCGCCTTGGGATGTGGTCTTGAAGATTCTGGGCGCAAGGCTTTCCTGGGCTAGGCCGATGAGAATACGGCTTCCACTGTAGACGTTGGAGTTCGCAGCGGAGAGCACCACGGTCAACAAGACCGCGTTGATGATCGAGGGTAGAACCTTGACTCCAGCGAGATTGGCGGCGATAACAAAAGGTGAAGCCGATGCATCGGTGTTACCGGACAGGAGATTTTCGTTGGTGTATGGAACCAGCAGGCCAATGAAGAAGACAGTCATGACGAAGAAGAACAAGATACGGTAGAAAGTCTTGCGAATAGCCGACGGCACCGTCTTGCGGGGATTCTCAGTCTCGCCAGCAGCGACACCAACCAACTCTGTACCCTGATACGAGAATCCGGCCTGGATGAGCACTGCCCAGAAACCAACAAACTTGGCCTTTGGGCCTGTAACTCCAATGTCGGCCAGGTCTGGATATGCGGCAAACGCACCAGGGTTACCCCATGTGTGGAAACCGAGATATGGCCTGTGCCCCGCACCAGCATCGATACAGATGGCAAAGATCATAAATCCTACGATCGTGACGATCTTGACTGTCGAAAGCCAGAACTCAAGCTCGCCATAAAAGTTGACTGGAAGCAAGTTCAAGGCAGTAATAACAACCCAGAAAATGGCAATGAAAATGGCAATCGAAAGTGAACTATCCCAGTACTGAATGATCAAACCCGTCGCCGTGAGTTCCAGTGCGTACGTGATTGCCCAGGAAAACCAGTAGATCCAACCCATGGCGAAACCCAAACTAGGGTCAACGAACCGTGAAGCATAAGATGTGAAAGCACCGGCAATAGGAATGTAGGTCGCCATTTCTCCGAGGGAGGTCATAACTGAGTAAACAATTGTTCCAACAAAGATATAAGCAATGAGCGCTCCAGCGGGTCCAGACTTTGCGAGTGCGCTACCGCTACCGATGAAGAGACCAGTTCCGATGGTACCACCTGGACGATGTCAACATGTTAACTTATAAAAAAGCAGGTGCAGAACTCACCTATGGCGATCATCTGCAAGTGCCTACTCTTCAGCTTGCGCTTAAGATCGGGCAAAGGCAGAGACTGGGGCGTTGCGCCATGTTTCTCGACATCAGCCATACCGGCTGAGTGGTCGCTGAAACGCTGGGGATGAGAGCCCGAAATGGACTCATTAGCAAACTTTTCGTTCTCATTGGGATGTTTTCCACCGGTGGCAGAGATGTCGACTTGGTAAGCCATCGCCAGCCACGCTTCTCAACCCCGCTGCGGTCGTGCTCGTGAAACGGAGGGAAAACGAGGGTGAAGAAGGAAAAAGAAAATGAGTGACAAGTCTATGGTGGGTAGACTTGAAAAACGCTTCCTGAGCAGTATACTGTATGCTAGACTCTACGCCGTGTTAGCAAGCGGGCTGAGGGATCCTCGAGATCTGGCAGTCTGGAGGAAGACACGCGACAGTGGACAGAGATCGATAATAAACGAGGAGTCAGGGCTCCAGTAACATTGCCTCGCCGTTGCCCGCCTGTTATGTTCCATGCACTAGTCTCGTAACTGGTCGCACTGGGTAGGATGGCAAAGCGCAGGTGGAGCCGATCCGGGATTCTTGCATGCGTCGCGTTACTTTCCGTCTGACCTTCCTCAACGGATATAGTCGGCTCTCGCTCTCCTCGACATTGTCATGCCATTTCTTTATTCATGTTCTCGTTGAAGCAGGGGTTGCACAGCGCAGAGCCAGTGTGAATCAATGAATCAACAAATGCAATTGCATTGTTGGAGATGCACAGTCAAAGGAGCGACAGATCGGCGAGGCAGGGTTGCTTTCAGAGTTCACGGAGGACAAACTTATCGGCTCCTTTGACAGGCCCCAATCAGATCAGACGTCGAGATAAGCAGAGAGGCGAATCAGGGTCGAGAAGCAGCAAGCTGAGAGGAGAAGCCAGCTCAAAGGCTGATCAGGACAGAAAAAATCGGCGGGCAGTGGGTCGGGATCCTACCCTACTCGCCGACTCGCAGGAGCAGCGCGCAGGGGCAAATCAGTGGCGCTGCGGCGGCTTTGGCCTTCCGCTTCAAGAAGGCTTCCAGAACAACGATTCTTATCAAATCAGGTGCCAGAGTATGTAATCTCCCTACAGTACAGTACAGAGTGACAAGTCGGCGACTTCGATTCTGTTTTGAAGAGGACTTTGTAGTTTGTGCAATGTATTACTATAGCTCAATGATAATGTTAAAATAATAAATAATATAATAATATAATAATCTTTCGCCGGAGCCCGCGCTGTCAGTCGACTATCGCTAGCAGATTTCTGACCTTGACTGGCAGATTCCGTATTACTGTTCTCATTATCCAATATCTGACCGGTCTCGGCATGCCGCCCGCCATGATTGAAATTCGTGAATCCAGCCCATATGGCAGAAATTGGACAATGTTAATGTCAGACGCTATATTCAATTAGGTAAAATAACATACAACCCTCGTTTCTCATAAAGCATAAATCATACTTCAACCAGGTTAAGCGCCAGAAAGGTAACAACTCATTAGGAACACTCGTCAGGGCCCAAATATTAACTATTCCAAGCTCAAACCTCACTAGGACCGTTTCTTCGCGCGGCTTTCCATACAATGTCGTGCGTGATTATACCCCAGCATGAGGCTCGACACCCGATGTCTTTGCATGCACGGTGGAATCATTTCTTGACTGCAGCGCGAGACGGACGGTGAAAGCAGTGGTGACGGCAAACAATACCCTGCAATATAAAAATTAGCGACCGCATCTTTCCCATTGTTTACACAGCGCAATTCAACCCACCATTCAAACGACGCAAACACGGTCGCGGCCTGCAACGAGCTGCACGGACCAGAGTGGCATGCGCGAGGCGGAGGCAGCAATGCGCCTAGGGCAATGAACCCGGCAAACCAGAAGATCATGGTCACGATCTCGACGGCAAGCACGGCGTAGACATGAGACAGGTTGGAGAAGAAGACGGGCACGAGGGACAGGTACGGCAACGCGATTACTAGCGTCCAGATGGAGTTGAACAGATCGAAATTGACAGTGCCGGACGAGTACCAGTACCAGCTCAGCTCGACGTTGACGACTGTGCAAATCAGTCAGTATCATACTATCGTTGCATAGACGTGGGTGGGCCGTGTACCGTATGCGGTCAGACCTAGGATGATAATGGCAAAGACTGCCTGCACGATGCGCACAGGCAGAACCCAGTTCAAGTGATGCAGGCTATGGTTCGACATGGTGTGGTGGCTCCCTCAGTAGTTAAATCTTATGCAGAGATAGGATGCAGCAGTCTGAATAGCGGTGTTTGGAGGAAAGAAGGTAAAACGATGGTCTTTTCAGAAGTCCGTCTGATTTATTAATTTATTTATTTATTTATTTATTCATTTCTGGCAGGCGCGATGACGTGCATGTCGAAAGTGGCTGCCTCAACCCCACACTGCATCATCTGCTCGTATTTTATTAATATTACTATCACTATTGTTATTATTATTAGTATTATTGATACTACCATTCTATTAAGGTTTCATCCTCTCTTGGCGTATCGTCAAACGCCGTATGTGTGAGACCTGTAAGAAGACAAAGACGAGTACCCAACACCATGGACTGCATTAACGACTGCAACGTACAGTACTACTATATACACATGTGTGATAATATTATAGTATGATTATGCTGGACGGGACGTCAACTCTAGATTATTTCGAACTTGTTTAGAACCGAACGTGGCGCCCAACGGCTGAGGCTATGACGCCAGCCCGCATCTAAAGGCCCAATCACGGGCGGGGAAATTCATTTTACAATATTGATGACTGTAGATGCTGCTTTCCCATGTAGTGTATGATTCAAACTGTCAATTGGATATTGGATATAGGATATAGGATACAGTACTCCATCTGCCGCTGCCACCCTGAGGGTAACGTGTAATGTGTAATGTGTAATGGCATAAACATCAAATCAACTATTAATATATCAAAAAAAGACCATTACACAGACCCAGCTGCTCCAGTCTCATGTTCTGCTGCAGCACCTCCCTGAGCCCGGTCCGGCAGAGCAGCCTTGTCTGCACCCGCAGCACTGGCGTTCTTAAAGGACTGGTCAAAGTCCGCAATGATATCGTCGATGTGCTCAGTGCCAACGGAGATACGGATCCCGTCCTCGGTCACGCCAGAGGCAATTCGCTCTTCCTCGGATAACTGCTCGTGGGTGGTTGACCAGGGGTGGATTGCGAGTGTTTTCGAGTCGCCGACGCTATCGATGTGTCAGTATATCACTGTAAAACAAACGTGTCTGGTTTGACCTACTTGGCAAGGTTGGAAATCAATTTGAAGCCGTCCACGACTTGGCTGCCAGCTGCAGCACCGCCCTTCACGCCAAACGACAAAACACCGCCGAAGCCTCGGGGCAGGTAACGCTTCGCGAGTTCATGGCTTGCGTGACTCTCCAATCCGGGGTAAGACACCCATGTGACGTTCTCGTTCTTCTCCAGCCAGCGCGCGAGAGTAATCGCGTTGCTGGCATGTCGCTCGGCACGCAAGCTCAAGGTCTCAAGGCCAAGCAGAAGCTGCTGCGCGGCAAAGGGGTTGAGGGTAGATCCAAGATCGCGGAGGATCTCTACTCGAACGCGAATCGCGAATGTGATCGGTCCGAATGTGTCCCAGAATTTCAGTCCATGGTAGCCCTCGGCAGGTTCATTGAATTGCGGGAATCGTGCTGCATGCTTGCCCCAGTCAAACTTTCCGCTGTCGACCACTACACCGCCGATAGTTGTGCCGTGTCCTCCAATCCATTTGGTGGCGCTGTGGACAACAATATCCGCGCCGTGATCGATGGGGCGAGCAAAGTAGCCTCCGGCACCAAAGGTGTTATCGACCTGTTAAATTCATGAGTGACATGGTGGAAGATAGTTTGAGGATACGCACAACTAGAGGAACACCCTTTTCATGAGCGACCTTGGCAATAGCTTCAAAGTCAGGAACATTGTATCGAGGATTGCCAATAGTCTCCACATAAACTGCCTTGGTGTGGTCATCGATCAGAGCAGCAATATCCTCAGCCTTGTCACCCTGCACGAATTTCGTCGTGATTCCAAGTCTAGGGAGAAACACTTTCAATTGGTTGTAGGTGCCACCGTACAGATTGCTGGTCGCAATAATGTTGTCGCCGGCATGAGCAAGAGCGGAGATGGCCAGGAACTGAGCTGCCTGCCCGGACGAAGCTGCAACAGCGGCGACACCTCCCTCGAGAGCAGCAATTCGCTTTTCGAATACATCGACCGTGGGCTAATTGAGTACGCTTGATTAGTCGTCTACCCCACGTAATGAATTCACACGCACTTACGTTCATAATTCGGGAGTAGATGTTGCCAAACTCCTTGAGACCAAACAGTCTCGCTCCATGGGCGGAGTCATTGAAAACGAAGGACTATTTATAAGTCAAAGATCAGTTAGTTGACATTTCCTCAAGCCGGGAAGAGCTAGGTTTTCTCAATGCCGGTCTGGGGGTAGACGAACAGTGGTGGCATAGATAGGTACAGCACGAGCGTTGGTCGCTGGATCAGGTTCCTGGCTGTATGATTCTCTATGAGTAGCTGTACAAAGTATGAGAAATGTCACGACAGAATAAACTCACCCAGCATGAAGCTGCAGTGTCTCAAAGTGCTGTTCCGCCATGATTGCTGTCTTGAAGTCTGGTGGGATGCTGAGGTGAAATGCGGGGAAATATAAAATATGGAGCAGAGATGGAAGTCACAATACTCAACTACCAAAACAGCAGCACAGGAATAAAATGGTACACAGGGGGAAATAAACTATATTCATGGGTGAGCTATAGACAACAATTATATACTCCCCTCTCCAAAGCCCGAGCGATTGCGACACCCTCGAAGCCAGCCAGTGCCCCTCTTCCGATGTTTGGATTGCGGGAACATGGACACGATGGCGTGATTCCTTCCCCTCACATGTTGAACCTTTTAGATTTGAGTTTGGTCCAGCTAGTCCAGCCTCAACAGCAGTTTCATACTTTGGTGCCAGAATAGAAGCCACGAGTAGCATGCTTGATGCGATCTAGCCGATGTTCGGCTATGCAGTAGTATACAATTATGTGGACGAACTACTGCAACCCCCCAAAGAATACTAATTGAGAAAACAAATAAAAATTATTAAGGATACGGGACCCACGCTCTAGAAATGCAGCTCAGCTCAACGGTGCATTATTTGACGTCTTCCCATCAGCAGATTTCAGCATCCAAAACATGTTTACTTGCAGTCTCCCAAAATTAGGGCCCTGCACCGGCTTTTCTTCCCCTCAGATATGCTTTAGTTTGATTGATTGATATATTGTCAGATGACTCTTTATTTGTGCCATAATGTTGACTTTGTGACGCCACTCTGGATCTTATTAGCTGTTTGACTTTCCTTTTCTTTGGTTTAAAGTACATAAATTCTCATGTGAATAAAAATCTACGGGCATTATCGAGTCTACACATACACTTCAAATGTTGAGAATACGATAGAGCCATGTTTCAAACTAGTATGTGATTCTTGAATTCATAATGATTGATAGCATAATAAAAACAAACTTCCAATGCAAACAACCCAACACATCAACGGTGCTGATTGCCCTAACCCTGCTTTTCAGAATAATCAAACCCATGGCGAAGTGACTTTACACGGGGTCCACTAAACGCCGAGCCCAAAATTAGATAAAATATCGGGGTTGAAAACATATAAAAACAAATGCGAGTGCTAAAAAGTGCGAGTACATTCGACACCAAGTGCTCGGCTCGATTTTAGACTCTAGCATGAACTGAAAGATTATTGAAGTACAGGTGAATTGCTCAACAGAACCCCGCTCAGCCTTGGCCAGGAGGTGGTGGTTGGGGAGGCGCTGAGCCCGGCTGCGTGCCGCTCAGCATGAACCCAGGAGGGAACATGGGCATACCAGCAAGTTGGAATCCAAACCCGGGAACGGCTGGTGGTACTGCAGGGTTATTGATGTTAGAGGTTTCACGCTCGCCGCCGTACATGCCAGCGCCGTTATGCATCTCCATACCGCGCTCTGGGCGACGGAATCTGTCAGTCTGAGTACGTGATGACTGCGGACCGCGTTTGCCGCCGGAGTCAGTCGCCATGCGCCTACTAATGGCTGTAAAGAGATAGAATAGTTAGTAACGATAATTGTAAGAGGAAAGGGATTTGTATCAACTAACCTTTGGATGAAACACCAGCTCCTATTTCGATATCAGGCTCCTCTACAACCATGCCGTTCTCGATTGGTTTTCCACCAGTGCCACCGTACTCCGCAGTTAGCATCCATTTACGATCGGCTTCGGTCAATCGCTCAATGGGAATGATGCTAATTCCGGTTTGGTAATCACTGCAGTCACGAGGTCCAAATCCAACGCCCCAACGGGTCTACATTATGTTAGCTGACTGCAATTCAAATTCGAATCAGTAGATAGATAGTAAATCTTACCCGGAGTTGCATGTCGCCAGACTTGTAAGTTTCCATTCCTTCTCTAGCAAGCATTGCATCTCTACGATTGATCATCTTGATGAATGCATGGCGCTTGTCGACATTAACGATACATGTCTGTACGATCCCAAACTTGCTGAACAAGGCCCGTAGGTGAGCCTCAGGAGAGCTGTTGTCGATGTTAGTGTTACTGTCAAATTTCCCAGACGACAAAACTTACGTGACACCACCAACAAAAAGAGTTCGACTCAAGACCTTGATATTGCCCTGACCAATCGAATAGTCCCACTCAACCAGCTTAGGTCCTGGTGGAGGCAACGAAGACTCCTGGTGAGGGGGCGTTGGGGTACGTCGTCGTCTGCCAGGAGGACTGCGTTGCCGATAATCGTTGCCACGTCTACCCCGAGCATCACCCCGACGACCAGGAGAATCTCCATGATATTCACCATACACAGGGCTGTCACGACGGCGTGGGGGTGAAGCCTCGCGACGGCGGTCCCAACCAGGAGAACGTGAGCGTCGGCGATATTGGCCTAATGGTGACCGCATGTAATCTCTATCTCGTTCGCGGTCTCTATCCACATCACGTGAACCAACATCAGGCCATCCCTGTTGTGCCGTAGCGTCTGGAAGATTAAACCCGGCGGATTGAAGCGAGTTCATTTGGGACATTCCCGTATTAGCATTGTTGGACAAACTGAGAATCTGTAAAGCTGTGCCCCATTGATCCTGAGGAATACCTTGTGCTGCGAGTAGTTGTAGTAGCTGAACTTGTTGGAAGACGTCAGGTGCTACTGCTGGCGACTGCTGGGCTCCTGCGGCAGCTTGTGGGAGTACTGCAGCCAAAGGGTTTGGCTGAGCGCCTGGCAACGTATTGGATACTGCTGCCATTGGGTTTCCATTGAGATTACCAAGTCCTGCAAATGCAGCACCATACGGATTTACATTCTGTCCGGTTGTTGATAGAGTACTCTGGTCTACAGACGAGGACACAGGAAGGCTGGGGGTAGCATTTTGTGCAGTCAATGCTGCCAAAGGATTTGATTGGGCAGGAATTCCTTGTGCTGGAGGAGCTGCCGGATTTTGTTTTGCCATATCGGCTAGAGCTTTTAAAATGCTGTGAGTATCAGGCGCACCAGCAGATGAATTCTGGGCTTGGCCTTGCAATCCCGCAAGGGGATTAATCCCGGGAGCTGGTGAGCCCTCAGGAGTAGTGGATACAATATCTATATGGTGAAATTAGAATAAGCCCTTTGAAATGGAATAGGACAATACGAATGTTGGTTTTGCGAATTGCCATACTAGTGCAAATGCAAACCACATATAAAACCGGGAGATATTGGCTTACTTTTAGATGGTGAAGCGTTCAACTTCGCTTTGAAGCTGGCGAGCATAGATGCGGGGAACGTCTGTCCACGCTCCCAAATGTCCACTAGTTTCTTGATTTTTTCCTATAATCATGAGAAAAACGATACGTAAGTTCATCTATCCAATATGCGAAAGAGTAGCAAGTTTAAGCGTCAAAGTCATTAAGATTGGGCACAAGGGGGAAAAGAGAAATACGTAGAACCAAGGATGAATGCATATCCAGGCGTGGGTGCTTAAAATGCATACAGCGACCTAGTCGGTGCAATCTATTTCGGTCCCGGGCCAGTCTAGGATTTTTGCTAATGGCATGGGATTTTCTGCTTTTTCTAGAGCGTACCTTTTGATCTTCAGGAGCACTGTTTAGGATATCAGTCATCAGGACTGGCAAGAGCTCGGTTACTCGGTTGACTCCAGCAGCAAATGTTCCATCAGGAGCAGGACTCCCAGGTGGTTGACCTGCTTTGCGAGCTGCTTCTACCCATTGTCGAGTTACAGAGTCTACGACATATAGGACGCCCAGCTTGTGTGTTCCTGGAGCTCTCTTGAAGTGTGTGAAAATTTTTTGGATCAGAACGGATTCGGACTATTGCGACGGCAGAAGTTAGTTTGTTTTTCTTATATCCTCTAAACCAACCCAATACGACGTACCTGAACATTGGCGGTACAGAGTTGTGAGATGCTTCCAATCTTAGAGCCTGAAACGCCTGGCGGCTTTAAACTAAGCATAGACTGAAGGTAGGTATCGAGCTCTGCTACGGCAGAAGACATGGCTGCCAGAATAAACTTGGTCTCAAAGCTAGAGAAGCGACGATCAGATTATTCCAAATGATAATTTCTCTGTTGACTAAAGATCGTTGTATGATGGATGATTCAAAGCCAGGTCTGGGACCCTGTCTACTGGCAGTTCAGACAAGCGTGTCGTAGCAAGTCGAAAAGAAATAAAGAATGAGGAATCAACAAGTGAAGGAGGTTACCCCGCAAGAAGCAGGAACTCTAGGCCTGACCCAGGCGGTCGCGTCACTACAGACTCGCTCGACCGTGCGTTACGCGACGAGAAAAGTCCTCCTACTGCCAGTGAATCTAGAGCCTAGCACGTGTGGCGATATAGAGTATGAGTACGTGTACAGTCTCACTGATACTCGCAGAAAGCCGGACGCATCAGCGAAAACCTACTTACGACGAGGAACTGTGCTGTTTGATGAAAAGAGAAAAGAAGGGGGCGATGGGGGAAGGTGTTTGAAGTGAAGAGAGAGAGAGAGAAAATGGCGGCAGGAGAAGATTCTTGGCTTTCGAAAGGAAGGGTCTTCAGACACTAACCTTAACGGGATATCACGTGATAATTCAAAACACCGTCACCAATATTGAAGTCTCGCCTGGCTTCCCTAGGATGTCCTTGTTGCGAACGTGTCGATCGGGTTTTGTGTGCCCTATTGAATGCTGCCTCTGAAGGACTGAGAAATTGCATACGAAGATCGGAATTGTGACACATGTCTGACCGGCAAGGCTCATGAGAGCTCTTGGTTTTGCCTGCCGTGGGCTGGTAAAAGAATCCCTTTGTTTTCATTTCTTTGCTCAAGATTGTTGAGAAGATGGCATTGTGCGGCAATATGCTTTGGAAGCAACCTATGCATATGAAACTTGGTTTTGGGTAGGGCCAGTCTAATTTGCACAATCCAGAAACAAGCGTTCCTGCTGTCTTCGTTGGCAACTGTAATTGAACTTGCAAATCCACCGACAATGCAAATAATTTGAAGGGGGAAAGCACCACTTTAAAAGAAATGTTTTTCTGAGAGAAGGTCTAGCGAGAATCTAGCACACCGCCAATTTCCCCTCCCCCTCTTCATGCCATGATTGGTAGTTGTGACAAGGCTTAGACAAGGCTGAACCTGGCCAGCGCCAAATGAAATCAAAAGATCCGTAGTAAGGCAGTTCTCGTGCAAGCCTGATAAGTTGCCTTTTGGCATGAGCAACTCACCAAAACATCTTCTCCAGAATAACTGCAGAGATTCTCACCGGGAATATCTCATACCATCTCAACAGCTCTCTACGATGGAGGCTATTGGGAGCATTTCTGCGGTATTAACCTTGGTTTCTGCTACTCTTGATTCGATCAAATTTATCTGTAACGGAGTGAGCAACTTTCAAAATGGCCCTTATATCGTCACCAGTTTGATCGAGGCATTGAATCAGCTTCATAATCTACTCCAAGTCATCAAGCCTACCGTCGAAAAATGTGAGAATCTAATTAGCCCCAAAAATGCCGATTATCGTGACGACTATCCATCCACTTCTGCAAAAATGCTCTACCGATCTGGCAAAGTTCTAGCAGATGACCGGAAAGCTGAACACCAAGGGTGATAGATGGGATAAATTAAAACTGGCGGCTAAAACCCGAATCTACGAGAACAAGTTGAAGGAAATACACGATTCTGTCAATCGATATGTTCAACTCTTTTCGGTTCATCTGAACGTAGCAGGCGTGTAAGATGTACCCTAGATGTGCATTGGATTTCTTAGCTAACGTGGCGCAGTAACATCGAGCTGTTTAACTAAACTAGACTAGATGTGCTCAATAATCAAATTTTAACAGTGTCGCAAAATTTTGAACAATCTTCGAGAGATAATAAGGATCATCTGAATTCTCGGTTCGATGATCTTGTTACCTCAATTCAATCTGGTCTAGAAAATTATGGCAAGAACATATCAAACGGCTTGTTAGCATTAATCAGTACCAACCAACAAAGAGAGGCTGAAGTGGAACAAAAGCACCGGATCTCCGACATCACGAAAAGTTTGGACAATGTTCTTCAAATGCTTAATAGAACAGAAGTCGAATCCCAGTGCCGAATGACACAAGTGAACGACGTGGTGGACAAATTTTGCGATCTATTGAAGCAAAAAGAGAATAGCTTGTCTCAAAACGACAGTTCTTATGCTTCTGAAAACAGTGCAGCTGTGGACAATAACAAACTAGCGGTGGTTCATCTGTGCAGCGAAATATCTATGAAGGGCCAAAACATTTCCAAGAAGGATTTTACAGCAGCTTTGGACGATTTACAAACTCTGATTGGCTACTTCATTTCATCCTTACCTGAAGCCAACCGAAAAGCTCATTGGAATACTTTGCGACAAATACAAGGTCTTCTTCTTGCTTCAGAGGATCTCTTCGTTCATGAGCTCAGTACGTCTCTCGTTGTATTTTAGAGAAACCCCCATTCTAATTAATTTTAGGCTCCTCCACGTCTAGACGAAAAATAGATGGAATTCTTGCATCTTTCGATGAAAACGACGTGGTTAAGAACCCTGCCCAGTATGAGTCACTTGGTAGCGTTTTTCTCCAGCAGCATACTGCGCTCGGATATTATACATTACAAGTACGGAAGAGGCGCTTGGTAAATTTTGACAGAGCACCTCGAGAAGGTTCCCCAATAGATGCTTCCGATTTTAAAATGTCTTTCACCCCCGGGAGGATCACCAAAGAGCCTGTCTCAAGACTCATACTAAGACCAACACAAGTAAAGTTGAAAAATGGAACATTCTCAGTACCACCACAGATGTCTTTCCAGATTATGTTACCCAATTCGGACGAAGTGTTTTTGATTGCTCGGTATGGCAAAGTTGAGGATTTGCGGAAATGGGTTGCCCGAAACTCAAGATCGATTCGAGTATGTGACGAGAATGGGAGTTCATTGTTGCAAGTACTCTCCTTTATGCTCCTTCTATATACTCCATTGAGAGGCTTCTCTGACAGACTGCCATCAAGGTCGCCTTTGAGCACTTAAATTATAATATTGTGAAATTTCTTGTCAACCAGGGCGCCGATGTCGATGCCGCATGTTCCGATCTTCGGTAGGGGATCGAAGTGTTGCTGATAGTATTTGCTAATAGTTTAGTTAGCCCATTGCTTCACATCTTCAGTGGACATGACTTGATTTTATCTATTCGCACTCGACATGAGAGGGTGAATTGCGTCAGAGTCATACTAGAGAATGGAGCGGATCCAGCACTCTCACATTACGGGTATAACGCAAATGCAATCATGGATGCGCTTGCAGAAGGCTCTCTTGTAAAACCTCCACTCTGGGTTATCCTAGTCGCTCTACTGAACTTCTTATAGGAATCCGTCAAAGAATATCTAGATCATGGGGCACCATTTATAGACGCTAATTATCTAGGAGACGCTGATAATGAATGGACGCCAATTTTATATCTTGCCTTCCAGCATAATTTAAGATGTAGGTTCGGAGATGCCTTTCTCATTGATATTCCAGACAAGATAGCACTCCTACTTTCGCGCGGGGTGGATATTACTCATAGAAATAAAAACGGCAATAGTTGTCTACATTTTGTTCTAGGTTATCCTACTCATATGCGGGAAAAGGAGGAAATACAGCACGCTGAGCTTTACGATATTCTCATGTTGTTTGTCACAGCAGGTGCAGATTTTAACGCCACTAATGACCAGGGCATTTCTGTCTTCGATGTCGCTAGGTGCTTTGGTCACTTAGATATATGGAGGAAAGTTCTTGTTGATTCTGGGTATGATATCAATGATGTTCATGCGACAGTTGACTCCGGCCGGACATGCTCTTCATCATCATTGCATTCAATGATATCAAAAGTCACGGTGCGGAGAAGAAAACCCACACTCTCCTTCTCTCACTATATGAAAATGCGTGGCGAGAAGCGAAGCCCCGACCAACCTGGTATGTTTGACCTGTGTAGGCCCGCGTACAGGGGAAACAATGCAACAAGTGAAATAGAAAGTGAACTTGTTCGTACCAAAGCGTTGATTGATATTAATGAAGCGTGGATATCATTCTACGATTATAGCGGAGAGCGTGTGAGAGATATAGCTAGGATATATGACACATTCATACGACATGGAGAAATGATGGCTCGCACACTCTCTCACAAAAATGTCGACCAAAAAGTAAAATGAATCAAAATAGACTGAAAAAAGCATTTTCGAGGATGCAAGGAGGCGCAAGAAACTGGGTTGTTATTCAAATCATCTTGATGCCTACTATTAATACTAATAGAATTCTAGAAATAATAATTATACAAGATGAGGGTAAGATGACGGGAGTGGCGGGCAACGGGTAATGCACGGGAGACGACGCCGGCCGGCATGGCTAGCGCCGTCGAATCGGGCTGACCGGGCATACCGTACGTAGGATACTGGATACTGCTTCCGTCGCTCGTGATCTGTATAGAGGAGGACAGACATCCGTTCAAGCTCGGCACAGTTCGGGCCGGTCTAGTCCCGTTGTGGCTAGGCCCGAAAAAGGGCTCGAAAAGTAACAACAGCTTTCTCCCCAAGCCCGAAGAGGCCCTTTCTCCCATCCTCTCTGCAGACATCTTGTATTATTCCGTGCATTCCTGTACATCCCCCCTCCCGTCGTGTATTTTCGCCCACGGCTCTCGCCTGCAATTGTTCATATCACACACGCAATGGCTTCTTCGTTGAGACTGGGAAGCTCCGTGGTGCGGTCGTCCCTGGCCACCAAGCCTGCTGTGCAGTCCGCCGCCTTCAATGGCCTGCGCTGCTACTCCACTGGCAAAGCCAAGGTGTGTAATCTTCATGCGCCTGCATATCTGGGGAAGGAGGTTGATTAACGCTGTTTCGATTATCTAGTCCCTGAAGGACACCTTCGCCGACAAGCTGCCCGGCGAGATTGAGAAGGTCAAGAAGCTCCGCAAGTATGTCGCCTGGCGAACCCCGACCGTAGAGATAAACTGCAATTGCTAATGCGCCAATTCGTAGGGACTTCGGCTCCAAGGTCGTCGGCGAGGTTACCCTCGACCAGGTCTACGGTGGTGCTCGTGGAATCAAGTCCCTTGTTTGGGAGGGTTCCGTTCTCGACAGCGAAGAGGGTATCCGCTTCAGAGGCCGCACGGTTGGTATTCATTGTTTATATACGCCTGCATGAGCTAGTCTGACAATTGCCCCCAGATCCCAGAATGCCAGGAACAACTCCCCAAGGCTGTGGGCGGAGAGGAGCCTCTCCCGGAAGGTAGGCTTGCCAGGTGCTCCCCTCGCTGATCACGATTTTAACCATCCGATAGGTCTTTTCTGGCTGCTGCTCACTGGCGAGGTCCCCAGCGAACAGCAAGTTCGTGATCTGTCCGCAGAATGGGCTGCTCGTTCTGACGTCCCCAAATTCATCGAGGAGCTCATTGACCGCTGCCCCAACGACCTCCACCCCATGGCCCAATTCTCCCTCGCCGTGACTGCTCTTGAGCACGAGTCCGCCTTCGCCAAGGCCTACGCCAAGGGTATCAACAAGAAGGAATACTGGCAATACACTTTCGAGGACTCGATGGACCTCATCGCCAAGCTCCCCACCATCGCTGCCCGCATCTACCGCAACGTCTTCAAGGATGGTAAGGTTGCTGCCGTCCAGAAGGATAAGGACTATGCTTTCAACTTGGCCAACCAGCTCGGCTTCGGCGAGAACAAGGACTTTGTCGAGTTGATGCGTCTTTACCTGACCATCCACTCTGATCACGAGGGTGGTAATGTCAGCGCTCACACCACCCACCTTGTGGGCAGCGCTCTCTCCTCCCCATACCTGTCTCTCGCTGCTGGCTTGAACGGTCTTGCTGGTCCTCTCCACGGATTGTAAGTATTACTATTCGCCATGCGAAATTCGCTTAGCTAACATCTACACTACAGGGCTAACCAGGAGGTCCTGGTCTGGCTACAGAAGATGAAGAAGGCTATTGGCAACGACTTGAGTGACGAGGCTATCAAGAACTACCTCTGGTCTACCCTGAACGGCGGCCAAGTTGTTCCCGGCTACGGTCACGCCGTCCTCCGCAAGACCGATCCTCGCTACGTGTCTCAGCGTGAATTCGCTCTCCGCCACCTTCCTGATGACCCCATGTTCAAGCTCGTCAGCCAGGTTTACAAGATCGCTCCTGGTGTTCTCACTGAGCACGGCAAGACCAAGAACCCCTACCCCAACGTGGATGCTGTAAGCACTCTCCTATTCGGCCGTTGACTTGAAATTATGCTAACAGTAGAAATCTAGCACTCCGGTGTCCTCCTCCAATACTATGGCCTTACTGAGGCCAACTACTACACCGTCCTCTTCGGTGTGTCCCGTGCGCTCGGTGTCCTTCCCCAACTCATCATTGACCGCGCCCTTGGTGCTCCTATTGAGCGCCCTAAGAGTTTCAGCACTGAGGCTTACGCTAAGCTTGTCGGAGCTAAACTCTAAATTCGTTGTCCTTAGAGGACGGCTGAGTCGTCTGGGTTTTGAAAAGAAATTCAACGCAAATAGAATGCCAATCGGCGATGGCCGTGGCTGGCCAATGTACAATGTTTGTTTTATATGTTAGTTAGACTGGGAAGGGCCTGGACGCGGAATTGAGTTCGATTATTATTATGTCTTGTTATGAGAATTGATCGTGTCGAGCAAGACTTTTGAGGCAACAGCACTTTCTAGTGGGTTCTTGATTGGGTTAGCATTATTATGATTTTACATACAATATTATTATACAATGGTTAGCCTATGTTCACTCTGCAACGCCGACGGAGTCAAGTTGTCCGAATGATGATTTGCTGCTTCGGTCTATATTTTTACGACCGCGACTCGGCTTCCGAGCATCGTCGACAATAATACGCCGTCTGCTGCTTACCCGAAGTCGGCGCATGTCAGCGAGCCGTTAATACTTGACAATTATAGATTAATTCTTGACTTGTTCATGTGATAGAGGAATTGCAAAGAGACGATCTGTCAATAATTGTTGCCTGTCGCGCTTGGCGCTGCTAGGAATAATACTAAATTAATAAATTATTATAATAGTAAATTATGGTTACTGACAACACCCAACGGTTCAGGCTTTCAGGGCTTCAACGCTCGAATCCATAATCTGTTGGGGCTTCTGAGCTCAACCCCGTTTTTTCCCGGACCACCTATTTACGCTCACCGTCGAAGCGATGTCGATGGGCTAATCGCAGCAGAGAAAATGCGCCAGCACTGCCAATGTGCAGTCGGCCTTCCAATAGTGATAATCGTAATGATAGTACGGTAGCAATAATGAGCCGTCCAAAAAAGCAATGTTCAATAATAATGATAGATTGGTCCGTCGTATTGGCCGTGCGTGGGCGAAATAGGCCAGCCCAGCCGCGGTTATTGCTCTGGCTAGCGCCCCAGCTTGTTGCTGTGCGGGTTCCTGCTATTAGTACCACTCTCCAATCTCCGCTGGCTTGTGACACTCTTCTTCCTCCCATTACCCCGTGCAACCTGCCTGCCTGTGCTTAGTCGAGCTCGACGTCGCTATTGGTGCTTTTCCATCGCTCCTAGATTTCACATTTCCCTACTCTCACCCCCAAAAAAAGAATTCGAAACAGCTGCCTTTCTGGTTGTTGCGCCATCACCACCAAGCTTCCCCTTCTTTCTATCCCACAGGCGACGAAGCCCCCTATATCCCTTGGTCAGGGCCCCTTTCAGCATTCCCAACTGTCAGAGATGTCCGCTGCTACCGCTCCGATCGAGAAGAAGCCGGTCAAGTTTAGCAACCTGCTACGTAAGTCCCGAAAAACCTGTGGGATGAATGATGTCTAACGGGTATTTGCAACAGTTGGCGCGGGGTTGAATATGTTCGAGTAAGTTTTCAAATAGTGATTATGGCTATGTATCTCGATGCTAATTCGAAAATAGGGTTACAACATTGGGACAGGTACGGAACTATCCATCTGGAATCGAATTACAAGCACAATCCCTAAACTAATATCCACAGCCGCTGGAAGTGACTAAGACAACCATGGCTGCCAACCGTAGCGATACGTTTGCCGGTGCCATGAGACGGATTTGGGGGCGCGGCGGTATTTTCGGCTGTAAGTCGTTTACATGACTGGATGGCACAAATAAACACCCAGACATGACTGATCTTTTTTGGCTTCCAGACTACCAAGGTCTCATTCCCTGGGCCTGGATTGAGGCTTCCACCAAAGGCGCCGTCCTCTTGTTTGTGGCGTCCGAGGCTGAATTCTACGCGAAAAGCGCCGGCGCTTCGGATTTCCTTGCAGGTATTGGCGGTGGTATGGCTGGCGGTGTTGCCCAGGCCTATGCCACTGTTGGCTTCTGTACCTGCATGAAGACGGTCGAGATCACCCGACACAAGCTGTCTGCCTCTGGTGTTAAACCCCCAAGCACCTGGCAAACCTTCATGGACATCTACCGCAAAGAAGGTATCCGTGGTATCAACAAGGGTGTCAATGCAGTCGCTATCCGTCAAACCACCAACTGGGGCTCGCGCTTCGGTCTCTCTCGATTGGTAGAGAACGGTATCCGCAAAATGAACAACAAGGAAGATGGCCAAAAATTGACTGCCGCTGAAAAGATCGTTGCGTCTGGATTAGGTGGTGGCTTGTCCGCCTGGAACCAGCCTATCGAGGTCATCCGTATCGAAATGCAGAGCAGAACCGAGGACCCTAACCGCCCTAAGAATCTGACTGTCGGAACAACAGCCAAATACATCTACCAAACCAACGGTCTCAAGGGTCTTTACCGAGGAGTCGCCCCACGTATCGGTCTAGGCATGTGGCAAACCGTATGCATGGTTGCTTTGGGTGATTTGTGAGTTTTCCAGCTTATGACTTAGCCTGTCATCGAACGAGACTAACAGTTCAATTTAATAGGGCCAAGGATGCTGTAGAAAGGCTCACTGGTGAATCCGTCACCGCAAAGCACTAGGAGGGTTTGGAATACCCCTCGCATTTGGTGTTACTATGATAGTCCTAGCCCAAAATGGATTCCCTTTGTATTCTTCATGGTTCGCGTCACTGAAGGCCCACATATGAGGCGTTTTGTGACGACTGATGTGACTTTATAAATGTCGTGGTTATTGACCTGGATATAGACTTAATTTGTTGTATGGATAGATATTTGGATTTGCTCTCGTGGGAGACAGACCCATGAGTTCAATTTATGACATTCATTTTTCATATTCTACTTTGGCTGCTATTTTATTATTGCAAGCTATTCAGTGGTATAGTCGCGCAGTTTTTATGTCTGAGTACAGGTACAAATATTTGGTTTGGATAGGAGGCAACTCTTTGTCAATACCATGTTAATCTTACAAACAAATGGCACAATAGTCAACGTAGTGTGTGCACTTGATATGAAGGAGATGTACTCTCGAATTCATTCTCATTGGAGGGGCACTATACCCGCGTGTACTTGGATCTTCTCAGGTAGTATGGCCGTCGGCGTGGCCCCGAGAGGCCGCCGCACCCGAGTAATTAAACCAACAGCAACATCATCAACTGTATTCATGCTTCTTGAACTACTCACACGACCACCAATATATAGGGGGAAAATGTTCAGAGGGGAAATATAGAATTGAGAATACTCTTTGCTTCTAGTGATCCTATAACTTAGTGGTCTTCAAATAGACACTCAAGGAAAGCAAAATGTTTCGATTCGTTCCCTACCAATCAAACTCGCAGCAAGATGGCCGGAATTTCCAGCGGGCATGTACAACATGTCGAAATCGCAAGGTTTGTTTTGTAAAATAATGAGTACTTAAGTTTTGCTGTACTTGATTACTGATATAATGTAATAGAAACGCTGTTATCATGACAACCCTTCCGATGCTCCTCATGCGGAGAACTCATCATTAACGTCCCAGCAAGAGCCGGCAAGGAAGAGAGCACGGTATCCATCTAATACGCTTCCTGACCAGAGTGACCGCGAAGTAAGTCGGACGTCGAATGAAATGGAACCTTTGCTGGCGACCGGTAGCTCAGCACATACCAGAAATGATGACGAGCACCCAGAAGACGACGACAATGATGGAGAAGCTCGCTTCGTTGGTCATTTGAACCCTGAATCAACCTTTCTCGCAGCAACCAACCAGATACCCGTATCCGTCAAAACAGATGATATAGGCGTATGGACACATGATGGTACCGCAGAGGAGACTCGCAGGAACATAATGCCTGCGACGCCCAAATTTGAATTACGTGATAAGAATGGGTACATCAGATGGGAAGACCTTCTCTATTTGCCAAGGGAGTCTGACTTCAAAGTTTTATATAACCTTTATTTAGAGGAAATACATCCTGTGTTTCCGGTCATTGACCAACAAATATTCGAGAATCTGCCAACGAATATTGCCGAATGCACTTTTTTACGGCTAGCTATATGCATTGCAGGGAGCGTGAGTCCAAAGGCTAAGACACATTTGAAATCTTCACCAGAGAGAAGTCATTATTCGTCACGAGATGACTTCATTAAGGAGTTGACATTCTCACTTCGTCTTTTACTGAATCTTAATGTGGTCAGAGACAAGATTGTCCTCGTGCAAGGCCTTTCGCTAGCTGCCATGTTTACCCAATTATCAGAGAATCGTGACCTATCAGCAGAACTTGCAGCAAGCGCAGTTGGCTATGTTCATACCACGGGCCTTCACCTGGAGAGTCAAGGGAAGGGGAATGACAATAGCGAAAGCCAGAGTGAAGCTCGCGCCAGGCTGTTTTGCTGTGTGTGGGCGTTGGATAAGTTGAATGCTGCGTTTCATGGACGTCCGGTGATGATGCACGAGAGAGATATTGGACGGAATATTGAAAGCTCTATATCGATGCAGCAGCCTTCTTTCCAGCTGCTTCTTCGGATAGTGGTGCTGCTAGACCAGGTTATAGGGCTCTATCGACCGAGTAATGAGTCCAAAATGTCATTGGAGGGTGATTTTCCTTTGTTCGAGGATTTAATCGAGAAATCGAATGCGGTCAATATTAATAGTCGCTTCCTAGGTATGGACACTTTCACCCCGTCATCACGCCATCATATTATCAACTAACACTGAATATGGTATAGCCACAGTAGAAACGCTCTATCATTCAGTAGCCATGCTATCATACCGATCAAAATCATTTCATGAGCCTCCTACATCCTCAGCCACTTTCCTGCGTCAAAACCTCTCAGCACTAAAAGTCACATCCCTAGTGTCCGAAGGCCTCAATATGTCTTCCCATTATAACCTACCATTCGTCCCATACGCAATATCTCTTTCTCTCCGTGTTACATATCGAGAACTACGTATTAGCCGCTCATCAATGCTGCGAGAAAGAGCTAAAAAGCAGCTCCTTGCCAACTCGGAAATCCTCCATCGTTTTGAGAGTATATTTGGCTCTCTTTCCGCTTTGGCTATTATGGCAGAGCTAATTGTTCGTGAAATGGAGAGAAGAACTATTCAGCAGCAGCAACAGACAACAGACCCTACACAACTACGGCGGCAGCAGCAGCAACACGATAATGTTTTACCTATCGCAAGCCTTCTCAGTGCTGCAAATGAAATTCCACCTGTCCAGCTGGACGGTAGTTCGGGTCAGAATTTGTATCAACCTGCTCCTCAACCGAGTTCGACTCAGTATGATGAGCCGATACCATCCGAGAGGATGCCTGGCTCGGAGTTTACTAGTGGGGCTGATCTCGACAACATAGATTTATCTATGTATGACTTATCTATGTTTGACAGCCTGTTTAATTTGGACATTACGAATTTCCAAGTGCTCGAGGGGTGATATCAAAGGGAGAGTTTACAGTAAATATATTTTTTGAGATATTGTTAATACTCCACTTCAATATAATTTATTCTCACTCGATAATTGAATAGAAATGATAATATGATCTTTAAATACGACCTACAGCCTGACAGAAATAAGAGATACCAAGACCAAAGCTGCATATACAAAAGGAAGAAAATTGGTTGTCTAAAAATTTGCTAGATTTGGCAATACGATACAAATACAGACACACACAAAGGAGATATATCTGTTTGGTTGCAACACTGAGAAAAGGTGGCACTTTACAGGGAAAATAGGGACATTTGCTCTTGTGGACGCTGTTCGTCACCCAAAAATTTGAACCGATCTAGAATATTGAAGAGGGGGTTGGGTTTCCCTTTTAATATTATGCTGACTTTTTAATTTAAACGGTCAGGCCAAGGTCTTCGGCGAAGGGGAGCTTGAAGAGATCTCCGACGACGGCGACGGATGCCTTTCCGGTGACGAAGGACTTGGCGAGCTGATGGCGTTATGTTAGCAGATATTTTAAACTTAATAAAGATTGGGATGGTGCGGGTACTAACCTCCTGGACCTGTTGGGGTGAGACCTTGTCGAAGCCAGAAGCAACGTCGGAGATCTGTAGGGCCTTAGTACCATTGATCAAGGCAGAGCCAGTAAGCTCTACACCGGTCTCGAGAACCTGGGCGGCTTCAAGAGTGCGGAACTTGGCCAAGGCAATGGCCTTCTTGATATCTTCAGCAGCAACCTCACCACCAGCGACCTTCTTAAGAGCATCAGCAGCACGCTTGGAAACGGCAGAGACTGACTCTGGCTTTCCAGTAACTGAGATTGTGAAGAGGCCAGCATCCGAGTATGCGTAGTTCTTTGTCGAGACTTTGACGCCAGAGTGGCCCTCAATGGCCTTGGAAAGGAGGGAGAAGCCAGGAGTCCACTTGATGGAAGATTCACCACCGAGGAGGGCGGCGAGAACGGCAGCCTCGGGTTTGTATCCCGAAGCACCGTATTGAGCAGAGCCGGGGAAGCTGATGACAACGGCATTGCCGGCCTTGCTGGAAGTGCGTTGCTCGCCACCGTAGAACTTGGAGGGCGAAGACTCTTTGACCTTGAATTGGCTGGAGGGAGTAGCAGTGGAGTGTTCACCGAAGAACTGGCTCACCCACTTCGAGAGCTCTGCAGAGTTGGGACCGACTGAGACAAGAGCAATGTTGGATTTGGCGTACGCACTTTGGGCGTATTCGGCGAGGCCTTCGGACGAGAAGTACGACTCTAATGGGGTAGAGGAAGTAGCGAAAAGGCTCTCACCAAGACCGCGGTGGAAAGCAGTGGAGTGGGCTGAGTTCAAAGCCAGGTTCTCCGCGTTCTCTAGAAGAGTTTGTTGACGGAGCTTGATGGTGGGGAGAATCAATTCATTCCACTCAAAAGCTGTGTTAATGTTAGAGTCAAAGGTGGGCATATTTGTAACAATTCGTTCGCTGGTAATCATGGCTCACCGGAGTACTTTGTCTGCGAAGAAACCTCTGCGAGCAACTCGGTGAAGTAAGGGAGATCTTCAGACAAGAACTTGGCTTGGAGGATGACATTTTCGCGGGTGTGTGTTGCTGTGAGGTCGCTTCCCAAGAGCTCTGCCTCACGGGTGATACGCAGGCCCGACCGTTTCAAGGTAGTCTAGACAACAAATTTATGTAAGATTAAGTGATTTCTTCACCGTATGTCGACAGAACGGGATTTCTCGACGAACGTACCTTGAAGGCGAACTGCTCAAGGGCATCCGTAAAGCCAGGGAATGGCTGGTAGCGAGGACCAGCCTTTGCAACCAACGCCAGCGTCGTAGTCGGACCTCCAACATCTCTGTTGGCCAATTTGACACCTGCGGCCTCGGTAGTCTCGTACTGAAGACTTGGGCTCTCGGCGGAAGCGAAGGCTCGACGACCGCTGGCACCTTGTGTCCGGAGCGCACGTTGCGCTGTGCGAGCGAAAGCAGACCTCGACAACATTATCGCGCAAGCTAGATAGGAATTGAGATGTGTGGGAGTAAAATGGTCGGCAAATGGGGAGCAATTGAGCGACCCTGGGGTGGAGGGAGTTCGACAAGCTGCTGTTTAGGTCTACCAGACCGACGTCTGAAAAGCTTCAAGATCCGAGCCGACTGGAGTGCACGCCATTAGCCACGCCGTGATTGGCCGCAGCGGGCATAACCGGATGAGAGTTCACGTGATAAGTCATGTGACGAGAGCCGCTCGCTGAAACGTACGGCGGGCCTCATTTTGTGATTTGGTGGTGCTTTTGCTGCGGGACCAAGACTAGTGCCAAAAAAAGTAAAATAATACAGCAACTTTTTGAGATAACTCAACTGTCGCCTACCTGTCTCTCACGCTTGGCTCCGTCGTTTCTGCTCATGGTATCGCACCGGTGACCTCCCTGAACCTTCTAGAGAAGTTGGCGTCTCTCTAGAAGTGTAGCAATGTCCCAAGTATGCAGAGCCCGCGCTTTGGTTCGAGCTTCAACCCACTAATTCGCCCTCTTAGTACGCCGCTGAGCTTTGTACGCTCCTGGTAGAAGACAGCTTTGGGGATCTATTCGGAGTATGTGTGACCTCGTCAGCAAGCTCAAACACATTGTTTGGTTTCGGATTCGAATTGCTCACGAATTGATGACGTTATGGTTGCTCTGTTTCTGACTCATTTTAATCTAGCGGATTTATTCGACCCTCCTGCAGTATGGCCGACTTACGCTTCTGCGGCTCAGAGAGCATGCACGCATTTCGCATAAACAATTATTTCATGCCCTTGCAGCAATGATACAGATGCAGCTTGTTTACCATTTCACATCCACAGACGACGGGATAACCCACTACGAGGCTAGCATCAATGCCGCTTATTATTTGATACGATCCGGGAAGATGCTTGAAATTGTGGAAGAGAGACTGGGAGCATATGCTGCAAAGGTTATGTCTGCGATTATGTATCGCGGACACGCACAGATCAGCTATTTGGAGGCTATGGCAGAACTTCGCACGAAAGGGGTTGGGAAGTCTTCTACCAATGGCGGCACTTTTGATTGGGATGAGAATGAAGGGCAAAACGGAGACGCGCCACATTCTCCTAGCTCTGAAAAGACTGTCACTGGAGACCAAAGCTCAGATCATACTCGCTTGCATACAATTCTCAAGTCCTTGGCTGGACATGGTTTCATTAACCGAGTCAAAGACGCTCATTTCCATAGTATTATGGATAACACATTAGACGCAGAACGGAAAGCGCGGCGGGACTTGGAAACAACTGAGTTTAAAGGCAAAAAACTGGAGGTAGAGGTTGAGATCAGGATGGAAAAGATACTTAAAGAACAGCTCAACAGCGATTTGACCCAAGATTATCCACTAGGAACAAAAAGGCCCCAGGTTAACGGATATTCTGGAGGCTCAAGGAAGAGACGTCGCCTAGATTCTTCTGGGGGCTACTCCGAAGATGAGGACTCCGAACACGAGGACGATGATGAAGATCAAAGACCGATAGACGTAAGTTGTTACGGGTTCAATGCTTGTGAGGTTGCTAAGAAGGCTGTCAGTCGAATCTTGTCGTACGGGTCAATTACGAAAAACTGGACGTGGTGCTTAGAAATCGCCGCCTTGTTGAATTAGCCGCGCAAGGAACGTCTCCCGTTACTGCACAACTTTATGAAACTCTTTTACGCGTTATTGAATATAAAACGTATCGCTGTCGAGAGGGTGGTGCTGAGATTCCCCGCGAAGGTGAAGAATTCGAGACAGGCACCGAGCCAGTCACAGTCCAAAGGCTTATAAGTGAGGTTGACCCTGATCTTGACCTCAGTGGATCTCTTGGGCCAAGCGGGAATCCACCAGCAGGCAAAAAAATCAAACGACCTTTGGAGAACGGAGTGAACGGGGATCATCATGACGACGACGACGACGATGATGATGAGAATATCACCACAGAAACTACTAAATCTTACGACATCAATCAACACCTCAGCCTTTTGGCACTGCCGCCATATCGTCTAGTTCGGCGGTCAAATTCGTCTATTCCTGCGTGGACGGTAGAATTTCGGCGTCTTGCCCGTCAGTTGCGCCATCTTGAGATTGAGCGTATCGTTGGAATTAGATTTGGTAGGCTAGCACTTCGAGTGCTACGAATTCTATTAGAAAAGGGGAAGTTGGATGAAAAACGTCTGCAGGAGATCAGTCTTATCTCGCAAAAAGATCTACGCCAAGTTCTTGCACATATGCAGGAAAGTGGCTTTGTGGACTTGCAAGAAATTCCTAAAGATTCGCAGCGACTACCTTCCAAGACAGTCTTCTTATGGTTCTTCGATCCTGACCGGGTGGGCCGAAATCTCTTACATGACACCTACAAGGCAATGTCATGTTGTCTTCAACGTCTCCGGTTTGAGCGAGGCCGTTTAAAGGACTTTCTCGATAAAACAGAACGCATCGACGTGAAGGGGAACGAGGAACAGTATTTGAGTGAGGCCGAATTGCAAGTATTGCAAGAGTGGCGAGATAAAGAAGCTCTGATGCTTGGAGAGGTTGCGCGGCTCGATGATCTTGTTGCTGTCTTGAGGGACTTCTGAAGCAAAAAAAAAGAGAAAAGAAAAGTCGATTCATCATATGTATTTATAGCTCGACCATGTTTGACTTGGCCATGGTAGAAGTCAGCAACGTATCAATGCAAAAGCATTAATCGTTACGATCGATATCTCTACATAATTTACGAATTCATGTGCTCAAATAGTATTCAATTACATTCCATTGTACTTTCTCCAGATTAAATGAAGTTCATACATGATTCAAAGCTTACATATCTTTCTTCACTTCTGCTTTTGGTTTTTTTTGGAGCCATCAAGATGCCCAGAAGCCGTCGCAGCTGTGACAGATAGAGTATTGCCGAGATATTTGCCAATAAAGTAAACCAATATTGCAACGGTGACTGCGTAAATAGCAGTTGGAACTAACGAGCGTGGGAAAACATTCAATATGAATGGGTCTAGAATTATGTACGCAGTTACAGGCGGAACATTCTCCATCAGAACCGAATCAGTCGTGAAATAGTCTGCTGCAGACTGAATGCGGAGAAATAGAACTGATTCCACTTGAGACGACGTCGTTGAGATGAGAGGCGCTGCAACTGGATCAGCGAGTCGGATTTCTGAGAATTTGGTCAGTGCCGAGATCAAAGTTGGATCTGAAATGGTGTCGGCGAGAGAGTATGTAGTGAGCGTAAATGATGTAGGTTGCTCGCACACGGTTAGCATGAAAAATTTAGTATATGGTGGATAGAAAACATCTCACTGTTGCCAGCCAGCATATTCGCACTTCGTATCTCTGTCCGGGGTTCAGGTCTTCGAGATAGAGCCATGACTCTGTACCGTACGGCTGAGAATGTGTCGGGAACGATGCATTCAGATTGGTCCTTAGAATGTAATCACCCGGTGACAGACGCTCCAGGCCTAAATCATCAATGACTGAGCTTTCTGCAGGGACAGGCTGTGGACTGGGAGCCACAAATATGGTCTTTTCGACATTGGCAGCGGCAAGATCAATATACCATGATGTGATCAAATACGCTGCTAGAGCAAGCTGCTTGGGAATAATACGCATGACTTGGGGCTGTCGTTACTGGTAGTGCCAGTGGTTGCTACTGTATAAGATGGTGATTATACTCGTCCTGCGAGTTCGATGTATCTGGCCATGTAAATTTTCGTGTTAACTCAATAAACATTTAACAGAATTTCGATTTTGTTCAGCGGGAGTCGTGAAAGTGCATACTAGATCAATTGGTAATGTTGAAACATAATAGTCACCCAAAGAGCGTTGATGAAGTCGAAACTGCCTCCTGATCAAGGCTCTTCGTGTTGAGGACGATCTGCTGGCGACGTCACGGCAAATGATGGGCAGATGGCAGCCAATGGAAGCAGCAGTTTTAGCGGCTGCAGTGGATCCTTGCGTGGACCAATCACAGAGGCACACACGGCGCCCCGCTAGTTCGGGCAGAGGACTGACCATGTACCATTCTGATTGGCCAGTCTTTGTTTACACTGGGCAGTAGGCAGCCTCAGGCCGAAAAGGGGCATCGGCTCAACGCGAACCGAACTAGTTTGTATTATGCTGTTAGGAACACGCCTCTAGCTTGTTAGGCTCAAAATTAAAGGCGCAGGTGAGTGACAGGGTTGGTTATGTTCTTGAAAATCGTTAGCAGGAGAAAAAAAAGGGAAAAAAAAAGAAAACACTACTACAGTGTTACTAGCCTGCTGCTGATCCCAATAACATGGCTATACCGAAGTTATTTCTACAGATTCAGATAGCAGCAGTCCAAAAACGATCGTTTATTTTCTAAACAGCCATATTATTTTATTACACAATTATCGCTATCACAATAGCATTATTAATCTAAGAGTGCAGTGCAGGAAACGACCGCGCTAACTCGGAGCAGCTAGCACAACACAGACCACAGCCAGACCGCCTGGACACGCGCGGGTGGTGGGCGACGCTACACTCTTTTCTACTATTTCCACAACGAAAGCGTTGGACCAGCGTTGTTGTCAATCCTTGCTTGGACCACTTCTTGTCTTGTGTCTGTCCACCTCCCTCTATTCTCGCTGCCTTCCCTCCGCAACTCTCTTCGACAGACAATTCCCTCTTGTTCTGTTATATAGGTATGTGTTGATCGTCCCATACCGACGGCCTCCTACCCCTCTTTCCGCTGCAAAATGCGGGAAGGTTATCAGTGCCCCTTTTTCTCCCCCCAACGTCCTCGACTCCAGACAACGCGACATCCGTCACTAACCTCAATGCCATTCGAAGTGCTCTTGGGATACCCGACAAGATGAGAGAAGTTATCAGTTTGAACGGTATGTCAACTCACTGCTATCCCTCGCCAACTTGATGTTGTTTTGACGACGCGTCTGACCTGTTTTGTCTGTTATAGTCGGCCAAGCCGGTTGCCAGATCGCCAACTCTTGCTGGGAGGTATGATTTTACCTCGCTTAATATCAACTCCGATAAAAATCAGCTAAACTAATCTACTATCAGCTCTACTGCCTTGAGCATGGTATCCAGGTAAGATGAAATCTTGGAGTCTCGAAATTCGGTTATCCTGCTTTATTGGCAACAGGCCACAACTGACAAATTCATAGCCCGATGGTTACCTGACCGAAGAACGCAAAGCCCAGGACCCCGATCAGGGTTTCAGCACCTTTTTCTCAGAGACTGGTATGTACAGAGTCGACTTGAGACTGACGCGAGATCTAATTCTAATATAATAACAGGCCAGGGCAAATATGTCCCCCGTACCATCTACGCCGACTTGGAGCCCAATGTTGTTGACGAAGTCCGTACTGGTACCTACCGAACCCTGTTCCACCCTGAGCAGATGGTTACTGGCAAAGAAGATGCCTCAAACAACTACGCTCGTGGTCACTACACCGTGGGCAAGGAGATGATCGACCGTGTCTTGGATCAGGTTCGCCGTGTCGCCGATAACTGCGCTGGTCTGCAAGGTTTCCTCGTTTTCCACTCATTCGGTGGTGGTACTGGATCTGGTTTTGGTGCTCTTTTGATGGAACGCTTGTCTGTCGACTATGGCAAGAAGTCCAAGCTCGAGTTCTGTGTCTACCCGGCACCCCAGAACGCTACTGCCGTTGTTGAACCTTACAACTCTATCTTGACTACCCACACAACTCTCGAGCACTCGGACTGCAGCTTCATGGTTGATAACGAAGCCATCTACGATATCTGCCGCCGTAACCTCGGAATTGAGCGCCCTGGATATGAAAACCTCAACCGTCTGATCGCTCAAGGTACGTCTATGCCGGATATTCTCGCATTTGTAGTCTAACATCTTCTAGTCGTTTCCTCCATCACCGCTTCTCTCCGCTTTGATGGTTCTCTCAACGTTGACTTGAACGAGTTCCAGACCAACTTGGTCCCCTATCCTCGTATTCACTTCCCACTGGTTGCATACTCTCCAGTCATTTCTGCTGCCAAGTCGCTGCATGAAGCCAACTCTGTGAACGAAATCACCATGTCTTGCTTCGAGCCCAACAACCAGATGGTTAAGTGCGATCCTCGCAACGGAAAATACATGGCTACCTGCCTGCTGTACCGCGGAGACGTCGTGCCTAAGGAGACCCACGCCGCTGTTGCCACCCTCAAGACTAAGCGTACCATTCAATTTGTTGACTGGTGTCCTACTGGTTTCAAGATTGGTATCTGCTACCAGCCACCTCAGATGGTTCCCAACGGCGATCTTGCTAAAGTTAACCGTGCAGTGTATGTTTTGACTCTCATGATGATAGATTTGTATCGTTTAGCTGACACTCTTTAGATGCATGTTGTCCAACACTACTGCCATTGCTGAGGCCTGGTCCGCTCTTGACCACAAATTCGATCTCATGTACTCAAAGCGTGCCTTCGTGCATTGGTACGTTGGTGAAGGTATGGAGGAAGGCGAGTTCTCCGAGGCTCGTGAAGATCTTGCTGCCCTTGAGCGTGATTACGAAGAAGTGGCCAGCGACTCGCTTGAGGACGAGGAAGAGGTTGAGCCCGAATACTAGTTACCAATCTCACGTACAAATGGGTTTCTTCCAAGCGGGTTGTGTAATCCTTCGTTATATACCCAATCCATTATCTTATCTTTCTGATTTCATACGGCCTCTCCCGATCTCTGCAATTGCCTTGAAGACGTGCAAAATGTGTGGTGGATTGTTGTTCAAGAAATGACCTGAAGATTCTTAGTGTTTTCAATGCCTACCTCTCAACCCAAACTCCCCGTTCATATCTCCTTTAATCAAGCAAAATATTTCTTTTCTGTAATTCTTATTTTTCTTAAAGAATGCCTTAGGAACAGGGATAGAAAAAGCTAATCAATATTCGTTGCTACATACATTCATTCAAAGGCGACATGAGCAAATTTCCAAAGATGCCGTGGTATTACTTGATGCTTCTGCTCGAAACTACATAATAAGAAGCAAACCCAGGAATGACTCTGTGGTATAAAAGGTGGCTTTTCTTAAATAATAATAAAAGGCCGAAAAACACACTGTAATGGGCATCCAAGAACAATAATGAATTAGCATCAATCATTGATCATTGATGAGCACCAATCACGTGCGCTGCCCGTATTGGCTGGCGCCTGGGCAATTACCAGCCGCTAGTTACCACATCCCCATGTAAGCCGCCAGCCAGCAAACAACGTCTCCTTCCCGCTTGTCGCATTAATCGGAGCTTCGTTGCTCGCCCTCAATTCCTCTTATACAGTGCGGAGATATCTTGGACTTTAATTTTAGATTTACCCATCGATTCTCGGATTGTTTATGCTTCCGGCCCCGTGTCCAAGTGACCTTTGATCGAAATTCGCCTACTGAGGACTGATTCCGTCTGAGAACGTGCGGACATTACTACTCTTAGGATCATAGAATCCCCGCGGTCTTTTGCAATCACACACATGATACCGATAATTTGACATCTGCTTTGAAGGTGTTTCGAGTCCTCTTTCGGTTTACTTCAACACCCGTCTATTAAGATAGTCGTTTTGAAACGGACGCGGTGCAGTTGTGTGAAGCTAGTTAGCTATCGGCAGCAGGAAGATGTCGGAACCAGGTTAGTTTTGCCTGATGTCAATTGCTCACAGGGATTTGAGCTTTATAGCAATGATTCCACTTGAATGGGCAACCCGACACCTTCGAGTTTGCGATAGTAGCCAAAGCTAATCACTTTGAGAACAGCTCACCCGAATCTCAACCTCACTCAGGAGGAAAAGCGGGTTTTCTTCCAGCTTTTCCAGGCGGCAGATACCACCAATATCGGAGTTATTACTGGCGAGCATGCCGTACCATTTTTCGAAAAGACCAAGCTTTCTCCTGACACTTTGGGGCTGGTATGACACAGCGCGTCCTTCGGTTCTAGATCATGGTCTGACTAACTCGTCCATTAGATATGGCAACTAGCAGACAAGGAGAACCGTGGGCTTCTAACACCCTCCGGTTTCTCAATAGTGTTGCGATTGATTGGACATGCGCAAGCCGGCCATTCTCCTACAGAAGAGCTAGCCCTGCAACGTATGTAACCTCAGACTACTTTCTGTTGATCCCAACTAATGTATCAACTATACTGCAGCTGGTCCTCTACCTCGGTTTGAGGGCATCTCCGTTAGCTCACCATCTCGCCCATCTACAGCAAGTCCTCCGCCAGCTGGGCAGGGAGGTCCTGTCAGAGTACCGCCATTGAGTCCGGAAGATGTGAACAAGTTTGGTTCGCTCTTTGAAAAATCAGACACCCCGAACGGAGTAATCTCAGGTACGTAAAATTTTATTGTGATATAAATTTATATGCGACATCTCCAATGGTATGATTGTATGTGCTGACATGCTACCTTATAGGTGAGATTGCGAAGCAGATCTTTGAGCGTGCTCGACTACCCAATGATGTTTTGGGGAGAATATGGAACCTTTCCGACACAAAGCAGCGGGGTCAGCTGGACGCCACGGAATTTGTCATCGCGATGCACCTTTTGACATCTTACAAAACCGGCTCTATGCGAGGAATTCCATCATCGCTCCCTCCTGGGTTATATGAGGCGGCTTCGAAACGTGGTCTGGCTCGTACGCCAACTGGGCCTCGGACCGGCTCAGATGTTCCACCAGTTCCAGCTATCCCAACACAATTTTCCGGATCCCAGCGAACGCAAAGTCCATTAAGCCGGCAGCATTTTGCCTCTCCTCTTTCAGCGCACTCCACAGGTGCTGATTGGTTGATTACTCCACAAGAGAAGGCACAATTCGACAATATTTTTGCGACTGTGGACACGGCGAAGGCTGGTATTATCAGCGGTGATCAGGCCGTCACTTTTTTCACCAACGCTCAGTTACCAGAGGATGTCTTGGCCCAGATCTGGGATCTCGCAGATATTGATGCCGATGGACAACTTACCAAAGATGAATTCGCAGTGGCTATGTACTTAGTACGTCAGCAACGAAGTAGGAAAGAGCCATTACCTACTGTCCTTCCACCGGCATTGATCCCTCCAAGCATGCGCCGACAAGAGGCAGTACAGGCAAGGCCCGCAATTGCTCCAGCTCCAGTTCCAGCTCCAGCTCCAGTTCCAGCTCCAGTTTCAGTTCCAGCTCCGCCAGCATTACCGCGTTCAGCGGCTGAAGATCTCTTTGGGCTTGACACTTTCACTGCACCGGCATCTACTCAATTTCCTCAGTCTACTGGAGGTTCCAACCCCGCATTTCAGTCTCCTGGGTCTCCATCTTCTCGGACTTCACAACAAGGACCACCCGTATCCACCTTCAAGCCTTTTGTTCCTTCGTCCCAATTCGGTCAAAGTCTCAATCCACAATTGACTGGTGCTGGAAGTACGGCAACGTCACCTCCACCTGCTTCTGATGATCTTTTGGGCGACAATGACCCCGAAGAATCTAAGAAGCTGACTCAGGAAACCACAGAACTAGCAAACTTGTCTAATCAAATTGGTTCTTTGTCAAAGGAAATGCAGAACGTTCAAACACAGCGCGCATCTGCCGAGCAGGAATTCACGCAATCATCTCAACGGAAACGTGACTTTGAGGCGCGGTTAGCACAAGCTAGAGCAATGTATGAGAAGGAGGCGAAAGATTATAAGGCTCTGGAAGAGCGTTTGAATGCGTCTCGCGCAGAGACAAAGAGGCTCGAGCAGGATTATGCACTCATTGAAGGCAGTCGCCAAGACTTGCAGAATCAGTTCAATCAGGTTTCTGCTGCGCTTGCCACCGATCAAAATGAAAATGCTACTTTAAAGGAGAAGATACGTCAAGCCAATGCTGCTGTCAGCCAGCTCAAACCCGCTTTGGAGAAGGCTCGTTCTGAAGCACGCCAGCAGAAGGGTTTGGTGGCAATTAACAAAAAGCAATTGGCAACTGTTGAGGGGGGGCGGGACAAGATTCAAAGCGAGATCGAGTCTGTGGCAAAAGAAAACCAAGATGACGAAGAGCATGCTCGGCCAGCTCTCAGCACGGCTGATATTACAAGCCCAGCTTTGTCCACTGCCAGTCAGCAAACCAATCCCTTTTTCAGACGTACAACGACAGAAACGTCTGACAGGGCAGCTTCTCCTGCTTCTAACTCACAATCTGCTTTTGATAATCTCTTTGGCCCATCGTTTGCCAGTCCATCAACATCTACACCTCCACCTCAGACTTCATTTGGTGCCGCCTCGCCTTTCGCACAACAAACACGAGATGTTTCTAAAAGCCCCAATACTTCTGGTTTACCGACTCCATCCGTGTCCCCTCCTCCTCAAGCTACATCTGAGCCACCTCCACTTCCTCAGTCCCGGCAGATAACACCCAGTTTCCTCCCACTTGGCAATGAAAACAATGTGCAGTCAACTACATCTTCCACAGCCGTCTCTCCACCGGCCAGTCGTTTTGGTGGACTAGATACTTCCGAGGCTGGAACTCCTGCGCCTTCCGAATCTGCAAGCGTAGCACGAGATATTGGTGCGCCTTCTCATCTTGGAAATGAAATATCTCATGAACCTTCCCCTTTCGATGAAGCTCCCAAAACACCTTCAGCCGAGGAAGATGTGACCCCTTCTGCAGCCTCGGGACACCATGAATTTCAGCCCACCGCCGAAGAATCTACAGGCAAGACAAGGGAGGAAAGTTTCGATGAGCTTTTTGGCAATGTTGGTCGTGAAAGATCTAAGTCTCAAAAAGCCAATGATTTTGAGGAAGCATTTGCTGGAATGAAGCCGCGTAGTGGCGAGACGCCCAACGATTCAGGGGAATTCCCTCCAATCAAGGAATTTGAAGTCGACGATGACGATGACAGCACAGACAGTGAGGCGCCAATGAAATTCGATGACGACTTTGCTCCAGTCTCTCCACAACAGAAGGATGAACTCGTTAATAATGAGTCCATCGATTCAACACAGCTGCAAGCATTCCCAGTTCCTGGTAGTAGCGTGACCGCTGAAAAACCGCCTTCCCCAGATGCTCAGCGTTCACCTCCTAGTTATGATACAGCCGTGCCTAGCATTCCTGGGAGTTTCCCTGCCATATTCGATGGATTATTGCCTAGCAGGTCTGATCCAACCCTAGCGCCAGATGCACCCCATGCGGTTGAGTCCTCTAGTGGTGCTCCGATTGTCGCTGGAGAAGTTCAGAAGAAGTCAGGTGCCCCTGATTTTGATGCAGCTTTTGCCGGGCTTGATCTAGCGCCTGCGAAAGAGGAAGACGATTCAGAAGATGAGGATGAAGTAGAATCTCACACTAAGAAGCAACCTAGTGATTTTGATTTCTCATTTGATTCTCCTTCGCAGTCGGCCAAGGCTACTTCATCTTCCTCAACTCAACCTGCCGCACCCAGCAAGGCGGCAGCGGATTTCTTCAACTTTGACAACAGCGTGGATGCGTCAACAAACCAGGCTCCTGCAGATGAGAAAGCTCCAACGAGTAACCATGACTGGGATACTATATTCGCCCCTCTTGGCAATGGAAAGGCATCTGAAGGTGGCAGCAATGGGGTTCATCCGTCTGACCCCCAGGCAGCCTCCGGATCTGACAAGAAAAAGCCCGGCTGGGCGCTTTCCGCCGATACTGGTGAAGATGACTTGATTTTGAAACGATTGACCGGCATGGGTTTTCCACGCGACGAGTCACTGGCTGCTTTGGAGAAGTTTGATTACAATATTGATAAGGTACTTCCTCCTCAATGGTATATTTGGTTACAGTCTTATTAACGTATTCGAACTAGGCTGCCGATTATTTGAGTTCCAGAACCTGAAGCGTGGCAAATGATGTCTGTTGTATATATACCGTTGTGATCTGTTTCGTTCTCTACATTTCTTTCTCTGTTACTTATGATTCCATTGACACTTTGATTTTCAATATCGCGGCAGTGCATGGTCTGCATTGTATATCAAATAAAGCATATGCATACTACTCGTGTTACCGGACTAGATCCAGTGCGCCGCCTTACATTCCTGCAGCGCTGTGCTTTCTCTTTTCTCATCTGTGTTTGTCTTGTTTCTCACTAGTACAACAGTTCATTTTCTGTATGTAATCATCACAATAATACCTAGTACGATTGAACATAGTTGCTCTAAGTCTGGGTTGGCTCGCAGGTACTTAGCTAGTGATGCGATTTTCTGGAATGACAACTGACCTTCGTATTTATGAATTATGTTTAAGAACAATACTCTATGTTCTATTGATCCATGATTTTTCTCCGGAAATCTATATTTATTCTTTTCTATATTCCTAGAATAGAGTGAGGACGACGGTGCTTATGTCATCAACTGGCCGACGTCATATTTGTTCTCTTTGATACCATATATTTTTCAACACCTTTGCGTGATTCATAAAATTGTGGAACAAACCTACTATGATCTTTCTTTCTTAATTTTTATTTTCTCTAACATGGCGTTTTCTGCATGGTAGGGCTAAGTTGGAAATAACCGTTCGCAAAATGCGTGGTCCAGCATCGTGCGGATAGTTTCGTTAGCTCCTAGATCGGTTGAAAAAAGGGACGGTATCAACTAGTTCCAGCCAAGGATCGCATATATAGACTTGAAATTTGTCTCATAATGAGTGGCCGGGAGATACCTGGTTTTTACTGGGGTAGGCATGACTAGTTTAACCGTGCTTGGTACATGTGATCGACTTTGATGTAAAAAGACATTTGAGATGGCTACTCGGCGTCAAATAACACATGAACCAACATATCAATGTTCATCGTTCGAAGATTTCAGGCTGACGACAGCACAGACACCGAGAAAAGGAAATACTTTCGTATTCAAGCCAACCATGTTGCCCCAACAGGATCCAAGTATTCTAAGGAGGCTGTTACGCAGCAAAAATACGATGTCGAGGTACTACTCACGCCTCAACTGCCACGTCGATTACGCTCACATCTTGATTAGCAACAGAGACGTCGCGCGAATATCGAGCGTCGTATTCAAAAAGAAAGAGTGAAAAGATCTCGCTCCTTGAGACACACCATCAATGGGATTACCACGGAAGTTTGTGACAAGCCGACACCCGGCTTTGTTTTGAGGTCTTATCGTGGGGAAATCTTTGCTAGTCAGCTGCAACCACGGCAGCTTTGCAACTTTAATGATATCGTCCAAGGGGGCACCGTGGCGGATTTTACTCGTCATGAAGAGACTGGTGCTCTTATTCTTGGTGCGCTATGCTTTTCTGCAAATTTTTGGTGTGCTTTGACTGATTGGTGAGAAGGGATTGATAGAGGAAATTCTTGCACGATATTGTAAGTTGAATATCTACTTTTTATGAATTTACCTACGGTCAAGTCCGCAATAGCTTCTCGAATGTTCGAACTGGCGGTTTCCAACACAATGAAGGAATTTTTCTTCTTTTCACTTATTTCGCGTCCCTTTTGGCGTCAACTGAAAACTGATCTTGTTGGTTTAGAGTATGCCCTCCGTCGTCTAAGAAGCAAGAGACATATGTCTACAATCCATCTAAAGATGCTGCTCAAATTTATTTAGGAGACTGGAGGGTTTGTTTACGGAAATTCCATGCAGTTGAAACTTTCACTGACAAGGAATAGTTAGCATCTCTCTCCTTATGTGCTTCTGGTCATTTTCTGTGAGTCTCTCATTCACCAATATTTTCATTTCAGCTTTATTAAGACCTGACCACTATTTAGAGGTATTATGAACTCTACTGGTGGTGGTGGGGGGATATATGTAGGCAGCGGAAATGTGAACGAGATGGCAACTATAGGAGGCAGTTCGTGGCGAAACCAGCGTACGTAAAGTATCACGCATATGAAAAGGATCACCTGACACTCCTTTCTCAGGAACCATAATAGACAATGTCGAAGATGATTTTTACGTATGGTGTTCAGCAGCGAATCCCAGTTCTGGGAGTGGTACCTTAGCTGTTGGGACATCCGACGGCTTGCGCACATTTGATATGAACACAGGTAACCCTCCAAGTGTTAAGAAGTGGGACATTTCATTATTTGGAGGTAGACAGAAATCCAAACGACCAGCCATGGACTTGTTAGCAGTGGACTGGCTCTCCCCAACCGTTATAGCCTCGGGATTTAGGAACTCAGTGCTGTGTCTTAGTGATTTGCGCAGTGGTGGGCACAGCAAAAGGATACGACATCCCTGTTCAATCGAACAGGTCAAGAAGGTTGATGACCACCGAGTAGTGCTCGCAGGCTATCGATCGGTATGTTTACCATTCTACATTTTCTCAAAAAGCATTCTAACCATAGCCCTGTGTAGATGTGTATGTACGACCTACGATTCACTAAATTTCCAACGAAAGAAACATCTAATAATGGACGCGTCAACGGAATCTCGAGCGAGCCATATCTCGTCTTTGAGAACTACGACTGTGAGATTGCTCCTAAGATTGATTTGAGCTGGGAATTGGGTATGGTAGCTAGCAGTGAGTTTCTCCTGATAGATAATGTAAAATCGAACCGGACTTACCAACGACATGAACTTCCCAGCCACTCGTGATCAGAGTATCAAATTCCATTCTCTGGCTGATGGCTCGGTGCTACCGTCTCCGGCGTCTCATCCGGCGTCTCGGTATCCCAGTGTGCCGGGGAATATTTCTCGTCTTCTCTTTGAAAACCCGCAATATGCTACGCGGGACTGGCAACGACCGAGGCTTTTGGTTGCTCGAGGGAATATCATTCAGGAATGGACGTGGTGATAGTCAGAATCAGTATTATGTACACATATGAATACGTTGTATATATTATGTAGTCTAAAGGGAATAAATACCTCTAGCATCGTATGAAAGAAGCTATATAGATCATCATACACGCAGATAAATTTCTCCCAAAATCAAGAGTGTAGCGTGATCGATGCGTACTCTTCAAAAGCTAACTATTTCCACGCACATTACCAGCTCACGACCCAGTAATTTCAGAAAAACTTATATGTCAATTATTTTGCCACTATTGCAACATCCTAGATGGTCTAACGGTTTATGATGGGTGCTTGTCACGCACTCGACCTGGGTTCGACTCCCAGTCTGGGAGTCGATTTTTAATTTTTTTCATATCTATATTTCTTACACCGCTGAAAACAGTGATTGGTTGTAATTAAAACGGCTAGATATACGTGAAATTACCTTTTTGTGAAGTCTATACATACATACGCTCGGCAACTGCAGGTGACGCAAGTTCGTCCGCATTCCGGGGGGACCAATCACCGGGCTCCCCCACCGATCTCCGTCGCATCGTAATTAAGGTCCGACATGAACAACGCGTTGCAGTAGAACTAGACGGACGCCAAATGAACGCCGCCTTTCGGACGAATTAATGAACGAAGCCCACCATCGTCATGCTGCTGGCTAAAACTGTGTTAGTGTAGCTATTGAGAGAGTAAAGAGAAGGGGGTAGTATAAATATCATGAGTGGGGAGTATACATGTATATCAAGATGATGAGAAAGGACAGTTGTATTTCACAAACGAGGGAATTGGTATTAAGAATTGATAGGATTTTAGTTTATTTATCCTGACTAGTATTTACAGAGTGAAGCCACCGCTTTATACTACATCATATCAAAGCCCCAAAAATATCATGTCAGATTTACCACCAACCATGCGTGCCTGGGTCTACCGAGAAAAAGGCCACCCATCCAAAGTCGTCAAGCTAGAAACAGACTTTAAAACGCCACAGCCAGCAGATCTCGGAGCCGACGAGGTCTTGGTCGAGGTGCATTACACTGGATTTAATGCCGTGATCACGATATTAATCCAATCGCTCAACCCCCGGCCCTTTTCATTTTTCCTCCCGCGGCGGGATCGTGTCGCTGTTACCGAACTCGAGTTCGCTGGGCGCTTGATTGCTGCCGGGGGAAATGTTCTGGCGAGTAGACCGGATTTAAAAATTGGGGAGTTGGTGATTGGGTTTGTAGATGCCTCCAAGGCGATATTCACTGGGGCAGGTGGTTTGGCGGAGTATGCTGTTGCGCCGGCAAAGACGGTTGTTCCGTACCACGTGCCAGGTGAAGAACAGCCAAAGCTGTCGATAGAGGAATGGGCTGGTTTGGGAGGTGTTGGATGTACAGCGATTCAAGTGATTGACCGAGCTGGAGTGAAAAGTGGCGACAAAGTGCTCATTAATGGGGGTAGCGGTGGAGCAGGAGCAATGATGGTCCAAGTCACTCGGTCGGTCGTCGGTCCCAATGGGCGTGTTGTGGCTACATGTTCGGGTGCTAATGTTGAGCTGGTCAAGAGCCTCGGTGCAGATGAAGTAATTGATTACCGACAATGTGCACCGCTGCATGCATATCTCGCAGCATCTGAACACGCACGAACACCCTTCGATGCCATTATCGACTGTGTCGGGATCCAGGACCTTTTCACTCATTCCACGGCTTACCTCGCCCCAGGGAAGACGTTTTTGAATATTGGCGGAATGGATATTGAGTACTCCATGAAGGGGATATTGAAAGGGGTTTGGACGCAACTGTGGAATCGGTTTTGTCCAAGAATCTTTGGCGGCGTGCCGAGATGGTATCGATTCTATAGTGCTACTCCTGATGTGGAGTCTCTCGAGCGATTAAGGAAATTGGTTCAAAATGAAGAGGTGAGACAGGTTGTTGATTCCATATGGGGCTTTGAAGATGTGCCAAAGGTAAGCATTCACTCTCTGGTATGTTTATTTCTAAATGGCGTCTGACCGTATTGCATAGGCATATGAAGTGATGCAAAGCAAAAGAGCAAAGGGAAAGATCATTGTTCGTGTGAGGAATTAAAGTGATTTTGAGCCCGGGTCTTTTTCACGTGTATTATCATTTGAATCCTTATTAGTAGTCACACCTGTTCAGAATGCCCCCGAGGCTGATGTTAGTCAATTTATTGTTCAGTGATTTTACGCATCTGACTGCCAACTTAATCGAATCTGAGGCGGGGTGAACCTTGGTAATGGAGGCTCTGACTGGCACCCAAACCAAATGTTTGCAGTCCTAGACGGGCCGATCCACTCAGACGGTCATTATGTTGTATGCAAACTGTAACCCAATTCAATCCAATCCACCAGCAAGCCACTCTCCAACCTCAATACCAATCCCCTTGGCAAGATCTCCAATCCAGTCACCAGATATATTGACACACCACTTCTCGCCCGCATCAGCAGTAGTTGTCGTTGCTGAGCTACCACTAATATTCGCGCTTCCAGAGGGCACGACGAGTCGAAGTCGGCGCAACGTTGCGAGTTCAGTGTATATTGTGTCTGCCATGGCAGGTGCACGGATAGGGTTCGCTGGTGGGTTCGGGTCGATGGCATGATATATGGCAATTAACCGCTCAAGTGTGAATGGACGTGCTGTGAGGATCGTGGATGGACCGGCTAGATGACCACCGCCGCTCCCTGCGGACGTAGTTGCGGATGTGGTTACAAACGCAGAGTCGAGCATTGTTTTGGTGATTTTTGTTTTGACACGCTTTCCCTTTCTGGGAGTTGATGGGTCATCGAGGTCGTCTTCTGCTTGGGCTTGGGAGAGGAGTTTCAGCCTTCTTCTGTGATGGGATCGTTTGTTCCTAGCAGATAGAGATGATGAAGAAAATTTCGAGAAGAAAATCGTGTCTAGTCGCGACGGTGTATGAGATGCCACATAGGCCGACGTAAGGACAAGGGTTGGAAAGTATGGCAACGAAGGGGGTTTTGGCGCCAGGAAAGTGATTGATCTGCTATTGTTCTTGGTGGTGGCTTCGTCCGAAACAATATGATGAACCAACATTGTTTCTCCTTGAATTTTAAACATGGCTCGATTCCGGACCAAGAGCTTTGGAAAATCCCACTCTCCGCTTCCTCCTAGTGGCGTCTCCGTCAAAACAGGCTGGACAAAGCGAGGCCATAGTCGTTCACAAATGCTCCTGAATGAGGGAATAGTCCCCACCGTGGGTCCAACTAAAGAGTCATATACTGTTGATACAAATTGCGGGTAAATTTTCAAAGTAGTGTCAGATATGCCCTCCACAGCTGGCGGATTAGAGGCTGTAATGATTGTAATAGCCTCTTTGCGGGTGTAAGGCGGGAAACTGATATGCGGCACGCCAGCCAAGCTCAGAAACAGCGGACGAGGTGTAGTATTCAAAACGAGAATGACCGTCAAAACTGGGATCTATACCATCAGGTAAGTACCCATGCACACTGCCTATCCAATCTAAGGGGGCTTACCACCTCGCCCAGTCTTGCCAACGCAGCGAGTAACATCTGAGATGCATCTCGTTGTTTATCAATGCCATCCAACACCAGTATAAATTTGTCGACCCCCTTCCCCTTGGACGATGAAAAGGCGTCTGTCAAAAGCACCACCAGCGTGCTTACATACTCGCACTTGCCTTTGCCGAATCGCTCCCATTCGTCTCCCAAATCAAGCACGCGTAGTGTCTCCAAAAGTATTTTGGTAAGCAGATGTCTTCCGGTAATGCATTCGGCGCAGCGGACGACTGTATGAGGAACGTTGAGCGCTTCCAGAACGGCTCGAGTAATCGTGGATTTGCATGTTGCTGAGATCCCATGCAGAACGAGGGCCGGTGGGCTTGGAACATGGGGCTATTCACGAGGTTAGATCATCTCAACTCATCTTACAGGATAAATGAAAACTTTTGGTGAGCACTCACACTTAGAAGCGCCGCAAGCTGCTGAGTTTGCGATTCACGGCACGGCCATCGTTGGCTCAAAGAGCGGCCTATCTGGAGAGGAAGAGGGGTCATTGCGATTGCATTTCGGGAATGGAATGTATTGTGATTTAGAAATGCTTTAAGAAGCTTCTTGAGGTAGCTATTATTAACAGATAGGTGCAATGTTTGGGTGTTGTGGGTGAGGGACGAGCACAGTTGACTGCTTTTTCAAGCTAGGCTGGGTGAAGCTGCCGCACCGGCCGCGGAAGTCAACAAGTCCCAGTCCAACCGCTGGGCCGTGCTCCACGCTGCGCGCAGCTTCTATCCATGAACCCTGGTGCTATCAATCCATGGTTTCAATTATTACAACTACGTGGCATAATCCAGACAGGGCATAAAGTATGAATACATTCATCTAAAGCTAAAAAAGGCCAAACACTTCCTGGGACACGAATGTCGGGGGTGTGTACGTCAGGCTCTGACTGTGTCTAGAGTCCCTTGCAGCCATGAACAATATTGAGCAAAGACATTGACGAAATGAACTAAAAGAAAAAGGGGGGAAATAGTCTGAGAGAGAGTGAAGTTTAGTCAAGAATCTCAATCATGATTCCGTTATCATCGTGTTGCATGCGCATACAGAGTAAAAGAAGAAGAATTGTACAGTTCATGATGTAATGCGTCTTCAGAAGAAAATGGTGAACGATCCTGAAAAATGCATCAACCAAATGGAGAGAATATCGCCGCGCTGCGTCAAGTTGATTCTCCAACAATTTCAACTGACGCATGTTCGTTGATAGGGCCGTTAATCGTAAGCGTCATAGCGTCGTCGCTAGAATACAAGTCTGTATAGCACAGAGATGGGAGGACGGTTGTTTTGATTAGAAAAAGGTGTTGCCACCAAACGCCTGATTCTGAGGAAGGGTGTGGGTTGGAGTGTGTGAAAAGGTTCCAACTTCGCCAGGACCAGTAGAAGAGGGAATGCCAAAAGCATTAGACGGGGTGGTCAATTGCGGGGTGCTGAACGACTGAGCAGCAGTTCCATTAGCACCAAAGGAATTCGGGCCGTTTAGGAAAGGCTTTGGTGGAACCTGCATCGATGCAGGCAGCTGGCCAGAAGACATGTCATTAGGCGTGGCTTGACCGCTAGGGTTGCCGCTGGTACGTCCCGAAGATTCAACACCTGCCATTTTCCCAGCAATGCGACGTCCGTGAGGAGTTTGGCGGATAGCAGGCAAGATAGGACGAATAGCGTCCATAAGGCGGTTGCGAGTGTCAGCATCGACAAAATCCATTGCAGTCTGAACGACATAGTTTGCGAAGGAGTCTCGCAGCATTGCCTCGAGCTCGCGGGGAACAAGTAACTCTTCGGTCATGCGGCGTCGCATTGGAAGCTCTGCGGTGCGCAAGCACTTTTCGATTACGTTAGAGCTAAACTTCTGCTTCGAGAGGGGAGGAATGTTGCCCAGGAACGTCTGGCAGAGCGGCTCAGTGAAATGGGGCTCAGACAAATCAAGGATGTACTGGACAACGTAATTGCCGAATGGATCCTGAACGAGCGAGAATGCGTTGGATGTGATCTGAGCAATCAAGCGAGCGCGCTGGTCTCCTGATGCATGGTCGATACAGCGCTGCAGAACACAGCATCCGTGGCGATGGGTGCCGACCACGACACATGAAGAACCGACAGCATCATAGATGAATTGCGCATCCTCGGCAGACAGACGATTGAGACATTTTTGAATGACATGGTTTCCGTTGAGGTCTTGAACCAAATCCACAACGTGGCCACGCAGAGCCTCAATAACCATCTGTATCTGCTGCTGAGTCGAAACGAATTCGATCATTTTCTGCAAAGCACGCGTGCCATGCTGGTTCAGAGCGATTGGAACAAGCTGTGGCGCGGCATTGTGGATCAAACGAGTTCTCTGATCATCGTTCGAGTATTCGAGTAGCTTTTGACACAGGTAGTTGCCAAATGGATCTACGCAAGGTCAGTAAAAGGTATTAACATATTAAAAGAGTGCGGGAACACAAACCAGTCATTAGTTCAACTACGTGCATACAAGTTTCGGCGAATATCATCTGGACGTGGTCGGGATTGCGTTCCTCAAGCTTACGCTGAAGATAACGACATCCGTGTTGGTCCTTGCACAGGCCATACAGCTCTCCGCGGTACTGTTCTAGCGGAAGATTCGCAAAGCGCGAAACTTGCTGAGCGTCGGTTTCACCATTGCGATGAGCAGGAGCATTATTCTGACGAGCTGGTATCCTCGAAAATTGGAAACCCCCATTTTGACCGAACCCAGGGTACGGAGCTTGACCATTGAAATTTTGGACATTGCTCCCGTTGACTGGGATCCCGTTGTTCATGTAGGGCTGAGCAGCGTAAGGGAAGAATTGACCTTGGAAATTAGGGATACCATTGCCAGTCGCAGGGCCTGTAAGAGTCGGTCCAGATGCAGCAGAAAGCTGAGGTCCAAAAGGAGCGGCGGTAGGTTGAAGACCCGAGGCTGGGCCATTACCGTTAGCAACGAGGTTGGAGTCTTCACGTTCAGGGGATTCTTTGGCAGAACGAGAATTAGCCGCACCAGGAGGAATGCGGCCTAGGCTCGCATTGTGCTGGTGAAACGCTTCTGCATGAGACTTTGGAGGAGTAATAGAGTTTCCAAAGCCATTTGCTTTCATGGTGGGCAAATCATTAGTCGAGTAAGATGACTGCAGAGATACTGGTCGAGTAGACGTCGGGCCAGTAGGAGTTGTGGGCTCCTGTTTACCAAAGAAGTTCAGCTCCACGGAATGGCGAGCAGCATGACGAGTGTGGTTGCCCATATCAGTAGATGGCGCACCATCAATCTGATTTTCAGAGCGAAACATATTCAAATCACCCTGGGGCATAGAACGGTAGCGACTATGAGTGTTCCAGGGTTCAGGGGTGCGGGAATTAGCCAAATCAAGTGCGTCGGAATTGGCAGAAAGCTTAACAAACGTATATTAATATCAAACTGAGGCATGCAAGTGAAATTCCTGACTTACCAATCCTGAGTTTTGTGACAACGTGGGAAATTTATCGTCAAGATCTGTCATTCGAAGATAGCTTTTTATGTCTGGAGTAGGGAGGCGGTCCTCGTCTTTTGGAGCCCCTCTACTCTCGTCACCGAAAAGAAGCTTGGCTGCGTTGAAGGGTTCAAGTGTCGAGTTGTTGTAAGTTGCAGTTGTTGATCTCAACTGGGCAGCCAGACTTGTTGTAGGCATAGAGTAACGGTGAATTCTATCAAAGAGTGGAAGTCAGTAGTTTGCCAAGAAAAAGAGCAGCAAACATGAGAATAAATTGATGTGAGTGAAATGAGAGAGATGAGAGAGAAAGAGGAGAGAAGAAGTAAGAGAGAGAAAGTGGGAGAGAGAGAAGGAAAGAAAAGAGGTGCCTGGTGCCGAGACACTTGTTTTCCCAACGAGCTCATCGTGACTGAATGCCCCAACAGTTCACAATGACCATGAATTGAGTTGTCATGTGAATAGGTTGAGCAATTGCATAAGATATGTAATTGGACAAAGGAATTGAGGGCCATAATGAAAATGCCAGAGAGATAGAAAGCCACTTACGAGGGACCTGGTCGGTAAGCAGAGGTGGAGTCTGGGAAATATTCCTCCTCCTCTGAGTTCCTTCGAGAACCTGGAACAGACTGGACTGAGAAACGCTGGTTGTTGGCAGTTGGAGTAGTGCCGTTTCTGTTGGTATGAGAGGTGGTTGGGGGTGAAGTCACTGAAGAAGGAGAAAAAATGTTGAAGATGCCAGGAGAGGAGGTGACACTGGAGGTGGAGAAACGTGTGTGTCGTGGGAAGGCACTTGAGAAGGTAGTGTCACGGTACTCTGGAGGTGTCGTGGGTTCACTGACAGGGCCAGAGAGGCCTGCATTAGCAAGGTCACGAGCTAATTGGTCCATTTCCTGCTTCTCTCTCTCATGTTGGAGATCAAGTAACTTCATATCAGCCTCAAACCGCTTCTTCTGTTCCCGCATATACTCAATGTGTTGGCGCTTTTTCTCAAACTGGAGAGCGATGTCAGTTATTTATAGGGCAGGAGAAAAGATCTCAAACTCTACTTACCAACTGTGACTTGTGAATATGAGTTGCCTATATACACAAGATCATTAGTCATCACATTTGCAAATGAAGGTGAACAAAGCAGTTCCAGCTCCCAGAGAAAGGCTTTTCACTGATGAAGCTGACAATGAACCGGAACAATAGGAGCAAGCCCCTGGACGGACACTAGACCATGTCCTCAACCTCAGATCTCCCCAACAGCGTCCCATGCCTACACGATCGAATGATTACGACAAAACGGGGACTTACCGAAGACAGCAAGTCCAGGGACTCGGACGTTTGGGAGGACTGCTGGTTGGCAAAGGTCCATGACGACAGTTTACTCGCATCGGTAGTGAAACGGCGTTGGAGGTTGGCACGCACTTCGGTAGAGGGACGTTGGAAGGCAGAAATCAAGTTGGACTGGGGAGATAGAGGTGTGTATGCATTGAAGTGAGCGTCGGCGGGCGGAGACCGCGGCGATGGGAACCGCAGCTCATCAAGACGCTCGCTAAGGCCGTTTTTGAAGGCCATGGTGAGGAGGGAATACTCGAGCGGAGGTCAAAAGCTACACGAGGGCATCGGGCAGGTTAGCGGATTATAGTAACGGGAAGCAGCCGAAGCAACGCTTAGAGGCGAAATTGTACAACGAAGCATCGCCCAATTGAGCGGCCAGAGTCAAAAAAGGAGTGACTGAACGATTGTGTGGCTGGAGAAATATCAGGGCATGAGCGAGCGAAAGGGGAGCAGAGGGGGGTGGTTGGTGGGTGGGTATTGTTTAGGGTGTGAGGGTTTCAGACGATTGGGAGGGGCGGAGACACTACCAGCGGTTGGCGGTGTGTCTCGGGGAGGCAGTAACGCACGCAAGGAGCGGAGAGGGGTGCTGGAGGGGCCAAATCACTTGCTCTGTACCTCTTCGTCTTTCCTGCAGCACTCACAGAGACTCAGGACAACGGCTATACGGACGACGAGGCGACTTATGGCATGTCGACACTGGCGCTGTCGGAAGGGTGCTTGGAGCAGGCAGGGCTCCAGTCGGCGGCTATCAGGGCGAGCGACGGGACGGGACAGGACAGGCAAGGAAACGCGCGGTAAAGAAGGTCGACGTCCAGCACAAATCATACAGAAAGCGCATATAATATACAAGAAGGCGAGCCTGGACTGCGAGGAGAGGAGGATAGAGGGACAAGTTGGGCTGGCGGCGGGACAGCCAGAAGAAGACAGGGACTAGCCTAGTACTAATATACACTACTAAGGATTAGTTGAGTTGGTTGGTACTGGTTAGTCAACAATTACAATACTAACGTTAACTAACTAATAAATTATAATTATTTCGTAGTCAGTCAAATCGTTAGGGCGCGCACGGCGGTTACCTTTGCCCCCCCAGCCCCGGCGAGGCGGGGAGCCAATCGATCGTTGTTGCAACAGGCCTCGACTACAGATGTAGCTAGTTGGCTTGCTCATCATCGTCAGCGGTATTGTTACGATCGCCGCCAACCGCACGTCTTTTGTTTTAAGAGATAGATAGTAAGGGATTCCGTGCGCTGTGTCCAGCCTCCAGAATTCCGATGTGGCATATGTAAAGAACCAGATAAAGTTCAACTATTGGTACAGATCCTCGGGGCGTCTTTTCAGAGGACAGGCGTGACAAGAGCTGGTGTACGCAATTAACTATCGGGCCCTCCCGAGGACCGTCGCCATGTAACTATCTCAACCCACTAGGAACAGGCGAATACGCCGAGTGTTCCCTCAGCAATTGCAGGCGCGATACACAGCGGAGCTACCATGACCGAACAAAGGCAGACAGCGGGAGACGCCAGAGCATCGGATTCGGAAACTATATCTGAGCCAGCCTAGACAGACATGGATGGTGGACGGAGGGCGTTCCTAGCTACCGCTGCAGGCAGGTGCAGCTAGCCAGATCGCTGGCTTCCAGTCAGTCTGCAGGTCAGTACCAAGGCTGCCCTATCTCAACCCGCAATCCGCAATCCGCGATTCGACAAGCTAGGAACGCACCTACAACCATGCAACTGTCGCGGTCGTTTTCTTTGTTCGGCAGTGTTCTTCGGCGCAAGACTGTCCTGCCGTTACTCTGTTACCGACAGCAGTGCAGAGAATAAAAGATACTCCAAAGAGTTGGAGTGATTGGGCTGCCGTAGGGAAGAGAAGGGAAAGCCTGAGCCGAAGTTAAAAGGCAGGCTAGAGCTTCCGCTTGGCTGTGTTACCCGCCGCTCCACCCTGCTCCCAGCCACGTCAAACAGCAACTATCAACAATCAATCAGACCTGGAGCAGGCAATGACACATGCCGCGTGTCTGCGAGTATGCAACACACTGTGCAGTATATACTATGTGCTCTGGACAGTCGCAGTCCTTCAGCGTGGTTGATGATGGCACCACGCATGGTGGCGACAACAGGAGCTCCACAGGTTGACAGCGACCGCCTTTGTTGGAGGAGCGGTGTGACCGAGCTTTTCTTATTTGAACTCTAGCCTGATTCATCGTTGATTGTGTTTAATAATAAACATGGCCTGGAATGTCGAGGTAAAACCCTCAAGACCGTTCAATGGCTGCTCTACAAGCGAATAATCACACAATCCTCAATATTGTCGAATACCACCAATATCATATCATCGCGCTGTGCCCCGCGCGGTTGTTGGATGTATGCAGCACTGCGATGGTCTGGAGTGGATTGAGAATCCGGAACTAAGCCCTCGCTAATTTCCCACAGTGAGCCTAAATGTCCCCTGCGGCGTTCCGTGGTTGCATCTGTCTTTTCCAATTAGTAGTCCAGCCTTGCTCACTATTCGTTCCTATGCGTCCTCTGCCTTTTTTAGAGTGCATGTGGGAACTCCGCTCTCTTAAGCAACTTGTAAAGCAAGCAATATATACCATTGTACAGAAGCACAAGTCAATTTATAAGACAATTCCTGCCCATCATCAATGGTTTGATCAGTCCGAAACGCCTGCAGTGTTCGGCGGTCAGTCCGGTGTCAGGCTTCTGAATCCGTTTCTCAGTGGCTAACCCCGCACTCTCAAGTCGGTATGACAAGTCACAGGGAACACGACCATTGATGAACTGTACAAGTCTGGCATCGGCTTTCGTCTTCTCCACTTGTCGAGAGATGTATATTCTAGCGCGTGTATAGATAGCAATTGTCAATTGATCTCGATGCCTGTCAATTGTTGGGCGCGTTCGCGGCCTAAATGTGGGCTTTTGGATTTCACGGTTGAAGCCCGCTACCACCATTTCACGAGCAGGATGCTAATGGCTGCAAGCCTCTATCGAGATATGATGTCCTATGGTGGCTCAATGTTCAGCCACAGAGCCTCAACCCACCCCTCGCAAACTCGCTTACCGACCATCGAGGTGTGCGAGCCGGATAGAGAGATTATTATTACCTTCCTGAGGCTGCTCTTGCCGAGACAATGGCCTAAATGCCTGGCAATCGAATTGACAGCCAAAACTAATACTACTGTCTCATTCCTTGACTGTAACTCGCGAGTAGTCTGTTCAAACTAGCGCATTGTGAATATAGCCCGAATACTATGAGGTGATTGGCTCCGCGAGGCACCGTACTGCTGTATGAGTTGCCAAGGCCAGCTTCTGTAGGTACTCTCCCCATCATAGAGGCTAGATAAACCGACGAAATGTGAGATACCACGACGACACATGCCAGGATGTGAATACTTGCCGCCAGAGCATGGAATAATGCAAGAATGTAATAACGTGCTAAGAAATTGGCAAGAAAGCAATGAGGGCCGAAGAACGTGGGTCCTGTTCAAGCTCCCGGCGGAAAGAGCAGGTTGCCTATCTTAGTATAGCGTGACAGGGAAAAAAAAGCTTCATTATCTAAGCTTGCCGCCGCTATTTTTGCACCCCTCCTCTCCGTCAAGAGGGCAAGAATAAGAGCTTCGGAGATAGCAAGAAGAGAGGTAAATCTATTGAGTGGACAACTTCTATCGAGACTGAGCCTTCAAAAGTTCAATAACGGCCTGCATCCCTAACTGAAGGGCGCCGCAGAGAAGTATGCCTCCACGCAAGCGGGCGCAACCTGCGGCAAGCGATGCTGTCACTCCATCCGCGGTACGAGACTGTCTCCAACTGTGAGCATGTCGTCATTGTTTGTGCTGACCACTAGATCTAGAGTACACAAGGCAGGAGGTCTTCAAAAGTCGGCGTTGCCCACAAACCAAAGTCGGTCTCCAGCATACCTACAGTAACCGAACCGCAAGAACACGATCACAACGATGACCATTCGCATCCCCATAAACCGCGGAAAGTCGATCCTTTTGACGCCCTACTTGAGCCTTTCTATTATAACAAATCCCTCACCGATCCTATCAACACCGCCCGAGACAAATGGAATCTGCTCCCTGCCTTTCTGAAAGTCAAGGGACTCGTTAAGCAACACATCGACTCCTACAACTACTTCATTGAAGTGCAACTTAAGAAAATCATACAGGCTAGTTCGACGATATATTGCGAGTCTGATGATGCCTTTTATCTCAAGTGAGTCGGCTGTCTAGTCCGCGTAAAATATTACGCATTTCTGATGACTCATCCTGCCACAGATTTACAGATATCTATGTCGGCAGTCCTCGTCGGAGTGATGAATCTAAAGAACAGGTCGACTTCGATTCAACGGTAAATCCAAATGAATGTCGTCTCCGGGACGCGACATACGCTGCCCCGATTTTCGTCGATTTTGTATATATACGTGGTCGTGAACGAGTTAGGAAGAAGGGCATACCTATCGGCCGCATGCCGGTCATGTTGAGGAGCTCGAAATGTGTGCTCTCGAACAAGAAAGCCGCCGAAATGCATCTTTTGAATGAATGTCCACTTGATCCAGGTGGCTACTTCATCGTAAATGGCACCGAAAAAGTCATTTTAGTCCAGGAACAGCTAAGCAAGAATCGTATCATCGTCGAAACCGACCCGAAGAAGGAGATTGTGCAAGCTTCCGTCACCAGCTCATCCAACGAACGCAAGTCGAAGAGTTATATTCTCCTAAAGAAGGACCGTTTATACCTTAGGCATAACGTTCTCAGTGAAGACGTTCCTCTCGTCATTGTTCTTAAAGCCATGGGAGTCCATTCGGACAAGGAAATCATTCTTCTCGTTGCCGGTCTTGATGATCTATATCTCGAGGATTTTGCCATCAATTTCGAGGAGGCAATAAAGCAGAATGTTTACACGCAGCAACAAGCTCTGGACTGGCTAGGGTCAAAAATCAAAATCAACCGTGGCAAGAACACAAATTACAAGAAGACTCACACCGAAGAAGCTATTGAGGCCATTTCTTCTGTCATTATTTCTCACGTCGAAATTACGGACATGGACTTCAGACCCAAGGCCCTATACGTTGCGAACATGGCCCGACGTGTTTTGATGGCTAAGCACGACCCGGGTATGGTTGATGACCGAGACTATGTGGGAAACAAGAGACTAGAACTTGCGGGTCAGCTCCTCGCCTTACTTTTTGAAGATCTTTTCAAAAAGTTCTGCTTTGATATCAAGATGAACATCACTAAAGTGCTGAGCAAGAGGCGCCGCACTGAGGCTTTTGACGCAATGAGCGTCGTTGCTTTGCATGCAAATCACATTACTCACGGTATGAATCGAGCTATCTCGACCGGAAATTGGAGCCTTAAGCGTTTCCGTATGGAACGTGCGGGAGTTACTCATGTTTTGAGTAGGCTCAGTTACATTGCAGCATTGGGCATGATGACTAGGATATCCAGTCAATTCGAGAAAACTAGAAAGGTTAGTGGGCCTCGAGCCTTGCAGCCATCCCAATTCGGCATGCTTTGTCCTTCAGATACACCAGAAGGCGAGGCTTGTGGTTTGGTGAAGAATCTTGCGCTTATGACACACATTACAACCAACGATGAAGAGGGTCCAGTCTCAAAGTTGGTATTTATGCTAGGCGCAGAAGACATAATCACCTTGAGTGGCATGGAGATATATGGCCCAGGAGCTTACATCATTTCCATGAACGGAACACCCATGGCCCTGACGAGGCGACCTAAACACTTTCTCGATTCATTTCGTAGATTGCGGCGGATGGGACGAATATCTGAATTTGTGAGCATATACATTAACCACCATCAGCGAGCTGTTCATATTGCAACCGATGACGGACGAATTTGTCGACCTCTAATTGTCGTTTCCAATGGTAAACCTGTCGTTAATACGAAGCACTTGGGGAAGCTCCGGGACGGATCTATGCAATTTGATGACTTTCTTGCCCAGGGCTTGGTCGAGTATTTGGACGTGAACGAAGAGAACGATTCCAACATTGCTATTTACGAGCAGGATGTATCTGACACTACGACTCATCTTGAGATTGAGCCTTTTACCATTCTTGGCGCTGTCGCTGGTCTCATTCCATACCCTCACCATAACCAGTCGCCCCGAAATACATACCAGTGTGCTATGGGTAAACAAGCCATTGGTGCCATCGCTTCTAATCAATTTTTGCGGATTGATACCTTACTTTATCTCATGGTGTATCCTCAAAAGCCCATGGTGAAGACACGCACGATTGAACTTATCAAATACGACCAGCTTCCAGCCGGTCAAAACGCCACTGTTGCCGTCATGAGTTATTCAGGTTACGATATTGAGGACGCCCTGGTGCTGAATAAAGGATCCGTCGATAGGGGCTTCGGACGGTGCCAAGTGTTTCGCAAATATGCCACCAGTTTGAAGAGCTATCCGAATGGATCAGAGGATAGGCTTGTAGGACCTGAATTTGATCAAGGTGTTCCAATATCGAAACACGCTCTTATCGACAGCGACGGATTGGCTGCAGTTGGTGAAAAGATCAGCCAAGGTGAGGTATATATCAACAAAGAAGTTCCAGATGCTGCTTTCTCTACCGGCATCACGGGGTCTGATGTGGGACGGCCAACCAAGTATTCTGCAGCGCCCATGACTTACAAACTTCCCGATCCAAGTTATGTCGACAAAGTCATGATTTCTGTCACCGAAGGCGAGGGTAGGATCTACAAAGTTCTAACCCGACAGACACGCAGGCCCGAGGTAGGCGATAAATTCTCTTCTCGTCACGGTCAAAAAGGCGTTGTTGGGATTATTGCCGAGCAGGCAGATATGCCGTTCACCGACCAGGGCATTGTACCAGACATTATCATGAACCCGCATGGTTTCCCCTCCCGAATGACGGTTGGCAAATTACTTGAGCTGGTTGCAGGCAAGGCTGGTGTCTTATCTGGCCAACATGGTTACGGGACGGCCTTTGGCGGTAGCCCCGTTGAGCAAATGTCAGCCATCCTTGTTGACAAGGGCTTTAGCTATGGCGGTAAAGATTACCTGACATCTGGGATAACTGGCGAACCTCTTCCTTTCTACGTCTTTACAGGTCCAATCTACTACCAGAAGTTGAAGCACATGGTTCAAGACAAGATGCACTCTCGCGCCACTGGGCCACGTACCACACTTACCCGCCAACCGACTGAGGGTCGTTCCCGAGATGGCGGTTTACGTCTCGGAGAGATGGAACGTGATTGCCTTATTGCTTATGGTACAAGTCAGCTTTTACTCGAACGTTTGATGCTTTCATCTGACAAGCACGTGGTTGACATTTGCGAGAAGTGTGGTTTTATGGGCTACCACAACTGGTGTCAACGTTGTCGCTCGTCGCGAGGGGTCTTGAAAATGACCATTCCCTACGCAGCCAAGCTACTGATTCAAGAGTTGCTTAGTATGAATGTTACGGCGCGACTAAAACTTGAAGATGAGTTCCCCGAAGACCGTGGTATGTAAAGGACATTAGAATTGAGCATGATTTTTGACTACTTTTTCTTGGATTATCTTTGCATAGCGTTTGGGAATGCATATTTGTACATAGAAGAGGTAAAAGTGCAATTAAGGATCACATATTTTTATCTATGCTATCATTCGTGCTATCGGATTGGACGGAGGACTTTTGGCTATACTTACATCCATTTAGCGGACGCGCAATTATATCCCGAGCCCGATGCGTACAAGTTGTGCAATGTTGACGTCGGAAACAACCCCAAAAAACCCCAGTCAATCATAAACCAGAACTTGTCCGACTAAAAACAGAGTAATAGGATATGAAACTGCCGGTCAGCTCCGTTAGGAAGCTTATTTTCGCCTTATTATGCACTCATCCTCGGCAGGAAGTGCAATACGTCCTCGAGTTTGTGCTTTGGTAGTGGAAAAGATCTTTCAGCAGTCATTCAAAACTCATTTTTTGATATGGAAACCGCACCTCGAGTTGCAGAATTTTGCACCTCCACCAAAGAAGATCAGGATGACGGCTTTGGTCTTCCAGGAATTACCTTGCCGTTGGACTACAGTCCGGAAGCATTGAATGCGTACGGGGTTAGCACTCGGTCCTTATTTCCTTCGAGCTTGGATTGCAGAGATATTGAAAGTGGCTACATCAAGTATGTCAAGGTTTGATCTATGTTAATACAGACGCTGACTTTGAAATTCGCGTCTAAGTCAACCAATCTTGACGTTTCGAGAGTTAAAAATGATTCGATTGATAAACCAATTTACAGATCGGGAGGCTTGGGTGTCAAAGGTATCAATCAATCTTTGTAATTTGACGTCTCTGTAAAGGGGGGGACTAACATCTGAGACAGGCATTTGAGGAATCTTATATGGAAGCCTATAGGGACGATATTCTAAAGGACCCGGAGGTAACCCAAAAAATGGCAAATTGGTTGATGTCTGAACTCAAGTTCAAGGCTCTAGTTGCCAAAAGAACGAACAATGTCATCAATATCTACAATGGAGATGTTGTCAAGTCTGACTCGGTATTGATGGGTCATCTCCATGAAGAACTTAAAATGGCCATCAAAGGTTTGGAGAAAGGACTTTCATCTTTTTCCGAGTACCGTTCTGCTACGGAACCCAGAGAATTCGACTACGTGCATCCGTCATTCTTTCCACTGGTATTTGGTGAAAGCCGGGTACTTCGTGACCGCACCATTGGCCTTGACGATGCTGTGGAGAACATGGGAAAGGGGGAGATCCTTGAAGTGCCTAAAGACCCAGGGCCTTCCAGAAAAGATTTAAGTTGGAATATTGCATCCCGTTCGGATATTGGTCCAAGGCCATACAGTTCAAGATTTCAATGGCTTCCGAGTAACGTTCTCTTTCGACCAGACGGCACCTGTTATTTCAGCAGTTATATCAACAGCATCCATCCGCAGAGAAATCAAAAATTATATCCTATGATCGAAAAAGCCTTAGATAAAATTATTCTTATGTGGGATATGGCATTGACGCCACTGAAGACTGTCTTACATTCTCGATCACGGATAGACTTGCAAGAAGTCCAGTACAAGGATATCTCACCCGGAAAAACGGAACCTCGTCCAAAAATAAGAGATGATGAAACCAGGACCAAATACGAAGAGCGAATACGCGATTGGCGAAAAAGGAACTTTGTGGCGGTCCAACCAGAGCCTGGTGTATTCGCACCAATAGCTATTCCACCTCAGATCCTGGAAGATCTTCCGAAGGAAGAGAAGAGCAAGCATCGGATTGAAGATAAAATGGATTTGAAGGAAGAATACGGTCATCGTGGACTGCAAGTGATTGTAAAATTAACAGAGTATTCGATGACTCCTGAAGAGCCAAGGTTTGAGACGGAGTGGCATGTGGAAGGTCAAATTGTATGCATCTCAACATGTCAACTATTACAAACAACGCCACGTATAACCCGCTAACTATCAGCTATTTAGAATGAGCACATATGCGCGTCGGCAGTTTACTGCTTGGAAGATGAAAATACCGATGTACATGACCTAGAATTTCGCCAAATAGCCGATACACTACCCCTAGCAGATCTCGAGTTCGACCGCGGTGATAGTGTTTGGCTGGAGCAGATATTTGGACTACACAACAACGAGCCCGCTGTCCAACACGTTGGAAATATGTGCTTTTCGGAGGGCCGTGCAATTGCCTGGCCTAACGCTTTACAGCACAGGGGCATAGCGACGCTGAAAGATAGATCTAAGACAGGGTATGTCCATATATTGCAATTCATGCTGGTTGATCCCAATATCCGTATCATCTCCACTGCAAATGTGCCGCCTCAACGACTCGATTGGAAAAAAGAAGCGGAAGAAACATCAGTGGATGTTAGAAAATTGCCTCTGGAAGACAAGCTGAAAATATTGAAGAGAGAAGGGAACTTTCCCTGGGCATTGCAAGAGGCAAAGAATATCCTACGCGGTGCCCGCGAGGAACGCAGGGCATTCAATCACTACCAAGATGTCGCCTATCACTCGAAAAACGTCATTCTTTGATTGATAAATCAATGTCTTTTGCGCGCTGTCAATGATATATTAAATTGTAGGTCTATTGGAAAATAGGTACACAATGGGTTTAATGTTACTTCAATCAGGATATAAAATGATACTGTCCAGACTTCTATAAATGCATATACGTGATAAACAACACTCAATCCACCAAATTCATGTACCTTTCGACAACAGTCCAGTACCTCTCCGGGTCTCCTCTCATATGTCCAACATGCGGCGTACCCTTGAACTTGACCAACTCAACCTCCCTCCCCTTCTCCGCGGCCGCGGCAGCATGCTCCTCGACATCTTGACACGGAATCAAATCATCCGCATCCGAGTACAAATAACCCGACCTAACCCCCTTCTTGCTCCCTTCTCTAGGCACAATAAAGTCACTGTCAAGCGTGATTCTCCGTGTGAACGCAAACGGGTCATCTTTCTTGAGAATCAACTTCCTAAGCACCCAACCAGCCCACACAAAAACAGACAACAAGCCCCATCCAATCTGTTTCACAACAAGCGTCTGTGGAAGCGCATACGCCAGTGATCTAATCGTCTTCGATGGCGTAGGTATGCCCGGTGCACTATCCACGAGCATGGAAGACACCTGCAATGGGCTTCCTGTAGCATGTCGATACGCGAGTAATAAATGGGAGATGGTGAACATACCGCCATTCGAAAAGACGTGTATAAATACCGGCTCTTCTTTGTTCTGGCAGAGCACCTCAATGGCAGGGTTCAGCCGCCGTCGGTGCGATGTGAGGGTATGGTAGAGGTAGAAGTCCTTGGGGCCGCTGAGGAGGAAGAGGATGTTGGAGGAGGGTGCTAGTTGGGCATATTGCACGACGAATTTGATTAGGGCTCGTGGAGGAGCGTGGTACCAGAAGGCCAGGATTATGGTAGATGGTGGGGCTGGTCCTGATGGGGTGCGTGGTGGGACGAGATAGATGGATGGGGAGAGGCGAGTATACTTGGCGAAGAGATTTTCAGTTGTTGAAGATGTTGACATTGTTGTGTTGATGGTCGATATGCATGTATTCAATGTATCCGGTGTAGGGATGATGGTGTCGATGTCAACTGATGATAGCCCCAGCAAATCTAAAATCGTCTAATAGAAATCTTCGATGCAAACAAACTAAATAAGAGACGTCTAGAGCCTTTCTAGTTCATTATTAATTGTCGGGTTGTCTATATCATGTTTAGCTGACTGTAGACTTGGCCTGGGATTACCCCTATTTGGGTTACATAAGATCGATACTTACCGAAATTACGAGTAGCGAATTTCCAGAATCAAATACGATCGATCCTGAACTCGGTATCTGAATAGCCCTTTCAAAGAGCAGAAAAAGGTATTCTTATAATATATTGATGATTATCGATCAAGATGATTAGCAATGGCGTTGGGGTCCGTAAGCCGAGGCTTGAATGCTTCGGCTCTAGCGCCTTTTGCTTACTTGATTATACATCGTTCTCGATTATTCATAGCTAGGTCGTGTTGATATTCTTAGGGATATATATGTTTTAATTATCTGAGAATACAAGTTTAATAAGAATATGTAGATACATTCTTTCTATCCGTTTCGAGAGCTCCAATATAAATGGTAGTAATAAATTAGTTTAAAGACTAGTCCCATCTGTTGATATTGACATTATAGTATTGCGAGTCCTCTCCCAACCGAGAATTCCATTGAAAAGGGAACAAATGGTCAATCTATGAAATGCTCCCGCGAAATTTTAGACACCTGGACGCCAGATCACCTGTCATGTAGAAACACATATTCACATTAGACAATGCAAATGAATTGTCGAGGTCAAAAACAATCCCCGACATATGCCCTCATCTCTTGCGACCTTCAACGTCACTGCCAGATGTGGGAGTCCCTGAATCTCCAAGTCCCTTTTTCCGAGGGCGAAGAGTCTGTCCCTGTCCTTGAAATTTCGGTTTGTTGTCTTCTTCGACGACCTTACCTTGTTCATCACGTTTCTGCACTGGCTTTAAAGCATACCCAAAGAAGAGCTTATTTGGCGCAAGCCGTAGTGGTTGTGGTCCGTTGGTTCTTCGTGGTGGGGGCGGATGTTCAGGGTTTGTGGACTTCCCTGCAATCGGAGTACTAGCCTGTGGGGTTGGTGCTTTGCTGTTCTTTTTCGCATTCAGGCGATGTCCACCTGCGATAAAGTTGGATGACACAGCCCTGGCGCCGTTTGCAGCGTCAGTTGCCTCAGGAGCAATAGCAGCGTAGTTGATGGCCTGAGCCATGCTTCCATGCGAGTGGACTAAGCCACCTGCCGGAGCACCTAGAGCACTGCGTGGCGTGCTTGTGCCGCTTGTCCGTGATGGTTCCTCATATCCGATAGGAGGTGCAAAGTCGACTTCGAGATCTGTTTCTAAGACTGAAATTGCCTTTTTCTCGCCATCTGGTTTTGCGTCGAGAACTGCTACCTCGTAAATCTGATCATTGTAGGCAAATGTGAAGACATCCCCTTTTGTAAGACATGAAAAATTCCTAAATGCATTTTCCAGAACTGCTTTTGGATCACTGATATCGAGAAAGGATGTTGACTGTGGTTGGAGCTTGATGAATCGACCTTGGGGAAGATCAGTTGATTTGACCTGGATAAGATCGCCGGGCTCAAGAAGCAGCGTTTGCATCAACTGTAACGCGTAAGACTGTTAGCAATAAACCTTTGTCTAGATAAGGCTCTCATACCCAAAATGGCAGATAAATTTTGCCTTCCTCGGCAATAAACTCCAGAACGCCAGCATGTGTCATCTTTTCTTTGGCGCCATTGTGTAGCTCAAACAGCATCGGATATGTAATGTGCAGGCGTGTTAACTTGTCGAGAGCACTCGGCGGCATGATGACTTTTCCTCCATGATTCACATTCTCTCTCTCTGGTCCTGGCATCATGACAACTGGATAACACCGATAGTACTCGTCGAATCGACGGGGAGCGCCACCGTAGCGCATGGCTCCCCCTAAGATGCCGTCCATTGGGTCTGCGTCCCAAGCACCAGGACGATACTAATGAAAAATCAATGAGTGAGTGATATACCAGGGAGTAGATAGAAAGGAAGGTAAGGTACCATTGTGGTGAGGTGTGCGTGTTCAATGCGGGGAGGGGTTCTTGCTGAGTGTAGGAATCACTGTTTGGGTTTGTGGATTTGGCGAGATGTTAATATCAAAGAAAAAAATTATTTGTATGTGCCCTAGCCTGGATACTGCTGGACGATCAGGAGAGGTGAAGGTGGGATGTTGGTCTGTCTTGCTGTCGCCTGCAGCCTTTCGATCCGTCGGTGACGCAAGTGACCGCCTGAACTCCGGTCAAAGCTAGGGAAGCTCCTCACGATTTTCCGATCCGACCCCAGATTTGGCTACGTACTTTCTTCACAAAGCGCCAATTCGTGTTAACTGTTTCACAACTCCACGAATATATACTCGGGATCTCCGGCAACCTACGACGATGTCAAGGTCAGTTCGCCCAAAGCGTGCTGGGGAGGACTACTCTCGAACCCACCATGCTGTGGCGGATGAGGTCGACGGTCCCTCCTCCAAAAAGGCGCGCTTCGATCTGCGCAATCCGTCAGCCTTAGCCCCAGATGAACTCGAAGATGATGCAGTACTAGATGCCGATGAGATTGGTCGACGAGGGCAAGGTGTACGGCGCAACGCAGTCAATTTGGACGGCTATCAATCAGACAGTGATAACGAGGGCTATGACATTCGAGCCGAGGCAAGAGCGAAGGCCAAACGCCAAAAAGAGGACGAGAAGGAGGAGGATGAAGACATGTTCGCCGATTTGAAAGATGATTTTGACGAAGACAGAGACGCCAAAGCAACCCCCCTTGACGAAGACGAGGCTTACAGGATGAATAAGAAAAATGTGCGTTTCATGGAGGATGAAGATATTGTGGGTCAAGTAAATAGGTCTCGCGGAGGTCGTGCTGTTCACGTCGACCTCACAGATCGCAACGTTGGAAGAGCAGAGGAGGTAGAGAGTGAAAGCGAAAGCGAAGTGGATGACGAGGAACGCGCTCGGGTAGATACCGAAGTAGACGAAGAAATTGGAGCTGGGGGCAAAAAGACCCATGCGCCTCTGATTGATGCCTTCAATATGCGAACGGAGCAAGAAGAGGGCCGTTTCGACGAGCAAGGGAATTATATCCGAAAAGCCATTGATCCAGACGCGGTTCATGATACATGGCTAGATGGTGTTTCCAAGACGGATATTCGTCGCGCAAAAGAAGCAGCTGATAAAAGAGAGAACGAAAGACGTGAAAAGGACAAGGAAAATGATGGTGTTCTTACGGGAGATTTACTCGGGATACTTATCAGTCACCTACAGCGTGGAGAAACGATACTTGAAGCTCTTGCAAGGCTAGGGAAAGGATTGCGCAAGAAGCCTAAATGGCAATCAAAGCAGAAGAACAAGCACAAAAAGACTAAAAATGGAACAGAAACAAAGTTGGCTGAAGATATTGAAATGACAGAAGAGAACCCAGAAGAGGTGTCTCGGAAGCAAGCCATTGAAAAAGTCACAGGCGCAGCAGATCTTCTCTTGACAAGAGGTCAAATAGACATCTATGACCAAGAAAAGGAAGCATTAACTCGCCAATTCCGCCGTGAGACTGGAGAAGATTGGGTCGATTCTTCTGAATCCAGCGCAATTCAGGGCACGGAAGAAACTTCAAATGTACCCAAAATGTGGGAATACCGCTGGTCGGATGCTCGAGATGGCGGTGAAACCCACGGGCCCTACGATAGTGCCTTGATGCAGTCCTGGAGTGATGCTGGATATTTCGGAGAGGGAGTGGAGTTTCGTAAAGTTGGGGATTCACAGGACAACTGGGCTCGTGTGACTTCCTTTTCATGAGTCTGACTATTTTTTATAACTATAATTTGGCATATGTATCATATCCGCTTAGTTTAGGGAAAGTTTCGATGCACATAGTATATAATTACAAAATCCCAAATATCATTAATACGCCAATCATACCATACAGCCTGTGGTAATTTAATTCAAAAAATAAACGAAAGGCTCGACATGCGAAGAACTGCTTTTGAATACCAAGTCCCCCGTGAAACCTCTTAAGTACGCCGTCACATAGTCTTGAAGTGTAAGAAAAATGGTCGGATTTGGTATAACAGTTCTACGAGATTTCCATCGCGTCACCGTTAACGTATGAGAGATTGACGGCACCATCTTCGCTGATGAATTGCTTCTCAAAGTCGGTGACGAATTTGACACTTCTTGCAGGGTCGTAGAATAGTCGGAAGCTGCGCTGGATATCATCAATGCCAACTTCTTTGGCCTTTCGCTTTTCACTGAGCAGTTGAGAAGTTGTGATGATGTTGCTGGCATAACGTAGGCCAGATTCTTGACCGATCTTCGTCAGCAAAGCCAGAGCATCAGGTGAGAGGTCAACCTCTTCCTCTTGAGCTCGGATCGCGAGGATCTGGCGTATTTCCTCAGATGTGTAAGGTTGAGTGCTGACAATAACAACGCGGTCCAAAAAGTCCAGTGGCAAACCATGTGGCGATCGATAAGTGGTTCCCCGAATGCGTGTGTTTCCGCGATTGCTGGCCATGATCACAATCGGGGCCAGCTCAGCTTCCAATGCGCGGTTGATGTATGCGAAGCATTCAATATCTAGCATATGAACCTCGTCGATAAACAAAACACCCGGGATGATCTCAGCTTTGCCTTCCTCTTTCCACTCAGCAACTTTGGTATTTATCTGATCCCGAACCTCGCTTCTAATTTCACCGGTATCACCTGAGAATAGGGCAAGGAAACCCTGGGTGCGAGAATTGATGACATCAATCTCATGGAGGCTGACGGTATGAACGATCTCCTTGCGAACTTGAAGTTCGCCCTCGGGGCATTGCACAAATTTTGCGTCGGGGCCCATGGCATCGTAGTCTCTTGAACGAGCATAGGAGCGACCTAGTTTGGTAATCTTGCCGGAAGACTTGTCGATAGAAATAACATCACCGGCCATCACGCGCTCCTTAGTCATTGAATCGATCATCTTAGTGCCCATGTCGTAAATCGTTTCCATATCGGTAGTCTTGATGGTGACCTTTCCTTGTTTGTTGCCCTAGATTGGTCAGCACACAACGGTCATCTTTCTTATTGTTCCATTCCAACATACCCCGGTTATACTTCGATCAATCTGAATCTCCACCACTTCGCCCTCAATTATTTCACTTTCCTCCTTGATGCGAACGCCAATCGACTTACGAAAGGCTTGGGTGAGCGCTTCTGTTTTCGACATCTCGAGGGAAAATATTTCGGATGATGCGAGTGTAGTGAATGGTACATCAGCTCCCAGCGACTGTGCCATTCCCATTGCAATCGCCGTCTTTCCTGTGCTGGGGGGACCAGCGATCAGAACCGCGCGACCAGCAATTTTTCCTTCTTTGACCATCTGCAATATCACGGCAGCTGCCTTTCTCGCTTTCTCTTGGCCCACCAAGCCCTGAGACGAGGTCCTGGGCTGCAGGGTATCGACATCGACGCCGAGACCTCGAATGTGCGAATGCGCAGCAATCAAGTTGAGGCCGCGGAGCTCCTTGCTCTCTGAGATAGTTGAAATTGCCTGCACGCGGCTGGGGTCAGTGGTGAATGGGACAATGCGACAGGTGTTGATTGATACTCACAGCAGCCATGTTTCACGGAAGCAGTCCAGTATCCTTGAACTCAGTATAGTGATTCTAACTGCTTTCCAAGACAGTGGCAGCAACTGTGGGTGGGGATTGGCGGATCACAGGAATTATTTTGCATGGACGCTCGCCGAGCTTGAAGTTGTGAGGCCGAAGTGAGAGAGCTAAGAAAGGGCTCGCGCTCACCGCCCAGCTCACCGCCAGACGCCAGCTGCTGATTCAGCATGGTATCGTCCAATCAGGTGCTCGCCTGACATTTGTGACTGGTCTAATGATAGGCGCCCAAGACAATATTTATTGTGATCGCGCGTTTGCAGTCTCGCTTCTTTGACGGCGTCGGCGTTTTTCTCATGCGTTTTTTCTTTCTTTCTTGTTTCTCGAGCTGAAGTTCACCGAACTTTACGGTATCGGAGCTCTCTGTTGGCTGTCGCTGCCTTGACGACCGTTGCTTGTTTATATACTACTATATACTCGGGTCAATCACATCACACTGCCCATGGGCATGGCATGGTCTTGGAACAGCGGACCCAGCTGCATCTGCCACGTGCTCTGACGGTTTACATTCCAATATTTTATAACATGTCTTGAAATATCCGCTCACTCCATTCGCACTTGGAATTTTTTTCATCTGCTTCAGGCAGGAGGTCTCGAGATGGCTGCGAGCCCTCCCAGGGGTCTGCCTCCAGCCCAATCGCCACCATCACCACCTCCTCTAACAGCACCTCGAAGGGAAGAACCCGCAATTTTGAATAATGTGCCAAAATCACCAGCTCGTGACCCACGTCGTTCTTCTCGTCAGAATAGTATTGTACCTCAACCTGCTCCCAGCGCTCCTTCAAATGCGTCGCCGAAAGCCCCGCCTTCAGGGCCAAGGTCCTATGGCGACAAGCTGGTTGACAAATTGACTGGAATATCTGCGGAAGTATCTAAATCTGAGTTACTGAAAGTCGACCAGGTAAAAGCAAAAAAGAAACTGGATAACCTCAACCATCATCATGAAAAACTCAAAAACTTGGACCAATTTCCAGCCGCTAAAGATCTCGTCTGCCAATACAGAAATACCCAAAAAAACGAGTTCGAGAAACTAAAGAAGGAGCTCATTGCACGCAAGGAGGGACAAAAAAGTTTAGCCAAGCAGGCTGCAGGGTTACTAAACGATGCTGAGGCAAGAGGAGGAGAGTTTCCAGAGGAAATGTTGAGAACGATTGACACCGAGACAAAGTCATCCAAGCTTCTAATTGAAAATCTCAAACAGGAGGTCCTGTTGTTGAGAAAGGAAAATACGTCACGGACGAAAGAGAATTTAGCCTTTCAAAATGAAATAGCAGCCCATGAAGACGAGCTGAAATTTCTAAGAAGAAATCACAGGGATGATATGTCGCATTTAAAAAAATCACAAGATCGAGGAATTGATCAAGTGTCTTCTGATATCCGTGAATTAAGAGAACGGATTGAAAGGCAGAACAGCCCTCGAGTTCCTTCCATTGACTCGAAACAAGTAGAGGGGCTCAAATCGGATATATCTCAGTTGAAAGGTGTGTTGGTGGAAAATATAAATGAAATACTCGCCAAACGACTGAGTGAACTAGAGATGTCGCGACAGGATGCAATAGAAATCGATCAAAATATTCTTGAGACATGGACAAATCGTGTCAATAGTATTGAGACGAGGCTATCACAGCACCGCAGTTTGAACATCGATGAAGAGCCTCTAACAAATCTATCAAGACAAATAGCCAACGTTTCTTCGCGGCTAACATCACTTGAAATGAGTCAAGTGCCAGCTTTGCCCCCACAGCCACCCCAACCTACACCAGCTCCCACCGACTCTTCACTTCATGTAAAATATGAACAACTTCAGAAGGTCATGAAGGAGATTATCGAAGTACAAGCATACAAAGACGATCAGCAGATGAAAGCAATTGAAGACAATCACGTCAAAATGGGAGAGCAGATGCAGGAAACTGCCGTGCAAGTCAGAGCTGATGTGAAATCAGATTTTGAAAAAGCTTTAGAGCAAATCAAGGACGAATTCCGCCTGATCCAGTTGGAAAAGATGGCGTCGCTACATGAATCCTCTGAGATCCACGATTCACGACTGCAAACCCTTGAGACGGCAATCGCTTCGTTGGAAGGCCGCTATGGCAACATTCATCCCGACCTCATAGTGGATAGAACGATGCCTATCTTGCAGAGTCTATATCCTCCACCTCCAGTTTTACATGGCGTGGTTCAGAGGTTGGAAGGGATGCAAATACATCTTTCCAGAATCCCAGATTTTTCAAACTTATCAATGGCCATTGAGAATCACGAAAAGCAACTCAATTCCATGCACTCACAAATAGCACAAGCGAGTGAGGATGTGAGCAGCCGAAATATCCAGGCCATTACCGAAATGCGAAACCATACACAGCAACTAGAGCAGAAAATCGACGATTTCAAGACGAATTTCCCAGAGATGCATGAATTGCGTGACTCGTTCGCCTCGTTCGTTCACGATAATCAGCAGGAGATTGATACTACGAAGAAAAATTGGCAAGAACTGAATGATGCGAGACTTCGAGTGACTGGAGAGATATCAACTATTCAAGTTCTCTTGAATGATCTACAAAGTCTGTCTCAAGATCAGAAAGCAGCTGTGGATCAATTAAAGGAGGCCCAAGGTCAATCGCCTATGCTTAGTGTGATCACAGAGCAATTGAAAGATCTTCAGGCTCAACTCATGGATTTAAATATCAGGATTGAAACGGATATGGGTGAAAATAAAGTACAGCTACGTCTCCAAAACCTCGAGAACACTATAAAAGATCTGAAGACACCATTGACTCCTAAGCAGGAGGGAATAGGAGATAAGCAAAAATCCTGGAATGATGAGGTTAGCAGGATTAATCAAAGTTTTTGGGCTTTCCGTGAAGAAATGCAGCAAGAGCTTCAAACTCTCAAAGAGCAACTGCGGAAAGATTCTGAGGCCCAAAACGGGCAGCAAAACTCTCCTACAGAAATGCGGAAGATGGCTAGAGAAATGCACAAAATGCTCAAGAAGATTCGTGAACTAGAACAAGCCAAGTTGTCTATTAAAGACCACATCAACGAAAGGCTACAATCCCACCCCAACCCTGAGTCACAGGTAACGGTCAAATTCGAACCTCAATCGTCGCAGCCGGACCAACCAGATGCCCGAGACCTCTTGGGACGTATCGGTATTAGGAAGAGGAAACGGCCAGTCTCATCTGCCAACAGCAGCCCTCGAGACAGCCCTGCAAGTGAAGGATCTCAAATTTCCAAAAGCACGAGACAAAATAAAAAATCTCGAACATCAATGAACGTGTCCTCATCTGTTGACGTCATTACGATTGACGACTAGCTATATTCTACGTTTTACTTCCTTTTTATCTCCTGCTTATGAGGCGCAGCACAGGCAAGGGATTTGAAAAGCAAGGCAAGGGATTTGAAAAGCACAGCAAGTCTCACTTCAAAATACCACCCCTCTTCTTAAGTTACATAAAGATTTTTTTGGCGAACATAAATTATACCCAGTCGGAAAATAATTGCATTTTGGCAATCATTTGTTGTTATTAGCGTTCATGACCATGGCTCACGTGCTTGCTTCTGGTAAGCAGTTTCTACGGTTTTTAGGCTTTATGTATATACCTAGGTATAACATTTATTAATTCCAATTGCTCTAGGATTAGTCTCCTGGGTAGTATTTTCTTCTTTTCTGTCTTGCTATTTTAATTCTTTTCCTTCAAACAGTAAAGAATTGAACACGGGTGGCTGCACCAATAGTCATGGCCTTCGAGTCCTGTTTGGTCACCCTATTGCTGAAGTGAGAACTGCAAATATGCTAGGTTGCAATATAGAGAAGAAAGAGAAAGAAAAGAAATGGAAGGAAGAGAAGGAATGGCTGTTTACAGACCGCAGTGGGGCTTTTTCTTCGGCGCTACATTAGGCAATCGGCGTGCCCCGACGGTGGTCTTCGCCAACGCCAGCAGGCGGTATGGTAACTAATATCTTATATTACAAAGTCTATATCTATCTATATGTCTATCTGTCGGGTATATGTTTCTCCCGTCTATTCCACCTCGTTTTCTTTGAAGAAGCTGAGCACCGCTGTGATTCCATGTCAGTCTGGCAATGACTACAAATAAACAAGTAATAAACTTGAAATATTAATAAAAATAATTAGAAATTGATAAACGTACCTTGTCGGAACTCTTCCGGCTTTTCTGAAATGACCCAGTGTCCCGACTCAATATCGGCAATCTGCGCATTCGGAAAGAACTTCTTGATAGCAGGAACAGTCTTGTCGCTCACATATGTACTGTGAAGCCCGCGGATGAACAGAGTCGGCCCATTATACGTGACACCATCACTGAAAGGGAAAAAGGCCATATCATCAAGAGCCGATCCCAAGATATCTAGGGGGACACGGAACTTGAGCGCGTGGTTGGCACTCTCAGGGTCGCGAATCAGATTTGTTAGGAGGAACTGGCGGATTGGGAGGGCCTAGCACATTATCAGCGGATAAAATCTATTTTTTCTGCGGATTGGCGGCATTTTACAGATTCATATTTAGCCAGGATCTCATCAGCCTCGCTCTGCTTGGTCACACCGGCAGCCTCGATTTCTTTCATGCCCTTGACGTATCCGGAGAAGGAGGATCCAAGTCGGGCGTTGACGGGGCGTTGTCAACGGGAATTAAGCCTGCGATGGTTTCGGGTGATCGTAATGCCAAAGTCATAGCTGTTTTTGCGCCCCTGGTATAGTCAGCGGAGGACACGCGTCGACTTGTTGGGGGTAACGGCCTAATAGACGTACATCGAATGGCCAATTAGAACGGTCTTCCCAAGACGATGCTGTCTGACGAAGCCCGCGACATCTTCTGCAAGGGAATCATACGTATGCTCTTGAGCATGGCCCGTGTCGCCGTGATTCCGAAGATCCTAGGCAGATGTTACTTAATATTCAGTTCCAGTGATTGGTTGATGCATACAACAATATAGATGTCCCGGTTCAAGTCGCGTGCCAGAGCTCTGCTATAACATGAGTCCTCAATACGCATCAATAATTTTATAGTATAACGCACTTGCTTATACTTCGATTGTTTCTTTTTGAACCAAACAAGCCATGCATAAAAATGATAGGTTGTCCACTGGGCTGTCCGTTTGACGAGGGCGGTTCAATTCGTTGATATGACAATTCTACTTGCTGGAAATTTGAAGCAGAGAAGGTCCTTCTCTGGCGACTCCAGCATTGCCGTACCGCACCTCTTAGTGGCGTCGATGAGAGCATGTTGAGTTGTTCAGTGGACTGAATGATCGAGAGTATGACTGATTGTTGCTTATCATCTTTGATCTCGGAGAAGAATCCGCACATGATAAGGATCACGTGGCGATAAGGAATGGACAAGAAAAGAAATGAATAATCAACTCAGATTTTCGATTTAGTTTACTTATACTATGTTCATCGATAAGGTATACAAATCTAACCGCCAACTCTATTATTGTTCGACCGGCTCGTCCAACAATTTGGGCACATTCTCTACCAAATAGTCCACAATCGCATCGGGACCGCGCTCTACCTGCAATCCGTAGGGAATGGCGTGTGTCTTGATACCAGGGCGCAGCCTCTTAGCCGTAGAAATGATTTCGGCGGCTTGTTCAGCCGTCCACATGGACGCGCAGAACTAGTTATTTTTGCCTCTTGTGAGAAACATGCTCAAGTTGAAGAAAAGGTGGGAGGTCTTACCAGGACCTCGGGTTGATACTCCTTGACCTTGGCCTCGACTTCTTCGACTTCTGTCATAATTCGTCAGTCTGGTCACCACGCACAAAAATTTTGCAAACAGAGTACGTACTCTCGCAGTTGTCTACGTGGATAATCGTATACCGATCTTTGAGTGCTTCGGCCAAACGACCAATCAGCTTTTTGGCTCTTTCCGGGGCGGTGTTAACAGTGATAAGCCGGAATGGGCCTCTTGGTTGTGAATCTGCCATGGTGAATGTGGAGGAAATAATTTATGTTGTATAGTCTTTTTTGCGCGCGTTGAAAGTGTCAGTAGCTTTTATATACATATTTAGCTACAGTGACGGATATAGATCGGTTCTTCTCCGTGGTCGGCGTGGGGATAAGAACTTTGCCGGCTGCTCCCCCACTCAATCGGCTGGAGTACGTTATGGTTTATATATGAGGGTGTTGTATGCAGACACTCTAAGGAAAGAAGAGTGAAATAAATAAAAATTTGGATCGTCTCGTATTGCGTGGTTCATTGTCCTACTTGTTTACAAAAAGTGTGGAATTGGGAAAGTCTTCGTTGTATTCCGATTTGCATACATAATTCGGCATCTAATTCACGGTTTTCATGTTACGCAGCTTAGCTACAATGGCATCGTCATTTTCTCGTGCGTGCACAGTATGAATTATGAGATTATTGTATGCTGACGTGACCAGGTCTCGTGCGATTCGTTCCCAAGTCTGACCCCTCCAAAATCTTCATTGGAGAACCCGTTGACACCAAAGTCGATGTTGGAGTGGCTCTTTACGAAGGCAAGGACGTTCAGGTGAAGCGGTTTTCTGGCTCCTCCATCCTAGAACCTGGTGAGAAGACCGATGGGGTAGAAAGTATCAAAACACTCCTCTCGCCACTGGCTCAGAAAGAGGTTGGCACAATCCGTTGCATCGGCTTAAATGTACGGACATCCCAATATTCAACTCAGATTTACACAAGCAGTGTAAAAAAAGTGTAAAAAGCCATGGCTAACATTTAGCCCACCTAGTATGTCTCTCATGCTGCCGAAATGGGACTCGCACTACCTGAAATCCCAACTGTCTTCCTCAAGCCCGCCACTGCGCTGTCAGACCCCTGGCCAGCGCTGTCGATTCTACCCAAAATCACACAGAAGGATAACACCGGTGACTACGAGTCTGAGCTAGCAATCATAATTGGAAAAGATGCAAAGAATGTCTCCGAGGCGGATGCTCTGGACTATGTTCTCGGATACACAGCAGCCAACGACGTTTCGAGTCGGACATCACAGAATAAGCAAAGCCAGTGGTGTTTCTCGAAGGGCTTCGACAGTTCCTGCCCATTAGGTGTGTGCAGTCCTGTAAGATATGTGATTATAACCGCTGAATTTTTCTTTCTAGGCCCTGTTGTCGCATCAAGCGCGCATGTCTCTGATGCATCTAAACTTCGCATTCGTGGAGCTAAGAACGGCGCTGTTGTGCAAGACTGCGGCCTCACGTAAGTCACTGCCTGCTTCACCTATAATTATTCTTACTAAAGTTCAGCTGCTTCCACAGAGATATGATCTTCACTGTATCCCAGCTTGTCAGCTTCCTTTCTCAAGGCACAACCCTGCCGGCGGGCACCGTCATTCTAACAGGCACGCCGCCCGGTGTTGGAGCAGCCAAGAAGCCGCCGCAATTCCTCAAGGAGGGTGATGAATTCCGCGTCTCGGTGGAACCGTATATTGGTACGCTGATCACTCAGTTCAAGAATGAAGAGTGACTTCAATCCTATACAATATCATACATGGCGGTTGATGTATGGGGAAGAAAAGTGGGGGGCTTAAATATTTACCCGCCGTTGGTTACTACTCTATCTGCATATCTAAATATTCTTGAATATAGACAGACTCGGGTATTCCGAGGAATTAATTATCGCGAAACAATTCCAGCCATGCCTGCATGACGTGATCGAGAAGACCTTCATTCACGGACTAACTAAGATAAGATAATTCGGCTCCCAGATTGACCAGAACAATCTACTCTTTCCCAATAACCTTAGTAACCTCAACACCATCCTGCACATTATCAGTCAATCTCAAAGTTGGAAGAAGAAAAAAAGATGTATGAAGACTCACCACTCGGCCGGATCTGTGCTGGAATTTAGTAATACTCGTGTCATACAAGTACCCTGCATCTCCCGGAACATCTTCCAACTCCACATCTTCCACGCCTGACTTGATCGCCTTAATCAAGTCCTCTCCCTGCAGCACATTCCCCGGAAACCGATGCTCCTTCAACAGCGCGGCCTTCTGGGCCGGTGCCGCCCTGACCCATGCCAAATACTCGGGCGCGCCTGGCGTCAGACAGTTATCGGCAGCCAGCACCGAGACGCCCGGTTTCAGCAGCCCTAAGCTCTCGATCAGCCACAAGTCCGGCAGGTAGCGATCCTTCCAGTGATCCAGGAACAAGAACTCGATATGGTCAATAGAATTTTCCCTGACGAAGCGCGCGATAGACTTGTGGCTCGGGGCGACGAGGATAGTCACAATATCGCGCAGACCGGCGAGCTCAACAAGTTGATTGGCAACGGCAGCATTGACGGGGTTTATTTCTAGACTTAGGTAGCGTTTACCACCCACAGAGCGGAGTGCGTTGCCGAATAGGATGGCAGAGTACCCAATAAACCCGCCTAGCTCGACGACAGTCGAGGGTTTGCGTTCGACAATCAGGTTCTCGATGAATGGGCCCTTGTTGGGGCCGATCGTCATCATATGCCTCTCGGGAGCTGCTGAGAACTTGTCGATCTCGGCCAGTACGGCTTTGGGGTTGTTGCGGATAGAGTCGAGGTTTGGGAGGGAGAAGATGTGGTGAAGGAGATGAAGTTCTCGAAGATCCTGCATAGAAATTAGCGGTTTCGAGGACGTTTTCTTTAGCTAGGTAGTTACATCGTAAGAGCCTATGTAAGGGATGGTTGGTTTCGGCATGATGGACGACTTGATGTGTGTATTTGCCTATTGATTCACGATATATGATACCAAGTTGCAGTAACTAGAGATTTAATGAATTGAAATAATTGAATTCAGAAGCAGCCAGTCGCAATAATAAATCAAAGACCCCTCAGCCTCTATCGGCGCTTCCTTCTATATTGGTACTAGGATCGGGTATATCGATGGATTTACGCGTTTTCCTTGCGTCTTCATATGTCAAGAGTGGGACTTGTAAACGTTTTCGCCGAGCAGTCACGACTTTACTGTTACTAGGGGTGTATGGTAAAGATTTAATGTATCAGAGACCGGTCTATTTTATATGTTGAAATAATTTACGCCGGAGGCGGGGTTAACGCCTCCTTGACCTCGCTGACATTCACAGCAAGTCCCTCCACTTTCTCCGAGGCAGCAGTGTAGGAGGGCTGGAATGGGTCCTCCTTCAAAAACTCGTTTCCTTCGGGAAGCATATTGACGAAGTCGGCGCCAGGGCTAGGCCAGGCATAGTCGACCCATTCTGGGCCAATAATCAATCGAACACCAGTCGCCAACTCGGTTATCTGAGCCGGCCCATTCCTGTCTTCTTCGGCTTTGTCTAAAACGTCTCGATATATCCGTACACTCTCTTCTAACTCCTGCAGTGAACTGACACCCAGAACGCTAACCCCTCGCCGTTCGCCGGTGCCGAGGTAGGCTGTAGACGGGTCTACTGAGTTCAATGGGATACCTGATGCACCAACAGAGGATGCCTCTTTCATCCAAGACTCCAGCCCATAACGAATAGCCACCGCCTCAAGCTTTTCGTTTTTCGCATTCACCCATTGCCCCGCCTTGCTAATGGCGCTTCTCAGTCCGTTGGGTGCAGGATGCCAGTCCCCATGAGCTCCCACGGGGACTCCCTGATTACGCAATAGGCCCATTCCCAAGAGAGACGCATTAGGAACGACATCCACACCTGCGGCGCGAAGGCGATGTAGCCCTTTTGTCAAAAGCGTAGTATTCTGTAGAGTATAGTTGGCGTATGACATGACCACATCCAGAGGCTCGCCCGTCTCTTTCAGTACAAGTTCCGATAAAGAGCACAAAACGTCTACTGGATACCCCGATATACCGACATATTGAAGAGTCCCCTCCGTATCACGAATCCGACGAAGTTCGCGGACGGCTTCCACCACCTCGCCAGGGCTAACAAATTCCACGTCATGACAGTAAACGACGTCTAAATAATCAGTCCGTAACCTTTTCAAGCTTCGTCTGACGCTGTATCTAACAAAAGCCGGCGAATAGTCGAATGATGAGCCCGCTATTCGGCCCACCTTGGTGAGCAGGCGGTATGTGTGGCGGGGAAAGTCTTTCCGCACGTAATCTGTGCTCAAAGCACGACCGAGGATTTCTTCTGAGGGACCGTAGTATGGAGAGGTGTCAAAGGCTCTGATTCCGAGAGTCATGGCATGATGCACGATATTCGTCGTCGGCAGAGAAAAAGGGTCTTCGTTGTATTGATGGTTGAACGTGGCGGTACCGAGGATGAGAGGTGGGAGCTCTGCGGAGAGCGGCGTAGAGGAGCGGCCCATATTTTGGATTTATGGGTATTTGATGAATTACCCAGCCCAGGCTTTTCGTAATTATAGTGAATTTCAGGAGTTGAAGAATGGTCCAGGTCAGAAGAAAGTAGTGGGGGTATTGCAACCCTGAGAGAAAAAGTCCGATAAGGAATAGTCAGTCCTTCCGATAAGCCGATAACGCTCGTCCGTTTCACATGCGCTGACCAGCTGATAAACAAACCATGTTAATTCTATTCAAGAGTATCGCTTAGTCAAATTATTCAAAAACAAATGTATGAAATTCTCAATCAACCCGATTCACCCTGCATTGGAGATTGTGGGCAGCCCCATGGGGCCCGATGGCGCCATCGTTCGAGGTTCCAGGATCGACGGGAGTGGCGATCACTATCATCATCCTTAGAACCAGGTGGTGTAGTATTACTCACTGGCAGAGAGTAATCAATTTATTGCAAGGGCACAGCCAGTTAGGCTGGTGAATTAAAATACGGAAGAATCATTATTTCCTGGAATTGGGTTTAAGAACCTTGCTCGCCGAGAGTTGTACTTGTCAATTTCACGTGAGCATTTGCCAGAGATCTGCATTGGCGGTAAGATATTCTACCTGTCTGAAGAGTCTGAGAGATACTGCCAGTTCTACGAGCAAATATCCTCTTACCACTACTGACACCAAAGTGAGTATAGTGACGGATTATGTCTACTGAGGTGCTTAATTCATATGCTTGCCATGTTCCAAGTTCATTGAGTATATTACAATATACAGTAGATCAACAGCTCGATCAAAAGCTAAGTAGTATGGTTATCACATCAAATATCACCGCATTCATAACAGCCCATCTCTCAATGATATAAGTCTCGGAGGAGCTCGTATGTACTGTCCATTTCGCGTCCAGACCAAGAAACGGTTCTGCAGCCACCCATGCTGTGAAGAAAACCAAAAATAAAAAACGCCATGCTATGCAATGACAGGAGAATGAAAGCAGGTGCCAGTCGCCCACAAATATGATACAGTTCTCTAACATGCTGAATTGAGGAAGAAAGGAGATTTTCGATGTGGAGAACAGGACCAGAGCCATGCCCACTGGTCCCGTCTGGGACTGAGGCCAATAGCGTTGTCCTACCGGTCCTTGTACACTTTCGGATTCCAACCCTCTTTCATCTCTTTGTCAGTTTTGACTTTGCGTTCGGCTTCGCGGATCTCCATCTCAATGCGTTCTCGGGCGCGGAGGATCTTGCTTTGGAGGTAAAAGCTGCCGCCTTTTTGCGGGTCGTTCAGGTCGAATAACTTCTTGAATCGTCCCATGACGTTCTCCATTTGTGCTTCGCCAGCCTGCGGGGGCTTGACGTTGAGGATTCTGCAGGCCTCATCGAGGGTCAGCCCGTTGGAGGCGTATGTGCTGGCACCGGTGATATTGCCCTTTTTGATCTCGGCAGCGTATTTAGAGCTTGCGGAAGCCTGCTTGTAGGCTTCCATAAAAGCACGCCCGAATACTCGTGTGCTGGTAACAACGATCGTGGTTAAAATGCGGTGCGCCTGTTCGAAACATGTTAGCAACGAGTCAGTCAGGAATTGAGGATGCAAAGGGCGCATTTGTGACGGCACTGCTAGAAATACACAACGTACCATTTTCCCCCGATGATGTGCTTCTCGCGAGAGAGGTTGAGAGTGAACAGTGCTGCTGATGGCGGATGGCGGATTCTCGTCGGCCTCGGAGAAGGAGAAAAAACTGGCGCCTTCCAAAGCGGACTAGCGTGCGCGTGTATCACGTGATATACCAAGATGCGTTTTACGCTTCCAGATAGAACGACGGTTCTACATATGTGTAGTTTCTAGCAACAAGTATTATTTTGCCCTAGAGAGGTTGTCTACCCTGACGGTCCTTCGATATCCATGCTCTGCCCAAGATCGACAGAAGCATCTGACATTGCCGCCTACAACCATATTTTAGTATGAATATGTAGACCAAATCCGCAGGTTCAGGTCAGTAGACTACGTTCTATACATAACATTTAATACTTAACATTAACATTCAACATTAATGTTAATACTAATGTACATTTTATATATAGATGTATATCGATTGACTGACGTAGTATGCCACGCTAGGCCAGACTAGGCTTTACCTAGGCAGAGACTTTTGTGGGGACCTCAGTGTGCAGCGTGTATCCTTCTGTTCTCTGGTCTATAGACTATACAATAACAATTACAAGAGTGGTTATTATTAAATAAGTAGCAGCGTAGCAGTTCCTCGCATCGGGCTGAGGCGAAGGAGAATAGTAAAATAATAATAAAGAAGAGTATTTACAAGTCGAGCGAATATGATGGAAACTGGTAAGGAAGGCGGTCACATGCTGATGCTCGGCTTTCCCCCGCAGCCGATGCGGATTGCTCTCGTTCAAACTGCTCTTACCAACGCATCAAATTTAATCTCACCCGACTAGCTCTGTAGCTTTGAACCCGTTTCTTGGACTGCCCACTCGTTCGCCTCTGCGTCTATTCCTACCTATCCTATTCTACCCCGACTGCTGGCTGTCTATGCGATGCGCCGCCCGCAATGATCCTTGATAGGCAGTGGACCAAATCTGTGGCTCTTGTGCATGGCAGCTCTTGGTATAGATACCCTTTTTCTACTCTTCTACTCTTCTCCTCCAGTCATCGATAGCTCACTCATGGATCTGCTTCTGACTCCCTTTTCAGAAACCCCGTGGATCGATTCCATGTCGCCGCCGTCGAATAACCTGTCCGACAATGGCGCGCAGTCCACTCCTCGCGACCCCAACCCTCCCACTGTGGCCCCCTTCTCTCCTACAACCATCGCCGGGTCGTCGCTGACATCTCGGCAACGGTCGAGCGTTATTGTCCATCGCAAGTCTCCTCTCTTGGTAGCCACACCGCCGACGGTCACGCGAGCGTTGGCGCACTCACATCCGTTCCTCCTGCCATTGAACAAACTCGTCAGCCTGTTGACCTGGTCCAGTGGAGATTCATGGGCTAGCTTCCTGCTTGTCGCTGGTTTCTGGGCCATTGTTCTTTATTCGGATGCCATCATCCTATACGCCGGGCCTATTTTGGTGGTCACGACATTGATATTGGGCATGTACTCGAGACGGTATTCACCGCTGTCATCTACCGGGGTAACAGGCGAGAAACATGGACATAAGAAGCAACCATCTCAACAGCTCTCGGCTCGGCATCAAAAGAGCCTGGATGATATCGTAGAGACGATGAGAGAGTTCACGACCCGTTGTAACATTCTTTTGGAGCCATTCTTGGAAATGACCGACTTTCTTTCCACTCAGAGCACTGCAACATCAGCGACTACGAGACCTGCGTTAACATCACTTCTGATTCGAATTATTTGTATTACGCCGATTTGGATTCTTCTTACACTCCCGCCATTCTACATCATCACCACCCGCCGAGTCGTGCTCACGGTCGGGACAATTATTCTTACATATCACTCTAGCCCTGCCCGCGTGTTCAGGGTTATCCTGTGGAGGTCTTTGGCTATCCGCCGTATTTGCAGTTTCCTGACCGGGCTGAGCTTTTCTGTCGAATCAAAGCAAGGCTCGGTTAAAGAGAAATCAACGGCTCGGTCTAAAAGCTATGCAACCGCAATTGCGGCGTCGAGTAAGGGAGATGGTGGAGTTCGGTTTACATTTATTGTCTATGAAAACCAGCGACGCTGGCTTGGCATCGGATGGACTTATTCTCTATTTCCTCACGAACGCTCCGCCTGGACGGACGAACATCTGAACAGCGTCCCGCCGAGAGACAACTTCGAACTGCCTGACGCAAAGGATGGCAATGCAGAATGGCGCTGGGTTGAAGGTAGCGAATGGCGCATTGAAGGCGGCGACGACTCCAGCGATGGGGGTGGCTGGATTTACTACGATAACAAAGTATGGCCTACATAGAGCGAACCTGACTGTTAGCTGACTTTCCTAGTGGCAAGATGGCCGTCGAGGCCAAGACAGCTGGAGCAAATATACTCGTCGTCGGAAGTGGTACCGGGACGCCGAGCTGGTGGAAGTCGAGGGGATGGCCAATGAAATGACAAACGATGCCGCCAGCATTACGGGTTCAACAGCTAGTGTCCGCAAGAGACGGTGGTTCGGCAACTCCAAGAACACGTCAACATCGCCGTCAAGCGTTTCTGTGAATTCTGTGAATCAGGACAAACCGGCTTTAGAGAAAGTAGCCAGCGCGAGTGCCACCTCGAGACCAGTTAGTATACAGCATTCTCGCACCACTTCGTTTAATAAATCCGCGGGTTACAGCAGCAGTCCTGGCCAGCAGAGCACGGCAAGCTCCTTACGGCGAACGTTGAGTAGCGGCGGCGATAGTCAGAGTATGCGAGAGCGGGAGATTGAGGACTCGCAGAATCGCCATGACCGATGGGCGACGCGTGCGAGCGGTGGCACTGAAAGAGTGGAGAGAGAGTTTGGGTTGGGAGATGATGTTAACATGGGGTTGAGTTAATTATTATTATTACTAGCATAAGATACCGAATCATCTATTACGCACGTTTTTCATACGACCCTCATATTAGATACATTTACCTATTGTAACTTGAATCAAATACACAAATTCGTAGTACACGGATCATATATCGCATCAGCAAATGATGTATCTAGTAGGTAAACTTCTGACCAACAAGCTCCTCACTCAACATCCACAATCTCTCCGCATTCACAGGATCGAGAGCATACTCCTCCGCATCGCCGTTGCTAACCACATTATTCACCATATACGAACCATTCCGCCCTGCTTCAGTCAGAACCAACCAACAAGAAAAAAACACATGATAGAAGAGAATAGATACCCGAAATACTCCCATCATACGTCGCCACAATCAGCGTAGCCGCTGTCTGACTCAGACTTCTCCAGTTCAGCTTCGGGTCTTGAATCAGACTCCCATCCTCGCGCATCCATCCTATACAAATATTAATAAAATAAAACAAAACTGAAAGATAAAAAAAAAAAAAACTCGAAATATGGTGCTAAGGGTAAATGGGTAGGGTACCAGCTTTCATCATCTCCTCATCTTTCAAATGTCTAGCTATCCCCGTCAAGATTCGCCCGGGGTACAGACTAAACGCCTCAACGCCCTTGTCGCTGAGTTTCTGCGCGAGCGAGACGGAGAAGAGCATATTGGCTGTTTTGCTCTGGCCGTATGCCGCCCATTTATCGTAGTCTTGTCCGTTCTATCCCATCAGTCAACTACCGTACCATAAACTCAACATTTCGTTCAAATTCAAAATGGGGGGGGTGTGTATTCGGTATACATTGAACCCTATATCATCAAACCGCACCGGCCCCCTCTTATGTCCCGCACTGCTCACATTCACAACCCGCAACGTACCCGCCGAGCTGAGCACGCGCGGTAGAACTAGGTTCGTGAAGAGGAAATGCCCGATGTGGTTCGTGCCAAACTGCAACTCGATGCCGTCCGCTGTCGTTGCGTACGGCGACGCCATGACGCCGGCGCTATTGACCAGGTGGGTGATTGGGTCTGGATAGCTGTTTACTTCTGCGGCGGCCTGGCGGATACTTTCTTGGGATGAGAGGTCGAGGACGAGCAGTTTTATGGTGGGTGCATGTGCAGTGGTGGAGAGGATGGTGTCTTGGGCGGTTTTTAGGGATGAGATGTTTCGGCCTGCTAGAATGAGGAGGTTGGGCTTGTGTTGTGATATGTGGAGGGCTGCGGTGAAGCCGATGCTGCCGGGGGTTACGCCGGTGATGAGGGCTGGATGTATTATTTCAGTAACAATTGATTTTGGTGGTGGAAGAGGAGGTGTGTTGGGAGTACCGTTGCTCCCTTTGATTTGGCCAGAGAGGATCTGGGATACTTCCTCGCCAGTTGACTGTGCTGAAAACGCCATATTCATCTCAATATCAATTGATGATTATCTGATTCTGGAGGAGCAGGTCAGAAGTCGAGGTGAATGGTACCGAGGGCATTCTTATACTTCTACATTCACGGGGTTAATGCTAATCCCGAATCAAGGAATATACAATAAACTCCGTTAAAAGGGAATATATATTGAACATGAATATCATACCTTGATTCACCTTCAAATGTTGAGGTAACTTAGGGCTAGGTGGCAAGCAGCCAATCAGCGGCAGAATAAAGCCGAATGACATGACCCACTTGGCTTTATCCAATGTATACACTATATACTATATACCACATGTACACGTATGGAGATAGCGGAGTAACTAGTGTGCATTTAGACAACCCATTAGCTGTTAGGGACAGGCCATGTATATCGAGTTAGCAAGGCTGGTATGGTCTGGAGTCTGGTGGTGGTTATAGTCGGACAATGCACATATAGTATATAGACGATTACCGATGTATGTTTATGTTACATACGTAGGTTATCCTTCGACCGTTCTACTTGCAAGGGTAGACCCGTTAGCTTACATATGTATTACATGGTTACCGCTACTAATTAATATAGGGTCGACATTAGAATTCGGTTAATCAATTGATATATATCCAGGATAATCTGAATAGTCGACTCGCAAAGCCCTAACAGGGAAATAAACCCGATGAACCCTTGCCATTCGGTCCAATATAACTTATATTAATGATTACTCAAACTTCAGCCCGATGACACGACTACATGACACGCCTGACGCGACACGACGCGTTCGGTGTGCCAACATCTTAGCAGAGCTACTATAGACCCCGCGATTAAGTTCGCCCGCCCAAAACGCGACCCAGACTTGCCGTAGACACGGCTCGCTACTAACAACAAACATACGGATTGAGTAGCATGATTGAGTCATTGTAGAGTTAGTCTGCGACCAAGATTGTCGAAGGATTAGAAACCGGTTTTAGGGCTATAGTCTGGTTCCATGGTTCGGCTATACTCACTTACAGTTGATACGTACTCGACATCGAAGTATTGTAATTACGACTAGTAGAGGAGATACAACTTGAATGATCTGGAGTGATTGAAGGATTAGTGATTAGAGACCAAACTTCTGGATCATCCCATCCACATCCTCATCCCCAATCGCATCAATCTTCCCCTTCGCAACCCTCTCGACGGCGTCATCAATAGGCTCATCACCATTCAACAAATCCACCCATCCCTCCGCGTCCTCACTCGCAAGCAACCGATCCGCCACAATCGCGACATTCTCCCTCGACACATTCCTGTCACCAATGGGGATCTGGCCGAGACTGACCTTGCCGGTGGCTGGTTCATCCGTCAGCGTGCCGGGTCTGAGGTTGATACTCTGAAAGCGCCTCTTCGGGTCCCTGCGTTTCGTGACCGCCGCCAGCGCAGTCTGCAGTTGGTCTGCTTCCCACTTTGCCTTGCAGTAATCGGGCAGAATCGAGTCCCACAGCTTCAACGTGCGGTCCCAGTCGGCACTGGAGAACCACGATGGCCGGGTCTTGCGGCTGCCCAGGTGCGAGATTAGCAGGAATTTGCGCACCTGCGGCGTCGCGAAGGAGCTGGTGATGAAGTGTTTGGCGGCGTCTTGGTCGACGGCGTAGGTGCGCTGGACGCCACCTTTGCCGCCGGCACCTGTACACGATTTTAATCTTTAGACCGTATATAAGTGAAGGAAGGACGTACCAGCAGCCCAAACTACATACTCCGGGCTGACTTTATCTAGAATCGCCTGTGCGTCAGCGACGCTCTTGATGTCGTCTAGGCTGGACACTAGCACAGAGACTTTCCCGGGTTTGCCTTGTCCGAGCTTGAGGATCTCGGCTTCGTGGTCTGGGTTGCGGATCACGCTGGTCACGTTCCAGGAGCGCGCGAGCAGGAGCGGCGTGAGATAGAGGGCGATTTTGCCGTGGCCACCAAGGAGGAGGACTTGCGGGACAGACATGATTCTTCTTTTTTTTCCCTTGTTCTTTTTCTTATTCCTTGTTGTAAGTGGTGATAATGATGATTTTAGATGATGGCGATGGATGTAGAGGGAGGCTTGATGCGGGGCAGATGGCGTCACTCAGCCCACTCGACGCAGATCGCCGCATTCGGCGGTGCGCATTGCTGAGAATCATATTCGACGTGTCATAATAGTAATTGAAAACTGGATCTGGCGAGTGGCTGAGGTGTCTGATGAGAAGGATCCAAGGTTGTTGACTCTGGGAAGGTGCTAGCAGTGGTCAGTAGTAATGAGTTTACTGGTTAGTTGGGTCTGGGGGCGGGCCTTAGCAAGCTTAAAGGCACAATAATATCGATAATATTCAATAATGAACTGACCAGTACAAGACCGCATTATAGACTAGTACAACTATGTGAATCACAGCCTAATCCACTTAATAATACTCCGTAGAGAGTTGAGACTGTCAAAGCATGTCAAAGCATGTCAAAGCGTGTACCATCCACATGGCAGACACCAGGCTAGCACCTTGCATAGCCGATCGAGCGTCGATTGCCGTAGGATCGCAAACCATAATATTCCACTAATAATGATAAATAATGCAGGATCAGCATTCTATTCTACAGTTCAGCTTCTCGGTGGTTGCAACGGCGGAAGGTAGCGACGCGGAGTTATGGAATTACTATAGTTGGTACGTTTATTAATAATATGACAAGGATGATGTTCACAGAAAACTCTGCATGCTGATCATTCCGATTCTCCCGATTATTATTCCTTCAGGAACGGCAGGTGGTAAGCGACAGCCGCACAATTCCAGATTAGTTCACTTTCCAGGCAAGGCAAGACAAGGCAAGGACCGGGAGAATTACAAAAAGCATGTTTACTGAATTCTCCATAGTATAGGTGAGTAGTACTCCAGAGAGTAGATACAGTGAGGATGATAAAGAGATGGTCCAGGCCTTCGCACCCATGGTACGGGCTGAACTCTAAGCATTCATCACCAAACATAGTTTCAACGCGACAAGCCGCAATTGGCTGATTTGGGGTAATAATAATGAATATTAATATTCCAATGAGAAGAATCACTGCAGTCGCATAGTCGCATAGTCGCATAAGTCGCCTGCTTGCAACGACTCGTCCGCGCTGATTGGCGCGTTGCGACACGATGAAACACGCGAAGGGAATGGCGCATAGAGTTTGGCCACTGGCTCAGGAGAGAGACTCGCATAGCAATAAGCCATAAAGCAGGTGGATGAGTATTATAATGATATGATCATGTCGATTAAGAGGTACAGACTCTGATTATGATGTATGTATGTATATATGTATGCATGTACTCCGGAATGCAGCGCGGATAATTACTTCTACCGTGCAAAACTGCTTGGATAAGTAATTAACTATTGGGGGCAGCCTGCGACGACCCGCTGCATGCGTCCAAGAACGGGCTAGTCAGGGGCACGGCCACTGCCGCTGCTCTCCATGGTTAGCCCCAATACCGGATGATACGGTGATACAATGCGTATTCGACAATAACTCGGGGAGTTATTAGGAGGATATCAATTATTCCGTAGATCGATGATATCATGACTTTAGTGTAGTAGGTTCAAGAGTACATATCTAGCTATATACATGTCTATGTCAATGTGTATATGTGTGTATTCATATATGCATTCCTGGTTGCCGCGCGACTCATCAATATCAATATGAATGAATGCTGTCACGGGGCATGTCCAAAAGGTTCTTTCTATGCAAGGGAGAGAAGGTCACACATGATCGAATTGATATTCACGGATCCAAGGCTTGTTACCGAACCATATTTTGGAGTGGATAGGACTATATTATCATTCATAATAATAAATTATTACGTAGATGGAACATTATAGTGCGTACAATATGTAAATAGTAGTATTATATTATATTTCCGATGAAGAGCCGAATAGACTATTCATCGGCATGCTTGAACATGCGTAAGAGTTGAATTTACAATACGGTAATGCAATGATACTCGTATTAAGATTTAATCATAATCTTGGACAGGGGCGGGACGGGCCACTCAGGACCAGCGTGGCAGACGCTACCGCCCGCTAAGCAAGGGGGACCTGGTCTCCGGAGCCCCTAAAAGCCTCTTACAGCCCCTAAAAGCGCCTAACGGAGGCTAATGGCCAGCTGCGAAACGGCTGTGGGGTGGATAGTACTTGACAATAATAATAATATTGTATTGATGTATTGATGTATTGTATTAACGCAGAATGGAGTTGATCGCCCCTGTTCTCGACCGCTCGCCGAACCGTACTCCGTAGATTTTTTTCATTTCCATTTTCATTTTCGATTTCTCGTATGGACGGCCTGTCGAACTCCGCTAGTAACTAGTAACAGGCTAACAGCCATCGCCCGTCCAAGCAGCTGGGATTCGCTTCTGGAAGGCTAAGTTAGTAAAGTGATCCCGGAGCCTGCAGTCACTTACCCGACCAGTCACCACGCTATCCTGTCTACTCTCACTCACCACTAGCCGGCCTCCTTGTCTCCCATCTCTTTTCTCTTCTCTTTCTCTCTTCTCTTTTCCTCCACCACGCTCCCCGTCCGACCTCAATAGCTAATGCGACAACTGCGCTGCTCTGTTTTCGTTAGCTGTCGCCTCGACTGGCTGTGCCGTTTCTAGTCAATTGATCCTCGCATAACTGCCGTTCCCACTGGACCGGTTCTGCTGCACTGCACATACACCCTCGCTCCACCACACCACGCTTTGCATTGCAGCTAGCATTCTTGCCAATCAGTAATTAATTACTGCAACTCCGCCTCTTTGCTGCATGAGAGCACAGGGGAAGATACATTGTCATCCTGATCACAGATATGAAGCTTGCGAGTGCTTAACCTCCAGCTGTGATTCTGTTTGAGGGATGGTAACACATTGACTGTGTTGATAACGTTCGGACGAGCTCAATTACTCTCGATTACTCTCGATTACTTCTTCACTCGGTCCGGTATCGATATTGTGATTCTTATCCAAACATGAACAAATTCAGGAGAGCCAAAAAGGCCAAGGAGAACGATGAGGTCGAGGCCTTCCCCTCCTTCATGGGCACCAAATCGAAGAAGAGCAAGAAAGGAGAGGTCGAACCAATGCCAAATTTCAATCTCGATGATGCTCTTCCCTCGACAGACAACTTTCGCACCAGTCTGCTGATGCCTAATCTCTCCGCCAGATTCAGTATGCTGCGAGAACAGGACGACCCGACCACCAAGGTTGGCAAAGCCAATGATGACAGCGTCCTCTTTCCGAAGCGAGCCTCGCGCTTGAACCTGTTCGGCCACAACCCAAGCTCGCTAGCTGACATCTCCGAAGTCTCCTCGATTGACGGACGATCGTCCTTCAATATTGCGCGAACAAACTCGTATGCCTCTGCCGACGAGGTTACAGACGACTCGTCGTCGACACACGGCGGTATCATGAACCGGAAGAGACTTGGTGAAGGGAACAATCTTTTTGGCGGTCGTCAAAAGGTATACAAGATTCCTGTTAGCAGCACTGGGAAAGACGTTTCTGGCATGAAAGGAAAGACCGTCTATGAGGATGATGTCCATCTGTCAGCATTTCAGAAACTGCGACTGAAGGAGAAGGAAAATAGAATGCACACAGAGGTAACAGTCGATGAACTGCGCGACTTGTTAACACCCGAGTACGAAGATGGCCAGTCAGCCTTCCTAGCTAAGCGAACGACCTCTTCTTCAACCACCTCTGGCCACTCCAATCCTCGCACATCTACCGCTGCAACTTCAATCGACGAACAATCCACCTCAACCGGCTCGAACAATGCTCCAACGTCCCCTATCAAATCAACTTGGGTGCCACCTAACTTGCATGGGCATGTTAATAAAACCCGCCGTCTTTATGGACAAAGTCTTGTGCAGACAGCTCAGGATCAGCAGTCCTCAGCCTTGTCGCGACTAGAGAGCATCAGCAGACAAGGTTCGCGCGCCGGAACTCCAGAGCTGCCTCGTCTCAATCGAACATTCTCCAGGAGTGCTACAAACTTGAATGAACGCCGGCAACGGGTTTCGCCAGTGAATCCCCAGTCTTCAGGATTCCGTACCTACAGCCCGGTGGCATCAAACTCGCCTCAACTTGAAACTGCCGATATCCAGCAAGACCGAATGTCGGCCGGCAGTGGCATTTCTCCTGGAGGATACGGTGTTGTCCCTCCCCTTAGTCCTCCCGTGAGCGACAATGAAGAGGCCGCTTCGCTGAATGCCCACTTGCAGCCAGAGGACCGCGGGAAAGCAACTGCTATGGGACTATTCAATAAACCCAGCGGCCCTTATGATGAACAGCAATTCATGAGACGCCAGCTGCAGATGCATGAAGGCCGTAGCACACCCCCAGTTATGACTAGGCAGTCACCTTCAAACAGCATCTCCAAACCCGATGCAGCAGCGGCAGCAGCCCGGGCAAGAGGATTTTCAAATTCTAGCTACCGCTCCAAAGCAGAGTCCGCTTCATCACGATATAGCGATGACCTTCCGAATTCAAGAGCCCACAGCACAAGAGATTCGTCGCCTGCCAGAGCTAACCCCGGTACATTCTTGGCGATGGATGCTAGCGACTCTGAAGGACTGGCTGGTGATGAGCCGCCCCTGAGAAAGGTTTCTTCAGTTAAATCCCAGGCTTTTGATGGCATTCATCCCGCTTTCCGCTCCCGCCCTGCATCGAGAGATTCCGATGTGGCCTACGAATCTCCTGATATCCCTGAATTCAAATACTCTGACCACCGCGACTTGAACCCTATCCAAGAAACCCAAACCAGTCCACCGTCTCCTATCCTTGAAGAAGCTTCTGAAAGAGCGCAAGACTCCCCGACCCTCGGCCCTACTGGTCTCGGTTTATCCAGCATGATCCGTGCTCACTTGAGACATGACAGCATGCAGTCCAATTATCCTCCACCTTCCCCGAGAACGCCTAACCATCAGGAGATGCCTCCACTGAATCTGAACGAGACCCCCAGAGAAACTCACGACGTTCCAAGCAACAATCATCATGCCCATCAAAACACAACCAGTCCGAAGCCTCCGTCTTATCCACCTCCACAGCCCCCATCGGGATTTTCTAGTGTAGCTTTGAGAGCCAAGCAACTTCGTGACCAGGCCGCTGCTTTGCGAGAGCATAATGATATGCTTGAGTCAGACCAGCGCTCTCAACCTGCTCCATCTCAACAAAATTCGAATATGAGGCACCGCCGAGGCAGCAGCACCGAAACGCAAAAGGAACGCGAAGAGTTCGCGCATGAGCTAGCCGAAAGGAGAAGACGAGTGCAAGAGAATCTGCACCGCATCGATAGCCGGTCAAATAGCCCTGCTTCAGGAAGGCAGACGCCAGACGTTGGGGGGATTAGGACGAGCAACGCTTTTTCAGTGCTGAAAAACCGCACCACCAAGAACGCTCCGCAAGACCGGAATGCTCCTACGCCGAAGGCATTGAAAAAGCTTGGAATTGGCAGTGCATCAATGAACTCATCTACCCCTTCTCTTGACTCTTGGAGGGACGATGAGCCACCACGCAGCCTGGGCAATCATTCAAATTCAAGCTCCCCTCAAATCGGCTCTGCACCTCAGCGGAGAGCGCCGTCTCGAACCACCAGCTATGGCAGCCATGAAGAACCGACTGACCCAGTTTCGAGCCGCACAGCGTCCCCAGCTGGACGGACAAGAGATCGATCCGCTTCTGCGTCGGGACGTTCCAAGAGCCATGCAAGACCTCGTGACGACCTTGCTATGGTTGCTGAAGATCCCATTACCCGGTATGGCCAGGGAGACATGCCAGTCCGAGCTCGCCCGTCAGTTGACATTAACGACCAATCCTGGCACGAATCACCTAATGGGTTGATGCGCAGCAGCAAGCCAATTTCCCCTGGGACTTTTGAAATGCCTCCGCCAATCGACACTACTAGCATCGGATCCTCTCCTCGTCCGTCTCCCATTGCTCCCTACTCTGCCAACGCCACGCCGCCTCTAGAAGAACCCGAAAGCAAAACATTCGGCATGCCTTCTGTATCCCACGCTAGCGCATCATACAATATACCCCAGCGCAACCCCGGAAGCAACAACCTCCCCAAAAGACAAGTCGACAAGTCCCAAATCTCCGAACCAACCTTTGTATCCAGCACCTCCAACGTCCCCATCGTCGACCTTCCCCCTGGCGCCAGCCTAAGCAACGGCATGGACACACCACCGGTTCCTCCAATGAACCCGCGTCGCAGGCGAACAAACACCACCCAAACCATCATTGGAGCCATCAAAGGCGAGAAACCCTCATCACCGATATCATCATCTGTCCGCTCCAGCCAAGATGAACGTAACCCAATCTCCTTTGACGATGAGCGACGCCAGATGTCGCACCAGCGAATCCGCAAGATGTCCAGTGATGGTGCGAATTTGTACAGTCGGTCCCGTCAGCAGGCTATGATGGGTCCGACGCCAGCCATGCCAACCAATACTATGTCCAACTACCCACCCCCTACATCCGTCGAGGGAGGGATGATCTAATCTCACCTCGATCTAGACTTGAATCGGATCTAAATGTTTTGGTACAGGCTGGCTGGATGTGAAAATATAAAGAATAATTAACTTTTGGGGCCTCATTTCGTTTCATGTTTTTTTCATTCGTTGCAAATATGGAGATACCGTTTTGTTATTTCTGGTATGTAATTGGTATAGGATAGGTGTGGTCTTGATAATCATGGCGTGGAGTAGTGTATTTCTTATTTGATTAGTAGAGAAATAATATCCTATTACCTTCAGTATCTTATTCTACTTCTTGTCGAATCTTGTCAAATGAACAACTTAGCAGGACCTTACTATAAGTCGAGGTCAAGTATGATATAGCCATTGAAGATCCGAGTGGATCCTCATCATCTACGAAGCTAATACTCGGCTGCACGCCACTGTGATAGTGGACTCCGATTCCGTCGATCATTTTAGACTGACCGACATTATTATGATATATCAATCGTGCCAATTCCTGACTTTGAGGTAATGTGAGGGAACATGTACATATGTACGGTATACATTATACGTAAATGCAATGTACTGTAGAAGTTATGAATTCACAACCTACAGATGCCTGAGGCAAACCGTCCATATTTATCGTTGGAACCCCTATCCTGAACACTCTACTTTCTCCTCTCCAAGTTCGATTGTACTAACTCTTGGAGCAGCTACGGCATGATATGAGCATGATATTGTTGTTGTACGTTGGTGCGGCGAGCCTGTTTGCTATCCAACTGTGGCTGCATATGTGATGCTTGCCTCAGGCTTCAATTAGAGCTTACTTGTGGGGGACAGGTTTATGGTGTCTATTCGCAAGAAAACTAACCTTAGAGAAGAGAGGATAGATTGGTAGGTTCCTCAGGGTGTTTATTCATGAGTGTGAGAAATGTCGAATTCTATGAGCCTTCTAGTTTACATGATATCAATCCATTGATATTGGTTTTTAGGATTCCATATTGGTTAGATTAACACACAGACAGTATATCGAATCCATTCCAAACTCAGTACTGATTTGCCAACTCTCCGAGATGCCCAGAGAAGAGAACATCACGCCCCGGGTCGTCTGGCAGATTGATATGATAAAACCTATTCAGTACGTCCCTGATGGAATCGTAACAGGCGCCAAAGCGAAGCAATTTATTGTACTTGAAATCGTACATCGTCGACGAGGGACGAGGATACGAGTACTGTCGGCGACCATAGTCAATAACAATATCCGCCGCGTTTCTGATCTCCGGCTCAATATCCTCGACCAAGGACTTGGTGCCTTTCCCTGTCAGATTCGCCGATGAGCCCATGAGCGGCAAGCCAGCTTCGGCCGCCAGCCGGGACAACTCGTCCTGGAAGGGGCCGCCGTTGACCAGCATCGCGAGGGTGCCGTCCACAGAGCTCCGCGAGAGCATATCTTCCCCAAGCTTCTGGATGATCGGGTGATCAGGCCTAAACGGAGCGACCACGCCGAGTGGCAGGCTCAGGTCCACAGTCAACAGCTTGACCATGCCTGCCTCTCGAGGCGGGAGGACGTGAAGCTCTTGATGGAGTGCATAGCTTCCAATCATGGCGTGTTTCTTGTGAGGCTTGCGTCGCTTCGTAACAAAAACCTTCTGCAATGCGGCAGGGTCCGTGGCTACAACGCCGTATCCGACGCTGGATGGTATAATCGCGACTCCCCCGGTTTTCAAGATGTGGAAAACACGGCGGGCGTCTTCTTCGACATCGATGACTGGTACCAGTTTGATAACGGCAGGAGTTTGCGCTCCTTCTTCGACCTCGAGCGCCGGTGCCATAGGGGCTGGATATTGGACAATATGGCCTTAGGGTTTAGGGTTAGGGTTTATGGTGGTTGGATAATTTCAGAAATTTTTTGAGACCCGCTTGGTTGGTTGAAGACAAAATGGATCGAGAGCTGTCTCAACATTGTCAGACGGTATGAAAGATGACAGAAACTGACCCTAATATATAATCCGGCATGAAAAATCTCCATGAAAGCTGATCTCTCTATGAAGGGCTTATCCTTCATTGGGCGGGAAGAGACCGGCCAAATTCGGCGAGTCTACGTCAGATGCGGGGAAAGGCGACTCACTTCACCCCTTCTTTTAACACCCTGAATCACATATAGAATCACATATCTTTTAGTGTACTGGGTCAAATGCAATGAAGATGAGTGAACGCCGGCGAAGGAAGGCCTGTGCCGAATGCAGGCAACAGAAAGTCGGTCTTCCAACCTCGGCTGTCCTATGACTGCCTTGTTAGAAGAAGTAACGTTAAAGGACATTTCAATAGCTACGATGTGATGCGTACCTGGATTATTCTCGCCCGTGCTCCCGGTGCCGCCAAATCGGCGTTTCCTGTGCCATCGTGAGCGACTTCAAACGAGTAAAAAGACCGACGTAAGGACCCCTTAGTCTCAACAATTAATATCAACAAGCGGTTATATGTAACATTACACAGGAAAGCGGATCTTCAGCAGGAGATTAGCCGCCTACGATGCCAGCTTCACGATGTAGAAGTCGATTCGCCATCTCTGTCGGATCCGAGCGATCCGATAATGGTCAACTCCATGCCGATTACTGCCGGTCCTCACGCGGTGGATGATAGTCCCACCGCCATACATCGGGAGGAGAGCTATACGGGGTTCCTGCTTCCCCCAATTGAGACCAAACAACGGGCCCTCGATGATGTGATGATTCCCCCAGAGAAAATCAACGACTGCTTTGCACTGTGCGTTTACCCAGCCTGAGGAAATACGGGGGATGCTGATTGATACCGAGATTTTTTGAGCACTACTGCCCTATCGTCCCTGTTCTCAATGCCGCTAACGACATCTCACCAAACGCCATTTACGAAAGATGCCCCTTCTTATTCTGGTCCATTATCACAGTTGGGTCTCAAAGATACTATGAAGATCCGACCATCTTTAGCCGCCTGTCGTCGCGAATTGTCGCCCTCGCCTTTCGATATATTACAGAGAGGTTGACGCCGCTGCACACAATTGAAGGACTGATTCTACTATGCGCATGGCCAGTTCCAGTCACTCACATGTATCGAGACACCACCCATACGATCGCTGGTGCGGCACTACAGCTCGCACTCCAGTGTGGTCTGCACATCGTCGGCGAGGGGCAGGAATTTGCCCGGACATACATACGGGAAAATGTAGCCGAGAAACGGTATCGAGCCAACTTGTGGTATTACTGTCTCATTATATGTCAAAGGTATGCGAGCCTTTCCCCCGCCCTTTCTCTTGGAATGCCCGATGCTCATGCAACAGGGAATCATGTGCAGTGCCAGTATTGCCGATGGCCTCCCTCCTCTCAATGTCTTGGACTCTTTTAGTTTCCCGCGCGGTAGAAAGGAGGTTACAGGCCTCTTGTCATCACGGCTCTTGTTCCAGACTCGACTGCATCGGATTCAAGTGGCTGCCATCTTTGAGATCATGCAATGCGCGATGGGCCCGACTAGCGATAGTAACGCTGTCAATGCCATGATTGACGTCTTCGATGGACGGGTGCGTGAGTTCGAGTCGGAATTGTGCGATGGCTTTGGTATGTCCTCCAGTCTAGATGATGGCTCGACATGGACTCATAAGGTGCTCTCTTTAGATGAATTTGTCCTAAACTCTACACGCCTACATATAGCCACTTTTCGGCTCATGGTTAACCCAGAAGACATGGACAACTTAGGTATCATCAAGCTGTATTCGATTTCCAGGAGCGTGATTGAAGGCGCCACGGAACTGGACAAGAGGATAGGATTCAGCGTGTACTCGACCTTTTATCACTTGCGCTCTCTGCTACTTGCTGCGTCCCTGATATTGAAAATCTCCCGTAGCCACCTATCGACACAGGTTGATCTCGTCGGTGGCGAACGCTCCTACTTCTCTGTCATCCAATTTGCGAGACGAAGATCGGTCGAGCCGTCTGATTTGGACTCAAGAGTCGTCAGTATCCTGACCCAGCTCTGGTCAAGTCGACTGTCATCCAATTTGCGAGACGAAGATCGGTCGAGCCGTCTGATTTGGACTCAAGAGTCGTCAGTATCCTGACCCAGCTCTGGTCAAGTCGATCGGCCTTCCGGAATCCTGGCAGTTCCTCATATAGTGGCAACCTTAGTCTTCGGCTTCATAGCCGCTTGGTAAGAATTTATCACCTTTTACCCGTAGCTTCGCGGATCACTGATTGAGTAAACAGACGATGAATGCTTTCTTTGACTCCATGTGGTGGTGGAGGCATGAATACAATCACCAAAAAAACCCTTTTGTCAAAGAGCCCCCAGGCATCTCTCAATTCAGTCAATCTGATACCGGGGGTGAATCTCGAGCGCTATTGGATACAAGCTTGGTAAGTGTACCAAATGGCATACCCGTTCAGGACACGACTTTCTTTGCGATTCCAGAGCTTGATGACCTCTATATGTCCCTAGTCTGGAGCGGCAGTTAGCCAGAAATATGTAACATGTATTGTATTTGACATCAATTACGATTGATTGATATTCTAAGTGTATATACGTCCTAAAGATGAAAGATGACTGTAACATGTTTGCCCTATTATTCGGCTCTCCTATTTACCTTGGTCTCCATTGTAATGCACCAGACGAAAACCTTATATGTCATGTGTTCGAATTTACCCCTAGACTGAAAAGCATCGCAGCGATTTTTCTAGTCTAATATTGAGGTAAATTCTCGACCCATTTACAATCTAACGGCATGTTTCCCTCTCTTAGGGTTAAAGCGGATGTGGCCGATTTGGCCGATACTCGCCGATAGACATGCCTCTTCGTCCAACGAATCTCCCCAGTCCCAATCCCCAAGACTTTGTGGCAGGGTATTCCCCCGGATTTCTCCACACTGTCATATACTTTGACTTTTATGAAAAATGGTTCTCGAAGAAGGTTTCGCAGAGTGTTAAGGGACGAATAACCCACCCCTGGGTGCCGTGGGTGATCGTATGTATAAAGGGAATGGTGCTGCCTTTTCAAATATACTTAGACTGAGGTTCAGCCTGCTAATACATTATTCTCACTCATTCTCATCAGACACTGTAGGATAGTGGAGCGACCCTCTGATCCGAATAGTTCTGCTGATTGAACAAAGATCAAATATGCCGGGTGATATCATCAACAAGGACTCGCACTGTCACATCGACGATGTCGAAGCCTCCAAAGGTGACGCGGCTTCTACCGGAGAGAACAATCAATCCAAAAGATCCAAATCTCCACAAGAACGAAAACTGCTCCTTAAGCAAGACTTGAGCATGCTTCCCCTCCTGGCCGGCTGCTTCTTTTTTGCATACGTCGTAAGTCTGGTTAAAACAGAAACATGCTTAGTTCCTAATTATGTTTAAAGGATCGCGGGCAGATAGGCAATGCACGCGTGATGGGAATGCAGCAAGATTTGCATCTGACGAATGATCAATACTTCAATGCGTTGATGGTCTTTTGTACGTAATTCCATTGTTAGCGATGTTAGCTCTTCATCGCTGATCTAATTTTTCAGTTATCGGGTACATGATTATCGAACTGCCGTGCGCTCTCGGCCTGGTATACTTCAGACCAAGTCATCAGTTTGGGTTAGCCACGATGCTCTTCGGGGTCATGGCAACATGCATCGCTGCTGTAAATTCAGAGGGGTCATTGATTGCCATTCGCTTCATACTCGGCCTCTGTGAAGCATTCGTCCAGACAGGTTTTATTTACTTGAGTCTCTGGTACCGTCCGGATGAAATTGCTCTAAGAGCAGGTAAGTCCTTGCCGGTTTCCCCCCTCACAAACGTGCCAAGTACATTTGCTAACATCTTTAAGCCCTCTTCTATCTTTCTACACCCCTTGCTGGTGCCGTCAGCGGCCTGATTTCCTACGGTGTGGCGAAGAACCTGGCCGGTGTACACGGCTATGCCTCGTGGCAGTGGCTCTTTATAGTCGAAGGCGTTCCGACGATCGCATGGGGAGTCCTGACCTTCTTTAGTCTGCCTGGCCGCCCCGAGGTAGTGGCCGAGAAGGGGAGCTTTCTTTTTTCCGATGCATCTGAACGGCAGCTCATCCTGCAGAGGGTCACTGAAGGTTTGAAAAAAAGTCATCCAAAGTGTAATAATCAACTCAACTAACTTGCTATTCACAGCCCAGAACTCGATTCATGTAAAGTTTGTTCCTGGTCAGGTTCTCAAGGCATTGAAAGATCCCAAGACGTGGCTGGATGCCGTTACAGTTGGGGCGTTCGGTCTCGCTGTCGCAGCGTTTTCCCTCTTTCTTCCGACCTTCATCAATGCCTTTGGCTTCTCTCCTCGTATGTGATAACCCTAGAGTCTATTTTGACACGGACATTATGTATGCTGATAACCTAAACACATGTGCAGTTCGCACCCAACTATTCAGCATTATTCCTTACGCCTGCGCGGCTGTAACGCTTCCACTCTCTTGCTATTTTGCCGATTTGTACAAAGCGCGAGCTATACCGTTGCTCGTGTGTTTTTTGTTCTGCGTGAGCGGGCTCATCCTGCTTTTGGCGACGACATCCAAGGCAGGGCGAGTCGCGGGGACGTCTCTGGTTGCGGCAGGCTCGTATCCCGGTGTGATCCTGGGAGCTACATGGGTTGTGACGAGCCATGGCGGGTATACGAAGAGGAGTACGGCATGGGCAGTCGTGCAGGTGTTTTTGCAATGCTTCAGTATCATGGGCACCAAAATATACAATGCACCGCCACGTTTCTTCAAGGGCCACGGTGTGGTTCTCGGTATGCTCTGCCTCGCGGCCGTCTGCATCGTGCTTAAATGGTGGATTATGAGAACCGCGAACCAGAAGAAGGATGCAATAATATCTCAATGTGAGGCTGATGGTGTTGCGATTCCTGATGGTGAGAAGACATTCGAGGATGCTGGGGACAGTCACCTGCGTTTCCGGTACATATTGTAGTACTATATGCTATTGCACGCTGCGCTAAAGCGGAATTGTATGAATTCAAGTTTAACAAAAATGATTGAATCTATGACACGGCGGATTTTCTCTGAGTTTGATCAAGGCTTGTTTACACTTATTTTGATGGATGGTTGTATTGGCCTCGTTCGTGTATCAATAGAAGAGAGGGAGAGGTTCGAATGTTATGAGTGCGATATTTCCTATCACCAATAAAAAAGCAACTGACTAGTCAGTTTATTTAATTTCATTAGTATTATTAATAAATATTAGTGTTCGTAATTACAAAGGTATAATTCTCCTGCTTCTTTCTTAGATCGACCAAGATAGCAACGTGGTTCCTACTATTCGGAACCCTAGTCCATTATTTGCAGGATGGGATGAATAACCTAACATGGCCTCTACAGTAGCGAGAGATACACGAGGAGAAGTGACGTCACATGAAGTCTATTAATATATGATATATCATTTTCAGGATATTATTAAAGGGCCTGCCATGCTAAGATTGCCACGCCTATAGCGAGTGGATTGCTGAGCGAGAGGCCGGCAGGTGCAGAATTATTGTTGGTAGCAGTCAAGTCCGTAGTATTTCCTGCAGTTTTGCCATTAGAGCCTGGAGCAGCGCTAGTAGTTGAGCCTGGAGTTGCACCTACAGTTGCAGTGCCAGAGTGCTCCGTAGCAGATGATGAAACGGAGGACGATGAAGGTGATGGCTTGGGACACGAGTTGTTGTACACAAACTGCTCAGGAGCGCCAGTACAAGCGGTCACAGACTCAGGGTTAAATGTGCCGTTCGGATACATCCAGCAACTGCCCGGGGCATACGGCGAGTTGCTTGGATTGTGCGGATTAAAGACGACATAGCTGCAGGAATCGGCCTTTGCACACTGACTCAAACAGTCCGATGCACCTGTACTAGCAGTGCAGCTGTCAAAGCATCCATCAGACGGTGTCGGGTACCCGCAGACCGAGGCAACAGCAGAGGGAGTAGCAGTGGCGGCGCAGGCGCCGGCAGTAGTGGTTGCGCTCCCGCCAGCACACTGGGGTTTGCTGTAGACGGACAGGCTGGGATTGTCGCACTTCGAGCTGCCTTTGCTCGCATCGAAGGTCTCACCCGGGTACAGCCAGCACGTGCCGGTGCCCGTGTAGGGGTTGCCGGCAGAGAAGATAACAAAGTTGCAGGGAGAGTGGTCGTTACAGTAGTCCCAGCAGAAGGCCTTGCCGTCGCTGGCGACGGCAAAGTCTGGGCCAGGTTCCGGGTAGCTGCAGAGACTGGTGATGAGGGAAGATGTACAGGTTGGAGCCGCGGCAGTAGAGGTAGTGGAGGTAGCAGCCAGAGCCCGTGGAACCGAGAGGGCGATAGACACCCAGAAACAAGCGACCTTCATGATGGCGAGCGTAGACAAGGAAATAAACGCGTCCAAAACTGGGGGAAGTATTAATATTTTCACGGGAGCGGTCACTACTTGTACATAGCTACCGAGTACGTACGGGGTAGAAAGGGGTAGCAAGCCCTGTTGAATTTTAATAACTTAAAGTTATTAGTGAATGTCACCCTGAAGCCGAATAGGGCCTGACGCGGCGCAATTCAGCCGCATGCCACCAGGTTGTGTAAACCCTAACTAGGATTTGAGACATGACCAAGCGTTGCCACTGTTGCGCTCTGCTAAAATCTTGGCAAAAAGTCGGTCCGAAATACGCGATTTCATGGGCTGGTGAAAACTATTATTAGCTCGTAAATTCTATTATTTTCGTCTATCAACCTTGGCAGTTGACTCACCAGCGTAGTACTAGTAGTAGGGATGAGGCTTGAGAGCCTTCTTATTCGCGAAAACCTTCCTTCTGTGTATATTTTGTGGCTCTGAGCTATGCGAGAATTTTGGAAGTGCGTGATGTTCGGAAAACTGGAAATCTTTCTTCTCCAGCCAATTCTCTTCTACAAAAATTTTATTTTCACACAAATTTCGCTTAACCGAAATATTCTCTTTGAGGCACTGTTTTTAGTTGCGTTTTCGCCTGTCTATGATCCGAGATTTTCGTGTACAAATTTGGATCCATTAACCAATTCTGGCTTTGTCCATAGATTATGACTTGGCTGCTGGGCGCCAAGCAATTTCTGGCCTGGGAGCCAATACGCCAGGCAGAGATTCGCTCCAGGGCAGAGATATACCTCCAGGGCAGGGATGGATGCTCAGCACTAAGCCCACTTTGCCTTGGAGCGAATCTCTGCCTCGGAGCGAAGTTCTGCTCTGATGTGACGTTCTGCCCTGGCACGAATCTCTGCCGTGGAGCGAATCTCTGGAGGGAATCGCCGCTCAGGGAACTTCTGCCCAAGAAAAGTCTCTAGAATCAACTCTCACTCAAGTGGTTAGTCGCACAGGAGTCACACTGCACGGCTGCACGGCCAACATCTTGCTCAGAATGTTGAGGTATGTTAACTTGTTCTTATTCACATATTCTGAGAGGCAGGTGGACTGGTTATATACACATATATGTACAGACCAACTTCCCTGTTAAAGCATCACAGCCACTGGGATATTCAACAAGATGTCTGCACCTGCAAGAGCTTGTTGAAGTAGGTTACGAATGAACTGAAAAGGAATAATTAGATAATAATTCTTTTTATATTCTTTTTTTTATAAAAGCTTTGTATAAAAGATAAGAAAAATAAGAAACAACCTTATAAAGAGGAGTTAAGAGAATTTATATTATATAGATCTTATTTACTACGTGTCGAGGAACGTATATAAGCCATACCTTGCCCCAGATGTTGCCAGAATTACAAGTTTTCAAATGTTTCAATTTGGAATGGTCCAAGTACTCGGCATATTCTTTCATCTGGCATAACTGTCTATCTATTCAAGGAAAGCTCTCAAACCACAGTGCTACATGATGAATTGACGATTCTCCGATCTATAGGCCGTCGTGGCCGACCTCATATAACCTCTCTTTCCCTTCACCAAAACCATCAACTTCTCGTCCTCCCCAGAGGGGCAAACCGCCAATCGATGTTGTCCACTTCAGCGATACCCACTCGATCTTTCGTACGAGGAGGGATCCCACTACAACTGCACGAAACCCTTCTACTGCCGGCCATAGACCGAGGAAGATGCACCCGTAAATACCAATTTCCCCAGTGGACCATGAGGAAGTATCATGTGCGATCCGCCGCTACGCCAAAACACTAGTCTGGAATCTCTCATCCGACTGCTTTCCGCATATCCTGCTGGGATAAAAAAGTTGAGAAGAAGATCGAAAGATTGATTTTGGATAGATGTCAGAGCTGCAGCACGTCACTGGAAAGGTGGAGGGTGTGGTGGAGATGTGATCATTGCTTGAAAGAGTGCTTGGGACATTGAAGATTCCTTGCGTTATAAATATTATGCAATAGATTTATAGATTTTATATTCTATAGGATCTGTTAGAAACCTATCGGTTGTATTTACTACGTCAGCACTATGCAGGATGTTCATCATAGAACTAATACAACTATATAACTAATATGGATATTAACAAACGCCTTTCAGCTATGAATAGTATTATTAAAAAGAAGTGAAAGCCTTTGTTTGCCTGTCTTAGCGGGGCACCTGTTGTCCTCTGTTTGCCCTCCAACCAGGCGGCTTCACATCTCCAGCCTCCTCCCTTCTCTGCCACCTTTGTCTTCTCCATCCCAACCGCTTCATCCTTCATCCCGCTGTGTGCGCACTCTGTGAGAATTCTCACGACAGTGCCGCACATCCCTCTTCTAATTACAAATCATCCTGAGCACAATATTATCAGGTGGTCCTGATGAACACGACATCAGCAACCATGAGGGTCCCGGTAGCACCAGAGCTGGACAGAGAGATGGACTCTCCAGCCCAATCACCTCCTACCCTTACTCCTTCTTCCTCATCTTCAGAATCCCCTCCATCTTCCTCGTCTGAACCAGATTCTACCTGTGTTCCAGGCCAACACCCTGATAATTCGCCTCAAGGCAGCGTCGAATCGTCCGTTGTCTCTTCCTCGTCTGAGGCGACCATCACCACATTGCCTGACAGTGTGCCTGAGGATATCTCTCCCTCCTCCAAGCCAAGCCAGGCAAGCAACACCAACGAGGTAGGTATCGAGGCAGGTAACGAGGCTACTTCTCCCGTCCAAGCACCCACCAAGCCTCCTTCCAAGAGAAAGCCAAAACGGCCCAAGCACAAGACTGTCAAGTCTGGCACTGCCAGTAGCGAAGAGATCGAGCTGCACGACGACGCTTCGATCACAGACGCTGAAACTGTTGTTGACTCTGCTCCTTTCCCCTTGATCGTTGACGGCGGAACTACACCGATCGAAACCATGAGTGCAAACGAGGGCACCCAAGGCACCCCTTACCATGGGGCCTCGTCTCCTAGACCTGATTCAGGTGCGGGCAATACTCGCTACTACGCCGGCCAGGAGCCTGTTTGGTACGCGCCTACTGGAGAGGCTTGCTATGCCTACAGCTACGGATTGCCTTATCCAGCCCAGTATGTTCAACAGTACCCTGCACAGGCATACGGCTATCAAGCTGTACCTCAAGGACCTCAACATATTACTCAGCAAGTGCCTCCACCCGTATCTCAAAATATGCCTCAGAAGGTGCCCCAGGTGCTTCAGCAGGAGGTTTCGGCAGTGTATCAGTCTGGACGCTCTTCGTATCGTTCCAATTCTTCGCGCCATGATCCACCGAAATACATGCCACCTCTACCTGACATCCCTCCAGTTGTATCTCCGACGCCGCCAACTGTGGATGAACCTACTTTGAAGTCCCAACTAGGTACTGACACTGGTACTGAGGGTTCCGCCCGTCTACCTTCCAAGACAGCCATCGTTCACGAAACAGCAGAGTCTGAGGCCCTCCCAAAGGTGACTGTCTCAAAGACTGCATCGCCCAAAGCTCGTGCTTCCGTCCCTCAAGTCGTTTTGCCTGAGACTCGTGAGGGCTCTGTCAATGAGTCCAAGGAGACCATGGCCGACCGCGTTAACTTTCGCTTTGCAACCTGCGATTATCTTGAACAGCTAGCAGTATCTCGATACCTTCTTGAATGTTCTTACATTGGAAAACTCGCGGACAGTAAGATTGTTCTCCACTCCGCTTCTGGTGAAATGTTTTATCCCATCACCTGGGCGACCCATCGTGTGCTTATCGCGCAAAGCCCCGTTCTCGAGGCCATTCTCAATCGCCAGGAAGTCTTGGAGCAGAAGCTTACCATTGAACTGGTCGCTGGAAAGAAATACTCCCTGCCACGTGCCTTTGAGTGTGCCTTCCAAGCCTACTACGGTCTTCCAATGGTCGACCACCAAGACATCAAAGCACTCACTCGCAGGGCCCTCGGCTGGGAAGGCGCCCCTGAAGGTCAAGGCTCCGACGAAGCTCTGGGAGCTCAGCTTGACTTTATGATTTGCTATATGACTGCGGGAGCTTTCATGAACTGTGACGAATTGGTGGCAGCAGGGTTCAGAATGATCGAGCGCGAAATTAGCTTGATTAATCTCGAGACAGCCATTCACTTTGGCACGCATCCAGAAGACTACATAATCACTCACGAACCAGCCGACGAGCGCAAGACTACCAAAAAGGGCGCAAAGGGCAAGGCCCGCAAGAAGAGTAACGTCGAGCTGCCAGTTGTGCCCGAGAACATGAACGAGGAGGTGATCGAGAGGCAGGCGCCTGCAATTGCCTCATTAGCAATCGAATCCGCCGCTGGCTGCATTGGGCCTGACTTTGTGTTTGACCGCACTGCCTGGGTGAAGGTCATGCAAGACCGCATCCCTCACTATCTACGCACTGGCATGCTGGCGTCTAACCCAAGCTTGGCTGGGGTTCACTTTGGCGTTCACCCGCAGCCCAGTCGTGAGTCATCTATCCTCTCCGCAGTCCTGCTCGCCATCCCCTTTCGCTATCTGCAAGAGGTATTCCAATATCTACGCAGCGATGGCCTTCTCACCTTGAAGCTCGTCAAGGAGGTCCTCCAGGAACGCGAGATTCGTCGTCTAGACGCCCTCCAGGAATACCACCGCCGACACCCGAAGAAGAAGGACTTGCCGGCGACGCATGCCACTCTCGGGTATCGTGAGTTTGCTGTTCATTTCCAGATTCGCGACATGTTGGATGAGGTTTTCCACGACGTTACCGTGCACCGTGAGTGGGCGGGTTATGAGGATGTTGGTCAGGGAAAGGGACTCATCCGTGAATACGATGCTCTCTAGGCTCCAACCTCCAACTTTTTTAACTTTTTCATGTACACTATCAATCAACAAGCCAGACAGGCACCTCATGTTCATTATCGAAACAGGTAGTCATTTCAATATTAACAATTAAAGTCATTTCAATGAGCAGTGGCAACATAAACCAATTGTAGCCGAGGCATTAACTCCACATCAATGATGGAGAAGCGCCCATATAATATAGTACGTAATAATATATTTAACTTTTAACTTACGTTAGCGCATGACTATCTATTAAAATGCAACATCCAGCTAACCAACCACAGTGAAGTTAAATGGTTACTCAGCATGGACTAGAGCAGTAACGATTAGCTCACCCCGCATCACCGCTCAGCTTATACTGATGATGCATCATCAACTCCATCTGCTAACCACATCGAATCAGTAAGCGACGTCCGACGTCCGACAGGCGATCATTCTCACTCCCCGCATGGTATTATCCGTAATGCTACTGATGCGTCTTACATGGTTATTGGCATAGGAAATGGACTTGGCGATCCCGGATAACAGAAGCCGCAAGGCGCGGTCTGCAGGGTTGAAGCTCTTATATGCCAGGTCGGCGCCGCCCTTGAGAGAATCTCTCTGCCACTGCTGAGACTGGCCATGCATCGATATATTGAGTACATATTGAGTATATATTGAGTGTATATTGAGAACGATAGACAGAATATAATATATTATATCGACGACATGTTTGTTCTCTTCGCCGCCCTCGCTCTCATTCTCGTCCTGCGGGCGCTCTACAACCACCTCTACCACCGCTTCAACGCGCGCCGCCTCAACTGTGCAACGCCACACACCAAAGTCAACAAATGGCCGCTGGGCATCGACCATATACGGCGTCTCAACGACGCCGACAAACGCGACCTGATCTGCGATGAGTTCCTGGCCATGTACGCCGAGGAGGGCGTGGCGTCCTTTCAGCACTGGCTGTTTGGCAAGCGCAATTTGTTCACGGCCGAGCCACGAAACGTGCAGGCCGTGCTGGCGACGCAGTTCAATGACTTTGAGATTCCGATCAGTCGGCAGAATAATTTCTGGCCGATGCTGGGCCAGGGCATTTTCACGGCGAATGGGCCGGTTTGGTATGCCTTTTTCTATTCTCTCCTTGGGGGGGGGTGGCTATTTATGCTTATATTCTGACTAGGTCGCACTCTCGAGCCATGCTCAGGCCGCAGTTCACGCGCCAACAAGTCGCTGATCTGGAACTAGAGGAAATCCATGTGCAGCAGCTCCTCATGCACATCAAGCCCGACTTAACCACTGGCTGGACCGGAGCGACGAACCTGGGCCCCATGTTCTTCCGGCTCACCATCGACTCGGCCACTGAGTTTCTGTTCGGCCAGTCAGTCGAATCGCAGCTACAAGCGCTCCCCGGCGGCATGTCCAACACAAACACCGCGTACAACTGGCGCAACCTCGCGGACCACTTCGACGACGGCACGATGCACCTGGGTACCCGCGGCCGTTTCAGTTTCCTGTACTGGCTTCACAACCCAGCCGAATTCAGCAAGGACTGCAAAGAAGTGCACGCCTTCGCGGACCATTTCGTGCAACAAGCCCTCCTGCGCACAGGCAAAGACGACGCCGCCGCGGCGAGCAAGAAGCAGCGGTACGTGTTTCTCCACGAACTGATCAAGGAAACCAAAGACCCGATCGAGCTGCGATGCCAGCTGCTCCACATCCTGCTCGCGGGCCGCGACACCACGGCAGGCTTGCTTGGATGGACATTCTTCCTTCTCGCGCGACATCCAGATGTATATAAAAACCTACGGTCAACGCTCCTCGAGACCTTTGGCCCCTACCACAGCCCCCGCGACATCACATTTGAGCGACTCAAATCCTGCGCAGCCCTCCAACACGTCATGCAGGAAACCCTCCGCCTCTTCCCCTCTGTCCCACTGAACTCGCGCATGGCCGTCCGCGACACCAGCCTGCCGCTCGGCGGCGGACCGGACGGCTCCAAGCCGATGTACATACGCAAGGGCGAAGAAGTGCTGTACCCCGTGTACGTGATGCACCGGCGCAAGGATATATGGGGCGCGGACGCGGAAGAATTCAAGCCCGAGCGCTGGGCCGGCCGGAAACCCGGCTGGGAGTATCTGCCATTCAACGGCGGGCCGCGCATTTGCCTGGGCCAGCAGTTTGCGTTGACCGAGGCGGGGTATGTTATTACGCGGCTGGTGCAGTTGTTTGATGAGATTGTGGCGGTGAGTCCCAAGGAGGAGTATAGGCAGCAGTATAGCGTGACGAGTGCGCCGAGGGAGGTGTTTGTTTATCTACACTCCTCATCTCTCAATTAGTTAACTTGATTAACTATTCCATATACATTTTTAAATATTTTTATTTAATCCGAAAGTCATGAGTCATTATTAAGCTAAATCAAGTAACTAAATCTAACTGTATTTATATAAAATCAGGGTATATATATATCACCAGTTGAGCTCTGGCACTGGAAAAAACTCATTAATCAACTCCTCGTAATACGGCCTCAACTCATCAATCTTTGGCAGCTCATCGCTCTTGCTGTACAAATCATATGGATTAAACGCCTTGACCGCCTTGAGCATCTCGTGGTCCTTCTCGTTCATGAGCTCATGGTACGCGCCGGCATTGTGCCAGGGGTAAAACGAGTGGTAGCGGATCATCGCCAGGGCCTCATCCGGCAGGGTGGACTGGTCCTTGACGACGTGGTAAAGATACTCATCATGGCCCCAGCTCAGCATGACATTATCAAGGCCAATACCCGGCTCGTAGATGCCGAACTCGGTATCAAACACCTCATGCCCGAAATCAGGGTTGTCCCTGAAACTCTCGCGTCCGTAGATGATGCGCTCGTCAAACGCCAGGCCGACGGGGAAGGTGTCCCCGACAACATCCCACTGGCCCTGCGCGTCGAAAAAGTAGAGTAGTTTGCCGAGATCATGAATCAGGCCGGTGAGCTGCATCCACCGCGGCTTTCCGTCACGCCGGATCGCTTCGGCGGATTGGAGCAGGTGCTCGATCTGGCTGAGCGAGGTGTCCGGGTCGCTCTCGTCGATGAGCGTGTTGAGTTTCTCCATGGCTTGCCAGACCGTCATGCGCGCGCGCGTCTTGCTGCGGAACAGGTTGCGCGCGCGCAGGTTGTAGGCAACCGTTTGCTTGGTGTGTTGCTCTGCGTAGAAGTTCTTGACGCGGTCGCAGGCTGTCTCGTACTGCCGGAATTGGGTTTTGTCTTTGTTCTTGTCGAACTCGGAGGCGTCGTATAGGGTTTTTTCTTGCTGTTTGAGCACGTTGACGGCGTCGATGTCGTCCGATAGGGCCTCGAGTGCTTGTCCGTCGCGCTTGGTGAAGACGCCCATGGGAGGCGTGGCCGTGGTTGCTACGGGGGCCATCTTGATATATCTCGATTTTATCTCGATTTATACCGTATCTCGATGATTAGAGATATGTAGACATGTATGAGATGGATGTTGAAAATGGAAGAAGGATTCGACCAGTTTATATATCCGCTCCCACTACGCTACAGCAAATTAGCACGAGTACAAGCGAAATGAAGTGGAAAATGGTCGTATACGGAAGTCAGATTCCAGCATCATCCCCGCTCGATTCTGCGTCATGGCTATTCCAGATCATCTCAGATCGGGGTAGTCTAGACAAATGAGAGAATCGGCAACCATCAGTCGTTAGCCAGGGAGCCAGTGGCGATGCCTGCAGCTGATCGCCATGATCCACGACAATACAAGGCAAGACATCCCCAGGGGAGTCACTCGGTGGACTACACAGAATACGCTGACGGGGAGAGGGAGGCGTCAGGCGTGAGGAGTGAGGAAGAGGAAGAGTGAAAATGGTTTCCGAGCGACGAATCAGTCGGCGGCGCGACCCACTGTCTTCCCAGCGTGAGGGGAGCCATTTCCGATTCTTTTTTCTCCGGCTCTTATTCTTTAATTTTGTTACGGATTTCGATTTCATGATTTCCCCATACTATGCATTGTATAGTAGACAATGTTAGGGCAGGTCGACGCAGATCGGCCGACGCTCCGGCAATTATCCCGCCGTACTTGTATATAATAGTGGTGATGGTTGCACCCCGCACTAGGAGAGGGGCCCCCACGTACTCGCATAGTAGGGAGTATATAGTATACAATTCCCTCAACAGTTTTGACTATTGACCTGGCATATCGAAATGTCCCTCGCCGATCGCCGCTACAAACTAAACACGGGCGCCGAGATCCCGGCTCTCGGCCTGGGTATGTCAAATACTTCTTCATATCTAAATCCTTGTCTAACTTCCTACTTGTACTAACTCGAGTCAGGAACATGGCAGGCGTCCGCCGACGAAATCCAGCGCTCAGTCTACCACGCCATCGAGGTTGGGTACCGCCACATCGACACAGCGCTCGCCTACCAGAACGAAGAGGACGTCGGCAAGGGCATCAAGGCGGCCATTGACGCCGGGCTGGTCACGCGCGAGCAGCTGTTCGTGACGACGAAGCTGTGGAATGTCTACGCAAACCGCGTCGAGGAGGGCCTGGATACGAGCTTGAAGTCGCTGGGGCTCGACTATGTCGATTTGTTCCTGGTGCATTGGCCGGTGCGGATGAACGATAAAGGTACCGATCCCCCAACAACACAATATAAGAGGATGAGTTAGTAATAATAGTTTTAGGAAACCACCCCCTCTTCCCCAAACACCCCGACGGCACGCGCGACATCATCCCGCACAACCACGTCGACACGTGGAAGGCGATGGAGGCGCTGCCTGCGACAGGCAAGACGCGGGCCGTCGGCGTGTCGAACTACAGCGTCGAGTATCTCGAGCAACTGCTCCCGCACGTCACCATCGTGCCGGCCGTCAACCAGATCGAGAACCACCCACAGCTCGCGCAGCAGGAGATTGTTGAGTACTGCCAGGCCAAGGGGATCCTGATCGAAGCGTACAGTCCGCTGGGCTCGACGGGGAGTCCGCTGCTGACGGCCGAGCCGATTGTGGCGATTGCGAAGAAGAAAGGTGTGGCGCCGGCGACGGTGTTGTTGAGTTGGCACTGTACGTTCTACCTTCTACCTTGTGATAGGGATTGTGATGAGGATTGTGATGGCTAATAGTGTGTACTGTAGTGGCCCGAGGCTCCGTCGTCCTCGCGAAATCAGTCAATCCAGACCGCATCACGGCCAACAGGACCCTGATCGAGCTCGACGCAGACGACGTCGCGCTGATCAAGGAGTTCTCGGACGACCTCAAGGCCAGGGGTCAGGTGAAACGATACGTCGCGCCGCCATTTGGTGTTGACTTGGGATTCCCGGACAAGTGGTGATAAAAATATATATATGTATGTATGTATGGATGGATGGATGAGATATAGACTAGTATGACCAGTATGAGTCAGAGTTGAGTATATATCATTACGTATATATGTTACTGTTATAAGATACCGAAATACAACCAAATCACACCTGAAGACGTAGCGTATTAAGGGGATGTTGAATAATGGATAATCATCACAGCGTCGTAGAATCCTGCTGAACCTCGTCGTCCTTCTCCTTGGCCCTCTTCTTCCGCGACGGATCCGCAAACCCGTCTCCGCGCAGCCACAACAGCGCCTTGCGGATCCCAGCGCCCTGGACAGCCTGCGGCGACGACTCGAGCACGGCGCCAATCAACGCCCACGACAGCACAACCAGACCCAACTCGCCGCCCTTCCACTCCCGCCACAGCCCGCGCTTCACGCCCGTCGCCCACGCAGAGTAGACCGCGGAGCGGAAGATGTTGGTGAAGATGAGACGGCCCTGGCTGACGAAGGCGTACGGGAGGCCGGCGATCGCGCCGCTGATGAAGAATCGTTTGGTGGGTAAGGTGGATTTGGGCAGGAGGCTATTGAGCAGGCAGATGCTTGCCCAGAGAGACCCGAAGGAGGTCGAGAGGATGGCGGTCAGACTGAGGATGCGTTTGGAGGCAAGGTTGGTCGTGGTTATGGGGTTGGCGAGGACCTTCTTGTAGCTGGCCGCCGAGTAGGCGAGTAGCGCTATTGTCATGGTGCGCACGATTGCGGGGACAGAGTTGAGGAGGTGGTGGAGGAACGCCGTGCTGCAGCTTGGGGTGGCGGGGTGAAGCAGTGCACACGATAAGGACGCGATGCCTGGGTGTGCTGGAGACGTTATTGGTGAGATGGACTGGAGCTTGGCGGGAAGGGGGTTAGGGTTGTTAGGGTGGAGGATTGGCGAGATAAATGCCCTGCTCTGTTAGTTAGAATTGGAGTAATAGGCGGGTGGTGTACATACGGCCACTTGAGATCGGCAATGGAGCCAAGTGAGTCGACAATATTATTCTTGTCTGGCCACTGCAGGCTATCTGGAAACCGCTCCGGCGGGCCTGGGATATAACTCGGCGAGAATTTCAGGATTAAGGAACCAAAATACTATAAATTAACATATTAGCATCATCGTGATCTAAGAGGAAGAAGGGGAAGGCGTACCCCCGGAATCGTCTCTCGATCAAACACAAATGCGTGGAACAGTTGCGCGCAAGATATCGGCATCAGCAGCCAACTGCCAAACCACCATGGCTTCTTCTCCAAATACCCCTTCTCATCCAACGCATTATATAGGAACTCCAGACTCCGCGTCGCCGTATAGATGGCGATCGTGATGCGAATTCGGCCTGCCGGACAAATCCCCAATGCAAGCCCGGCCAGACTGGCTCCCACGACGGGCGCATATCTCGACGTCAGTGCTTGTGAAATGCGAGGATTACGATCTCGGAACGGCTTCGCATCTTCTGTACGCAGATTCGCGCGTAACCGCACAAAGAAACGGTACAAGACTCGGTGGACCAGCAGGAGCAGAGAAAATGACAATGCGAGTCTGAAATTGGGGGATTTGATTAAAGCGGTGCGAGTTTTCTCCCTAGTAACCCATTAATAAGGTCGATACTTTGCACGGGGGCGAAATATATACTTTGAACCCTCCTTCTTGATCTTTGCGCCGACGAGCTCAGCCAGAGAGAGACCGCCACTCAGTGTGAGGAACACCCGCAGCGAGGCCCGTACTGCAGCGATATTGTACTTGTTTTTCGTGTGGATGATGGCTTCATATTTGGCTGGCGTCGGCAGAGCACGCTCCACAGCAGCCGATCGCTTGGTGATGCGCTCGTGCAGGAACTTGTACTCCTTAGCGCTCAGAGACACGCGCAGCGCATTCTGGATGATCGGGTGGACTGAGTGTTCGTATTCTGTGGGGGACATGATGGATGCTAGCTGGTGCAGGCCATCGAAGGCATAAAAGTTAGGACATGTAGTTGGGTAGTTGGGAGATGGGATGCCTCACTACTAACTAGCTGTGGTCGGTTGACGTAGGCGGCCCGTGCGGTGTTGACAGCCGAGGTCAATAAACTCCACAGACATCTCAATAATGCTGTTACTCACACAGTTGCTAACTTACTCTATGTTCTAATACACTAACATGACTATAGCTATTATTCACTATTACAGAAGATCCAAGGATTATCTTGAGCAGAGATAAATGGGCTGTGTTGGGAATTGCCTCTACTTATTAATTTTAGGATTGATGATAAAGGCTAGAATTCTAAGGAATAAGCTAATTCTATATACTGGCACTCCTACATATATAATATATTGAATATCATAGATTAGAGGCAGTCAAATCTATCCCGCTATCCTCCAGCTTTTCTCGGCGGAGGTAATCTTGCCAAACCAGCCCAATATCATTCCTATAAATCCAATCCATTTCACCAACGGCTGTAAACGAATCGAGCCGAGCTTGAAGGGCTCCTTCGAATATATGCGTTGGATCACTACTTTCGCTTTCAGCCTTGGCACGTGCTTGCAAGGTTTTCGCCTTTTGATTGTCGATATGTTCGTACATTCGTCGATAATACGGGGACCGAATCTCATTGAAGATTTCCAGTGCATCTGCAATATTCTGAGCCTTGGTACCCTGGTCCGTTGAAAGGCGTCTGTTAGTAGTATATTCTATGGCTTGAGCGAGAATCCAGCCATCTTCCATGGCGAAAGCTGCACCGGAGCCAAATGCGCCTGACATCAAATATCAACAATGAACTTCGTGGTGGTGAGATGTGAGATTAAGGATGTTTGGACTTTACCTGTTAATGGGTGACTGGAGTCCCCCAGCAGCGCCACTTTACCCCATCCTATAAGCCTATCAAGTCTCGGTCCTGCGAAAGCTGAAAATTCTTTCCAGTTTCCTTCGGGCACGCGAGAAAGGCTCTCTCGTGGTCGGGGGTCATAGTCCTATCATCCTCAGCATCATATAAAGCAGGACGAATATATATATATATATATTATATTACCTTGAAGTGAACAGTGACTCGCTCATTTGTAGCGGGTATCCCCCAACTAAACCTCCTCTCGGTATCCAGGGCCGGGTCTGTGAGATACCGACACGAAATCTCTAGCATTTGCTCGGATGAATTGTTTGAATCTGAGAATTCTGATGGGTCATCAACTAGAGAGAAATAACAGTGCCCTGCAGGACCATGCCACCATGATGTCTCTGGAACCAGGTTGGGGATATCAGAGCACAACTTGGCTGGAACTAGGGTGCGCCAGATGGTTGTACCCGTGAATTTTGTAACATGGTCCGGGAACAATGATAATCTCACTACCTGCTCGGGTTAGCAACAGTAGGTTTTGATATAGGCTAAGGGCAAGGGTAAGTACAGATCGGATTCCATCTCCCCCAAGTACTAGATCCGCGATTGTCTCGTCGCCATCCTCGAAAATTAGACGAACGCCGTGCAGTTCATCGTGGAGTGATACCAATCTTCTATTAAGTTGTATGATACCTTGTGGCACTTTTGATATCAGAGCAGATTGCAATCTTGTTCTCCTCACGCGGTGTGACCGGTACTTGGGGGGTAAAGAGGACTGAGCAGGTCTCTCACTTCGAATTTCACCGGATATAGCATTTCTACCACCACATGTAAGAAAGTATATGTATACATATATATATATATATATAAAGGCATATGTGTCGAATAGTTAGAGATAATATGATTATTAGGGAGGTTACCGATGAAGCACATTCTGTGCTGCATGCCCTCGAACCTCTTCGGCTGCCCCGAGAAGCTCGAGAACCTTCCAACAATTGTATCCAATGTTAATTCCAGCGCCGACTTCTCTCAACTCGCGCGCCTTTTCGTACAGCGTTATCTTGACATTCGGTAAGCGTGATAATGCAATCGCTGCACCGAGTCCAGCTGGACCGCCGCCAATAATAGCAATGCGGAGGACATTTGAAGACGGTTCGGTTGACATTGATAGTTAAATCTACATATACGTTATAAGAGGTGTTTTTATTGCCGTTTGTGAGGGTGATATATTGAATATATGAATCGGTTTTTGAGCGATTGATTATCTCGACTGACTGACTACAGGCTTTATTTAAGAGTGCGGATACGGAATTGGTCATTTTGTCGCGCTATTGTGCAATATTATTAATGCAGTTTTCAACATCTGCATTGATAAGGCTTGATGACGTGATAGTATACTATATTAGTGCTTCTTAGTGAGCACTAATGAATTATCTATGGTGAGAAGACCAAAAAAGTTCTGTGTCGTATGGAGCATATTCCCAAGAATATCGTTATTAATGCTTCAAAGAGACGGTGCAGCTTGGGCAGGAGAATATTTAGACTGTCCCAACGCAATTAACAATACGGCGCAAGAAACTCTCAATGTAATCCGCCTCGTGATAGCGATTATCAAATACGGCCGACAGTTCTATCTTCTCATCCCAAGTTCCAAGGAAAAGCGCCACCGCTGCACCAATTGGCTCACTGGCAACCCAGACATTTTCCAACTCAAGAGGGCAATATTTCGTTGCTACTATTGACGAGATGTTACCAATAGAAGAAAGTGAGACAGAACTGAAAATAGGCTCTGACACGGCATGAGGATCGACTCCTGAAGCAGGTGTGAAGATTTTGAATATCGACGGAGCGAAGCCGATCTGATCGTGGGTGGCCACCGTGGAGAGCTGGTCGGGACGAATTAATTTGTAAAAGTCACGCACCCGAGTAGCGATTTGCGATAATCTGTTCTCTTTATTCTCGCTTTTTTCACTCGTTGAAGAATCCGGGACGACTACATCGATTCCTAATGCTTGCGCGGAGATTGTGTGATAGGTAGCAGCCGCATGATCTGGCCCATCGTACGGCCTGTTCAAATATGGACGAAGATTGATCATGCTGTGGTTCACGTAACGAAAGAATTGAGGGTTCTCTTCCCGCGGCTGCACTTCTGATAAAGCTAATGCTAACGCCGCCATAAAGACGTGGGTTACACTGACGCCAGGGGAAATAGACTTGGAAAGTTGCAGGATCTGCTCTGTAGCCCTTTTTGGAATCGTAAATGAAAGGCGCTCCCTTCTTCCAGGCGTTGAGGGGACCGGAACAGAGCTGGTGGGAAGACCTAAAAGACCGGGGTGATTATATAAGGCACCATTTTTAGATTGAATATCGGCGAGGCGTTTGGATTGAGCGTCCGATAATGTCTGGACATTGGCGGCTACTCTTAGACACGGAGAGAGATTTACACCCTCACTGCCCCATTCTGGGGCGGCATATTTGTCTTCTTGGTCGTAGGCTCGGGAAGCGTAGTCAAAGAGCTGGTTAACGAGCAGGAGAATGCCAACGCCGTCGATAACGTCGTGGGGACATCGTAAAAAGAGAGTATAATGAAATGACGGCTGGCCTTGGACGAGAAATATGCTGGAGTCCTTGAAGGTAGGAGCATGCTGGTTAAACCATTGGAGTTCATCTCCCACGCTGTCAAGCACATGAAACGTAGATGTTAGCCACTGCCTCACCTCATCAGAATTCCCGGGTGATGAATATACTCGTCTCCATCGATCGGTATACTCGTCATATTGAACATGCGAGGCCAAGGTTGGATGTCTGTGACGGAGAGAGGTCCAGGCACTCCGAAAAGCAGCTTCAACGCGATTGTTTTCAGTGGTACGCGTGGAATCTATAAAAGACGCGCAGCCGGTGACAGGCAAGCACCCATTCTCTTTTCTCGCAGACAGGTAGTAAAATTTCTCACACTCGTCAAGATCCCGTTCCCAGACTCCCTTTGAAGATTTTTGCCAATGTAGATTGGGTGACATGATTACAATTTTGGGTGTTTTGTAAAAGTAAGAATGTTGCCTTTGCACAGGCTCTGATTCCTTCTTGAAGAGTGCTGCCTGGGGCTAGTCAGATTATAACTAAGCCGTGTTCAGTCTCATCATTACACATAATGCTCCGTACTGAGTTTAAGAATACCAAGTCACACCAGCCATACATTACTGTGGATTTGGCATTGCCACAACGTCAAAATCCTACAGAAATTATAAGTCGAGGGTTACAGTTGGAGTCGAAATCACTCCCGAATTGTTTCCTAAGCCCTATCTTGAAAAACGCTATCCCCGATTTGGTTATCATATCGACCATTCCTTTTTAGTTGTAAGCAAGCTTAGTTTAGCGTTTTTTAGGACACATAGCCCGTCAAAATGAGTACTACTCCTTAATGCTATCTTGTCATCTGACAGAGACTAACAACTAGACTGTTCTATGTCGTCAGGGTGAACATCATCCTTGCCATAGAAAGTCGTACCAAAAACTGACAAAGCGACGCAGGATTTCAAACGACCACCGCCCTAATATGGATGGCGAGGCGCTAGATCGGCCGTTCCATTTCGTGGTTACTGGCCGCTATATCGCTGTTCACTACGATGGCCAGACTTTCGCACTTGATAGTAACCACCACCTCCGCGGTGACCTGTTTTATCTATCTGATGATGAGGAAAAGATAATATACAATGGCGCCTATATTGGCCACTTAAAGAGCCATCCCGACTACCGAGATGATATATTTTATATCTGCCGTGAGGCACAGTATCTTTCACAGAGCGGATCGTGGACGGCCAGCATTGCTGATGCGCTCAAGGTTGAGATTAATCCTATGAACATATTTGACGATCCTAGCAACATCAATATTCTGACATCACTCTCTGATCCCGTTATCAACGATCACAATCCTATCTCTGCGGATGGTATTGATCTTTATCACCCCAACGGATATTTCTGTCTCTATCCCCTTACTGGTGACTGTCTCTGGACGGGTGATGCAGGCGACTTCAAGTCTGAGCTCTTTTTTGGAGGGGATATATACAGCAATGGACAAATTTTCCGCCTCTCCGTGAATGGCGGGAAGACGAGGATCAGCTCAGGTGACAAGTTCCTTTCTATCACCCTTGGACCTGACAAGGCGGAGTACCTGCCCGAAGAGTGCCGGGAGCACAATGCATGGAGCAAATGCCCGAAATGTGCGCATTGGTACTCCCTTGGCTTTCAATCTGAACCTCAAGATTGTTTCACTTTGATCCCTCGAGGGCTTCCAAGCATGTTTGTTTTGTACGACGGTGCATACTATCATCGTGTTTCCGTCCTCAAGTCTAGCTATGCCACGACAGAACGTGTTGAACGCATAGAGGATGCATCGCTGTTCCAGTTCGTCAGTGTGTAATATATGTTTCACACTAATCTGTATCAGAAAAAGATCCGGAATAACCATAGACACGCGCTGTGCGCGCCAGTGCCCTGAAACGATAAGAATAGTAGAGTATGTTGTTTTCTGTCCAACAACATGTACGCTAAGTGAATGGTAACCTTCAAACACCTTGCGATAAGCAGTGAAAGAATAGTGCTCAGTTAACTAAGTGTAAGGCATCAACAGGAATAGAATTTTAAGACTATTAGTACGTGGACTTCAAGCACTGTATGATATAATTTAGATATCTGCGTCCAAAATATTTTTCTCTCTCCAGCTCTCAAGAATATGTCTATAGACACAAAGATGTGCGTGCTAAAATAATAACCTATAGAAAATTAAACTTTGCGTCTAAAGCACGAGTCAGATGTGCCTCAGACTTTCGTGTTCAGACCTCAAGAAAAGGTGTTTTCCTAACCTTGCATTCTTTTATTCAAAGCGTCAACTACCAACTTTGCCGTCGTTTCCTCATTACCTGTCTCCCAAGCGCTCTGGCCAAAAAAACGCTTTCTAATCTCTGGCAGTTCGCTTAAGGTGCATTTCCCAATCTCTTCAGTAAGTTTTGATAAGCTATCAAATACAAGGTATCGGCGAAAAGTAGGCTCATCCCAACAATTGGTTTGATAATCAGAAGATAAAATACCAAGTTCTGTGGTTGCTGCTATTTTCATCATCGCTACCATGTAGTGGAAATACGCATAACGTGCTGCAGGTCGAGCTTTACCCTTGAAAGTCAACTCCTTATCATGAATGATTTTAAAGGTTTCTGAGCTTCCTTCAGATATTTGTTCATTCAAAAGCCTTTTATTCAGTACCATAGTTTTCCAGCGGCGATGGGTCATAGGATCGTTGATAGGAACAATAACAATAGAGAATTCACAAAAATGTTTCTCAATTCGCCTGTTCATAAGCAAGCCGTTTCGCGGAGAGTATAACTCGTTTGCGCTGCTGGATCCAAAGAACTTTTGCATAATCTCTTCTCGCAAGAGATGGGGGAAAAAGTCAAATGGTTCGATCGTAGATGGCTCCAGGTATTCTCCAAGCACATTGCACCAGAGTCCTTGTTCATATGGATCTTTTGCGTGATGGTCCCGGATTAGCATTTCACGAAACGACAACATATTTGGATATCTTGACCTCTTCTAGAGTATAAAGTCACTTGAGCATAAGCAAAAACTCCAGTATACTCCAAGAAAACTGGTTCATAACTTCACTTGAAAGATATGAGTGGAGACTTGTGACCCCGCAGTTCCCCCGCTACTTAAATGACCAATCGATTAGATATGAGCAAAGAGGGTATTAGAGAGATTGTGGCAATTAGCTCCTGTGCGTTGGCAGATGATGAACAGTAGAAATCTATGAGACTGCATGAGTAGTGCTCACTAAACCTATTGTAAGGCAGTATCAGTAATACGCATGCCAAGACTATTGGCAAGTGGAAGTTCAGCAGGATTCAAATGTGCTTTCATTAATACGTTCCATGATGATTTTTCCCTAGTGGCTAGTCATTCTTGCATAATTCTAGACTCTGCCAAGTTAGTGCGGTATTTTTCGAGATGTGGCGGTACTATTGTGGTTTGTTCAAACTTATCTACAACCCTTTGTAATTCCCCTCTACGAATGTAGAGAGGTTGGTGTTGAGTTTCTTGCCAGACTTTCTACGCGTTAGAACAAATTGAGTTTAGTGAAAATTCAATTGGATTGAAATACAAGCCTGAGTTGTAAAAAACTCATCTGACTAGGTATATTTATATATGAATTTACACCAATATTTGTCATTAGGGGTAAGGTATTGAAAATTGAGGGATGTCAATTTTTGGCATGGCGTTTTGGCGTTATTGATCGTGATTTTGGGCATTTCGAATATTTTCCCAATATTCTTAGTGCCAAATATTCTGACAAACGTACAAACACCGGTCCGAATCCTTGCTCAGAAGGAGGGGTAGCGAATAGCTACCCACTGAGACCATAGCTATTAGTAACGCCTTGCTCCGACATAGGAATCAACAAGGCCACGCTCTGCCATCCCTATCCTTACACCTTTGGCCGGTCGTTTACCCTAAACTTATCAAAATTTAGTATCGAATTGATCGGCTTATCTAGGAACAAGAAGGCTGTCAACAGCGGATTACGAGCTTGACCACGGAATTAAGTGTACTCACGAAGTTCCTTTTCACACAGCAAGACAGCATGAGTTTCGGTTTCTCTCCAGGCGATATTGTCCTTTTCCTTGAATTCGCTACAAAGGTTGTCAAGGCCTTGAAAGAGGCAGGTGGTCAAGATCAGAATATCTTATTGCTCAACAACAATGTCAAGGCTTTCTCAAGACAATGGACGACGTCCAACACCTTGATCTTTCAGATGTGTCGGAGTCATTTCGAAGCCAAATAAAGGAGTACTCGACACACTCATGGGAATTTGTGAATTATTTCAAAAGGGCCATTGACAAGTACGAGAAATCGATGGGAAAATCCTCTCAGCGCAGATTCCTAACAAGTGCTCCAAGGAAGGTCCAATGGGCTTTTAACGCGGCTGATGATCTCGAAAAATTCAGACAGAGCCTTTCTGCCCAGCTTAATCTCGTCCACATCACAATATCAAAATCCATTTTGTCAATCGTAGCTAGGTCCAATCAATCGCAACAACTTCTACCAGGACCAGCGCGCAGCAACGCGTTCAGCAGAGAAATTTATCCTGCTAGTCATAAACAAGGCTATCTTGATTGGAATTACATTCAGATCGACAGCGTTGATATGCTTGATCGAGTTGATGATATTACTGATCTTGTGTATAAGAGCCTTCTCGCAAGGTCAGGTTTGTCGCTGACCAACCATGGAAGAGTTCACACTCTACCTGACGATGCTAGTATGAGCGTGTCATATCCACAGCTTGAAACTCTTTCAGATGGTCGTACTCCACCCTTCACCGACCACTCAAATGAATTTCCCATTTTAAATCAACAGGATATTGAATTAACAAATAAGCGAACATATTCGGGGCACCAGGACACTTTAGTAAGCGAAATAAACGAGTACCTGCGTTCATTAAGCTTGGAAGAACTCTCCGAGCAGGAGGCAGAACATGTCAATCAAATCGAAAAAAGTTCAGAGATTTCTACTCAATGGACCTGGAGAATACACTTCCGAACCGCTCCCACAACAAACCAAAAATAATCAAGATCGGCCACAGCCATCAGGTTCGGGTGCAAAAAGGGGTCGAAAGTCAAAATTTGGTCCCAGAATGCTACCCTTTGGATTTCCGAGGGATGCTCTAGGCAGCACATCGCTTGCAATTGGCATCATACAATTCATTGATTCTGCAGCTAACACATCATTCAACATCATGAGGTTAGATAATACCTCTCGGGAGCTTGTGATGCTATCCAGAAGAATCATGCAATATTCAATGATTCTTGAGATAGCGACAGATGTAATTTGTACCTCCATGTCCGCCGGATAGTAAAGACTAGGATGGGAAGTTATCTGGGATAGTGAAATAGCTTGAATAAATTAACATACAGGACAGAGACTTGGCGGCAACAATACAAAGGAATATTGAAATTGCTGAAGTGGCAATTCATGAAAAAGAGGGTCCTGTCGCTCATGGATGAAATCGAGTCCCTCAAATCAATGTTCTCCATCATGTTGCAGACGCATCAAATCCAAATTTCTGAGCGCAGCTTTTCAGAGATAAAATATGCCAGGGAAATGCAAATGACGACACGACGTGTCGCATCACGACGGTAACTTAGATTCCTAGTTACACAAAAGCGTCTCCACTACTTATCTAGGGAGATTGACACATGGAAAAGGCAAAAAAACGACCAGGCCAGGGTAAAGATTTTAAAAGAAACGAGGGCTAGCGCTCGCGTTCAATACACTAGGACGTATAAAGGCACTCAGTAAAAAGCGGCAAACATGGCAATGTAGTGAGATAATTGGTGCTAATACAAAGGTATTTTTAATGAGCCTGGTTCTAAGACATAATAATGAGTTTGTAAGGACGACACACTAGTACGGTAAGAAATATATCACTAACCAGGCGCTAACTACCATATTAGTTGGAAAGAGAGTTTGGAGGATGAAGCCAGTTTCGAACTCGCCTGTATCCGGCCTTATGTATATAATAAATAAAGACTTGCCAGTGGCTGCCTTTCTGTTCTATCTAGATCTAGGAGGATATTAAAAAATGGTATATCTAATAACGGATATTTCAGGGAGCATAGCGGTTAACCGCGGGATACCGATGCAGTGGTGAGTACATGCCTGCGTGTCTATAAGCGTTATTAAACATCATAAATATATAAAAAACATGCAAAGCAATGCGCTGATTAAAGATCTGTGATAACCTAGTTTAATAGCCACAATCCCAGCAAGTCTATTGCTGTAACATATCTAAATAGAACGTATTGAAATGGAGTTAAAATTGGCATATTTGGTAAGGAAAATATTTAGGAAGAATTCTTTTTGTGTGCGTACTTGGACTGGTGATCGTCGAGTATACGTGTCATATAATTTCAATTCCGAGAAAGAATAAAAGTGATCAAATAAATACATATCGGCAACGTGCTTTATATCCTATCTTTCGGCCTCTACGGAGTTCCCGAGTGGGAAGCACAAATTGCTCGGGAGACCGTGGATTTGGAAAAGGATATGTCCATACTGGATTGATCGCCTGAACTCGACTCAAGTAAGAGAAATACTATCAGACTCTGGTCGTGCAGACAATCTCTTTGCAATGTTGCTTACGATATTAGAGAGCGCAAGGACCCCCTTCATGGCCGGAAGGGATAATCCTTCTATGTTTCACAGCGGTGTTCAAGCCCATTACGACATAGGTTCTGCAGAAAAAACTCAGCATGTGGCTTCTTCTCCCACTGATTCCCCCTTTGCGACGAGTAGACGAGGCAAATGTCCAGCTACCGGCCATTTAGCTAATAAGAGAACGCCAACTCACAGGAACAGCTCTACTTATCTGTATTACTGGACGACATAATCGCCGAAATTCAGAGTATAGAGAATGAGAAACCTTGGAATGATCTATTGATGATGGATGACAGTGTTTTTGATTCCGTTGGTAACCTCTGTTAGTACATCGTGGAAGATGTTGTCACTAATTTATTTTGGCCACCTGTAACTACTTGTCTGTCCACAGTCCGTCTCTTTTAGGGCAACACAAGTGTGGAGAGCTGCTTTCCATTCTCATCATACCGTGGTGGAAATACCTTGAACAGCCCGTTAATGTCACGAGGCTCATAATCAAGACCTTTAGCGGCCTCAATGAGCATATCAAAGCCAAAACTTTCCTTGAACCAGTGCGCGAACATATCCATTCCAGCCACTGCTCCACTGCCAGTCCAGATGTTTCCATCAACAACCCACTTCTTTTCCTTGGTCCATTTAACCTTAGGATATGCTTTTGTAGCCCATTCATATTCAAGATTGTTGATGGTGGCATTCTTCCCGTCCAAGACGCCCGTTGAGGCAAGAACTGCAGCACCAGTACAGGTAGTAAAGACAATTTTCCCGGCAGCTACGTGTCGCCGAATGAATTCCGCATACCGTGGTGACAATTTGAAATCCTTGAGATTGGGCCCGCCAACTAGCAAATAGTCCAATTCAGGACAGGTTTCAAGCGTGTCAGTAGGTTTAACGATAAGTGAGCTGGTAAGGAGTGGGAGCGGATCGAGTGTCTCTCCGATATGATGGAAAGCGAATTCGGGGGCACGGTTGATGAGCTTCTTGTCAATTTCGGTGAAGAAGCTCACTGCCTCTAGAATGAACCGACCTCCAGACCCGATCAAATCAAAGGGGCCGATCACGTCCATTGCTTGGTAGTCATAGACCAAGGAGCCAATGTGGATAGGAGCCATTTTGTAGGTGAAGACTGGAGTCAAGCAAGGAAGTTTTGTGCTGATTGTAATGCGAGTGGAATGAAAAAGACTAGTTTGTCCGATCTCCTAGATTTTTCGTGTAATCAATCAGGTTTATATACTTTGGCATCAAGTAGTCGATCTAACTACGCTGTGCAATGGTCTTACAAATGGAATACTTCTTCTGCGTGTCCAACTCATTTGGGTCACGGCACGGGAATCGAAATTCACCCGTCTCCGCGATCTTCGCTGCTGACAGTTATAGTCGCAAGCGTCTTAGCAAAAATTGACATTCATCACCACCCATGTAAAAAAGCCTTGGCTCAGTTTTCATTATAAGCCTGATTTTACTGTAGGCCTCCAACACATCTGAGTCGCGGCACGGGAATCGAAATTCATCCGTCTCCGCGATCTTCGCTGCCGACAGTTATAGGCGCAAGCGTGTTAGCAAAATTGACATTCATCACCTCCCATGTGAAAGGCCTTGGCTCAGTTTTCATCATAAGCCTGATTTTTACTGTAGACCTGGGATCAAGCTTTTGCGGACAAGTTGATTTCACTAGAATGTCACCGAGGTTGGCTTCGGGTTTGCAGCTGCATCGCAGGCAATACTTTCCAAAAGAGCGTGCCCGAAACTGTCATGGCTTTGACTGGCAATATTGCAATTAGGCTCCCGTAGCCGGTGCTGTTTATTGTCCTCCAAAGACATGAGTCTTGTCAACCACAAGCTAATTATCTAGTTGGAAGAGAATCAAGTGTCGATTGGCATATCATAAGACCACATTGGGTGCAATTTCGATGTGCGCATCAAAAGGATAATGGGGACCTGACACGGTTGAATAATTAGACACAACCGCACCGGATACTTTCAATCACACTGATTAAGGAAGCTATTGGGCCAACGTAACCAATTCTCCCACTGAGGCCCCAAATATTCATTAATAGAAGATATCAGATAGAGGCCACTGTTTCCGAAAGTCCACACCTCACGGTGCATGTGTAAAAGAACACCGAAATGAGAGAGGATTGCAAGCGCCTCTGGTCGCCGTTCCGACAGCAACTCTACGTACCCCGAAGGGATGATGACCGGCCAGGAAATGATCGGGCCGATTGTAGAGAAATCGGATGGAGGGGATCGGCTTCCATTATAAGCTTTCTGTAGGTCTTCAATCGTATGTCGATATGCAGTATCGATTGCTGGGTCAAAAGACATGGCATCCACAAGGGCAAGGAGCTCGAGAAACTCATGCCTAGAGGAACCGTGTTCTAGTCTCTTGCCTTCATTTTCAAGTAGAGATTTCAGCGGTGACTGCAAAAGGAGATGCCAGGATTCACTGGTAACCGCACGGACCCCACGATGCATTCTCAGTGACTGAATGAAATGATCAAGGAAAGCTTCGAAGTCATGCGGGCGAAACAAAAGCTTCTCGGAGAGGACGTGCATCGCAAGACATGAAGAAAAAAGGAAAATTGGAACGCAATTTTCGGGGGATATATCCAATTTGGCACCATTGAATTCAGAAAGAGCATGCGTCTGCAGCTGGGCCGCATGATATTGGTAAAACTCCCTCTTGTCTGGGTGAACGACACTTAAATGTAATGCAGAGAACGCCAAAACTTGGTTCATAAGATATGACGCAGTCAAAATGTACTTAGTTATGTCGATAGCAGAGCCCTCAGTGCAGCATTTGTCGATGCCAATAAAATTCAAGATGTCGGTAACAAAGTGATGGAGTAGTTCTAGATGCAGCTTATTTACCGGAGGACTGTCATCTGCCCCAAAGGCATGAGCGCTACTCGACGAACTCACAGACAGTTCATCTCTGGTCCTGTGAGCGAGCTTTGACTCGAGTCGGGAAGGTTGTGTCAAAGCATTCGCCTTCGACACCATCTCCTCATATGAGCAGTGACGCTCTGAAACATTGCAATTGACACATTTTGGGCGTGTCTCATCACACTTATGTGCAGGTTAGCGTCGAAAAGGTTTAGACGTTCTTGTGAAAATACCTTCATGTGCCGGCGCTTGCACTCGGTACAACCCTGCCTTGATTTTTTGTGGGCTTTTCTTGCATGAATCTTGCTCCTGCCTTTTCCACCTACCCGCGATACAAAAGGCTGTGCGTGCGACATCTAGAGGGAACAACGCTGAACGCGAATCACGTAATCAGTGTAATTTATGAGCAAACTACACAATACCGGGGGGGGATACGCTTTTGGTAGGGCAAGGGTGCAAAGAGTTTCTTGTTGCCTGGATGCACCTCGAAAAGGATCTTGTCGGATGTGGATCCACGAAGTCAATTCTACTGGTCAGCTAGATATATCCCAGCTGCGCTAAACCTAATAAGGATGAAACCCTAAGAGTTCGCCGAACTAGTGAGACACGCTGTCGGACGCGGACGCCCTGAAACGATGTGGGTAGGTCAGGGGAAAGTATAACAGGAATATCAATTGGACCAAAGCCGGCAAGGCAATGAATGAGAACGAGACTTGGCAGATGTTTAGGGGTGGGAAGCTTCGCGGCCTCACGCGGCAGTGCGTGGTCGAAGCGAATGAACCCTTCACTTGTTCCTCGTTTCAAGACACTCATTGCATGTTATGGTAGACTTGAGATTAGCGTGAACAATAAAAATCAAATGTCTCTAATGGATAAAAAGCCCTTTTAGTATTATATCTATCTTCGATCATTTGGAAAATCCTAGCCGCCAATCCTTCCAGCTTCAGTCAGGAATTTCTCAATTCCCATATGCAGTTACTTCTGTCGCGCAGGCGAAGTTGCAGCTCAATCACGCGTCCTGCAAGCTCACATAGTCGTCAACGGCAGGACTTTTGCCCACGAGAATCTTTCCCGGATGAAAGAAGTGGAAGATCGCCTGCACAAAGAACATCGGAATCGCATCGAAAATGTACATGTAAACCTCATGCGAAGACAGATATCCATCTGTCCCCTCAACATATTCGATAATGCGAAACACACACCGCCCGATGATTAGTGCGGATACAAGGAATAAGATTTGAAGAAGACGGCGCCAAGGGCCACTTATCAGGTTGAGACCAGTCCTGCGTAACCGAATCTGGAAGGTCACAGATACGTAGAGGAAGAACCCGAAAAATATCAGTTGAATAATGAGCCCAACAACAAGGACCTTCTGACCGACGTTGCGCATACTGTTGATAGTCTGCATGCCGCCGCCTCCTAGCTGCAGAAGGAAAGCGATGGTATCGCCCCATACAAAGACCTTGGTCACTTTCTGGGGTGCAACAATGGAAAGTTGAGGTTTATCGACAAACATGACAAGTCGACCGTAAATCATATAAATTGTCGCGGCATAGAGCGATGGCGGGAGAATGATGAACATGGACTGGCAGATGTAGGGGACAAGGCTCTCGGGGTTCCTCGCTGAGATCAACCGGAAGATGTAGCCCAGCGTCATCACTATGGTATCGCGATATGTTGGTTAGATTCCCGGTACACCATCTCTAATTATAAAGGTAGAGTACTGACTGAAACCACCGATGAGGAAAGCGGAAAAAAACCACGTTCTTGTCTTAATCAACTGCCAGAGGTGAAAAAATGCACTTGCTCCAAACAGCAGCATTGCAATAGTCGCCCCTGTCTTGCTGGGATCGTAAGGGTAGTAACCTGAAGACCCCATTTTGCTGTATATCGAAGTGTGAGAATCTATGCAGTGCGTAACCTAGAAATGCCTCGGAGCAAAATGAACCAAAAAAGGAAATTTCGACTGTCTGGAGTGAGGAAATAGAAAAATAAAAATAAAAATAAAAAAAGAGAAGAATATAAGAAAATGAAGAGAATGTAATTGCCCGATGCAGGATCTGAGGGAAACTTGAAAGAGAGGATTGCCGCTATTAGATCGCAAGTAAAAAATAAAGAGGCCCTGAGTGTGGGATATAAGTATGGCTTTACTGTGCCTACCATATCTGACTACACTTAGGCAACAATAAGACTCAGCGGGCACAAGGCGCAGTTAGCGCTGTAACTACAACAGAGGAAGATTTATTGTTGGATAGATTCAGACTAAAGGGGCCGCTATAATGGATTCATTTGAATATTGTTTTCAATATCCCGTCCTTGTTTCTATGATGATACTAATTTTATGCTGGAGACGTTTTGGACGCTACATATACGTGGAACGGGAAATATCTGATTGGGTAGGGTATTAGGCCGGACTTTGGCCGAATACGCGGAATCTATGACTTATGATTGCTGACCGGATGTGCCTAATAGTAGGTCATGATGGACAGATAGCTGCATCTGCAGAGGCACTTGAAACCCCTATTTTAGGTTCATGTCGGTGGAAGACAAAGTAGGGTTCAGCGCTCCATATCCGATACCGAATTAGCAAGTGAGTCTGTATATACTTGCTTGAACCAGCCCTTGTTCTTGAGAAGAAAAACTCCGGTTGTCGCAGGTGTTCTTTGCAATAGTGTAGGGAAGTTTTCCGGACACGAAAGCTAGAATGAAATGATCCCACGAGGATTATGCCTTCATCTCCACCGCCTCACTGCTTGAAGCTCCATTATTCAAGAAAGGCGTTAGATCTCTAGGATACCAGACCCCAAAAATCACCATACCGACGAACATGGGAACAGCATCGAACACATACAGTGTCCACTCATTGCTCAATGGATAGCCTTCATTGCTCATGGAGTACTCCACGACCCGGAAGGTAGATCGGACAAGGATAAGGGCACTTATCGCGTAGAGGCTATACAAGTGTTGCTTCCAGGGAATTGCAACGTCGAATGCCTCCGCGGTAGGACTGTGGCGCATCCGCCTCTGGAACACATAGGCAGTGGCAATAAACAGGCAGAAACTTAACACCTGTAGACCTAGACCCGCGATGACGATCCCTTGTCCAATGTTGGTAAGGCTACTGCTGACCATCATTCCTGACCCGCCTGCTTGAACCAAGAAGGTGACCACATCGCTCAGGACAAATGTTTTGGTCAACCAGTCTATGGGCAGGACGGAGTTGTCCTCTGCGTGGACGGAGCGAATGATGCGAGCGAGTACCATGTAGACCGAGGCAGCAAAGAGAGCTGGACCGAGAAGAATGAAGACTGCTTGGATGCAGTAAGGCATCAGATTGCCAGTATTGTTATGGGAATCGATTCTGGTAGCATAGCCAATTATTTCGACTTAAAGGCCACATGTCAGCAAGCGAGCAACACGGTAAAAGTGAAGTAATGAGCTCTTACAGATACCACCAATTGCAAATGGCAGTGTGCATCGTACTTTGTTTCTGAAAAATTTCCAGAAATGAAATGAGGTCGTAGCAAGAAACAGAATCAAGAAAATAACGGCCGCAACAATGGAGGGGACATATTGCCAGACATAATAGCCGCTTTTCAAAGGTTGTAATTTCGCCATTCTAGAACGTTTTTTGAATCAAAGTTGTCGTTGATCATTGTAGTCTGCAATGAGCGCTTTCTCTTGAGAATCTCGACACCAGGGAGGGTATTGATTCTAATACTGAGTGAGTGTGGTGAGTATCTTAAATAGTGTAAAAACGCCACATCCCAGTGTAGTTGCATAGTTTAAATTCCAGTGGCCAATCGTATTCACAGGACTACGCGTATTCGTATCACGTTATGACAGTGTTCCCGGACATCTCCACCAGGTGGCTAGGGATCTCTATTGGTCGTATATGTCTGTACGCGGAAGAAATCTCTGCTGATTCGTTGATGGTCATTAAACTACCAGCCTCAACTTACCAAGTGGGGCGGAAAAAAATTACGTCCCGAAACATAGGGTCTCGAGATTTCAACCTAGGTGTGAAGTTCTCCGCTTCGAATACGCGTACTATAGAGGTCATGATTGGTCATATTTTGGTTGATACCTGGAGCCTTCTAAAATCTGTAGTATGTCAGCTAACTTGTCTAGGCGACTTCAGTCAAGGCTGTGCAGTCAATCCTTTACGAATTGATAGTTCGCCAAATTTGACTGCGAATGATGGTGGTGAATGATGGTGATGAATGTCTGCGGCGAAGTACGCCAATCACATCGAGATTAAAATTGCAATTCCTTTTAAAATCAGACTCTTAGCTTAGAAACGTATCATAAATATTAACCAATGCTTTGTTAGGCGAGTATGGCCGTTGTAAAAGTGGGCAGCATGAACCAGATTCGGATCGTCAGCGGTATCTGATGATCAGTGGTTCTTCCACGACAGGTGGCTGGCAGAAAATAATATAACCTTCGCAAAAAACTGCGGATTGTATCTCTGTACGCCTGATAGTGATTGAGAAAATAGGAGTTTGTGAAACTTTCATAGTTTAGTCTGTCGCTGAAGTCAGGGCTTTTTGAGAAGTAGACCTCTTTTAACAAACTGGCCTTTTGAAGTATCCCAAACTCCAAGCTGTGCCCAAGGGCATTCTCCGAGTTTTCACCCACGGTCTCAGCGCAAGCCATGTTGATAACATTCGGATACTACCTACACCAAATCTTTCCTTGGATATATAGACTTGGTGCCAGTCTGTCGTGGTCTATATCTTCTAAATTTCAACCTCATCACTTCATACGACCTCTCGTCGCCAAGAATAATCCCCCAAAGCACAGTCGGATATGTCCTGAATTGGAGATGCTGTCCAGGTTGAATCTCTAAGATATCTTGGATGCCGATGAGCCCCCTATGGGGTTCATTCAGACTCTTCTATCCGATAATCACATCTTTTTCGAGCTCATCTGCATCGTGGATTTCTTGTGCGATATATCGACGTCACTATAACTCGATCTTCTAGGTAATATTAAATGTTTACGCCATAAATATTGCATTTGGAGTAAAATCTCTACCCGCCCAAAATAGAGTGAACATCCGTTAGATCAGCAACTTTGGCTGCCTGCCCAGTTATTTTGATTGCACACTGAAATTATATAAGGGATAATTTTTAAAATTGGTTCTACTTCTTTCTAAACTTCCTGTGCTCCAGGTTGCTTTTTATCTTCCCCCGAAATCTACCTTACTCCCCAGCCATATTGTCAACTTATTCATGGTGCTTATTCAACAATATTCCAAAAGCTTCACAATGTTTTAGTAATCTAACAACCCTGTTTGATAAGGGAATCTCGTGTAATTTGTGCACCAGGGCATCTTGGAAATTCAATGGCGTTATCGCAGGTATTCTGAGAAAGCGCGACCTCCGTGAGTGAAGAACCTCAGATTTAGTCCGGCTACATAGAAAGGTCCACGCAGGTACTCCTGAAAATCGGGACCACTTTAGAAGGTATCTAGTAAATTAAGTATGATTTTATCAATTATAAGAAATATATAATCCAAAATTTATAGTAATTTATTCATATAATTTTGACTAATAATTTTGGGGTAAAATTGCCGTAATATATCCAACACTAGCCATTATTCGGATATAGACGTCTCTGATTGGCTGAAAGCTCCAACTTGCCCTAAGCCGCCTATCTATGACCAACACAACATTGAAGATCACATTAGAGGGGCTGCAAATTCATAAAATCAGGCGCTTTGAAAGGATAATTTGGACTTATAATAAGGCGACCATCCCTCGATATACTAGGAAGAAAGACTACTGTTTATAGCATCAGAATCAAGAAACTTCAACTGCATACCAGAACCCCCTTCCCACGAGATTATTCACACCAAAACAACCTCTACTTACACGAAAATCCCAAATGGCTACCCACTTCGCCGCTGTTTCTCCTGCCAAAGGTCAACCCTTCAAGATCCAAACACGCCCCACCCCAAAACCAGGCCCCGGCGAGCTCCTCATCGCCGTCAAGTCTATCGCCCTTAACCCGGCAGATGGATACATGCGTAACCAAGGCCTCTTCATACACACCTACCCCGCGGTCATCGGCTTCGACATCTCGGGGTTAGTACTCGAGGTAGGCGACAACACCCCTAACGGTACTACGGATGATGATTCGGGCCTCTCCTTCCAACCAGGCATCACCCGCGTAGCCGCCTACGCGGCCTTCTTCTGGAAATCCTGCGACCCGGATTACGGCGCCTTCCAGGAGCGGTGTATCGTCCCCTGGCAGCACGCCGTGCCCATTCAGGACAATAACATGTCCTGGAACCACGCGGCAACCTTACCGGTGGCCGTCGAGGTACCCCTCAGCGCGTGGGATAACTTGGGGATTCCTCGGTTAGGAGGAGCGCAAAAAATAAATAAAAGACCAGAAGAAGCACTCCTAATCTGGGGCGCCTCTTCCAGCGTCGGTAGTATGGGCGTGCAGAGCGCTCGGCTGCTGCGAGAGGATCGAAACTCTTCTTTCGCCGCCGTGTACGCCACAGCCGGGTTAGCCAATAAAAAGTATGTGGACTCGCTCGGCGCGGACCGCGTCTTCGACTACAAAAATCCCCAAGTGGTGGATGCGATAGTTTCAGCGGCCAGAGAGGACGGGCTGGTGATTCGGCACTGCTTTCTTGCCGCGGGGCAGCTGGCGCCGTGTCAGGCTGTGCTGGGGGCCTTCCTTGGGGATGATAAAAGGGGGAAGAAGAAGGCGAAAATTGCATCAGCGCCGATAATACCCCCGGATGCAGATGTGGTGGACGGGGTCCAGACCATCTTTGTGCAGCCGTCAACAGAGGAAGGGGAGAGGTTAGAGCAGTTCCGGTATTGGATGGGGACGTGGCTGAGGGAGAATCTGGCTAAGGGGGTTATCAGGCCGAGTCCGGAGCCGAGGGTTGTTGGGAAGGGGTTGGACGCTATTAATGCTGGGTTAGATATGCTGCTCCGGGGGGTGAGTTGTACGAAGTTGGTGGTTGAGGTTGAGGAGTGAGAATTTCGGAGGTGTTGACACTAGGTATCACGATAAATTCTACTATACCAAGTCTCATACCACGCTGGCTTCGCTGGCTAATAGATAACCTAGCTAAATGACGCTGTTCTGGAACCATTGGCTTCCTAGGATGCACAGTGATATGGAATCATCAATCTACACCAGCTCGCTATAGGCACAAGACATCTAGCCCATGACTACTATAGGCCTGTAACCAAGTAGGACAAGGACAACAGTGCTAGATATAATTTAGACACAACAATAGGGTTTAGGATCCAATTCAGAACATGATAAGGTAATATAAAACACAACAAACCTAGGTACGGCGGAATGAATGGTCTTTTATGCCCAAAATTCGGTGTTTTACATTCTTATATCTAGTGGCACAGCAAACTTTAATATTACCACATATTAAGACCTGGTGGATAACAAATTATATCTTCAAGACCCATTTAGTCCGCCGTAAGTAAGCATGTTACAGACCGTTTCAGAATCTCTGGTTTCTTTTGCGAAGACACTACTGCCTGAAGGTACTACTATAATAATTTATTTATAATTTTTGGACTAGTTAAGGCTTGACTTATCAAATTAAATATAGCTATACATATAACTTTTATTATAGTAATTATCCTTAAATCAATTGAGAGTCTTATTAAAGTTATAGATATTTTTATCTGTCATATTAACCTCATTCTGAATGTTTTAGAGAGTCTTATATATGTAGTAATTAGGAAATGATACCTGCTGACTACGTCTGCATCAAGATAATACTTGAATATGAGGCGACTTCTGGACCCAGAATATAGTGTTTGTTGTAAATAGAAACGGCAAAGCATCCTAGTGTAAGCAAGGGAGTACTGTATATAGTGAGACGTAACTGTGATATTTTTACTGTGCAGTCATATATCACGAAGTTATAAATATCACGGTATACTTACATTATATTGAATTTTCTTTGCGTTTTAAGCAGATGACAGGCGATGTTCAAAATTCATGGACTATGTCAGCAAGTTGGACCTGTAGGATACACCTACCCATAAAACCTATTCCCCGCAGGGACCTTATCACCCACAAAAGTGGCCACCTTCGCCACATTGATATAAAGCTGCCGGCTATCTAAACCCAACGATTATGACTCGCTTTCTCTGAACCGGCCCTAACCCTGCTGCAGACTGGCCATTCCCAGCTCGCACCGAACAAATTTTACAGCTTCTGGGAAGATGACAAGTGTGAAATGTGGTGCGAAGGAAACAGCAATTCACGTTCATGTTGGTAGTTCATATTCTAATATCAATACAGACATCGGCATTGCACAAAGTACTCATATCATAGACCCCTTTAATTAACCCATCTTCCCATCGATCCCGTCTCTACCTCCTCTACCTTTTCCCCTTTTGCTCCCTCGTTGGTGCCAGAGATGTGAGGGTTTTTTTTTTCGAGTCCTTTTGAATAGAGGAACCAATCAAATTACATTTATTAAAGACTGTTTACGGCGAACTTTTAGACTGACTGGTATGAAATGAAACGCTTTAAGAAGAGAGTCACCAGGATGAAGGATCAATTGTTCCACTGACATGGAGCTTTCGGCGGTCAAGTTGCGGTACTGTTACTCCATCCTGTGAAGCTGACATGTTTTGACTTCGCACGTGTTTTAGTAAAGTCAGCGCTAAAAATTGGCTAGCCACCTAGTAAACTAGTTCTTTAACCTTAATAACTCTTAGCCAGCCAAAAACTTTGTGCCAGCTCGGTAAACAGTTCCCAAAAATCTTATATAATGTATTCGGGTATTCACGTATTATCAGCCTGAAGCCGGATCATATAATATAACCTCTTTTAGATATCTTTTTGTTAACAGAAGAAAGCGAAACTGCTGGAGCTTTGAGAATAAGGTTGCCAAACCTCCAGATTGCTAACCCGATCAGAACAAGCCAAATGTCAGAGTTTTACCGTCACCAGAACAGATTTACGCTTAGTGGCTGCGGTCTTTCTGAGTTCGTATTCTTTCGTATTCTGCCGAACACGAGCATTGAAAGTAACCCAGTCTAGCCGAATAGAACGTCTTCACAGTCTTCTTATGTCAGCCACTAAAAATCTTACGAAAACGTGTGATATACTATTTGTACCACGAACATTGGTGACTCCACTGCTGCGGCTGAGAAGCGGAATGTTCTTGCGGCATTATAGTATTCTTAGTTAAAAACATATATATAATGAACAATTTGAACCGCAAGTTCACTCTCAGACACCTCGCAAATATTGTACTTAATTCCTACTATTAAGCCTATCGACCCTCTGGACATTTATAACATATTACGTGTCATCATGTTGGTATTGGCACTGAATTTGTTGGTTCTTCCCTTAGCCGCTTTGGCTGGCACACCAACAATCGGTGATGAGCCCACAAGGACTCTCGTAGGCCGTCAGAGCCATCCCGAGACCACCATACCCTGCCAAATAATCAATGCGAATAGTGCAGTCAACTGTCACAATGGACCCTACCTGAACTCTCCGGTTGTAAGGACACTCAATGCGGGAGAGTATTACGAGTTTAATTGCTATGACCGTGGGGATTGTTATGAAGACAACTGGTTCGCTCATACTCTACTATTACCAGAGATCATCTTCACTAGACTCTAATGTACCATTTAGTACGTGGGATCACGCCTATAATGAAAATTGTTTTGTGAATGGATATTTCACGGATAGCACATGCTCAGTTGGTATGACTTTCAATAAAATGCCTCCGCCGACTCGTTTATATTCTCGAAGAATGCTGATATGACCTTATTAGCAAACCTTGGTCCTTCGACCTGCTAGACAAGAATATTCGATCATTAACAGGTATAACAGGATGGTCAGGCGGCGCGGTACGCAGCGCATCAGAGACAAAGTACAACGGTTGATGGTATTGGTTTCCTAAGGAAAACATGGACAAGCCAGTAGCGTCGTACATGTGAGGGACCAGTCATAAATCAGTTTATTATATATAGACAAGTGGCTTATGGCAAGGAATATATGAGTGTATTTGAATATTTTGGTACTAGGTTTGGGGCAGACAGTGTGGAGAAGTAGACTCTAAAAGGTCCTTCTAGTGTCCATTAAAACGAGATATTTATGGCTTAAAACTGGGTAAGGTCTTTAAGCCTGAATAAGTATTTAAATAAATACTAATGTTTAATCTAATAAATGTGCGAAAGCTCAGTAGATATTAGGGCAAATGGTGCAGTCACGTGCTCAGGCACCAGGACTGACCTGAAATATTTTCTTTCATTCCTCGGCCATACTCTGGTACTTATGGTTGATAGTTACGCTATGTTTAACTTTCTTGCGCTGTGTATCTGGGTGACACAGTCATTCGCCGCAAATTCGACGGCGGTAGAGGGCTGGCAGTTTGACGGTAACTCCCGCTCCACCTTCGATATATTGTGGTCTTGTTCCTCCACCATATTTGCGTGCACGTGGACAGCGCTACATACCAACGTGCCGGAGCGCAACAAGTCTGATTTCCAGATCGGAGTCAGAAAGGCTTGGCAATTTTTCTTCGCCCTCATGGCTCCGGAGTTGATTGCTTGGACAGCGGCTCAGGAACTATGGTAAGTCAGATCCACCGCGGTCCGTTGTAACACTGCTCAAACTCTTAGAGATCGAGAGATTAAAGATCTAAATTTTAGGCCATGTCAGCGGGCCATACCCCCGGCGCAAGCTTACGACCACAGGGATCTTATCATTTCTCCAAGCCATACAAAATGGACCTTTGCCCAATGTTTCTGTTTGATCATGAACGGGATAGCCTTGCAAACCGAAGATGAATGGCTGTACATTATAGATTCAAAATTGATGTTGGCTCTGATTAAAGCCGATATTGTCAGGTGTTCCGACCTAAGAGATCGAGATATCAAGGATAGAGCTAAGGCAGACTCCCTGGCAAAAGCATTCACAGTACTTCAGAGTACCTGGGCTGTCATCAATGTCGTTGCAAGAGCAGGATATAAACTTCCTATCTCACTAATTGAGCTCTCCACTGTGGCATACGTAATTTGTGGGCTCTTGACTTATGCTTTCTGGTGGCACAAGCCCAAAGATATGACAACGCCGATCATGATTAACCTGCGATATACCCGGGACAATCTACCGCAGGAAATCCGCAACATTACGGATGAAAATCCACAAAAATGGGTCCATTGGCGGGAGGTTCCTCCTGAAGAAAACTTTTTCGCCATGCCGCAGATAATTCGCCGGGTGCATAGACGCGTCTTTACGGAAAAAACTTTCCGTGAAGTAGCGGACACCGGCTCCCAGGCATTTACAAGGCGTGAGGAAGCGGCCCTAGACGCCTTCGCCATTCTCGCTGCCATCCTGTTTTGTTGTGTCCATATCGCTGCGTAAGTGTGCATATATCTCTGGCATATTGGTCCCAGCCCGAGTGGTATCCAGAGATGATATCTTTTCCTAGGATGTACTAATCGGTGATATCATGTAGGTGGAATTTTCTGTTCCCAACGCAAACTGAGCAAATCGCATGGCGAATCTTTACACTTATTGCAGTCTCGATGGCTTGCGTCGCCTACCTAGTAGGCCAGGCACCTCTGTTCGCGAGGTTGCTCGCGAAAATTATCTCCATCCCCTCCTGTATGAAGGCTTTGGTGGACCCCACCGCTTCCTTTACAATGTTAGAAATTTATCTTAATGTGGGAGCTTACCAAGTGTACTGTGTTGCGCGCTTGGGGATCTTCGCACTTATGTTATCATCATTGCGCGCTCTTCCGGTTGGCTGCTACATATCTATTGATTGGCTGGCATCAATACCCCATCTATAAACAGGCGGTGCAGGAGAGAGTAGTTTTTACAGTACTGCAAGATGATACGGTGTACCGGACAATGCTTGGGCCGGATACATCCAACAGAATTTGGAGTCTGAGAGGTAATTAATCTCACTCCAACGCATTTATGTTCATAGGATTGAAACTTATCTGCTCCAGATGTTGGCATGACTGAAGAATGTAAGGTTGTCAGATAACCCTGCCTACTTCTCAATGGTGAGTACAATACTTGTCTCGATAATTGCATACAACCTTTTTTCGACGGGATCCCAAAAATCGAGTGGATTAAAATTCCCAATACCTCGCATATGGCGCATATAGAGGAGCGGGGAAATATGCTAATGTCGCATGGGAATCTTTAAAGAATTAAAACTGTATAGTTCTCCAAGAAGAAGCTACAACGGACCAACTTTTGTGCGAACGTGAGGTAAAAATAGCCCCATTAACGTTCAGATCAGTTCAACTTGAATCTTCAATCATCATTTGAGTATTCCCAAAAAGCCCGCTTCACACAATAGATATAGTCGAGAAAATAAATCACACCTCAATAGGAAATGCAATGGCCTCAAACAACTAGAAATATCACATGAGGGGGAAAAGACAAAAAGGAAAATATCTACATGTGAGTAGGTGCAGGCTTAGGTTTATAGGTGAATCTGCCAGTTCAGCAGATATTTCCTACCTGACAAGGATTGTCGGATTGGCATAGCTACAGATGAGCTTTACAAGGTTATTTTATCAACTATAACATAAAGCATACCCATTCTAAGAGAAAAGTTCTTGATAAGATCAGAACTAAATAACTAAGTATAACATTATCATAATTGTATATCTTAAGCTAATCTATATTAATCCATATAATTGGAACAAGAACTACTATCTAGATTATATAAAAGGCATTAAAAACATCACAAAGAATGTTAAATTATATAAGATTAGTCAACTTGTGGATAAGCAAATTATACAATGGTGAGATAGACTACGAACTATTAACTATCTAGTGCACTGAACAGGCTATGGCCATAAATATAATATCTAATTACCTATAAATAAGCTTTAAAATGCACAGGAGCTTATTAAGAAATATAAGGCTTAGTATTGCTCCCAGTAGCACCATCACAATTGGTTACTAACTCACAATGCCCCTATTCCTATATCTATCATTGACGCCATATAACAGCCTAACATCAACCATCAACATCCCAGAAGCCACATAGCTAGCATCTACATCTGCTCCAGGCTCTACACCCACATCACCGCCATATAATAAGGGCTCTAAGGTCTCTAATCCCATCAAAGTCTCCAATAAAGACTTAGAATCAGTCAGCCCATCAGTTTCCAGACCTAATAATGATACCATATCTATAACTCGCGCTATACCAGACACTTAGGCCAGTCAGTTACCCACTGATGCACCTGCCCGGCCTAACTCTCTATGAAGGCTTACCCGTGCTGTAGCAAGGCGCCTAGGCGTACAGGTGTAAAGAAAGTGAGAAGAGGGAGCATAGCTGAGTATTAGTTTATTAATTTTGCTTATAGATTGCTATTAATATTAGAGTTCTACTTTCATTAATCTATTCTAACCTGTAGTCACTCATTATGCTTGCCAATAAGGGCACTGACTTTAAAAGAAAGGAGTGGCAGTATCATAATCTAAGGGCTTTCACCATAGTAAAATCATTCAGGCTATAGATAGATGTTCTTTATATAACTTCAGCTATATATTAGAGCTCTAGGTCCCTCTCATGTACTGTTAGAACAATCTTCCCTATATAATCAGAATGTACACATGCCTTAGATCATTACACTATCCCTGTTACAGTTTTCAAATGGATTTTCATCTTAGCTAGATACACTAATCTGATGCAAGTACACTGGTTATGTAACGAAATGAATAGTGCTTGGTTTCACCGCTACGCTAACTAACCAAAAAGGCAGAATGGTTGGTCGAGTACAGATATAAAAAACACTTCAACTGATGTACCTTCGGACGTGGCTTGAGATTCACACAATTGATATATATAGTCAAAGTATTCTTTGGAGATAGAAAAGCTAGCTGTTTAAGATAGTCAAAAACATACTCTTATATCTATTAATAAGATCATTTAAATTTCAAGCGAGACTGCTGTTTTAAGTTCTTCAAAGTCAATCACCTAGAGAACTATTTCCTCTCGCCTTCGTTTGATAGAAATCCTCGCTAATGGATCTGAACTCAATGCGAAGCCATGTCTTCGAACTTTTGGAATACAACCCTCTGCTAATTTAAAATCATACTTCATCAGGATATGACACAAGGCAATTTTGACCTCATTGATTGCAAAAAATCGTCCTGGGCAAGCATGCTTTCCGAACCCGAAGCCCATATGCTCTGGAGACGGTGAAACAGACAAGGATGATGTTTCATGGCCTGGGATCTCACGCAGCCGCAGGAATCGGTAGGGATCAAAATGTTCTGGGTTTGGATATACACTTGGGTCCCACATTTGGTCACTCGAAACAACAACATACGTCCCCCGAGGAATGACTATTCCATTTGAAAGCTCGATATCCTCCAGTGCGAGGCGTCTCATTGAAACTGTTGAGACAAGTTAGGTATGAAAAAAGATTATTAACAAGGTTCCTGGTTTTCTCTTTCCTAAACGTAAGAGGACACTCACCTATATTGATCGGCTTTAGTCGTTGACTTTCTTTCAATACACTATCCATAAGCTTCAATTTGTACAACGCAGTTTTCCTCCATCCTTCTTCCTGGATAACTGTTGAAATCTCTGTACGAAGGGCCTGGATAACCTCCTCCTGTCCACAGAGATCGAGGAGTACTTGCGTAAGCATATCGGTTGTTGTATGAATGGCAGCGTTTGAAAATGTTAGCTGGGCTATCGCAGGGTCATAATAACGGCCTTTGGCAGAATCTTCCATCCACTGCATAGCATCAACATATCGGTCAGGGGTCTTGACGCTTTTAATTGCTGCCTCTCGATCTATACGCCTCACCTCCAGTACTGGGCCTATGATAGCTCTCGCTTCTTGAATTGTCCGTCGAATTTTCCGACAAGATGGCAGGAAGTAGGCGGCCAATGGACGTATCAATTCAGGCCATAGACGTAGTTCCTGAGCAGCGATAAAAGAATCAGTAGTATATGCAACCGTGATTCGAAGCCAGTTTGGATCGCGACATAGCTTATCGCCCAGGAAGACTCTGGATGATATCTGGGAAACTATTCTCAGTATACTCGACTTGAGGCATAAGTCGTACCAGTCTGGTAAATTAAATAACTCAGTGGATCTATTATTCCGTGGAGGGAAAAATAAAACACTAACCGGTACTATCAGACCATTCCTTCTCGAGCGCTACAGCAGTCTCAGAAGAGAGTGGCTGGGTAACACTTCCTACGCAATTAGCGACGTTTCACAACTCGACTGCTAGTAGAAAGGGCAAGACAACCCACCAAGACTGCGTGTCAGCTGCATTCGAACTGCATCCATGAATATCTCGTCACTTGTTGTGCCTTGCCGAAATGGTTCAAAGCCTCGGATATTTGCATGGAATTCCTTTTCGAATATAGCACCGAAGCTCAGTGCATGGTGACCACGGATTTCTCTCGCATATTGGGATCCAAGCACGGTCTTCAATCCATTTTCTGAGATGATACGAAAGACACTGGCCTAGATTGATGTGACCAAGCCCTTGAGAATCGAAGCGAAACAATCTCCACAAAGATGGGATATTCCAAACGTACCTTGCCAAAGCCAGCTTTGATCAAGCTCTGTGCGTCCTTCAGGAAGCGCTTCTTTGCATGTGTGTATGTAATTTCCGATGGCTTCCTTCCATTGATAAGAGGCAAAGTTGAGGCTCGGGACGAAATCAACAGGAGGAATACCGCGCCCAGGAGGAACACGATAAATGAACTAGCCACACTAATGTACGCGACAGAGAACAGGTGAGATGTTAGATCAACGAACATTGTTAAAATTATTGATCATTTCCTTAGAGTATAGCTTCAATATCTGAGAACTTCACCTAGATACAGGCCGAAGAAAAATTCGAGATGAAGATTGCTTATATCGCTCTTGCGACAGGCATGGGCTCAACTGTCCTTCTCTGCGCAACTCCTCACCTCTCACCAACGCATTCTAAATTTTGACGCTACTTCCAATATGCTAACCAACATATACAAGTTCTACGGTTCGGTCCAGAAATCAGTCCCTTACGCTGCAAGCGATTCCGCGGTTCGACCACTTGGCATAATTTGGTCGAATCGCCAATTAAGAAATCTATGGACTTGACCTGACCGCAAAAGCCTCATGCGTGTTTAGAATTGGCGGCCAGATAGGTTGTTGTTCCAGATGCATTTGGTTGGGTAGTCCGGTAATCTTGACCGGTTTGGTTTTGGGCCCTTGCGCTCGGCGGAGACTCATACAGAGCATGCATCAGCGCAGATCATAATTGACATAATCACTGTGACGTGTGGGGGGTAGCGGTGAGGACAGGCAGAGTACCTAGGTATAGCAAGCGCATCATGTCGTGTTGTTGCCTTGTTTCTTCGCATGCGCTATATTTCCCGCTTATTCTCTCCCACCATTCAAAATTGTAGACCCGCTTAGCGCCTCCTGCAGATCAGAAGTTACTTGATTCTTTGCATTGTGATCATAATCCACCGGTGAGGATTTCGTTCTCCTTACTTTCCGAAGAGAGGCTGCGACGGTCTGCTCAAAAAATACAAGGACTTGATAGAGGGTATTACAAGCGTATTACGGACGAAATACGCTGTTCACGATATTCGCTCAGATCCGAGCATGACAAGACCACTCGGTAATAGGCAATAATTCTCTGGCAACTCATGCTCGCCCGAGGCGTCCCTTGCCGACGACGTGCGATGAGAGTGTACGGAACAGTTTATCAGATCAGTTCTCCTTAATGAAAACACAAGGCGAGTAAGTATTAATTATCATCGGCAAAGCACATGGTAGTCGATAGTCACGGTTTCCTCAAACTAAATAGTTGGATATTATCAAACGATATTTAATAGGGACACGGTTGATCAAATAACCATGTTCCTTAAACTAAGCTCCAGCCTGACCGCGATGCCAGCGGTCTCGGTCGTGGCTCTGTTGATTCTGGGCATGGTCATGGTTACATTATGGGCACCACAATGGCCGCGGAGGAAACTTCCTTTAATCAACGATAAAAATTGGTTCGAGCTCGGATACACCGAGGCTAAAAAGCGCTTCCATGCCAATGGAAGACATTTGATTCAGTTAGGATTTACTAAGGTCAGTCTATATTCTGGTAGACTAGAGACTGGTCGGGTTAGGTGCTCGCCTGCTAGCTGCTTGGGGATAATAACGAGAAAAGTAGGCGAATGATGCGTTCTGGATCATCACCGACAGCCATCCTCGTATGGTTCTCGCTTCCAAGTACGCAAATGTCATTCGGAACGACGACCGGCTGAGTCTGGGGAAGTTTATAGCCCAGGTACGTAGGCCAGAATGGACAGATCTCTCGCCCGACTCAAATCTGTAGGAATTTCATGCAAATATACGAGGCTTCGAACCATTCGGACAAATATCCTCAGAGAGCGGCATAGTTCGAGACACAGTGAGAATGAAATTAACACATGCGCTCAGTGAGTTTTTATTTTCATTTTCATTTTCATTTTCATTTTCCCCCCTGTCAGGTGAAATTTCATTTATAATGGCTGAATAACTGTCATCAACAGACCGCATCATCGAACCCTTGTCTCATGAGGTTACTGTTGCACTCCAAACACATTGGGGAGATAGTCTCAGTATGTGCCCCTTTAATGACTAGAGTGCAGCTCATTCCTCTTATTCACAATGTTCAAACCTCCAATAGCCTGGCATAGTTTCCCAATGTCATCAATTATGATGCGAATCATCGCTCAGGTCTCCTCCAGAGCATTTGTAGGAGAGGAATTATGTCGCAACTCTGCGTGGTTGGACATGATCGCGAATTATACAGAGCAAGTATTTCTAGTCGCACGAGCCCTGCGTCTTTGGCCTAAAATCTTGCGTCCGATTGTCGCAGAGCTCTTACCACGGACCTGGAAGCTTCGAAGACAGATCCAGCGAGCGCGAATGATGATTCAACCGGTTTTCGACCAAAGACTGGCAGCGAATTTGGAAGCCATCAAGCAGGGTAAAACGCCAAATCAGAGTACCAATGCAATGGATTGGTTGCAGGAATGCGCAAAAGGACGTGCCTTTGACCCAGCGATCCTACAATTGACCCTCTCATTTGTTGCTATTGAAACTACTTCACAGATGCTTTGCAATGTGATATATGATATTGCAGAGCGTCCGGATTTGATACAGGTCTTGCAAGAGGAAATCATCACCGTGATTAAAGAAAATGGTTGGCAGAAATCCTCTCTACAGAAGCTTAAAATAATGGACAGTGTATTGAAAGAGAGCCAGCGATGGAAGCCTACCAGTGTGGGTGAGTTTTCAAGTCTTTATATATATATATAGTCTGTCTCTAATATCACTGGTCCGACGACAGTCTCCATGAATCGAGTCGCAGAAGCAAGGGTTCAGTTGCCAGACGGGGTTGAGATTCCCAAAGGGACCTCCATCATGGTATCGGCGCTCCAAATGTGGGATTCATCAGTATACCCGGATGGTGACCAGTTTGACCCCTATCGATTCTTTAAGCTGCGACAAATCCCTGGACAAGAAAGGTCTTCCCAATTTGTCTCTACAAGCACAAACCATTTAGGATTTGGTCATGGCCAGCATTCATGCCCAGGACGATTCTTCGCCGCCACAGAGCTCAAAATACTGCTTTGCCATTTGCTGCTCAAGTATGATTTCAAAATTATTGAAGGGCGCAATCCACAATACATCATGCGTGGCCATAACATTATGCCTAATCCCAAGGCGAAAATTTCGGTTCGTCGACGGCAAGAGGAAATTGAATTCCTCTAATCTGTGTTTGACCGGGGGCTAATGGTAGGTGAGATTAATCTTGCAAAAATGTTCATGGTCTGCTGTTATTGTGTGAGCAATATATAATCATAAGTATATAAGAACATGAATAATAGGATACATCCCTTAAAGTGGATATAATTTTCATAGTCTGTCTCAGAAAATTTTTCTAGCTACCGTGTAAATACTTCGCAGTTGACCAGAGGAGACCTAAATCGGGAAGGAAAAAATCACAAACGCTCAAATCTAATCGTGCTTCCTAAGACAACCCCTTCTTATCTCTCTCTCTCCAATAGCTTTGGGCTAGTGAGATTTGTTCTTCTCTCTCTGGTTGTGGATACTTGCCGACAATTCACCCTGCCTGATGACGAAAAATAAAATGCCATACAAGCTGTCAACCACAGTGTAGGCAGCCAAAAACCACAAATTTAAGGGACCGTTTGGCCCCGGACCCAAATGATCTGGTATAGAAATATAGAGAAAAAGACCTCGGGCAGCCATGGCCAAAGAGCCCATGTACCTAGACAGCCTACTTCGATTAGTCAAAGGGTTTAAATCATCGCAGATCTAAATCTGTAGGCATTGTAGATTCGTTTACTCACCACACCGCATAGGAGGTACCACAAGTATTTCCACGACAAATGAGCAGAAAAAATGCGCCTAAACTGTGCAGCAATTGACATCCTAACCCACTCCAGTGCCAAGCTGGCTCTGGTCCAATCTGAGCTGCTAAAGCTAGATGTCCCGTTGCAGATATGGTGATGCCGACTGTAAATATGAGATGAATGTTGTTCTTTAGGAGCGGAGAATGGGCCCACTCATCGGGTGCGAATTTGATAGCACCATATACAATACCGCAATTAAGCAGAAGCCATATAAGAATCACATAATGTACCACAAGGGTAGCAGGAGGATAAATCAGACCATACACAATCTCCCATGTGATATTACAACAGAGACATATTATAGGTAGACTGTATGTTTTATCCTGAAATGATTTATAGATCATGACAATGTAGCAGAAAGTCCAGCCAAATATGCAAAATAAACCAACTGCTATATTGAGAACTATCTCAACTTGGGAAGGTGTCAGAATGAACGAAAACTCAAGTAACCCCATAGTTTTAGAAATTTAATGATGAAGTGGAGTTTTTCATTAGGAGGTAATGTGTGCAGGGAAAGCCGTCGTCTATTCTGGGTGACATTTTATTTTAAACTTATAAGAAAAGAAAATCAATCCCGAATTTGTAAGAGCCCTTTCTTTATTTAGCACTAAGTACCATGCATAGATGATTATGACGACACTTTCTCGTCTATACACCCTCGGCTGCTAGCCTTTCACCGCCATTTATCTATGCAGCAAGAAAGATCACCGTGGGGAACTTATGCAGGGGGTGGCGGTCAAATTCTGGATTTAGGTGCTGTGAGCTATTATCGATCTTCTGGAGTATCCCATTACACAGTTACTTGAGTCAAAATCTTCCCAGCCACCCGGATTATACAATATCTCAAACCGATAATAACTGAGAACGTTATGGACCGACCGACGTTCAGAGTCATTATTGTTGGCGGCTCCATCAGTGGCTTGACCTTAGCGCATTGCCTAACTCGAGTCGGTATCAGCCATATGGTTCTGGAAAAAAGAGATGAGATCGCCCCGCAAGAAGGAGCTTCAATAGGCTTGTGGCCTAACGGTTCTCAAGTTCTCCAACAGCTTGGGCTCTACGATGACTTGGACAAATTTACAGAGCCACTTCGAAAGTTGCATGTTTCTTACCCAGACGGCTTCTTCTTTAGCAATGCCTTCCCAGAAAAAATTCATAGAAGGTCCCAAACCTCCCGTTTCTGTGTGTTATTATTCTAGAAAGATAACTATTTACCAGGACTTTCTTGGGCAGATTCGGTTTACCTATCGCTTTCCTGGAAAGGCAAAAGCTGCTGCAAGTCCTGTATGAACGATATCCGGAGAAATCTAATATCATATTGAAGAAAAAGGTTGTCGAGGTTCGACCACTTGATCATAGCGTTTGTGTTATAGCTGAGGATGGAAGTGTTTACCACGGCGACCTGGTTGTTGGTGCTGATGGAGTCCATAGTCGCGTCAGGTCTGAAATGTGGCGACTGTCTGATATGAATGCCCCGGGAATGATCACACTCGGTGAAAGGAAAAGTTAGTTCCTATTTGCTTCGTTCCATTATGCCACGTTGGGGGAAGCTAATGAGTCAAGTATCCAGGTATGACTGTTGAATACGCCTGTGTTTTTGGGATCTCATCACCGGTAGCCGGGCTCCAGAGTGGAGAGCATATCAACTCATTTTTGGACGGCTTAACGGTTTTAACGTTCCATGGGAAGGATGGCCGTGTCTTTTGGTTCATTATCCGAAAGCTGGACCAAAAGTTCATTTACCCAAATATTCCTCGGTTCTCCGCCAATGATGCAGCAGATCTCTGTGATCGGCTGGGAAATGTACCTATCTGGAAGGACATCTGTATCCGGCATATATGGAGAAACAAGGAAATTGCTTCGATGACTGCCCTGGAGGAAGGTATTTTCAGAACATGGTGTTTCGATCGTATTGTTCTATTGGGGGATAGTGTGCATAAAGTATATATTATTCCCGTCATAATCGAGTAACCTGTCTAACGTTTACGCTCCAGATGACTCCAAACAATGGCCAGGGAGCAAATAGCGCCATTGAAGATGCCGCTACTCTAGCCTCACTCGTGAACCGGCTCATTTGCACCGAGGGTGTTGCGAACCCGTCCGCTCCACAGATCGATACACTACTTCAAGAGTATCAGGCATTGAGATATTACCGCGTAGGAAGGGTATATAAGCGGTCGCGATTTGCAGTTCGTTTTCAAACACGTAACGATCTTTTCAAATCTCTTGTTGGTCGATACCTGCTTCCATACGCAAGCGATCGCCTGGCAGACATGGTGTCGGGACTCGTCGCTGATGGGGATATCATTGATTTTCTTCCTCCGCCCAAGCGAATCGGATCCGGGTGGTCACAGTATAGCACTGGTGGGCACCCAGATCTTCTGGTATCGAGACCTTTGCTTTCTCTGCTTCTCCTTGGTTCATTCTGTGTCATGCTTTCGACATACTTGATAGCTTATTCTCCACATCTTGTTTCGTGTATGCCCACGTTTTTGAATCAATAGCTGTTTGATACGGAAAGTGGCTTCTTCTTTGCTACCGTCGCACTACTACTTCCCAAAAAAACTTGATTATCGGTTGCCTCCACAATGCAGAATCGAACTGGGTTAAGAGTTGATAAGCCTTGGATCATAAGACCATGCGCGTCTAGTTCATGGCAGTAGGAGAGAAACCTTGCAGCATGTCATTCCGAGGGTGTTGAATATTACCCAATCCTGTGTAGGAAGTGATGTAAACAGCCACTAGGTAAGTGGCCAATCTATCGTACAAGCATAACGGGATAGGAATTTTTGATCACACTTTGATTTGAGGAAAAAGAAAATTGAAGGTGCATACACTTGGAATCCCCTTGATTCAGAAGGTGACATGCAGCCGCCAACTTCTGCTTTTTTCTTCTTTTTTCTTAATATGGTTATTACTAAAAACTTCCAATGTCCGTGCACGGTAATTTTTACAAGACAATTGCATGCAGATATTTTTATTACCTGAAAATCATCTGGCATAGTCTTAAAAGTGAGAAGATAAAACCCCTTACTGTTCTCTGCTGCTTGGTTATGGAAAAGGCCCCTAAAAAGCAGATATAATATCTAGCCAACTACTTCTCCTCTACTATATATAGTAGATGGCATCATCATCGTTGTAATTGCTGCTACAATATTCTATCCATCTATCCGCGATGTCTCAGATCATCAGAAACAAAGGTCCCTGCAACCTTGATAATATCCCTGAAAAGGCGATCGGACAAGAATACCGACCTAAAGAACGAATTCTTGCCTGCTTTCCTTCTTGGCTGTTGCCATATGCCGAACTAGCTCGTATTCAGCAACCACTAGGCTTTTACCAAATCACTTGCCCTTTCATTGTTGGAGTCGCCTATAGTGTGTCTGTTACCCCTGAAGTGATTACAACTTCGGTCTTTCTCAACCGGGTTTTTCTCTTGTCGCTCTGGTCTATTTTCTTTCGCAGCGCAGGGTGTGCTTGGGATGATATTGTGGACATGGATGTGGACCGGCAAATTGCTCGAACCAAGGTCCGGCCTCTGCCTCGTGGTGCAGTGTCCACATGGGCTGCCTGCGTGTTCACTGTAGCTGTATACGCATCTGGGTCGATGTTTCTTGTTTTCTTGCCGTGGCGATGTACAATAGATGCGCTCGTCATGACATTTTCCGCGCTTCTTTACCCGTTTGGCAAACGCCTCTTCGACTACCCGCAGTTAATAATGGGAAATATCGGATGGGCAATTCCGATGGCGATGCACAGCTTGGACATGGATCCTCTTGCGTATCCAGCGGCCACCTCATGTATGTTTTTGTACTTTTCGGTCGTCATCGTGATGGTCGATATCATTTACGCGATCCAAGATGTGGAGGAGGACATCAAAGTGGGTGTGAAAAGCATGGCCGTACGCTTTAGGGAATCTTTGAATTTTGTGATCTCTTTGCTCTTCTACGCGTCCTCCATTTTACTTGCCGGGGCTGGTGTTACAGCTAAGCTTGGAATCCCGTTTTTTATTCTTTCGCTCGGCGGCCATGTGTTCAGATCTCTTTCTCTTCTCAAGGCAATAAGAAAGCCTTCTTCAGACGCCGAACAGTATGCCAGATTCTCCGGCGTGGTTGGTTCTTCATTCTTGATCATTGGTTTAGTCATTGAGTATTGTCTACGCCCTTACTCTATTATACAACTTTTATCATAACTTGATGATTGCAGGAGAAATCGTATGGGAATTTTGGTGTGGACATTTTTTTTTCAATCTTCATTGAGTCGGAGGAAAAGAAAGAAAAAAAAGGAGAAAAAAAGAAAAACCACTTTGCCGTTGATTCTGCTCCCAGACTGAATAACTTTACTTGAATACTTCGTTTTCCCATTTAGGTAGTTAATCGGTTAGATGAGATAGGATGAAGGACATACACTTCACCGCTTTTACGATGACCTTCAAACTAAGGAAGGAGGCAGCGTCAACAGACAGTCTTCAGGTCTTGTCCTCAAGAAATAACTAGAGCATAAAGCATGCATATGGACATGCTATGCGACTCAACTGCGGGCCTCACTTCCTGCACCGACGAACTAGTTTGCTGCACTCATTTCAAACGAAGTCATGTAAGGGGCTTTCGTAAGGAAAATTCAGATCGGCTACAGAAGTATCTGGTAGACACATTCGTATGTCGTGTATGAAAAGCAAAAGAAAATAAGTAAATAGAACAACGAGAATTTATAACGACCTAAATAGATGTCCTGATTTATTCTCGTTCATCAGCAGAATATTATTTGATCTCGTCCAGAACACTCTATCGTACTCGATTTCATTTGTAGCGATGCATCCTCATAACTCAAAAAATGACCCAAACGCTGCTAATGGCTGTAGCGGCGAACCTGTTTTCATTTTATTCGGACCGCTTTGTTCGAAAATCCCTCGGGAATTCTACAACTTGCGCAACTCGATTCGAGATAATGAGGACCTGAAGTTCCTGGCGCAGACTATCGCCAATCTACGGACAGTCTGGACGGTGATACGTGACTCCTGGCCAGGCCTGTACCTGATTCCTGGCCAGGCAAAGTTGGACGAACTTTGCCAGTTTTTTGATGGAGGGCCAATGCCTGTCATAGATGAGCAGATGAATCTCATTCTTACACCAATGACTGTCATATCCCATTTAATTGAGTTCTGGACTCTGAAGGATAGATATCTCGATCAGCAGCATGCTTCATGGCCGTTATTTCAGGATGTGCAAGGGTTCTGTGTCGGCGTTTTGGCCGCAATTGTGGTGGCCTGTTCCAAGAATGAGGAGGACTTCCAGCTACTCGCGTCCAAGGTTATCCACCTCGCGGTATGCATTGGTGCCCTGGTAGATTGGGATGAAATCCAAAAGTCGTATGAGTACGATCGGTCGGTTTCCGTCGCAATCCGGTGGAAGTCGAATTTCCAGTATGACCAACTAAAAAGAGCCATAGGATCCTATAGCAGGGTGAGGGAGCCCCGTTTCCGATGCCCTTTTTTTCATTATTATTATTAGTATCTAACTACCCACACCACATTAGGCATACATTTCATGCCTCACTGGCCAAAGCTCGGCGACAGTGACTCTTCCGCAAAGAGACGTGGTGTCCTTTCTGTCCAACCTCGCCGAGCTAGGGCTCGCTGCCAAGGCCCTGACACTACGCGGGCGATTCCATCATCAAGACCATTTCGATGCCGTCCGGGAATTGATCAAACTCTGTGAGCGCGATACAAAATTTCAACTGCCATCCGCCGACGGCCTGATTCTTCCACTAAGATCCAGTGCTGACGGTCAAATTATTTTACACGGATCCTTGCATCAGGTTGCCCTCGAATCAGTCTTGGTAAAACAGTCACAGTGGTATCGGACTGTGCAAGAAACCTATTGTGCTTGGAAAATTCACAATGAGAATATTAGCTTCATCACAATCGGCGACAATATTCCTATACCACCCTCCCTCGCAAGGATCCCGGAGTTACCAAGGGTGTCTGAAAGGTGTAATGGTATCCAGGAGAATGGCATCCCAACAGCAGCTCGAGCCCCGTCTGTAGATAGCCCAGGTATGGACGAGTCTACAATCGCAGTTATTGGAATGGCGTGTCGATACCCAGAAGCAGATTCTGTTGATGAGCTTTGGGAATTGATATATGAGGGTAAATCTGTTTCTCCAAGGACCCCGGAGGACCGATTCAACGTATCGAACATCTGTCGTGAGCCAAAGGATAATGCTCTCTGGAGTAATTTTATCCGACAGCCTGATGTTTTTGATCATCGCTTTTTCCACATTTCCGGCCGTGAGGCAACGTCCATGGATCCTCAGCAGAGGCTGATGCTTCAAGTAGCCTATGAAGCGGTGGAATCGGCCGGGTATTGCGGATTGAAGTCTGATGAGCTTCCCAAAGATGTCGGATGCTATATCGGTGTGGCCACCGATGACTACCGTGATAACGTCGCCTCCCACCCTGTAAATGCTTTTTCGGCCCCAGGGACATTAAGAGCCTTTATTAGTGGAAGAATTAGCCATTTCTTCGGTTGGAACGGCCCTTCATTAACATTAGATACTGCATGCTCTTCTTCAGCCCTTGCTATCCACACTGCCTGCAGGGTACGTATGACCCGATACATCTGTCTCTAACTAAGAGAAAATAAAAAGAACCAAAATTCTTGAATTTTTACAGCTTGGTTAACGTTTCCATTTGATAGGCTCTTCAAACAAAGGATTGTTCGGTTGCCTTGGCCGGCGGCGTAAACATGATTACAAGTCCAAGGATGACCCAGGGTCTCGGCGCTGCATCATTTTTGAGCCCCACTGGAGCTTGCAAGGCATTTGGGGCCAATGCTGATGGCTACTGCCGGGCAGAAGGAGCCGGAGTAGTGCTGTTAAGACCCTTGAGAGATGCGGTTCAAAACGGAGACTTCATCCTTGCCGTGATCAGTGGCTCGTCTGTAAATCAGGGATCTAAGTGCTCACCTATCACGGTACCCGACTTACACTCCCAGGTTTCTCTTTACTGCAAGGCACTATCAGCGTCGCGAATTGATCCGGCAGATGTCACCTACGTAGAGGCTCATGGTACCGGTAAGCCTCGTCGCCCCTTCCCGCAAACACGATTCTCTTTATGAACCTTTTTCCTAACTTTCAAATAGGCACTCAGGTCGGAGATCCGATTGAATTTCAAAGCATTCAGAAGGTATTTGGTGGTCAACATCAACAGCATCGTTGTCTCTCCGTCGGCTCTGTCAAGAATAATATAGGCCATACCGAAGCGGCATCCGGTGTTGCAGCGCTTTTAAAAACGATCCTAATGATACAAAACCAAACAATTCCCAAACACGCTAATTTCTCGCACTTGAACCCTAAGATCTCGCCGCTGGGTAGTGAACAAGTGGTGATACCAACGCATTCCCAGAGTTGGAAACCTGCGAGACGCATTGCCTTGGTCAACAACTACGGGGCAGCAGGGAGCAATGTTGCCATCGTGGTACAAGAACCCGTTTCAAACATGCAGCAGGCCAAAAACCGCACGTCAGCCGTTCGGCCATTTGAGTTACTGGACTTTCCGATTCTGATTTCCGGGAAATCGGAGGAAGCTATAGATTGGTACATTCGTCGTTTACAAGCCTACATTAAAAGAACCAAGGCCACGCCTATCGATATCGCATATAACCTTGCTATGAAGCAGAATATGAGCCTAGAGTACGTATTAGCAACGAGCCATTCTAGCAGCCAGTGTCTTTTCACCATGCCAGAAAATGCATCGGCCAGTGTTCCGAAAGCTGAAAAGCTTTCGGGGGAGCCATACCCTGTAGTACTTTGTTTTGGGGGACAAAATGGCAGGAAGGCGAGTATCTCCAGGGATCTCGTGGATAATTGTAAGGTCTTGCAAGATTACCTGGTAAGTTCGCAAAGGGTTTCACATTTCTTTGTACGCTCCATTACCATCAGGATAACAGTTATAATTATTGCCAGATGGACTGCAATTCAATCTGTCAGAAGCTATCCCTTCCCAGCCTTCTACCAATCATATTGGAAGATGAACCCATTCAAGACCTTGTTACGCTACATTGTGCTTTATTTTCGATCCAGTATGCGTGCGCCAAATCATGGCTGGCATGTGGAATCAAGGTCGATAGAATCATTGGGCACAGTTTCGGTCAACTTACTGCCCTATGTGTAGCGGAAGTCCTGCCGCTTTCAGATGGACTTCACCTGGTTGCTGAGCGCGCTCGACTGATATTGACTTACTGCGGGCAGAAGAACGGTGTAATGCTGGCCATAGAGGCCCCACTTGAGCAGGTACACTGTCTCCTCGACTTGGCTGAACGTCAATGCCGGTCATTCTCCGCCGAGATCGCATGTTATAACGGGCCACAAAGCTACGTCGTAGCTGGCGATGAGATATCCATTGGCGCTATCGAGAAGGTCTCGGAAAGCCTTTTCGACAGTATCAAATTAAAACAACTACGCAACAGTCATGCCTTCCATACTAAGCTTATTGACGATATCATTCCGAGCTTCCTCGAGGTCGCAAAGACGTTTCGCTACCAAAAGCCCATAATTCCCATTGAACCCTGTTCCATCAGTAACAGCTGGTCTGACGGAATCACAGCTGAGAGGATAGTTGACCACAGCCGAATGCCCGTCTATTTTGCGGACGCTGTCAAGAGGACAGAACAGCAGCTCTCGGGGAGAATCATATGGCTTGAAGCCGGATCGGGATCTCCAGTTATACAAATGACCCGGCGGGTTACCTCTCCATCTCGGGCTCATATATATTGCCCCGTTACCCTCTCGGGTCTAGGGGCACAAAGAAGCCTCACAAAAATCACCTGTGATTTGTGGTCAAGTGGTGTAAAGGCTCAGTTTTGGCCCTTTCACCAGTCCCAGGCTGCGCGGTACAAGTGGGTGAATCTTCCTCCATACGCATTCACAGAGACACGACACTGGCTGGATTATAAACCCATGGCACCTGTGCTTGTAGAGCAGACTCTTGGCTCTACAAGTATACCCTCGAAATTACTCGAGCTCTTAGCCCAGCCTGAACAATCATCCCAAGCTCTGTTTGAGGTATACCCTGAGCACGAGATTTATCAGCTATGTTCAGGAGGCCACTCTGTGGCTGGTCATGGTCTTTGTCCTGCAGGGCTGTATATTGAATTAATTCTCAGGGCCTGTTCCATCCTGCGTCATACTCAGACAACCACAACACCTTTGATAGAAGGGATCACCATGTCTTCACCCCTTCCCGTCACTCCAGCCGGACGTATATTTTTAAACCTCTCGGAACTAGATTCACAAACTGGATCGTGGAATTTCTCGGTGTTTAGCGGGGACAATCCGGATACGGGAGATCACACAGTTCATTCCGCCGGAAGGGTAAAGGTTTCTCAGGCAAATACTCACGCGATTGCCACTCGACTAAGGTCTCTGAACCGCCTCGTCAGACTGTCCCTCTGTTCTAAGATTGAGGCATCCCCATCATCGATTGGCTTGAAAGGCCCGTTTGTTTACAGTACCTTGGAGAGAGTAGTCCACTACGCGAAATACTATCACGGTATTCGGAAGGTCTTTGCTGATGGGGATGAAGCAATGGGGCAGATTCTTTTGCCACCATCGCGGCCTGAAAGCCTCAAGTCTGGGGTCTGCGACTTAGTCCTGCTCGACAACCTCACTCTGATGGCTGGCATCCAAGTCAATTGCCTATCAGATAATACCGACGTCGACGATGCATGGATATGTAGCTCTATAGGTGAGATAATAATCGGCGGGGTGTTTCTGGAAAGGCAGCATAAAGCTCCATCATGGACGGTATATTGCAACCGCGAACGAATCTCCGACAAAGTTTTCAGCTGTGATGTATTCGCCCTAGACACGGAGTCGGGGGATCTAGGCCTTGTCCTCGTATCGACTGAGTTTCAGAAAGTATCGATCAAGTCTCTGACGGCCGCCCTGGCAAGGTGCAACGGGTCCAAATCCCATCTGAAATCACCCTCTATTAGGGAAAGAACCGCATTATCCAGCGGCACCAACCAACATATTATCACCCATCACCACGAAGCAGATATGTTGAATTTCGAGAGAGGCGCTATTACGCCTGCAAATGAACCAGAGGGGATCAAGAATATCCGAGAAATTCTCTGTAACATTCTAGGTATTCCGTTTAATGAGATTCTACCACAGTCCCGCATGTCAGACTTGGGCGTCGACTCTCTGGTCGCCATGGAAATCCTGGCCGAGATAAGAATCAAGTTCGGTACAATGATCTCAGCATCTAGCTTTGGGGCAATTTCCGACGTTCAGACACTTGCCCGCCATGTCTTCCCATCGACTGCAGCCACCGACCTTGCAACGAAGGCTTCCTTCAACGATATGGTAGGCAGTTGCTCTGAGCAGAGGCAGCATGTCGTTTCCACAGGATGGAATCAAATCAGGGACATTTTTAGTGAGGTCCTGGAAATTCCTGCGCACGAAATACTTCCCTCCTCATCTCTGGCCGATCTCCGGGTCGATTCCTTGGTAGCAATGGAGATAATCTCCAAAATCAATAAAAGATACAACTTAGCAATGACGGCCAACAGCCTTGATGGCATGGGTACTGTAGCATCCATGTGTGCCCAGTTTCAACCAGACGCTGTGGGGGCCGGCTTTCCTGGAAGCAACCTGGGGGACTTCCACAGTCTCCAGCCACAGAGTCTTTACGGTAGAGAGAATTCCTCCGAAACTACCATGGAAACGGTTGTCGTTGGTGAAAAGGAAGGGATTGAGCTTCTTGCCGATATATATTATCCAAGCGAAGTTGCAACTCCGCAGACACCTCCTCTACCAGTTGGTGAGTTTCGAAGTGTTTGTTCGTAGTTTAATTAAGTTAATTCTATTACTAGCACTTATGATACACGGCGGTGGCCACATAATGCTATCAAGAAAGGACGTCCGTCCACGGCAGACTCAAATGCTATTGGATGCAGGATTCCTGCCCGTAAGCGTGGACTATCGTCTATGCCCCGAGAAGACGTTGCCCGAAGGACCGATGCAAGATGTCCGAGATGCTCTTTGCTGGGCGCGGAAGACGTTGCCGACGATGACACTCACACGACCTGATATACGGGTTGACGGAGAAAAGGTCGTAGCTATTGGCTGGTCCACAGGCGGACACCTTGCGATGAGTCTTGGGTGGACATCTCAATCAATGGGGATCGACCCCCCTGAAGCCATTTTGGCGTTTTACTGCCCCAGCGATTACGAAGACCCGTGCTGGTCTGCACAGAACTTGCCGTTTGGGCTCCTGATTCCGGAAGCAACAGATCCGGTTCATGATCTTTCCGGGTCCGTTTACGACCGGCCCATCACAGCCTACAACCCTGGACGGGATAGCTGTGCGCTTGGTGGATGGATGGCGCCGGAGGATCCTCGGTCTCGAGTGCCTTTGTATATGAACTGGAAGGGGCAGACCCTCCCCGTTCTACTGAATGGACTGAAACCTTCAGAGCTCTCTACAGGAAAAGTGCCAGAACTTCCCAGGCCATCCGTTGAACAGATACAAAGTATCAGTCCACTTGCTCATATTCAGCAGGGCACTTACAAGACGCCTACATTTCTTATTCATGGGACACTGGATGATCTCATCCCCTGGCAACAGGCTCAGAGAACTTACACTGCCCTTGTGGGCATCGGGGTGGAGGCAGAGTTGAGACTATTGGGAAACACTCTGCATTTATATGACATATATCGTGGATTTGAGAAAAATAAGGATGCGGTCCAGGCGATTCTCGACGGTTATAAATTCCTTCGTGCTCATGTCTAAATGAGTTAAGGAGAGAAATGAGTAGGGGATCGCTGTATTTATTGGTCATCAGATCGAAATGATTAACTTGGAGACAAAGACGGCCCTTACGACCCAAATATTTCTAAGACCAGTACTCACGTAAGTAGTAAACATCAAGTAGAGGCTATGTTCTTCCATTGCCGTCATACCTCTAAATTATTTTTCTAAATTATTTTTCCCGCCGCTTTGAAGGTGGTGTACTCGTGCATTTGCACGATTTTACGCTAGTTTAATGATCTCTCGGGTCGGGACCTTGAGAAAAACGATTAATATAGAAGTATCAACAATGTATACGGGAATAGCCTATCTATCTATCTACTTTATTGATTCATAAGCTTGACAGTAAGGCTGTTAGGGTCAAGTTCGGTTGCTCGGCCATGATGCTTACGGAACGGCAAAATTCCGTCAACATCTGCTGTGCTTCGCTTTCGCTGAGGATCTGACCAGAGACGCCAAGGCGAACATCAGCCTGGGCCCCACTGGGAATAAACGTTATAACTGGAAATGGGGGACAGGTCTCTAAGTAGAGCCAGGACAAGGATGCTTGTACAGAGCCCAGATCGAGCGTGGAAGGCCAAGTGAAGGCGCGGAGCATCATCATACTCCCTACCGGCGTATCTTGGGACCAGTCCGTGCAATGCTTGACAATTTCTGCATAGTCGACCCAATCATACGGCAACGTGTCCAAGTGTCGGGTTTGAATAACCCTGAGCAGCTCCTGCACTGTTTTCGACGAATCTAAGCTCACTCGCACGGGGAAAAGGTTGTTGCAAAATCCAACTACGGTCTCAACACCCGGTAGGTCCAACGACCGGCCATCAGCAGATTGGACGAAAACTACGTCTCTCTGCTTGGTTCTATTTGACAGCGTCACTCCCCAGGCGGCCTTGAGAAGTGTAAGAAGCTGGATGTTCTCCGGCAACGATGGCATAGGGAAGACATGGGAAACTTCCACTAGGTCGTCCCCAGAGGCGGCAGGCAGGATCCTGTCCGAACGGCGCTCGAGACACGTCATGGCTCCACCATCAAGCAGTTTCCTCCATGTCTGGAAAGCAGCGGTAGTATCCTGAGACGCTTTGTGGTAGATGTATGTGGGGAAGCTGACCGAGTGAGAAAGTGGCTTTCCCTCGTACAGAGACCCCAAGTCGCGATACAAGGCCGACAAGGTTAATCCGTCAAACAGCATATGTGAGACACCAAATATCAGGGCACGGTGTCCTGAGCCACGCTGCGTGAACAGAGAGAATTGCACCGTGAGGGCACCGTCAAGCCATGCCCGGTGCTGATCGGCATCTCTGCGTGCTTCCTGAGTGATAAATTCCTTCAGATTCACATCTGCAGGAGCAGCCACTTCAGAGAAAGGAACATCTGATTGTCTTTTCACAACCTGAAAGATCTCGCCATCACCCGCTTGGACAGCAACCGTCCGGAGGATAGGGTGGTGATCTACTAGGGAGAAACATGCCGCCTTCAATCGTCCAGCGTCGACATCGCCGCGAAATTGACAAAGTTGATAGAACAAGCCATGTTTGACTACTCCCTTCTGCATTGAAGTAGCTGGAAGGACATCCTCAACCGCTTCCGGCTGCAAGCCCGGCATCCGCGGACAAATCTCCTCACGGATGAAAGTATCGGCATCCCTCTGTGTAACGAGGGAACAGCGCTTCCAGCGCTGGTCATCTTCGAGCTCTGCAGGGTCCTGTTCTCCCGTCAGCGAAAGGCGAGTCATTCGCTTAGACAGCTGTCGAATCCGAGGATGGGAGAAAACATCTATCACCCGGATGCCATAGCCGCTCTTTCGTGCTAGCCCAACAAGCTGAAGAGCCGATATAGAGTTTCCCCCCAGATTCACAAACGTATCGTCTAACCCTATCTGCTCAACCGAAACCTTGAGTATGTCACCAATAAGGTGGGATAGAAGGATTTCCGACTCGGTGACCGGCAGCTGTCGATCATGGTGCGCCGCCCTGTATTCTTGGATTGTTTGCAAAAGCATCGGTCCTACTTGATGTATCTTTTTTCTATCAATCTTCCCAGACACCTGGCATGGCACCTTGTCAACGGGGATGATAAAGGCAGGGACCATATATCCAGGTACACTTTGCTTGAGCTCATCCCGGATTCGCTCCATCTCTGCGAGCACGCTGAGATCTGGTGAAACGTTGATTTCGTGGCCAGCATGATCGGAGTCCTCGCAGAGAGTAGTTGTTCTCTGTGACTTCTCAACTTCCACAAGGGCTACTAGCGTCGCGGATTCACTGGCCTCCATATTGAAGACATCCGCCACCACAACCCCACTACTCCTCAGATATTGGCGGAGGTGGTACTCAACTTCCCCTAATTCCAGCCGTTGCCCACGGAGCTTGACCTGTTGATCACTCCGACCCATGAACCGGAGGCTCCCGGTATCGGTAAACTTCGCCAAATCCCCGGTCTTATATATCCGGTGAGGACTGACCTCTTTCAGCAGCATACTATACAACCAGGGCGGGCTCTTTGTAAATGAACTAGTTTTGATCTCAGGAGTCAGGTATCCTCGCCCGACAGTAGGGCCTTCGATGACGAGTTCTCCTACGGCCCCAATAGGAAGCAAGTTAGAACCAGTCTCGGTATCCACGATCCAGCACCGACACCCGACTCCAAAGCCAATATCCAAGGGATCGGAATCAGGGCGCAGGTCCAGCTGCACCGTTGACAGGACACAGCATTCCGCTGGCCCATAAGCATTGATCAATCTTACATGTGGACTCCAGGTAGCAACATCGGTCTGAGATAAGGCTTCCCCGCCCAGGACAATGGTATGTAATCCGGGCAGGTCCGCAGGTTTGAAAGCGAGAAGGAGAGAGGGCGTCAGATCAGCCCAATTAGCCTGCAGCTGACCGATTACCTTGGGAAGATTATTCAGGCGATCCTCGGGCGACGGAATGCAGATACAACCGCCCGCCATGAGTGTGACGAGCGTATCGGAGATACTGACATCAAAGGCATACGAGGCGAATTGCAGAGCACGGACTTGAGGACCCATACCCACCCTCTCAATATACGCGGCAGCACTGACGGAGAAGGAGCCATGCTGGATGACAACTCCTTTGGGCTTGCCAGTGGACCCCGAGGTAAAGGTTGCGTAGAGGGCATTTTCGGGAGATACTAATGAGTTCTGATATTTCCATTCGGCTGCGACTGTTGCGGCCAATCTGTTGCAGATTTCGTTCGGGGTAACGACGGTTTGGACGAACTGGGAAGCTTCTGTCTCCAGTGAGGATGAAGAAACAATGATCATGGCACCTGCTTGGCGACAGATCTCGGCGTTCCGTTGGAAAGGCACGCTGGGGTCCAGCAGAACAAAGGCACTGCCCACCATCATCACGCTCAGCATAGCAACGGGTACCCACTTGGACTTGTTGAAATAGATAGGGATAAATCCTTCCGGCACAGCACCCAGCTCCTCCAGACGGGCTGCAAGGCGCGATGAATGTCGTTCTAATTGAGAGTATGAGAACTGTCCATCTGCAGCACAGACAGCAGACGAGTTTGGATGGGCTGAGCACTCTCTCCTGATTATATCATGAACACAGCGTTGTGCAAGATGAGTATCCGAGCTGTTCCAGGCTAGTAATTGTACTCGATCTTGTGCACAAATGGTCGGTATGTCACTGAGTCTCTCGTGTCCTGAAATATTGATCCAGCTCAGCAAGTGCGACAGTTGATTCAGAATCCTCTGCATCTGGACTTCGGAAATCGTCCGCTCGTCATAGACGGCTTCTACACTGACTCCTGAGTTGTTGGGTTCACACACCAAGGTTATCGGATATGTACCGAATGTTGAATTGTTGGACAGGTTCTGCTCCCGAGTCACTTCGCGAAATATACGGTAATCATCCCGCCGTCTTGGTTGTATCACAAGTAGGCTATGGAATTCGCATGCCCTGGCTGCTTCGGGCGAAACTTGGGCAATGTAGTGCAGCCCGAGCTGCTCATGGAGGACAATTTGTTCCATGCGTCCCTTGAGCTCCTGCAGGGACTCATTGACTGAGTTATCCTTTTTCAGCCTCATCCGCAAGGGAAAGGTCGCAATGGTTGGCCCGGACATTTCCTTCACGCCCGGTATCGAGGCTCTCCTCCCAGTCGTAGTGACGCCGAATACCACCTCCGACGAGCCAGTGTACCATGAACACAGAATGGCCCACGCAAGCTCGATGACTTCGGCGAGAGATTCAAAATCCTGGTCTGTTTCCCACTTGGTCATTTGGCTCAAGGATTTGCTTCCAATGGGAACAAAGCCGGCCTTGGAGGGGTCGGGGAATGCTGCGGCATCAAACTCGAAGAATTCCGCCTTCCAAAATTCTTTCGCGGTCGAGTTGCGGGACTGTTGTACGCAACTTGCAAAAGTGAAGAACCTCTGCGGTGGAGGCTGCAGCCCTTCGTAGACTTGTTCGATGTGGTCCAGCATCAGAGCCAGGGACCAGTCATCATAGACAGCGTGATGCAAGGTTAGCACGAAGTAAAGCGTTGATGAAGCATTATTTTGCACCAGAGCAGCCCGAATCAGTGGCTCTCCCAGTTGAACCCCTTTCTGGCAGTCCGTGTGCAAATAGTCCTGGAGGTCCCGAGCTATAGTACACTGAGGAGGGTTGCACAAGACAATTTGGAACATGCCATCAAACCCGGCGTGAATAATTCTTGTGCGCACAATAGAATGCGCGTTTGCCATGGCCTTCCATGCAGCGAGAAATCTAGAAATATCGAGATTTTTGGGCAGCTCGTACACGTATCGAGCAACATAAGTACTTGGTCGCTTGACCGAAAGAGACATAAGACCCTCCTGGATGGGCGTACAACGGATAAATTCGACAATGTCCTCATAGCCCACCCCGCACACTTTAGCAGCAAAGCGACGAACGTAACCCTCGTCATAACATGACTCATTGGAAAAGAGTGGGAGCTCTGATGTTGTGCTCGAAGAGCTGTTTTTTGATAGAACCGTCATTCTGAGCAAGTATAAAGGCCAAAAGGGTAGATGCAGTGGTGGGTATATGAATTTGAATTGTGACAGAGGAGATATATATCTCTGACGATAGAAAAATGGCTATCATGGACTTGAAAGAAACTTCTTCGTACACAGCAATTCACCGCCATTCAGGATGCATCCTACCTGCGCAGAGCCCCTTGCAGCTCTTATAAACCTTTGACTTCATTTGCTATAATGCACTTTAGACCGTCATTTCCAATTAGCTTGTTATGCTAAGCCGTATTTCTCTTACCCCGAAAAAAAAAGAATCCACCAATAGTTCATTGCGTGGGTGTATGCGGACCATGTACCAACGCTAGGAGGTGACAGGGCTTGGTATGCTTGAACAAACTTATGCAACGATGGTATTCAGATATCACTTCACGAATATCTAGCTATAGGCTATCTAAAGGAAGTAAGGGGTTAAATTTCCAATTGGACTGGCCTTGCTAGTAATTACAACGTTTAACACGAAGGTGGTAATAGATTTTACAAAAATCCATATGATGCTTGCTTGCATTGTATGAGTGTGCCCGCACAAATGCAGTATAAATACTTTTATGTTGGCTGATACTTCTATGCATTAGCAATTTTATAGGGAAAGTTACAAGCTATGAAAGGAGACTATCATCTTGACAAAATTCCATCGTTCCGTTGAAAGTGAACTACTCATCCCCCCGGTGCGCAGCACCTCTTCCAGGCCTTTTACATTTTTCTCGGTGGCAGGAATTGATATGAAAAGAAATCACAAAGCCATGCTGCCACTTGAGTCTCCTTTTCAACTTCATTGTCATTTCACCAGCCCTCAAGTCTGGAAAGATCTGGACAATCCAAAGCATCCGTTGAACCTAGCTTGGCCGGAGTTCCTTGATCAAGACGAGACATATAAGGTATACTCTCCGAAATTACTAGAGTACCCTGAACTCTCCAGGTACCAGTTCGCGGTTACGAGAACCAATTCCAGTGGTAGACAGCAGCTGATCGCATGCGCTCGATCCATCCCCTTTTTCTGGCCCGAGCTTGCAGAGGTTGTCGACTCAGAACAAGATGTCTACAGGAGTCACAAATTACTTCAAACTTTACCTGACGGGGGATATGACACAATTCTTTCACGGGGGTACGGCAGTATCTGTTTCGGCACGGGTTGCCAGACATATCCCCTCCGTTAACAACGAGTCAATATATGGATATCTCGGCCTGTCAGAGCCATGATCCTCCTAACGCCATCTCGGCAATATCGGTCACGGTCCACCCAGACTATCGACGGATGGGTCTTGCGGAGGCCCTGATAGAAACTATGATTCAAACTGCCAAGGAAGCCTCGCTGCGGATTCTCGTTACCCCCCTGAGACCCACGAGGAAAGCTGATTTCGCCGACGTGCCGATGACCGAATACATCCTATGGCAGCGAGAAGCCCAGGCCGGATGTCGCTGTAGCATCTCGAAGCAGCCATTTGACCCATGGCTCCGCAAACATGTCATACTAGGGGCGAAGATTGTGAAGGTTGCAGAATCCAGTATGGTGGTTCGGGGGAGTGTTGAGGACTGGGAATTATGGACAGGAATCCCACTAACTCAAAATAGTCGCATTATGTCATCCAGAAAAATGCATTACGATTCAGACATTGGGGAACCATTTACTGAGATTTATTTCCCAGGAGGGCTTGCACCACTACGACTGTATGCAGGAACTCAAGAGGGTGTCTACATTGAGCCGAATGTGTGGCTTTGTCATAGGACGGTTTAGTTATACGGTTAAAGAATCTTTTTGTTACGAATATAGTTAGGACGCTCGGCATAAAGCTCATGGCTGTTAAGAAGTGACGTATAAGTTGAGGTTGGGGTTGACGTGTACGCTGACGTCCATAGCAATGATTATATTGTTGCCTATATCATAACTGCTGAGAGCCTGCATATTAACTCTGCCCCCGGTTGCATATCTCTATCTCCTTTTTCTGTATGTTAACTAAGTTGCTCGTCAATCAATCCTCTACTTAGTTCCTCTATCTTTATGCCGCTTCCTCTGACCAACCGTAGATTCACTACACTTTTGAAGTTTATTTGAAAACGCTGGCGTATGACCAAGATTATGGAAAGGCAGCAGCAGCAGGAGAAAAAGTCTATTTGCTCCATCAGCGATCCTTTTTAGAATCGGTTCGCCAATGCAAACGTATAGACTTCATTCCATCCGCTCATCGAGAAAAATTTCCTCCTGTCGTCTTTTGATTGCAATCTTTATGTGCGGATCCGAGCTCAATGAAACCCCGTGCTTGATAATTTGCGGAACACACCCATCCTGGAGTTTGAAATCATACTTTATAAGAATATGACACAGTGCAATCTTCATCTCATTTGAGGCAAAGAACCGTCCGGGGCATGCGTGCTTGCCTAATCCAAATCCCAAGTGGTTCGGAGAAAGGGAAACCAGTTGCGCAGACGTCTCATGGCCGGGAACCTGGCGCATCTTTAAAAAACGATAGGCGTCGAACGTTTCTGGGTCGGTATGGAAAGTGGGGTCCCACATGCGATCATTTGAAACGAAAAGCGTGGTGCCTCTTGGGATGCGAGTTCCGTCGGATAGTTGGACGTCGTTGGAGGCGATACGGTTCATTGCAACTTGAGGGTTCATTAGAGGTAGTAGTACTAAAGGTGGCATAGAAACCAAAGACAAACTCACTAATTCCAATCGGCTTCAGTCGTTGACTCTCTTTAATTGTGCTGTCCATCAGTTTAAGCTTATACAATGTTGTACTCTTCCATCCTTCCTCCCGAATCGCAGTGATTATCTCTTCTCGCAGGGCACAGATCAAATCATCCCTTCCACAGAGATTGTATATAACCTGCGTCAACAAATCTGAGGTAGTATGAAGAGCAACTGTGGATAAATTCAGCTGCGCTGCTGCGGGATCATACACACAGCCTTTAGCACATCCTTCCATCCACTCAATGGCATCGTTGTATTGCGGGATTGCTTGCCCAGATCTCATAGCTGTAGCCTTAAGATCTTGTCTTGCTTGCAGTACGGTCGTAATTATCTCTCGTGCCTCCTGCAGCTCGCCGCGAATCTTCCGGCACAAAGGATGAAACCGAGCGACGAGTGGTCGCATCAATTTCGGCCACTGACGTAGACTAGCTGCCGCTAGATGGGCATCAAGCATGTAGTTGATGGCAATCCGGAGCCAGTCAGTGTTGCGGCAGATCCGATCTCCCAGAAAGACCCTAGACGATAGGCGGGCGATGAGTTGAATCACGCTGGGTTTCAGGACCAAGGTGTGCCATTCTAGCTGCTCGTCAGTCCAAGTGCAATCAACACACGGGTGATCGATCCATGCTAGGGGCCCCTTCACCGTGATTATCCGTCCATTCTTTCCGAAGCGTAAGGGCAGCCTCTTCTGATAAGGGTTCGGTGACGCGCCCTGGGAATCAAAAAATAAGTCATTTTTTTCGTGATAATGCATTTCGCACAATTCTCACCAAGCGCTTGTGTCAAGTGTGTTCGTACAACCTCCTGGAAGAGCTGATGGTTCATAGTCGCGCGTCGGAAGGGTTCAAACCCGGGGATGTGTGCATGAAACTCGCGGGCAATGAAATCAGAGAAGCTTAGGGATTCAATGTTTCGAATCTCATTGGCGTATTTCGGTGCGAGAGCTAATTTGCAGCCGTTATCGGTGATTAGTCGGAAACCGTCAGCGGACTACAATTGTAGATATCGTCAACATTGAAGAACCTAGAGGGACAGGAGGTGATTCCACGAACTTTAGCAAAGCCAGATTTGATAATGTTGTAAGCATCCGAGACGAAGCGCTCCTGGGCATTTTTGTGTCCGATTTCAAATAATCTCCTACCGCTGATCATGGGGAATGTCGAGCGACTGAAGAAAATACGGTGGAGGAAAGAAATGGTAAGAATCACGAAGCCGATTCCAGCTAGCGTGTCGATATGGGGGAGTAGTGATGATTTACAAACACCCATCACGAATTTTTACCTGCCCCCCTGTGATATATCCTAGAAAATGGGTTATATCGCTTGCTGGCGGTAATATGGCAGATACTCTCGGTGTTGCAGTTACTTGCCTGCCTAACTTATCCAGGGATTCACTACTAGAAGGCTAATCCATCCAGGACTGCCCTGGTTTGGTGATGAAACATATTATTCAGTAGTAGACTTGCGGTGTGAATTAGCCAAATGGCAGGCGAAGTAGCTGTCTAATACTTCACCTGCATTCCAACAAAGCTGCAAGGGGTCAATAATCCATGCTGGATTAGTATAATTCACACATAATGCATAATCTCTTCCATTTTCCCTCCATCTCTCCTGGAAATAGATGCGGTGTGCTATCTAACCCCACTATGACACAATACCACTATACCTCCTACGTACTGTGAAAGGATGACAGCTAATAATTGCGAATCGATTGGAAGCCGGATGATCGACACATTGAAGATAAGATTCACCCATGGTTCGCCGTGATCGGGAGAGAGCTAGTGGATCCCGCCATTCTCCTAGAGAAAGTCTATAATATGGACAATACAGGGGTCCTCCTCAGCATGCTGAATTCTCTCAAGGTCCTCGTCAGCAAGCATGATCTGAGGGAGCATCGCAAAGCCACAGTAAAACGCACGTTATCATCAATGCATAATCAACCAACCAGTTGGTTGATTTAATTTTACTAATAAATATTGGTCTTATACTAGATAAATGAAAGTTAATCAATTTATTTAATTAAATACTTATAACTATATTTATATTAAAATGGAGATCTAAAATTTTATTAATTATTTATAATCTTTATATCTATATTATATATTAATTTAAAATTATTGAGATTATTTTTTAATATAAATAATTGTCAGGCTGCTTTGTGAGAAGCAGGCGAACTGGCGGGTTTGGGGCCGAATGTACGGGTCAATTGACTTACAAACTGAATACTTGAGATTCAAAGGAACGCTCAGTATTAAGGCTATCTAAATAAAAGATATTTATTAAATTGAACTAGCACACATATATGAGAGGAAAAGCCAATATAGTGACAATTAGATAGCCTTCTTACATCCTTCTTTCTCTTAAAAAAAGGATTAATTAGTAGGATAAATAACACATCTATAGTAGTAAAAAATTCTACACTACTACCATAACATAAAATTTAGCTTATTAAGAGAGTATTCTCTAGAATTCTTTTGATAATTTTTCTTGACTAATCAATTAGCATATCTAAGACAGATTATGAAGATATTAAACTTTTTAAAACTTCGCTTAAAATTTGTTTGACTATTCAGTTTACTACCTTGATGAATTATTATATTAATCTCTGTATTACAGGTAGTCTATTGAAGGAAAATATCGTAAGGGTATCACTCTTACTATACTAACTATACCTCAGAATCATTCAAGGGGAGAGTAAATGATGGTTTCGAATCTCTCCGTATTATCATTGTTATTTGGAACAAAGACCGAAGGAGTATGACAGGTATTTTCAACTTTTTAGGTCATTCATACATTTGAAGAAGACGCTCTATCTTTTCGTCAGCAAGATAATGCTCATGTTCACTTTTAAGTTTTTTGGCATCATTTTCTTCGAACCAAAACGCCCATGTACTTTGAGCGTTGACCTCGGGGGCACCCCGACTGGAGCGAATCCCGATATGTTGTAGCTGTTGCGGGGCCAATGCAAACCGGCGTAGGTTGGTCTTTGCAGCAAAATCTTCGATCATCAAATCAGTTTGGCCACTTCGTTGTTCCTGGAGATACTCCATAAGCTGCGACGCATGCTGGCGGGAATATATCAACGCTTGAGAACAACAACCACCAGAGTCCATGGGCACCAGTCCTCGAAGTGGATGAATGGAATATTTCCCAATCATAAAGTATAGGCCAGTGAACGCGGGTATTGTAACCAGACAAATGACTGCTATTGTACCATAATCCAGCTGCAGACCAGGAACGAGCCGACGAGCAAAAAACAGCGATAGAAACCCAATCGCAATAGCAGCAGCAAATACCATGTGTATATTTCGGTACGCAAAGTCGTTCTCCCCCCAGAGCATCAATGTTTCGGTGTAAAAGAGGCGGAGATATAACCAGGACGATTCTAAAGTAGTGGATTCGAATGGGCTTTGGTCTCGACTAGGGCCATAGGAAGGATTGAGATCGATAAGGGCCTTCAGTGTCTTCGTCATCCAACCATCGGCGAATATGATATCATCCTCGAATATACCAATGAATGGTGCGTTGGTAGTCAGGCAGCGATCCAGAACATACACGTAGTCACTAAGTGCTGTCAGAATCGGAGTTTTTAAAAAAAAAAAACGGAAATTGGGATTGTGAGACACGCACAAGACTCCTTTCTCTTGAAAGTTACGATCAGACTCAAGTTGCTGAAGATGTCGGAAACTCGACTCGGACACGTTGTAGGATTCTACCAAGTCAATAGCCGTATTCATCCAAGATTGTTCCCAGCTTGGATGGATAGCTGGGTCAGTGTTTGCAAATAACACCCTGAGATGCAAGGCGCGCCGTTCGCGAACATCTAGGCCCTCCAACATGGAGCCGATGGATTGCTCAAAATAGTCATCGCGTTCCCTCTTCACGGTGACAAAGGCAGCACAGATTAGAGGATCATTGCTACCCATGACAGTATCCTCCGGTCGCAAGCCATCGTTCGTTTTGTGAAACGAGATGAAGTGGTTTGCCTCATGTTCCCTGACGAGACTATATTCCCAATCGTAGACATTGGTAATATCGAAAAAGGCCGAGTGTGGGTCACGCCAGTATCGGATTCGGCAATACTGGAATGCTAGCAAGTAAAGCAGAGCACTGAACAGAAGCGCTCTGAATGCAGGGACTCTACTGATTCGTTTGAGAATAGTAGCATATGGAAGTGTAATACCATGCGATATAAGCATGTTGGAGAGAAAACTCTTGATTGTCATGGAAATGAAAAGAATTCCCCGGGCCATATTTATCACAAGAGGCTCATCCAATCAATCCACTTTTCTCGTGGCCCTTTTGTTGGTATACTCCCCGACAGCGAATGAGGTGAAGCACTAGCGCTTGGTTACCCAGTCTTGTATTCCGCACAATTTTCGATCTCGATCTAATTCAAGCTGAAAGACAGAAAGGCTTGAGCCCCGAAGACAATGTACTAGGCTTACTAGGCCAAAAAAAAAATACGAACTAAAATAATGAATTTTGAACTGTAAGTATAGTCCATGTTGAACGACGGCATGAATGAGGCTGAAATTACAACCCCAAGTGGCGGCTATAGTGGATCAGAGTTCGTGATACCCCCGGTGTCTCTAATTAATACCGTACTCCGTATGGAAAAACTAAATCATCACCAACAATCTCTCATAAAAAAACATAAAATGAGTGCCCTTTGTAATACTAATGTATGCCTTAGTATAAAAAACAGAGACACAGGCTACATAATAACATTCTACGCTAACTAACGTAATCCACCCCCGAACCGCCACTACCCCCGAACCGCCACTTCCACCCAAAAACGCGTCCCATAACAATTCTATATAATTCAACGCGTTAATATGCCACCAATTCGCAATAAAAACCATAAAAATTCTGAGGAACAAGAAGGTCGAATCTTATTAGCCATTTCCGATTTAAAAAATAAAAGAATTCCTAATATTGGACGAGCTGCAAAGATTTACAATGTTCCTCGAACAACTCTCCGAGATCGACTAAATGGCACCCAACAAAGATCTCAAATACGCGCCAATGGGCATAAATTGACTGAATCTGAGGAGGAATCGCTTGTCAAATGGATATTGAATCTAGATAAGCGAGGATTACCTCCCCGGCCATCTCTTGTACAAGAAATGGCTAATTATCTTCTTTCACAGCATGGAAATCAACAAGTTGGAATAAACTGGGTATACAAACTAGTTCAACGCCGTTCAGAGATTAAATCGCGATTTTCACGAAGATATAACTACGAACGTGCTAAATGCGAAGATCGAAAGATAATCCAAGAGCATTTTGACCGCGTACGAGAGGCTATATTAGAATATGGCATCTTACAGGAAGATATCTACAACTTTGATGAGACTGGCTTTGCTATGGGGCTCTGTGCCACTGCAAAAGTCATAACTGGAAGTGATCGATATAGCAGACCATATCTATTACAGCCTGGTAATCGAGAATGGGTGACTGCAATTGAAACAGTTAATTCTACTGGATGGGTTCTACCTCCATATGTGATTTTTAAAGCAACAAAATACTTACAAGAAGCCTGGTTTGAGACTCTTCCAGATGGTTGGAAAATCGGCATTAGTGATAATGGATGGACAACAAATAAGCTTGGTATGGATTGGCTCATTAATCACTTCATTCCTCGTACGAATGGCTGTGTAATGGGAAGATATCGAATGCTTATTCTTGATGGTCATGGAAGTCATTTAACTGCTGAATTTGACCGTACATGCACTGAGAATAATATTATTCCAATCTGCATGCCTCCGCATTCTTCTCATCTCTTGCAACCTCTTGATGTCGGCTGTTTTGCTGTTTTAAAACGGCAATATGGACAGCTTGTTGAACAACGGATGAGGCTTGGATTTAACCATATTGACAAAATTGACTTTCTTACTGCATTTCCAAAGGCGCGTACGATGGCATATAAAGCTGAGACTATTCGGAATAGCTTTACAGCAACTGGATTAGTGCCATTTGATCCAGATCGAGTCTATCAACAGCTTACTATCCAATTAAAGACTCCAACTCCTCCTCCAAGTCGATCAAGCAATTCACAATCATCTTGCTTACAAACACCTCAAAATCCTCGTCAATTCAAGCGTCAATTAAGTACAATTAAAAGGCGAATTAACCAGCGCAAATCAAGCCCATTAGAAGCTATTGATCAAGCAATTGATCGGATGTCTAGGGCTTATGAAATAAGTATAAATGAGCTTCTAATTGTACGAAAAGAAGCTCATGATTTACGGGCTGCACATGAGAAAGAGAAGCAAAAACGTCAACGGTCTAAAAAGCAGATATCTTACGAACAAGGCCTTACTAGAGAGGAAGCTCAGGTGCTTATCCAAAGTCAGATTGAGGCATCTCAAAGTGCTACTACTGTTCCGGCCGAGCCTGAGCTTCCAGTCTCTCAGGTGCGTGTACGCCGCCAATTTCAGTGTAGTGAGTGTGGTATTCTTGGGCATAGAAGACCTCAATGCCCTAATCGTACTAGTAATTAATTTTTTGTATATAATTATTATTTCGGGTTAGAAATTGAGATTTGAAATCGCTATAGATTATGTTTTCGGGTGGAAGTGGCGGTTCGGGGGTAGTGGCGGTTCGGGGGTGGATTACGTTAATGCATCCAATATATAACGTAATCGGACACCCACCCGCCAATTCAAATACACATACAAAATGCCATTTTTACAATCTCAATAATTCAACATTTTCTTAGATAATGAAGTCTAAAAAGAATATATATCAAATAATATATAGTCTTATAAGCGCTGTGAAAAGGTCGTAAACAGAGAATCTCTGCCGCTATGCAGAATTGATCGAGCCAAATTCCAACGCTTCTAACATCTCTTCATCCGTTTTCATTGGGCCCACTCACCTATGCCTATTTTTTTTGACAATCAATCCGATGTCGTTTTCCAGTGCTGAGCCCGTCGTACCGAGGTGTAGCAGTGGAAAACAAGATATATAATTCCAGGTATAACAATATAAACTGATATTTTGTCGGTCAATTTCCGAACTTCCCTTCGATCCAGATGTATTTTCCGAACATACCACTATAGACAAGATGTAATGGTTCCGGCGCGGAAGTCCTCAAACCTTTTTGTGTGCGAATAGCCTCACAATTGCTTTATGGGGAAGACCCGTTTGTCAAAAGCTCCTGATGGGTTGTGGCTGCAGCCCAATGGCTTACCAGGCCCTGTGACACGAGTTATCAAGCCGACCCAGCCGTTTGGCCGCCGATCAACATCACCGCCGGCCAGTCAGCCCAGCGAGCTGCCAAGCTGTGATTCTATCGCTGATATAATTTTCTCAAAGCCCCCAACCCCTAAAACAATATATTTTTATCACTAAATTGGTACTGCGTCAAAGAGTCGGAAGGCGACTCAGGGTCTACTTGAACAGAGGTGATCGATTCCAGGTCGAACCCATTCCTAGAACTGCGGTCCGACAAGCTTAGGAGCAAAAGTGGATTGGGTAAGTTTCACACAGAAATGTCAGAATATTTGGCACTAAACATTTTGAGGATAGGTTCAAAGTGCCCAAAATTATGATCAACAGTGCCAAAAAACCTGCACCAAAAATTGACGATAAGGAATTCCAAATAACTTACCCCTGATAACAAATATTAGTGTAATAGTAGTAGTAGCAATAGATTTCATTAACCTATTCTAGTCGGCTTTCATACTGCCACCACTACGCAGGATTGTGCCCTAAACTTTAGGGAATAAGAGAAAATATGGCTCAGCTGTTACGAAATAAGCCTGTATGAGATTAAAGAAAAACTAAATCTAAAAAAGAAAAATTATAATTAAAGCAGCTAATACTATATCTAACTAATGATTATACTAGTATATAAATTGGCACTCAGGTAAAAATTGAAAAGCTGGATCTCCTTATAGTCAACCATAATTTACGATAGCACTGCTTCATGGACTTTCTGTGAAATCCGGAAGATGATTTTCACAAGTAGTGTTGTAGCTTCATGTATTCTCGAGGGATTATAAACAGCCCAGCAGTGGCGCAAATCGCACGCCTAAGCTGCTTGCCACCTCATATCTTTGGAGATTTCACAGTGGCTCGCTCAATCTCATTTATCTATGGAAGACGCACTATCGCCAGCTGTTTCCTGGGCTGCAACAAGATCTAGTCAAACAAGGGAGCACGGACTGAGCCAAGGCGTATAGAGCCTTCAGGTTTCTACACAAGCGAGAAACCAGTATTCATCTATAGAAATCAGACCAGTAACAAGACCTATTAAAGGTGTTCAAGACTATTGAAGACTTCAGGAAGATAGTGAGAGGTTGCGTATTTTCATAACTGCCTGGTTCATGAGCTTCATCAAACGATCTGTCATCTCAGTCTAGACGACAATGCTGGCCGTCTTCTCCTTCCACCAATCCTGCCACTGAATGACTTTCTCATCACGTCGGGCCTCCTCGGCGGCAAAGACCACCACCTGGCTGCGCACGGCTTCGTCGAACGTGCAGCCGATGAACTGCACCTGCGCGTCATGGGCGGGGAGACCTTGGTTCTCAACAGCATCCACTGCGGCGACAAACGCGCGGGCCAGCCCGTAGTCGCCACCACCGTGCAGGGACTTGGTCTGCTGGGGCACCTCGACGACGGTGGTCTCACGGGTGACGAAGGAGAAGTAGCTGATCTGGTGGCTGTCGTACTCGAGCTCGCCGTGGGTGCCGTAGACCCGGCCGCGACGCTCGCACTCCTTCTCGGTCTGGGCCGCCATGTGGAGGACGGCGCGCTTGCCGGGCCGCGGGGGCACAGCGGTGTTGTCCTCGTCCCAGGAGATGGTGACCAGCTGGTCGTCGCAGACGTCGTTGTCACTCTCGTAGACGCAGCGCCCGTACCACGAGCGAGCGGCGATCTCGGCATCGGCGGCTGTTGTGCGGTCGTAATCCTCGGCCAGTCGGTCGAACAGCTGTGTCTGCGCGACCTCCATGCCGGACGTCTTCAGCACGTCCTCGATGTCAGGGCAGACGATGTGCACAGGCCAATGGGTATCTCCCTTGGCGAGCTGGTGGTCGTGGTAGATCTTGACGGCGCTGTAGTGGCAGTCGCGCTCCATAGGGCAGGACAGGCAGTTTGTCGCGTTCCCAGCAGCAAGGGGCTTGCGTGACTGACGGAACATGCTGCGGGCTCCCATTGAGGAGATCGAGCGCGGCAGATGCGGTTGGGTGTCGATGGGAGCACCGGTCGGAGGGGACGACAGCATCCAGAGCAGGAAGTCGACGTCGTGCGAACACTTGGTCAGCAGAGAACCATCCCCATTGCGCGACTGGCGTCGCCAGTTGCCGCGCACGTAACTGTGGGCGAAGTGCCACCAGGCCACAGGCTCAGTGTGCTCGATGGAGAGAACGTCGCCGATGACGCGATCAGTGAGGAGGAGCTTGCGGAGGGTAATGTTGTGCGGGCTGTAGCGGAGGACGTGGCCGATGGAGAAAATCTTCGATTGCTGCTCGGGTGTCCGGGCCCGGTAGATGGACAGACAGTCAGCGAGAGAGGTGGCCAGAGGCTTCTCGCATAGCACATGGAGGTTCAGCGGCGCGATGGCAACCATGATCTCGACATGCATCTCGTCGAGGGTGCAGACGAAGACGCCGTCCACCCCATCAGGCACGGGTTCGCCCTGCGCCTGCCGACGACGGCGGTCGGTCTCCCACTCAAGCCATGCTTTCCAGTCGACAAATTCCTGGCCTTCTTGGGGACTCCCGTCCGGGCCCCAGATATATTTCCGTCCAAAGAGCTGTCGCTTGTACGGGAGAGGCTCTGCGACGGCGTAGATCTGGGCGGATGTCGTTTCAGTGATGGGTTCAGAGTAGGCGTTGCCCCGCGAGCCAGCGCCGATCACCAGGAACTTGAGCTCCTTGGGCTTTTGTAGCATGGCTGGCATTCTGAGGGGCTTTGAAATGAAAGGAAACGAAGCCTTCGTTTGTTAGTGAAAATATAGCAGGAGAGTAGTCGTCTATCAGTAGCTGCCCCTCATCATATATATACTCCCTGCTTATTGTCGATATACGCATCAGAGCCGCGCAGCCTGTGGAGGTTAGGGTTACATCTTGTCGCGGGCCGGGTTGCATGCCGTTTTTGTGGAGTGACGTTCTGTATATAGAGTTTCTGCAACCGTAGTGTTTAGTGTTTAATGTTCAATTGCCGCGGTGGTGATTGACAGCTGACCGCGGGGTGGCACGTGCCCCTTGCAGGTCCTCGCGTGGTCGCGTGGTCGCGTGGTGGCCCCCAGTGGGTGCGGTTTCCTATCTGTATTTAGCGTGAACTTAAAGCTGTTAGTCAGCATATAATGTCATCCAACAGGAATCACGGCGCCAATCGTGGTCGTTGTGTTACTCAGCATATTTGTCCAACCTCCTATCTATGTCTACTACAGAAGCTAAAGGAATACGAAGCGAGAGCGCACAAAGAGTACAAAAATCAATGATCCTATTCTGCTACTGTAGCGAATGTATGCTCGGCAGAGAGCACTGCTAGAAAACTACTCTTAATTTACGATGGCATGAAAAAAGCTCTGCAATTCCAGAAAATAGGCTCTCCTTTTACGCGACCTGGTGATTCTCCAGAAGATCGTATTGGGCAAACTTGCGCGCAGGCACCTTGCGCTCGAACAGGATGTCGAGCTCCTCGAAGGTGCGACCCCGACTCTCCGGGATGCGGAACCAGCACCACACCAAGCAGACAAGACTGACGGCGCCGAAGAGGAACCCAGCCTTGCCATGCCAGTTTGCCTGGTCGGTGCTGAGCATGTATGGCATGGCGATAGTGAAGACGATGCTGGCTAGCGCTTGGACGGCGGTGGTAATGGCGATAGTGCGGCCACGTAGCCGAGTAGACGACACCTCAGAGATAATGACAAAGCAAATAGGGCCGACCGTCATCTGATAAATGAACGTCCAGATGTCCATCAAAGACGCCTGCGCCCATGTTATGGCCGACATCCCCGATCGCAGGTCGAGAAATCCGATGACGAACAGAATGATTGTCATCAGTAGCATGCCGTAGTTATAGATGGTGCGGCGGCCAAACTAACACCATATCAGTCAGTAATTGTTCTATCTGAGATATCCCCTGCCGGAAATGGAAGGAACGTACATGAGACATTAGAGGCCAGGAAAGGCAGGTGCCGACAAAACCCATGGCGGTGTTGCCTACTCCCACTATTTTGCTGGTTAGTGTCATCACTTGATGAGACGGGTAGGGTTGCTAACTATTGAATGCATCAGAAGCGTCAAGACCGGCTTGCTCGAAGAAGAAGTTCGCGTAGCCAATGAGCGGGTTGCCCCCAATGACTTGGATTAGATAAACCATGATGGAGATCTCTGTGCGGCGGAGGTTGAGCCCTCGGAAGCATTCCAGGTACGAGGCCTGGGCTTCAAGTTCGCGCTCAAGTAGGTCGGTTTCCTCGATCATCACAAGCAGAGACTCGATGTCGGGACGGTGCGAGGCTGAGGTCAGTTTGAGGAGTGACTTTCGCGCGTCGTCCTTTCTGTTCTGGCGGATGAGCCAATAGGGGCTCTCAGGGGCAAAAAGCAGGCCAGCAAGCAAGACAACAGGCCAGATCCATTGAATAGCAAACGGGATCTTATACGCCCACTCATCCAACCGGCTTTCGACGCCTGCAGCACAGCCCTGGGCGATGAACTGGCCAATCACAAAGGCCAGGTTGACAGACGCAGTAAGAACACCTCGGAGAGCCAGGGGACAAATCTCAGACGCATAAGTCGGGGCGATGACTACGTAGAAGCCATAGGCTAGACCACCCAGGATCTCTCCAGCACACAGCATCCCAATGGAGGTGGAGAAAAACTGCATGAAGACGAAGCCAACCGACCAGACACAGCATGCCGCAAGAGTCTTCTTGCGGCCAAACTTCTCCAGCGGCCAACCGCAGGCCAGCGCACCGACAATTTGCCCAATGGGATTGCCCATTCCCAACCCCGTCTGCCAGGGCGCGGAGATGATATATTTGTCCTGGTAGAGATAACCGAAGCGTTGCTGGAAAGAGGGCAAGGCGTAGAAGGAAGTGACGAGCTGGGCATCAAACCCAGCCATGATCACGGCGATACAGAAGAACATAGCCCAGAAGACAGCCATGGGATATTGCTTCACGGCCATGAAGAACCCAAGCTCATGCTCAGACTTGGTGATGTCGGCGGTCGCATTGAGGGTATGGCCCTCGGCTTTCTTACCAGCTTCATCTACAATGCTAACTTGGTCGGTGGTTTGCACCCGCTTTTCTTCAGCCATTGTAGATTCTCAAGGGACTGCACTTGAGTTAAAGTAAGGAGGGTAGAGAAGATAAAAAATAGTAGGCCAAAATTGATTAAGGGGAGAGCCGATTCCTCTTTTTCTTTTATCCCAGGAAATGGCAATGGGGAATTATTGCTAAATAAGAAGCAAAATCCCATCTCTAAGTAGAGTTCAAGCTCCCCGCATCTTTCCGTCCTCACGGACTCAACTTAATATCCCTCCCGATAGGGTAGGGAGAATGGAGGGTCGTTTTTGTGCAAGCTCGATGTTACCCTCTTATCGATAAGAACGCCACTATATTTTCCAAGATAGAAGGAAACCTTAAGGAGCTGGTGAGTGGCAGGCGCAGCTTATGGACATAAAATGCATATTCGGTCGTAGACTGAAGTTGTAAGTTTATCATCTCCGACAATGACACTCTTTCCTTTATCTGGGGAAACGCTGTCAACCCGGGATGTAACTCTGCGAAGGGCATACTCTTTTCTGGACCAAGATAAGATTTTGCAGGTGCATATCAAAGGCCGGCCCACTCGTTTTGTAGCTCTCGTGCAGCTAACACCTCGGAATTCGGTTTCCTCTTGCTAGCTTAGGCCTTCAATCTTAAGCATCGCTCACCATGCTATTGTCATAACTCACCATGCTATTGTCACCAATTGCACTTACCCGGCCTCTGATTAAGCAAGTGTGGATTTGTTGCCTTTGACGACGAGGAGGCAAGACTTCAACGGCGACAAGTCTACAACCCTTGTCAAACTCTTTCCCTTACCATTCTTCCTGGTAATATGCTGGGATAGCAACTCTTACACATCTTCTTTCCCTCGCGCCTTTGGTCTCGCCTTTGTCGTCGCGAAACATGACGATATCTGGACCTCTGTTCCCTCCGTCCCTGATCTCGCCTGAGATCGCGGCGTCGCTTCCAGCGGGGTACACAATCCGGCCGTTGGAACATTCAGACCACGCACGCGGGTTTCTGCAGTGCCTGGCTGACCTGACATGGATCGGGGATTACAGCGAAGAGGAATTCTACGAGCGGTACGACTGGTTGGCGACCAAGGGCAAGGACTGGTACTACAACGTGGTGATCGATGATGGCAGTCGGATCGTCGCGACGGCTACATTGATTGTGGAAAGAAAATTGTAAGTATGCTCTCCTTTTCCGTCTTGCGCTGCCTCTAACAGACATTACAACTCCAGCATCCATAATCGCGGTCTGGTTGGGCATATCGAGGAGGTGGTAGTGTCGAACGACCAGCAAGGCAAAGGGCTGGGCCTCATCTTAATTCGCGCTCTGGACTCGATTGCCGTAAATGTTGGTTGCTACAAGTCGATTCTGGACTGTGCGGACCAGAATTCGGGCTTCTACACTAAGTGTGGCTATGAGAATGCTGGTCTGGAGATGGCCCATTATTATGAACCTTTCAAAACTCAATATGAGCGAGGTTGATGCGCTCAATGGCTTTTCCCACGGCCCTTTTCTCCGATAAAACATGTACATACATATATTCGTTTTCAATACATATCATATGTCTGAAAAACCGAGGGAACGAGACGAGAAATTATCGAATCCAGAGAATGTTGGGTTGGGTTAAGAGGCAATTAGAGTCTGATCACCAGCTATATTCACTAAGTATAATCACGCGACCCCTGTCAATAGCGATGGCTACTAGTCCATTTGTCTGAGCAAGGAACCCGGGGTCACCGAGGTATTCGGCTTTCTTGGTTTAGTCAGGATACCAGGGGAATGGACGCTGGGTTGTCAGTCGCGCGGGTAGTACGGAACTAGCCGACAGTTCATGATTCGCGGGTTCCTAGCGTGTAAGCCCAGCCTCCTCTCATAGGAATTGTATTACTTATCGGCCAAGGAAATCGGTTTCCGCGTGTCTAAATCGCTGTTGAATATCGGCTACTTGACGAGCGCTAACTAGTTCTCTTATACGCTTCCCCGCAATTGCCAATATTGTATACTACCGTAGTATTTCCTCGGCTCAGGCCAGTGTGACCATGAAAGCTTATTTTGGTCGAGAAACAATCAATGCATGAAAGGGGAGACATTTGACATTCCCGACCAGAAATAGACTAGCCCTAACTCTTATCTCTTATCGGTTAACATAGAACTAGCCAGGAGCAAAAAGACATATAAACAAACTATTTTCATCCCCATCTCAGAGTGGTAAGATCTCTTCTTTCTCTCGTTCTATCTGTTTCCCAGTATATATCGCTGCCCGTTGTTTATTCCACAATGAAATGGCAAGCTGCAGTCTTCCTGGCGCTGCTGGGAGGAAGCGTCACTCCTGCGCTTGCAGCGCCGTGGAAGAAATTGCGGCCAAAAATGGCCATCGACGCCATGCTGAGCTTCTACAACCAGACGGATGGGCGGTGGTCCACTGAAGCCCCCTGGTGGATAACTGGCAACGCGCTCCAGGCCACACTCGATTACATGGCGAAGACAGGTTCACGCGAGTACATACCCCAGGCAGTCAACACCTTCACGAAGCAGAGTGCACCTTTGCCGTGGTGGCCGTCTGGGGGCGGGGACTTTCGGGCTGACTCGACAGACGACACTGGCTGGTGGTCACTGGCCAGTGTGCGTATGTTCGACCTGACCGGTGACCAACAGTACCTCACCTACGCCAAGGAGGATGAGGCCTATATGTACAGCTTCTGGAGTAACGATACCTGCCAGGGCGGGATTATCTGGGACATCCCCTCGCGCTCCTACAAGAACGCAATTAGCAACGAGCTATACCTAAAGCTAGCTGCCTCCCTGCACAACCGTATCCCCGGTGACACGTTCTACCTGTCGCGCGCCAAGCAGTCGTGGACTTGGTTCAAAAACAGTGGCATGATCAACGGTGACAACCTGATCAACGACGGTCTGTCTGAGGCGAGCAACGGGATCTGTTCCAACAACGGCGGCCAGACCTGGACCTACAACCAAGGGGTCATCCTGGGCGGCCTGGCTGAGCTGTACAAGGCGACCAGGGACAGAAGCCTGCTCGAGACCGCGCGCCGGATCGCCGACGCGGTGACGACCAGCGCCTTCTTGTCACCCAATGGCATCCTGACCGAGCCCTGCGAGGCTGACGACAGCTGCGGTAGCGACGCGCCAGCCTTCAAGGGCATCTTCGTCCGCAACCTCGACGAGCTCCAGGATGTCCTACCGGGCAACCCGTACCGCAAATACCTAGACGTTCAAACCACATCTGCCTACAACTTGGACCGCAACAGCAGCACAGGCAATCTGTATGGCCTCAAGTGGGCCGGTCCCTTCGACGAGATTGAGATTGCCCGCCAAACCTCGGCTGTGTCCCTGCTGGTTGCTGCTTTGTGATATGTTGGTGTAAATTATTAAACTTAAATAAGTGAGGGTTGAAATGGCTGCCGAGTGGTATCAGGTGGACCGAGTGCTCCGGGGTGGACAGGATCGTGCAAGCCATCAATTACAGACATATTCAAATTGATATTAAAAGAGTAGAATACTAATATTACTTGTACTTTCAATGAAAACACGTGACTGCTCTGTAGAATGCGATGGAAGCGGGGCATATTTCAGGCAGCCATCCTTTGATACCTTACAACATTTGGAGGACTGCGAAGAAAGCTATACAATTATGCTAATATGTGACTGTAGATAAGAGACAGACAATCATTTCCATGCTCTTTCAACTAATACAAAGTCGATATATTCCGTCAAAACTCACCAAGAAAGATCATTATGAAAACCAGACCACAATTGCGTGTCATTTTCTTCGACGTCTTTGGAACGTGTGTGGCCCAGAGGACTCCAGTAGCGGACGAGCTATGGAAAGCGGCTAAAGAGGCGCTGGAGTCGGATTTGTCGTCGGTTAGTAGTGAAGTCCGGACCAAGGCGATGAATATGGTATGCCCCAGCCAGTTGAGCACTTACCTGAAATATAAATTAACTTATTTCACAGTCATACGAGCAGTGGTTTGAGTTCGGAGGGGTCGGTGGCTAACTAAATGCCATTACCGTAAATCTAAGTACATGTACTAACAGGAGCAGGAATGGAACAAAGACGTGGACATATTCGTTAGCGATAGTAAAGCAAAATACAACAGCGTGGATTGGAGAGCAGTCGACAAGTATCGTTTTGAAGCACTCCACAAACTCCTCGCACAGCTCGGCTTAATCATTCCTCGCGAAGACGACGCTAGCACCTCAGAGCTCCGCGTCAAAGAGGGTTCGCTCTGGGATGAGTCGCAACTCAGACAACTCGGCCTTGTCTGGCACCGTCTACCCCCTTGGCCCGACACCTGCCATGGCCTAGAATTGCTTAATAGGCAATTCTCTACCGTGACCCTTAGTAACACTTATGACGACTTAATGAAATACCTGGTAGCGCATAGCAGCATACCCTTTAAGCATGTTTACACTTCCGACATGTTCCAATCGTTCAAGCCGAACCCCAAGGTATATCTCGGTGCGGCAGAGAAGATGGGCGTAAAGCCCGAGGAGTGTGCGCTCGTGGCCGCGCATCTAAGTGATTTGAAAGGTGCAAAAGCATGCGGATTCTATGCAATATATGTTGAGAGACCGTTGGAGGAGAAAAACCCAGAGTTGCGAGAGGAAAATATTCCGGATATGCAGATTAAAGAGGATGAGGATGGGTTTGTTGCTCTTGCTGAGCGTTTGGGAATACAAGTTGATTAAATAGCCGTCAAAATCGACAAGAAATAACATAATTCCGAAAAAAGCTGTCACATTCAAAAAGCACGAATGTTTTGAGTTTATAACCTTGTATTATGTAAATAATAACGACAGCTATATAGTAGAAAGACTTATTAACTTCAGCTGTGGAGTGCAACTGGACCTAGATACTCGCCTACGAGATGTACGCTCCAGCACGAGTATAATTACTTTCAAAATGAGGAATTACCTCCGGAGGGAACCGTGTGTCAGGCAGAACAGGGGCCGTTCGATGGCTGCTCTCAAGTTCAATAAGATATTTCTTAGTTTGTTCTTTGCAAAACCATGATATGGTTAAGGCCACTACCTATAAGACCACTCTGATAAGCCCAAGACAGAGCTAGCTAGACATGGCGACGCTGCTGCTTTTAACTAGATTGCAAAATCTGCGCCACTGTGGTATCTCCCATAGCTACCGCCCTCATATAAGGCGTTTGACCATGGATGTCCTCCGACTCTGGGTCCACATCCTCAAGATCAAGAAGCATCTTCACGGCGGCTACTTGCCCTCTGGCAGCAGCCCGTGATAATGGCGTAATTCCATTTCTATCTCTGGAGTCAGGATCAACGCCGGAATTTTGCACCAGCAATTGCACCACCTCTTGATAGCCGTTAGCAGCGGCGAATGCTAGTGGAGTAATACCATTAATGTCCCTCGAGTCAGGGTTAACGCCGCCAACATCGAGAAACAACTGCACTATAGATGTATTTCCATTAGCTGCTGCACGTGATAACGGTGTGTGGCCGTTAATATCCTTGGAGTCCGGATCAGCGTTTGATTCATTGAGTATCAAGTGTACCACGGTTTCATGCCCCATGGCCGCTGCATGGGATAATGGTGTTTGGCCATAATCATCTTTAACATCTAGATCGGCTCCAGTAGTGTCTATTATCAATTTTACCACTTCTTCATGTCCATTGGGCGCAGCATAAGACAACGGTGTGCGACCTATTTTGTCCTGGAGGTCTATTCTCGCACCCTCGTATATGAGCAATTGTACAACCTGTTGGTGCCCATTCTCCGCGGCCCACGATAGCGGTGTGCGGTTGTTAACATCCATGGAATTATAATCGATATGGGGTTCTTCGAGGAGCAATTGTACCGTGGACTCGTGTCCATTCTCCGCAGCGTACGACAACGAAGTCCGACCGTGGCTATCTTTTTCATCTAGACCATTGCCAGACACAATCGACGATATCAATATATCCCGTAATCCAAAGAAAGCAGCTATATGTACTGCCGTCATATTATTTGGCACCCTTTGGCTATACCCATGGTCAGCATCGCACCTTCTCGAGGCCATCAAGGCTTGGCTGGAGGCAGCTAGTTTACTCTTGTTGTTGAGGAAGTTCATAATAAGTTCTGCGACTTCCCAAGAAGCAATGCGTGCGTGTTCGCCCCAGTTCCGCGCAACATAATCATAAAGAGCATTTGACTTCAATCGACTCTCAAACTCCACGTCCGAGCAACAGAAACCGTCATTAAAATCATCCCGACAAAGATATTGCACACATATGTTGGTTATGTGAGCCTGAATATCGCTCGAAAGCAAAATGCCCTTATTGCGTTTGAGGTAGTCCTTGGTCAGACTGTGCATAAAGATTGCATCTTCTTCTTCTCTTATATCAATTAATCCGGAACAGGCTGCTTGTATCTCTTCGACACTAGGAAGACTATCGGCATCAAATCTGGATTTTCCGATTTCCATCCCCACACTGTGTCGAAGTTCAGACACGCTCAGAGGTCTGTTAGCGTAAGCAGCCCATATCATGGCCTTTTTCGCTAGTTTCCGAAGATTCGCTTCCTGGTATTCGATTCGTTGCATCACTAAATGATGTGCTAGATCTAGTGCTTTCGATTTGGAGCCCTCGTGAGTAGTGAGGACATTCAAAGCAAGCCTGGTGGCCTCAGGTGTGGGCTTTCCCACCAAAGAATGGAAATACAGCTGTGCAAGAAGAAACCTACCTCGAGGTCAGTAACTGACAGTATCTTAGATTGTTGGTGGACAAACACTCCATCAGCTGCAAGCACAATACCATTCTTTATATCCTCCCTCAAGGGAGCATCGTTGGAAACAAATTCAGGAAGCATCGTGATTTTGTTGTCCAGATACCTACGTATGTCGTCCTGGGTAGCACGAATTTCGAGAGTAAAACAGTCGCTAAACTCTCTCATAATTTCGGGAACGAATGTGGATGTTGCAAAAAGACTTATCCCAACCTCTTCTGGGATGCTCCTGATCGTCTTAAGAATCATATGGTACCCTTGGTTAGACATTCGGGACTCGTCCAACGCGTCCAGAATTATAAAAACCCTCGTGTAACTAGAAGCAACAGAGTGAAACGCTCTCGCTATTTCCGTATAGGAAGGGCGAGTACTTCTGTCGTAGTGTCGTTTGTAGAGTCCTTTAACACAGTTTGGCATCAAATGCTGCTGTTCAACCAATTGCTTCAATAGACTGGCAAGGACCTCAGAAGAATCGGGCTCTTTTATTGAATTTAAACCGTAAAAGAAATATGCCAGTCCCACTTTCGAATCACCTTGAAAGCTGTTTTGAAGTTCTCGGATAACAGCACTTGTTATCACTGTCTTCCCTACCCCTGGCGCGCCTGGGCAAAACATAGTCTGCCCGCTTGTCCTCACCCATTCATCGAATGTAGCGCGTTCATCAAATGTAGTGGAGTTCAAAAGCCAGCCACCAGTATCTTTGGTTCTTCTTGCGACGATACTGTTTAAGCAAGCGACGTGATTAGTTGCAGAAAGCCAGCTAAGAATCCGATCATCCTCGTTAGTGAACGTTGCATCCACCTTTGAAAGTGCATCTGCGTTCGAGTTAAAGGGACCATCACTTGTATGAGGTAAACCAAGAGCTGAACTCATCTTGGTTTCTGATTTCTAATAAGGTTAGAATAAATAATGGACGTTAATTAGGTTCTACTTCTCTGGTATCGAAAGGAAATCACAGCCTTATTGCATCCGGGGCTGATAGTAAGTAATATGACCGCCATGCCAAAAGGATCCGCAATCACATGCAAGATCACCTGTGAATATTGCAAATATATTAAACGCTGTAGACATAACAAGCAATATAATACGCCATAATTATATGAATAAATTGGATAAAACACAGCATCACAGAATATGTTACGAATTGCATACATTCAACTTCAAATGTTGCACAGCTTAATATATATCTCATACGCTATTGCTCTGTGGCACAGATACAGCATAGTGGAACAAACATGTAACTTAATTCACATCTGAGTTGATCACCCTAGAACGCATACAACATGGCCATTTTCATAGCATTGTATCTCAACAAATCATATATAAATAGTAGCTCAAATTTGATAATATAAACATGTTATATAATTAATAATATATTAAAACTTTATACTAAAGCGTATAATATTTATAATGATTATATAAAATTATATAAAATACCAATAATATACTGTATTTTTTGAAATATCAATCAAGTCATATATGTTTTCACTATAACATAAAGATATTATTTATAACAATATTTTATTATAGATATTAAAATTTAAGCTACTGTTTATTTATAATTTTGTTGAGATACAATGCTATGAAAATGGCCATTTTGTATGCGTTCTGAGGTGACCAACTCGGGTGTGAATTACGTTACACTTACATGCCCCAGTGAATCAGCAATTACTACCATCGATTGTGAGAAGTGCTCCTGTAATAACAACGGCAAGGTCCTTTGTTTCTATGACGTAGGAGGTTGTTCGTCAGGTGAAGTTCGGCTATTTTGCGAAGGCTATACCGAGCCAAACCCAGACTGAGGCTGTGATCCTGCCTAAAACAAGGTAATGTCCGGTATATCTATTGGACTATTGAAAAGAATACTCGGCTGACTATAGGATTGTATACAACTTCCAGCTTTGCCGCAGACAGCCCTCGAAGAAACCCGATGCGGATACAAATGGGTAAAATTTTCTGTTGAGGTGTCAGTTTTGTTGCTGAATTGACCAGTGGTTGGAGGATTGACATGGTTGTTATGCGGAATAGAGGCAACGTCGGACATGGAGGAGCGGGTGATATGGAGTCACGATGTGATTGATACATACGCATAAAATGGCACAGTAAAAGCTAATGGTTGTACGTTTAACCTTGAATCGATTATAACTCTCGGGCATACACATAGATGTATAGAAGTAGTCAAAATAATAGCAGGCCGTCGCTCATCCCATAACCACACACATACAATCTCAAACGAAAGAATGAAACCACTATATTATCCTATAGTCCACTGATGCGCCATACATGGAATAAAAGCTAAAAGGTAAAGAAGAAAGCACGGAATAAAGTAAAATAACAAAGGCTTCTCATACGACTCATGACATATCACCAGAAACTGCACCATCCGATCCAATGTTGGCATATATTCTCTACACTTGTCGCCTGAGCGAGAAGCTTGTCGACTTGGTCGCTGACATTAAGTTCCTGGTCGGGCTTGAAATCGCGTCCAGTCAACTTCTCCTTCACACGGCCAAGAACTTGCAATGCCCTTGCGTTCTGTGCTTCTCGTGCCTCGTTGGGTACACCGTGTGGAGTATCGAGGATGCCGCCTTCTAGGATGGATGGCCGACGAGGGCGTGTAAAGTTGCTAGGATCGATTCCGTGTTCGAGATTGGCGTCATCAACGATGGATTGCCGTCGGCCGACTGTTGAGAACGACAGCCGATCTGGTGACTCGCGGGCACCAAGGCGCCAGTTAATTAGAGGGTCGTGAATGAACTGGTCAGGGTGGTTAGTATCGTGCAGCCTCCAGGGCAGAGAATAGAACTTACAGCTTCAAGGACCGCCATCAACGAGTCCTTGTTCTCTCGGATGACTCGCATAACAGCCTCGCAAGTGATGCGGTAGCTTCCCTCGATATTGCTAACTTCCATAGCAAATGTCAACATCCGAGTCAACCGGAACGGAACTCGCTCTGGGTATTTCTCGCGGTGCATTGCAATTTCAAAGCAGTCTCCGAAATCGATATGTACAACCTTCCCAGTGATCCGCTCAAGAAGAAGATTCGATGGATGTCGATCACCAAGTCCAAGGATATAACCAACCATAGACATGACTCCAAGAGAGCGTGTGTAGTTGGTCCTTCGTTCTAGCCAAGACTCGGAACTCTTGCTCTTCAGCCAAAGGACACGATAAAGGTCCTTTCCTGTAGTGTTGTCCATCGCGTAGCCAAAGACCTCGACTTTCTGCATTAATGTCAAGTTATCGTAATCAGGTGCCATCTGAAGCATGATACGATGCTCAATATTTAGTAGGATGCGACGGCTTTCACGGTATTCTTTGATTAGAGCGTGTAGCGTGTCACTGTTGCAGACCCATCCAATCAAACCAGAATTCTGAGACAACGGGATGGCTGGGAATCGCTGAACAGTCAGATGCCGCTTGAAGCTCTCGCTATCATTGTCTAGAAGGGTATTTGCGAGACCAAATAGTTGCATCACACGCTCATCTTGTCGAATGTCTTCATGTCCTTTGACAAGGTACATGTAAGAGTTTCCGTCACTTCCCTTGAGTGTCATTCTTCGTGGTCGCTTCTTTGTTTGTAGAACATAAAGCACAGGGTCGAAACTCGTGATTTTGATTACCTTCCGGCCTGGATGATATGTTCCCGGGACAGCCAAGTCAAGATTGGTGGCATCCTTCAATCTTGGCGATACGTATTTCAAATCCAGAGTTGAAAGCTGAGGCAACTGACGAGCAATCTTGCGGAAAACCGTGTAATACAAATCCCAAGCCTGGTTCAAGTCGCCGAGCTCTTCGGTCTCGCGATACAAAAGGCAATATTGCTTGGCTTCGGCCAAATCACGTCCGAAAGCCTGAGCAAATGAAACTTCACGTAGGGTCTCAGCCCCTCTGTCTAGGAGATCGTGAAGAGGGGCCAGTGTAGAGAACATCCCTTCAACGTTGTGGTCGCCAAAGTATAGACGTGAGGCTTCCTCCAGTCCCTCGTGCCACAGCTCATGCCATAAAACGGCCACACGAATCAATTCGTTACTGATGACATCGGCTTGATCCACCAGCTTAGCACTGTGTTGCCTCATGCTTTCCATGATATGAGTAGCTGACTGAGACCGTCGTGCGACATTCGATTTCATGGCAACTGTCAAGGGGTATACAAGAGCCTGTGGATGGGCTTTGCCGACTTCAGCAAGAAGACGATGCACTGCATTGCGCACTCGCATATTTGGTTGATTGATGCGTGCAATCAATTGAGGCGTTACTGATAGCCAGGTATCAATGTTTACCGATGAGAAGCCCTCTGTAACGGCATTATTGACTTCTTGATCACCACCATGAGTAAACCATAGAGTGAGCAATCTCAGCGTGTCCTGGAGAGAAGATGTGAAAGATAAGGAAATGGATCTGAAAAAACCACGGATAGCTGGAATGACATGTTCGTTTACAATATGTCCAGGGATCATAGAGCCATCCCGACTTTGTTGGGCAGTCAGCGTTGTAACGACCTCAAAGTTGGCAAAAGCCCAAGCATGCCAAGCTTTGTACGAATCACGATTATATTGAGTAGCCGCCGAATACGCGTTGAGAACCTCGCGCACATGTTCGGGTTTCCAATCTCCACGCTGAAGAGCTGTTTGCCATTCACCTTGTTTGAGGTAGCTCTTGGCAAGTAACTTTCTCAATTTTGTAGCATCTCCAATTCGCGAGCGTAGGTTATGGACATCCGACTTGTTGGAATCAAGAATACCGTTAACACCATTGGTTCCGTTGTGCTCGGTGTGGTTCGTCAATAGTGTGCTATATCTTGTGAAATCATCTGCAAGAGTTGCAGTGAACTCTTTGAGAGAATCCAATGCCTCTGCTTGATGCCCTTGGGCCCAGGTAAACTTGAAACGGGCATACTTGACTTCTGGCGGGGCAACAGTCTCAACACCATTCGGGCCTTGAACTTCAGTTTCTAAAGATGACAAGGTGCGTTCGACAATACCCATACGATTTGACTTGCGGCAGAGGTTGGCGAATTTGATTAACATATCCAAATTCTCTTGAGGCGAAGTGACGAGTTGTCTTACTTTGAGCATTCTCTGCCAAACTTCAACATTTTGTTGACAGCCGAGTAGTCTCTTGTTCCATGTCTCGCGCATTGCTTGCTGTTTCTCGGGATCGCCAACATTCTGTTTGAACGTGATGATTTCTTCAAGCTCGGCAAGCATTTGCACACGAACCACAACGTCGTAAGCCCTATTGTACGACTCCCCAAGGAGTGCGGAGAGTTCCGTGTCCAGTCCATTACGTGCTTTTTCAATGTACATTGCCGCTTCTTCAAACTGGTTCCGGTACAGAGCCAAGATAGCACCAAAGAAAAATCGGTCGGGAGTCTGCTCTTTCATAACTCCAATGTACGAGTCCATCAATTCCCACTGACCACGGCCCCAGGCGGCGGCTGCTGCTAGCGGTGCAATAGCTCGCCTGTGCTCCAAAGATGCCTGGTTCCACTTCTCTTGTGCCAGGTCAGACAGAACTTTCCACTCTCCGAGCGCATGCAAGCATCGCATTTTGCCCATTGTGACGCCAAATGAATCCGGGTCCTGTGCTTCACGCCGCTTGTAGGCTGCGAGAGCTTCCTCCCATCGCTGAAGCTTTTCAAACCAGGTTTCCTTTAATTCAACGTCGCGATAAGCTTGAGCCTTGCGTAGGATACCAATGGCAGCATCAGACTGCTGTAGTTGATTGTTAATTGTTATTAAGGCCTCTACTGCGCCCGAATTTTGGTCTTGTTCAAACTCAAGTTCCTTGTAGTGAAGAGCTTTGGCAAATGCATGGCACTTGCCTGCATAGCGGCCTAAGGTTCGGATGTCAATCGGTAGAGCTTTGTCGTCGTGCTCCATGTATTCTGCGAGGTTCAAGAGTATCTGAAGAATCTCTGGTGGAATGTTGGGAGAAGTGAGAGCCTTTTCGATAGAACGCACAAGTTCCTCCTGGTACTGATCATATAACTCAGTCCAACATGAGACAAAGGCAGCATTAAATAAATCCTTCGCCAAGGGTTGATAAATTCCAGCCAAGCTAGCGCAGGCTCTTAAAGCCGGAGACGGTGATTCTTTCAAAAGCTCGACACTAAAACGTCTAATCCATTCTTGCCAGTCTTCGCGAGTTGACTTTTGAGAGGCATCCCATGCATTCTTTAAATGCTGCTGGTTAACTTGCATTTTTTTTTGGCCTATTTCTGTATAGCTTGTATCATCGGCAAGTATGCGGTAATTCTCTTCAGGGTTCAGATCTTGTGGTAAAGATTCACCCTTCTGTAGTTTTGCAACAAGCGTTTGGAAAGTTGGGTGACTTATCTGCTGCTGCTTTAGGACCTGGAATACATTGTTAGTGAAGTTAGCCCTCAGGATCACCAGGATAGACTTGCCTTGGTAACGAGTTGAATATAATGGCTAAAGTCTTGCCCGAGTTGGAATATAAGAGCACAGATGCAATCCAAAGCTGCCTGTCGCAGTGTCCTATCATTACTAGCCACAACTCGAGACAAAGAGTGGATCATGAGGGAAGCAAAGTCAGAGACGTTGACTTGGCGTGATAGCTTTCCAAGGGTCTCAATGGCAGATTTCCGAATAGCCGGAGGGTTTTGAGCTTTGTCAAAAAGTCGCACGATGGACGGGACAATCAGATGCATGTATTCCTCTCCACTTGAGCCAAAGATGAGGAAGGTGTGAAGAATCCTCTCCGACGGTTGTCGTCGTGAAGAAGTATCACTCTCAAGGGTATTTAGCATGAGGGGGATGATTCCGGCCAGGTACTTCTTAAATTCACCTTCCAGCGCTTTGGAAATTGCTTCAATCAAGGATAGAATAGTGGCTTGTACTTGGTGGTTTATATTCCAGTAATCACGGATTGTCTCAATGATCTCAGGAAGGTAAGCACGGACATGCTGACGGACGATATTGACGAGAATTGCAAGTTGGTTGAAGTATGATTCGAGCCGACTAGTAGGCGAGCCTCGAATGACTGATAAGAAAGCAGGAATAATCTGTCCGAGGAAGGAGACGCATTTCAAGCCGAGGGTTTTGAAGATTGTGACAATGGCATCGATGACAGCAGAGTGATACTGAGCCAGAGAGTTTTCCCGCAATATGTTTTGCAAAAGTGTGTTGATAACTACTGTGGGGTAATACTCTTCACTCGATGGAGTCAGGCCTTGCATAATGAGTGCGACGTCGGAGATTGGCTGCACTTCATTGATATAGTGAACATCCGGCGACGTTTCGCTGATTTGCTATTCAAGTTTTAGTGATAATCCAACAATGATAGAAATCTGCATACCTGATATTTATATGGGTCCAAAGCCCCAAGGATTCCCAGTAGCTTGATTGTTTCTTTACGCAAAGTTCCTGTTTGCTCCGTCTTGATGATACTGATTAAGACAGCAAGTAAATGGGGATGTTCCATATAAGGTTCAATAACATAGCCTGAGTTGCTCGAAAGTTGACCAAGGGTCCGTAAAGCCGACTCTCGTTTTGCGTGGGAGGATAAATCTTGTAGGGAGTCAAGGATTATAGGCATAAGTTGTGGAAGGTATTGCTTCATTTCAGAACCACCAACATTGGCAATTTCTCCAATGGCCTTTAAGGTCGTAGATGCGACACTGGCATTAGGGTCGGTGGTCTTCGGTAAGAGCGAAGTAACCATCGGGTCAACATATGACCTAATAAGCTTGGTTGCATTGGCCACGAACAGGCTGATCAGCTGCGCGCTTTCTTCCTTTTGACGAGCAGTACTAGCGAATCCAAGCCCCGTCAAGAGATTGACTAGAAGCTTTCTTAAAGGAGGAAAAACATAAGCTGGATTCACACTCGAAAGGCGCCCAATGATACTGATCGAAGCTTCACGAACAGAGAAGACTTCGTCATTGACGGCAAGGAAAAGACATCTAATATTCTCGGGTTTCGCTAGATGACGATCGAATTTCCGATCTAACGACCATAAAACGGTACGTCGAATCTCCGACTCTGGATCACCAACACCAACCGTCAATAATTTGTCAATCACCTCGCTCACGACTTGTATAGAGTGGCTGCTTGTTTGGTTGATGATAGGGTCGTGCACAAATAGTTGACAGCAAGTCAACGCCGAAGCCTTCCGGATTTCAGGATTGTCGTTTTCAACATATCTGATGGCGACATCTCGTACAAACTCATTCAATATGTGGCCGGAGAAATCAAAGCTACCGAGTGTATGTAGGGCCAAGGCCACTTCGGTGTCGGAATGGAGCTCTTGAGCTGTAAAATCTTTGGCGAATGAAGGAAAAGGTGGCAACCTGTTCTCTGGGCATCCCAAAGGACGGAAAGGTGTGCCACATAGAATAATACTAAGCATATCAAGCAACTTCTCCTGTATAGTGGCTTTGATAGGGGGAATATAATGTGCCATGTCGACTAAGGCCTGTGTTAGAGATTCGCTCAAGCCACAAGCAAAAATTGGGTCTAAAAGAGCTTCCATATACTTGCTCAGCGTTTGTCCAACGGCTAGAGACAACATGCTGATACACTCAAACATCGGGCCCTCATCAACACCTGCGCGGTTTCTCCTGTTTCTAATTAGTAGGTAAACTAAAAATATTGTGAATACAGCTTACGCTTTGATGACAAGACCCTCGCGAATGTAAACAATAATGGCGTCAAGATACTGGCCGATATCAACACCCACTGCGTTGGCGATCTGTCCGATGGCTTTGAAGGCTGCATTGCGTTCCTTTTCCCTCTTGAGCTGGGCTTGAAGGTATACCATGAATCTATGCAGATAATTGTTTGTAAAGTCCATTGGGGCATATGAAGCAAGAATTGGGATCGTGTGGACGACTTCGGTGCGAATTTTTGCGTCTCGATGATCTTTCAAGCGAAGCACAATTTCACAAGCATTTCGATAGTGGTCGTTCATAAACATTGCTCCCTTGAGGAGAAGTTCTTTCAATATAAGGAGCGAGCCATGGATCCAATCCACGTTACTGGACTTGAGGCCCAGTAAAGATTCCTCGTAGATACGCGAGAACCATTGATGCTTAACACCGCTATCTCGGGCTGCAATAATTTGGAAACATTCGCTGACAGCTTGAGCAGCAGTCTCACGGATCAGGAATTTCGGGTCTCTGAGTGCAACCCATACAAGTTCAAATATCTGTGGAACAAACCCATACAACAAAGTCGGCGAACCCTTAGCTAATTCTCGTATGATCAAAACGGCGGCGAATCGTCTGCTCTCCTGCCTTTCTGACTGCAGCCATTCGAGTGCAGACTGGATTTCACTCTCGACTAATTCAGCCGTCAATGCACCACCGGGTTTTGCCAATCGGCCGAGCGACCGAGCAGCGTATAGCAAGACCGCATTATCGTTGCTTCGTAGCGCACTCCGCAGGTAGCTGGCAAATCGAGTTGTCTTCTGTGCCGCATCGACACCGTCAAAGTCAATCAGTCGATCGAGGGCGAGAAGTCCACCGATCTTCTCGTTAGCGTCACTGCCTGTTACCACCAGCTGCGCAATGCGCTGGCTGACAGCGTTGTAGAATTCCAGGAATTTTTCGGGGGCCCAGTCTATCGCAAGGTCGCAACTGTCAGTAAAAAACATTTCGCGGGACTCGCCATCCACATACCGCGTGAAACAGTGAGTACGTTGTCATATAGCTCGTACGAAGCTCTCACCCGCGTTTCTTCGTTTTTCGACTTCAGCTCAGTGAAGAGCCGCTGTACAACGTCCGTCACGGGACCTGCTTGCGCCATGCTGGATCGCTCCGCAGCGCACACATCTGATTTCGATATGGCCGTTCACTTGGTTGTCAGGACGAAGACAACAGGCCAGGCCGTAGAGTGGGATGTGTCAGGTAAAACACAAGCAAGGTTGAGGGAGCTGGAGGGTGCACGTCGTTTAGGCTCGCACTTACCCGCAAGGAGTCGAGAGCTGACTCGCACGGACCACCGCTCTTACTGTGTGCTTGGTCTTGCCTTGAAACAACTCGCTGCCTTGTAGTTACCTATTCTACGCTGTGTCTTACTTATGTTGTTTTCTCCATCTTTCTCAATTATCTGCACTAGACACCTCACAATCTACTCAAGTATGTGATAGGCCGGCGATCCCCAGTGGAAATCTAGAATCGCCGCGGTACGCCGTTCTGCGCTGGTACAAAATATTAATCAGCAGGCGATAATGCATGACGGAGACTCACAAAGACTGCAGCCAACACATGCACTGGCATCTGTTCAAATATCGTGGCGAAATAGTCGACGTCTAGATGTCTGTAATCCAATGATATCAGTTGTTACATACATGTCCTTCCATATTTAGTGGATCTCTACAGTTAAAGGGGCTTGATATACATGAATAGCTAAATATATTTTCCGAACTATCAAACCAATAGAATAGCAGCGATTACCGTGAGATTTCCGACAAGGATCACATCTAAATGCACACGGAGTTCCTAATAATCGAGCAAGCTAATTAGTTAAATCGCGATCTCCACCAGGCTACGTGCGCAGAAGAATTATTAATCATTGCACTAAATCCGATCGTATCCCCTCTCCGCGCTGAGGCTTGAGAGCCACTCTGACGCAATAAAGAGAATGCGGCACGACAATCTCCCTTAACGCCGATGTTGGAGGGGGGACGTACCAGTCGTATAAAGAGCGGAGAGCAGCCACTATTGCGTAGGTGCCACCATTTCTTTCTATCCTAATTGTCTAAAGTAGCCGTGTTGCAGGTATTCAAAACATAGGAAACTGAAAGCACCATGGCCAAAGTATTGCTAACAGGTGAGGACTGGCACATCTTTTTAAAGGGTTCTCGCTAATCAATGTGCTCTTTAAAGGCGGAAGTGGATTTATCGCTGCCCATGTCCTAGACATCTTGCTTGAGCACGGGTAAGAACAATGAGAGCTTGCGAGCGACAATAGCATCAATTGCTGATCCATTACAGATTCCAAGTCGTGACTACTGTTCGATCCCAGGAAAAGGGCCAGCGGATTTTGGAGGCACACCCTGGAGTGCCCAAGGAAAAGCTATCCTTCGTTATCGTCGAGGATGTTGCTAAAGAAGGAGCCTTTGACGAGGTAGGGCAATCTAGCAGAAGCGCTGGTCGCGCGTGTCTCTCACTGACTGAGATAGGCTGTCAAATCTGACCCGCCTTTTGACTATGTGATCCATACTGCCTCGCCATTCCATCATAAGTTCACGGATCCAGTCACAGAGATTTTAGATCCGGCCATCAAGGGCACAACGGGAATACTCAAGGCAATCAAAACCAGCGCCCCTACGGTGAAACGAGTTGTGATCACCTCGTCCTTTGCAGCTCTAGTGAATAACAAACAACACCCGAAGCTTTATGATGAGTCGGTGTGGAATCCTGTGACATGGGAGGAGGCTTCCACGGAGAGAGCGTCCACATACAGGGGCAGCAAGGTGAGGCTTTCTCTCCTGAAAGAAATTACAGAGATGTTAATATATGAACAGACTCTAGCCGAGAAATCTGCCTGGGAATTTGTAGAGAAGGAAAAGCCAAACTTTGATGTGGCAACGATCAACCCTCCTTTGGTTTATGGCCCTGTGGTACATTATCTCAACAGTCTCAGCAGCTTGAACACCTCGAATGAAAGAATCAATGACTTCATCCAAGGGAAAGCCAAAGATGGCCTGCCACCATCAGGTATGTACCTGTGGGTTGATGTCCGTGATGTTGCTCTGGCCCATGTCAAAGCCATTGAGGTAGCCGAAGCTGGTGGCAAACGTTTTTTTACGGTAGCTGGTTTTTTCTCAAACAAAGCCATTGTCGACGCCATCCGAGAAACTCACCCGGAATATGCGGCTAAATTGCCTGAGAACGGTGTCGACGATATTCCTGCCGACATTTATCAAATCGATAATTCGCGAGTGCGTAGTGTACTGGGCATCCAGTTCAGGTCTCTCAAAGAGTCTGTCGGCGACACTGTCACTTCACTTGCAAATATTGAATCTTGATAGATGAGTAGATAGACATATAATATCAATTGATAGATTTCCCTATATACCACGGAGTTGCGTTTTAATTTTTGAAGTCACATTTGCTACGTATCTGATCTAGATGTCGGCTACTAATTTGAGAATCTCTAGGCTTTGTTTAGCCTATAGTGAAGTGAGTAGCACACGTAGATTCATGATATATAACATCCAAAGTTTCGATGCTGAATATTTATCAAATCATAGCTACTTATAGAGCCGAAGACGACTTTATGCTTTCTTGAGGTACTTGTGATTACATTGAAATGGGAACTAAATGAGGCTAAATATTTTTTGTTCAAATCAAACAAGTAAACGCTTTTTTTAGGTGTGCTGCGTCCCTACGGTCAACGGCGCAACAGTCTTGCGTTATTGGAGCATTTAGGCCGCCGTACTACCGTGCTCGAACATCACAACTTTTCCGTTCGTAACACCCGTCTTCACTCAGGGATAACCACCACCTTGCGAGGCCATGGCAACCCACAGGCTGTCACCGACAGCCAATTTGCTGCGAAATTCTCGCTTGTTTGCATTGCCACCAGTTCTTAACCCTCCTCCGAAAGCAATCACGTCGAAAACCGTCGTCGAATCCAACTCCTCAACCCTTTCGCATCCCATTCGAGCTGCGATTGAAACACCGCCGTCGGCTCTTGCGAGGGGAGAATGGGGTTTGAAGCGACCTCTCCCCGCAAAATCTACAACTGAGCGATCGAGTAAACCAGTGATTCGCGTTAATGCTCTCGACACTTTCGAACATGTCACCGATTTCGACTCCGCAGGGGACCACACCATGACTCTCCTGAAGTTCCAGGAGCTCAATTTACCGATCTCTTTGCCATCTGCTAGCAAGGCAAAAATACGTGATAATGGCATTGGCCATGAGAGTCCTTTTGAATCTCGCTACGATAACGTGTCTGAAAGTAAAGGAGTACAAGGATCGGGTGCAAAACTCTACCGTCACTCGGGACCTTGGTTAGGTGGGCAGACCGAGATACAATTCCAAAATTTCTTGCAGCAAATTCAACGTCAAAAACCCGAGCTGCTTAAGAAATTACGAGAGAACTACGTTGAAAGACTCAGAATTGAACGCAGGACAAAGGCCCAGAATAATGGTGAATTGGATTCAGCACAATTCAACGAATCGGTGGAAGTCACCGATGAGGAATTTCAACTCTGGTTGAAAAAGTTCAGGACAAACAAAAAGCTAGCAGGCGCTGAGCTCACCCGTCTTTTGGACCTCCATTCCCTCACCCCAGCCCCCTTGATGGGAGAATCCGATTATTACGAAGCGAATGCGAAACGCCTGGCATCCTCTCAGTATGTTTCATCTGGCCCTCCTAGAACACATCCCTCTGCTGGTCTTGCATATACTCGATCGGGTGCGATACTTCACAACCACCCCTCATTTGGCCCTCAGATAGCCATGCGTCCCGTCGAGGCTCGGTGCTTGGTTCCGAAGACCAAAAAGAGAAAGTCCAAACGACGGGCAGTTATGGGTGTAGCTGGTATTACATATGAGGACGCAGCGGATGAGTTGGATGATAGCATCAGGGGACTGGAGTATCTGGACCCATCGATTCCTGGTGGTGGCAGGGTCTTTGTCTCTCCAAGATATGCCTCAGTATATCCTCAAGGAACAATTGACCTGGAAGCATCTAGAGCTGGGAAGGATGTGTTAGCGCCATACGGGTTGGCAAACTATGAGCCACCAAGGACTACCAACATAGCCCAGGTTGCACGCACTGCACAGCGAGAAGTTCCTAGACTCGATAGGTCCGGTCCGCGAACTGGCACAATGGACGGTATCGCCGAGTTGTTTAAGGAAAGGCTATAGGGGGTATGATGTATTCTAGAACAGACATTCGGCGCCTTTTTGTGTAAAATAAATGAGCTTAATGTACAGATATCACTCAATAAAATTATATTGTTTCATGCTTTCTTCCGGGTATCTTGAATCTTCACTGTATATTCAATGATTCGGGACAAATCACGTGGTGCAAATTACACGTGACCGAACTAGCGGGGAGCGCCAAGACTGTGAACGCACACAAACTTGAGACAACAATATTGTAGCCAGATTTCTCCAACTTAACCAGACAATAAACTTCACAGCCAAACCGCCAAAATGGGCCGTGTCAGGACAAAAGTGAGGAAGGATATCCAAAAATCAGTCAACTTATCACTAACATTAATTTTTCTCATTAGACCGTCAAGAAATCCGCCAAGGTCATTATCGAGCGTTACTACCCTCGCTTGACACTCGACTTCGAGACCAACAAGCGCACCTGCGATGAAATCGCCATCATTTCCTCAAAGCGCCTGCGCAACAAGGTCAGCATAAACAATGCCTAAATGTGACAGTTTTTTAGGTGTCTTTACTAAACTTGCACACCTAGATTGCCGGCTATACCACACATTTGATGAAGCGTATTCAACGAGGCCCCGTTCGCGGTATTTCCTTCAAACTTCAGGAGGAGGAGCGTGAGCGTAAGGATCAGTATGTTCCTGAAGTCTCTGCTCTGGATGTCTCTCAGTCAGAATCCGGCCAACTCGACGTCGATGCCGAAACCAAAGATCTTCTGAAGAGCTTGGGTGTAAGTTTAGTATTTCCTTTATGTAGTGTTCTCGCTAACCGGGGTTCTTTTACTATTAGTTCGACTCTCTCAAGGTCAATGTTGTCAATGTTACTCAACAACAGGTTGTTGAGCGTCCTCGTCGTTTTCGGTAAATGGGGTTATCTTGGTTACAAAATTTCGACATGAATGAGGCGTTTTGTTATATTTCACTGGGATATTCTTGTAGCTAATTTCCCTTGCGGATACGCTGCTTTTTATGAAATAATGGAAACATTTTTCAAAATAAGGTGTCGCTGATTCTTCCGACTACGGGAGATGACGCTTGATTGCCAATACTTGCCCTCGCTCCTTGCTATGACTCTTCCATCATCGCCGGCTGGGTTTTCGACCGCTTACGGTTGGCTGTCTATGATGGCTGTTTGGGGCGTGATGATTATCCCTCGGTTCAATGTTTGATCATTGCCGAATGTGCCGTGCAACTCTGGTTGTATCTTTTGCGTAGATTATCGTATATCGACGGTGCCATCAGATCGTATCAAAGACGTCGTCATGGTCGTTATCGTCGTCTCTTGCTTTACCCTTTCGGCTCTTGATCTGATCACTAGTGCCTTTTGGTATGTAGCCCTCAATCGAGCCACCGGTTTTGTCACTGGGTAGAGGCGAAGGAGCTACTGGTTTGGCTCCTTTTGATGAATCCTTTTCAAGAATACGTATATCGACACGACCGTTCTCATGAAACGCCGAGTTTGTATCACCCCTTTCAAGGGCCAGCTGTTTGGATCCGGTAGCTCGCGTATGCTCCTTGTCATTCAATGTGAGTGCGCTCAAGTCGCTGTCAAGAGTAGCGCCTGAGGGCTGTATAGCATCTGGCGCCTTCTTGATGGACCTGGTCGCCTTCTTGAGCTTCCTTGCTTCTTCCAATAATGTCACCTGCCTTGCTGCTCCTTCGTTTGCCCGTCTTTCCCATACGGGTTCCTCGGCAAGTTGGACTCGTAAATACAAAGCTCGTTCAGCACATTGCTCTGAACACCACATTTCCAGCTTCTCACGCGCGACTATCTTCATCTCCCTGCCACGACCGGCACTTCCTTTCGGTCCCAGCATGAGACGGAATTTTGCATTGGAGTCTTCTTTCTTGTGCTCGCGGGGACACAACGCATACCCACATCGTCCTTCGATATTGCGCTCGAGAATTAAGTTGTCAAAATCTGTCGGTTGGAATGGAACCAGTGCGGCTTTGAGAGTGGATACGTCTGTAGGAGCTGGTGAAGCAGGGTCAGCGGAAGGCGACGAGGGTAGCTCGATTAGTTCCAATATTCGGTCTAGTATTAGGACCTCTGCGTCTTTCTGCGCTTGTATTTGATTGGCATGATGTAGAGCGATGGCTAGGTGTCGCGGGTCAGGAGTTTTGCCCGTGCGATGAGTGTATTGCTTGAGCTCTGGATCTTCTGACATTTTTTGACAGAATCAGTCTGGAGATTTTCAGTTGAGAGAGCTCTTCAGATGCTATGTCGAATGTGTGCTCTTCATATCCTTAAACAGCGATGGTATTCTCTGCTTGTTGGGTATTTGGTAAACTCAAGATAATCGAATTTGATGTGGCGGATAAAAGATCAGCGTCATTGGTGGAGCCCGCTGGTCGGGTTTCGAGGTTGCTGCAGCCTGAGGCTGCCCTTCCCCCACACCGATCCGTAGGCAAAACACAACTGGCGCACCTCCTTGAAACGTTCGATACTATTTAACTGATGCCTTGTGCCGTTCCCGCCCGAGCTCAGCCATCCCAGTTTCAATTACAACCCTAACTACTATTAGGACGTTACTGGTGAAGGCTCCTGACCAGTCGTTGCTTGACTCCAGCTTGCAACCCCCCCAGCCTCTCTGGACGGCGAATTCTGACCCGTTACTTCATCACCCTCACTCATTGTCCCCTGCGCTGCTTTGCACCTATCCAGTCGATTGTCATCAGCGCAGCAGCGGACTGTCAAGGCATTTGATGATTATTTATTTTCATTAATGCTACTACTGGGCTTGTGAACTAGTTGCTATTGCGAGGTAGGTCCGCTTGGCTGCTTTTAGCGCTGGCTGCCCTTGGCCCGCGGAGCCAGCACAGAACCTGATCTACTACCTGGATAGGGCCGCGCTGATTTCTCGAAGCGAACATATTCATTTCGACTGTATAAAGTGTTGATGTCACAGTAAATTTTTGGAGGCTGCTGTATCTAAAAGAGGTCTTCTGCGTCTATTTCGCATTCGAGCCAACCGCCGAGCTTGTGCTTCTCTCATTACGTGTCGCCGCTTCCCCTCATCAGATTGTTATCCCGCTGCCTGCACACAACCTCCACCAGCAGTGCTTAAGTGCGTCGCCGACCAGATGTCCGGTCCGCCGTTTACGGTCAAAGCTCTTTTTGATTACACGTCAGAGCATGAAGATGACCTGAATTTTCAAATTGGCAATGTGATCACGGTTACTGCGGAGGAGGACGCGGACTGGTATTATGGGGAATACGTCGATGACTCTGGCAAGAGAAAAGAAGGCATTTTTCCGCGCAATTTTGTCGAGAGATATGAGCCCACTGCCCCCCCAAGACCGACTCGCCCTACGAGAGCAAAGAAGGAGCCCGAGCCAGCTCCCCCGCCTCCCGAGCCCGTCGCCGAATCACCCGCTCTTGAGGGGGATAAAGACAACCAGACTGAGGAATATAAACCAGAGCCTGTGGTAGGAAAGGAGTTGCCTCCACCTCCTTCAGCTCCTACAGCAGTATCGGTAGCCGCCGAAGCAGTGGCTCCCCCCCCAAAACAGCCGGAGCCACAGCAAACATCCGCTGCAAAGGCACCTGTCCCACCTGCGTCCAGCAAGCCAAGCTCCAACTCGTTCAGGGATCGGATTGCTGCGTTCAATAAACCAGCTGCGGCTCCAATTACTCCATTCAAACCAGGTGGATTGGGCGGCTCTAATACATTTATTAAGAAACCATTCGTCCCGCCTCCTCCAAGCAAAGATGCATATGTTCCTCCGCCAAGAGAGGCTCCATCCAAAACATATCGTCGCGAGGAAGATTCCGAAGCTGTCAGTAGGGAACCACCTATCTCCGAGGTATCACAGCCGCTACCAGCTCCAGAGCCATCGCAAGATGAGGACGAGCCGAAACCTACCAGTCTGAAGGAACGAATCGCTTTACTTCAGAAACAGCAACTTGAACAAGCAGCCCGTTTGGCTGACGCGGCACAGAAGAAGGAGAAGCCAAAGAAGCCACCAACCAGGAAGCGAACTGACCCTGAGGATGTCGCTGCTCCCATTACCGCTTCAGAGGGCGCTGACTTGGAACGTACTGAGAGCCTTCAAACTCCCCGAGACGAACACCCAGCCGCAGATAGCGAAGCTGTAGAAGAATCAAGTCGGCCACAACTGGCTAGCCCACCTCAGCCTTCTAGAGAACTAGTCAGTGACACGAACGATGCTGACTACTCAGGTGCCGGCGACACAGAAGATGCCGAGGAAACTTCGACTAGCAGGGAAGACATCGAAGAGCGACCTCGAAGCAAGCACGCAGCGGTGGCGGATCAGGAAGGGGAAGATGACAACGAGGAAAACGGAGAAGATTCTGATGAGAACCACGAGGAGGAGGAAGTTGATCCAGAGGTCAAGAGGAGGATGGAGCTCAGAGAACGTATGGCAAAGATGAGTGGTGGCATGGGCATGATGGGTATGTTTGGAGGAGGTATGCCGGGGATGTATGCGCAAGCAGGCTCAAAGAAGGCCAAAGCCCCTCAGGATGCTGGGAGAGATTCTATCGATGAACCAGAGCGTGCAGCGCCTCCATCAAAAGCGCCTCCAGTACCATTAATGGCATTGCCTGGGATGAATGTAGGGAAACAAGAGCCACAGGAGGTAGGAAAAGAAGAGGAATCAGGTCAGACCCCAGTTAGCCAACTGCACTCGCCTGATGAGGTGCCGGATATCGAAGATGTGACCGAGGAGCGTGAACTTCCCCTTCGAAAATCGATTGATAGAGCTCCACCACCTCCACCACCCCAGGAGCGCGCTGTTCCTCCTCTACCCCCCACAGAAACTCGACCTCCTCCCCCTCCTATTCCTGGAACTCAGCCGGCACCACCTCCAGCCCCTGAATCAAGACCTGTACCCATCCCTACTCAGTCCGTCGCGTCTCTAAGCCCTGGTTCCGAGTCAGATGATGAACTTTCAATTCACACTAAGAACATGTCACTCGATGAAGTGGTGTCTGGAGGCACAGCACCTGAAGCACCTCCCCCACCTCCCCGTCGTGCTTCAACATTTGGATCTCCGAGATCCCCGACGGTTTCTGAGAAGCGTTTCAGTCGCGGGCCCCCTCCAATCCCTACCAACCCACCTCAGTCTGCTTCACCGCCTCAAGCTCGACCACCACCGCCTCCCCCTCCTGGGGTTCTGAGCCGACAGAGCACTGCAGACACCAAGCGTAGCATTGTCAACTCGCCCACTGCTGTTGTGAATGATGACATTGAGGATGAAACTACCGAGTATGAAGCCGACTACGATACTGATATTGCTCCTGGCGCAAAGTATAAAGATGCATTAAAAGCCCACGATCGGCATTCTAGTTTTGATGACGGAGGCGAGGAATCGTCGCTGCAATCTCCACGGGACCCTCCGGATAATCGCCCACCGCCGCCTCTTCCCCCAACTGCCCCCCATGCTGTACCACCTCCTCCACCAAGCCAACCTCCTAAGCGAGCATCTATAGATGCCCCTCGCTCTGCACCACCACCGCCACCCCCTCCTGCGAAGAACCTAGTCGCCGAGGAAGAAGAGGAAGAGGAGAATCACAGAGGTGACGATGATGAGTATGACCCCTACCGATATAATGCTCCTCGGCCTGCTCTGCCCGCTCAACCACCATCTCTTCCTCCTCTTCAAGTATCACCTGGGGATTTGCACGACGACGACGACCTTTACGATGCTTCTCCTACTCTTCCCCAGGGCCCCCCACCACCACGTCCAGAGAGAGCTGCTGCACCCCCACCCCCGCCACCGACAACCGATCCCGTAGCAGCACCACGTGGGAGACAAAGCCTGGACATATCAAGGAGCCTGACGACTGCTCGCCGATCGATGGATGTTCCCCGTCCATCGGTGGATGTTGGCTTCATTGCAGCCGACGTTGATCTCGCTGAGAGTAGCTTCTGGTGGACTCAACCAAGTATTCCGCCCCCAGTGTTCCAGAACCGTAAAGACCTGATATATGAGGTGGAGGAGTCGACATCGGCAAAGAGAGGTGGAAAGGCCACTGTCAATAAAGATGTTTATGTTATTTTCGCCGACTATTCCCAGACTATCATCAACGTTCGATTTGACCCCAAAAACCCAAGCGACGTCTCCTTGGAGCAGCATCACGAGCCTCCCCCTAACAAGTTACGACAAGACCAACTAGAGAGTGCTCATGAGCGGTATGGTAGTCGTATTTCGGCCGCCATTGGCTCTATCCAGAACACCACTGTTGGCGATGGAACACCCTATGGTCTGATTCAGCACTTGCTCGCGCCCCTCCCCGATGTCCTCGCACCCATAGGTGCACGAAGCTACGGCGCTCTAGTCTACTCTAATCTAGCCAATGCATCCATCCAACAAAGCGACGAGATCCGTGCGGGAGACATTGTCAGCTTCCGCAACGCGCGATTTCAGGGTCACCGTGGTGGACTGCACCAAAAGTACAGTGCCGAGGTTGGAAAACCCGACCATGTTGGCGTTGTCGTTGACTGGGATGGAACGAAGAAGAAGATCCATGCCTGGGAACAGGGCCGCGAGAGCAAGAAGGTGAAGACAGAAAGCTTCAAGCTGGGCGATCTTAAGAGCGGTGAGGTCAAAGTCTGGCGTGTGATGCCGAGGAGCTGGGTAGGCTGGGACTCTAAGCAATGATCTTTTAAGACGCAATGTGTGTGAATGTATGTCTTTTTGACCCCTTCTTTGCGAGTGTCTTACACACGAAATTCGGGCACCATCCGTACATGTCTGCATATCCTCCATCCAAATTTGATCTGTGTGTGCCAATGTATAGTTGTTTCTCGAGGCCGAAGCAAAGAGAGAAGAGAGCGAGTCTATGATTGCACTGTGTTAATTTCTGCTGATTTAATACGGCATGCATTATGTTTAGTTTCTTAGGCGTCCATTCACATGTCTACTCTGATTGTCCAATCATTAATAATTCTACTGTTTATATGTTCTTTCTCACCCAAGCCTTCTGTTAAATATCCTCCGTTAAATACATTCCGCTTAAAGTTGACTTTATGCTGTCAAGCCTCAGGCAACAACCGTAGATCATGTGAGCCAGTAAACCCTCGCCTTATTTAGAATGCAAGCTCCTTCAACAACCGTTAGTCTTGGCCTCATGCCATCCAATTACTCCGTCCAATCTACCTTTTCCAAGACACCTGGAAACGCGCAGAGTAAACGGGAAGTGCTCTTTTGATGTCAAATTTTATCCTCTCTGTTGGACTTTCCAGTAAACCTAGTCAACTACTTTAGTCAATCTAACGTCGCGTTATTGGGGCATCTATATCAATTGATACCGAACCCCTACAACCTAGATTATAGTCTGTTAGAATAGGAGTACTCCCATGCCCACTATGAACCGATGTTCAAACAAACATAAGCCATTCATGATTTCAAATCCGTATCCCGTCTATGTATTCTTCAATGTGAAATGACATGATGCAAATTTTGCGTCTCTGTTTCATCCTGCCGTAACCTCCTCTCCTCCCTCCATCTAGGCCCATACCGAATAAGCAACAGCAACAAGGGCGTCGTGGACGCCATAACAAAGGCAATAAAAGTATAACACCACCCCCTACCCATAGCATTCAGCATCGGTTCCAGCACCGCCGTCGCGCCAGCCCCCAATAAACAACGAGTAATATTATTCGCCGCGGTAGCAGTAGCCGCAGTATCCGGGTACAGATCAATGAGCAGCGTACTGACCGTATTGAACGAGCTGGTCAGACAAAAGCCAAGGAAAAAAGTGATAACAGTTGGTGCCGCCAGATGCGTTTCGAAATCTACGCACCACCCGAATGCAATCACCAAACAAATTGCCCCGCCAATTAACGGAAATGCCATTTGCAGCCGCGCCTTTTCGATCGGGAAGTTCTTCAGATCAGTATGCCGGTTGCGCACGACGGGGACCCCTAGGCGTATGGCGATTCGTCGGTAGTTGTAGTCTAGAAATTGTCCGTTTACGAGGGCTGCGAGTGCCGCGCCGGCTCCGAAGGGGAGGTAGCATAGTCCTATCTGGAGGTCGGTTAGGCCGTAGATAGTTTGATAAATGGACGTGATGGCCACCGCAACGTCATAAAACCCAGCGAACATGATCGAGTTTGAGATGAGTAGGAGGCTGGTGTCCTTCTGGAAGACAATGGCGAGTGTGGGTAAAGGGTTGGGAAATGAAAGCTTGCGAGATGTAGAATCCTGCATCTCCTCTGCAGCAATCAGGTCTTCTTTGGGAATTTTGCGCGCTTTGAGGTAGCTGCTCAACGACATGTTCCATGTCGGGGGTGGAATGGAGCCATTGCCCACCACCTTTCGTGCGGTTTCGGGGTAGAAGAAAAGAAACTGCACCAGCCAAGTGGCGGCTATGATGACAAGAAACCAGAATATGGATCTCCATCCTAAGTACTGCGATAGAAGACCGCCGATGACCGGGCCCAGGGCAGGGCCTAGCAGTGAGCCAGCAGTGACAAAGCCCATATAACTGCCTCTTTCGGCGACAGTTGCAACATCGGCTACGACGCCAGCAGATAGTGCAATTGTGGTGCTACTTCCAGCACTCTGCAAGCATCGAAGGACAAAAAGCGCCGCATAGCTATTCTGCAAGGCCAATCCGATGTTGGCGCCAAGATATATAACAAAGCACACGAAGTAGGCGGGTCGTCGGCCGGCCTTATCTGCAAAGTCGCCGATGAAGACTGGGGCAATGCCTTGGAAAATCTGATTACTTATAAGCCGGGTACTCCTACAAATGACATTGATGTCAAACGTAACTTACCATGTAACTAGTCAATGTTAAATTGATCAAGCCAATTGATACATTTAGGTCCGTAGCCAGCGTGTTCAGCGCAGGGAAGTAAATCTGCGATGACAGGGGCGAAAAGAAGCCGGCGCACGACGAGCAAACGACGATATATCGCTTCACACCAGTCGAGAAAACCGAGTACTCCAGGTTGGAAGAGGCTCGCGTGCCCCTGCGTTCCAGATCGTCGGCATCTTGACGACCTTCGTGGCGCTTCTCTTTCCCGCCACTATGATTGACAGCCTGCCCCTCCTCGACGAGGGGATTAGGACTCGTCTTTTCGTCAAAGACGCCGTCCGCAGCCATCGAGTAAAGTCAGGCTTTGTATCATATTATGTGCTGCTGAGAGCAGAACCGAGAGGCCTGGGCCGCCATTGGCATACCCTGCCATGGTTATATACCAATACCACCTGCAAGCTTATCCAGGCCCTCTTTCTCCACCTCAGAATTTGGAGCAGGCCGGGAGCACACCTGTGTAACGTCCTTATTGCGTGCTTGTTATTGGGTGTTTGACGGATCTAGTCTATGAAGCGGTCCGCGGACAATCACCGTGCATCGGATCGCGAGCCAGTGTGATTGCCGTGTGCCGTATTTCCGATTAGCGTCCACCTAATACCTTCATATATTATTGATATGTCACGCCGGTGAGAATTGTCGGATTGACTGCCTCAGGCCTTCAGGGAATTTACTAGAGATGTCGTGTAGGTGACGCCGACAAATTGACAACATACCTAGGCAACAATATGACGAATAATGCACCTCTAGAGATGTCTCGAGATACTTCTCTAAATACTCCACCATGATCTTCTACTGCCAGCACCAGTCGTTGAGGTATACTCAGTATGAATCCCAAACGTCTCAGAGCTCAGTTTCGCTCTCTGGTGAAAGCTGTCTTCTCGCGACGTCCATCCTGCCTCGTGCAGAGAATCCCAACGGAACTGCTTGATATAATTTTCGGCTTCCTGCCAATACAAGATCAGATATGCCTCGCGTTGAGCTGTAAATCTCTCTACTTGTACTTTCGTTCATTACTTAGAGATGAAAACCTACAGCTGTCTCAGCTTCTTCCGTCTGCACCGCGACCGATTCTGTGCACCAAGACCGACGTCAGAAAAAATGGGCGTAGAATACAACTCGTCCAGCGACTCGAGAATAGAAATTGGAAATACTGTAGTGGATGCTGGAAACTGCATCGACGCCCTGCGTGGATCACTCTAGACTGGAGGGACCTTTCTCAGAAACCACTCTGCAGGGCATTCGCTTGCAAGGTTGATATTTGTCCCTGCATGACCATCACATTCAAGGATATGCAAGACTTGATAGGAACGATAAAGGCTACGAAGAGATCCGAGGACACCCCAAAAGTATATTTTAATGGCAATGCATATCGTCCAAGAAAGAAAGGATTTTATCCAGCTTTCCAGCACGATTGCGTTTATACAGATCATCCTTTCGCATATGTTAAGATCGCCACTATGTTTAGCTGGGACGACAAGGATGAGTTTTTGGAGGTGAGAAGTTATTATACGATTCAAATACTCACTGAGAGGTTCTTGCAAACGCCAGACTCTTTGGGGATAAAGACTCCTTTGATATGTCCACACAAGAACCTCAGGGAGTGGCTTAAACGATTCTATGCTGAGGCTGGGTCCAACTTTTCGGGTTGGCATCGAGGTATCACTTTTGGTAAATCGTCATGTAATTGTAGAAAGACAGAACTTGGTGATTCCCCACAATTCTTTAAGACGTCTATCGGACGAATTCTAGGAGGAGACAAGCGGCCTAATGGAATTTGGAAATAGCCTCTCATTTGATGCGAAACTTGGACCTTTGAGGGTCTTTTAGTGTTCAGTTGTGGTAGCTTCATTGCTATAAGATGTTCACGACTATAGTTGAATGCCGGTTCATAAATTATAGGAGTATTAGCGTTGTGGCAAATTATATTCAAGTTTTGAAGAATTTATTATATGCTGAAGACGTGGTACACTATTAGCTTTCTTGATGGCGATGCCGCGCGGGTGTTGTTATTATATGTTTAATATTCCTTCAGCTAAAAGCAAAATAGGCCCTCTCTAAAGGCTGTCTTTCCGACTCCCATGCCAGCCAATCCGATCTCGTAGTTCTGTGGTCAAGATCAAATATCAGCAATGTCTCAAGCTTATTCTTATAGTTAGGGAATCAGTTCATACGGTAACAATCCCATCTGGTTGACTTTCCAAATGCCTAGACCCAGCAAAGCCAATTGCACCAACACGTATACACCCTTGCAGCCCCAGATCTGGGTACGATTTGATTCCGTCTCAAACTTCAAGAACTGCGAATTGGTCGCCAGCAAGCCCTGAATGGGCCCCTTGAAGAGCATGAAAACCATCATGATACTAAAAATCTGGAGACTGTTGCCGGACATGTACATCATAACAGCGTTCATGGGGATCTGCTTTGACGGAGCCAGGGCGACTTCCCAGGCTTTTTTGAGCTTGAGAGTATCCGTCTCGGCGGGCTTGCGTTCGCGTGTGGGTTGCGCATTGCGTTGCTAGTTGTTTTAAGACCGTATAATCAGCGAATTGTAAGAGGAGGAAATAGGATTGATAGGCCATTGCTTTACCTGCTTGCCAGTCGATTTTGTCGCGAAACCAGGAGGGTTGCGGATGTTGCTGGTCTTGGGTGATTTTTTGGGCAGAGGCGTGTTCAGATCAACCACCCAGCTGGGTGGAGGAGAAGCAATCGAAGACATTTTGATTTCCTTTATCTTCTATGCAGACTAGGCATAAATATGCAGGACCAAGCGAGCAAGCAGACTGATAGTCAAATAGTTCATAGGAACAGACTTCAGAAAGTGGCGAGCCTGGCAGCTGCGGGCTCCTGCGGGAGGGCGGACCCGCAGCGGAGACCTGTGCTTTGCCTGCCAGACCGACCGCATCTGGATGCAACGACGCTCTTCTTCCTCCTTTTTCCTTCCTGGCCATTTCACAGCCGACGCTCAATTGCGCATTCTATCTGGGCCTCAAAGAGAATCGCGAGTGAGAATCCCCGACTTGACCACATTGCAGCAATAACGTTACTAACCGTCCCGTCGAAACAGGCCCGGGCCATCCCAATATCAAAAACGATCCAATCCACATCGAACAACCCCTCAAACCATCGGCTGACGCCCGCGAACGATCAAGGGCATGGAAGTTAAGGTGCAACCAACCAGATAGTAACACCCCACCAGCGATATCGATTCATGTGATCGCCCTGCCTACACCGATCAGGCCACACGCCGCAGCTCGCTCGTTCCAACGCCCGAGCCGTCCTCTTCAGTCGCATTGTGGTATAACTATAGTATAACTATACCCCCTCATTTCAGCCACAATGAGCTCAGGCGGAGATGCGAAGCTCTTCGCGAGGGTACGTCGTGCAGTCTTCCTTATCCAACCCGCCCACTCTCTTTATCTTATTGTTTGATGTTACACTTTTCTTGTTACCCAACTTCCCATCCTAGCGGAGGCCATCGCTTCTCGTTTGGTTTCGCTACTTCCTACATCGCGGGTCATGCTTGACATGATCGTCGCTTCTCAAGATCCCATCCTCCCCCACAATGTTTATCGGCGTCCTCCCTCATGCTACGTTTCAAAGCTCACCGTTTCCTCGTACAATACAGGGCAAGGTTGCCGAGTTGCGCTTGGAACTTAACAGTGGAGGGAAGAAGGACAAGAATCACTCGGCAAAGAAGATTGCCTTGAAAAAGATCGTCGCCAATATGACAATGAGCAATAATGATATGGTCGGCCTGTTCCCTGATATCATCGCCTGTATGACGATCCCGAGTTTGGAAATCAAGAAAATGTATGTGCCGAGTATTTAGAACAGGGCGGCGACAGCCTGATTAACCATTGTCTTGATGATAGGTGTTTTCTTTTTTTAGTCAACTATGCCAGAGCGAAGCCAGAGATTGCGCTCAAAGCTTTACCAATCTTGGTTGATGTGAGTGGCTGAAATCAGTTATCATCCCATTCAATTCTAACAAATTGAAAAAGGATATGGATGACCACAACCCTCTAGTGCGCGCTCTCGCTCTCCGAACTATATCATACATCCATGTGCGGGAGTTTGTGGAGGCCACAGTACACCCAGTGAAGCGGTTGATGGTTGATATCGACCCGTATGTCCGCAAAACAGCAGCTTTCTGTGTAGCGAAGCTCTATGACCACCATAAGAAAATGGTAGAGGGATCGGACCTCATTGAGCGTCTGAACAGGATGTTAAAAGACGAAAACCCCACTGTTGTTGCGAGCGTCTTAGCCTCGCTAGTCGACATATGGGAGCGCAGTGAATCGATATCATTGACTATAGATTATGCAAGTGCGTCGAAAGTCGTGTCGGTCTTGGCGGATTGTTCAGAGTATGTTGTCTCAGGAAACTTGCAATGCTTTGCTAATCGAGTCTAGATGGGGTCAAACGTATATTTTAGAGTCTTTGATGGCATATGTGCCTAGGGACTCTAGCGAGGCTCTGCTTTTAGCTGAACGTATATCGCCTCGCTTATCTCATTCCAACTCCGCAGTCGTTTTGACCTCTATCCGGGTCATTCTTTACCTCATGAACTATATCAGCGACGAGAAACAAGTGTCTAGTTTATCAAAGAAGTTATCGCCACCTCTGGTTACTCTCTTGTCGAAACCCCCTGAAGTACAATACCTGGCACTGCGAAATGCGATTTTGATCTTACAGAAACGGCCTGAAGTTCTCCGAAATGATATTCGTGTCTTTTTCTGCAAATACAACGATCCTATATATGTTAAAGTTACCAAGCTAGAGTTAATCTTCATGCTTGCAACTAAGGAGAATATAGGTGTCGTCCTTGCTGAATTACGAGAGTATGTATTTCCCCTTTCTTTGTACTACGAGATACTAATCTTTAATTAGATACGCAACGGAAATTGACGTTCACTTTGTTCGTAAGGCTGTTCGAGCTATCGGCAAATTGGCGATCAAGATTGAGTCTGCTGCGCGGCAATGCATCGATACACTTCTAGAACTTGTCAACGCTAAGATTCCTTATATTGTTCAAGAAGCTACAGTCGTGATTCGTAATATTTTCCGCAAATACCCCAATCAGTACGAAGGTATCATCGGAGCTGTTATTCAGAATATCGACGAGCTTGATGAACCCGAGGCAAAGGCCGCGATCATTTGGATCATTGGGCAGTACGCCGACAGAATTGAGAATTCGGATGGCCTTCTGCAAGACTACCTCGCGACTTTTCACGATGAGTCAATCGAAGTTCAACTGGCACTTCTCACAGCTACCGTCAAACTCTTCATCCAGCGGCCTACAAAGGGCCAACAGATAGTTCCTCAGGTCCTTAAATGGTGTACTGAAGATACCGACGACCCGGATCTTCGAGATCGAGGATACATGTACTGGCGTCTACTGTCCACAGATCCCGCCGCTGCCAAAGAGGTAGTCATGGGCGAAAAACCTCCGATCACTGCAGAAAGCGAGAAACTCGAGCCTAGGACGCTCGAAGAATTGTGCTTGAATGTTGGTACTCTGGCTACTGTCTACCTCAAACCAGTGCAACAGGTCTTCCGAACAGCCAGACCTAAGCGTCTCGCGGATAGCCCAGCACTCGTCAAACGCTCTAGAGCCGATACTGAAAATGGAATATTTGCAATTTCCACCACCAATCCTGCATCCACTATTCCAGCTCAATCGACCGTTCCCATATTAAACCCCACAAACGGCACTGCCACTGGGGACCTTACCTCCGCAGTCAACGCGGCGGATGCCTACTTCAACAATATCGCACCACAACAAATGGCTAATCTTGACCTTGGGGGTCGACAAGATAATAGCCTAGGTGGCCTAGGCGAAACGGGACAGACGTCCCAGTACGTAGTGAATCAGAATCAGCAACAGATATATCAACCACAGGCTGCTGGTGGAGCAGCGACGGGAGAGTTGCTTTTGTTATAGTTAGATAAAATACCATGGGTCTTGCGCAACTGAATCAGTGTTATTTGCATACTTACCATATCTCTTTCTCTCGTTAATAATAATATTATGGGCTATCCTGTTCATCTATCCACTAAACTGTAGCTGTATGCACCTGTGAGGCGGCATGACCGGGCAGAAAAGCACCATGCTCCTTATCGAATGAAGTTTATCTTATCGGCTGCACCCCTCTCATTCTCTCAGACAATTCAGCAGACTGGCACGATTGACAATTTGCCATGTTATATATTCATCAGAACTCCTGCCACAGCTGCTAGTCTTCAATTAGAGCTATGAGCTCTGGATTTAAACTTCCCATCATCCCAGGGCGTGCCCCCGATGCTTCAAATGCCCACACAAGAGGGCATGCAACCGTATTAGACGAAAAGGATTCCCTGAAGAACTTCCGCGACGAATTCATAATCCCGTCGAAAAAGGACTTATCCAGAAAGACTTTAGCAAATACAGAAGACGACCAATCGGATCCACGGTGTATATACCTCTGCGGGAACTCTCTCGGCCTTCAACCTCGAAATATCCGCAGGTATATAGACCAATATCTTCGATCGTGGGCTATCAAAGGTGTGACGGGTCACTTCGTCGCTCATGACGATGCCCTACTACCCCCTTTTCTGCACGTCGATGGCGCAGGCGCAAAGCTTCTGGCGCCGATTGTGGGGGCGTCGCCGAGTGAAGTTGCTTTAATGGGCACACTGACGGGTAATATTCATATTCTGATGAGCAGTTTTTATCGGCCAACTGCCGAGCGATATAAAATAATTCTCGAAGGGAAGGCTTTTCCGAGTGACCATGTGCGTGTTTCTACTTCCTTTGGCTTGATCGGTATATGGACTAATATTCTTAGTATGCCGTCGAATCCCAAATCCAACTTCACAACCTCGATCCAGCTACGGCAATGGTTTTAATTGAACCCCATGACCCTCAAAAACCGATCCTGACAACCGAGCAAATATGCAAAGTCATCGACGATAACGCTTCAAGTGCAGCATTGGTCCTTCTCCCTGGCATCCAGTTCTACACGGGACAGTACTTCGATATCAAGAAAATCACTGCACATGCGCACTCCAAGGGTATTCTCATCGGATGGGATTGCGCGCATGCAGTCGGAAACGTTGAGTTGCAATTACATGACTGGGAGGTGGATTTTGCCGCGTGGTGTCACTACAAGTACGTGAACAGTGGGCCGGGGACTATGGCTGGGTTGTTTGTGCATGAAAAACATGGTAAAGTGAAGTTAAATGAGGATGCTTACCGTCCTCGTCTGACTGGCTGGTGGGGTCATGATAAGGAGACGCGGTTTGCTATGGATAACAGTATGTCGTGCCCAAAAACACAATTATCAATGGTATGCTAACGCTCGCCAGAATTCGTGCCTCAAGAAGGAGCAGCTGGGTTCCAGATCTCCAATCCCTCGGTCTTGGACCTGAGCGCAGTAGCGTCGTCTCTCGAGATATTCAACAAAGCTACAATGTCCGCATTGCGGAAGAAGTCGCTTGAGTTGACAAATTACCTGGAATTCCTCCTCGAGAATGGCGACGAATCAGTTTACAGAACCCAAAAACGGCCGTATAGTCTCATAACACCCTCAAACCCAGAAGAACGCGGCGCACAGATAAGTATCCTTCTCGAGCCGGGTTTGCTGGACACCGTACTTGAAGTGCTAGAAAGAAATGGTGTGGTGGTTGATGAGCGGAAACCATGTGTTATTCGTGTTGCTCCGGCGCCTTTGTATAATACGTTCACTGAGGTTTGGGAGTTTTGTCGAATCTTCTTTGATGCATGCCGAGAAGCCGTGGAGGCTAGAGGCACATAATATAAGAGATAGAAGAATGAATGGAGTACATAGGCACGGAATAATTAACGAAGGCACATTTGAAATCAAGGGCAGTCTAATAAAAACCCCTCAATATAATTAAATGAAACTATTTAGGAAACTGCCCGGCTATCTTCCTACAGTAGGTCAATTTGTGAAAAAGAAGCAGAATATAGTGAGGCTTTTGAAGGGGTTTTGATATTTCATTACTCTAATGTTAGGGGACATTGACATGTATTTCCATGTCATATTCTACACGATTGATACCGTACAATCTATTGAAATTTTAAGCATAGAAGCTAGCTCTCGCGAAGAAGCTTGTGATGTCTCGCAGAGATGCGGTCAATGATATTAACTCTTGGAAAATGTAGTCGTTCTATCTAAGGTTTAGAGATATTATTCAATAGTTCGAAATCAACGAATGCTTCGCGAGTCATTTGTAAGCATAAATATTCTGCCGAGGGCGGTGAGCTGCCAGACTCGTAGATAAGATAGCGACCTTCGGCATCAACCACGATTTTCTCCGGGTCGGCCGACGAACTGACAACAGCATCTGGTATTATCCTAAGCCAGAACATGTCTCATCAAACACTCTCTTCGTTTCCCGTCCGGGCAGCTCGAAATAAATGTATGTCGAGGCCTCTCCACATCCAACCATGCCGGAATCGACATAACTTTGCTATTTCGTTCAGCAACTTGATTGTTCCTCATTCGCAAGCTGCGTCCTACTCTCCCAACCCCGTTCTGTGCATATCGTCAAGGCAGTCTGTACTCGCCAAACGAAGTCAAGTATCTCCGCCACATCGATCGTCGTTTAATAAACAGCTCTTGTCGTTTACAACAACTGCGCAAAGGAGGGCGACGAGTGTGGTGTTGAATCCCAAGGAGGATGATGATGGGAATCCCCTCCTTATAGAAATATCACCACGGGCTGCGAAGGTACGTGTATAGATGGGAAAAATTCATGTCTCGTGTCTTTCTTTCTTCCTTTCTATCTTTGCCGATTGTTTTGATTTGGCAAGTTAATACAAATGACTAATCAACTTATTGTAGCGGCTACGAGATATCACAGACCCAGCATCAACCTCGGTAGCAACGACATTGAAAGGAAACCCATACAATCATCTGCGCATCACTGTAACAAGTGGTGGCTGTCATGGCTTTCAATATCTAATGTCCTTGGAATCATCATCCAAGATCGACGCTGAAGAAGACACCATATTTGAAGCTGAAGCAGAACCAGCCGACTCATCCGAGACGAAGGGAGAAGCGAAAGTCGTCATGGATGGCCCTTCACTTGAGCTCTTGTCCGGCAGTACCGTGGACTTTACTACCGAGCTGATTGGGAGTCAATTTAAAATCGTAGACAATCCTCGGGCCACTAGCAATTGTGGCTGTGGGACGAGCTTTGATGTGAAGGATTGAAGGATCGTTTTCGGGGAATTAATATAAATGTGTTATTAGTTAACATTTGGATGAAACTTTAATGTATATATAGAACCATACCATCCGACTTGTACAATGGAAAAACCCTACTTTTCAAGCCACATATAGGTGCTTTTACTTGGTATAAATGAGTATCATTCTTTCTATCAATCGATGCTCATGACTCAGGCTTTCCGTTCTCATTGCATCATATCGCATAGAGTAACCTCTCTGCGGCGTTTTATCTTCTCTTTTGTTTCCTGATCTTGCATCAGGCGAGACCCCTTCCACCAACCCATCGAAATTCAAATTCCCCTAAATAGCGCCAAATAGTTTCATGAAACCAAGCTCCCATTTTTTGATCGTGCCTTCAGAGACCTTTGGACAGTGTATCACCGATAATCGATTTATGCTATCGACATGCTTATGCGTAAGGTTATTGCCGCAAAGAAGGGAAAGAAGAAGACTTTCCTAATAACATTACAAATATATGCAGGTACGCCGACTCCTAAAGAGAAACAAAGAAAGCCGGTAGAACATATAAAAAAAGGAGAAAAAGGAAAAAGAGAATTGAAGAGTTAGACTCTAGTAAGTACGAGCAAGGTTGCGCAGGTACCAGTCAACAAGTCTTCTACCGGCCTTGGCCTCGCTGATGTGAATGAGGTCGCCTTCGATGGCATAGTCCAAATCACTCGCGTTGATGGGCTCGCCTTCCAAAAGACCGCCCTCAACCCAGCGGATTTGGCGGCTGCGCTGCTTGTTGATAAGAAGCCATGACCGCAGTTTCTCAGGCTCGACGTCCAGGAAACCAGCAAGCTTGCTCAAGTCCATCGTCGTGTACAGCTTCAGGTAGGATTTGACGGTGGGGTTAAAGAGAGTGTTCTTCACCTCGTCCATGAAGATGGCGGTATGGTGATCAACGGGGTCGACGTTGACAGAAGGGTTGTCGAAATCAGGAGGAGTAGGGTTGATAAACTTGGGGCAGGCAGAGCGGAAAAGTTCCTCGAATAGAGGTAGCGCCTCAGGACCACCGCGCTGCAGCCGATGGAATTGTTCACCGTACTTTTCGCGGAGAGCAGTGTGGATGGTGTCGTCTAGACGAGTGGGGTGGAAGGCAACACAGATGGCAATCAATGCATACATTTGATCGTTCTTCTTTGTGATGGCATCATATTGGTTGCTTCCCTTTTGGAAATTCTTTGTTCGCGACACATAGACAAGGATGTGACTGAACATACGGATGGCATCGGCATAGCGGCGCATCATCATGTAGGAAAAGCCAACATAGTAGTATGTGGTGAAGTGAGCTGCCATGACACGGGCGAACATGGCCTTTTTGTTCATCTCTATATCGTCCAGCGTCTTCAAAGCGAGACTGAAGTCGCCCAACAAGCAGTGGACTCGCAGCAATCCAATGATGGAGAAATAACCCAGCATCTTGTAGAGAGGGCGCGTGCCATACTCTCCAGCCACAGCTACCGGATCATCACCTCGCTTGATTGCAGCAAGTTGCTCATTTATTTGTGATCGCTGAATCAAAGAGTAAAGCACGTTCAAGACTGAGTAGCAACCCCAAGTATTCGGGTTTTCTCGGAGAAGTTGGGCCTCCTCCTCGTTGGAACCGCTTCGTGCGACACGGTTGCGATAACGGCAGAAAGATTCGAATTGATAAATGAACTCATCGATGACATCCCAAGCCCAGTAGTACTATTGCAGTGAAAAGTTTCGGTTAGCCCGTGAACATAGCAATTGACCCCGCAGCCACATCCCAGACATTAATTTTCAAAGGAGCACCCATCCACATACCGAAGGAACTTCCAAATCAACTGGCCCTTCCGAGTTCAAGATGTAATGGAAAAGACTGCAGTAGTTATCGTAGCTTGCAAATTTTGTCTCCAAGGTCGCCTGGTATTCGAGCGGGGTGGCGGCGGCAGCAAGCTGTGCCTGAAGATCCTGGGTAACAGACGCAGCCCCGAGAGAAGTAGTGCGGTCGAGTTCGCTCATTCCATCGTCAAAGTGTACCTGTTCTCGGTAATCGTTGACCAGAGCCTCCTCTTCGACATCGGACTCGTCGCCCAGGTTTGGGCGCGCATTCTGGCGCTCGTCGTACGACATGGGGGGCAGGTATAACGAAGAAATCAGCCGTCAGTGCCGTAGTAAAACCTTGCCAGAGGAAAGGAACGAAGACCTGGCGGGATAGAGTGTAACTCTGTGGTTGGTCTGAGGCCGACTCGGAGCGTCGTGGTGGATGTTCGGTGGGAGTGGAGCCAAATAGCCAAAAACTGTGAATTTTGAGGGTTTTCGCTTGTGCTTTGTGCTTATCTTATCTATGCTTGCATACCGCTGACTCAGCTATGCGGTGCAGCTCTGCATAACATCGTTTTCATGCAATTGGCATGTCAAAATCACGTTCTCCAATTGACATAGTTCCATTTAATGAGTGAATTAAGAGACTAATGTTTACATGTTTCTCTTGGCGATTATTACTGCTTCAACCCTATCTAATTGCTCGAAGCGATTTTGAGACGAATTCAGCAAGCGGTGAAAGGGGGCAGAACTTCTCACATCCTGTATTTGGCCTGCGCAACGGTCAACCTCGCGCTTCGCCGCTTTGCTTGCCCTCAGCTTTCCCGCCCCACTCAACGGCTCACTAGAATAGTTGTGAAGTGACACCGTTAGTGATAACGGTAGTTCTTCCACATCGGCCTTCTCGTGCCGACGGCTTAACCATTGACACGTTGGCCAACCATCGAACAAGCTCGCAAGCGACCATCGACATGTCAAAGTCAAAGGAAAACCGCCCCTCTGAGGGCTTCCACCAAGAGTACATTGCGTCGCTTCGCTATCGCAATGACTTACCGCCACCTGAAATGCCCCCAAAGTTCCTCGATATTCCGCATGAAGGATTGCAACGTTTTCTTGCCCCTGGTTTTGCTTCAAACATGGCAAGACGTGAGGAACCCGGTATCGACGTTGATGCTGAGGGCGGAATGCCAATTGACCTTGTCGGTATACCTGGCTTACATTTGGGCGATGAAAGTGGTATGTACATACCATGAATCCTGAAATTGCCTCTCGTGGTCTAACATGTGCGACTTGATTACCTATAGCCATTCTGATGCCTGAGCATGCTCCACCACCCGACCCTCGTGACTTGCCATTTCTTGTCCCACTTGACCAGCTCAAGAATCCATCGGTAAAGAATGCCAATGTCAGTTTTCTCCGCCGAACTCAGTATATTGCTGCCGAGCACCGAGGTCCCGGAGGATTTAAGCCTACAGCAGGAAAACCCAAACCACGCCTTGCTGAGAAAGGAAAGTTGGCCAATGATGATCCGCTTTACATCAAGAAATATATCATGAAAGGCTTTGATATTGCTTATCCGCATAGCAAACATACAGGAGAGGACACTGCCGAGCGCATCAAGGGACACACCCCTCAGAAACCTGAATTGGATGCTTGGGCAAAACCTGTTCATCCTGAAAACCCTAAATTGAAACCTGTTGGTTTCTTTCCCGTCCTCCCAGACTTGCAAGGATACCCTGACCCGGGCGGTTTTGTCCAATTCAAATTCGACAAGCCGCCCTTGCTTGCAGCCTCCGGAAAACGCGATGAACGAATTGATGTTGGTCTTTTGTACCCGTCTGCCCCGTCCGACGAGATACTTCAAGAGCATGAAGCTAAGACTACCCTTCACAAAAACAATCCTAAAGTTTACAAAGATCCCGGTCCCATTCCATGGAACTATGATCTTTTTGTTCCGGACAACAAGAGCTCGGTCACGAAAATAAAAGAAAGCCTTGATCCATTGAACCCTAAGCGAAACAGTGAAGAACTCTACACTCAGGATGATGGAGAGAATAAATTTCATCTTTATGATAGACTTCGAACATATTATACGAAGGCCCAGCAATTAAATCAAGACCAGAAACAGCGCGACATTGCATTGACTCTATTTGACCCCGCCAAGTCAACCAATATTGATCGTGATACGATTAAAGCTGCTTATTACTACCCCATTTTAGGGAAGATGCGCCTAGCGCCTGAGCGTGCCCGCAAAATCGCCAGAGCCGGCCTTGTTCCTGCTCGGGCCGAATCTACTAGAGAAGATCAGGCGGATCAAATCCATGTTACTGTCCGTGACCCTGACGAAGCTGAAATCTACAAACGAAGCTTGCACCGTGGAAATGTGGACCCGGAGTTCAAAAAGACTTTGCCTTCACCCCCTCAGGAGTTAGAGGCAGACGAAAATGAAGATGAGGATGCTGATGCTGAGCCCGAAGGCCTAGTGCAAACTCGTGAGGGTGCCTCTAGTCCGATCGCCGAAGTTGAAAACAGGTCTGGAGATGAATCATCATAATAATCGAATTATTCATTCCTTGTCTACATTATCAATTTTTTTGGCTTTAGAATGGCGTCATTTGAACCAATGAACTTTAGTGGCAAAAGTAATCCTGCGAACTTGCGATTTAGGGAAAGCGATGGTGTTCATATTAGTGGTATTCTTCATTTCTGTATTTATTTTGGAAATTAGAAAAGGAAGCGAACCTCCAGTTGTTATATTGGTGGTAATTTGAAAATAGATTCAGATCTGCTGTATGATACCCTGTAATGGAAATTCAATTATATCATACATGTTATTGTGGTGATTTAGGAATATGTTTGTCTCAAATGTTCCACCAACTGGCTCATTACCTATGGTATGGCAATAGGTGTGTTCAGCTAACCTAATGGATACGATTTGCAGTCCCTTGATGTCTTCCGTCTGTTGAATAGGGCCATATAACTTTTCTTCCTACGTTTAGGGCGGCATTTTTCATGCCTCAACCCACAGATGAGTCGAGTTTTTTCATGACCGAGAGAGAGCGTACCAGGGATACAGTAATTGGCAGCGACGGCAAGATTTAACTGAAATCTGCTTATTTGACTTGGTGGATGTCAAGGCGGATATTCCAGTGCTATGTAAATATCCAAACATTTCTTGATGTCTTCACATCTCTCCTATGCGATACCCAGAAAACAAAAACTATGAATGAAATAGAAAATAACTTGTTACCAGGCTTGCTGGTTTCCCCGTCACCCCCTCAAAGGTTGCCCACGTTCTCTTTCATATATCGCGAAACCCCACGAGACAGCAAAGGCTATATGAGGGACTTTTTGCCGCAGGGCGGGATGGTCGAATTGCGCCTCTACTAGAAATAATATCTGATGAGCAAGCGTACAAACTTTACTATATATTTACTTGTATGAGAGGCCACGCGCTTCGCTCCAGTGATATCCAAACTGCCTCGCCTAACGCCAAAGCAAACAGGATTGGAGTTATAGGGGAGGCATGTACCTCCGGGGATGGTTGTGTACACCAGTCCGTGGATCATCGGTAGGAATGAAGATATGTAGGACTAAGATGCACACGTATTAGGCCAGAGCAATAGTCTGATACTTCAACGGGGGAATTGAGGCGACGGAATCGTTTTTTCTTTAGTTTCGGTTGTGGAACACGCAAATATCTCACTATTTATTCTGGTTAAATGTAATTTTATAAAGTGGCCGCTGAGGTATGTTATTGTTATTTTATCAGGGGATAAATAACTTACCGACCTTCACCATAGATATTTTGTCGATTTGAGGTTGAAATGACGGATCGAACAACAACACACATGCAATGCCAAACTTCGCTTTACCTACCCTGTGAAATCTTAAGAAAATATATTCCATTAATAGCTATGGACAAGCACTACAAAATCAATAGAAAAATATTATTAAAGCATACAAGCTAGGAGAATATATTCACGTATACCTTCTCCTGGCGCGAATATTAATGATTATAGCTTGTATATGCTCGATTAGGTGAATTATAGCGACACAGAAAACACCTTTCCGGGCGCTTTTATGTTCATGAGATTGTATTTACTAGATAATAATTTCAGTGCTGAAAATTGTATGGAAGGAGAATAGCACGTGACCACACGTGCCCTACTTAATATGATGGTACACAGGCCTCTTAAATTTACGTTAGCACAAATAAAGAGGTTGCAAAAGCTAATAGATAAGTCTTTTGCCCTGATCAGAATCAACTATATGGTTGGAGTTAGTGGAAGGAAAAGATCAATCGGTATGCTCCTCGGCTACCATCTCCTTTGATCAAGAACAGCCAATATCATCAGCGTCACTGAACAACGCAACAGGCTTGGCCAGGCTATCATAAACAACCATTTTATCGGTGACACAGTCAACCTACATGACAATGGCCTCAGAATCAGCATCAAGAACAATGGCATAGTTTTCAATAGCGCCAAACCCTTTCACACCGGGGGTGTCAGTTCCAAATTTAATTGTGCCCAAAGGTGCTGTTAAAAAGATAATATTGAGCATAAGCAACTGCCGAGTGTATTATAAATCCATTTGAGAGGGTTTATTACTTCCAACCTAAGTATTCTTTTTAACTTATTATAAATCGATCGGAATAAGAAGCTAATATAGCTATTGTTGTATTCAACTAACTTTTAGCAATATCTTCTTGGGTAATACCATTAGGGTGTTAAAAATGCTTCAAAATACATAACAACAAACAAACGCGCCTAGCTCATTAGCAGAAGTACCAAAAAGTCTCCCACCAAGGAGTTCTACGTCTTAGAACAATACAACAACTTCTTCACACACATGCACGCCGAAGAAGCCCTTGCGGACCGCGCTGGCAATAAACTTGCTGCACTGTTTGTTCGATATGGTAATAACCACCCCAAACTTACAACAAAAGAGCGTGGAGAAATGGCTGAGTGGATTACCAGTATCAAGGTTATCACGACTAATTTCGGGCCTAGGATTACATCAGGCGTATTCAAGGCCATCAGGTCGAAGACAACATCGTTAAAGATAGGGCTGGGTCAATATTGGCAAGATGTGCGGACGCACACACTGCACGGCCCAATTGCGTATTAGAATAAGGAGTTGGGCCGATATAACCTATTAGCAGAGATTCCACTGCTGACATAGTATACTTGATTTAATACTGCACGTGGAGTTGATGTTACTATTTACGAAGTTATGGATTTAATCAACTACGAATTAGTCATGATTGATACGTTAGTTGCCCAAGGGGTGGGTCAAATGCGAAGCCCTGGGCATGAGCGTTCTGATCATATAATTACAGATCAGTGTAGCTCTCGCGTGACAATCGACAACTAACACAATCAACACTTAAGAGTGGGTGAACGTAGAAGATATCAACCCTTTCATTTCCAATATGTTCCGTCATTAATGGAGCAGACCAAAAGAGAAAAATACATCGCTGACTAATTCCCTGCCTTTTCAAGCTCTCCTTCATTTGCTGAACGACTTCGGAGTTATCCCCAAGAGTTCGGACAGCACTTTAAAAATCTACTACGCTTTCCCCCTTTCTTCTCATGTCGAATTTACTCGTATCGTACTTTCAAGTAGCTCGTCACGAAATTATATGGGAACTGCCCGTAATAAATGTAGATGCATGCCCATTTCTGTTCCATACGGGGCTAATCATATATGTAGTGTAAGAGACCTCACACACCATACGAAAATAACGATTACCTTCCTTGTATGGGTTACCAGATTATACTGGAAATGTTGTTGCCTGAGATGGTAAAAGCGAGATGGTAAAGGTTCGCTTTGTCTACAAATGCAAGGAGTAGACAGGTGGGTTTGGATTATCAATCAAAGACAGTGACGCGGCCGACGCCAGTTGGTGTGCAATAGGGTGCTCAGTTTTTGCGTACATCATGCCATTCCGGGAATGTCTTGGTCTGGTGGCTCAGATATAAGTCTAAAACCACCCGACCCTATTCAAGCGCGCCGATTTAGGGCTGTCGGACAATGAAGTTGTTTACGGAGATTGTAATCCACACAGTATTGTCTTCCAATGAAACCACAAAAATATGAGTATGTAGATATATCAGCGCTTGCATAGATTGGGTCTAGTGCAGATTGATCGGTGATTAGGCCGAAGCTTAGCACTATTAAAAATATGATAGCCAAGAGTAGTGTAAACTCTAAGCCAATGGTAAAGTGAGAAGGTTCAGCAGGCCCGTGCATTCTTCCTGATTCGCAGTTACCATTCAGCCATATACTCTTATTCGCTCTTAAAATTAAAATAAAACCTCGTATCTAGAAATATAATAGCAAGTTCTCTGTATATAATTATATAAGAGAGGCTCGTAAGAGTATTTTTAAGTGATATAGTTGCTGTTCTAGAGAGGCCAACAACAAACATCTTTGAGCTGGTGAGAACTGTTGTTTATCCATCCATCCCATCATTTATTCTTACCCACGTGGGTCAAAATGAAAAAGGCCTTATCGAAGCTATTCCTAGCGCACAGGGCCTGAGTACTACGTAGAACTGTCTACAGAACCCTGGTGTATTACACGGAATTTCAAGTACGAGTGTGTATAGTGTCTTCGTAACGGTAATGTAATAATTTACTTCATCTTCCACGCCCTTCATTTCTATCTCTCTACCTTTATATTTTAATTTCTAATTCTGTTCTTGTGTTGTTCTATTTTATTTTCTCTTTTCTTTATAGGAATTCTGATTTTATTTGTCTCAACGTTCCACTGCATGTATCTAGTATTGATCAATCCCTGTTTGCGCTCTGTTGTCCCTCATCCACCATGGTTCTCAAATGGGCGTCTCGGTGTCTCCCAGGATTTAGCATAATTGCTCTCATGCTGCTTCTTGTGGCTGCGTTTCCGACCACCATACATATACCTTGGTGGACAAGTGACTTAGCAGCACAGAAGCCAGCTCCGAGTTCCCATCAAGGCAAGCATGAAAAGATGAGCTTTGCTCAGAAGGTTTTTGTCGTTTACTTCATTCTTGTTCATCTCAACATGTTTGTATTCACAGTGCGTCTTTGTTTTTCGCTGTTTAGTTTCTGGCGCCAGGCTAGGATGAGCTTGCAACACGCTCGTTTCCAGGGATATAACAAAAAGCCACAGACAGAACACATATCGGACTCTACATATGCAAGTAGCATATCCTCTACCTCGTTTGACGACAGCTTCTCTGCACCTTCATCCCCGCAGCCAAGGGCCAAATTTGCCGATGTTGATACCTACTCCCTCGAAGACCAAAACCTTACTCCTGCTACCGCCGCGGACGAGCTCATCCACGCCATCATCGTGCCGAACTACTGTGAAGATTTGCACACCTTGTTTACAACACTGAGCGTTTTGGCGAGTCACTCCCGTGCACGTTCTCAGTACGAGGTAGGATATTCCCCATCAACCCCGCGGTGAAAGATGGATGTTTGACCCGATTCTTATTTAATCGTGTATGTAGATTTTCCTTGCTATGGAAGAGAAGGAGGAAGAGGCTCCAGTAAAGGCAAAGAAACTGATGACCAGTTTTGGGAGCTCATTCTATGCCATCCACACCACATTTCACCCTGCCGGTTTGCCGGGGGAAATTGCTGGGAAAAGCTCTAACGTCGCCTATGCTGCAAGACAAATAACAAACTTGCATCGTTACGAGTTGCATGAGAGTGATTGCAAAGTGGTCATAACAGTCATGGACGGTATATTGCTTTTTTATCCTTCTTACCAACACTGATCTAATATATCCGTTTAGCCGACACACATCTAGTACAGGAGTATTTCCTCGAAGTCCGGCGTCTGCACTACGCTCACCTTGACAGCGCGGAACGGTCATTATATTGCTGTCCAATTCTCTTCGATCGCAACTCGTCTGAGACACCAGTCCTTGTCCGCTGCGCCGATCTGATGTGGGGGTTTGCAGGCATCTCGACTATGTACCCAGGAACGCCAGTGTCAATTCCTACCTCAGTCTACTCCCTGCCTATCCAACTCGCCAATAAAGTAGGTGGTTGGGACAGTGGCCCGACTGCTATCGGCGAGGACATGCATATGATGTTAAAATGTTATTTTGGAACAGGTGGCTCTGTCATCACGCGTACTGTGCATGTCCCTGCATCGCAGTGCAATGTCTCGAGCGATTATCCCATTGACGGCTGGCGACGCACATTAGACACCTGTAGGAATCGTTACAAGCAGGCGCTACGCCATATGTGGGGGGCTCTTGACACAGGTTATGCCCTCCGCAAAACTATGCCTTTCTTCGACATCAACTTCAAGTTGGCGCGATTACGTCCATTTCTCCGGGTTCGTCACCTGGCGCTTGTTCACTTACTATGGGAAGCTCATTTCTTACCCTGCCATCTGACAATACTGCTCGTCTTCTCCGTTATATGCACCTTCTTCTACCCTGTAGAGACCTTGCATCCAACCCTAGTTTGGGCCCTTTCGTTCGCCAACCTGATCCGCACATTATCCTTCATCGGCATGAATATAAATCTCGTCATCTATGATCAGTGGCACCAGATTTGGCTCTACACCCGTAGGCAAGATATGGTAGAAGCCAACCTGAAGGACTGCGGCTTCTCATCACGCTCCTGGTGGCATATCGCCCAATTGACGGAACGCATCTGTTTTCCCATTGCGGGCACTATCTATGGTGCTGTAGCGATGGGACACGCAGTGTTTTCGCACTTTTGGACCAATCGGTTAGTATACCGTGTTAGCAAGAAGCCGACCTTTGCCAATCCGGACCAACTCTCCCTGGCTTGACTAGGAAAGTTTGAAATATTCAAAACAAAGATCCATACTGGGATTGGACTCTCAGTTATCTTTAGACTTTTTCCCTCTTTTAGGGGATAAAATTGGGTGAGGTGACATGCCAGTTGTCATAATGGCCAGTGGGAGACGCTTCTTGTATACTTTGATCACCAATATCTAACATTCAACAGCATTTCTCGCATGTGTAATCACGATTGTCAATGTCAGTTATACATATATTATGTAATTAAGCAATCAATAAGTACGTTATCAAAGATACAGATGGATATTTATCGGAGGTTCCAGGAAACACATCTTACATTGGCAGACAGCGAATGATTCATAATCAACAGTTGGGACGGCGACAAGGTGGTCTGGCAATTTATAGAGGTGATATTATTCCAAGAAGTTGAGTATTTATATTGAGCGGAAGTTAAATCTAGAATGGAGAAGAGAATATTTGAAAAAGCCGCGCGATTTTAGTTTAATATTTCTAAATCATCGAATATCTAAATACTATGACATCGTTTTGTTCCACCAACAGTACTAAGAAATGTAACCATATGATTGAATATACGTGCATTTAGGAGTTGGGCTTCGCGTCATTGTGCCACGAGCGTGTCATATTGTTTGTATTTAAGTGACTCGGCGGTTCATGCATCACCATCGATTAAACCCCTTGTTTAGCCGATCAAATGACTGCTGGTGGATTGAACTTGATCTATTGATGGCGGAGAGACATGGTGGAATACCAGTATGAGAACGGCATTAATATGATAGAAAGTCAAGGCATCATTAGACATCACAGTTCAGAGGGACCGGCCGTTCTGGCTTCAGGATTAGTCCAATGGGGAACAGCAAAGACACTCTTGATCCAGTTTTAACTACCTTATAATTCTATTAGCTAGGTTTTCCGATGTCCATGCAGCCGCCAGATGAGTAATTTTCCGCGCAACTCCTCCCAAACGAACTCCACCTGGTGAAGCCAGAGACTCATCCGTCTCATTTGAACCGGGTTGCGCTCTCTCTCTTGGTCGTTCTCTTTGATTCCTTGTCAACCCTTAAAAAATGGAGGAGGTTTAGGCCGACTAGGGAAATATATGTATCTCGAGGTTTTGTTTCAGAACTGATTGAGAATAACAAGGGAGGCAATTGAGGTGATATTGCTGGTATGTAGGGTTGAAAAAGATCCCCTTACAAAGGAGGACGCTACAATGCAATTCTTGGAGAAGTAAAACATCGCTGTTATACATCAGGCAACTACATTAATTATACAACCTAATAATTAATATCCATGTTTTTTCAATCGCAACTGCTTCTGAGTTGGGAAATAGTAGTTCTCTGATGACGCGCGGCGTTAATCGCTGATCCGTTGATCGCTGACATTCTACATGATTCTGATTGGTTTATGGGTGAACCAAACTATCCAATTCAGCTAGCGGTTGTTTTATTTCATGAATGTTTTGGAAGGTATCAAAATATTACCGATCAAGTATACGCTAGAAACGGGGTTCTCCCCGGTCTCGTGACCTGTAATTTCAAACTGCTCTGCCAATTTCCAAAATCGGTATCGAGTACGCTTTCTTCATCGTAGGGCAACTACTTCGTACCTGCGGCCCAGATTACTTTTTTAAGAAGTACCTGGGTAGTGCGCAATTAATTTGTAGAAACAATAATAAAAAGACCTCATACGTCAAATCGAATGCTAGAGATGCGACACCATTGATGTAAGGAACGTACATTAATTGATCATACGACTGAAATAAAAAAAAATAAAAAGAAATTTCTATTCGACTACCCGAAGATTAAAACGTGACAGAACAAACAATTGTAACAAGGTCATTGATCCTCATTCATTGCAATGGTAGCCGATCTCAAGTATGGCATCCATTGGCTGTCGAGGAGAGAAACCACATGATTAAAAATCTGTTCACTCCATCCTCTCATCCACCAGTGATTACGACTGGTTCTGCGAACCAACACACAGTATTGAGCCAGTATAAGCAGCGCTAGGGGGCGTCTTGCCTTTAAACGCATAAGAAAAGCCGGGGAAATGCCTTTAGCCCATCGCAATGCCGAAAACCAACTCTTCGGCCTCAGGATCGTAAAGTAGTAGCTGGCGCCCAGTTCCCGGATAGACTCTGAATACGTCGTCCGTTCATCAAGATCTGTCACCATCTTCTGGTTGAGAACTTCAAGATACGACAAGATTGCGTTTACTTCCGAGACGATAGCGTTCGTATGTGGGTGTCTTCCATGGCCGACGAGCTCTCTGATCATGGACTCGGTGCGGAATAATGGGGCATCGCGCCACAAGACTAAGACATTCCGAGTGACCGTGAGTTGCTGCATTAGCTTATCAACTGGATCAGTGTCGACATTATCTCCATTCCAGACAGGATGCATCAAGCCCAGCTCGGTGAGAATTAGAAGGGCTGAAAAAATAAATACTGCATCGCAGTTACTACCATCAACAACTTGTACTTGCTCTTTGAATCGGGTGATCGCTATCCCATGGTGATGGCTAGTGAGCATCAAATATTTCTGAGAATTCTGCGGTTGCAGATGCGCAATATGAAGCGAGGAAAATGCGAGTAGAGTATGCCTCACAAAGTCATGCGTCTGCGGAATTGAATATGCAATCTGCTGCCAATATTGGAATGCAATATTGTCATGAGCAAGTGTGTGCCCTGCAATTGTCAAGAAATGAAAAATAAGCTCATTGGCTTGACCGGGTTGGTCAGAGTAGGCGAGATTGCTCGGATATTGGATCATTAGCGGAAAAGCGTCGGCCGGAGAATGCCCAGCATTGGGATCATCGGAACTCTCCTCGTGCGCATTCCCTTGTCCTTCAGTGGCTCTAGTAGGCTTTGGAGGATTCTCAGAAATCGCAGAATGGCTTACAATTTGGCTGAATTCGAATACTATATTCAATTCTTCCGCATTCCCTTCGGCGGTTTCCAACGAAGATGAGGCCGAAGCCGATGATTCTGTGTTGAAGAGATCCTCGTAGTCGCATTTTAGCTTCCTTCGCTTACAGTTGCTACAAACCGGAGGCCTTTCATCGCACTATTCAAAACACAATGTTAGTTCCTTTTTGTTTTTGTTTCACCCCTTTTGACCGCTTCCACACGGACTCCTGAGTATATCATATTCAATGCCCTGATACCTGTTTGCAGCAGGATCAGTACCGAGCGGGCAGACATAGAACCATGCTAAGATGATATTGAAATTGATAGGATAACAACCTTTTTCCTTCTACTCTTACATTGCCCACATCCATGTCGTGACTTAACATGACTTCGCCGTAATCCTGTCTTCATCTCGGGTGGGATCGCCACAGTCGATTTCATCACAAGTAGAGAATAAGGCCAGAATATTTAGAAGATAGACAACACTGAACACTGAGTCGTCATGTGATGAGGCTGATTTGATTACTTGTCACTGCCATAAAAGGAAGATCAGCTCTGAATGTGGAGTTGGTTTCGCTTTAACCGGGAGTGTGTGGAGAGAATTGCGTTGCCTAGATTTAGCGCTTCCTAATTTAGTAACAGTCGGGGATAAGAGCCTAAAGAATTCTAGTGTCGGAAATGCTCAGGCGCCAAAGAGTAACTATGTACCTAACGTGTACCGTTATGCTAGTACGTAAGGAGGAAGAGTACCGTATTGACTTTTGATGGGGTGGTATTCTCAAAGCGGTATAGTTTACGCAGTTTAGTATGCAAGTCTAATCTCAGAACGGCGCCTATCATAAAGTCGTGATCCAGTCAGCATTGGTTGATGTACAGAAAAGTTTTATAGTTATGTTTATAGTAACCAGGCTTCGTAAGCCTCGATTACTTTTAATGAGGGCGTGTTCGCGCCTCTCGGGCCTCGTTCAGAATGCCCGATGAAACCTGAACTAGAGGCTGAGCGTACATGGTTGGACCACTATTTAAGTAGCATGTTACTAAGAGTCTGTCGCGTGGATATCTTCGATAATCAGAATCGAAAATTCGGCCTAAACGAAGGAGCAGCAAGTTAGCCGTCTGTCTTGTCATTATCTCCTTCGCCATGAGATTTCAAAATACAATACTTGTTTTGTGTATGAAAACCAGCTTCTACATATGAATTGATATGATTACAATTGATTAATTTGTCTTCAGTCTTTTCACTTTTTATTTCGACTCTATGTAAAAATGACGACGAGTCAGCCGCGGTGTTCATCTCTTCTCTGAGCTCCAGTTCTGGACATCTCACCTTCGCGCTCAGTGCTTCCGACCCAACTGTGTCCCAAGATGTGTTCTTTCATATCTCCGGGCCGTCTAGCTACTCATATATCGGGATCGGAACAGGCACTGTCATGCAAGGCGGACTTATGTTTGTGATGTACTCAAATGCGACGGGAGACGGTCAGTTTATCATCCATCAAAACCATCTGGGATCTTACCGCTTATATTTTGAGTCTGCTTAAGGAATTACTCTCAGTTCCCGAATAGCAACTGGCAACAACGAACCTGTTTTCTCACCTACATTAGATATAGATATCCTCCCGGGAAGCAATACCTCGAATGGTTTAATGACCGTCAATGCGCGCTGTAAGAATTGTCTCAGTTGGAGTTCCGGTGCGCTGAATCTGAGTGACACGGTGTATCCATGGAATTATGCATTGGGACCAAACACTGCTCAGAACGTAAAGCTCACGAGCAATTCACCGTCGGCCTGTCTCGAAATGCACGTTGAATATGGTATGCTGCTATTCCAGCACTCCAGACTACCGTTCCTAGACAGCTGACACAAAAGTAAATAGGGCTATTTACTTTGGATATGACTCATCTGACAATGGGCGCTGGAGCGTTACCAACCTCTTTTACAAGTCCGATCGGTTCCAGAGCGAGCGGTTCGCCAGTCCTAACAAGCAACTTCCCTACTATCATCCACGCAGTCCTAGCTACCATACCACTGGTCTTGTTCCTACCAACCGGTGTCATTTTCCTACGCATCTTCCCCGGTAGTGTGCGGTGGCATTGGGTAAGCCAAACAGTTTCTTCGGTGATTGGCCTTTTCGGAGCAGCCGTAGGGTTCTACCTCAGCACTTGGTTCAACAAGTCTAAGTCATTTAGTAGCGGACATCAAATTATTGGATACATTATTTGCGCCGGTATGATTGTGCAGTGGTTTCTCGGGTTCTGGCAACATCGGATATATAAACAAAAGCAAAGTCCGACTAAATATGGCCTTATACACCGCTATCTCGGTCACTTTGTCTTCGTTCTCGCAATTATAGACGGCGGTGTAGGACTTTCCTGGAGTTACACCGCCTCACCTGTTATCATAGGCTATTCTGTCGCTGTTGGTGTCGTTGCAATTGTTCATTTTTCTCTCGTGGCCTGGAAACGCTGGGAAAAACAGAAACCCCACGGTGTGGGCATTTTTGAGATAAAAACCCAACAAAATTCCCCAGAGGCGGACAGAAACTTGTAGTATATTCTATTTGATATTGTGCTTCTGGGGCTATACTTCCCATTGGTGGTCGTGGTGATGCGGCTGATTATACATTTGAATCTGTTCAGGGTGCAGTATCTCAACTAACTGCGAGTTGATTCAAAGTTTATGATATTACGATTATGGATCTGATATAGATTGGATTATTCCCATCTGTGCAAATAGGCTGATCAAATTGGAGTATATGAGTAATTTTTAACAGAAGTAAGCATCTAGATTTTGATCCTCGCTACGTCTACCGGGACCTAGATCTAACGGTGAGATCCAAAGCGACGGCAAATCAAGGATGCGAGGTCGTGGATTTATATAAATGTAGAAACACTCATCAGAGCATTTAGATTTAAAACTAGGCCAAGAAATGGTAGATCGCGGAGTATGGTACCGTAAATGCAGCTGGAAGGTCGTCACCTGTTGCACGAGCCTCACCTCCAGCTGTGTTCAAGCGATAGATGCTCTTGAAAGAGCCAACAGTGCCGATATCAGCCTCTAAGAAGAGCCAAGGAACAGCACCATAACTAATATTGGCGGGGCCCTTGATTGAACCAGCTGGAGAATTCGCCTGGTCTTTCTTCGACGAAATGACAAGGCCAGTAATTTGCTCGGGGAAGATATCAAAGTTGAAAACGGCAGTTGTAGCACTAGCGAAGTAGTGGTGGGCAATGAGAGATAGATTACCAGGCGCCAAAGGTCCCGTCAGGTTCAGTGATAGCTCGACATTGAGTTGGACTGTTGGAAGGAGAGCTAGTAAGTTTGGTGCATTAGCAGCGATACAAGTGGCATTAAGAAGCTCGCTAAACCTCCTTCTAGGACTGGAGCGGCCGCGGGGGCGGAGCAGGTATAATATAGGGATATGTGTTGTTAATAGATACACTATAACCTTGACTGGAAATACCGAAGGTTTTGATTAAGAACTTACCTGTGTTCCTCTGCCTATGACACTGTAAATCACTTTCTGGCCAAAAGGTGGAGGTGGTAATCCGGACGGCAAGGCTGATAATTCATTGCTGTTTGTGTCGCAGGTCTCAGGTTCGTTCTGCGTAGGGCATGGGAGGGCCAATGTAGTGGCGACCAGGGAAGATATAAGGAGAAGTGAAGAAGAATACATGGTAATGAAATCCTTTCAGACATATATCACAGGCATTAATTGAGAGAGTGTTGAAATGAGAAAGGCCAAAAAAGGGATGACTATAAACAAATGGCGAGGGTGAACTACATGTTTGGTTTATATCTTACTCCAAATTCCCTGGATACAGACTAGACAGTGTCTCACTATCCATCCCAATGTCAGCGCAGTAGATGGTGATAGAATAACCAAAATAGAACATTTGTAATTAAGAAGAACAGCTTGAACTAGAATTCGGAGGATATGGAATGTACTATACCTACTGTGTACCTGGCACAGACTGCCGCTGGAAGATCCAAAAAGAATTCCATGTTGATGAGTGCGCAGTCGGCATCAAATAAAAAACAATAGTTACAAACTGTACCAACTTTACGTAAAGATCCTAAAGAAACCGATTTCCAGGACTTCTAGTCTTATCAATTCATTTCCTGCGTAATCAAGTCAAATTGAGAATGGTAATAAATTACTTCCACTGAAATGAACCCGAGAGTTACACAACGATTACTCTCGTAGTAATCATTACTGTTGACCGCGCGTCCAGGTGGCAAATTAATTATTACAGCCAAATAAACCATCTAGTTTGGGAAAATCTCGAGTTTCCTGTTTGGGCATAGGCTCGCTCTGTTTACTTCATCTGTGAGTACGAATATGCTAAGATACAGAACGCCTACATTATTTCTAAATTGGTTTCCTCACTCGGACTTACTCCGTACAATTTCAGCGGCTGCGGTCTATATTTACTGTCGAACTTTTAACTACTATACTAAAAAGGGCGCAACCCTTACCTAGTAAGGATTTTTAGTGGTATTATGGTCGCATATTTTTTCTGACATTTAAACATCCTCACATGCTATTCTACCACATTTAGCATGACAGTAACCCCACCTCTCGGGGAAATTGAAAGTAACTATTCGTCTATACCTATTCAAGTTATTGAACCAACCAATAAAGAAGAATTTCTTTTCTCACTCGGACTTACTCCGTACCATTTCAGCCACTGCAGTCTACATTTAAATATCCTTACATGCTATTTTACCAAATTTGGTATGACGCTAACCCCACCTCTCGGATAATCGGAAGTAGCCATTCGTCTATACCTATTCAGGTTATTGAACCAGCCAATAAAGGAGAGGCCCATCCACCAATTATTTCATGCGGATTTCTAATATGTTTTCTCTTTTGGTGGTGTTGATGCAAGTGGGATGGATTATGTTTGAGGATAACACTAAAATTTGGACTTGTATTGCCCAATAATAATTTAGCACTAGTCTGAAATTATACATTAGAACTAGAGATTTTGTCAGTTTTAGTTTAGTTAAACTTTTAGTGCTTACTTTTATTACCGTCCTTTTAGTGTTATCTTCAAACATAATTCATCCCACTGTATATTGATGTATAGTATCAAAGCCAGTCGCTTGTGCGATACCTAAGGAGAAATCGATCGTAGTATCATCTGGACTTACTAAGACCCGAAAAGATTCATTGATCATTGATAGGGCGTCCGTACACTACGCCCAGTTAACTTATTGCGTACGCGCTGAGTAATGATCATCATCACTCTTTACTCCTCCCATCCAGATCAGGACCCGCAGTGGAAGTTCCGTGAGGAAGTTTTGAGAGTGCCGCGTCAAGTATAATGCGATACGATTATCAAGCACCTGCACCTAGACCGTACGACGGATATATCATTGTCAGGACTGTGACATCACATACAATTCCATGGTGTTTCTACGCCCGACCAGGAAGACACAATGAGGTTTCTTACATCCGACGGAAATATCGGCACTGAGACATTTCAATGTTGGTGTTCGTATGCTGCTGGCAGTGGGGAAGCAGTCAGACAATGTCCACGTCTTGTTTCTTATAATATTGTCCATCGCCTCCTTGGTGTTGCTATGACACCCATACATCTCCTAGTTTGATACAATCCAAAGATAAAAATGAGATCTCTTTGGGCTTTGTTGACGGTTGCCGGATACACTGTTGCTCAGTGCCCCTTTGCGGGTAACATGGCAGCCAGTATTCCAATGGATCTACCTCTATACACCAACGACACTGATGTTTACATGACCACCGATTGGGGTACCCCGATCCAGGACCAGCTCAGTCTAAAGGTCGGTCCAAGGGGTCCGACTGTCTTAGAGGATTTTATGTTCCGACAGAAGCTTCAGCGCTTCGACCATGAGCGAGTCAGTTGAACCTTTGAATCCCATTTCCATCATGAAGGATTAATTGGCACTGACAAAGACTGGTATTAGATCCCGGAGCGCGTTGTTCATGCTAGAGGAGTCGGAGCGTATGGAACATTCACTTCTTACGCGGATTGGTCCAATATCACAGCTGCCTCTTTTCTCAGCGCAGAGGGGAAACAGACAGAGACTTTCGTACGCTTCTCTACCGTTCAGGGTTTCAGGGGAAGCCCAGACACTGTTCGTGATATGCACGGATTTGCTACCAGATTTTATACTGATGAAGGGAACTATGGTAAGTCTTGCGGTCATAATCATAAAAACTTTTCTATAGCATTAGTCTAATTGGCGAACAGATGTTGTTGGAGTCACTGTGCCTGTGTTCTTCATTCAGGATGCCAGTCAATTCCCTGACTTGGTTCATGCAATTAAGCCAGAGCCTCAGACTGAGATACCTCAGGGTGGAACTGCCCATACTACTGCTTATGACTTCTTCTCTTCTCAGGCTAGTAGTCTACACACATTACTCTGGTTCATGGCTGGCCACGGAATTCCCCGTTCTTTCCGCCATGTCGACGGATTTGGTGTTCACGCTTTCCGCTTTGTTAACGCCACTGGCAACTCTGTATACGTCAAAATCCACTTTAGAAGCCTGCAGGGTGTTGCTGGTATGGTTTGGGAAGAGGCCCAGGCTGTTGCTGGTAAGAATTTCGACTATCATCGCCAGGATCTCTACAATGCTATTGATAGAGGACACTTTCCTGAATATGAGTTCGGTGTTCAAATTGTTCAAGAATCCGATGCCTTAGCCTATGGCTTTGATATCATAGACCCTACAAAGTTCATCCCTTTGGATGTTGTTCCTGTTACTTGGCTTGGGAAGATGCAGCTTAATCGCAATGTAGTCAACTACTTTGCCGAGACGGAGCAGATCGGCTTCCAGCCTGGCCATGTGGTTCGCGGTATCGACTTCTCTGAAGATCCTCTTCTCCAGGGTCGTCTCTACTCCTACCTCGATACGCAGCTCCAGCGTCACGGATCAGCAAACTTTGAGCAACTTCCTATCAACCGTCCTAAGATTCCGGTTCACAACAACAACCGAGATGGTTTCATGCAGTCCACGATTCCAACCAACCAATATGCGTACACCCCAAACACCCTGAATTATGGTTCTCCTATGCAGGCCAATCAGACTGTTGGTGATGGATTTTTTACTTCTCCCAATCGTTTCTACAGCGGTGACCTTGTCCGTCAACAAAGTTCAACCTTCAATGACTTCTACACTCAGCCCCGTCTGTTCTGGAATTCACTTTCCCCGGAAGAGCAACAAATGGTCGTAAATGGTCTTCGTTTTGAGGTATCTCATGTTCCTGAAACATCCGTGAGACATAATCTTGTCACGCAACTGAACAGAATTGATAATGACCTTGCCTGTCGTGTTGCCGCGGCCCTTGCTATTGTCTGCCCTGCTCCCGACCCTACCTACTACCACAACAACAAGACTATCGGTGTCAGCACCTTCAATCCATTATACAATATTTCTGGCTTGCAGATTGCTTTTCTTGCGTCTGAAGCTTCCCCTGCGTCATTGAGCCAGGGTATGCAGCTTTCCGAGAGCCTGGCTTCTGCTCAGATTGATGTCACCGTTGTTGCGGAGTCTTTACAGAATGCAAATGCGACTTACTCTGCCACTGATGGATCCATGTACGATGCAATTATCGTGGCAAATGATATCCAGGCTCTTTTTTCGGAAAGTAGCTTTACTATGCAGCCCAACAGCACCAGCGACATGCCCAAAACGGTATCTCCAGCCTCTTCTCTTTTCCCTGCCGGTCGTCCGCTCCAGATCCTGGTCGATGCTTTCAAGTATGGAAAAACTGTTGGAGCTCTTGGATCCGGGTCTCAGGCATTGAAATCGGCTGGAATCTCATCAACCCGGCCGGGCGTATATGTTGCCGAAAACATCAACGCCAACTTTGTCAAAGATATCGAAAGCGGACTGACAACATTCAAATGGCTTGACCGTTTCACTCTGGACTCCAACTAAACGTCTATACGAGATAATTAGATAACTGGGTAGGGCTGACCACCAGATCTGCCATTGGGATCACCGACTTAGTACAATGCTGTAGCAACATCTACACAATAATGGAATTTATCTTCTTGATCTAGACTGAAGATTAGCAAAAACGATAGAGTGGATACTGTTCAGTTTCTTTTACAAATTTAAAATACATTTATGGTCGTTCTGACTACATACTTTATCAAAATATAATTCATCGTAGTCGAAATTATGTACCACCATGCCCTGCTCGAGTCTCTGTCTTTCTATAACAGTACCTACGCTAAATGTTTATGATCCGTCGGTTTCTCGTCTTTGTTTCTATAACTGACTGATCGCCGAAAATCCTAAATCATATAGGAATAACACAGATAAAGTAGGATCGACAATATCTTGCCCACCTGATAAGGGAGTTCAAACTCATTTCTCAGCACGAGAAATGCCACCAGACCTAGCAACATTAGCGTGAGGTATGCCACGCTTACGTATGTCGATACCAGGTAAGCGATATAAGATGTTTTACGGCTGTATGGTACCTCGTATGGATGGTTTCAAATGTTTATGAAGAATTAGGCTAGAGACCTAAATTAGATAGAGAAATGACCAATAGGCGATATCAGGCAACAGTTAAGTCGATACCTTTAAAGCGTCGTCATTTTGCGTCCTGTTAGCCTCCTACATTGCTCTGGGCTCTGAGAATATATTTAGTTATTCACTTATTTTACCATTGATTTAATAATGTCATTAATTTAGGTATTCGGATTTCACACCGTAAAGATATAATCGATCTATTTGGCAACCTGGTCACGATGCGGCCACTTGCGGAACAGATCAGCCAGCTGATCAATGGGCGCCATCATTAGGCTAACAGCCGTCTCAAACGGTGGCTTATTCGGTGCTATGGGATGTGAGCGCGAAGGAACAAAGATTTTAGTCCTGTCAAAACTCTTGGACAGACTTTGGCTCTCCTCTGCAGATATGACGCCCTCGAGTTTCACCAGGTCAATGGTCTCCTCCTCTTTGATATGCTGCGATAGATGTTCCATAAGGGTTTTGATTGTGGGAATGAATTGCGGATTGGACGGGTGCATGTTCTGAAACTTTTTTAGTTGTTCTTTAATCTAAAAGCGGTGTTAGCCTCAAAATGGCAGCGAAGGGTCTAGTTGAAAGGTTTGAAAATATACGCTTACACCCTGATGCTCTCCGCGATCTTTATCAGCTAGCGAAACGCCATTTTCGATATGTTTTTCAAAGGCTGGATAAACCACCAGTTCCTCTCCAATGGAGTGACGCGCCAATTCCCAGGTGAACAGGTTCTGAAACCTGGTCTGCTCGTCGTGATCGGTCGAGTCAATGAGGCGATGGTAGCATGCTATGATTTGCTGATGATCCTGCCTGATCGTATCGCTGATTCGTAGGCCCATGGCTAATAATGAAGCTGAAGAGGTCTGTTTCTTCTAGACAGATATGGTGAGACACCTGAAGTACGCGAGTATATGTAGTCCGCAGTAAGCAGATCGCAGCTATTCCAGCAGAGCAAGATCCTCCCAAGTTTTTTGAATGACGGAGCCGCGTCGTGAAAATTATCTACGAGCATGATCATGATTTTCTGCCTTCTCTCTAAACCGATTGATAGATGATGTCATTGTGAGGTGCTTGGCGACATATGGGACATCCCGGAGATCCTAATCGAGCATCTGTGGAGAAGTACACCGCCCGAAACGTCAAAAATCGGGATTGCGGGTGTTATTATTATATTCATCTGGACTTAGTGGAGGTTGGTGAAAAGACATCGTCACAATGAAGGTTTAGTTGACCACCAGCAAATCCTGCCATAAAACGATTGCACGCACATTGATTCTCAAATTCAGCGTTTGCGAAACCATCATGGCGGCTGTTCTTCAAACGTTGCTACACTTTTCTGTCGCCACCCTTGGTATCCTTTGACAGAGTCAATAATATCAGTAGGCATGTAACTAATTCAGAAACATTGAATAAACAGCAAAAGACTTCAACGCCGGCAGAAGTCCACATAGAGTGGTAGAAGTATTTAGTTGATATGAAATTTGATGCTCTCAGCTTTACTAACCCTAACCACATTTAAAAAAAATAGCTAGCCCTGAATGTGTAGCGATGCAGGCAAGTCCCTCTGAGCAATTACCTTGTCAAAACAACCTGAGCATTTCTATTAGGGGAAGGTCAAATTGAAAAGAGGATGAAGGGCATCTATAAAAGGGGGTCATATATCTAGGGGCCACTTGGAGAGTACCTAGACGTTTATGAAAAAATAATGTCCACATGTGAATGGAAGAAAATACCAAAGATAGGGTTTTGTAAGCATGTTACTTTCTTTCCTACGCTGGCTATCCGTTGGCAATATTGCGCGTTCATACAGAATAGTTTGCTTTGTACTTGACAATTTTCCAATGCAAAGAAGCTTGAGTAAAGAGGCAAACAATGGCGCTTCCAGATGCATATTAATTGAATATGAGATGAGAGTTAAGTTCTGTTGCAGCATACATATATTCGTACTTGCAACAATACTGATATTTGCTCGTGACAAATCTACCCCCGAAGTTGCAATCTAAGTTACCAAGCTCGCGGGCATCACGAAAGTTAAACCTCGAAAACGCAAATAATGAGTTTGCTAGCACCTCTGTGTTGCAATGAAGGTCATTTGGATGAGTATGAATTTATACTAGACAAAGCCGAAACTTACATCAGGTGTCGGTCGTGGCTTTGGCATTGCGTCGCTGTCAGATCTTACGGTAACAGTTCGGCCGCAACTCGCACGCGCACAACGGCTCAACGGAGCGACGCCCCGAGTACTAATTATTTAAATAGGGCGGAGGCCTGAATGCTTTGATTATCATTCTGCCTCCTTCGGGATAGATGGTAAATCGAATTAAATATTAAATATACTTTAGTTTTCATCACGCACTCACACTAAAGAGACAATCATGGCGGCTGTTGTCACTCGTCAACCCTTTGAGCCTGCACCTGGCTTCGTCCCAACTACAACTCAAGCAACTGGAAGTTTCTTAGAAACCACAATTGACGGCGCCCCTGCCTTTGTCGACATATCAGCTGGAGGCTCAAATGTAAAGAGCACCGAGCACTCGCTCAATGTCATAAACTTGCGAGACTACCAGCCACGCGTGACGCTTGGTGTTGAAGGTGTCGAATATGTGACGTTCAATTCGACCCTCCAAGAGGAAAGCCTCTTGCATCCGGATAAAGCCGAAGTCAAATCGGTGGTTGAGGAACAATACTGGGCCGAATGCGCTGAGCTCGTTAAAAAGCATACTGGTGCCGTCGAGGTAGTCCCATACCACTGGCGCCATCGTCAGACCCCCAAAAATATGCAAGAACAAGATGTCAGCAAAGGAGTGAGCAGCAAGCCTGTGACACACTTCCACATCGACAACGATGCCAGCACTGCAGAGGGTTCTCTCAAGGCCACCCTCCCCGAGGAAGATGCTTCGCGTTGGCTTGCATCTGGCCACTGGGGGATTGTAAACGTGTGGAAACCAATCGGGGATCCAGCGTTCCAGTATCCGCTTGCGGTGGTCGATGTCACCAAAGTAAACTGGCAGCGCGATGTCGAGGTTGTGCTGACACGAAACAACTACAAAAACAGCATCAATGGGCTCCGCTTCCGAGATGGGTTCAATTATTACTATGTGAAAGACCTGCGTGCGGATGAGGCATTAATGTTTAGAAATTTTGATTCTCAGGATGGAAGGGGAATTGGTGTACCACACGCCGCAGTGGATGATGTGAATACCCCCGTTGGCTGTCCGCCCCGAAGAAGCATTGAGGTCCGATGCTTGGTATTGTATGCTAACTGATCTACAAGTTGGATGATTCATATTCCTGGAGAGCTAGAATATTTCGGTACTATTCTTCAGTTGTTCACTATACTAGAAAAAATTGAATACATTTGCATGAGGATCCGGATGTCAAGCTGCCTTGTAGTTTAGTCTGTACAAAAAAGTCCATTACTCTAGGAACCAAGGGCGATCAGTTTTGATTCGACTTCGGTAACGGTTTTCAGCGCTTAGTATCTTCACTATGTTCTGGTATGCTAACAACCCTAACCCTAGAACCATACCAAACTATTGAGAGGCAAAGGCTGTAGTTGGAGAACAAAGGTAGAGTTCGTCAGGAGATAGAAAACCTCTCCTGATTGTTCAACGAATAGCCACCATTGAGAATGACACGAGCAATGAAAAGATGAATTCATCTGTTGTAGACACTTGGACTTCGGGCCCGACTGATGACAGGTGGAAGTAACCGTTGTAGATTCTCGGCGTGCCGGTCCCGACACCCGACAGCCACAATCTTACAGATTCAGCGCCCACGCAAAATTCCTCTCTGTTTAATTCAATCATTCGGGGAGTCCGGTGGCGAGCGTAATTAGGTTGGTGCACAGACACATCGGGACAGCTGTGCAAAAAGGCATTAATTGCATGCCGGATGAAGTCTATACCATCTCCGTAGGTTGCGGATGTAAATCTGAATAAAAAACAAAGTTTACAGGACAAATGTCGTCGGTAGACAAGCATGCTACCATGGTTGAGGATCAGGATTGTCCTAAACTGCCAACGCCTGAGAGTATTGTCATTCCCAATGATGATGTTGCTGCTAGACCCAACGAAGGTGATGTTACCGGTAGTGATGATGACAACCCAACCGTTACTGGGGAAATTGTGAATAATAGTATAATTGTGCGGGAAGAAAAGATTATCACAGAGATAGAAATCATTACTTCCGACCTAAGTTCTTCTTCGCCTGACCTGGAGGCCGCAGAGAAGACTGCAGATCAAGATGAACGACACCATCGTGACCCTAATGAGGTTGATTGGGACGGACCGGATGACCCTGAGTGTCCTATGAATTGGTCCCGATGGCGAAAATCATGGATAATTACTATCCTAAGTGTATTACGACTTCTCATGTGGGTAGCGTCCTCTCCTTACCTGGCTATGAAAATTTACCATTACCCCTTTACATATTTGCAGGAAAGCCAAAACTAAAATAATTGCTTTTTATACAGCCCCTTTGCCTCGTCAATGATGGCTCCGGCAATCTTGAACATCCATGATGAATTACACTCTGACAGTGCGACACTTGACACGCTCAGCATCTCCATTTTCATGCTAGGTGTAGGAGCGGGTCCGTTGCTCTTTGCACCCCTCTCCGAGCTCTACGGACGCAACCTCATCTACCATTTGAGCAACTTTTTCTTCACTATTTCTAGTGTTGGTTGCGCCAAGGCGCCCAGTTTGAAATCCCTCATAGGCTTTCGCCTGCTAGCGGGCATCGCAGGTTCCGCAGTGATTTCCAATGGTGGCGGGACAATCGCTGATATTGTGCCTAAAGAGAGCAGAGGTCTCATTACTACGTTGATGGTCTTGGGCCAACTGATTGGTCCTGTTATAGGTCCTACAGTAGGAGGATACGTGTCGCAGGGCTTAGGATGGAGATGGATTTTCTGGCTGCTAACGATTGTTGTAAGTCAAAATTTCCATTCATACATGTATATCATTGCAAAACCCCGGGCAGATACTGATGCTTGGAATTAGTCTGGAGTGTTCACCTTCCTCGGTTTCATCTTCCTGCGTGAGACCCATGCTCCAACTCTTCTCAAATGGAAAGCAGCAAGATTACGCCGAAAAACGGGCAACCAGCTACTCTACCACAAGGGCAAATCAAGCTTTCCTCAAAGGGAGCTTTTTATGAAAGCTTGTCAACGGCCTCTAAGGATGCTATTTACGAATCCTGTTATTTTCATTGTGTCTATCTACATCGCCCTTGTTCTTGGTTATGCGTACATCTTGTTCACTTCCTTCGCTTTCATCTTTCAGCAGCGGTACGGCTTTGGAGAGGGGACGACAGGATTGTTGTATTTCGGGATTGGCATTGGCATGCTAGCCGCGCTTGTTTGGATGAGTCGTTATAGTGATCGGATTTTCGCACAGAAAGAGCGGCAGACGGGCAAATCGAAAGCAGAGTCAGTGGTTACTCTCCTGCATAAAGCCTAATGTTAAAACTAACGTTCAAAATAAAAATATTAGGTTCCGCCTGATACCTCTGTTATATGGGACATTTTTCATCCCAGTGGGCTACATCATATACGGCTGGGCCGTCGAATATCATGTTTACTGGGTCGTTCCCATTTTGGCGACCATGTTGATGGGAGTGGGAACTGTTCTAGCTTTAGTAAGTCTTCTCCATCCTTGAAATGAAATCTACGATCACGGAACAAGCACTGAAATAGAATAATTACTATTGATAGGTCGTAACACAAACTTATCTTATAGACGCTTTCACCGTCCATGCAGCGAGCGCCAATGCAGCCAACTCTCCCATTCGGTGTCTGGCCGCTGCTCTCTTACCATTGAGTGGACTGTCGCTTTACGATGCGCTGACATTTGGCTGGGGCAATACGATGCTTGCACTTATAGCACTAGTGTTCAGCGCTCTACCATGGATAACGTATCGATATGGTGAACAACTACGAGCGAGATATAACGCTGATACAAAGTAAACTCATGTCATATGCACCAGCCAGTCGTATGAGAGAAATGAGGGTCATGGAGATCCGTCTGGTGGTGGATATTCAAACAGGGTGTCATTTTATGTATGCGGCGCATATCTATAGAATTACTTATTCATTTTAGAGCAGAATCCAAGATCAAGCTATTCCGTATCATTAAACTAGAGCAATTTGTATAGATTACACGTTATTAAGAGGATTGAGATTTATGTACATGCGATTTAGTGAAGAGTTTTGGATTCGAATATTATGGAGAGAGGCCTCAGAAAAATATTAATGTTGCATTCCAGTTCATAACTTTTCCATGGAATAGAACGCTAAGGAGAGATTGAACGTAAGTTGTGAGTTGATTTTTTAAAAGTGATCAACCAACCTGTCAATACATAAGGCCTTGAGTAAATAGGTAGCAAATGAAGATAACTATAATAGTTGACGGATACACCCAAGATGGCATTCTTAAGTGTTCAATGTTTAGGATTAAATTCTATGCTATTTAAAATACGTACGCCAAAGCTGGGTTAGATAACACAAAGATAAATCACAATTTAGCCCCGAATCCTTGATATCAAATTGCTCAATTCCACTCATTCCCTTCCTTAAATAGATAAAAGTGATAATGATACCCCCTCAAGCAGTCACAATATATTCGCCAACCCCAGAATTCCAGAAAGCACGAGCACGAGGGTCTAAAAGGACTGCATTCTCATTGTCTTTCCATGGTGATTCTGTCTTAGCCTTGAAAAGAGATTTAGTCATGAGCGCTCGAATGAATGCCAACCCGGCCTTCTGTTGTCTGGATAGCACAGAATTCTTGTACTGCTGGTATTTCTTCTCTGTGACGGCGGCAAACACGAATTTAGGAGAGAGACCAATCGCGAGGCCTCCCTTTTGACCAAACCCGAATGAGGTTAACAAAAAGGCCTTGATTCCTGAAGTCTGGATTGTTTTGGATGGGTAAAGAAGATGCTCAAATGGCTGTAAAACGACGTCGATATTGTCCGCATTTCTGTTTCCAGGTACGATCCCGGTTTGTAACACTTGCATTCCACCATTGAACATCCAGGCCCCAGCTGCACCCTTGGGATGGCCGGTAAGCCATTTCTGGGAAATAGTGAAGAGCGGATTACCGGCCGTTCTTCCTAGTTTGGTCATCTGCTGGTTGATCACGTTGGCCTCGTTCTTGTCGTTTGCCTTTGTTGATGTGCCATGAAGTGACGCAACACCAATGTCATCCACCGTCAATCCCCAGACCGCGAGTGCAGCCCGGATAGGGGCAATATGAGGATTCTGTTGCCGAAAATTGGATCCCCACAGGTTGCGAGCATCTGAAACCTTACAATCCCTGAGGCTATCAATCGATCGTAGCATTCCGTCTATGTCATCCACTGGCATAGTTTTGACAAGCTGTAGCTGACGAGCTCGCCAGGAATCAATCTCCTGAATGGTGTCGTTCAATTTTTCACGACGGTATTCGAGATTCAGTAAGGGCGATTCAGCAGCGTCGGGAGCTTCGCGAGCGGCAGTCAGGATACCCTGACCGGGTGCTGGGATGGATCGGCCGATGCGGTCGCTGGCCATCTGTGTATGAGCCACGATGGCGTAGATTGGAAGTCCCATCTTCAGCGCCATCTCCGCTGTTGTAATGATCTGCACACCACAACCGGCAGCTTCCATGAATCCATTCCGAGTGGTCGTACTAGGACGGCACATTTCGCTAGGACTCCGGCCTTGGAGGACCTCCTCGTCGGTATTGACCGTTGCTTTCATGTTACCGAATTCGTACGAGGCTTCTTCGCGGAAGTCATCGGTGCCACCGACTAAAGCCATTTTTGACTTGCCAAGTAAGATTGACTCGCATCCGGTATCCAGTGATCTGATTGTTGTTAGTGGCTTAAGAACAAGTTTAAATGATGGATTGGAGACAGGAATAGTAGCGAGTATCACAGGAAAAAAAAGGGGGGAGGGGGAAATACTCACTCGATGGCGGTGGCGCATGCTCCGGAATTAGTTTTTATAGGACCAGTAGACGATAGAAGCAGAAGATTAACCCATGCACCCATTGTGTTCAAAAAAGACTCCTGGAAAATGTCGCTGTTGGCTTCGTGCTCCATATATCTCTCTCGATACATCTTGCGCAACGCCGTGACGCCACCAGCGCCTGTACCAATGCAGTTGGCAAGTTCAGATACATGCATGTGAGAATAGATCTCAAAGGGATCCTGGATGCCGGCACTATACATGGCCTCGCTGACACAGCAGAGAACATACAATGTAATCGGATCGACTTGGGAGATGATATCCTCCGGGATGCCATACGTTGCTGCACTCCATCCGGTTGGGAGCAGACCAGCAACCTTACGATTGAAAGAGACAGCCTTGGGAATCAATAGTCTAGCGCCCTTCTTGACTGTAACCTGATAATCCTCCGATCCCGGTAGGGGGGTGATGGAAACCTTGTCGCCATGTTGCAATTGAAAGGCTTCTGCAGTTGTCTTGGACGCTTCGAATGTGGGGAGGTCTTCATCCATGACAACTTCATGAAGGAATTCCTTTTTGTCGGGATCGTATCCTTCCAAAATCTCCGGCTCGATGGGCCTAATTCCAGTATGTTCTAAGATGTACTTGCTAAATCTGGCACCAATCTCGGCATCGGGAATCGGCTCTTTTGTTTTGGAATCCACCCAACCAACATAATGTGAACCTTTTATGTCGCCATCATAATGCTCTATCAGACCCATTATCCAGGCCACTTCAAGCATTCCACCTGCTGTAAATTCCCCAGAATGCTCCATTTCCCATCTGGTCCGGGAGCTTCCCCATGGGCCCAATTCGGAAAAACCGACGACGACAACGGTCCTTTGGAGATCGACCATTCCTTGCAGGTTTGGTAGGCCGGTTGCAATGGTATTGTAGTCTAAGAGTGCCGGATAGCCAACCTGAAGATTTACACGACGTGTCTGTGGAGAGATGGTGCTGTTGCTTTCAGAATACTGTTCCTTGCGTGCTCTACAAAGAGCATCCAGACGACCGTTTTCTTCAGTCAAGGCCTGTTGAAGCCTGCTGCGGTCGGACAGCTGTTGACGAATGCCAGAGAGCAACTCTTTGAAATTTTGAATAGCCGAGAGATTTCCACTCAAATCAGCGATCACAGGTTCGTTTTCCATTGCAGCCATGAATTCCGGATGAATCAGACCCAGAATGCTGAACGCCATCTCTGCCGGACTAAATGTGAGGGCATTTTCACCCTCAATAGACTCAGCAAGAACGTTGTTGGTATTCATAAGTCCGGTTCCACGCGTCCAGCCGATCACCGCGCCACATACAGTTAGATAATCCGACCAGCTTTCAGAATGGAAGCGGTTAAATAAAGTCTCCAATCCTAGCTTAGACTCTGAATACAGTCCATCTCCACCGAATGTTCCATGATTCGGCGAAAGTGGAAGAATGACCGCAGTCGGCCGCGTGTTAAAATTCCTCTTCTCCTTTTGCTGCTTAATGTGTCCTAGCATGCGAAGGAGATTCGTCAGCATTAACCGGTGGGCAAGTTCAGATTTTGCATCTATTCCATCTAATTGTCCAGTCTCGCCAATAGCGGCAAAAGGAATGATAACATCGAGATCTCGATCCCCATCTTTGGTCCCGTAGATGTAACTGACAAGTGCCTCGCAATCTTGTTTGCTGGCCTGATTGAAGGGCAGTACGGTGAGTTTGCTATCCTTTGAGCCGTGAGCCTTGTACATCTCATTGAAGAATTTTGTTGTTGAAGCAGGTGGCGCGCGGCTCGTAGTGACAAAGACTTCGGCTCCTCCTTCGAGCAATCCCCGAACAATATCACAGGCTATTGATCCCGGTCCAGCGCCGGTGACGAGGACAGTGTTCCCTGAGAATGATAAACCGCTGCTTTCGCCAGTACTTAGATGGCTCATGAAGATGTCCGTCCAACGACTGTTATACTTCCACTCTGTTCCAATCTGCTGTTTCAGCTGGATGACCGGCTTTCGTAGTCCACCAGAGGTATTCCCTATCAGGCCATGTCTAATTATATCAACGAAACTGCGACTTTGACCCAGCGAATTTCTGGGTACCTCCTCATAAATAATTTTCCCGCTTTCTTTGATCCTTGTTCGAGGGCCTTGTGCCGGCTTGGTATATACGAAAACCGGCGACCGTGTCTGGAGAGACGCTGCACCCTTTTTCAGATCTTTCAACAAGGTGTGGTTCGTAGTAAATGTACCTAAGATATCGTCACACGTCGGTGTCCAGCGATTGAGTATCATGCGGATTCGATCTCGACTATTTTTGGAATTAGGTTTGCCAATCAGAAGCTCCTGCTTCAGTTCAATCAATTCCACTCGGACCCAATTCCACCATGCATCATATACACGGATCTTGTTGGTGTCAAATATTGGCTTTGTTCCGGAGTACATATCATCGCCAAACTCAGAATTCCAGTGATCAAGCGCCTCTAGAAGGGTATCATCGGAGCCATTGCTCGTCTCTGTGCTTTCCTCGCCCCCCATTTGTTTCATAAGATTACCAATAACCCCATGAATCTTTGCTAGGGCTGTTTGATGCTCTTTCCGTGCAGCTTTTAGAGCTTCGGCATCTACCAGAGATGCCGAAGCGGCCGATGGGCCAGCTGATGCGTTAGTCAATGAGAAGTTTGCAAACGCGGCGTAGCGCTGAACGACCTGGTCAAAAAATTCCTTCCCAGCGTCAATGCTTGCCAATCGGGAGGGTGGGTCGAGCGTGATCGAGAAGGAGATGGCGGTGTCCTGTCGTTGAGGACCGAGGCCCCAGCGCGAGCCGAGATATTGTCTGATTGCTTGCTGGTTGAACGAGGCAGGCATCTTGGATGAAATGAGTTTGGAAATCAGACCTGAAACCTGCTTTCCAGGTCGTCCCTTGAAAGCACCCGCTAATGCTGCACCAAGAGCAGCCAGTGGCATATCCTCCGAACCATCGGGTAGGTTGCCCAATTCACTACCCAGATCTCCCACAATTTCGTTTTGTAGAGTAGACTTTCCTATGTCATTCTATCAGTGACTTAGTTTGTCCGGTACCGAGGCATCATCCAACCTACCTCCGGAAAGTTCCTGGATCGATTTCACAGTTGAAATATGATCAAACTGTTTCCGCAATTTCTGCGCAACCACGACAATGACTATATCGGTAGCAGTCATTGGAATGTCGTCGATTGTGGCGGCTGCTGTAGTAGGAACAAGACCAGTCTCTACATGTTGACTGGTCTCTGTCACCGCACTTGGAGCGGGATTCTCAGCAGCAAGTGGTGATTTCGTGGCGGATGTCGGCTTGCTAGCATCAGTCTCTGGTTCGCCTTCATCATAGTGGTAAAATATCTCCTTCTGGTTATCACTAGACGACAGAAACTGTCTTGTCACGGTATGCGACTCGGCATGTTGATTCTTGGCTGCTTGCTTTTTGGCCATGTTGGCCAAAACACGACTGGGGCCGACCTCGACATAACGCTCAATAATAGGAGTTTCACGTAGAAAGGTTTTTTGCGTTTCAATCCTGTGCAATATCCTTTTAATACTTCATTATTTCCTGAACGGAACAAAAAAAACAAACGCACCATCGAACAGGAGAGGCCAACTGATGACTAGTCACTTTCCATTAGCATCAGACCTCACCCAACCCATCAAGATTTTTCTTGTACTCACGACAGTAACTCAATTAAAAGCTTATGAGCCAAGTATTGTTTTTGAGATCCTGACCGACTCTCATGTGAGAGTACTAGTTCTCGCTTCATGGTTGCATAACGTATTGATCCGAACTACCAGTGCTTCGTAGATGGAACTAGCCCAGCAGGAGTTTTTCTTCGTTCATGAACACAAGGAGTCGCAAAATACAACATAGGTTCACTTTCTGTTCGTATACATTATTGAATGTGTTAACAATGTAGGTTACTATTTAAAGCTGGCCTTCGGCGCCGTCGCACCGATGGCTTCGGCCCTCACCCTGACATTTCCGAGCAGGCAAATCTGACCAAGGCATTCTTACTTAACTTAGTTTGCGTGCACAGTAATTGTGAATTTTCCGATGTCCCCGTTCTAGCTAGTCTTTTCCTTCGGCAGATGCGAATTTAGGCCCGACGCGTTGATTTGACCCTGGCGTTGAGTGTAGTCTGAACTTGGGACTATTTATATCTACATCAGTTGATCAACTGCAGCGTTCCTCCACTGAAAACAGAACGATAGTCTGGACGAACAACGGATTCCATTGTGCATCCTCTCTTAGTTATATCTCGCATTACTTAATTGATTTCCACAGAAGCATCAAAATGTCCCCTGCCGCCATTATTAGTAGCCCTGTCGATGGCGCCGCTGCTGTCAAAGCCGTCGACGCCAAAGCTCCTACTGTAACCGCAGATGGGCCCATCGCAAGAAACCTTCTACATGTGGTTGATGACCGTACTGGACAATACTATCAGATTCCTATCTCGCACAATTCCATTAGCGCCAATGAATTCAAGAAGATCAAAGCCCCAGACACCGAATTCTACGCTGACCAGAATGAAAGTGGAATCCGAGTGTTTGACCACGGATTTACAAACACGGCCGTAGTAAAAAGCAAGGTCACTTATGTGTTCGTATCATCATTTTCAAACACAAACATCATTTATTTTTTGTACTTACGAGTTCCCTAGTGATGGCAAGAGAGGCAAGATCCAGTACCGGGGCTACGATCTCGCGGACATTGTCGCCAACAACAAGAAATTCATCGATACAGCTCATCTTCTGCTCTGGGGGTTCTGGCCCTCATTCGAAGAAGGAGCAAACTTCCAGCGCAAGTTATTTGACGCAATGTATATTGATAAATGTGTGCTTGACACTATCCATGCGATTCCGTAAGTATCTCGTCAACAATCTACTTCTCTCAGATCGAAAGCCCTGACATAAACAAAAGCCCAACTGCTTCTACGACCATCATGTTGACAGCGGGATTGGCGGCTGTGCAGGCCACCCAAATGGACAAGGTTCCCGCCCATATGGCCAAAAACCTCTATCTCGGAAATCCGGATCTGGTAGACGAGCAAATAATCCGACTAATGGGTGTGCTGCCCGTCGTCAGTGCGGTGGCGTATTGCCATCATACCGGCCGTACTTTCAACTCCCCGCGAGCTGACTTGACTTACATTGAAAACTTCTTGTACATGTGCGGCCATGTCCAGGAGGAAACGGGACTCCCTAATCCCCGCTATGTGGAAAACTTTGAGAGACTCTGGTCTCTCGTCGCTGATCACGAGATGACTTGCTCGACCGCGGCGGTCCTTCTGACTGCCTCGTCGCTGCCAGACCCTATCTCATGCATCATCTCTGGTGTCTCAGCATCCTATGGCCCCCTTCATGGCGGTGCCATTGAATTCGCCTACAAGGACATGGCTGACATTGGCAGTGTGGCAAATTGCCAGGCAAAGATTGATCGTGTCAAAGCAGGCAAAGAACGCCTCTTCGGATATGGACATCGTGTCTACAAAGTCACTGACCCGCGTTCGGACCATATCCAAGCGGTCTTGCGGACATTGAAAGAAGAAATCGATAATGACCCCCTGTTAAAGGTCGCCTTTGAGTTGAACAGAATCGCTCAACAAGATGAATACTTTGTTTCGCGAGGATTGAAACCCAACGCTGATTTGTACGCGGCTTTCACATACGGGGCAATGTGAGTTTCGCTGCAAGAGATTTGTACTGTGCATATCTAATCTTGTATTGTAGGGGCTTCCCTGCGGACTTTATCCTCACCATCTCAACCATCTCCAGAACACAAGGACTGATGGCGCACTGGAAAGAGGCTATGGGTAAGCATCATTTCCCTTTTCCTTTTTTACTAGTATTATGTACAGGCCTGACTTTAGGGTTTTTACTAGGCGGTCGACCACTCCTCTGGCGTCCAACTCAGATTTACACGGGCAAGCTCGATCAGAAAATGGGTCTGTAATTGAGAATGCATTGTTTAAGCTAGGATTCAATGGTCAATGAAGTGTTGAAATAGGATCGATATAGAAATTGTTGACATTTATTTCACCGTAACATTGTACTGCCTCGTCTAGTCGAAATCTTGAAATTTTCCTTAACTAAGCCTTACCAACTTTTGTAACCATAGCACTGCAAACCAAGTCATCTTGAGACGAGATCTCAGGACCGCTCTATTTGCCTCAAGTATGGTTAAAATGTGGTGTTTAAGGGTGCTAATCTTGTAGTGTACCGGCTGATTAGTGACCTAGAAGTAGGGCTACAGTCGCTACGCGCATATATGAAGTCTTGCCGTGTAAGTTAAGCCTAATAAAAGGCCCACTGGCGAGCTGAAAATCATAGTCAGTCATTGAATGCTGGTCTACTTTCATGGACAAGAATCCAGTTAGCTCTATGACGTGGCCACGATAGGGAGGAAGCAGTAAGCAATGAATCAATCGATTATCCCTTGTAAGTAGCTGGTAACAGCAGCCACACATCTGTACAGTACTAGCGACGATGAGTCGGGCGCTGGCGGGCGTGGTCCAGCCCTGTTGGTTTGGCGCTTTCACTCTCACCGCGTTGCCCTTCCGAGCCCCGACCAAAGCCCGGCCACGGCCCGAGATGACTTCGACCCTAAAGTGACCTCGCGCGCCTTTCGGTCACTACGCGTTGAAATCGACATGCCAATGGCTTCCGCATTACTACGACCGGTCGCTCAGCCCGGTGATTCACTAGCTTCTCTCCCGATTGCGTTCTCCGTCTTATACAATCAGCGCCGGCTTATATCTCCTGTACAAGGAGGCAAGGAACGGCCGTGTCAGGAGTCAACACTCAGCACTCAACCACCTCGTTTTGTCGCTAGATAGAGCTTCGTTTCTGCCATCCTCTTCTTCCCAGTTCTTTGTCATCGATTTTTTTCTGGTTCTCGGCGTTTCTTCGAGATGCCTGAGACGTGAGCCCCGTCACCAAGAAAGAAGCAAAAGCAATCGAACGTACCCAGTCATCAGGATGGAGCACTCTATTCTGGATGCAACGCCTAATATGGAGCCCAGTTTTGCATCTACCCCCTCAATGACCTACATCACTCCCTCGACGGACATGGAAGAGGATCCGCTATGCCCTCGGATTATGTTCTCGCTTGTTTACAAGAAGCTTGAATACTCGACGTCACTGTTGAGCAACCATGCCATTGAATTGTCTCAGCATAGGGCTGTTTTCCTTTCGTCGTTAGATGAACCCAGCGACAGCCCCAAGGAATCGCCAGGCGCAGTAGAGAGCCTTCTGATTCGCTTTTTCCAGTTTCTGTTAGATCGCCAGGCCCCGACTATACTAATTTTGCCATTGGTTGTTGCCTTTCGTAAAGACTTTTTGATATTGAACGATATCCATTCGGTGGTAGCTTCGTTGCCAGAACCAAAAGAAGCCCAGCGGGCTTTGCTTTGCACTTACTACACTACGATTTTACGATGTGGTCTGCCGCCAGATGCACACGCACAGCCGAGTGCCCTCTTGAAAGCGGCGGAAAGAGGGAATACCAAGCTAATGGCCATTTTTGGAGGTCAAGGGGCGTCGAATCCGCGATGCTTCAGGGATCTTCAAGACATATATGACTCATATTCTCCGTTCTTGGACGTTCTGATCAACACAGTCGACAACGCACTATACGAACTCTGTGTCGCTCCTGATACTCGAGACTTTTTCAGGGGCCGGGAGATACGTTTGCTGTCGTGGCTGAGAAACCCGCGCAGTGTCCCGGACAATCAGTTTCTGGCAACCGCAGCAGTCAGCTTTCCGATTATTGGAGTTGTGGCTCTGGCGCACTGGTGTGTTGTCTGCAAAGTTCTCGGGATGCATCCTGGGGCTATCCGTTCTCTTCTGGCCGGAACAAGCGGACATTCCCTGGGCATTATCATAGCCGCTGCCATATCGGCGTCCGACTCTTGGCCATCATTCTACGAAAATGCTGTACTCGTTACGAAAGTATTGTTTTGGACGGGGTACGAGAGCCACCAGGCGGCTCCACGTCTAACTCTCACCTCCGCTGCAGTTCACGAGGCCGAAACTCGCGGCGAGGGTCAACCAAGTCACATGCTGCACGTCTCTGGCCTTCCGAGTAAAAGTAGACAGGTCATTTCTCTCCTCGAAAAATGCAATCAGGATATCCAGCTCGAGCAAAAGGTTTATCTGGCTCTCTCCAATTCAAGATCTAGCTTCACAATTGCCGGTCCCGCATCATCGCTGGTTCGATTTAGTCAGCTTGTTCATGAGATTGGAGTGGGTAGAGAAGTAGATCAATCTCGCATTCCGTTTGATAAACGAAAGCCCCAAGTAGAGACACAGTTTCTTCCCATCAGTTCGCCTTTTCATACTCCCTATCTCGAAATAGCCGCGCAAACAATCAAGAGTCGGCTTTCTGATCAAGCTTTGGAATCGAAACAGCTGGCCATTCCTCTTTATGATACTCGAGATGGATCGAACATGGCAGCAGCAACTATCGGGAAAAATCTCTTACCATCACTCATAGATGCCGTCACCATTCACCATGTTGACTGGCCGTCGGCTTTGAACTCTTCCAGTTACACACATGCACTGGTCTTTGGCAAAGGCCTGAGTGACATGATTGCCAGCAACACCGACGGGAAAGGTGTGCAGATTATATCTGCTACAGAGCTGACAACTACCAATTCACGTTTTGGATCTAAATGTACCATTTTCAGCCCTAATTTGGCAGACTCATTCCTCTCTCCTCTCAGCTGGGAGGAGCAATTCCGGCCACAACTTTCACGGTCTGCAAACGGTTCTATCCAAATCCAAACCAAGATGAGTAAAATATTGTGCGCTCCACCACTAATGGTGGCCGGAATGACGCCGACCACGGTGCCCTGGGATTTTGTCTCAGCAGTAATGAATGCAGGTTACCATGCCGAACTTGCCGCTGGAGGTTATTTCAATGCGGAAACCATGACTGCGGCCATCGAAACGCTTTCGATGAGTATTCAGCCTGGCATAGGCATTACCTGCAACCTAATATATGCGAGTCCGCAGTCCATGGCATGGCAGATCGCCATGCTTCGTCGCCTTGCACGCACGCAACGGCCCATTGACGGGCTCGCAATCGGAGCTGGCGTTCCCAGCCTCGACATCGCATCAGAATACATCACTTCCCTTGGATTGAGGCATATCTCCTTTAAGCCCGGATCGGACGACGCAATCGAAAAAGTTCTCGAAATTGCAAAAGCTCACCCAGGTTTCCCCGTCATCATTCAGTGGACCGGTGGCCGAGGTGGGGGGCACCATTCCTTCGAGGACTTCCACTCTCCTATTTTGCGACTTTACGGCAAGATCCGTCGCTATCAAAATGTCGTCCTCATTGCAGGCAGTGGCTTTGGTGATGCTACGGGGTCTTATCCTTACCTGACGGGTTCGTGGTCGGTGGCGTATGGCTATCCACCCATGCCATTTGATGGAATCCTTCTGGGAAGCCGAGTGATGGTAGCTAAAGAAGCCCATACATCGCTGCCAGTCAAGCAGCTGATCTGCGATATTTCTGGAACACATGATAGTAACTGGACCAAGTCCTACAGTCAACCTGTTGGAGGCATTGTGACCGTACAATCAGAAATGGGGCAACCTATCCATAAGATTGCGACGAGAGGTGTCCTTTTCTGGAAAGAGATGGATGACAAGATCTTCAGCCTCCCGCGTGCTAAACAACTAGACGCCATCAAGGTTCTCAAAGACTACATCATAGATAAACTGAACGCGGACTTTGCGAAGCCGTGGTTTTGCCGCAATTCCAACGGAGACAACGTTGACTTGTCGGAAATGACGTACTTGGAAATCCTTTCTCGTTTGATCAGCCTGATGTATCTGCCCATGAAGGACCGATGGATTGACCCATCATACAGTGTCCTCGTGCACGACGTCATAGTACGCATCCTAGAGCGATTAGACGCAGCGTGCGAGATTGACAACTCGTGCAAACCAGACCAACTTGAAAATATCTTCCTTCAGAAATGTCCGCAGGCAAGCACGACAATCATCCACCCGGAAGATGTCTCGTGGTTCTTGAAGCGATGCAAACGCCGCGGCCAGAAGCCAGTCAATTTCGTCCCGGTTTTGGACGAGGATCTCTCTACCTGGATGAAGAAGGACTCGTTATGGCAGTCGGAAAATATTGAAGCTGTCATTGATCAGGATCCCGGTCGAGTTTGTATCTTGCAAGGGCCCGTTGCTGTCAAATATTCGCAACGGGCCGACGAACCAGTGGCTGATATCCTCAATGGAATCAAGAACTCCTGGATTACGATGCTCACCGATGAGTTCTATAGAGGTAAAGAGGTACCACTTGAAGATAATGCTTGGGAGTCCGTTGTTGCACCCAGCAGCCGGTCCAATATCAGTGTCATCGAACATGATCACGGTGTGACAGTGCAAGCCATTCCAGGTAGGATTCTTCCCACTCGAGAAGAATCCCTTCACTGTCTTGCCAACAAAACACACGGCTGGATGCGGGTCATGTTACTTAGCGACTTCATCCTACGGGGCAGGACTAAACGACCGAACTTTCTGCGAGAACATTTTCAACTTGACGAGGTGAAAATCGTGGAAATCGACACGGCCAAGTCTAGAATCCTTCTGAAGACAGTTATTGACGGCGGGAACCAAAGGACGTTAATTGAAATGTCTAGTCTAGATGGCCTCTCCATCGCCTCGCAAATTCTACACTACAGTCCTAGCAGCAACACTCCCACTGCACTTCACTTGAAGTTCCAGTACGATCCACGAAATGCTTTATACCCACTCAGCGAAGACACGAAAGACCGTAACATGCAGATAAAATCATTCTACAGTCGATTATGGCTCGGATCTGATGTGAAAAGCAATTCTTTTGGCGGTCTTCATTCCATATTTGGTGGTTATCGCACGGTGCTGTCCACAGAGACTCTCCATGGTTGGATCGCGTCTGTCGGCTTGTCACACTCCAATGACCGTCTTATTTCGCCAAACACAGAGCTTTTTCCGCTTAATGCTACCATCATTCCGGCATGGGAAGCCTTGGTGCGGCCTCTTATGGCCCCAGAGATTGACGGAGATCTGTTGAGATTGGTGCATCTATCTATTGAGTTCGAACTGTTTCCGGGATCTACGCCATTGCGCATTGGAGATACTGTGGAGGTTAACTCACATATCAAGTCCATTATAATTGAGGATAAAGGCAAGACTATCGCGGTGCGTGCGGTAATTTCACGAGACAACAATCCTGTGGTGGCCATCGTCTCCAAATTCCTGATTCAAGGCTCCTTCTCCAATTTCAAGGACACTTTCCAGCGCAATACGGAATTGGACATGATCCTAAAGGTATCGTCATCGATAGACGACATGGTCCTCCGCACCAGGCCGTGGTTGCAGCTAGACGACGAGAGGGTGAACCTAGCTGGCGAAACACTTTGCTTCAAAGTCAGCTCGTTTTGCTCCTGGAAAGCGCCGAACGTGTTCGAAACCATGCGCGTAACCGGTGACGTTTTTGTCGAGGATCGTCGTGACAGGCTCCGAAAAATCGGCTCCGTCGATTTCGATGCGACCAGCGCTTCCGGAAACCCTGTTATTGATTTCTTGACTCGCAAAGGTAAGCCAGCAGTCGAACGGCATGAACTTGAAAACCCCGGATGGTCTGGCCCTTCGTCTAAAATAATCAAAATGCCATGCGACAATGAAGCGTATGCAAGGGTCTCCAAGGACTATAACCCTATCCATGTCTCACCAATCTTCTCGACTATCGCCAATCTACCAGGGACAATCGTCCATGGCATGTACACGTCGGCTGTTACCAGCGCGGTGCTGGACCACGTCACCAATGATTTCAATCACCTCCGTACACGACGATACACGGTGTCATTCGTCGATATGGTGCTTCCAGGGGAAGAGGTTGAGCTAAGATATCGTCATGTCGCAATGCTTCAGGGAAGATTGGTTCTCCAGATCCAAGCCTTCAAAGCCGCCACAGGCGACAAGGTCTTGGAAGGAGAGGCTGAGCTAGAGCAGGTACCAACGGCGTATATATTCACGGGCCAGGGAAGTCAAGCGCCGGGAATGGGTATGGAACTTTACAAGTCCAGTCCTGTGGCAAAGAAGATATGGGATGATATTGATCGATACCTGTTGGAGAATTATGGTTAGACTCAGTCACCCAGTTTTATTGCAGGTTTGTTTCGTTGGCACTAATGAAGACTTTAGGATGGTCTATCCTCAAGATGGTGCAAGAGAATCCGAAACGTCTCACCATACACTTCTCTGGAAAACGAGGACGTGTGATCCGTGATCGCTACCTCTCCATGGCCGTGTCTTCCATTGGACCAGATGGCCAAGTCGTCAGCACCCCGTTGCTACCGGACCTCACTCCCAACGCGCGATCATTCACCTTCGAAGAGGCCAAGGGTCTTCTCTACGCCACCCAGTTCACACAGCCAGCCATTGCTGTCCTCGAAAAGGCCACCTTTGAAGACATGCGGGCAAATGGCTTGATTCAGGAAGGCGCCTTGTTTGCAGGTCATTCCCTAGGCGAATTCGGCGCTCTCGCCTGTCAAGTCGAGTTCCTCCCGTTCCAACAGCAGATTGATATTGCTTTCTATCGTGGATTGACCATGCACAATGCCGTCAAGCGGGATAGCATGGGGGCGACTGATTTTTCGATGGTTGCTGTTAACCCTGGTCGAGTGAATAAGCGTAAGTTAATTTTCTTGAAAGCTACTATTTACACTTTGGGTTTGAGATGACTAAATAAATTATCTCCAGGTGCCGTTGATGAGGTGGCCATACGCCGACTTGTCGACATGATTGCTGACGAGAGCAAGAGACTACTGGAAATTGTCAATTTCAATGTTGAAGGTGAACAATACGTCTGCGCTGGCCACGTGAGTCCCCTCCCCAACCCCAATACCCTCGATAATAATCCCTAACCAAACTAACCCTTGTAAGAATGCCAATCTCCACGCCCTAGCCCAAATTCTCAACGAAATCTCGAGGATGCCAACCGAGCAGATAGCGCTCTGGTCACGCGAAAGTGTCCTAATCGGAGGCAGTCAACAACAAAACGAATCCCCTAGCCCATGTACAGCCGCCATCAACACCCTGATCAAAACTGCCGTCCACTCCGCGCACGCGCTGCCGAAACCTATCATACTTTCGCGCGGCCAAGCCACCATCCCGCTGCAGGGTATCGACGTCCCCTTCCACTCCGCCCATCTCCGCTCTGGAGTCGCTGCCTGGCGCAAGTTCCTGCTGAGTCGCATTCGGCCCGAGGACATCCAGCCGGATGACCTGTTGGGCCGGTTCGTGCCGAATGTCATGGGTCGGCCGTTTTCGTTGCAACGAGAGTATATCGCGGAGGCAATGCGGGTGACGGGGAGTGAGACGCTGCAGATGATACTGGACGAAGGTGTTGTTCATTAATATGGACATCATTCTAAGCATTGGTTTTTTTTGTGGCCTGTTTATGCTTGTTTATGCTTGGGTTTTAAGTTACATATGTAGGTGTCTTTGTCTAGCTCATTAGCTTAGATTGTTCGTCTTTGTTCTTTTATACCTGCATCTCATTCACATTTATTTTAGAAGATCAGCCTACCTTGTCAAGGTAAACAAATGTACACCGTCTCATGAAATGATGACACATAAAATCTGGGATAAAATAAAGGTCAAGTTTATTCCTTTCTAAGTCTAGGCAGCTTAAGACTGTAACAGAACAAATAGATAATGAGATACCAATCCAATAACTAAATATTCGCCCGAAAAAAACCATAGGGAAAGAACAATAGCGATCGCCCGAAATAAAATGATATTCCAGGGGTCAACTGATGTAATTTATGAACGACATAACATGTACGGATTCATGTAAAACGCCAAGGGATGCACCAAATTCATCTGTATATCCACGCCTTCTGTCATTCCGCATCTTGGCCAGTATTATCACATATTTATTGTGTATGTGTGTGTATCCTTTAATTCAACATCAGTTTAGTGTCTTCTCTATGAGCAAGCTGTAATAACCATCTAGAAATATCATCGGGCATATAATGATTTTCGATATCGTGATCTTCTAACTGCAGGAAATTATCACAGGCGAGAACGTTGTTGATGGAGTTTTGGTTGTGTAGGTCGGAAGCAGGGTCGTCTGGACCTGCGTAGAACATCATAGGAGCGGCAGCTGCTACTGCAACTGTAGTTGTGGAAGGATGATGGGAGCCTTCAAGTTGTACGGAGCCTGGAGGACGTTGAGGTGGTTGTGGTGAGGGAAATAGTGTCGTGGGATAGTTTGGCGTTGGTTTTGTATCTAAGGATAATGTGGGAATGGAATCGGTGACTAGGGAAAGCTCCTCGGTGCTGTTGCTGCTAGAGTCGATATGAGGTAGACCGGAGAGTCCCGAGGGGAAGATGTGATGTTGTTGCTGTTGCTGATTTATAAGGTGGCCTAGGTTTATTAACTCTTCGGTAGACGTCATCATACTGAGGTTGTGCCTCTCTAGTGGGTCTGACGAGTGGTTCTTGTCAACCGGAAAGTCGGACAGGTTTGAATAATCCGTTTGACCACTGTCTGTCAACGACAGCTTCATCCTCTTAAGAGGTGACTGATTATGCTGTGAGGGTAATGGCAAACCGTCCTGGGGCCGTTTTCGTGATACTCCCAGTTGATGATGCTCGGAGGAGGAGCAGGGCGTTGATACTTCGAAAAGAATCTTTCGAAAGGCTTGTGCGACCTCCAAACACCATGAGATGCCCATGTACGTTTTCCCAGTGCTGCAGATGGGGATGTTTGGGTCGACCAGGATTCTAAAGGCATCGCGTACGCCATCGATCAGATCTAGATCTTCAAGCATATGAATACTCGGATTCTCGAAGAATCGCATGCAGATTGAGTGAACAGCAATTAGAGGGTAGCTGCGAAGTAATCTAGATATTCTTAGAAGAAAAACCAAAGTAGATCGATATCAATTATGATGTTGAAACTTACCGGCACAATAAAGTTAACGATCCTTCCGTTGGTGTTTGGTTGAGCACCCCGTTGATGATCTGCAATGCAGCCTTAGCATTCCTCAATTCGATCTCCCTGCTATTGGCCGTATCTGAACGGCTGTGAATGAGTACTTGGCCAATGTGATAGGCGTACTTGAGCTCAACCTGCCAATTATCCTCGACAAATAGATTGTTATTGTTGTCATTATCGGTTGTGCTTTCGGGGAAGAGTTGCAGGGTACGTGAATGCCATTTTTCAGCTAGCTTGTCAAGCCGAGTAATTTGGCTTTCGCGATACGAGGATCCCTTACGCGCTGCCCGCGCTGAGTAGAGAGATATGTATGTCTCCTCCCAGATGGTGGTGATATATATGTGCATCATCCAGCTTTGCTGACCGAGACTCCTGGTGCCTCCCTCAGGAGACAATGGCAGGTCGGAGTCGTAAAAGTAAAGATCAAAAGGCAGACCATTGACGCTGGTTCGTTGTTTGTCCATGACAAAGAGCGTCCAATATAGCGTTCTCCACTCTTCAAAGCTGGGATGACCTGCTTTCGAAATGGGGGATTGCTCAGAATCCATGGCCTTGAAAAGATCACAAGCCATGTGGCAGATCATATCAAACACGCAACTCTCGTGATATTCACGAGCAACCAACGCCTGTGCCAGAAAATGTATCAGTATTGCATATAATAATCGCTATGGCGGAGGAACGCTTACTAAAGTAGCTAATGCTTGTAAATTGACATGACGGGGTTGGAGGAAGAATTTCAGATGGCGCAATGCCCTAAACGAATTAGCCAGGAAAGCAGGGAGTAATTCCTCATTCATCCCCTTGGGATAAGATTTATCCAGTCGAGCCAATCGAGCCCGTAATCCCGAAGAGAGCACGATAATATTGTTAAAACACAAGTTATACGCTTCATCCGTCTTGGAGTAAGGCCTGGAGCCGTATCGCGCGTTGATTGCTTCACGCAAGCAGGTCTCGTTAAAGATAGGCGTGACAGCGTTGAATTTATCGAGGAACAGTTGCAAAGATGTCTCTAGAATAGATTGCGGTGGCAGCGACACATACTGTCCGCCAGGAAGCAAGCTCAACGCGCCCGCGTCATCAAAGGTAGGGAACGTGTCGTATATAGCCTTCAGTTCTGAAAGGGTCGATGGATGGGCCTTTGCTAGTAACATCGGACTCGTCGACACATTGTTGGTGTCACTGGATGACGAGTCCGGAGACGGTTTGCGGGATCGTTTTCCCTCTAGAAGATTATGGACTGCCTGTCGCACCTTCTCAAGCAGGGCACGATTGCCAATCGAAGTTCCTGATATGGTCTGGGGTTCTTGATCTGGTCCGGATTTGTGGAGCTCGGCATGGCGACTCCAGTAGTCCTGCCCGTCTAAGGCGCTTGAAAAAATCAGGTCGATATCATCTACATCATTACATGCAGCCTCCGGAGTCGATGAGGTCTCCGATCGCGATGGCGGGTTTGACGCATCTGAGGGACGTCGCTGGGGAGTAGGAATCTGTTGGACGAGACTCCGGATAGTGCTGTCGATGGAGTCTAGGCGAGCTGCAAGACCTGAAACTCCTTCAACTCTGGATTACGACTCTTGCTGTCAGTTCAATCACAGTTTCTATTGGAGAACTCAATTAGGTCCAGCACACACAATTGTTTCACCGGATTCACGCGCTTTCCGCGAGTTGGAAATTCACACAGTACGCCAGCTTTTTCGCAGCTAGAGCATTGAGGCAGTTGTCGATCGCACCGAACCTTACGATTCCGGCATTGGTCGCATGCAGATGGAGCAGGAGGATCGTCGGACTCGTGGGACCTAGCTCCTCCGTTATTGTCATTATTCTGTTGTTGAGTCATAGCTTTACAGGGTTACTAGTGGAATCTCAGCTCAGCGGCGAGGAAAACCGAAAGAGAGATATCCGTCCCTGTTCTCCTTCGTGAACTGATCGTTGCACGACATCGTAGTTATATTCCAGTCATCCTTGGCCACCACCCACGTGGAACGGCTCACTAATCCTTGCAATTGCCCAACGACAGTCATTTTCCACAAGATTGGACCGAGTCAAGGATCAGAATCAACTATATGCGCCTCCGACGCCAGTAATCCAGTTGTGATAAGAGGTTGTTGTTATGCTGACACTAGCATTGTTCAGCTTCATGTTAAACCAACACTGTTGATGGGAGCTTTACGCGATTTTGTTTGAGCGTAAGACCCCGCTAAGCCTGCAGAACATGTGTCTTGTACGATTACCTCCGTAGCACGCCACGTGTACGGAGTATTTTATTAATACTATTTATATTTTTCAGCCCCGTTCCGTTAACGCCAGGCCATTTTCGTATTAATCGGCCAATCAGAGCCCCGGAAGGGAAGACCATGATATAGACACCTTGAACAATTGGAGATTTCCCAGTCCATGTTGCATTAGTGGCTTTAATGTGGTTGATGAGATTTCCAGATAAACAAGCGAGGTCGAGACAACCATACCCACCGATACGTATATGTTCCGGTGACACCAACATCAACCGGCTCTCTAACCTATGCTCCAATCTCTTTAGCGGCTTTCCTCATGATATCACTAAGAAGTTAGAGTTTTAAAAATACGGAGTACCCCGAGAGCTTAGCATCTCACCCAAGCTGTCTCGGAGTACCAGAGCCCGGATTGCTTACCTTTTATTCTCCTTTTTACAAATACGAAGATGTTGGTACCTTGAGAATATATGCTAGGCTTTATCTATCGACGTTATTTTACAAGTGTTCTTCCACCAACTAGATAGTGTTCCCAACAGAGGTTAGGCTAACTTAGACTTTGCTTGGAGGATTTTTTCCTTTTCTTTCCACACCAGCTATCAGTCGTACACATATTTTATGTGTGAAAGTTGTCACTAATGTCATGGCATCTTTTATCTAGCCGCACGATACTTTGAAAGAATTTACTAGGCAAATAACTAATTTAGGACTAGTTGTTGTTGTTGTCGTTATACTGGTTCTCTTAAGCTGTTATATATGTCATGCCCCTCACTGGCAAAACCTTGTTTATTTTAGCGTCCCTGGAGTGTTTAGCGTGCATAGTCTGATTGACTGATTTAGTCAAAAAAAAAGACTCCCCACCAATTAAAATAACATCTAATATCTTCCACGTTACTTAAATACAGATACATTCCTACTGCATTGCTCTAGGCCCGTGCGTAATTTTTCAATTATTTTGTATGGTAATCTTAGTAATATCTCACGCGTTCCCCTACAAATTGCTAGCTCACATTTTCTTACATGTCCTGAAATCCAGTTATCAGTACATTCTGAGTCAAGATATAAACCCTTCCAAACCTGCCACCTAGGATCTTCATTACCTGATATAAGGACCCTAGCATACTTATTTAGAAAGTCTTCTAATCAAAGGTATATACACCTCCTCGTCCTCATTCTCTTTCTGAGTAAATACACCAATGTCTCTTTTGCTTTGCTTGAATACGCACTGTCACACTAGATCCCGCACCAGGTATTACAGAAGAGGTTATATCTAGCGCGGCCATGGGCTCTACTGTAGTAAATTTTAATACCGCGAGTTCAGCCGCGACTAGCTCATTTACAGTAAGCTCAGTAATAGTAGATTTACCCTGCGGCCAGGCCTCTCGTATATTAATTCCCGTGTTAGGCATAGTACAAAACACAGCCCTTAGTTTAAGCCTAGAACACAAAAGGCAATTGAGTTGTATGCCCCTGCCTTTTACACACGCTGCAGGAATAACTTTGTTGAGATGGTTGAGATAAATTTGTATGCTTTCTCTTTTTAGATATCTATTCTTTTTTTTGTTTATGTAGTTTAAGCTTCATGATCTGAGGTATCAGATAGATTCTTTGTGCCAATTAGCGCCACTACGCCCTTATATGTCAACTATAGTTCATAAGAGAAGTTTTATTGATATAATGATTGCTTGAGTATTTCAAATCCCAAATTATCGCTATGGTACGATTGTAGGGTGTCTGGATGTATTTAAAGTCTTTGTAGGAATAAGTATTAGTAGCTGAGTCTATATGTAAGCTCTGTACAGTATGGGTTTTAAAAATAATGGTAGTGTATTTCGTACTAGGTATAGCATTATATTAGCGTGATAACTCCCCATTGGGTATTCACATAGTTTTGAGCGTATGCAGTGAATCTTCTTTTAAAATCGCAAGTTTCCTGAACGTAGGATTTTTCTTGTATACTGTACCATATGGTTTTTGAGGCAGAAGAAATAGGAAGATTTTGTATATCCAATCATGTTGAATGAATTTATTCTATGATTTTAGAAGTAAGATGGCTTTATTGCGAAGTTAGGAGGGTGTAGGTTACCAAATAATGAGAAGGATTCTTTTAGGATATTGCGCTATAGTAGGGTGGATCTTCTGGATGGCCTTAATATGTAGTTGGAATTTTGTCTGGCTTGGGGAATGATGCCGTCTGTCAAAGAGCTGATAGGCTCTTTACCAATATATAACTTATTAGATTCTTGTATAAGCGCTGGCAGCAGTAGGCATAGACGGTGGAAGGTAATTCTATAGTTATTTCTGTACTTAATCATCCATTGTGGTCACTTATAATAGTCACTTTTGTTATTTTCTTATTCATGAAGGGGGATGTAAGGTGGAAATATCGGAGGAGGAGCACCCAGCTATTAGTGGATTCAGTCAGGATAACCTTCCAAGCCAATGGTAGAACCTGATTGTCACCATCCCTGTCACTGCCACATGGAGCCTAAGGTTCCATTAAGCCTTCCAGAATATGCCATCTAAAGCAATAAATGCACAAAAAAGTCTAATTTTTTCCACCACGTTTGTAAATAGTTAATATTATTCCCATCCCTGAGCTCTACATTGACATTGCGGATTTGACCCGGCTTTCGAGCCTCTTCCAGGGGGTGGAAGGCAATGCCAAACTGTTAATGGAGAAATCGCAGCTATCATGAGAAACTGAGAGAGTGATATATTAAGGCAGCCAGAGAGTTACATGCCGGAACGTGTCGAAATGTACCACACAAAAAGATTGAAAATTGCGCACGGACCTCGGGTAACGGTGTACAAATGTATTTGTATTCAGGTAACGCGGGCGGGTCCAAAAATACGTCCTGCCTGTTTTATTTGTATGCCCAATCATATATAGCCATCTTGCCAAGGCGCTAAAATAATCAAAGTTTTGTCTCGGCAGAGCAAGCCAGCGGACGCGGGAACAAAAAACGTGGCTGAAGAGCCTTGAAGATTTCACAGATAAGAATCATTATAATAATCAGGCGTTAGAGACAATAATCAAAAGTATAATATACTACATAAAAATACAGTAAAGTGCTTTATATGATATTTATTTTTTTCTTAAAAGAAAAAGTAATATGACACAGACAGGACGGTTCATCCAAGCCCACATCACCCTAGTTATTTAGTGTATGCAGGCACACAATATGTGGAGCCAATCAAACTCGCGTGGTGACAAGTCGTCTATCTTTGTTCCAAATACTATGTGCACCTTAACCATCAGACTAGAAAGGCTTCGTACATGACTGGCCCAATTGTCTTTTAAAAACATAAAGGGAGATCCATTTTGATGCTGAGATATATCATCTATGGGACAAGTCTGTTTGAAGCTGGATCATGTACCTATATTTTATCCATTTACCTAGCCAAGCTCATTTAGGACACATCTACCAGGTTGAAAAAAGTAACTACACAACGCATGCATAGCTAACATTGTGGAACACGAAGGGAAAAGAAGTTCCACTAACCCCAACAACAATCGGAGCAGAGGATTGGCATTAGACGGAGATGCACCCAGATATGGATTACATAACAAGTCCGTCGGGGATAGATTAGAAGGGTATAGTTTACGCACCGGTATATAAAGTACTCCGTACTTCCATTAGTTATGTCTCAACAGTTGTAAATCAGATCCACATTGCTTCGGGCCCTATTTTACGCACTATTAGATTAGTTAACTACACTTGTAGTACGGAACTACGGAGAAACACCCCGGTCTGACTGTGACTAACACCAAATCTCGACTACACCCAGACACTCAGGTCCAGCGCCGATACCATTTCCAAGCCATGGATTGATGTTGGTAGGTTGAGGAGGCGTTTTCTACACAAGATAAACGTTGATTAGTGTTGGGTTTCACTCTCTGTGGATCTGTTTATCCCTAGTGGAAGTTCGATTTTTGTAGAGGGCTCGCGTCATTATTATTTGATATTGACAAAGATAGACAGCTGTTTTGTCTCTACACTTTTGGGATATGTTTAAATAGCTGAAATACAACTCGGATTTGATCTAACAGTAAAGTCTGCAGAAGGGCTACGGTTTATTGAAGTAGGTCATAAGAAAATGACAGAAGGTCTTATTAATAGCCTTACAAAGTGAGTACTTTATATCGGGGGACTGGGGTTACAATCTGCTAGAAAGTGTATCGGGATGGCGATAAATTAAAAATTACCGTTGTTATTAAAGTTTCTTGGTAATACCCTGGGTGAATTGAGGAGTCATGTCTATGATCCCATAGCCACTTACGTGTCGTGGTTTGGCAAGAGGATTCTAGCGGAAGGTACATCCTAGTTTAGATTAGAAGAAATTGTTTGCTTTTTTTCTTCAGAGATCGTGTTGTTGTTAGTGAAATAAACTTTTACTAGTTGACTCTCTTAATTGACCTCGAACCGCAATGACGCTAAGATCTACGGGAACTTGAGGTAGCGCAATATACGAGGAACTAGGATCATGGCGTCATTCCCATGCTTGACAGATCGCACCAGAGTGAGTGAATAGCGGGTCTAGACTCACTGACCTGGGTCTCACTCATGCGTCCCTTGCGTCTAGAGGGAGTGAGCATAAGCCTATCTTCACGGTAACATTGATTCGAACGTCAGCCCGACTCTGTATCATGTCCTCCGCTGGTATCGTAATTTCGTGTGAACAATGTTGCACTAAGCTTAATGCTTGGTTTGACTGCCACTGATATGTCATCATGAACGTCGAAGGGCCCACTCATAGATGCAACGCTTGTATGAGGGGGCAGCCAACCCTGAACCCCAAGTTCCTAAGGCCGTGACAGCGGGTGTGCTCGGGGCTGTGACACGGAAAGATAACCAACAACGCTAACAAAAACACCAAGTAGTTTGACATACCTGGATCTACCCTAAGTCGTATTCATCTTACGATATTTCTTTCACTGCGCATGCATCTCACTGCGGCCAGCATGCCAAACTCATGCTGTAATCCCCGTGATGTCCCCGAACCCATGCCGGTGCGAATCACCGAGCGCCGTCTACTATTCCTCCTCTATTTCCCTGCACATAGCATGCTTTCGCGTGTGTTGGATAGTCCTTACTGCGTCCGGGGCAATAATAATATCTTATAACATTCAAAATCACTTTCTCAGCCACTTTATTTAAAAACTTCCCCCTATAGCGGAATCTCTCAACCGACTAAATGATTTAATATTTTTATTGGCTAGAAATTGAGAATTCAAATCTATATAGTTAACATGTTTTGGGGGGGGGGGAAAAAGAAGGGGGCCGGGGGGGGGGGTTCCCAAATATTAACGACTTGCTACGTGAGAGCGTTTTGAATAAATATCAATGATGAGTGGAATATCGCTAGAGTTTTCTTTCGTGTGATTTGAACCTACTTTTGGTAAGGTTCTAGAAAGAAATTTGCTGTGATCCTTTCTTCCCGATTCTCTAGGCTATCTGTGGATCAAAATACCCACTGTGGACAAATTCCAGCCATTCTTCCACACTGCGTGGCTGGCCATTCCAGAACAATATGTTACTATACTTTCGGCAAAAATAGTCTTGCCATAACGCCTGGGTGGTTTTGGAAACCACACGTGCTTCGCACGGGATTTAACGCAGAGAACCGGACAGCTGGCGAAGAACATGGTGCGCATACTATTCATTTCATTGCGGGTTTTCTACAAGTTTGAGTATTTGATAGATCTAATGTATCAGGTTATAATAGAGGACAGAGTTTCGAGTTTGAGATATAGAAGAAATGAAAATAAAGAATAATATGAAGGGTCGGTATCTAGCAATCTAGAACAAGTGTGAAGCTTCTTTTGTAAGAGAAGAATAGTCCAAGCACATGCAAAGTAAATTCTTCTCAATATCGATACCGAACTAACCTCATCCCAATGACCTTCGGATACTATGTCGGATCCGTCTCTACTCATGGTGTCGACTGTCTACCTGGTATCTCCAAATCATTTGGGTTCTGAAAAGCCTCCGATGTTGATGATGAGGGTACCTTCGTTTCCAATTCCGTTTCTGTTTCTGCATCGACAATTCGTTTCTTCGCGCGAAAGAAACTGAAGTTCGCATCGGCCCAAGTTCCTCGGAAGCCGATGCCAGGATGGAGAGACGTAAAGCACACTGATGCTATCCCGATCATGGCACCCTCGAGGGCCATGAAGGTAGACTGGTTATTGGCCAGAGACCCGTGGAAACCGCCAGACAGTTCAGCCACACGAAAGCAGGATCGTATCGTTATCGTCAAAGTACTGAGGGCCAGGCCACCGAGGAAGTATTTGAAGACGGCGCTTTCGAAAAGCTCTTTGTGGGTCATATCCCAGTGAAAAGGGCTGTGCCAAACACGCATTGCAAAGTCGCCGCAAAGGACAATGAAAAGCACGAGAGAAAAGACCTGGAACGAGAGACCGGCAATCATAATATGGATACCCATCTGAGACTATACACGCGGTTCAGAATTAGCTTGGTTTAGCTAATAGATTTAAAATATGAGGAAATACTTACGGTTGCGTAGTCGTTAGCGATAGATGCGATCGCACCGCCAATGGCCTGCAGAAGGAGAGAAATAAAGTCGCAAGTGCAAAAGACAATGGTGTAGAACCGAGGCCTAAAGCGACTAATATCCTCACCATAGACCACAACGATGCGGGCCAGGCAAAGATAGATACAAGCAGAAAGAAAAGCCGGTGCGATCGTCAGACACACAAGATAAATCAAGAAATTGTTCTTGTCGAACGGATTCTGGTGAATCATAATCCTGCCTGCATATCCAATTACCTCCAGGGCCAAACCGCAAATAGCAGCTATAAGAAAACCCCAGGTCTTGTAACGGACACCAAGACCGAGCTGCACCAGAGCACACACGCCGAATAGCGCGGCTAGGAAAGCATTCCCACCCAAATTCGGGATATATGTAAAGTGTGCCAGAGTGAGATCGCAGGTCGATAGAGTGCAGAGAATATCGTTATTCAAACACAAGGTTACATTTCCATAGCATTGATTATCATGCTCGGATGTTAGGTTCGTGCCAGGCCAGAATGGTGTCATGACACCTGCCTGGCTGAGATCGAGAGCCATGAGGGTTGTAACTTTATATCTTGAGAATGGATTGGAGCCTGGTAAAGAGTGTGTGAAGCAAACTTGGGGTATTCGTCGCTAACATTTAATTGAATACTCGGAGTTTTTAGACAATGAAATCTGGCAAGGTCCATAACTTCTATATATATGTATATATCAAGTGACACATATTAATTGATACAGCCTCGTTTAAGCGGGGTATTGCCCTTACTCTGTACAATATCTATTAATATTTTTATCTGGTCTGCAACTAGGCAACAGATTTTTTAAAACGTTGAAAGAAGGAATAAAAATGAAATTTTACCCTGCGGACTTCGGATGACATGTCCGAACTCAGTCACGGAGATACGTATCTTACGATTCTACGATACGCATCCAATCAAAGGGCAATACTCTTGACATCTAGCCTTTTAGATAGAAGAGATCTATGTTTCGGAAAGACCAAAGGCTGAAATGCAAGCGCATTACTAAAAAGACATAGTTACTAAAGAGACATAGTTTACGCGCGTTCAATAATATAGACTATGTTTATAAAAGAAAAGGTCCACTAACTAATTGGATTCTCCAGGATATTATCTCATTTAGGTATGGCTTACGCTGTTTGAATTTGCCAAGAAAACCGGCCGGGTAATTTTGCAGGACAATCATTCTCCATTGGTTTGAGTATCCAGTAACGTGGCTGCCTACGATAAGATTGCGTTGATACACATAGAATGTAAGACGGAGGGCTCAAGCGTAACTATATTCTCAGAGAGGCATAGTTTACGCGCTTCTGCTGTGATCAAAAATTCCATTCAGGCATGATTTACGCTGGTTAACTTCTCGTCGGAGTGTATCTGAGGAAGCAAAATGTAACCCGCGTACTGTAATTTGTAGGAAGAACAAGCATCGTAGAAATAACAGCAGTTTCATATCTGGCGAGCTTTCGCTATTTCTGACTCTATTAAAAGTCTCCTGTCTCCTATCAAGCCATGAATCATGAAAGACGTCAAGGTTTATATTTTAAATTCCATTCAATTTCATCAAAATGAATAGACAAACAAATCCGAAGGATATTCTCTATTTAGCTGGCGAAAGAAATCTCTTAAATAGATAGAGCTTCCACCGAATTGGGCACATTGCACCAATCGGCATTGGTTTTGTAATTCCTCTCTTCTGCTGGTCATCCAGAAGCCCATGTCGGCTCAGATACATGCTCGAGACCCTAGTACTTTTCGATAAGTTTCATAGCAACTTATGCGCATCCAGAGGATGGCTGATATCGTATAATACAACCCATGTCCCACTAAAGCGCTCTTTCTCAACTCTAGCTCCCCCTTCACGGACCGACCTCAATCCTAGGCAATGTCTGATAAAGTCCAGATGCTAGATTCCTCTACTGTTAGTTAATGCTAGGTACAGGCCCACTGCCCTCTTCACGGTACTGACCGCGAGGTTGGCATCAATTCCAATTTCCCTTTCGATAACAACTGCCCAAGACTGTTCCGCCGGCTGCGGCTCTTGTCAAGATATAGCATGCTTCGTTGTCACAGTCATCTGTGCCAGATATACTGAGCATCGTTCTAGCATCGTTACGAACCATCACAAATTGTTCTCCGGCTAGTGTCACAAATCTGTCTTTGACACCACCTAGCCAGCATGCATCACATCGAGCCCTGTACAATTGGCCACTATATCAACTTTATTCCACGAATGATTCATCCGCGAAGCAGCTTGTAAGATATTATGAAATGCTAAATCAGTATAACTTGCATGCACACCTCCAAGGTACCCTGATTGGCATGCATCACATTGACCGAAGAACAATAATCTACGCCATTTCGATAGCTCGTGCTGATTTGGTGCAAAGTACATATGTAGTGGAGTTAGGGCTTTTTGACCTATGGCGTCTAGCATAAACTTAGCTCCAGCACCGTCTATCCTGACTAATGATTCAAGGTAGCGTGGGTTTCCATCATCGTCAATGCACATACCGTCAGCGTTAAAGCTTTACCATGAGACCCTTCAACCTTAATGTTGCGGCGGCTCCTGTTGTCTTGATCGCTTGGGATGTACCCTCTCATTATTCATTTGGTTCTAGACAGAACACGACCAGAGCACGCATTTCAATTATAAATAATATAGTAATCTAAAGTAACAGCGAACATAACGCTATTATTGTGGATAAATAAAGGAATAATGTTAGAAAAAGACAAGAATTGGTCATTTGCCTATCTAAATTGAAGTTATTGGGATAATCTAAGGTAAGAAATTTCTGCATGAGCTGGCTTTTGTGCGGCAGAGCAACTATTTTTTAAACGTAGTTCATGTGACGGCCATAAGCCAAAAATTAGTCTGACGCAACAACATTCAACCCTTGGAGAGCCGTACATCCGTCCTGGCCCAGAAAAATCGGCCCCCCAAGATTAGTATCAGCTGCTACAAAGTCTGAATCTGGCGAACAGAAACTCCAACCAATGCCGCTATAGTTGCCCCCAGGAACCAACAAATTGTCAGACGTGATTGTAAACTTCGGATAATAAATGGTACCATCGGCGCCGCCTATTTTATCGAATTGTATGGAACCCACGTCGCTGGGCTCCCATCCCCAGGCATAACGTAGTGAGTTGTCAGTCGTTGACTTAGTTACAAGACGACCCTTTGTTCCGGCTTCGAGGAAGAAGACAGTTGGGCTCTCCTTCTTGCTGGGTATGGTCTCGAGAGTTCCAATAGTATTTTCGGAGTTACGAGCGTCGACCAATGCGATATTGTTTAGACTGGGGTCATTGGACTTGGTGGTAAGGGTGAACGATTGGCGGGATGCTGGGACTTTTAGAAGTTAGATCAACTTTCAGTAAGTACTTTACCAGTAAATATCAAAAACTAAACTTACTAGCAGTCGCACATGTGGCTGCCAGAGCAACGAGTGATATAACGCTTTTCATTTTGGTTGTAGACAGAGTGCTTGAATTAAAGTTGTTTACAGATTTTTAGAAGCTGGAATCCATGCGGCATTTGATAATCTATTTATGTATTTATTGAGCAACTATAAATATCACACAATCTGCCCTTAAATTTCAGCGAGCGGGAGAGACCGTGCTGTCTGTCGCAATATCCAACCTAGATATCCACATAGGTCTCCATTATTAATGCAACAAATGGTTGATATCTGTCGATCCTTGTTAATCCCACGGTTTATTTCCATAATTGGGTCCCCGTACAGAGAAACCAGTGTAATCTCTTAATCTCGGCTGCTATTTCTAGCCTCCAGTCAGTTCCTTTATTTCTGGCTAGCGGAGAATAGTCGTACTTTAAAGACCTGAATAGGTAGATTTCAGAAGATCCATTTAGCCCGCTGACCTTAGGTGACATTGCGTATATAACTACCGAGCTGGGCACTAAAATTTACGAGTAGCTATTCCCCCATAAGTTCAGGTAGCAACCTATGAAATATATGAAATATGGCCTGCATATCCTATATCTAAACCTTGTCCTTCTGTCATCTTCAGCAAAAACGAAAGAAAAAAGAAAAATAATAACCCGACAATTTCATTAATATTGACAGGTGGACTTGCACAGCCTTCCAGTACGCTATTCAAGAGGGATAAGAGGCTCTGAGGAATAATCTACTACTTGGGGGCCTCTTTGTGGGACCGTTTGGCTGGGCAGTGCCTTGTTGCCTAAGGCGGTTGGGGCTGGAATTATGAAGTACTTGTGGTGTAAATCCGGATGAAAGGCAGAAAATCTTAATATTATATTTAAATTTTTGCCATATTAGTGTATTTAAGAGACGGATCATCCAGAAAGAATGCCATCTAACGACTTTAGGGATCACAAACTACCTTCTCTGCTCACAACTCGTACTAATACTATTTTTTGGTTTAATCTGATTTTTCAAATTTATTAAAAACTAAGCTTTCAAATTAAATCATACATTCATACTATATATCTATATACTATTGACAGCAATAACTGCGTACCTTAAAGCTATAAGTAGTGTCAACGGCTGGAACATCAAAAGTAAACCAAAACTCTTGTATGCAAGTCACCGAGTAACTAGCACTGCAAGCCAAATACGGGTCCACCCTGACTTCTGTGATTTCTTGCTTCTTATATATGCCGATTTCCCATGCGGCCCCTCCTTGCCTCCCTCCGTCTCAAACGCACGACTTGCGCTAGCTGGCCAGTAAATCGCGCCAGCAGTAAAAATACAATGGCGCCTATAACAATGGTCTGCGTGATATACATAACCGAGTCTCGTGTCGATGCACCCCAGATATCTTTCGCAGGGGAAGTAATGGGTGGTGGCACCCCTCCAATGGAAATAGAAAAGGATAGTGAAAAGGGTGTCAGAGACCCAGATACATTGGTAGACGTGAATTCTGCAGCCGGCGCGGCAATGGTAACCAAAAAGATGGCGATGAGCAGGAGAGGCATTAGGAGTCACAAAACGGCGCAGGTGGATGTTGATGTTGTCCTTTTAAAGCAGAGTCAGCGGTGTTAGTAGTTATGAATATGACAATGAGAGAAATATGAATATACCATTCCATACTATCGAGCTTTCTAGTCCACCTTGCCGCGATCTTGAGTCGATCACGTACACTGGTTGAAGGCAGCAAAAGGTACTTCTCCTCATCAGCGATTGGGAGAACACTAGCAAACCAGTAGGGAAAAGAGGCCAGGTCGCTCGGTGGCTGACCATACGCCATCAAGATTCTCTGATGTAGCCACGGCGCAGATTCCGCGCGTCTTCTTTCGATAAACTGCATGCAGAGCTGCATCAGCTGCTGCGTCGACAGGGCTTCTAGCGGAAGATCGCTAGAATCGCCATTCGAGTCCTGAACGGTCGTGGATGTTGCGGCTGCTGCCATCTCGCGTCTCTCTAGGTCTTCCTCCTGTGCGAGACTGATGTCGTCTACGCGCTCGGTCTTTGCGATATAGTATCCATCTAATATCCCCCAATCAACGATTCTGAATTTGTTAACGCCAACAGCACTCAACAGACTGCGGCCGTCGGGGAGTAACTCAAATCTGTCAATTGAGAGGACTGTGCCGTATTGCATGAATTGTGTTTGTCCAATATTACCCTGTGGCTCGTCGGTGTAGTTGTTTATTACCATGCCGAACCTGCGTCCACCATCTTCCAACGCGCGACGGATCATCAGACGGTACCGAGGTTCAAAGACATGCAGAAATGTAGGCATGGATGGAAATGAGAGCGTGCAGACAAATAAAGGCAGATCTTTGTCTTCTCCAAGCACATTGTCACTCAGCATCGCTGCTCTTCGCGATTCTATTTCTTCGGGATAAAGATTGCTTATCAGATTGTCTAAAATCCTGTTGATAGGTTCGGTCATCAGGGCTGGTGGAAGTGATAGCTTCCGTCTGCAGATTGGACAGAGGTTGGAATGGTCTAATACGCGCGCTACACACCTGCGACAGAATGTGTGTCCGCACGAAGATGTCAGTGGATCGACCATCAGCCCATAGCACACTTGACAGTCAAGCTCATTCTGAATATTTCTTCTCAGCTGTCCAACAACTAAGCGGTCTAGCTCGGAAGCTTTTTGCTCGTCTTCTGAGTTCATGTGTCTATAAGTAACATTGTCGATATCATGCTGAAGTCCTCCCTCTTTCATCAACTTATACGTGCCTAGATATCGTCCATGGAGAAGAGTTGCCTCTTGGACGACCAATGGTTCCTCGGTGCTATTATCAGCACTAGCAGACGTCCACTGCATCTGCACAGGAGCCATAGTCCGGTCGATATTATTAGCGAGCACATTGTCCAAAACATCCATGATTTTGCTGACCGTGACATCGACGCCACAGTCCCCCATTGAGTGCTCAATCGACGACCCGCATCCTCGGCCCTCCCACGGACACAAAAAGCCCTCTTCTCGCCCTTGGTCCGTAGGATACGAAATGCCCTCTCGCTTCTTGACTGGCGGAAGACAAGCGCGACAAATCGTGTTTCCACACGGCAGCCGAAGGGGGGTGCGCATAGGCAGCGAACATATTCGGCACTGAAGCAGACTTATCACCGCATAAGGATCAAACACAGTCACGTCTTGATCGATGCGTTCAGGTGCGGTGATAGCACTACCACTATCATTATCACGCGTCTCATCATCCGGCCCAGATGCAGCTGGCCGGGGCTTGTCGGAACAATCCCGGCCAGTATCGGGCGGGTTGGACATGGATGATAAGCAACAGAGTTTTGAGGCAGCTTGAAGCAGCTATCAAGGACAGTCACGGCCACCATACATTGTGGGTATGGGTTAAGAGAATGGCGATAAAATGAAAATAAACAGACATCTAAACACTCACGGGTTATGATGACATCGGTGCCTACGATCGTGGGTCGCTGTCGAGCTGGGCGTCGGGGCGGTGGAGATCGGTTCAATTAGATTTAGGCTTTTGGCAGGCTCTCCACACTACGGTCCGATAAACATTCCCAGTGCGTCGCATGAACTATTTACATCCGTCGTAAATTGGTGGGGTAATAGAAAACAACATATTGCGCATCCATTGCTGTTGCCTCTACTTATACAGAAACCGTCAATTGATATGCATACAAAGCCACAAAATCCCCTGTGACGTCACTAGTCATGTATCTCATATGTAGTAGTATCCCAAACCCCATGCAGAAACAAACATCGCCAAAAAAGAATAATGATCGTCAGCTGAAACAGCAAAACAAAGATTTGTAGGGTATATATCCAGTCAACCGGAATAAATAAAAGAGTTTCAGCTTAGATTAGGAGGTAACATAGGCATATAAAGCAGCATACATCTCCTATTTTCACAGTCGAATGGAAGATTTCAGGCACTGTCGGAATCAGAGCATGAATCCTCTTCGAGGACAACGCGTCTCATGACGCTCTTGTCAAACAAGTCCAATGCAAAGCGTCGGGCTGGAAGACGGAAATGGTGGCTTTCGAGTATAGTGAGAGTCTTTTGGAACAGATCGACTTGATGAAATCGGTCGGGATACTTTGTTTTGAGACTATAGCGAGAATTAGATACGAAACAGCTTGAGAGACAAAATGTCAGGACTTACGCGTGAAGATCAGCTGCGGCTTTCTTAGACAAGACTGTATTACCCATATCAACAATCAACTTTAGGATACGTTGATTTTGGGGTTCCGGGTCAGTCGATGCTGCTTTGAATATTTCCCGTGATAACCGTCTTAGGTCTTTGTCTCGTTCATTTCGAACAATGGGTAGCTATTTGCCAATGGGTTAGTATTATCACAACCATAAAACTCGAGCCAGGACACTAACAGAATACAGCCTCTCCAAATTTCGTGGCAGGCAAAGTCCTAGCGAGTCACCGCGTTGATCAATTGCAGCATCCCAGCCCGCTTCGTGAAGCATTTCCAATCCATGCTGACTACGTGAAATAAGGCCGAGAACAAAGAACGCCGTACCTCGCATGGTAATGACGTCTGCTTTCTCTGCAATATCGACGATGTTTTGCACAATCTCAGTCTCTTCCAGGAATGGCGCTCCTAGCTCCATAGACCCTACATTCCCCACAGCCCACAAACAGCCCTTAACTTTCAAAAGCGCTTCAGGATCTTCTTCGCTCAGCTCAAAATCTCGGATAGTAGTCGCGAATTCGAGAAAGTGACCAGACTGCTCAAGCAGCTTGCAACCCTCCCAAGTCCGAGCAAGTTCTCGATAGAAATGGGGTGGTACAATGCCAATGTCTTGCATCTCGACTACATCCTCAGGAGCGAAGGTGTGCCTTCGAGGCTGGTCCACGTAGGCGCGCGAAAGTGAAGCTTCAACAAGAGCGACATAGGCGTCATTTCTCCCTAAGAACCAGTCATCCATCTCCTGTGTGATATAATCGAGCCCATCGAGATAATGATAGCCGACTGATGTCGAAAGAAATCGAAGTAGTAAGGGCGCCGCAATCTCTCCAAGGTGGTCAAGAGAGGGCCGACATTTCACGACGAATTCTAGGTACTCGCGTTGGTTGCAAGCCTCTTCAAGAATTTTCACAGCAACCTCGCAAACAGCGACGTCCGGGTCATAAAGCTGGGTTACCAACAGACGAACAACCCAATTCACATTGCTAACAGACAAATGACTGCCAACTGCGTACTTCCGTAAGAGCTTTGTTGCGAAAATGCGAATATCCTTAGTCCCTGTAGTAAGGGCTTTAGACAATAGAACTCGGAGGTGACTTTCTAAAGAAAAGTCCATGTTCCCAAGAAGCACCTGGATCAAGTCACTTCGATCTTTGAGATCAACTATATGATAGAACATGTTGATCATGTGCCACCTCTCCATCATATAAAGTCCTTGTTTATCGCCGCTCAAAACACCAAGCAGCGCGAAATAACCGCCGCTTAGAGTACCAGCCATTTGCTCCCTAGAAAAAAGAGGAGCCGCAGAAGTAAGGCCACTCATACGATCCACCTGTGCGAGACATTCTGCAATTTGACGGAGCAGTTTGTTGTCGGCGATGTATTTTACTCCTTCTGATGTTTGCATTAGAGTGCGCAACAATGCACATCCTGCACGCACATACCGCTGGTTTGGTTTAGAATTTGGGATCATGGAGAATCTGTACTTAAAAGGACGATAAAAGCCCACGAGACGCTTCATGAATTTCGAGCCCTTGATAGCCTCATCGAGTCGCTTGGGGTTAGTAAGAGGGCCTTCGATGATACGCAGAATCAAGTCCCATTTCCACTTGACGTAATTAACAGTATTCAAGACTTGTGTTTCGAGAATGTAGTTTCTAAACTGGGTTTCGTCCATGGCTGGGTTAAGTCTGTTCTTCGCCGGCTCCCCGGATAATAGTGATGCGGATATATCTTCATCAACGACCGCATACCTTCCCGACGTACCTGAGATAGACCCAGATCGAGCCAGAGTACGATTGATACTTTCGATCTGATAAATGATTGAGGTAGAAGCTTCGTGATTGTCAACATCAAATCTGATGGCACTTGGCAATAACTTCGGTAGTACTTGAAGCTCAGAGCTGACAGATTGAGGGAGAGAGTGCTGGGCCAGTTTTAGTACCTCTGTTAATAGCAGGGTAGCTTTTCGTTTAATAGCCTGATTTGTCTCAACTTCGATGAGACCCGATAGCGCTTTGATTAAGTTCGCTTCAAGTAAAGTTGCCAATATTAACGCAGAGAAGTGCATCGTGAGGTCAATTCTATTTTTGTCGTTCTCGTTGAAAAATCGTAGCTGTTTGCTGTCCGATTCTGATCGGAGATTTGACACCCTACCATATGTTGTTAGACGTCGGCCAGCAAGGAAGGACGAAGACCACGAGGGCGATTTAATTCGAAGAGCATCGAAGAGCAATTCCAATATAAGCTCTCGAGCCTGTGAATCGGGGTAATTCAATGATTCGAGCAAAGATCGGAGCGGCTTCGATCTGTCTCTTGCCAGGACAAGGAGGCCAGGCCAGGTCTTCAGCATTGCCGAGATAGCCTTTGCGGAGCACTTCAGGCGCCCGGAGTGGGCTGTATCTGAGAAAGAGTCGGTGAATGATGTCAAAACGGCCTCGAGCTCCTGCCCTCCTTGGAGATGTTTTCGCCTGTGTGGGGCGTCCATAATGTGCAGGAAGCTCCCTATGAGACTTTCTGAAGCACCAAAGGTTCCTTCGGCCAGGGCATCATGGAGAGCACTCATGCCTCCAGAATATGTTAGAAGATCCGGGTCCTTAGTTAAAATTTCAGCCAACGTCATTATAGAAATATTTCGCAAGCGATCCTCATGATGCTCTGCGACGGATACTATGGCTCTAACGACGGCACGAGAAATTTCATGGACGCCATCCTTAACATCCAGGAAAGCTCTCACAAATTTTAACGCCTGTTCTCTCTCAATGCTCGCTTTGCTCTCTTTGACCAAAGACAGCGTGACGAGCTCATCCGTATGCAAAGCACGAATAGTCCTGATAGAAGCTCTATCTGCAATAGCGTACCGTGTCAAGCGGTAACCTGCCGCTACAACTTCCCTGCTATCGCTCAAAAGCATCATCTGCACTCGTTGACCGAAGACGGACCACTCCAGGTCATACTTCAAAGTGGGATGGCGTTTGAACAAGTCAACCAAGCTATTTGCCCTTTCGACGTAGTAGTCTGGCGCCATTCCTTCCGACTCCAAAGCCTGTAGGGTTTCGGCTAGTACATATGTAGGAGATTCTGTCTCTGCATCTGGGTCTACTACCTCCCCATCAACTGAATCTGTACCGCGCGATGGGGATCGCATTGGACTTCCGCGGAATAATCCTGAAAGCCGACTTCGGGGCGGTGTTGATGGGTATTGTGCGCGAAGCAACTCCTCCTCCATTTCATGATGCAACTCTGCGAGTTTTCGATTGGAAGAATTCAACTCCGACTCAACCCTTAGCCTCTGTTCTTTTGTTTGTTTCGGATTCTTAGCCAGTAACGCTTCCAACATATTTTCCGTTCCTATTTTTATCTTCATTTCCTTTGCAATTCGGTCTCGAATGGCTGCTTGACGCAGTTCAGTGGCATTGCTCCCAACTTCATCTTCTTCTACTGTGTTGGTGATTCTGGGAGCTGCGAACCCTGTGTCGGGACGAGGAGTCACACTCCGCAAATTGTTCTTGCTCTTGAGTTCCGCACTGAAGCTTCCTGGTGTTGTGGATGGTACCAGCGAAGCCCCACGGGTGCTAATAGAGCTGCTCCCACCTGAGGCGGAGCGCCCGTTACGAGTTGTTCGTGAGGCGGCATCATTCAAACTTGCAGCTGGCGTGTTCTCTTCTTGGCTCCTCGCAAACGGCTTCCCTTCGCCCAACGCTCGATGCTGAGTCGGTGTTGCCGAGGTGCCAGTATTGTACCCTGACGCCATGGGTTACCTCCATGCGACGGGCGCAACGCGTTTCACCTGGCGAGAAGGGGGGCCGGGGGCAAGGATCGCATCGATAGGCGAGCTGGTTGCGATACAAGGTCATTAGCGATCGTCTCTCTAATCCAGGCTGCAGTAAACCATAAAGAGCTGGTTGTAGTTACCACTGCTCGGCAGATATGACACTGTGTCTTAGCGCAAAATAGTTGTCGGGATTGGTCTCATTGCCATTAGCGTTTCAGGAAATAAACAGCAAACAGCAGGTTAATGCAACAAATCAAGCATGCTATAGAGTCCGATTTGGGGACGAAATGGCGGTGGCCGATCAGCAGTTACTAACAATAATAGCGTCCTGGTACTCCTCCTCCATGCCGGCCTTGGCGCTGCTCTAGATTCGCGCCTGAGGCAGTGACGCCGCCATGGCTCACGTGATGCGTTGGTATATGCGTACAATTACTCATAGAAACATTTCAACATACTGTCAATCTCAAAAACAACATGAATTCACATGTTCTAGTACCGCCACATATAGTTGAGCCATGAGTACTGAAGACAATTTACAGTAACCGACTCTGTATTACATGTACAGGGAATCTCGATATCGTCGACTAGTAGTACATGTACATATGCCCGCTATATATATATAGGATATTTAGCTGCCTTTGCTGGGCCATCATCACTTTAATGTACACGCAAGGCGACCCTGGAGTACCTTAGCGCCGTAGATCGCTTTTCTGTAGGTAGTCAATTGGTAACAAAACAGCTGTTTGGTTTATGAACCACTTGACTGAAAAGCGGTTACTTTTTAGCCGTAGAAATCACGTAACTATACTCTAACAACAGTAACAACAGTAGGTTTATGCTCCTAACACTCTGTCTATGGCCATATTTTAACTACGCCGTAGGCTGTGGCACATTGGCTTCCAACCAAGTAATAAACCGCGGAGATAGTCCACTATCTATACTCCATACTCTATACTTTATACTTAATAGTTTAAATATACTTCATAGTTCATACTTCAGCAGCACAGACTAAATAATCGCCGGGATGGGCCGAATGCACCATGAAGGCGGGCACCGGCCTAGGCGCTCGGCCGGTGCTGCGGGCTTCGGAGGTGGCCGAAGCCCTATCGCGTTTAGAGCTGCAGATAGTCATTTGGTTCTGTTTAGAGATCTCTTCTTAAACCCGTGCATCATACGTTGAAAATTTTATAGTGCTCGTAGGCAATTCTCGAAGAAATACTCGGTACAGGTAATTCTGAAACCCTTCTACCCCCACCTCTGTTGATGCCTCATTGGCGAATCGCCCGGGAGATAAGCTATAGTCCGTCAGTCAGCTAATGTATATAGCTATCTCGTCAACCCGCTTTCTGGACCTTGGAAGCTGATCAGTAAAATTAACAGCTGCTAGAATCCGAGTTCTATCGCTGATCTACTCTTCTCTATCTGTTTAGCTCCGTGCAGCTTCTCCTTCACCCCTCCATCTAAATCACTACTGTTATCATGGCCTCCAAGCTGGGTGCTGCGCGCTACGGCAAGGACAATGTTCGCGTGTGCAAGGTCCATCGCGATGAAAAGACCGGCGTGCAAACTGTTACAGAGATGACCGTGTGCTGCCTCTTAGAAGGGGACATTGATGTCTCGTGAGAAAGCTTCATTCGCCATAACTAATGTGTTTCCGGCATACCTAACAAGTCCAATAGCTACACAAAGGCCGATAACAGTGTTGTCGTTGCCACAGACTCGATCAAAAACACCATCTTCATTCTCGCCAAACAGAATCCAGTGACTCCACCCGAGCTCTTTGGATCTATCATCGGCACTCACTTCATCGAGAAGTACAAGCACATCCACGTGGCCCATGTCAACATCATCACGCACCGCTGGACCCGCCTGGCGGTCGACGGCAAGCCGCACCCACATTCATTCCTGCGGGATGGCGCCGAAACTCGAAATGTGCAAGTTGACGTAACCGAAGGAAAGGGCATCGAGATTGCCTCCAGTATCTCGGGCCTGCACGTCTTGAAAAGCACCGGCTCGGAATTCTGGGGATTCGTGCGAGATGAATACACGACGTTGCCAGAGGTCTGGGACCGGATTCTGAGCACCGAAGTAGACGCTACCTGGAAATGGAAGCTTTTCTCCAGCTTGAGCGAAGTCAAAGTCGACACCGCGCGGTTCGACCATGCCTGGAGTGCTGCACGTAAAATCACTCTCGACTTTTTCGCGAAGGAGAATAGTGCCAGTGTTCAGGCTGTGATGTACAATATGGCTGAAAAGATCTTGGAAGTCGTGCCACAGGTTGAATCGGTTGACTATGCTTTGCCAAACAAGCATTACTTTGAAGTTGGTGAGTTTTTTAACTGGTCGGATTGTGGAAAGTCATTGCTAACGGTATTTCTAGACTTGAAATGGCACAAAGGCCTCAAAAACACTGGTAAAGATGCTGAGGTGTATGCGCCTCAATCGGGCCCGAACGGCCTCATCAAATGTACTGTAACACGGCCGACCACAGCAAAGCTATAAGCATGTAATCCCTTTTCTCTATGTATCCATTCAAGGGGGTTTCCGGAGTTTTGAATGCGTTTGTGTCACTGTTACTACTGCATTAAGATTTAAATATGTCAATTGAAATCTATAAGTTTCTCATAGGTGCTTATAGTATACAAAGTATGCAACCAATTAAGGAAGATCTTAGATCCATATCGTACAGCGCACATTGAATAAAGTTGTTGAAAAGAAAGAAAGAAAAAACCAAGACTCCGCCCATGCGCTTAGGAAAACAAGAGAATAGTAGACAAGACCTGAGTTAATGGTATGTAACAGGTTGCGTGAATAATTTAATTCACGGTGGAGGTAGAGCTCTCTGCCGCGTCTTTTTCCGCCTTGAAAGCAGCAGTAACTTCTGGCAGGCTGCTAAGGACGGATTTTCCGTTGATTTTAACGATATTTTTCTTGTAAGGATGGGCCAAGCCTTCGAATGCTGTAGGGTCAGATAATCAGCAATTGAGCCTTTATACAACATCCAACCACGCCCCATTACACGGTGAGGAAATGAGTAGCTTACTTTTCAGTCTGTCCATTCTCTTATCTCGCAGACGGTTTTTGGGCAACATGCCTCTTACTGCTCTCCGCAGAACCTCACCACCACCCCATTTTTCAAACATCTTGTCCATTGTCATGCTCTTCAAGCTACCTGGTCGAGTGGTATGTGTGTAGTATTTCTTCTGGAAACGTTTCTTGCCCGTTGTGTAAAGGTCGCGGCAGCCGACAGCAACAACGTAGTCGCCGCAGTCAGTCGATGGGTCGTAGATGGGCTTGTGTTTGCCCATGAGAAAAACCGCAATTGATGACGCCAATCGGCCAAGGGAGCGGTCATCTGCGCCGACGTCGATGTGGTGCCATGTCCGCGAGTAGGCGAGACGGGTCTAAGCCGTAATGTCAGTATAATGATGAGCTGTGAGATGCGAGGCACTTGACCCTTCCGATTGTCTGCGACATGTTGCTTTGATTGAACCACAATTTATGCGGCAGAAATTCCAAAGACGAAAACAAGCCCTGCTAAAAGCTCTGCTGAGAAAGAGAATGGCCCTCGAAGCTGTCAGGACCAGCGAATTCGCCCGGTTGAAATATACCTCTAGCACTATTATTATTTGGATGAGGTTTTGCGGAACAGGCACGGAGTTGATGCTTGGCACTTGATCACGTGATTATGATAATAACTAGTCTACTTTAGGACGACACACAAACCCTAGCCAGAGCTAGCGGGCCACTAAGCGAAAGCCCGCACACCCGCTCATTGCTCATTTCTCATCTTGAAGGGACAAGACGACGACGATCCAAACGACACTCTCTTTGCGCCGGCAAAGCCATTATATTCACCATGGCTTCTACACAGAGTGTGCAATGCTTCGGCAAGAAGAAGACCGGTAAGTGTTTGACAACTGAGGATTGATGTCCTGGTCAAGTCGGATTCGCGACTAATTTTTTTGTTGTTATAGCCACTGCGGTCGCCCACTGCAAGGTACGAACGAATCTCTCCTAGAAGAAAATATGGTGTGAATGAAGGCGGCGCGAGGATCATACTACACTATTTTGGTTTTTCCTTCCAAAGAACTGTCGCTAAGATGTGTTTTTTTACAGCAAGGCAAGGGCCTCGTCAAGGTCAACGGCCAGCCTCTTCAGCTCGTCAAGCCTGAGATTCTCCGCTTCAAGGTACGCATTGTCGTCGATTAAAGAACGAAAGTTTATAGTTGTATGGCCTTGATTTCTCATACGGACATATAGGTCTACGAGCCTCTCCTGATTGTCGGCCTCGACAAGTTCGCTGGTGTCGACATCCGCGTCCGCGTCAGCGGTGGTGGTCACGTCTCTCAAATCTACGCCATCCGTCAGGCCATTGCCAAGTCGATTGTCGCCTACTACCAGAAGTTCGTCGATGAGCACTCCAAGAACCAGCTCAAGCAGGCTTTCATCCAGTATGACCGCACACTTCTCGTCGCCGACTCCCGACGGGCCGAACCCAAGAAGTTCGGTGGTCCCGGTGCTCGCGCTCGTTACCAGAAATCTTACCGTTAAAGGATCAGAAAAATTCGTTTCGTTTTTTTCTTGTTTCTTGGCGGGCGTCTGGGGAAGAAGTGCATATCGGTGGAATAGAAGAATGTTGGAGAAAATGTGGACCGACTGCATCGTCGCAGTGGTAATGGCTATGGGAGGACGATGGCTCTTGGGTTCTGTTCATTTCCCGGGTTGCGGAATAGAGAGTCATCCACTGTTTTCTTAAGCGTCAGGTTCCTATGTTCGAAAATGGAAAATCCCGGGAGGTTCTTTTTTGCCTTGTGTGTATAGGTTCAGACAAGGACTCTGGGCAACGAATTTAATTGTTGTATCCAAAGAAAATGATATCACACGATTTGACTTCACTGGTTTTTAAAGGATTCATATTACATTTTCCTTATTAATTTACAGGTGTGCTGATCTCTATATCATGATCTGCGTCAGATGCAGCAGTACCATCACCCTCGCCCGTATCAACAATCACAGGAGCATACTCGCCAGTCTCATCATCTTCGTCAGCACCCGTCATTACCAATTCCACCTGCTCACCATCTTCAAGCTGCATCATACCTCGACGCATTATTGATTCCTTGCGCAACTCCCATCCGTATTCTGCCCGTACCCATTGCTCTAGAGCATCCATTTGATTTTTCACCACAGAATCAGCCACACCATCCAAGGCCTCATTCATCAATGGCCGAAACCCGGTCAATAATTTCCTCAGAAAATTCCCATCATAATCTCCATCCATCTCAAACAAACCCCCTTCAACATCTCTACAATGCTGTAATTGTAATAGCAATAATTCCAGCACATCCTTGAAAAACCCCTCTCGTTCTCTAATCGCCATCCGACAGGTGAGAATCAATCCTAGCAATCGCTTCCACTGCTCAAGACACGAGTAATTCATCAGCGTCAACACCATCAGGAAACAAAACTGCAGTTCTCCGAGTATATGATTCTCTCCCTGTCTTTGATCTGACGACGATGGCCCTGTATTATTATACCGCTGTATCAAATCCCCCAACGCCCACGATCTGTCCTGCGCCGCTTCGGTCCTCTCTCGTCCGATTGCGCCCTCTCGCCATGTCCGTTTCAAATCAACGGGGAGAAACTGTAACTCCTTTTCTTCCTTCTCACTGCCGAATCTCCCAGTTACGTTGGATGCTTCCTGGGCGCCGAGCCCCGGTATATGCTCCGCGTCTCGCGCCGCACTGCTCGCGGAGGTTATACTCCAACTCGGCCGGCCGTCGTCATCAATATGCGCTTCACCACCCACTATCCTTGACAGGATTTGCGGCGACAACCGATCCGTCAATTTCCCCCAGTCACTTTGCCTAATATCTCCTTCCTGCGCCTGCTCGGATCTGTACCCAAACAAAGCCCCCATCTGCCTCAGCCGTCCGAGATTCGCTTTGGAGCGCATAATCTCCAGACGATTCTCATCCGTATTGCTGAGCATGGGCAGTAAGGTCTCTGTCTCTCCGTTCCACTTCCAAATCCGCACCTCCCACCCCTGCGCTCTCACAATGGGTTGTTGGTCGTGGGCGTCGTTCTGGCTCTGTGCATGTGTATGCTCGACGTGTGTAATATCGCCAACATAGAACCACGCCCCGCACCGCAACGAGAAATTCGAAGTTGTGCCAGTGTATAAAAAATGCCAGCCAGCAGGTAAATCGGTGATTCCGTGGAATTGCTCCGTCGACGTGAAGCTCAATAGATCTATACCGACGAGGGTTTTCGCGGGGAGGTGGGGGAGTAGGACGGTGGGAGGGGGTTGGAAATTGGACATGTTTGAGACACACTTTGGGTCTTAATTATTGCTCAATAGATTGCGTGGCATGAGACATCGGGGTTCGTTGGCGTAGAAAGGATATATGTCTAGGAAAGATATGTGGTTGACATCAGTGAAAAGTAGGTAGAGCGGATATTTTTTTTATGACGTCTGCGGAGAACCTGAAGGTTATAGAAGTGGTGTGGTCTCCCGCATCACGATTCAACTTGGAAAAGTAGCATTTTGCATATTTCAGTCCGCCACATTTCCGAAATGTTATCTAGCGACAGGCTTTAGGTCAATTAATTTTCAAATATTGACTCCTAGTATACTGAACTAAGCCTTCTTCAAGAATCTCCAACGCGATTTGCTATAGGTTAAAGAGTACGTGGGCGGATATATCAATTAATAATTTAGCCATCAACATAAAGTTTTGTTCCTACAACTTTGGACGTTTTACAAGGACTACAAAAAGTGTAAGAGAGTTGTGTACTTTCATTCATTCAATCAGCAGCTAGTACATCATAAACTAGCAGACCGTTAAATACCCATGTAAAGTCAACTTTTGTGTAAAAAGGAAATCTGAAGACCAGGCGGAACTGCCGTTCTTCGCGTTTATTCCATCCACAATTGCCAGCCAAAAGGCCTGCAGGTTGTCCATACATAAAACCAGTCCCAGCACATAAACAGCCTGGTACACATTCCATGTATGGAAAGCGTCTGCACACGTTTACAGACGACGACCACGGCGACCACCCTTACGACGAGTAGAGTCGGAGGGAGTGGGAGTAACATCCTCGATACGTCCGATCTTCATACCGGAACGAGCCAGGGCACGCAGAGCGGACTGGGCGCCGGGACCGGGGGTCTTGGTACCGTTGCCTAAACTCAGGTTAGATTATCTTTTTGTTTTCATGTTCTGCGAGCTAGTCCATGTAAACATACCACCGGTGGCGCGGATCTTGATGTGGAGAGCGTTGATGCCCAGTTCCTTGCAGCGAGTAGCAACATCCTGAGCAGCCAACATGGCAGCGTAGGGGGAGGACTCGTCGCGGTCAGCCTTGACCTTCATACCACCGGTCACACGGCAGAGGGTTTCGCGACCACTGTTATCACGATTAGTCCGAGTTCAGTATATCACCACGCAAATCTGAGTGCAGACTCGTCAGTTGGTAAGGGGCTACGCACCTGAGATCGGTAACGTGGACGAAGGTGTCGTTGAAAGAGGCGAAGATACGGGCGACGCCGAAAACGAGCTTGCCTACACAAATCAAGTCAGTAACAAGCAGGCTATCAAGGCGAGTGGGATCATACCATCTCCAGCCAGAGGGCCGAGGGAGACGTTCTCCTGGGCAGGGGCGGTCTTCTTGGTTTTAGGAGGCATCTTGATTGTCGTGGACTGGAATTGTCGGATGGATGGAATATGGAAGAGAAAATTGAAGCATCACCGGCACCTATCGCAGATAACCTCTGCCTGCGAAATTGACGGTGTGCCCTAAAATTTCTCGCCGCAGCTGATTGGCCCGCGCAGCCAGACTGCCCCAAGCGAATGTCGGTGGGGCAGTTTATACCCTGGAAGCCGGAGAATCTGTCGGCCCGGACGAGCTAGCGCAGTCCTATATTTCACGTAGTGATTTTTTGTCGCTTCTTCTTCTCAGGTTGCTCTTGCTCTTGCTCTTGCTCTTGATTCTCACACTAGAGCTCAAGAATCTCTATCTGCAATAGCAGGCAGTATAGCTTCTTGTCATGAGGTTTATATTTGCGTAATCTGATCGAGATAGCGCGCAAGCACGCCGCTCGCTTTCAACTGTTTGACTCATCCGTTCCGTGTTACAAGTCGCCGATATGGTCCTCTCCAAGGAAAATGCCTCCATTGGCATTATTGGGATGGGCGACATGGGCAAGATGTATGCTCAGAGGCTTAGTCAAGCTGGTTGGAGGTAATTATCCGTAGCTTTTGTGGTTTTCGCTTCTGTGTGGCCATGTGCTGTATCTGCCAATTCAGGTAAGCTGATTCTTTTCTTCTTTTTATCCCTCCCCATTACCCTGATTGCATGATGACTAGAGTGCATTTGGCTCGAGCATGGTCGGACACGTTATTGCCTTGCCATTCTGGCGAACGCATACAACCGTCTAGCCGTCAATGATGTAAAAACCACGCTACCTTAACTTTTCTATGTCTGACACTTACCACAACTTGATACCATATTAAACATTGAACACCCTTCTGTGGCATATGCTAACTGCTCTATTTGCAGGTCCATAATTCCGTAATCCGAGAGCTGTGCTGACATCTCACTTTTCTTCTCCCAAGGATAAATGCTTGTGACAAGCCGGATAACTACAACTCACTCAAAGAGGAATTTGCATTAGACGTATGTGTCTCACTGGCCGTTGCAGTTGCATCAACGGTAAAACTTATCAGGCGTAGCAAGGTATTACTATATTACCGAATGGACATTTGGTCTCGCGAGTCAGCGACTACATTATTTACAGCGTAGAGGCGGCATATATCGATCGAATAGTTGCTGAATATGGCCCTTGTATGTGTCCAGGTCTATCAACTCAGAAGGAAAAAAAATCCACAAGTATCTGACATCTGACCGATGTAAAGCTACCAAAGTCGGCGCAATCGTCGGCGGTCAGACCTCCTGCAAGTCCCCGGAACTTGAGGCTTTTGATAAGCATCTGCCTCCGGATGTAGAGATTATTTCGTGCCATTCGTTACACGGGCCGAAAGTGAACCCAAAGGGTCAACCATTGGTATGCCGTGCATTGTAATCAGCGGTGGCATTATTGTCCAGGCGGTCTTAGTAACTGTTGGCACCAGGTCCTGATTCAGCACCGAGCCTCTGACGCGAGCATGCGCTTCGTTGAGGATGTGTTTTCCTCTTTCGAGTCCAAGTATGTTCACATCAGTGGCGAAGTGCATGATCGTATCACGGCGGATACCCAGGCGGTGACACACGCCGCTTTCTTGAGTATGGGCACTGCGTGGTACTCTAACAACCAATTTCCATGGGAAATTGCGCGATGGCTGGGTGGTATCGAGAACGTTAAGATTAATATCACCCTACGTATCTATGCGAACAAGTGGCATGTTTACGCTGGGCTTGCCATTCTCAATCCTGCCGCCAAAAAGCAGATTCGGCAGTATGCGGAGTCGGTCACGGAGTTGTATAAGTTGATGCTGGAAGGTCGACGAGAGGAGTTGAAGAACAGAGTCAAGACAGCCGGCCAGGCTGTCTTCAAGTCAGATACTAAACAACAAGACCTTCTTCTGAGAGATGAAGTGCTTGACCGTTTCTCATTGTCGCAGGGCTCTCGAGAAGAAGCCCCCCCAAACAACCATCTCAGTCTGTTGGCCATAGTAGACTGTTGGTCTAAACTCGGCATTGTGCCATACGATCACATGATCTGCTCAACCCCAGTGAGTCTATATTGTGGCGAGTAGGTGCCTCGCGTACTGAATTGTACACAGCTCTTCCGTCTTTGGTTAGGTGTGACAGAATACCTCTTTCGCAACCCCGAACTTCTCGACGAAGTACTGGATATAGCCATCGATGACCACACATTCCGCTCAGATGACCTCGAGTTCACGTTTGCGGCAAGAGTAAGAGACTTCTTTTCAGAGATAAAAGACATGAGGCTAATGATGTGTTACAAGGCTTGGTCGGATTGTGTGTCTTTCGGCGATTTTGAATCCTACCGCGACCGGTTTGAGCGCATCCAGAATTATTTCTCGCCACGGTTCCCGGATGCCGTCAAACTTGGTAATGAAATGATGAAAACGATATTGGAAAAGACGAGTAACGAGCCGAGTGGATGAATGTGGAACCTCCAGAAAGCTAGCTCTAAGCTGTGATAGGATCAAGCTATCGTGAGATCATTAATTATCAAGAGAACGAAAGATCACCAGGCTATTCAGGCTGAGGCGATCGCAATTTGTTACGACACCAGACTAAAACAGAAGAATCCATCCTTTAGTCATTCTAGGCTGGTAAAGCGTTCCACGGCATCAATGAATGGCGAATAGATAATAGACTCTGCACTCGAAGAGAAAAATTATGCCAGCACCCGAAAAACGTAGCTGCAGTCCGACGGAGCACTGATGGATGCAGATGAATGGTGCTAGGTGTAGGATAGGATAGGATAGGACTAGTCACAGCCAATGATAAGCCAGGCAAGCAGCCATGATATGCTGGTTGTCGGCCAAGGATCGCACGCTTTCCCGCGATAGTGAGTTTCTGCTTGATCTGAGCGATGGCACCGGGCCAGAAGCCAGACAGGTGCATTTTCCACCTACATGCACCTACAAGAACTGGTGCTTGCCGTAGACGATGGCCAGATAAGGACGAAATAAGCTGTTTCGACGGCGCGATAAGGGCGAGCTTGTGTGGGTCTGGGCTGCATTCGCATTGATCGATATTATTGCCTGCTTTACTCGGATTCCCCTCCTTCCCCAGGCCAGACCGAGCAGGCGCGGCGAGGCCACTGCCACCGCCGCTGCCACACACGCGACCTGCTCCTGTGATGGCCTCATCTTCTGTGTTTCTCTTCTGCCATCTGCGCCTCGCCTTCTGCCGTGCCTGAGGCCAATCTTCCTTCGCCATGTCATCTTCTTTGCCGCTCTTTGAGCCGGGCGCCTTCTACAAGGCTGCCGAACAAAAGTACGTCTTGTTGCTGGCTCGAGATATATTCTTCCCGCTGTCAGCTCGAATGTTGATACCCAAACTTCTAAGAGTCACTCGTGCATATCGCAGTACAACCAAGAAATCCTTTTAGTTTATTCTGCCTTATCTAATCAATTCCATTTTATATGCTTCTATTTTCTATCATTTTCATGAAAGCTGACGTTCGAATCTGTACCAGTGTAAAACTGGTGAGTGACTTCAACTTAGATATTCTCAACCAACGCGAATCTTCTACGTGGAAGCTGGACGATTTTGATCTCGCATTCATCTTAACACTCATGCAGATGCCGCGCGGCTCTTTCAACAGTTATGAGGTCTCATCTCAACCTAGCTTGGAGACAGTCACGATCTTCAAAGCACAGCATGAAGATCTGGTAAGCTGATAACCTTCGTTCCCCACCAGATAAGACCTTTGGGCTAACCCTAATGATTATAGCTTCGGACCGCCCAGCAATTTGGTACGTCAATTCTATGCAGACATTGATCCGTGTTGACATTTAAGAGAAAACCTGAAGTACTCCCTTTTGAGGGGCGGTGTACCCCTGGAAGATCTAAATGTAAGAGCCTTGATCTAGTCCGACGTGTCTCGTGAGATGGTTACGTCGGGAGAGCCCCAGAGCTGAAGAGACCAAAAACACCATCATTAGCGGGGGGGGGGGGGGGGCTCTATATGACGATTTACAACGTCGATGCTAAGTTTTAGATAGGTTCTCATGGATGAACCTCTTTTACCGGTACAGAGCCCTGGCCCCAATGTACACAACTTAAAGACCACTCTTCATCCTTCAAACGATGATGCGCACGTTTTCGGGCTGCAATCTCCTACCATAACCAGAAGTAAAAGCCACATATCCTCCGAGGAAGAGAGTATTGACGATGGCAATGGTTTCTGTTATGACGAAAAGGAAGAGTTGCATGATTCGGGGCGGAGAGGAAACGGAACGGAGAACCTCCAGACTGAACAGCGAACTATCGAAATCAAGGGCCTGCCTGAGCGAGCCACTCATCTTGACCTATTGAACGCAATTCGGGGAGGTGCCGTACTCGAAATGTATTTGAGGCTCTTCGACCGCTCTGCTCGCGTCTCTTTCACTGAACCCGCTTCTGCGAGGGAATTCATGAATAATGTGAAAAACGATGGGCTTTACGTCAGTGGAAAGAAGGTAAGCCCTTACGATTTAGGTTCTTTAATCTTTAACAATCAATCTAAGCTTGGTATATAGGTCGAGGCTTCCTGGGGAGACCGCCAATTCTACATTCGCCCATATGTCAAGCAAAATATCGAGCATGGCGCATCACGAAACTTGATTATCAAGGGCGTTAACCCAAATATCACGTCATCGCTTATACGAGATCATCTCAACCATATTCACAACCTCGTTGTTGTCGATATCAAATTCAACAAAGGGAATGCTTACATTAGCACCAACTCGGTCCACAACGCGATGTATGCCCGTTCTTGCATGATGTCGCGCACAACCTACAAGGGAATGAGGGTTGAGTTCAGCCCAGACGAATGTGCTCGTCCTTATCTAAAAGTCCAGAAAACTATCAAGACCACCCTCAAATCTCCTGTTGCTGCTATAAAGCCTCCTGTCCCTCCATCCAACAGGTTTGAGATGCTGAATATTGACGAATTCGAAGATACGGATGAGTCTGAAGACGACTCCTCTGCTGGTATCAGCATAGGATTGACCGAATAGGTATCGCAATCGAGACATTCTTACAACTTCATTGAAATAACCCCAGTATTTTCTTTGCACAGGTCATGAGGCTTTGGGGAGTGCCTCCGTTACCAATTTTAATGTTTACTAGCATTTTGCTACTTTTGACAATAGCAACCTTGTAATTTTTATAGTTCAATCTATACATGACGAGGCGGGTACGGTCGGTATACTTGAAATAATAATAATAAAGTAACAGTATCCTATATATCTTTTGTCGGCATAGTGTGATGCCCAAGGCCCTCTCGGCCTCATGTGGGTGCAAACGCCTTATTTTATGTGCCAAAATTTTTTACCCCTCAATCCTTACTCAACTCAATCGTGTGTCAACTCAGTCAGTTTATCTAGTTTATCCAAATTCATGCATTGTTATCCCAAATTTGCCTCATTTCATCCAGATTTTGCTTTATGCTAGGCTTTCTAGAGGCGTGATTTGAGTACGCACATCTGGCGAGAGGCGCCTCTCACTAATCATTTTTCGACAAGCCCAACCACAATAGTCTGGCAATACAAGAAGAAACTGAAGCGTAAAAAGAAAGAAGAAACAAGGGTCAGGATGCCACCAACCAGACGAGGGAAAGCGGAGAGCTGGTCACGGCAGCGCAATATCAGCAGACATGTCACATGTAAGCACACGGGCAATGACGTCGATCCCGGATTCACAACATCTTGATATGATTCCTCATATCTGCAAATAAGTGCAGGCGGTTTGCTGCTTAATTGAGTATATCCTAGACCACTAGCCTAGGAGGTCACCTAAAACTGTGCTGGGAATTCTTCCATCCCGAAGAAATCCCTTTTGCGGCAAAATATACTCGGTCACGGTATGCAGCTCGAAAAGGCGGCTATTCTCAAATATTGGAGGATCAAGCATAAGCTGGGGTTCTGGGTTTGCTGAGAATGCATCTTTTCGGTTGTATACAATATTCTGGTAGCCTGCACGGGTATCTATCGACAAGGGTCTTCTAGCCAGAGTGAGTGACGACAAGATTGATCTTTACCCCTCCTCTCTCGCCTAGTTATCTTCTTCTTGGGTGGGATCCTAATGGACTGGCTAGAACGCACTGTTGACGCACCAATTAATCGTAGGATGTTTACATCCTCACCCCAAAATCCTCCTTACCACTAGCTTTCATATCTTTCATCTAGATTCTCCCAACGCCCCGAAAATGCTAATAATAAGCTCCGTGCGGCTCTGTTTCTCCATCGTTTTTACTCAGACTTTGACCACCATGTTTATAACCGACAGCGTGACAGACATATTAGGTATCACGCCGTAGCAACTGGTATCTAAGAGTTTCTACTATTGTATTCAAGAGCACTGTTTACCTTAAGCCATTCGCTGTCTGGAAAGCGCAAAGGCTAATAATTCAATAGCCTATCTGCGCTTTTGGTATCGGGATCGTCTCCAAGATGATGATGGTGTTGTGGGTAGAGAGGGGGATTGTAAAACACCCATACTTCTGTGGTAAACCAGACAGACTCAAACACGCCGAGCACACGCGGTAGTGACTCTGGTGTGCAAGAGAGCTATATAAAATAATGATTAAGACTTATATAATATTAGAATAACATTAGATCATTTTATGGAGGAGATTTATGACATTGAAAGGTTCTGATATCGTAAATTAAGATTTAGCGCCGATACTCTCTTAACTGATGATCATACATGTAAGTAGATAAGTACTCCATGAAAGTAGGACGGCGGTCGACTGCATGATGTTGTGGACCATACACCACCACGGAGTGACTCTCATATAGCCACAACTGATCTGCTTCCTCAGGCAGGAGGTCAAGTATTCGACTCGCCACTTGGACGCAAAATTTCTGCAATGTTGTTGTTGCAAATTGCTCCTGGAGATCTTACAGAGAAGGCTGCGTGACTACCAAACCCCATGGGATAGATTAATGTCCAGACTTTCAGTATGATTTCAAATATCATGAAAATTTTAGCCTCTTCTAAACCATTACGCATTAATCGGGGCTGTTCAAGTTAAACCGATCGTTTACAGTACAACATTAAAATAAACAAATCCATGAAATATGTGAGCAATGGTAAAATGCTGGTAATGCGTTACCAGCATGATCAAAAGTCGCTCACTGTAAACAACTTTTAGTTAGCAGCCTGACAGGCTAACTGATGTACTGAGAGCAAATTGGAGACTTCTTCAGTGCTGAAGCTGCAGCCGACCTCTTTACGGAACCAGTTGCGGAACTCGATGGCCACTAGCGAATCTCCACCGTGATCTGCAATTGACTTGCCTTCATCCACATCTTCCGCCGCCACCCCCAAGATGCTGACAATTTGCTGTGAGAGAGCTGCTATGATGGTAGAAACCCGTTCTTCTAGAGACAGACACCGGGGAAGAGCCAGTGAGAGGGGTTCGGAAGCTTGCGGCATACCGGCAGCAGGGAGCCCACGAGAGCTGTCGTCGTTGCGAGATGGAATCGGGGAAGAGCGGAGGTGGGAGAGACGAGGGTCCAAGGCGGCATAATCGGCCTTCGTCCAGGTGGATGGCGGCGCCCATCCGATGGCGATTTGGCTGTCAGCCCAGCTCTGGATGGGCTTCGACATTGTGTAGCCGACTAAAGCATACAAGGCTTGGAGTGGAATTCCGCCCAACCCGAGCCGTTCAAAGTGGGCTAATGCCTCAGGCTTCTCATGAAGAGAGCCGGCTCCTTGGACTGTTCCCAAATCTAGGGAATATGTGGGTTGGCCAAGGCCTGTCCGCCAACGAGCAAAAGCGTCCTGGAAGGTCGATGCGGCCGCATAATTTGCCTGGCCCGGACTACCTAAGAGTCCAACATAGGAGGACAGAATTACAAAGAAGTCGAGTTGCTGGCCTTCAAAGCTATCATGAAGATTATAGCTGCCAGCTAGTTTGGGATGCAGTACCTGTCGGAGATCGTCGAGGGACATATTTTCGAAGCTTCCATTCTGTAGAACATGTTAATATACTTGCTTTAAAAGGTTACTAGAGGCAATGACTCACTCGAAGTGTGAGTCCGGAATGGATGATGCCGCGAATGGGAGGAAGGGTCTCTTTGCAGTACGCAAGGGTGGATTGTAGTTGAAGGCGATTCCCAACATCACAGGCCATCGCGTGAAGCTGGACTCCCATTTGTGCCAACTCCTCAACTAATCCCTTAGTCAAAGGCTTGTCAGCGCCAGAGGGTGAGATGGCGACAAGGACTTTAGCACCACATCGGGCCATCCAGGCACAAAGTGCACGTCCAAGACCCCCCTGCCCGCCCACAATGAGATAACTGGCATCTGGACGTAGCTGCGCTACAGGGGGACTGCGCGGCATGACCTAAATGTAGCTCAGAAAATTGTCACTAAGATTGAATGTGAATGAAGCAAACCTTGACCATATCATTCGGGCCGTGAGATATCACCACTTTGCCCATACTCTGTCCCTTTTGCATCAATCGCAAAACCTCTTCCAAATTTGTAATTGAGCGAATATTCAGTGGAAACGGTGGCTTCACAACGTGTTCAGTGAGCAGTTGATGAACATCGGAAAATACTTCGGCCATGCGGCGAGGTTTCTGACAGGCCAGCTGGACGAGGTCGACCGTAGAAAATGATATAGACTTTCCAAAGGGGCTCAAGTCTAGTCGGGCGTGAGCAAGGATATCATTCTTGCCAATTTCCACAAAACGACCCAATGGTGCCAATACCTCGAGCGAATGCTGCAAAAGCGACCCAGCCAAGGCGTTGAGGACCACATCGACTCCGCGACCATTGGTCGCTGACTTTATCTGGCCGGCGAAGTCCTTGGACCGACTGGAAAATATATGAGATTCCAGTAGTCCATACTGCGTGATCAAGAGTTGTTTTTTCTCTGCTGAGCCGACTGTTGTGAACACTGTTGCACCTAGATGTAAGGCTAGTAAGATAGCTGCTTGGCCAACTCCTCCAGCACCGGAGTGGATCAGAATGGTGTCTCCGGTACGCAACCGGGCCTCATTTACCAAGCAGTGATATGCAGTACAGTAGGCAATGGGTATCGCTGCGGCTTCCTCGAATGAAACACCAAGGGGAATGTGTTTCGTCCACAGCCCGCTGCATCGAACGTGGCTTGAATATCGAGGCACATGCCATGTATACACCCTGTCTCCCTCGGAAAAAGTCTTTCGGAGTTTCTGGCCTACTTTTGTGACCACACCAGCGCACTCGGCAACATTTTCATCAGGCATTTGGTTTAGTGACACCATGATGTCTCGAAAGTTGACCCCAGATGCCTTGACCTCAATCTCCAATTCATCTTCACCCATAGGCGCATTATGGACAAGACTGTCGCTAAAGTATAGCCCTTGCAGACTGCCTGTGTCTCTAGTAGCCAGAGACAGGGGTCTATCTTCTTGGTGAAAGAATTCCATTTGCGGCACAGCAGTTTGACCTGCCCTCGAGTGAGAGCTAACAAATTCCGTGGTAGCTTTGTCTTCTACCAGACGTGGTACAAACCACTGGCCTCGGCGTTCACTCCATTCTAAGTCTTCTATCCTCGGGCGAGACAAAAGCTGGTGAAGGAACCCCCAGAGATATTTCGCTAGGGTCAGAGGCTGTGGATTGTTGTTCGGGTCGAGGTCGAGGGTTATGATAGGCACATGGGGATTCTCACGACGTAACACTCGAGCAAAGCCCACAGATACACTAGATTGAGGATTCTGGCACTCGTGTGTGCCTCCCAGTGTCACCCATATGACTTTCCTAGCGATCTTCACCGTATGTTTGAGAGCATCCAAGCCTGCTTGGTTCAGTTCACAGAGCAAGGACCTGTCGGGATCTGTAAACAGAATACATGTCCGGTCCTGCAGCCTGGAATCACCCAATGATAGAATGGCCACTTCCTCTTGGGACGCCAATGAACGCATGTGATGCATGACACTATACCCTATGCTTTCATGCGAACGTGACAATTGTTCACCTGTTAACGCCACAGCAATCGCCGCCTCTGCAATTGAAGCAGACCCCTCCAACGCAGTGGTAACAATCAAGCTATCTGTCTGCTCTTCCGTAGCCTGATAGGAATGCATAATTGCGTCCAAGCCAGTGAAGCCCGTGCGTTGTAGTGTCTTGGACCACTCCTCCTCTGTCAGCAATGGAGTATCCTTGCCACGCTCTGAAGCCCCCACCCACCACCCAGGCAGTGTGCCAAAGACAAATGAACGATGAACGGTTGTTCTGGTACTTTCTAATAGTAGCAACTTTCCTCCTGGCTTGAGCAGACGGCGGACATGTTTAACTGTTTCTTCAATGTAGGTGGTGGCATGTAAAACATTGGCCGCAATGATCAGATCGTAGTTTCCTGGCTCAAACCCTTGCTTTGTTGGGTCCTCTTCGATGTTCAGCTTCTGAAAGCTCATCAGGTCCTTCCAGTCGCCAAGCTTTTGCTCTGCATTGGCAAAGAATCCCGCCGAGATATCCGTGAAGGCATAATGGCTGAAAAGCCTTGTGCCGTATTGGGTCAATGCTTGTAGAATAGGTAGTGTGGCGCCTCCTGTACCGCCACCAATTTCGAGGATACGGAGATCTGGAGACTTCAAGCCCATCATCCGCGCATATTCGGCTGCTTGCACAGCACATCGCTGCATGCTCTTATCATCCTCGTACAGACGAAAGAGAAGATTGTCTTCCAACATCAAGGACAGCGGATCCTGGCCCCCTTTAAGAATAGAGGAAAGGCTCGCTCCGATCTTGCAGACCATTTTTCCTTCAGCGTTAGAGGGTTTTACCTGGTCCAGAACATCATTTGTCAACTCGACTGAACAAAGAGTTGCTTGAACCCGTAGCCAGTCAAAATAAAGTCTCTGGTAGGTGCTCATTCCTTGCACGTCTTCATCTGTGACCTCTTTCACAGCAGCATTTGCGTAATACTGGCACACATCGCGGAGCCGAGTCAGACTAGCCGCGACAGAGACAGGCTGCAGGGATGAGTTGCAAAGGTCCTCCACCCCTGCACCAGACAGAAAATCTGGGTCAATTGCCATCACTTGCTTTTGACACGTCTTTGCCTGTTCAGATTCCTCATTTTGGTTCGAGAATACCTCCAGCGATTTTGCTTCCACACCTCGTAGTGACAATAAGAGACTAGAGCTTCCCAAACCACCGCGAGTTGTCTCGATATCCGCGCTGAAGGCCTGTCCATACTGTTTCTGCGCTCGAGAAGAAACGTGCAAGATACTTGGAGGCACATCGCGGCCATTCACCCAAATTGACGCCTCATTGATAAATGTGGGAAGGATAGGACCGCGAATCACGTCCCCCGATCCGATGGCAGCCAGCATCGTCTGCAAACAAGCATCGAAGCTAGCTGGAGGAAGACTGGCTTTATACTCGCTTTCCGGGACCGAGCAGGCAATATTGGCACTACAAAAGCCTCGTCCGGCAGACAGTCGGCTCAGGGCTCGAAAGGAATCCGAGTACTCGACTCCTATTTGACTCAGGCTATGGTACCATTGGTCAGGGTTGAGTGGTGACAGTCTTTGTTCCTCGAACTGGCGATCTAGCCCGATCGATGCGAGCGGCCCGATATCACCAAAATTGACTGTCACAAATCCGCGACAGTTTTCTACCACATCTTTATGATCGGAGCAGGAGTAAATGACAAACTCCTGCCGGCGAGCAAGATCTCGCCCGGCCGTTCCAGTAGCTAGTCGTAGAGTGAGCATGATTTCCACTGCAGACCCCGAGCTTGGGATTATCAGCGATCGACTCAGCGACACTTGATGTAAATTAATGCAGCAAACCGGGTCGATCTTGGTGGAGAGGTGAGTTGCTGCTATATATGCTGCTTCAATGGCCATTGCCATGTAAGCAGCAGCGGGAAAAACTGCATCCCCGCCAATCCGATGCCCTGTCAGCCATGGAAACGACGATACACTGACATGATTCCGCCAGCGAGGTTCCAACGAGCTCGACTCTGGGCTGAGGACTCCCAAAAGTTCATGTGGATGATCCGTACGGTTCCTGTAATTTTGGCTTAAGCGGCTCTCGTGCCAGAAGGAATTGGAGTGATCCCAAGGATACGGGGGAAGATCGAAGAGACAACGCAGGGCGTCTGCCGGACGTGACCAGATGTTCACCTCGCTCATATTGATTTCAGCACCATGCTCAAATATGCTAGAGGCGAGCTGTAGTATACAGCGACTGGCTGACTCATTGCGATTTAATGATGGAGCGTAAGGCACTTCTACATTGTGTGCTTTGAGAATTTGTTTAATGGGACCCTTCAAGGCTGCGTGCGGGCCAATCTCAATCAGCAAATTAGTGGCTGAGTTCATAAGACTTTCCACTGCAGCCGAGAACAGAACTGGCGAAACCAGGTTTTTCACCCAATACTGCGCATCCAGTTCCGTGCCGTCGATAATCTTTCCGGTTACACTCGAATGAAATGGAATGTCGTGATTTGCGCGAGGGGCATCCATCATCACCAGAGCATCGCGATAGTCGTTAGCCACGCGCAGAATATGGTGTGAATGATATGCCACGTCGACCGGGAGTCTCCGGAAAAAGATGCCATCGCTCTGAAGTCGCTCTTGAAGATCATCTACAGCAGCCTTGTCCCCAGATAACGTCACCGCCTCCGGACTGTTCACGCAGGCTATCGTGGCCAACCCGGTAGACTCAGACGATTTAGAGCGATATCTCTCCACTTCCTGTGGGCTTAAGCCCACAGCAATCATGGCGCCTTTGAGGCTTTCATCTTTGGCGAGTTTTCCTGCCACACAACCTCGAGCATAAGCGATGAGCATGGCATTGTGGAACGAAATGGCTTTGCACGCATAGGCTGCAGCGATTTCGCCGCTGGAGTGACCGGTCACAGCACTGGGATGAATATTCCACGACGCCAGAAGGTCGACTAGTGCCAGCTGAATGGCTGTGCATGCTGGTTGTGCAATATTGGCTTTGTTCAGGTTGGTTTCCTCGGGTGACTTAAGCAGCTCCTCAGTCAAGCGCCAATCCACACCCAGGTCAGTTAGGCACTGTTCAGCCGCTGAAATAGAGTTTCGAAAGGGAATGCTGGTTTCCCACAGTTCTCTGCCCATTCTGGCCCACTGTGCCCCTTGACCCGTAAAGACAAATGCAATACTAGGCCTTTTACCTGTGTGACAGAAAGTCACAGAGTTGAGCTTCTGATGTAGCTCAGAAACTGAGTCGGCGACCACTGCTGCTCGCCAAGGGAATGATGATCGCCGACAATACAGTGTATAAGCTAGAGACTGAAGAAAACTGGGGGACTCTTCATCGGAAACAGAGACTTTCTCCAGATATTCCTGTAATTGCTTGGCCATGTGACGAGCTGGCTCGGCCGATCGAGCGGAAAGAACAAAGACCTGAGATGGATCCGTATTTGCTTTGATTTGTTGTTGAGTCGGCATCGCAAGATCAACTGGTATAAAGCTGTTCGTGCCTTCACCATCGCGGAGTTGATCCAGAATTATATGCACGTTAGTCCCGCCGAATCCAAAGCTGTTCAGGGAGACCTGCGATGAGCCCACGCCGAATTGGCTCAGAGCTCGTAAATTGGTCGGTAGATCCAGATTCCATGCATCCCACTGAATCTCCGGATTTGGAACTTGAAATTTGATACTGGGGGGGATTTGCCCCTTGGCAATCACGAGTGCGGCTTTGATCACACCTGCGAGTCCACTAACGTTCTCGAGATGGCCGATATTGGCCTTGACAGAGCCCATAAGCACCGGGCCTAGCCCTTGAGCTCGTCTAGCTTGCCCTAACACCGTACCAATGGACCGGCTCTCGGTCAGGTCTCCTACTGCAGTGCCCGAGCCATGCGTCTCAACATAGCTGGTCTTAGCCGGATCCAAGCCAGCCGCCTCATAGCCGGACCGAATCAATCTTTCTTGGGCTTCCCCACTGGGCACTGTGATACCAGCCGTGCGCCCGTCTTGGTTGATTACCGAGCTACGAATGACTGCGCGTATGGGATCGCCATCCTCAATGGCTGCAGTCAGGCGTTTCAGTATCAGCGTGCATGCTCCTTCCCCGCGTCCATAGCCGTCTGCGCACTGGTCAAATGACTTGGAGCGGCCATCAGAGGCATAGAACTGGAGACAACTGGGGCCTATCATGGCTGCTGGGTCAAGAATCAAATTAGACGCCGCAGCAATGGCCTGGGTGCATTCGCCATGCCGAATACTCTCACAAGCTTGATGCAGCGCCACCATTCCCCCACTACAGCCAGTGTCTAGGGTTAGGGAGGCCCCATGTAGGTCGAAAAAATACGATAGTCGATTTGCATACATGGCCTCGCCGTTGCCAGTTTGGTAGTAGAAGGGGAGATCCTCAGGATCACGAAGGAGGATCTTTTCGTAGTCTTGGTTGTAAAGCGCCACATAGGCTGCAGTATCAGTTCCCCGTAATTGATCTAAAGGTATACCGCCTGTCGAGAAAATCATGGCTTAGTGTCAGAAGACTTCTTTCAATTCAGAAAGGTGAACACTCACTGCTCTCCAAAGCTTCATACGTCACTTCTAAGAGAAGTCGCAACTGTGGATCCATTGCCTGCTTAAATTAGCCTTCCATTGCCTTGGCTGGGTCATCATATGAGTAGTGGAATCTATGTAAATAACCAATTACCTTTGCCTCTGCGGGCGAAATATTGAAAAATGAGGCATCAAAACAAGAGATGTCATTTGTGAGGAAATGGCCTCCCTGAGTATGAAACTAGTATCGGGGCTGTCAGAATAATTCTCCAATTATACTGCTCTCTAGACTGACCGTGCCATTCCTCTTGCTATCAGGATGAAAGAAAGAACTTTCTCGAAACCGGCTGTCTGGCACTTGGGACCAGGTGGTGCGGCCTTTTTCCAACAAATCCCACAGTTTATCAACATCTGTAACTCCGCCAGGTAGACGACATGCCATTCCAATGATGGCTACGGGCTCCTGGGGATAATTGTTCGAAGCCATGGTGTGATTCAAAATGGATACTTAAAATGGATACTTCTTTGCGCGTGTGCTGGAAGTCAAAATTTTCGAAATGGGGTCTCAAAGAGGCCGACTTTTCGTTTTATAACTTGCTACAAACGGCAGGCGCATATATGCCTATAATGTGATGTCATCCCACCTTTTTAGAGACTTCCACAGCTCAGTGTGCCTTGATTCTCTGCGAATAGCGTATTTGGGCATCCACAACGTCATTGATTGCCGTGAAGGTTTACGTGTCCGGCCACCCTCCACTCTCTGGCCGAAATCATTGATCATGACGCCGCAGCATCCTGTAATTCTGCGGCGTAACACACCATTACATAGATGGTGGCCAAAGCGTGAGAGGTGCCAATAGGCCATCAGCGAGGAAACACCCAACAAATGGTATAAATGCCTTACCCCAATCTATAGACGACGATATCTTAAAAGATCATCTTTCCTATTCGGCACGCCATTATACCGACTTCGGTCTATCCCCTCCATCTCTGTCCCATCCTTAATAAGGATACCACATCTTTATTTAGGGAAGAGACTTGTATTTCCTCTGCAAGGACCGACATACCGCGTTATTGCACAAACATGACTACAACTCTTACTCCCACGGAGGAGGTAGAACACCAGCTGCAGGCACATCCGTTGACACAATCTTTGCGTTCAGACTCCACGCTACTCGAAACTCGCTACTATCGATATGTACCGGAATCTCTTCGTCCGCAGATGTTTACTCTCGGCAGCCTTGTTGGGCCCGGTAAGCTACCCGTCCCCCCTCTGGCTTTCTATAGAGCTGAGGGTGAATGCTTCTACCTGATTCTGTACATTGGATCATCTGTGGCGGGCTATCCGGGCATGGTCCACGGAGGCATGCTGGCGACGCTTATGGACGAAGGGTTGGCGGGTTGTGCCAGTGCCACTTTGCCAATCCATGTGGCTGTAACACTTCACCTGAGCGTTGATTATCTAAAGCCGGCCCCGACAGAAGCCTTCTATGTGCTCAAGGCCAAGGCTAGCAAGCTGGAAGGGCGATCGGTTTGGGTGGAAGGCCAATTAGAGATCCTGGAGAACGATCGGTGTGCTGGAGAAGTCTTGGTTAAGGGTCATGGGGAGTATATGCAGCCCCCTTCTACGCGATCATTTTATTCAATTCTCTGAGAAGTTGCATAATATTCTGCGTTCCATGATTTTTGAAGGCCATATCCAAAGACGGAGAGCTGTGATATGTGGCTGGGAAGAGCGCATGTATGTGTGTATGGCTTATCAACGCCATCAGCATGTTTTGATGGCATTTAATCGCTTGTTTATAACGTATTTATTGTTCCCCACTCCTTTCTTACCCTTTTTTACCTTCTCTTCGGAGGTGCCTTATATCAAAGATTAGTGGTGTTCGTATATGGCGGTGAGTGAGAAACACGGGCTTACCAGATGACCGTACCCGTGGGTGTGCAGTAGGAACGCTTTCACTACAGACATCTGCAGCATTCAAATAGGAAGCTAATGGCCTACGTTTTAGAAGATTGTCTGCAGTTGATGGGCACAGCTGCATGAGTGCTGTCAAACGAGGTTCCAGACGACCTGACTACCTACTGAAATAGTTTGCCAACTATCACTAGGCCTAAATAGGCATACGAAATTCTATAAGCCCACAATTGGTCTGTGCTCACCTATCTGACTGTTGAAATACAATATTACACTTTTCGTTATTTACATTATATACCATTTTAAAACAGATTTTGATTTACTATATAAAATATATAGAAAATCAAAACTGATTCTAAACTGATCTACAATTGATTTAATACTTTATAATTAATTTATATAAAAAAAATACACGAAATTGAACTTCAACTTTAAGTATTTAGTATTTCTACGGATGGGCGGTGGGCACGCACCAATTTGTGCTAGCGCTAGTCGCAAACCCTCGCTAGGCCTGTAGACTCGGTCCAAGTGGGTAAGTCTATGTACGGGCCGACCCGAATTGTCACGATCCTGAATCCACTATAGTTGTCACAGGCTGTCAAAGACTGATATATGGTGGTTGAAACACACAAGGTTTCTTGAGGGTAGCTAGTAACGAAATACTAAGGTTGCCGAAGGGTAGGTAGGTTTAAAGTAGAAAAGATTTCTTGAAGTGCTATAGAACTTCCAAGTATGATTGTTTTACTGACTTTCTCAATATGATTAAAATAATTTATTATAAAGAGTTATACTAAAGGTAACTAGATAAATAAAAATAAATGTATGATGTACTTAAGAGTCCTTTACTTACAATCCTTCTACACTCTCTATATATAGAGATTATATACTTAATTACTATTTTTTTCGAATGTACAATTCTTCTACACTCTGTTATATATCTGAGTGAATATACTTATGTAACCTATTAGTCCATGTCTTCAGCAAACAGGCTGTGCGTAACCGTTATAATTACTTAGCCATGGTATTAGCTGCTTTAAAGGTAACTTACCCTAAACAGTTTAAGCTCAGCTTAGTCTCATGCAAGTTGGTTTCGTAACACGAATGCATTAACACCCCAATGTGGAAACGGTGCCGGTAATCAGGCCTTAATTCTCTTCAATGTGAAGTTAGCAATCAGGTTTTACTTTTCCGATATGATGGAGCTGCCAACTAAGAAGATTGTCAATTCATTAGACCATTGACCCCAGACTCCACACACCCTCGACACTCTTCCTTTCATAGTGGCTGCTGGCATCTCGTCTTTATCAGTAGTCTCGATGTTGATGGCCGGCTGTAGTAGCAGGGTGATTGGTTACGCGCTGGCCAAGGGGTTCCGCCAAGAGGAATGAAGGTTCTCCTCCGCACGGTCTATCTCGAAGATGTCCAATTTGAGCACATTGTCCAATGTGACCCTGATCCCAACAGACGTCACCGACACGTCTAGCATTAACGCGACTGTCACCGTAGTCGAAAAAGCGACCGGAGGCCGACTGGACTACCTCGTCAATAATGCGGGCATCGCCATATGCCAGCCCTTGCTAGGCGTGAATATTGTGGACGCCAAGAAGGTATTTGGTACTAATGTCTAGACCGTGTTCACCATGATACAAGCGTTTTCGCCACTGATAATTGGTGCTAATTACAAGATTTAGTACTGTCTATAAACCTGATTACGCTCTCAAGTTCCCACCTCTCCTGCATCACCCTGCAGTACCCTAGGAGGATGATCTTTAATTTCGTTATCATCTAGTAGTAGTGCCACGCTTCGATAATTGAGGCGGATGGAGCGGCTCTCAGCAATGGTATCTATGACGTATTTCAGCCCTCTTATCCTGAATTCCTTGATGTCATTAGCACATATTGGGAAATGATTATCAAAAGCATCGTCAGCGCCATATAATGTACGAAAGGAAATTTTGCAGAGAGCGCGTCGTTACCACTCTCAGGCCAGTTTTAGTTGGATCGTCAATATCTTATCGCAGATGACCAGAGAAAGAAAGCACAAGAGAGGAAATTTCACTGCTTTGCAAAAGCTGAATGGCCATTGCCCCCCAGCATGTACTACTGCTATACACCAGGACAGCAAATAACTCCAGCGCATTGGCGGAGGTATTCAATCCATCTACGCTAAACAAGTCCGTTGCCACCATATGGAAGATGAAGAACCGAAGTCGGAGTAAGTGGAGGAAGGAAAGCCCGGTTTATTTTTTAGTAAACGATTTAGCTTCTTGCTTGAAGTTAATGGAATGTTGATCAAACAGAAAACATTTTGTTTTGTTCAAAGTGCTGCTGAATATATCACAAGCACGAGCATCTTTCTCTTGCATGTTGGTTGGGGACCTCTACCTCTTTTTCTTCCCCTTCCGCCTGCCATGGCCATATGAACTACTGCATGTTTTTATAACGTGCATCTGAAGATGGGGTTGGCTTTTCTTCGTTTTCCGTTCCTTTTATGGGAATTTCTTGTTTATTTCATTGCCGTGCAGGTATGACAACATCGCCACCTGGTCAATTCGGCATCCAAAGAGATCTACCAGCGATCAAAGCACACTTGGAAGATACTTTCATTATGTGGTTTACCCTTCTAATGTCACTCTGAATATGGATAAATTTATGCTTAATCCCTCCGCCTCTGCATAACAAATAATCTAAGCACGATTGATAACATGTCATCTACGTCAGAAGTTCAAGAAAAGCTCGTCGGGGGATGGTCCCTCGTCTCGGCCACTGCTGAAAGTTCCAACTCTACCACTATGAGATCGATTCTCTCTCCCTCCTCCACCCCTCTGTGGGGTACCAACCCTAAAGGTATTCTTCTATACACCGCGGATAACTATATGTCAGTTCAAGTTGTCGAATGTGAGAGAGACTCGACCTTTTCCACCAACGATCCCAGGGGTGGCACGAGGGATGAATTGGCGGAATGCATGAAGAGGTTCACCGCTTACAGTGGTTCATTCAACATTCGTGCAACAGACCATGGAGAACTCTTGTTAGAGCATCATGTTGAGGTTTGCTCTTTTCCGAATTGGACCGGAAGTGTTCAGCGACGAATTATGGAGCTGGACGGCAATCTTCTACTACTGAGGACGGAGGGGCCGATCTTGATTGAGGCATGTGTCAATTCTTTATCTTTTTCGGATATGTCGGTAATTCGTTGAGGTTAAGTAGTTGGTTTCTAACTTGACATGTAGGGTGAATATAGAGTGCCGATGCTGCGGTGGAAAAGGTTCGAAACAGCTGTCTAGGTTGTGAGTACACTGATATGATCATTGTCACATATGAGTCCAATAGGCTGTCTTCCATCTTCCAACGTAATAAGACAATGGTCAACGAGATGTGCGAGTAATCGTGAATGTCAATGCAGTCCAGAAAACAACAGAAAACATATTCAGAAATTCGGTCAACTTTCAATTCTGTAAAGGCCGGATTTTTGGGGTGGGAAGGAGGGGAATTTGCAGCTTTGTATTATGATAGGTCACACTTTGGATTCGAAAAGCCAGTTGTCCCATTAGCGCTTCCTAATATCTCCAAGGCTACCAGGATGGCCACCATCGTTACAATCTGACCGGCATCTGTGTCGATATACTAGGACTGTTTTGATCAGACCCTTGCCATGTAGATTAGATGAATAATCTTCTGCGGAAGAGCTGAGGAAGCCAAGCAATACTTGATTCGTTTGGGATTCCTTTGCCCTGATTGACAGACAACGACAGATTTCCTCATTGCTGTGGCCTCGCCAGCCCAAAAGACTATTAGACCGGACTACAAAGGTCCATTATATCTTGATGCGGACTCTTTAGCCAAAAGATCCCGCGAAAGTGATCATTATAAGCAACTTCAAAGAGGTGCATAAGTGTACGTCGGAAGTCGCTTCTGACTGGCCTTTTACCATACCTAATTAAGTTACACTGCATTTTGGTGTGATGGGACAGCGCTTATGCATAGCCAACCAAATATTCCCCATCTTCTAACATGAGGAATCGAAAGACTGGACCAGTACCCACTCCGTACTGGGATACAAAAAAGAAAGCATATCGCCCTTCTTCAGGTCGCGATTGCGGCTTACCCTTATCTCCATGGGCGACATATCCCACTCCAGTGTTGGATCACACGAATGATTTACTAAATGAATGTTCGAATTTAATTCGAGATGTATATCACGCCCAGCCTGCCTGGTTGAGTAACTCGGCCAAGTTGATGTCAACCCCGTAATTCGAGCGAATAGCGCCCACAGGGAGATCAACAAGTGATTCCGCCCAAGATCGGAAGCTACCGCCAGCAGCTTTAACCACCATCAAGCGGTCCAAACGGTCCAAATGGTGAAAATCCGGATTGATCCAGGCAGAAAACAACAAGGCGTTATCTTTGGAATGTATATGCTACGCCATTGTCGTGTGCTGGGCGAAGGAGTGAAGTTTGATATTGTTCACATCCGGGAAACAAGGCGCCATTGCTCCCTCGGTAACTTTGAATGTTGTTGCGTTCAGTGCTGTAAGCCACTCAAAGAATGGAGTAAAGCAAGAGGGTTTCTGGCTAAGTTGGTATTGTTTGTTGCCCTAAGGCCAACTTTTGGATCAGCAAAGGATTGAACTGGCTATTTCTAAATATACCACAGGAAAGTATCTGGTATATGTGCTCTTAAAATATTCGTTAGGCAAATGATAACATTGCTCTCAACTATCAGTCATTGAATTGACTCAGTGTGGTATTTTATCAACAGATACAGTTAAAGTGAAACAATCCCTGGCGGCCTGAGACGAGTCATTCGCAGTCCCCCACCACGCAACAATCCACTCAACGAACGTATAAAAGACTGGTGATACATTTTAATAGCAGTGATTTGATTTTAGGCATATAGCTCGTGCAGTAAGCACATTACATTGTAACGTATGCCTTGGAGCCCTACACCCCTCGCACACGTTTTCTCATTGTCTCGGTATTCTCGTGCCAAGCTTCCTAGATAGGGGAATCTACATTTATTTATTGCTTGCTGATTTCTAATCTAGAAAATCCACACAGCTGGCGAGTAATGACATCAATAACTTTAACCGCCGTAGGGACCTTATTTCTTTCACATTTTATTGATAAAACCCGCACAGCAGGTTGTCCAGAAAACTATCAGGCGACTTCAGCTATATTCACTCCACAAAGTTCTTTAAGTATGACAAGGATTCTCTGGTTAGGACAAAGTCTCACTGCGGACTCCATATCAGCCTTATTGGTAATTAGCAGCTTAGATATAGAACCCCCTATCTGTACCAGCTTCAACCTTTGACCAGAGGACATGAATACACTTCTCTCAAAGATACCTGCAGCTACTGCTCCCAATGCACTACCATAGGGTGGGCCAAAGGCATTCACATCAGCGCCTCGTGTAAGAAGAAGTTTGACGACATCTATGCGAACTTCATGAGCGGCGGCCTGCAGTGGTGTCGCGAAGGGTCCCTCAAACTCATAGTGACTAAACAGCGAAACCTCGGCGGTTGGAGCATTAACATCAATACCCTTTTCAAGCAACAGGTTTACGAGCTCGACACTGCCGCTTATAACCGCTGCTTGCAGTAAATTTCCGGCTGCGAGGCAACTGGGGTCCTGTGAATCAATTTTGGCACCATTCCGAATCATCAAATGCGCGACATCGATCCAACCATTGTATAAAGCTAGAGTAAGGGGTAAATCGTATTCAACGACACTGGGATTAACATTAGCCCCCCATGCTATAAACAACTTGCATATTGCTTCGTGGTCGTCGCGCGGACCATCTTCAAGTCCTGTTAAAGAGTAATAAAGGGCATTTTCAGTGATAATTGCATGATGGCTGAGAAGATATTGAACGATATCAACATTGCCCTTTGAGGCAGCAGCTGCCAATGCGTCTGGGAGCTCGCAATCATCAGAGACACGATTCACATCTGCGTTGCTTTCAGTTAATAACTCGCACATTCCCAGATTTCCATGCCATGCGGCGTGCATGAGAGGCGTAATTTCCGGTACAGGTAGTCCATTGGGGTCTGCTCCTCTTTCCAAAAGTAATTTTCCCATTGCTACATTCCCCACGAAAGCAGCTATATACAATGGAATTGAAATCGTGTCTTCATCGGGGTATCCATTGGGATTGGCGCCGTTGTCAAGTAAAATTCTTAGTATATTTTCACGTTCGTACTCACAAGCTAACGTTAAAGCTGAGTCAGGATATCCCCAGCTGGTATGGACACTTGCGCCTTTCTCAATGAAGAGCCGCACTATCTTTTCGTGTCCGAAGTATACCGCTTTCATCAACGAATTTCCTGTAATTCTGTGGAGGCTTTCTACCTCTTCACATTTGAGCTTTTGCCGATTATGAAATGATGATTCTGATTCATCTTGGTATTCATCCATCTCCCCGCCATAACTTTCCAGGAGCTCCTTAGCTACTAAGTCTAAGCCGAGAACTGCGGCCCATCCAAGCGGTGAAGCAAGTCTTTGAATTACTATCTTTGAAAAGGGTGATGTGGTGGGTTGGTGCGGATTGTAGACCACCAAACAATCCTCCAACACTGTTAGTGTTTGTAGTAGCTGGATGACCTTTGATGTCAGCGTGCTTCCATGTTCGGCCGCAAGTTTAACGTGTTCGAACCAAAAGCGACAAGCGTAATATAGCAATGGAAAGGAATTTAGATCTTCTTTCGTGCCGGTTTTCTCGGCGCTAGAACTGTAGTAGTATATATAAGCAATGCAGTTCGCCGCTATATCCCTATGGGACACCTCTTCTTTGAATCTGGATTCTGAGTATGGACCCTCTTGAATACCGCTTCGCAAAAGGAATTCCTTAACCGAAATGTGTGAGAGACATAACTCTAGTTGCTCGTCTTGCTTGTCTTGCCGGACGCGACGGGTGACGACAAGCCCTTGTAAAAGCTTCAGGAGGTCTTCTGGCATCATTCTATCTAAATCATTAACGACAATGGACTGATTTGGGTTAACGATTGACGCCTCGGTTAATGCCTCGATGGTCATGGGTTGAAGAGAATGACACAACCACTGAAGTGCATTCCCTGCCTCTGTCGACAATCGTGAATCAATTGAACGCAGTACTCGCATGTAAACTTCGTCTAAGGATGAGGACAAAGAACTTAGAATCATCGTAACTTCTCTTAGTCGAACTATTTGAAGACTTTTAAGCTCATCCAGTTGACAGTCAACCCATTGAAACCTTTTGGAATAGTCAGCATCAGGTCCTATATAGATAAATAGTAGGCATCAAGACAGAGTGAGTCTTACATTCCATCCGCCCGTTCAAGAAAAACATTCGAAATATTGATCTTGGAGATTTCTTGCGCTTTTCTTAGTGTAGGGTGGTTCCTGAACTGTTCTGAAAGATGAAGACGCATGTCCTCTCTGGTTTTTGCAGCATCAATCGAGACCTTGACGAGTTTTGGGTGACGAGTAATGACCTCCACGATGTCATAGGAACTCATATCGCTCCTGCTTGTGAATGACAGTCTGACATTGGGACACGAAGAGGTTATATTGTAGACCCATTGGATCATTTGCTGACGGTATCGTCCGTCTACACCAGGTAGACACTCGTCAAGAGCATCCAGAACGATGAACACACAACCAATGTCTCTGATTATCAACTCAAGAAAATACGTTATTTCTTCAAAGCTTGCCTCGTGACGCGATTCCTTAGTTTTCTTGTCGTAGAGTATTTCCAAGCGCTCTGGAATGCCTCGGTTTTCACAGAGTTGCCTGAGGAGCGAGGATATGCAAGTGACCGCTGACTGCGTGCGGGGGTCGGTAAAAGAAAAGTAGAAATATGCAAGTTGACACGGGGTTTCTACTTGACAATATGACTTGAGGTCCTCGATTATCGCAGAGCTTATTCCGTTAGCGATATATATATTCAGTCTGCGTTGATTCTAAGTTTTCCTTACCAGAGGACTGTTTTTCCCCGACCGACTGGGGTTCATTCAATTATTATCAAGTTAAGACAGTTTTTGGATAGCCCTGTGTATCTGCTACTTACTTTCACCGTTAAGCCAAAGTACAGAACCGGACACCTTCCAAGCGTTGAACTCCGATCCTTCAAGAAACCACATCCCGGATCCTGGTTCCCGCTTACTTTGAGCAGCTTCGTGATTTGTAGATGGATCCACAGAACAGAGCCATTGAAGCATCTGGCGTGATTTTTCGTCTACATATTTAGATCAGCAAATTACATCCCATAAGAGGCCAGACGATGGTAGATTGTTACTCTTTTCAGATAATTCGAGTTTACTGCGCACTCGCTGAATGTTAGTGTTGACAGTATCGAGGTTCAATGTCAGCCGTTCCATTTTCTGATCGAGACTATCCAATCGATCAACAAATAAATTTGCGGTATCACTTCGTGTCGTCAGCTGGAACTCATTTAGTGAGAGGCAGACAGGGCACCGACATCTGTAAGCTCTCCAGGACTAAAGTCAAATCCACTTTTTGCTCGTGTAGTAGATCGCGCAGTTTGAAGATGGTACTCTCCTTGAACGGATACTTTACTCGCTCCCATTGCAGCTTTCCATGTGCACGAAACCCTTTTGCACTGTTGGCATCCTTGAATTTGTCCAGCTTTCTTTGCAGTTTCTCGAAAATCGTTGCGCAACGTTGCATTATATCGCTAATGTTGCCTGCAACTGATGTCTCTGGCTGTTGACTGTGGACGCTATTCTGAATGATCTGAAGGACATGTTGCGTGCTTTGGAGAGACTGACAGAGCTCCAAAACGTCCTCCGGGCAGTCTTGCCAGCGTTGATAGTAGGTTAGAAGTCCTTGACATGCTTGGAGGCCTAGAGAAACAATACCGACAATTGTACCGACGTCCATTTTTCTATCCAGAAAGATTTACAGCATGTAAAACTTTGACAATTCCCTCTCACTTTCCTACATTTATTATATTCGGGAGACTGGCGGGTTTGGTGAGCCTGACGAGGCTGCGACGCATCGTGTCGCAAGTAAAGCGCTGTCCTTATGCAGCAAACGGAGTCGAAAGCGCTAATAGCTATATTCGCGCCACATCAAAGTCTCCTTACTGACCGCCAACGTTGCAGAGAAAATCTGTTACTCCCCGCAATACAGATGATTGGGGCGCCAGTATTAGGCCAGCCGCGTGCATCTGCTAAATTGGCTCATATTCGGATGGCAGACAGTGTTTTTAGCCGTCTTAGTGATGATTAGCTCATTACCCACCATCATGCCATTGGTAAACTCCTGACCCGACACTTCGGCATAATTTTCTGGGAGGATCTCTCATGGCTGAACAGCCAGATGGAGCAGTTGTTTTTTTTTTTGGTACAGATGTGACAGAATATTTGGCAATCACCAGTCAAGTCATTTGGCCGTAGCCTGTCAAGTTATATTGTATCTGGTTAAACCTAGTGATTTACAGGACCTTCCTAGGAATTAAAGCTTCTCATCTATATCAGAGGCGGATTAGTGAGAAAACACGTTCAATCTTTATAATATCTAAGAAAGGCATGTATACAAACATAAAAGTAATAGAGGATATTGAAATGTCAAACATATCCGAATTTTTCAAGGATATATCAAACAAGGACAATCAAAGAAAAACTTTTATTTATCTATTCATATATATCTCTGAACCAGGTTTTCTTTGAAAATATTATCTATAATCTTCTTTCAACTCTGAAACAGCCACATCCTCGATATCTGACTTATAAAGATGTTGACCATGCGTTCCAAATCCTGGTCAAATAAAGACAAGCTTGGGTCAGAACAACGGACGTCCTTTTCATTTGTTCATACCTCGACGACTTTCTCAACTCTGCCGCGGCAATACCAACGTTCTCGGCATTAGAAAAAGGCGCGGAAATTCCCATACCACAACATTTTGAAGACATACCTACCTTCAAAGCCATACATTTCAAACACCATGGAGATTGAAGAATTGAAGATGCGCAAAGTGAGACTGCGTCTATACAAGATCAGATCAAACACATTCTTCAGGATGTGAGTTGCTTAATGGACCTCTCTATTGAGCATATTAATAGGCTGAGGGGCGTTACTGAAGCCCCTTTTGCAATTGACAAGTTTCAAGTCTCTATGGCCGATTATTGTGAGTGGTTGAGCATATTAGGTGATGACATTCGCGGTATCGAGCTAGATGGTCAAAGACAGCGCCTTGTGTTTAAAGAATGTCCAGGAGCAATGCATGAAATTGCTGTTGACGTAGTTCGTGAGTTTCTTTTACAACCACTGCGAGATAGGTTGAACGCTGTAACTCAATCACACCATAGCTTAATGGGAAGCAAAAGTAAGTTTTCTCTAATATTAAGCCAACATATTAACTATAACTGTATGTATAGTGACTCTTCTTTATAATGGACACGATTCTTCTTTCAAACTGCCTGATGCATCTCTTAAGCATTCAGAATCTGACCCGCCTATTGTGGTGCTTGAGGATGCTTTTGCTGAAACAACCAGGGATCTTATCAACGACGCACGAAGATGGTTAGCAGGAGGTAGTGGTGTCACTAAACTCGTTATTCTTGTTAATATCAACGAGCATACGCATCAAAAGTTATCTGCTAAAGATAAATGGGATTTATCAGAGTCATCATTTCAACACATGAATCATCGACAACTCTGCCATCATATCCTTCAATGGTATCATGATAGAAACATTTTCTTGGTTGGAGAATGTGAGTTATCTGTATACCTATGGTATAATAATGAGAATGATCCTCAGTGTCTTCTGGAAAAGCTATCATTTTCTCGAGACAAATGGATTGATTCAGCTATTACTGAGGACGTTCCTTTGAGGTTGCAATACCTCTTGCCTGGGAGTACTGTAGATCATGGTGAATTGCTTTTCCCATTGCGGCGACTTGTGGAGGAATTGCAAAGGGGATTCAGAGATGTTGAATTTGACAGAATTGCCGAATATATAGCGAAAAAGTGACGTGGGATCTTGAGCCCCTGACTCTTTGGTAATGCTTTTCTTGTGTCGAACAAGCGAAGTCTGTTTAGGAATCAATTCTTGGGCGATCTTTCTTACAACATCAACATTGTCCTTATCAATTCCTTTTCCTTTCCTTTTTCATTCTGGCCTTGGTATTCTTGTCGAATAGCTAGCTGCCTTGATACTATTTTTCGATTACGGTTCGTCTATATCCTCCCTATCTGGTATGGCGCTGCTTCGAGTTGGCTACTTTAGGAAATTGAAGGTTATGGCGATCTTGAGATATATTACTTATGAAATTTAGAAATACGTAAGACACTCTGCACGAGATTACTAAATAACAACATCGCTCGAATTGCAGGTCGGATCTCATGAGGAGACGGGGAGAATGTCCACCAGAAATAAGATCGAGAACGGATGTAATTAAACAGGTAGAAGTAAATTAGCAGAAGCATCCTATCTACATGGTTGTACATCTGAGATTGACAGCAAGCCTCGTTTAATGCATTGACTTGCATTTTTACCTCCAATATCTCTCCATTGCTCGCCAAAAGGACTATATTTTGTATTTCAATTTCCAATATCAACACAAAATCCATTATTATTAGTCACGAATCATGATCAATTAATTACTTGTCAACCAAAATTGTTCAATATCGGAGCGGAACCTTCCGCGGGGAGGACAAGGGCGCTTCCGATGCCGCAAAAGCTTGCGTTCGGGCGGATCCAGCCTGCTTCTATCCATTTCTCCCTCCATTGTCGGCGGCCTCCTCCAATTAAGGAGCTGCCAATAGACGGGGCCTTGAATTATGTGTCAGCAAACACAGTCCAGACTACTCAATTCAGGGCATTACCGATCAGGTCATTCAGGATCAGATCTCTGCAGTAGTCTGCACCGGCGAGGCGTACCATCACGACTCTGTGCTGCGAAAAAGAGCTCCGACAGCAGAAAACAATTTGGACATAGACCGCGCTGATTGGATGCGAAGCTCCATCTGATACATGAGCTCCACTCGTGCGGGGACACTATGCTGCGTGGCAGATGCAGTTGGAGAATGAATTGGAAAATGCAGGTAATGCGCCCATTTTTCCCGTCTTTGGTTACTGGTTCCGACTCAACAAACTTCGAGGTTGGGTCTAACGCTTGTCTTATCATGCTCCAGCCAATTAATGCTTCCGGAATGATGTACTGTGTAAAAATAATACCATTGAGCCACTGGTATCTCTCTCCGCATGCCCAACCGAAATTGGCATGTATATCCAGCACATAATCTGGTACAAAAAATGTGACGGTCCTATATACCTATCGTAAACTCTGTCCGGCGTGCGGCTGGTTTTGACAAAATCTAACGGTAATTCTGAAAATCGTCGATTTAATTGAATTCGACCAAAGATATACACTCACAATGGGTCCAAAAGACGAGCCTGGTGAGTCCCTGTGCTACAATATGCCTGTTCTCTTCACCTTGACACTGACTGACGACTTCTCAGGTACTTACCGGTATAAAGAATCCCCAGTTTATACTGCCTCCAACGGCTGTCCGGTACGAACATTCCTGACAAAGGTGTGAATATGGCAATTACACCAATTCATGTCAGATTAAATAATCTACTTTGTGGTGCTATATTCACACTTTTGTCATATTGTACAGAATTGAGTTGACTGGTCTTGAAAAGGTTTTCGATCCCGAATCTTCCCAGAGAATCGGTAGCAATGGCCCTCTTCTCCTTCAGGACTTTCACTTGATCGACTTGCTCGCCCACTTTGACCGAGAACGCATACCAGAGCGAGTTGTTCACGCCAAAGGTGCGGGGGCGTACGGTGAATTCGAAGTAACAGATGACATCAGTGATATCGTAAGTGCCTGGCTAACCCTAAAAGCAGCGAAGGACCGACCTAACATACTCAGACCACAATTGATATGCTCAAAGGAGTTGGTAAGAAAACCAAACTCGTCACCCGCTTTTCCACCGTCGGGGGAGAGAAAGGTTCCGCCGACAGCGCTCGTGATCCGCGTGGATTTTCAGTCAAATTTTACACCGAAGAAGGCAACTGGGACTGGGTATTCAATAACACGCCAATCTTCTTCCTCCGTGATCCTTCCAAATTTCCCCTTTTCATCCACACCCAAAAAAGAAACCCCCAAACAAACCTGAAAGACGCCGATATGTTCTGGGATTATCTTTCTACTCACCAGGAATCGGCACATCAAGTCATGCACCTCTTCAGTGACCGCGGGACTCCGTACTCGTATCGGCATATGAACGGCTACTCTGGCCACACCTTCAAGTGGATCAAGCCCGATGGCAGCTTCAACTACGTCCAGCTCCATCTCAAGACCGACCAAGGAAATAAGACGTTCACCGACGAGGAGGCCACCGCACTTTCCAGCTCCAACCCAGACTGGCACACCCAGGACCTATACGAGGCAATCGAGCGCAGGGAATACCCTTCATGGACCTGCTACGTACAAGTCCTCAGCCACGAACAAGCAGAAAAATTCCGATGGAACGTGTTTGACCTGACCAAAGTCTGGCCACAAAGCGAAGTACCTCTTCGCCGCTTCGGCAAGTTGACTCTGACCCAAAACCCGCAAAACTACTTCGCCGAGATCGAACAGGCTGCTTTCGCCCCTTCGCACTTGGTACCCGGCGTTGAGCCCTCCGCCGATCCCGTCCTGCAATCTCGACTATTCTCATATCCAGACACTCATCGCCATCGGCTGGGCGTCAACTACCAACAAATCCCCGTCAACTGCCCGCTTCGCGCATTCAATCCGTACCAACGCGATGGCGCGATGGCGGTGAATGGGAATTACGGCGCCAACCCCAACTACCCGTCGTCCTTTCGCTCCCTGAAATTCCAGCAGCCTGTCAAAGCTAGTCAAGAGCATGAGAAGTGGGCCGGTGCTGTCGTCTCTCAACAGATTCCCGTCACGGACGAGGATTTTGTGCAACCGAATGGTCTATGGCAGGTTCTTGGCCGTACCCCCGGGCAGCAGGAGAATTTGGTGAAGAATATTGCTGGTCATTTGTGCAATGCCAAAGAGAAGGTTCGCAAGCAGGCATATACCATGTTCTACCGGATTAATCGTGATCTTGGGGAGAGAATTGAAAAGAGCACGGAGGCGAATGCGTCTCGACAGGCTCGTCTGTAGTATGCCGAATATCCACACAAAAAATAGGAAATTCTTGTCGGTATATACCAATTGATGTTTGTCTAAGACAAGCGTGTGAAGCAATTACTCTTTGTGTGTTTATTGCATAAGTTGGAATATAATTAATATTGATATAAGGAAGGCCCCTATACCTCATCCATTTTTGTGGAGCTATATTCACACCTTTTGTCACGATATCGTATCAAAGAGGATTAATCACTTGAATCTTCAAGTCTACATGTTGTAAAGGCTCATGGATATGGTGGGAATAGTTGCAATTTAGAATTCATTAAATCATACATTCAACAAAGTAACCCATCACCTAGCATCCCCGTTAACGAACAATCCCGTATGAACCTATTTATTCAACCCCAAAGGATTCTCCGCAGTCTGCTCTTTCCCACCAACCGACTCATTCCCTCCGCTTCCACCGCTTTGGTTGTCCCTACCACTCAACCCCTCACTCAGACTCTTGCCCGTACCGGACGCGGTATTCCCGAGGCCCTGGGTGGCGCCAGACACGGTGTTTCCCAGACCGGCAGTTACATCGCCGACGGTCTTGCCCAGATTACCTAGAAGACCGCCAGCGGTATCGGTTACGCCGCCAACGGTTTTTCCGGCGGTGTCGCTGAGGCCGCCGAGGAGGTTTGCTAGGTATGGTATATCAGTCAGTTTGAGAATTAATTGAATCGAAAGAAGAAAGGAATGGAGTCGCGGGTACTTACGGTTGTTGTCTTGGTTGTTCGACATGGTGAGAATGCAATTAGCGATGGATCAAGTTGTGAGTTGCGAGTTGTAAGTTATGAGATGTAAGGTGTGAGATGTAAGTTGAGAGTTGTAAGTTGCGAGCTGTGAGTTATGTGTATTTGAGTTGTGTGTTGCTGATGGTTAGAAAAGTTATGCAAAAAACAGGGTTTATAGGTGGTGTAGGTTCTGATATCATACCCCAGCTTCTGTGACATCGTGGCTGGTTAGGGCTAGATGATATCATGCCTGTGGAGCCCCGACCACACCTCTTCCTACACCCTGTCCTGCAGGATCATATTTACAGTATTATCAATCCTTTCCGGAAATAAGACCAGCGCTAAGCCACAGCATAATTGACTCCACTAATAAATACGAGCTAATGCCATATGACATGTCAATATTTATTCTACTTATGTTGACGGTGGATGCGCTGACGGATGTGGCGTGTAGCTGGGGCAAATCACGATTCTACTTCACCATTTAATTGACACATGCATGGAATATAAACTCTATCAAGCTTGACACTTTGCTAGAACACTGGCTTTGAAGAATCGCCGCATGCTACTATTATCATTGGCTGGTTCATGATATAACTGTTTAGAAATCATGTAATTTTACGTGTAATTTATCTATAAAATCATTCATTGGCGAGACTAATCGAAGTCTTGCCTAGAGAATTGACGTGACTTGGTACGAAGTCTAAGAAACATACTACCGCCGAAACAGTGCAGATTCGTAGATATCTTAATCTACATTTCACCAATTACTCGTGAGACCACTCAGGTTTCTTCTTCTCGGCAAACGCAGTCATGCCTGTTACATGATTAGCATCGTCCCAACGGCATCTATAGAAGACTGTTACGTACCGATTTTCTGATCTTTACTTCCAAACAAACCATGGAACAATCGTCGCTCATACTCAACGCCTTCTCTCAAGGACAGCTCTTGGCTCTTGTTAACCACCTCCTTCGCCGCAACGACAGCCACGCGACTATAACTAGCAATCGTCTCTGCAGTCTTCAAGGTTTGCGCCAATAGCTCTTCCTTGCCGCCCTCAATCACTCGCGCAGCAACCCCCCACTCACCAGCTTCCTTTCCAGAGAAGTTTTTGCCAGTCAGAATAAGCTCCATCGCCTTGCTCTTTCCAATCGCCCGTGTCAGGCGCTGCGAGCCTCCAGCACCAGGGATAACGCCCAGTTTGATCTCGGGTTGACCGAATGTGGCGGTTTCGGTGCAGTAGATGATGTCGCACATCAATGCCAGCTCGCATCCTCCTCCAAGCGCATACCCGGATACAGCAGCGATAACGGGGGTGCGGATCGAGTTGGCAAGGTGTGACCAGGGGGCGATGAAGTTGTTGGAGTAGGCAGATGAGAATGTCAGGGGTGCCATCTCTTTGATATCGGCGCCAGCTATATAATATACTCAGGTAAATGCCGAGTAGATTACCAGGGGGTGAAGACTAACCAGCAAATGCCTTCTCGCTGCCTGTAATGACAATGGCACCGATTTCCTTATCTCCGTCATATTTGCTCAGAGCATCGTTCAATTCTTCAAATAGCGGGCTTGACAACGCATTAAGCGCTTTGGGGCGATTTAAGGTGACTTCCGTGTTGTTAGTAATACATACAACGCACCATTGATGGCATTGGGTGTTCAAATTTAAATATCAGGCTATACTCACTCAGCCCAACGCCAGGCTTGGGAATTTCAGTCAAGATATGCTCATACGATGCTGGGGATGTTGACGAGAATGGTCGGCTAGCTCTGGTCAGGTATGATGTCAAGGTGCGGTTCGTGCTGGCCATTGCCAGTCGCGAGCATCGGGAGAAGAGCATTGTGATGGATGTCGTTGAGGAACTGCCTTGCGCGGTATTTGCACTATCAAGCACTGCACTCAAGTAGAAACCGCTCGGCGTATCTATAAAATAATACTAAAGACGTTGAACTGAATGGCCGGTAGCAGCCCGCACCGAGGACGTCAAGCTTGCCGATTCGCCGAGGCAAACCGCTGTAAGCCGAACACGTGAGAGATTTGCCCTGTTTGCACTACAGACCCAACACGGCCTAGCGCAAATCCTGACACGTGCGGTAGGATCGTGGCTTGGAGCTGTGGCTCAGCAAGGCTGGCTGGGCCCGTTGGTTTCGGGCCACTTTTCAGTTTACGCAAGCAAAAACGGATGCGGATTGCGAACAGTCACGGCTGCGACTAACGACGACGACGACGGAACTAGCTTTCGGTCTTGGAATAATACACTCTCTTCTGTTTTAATTTTCTCGACCCACGACACTGCTGGTTCTCCCACCACTCACTGTGTTGTGTGCTCTTACTAGTCTGCCAAAATCACTTCCGGAGACTCTCTGGATCCCGCATCTCTCCTTTTTCCCTCCTCGTACTCGAATTCTCAGCCATGGACGCCCCGGAGCCGGAGCAGACGCCATTCAATGCAGTTCAGGCGCAGACGTCGAAACTTGCGAGGGTGAGTTTACTCCAATTTTCTACGACTCTTGATCAGGCTATGTCCAAACCATCCCATGAGGAAACAGGATATGACTCCCTCGAGACGCACGACTAACCATCTCCTCACAGCAATACCAATCCTACCTTGACAAATTGACGCCACACACTGTCTATCGATGGGCCGGCACGGTCGTTCTGCTGCTACTCTTTTTCCTTAGAATTATTGTGGCACAGGGTTGGTACATCGGTATGAATAATGAACTCCAACCAAACTCCAGCAGAAAAACCATGCTAACATCATATTTTAAAAGTCGCCTACACCCTCGGCATCTACCTTCTGAACCTCTTCCTCGCCTTCCTCCAACCCAAATTCGACCCCTCCCTGACTCAAGACGAAGGACTCGAGGACGGCGAGGCGGGCGCCTCGAGCCTGCCGATTAAACAAGACGACGAGTTCCGTCCGTTTATCCGACGCCTGCCCGAGTTCAAGTTCTGGCACTCGGCCACGCGTGCGATCGCGATTGGCTTTGTGTGCTCGTGGCTCCCGTTCTTCGATATCCCGGTTTTCTGGCCGGTGTTGGTGATGTACTGGCTGATTCTGTTTTTCTTGACGAGTAAGCCCAACGCCTCCCCCAAATTGGACAAAAGGGTGAAAAAAAGAGAGAAGAAACTGATTAGATATACAGTGCGACGCCAAATTCAACACATGATCAAATACCGCTACGTCCCCTTCACCATCGGCAAGACGCGATACGGCCGCGACTAAAACGAATGCCAATCCCTAATCCCTCGCGGACCTTTCTTTTCTCATTAAGAGTAAGAAGTAAGAAGTAAGAAATTTAATGTGACCACGCATGCCGCCACGCACGCATTCTGGCCGTTCCCTTTCTTTTCACAACTAGCGTCGAGCTATTTGATCGACCGACATACCAATACTTAAGTGGCAGTATGAGACCTGAATCTGGCATGATTCGATATGTGATGTTATTTTATATTCATATTATTATTACTATTACTTTACTCATTTCATGTTTTTTTGTACTCATAATTGGTGTGGTGTGTTGAGTATTATCTATCATACGGAGAAATATTATCTTTAGAGAAGCAAAGCATACTAGGACTGTTTTGATCCTGTCATATCCCTTCCTTTACCTTCAACTCTATTCATTTTTCTTCATAATATGGACAATAGTTATATAAGCTATTGCATTGTCAGCTACATAAGCTGGTCCGTGACTCGGCTACTCCTAGTCTAGTTTATGCACTCCCACGGTATGAGCAATCATATTCTGTATCTACATACTACATAGTATATAATATTTAGGAGGGATGTGTGTGGTTTACCCATGCCTGGTGCTTAGCTGAGATCATAAAGGAAAGATGATAGGTTTTATAATATCACTGAAAATTGGTAGTAGTGTTAAGCAATAAAGCAGAATCGGCCCGTCTATCAATTGATCCCTTTTACATTAATTGCTATGAGATATAACTTATAACTATAGTGGAAGGGCTTCCTAAGTACCAGTATATATGTACATATGTATGTATTATTTGACACGGTTGTGAAGAATCGGCCTGCAACAACATTAGAAACCGACTCCTTACATCAATTGATAGGTGTCAAAGTACAATTTGAATATTCAATGTTCATTAATCTATTTTCGGGTATATACCAGACGAGGAAAGTCATGAATAGGAAGGTAAGGTATAGGCAAGAGGTATCTATCTCCAAAACGCTAATAACAGACAACTATATAATAAAGATAGGAAGAGAAGAACGGTTTCGCCATCAAACACCTACTGATGTGATCGCTCAGCTCGGACCGTGTCAGGGTACTGAAATAATAATTGTAAAGATATATAACTTTTCCATCAAATAGACAGTTCCTCTACGTCAACGCTGGTGGAGCTGTCCGCTTTTGCGCGAGGTGTTTGATTATCGATGTCTGAGGTCTTTGTGATGACCCAGGCCGAAGCGTACATATTCACACTAGTAAATATGGTCAGCGAGGCTAAATCGAAGTTTCTGTGCTGTGGAAACTTACCGGTCAATACAAGATCCGGGGAAACGCGCACCAACCCGACGAGGGCTGAAGCCGTTGTCGGCAAAATCCTTGATATACCATGGATCAATGCTGGCAGAGCGCAATAGGACTCGGCCACCGATTTTCAATGCACGGTTCAAGGCTTGTGCTTGTTTTGCCGCGGCGTCTTCTACAGGATTGAACCAGTCCATCGAGTCCATGACCTTGATTCATTAGTAAGTAAATTTTAGAATTAGTTGTTAGATAAACTTACAACTGCGATGGTCAATGTACGCGGTGTCATGCGAGCAATGACTTCGTTCAAACCATCAGTATGGATACGAAGACCATCAAAAGCGCCAGGGGTAGAAAGCTTGTCATGGGCCTTGGGTGTCAAGTACGTGGGGTGGCAGCTAAAAAAAATTCAGTAATGTTCATAGTATGTTCATAGTATCCTGATGTTAATTACCTTCTGGAAAACTTGCCCTGAAGGCAGAGATAATAGAAATAGTTGTCGTTGCTAATCAAGGTATCCTTGGCAACAGGGTCAAACGTATCGACCACGTACTCCCAGATAGCACGTCCACTGACGTCCTTGTTTTTCTTAATTCCACCGCTCAGGCCCTTCCGCTTCAGGAAGTCTTCAATGATCATGTTGCGTTGCGGTGGTGGTACACCGGCAGCTTTCCACGCAAACCATTCAGTCTTGACAATAGCCCAGTTGAGAACTCTACTGAGAAGAACACGTCTAATTGTAGGCCATAGTTCTCGCTGTTCGTTCAATGTCTGGGCTTCACACAACTTCTTGTTTGCGGAACTAAGACCGAAGGCAGCTAACAAATACCGGACCAGCTTGATAGCCACTCGTGAACCACCTGTCTCATACAAACCTTTGTTAGATGCAGATGTGAAGACATGAGCCTGCTCCAGCCAGAATTGGAAAGCCTGGCTAGAGAGATGGGGGCTGAGTTTGTTGATTAATAACTCGCGGAACTCTGAGTGCTTTCCGTCGCCGAAGATTTTCCACACATCCTTGTAGCCCAAGGCAGAAAACGCGGCAACCTTCAACTCGAGCAGATGGTTTTGGTTAGGGTTCATATCTACTGCGTGAACGCGCTTAGGGCTGTTCTGAAGATAATCCAGGATGTTGTCACCAGCGCTGGTGATGGTGAGAATGACATCCTCGTTGTTAATGTTCAACAAACGGTGATCGACGCGAGGGTCCTCCCAGTTGAATGCATAGATATACTCATTGTTGAACTGGGTGTGCTTTGGCAGCTGGTCGTTGTAGTAGATTCGATAATGATGGTTCTGGTAAAAGGCTGACGGAAGAGGAAGGTTCGAGCTGAGATTGACTACGGCTGACTCGTATGCCTTGGACTTGATTTCAGGAGTAGCATTTTCAATGGCCTCGTTCATGGCCTTGCGGTGGTTAGCGGCAGACAAGTAAGGCGATTCGGTGAAAGAGGCATTGAGCTTTTCAATGCTGGCGCTCTCCGAGGTAAAATCCTTTTGGCATCCTAGGAAGGTGTAGTAGGGAATTCCTCCAAGAAGATAGTTTCGTTCACTTGCGGAGATGATTGTGCCGAACTTGTATTCTAGATAGTCTCTACGAGCAGCATCCAAATTGACACGGTCGAAATCGAACCAGGTACGCCAGAAAGCACGGCCAAGCCAGTTCACATGTCTGTTAAAAACACCACCAGTGTAGTTACGGCAGGAGACATCGACAATGTTTTGCACTGCTTCTGTTAGCTCTGCATACCTCGAGAGGACCTCTCGCGCTTACCATAAAAGTCCACAACACCGAGAATAGAATTAGACTTCATGAGCTTTGTCAACGAGTCGACAACGCTGTAATAATCTACCCTCCGTCAGTATACGTCAGGTATTCGTACAAAACCAGACTAACCCGGAATCATTGATAAGCTATAGCTCATGGTTACGATATCGGCGCCACCATCAGTACCATTGAGACGGAATTGCCGCGCATCCTGGCACACCACGGAGACATTCTTCCAGCCTAGACGCTCGAATCTTTTGCGGGCCACTTCAAGAAGCGATGGAGAAAGATCGACGAGGTAGACGTGAGAGAAGAACTGATCTACAGGTAGGAAGCGGTTCATAGCTTCGATGTTGTAGCTGTACTCGTCAGCTCGAGAAAATTGTAAGGGATTGCGTGTATTAAGCATACCCAGTACCACCACCAATCTAGCCCAATTAGCTAAAATTACAACATTCAGGAATACTGTACTCACATCAACCCAGATAGGCTTGGTCATTTCATGCTGCGCTTCCCGGTGCTTCAATTGGGCGGCTAACAGACCGAGCATATCCTCACGACCGCAGAGCAGTTTCTTGCGAGTGACATCGTACACACTGGCCTAGAATCTACAATTAGTCCTGCATTCACCAGAAATGAGCTGGGTCCTACCTGGGCGCGGTAGAAGCTCTCTAGGGCATATTGCTGGCCGGCTTCGCCGTTGTCGCCGCGTTCATGGGGCTTCAAGAAACACGAATACACGAACTTGACGTACGATAGCAGACCCTTGTTGAAGTCGAGCTTGCCCTTCTGCAAGGAGAGGAGCACGGCGGAGGCGACCAGCGCAAAAACGAAGACGGCGGAGACGCCAATGGTGAAATGCGGGGAGCTCCAGCCCTGGAGGCCAAGGCGAGTGTGAAGAGCGTCGACGACACTCATGGTGGGATAGCAGAGTTGACGAGCTATGTACAGCGCAGAGTGCAAAGAGACAAGCCGGCAGGCGCAATTGAGGGGATATGCGACTGAGGGCGGGAGAAGAGAGGGGAGAATGAGGAAGAACAGAAAGAAAGAAGGCGCACCCCGTACATTTTTGTATGGCTTGCCTCTTATTTAGACATATCCGCCATTATTGGACATTGCTGGCCCCACCGAGGAGCGAAGAGGCCAGCAATGGCAGTCAGTGTCCTATCACGACGACACATGGGCGGGGTTGAATAGGTCTGTCGATGTTTAATTGCGATTGTTCACGCGACGAGGGGCAGCGGGCTCAGTCGTGCCTGAGGTGTCTCGCGACTCCAGTCCCAACAAAGATGAATACATACACGAGAATGTCCGTAGTGAGCAGTAAGTTACCGAGTACAGAGCATACAAGAGCAAGTAGGAAGCCGTTACGCCTGCATGTGCTGTCTAAGCTTCGCCCTAGCCGTTCTACCATTTTTGGGTTAGTACAGCTGCAGCAGCCAATCAGCGCCCGCCTTGCCGCCACGGCTACAGCTCTCTCGTATTATTGATTAATTACTTCTCGTCTTCTATATTGACCTGCTGCGATGCCGCTGGCCTTGCTGCCGTAAGCACCGCTTATCGCGCTAGTTGGTTAGTTGATATGCTTCTGGCTAAGTAGTTAGTAGTTAGTAGGTACAGATACTGCTCCTCGTCTCGACGATCAGCTACTTCAGTATGGAGAAAGCGTCTGAGAGACCGTGTGAATTAGGACTCAAGAACACTAGTGTATTGCTCCTCAGGGTCTCTTACAGAACTAGCGAACGCCAATGGTTATTTTGCTATTTTTCATCTACATTAGCCCATGTATTAGGTATAGTAGACTTACTAGCTGCTCAACGTTTTAGAGAGCACATTGTTTTGCATGTGATGCTTGGCGTGCTCTCCCAACACTCCTCTGCGTAATTATTCAATTGTGAGATTAATCAATTATTATTTTTGAGACAGTATACATAGCATTAAAGGTCACAGCGTGGTTCTGAATGCTTGCGAGGTATTCAATATTTTGTGGCTGTTGCAGGAGGCACGTACATGTACATTCTCAACTGAGGGGAACAACAATTATGATGACCCCACGGATGATCGTGAACATCAATTGATTAAATAATACTGATCTGAATAATATCAATCACCAAGAGCTGACCGCAAACCCTACCGATCGCAGTACATATAAGCAGGTGTCAATGCCGTCCCTGACTAGCTGGGGCCGATATCGCCTTGATATATGCAAGAACATATATCGGGCAGGTGCATAAAGTTCGACAAGAGTAATGAATAGTCTGCTATTGGCTCGGTATACGTGTACAGGTACTTGTAAGACATGCTCACGTCACGTGAAGGTCGACCACATTCAATTAATTCATGTTGAATCTGAAACGATTCGGTGTACAACAAACTCGTCTCCCAACCAGTTGAAGTGATGTATATACTATATTAAATTCTGACTATTCGATTGATGAGTTGTACCGCCCGCTTTTCCATCCCAACCCGGTATTGCTCTTGACAACTACCACATCTACAATGTGTACCCCCTGACTCCCCGAGAACAACAGAGAAAGCCGCAGCAATCCAGACCAACAACAAACAAGACAGACGCCTGAAGAAAGTTTATAATGGTGTTACAAAGTCATGATATGTGTGTGCCGTTACCTTACCCGCTCATGCATTTTCCGATTGAATCGTTTGCTATCACAGTACAGTCAGTACATCACCCTTCACACTTTGTATGGAGGTACTAACCACCAACCAATCCATGCCTTCGTTGATCCCCTTCCCATCAATGGCCGAGCACGCAACAATGCTCCAGTTCCGGTCCCGCAGCTCACCCAATTTCAACGCTTCGGAGATCTCCCCTGCGCCTTTGGCTCCCGGTTGATCCTGTTTGTTGGCAAACACCAGCAGCGCCGCGTCACGCAGCTCTTCCTCGTTGAGCATCGCCGCCAGTTCGTCCGCGGCAATGCCTAATCGCTCGATATCCGTGGAGTCTATGACGAACACAACCGCTGCTGTGTTGGCGTAGTAGCATCGCCAGTATGGCCGAATCGAGGTTTGGCCGCCTAGATCCTGCTCAGTATCAGTATTTGTAGCAAGCCAGTTCATATCAAAGTAAGAGCGCCATACCCAAACATTCAGGTTGAGGTTCTTGTAGGTCACGGACTCGACATTAAACCCGATCGTGGGGATTGTTGTGACCACCTCTCCAATCTAATCCAGCACATAGTCAGCGTATTTATCCCTCTAAAATAGAATGCTCGTACTTTTAATCTATATAAAAGTGTTGTCTTGCCGGCATTATCCTATCAGTCGAGCCGAGCAGTCAGCGTATCTCCAAATCTCAACCCAACACAAGCACAATCATACAAGACCCAGGATCAAGATCCGAATTTCTTTTTTGGACCATAACAAGGACCACAGCCGTGAAAATGAGCCTCCCATTGTGGAATGTATCTATTTGCAAGCGTCGTGGCAGTCGCGAGATCGTTGAAAACCAGGAGTTGGACGGGCGCTCGAATTCTTCAGTACCCGGAATGGCGTGATTTCGCTAATTAAAAGAAATTGCTGTGTTCTCCAGGATCGTAGATCGGGTATCAGGTCGTCAAAAAGAATTAAATAATCAGTATAGTTAAAGCGCTGGGTCAGAGAAAGGTGAAGGGCAGAAAAGGAGATGGTCAGCGATGGATCAATAATAATAATCAAGGCCGGCTGTGACCGCATCGACGAGATCTGGCTCGGGATTGGCTGGGCTACCCGCCGCGTGGAGATCGCTGGCCAAAGCTTAGGCATGATTGTCTTCCGTTGTTCTGTCGTTCATTCAACATTGCCCTATCCTGTCTTCCTCACAGATTCTGCGCTGTGTCTCTAGCGATAGCTGATCGCCTAGGGATGCACTGTCTATGACTACAGGAGATTCCTCCACAACAGTCCCCTCAACCCCAACCGTGCGTGCGCGCCGCAGCAACCGCAACAACACAACTTCTATCTCCCACGCACCGGCAAAATGGTTGGCAAGAAATCAGGAAAAGCCCTTCTTCGAGATGAAGGTAAATAGCTTCGCCACGTTTTCTATATCGTGTGATTCTATTAGTATAGGAATTGACTAGCCCAGGTCTCGAAAGAACGGATAACAACATGGACTTGTCGAGCTGGCCTCAAATCGCTCCAATTAACCAGAAAAACTACTATACGTATGCATTCCCCTTCTTCTTCCAGCGCACCCCACTAATACAGTTCTAGTGACTACCTTAAGAGAGACGACCAACTCCTTGCCTTCCGGCTCCAAAATGAAGAAGCTCGCAACCGCATGACCAAATCCGCCAAAGACCGGGACCGAGCACTTGCCCTAGGCAAACAGGAACAAGGCGAGGCTGAGGTGGATGGTGATACGGTGATGGAAGACGCCGAAGAGGCACCCACAGAGGCAGCGGGGTCTAAGGTCATCGTTATCCACGTCGGAAGCCAGAACCTGCGCATAGGGCTTGCGAGTGACGCGCTTCCTAAAACGGTGCCTATGGTTATTGCCAGAAAGTCCGCCAAAAATGAGTCTGAAGAAGAAGGCGTTGAGCCACGGCCAAAGCGACTTAAATTAGACGAAGACGAAGATGAAGAGGGGATTGAGCCAGAGAAGCAATTTGGGCCAGAGGTACAACTTTTGAAATTATGTGGTCGACGTTTGCTAAAAGGCTATATAGTTCGCAGCAGAATACACTTCGATGTCAGCTGACCTCAAGGTGCATATGAGGCAAAATAAGAGGAGAACACTGCCAAACTCCAAGGAAATGGTCATCAACTACAATCGCAGAACACAGCCCGAGCATATTCCAGAACATAATGACCCCGAAAGAATCGAATGGACTGAGATTCCTAGTCCAGCTCCAGAATATATTACTGGACAGGAGGCTCTTAGAATACCCGACGACTCAAATCCGCGATACAAGCTGTCTTGGCCAATCCGTCATGGATGGTGCAACGAAGAAGCATATGACAACACCCGGTTTTTATTCCTTGACATCTCATTGATCCTAGAAGACGCTATCAAAACGCAACTAGGCCTGACGAGCAAGAAGGAATGGCCCAACTATTCGTGTGTCTTTGTCATCTCGGATCTCTACGAAAAAACCTACGTCACCAATATCTTGGAGATGCTAATGAAGGAGTTCTCCTTTGCGCGAGTCTGCTTTATTCAAGAAGCCCTCGCAGCCTCCTTCGGCGCTGGATTCACGTCTGCTTGCATCGTCGACATCGGAGCACAAAAGACATCTATCTGCTGTGTAGAAGAAGGAATGTGCATTGAAAACTCGCGCGTGAATCTCAAATACGGAGGCTACGACGTCACCGAGACATTCATCCGCATGATGCTCTACGACCATTTCCCATACACCGAGATCAACCTCAACCAGCGGTACGATTTCCTCCTCGCAGAGGAATTGAAAAAGAACATCTGCACCATGCTCGAAACCGGCGTTTCGGTGACAGTCTTCGACTTCCATCTCCGCATTTCCGGGCAGGATACCAGGAAGTACGCATTCAAGGCCTACGATGAACAACATCTCGCGGCATTGGGCTTCTTCAACCCATCCATCTTCGACAACACCGCGAAACTCAACGGCCGTCACAAACTCCTCACACGGTCATACGATATCTACGATGGTCAGCCCAATGACCCTACATCAGCCGCACAGTCCGAGATCCTGTCTGCCATCGCACCCCCAGCCCCTGAACCGGCCGCCGATGACGAAAAACAAACTTCCAATGGCACACACGACATCCAAGCCACACCCAGCCGCTCCCAGCAACACCTCAACGTCCTCAACCGCATCCAGGACTCCGAAGCAACCCCTCGCTCCTCCGTCGCTGGCTCCCCAGCCCCGGAAGCCAGCAGCACACCTCAAATCAACAACGGAACCGGCACACCCGCACCCACCACCGACAAACTCTCCACTACCCTCTTACCCCCAGCCCCTCGCGCCCCCTCAATCGAAGAACGCGACGACGTCCTCCCCATCTTCCCACTCGACCAAGCAATCCTGACCTCCGTCGAGCACGCTGCGCGCTCCGATGATCGCAAAATGCGGGATTTCATGGGCGGAATCATGCTGGTGGGGGGCGGCAGCCAGATCACAGGCTTCCATGCCTACCTCGAGGCACGCCTACACACGCTGCGGCCGACATTCGCAAAGGAGATTATGATTGGCACACCACCGCGGGATCTGGATCCGCAAGTAGTGGTGTGGAAGGGGGCCAGTGTGTTTGGGAAACTGAATACGACGAATGATAGTTGGATTGGAAGGTTGGAGTATGATCGGTTGGGGAGTCGGTTGTTGGCTTATAAATGTATGTGGGCTTACTAAAATAAATGTAAAGGTATGATATCGGTTTTGTAAGTTTTATGTTCATTGATGTGGGTCGGTGTTGGTTTGTTGGTTTTGTGGTTGAATGTCAGGCGGTTTTGTTACAGCGGCAGAATTGAAACTTGGGAATGAAATTTGGTACCTTTATTTTTTCGGCAAGATTGAATGGCAACACTTGGAGTAGGATTAAGGTGAAACTGCCATCTTGATACACCACAGTATGCTCGCATGTGACATGTCCGCTGGCACATGGCATATTGCGCTGCTATCTGTAGTCCAGCCCATATCCCATGCCAGACAGCGAGCTTTGATTTTTGACATAGTTTACCCGATCCAGTTTTGTGATGCTATAATATAGACCCCTATTCCTCTCTTGGCAGACCTCAATTTATCTTTATATCTCTAGATTCCTGTTGGGAGTTGGGCTGTCGCTTTTTTATCTACAAGTTGCAGAGGCGCAATTTCTGTAAGAGAAACCTAAATGTGGAAATGGATGATAGCAAATCGGCCAATTTCCTCTAGAGGCTGGACTTCGCTGAAGGCCACTTTTGCTCACCTCCAATTCCTAGGCGTGTGGTAAATCGAAGGCCAAATTGGAAAATTGCTCTATTATTACCACTCGTCGTCAAGGGTCCACTGTCGAAAATTCGAACTATCTCAGGACAACTTCGCCCTCCTCAAGGTGGTTTTGCACACTCGGTCGACCGCAATACTTACCACTATCAAATTGAAGTAATATCGGTTCAATTCCAGACCGCCTACCGCAAGTACAATACTCTATACTGTGGATTATACTACATCCAGTCTCCCTAACAGCTGGGGAAATTGTAACCACACTGGTACTTTTCTCTCATTGATCAATCAAGCCGTCATTCTAGGGTAGATAATGATGATCACGATGCTAAGTATGTGCCCTTTTCTTCATACAAAGTTTTTCGTGTCCAGATCATTCATGTCCCAAAACTTGGATACGCTTTGAAGATGTATATGATAATTTGCGTGACGATTTAATTCTGATTACATGAAATTACATAACGACTGCTTCTGGATTGCCATCCAGAGACCAGAACTTACCACTATGTTCAACCGTGCTCCGATTAATGAACCTGAGACACTGAGATATCGACTCTTCGGATTCAAGGGGTGCCTGGAGGTGAATTTAGTTTGATGATAAAGGAATACCAGCTGCAGAGCGACATACATATGCAGCCATATGAGCTCCAGCCAAGTCTGTCTTTACCCATCCCGGATTCAACGCCAGGAAAATGAACCCTTTCTCTTTGAACCTGTGATCAATCAAGACACGGAGTGGGTCAGTGAGTCTAGCTAGAGTAGGAAAGAACAAGTTGTAGAATTAGTACAGGCTTACTCTATGTCGAATTTTGCATTTACCATCGTCACTGCCGCTTTCGTTGCGGAGTATGACGCAAAATGTAAATTGGGGTTTTTTTCGGTGTACTGGAGGTCTCCAAGCATAGACGCGATATTCACCACCTTTTTCTCTTGGCCCTTCTCAAGGAGCGGGATGATAGCATTCGTGAAGAAGACAGGGCCAATAACATTCACTTTGAACTGGAAATTTGCTTAAGTCAGCCTAGTAGCCCAAAGCAATTGACACTTGAAAGGGATATACACCTGCTGCTCCCATTCACCCACGGTGGATTTGGAAATGCCCTCCGATGGAGATGCACCCTCACCAATCATTATCCCAGCATTGCTAAGCGTCATTCGTACTGCGCCTATCAAGATTCCATGCGGTTTGCACTTACTTTATGAGTACATCAACTTTTCCACCTCCAAGTAGGGAGATTTTCTCGGCAATTGACTGGGATTCGGTCAGCAGTTCCTTGGTGGTATTTCTTTTGCCATGATGGTCTTCACCGGAAATGAATCCACTTCGGCCATATCGCCCTGAATGGCGACTACCTTATCGCCGAGGTACTGCTTCAAGCCGTCTGACTTGTTTGGATTGCGGACAACCGTTATAATGAGGATGTCTGGACTTTGACTCAGTTGGCGAATGAATTCCAGCTGCAGTAGAAATTATGTTATTCCACTCCTTCTCCGTCAACAACATCATTCGTCACCTACCCCAAGACCGCGTGATCCTCCTGTAATGACTACGACACGCTTTTCTACTGATGCCATCTCGAAGATGATCCCCAAATGCGATGATCAACAAGTAGGTATTTAACTATAAAGAAGAGGCCGAATTAGTTGCGTCTGCTCCTGCTTATGCTCTGAGGTTGTTTCCTGCGGGATTCTTGTGTCGGTCTGCAATGGTTGAGAATTTATAATTGAAAGAAGTCTTCTTGAAGGAATCGTCCAGTGGCTGATTTATGACCGCTGGTCGGCCTTATCACCTAAGCCACTATACCCCATATTAGTCTTTCAGTCACATGCACCCCATGTCATTAATACCACCTAAATCGTTGGAGACATAAGGTGGAGTGTAAAGTTCCTTCGTTTCCTGCTTTCGGAAATTTTGACATCACTAGCTTTGCTGGTTTTGGTTAGCCTGAGCTTGATGATAAATTAAACTTCTGAAAGCTGCTTATAAATTTATTTCCCAAATATTTTTAGCAGTTCGATATTATCTAAAGATTAGGCATTTTTATATGATGCTTCCAATCAGTTCTTGTTCTCGTTCTCATTATTAAAAGATGTGGGGGAGTCGAAAATCGGGAGGGCTACCACATGACCAATAAGATCCTGTGTATGCTCGAGCATAGTTGGAGGGGATAACTATAGCTTGTAGATAATATTGTTGCTATCCCGAAGGCTCTTTTTTTCCGTTATTCAGAGTTCAGGTTGGTGGTAGTCGGCAGAAAGTTACATCCAATTTGATGATATAGAGTTATGTGATTCAGAAATACTACTAGTGATAAACTGACACTGATATATACACAGTCAATCAATACACCACATTCAAGTGGAACAGCTGCATAGTTTCACGCGTTCGAAGTGTGATTTCATCCCACAGATGAATAGCTCTAGGCTCGCAAAATTGATCCATCCATAATACAGTCTTCAAGGCCGATATAAAGTCCTCATATTTTTCGAGGCACAGTACAGTGCTTAACTCGCTCATGCGCTTTATGAGAGATTCCTGCGGCTCCTGACGTGTAGTCGTATCCATACCGATAAAAAACGCCCAAAGAAGGAGGGTCAGATCGGTTTCGGAGCCCACAGCACTGGATAGGTTTTGATCATGTGGCAAGGAATGAAATAGTCTCTCCTTCAGTTGTTTATGCCGATGTGCTTTCAACGGCAGCTCCCGGACCGCAAGATGAAGGTACAAAAGAGCCGCTAAGCTTACGCATTCCGAGATGTCGATCTGATTCTTGGCATGCTGTCGTCCAAGATGAAGGTGCTGGATCGAGAGAAGTTTATACTCCACTACGTAAATGGAATTACTGATAGCGACTCGGTCGCTGCCGATTGTTGGAAACAGGGATATAGACTGGGATATTGATCGGAGCATATCGAGAAGCGTTAACAATGATTCAGGGGGTTCGCAAATATTTAGGAACCTCTTTCCCATAACGGGCTGCACATGACGCACGCGGTGTTGCCGGTCGAATGGTACGAGTGGTTGAGAGAGTGAGTCGAGTAGGGGAAACCAAGGGGGCAAAGACCATGTGGATGAGAAACAAAAATCTGCCCTGATTTTTGATGTTATTTGAGATCATCACCTATCGGGGAACAAAATACAACGCACCATGTTATAACTCTCTGTAAGGTCTGCAAATGATTAAAGTTTTCGAGGCCACCGCGCAATTGAATCATCGATACCAGGCCACGCATATGAAGCGATGCTAATTCGAAACTGCTCTCCATAGCCTATTGAAATAGTCTGTCAGTGCCCCGTGACGGCTTTGAAAAATAAGAGAAAGCTCGAAGCTACCTCTGCATTAACGAGAACAGCAACGGCGGCTATTAAGTAGTCTGAGAGCCGTTGAACCGGATCAGAAAGCCGCCCATTCATGTGCTGTATAGCCGCACATCTGTGATGTACTACTGCCACCGAATTTGTGAGTCCGAGTTGCAGCTGTCGTAGTACCGCAATCGTGGATAGAAAGGCGTGCAAAGTGGCAGCATCCACTCGAGTTATGTCGTACCAATCACCGTCCGGGTTTAATGCAAAGCTGTTAGTGCGCAAGCCATTGTGGTCTCAATCCGCTGTCAATTTCCTGTATCAAAGATGGATTTAGGTAGAAGTCATACAAAAGTGAAGAAGCTCCTTCGTCATTGGAATCAGTGGAACAGGCAGAACATTTATCGGGCCGAGATCGACAGTGAGCCTCGCACTAGCTGATGGAATATTACAGTCTTCCGAAGAGTTGTAATCCTGCCGATCTGATATGACGAATGCAAAGCCAAAACTCTGTTTTTCCATTGGGGTGCTCGAATTGCGTCGTTTCCACGATGACAGCTTAAATTTCATCTTAGTCCCTCCTGATCCGGTCGCATGTGCTTGTGCATAAGCACCCTTGTTGCGATGTGCTGACTTCCGTGCCTGTGCTCGTACAAGCCGACGAGAGGCAGCATTGGATTTGCTAGCAACGGCCTGATCTGTTACGGTGATGAACTCCAGCGGTAATATGCCCGATTTGTCGAGTTCAGAAACCACCACATTTTTGCCACCACTAGAGGGCTGCATAGCACATATGTTACTTGGTTTTGTTCTGCTTTCCAGCTAATTCGCAGAGGCCTCTGAGGTGCAGATTAAGACACATCTATCAGGTTACGGAATGTGGCCAAGATTTGATCAAGAAGCGACTAATCAGTTCTACGGGGACGGAAACCGAGTGGTGCAGAACGCCACCGGCCGAACACCAATCATTATTTGTGATCAGTAATCTTTATTGCCTATATGAAGTTAACTTATCATTTATTATCGATTCGTAAACTTTTAGATCTCACTCTTATAAGAGGCTAACGTTGGCTAAGGTCGTTAATATATGTAGGGTCCTCGGTTTAGTAAAATTGGCCGCGATCTACATAGGCCAGCTTAGTAAGACCGAATTATCTGCAGGGCTCTATTACAAATTAATAATGCTAATTAATATTAACTCTAATAAGACTGGTTAAGAGGTTTTTATTGGTTGATTAAAATATGATATATATGGAAGGTTGAAACTGTACACTGATGTACCCTAAACTTAATGATGGACATCATGATCGGCCTGAGCCCGGTGGAATAAGGGTGCCCTTTATGTGATAGAAATTAGACTAGGATGATTACCATACAAAAGCTGGGTGAAGGAGCGAAACATGTAGCTAAAAGAAATGAGGAAATTGAGTATTTAAGGCCGGAGCCCTCACTGTTCAGTAGACTCGCCGCCGACCTTGGATTGATGCGTATAGCCTACACAACATTGAACATTTCAAGTGCTTGTATTGCTACCTACATCAAAACAGCTGAGAGACTGTATATAGACCATGCATCTATCTATCTCCTTTGTTTTGATGTTAACCAAGTTGCTCGTCAATCAATCTGCCATTTCTTCTCTCTATCTACACGCCAATTCTTTGACTAAGCGTAGATTCGCGACATAAATGAAAGGCAAGACCATTAATCAATCAACCTGCTCCCTCGCCAACGAGTTCCAAGTAATGGCCTACAACGCTTTTCACCTGCTCATCGAATGGTCGAAGCCGCAGTCCAAGAGTCTTCTCAGTATTGCTCGCGTCAATTTTGACTGGCAATGTCGCGATCTTACCATTGTTTGCGAGAATCCCTGACTGGACGGCATCCGGAAAGTTTTTCGCAACCACGTCAAGAGATTCTTCCCAGCGGATGCCTCGCAACCCGCCGGAAGATAGAACAAACCCTGCATTGCCCACAATCCCTGGGTTCAATGCCGCCACATGCGCTTGCGCTACATCGTCCAAGTGAACGGAAGAGCTAGGCTTGAAACCATCATCACCACCAGTGACCGGTGTCAGAACTTCCTTGTTCGTTCCATAAAACGCATCCTTCACGTCTGTAATCAATTCGTCCTTCCCAATTACGAAACCAGGAAATATATGAATAACTGAAAAGGCGGTTTTGTTTTGCCGAATCCACTCTTCCGCTTCGTTGAGGGCTGCTACTTTGCTCGCTGCATAGGCTTCGAAGACATTTGCAAAACTTGTCGGCGTTGGAATTCTGCTGGTTTCGTTGTAAACTGTTTCACTTTTACCCGATGTGAAATCATGGTAGGGAATGATTGCGGCAACAGAAGACGTAATGACAACGCGCCGAATTGATGAAGTCTTCTTCGCCGCGTTGAGAACTCCAAGGGTTCCTTTAACAGATGGCTCAATAAAATGTTCCGTGAAGTCGGCCCCTTCCTTGTATGAGGACGAAATAGGAGCAGCAACGTGAATAATGTAATCGGCACCCTCCACCGCCTTATCGTATGCCCCGGTAGCCGTTAGATCAGCGACTTCCACAAAGGAAAGCTTGTCTTCTGCGTTCAACGCTCGAATTGACGGTGCAGACTTGATTTTATCAGCTTTTCCCTGACTGCGAACTGCCGCGCGAACTCTGTAGCCAGCTTTCAATGCAGACACCACTACTTGGAATCCAATGTGGCCCGAGCCACCAGTAATGAAGACAAGTTCGCTAGATCCCATATTTTCCTTCTTTATTATTGCTATATATTCTTTGATCTCCAGCGTTGGTATTCCTTGTAATAGCAATCTATGGCAAAATGTGGTCTAATCTAGTGTTTATATACCAGGTAAAGAGCCGCCATGAGAGCCGCCATGGCTCTACAGCGACGAAGATGGAACATTATTTGTCATCTGATTACAAACGTTTGCATCAAGCAGCGATACAATACACTTTGCATTGCATCTGTTCATTTGCCTAATCCGGCAATTATCTATATGAGTTTAAATCGATTCATCCACTTAGCGTGCCCGGATACTCCACTCAGTCGACATTTGATGACATCAGCAAGATCGAAGTCGGCGACATTCTGTTCAAGCCATTATCTTGATGTATGGTGTGGTGGTGTTCCAGTGCGCCAAAAATATCAATATCGTCTCAATTTCGACTCCACATAAGCATTCTGCTGCCCGGGAAATTAAGTTCGTAGTTAGGAAGGGTCAAAATATTATTAATTCCTTGATATGAAATCCAATTAATCAGCACATGTATTGCGCACATGTATTGCGCACATGCTTATGAATTCAAGTTGGGGATTCTCTCTGCTCGCTTCATAGGTGAATTGCAAACCCAGTGACACAAATTGGTCCGCTGGCGCCGTAGGAGAACACTAACACGATACGTAACTATAAGAAGGGATGTTCCTTACACCAAATTCTGTTCATATCAACAAAGGTCTCATCTCACCGACATCTGCATGTACCAGACTGTCACATATATACATCCATTTGTTAAAGAAATTGGTCATTTTTTTTGAAAGAGTTTTAAGATAACCAAACTTCTCCGCAGCTATGACGACCTACAATACCGCCAAACCCAAATTTGTAGAAGTGAAAGGCACTGTTCTCGCATACCTTGATTTTGGTTCAACTGCTAAAAGCAACGTTCCCTTGGTCTTTCTGCAACACTTCAGAGGAACCTTCGACCACTGGGATCCTGAATTGATCAATCCCATTGCCGCTGTCCGACGTGTGATCCTCGTCGATAATTCCGGAGTTGGGAAAAGCAACGGTAGCGTTCCTGCTACATATGAGGGCTGGGCACAGAACATCATCGATGTTATTCAAGCACTGGGGATTCCCCAAATCGACTTACTTGGATTTTCCATGGGCGGCTTTGTCGCTCAGATGGTCACATTGAATGCTCCGTCTCTCGTCCGTCGACTCATATTGGCGGGCACAGGCCCGAGTGCTGGTGAAGGTGTCGAAGCCGGTGATCCCTCAGCTCTCCAACGCTTGGCAGAAGCAGCGACTGAAACTGAGTCCTACAACGCATTCCTTTCCGCATTTTACTCTTTGTCAGAAAAGAAGCAACAACTCGGGGCCAAGTGGTGGCATCGAATGAATGGAGCCAGGGTAGATCGTTCACCTTATCTTGGGCCTGAAGGCACTAAGATCCAGATCGGTGCAGTTGTGCGGTGGGCTAATCGTGAATTTTCGAATGAAGGCAGCTATGATCGCCTTCATGAAATCAAAATTCCAGTGCTCGTAGCGAACGGCGATCATGACATTCTTATACCTTCAGTAAACAGCTACGTTTTGTTCAAGAAATTAGTCAATGCGGATGCCCATCTACATTTCTTTCCGGACACTGGCCATGGCTTCCTCAATGAGTATGCTGATCAGTTCTCTAAGCTGATCAACATTTTCTTGGACGCTTAAGTATGAAAAGCCAACACGCTGTCTAATGTTTCATTGCGTCAGGATTGAGCCTATCTCTTCAGGAATATCCTTCAATGAGTGATTCCGCCTCTGCGTTAGTCCTCTAACACTATTAATGAATACAATCATTTGGAATTTATAGCTGCTTCTCTTATCATTTGACTGTTTCTACTTTGTAGTTTTCTAAGATAAATTCAGCCTTAGTATCGATCAATTTGGAAGCTACCGATGCTCCAGTCGAGTGACATAAAGAAGTAAACGGTAACAAACATCGTTTTGATTATGAAAATTTAGATTACTGCCCAGTCTACACTATACACTAAGGATGTTTCTGAGTATGTACAGCACAGTCGTCAGGCTAGGAGCACAGAGATGCTCTTCGGAGTGTCCATTTTCAAGCGCAGCGAGTATTGAAAGCCACCACTTTTCCTCCAACCGCTGGTCCATCAACTGGGTTAACAAGTCCTCCATTGGTTGTAATGTAAAGGATGTGGCTATCTGCTACCGTTCGCCCAAACTGTGCCGCAGTATCTCCCTCGATCAAAGGGTCATCAGGCCCCCCCAGAATAGTGGAAACATTTCCTTCAAACGTGACCTTGTATAGGGCATTCCCTGGATCTTGGGTAACGTATGCATTCCCAGACCTGTCGAAGGTGAAGTCATCTCCGAGATGATTAGTGACCAGCACTTCTGCGTTTCCGGCACTCGTGCCGTCCGGCTTAACTGGCATTCGGCAAAACAACTCCAGTGCAGAATTCGTGTAGTACAAGTAATGGTCACGTAAGTGAAGTCCATTTATTCCGAGATTGTACGGAGGGCCGGGTTCCATGGTTTTATCCTCAATGACCACCTGATAACCACGATTGGCGATATCGACCCGCCATACGGCGCCAATTCCAGAGTCACTAACAAGAATGGTTTTCTCAATCGAACTCAGAGTAGTCATTCCGTTCAGAAAAATTGCTTCAGGTATGTCAACTACCTTTTCAACTACTGCAGGCTGAAGTACTTCGCCGTCAATTGCTTCGAATCGTCTCATATCCACTCGCCATATGGAATATGAGTGTGCAGTAGTCTCGTCAGTGACGTAAGACCAATTACCAGCCACCACTGCGAATTGATCGATATCGTACTCTGCAATGCCCAATAGACCGAGGACGTTTGGAAATGACGAGACTATGGTCGTATTGTTGGGTTTGAAAGGGTTGATGAGGTGCAACTCTGGGTGATCGATCAGCGTAACGAGAAGGTCTCCTTTAGCCCGGACGGCAATATTCTCAACCCATGATCGGAAAGGAAATTCAAAAACAGTCCGAGTTGCAGGTTCAATGCAGAGTGAAGCGCATGCCGTTATGAGAAAGGCTGAAATGAAAGCCGTGAATAGATACGCAGGCATTGTTATCGCGCTTGTGAGGTTTTCTAAGATACGAAGAATAACAGGAAAGGTTTCTACCTAGGATTACCTTGGTGGACTGGCAGCAATCTCTTTATATCCACCAAGGTTACCTTTGGTTGATTGAATGAGACCCTGACTTCATTTCTGTATTCAAATCAATTTGTCAGCACTAGTGAGATGAATAACTAATCACAGAGAAACATTAAACAATGTAAGTAATATTGAATGGTTAGAGACCACTCATCAGGGACGTCAATCAACAGTGAGGTACTAAAGGGTGTGTATTGGAGTTAGCGCCAGACGTGCTTTGCGCAGGCAAGGCGGAGTTATGATGCATCTCGTACACCTTCGTACTCTTAGCCCAAATAAGCTGCGGAGATTACTTTTTTGCTTTTGTGCACTCCACTCTTCTTCAAACATTTTGATGATATAACTAAAGATAAAAACAAAAATTAATAAGCGATTATTCAGCGAACTCCGCTATTTGAGACCGTCTGTTGATACATGATTCAAAGGACCGCAGAAGAACGAGTTCTTGACGGTTTTGCCCCGGGATGACTCGGAGTTTCGGGAAACGAAAGAAGAAATACTAATAATCATAGAAAATTCTGGTCTTTATTTTCCCTTTTCAATAATTCTTTTAGTTTGGAGGCTTGGGCTAGCAAGCCACCAAACTATTTGTTGTTGGATTCTCGACAGCACGGACCTTATCGCTTCGGGTTTGCAGAGAGGACAAAATACTTAAGATTATGATGATGACCTTTTAATTAAGAAGGGATGTTATAATTGGTTGAAATATTCCATCTTTTACTATTTGCTGGGAATACGTCATTGCGTACATTTACGCCCCATAAACTATCAGGTGGTACTTTTCTGATAAATGTAAGGCAAATCCAATATATTTCATTTTGACTTGGAGACGCATCTATCCGGCCATCGCAACAGTCATCTGGAGTTTTTCAAGGAACATGGCGCTGACAATCATCAGAGCAGCCGCTTCCATAAGCAGGTCATACACGGAGCTTATTCTGCTGGACAGAATCCATCAGAAACCTAATACCTTCTCGTGAGGGTTTCAATTTCGCCCCAGGATTCCAACACAAAGGCTTGTACGCCTGCTGCAATTTGCTATCGAGACCTTTTCTACTATGTATAAGCACGTTGCACGATAAGAATGAAAGGAAGTAGACTTAGCGTAAAGGCTCTAAGCTTATGCCGATATCTATAGAAAATTAGACCAAATGCGACTCTACTTGCAGACGATGGAACTTGTGACCTTTGGTTTTTTTGCAGCTGGGGCTTCATTTCCAGGCTCCTAGATTTCAGATGTTCGTACTAGATTGTATGATCTGATGTAGGAAAGCAGTCTGTGACTTTGTTGAAACAGAGAACAAGTAAGCTGCGAAAATTGAGGCATTTATGTCCACTAATAGACATCGATTTATTCCTCTGTTTACTCCTTCTACTTGTTTCTCTACTTCCCAGCAGCAAAAGGCAACTAAAACAGTGTCATTCTTCCTCTACTAATCTGTAATTAGTAATGGTATTATCTGTAGCAATTCCCGGAGGCAAAAGAGTTGAAAATACATCTCGATCAATCATTAGGTTTATTTACGTCAATCACAAATGCTCGACAATCCCATTGTTTCAGGATATCAATCTTTGAATGGTGGATAGACATGCTGTGTTCTCATCAACACCCGGAAACCAATCCCATTGAGTGCTGAACCTTCGATTAATAATTCTGGAATACTGAACAATCTCGTAAGCAAAGAAGGAAAAGTCTACTGACTGGCTACCTGACTTTCTATTGGCCCGAATAATGATTGTGATGTGCTCGCTAGGGCCAACTTGTTAAGCTCCCACGACTTATTTTTCGATTACGCTATCAAAATGAACACGCGCGGTGAGTGATATAGGACTTTGACATTCAGGGCATAGAGGACCAGGCCGCTATTTACATAAATATTTTTACCAATCAAGTCGGTTTCATTAATTGATTTTGATCCACTACTTTCTTTTCACCTTATCCATGGGCTTAAAACAGTGATAAAGGTCAGAGCATATAGATAGATATGCCAGCTGGCGCTTTGGGGCTAGATCCAATTCGAAAATTGCTGAGCTACGCAACGTATTTTATCAATCCGTAATATGAAAACTTGTTAACTCTTAACATCTATCTCTGCGTAAAAGGGGCAAAAAGGTGGTGGAGTACGACCATTCTGGTTGATCTCAAATGCTAGGAGATATCCCCTGTTGGTGCCAGTCCTACAAATTAAAAGAGATTAAGTGTTATATATATGAAACATTATAATACTAATCTAATTAATAATAATATTATTAATTAAGATTACTCTTTCTGAATTTAGAATGTCAGTCAAAAAGGGGAAAAGCTACTACGTTTTGGGTAGTAATGTAAGTGTTATAATAATATCATAACAGGATTAATCTCTACAAAACCCGTCATGAAAATTCTTATGAAATTGATTGCACTGGCTATGGTATCTATGTGCAAATATAGCCTGGTAGCTATGCCAGAACGACATCTGGATGCTTGTAATCAGTCAAAACCACCATAATAAACTCCGCAAAGGTGTATCTAAGTATAAGCCTGAAACTGGCTCTTGCATAGCAGTGTGCATGATGGTACTAGATCCAAAGACGCCTGAATCGAGAAACAAAAAAACCAACACAGTTCAAATAAAGAGTCAACAGATGAGTGTATTCAAAAAAGAAAAGTCAAAGAGCATAAACGTAAATTCTTTCATCGACTGGTGGTTATAAAGTTGGGGCAGGGGTGATTACATGTCCAACGGAAGTAGTGGTAGAATCATGGCAGCCCCAAATGACGCCCGGAGAATGGCATGTCGTTGATGACGGGATAGTAGTCGAAAGCGGTGTTGATTCTGTCGGGTCACGACAGCCGAACCAGCCGGGGTCCAAGCATGTAGATGTATATGAAGGCTGCGTCAGTGTTTGCGAGGGATATGATATTGCAGTGGTGGTGGTGGTGGTTGTAGTCGTAGTTGGATCTTTACATCCGAACCATCCTGGGGTCTCGCATGTAGACGTAGTCGTCGTTAAAACACTTGTAGAGGAAGTGATACTATCTGTGGTCGTTTTGTCCAGGCAACCCCACCATCCTGGTGTTTCGCACGTTGAAGTTCTGGTAGCTGATGTCGATGTTGACGTGAAGGATGTGCTAGTAGTAGTAATTTCTGACCCATTGCTCTTGTAAAACTTCCACAATTGGCAATCATAACATTCTTCTTCTGCTGCGCATGGTGGAACCTCGTCATACACTTCCAAAACATCACTGATCACACTCTTGATTCGATGCGTCCCAATACCCATCCTCCAGCCTTTATCCTCGACCGTGTCATAGACGCACATTTGCCCAGTATGGCATGCAGACTCAAAAGAGTATCCAAACCAAGTGCAGGTAGAGCCAACACCATTGCATGTTCCCATGTAGATGGGGTCTGCAGTATGGCCAATATGGAATACACCAGTATTCCTCCGGAATTGAGGTAGCATAGGATTATACCCAGGAGGCGTGGGTAGTCCAAGTCTTGCTGCGGGAAGTGCATCAGGTATAGCTTCAAAGGCAAAAGTCGGAAGGCCGAACGTAAGAGCGAGAAGTGCACTCATAGATCCACCAAGAGAATGGCCCGTGAGCCACACGTTCGCATTCGGATAGACCTGGGTAACGTTGGTGTACAAGTCAATGGCAGACTCATAATACCGATTTCTATCATGAAGAGCCTCGGTTATGCAAGTCAAGTTGGCTGTAAAGACCGACGTGGAGCAGTCACATACTTGACGCCAAAGATAAGAGCCACCCTGGCCGCAACAGCAACTGAAGTACAGATTGTCGTTTAATTTGTCATTCGTCGTGGTCTCCGCTCCATCGAACAGCGCTGGGGAAGTGCCTTTCAACGACAAGATAATAGTGCTGTTGGTCTCATCTGCGTAGATATGACCTCTCAGCCCATCTCCCTGCCATCCAAAACTTGCTGACCAGTTGAAGCGCCCACTGATCTGATTCCAATCGCCAGTGCCTGGCTCCTCAATATAGTCATTCGCGGTCATCTTCGCGAAAGTAAGCACGGTTTCCTTGCTAGTGACATCCGGTCCATCAACTTCGTCCATAACCCAGGCATCGTCAGATAACGCGATGGCAGCTCCCGAAGATCTGGCGTAGGCAAGATGGCTCTCGATTACAGATGGTCGGCGGTCCGCGAGCCTATGAATGTTTAAGGAACTAGACTTTGCGATCAAAGGCTCCAGGTGGGTTTCCACAGGCTCAGGTAAGCCTGTGTCCTCGGAGATAACTTGTAAACGTGTTTCCGGTGTTACATCGAGTCGCAAATGAAGATCTGGGTCTTCGTATGTACCGCGGTGGTAGATATGACGGAGAGTCTATATGGATTCCCATTAGAAAACATCCACGATATGAAATTAAGCGATACTTACAAACTCATGGTGTCCATGGCCTGGGCCGTGGCCCTCTCCTTGAGGAATATGAGGTGGTAAAATAGGAACCTGGTTGGAAGAGTCATATGGGGGAGGCGAAGGCCGGGACGCTGTGGCGACAGCCAGTCCCGCATAGAAAGCGAGAAGCAAACGAGTGGCCCTGTTCAAGGAGAGTCTCCTCGTTGATACCCCCGCGAGTGAGAAGACATTGTGATGGGTGCGATAGAACCTATCGAATGGACGACTCGAGAAGAGCCGGCGCAGTGTACAGCGACCATGAGGGCTGATAGCAACAGCGGATGACGCATGTCGGCGAGGCAGCCGGCTTATCAACCGTTCCTGCCGCACGGGCCACCGCCCACCCGACGACGGCACGTGACAGGTCACTTGGACATGCGGGTTGAGAAGCTGCAGCCTGATGCCGACTCGTCAGAGCCAACCAATGTGCCTCCTGCTCCAGCTCTCGTCTACGCGATCGGCATGGACTATATGCATCCTCATGGTTGAGACGCGGAATCCGTCATTGGAATAACAACCCGGCTGTTGTTGTTATTGTTGTTATTGACGTGTCCCGCCCACTCAACCGTCAGGCGGGTCTGCGTTGCTAGCTATATACTGTGCATACGTACACATGGCCGGATTGGCCCTCAGTACTTCAACAAGCTAAGAGTAGGAGCCCTGGCCTGCACGCAAGCTTGGCCACCCGCACGCACACATCATGGCATCCACAACACCTTCCGGAAACGCCGCCAGAACACCGAGGGCTCTTCATCCCACACGATCTTTCACTCGCATGGAATCCCCGTCTGCTAACCCTACTTTACGAAGTAGAGCAAAGACAATGCAAGCACTCGGCACATCCGGAGCAGACCCTCATGACGATGCTTCTACCTTGGAGCAGGTGAATGATGAACCAGAACAAGGGCTCGATGTTTTTGAAAAGCGCGATTCGGTGGACTCGGAACTAGAAAGTGCTGCACAAGACCAGTCTCTGGGAGAGCCACTTGGTCAAGAAGGAATGCATGAGCTTCCAATCGAGTTAGCCAGCTTGACTGATAGGTATGGTACTGAGCTTGATGCGTATATCCTGTGGTTATTAATATGTCGGCTGTGTATAGATTCGTTCAGTCTTTAAGCGCCAGAGTCCATTCAACACCCCCATCGATTGAAAGAATATGCACGTTATTTCAGGAATTTTATGTTCGAGCGGATTCGCACATAGCTACACATATTTCAACTCTGGCCTCCCGCATCAACCGCGATGGCTCCCTTTCCAATGCTTCCCAGAAAGACATGGGCAAAGGGACCACGACGCATCAGATGCTCACTGCTTCTGAAGTAACTGAGAGACGAAAAGCGCGGAAACAGTTACCCTTTAAACGCCTTGCTTTGGAGGAAACTGTGGAGAGACGAGCATGTGAACGTGTCTACGATAAGATTTGGCGTCACAAGAGCACTCTTGATGAAGTTCGGGATGAGAAACTGCGCTCCAAGACAGCTGCCATGTCTCTTCTAGGAATTGGATTGAAAGACCTTGGGATTGAAGTTCCTGGGGCAAGTGAAGAAAAAGAGAACGATGCCAGTTCACGGTTGTCACCGGCTCGTGAAAGCTTGAGTAAAATGAACGAATGCAAGTACCCGTTAGGAAAGCTCCAGTGTCTAATTGCAGCACATAAAGCAATTGTGGATACCCTGACTGCTCTTCTTGGGTCGTCTTCCTCGGCTGATGAAATTCTTCCAACTTTGATATATACGTTGATCACGTCTCCACCAGAGGGTATCAATGTGATCAGTAATCTTCTCTTCATTCAACGATTTAGATCCGCCAACAAGATAGACGGAGAGTCTGCTTATTGTTTGACCAATCTAGAGGCCGCCATCACTTTCCTAGAGGCAGTAGATCTCTCCAGTCTAAGTGCAGATTTGCCTACCGATGGCCAACCACGACTTTTGAATGCTGCAACTACCGGGGTCTCAGAATCTGTTGGATCTGCTCGTCATTCTAGGACGTCTTCGGATGCTGCTGTAACTGATTTACCAGCTACTGGAGAATTCTCAAAGTCCGGCAGAGACACAGCGTCTGCCACACTATCCAAGTCTCAACTCACCGCACCAACCCCTCAACAACGGCGCCTAAGTAATCTATTCCAACCGCCTGCTAAGGTCCTCGGTGCTGCAAATGATGTAGTTCGTAACACTGCCGATCAAGGGCTGAAAAACATCAGCAACGCGCTGGATAACAGCTTCAACTTTGTTATTGGTCGAATGAAAGAAATGCAATCCAGCCGTGGAAACGAACAACCTCTCGTGCCTAAGACACTAGATGAAGCTCGACGTCTCGTAACAAGTCCTTCTATACTAAACGACGATGAATTAGCAAGTGAAAGTCCAAGTATAGATCCTGCCAGCAGACCAATAGCATCCTTGAAACCCGAAGATCGACGGACCAGTGGAAATGACGCCCAAAGGGCTCCAAGGGATAGGAGTGCAGACAGTGCGCGAAGTGGCGAAAGCAGGACACCAGGAATCGTACCCCGGCTCAATTCACGGGAGAACATTACTCCCAGCCCAAGCGGTGGCAGTTCAATATTCAACTCAAGTCCTGCTACTACACCATTAGAATCGATGAAGAATTTTGGCAACACATTCAACCCACTCAATCACATTCCCGGCATGATCAGAGGTCTGGGTCGCAATACCCCGGAGGCAGCTGCCAGCAGCGGACCATCTCCCGTACCAGATCGTGCCAAAAGGGTTCAGACTGCGGATGTACAATCATCAGGCCTTGAAAGTACAGCGTCGTCAAGATTAGACCCTCCAATCAGAAAGTTCTTAGAGGTTCAGGATGTTCGAGATCTTCGCATTGGCGAGGTTGCCGAGTTGCTTCAGGATTATAAAAGGCTTGCTACAGCGTTATATAGTCAGTCAAATGACTGAATGTTTTTATTCACTTTTTTCTTTACACTCGAGCATTTCCGGCGCTTTGAGACTGAGGTCATTATGAAATTGAATATGTATCAAACACTGTTCTTATAGATTTTTATCCACACACTTGGAGAGGAGCTATGAATTTCCATCTTCCACGTCTACTATGACTAGTCAGACAATATAAATCATCTTTATTAGTATGACAACTTTCGAGAACAGCTCAAGATGACGTTTGCACTAAATCTATTAAAATCGGCCATAAATCTAATATCCTCACCAACGCCTCAAATGCCGAACACAATGGCAATGCTAACAAAACAACCTGCAATCTTTATAATCGCAACTCAACCCGGTTTCAACCCTTTCAACACCCCCATCCCACCCTGCTTCATATCTGACAACTGCTGATCCAATTCCGCATGCTTATCCTGCGCATCATCATGTCTTCGTTTTATCTCCGCTTCAAACAACGCCGTCGTCCTGCGACGCGCCTTTCGAGCATCTTTAATCTTGTTCAGCATATCCCCAAGTCGTCCGATCACTTCGTCCCCGAATTCTTCCCATTCGGGCAGGGACAGAGACGAGAGGTAGCGATGGCGATCGGTGGGGAGGGGGAGGGAGTGCAGGACGAACGAGAGCTTGTCGCTGGCCGTCGAGGGGGTGGAGGAGGGTGGTGATTGCTGTGGGTGTGCTGCTGTGGTAGGGGGGTTTGTCTTTGGGGTCAAGGGTCGGGGGATGGGGATGTGGTCGAATGACTCGTTTTCGAGATCTGAATATTGCATTTGTTGAAGGATTTCGTTGGGATAGTCTGCTTCGAACCTGTCGTTTGGATGGGCGTCTGAATGGGAGGAGTTTTGTGCTGGTGATCTCTGCCGGGACTTTGACGACGGGAATTGGATATTCACGCTGCCTGTTTCATCTTCGAAGGCTTCGTCGTCAGTTGCGTCGAGCGTGCTCCGGACTCTATCGTCAATGAAACTATCGTAATAATTTCTTTCCTGCTCTCTCCTCGCTAGGTCTTTCTTAAACAGACCCGTTGATTTCGACGAACTCTGCCGCTCAGGCTGCGGCCGCGGACCGCTGGCATGACGAGTCGGAGACTGCCGCTGGATAAGCCGTTCATAGGGGCGTTCAGTCTTGAAATTGAACCGATTATTTGGCGTTGTGGCTAGACTCCGCGAATAATTGTGATTTGCGCCACGATACGCCGTTTTCGTTTCCATTTCGTCTGCGGCATGACTAGAGAGTTGCACAGGGTCGCTATCACTCCGGTTCAGCGCCATCCGAGACGATGCGCGAGGAATCCGTGAGTGGGTTGCTCTTTCTCTTTCCCCTTGAGAATTCCGCTTTGAAGCTGTCGCGGCCGCGGCGGTTGTTGCTGTTGTGGGGGCCTGCTGTGATGCTTGATATCGAACCCAGTCTAATGTCTGGGTAACCTCGTCGTCTGCGTCATCTTCGTCTCCTACCACCGAGACGGGGGAGCGCCTACGATTTCCTCCATTCAACCCGTCCTGCCCGTCTCCGGCTGGATGGAACGAATGCTCTGATTCAGAAGGCACGCTTTCATTCCAATTCAGCGCCGCGACGTGCTGGCGCTCAAGCACCTCGAAGCCATGCGCCACGCTCTCGTTTTCGGCGGCACTAGTCACCGTTATGGTGGAATCATCAACGCCTTCGACGTCGGTATCGAAGACGCTTTTGTAATTGGCATTTGCGCTTTCTTGGCTGTCTTGTTGATAGCCATAGTCATAGTCATTGTTGTGCAAGTATGAAGCGGGTCTTGAGAACCGTGAATACGGGAGACCGTTGCCAGGTCGGGTTTTGTCTGGTTGATGGTGGAGATTGTAGAGTTGCTCGGAGTTGCCTCGCTGATGATCCTGATGATCACCTTGTTTTGCATGGATGTATTCGCCCACGCCCATCTTTGATGATTCAATCCACTACGGAGGGCGTAGATAGGGATTATGTGTTATGCGGGGATACACCTCCAGCAGTCTCAAGGCATTTACAAGACTCATCCATGAACTAAGCAATGAAGAGGTTGAACAGGTCAAAGTGTTGACTTTGCTTTGGTGGACCCGGCCGTGCTTCGTCCAATCTGCGTCAGTCCAGCCGATCAACCGTTTGTTTGAGTTGCGGAGTTTGCCGTAGCTGCCGCCGCCAGCAATCAGTTATAGTGGCACGTGATCCATATACAATTATGGCGATTGAGACAATTGAATTGTCACCGTGTCTACTGCTTGCTTCAGTTTCAGGATAGTAATAGGTATTCTGGAAAATACATATTTCGAGAACAATGACTAAAGTATTTACATATAAATCTCCTCACGCATCCTCGCCTTCTCGAAAAACTTATCTGCTTTACTTCTCTCGATCTCCCGCTTTTCCTTTGCAACTCTCAGCTCCCTTCGTGCAAAAAGCAACTGAGATGACTGTACCGTCTCTAAAATACTCGTATCCGCATCTGGATCTGGCTGCGAAGAAACAAAAAGGTCACCAACCCACAACGCCACCATGCCTCGAAGTTTGAGAAGCACGGGCATGTCTATGTACGGTGGCGAAATGAGGATTTCATCCATACGCTGTTCAATCTCCAGTGCTCCACTCAGTTCCTTCGACCTTATATTGGCAATTCGCATCGATGTCTGCCAATCTTGGTTTCCTCTGCGGCCCTCCAGATCGGACATGGAAATATCGCCTGGCTCTGAGAAATTGTCGAAGGAAGAGTCATCGTCCTCTTCATTCTCGATGGCCTCTCTTGCGTTTCTGCTCTCTGTGTCAACGAAATATATCCACAGACTGAACATAGCTGGATAAAAGTCTGTCGCGTTGATCATGCTTGGCAAGGTTTTAAGATATGGATACTGAATGATCAAACCCTCGTAGTAAGCTTTCGCCGCTTGAAATCCTTGTCGACTAAAAAGACGTTTGGGGTGCGTATCCAAAGATTGCGTTAGCGGCTCCCCAGTGCCTTGACGAAAGAGAATCTCGGCGCCGATTCCCCATCTTCCTCCCTGCCGTAAATCTATCGGACGCCCGCCTACCCTTTCACGAAGTAGCATTCCCCAAGCGCGGCCCGCTCTAGTAAAGTCGCCATCTAGGAGACATCGATGCAGAATTGTAGTGAGTGCACCCAGATGACGGAGGTGTAGAGTACTGTCTACAGTATTTGATCCAGGAAGGAAGATCGGAGGGGACTGGTTAGATAGCTCCTCAAGGTAAAACCTATCCGATCGTTTCCTGTCTTGACCATTCCCACTTGCATGTGGGAAATAACCTCCAGGTAGCTTTTGATCCAGCGCCAGGCCGGCAATTCGGTACTGGTGAGCTTCACCAGGAGACAGAACAAGCGCCGGACCTTGGCTGGGGTTGATCTCAGAGGCAGCATCTGATTTGGTGTCTGCTTGGTCGTGATCTTCTCCGTCAAAGCCGTCCCTAGACCGCCGTCGCTTCAGTCCATGTTTTTGGTCATATTTCTCGACACGAACACTGGCGTTCTGCTGCCATGGCGCAAGTGGCAGGGAGAAAACGGATACTTTTGGGATGGTCATGAATTCAGAAGAGCAGCCGAGGTGTCGATGCCATGCGCCAGGGGCGTCATCGCAGTCTGCCTAACGTGATTTGTCTCAAAGTATTGACGAGTAGAATACGGTCGGTTGGCGCATGCACAAAGAGCCGTGTGTTGGTTGGGATTGACAAGACAAATCCCACACACAGAAAAAGCCGTTTATCTTCCGCCAGCTTCCTGCGCGGTGATTGGCCAGATAGCAGTCCTGGCGGCGGCTAAAAACTAATGCTAAATACTAGTAAATCACTTCCAATAATAAAAATAATAGCTGGGATTGTGGAATCGGCTTCAGCATGTTTGATTAGTAAACCGCCTTCTAGAAAGCTATAGATACGAGAGACACGGCGAGTCAGCCAAAGATGAGTCACCCGGTTCCTGTCAGGATGCTCGGTTTGGCAACTCGCACACACTGAAATCCAACAGAGCAGAGCATGTAGAGTCAGTAATAAGCAAGCCGTCACAAATCAAAATCGCATCGGTTTCAGCATCGGATGTGACCAGTCGCTCTCCTCCACCAGAGTCAAGACTCAACAGACTGCGCTGCTAAGCAGTGCTAACGGGCGCCAGCCGATTGGGCGTGGCTGCCGCCTCCTGCTGTGGATTATTAAGGCGCCTACGTACGGACCTACTTTTGTCACGCGGCCCCCTCCTGCCTCATGCTTCTCCCTGGCCTGTCTGCCCTTTATCGGAGACTACTTCGGATCATCATTGTTGCCGCCAACATCTCCTCCCGAAACAACCTGTCTCTTCTCATCCTCCATCTCCTCTGCTCGTCCACACCTGTCAGCGCCATCTGTCTTCCCACTAAAGAGCTGGCCTGGCCTTGACGCGGCCCAACAAGGCTGTAAGTGCTAACCAACCATCCTGGCGCCGACTGTTTCACATCCGTCTTTCCGCCGTTCTGCTCCTGAACCTCTGTTCAACATCTTGCAGCCTGCTCTCTAACAATAAAAATAGTTGTTGATTCTAGAAACTTCATCTGCCTTTTCAAATTCGCCTCGTTCCTACCTCCATATCAGATGTCTTGCCATCCGCACACCTCAGGCCTTGCTTATCTGCCCTGACATTTCGCGCACTCGACCACCGAGTCTTGCTAGCTGGCATTTCGAACTGATCGGTCGATTAATCAACCGCCATTCTACGGTGTTTATCGTTGCCCCCCTTCCGACGCCGTCCAATTATCCACAATCGTTTACGACCATCACACCCAAACTCCGATTATTGAGTGGTGACGCCTTTCATGGAGTACTAACGGCAACCGCCTATTGAGATTATATCACACCCCCACGCCACCCGCCACACATCTGCGGCAAGTTCTCTGGGTAGTCCACGTTGTTACTATGGGACAGGCATCATCAACGCAAAGGGATCAACGACAAGAAAACGCCTCACGAAGCATTTTACCTTCACGTCCGCATAGTGATGGCAATAACGGAATCTTAAACACTCAGGACATGTCAGGACAACCGTTGGATACTCACCTCCCGCACGGGGAGGCGGGTGATGCACACAGACATAGCATTTTCAATCTCGAGACAGACCCAACTCCCTCATACTTGCCAGACGCGACGAATAGTGACAACATAACGTCAACAGACATGGTCGGTTACCCACAAGAAATGGAATCAGTACAGCCAGGTACACGGAGCGCGGCAGTATCACGGCTCATATCCCGGAGACAGTCTACCATGTCGAGATTAGGCTCTCGGATCCTACCTAACTCAGTGATACGAGGGCTACTAAGTAGCGAGGAGGAGACACCGGCAGAAGGCCATGCTCATCGGAACGGACGCTTCTCCAGATCTCTATCGCGAGCTGAAACGACTCACAGTGCCCGCTTCTCTCCTTTCAACTCCTTCGGGTCCCGGGGCATCACTCGACGCCGCTCCATACGTGGTCCCTATCCACTTCCTCGAGGGGATTCAGCACTCAATCCAGATTCTCCACCGAATTCCACATATATCAACTCGACCTTTGATACATTATCGGGTTCTCACAGAGGGTGGCGTCGTAGCCCACGTCTGAACCGCGTGCGAAACTCCTTATCAACTCCTATCTCTCATATATTCGGGCCTTCGCCTACGCTAGCAGAGTCAGAAGAGGCAAGAGTGCCACCTCAACGTCCTTCTCGCTCAAGCATTCCAGATGATTTTGATCAGTTGCTTCCTCCCATAACTCCCATGGATACTACCATGGGTTTTAATGAGGCGACGGAGATGGACTCGCTAGAGCCAAGTATGGAAGCCTCCCCACCGATCTCGCCTCGATCTCGGATGAACCACGGCCCAGGCCCGGTGAGACGTCTCCCAGGCATTCTGCGTACAAGACCACCACGGCTACAAAGACCGCAAGACCAGACTTCTCTATCTCGGGTTCTTCAACTAGCTGCTGCTGCTATTGCAGCGCAACTTTCAGGTTCTGCTGTGCCTACCCTTCCTAATATTCAGTCTCTTGGTAACGATGGATTGGATGCATCGTTGGAAAATCTTATATCAAGCTTGCAGCAAGCCACTTCCAATCAGGGTAGTCCTTCAGGGGCTTCGGGCAGTCAAACCCCATCTTCGGATGGCAATGTAACGCCAACCCCAGTCAATTTTCTCCGTGTCTTCCGCTTTGCCAATTCTGAAAATCAAGGACGATCAAATGGTGAAACCAGAGAAAACATGACACCTCGAGTACCAGATCAGATGGATATCGACGATTCTGGTGAAGAAACAAACGAGGGTCGCACTGTCACTCTAGTTGTTGTTGGGGTCAGATCAGTTCCTACCAACGGTCCAGTTGGTGGTAACCAACAAAACAATAGCGGTATGGGTTTGGATGCGCTTCTCGGCTTACCTCTGATGCCGTCAAACGCTATGCCACGCGATCGGGCCAGCACAGGTAGTCTTTTCCGTAACGCGGATGGTTCGCCACGGCTACCGCCACCTCGACCTGTGAATGGAGCTACGAACTCGTTCCTTCCAGGTCTGGACAACCAGGCGCGAACTTCCTTGTCAAATTCATCCCAGAGGAGAGCAGATATGAACCCGGCAGACGGGTCTACGTCTGTTCTACCAACATCCCTATCTGAAAGCCCTCCTGGACCAAATCCACCCCCATCAACTCCAGCGGAGCCTACGTTATCTACAGTATCATCAGAAAATTCGACTCCAAGCCGGCGGCCGTCTTCAGCTTCGGCTATGTTTCCCAATATCCTCCCTCAAGTTCACGAAGAATCCTCAGAACAGCCTGCAGTCGAGTCAGAAACCGCGGCCAACACGGCGGCCCCTGCTGGTGCCCGGCAACGTCGACGAAGTGACTCAGAATTTGCTCGTCACCGCCATCTAGGCTTGGGTGCAGCGAGACGCAATGGGGTCGTCGAGCCAGACCAACCCTCGCCATCTATAGGTCGTACTTGGGTCATATATGTTGTTGGCACCAACCTTTCTGAGAACCATCCAGCCTTTGCAACCCCAAGTCTATTCACTGAGGTACGTCACAGTTCATTACTCATAAATATAATCAAATTGAATGCACTGCATACTGACTTGTCGTAGAACCCCACCTACGAAGATATGATCCTTCTCTCTTCACTCCTCGGACCAGCGAAGCCTCCCGTTGCCACAGAAGCAGATGTTACTTCAGCTGGCGGTTTATTCCGTTTGGTTGAGTATGCCGGTGCATTAGTAGCAGAATCCTTGGAGGGTGAGGAAAGAATTGGAATTTCCGAGACTGAAAGATGCCTGATCTGCTTGAGCGAGTATGAAGCTGCAGATGAGGTTCGACAACTCTCTAAATGCAAGCATATATACCACAAAGAATGCATTGACCAGGTAATACATCACACCTCTATTCTACTTAGGCTCTATAACTAACAGCAATTAGTGGCTCACCACTGGACGAAATTCGTGCCCTCTCTGCCGGGGTCAAGGTGTGACTGAATCTTCTGCTTCCAACAATTCCAATAACTTGCCAACTCAGGAGGCATCCGCATAAGCTCTCCTTCCACAGCTTTCCTACTCCATTTCATTGCTTTTCTTTCCATCGTAGAATTACAGAACTGTTCGGATTCCCATTTTGTATGATGTTATTACTATTGTCATATGGTGGTGTTATTCATTGTGAGCGTCATTCGGGCATTGCGAGTTTTCAGAGGACCTTTTTTTCTATATCATTATTGCGCTTCATGGCGATGATTCATTTTTTTCTGCATCATATTCAGACTACATCTCGACGACAAGGCTGAGCCGTTTCCTTGTTTGACTGTTGGATACGTTTATTTTCGTGATACCACACTTATCACATGCATCTCGCCACATGCAGCTTGTGATGGTATACTATACAGGCAGGACCAGTTTAGAAATTGTTTATAGCAGCTTAAAGCTGTAGTACAAATAAATATTTCGATCAACATATGCTCGCTACAAAATGTAGCTCTGAGTTAACGTAAGCTAACAGTCACCCAACCACTTGCTTCTGAATACGCATTCTATATTGATTCCAACATTTCAACACATTGCTATGCCACCATTTATTCACTTGGAAAATTCTTCAAAATCAGCTGAAATGTGGGCGAAGATTCAATTGGTTATTATTGATTTAAAAATAGAAATATTTTGAGTATTCACGAAGCTATAAATATCTATAGTATTCCTTATGTAACTCTCGTAGGACTGAAATTTACAATACGTTGCAGCCCAACTTTTGGATCAGAATCCTAAACCTTTTATCTCTTGTCTAAGGGCTAACTTGGAAATTCTTTATGATACAGTACATAAATTTTCTTCCAGGAATTCGGAGTATCAACTAGCATTCTAGCATGATTGATGAAGTGCAGGTTACCTACACGTTTTCCCTCGTCAGATAGTCGGATAGCTTCAATAAAGCTTTGAATTTACCATACTCTATCAATTATTAAGTGAAGCGATATGTTATCAAACATATGGTAGCCACAAGGATGACAGAGGCTTCCTTGGCTACAGTAAGGTGACAAAAGTTTGAATATAGCACCATAAAGGTGGACTGGCTATAGGAGCTCTCCCTATATCAATATTAATAGTATTTGAACTTTTTGCATTATCTACGGGCTGACCCTGAATTGAAGCAGCTTTACTATTGCCTCATGGCCATTCTCGACAGCCCACGAGAGCGGTGTCAGGCCATCTTCATCTTTAGACTCGATATCAGCACCTTTATCAAGCAGTAGCTTGACTACTGCCTCACGGCCATTCTTGGCAGCCCATGAGAGTGGTGTCAGGCCATTTTCATCTTTAGACTCGACATTGGCACTTTTATCAAGCAATAACTTGACTACTGCCTCATGGCCATACCTGGCAGCCCCTGAGAGTGGTGTCTGGCCATAGTCATTATCTTTAGACTCGACATTGGCACTTTTATCAAGCAATAACTTGACTACTGCCTCATGGCCATTCTTGGCAGCCCATAAGAGTGGTGTCTGGACATATATATTATCTTTAGACTCGACATTGGCACTTTTATCAAGCAATAACTTGACTACTGCCTCATGGCCATACCAAGCAGCCCCTAAGAGTGGTGTTAGGCCATATTTATCTTTAGACTCGATATCGGCACCTTTATCAAGCAGCAGCTTGACCACTGCCTCATGGCCATTCTTGGCAGCGCATGTGAGTGGTGTTAGGCTATAATTATCCTTAGACTCGATATTGACACCTTTATCAAGCAGCAGCTTGACCACTGCCTCATGGCCATTCTTGGCAGCGCAGAAAAGTGGTGTTAGGCCATATTTATCTTTAGACTCGATATCGGCACCTTTATCAAGCAGCAGCTTGACCACTGCCTCATGGCCATTCTTGGCAGCGCAGAAAAGTGGTGTTAGGCCATATTTATCTTTAGACTCGATATCGGCACCTTTATCAAGCAGCAGCTTGACCACTGCCTCATGGCCATACTCGGCAGCCAATATGAGTGGTGTTCGGCCAGATTTACTTTTAGACTCGATATTGGCCCCTTTATCAAGCAGCAGCTTGACCACTGCCTCATGGCCATGCGTGGCAGCGCATGTGAGTGGTGTCATGCCATGTTCATTATCCTTGGACTCAACATTGGCACCTTTATCAAGCAGCAGCTTGACTACTGTCTCATGGCCATTCACGGCAGCGCAGAAAAGTGGTGTTTGGCCAACTGCATCTTTAGACTCAGTATTAGCACCTTTATCAAGCAGCAGCTTAACTACTGCCTCATAGCCATAGAGAGCAGCCATTGAGAGCGATGTCTGGCTATAGTTATTCTTGGACTCAACATCAGCAGATTTATCAAGCAGCAGCTTGACTACTGCATCATGACCAAAGTACGACGCGACCATGAGAGGGGTAAAAGACTTGGGATGTGAAATCAATATTTTAGATTTCCAACAAATACCAAACCATATCGGATAACACGTCGAATCAGTATCACAAATTGCCAAGGCAGAATTTATCAAGGCAGAATTATGACTGATGCGTGCCGTGCGAAAGTGCCCACCCCAATGCTCAGCCGAGTAGCTTAGGAAGGGGTACTTGTTAATAAGTTGACTGGCGTCCCCGTTTCCGTCTGTCGGAATCTCGTTACCATTGAGGAAGTTAAGATAGACTAAGCAGACCTCGGCAAGAATCATGTGTGCGGCTTGGAGAGTGATAGAATGTTCCCACACACCGCTGTCTAGTGCTGGGAGCAAAGGTGTAAGGAGAAATTCTCGAGCTGTTTGGTGCAGAAAGTAAACTTGATCATGGTGAACTGAAACAAACAATCCACACAACGATCTCAGATGTGATCTGAAATCATCTTCTCCTTCCAGGTCAAGATCCCCCACTGACCTCATTGAACTTTCGGTGTTCACAGCGACATTCATCTCCGCTAGTGTCAACGGCCGGCTCGCTGCTAAGATAATACTCAACACTTTTCGAACAGTTGTAGGGTCCTTAGACTTGCTCAGAATTCTCTCGTATGCTTCGTTGACACTCTTCGGTAGCGTTGCGACGGCGGAGTCCATGCCCTTCTCCGTCTTCTTGATCTCTGATGTCTCTAAGTAGTCAAAAACAAGATAGACCCAGAGATATGTGCGATGCGTTATTTCGAGAAGTCGCCTATTTAAGTGGTCTTTAACTTCTTCTTTGAATTTCAACCTCCTGGCGAGCTTTTCAACCTTGTATTTGATAACGTGATTCACTTCCTGACTGATGGCATCCGACTCTTCATCTCCCGGAATGTGAACGTTGGGAAAGGTGTCCAATAGCTCCTGGAACTCTGACAAGATGTGCCCATACGGGCGGCTGGTGAGTAGATATTTTATCTTACCATGGCCCTGTTTGTCTCCGCGAAAGCTGGTTCTCAACTTTTGGAGCAAGTCCCGAAGGTCTGACTGTGCGCATTCGTCTAGTGCATCTAGGACAATGATCACGGGCCCCGCCTGTGGATCTTGCCCAGCCCTCTCTAATATGTCCCAAAGTGATGCCGTAATATTTGTCAAATGGGATCCGTTTTTAGAATATTCTCGCGTAGCATAACGAATTAAAAAAGGCTTGTGTGAGAAAAGCTGGTGTAACACGGCGCAAAGCGCTTGACTGATCGTGTTTTGATCCTGATCCTTGAAAAAGAAGTAGCAAACGGTTGCAGATCGCGGCAGGACTGTGTCTATCAGATACTTGGCCAGGACCGATTTTCCACACCCTGGGTCTGCTGAGACTAGCAAGGGCCCTGAGTCTTGTCCCCGCCACTTTTGGAAGTACTCATGTTTTATAAACCACTTACAGGTACCTTCCACCCGCTCCTCCACCCGGCCTTTGTACCACTCGTACGTCGTGTCCTTGTTGGCGGTGGTAAGCCGGAAGATTTGGTGGCACTGCTCCTCTTCCTTGGATAATGTGTGCTTATACATGTCTTGCTGGACCTGCAGTTGATCTCGAGCAACCTGCAAGTGCTCTTCAGAAACGGACAAAAACTGCTGCACGGTGCTAAGAGATTGTTTTGTTGTCATGTTGAGATCCTCCAACTCCTGCCTTGATTCCAAGGCATTGATCTGGGTTAGATCCTGATAGACAGTGGCCTCAAGATCTGCTATCGCTTGTCGCATCTCCTCCCATTTTTCGTGCCGGACAACGTCTCGGGTAAGATTCCTGACACGGCTCCGGTAGAATCTCAGGACGCTTCGAATCTGGAAGTCAAGGATGCTTTTATAGAGTTCTATAATGTGACCCTGGGCCTCCGCCGCCAGATCATCAGACGTCCCCGAGCCCCGACAGACCCGGAGCAGCAGCGGCTCGAGTGCAGTGTAGTACTTCATACGGGTAGTGACATACGTAAATCCGTCACTATTGGCCTCATTTGCGGTTTTTGGATTCGTGAGGAGCGGGAGAATCAGGCATATTCCAGCCCAGGCGACCGAAGCCTCTGGAGAAGCCTTAACGGCATCACCTATCCAGTCCTTCGCCCATAGCACCAAGTCCGCAGCGTGTGCGATCTGATCGCCAAGCACAAATTCGTGGCCGGCAATAGTACATTTCCCTTTCTTCTCTTCCATCCGTCGTAGACCCCGGTTGGATATTGCACACAATTGTTCTCGGCGCGATTGAATCCGATCCTTGGCAGCGCCCGGCGGGACAGCCCGCAGAGGAGATATACTCGCATTCTGGAGCTCTTTCGAGAGCAACTCTTCGTACTCCTCCACTGTTTCACGATTCTCAGATTTGAAGGCATCGTAAGCGCGGTCCCAGAGTGACTCGTTGGTGGGTGACTTTTGCGAATCCGAGCACGAGTCAGGAATTTGGGACCGGGCCGCAGATCCATCATCCGGGTGCCACTTTCGGGTCTGGACGCGGCCGTCTGTGGAGGCTGATCTGATTTCCTTGCCTTTTCTTCTGTGGAATAATCTCCGCGGATTCAAGGTCGCGCTGTCAGTGCTACTCGGGGATACAGAACGAGTTGTGATCTGGGGTGAAGCCGCCCCCTTGGTGCTCCGAGAACTCGTCCTAAAGAATCCCATAATGCTCGAAGTTGAACAGTTGTCAACCTTTAACCACCATACCAAAAATGACACAACTCTTACTTTTGCCAGGATTATAGTGGTGTTTTTTATTATATATTTTTTCTGACAACAGTCAAGGGAGAGCGATATATGTGGTAGTACGTGAGAGAGGGAAGTTCATATATCAGCTAGAGGAGCGCCGGTGGCGGGGAACTTGCCAATGAGAACTTTAGAACAAGACATGGGTTCTTCCAATCAACACACACACATTTTCTTAAGTACTTTATATTCCACACGAAACAATGTGCTAACACGTGTGAAATTATTATTTTACATGAAAGCTTACAATATACTGTAAGGTGACGAAGGTTTGAATACAGCACCGCAAAAAATGAAAGAATGGAAGTGGTATGGGAGCCCTCCTTATATCAATATTAATAATATTTCGATTTTTGGCATTATCTATGGGTGAACTCCCAATAAATCTTAAATCAATCTGATATAAATTGGTGTAAACGCAGATAAAAGGCAGAAACTCTTGATACCATATTCAAATTTTTGTCATATTAGTGTAACTGGCTAATGTTCTATAATGGCACTAGTGTAAAAAGGTTCATGGTGACTTTCTCGTAACCTATGGCATAGATTTATTTCTGTCACCGACACCTGGAATTATTTGAGTGTTTATCTCATTTCATGTATATAGGTCGTCGTGATGAGGGCACAAGTCAAATCATGAGAATACATAACTATTGGGCACTTTGTTCATTTTTGTAAATTTAATTTATTATTCTTTCCCCCAAATCCTGTACTAAACGCACTAATATTGATTTCTTCACATGTTTAATAATTATATACTCCGGAAGGTCCCTCCTAAAGGCGAGGCAGCCGCAACTATTCCCACTTTTATAAACAAATACAATTGGACACTGTGGGTCTGTCCATTCCCCGCATTTTTATGTTATTTTTTCGACCACCGATCCGACCTCAAATGTTATGTATCCCACGCAGTTCTCTCTATTTTATATCTGCATAGCGAGTCGCTTGAATAATTACGCCAACCAATCGACACCCCTCATCCCTTCCCAATAAAACAACACTTCACAATGGACTCCAAAATCCGCCTTACAGTGCTCATATCCGGCAGCGGCACCAACCTTCAAGCCGTCATCGACGACACCACTCTCCCTGTACAAATCGTCCGCGTGATCTCCAACCGCAAGGACGCTTACGGCCTCACCCGCGCCCAAGCCGCCGGTATCCCTACAACCTACCACAACCTCGTCAAATACAAAAAGGCGCACCCCGCCACCGCCGACGGCACGAGGCTTGCGCGCGAGGAATACGATGCTGAGCTGGCGCGCCTCGTGCTGGCGGATGAGCCTGCGTTGGTCGCCTGCTTGGGGTTTATGCATGTCCTTTCTAGGAACTTTTTGCAGCCGCTCGAGGATAAGGGCGTGAGGATTGTGAATCTGCATCCGGCGTTGCCGGGGGCGTTTAATGGAGTGGTATGTACACCTTTCGTCTTTTTTGGGGGTTGGGGGTTCGGCCTGGTTAGAGGGGCAATTCTAAAGTCATTTTTACGATCTAGGACGCCATTGAACGCGCGCACGCTGCATGGCGACGGGGGGAGATTAGTAAAACCGGCGTGATGATACACAACGTGATCTCGGAGGTTGACATGGGCAAACCAATTCTGGTTAAAGAGATACCATTCGTGGCCGGTGTTGACGAGGATATAGAGCTGTTTAAGCAGAAGGTGCATGAGATAGAATGGGGCGCTGTTATTGAGGGATTGCACATTGCGATTCGAGAGATTAAAGAGCAGGCTGCTGCGTCAGAGTGAGGGTAATGAGGTCGATTAAGCTAGGATTAGTCGAACGGACCAAGGGCAGATCAATCAGGGACACCGGCACCCCGCCTACCGCCTCGAATAATAGAGGATGGAGTTCTGGTTCTGGGGTTGGAATGTGGTGCACGCCATTTCCTTGCAATCTGCCCGATGGCAGGCTCAAGGCTTGTCCATCAGGCAGATTGGAGTCTACACTATAGCCTAGACGCCAGGGAACCCCGTCACAGCGACGACGCTCGAATTAAGCCCGTCGTCAAAGCAATCAGATCTAAACTTCTAAATAGTTTACAAGCGTCAGACACTGCGCGTTTATAGAACGAAGATTCTATCTCTTCCTATCGGAAAGATTACATCTATCCTATAAAAATAAAAGTTATTCATCCTAGTCGGGCAACACCCAAACCATCAACAGGGTGCGGGAATATTCCATTGGAAATACCAAAGCCGTATGTATGCGGCCGCAGAAAATCGGGAACAAAAGGGCCATATTCAGAGCCATCCTCCCAGATAACTCCTAGCATTCCAGACAATCTGCGACTTATATCCGTGTCCTGGTTCGGCAAGTTGCCCATCAAGGACTGTGCTAGGTAGATAGGATGGGTACAATCACGTATTAGCAACGCTAACTTCTGTCTTTTGATAAGCCAGATTCTTTTAAATATACAAGGACAGACTCATCTACGTACCTTGAGTTCGGTATGCGCATGCGCTGCTACGCCAGGCAGCTGATCTCCCGTTGGCTGCCAACTGCTGATTGCAGATTCGGCGATCCTTACCATTTCAGAGGAGGCAGTTCGTAGGTTTGCTAGATCACAACCTTCATCGTCTCTCAATCTTACTGTCCACTGGACAATCGACTTAAGCAGCCCTAAATCTGTTTGTACGTTCAAGTTGTACGGATTCTCTAGCACGCCGACAAATAGAACCAAGGTCGCGGAGACAGCACAAGGCAAGACCGGCCTATGAATCTGTTAAATGAGGAGGAAGAAGAGCGGATCAGTTAATACTTGCCATAACCCAGAAATCTGAGAACCAGGAATGCAATTTAGTAGGAGGATGGTGGCTCTTGCTGCTGCTGCGTACTGGCTTGCGAAGTCACGGTTTTCCATGGCAACTTTGCCAGAACTTCCTCGCATTGCTGTCCAATAGATCATCGAGACACAGTTGAAATACATAAAATGCAAACCCAGCAGAGGCGTATCACGCATAAAACTCATAAGAGGGCGGTCAAATTCTGGTCGAACCTCCAAGGGGACTCTTAGCCTCCAGTCAAGGAGCTCACGCTGGAGTTCCTGTATCGTTTCCAGCAGCTGGCTTCCTGTTCGTTTCAGTGTCTTCACACTGTATAGCTTCTCCTGGACCCTCGATTGGACATTGGCCAGCTCGACCCTCAGCCTGAAGACGTTAATACTTCTCTGCTCTCCTCCGAGAGCGACGAGGCCACAGCTGTCCGGGGGCCACTCAGTTGGAAGCTCAATATCCATGTTATCTTTCTCTAAAATGGATGGAATTCCGCAAGTGATGCTAATCTCTGTCTCCAGGATAAACCCGATCCAGAAGACCCTATTGCGCGTCTCTCTTTCAAGAAAAGGCTTACCGTTTCCACGGCTCCTTGTGTGCAGGCCAACAGTGTGGATGATTCTGCATGCGTTGGATAACAACAGGGCTGTTGTTCGCGAATTTCCCGAAGTCCTCATATGTATTGCCATGGCAAGAAGGCTCTGGACGGCCAGCAGATCATCTGCTTGGTTTAATATATCAGGAAGCACGGCATAGGCATTCTTGAAAAATGCCCACACGAATCCAGATAATTCTCCCAAGGAGCGGTTGGTACTTCTTCGCGAGATGGCAAGTGCCGTCAGCGCATTGAGGCATGCCCACCAAGAGGGACAACGACACGTTTCTGCAGAGTACTGGGAGCGAAGACGTTCGAAGAACCAAGGTATGTCAAACAGTGGAAGCTCGGCACACACGTCTTCGATAGTCAACTTAAGTAGGACGGCCTCTGTTTCTTGCGGTGAAACTGGGGCCCCCATTTTGTACTGATCAAGGCGTCGGGCGACCTGGTGCCAATAATCACCTAGAGTCTCAAATTCAACAGGTCCCATTGAAGCGTTTCCACTGAGTGCCTCAGAACTTATGGTCGGGGCGTTTTTGTCATGGCTTAGAAGGGGTGCTTTGTGAGATTTGACTGCTGAAGCCGATCGCAGTAGCCTCTGAGTCCCTTCATCTGGCGAGGCGACACCTGAGCGCTGTAAAAGCGATTCTAATTTTGACAGTCGATCCTGAAGATCCTTGATGTACTGGTTGCTATCAAGTAACGACATTACGCATAAATGCAAATAAGCAATCCGCTGTTAATTATAAACATGGTCAAAGACTCACCCTTTACCCTTGCCACGCTTGTTCTGAAACTGAGGATACTGGCAGTCCAACCGCTTCAGCATGCACGTCGAGCACCTAGGCATCTTACCATCACATCTTGTCTTCTTCTGTTGGCATCGAAAGCATGCCTACACCCAGACTTCAGCAACCAGACCTCAGCGACGTTTAAGTCTGTGTCAACTGTTACCTTTGAAATACGTAATGATAACCTCTGTGCCACTGGCCTCACTGCTTGTCCGAGGTGATTCTTACTATTTTCCATTTTGCCAAGCAGCTGGTCCTATCATTTCAAAGCAGTACCGAGGTGGTAATTAGATTGTGCTTTAAACTGGCGTCTATAATAAGCTGATTCTAGGTGAATCACCAAGCAACTTACAATAACTCTCCATGTCTTTTCCGGAAGCTATTTGCTTCCGTAAATTGGTATGCGTTAATAATACCCGCTGTCTGTGGTGAGTAGTTTGTCAGCAAATTTCGACTCTGCATGCACCTCACAATCCGCGTATCATGCTCCTAACATATTAATTATTATTAATAGTATTCTAGTAACGGGTTTTGCCCGGAAGTAATTAGCATCCTACTGGCTCACCTTTCTACTTGTTAGATTATAGCTACAACACCCTGTCTTGCTTCTAAGGGTATAAATAAACTTGGTCCTATTCTTAAAAATGAAGTTCAATTTCATCATCGCAAAAGATTCCTGGAAACAAGAAGAATACTCCTAAATCGCACTCAAGCCCTACCTAAGCAGCTACATTCCGTCAAAATGGTAATTGTCGCCGTTGCCGGAGGTACTGGACATCTGGGCCGCACTATCGTCGAAGCTATCATCGCAACCAAGAAGCATGATGTCAAGATATTCAGCAGGAAGGTCTGTCCATTTTTGAATCCAGGATAATACTAATACCTGTAAAATGTGCCCTAATACTACTGATTAGTCCAATCCCGAGCTCGAGAGCGCGCTTGGCGTCGCGGTGATCCCTGTCGACTACTCAGATGTGGATAGCCTGACTAAAATCTTGGAGGATCTTGATATTCATACCGTCATCTCTGCTCTATCCAACTACAATGATGCCGAAGACAACAGTCCGCCAGAGGTTGAGCTCATCCGTGCGGCAGACGCATCTACGACCACGAAGAGAATGATCTCAAGCGTGTGGTCCGCGCCGTATAGCGACAGGTTCGTGTCTTTCCACTTCTTCTCTGTTTACAGCATAATCAACTGTATGACAGACACATCGGCCAGTTGAGTTCCGTCACCAATATCAATAATGCCAAGTTGGCATTGCGGAAAACTAGCGATCTGGAGTACACTGTCTTCTATAATGGCTATTTCATGGACTACTGGGGCATGCCGGCCGTACCATCTCACATGCCACCTATCATGATGGTGCTGGATATACCTAACGATACTGCTGTCATCCTAGGATCCGGCAATGTTCCTGTGACCTTCACTCACACATTCGATGTGGCCAAATTTGTTGCTGGAAGCCTTGACTTGGATAAATGGGACCCCGAGAGTTATGTGATGGGTGACAAGGTGACTTTCAATCAATTGCTCAGTCTTGCAGAGGATGCGAAGGGTAAGCTCAAGGAGTGCGCGGTTAGCAACTAAACCCAAGATAGCTGACTAGGGGACAGGGACCAAATTCAGCGTCGCCTTTGATAGTATTGAAAAGTTAAAGACTGGACAGACAACTGAACTTCCTGCTCAAGTCCCTCTATACTCCTTTCTTCCCAAGGAAGTCTTTCAATACATGGTAAGTATACACGGATTGTGGCTCGAGGAGGGAGTATATGATCTCAAGCCTGCTCGCTTCTTAAACGATCACTTACCCCAAATCAAACCAATGAAAGTAAAGGAAATATTGGAACAGGCGTGGAAGAGAGCATAGCAGTTATAGCAAAGAAGACAGTAATATACTAAATAAAATATAATACTTCTTCAACTATAAAACGTTATCAGATATGATACAAGAAGAGCATAACCCTCCTTACACACCAGATAATTCAAATCAATAAGATGTCACACTCTAAAAAGTCTTTTTATGCTGAAATAATAAGCCTTTGGTCTTTGTCTACGCATCTCACATGGCTTCGATGGTGCTCAATTTAGAATAAGGCGGCTGGATGGTTTTTGTGTGTTTGAGGCGAGAATCGGCAGCCCGGAACAAAGCATTCCAGTTCCCAGACAGACTCGCGGTCTTTTCCGTTCTGTATCTCCAACACCGAAATGTCGAAACAGTTTATTGAAAAGTAAAGTCAACAAAGAGCTAAGAAATATTCCAAGAGCTAACATCACACGGATTTGCCATGGGTGGGTAACTTATCGAATAAATCAGACTTCATTCAATTATTCCATGCATTTATGCGTGTAATCATTAAACCACCGGGCAGATTGTCATAACTGCATCCAACAGGACCTTCTGTCCGATTTTACCTAGCCTACAAACTAACACCTTCCATGCAAAAATCGGCGCCCCGACTTAATCAGCCTATAGATCCGGCGATGTACCTTTCCAGTTCTCGAATTCACCTTCTCTGTTGCTTTGACCCCGCCCACCACAAATGTCCCTGCATCAGCGCCAACGCCAACGCCAACATCGACATCAAACTATTTTATGAGGGGATTGGGGCTTTCTCAGTCTTTTTCTTTGCCATCACACGAAAGGCGTCGCTTACAAAATCCGTTTCCTCCTATTAAGTTAGACAAAAGGGGTTCGGAGCACGGACCATGCCAGCTAGTTTTGGCACCGTCAGCCAGCCTTTCCCAGAAGGCTGTGTTGAGATAAGCTTGCGGCTGATCGCTTTGATGGGTCTCTCTGACGATCTCCTACATTGTCCCCACCAGGACCACCCCCAAGCGAAATAAGAGCGAACGCCGCATCCACGGTCTCTTCTGCGATGTCCAAGAAACTGACTCATGATGACTACACGATGGGATGGATCTGCCCGTTGGAGGTGGAGCAGGTTGCTGCATTGGAGATGCTGGATGAGGAGCACGAGCGTCTGCCACAACCTCCGACTGATCACAACGTCTACAGTCTCGGCAGCATCGCCAGCCATAATATCGTAATCGCAGGGCTCCATCAACCAGGCAACAACCCCGCGGCTACGGTCGTTACTCAGATGCGGATGACATTTCCAAACCTGAGACTCGGCTTGTTAGTCGGTATCGGCGGTGGCGTTCCTGTCAAGACTGATTGCGGAATGATACGGCTAGGCGATGTCGTGGTTAGCAAGCCAGTAGGCAAGCATTCTGGAGCAGTGCAATATGACCACGGAAAAGCCAAAGTCGGCCAGTTCGAACGCACCGGAGCTCTTGCCCCGCCGCCTGCGGTGCTACTCAACGCAGCTCAAGATCTTGCAGCAAGGCGAGCTAGGTCGAGCAAGGATCCCCTCAAAGAGAATATCAAGAAAATCGACACGAGTATTCGAGGACTCCAAAAGTACAAATATCCAGGTGCAGAATATGATTATCTCTATCCATCAGACTATATACACGAAAAGCCTGGAGTGTCTTGTGCGGAATGTGGATGCGATCCTTCGAAGAGGATCCAGCGAATGACCGACGACAACGATAATGAACCGTATATCGTCGTCCATAGAGGAACAATCGCATCTGGGGAGCTAGTGGTCAAGAGTGCTATGCTGAGAGACTCGTTAGCAAAGGAAGATGGAGTCCTGTGCTTTGAGATGGAGGCAGCTGGCGCCCTCGCCGATTTCCCTTGCATTGTCATCCGCGGTATTTCAGACTACTGCGACTCACATAAGAATGACCAATGGCACGGATATGCGGCGATGGTAGCGGCAGCATATGCCAGGCAGCTTTTCTTCCATATGCCGGTCGACGAAGTAAAGCGGTGCGTGCTATTATCTAATAAGTAATTAGATTGATTCACATAACTAACTATACACAGCTATATCTCTGAAACTGCGGAGACGGACATCCATTATGTGAAACTTCGGTCTGACAACCAAGGCCGTCAGGACATCCTGCATTGGCTCACGCCAGTTGACTACGGGTCCCAGCAGAGCGATTATCTCAAAATGCGGCAACCAGGAACTGGCCAGTGGCTCTTAGATTCAGCAGAGTACCAAGTATGGCTGAAGACCAATAATCAGACGCTATTCTGTCCAGGCATTCCAGGGGCGGGAAAGACAATCATTTCAGCTGTCGTTGTAGATGACCTCGCTACCCGGTTTTCTAGTGACCCAACCGTCAGCATAGCGTACATCTACTTCAACTTCCGGCAGCAACAGAAGGTCGACGACTTGATGGCGAGTCTGCTGAAACAGCTAGCTCAGGGCCAGACCTCCCTACCAGGGAGCCTCGAAGCTCTTTATGCTCAGCATAAGACAAAGCGAACGCGACCATCACTTGATGAGATCTTGGGAGGTCTCCACACTGTAGCGACAATGTATTCGAGGGTTTTTATTGTCGCCGACGCACTTGATGAATGCCAAGTATCCGATGATAGCCGGACAAGATTTCTATCAGAGCTTTTTAACCTTCAGACACAGCACGTAGTGAACATTTTTGCAACGTCGAGGTTCATTCCACAGATCATTGATCAGTTCAACGGTAGCATGTCATTAGAGATCCGTGCCCATGATGAAGATGTGCGACAATATCTACAGGGTCGTATCACACAATCAGAATCAAAGTTTTTAAAAACCTACTGTGAAGAAATCAAAAACGAGATTACAAAAGTAATTAATGGAATGTACGTCCTTTCTGATGTTTTCTTTTTGGGTGGAATACTATATTAACACCTGCCTAGGTTTCTCTTAGCACAGCTTCATTTTGACTCGATAAAAACAAAGAAAACACCAAAGAAAGTCAAAAATGCTTTGGAAACCCTTCCAACGGGTGTCACAGCATACAGCTACGCATATAAGGACGCCATGGAACGAATCAAGGCACAAGATACAGATTCTCGGGAGCTTGCAGAGCATGTCCTATCGTGGATCATCCATGCTAAAAGGCCACTTATTATAGCTGAGCTTCAGCACGCGCTTGCTGTAGAAGTTTGCGAGCCCGAATTTGACAAGGAGAACCTCCCACAAATTGAAGACATGGTCTCTGTGTGTGCTGGATTAGTCACAGTCGATAAGGACAGCAAAATCTTTAGGTTAGTACACTATACTGCACAGGAATACTTTGAGCGGACATGGTCTTCGTGGTTCCCTAACGCGCAAACTGATATAACGAAAATTTGCATCACTTATCTGTCATTCAATATTTTTAATAAGGGCTTTTGTTCGTCGAACGAAGGGTTCTACGAGCGACTACGGACGAATGTGCTTTATGACTATGCTGCGCGAAATTGGGGACACCATGCTTATACAGCCTCTCCAGAGGCTAATGAGTTGATTTTAAGTTTTCTTCAGAATGAAGCCAAGGTATCCAGCGCCCATCAGGCGATGATGGTTAATAGAAACAATCAACACATGCCAAGGGAGATGCCAAGGGAGGTAACGGGGCTACACCTTGCGGCATTGTTTGGATTAACGAACACAATACAGGCCTTGCTTGAGGATGGGCATGATCCAGATGCTAAGGATACGGGCGGACGAACACCACTGTTGTATGCGGCCAGGAGCGGGCATGAGGAGGTTGTACAGCTGCTGCTCAATGGCGGCGCTGACATCAACGCGAAAGGGCAGGGACCCGGTCGCGACGGCGGCAACCACTACTATTCCTACTACGACCAGACGGCACTGATGTATGCGGCTAGGAACGGACACACGGTTGTGGTGCGGCTGCTGCTGGAGAAAGGCGCTGACATCAACGCGAAGGGCAGTGGTGACCGCAATGGTGATGACGATCACTATGGTCAGACGGCGCTGATATATGCCATTAGTAATGGGCACGAGGCAGTAGTGCAGCTGCTGCTCAGTAGAGGTGCTAATGTCAACGCCGAGGAGGGGTGCCACGATGGTGATTCCGTCTACTTCACCGAGTACGAAGGTCGGACGGCGTTGATGTGTGCGGTTAGGAATGGGAACGAGGCGATGGTGCGGCTGCTACTCGAGTACGGCGCGAGGGTCAACACGGGGGAGCACGGAGGCTCCAACGGCTACGGCTGCTACGACAACGAACACCCCACGTACTACAATCGGACCGCGCTGATGTATGCGGCTAGGAATGGACACGAGGCTATCGTCAGACTACTGCTCGAGGCCGGCGCTGATGTCAACGCGGAGGAGGATGGGAGCCGCTACGCCGCTGGTCGCAACTATGAGGACCAACACCCTAACTACAATGGTAAGACGGCGCTAATGTATGCGGCTATAAATGGGCACGAGGCGGTGGTGCGGCTGCTGCTCAGTAGTGGCGCTGATATCAACGCCAAGGAGAAAGGCCACGACTGCTATGGCGGCGGCGACGACGCCTATGAGTACGACGGTCGGACGGCGCTGATATATGCGGCCAGTAAAGGGCACACAGCGGTGGTGCAACTGCTGATCGAGAGCGGCGCCGACGTCAACGCGGAGGAGACGGGCGGCTATGACTTCTACGACTACAACATCAACGACGACAAAGGCAACGACTACGGTCGGACGGCGCTGACGTATGCGGCTATGAAGGGGCGCGAGGCTGTCGTCAGGCTGCTGCTCGCGAAAGATGGAGTCTATGTGCACTCCAAGGATTCTACTGGCCAGACGCCGCTGTCGTATGCTGAAAAAAGGGGTCACGAGGCAGTGGCAAGCCTGCTGCTGGGGAAAGGCGCTGAGAAAGCACAATCATAATAATATCACCGGCATTATGCATTAGGGTTAGGAGCTATCCAATAGTGAGCAAACTAATGCCCGAATAAGGAAGCCAAGTTGTCACTGATGTATTTAATACCCTCCGCACGGTAAACATCCGGCACGACATAGCTGAGATGAGTAGCATTGGTGTCGAAGACGATAATCTCAGGATTATCCAACTCGTACTGCGGCCAGTGGACTTTGACACCTATTGCTATCCGTCAATGTATTTTTCTTCGCCTTTCAAGAATAAAAAGAAAGAAAAGAAAATTGGATTGATTCTACTCACGGCTCGAGTAATTCGGGTTCAAACTTGTCACAAAACTAATCCACATTCTCGACATCATTGTGGAAAGTTCTGAATAAGTTTTGGGTTTACCAGCCATGGGCTGGCTGCCAGCAGCATAGCCAGCACCTTCCGCATTGTTGAAGACGTAAGCAATTTCAGAGCCATGGTTAGCGCCGACATCTGGGCCAGCTCCGTTGTTAATAACGTCGAAAAGGTAGCTGTATGCGGGTACCCCGTGCTGACGCCAAACCTGGCTGGCCAATCTACGGGCTGCGTGAATGTTAACGTCGCCCTGGAATGCAGTCACACGTTTGTACATATACCCGTATCCTGCAGGAGGTCTTCCTATCATAGTCGCAGGAATGCCGATCTCGGGAATATCTGGGTACAGCGCAGCTAAAATATCCGCAGTGGCATTACTGAGACCCCAGTCGGTGATTACTTCGTTGAACTGCGCAGTGGTGTTGATACCCTTGATGCCGAAGCTGGTTCCCTCGTCTGCATTTCCACCAATGAGATACGGGACCTTGACGAACTTGCCCTGCTGGAGCTGTCTGGTAGCACTCTCTTGAATAAAGTCACCGTCAATGACTTGCACGAACTGAGGTCCAGCTTGGCCGGCCAAAGTATGAACAGGCACAACGGATGAGTTGTCGAAAATGTTATGCAGGGTATCAGTGGGAATCGTCCGGAGACATGACAAAGTGTCAGGCGCTGAGCTGCAGCCGGCTGCTTCCACGATGGCATCATAGAATGGCTGCCAGTCCTCAGTTGTTTGGTATCGGTAATAGGTACTTGGTGCACCGCTTTCACTGATGGCTGCACGGAATAATTTATCGTCTCGTCCGCCATGAGCAATGAGCTGGGTTCCAACACTGTTGGCACCGGCACTTTCGCCCCAGATTGTTACCATACTTGGATTACCACCAAACGCAGCGATATCTGTTTAACGTTCAGGAACGAGTTTGCTAGCCTTGTACATGTACAAAAAAAAAAAAGAAAAGGAAGAAAAAACAAAGAGATTGGAAGAAACTCATAGAATACGTACTCTCCTGTACCCAGTGCAATGCAAGGCGTTGATCTCTGAAGCCCAGGTTGGCAACACCAGCATCTTTGACTTCCTTGCTCCACATGAAACCCCAGCAATGGAGACGGTAGTTCATACTGACTGCAATCATCGGCGTGCCCATCTGCACTGACTGGTCGACAATAAAGGAGAGGTTATATTCCTGGTTGGCAGAGCTTCCTGAAGTGAAACCACCTCCGTAAATCCAAACTGGTAATATGATCCGAGTTAGCTGGGTTCTATCAACTACTACCTACCCATTTTTTCAAGACTCACCTGCCACGGGCAGATTGTCTATAGACGAAACCCCGCTCGGACGGACAACATTGAGGGTAAGACAGGCTTCAGAGGCGCCAACGGTCTGGTTGTAGCCTACACAAATTGGGGAGTATTCGGTAGCGTTTCTCGGCTCTGCCCATGAGGTGTTAAGCGATTGCGGTGTCTGTAGACGAAGATCTCCAGTGGGTTGTTGGGCAAAAGGCATGCCCAGGAAGAAGTCCTGGTCGTAATAGTGGTTGCGAACACCATAGTAGGTGCCATTAATCACGTCTACTGTGGGCGGGTTCCCCTTTGGCTTTGGCACAGCTGATGAGGATACGATACCGACGAGACATACTGAGACAACCGCCCAGTCTCGCAACTGACGCATCATAGAATAATACATATTGGCAGATATTGTAATCGATTAGGATAGCTTTTGCCCGGTCACAACAAACACCTCTGGCTCTTAAGATATAGTTACACCTTACCATCCATAAACCGGACATTGACCCAATATAAGATGGATGGTACAGAGTCAACCAAACTTTAACTATTCAGTCACCAGAGATCAAAGCTCACAAAACGTTGCTACATAGTTAACTTTCCCCAGTAATCATTGATAAGTGTAGCATTATCCTCAGTGCCGACCGGATATGGGATGCATACCCCTTTTCCGATTGGTCGATCGGGTAAACCACCTGTACAAACCATAGATATTAATCCTTATGTTGATTTCAAACCTCAGTTTCTAACCAACAATAATAATTAAAACCAAAAATTAATTACTGATACAATTATCACATTTAGTTCTTTTATGCCCAAGAGTACTACAATTCTTGCTGCGATAGTGGCGGCGTACACGTATATGCATAAAGGGTTATCAGGGCGGATTCTCCGCTCATCTACCCAGCTATCGAAATTCCTCACAATTTTCGCAATAAAAATACGGTCTCCAAGCATTGCCATTTTCATTCCAGGACTCAGAATAACTTATTCCTGTTTTTGTCAGGCAATACTTGCATTTGAGAGTCTCAATCAAGTCAGACTCGAACAATCGGGTGGTTTGGGCTGGATGTAGTCATCTTCAGATAAAAGCCAGCCTTGACGGGTATTTTCTACTGATAGCTCAGCTGTCTTTTAACATAGCCTGCCAAATATGGTCAAAATATCTAAGAATAAATTTCTTTCGACTTCTGCTTTTTTTTCCACAGCGTCTTGCAAACAATACAGCATATAAAGTCCGGAATAGCCGACCTGGTCTCCGTCTTTTTGCGAGGCTTGAGGAATTTTTCGGATCCTCCCTAGTTCTTTGATTATTTACTAAAGATATATCAATAAAGAGTGTTCTCAACTAATATCAGTGACCAATGTACAACTTCGTCAATGCAATCATTTATCATATCGTTTGAGATATCGCTCTGTTGGTCATATCTCTAGATGGGAGATGAGTCAGGGGCTTCGCATCCGGTTAAGCCTTGCGAAGGGTTTCATATGTCCGGCTGGGTCCAGAAATGGACTCATTTGCGGAGCCTCGGGAGACGGGGAGATATCGACCACACTATCCCATGTAGAGATATGGCTAACAGGGAAATATATCCAAAGACCGTATAGTCAGTGAAGTCTATGATCATGCGCATCTTCAGATGAACAAAAGTTCTGATGAATGGGCTACCGATATTTAACCGATCCTTTCCCCAAGAATCAGGAGAAGGTTAAAGCTCTGTGGTTCGAGGTAAATAAGATTGTGACAGGTACCGGCTTGTGCCACCTAGCACAAGCCAGTGACAGACACATGGTACCATATTGCACGGGCCGACAGGCATAAGTTACAAGGTGAGTTAACACAAGTCAGCCATTGGCCTGCGCCACGTGGCGCAGACCTGGCGACTGCTCATTTTCATAGGGCTATTCCTGGAAATGAGCTTTAATGTAAACACATGTCGTAACACTATCGCGATACAGATGCATTTGGTGGGTGCACACTGTTCTCGTGTAAGTATACTATTCTGATGAATATACACTTGGGTGAATTTACACTGCAGGTTGGGGTCAGATCAAGTGGACCTTCTCTGATTATATGCACTCGCAAGAGGATTGGTATAGAAGGGTAAGGATAAATAGGAGGGACCTACCGCTTTGAATCTCTTACTAACGCCGGAATGTCCAATAACATGCCTCCCGACATTGGGCTTAGCGTTAATATCTTTCTAAGTGTCAGGTTAAGTGCAGTAATTTACCCGAAATAATCGGTGGAAAACATAAGAACAAATTACAAAATATTATGTATTATCCATTTCTTATAATTAATAAAACTTATATCTAAAGCATTGCAATGATATCAAACATATGAATGATCCAACTGCATGTAATTGGCATTAAACCGGAAGTCCATAATTATGCAAAGATAATACAGTATTGAAATCACGGAATAAACAATTGCCGGCTGGAGCCATAACTGTTATAAAATCTTCCGACGCACGAGCCTCCAACGTGCTACCGAGGCAAGCAAAATCATAATTAATTAATCATTAATACGAAGGCTGACGGTTGCACGAATCAGAGCCCGCAATCGATAAGTAAATGTTGGTGCCATTCCACTCTCCTAGACCAACCGTTCTCTCTCTAGACTCTACTATAAAGGGAGAGATGAAATGGGGAAGAGGGGAAAGTAATGATCAGGAAGATCTAGGCCGGCATAGAGGGAATTGGCGGCCAATAAAATCGAAGCTCTTAATTAATCCGGCGGCCGTATCCGTATTGTTACACGGCATGGGTTAGCTTAATATCACATGGTTATTATACAATATGCATTGAATACTACCTACTACCTAACTAGTTGGCGGTAGACCTTCGCACGGACGATTAATCTCATACCAATCGAGGCGGCAGCAGGTAGATCAAGAGAACATTATGGTAATTCAATTCCGAATATTAAAAACTGGTTATACACTATCAATTGATATCTAATAGCCTGCGGTATTATGTAGGAAATAGAGCTGCAAATCCTAACCTATTTGTAACTTGTCATGGCGGATAAGGTTTGGCATTTGTTAGACTCTGCGCATCCTGTCGATCTTGCTGGATGCAGACTAGAGAGAGGATGACACTCACCCATCTCCGTAGCTTAGTCCTGAATCTGAAGAAGAAAAAGAAAGAGACATTTTGATTATTATTTCGGAAAGGAATGATGATCATCACGCATTGACAACAAAGAAAGACTACTCTCCATAATCAGACTCATTAATTGTCGCATTACCGGGCCGGGTGTTGCGACAAAGAGTTGTGCATCAGGGGTCATCATTGGCGATATAGGAAAAATAATTCCGGCCAGCGTCGAGACCTATTGTGGGTTCTATCGATTCATCTGATTTTATCAAGATTTCTCGATATGCAGAATGACAGAGAATAATGTAATGTTACTATAAATACGACCCCCCAAAGCCGCCGAGTCTATATTACCCCGTAGATCAATCAATTAATTGAGGGTTAATATCTCTATTATATCCTATTCCATATTGGAAAGCTCATGCTACCCATGAGAAAATCCATCAATCAGCTCATTATCTCTCAACTCCGTCCATACCAGAATAACTAGTTGATGTTATTGTAGGGGCAGCTGTATAAATAGAAATAGGCTGATTTTTTAGGTCGTCCATGCGCTAGTTGCGGATTGACCTTGCGAAGATAAGGAAGGATAGACTTACGTTGCAGTTGATATTGGAATTAATCGAATTAATAGAAATACTCGCCCGATCAGGAGCGACTATTGGATCCTTCGGCCCCGACATACTATACCATTGATCAAACAACATTGATCAGACATGCAGTAAAGCGCAGGGAATATGGAAATAATTCTGCTTTCATATGAATCGAATCGATGCGGGGTGCTTGTTGGTTTCTCACCGATTGGCCGGCTTAGTTTAAAAAGTGGCAGTCCTCAACTGGATTAGCAAAGCGGCTAGTTGGCGACTAGTGGATTGGCGCATCGATCAGAGATGGTGTGATCCGGCCTGTCCTGTCAGTGTCCAGTGTCAACAGAGAGTGTCTATACATAGCAGCGCTATTTTAGAGTACGCAGGCTGCGACGGTGTCGGCGGTCTTCAGAGCTCTCCTAGAGAAGTAGAAATACGACTGCTAACTGGTAGGGGAACATCATTGGATAATGTATTAATCACGTATTAATCACTGAATACTGCTCCACCCGGCCGCGCCTTCCCTTTCCTCTGATCATGTAATAATTAATCCTGGCAAGCACGACCCGGCGCTCGACGTGCCTGGAAATGGAAACCATGGAACCAACCCCACTTGGCGGTAGCACCTGCCTTGGCGTGACCCAGGGTCTCTGTGCTTCCTGTTCTTCCCCCACAAACCGCAACAGACCGTCCTTATCGATCGATGCGTGAATAATGAATCGTTACATTTACACTTACATTTTCTTTCTTTTTTCTCCCTTTTCTTTTCCCTTCCTCCGATCTTTTCATCGTGAGCTTCGTCATTGAACTCTGTTCCCCACCAGCAACAAAGCATATCGCATTGACATCACAGCTGCAGACCGTACGGTACGTGTTGGTTGGTTTGCAGACCCGTCGTCCAGAAACAACCTAGGACGGTGCTCCGTACATACCAGAGTAATGCTAATTTAACACCCATGCTAGGTGGAAACTTGGTTAGGCCGTAATCAGCCAGCACCGCGACCAACTACATACTAAGACGTACTAACCAGTATGTAGTAGAAGCAGAGGCTCTGTCCACCAACGCCCTTTTCTCCTGCACTAATCCTTGCTTGACCAGCTTCTGGCCTTCCAGAACATTGCATTCATTACTGCAAGATTATTAGTGGAATGCCCCAGCACTAGTCGCTCAATCGGTCGTGCTCCTCTCAGTCTCTCAGTCTCCAGTCTTAAACCCTTAGTGGGCCCGCTGGGATGATGGGAATGGGTGGTCGGCTCTTTATTGCTTAATCCCACCGACCCCATTGTCCGAACTTGTCCTCTTCTCATTTCTTATTAACTCCTCCGCAGCGGCCTCGCAATACCTAGATCCTCATCGCATCCATTGCGCATCGCTCTCTGGTCTAAAAGAGACCGTATCATCGCCGTCGCACGACTATCGCATCCCAATTCGAGCTAGCCGACTCATGACACCGCGTCAGAAACGAGACTCTCGTCCGCCATATACATGCATACATGTAGTTCGCTGAAGTCGGCGCAATGACCCAGCCCTACTATTCCGCTGGCCCATCCGTGGGCGCCTACCAGGATGATCCTGCAATGCAATATTATACCCCCAATACCTATCCAGCCTTTCCATTGCTGCTCGGATCCGGCTACGTCCCAGAGAGTCTGGCCTACTGGGGTTCCTCCACCCAACAAACCAGCCCAGCCCCGGTCGCTGGATCTGACTCGACACCTCACCAGCAATCGCGACTGGCAGCTGTCGAACAACGAAAACACAAGCGGACACGCAGCGGCTGTCTGACGTGCCGCTCCCGCCGAATCAAGGTAAATCGCTTGCCGTTGTAATAATGGGAGAAGGCACCGCTAATATAGGTCCAATTCCAGTGCGACGAAGGTCGGCCGATATGCGAGAGTACGTGCTGAGTTGATACTACATCTGGAGTCCAACTGACATACGAGGTGCAGGGTGTCGGAAAGGGAACCGAGATTGCGAATATCCTCCACCGAATGCGAAATCGTCCAGTCGTTCGAACAAGTCCCGGAGACAATCCTCGCGCGGGAGCATATCATCAGACGATGAGACCGGTGACCAGGGTGGGCTTGGGGTTATTCCAGATGAAGATGAAAGCGCAGGAATACTCAGCAGCCCTTCAGAGCCGGCATTGCCCAAAAAGAAAAGTATGCAATCAATTGGCCAGCGTCGGCCAAGGGAAGCATCCGAGGCATCATCCGCGAGCAAAGCTATATCACAATCGCCAGCGTCAGATCTACTACAGGCCTCACAATCATCCAGTCCATTCTCCAGCCCTCAATATAAAAGCAACTTTGTGCAGCAACCCGCGCGAGACTTGGCCCAGGTTTTCAGTAAGCGGCAATTCAAATCGGGTATTCGCTTTCTCCTGAAATACCACCAAGAAAGAATGAGTAACAATCACTACTTTCTGAGCCACGAATGCAATATGTTCTTCCGAGGCACGTTGTTTGATCTAGCAATGGAATATGAGCCGCTCCTCTATGCGCTCGTCGGTTTTGCTGCATATCACCACACTCTTGAAAAGCCCGATGGAAAGATGTATGATTTCCTAAAGTACTATGACCGATCCCTACAACTTCTCCGGAAATCGCTAGCGTCGAGTGAAAAACACAGTGAAGCAATGATGGCCACCGTTCTTCAACTATCCACCTTTGAGGTTTGTTATATTGCTCTCCCAGTGAGATTTCAAGCTGACGCCGCTTTAGGAGAGTATCGGCGACTGGGTGAATCTCGTCGATCACCATCAGGCCGCAGATGCTCTGATACATGAAATGATCACTCCACAAAGCTCCACTCAAAATGAAACGCACCGGTTCCTTCTCATCTGGCATTCCCGATTCGACCTTGTTGCGGGTCTTATTGCCAAAAATGAGGCTATATTAAGTCGTGAATGGTATACAACTATCGACGAGCACGACGCTGCCCAAGCAGCTCTCAGCCCTGATGATTTGACGGCTCAATTACGATTAGTCTCTTCACGAACGCGGCTTTTTGCCATGGATTATGCCTCATTATTTGCACGACTAGGCCGTCAACTCGTCAGCTTTGATGACTTCGTCAAGGAACTCAATGAGATGGACACGACAGTCCATATGCTCCATCAAGTTCTAGAGCAATACGATAATTGTCCCGAAATAACAATGCCCAGACCTGCTGTCCCCCTACAGGGGCCAGAAGACGTCCTTGACACAGCCATGCCTTGTCGATTTTACAGAGATTCAATGTGGAGGTTGAACTTTGCCTGGGCGGATTTACTCAGCACCGAACTCATGTATAAGTACCAGACACACATTTCCATTGGCCGTCCCGAGGGGCCGGAGCTTCAAAGGATAGCGCTACAGATCTGTCACCACGCCGAGAGTATAGTCAGATGGCCCGAAGTCGACGTCGGAACCGTCATCGCCTTTCACAATTGGCTAGTGCTGACAGCCATGTTTTTGCCGCGAGACCCTAAACATATGATGTGGAGTCGACGGATGATCGCTCGGATTGAAATCAACGGGTATGTGTAAGTTGATTGTAATGGAAAATTTGCTGATGATTTCTCCCTAGATATATATATCCCCCCAAGGTACGGGAAAGCCTTGCAGAGCTCTGGGGTGATCAGACGGTGCATCAGTGGTGGGTGCCAGACGAGGGAGGATGTCCCGAATTAGTCAAAGAAATCCGCACTCTGACGGAAGAACGCACCACGAATCCACGGGATAAGATCCGAGAAGATGTCCGAGACATGAAGTCCCTCTTCTCGAAAATGCGTCTTGATGACGTTGGTAGTCAGGGCAGCAGTCCACTGAGCGGGACGCTGACGGGGTCATCACCTGCTCAGTCGTCGCCATCTGGACAGGCACCTCCATAAAATCTCATAAACGTTCACGATGAACTCGATATACGAAAGAAAACCCTTCTTAATGACTATATAATGACGACTAGAGCATGACTAAAGCGGCAGGCCAACAGAACTCTAATCTCGAACCCTAATAAACTCCATTCACTATATATATAAAGACATCTGCCTTTTCTTGTCGTTATTATCTATTTGTTACTCGAGAGCGAGTCTGATCGAGACTGTTACTCATTCTCATTCTTGTGATGTCCTTGTATGAAGTGACTGACTTGACTGGAATCAAATCTACATATATGGGGCTTTGATGGCTGTCTGCTACGTATAGAATAAATACCCTGGTTTGGTTGATGTGTGTATTATACCAATTTATCATTGATAACTGTTCGAATGCTGTACTTTTTCATCTTGTAGTTTATGCAATTCCTACTCAGTCGAGATTTCGATGTTAATTAGGCCTCTCCTTTGCTTTTTATGTCTAACGCAGAACTTTTAACACGAAGTTGCATGATCAAGGGATTTTCGAGGTGGCAGTGGTCGCTACTGTGCCGTATATCAGCATTTTGCACGAAGAGAGGATAACTCTGGGTGAGTGGTCTGGTCATGGTCTGTAGTATGTGAATTAGGATCATGGTGGTAGATGGGGCAGTATAAATTACAAAATTATGCACTAATCCAACTCTCAAAAATATGCTCTACTTCAACATTATTTAGGGAGAAACCATCGACTGCACGCCCCCATCCCCGTGATAAACCTTCACCCTCCCTCCAACCCTCGCCTTGACTTCCTTCGCCACAACAACAGTCTCATACCCCCCAACAATCTCTCCACCTCCTTCATCGCCCTCAAAATCTTCCCCCCACGGCAACGCATCAACATCAATCTCCCATTCCAGTAGGCTCTTCAGCACCACTCCGGCCCCGGCTTTGCTCATCACTACATTGCGTTCTTTACAACGCTCGTCGCACACGCACTCGACGCAGCCATATGGCGTGATGCAGGTGCAGGCCTCGATGCGAGCGACTGCGCGCCGCAGCAGGCTGTCGATGAATTCGAAGGCTTTCAGCGCGATTCCGCTGCCAGAGGATCCGCCTTTGGCGTCGTAGAAGGTCAGCCGCGCGGGACGTTGGCGGCGCGGGGGTTCGAGGGCGGGAATGTTGCTGTTGATAGATCGGGTGGAGTTGGGGATCCGGAGGTTGCGCTCAGTGTTATTGGGGTTGGTGTTGGTGGAATCATTCGCTCGTTTGAGGTTCTTGCCCAGTTCCTTCTTGGCAACTTTGCACTCAGTGCGGACGTCGCCGGGAAGCGAGACGACGAAGGTTGGCAGGAGGGAGAGAACGGCGTGTTCGGCAGCGTGGATGGCAGCAGCGATGTTGAGATGGCGTGACTCAAGAATTTCGAGAGCACGCTTGGGAACGTCAAGCCACATGCCCTTGGTAAAGATATCGATGGGCGGGTTGTCCACCTGCACGGCGTCGAGGACGCGCCCGCGCTTGTCGATCTTGAAGAAGCCGTACACGACCGCGTGGATCTGGATGGCGCCGTAGAATGCGCGCGAGTTCGAGGAGCCGGGGATATGGCGGATGGCTTCGGTTTCGATCGGGTCGATGTCTGTGTAATCGCGCTGTTGCGTGTTCCAATCCACCTGCACCTCGACGACACGCGCAATCCGTTTGTGGGTGTTGAGCTCGCGGACGACGTAGGTCAGGCCCTGGTGCATGAAGATTCCGCCTTCGTATATGGTGAAGAAAGCCCGTGATTCTTCGACTTCTTCAAGGACGATGTTTCGGTTGTGCGTAATGTCGATGACGGCGAACGTGCTGTCTTCCATGTCTCGGATGGATACGTATTGGGATGGCTTAGGCCGGAAACGCTCGTTGCAGTGGAAATAGCCAAGAGAGTCTTTGACGAGGCGAGTAGAGGCGAATTCCGCAAGTTGTTCGCCAAAGTAGGTTTTGTCTTCGTCTGGTTTTATAGGGGCCTCGAACGCAGCGCATTGGACGTGGCCTTCCAAGACAAGCTCGTTGGTCAAGTCGACTTGTAACTCGCAGTCTGGCTTAGTGAATATTTCGTCTGGATTGCTCATATAGTGTTGATCCGTTGGAAAGCTATCGCCGATGAGCACAGCCAAGGAATCCTTGTTCCGCCGACCAGCTCGTCCACTCTGCTGCCGTAGGTTTGATATTGAAAATGGGAATCCCAGAGTAAGGACGGCATCTAGAGAGCCGATATCCACTCCCAGCTCAAGTGCGTTTGTCGCTACTATTCCCATCAACATGCCCTCAAACATCTCTTTCTCAATGCGGCGACGATCCTGCGGGCTGTAACCTCCACGATACCCCATAACCAGCTTCGCAACTTCTGGTCGTTCCAATGTTTGGAATTCGTTCTTGACTGCCGCCAAAACAATCTCGCACTGTTTCCTGATTCTGCAAAAGGCGATGACTCGAACGCCACGTAGAATTAACTGGCAGAATAATCGTGCTGTTTCGGCAATGCTGTCTCCTCTACCAGAGGTAGGATCATGAGGATCTTTGAATGGGGTATTCCAACAGATGAATTCCTTCCTGCCAGCCGGCGAACCATCAAAATCAGTCAGACAAACATCGTCCACACCGAAGATAGTCTTCATGTGGTCAACCGGGTTGGCAACAGTCGCAGAACACGAAATAAACTTGACATGTCGGTTTCCCACTGCAGCACAAATCCGACGCAAACGGCGCATTATGAACGCAACGTGAGATCCGAAAAGCCCATTGTATGAATGGAGCTCATCAACAACCACGAACTTCAAGTGCTGCAAAAATGTCCGCCATGAGCTTTCCTGGGGTAATATGGTGATATGAAGCATATCAGGATTAGTAAATATAATTCGACCTTCATCGCGAATCATGTTGCGTTCACTCATAGGGGTATCTCCATCAAAGGTTTCAACGATAGTACCTTCTAGGCCTTCCATGAAGTGTAATAATTCTTTCATACTACGCTTCTGGTCTTGCGCTAGAGCTTTTGTCGGGAAGATATAGATACCTCGACTGTTTGAATCGTTCTCAAGTTCGTGCAGCATTGGAATTTGGTAGATCAAAGACTTGCCGGAGTTTGTTGAGGTCGAGACGATGACGTTATGTCCATCGTATATATTGTTTATAGCCTCCGCTTGGTGCGAGTACAGTTGAGTTATGCCTTTGGTATTGTACAGCGCATTGACAAGGTTCTGTGATAGCTGAAAGGACAAGTCCCCGTACACAGCCGGCCGTGAGTCGAAAACCCTGTGGCCTTCTGGGACTATCTGTGCCGTGTACCATTCCGATTCCCTAATCTCGGCGATAATCTCAGCAATCGACTTGCGCTCCTTGGGTATCTCATGGGGGACACGGGTAACGGATGGCGTATTCACTCCGCTTTTTGTTAATGGCACTGGGATCACTTTCTCATTCTCCAACCGTTCTGAAGGATCCACACTTTCATCCTCACATTTTACCAAAAAAGCATCAACAGCATCTGAGAACTTCTTGTTTCTTTTTTCAATCAAAGCCAGCATTTGTTTCTGGCTGTAAACTGGCATTTTCAGCTCATCGTTCCTCAGCCTCTTGATAGGTCGTGTTGGTTCACCTGTTTTGCTATGTGAGACCTGTCGACGGAGATCTTCGTCAATAAACTCGAATAATAGAACAGGCTGCGTTACTTGAGAATCATCTTCAACAGTCGACGGATCATCCAAAGACGCCTCGCTAGGAAGAAAGCCGCCGCCCAGGTTGGCACTTTTCTTATTCATCCACTTATAATCATCTCTTCCTCCTTCTCCTGCCCCCATGACTTCCAAGGCTGCCTCATCTACATATTCAAATCTAATTGCACGCGGGATGAAGACTTTGATCTTCGACACATCGTCTACCGTAAGGTCTCGACCTCCCATTTGGGCCTGCACAGTCGCTCTGATGGTTTCAAATGTAGTAGCGAGGTGTTTTCTCGTACAGCAAAACGTGTAGACTAGATTTAGAGCTCGGTGGGTTTGGCACAAACTTTTGAAGGAATCCGGCCAAGGACCTGACGGCGTCCTTGACGACTGCTTTTTGGGGGCAGTTCTTGCGCCGCGAGCCTTCCCTTTTTTAGCCTTTTGGCCTGTATTTGAAGAAGTATCATGGCTCTCTGTTGATGCTGTTGGTTTTACCGATGATGAGTTCAGGCTTGGAATTGTGGTTGGGAGAGCTTCAAGTGGCAAAGCCTGCAATGCAGGTTCAATGCACGGATCGGGGCCGGTTCTTGAGCGATCTAGAATATCCTCATTGTTGTCATGCATGGGATAAGCTCTCTTAGCTTGATTCATAAAGGGTGATGTAACAGCATCGGCCATGATACCCGATGAAGCCCATGGTTGGTTGAAGAGAGAGCGAACGCAGGCTATCTGATCGCGAAAGCATACGCGTGGTCACGTGAACCCATATAAACTAATCAGACTAGACTAACTCTCGCTCAACCTCCTACTAATACTGTATTTATGTTCTAAGCCCGAAGCGAGCTGTGTATATGATGAATACTATTTATTCGTTGCTCATGTAATCATCCAAATCAATAAATATATGGCATTTTGATTGAAATAGCGACGGACCAGGACGGCCCTCGACTGTAACCAGTTTAACCCGGCATGCTCCGTATACAAACAACTGAGGTTTCCGAACAACACATTTAAGTTATCACACTTATCGGTGCAACACGCATGTTATCGCCGTCAAGGGCATTTTTATCTCTGGAAAGTGGAAATAAAACTCTGAGCCAATAATATTAATTTTTTGGGTTCGACCAGACTTTTTTTTCTCTCGGTGGTGAGACGCTAGCCTCTTCTGTAAACAGTCGGCGCTAGTGATCTGAATTTTGCCGCCGGACCGCCTAGCGTCCCTTCCCTTCCCCTTCTGTGACTTTTTTCTCGCTGCGTCCTCATTTTTATCCTTCTTCAACCCTCCTTCCCTTCACCACATTTTCGTCTATTTTCTTTACAATTTCATTTCTTCGCAGAAGTAACTTCCGACTAATCAACGTCGTTGGTTCCTACAGCGTCTCATTTCGCTTGCTCGAGTTAATCCGCTCTCTCAATTTAACTCTTGAAATTATCTGCACCGCATAACTGCATAATGGCGTATCACGGCGGCGGTGGCGGCGGCGGTTACGGCTCTCGCGACTCTTACGGGGGTGGTTATAGGTATGTTCACTTTGTTTGATCTTATCCTTTTTGCTTCAAATCCATCTAGCCAATAAGTGTGACATCACTATGGTGACCCGATCGGCCTTGCAACTTGATCTCGTTTTCCCAACTCATTCTCATCACATTTTACCCATCGATAACCATTTCAAATACTGACTATTCTTTAGAGGAAGAGGAGGCGGCGGTGGTGGTTACTCCAACGGACATGGAGGCGGCTACAGTAACGGCAACGGCAACAGCAACGGCTATGGTGGTGGTGGTGGTGGTGGAGGTTATGGTGGCGGTGGTGACCGCATGTCTGCCCTCGGTGCTAACCTCAAGACTCAAGACTGGGGTAGGTTTTCTGTCATTAAAATTTTGATTGTTCTATGCTAATTTCAAATTCTATTAGATCTCTCTACTCTCCCCAAATTCGAAAAGTCTTTCTACAAAGAACACGAAGATGTGGCGAGTCGTTCTCCAAAGGAAGTCGAAGCCTTCCGCAAAGATCATCAGATGGCAGTTACCGGCAGAAATGTGCCTCGCCCAGTTGAAACCTTCGACGAGGCTGGTTTCCCGAACTACGTGCTGTCCGAGGTCAAGGCACAAGGATTCGAAAAGCCTACCGCTATTCAGTCTCAGGGCTGGCCCATGGCTCTTTCGGGTCGTGATGTTGTTGGTATTGCCGAGACTGGTTCTGGAAAGACTCTGACATATTGTCTTCCTGCTATTGTCCACATCAATGCCCAGCCACTCCTCTCACCGGGTGATGGCCCTATTGTCCTCATCCTTGCCCCCACTCGTGAGTTAGCTGTGCAAATTCAGACTGAGATCAGCAAGTTTGGTCGTTCTTCCCGTATCCGAAACACCTGTGTTTATGGAGGTGTTCCAAAGGGCCCTCAGATCCGTGATCTTAGCCGTGGTGTCGAGGTCTGCATTGCCACTCCCGGTCGTCTGATTGACATGTTGGAGGCTGGCAAGACCAACCTCCGTCGAGTTACCTACCTTGTACTTGACGAAGCCGATCGCATGCTTGATATGGGTTTCGAGCCTCAAATTCGCAAGATCATTGGCCAGATTCGCCCTGACCGACAAACTTGCATGTGGTCCGCTACCTGGCCCAAGGAAGTTCGTCAACTTGCCAGTGATTTCCTGAACGATTTCATTCAAGTCAACATCGGATCCATGGACCTTTCCGCCAATCACAGAATCACACAAATTGTCGAGGTGGTATCCGATTTCGAAAAGCGCGACAAGATGATCAAGCATCTCGAGAAGATCATGGACGACCGCAATAACAAATGCCTTATCTTCACCGGCACCAAGCGTGTTGCTGATGATATTACTCGTTTCCTTCGCCAGGATGGATGGCCAGCATTGTGTAAGCCTTTCCAATTTCATTCTCAAATACTCGGTCACTAACAATTATTGCAGCGATTCACGGTGACAAACAACAAAACGAACGCGACTGGGTCTTGCAAGAATTCAAAAACGGCAAGAGCCCAATTATGGTTGCTACTGATGTAGCCTCCCGTGGTATTGGTATGATTACTATCGAACCCCTCTGTCCCATTCCCATTTCCTCTTGATCCCTTGTACTCGACTATGTCGAGGCCCTAACCCGTATTGACGTCGTGTGACAATGGCACGGTGCCTTGCTCTTTTCAGCATGTTCGTAAACATGATTAGTCCAGGCTTTCTTCGTCTTCCTACTGGTTCCAAACCAGGGACCTTGGACTCACAGTGCAGTGTAGCAGATTTGCTTTTGGATTCTTCGGCTCTACATCGCGAGATATAGCTAGAGCCGTAGGTAGTCTCTCGTAGACTTGTTCAAGCTGCATACCATCCAAGGTGCTCCAGGACCGCGATTATTGCCAGCCGATGGGCTCACTGAATAGTCTTGATGATGAATATCAAGAGAGTAATGCATCAAGTCTCGCGCGACTGACAAAGGGGCCAAGGTCACGTTGCTCCAACTTGCTCTGTTTGCTAACCTATGTAATCTCAAGACGTTCGCGATATCACTCATGTGTTGAACTATGATTACCCAAACAATTCGGAGGACTATGTTCACCGTATTGGTCGTACCGGTCGTGCCGGTGCTAAGGGAACAGCCATTACGTTCTTCACCACTGACAGTACGTATACCTTTTATGTTTAGTTTACGGGTGCTAATATAATGTATAGATTCAAAGCAGGCACGTGATCTTGTCACAATCCTCAGCGAGGCTAAACAGCAAATTGATCCTCGTCTCCACGAAATGTGCCGCTATGGCGGTGGTGGCGGTGGTGGTCGCGGCTGGGGAGGTGGTCGTGGCCGTGGTTATGGCCATCACCGCGGCGGCGGTGGTGGTGGTGGTGGTGGTGGTTACACTGCTTCCAATTCGGCTCCCCTTGGTAACAACCGGCGATGGTAAATTAACTTGCTGGCGATGTTGATCACTAGGTTTCATCTACGTGAGATCTGCGTCCATCCAGGCACTCTTTTTTACAGTTACAGGTGGCGTTTACCGGGTTTATTATAGATTGCTTTCCATTCACGTACATTATCGAACCGTCTCGGAACGTTAGGTCTGGGATGATCAGTTGAGACTAGATCGTGCAGTTTCTTATGTTTTCATTTTTTATGCCAATCAGCGGCGACTTATCTACCGCGAAACAGCTGTTTCGTTTGGATAGCCAAGAGAGATCGTACTGATATCAAAATAGTATAGCGAGGTTGTAAGTACCTAATACAAGTTGGACGTTCATGTTAACCAAAGCCTTAAAAGTAAAGTACATATGTAGTCTGCATTAGCGTAAGCCGTACATACCATACCTCCCCGTCAACTACTCTAGTCTCAGATCCAGGATCTTAGTCTTGGGACTGGCCGTATTAACCACCCTCTAGCATTCCACGCTAAATCGTGGCTAAACACACCTTAAATACGACAATCCAATAGAGTATGCATCGAGTTAGTCGCTGGCTTGCAGTGACTCCGTCGTTAGCGGGGGGACTAAATCTGGTATCCAGGGTGACCCTTGCTAGGATTTATGTACGAACTACATCCCACTGTAACTTCAGCGCTGTCGATGGAATTTCATATTCAATATTTATTTGGAACATTGATTGAGGTATGTATTTTCTAGGTGAGAATTTGCTAATATACTCAATAGCCTATAATTTATGTAGATTATGCATAGATTAAATAAATCTATCCATGCGGCTGATAAATATATATATGAGATTAGATCAAACTCCAGATATATAGCCTAAAGGGTTAGACGCATTTCAATCTCGATTTCAACGTTGCTAATTGACTAATCGCTTGTTACTACTGAATCACCATTTTAAGCTTAGGGTATCAATCAACACGACTAAAAACATCCAACTCGAGACTAACTTGCGATAATCGATGTTAGCGGATAGGTTAATATGCAGTATCTACGCATGTGAATTAGATGGGGTCGCGAACGTAGTCAATAATTGAGGCAAATTAAATTTCATTGACCGATGTAAAAGTTTTTCAATGTTACATTATTTTATACGCATAAATTTATTATCAGGTTATGTCACTGACGCCTGGGCGATTGATATATTTGACTGGTAATGAAAACTGAGGGCTTGTTGTCGGTCTAATGGGACCACGTCATTGGAATATATATATTTCTACGAATCAGAATGGCACTTGGTTGACGGCGAGAATAGCTCAGGGATTGGGCTTTACCAATAGTATGCTCGAAAATTATACGTGCATGTGTGGTCGTGGGTTATAAATATCATATAGCATCGCATCGCGCAGGAAAAAGCAGATAGAATTGAAATTAATTCATAAACCGCAGATAACTTTAATATATCCCCCCAAAATTAAATTGATATGGATATATATAAAAATAGTGACCATCGATTTGCACACGTATTACATCATTGATATGTGCATGTATATTGTGCTGACATTCACGGCTACCCTTACGCCTTCGCCTCACAGCGATCGACCGTCGTACAACATCCATCTATACACCACGGCTAACTAACTCTATACATGGATTATGGTACGTCGCACACCCGTCCTTAGCATCAGCTACTTGTACGTACTAGTCCTGGTTAAACACGACGGCCTACTGTAGTCTACCCGCCGCGCCGCCACTGACAAGAAACGCCCGCGCATGCTTTAACTCGAGTTTATTGTTTAGACTCTTCAACTAGAGGCACGACCGGGAGGACTAGACTAGTCGTCGGGCTAAAGCATTAAGGAATGGGGATGCGTGAGTTTGTATAGACGACACATTATCTCTGTACCTTTAGAGAGTGAATGTATTCATTACGAAATTGGATGTAAAATTTTTTGGGTCGGTGAGATAATAAATGTGGCGTGATTGAGGCTCGCTTACGAGTATGAGCGAGCGGTCAGACTGCAAGAACCCCTTTTTCAGTGCCAGCTCCCTATTGTCTACTGCGAGAACATCGCTGAATGGCGGGACCTGCCGCGAGGTTGTAACGCATTGTCGAATTAATATAATTAATTTTCCTTCGCTTACTCGGCACGGAGAAGCCTACCATCTGAAAAGTGCATATCCGTATTTGCATAATTCTAAAGCCTACATGCAATATGATCTCAGCTGACTATGTGTAGTGTGCAAGCATAGGCTACCTACTCCACCAACATATAATGGATTTATTAATGCGATAAGAGCCAACAGCACGCAAGCGGATGACTGGCTGATAGGACGATCGAAATAAAAAAAAATCAATAATCTGGGAAAGTTTGAGCCATGGCATGATTCATGATTGATGGCAGATGCGGTTGGGTATTGTTTGGTACATCGGAGCCCGATTGATGGGGCGAGGGATCCATGGACCGCAGGTATGATACGTATTGTTATTCTCTGTACGAGTTGGAACTTGGAAAAGAAGTCCCGATGATAATAACATTTATTCTAATAAGGCCTTGAAAGTCGGCAGAGGTAATATTTGCTACGTAAGTATCGAGAATTCTCATAGAAGAATGACACTCAATCATCGCAAAAGAAAGAGGCGAATGACAGGATAGGCATAGCGAAGCTAGAAGATGCGACGTGAGTGGCCAATACCGCGATGTGGCTAGCGGGGTCCACTATGTATTATGTGTATTATTGTTACCGTACTGCTCGTTCGGTCTACGCTCGTGTTCGTTACAGAACTTCAAGAACTACATAGATAAAGATGGATAGATGATAGAGAACAATATCAATTAGAAATGACGGGGCAATAAAATAGTACAATAATAGACAGTCTCGTAATGATAGCTTGAGAGAACAGCCAGGACGCAGCCAGAGCACACGGGGAGTTAAACCGCGCAATTACCGTCGGCGGGCCCGCGTCGAGCGACTGGCGCGTTCATGCAATCTGCACGAGGCCCAAACAGGCGACCCGTGGGGGTGCTCGGTTCCTCATTTCTCAATCAGACGCGGGAAAGAGAAATGATATGCGAAAATCAGGGCAAGATAGAAATCGGAAAGAACGGCAGCGAAGGAAAAGGAATGCAGATGCTACGCTGAGCTGGCGCGCAATGCACAGCAGGCTTTCACTCTCAGCGATAACATGCCTGGCCCGCCAATCGCCGCCCGCCAAGCCAGGCACATGACCGGCCCACCTATATTATTAATTATATTATTACTCTGCGTACGTTCAGGACAGTACGTACAGAATGCACTATGTAAATATCCAGCACTGTAATACAATCTTCAGTCTACAATCTACAATCTACTATCTACATTATACACGTATACACATACACATACAACATATATACCTAAGTGTTTGTAATCATTTAATCATTTAATTATGTACAAATGTTGTATGTACAGGTATATGTATGCGAGAGCCGCCCCCACCAAGCCATCTTCCTGTTTGGGAGCGGCCGCGGATAAATACCGACCAGACCGCATGGCCCGCATGTCTATGCTGTTCCCGGCCTAGTGCTGACTCCGAGTCGTGCCCCCTTTCACATGGATGATGGAGTAGTCTTCCATACTCCATGAAGGTCCTAGATACGGAATACTTCAACCGAGACCCTAGTCGCACCCTGCCACAATTCTCCTGGATCATGGCGGATGCACGACCACACTGGTAGACTAGAACTCCCGTGCTGCAGCCTGCCATCCCATTTAAAGATGACGACAGAGCTGGCCTGCTGCACACCGCCAATCAGCATGCAATCCTGCGGGCTGTTACTTAATACTATCTCTATTATTATCCTCTATATCCGTTATTGTATCATTTACCCGCTGTACGAGACACGACGACGAGTCAGCGACTCAGGGCATGCAGAGGCCAATAGTAGCCCCGCTCTATCTATTTAGTTGATTGTTGCAATTTCCTCAAATTCAAAAAACCTTCGGTGGCAGTTCGGTAGAATCGGTAAGATATGATGCAAATGTAAATGTTGACGCGTTTCCTCAGAGTTGCATACAAGCCTCATCTTGCCCTGCTCGCCGCCAGCCTCTAATTAGCTGCGATTTACAAGCCGAGTGCTAGAGCGCTGCTAATGTATGTGCGGCTAGCGCGTCTGCCACTCTAGGAGGCTAATCTCTAGCTTCCATAGCCCAAGCTTCTCTGCGGTTGCTCACTGCCGTCAGCGTCAGCTCCTGGCGAAGACGCCGGCGCCATTCTTATTTTTCTTGTTTGTTTCTGTGTCGCTGCTAGCCCGTCTGGGACTAGCCAGCCCCTTTTTGGGCCAACACGCGTTCCTGACTTGGCGTGTTAGATCCATCAAGCCTGTCCATTGTGCTATCATTCATATCATTCATCAAAATAATGTTTGTTCATACTGATGTACAGTGTGCTGCTGGGGACTACGATTGACTGCAAGAGTGATGCCTCGCAAACTCGTATGCAGGCACGGCGGAAGAATAATAAGAATAGGATTATTGAATGATAATTGTATTATTGTAACCTTATCGAATGATAATAACAAACAAACCAGCCCGTACCGGTACCTCTGGCGAGTGCATGTGTTGCCCGCCGTGTTGGTACCTGTACCATTCGCCGGCTCCGGATTGGGCCACGCGTGGTCGCCGGGCGGCCACTGGGGGTCGCTGCCTCGCTGCCTCGATGCCTCAGCGTGCTCCTTCCTTCCCTTCGCTTCGCTTCCACCTGGGGCTGACCTTGCCTTACCCTCGGTTTCTCTTTCTCTCTCTCTCCCTCCACTCCTATCCCTACTCTCCCTCGCCACTCTCGCACTCCCTCACGCTCTCACTGCCTCGCACGCTCGTCGCTCGAGAAAACCCCCATTGTCAGAGCCTCTCCACCTTTTAGTTCGATAATCGCAAATCCTGCGTCGCGCCGCCATCGCTTCCCCGGCCTGCACTACGCCCGCTTCATCACTAGGGCGACACCTAACCCTTCTCAGCAACTCTCTAGCCGTCCTTGGTCCAGCCTTCCCTTGCTACGGTGCGCTACGACGCTGGGATCTTGTCCAGACAGCCCGCTAGCCTGCTTTATCTCGGCACCGTAATTTGCACAGGGGCTTCCGCTCGCTGTTAGTTTCGGGTTGGGCCAAGTGCAAGTCTCGTCTCATCCCGCCAGCCGGGAGCTATCTCCTCCCAAACACACGCTACTCGACTAGCACGCGCTTTTGTTATCAGACCCAGCGAGCCAACCATCCTGGCCATATCGCTGGGTGAGACTGTCTGATCTTGCCGCTAGCAAATTACGCCTGCCAGTGGTTGGTCAAGCCGAACTCATCGCAAATACCATTATTCGATATTATTCGTCGCGGCGGAGAAAAGATACAAAGGAAATTTTCGTTTCTTTTTTATTACAGAAAAAAAACACGAGGGCCAGAAGCCAAGACCGCGCAATTGCCACCCGTGCGTGTCAAGCTCAAGCAGGTCCTCCACCTCAACGGCACAAAAAACGTGCCTGTGTGAATAACGGTGAAAGACATTGTGCAGTCTGCTGTCAGCAAAAATACCTAGTCTCGTATCGATCGGAGTCACCCTCCTAAAACCACCGATTTGACCACTCGAGGAGGGGAAAAACGGGCGGTCTTCGCAATTCATATTTCCTCGAAGTGGGTCGCCGTCTCATTCGCGGACCCAACTCGTCCAAACCCGCTGCGCTTGACGCCGCAAAAAGATACTGCTCCGCTTCCAGCATCATAAGAAATCATAATATCCCGGCCTCTCTTCCAGTAGAAAGCGCCCCTACCTCCCTTCGACCCAACCAAGTCTCGAAAAATTACGGACTCCACGCGAAAACTGGGTCGACCTATCCACCACGAGGAATCAAGTCGCAATTTTCTCCTCCCGCGCGCGCGAACAGTGAACAACTTTTTAGGCGGCCCTCTGCTGAACCCACCTCGCTTTCCCCTTTTCCTCCAAGTGTACCCGTCCGCCATTAAATTGTTTCGCCGCCCCTCGTCCTGGTAGGGTGAGAGCACCGTCAGCATCAGCATATCGTCTCTGCTACTCGTGGGCCTGGGAGAATCCGAAGCCAGGAACCCATCTCGCCATCCACCACCGGTCTCATTCGGCTTTTTTAAACTCTCGCGTCATTCCCACCCGGTCAAGCCCAACTTTTTCTTCCCGCTGGTTCCTCGTGCTAAACGTATTACTACTACGACCGCACTACTACTCTGTACCAAGTGTACTAGAAGTCTTACCCGCCGCAAACTGCAAGGCATTCCGTCGGTTACCCTAAAAAAGTACTAAAACGAATAAGCCTCTCCTGACCCCAGCGCTCATAACAAATCGCCTGTCGTCCGTGCCTTTTTAGACCGTCGACCGCGTCAAAGTTCCGGTGTCTTTCTTTTCCTCATCAGACAAACCGGTCCTTCGCCACCCGCTCATCGTCGTGAGCGCTGCTTTGCCATCGCGTCTGTTCTAGTGTTTCTAGTAACCTTCGCGCGTCCGATTCCTATACCTGCTCTCTGGTACGTCCAGCAGGAGCTGTTCACGGACTCCAATTGAGACCTAAGACCCAAGTAGCTTATTCAGGTCATCCTTCAGAATATAGGTACGCGCGCCGGTTGTTTTCTGCTTGGAAGACTTCCCAAATACAGCTCCATTATATGGACAGGCCTGCATCTGATTACGCGCAGTCAGGTTTGCAACTCTTGATTACACTGTCTTTCTCCCTCGCATTTTTCTGAACCTCCAGCTGCAGACCAGACATCTGCTGCTGCCGCTGCGCCCTACACGTCGCAGCCAGAGGTTCGTCCTACGACTTCCACCCCGCAACCCGATTACAACTCGGCCGCCCATCCCGCCAACTATCCGCCTGAATACCTTGCTCGCCAGCCTCAGTATCATCACCCACCGCCGCATACTCAACCCGGCGGCGCGCCAGCCATGGCTCAAGCAACGAGTTCGTCTACCACCCTGAACGATGGAAAGCATGATGACCATCGCAATCAGTCGAACTTGAAGTCTGACGCGGACCTTCCTATAGATCCCTCAATTGCGGCCTCGAGCCCGACTTACCCTCCGCCGTACTCTCCCTACCAGCCCCAGGGTCACGACATGGCCCAATACCAGGGCCATCCTCCCCCGCAGATGTATGCGCGTCCAGAATGGTCGCATGGATACCCGCATCAGCAACACGGGTTGCCGGGTCCATATAATTCCCCTGCCCCAACGGTTGGTTCTGCCTCCCCTGCTGCGACCGCAGGGCCGCGCCCTGGTCAGGTACGTTCGTTCGGTTTTGGCGCACGATTGTAGATGGAGAAAAAATACATTTGATCGTGCTTGTCATTTCCTTGGGCGGCCTCTGCTTGGAAGAATTCTAGATGTTGTCTTCGCCATGTGGGAGGCTTGCAACATTGCCCAGCCCATCATGTCCCAAGCTGTAGCTGACTTTTCTTCTCTATTTAGGTTTACTCATTCGTTCCTATTCCCGGTGCCCAGCAACACAAGCGCCCACGTCGTCGTTATGAGGAAATTGAGCGTATGTACAAATGTGGTTGGAATGGTTGTGAGAAAGCCTATGGAACATTGAATCATTTGAATGCCCATGTTACTATGCAGTCGCATGGCGCCAAACGCACCCCAGAAGGTAAGCCCACTTTTCATTCATTTTCTACTTCAGACATATCATTTTTATTATCCTTCACCTCTTGCCTTGAGCGTGGTAGTTCTTGTGACCTTAAAAGAGGCTAGTGTGGCGCCTGCATATTTAGCTGCGTTACACAACACCCGATACTAGGGCACGCGGCTATCGCAGTAGCGTTGGCACCGGCGGTAAAGTTAATATTAGCTCTGCACAACACTCGAGGCCTGCGATATATTCTACATATTTTTGATATTTCATGTTTCATTTGTTGCATACTGAAATATGGCTTGATCAAAGCCTTGCTGACTAATCATTTTTCTGGATAACAGAATTCAAGGAGATCCGCAAGGAATGGAAAGCCCGTAAGAAGGAGGAAGAGCAACAGCGCAAGGCCGCCGAGGAACGTGAGCGCCAGGTTGCTGCCCAGGCCCAGCAGGGTCAAGTTGAGGGTGGTGCCCCAGCCGACCCTTCACAGGCTGGTCAACCCCCTGCCTATGCCGGAGGTGGACGACCCCAGCTGCCCCCAATTGGATATCAGCCTGCCGAGAGCCAAGTTCCTGGTCAGTACGCTGGTGGTGGTGCCGGTGGAATGGTCTACCCCCAGGGTAACGGCCAAATGTACACCAACTACCCGCACTCGCCTTACGCCCAAAACCAACAGGTGTACCAGCAACGTAAGTAGCTGTCGCCACTTAGTCTTCTCTGCTTCGCCTTGGACCCAAGAGCATCGCATGGATACGGATATTGCAATATCGTCTCGCATTGTGGTGCTGACGGCTAATTCTCTAGCCCCAGACAACCAATCTGGAAACTACCAATAGACGTTTCGGTACCACCCCAGTTCACGATATTATAATACCATTCGTGCATTTATTCGCGCTCCGACATTTCCGACATTAATTTGAAAATGTTTCGTTTATGATACCACTCCTGGCCACAAGAGGTGATGATCCGGTGTTTTTGTGGGAGGAAAGGAAGATAGAACTGGCCGGCTTTAGTCTGTCTTCTCCCCTTGTCGACCACTGCGTATGGATTTGGAAGGTTGCGTGGACGTCCCAAAATTCCAAGGGAAAAATAAATAACCCTCTTCAATCGCACCGGATATTGGCGATGTTTTCTTTTCTCAGACAAGCGTGGCGGAATTTTGCATCATCATCATCAATTGAGTTGTTATAGGACTGGATTCGTCGGCTTGTAAATGCTGCTCCATTCTGGTCCTTTTTATACTTTTTCATGTTTATCTACCGTGGTTGTTCATTTAGTCTGGTTTAAATGTGTCATCTCGTTATTCCCTATTACCTGTCGTGCGAATCGCCGGGTTTATTGCATGCTTTGTTACTCGGATTTGGTCTAGTTTTCCCTTGTTTTTGCTCTCTTGCCTCTCTCCTCTTATTGTCACTGAATAATATCGCGCCCACCTGCTTTCATAGCGATGTAAGATGAAGTATACGTGGACACATGGAATAGCTATGCTTATCTTGCTAATGAGATTACTCATTATCATCAATATCAAGAATATTCATCGTTCAAAATAATGCAGTGTAAGACGAGTCCGATGCTTATATTTATCCTTTTTTTGTAGTATGGGCATTTTAAGTTGACCGTGTAGCCCTAAATCCAAAGTCATCTATACTATATGATTTCCAATCGGTAATGTGGTGGTGTGTATAAGCAGTATTATAGATACCGTCACACACCCAAACGCATTAAGATTAACTAGCCATGCATGCGGTATGACCATGGCAGTTAAACTAAGAAACATGACTATTATCTGATCTAACCGACTAATCGAGTGAACTTGAGCAAAGGGACCTAACAAAAGTTAAAGAACACGACTTAGCACGGACCTGGACGCGGAGGCTAGCCGGCGCGCCAGCTAATCCCGCAAGGTTAGCTCCTGATTTTTTTTCTGGCAACCGCATGGAAGAGAACCATCCATCTTCCTTCTCCTTTTAAATGATTCATTGTTTACATACCTTTTCTTTCTGTGGATGATCTGTTTCGACTTTTGAGTTTATTAGAGATATCTTGTTTAATACAGTCAGATATTGAATCCTTTACGTCGCCACCGCATTGCCTATCTATCCTTGAGACGACACACATGGGGAATAGCATCACCAGCACAAACTGATTAACATTCACATTCGAGTCTCTGCGATGCTGAGCTATAGCGTCCGAAGGGCGGCGACGGGTGCTCGCTTTGGATTACATCGTGGCAGCGAACTCATCCTGCGCAGAAACAATCTTGCGGTATCACACACGACAGTCCAACAACTACGAAAGGCGTCGTCAACATCGCCATCCATCTCCGAATACTCATACCCCGATACTCGATCATCTCACCCTTTTGAAAAATGGCCTCGAAGCCAAACCGGTCTGCGAGATCACGATAACGACGTCGATTATTATAACGATGACGTCGATGGCTATACCCGCCACAGATCAAAACCTCGACATTCGTCCGGCATTTCTAACCGCGGCCTCCGTCTCTCAGAGAATCTAGACTATGTGCGCAGAAAGACGAAAAAGCAGCGCCGAGATATCGAAGGTAGCCGCGAGGAAGTGGACATGTTGATGGAGCTTGCGAAAAGCAGGAATCTGCCCGAGTCCATCAGCTCGACGGTCGTTAATAAGGAGTTGCGGTGGCTCAAGGATCCCAAGGACTTGGCGGTTCGCACGGCGAGGTTGCTGGCCGCCGGGCAGGTTCAGCTTGCAGTGGCCTTAGTGCGCAAAGCAGAGATGGAGAAGATGGAGTGTTCGGTTGCGTGGAACAGGTTGTTGGATTATTGTTTTAAGCGAGGGGCGCCGCTGGCGGCTTTTAAGTTTTATAACGATGTAAGTGTATAAGTATTATCTTTGGGGTATTTATATCTTGTTTTTATTGACGATGGGGTGTTTAGATGAAGAAAAGAGGCCGACGACCGACTGACCGTACGTATACGATTATGCTTAAAGGGCTATCCTTACGGTCGCGACAGATTGGCGTGAAACCTGTTGAGACTGCCTATAAAATTTACAAGCAAGTGCTTGATCCGCGATCAGGCGTGCAAGCTTCGCACTTCCATCATCACCCAATGTTAGAAGTCTGTGGTAACTATCATGATATGGATGCATTATGGAACGTGGTTGGAGAGCTACCTGAGCATGGTCCAAGTAAACCAAACGCCCAAACCTACACCATCATCCTATTGGCTCTCCGAAACAATTTCGACCACGAGACGGCTTCTCTTTCTGTAGATGATGTGAAAACGAAGATGGAAAAACGAGAAAATATGATCCTTGACGCGAAGAGAATATGGGCTGACGTTAAAAATCGGTGGGAGGCAGGTCAGCTGGAGATTGATACTGAGTTGGCTGGTACCATGGCTTTTATTTTAACAGATCCCCTCGACGAGCTCAATTCGTTCCATGTCCTCAGTCTGTTCAATCAGACAGCTGGCATTCCAGTCTTTGCTGACAAGCCTTCGGGTCCGTCGATGGTTGGTTCGAGGCAAGGGATTTGGGAAGATGAAGTGCGTCGTAGTAGATATCAGGCGAAGAAATCCAAGCAGATCTCGAATGCGGACTATGGTGGAGAATTGACCTCGGAACAAGACATCGACTCACGTTCAGAAGCCGAGTTGGATGCTGAGCAAGCATCACTCGAGCATGACGACGACAGTGCCGAGGAGAAAGTTTACATGGAGACGTTTGAAGATATTTTCGACCCCGTGAAACCTCAAAAGAACGACGACACGGAGTTGACTCTACTCAAGCCAGATAACATGATCTTGAATAGAATTTTGAAAACTTGTCGAATCCTGACAAAAGGTACTGCCGCTGGCAAAGAGTATTGGAAATATTTTACACTCGACGAAAAGGGCCATAAACTCGAGCCTGACGAAGCCAACTTCCATGAATACCTGCGCGTTCTCCGTGTTTCTCGATCTAGCCAAGGCGCTGTCGACTTGATCCGCAATCAGATGCTTTCAACAGGGTTTCTTGAAGGCAAGACATTCCATATCGCCATGAGCTGTTGCCTCCGGGATCGGCAGAATCCCAACGTCCTTCTCAACGCTAAAGAAATGCTTGCCATCATGGACCGCAACCTCCCCCTCCCAGACCCCCGACCACTAACCAGCTTCCTCGAACTTTCCAATGCACTTCTCTCGAACCCACAATGGCTCCTCCGCCTCCGCGGCCTTGAAGATATCGACCAATCCGCCACCAACCTTACCATGATGGGCCGCAATCTGCGCTGGTCGCTGCAGAAATCCGTCGTAGCCAGTCTCGAACCGCACATCAACCGTCTCTACGACGCCATGGAGCATGCTGAGACTTTACCAGACGGAGAGCGCCACGCGTCTCTAAGCCCTGCCATCAAGCGCCCCGGCACCGTGAACGGATTCCTCTGCGTGAATCTTATGATGCAAATGCGGCAATCTCTTGATTCGCTACTAGGTGCTCAGTACGAGAAAATCCTGACGGATTCGGAACGGAAATGGATTCATGCACTGGCTGTGAAATTGAGGAAGTATTCGAAACCAGACGTGGTCAAACAATTTGAGAAGTCGACCTTGAAACCCCTGGAGAGTCACTGGGAGGCTATTCGCGAGACCGCGGGACGATAGTTCGCACTGCGCTGCCAATGTTTGGATTTTTTTGTTATTGATTGACGACAATCGCTGTATATTATTACCATATTACCTGCATTTTCTGGCGCATGGGACAGGATGGCAATTGGACGATTTGTGCAATGCTAGAAACATTGTGGATAATGCATATTAATTGTACATAGCTAACTCCTCATCATAATATACATTCATGAAACAAGAAAATATGTATATAAATATTGAAACGTGGAGCTGACAAAACCAAGCAGCCCACTGTGTACGTCGTCATGGCCCGTTATTAGTGGCTGAGACAAGCGCGCGGGAGCGGAATTGTAGATGCCACTCTAGCTTCTCCTCTTACCTTCACAACCAACCATCCGACCAATTCGGTTGCCTAGAGAGCTTAACACACAAGAGACGCCACGTTCCTGCAGCTTCTTAATCGGTACACTCGAATAGACTCAGATACGCCAACTGTCTGATTTCCATTTTAAGCGGATAGAATCCACGCAGCTGCCTGCCTGCGGAGGCTAGAGAAAGAAAGAACGACAACATGGCGTCCACGGCACAACATCATATTCTCCATGACGATGACGATGATCTCCTTGATGACGATCTTATTGATGACGATGGTAAGCTCATATACTATTTAACCGTCTAATTTGCCCTGCTAATACCTGCGCCTCTAGCTGCCATCGAGGCCGACGACCCATTGAACACCTCCGACACAGCACCTCTCCGGGGCAACATCCAAACCGACGCCGGCTCCTCGTCGCGCGGAGGAGGAAGTGGCGGTGCTAGCGTAACAGGCCGACTATCCTCAAACTACCTCACCTCGTCAATCCCCGGTGAAGACCGACGTGCGCCCCAAAACACCATTGACGAGAGCGTTTGGGACACGCTTTCGCGCGACCTGTTGGCGGTGTGGGAAAAGATGAGGCAGGTTTTATGGCCTAAATACTTGCTAGGCGGCTTTCTGCAGCGTGGTGGCGGGATTGGCGCTGCTGAGAGAGGGGAAGCTACGGGCTTTGGAAATGGCTTGCGCGGTATCGTGGGTCGCTGGCCCGACGCTGATGTCGTGTTGCAGGGTGGCATGAGTGAGGGTCTTCGGGATTGGGATCTATGGTGGGTTTTCAGCCTTCTAATTTAAGAATTTGTGAAGATTTTGATAACTGATATGACCGATTGTAGGGGTCCTTTGATTTTTTGCTTGTTGCTGAGCATGTTCCTCTCGATGCGCGCGCATGAAGATCAGTCATCGCTGGTATTCTCGGGTGTCTTTTCTTTGGTTTGGATCGGCGAGGCTATCGTGACATTACAGATTAAGCTTCTAGGTGGAAATATGTATGTTTGGACTTGCTCAACCAACAGAAAGGATAAGGCGTGAAGCTAACATATTTTCTTACAGCTCGTTCTTCCAATCAGTCTGCATCATTGGTTATACCCTGTTCCCACTCGTCATCGCATCAATTCTCAGCGCCTTCGGTCTGCCGACGATCGTGCGCATTCCAGTCTATCTGGTCTTGATCGCCTGGTCGCTTGCCGCCGGAACCAGTATTCTCGGCGGCTCAGGAGTTGTGCGCAACCGTGTGGGTATTGCGGTATACCCATTGTTTGTCTTTTATATTGCAATTGGCTGTCTCTGCTTTATTAGTTAGAGGGGAGCTCGCTCATTGCTTGCACTGTCTGTGCCTTGTGTCTGATATGACTTTCAGCTTTTCCTCTCTTTTCCTTGAGAGGTTGTTTGTGGACTGCTTGTTCACAGGAAATTGATTTTATATACCTTTGTGTACAATCACGTTGATCTAGATGTTATTGATAACATTGAATTTGATATTACATATGCACTATATCAATCAATATATGTCCACTGGATCGAGTAGTGCAGCAATTCGGCATATATGTCTGCCCCAGGCATTCGGTCACGTGTGAAGCAAGGCTCTTTATATGTTACATGTCTACCGTTCAACCGCCCTAGTCAATCAAATCAAATTTATGGAAGGCACCTACATGCACTTTTATCTCCAAATCTACCCCGTTTATCCACACTCTTTCCGATGACTAGTCATGGGAAAGTAGTGATGGGAGAGTGTTCATTTCCATCAAAGTTATAGATGCTAGGTTGATTATAGACAAGCGCCAACCCTGTCCTCCATGATAACTGTGCCGTCTGATGCAGAATGATATCGCTGCCTTACTCCTGTACCTAGAAATGCAGCACGATCCTGGATCCATTCCTTCATCGCCTCATCCTCAGCGTCTGGAAGACTAAGTATCACTGCTTTCTTCCCGTTGGCATTCCTCTCAGATGTACTAACTCGGTCTAAATCAGACTCACGATACATTATCACGGAAGCCGTCACCATGCCCATTAATGGGTAATTTTCTAATGGATAAGGGTTCTTTAGCAGGTCTCGGGGGACCCTGGCAGGGCTTCCCAGAACAGATTCGAGTAAACTCGCTAGCTCTCCAGAAATGCATGCTTCGTGGAGCTTCATCTCATCCTCTCCCTGTTAAAAGTACTTCTGGTGCAGTTCTCGAAGCTGCATTTTTTGGCGAGCATCCGGGCAATTCCAGAACCGGTAGTCGACCTGGAGAGCTCGAAAGGGAGCAATCCAACTTTCATGCGTGTGAATCGCTTAAGTTCCCAGAGGCTTTGATGCTGTACGTTGACAATGGACATGACGTCCTTGAAATTGCGCATGTGTAAGATTGCATCCGCAGGCCCATATTTGCTGAACAGCCCAGTGATGCTAGAATCCGCCATGGCTTTCCAGAACTCGTCGAATGAACATCGCTCGACCAGCGATCCATATGCAGAAGCAAGTTGCTGTTCTGAATTGTGATCCGCGGCTATGCAAAAGTCCAATGCGATCCAGTTGTCTTCATCCACGTTTGGCTTAATTCCGTTGCGAATCTGAACTTAGAAGAGCAACACCTGTTTCTTTTCTGGGGGCGGAAGTTCGGTTATCGGTACGTTTCTGTCGTCCGGGTCGAGTAACAGTTCTTCTCGAGCCGCATCAAAGAGAGTGATAAGCCCTGGTCCTTCGCTACTAGCCCCGAACCCTTCCTCGTTCTTTAACCATTGCATGTCCCTTAGCATGGCCGGATCTCGCGTTTGAAGGCATCGAGTCGTGAGCATCTCTTTAAGTTTATTTTTCTTCACCGCACTGCGTAATTCTTCCTCTTCGGTGTCCCAATTGATAATGAGCCCACTGTACTGGTTGAATAGTTTCCATCGGTCATTCCCCGGGACAAAGTGCATGAACCCATATTCCTTGATCACATCGTCAACCTCGTTCGTCTTACAAGAGAGCACCAAGCAATCCGTCGCATCTATTGGTCTCCCTAGACGGCAGGAAAACTTGTGTCGATACCAGTCGGAACGGTTACAGTCAAGGTTGCAATGAGCGGCATTCCCACACTTTTTACAAATATGACTGAGCTCACAGGTATCGTTACAGAAAGTGCAGTGTGGTGGAATAGTGGTATTGTCTTTCTTGACTTGTGTGGCTTCGCGCTCCAATGTAATATCCGAGTTGATGAGGTTTTCTTCGTTGTTAGGGAAAGTCTTCACTAGCAAAGCCTGTATCACCAAGAAACCTGATAACATACTCGACTCCTCTATCACTCCTGTGAGACATGGAAAGCCACTCTGTCTCCATCACTAGAAATCTAGGATCTTCAACGACATCATTAAAAATAGTTGTCTGTCTCATCTAGCGAGGCGGAACCGGTGCCACAATCACTGGTTCCTTCTCTGCGCCCCTGTGAGACACGTCATGGTTTGTCCCTTCATCTACTAGAATATCTTTAGACGCTGAACAGCTCTGCCTAGTATTTCGATTGATTCAAGATTGACCTATACTTTATTTGGAATTGTCTATTGAGAATAACACTTACCGTGGTTACCTCGAGTTTCGAATTGGCCCATCTCTTGAAGCATGTGCCCGCAAAGAAGGGCAAGTTCTCTTGCTGACTCCCAAATACGGAAAATACGGGGAGATATTTGAATTGGCGACTTCGAAGCCAAGAAGATAGGTCATTAATCTCATCTCCGCATGGACATTCTTGCGCTTTTGATTTTTGTTGCTGATTCTCACTTCCATTCTTCGTGTGACAGGAAAGTCTTCCTTAGGTAACGGCCATGCCTTGACTTTCCTTGATGCAAGACTGTTTAACAAAATGACCTTGATATTGCCAAAACCAAGGCATTGCTGTGCGACATGACAAAAAGCTTCTGCACCTTGTATTGGCCTTAGGATATGTGCCAGTTGTTCTACGATACGGAAAAGCTCCTTGCTTGTAAGCTTAGCTTTTAGTCCCGAGTAAAAGTCTGTTGAGTAAGACAATTTATCGACAAGATTCACAAACTGGTGAACACTCCGCCGGCCAGAAATGACATCCCCGCACTTGTCAAATTTGAAGAATTCCATGTCTGTTTTCCCCTTCTCGACACAAGCAAGTTCTTGCGCGTGATATTTAATTCTTTGGCTGTAATATTCGATTAGGGCGCTTTGTAGCGCGGGAAGTGGGTGAGACTCAAAAATGTCTTGATGTGGTGACAGGTTAATATCCTTCGAGAGATGTGACGGGCTTGAAATTAAGAAAGAGGCACAGACCATTGGAGGAGATTCTCTCGAGTAATTCACCTAAGTATTCAAGCATTTTAATATCCTTATCCAGCCACGTTTTCTTGTCTGAAGGCGAGTTTCTAGCACCTACAATAGTAACTTCTTCCTCATTGTAGATCAAGCCTGTGCTCGTGATCAAATAAGGGTCTTTTCGGTAGCAAAGTAGCTCTGCGAGCCGGTCGAGAAAGTCCTTTTTGATATCGGCGTCGTCGCCATCTAGAGACAATGAAGTAAGAAGATTAGTACATTTTTCATCGATTGACTCGCTCCAGTCTTCTTCGATATTCTCGATAGAAGAAGAAAGTGGCACTCTCTGCTGCTGTTTAACATCACACTAGGCTGCCAGGGTAGGTATTTCGGACTCCAGGTCAGGAGAGAAGCACCATTCTTGGGTGTTACTAGATTTTTGTGACTCTAGAAGTGCAGGAATAACATTGATGCGGGCCATGATGACTGAAAGTAGGATATTTTAAAATTAGAGAAGAGTTTGAAGTTGTCTTTTCCCGTCTGAAAATACGTTTTCAAGAGTAATAATTGGCTAACACCAGGTTGTGATGGATTGGGCACGCATGTTAATTGATAAGAGCCGCTCAAGCCGTTCCTGGTCGAGACACCTATGAGGTGCGGGGATGACGCCTTGAAATGCATGCTGTGTAACAAGGGTTGGAAGATAGCGGACTGCGGACTCTTAGGATGGTGGCTATGTTTAATATCTCCTATAAGACGCTCTACTGATTATTAAAAACTAACTTAGCATATCATTATTTGATGATGAAAATGTTTTTAAATTCAATATTGAGTACTACATCAATATGTGTAAATTCAGTATTAATATATATCTACATATAGATCGAGTTTTTATCTTTATATTTTTCACTTTGAAAGGGCGCCTTCAAACAGCGAAGATGATTAATAAATTATAAAAACATATTCAATTTTGATTTTCTTGTTTTTTGTAGCTTGTTAAAACAGAGAAAGTAATTTTTTTCATTAGGGCTGAAATTTTTTTTTAAACATAGATAACAATTGATGAGGGCGTATATTAATAATTGTTGAATTCTTGATTGCAAAAAGATTAAGTCGAGAGGGTTGTAGTCAATTAAGTCATGGATTCGTAATTTCTTCGAAGTAACTAGTCTAGATATCTAAATTTATTCTACAGTATACCTGGGAATAACATTCAAGCAGATTAAAGGTGCGCGTTAGTGCTGGCTTTAGAGACCATTAGTTGACCAATTCGAGGGTCAACCTTGCTAAACATCGCCGTAACAGCTTCCCTTAACTGAACAGGCACATCCTCCAAGGTTTGCGAGACATTTGCAACCCACTGCCGTTTTTCAGCCTCATCAAAAACCTTATTCCACAATTCTCGTGGCTGAATATAGTCCTCATCATCAACCAAAATCTCATTCTGGCCGAGGCTAGCGTTGCGTTCGATGCGTTCAGTGTGTCGTACGTCTGAAATAATCTGACTGGGCGAACCGGGGCTTAAAGTACTGCGCACGTAATTCGGATCACCGCCATAATTTCGTGTCATTGTTGCCATTCCATCGCGCTCAAAGGGTGCGTAAACAGGGCAGATTGCGCGATTTGAAGGAAGTTGCGTGTAGTTCACCCCCAAGCGGTATCGTTGAGCGTCAGGGTAAGCAAACATGCGGGCTTGCAGCACTGTATAGCAAAAAAGAAGTTAAACATCTTGCCAGGCTGAAAAGGTAATTCTAACATGTACTTACTAGGATCAGGTGTCATTGCAATACCAGGAACCATGTTGGAGGGTGAGAATGCTGCTTGTTCGATCTCGGCAAAATAGTTCGCAGGCTAGATGTTTTGTCAACACTTTCTCCCTGCATTTTCACGGAAATGGAATCTCACATTTTTGTTTAAACTCATTTTACCAACCTCAATCAAGGGAAAGTCCTTGTGGGGCCACACTTTGGTGATATCAAAAAGAGCACGGCCGTAGGTTTCGGCCTGCTCAGGCTCCATCACCTGCACGTACAATTTCCAGACTGGAAATTGGCCACGCGAAATGGCGTCCCACAGATCTTGGTTATGAAAATCGGCATTAGCACCGGCCAGGCGAGTGGCCTCTTGTCCGGAGAAGTGGGTAATGCTCTGAGTTGGACGAAAGTGAAATTTGCAGTACCGGAATCTGCCATCGGCTGCAACCAGCTTAAAAGTATGAACGCCAAAACCTGTCACTCGACGAATCGAATCAGGAATGCCTCGGGAGCCAAATAGATGCATTAAAGCGTGAACACTCTCCGGTTGGTTTACATGGAAGTCCCAGAACTGAAACTTAGCCGTATCCAACAAAATGTACTAAATGACACTCACCATAGTCCAATCTGGCCGGTTTGTAGCAGGATGCTTTTTATGGCTTCTGTTCAAGGATGGAAATCTGACCGGATCACGCACGAAGAAAACTGGCTTCGTAAAATTAGAAGAATAGGCGTAACAAAGGACCTAGGGAAACCTTACAATGTGGTTTCCTACAATATCGTGATTGCCTTCCTCAGTGTAAAACTTGACAGAAAAGCCTCGCACATCTCGGACTGTGTCTGCACTGCCCTTCTCCCCACCAGTGGTACTTAGGCGGAAGAGTACTGGGGTTTTCTTGCCAACACCGTTTAGGAACTTAGCTGATGTGAGCGAAGAAATATCGTTGGTGACCTCAAACTCGCCCCAAGCACCCGCAGCTTTAGCATGGACCACCCTGTCAGACGCCAGAAAATTAGCATTCTTAATGTGTACTGTCGACTGCTTCCATACCTTTCAGGAATACGCTCGCGGTTGAAGTGCGCAAGAGTCTCGATGAGAAGGGTATCACCTAGTGTTGTGATGCCTCCGCTGCCATAAACAGGCAGTGTGGTACTGACAGATGGGTCTGAAACTGGTTGGCCTTTTTGCAGGAGTTAGAGAGAGAAGATTGGTGATGATGAAACCTGGAACACTGCACCTTCTGCCAATGTAAAAGGACGTTTCGACATGGCTATTTCCGCTTCTTGTTTTCTTCTAATGTGTTCCAAATGGATGCGTTGTGAATACTCTACGGAATTGTCTGGGGGAAGTTGGCCTTTATGGGTTCATATCTATACGCCGAGAAACAAAATTGTCCTCCGAAGAAAGGCCGATTTACTCTTTCCAAATTAGGGACTAAATACCTAAATAGGGAGTAGCGCGGAAAGCCTAAAGGTAAATCGTTGGTCCGGGAGTCCTCCAGGCGCGTGCCGACTCTTCACCGAGTCTTTGCCGGGCCTAGACGCATTTTAAGTGGCCACAGCCTCTGACGTAGTAAACGTTATGAGTAAGCGCAGTGTATGGAGCTATAATAAATTCCCCTCATGAGGGGAAAAAACAGTCAGATTTTCAGCTTATTACTGAGCATGTGAGTCCAAAGCCCTAATTACCCCTCATGAGCGATTAAAAACGGTCTATTTTTGACAATTTTGACATATGGTGCATCTGTATACAGTAATCACCTTTCTGTATTCAGTAAAACTACCAATTTCAGCACTTCATCTCTGCGTGATGTCATTCGGAATCCGGCAACAGGCCTGAATTATCTCGACAAAATCATGCAGCCAGTACCAAGATGCAACCTTATAAAGCCAGCATTTCATCTCATTTGTTTCCTGTTCGATAAGAATATCAAGCCTTCAGCTTAAACAAGCAACCTCAATTTTACTCGATATCCACATTATCACGAACAAAATCAAATTCCAACCATGGCAGCTGTTTCGAACGGTTCTGAGTACGACTTCATCATCGTGGGTGGTGGCACTGCAGGTAATGCAGTTGCTGGCCGCCTGGCTGAAAACCCTGACATCCGCATTCTAATTGTCGAAGCTGGAATTCCGAACCCAGATCAAATTGATCAAATAACCACCCCATCAAAGGCATTTAGCCTTCGTGGCAGCAAGTATGACTGGGCCTATAAAACGACGATGATCAAGCGCGACGACTATGAGCGAATCGAAAAGCCAAATACCCGTGGAAAAGCCCTTGGTGGAAGCTCATGTGCCAATTACTTCACCTGGATCCCAGGCTCCAAGCCCACTTTTGATGACTGGGAGGAGTTCGGTGGTCGAGATTGGAATTGGGACAACTGTGTGGATTACCTACGCAAATGCGCCACTTATCATGATGACGAAAAGCTTTATCCAACTGAATTGAGCAAGATTGGTACAGGAGGGCCTGTGCAGATCGCTCATGCTGACCTGGTGCCGGAGATGCAGCCGTTCCGTGATGCACTCACTCAAGCATGGGTTTCCAAGGGTCAACCTCTGACAGAAGACATCTACTCCGGTGAAATGAAAGGACTTACGCACTGTGTGGATACGATCTACCAGGGCGAGCGCCAGGGTAGTTTCCTGTATCTGAAGAACAAGCCAAACGTGACAATACTTTATGGGGTTCAATCAAAGCGTTTGATTATTGATCCCGCAACAAAAGTCTGCTCTGGTGTTACTGTTGTCAGCGAAGCCTTTAACACTGAGATCAGCGTCTATGCTAGTCGTGAGGTGATTTTGTCACAGGGCGTATTTGAGACTCCCAAGCTTCTTATGTTGAGCGGTGTTGGCCCGGCGGCTGAACTGGCTAAAAACGGGATTGACACCATTGTGGAATCCCCCCATGTCGGTCAACATCTGCTAGATCACCCAATCGTACCTTTTGTGCTCCAGATCAAGGATGGACTTGGTTTAGATGATCACATCCTTCGCTCCGGTTCTCTCAACGAAGCAGCACTAGCCCAGTACAAGCGTGACAAAACAGGCCCTATCAGCTCCGGATTGTTAGAACTTGTCGGATTCCCCCGTATTGATGAACGCCTGGAGAAGTACCCAGAATATCGGGAGGCCAAGGCTGCAAATGGAGGTCTGGATCCATTTGGACCAGCGGGACAACCTCACTTTGAGCTAGACTTTGTTGGCATGTTTAGTACCGCGTTCCAGTGGCACTACCCAGTGCCCGAGAAAGGCAGCTATATGACTGTTATTGTCGATCTGCTGCGACCCCTGTCTGAAGGCGAAGTTAAATTGAATAGCTCAAGCCCACTGGTGCAACCAAACATCAATCTCAACTTCTTTGGTAATGACCTAGATATTTTGGCAATGAGTGAAGGTGTACGCTGGACATATGATGTTCTTACCAACGGTGCCGGATTCAAGGACATTGTCGTCGCGGAGTATCCTTGGAAAATGCCTCTCCAGTCCGATAAAGAGATGAAAGCCGCTGTTTTGGATCGAAGCCAGACTGGATTCCGTAAGATAGCCCCCCCTAAAAAGAGAGACTAATAAAAAAGCTGATTACTCTATAGACCCTTGTGGTACGGCACGTCTCTCGAAGAGCATCCATCAAGGTGTCGTTGACTCAAAACTTCGAGTCCACGGCGTGCGCAATCTCCGGATTGCTGACGCTTCTATCATCCCTGTCATCCCTGACTGTCGTATCCAGAATTCAGTGTACATGATTGGCGAGAAAGTGAGTAGAAATTCTCTCAACTTCTGTAACAAGACTAACGTATACTACCTTAGGCCGCTGATATTATCAAATCCGAACACAAGGATCTTTATCAGGCGAAGAATATTCCTTACTTTGTCTCGAGCAGACTATAAGGTTGCCTGTAGTTTCAAGAAGGAGAATAAATTGCCATGTATCCAACAGTGATCACTCACTTTGGCGGAATAGAATTAGGAAGCCATTATCACTTTTTATTTGGCTTTTTGCTTTTAGTTTACAGCATTATATCATCGAAAATATATATTGAAGCTTGTCCATTAATTTCTCCCTCTCACTGAATTCAATAAACTATTAATTAGCAGCTCTTGGCTTATGCAGGCCCGTAAGTAGACCTATAGTCCCCAACCACCGGCCAGAACTCTGCGATCAGCGGCGCGCTGAACTTGGCTTTGAAATTATTTATCTGATAAATTAACTGTGGAGTCTATGTCTTCTTTACATGCTTTGATTTTATTAATTATTCTCTAGTTAGGTCGATTTCGTCTACAGTCATTTGAGTATATGACAAGATTTTAATAGTAATTATAATATTATTCGTTCTAAAACTAAACAATTGAATCATTTAAACCATAAGATCTAGTTATTCCACCCATTATTTCAATATGTGTGGATAACAATAAATTTAACCAAAACTCCAGACGCCCGAATGAAGAAATCTGTAATGGTATCATCGATGTCGTGTGAGATATCAATATTAATATTGATACATGAGAAAGTGAGGTCTGCCGTAATAAAGCTTTTGTTCGCGGTCACAAAATGGCCGCAATATGACAATGTGATTTTGGTATTGTGGTGATATTATTCGATTCATTGATGATGTTGACGGTGTCTACCCCTTCAACGAAAACACAGTGCTGGCAGCCAGGTAAAAATCTTTCCGCTCCTTGATATCAGCAGCCTGAAGTGCACGCTTCTTCTTCAGGTCCTCCTTAGCCGCCAGTATAGGCTTCTTCTCTGACATGACAGAGGCTTCCGATGACGTGCAAGTGCTGTTGGACCGCAAGGTGGTCTTTGAGTCGCGGCGGGTGATACGAGGGGCGTCGAGACCGAACATTTTCAGCTTCTGGATGAAGGCTGATAGTTTAGATAGTAGAGACGTAATTGTGGCAAGGAAGCCTTGAGGCTGAGTATGCTTGAGGATTGACGTTTGGGTGATGTGTTGTTGATTGATGTCTTGCTGACTGGAACTAAGGAGGAATGAATTGAGAGGACGTCCTCGTCTTATATACCTTTCTTCCCCTACACATGTTGATAAATACGAGTCTGGGAGTCTGGCCCACGGTCCAGATGAGCAAGTCCGACCTCTCTTCCCGTATAGAAGAGAAGAGGCGTAGTTACTCCGAACTTTGTTTGTATGTATAATTGTAAGCAATATCGTATGAAGTGGGACTAGGTCCGGAATAGATTTTCGGTCGATTGTCCACTGTCTGTCTAGTGTATCCCGCTTATTGACTCATACTGTGTCGGATTTTTGACAGCGTTGAACTAGGCTCGGAGATCTTATTTCCGATCGGAGCACCCATGCCGTACGTTTCGGTCTATAGAGAACAACATGTCTTTAGAATATACTAGGAATATCTTTAAAAAGAAGTGATTAGTACTAATGAAGTGAATCCTAGTCGGTAATTCACTTATTTTCTAATTGTCTTCTCATAACATCATTGAAAAGATTAGCGTCGGAATAGTATCTGATGACCGCAAAGGTACTCATCAAGTCCGACCCAATCATTGCTATGAGGGCTCTCCTTTCTGCCTAAATCTCCATAAAAGCCATGGAATTCATGTGTCAGTAGCGAATTAGTTTGCTAGTTATTCTAATTAATAAAGCTTGCGTCGGAATAGCAGAATAGCGTATACATGAACTCCGAGCCAATCACGGCTATTACTGCTTTTTATTCTGGGTATGGTGACCTGCAGTTATAAGAGTCATCAGGACAGATAATTAGGCACCAACGCCAGCCATTGGATCATTCATGTTGATTTCACCACTGATCTGTAAGCATGCCAAGCCTATTTCAAGAATTTGCGCCCTAGGACATATGACTCAAACGCTGCTTCGGGGAATACGAGCGAATACGAACTTGATTATTAAGAAGCTTATTCGAATAACTGACCAGTTAACTAGTTGCTACGATATATGAATTTGTAAGCCTCCAGTTAATTAATTAACGTAAAGTATTTTAGGCTTGTATCAATTGATCTCATACATAAATAACCGTATAGTTGCGTGATGTGAATTGGGTAATTCATATATTCTCGCGATCGTTTTGTCATTGCGTATAAAAAGGCATTGGAGGATGTCTATCAGATTCAAGTGGTTTTATAACATAGGATACCTGCTGTCTCCATATTTAAGCCCGATGTCTTTGCCTGGGTCATTCTGACCAAGTAAGAGAAAGGTGGAGTCTCGGAATATAATTTTTTAGCTGTCCACATTTAAATTTGGTGAACTCCGAAACAACGCCATTAGGACCACTAATTCCGCCGCACTCGGCGTTTAGTGAGGCTTAAATAATCAATTATATTATATCATCATCATCATCATTTTGTTAGATGTTAATTATAGAGAAGATTTTGAGATTGACGTCATTGCAAATTACGTAGTTCTCCTTCAGGCATCCCAGATTCTGCATAGTAAAAGTGCCCTGTGCCGCTCGCAAACTACGTAAACAATTTCTTCTGTGGTTATTTAGCTGTGAGGTTTTGTTTTCAAGTATTAGGTTAGTCCTTCAAATGCTCTGGACGGCAAGTTCCAAAATTATAAATACAATAACTGATGATTCTTGATATCAAGCAATCTGTAGGGCAATCATCGTTGACAGTAAGATAGCTGTAGGAACCCTAGTAGATAGGCGAGCTAATTTGACAAGCTACATATAGAATGGCCTGGTCAATATAGATACTAGTGAAATTATCACGTGCATGACATCTGGAATATCTAGATTGACTTAGCCATGTTTTGGGACTGTAAGGTTCTAGGCTAATGTGAAGCCTGAGGCAGCAACAATCTGACTAAATAGAAAGGCGGTGGCAGAATAGACTGGTGTATTGTAGCTCCCGCTGGTGCCCATGTTTCCCCACTTCATGGAAATTCCCGACAATTATTGTCCTTGTCCTTTATTGTCCGACAGTCCATACGCTTCGATTACACATACGATTAGCACTTAGTTATAGGTTTACTATATAGATAACCAAAATCTCTAGATACAGCCACGTATAGATATTATGTCTTCACCTCTCTTGACAGCATAATGCGTTAACGCGGGGTGCCAGTTCATCGCCCAATGTTTGATCACAGCAACGCATTGCCAGCTCACACGTCCCTGGCTTCAATGATTGTTTACGGAGCATCAAATTATTTAATTTTCTCGCACGTTTGTTACCCTCAAAACCTATACCAACAGTTGAACCAATTATAATGGTACGCATTGTAGGTACTCGTAACTAAGCTATTGTTTTCCAACTGTGTTGGTTCCCGCAGTGACGCCGCCGTCGGTCACTTTATTATTATTTAGCATTAAGATTTCAGCTCTTGATTTTCCTCCCGCCATCAATCCCACCACCGTCAACACAGACTCTCCTCCCCAAGTTATCGCCAACGAGTGATCACTGTTCTCCCTCTTATCACCCGATTTCGAGACATAGTTTTGACGGCAGGCTGCATCTATTTAATTGATTCAGCATTCAGTGTTCGGCGTCCGAGAAATCACCAGACCAGGACTCGTGGGACCGACAAACCGGTGTCGGCCTTGCGACCGAGGGGCACCGGATCACAGTGAGCAAGGCGCTGATCGTTTGTATCACGCCTTGCGTTCTAGATTGCGCCAATATTATCAATAATTCTCTGATAATTCTCTGGTTCTAACTAGTTAAAACCTCTCGTCTTTGATTATTGCCATTTCACGTCCCCTCATCTTCGTTTTGGTTTTCTGGAATTTGCGTTTATATCTGTATCACTAGCGACTAGCACATTTAGCGAGCAGTGGAAAGATTGCGAATATTTGTCGATTACAAAAACATACATTTCTTGCTCGTCGCCATGACCACCGAAATCGAGAAGGGTATTTCAACATCACACAGTGGGGAGGTAGATACAGTCAGGGAGGGGGATGCGAAAGTGGCTTCTGATAACGATTCCGGGGAGCGGCCAGTGCGAAGAAAGCTCAAGGAAACGCGAATAACATCCGACCCTCACGCACCCTCACAACAAGACGATGACGCTGAAAACTCGTCCGAAGATGGCGACGGCCGCGGCCGTATGACGAGGAAAAGGTCTCGCGATGATCTACAAGTCGATGAAGATGAACAAGAAAGCACTGAATACAAAGAGTCTGGCAATGGACATCGCAGGAAGAGGTCGCGTGATGCCAAAAATGATGAGGATTTGGCGGCGAACGACCTGCAAAACACGCCAGAACCGACTGCTAACGACGATACATCACATATATTGAGCCCGAAGAAGAAGCGGAGTTTGGACCAGTTAGAGAAGGACAGTGAAAGTGTACCGAGCGAGGATAAGCAGAATGCACTTGAGAATGACAAGGCACGAGCGGAAGGAGAGCGTGAGAAGAAGAGGCACCGTGACGCTTCCAAGGAACGGCGGGATGCAGCTGACGGAGCGGCTGCGCCAACAAAGGTGAGTTTGCTTTATAGTTGTATATTGAAATGAAAAGTCGACTGACTGAATATTCGTCAGCCGCCTCTACCAGCCTCTTTCCTGAATACATCTACTGTCTCGCCATTCGCGTCATTAGGCGCCAAGTCAGCCGAGAGCGAGGGAGCTAAAGACAAAGTCACATCATCATCGGCGTTTGCAGCGTCAGGGCTGGCTAATTTTGCGAAGTCGGAACAGTCACCATTCGGTACACTGGGAAGCTCCGCAAGCACGCCTTCGGTTTTCAAAACATCCGACTCGACACCAGTAGAGAAGCCTGGCGGTAGTGGATTTGCAGCGACCGCCGGTGCATCACCCTTTGGTAGTACGGGCACATCTGGATTTGCCAGTTTGGGTTCTGGATTTGGAAGTGGATTTGGAAGTGGCTTTGGGGAAAGCAGTGGAAAATTGAGCAGCTTTGCATCTACAAGTGGCTCAGGCTTTGGTTCATCCGCAAGCAAGCCGTTTGGAGCCGCAAACGAGTCGGACAGGGAAGACGAAGATGACGGTGAGGATAATGTTCTTGCCGGGGTTGAGAAGGAGAAAGAGGACGAGCGGTTTTACGAGCAACAAAGTATGTATATACTCTTAACCTCGTCGTGTCAGGTAAACTTATGCTAACGTGATACTTCTAGTCGAGACGGGCGAGGAAGAGGAACAAACATACTTCTCCTCCAAGGCTAAACTCTTCCATTTTACCAACAAGGAATGGAAAGAACGCGGAGTCGGCACATTCAAGGTGAATGTCAAAGAAGCCAAAGATTCCGAGGACAAAAAACTGTCTGCCCGGATGCTCATGCGAGCCGATGGAGTCTTGCGTGTGATGCTTAATTCGCCCATCATCAAGGGAATGCCGCTCGGGGACGTGTCAGGGGAAGAGCCCAAGACGAAGCAGTTAAATTTGGCCAGTATAGAAAATGGCATTACTGTCCCTCTATTACTAAGGGTATGTTGGCATCTAATCATAGGGAACTAGCTTGAGTACTGACATTTATTAGCTTGGCAGACCCGAAACAGCGAAGGAGTTGTATCATGTGATTAGCGACTTACAGAAACAACTATAACATAAACGGGCACTCTATTTCATCATGTTGACCACATAACCAACATTTTCACGATATTATTTTTTTGGCATGCTGAAATTTCAACTAAAAGGACTCTTAAAGAAGACTATCAGGTCACATGACTGACCTGGAGCAAGGCACGTGATATATTTTCTCGAGAGGCCCCGTCAGAAACGCAAACAAGACAATTTCAGGAGTTTTTCAGCATAATTTTCTTAGTATAAGTCGTTTATTTCTTTGGGCTTGTTATCAATTTCAGAACATACATTTTCTTGCATATGCATGTATTCTGAATAATCAATCAATCAATCAAGTGGATCGACAGAGTTCAAACATTCCAAATGTCAATGCTTTCAATATTGGCGGAGTTAGCCGATGGATGGGTAGAGGGTTAGATATTTCCTTTGATAGCTACGTGATTGCAATGATTAATGGATTACTATATTATCTCTACCAAATATTTGTATTTGTCCACGTTGCTTGAATTCTGAGCTACAGATTGGCGAGGTTTTTGCCCCTTTATTCTATTATGAGTGATGACTAACCATTTGCTATACATTTAATGTCTTTAGGATTAAAACTGGGGCATAATCGATCGACCACAGTGACTTGATATGCTGCACAGGAACTAAACCCCCAATCCCATCTCCCAAAACCCAATCTCCAATTCTGTAGCCTTCTTAAAAATACCAATCAACTCCTCCATCCTACTCGGCGAAACTTTTTGCATATGACTTTCAAGCAATTCTATAAAACGAGTTCCCGAATTTTGTCAGTTAAACTATCCAGTCTGGATTAAGCTTTGATAGTATGTGTATGGATTGACACTCACCCGACCCCGTTCTCACGGCATCAACATAATCATCCGCCGTGTAGTTTTCAATCCACTTCCAATACCGATTCCCATCTTTCCCACTGATGGTGTTTTTGGTATCATCATGTAGTCGTCGCGCAATAGCACCGTAGCCGATGAGACAAGGCGCCAGGGCGACTTGTAATGCTAGCCAGTCTTCAGATTGGCCGATGTCGAGGATATAGCGACTGTATGCAACGCATGCTTTTGAAATTTTTTAGCTGAACCATTTTCTTCTTCATTGTTTGTAGCAGTGGATAAGACACACACCTTGCTTTTCTGGTGTTGCTTCCATTTCCTGGAGTGTGAGGCCGAAGCTAGCGCAGTAGTTGACATGTAAGGCTGTTTCGGTTTTGATATGAAGGACTATCTTTGCAGACTATTCAATTAAGTTAGCGAAGTTTAGTGATTAATGAAAGAATTCAAGGGAAGGGGTATAACATGCCGCTGCGATGGAATCCATCGATCGAGCTTTATAGGATGCGAGAGCATTGCTCCTTGCAAAATGGACCTTGTCAGGTTAGCAGATTTTATAATCACGAGGCAAGAAAGAGACAAGGAAGGAATACAAGATATAGATAGTCTTGGACTAGATAGTCCTTGAACTTCTCCACAGGAAGGCTTCCATTACCTATTCCGGTCACGAAATCGTGATCAGTGAATTTGTGCCAGATGGGTTGAATATCTTCTCTGCTAAGGACGTAGTCTACAAATTGCCCTCTTTTAATAACATATTAGCAAGAATCATCTCAGCTCAATGGGAAAGGGATGATGTTCTTACGGCGCAAAGGGCAGCATATAGAACGAATGAAAATGATTAATCGGTCCACTCCCCTGTCCCATATCAACGCTGGACTTGATGCCTGCCTCGACATATTTTATAGCCGCGCGAATCGATCTTTTCAGATCACTGCCACGGGCTAAATTGGCTGCAATGGCTGATGCAAGCGAACACCCCGTCCCGTGCGTATTCTTCGACGTCAGAAACTCCGTTTCAGTAAGGAAAACGTCTTCATTATCAGCAGAGTACAAAACATCAATGACAACCCTGGCCTCATTAGCTGATTTTGCTTTTTTTCGGTCACTTGTTAGGGGTAGATGGCCGCCTTTTAGCAAAACAGCTTTGGACCCGAGAGTATGCACTTGTTTGGCAAGTGTTATCATTTCGTCTATATTCTGGGGCTCGGTGAAAGATATCCCTGCGTTTTCAAGCAAGAGCTGTGCTTCGGGGATGTTGGGGGTTAGGACCGCGGTGAGGGGTAGAAGTCTTGTGCGTACATGCTCAACGGCATTGGAGGGGAGAAGACGCGAGCCTGACGTAGACACCATAACCTTGCGAGGAAGTTTAGTCGATATTGACATTGAAAAAAGGGGATTGGAGTCGCACGGGATCAAGGACAATGGTCTTGACGGCATGCCGTGTCAGCTCTTCTGCGATGACATCCACGGTCTCTGCGGACGAGAGCATTCCTATAGTCACATTTTAGTCTGTATATTATAATTTATAATTAAGGAGAAGGTGTTCGTACCGAGTTTGACTACATCTGCGCCGACATCATCCAATGCGGCATTGATTTGCTTCCTTACAAACTCTGCGGGGATGATGTGGATATCCTGCACGCCCAGCGTATTCTGTGCAGTCAATCCCGTGGTAGCTGTAAGAGAGTAGACACCATGAGCTGTTAGAACGCGCTGATCTGCCTCGATTCCGCTGTTTGGCACTATTATTAGTATTAATTTTTCGATATGTAGACTGAGATGCATTGCTGGGAGCCAGGCAGATGATGCAATAGTTGGAGGGGTGGACGGGTTACATACGCTCCACCAGAGCTATCTGAACCCGCAATGACAAGCACTTTAGGGGGCATAGCTCGTAGTTGCTATGAATGACTTTTGAAATATCAACTTTGATATAATGAATGTTTGTTGAGTTAAAGGAGACACATTGAAATACGAGGCAGAGCAATCCGGTCTCGGCAGAGAAAATAATTGCGGGTCTGTGGGGTTACCGTTTACCTGGCGTTACAAATATGGGCAATTTTGGGACAAAGCTCGACAGTTCTCCATTCCTTTCCTCATGTGTACAACTGTAGCTGTGCCAATTTTCAATCGCAGATCATCTCATCAACAAATAATCAGGGCCACCGGCCAGCCAAAGAAGAAGTCAAATGCATGTGTACCATGCCAGCAGCGCAAAGTTCGCTGCGATCCTACTGCGGTAGACATCCCATGCTCCCGCTACGTATCGAAGAACCGCGCTCAGCTTTATACACTCGTCACTCAGAAAAGAGCGCAAGTAGGACTACCGGCATGCAGAGGCGAGTCCGGGAAACATAAATTTTGACCCAAATTCTGCAGTCCAAATAAGCAAACGCGGAAGATGTTCCAGCAAGCGCCTCCAGATCGCCGACTACCTCGACCTTTCTCAAAAGACCCCGACAACACTCTGGTAAGTGCTATCTCAGTAAATAACATCACAAAAGGCCAACTTAACCCTAGAGATGTGATGCTGACACTGCCTTAAATTTTGGACCAAACTGCTGCTTTACACAGTCCCATATCTTTTCAAGACCAGCAATCCCGCCGGTCGACTGATCTTCTTTGGGAAGATAGGACTCATTCAAATCTCTAGCGGCGTCCAGATTTACTAAGATCAGTGGATCGAAGCCGAATGTCCTGAGATGCAATCATTTTTAGCTCTGTCTATCCGTCCAATATTGAGTTTGAAGATCACCAACCTACCAAGTCTCGGAAGAAGACACTCATGTGCAAACGTTGTACCGCATGGGTGCCGTACCTACTACGACAAACGTCTCAGCACCTGCTAGAAGCGCAGTCTTGATTTAGCAGCAGTATATATTCAAATATTTTGATCGCTTAAGTTCCATCTCAATTTTAGGAGAAGTTCTAGGACATCATCACCACAAACGATTAATACCAGTAGACTTACCAAGCCTAGATAACGAGCGGAACAAAGATAATGAACTAGCAGGAATGGCATATTTGAACTCAAAGAATGTATTACAGCTTCCACCAAGGGCAGCGTGGTATGTTTCTTTCTTTAATAGCAATGAGCCTATACGCTTAGCAACATCCTTTTATAGTGTGACCCTCTTGTGTCTGCTCTTCGAATATAGCTATCCATATACTCCTATTCTGGACAAATCCCAGTTTTATAAAGAATTTCGCAGTAATAGAAGCTCGCATTTTCCTTATGAATGCGATCTTTGCCAATGTAATTCCCTTGCGCCTATGGAGACGATAACTGCATGAGGCTATGAGAGCAGGGATTCTGCCCAGCGAGATTTTGCTCTTAAGGTGCAGCTCGTGCATGACTTTGGCTGTGAAAGGAACAGTTGAAAATTTTATAGGATTCCATTATATTGAGCTTCTTTCAGTTTTTCTTTGCCCCGAAACAGGATCACAGATTCTAAGCGTATAATGCGATCTGGATCGCTATGCAAATAGGGCTTTATAGACAGTAAGTTGCACTTCTAGCCCCTTGCACTAAGCTCTTTCTTGGTTTTAGTAATGAATATATATAATGACTTACATGGTTCCTAATCGAACAGAAACCTTAGAGAAGAGCTCCACTCAAACACTCACAAGTTGTACTGTTGAATATGGTGGTTTCTTTTTGTAAGTGTACAAGGCTGTTATAGATTCCTACTATTGACAAGCTATGGCGTAGACACGAGATGTGGTGATATCTGTCTTTGGATTCTTTAACACCCGATGCATGAATGACAGAGAGACAAGATGTAGTACCTCTAACAGAGTATAACTGGGTGGCAGAGCTTGAGATGATCATCGATATTACGCGAGAGATTTTAACTCCTATAGAGGTCATCCACAGATAATACTCCATTAAGAATTACTGACTGGCTACGTTCAGTAGGTCCATCACCCCAGCAGTGTACCTGTATGCTGGATCTTAAGAGGGGTTTATAGGTGTCGATGTCTTGTACTTATCTCGACTGAAGAAAATCGGGCCGGCACTCCTCAGAGTACAGTGAGCGGGTTAACTATTGGAATCGCGCATTAAACCCTGTGATCTAGCGTCTTGTCTACCTTTTACCCGAGAGTACCGCAAAACAAGACGCGTTCACAAGATTTCAGAATGTTAAGAGATGGACTCAATCAATCTATCTAGATTCATTCCTGGATCTGTATGGTTTCATAATGCCACAGGAGCCCGGGACCACATCGGCAATATCTACTTGCGCTGTGCAAACTTTCAGACATTTGTTAAAGCTCCTAAGCTTGACTGTGATATCACTGAGAGCTATTCGGTGTAGTTGAACTTGTAGGACGGGGACGTGTAACCTAAGAGTCGGAGAAAGGCCCTCTGAATATGTATTAATCCAAGCATGGCTTAATGGGCTATTTCTGCCCCCGACGACCACATAAGTTAAATTTCGGGGTTATACATAGAAAGTCATAGGGAAGATTGTGGGTGCTTGTCCCGATCTAGTTCGTGCGGCTCGCCACTCCTATAAGCAACGATTCTGCGGCTGGAGAAGGCATCCAGGCAGCCAAAGTGTGGCTTAGAAGTGGTAATGTTCATATAGCTCTTCATAATTAGACACCTCTATGAGATATTGGTAAAAGTCACCTATTAGTATTTCTGCTTTATTTTAGCTATTTAGTTGTATATATTGATATTATCACTGATAATAAGACTTATAAACTTTAATAGGCTTTCTTAGATTAGAATTAATGGACATTATTAAAGATAATTTAATATCTTAAAAAATAGAATAAATCTAAAAGATAAATAACAGAGTAGTAAAAACCAAACCTAAAAAGCTGTAACAGGGATAGACCCAGGGAGCATGTTCAAGCCTAATCCGGCAGGACCGGGGGGCTCAGGGATACCCCGGGGTCAATTGTGATATATCACAATTGATACCATAAGACCCCGGGCATGATGCCAGTACCCCTCACCTCGCTATATATGCCTTTATCTAGTTAGATTAGGTATCAATGACCTGAGATAGGGACTCAGGCATATAGGCTTGGTTTCCCACCCGGAGGGAGGAAACCAAGCAATATCTTTTGTATAATCTTTGGCATAACTTTCAATATAAGCCTACTCGGCTTCGAATAGCCTTCGGCTCGAAGCCTTCCCTAACTATATAACCTAAACCGATAACTCCCTCCCTAGTAGCATTGCTCTATAGCATCGATATCAATCGGTGAAGCTTCAACTCACCCACATCTAGTCTATCCAGACACCCCCGGACACGGTCCTGCCAGACCGTGTTACAAAAGCGCACCGAACCGAACCAGGATCAGTAATTGTCGAACTTTTAACACTATACCAAAAAGGGCGCAACCCTTAGTAAGGATTTCTAGTGGTATTATAGTCGTATATTTTTTCTGATAGTAACCTGGTATCATGTGATTTTTTATAGTCTAAAATAGTATGAGTATTTTATTTTTCTATAGTATTTTGTAATTTTAAAATAAAAATTAATTAAATTTATTATTTTTATTATTATTTGAAATTTATCCATACGGCGATTAGATATAAGATTTTAAGATAATATTTAAAAATATTAAAATAAAATTGGTACAATTAACTATACCTAATTAATATATTCTAAACCTAAATAGGTTAAAGCAGATTTTTATGCAGTTAAACCGTTTACTGAAGCAAAAACTGCGCGGTGTAGAGAGATTTCCTCCGAACTGCTCCTTAACCGCACGTAATGTAAGCATAATTGAGCCAGATACATATAATCAATAATTATCCTGGACTGCCATACAAATATAGTGCGTAGTCTAACCAATCGGGCAAGATTGCCGCCATTGCCAATCCAACAGATACCTAAAAATAACATAGCCTAAAATACCCAAAAAAATATTAGAAATAGCAATAATACAAATAAAAACCTTTCGAACACTCTATTAAACAATTTTAAAAGATATCAACTAAATAAAGCTACAAATGAAAACCTACTGGTAATGGCCCTCATCTAGTCGTCTATTCTTAAAGGAAAAAAAAATAAATAAGATAAAAATAACAATCATTTTATCAGATTCAAAGACACAGGATAATCGGCAATTTGACGTTTGGGGCTTGATTTTATTCTTGCAGATCTGGTTTTATTGTTTGATTTATTCAAAATTCAGTTTGTTTCGAGTTGAACCAAGATTGGAGATTTCAACTTCCACCACATCTCCATCCTTAAGAAATTGCCCAGTAGAGAATCCAACTCCAGAAGGAGTCCCAGTCATGATAATGGTTCCCTTGCGTAGTGTTATACCGCGAGAAAGATGTGCTATTATTTGCCTAACGGTCCATATCATGTCCGCGGTGCTTGATTGCTGCTTGATGGCTCCGTTCACTTTTGTTACGAGGTTAAGCGTCTGGGGATTAGAAACATCTTCAGCTGTAGTTATGTATGAACCAATTGGAGCAAATCCATCAAAAGACTTGGCGTAGCAAAACTGACCCCCTGAAACCTGGGGCAATTGGAGGTTCCTGGCACTCAAATCATTGCCGGTAGTGTATCCAAGAACAATGTCGAGGGCCGCTTCTTCAGAGACGTTCTTGGCATCACGACCAATAATTGCGACAAGCTCTCCTTCAAAGTCGAGCATTTCTTGAGCACCAGGATGTACGCTAATAATATCTTCAGACGCTGCAAGAGCGTCCGAAGGTTTCATAAATATAATTGGGTCTCTAGCAATGGGAAGCTAATTTTTGTCAGCTCTGTCAATCCTTCTCCTATTCTCTTTAGTCTTGGTGAGCATAGGCATACGTTTGCTTCTTCAGCATGCTTTCTGTAATTAAGACCGACACAGATAACGATAGGAGTGTGTTCCAATGGGCAAAGGAGCTTGGTGTAGACCAGTTAGTCAACTTCAAGTTTAGGATAGAAAAAAGAAAAAGTTTTCATAATAAATGTTCTAACCTTGTCCACTGTGAATATATCTTTAGTCGCATCTAGACGCGTGAAAGGGCTGCCGTTGAGCCGTCGGATAGTGAATTTTACATCATGCTCTAGTAGGTCGCCATAATGCACATGGCCTTCGGCTTCAAATCGGACCAGCTTGTGGAATGACATGGCGGCCAAGACAGATAGCCATTAACCATAAGCCAAAAAGCGATTTTATGAATGCATTTATATGTATATTTTGTTGGGTAGTTGTGGTGACTTTCTCAATGGGAAGCCCCTATCTATCCATACCATTCGGCTTTGCGGGGATATGGGGGGATTTGGGGGTTGTGGACTGTCTCGCGCGGAATGGCACTGGATCAGAATTGGAACTACTGGGACCAGGACCTAAAATAGGATTCTTGGGGAAGTCTAGGCTAATCTTACTATTGCTTAGAAGATAGCTTCTAAGAAATGCACAAAGTTTGCGTCCGCAACCGTCAAAGGGAAAGAAGAGAAACAGAACAGAAAGTGCATAGGATTAGCGTTGCTAGAAATACAAGGTAAACCAAGTCTTTCTATTCACTTGGCCATTTTGAACGAGTTAGCAAAGCCTCGGCCTACTTTTCTCTTTCATACAAAGAGCTCTGAAGACCGGGTATGTTTAGCATACTCGACTACATTATGCCCATACACATAGTCATGGATTTGCTTCGCTAGAAATATTATCCATTATTACACAGTTTTTATATCGGTGTAGAAATGAAGCATGGCTTACGTTTCAACTGCCCCTTTCCCACGCCTTCAGTTCTAGATAGCTCCTCTATCCTTGACGCTCTCGAGTAACGCACTTGTTGAAATAGTCGGAGAGCCAGGAAAACTTGGTCAGGGGTGGTGCCTTTGGGAAACAATACACCAAGCGAAACGCCATCTTCAATCGCTTGGCCGCCGCCTTGCCCTTGATCTTTTCACAATACATGAGCTCAGTTGATTCAGGTAATCGCATTTATATCCTTTGCTGCACCAAAGGAGAAGGGGTGAACCAAGAATGAAGAATGAAAAAAATCGATCTTACGTGGGAGCATGGGGTGTGCTGCGTCTCCGATAAGGCAAACTTTGCCACGAATCCAACTATCGATTGGTTTGCGTTGTAACAACTGCCAGCGTTTCACATTGTTGGCTTTGTTCAAACAGCTGAAGATTGAGCTTCCAAAATCCGAAAAGGTCTCGAGTAGTTCTTCCGTGGAAGAAGTAGATGACCATTCTAAAAAATTTAGCGCGATAAGGAAGAGATGCCAAATGTATGAATAAAAACAGACAAAAAGCCGGTTTGGCAAGAAAGAGGACGTACCATCAGAGATATTTTGGTACGAATCAGGATACATGCAAACGAAATTCAGGATTTCACCATTTCTGCAGGGGTAGATGACAATGCGCTTATCCTTAGATAAGAAAATTCTGCATCGATCATCTCTTTGTATTTGCGGGCAGTCTGGGTTATTGTAAACGCCTTCGGCATCCAGGAGGAATCGATAACAAGCCGATCCAGTATGGTACAGCTCAGAGCCGCCAAATAGACAGTTTCTTGTAGCGGACTGTACAGCTGTTGTGTTAGATAGAAACCCAAGATCGATGCCGTACGATAGCAAGACCCAATCCTTACGTGTATACCATCTGCGCCCACAATCAAATCGGCCTCATATCGTGTGCCGTCTGCTAGGTGGACTATTCCTTCTTCGGCTTCGATCTTCACCACCTTGCTAGCCAGATGCAATTTGGGCTTGAGGCCATTATATTCACCTCCAAATGCTAGGGAGCGGATTTCGTTGTGAAGGTCTACTCTGTGGGCCAGATACCAGGGCTACGCTAGTCAGCCTGCCTTCCTTCAAATGCAGTGGGAGATGAATGACTCGACACTTACTGAACCATATCGGTCCTTCATGTCATAATAATGATTATCCACAATAAGATCGCCGTTGGAGTTATAAAGAGCCATCTGATGAGGGAAATTAAAAGTTGACATTAAACCGACTATAAAGAAAGATGGACCAAAGACCGCGTGCATACATACCCCTGAGCATTGAACACCGCGCAGCCGGGCTGGGTCATACCCGAGAGAACTGAGAGCGCGGGTTGCGTTTGGCCCAACGTGGATAGCAGCACCCAATTCATTCGAAAAGTTGGATTGTTCGAAGATGTGGAACCTGTCATCCATCAATAACACCATCAGAGGTAAACGACATGAGACTTATATCCACAACATGGCCAGCCCGTCTCAGAGCAGCCGCAGCAGTGAGCCCAGCAATACCGGCACCGATCACAATTACCCTCAACGGTTTATGATCAGGCACGGAAGGAGAGTAGTCCATAGCCACGGAATTGGTTTGTTGGCTAGAGGACATGGTTGAAAATCGAAATCGTGTAGTTTACCAGATGGGGAAATTCAGGGACTGAAAGAATACCATCGCTGAAAGTGGACAGCGAAGGAACTAAAATAGGCTTCCTCGGCTGATTGATTTTCGAGTAAAGAAGCAAGAGTTCCTGTCTCTGATCCTCCTTTCGTTTATCCTGGTCGCTTCCGTGGCCGGAAAGCGGGGAATTACTTAGAGCAGCTTCGTCCCCGAGCTTCCGGTGGAGTCGGCGGTATGGCAGCAGGCAGGAAATACCAACCAGCTGTTTAAATAAATAGAGAATCTGGCATAGAAATTTTGCAGTTCTTACATCAGTACTGAAGAAACACATTAGACTCATAACACCTAAGATACATACAAAAGAGATGGAGCAGATTGGGGGTATCCAAATCCGCTTCAAACATGGTGTAAGTAGCAAAAATCACGCCAATTACCCCGGTTTCAAGCAGGAGTCGAGGGTTCTTGCCAAGGGAACCGTTTTAAAAGAGGGTGCTTTTCCCTTGCCTTGCGACATACTTTGGGAACGCGATATACCGGTCAAACTGCGCGACGGAACGACGATTTATATCGATATTTTCCGGCGCTCTGGCCTTGCGGCTTCTGTACCTGCGATCATTTCAAGCGGCGGCTTCGGCAAAAATGGAGGTGTCAATCGAATGATCCTGGATAAATCACCATGGAGAAATGGGATCCCTCAGCAAACTGTTAGTTCGTTGGAAAAGTTCGAAGCCCTTGACCCAGCCTATTGGTGCCTGCATGGCTATGCCCTTATTCACCCCGGTGGGTAGCCACTCTCCTCCCCAATGTAGCTGCCTCAAAAAAACCACATTGCGTATATTCTAAGATCTTCCTACAGATATACGTGGAAGTTGGATGTCGGAAGGTGATTCCTACATCAACTCAACCATTGATGGAAAAGATGGCTATGACTTGGTGGAATGGGTAGCACAACAGCTTTGGAGTAACAAAAAGTAGGAACCCATCTTGCGTCAGAGTGTTGAGCCTAGACTTTCAATTCCTATTTCTGGCAGTTAGATAACATTCTCTATAGCGTTACAATGGCAGGAAACTCTTATTTGGCCCAGACGCAATGGTTTGTTGCAGCAGCGAAACCGCCACATCTGACCTGTATTGCTCCCTGGGAAGGATGGAACGATCTATACAATGATACTGCTCAACGGGGAGGGATACCCAACCCCGAGTTCCAACAAGGATTATTGGACAATTGTCTGCCAGGCCTCGGTCGAACTGAGGATATTGCCGCTATGACGTATCAGTATCCTCTGTGGAACGAATACTGGGAGGATCGACGTGCTCGATGCGACCAAATCGATATTCCAATGTATGTCGTCGCTAGTTGGACAAATGCTCTCCATACCCGAGGGACTTTCCGAGGCTGGATCGAAAGCCCTAGCAACAAGAAGTGGCTACGGGTACATGATAGCCACGAATGGCCAGGTACGTTTTTACTAATTCCAATCTATTTTATAGACTTTACTTGCATAGCTTCTACCGTGATAAATTCAGCTTGGCTAATATTCAGTTAGACCTTTATTATGGCCAAAATGTTGAGGATTTGCGCAAGTTTTTCGATCATTTCATGAAAGGAACATCCAATGGCTGGGAGTTTACACCACGGGTTCGCCTGTCGGTATTAAATCCAGGGCATCAAAATATTATTAATCGCCCCGAAGTGAATTTTCCGTTAGCTAGACAGATCTCCCACCAGCTATACCTCGATGGAGCTACATGCAGCATGCAAACGACTCCCCCGAAGCACAAGGCACTGGTTGAATTTGACTCTGTGCAAGGACAGGCCCAGTTTAGCTATACCTTCCCGCAGATGACAGAGCTGACAGGGTATTTCAAACTCAAACTATTTGTCCAGGCAGTGGGAAATGATGATCTCGATATATTTGTGAAATTTCGCAAAACTGACAAGAATGGTATACCTTTGGAGACTAGATGCATAGATGCTAGCTATCTCCAGGATGACCCAATAGGCGTAAAAATTCAGCTAGAAGAATTGCGTCGCCGCGGAGACAAAAAGGTTGATGTTTATTTCTCCGAGGGTTCTACTGGACGCCTGCGTGTAAGTCACCGCGAATTAGACGCTATGCGAAGCACTCCCCATCAACCACACTACACCCATCTTCACCCACAGCCATTGAAAGAAGGAGAGGTTGTGCCTGTGGAAATTGAGATGTGGCCGCATGGTATGATCTGGGAGGCTGGGGAGCAAATCCAGCTAATTATTGCCGGACATAATCTACGTCCAGAAATAGCGTGGCTGACACCGACGGTGAAAACGTGCAATAAAGGAACAATGGTTATTCACACTGGACCTGAATTCAATAGCTATCTACTCGTTCCTCTAGTTCCGTCTGAATCTTGAAGAACAATAGCGAGACTAATTGCACACAGGTGCACATTTTCACTACTAGTTGTCCTATGGCTGGCTATAGACTATTTTTGGATATTGCTGCAGCCATAAATGCCACACCTTCAGATACCAGGGTGATGTACGTAGTTATATTCAGGACACAGGCTGATTATCCTTGCCGCTAATATATGATATTTTATTTTAATGGAGAACTTCTTCCAAAGTCTGCCCGTCAAACTGGAGTTTCTCGCTTGGCAGCAGGACAAAGAGAACTCGAGCTGGTGTCTCAGCTCGATTGTGCCACGAGTGAATTGTTCCCCGTTGGATAATAGTCTCTCCCTGTCGAACTGTAGTCTCGACACCGTCATCGAGCTCTAATACCACTTCTCCGACTAGAACGACCCCAATGTCCAGGCTAATTGTGCGATGAAACGGCGCCGTAAAGCCAGGTGAAAAGTCAACTATTCGAACAGTTGTGCCGGTAGAACTGGCTATGGGGAGTGGTTTGCCGTGGTAATCGACCCACGGACCTTGGTTTTTAGCTGGGCTCGAATCCGTTCGCCAAAGGACAGTGAAACCAGGAGCACTACAGTCTCCCTCTCTTTCCATGTGTTTAGGCATCGGCAGTATAATAGGGCTAAGGGTAGCGTCTATATCAATGTTGGCTCTGCCGGCATCATCATGGCCGGTAACAACACGGCGGATTGGAGGCAGAACGCCCATCGGGCCGAGTTCAAACAGCAGTAATGGGGAGCAGTTTTTGGCGGCCAGCGCTTGAAAAAGACGTAATAAATAAATTGAGCGGCAAGAAAAATATATACGGGCTGTGATCCCTGGCGACAATGAAATTCGCTTTCATTATGAAGGGAATGGGATAGCCGGTGAAAAACCGGTGTTGCGGGCAAGCGGATCTGTGGAGGAACAGCTCAGACGGCCTTCTCCGTTCTCCCCTCTCGGCCGGTCTCTACTATAGTCCATTTTATTCATATTACGGATATTGCAGTACTGGCAGGCCAAAAAAAATATAGAATAAAAGCACATCCACGAGGACACATTGTGAAAATCTCGCTTCGTGGCTTTTAAATACCTCTTTCAAAGTTTGGATAACCTTCTTTCCGGACTATTACGGCTACTAGCCCTCGTGTAAAAATGCCCGTTCAAACTCGAGATATTAGTTCCAAGGATGACAGCTTCCCTTATATTTTCGAGCAAAATGTCAGCGTCCCCCTGCACACTTGCGAAGAGGGCTTGATACGCGTCAACCTCTACCGCCCTCACGATTCCGAGGCAGGGGTTAAATACCCAGTGTTGGTGACTTACGGACCCTACGGGAAGGACGTTCATTATGAAAATTTCAGGAAGGCTTCCTTCGACGAGGTCAATCCTGATCATAAATCTGTTCACTCTGCATGGGAAACGCCGGATCCTGCTTGGTGGACCAAGAGCGGCTACATTATAGTTCGCGCTGATGAAAGGGGCATTGGCCAAAGCCCTGGCGTCCTAGACACGATGAGCAGAAGTACGAGTGAGGCATTCTGTGATGTAATTGAATGGGCAGCGGATCAACCGTGGTCAAATGGCAAAGTGGGACTTCTTGGAATCAGTTATTATGCAGGAACGCAGTGGCGCGTGGCAGCTAGAAACCCTAGAGGCCTCGCTGCTATTATTCCCTGGGAAGGCATGTCCGACTATTATCGAGACCGCTGCAGGCACGGAGGCATCCTATCGAACAGCTTTATAGGTTAGTGAAAACGAAGATAAGTTGTCCACATTGTATCTAATGAGGTCGAATAGATGTCTGGTGGCACGGTCAAGTCATTGTAAATCAGTATGGCAGGCCTAGGCCCTCAAATTCATTTGTTCCGCCTACGATCGAAGGCCAATTAGCCGAGAAAGAGCTTCTGGATAATTTGCGCGATCAAACCGTGGACAATGTTACCAATGAATTCACTGATCAGGAATACTATGCTTCGCGAGAATATACTCTGGAAGACATCCAGGTTCCTCTGCTGAGCGTTGCAAATTGGGTATGCGAACATAGCTCTTTCTTCAAATAAATAAAACACAAACCAAACCAAAACAAAAACGCAGTGTTGACATTAACAGGGCGGAATTCTATTACACCTCCGAGGAAATGTCGAAGGATACGCTCACGCAGGATCTAAAATCAAATACCTTCGATTTATCACAGGGAGACATGACTTGCCATTCTATCAAGATGAAGAAGCTCGCCTCCAGAAGTCCTTTCTTGACGCATTCCTTAAAAATAAGGACGATCGAGGTTGGACTATACCTGGAAAGCTCGCACCTGTGTCTGTTATTTTGCGTGAAGGCGACGTAGGGTTCAACTCTGTTGAAAAGGAAAGACAATACCTTCGGAGAGATGAATTGGCCTGGCCTTTGTCCAACACAGTCTATACCAAGTACTACCTGCTTCCTAACAAAACGATGACGTCTAATCCCAGTGAGATAGAGCTCAGGCAAAAAGACTACCTTTCCTGGAAGACGATGAAGGATGCGCCATGGTCTACCCGAGTCATTCCCGGGCGACCGCCAGTTCGTGATTTTGCTAAACAATCCAAAGTTGGAATGATCCAGTTCAAGACAGCGCCTTTCTCCAGGCGGACTGAATTTACAGGCCACGTTACAGCTAATCTCCATGTGTGCATTCCGAGCTCACAGGAGGGAAATGTCCCTACGGACATAGATATCTTCGTCACAGTCCGCCATTTGGACATAACTGATAAAGAAATTTTCTACACTGGAACTGCAGGAGACCCCGTCCCAGTCACTAAAGGCTGGCTTCGTTGTTCTCTTCGCAAAATCAAATCTGAACACCCTAACCACCGCCCATATCTTCCGCACCGGGACTATTTTTCTACAGACGTCCAGCCACTGGTTCCTGACACGGTCTATCCTGTCGTGGTAGAAATATGGCCGACAAACGTTGTGGTTAGTCCAGGCAATAGTCTCGTATTCGAAATTGCGGGTGCCGATACGCAGGGAAGTGGCATTTTTACCCACGATCATCCTCTGGACAGACCGAATAATGTGTTTGAGGGGCGTAATGAGCTTAGGTTCGGTGTTGGCGATTCTAATTACCTGACAATGCCGATAATACCTTCCGAATAGTCGGTGTTGAGTTGGGTCTTGGATGAAATATTAATCGATATAGATGCTCCATGCCAGCACGGTCACAACAGCAACGCCCAACATTAAACTTTGTTTTCTCAGTATTCTTTGGCATTTCTGCTATATTAAATTCATAATTGGGAAATATTGAAGCCTTTGATGTAATATTTCTTTGTTGCTGCCTGTTTCCCCCTGTGTATATGAACCTGGATTTCTTCTATTTAGATTTTCCTCCTTTGATCCGTATGATGTCTTTTCGGCAATTGAACCCTTCTAGCTGGCCATTTCTGGCCGTAGATAACATAAATAACTGTACAGAACGATCATTTCAATTTTCAAAAAGGAGTTGACAGCTAAATATTACTGCATGTACAATAACTATATTCTGGGTTATAGCCTGTAATCAAACTCTCTAATAGTCTTCTAGTAGTTTTAATTTTCGATCACCCTTTTGCCAGAATTGAAAATTCCAAGTCCCTGACGGCTAATTTTGATATTGAATTGTTAACTATTAATCAGTGTATACCCGTAATCACCAGCATTAGGGCTTCGAACAATGGTATGTGTGTGGAATTTTGCCGGCTTTGAGTTACTTAGGAATACTCCCGAGTGATGGTCAAATTCGCAGACAATCACTGGGCTCTGTATTCGATAGTAGAAAGGGTCTGTGTCTGTAAATCCACCAATCCAACTAAAGTATGTCTCACTTGAATGTTTCAAGATTTGTCTCCGTCGGTTTTCATAAGCCTGTTGGGGCAGATATAGCAGAAACTGACGAACGATTTGCAAGAGGAGGTCTGTAAAAGACGGATCTAGCTCTGTTAGACAAACTCCTTCATAGGGAACAATGCGATTATCTTGGAAAGCTCCACAGATATGCCTCTGGTCCGCTGGATTGAATCGCCAGGCAGGCATTGCTGGATCGTGCATCTCCTTGTATATTTGAGCTTTGACTTGCAGTTGACTTGGAAGCCGCTGCATGAACCGAAGGCCTAGTTGTTCCTCTGGCTCAAACAATCTCGAACCTTGGAACGGCCCGCTGTCAATTGTCGTGGGTTCTGCCCCAGTGAATGTTGGAGATATAATGATTTGCCTTTTGTGAAGGAAGACATTCAAACATAAATGATGGCCATATATTGACCAGCCCCAAGGATCCACAGTTGACGGTTGACCGAACAGCAAAATATTGTAGGAATTCTCGTTCAAAACCTTTGATCCATTTACTAGCCGGCCCAGGAACCCATTGATTCTCATGGCCGTACAGGCCTTTTCATATCCTTCTGCAGATAAAGTGGACTTCATTAACTGCCTTACAGCTGAAAACACCTCTTGGTTTACCTCATCCAATCGAACACCGAAACGGTGGACGTATAATTCAGGGTTTGACCAAGCCCGCCGCTCAGGCGCATCCAATGGTCGCAAGCACCTGTCTTTTTCAACCTCACTGAGGGCCATCACGACACTGTTTGCCGCCTGGACAATGCTAGCAATGAGAATGTTATCGTCCTGAACAGGATAAAGGTCAGGAATAACAGAACCTGCAGGTAGCAAAAATGTATCAGCATTAGGAATTGGGCAATCATTGGCTCCAGAATATCACCTACCATCAGTTGTAAGTCCCTTAAATGGTTCTTTCCATAACTGATCCCATTTCTGATTCATCTCTACTACCAAGGGAACCTCTCGGAAGAGCTTGTCTGTATATGAGACAGCATCCTCTCCCTGAACTCTTTGTACTTGCGGAGACGATAAGTCCAGCCATTCCCGAAACTCAGCCATGGTGACGGTGTCTTGTGTCCTAGGATACCGTACTGAGGTCAAACAATGCACAAAATTGTGATATGGAAGATAATTGAACACCACGTGTGGTCGGAGTACATTACGACACTAAATGCAAATCTTCAAACAGGCGCTAGATACAACAGGTAGATCGGGGTAGTCCCGGGTTAGCGGAGGCGGGGAACCTGCCCTTGTGCTCTAACGCAGACATCCTCGTAAAGTATCTATAATACAGTTAGCTACATTAAATCGTAAATGTAATCAAAAGCTAACCTGTTCAAGGGCTACAGAAAACTCGAAACAATTTCGACACCCGTGACGGGTGAATTGCTGCCATGCCCTACTTCGCTCCTCTCCCTCAACGAGATGGAAGACATTTCTCTCCGCCTCCCCAAGAGAGCCAAGTTCTGGTTACAGGTGCGGGCCCCAGTGGGCTGTTCGCTGCATATCTTCTCGCTAAGCAATCAATCCGTTCTGCCATTGTTGAACGCCATGAATACAGACTAGGCCAACCCAAGGCACATGCAATCAACCCACGCTCCTTGGAGATTTTTCGACAAAGTGGACTTGATACAAAAAGCTACGACAGTTAGGCTCATCGGCAGAGGATGCATTTTGGGTCCGATTCAATACCGGTCTTACGGGGATTGACCTTGGGGCTTTACCCTATGAGAGACAAGATGAGGCTGTCAAGCAACTGACGCCCGAGCCGCTCTTTAACATACCCCAACCTGTTCTAGAGTCATTCCTGGAAGAGGCAGCTCTTGCTACCGGATTAGTAACAATCCATCGTGGATGGACATGGGAGAACGTCTCTTTTGACGAACAAGGTCGTCCCAAATCGAAGCTTTCCAGTCGTAGCGAGGCCAACAAAATCATGGAGTTGACATCTGACGTTCTCATCGGTGCAGATGGTACAGATTCCAAGGTTCGAAGTGTGATAGACGAGATTCAATGGGAGGCTGTATCTGATTGCCGCGAAGAAAAGACCTTCTACTGCTCTATCCATGGAGTAGGGAGTATCCGATCTCTCGTTACTGCCACCAACAACTTAGCACAGCTTTACTTTTGCCTTCATCCTGCTCACCCATGTGGGCTGATTGTCTATGATCTCTCCGGGTCGTGGGTACATACGCACGCCGTTGACCGGTCCATCGACCATGTAGAGGACTATACACAGCAGGATTGTCGCCGTCTAATCGATGACTGCATCGGCCCGGGAGTTGAATATACGGTTCAATCCGCCAATCAATGGTATACATGGCCGAGGGTGGCTAGTTCATATCATAACAAAAATGTGCGGCTTTTCCTTGTCGGAGATGCAGCTCACTCCTTTCCCCCACAGGGTGGTCTAGGCATCAACACCGGGATTGCTGATGTACACAATCTCATCTGGAAGTTAGACTATGCTTTTCGAAGAAGATTCTCTGGCTGCGAACAACTATTGACGAGCTATACGCAGGAACGCCGACCAGTAGCGATCAGAAATACGCTGCAGTCTGCCACGAACGAGAAGAATTGGGTTGCATTCACTCAATTTGCTGGCTACATGGTAAACATGGCATCTTCATTCGAGGGTGGGGACCAAGACTTCTTTCAACAGGACTATGTTAAGAAAATCATGTTGGATGCTATTGCAGCTACGAAACCTCACTTCGACTCCCTCCGTTTGCAGCTGGGATATGTGTATGACAAAGAGGCACCGATAGACACCACGGTACCACAGGGTTGCTGGGCTTTCTTACCGTCAGCACAACCCGGTGCTAGGCTTCCACATACGTGGATTGATCCATCAAAATCGGTATTGGATCTTATTACATATGATGGGTTCATGCTTTTATACGATGGGGGTGATTTTGGACGAGACTCGTACCAGATTAACGGCGATACAATTATGGTCGATAAAATCAACGTTAACGATCTAGGAAACCTCCCAGGATGGTTCGTATCTCTAAAAATTGCAGAGAATAGTGGAATTTTGGTCCGACCAGACCAACATATCCTTGTATTGGTGAAATCGGACTCCGAAGTGGAAGAATCTTTGAAATCTTACCTAGGTGAGTGATGGACTAAAACCATATACAACCGGTGGTCATGCTAGGTACTCCGCCAATACATATATTTAAATATATAGTCCTGAATTCATTCTATAATTATACGTTGATATGTGATGCAGTAACTTATTGGCTCTCTTGAGCGTCACTACTTGGTGCTTAAGAGTGATTGCTACCCAAGAATGTTTCTCTCCTTCCTTAAAACTTGCTATGTAAGAAACCACTTATACTCATATGTAAAAGAATACATTGTTCAGAGGGAATAATTGGAATATCTCAGCTGCAGATTGCGTTTATATCGAGGGGATTAAATACTTGCCCATTCCAACTTACCAGCATAGCAGCCACCTTCAAGACCGCTCTCACTGAGTCCACAGAATTGCCTAGGCTGATGCTGGCTTTCAAATGCGAAGTGGCTTGTCTTGTTGCCCCACTTGTGGTGAGACAACAAGCAAGAATGAGCTCCGATTGTGCTTCGTTAAAAACGCCTGTTTCGGTAGTCTCATTTAGACAATAACCGAAAACAACGGTCCATGTAAGTGACGAGAAGTCTGGGAAATATTGACGCAGCATGTCACGAACTTCTTCGTTACGGACAGTTTTGTACGTTTCCAGCATAAGGTCTTCTCCGATTTGCTTGTGGCCAGAGTTAAGACTGGGACGGCGCACTTTATCTGCAACTTCGAGGAAGTTGTGCCCCTCTAGAACGTTTACGATCCCGAGGCACGCCGTTACGCACCAGGGTATTCCAACAAACGGCCATACAACCATAATAACGCCTTCCAGTTGTTTGAAGCTCAGTTCCAGATTCTGTTGATTTTTTGCAATAGCACGATCAAGGATACACGAAACGAGATCTGGCCGATGAGCTCCGATGGCGAGGGATGCCTGTTAGGCATGGATTAGTGATTTTCTGTTTCAACATTTTGCCTTCTCTTTTCCTCTCTCTCCTTTTTCAGGCTTTTATTATTGTATATGTTGAAGCAAGAGTGATCAATCAACGGAGGGACGGCAAGGGCTTGACATACCAGTATAGAAATCGAGATGGGTTCCAACTCAGGAGAGATGGTGTTTAATTCGCGAAACAAATTTTGGAAGAACATTTCATCATAAACAGGAGTATTTGGTGGATTGTTTGCGGTGATGTACTTGCGTTCAAAGTCGGACATCATGGAATCATCCACCGGAGCTCTTGAGATGAGAACAATGGAGTTAACTGATCGTCGCGGCTGGGATATCGATTGTCCAGCAGTTAAAGAAATACTAGCAGGTTAGATATCATCAAATCCAGAATATCAGTCAATTCAATAAGCCTTCCTTAAGTATACATACATACATACATACATACATATAGTAGCGATGTATAGCAAATATATCGGCAAATGCGGTGTTCCGGGTTTGTGGGGTGGTCAGGGTGGTAAGGGGAGCAGTGGCTAGAAACAAGGATTTTTAATTTCAAAGCCCAAAATACATATATTATATGTGTTGGTAAGAGTTTAATCTTGATAAACAACTTAGAAACGTGGTATTTACAAAGAAATCTCCATCGCCCATGGGAGAATTTCAAGACCCACTGATCAGGCTCTGTTCACTCATGGACAAATTATCCGATCCGTATGCAAGCGGCGGTGTCTGGAGGGGGTATCTGTTTCCCAAGGAGGATGGATCAAATGATTTTCGTGATACATTTTCCAAAATATGGAGCTGGACCCTACCACTACTTGAAGGGTCATTTGGAGCCCTCACAGGTCTAGACAGAGGCCTTTCAGCTAAGTAATGCGAGCCTGTACCTGAATAGTTCCGATAGCCAGAACATAGACTTTTTCGTAATTTTTCCACCAGTGGTCGCAGACATATCAAGCAGGCACACATTATACCAACATTCATTTCGGCCGCAGTCCAGATCGTAAGACTCGAATAATTGGTTGCCATCCCTGACAAGTTTTGTCTTAGCAGGTGATAAATGAAGGGGTTTTCGGTAAACCTACAGGAAAGAACATCTTCCCTTTTTGAGATACCTACTACAACAACACGCATTATTCCAGTGAGGCAGCCCCTATTAGCCGTTCACGTCAGTATGGTCCCCAAGTGATGGAAAACCCTCAAGAGGCAGAAGAGAGCGTACAAACTAGCCAGAAAAAAGAGAATGTAAAGAGATATTTTCTGTCGTTTGGAAACGATAACAGTGCGTAGCGCAATAATTGGCATAGAGATCGTAATAATATCTGTCAAAATGGTGAAAGTGGCATTGGAGAAGAATAGAGCCTCTATATTAAGGCATGATCCTGGTAAGGAGGGAATCCAGGACTTCTCCACTGGACCACATGCAAACAGACCACCAAAGACCGTCCACAATGTAAAACAAATGACTGTCGCTAAAACAATATAACAAGCGATTCGCATCCGAGATGTACCGAAAGCCCTTTTATACAGTAAGAGCAAAGATGCTTTCATACAACACATAGCCATATTGTAGGCTGGCGTACTTAGCCATTGGAGCAACTGTGCCACACTGAGTCAACGATACTGTTGCGACATGAAGGTATTATGCTGTTTCTTTGCAGATACTCACTAAATACTGTTGCTGTATCCCATCCAGTCCATCTATAGAGCCCTCATTAATTGTACCTATTTTGTTGACTACACACAGTTTCAATTTCTGTTAGCCCCAGATTTCATTATATTTCGGGGATTATCTTAGGAGTGTGGGCTTATTAACCAGCAATACTAAGGCTCATGTAGCAAAGAGCAAAGAACTGTTGGGGACTAGGTCAACAGCTGTTCAATTTGATCGTCGCCCACCAGCAGCAGATAGAGGACTTACCGAAGCCAATATGATAAGATAGTCGTCAACACCAACTTTCCGAAGAAGCCATATCCGGGTGCCCATTCGAGCAGCAACAAAGCCGACCGAAACCGATGTAAGGACGCTGACGGCAATCAGGTTCGATTCTGCCATCGTATCGAATTATACTGCAAGCAATTTAGAGACTGCAATTCAACGAAAATGCGATGGCAGGGCACCGATGGGGTTACTGTTCATTCTCAGCGCACGATAAAGAGAAACACATAGCGAAGTCACAACTTCGCTGAGTGGAAACGTATGGGCAACGCCAGAAACTGGAAATAAAATAAAATAACATAAACTCGGGAAGGACTGATCCTCTTCCTATTATGATAATATAAATAGCATTGATCCCCACAGAACCAGCCTCCACCCCCGCATAGCCCCGAGTTTGAGCCTCCTCATAGAGCATAACAACTAGTGATTTATGGAGCTAGTGAGACAGAGTACAATCAGGATGAGTTTATTTAAGATCATAATGGATCTATTAATGTAATAGCCTATTGTGGTATACCAGCGAGCGCTGTTCCCGTGTATTCCTCCCCTTCTGGAAGCTTTGGAAGTAGAAATGGAATTACCATATAAAGAGGTTTATTTCCATGTTTTCGTGTATGCTTCAATTTTGAACCTGTAAATATCCTAGATGAGATGAATGTTTCTCATATGAGAGCAAAGAGAGGAAAGACCGAAGGTACATGATGGCCTGCACCTCATCTTCTCAGACAAAATTTGCTTGTTGCTTAATCCATCCAAGTCACCACTTTGGTCTGTAAGAATTCGTCCAACGCTCGTGGTCCTCCTCCGAAGCGACCAAATCCGCTGTCCTTGTAGCCACCGTGGGGTAATTCGAATTCGTCATGTATGGTTGGCGAATTGATATGAACCGCACTGAGTTTGAATACCGGTTAGCAAATTGAATCCGCCTTGATGATGAAGAGTGATTGCAATGCTGAGCAAAAGCTGACTTTGTTTTTGACTCTCATTATTTTGTTCTTTCTTACCCTGATTCGAGCCTCTTGGCTAGCCGCCAGGCCCGTGCCAAATCTTCTGTATACAACGCTGCCGTCAGACCATGTTGAGTGTCATTTGCTAACGCGACGGCATCTTCTTCGGTCTCTACAACATGTAATGAAGCCACTGGACCAAAAGATTCTGCGTAATACAGTTTCATACCAGGTTCTAGTCCGGTGATAATGGTAGGGCCCATGTGAGTTGCATTGGCATTGTCTATTGCATCGGCTTGAAAGACTAGCTGAGCACCTTTGCTAACCGCATCGGAAACAAGCCCTTTGATTTTCTCCAAAGCCCCTACTGAAATTAGAGTCATGAGAGGTGCATTGGTGCCAAACATTCTCTCGGCGGTATTAACAAGAATGCACCGGAACTCATTCGCAATACTGCGTTGCACGATAATGCGCTCGGTTGCCATGCAGATTTGACCAGACTAGGGAAAACTAGAGATTAGTTGAGAGCTTTTCTTGAATACGTGAGACTGAGAATAGGAGGATACATTCATAAAAGAGCCGGATACGCATCCTACAGCAGCCTTCTGCAAATTTGCATCGTCTAGAACAATACACGGGGCTTTGCCACCTAGTTCGAGGACCAGCGGCTTCAGGTGCTGACCAGCAAGAGAGGCAATTGATGAGCCGACATTCGTACTGCCTGTGAAATTGATTTTTCGTATCGAGGGATGGGAAATCAACTTGTTCGTCACCACTTCTGCGTCCTCTCTTCGTGAATAAATTACATTCACACTGCCCTTTGGGAATCCAGCCTGACGGAATATGTCTCCCAGAGCCCAGAAGCACTTAGGGGATAGCTCCGAGCCCTTCAGAACAACCGTATTTCCCGCTGCTAAGGGGATCGCGATGGCACGAGTTCCCAGGATGAATGGAGCGTTCCTAGAAATTGTGAATTTGATCGCCAGTCAGTTCTAGTATAGTAAATGAGAGCTAGGATTTATGTCTTATATTACCATGGAGCAATCCCTAGTACTACGCCGTACGGTTCCTTCAGAACCACTGCGCTCTGATTGACATTGGCCACTGTCGGTAATATTCCTTCGACTAATGAAACAACCCCTGCGAGCGCTCGAAGCATGTCTACTCCAAGCATTACGGTGTGCTCGGCGATTTTCTTATCGCTGCCCGTCTCCAAATATTGGTATGTGGATAACACTTCTCGTTGAGAGAGCATTAAGTCAGCGGCGTTACTGAAAAGCGTGCGACGCTCCGCAGGGCTCGTCTTGGACCATGTCGAGAACGCTGCATGGGCTGCATCGACTGCACCAATTGCCTCACCAGCAGAGGCTGCAGAAGATCGATATATGGCTTTGTTGTTAAGCGGGCTAATCACTTCAAATGTGATTTCCGTCACCACTTCATTGTTGTTGACAATCAAGGGCACCAATCCATGACGAGCTGGATATTCATCGTTGTCTGGACTTTCCATAATATTCAATGGGGCGTTCGATTATTGCCTGCTCAATATCCTAGACAATTTTGCGATATACCTGTGGTGTAGCAAGACTAGTGTCACTCGGTCACCATATTCTGGCCACTGGTATTTAGAAAGACACTGAATGGCGACCAGTAATCTAGTTCGCCAAACACCAGGCACCACTTATCCATCAATACTCGCCCAGATGTATTTTAAACATTGACAAAACCGTTCCAAGAAATCAGACAGTCCCCACACAGCCGACCATTGACTTGATGATCAAACGGAATAGTGGGAGGAGCGAGGAGCATATCTCGTAATCATACCAGTATCGTATGTCATCACTTATCGGTTGAATAGTTGGTTACTAAAGATAGGCTGCGATTTTAGGGATTCCTGTGAGACACTACGGAGTATAGCCTGGGTGGTTTCTGATTTTGACACTCGTGTCGATGTCATGACGGGGAAGGAAAGACAGCACTGCTTAAAACTTCCTCAAAGGGGCACCAGGTCTAGTGTTTATAAGAGCCGTTTAGAAAATCCCCGTTACCTAGATCCTTTCCATGGCGAGCTAGAAATTAACTGCGACCACGTACTTTGTCCAAGCACACGGTGACTATATCCCAAATCCCGATTCTCAAAGAAACAAAACCTGAACAAAAGCCCGCTTGATCTGCAACTTTCTTCTCAGTTGGAAGAATACAACAGCCTCTACCATCTCCGCTATTCCGAAGCCAAGTGGATTGTGGTGTTGTGGTCACTCGAAATCGGGATCATCAAGATTTACATGGTTTGTGTAATGTGATAGTCCTGAATACATATATCGAAGACCCCCAGTGGTCAGGATTGATATTCGGGGTTTATATACTGAACTATCACTCTGTAACTTTCCATGCTATTGAAGACAATGCAATAGGTAAGTGCTAATATTACCGTGCCGAGATTCGATACCGAGAACGATAGCGAAGGAATGCCTGAGAAACTCGATATAATTATTGTTGGAGCCGGCCTTGGTGGTATGTCTTATTTTCGTATCTCCGATTGCGATAGACTAACAGAGGATAATCAACATCAAGGCCTCGCCGCTGCTGTCGCCCTCTGCCAGGACAATCACCGTGTTACCGTCTTGGAGGCATCGCAAGCTATGGGAGAAATAGGAGCCGGAATCCAAGTAACGCCAAACTTCACGCGCATTTTGCACCGGTGGGGGCTTGGCGAAGCCCTCGCCAAAGCTGGAGTCCTCCCTGAATGGGTAACTCAACGGCGATGGGAGAACGGCAAGTGTCTCACCAGATTCGCACTGAATGCAAACGACCGCATGGAGCAGGAGTTTGGTTATCAGTACTACTTGATTCATCGGAAGGATCTGCATCGCATACTACTCGAGAAAGCCGTGGAATTGGGGGCTGTTGTCAAAACCGCAAGTGCCGTTACAGGCTACGAGCTCTGTTCAACAGTACTAACCTCCGAAGTTTCAGTACAACAGCGTGTGATTTTGAGAGATGGGGCCAGTCTCGCTGCGCACTTGATAATTGCCGCAGATGGAATTAAGAGCGTTTTAAACCGATTTGTCACTGGCGCCGACTTGAAGCCGCAGCCAACTGGTGATGCTGCGTACCGCGCACTCCTGACAAGGGAGCAAATGCAAGACCCTGAACTGGCATCGCTTCGGCTGGAACAAGGGCCTACAGTCTGGCTTGGTCCAAAGAGTCACGTCGTTGGCTATTACGTAGATGGTGGTCGCCTCTATAATATGGTGATTCTCGTGCCTCAGGAAGAGGCTGATGAAGAAAACTGGAAATTACAAGGAGATGTGAATAAGCTCCGGATATTTTTCAAAGGATGGGATACCCGGCTACAGAAGATGATCGGCATGATAGGAAGTTCTTACATTTGGAATTTGTATGATCGAGAAGCACTCGACCGATGGCTCCATCCCTTGGGCAACCTGGTGCTTCTGGGTGATGCTGCTCATCCAATGCTACCTTATGTCGCTCAAGGGGCGGCAAGTGCCATTGAGGATGCTGCTTCTCTAGCTGAATGTCTGAAATCTGTACCTGCTGTACATTCATTGCGGATTTCCTTGACAGTATATGAATCTCTAAGAAAGCCCCGGGCGTATTCTATGAGAGACGCAGGACGGAAAAACCAAGTGTATTTCCATCTTCCTGACGGTAAGTCCCTCATTTTGTGCCCGAAACCATATCTCTACATCTAACTGACATCTCCTTCAGGACCGGAGCAAGAGAAACGGGATTCTGAGTTAGAGTCTGGCGACGAGAGCAAGAAGACCCCAAATCAACTTAATGACGAGAAGATTTTAGATATGATGTATGCCTACGATGTAATAGAGGAGACTCGAAAGGCGCTTTCATTCTAAACATTACATCCTATGGATTTGAGTTTCTACGTTGAAGGATGAAAGGGCACGTGATTTATTTGAGAGCTCCTTTCACATACCAAGTAAATAACACACCGGATAAATCTAGAGGATATGCACGCGTAATTAGGAGAGGCATTGATGCTAGATAAACTGCAGTTGAACAAATAGGACTTTGCTTCATGTTTGCAACTAAATACTCGTAGCTATGAATTGGACGCAAATAATTTATGTACTTCGCCAGGCTTCAGTGTGAGCACTCGGCTTCGAGTCTCACGCTCAACCGTTGAGGTGGCTACATCAGTATCAATATATTTTGGATTTAGAGGGGCCTGATCATGCAAGCACCAGATGACCTTGTCCGGTTGCCCCAGCCACTTGATTTCTTCGGTAGCAAATTGCGCAGCTGAGCCGTCGTACGGGCGGCCGTTGAGATTTGCCCGTCCAGCAATTCCTAATATGGCAATATCAGGTTGCGGCTCGATTTCCTTGAGAATTCCGCTATAACCCCAAGGTGTCCATTCCATAACAGCGTCTTTTCCCCTAGCAAAAAGTTGTAGAGAAGCTGGCCGCCATCATAGAATGAATGTTTGTTGCTCGAAGTGTCCTTGAGATAGCTTAGGAAAATCTGCATATCTTCAGGTATCGCAGGAGGCAGCTGAGGCAGTCTCATCAGGCCCCCTAAACCATAAGTCAAGGCGCGCGTGATATCTGCAGTACATGCAAAAGGAGACGATCCGGTATAGATAGTCCCAGAGTCGATCATTTCTGGTATGGACCGGTGATCGCCAGGGGGCATGAGGCAGTGTAATGATGGGTATATATGGACTGCCATCACCGCATCTGAGGAAGGCGGCATAGGTGGACCTGGAGGTCCTGGAGGTGGCTGACCAGGTGCCAATTTCTCCATCGCAGCCTTCGCTTGGACAATGGCTTCCTTTCTCTGGTCAGCAGTGAATAATGCAATGCGCTCCCCTCCGGCAACTGCCATGAGCTGTGCATCTGCAACTCCGGCATCGCGCATCACATTGATTACTTCCCCGTTGCCGACAACCAAGGCACCGGTTCTTTTAGCTAGGCGGTCCGTACCTGGGAGGCTTGTAGAAGGAGCGAGTTAATCCCACTGAAGACCATTACATCCCATGGCGTTTCTACTTACTGGTCGAAGTGGGCATGACTAACAAAAATATAGTCGCATTCATTGACGTCGTCAATAGATAGGTACTTAGGTAGGCTCTCAGGTCGGTCGAGCCAGGTATCCAGGAAAATAGTCAATCCCTTCGCTTTCAAACGAAAGGTTGTTGCCCCTGGACAGCTCAGTCGTACTGTATCAGCGGCATAACTCTTAAACGGCGTACGCATACGTACCAAACCATTCAATGGTTGCGTCGCCAGCTGCGTCAGATGACATTGTCTCGGTGATGGCACCCCTTTTCACAATTGATATCTCCTCGTTGAGTTCTGCCCGACTATCTATTCTGAATAGAGGAAGAATAAATCCTCTTTAGTGGTGCATGATCATTATCGTGTTAAATGATGGAGCCCGGTCTGTGGAGGCGGGTTGCATGTGACCTGCCCCCCGCAAACTCCGGCCCAGTTGTAGGAAAGGATGCAACCAATTTATTTCAACCATTTATCTTTCTCCTTCGCCTCTCCCAATCAAAATTTGGGGGAGTCAAATCACCACACGTATTCTCAGTATTTCGAAAGAGCAAATGATAAAGGGCAAGAAAGACAACAGATATATCTAAGCACAGAGCAAACATGCGGATCCTCGGTCTCTCAGGTGGATCAATCAATGGGAACTCTGAGATTCTCTTAAAAGTCGCTCTAAAAGCAGCACAGGAGGTCTCTCCAGACGATACACATATCAGCTTTGTTCGGATTCCAGATGTCTCTATTCCCAAACACTATCGAACTGATGACATCAGATTCTCCAACGGGGCCATCGAACAGGTTGACGACGACCCGTTGGTGCCAGATGACCGGCCTTTTGTCCTAGATTTGATCATGCAAGCAGATGTTATCATCTTGTCCTGTCCAATATATACTCGAACTATTCCAGGCATAGTAAAACATTTCCAAGACAAGACTATGGGACCGTTCCAGGACACCGCCATGGCTCGACTACGCCAAAAGTCCCAACCTGGTGATGATCAGGAGAAATACGATCTTCTTTTTAAGCCTCGTGTCGCCGGTCTCATTGCTGTTGGCGGGGCTGCTGGTACGGACTGGACTCCATTTGGGTTACCAGTCATGCACCAGATGCTGTTTCCAATGGGTGTCAAGGTGGTTTCGCAATTTCAAATCCACGGCTGCGGCCTTCCTGCGTCTGTACTGCTTGATTCTGCAGCCATTTCTCGCGCTCAGGGTTTGGGCAAGGCCGTTGTTTCACAAGCAGGGAAACATGACGCTTTGTTTCTAGGAGATCAGAAGGGTGTCTGTCCACTGTGCCATTTGAACATGATCGTCATAAAGAGTGGCAACCTGATCGAATGTGCAACCTGTGGAGCTTCAGGTAAGCTTGTTGCAAGCCAAGATGCAACTGGCCAGCATAGTGTGGTTGCGAACTTCGATGCAGACGGTCAAAAGACCTCCGTCCTAACGGAGTCGGGGAAAGACATTCATCTACAAGAGATAATTCGTATTGGGTCGGCTCTACGGCCGCAGCTTCCTTCCTTGGAATCTCAGAGAGAAGAATTTAAAGGGCTCGATGATGTGTGGCTGGCTGAGCTACCCAGTAAAACGCACTGCAAATAACGCTCGAGTGTTCAGCTGGTGATGTCGTTCATATTGAACGCGAGGCCTAAATTTTGTGTTGTACTAGAGTTCTTCATTAGGTATACGGAGCATATTGGTCATTGCTTCCCGTATCTCTTAGGATCAAGGAATAATATTATTCCAAATTCTCGAATTATCAAACTGTAGATAATGGATTGTCTCTGATCACTTGATCATCCTGCCTCATAACAGCAGTTACAATTAGAAGTCGACTAAGATGAACATATTCTCTGAGAAGAGTAGAACACATGATAAATGTAGAATATCAACTACTGACTACAGGCATGAAGCCTGGACTTTTTTTCTCCCAATAAAACGGCATATCAAAGAAGCTTATAAGCATCACTTAAATCTTGCACGCCTGTTCCTTCGACTGCTTTTGCTTCTAGCACACCGAGCACCGGAATCTCAGCTAATCTTGACACGACACTATGCAGCGTCGGTAACTCCTGCCAGCTTAATGGGTCAAATGCCACCTGCGCCGTGCGTGCCTTGCGAACGCGTCTGATGCGTGGAGGGCTTTCTGGTGGTGGAACGACAACCGTGTAATCAGCATCAGCTTTTCCTGGGCACCCCACCGCTGGGATGTAACGGTAAATTAAAAGACCTCCATCTTTAGGTTTCGGCACTTCCTCTGAAAACATATACGAGGACTGTGGAACAGTGTGCATTTCCTGTAAGTCTTCCCATTGGAGATGAGCAAACGCGTGACCCCTCCAGCCTGCCCTAACCTGTACAGAATCGTTGGTCCGCGATACGTCAATCGAAGCGAAGAGTTTAGGAAAACCAAGTTCCTCTCTGCCGGTTAATATAGGATCGGCCAAGTTCTCAAAGAGAACTACTAGAAAGCTCCCTTGAAGGACGTTACCTTCTTTGTTCGTGTACTGGATCCCGTGCAAAGTCAGCCCTAGCATATCATAACCGCCTCCACCAAGCCAGTCCATTTGATCAATCGTATTGCAGCTAATTGTTGCTTCTGCAATTGTACCCAAGGAACTGAACCGGAATGAAGAATTGGGAAGGAGATTGTCTAGAATGGCACGGGATGTTTGAAAACGAATCGAGGCCGTATTAAAAGTCGAGTGTTCACCTACGTGAGGATTTCCGAGCCAGTCTTGACGGGGCCCGGGCAATGGCCCGAACGATACTGGGGCTCTCCAGTACACTGGGCAATCTTCTTGATTCCATATCCAGTTTCGGAGTTGTTGGGTAGAATGATGCCATGCATCATAACCAAATATTGTACTCATCCATTGTGGCATGCCTACATGAGCGTTAGTCACGATGTTCTTTTGTTTCAAAACTATATCACAACCTTCAGGATAGACAGTACCTTGATCATGATGGTCCTTTTTATTACTATTGTCAGCAATATGCAACTGTTTTTTAACACTCTCTACACGGGCCTTTCGGCACTCTTGAAGAAGTTTCAGCCGTGCGGGGATTTCCTGATGCGGTGTGTTTTTTGGAAGCATAGCAGATAGCGAGACCGCATCTTCAATGCTCATACTGGCACTCAATTCTTGGAAAGGACCTGACAAGTATATATTAGCAGACAGCGTGCAAACCGGGATAAAGGCCTCCAAACCTTCGATTTTCCCACGGGCTGCGTCTCCCAACAGTATAAAACGGCCAGAGGATGTTTGATCATCTTTAGCTATATAGTGCTTTGTTTTCGATAGTTTACAAGTCTCAATACCCTGTCTCATCAAAGGCTGTATACCTTGTGAGGACCCAAATACTGTCTGTATCAGAATCCTTTTGATGGTCACTATTTGGAATATTCTAGGTGAGTTGTATCCTCAATACTAAACAAGGCGCAATACTTACATGAATGTTCCTTATCTTCGTCAAAGGAATCGCGGCAGAGGCTCATTATGTGAGTAACACTATCCTTTGAACCAACACATGAATGTATAATCCTATCGCCGTCGATCTGCCTAACCAGGACCCCTTCGTCTGCTGCGCTTGAGGTACATAGTTTATGCTGAATTGACATTGCGATGGTTGTAAAGCCACTAGGAACGGGATCCTCGCCTATTATAGCTAGGCGACGTGTAATAGACTGGATTTTCTGTTTTTCAGCTTCTATACAGGCTGCGTTTATAGACGTATTGGTCATATTGCCTCTCCTACCTGTTGTCCATCTGCTCCAATGATCAAATCCGCCGAGTACATATCTCCATTTTCCGTGGTTAGAGTTCCTGTCTCGGTTTCTAAACCCACGATCTCACAGTAATCTGAAATGATATACTGATGAACTCCGTGCCGGTTCTTGGTTACTAATTGCGACCGTAATCCATCCAACAAATTCCGACGAGACACTATCCACCACGGCTATCAGATGTTAATTGATGCCGTACGTAGTTTGTTGTTCAGCGTTTTGGTATACCACTTACATACTGCCAAGTTTTGCCTATTTCTTGGGCATAGATGAAGTTGCATTTTTCCATTCCGTCTTCGTATTCTCTGAACTAAAAAGACGTCTGTGAGCACTGAACAGATGGATAGTCTTACAATCGATCAAAATTCTTCCATCACGCCTGATCCGTGCTAAACTCACCTTGTGGATCTGTCGTCCTCCTATATCTTCTGCGGAAAGACCTACACGCCCTAGAATGCTGGTAATATTCGGTGTCAGGTGCAGGATATCATCATCGTGCTCATCGGTCGAAGAGGATGGAGAAGATGGGAAAATCTGCGACATTGAGAACTGAGCTGTGCGGTTCCAATAACAGACTCATTGCCAGGAAGTGCCTACGGTAACTTGGTGTCCTTGGAGTTGAAGGGCCACACTCGCGACCAAAGCATCCAGCCCGTCACCAACAACTAACACAGATAGGAAATCACGAGTGAGTCTATCTTCAGCCCTAGACATAATGTTAAATATCCAATTAGATGTATTTTGAAGAGAACGAGAAGGGAAATCAATGAAAACTAGCTATGTGTACATGATGAAAGGGCAAGAGAGGGTGGGATGACAGCTATCTTTCAAGCTGCCATATATTTTTCGCCCCTGTTTCGCATACATGTGTTCTAAAAGCATCCCTCGGGCAGTGGGGTTGGGAGATTAAACATTGAATTCGAAATATGTGTAAAATAGCACACAGACTACTGTGGGCAAGACTGCCCAACAGATGCGAGGAAAGCCGCAGATATGATTTACTTGTAGATTAAAATTCAAGTTCCCTGGCTAAACTCGCTTGCGTTACAAAATTTATAGTAATCATACAACTTTCCAATTACGCGTTGGCCGTCCACAAAGACCGGATCCACCAAATACCAAGACCGGTTGTTCCAAGAAGCACTGCAAGAAAATGAGCCAATCCCATTCTTGCACCCTGTTCAAAAAATCCAACCTGAAATCCTGACTTTTGAACTGGAGGTTTCAGTGTGTCTCCTTCTATAGCCGCCTCCAGTGTGGTTATTAATAGGTCTGACGGGAATGTGAATAAGCTGCTGTTCACGGAAACATCCTGACGAACATTGAAAATTGGAGATGGCTTTAAGTACTGATTCAACACCTGCTCAATGGGGAAAAATGGCAACGGCAAGAAGTGATTTGATAGTGGTATTCCATTTACATAAGTAGGTTCGGTGGAGATGTTGGTCAGATAACGACTTTCAGGCATGTTGCAGAAATAGTACCAGCCAGAAGGGCCTTGCGGCGGAATTCTATATATTATTCAGGTTAGCAACTGCTCTGTGAACTTCTCCATAGCCATTTGCTGTTGGGCTTACAATTGGGCGCCTAAGCTCATTGCAGCCTCCACGCTGGTGACTGGCACTATCAGAAGCCGGGCCCTAGGCGATTGAGAACCGCCGTTCACAAAAGACTTCAAAGGGAAATAATCGTCCAAGTATCTTTAAGGGAAGACATTTCCAGTCAGCGTTTATTATGAAATATGAATCAATAAAATAAAGACTATAGGGGGACCAAGAGGGAATGACAACCTCCAGTCTGCTTTGCCCACCAATATATCGCCGCCTTGAACCTCCGTGATCGAGCCGCCCAAGGCTTTAAACGCTTGGACTGCGTCTGAAGAAGCTTTATCTTTTTTAAATGAGGTGGGGCTTTTCGACATCAATTGATGACCAGCCAAGGATGCCTCGCCTACAGCTGTTTCCAATGCAGCGCGAAACTCAGGAAGAATGAATTCATCGACGAAAACGACACTTGGACTAACCAAGGACTGTCCGGAAAGGACGATAAATTTGGCCACCGAAATATCTCTTGCCGCCTGTTTAATATCCGCATTTCTTGTTACAATGCATGGCCAGGCCGTGGATATCGCATGGATTAGGCGACGCTCCTGAGAGGCGTAGTGGCTGTCGCTCTGCTTGGTTAAATCGAGTGCCTGTTCATCGCTGATGACAACAGCATCGAATGGACACTCCAAGAGAGCGGTGATGCTTTTCTTATAATCCGCTTCGGAATTAGGTACCACTAATTGAAGGATCTCTGCATCGACTTTGGATCTCTCATATAAGTGCTGTAACTCGATAATTGTCGCTCTCCACTTGTCTGCAGATGGAAGGACAATTACCGACGTATTCCCTGTGGCAATTGTGTAGGCTGCTTGAACAAGTGCCTGAGCGACGACAAGACGGTTGCCATTTAGCACCAACACTGTCCCTAGTGGTTGTGAGCGATGTAGATTGTCTCTGCCCTGCTCTATCATTTGCTCTGCTGCCAATGACTTGCCAAAATCAAGGAAATGGAAAACCTCTCGAAGTTTCCATAGGGTTGTATGGATTTCCAGCAAGGCGTCGGCCGCACTATATCCGTCTGTTATATTGAAACCAATGTCAGGCTCCTCGATCGTATTGTCAATGCACGATGATGGGACTTATGTATGACCTTTCTGCAATGCTATCACCAATTTCGATCGGTTGAGCTTCAAAGCATGATGCAGTCTTTGGATCTCTCTTTTCCTCCGTTGCACGCTCTCGATTCGCCCCTCTAACTTCGCCGTGTAGACGGTGGAGAAGACCGCATCTACCATATTGAGAAAGTGTTTTAAAAGTCAATATTCAGATTCCGAGAAGTTCTGCTCGGTTACCGCGAACGATAAATTCTGTCCTGCTATCTTAAGTAGGTTGAAGTTGATTTTCATTTTGTTACACGAGACAGTGTCGTGCAGCATATCTCCACAACCCGACCTGAGCGGTTGTGTGGAGACCTCGTTATTCAGGAGATTCGGGTATGTAGCGCTCACTACATTTCATCGAAGGCTTTTCCGCAGTTATTGAATCTATCTTTTAATCTAACTGTGTATGCCACAGAAAATATCACTTCGACAATATGTTTTCATCGACAGCCCAAACCCTCCAACAATACAGTCAGGCAGAGCGCACTGCTGCGCTTCGTCTCCTTGCTGACTATGAGGTTAAGCGGACAATTTATTCAAGTGATGAAGAACAAGATAGCACCAACTTCGCCAATTCTCCAGTGAATTCACTAGCACAAGCTGATGATACACGCATTGACCCGAGCACAGCGAGACATCCTCGCGTGCCAAACGTGATCGCCCCGGCTAGTTGGCCTAGAAGTTTTAGACGAATGCCTCCATACAGGCCCATCAATTATGACTTGGATGCCCAAGAACGGCCGACAGGCGACAATCCTGTCATTTCTGTGTTTCTCGTCATTGTGTTTTGTGGCTGTGGATTGATGAGTGTAAGATTGAATCATTCCCCTGATCTCAAAGAAAGGTCAATAAAAGTCATATCACATAGACATACGCATGGGCCTGGAGAAATACGTTGGGTCGATTCGACAAGACGTCTTTTTACTACCAAATTGGAGGAGAATATTGACCACGACAGTCATTGACTCACCACAAAATTTTCTTGACCAGCTACTGGACTCTGGGCAAAGGTTGCTTACTTCAAATAGTGACTATTCAATGACGAGAGATCTATCGATGTGTCATGCTCTAGCAGCGTTAACCCAACCTACAACTAAATATGTATACTTTAGTGGTTGTTGAGAATGCCTGGATTTCACGCGAATTACAATGTCTATAAGATATAAAATCAATAAGCAAAACATGTAAATGTATATATACTGATACCAATATGATAGAGAATACTTCTATTGCAGGCATATTGTAAGAAATTTAGACAGATAGGCAATTGCAGGAGATAGAGATTACTTAGGGAAGCTGGGCTCAATTCAAGACATAGGAAAAAAGTGGCAACATTGAGAAGAAACGTTAAATGGTACTAACCCAATTATGATTCTACATTTTATGACCGATTATAAAGTGCTGATAAACCTCATGTAATTAATCTCCTTATCAGCATCCAGAAGAGAAACTAGACAAGGATATTTTATTCCCAGGTGCCCAGTTGAAACTGACTATTTGCCATATTGACCAACTCCCAACACTCGGCTAAAAAAGAGTTTGGCCAGGCAACATCTTCCAAGTCCCCAGCTACACCGCTAATAAAAGCTGCTGAGATGAAATGATCATCTGTGCCATGAGCCTCCCGGTATCTCGGATGTTTCATGAGTTTCGCGATTGCTCTCCGCAAGACCGGGCCACGATTCATTGTAAAGGCGTCCTCCATTGCCTGCCGGAACTCGAGAGCAAAATCACCCGGAGGTACTGATTGTGCGAAATTATCTCTGTATAGAACCATTTGCATCCAATAGTTGCGGTAGAGGTTATGCACCGTGCCACCAGAACCGACAATCAGCACGTTCTCGTATCGCAGCGGTCGCAGAACGGCACCCATCTTGATATGGTAATGAGGGTCAAACCGCGCATTTGCAGAAATCACCACAACTGGGATATTTGAGTTCCGTAAAGGAAACATGCGTATCAAAATTAAGAAAGTGTCGTGGATGTAGTCAAATGTCGTATTTGCTTCAACCTCAAACCCACTCTCCTGTAGCATGCCAATGACCCTATGGCCAAGAGGGATGTCGGGGACGAGTTTAAAATTGTGGTATCGTTTCGGCGCCACGTAGGCTACCTATACGGGCACGAATTTTTGCATCAGCTTTAGTCAATTACATGGTATTCCAAGACAAGAATATGCACACTGGTGTCTTCTGTGGCTGCGGGTTCATGGCAACTTCAATCTTGTTTCCTGTGCATTCCCAGTGTGCGCCTATCCAAATGTATAAAAATCAGCTTCATAATTCATTGGAAACTAGTTTCTTGTATAGGCCCTCCCCAAAATAGAAAGGACTCACCCATCATTACTATGCTTTTTACGCCACGTTTTTGTGCCTCATCGCCAACAGATTTCCAGACCTCGGCCGGCTCCGATTCCTCACCGAGCATCATAGTCGAGCCATGAGAGAAAAAGAAAGCTGGGGTTGGATCTATCTTAAATCGAGAGTTGCCTTAGCGTCAGTTACAGCAAGCGCAAGGCTGTATGATTCATGGGTATGCTTTACTTACGGATAGGCATGGTTTTCCAGTGTGCTAAGGGTGCAGCAATGTCCAGAATTGATAATTTTATTCAGCCAAATACAAAAACATGTACGACGGCCTGCCTGCTCTCCCCCTTTTACCTTGTAGATTGACAACAGTTGGTCTAGGAAATCGTTCACGCTATTTCCGGAATTGGTCAATCGGCCAAGGTGGTCGGCTCAGCGGGGCGGAGAGCTTTCATATAACAATCGGCTGAGAGGGGGGAGGATGATGAACACTGTTGTTCGATAAGTTCCAGTCCATTTTCAGACACGCTACCAAAAACGGTGATGGGTGCCCAAGTGTTACATCTGGCCTATTATCTGCACTAATAATGAGAATATGTATCAGTTTTCACATGATCCTATGAGGAAATGCAAGCTAACAATACATATGTAAATAAGTCTCGCTTTATGGAGATGTTATTGGACGCAAAATTCGCTAGTAAAAGCCCACACTGAATCTTCTAAATTTTTCCGCATAGTCTAATATCGTGGAAATCGTGGTTGGTGCGTAATGTTTTTTTACCTCCAGTAACTTTGCGAGGCCAAGCCTTGAACGGCTCTCGGTATGTCCGGTATGTCCACCTGGGCCAAATTTGCAACTGTCTCCGAGCAGACCAACTCAAACTGACGGTCTCTCAGATGCAATGGGAATTTGTCATCCCCTCTCCTTTTCGCTTCCGATTTGCGTTACTCGTCCTAACCCTCAATTTATACTAGTAGTTGGACTTTCGAACTCGAGACACCATATCAATGTGTTGTACTAATTACTATTTCACGTTTCTCTCAATGATAAACATGTTGTATACAAATCTAAATTTATGATTCTCCGTTGAACATACGAAGCTCGTGATAATCAGCGCCATATCAGCGCACTAATTACCCATTTTGATTTCATTTTGGTTCATAGCCTTAGAAAGAAAGTTTTGCACTGCGCTGAAACGGTGTGCAGGTTGCATGGTTATTGGTGCACTTTTGCATAGCGAGCACCACGGGAGCTGGAACTGTCGGTGTCAGAGACACATTGCTTCAACCTCTCCAGCCAGCTTGCTAGTCCTTGACTAAGTGCCCAGGAATCCATAGACGCTAGGATTTTGGAGCCTAGATCAAGGAGACGTAACGAAGAGGTTGCACAGGGAATTGGTCCCACCTCGGTTATATGAGTCCGTATTGCAGGCTCATTGTTTATCCATGCTTGTGTAACAGAGTCATTGCCATTTTTATCCAGACGAGCAACTCGCAAGCGCATCTGCGGCGATACTCTGGCCTCGTTGTCATTCTCACCATCGAGAGAAAGGTTATTATATGTCCAGAGCGCGAGGGTAGCAAGGAGAGCCATCAACGGACTGGAAAACGAATGTGGATGTGGGTTTAAGCGGAGAAGGCTGCACAACTTCGCAGCATGAACAGCGGCTACCCTGGCGTTACGGCCACCATCCTGAGCTACCCAGTTCTGTAGCTGTTGAAGATCATGGGACTGGCACTGATTCATTCGGAAAGATCTCGTATAGTCCAGCATCTGTTCTTGAGGGATGTTTAGTAATACTATAGCCAGATCTATGTGGCAGTCAAGACTGAACTGCAATGGTCCAGGTGAAAAAGAAAATAGTCGCAGGGATTCTAAAGCCCTTACGGCGGTAGATATCAGTGAAAGAGAAGCTTGGTCGCCCTGGATCTTCTGACCGGCGAAAGGGTCAGCGATCTGTTGTTGGTGTGCTGCCACAGACCGGTAGAGGGCGAAAACTAGAATCACTCGCGAAAAATGGCCTAATTCTTGAGCCATAGGTTTGCCTAGCCGGAGTTGGGATAGAGCTGCAGTAACGCCTAAGCTCATTTGCTGTACGGCTCCTTGAGTGTCTCCTATGTGAAAAATATGTTACTCGAATTTCGTTGGGGTACATAACGCGGCGCATTACCATAATCGGTACGTTCCCAGTAACGCCTCATATAGGCCACTTTCCACGTTTCTGCACTAGGGGAGTCCCAAATTTCATCGGGGCAAGGTAGGGATTGACGTAACTCGGTTACTGCCATATTTGCATGCAAGTTGAGGTACATGGCGGCGTGAGCATCAAGTAACTGTACTCTGTTGTCAGACAGAATTCTCCTCCAGTAATTAGGGCAGTAGGGAAAGCATTCTTCTCTAGATACTCACAAAGACACAGAAGCCCAATCTTCTTAGCGATTCATCATGTGCCCACTGTTGCCATTTATGCTCCAGAAGCATTCCTTGAGTTGTTGGACCTATTGACGGCTGACCGACTGAACTTTGAAGTGAGCCGTTTCTGCGACATAATGTCACGGGAGTATTCCGAGATGCCTCTGCAATCTCGAACAGCCTCCTGTCTCCGCTGTACATCATACCAATGGAGTTGAGGACAATCGTCTGCGCCATTGAGAGTTGCCGAGCTTGACTATTATCTTGTTCACACTACGGGATGTGATAGTCAGTAACAGCATACTACACCGGTTTATAACACTCTTCTGGACTAGTAACCTACTGTGTACGCAATTGCTCGACGTAAGAGCTCTTGTAAGGCATCCGCGCATCTACTGGACTGTTCAATCTTGGAGTACCGGCAACCGATCGCAGCCGTAGCTAAAAGCAACAATCGTGGAACATGCTCCGGGTTGAAGGTTGCTTGGTGAAGCATAGGGAACACAGAATGGAAATACTCAAAGTAAAGTTGAATAAAGCAGTTTAGCACCTTCAGTGGAGGCAATGCCGAGTTTTTGAACGGTATGTAGTGTGTCCCGTTATTACTGGTTCGTTCGACGAAATGAACGATCCCGTCGTATGCATCCTGGCTAAGCTGATTGACGTGGGCGAAGTCTTCAGCGTCTATAACGTCCATGGGTATGTGGCGCATATCTGGAAAGCTTGTCAAGTTGTCCAATTTACTGGGCTCCCAGTCCGTTGGCCACGAATGAGTATTTGCATTCTGCCTTTGTCCGCCGTCTGATATAATCTGCTGTACACCGTGGTCGCCTGAAAATTGGGATGTTTGTTGGGGATGATCGTATGGTAGTCCACCATAGGTTCTCTGGTTCGCGTTACAATCGTTATAACTACGAGGGAACTGTTGTTCCTCATGCTCATTGAGGGGAGGCAACCTGCGGAAGTCCGAATCCTGAACGTTGTTTAGGGACATATCGGGTATAATAGGCATGAAGGTGCTGTCTCTCATTAAGTGATCGGTGATATTGTCGAGAGCCGAGTCGAAGGTCATCCAGTCCACGATGCCAAACTCATGTATGGGTGATATATCATCTCTATCAAGAGCCATAGTTATGCCACTCGAATCAGTGGGAAAACTCATATCTTTTGACTGCAGTTGCGTCGATGCCGTGGGGGTCATCATCTGATAGGTGCCATATAAGCGAGCTGGTGAGATGTCCACATCTGTTTGTGACAGTATAGCAGGCACTAACTCCGGAGTGGTTTCACTGATACTGCTATGCATGGCGCGCGATGCGACAGGTGACACCGTACCCATTGTATTTGGAAGGCCATTTCCTTGTTGTATCTCGAAACCATGGTTCTTCTCCCCAGTCGTTTCGCTACCATCACTACTGCCTGCTTGGCGCATATTCTGAGACCGAGGTTCGCTCACCGCTTCATCATAATCGTTGCGCATATCTTGGTTTGGCCTTGGTGTCACCCTTATGTTGTCAGGATGTTCCAAACTAGTCGGCGACCGAGTGGGCTCGGGAGACAATCTATCTTCTTCGTCTTCCGCTTGCTCTTCTGTTATATCTTCTGGATCAGCTGGAGAGGATTGAGAGCCTGTGAGGACGGCGATCCTTGTCCGCGAGCGGTGAACATAAATGCATTGCACGCTCTTTGAAGTACATCTCTCACAAGGTTTCTTCCCATCACATCTCAGTCTGAGCCGTGCGCAATGATTACACGCTCGGGAAACCCGAGGGGCAGTGCTAGTTGTTACTAGGCGACTATTTGATGATTTGTGAATAGAAGTGTGGCGGTTCAGCGAATCCCTTCCTCAAGAAGGCATGATTAGCAAAGAGGAAAAGAGGACTCCCGAAACGGCAGCAAAAAGTAAAGCACTCACCTACGAGTAAACGCTTTCTGACAGACAGGGCATGTGAAGGGTCTGCTGTTGGTATGGGATAAACGGTGGCGCGAGAGATGCTCCAGGCGCTTGAAAGAGTCGCCACAAATGGAGCACTTATATCCAGCATTCGAGGCTCCGTTTTTCTTGTTTGTCGGCATCAATTTGAGGACGATTATAGCTTAATCCAGTGATAAATACCACGCTAGTACAAAGGGAGAGACTGGAGTTGCTCGGTAGTAGGTGATTGCGCTGTGCAAAGGAGAGCACGGTCTAGTGGGACGCAATATCACGAGCTTGGCCGGTCAAAAACAGTGATGCGGTCGCTGTGGGGGTTACATTTGCGCGGCGTAACTTTGTGCAAGGAGCCGGTAGGGAAGAGAAAATGTGTTATATTTTAGCATGGGATGCTCGACAAGCGTTCCAAATGTTAGTTATAGATGGTGAGCGAGGGCGAACATGAGTGTCCGGGGTCATGTGCTCGTACCAAACATGTAACATGTTTGGAACGCTATAAATGCGCCCCCCTCTAGATTGGGTTAGTGGCTCTATTGGCGTTTTTGAAGCGTATTAGACGGTTCCGCCCGAATTGGGAGGAGCTTTGAAATTCCGGAAAGTAGCATTACGTCGCAATTGCGCACGAAGCGGATACTAGTTATGGGCGATTACCAAATCCGCTAGTAATTTACGTGTAAATTCTACCCACGACGAAGGTCGACATCCTCCTCTGCCTCTGCCTCTGCCTACTGAGGGCAAGCATCTTTAATCTCTTATCAACCCCTGGACCCTGGTTGTTCCCTGCATATGCAGATGTAGATGCAATTTTAAGTGCCGAGATCCCACCCCGGGTATGAGGCGTTTAAGTTCGCGTTTAAATTCGCATTCAAGTGCCGTGTCTGTGCTGAACAAATAAATCATTTGCCTTGGTGTTCCCCCACAATCCGGCGACCTGTAAAAGCCAACGTCATGCATACAAAAAAAACGCTAAGCAACTGCACTCTGACTGACCCATGGCCACAGAGCAAGAAAAACGGGGTAGCGATTATTTCCAAAGGCGCAAATTAAAACCTCAAGCCTCCCTCCGCTCCAGTACCAACGAGGAAGATGGTGGTGGGCTGCTGATAGGTCGCCCTATACGAAACTGCGAAACTGCCGATTCTGCAATGGCCCTGAAAGTGATCATCGTAGGTGCCGGGCTGGCAGGCTCCCTCCTTGCCAATGGACTCCTCAACAATGACATAGATTTCGTCCTATATGAGTCGGATGAGCAAAGCTCGAACCGTGAAGGGTATCAGATTCGCCTAGGAAGTCCCGCACTGGCAGGCTTCAACGCCTGCCTGCCCCCCGAAGACAAAGACGCCCTGATTGCTAAATTTGGCCGGTCTGGAGGCATGATATCCTCGGCGCCAATATTATATAACACACGCTTTAAAGTCTTGTTGGACCTTACCAAGTTTCCCGCCTATACCAAGTCGGCGCCTATCAACCGGGTTATTCTCCGTGATTTCTTTCGCAAAGGACTTGATGTGGCAGAAAAAATCCAGTACGGAAAGCAGTTTAAAGAGTATCGGGTCATTCCATCAGAGGACGGCTTGAGTAAAGTCGAGGTCCTATTTGAAGACGGGTCGCTAGATGTTTGTGACCTTCTAATCTCTGCCGAGGGAAGCCGCTCGAGGGTAATGTTGAAGTATCCCACCGAAATTAGGTGGATAACTGACAACGTTTACACTGCAGGTCAATCACCAAATTGGGCTGGATAACATTGTGCAATTAACCGACAAATGGCGATTTCTGGCCAAGGGTCCTCTATCAACGGAGAAGTTGAAAAGCTTGCCGCCAGAAATCAAGAAGGGGCCAATTACAGTACTCAAAGATGGATTAATATTGTTTTTTTCCGGTACTCTTCTCGTCCTTTTTTCGAATACTATTTTTTTAACCTATTATACACTAACCTCCACAGCATATCTGCCAGCGCCAAAAAATAGTACTCCGCCAGGAAATCCAGATGAACAAGGAGGCAAAGAGCATGAGACTATTTCAGACGGTGCTAGCTTATTCTGGAGTTTGTCTGTGCCATCTGAAAGGGTCCAAAAAGCAGGAGATGCAGCGTTTCAGGATAGGCTTGCCTTCTGCATCGAACAATTGAAAGACTGGGATTCAGGATTGTCAGTGACATGGGATCTCTGAGTTTGTTAGCATGTTGAACTAACGCAGTTTGTAGCCATGAGATGCTGAAGGCCACCGATGACACATATATTCATGTATTCCAAGCTCGCGCGAGTGAAATGCCTAAAAAGACCTGGCGTGTCGACCAACGAGCAGCCTCGAAAGGTAACCCAGCAGTTGGACACAGTCATGTGTGGCTCATTGGCGATGCCATTCATCCTATGCTTCCATCGCGGTACATCACTTGCCATTCCTAATGCCCTTTTTCTATCATAATAGGCTCATATTAAAATTATAGGGGTATGGGTGGAAACCAAGCGATGCGCGACACGGCTGATGCACTACCGATTATCCTCCAGTTAGCCAAAAAGTCGGCACATAGCGGACTTTCAGATGTTGACTTTGAGAAAGCGGTCCTCGACTATGAGTCCCTCATGATGTCCCGTGCGTTTGGCTGGGTCAAAGCCAGCGGGGGTACGAGTGGAGAGGTAAGACATTTCAAACATTATCCTGATCCAGTTGAGCTAACATCTCGGATGCAGATGGTTGAGCCTGAAAGCATCAAAGGTAAAATCCTACTTCTCTTTGCTGCTGGTGTTCTTCATATTGTCCATGTCTTTTTCCTCATCCGTACTGCGTTCGGGTATCGACCAAAAGATGACGCCCCAGAGCTACTAGACTAGCCACCGGCCAATTCTTCAATACACATGTTAGAATGCATTGTAGAATTAGTTCAATTACAAATGCGCTCTGTTTTACTTAACAAACAATTTTTTTTTAGCTCGTTATTGCTCTATTCCATCGCTTCTACATGACCAGGCCCTAATCAACCATACAAAAGTCGCGAAGTGGCTGGCACTGCTCTGTAACGTGCGGTAGCGATACGCAATCCCCATAACTAGCTCTATGTTACATATATATTCACATCAACCCGCATAAGTACTATCAATAATTACGTAAATTCTCTCCGCTTGAACGGTGATCCCATGGCTGATTTGAGAGAGACATTGCATCTCGGCTTGTGGGGAGCCCCATGGGGGGACGGCGCGGGGGTGCTTCAAGTTACGCCACCACAAGTCCCGAGCCCTGGTTAGTGAGAAGCACGGAGCATTCTATTGCCTGGCGTAATGTGTGCCGTTGATCATATTCCAGTCACAACTTAGAAGACTCGCATAGCATTTATCAACCCCTGAAGCTGCCCGTGCCTTTGGATTTCATTCTTAGATGTCATTTTTCTTTTTATTATGACCATCGTCGCTGTTATTATTACTATTATCATTACTTATTCATAATCCCCGGAGCGACCCGGTAGATCATTCCATACGCAAAATGAAGGACACGGATAATACCTCTCCTGTCAGTAAAATGGATCTCGAGCTTGAGCACCTTGAAAGCGTGACCCAGGGGACAACTCGATTGTATGACGGCGCATTCATTCGCCTGGTGCCCATGCCCTCGAACCATCCTGATGGTATGTTCTCTCATCCTTGTCTTTGCTCCTTCCGATTGTATTTTTTTGTGCATCAGAAACATAAATACGATCTGTAATTCTGGTTTTTTTCTTGTACCTTGAACCCATCGAAGAGCAAAAGATGAAAAAGTTGATTATATGTTCAAGATCCATTGAATATGAGGTCCTACAGAAGAACACTGGCTATTATATCGGTTCTTTTCTGTAAGTGGTACACGGCTGCTAGCAGCTTCTCTAGCAGCACAAGGTTTACAGTCAATTAACTGACATTAGATGGCGCCATTGCGATTGCTATGCAGCAAATCATGGCATCTTTTCTCCCGGTGTTTATGCTCGAGTATGCTGGCCTAGATCCCAAATTGCTAAATAACCCCGGGGGTCTTAATGGCGTGTTGGCTGGACGGTTGGGGCCGATACAGGGTGGTGCAGGTGGCCCTCTTCCTGCAGCCAGTGGAAGCAGCAATCCTCTTGCGGCGCTCGCTGCTATACCTGGAGCACAACCACTCAGCAGAGTGAATTTTCTGGCTTCATTTCCCGTCCTGATGGTTGGTTTGAGCAATTACTTCCTCATCCCACTTGCTGTCACATTTGGACGTCGTCCCGTCATGATCTTTTGCGGAGCCATCGCCTGGACTGCCTGCGTTTGGGCAGGTCGAAGCACATCTCTGTCTTCACATATTGCCGCCAGATGCATTCAAGCTATTGGTGCCGGAGCGGTTGAGAGTCTGATTCCACTGATTGTACAAGATATGTCATTCATTCATCAACGAAACCGCGCTATCGGCATGGTCTGGGCGTCCCAGGTATGCTAGTGCCCCCACCCCCAACCTCTGTTAACCGTATCATGGTAAAGGGAGAGAAAAGGAAATAAAAGAAGGAACACTTTGGTTCTGCTAGGAAAGTTTCTGACAGGATACGGTTAGGGCGTCATCACAATTTCGCTTGGTATTGGCGCGAACTATATTGTATCCCGTATTAGTTGGCGTTGGTTATATTTCATCGGAGCAATCATTACCGCGGTATCTTGGCTAATGATTATCTTCCTGATGCCCGAAACCCGTTGGGAACGTTCACCCTCCGAACTCAGTGAGCGGCTCCGTATTTTCGTATAGTCATTCCGAAAGACCTTGGTTTTTCTGATTCGTTTTGTAGGAGGCGAAAAAGACGACCTAGACCCGACAAAACGGCGACCAGATATTGACTATGAGACCTACGGCCGTCCTACACCCTGGTCAGAATTTGGATTCTTCCGAAATGGCGGAGTCAATGCAAAGGCCGGACTTGAGGCGGTGGTTGGAATCATGTCAAGTTTGACCTTACCAGCGGTCATCTACTGTGTGATCATGAACGCAGTGCTCTTGGGTATCAGCTTGGGAGCTAGTCTCACGGCCACGACGGTGCTTTTGGCGCCACCATACAATTGGCCATTCTCCAGCTTGGGCTTGCTTGTCATCGCGCCGTTTATCGCTAGCATTTTTGTGGCCGTTATTGGGGGATATCTGTCCGACAAGACTACTAATTATCTCACCAAGAAGTCTGGTGGCGTTCGCGAGCCCGAGGCTCATCTCTGGAACTTTATATTTCCATTGTTGGCGGGCGTGGTGGGCAGTGTTCTATACGGTGTCGGGGGAACACTCGTTGAGACCGTCCATTGGATGTGCCTGTTATCCGGGATCTGCCTGTTAACATTTTCTTTTCTCACAGTGAATGTGCAGGCCTCCGTATTTTGCATTGAGAGCTATCCCACCTTGGCAGGGTCAGAGATCCCCTCTATTCCGGCCTCCCTTTACTAACACTTCATACCCACTGATAATCCCAACGCCGTGTCCTACCATATGCTGACTTTTCGTGACATTACAGACCGGTTCTTGTCAACGTCTCCAGCTTCCGTAACATCATCGGCTTTGCCTTCACGTATGGAATACCAGATTGGGTCGCAGGCATCGGATATCTTAAAACCTATGGCATTTTCGCTGCCATCATTGCATTAATGATGGTTCCTCTACCCATGTTCTTCCTGTATGGCAAAAGCTTCAGAAAGTGGGGCGGGTTTGCCAACAATTCCGCGGCTAATGGCGTGAAGAATTGATGCCTCGAGGTGACAGTGCTACCTACATTACAACAGCTGAGAATTTTATATAAACTAGTCAATTCCGTCCCAAGATGCAAGAGTAAAGGATCCCCAAGCGAAGCAATATATATAGGAGGCGTTTAAATGGGGCGGCGCTACATCGCCACCCCCCAAAGTGATTTTTCAATGTTGATTCCATAGCCGGTACAGCGCTCGCCACATGTGACATCAAAGCTCTAGTTTCTAGTTTCCAGTTCAAAATGCATTATTTATCATCTTGGAATTGCTGTTTTAATCATTTTATTCATACCAGTTAACAACTATTTCGACCAGTCCCTCATACTACTTCTCATCTCCGAGCCATCGCGCTGCACGGCCACAACCGCGTCATTTCCTACATTCTACTATGGCACTATACTAGTCTCACTGGTGTCTCTAGAGCGGCTCCAACCTTTGTCTTCTTGCGGTGCAAAGTCTGACAGCTTGTTCATTATTCCTCTATTCCTTTAAACCGCGTAATATGTAAAGCTCTAGATGCTTCCAGGCACACATGCCTTCTATCTCTTGTTGGGCATTATGTCTTTATCTAGTCAGATTGGGCATCAACTACCTGGCCAGGACTTAGGCTTTTTAGCTTGGTTCTCCCCTCCTCCAAGGAAGGGAATCAAGCGATATCTTTTGTATGAATTTTTGAAATTATCTTGTAATATAAGTCTACTTGGCTTCAAATAGCCTTCGGTCGAAGCCCTCTATATCTATATTATCCAAACCAATAGCTATCTCCCTAGTAGCCTTGCCCTATAGCTTCAAATTGAACGGTGACGCTTCAACTCACTCACAACTAGTCTATCCAGACACCCCCGGACACGATTTTACCCGGAACGTGTTACAAAAAACCCTCTAGGACTTCTAGGCCTCACCCTCACCCGCGGTGACCCTCACACCGTCGTTTTTGAGGGTCAACGGCTAGTGTTGCTGGCTCAGCTTTGTCATCGGCCACGATCATAAACCTTTGCTGCTCGGATATAGAGATACACATTATTTACTGTCACTAGAATGCCTAGAGCAACTAGGTTTACTCGAATATTTGGACATGTAACTCTTGCTAAACATCTGACAAGGTGGATCTGAGCCGCTTTCGTTACAGCGTAGGGCTATTCGAATTATTCGCTGGAAGACATGAAAAGCGAAAAACGAAGGAGTTGAGAAAAAGAAATTAAACGTACAATAGAACTACCACTAGGCTTGACTCTAGCCACACTCGCGACTGCCACAAATGCGCCCTGAGTAGCATTGGGTGTCTTGGCCGCATTCGTAAGCTATAAATGACTTTTGACATTTAAATTGTAGCAATTGTCCTAGTGCATTTCATCCAAATTATTGTCGAGATTCAACAAATCCCAAATTTGGGTCCAGCCGCCGTTTGAGATCACGACGTTTAGCCTGCCCGTTTTGGTGTCTGCCCTAGTGACCAGGCGCTCAATCTCCGTCTGGTCTCTCAAGTTGGCACGAACGGCCAGCGCGCGAGGCATGCTGTTGGCGTCCTTGAACTCGAAAAGACTCGTATCCTCGCCACTTTTACCATGTGGTTCGAGAGCTAGAATTGACAGCTCTTCTGGCAACGTCACAGCACGTTCTGTGTTAAATGAGAAGTTCACGACTACTCCTATATCAGAAATAAATGCCTTGGCAATGGCTACACCGAGCCCTGCTGATGAAGCTGTTACTAATGTGACTTTGATCCTACTGATACCTTCGTGCAGAACTGTGTCTAAATTTATTTTGAAGCTTGGCAACTTGTCGCTATGGTACATACTCATATTCAGAAAAAGAAGGGCAAGCCCTTTACTTATCAATGAAAACTAGCCGAGAACGATATCGCTGAACATTGGACTTTGGAGCTTAGCACTGATATTACACATGGACTTTCTGTGTCCCTATACTGCAGAAGAGCCACTCCACTATGAGTATGCATAGAAATGAGTGAAGCTAACGAAATCCCAGTTTTATGTAATGCTTAATTGGTCACCTTATTAATCGTACCATTCCACAGGGGACTTTGGACCTCGGGGAGAGGCTCTGTTAATCGTAACGGAAAAGATGCTATTTTCGACTCACATCCAGGCGTATTAAATTTTCACCTAAGCGCTTTTGTGGTTGTCTTGACCGACCCAACTGAACCAAATGACAACCTAGATATTGGTTATCTTAAGATATCACTATATTGACACGGACCTGGATGCAAGTAAGGTCCAGTTAGATACTAAGGGCAAGTCTTGAAATTTGAAAAGTAGTTTAGGTTTGGCTGATGATTCGAAATAATGAATATACTCTATAGCATCATCCATGAGAGTAGTTATGCGTTATAGAATCTACGCTTTTAAGAAGCATAATAGAAAAATGAACATAAAACATCGTAATTGAAATATTATCACTCTGATAGCCAAGCAAAACAACCGTAAGTATGAATAATGAACAAAACAAGCCAACCAGCTTAAGCTATCATAAATTTGAACAAAGAATCCATCTCAACCCATTGTCGTCCGCACTTCCTCAGATATCCATCCACCACGCCCTTGACTGTGTCGAACCTTGTTCGGTTATACTCGGCAAGAGTCTTAATACTATCCTTCGCACTGGCGGCCTCCTTGTCAGCCGCAGATTTGGCCTTCTCGACATCCCAGAGACCGGAGAAGTAGAGAAGCTGGTTATACATTTGTTTCTCAGTGTACTCGTAATTCATCCGACCCAGACAACCTTCTGCGCGACCTCGGGGGCCGAGACACCGATGGCCGTAAACGCTCATTTGCCTTGTGCGGTTGCCGCAGGAAGAATCATCGCAAACAAGCCAACCTTCATAGTATCTAGCTACCTGGGCACGGATTTGGCTTTCCACCTGCGCAACGATGGAGACGGTGGAGAACGGCTTAGCACATGCCTCGTTTGGACACACCAAGCCGTGTGGTGTGCACATTTTGGGTGACGATATCAAGCCCTCAAAGATGCTGGATTTACTACAGTGTCGACATCGGAGGTTAAGACGAGCGGCGCTTTCGAAGCGCACCGAATCTGGAATCTGAGATTCTAATGGGTGGATTTCAGAGTTTTGCTGATTGCTGGAACGATTCGTGTTGATCTGGTATTTCCGTACATCCAGACCGAGACATTCTGCAATGCGGACAGCATCTGTTCCTGGAATAGGGGCGCATAAACGTTCGATGGGAGGGAATATTTGCTTAAGTAGATAGTATTCAACATCAGGTTTAAGCTCAGAGCCAGCTTTGATAACATCCTGCAGAGTGTATGATCGTTTAGGTGGAGGTAGACTAGCGGTTTCCGAGTCACCGTTGGTGATGATATACGATATGACATCATTAGGTCGTACTGTTTTGCCCCGAGCAATCTCTCGAAGAGCAACTTGAGCAGGGGGCATTGTCTCCTTGTTTGGATACTCTTCCGGCCGTTTGGAAAGTTTCTAATCCTGTTAGCATGTAACGATGAACGTCAGCGCGAGTACGTACTGTATAGATAACGTATTTCTGTACTGGAACTTTGTAGTCTTTCATCTGAGCTGTAATGTCCTGGAGATATTCATGGACCTTGTTGAGGACAACTTCCGAGTCCTCACCGGAAAGGATCTCGTCTAATAGCTTTTTCGAAACTTCCTTGGATAGAGCACAATATTCACGTCGTTTCATATCAAGACCCTTGACCTCAAGCTTGTCGATATATTTGCCATCAACTTCAGTCATATTAATAGCAGCATACTTCTTCTTAGCGTGAAGTAGGAGGCGTCGGAAGACATTGTCAATGTCAATTTCCAAGAGCTTATAACGCTCATTGACGGAGATCTTGAACTCTTCTCCAACCTTCAGAGCGTCGCTGATGGTGTCCATATTTGTGTTGATCATAACCGAATCAGTATCGCCATATATAACGCGCAGCTGCTTAGACTCAGCCAGTTCCTTCGTGTTACGAAGGATTTCTCGCCCTTTAAATGTTGTAAGCATAGCGAGTGGGCGAGCGTAAAAGCGAGATTGCGTGTAACCCAAACAACCATACATAGAGTTGGCTGTAAGCTTCAAAGCCAACTGCTTGGTATCCCATAAGGCAAGTTGTTCAGGCGTCGCTCGCTTGTCTTTCATGAGCTTCTTAACCTCTCGTCGGCGACTAACGAGGGTTGAAATCAGTCGTGGTAGAACTCCCTGTTCTTGATCGGATGAAGGGACTTCCGGAACCTTCTCTTCGTTCTCATTTTCAGCCTATACATGATTAGTGGTCTTGTTTGTGATTAACTTGGGAGGGAAATAAATCGACGTACTGTGGCAGTTCGATCAACAGTCGTGAAGCAAATGTTGAACTCCTGGATAATGCTTGGATACAAACTGTTGAAATCCATGACAAGAACGAATCGATCATAGAGTCCCTTTTCGGGCTCGAAAACCAAACCACCCTTGTATTTCTCTTTTTTCTTCTTGTCGGTCGAGTCTTCCTCATCATCCATCCTTTCCTCGGCTTTTTGTTGCTTCATCGAATACTTGTCTGGGCAGATATATTTGTTACGATGGAATTCATGAAGCAAAATGTACTCGTTTCGCTCAGCTCGAGTTCCGCTGAGCGTTCTCGCCCACGAATTACCAGCCAAGTTGGTGAGGACTTTGGTAAGCGAAAGCATCTGAAGCCGTAGTGACAGCGCGGCAATAAAATACGTATCGGCTTCGCAGTGAGTAACATACTTCATCAATCCTTCTTTTGTTGTAGCCCACGTTTTCAATGCGGCTTCATTATCGAGTTCACTGCGCATGTGATCATCACCCAAGTAGAGTTGACACATCTCTGTCAAGCTCCACGATTGACACTTCAGCATAAGGGACTAGAAAATGTTAGCTCATTCAGTACTAGGAAACTGATCAGTATGTTACCTTGCCCATATCGTTAGCAAGGTCACACATCAAGCGACCGGAAATAAGATGCCTGTCCGAAAAGAACCCGCCACCTTTATTAAAATTCTTTGGCCACTCAGAACGTTTGAATCGACCAATGCGAGACCAGCCTGGTGTCTTCTTTTCCCGTAGACGGTTCAGAAGAATGCTCAATTCCACTTCTTGAAGCTGGTGTCCTATTAGAATATCTGGATCCATCCTCTCAAAGAGGGCTAAAAATTTGCTCAGGAGGATTTGCTCAGTTTTCTCTAGCATATAAGTACCACGTTGTTTCCTGACTTCGGCTTCGATACCAATCGGATAGGCAGCACCAGAGGGACGCATCACAGTGAATGTCTTACACGGAAGCTTTTCCGGCGGCGTAGTCTCAGTCAAAGAAATGTTCTCGTATATACGAGCACTCGCGACCAGAATCTCCTGTTTGTTTTCTTTGACGTTGAGTTGAGTTCTAAAGGACAGACTCATCAATGTAAGAGAGGGAGTTTCAAGATCCGAGTCCGGAAGGGTGGTGATCAAGCTGGGTTTTGTAACCTGACACTCGAACTTGCACCATGACGCATTGTTGACCGCGTTGCAGTCTGCCTCTTCAATCTTCAGCCAGCAGGGCCCCATGATACGTTTCCAGAGGACGAACTGTTCGAAGAGTGCGGTATTGGTACCGAATACGTGAGAGAATGTTTCGCCTTTTGTATCCATAGGTAATACGGGCTTGTCATAAGGGTAAAGAAGTTTCAGATATTCTGCTTCCTTGGGGACGCCTTTCAACTCAAAAGCATACTTGCGGGTGCAAGGTTTCATTTTGTGCATACCCACCTTGAGCCTAGACATCAATTCATCCACCTCTTTGTACACGTCTTCCAATTCGATCTCTTCATCAGTGACTCTGCCGTTCTGGAGACGATGTTCACGGGGCAGGAAGAAGAGCTTGCGCAGAATATTGTCAACCTTGACAAAAGAGCTGACATAAGAGCCGGTCTTTTTGTTTTTCACTTTTCCAAACAGACATAAGCTGCCGTTGACCTCAGCGTAGTCGAGCCAGAACATCTGAATACTGCCGTCGTCTTCAACAACATCCTGTGCCCGCACCTTTCCAAAGGTGAAGCTTTCTGTAGCAGGGCTGCTCAAAACGTTGAGTTTACTTGTCACATTGTCCCACGAAGCCTCGACTTCGGCGGGAGCTCGTGGAGGCGAAGAGCTAGAAGGTGAAGGGTACGCCTCCTTTTTGATCTTGGGTGGTGGAGGGCGACTGCCAGTCATATTGACATTAGAGACTTTGCTATCAATATGGCCAGTGGCTTGAGCCACATCCATCATGTCATCGTCATCCTCTTGTTCAAATTTAGACGTCTTCCTTTCCACAACTTTTGATATAGGTGACGAGGGGAGAGCGTCGCTCATCGGCACGTTGTCGTCATCGTCAGCTAGAGGGAGAGGACCATCGTCGTCATCTAAATCAACGTCCGATTCATGCTTAATTAGCATTGGGGTGTCATCTCCCTTTTTTCGCATGCGAGGTTTGGGCGTCTGTGATTTTTCGGATAACGGAGGGGAAAGTATACGGACTTTGCGACGCGTGTCCGACTTGACGATGTTTTTTGTTGGAACGCGAGATGGTATTATATTAGTATCGACGCCGCCCAAAATATCAGCCATGAAAGCCTCGTCTTCAGCGGTTGCAACAGGCTATAGCTAACATCAGTTCCATGCCATTCGAAAGGGAGAAAAGGGGGAACAATACCCTCGGCTTTGGAGTAGCGGCAGTGGTACCACTATTAAAATACTTTGTGATGCCGTTGTTCATCTTCTCCTGTCGCTGCTTTTCTTCCTCACGTTTCCTTTTTGCAGCTTTGCCTCGGGCAGGAAGCTCCTCCTCGTCGCTTTCGCTGTATTCCATTCGTTCGTCATTCCAGACTTCACGACCGTCATCTGCGTACCCCTCCCCATTGTCATCGACAACGAAATCGTCCTCGTCCAGGCGTTTCCGAACAACTTTTTTATAACCATCTTCGTCAACTTCGTCATATATCGATTTTTCTTCTTCGACTTCGTAGGTAGTGAGGCGCTTCTTGCCTGACGCCCGCAGAGCCCTTAGCTCAGCGAGCTTAGCCGCTCGAGACATTGTAGACAATAAATCAAAAGCTATATTGATTCATAAGACGCGAAAATAGACCAGGCAGAAAGCTTGAATGGCAGAACATCAACGTGTTGTGTGCAATTGGGCGTGAGAGAGAGGGCGGAGACTGCTGTAATGGAGAACACGACGGGACGCGCAGGTAGCAAGGGAAACGCGACAGCAACAACGCGCTAAGCCCCAAAGGCGTAAAGTGGCCCGCCCGCCGCTGTTGTGATTATAGTTCACTCTCTACACTTTACGCATAATTATTCATGTGCTGGAATGCTGAAACCCCGCGGAATGTCATTCATCGTTTGTATGGAAATACTTTTCGCCATTGCCCAGCCTAGCCTTCTGTTATTCCTATCGCCCTAATCGTCAATCCGGTAACCTATCTCCTCATCCGATTCCTCTGGTAATCGTTAGCACAGAAATTTTGGTCACAATTTCGCATTTTTCGTACCTGGAAGTACATCATAATCGAGGGTCCCTTTCACATTTTGTGCCAGTGCATCCCTAATCACATCCTGAGAGTCTGGTGGGATTTCAATAAGTGCGTTCGGGATGGACAGATGAAAGCCTTCGTTCTCTGGGCCCAGCTGCGAGACAAAATCAAGGATACCGTCAGAAGTAAATTCGCTGGAAGCGTGAATAGCAAGGAAGCGTAAATTTTTCAGGGAGAGAAATGCTGGCCAAATGTTGTCATCGCAATGCAACCCACTGAAAGAAAAACGCTCTAGCTTGGGTAAGGCCGGTATTAGGGCCATGATCTGTTGCTCAGTAAAGAATTCCGAGATAACTTTCAGGTCCAATTCGCGGAGTTCGCCCAATTTGCTGAGTGCCTTTACGAGGACAGCTTGGTCTGTGGGATTCTGGCTACCATCGCCTTGGATGGAAAGGACTTGTAAAGAAGGTTGAAAAGCAAGTGACTCATGGAATGCTCGACTCGTTTCCATCATATAGCCTTTTAGATGTAGTAATTCCAGATGGATTCGCTTATCAACGAGAATCTGTGAGAGTAGATTGGCATCGTCGAGAAACCTGCGAAGCCGGAGGAAACGCAGCTTTTCGCATTTACAAATCCACCCAGCAACAGACGATATTAGCTCCGGCGGTGGATTCTGCGGAACCTGTCGAGAATCTGTAAGGACAAAATCTTCTAGGGACTCGAGAGCTCCCAGAGATGGGAGTTGCTCAATAGCCTCAATAGAGAGGCTAGTTAGTGTCAACGCAGTAAGAGACTTTAAATGATAACCCAGTGCAATGATAGAGCGTGGGCCGAGATCTGAAAGACTCATCACGTTGAATGACTGTAACGAATCTGGACGCAGGCTCTTTAATACACTCTCTGCTTCTGAGTCTGCACTAGAACCGTTCTCGTTTGTCCTACGATATAGATTAGTAAATAAGTCAATAGAAAGAAGTATAAACAATAGTTAATGTGAGCGATACATACCACCTAAAAACTGAGATGTTCTTGAGGTTCGGGAAATGCTCTCGAATGTCTTCTTGGGAATTTCTGCCCAGCGAAGCACCATGCCAAACGTCGAGTGTCTCCAAATGAGGTAATCGAGCAGCCCATGTTTTTAGAAAGCGTGCAGAAACTAATCAATTTAGATATCAGCCGATGCTTGACTTTTCATAGGAGATGCGATCTTACAGGCGCCCCGTAGTTCTCTGATCATTGGCGCCTGTTCTGCTATTACTGTTTCAGGGTTAGGAGAGTATCTGTGGTCAAACTCAAAGTCAATAATCGGATCAACTTACATGTACCAACCCTTTCGACTACGGCTGAGTAATTTAAAGAGCCTGTTGAGGTCCGAAATCCAGCGCGACCATCGCGGTAAATAAGCTTGTCGAGATCACCGGCAATAAATTCACTTGCACAATCAGCACTAGCATTGACCATAAAATTCTAGGTTAATTAAGTCTTACTCGCGTGTTTTCTTCATACCCAAATCTGACATAAGCTCTCTTAGGTCATCAAGGTTCAAGTATCTGATATATTTGCAGTATGGCAGATAAGTCTTTTCTTGCCACGTAGATAGGATGAGGGACCGCCACATTAATGCCCATTTTTGTACGATAGAATTATGAGCATTTTTGGAAGCGCCAGATCCTAAAGGACTGGCTGATTTCTTCGTTTTGAGTTGATCGTCTTCGAATCCTCCACCAGCCACTGGTGACGTATCATATATTCTGATGACCAAGGTCAATTGACGATCTTCCGGCTTCAAAATGAACCTATCTTAGCAGGTAAGAAAGGATCTACTAACTGGTAAAGAATAGACAATGCTGGCTCAGCTAGCCATCTTGAAGCCAATGCACATTGGTAGAGTGTATTGTGGTTGTGACCTTCTGTTTTCAGGATATCTAGGATCATGAGGAGGACATCGCCGGGTAGGGCCACCATCGTGTTTTCGACAGCCGGAAAAACGGGTTTCTAGTGATTTTTTAATAAATTTCGCAGGAAAAAAATGATTGGTTAGAATGATAGAGCCAGCTACAGAATGTCAGATCTTCTTCGAGATGTTCTATCTGTAGTCCGCTTTTGGCGGGCGGGGTTGTCTTTCCGTAAACCTTATTGGCCGAACGCTTTAATCGTCTTTGGTCCTCTCCCAGTATATTCGAATCCTTTATTCACTACCGATTCCCAAAAGATATGTCTTGCCACTTGAGGTCAATGAAAATAGTTGTCCTTGTTTGATGAGGCTACCACTACGCGTAAGATTTGGGTCTACTCAGTAGATCTCCCGCATCTATTGATCCTAACGACGCTGAAATTGTGCTGCGATTGCCATGGCGTATATTCCTTGTCTTTGAAGAATGCTAAAATAAAGATATTTCACAAATATTGAATTCTAATTTTACATATAAGGAGTGGTCGACATCGACGTTGAAATATGGCCCTCTGTTCCTCTGGTCTTTAGTGGGGATATACAAATCACACCAGGCACATCCTAGGAACTTGCCATCAAAGAGCATGTTCACTAGAAGGATGTCGAGAACAGCACATCAAAATTGTGACAACACTTTCCATCTTCATGAACGAGACAAGCGCCAATGCCGTTGCTCTAGTTGTTATCAGCGAGCAAGTCGTTGCCTAAGGTCGAGTTAGCAGTCACATCGATGCTTTGCTTCGGATACTTTACTGTACGACAGACCTGCAATTGATCTTTCAGCTTACCTAGAGGAAGTCTTTTATTCAAATATAATAAGAATAAAATCAAGTGGAAAGTTGAAGCTAGGCATGATGGGTCCCCTAGCGACGCGGCAAGGATGCATCCTATTAGCCAATGGCATGATGTGGGTCTCCTGCATCAATGGCAACAGCAGACCTTCATATTTCTTCTTCAATATAACTAACTCTCTGCGACACCAATTAATGTCTTAAAGGCCCTGGTCTGCCAACTCTGTCGTAGGAGCTAGAAAATGGCAACACTATCATTCTCCCTCGCCCCTCCAGCCATCCTCCGTCTCCACGACGCGCTCGCGTGTCTAACCAAATTCAACGAGAGCGTATCCATCGAAGCCGAATATGACCTGGTAAGCCTGAAATAGATATCCATAATAGTTGAATATTAATTAACTTTACAGCTCCGCCTGAGTACTCTAAATACCGCAAAAACGGCATATGTATCGTTTGTATTTGACTCGGAAAAGTTCTTCTCAAAGTACTCCTTCAGTCTTCGCAAGGACGCGAATGCGAGTGGCACAAGTCAGAGTTTGCATCGCTTTTCGTGTCAGATATATCTAAAGGTAGCTACTATATCTCTCCGCTATATTCTCTTGCTTTGTCGGTGACACAGTTTTGATTTGTGGACAGGCATTACTTTCTGTTTTCAAAGGAAGAGCAGGCGAGTCTCGTGACAAGGACGTAGCAGTCGAACGATGCGATGTTGAGCTTCATGATACTCCTGACGTTCCGGAATGTCGACTAGTCATTATACTGATATGCGGTCAAGGTACCATTCTCCTTTGTAACAAGACACTACAACTTCATATTCAACTTAATATAAATAGGTGTCGTCAAATCATACAAACTCACATACGAGCCTGTGACCGTGCAACACGCTCTATTCGACCAATCCCGTGTCCAGAACCAATGGAAAGTCGAGTCTAAACTACTCCGCGAAATTATTGAGCACTTCAGTCCATCGGCTGAGCAGTTGGATATGTATCCTGAGGGCGGAAAAGCCTTTTTTACGAGCTTCACGACGAAAGTTACTGATGGGAAAGGTAATCATCTGTCATTCCCATTCTCTAATTTCTTTTCACAAACACTCACACTCCCAAGAAATACTGAAACAGCCATTCCACACCTCTGTAACGCTCGACAGCAAAGACTTTGAAGAATACACGGTCAAAAACGGGCTACATGTGGCTATCAATGTAAAAGACTTCAAGGCTGCTGTTATCCACGCAGATACCGTGAAAGCGTCCATCACAGCACGGTACACCAAACCGTGTCGGCCGTTGCAATTGCATTACATTGCAGAAGGAATCGAATCCGAGTTCACACTCATGACGCGCGGGGAAGTCGATGAGAATGAGGATGGTGAGGATGCGCCGAATGTGTCGAGGCCAGCGTCACAGCTATCAGCCAGACCAGCTATGCAGCCTGCTACTAGTAGAACGCCTGTGAGAAAGTCTATGCCGGCGCCGCCTTCTATTCAACAGCAGCAGTCTTCTGCTCGACCCGCGCCGTCGAGGTCCGAGATTATGTCAACGCCAGCATCAAGAGCAGCATTTGCAGATCTAAACGACAGTCTTTTCGTCCCTGCAGACGACGACAGACAGTGGGACGAGCAAGAATTTGGTGAGGAAGAGGAGCAGGAGGATATGTTAACCTGGAATTCGAAAATTGAGCCGGTTTGTTTAATCCAAATACTGTTGCTTGTTATATTCATTGTGCAGTAAACTGATCGTCCGAAGGGTGCATATCACGAAGGTCGACCGCGGCCACTCACGGATAGCTATCCATCGTTCCCATCGGAAACAGGGGTACAGCAGAAGAAGTCTGACGATAACGAGATGGCGATACCGCCAACGCAACGCATATCACAGGTTAGACTTGTCCATCATCTGTGACCCTCATAGAATGCTGACTTGAGCAGATACGCAATCTGGGGCTTTTCGATTGAGCGATCATCATTCATTCATAATTTCTATATACACCGTACAAATCTAGCCGTGGAAAGGGTAGGGGGGTCTAATCATCGCGACGTAATAATCCAGCTCGTCGCACACCCCGCCCCCAGACCAACAACCTTCTCACCCCCCGTCAACTCCAGCGGAATCACATTATAACGACCCTTCACATTTCCCTGATCATCAACGTCTGGGCCGCAATTCCCATGTTCACCCCATCCAAATGCCACAACGGTTTTTCGATCTTGCAATAGCGCAAGGACATGCTCGCTGCCAACAGCAATCAACGCGACTTTCTCCTTCTCCAGCGACAGTGGCGGTAGCTGGCCACGGTCATTTCTTCCCCACGAGATAATAGCCTGATCAGGCGCATGTACATAAACACCATGCCAGCTCGTCCAAACCCGCCAATCCAACCCAGCAGCAGCATCGCTCGCTCCAGAAATAACCCCCCATTTATCCTCCACTCCAAGAACCCTATACCCCCCATCCTGCGCCGTAACAACCGTAAACTCCCTCCCACAAGCCACCTCTGACGCCAACCCCCCAATCCCATCAATCCTCGCCGGCGACCATACAATCTTCTGCACAATCGCCTTCCCGCCGAGCTGGCCCTTCCGAGCCGCCCCCCAGCCATAAACATCGCCATTCGACAGCACAACAACCGTGTGGCTCATCCCGCTCGCAATCGCCTTGATTCTCAGACCCGGTGGAGGGAAATCAGGGATTATACCCACACCTTCTTCGTCTGATATACACGTTTTATCTATCCCCAGCCCTAACTCCCCTTTCAACCCAGCGCCGAGGACGAATACCTCATCCCCTCCCCCCTCCTCGAGGGACAAGGATGATGAAGAAACAAGAAACGTCGCCGCCCACGTCGCGGCTACATCCTTGAACAGCTCTACAACCCTCCCATTCCTCCCTTTCACCCTCATCCTTTGAAACCGCCGTACACACTCATCCCCCTCCCCACCACACCTCCTCCCCGCATCATTCAGTCCAGCGGCATACACCGCGCCACTCCAGAATAAAAGCAACGTATGGTTTCCGCCCGCAGCGACGTGGCGGACGGGATCACGATGATCGGAATGCAGCAGATCTAGCCCCGCAGTACCATCCCCATCCCCATACCTCAATCCAGGACTACTAGCTCGAATACTCAGATTAAGTTCGCGACCATCGCCAGAATCAGCATCGAAGTAGACGCGGGACGGGCGAGACACGTCGTCGAGGTGGTTGAGGCCTAGTTGGCCAGCGCCATTAGATCCGAAGGCGTATATGGGCATGACGCGCTCCCAAACCGCGAGATTAATTTTAAAAATTAAATGTTTGAATTAATTGATGAGTGGTGTGGTACGTGATCGGTCCATGCTTTTTGTACGTACCCCGGATTTCGACCACCGCTAGAGCCTAGGAGTACGACGTGCTGTACAGGAATGAGAGCTAAGCAGATCCTGAGATGGGAAGCGTCATAAAACGGCCCCACATGGGGATAGACTGCCGCCGTTTACGGAAGAATGCTACATTTTACTTTTATTACTTAGATAAATTTGATAAGATAAAGATAATGAAGCAGTGCAATGGATTGGTACAACGAGGAAGAAATTAAGAATTAAACTGCTATCGCCTTCTGAATCTAGCCCTGGCCATCTGTCACAGGCAGTAATGACCAGGCGAGGCGAGGACAAAAAGCTAGTCACACATGGATATCTAAAGATTGAGAGAAAAAAAAAGAGAGGAAAAAATGCATTTTTGGCGCGTCACCATTTAGTTTAGACCTTGAAATACAAATTTCAGAATCTTAGTCTTAAATCTCATTTCGAGCTCATTTCTCGTTGCCATTGGCAGCCTCAGTCTCGTCGCTTTCGACGGAGGCGGCGGCTGGGGGCAGAGCGGAGAACTTCTGGACGGACTTCTCGGCTCCACGGAACATGGGGCTAGTGCGCTCAAAGTATTGGTGGACGTGGCCCTCGAAGAGAGTCTCATCGGTGTCGACATCGACCTCACCTTCCTCGTTGGAGATCTTGCGTGCGACACCAGCCTCCCATTCGGCACGGTAGTCCTCAAGTTTTTGCTTGTAGTCAAGCTCAGGGTCGTAGTACTTGCCGACGCCACGGAAGCGCTCCCACAGGGACAAGTGCTGGGGGTGGACGGCAACGCCGTGGTATTCATGGGCACGACCCTGACGGATGTAAAACCAGCGGCGTTCCTGCTCCTTGAGATCGAGACCGGTGGTGTCGGGGAGCCAGAGGGCGGTGGTGATCATACCAGCCAGACCGAACCAAGGGACGACGTAGAAACGCTGCTGGACAGTGATGTAGGCACCCAAGAGCACACCAACCAAAGCGCCGAGTTTTCCGGCAGCAGCCGAGAGACCGTGGGCAGTTGCACGAATTGGTGCAGGGTAGCATTCAGCGGCAACAATGAAGGTGACACAGTTGGGGCCGAACTGGTTGAAAAAGGAAGACAGGAAGTACATGGCCTGGAAGGCGTGAATGTTCTCCGGCTTAGTGTAGTACTTGTAATGGAAGCCGGGTATGATGAAAAAGATGAAGCACATCAGGAAACCGACCTGCTGCATCCATTTACGGCCGTAGAGCTTGTGGTCGATCAAGAAAGAGGCCAAGTAGTAACCGCACAGGGAGACACCGATGTTGAGCAAGCTGTAAAGCCAGTTGGGCATGACGGACTTCTCATTCGGAAGGATAACCGCGATGAACTGGGACTGGAAAAGCTTGTTTCCGTAGAAGAAAACATCGTTAGCGAACCAGCCAAAGGTGGTGGCCAAGAGACGGAAACCGAAGTGTTTAAATGTCAAACGCAAAGACTCGACATCGTAACCAGTGACGGAGGCCTTCTTCTTAATAGCCTGGAGTTGCTTGGAGGCGGACTTCATGTGGTAGGCACGGTAGTAGGTGAGCCAGAGAGTACCGACGGCAGGAATAGCGAACGAAACACGGTAGGTCCATTGGGCAGCGACCTGGGAGTAGGGGGGGCTGCCGGAACCGTGGTGGAAGATGAGGAGGAGCAGGATCAACAAGGACTGGTTCAAGAACTGACCCCAACCTTGCATGAGGAAGGCGCTGGTGACCTTGCGGCCACGGTGAAGACGATCCTCACGGGTGGAGACACGGCCAGAACCGACAGCGTTTTCCATACCAGAGGTAGCAGTCATAGGGTATTCACCACCGACACCGATGGAGTAGAAAAACAGAGACCACGCATAGCAGATGATCCAGCCATTCTGAGTAACACCCCAGGCGGCAGTCAGCATGAGCAGACCGACAAACATGATGGCGGCATCCTGGATCAAACCCCAGCGACGACCGATCCTGCGAGGGTTAGCTATAAACTAGGCAACCTTCCGGTACAACTTACCAATCACCCAAATAACCGACGAGGATCTGACCAACGATGATACCGGATATTTCGAGGTAGTTGATGGCGTTGATCCAGGTCTCATTGCAAGTTTCGTACGTCTTCCAGCAGCTGGGGAAAGCCTGCTGGAGAAGCGGGGTGACGTTTCCGATGGAGAACAAGACGTAACTAGATCCAGATTAGTCTCAGCTCGTCGAATCGCGGGGTTGGGGAAATACGAACCCTTCCAACAGCAGACCAGCACCGGGAAGGACCATGTTCTTGAAGTAGAAGCTGACTGGTGACAGAGGATCCTCAACGATCATGCGGCCGAGGTTGCGCAGCTCGCGAGCGGCCTCCTGGTTGTCGACCTTGGTGATGAAGCGAAGGCGTCTGAGAATGGGGAGATCCGCCCAGTAGACACCCTCCTCGGTGTAGCTGTCATCGGGACGGAGCAGCTTGTCGAAGGCTCCCTTCTCGTTCGGGTTCATGTCCACGTACTCGGGATGAGTACCGGCCATGTCGGGCCCGTGAGGGAGATTGGGACCCAGAGTGGCCATTGTGAGCTGCTGAAATCTCTGGTATCTCTTTTATCTCTGTTAAATCTCTGGATTTGGTTCTGCACGCGGTTAGACTCGATAGCCACCAACAATTTGCAATGACATGCAATCAGTCCAACTAAGAGCAGACAAGAAATGCCCAGGCTCGTGGCGTCGGGGAGGAGATACGCACCAGAGTGCCAAGAGAGACCGACAGCAAGACAAGAGCTGCACACAGGAAGCCAAGACGACGCTGGAGAGAAACAAGTATCCAAGCGGCTTGGAGGAGAGTTAATATATTATATATACCGGGTGGTGGATGTTGCCGAGCTGTCACCGCGGCGAGGCTGTCTCATGGGCCAGGCGGACGGGCGCAGAGGCACGTTTTTGTATTGCGAGCGCTGATATGCCAGGCGGGGGGGCCCACCGTCCCCACCGCCAAGCTAAAGGCTCCTGGACCCGAGCTAAGCGCATGCTACTACTTGCGTACAGTGTCGTTGCAGCGTGGTGTGGGCTGCGGACTGTGGACTGTTGCAGCTAAGATGCTGGAGCGGCGTGCAGTAGGCCGGTGGAGCGATGCGATGAGATTTTTCGTCGAGCGATCGCGCGCGGGGGGGTGATTGGCTGCGGCGCCTTGCTGCGGCGGGGCACCCGGCCCAATCAGGAGCTGCACATACCACACGTGTGCGCTCTCGTCGACCCCATTGCTCTTTCCGTCGAGTCCTCCAGAGCACCTTCCTGACGCTTGCCATCGCCGGGGCTCCTGCCTGTGCAGCTCCCAGCACCTTCCGCGTCCCTGATTGGCATCGACGACTGCCTTCCTTGACGAATGGCTGCTGTCACCCTGGGCCGCTGATTGGCCGACTGCGCTTTCCTCGCTTCTAGAGTGTTTCTGGCTGCTCTTGCCTCGTTTCCCTCCTTTCCCCATTCGGCGGGCTCCAAGCCTGCACTGCGCAACACGAGGTGAATACTGTTGTTATTATTGAATAACATAATAGCAACAGTCATCGACGATGGCTGCTCCCTCCAAGGCGTTCTCGGATCCGTCATGATTATAGAATTATTACTATCGATGACTACAACGATCCGATAGTTGCCAGCACCCCAACCGTGGCTGGTAGCTGGGAACCCTGAGTGCGATTATTGTTTTACTGCGCTGCGATCTGATAGAGGGCTCCGACGAATCAGGTGCCACGAATTGCACACCCTCCCACGCGCCTGTTCCTCTGAAATTTTCTTCGCGTTTTTCCACCCCACAGGACTACGTATGGGAAAGACTAAAGTGGCTAGACTTTGCTATAAGCCTACACCACGCGGCGAGGCTGACTCAACTGTGGACAAAGAATTCTCGGTTCGGGGAACTGGCTTGTTTTGTCTGCATCAGCATGATCAAACATCAAACTGATGCAGGGTGGACCCGGAGATTGCCGGCCGGCCAGCCTGACCCAGCAAACAGAGCAGACGCAGAGAATGGTATTATCCAAAATGTTTCGCCTTACTCGTTTGGGGTCCATGTCACCCTAGAAATTGCTACTCGGGTCATGCGTTCTGAGGCTTCCAGGAACATACTCGATCTGCTCCTGGAAAGTACACCCGTCGACTCTCAACATCCACTGTGATGCAAGTGAAAACTGCATATTTGCAAGTCAGTACATCTACAATACGGCAAGTACTATTTAGTAGTTAGTACTGGAGGAAGAATCGATCAGGCGCGTGATCCTCAATTATTAATAGCTGCCAGTACACGACTCATGCGCAGCCTCCCCTGTCAGCTCGGTTTGCCGTCGCGTCACCCACGGCTCTCGGTCGCTAGCTGAGGCTAGGGATCACCGGCGTTCGTCGCCAGTGACTCGCCGCTAGAGCGCCTACATACCCGCTTTTCCCTTTATATCGGAATGTCCCTTGCATTAGGCGCTTTCCAACGATCGCGAATAATGCCTTGCTTCTAGAAGGATAACACGCGGTGCCACTCGCTTCTAGCCTCCCCAGTCCCGTATGGAGTGAGGGCGGGCCGGAGAAAAACTCTGCATTCCAAGTTTCCAGCCAACAACTGACAACAGCTCGACTCGCACATCGCATCCAATAGCTCAAAACGGGTCACGATGCTGGAAAGATGCGTCCAGGTTCCACAACAGCAGCCATGGCGCAGTGCAGCGTGCGACAGCCTGGGTGCTAATAGCAACTATTGAATATGATACTATTGACTATGGTGTATGTGAGGCGCAAACAGTGATACAGGCGATGACAGAGTCGGACGACGTGTGAATAGCCTTATACTCAGGGCCAATATCCATGCTAGCGGGCTGCCCGTGCACCGATCCATCCACCATTATTGGTCCCCATTCGGATATGGACCCACCCACGTGCCCGCGTCGGGGCCTGTCAGTGCTCGAGTATGGCGCTCTTGTAATTACCCGTTACTTACCATAATACCAATACTATTTATTCGACATCTTCTTATAATGAATAGTTATACACTCCCCCCCACCGAACCATTTTGGCATTAATAATATCATTTCTCTGTCCTAAGAACCTGCGTTCGTGTAGAGTTTTTTTCACGCCTCAAGCAATCGCTACCTGCATCCGAGCTCGGCATACTACATATATCCACCAAGACGCCGCCTACTTGTTTCCTCTCTGCCTTGTACATGTACTCGAGGCATTTCTATAGTATCAATAATATAAACCGCAACATCGATTAATCAATTGTCGTATACTGCCTCGAGATTCGAAACTTTAAAGATGAATAGGCTTAAGGCTTACAGCCTTGAAACAAACTACTGTTTCAAGAACTTAAGAAACTCATCATACCAAATTACATCCTAATAGTAGATATAAATAGTCTTAATCTCTCTTAGTTTTATAATATGTAATAACTTTTCCGTGTTTAATCGTTAGCTATTAGCGCGCGATGCCTCTTCTTCTATGATAGAGTTCCAAGTAGCCCCCATGCTGATTTTCACTGTTATTTTTAGAATAATCCTCGTTGATGATCATTCTGTCGTAGATCAGGGGTACATCCCGTCATAGACGAAGTGGTTGGTGGTGGCCAGTGGGTCTGAAGGATTGCGTGCTGCCGTCTGACGTCGATTGGAACTGTCTTCAGATCTGGGGTTCCTTTGACATTGATCTTTGTATGTATTTGATTTGGGTATGATGAATTGTGTTTGCACTAAGGTTGTTGTATGAGGAATCAATCTATTATCGAGTACATATGTACATGTAGTGTATAAATTTGCTGCTACCTCGGATTAGTGTTTCTAGTTTGAGTATATACCTGCAGTAATCAGTAGTGGAATATAGGGTTACAGCATAATAATACTAATTGGCATAGGTAAACCTTCAATATTGATGTGTTTTAGTGAGTTGCTTATACGACTGTCTATTGAGGTGCTTGTTAATAGAATTAGGTGGTAGTACCAGTACCGCGATTTTCCATTCGTGATAGAACATCTGTGATCCTACAATCTAACACATATCATAGTGATACAGCAACTCTATTTGTTGATACTTTGCAGTACTGGGCAGAAACAGGAGGACGATGAGAGCACATCACCTATACCAAAAGAAATGCTGTTTATCAAACATACTTAATCGACTCGCTATAGCCCCCTCTGATACCAATTTCCCTTATATACACGTATCTCTGGTGATATTGAATGTTAATTATTAATCCCGGCCTCCTGATACCGCGGAACCTTTTCGCCAGCATGCCACTTGTATTGGCTTCCTGGGTGATCCTCCGGCAGTCTCTTCGACCCAATAAACACCTCTCGTGCAGTGGCACCTTCTGCTACAGGCTCTTTCAGCAACCCACGGCCCCGTAACTCCGGAATCAAAAACTCCGCAATGTCTTCAAAAGAGCCTGGATTTGTGATGTGAGCAAGATTAAACCCATCCACATCCGTTACTTCCACCCAGCGTTCGAGTTCATCCGCAACAGTCGTCGGACTGCCAACCACCTTCGCCTGCAGCCCGCCGACACTTATATATTCCGCAATCCTCTTCTTTGTCCATGGCTCATTCTCCGTCCCCGGAACAGTAGCCGCCCATCGCCGAATCAGCGATTGAACGCGCGGCGAGTCCGTGACAAGGAAATTCTCATCGTCAGAATACTTGGACAAATCAACCCCCGTCCATCCCCCAAACAGAGCATAGGCGCCTTCAAAATCCGCGTATTGGAGATACTCTTCTCGTTTCGCCTTGGCTTCCTCGTCAGTTGCGGCAACAATGACGCCTATTCCTAATATAACTTTGAGATGATTTGGGTTCCGACCTTCCTTCTCCGCGATGCTGCGAAGGTTATTTACTGTTGTACGCACCGCCTCATGAGTCTGGCCGCCAATGAAAATAGCTTCACCGTGCTTCCCCCCAAACCCGTTCCCAGCTTCTGAAACACCCGCTTGGAACAGGAATGGGGTGCGCTGCGGTGACGGTTCGCAGAAATGCGGGCCTGGAACTTGGAAGTATTTACCCTTGTGATGGATCTGTCGCACTGCGTCGCTGGCAATATACGTCCCAGATTCTCTATCCTCAAGCACAGCGTCATCGCGAAAGCTGCCTTCCCACAGCTTATACACCACTTCCATATACTCGTGCGCAATTGCGTAGCGCTCGTCGTGTGGGATCTGCTCGGTGAGACCATGGTTTCTGGCAGCGCTGTCGAGATACGAGGTGACGATATTCCACGCTACTCGGCCCTCGCTAAGATGATCGACCGTCGAGAACCGTCTTGCTAGTGCATATGGTTTCTCATACGTCAGACTCGCCGTTACGCCAAAAATCAGATTCTTCGTCACAGCAGCCATTGCGGGGACCAGATAGAGGGGGTCGTTGACTGGGAACTGAGCGCCTGCGCTTAGTGCTGGTACGACATTCGCTGGTCCCTTGTAGACATCGTAAGGACCGAGGGTGTCGGCGATGAACATGGCGTGGAACCCGGCATGGTCGAGCAACTGTGCGAGATCGGTCCAGAAGGAAAGTTTCTTATACTGGTTTGTTTTGTTTCGGGGATGGCGCCAGAGTCCGGGAGATAGATGGCCGGGGGTGTTCATGACGAATGCATTGAGGATGATTTGTTTCTTGGAACTGCCATTATTCGACGCTGTGTGGTCAGCCATGGCCGCAATCTTTCCGTGAGATATAACGAGAAGAGTACGAAAACATTCCAGTATGGAATTATCTCTCAAACAGTGAATAAATATGAGCGACAAACCGGAATAATAACATTTAATAACGACGACAAACTTCCTGATCCGGCAAAAATGGAGCTGCCCCGCGCCTCCTCAACGTCCTCGCAATCGCTCGTCCAGGGCACGCCATTTCTGCCCTACGCCGGCTGTCATTCGTGTTTCAAGACTTTTTCTTGCCGATCAAATATCGAAGATTATTGCTAACTTCTTATTTCCTCCGTTCCCTGCGGCGAACGGATAATAAATCCATATTTATTATTCTTATGCCTGCTCTGTCTGGCTAGCGACCGAAAACCCTCCGTATAACGCAATTGCGGGTATGATCTACGTGCTGCAGCCTGCCATCAATCGATATAGGAAATGCTGGACACCATGTCGACATTTTGGCTTTGGTCTTGAAGATGTAAGCGGGGGCTTCGATATTAGTGTTTAGCATATGCTGTCAGTTATATAAACATTGGCACCGCTATTTTGTTCATTTCATCATCTCACAATCTCTCCAGTATCACCAGTGCATCGTCGGTCCAACATGTCGTCTCTCGTGATAGATCTTGCGGGCAAGACCCTTATCTCGCAGGGAACAGCGTATGGCTTGCTCATCGGCCTCGGCGTGGTATTCTGCGGCGTCATTCTGGCCGCTGTGAAAATCCAAAGAGTATATCTGTCTGAAGACTCGGGCACATCCGAAATGTTCATGGTGGCCAACCGAACAGTCGGAACCGGATTGACGGCCTCTGCAGTGTTTTCGTCGTGGATGTGGATTAATGAGACTGTGCTGGCTGCGGCCATGTGCTACAAATTTGGCCTGGCGGTGCCAATGGTACGTGACTAAGTATTTCTCCCTCTGGTATGAACGCACTCGTTAACAGGAGTCGATATAGTGGTGGGGTTCTGGACTCTGTTTTCAAATCGCGCTCATGGCGACTCTCGGCGTGTTGGCTAAGATTAGGGTTCCGTATGCCCATACGTCGCTAGAGATCATTCGACAGCGATATGGCCGTATAGGGCATGTTGTGTTTATTGTTCTGAACCTAGCGTGTAACATCTTCGGCTGCTCTTCGATGATTTTGACGGGCTCTCAGCTGATCTATGGGGTGTCCGGCATGCACTTCGCTGCGGCTACTATACTTATTCCCTTAGGAGGTGAGCAGTCATTTTATCTTCATAAGTAATACTGGAGTCAATTAACGTGTGATTGATTTATAGTGGTATTGTACACTGCAGTGGGTGGATTGAAAGCGACATTTATCACTGACTATCTTCATACGACGGTTGCTTTGATTCTGATCATTTTCTTCACGCTCTCTGTCCTAACAAACGAAACCATCGGCGGTCTGGGAGGTCTATACGATAAAGTGCGAGCGACTGCGGCAGAGAACTATATCGACGGGAACTACCAAGGTTCTCTTTTAACGATGAAATCCAAACAGGCTATCATCTGGGGCCTCATTCTCAAGTTCGGAAACCTTGCTCTGGTGGTTATGGACACTGCCTTTTGGCAAAAGTCATTTGCGACTGAAGTCAAAGCCACTGTTCCCGGCTACGATCTGGCAGCAGTGGCTATCTTTGGAATTCCCTGGGGACTGGGCACGGTTATCGGCCTGACTGCGCGAGCCATCCACAACACTCCAATCTGGCCTGCGTATCCTGCCGAGTTCACCACCGCCGAAGTCAACGCAGGACTGGTCATGCCGTACGTCATCAAGGCATTGATTGGAGACCAGGGTATAGTCGCCTTCTTCGTGCTTCTTTTCATGGCCCTCACAAGCACTGTATCCTCCTCCATGATCGCAGTCAGCAGTATCCTATCCTTCGACCTGTACAAAACCTACATTAACCCTAAGGCCACCGACAAACGCCTCGTGCACATCAGCCATTTATCAGTGGTCTTCCACGCCGTATTCATTACTGCATTCTCGCTCATCCTCAACTACGGCGGCGCCGACATGACATGGATAGGCTATTTCCGCCCCGTTTTGACCTGCCCTGGTATTCTGCCATTGATATTCACTCTCTGCTGGAGCGGCCAAACTCGTCTCGCGCTGATCCTGTCTCCAATTCTCGGCTTTGCAACCGGCGTCGCGATTTGGTTAGCTACTGCATATCATTTGTACGGCGAAATAAACCTGACAACCACCGAGGCCGGTCTGCCTGCTCTATACGGCGCCATCGGCTCGTTTTTTTCGCCCGGTCTTTACTCGCTGCTAATTTCACAGTATAAGCCGTACAAATTCGACTGGCGCGAGTTTCTACGCATCGAACTTGCAGATACAAAAAAGCACAATGCTGGGGAATCATCTTCATCATCGACCAGCTTTGAAGAGAAGAATGCTTCGCAATCAGCTAACACCAAAACTCCTAACACCACCATCAACCCTCTTCCATCTCACGCCATAACATCCACCGACGAACCCACCACCACTACCTCCTCCACCTTCTCCCCTACCCAAACTTCACCCTCAACAATAAGTCTAGAAGACATCCGCCACCCCTTTTCCGACGAAACGCTAAAAGAGCTACACCATTGGTACCGCATTGCCTGGGCTATCTGGGTATTCATTGTGCTGATTACCTTTGTTGCGTGGCCCATGCCACTCTATCGGGATTATGTCTTTACCAAACCATTTTTTAAGAGCTGGACTAGTGTCGCGATTCTATGGCAGTTTGTGGCGTTTTTTGCGGTCGTCGTGTTTCCGTTGTATGATGGCCGGAGGCAGATTGTGGCCGGGGTGACAGGGGTATGGAGGAGTTTGAGGGAGTATATCAGAGGGGTTGGGCAGGGGGGAGTGGATTAATTTGGATAGATTGGTTATGATGTTGGAGGGATGGTTTCCTGGGTTATTGAGGATTTCGGTTTTAAAATTTGAGGGTAGAGTTGAAATTACCAGAAATTATGGGCTTACTCAGTTCTAGAAATTATAGATATTATCATATAACTGGTATTTGATAATGAATTTGAGATTTTACGAGACATGTTTCCAAGGGGACAGCTACTTTGTTAATTAGAGAGCGGCACAGAGGTCAATATTTAATGCCAGTTAATGAAACTTGATAACCTAGGCTGATGAACACAAGGCAAGGCGTTTGCAAAGAAGCAACTTGTCATTCAAAATCACACCAGACGACTCTTGTCCTACAATGCCTCAGTATATTTATCTACCATCAATCTGAAACAGACTGAAAAAGAAATAAATCATCAAAGCAGACAATTCGCTCGATATATGAGTTTTGCTAGAATCGACAAATAAAAGAGAGAGGAAAATAAATTGTGATGGAATGTAAGGTCCTGCCTTTTGTCATTGATGGCAACGTGATCAATCTCAGAAGTTCACGCTAGAGAAGAACATGGCTCGTCATCACTGCAAGAAAATCTAGACTCCGAACGAAAGAAATGGAAATAAAACTACTGTGGCGGGTAGATCTGTCCCGACAGGTCAGTTTTAAGATGGGCGTACAGACAGAGGTAATAGCAGGAAAATGATGTTAGATCCGATCTAGCCTCATGGAAGTAGTGTAGTACTCAAAAGAGAGAGAATAATGCACTGCCTATTCGGGAATGCTGCCGAATGAGGGATCTCTAACACTCCCTCCAGCATCTCCGAGTCCCGCAACCGGGCGGTTGTAAGACCACCCGGTAAACTGCTGTTGCATCGTCGAGGAAAGACCTGGTCCATCAACAACCGAGTCTTTGGGAGCCTCGCCAATGAAAATTTCATCAAATTGGGAAACATCGATAGCACCCGACTGAATAGTGTTAGTTGTCGCTCATATAACATTGCTCGGAAAAAATACATACCACGTTAGGTTTGAAGGTAGGCTCGTATTTCCTCTGCAGCAGCTTCCGCCAGTCGATGTTGGAGAAGAAATGGTGCGCTTTGATTTCAGCTGCTCCATTAGATCCCAAACGGCGTTGAGGATCACGATCGAGTAGACGTGTTAAAAGATCGCGAGCGGCAGGAGGAACAATATCATGTCCAGGGAATGTCAATGGTTCTTGAAGAATCTTGCGGTACATTTCATTTGTATTTTCATCATAGAAAGGTGGTAGACCCGTTAACCTGCATATTTGTTAATGAATATGCGCATTATAATGGACATCCAGAATTGAACTTGCATTTCGTAAAGCAATACTCCTAGAGTCCAAAAATCCACAGTCTTCGTGTAGCCATTCCCGAGCAGCAATTCTGGCGCTAGATACTCCGGTGTACCGCAGAAGGCTATATGATGTTAGTCACAGCATCGATGCATAAGTAGTTTCGGTATCCCGCTGGGATGTAGAAGTGAGCTTACTGTTAGTCCGATCCTCATCCTTCATATCAAGTTTACACAGACCAAAATCGCACAGGGCAATATGGCCAGTATAATCCAAAAGAATGTTCTCTGGCTTTAGATCACGGTAGATAACTTTGAAACCATGTAGACACTCAAGAGCACAAAGAAGTTCCGCGGTGTAGAAACGGGCCCTGTTGATGTCAAACCGCTGTTCTTTTTGGAGATGGTGGAACAGTTCGCCGCCATTGACAAATGCAAGGACGAGATATAATTTCTCAGGGGACTGAAAAGAGAATTTCAATGGGACAATGAAAGGGTTGTTGATTTGAGATAATACTGATCGTTCAGCTAGCGTGTGTGCAACTTCGGACCTAGAAATGATGTGTGCTTTGCGAATTGTCTTGAGGGCGTAGATACGGCCAGTGTCTTTCTTTCTAGAATAACTATTAAGATAAACCACGTTAATAGAAAGCTGGAATACTTACAGCACTTGCATAACTTTGCCAAATGAACCCTACACAAAAATCAGTCAGTTGGTCAAGGGTATATTGAAGACGACCACGGTTCTGTCTATCCTTACCTTTCCGACAACTAGTTAAATTATTAGTAAATTCTCAAACGTATAAGAAGATTTACACACCCTTGAGAAGCTCAAAATCCTCAATTTTCAGGCTGTGAGCTCTTGTCTCAACAAACTTGACGCCAATTTTAATAGAACCAGTGCCAAACTGCAATTCCAGCCATTCCGAGCCGCGCTGTTCTGCGTTTCTCTCATGCTCCGCAGCTGCCTTTTGGTTGTCCTTTTTGCTAAGTTTTGGGTCTTCGACATAGGGCTTGAATGCCTCCAGTTGTGGGTGCATCTTCACAGCACCAAGGAAGATGTCCTCATTTCGCCCTACTCCAGGTCGAGCTGCTGGGTTGCGGATATATAACTGCACACTCAATTCGGTTTGACGGGAAACGTCGAATTTGTAGGCGGTGTTATCACCAGCCCAGAGAGGGTTTTCTGGGCTACCAGACACCGCGTCGACGAATACTTGATTCTTTTCAAAGTCAAGAAGCGCATATGGTAGGTCTTTAGTTAGATAACGGCCATGGATGGTTGGCGCGGCGTTGATGCCGCTGCTAATCGATTGTGGGCGAGCGGGGTGTGTATAAGAGCCTGGGGTTTGGCCTGAGTGGGAGGAGGAGGAATTCGGGCGAACCGGGCCATTGTTAATCTGGAAATGAGTGTTGAATAGTTGCTGGTAGTGAGGGGAAAGTGAGAACCCCTTTCCCTCATGCAGGGTGACGACGAGGATACCAGGCTTCACTGGGGCGACGGGGGGGAGATCAAGTCTTCCGCGGTCGCTATAGGTTCTAAGTTAGTATTTCGTTTCAGATTCCAATTCCTCCCATCTTTTCATCAGAAGCTACCACATACCGATCCCATTCGAATTTTGCGATGTCAAGTTCGAGCGCGAGGTTGTCGGCGTCTCATCGGGGGTATCGGCTTTGATAGTGGAAGTCGACGATGAACGACCAAAGGATTGGGTGAGAGGAGCAAGGTGTGTCTCCTTAAGCTCTGCTGGTTGTCAGTGCCAGTTCAACAGTCATACCGCAACATTGTCTGCAAGCAGATAGGTGCGTGCGTGCGTGCATGCGTGACTTGGCGGGGGCGACCAGACAGAACATACTCTTGGTGATTTTCCAGGACATGATGGTTGCGTGTATGCAGAGAATGTACAGAAGATGATGATAGCAAACTGAAGCCGAAGCGAAGTAGGGCTTCCTCGAGGGATGGTCGGTGGAGAGACGTCGAAACAAAAATACGCTCACTTGAACACAACAGACTACAAGCCTTGCCGATCAGCCACACAAGAACGAGGGACAAGCGGCCAGCACACGGGAGTCCACAGGCTAATCAATCCTGACTTATATGAACAGACAGAAAAATAAAAGCAAATATATAGGGTAGCTTTTGTGAACAGGGTCGGTCGACACCAGAGACTTAAGGGGGCTGGTGGGTGAGACGGACGGAGGTTATCTACGGGGGAGGGGTCCCAAAGCACGGTATTCTTATTGTTGACGATTGGCAACGGGACTTAGTGCTCCCGGGCAGCGGCAGTGTGAGGGGTGCCTGGAGAATCAGGCTGGTGCTGCTAGAAAGCGGGGTGACGCGGTGAGCTAATTGGTTGGGAGCAGGTATTGTTGGCAGTTGTATTACCAAAATACGGGAATATCACGTCTAGCTAGCAGCGTTCGGTAAGCGAATTACAGCCATGGGGCGAATGCCGCTGCCACAGCACATGCCAGAAGGAGGCATCGCGTATCACAGCCACAATGGGGCGGTGTGCCACGCAGCCAATCATGAGCGCCTACCGCTGTCTGCACAAAGCGCCCGTGCCAAGCCGCGGGTGTGGACACTTCGAGTCGCTGTCGGCTGTCGCGCTTGCCGATGTCGCGCTTATACGACGACATCAACACCACTCTCCTGCTCAGAGCCAACGTTCGTCGACACGAAACTCAGGGCCTCAGCTGCTCCCGCGACCTCTCGAATCTACCCAACCCTCTCTCTACAGTGCCGCCCGACCATCGCCACCACCAGCTCCATCCGTTCCTTGCGCGTCCTTCCCCGGTTAGTCATCAATATCGCCAACGATATACTGACCTTCCCGGCCAGGAACCGACTCGTTCGAGAAGAGCATCGAACCGGTATCAAGTCAACTATACTGCTACGGACTCTGCAGACCCAAGTCGCAGCATCAGATCACCCTCTCCGTTCTCTGCAAGGCTGTCGACAGTTTCCGCGACGGATTCGGATAAGGCGGAGGATGAAAGGAACGAACGTCCCATGGGTGTAATCCGGAAAAAGACCGCCACACGCGGTACGGAAGGCGGAACTAAATACCATTGCGACGTCTGCTCTGTTGATATAACCTCTACGGTGAGTTTATTCGATGCAACTGCCTAGGGTCTGTCGCTTGGGGTTTATCACTAACGGGTCGTTGTGGCTAGGTGCGGATATCATGCGCGCATCCTTCCTGTCCTGAATACGACTTGTGCGTTCCCTGCTTTGCAGCTGGGGAAAGTTCCAAAAACCACGATCCTCGCACTCACCCATTTCACGTTATTGAGCAAAACTCGGTGCCTATCTATACAGAGGATTGGGGCGCCGATGAAGAGCTCTTGTTGTTGGAAGGGGCCGAGATCTATGGGTTAGGATCATGGGCCGATATCGCAGATCATATTGGTGGTTTCCGCACCAAGGAAGAAGTGCGCGATCACTATATTGAAACCTACATCGAGAGCCCGAACTTTCCTTTGGCTGCCCGTGCGGATCCCGAAGACAAAACATTGCAGGAACTTATCTCGAAGGAGGAATTCCAGTCGCGGAAAAAGCGACGAATCGAAGAACGCAAAGAAGCCGCCAAAGCTGCACCGCCGGCTACACCGAAACAGAAACCTACTGCCAGTGTTCCATCATGTCACGAAGTTCAAGGCTATATGCCTGGTCGTCTCGAGTTCGAAACCGAGTTTTGTAACGAGGCCGAAGAAGCCGTTCAGCACATGCAATTTGAACCTGGTAATGGCATCAATGCCAATGGCGAGATGGAGCCAGAGATGGAATTGAAGATGACTGTGATGGAAATCTATGGCTCGCGTTTGACTCAACGAACAGAGAGGAAAAAGATCTTATTCGCACACAATCTACTTGAATACCGTAAAAACATTGCCCAGGAGAAGAAGAGGACGAAAGAAGAGAAGGAGTTGATGAATAAAGCGAAGCCTTTTGCTCGGATGATGAATCACGATGACTTTGAAGAGTTCTGCAAGGGCATTGAATACGAGCACAACTTGCGACTAGCAATATCGCAACTTCAAGAATGGCGGCAGTATGGGATTACAGACCTCAAAAGTGGCGAGAAATACGAGCAAGAGAAGCAACAGCGAGCCCAGCGCGCCGTCCCTCAAGGATCATTTGATCGATTTGCTAGCGCCCGTCCAACGAAACAAGTCCAACAACCAGAAGGCCCATCACAAGCCAGTCTATTAACCACCCCAGAACTGCCAATGCGGTTCCAAAAAGCCGCAAAACCTGCTGGCCCCGATCCAAACGTCCCACTCAACGACTTTGACCGCGCCTTTGCAGCCAACGGCGACGTCATCGACACGCCTCAACCAGCCGCCAAATCGAAATATGTCGTGCAGCCGCTGAGCGGCGTTGTGCCGTGGAAGCTCGAAAGCGACGGCGCGCCAGACTTGCACTTGTTGACCAAAGAGGAAGTCGAACTGTGCAATGCGTTACACGTGCAACCCAAGCCATACCTCGTTATCAAGGAGACATTACTGAAGGAAGCCATGAAACAAAACGGTAGTTTGAAGAAAAAGGATGCCCGGACTATTTGCAAGGTATGCCTTCTTCTATCCTCTGTCAGCCCACCGCTAACATTGTCATAGATCGACGTCGCAAAAGCTGGCCGCATCTTTGATTTTATGGTGCACAGTGGATGGATCATGAAGGCATGAATGAACCTAGATACGCAGTGAAATTATGCCGATCATGCAAATCTATTATGATAATCAACCACTGGCTCTTCTACTAGTACCTTTTTTCAGCTTTCTGTTTTCTTTTCTTGGCGCTTGGTGGTTGGTTCTGGACTGGACTTAGGGCTTGGAGTGGCTGGATGAATGTTTGAGATGAAATGATATAAACCGATTTTACTATGAATAGGCTACTGGCTAGATTACTAAGTATCATCTATATTTTTTTACTATGTTTCTCGTATGTATATAATCGCGTAGATTGCACTTGAATTAGTAATATTCCAATATATTATTCTGGCTGTCAGCTGTGACAGTGTTGGAGAGAAGAGATGTTGATGTCATTATCATCAATGCAATTTCATTAGCATTAAAATCCTAAAGTCTATGACTAATTCTGGTCTGCGTACACTTGAATTCATGACAGGGAGTTCAGTGCACTGTCCACGCGGGTAGTACAACGCTCCTCGGGCAAATGGCCACATCCACCATGTAGTGATTTCTTCAGCTAATTTCATACTTTCCCTTCAAGAACGAAACCCTCATAATAGGATATCTCATATTCGTGCCGGTACTCTGTCCCCCAGATCAGGATCGTGTATAACCATGGAAGAAAAGAAAAAAGTAAAGTGAGGATTAAGTTCAGGACTTAATCAGGAGTAAAAAGGTGCCCTACTTTGAGTCTGCTTGAACCTTTTCAACAAGCTTGAAAACAGGCTGGTAGAGCTTGTGGTCGGGCTTAAGTCCAGTGATTTGTTGAGTTGCTTCGGCGGTGGATTTCTCCTTCAGGATCTTGGCTAGTTCCACACTCTCGTCGTCACCTTCCACATTCTGGAAGCGTAGAGCTTTCTCAATGGAGCCCAAAAGAGCATCGAATTTCAGGCCTTTCTCAGCCAGCTGAGCAGCCGGGCCAATGAAACGTTCGTTGCGAGAAAGCTTGCGTAGTGGAGCACGACCAACACGTTCGACGACATCCTCGAGGTAGTGATTGGAGATACGCTTGACGATGGTATCCACGTATTTTTTCTGTTCTTTTTCGGTGATTTCGTGCTTGCTGACAATCAAGGCTGCAGTCTCGTCTAGGACATTGTGGACGATCTTGTGAATGTCCGGATCAGCCAAAACCTCGTGGATAGTCTTCTTGCCAGCACTGTAGCCATAGTAGGCGGCAGTAGCATGACCAGTATTGACAGTAAAGAGCTTGCGCTCAATGTAAGGCTCGAGATGGTCCACCCAGTGAATGGCTTGAATGTCTGGATGGCCGTGTTTTCCGAAAGGAGTCTGTTCCACAACCCATTCGTAGAAACCCTCAATACGAACGTCGAGTCCAGCATTCTCAGGCTGGGTGGGCACGATTCGGTCGATTGCAGAATTGGCGAAACGAGCGCGATCCGGGAGAGTGTCTAGACGAGACTTATCGAGGTGTTCCTCAATGTATCCTCGCAAGGTAGTGGTAGCATTGATAGCATTTTCACAGGCAATGACTGCGAGAGGCTTTGGTTCTTTACGAGCGTCGATTGCTTTAGCAATGGGAGAAGCAATGAACTTGAGGATATTCGGCCCAACAGCGCAGGTGACAATATCGGCGGTTGCGATTTCGTGAATTACATCTGGTTCATTGGTTTTGGAGCTGATGGCTCGGTAGTTGGTGATGGTCTTGGTGTTCTCGCCATCCTCGCTGATCTCGGTGACCTTGTATGACTTGGACTTGTTGAGGGACTCGATGACCTGAGGCACAACGTCGACAAACACCACCTCATAGCCTGACTCATGCAGGAACTCGGCGACAAAGCCACGGCCAATATTGCCACCGCCAAACTGAACAGCCTTCTTGCCCATGATGGGTAGGGATTGGCTCGACTAATGCGCGGAGCAGCAGCTATGATAGGTTGGGGTGGGGAAGATATAGCTCTTCTTTTGACATTCACGTAAGTCAGTGAAGCTTGCGTGGGGTTAGGAGGGAACAGAAGCTTACCTGGAGCCAGGAAACAAGCGCTGGAGCGGCACGAACAGGGGGAGAACAGGAAGCAAAAGACAGGTGAAGACGAAGGGTTAAAAGCGAAAGACGAAGATGCTAGAAGAGGACAGGGGAGGGACCAGAGAGGAGAGGCAGGAGGGGCAAGAGCAGCCAGAGCAACGGAGGCAAGAGCCACCAACGATGTCATCGCGGGGCCTTCCCGTCATTCCTTGATTCGGCTCAGCGACCGATACTCCGTCGACACTTCTAGACTGTCTAGACTGTCTGTCTGCTACTGTTGCTAGTACTACCCTCACGACCGCAATTATTATTACTCTGCTTCTAATGCTCGAGCTGCGACTCTTCCAGCCTCTTACAGACGCCGCTCTGTCCGACGAAGTACGCCCCCGGAATGTAACCAATGCTGTCGGCAGGCTTCAGAAATAACGCAGTAACATCTTTGTTGCCAGGAAACAGGCCGCTTGAATGCCCCGGTGAGTCTGCCGGTGAGGGTGTGCAGTCGTATCACATGCGTACTATTGCACAAGTCGACACTGCGATGCGACAAAGCGCAGCGGTGGCTTAGAGGAGCTCTCGAGGTCGTGCAGAGGGCCTAAGGCTCTTACATGGGGGAAAGCTGCAGGTGTGGGGCCGCGGCGCTTCAATCAAAATGATATAATCGTGAGACGGATGAGACTATACAATACTAAACACTACAGCGAAGCCGACTCGCAAGCCAACCATTTCATGTGAGACGCAGGAACAAGAAAAGGGAGGTTATTGCGCGGCTAGTGATAATGGTTGAAAAGCCATGGTCTATAAAATGTTGCCTCCTTCTCCTTTGATTTTCTGGAAAGGCCCACCACTTCCAGCGCGCGCTGAGGAAAAGCATGTGGTGACGCGCCGGTTACATACCGTGCAGATGGAATCGGAATTGGCATCCTGTCACCATGAATCGCGAGGGATTGTCCTGGCACCAGCAACGCTTGCAGCAGCAATTACGGCAAATTATCGGTGCAGGAATAGCCATGCCCAGGATGTAATAATATCGGGACTAGCAAAGATCAAAAAGGCCTCATATTATTACGCGCTTCAATAAAAAGATAGCACCCAAGTTATACAGCCGCGGCCAAATACGAAAATAATCCGGAGTTTCACCCGTGCCTAATCAGTGCCCAATGTTTACATACAATTTGTGCCAGGATTTAATTTCATTTATTTGTGCTTGTCTGATGGGAATTAGACCAATGACGAGGGAGATATACAGGACTACTGCCGGTACTTCTTCGGTATGGCCGAGGAAGATGGCAAAACGACACCAAACTCACATAAAACAATTCACGGCTTATTATTTGTTCAACAAAAAAAGTTTCTCAGACATTGTCGATCTCTTTTTCAGAGGACGCAACGCTGCTGGTGGATGGCAGTGTGATAACACTGATAACAACAGTAAGAAACAACAGTCCCACCGCTGACCATGTCATACCCAGAAACTTGCTACCTCTCACTGCAGCTATTCCATAGTTCTTTCCATGTCGATTGATAAGATCGACAAACTGAACAGCCATGACAGAGGCTACCGAAGAGGAAACACCAAGACAGACAAAACTAAGCTGCACACTGAATCAGAACCATTTCCTCGATTTTCATAGAGCAGAGCAGAACTTACCACCGTGAAAATCAAATGTGCCATCATAGATGCCCTTCCTCCAGCTTGTGTGAGAAGGATCTCCATGAGAAGAGTAACACCTGTCGCCGCAACGCCAATAATGTACAGCACTGACATCGCTTTGGTGGTCACTTCCATAACGTGAAAGTCGTCTGTGATGGTGTCTGGCCAATTAATATCGGATACATTAAACCCAGCTTTGAACTCCGCCGAAAAGACGTTTGCTGGATTGAACGCAAAGGGAGCTGTGCGTTTAGAGCAGCTCGTCACTCCATGTTCCCCATCGCCGTCGAAATTGCCTTCGCAGTATGCTAGCACATGAACAGAGTAGAATTGTTTCAGGCCCAGGTCGGCTGCACTAGTGTCATTTACGGATTTAATTGCTGCAGTCGGTTCGGAGGCGGATGTGTCGAGCTAATCATATACGAAGTCATCTAACCGTATATTTCCTCCAGGTGGGATTAGTTACTAACCGTCATAACACTGGCACTCTGCAAGATTGATTTTTCCGAGCCTGCGAATAGACAGAGTGTACTGAGAATAAAGGAGCTCAAGGCGAAAACCTTGGATAGCGTGTTTAAAGTGAAAATCATGATGAAAGTGTTCTAGTTCACAGTATCAATAAAACAGAACTAAAGGTACACTTGCAAAAAAAATCCGAGATGAACAAGTGCAAAAGGCTGGGAGCCGAGAATATAACGACGCTGATCGCATCTCATTCCGACCATTTTTCATTCCCTATATAAAGGCCTTCTATCCAGTCCTTGAAATATAATGGCAGTATTCGTGGAGGCTGGAGAATGTATACTCCTAAATACTCTGTTTCAACCAGCCTGGGGAAAGTATGTTGTATGCTGTATGTATGGAATGTATTGATTTGATTGGTTGACATGGGCGGATGGGGCAAGCCAATGTACCTCCCGCCAATCACAGTATATACAACCATACCTCATCTTCCCCGATGTGGAATTCCTGCCACACTGAAACACTTTGAATGAATATACCCGTCAGTCACTTGATATGAATTTTATAGATACTGTAGAATACTTTTCTCAATTCCATCCTATTGCATACGGTTGCTAAAGTTGAAATATTTTTAAGGGTTAATCCAGAGAAAATTCGGATTCAAGACTATATCTACCCCGCCCTATTGACGAAATCTTTATTTTGAACATGGACAAAAAAGAGAAATGATGCAAAAAAGTAGTCAAATAGTTGAAAAAGAGGAATTCGGGATAGCGAATTCGGACATGGATCCCATTAACCGTTCCAAATAATAAAAAAATAAAGTAAACACATACATTACGCTTCGGTTTCAACCTCGGCGGCTCCATTGACTGCCGTATTTGCTTCCTCGCCGTCTCCAACATCAATCAAGGACTCGGATGAAGGGGGCTCTGGTGGACCCTCCTTTTCAAGACGGAGATATTCTTCCCATTCGGGGAAGAGCTCGTCATCGGCTGTACCGTCCTCCGTGCCTGGAGGCACGCCAATCAGGCGAGCAACTTTGGCTTTGCCGGATTTTTCGAGGGATTCTTTCCACCGGGATACCAGGCTAGGAGCCTTTGATGGCTTGTATGTTTGGGCAAAGAGAACAGCTTCAGCGAGGCGGTTCGTTTGAACGAGCAGATCGATACAAGCATCGATGTCGCCGACGGTCCATAGGGCTGAGAAAGCGACGTTGTGGAGGCCGGCAACAGAAGCCTGTTCGGCGAGGGATCGAAGACCATCAGCATTGGAGCTGGAAGTGTAGAGTAGAAGAAGGGACCCTAGGTCTTTTGCTTGAGTGAAGCATTCTTGTGCGAGACTCAGGTCCCAGGCAGTCAGAGCAGCGTCGCCGACTGTCTTCCACTTGTGCTCGACGTCGGCTTCGCGAGCAAGTTCAAGAGCGATATCAAGGCGGCTCAGGGCAAGTGCCAAGTCGAAGCGATGCTCAGAATCTGGGGATACTTCAAGAGCTAGTTCCTTGAACCCTTGACCTTCCAAAAATCGCGCGATCTTATTCATTTGGTCGTGGGGAATATCGGTAAGAAGCTCTGACGCAGAATCCATGTCGCCTCGCAAAACAAGGGTTTGATACTCAACGACAGATAGTGACAGGGCGAACGAAATGACACCGACGTCTTTGTCGGCAAGATAGATACGGCCATCCCGAGGGAGATAGCCGAGGACGTACATGGGCTGGTCAAAGTGGGAGATTGTGTAAGTCTGATCTCCCACCAGGTAATTGAGGCGGTTTGTTGAGTTGGTATAGATGAAACAATCTCCAACCCATTCTCCAGTCCGGACAGTTTCACTGATGTCTGTAACGACTTCAAACGCTGATTCAACACCATCTTCATCAGCTTCGCCAGAGTTCAAGCCGTTGACATAGTTTTCTCGAGAAAATCGAAGAATGTAGCAAGTATCTTCACAGGCGAGAGCCACTAATTCGCCAGACTCTGACCAGTAGACCTGTTTGAATTAGTTATCGTTGCATACAGTTCGTAGGTATAGGGCTGCTTACCTCACGTGGCTCAACCTCAATGCGGCGAACGAGATTACCACTTTCCCAGTCAAACAAGCCAATACCACCTTGTCCCTTAACACCTAGAAGGACACCACCGGAAAGACCTTCAGCTTGGAAACCAACGTCCAACCCACCGCTCTTTTCCTTGAAGTTCTTGAAAATCTTGACACTAGTGGCGGACTCCCTAATAGCGTAGTCATTGCTGTTGTCCTTGGAGCCCCAAGCGAAATCCAAGGCTTGACCGAATGCCTTGTTACGCCAGGCAAGAGCCGTATATATGATATACTCCCCATCACCACAGACTGAAACAAAGCGACCATTGGGAGAATGAGCCAGAGTCTGAGGGTAGATTTCACACGACCCTAATTCCTTTGTAGGGAGGGAGAGGGGAGAGCCATCTTTCAACTCTTCTCCTCCTTTGAGGACCGTTGAAACCACTTCGCTGTGCCGAGAGTAAATAATCTTCCCGGAGCCGTCCATAGACACTGCGGGCTCCTCCCGACCCATCTTCACCACAACAGCACCATCATCGAAACCTATCGCAATACCTTGGCGGCCTCTTTGGTAGCTAACACACCATGCCCGCTCGAGTCCATAATTGAGAGACTGTTCCAACCGGTATGTATTGGCATGCCACACTTTGATCGTTCCATCCTCTGAGCCTGAAACAATAATAGGAAGCTCGGGATGATAGCATGCAAAGGAAACATTGCTTGTGTGTCCTTCCAATGTGGCAATCAATGCCTTGGTGGTATAATCCCATACTTTAACCGTCTTGTCATCCGAGGTGGTAAGAAGATATGGTTTGTCGGCTTGTCCGTAATAATCGATGCTGTTCACGCCTTTCGTTTCTAAGGGTATATTAGCACTTTGATCGCGACCTGAGCACTACAAACGTAACCGTACCATGAGCCTCAAGCGTAAAGTTAGCATGTCCAGAGCCAAGATTCCAAATCTTGACTGTCCGATCTAAGCAAGCAGAAGCAAATGTATTGGTATCCTTGGGATTGATAGCAAGTCCCATGACATAGTGGCTATGACCCTCAAAGACCTGCACGCATTTCCAGCCTTTTTCCCAATCCCACAACCTAATTGTCATGTCATCTGAGCCGGTGAGAACGAAGGGCTGTGTCGGGTGGACCGCAATCGATCGGATATAGTCTGGATGGGCTTCAAATGAAGTAATCTTTTCTGAAGTGTTGTAGTTGTAAACGCGCAATTGGAAATCATCACTGCCGCACACGATCCAGTTCTTTCGAGCGATGAAACGACCAGCACGCACGGGAACATCAGTAAGCTCAAATGTTTTGATAATCGACTAGATAAAAGTCAGCATAATTTACCCCCAAAAGAATTTGGAAGTTAGTAATAAATGCCGAGAACTAGAAGCGAAAGTGTGGCTGACCTGTGTTTCGTAAGACCAAATGTAGACGTGGCCTAAATCAATCAGTGTCCTGCTTCCGAGAATCAAGGTCCAATAAGGTGAATTTCATACCGCTATACAGTGTAGTAAGGATCTAGAAACGCATTAGCTATGGTCTACATGTTGGGGCGTGTAATTCTTACCCATGGCTCTGTGGGGTGGAAATCAATGCCCTTCACTCGCTCAGAGCGGGCAAAGAGTTGTCTCTGTAATAACCAATTGCAGTCAGCAAAACTCGTCTTTTTGCAACAGGATGTGCTATTTCAGCATCTCAATGGCACAGGTTATGGTGCTCTTTAGCGACCAAGTACGCACCTTGATATCGAGCCGCATGTTGCTTGGTGTTTAGTGTGTCCAGGGGTGTCGGTTGTAGGCCCGAGAGAGGGCTCGCTCAAACAAAATACACCGCAATATATAACGTGGCCGAATGAACAGTATTTGCAGAAAAAAGACGGCCGCAAAGAAGCTGTTGGGGGCACAGGTTGTGTGTAAATAGCTCTGCGGAGGTCTTGTTTGCGGTGCGGCGTTGAAGCAATCGTGGAGATCGAATGTGTCCAGTTTGGAGTGGGTTGTCCCGAAGCGGATTAGCGCGGGTCGCATCGTTGGAATATCTAATAGTTACGCTGTTGGGGTGAAAACATGGCAGAAACCACTAATTGACAGGATAAGAGATGGAATGTAAATTTATCAAGACGCTCCAATTGAATGGAAGGTGGCAATTATATGAAGCGTAAAAGCGTGTTAACTATGACCTCCGGGATCACGAAAATGAGCGTCAATCAATCCAGAACAGCCTAAAACGAAACCGTTATCTACGTTACGAACTGGTGTTCCGACGCAACTCAGTGTCTAACATCTAATTGGATTGATCGCAGTTATAAATAACGACTCAAGACATAGGGAAGGGGCCCTCAAGGCAAAGGTTGTTATAGGTTATAAATACATGTAATTCCTTCCGCATTTGAGGTTGTCTATGGCTTTCCAGGAGTATGTGTGTCACGTTCAAAATAGGTCCATTGACCGGGACGTGGCTTTTCAGCAAGTTCTTCCCATCTGGTCAAAAATCAGTACGAATATAAAACCAGTTCAAGAACTGTCAACTTACACTTGTGACTTGGCCAACTCGTCTACAAGCTTCAACTCGCCCTCGGCAACTTGAATAACTTCTTCAATCAGGCCAGCACCAATTTTATTCTCGATGTCGGCAATCCTAATAAGCGGTCAGTTTATGACAATGGGTTGGGGGAGTGTTAAATGTGTTGATAACGCACTGTTCGGCCTCCAGGGCGGGTTCGCTCTCCCAATTGATGGTCTCCTCATCGAAATCGGATTCATGCTTGGGCGTAGTTGCTTCCTCCATGATGGCCTCCCATTGAGCAATTTCCTCTGGTGTTCGGTTAGGACCTTCAGTCATGGGTCCCACAATTCCATCCCATTCATGTGCACGTCGTCCGGCGTGGGAATCGTCTCGTTGAAGACCGGCAAAGGTGCCATCCGGAAGACGAGCTTTTTGGAATTGCCCTGGGTTCTCTGCGATAACTTTCTTCACGCGCTCTAGCCATGCATCGAAGCCTGGGGGCTTGGCGGACTCGATAATTTGTAGGCGGTGACGGGTAAGAGCCTCGGTGGATTGGCGATAGACCGACGACTCTGGTAAAGTCTTGAGCTTTTCGAGAGTCCTGCTATAGAGGAAGATGAGTGTCGAGCGAGGACTGGGGTGTGTGAGTAAACCAGTCAAGCCGGTGGGCGCCAACGGCTCGAGATACCGAGCTGGCTTGACATTAGCCAGCAACCTGAGGCCCGACCTCATGTTGTAACGGCGCGGCTAGAAGCGACGAATGGATATACCGCAACGCAAACGCCGACAAGACCCAATTGTGTGTGAGGGCGCGGTACAGCGAGTGAATGGAAGGTCGACACTGGGTTTTGGCAGGTATCATCGGCAGCCGTGGTGCTTGCGGCTTGGCTGGGCCGGAGCGGAGAAACTCGCGGGACTGTCACCACGGCCGAAAGGGGCAAAGGCTAAAGACCGACCTGGACCGTGACTTTCCAGGAGAGGTGCCAGTGCCAGTGCCACCTTGCGACTCACGCCTCCAACAAAGCCGATCTTTCAACTGTCCCTGGCCCAGCGCCCTGCTGAGGCTTTGTCCCATACCGCCTTCGAAGCATCTTTGTCTTTTCGCATCCTCCTGGACAGGAAATCCTTCGTGTGCCGCATGGATCGGCATTAGCGCTGTTATCAATGTGGCTGTTTTAAACCACCCTTTTATCTCTTGATATATTTCCACACGATCGTTTACTGAGCTACTTGCATTTCCACCGATTTCGAGGTCTCTGGCCTTCTATTCCCGTCAACATGAGGTCTTCCCTATTGGCGTGGTCGCTACTTTCGTTGATCACTATTCCTACGTTAGCCTCCGAGCCTCATGCCGTATATAAGAGAGGGGAAGAAGAGGCCACAGCGGATGATGGTCCCGCCAGCACAACATTTAATGGGATTGAGGTACCTGCACAGAAGGAGCTGGATCCGGAAAACTTCAAGAGCGCCACCTCCGATGGCTACTGGTAAGCTCGAGTGTTGATGATTAAGAGTGCAAATACTGATATCAATATTATACTCAGGTTTGTGAAACACTTTTCACCATCATGCCCCCATTGTCAGCATATCGCCCCTGCGTGGCAGACTCTTTACGAATTCTACTACGTAAGAATCAAGTGCGATACCCATGGCTTGCACTAACACGCGATAGACTTCAAACCCGCTGTCATCATCATCTGCCAAATCCGTCGATACTCAAACCTCTATGAACTCGTTCACTGGGTTTTATGACTTCCATTTCGCTTCAATGAATTGTCTCGCCTATAGGGACATGTGTATCAACTTAGATATCCAATTTTTTCCTACGTTCTCTCTCTACCGAAATAGCGAGTTGGTAGAGCAATACAAGGGCGAGAAGACGATCGAAGGGTTGAGCCAATTCATTGAGGAAAAATTAGAGTTAATTCGACCTGGCTCTCGTCCCCGAAATGGGGTTAAGGTACCGGCACCCGGTGCGACAAGTGCCGATACCACCGCAGAACCCGATATTCCTGAAGAGAAAGACAAAGATCCGGTTGCAGGTGCCAAAGCAGGCGAAAAACATAACGAGCAAATCGCGCAGTTGGCAGAAAAGACCGATGAGAAAAGGCTTACCGATGAGAAGAAACCTACCGACGAGAAAAACCTTGTCGATGAGAAAAAGGCTGCGAACGAGAAGCAACCTAAAGAAGAGAAACTAGTCGCACAGACTAAGACTTCAAAGGAGAAATCTGCGGTGGTTTACAACCCAAAAGGCACGTCGGTTCCATTGACTGCTGAGAGTTTCCAAAAGTTTGTCACCAGAACACGCGACCCCTGGTTTATCAAATTCTATGCTCCATGGTGCCATCACTGCCAAGCCCTAGCGCCTGCTTGGTTGGCAATGTCTAAAGAAATGAAGGGAAAGCTCAATGTTGGTGAAGTCAACTGCGAAGTCGAGAAACGACTGTGCAAAGATGCTGGTGTAAAGGCTTTCCCGACGATGTATTTCTTCAAAGGCGGAGACAAAGTCGAATATGACGGTCTACGCGGGCTTGGTGATTTAGTTGACTATGCCCAGAAAGCCGTTGATATCGGCGCTGGTGTTCAGTACGTCGATGAAGCCAAGTTCAAGGAATTAGAAGAGACTGGAGAAGTGATTTTCCTGTACTTCTTCGACCACGCAACTACCACCGAAGACTTTGAGGCATTGGAGCGACTGACATTGTCTCTTGTTGGTCATGCTCGATTGGTCAAGACGGATAGTAAGGCTATAGCAGACAGATTCAAGATTACCACATGGCCTCGCCTACTTGTTGTTAGAGATGGTCGACCAACATATTTCAATGCTCTGGCCCCATACGACATGAGGGACAACCCACGGGTTTTGAACTGGATGCGAAGTGTTTGGCTTCCGATTGTCCCCGAATTAACCGCAATGAATGCCAAAGAACTGATGGATGGCAAATTCGTTGTCCTTGGAGTTCTCAGCCACAAGAGGGCTGACGAATATCGACTCGGGAAACTCGAATTGAAGAACGCTGCTTTGGAGTGGATGGACAAACAAACACAATTGTTCCGCTTGGAGAGACAAGAGCTCAGAGACGCGAAACAGCTACGTATTGAAGAAGCTGAAGATCGCGATGATCAACGAGCATTACGAGCTGCCAAGAGCATGCACATCAACATCCGCGAGGAGGACAAGAAGCAAGTTGCTTTTGCGTGGGTTGACGGTGACTTTTGGGACCGCTGGCTTCGGACAACATATGGTGTCGATGTGAAGGATGGCGAGCGTGTTATTATCAACGATGAGGATGTAAGTTCAATCCAACCTGGAGATGTTCCACACAATTGACTAACAATTATAGAATCGACGCTATTGGGACTCGTCCAGCAGTGGGGCGAACATCATGGTCTCGCGTACCTCTATTCTCGAGACCATTCCTTTAGTCATCAGCGATCCTCCCAAGTTGAAATCTAAATCCACGATTGGATTATTCGAGGCTACCTTTTTCCACACACGATCCTTTATCTCGAACCACCCGATTCTCTCTATCATTATCTTCATTGTCACCATAATCGCGTCCTTTGTTGCATACCGCAAGCGATCATTCAGGCGCTCCAACTTTGGGTACAACAACGGAGGCATCCTCGGCTATGGTAATAGTTCCGGTGGTGGGTTTTTCAAGCTTGATGGGAAAGAGGGTTTATTGAATGGCGGATCAACTGGAAAGGTTGACTAACGACTGGGGGAATCATGTCACGTATATTCTTTTCCTGTTTTATTGTTCGTGTTTATTTTTTACTTGACGTTGAATCTATGTTCGATTATACAGACATCTACCTATTGCCCCATGCCTAAGTAGCCTTACGTCTAAATTAAAGACACGACGGTGATGCTAATACCTATAGAATAAGACTAAGAAGTTATAAGCTAATATCTTTTTACCACTATGTAGCTGTCTTGTAGAAAATTACTATTGGAACGGCATAGAGCCTGATATAGTTTATACCAGCAAACGCCCACACTAGCAAACGCCTACATCGTCAAACGCCCCCATCAACAAACGCTCACATCAGCACAGCAAGCGTCCTCACTAATAAAGCCATTCCCATAGAATTCTCGGTTTATGCACTCATTATGAAATACCTTCCTTGACCAAAGTTTCTCTAAAGAGTGTTGCCAAGTGATTCTTACGTCTATCACTTCTGTCCTCTACACGATTATTGCTTTCCCAGCTAACAAACATCTTTCACTAGACAAAATGGATCAGAATATGCCCCTCGGAGTCCCTAGAGAAAGACGTATCTACTTTGTCAAAGGTATAAGAGAATTCTCTGAACCTTGCCATCTTAGAAGCGAACAAAGGCAGAAGAAAGCAGGTACGTGTCTAGCATAATAGAGTTAATATTGAGGAATACCTGGAAATAACCCACATTTTCTTAGAGATTGCTACGGACGAGAACGAACGTCTGAAAAGTCGCAAATTTCAAGAGGTATTTGATGGGGAAGAGCATATCATTCTACATGGGCCATGCTATGTTCCGTCTATCATATCGGATCCAGAAGCCCCCAAGATTCACTTGACGAATGGCCAAGAGCTGGGCTATTTCTCCGTTATCGAAGACGACTTTATAAAGGGATTAATTGGTCCCATAGAAGAAAGACTTAGGATGGACAGAGATGACCTTTATGTAGCCTGCAATTCACATAGCCAGACTGCACGACTGAGCATTCCATACACTGAAGCTCAACCTGAAAAAGCACAAAATCTAGACAGTTGTCAAGCCAATCAGGATGATCCAAGCTAACACAAGGCTTAGAGTTTCAAGAAGTTGAACAAGAGCAGAGAGACAGGGTACAGAGTCTTCTATTTCAGCGGCCCAACCAAAAGCACGCTTCAAGTGCCTTTCACGTGGATAAAAAAAGGAACCAGTCAATCCAAAATTGGTTGAGCTCCCTAAATATCTCTCCTGACATGACTGACACCCAATTTGATCCTCCAGACCCCTTAGAAGTCTTGCATAATATGCTGGAAATGGTATATTCCCTCAATTCTGACCGATATGGGGAGTATCTGATACATCACCGAGACAAAATCAGCAGAGATCTACAAGGCCTTCTACGCTCTGAAGCATGGGTTGTCTTATAATCTAAAAATTACGCTCGGGAGAAGTAAGATTCAATATATTTCATTACTTTGAATGAAGCTGCTGATAAGAAAACAGTCTTCTCGAAATTGGCGGCGATACAGGGGAGATCGGAATTTATCTTCGCATCCTCTGGAAAAGGGATAATCCAGATCATTTCTACCTCTATGTAGGCCAGAGTATTCAATTGATTCAGCGACTCAATGATCACCGGGATCCAAAGTACAGGCGGCTGAATCCAAGTCTACATTATTTTATCTGGGATCTTGGATTGATAGATCCGGAGTGTCAAATGGATGAGAAATTTGTTTTTTTATCTATAGTTGAAGGAGATGTGGATCGACTCCTGTTGAACCTCTTAGAGATGTGGTGTTGTCTTATTCTACAAACATTTACCAAAAACGCTCTTCTAGCCTATCTTCCACAGGGAACAGTCGGCCCTCGCGGTGGAATGCATCTGAATGTGGCGTTGCCTATTTATCAGAGCACCAGGGGTGATGCTGTCGTTGACACACTCCACGGAGATCTTCACCACTCAAATGACCCTTTCGTGCAGCAATACTATTCAAGTCTACGAAAAGGATTTTTTGGCCTCAAAAATTCGCCCAATCCTGCAATGCAGGAATACTACCGTACAACAATGCGCAATGGCCAAGTCAAAAAGTCGATTACTTTACCCACCAAGGTTGTGGAAAAGGCTCTTCAGGGAATGGAGGTTGTCATACGCACTCGAGCTAACTGCTACGAACAGAACTTCACTATCTCTCATTTTACCTTCAATATTAGCCCAAAATGGGTTATACTTAACAACGATGACATTGTCATAGTTCGGTGTGACCTTCATGATGGTGTCCACCCACATCGTTATGCAACAACATGTCAGGACGCCGACCCTGCGGCTCGTCTTGGGGTGCATGTTGAAGGCACAGACACCAGTGGGAAAGCATTTGAGGGCTGGCTACAATCAGATGGGAAAATGGTAGTACTTAGGATGAATACATTTGTTGACTTGTTAGAAGGGGTGGATTTAGAGACATCAATGAAGCTCCCTAGACGATGGGCACCTCACCCTAAACCAGGACAGGCCAGGGGTAACAATAAGCCGTTCTATACCTCTGACAACCTTGACGAGATGGGAGATGTTGGTATTGATGAGATGAAGAAATAAGTCCTCCTAAGCAGACATATTTACCAGTCTTTTTTCCTAGTTCCTTGTTAGCTTCAGAAGGAGAGAATGAGACTCGCGCAATTTTTTCTCTTCCAATTATGTACTTATTTTTGAGATTTTGCCAACTGAAATTTTGATGGATACGAGGTGCAACAAGCGTAGAAACCGAGGAAAGAGAGACGTGCCATTATCAGGACGCAGCTTAACGCCACGTGCATCTTATCGTAAAATCAATATTTTCAATATTTTGAAGCTTATAGCCCGTCTTTATGTTGCGTTAAAAGTACAGCATGGCCTCTTTTGCGCAGCTCCAACATACAAAAAGTCTCATTCCACCAAGCATGGCAATTTTGTCCAACAATACTTACGACCTATGGGATGAAGCTCAGATATTTCGGTTCTTTCACCTTTACCAATTCATATAAGACCTGAAAGCCGATGTATAAGCCCTTGTTATTCTTTAGGACTTCGTAGTGTAACTTACCCAGATCTTTACTCTCCACATGCTAAAGATAACTGGCTGGCGCTCATTCCAGAGACCAAAAACGAGTTTACCAGCTGTATTTTTGTATTCGCATGCGTATTAGGAAATGAAAGAAGTGCTTTTGCTGTTCTCAAAATGCCACTGAAATCAATTGATGAATTAACATATAGGTTGCAAGTTGTTCCTTCAAGCATTCATGTCGACCGGCAAGAATACATGTATGATCCTCCAATTGATCCATGATCCTCTCTACTTTTGAGATACTCGGTTTTATTGAGATATGGCCTAAAATAAAGCCAGCTTATCGACTTATGCGTTATACTTACCATCACGGCCTTATATATGAGAATAGCTAATGTTAGTGACCCTTGGCATGAATTGTGATTGAGGCCTGTAAAGGTACTAGAGCATAGTACCTCTATGAGGGACCGCTTGGAGCTTTCATGATAATATCGATCAATACTTGCGCGATCAATTTACCTAAAAGAACATTTATAATGGAGTATACTAGATTATGAGTAGACTTCAAACATTAGCCTGGATACAATAGAATACACAATCACATCTTTTTAACTTTGACAAGTAGCCTTCTTGATAGTACATATAATAAGTAATCAATCCAAACCAGGTCGATTAGCTCTGTTTCTTTCGACTGTAGTACCAATACATATGTTGTTAAAGCCAAACTTAATACTGATACCAACTCGTATAGTACCTATGTAAATAATCTAACAGACGTTATATATATATGTCATGGCGTTACTAGCATGTTGACCATATATCATGGATAAAACGAGGTAGATTTGGAATAAAATAGCATGCAAATACCCTCAGGAGTAGGTAAATCGACAGACCTGATAACGCTTGAGCTGGGAAGGGAGAGAATTTGACATAGGATTTCCAGACAACGAAAGGCCTCACGTTACTATGGAGAGAAAAGGACAGATTATGAAGGTAATACGCTTTTCTTGCTCTTTGTCAACGTGGTCGATTAGATCAGTTGGTTAGATCGTGGTGCTAATAACTCGTTAACGCCAAGGTGAGCAATAAACAATCACAATCTCATGAATATTGTCTAACAGAAATAGGCCATGGGTTCGAGCCCCATATTGACCAGAGTCCTTTTTTTTATTACCGTTTTGTCTTATTTCTTGGTTCCAGGTGCTGTTGGTTATCTTATATTTTCAGTGTTCAATTCAACGTCCCAAGGTCGATTAGATCAGTTGGTTAGATCGTGGTGCTAATACTTGTTAACGCCAAGGTGAGCAACAAACAATTATAGTCACACAAATATTGTTCTAACAGAAATAGGCCATGGGTTCGAGCCCCATATTGACCACAATCCTTTTTTTATTATCTTTATGTTGTCTTGAGTCTCGGTGCTTTGGGTATAAGTTATTTTTGGCATCCTGTTGAGCGTACTCAAGGTCGATTAGATCAGTTGGTTAGATCGTGGTGCTAATAACTTGTTAACGCCAAGGTGAGCAACAACCAATTACAACTAAATAATCATTCTCTAACAGAAGTAGGTCATGGGTTCGATCCCCATATTGACCAGAGTGTCTCTTTTTTAATTATAATTTTTTGGGTTTTATTTCTATTTTTTGGATTTTTGGTGTTTTGGCAATATTCCTCGTTGCTCTTGTAAGTAGGCTAGGCTTGCTTGCACAATTTCGGCGTCGGAGTAGCAAATATATTATCCAGAACAAATATCCTTCAGATGACCATTCTCAATTAATACATGTATCTTTGACGACAATTCATACAAAACAGAGCTAGCCACTCAAGACGAACCATCAACCACTTTTTCGCTCTCATCAGCCTTACCCTCCAGTGTCGGCCGTTCCTCAGCACCAACAGGCAACACACCATCAATAACATCGCTCTTCTGCGTCTCCTCATCCTCCCGTCCATACAACATATGCTCAACATTAACCTTGGGCCCCTTAAACCACTTCCTCGCATCAACCACCCACCACACCATTACCGCCAACATCGGCGCGCCATACACCAAACACGTCCAATTCATCAAATCCGGTGTCAAATCAGCGCCCGTGCCGCTGGGAAGACACAAGATCGGCACCATCAACAGTACGAACGACGCACCCATCGCACCCACCGGCTTACTGAATTTCCCCAAATGCCAGGGGCCGCGACGGAACCGGTTGCCGACGATGAATACCCGTATGGCGATGGGGATGGCAAAGGCGACGAACTGTGCGATTGCGCCGATACTGAAGAGCGCGCCGATGGATACGGACCCGCCGAAGATGAGCAGACACATCAGGATACCGAGAATGCCATTGATGATGACTGCGTTGACGGGGGTTTTGGTGTGTGGGTTGACTTGTTTCCAGATGTTGGAGTAGGGGAAGCAGTCGTCGCGGGCGTAAGCGTAGGTGACGCGTGATGCGGCGACCATGCAACCCTGGCCCATGGAGAAGCCGCAGACGATGGTGATGGCGAGGATGGCCATGGCGGTCTTTTGCGGGAGGACTTGGAGGAGGTAGGAGGCCCAGGGTTGGCCGAGGTCGGAGTTCATGACGGCGTCGATGTCAGTGACGGTGTAGGCGACGACGAGCTGTAGAAACCAGCCGAATAGGCCGCCGGTGGCGGAGGTTAGGGTGATGGCTCGCGGCGAGGCGATGTTGGCGTTGGAGCATTCCTCGGATAAGTGGAAGGGGGAGTCGTAGCCGGACATTGTCCAGATGACGCCGACAAAGGACATCAGGATGGCGACGCCGTCCGGATAGTCGGTGCCGTTGAGGATGGTGCTCCAGACTTGGCTTGCGGGAGTGAATTTCGGGACATTGCTGGTGCCAGCGGGGATGGTGATGATGGCGATGATTAGGGCGAGGATGTTGAACGTCGAACCCCAAGAGTTGAAGTTGGCAACCCACTTGGTGGGCATGCTGCTAATGGCCGTGTGGATGATAAGAATCAAAACGGTGAGAAGGTAGACTTGGTAGTCTGTAGGAACATAATCCGGGTTGCTGATTGAGCCAGCAGCGAGAATCATGGCCGCCAATGCGTAGTCTACTGACGGTGCACTTGTCACTTGTCCAATCCAGTTCGACCACCCGGTAATCCAGGCAGCGAGAGGGCCGTATCCGGGCGGTGCAAGGACTGCTGCTGCGTAGTACAGACCGCCGCTGAACGATGTCGTCAGTATTCTGCTTTTTATGTTAAAACTGGGCGATAGAGCGGCTCACCTGGTCGGCATCGCCGAGCACAATTCCGCCATGGACATAGCTACGCATTGAATAAACACCATTGCAATCAACCAGCCCCAAACCATCCCCCCAGTGCCGGCATAGCCCATGCCATAGTACATGGTACTCGCAAAGGAAGGTAGAAGGCCGAGAACCGCAAAGCTGACGCAAAAGGTAGTCCAGAGCGAGAATTCACGCTTGAATTCCTGCTTGTAGCCGAGCGCCGCAAGCACGCTCTCGTCGGCGCTCAGCGCATGGTCCGAGATAGGGATGTCGCCATCTGGAAGAACTGATGTAACCGGGGCATGGTTGTCGTCTCGATAGATGGTCGATTTGGCCTCATGTTTGGTGGTTTCCAGGTCTACCATTCTGGCTGTGGTGTATATGCGACTGTCTGATGCATGTATATGTAGGGGCAATGGGCAGAAGGATGGCAGGATGCCCCTGGCCAGGGTACATATAAGAATCCATGCAAGGCCGATGGTCGCACGTACTATGTAATCTCCCCGCATGGACCAGATGCAGAACAGCCATGCGTCTCGACGGGGAAAGGATAGTGCCTGTTGATAGATAAGGGATTCATGCCAAGTGGAGCGGAGGAATAGGTGCACAATTACATAGTACTTGGAGATATACTACATAACACGGCAAAGCTGCTGCTGCTAGCTGTGGTTGGGCCAGGCATAGGCCCGGCGTGTAGTGCATGGCTCAAGGGTGATTAGCACCATCATTGGGCGGCGCGGCCGGAGAGTTGAAGCCCGTAGGTCGCGTGGAAACGTCGAAATGTCAAAGCGCCGCTTATCTGGCATCATGATCAAGATGTAGTCGCCGAGAAGAATATGGAAGGAGGATGAATTGATGATCTGATCGTGGCGGTAGCTCAGAAAGCGGAGTCGTGTTATCATTTGGGAGATAAGCCCTGCGCCGAGGCGCCATTATGGACTGTCATTGAGCGACCACTACTCTCCACGCTTATAGTTTCCCTTGGGGGACAAGTGCGATGTGATGGTCAGGTTAGTCGCCAGAAGCAGTAAGTCTGTACACTTTGATTCTTAGGGGTTTATCAGATATATACCTCTGACATGCTATGTAACTACCACAGCATCCTAAGCAAATAACTGAGTAACTATGTGTAATCAGAATGATAATGTTATCTTTTACCCTACTGCACGGTTCAGACAAAAGAAATAAAGGCTGGATTTCGACGTCTATATGTCAAATCGTGTACTCTACAAGCGCAGCTCTAACATTCACCCCATCCCCGATTTCAATTCCCGCCCTATACATTCCTTGGTATATATTTAGAATGGCTATGCAATCGTCAGCATTGGTCCTTCTCATTGGGGTGTGCTTGCATTGTGATTGTTGTGATTGAATCGTCTGACTTACGTTGTCCTCAGGAGGGATGGTTCGGTCAAAGTAGCGGTCCAGCAAGGGGAATTTTTGGAAAATGTCCTTTCGCACACGAGGGACCTCGCCGAAGAAGAAAAGGGCGAAGAGTCCGAGAGCACCGCCGAAACCGCCAGCGATGACGCCGCTGTTTGTTTACGTTAGCACTATGACATATATAAACACATATATGTATGTGTATGTATAGCGTCTATGAACTGAATCCACTCACTACTTGGTGGCTTTGGCAATCGTCAAGCCATGCCAATGGGTTGGAATAGCATATCTGAACAGATACCCATGTCAGTCAATGGTGTCCAATTTCAATTGCGGTTGAACGTTGCACTGTGGCTGAACGCATTGGACTGCTCCTGTCTCCACAAATACGCTGCGTAATAAAACAAGACAATTCGTATTTGGTATGGGATCGTCCGGCAGGTCCATTGCGATATATAGATTCGGCAGGATAGTATGTTGAGGAGTAGCTACTCACTTAGGTGCGTAAGGAGACCGATACGGCTGGGTATAGGGCGAGCGGACGAGGAGGTTCTGGGCAGCGTGCGACTAAAGCAGAATTAGCCATGTCCAACCAGTCTTCTCAGCAGGTGTGCCATTATATCGTGTCGTGAGATGCAACGGCAACAACATAGCCGCCGGGTGTCTTGGGTTCCGGCGGGCACCGATGATGACATCGGCCTCTGCAGACCCAATTGCTCGAGCATTGCACCAGCTGCAGCAGTTGCACCGTCGGCACAAACTGTAGGCGAACGTACCATTGTGACTCTGCGAATCGATCTGAGATGGCGGCGAGGAGGACGGAAGAAGGAACGAGCGTGGTCGAACAAAAACCGGAAGCTGTTGCGGCTGCCAATCCCGTTGCGGTATAGCCGGCAGATCACGTGCATCTCCTATACTCTGTGACTCTGGTTCCTCTCTACTACTTTAACCACATGGATATTCATATCTATACTCGAAGGTGCTGTGTCAGTAGTTATTGGTATTGTAACTGTCAACATGGTAATAAGACTCCCCTCAATCGAATGCCTGGTTCGCGCACATCATTCACAGCAGGCACCCAGTCCGAACCGCGTATTACTAACCGAGCTGACCTACTACCTTCTCTGCAGTCGACATCAACTTGACTTTAATTCTTCGTATATATTTCTGAGCAAATTTGATCAATGTCAAACGAGAAACCGCCATCCCTGCGCCGCCGTCTGGCGTGCGATCGTTGTCATTCCTTCAAACTCAAGTGTTCCAGGCCCGCAGCCAGTAGTAACGGCATCTGCGCGAGGTGCCTCAAGGCCGGCACCGACTGTGTATATAGTCCATCGATGAGGGGGCAAGTTCGCGCAAAGCCATTATCGTCTGGTGTCAGTAGTGTCAGGGATGTAGTCCTGGACAATGAACCACCAATTCCGGCCTTTGGTGAACCGGGTATGTGGCGATCCTGCTGTCTGATGCAGTCGATCTCGACTAACATGTAGCAGATGAACTGTTCAACGACATGGCTATGGAATGGTCTGTGCATAATACTACTTCTATAGACGAGGGTTTTGATTGGATTTCTCAACTTCATCCTCAAACAGAGCCGTCCCAATGGCATTCACAGCAGTTTGATAATAGCACAGGTCCCGTCATCCATGCAGACACCAGCAATACAGACACCTCGAATCAGCACTCCAGCGAGACAGCTGACCGAGATGAGAAAATCCATATTATACCCAACGACCCAACACCACGGCCGATGCACTCTCATCACTATCTAGGCTATTCCGTGACCGGAGACTTACAATCACCAAATCTTTTCCTAGATCTAGTTAACCTGTCAGTCACTCTAGAAACTCTATCTCGCCGACTCCCTCCATTCTCAGTACACAACCTAGCCGCTGAGAACGGAGCAGCGCCAAACGAAGAGCTCTATCCTAAGGACCCCTTTGAAGATGACGTAGGGAACACATTCTCGGTCACGCACAAGGTAGTCGACCTTTACCACACGGTCATTAAACATCTAGCGCAACGGAAAACGATGGCCGATGTGGTAGATTCCGAGGGCAGGCAAGTGAGTCCGAGAGACTCATCGCTTGTATTCCTCCTTTTCTCAAATCATCACCGGCTGATAGATCTCTGGCATTCAATGTTCACTCATGCACACACGGTTCACCGAACTGATATCCTGCCTCCTGGTGCAGAACGACACAGAGCACATTGTGCCAAAATGAGAATGGGGTCCTACGTGCCGTCGTCGTCGTCTACCGTGGTACCAGTGGAAATCATCGTGGTGCAAGAGCTTGCCATGCATTTGACAAAGCGGGTCGAGGAACTAATCAAATTCGTTGAGCCGGCAGAAAGCAGTAGTCCAAATAAGGAACCAGGGGAATCTGTATCAACGGAGCAAAATGGGTCGGCGAGCGACAATGCTATTGTCGTGGCTGCGACAGACCTACAGCAGAGAATGGTGGGGCTGCAAGCAGCGATACTCCAAGTGAGGAGCAACCTGGAAGACGCGATTGCTAGAGAAGCCTCAATTACGAAGAAATGGTGACTACCACAATCGATCTGATATGGCATCTCCAGATCGATAACCACCGATCAGTGCGGGGCATGGAGTCAACAGGCGCTTCGAAATGGGAGGCATATGATTGGCAGTCGGCCGACGTCGATTCGGCGTTCCAAACAAGCTGGAACTGACCGAGCGATCCCGGGTTTTTCCCTTGGCGAGAGAAATCCGTCACGCTGCGGCTCTGTATGCTCAGTCATCAGTACTAAGCATTAGTCAAGAATCCAATATGCCAGCTTGGATCTCAGGATAAATAAACAGTCGCATGTATATAATCATACTATATGCATGCTGCATGCCAACTCGCGAGAATAAAAATTAGGATTGGTAGGAACAGTATTGTAAGAGTAGTCTACGTCATATTCCCCAGACGGGCCCAGACTGGCAAGCGGAATTCCTCGGGATTTCTGTGCTTTTCGTTCCACGACTCCACGCAGATCAGGTTTTTCCCCTCACGCTCTCCATCAACGACGACTACAATACACTGCTGTGCTCGCCTTCTTTTACAGCATACTCGTACAGTTAAATCATCGCGACCACTGATGACGGCTCGGATGTCGCTGTAATAACACGCTGAATCGCCGCCACCTCGACTCATCCTCAACCTTCAGTCTATCCAGTCTGCACATCATGTCTACCAACCGCCCATTCCTAGCCAACTTTCTCGCCGCCTTTCGCGCGCAGTCTGCCTTCAAGGCATCCGCGTCCTCGCCGTCCAGCAGCAGCGTGTCGTCGGCACAAATCTCGTCGAGTACGCGCACAATAGCCACCAAGGCCAACACCTCTCCAACATCTCCCTCAACAAGCGCCAACCCATCACCCCCCTCACCCTCACCAAACACTTCCCACCACCATCATCATCACCACCACCACCACGCTTCCCCCAGACCACACTCCCATAGCCGCTCATCCCCCGACACACCACCACCACCAACCTCTCCATCCACTGGCGCCTCGCCTCCCTCTGGTCCCATCCCCATCGTCTATAACCACGACCGCCGACGGCGCGGCAGCGACAGCTCCAGCGGCTCCGGCGGCTTCCGCGACGCTTTGGGGCCTGAGAAGTGGTATATCGGCGGGCGCACGGCGACCGGCGAAGAGCGGTTTTATCGGCTGGGGATGGTGACCAAGGGCGGCGGACGACTGGGTGCGAGTGGACGGGTAGGCAGCGTTGATCAGCTGAGCTTATAATCTCGCTCTCCCATTTAAAAGGAAGAGAAAACGAGCGAATGGTATAAATAATGAACTGATTACGTATTATTATCATGATCATCACGACGGAGTTTGCGGCGATATGGATTTCAGTTTTTTTATATTTGGTGATCATACTCATATTCATACTCATTCATATCATCATCAGTGCAGTCGGCTTAATCATTCAGGAGTTCGGTTCAGGACGGCAGGTTACGGATCCGTTTCCACGGTGGTTTTGCTCTTGATTTTTTTATTTTTCGTGTTATTATTATACTACTACTCAAGACCCAAAAGCGTCTGTCTATCTGTCTGTCTGTTTGACTATGGATAAATAAACCCAGAATAAAACGTTCTGTTGAGCAGATATAATAGATAAGTAAGCGAATTGTGTGTATCGATGTAATCATTCTCATCTTGTTGCTGATACCAGACGTCAATTTGGCTGGACTTGTCGATATCTGTGTACATGTACATCGTTGACAGCAGTGGATGGAGTCAAATACCATCTTTGTACATGTATATCGAAGACTTTGAAAGAGCACACTTGTGACTAGATACAAGAATTCAAGAGGGAAACAAATCATATCCATACCATGTTTGTTTAATATGTAGCTGCTATCATCAAGCTTATTACTTCTGTCTACACAGAAAGAATGAAAACTACAATGTGTCTATATAAGTTGACGTAACATGGTTTGATTCCATATATCTCGATACCATAACAATAACGAACTGGCCCGCAGCAACAAGACAGGCAGAACGACATCAAAATATGAGAATACCAAAACGAAAAGCAGGTTGATTTCAAGAGTTTTCTGTTCCGGCCAGTCGATAACAACATGTCTGTCTGTCTCCTTTTGCTAAATTTTTTAATTAACAAGAAGTAACAAGGTCAACGGTCATGTTTGACAACAATATTTTAGCACGAACAAATAGAAACGAAACGAAACAAAGCAATAAGCAACAGATTCCCTCCCAATTTCTTCATCATCTCCTCTCGCGAGGAATGATGCATGTTCTGCACGGAAAAAAGGAAATAAGCGACACTTTACACAGATGAGTAGGCCGTAAGATAAATGCAGCATGATGGTGATCTAACATCGGTCTGTCAGGACCTCATCGATCAGCCGGCAACGACAAACTAACAAACTGACTCCCAAACATAAAAGCATAAGCAAAAGCGATTGCAAGCTCCACCCTCTGGTTCTATTGCCTTTTCTCCGTGAAGTAGAAAATAATGAAAAAAAAGACTAAACACTTCCCAAGTCTATAATGATCTGACGCCGGTTAACCACCCCATCTGTACCACTCATGACAAATAATTAGAAAAATTCGCGGTTATCATGGCTGTATCATGTTTGATGTTCCGACCGTGACGACTGGCGAGATGTACCGTTCTGCCATACTAAAGACCAAGCAAATGAATTGGCGAGACGATCGTTTACTGCCTAGCGTGCTGGACGGATCCTGTCGGATACGTTAATTCATCATCTAAAGGTCAGGTGGTAATAGGCTCCTGTGGGTTTGTCTTTGCAACACTCGGAACACCGCTGGGATCACGCATACCGTCACCACTCATGCTTGTCGAAGCAAGATAAAGCCCGTTTAATGTACCATCTTGGTGTCCTGCAGTAGTCGCCGGGTAGTATTTACGGTCCGGATCAACGTGGCTGTGGATGGATTCGTGGCCGGGAGCCATGGTCTGAGGAAAGACGGGGTTCATGTAACCTTCAGGCGCGCCGGGAGGGAACATGGTGGCCCAGTCCAGCTCACCTGGCTGGCCGGGCTGGTGTGGCATCATCGGGCGTTTCGGGTCTTGGATCATCGGAGGTTTAGCCTGTTCAAGCAAATTACGGTCAATATTATTCACCTGTCCATCAGAAGCAGGCTGGACGAGGTACGGGCTCTGCCTGTGAGCAGCCATCCAGGACGCTCTCTGGTCTGCTGCCTGGGAAGGGCTGAACGCGTCGCCCAAGTGGCCATTGTTCAACCCGTTGACAGAGGACATTGAAAATCCCAGAGGCTGCTGCTCCGTGGGACCAGGTCGACCGGCCGAAGCCAGTCCATGGCCATGGCCATTCACGGGTGCATTGCCATAAGTCGTACCCACAAGGCCATTGGAAGGCGGGATGGAGTTACTGACTTCTTCCTGAACGGACTTGGCGGCATTGGCTGCTGCTTGAGACCGCTTCAGGTGCGCCTGAGGATGCGAGAGATGGCTCGCCCCGGTGGGGTTACCTCGGCGTAACGAACATTTCTGGAAATGGCGCTTCAAGATATCACTTCGCGAGAAAGTGTCCTTGCAGAGAACACACATGTAAGGACGATCTCCGGTGTCTACAAAATCAGTACAGTCCGACACATACAATAATGGTTAAACTCACGTCTCAACAGGTGGCGCTTCAGATGCTTCGCGTGTAGATAAGTTTTGTTGCAGTGCGGGCAAGGGAACTTTCCGTCGGCATCCTTGGCCGGGATTGTGGTGCTCTTCGCAGTGCCATTGACGCCGTTGCTCACGGCAGCACGGCCGGGAACACTGGGCAAGATACCGCGGCGTCCCTGAGATCCGACAACTTGAGTGCGCGGAGGCTCTTTCCCGGGGATCGGCGCCAGCCCGTTTGTTGGCATGCCATCGGCATTGGCCCAGATGGGACCCTTGCCTTCGGGATGGCTGAAAGCACCAGAAGGCATTGTCGCGTAGTCGGAGCGACGGTCACGCGGCGGAGCAGGGGCAATGGGCTGCGGATACGTCTGAGCGCCAGATGACGGCGGAAGCAACGTCTGGGGCGACTGGTAGCCTTGAGGAGGCTGTCCTTGAGGCTGGCCACCGGGATGCGCCAAGAAGGAGGTTGGCGGCAGGCTGTTCACGGGGTTGTGAGGACCAATTGGGCCAGCAGAGGTGGCATAGACATCATGGGCCGAGGTCGCAGGGAAACGAGACATATCGGGACGATATGGTTGACCCATGTAGGGATTCGGAGACTGGCTGTGGTGAGGCTGCAGTGGCGGCAAGGTGTGAGGTTGCGACACCTGGTACTGCGGCATCTGGTACTGCGGCATGGGCATGCTGGACAGCGGAGCTGATCCCTGAGGCATTGAGGTTGAGGGAGGTCTCGAGGGGTGGGAGCGAGGATCCATCACGGAGCGAGTAGCACGGGTGAGGATTCGAGTCGGGAATCGAGGCGAGTAGCGGGGGTTGGAGAAAAAGTTTTTGGTTGGGGAGAGAACGCGACCGAGTGAAGAGAAAAACTTCAAACTTCCTCAATCATCGATGAACTGAATTTTTTTTCTTTCTTTCGTAATCTTCCGAGTTAATGCTCGAGATCAACAGCGACACGACGTGGTTTGGTGGAATTGGCAATGGTGTTTTTCTTCTGGGACTCCGACCGGACGCGTCAGAGGCTGGCTGCCAACGGGAGTGAGACAGGGGAGCGACGAGAGCGATAGCAAGGAAGAGAAAGAACAAGATCAACACGATCAGTAGATTCGTGTGTAGGAAGATGAGATGTTGCTGTGGTGTAAGATCAGATCAGATCAGACTCCACCGGGCGAGAAGAAGGTTGTGATGGATGGTGCAGAAAAATTGCTTGTCTGTGGTGGTGCAGCAGATGGAGGTCCCCACGGAAGCGTGAGGAGTGGGCACTTTCGCGCTTTATCCGCAGGCGGCCAAGCAGGCCCTTCGCAGACCAGGCTGTCTTGATCCACCAGGAACGGCGGTGGGTCTACAGCGGTGTCTGGCGATTCGCGTCAGCCACGCGCGACAGGGTTCTGCAGATGGTGGTAAACTAGATGGAAACAAATCGAGATGGCGATGGCGATGGCGATGGTGATGGGTGGCGATGCAGAGGATGATGGATGAGATGGAGAGTGCACAGAGTGAGAAAGGCAGCGACGACGACGAAGAAGAAGAAGAAGAGAAGAGAGAATTGCTGGGGAAACGGCGGGAGAAAACAGGGAGATGGCTTTTCCAGTCTTCCCAATTTTCCAATCACGGTGGCGTGGCAGGGTGCAGACAGACCGAAGGAGAAGGACAGACTCGAAGAAGAACAGGAGGTCAACCAGGGAGCGTCCGGGAGGCAAAACGACGACTCATTTTTTCAGTTTTTTTCGCGGCGGCTGGGAACGGCGGGCGGCAGGTGATTCGCTGCTGCCGCTTGCGATGCCGGGATGCCGTATTTGCCCTACATGCGTCCATATTCAGTCTTACATATTATTATTATATCGATGCACGCTTCATAGACCGTTTAATTTTGATTATTTTTATTCTTATTATCATTCTTCTTGCTTTACTGTTTATTATTTATCATCTCGTAAATACTCAGTTATGATACTCGATGCCCTCCCTACAAGAAGCCGAGGGTAACCCGGCAAGGAGAGAGAGAGAAAATAATAGCGAAAAAAAAAAGGCAAAAAGGACGGGCCTGTGATTGGCTGCCGGGCACGGTTTTGAAGGGGCAAAAATCTGGGCGGTGTTGTGGGCTGCGCTGATTGGCTACCGTCGCCCAATGACGACACGGTACTGGCGTGTGCGCAGAGCCGGCCGAGTGCGTGCGCCAAGAAGTTATTGTCTGTGTCAATTACTAATTCCGTAATGGCTGCCAAGGTGGAAGAACTGGCTGCTCCTTCCCGTTTCTGTCTAGTGGTTGCCCTCGATACTACTATTGCCATAGTACTTAGTATGGAGTGTGCAGGTACAGGTACAAGTAGCCACGCACGTGTACCTGACCAGTACATGTCCAACGCGTTGGGCGCGAGAGGATGCATTGTCCTTTATCTGAGCATATATCAAAATGATGTGGCAGCTCGGTGGTGAGCACATGACCTGAAAACTACGTATAATAATAGTATATTTACATAATCTGTTGGTTGCCACCAAGGTTTATTGATTGCCAAGCGAGTCAGTGCTACCACTAATACTACATAACCTAGCTGAGTCAAATGCGCCGACAACATCTGATATTGTACCGATATATATACTAATTGATATATGAAAATATATCAACATCCATCGATAAGTATATATGTGGAGCTGCTGCAAAGTATGCTTAAAGCTAAAGCCGTATTTTGTGGACACGAAGCCCCAGCGACCGCGGGTTCCTGGCTGTCCCACTTCTTCTTTTTATCGACTTTTATTTATATCGATCTTGTTTCATATTTGTATATTAATAACATCGACACATATTCCAATCAATTATCAAATATTATGATCCCATCATAAAACATAGCTGCCTGATATTACATTTAGTATTAATAATCCTGAGACAGCAAACCCCGACGGCAGCAAACATACCCGCTACAAACAAAAAAGGGTACGTAGTATCATACTCCGTACTATATAGTTGATTACTCTCATATATAATCTCGCTCGGAGGAATCACCCGACGCCGGCCCAAACGCTGGCCGATGGGACCACACCGCCAGACTAATGCAAGCCAGCGCCTTGTTCGTCATTTGCGCGATCAACGTACGTAATGCTGGTATAAAAAGATATAGTATTAGTATTAGATGATCAATACGTGTTGTTCCTCCTATCTACGGTCTACGTACGGAGTAGAACGATAGCAATAAAAACAGTTAATTAAAACTTTGATTCTGAGGATCAATGTTGCTATCATGTGATTGATCCGCTGCCGAAGCACGCACGGCGTTATAACCACGCCCTTGCTGACCGCCTGCGTATATACTAATTATTGATATTGCAAGTGCGTGAATGGGTAAATGTAAAATGTATGTAATCTGTTCTTATAATGCCATAGTTCCCCTTCCCGATCCGGACTTCCGTGCCTTGCCAGCGTTGGGACTTCCGTCGTAGCGTAGTATGCATGCATTATGTAAGCGCCATTGCAACGTTGTATTCTTTTCGTGCTAATTAATTAATATCTTTATCAGGCTGCCAAATAATACTAATATGAAGCTATCATGGCTGCTAATAGACAGCCCCATCACTCCCGCCGTGGACTCGATGGAGACGGGCTTCTCCCGCTTCCATAGTGGACCCGATCTGATAGGTGGATATCACCACCATAGTTCATGGTATTTAATGTTGTTTATATTGACAGTTTGTATTCGTCTGACGAGATCATTCGCCCTGAATTGAAAAGCAAGGATCCTCCGGCGAAACTCCGGCAGCCACCTCACAACAATCATACTACATGTGTAATATTAAACCATGCCTCCTATTCTCGCGGCCGGACCCGTAGTGACTGCCGCATCGGGACTGGTACGTCGATGATCAGCCTGCATGCAATATGCGCTCCACTACTAACACGCACTATTAGTATTTTCCATTCTTTCACCATCATCCACGGCAGTATTCTGATTATTTGTTCTATTTAATTCATGCTGGAGAGTCACAATTGCAATTACAGCACGTACTATTGGGAGAATTCCAATTGCATTCCAGCAGCCGACATGCAGCATTTTTATCCCACTGCTGTCAGCGCCGGGACATTCCTGGAGCACCCTTATTACTGTGTACGTATTACTATTGAGTATTTACTGTTAGCAGAAAGCCAAGATGAAACAGCCGATCGTGGCCGAAAGCAGCCGGACCAGTACCCGGACGGAAGGAAAGCCGAGACCGGCTCTTAACGTTTTCTTCAGTTGCCGACTGCTTTGCCAATTCACTAGTGCATTTAATAGTTCCGAGTCTCATCGTGAAACTTTGAGCCACTGCCTAGCTCCAACTAGTCTGCGAGCGAACCATGGAACCGCGGCCCATGTAATTAGTTTTTCTCATTAGCCGGCCATTACGTAGCGAAGATTCTGCAACCGAACAATCCCCGTCCAGACTGCAGAATGATTATGATGGACAAGACCTCGTGTCGGTTGCCGGCTGAACCACGGTCTCGGGACATCCCCGTTCCATGGGCCAGTAGAATTCTTCAGACTCTAGAAAAATTTGTACTTGGGAAGAGTAAATTAATATTGCGCACGGTGTCGGCGGTTGCGTAGCTGGTTGGTTGCAGTCCCCGATCCTCGCTCAGACATCTGCCGGATTTGCCTCGTTCAAGAGTCGAGACTGAGTCGGCGTGTCTGATCTGACTCAGGCAGGACATGCCTTGTTTCGGTGACGCCGAGTCTGACATGACGTACGTGGAATACCTCGTTGCGACAGCCTTTGTTCACTGTTGTGCATCGTTTAATCAAAGCCGTTTTTTTGCTGACTGTCAAGTGTTTGCCTGCAGGGCTGAGATAAACTCAGTGCCGCCCCATTTGTGATCCCATCACTAAGCCGTAGGCGTGGTACAGTCTAGCGACCCTCCACCAGGCCCATCCGTCCCTCATCCGGGAAGGGACCAGGACGTGTTCCTGGCCGTGGGCTCCAGATGGGACTCCCGTTAGTCTTGCTCTTTAGCACTGGAGATGATCAGAAGTTTGATTATTGGAGATGTGGATATTTTGTAGGTCCACTTATATATATATATATATATACTACGTACTCAATTGATGTGAGTGATATGTGGGGATGGACATTTATCAACATCAGGAATATTATTATAATAACGATGGATGAATGATAATGTCGACCTTAATCTGGACATTATTATGTGCTTTGTAATATCAATCAATATCAATTTATATCAATTGGTGTCTAGTGTGATTGTGAAACATTATCCATTGCTCAATTATAAACATACAACTGCACAGCCGACATGGTTGAGGACCACCAACAACATTAATTGATTGATGATTGACTAGACATATAACTAGTAACCATCAATCTATATTACCATCCAAAAAATAATTAATAATTCCTATAAACAATTTGTGATCACTATAATCTAATACTCTACGCTCACCTCGTCAACCGTTTCTTGAAACCAACCACTTCTAGACTATCAAACCCCGAGCCGCCTGACCCATCTGCACCATGCAACAATCAATCAATCGATGTATATGCAGCCGATATCAAAATAAGACCTATCTCATCCTCAACCACAGCCACCAGATCTGAATCTCAAGTGCAGAACCGCAACCATCTCACCACTTCACGAGCTGGTGGCTATTCAAGACACTCAACCAAGTAGTGTACTCAACAACCACTTCCCAATCAAATGCGCATGACCTTCAGACCACAAGAGAATAGTGGACGGAAGGGGAAAAATGCCAAATCAAATATTATCTGGCTCAAGGTGGGTGATTCTTTGTTTGCGCTTGAAACGGAGTTGATGAATTGATAGGTCCGTCATATGCAGCGTGTATTGACTATTACGAGTCCGATGGCAAATGCATGTACGGGGTAGAGCAAGGTGTCGATTTGGTTGGGCTTCGTTAATAATGAGAATTATAATATTAATATGAGAATGAGAATGAGAATGATATTAACAATAATGGTGGTCTGCTGGTGTTGGGTTGATAGGATGGTTGAAGTTTGCTGCCCGTTAGTCAAGTCACGAGCAACGCTCTTTAGCAGATCTACAACCCAGGTACTGCAGGTCAATTAGTCTACACATATGATGATTTCCAGTGGTAAACAAACGGGCTATTATTATCACAGCCCACTAACCCCGATTTTCAACGTCCCACACGGGGATCAAAGTCTCTTCTCCATAACTATTAATCTAATATCTCCTATCCGTACATATGTACTTGCATTTATCCCGCCCCTTGCTACATCACTGCCGATTCAGTACACCAATTGTAAAATAATGTGAGAGGTACATAGCTTGTCAAGCGAGGGGGCGGAGTTTTGGCAGTATTGTTTGAATACCTACATAGATGTGTACATATGTATGTACACGTGATATGTAATCTAGGGTAGTACATACATCTGACCCAGCGTCCACATGTACAAACAATATGTGTACGGGGGTCAGATGTGATGTCGTTGAACAGGGATGATGCTTTTCAGTTGCGTCTTGTGGGGTTCGCACGACATGGACGTGCTGTGCCCAGTGTGTATATATCTCTGGTCCGATGGAGAAGAGGGAGGAGTGGAACGGGAATTGATCATTGAATTATTCTTCACTTCACTTCACCTCGTTTCTGATTATATTACTCATGTCCATATCCATAATTGCATAAATCCGAATCCAAGTATAGTCCTGACCGAATAGGACGTAGGACGCATACATCCTGTGTTATTTGGATGGTAAAAATTATTATCCTTTTTCTTTTTAACCCTCTTTTCAGAATAATATGCGATAAAAAAGGAAGGGGGAAAATTACAACGAGAAGTATATCAAACATATTTTAATACATGGTCACTGACAGTTTTCAGGCAGTGTGTCGGGAAGGGCCAGGAACTGGTTTATAGCCTGCACGATCTCTTTCAACGGTTGTTTCCCCGTCGCGAGACCGTTCACACACAGTCCAAAACCTTGACTTGCAAGGCCGTCGAGGAGGACGAGGGCAGACGGGTGCGATAGAATCCCGTCTTGATGGTGAGGCTGTCCTGATAAACAGCTAGCGGCATGTCGCTCTGGTAATCCCAGACTCGTCTCGACATGTGCTAGCATGCCCATGCTATTGTTGAAAATCAGTCGCAGTTGTAAGTCACGGTTGGGTTCGCTCTCTGTCGCAAAGCCAAAGTTTGGAAAGATCGGCGATGGCTGTGGAGAACTGGCCATTAGTTCTTGCAAGAGGTATGTGAAAATTAGATGATAACTTCCAGCGAGGCAAGTATAGCAGTTGACTATAGCTAGAATTAACGACGTATGGACGTCATCGAATCGTCCTTGCCGGATATATGTCGGGTTTATTTGCTGGGGAAGAGCTTCTGGTTGAGCCAACGCCATTTCGCACCCGGTTGCCGCTTGAAAGAAGGATGAACGGCGGGATTCACTAGGTGTCGGAAGAGACAGGGCCATACTGGTCGCTGGAACAGTATTCGAAAGATGACACGATAACTCGGGGAGGTCTCCTGGTACAGAGAACTTTACGACTTCGAGAAACTGTTGTGAGTAACCTAGGACGCTTTGGAGGGCTGTCTCTAGGTTGTTCACTGCAATACTAGGTGACATATTGCCTAACATGATCAGCTTCTGAGAGATCATCTGCTGGCAGTCTAGCAAATGTGTGTTCGTCTCTAACAGTCTTCTAAGGTTCTCACGATCCCAGTGTTGTTCTCTATCATCCAAACAAGGAAACTCTATGAAACGTCAGTCTTATTCAAAGGTTTCGAGAAAGTTATGCCTACTATCTTCATATTCGACACCTTGTGAGTCACTTAGAGATGCCCAGTCTTGGTTTTGTGGGAGATATGTCGATAACTGAAGCGGCAACTGACCGCGCTCACTATCCATTGAGGGAGGTGTGATCAACCCTGAAAAAATGGGCACTGTATAGCTATCAAAGCTCGCGTTCGTTGCGAAACAGTCCTCGGGATGTAAGCTGTCCGGGTTCATATGCGATGGAGTTGTCAAAGCGAACCCGCCAGCCATCATCTTGTTGTGATAGGCGATCGCAGCTTCCTCAGGGGTCTGTTCAGGAAAATTCAGACTAGGAGACTTTCCTTGAACATGCTTCGGTGACTCTTTAGTTGTTTTGCTGACTTTAGATGGGGTTACCACCTTCTCCTTAGGTCTTTTGCTGACGGAGCGATCCATCGAACTGATCGTGCAAGCCATACGTGCCTTGCGGCAACGCTTGCACGGCATGAGAGAAGGCCGCCAGATGTCTCTCTCGCAGCGGAGCTTCTGCATCCGACAACGATCGCAAGCAAAGCGGCGCGGCTGCTGTATCATTTCAGGGTTGTGGCCTCCTTCGAGGGGGCTAATGTTACCGCGGGTCATCATATTGAAGATAAGTTTTCGTGGTCGCTGTCTAGATAAGCTGAGAGAACAGATAGGAGCGACGGAGGACTGGAAGTTGGTAAAGATAGTAAGGCCCCCAGAGAATGATAATGATGATGTTGTGTTCCAAACGAATGACAAGCGTCTTGTTGCAGCAGGAGATATCGTCTTTAGTGTGAAGAGAGAAAGACAGACAGTGTGGCGGTTGATGGCTATGAGAGATGGCAGATTACCAGCCTGAGTGGTTTTCTACTCTTTATGGACTATTAACACTCCACGCCAGGTTTCCCAATATTGAGTTGATTTCATGCGACCCTGAAGTGGACGTTTCATCGAGGCTAGGAGCACACCAGTGGCAATGCTATTATCGCCAGGAATGACACCATTGGATGGTTGACGGGAAAGACCTTAAGTCCTAATCGCTCTCCACCTGTCATACCATCGAGAACCCGGCTTGATGTGCAACTACCAATCTTAATTACACTTGAATGCAGGAGAGCAGTAGCCTGAGATCGCGCCAAGGGTCCGCTTTGGGTAGCACATATATGCAGGCAAGAGTTGCAGGATTTGCAGTGCAAGTTTTGTTAGACTTTCCTATTACCGTCCATTTCCCGGAAAGGTGATCACTCTCTCGATTGTGTACGATCCAATCGGAAATCTGCAAAATGTATCGGAACCCTGTTACAGATGGCAGATCGGTAGAGAGATGAACCGATCCAACTGCGAACAACCTGGGTTCGTCATCCAATGTAGTCTGAGTCTGAGTGTGCGCCAGCCACATTCGCCCCGCAAGCAATGGCTCCAAGTTTGGCTTGACATTTTGGTGCGCTCTCCTTTTCTTTTTCCTTTTACCTTTCCCTTTTTCTTCATCTGTTTTCCTTCTACATTTTTTGGTCTGTTTTGGCGTGAAAAATGGTCTTTTCTTTTTCTTTTTCAAGCGCCCGTATAGGCTCGCTGGATACGAAATGGCACTAGGACCGTGCAGTTCCGTCCCAGTATATGGATACAGCTGTCGCTACCCGTTCTAGCGTGCAGATCCATGTCATGTGCGATTCTTATTGACTGATCGCTGGAGTTCCAGCTATGGCGCAGTCACAAATAGTTCCCATGTACGGCGTACGTAAACATTTGGCTATGACTGAAACAGGAAGTTAATCATGCTGCTAGTTAACTTTGCAACGAGGACAGGACGCACGGTCGAGCTCGAGGAAGAAATCAATTGATTGATTCTCCTGTGCAGCCCGAGCAAGAAGAACAGGTTGGACAGATGCCATAATAATGTGTATTGTTGTGATACTAAAGAGCGCCATTGGACTTGGTTTGTCCAAGTTCCCAGATGCCTCGTAACATGGGCTCGTAACATGGTAGCTGAGGCTAGTAACCGGCAATAGACCAATTTTACCGTAGTGCATAGTTCGCCTCAAAGCGAAGCGGCGGTCCAAGCATGATGACGGCGCGCTCGCCGGCCACTGGACCCTGATACTAGTGCGATCTGCAGCTGTCGAAGTGGCAGGCCATGCAACAGCCCTCGTCCATTCGCCGTGGCCTGCCAGAAGATTCAGCCAGGCGGTCAGTCCGAACTGAAATGGCTGTGCGACCGCCAGCGGCGCCTCTTGGAAAAGCCACGTTGTTTGCGGTGTGGTGAGGACAGTCTGAGCGGCGACAGAGGAGCAGAACTAGCTTGCAGTAGCTGGAGATCGATGCATCGATTCGCCCCGAGCCGAGAGGCGGTGGGCTGTGGCCATTCTCAGGCCGACGCTGCTTGGGGGTCGCTTTTTGTTGTTCTGGTATGCTTCTCCATCGAGGACGTTAATCTCCAATCAGCGAGCATTGAGAGTGACTGCCGCAGAGACGGTCGTGTCTAAGTTAGTGTGGGAGGCCGGGGTGGCAGATGGAGAGAGGTAACAGGAGCGGCCGTGGCGCAGAGCAGGAAGGTGCGGTCCGCAACAACATATTATTTGCATTCCCCATCTCTCTCTCCCTCTCCCTCCCTCTCCATCGATTGATCTCTTCCTCCACCCAACTCTCCATCCTATCCGCCATCTCTCACCTGTCTACGTCAAGCCATTGGCCCAGCTACAACTATTAGCCCAGAACTAGTCCCGCGAATCTCGGGAAATCCGCGCGCTAGTGGCCTAGTGGCCTAGTGGCCATCGAGAGAGTTTGCAGGCTTCTGTTAGAGCGCCGCTTAGGAGTTACTAGTATTGTTCTTGCTGAACTTTCTGTAGAGCGGATTCGCAAGCCCGGGGTGCTGATTGGAGCCGACTTCGTCCGACATTCGCACTGTCTAGTGCCCACCATGGCCCGCTGTTTACAGCGTAGTTAATCTGTCTGATGAGTGGTACTCCTGCAGCCCTCGCCGCTGATTGGCATGATTGACTGTCATAGTGTTGGAACTTGGTAGCAGAAGCTTTGTCACACTTTCGAAGGCGTGCGCGAGCGGGATCAACCCAAAAAATTGGGACGTCTCTTCCCTGATTAGACTGGTTCTCCACCGTGCTTTACTCTCTCCTACCTAGTGTCGTCATACGTCGAGTCATGGTCAACTGGTCTGCTGGCGTCCTTATAGGGCGGGAGAGAGACAGAGGCTGAGTGTCTGAGAACTAAGACTCGAGAGTTGAGAGGCTGATCTGGTTGGACAGGCCTTTGCTCACTGCTGGTTCCCGATTGGAGACAGCAGAGCTAAAGCTATCCAAATCTGGCAGGCAGTCTGAACTCTGGACTAATAGAAGCCCATCTTCAAGCAAGCGGCAAGCTAACTTAGCTGACAGAATATGAATCTTAATCTATAAGTTAGACCGCAGCAGTGCAGATGTATCAGACAGAGCTTACATCAACGTGCATTAGGGGAATAGGAACCACCGGGCCGTCCAGTAGCCATACAAAGCTGATGCTAAAGAGGATTTCTCCTTTTCTCTTCTCGTTCTTACTGCTGTGGATCTGTTACATTTGTTTACGTACACATGGCTAGATTTACCGAGAAAGATAATTTATCTGTCACCTTGCTAGCAGTATCAATTTTAGACTTTGGCTGATACCGATAATCCAGATACACATATCATTATCCAACGAAAACTTGAGCAGAAAAGTTCCAAAAGGGTAAAGAACATACCCGGTAATGTCGCCCTACTATATTTCGATTTGTCAAAGGAGTTCAGGTGGGCATGCCGATATTGAGAAATAGAAATTTGGTGAGATATCTAGCGGACTTTTGCTCTTGTTATTCCAGTCCATTTGTAGCACTAGACAAAGGTGTTGGCAATTTGAATTATCTTCAAAGAAGGAAGGGATACTAAGTTTCCACCGCATGCATATTGATTACGATCGTGGATGACATACCCCGGTGTCGGCTCGCTAGTCACCGCCATGAACCACATTGCTGAAGACCTAGCGGGGGACGTCTGCACTAAAGTGTAGATCCAGTAGGTATGAAGAAGCTAAGCTCGGACCCTTACATGTTGACTACGTCTTGGGTACCTTTTTGTCATTTCCTTTCTCCACAAAGATAGGAACGCTGCTGTCATCAGATAGACGATGTGTACGTCCGTACAGCACAAACATTCATAGAAGGTCTCGTTCTATTGGCTGGATCTACGACGAATAGAAACTGTAAATACGAATCAACTTAATTGGTTGTAGTGGGAAGGAAGTGATCAACTCACATGCCCATCACTCCACCTTGCGTGGTGTTCCTGATGCCGGCATTATTGCTCAAGTCATCCAATCCACCCCCGGAACTTCAGCCATCTGTTTGACAGCTGTCGGCACGCTGGCCTCGCCTGCCACATTTATTCTCACAGCATAGTCGTGGTCCACCCTTATCCTGAAGCTTGTGAAGCTCTGTATTCCTGCCACAACAGCAATACCCAGGAAGAAAAATTAGAAAGAAACTTGGCAAATTAGAACTCAAGTCTCGAGATACTCCTGTAATCGATCGAGAATATATTTCGCGGACTATTTTATCGGAAGAGATAATCATGACGATCATTCATTAATCAATAAGAACGTCGAGCGAGTCGACCCGTGACGACTATCAGTTCACATGAAAAAGGGTTGTTCTTGGCGTCAGAGTTGGGGCATTTTAGAGTGTATAGGCTGCAGCCACGGTGACGCTTGAGACAATAGCTCTTTTTGACCTCGTCCTGCTTAAATCAAATCTAGGTAGTTCCTTTGCATTGAATTATGCATTATATTGAATCGCTACCCATTAGTGCTTACTCGGAAGCAGAAACCTTGTCCCGCGCGACATGACGACATGTTCAAATTAATTGATCTGGACTCTGTTCACTTGGATGGAAGTTTGTCAATCGAGTTCAAATTTCAGTCTTGCTATTCATTTTGTCAAACAAGCCCAATTCCAAAAAAGGCTGTTGGGACGGCCATGCGCATTACCATCTGATATGATGAGTTTTTATGTTATACAAAACCTTCCTTTGGAGTAGTAATAGGGTGAGACCATAATTCCAATTATGCCCGTATCCTCATGATCGTTTCATTATTTTCTTCGTGGATTCTAGCAAATCAGAGTGTAGAAAAAAGCTAGTCTATTAGACTAGCTTTTCCAAGCCCATCTCATATCAGACTGTGTAATAATAGGTTCAGTATATCTCTATCGGGTAGAAATGGAAAGAAAACTGCAGAACCCAGTGCTGCATGTGCTTTAGGTAATACGATTAGAACGTCACATGAAAGTCGTGAGCTTACAAAACAGGTCCTGCAATAATAACTGGGTTATAACTAGGCCATTTGATTGGTTATGTGTTTTTGCTAGGTGGAAATTCTTATCCAGCCTAATCCTATCTTTGCGAGGCTAGTCTGGAATATAGGGGAGAGATGGAAAAGACTCGATAGGTTGACGACAGGTAAAACATGACCAAGTACAGGAGACCGGGTGGTGGAACAGGTGTTTCCTTGTGAGTCAAAGAAATAATGTGGGCTGTTTTTGACTGTCACTAGTTGCAAGCACAATCCCTGGCTCGTAAGCATGCACCCAATTGCTACCTACGGATTAACCGGAGCCAGCAATGAACTTGCGGACCAACACATGAAAATTAATATCCACTAGTTTTATTGTGCCCGACAGTCCTATTTCATGTGAATGGAAGGGACAGATCATTCTTTGTTGTTGAGGTTAAGAAAAGGGGCTTCTCGGTCTAGCCACACATTCATTCCCTGCTATACATGACTTGTGTCGGAGAGGCAATCGAATCCCCATTTATCGGGCAGAAAAAGAGAACAAAGCAAGGATAAGAAAACTTTTTCATTGAAAGAACGATACCAATATGCAAGAAAAAACCCTATAGCACTATTGTACAGAACCCCGAAAATGCATGCTTTCGACGAGAACAAAAAAACTCGATATACCCTAGTCGCATCTCATATTGCAAGCCAATCCAGTAATCCAGAGGACGAAGTCCGCTCTGCTGTTACAACAGCCAGACAGCTGGTGATTAGTTCAACAAGTATCCCTTCCTCGTTGAAATCAATGCTCTCATAGATACTCAAACTTCCCATTGCGCCCCGTTGACTTTCGTTTCCGCTATTCCAGACTGCAACGACCCTAGATGGGTTGCTAGCTGTCACGAGCTTGAGATCGGTGTTTGAATTCCCCTTGTCTCCTAGTACGGCAGACTTTGCTGACATCGAGCCTTTCCAGTAAAGAATGTGTACCATGGGTGTCCCGCCTCCCTCACGGTATCGAGCTATATCGACTCGGTATCTGCGTTTCCACGATTCCCGGCGTATGACGACAGACCCCACTAATCTTTGCTGTGCTTGGTATGGGTAATATTGGAGATTTGAGGATATCGTCCGTGACTCATAGATGTTTGCCTGGGCAATGAAACAGTCCATGGAAAGAGTAACGTCTCTTCTCTGAAACTGGACTTGGGACACCATATCAGGTATTGGTATGGCAGAGAACCGGTTCGAAGCATTGCGCGGCGAGTTGTCGACATAGAGTTGGAAGGGGCTGGGTACATCATGTGGTGGACCATGAGATAGCAGTTGTCGGCTGTAAAACGCTGGACTAGAAAACTCCGCTGTCCCCCCAGCCGGACAGACTCGGATGGAGGATGCGGTTACGTCGAATGTCAGGGGGCTCTTCGGACATATTAGCAACGCTACTGGTTGAAGGGGGTGGTCTTATACTGACATCTCTGTAGATATCGAATCGTCGATAGACCGGCCTTTGGTCGAATCTATGAGAGGTTGGGCCGAGCTGCTCGTTCAAGCCCATGTCTGAGACGACAACAACAGGCTCTGGCTGGATGGAGCCGCCTCCAGACAGTTTCAGTTCATGTCCACCGTTAGAAACGAACTCGAAGATCTCGTTGAGGACTTCCATTTTTGTCCATCTGGTGATGAATAGTTAATGAAGTAAGAATTGGAAAGTTGTGAGGACAACAGACAAGTCTCAAGAGTATGACATTAGCCAATCTATGAAATCACAATAGCTGGAAAGCCCCATTTCCATCTCTTCAGCATAAACCGGCATATATCTATATCCATCCCGCAGCACCCGAATATGCTTCTTTTCACAATTGGTCTCAACTTGGTAAACTAACGAACATGGTCGGTCACAACGCAGCCGACAGGCCCGGAGTTAGCAGTAGTTTCAGCTGGCATCTGCCAAGTTACAGTCCCCGGCGACCAAAAGTAAATTAGATCGTCGACTCTTTGGGGGCCTAGCTCGGTTCTAACGGTGTAGTTCATATTGAGGGCTTCACGAATACGAGCCTGCGCCTCGCTCCTCGTTAGTGCGGTTTGAAGTTGTATAAATAAGTGATAGTGACGGTGATGGCAGAATACAAGTCCAAATTATGCAGGAGTTATGCTAAATAGGTTGGACCCTGCTAGAACTAGGAAGAAATGAAGGGGATGAAAGGGTTGTGCAGGATAAATATAGACGGAAAAAGCGGACGTGATTGGCTGCGTGGGAGAATGTTGCTGGCGGCGCGGCAAAATCCTCACCGCCCTTGGTGGGCTCGCACCTTCTCCAACACGAACAAGATCACGAACAGCTTGTGATTGACTTGGCAAGCTTAAGTTTTCGGACTCTCGTGCATACGAGTTGGTCAATTGGCTTGGGAATTAGCGATAGGCCGGCTGTTATCGTCACGATACTCCCTTGACCGCAGTTTGCAAGGGAAAGTTACGAGAAGAAAAAGGTAAGTGACTCCAACAAACGGTCTACGTTAAATCATTCATAGCTGGGAATTTATTAATAATGGCACCAAATTGACTAGGCTTCTAAACCTGGAATAGCCCCTGGCTGATCTCTAGCTGTTGATACAACACACAATCTTCAAGAAATGGCAGCAAGCTCCACCCTCCGGCCCCTTCGACTGAGGGGTGTCGCATTTCCCACGTCCGGTCTTGTCAGTTGTCAAAGAACCTGTTCAGTACGAGGAAACAATTGGAGTTTATGGCATTCGGGTAAACGACTCGCATCTACCGCGACCCCCATGACACCGCCGGCGGCCACGGCAAAGCGCACTAAGAATGCCTTCGGCAAATACGTGTTTCGCGCTTCCCTCGTATTGGTGCTTTTAGGTGGCTACTTTTATGTCACAGATACCCGAGCGAGTGTGCATCGATATGTTATTGTGCCACTCGTTCGGTGGGTTTACCCAGACGCAGAGGATGCGCATCACGCGGGCGTTGTTGCGCTCAAAGAGTTATACAAGCTCGGCTTGCACCCACGAGAACGAGATACACCTGACCGCGATGGAAAGCTAGAGACGCAGGTATGCTATCCAATCTCCCGCTAGCGAGATATGTTGGTTGAGGTCTAATTTCTGCGCCCACCCCCCAACAGGTCTTTGGATACACGCTCTCAAACCCCATCGGTATCTCAGGCGGACTAGACAAACACGCCGACATCCCAGACCCCCTCTTCGCGCTAGGACCTGCAGTTGTCGAAGTCGGAGGCACAACACCTCTCCCGCAAGATGGAAACCCAAAGCCCCGTGTTTTTCGCTTGGTGTCGCAAGCCGCAATGATAAACCGTTATGGACTTAACTCCAAGGGCGCCGATCACATGGCCGAAGTATTACAAAAACGCGTCCGCGATTTCGCCTTTGCCCATGGTTTCGGTGAGCATGACGCCGGCGAGCAGCGTGTGCTGAATGGCGAAGCTGGCGTCCCCCCTGGGAGTCTACTCGATGGCAAGCTTCTTGCTGTGCAAGTTGCCAAAAATAAACTTACCCCAGAGTCTGACATTGCCGCCGTAACCCGGGATTATGTGTACTGTGTAGACCGGCTTGCGCCATACGCTGACATAGTAGTGGTCAATGTCTCTAGCCCCAACACCCCTGGCCTGCGCGGCCTGCAAGCCGCGGGACCTTTGACGGAGATCCTGAAAGGTGTTGTAGGCGCAGCGAGGGGTATTGACCGCAAATCCAAGCCGTTTGTGATGGTCAAAGTCAGCCCTGACGAGGATTCAGACGAGCAAGTGGACGGCATCTGTCACGCGGTTCGCGAGTCTGGCGTGGACGGGGTTATAGTTGGGAATACGACGAATCATCGGCCGAGTCCGCTGCCTAAAGGGTACGTGCTCCCGATAAAGGAGCAGCAGACGCTCACCGAGACTGGCGGCTACTCGGGTCCCCAGCTTTTCGAGCGTACGGTAGCGTTGGTGTCGCGATACAAGGACAAGTTCGCGGCGGAGGGCTCGCCGAAGACGATTTTCGCGTCTGGTGGGATTACTACCGGTAAGCAGGCTCAGGCGGCTCTTGATGCTGGTGCGTCTGTGGCCATGATGTATACGGCTATCACGTATGGTGGGTCAGGGACAGTCACGCGAGTGAAGAAGGAACTTCGAGAGGAAAGGGAAAAAAAATAGACGCAAGTTGGATGAAAAATCGGTGTAATTATGTATTATGTATTCGCGTCATTATCAATTTTCACATGATATCTATTTCTATTTGTTCCAAGATGAGTGTTGTTTTGTGGCGGGGTTGGGTATTTAAATTAGGGTTTCCTCGACCTCCCTGACGACTTTGCGGACTCCCTCGACTTGGTGAGCGAATCGTCCCAGGAACATACCGTCGACAGCCTTGCCAAGGCCCCCCTGGCTCCAGAGACCTGGTCCGGCACTGCCGCCATACAATACTCTGACATCGCCTTCTCGTTTTCCAATTGCATTGCGAATACCAGCTACGACGGCAGAGACATGGTCGACTCCTGCAGGCTGCGGCTGGCCGATTGCCCATACGGGCTCATAGGCGAAGATGACCGGGGCATGAGCAGGAAGCGTCTTCAAGACTGCTTGAATCTGAACATCGCATTCACGGACGGCCAATCCAACAGCCTGGGATGCAACCTCCCCGGGTGCGCTTATTTCTCCAATGCACACGAGAGGAATCAAACCTTGCGCTGAAGCTGCTGCTGCCTTTTTGGCTGTGATCTCATCTGTCTCCCCAAAGATAGAGCGTCGCTCTGCATGTCCCAACTCCACGATCGAAGCGCCGACCTCGCCAAGAGCCTGAGGCGACACCTCACCGGTGTAAGCGCCTAGAGGCTCCCAAAAGGCGTCCTGGCCACCGAGTAAAAACGGAGGTGGCAAGCTTGATTCATTAAGCTCCTTGGGCAGTTTCGCCGCCCAGTCACGAATGATTTCAGCGGATGGGTAGACGGTCAAAAAATCGGGAATCAGGGCTAGAAGAAGCTTCGAGCGATTTTTTGCCACGACAATCTCATTCTTTGGGTCTAGCAGATCGCGGAGATATTGCAGAGTGCGCAATGGCGTGAAGTACATCTTCAGTGAGATGATCAAAAGCTTCTCCGGTAGCACGGGATATGTCACTGCAGCGCCAGCCATTTTGGGTCTAGCCTGGTGTTCTTTTGGGCTATTTTCTTGCTCAATACTACTTCTCGTCGAGAGGCCTTTTCTGAAAATCTCACGTCGTCGTAATATCCCGGTCGGAGAAAAACGGCAGCTTTGAAATTGGCAGGGATAGGCTGGCGATCCACAATGATGTCACTGGTAGGGCTATGAGACGGCGCCGATTGATTCTGATAGGAACCCAGCTCGAGATTGAACAGGGAACTCCAATCTGCAAAAGGAGGACGTGTTGTATTGAGCAAGATTGTTGAAAGATAGCGAGGCATATGCTAGCACTTTGGCGGTGATGCTCCACGATGGCGGGGTTGACTCCTTTCAGGCCCGCTTTTCTGAAGGAGGGACGATCTGATCGTCTTCAGCACCACTTTTCCATGTATGCTCCGTACGGAGTACTGGAGTAAAATGCTGGGGTAAAACCGGGGCAGAAGGGTCGATTTTCGAAAATGGAGTGCTCTGGCTCTGCTACAAAGAGAGGCTCCAGGAACAGGTGTCGTTGGAGATAGAGAGATTGATGTATAGCTTAAAGTTTGCCAGGCTGCAAGCATCGGCGCCCACCCCGTGTGGCTTGCCTTTAGCCGGCTAACAACGCGGAGACGCACCGACACCACAGTCCGATATTTACAGATTCATCTCGGGCCTGTACGAGACTGCACAATATTGAATTATGCAAAGACGACTGAGTTGCGCTCGGTTGACTGTCCTCCGCCTGTCTCGTTGCGGCCTGGGATTCACCGGTCGCCCGAGTCTAGCACAACAGTTCCCCTCCTGAAAATGAAGATATTGGCGGGGCTCCAGTTGCGAGCCCAACGTCTGGTTCTGGCCTTGGTATTTCAGTATTCATTCGTCGAGACCCTGTGCCGGGAGGTCCACATTAGGAAATGCCGCACACCTCGTCGTCTGGCTGAGTCGCAGCAGGTCGAAAAGGCCGAGCCGGATCCTTGCGAACAAAGGAGGACATTGATAGGTAGTTATCCTTTCGTTCGGTATAGGTGTGTTCCGTCTGTCGGCCGCAGCTCAATGTTGATGATGCGCGGCGGCTGTGCGGTGGTGGTAAATGTAGGCTGCGGCGAACGTGTGAGGTCGATCTTCACATGCTTTTCCTGCGGTATTATTTTTATTATCCACGTAGTATTTCGCCATTCTCCAAACATCCCAGAAGGTGTTGCCTTCTGATGCGTCCTAAACGACCCGAACATCGGTGGAGTCCCCAGCCATGCAGCTAGTCATGTTCGATGACGCCAGTGCCAGCGCCTCCACCAGGAGATAATTTGGATGGTTGATGGTGTCCTTTTTTGATTCTCAGCCATGACAGCAGCCGGTGGAGACACTGCGAATCCACAGGAAAGGGGTAATTACGGGGGCAGGCGAATTACAATAGAGAACAGAAACAGGTTTGTGCCAACCGGGCGATTCTTGGTATTCTCACGCGCTGTGGGGGAGCGAAGGCCGGCGAGGAAGGAGGGGAGCCAGCAGGAAGGAGGACGAGGAAGGAAGGAGCGGTGGTAGCCAGCAGCAGCGTATATAAAGGCCTCGCGTGTCCTCGTCTGCCTCTTCTGTATACTATCTGACAGTGCTACTGCTCTATCTATTCGTAACCAATTGTATATACCCTCGTACTACATCCACCACCATGTCGGACCCCAAGCCTCTCCGCATTGTCATGGCTGGCGACGACGCCGGCTACGACTACAAGATCGCCATCAAGCAGCTCCTCGAGAAGAGCCCTCTCGTCGAGTCCGTCGTCGACGTCGGTGTCACCTCGACATCTGACAAGACCGCCTACCCGCACCCCGCTGTTGAGGGCGCAAAGCTGATTGCGGAGGGCAAGGCGGACCGTGGGTTATTCATCTGCGGAACCGGGCTCGGTGTCGCCATCGCAGCGAACAAGGTGCCTGGTATCCGTGCCGTCACTGCCCACGACCCCTTCTCCGTCGAGCGCTCCATCCTAAGCAACGACGCCCAGGTGCTGTGCTTCGGCCAGCGTGTCGTCGGCATTGAGCTGGCCAAGAAGCTCGCCCTGGACTGGCTCACCTACCGCTTCGACCCTAAGAGCGCCTCGGCCGCCAAGGTGCAGGCCATCAGCGACTACGAGAAAAAGCTCAACAGTGCCTAGACTTGCGCATAACATAGGCTTCTGTCGACGGATGACTTGATGGAGTCGGTCTGGTGATGGATGAATGGCGACGACTATCTCGTTCTTGCCCCCAAGGCGGATCCGCCACCCGCACGACACGCCCTGATTTCTTGACTGACAATTGGGAGTTTTGAGACATTGATCAATGCGAAATGATATGATATACCTATTTGTTTTGTTCACCACCAACAACAGCAGCGTCAAATAGGAAAACATTTGAGGCTGCCTGCTGGCAGGAAGCTGTGGGATTTCATTTGTGATGATATACTTGGCACGTTTTCGTCGTCCTGTTTTTACCGAAGACGGTTTCTTTAGACAGACATAGACATCCATCTTCCAACAAAATATACATTTTTGGCTATCTTGTTACTAAAAGACGACGTTGAATAATGACTTGGTGTATGTTACCAGCAACAATAATATTATTCTAGTGTTATTCTGAGGACAGGACAAAGTGCAAGCTGATTGGCTCGGCGGGCAAACCATTCCACTGAGATCGATGCCTTTCGACAGTCGCTTTCTGACAAACTCCTCTGTTTAGAGTCACAAACAGCTGTTTCGAGCTTGCTTTTTCTTCTTGTTGTATATATGTTTCAGTACCACTATTAATTATACTTGAGCAAGTTGTCTTAATCGCTGCACTGCAGATATCTGTAGCGATAAAGCGATAGACAACCCTGAGGGCAGCTGGACGAGCCCTTCCCTCATCGGCACTACGCGCAACTAATCCAAGCTGCACAGCTTCTAATTTGATTGATCTTGACAATTCCATCGGTTCATCCCTTATGATTTGGAGATTCCTATCATATCGTCTACTAGACCAGCCGCAATTTCCCTGATCACAACCACTGCTTACACAACCACTGCTTACACAACCACTTTCCTCATGCGATAGCTATTCAGTGCACGTTATCTGAATTCGTCCAAAGTATCGCATGAAAGTCAATTCGCTGTCGCCAATATGTCGTTCGAGCTGAAGGAAAAGGGCAACCAGCTCTTCAAAGAAGCCGACTATGTCGGCGCCGAGGAGATGTTTTCGCAAGCGTAGGTCTAACGTTATTACTACACACATACACGAATCTGACATGACTCGCCGCAGCATCCAGAAGAACCCGAAAGAACCAACCTTCTTCACGAATCGCGCAGTCACACGGCTTCGTCTGGAAAAATGGTCTGGTGCTGAACAAGACGCCCGTATCGCGATCCAGCTGAACGGCGGTCCTAAGGCCGCCGCGAGCCTAAAGAGCTCCCTCTACCTCGCCCAGGCATTACTCGAACTCCAACGTCCCCAGGCCGCATACGATGTCGCCATTGACGGCTACCGAGCTAGCCTCAACACCAAGAACGCGCAGTCAGAAAACCTATCGAAGATCGTCCTCCGCGCAAAGCAGCAGATCTGGGCAGCTAAGGAGACGGCGCGGCTTCGGGAGATGAATGATACGTTGGCGAGTGTCGAGAAACTCATAGAAGCCGATCTGGAGAAGGAATTAAGAGAGCTCAGAGCACAGCTGGACAACGGCGAGATTGGGGAAATCGGGTTTAATGAGGACCAGAAGGCACGCCGAGAAGAAGCGGCGAAGAGGATTCAGCACGTACGGGATGCTTTTAAGAGTGCTTCTGGTGGTGAGATACAGGAACGGGTTTGTTTGACTGGTATTGTCGGGAGTGAACGATTTAGCTGACTGGGTTAAAAGGTTGTCCCCGATTATCTTGTCGATAATATTACCTTTGAAGTCATGCACGACCCTGTCATGACCGTCTCCGGACACAGCTTCGATCGCATTGGAATTATGAAGTATCTGGAACATGCCGCAGCTGACCCGGTGACTCGCGCACCCATGACAGTCAAGGACTTGCGACCCAACTACTCGCTCAAGGCAGCATGTGAAGACTTTCTTGACAAAAACGGCTGGGCTGTTGATTACTGAGGCAATATCTCCTAAACTTGACGTGGGATTGGAGACTAGGAGTTTTGATTTTCGCATCCGCAGCAAAAGCATTTGGTCTGGTGTTTGCTTCTTCCTTCTTATATTATCATCATCAACGTCCTGCGTGTTATGATTATTATTACCTTTTTTATGTGCATATTGTAAATTAATTGTCTATATTTTGTGAATTATAGCCACATATTCTCCTTTCATCTAATTCTATGTGACCTTATCAAGTGGCCTCTTCCAGACTATTCAGAATCCCAACCAATTATCGGCAGTACCAACCGTTGGGGCTGCATAAACAATTCAATTGTCACCATCCATGTGATCACTGTTCCCCACTATCGTCTGCCTTCTATTACGTCGAGGCCATTTTAGCTTAACTAATGAGAACTATAAACACGGGCCCACTTGCCCTCCCCTCCCCATCATCTCAACCTTTCGTCCTGACATTCACATTTCACGGAAACGGCGGGAGGACTCGATATTATTCGGGCTATTTCTGAGTAAGTTGAGATTTGTTTTATCCTCTATTGTGAGCGGCGCATCGCGTGCAGCAGGGAACGGTTGAGTGCGATGGATTTCATCGCAATGCTTAAATCCTTTTTGCTACCCCTCTTCTCGTCGTCTGTTGTTGTGATCGGGTCTTTCGTCTGATGAATGTTTGGCTGACGGTTAGTTTTATTCGTTTTTAGTTACCTCAACACTCATATACATCTTATTATATATATATTTATATATATACAACTCACCCATTAAGATGGCCTCCGAAGAAGATTTCCAAAAAGCCTCCGAAGAAGATCTCCAAAAGGTCTCCGAAGAAGATCTCCAAAAGGCCTCCGAAGAAGATATCCAAAAGGTCTCCGAAGAAGATTTCAACAAGGCCGCCGCCATTATCGAGGGCCTTGTTAGGGCAGACAAACCCAACAACGAGGAGAAGCTGAAGGTAAATACACAAAATCGGTGTTGAATAGCTTTGTTACATGGATATGATGGGCTAGCTCAAAAGGAAAATATTTTTGAGTAACAATTACTTTGTTTCTTAGGCCTACGGTTTTTTCAAGCAGGGATCAGGCAACGATTATGCGACAGCCACTGCACCCGGGACGTTTGATTTCAAGGTACGTGTGCTATTCCGGCTTTCTCTTTCGCATTTTTTTATTCCGGATGTGTTCAGTTCATCCCAACATCGGACTTTCTGAAATAGTTTAAGGAAGAAAACTAGACGCTAACTGTAAATTTCAATTTATAGGGCAAGGCGAAGTATCGAGCTTGGGGCGACGTGAAGGATATTCCCGTCGACGACGCGAAGAAGCAATATATCGATCTCGCGAACGCACTAAAGGAGAAATATGAAAAATAAGAATAGATGAAGGTATAGAGAGGAAAAGCCTTGATTGCGAAACCATCTTAAGTCAGTTTGAGTCCATCGCTTTGCTTTGGTTTAGAATATTATAGTGATGCCAGAATTGAACTTCGGTTGCTTTGAGCGGACGGACAATTCTATTGTTTGATATTCGGTGAATAAACTATACGAGAACTCTGCTCGTTTTCAAGATATTAATGTCATGGGTATTTCTTGTTCTACTGTAGTACACTATTCTACATGGGTAGAAGAAGATCTACTCCAGACGCTGTAATACACAATACAAAATCTGTCAGTCGGATTCAGCGAATTCGAATTTATCGGACTGAAATAATGCGCTGCCAACCTGAGCCAAATCAGTCTTGAAAGGTGCTTCACACCGTCCAGGTCTGCCCTAACCAGTCCGGCTCTAGATGACTTGTCGTCGCGCACCAAGGCACATCGTGCGCATTATACGGCGTTAACGGTAGATCATAAGGCATTCTAAAACCCACAAGCGGGACATCGCTGTCGATAGAAGAAGACCAGATTGGAGTATCTTTCTTGAAGCAGGGTATCATCTCCGCATGGTTGTTGCGAGCTGTATTCTTGGGATTGTCGGCAATCAGCCCTGGCCATAGAATGACCCCAATCTCCCAGCTGCATACTCGCACTTCTCCATTTGCGTTCACCGTTGAACCCCAGGCCTGTGTTGAGAGGTTTGCGGAGGTCACCATGGCCCAGTCAATGCGATCCATTGTAGTCTGATCCGAGAACCGGATGTAGGTTTTAATATGTGGTGCTGCACGCCGACGACCCGCTTCTCGCTTGGGCAGCGTGGCGTTGCGAACATTGGTGGGATTGTCTTGATCGCCAGCCCAGTGACAGAAAAATGGGCGTAGGTATTGAAGCTGTCTCTTCTGAGCAGCACTTTGCAGCTTCATATGGATGGAGCCTCCTGAGGCGTAACCATGTAAAGACCTTCGGATTTCGTCTGGCGTGGGAAATATGATTGAATATTTCGTTTTGTCTGATATACCCGGCGAAGATGAGGCTGATACCGGACTTAATGAAGAGAACAAGGCTTCTTTTAGCCATTTATCCGTCTGTCCTAGAGTAGCGATCGACGAAACCTAAACTGGTTAGTAAATAAAATCTCATGTGCAACAATGTGTGGCATACTTGTATAACAATATGTGGATTTGAGTTACCCTCTGTAGACTTGAGTGGAACTTGACGGATTGTATCTTTCAATGCAGGCCAGCCCCATATCGTCGATTTTGTCGAATCTATGTTGCAAAGCTTCTCCTTTGAAGGCACACTTGCTATCAATGCAGCACGAACAGATGTGAAATCACATTTCTTGAGTTGGGAAACGAGGGAGCCAGTCTTCCTACTTCCATAGCAGTTGAGGTAAGCAATCAAGTCTCGTTTGAACCTCTCCCCACTACCGAATGTAGGGGACACTTTAGTTTTGAGAGTTGTTGCAGGCGAGGCTAGCGGTAGTAGTGGCGATCGCCAAATAGCTTGAGTCATATTTTCCCAGTCACCTGGGATCATGTTGGCTGTATGAATAATAACCCTGCATAACAAGTCAAATACGGCTTCGGGAGGCTACATGGCGATTCATTCATACTGTGCTAGGTCATCATGGCGGAGAAGGACCATCATTTTGGAGTGATGGGTTCCAAAGGGCTCGGGCATATAAGCTGTGATAGCTTCGGTATTGGGATAGCGGGTGCATGCTTCCTGATAAACATTAATAAATGCGCAAAACATTACTGCCAGCACATGATTTCCATACGTCAATTCCGATACGGTTGGGAGAATCCTTTTTCCATGAGCCATGAACTATTTTGACTTTCACGATATTCCTGACATCCTCGTCGAACTGTCTCATAATAAAGTCGACGTCGAAACAATAGTTGAATTGCCAGCATTCGCGGATCAAAGGATCCCCGAGGATGTCCCGTAACTGGATTGTGTCGACATTGTTGCCCGAAGAGTGAGGTAGATCTCGAATATGACTGAGCTGAACAGGCGAACGTAGAACGCGAGGTTGTCGCTCATAAGAATCGGATTCCTCATTATCATATATTTTGGAAACCGATTGGGTTTCAAAATGTTCAGCGCCTAATATACTTGGAACATCCCTTGATGGCTGTTGTTGAGATCCCGCTCGAAGCCTTAAAGGCGGCGTGATGGACCTGCTGAGCGATGCTAGAGATTCTGTGTTTACAGTAGCAGGGTCGACAATAGTATCTTCCTGTTTATGCTCCGATACTCGCTGTCTTTTGACTGGACGATCCATATTAAAGAGAATAATAATGCAAAGTGGAGGTCTGTAGCACAGAGACCAAATTGAAACAGTGATGCACCGGAAGGACCGGCGCTAGTAAATGCAGCCCCTAAGCTATTGGCCATCAGCCGCTCTATGCTTCCGAGTCTTCGTCCCAATCATCCACTCGATTTCAGCGTTATGCGCCGAACAGCCTTGGGCACAGCCTCGCGAAAATGGCCAAGGCTATCTTCTTCGAGACCTCCAGGAGTTTTCTCCTAATACAACATCAAATTTTCTCACCATATTTATACATCCTTACGAAATCGGGTTTAAACATTGACCACGGTCGTTTCGGAGAATTTAGATGATGCATGAATGAAGGATCTATTGGTCAATTAAATGTGTCTATTGAGGTTTATGTGATGAAATCGCCGCGGTGTATATTTGTTTGAAGTATATACCATGTCTTTTCTCAAAAGATTCAAAACAAAAAAGACGAAAAAAAAAGACTCATTGCCTCAAAACGAGGATGAATCATCCTCGGCATTCCGCAATTTAGGCCCTGAGCAAACAGAGCAGATTATCGCTTGCTCTACCAATGCTGCCTTTGCCGAAGCATGGAAGATGCATTGGGAGGATCTCAGTGAAAGTGAAAAACTTGCCTGGAGTTTCCAGGAATTCAAATCGCCGTTAAAGGTGCAAATAACAACCGAGGACTTGAACAAGACTCATCTGGAACAGTCTGTTGCTAGGAAATGTGCAGATGGGGTATTGAAATTTCTTCGAGCAATCGAGACATTGATGGCCGGTGTTACAATTGGGATACAGGCATACCCAGATGTCAGCTCCATAGTCATCGGAGTTGTTCGAATTATCATCAATGTATGTTGTTGGCCATTTGTTTTCCTCGCCGATTTTTGTTAACGTCAGAAAGGTGGCCGTGAAGTACTTCGAATACTATGAAAAGTTGACACAAATGTTGGAAAGGCTTGCAGATCAGCTAAAGGTACTCGATCTTTTTACTCAAAACAATTCTAAAGAACCACTTTTGCATACGGTAAGGATCTGGTTCGAGCCTGTCCAAGACCGGGAATTAAGTTTGATAGACCTTAGTTGCGATTTATGCAAATACTCTTGCCTTCTGTCGTCATGCGCGCCGAGCTTTTTTTAACAAAACGAATATGAAAGGTATGTTCCCATGTTATATGAAAAAGATGATGAAAGTGACTTTCGGCAGCTTCAAATGGACTATCCATGTTAGTAAAAGTACAGTGGGCTCCGTTCGAAGAGCAGTTTGGCCAGATACAATCCAATTTAAAGCATTATACCGAGAACCTGGACAGGATATCCGCAGCAATGACCATGAACTCAACTCTGGCTGTCCATGAAGAAATGAAGAAGAAATCTTCGCTAAACGTTCGTATGTTTTGGGATCTGGATAACGTCTAAGTATGTTGCTGATTTATTTCAGAAAAAGAGAGGAAACGATTTTTGGAATGGATCTGTAAGGAAAATATTGAAGAGACTCATAGAGAGATTCGCGGCAAACGACTATCAGACACTGGATTGTGGCTGCTTGAGGACAAGAATTATACAAATTGGATATCTCACGCAGATACTGGCCTTCTTTGGGTGTATGGACCAGGTATGATGTTCTATTGTGATATCCTTCATAGCTAATCTATTCTATTTAGCTGGTACTGGCAAAAGTATTTTGGCGTAAGTTTATCTAAGCCACAATATTGACCAAGGAATTAAACTAAAAGGAGCATATCAGGTCTCTGGTTATTGACAGTTTAACTAAGAACGATGAATGTACAGCATATGCATATTTCAAAGGAGAAGACAAAATCATGCAACAATCAACCAGTCAAGTGTTGTCTATGCTTGTCAAGCAACTTTGTTGGAATATCGATGTCCTTCCCCACAGAGTATTGGAACTTTACCAAAAGTTGGAGAAGAATGCACGTCAGCCTACATTCGACGATCTGAAATTACTTTTCACAGAATGTGTACGCCATATTGGAAAGGTATTCGTGGTTTTTGATGGCCTCGATGAATTTGATGAAAGACATCGCCGACAGCTTTTGGGATTCCTTTGTGCTGAAGATACACAGCAAGAAAACGTGAAGTTCTTTGTCACAAGTCGGTGGGAAAGGGACATTAAGCAAGCTTTCATTCGCTGTAAATATTTGAAGGTGGAAAGCTTGTCTCGGACCCAGTCGGACCTCGAGAAAGTAGTGCGACATCGAGTGACGAATGAATTAAGCTACATTTCTCCGGACTTGCAAGAAGAAGTCATAAAATCATTGATTGAAAAGTCTGGGGGAGTGTGAGTCAATGAAGCAACCAGACCTCTTTAATGCCTATCACTGATTCGTCGCGATAGTTTTCTCTGGGCAAGCCTTCAGTTGAACGACCTTGTACAAGTCCCAGAGCCTATGATAAAGTCACAGCTGAAGGAGCTTCCAACGGGATTACCGGAAACTTACCTCGGATACTTTCGGAAAATAAATGCGCAGCCTCAGGCAAGCAGGATTTTGGCACAGCGTTGTTTCCTTTGGGCATTCCATGCCAAAAAGTTGCTTAGCTCTGGTCAGGTCATGGATGCAGTGTCCTTGGATTTCAAAGACTCTGGAAGTGAGATGGTTATTCATAACGCGCAAACTCTCACGGAAGTTACAAAAAATCTTCTAACCATCACAAACCTTCGTTTGCCTCGTGTTCGACCTGTTCATTTTTCTTTACAAGAATATGTCACAAACTCACCGACAGCACTCCCTTCAGAAATACGAGACTTTCTTCTCCCTGATACTGAAGTTGCAAATGAGCAACTGGCTATTTTATGTCTTCAGCATCTAATAGCTGATTTACCCCCAGAGGATGGCTTAAGTACGATTTTATTCTATGCTGCCCATAATTTCGACGGCCATATTCGAAGCTTGACGAAGATACCAAAAACACTTACGGACATCTTTGATCGTATATTTGGGGAAGAGCAGCACAAACTTCTAAAGATTCTATCCTGGCGATGGCCCATTGACCACGACAGCTACCCTGATATAAGTTGTGCAGGAAGTCCTAGCTCGGTGGACCCCATGTTTTTCATGCAATGCACGGGACTCGATAAAGTCCCAGAACTTTGGTCTCGATACGCCGGTACTGAACGACCACGTGTTTACCAAGATGGGTATTTACATCTGGCAACGATAGCTGGATTGGACCATGTTATACGGGACATAATTGCCCAAGGCTTGGATGTGCATCGAGTTGATGTTGACGGACACACGGCACTTCATTATGCTTGTGCTGAGACTATCCCGTTAGATACTGTGAAGGCACTTGTTGAAGGAGGAGTTGACATCAATCAACGTACCAGCAACGGACAGTCGCCGCTTCAACTCGCTAGAGAGTTTCGTCATGTCGAAAAGTCGGCATATCTAGAAGAAGTAGGAGCGATCGAGTGAATGTGTCATACTACTTGGTATGGTCTAGCTATTGATATCATTAAAGGTTATACGTCAACTGATGTAACTAGACAGTTGGCCCAAACAATAATCGATATTAGACAATGAATATTGAATGCGAACAACTATGTATATCTTATTATTGATACATATTAAATGAATGCCTACTCTTTTGTTGGAATCGTTAAGTCCTGGCTTTGGATGTTTGTTGAAATCTCAGAATATTGACTTTAAATGACCAAGAACCTTGGCTAGAGATTCTAGTCATCTGAGTCGGAAGCTCGAAAATGCCACTTTACATATGTACCTTGCTTCACAGTAACATTTGAACGAAACCAAGAGTAGGTTCGAAAGGGGTGTTGTGTTTTATCAAAACGACAGAGGATTCTTAGCATGTTTTACTTACACATCAAGCTGTATGTATCAGTGGTAATCATGTTCCCCATGCACTTTCTTGGATATGTCCATCAGATGCCCTTAGGTCTTCTAGGAGAGGAATTATAAAATCGCGAAAGCCTGCTCTTTGAAACTCGTCGTTATCGAACTCCGCGGTTTGCAATATAGGCTAGAGCAAACATTTCTCAACCACATCACCGTACATTGCACCGCTTTCATCATAGACACCCCGAAGATGAAGTGTCTCAGATTTGAGGTCCGAGACAGAGTCAAGTGTATCGTAGTCCTGTGGACTGCGTAAATCTTCTAAAGTGTGACAAAGCTCAAGCTCAATGAGGACGAGACCCAGCGGGAATAGGAAACTGTTATGAATCAACGGGCTGGAAGGCTCTACAAAGCTCGGTATTTCATCGTTCCGAACGTGATATGTAAGATAAGGTTGTGTAAATGACGGATTCCCTCTGTCAAAAAGGATATACTGAGCACCTCATTGAACATTCAACTAATTCCCACAGTAGTAGAAAATGCTAAACGCCAAGTTTGTAGTAACATACAGACTGCCTTTCCTTTTGAAATAAAGGTATTCTCGATGTTGATGCTAAGCGGTTTTCAAGAATTGGAGAGCAGAGTTTCTGGTGACTGCGGTTCTAGTCTAGAGTCGCAGAGTAGCTCCTAAGCAAGTACACATGATGTTTATGACTAGGATCTGACTCAGTGGAGAGATGCCCAATCAGTTGTCTGCTGTCTGTTTCAACACTAAAAAGAGTAGAGCAAAGGTCGTCAATTTCGTTAGACATAGATGAATCATCAATGTGTTTCCGCGAAATAGCTTCCAAAAATGGCTGGATAATTGTATAATGAACTTCTTTCTTAGGTCTCAATGGTGTATTCCGAATTCCCACTGAATTGGTCCATGTTCTTTCTTTATCTGGTAAGTAACGGCGGGTTTGGCTTCGATGTTCCTCAAATTCCATGAGATCTCTTGAGGAACCGCACTTCTTGTGTGTCTCAACCCAACAGCTAGATTAAAGGTCTCTGCGGCAGTCGTATCTAGGATGAGGTGTGTGTCGAACCGAAAACAAATACGATGTCCATCTATACACTTGCAATTCCAGCACCTCCCTTTCACAAAAGACTCATGCAGAGTTCGACTGTATTTTCGAGCAAGTTTCTGTTTCATGAGAGCCGTTTTAATATCTAAAACGTCCTTCGAGACGGTTCACCATAACGTGATTGCTCTACAAGCTTCAGTAGAGTGTCATTCGCAACTTCAACCCGGCTGAGCAGATCCAAATATATAGACCTTGAGAATATATATCTAGAATTTGTCATCTTCTGTTCAAAGTCTTTTGAGAGAGGCTGTACGAGCTAAGTGAGGAACAACATGTTAGAAAGCAAGAAATATATTTGCATTGAGACGATGTAGGCTATATCGAGACTCACGTTTTCCTGATTCTTGGGGTCTAGCACTAGCTTCTGGCAAAGGTCTTGAAGCAATAGTGAGAGTTCCTCAATCATTAATGAAGACTTCGACTTCGTCATTGCGACCCATTCATTTCTTTATTCTAGACTGAAATACCTGGTCTCTCCACATCGAGCTTCTAGGGTTATTGATCAGCTCACTGAGCTCGTCTTCATAGTCAACGACGCCTTCCAGGGATTGCTCCAGATTATTTAGCAGTAGAGCTTTCTGTGATTCAACGCGTCTGAGGTAACCTTTTATTTCACAGCGGTAGATGAGCCCGCGAAAAAGCTTTAGTATCTGCAGGCTCTGAACGTAGTTGTCCAGTTGATTGACGACCAGAAGGAGAACGGCGAGAAGCAGACCAATTGCCTCTACACCCGTCATCATTTTGGATTTACCGGTACTTGAAACTAAACAATGTAATCTTGATCTGGATTGTAGGATGATGGTATAGCTGTGAGCAAAGAAGGCTGAGCAAGAAAGGTGAGCCTCATATTGACACCGCTTCACCCCTCCTCAAAAGCAAGCATCCTACTAGCTGCCAATGACAAGTAGCACTGCCTAATAAATGTATAAGAGGAAAATTCATATATTGTATCTACTGTATTCCAAATACAAAACCAATTTGTGCCTTCGGGAGAACCTTGGGACAAAATGGGAGACTTGAGATCACCGCCTGTTGTCTCTTGTTTGAAAAAGTTTGATGACTTACTTACAACCAGTCGCTGGGAAGGTAATAAAGGGCGTGTGTTCCGAGAGTTGTGTGAGGATGAACGAGGTCGATTACGTGTCTAGGCTGCCAATATTGGCGCACATCAAACCACGAGGCCATTACTCGACCATAGGCTGCGCGGTATATCAAAGAGCAGACAGTGATGCTGTTATAATCTATGTATCAGACGCTCACCGATCTTGAAGAAACTCCGAACAGATCGATTTCTTGTCTTAAAACCAATAGTTCTCTAGGGGAATATGATGCTACCGACGGAGGCACCTAGCTGGAGCATATATACAAAGAGCTGACTGACACCATCAATTGCTTGTTCCAAATATCAAGAATTGTTCACCAGCCTATGCATTACAATAGATTCCAAGGAATTAAATAGACGATTTAATGAGATTTGAATTCTATGACTATCAATATGTCTCGAACAAATTTCCCTAGGTCGCTCCTATTATTGCACATCGACTTGGTCGGGCGATCTCGAGGCAGTGTGCTTGGCTACTAAGTCGCGAAAGACACCACAAAAAATCGAGTAGAGGGATATATGGAAATAAAGACGATAGATCTGCGACGATATTAGATACTATCGCAATAGATAATACAAGTAGAAAAGGCGGGTTGGATGATGTTGAGTCGGACTTGGTCATATCGCACATGTCTTATTCCCAAACACTTCTAGGTGTCAGTGGGAGTATAGACATTCCACCCCTCCAAAACCACTCAAAAAGGAACCCTCTATTCGAGTGTCCTCACTGTCGTTATATAGTAAGCATTCATAGCACTGTTTCATGGACCCGACATGTCTCTAATGACCTCACGGCTTACGTGAGTTTGCACCCTCATTGCAGTATACCTAATCGATTGTACGTAAGCTGCTGAGAGTAGGTTGAGCACATACAAAGTCAACACACTTTTTTTAAACTTGTGCGAGCAGTTGTTTTTTGCCCGCTATGTGGCGACAACGTATCGCGAAGTAAACAGCCAGAAAAACACCTGGACCGTCATCTAGAGGATTTGGCCTTGTTCGTACTTCCTCGGAGACCGATAGACACTGAGAGAGATTCGATTCCATCTAATAAATCTGCACAAAATGTCGACCTGTTTTTTCGAACTAATATCTGGAGACAAAAATGCGATATTTGAGGACCACTCCGATGACCTTCAAGAAGGAAGAATCTCTACACCAACTCAAAGACAGTCTACAGATGTACAAAGAAACGACCAAGATTTAGAATATGGGATAAAAAATGCCAGTAACTGCATGCGTACTGCTGGAGCTATGAAATTGGCAGGAATTGGGGTTTCTTACGCTTCAGATAACACTAGTTACGAAAATGCTTCACAAATTACATCCGCAAACCATGCCTCGGAATCTTATTCCTCCAATATAATAATAGGATACCTTGGGGAGGCAATTTGGTACTGTTGCAAATGTTATGATGGCCCTATTCCAATGTGGCAGCCACAATGCGCAACCCCCAGTTGCTGGCACAGTAAGAGTGCATGTTGCAGCATCGAAACGGACATAAGCCGGGAAAATACCGTCTTTATGTAAAGCCTCGGTAATATGACGGTGACGACTTGATGAGCTCCATTCAAGCCCACCTAAAAGCCATCGTCAGATTTCTTCCACATATGTATGAGTTGAGCGTGCGGATCTCGCGTTTCGGAGGTCTTTAAATGTAGGAAATCAATTGAGATATACACTAGTTAAAGGCTCTTTTAATGTTACTTCTACTCTACTTCAATATCTTGGTACCACTGCTGGAAGTATTTCTTTCTCGGTATAGGATATTCGCAAGTTAATCATTATTTGGTTGTCTCCTGAACATTTGAACTTTCACGACCATGAGACTTTTAGCAAATTATTCCTGTCGGATCAATATCTCTACATCTTGTCACCTGAGGCTCTTATTGCGTACTTTGTGACTAGTGATTGTCACTAAACCTGCGTTTGGCCAAAGTAGCGCGCCTCGTTCCTCAAACATGCCAGCACGACGACCCTACTTGGCTTAGTTTTAGCACAGAGTTACTTTCTAATCCGATAAAACCGACTGACTTGGCTATCCATCTGTGGCCTCGTGTATAGCGCTTGTGTCCTTCATCGCGAATATAATGTTGATTTTTTGCATTTCAAAAACTTTTGGTGAAGCAGACCCCTCACTAAGAATTTCCGAATGCCTTTGTCATTTGGTCAACTTACTGCATTATGGATCCCGGAATGACATAGGACCCGCAATTGCTCTGACAAATAAATTTTCAATTATGCATATGGATAACATATGAGTGTCCCGACTCCCAGAGTCCAAGGCCTTGCGTATCTGTTAGTGCTTCGGCTAACTTCACCCTGCCACCTGGTACTATTCTCAGACTGCTAGATTATGCTGATTGAAGGAGGAGGCTTATGCTTTGCTATGCGTCGTTAGGTCGACAACAGACTGTTGGCTTGTCATATTCACGAAAAGGTGGGGCGATGAGGCAATGTTGGAGTAGCGAGAGCTCCACAATAATAGCTTTGAAGTCCCAACGATACTGGGTGCTCTAACAATAGTGCGGATTAGGAGGCTCCGTCGAGGATGATCATCGAAATGGTGGGACATAGCGATAGCTGCTGACCCCGCTAGAATTAGCAAATCTACGAAGTATTCGGGACGGATAAAAAAAGCAAAAGCAAAAAAAAAGGGGGGGAAATAAAAGTAAGGTGGATCTGTGCTGCGACGCGTAAGTAATAAGCCACGCTTAGCTTGTCCTCGTCGAGATATTAACATGAGCTAGGCTAACGACTCGTTTACTAATAATTAGTCGGCGAGCAGTTGCATGCTTGGGTAGTTAGATCGATGGCAGAATTTTCTTGTGAACCGAAGCTGGAGTCCAATTATCGCGTGACCCCTGAGATACGATATTAGCGCCTAATATTAGTATGTGTGGTAAAGTTTTGCAGGAAGCTTGAAACTCTCCGTAAGGTCAGTGATAAGCTCTTAGCTAACTACGGAGGATTTACACTTTCCTGCCGGTTCCTTTCCTTCCAGAATGAAGTTTTGCTGTATTTGATTTCATTAGAGTGGATTATGCTTTGTTGGTCTATCAGATCAGTGAGACTTCAAGAATGAATATAAATATACCCGAAATCTGTTTACAGCCGTAAACATTCATTACACTACACGGAGAATTGCTGTACGATCAGCTACGTAATCAAACTGATGGCAATCATTCGAAGGAGAGGGTTCGCGTGATTCCAATCAAATAGAATTGTATTAGAACTCAGGGTCCGTGTCATCAGCAGGATTAGGAGTAGGCCAAAATGAGCTCGTTGCGTTAGACTTTAGAGCTAGTAAATAATAATCAGGGCCAGGGACTAGTAGAGGATATGGAGCTATTGGAAATCTTGCGAGAGGATTGGTTCGGACGCGGCTGTTGTGGCGCTGTGGATACCTTCCCTGATGTAAGATTCAGTTCAATCTGAATAGTGAACAGTAAATACTCCCACCGCTTGTCGGGCAGCATAAAAATGATAATCCCTTCCTTTTGAGGAATAGGCGGGTATTCATGCCCCATATCACCGGTTCTGCTGACCAGGATCAAACTGAATTGCAAGCGGATAAAGAGCAATCAATATATCTCAATTTTGGAAATTGCAACTAAAATTGAATTGAGATAAGGAGAATTATATACAATGTTTTAATTGGTGAGTTGGTTTAGCGGTGTGGGTATCTAAGATTACGTTTGCTAGATGCTGCACCAGGCAGTTTTGACGGGCGTGTATGTATGCCATTTAATTTGGCCCTAATACTCAACTCGGCGGTTCCTGGACGAATTTACATGGACTAGCCCCTATTCGGCTGCTCTCCAATATTCCGTCCACCGTCAGATTTTAGACTTCCTTTTACTTCATTCACCTCTTCCCGATCGGCACTATTTAGAAAGTTCTAGTACTTGGAAGAAGACGCCATTTGTTTCAAGAGAGTTTTTTTAAAAAAAAATCTACGAAGTAGTACTAAATCTTACATATTTGTGTTAATTGCGGGGCACGGCGGAAGGAACGGGCCGGTGCGAAGCCAGCCAAGCCCATTACTCTGGTGGAAGATTGTTCTCGTTTTCCTCTAGCCGTAGATGACGTAGTATGTTATTATTATTATTGTAGGCTTAGTAGTAAATCGCATGCAGATATAGCATTGATGGAAAGTCTCCAGCTCTTACCGTTGTGGCTACTTCTTGCTTACTTGCATGTGTGGACTCAATGGTCACATCTAAGCACGATCGGTACTTGCCGAAATAAGGTACGCACAAGGAGCCATCAAATCGTAACTGGATCGTCGAATTTTTTTTAACGTAGTTGGATGGAATTATGGAGTTATACGACGGGGAAGCTAAACAATGATCCGCCCATGTTTCTAGGGGAAGGCTAAAGCTAGAGCTCAGAGGGCTGGGCAATAGTCTGCCGCACTGGACAGACCTTTGCCTTTTATACATTAAGGAACCCGGGAAATATGCGTAATGGGCCGGATTTCTTTCAATAATTCATAAGGATGGGTCAAAAATCCCCTGGAAATATCATTTGAACAATTGGCACCTGTTGAGCTTGTAGCCGGTGTTATGAATGTTCATCACCGTCCCTGATTATGGCGCTCAGGACCTTTGAGAGGTGCCGCGACTCATAACCTGCATGTACTGCATGCAGTTGACGCGAAGCCGCCTCCACAGTAATACTTAGATGATCATATGATAAATTCATACCAAGTAATAATATAGTATTAATAATATCAAGCACGCCTATAGGTTTCCTTGTGTCGATCAAATCGACATAGTACGATAGTCCCTCTCATTAGCCACACCTGCCTAGCAAAGCCAACAGGGATTGGTTCAGCTAGTCACTGATTCAGGCGGAGGTTTAAAGTTTAACAGAGTCAGAGCCTCGCACTTAGGCAGTAATAGTGCCGTACGAAGGACGTCCTAGCTCGTGGAATTCAGCATAGAAGTGCGCAGTAGATGCAAGATTCCTTGTCTCAAGTATAAAACATAATAGGTCGCCACTCCCATCAAGAACCCTTCTTCTACTCGACCAATCGACAGCAAAGAGCAAGTATACAGTATTGCAAATATCTACCTCGGTCTCCTTGTCTCGCGTCGTCGATTTCCTTATTTCTTCTTTATTTTTCTGTTCCTGCTTTCATTAAACATTTTCTTTGTCTTTCAAGAGTTAATTAATTGCTGAAAATATAATGACTAACTACTTTGATGAGGAGGTGAGAGCAATGTCAACCAATCTGAAATGTCTCTAGTAACTGATCAACGACAAACTACACTAGATACTATTTTCCAGTGACTACGATCCCAGCATTGCAGATTCTACCATACCTAGCAGTGATGTTCATCGTGGCCATGAGAACCAGTTGATAATTCCGACTGGTCCTGGACATATCCCTAGACATCAACATGTCCTACCCCGACCGCTCACTGTCGACCAAGGGAACCTACCTTACGGTTCTAGTGCTCCCTACTATGAAAACGTTTGGGGACCACAACAAGCTCCTTTCATAAACCCGTTTGATGTCCCTGCGGAAAATCCTTGCCTCCAGCCAAACATGGGAGCCGAAGCTCCTTCTCGATCTGGAGAAGCTATCTACTTCGACCCTTTGCGACAGACTGGTCTAGAAATGCACAATAGGTTTGTTATGGATTCATCCCCCCTTTCTTGATTGAGTTTCCGAATCCTCTCAATAAGCTTAGACGCTAATTATATGTTTTTACATTCTCCTTCAGTGACGGTTCTTATACCGACCGCAATGAACGATGTAAATGGGGGGATTGTGATCTCACCTTCACTCGACATGAACAGCTTGAACTGCATTTCAAGGTCGCTCATCCGATACCTGATCCCGACACAAAGGTATGCAAATGGGAAGAATGCCGTCGCCGCCTTGGTAGATTCAGAGACCTGGAGCGACATGTTATGAATGTCCATATCTCACCGAACTCTCAAGCTTGCCCTACTGATGGATGCAAGCGAACTGGTCGAAAGGACAATATACACAGACATCATCGCAAGGCACACCGCCAATCACTCTGAAATGACTAAATTAAAGAGAGCGAGTGCAGACAAAACGAAATTAAAGATCAAAGAAGACATGAATTCTTGATTTACATATGAAAAATGGGTTTTTTTAATGGAGAATTTTTGATGTACTACTATTTAATTCGGGCTAAACTATATAGAGGGTTGGGTGGATTTCCTTTCACGGCAAGAATGTCTTTTCGTTTCATGATACCACCTCTATTATCACTATCGTTTTTTGGTACACTTATTTTTATTGACAAGGATCAACACTTTACACATACTGTATAACAACCCTAAACCTAACCCTGAAAGAGCAGAATATGTTTTCTGCCATCAGATTAGCCGAACAGGAGATTACGAGATTCACTTTACGCAGATATTGAGTGGATTTGTTGAATAAAGACGATAAGTAAAGCGGGCAGCGCCATGTGATAGGCCATAACGTAATTTGGGAAGCAAGCAAAACAATACAAACACGAATCTGATATTTGATATTCCTAAATATTGCCTATATCTAATGTCCTGGTGACATGTGTTCTCTTTGATTTTTATTTTGCTGTATGCTCTATCTTATTGTGTTCTTGTTATTTTTGAGATCATAGCCATGTCAGAAAATTTAAATCTTTTCAATCTCTGAGAATTTTCTGTCTAGTACCTCTCTGTAAAGCATGGATCGGGCGATCTTAAAAACAATGTGACTATGATGAGCCCTGAACCCTCCATGAGACCGAAGGATCCCACATTTGACAATTCCTGATCTATGTAAGTCAAAGAATATAAAGGGAGAGTAATGGATAGGTGTCTTACATGTTACCGGTCGTGCCGGGGAGAGACCCGGAGGCCAAAGTAGGCTCGCTGATACTGATAGGATCTAGGCCTACCCCATTTACTGATATCGACGATAGAGATATAGCCCAGGTAATCACGTTCTGGAGAATATCGATCAGGTCTTTCGTCCCAACCTCGACTGTAGCCGATGCTGTGGCGTCTGGAAACCCCTCTGTATCAATGTATAGATTGCAAGTGCCATATGAAACAATATTTATCCACTCGCCGCCATTCCAGCCGTTGCTGAGGCTCAAAATAAATCCCTCGCTTTGGAGACCGTTGACCAAGTTTTGACAGTCGTCAAGCTGGGGATCAGCCACGCCAGTAGTAGATTTAATGGCGAAGTTGCCGCAGTAATTTTCGGAGGACCCAAAGTCATCCCAGGTTGGAACATGCCAGTCAATCCCGTCACGGCGGACTATATCACCCGACACGGTTAAAATTGTTGCGGACAGTGAGAGTGCCATCGGCCATTCGGCCAGCGCCAAGAGCAAAGAGGTTGGGATCTTCATCTTTTGGAGTTCTAAGAAAGACGAAGCCAGTATCAGAAATGCTCGGATAGAGAGAAAATTTGGTGATGCAATATGAGTGTGTGTGTTGCAGGAGGATGCAAGAATCGATTGACTGGTAGGGATCGCTTCTATTTAAACTGTTTGTGCATCTTGGTTACTGTTAATTATAGAATCTGGATGACGAGTGGTGGAAATACTATAAATATCTGAGACATGCGAAGTATATTGTATCCAGATAATAAAAAATTGTGCCAACACTGCCCCATAGAGAGGATTGCATTGGTATCGGATGGTCGAGCAGATGATCAGTTTCCACCATAGTACTATCTAAACACTACGTACTATAAATAGTAGAGAGGTATCTCTATGGACCCTTAGCGAATCCCTATTATCTCACCATCTTTTAAACTACTAATAAAAATCTTTCACTCATTATTAGTGCGCCTTGCACGGCTAAAATGGTCAATTCCAGCATGTCCTGGATTCTGGAAACGTTACCACAACGTTTCTAGGCCTTGATATGGTTGCGTGGCATTATGAGCGTAGCAACGTGGTATAACTATAATTTTCAGGAAATATTACTAGGATAGATCTGTATCTTATACTAGACTTATATCTAAAATAGAAACGTTTCTAAATCAGGCGAGGCAGGGAGCCAAGGAGCTGGGGGGACACACGGTTATGTAATAATTTGAATGGCTCCAATGATAATGCTTTGGTAACGCTTTAGAAACAGTTGTTATTACTTTTATCCTATTGTCATATTTACTGTAGGAAGTATTGCTAAATACAATTTTGTATTATAGCCATATATACGTCTAGATTAGTAATAATAGAGCGTATATAACTTTTTTGAAAACAGATTAAGCAAGAAATATTGCAGAAACATTGCATAGCTGTGTTCTGGCTATTCCTAGCATCCGCCATTTTCCTATATTGTGAAGTTATTGATCTCGACCGACATAATTACTATACTTGGGTGAACAGTATCACTCTAAATGCCACACACAGCACACAAAAACATTGTATAAAAATTAAAAATCACTCATTATTTGGTTAGTCTATTTCAATAATATTCAACTATATTTGAACAGACATTAGAGGAAAGGGCGAATATCTGTGCCAAGTAGATACCCCAGTGTATCCTTGACAATACATGTATATACTATTGTAAATGTTTCTTAATGGGCAGTTTACCTATATGTAAAGTCCAATAATGAAACTCAATTTCCTGAGTTAAGCCTGCTCTGACGGAACGAGCGCTGGGACTTTTTCTTTTCTTGGGGTATGTCGAGGGTAGCTAGAGGAAAATGAGGTTATTCAGAGTGCGACTTCTTGTTCATTTGAAAGATCTCGTGTGCGAGAGGGGTTATCCCCTCGCTGTCAGGCTTCGTTCGTAAGGTGCTTAGCACCAATAGAGTACATGTAGCAGTGATAGCCGCATTTATGGCGTGATTTTCGCTGTGTCTGGTTACTTCACCGCAGTCTACCCCGTAATCAGGATAACACCCAAGTCAAAAGCTAAATGATTACTTGCCATTTTTAAGGTTTGTTATAGAAAGATGCTAGACCTCAAGTGAGCTTCATGCACAATCATTCTAGGAAACATGAGGTTTGCTGAGGCTTTAGATCTTATGATTTACATTAGATGGGTGGCTATTAGCAAACTACCTTGTTGAATATACGGTTGTAGTTGGCAGTTAACTACATATGTACGCCCAGTGACGTGGCTACACGATATATATGGAAAAGTAAATATGCAACCTTAATAGTATTCTGATTAAAAAATACGGGAGAAAAATTATACTAAATCAATAATAAAGCCTGAGTTACATTCTAAAATCTTACGTTATGCTGTCATTACCTATCGTGTTGGCCTTTGCATACGACAATACCGAACAGTCGAAACTCCCTTAACTGGGATTGGTTCCAGCCTTTTATCTTGGATTACAGTTGATTTTTTTACGGCAGTGATTAATTGTAGCGAGCGGTTTGCAAAATAATTAAGCAGAAATCTATTTGATCTGTTCCCATAACGAACATTACGGTCTTTTACTCATATCAACAGGATTAACGAGGGCCAATGTGTCTGACCGTATCCTTCTTTTCTTGAACAGAAGACTGATAACAAGGAAAGAACATGAAGTTTAACCAAATATTTCCATCAAAATTTGACTATTAATCTCCATTTCCGTTGGAAAAATGGCTCACAAGTCCCACCTTTTTGCCCTGCTGGCTCTCCCCCTTAGCTCCGTTGACAGCGGCTTCGCATTTTACGCCTATGAAGGAGATGAATTTCATGGATCCGAGATTCATTATAAAGATGGTATGAATCCTCTGACGAGCATCAAAAATGTCTATTCACCACGCAGAGCGATGAACTAGGATTGGCTTTCATCGGGATCGCGGAAACCTCGGGCTATGACAGATTAACTGTATGTGAACTTAAAAGCTGACACTTTACAGCTTAGCAATTGTTACGTATGCATTGATGAACGCCTTGCCTACTTTAATTTAAAGTCAGTAGCGGCGAGAAATCTGGAAGTGTTTATTATCTCGTCGCAAACCCTCAAGACTCAGCTCGAGCCTGGGTAAACGAGTTAATCTTTGTACCTAATTACCCTCTAGGCTCAGCCGGGGGGATGACTGTCAGCTTTACTAAAAAGGCTACTTCCAGCCAGGCTGTTGGAGGCTGGGAATGGGATGAGTAATTGATTTACGTCAACTCTACTGATTAATCACTATTAGGGCCCCGCGCGTGGCTAAGGTTGTGCAACAGATCAACTTCGGACTCAAGAGTGGATTCATATTTATATACTGTTCCAACCATCAGATCATCTAAGCAGCTCTTTTGGTACATAGATAAACCGATAGCTCTGAGATTGAACCATCATTGCTATAATAAGCTATAGAACTGATCCTAATCATACTTCTGAAAGATGTTATACCATGCACCACTGCCAGCGTAAAACCATGGCTGTAATTTATCTATCTCCTCAGCGAAAAGGGGAGTCGTACATGCGTCTTGATGCAGCTGTATCACGTGGTGAGCAGTTGTCTACAAAGACGATTTTCGACGGAAAACGAACCTCTATGCTCTCCCATCCTAAGAAGTACAGAGCCAAGCGCCTGTCATCTGAGTCGAGGATGTTGCTATCCGAGAGAGCGACACCGTCGGAATGATTGGCGTTGAGGGAGTACGCCCACTGCCCGTCGACAAATCCCAGCATTTTATAGCAGTCGGTGTATGTTTTGTGCAATGAAGTGCGCAATGCAGGGTCAGACAATGGGGCCTCAGGAGACAAGCGAATGAATGCCTGCATAGCGGTTAGTCTCGGTAACGTTGTGATGTAACGAAGGTTATCGAACAAATTCACAAATCGGAGCCTCGATACCTCGTGTCAGCTGTTCAAGCTGGCCTTCATCGAAATCATACAGCATGGTCGTAGGTTCTCCCTGGGCGACGTCGTCTAATCCAACTAGTGCTGGTTTGTCGGCTGCCGCGAAGTTCTTGCGCCACACTACGTGTGCATTCTTATTAGCCACGCGGGCAACGGGATCAACCGGGGATGTAAGAGATGCATACGTATGATCCAGCAAATCTCATGCCTTTTCTTTGGAAGAGATGCGTACTGGGTTGATGTCATATAGCCTAAGTATTGACGGGATGCGCCAGCGTTGGAAACAAGCTGACGAAGCTTTGCGACCACTGGAGCGGCGAGCGTCAAGGACGGGAGCAGCGTGAACCGGACAATCTGCACCAACATGTTATCTAATATTTGTGAACTGAATATGGTGAAAAAGGATAGGGAAAAGTAACAGGGTCAGCCTAGGTGGGCGCTGGACCTTCTACTCTTATACCAATTTTTTGGAGGTGTGTGCGTCTTGCTGTAAGCCGCATCGTCGACAGTCGAAATTGATAATTTTGCTGGGAACCATCTATTAGTATTATTATTATTATTGTTATTGTTATTATTACCAAGCATTCCCTGCACAGGAAACCCTCAACTTTACGAATAATAAGAGTGGGCCTAAGCGCAACCAGCGCGCTTTGCCTTTCTGGGAAAACGCGCGCCGTCTCTCAACGGCATAACTCCGACTTCTTGAATCATAATCTGAGGTCAACCGGCAACCCAGCATCGCTGCTGAACGCCTCTTGCATCGTACCCCCCCAGCCATGTCTTCTGCCTGTTGGACCTGTCGACTGCGGAGGAAAAAGTGCGATCGAGTCCGGCCCGTCTGCACGAGCTGTGCAAGGCTGCGTATTGGCTGTGACTATAGCCGCATCAAGCCAGAATGGATGGACGGGTCCAAGAAACAAGCCGAAGAGGCCAAGAGTATTCAAGCTCAGATAAGGCAAGGTGCTGCAACTGTTGATGACAAGTCCTTTGCCGTTCAGGTGTTTCCACTTCGGGAGACCCCGTTGTCGTCAAGCCAGTCGGTAGAATGCAGGACGACTCCTTGCTCCGACGGTGCGTCATCACCCCCGAAAGAAACCGACGATTTCTTGATGTCTTTGTATCTCGATACCGTATTTCCTTGCCTGTTCCCATGGTACCAGCCTCGAACATTAGCCGGCGGTCGCAGTTGGATACTGACCATATTCAAGACTAACCAGGCTGCGTTCCATGCTGCCATAAGTCTCAGCGCCTATTACTTCACGCGGCTGCTCGCCCGGGATGCATCTAATACTCTCAGAACGCCTTGCGAGCAGCACGTGTGGGATACATGGGCTAGTCACATGGATCTGTCCATGCAACTGATCAGGCGAGACTTGAGCGACACAAATGCCGGATCCAGACAGACAGATGTATTTCATGGGGCTCGTGTTTTGGACAGTATCGTGCACCTCCTCATCTTTGAAGCATCTATGGCGAAGACCGGAGATTGGAGCTTACATCTTACTGCCGCACTGAGCCAGTTGGAAGACATATTCCGAGTGCATGGCTTAAAGGATGGCAAATACCACCTACATTCAGTTCTCCTTAGCATGCAACTACCATCGATATTTGACGGCATCGACCTCGAATATCACGTATGGAGTGCTGACCAAACTTCGTTCCAGTTTTCTACAGCTGTTCTTATCTATGCGGATATTGTTGCCAGCATCTGCCTTAGACAAACCCCTAGGCTGCGACATTATCACGAGGCGGTGATCATGAAGAGTAGTACTCGTGCTAACCAGGACAACCGGCTGATATATATGGAAGATTACATTGGGTGCTATGGCTGGGCATTTGTACTTATTGGTGATATTGCTGCTCTAGATGCATGGAAGCTTGCTACCGCGTCAGAAGATGGGAGCGACCGGGACCAGCTTGCAGTTTTAGGAAACGATTTAAAAATCAGATTATACCATGGCATAGAAAATATAGCACCGGCCACCCCATCGTGCGAAGTATTGGGAAAGATGAATCAGGCTGACCAGCATGCCCTGATTACAAAGTTATGGCTACATGCCGGTCTGATATACTTATCAACGATCATGCACGGATGGCAGCTAACAGACCCTGCTATTCGTCATAATGTTCACGCGGCGTTGAATCTGCTCAAGGTTATAACGTCAAATCTCGAGATTCGCTGTCCAATGTGGCCGCTCTGTGTTGTCGGCTGTATGGTTCAGGACGACGAGAAGGAAGAGTTGAGTCGCATCATGTCTGGACTGCCGCCTCTTCAATCCTTTGGGGCTAATAAAGAAGCTGTAAGCTTGGTCGAGGCTGCCTGGCACCGTCGTGGCCAGCTTGAAGAGAATGAGAATCCATGGAATTTAGCAGACCATTTTCGATTCCAAGGGTCCAGTCTCTTGCTCATCTGATAGGAACATATTATGCTGTGACTGAATGACCAACAGCACACATCGTAAGGTATCGATTTACTTCACAATTATATGTAACATGCCTTGCATACTAAACAGCGCCGCACCCTATACCAGATGTGACACGGAAGGGAGCTAATCTATTGTTAAGATCAAGGTCGGGGCTAGTATTTTGTATTTTGAGGGCCTCGAGTCTCCCGATTGTGTCTTTGGCGTTTTAGGGTTTCGGCCGAGTCGCCTTGCCTGTTTAAGGCACCGCGCGCGCGCTACATTTGGCCATGCTCATCAATGGCACGAATGCTGATGTATCATAGCATATGGCTGGCGTGGAATGTTCTCGGGGCCAATTTATCTATCAGAAAATATGAGCATTTGTCAGGCGATGCAAAGAGGGCCCTTGTCCAAGCAGAACAGGTATAAATGAACCACGCTGGGTCGTTGACCAACAGCCAATATACAAACCGAGTCGATCTCTTATCCAACATTCACCGTAACAATTCTCCAAACTAGCCATTTGTCGTTCCACACCCTATAGTCACCATGGTTGTCGTTGCTGTCGCCGGAGGATCAGGCAACGTTGGTCGTACCATTGTCGAAACTCTGGTCGAGAACGGTGAATACGAAGTCATTGTCCTTGGCCGCAAGGTGTGGGCAGCAAACAATTCTGTCGTCGTGGACTATGGCGATGTAGCAGGAATAGCTGAAGTCCTAAATCAGCACGGCGTACACACAGTTATATGCACAATCGCAGTTTTAGATGACACTTCGTCTTCTTCGCAGATTAATCTCATTAGAGCAGCAGAGCAATCATCGTCAGTGAAGCGGTTCATCGCTTCAGGTTGGGGATCACTTCCAGATGAGAAGTAAGTAGACGATTCTCACGTACCATGTGCTTATCTCAGCCGTATCTCATTACCCTTTCCAGATCGCCGTTTTACGTCTTTCAGGAGGTGTCCACTGATGAGCTGCGCAAGACCAAACTTGAATGGACTCGATTCGTAAATGGATTTTTCCTTGACTACTACGGTGCGCCACATGTCAAAACACACCTACCTACCATCACATTCGCAGTCGACATTGCTAGCAGGAAGGCAGCCCTACCAGGTACAGGCGATGAGCCCGTTGCTTTAACTTATTCATTTGATGTTGCCAGGTACGTGTCGGCATTCTTGAATCTGCCCAAGTGGGAAGAGGTAACATACTGTTACGGAGAGAAGACAACTTGGAATGAATTCGTCGAAGTTGCCGAAGAGGTTACAGGTGCAAACTCCTATCTCTTGCTGGCCGTATTAGGTCACGCTCCTAATGAGGATGTTTATCTAGGATCCCCTTTTGAAATTACCTACGACCCGATTCAAAAGCTCATGAAGGGGGAAATCACCGAGCTTCCTGCACATGCAAAAGAACTCGCTTCTTCACCATTCCCGGAAGCCATTGCCCGAATGCTTCTCCCAGTTCTTGGCATGTGGGCAGCTGAGGGCTACTTCAACGTTCCGGTAGAGAAATCGCTGAACCAGAAGTTTCTAAACATTAAGCCCATAACTGTTCGCGAGATGTTGCTGCAGGGACAAGGCCCTAAGTGAGGCACACGACAGTCCTCGTAAGAATTCTGGCCTTGAGAGAATGAAGGAATGCATTGTTATTTTACTTCGCCTTTACCGTACGTTTAGATAATCGTTGAAAAATTTCATTCACATCAGTTGAATTATTTCGTATGATTGGGTACTTAGTGATTATCGCAAAGAAAATTATACTTTTACCGCCAATGCTGCAATTTGGTATATGGTAACCCAGGTTGATATGTCACGCATGAGGAGAAAAGTGCCTACATATGTATGGGAGGACACAAATTCAGACCAATAAACTATCCTTAAAGCCAGATGACGTCTATATACATTTAATTAATGTTTGAACGGCACAAAAAAGCGGATTATGTCCACAAATCATAACTTGAATATGTCATTCCATTTTGAATAAATTATGAAGTGCACCTAAAAAGCACGAGAATTTCTTATACCAATAGTTAATATCTTACGATCGATTGATATAGACATATTTTGAATTGAAAACATCACAATGGGTCAACATAAAATAAAGTCGAGATATTTCATCACCAGACGTTAGCCTAGGAAACCAACCTAGAAATTCGTTTATTCTCTACCGAGGCCCATCCTATAAAAGCGACTATCTATCTTATTCACGACTTTCCTCGGACCTCTCATCAGTTACGGCACGTCACTGTACATGTGGTTTCAGCTAAACATCACGTTGTTGTCCCGGACTATTGTGGTCATGGATTTTCATCGTTTCCCTATTTAACAGGGTCATCTTTCACTAAAAAGGAACTCGCAACTAATCTGTTCAAACTAGTCACTGAAACTCTTCGAATCAGTGACAAAATTCACGTTGTTGGCTATGATATTGGAGGAATGATTACTCACGCTTATGTCGCGCAATTTCCCGAGCATGGGGCTAGTGTTGTCTGGGGGAAGTGTCCCCTCGCAGGAACAACTCTCTATGATGAAATCAAAGCCCTCGTGAAAGCACTGGCATTTTGATTTCCACAGCCACAATCCTGAGCTTGCTGTGGCTCTAGTGACAGGAAAGGAGAAAATGTGCTTGAAGCATTTTTCTTTGATCGTCTGACACAAAAACAAGCGGTTATTACGCCAGACGTGATAGAATTATACAATATGAATCAGTGCCAGACGCACTGAGATTCATTTCTCTACGTACAGTGCTTTTGAAATTGACGCTCGAAATAATGAAGAATGGCGAGAAAAATGGAAAAATCACAGCCCACAATATGATTCTCTCTGAAGAGTGAAGTTGGGCTGCACCAAGTTCCTCTCCTATAGCTAGCGAAATGTACGTTGATCCAAAAATCGGTGTTTTGAAAAACAGCGGACATTATCTGGCCGAAGAGAATCCCACCGACTTCGTGAAACAAGTTCTAAAATGTATCGGCGCTTGACCTCATATCCTTCTCGATCTAGTCGAATATAATACAGACCTTGAGGCAATTCAAGTTGCGAATGATAGGATATTGATAAGGCTATTGCCGATCAACGAAGTCTAACTTTGTTAAGGCGTTGCCTGAGACGAGACCGAAATTTACGTTACAAAGCTGGCTTTAACAGTATACAACCAGAGAAGTAGGTCGACTGATAGTGAAATGTATTTGGTTTCAACATTTGTGTTCGATTAATTTTATTTTATTCGTCTTGAGCTACCGAAAACTATTACCCTATAAAGTTTCTTTGAACAGTCCTTTAAGACGTACATTATCGAAATTTCAGCCTCTTTCATACTTACCATTTTAAAAACTAACCGTCGATAAATATTGATTTATACGGCTGGTGTTGGAACTTGTAAGACTTCTAGTTCTTATGAGAATCTGGAAACCCAAAATATAGGTTGTGATAGTCCTTCTTTTCAATCTAATTTTAAAGAATACTGACATGATATATCTCTACGTAGGTGGATCTATTGACGGTATCAGCTGTCTTTTATTTATTATGGAAGAATATTCCTAAAATCTTAAAAATGGCCTCGACGTGTTTGAGTATCTACAACATTGATGAATTAGCCCTGTCGCTTCGAATATTTCAGGGATTTAAAACATGTGGTATCAATTTAGCGTCCTGTTAATTGTTTTGATTTATTATTTGCGTATTTTCTTAAATAGGAGAAAATTTTTAGAAATATTTGGTTGAAAGTATTGAAAATATACAACGTATTCAGGAGATTCTTAATAACAATACATGACGGTCTGCGAATTACACATGGTTTGGACGGCGATTCACTATCATTCATACCGTATTTAGTCCATTACTTAAGTCCATTTAAACTTTTGTTTGGGCCCTACTTGATGAATGTTCTAGCTCTAGTGTACAACACACTATACATGCAATGATATTCTAGGGGATGTCCGGTGGTTTCTTGTTGGTGTATAATCTTTTCGGAATCGTCATGATAGAGGGCTGAGACATGGTGGCTACGCAATCGGAAATATTATGGTCCATGGCAGTGCTGCATATCATAAATATTGGCTCGGAAGTCATATAAGCACCGCGTCCTCTTCGCGTTCTTAGGATTTTATATTAGTTGAATCGATGTAAATTGTTTATTCCTTGGAAAATTGCACGTTTGAATATTTCTATATTAGATTCCAACTATCGAGGGTGAATAAGAAGTCACTGAGTGACTATGCCCTGCAAGAAGGCCCCAAGAACTATAACGATGCTGTATCCGCCTAATCCGCCTCGCAAATCTGTTCACTTGGAGACTGACACAACCTCGAGAAATCTACTGAGTACATATCAGAGCGTGGTAACTAAGGGTAGGGTCTAGAGGGAGGGGTTCTTGGCCTTATAGTTCTTCCACTATAAGCTTCAGTGGTCTTTGACCCTTGGGATAGGTCCCTAGAACGTTCGGACATATAGGAGTGAGATATGGTACCACAGCATATACACATATGTAATTTATCTGAAATTGATTGAAATCAGGGATGTATTTGATAAAGGGGTACTGAGTTATCAAGCTACCTTCCCAGAGACTGGTTTCTTGATAGACCCTTGGTATACAAGATTCTACTGGCTAATAGGAGCGAGTAAATAGCAAGAGCTTAAGATGACCTACGTTAGGTGACGGAATAGTGCTGGTATACTTGAAACATAGAAGCTCTAGAGAAGAACAGAGCTGAGAGAACTGGGAAGAGTGACAAATTTGGCCGTCTGTCATGGTACTTAAACGTCTTTGACTATGAGGGGTCGCTAATTTAGTGATTCTAGTCCCTGGAATTGAACCCCTGTAACTAGGGTTTATTGGAGTACCTGGGGCGCAAATCACTCCTTTTTAGTGTTTGTTAGGGACTAGCAAATAAGGAACTTTGGGCACTATGGCCCTAAACAGCTTCTCGAAGCCCTCTAAACTAGGTATGAATTGATGGACGTTAAACATGAATATTAAGAATAGGGAATCTCCAAATCAAAACTTCTAGATAGGAGAATGTAATGATGTAGACAAACAAATGAAGCCTTTCACTTTTATTAACATTAAATGTATATATATCCTTTTGTGATTTTCTTAATAATTTGCATTGTCGTCAAATATTTTAACTTCCAGGGCTAGGTAAAAAAGTGATTATGTACATTGAAAAACGTGTACCACTACATTGAACTGTAATTTATTCACTTATATTTTTCTGATGTGTGCGGTTACGGTGTATTGTAACAGATCAGGTATCCAACCTCAGAAATAGAGCTAGTAACTTTGCGCCGCATATTGCCCATTGCGGACGTCGGAAGAGACAACATTTGAGACAATATAAATAACTGAATTTAGGTATGAGGCCTGCGTTGTCTAGTTTCATTCTTGCTCTGCAACTCTAGACCCACCCGAACCAATGAAATCCTTCAGTGCGCAACTCAGTAGTTGTATTGGTTGTTTGTCTTCTCGCTTATGCAAAAATACCATCATTCTGGCCCCATCTTGCGCTATTGCGAACCCCACCCGCGTGGATCCGCGTGGTATGCGAGCTTAAAGCTAACAAGATTCCAGGGCTATTATAAGGTTGTATTATGGCGGCTGACTAGATTGCGGGGATAGTACGGCGATCTCTGTCTATTCTTGGTAATATAAAAACTGTCAATCAAGTATTCCCACGTCTCTGATGTTGTGATTTGTTTGGTCGGAGTGTGAAGGACATCTGGAACAGGATAACAGAATCCTATAACAATCTTGTATCACATGTATGGCTATAACATTGAAGCTCGCCAACAAGCTTATCTTTGAAAATTTACTAGTGTACTCCCAAGGCTAGGCTAGTGCTACGTACGTAGATCCTATTATAGGTAATATATACCGCAGGGCGCAGTATTCTAAATTATGAGATCTCAAACAGCATTAGATTGGAGAATAACTAACTCTTATCCAAGAGGTTCAGGTATTGAACTTTCCACACTCAAGACCTGATATTTTCCTATTTATCGAAAAAAGAAAGAAACTAGAATGCCTGACTACGCTTACCTTTCTCAGGTTGACCCCGACCCGGTCAGTCCAGAATCTTCAGAAAAGGACCTAAGCGTTCGCCAATGTCAAACTTGTCGTACAATGCCTCAACATGACAATTTTGGCCTTCATAGTCAGCTATCCTTGGTGACGAAGTATATTCTACCGATCGTCATTATATTTCTAGCTCTCAATGCCCTTACAGCTATATTTCTCTATGTGGGGAAAGTGAAGTCTTCATCTCAGCCCGTCAATTATTCTCCAATATTGTCTTGGGAAGTAGTCTCTTATACATATCTACCCAAACCGAACCAATCTTAAACAGGCCGCTAGGAAAGCCATCGTGAGTGTTACTCCATGCCAATGCTTTTATTGACTAACTTTCTGCAAAATAGAAATACATCGAAACGGAGCCTTTTTTCGCGGGTTTTGGAGGGATATACTGTACTTTGTAAAAATATATCTAATGTCTGAAGGCTTACTGAGAAGAAGAAAGACCGCTATCTTGGATTAATACTTGACAAGGCTTGAAAGTAAGACATAATACATTGTATACAAAGTTCGAGTACAATATTATTTTCAAAAAGTGAGCATTATACGATATTTGAACATAATTCCTAAGTATCTCTCTCTCACGGTAGTTGACATCATATGTATCCATTATATTGAAAATTGCAGTTCTACCTCACATTGCTATCGGCACTAGGGATAGGACACGTATGGCATAGAGGATATTGATGATAAAGAGTGACTCTTGGCTAGACTAGAATAATCGACGCAATACCTATAACTGAGAAGCTAATACATCTGCTTTCTTCCAAACCTCCATGAAATCCTAGCAAAGTACACGGCTGTACATCAGGTACCGTAACAAGCCATATTTGAACATTTTACTCCACATGAATACGGATTATCATAATGATTCAGGTCTTTGACTTTTGAGGCAAGGTCAGAGTGATAGCTGGCAAGTAGTTTTAGCCGGTGTTGTATTCTATCAGAAGGATTGAGGTGGCTTTTTTAGAACATACCCCTGTGTAGCAAGTTGGTCTAGCAGGCGTCGACGCCGTCAACGGTTTCAACGTTGGCACAAGCACCAGCGGCAGTACCGGCACTCACATCGACGTTACGAGTCTCGACTGGGCTGGCAACTGCCATGAAAGGAAGGGCAGCCAGCAAAGTGAAAAGAACACCAGTGAAACGCATTTTGATGGTTTGGAAGAGATAAAAGTTAATTGAATTCTTGAGAGTTTGAGAGTTTGAGATTTTGTGATGCAACGGATTGTTTGGGACCGGCAAAGGAGCTGCTTTTATATCTCTCAGGACTCAGCACATGTTACATTGATCTCATGTTCATCAATTATATTTGGGATAATGTGCCGCCTTGAATATTAGCTTCGATATCCCTGATGGACCCGCTTTGCATACCTCCAATGGGACCGACTTTGGCAGATTATGGGGTCCGTATCTTAGCAGGATCCGAGGCTTGTTGGGCAGTATCACACGGGGTGAAGATCTCTTGCAAAATTACCGGTTGGGTATGTCATGGGAGAAGAGTTTTATTTTACATGCTGAGACATGCTGGCCATGTGGAACCATGATGCAGCGAAAAATTTGCCGTTTATGGGATGGCCTGTTTTGAAGAAATTACCGAATCATCGGCCAAGTTACTCGTAAGTAAGACCGCAATCTTAGTCTCAGTTCGTAATCTCAATCACGGATCAAGTTCGCGAAAGCCATCCGCCTTCTTTCTGCCATAGATTCTGCCTACAGAAATTTACCTTCCCACCACCATGCAGCTTTCATATCTCACATGGTCACGGAGGCAATATCATCATCCGAATTCAGAATCAGGAGATGAAAATGAGCATCAGTCGCTGACTGGCGAGAATGTTGGGGCTTCTCCACCATATGACGGCCACAGAGGCAGGCCGAGGATATCAATTCAAGTGCTTTTGATCCTCATCTTTGTGATAGCAAATTGCTTGCTTTTTCTCTCTAATATTGTCATGATCTCTAAATTGAATGCATCCAGGTGTAGTGAGAAAGAGAGAAGCTCCTACTGTAAGTGAATTTTGCCCTCTAAATTTGAGAAGGTAGCTAAAGAGCGGGGAAAAAAGCACCGATATATGACCGTCTTGATATCTATCGCTCAGAATCCCGCCATAATTTCACTAACTACTGGCCCGATAATAAACCCTCCATCTTCCAACTTCCACCTTCACCGGCAGTTAACGAGGCCTGGAGCCGCATCAGTAACCAAGATTCAATTGCGCTAAATGCCGATGAGGTCCGACGTCTAGGATACGATCCCGATACAGTATGGCCAGCACCTAAGGACGAATTTGGAGAAGATGTATATTATGGAGTTGTAGATGTCTTCCATCAGATTCACTGCCTAAACGTTCTTCGGCAATCTGCAAATCCGGCCTACTATGGAGACCTTGGGGAGCAAACCAAGCATACACCTCTCAAATGGGAAGACCACATGTTGCACTGTCAGTACGCCGTTTTGCGAGGCCTGATGTGTAATGCAGATATTGAAGTTATTGTTGCCCAGAAGTTCCGTGGATGGCCTGGGCTCAACATAAATTTTGCTTCAACCAAGAAATGCCGCAATTTTGAAGACATCCTCAATTGGAAGGAAGAAAATTCAATTGTATCAAAAGCACCATGGTCTGAATGGCCGGATCGTCCTATTATTGAACAGGACCCAGAAGGAGTTTTGACTCCCTATGGGAATCATCTCGGCCTGGAGGATTGGGCTTACAGCCAAGGGATAGAGCTGAAAATGCCAGAAGACCTGAGTTGGCAACCGACGAAGCACCAACACAAAGAAAACGAAAATTAGCAAATATAGAAGGCCTGAATTATTTTCATATTGAAATGATTATTAAGAGAATAAAGATGACGACAGTCAAAACTCTGTCTACCGTACATAATTGGAAATTGTATGTGTGTAATACAAGAGGAATAGACTTTGTCTTCTCACATTCAAAAGAATACAAAGGTCATATACTCTAGCAACATTAGGGCACTAAAATAATGTGACGAATTCAATTCTTTGGCTATTAACCCATTATAAACAGCACATATATTGTGATTAGGACCATAGCTTATACGGCTAGACCTAAAGGCCGGGGTTAGCCTCGACTGTAGTAAATTATTGTACAAAATTTCTCAAGTGTAGCCATAGGCTTCACTGGGACCCATGTTCAAAATAGCTCATGGGTGGTGTTGGAATTTTCATGGAAAGTAGAAGGTAGGAGAAGAAGTCCGGATATCGAAAATTGAAGGGTGAGAAAATCGCTTTATTTTCAATGCTCTGCTCGAAATGGTAAATTAGGGTATGTTTACTCTTCCTCCCTTCTAGAATCGATTATCAGACCATCTCCATTATGGCAATCTCCACCGAAGTTTTCCTTGAATGACTTTGACTGTTCCTTGTAACAAGCTGTATGTTCGGTAGCGTAGTCCCTCAGAGCGCTCCAGTCCTTGCATTTGTGTTGTTGGCCGTAGCCTACATAAGTACCGCCAAACGTATATAGGGGATGTGAGTCCGCATTGCACATAACAACCTAATATTCAAAGTTAGAAGGGAATGAATAGCATAAGAAAGTCCATGGCTGGAGATCTTGAAGATGATCAGACATGCCTGCAACATATAATCGAAACAATGCGCAACATGTGCCTTTATCGACTCCCTTTTGCTGAAATCAACTCCCGAGAAACTCTGATTCATAATTTTCCTCAAAATGCCGAGACAGTGCACTTCATGGTATGCTTCAATCAGGAACACAGTTTTGCTATCATTTCCAGGTAGGGCGATAGTCTCGGGCCAGTTCTGAGATTTGGCCCAATCGCGATCCACTGCTATGAGGCCGTGTTCCCAAAAAACTTCATTCCATAGCTCATCTTGTCGGGTCTTGTTTTTATTGCTGTACTCCGTGTTCCACCAGAATGGCTTATATACCGTAGGTATTTTTGGGGGTATGGCGTAGTCTTCCGGAGACGGCACGTCTTTTTCTTGCTCGGGTCGTTCACCCCAAGAGAGTGTGAGGATCGATATAGTATTAGAGATAATCAAGATAATGATGAGAAAATAAATCCATATTGGAGTTTTCGTTCTCAAGGGAATCTGCTGGTGGATGTCGTCTGGTTCTGAGACAGTCTCTTCTTGGCCATGAGGCTTGTTAGTTTCACGCTGGTTTAAAGGTGAATATATATTTTTGAACATAGCCCCTTAGATAACACAATGACTCGCAAGAGATGAAAAACCCGTTTTGAATATGCTCAATACTCGCAGGAAACGACACGACTCGTGTTTCGACGCGGGATGTCGACCGAGAAGCCGATATCCGTTCGGCAAGCCAGAGACCTCTCACCAAGACATCAACGCTTACGAAGTTTACTTGCTTCTGGACTGGCGCCTGCAGCACGACGGTTTTCGTCCGTCCCGCCTTTTGTTCCAAGAGCCTTTTGAGTAAATGATGCAATACGAACTAAATTGCCGTGATCTTAGACTTATCTTTCCATTCCCTGCTATCGAATCACATGTAAGCCCACCCACTATTTGCCAAGTGTTGTTTGCTATTTTTGCTATAACACACGGGAAAACCAACACAACTAGATATTAGGTATCGCTAGATCTTCAGGGATCTTTTCTGTTACATCATTACTAGGTTGTGGCGTCCTTAGTAGGTTTACCACGGAGGATTACGTGGGTCTGTTATATATTACGGTATTAAATCAATATATACACTAGTTGTACCCAACGTATTGAAAGGGTTGGAATGCAATGGGCAGCATGAGGGAAAAGCGGTCTCGATAATGGAACCAATATTGTTTTGGACAAAAATTCATGTCAATGCTCCTTCCTCATAGGTGAGGCTGTGAATGTATCATCGCGTTGCGGTTCATTAATTAACTAGTAGGCGAATACCTACTTGGGTAACCGTAGTAAATCCCTCACAAATCTGTTGGTATTTGAAATGGGGAATGGAGATGAAAATCATTAAACTGCCATGAGGATGGGACTCTGATTCTATTACGTTCGCTTGTATAGATAATGTTGGCCGGGCATGTAACCCTTGCATCGGGTTGGCTACTCAGCGTATTTGCGCTTAGAGATTGCCTCCTCAATTTACCCGAGAAAGGTTTGGCCAAGGCATTCTACCCGTTTACTATGAGTTTAAACAATCTAACCAACTTCATGAGGGCCTAGTCGCGGAGCAGGATGTCAAGTAGACGTCGCTAATTCTCAGTAAGTAGGTTCATCATTGGGCCCATTCCTATGAATCATTTAGACCCTGGCCTCACAAGGGTTGAATAGCAAACTCGTGATTGATAGCCAGTACCATAGTGCGTATTATCTTAAATAGATGCTATTTATTCACCTGCGCGCAAGCTAGTAAATGGCACCATTTGACTCATTCCACATCACCTAGAACATATACCTCGTTCAATGCCTCAGAATCTCTTTCTTCAAGAAGAACAACGGTATTCTCCATATCTCCTTCGTGATGATCGAGTTCATGTAGCGTAGTCGAAAAGCCCATGGCGACAAAAGCAACAGCACCACCAAGACGTAAAAACCAAACAACTCCGACAAATGCATCGTCGCTACCTACAAAACTCCAGATAATACCCATCAAAGACATGACCACTATCTGCGGGAGGCAAATGGCCATATTGTGTATTCCGTGAAGTAATCCCTGGCTGTCTGATATTCCTGTCAGACCTCCTCCAGAGAATAGATTATATGTTGATGGTCGAGATAGCTCATCACCTAGCAGAGAATACGGGATTCGGCAGGAAACAGCCCAGCTGATCCCTACCATAGCAAAGAGAAAGATAGTTCCAATTGCGGAGTCAACCAGCAAGGTTCCCAGCATTGAGACTGCGAAAATAAGCTGAGACAGAGTCCAAATAATGCGAGGAGTGACCTGTATTGGCCATAGTTTTGCACTCTTAATTATCCTAGGGACGGGAATATGTATTGTAGAGGAGTGGTGTGGTAAGATAATAGCTACGAAGAATGAGACTGTGGTGTACGCGAGTGGTGTCAAGGCTCCGATGTCATTGATAATTATCGTGTGGGACTTCTCTGTAGATCGAATAATATTAGAATTAGCTAGATCATGCTTCAGGTGGAAATAGGTCTTACGTAGACTGTTCACATATCTGTAGCATGTGTATAAGCAAATTGCGTACCATGGAAAGTGGATGGAATCAATAGGTGGAACATACGTTACAACATAGAACAGAAATGGAAACCATCCCAGCCAGGAAAAAAACTGCACGATGCAGATATTCTTAATTTGGTTTGGCTTTCCGAAGAATACACTCTGCATAACACTGAAAAACTCCCTACGCCGCCTAGACGATATAAACTGCCTTGAGGTCGGAACGTCATCTTCCTCATGGATGTACCAGCACGTAATAACAATGGTTATGACCAAATATACAGTCATAAGCAGACTCGTATCTGCGAAAACAGTTTTCCCGAAACGATGAATATACTTTGGCAGGTCGACAAAAGCTGCAAGATTGCCAACGACAGCCGCAAAGTTACTATGAAGACCAGCCCATGCGTTTAACTCCGCCTGCTCAGAAGGCGTATTATTATCGGTTATGGAGGCACGTAATCCGACCTGTACAGCCTGGATGGCCACAAACATGGAAAACGCTAGAAGGATTGTGAAGATGACGAAGATAGTCCTGTACGATCCATCCTTTACCTCGTGATTTTGAATGAACATTTTCAGGATTGTATCAGCCCAAGCCAAAGACAATATTGAGAAAATTAGGAAGACAGTTCCCATAACAATGAAGGGCTTTCTTCTTCCCCATGGCGATTGGCACTGGTCACTCCAGCTACCGAAGTATGGCTGGAAGATAACGCCGCATATTGGCCCTAATAATAATGTAAGGGTAACCTCCGTGGGATGGAGACCTAGGGCCTGGAGATGTGTCTGCAAACGTTAATACACGCTTGAAAAAAGTGAAGAATAGTAGAAGGGGTGAGAAGGGTGCTGCGTACAACCGCTTGACCAGAGATCAGTGAGAAAACAGCCTGAGTTCTAACACAGTGGTCATTAGCATTCATCGTATGATGTCGATACAGAGTGTTATCCTCACCCTCCGAAGCCGATAGTAGTTATCGCAGGATGGGCACGCTTTATCCCTTCCTTGGTCATCAGGTTTAAGCGCAAGTGTTTACAGATGTGGCAGGCGGAAATCTAGACAATTTCTAATGCCTAGGATGAGGCGAGTCGCGCTTATGTAGAGCGATTGAGAGTATTTAAGATTGAAAAAGAATAAAATGAGAATAGTAAAGTGGAATTAATGGGGCTGAGGGGGGCTATAATTGCGGGACTAGTAGTTTTTCAATAATTGCGACAAAAGTTCTGCGACTTGTAATTTTATTGCTTCCAAAGACAAGCAGCTCTGGCTGAATGGACTTAACTGGCGGGTTTGATCCCCTCTGTTAATAGTTTATTGTAATTTAGGGAAATAAGCCGTAGCGTAATTTCAAGGCGACCTTGAAAAAACATCAACTGGTCATGAAAGACATAGTACGGTAGAACCACTCAAGTGGGAGACATAAAATCTAAATAGACGGCAACGATAAATGTAAGAGAAATATAGTAAGGTAATCATTGCCTATAGAGGCCAAAAATGGAAGAAGAAACAAATCAAGGGAATCTATTTTTCACTAATTATACAATGTTAAAGGACGTTTGAACATAGCACAATATGGCCTAATAGAACTGCCAGCTACATATGAAGACGCGCAAAGTACAAGCTGAATAAAATGTTGGAAGCAATATTCACACTTCATGAAATAAATAGCCATTCAAGACGAAATGATAGTAGAATTCAAAGCTTAATTACTCATATCTATAACACAGAATCGAGGTCTCTGTCGAAAGGACATCTCCAGCTGTGATGTCGTCACCGAGTCCATTGAACTTTAGTATGTCGTGATCCGAAATCGGCAAATTCTCGTCAAGTTCAAAACTGTTCCCATCTTCTGTGATGTTATCATAACCTCGAATTTGACCATTTTCAGCCTGGCGTTGCCATCTCCACCATAGTCGATCAATCTGTGCATGGTGTAAAAAGAAGATTGGATCTATGGACAGAGGAGTTAGCCAAGAAACACCTCAACATTGTCATTTTAGTTTATTAAAGCTGGTGAGGAGAAAGTATCAAAGAATAGAAGAACAAATGAATACCGTTACTTGACCAAAACTCAGCCATCTCTCCTCCAATTCCTATATGAACGAATCGATGTGGGCCACGTTCAAGTCGAAGACGAAAGTCGTGATAGGTAGTTGCAGTCGTGATCAAGTCTTCAACAATCGATGTGGTATAGTTTATTCCATACATATTTTTGATCCCAAAGTTTCTTTTCAAGCAATGTGGTGTAGGATACTGTGGTTTCATATGAGCAAGAGGCCCATCAATAATACAGTTATCTGGTAAGCTGCCATTGCCACCTAGGCCGTACTCGTTCGACCAGACGGGGGAAATTGAAGGATTTGTGGAATCCAGAGTCCAATCCCAATAACTGTAAAATATTTGATGCCTTAGTCAGCGTTTGGAGTATTGTCTCGGAAGAAATAGTGGTTTTCCACCTACGGGAGACTGTCATAATATCCGCATTCATTCCTCAGTACGTGTTCGTATTTCTGGGTATATAGTCGGTGCCATGGCATTGATAATGGTGTGTTATGCGCTGTAAGAGTGTAAAAATATGGTTCAACATCAATAGTTCTGGGAGGGCTGTTTCATCTCCTACGTACTATGATCGGCTACGGCCAGGTGCGAATAGACAAAGTCGTCATAACGAGTGGTGTTCAATCCTAGGCGAGAAGATCGGTCGGAAAGGCACTGGACTGCTGCGACGTAGTTTTGTCTAGCTTCGAACGACAGTGTCCGCCATTCCCGGCGAACTGCTGGTGTTTTGCCTGCGCGGATATATGAGTGAATACATGAGTATGGAAACAAAAGAGAGACGAGATATTAGTGACTGGAAGCGGATAGGCTACTTACAATTTATCTCAGGAGGATTCGTAGATACATAATTAATAGCCACGGGACCAAGAAGAATTAATGCTATGAAACCGAGGGTGCTGGCAACACAAGCATTCCTATATTTTGGACGGGCTCGTTGCGGGGCATACTTCACATTATTCTGGACGAGAAATGGCTCATAACTCTGGATCTTGACGTTTGGTAGTGTCTCTCTATCATCCATTGTGGTGGTTACTAGCTATCAAGGAAGCGCCAACGTCAAATAATAATCAAGAACGCTGGTAGAAGTTGTGAATCGGCGCTAGTGCATGTGAAAAGCATTGTCTTCGTCAGGACAACTGTCATCTAAGCCCAACTTTCAATACACAAACAAAATGCCCGTTTTATAAGTTCCCACAATTTTTGAGGAAGACGAGTAGATAATTTTCAATTTGTTAACGTTGCACAAGTATAACTAGTAGAATCCAGCTGATATGCAATTTTTTCCAAGTCGAAAACATACATAACAATGTAAAACTTACCTTTTAGTATGTTGGAATACATCACGCTATTTCATCGTTGCCACAGAAGTACTAGGAAGACGCCGAACTCTTGTGAAATGTGACGCTAAGGAAAGAGTTGTGTCTTCTGACTGTGTAAGATGCATTCAATCCTTGATTGTGCTTGACTTTAGGATAAATAGGACCCATTGTAGCTATATCGGAAATGTCACCTAATTCCTTGGCATTTAATTAAATGATTGAATTTCACTGTTTTGTACTGTTATGTATTATGTTCCAATGACTTGTCATGTAATACGCTAGTAATGTTTAATTACGGGTAATCCGATTGTTCTCCCAACAAGAATGTAAGGCCAGTACAGGCGAAGTTTTGGTGTAATCCCCGTAACAGCCATTTTCTAAAAAACGAGAACTACGAAGATGGACTCATTGAGAGAAATATGCAGTTTAAAGCAAGAGGTATGCCTAGTTTTTTCACTACCTATGCGTATGTTATCTAGGAAAAAGTAGACATTATCTATTCACAGCTCTGAAGTGGAAGTTTGTACTGTAGGAACCGCGCTCCGCAACAGGATCCGTAGACCCTTCAGTGCCGGCGTCACCACGACAGACAACTAAGCTATCTAAAATGCTGGAAAATATTTATTCGCCCACGATACACCTAGTCGCCTTCTTGTATATGGCTCTCATGTTTGTGGTGACTCTCTTTCGGCTGCCAAGCCAAATCTGAGGGGATGCTCAATTCTACATCTTCGCTATCTGCGAAATCTTCCAAACCAAGATGAACACCGTAAGGAGTTAAAATTCCTTCTGGGTCCATCTCGACAATCTGCTGATCAGGATACTCAGACCATGGAGCGCTTTGAACGATTTGAAAACCCTCCTTCCACTCCAAGATCTCCTGAAAGTTGCGGCACTTCTTGGTTGATGCAAAATCCATTTGCATGCCAGGCCACCCCTTGAACTTGTGCCCTACCATGACTTCCACATCGGCGTGACACATTATGTTGAACAATAAAGTATATGTGCAATGAAGTAAATGCTCATTATACTTTAACGGATCATGCTTATGTTTTTTCTTAACATCTCCATAGTACTCGGGAAAAGCAGATTTCCGGAGCATATTGAGGCAGTGAGTTTGATGGAATATATCAATCAGTCCATAGTATACGCCCTCTCCAAACTCATCCTTTGGCGCAGGCCACACAGTCGCAGGATCCTTGCCAAGTTGGCGGACTTGGTCAGCAGTCAAGGGAATTGATTGTAGATCAGTAATTCTGTCCCACGCTTTATCGACCTCAGGAGAGGGGTATTTTTGAAAAACTGATGGGTTATTGTCATCCCAGTAGTTGCTGAAGTTATGTCGCACTTCAGATTTATAAATGTGAATATGGTCGTACACCGGGGCTGTATAAAATTAGCTTCTACAGCTATATAATAATTAATGGGGAACTGACAGTATGAACTACTTTCTTTCTCGATGTACCTGTCCGTTCTATTCGTGAATCCCAAGGTAACGGCAGAGATGAACAGCAGCACGTTAGCCGTCACGATAGTAAATGTGGAAAGTCGACCAGTCAAGGAGTTGTTCTGGCCCTCTGAGCAGTAACATGGTGGTCGAAATTCACCAGAGTTCTTGCTATCAAGAGGCTGACGCTCCTCGTCGGAGGATGAATCTGAACGAGCTGGAAGTTCCTGATACCGCTTTCGACTCCATTTAAGAAACACCATGGCCAGAGTGGCAGAACTGTCTGTACGAAACTAGGTTGAAGTAAACGTAGACAAGAGTTGAAGGGAGGATTTTTACAAAGATATAACTGTATAAGTGAAGAATGCCGACGCCTCTTGTCGGTGATGCGCGGAATGACGTGACTGTCTTTGTTCTAGTTTAACGCTGCAGCGGAAGGCAACATCTAGGAGACTAGTAATCGCTGTAACCGAAAGTACAGACTTGCATTGCAGTGGAAATACTGTAAATACGTGTTACATGTATTGTTGGCTAATATCTGATAAGCAATATTGCTTAAACACATCGTCTAACCTACATACATGTTCACGTCATGACCATTGTCGATGACGACTTTCTTAGAAAACTAGTTAGTGATTGTGTACTTTTGATATATATAAATTGATAAATGTATTAGTTTTTGTAACTAAAACATCCTCGTGCTGAATATTATACTTGGAAATTCTTCGACCTTTCGGCCCAATTCATATTTCAATTTACTTGCTGTACCTTCAATAGGGCAAATACAAAATGCGTATCAACAACGTTCTTACTACTCTACTGGTCTCCATGCCTTTAATGGCAGCTTCTGCTCCTGTTGAGAAGCGTGAGGTCGGTGCTGGCAGTGTCGGCGCAGTCAGTGCTCGCGAGGTTGGTGCTGGCAGTGTTGGCGCAGTCAGTGCTCGCGAGGTCGGTGCTGGCAGTGTTGGCGCAGTCAGTGCTCGTGAGGTCGGTGCTGGCAGTGTCGGCGCAGTCAGTGCTCGCGAGGTTGGTGCTGGCAGTGTTGGCGCAGTCAGTGCTCGTGAGGTCGGTGCTGGCAGTGTCGGCGCAGTCAGTGCTCGTGAGGTCGGTGCTGGTAGTGTCGGCGCAGTCAGTGCTCGTGAGGTCGGTGCTGGCAGTGTCGGCGCAGTCAGTGCTCGCGAGGTCGGTGCTGGCAGTGTTGGCGCAGTCAGTGCTCGTGAGGTCGGTGCTGGCAGTGTCGGCGCAGTCAGTGCTCGCGAGGTCGGTGCTGGCAGTGTTGGCGCAGTCAGTGCTCGTGAGGTCGGTGCTGGCAGTGTTGGCGCAGTCAGTGCTCGCGAGGTCGGTGCTGGCAGTGTTGGCGCAGTCAGTGCTCGTGAGGTCGGTGCTGGCAGTGTCGGCGCAGTCAGTGCTCGCGAGGTTGGTGCTGGCAGTGTTGGCGCAGTCAGTGCTCGTGAGGTCGGTGCTGGCAGTGTCGGCGCAGTCAGTGCTCGTGAGGTCGGTGCTGGCAGTGTCGGCGCAGTCAGTGCTCGTGAGGTTGGTGCTGGCAGTGTCGGCGCAGTGTCGGCGGAGTAAGTCAATAGACAACTACACATTGCACTTGTCTCTATGGAACCAAGGTAACCGGGCTTCAACTAGGTTAAGAGAACACAAAGCTGAGTAATTCTAGCAGGAACCGCTTTCATACACTATCTCGTTACACGACACCATGAACTTGAGCATCTCTAGTTTTTCATTATCAATCTCATCATGTGGAAGTTATAAATTGGTTATTGCGTGCATTGACCAACTTGAAGGCAATTTTGGGCAGAGTTGACGTCAAAATCGTCAATGTATCTAGATGTCCTAACTACATGTATAGAGTAGTACAATCCTTACCATGAACTACTGCAGTGAATTTATACATCCAATGAAATGTATTTATTGTATCCCTAAACTGCCTTTTCGGTTATTAAGACGATTCTGAAGTCGTCTCCAAACTTTTGTGTGCCATATGAAGTATGGGTTTACCTCAATTTTGATAATTAGATTTTTCAGGTTAATCATGCCAATTGTTTGATTTTTTTGGGTTAAATATAAATAAACCTGAATTTAGAGTCTTTTCAAATATAGAATCTACGTAAATTAGAGCTTCCATATATATATTCATACATGTATGCCATGATAATAGCCCTGATGGACTCCTGTCGATCTATCGATTTGCCAAGGACGTCAAACAGTGTATTCAAGCCCTCTTTAGCAGGATTCTCGTGCTAGCCTGGCTAAAGTTAACAAAGGGCTTAGCCAGCAATTACGCGATGACAAAACAATAGAGTAAAAAGTAAATCAGCGAGCAGAAACTCAAGCATCTTGATAAGTGACATTTGACTTTGAACATAGTTAGCTGCGGGCCTTGTCGGTCGAGGCACCACTTACCAGCTACTTTACTTGAGGAGGTGCAGCTAATTCGCGCGAGGATGTACCTCCCAACTCAACATTGGAGACAGCTTGGGACTGCCATGGGTCACTGATTGTCGAGCGCGTAGATAAAGGCTTGTTGCGAGGACGAGATTTATAACGACAAAGAGTGTCAAGAGTGCAAGTTGAACAACCACATGTCGTGGCTGGGCATCGAGAAACCACGCTTTGCGCTTATGTGGCTCACATGATTGATGTCCACCAAGATTGTACTCTTTCTCTGAAGTCTCTGAGTGAGCTGGACCGAGATCAGGTTGCGTGAAATGTGTGTATTCTGGCATCTTGAAGGATTCTCATTTGAGGGTTGTAAAGAAATTTTGCAATAAGAGTGCCCCGTGTCTGAGGGAGTAAATGCAAGACCCTCGCCCCTCGGCTCGACTATCTGATTATCATCCTGATTCGAAAACGATCGCAGAGTGCATAAACTCTAGCACAGTCGTGGGCACGTAAGCTCGTTACGGTCTCCTAAGCTTATCTAGCCCCATGCGTTGGTATTGGGCAATTCTACAGCTAAAACTTATTAACCAATAATAGAGCCCTGACGACAAATTTTTTAATCCCTTTTACGCAGCGATACTTGTTAAGACTCGAAAGACGGGCAAAACTAGGACCACACGACTGCATACGTAAAGAGCGGTCAGAACTAACACCATATTATGGCGTAGTATGTTGCAATAATTGCTCATCCAGTCATTTCCAGTGTAAGTGATGTCATTAAGGAAGGCTATATAGCTGATAACTAATATTTACGCGGCCTCACATTTGTACGACTCAACAAAACTTGTTGTATCACTTGACTGGACGAAATGTTAAAATCAATATAGAATGGAACGTATCCACTTTAGTTCCAAGAAGATTGAAGCAATAGCTGCATAAGTAGTTAAAAATACCTATGCAGTTGTGAAGCGCCACAATTCCAACAGTGGGGGCTGTTGGGCAAAATCACATCATAGTCCATCTCAGAATTTGATATCGGAGTTAACCTGGAAAAGCACCCTGGATATATGTGAGTAAGGATTGAATCTCTCGTTGTATTTGGCACCCTAAAACAGTGCCTTTAAATAGTATGATCAAGAAACACGTCAACTAGATATGTATGATAGTGGACTGTCGTTTTACTAGTATGAACACCAGACATATCAATATAAATTGTTTGAAATATCACCACTTAATACTACTGGTTTTCGTTATTTCACGTGTAAAAAATATACTTTAATGTATTTCGTTATACGTGGCAAAAAACAGGGGCGGTAAAAAAAGAACTCAATGCATTATGTATAATACGGGTAATAAATAGAAATCGTGGGGTTCAATACAAGTGAGGTAACGTTGGCCCACTAGAGATCCACGATATGGATGGAAGCCAAACTAGCGGATGAAGATAGTTGAGATGACTAAGGCTAGCCTTGTGTGTTGCGCTCCACAATGGCAAGATCCTACCTCTGTTTCTTCCGCACACAAAATGAAAGAAAGAAAGTCTAAGCACTAAGTTAATAGTTAAACGCTGCTCACTCTAGAAACAAAACAATTGTAGCCTGAAAACAGTTGTTATCTACGTAATATACTAACGAAAGTGCGAGATACCCTCTAGACTTGCACAAAGTCAAGAAATAAAAAGAGATGGGAAGTCAAAGCAACCACCTCCTCAAGGTTCACGAATTATGGAGGCTTTTACGGCAGCGAACAAAAGAGGGGAGCTATGAGTTGGATGGACAACACTTGCACATTGCCGAGGTTGTAGCGACCGCACAGTATGACGATCATAGAAATATCTTTACTTTGGATAGAGATGTTGTACTTACTTTTTCCTTAGACAGGGCTCCATACCTCACCTTTCTCAAGACCCGAAGCTCAATCAATCCTTACAGGATAGCGTGGACGTTTTGTTCGACCATCTATCTAAGGGGTGGTACGTCTATGGTATGTGAAATCTAGTAACAAGACGCGATAAGCAGATTAAGCAAAACGAGTTGACTCTATATCACAGGTGTAAACACTGGGTTTGGAGGCAGTGCGGATTCGCGCACAACTGAGGTTATCGAACTTCAGAAGTCATTGATGCAGCACACCCAGAGTGGAATTCTTTCGCGTCCTTCTGATGGCTCAAAGATTCCCGGGCATTCTATGCCGCTGGCATGGGTGCGGGCTGCAATGGTCGTGAGGTGTAACTCTACCCTCCGGGGCCATTCGGCGGTCTCGTTCCTTACCATCAAAGCAATGGCAAACTTGCTTGAATATCGCCTTACTCCTGTTGTACCTCTCCGAGGCTCTGTATCGGCTTCGGGTGATTTAATGCCCCTCGCCTATGCTGCTGGTAGTCTGGAAGGCAACCCGGACATTTTGCTCGAAAGGAATGGCAAAGTGCAAGCGTCACATTTGGCCCTGGAAGAAGCTGGACTTCAGCGTATTTCCCTAGGCCCAAAAGAAGGGTTGAGTTTAATAAATGGAACATCTGCATCTGCAGGTTTAGGGGCTTTGGTTGTGGCCGAATCACACTTCCTGGCACTACTCACCCAGGTTTTGGCCGGTGGGGCTGTTGAAGTGAGTATAGATCTAATAACCAGAGGAATCATAAGCCTGAAACTAATGAGGAAACCTTGATATAAACAGGCGCTCCGAGGTAGTTCTGAGAGTTTTCACCCTTTTATAGCAGAATCACGGCCGCATCCCGGTCAGATTGAATCTGCTCGCAATATTCACTACTTTCTTCGTGGCTCCCATCTCTCTCGAGATGTGCTTGAACCCAAGAACCGGCGACGTGAAGACTTAGTGCAAGACCGATACTCTCTTAGAAGCGCTCCCCAATGGATCGGTCCACAGCTAGAAGACTTACTTCTCGCAGACCAACAGATCAGCATCGAGCTCAACTCTTCTTGTGATAACCCACTTGTTGACAGCGTTGCTAGTGACATTTACTATGGCTGCAACTTTCAGGCCGCATCTGTGACCTCAGCCATGGAAAAGGTCCGTCTGGCTTTGCAAATGTTCGGCCGGATACTCTTTGCACAGAGCACTGAGATGATTGACCCTCACCTCAGCGGGGGTCTGCCGGCGAATCTTGCTGCTGATGACCCCAGTCTGTCATTTACTATGAAAGGGGTAGATGTCAATATGGCTGCCTACATGGCTGAATTGTCTTATCTTGCCAATCCACTGAGCTCTCATGTGCAGGCTGCAGAGATGCACAATCAATCTGTCAACTCTATGGCCCTCGCGTCCGCACGCATGAGCTTTGATGCTGTTGATATTTTAACAAAGATGAGTGCATGCAGTGTCTATGTTGTCTGCCAGGCGTTGGACCTCCGATCTCTTCATATCAAATTCTTGACGGAAGCCACCAAATCTATCTCCTCCGTTACCGCGAACCTCTTCTCTACAACAATAGATGCTCAACAATTAGATTCCTTACAGATAGCTTTACAGGCTCATACCACTACTGCATGGGCATCTACAAGCAAGTTGGACCTGCGGGTCCGCTGTGAATTATTGGTCAACTCAGCTGTACCCATTGTCGTTTCCCATGCAAATGGTGCAGTTGCAGATGTTGTTCAATGGAAGGAACAGGCAACAAATGCGGTTCATGAAACTTGGAAAACAACCACCAAAGCTTTCTCAGAAGCACCGCATACCCCACAACTTTTAGGCAAGGGGTCGCTGGCATTATACGAATTCGTACGCAATAAGCTCGGCGTACCATTCCACGAGGGCTTTGTTGAGCACCCTACTACTGACAACAACACGCTGCGTGGCCGTCCAAAGAGAACAATCGGAGGATGGATTTCCATCATTCATGACAGTATTCAAGATCACTCCATATATGACGGATTATTGGCTCTAGTCGAAGAAGGTTTATTGAATTCTAAAACCGGAACCAATGGTAGCAATGGGACGAACGGTGAACATCAAGTGGTCGAATAGAATCGCATTGATCAAAAAATTACTAATTTAGAAGTTTACTGGAATAAAGAGAATTTACCTTTTTTTGCTGTGTATGACAATGACAACCAGGTCTCATGCTCATGACTCAATACATCCACCTGTCCACAGATTCCCACAAAACCGCCCCCCCCCCCCCCCCCCCCCCACGTGACTCGGAAAAGCCCTATTTTCAACGCAAATATGTGAAACCTCTCTATTCTTAGTAGACAGCGTTACACCAATATTAGAATTTTTAATTAAGTTGCTGCTGTACCAAGTGAGTCTGGAGGATCAGGTACTCTCCATCGCGACCTACGCGATTCGTTCAGTCATGGTAGGTCAAAGCGGAGCACCACTATTAAATCAAAGTACAAGAGAGTAAGGAAGTTTCAAGAAATCAAATAGAAATGGCCCCATTTAGATAACATGAAAAGTTCTCCGAGCCCAATTATTTTAGCCCACGCCATGTAGTGATTGTGCATGGTCGCGGAACTTATACGCACTTGCATCCAAATTATCAACAGGTTTTGATGGGTGGCGTGGAAACTATTCACTTAGTTCATACTCCAAAGATGTGTTGGTTGAGTACCACCACGAGCCGGGGAAACAGACATTGAAAGAATTCTTATAGAGGAAACTAAAACGATCTATCTCTCGTTTATTAATTCAAATGACGACACAAACCGTTCTTCTACACAAGTGGCTGTGTATGCGAGGGGACGCTAATAGAACGGAAAAATGGCTACATACTGTTCTTCAGATGTTAGCGCATTATGACCTGTTAGCAGAACATACGTGTATATATATTACCAGAAGCCATTACCCACTTTTTTGGGTGGGGGTATTGACTGACGCAAACGTTAATCAGTCACATAATTTCGGTTTCAATACGCTGGCCGCTGCGGAGCGGAAGATAGCATGAGGCTAGTAATTTTTGCCTCGTCACAATGTATGGGTAGTTTACGTGTAATATTACAATTTGGTTTTCCTTCTCTCTCACTTCCTGTTTTCCTTTTCATCTGCATTAGCACCAAAATTGCCAATGCTGATAAGACCCACCTCGGCGGATCAGAATTTCAAGACAAAGACGTTACACATGTAGTTGCGCGTAACATACTAAAAAGACATCCTTTCATTAGCACGGCTTCTCCCTTAAGGTCATTTCCAATTTGACTACCGGATCATACCCTTTCGCATGAGAAGTTGCCAGGGTTTGTTTCTAAAAATTTAAACAATCTCAGAAGTTGTATGGTATCAACGCCGTAACTCATAACTCCGTCAATTCTCTCTCACTTGTGTCTGCTGCCATCTTGTCTGAAACATGGGAGCCAGAGAAACTGCCTATCGAGACGAGGCTCGCGACTCGGAGACCTTTAACGAAGGCGAGTATGATGGCCTTGTATCGGGCGTTCAACGTCCGGGCACTAGCAGCAAATTTGGAAAAATCGTGAAGCTGGCACCAGCTCTTCTGGTTGTTTCCTTGCTTTTGAACATCGTCCAGGTGGTTTATCTTAATTTCCGAAAACCACAGATTTACTCTCACTACGGTACGTTTACCCAATGAAAGGATGAAAGTAGAAAATATCAAGGTTGTTTTAGATGTCAAAACTGATAAGATGCGATATTTAGCAAAGCTTCCTGAGGATGAACTTGAAATTCCCTTCAGATATGCCACTGAATACAGTGACGACGAGCATACCCACGAGGAGAAAGATGCTTTGTGGAATGCAATCGATATTAGCGAAGGATTCGTCGCTATTACACATGACGAAGCCGATAAACTTGGTCTTCCACGGTCCAAGGTCTTCCCCTGGGATGTTAACAAAGGCATGTATGTCAGCCACGGACACCATGCTCTTCATTGTACCGTAAGTAGAATGGTTCTCAAATTTGCCCCTAATAATGATTTGGAGTGTATTGATGCTAAAAAAACTTTCCAAGGTCCTCCTCCATGCATATACCTATGATGCCCACCAAGGCAAACAGCCACTGGTTTCCTACCATCACATAGAACACTGCCTCGACCTTCTCCGCCAAGACATTATGTGCAGAGCTGATGACCTGATGGACTACACCAAGGACCATGGTGAGCAGTTCCTAACCGGCGAAATGCAGCCACGCAAATGCCGTGACTGGAATAAACTACGAAAGTGGGTGCAGGAGCGCAGCGCTTGCTACAAGACTGTCAACATCACTCGCGCCGGGGAGGACCACGGCGTTGAGCACCAGCTTGACCGATATACATACTGCCCCCCCGGAAGCCCCTACGAGCCTTTAATTCGTGCGTATAAGGACCTCGGTCGTCTGAACACCGGAAACCTTGACGAGAATGGATTCAGAGCCCTGTCTCCAGAAGAGCTCAAGGCCGACGCTGAGGCTGTGGTCCAGCATAACGACGCCATTTTAAATGGAAATCAGTAAGATATGGCGATATGTCAGAGGTAACTTGTGCAACAAATTGCAAAATTACGAGAAATTGAGAGAGATTGTCGGCGTCGCCTTGGTCCGCGAGAATCCCATCCTACATATATAGGGCCCTAAATCATCCATCGACTTTCAAACCCTTGTAACTATCAATACACAGAACACTGATTCGTCTAAGAAATAGTCAAAATGTTTTCACAAAGTTCTCTGTAAATTCTATCTCGATCATCCTTTTAAGTCTGGTTAATATGTGTTATCGCCTTCTAATTCGCCTTTTAACTATCGACACATTCCTTTAGACTCTAGAAGTACAGCATAGTGTGATATATATATCAAATCATTAAAATATGGTCTAAAGACGATCACCGTGCTGGTGAAAGCCACCACCGTTCTCCCAATGTTCAACACCATGTATCCTAGTCCATTCTTGTAATTTAGTGAAATTGCGACATTTATGATGGCTATTCAATTCTACTTTAAAGCCAGAATCCGGATCTCGGTCTTTTGTGATAAGAAGGGGTGTCATGTCACCATAGCACATTAGGCTGATGCGAAGGTCTTCAATGCATCGATCGACATGCATTCGGTTTTGGTCAGGAGGTTTCTGTAGCTCAAGGGGTATCAGGTTCTTGGGGTATTTTCCATCAAGGAACCAGGTGTATTGACGAATTATATCCTGAAGTCAAATTATAACGGTTTCTGTCAGCTAGGGGCTTTATTCAAATCACAGTTTATGGACGGGAGTTTACTTACCAAACAGCCTAACTGTTGGTGAACTTTCAACATCGCTGTGAATCCATCGCTCATTTCAGAGTCGACTTTTTCGTACAGGTCAAAATGTGTCCGATTGAGGGTGAACATTGCCTGTGTGTCAACCATGATGGCTTCATCTGTATATCCGGTTTACGAATGTTATTCAATGTTCGAGAAGAAAATGAAAGGAAAATGAAAAATTCACGTTGCCAAAGTTCGTGCCAGTTCTGATCCAAATCTGCTGTCGGTGGACCACGATATTTTCCTCCATCACTTAATGCATCATAAAAGTTGATGTCAAAATACTCGATCGCGTCCAAGGCAGGCGCTATAAGCAAGATTCAAGGTCAGCTGCAGCTGTAAGCGATACGATGGAGAAACGAACTGTATGATGAAAGTTGCTGAATACAGTCTTTATCCGTGATGTGACTGTTTTGTACCGAGGAATCTAGACATGTATGAGAAATAAGACAGGAAGGCAAATTCTTAACACCCAGTGTGTATACCTCCTGAAGAGCTGCAACCTGAGTCATCTTCATGAGGCGGCTCTCTAGTTTTCAAATGTAGTTTTGTAGCGAAAAGTATATTGATAGAGAGCAAAATAATGGAGAGAAAAAGGATAATGTAAATTAACAACCTTTCATATCTGTGAGGTCGGCTGTCGCGCCTTTGCGATGCACAACGCTCGCAGGTTTGGTAATCGCTGGTATCTTTCACTCTATATGCGCTTGTAGACCCGGCATCATCGTCATACTGAAGAACATGTGTATATTGTGACATTCTTTGCCAAATATGCCTAAATGTATTCCGACTAATAGTCTTTTTGGGTTGAAGACGATAACCTAAGTATCAACTGTCTTAGCAGTTTGGGAGCTTAATCTGGATGACTAATTAGTATGAAATTTATTTATTTGGTGAAATCTGCTAGGCATGAAATAAATTCTAGTAGCAGAAATTAGTAGTGCCCACATTCAATGTCCTTAATACTAGCTAATCAATAAACCTTTGGCCACAACTGCTTGTAACAAGAGGTGTGCGGGTCCTCCGTCGACGTAACTCTGGTTTCTATTATTAATTTCGTATAGGCTGAATATCCTGAACTTCTATGCTGTTCCAACGGCCGAGTGAATTTAGATCCCCAAACCTCCTTACTAGACGATCGCCTCAGACTTTTACCGTTTGCGCTAAGGTGTAACTTCCTTTTCTGACGATCCGCATGCACTAACCGCAAATTGCAGTTATATACCGCTTTTGGTGGGACCAAAGGATTAACTACTCTTGGCGAAAGTTAAACGATTCTCTCATACTTTATTTTATGCCCGTAATACGACATGGTACGGGTTTGGCAACGTGTGGAGACACCCCACTGGGGGCCAAACTTTCCGCACGTCTCAACTACCAGACCTGGGACGTTGTATCAATTGATACGATCTGCTATCCACTACAAAAATGTCGTCAATAGTCAGCGATATCATGTCATCCGTGGTGCATACTAAGGCTGTAACAGCAGCTCCATCATAATTAACCCTAGACTAGTGGCAATCTATTCTGTGTTGGTTTTAGAGACAGAGTGCGTAAGTGTAATCATAGGTCGCGAGCAGATATCCCAAGCGTCTTCTCCACTTCGTAACAAACGATTACTAAGGCGTTTAATGCTAATATTGTTTTGAATATAGCAAAGGTAAATAGTGTAATACAAGCAAAGAGTGGCCGGGCCATTCTTATGTTACTGATATGTAATTGCAAAAATTAACGCCACCGATATTTTGTTGGAGAATCTGTAATTCTCTGCCCAGATTCGCCTGGGTGATAAGCTATGGCCAATTTGGCTTGTCTGGTTAAAAAAACAAATCGATTAGCACATGTGTCGTTTTGAAGCTTAATACGCTTTTGTACTTAAATGTGGCATCCAAAGTGACTGCTTCAACCACCTTCGTTTATTCCGTTTTTCTAATCTCGCATTGATTCGACATGCCCCAGACCCGCCTTCAGTTCCAAATTGGTGTCTCTGCCTCGGAGATTGCCATAGCCTGGACAATCCTACTCAAAGACTATGTAGGATCTTCAAATGTGCTTTTCTACGTCACGGATTCCACACTCCTTTTCTTGCCATCAAAAAGAACCAAGAGCATTACCCTCGAAATAGACGAACGTGAAACGTTAAATCAACTCTCTAAGAAGCTAGAAGAACAGACTTTACCTGGGTCTGATGATATTGGAAACAGCCAATCATCACCCTTTCAGACGCATTTATACATCTCAGATGTAGAGGCCATATCTGCGGCGAACGACCAGACGAATTTTATAGAACTTACGGAATCGATTGAAACCACCGATATATTACCATCTAATTTAAAGGTCGATTTTACGTTAAAGTGCCTGATTCTGGAGGACGGCCAGGGCATCAATGTCTCGGCTGTACCGAGCTCTCCAGCATGCAGCAGCACTCAAGCGCTGCGCATCTTGCAGCAATTGGAGCACGTAATACACCAAATACATCAACCAGAACAACAAAGAAATAAGTTGGTGTATGAAATAAACACAGCGAGCGACTCAGACCTACGCGATGTTTGGACATGGAATTCCACGGAGCCAGTTGGGGAGGAGAACACAGCCCTTGAGGTCTTCACAAACATTGTGAAGCATTATCCTAGTTCTCCTGCAATTAATGCATGGGATGGTGAGTTAAGTTACAAAGAGCTAGATGAGTTATCGACTATTTTCTCCTCTCATTTGACTCATGCTGGTATTGGGTCTGGCAATATCGTACCATTATGCTTTGAAAAATCCGTGTGGACGCCAGTAGCCATCTGGTCGGTGATAAAGACAGGAGCCGCTTTTGTCTTACTGGATGAGAACCTGCCAGAGGACAGGCTGCGTCAGGTCGCCCAGATTATTGGCCCTAACGGCTTTCTAGCACTGGCTTCGAGTTCACAAAAGCATCGAGCAAAGCTCATTACTTCTCAGGTTATCGTTGTGGACTCTGAGTACCTTGAATCTGTCGATATTCCGTCTAAAAGGAAAGTGGATCCGCGTATCCAGTCTTCGGATTTGATATATATTGTCTTCACTTCCGGTTCGACTGGTGTTCCGAAGGCGGCGATGCTTTCACATAATAACATATGTGTATTCTCTTCATCAATTGGAGTTCTAAGCAATGTGGCGCACGAGTCGAGAATTCTGGCACTAGCTTCATATGCTTACGATGTCTCACTAGGAAACATATTTCTCAGTCTCCTGAATGGAGCATGTTTGTGTATTCCTTCATCGTGGGAATGTAAGAATGATGTAGGGCGAGTGGTCCAGAATTATAGAATCACGCATGCTATGATGACTCCATCAGTTTCCAAGATGCTACATGCTTCTGATTCGCGAACGTTAGAAGTGCTGGATCTTTGCGGTGAGCCATGCAGTGAAGACGCCTTGGAAAAATGGCGAGGGACTCGCACACGCGTCATGAATACATATGGGCCAGCAGAGTGCACTGTCACAACAGTTGCGAACCCTAATGTATTACTCTCATCTAAACCGACTGTAATCGGAAAGGGTGTAGGTGTCTGTTGGGTTATGGATCCAATTGATCGCGATCGATTGACGCCTATTGGTGCTGTAGGAGAGTTAGTCCTGGAAGGGCCTATGGTTGGATTAGGATACCTTCATGACGAGAAAACCACAAGGTCAAAATTTTTGAATAACCCCGAATGGTTACAGAACGGACATCTCGGGGTGACAACGGGCCGTAGAGGGCGGCTTTATAGGACTGGCGATCTCGTCCGGTATACTGATGATGGTTTGATTGATTATGTGGGACGACGTGATATGCAAGTAAAAATTCGTGGACAGAGAGTCGAGCTGGGGGAGGTTTCGGCCCATCTACAACAACATATGCCATCGTCGATAGAGTGGTGTCCCGAAGTTGTCAGGCTAGAGGGCGGGGCTGAATTATTAGTTGTTTTCCTTGCCATCCCGGATGTCGCTTTTGCAAACAGGTTGGAAAACGACAAAGTCGATGACCTGAGAGTAATTATTGATCAAGTCAGCTTCGAACTGAGGAGGAAATTGCCTCCAGCCTTGGTTCCGGGGGCATACACCCGCATAGACCAGATTCCGCTTGCTTTAACAGGAAAGATCGATCACCGCAAACTGAAGCAAATTGCCCTTTCGTTAACGACCGATCGTTTGATATTCCCACAGACGAAGCCGATGGATGCTTGTTTGAATAGCAAGCGGCAGACTGGCAATTCGAGGCCAACTACCGATGGCAATCGTCATACGAACGGATCTAGCATAAAACGTCAAAATGGGAACGATAATAATGGGATAAGCAAGGATCTCAAGTTCAAATTACTGAAGCAAATTTGGAGCGATATACTGCACGTTGAAATAGAGTCCATTCATCCCACAGACTCATTCTTCGCCCATGGAGGGGAATCACTGGCTGCTATTAGATTCGTCAGTGCCGCAACAAGAAATGGTATTCAGCTGGATGTATCGACTATATTCAGACACCCACAGTTCGAAGATTTAGCTTCAAATAGCAAGTTGTCTCACACTTCACTTCCAAAACCGCCTGTGCGTTTTGCCCTAATAAGAGAAGAAAAAGTCGTGGATGAGATTGCTTTGTCGTGCGGAATAAGCACCGATAATATCGAAGATGTGTATCCGTGTACGCCTCTACAAGAAGGTTTGATCACTGCTGAAAGCTCTAAATCAGCATCCTATGTGGGTCGAGGACGGTTTGCGCTGCCGCAACACACCAATCTAACACTATTTGCACGAGCATGGCAGCGTGTTGCAGAGACTCATCCAATCCTACGGACACGTATTGTTGATACGGACTCGCATGGCCTTCTTCAAGTGGTCTTGCGAGATGGCAGCCTATTCGCAGGAATTCAAACTGGAAATTTGGCCAGCTACCTGAAAGGCGATATGCGGCGAAAGATGGGCCTCAACACTGAGCTATGCCGTTGGGGTATTGTGCGAGAACGCCAAATAGCATATTTCGTGCTCACTATGCACCACTCTATATACGATGGATGGACTCTTCCACGTATTGTGTCTGATGCTTTCAGGGCGTATCAAGGAATTCGGATAGAGCCAAGCATAGGATTCAATGTGTTCATAGATCATATTAGATCGTTGCCGTTGAAGCCGACAGAAGACTTCTGGGCACGCCAGCTGAAAGATCCGGAAAGAACATCGGTATTTCCAGCCTTACCGCCTGGAATTCGAGAGCCTCTGGCCGATAGGACTGTGTCAAAGACTTTTGCCACACCCTCTAATGCTAATAAAGGCATATCAATTCCATCTTTGTTGAGAGCTGCCTGGGCATTACTTGTATCCAGAATTTTAGGAGTTGACGATGTGACGTTTGGAGCTACCGTCTCAGGTCGAAATGTTGCAATAAACGGTATCGAGGACCTTCTGAGTCCTACCATTTCAACCATTCCTGTCAGAGTCAGAATTGACGAAAGCACCAACGTCGAAAATTTCATTGCCGGTGTTCAAAACGACGCTTTGGAAGCCATGCCGTTTGAGAACTTTGGGTTACAAAACATCCGGAAGGTCAATGAGGACACACGACAAGGAAGCAAGTTTCAAACGCTATTCATTGTTCACCCTCCGGATGCGTCAAACTTGGAATCACTGTCTACTTCAAGTCCCGTTGAACAAGAATTGAAAACAATGCTGGAGAAACTAGATATCAGCGATACGTTATCGAGCTTTAATGAGTACAGCTTGATGGTGCTCATCACACAAGCAAAAGGTCACCTTCGAGTGGAGGCTAATTATGACTCTAGAGTTCTAGGTACTAATCAAATAACCCTCCTCCTCGAACAATTCGCACACGTGGCCGTTCAAATTGGCAGTCGGAATAATATGAGGCTCAGCTTACGTGAAATACCAATCGCAAGTGAGATTGACATAGAAAAGATCTGGCAATGGAATGCGACACCATTCTCGCCAACATCCGAGTGCATCCAGGACGTTGTCCGTAGGACATCTCAGCTTCGACCACAGGCCGAAGCTATTGTTGCTTGGGATGGAACTGCTAGCTTTGATGATGTCGATAAACTGTCCTTGCGTTTGAGCCACATCTTGAGGGCTAAAGGAGTAAGACGTGGAAGTTTAGTTCCGATTTGTATGGAAAAGTCAATGTGGGCAACTATAGCTATGCTTGGAATTCTGAAATCCGGAGCAGGATTCGTTCCGATGGATGTCAGACATCAGCCGAAGCAGCGTTTATTGTCAATTGTGGAACAAGCCGGGGCTACTTGCATTGTTACTGCGGGACCAGCTACGGCCCTGGCATCGGAATTATGCAAAGAAGTCATTGCCTGCGATCAGCTTCTCAATAGTGCTAGTTACGATGCAGATGGCCTCTTTGTGGATAGTGAGCAGTCATCACCTCTAGACACTGCTTTCATAGTATTCACCTCGGGAAGTACTGGTGTTCCTAAGGGGATTGTGATTACACATGAGAATTTCTGCTCAACAATTCGGCATCATAGCCGAGAATTAAAGTTGTCAAATAACTCGCGAATATATGATTACGCTTCATATAGCTTTGATATTGCCGTTCACAACTCTCTTATGGCTCTCTGCCTAGGTGGATGCTTGTGCATACCTAGCGAAGATGACCGGGAGAATGACATTGAAGGTTCATTTGAGCGACTTAAAGCAAACTGGGCTGACCTTACTCCATCGGTTGTACGTCTCATTGATCCATCTGCAGTACCAGGCCTCAAGACACTTGTTCTTAGTGGCGAGGCGGTTGGGAAGGATATAGTTCGGCTTTGGGCCACGAAGGTTGATTTGATTAATGCTTACGGTCCCGCCGAATGCCAAATCTGTACAGTGCAAGGGAATGTGAAGACCCCCGAACAAACCCCAGCTATTGGTCGCGCAGTGGGTTGTCATGCTTGGATTGTTGAACCTCAAAGTAATAATCTGTCAGCGATCGGGGCTATAGGTGAACTAGTAATTGAAGGGCCCATCGTCAGTCCAGGATACTTGAATGCATCAAACACTTCCTTCATTCGCGACCCACCTTGGCTAGTCGCAGGGTCGAAGGCAGTTCCTGGACGACGTGGTCTTTTGTATCGAACCGGTGACCTTGTTCAGTATCAAATTGATGGAACAATATTATATGTGGGAAGGGCAGCGACGCAAGTTAAGATCAATGGTCAACGCGTAGAGCTGAACGAAGTTGAGTTCCATGTGAAACAAGCTGTCCCCACGTTAAGCGAAGTCGTTGCGGAAGTGATAGACTTTGGTGGAACGAACACTCTCACTGCATTCATGGTTGACTCCAACAATTCGCAGACTGGTAAGAGACTACGGGGTCTGCACAATGATGATAGCCCAACCATTGACTTGGCATCTCCGCCAACCGAGCTACAATCAAGGCTCAAAACTGTCCTTCCGCCATACATGGTTCCCACAGTATATCTGAATACGTCTCACATTCCTCTTACCCCGACACGAAAGATAGACCGTCAGAAGTTAAAGCGCTATGCTTCTCATATTGCGAAGGATGGCTTACTCCAATGGACTCAAAAAGAGCAAGTCGACACATTAACGATATTCAATCAACGACAGCTAACTATGGCCACTATTTGGTCACGGGTGCTCAAAGTTGAGACGTCTAAAATAGGCCTTCACAGCGACTTCTTTCGGCTCGGTGGCGATTCTATTTCTGCAATGCGTCTCGTAAAATATGCCCGCAAGGAACGATTGGTATTGACTGTTGCAGATATATTTTTACATTCACAGTTTGACCAGCTGTCTAATATTGCACATGAGATCGTTGACATCAACGATGATTTGGAGGACTCCGCCGACAGAATACAACCATTTGATCTTATTCCAGTTTCAGGTAGAGATGTGCTTCTTTCATCTGCAGCTACCATTTGCAGAGTACCCCAAGACGCGATCATCGACATATATCCCTGCACTCCTTTCCAAGAAGCCGTCTTTGCCTTGACAGCAAGGAATTCATCCGCATACGTTCAGCACACCCAGCTTCGGTTTAGCGACAACCTCAGTCTAGATCGCGTGTTGGGTGCCTGGAATAAGGTTATTGAGGCTAACGCTATTTTGCGAACCCGATTAATCCAGTCCGAGGAAGCCAAGCTCCTGCAGGTTGTCATCCATCATGAAAGAAATATATGGAATTGGTACAACACAAGTCAAGAGTACTTGGATGAGGCAGCAAAGACTCCTATGGGATTAGGTCATTCTCTCTTCCGTTTTGGCATCGTTCGCAATGGATCAGCGTCCGCAGCTGGGTATAATCTCATTTGGACGATGCATCACGCTATCTACGATGCCTGGTCCATGGACCTTATACTCCGACAGGTATCTAAATATTATTATTCTCAAGAATTACCATCAGCCAATCCAGACTATAACATCTTTGTCGATTTCCTTCGACGGCAAGAGAGCAAGAGTGTGCACTGGTGGCAATCGTATCTTTCTGGGGCAGCGAATGCCTCAATATACCCGAAAACACCAATGTCTATTCGAGAGAAATTATCAGATAGCCTAACCCGCAAAGAATTCGCATTGCCTCCGTTATTGCCTCCAGGGTACTCGCCTGCCGTACTCTTGCGCGCTGCTTGGGCTATTTTAATGGCCCGTCATACAGGTGGCGAATACGTGGTATTCGGTGAAACTCGTCTTGGTCGAAATGTACCCGTTAAAGGCGTAGAGAGGATGCCAGGTCCAACCATTGCGTCGGCTCCTATTCTGGTCCAAGTTGATCGCGAGAACACAATCGAATCGCTGCTCCAGAGAGTGAGAAATGAGGGAATACAAATGCAAGAGTTTGAGCATCTCGGATTGCAAAATATTTCTCGAGTTAGTGAAGATGCCCGCGCAGCTTGTAATTTCCAGACTCTCCTCGTTTTTCTGGAGGCGGAAGACCGAGTGGACGGTGACTCAATATTTGAAATTGATGAGACGATCGACGACATCCGAAATTTTAATAGCAATTACCTCCTCATATATTTCAGTCTAACGAGGAAAAGCTTAATTACTCAAGCCGTCTTCAGAGAGCCTGCGATCTCTGGCGGACAAGTTGACTTACTTCTGCAACAACTTCAGTCTATCTTTTCCAGGTTATGTTCTTTACCCAAGAATACTTTGATCAAACAGCTTGATGTGGCAAGTGAGCATGATTTAGCTCAAATCTGGGACTGGAATGCAATTCCAGCTGAAACAGTCGATGAATACATTCACGAGTTGATTGCTAAAAATGCACTAAAGAACCCCGACAGACTCGCTGTCCTCGCTCACGATGGCGAATTGACATACAAGGAACTCGATGACTACTCAACAAACCTTGCAGCACAGTTAATTGCAAAGGGTATTGGCTTGAATTGTTTTGTACCTCTATGTTTCGAAAAGTCAGTTTTGGTTCCCATCGCCATGCTGGCGGTAATAAAGACAGGAGCAGCTTTTAGCGTTATGGATGTCTCGTATCCTGAGAGCAGACTCAAAATTATCACGGAAGCTCTCGTATCAACGTTGGTGATGACAAGTCCGTCTCAATTGAACCTAGCGAAACGCCTTTCCGATGAAGTGTTTATTGTGGACACAATTAGTTATACGGATACCACCGAGTTACATAGATACCAGGTTATTGAAAGTTCTCCCCGGAATACTGACCGTATCATGTACGTTTGTTTCACTTCGGGAAGTACGGGGGTTCCCAAAGGTGTGAAAGTTTCACACCGAAACCTTTCCTCTGCTGCTGTCGCTCAGACCCGTGAGCTCGACTTTGTTCCTGATGATAGGGTGTATGACTTTTCATCCCACGCTTTTGATGCGAACATCTGGCATTTCTATCTTGGTTTTGTTGTCGGCGCCTGTGTTTGCATCCCGTCTCATGAAGATCGCATGGGTAACCTCGCCGGAAGTATTACGTCTTTTAAAAGTACTGCACTATTCCTCACGCCTTCCGTGGCCCGTACGATAAATCCACAAGAGGTTCCTACTGTGAAGAGACTGTACCTCGGTGGAGAGGCAGTTACTCCTTTAGATGTGTCAATGTGGAAGGACTCCGTCGAACTCTGGGGGGCATATGGGCCTACTGAAACCACACCATTATGTATATTCACTCGCCTCTTTGCCCCCGAGTCAGCATCCAATATTGGAAGGGGTGTTGGCGTAAGATCTTGGGTTTGCGACCCGAATAATCATGAACAGTTGGTAGCCGTTGGAGCCATAGGGGAGATGGTAAACGAGGGTCCTTTAGTCACACAAGGCTATCATAACCAACCTGAAAAGACAGCTGCTGTATTCATTGAAAGTCCCAACTTTCTTCAACAGGGGTTCCAAGACAAACATGGACGCCATGGTAGACTTTACAAGACTGGTGATCTAGTCCGATATTGCTTTGATGGCACGATCCAGTACCTTGGGCGTGCTGACACACAAGTTAAGTTACGTGGCCAAAGAGTCGAATACGGTGAAATCGAATACCATCTCAAGCGCGCACTACCGGAATCGTCTTCAATTTGCGAAGTGATCCTTCATCCTTCTTCTGGTCGCCCAATGCTCGTGGCTTTCTGCTCCTTGTCTTCGTCATCGTTGAGTTTAGATAGGGCTGGGGCCCGAGCGTATCTGAGCAAGAGGCTTCCACCTTACATGATACCAGAATTCTTTCTGAGAATGACTGAGATTCCCAAAAATCCATCGGGCAAGGTTGACCGCCTCAAGCTGAGGGCGGTAGGGCCGGAAATACTAAGCACTACCAATACACTAGAGGGAGAGACTGATGTGGAGCGCGTATATGGACCTCATACAGAAATGGAAACATTACTTGGAACACTGTGGTCAACTGCCCTCGGACATAATATCACACCAATCTACTCAGATACAGACTTTGTCGACGTCGGAGGAGACTCTATCGCCGCTATGAAACTATCAAATCTCGCTCGTAAGCATGACCTGAGCTTAACGGTAAAAGACATCATTCAGTACCCTACATTGTCATCAATGGCGCTCCATATTCGCTCTATTCAAATATTATCAAATTCTCCTAAACCCTTTTCCCTTCTAGACACCTCTGACATCGGTCAAATCTTGGCTAATGCTTCCGTGATATGCAATGTTCCTGTGAGCTCGATTACGGACATCTATCCTGCTACGCCATTGCAGACAGAATTAGTTGCTCTAACGATGAAACAGCCTGAAGCTTACATAAAACGGTCTGTGTTCGAAGTTCCAAGCTATATTAATCTTGAAAAGTTAGTTCAAGCCTGGGATACGGTCTATCAGTACAACACAATTCTGCGTACTCGATTTGTCGAGGTACAAGGCTTCGGACTGTTACAGGTGGTTGTCAGCGGGCATCATCGTAGGAAATATGGCAGTCTTGAGTCGTGTATCAAGGCTTTTAGTGAACACAATCCAGATCTCGGAAACCCCTTGTCTCATTTGTCCATCATCGAGGATAAGACAGCCCCGAAGATCGTTTGGACAGTCCACCATGCTCTCTACGATGAATGGTCAACCTTAATTATTGAGGAACAACTTCGTCGAGCATACCAAGGTCGAGCCGTTACCCGTCCGCCGGATTTCAGTGGATATGTGCGACACATTCTATCACAAAACCAAAACGAAGCAAAGTCTTTCTGGAAAAGCCAACTTTCTGGATGTATTTCTACCACAACATATCCAATTTTACCGTCAACTAGCTACTCAGTGCGACCCTCGAAAACATTCAATCGTAGGATACACCCTGACGTTGGGTCTTTTGCAAAATTACAGGCAAGAATACATGCTGCATGGGCATTGATAGTATCTAAACTGACAGGATCTGATGATGTTGTATTTGCTGCTACTTTAGCTGGGCGCAATGCTTCAGTTGAAGGTATTGAGCAAATGGTTGGTCCAACGATCACCCCAGTGCCGATCCGTATTCAGCTGGAGCGTGACCAATGCCAAGTACAAGATCTATTATCTGCCATTGAGAACAATACCGCCAAGATGGCGGCATACCAACACATCGGATTGAAGAATATTGAGCTTATCAATGACGACACCCGGGCTGCATGCAAATTTCAGACACTCATTGTCATAACGCCGGCCCCAGAATCCGGTGTATCCGAACTAGATTCAATAAAGACTTCGACATATGAGACCCATAGCAAGGAAGGAGAGGCATTTCATACATTTGCGCTGGTGCTTTTCTTCTTCCCTACCAAGGATGGTCTTGACCTTCAAGTAGTTTTCGATCCAACTATCCTCGACGAGCGTGAGGTTGAGCGTCTCGCGGGACGACTTGAGAGTACCATTTCTTCTCTAAGCAACAATACCTTCGTTTCCGATATTGAATGCTTGGGTAAAGAGGATTTAAATGCCATATGGGGTTGGAATAATAAGATACCCTCGTCTAACGAGCAAGTTCTTCATGAACTAATCCTTGAAAGTGCAAGTAAACGCCCAGATAAAGTGGCCGTCGACGCATGGGATTGCAAGCTATCTTATTCTCAACTCGACAATTTATCCAGAAATCTTGCATCTCATTTGAGTAAGTACGGTGTTGGACGGCACTCAGTTATTCCTATCCTCTCACCGAAATCCGGCTATATTCCTGTTGCAGTACTGGCTATTCTACGAAGTGGTGCTGCTTTCCTGCCTCTAGATAGCACCCAGCCGCTCAATCGACTAAAGACAGTCGTCAATCAAGTGAAGCCAGATGTCATTCTCGCTGCCACATCAACAATAGACGCTGCAACCAGCCTTGGTGCTAAGGTCGTTCCTATCGAAACATGCCGCAACGCCGTTGTCAATGGTACAAATACTGCAGAGCAGGAAGCCGAATCCCACCTAGATGATGTTGCTTGTATTTTATTTACATCCGGCAGTACAGGTATTCCTAAGGGCGTCATGCAGACACACCGGGCCTTATCATCATCAGTAATACATCAAGCAGCTCAATCAGGCTTCACAGACACAACAAGGGCCTTTGAGTTTGCCTCTTATACCTTCGATGTCAGTTGGAATATGATTTTCAAAATCCTTGCAGTTGGTGGCACTCTCTGCGTTCCAAGTGAAGAAGATAGACAGAATGACCTCTCTGGGGCACTGAGTAGGTCGGGTGCTACTCTCACCGAACTCACAGCTTCAGTCGCCCGCCTCCTTAACCCCGATGCGCTCTCTCATCTCGAAACACTTATCCTGTCCGGTGAACCTGTCGACATACGAGAGTTCGAGCACTGGAAACCAAAGGTACGCGTGATTGTCTGTTATGGGCCTTCAGAATGTACATCGGTCTCGACCATAAACCCAGGTCTCCAGGATCAATCTAGCGAGGATGGAATTGGAAGAGCGTCTGGCTGCGCAATATGGATAGTTGACCCTAAAAATTATCGCCATTTAATGCCAGTCGGAGCGGTTGGTGAGATCCTTATTCAAGGACCGATTGTAGGGAAGGGCTACTACAACAACGAAACATTAACCCGAGCATCTTATATCTCTGACCTTCCATGGCTAAACTCGACTAATGAAGGAAAAGCTATTTTCTCCAAACATGCATTTTTATCTGGAGATCTCGCGCGGTATGACGAAAACGGAAACCTGCATTTTGTTTCGCGTAAGGATTTACAAGTCAAGCTTCACGGTCAAAGAATTGAACTGGAAGAAGTCCAGCATCATGTACGCAAGGTGATAGGTGACGTTGTCGGGCCCGTCATTGCTTGTATTCTTGGCGACTCAGGGCCAGGTAGCGAGCAGAAGCTAGCTGCTTTCCTCACGGAAAAGCATACAGAGAGGAAAGATGTATGTGATTTGGCGGTCCCAGAATCAGCAGCTGTCACTGCATTACAAATAATAGATGAAAAACTTGGGGCTCTCCTACCGAAGTATATGGTGCCATCCGCCTATTACTTTGTAACGACCGTTCCTCTTACCAACAACGGCAAGATTAACCGGAAAAGGCTTGCTGAGCTTGCATCGATAGCCCAGCCAGACCAGATTTATAGAGGTAGAACTTCTCAAGAGGCGGCCAGGCGAAAACCCTCTACTGTGAGTGAGGCAAAGATGCAACAATTGTGGTCAGTCGCACTAGCACTGCCAACTGAAGTGATTGGGGCAGACGACAACTTCTTTAACCTCAATGGTGACTCGATATCCGCCATGAGGCTGGTTGCTGGGGCTCGAAGTGAGGGGTTTGACCTACGAGTATCCGATGTCTTTGCGAATCCTCGACTTTCTGACCTGGCGCCGAGGTTGCTGTCAAAAGCAAAACAACAGCAAGTCGCTCCTTCTCAAATTGGTCCTTTTGAGCTACTGGGTAAGTCAATTGATATTCCAGCTATTCGTTCAGAAGCTGCTAGAAGATGCGGCATATCAAATATAGATGCAGTTGAAGATGTCTATCCTTGTACGCCTCTTCAAGAGACCATGTTGGCAGCTACTATTAAAGATCCAAGTGCATTTATAAGTATGAGGGTATACAGAATTTCTCAGGACATTGATTTGAACAAACTACGAAATGCTTGGGCAACTGTGGTAGCGCGCCACCGTATTCTGCGCACTCGGCTGGTTGACCTCGATACTCATGGCCTCAATCAGATAGTCGTTCAAGACGCCCCTCTTTCATGGGATCATTATGACAGCATGAAATCGTTCCTAAAGGGCACTCGTGATGTGAATATGGGACCAACATTACCACTAACAAGATGGGCTCTCATCAATAGCAACCCCAATCATCAACTGGTTTGGACAATTCATCACGCTATGTACGATGGTTGGACGCTGCCAATAATTGAGAATGAGGTTAGAGAGGCATATTTCCAACGAGCTTTAGAAAAACCATACCTTGACATGCGGCCACTCGTGAACTATATTCGCAAGGAACAAAAAAATGCTTCTGTTTCTTTCTGGGGTCGAGAGCTAACAGATGCGGGTGAAAGCACTGTATTCCCCTCTCTGCGCTACCACAACTACGAGCCGAGACCTGCAACATACCTGGAGAAAACAATATCGGCAGATATAAGTACTAGTCATGGGATCAGTCTCTCTGCACTGCTATACGGTAGCTGGTCTATTGTAGTATCTCATGCCACGGGAAACAGTAAAGTGTCCCTAGGTGCAATCCTTACAGGACGTAACGCGCCGATTGACGGGATCGACAGAGTCATCGGTCCAGCTGTTACGACTGTACCTATTTTTATTGATGCAGACTCCGGACTCACTGTGCAGGACTTCATGACTAGACTACACGACACGACAGTTCGAAGAATACCTCATGAGCATCTGGGGATTCACGCAATACGTCGCATCAATTCCACATGTGAAGCTGCGTGCAATTTTCAAACAGTGCTGGTTATTCAACCTCCTCGCGGATCAGCCCGTTCTAAAGTCAAAGATATAGACCAGGTCTTGGAAGAGATCGACGAAACCAAGATAGAAGGCTTCCCAGATCAACACTCGGTATTAAATCAATATGGCCTGATGATGGAGATTTTACCAATTGACAAGAAAATGACAATTCGGGCTAGCTTTGATTCAAAACTTATCTCAGGGGCCGAAATGGATCGCATGTGCTCTCGGTGGGAGCAGGTTATCCAGGAGATTTTGCAAATATTAAATCAAGGGCTTCCTGCGACTATTGGCACTCTAAACTCCATATCCAGGCAGGAAATCGATGCGATCTGGGGATGGAATAAGAATGAACCGGAAGCTGTCACTGATCAACTCGTTCTACAAACGATATCCGAAATTGCCACTCAAACCCCTGAGACGCTCGCAATTGATGCTTGGGACGGACGGCTAACCTATCGTGAGCTCGAAGAACTCTCTTCAAGACTTGCGAATTATCTTGTGTCATTGGGCGTACGTCCCGGTCAGTTCGTGCCCCTAATCTTCCCTAAGTCAATGTGGGCCAATGTTTCTATGCTTGGTGTTTTAAAGACTGGTGCTGCATTTGTTCCGCTCGACGCAGATCACCCTGAAGGACATCTAAGAGCTATCATGCAACCGTTGACTACGGATTTCATTTTGTGTGCTGCGCAAACTAGAGATCGTGCTTCTCGCCTAGCACGCAATGCGATAATGGTTGATGCGACACTTGTCAGTGGAGAAGCCACCAAACAATACATTGGCATTACATCATGTTTTTCATTGCCATCAGCAAATGATCTAGCATACGCTGTGTTTACCTCCGGGAGTACTGGCGCTGCAAAAGGGGTCAAGATTACGCATAAAAATCTGGCTACAGCAATTCAGTACCAAGCTGGGCCTCAAGGCTATCAAATAAATCCCAGCACAAGATCCCTCGACAGCTCATCATATTCGTTCGATGCTTGCGTTTGCAATTTTTTCTACACTATAACGCAAGGTGGCTGTCTATGTATTCCCAGCGAGGAGTCCCTAAAGGGTGACATTGCGTCCTTTATTCGTGACTACCAGATCAACTGGGCGCAGCTTGTCCCGTCAGTCGCAAGAACAATCCACCCAGATAGTTTGCCAGACTTGAAGACCCTTGTCCTAACTGGAGAGCCCCTGACAAAAGGCGACATAGAAAAATGGCACCACCGCATCCGTCTTGTCAACGCGTACGGTCCGACAGAATGCACGATCCTCTGTGCAATCTCTTCACAAATCACAGACCCCAGCGAGCTAGGATCTATAGGCCGAGGCCGTGGAGCAAACTTGTGGTTGACGGAGATAGGGAACCCTAATAAGTTAGCGCCAATCGGTGCCCCTGGAGAAATTCTCATTGAAGGTCCTATTATCGGGGCTGGATACCTAGGACCTTATAAATACCCTCTTGTGGAGAATCCATCATGGCTCCTCGCTGGCACAGAGAGCTTTCCGGGTAGACAAGGAATACTTTTCAGGACCGGTGATAAAGCGCGATATGCGGAAGACGGCACGCTTGTGTTTATTGGTAGAATCGGATCTGAGATTAAATTACGCGGTCAAAGGGTGGACTTGACTGCAGTTGAGGACGCCATTCGACGACGTATTCCTTCCGGCCTGGAGATCGCGGCCGAAATCGTTCATGTTAACTTAGGAGAAAAGAGCCAAGAGAGGCAGATGCTGCTGACTTTTGTTAGTACAGCACATGGGAGCTTGGCAGACTGTCACCAAAAGCTCGAAGAAAATCTACGGGCTCTTGTCCCTGACCTTAAATCGGGGCTTGACGCTGTTCTGCCAACATACATGCAGCCCGAGGCCTTCTTTCCGATCCCAGCCATCCTCAAAACAAGCTCTGGAAAGACAGATCGTCGCCGCTTAAAGGAATTCGGAAAAACACTTCGCTTACAGCAGCTAATCTGGATAAGTGGTGAAATGGCGAATACATCCTCAACCCCTCCCTGTACTGAAGAAGAGCGAACTTTAGCCGCTCTTTGGGCTGAGCTTCTTGGGGTCCAATATCAATCCATTTTTCGCGAAGATGACTTTTTCAAATTGGGCGGCGACTCCCTTGGTGTAATGCGATTGACTACAAAGGCCCACGAACGCGGGCTCGGGTTAAAAGCTGCGGAAGTGTTCAAAACCCCCAAACTTGCCTTGCTCGCTCAAAAGATAACTACAGTAGTAGACATCACAAAGGAAGTCACGACTTACAAGCCTTACAGTCTTCTCACTGGTGACATAGATATCAAAGAATTTACGAGCACATACATAGCGCCGGTACTGAACGTTGACAGTACCGAGATCGAGGATATCCTTCCGGCCAATGGGTTTCAAGTTGACTACATGCATAACGAAGAAGAACCGTTAGGTCTTCAATACGCTTACCTGGACATCGGTCCTGAGGTTTCGTGGCCAAAGCTCGTTGAAGCATGTCGAACTGTGGTGCAGGCATATCAGTGTCTTAGAGCCCGTTTTGTATACCATCAAGGCAAATACTACCAGATCATTCTACGTGACGCTCCTTTATTAACAGAGGAAATTGTCTCCTCGGAATATATCACCCCATTCTCCAATCAATTCTGCCCTCGGGACGGTCGCCAAGCACAAATCAATGACATTTTCACGAAGATGACACTAGTGAATACCGAGAATGGTCAACGTCGCGCGATTCTCCGTATGTCGCACATGCAAAATGACGGGTGGTGTACTGTGCGAATTCTCAAAGAAGTTGCTAATGTATTCAATGGCGGTGAGGTCGCTAAAACACCAAATTGGACGAACCTTTTGCATTACCGTCGCCAGACAGCGCACAGTTCCCATCAATACTGGCAAACGATATTAAACGGGAGTTCACAAATCACACCTCCATTGTTATATAAACCCGGAGGAACCAAAGTCCGGACTCTACGATCTTACGCACTTCCGTATTTCCATACCTCGGATGATAACAGGCGTACACGCCCAACAGTTGTGATCAATGTGGCCTGGGCACTTGTCCTTCAACATCTAGCAGGCCATACGGATCTCACGTTCGGCAACGTCACAACAGGAAGAAATGGCGCCATGCCTAGCCTTGACTCAGTTATCGGGCCTTGCGTTAACATGTTACCATTCAGACTTCGATTAGACTCTCGGTCTTTGGCTAGTAACAGAAGGCAGTATCTACGTGATTTAGTCGAAGTGTCCGCGCAGCAAGTCGACGATCGCACCTCCCATGAGGGACTCGACTGGGAGGAAATGGTGGATCGTTGCACAGACTGGCCATCTGGCACACGATATACATCTGCCGTGCATTTCCGTAATATGGCTTTCGAGCCTGAGCTGACCTTCGGAAATGAGCATCTTATGGTCACATGGTATGAGCTTGTTGCAACACCACATTGGACTACCGTGCTGGTATATCCAGAAAATGACGTTCTGCGGCTTTGGCTGCTTGCAAACCCAGTTGAAATTGGTGACGATGGCGCCGATGAGATTTTACACATGCTGGCTGGGTATTGTGATGAAATTGTAGCGTCACTCCACGAGTGAAAATATACATTTTATTATTAGATTGGGGGTTGGTGTTTTACATTCATCAATTATGACTACAGTGTTTTGTTACTGATTTCAAATGTTAAGGATGAGACATGGATCCGTTATAGGTGTTGTTTTATTGACTGATTTTAATTTGTGTATCGATTAAGTTGAGTTTTTATTTCATTATATAAACATTTTGAAACATTTTAAAACCTTCAAATTTGACACATACCAGCGACATCTAGCATCGACTGACCAGAATGCAGCCATGATTCACAGTAAAACCACAGATAAAAATCCTGGACATGGTCCGTGTATCTTACCTCCCAATGAAGCCTATACCTGTTCATCAAACGGGCTTCATCTTGTAGAGGATCCTAGGATTAGACAAAGCATTACCCAAGCAAAAAAGTCGAGATCTGACGTCTCTTTTTGGTAGGTAATTGAGCCACTGAATGAAGCGAATACTGATGCCATCGTTGGACGGAATGGCTACATACGTTGGTTACTACGACGGCACGTTGACAGATGTTTATTATGGCGTACTCACAACACAACAGTGCCACGGGTGGGGAAGTCAGCCTGCGTTTTGCAAAATTACCAAATTTCTTATGGTTTCCCTTTTTGGTAAGGCGGTAAGGGTGGTTGAAGGATGGCCTCTAGCGGTCATTTCCTGTAATAACACGTAACGTAACATTAACGAAGTAAAATACGCGTATGACGTATCGTTTCAGTGGCGTTTTACACGGAAAACGTCCAACGTCGATCCCTGCGGCGGTTCGTATACGTATGTCAGTTTTTAGCTCAGCGGTTATCTAGACCATCGCATGATAGACCCATAGATTTACGTGCTGCGAGGGGCCATGGTCTGACAAGGATAATCCATCAATCACAATATTCATTCCACTGCTTTTTGTTGGAAGCCGCGGGATTGAATCCCTTTCGTACGCCACTCGCTCCTCAGACTCAAAACTCTGAATTAGCGTGTAGGATCATGGCCGACATACTAACGGTCCATCCGATACAGTGATATGGAATCTGACATGACCCTATAACAAATTTCGAACGGTATACGCGTAGTGCGGTGCTCCATAGAATATTACAAATATTGAACCCCGTCTAGCAGATTATTGCATCGGATGGATATTCACAGCGTCTGTGCGTCGCTCTTCAGCCATTCTCTCATGGCGCTGTCTGACAGTGGCGGCCAATACTGTTGGTAACCTAATTATCAGCATGCAATCTTTTGTTGCATTCACACCGCTTCCAAGTTGCAAAGGACCCATCGAAATAGCACCGACTAGTATGCTCCGGTGATGGGCCTAGAAAGTGATGCCTAGAATGAATCCCATAATCGCCTACCAGTCGAAAACGAACTACGTCCTTCTCAATATCTGAGCCTAGCTGAGGTTTCCGGCTTGCTTTTGCGTCCGCGGCAGGCACATCGCGCTATGGCTTTGCTCTGTCCACCGCCGTTGTGGACTGATGGTCATGTGTCAGACTGTATGGTACATAGCTATCTTGCCAAATCAGTTCCTCCAGCTATATGTTTAATTTCTGTTTTTATATTTTGGATCCGCTATGTATATTCTCATTTCGGCGACACCAAACATATCCGCTCAGGGCCAAATGCCGTAGTTATAGGTGGGGGAATTGATGATCTATCTCCGCGATATGTTACAATCCTTCCACCATTGATTGCGCGATTAGAGATCGTGGGAGTTCTGACGGATATTGTCCTTTGTGTTTTTCTTATGACTACCCGTGAAGACTCCAATGGCCCCATCTCAGCAGCCTTTGCCTCGGCCGTGTCATCCGTTTATCTACTCCTCCTCGTTTTAGTTAGGAAGAAAGGCGGGGTCGATATCGAAATCAACTTACAACGACACTCGGTGGCCTTGTACACCGTACAATGGTTTTGCTTATCTTTAATCGTGCATGCGGAAATTTTAAGCGGCACAAGACTTCTTTCAGTCATTGCAATCCTAATTCGGTTTGCTCTATTTACAACGCTGTGCCTGTTTCACTGGACCGCTCCACAAATTCCCAGACGGGCATACAAGACAGGAGGAGCCTTCCTCTCCGACTTAAGCAAAGAAGAAACTGCAAGCTCAGTCTCTCGTCTGTCTTTCTCCTGGATAAATGAGCTGATATGGAAAGCATATCGGACGACACTAGAGGTTGAGGATTTGTACCCACTCAATGACGCTCAGAAATCCAATACAGTTAACTCTCGTTTCCATTTGGTATCAGCTCCCACGGTTTTTCTCCCATGGCGTCTATGGCGTTTCTTCAAATATGATATTCTTAGACAGGGTGGATGGGCTGCTGTGAACAGCGTGGCTGTATTCGTTCCTCCTATCCTTATCCGGCTCATCCTGAGGTATATAGAGTCACCAGATGTGATGAAGCCAAGCTCTGCATGGCTCTGTGCGAGTGGGCTTCTTATTGCAGGGGTAGTGGCTGGCACAGCAGATTGTCAAAGTGAATGGATAGGCCATCAGATTGCTGCTAAGGTACGCGCTATTCTAATCAATGAAATATACACGAAGGTGCTACGCAAAGGAATTGTGCAACCGGGGCGGGAAGAACATAAAGATATCGACTCTAACGACGGCAATGCAAGTGACGGGGGCATTTTCAACCTCATGTCGGTCGACACTGAGCATGTCAGTGCAGTGAGTGGCAATCTATATCGTGTCTGGGTCACCTTTCCTGTGCAAGCCACTATAGGGACATGGCTACTATACAAGCTTCTTGGACTCAGTGGTGTCATTGGTGTCTTGATCATGATTGCTCTACTTCCCTTGAACATCTTGATATCTCAGCGTGTAATGGCTGTTCAGGCTCGCGTGCTAAAAGCTAGTGATAACCGGATTCAAGCGAGTAACGAGATGCTGAGCAACGTTAGAACAATTAAATATTCGGCATGGGAAAAACCGTTCATTGCAAGAGTCTTGGAGAAACGGCAGTTTGAGATAAAGGAACTACGCTCACGCTTTATTTGGTGGTCTATTAACGCGACTACTTTCCATGCTCTTCCCTTTATTGTCACTATGGTGACGTGCTTTTTTTACACGATAGTATGGGACAATCCATTGGGAACAACTATTGCGTTTCCGGCTTTGACAATCTTTAGCATTTTGCGGATTCCTTTGGATCGAATGGCCACCTCGATCACTTTTATAATGCGAGCTCACGTCTCTCTAGGCCGCATTGAAAAGTTTTTGCAGGAGCGTGAAACAGCGAAATATGATCAGCTGTCATATGTGTCAACATCCATACATATTGGTTTCCAGGACGCCACTCTTATATGGCCAACCAGCACACGTATAGAAACTTTGGATAGCGACACTAGTAGCGGCATTCCACTAGCCGAGTTGCCTTCTACTCGACCCTTCCGGCTTGAAAACCTTGATATCAAATTTCAAACAGATGCTTTAAATGTTGTTTGTGGTGCAAGCGGATCTGGAAAATCATCTCTATTGCTTGGTCTTCTGGGAGAACTGGATCTGATCAAAGGCCACATCTCCCTCCCTCATGACCGGTTTTCGGGTGAGGTATCGCTTGAAAGTCTCACTGAGACAACTGCATACTGCCCACAAGAGCCTTGGATTATGAATCGTAGTATACGAGAAAATATTTTGCTGGATCTACCTTTTGATAGTCGCCGGTATGAAGCAGTGCTGCAAGCTGTAGCACTAACTCCAGACCTTATTGCTCTAGATCAGGGCGACCAGACTCTTGCTGGAGAGAATGGCAGTCGGCTATCTGGGGGTCAAAAGCAACGTGTTTCATTAGCGCGTGTACTTTACAGCCCATCCAGGTATGTTCTACTAGACGACTGTCTTAGTGCGGTAGATTCTCGCACAGCGAATCATATTTTCTTTCACGCTGTGAAAGGATCGTTAATGAAAGGTCGAACATGCATTCTAGCGACTCACCATACACATCTTGCTATTCCCAACTGTCACTATGTTATTATGCTAGATAACGGTCGAGTAATAGGTCAAGGAACTAGCGAAGAACTAGTTTCAATGGGTCTTCTTGAACGGGAAGTGGTAGACGGCAACTCCGAAACACAACAAACAATTTCTGCTTCAACTGAGAAAATATCCGAGCCAATCAACACTAAAATCACTATAGGCGATTTCTCTGCCAGGTCTTCACTCGATTCCGCTTCGCTAGAAGAGCTCCCTCTGAAGGCTAAGGAGCCAGAGTCTGAACCCGGATACAAAGAGGGTAAGGCCGAAGGCGCTGTCACTTGGCCTGTTGTCCGAAACTATCTAGCCGCAATGGGTCCGCGATGGTACTGGATCATAGTCCTCGCACTATTTGGGCTGCAACAGGTTGTTTCGCTTGGAACGAATCTCTGGATCAAGGAATGGGCATTTCGATATGATATGGTCGAAATGCGAAACAGCAGCAAGTCACCGTCGCAAAGGTCTGACGACTTCGAAGAAAACAAACGTCAGAAGGTGGACGCATGGTACTATATAACAATATATGTGGCCATATGCTTATTATATGGATTCATAACATTTATCCGTGATCTCACCACATTCTATGGCTCGCTCAAAGCATCTTCTACAATATATGAGCGCCTGTTAAATTCAATATTCTACGCCAAACTCATATTCTTTGACCGCGTGCCCTTCGGACAGATTACGAACCGGCTCACTAAAGATATTGAGGTGATTGACCAGACACTTGCAGGTTTTGCAGTAAGCTGGTTGCAATTATTTACATCCATGCTTATGGTTATCATTTTGATCTCTACTGCGCTACCAGTGTTTCTCATAGTCGCGGTTTCTATTTGTGCAGCCTATTATATTGTCACAATAGTATATATCAATGGCGCCCGAGATTTAAAACGCATTGAAGCTGTTCAGATGTCACCATTATATCAGCAATTTGGAGAAACATTCGCAGGCTGTGTCAGTATCCGAGCATTTGCTCGGACTTCGTCCTTTACTGTTGAAAGTCGAACGCTCGTAGACCAGCTCCATCGGCCGTACTTACTCCAATGGGCAAGTCAAGCGTGGCTCACGTTTCGAGTGGACGTCCTCAGTTCACTTATTTCTTTCTTCACTGGAGCCTTTGTGATCTGGGGTGTCAGATCCATTGAACCAGGAATTGCAGGCCTCATGCTAGCCTATGCGGCAACATTCACCGAAAATGTTATGTGGGTTGTTCAGGTCTATTCCATCATTCAGCAAAATTTGAACTCTGTGGAACGAATTGCCGAGTATACGGAAGTAGAGCAGGAAATTAGCCAGCCAGTTCGGACGGGCGTTTATGACCTCCCAGAAGACTGGCCATCGCAAGGAGAAGTTCGGTTGGAAAAGTATTCAACTCGATATTCGCCTGAATTAGAGCCTTCCTTGAACGAAGTTAGTTTCGAAACGCGCCGTGGCGAACGTGTCGCTATAGTCGGACGCACTGGAGCAGGTAAAAGTACACTTGCTCTTGCTCTAATCCGAGGTCTGGAGGCAGAGAGTGGGCGAATCGATATTGATGGTATTGATATTGCATCAGTCCCATTAGAAAAACTTAGGCAGGTCATCACTCTTTTGCCTCAGGACCCCGAGCTTTTCGACGGCACATTAAGACACAATCTTGATCCGCTACAACGCTATACCGATGAAGAAATGATCACGGCGCTGCATACTGTGCGTCTTCTCGACGACACTAGTGACTCTATCTCAGCGATTAGGACCAACACCGAAACATGCGCGAATGGGACTTGTCTAGACCAAGCTGCCGATGCTCTCTCGCGCGGTCAGCGACAGTTGCTTTGTATCGCACGTGCTCTTCTAAGGCGCTCACGCGTTCTCGTGCTTGACGAAGCTACTGCTTCTATTGATCATGCCACCGATGCTACAATTCAGGAGAGCCTACGAACAAGCATCGCCTACGGAACTACCGTAATAACAATTGCTCATAGGCTACTCACCATAGCTGATTACGATAAAGTTATTGTCCTGGATAAGGGCCGTGTTGTAGAGCAGGGCTCTGTCAGAGAACTCCTAGGCCGAACCGGAAACGACGCTATCTTCCGCGGCTTGTGTGAGGAGTCTGGAAATCTTGAGGAGATTGAACGCGCTGCAACTGCAATGAGTTTGGGGTGATTGGTTAATCTTTGCTTCTTTTCAAGTGTTTAGATATTATTTACAAGATTATTTCATTATTGAAAATGTACATGTAGTATAGAGCCTGGTGTCTAGAAAACTCATTTTGTTTCACATATTGCGGATTCAGTGCAGCACATCACATTGTAAAAATATCTCTTTTACATAGATTGGGTTATTAAAATTCGAAGTCCAAATTTAACCGACCTTTTTTACCAGTAAACCAGTTCTATGTTACTGTGTTTCAATATTAATATAGACGATAAACAGAGGCACTCAACAGCTGGATATAAGTGAGAGGAGCTGCGCACTTCGGCTAATCATCTCTATTTTCAGGGATATTATATCTCACACGAGCCGTCAATACCATTGGTAAACCGCTACATGAAAATATATAATATGGAGATCGAAGATCTATTCTGTTAAGTCCATTGGCAGTAGACGACCTCGTCGCTGAATGGCGGGACATCTGCTTACCATAAGCCCCCACCTTCCACTTTCGGTATGCAGCCAGTAGCCGTACAACGACGCTAAGCGCAAAAAGAATTTCCAGAACAAAATAAGCAACTCTTAGGTGCTGACTATTTGGCCCAGCCTATGGGAAGGAGAACGGGATAGAAAATTCGATGATTTAGACCCATTACGTAAGTGAGGTGGCGATTAGAATTGCCTGACCACACGTAGGGGGTACTGGTATGATTGAAGCGTTTCGATCTTCAAAAATGTTCGGACATGGCCAACATTTGTAGTATAAATATGCTCAACATTCCTGGAGTTGTATGAATTGTAACATTAATTGATCATTCAAGACGGTGAGCCCTCACTTAGACGTTCACGAGATAGTGCAAAATGGCTCTTGCTTTGTTTTTGTTCTCTTTTATTGCACTTTCCTCAAGCGCATCGGTTAATACTGATCCAGGATACGATTGTCGACCAGGTCAGGCATGTTGGCCAAATTGGCAGGAATGGCAGCAACTGAACAACAGTGTCAATGGCAATCTGTATCAAACCATTCCCATGGGGGCGTCCTGTTACACGAGTTCCCCTCTTTACAATGCTGCCACCTGCGATGCTGTGGTCAAAGATTATAATCAAAGTATCCCGCGAGGGGATTACTATGGACAGACCTACTGGTCCAACTGGGAAGCATGTGGCTCTTTGAGCTGTTCTCTTCTTTCTTCTGACCCTGAAGAGACGCTCTATCAGAATTGTTCTCTTGGTCGATTGGCATCATACTACGTTGATGTTCGCAATTCATCCCACATTTCTGCCACTCTCCAGTTTGCGCAGGCCCACAATATTCGAATCAGCATCAAGAATACAGGCCATGACTTTTATGGGCGCTCGTCAGTTCCCGGATCCTTGGCTATCTGGACCCATAACATGAACTCTCTACAGTTCTACAAGAATTTCACTGCTTATAATTGTCCGTCTGCAAGTGGGCTTAACGTTGGAGAGATTGGTGCTGGAGTTGTCGCAGGACATGCATACGACTTCTTCGGCTTCCATGGAATGGACGTGACAGGTGGCTATGAACAGTCGGTTGGCTTGGCTGGTGGTTTCGGTCAGGGTGGAGGACTGGGTTCGTTTACAACTACGTATGGTCTTATGGCTGACAACGCTGTCGAGTTTGAGGTCGTTACTGCTGATGGAAATGTACGGACGATAAATGAATGCAACGACCCCGACCTCTTTTGGGCGATGCGAGGTGGTGGTGGTGGCACATACGCCGTATTGACCAAGTTCAGGGTTCAGGTGTATCCCTCTGTGCCCATCCATGTCTACAATTTTGTCGCCAATTTTACAAGGGCTGATGTGGCAGTTGGCGCGACAAAAAATAGGGCACTTCGAGATATCATGACATTTCATGCAAGTCATCAACTCGAATGGTCATCTGCCCTAGTTACTGGCCAAGTCGAATATTTCCCAGAGGCAGTAGCAGTAGGCCTGGTACTGCCGTACGGTGATAATGGATCAAAGCTGAGAAGTACGATTGCATCTTTCGTTCAGTTTCTTCGTGAAAGAAGCGACCTTACTGTTATCAAGGATGCGTTCAGCTCGTACGACAGTTATGCAGATTATCTGACTGTCACTGCAGCGGATGCAGAGAACACTGAACCAGGTGGGATTTTCTCTTTGCTTACCTCCAGGCTAATTCCCCGCCAAGTATTTGAGCACGCAAATACCATCGATGCTCTTGTTGATGGCGTAATTGAAGGAGTAGCCACTGCTAGAAGCCTAATAAACAGAACTGGAACTCAAGTCGTACTTGAGTCCCCGTTAACTAACCCTGATATCAACCAAACAACGTCAGTACTTCCAGCGTGGCGCGATGCAATATGGCATGTCATTCATGTAGGTGAATGGTACGAGCCACTGATACCGGCTGTGCAGCAAAAAGCCACTGATGGCTTTCTGCAAATGACCGAGCCTCTCAAGCAACTCTCTCCGGGCGGGGGCGCGTATTTCAATGAAGCGAACTACCAAGAGCTGGAGTGGCAGGAGACGTTTTTTGGTGCCAACTACAACAAACTTCTGGAGATTAAAAACAAATACGACCCAACTCATCTGTTTGACTGTTGGAAATGCGTTGGATGGCGAGGAGAGAAAGAGTAAGCCTTCGAAACCCTAGTCTTTTTGCCCAATTATCACTGACATATACCTAGTCCATTCTACTCTTGCTATCAGGAATATTAAGTCGTTTAAAAATTGGAATTAGGATATGAATCTGCTACACGAGCCTCATATATTCTTCAAATGTTAAGTATATTAATTGATGTTAATTCTTGGAACATGTATTAGAAGATATTTTTCTATAGACGCAGCTCATGTCCCCAACTCTCGAAACTCAATCCATTCTGTTTGATCGCATAAATAAGCAAAGTTAATAACACCGACGTGACGTGATGTCAAGTAACTTATCAAGTCTCTTCTCCACCTGCCAGGGATGGAAATCGGAATACCTTAAATGTTATGATTTCCAAGCTGACTAGTCAATAATGAGGGCCGCCGCTGGCTGAATCCAGGTGCGAACTCCCGCACCTTCGCGCAACAAATTAGCCATGGCAAGAGCCTGGCCAATTCCCATGCCATGCCCAATTTTCTCCAAGCACATGATTACCCAAATTTTGAGATCCGGCGAGGCAAAGATGGAGTCAGCAGCTAAAAATAACGGCCATATTAAGATATGTCCCGCAACAGTGGCAGGTTCATTCGTGCCCACCGATTCCATCGATGACTGGTTGCTGGAGATACCAAAGTGGTAGGGAACACTGGCACAAATGTCTTCAATGAGTACTTTCATAACAGCCTCACTCCGCGCCGCCAATTTTGAGTGCCCAAATAGCTGCGCAGAAGGCTCGGTATCGCCGCCAACCTCCTCCTGTAAGTTACAGCTGTTCAGTATGATTTCGTGGAGGACCATTCGAGCTCCCCGCCAGTTATTCCAGACTCCGCAAGAGTATAAATCCTTATATATATGGTATTTGTTGCCATAAATTCCAAACACCGAGTTCATCCGATTCAAGCTCTCCAAGGGAAGAGTGATGGTCTCGAATCCCCATTTGCACGGGACACTGGATGACCAGGCTTCCATCTCAGCATCAAGTGCTAGTGCAAAGCCAATTCTAGCTGCAGGATCAGCGAGCTCTCCACACCGGATATTTTCACATAATCTAGATAACTGAATATTAATATTAGCCAGCTGATCTGCATATTGGACACTTCCATCTCCTGAATCGCAAGCCTTCTGGGATAGATCTATAACTATTGGAGAGGTTTGGCTTTCTTTAAAGATATCATGAGTTACCTTTATAGCATTAGCATTATATGTAATTTTGTGTCAAGCGCGAAACTCATGGCAGTTGACGGAACTTACTATCTGACCTCGCATAAGTCGAAACAGATGTGAGCCGCGAGAGCTTTTAAGTTGGTCTTCTCCGCGCCACTCTAGCAATTTTGTAGCTCCTTCTATGTGTTTCATCCAACGGAAAATGGATTCTGGGTCCGTATATGTTACAACCTGGATTCAAAGTTTAGTTTATGGCCACAAATGTGAGAGTCGGGAAACAGCTGACTTCAAACATCCCTAAAAACATAACTGCCACTAAAGTTTGGTCCGTTTTGGATAAAACTGGATCCTTTATGTTCTGGTTTGTTGCTGCTAGTGCCTTGGTATATTCTTCGCGTGCCGCCATCATCAGTGGAGGGCTCATTCTCATGTTTGCCATGGCGGATAGCCCTAAGGCGGTTATTGCCGAGGACAAAGCCAAGTTGTCATCTCGTACAGCGCCATCCCCATACAGCCATAGCCATTTCTGGAGATAGTTTTGGTAGACAAAACATAAGGCTTGCTCATGTATCGGGAACAACAATTCCTGATCCGGCAACGGGGCTATCATAGTCGTTCTGTAAGCCTCTTGGTTGGAGTCACGTGACGATTTGCCTCTTTTCTCGGTCTTATATTTAGTGACACCTTTCTTCTCAGCTTTGATGCTAACATCTTTGGTCTCATCTACAAATAGCAGAGATCGAAGGTCACGATACCCCGGGCAATCCACGCGGGCGCGGATGCATTGCGCACACGAGGGTTTCTCTTGACTACACTAGGGAAGTATTCAAGGTCAGGCAGAGTCAGTGACTGAAAGCAGGAAACAACAAACCCTGAGCCCCCTGATCCTACACCGGCCACACCTAGGACTGGGCTTTCCTCTGTAGACCATCCGATTAGGCGCTGGAACAACGTACAAAGGATCTGACGGCCGAACTCAGTACAACATGGGGACTATTATAACAACGTCCTTTTTCAATTTTTTGTGGCAGTCAGTTTACCGCTTTGCTGGAAATGAAATGTTTTAATGATGGGTAAAAAACCGTGTAGCTGCGAGAGGGAGGTCACATGATGTCAGCGGCGGCGTGCCAGTATCGGCTCAGCGAAGCTTATTTCAAAACAGACTTCAGCTGACAGAGCTAAGTAAACTAGCGCAGATAATTGCTTATCGCCTGGCCGCCTAATTCATGAATATAGCTTGATTTACTTTATGCTGCGTAAACTATAGAATATCGACATATAAATATCTCTCTCTTTCATATTTATGTAGAATATACCAATTAATAGGTAGCTATTATATTATATTTCTCACTTTCCATTCGTTTGTATTCTGTCTAGTCATATTCTTAAATAGATCTTAATAGGCGATATCGATAATCCCAGGGTTTATATATCCTATTTCTCTCTATATTTCTTCATTTAGAAGATGGTTAGTACTACATCTTTTTTATTTCAGTGTTGTTTCTCTGAGTTATAGGAGACAAGAACACCGTGAATTCAAATGCGTTAATCACTACTCGCCAGAGTAAAACTTCATTCTGCCTAAATGGCTCCAAGATCTCCCTCATTGTTGTCCGCGAATCTCGTTTGAATCCTTCGACAAAATTCGGATTGGAAAGTTCTACACCAACCAAAGCAGGATGTAAGCTCAATTCTTGGTCTCAATTTTCAGATCGCTTTCCTCAGTTTCTCCCGTCTGTTGGTACCCTTGGATTCATAGTGGCGTTTTTTAAGAAAACAATCCACAACATGTTCTCGTGGCAGTCGGACGTATTCAAATCAATGCAAACGGTTTCAAAATCGAAACGAATACTAATCAGCTGACGCAGTTGACCCCAATCGAGCATTGTGAAAGGGAACGAATAGGAATACATTCCACACCAAAGGTCCAGAAGGAAAAGGAGTAAAATCCATGTTTAGCTGAGATTTGCTTGGTTTCAACGCAGTGTTTACCTGCGAATGAGGTGAAATGCCGTTTTAGCTACCTAATTCATTGCAATGCACTTTTTCCTATTCCTGCCAATACGACACAGGAAGACGTCATTTCCTTTCCAGGTCTGCTACCAGGGTTCAAGCAACTTACTGTCGAGCTAAAAAAAAAAAAAAAAAAAAAAAACGAAAAAACTTCTGCCTGAGCTGGAGGATTCACTTGATGCCGATGTTTTGTTCTAATGACGAAGCTGTCGTTTATCGGTCAAGGAGAAAAGAGGGTGGGGAACATATATGTGAATTATCCAACCTATGGTAAAATATATAACGCTAATCAGCCGGGCGTATTCAGTCATGTTGTGGCCCGAATAGGCAAGCAGGCGGTAGACTGAAAGACCATCACTCGGATCTATGTGCAAATGGGCATGCATTAGGATATATTCTTGTGGCCACAGTACCAGGCTGAAATAATAAAATAATAACAGGGCAACGGCGACGCTCAGTCAGACTAGTGGACGGCCTAGTATGAATCCGGTATGCCGCTAGTAGTCGTTAGCGGGCAGGAGTTTTGTGGGGTAGCTGGCTTGGTAGATTCAGCCAATAAGCGCATGTCATTCGCAATATTGACTCAGCCATCAGGAAAGCAGCCCTATGTGCACGATATGGCCGTATTAGGATACTGTTGGGTTAGTTCTGTTATAGCCATTGCGGATAATGAGAAATCATAGATATAAATGCACGCGTTTTTGCCGTTCCCAGATCTTCGTGGATATGTTTTTCTATCGCACATTTTCTATTTCTTCTCTGTCAATTGATCTATTATTTCCGATTCCACAGCTCTAACTGAGTCATCATGATACTAACGACCGAGCACATTGCCATTGCAGAGCTGGTGGTCTATATACCCGTTGCTTTGGTCTCAATATTCGTGGTTCTGAGACATGGGTTCCATCGCCAACTAGGATGGATCTACTTATTTGTTCTCTCTGGTATTCGGATCGCTGGCGGCGTCATGGAGATCCGCAGTCATAATGACCCAAGCAATACGACTGATATGGAATGGGGGATTATCTTGCAATCTGTCGGGTTGTCACCGCTATTACTGTCGAGTCTAGGACTTTTGAAGCGAGTGTATGTGCTTCCAAACAAGTCGGATTGTGTCATTGACCATTCAGTTCTAATAAAAAGCGAACAGGTGTGACGAGGTATCAACTTACACTCCAGGATCCAGCCAAACGGTAGTCCAAAGCATAGCGCTGGCTAGCGGAATTGGAGGTAAATTGTATGACGAACCCTATATCTTATTATTACAGAGATCGGTAGCCTGCTGACACTTGAGTCTCAAAAGGGCCGGAATATACTCCAAGCGAGCCACGGCCACCTCTCGTCGTAGTCGAGCAGTCCAGCTTCTTCATGTTCCGGCGCTCATTGCCCTTGTGCTTTCTATTATGGGCGGTACAGACCAATTTTCGTCAAACGTATCAGACCACAGTTCTGGGAAGACCGAAACCAGGGCAGGTGTCTTGCTCTTTTTAGCCGTCTATATCTGTCTTTTCTTGCTATGCATGATCACCTTTCCGGACACAGGGGTCATGCAAAGTAGCCAAAAGCGCATTTTTGTGTGCGTCTTGATCGCGCTGCCACTCATCGCCGTCCGCTTGTTATATTCGCTGATCGGTGATTTTAATAACGACCCCAACAATCAGTTTTCCATTGTCAATGGCAATCCCACCATTCAACTCACCATGGCCACCATTGAGGAACTACTGGTCGTCGTGATGTACGCTATTGTCGGTGTTGTCACCCCTCGTTCTCTCGGTCCGGCAAATTATGGGGGCAGGTATACTCCTGCATCACTACCATATCGATCAGACCCGGAATGCAATCCAGAAGCGGTGAATGCCGCTAGGTATGCTACTCAGAATGGATATGGAGGTAATGTATACGATAATCGACGTTGATTATCGATGTTCTCTTTCAGCACTTCTTTTCTATCTCATTTTCGATTTTGATCCGTCTTGGGGCGTTATAGAAATGACAATCGGAATTGTCTATGTATTTTAGAGTATTTGGCATTGCAAAGTTTGGGTGATTATGGCTTTTGTAGTTATTGATTTATGTATACTTTAAGATCCTCAATGTTATCCCATCATTTTAACAGGTACATAAGTTAGGGTTGTCGAAATGGTCTTCTTCCAACGTGAGCTTGAAAAGTACTTGGCTTATTGATACCAGAGATTATCTATCCTTAATTACAGTTAATGGTAGATACACAAAACTGACAGATGGTAAAAATTGTTGATGTAGACAGTGTTAGAAAGAAAATCAAAGCCTTCTATTGACTGTTATCAATTGATCTTACGACTGACTGATATACTTTTACATACATGTAGTTATAGTCAGTATCAAAAGTGGAGTAGCAGTGTTTCTAAATAGAAGTTTATTGATAAACCCATTGAACTTGCAAGGCCGGACTTGCAGACTGCTCTCTCAGACCCACTACTTATAACTGGAGCTTGACCTGTTGCTCTGAGATTATCGACTCTGGTGGCACGTTTCCCTCTCTGACATCGTATGCAGCCACTGAGCTTGCTTGCTAGTACAAAGAATACCAATATTAGTGCCGATGGCTCTAAAAGCAACAATCAAATTTCAAGGTGTGCTGACCACCGCAGTCTAAGTGTTCATCGGCCGGAATACAACACCGTTGCTGGGAACAGAAATTGTGAAGTGTTTATAAAGTGTGTATCTTGGTTATTAGATTTCTTATTTTGAATATCTAGTAATACATTTAATCAAAGCAATACGAAACTTCTAATATAGTCACCACATAAATCTTTGTATCTTCCCAGGTTCCTGCGGCCATTCAAACCCCTTATACAAGAACACGTATCCGGTAATGGCATTGACCAGCAAAAACCAAACGGTTTCCATAATATGCGGCAACTCAGTGGCAATCTGCGCCTTGAACAAGTCCAATGCATTGTGATTCCCTTCCTTCTGCTGTTGTCGAACCACTTCCGGAGTCGGTTGACGAGGCAGATGCAATCTCCACATTACCCATGGAATAATAAAATACCTGGGTTCCACTAGCGGCGCGGTAATGAGAGAGAGGCCGGTGGCAACAAGCCAGATGAGCACGAAGCTGACGCGTATTTGTTGCTGATCACGTTGTTGCTGGCGTTGAAGGACGTGGGCTTGAATCCTGGCCATGATTTCTGGAGTGACAACTTGAGTATTTTGGGGTCCCGTAGTTGTGGTCTTGTTTGAGTTGCTGGAGGTTTTCTTCTTTGAGGATTGCTTTTTTTGCTGTTTCTTGGTTTCTGGCTTTTTCTGTTGGCTTGGGAATCCTTGTTTCGTTTGGGTATTCGCAGAGTCAAGAAGCGTAGGCGCAATAGATAACCCCTTTGGACCAGGAGGAGAATAAAAGCCAATTGCAGTAAAAACAGCCCATGCACAGAGGAAATAAACAGGTGCCACGGCATATTTCACGGCGGGATGGTATCTTGTCAGAAGTCGGAAGACGTAAAAGACGTAGTGCCTATTGTCGGCCAAAGTGAATGGATGAACAATGGTATTAAAATGTATCGCTAGCAGCATCAACGGAATAACTCCCAAGGCTGTCAAAATCCCAGGGAGTCTGTTGGTATTGCTAAATCGATAATCGAAGAATTTTGGAAGATACCTCCTAGGCACTGTTATATTGGTGATGCCGATTATAATCAGAGGCCATGAGAAGAAGATAAAGTATGGCCATATATATAGCATTTGAGGGATATGGATACCCGCGCTATGAAATTCTTTGTGTCCTAGGACGACGCTGCCATTCCAAAGTATAAAGCCACCGAAAGCTGCTAATACAAGGAGATGCGATGTAATAGATGCGAGAATAAGAGGGAGCTGGCTTACAGTAGCGCATGCGAGAGATATGCCAGTCTTGAGATAATCTTAGATGTATTAGAAGGACCTTACGATAAATAGACCACATCATATTTGACTCACCAATAAAACTCGCTTCCTCCACAAGGGGGTCATAGAGCTCGCCCTGGAAGCCCTTTGATAAAAGTTCGAAGGGGATTTTGGTTGCTGCACAAGGTTTCGTATTCTGGCGAATGGTTCGGACGACTTGTAAGCCACCCATAAATACAGAAACCCAGAATATGTTTGTCTGTCTAAAAATAAGAGCAACCAGCCCTAGCACGAGAAATACTAGGTTTTGGAACGAGATTTGAGCGCGCAGAGCCCCAACCGTTGTCTTATTCGGGCCATTGACATCTGATCTCTTGATATCCCAAATATAGGCTTCGACCACGACTAGCAACGCAAGCACATCGGTATAGTATAGGCCGGAAAAGAAAAATAGCGGCGGAAATAGACAAATATTCAAAACAGTGTGGTTGATCCAAGCACCTGACGGCCGGGTGTTCGGCTCCTTTCGCAACAGATCTAATAAAGTTTGGAGCCGCCATGGAAGAAACAACGCGGTGGCAGCGAGGTTCGTAGCACGCAGTTCATTGACGCCAACATCTTTCGGGGATCCTCGGAGCAAAAGAATACCAGCGCAAAGCACATATGACCACACGTATAAGCCGGGAGGAGTGGTGATTTTGGGGTCCCAATGGCTCCAATTGTTTGCCCAGTATGCCTGTGCCTGACCAACATGGAAAACTTCATCGAGGTATGGCTCCTGCACGAAATGATTGACCTGGTTCCGCCATACAAGGAGCGAAAGCAAAACAAAAGGGACCAGATAACGACCGGCCAATGTGAGGCCGGTCTTGGGCTGTGGAGAGTTCATTTGCTAGGTTGTGGCCGGCCTATCGAGGCATTGAGGGATCTTCTCACAGCTATCCTATAGTACGTACTGCGCTTGGACCCTTTGCTATTCCAAAATCCGGGAAGGTGGAAGCATGATGACTGACTGCAAGAATGTGAGACGTAGGGTTTGTTGTTCAGGACAGCAGAATGCCGGAAGGAAGCTCCTGTTGGCCCGGCGGAGTGCAAACCGCCCAAACAGAACACATTCCTCCCCGCAGGACGCGATACTTGGTTTACATACTCCAAACTAGACGCAAGTTTCGGTCTTTGGTTGTTTGGCGGGGCAAATATGGCTGTTCTATAAGATCGCATTGACTGTCTCGATTGACTGCAATGCGCTGTTTTCTACCCTGACCTTTCAGATCTCTCGTTTCGCGCTCCCAAACCTCCGACGCGTTTTCTTTCTCCGCCCGCAACTCGCGAACAAAAACCTCAACGCCACTATGGCCTTTCCATTGCCGCGGGGCATTTCGCCCTCAGAGATCGAGTTTATCTCGGAGATGGAGATGGTGACTGTCGTGCCTCGACAGCGCTTAGAAGGCCTCGATTTACTATCAGTGAGCGAATCTTAACCCCGCAGTCCATACACCCCGCAGAGATATGCGATCTACATACCACTATCATTCCTGGATAGATCTATCGGCGTAAAAGCTAGGAAGGGATAGCTAACCTGAGTCATTTGGGGTTAGGGTCCTACAGAAAAATTGTTACCGCCACAGCGTGCCACACTTCCGCTCTGGCTCGCAATCCTTTTGAAACGGCAACGGCGTGTGAATATCGTTCCTCCGTACTGGCTCCATCCTGAGTCTTTACAAATCATCCTTCAATTCGAAACAGAAACACGGGAATATACAGACGCATTTTCGCCGCCGCCAAGGCTGCCAGGTCAGCGAAGACCAGGCGACGACAACCGACGCAACCAACCACCTCCACCTCGACCAAAACATACGCTTGACGGAGAGCGGTACCATCCCTCGCCGCCATTCTTACCGCAAAATACAGCCCTGACTGCAGGGGAAGAATCAGAACGAGACAAAGAAATCGCCCTACCCTATCACTGGCTGGAAGTTGGCAACATGTTGCTTGATGCCGCAAGCGATGATCTTACAGAACCCGACCAAATACGGCGGTTACTAAAGGATTTAAGAGAAGTCCGAATGTCAAAGATGCGAAAGGGCGTGGATATCCTGGACACAGCAGCGACGGCTGGTGGCGGGGTTGCCCTCACTGGGGTTGGGGCTATGGAGATTGGAGAAATGAGAGGCTTCGTTGCTGGGGTTGTTGAAGGGCTCAGGAAAATCGGCGCATCACGCGAGCAGGCCCGTAGAGAGCAACTTGCTGAAGAAGGGCCTACCCAGGCCGACGCCCAGGATGAGGATGATGATATGGAATTCTAGGCTGGCATTTTCATCTCGTACTGTATCCCGCATTCATATATGGAGTTTTAAGTGGGCGGCGCACTGGGCGGCTGGGGACGGTACACTGATTTAGCGAGAGATATAATTGCAATTACATATACCCAAAAAGCGAATTTTCATTGCAAGTTCACTGAGCATTCATTACATTCATCAATTCCAAAGACGCCATACAGAATGCTAGAACCATCAGACAAGGAATGAAACCAAAATTGAGGATGAAGACATCATTTGTTGCATTAAATCACAACGCAGCCCTCGTTTAATCCTGTTTCTGTATGTATAAAAATTGCATTTATAACAATATGTCGTTTGAAGTAACTGTCTTCACAATGCAGGACCCGTAGCGTGAGAAGTCTCGCGCTCTTTCTGTTGAAGTTTCCTTCGTGCAGCCAGGATCATATCATCTCTGCGCTTCTGTAGTAAACGTTGACGCTCATTCTTGTTTTGCGCCCAACCACTCTCTGTCTTCGAATTCGCCTCTGTTTCTTCTGAAAGGCGGTTGCTGAGGTTATAGCGGGATATAAGATCTTGGTTTCCAGTTTTCGAAGCTACAACAGCGACTGTAGCGGAAGCTGGGTGTGGAGATTGCGGGATATGAGGCTGATACGCCGGTGGAGGCTAAAGACAGTAAGTGATTAGTATTACGAACGACCATCAAACAAGCATCAAAATCGGCAGCGCAAACTCACAGTATCCAAACCCCTTCCGGTCAGAATGCGCTCCGTAGTCGCCGCAACACTACCTCCATTCCTCTGCAAATCCCACATGATATCCCGTCGATTTAGCTGAGGAAACATTTGCGAGATTTGTTCGACTTGCGTTTGGTCAATTATGCGACCCTGGGGACGACCAGACCCGTTGGCGCGAACAGCGCCATCGCGATTCAGGAACCACCGAATCACAAAGAATGACACGACTGCTAGTGTAAGCAGTGAGGGAATGTTGACAGAAGGCTCTTCTTCCGCCATACTTGGAAAAGGGGGGCTTGTTGGGTTGCAGCGGCGCCACACAGTGTGTACTCAAATGCGCAGTGTGAACGCCTCGGCAAGGCGGATAAGCACGGTAAAGACGACGATGTGATACGCTGAAAATCGAGGTTTTGGCGCTTAGCTTGACGGAAAGCTAGGCCGGCAGGATTTTTTAGATCGTGATCGTTGCGACTGTGGTATGCTGCAGGGGATTCGCGATCTGATAAGGCGGCAGTTGCGGCGAGATGACAAGGTGGCGAAGATGTCACGAGATCCCAATGTGGTGTGCCAAAGACACGGATGAGGCTCGCTGAGAGCAAGTGGTTGCTTGGGATAGAAATATAAGGCAGCGACGGTGGGCTAGGTGATTAGTTGTTTGATGCCTGAGATGAGTTGTGTAGAATCCCTGAATAGAAGGGAAGAGAAGGTCCGAGGCAATGCACCGAGGCAGCCGACGAACTAGTGATCCACTGCGGGTGGCCGCCGTTACTTGGCCGCCGCAAACAGGACTCAATCTTATGCTGTGTTGTATAACTATATTGTATACACTGTTATCAGACGAAATTGCTTAAATTAGGGCAAAAATAGATAGAAGGAGCCGGTCATAGAAATAACGGTTAACCACCAGAAGTAGAATCTCAAGCCATGCAAACAGTCGCAGTCAGGATTGAACCACGAACCCACTCAAGTCATCACACAGCATGCATACCCAGCCCATATCAGCTTCTAGAGTCATGTACAAACACTACCCCAGCCCAACACCAATCACCTATCCACAAATGCCCAAAAAGAAACCAGAGCCTTAGACAATGTAAACATGCATCGTTATAATAGAGGAAATCATTTCAGATCAGCCGGTGTCAGTGCTTGCACAACACTTGTGCCTTCACTGAAACGCGTCTTGAAGATGCGGTTGGCGTTCTGGAACATGCCGTCTTTGAGAGAAACAATGATAAATTGAGATCCCTTAAACCGTGTCTTGATTAAGCGACCGATATTTTGTGTGTGCGACAGATCGAGGGCTGCGTCGACCTCGTCGAGGATATACATTGGCGCTGGTTTGAATTGTAGGAGGGCCATGATAAGTGAAAGGGCAATGAGGGATCTGGGTTTGTTCCGTCAGTCAATGTATACTCATAGCATTCTTCGAGGCCAGCTTACCTTTGACCACCACTCAATTCTGTTAGACTCTGCTTCCAGACCTTACCGAGAGACACCTTAACTTCCAGTCCATCTGTAATCTCCTTGCCTTCGGGGGGATCAAGCTTGGCAAAGCTGCCAGGAAGGAGCTCAGCAAAAATCTGACCAAAATCGTGGTTGACTTTGCTCCACGTCTTGTGCAGTGCCTCCTTCTTATACTCATTCAGGTTGATGATCGTTTCTTCAATCTTGCCCTTGTCTCGAATGACAGTTCTCATCATGTTCTTCAGGGCGACTTCCTTCTTCTCAACGCTGTCAATCATATTCATGACCTTCGGGTTGATCTTCTTCTTCATCCCTTGGAAACGCTCTGTCAAGTTACGCAATGTCGACCTGCATTCGGCAATGTTCTGTCCTCTGAAATCGTATGGACTATTTGGACGACCGAAACTATCCTTTTCATCCTCGATCCACTCGTGTTCGCCTTCCATGTTGGCGACTAGCTGCGCGGCTGCTTGCTGATCTTTATGCAGCTTCTCAATTTGATGGCCTAATTTTTGCATCTCTAGAGATTCCTCGGTGATACGGGCATTCTTCGAGCGAATTGCTTCTTCGAGATCACTCAATTCGTCGTCAAAACTTGTCAACTTGGCTTGCTCCTCTTCTAATTGAGCCTGGGCGATATCATGGGCATCCTGCGAGAATTAGTTTCAGTGTCTTCGCTAATAGACTCCATTATACACTCACCTTGATGTTTGCCTGTTCTTTCTTCAGAGCCTCCATTTCTTCAATCTGGGCCTTCGCAGCGATATCCGCTTCAGCCAACTGTTCCTCAGCAGCTGACAGGTCACTTCCGGCTTGTTCGGCCTCGAGTCGCGAGGCTTGCAGTTCCTTTTGCAATGTCTTGACGGCGATGGAGTTTTTGTTGAGACTCTTTTTCAAGCCGTCAAGAGAGGTTTGTAATTCGGCAAGCTTGCTGTCTTTGTTGTTGTCGAATTCCTTCATGTCCTTCTCGATTCGCTTAATATCCGTCGACGCCTCAATATGGCGAGCCTTTGCGTCGTTAATGTCATTCTTCAGCTGTTCAATGTTCACCTTCATCTCCTCGACAGCATGGATGATCTGCTCAGATTAGCGCAAATACTTGGTTGTAATCTTCACCATACTTACCGAAGATGAACTGTTGCTGTTGATTTGATCTTCTGTGAGCTTGATCTCATGGTTCTTCAAATCCAATTCTTGCTTAATAGCCCGCATAGCATCCAATTTCTTCTTTTCCTTTGCCATGGTCTCTTGTAAGCTTGACAGCTGGCGTTCTTTACTCTTCATTTCTCTTGTAATCTCATGGAGCTTCTGAAGAATCACAAGTACACCACTTGAATTTGGCGAGCTGCCTCCAGAAAGGGTTCCGGAGGGATCATAAACATCACCGTCCAAAGTAACGCTCTTCAAGCGAACGTTGGGGTCAAATGTAACCGTCTTAGCAGTCTGGGCATCTTGAGAAATGAGGGTTGAACCGAAGACGTAGTCCATAGCCGCAGAAACCTCGTCATCATATCCAATAAGCGAAAGAGCGAGATCGACTTTCCCTGGAGCCAATTTCTGTGCAGCAGAGATCTTCGCAACAGATGCCTTGAAAGCCGAGATCTTGTTCAAAGGAATAATTGTCACGCGTTTGCGAAGTTTACCATTCTGGAGCAGCTGAGAACCAGTATCCGCGCTGTCAACAACGACGTTATAAAGACGTCCACCCGCACAGATTTCCAGTGCAGTTCCGGCCTGAGTTTTGTCTTTATCAAGCGTGAACAATTGAGCAACCAAGCCTTTAACCTTTGATCGGTCGAAGCCACTGTAGGGATCGGAGTAAGAAAAGTCCAGATTTGCTACTTTTCTGTTCAAACTGTCTGCTTTTTCCCGAAGCTCTCGAATGTCTCGTTGTAAAGTAGATTGCTCCTGATACATCTGTTCCTCCTTGCCAGGCTCAAACCCTTGTTTGGCCATCTCAGACTCCAACTTCTTCGCTCGTGCTCTCAAGGATTCCAGATCCTTAAGGAGCCCGGAGTTCTGCTCTTTGGCCTTTTTCGCGCGCGGCTCTTCCTCCTTGATTCTTTTCTCGAGATGGCTAATTTTAAGCTTGGCTTGTTCCTGTTCTGTCGTAGAAGCACTGACACGATTTCGCGCGTCTTGAAGCTGTCCCTGATAGCCGTTTTCCTGACCTTCCTTGGATGCGACACCGGTCTGCAACGTCTGAAGCAACTCTTCTTTCGTCTCAACTTCTGCATTGTGGGCATCGAGTTCCGTTTTCGCAGCGTCGTATTTCTCTTGGAGCTTATCGTAGACTTTTTTCTTATCCCTGAGTAGCTTTTCCAGCTCAGCAACATTCTTCCGGCTGGCTTTCCGTTTTTCTTTTTCTTCTGCCATACTAGTATTCTTCAAATCGATAACAGTTGCCAGTCGGACTATTTCGTGCGAGTGTTCCTTGACATCGTTTTCCAACGCCTGGAACTTGCCACCTTTGCGCAGTTCCTTTTCGCGAATAGCTTTAACGCGTTTCACATCTTCTTCCAGATGCGCAATTTCGCTCTTGAGCCGCGTCGCATTATCTTCGAGATTCTGTGTTTTGGCTTTCTTCGCTTCATATTCTTCTCCTGCGATTTGTAGCTTATCTTTGCTCTTCACATAATCGTGGGCTACCACTAAGCGCGTGAGACGCTCCACGTCGTTCTGCGTTTGCTGGAAATCAAGAAAGGCGCGCTTTTCACCGCGAAGCTTTTCGAGCTTGGGCTCAATTTCTTCATTCAGCAGCCCTTCAATTTCGCGCACCTTCATCTCCTTCTTCGCCATAGTTTTCGCAGCTTTCTCTTTCCTGTCCTCGAACATGCGAGTACCGGCAGCCTCTTCAATCATCGACAAAATTTCGACAGCCTTCATATTCAACACTTTTGTAATCCGACCCTGCATAATCAAGAAATTCGGGTTGTTGATATTTAACTGGACGCTCTGGAAGAGGTTCTGCACTGTCTGCTGCTGCGCGCGATGGCCATTGATGAGATATTTGCTAGTGCCGCCTAGAACGATCTGTCGCGTTACGGAAATGCTCGCATATTCCTCGAACCCGATTGGCGACTTGGCTGTGTCGCGATTATCAAAGACTATAGTGACGCTGGCCTTGGTGACTCCAGCCTGTCCGCGCTTGTAGATAAGATCCTGCAGGTTTTGCGCTCGAACGGTGCTCATGTTGGTGATACCGAGGACAAAGCAGATGGCATCGAGAATATTCGATTTTCCACTACCGTTGAGACCGGTGATGGAATTGAAGGATTCGTCCCTATGCGACATGTCAGCGCCCTACTCTTCCGTCAAACGTCCAATGCTGCGATCAATTCGGCGTGGCATTTCTATCGAATCGCAACACAATATCCAAGCAAATTTAAAAAAAATAGAGTAATTCATACCATCCTGAAATAACCGTTCGCACGGCGTACGACTTGAAGCCCTATAATCCGAATGTCAACACCCGCTCGTCATTGTGTATCGTAAACAAAACCCACGTCAATAATAACTTCCACGATCCTCATCGTGGCGCAAGGCCTATGTAATATTCCAAATCTGATGCTATATCATTAGTAGACTGCGCCGATAACAAAAGTCGTCTGCTTTGTAGCAACGAGTGGGCGTTTGACCGACGCTCTCCGCTTCGGTGCGATGATGCGGATTGTTTTGCTCTGGTCCGGCGGGAGCTGTTTATGGTTTGCCTAATCAAGCCTAGACATCACGTGCCGTCGCCAACTACCAGCAGGGCCCCGCACCAGTCCGTTCTCTGCTCGCATAGGACGTGTCGACATGCAGAGGTAAGGGTATATGCATGGCGCATATGGCAGCATTTATTTCACACTGGTTCTGTTGGTGGTTTGCCCGAGCTTATAAAACGTGGTCGGTGCAGGCTCCGTAGCATCCGAGATTCAGTAGATGAAAATGCTATGAGTTTATAAATCTACGAAACAGTCCACAGATATCGTGAATAAAGCGCGAGCCATTTCGCAACGGCAGGCATTTATTGTCATTCGTAATTATGTCATTCATACCATGCTCCTAGTAGTAGACCGTTGCCTAATAAAATCAACGCCGATTGCCAAACGTTTCCTTTAATGCTCGTTTTCCACGCTACCAGACAGACAACAATGAACACATCACGGATCATAAAAACCACTATGAGGCATGAGGAGTGAATCCAACACGTTGCACACCTCGACCAGGATCCAACCTGTTATCAAGGTCTTCATATCGAAGGATGAATTCGCGCTAATAGGATAAGCATTAGTATTCAAGTTGGTTAATGGCTTAGAGTAGGACATACGCGAATCTTCTTCCAAGATGCAGGATCCCACCACAAGTAGACGCCACGTTCGCTCACACCACGTTCAACATCAACGGGGCCTGGGTAAGTCTCATCTCGTGTCAGCCAGCAACGCTCGACTTTGTGATATCGCCATTTGCGGCCCATCAATTCCTCGGCCACGAGCTCTTGTAGAATATCGCGGGGCATGCTGTAGAAAATGTAGAATAGAGTCTCGTCGCTAAAACTCGTAATGCGGGTTTGCAGAGGTTGTACGTTTCCCACGTTGTAGCAGCTAGGGATGGTGAAATCTTGTTCCAGTGGGACTGCAGACATCGAAGCAACAAATGGTGAAGCAAATGAATGATGTAACGGCCTGTTAGTCTAGTCAGCTTGAAGCGCTGCATATCTCCGTGTCAAAACATACTCGGGTTGATTGAGGTCCAGTCCCAAAGTCATGAGATCCTGCCCAACCGCAAGACTGGCTACATCAGGGCTTTCACTGTGTATCATTCGGAGGAGGCCCGCGAGTCCGAATCTATCCAGTTCGCTCATCTGCGACAGAGGTGGTTGTTCAGAACTTTGACCAGAAGCTGAAGGATCTTGCGCGTCTCCTTGTGATTGGCGCTGCAACTGCAGTCCCTGGCTAGCTTCCTGCTCCGGAAACCATTCAGGATCACTAATTAGTCTTTCATAGATTGCGGCTCTTCAGTATTTCTTACCTCTTTCTCCTGACTTGACACACCATTCGGTCTTTGAGGCGAACGCGACGTTGTAAGGCCTGGAGCTAGATCCTGTCAATATAGGACCATGAGATATTCAAGAGTGACTAAACACACCACCAGCGCCTGATGTTCCTGGAGACATGACGCGACCACTCTCCTGTCCATTCAAAGTCGCGGCGAGGATGTTTCGAGCTTGGGCGGACTGTGTCTGCGCTGAGAATGCCAAGCCAGGTCCGTAGCTGCCGAAACCCGTGTTCTGCAGCACTGAACTCCGCCGCTCTTGCCCGATGTCGTTCATGCGGCCTTGGATGCCCCCAGGAGGAATGTCGGTCGTGTTTCGACCCAACGGAGGAAACTCTTCAATGTTCCCTGTCTGCGGCTGTCCGCCAGCACCAAGCTGCCCGCTTATCCCTTGCCCGCTGCCTCGGAAATCGTCTAACCGGTTTGCAAACTGGGCTCCAGATGGAAACAGGTCGTCTTGGGACGGTTGTTGCTGGGCATAGTGGCTTTGCGTTTGAGACGTTCGGGAGGGGGGCTGGCTGGAGGGGGGTTGCTGGCGTTGAACTGGCGTTTGCTGAGTGGCACGTTGCCCAGCATTCGCCCAAACTGCTTGCGCGGAGTTTTGTGATTGATTTTGCTGTGGCACTCCAGATAATGAAGGAAATTCGCTTGTACAACCACAAGTCAGTCGAATGCTGTGACTCTGTCTATGCGGTTGACGACGCGTATGAAAAACCACTTACGAGAGATCCAGAGGTGTTGCAGGCTGAGAGCCACCAAGACTCTGAGCGAAGGTTCCCATCGTTCCTATATTTCGCTGTTGATGACTCGGCAGTCCTGGGGCCCCCATGGGGAGACCGAAATTCCAGTTGCCACTTGTACCTGCCCAACACAGTCCCAGATCAGATAACCTTCCAGACAGCAGTATTCGCGGCGACGCACCTATCTTACCATTTGGTAACCGTGCGGAGACAAGACTGGCGTTTCGAGCTTGAGCTTGTTGTTGTTGAGGAAATCCGGGGATGCCCCTCAGAGCTTGTGGGCCGGGTCCTAGAAGTCGCCCAAAGCGTTAGTAACGTTTATCCAATAAAGCCATGTCTTCTTCCCCTTGTCCGACTTCCTTGCATGTTAAGGGGTGCAAAAGGCACGATGCGACAACTCTCTAATCTTGTCATGGGAATACCGCCGGGTGACGGTGCTGCAAGACATGTACTAGCTCCTCTGGCTGCCCATTGGAGCATTCTGAGACAAGCATCGTACTTCTCATCCTGAAATTCTTGCATGACAAAGAGGAAAGAGCCACCAGCCCATACCTAGATAATCGCATAAGTGGTGGCGGGGGCAGACAAACCTGGCCTATTCATGGTGGAATTGACTGCAAGATCTCTGTGTGGATAATAGCCAAGACTGGATATGGCAGAAGAAGAATTCGATATTGCTGATAACCAAATTGCCGGCACTGCTGCAAGGCTGTCTTGAAAAGAGCATGCGACTCTGCGTTTGGAGAAGAAGTGCTCTCTGAACTGGATCTGACCGATCACAGGCGGAGAGATGGTAGCCGCGCGGTTAATTTAGTGCACGGGCCAAGTACATTCTGGTTTCAGTCAATACTCAACGGTGTGTACAGTAGCCTTTTTAATCATCGTTAAATTAATGAAGCTTGTCTAAATTAAGTTTGCTAAATAGAATAAGGAAGGTATCTCTTTCATAACCAGTATTGTTCACTATTGGCGAAATCTACTTTGGCTACTAATCTCTACTATTGAATTGGCAGCTTATCCAATAACAAGAAAGTTGAAGTAATAGCTGGCTAGACGAAGAATAGGCTAATAAAAATAGCATTTCATGCCTTGCGCTAAGTTTCGAAGAATATTTTCAACACAAAATCATCAATCAGAAACTCCAACAGCTAAGACCAGATATTATATCACGTGATCTTAGCGCGCCGGCGCGTTAGCAACTCGAGACTTTTCTTCGACTCCGAGGCGGACACACGCATGTTCATTCGAAAGCGGTCAATTGGCACTGCACACCACTGCCAGGGCATCCAAACTCCGCGATGAATCGACAGACTGTAATCCGGGTGGCAGCACAGTCGAAATATTCTTTATTCGCTGAATTGCCTCCTCCTTACCTAGCTCCTGCGCTGCACAGCAATGCCGGCTCGTCTACCCAACACGCCAGCTTTTCCTGTACCGCGAGTAATGCCGCGCGCCGTGGCCCTGACCGAAGCAAAAGCCGTGGTGTCTCGGCAATCCACATGACAGGCCCCAAGTATCGCCTGGGCGTCTCCAAATATCCATTGCCGACACCTGTCACCCTAGCAGAACGCCCTGCACGCGATCCGACACCGGACCATGGTCTTTGGGGCTTCTTTCCACCAGACAGATTGCCTTTGAGTACACCCGAATATGACATTGAGCATGGTATGTTCATCTAATACTCGCCTTTCATTCCCCCGATGCTAATGGAAAGCAGGTCGTGCCTGGTCGCTCCAAGAACTTCGCGGCAAGTCATGGGATGATCTTCATTGCCTTTGGTGGGTTTGTGTGAAGGAGCGCAACAGGATAGCTACCTCCGATTTGGAGAGAGGTCGATCTCATGCCGGTTATGGAGAAATCGAGTCAAGAGGCCGTGCCAAGGTGGTGAGTGTCCTAATTAATCCATTCCATCCATATCTTCGATTGCTCATTTAAATAAAACTACAGGTCAGAGAGACCCAAAAAGCTATTAAGAATGTGCTCCGTGAGAGATGGTATGCCTGGGAGGATGCACGAGAGTTGTGGTATAAGCGGGAGAAGAAGATTGCGAAGAAACGCGGTGTGGTCAACGACTCTCTAGAAGAGGATGAGGGCTTCGGAGAAGTCGAGGAATCATCCCAGAAACCCGAGGGTGTTGCAGAGGGCAAAACTACCGAAACCGAAAACCCCAAGACACCAGCTTAAAAGATGCTTTTTGTCTTCGGTACTATTGGAATCATCAATTGTCAAGACTTATCGGTTGAGATAGACAGCCTTGAGTCTTGCATCTTGTACACTAAGAGTCTCATATTTCTTTTCCTCGTCACTAAATCGCATTGAACCAGCGCTGTAGACTAGCTCCTGTGTTGAAATCCATCCAAGTCCTCTGAATAATAATGACGATCTTCGCTGGCTTTTAGGGGTTTAGAAAGCGCTAGGCCGGGACACCGCTGTTTGGGCTCCGCCGCGGGGATCACGGACTATCGAATTAACAGGGTCGACCGTCGTTGAGCTTTGGCACTACTGCTTTCCACGCCAGCCCGCCCCTCCCCTTAACTCACATCTGAACGATCTCGACTTCGCCATCGGACCGTCTCTTATTTTGCTTTACTTAATCGATACTGCAACGACTTGATTCGTCATGGATGAGATTGCGCCGGAGTATGATGTCGTCGTGCTGGGCACTGGTAGGTGATGGCTACCCCGCAGCGAATGCCACGGCTAACTTGCGTCCAGGCTTGACTGAATGCGTTCTTTCTGGGTAGGCCTGTACCATGTTCTGTTTGAGAGGATCGAAATTCGATTAACAATATGAAGAGTCTTGAGTGTGAAGGGCAAGAAGGTGCTGCACATTGATCGCAACGACCACTATGGCGGGTGAGCTTCAATTGCCCTCCGCATGTTTCGCTAGGCTAACAACCACCCTCTCAACACAGAGAAGCAGCATCCGTCAACATTGAGACAGTAATTATCTCTGTACATTTATTGCATAACCCCAACACTAATTCATCCGCAGCTTTTCAAAACTTATGGAAACGTACGCCCCGGGGAGGAGCCATGGAAGAAATACGGCCGAGTCAACGATTGGAACGTCGATTTGATCCCCAAATTACTCATGTCGAACGGAGAGTTAACCAACATCCTGGTTTCTACTGATGTCACAAGGTACTTGGAGTTCAAGCAGATTGCTGGAAGCTACGTGCAACAAGGCGAGGGTCCCAAAGCTACCGTCGCCAAGGTCCCTTCGGATTCCGGCGAAGCTTTGCGCTCAACTTTGATGGGTTTGTTCGAAAAGAGAAGAGCCAAGAAGTTCCTGGAATGGGTGGGCGAGTTCAAAGATGACGACCCAAGCACCCACCAAGGTAGGATGAACAGCTGAGTGCTCTGATAGAATCATGGCTAACACGGCTAGGGTTCAACCTCTCCTCTTCTACTATGAAGGATGTCTACGACAAGTTTGGCTTGGAAGCCACAACCCGCGACTTTATCGGCCACTCAATGGCACTTTACCAGTCCGACGAATATATTGTAGCTCCCGGAGGAGTCAAGGAGGCGATCAACCGTATCCGGTTATACGTCAACTCCATGGCCCGCTACGGAAAATCTCCCTACATCTACCCGCTCTACGGACTCGGCGAACTTCCTCAAGGTTTCGCCCGTCTTTCGGCTATCTACGGTGGTACCTACATGCTGAACACAGACGTTGATGAAATTTTGTATGACGAGAGCGGTAAGGTCTCTGGTATCAAGGCCACCATGAAGGAGCGTGATGAGGCCGGCGAGGGCATGAAGTTCACAACAAAGACAACCAAAATCATCGCAGACCCATCCTATTTCCCTAGTAAGGTCCGAGTTATCGGCCACGTCATTCGCGCCATTTGCATTCTGAAGCACCCTGTCGACAAAACCGACGGCAGTGATTCACTACAGCTCATTATTCCCCAGTCACAAGTCGGACGCAAGCACGGTATGTCTTGATATTCTAGATTTATCAAGATTTTCTAACGAATATAGACATATATATCGCCGTTGTCTCCTCTGCCCACAACGTCTGTCCAAAGGGTTACTACGTCGCCATTATTTCCACCATTGCCGAGACCCAAGCTAACCATCACTTGGAGCTGGAGCCCGGTTTCCAGAGACTGGGAGCAATTGAGGAGAAATTCATGGGCCCTCCAATTCCTCTCTACGAGCCTCTCGAGAATGGCAAGAAGGATAACGTCTATATTTCCAAAAGCTACGATGCTACTTCGCACTTTGAGACGACTACTGGTAGGTCTTTCATATTTCGCTGGCAAGAATACTGGCTAATCAATTAACAGATGATGTCCGTAACATCTACGAACGTGCAGAAGGCCACGAGCTCGTTGTCGAAGGCCTTCGCGAGGGCCAGAACCTTGTCGGTGAAGAGTAAAATCTTATTTGATCGAGTCATATACCACACCGGATCCAGCACGAAATGCGAGCGTTGCTTGATTAAGGTGTCAGATAGTTTTTTGAGTAATCTCGCTGTCTCGTACCTGGAGCATGTCCTTGACTTGAGGAGCCTTCAGTATCTCAAGAAGATTGCAGCTCCTCTCTTCTGTCTCTCTATCCTCCTATATGTTGATAAGCTTTCTTCTAGACCTAATACACCATTCGCTGAATCAACAGCCCTTCTACAACCGAGTATTTACGTAGTTGATCATGCACATATTCACCTATATAACAATATGTGCGACGCCCACTTACTGAGCGAGGCCTGAGTAGGCCTGAAGTGGCCAGGGAATCAAGAGTCAGTGGGCACCATGGGCCCCTTCACTGAGCGCCCCAATATGCTCACTGATCAGCATCATTTGGCCAGAATTGTGCGCTCTCCAAATTCAATTCCTTCTGTACGTCTTTTTCCCTATACACTGTACAAATTTTGACCTCATTCCGGTAACATTCATGAAAACTGTATCTGATTATCCTAATATCACCCTCGCGAATTCTAGGCTTGCGCACCTGAGGCAGCCATGAACTTTTGTGACGGGTTGAAGCCGTATATAGTTTGCATACGCTTGCCATCACGGATCTATCTCTCAGGAAGCTAGATATCATGTCAAGGGACTGATAGAGCCACTGTCTATACCAATATCTCGGATTTTCAATTGAAACCCGGATCTCCATTGACATCGTTGTATACATCCTCTTCTACTCGCTCGTTTCCCATCAAGATATCATTGACAGCGACTTCGATGATTTCGTAATCACGGATGATGCCAATCAAATCACCAGCTTGATCGTCATTCACAAATCTAATGCTTGCAGAATGGTTGTATTCAAAATGTTGGAAATGGTCGAGGATGTTTTCAACTGCACGAGCCATGAAAGCCTCTGTCGAAAAGACACAAGATTCATGGTTTGGCCGTTCCAATTTTACCCTGAATACGAATAATGCTACAGATGTGCTACAGTAAATTAGTTGGTACTATAAGACAAGATTACTAAATCACATAGCAAAGGAAAATTGTCCCATCGTATAATCCAGCGATCATCCACATATCCACCTATATACAATTCGGCCATCGTGAGTCTAGACATAACACCATCATAGTTCACTCCCTCATAATTTCTGATCCGCCTCCGGGTCTGTATTAGCCTTCTGGTGATCAGCAACCACACACAACGCATCGTCATCCACCCTCCTAATCTCCGCCTTCAGCAACGCCAATCTCCTCCCCATCTGCACAACCTCACAAATAAGCCTCATATCGGTATTCAGCGGCAGAGGACGGAGATATGTAACATTCAGATTCCGACTGACCCCTCCGTACTGAAACATCCCGGGTTTCGAGACCGCCATCAGAATTGTTGTCGACAGATTATCGATTATAGTGGCCGCGCAGCCCCCGTGCAGACTGTCCATCGAATTGCGCATTTGAGGGGTCACGGTTAGTCGGTATGTGACGCGCGCTGGTGGCCCTTTGCTGGCGGATTCGAGTCGGACATTTGCGCGGTTTTGGTCAATGTCCCAATAGGCTTGCTTTTGGCAGTGTTAGATTGGAACGAAATGGAAGTGTTGTGAGGGGTTTATAGGGTCAGTCTTACCCCCTCGCCTGGTGTTTTATTTTGGATGCTATGCATAAATCCCTGCACGTCTAATTCGAAGTCGTCGAGTTCCCTGGTGCCGCTGGCCATGGTGCTTGAGTTGGTTTGGAAAGCGTGGTGATTTCTCTAGAGTCTTTTAGCTCAGATGGTGTATAATTTTGGATGGAATGCAACAAGTTAATTAAACAGGGATTTGATTTTTTCACAGGGTTTGGTGTATGTATTGTCTATCTACTTAGAGGTTGGGATAAGCAATCACGATGCCGAGGCGATACCTCGGCCCATTTGGACGAATCAGCGCTCGAGTTCGCCTTGCGGTTGGATTATACCAACAAGTTCAATAACTAATATTATACTATTAATATTCGTATATTGGATATTGTTTATTATTTATTATTCAGACAGATATAATATACTCAGAGTGAAGCTGCGTCTTCATATCGAGTGGGGGAAACCTCCGAGCTGCAGCCAATCACAGCCGCGGAGTTGCGGCGTGTCGCGCGTTTTGATATCTCGTTAGCATCAATCGACCCTGCAAGAACAAGACATCAAGGAATCCTCGCGGCTTTACGTCGATGCAATAATTCTTGACCTGATTAAAGCTGACGATGCATTGAATTGATAAGAATAATTCTCTATTTATTTGTTTTTACTTCGTCTTTGCGATACAATTCCAGTCCAACCCGCAACACAGGAGCTTCGATTCGGTCATCAACGAAGCTTACTCTTCATTGTGTATACTTATCTGATGGCCAGAGAATTTGAATATTTCGCTAACTTTTAATGATTAGACTCGAAATTACCAAGGTCATACCCCTATATCGACGTAGCGTTTAAAATGGTCGAGTCTCGAGCCGTCAAAAGAAGAAGGGTTTCCGACGCAGCAGAAGACAACGAGGATGGCATAGCATCCAGCGAAGTCCCGGAGACACCTCCGGCCGAAGATGAAGACCCAATGGATATCGATGAATCCGAAGCCGACGTAGCCCCGGCTGCCACTCCATCCAAGTCCTCTCGACGACGGTCTACAGCGGTAGAAGCAGCTGAGCTGGAAGACAAGGAGACCCCGTCCAAAAGCGTTAGAGCAAGTGGGAGACAGCGAAAGGCGCCACAGAGATTCGAAGAGCAGGTATTCACTAGCAAAAGACGTCAGTCTCGAAAGACAGGCGAAACTCCTTCAAAGACACCCCAGTCTGCAAGAGGTACGCGCAGCGCACGCAAGGATGTGTCGGTAGATGAGATGTCACCTGAGTCCAGGGTCTTGTTGCGGAAAAGGTCAACAAGGTCTGTTAGGAGTAAAAAGGAGGAGGATATAGAACCGACTCCTGATACGACGGAAAGCCCTACGATGTTGCCGCATGTGAATGGGGGTATGGATGATAGCTATGACCCGGTGGCTGCACAACTACAACAGGATTTGGTTCAGGAAATTGAAACACAAGATGAACAAGTGCAAGCAGTTTCCTTGCCGGAATACGCTGAAGAGTTTTACAAACTATGCGACCCTCACTTTCGCGAGGAAGTGCGCATGCTCAGCAGATTCGTTCTTGAGAAACTGAATGGGACGAGGCTGGTGCCATTGAAAGGTTTAGATGCGGAATATCAAAAAGTGTATCAATTGGTCGAACAGACTGTCACCGCTGGAGAGGGAAACTCGATGCTTTTGATGGGCTCTCGAGGAAGTGGCAAGACAGCAATGGTTGAATCGATCATTTCATCCTTGTCCAAGGACCACAATGACGACTTCCACGTCGTCCGTCTTAATGGATTCTTCCATACCAATGACCAGCTCGCACTGCGAGAAATTTGGAGACAGCTTGGTCGCGAAACAAATACAGAAGAAGAAGCTTCTAAAATCAATAGCTATGCCGATACCATGGCGACACTGCTGGCGCTGTTGTCGCATCCGGAGGAGCTCTTTGACGGTTCTGGAAATGTGAATGGCATCGCAACTGCAAAGTCTGTTGTAATTGTTCTTGAAGAGTTCGATCTATTCGCCACACATCCCCGTCAAACCCTTCTGTACAATCTTTTCGACATTGCTCAAGCCCGCAAGGCGCCGCTGGCTGTCCTTGGCCTGACAACAAAGGTTGATGTGACGGAGGCTTTGGAGAAGCGAGTGAAGAGTCGTTTTAGCCATCGTTATGTATTTTTGCCATCCGCAAAGACATTTGAGAGCTTCGCTGAAGCGTGTCTTGCCGGGCTGGATATTGAGGATGGGGAGGTACAAGATAGCGAGCTCGGTCAGCTCAAACCAGGTATACGGTCGCAGCTGCTTGATGGCTGGAAATCATTCTTAAAAGTAAGTCTATCCTCCAAGTATCATCAATAACCACTAACAAGTGCATAGGGCTTGTGGGCTGATAAAGATTTCGAAACACATCTACGACGCATCTACAACCAAACCAAGTCCGTGAAAGACTTCTTCTCTAGCGCATTACTGCCAATTGCAACCCTACATCATAGCGCCTACACCCTCAACGATGAAGCTATCTCCCTTGAGATCCCAATTCCGCAAAGCTTCACATCACACACACTCGCCTGCCCTGACCCGGCTCCTCTCCCATTTGCGTCATCCATGACCGGGTCTACCAGTTCTACATCTTTACCCCTCTCCCTACTTCTGGCGGCCACGCGTTTAACAGCTATCTACGACCCTGGTCTCGACGTCTCCAACCCGCAAGACACCGCACCTCTCGCCCTTTCCTTCCCGGCTGCATATACAGAGTACGTCCGGCTCCTAACGTCCGCCAAAGCCAGCGCCGCCGCGCAGGGGGCGGCTGTTACTGGGGGACGAGTCTGGGGGCGTGACGTCTCGCGAGAAGCATGGGAGAAGCTGGTGAGTTGGGGCGTAGTAGTTCCTCTCGGATCAGGCAATGGCACAACAGATGGGAAGATGTTTCGCGTGGAAGTCAGCTATGAGGAGGTGACTGATATGGTTGGTGGAGGGGGCTCGTTGGGACGATGGTGGCGGGATTAATCATGGAAATCGTTCTAATTATGTATCCTTGCAGCGGGATCATATGTATGTTTATTATCAGTGTCTAGCATGGTATATACTTTCCGAATACCTCGTACCTCAATACCATGGATATACAACATAGCTAAGTATATACCTGTAACTTAATCAATATATGAAATATCCAACCTACCCAAGATATCAATTGATATCTCCCTTTCAATCATGGCCCGCCCAACCACCTAGAATTTCACGTATAGTACATGTACATATAACAGATTCGTTTCATCCCCATCCAATTTCAAACTTTTGGAGGCTAAACCCCCCACCACATGTGCAATTGACCACCACCCATGCTCACTCCAGCCCCCGTACCTATCCATGACTATATAGATTGTCACAGGGGAGATCATTGTCACAGACCTGGATCCATTATGATTATTACTAACTGTGTTAAGGGTTGATATAACAATCAAATTAATCTACAGGGGCTTTCTGGTATTTTGCCATTGTGTGCAAACGCTCAAATCACATAACATCGCCAGCTGCTGCCTGAACAGGCAGGCATCAGACCTGAGATCAGCCCGGGCCGTCACAGCGTGGAGTATTCTTTGTGATCAAGATATATTTCTGTACGTACGCAATCGCTCAACGGGACGAACTTGGGGTTACACGTCTACGAATGAGCGATTCATACCAGACTATGGGCTAATGAACCCGGAAGATTAACAAGGGTCCGCGTACTTGATGAAGTGCCATAAAAACCCAAAATCTTGTCCACAACAGTCTCAACTAGTCTTTGGTTCCATAACCGCATTAAAGTCTGTCGCCCAAGGTGTTTTATATGACACGCGGTGGTGTTTAGAGTATTTTAGTCAAAATCTTCACGCAAACGTCAGGGCCCTAATTTTCATCGCGCTGGGGTTACTGGCCGCGTTGACTCGCTGTGCCATGCTTAACACGAGAAGAACAAGTGGACGTACCATCGCTCATATGTATGTATTGTCTAACGTGAAAATTGTATATTGCATCTTGCCAGTGACAGTAGCGACTGGGATTATAGATTGGTGATCTTCTGGGTTTAATGAGCCGCGAAAGTTGGGGCTGTATTTTCGGATTCGCCCAGTATAATGTGGCATCATACCCAGCCGCTACAAGGGGAATCAGGTACGGGATAGATGGAAAAGTCTCAAGGAAGCGGTCGTGCCTCGTTAGCCATCGATCTCCGCAAACTCAATATCATATTTCAAATTCCAATTGACGCCTCTCAAATAATGAGTACATTGCCCATCATGTTGGCTGTGCCGACTGACAACCTATCATCGAACAGAGCCGCAGTCAAGCAGAAAAAAGCAAACCATCCCGGTGACAACTGGGAAAGGAGAGCTATAATTTTGCAACAGCGCCATTTGTTTGCATTTCCTCTTTGGCCTGTTCTTGGAGAACCTTTCGCAAAATTTTGCCTGATGGATTCTTTGGGATCTCATCCGCAAAAATTGCTCCTCCAGTGATTCATTTGATTGCAGAGACTTTTCCATCCATGAAGGCAATAACATCGTTAGCGGTGGCGCTATGCCCAGGTTTTAACACATTATAGGCGCGAGGGCTTTCATCATTGTTACTATTGAGTAGAGATGCCTGCATTAGCTCTCAAATCACCCCACATCGGTCGAGATCAGACCTCAAGAACGTACCTTGGAACTCCAATAACAGCAACATCAGCAACCGCAGGGTGTTCCAACAAAAGGGCCTCCAATTCTGCTGGGGCAACCTGGTTGCCTTTCACTTTGATCAGCTCCTAATGCAGAGATGCCAGTAGCCCTTCATGATATTTGGGCCTCAAACCCAGAGCTCTCCGCGTTGGTTCCGCCCCAACTCCGTCACGCCATCATCATCCATGATTTTCGCCTCGCAGTTTGCATTAAGCTCTCCAACCGAAGCCGAATGACTGATATCATTGGGGCTCCACCCCAAAACTGAACACGTAGTCCTGGATTCTCGAGTTAGCGGTGCGTATTCTTCGCCAACGCGTTAACCAGTGAAAGCAGAGAGACGTAGGACTTAGTCATTCCCCACGCCTGTTTGACGTTGATGCATCCAGGCGGCCATAGAGCCTCAGCCTCTTCACACACATCTCGTCCCAACGGGGCAGCTCCACTCCCAATCAATTCCACGCTGCTGAGGTCGTACTTGCCGCTTTTCGCCGCTGGGTGCTTGGCTAAGGCAACCACCACGGGCGGCACCAAGATGTAGTCGGTAATGCGAAACTTTTCCGTGTACTCGAGCATCTTCAGGAAATCGAACTGCGGCATGATGTAGACCGGTACCCCGCGGTTCAATGCAGCTGCAATGAAGATATTCTGCGCCAATGCATGGTACATGGGGAGAAAGCACAACCATCTTGCGCGCTTTTCTTTCTCCTTCCAATCAGGACTCATATAGAATAAGTGATTATACTGCAGCATATTGGCACAGTAGTTTTTGTGGGAAATTTCAACCCCTTTGGGCTTTCCTGTGGTGCCACTCGAGTAGTTGAGGGCAAGGGTTTGGCTAGCCTTCTCTGGAGTCGAGAGAGGATCCCAAGCAAATGCATTTCCCTCCTCCGCGGATGCGATCAGCTCGCCCCAGTCCCTGCATCCTTTCTTTCCTTCACCCTTCCCGTCATAAATAGCATCGTTAAAGACAAAGACCTTGTCCAGACCCAACCCTGCTATTTTGGCGCCCTCAATACCCGTGTCAAGACTACCCTCGGCGCATATAAGGTAGGTTGCACCGCTATCCTGTAACTGATATGCCAGCTCCCTCGCGACGTAGGTGGGGTTGGCTCCAGTAAAGACCACCCCCGCCATAGCTACCCCCAGGAAGACCACGGGGAAGAAGATATCATTCCCCGAGAGAAGAAGCACTCGATCTCCCGGCTGGAGACCGGACTTGAGCAACCCGGCTGCAAATCGTTGACACCATAATCGAAAATCATGGGTGGTGAAGTAGTGGGTGTCCGGGCGAGCGGCCTCCGAGAAGCTTCGATGCGTTTTGGACAGAGGATGGGTGGGAGAGGTGAATAGGAGGGAAGCCAGGTGGGTATTTGGAACCTCGATCTCCCAGCGGGATTTGAACGGCATTTTTGCTATGTCTACGCCTTTGGGCCGTCGAGCCCTGAACTCTGAAACTGGGCAACGACAAACAATGCAAGAAGCAACGAGCAGTTGGCTAATATACAGGGGTGAGAAAGAGCCTCAGGCAAATAAAGAAACAAGGAATCAGAGCCCCCCTGGTCCAGTAAGGCAAGATAACAAAGGTGAGGGAGAGCCGGCAAAAACACACAATTACATACGTAGGGACAGACCAGGGTCAAATCACGATATGGAAGCAGCCCATCTGTCAGACAGGGAGAGGGGAGGGAAGTATGCGCTTTAAAAATAATGCTATCTCACATTCCGTCCCCACTTCATCATCTATGATCAACTACTATTAGCCAGCCTCTGTTCATAACAAGACAGATTATGCCGGTCATAGAGAGACCTTTGATCAAGCTCCATCAGAATCACCGCCAACGCCGAGGCCCTTTGTGAGCCATGCTGAAGCTCTGCCAGCCTTTCGATCGGTTTTTGTATATACTGGAAGTCACCACTCCACCAATCACCCCCACAGACGTGCGGAGTTCCCTGAAGCGTCCGTAGACCTTGGGCATTGATGAACTAATTAATAATTTAGCGCTGTGCTGTATGAGTACAGAGTATGAGTAGTCAATCTTGGCTTAACTGTGTGGTTTGATTGGCTCGTTGGCTTTAGTCATTTTATGCATCGCATGAGCGATGTCAGGTTATGGAGGTTCGCCTAAAGAAAAAAGTGCGCCTATAAGACTATCTAACGACTGGTTCGCTGGATAAAGAATAGGACCACTTATTAATTATATACTCCCCCACGCAAGGGCCCTAATATGCAACCTGTTTATTAGTATAAGGGGAAGACGGCTTTATTAATTCAGGCCTTCTTCCCACCCTTTTTGAAGACTCTACTCAACAATCTAATGGACTTTTTCTATCTGGCGTCTCTACACATCCCCTAATCACTATATATAAAATCGAACAAGCTATCAACCAACCAGGTGCTGAGAAGGCCCCAGGCCGTAATAACATTCTAAACGGTTCACCAGGCGGCAGCAACCCCCTTAGCCCTCCTGCTGTCACGCTCTTTAACTACTACCTCTAGATAGGGTATTGCCTTCAGTATTTCTAGGGGCCTATAATCCAATCACTCTATTTAACACCATTGACAAGATTACAAGGAGCATCATCGCCTACTAATTAAACTACTTTACAGATACTTATAGCCTACTCCTAGTGATCTACTTTGGGGACTTTTAGGAATAAGATCGTCAAATCTATCTAAAAACAGGGACTGGTAGTCTCAGCACTGCTTCAACTATACGTTGTCGGGCAATCTCTGGTTTGTGACGATCGGTTTTCCTGCAAGGGAGAGCTTTCAGTACAAGTTCATCCGCATCGATAGCGATGGAGATGTCGAGTGGGAAGATGGTGATAACCGCAGTTCTACTATGCCCGCTGCGTGCGCGACGACTGCTGCTACGGTGAGTGATACCTGGGGGGAGGTTGGAGGAGTGGAATATCTGAAAAAGATCATTTCAGAAATTGATCTTGTGTAATAGAGTCAGTGTGATTAGTCGATGTGATGAGTGCCCGTCGACAAGAGGTCTAAATCTTGACAGTTCTAAGATAGTATCACTAGCTTAAATTGAAAAGTTATAGTTACCAAATGAGGGCCATTAGATTTCAATGTTGGGATTAAGTCCATACCACAACCATGGATTGAGATGATGGATTCAAGTCTTTGGAAGTATTGTCGACCGAAAACAAAATGGGTTATAGAGCTAACATCTAATTTAAATCTAACAATATTAAACAATGCCGGACGTCCTTTGGATATGATATCCCATGCTATTATACACGTAAGATATGGATCAAATTAGAGAGTACATGCATTAGAAAGAAGATGGTATTTTACAGCTTGTGACTAGCACTTTCCAATACCATTTGCGGATATTCACGGCCCGTCATTGTGCCCGACATATGCCACTATCCGCCATCTACTGGGATCGCTACCCCTGAAATATACTTGGCCGCGTCACTGAATAAGAATACGGTTGCATCTGCTATTTCCGAGACCGAGCCGAAACGTTGAAGCGGAATTCGCCTTTGAGTAGTCACCAGTCCTGCTGTGTCGCTGAGTCGGCTGACGCCCTCGGTATCAGCAATCGGGCCGGGGGGGGATAACCTGGCCATGTTATGAGCCTGCTAGAAGAGAATGTTAAAAACAAATAAACTCACGTTAGAAGTCACTCCGTACGGCCCATATTCTATACACATCTGCGAGCTCAAAGCGTCCACGCCGGCCTTTGCAGCTACAGCGTGGGTTTGCAGCGGTAAGCCGATGTAGTGCATTGTGGCAGAAAGGTAGATAATTCGTCCCCGATTCTTCTTGAGTTCTTCGGCATACGCCTTGCTTGCATTAAAGCTGCCTAGAAGATCGATGTCGATGACAGACTTAAACGCATTGGCGGACAGATCGTCGAAATTAGCCAGGAAATTGCCTGCTGCTCCAGCACTGTATAACGATACTAAGCCTAATTCGGAAATTAGATATAGGGTTCCTACATCAGAAAATCGATGCGGCCGAGTTCAGCCACTGTGCGCGCAACGGCAGTCTTCAACGAGTCGATGCTCCTCACATCGGCCGAAATGCCAATAACACGGCTGCCCGCGCGACAGAGGCGAGCACATTCTCGCGACGCCCGATAATCGCCGCATTTGCGCCCAGACTAACAAGAGCCTTGACCTGCACGCTGCATATCGACCCAGCGCCGCCTGTGCAAAAACAACTTTCCCGACTGAGACGCCGTTAGTTTGTAGACGGTATAGCGGTTAGATGACTAGATTGTCTCACTCACCGAAGATGTTAGGTGCTCATGTGCTAGTGGAATATAGCGAGTCGGAATTAGACGGTACCATTTGATCGATCGGTATTAATTGGTGCTACGGTTTGTTTATTCTGAAGTTGCAAAGGGTTGAAGTTATTATTTGTCCTGTTTCTTTTGTAAGTTGCACCACCATCCATAGGTATCCATTCCTCGGCCGTGGACAACCGAGCTTATAGGGCTGCCGAGGATGTGCCGAGCCAATAGAATATATGTGTGGTCCAAGGTAATAAGACAACAATATAAGTAGGACAGCTATATGCAAGGACTGCTACCATAAGACAGTGCATGTCAAATTGTTAAAAAGAGCATATATTAGGGGGAAATTTACAGAATGCACATACAACTCCGGTATTACAGCGAGCAATATCGCCCCCGCAGCTGTGCCCCGCAGCGAATGGCCAATCACAGTCGACTCGTTTGTAGCCCCAGATTTGAATAACGAAATGGCAAATGTTGGCTTAGTCTTGTCACATCATGAGTTGGCCTGGTGTCGCGCGATTGTACATGCCTCGCCAACTCAGTCGATCAACGAGATTAGGTGATAAGGTCCTATCTAGAGGGTAGACGCGACAGGGGGTATGATGGCTGACGAGCCCCTCCCCAAGCGAGCTCGGCAAGCCTGCGATAATTGCCGGTAAGCATCTCCTCCACCACTATTACACCTTGCAGATGACTGGACTCACCATTGACAGGAGGAAGAAGACTCGCTGTCCCGGCGAGAAGCCCGCTTGTTCATTCTGCATTCGTCTGGGCCAGCCCTGCGAATACGCGACTGGAGCGCCGCCCATGAAAAAGCTCGCACGACATGCTGACACGAGTTCATTATCATCGCGCCAGGTAATTCATGATGCTCTTATCGCAATTATTTCTGGGCTGATGCTGACTTGCTACTCAGCCGGAGACGGACCTAGCACATCGCGTCGCCTTTCTGGAGACGCAGCTAGGCATTGCCACGCAGAATGCTCTCTCACCGTATGTATGGCATTCCAGATTGTCCGAGTAAGAAGCTTAGTAAATGAACCAGAACTCTGGGGTATAGCAGTGGCAGTAGTGAGTCGTTGCTGAATGAAATGAGCACGCAAGCTTCGAATATGCGACGGGGTTTCTCGTACTCCATGCCAACAGATACACAGTCTTCATCAAGAGCGCAAGTGCAACTGTCACCAGAAAGCAAATTCAACTCGGGGCCACCCATGTCTGTACTTGAGTCTCTAACAGACGTGTACTTTACCTATTGCCACAACCAGCCATACTGCTATTTCATCGAGTCAAAGTTCCGAGAGCGTCTCCAAGAGGGGGCTCTCCCTAGATACGTTTTGTTGGCTTTCGCCGCAACCGCAGTAAGATACTCCTCCCATCCATATTTCGAGGGACAGACCCGCGAAGCCATGGAAACATATGCACGGGGAGCTTGGAATATCATACTTCACCAGGTTTTCTCCTCTGAGCAAGGGCTGGATATATACGTGGTGCAGGCGACTAATTTACTGGCAATTGTTGATTTTACTGGTGGGTTCTCTGCTTGATATTTCTCTTTCCTGACGCTAAAAGGGTATGTATAGGCGGGCAGCACCGCCTCGGCTGGGTCAAGATCGGCCTTGCTGTGCGATTCGCACAAGGAATGCGGCTGAATGCAGAGCCCGACCAGATGATGCCGCCTTGGCAGCAAGAAGAATACCGCAGAGTATTCTGGTCAGTCTACCTACTCGACCGCTTTGTTTCCTGTAGTCATGGGCGCGCCCCAACCATTCTCGATCGGGATTGCACTGTGCGACTGCCCTGCAGCGACGAGCAATTCCTCTCGCAACCCTCAGAACAGACCCCGACGATATCTGTACTCAAAGATCTCCCCGATATGGGGAGATGCATGAATCTCGGCGACTTCTCGCTAATGATCATGATGTCTTCGGTCCTTGCGCGCGTGGTGCGGTATAGCCTGCAACAGAACGCGAGCAACTCATTCCCACCATGGGACTTTCGCAGTGACTTTGCCGAAATAAAATTCATTCTGTATAGCTTCGAGGGTCTCCTCGGGACGGGAAATGATGTCCTGACGGAAACCCTCCACAGCCGATTTCACAATGGATCGCGATACGATACACAAAAAGTCGCGCATTACATATGGTGTCGAGCATTGTATTATCTCTGCGACTGCCTACTGCACCACCCATTTACACTCTACAACGACTTCAAACATTATCGGAAAACGGTCCCCCCTAGCTTTGCGCGACATGCGCTTGAGAGCTGTCTAGACGATGCCGAGCAGCTCACTATCATTCTGAACACAGTCCGAATAACGCAGTGTTGTGCGCGCGCAAGTTTTCTGGGGTACTTTGCTGTAGTAGCTAGTTCTATACATCGGTTATACGAGTTTTCGACAGACGAGGCGATTAAAGCTCGGTCTCTGCGGTCTTTTTCTAGTTGTCTTCAGTTTCTTGACGAATTGCCTCAGTATTGGAGCATGCACACGAGAATGGTATGCTTCCACTCCGCTCGCGTTAATAATGTGAACAAGCATGATACACTAACATATATTTCTATTCTAGGCCATGGATCTCCGAGAATTCGACGTCGGCGAATCTGTCGCCAAAAACCTCATCAAGCCATCATCGGCCGACGATGACATCGAGTCCGATGATCTGGACGCGCTGTGGCGGATAGTAGACTATGGCTGGCTGACCGACGCAAACCGTACTGATTCCCCATTCCGACGAACGCCGTCGCAGTTGAGTGGGATTTTCCACTGGGATTTGATTGAAGATCTGATGTGCAGCCATTTCAGCATGCCATTGGGGCAAAGTAGCTATAGGGAAGGTGACGATTATATGCACTACGGGACTAGACCAGACTCGTATTTGGTTTGAATGAGCGCGAAAAGAGATTTTCGTGTTGTATTATATACATCAATTTTTATGACTACCATTTAGGCGTCGAAACCAAGCTTCACGAAAATAATGACATATTGGTGAATATACATGTCGATTGAGCATTTACAGCTTCTCACTCCTCGCCAGCGTTCTCACGGCCTTCTCTTCCTGACTCACAGCCAAATCCGTCAAAATCTCCTCACTCCCACCACCAACAACCATAACTCTAACATCGCGACTAATCTGCTCAATCCTCGCGCCCCGCCCGGTCCTCGAATACCCAGCACCACCCAAAATCTGCTGCGACTCGCGATTGACATGCTCCAGGGTCCTTCCGGCAAGGACCTTCAAATTCGCGATCAACCCGCCAATATGCGCGTCGGTGCCATTTTTCTTGGATTCCTCGATGATGTAGACCAACTGCTCCATCAGCGCGTACGCGGAGTCGAGCGTGCGTCCGATCGAGCTAATCTTATGCCGGATAGCTTGGTTGGTGATGAGCTTTTTGCCAAAGGTCTCGCGGGTCGAGGCGTAGTTGTAGGCGTCTTCGGCACAAACGCGCGCCATGCGCAGACTGGTGCAGGCGAGCCATAGGCGCTCATGATTGAAGTCTGAATTCGCATTAGAACAAGACTAATTGACAGTGTGGGTTCTGGAGAGAGAGGCCGTACTTGACATGATAATTTCAAACCCGTGGTTCTCCCGACCCAGCAGATTCCCAACAGGGACCTCGACATCGTCGAACTCGAGATACGTAGAGCCTATTTATTCTACATCAGAAACCGTCATAGGGTCTTGCTAAATGAGAAGTAGAACTCACCACTCGCACTAACGCCGGAATTCTCAATCTTCCGGCGCGTAACGCCCTTCGCATTGAGTGGAATTATCAGCGCAGACACGCCCTTTCTGCCGTCGCCGCCAGTACGAACAGCTGCAGTCGTGTAGTCGGCGAATATGCCGTTTGTGATCCATTTCTTCGCACCGTTGACGATGTACACGTCGCCGCGGCGCTCGGCGGTTGTGGTGAGCCCGGCGACGTCGGATCCAGCTAAAATCAAAGAATTACTACGTTGTTGCAGTACGAGATTGGTGGGAATAATAGCTTACCATCAGGCTCTGTGACGCCAAGGCAGAATCTCGATGTTCCACTGAGAATTGCTGGGACAAATTTCTTCTTCTGCTCTGGCGTGCCAAAGTTGATCAACGGCGGCGCGCCGATCGAATTACCGCATGTCAAAGCCCAAATCACGCCTAGATATCCACAGCGCGCGATCTCGTCGATGACAATCAGATCGTGGAAGCCATCCCACTCGGTCGCCTTGATGCCGCCGGGGAGACGGGTGTCTGCCAGGAACTCAGTGGCGAGGGGGTAGACCGATACAGCCATATATCCCAGATCGGAATGTCGTTTGATTGCCTTTGAGATCAATCAGGTCACTGCACATCTGATAGGTAGGGAGGAGGAATACTTCGGCAGGGACATGGCCCTCGCGCTCCCACTGCTCGCAGAACGGACTGATGTATGTATCGACGTATTCCCTGGCTTCTTTCTGCAACCGGCGATGGCTCTCGTTGTAGTACGGGCTCGCACCGCGCGAGATCCAGATAGGATCTGAGAAGGGAGCAGGGACTGCGGCCGCCATGATTGCTGATTCTGCTGTCTGAAATGATCGGTCCCGGCAAGTACAAGTATTTACTATATACTACTCTTTAGAGCTTGCTCGTGATATGTTCTCACAAGGTCAAAACCCGATCGAATAATTAATCAATCTACAATTATTACGCCGATCGCCCGCCGTCCTCCGCCCAGGCGTATTAATAGTATAATACCGTATTGAATCGCAGTGGGCACGGAATGTCAGCAACAAAACCGGGCCGGGCCGGACCGGGCCCACCTGCTCGTAATGCGGGGTCGGTTCCCCGGAAAAGAAGCTGTGCTGTTGTCCAGTTATTCGGCATAGGGAACCAAGTTACCTAGGCCCTTTGCGCATGTGGAGGAGTTAGATATATCAGACTATCCCATCTTCCTTACACAACGAGAAGAGCGTGGATAACTGAATTGCGTTCTTCCATCTGTCATACTCGTCGTGATTATTTCCGATATTGATTCTCGAGCTAGCGAGTAGCTGCAGCAACGGCTCGTTGCGCGGGTACAGGCCGATTGGCTGAGAATTGCTGCGAGGAATAGAATTGATATAATAGTAGAAGTATCCTAAACTTTGGGTCATAGTATAGTCAGCTTCAGACCCAACATGCCCAAAACAACCGACACAGGCACGGCGTGTCCTGCGCGCCCGCCATTGTTCGTCGCCCAATTGCCCGTCGGCAGCGATGGCAAGCCCAAGATCCAGCGCGTGCTGATCGCAAACCGTGGTGAGATTGCGTACCGTGTTATCGAGGCCTGTCGGACGCTGAATATAACGTCTATTTCGGTTTATGTACAAGAGTAAGTTCAGCTTCCACCTTGAATCGAAAGGAATTTGGCTGAAAAATGCAGGGATGAAAAGTCGCGACATGTCAGCGCCGCCGACGAGGCGATCAATATCGGCTCTATCAACCAGGCCGGCGGCAATCCATTCCTGAATATCAAACTGATTGTCAAAACCGCAGTAGAAACCAACGCAGACGCAATTCATCCAGGCTATGGCTATCTCAGCGAGAACGCCAAATTCGCCGATGCTGTCAGAGATGCAGGGCTCATTTTCATCGGGCCTTCGGCCACCGCCATGTCAACGCTGGGCGACAAGCGTATGGCCAAAGACTACCTCCGCGAGCACGACCCCCATGTGCCGCTCATCCCTGGGTTTACTGGCAGCAGTCAGGATAATGCCGTGCTGGAGGAAGCTGCTGCGAAAATTGGGTATCCCGTCATGCTCAAGGCGTCTGCCGGAGGTGGTGGACGCGGCATGCGCATCGTGCATGAGGCGGCCAAGTTGAAGGAAGAGCTTCTCAGCGCGCAGTCTGAAGCCACCCGGTCGTTTGGCAGTGGAGACTGTATTTTGGAAAAGTACATCGCACTGGGGAAACACATCGAGTTCCAGGTCATCGGCGACAGCCATGGAAACGTAGTTTCGCTGTGGGATAGAGAGTGTTCGATCCAACGACGACATCAGAAGGTCATCGAAGAGTCACCGTCGATTTTCCTCACGCCGGAGAAACGCCAGCAAATGAGCGAAGCCGCACTTCGCGTGGGTAAGCTGCTTGGATATGAGAATGCGGGAACGGTCGAGTTTGTGTTTGATGTATCAGACGGGAGTTTCTACTTCCTCGAAATGAACACGCGGCTCCAGGTCGAACACCCAATCACCGAAGAAGTCACCAGTCTCGATATCGTCGCGCTGCAGTTCTATGTCGCAGCCGGCGGAAATCTCAAGTCATTACCGCAACTCGACAACATCCCTCAAAACGGGCACGCCATCGAATGCCGACTCTGCGCTGAAGATCCTCAGAGTAACTTCTTCCCCGAACACGGCACCGTGCGATTCTGGCAAACAGCCACCGTCGCCCTCCCCGGTCTGAAAGACACACGCTTCGAGACATCGGTCGAAACCGGCTCGCGGATTTCCATTCACTTCGACTCGATGATCGCGAAAATCGTCGTGTGGGCGCCAACCCGCGCCATGGCGATTCAGAAAGCTATTACCGCGCTGAGCCATACGATTTGCATCGGACTCAAGACGAACCAGCGCTTTTTGCAGAACTGTCTGTTACATCCGGGGTTCCAAGACCCGGCGTATACGACGGCTTTTATCCCGACGAATCTGCCCAAGCTGCTGTCGGATCCCTATGTGGATGTTCCTGCGGCTCTACGGCGGAGTCTGGCATTAATACCTAGTGTGTTCCTGCATACTGCTGCAGAGTATATCCCGCCGTTGAAGCAGAGCGGACACTTCAAGCTTGTGCGGCCTGGCTTCCGAAACCAGCGTCGCGATCCGGTGAGCGGCCAGCCTGCTGTTATTACGACGGGCGCAGGTGAGAGCCAGTTATTCCTGCTCGTGCAATGGAATGACAAGACCGAGAACGACAAGTCGGTCATCCGCGCGAAACTACAGCCGCTGCCCATTGCGCCTGCATCGCAGGATAGGAAACCCTCCGCAGCTGCACAAGTGACAGCTCAATACAATGCCATCAGCGACGCGCTGCGCAACCCAACTCCAGCAGACTTGACCTCACACGCGATCGAAATCTCACAGGCTAAAACTGCTCTCTCAGCGGGCAAGACATCGCAGCCATGGGTCAACGCGTCGCTGACCGTGACAGTCGACGGAAGAGCATTCCGCGTGTATCTCTCCACAAAAAACACCGAACTAGGCGGCTTCTCATCCGTCGCTCAACCCAAGGAGATCTACGCCCACGTCCTCGGCTTCGGGACATGGTTCACGCTGAAATACTACGACCTGCTATCGTACTGCGAGAGCATCAGACAGGTTGCAGCGACGTCCCAAGCTAGTCTGAAAGCTGTCAGCGCGCCGATGCCGTGCAAGGTGCTCAGCGTGCTAAAAAGGGACGGCGAGAAGGTCAAGGAGGGCGATGTGGTGCTTGTTGTCGAGAGTATGAAGATGGAGATGAATATTTCGGCGCCGGCGGATGGGGTGTTCAAAACGGGGGTTAAGAAGAATGATGCTGTTAATGAGGGATTTGTTTTGTGCGAGATAGAATAAATTAGTTTTATAATTTCAATTGAACTGTTTTAGTGTATTTTTTATTAGTTAGGTAGAATTCCAACGAAGCCTCTCCTATACGTACCCTTTCCCGATTTGAACGGTATATGTAGATAGACTCATTTAAATGTGCTTTTGTGAACCCAACCCATGCTGCCGATCTCTCAAGCGCTACATGAATCTCTTCATATATTGTTTATCCGATCACGGAATATGATGGATATATCAGATACGTAGATTCAACCGTCTATAGTCAACACCAATTGATATTACAAAAATATAAGTCTAGCTAAACAATCTATATCCTCGCCAGCGCACGATGTCCCTCGGCACCCTGCACGCCATCTAACGTGACAACATCCAAACACATGCCCAACACATCTCTCGTATCCCTTGGGTCAATAACACCATCATCCAGCACCGCCGCGCTGGTGCGATAACTCTCGCTGTCACGCTGTACCTCATCGCGGAACTTCTGCGTGTCGGCCTTAATATCCTCCTCTGTCAGAGCAACGCCCTTCGCCTTCGCACTGTTAAGCTTGACCGTGCTCATAACGCCTGCCAGCTGATCCGGGCCCATCACGCTGCAGCGTCCAGTGGGCCAAGTGAATAGGAAGCGCGGACGATATGAACGCCCACACATGGCGTAGTTACCGGCGCCGTAGGATGCACCGATAATGATGCCAATATGCTGCACGTTGGAGCAGCTGACGGCAGATACCATCTGCGCGCCTCTTTTGATGATGGCCGCGTGTTCGGCTTTGGAGCCAACCATGAAACCAGTTACATTGTGGAGGAAGATGATCGGGACGTTTCTACAACGTTTTCAGCAGTGATTTCAGGATGGATGAGAGATGCATACTGTTGGTTGCATTGCCGGATGAACTGCGCGCCTTTGGACGCCTCGTCGGGGTGGATGACGGGGACTTGGTTGGCGATGATGCCGACAGTGTGGCCTATCGCAGTCAGTTGTCAGTGCTCTGGGAGGGGGGGGGATAGTAATGGTATTGACATACCCATGATCTGTGCCCAAACGGTGAGCAGATTCGGTCCGAAGTTCGGCTTGAAAATTGACAGTCTCGAGTCATCAACTATACGCAAGACGAGTTCCTTCATGTCCAACGGCTTGCGGATATCCGGATTGGATATGGCAAGTAATTCCTCAACTGAATAGCGAGGGGGCAGGACCTGGCTGATGTCTCGCACCGGCGGCGTCTGCGGCTGCAAAGAAAACACCCACTCGCGTGCTTTGCGGATTGCGTCGAATCTACCAGTTTGTCAGCAGATGTACCACAACAGTCATATATGGGCAGGGCTACTCGTCTGTGGCCAACTGATCCGCAAGACCAGTGATATTCGCATGCGTCTGAGCGCCGCCGAGTTCTTCGGCGTCAATTATCTCGCCAGTGGCCATCTTGACTAGAGGCGGTCCACCGAGGAAGACCTGTGCCTGTTTCTCGACGAAGATAGTGTAATCAGAAAGGGCAGGATGGTACGCGCCTCCGGCCGTGCTCGATCCGAAGACAATGGCGCACGAATGCTGCCTGTCGGCAGTGCGCTTGGCCAGATCGCGGAAAATTTGTCCGCCAGGGTGGAACACGCGGAATTGCTGGGGGAGGAACACGCCAGCCTGTTCTGTCAGCAAAATTCATGCTAGAGATAGGGGACGGCTTACTGATTGCACAAGAGCTACAATAGGCAAACGGTTTTCCGTTGCGATGGTCGTGACGCGGTTTTGCTTTTGCACTGACGAACAAATTAGATTCGCAACATTCATATGTCTATCTTGATAAAATAAGAGGGTATACCTGTAAATTCATTCCACGCACCCCCGCTCTGAGTTGGGATGTGTGATAGCACGAGGCATACTCGGCCACTGACGAGTCCGGTCAGTTCGTTGTATGTAGCTATATGTGGGAAAGGACTGACCTGATAGTACCGATCCCAGCGACGAGACTCGCGGACGGTGACGATTCGGGCAGGTTATACCCAGCGAAAGCACATAGCTCGAGGAATGGGGAGTCGGTGTCGAGGAGGAGCGCGACTCTGTCTCGTGCTATATATCGTCAGACAGTTCTGGGGTAGATGATGTTAATGAGATAATGTGTGAGACAAACCAAGCACTTGCCCCCTCGATTGGTGCCTCGATAGCGACTTCTGCGTACCCTCACCAGCCGTCGTCCTCAGCGCGTCCTCGAATTTCTGGATAATAGGCTTCCACGACTCGACATTCGCTTCAAATTGCGGTGAGCGGAGGTTTACTTTTGAGTCGATGACAGGGAATGCGTTTGTCTGCGCCATGGTGCATCAATTCTACAGATGGCTCAAACTTTGAGTACTGATCGAGCCGACTGAATAGAATAATATAGACCGTCAGAATAGCAGACAGACTGGTACGACGACTTTCCGGTGGGGAGAAGTACGGCTAGTAACGAGCCGCGGTAACAATACACCGAACAAGCTTGGAGCAAGTGGAAGAGCCGGACCGCGTCCGTCTCGCGGCCCGATGCACGGCGTGTCTATCACTTCCCTATTAGGAAAATATTAGGAATAGCTGCATCTGGGGAGTAAGTGACTTGGCGTAATGTAGCACCATATCAGCACGCATATTGAATCTACTTCTAATTGCTGTGCGACAAACAAGTTTCTTTTCGCTCTGGCTGGTTGGCAAAGGATAGAACAGAATGGCGCTATCCCTCGCATCTGGCCCCCGCGACCAGGCACTCTGGCACAAGACTCTCGGCACCTTAATCGACGAACAAGCACAAACCTACGGTGACCGGCTGGCCGTTGTGTTCCCACAACAAAATGTGCAAAGAACATACAACCAACTGGCCGAGCGCAGTCACCGTATCGCGAATGCGCTCTACCAGTCGGGCTTGCAGCCGGGCGATGGCATTGGCGTTCTTGCGGGGAATTGCTACCAGTACATCGAGATATTCCTCGCGGGCGGTTATGCGGGTTGTTCTGTTGTCGTGCTGAATAACACATACTCGCCAGAGGAGCTGCAGAGGGCTATTAGTATTTCCAGTGAGTAGGATCTCATTTACGTCGTGGGCAGACGAAACGATGCTGATAAGCTCAGAGTGTAAAATGCTATGTATCGCGCCGTCAATCGGGAAAAAGTCATTAGAAGAGCACGTCAAACTTGTCCGCGACAGCGAAAACCAAGTCAAAGAAATAGTTCTTCTTTCAGGGTCTTTCCTATCTGGCACGTCAACGAGGGTATCATCGTACAGTTCGTTTGTGGACCGGGGTTCTGTACCTGGAAACCAGGCTTTGGCGCGACAGAGACAGACAGCTATTAAACCGGACGACCTGCTTAATTTGCAATTTACCTCTGGTAAGCTTACTCATTTTTTGTTACGTTGGCACAGAGCTGATTGATATGTTAGGAACGACTGGATCGCCGAAAGCCGCGATGTTGACGCATGTGTATGTACTACGCAATCCTGAAAGAGTAAAACTATACAAATAGTAAAGCTAAGACCGACAGAAACCTGATTAACAACGGCCGCTTTGTCGGCGACAAAATGTTGCTCACCCCGGACGACGTGGTGTGCTGCCCGCCACCGCTATTCCACTGCTTCGGCCTCGTGATGGGCTTTCTCGGTGCGTTCACACACGGCAGCGCGATAGTATTTCCATCCGAGCAGTTCGACGCAGACCTCGTACTCGACGCCGTAGCGATATATAAATGCACCGCGCTCCTGGGTGTACCGACTATGTTCGTTGCCGAACTCGAAGCAAACCGCAGGAAAAACATCAGTATCACGACTGTCCGCACCGGCCTTGCCGCAGGCTCGCCTGTGCCTATGGTCATCATGAAGCAGCTTGAGGAGGAGATGAATATACGCAGCATGCTGATTGCATATGGCATGACCGAGACCAGCCCCGTCACGTTCTTGACAGCTGTGGAAGACCCGCTTGAGCGGCGGCTGAAGACTGTCGGCAAGGTCATGCCGCATACAAGCGCGAAGATAATTGATACCGACGGCAGAATTGTACCGATCGGCGTGCGGGGCGAGATCTGCACGAGTGGATATGCCTTGCAGAAGGGGTATTGGGAGAATGAAGAGAAGACGAGGGAGGTCATGAAGCGCGATGAAAATGGGATTTTGTGGATGTATACGGGTGATGAAGGTGTTATTGATTCGGAGGGCTACTGCACTATTACGGGGAGGATCAAGGATATTATCATCAGGGGTGAGTCAATACTCTTCCAATTTGAAAACATAATCTAACTTCTGCGTAGGAGGCGAGAACATCTTCCCAGTCGAGATCGAAGAGCGTCTCCTCGCGCACACCCGCGTCAGCGAAGCCTGCGTCGTCGCCGTGCCGGACGAGAAGTATGGCGAGGTGGTTGGCTGCTTTCTACGACATGATCCATTATCAAGGCAAAGACCGCCCAACGCCGAAATCAGAAGCTGGGCCAAACAGACCATGGGCAGCCACAAGGCGCCGCAATATGTCTGGTGGGTGGGCGATGTGGGTGTTGGTGAGGATTTTCCCAAGACGGGCAGTGGGAAGTATCAGAAGCATATTCTGCGAGATGTTGCTAGGAAATTGATAAAGAGCGTAGGGGGCGTTAGGGCGAAATTGTAGATAATCCATTAATTTTATCACTGTATTCCAGCGAGATTGAACTTCATTGAAGACAGTACGAGGTATAAAATAAAAATGAAAAGTCGGCCAATCAGAGTACTGTAATATAGTTGCGAGTGATAGCCAATCAGGTACTAGGAAAGTTACTCGTACTAAGCTAGTAACAGTATAAGTGGGGAAACCTCGGGCCCATCGGTAAACGGTAAAACAGTAAAACACAACGCGGACCGCGTTGCAATCCGGGGGATCGCATTCCGGGGAATCGCATGCCCAGCGGAGTTCATGTTGCATGTGGAGACATAGGGAGTGTAATATCGATTATTCCAATATCTCGAGCTGAGCAAGCGCTGCATGGAACATCTCTATCAAGCGGTAGACAGCATGGCGAACTCAGTGCGCATCGTCGAGGTCGGCCCCCGCGACGGCCTGCAGAACGTCAAGCAGAGCATTCCCACGCTGACCAAAATCGAACTTATCAGACGCCTGCAACAGACCGGGCTGAACACCATTGAGATTACATCCGTCGTCTCGCCCCGCACTATCCCACAGCTGGCAGACTGTAAAACTCTGCTGGCGAACACGGACGTCAAGCGGATAGTGCAAGATGAGCGTCTGCGTGCGCCGGTCCTGATACCCAATGTCAAAGGCCTTGATATCGCGCTGGAAAATAACATTAGGGAAATCGCCGTGTTCGTTAGCGCCAGTGAGGGGTTTAGCAAGGCAAATATCAATTGTTCAGTGCAACAAGGACTGGACAGGGCGAAAGCTGTCGCCGAGATTGCTCGTCAACGGAATGTAGCTGTGCGAGGGTAAGCCTGTTTTCTCCTACAAAGCAGTCTAGTCTCTGACAGGAGGATGATGATTGACGCTTGATATAGTTATGTGTCATGTATATTTTCCTGTCCGTATGACGGCCCGACGCCGCCGTCGGCAGTGCTCAATAGCGTGCAGCAATTGCTGGCTATGGGCTGCTACGAGATCAGTCTCGGCGACACATTGGGCGTCGGCGTGGCATCACAGACGGCCGCGCTGATCAAATTTTTAGTCGATGCAGGCGTTCCGATCGGAACTCTTGCTGGCCATTTCCATGACACATACGGCCAGGCTTTAGCCAACATCTGGGCGGCGTACCGGTCCGGTCTGCGTGTTTTCGACAGCAGTGTCGGCGGGCTAGGAGGGTGTCCGTACGCCCCAGGTGCCAAGGGAAATGTTGCATCAGAAGATGTCGTGTACATGTTTGAGCAGGCGGGTATTAACACCGGCGTCAATCTGGATCGTTTGGCCGAAACGGGTGCCTGGATATCAGAGCAATTGAAGAAGCAAAATGAGAGCCGAGCCGGAAGCGCGCTGCTGGCAAAATCGAGACTAAAATCGGGATCTAAAGAAAGCAAAGCGAACACAACCGCAAGCGCATTGCAATGGATCCCGCAAGAGGCACCAGAAGGACTGAAGTTCTTCAAGAGCGGTACAAACATCAAGATCGTTCTCGATAGACCGCGTAACGGGAACGCACTCACGACCTCGATGATCGAAATGCTCACTGCGTTCATGGAGAAAATAGCCGGTGATTCGAGCATCACCCGCGTGGCCATCACAGCAAATGGAAAGTTTTTCTGTACGGGGATGGACCTCGGCAAGGGCAGTTCGCCAGTCGCCTCAGGACAAGCTACTGTCGACGCGCAGTTTAATCGGCTTACGAAACTGTTCAACGTGATAAGCAATGCCCCACAGGTAACTATTGCCTGCGTGCAAGGGCCGGCATTTGGCGGCGGCGTCGGACTGGCGTTTGCCTGCGACATTCGGATTTTCAGCAAGAATGCTAATATGACGCTGAGCGAGGTCAAGCTTGGCCTATGTCCGGCGACGATTTCAAAGGCCGTCATTCGCGAGCTTGGTATTCCGTTCTCTCGCGAGGCGATGCTGTCTGGACGTACCCTACTACCAGAAGAGCTCGCTCGTCTAGGCGCTGTGGCGAAGGTCGTCTCTGATCCGAATGCTGCTCTAGATAGTTACTTGACTTCACTCAAGACTAGTGCACCAAGGGCATCCGGTATGGTCAAGGACCTTATTAAACTGGCATGGCAGGAGGGTGCTGGACCGAAGCAGGAGGAGGGCATCAAAGCGCTGTTCCGCCAGATGATGCTTTCGGACAATGTAGAGTCTGCCTACGGGTTGAAGGAGTTTCAAAGGGGGAATAAAAAGGTGGACTGGGATGCATTTGCATTGTCGAGGCAAAAGGTTCCTTCAAAGCTGTAGCCAGCCAGATCAGACATTGTGTATATATATTTAATTACGACCTTATCTACATACAAAGCATATGAAAGGTTTAATTTAGGTGTAGATTAAGGAGTATAGAGCCAAAGACCTAGTCCCCTGCTCAGCCTCTCCTAGATCATCGTAGGAATATTCTACGACGTAAAGGCCAGAAAAAACAGCCTCCAATGCCTATCATTCTGTTCAAAGTGGAGTAACAAAGACCCATCTTCATGAATCCCGTTTTCGTACTGCGGAAAACTGCCCTGATTCATGTGTATGTCATGAATACGGAGCCGTATGACGACCCGAAAATGTATATTTTTGCCTTTCGGTTGATGACATCTATCAGAATTAGGCCTGTCTAGTCGAGGATGTCGTTTTGTGACCCGGAAATTTCGCACGGTAGGACAGTGCCCGAGTTGATTTCTAGAAGGCCCTTGGTGCGGATGAAATATAGTCCGGCGAGAGTGGTTGATTCATCGCTATGCCGGCTCGAATGGTAATGGCTATGATGGTGTCCGTGCTACGTGCTCTTATCATTATTGCGTGCCTGCGCATACGACCTGAGAAGATGAAACCCTTGCTGGATGAGGAAGAGCCGTCGGTGAAGGAGAGGTAAATTTGTGACGATTTGGGGTCTTGCTGGTCGGGTTGTTAGGTGTAGTGTGTAGGCTGGCCGATCCAGACACCGTAGTGAGGGATATTCATTTGGGTCGTCTTGTTTGAGAATGGTTTTGTGTATTAGAGTAGGGGGTTCTGGGAGTTAATTTGGTTATTGAGAGAACTCAGGGTATTTAATCGGCCTTGAGAGAGCAAATAGATCAACCCTTGAAACGTGATCAACTAATACCCACGCATATCTCAAGATAGACGCCAAATCAAGCAAAATAGGGCGACTTCACACGTGTTCCATCAAAGTCCTACTGCTAGGAATGAGTGGCACAGAATATCTTGATCATACTACTAGTTAACTTTTTGTATATAATTCAATGTTATTGGCGTGGGCTAGAAATGGAGATTTGAAATCGATTAATATAATACTAGAGAGGCAGCAGGCACATTGAGTGGTGCTTTTGTGAGTACTTGGTTTATTAATGTGGAAATTAATATCTTGAGGGATTTATCTGATTAACGAGGTCGTTTGAATACATTTTCGTATGAATTATTTACTCTCCTAAGTATTTGTATAGCTCATACGACCCTTAGAATATTGATAAATAATTGTATAAGATCAAATCTACCTTCTCTACCTACAACGTACTGAAACACTGAAACAAAACAAAACAGAGCCTCTGTTTATATGTTTATATCTATCCCTGGTATCTTAACATACAACCCTCAAAATTTCTGTGATTTAGTAAGGACTGTGATATGGTAAGGTGTCAAGTTTGTGTCGAATAGAACGGTAACAATGGCAGTCTAAGTGGAGAGAGTGTCTGTTTTGGGCTGGTGGCCTTATACCTCCTGGCTGATAAGAGTGGCAAGGATCTGCTCTGCCGTAGCAGTTGCGATTCTCATTTCCCTCTCTTCCTCTCCGGTGGCGTCCCCGAATAGTATGTCTATCTCTTCCAAAGTCTTACCCTTCGTCTCGGGGACTAGAAGCACAGCCCAGACACCGGCAAGCCCACAGAAAGCAGCGAAAAAGATGTAGGTTCCGAAGCCAATGCTCTGAATCATGGGAGGGGTAGCAATACCAACGGTGAAGTTAGATATCCAGTTGACACATGTGGCCAGAGCGACGCCCTTCGCGCGCATAGAGTTGGGGAATACCTCCGAAGGCAAGGCCCAGCCCAGAGGTGAGTAGGAAACGCCATATACAAGGATGAAGCAGAAGGCCATAGCTACGCAGGCCCAGCCAGCAGACGTGTTTGCCGACCAATCTTTTGAGTAAACACCGTCGAGAGCAGCAATGACGATGTAACATATACAGGCCCCAAAACCGCCGATGATGGCCAGAGGCTTTCGGCCCAGCTTGTCAATGACAATAAAGCAGATGGCAACGGCGACCAGTTGCAAGATATTGAAGACTCCTGACAGAATGAGAGACATATTGTCCGACTGTCCGATAGATCGAAAGAGGGTGGGCGCGTAATATATGAAAGCGTTGATTCCAGAAAACTGCTGGAAAAAGCAGACTCCGCATCCCACCGCAGTCCTCCGTAGCATCTTGCGGTCGAAAAGATCAAGCCAAGAGAACACCTCAAGCTGGATTCTGCTCGCTCCCGGGTGCCTTTTTGCCAAGGTGGACTTGCTGAATTCTACCTCTGCGGCGATGCCCTTGAACTCCATTTGTACGCGGCTATCAGTGGCTGGTAAACCCCGCAACTTCGACAGACTCTCTAGGCATTCCTTATTGCGGCCGACTAGAGTGAGCCAACGAGGCGAGTATGGGAAGAAGTGGATGCTGACTCCGAGAATTGTGGCGCAGACCATTTGCAACCCTAAGGGTAGCCTGAACGAGGCTTCACCGTCCATAAATTGTGTGCCGTAAGTGATCCAGAAGGCAATGACTACTCCAGACACAATGGAGATGGATTCAAGTACAAGGAGAGTACCTCGTAAATTCGGTGGGGAGATCTCAGAGATGTATAGTGGTGCTCCCTGTGTTACATTGCATTAACTCTGTCATCATGTTTTCAAATGGACAGAGCAAGTGCTAGCATACCATTGCAAGAGTGCCGACTCCAACCCCTCCGACCGCTCTTCCCACAACCAGGGCAGCATAACTCTGGGCCGAGGTCTGGATAATGGCGCCTATATCGAATATAACCACCACAATTGTCAAGGCCCACTTTCGCGAGATCTTGTCAGCCAGGTACGGCATGAACAGGCAGCCCACGAAAGCACCAAGCAGCAGCATGGCTGTCATAAAGCTAGTACCGAAAGCAGTTTGGGTACGGGGGAAAGCTTCGTGGAATTTGTCCATGACGTTGATAATCGATATGACACCCTGGTCATAGCCGAAAGAGAAGCCGCCTAGCGAAGCCAAAAAGGCAGCACCAAATACATAAGAGGAGCCAAGTAGCCCACGTATTCCGCTGGGGCCATACGATACTTCATCGGCGAAGTTATTCGGCCCAGGTAGGACCTTGATGTTGGTGAGGGAGCCGTCCACATGCTCAAATGAACCTTCGGGGCCCATATCAATCTTCAGGTCTGCAGACATGCCAAATGAGTTGCTATAACTAATTCAACACTTTTTAGTTGCTGATAAAAAGCATACACATGTTAAGGAATTGAATAGTGATTTCTTGATCTCTCGGAAGATAAAGGCTTGTAGCGGAGACTGGTTAGTACTTGTATTAAGACATGGTCAAGGTGCCCGCCATATCGATTGGATGAAATCAGCTTCAACTTCAAAACTCTGGAGTCATAATGGAACTTCGATTCCGAAAGGCTGGGGATAGGAGGGCTGGCTGACCAATAAGAACAATTTCCCCGGTCATTTTACGGGAGATACCCTCCGACAAACACCTTGCATTTGACCTATTCACCTATTCCCCGTGGGGGAACGCCACCGGAATTGTTACGTGGAACGAGATCCACCCTTTAAAACTTTATTCTACCGGTGTATTCGACACAGAACAGAAGAATTCCATCTTATTTAACACGAAGAAATTGACTGGAACTAATTCGAAGCAGAAAATATCGGCTTCTTAACAGAATAGTTTGATTTTTTTAGAGTCATATATTCGCGAAATTCAACTACATAATATCTACAACTTCGAAAACAGCGAATTTCAGGTTGGCCAAGGCAAGTTCAGATGGTATTTGTACAGCAGAACAATATCAATCAGTTACCTCTGTTGAGTGCTAATGGCTTAATTCTACTCCCATACTTCGTCTTCAAATCGGTTTTCCTTCGATTGATTTGGTTACTGCTATTAAAATATCAACGGTCGCCATAAAACGGCGAAAAATGGCTACTTTTGCACGGTTCATATCTCACATAGAATTCCCCTTCAAGTCTGATTATACCAAACTACTTCGTTCCCTAAGTTATGCGCCTCATTCGGCCACTCGATGGTAAGCTGTTCTTGTGTATAAATAATTATGAAGAGCACCAGCAAACAGCACAGTATCCTTGTGAGCGATTCTACCGCAGACAAGGCAGGTTTTCGTCAAAAAAAGCTACACGTTCCCCAAAACACTTTTAAACTGTGCACAGTTCACCACACTTTTGAATACAGAGAAATATATCCCCTTCAATCATTCAGTAGTCCTCAGTCTGTTGAAGAACCCATTCGTTAGATCTAGGATTTTAACAATCTACTACACTACTACCAGCATCCAGTACCGATAGCTGTGGGTATGACTCCGACAACATTAGAGAGTAGCAATACCCAAAAATAAAGCCCCTCATAGTGGTTGAAAGTCACAAAAACGAGGATGGTGTGCTCGAGTGCATTGTATAGTGCGAGGGCGGCGAAGACTGCCATCACAATCTCAATAGAGAGATTGCCTCCTTGATAGCCTACCACAAGCCCAGACTAAGGCTGGCTTGAGCCTGGGCTTGACATCGTGGTCGTCCGAATTTGATTTCCACTCCTATCAAATGTCGAGAGGTATCCTATATATTTCAATTGATCAAAGCGGTTGCTAGCTGAACACGCATTGAGATTGCTCTAAGCCTCGCTGGTCAGCCCGACGTATGTAGAAGATGTGAGCTTACAAAAAGCGCATTTATTACCATCTTTTCATTGTCTATAGAATATGGAGGTGATTTAGAAGCAAAATTGAATAGAGGAGGAATGAACGAGCAAGATCAGTCGTTTAGAGACGAATTTTCAACTGATAAACCTTGCTTGAGCGAGCCTCACGCTTGAGTTATATGTCTTATCAAGGAGTCAATTAGTATTTATATATATGGCGCCGCTGTGGTACATGTAGGTAGCTAGCTAGCTTTATGCCTACAACAATAGGTGAGGGTGGCATACAGTGATTGCGAGATGTAAGAGTGGCGAACCACACGCGGTAATCTGAAACTGTCACCTGCGATCCCTTCAAAATCACCTACAGAAGCAGCCTTTTCGGATTGACAGAATTATCGCACATTCTACATTCCTACGAAAATTTCCTGCAGAAGTTAGCAATGCCTGTTCCCAGCACTAAGAATTTTAACACACTATCAAATGCTTCTATCTTGTCCTCCATCTCCCTCATCTGGTTGGTTTAATTCGATTTTTGGTTTTTGGTTGAGCCTACATGGCCTAGTCTTGATGCCTGAGGACACTCTTAGTGCGCGCTTTGTAAAGCCTCGGAACCTGGAAGCCTCACGTCCCAGGAAATCACACTTTAGGGTCTGCCATATGGTTACAATGTGCTTAATCCATGTAAACTTACTTCGTTTGGACATCATTCACTGATCCTAGTTACCGTACTATTTACAGAGCTTACAGCATACCCATATAGTTTCATTTCTGCGAAGACGCTTCTATTGGGATTATCTCACGCGTGCCGGATGTTCCTTCGGGATCTGAATCCCGTAACCACTCGCATGTAGATACAACGCTGATGAAGCCCAATATTACACCACTTTAGCGATGATACTATTCTACCTAACCCGAATATCTCCACGTTCATTCAATTGGATCGGTCTTGTCGACAGGACCAATACAGATATCTCGGTGATGTCATGGTCCAGATATTCGTGTGGCTACTATGGTAATCTTGGTAGGTAGATGTGATAGCTGGCAGCGATATGGCTTTAACTCAAACTGCTTATGCAGCTATTCAGTATCAATTTATTTTGATTAAGTAACTATTCATAAAGTTGTTTCGAGAAGGAGGTATTGTAAAAATTTCGCAAATATTGGATTTAATATGATATCCTACTCACATTGCAGACAGAATTACAGTTGCATTAATTATTATGTCCTCAGAGCAAGACATCCTGTTAATAGCCATATCTGCTGTCTTCTATATATCAGATCTAAATGCATTCTGAAATATGCTCATTCGCAGTCCCGATCGGATCACATTTCCAGGGTGCCAGCCGAGTCGTAAAATCGGCTCGTCTTACCGACCAATAATAGGTATCATTTGATGCGCGGTGATTATCTGTCCCTTTTAAACCTTGTAGTCGAATCCTTCATTGTAACATGTCTTCATAAAGAATATATCTCTTTGACTTCGTTGTCTCTTGTCTCATTTGTTGCTACACCACTAACGGCAGGCAAAATGAACTCCGTTCAGAAGACTTACCGCATTGCTTCTATACCAGGCGATGGTATTGGAGTAGAGATAATCAAGCAAACGATTCGAGTGCTAAAGAGACTTGAAGAGCTCCTTGGCACCTTTAATATAGAATTCCATAATTATGATTGGAGCTCTGAAAGGTATCAAAACACAGGAGAATACATACCTACTGGCGGTCTTGAGTCCTTGAAAAATCACGATGCCATCTTATTTGGTGCTGTTGGCTCTGTAGGTACGATCTCCTAGGACCATTGGCGTCTCTCGCTGTTCGGATACAAGGAAGAGCCCCCTCATTCTAAACGGCAATTTAACTAAGAAACGTCTTCTGTACTCTAGATGTTGCCGACCACATCTCCTTATGGGGCCTGATCCTTCCCATTCGTAAGATGGTATTAATCAACCAGACCTTTCTATTCAACCCATCAAATACAAAAAGCTAAGATTCTCTCTAGCTAGGCCAGTATGTTAATGTCCGTCCGATTCGCATCCTTCCTGGTCTTTCATCACCTCTGAAAGATTGCAGCATCGAAGATCTCGATTGGGTTATGATTCGTGAGAATAGTGAAGGGGAGTATGCCGGTCAGGGAGGCATAACGCACGAAGGTACAGAGTACGCTATAGCAAACGACGTTGCGGTATTTACCAGACAAGGTATTGAGCGCACGATGCGTTTCGCTTTCGAAATAGCTTTATCACGCCCGCGGAAACACTTGACTATGGTCACCAAGAGCAACGCACAGCGTCACGGGATGGTATTATGGGATAAGGTCTTTCATGAGTTGGCTCCACATTACCCTGAGGTCAAAACGGACAAAATGCTAGTTGATGCGATGACGGTTAGAATGGTATTGAAACCACGAAGTCTAGATACAATCGTGGCCACGAATTTGCATGGCGATATTCTCTCTGATTTGGCTGCCGCTCTCGCAGGTAGTATTGGAGTCGCGCCTTCGAGTAATTTAAATCCGACGAGACAGTTTCCGAGCATGTTTGAGCCAATTCACGGCAGTGCGCCGGATATTGCGGGACTTGGAGTGGCCAATCCAGTCGGAACGTTTTGGTGTGCTGCGGAAATGCTTGCGTGGATGGGTGAAACCAAGGCGAGATCTTCTTTAATGAAGGCTATAGAATGTGTATGCGCTGCTGGAGTAAGGACAAAAGACATCCAGGGCACATCAAATACCTTTGAGGTTACGGAGGCAGTGATAAGAGCGCTGGAGAAGGAACTCACCAATTAATAGACCTGATAAGTCTGAAGGTATACCAGGTGAAGCCCGGTAAAGAATCAATATATGTTAAATGTCATAGACTATACAGGAACGAAAAGTTTTGGCTAATTCCATTCATCAGAATTAGGTGTTCATTATAATACATCTATTAATTGGCCATGGGAGAACAGTAAATACAACTCCAACCGAAAAGGACATGGTCCAGTGGCGTGTGTCCCTATCGTTTCAGGCCCTTCTTCATTCATTGAGTTCATTTACTTAGCAGTGCAGCATGGGGTAGCCTTGAGAAGCTCGATGTATTCCAGACTGCGATGTCTGATTCTCCATGTTAGAGTCCCCAGTCATGCGAGATCGTTTTGGCCCTGGGGCTTGTGATTGGGGTCTACTACGCGACTGAGCTAAATCACGTTTCGACGAATTATACGCATTAGCTCTCGCTTCCCATAGACGTTGTAAATTAATCAGAAATGTTTGAGCTCGCTTTGAACTTTCCCATGATGAGCTGAATTCCTCCAAAGCCCGGAAGCACACACCGAGAAAAGTATTATAGTTGTGATCTTCTTCCTGGACTCGATTATTACTGATGGTTTCGGATACAGTGGCGAATATTAGCATTAAGGCCGCGGAACAGGTTATGGAGACTGCCTGAATGTCCATTCTTCGGAAACTGTATTGTTTCTCATAGATCTTGAGAAGCTTCGCAATGGCTATCCCGGAGTCGATGCACATTCGTCGAGCGTGAATGTAGCCTTTACGCTGCGGAGGAGCCGGCTGCGCTGGTTGCACAAGGTGCTTTGACATCCACGGTCGATGAATATGAATGATAGCTTGGTAATACTGCATACTATATTTTATCATGTTAATTTCAAGTTCATTTGCTTCTTGGGGGAAGGCTCACTGGAGTAACAGAACATGGGGAAGAAACATTGTACTTGTATCATCAAAGTTGACCTGAAGGTTTAAAGGGAGATCCTCCTTCCATTGCAAAAGTCTAGATGTAGATCTTTCGCTTAGTGATTGAAGAGTACGTCTTGGGATTTGTGACCATCCGTATCTGGAAAACAAGGTTAGATTAAAAAGGTTTCGAGAAGTGAAGAAAATAGACATTACGTACAGTGCATGGCCTAAAGGAGCCATTATCTCACACAATTTCACTCGGTATTCGCTCAATAGTTGTAAAACATCAGTAGTCGAATCGTTTATTCCAGGCTCTATTAGTCCGTAAGGGCTCCATTTGCTGACGCTATCGCTGATGAGATGGTGGCCAGGTTTCTCGACCGTCACATCTTCCATGTTGATTCTGAAAGGTCGGCCGAGGAAAAAGCCCCAAAGGCTTCAAGATTCAGCTATGATTCATCAGGATTCAAGTTTGAAAGGGCAGCTCACTGATCTGTCGTATATGTTCCCCAAAAAACTATCCTTCGAAGCTCGGCCTCGGCTGCACTAATAGATTCTTCAGCAACATGTGGTGACATATCGATATGCAGCCCTAGGTCAAAGGCAAGTCGCAAAGCCATTCCTACAGCTTTAGATTAGCATGTCCAAGGCATATTCGAATATTCTTGGGCCTGCCCTTACCGCTATAAAGCCATCCTCGGGCATCTCGTTTACAGCCAATATCATGCCCGCTGAGAACCACCATTGCTTGAATCGTCGCCACACAAGGTAGGTCAAGTTCAATATCAAGCAACGCCTTGGCTCTGTCGGCGAAGAAATCGGAAACGGATTTTGGGTATGTGACAAAATCGGGATGGTAGCGAGGCACGAAGGCGGCTCCCAAGCAGCACCTTTTCAATTACAATTACCACTGTCCATGAGTTCTCGAAGATTACTTCTCATTTGTTAGCACTTACATGGCATTAGTCAGTGCTTCGGAATAGTATGGCGAATCCTCCATGTCAATACGCCATTTCTTTCTCGCCCGGATGTACATATCCCTATCGACAACGTAAAACGAAGGGTTATGCCATGTGAAAAAGAGATTGATTAGATGATCTTCCAACTCCTGCGGTACCTCCTTATCGATTCCCAGGCGGCCAAGGACGTTTAATCCATCTTTTCGAACCGTCCGATGAACTGTTAGGTTATCGGGTGCCGGCATTTTCAATAAGTTAAAATGAGAAGTAGGGCCGTAAAACCGAACTCGGCCGTCAGACCCAACCTGCAAACTGCCCATTCTCTCTGATAGCTGGTTTACAAGCTCTTCAATTTCTTCAACTTCCCCATTAGTCTCATTTATTTCGCCCTGTTCTTGTCGCACCTCAGAGCGTGGTAGTTGATCCATAAACATCGGTGGTATTGTCGTATTAGAGGACTTCGACTGAATCACAGACATGCTATCATCACTAACAAAGTTCCAGAGTTTATCGAGAAAGAGGTCGTTTTGGAGTACCTCACTGGATTCCAGTGGAAATTGGCCATTTGCTCCCACAGAATCGTCGCCAAATTGTGGAAGATAAAATTCGTCGGAGCCTCCAGGAAGAGATGGACTGACCGAGGTTTGGAGTTGGCCATCTCTATCTATATCGGGGAGATGAAATGACTGCAGGTCCACCGATCCTAATCCGGAATTCACGTAGTCATTTGTAGCTACTATCGTTTCTGCATTGAAATGTTGGAGCTGCTGTGAAATGGGTAGGTCAAGTTGTTCTGGCGTCAATTTCAAATGGCCCAGGCCGATAGATTCCAGGGCATTTCTTAGTGCCAAGTCATTCTCTTGCGGCGCGGAGGGGATTGGAAGACCATTATCGAGAATATATTGTGATAATTGACCGACTCGATCGGTGAGAAGCTCGACAGCGAACCGAAGAGAGAGTCTACGTGATTTTCTTAGTGCGATGAACAAAGCCTTTTTTCATCCGAATAGAAGAATTAAATGATCTCGAAGCCTTCTGGGTTTCTGGGGCTCAGGACATACTTCCGTTTATCTCCGCCGACCTGGTAATGGCAAACTCTTCCTTTGTTCAGGCAGTACGAACATGACGGTGTCGCTCCATTGCACTATTACGACGTGTTAGCAAGTGGAAAGAATTACTGTCTGGTGTGTAAACCGACCTTGACCTTACTCTCCCGGCATGGTATACAGGCAGTCGTGACGTGCTTGCGTTGTTTTGATGGCTGTTTGATCGATGACATAGTGTGCGATGTGTCCCATCGCTGCTGAGCGCAACATAAGCCGAGTATTCCTGCGTGAAACTTGCGACGGAGCGTGTGGGGTATATTATCTATTAGTTTACGGAGGTGGAACAAAAAGTCTCTTGCATGCGGGGTAGGCTAAATCATCATGTGATTATTAGTTTGATTATAATTTGTATTATAATCCTCTTTCTCATTATAATTTAGCCATTAAACACTATTCTTTGTCTACGATAAGTGCTTGGCATATCTCACAAGCGAACGGCATCTAAGCAAGCGACCTTCAACGCATATAAAAATGGCATTTTTGAGACCCTCATAATTCAATAACTTTATAGAAGAGTATAGCTTAAAAACAATAAATATATAATAAAATATTATAAATAAAAGAATATGACATTTTGAATAAATTTAATAAAAATTAACACAAATGTTGAATTATTCTGTAAGCTAGGCCTTGGGGAGCAACAACCCTAACCAACAAGGCCAAAGAGACACATTAATCGCGATAATCCCCAAACCCACGTTATATAGAACAAATGAATAACCAAGTCACATGACATGTCTGTCTGAAGCCTGTGGCATTAACTGTCTTACATATCTAGATCTTAAAAATGTCAATTTGTTAGATTACCTAGATGTGTCGTTTCTAATAAAAATAAGCGTTCGGGGAATGAATCCCGATAATCATGGATCCTTTTCCGAATACCAAATAACTCGTAAGCAGCGATAACACGTATCGTACCAATCGAGGTTAGCATGAATAGCGCAGGCTCTCTACTAAACACAATATTAAATCTTGGGTAAATTGGTAAAGTATGAAGGAAAACCATACTACTTCTATATATTATTTGGAAGCAATGATTTAATCGGGAGAATATATCGATCTCAATTGAAGGACAAAGTCTGCTAAAATTCGACATAATCTTACATGTGGCTTTGAGCTGAGAAAAAACTATGTATCCCTAAATAGATCCCCCGTATAAAAAATAATACCCACATAGACAGATATACGGAGGTATAATGTAGTCATTATTCAAGCCTTATCGGGAAATCCAAAATCAACACCAAATGCAGGATACACATATCGAGTGAATCCCTTATCGGTGGCAAGAGATTTGATAAATATACCAATTTCCTTGAGGTCGGTTTCGTTTAGTGCCACCAAATTTTGATTCTCTGCGATGCGACTTGGGGTAACCGACTTTGCCAGGACAGATCGTCCGGAATTGACTGCATGTGGGGAATTTGTTAGTTTCGATCTGTCCAGATGATAGTATAGTATAATTTCCTGCTCTATAAGAGGAAGGAGCAAGGAATAAAAGACTCGATCTTACCATGCCATGAGAGCAAAATTGTTGAAGGAGAGACCCCCTTGCGTTCCGCTATGCCTTGAATTACAGGCAATTTGAGAAGAGGGCTTCCACTGCTTCCCAACGGACTGTATGCTGTTACATGAATACCACGTTCTTCGCACAGATCGACAATTTCCTGTTGTGGTAACAGAACATGGTTCTCGATTTGATTCACCGCCGGTATAATTGATGTTTGAGACAGAAGCTCCTTCAGATACCGGACGCTGTAGTTTGCGACACCGATAGCTTTGACCTTTCCGGTATTAAGGAGCTTTTCCATATCTCTGTAGGTTGAAACATGTGATCTCTCAAGTAACAAATCGCGGGATCCATCAGAGCGAGTCGGGAAATTTACGTGGTTACCTTGTCCAAATGATTAGTTCATTACCTAGTTATACGAGGAAAATCGAAGACATATGTGAAATCAAAAACTTTACCGTTCGGATTCATGGCCACTGGCCAATGTATCAGATATAGGTCGACATATTCGAGCCCAAGAAGATTCAAGCTCTTGTTCAGGCCCTCTTCGACTGTTGTGTGATCGGTGCACCAGAGTTTTGTCGTAACAAAGACATCTTCTCGGTTTAGTTTCCCGGTTTTGAGCGTGTCTCGAATTCCTAGGCCAACTTCCTCCTCATTTCCATAGCAGTATGCAGCATCGATGTGACGGTATCCGTTTTCGAGTGCACAACGAACAGCCGCACGCACTTCACCTGGCTTAGATTGCCACGTACCTAGTCATAGCATGTCATTAGCACCTTTCATAGAGCAGGAAAATGACAAATCAAGCACTCAAACAAACCCAATCCGAGAGGAGGAATCTGTGCCCCAGTGTTGAGAGCTATGGTTTCTGGTAATTCAGACATGGAAAAAAATTTTCGCTCACTAAAGTTTATTATCCAAAGTGATAGGGATAGAAAATAGCGTTCTGGAAGTAATCAGTATTTGAAATATCAGATCGGCAACTAACCTGCGGAGAGAGCAGCCATATGTAAAGGATGTTCCTGCTTGGAACCTTCGGAAAATGACTTGGTTGGGAAATTATTTCCGTTGCTCTGGAATTTGAATCACATTTGTGGGATATCTGAATGATGAATTTCCTTTAAATGATGGTGTATGAATCGATTTGGCCGTCTATGGTAATGTTTATGTTTCTTTTCACTTTTTTAATTACGTAGCCCTTATCAGTTTATGTTTTTGAAAAGCAAGGTATTGGTATACTATCTGTAATACATAAATCGATTTTTAAACTAACTCAAGACGTATTGGTTTCTTTCGTTTATTCTTGCGAATATTATAAGTTTCAATGAGAGGCAGACACGCTCTCAGTTTACATCAGTCGGCCAGCGTGGATACCGCCAGTGATAAGTAGGTCATCAGATGTATGATATGCACTGGCATCTGACAGAAGATAGACAACTGGGACTTTGAGATCGGTACGATCACCCATACGGCGCATTGGCGGTTCATTATTCATAATGTCTGCAAGCCACGGCATCCGATCGCACAGATCAAGGGTCATATCGGTGACCATGTATCTAAATAAGATCTATGTCAATTCTTGACACTAGATAATTGTAGACTGGTCAAGGATTTTTCACGCTTCACTTACCCGGGAGAGATGCTGTTGACACGGATCTTCTTGCTTGCTAATTCAACGCCCAGTGCTTTTGCCAGAGCTACCACAGCACCTTTACTGGAGCAGTAGTCGCTCGTCGTCTGGCCCTTACTAGCAACATATGCGGCAACTGACGCAATTAGAACAATCGAACCCTTGCCACCGGTTCTTTCATTTGGCTCTTGCTTATCCATCTGAATTGCAGCCAGCTGTGCTGAGTAGTACGTGCCAAGAGTATTCACATGGAAGCACCGCGCAACAGACTCAGGATCGCGCTCAAGGAAAGGTTCATCTGGGCAGATGCCAGCCGCGGTAACCCTAGACAGGCATAGGTGAGAAATTGAAGCAGCCTAACTTTTCCTCTTTTCATATTCGAATCAAATGTAACTTACAACCCATCAATACGACCAAAATCCAGAATGATCTGATCGAATGTAGCCTTCAAGACTTTGTAATTCGTTACGTCGCTCCTGTTGAGAGTCAGCTTTAGGCACTTATGGAGAGCTTTAAATATCTATAGACGAGAGAGGATAGGCCAACTTGTATAGTTTTACTTTCACCCCAAAATCTTTCTCGAGCTTATAGTAGTGTTCGTGCGGCGTCTCAAGGAAATCGATGATGGCGATATTGCCACCGCTCTCGGCAACTGCAAAGCCAAAGGCCAACCCCAAACCCCGCGCCCCTCCAGTGATCACCACAGTACGGCCCTTGAGTGACAGCAGGTCTTGCACACTCTGGTGAAGAAATCCATCTACGTCCGGTCTCTTTTTCACTTCTGTCTGAGCAGGGTTGGCGGCCATTTTTGCGATGATGGGGTTTGACAGCGCCTAGAGAATGGCAACAGAGAAAAGAAAGGGGGAAAAAGGGTGACGGAATGAGAGTGAAAATTAAATGTTTATGTCACATTGTGTGAAAAGAAATTCATATATTTTATGTAAACCCAGAAAACAAAAAGAGGATATACCCCGCCCGATACAGAGGCCCGGGAGCGCATGAGTTAGAGAAGAGACAGACGGATTTCGTGTCCGAAGCGAATAGCCTCGTAAGTAAAGCTTCTATAAGCATATCGGAATTTGACTAGGCGGTCCTAAATGTTCCCCAAGAGTGGCCCTCTCCAGTTAATACCCCACTAGTGTAAATTATCCAAGAATATAAGGAACAATGTGGAAATCATAGCCATCAGAGATTTAATCGCTTCAAGTAGTTCCTTGGTTATTTTCCTGAGGGCCTTCGAACAGTCCTTTATTCTCCCGGACAACCCTTGTCAAGGCCCAAGATGCCTCATCTCCCTCAGGATGGCCTAAATGGGGATTCATCGACCTTACCAGGCTTCTCATCTGGTGCTTCGCAGACCGAAGAGACCTCGCCGGACAGGTCGACAGAAGATAGCGCTGCCATACTCGCATTGCGCAACTTCATCTTTGATATTTGCAACCAGAATGGCGGGGGACATGGAGGGTCAGCCATCGGCATGGCTGCTATAGGCGTAGCTCTCTGGAAATATGTGATGCGCTATAACCCATCCAACCCAGATTGGTTTGATCGAGATAGATTCGTCCTCTCAAATGGTATCTTTTACATCCATCCATGCTTCTTCGAGTTATTAACAGTTTGATAGGCCATACAGCGATGTTTCTGTATGCGTTGAATCACCTTACCGGTTTCGATAACTGGACAATGGAACAGATTAAGGGATATGGAAGTGCCAAACTCAATGGCTACAAAACCATCTGCCACGCTCATCCTGAGATTGAAGATGCTGGTGTTGAAGTAACCACTGGTCCTCTTGGACAAGGGATTGCTAATGCGGTAGGGCTAGCTATTGCGTCGAAAAATTTGGCCGCTCGATTCAATCGACCTAGCTACGATATTGTCAAGTCACGAGTCTACTGCATGACTGGAGACGGTTGTCTGATGGAAGGCGTGGCGCTCGAATCAATATCGCTGGCCGGGAGCCTAGGGCTAGACAACTTGGTACTCATCTATGATAACAACCAAGTAACTTGTGACGGGCCTCTTGACTGGATCAACACTGAGGATGTCAATACCAAAATGAAAGCATCTGGGTGGCATGTATTAGATATCGCCGATGGCTCTTATGATGTCCAGTCGATTGTTTCAGCCCTCGAATCCGCCCGATCTTTGAAAGGCAAACCTACTTTCATCAACATCCGAACAGTCATCGGGCTGGGAACACAAGTTGCCGGTACTTACAAGGCACACCATGGCGCATTTGATAAGGCCAGTATAGAAGCGTCTAAGTGCTTGGCAGGACAAAACCCAGTTATCACGCACATCATTCCTCCCGCTCAGCTAATCTACTTCCGAGAGCGCAAAAAACATGGCGAAGACATACAGAGAGAATGGGACTCTCTTGTGAGCTCTTATACTACAGTATACCCTTCTCTAGGAGAAGAGCTGAAGAATAGACGGGGTGGAAGCTATGGTACTGAGTGGCTTGAAATTCTCAATCATTTTGATATCGCTAAATTTAATGGAAAAGCCACACGAGAAGTGAATGGTGTACTAATAGAGAAGATGTGGAAGGCAATCCCAGCACTATGTGGCGGAGGTGCTGATCTGGTCAATTCCAACAAGTTTCCATATCTGGAGTCAGATGTTTTCCACCCTTCAGTTAGTTTTGGAGGTCGTTATATTCGTTACGGCATCCGTGAACACGCCATGGCCGCCATCTCAAATGGTCTGGCGGCTTACAACCCTGGGACTTTCCTTCCTTTAACGGCTACTTTTCTCATGTTTTACCTCTACGTGAGTCTTTTACTTTACCCGAATCGCGTGAAGCATTAGTTCTAACCTACACAATCTGGAAATAGGCCGCTCCAGGTGTCAGAATGGGTGCTCTAAGTCATTTACCTGTTATTCACTGCGCCACTCACGATTCTTTCGCTGAAGGTCAGAATGGACCTACTCATCAGCCAGTAGAAGTTGATTCCCTATATCGAGCCATGCCAAATTTGAATTATATCCGACCCGCCGATGCGGAAGAGACCATTGGTGCCTGGATAATCGCTCTTGGTAACGTCACCAAGCCCACAATTCTATCACTGGGACGTGATCCAGTCGGATACGTTCCTGGAACCGACCGTCAGAAAGTACAAAAAGGAGCCTATGTGATTGTCGAAGCAAATGAAGCAAAGCTTACATTGGTCAGCTGTGGAACTAATCTACACTATGTCGTTGCCGCTGCAAAGTCGCTTTCAGAATCAGGAGTCCAAACACGTGTAGTCAGCGCCCCAAGTTTCGACCACTTTGATCAACAAGACAGCAACTACAAAAACACTGTTTTCCCTCTAGATGGGACACCGATTATCAGTGTAGAGGAATATGTAGCCACAACGTGGGCTCGATACGCAACGGCCAGCATTGGCATGACTGGATACGGATATTCCGCATCAAATGCCAGCAATTACGATAGATTTGGGTTGGATACAAACGGTATTGAAAAGCGTGTGAGAAAGTATATGGATGACTTAAAAGGCAGCAACGCGCGTATGGCTGGATGGCGCCAGTTGTGATCTTTTCATCATTTGGTCTAGATTAATAGTTAGAGGGGTGATTTCAGTTATGTATAAATTGTTTACTCAATCAACTACTGTTACTTCTATAAAACCAAGATTTGCCATATGATAGTCACTTTCATTTCGCACATTAGCCGTTAAATTGCTGCTTCCCAGCTGACTTTAGTGCAGTTAGCTAATTTGAATGTCTGTGTCCCACAAGGTTCGAGATAAAGTTGCTTAGTACATCATAGGGCAATATATTCGTGAATGAAATTCGATGTATCAATTGACTCATTCAATATATCAATTGATAAAGTCAAGGATATACATAAAGTTTAATCCGAAATTTCATTTCATATAAGCAAGACACATGAAAACGTCCTAAGCCCGTTAGGGTATGATATTCTTTAGTTAAAACTTTCGCACATTTCTATCTTGACAATTCATATTTAGTGTCTGGAAGACTTTAATGTTGAGAAGTTTACAACTGTTTTCATCACCAATCCTCCTATTCCATCCTTTGTTTTACCAGCTGTCTGGAACGCCGCCGGTACCGACTCGAGTCCTTCGTATCGATGTGTAACAAGTCTACGAATATCAGGGAGAGTCGTACCCGTAACAGACTTAGTAGCAATCTCAATGGCTCTCGGATACGCATTGGCATACCGCCAGGTTGGAATTAAATCGATCTCTTTCGCTAGAATTTCTGAAACGGGCATTGTACAGTTAGGTGTCCCCATTCCGACAAAAACAACTCGTCCACCTGATTTGGTTGCCTGAAATCTGTCGTCAGCCATCGTTCCCCCTACTTTCCATAATTTTTCCTTTTGAAATTAGAAATATAGGGAATATTTAACTCACATAAACTGAGGATTGTATACATGATTCCACTCCGGTACATTCAAAAACGCAGTCGACCTGCCCAACAGTGTTGCCGTCGGGCCATTGGAGCTTTGCGATTTCGGCCGCCGTTTCCTTCGCAATCTCGAGCTTCTCCTCAATTGTCTGTCCTCTTTTGAGCGGAACTCGATATATCGTCGAGGCGAAATCGTTTTCGAGGGCAAATTGCAGACGGCCTTGATCAATATCCGCGATTATTACCTTCTGAAACCCGTCTGCCTTCGCTCCAACTGAACATAAAAGCCCCACGGGACCAGCACCGAATATTAAACAGGTTCGTTGGTTACCTAATTTATGGCTGCGACTACTGTTCGCCCTACGCACAGCATGAATTGCAACAGCCAGCGGCTCTAGAAGGGCCCCCGTCTCGTAATCCAGGCCCTCGGGGAGCTTGTGAACCCATTTGACTGGATGATTGATGCTGCTCTGAAGTGTGCCTTGAAAATGAGGAAACTTTGACCCGGAACTGCGAAAGCGCAGCTCCTTGCAGATATTATAACGCCCGTTTTGGCAATCTGCGCAGGTCTCGCAAGGTATTCCTACTTCGAGCGCAACACGGTCCCCAACAGCGAGCGTCGGGTTAAGATGAGCGACCCTGGATCCCAGAGCGACGATTTGCCCAGCCGATTCATGTCCTAAGCAAAGAGGCTCTTGGACCACAAAACTACCATTGCGGTAGTGGTTATAATAATGAAGGTCCGATCCACACAGTGATGTCGACCGAGGGACCACTTGAACTTCGTCAGAAGCAGGCTCTACCAGAGGCTTGCTTTCCAGACGAAAGTCGTGAGCCCCGTGTAAGTATTGGCCAACGCTCTCTGTTCGGGGACTCATGGCTGAATTTGAAAGTTTGTCCCTGTCTGATCTTTCGCATGTTAAGAAAAAGAATGATTCAAAGCAGCATTAAAGTGGCCTTTTATTCTTTTTCTAACCAACGTGAAGATATGCTATGCTCATAGGCTAAGCTAGGTCTTCACTAGAGACAAGCAATAAATCTCATCCAGAAAGCAATATTGCATACCTTTACGTTCCAATCACCATTTTCTGATTCAATGTTTCTTGACCACATCCGAGAGGGGTTTGTCGGCAGGGGAAATAGCATCCGAGAAAGGGGGCTTAGGGCAGGGCTTCCGGAAATGCTGAGGCGATGCGGGGCCCTCGGAAAACGAGCCCAGGAGGCGCTATCCCAGCAAGAAGAATCTCCGAAAGCTGGAGATGAGTCTCCTGCTGGTAAATAAATTGTACAAGGCCTAGGGTTTAATTTTATCTCCACTTGTCAATGTTTTGAACCTACTGGTTGTAAACGGCTGGCCTGTTGTGTCCCACTGTCCGCATTCTCTTTGCCTCATTTACATTTATACTCTTTGACTAGTTTCTAATTTATGTTTTTTTTGGTATTTCTTTAGTTTTTTACTACCGTGAAAAATTTTAATATCATGTCTGCCTATGCCAAAGAGTTCAATGCCATCATCATCGGCGCCGGCCCTGCCGGGATCGCAATGGCCTACAGACTGAAGCACGACCTTAACTTTGACGACTTCATGATCTATGAAAAGTTGGATGGCGTTGGAGGAACCTGGAGAGCAAACACCTATCCTGGTTGGTAAGGAAATTATTCTTGTGACGCGATTTTCGTCCAGATTCGAGGGCTCATCAGTATCCATTGCCTAGTGGTTGCGATCTCCCATCTCATCTATACTCATTCAGCTTCAACCTCAACCCTAACTGGTCCAAGGAGTTGTGCGAGCAACCTGAGATCCTACAATGTAAGACTGAACCAAAATTCTACCTAGGGTTAGGAAAATATAAGCTGATAACGAATAGACATGGAAGCTACGGTCGACAAATTTGACATCCGCAAGCATGTCCATCTCTCTATCGAATGCCTTGGCGCGATATGGCACAACGATAAGACCAAATGGGAGGTCAATTTCAGGGATCACCGTACCGGAATCGAATTCACGCGCTTTGCCTCCGTTTTCGTTTCGGCCGTCGGCGCCATTTCTTTCCCCCGAGATGTCAAGTTCCCTGGAATGGAGAACTTCAAGGGCGCCATGTTCCACACGGCACGATGGGATCACTCCGTTGATTACAAAAACAAGCGTATCGCCGTTATTGGTAACGGCTGTAGTGCAGCACAGGTTGTCCCGGCAATCTCGAAAGAGGCCCTCTCCGTGAAGCAGTTCGCCCGCAGTGGACAATGGTTCCATGCTCGTCCAAACAAGCCGTACAGCGAGCTCGACAAGTCTCTTTTCCGCTGGTTGCCTCTGCGACTTCGACTTCTTCGGTTGCGCATCTTCCTCAACGCCGATGAGGAGACGACGACCTATTTTCCAACCCCGAAAGGTATCAAAGTTCGCAAAGCCACCGAAGAGGAGTCCAAGAGATACATTCGTTCTATTGCACCTGAAAAATACTGGGACCACATCATCCCCAACTTTCCTCTCGGATGCAAGCGCCGCATCTTTGACCCAGGCTACCTTGAGTCCTTGAACCTCCGCAACGTAGAACTAATCCCCGAAGGCATCCAGGAAATTACCGAGACTGGTATTGTGAGCAGCTCGGGTCTTCATAATGACTTCGACATCATTGTCCTAGCTACCGGATTCCAGGTTGCTCAATTCTTGACCCCAATGCATATCGTCGGCTCAAATGGTAAAGCTCTACAAGATCAATGGAATGAGTCGCGTGGTGCCCAGGCCTATTTGGGTACACATGTACACAACTTTCCCAACTTAGCTATTCTTTTTGGGCCGAACACCTTCCCAGCCAACAACTCGGCCCTGTTCGCGTGCGAGACCCAGGTCGACTATACCATCAAGTCCCTCTTCAAGCCTCTTCTCGATGGTCGAGCTACCATCATCGAGGTTAAGCAAGCCGCCGAAGACCGTACTACGAACGCCATTCACAGGGAATTGAACAATACTGTTTTCGCCGGGGACTGCTCAAATTGGTATATCGGTAACTTTGGGCGTAATGCAGCCTCCTGGCCAGGCCTTGCACGGTCTTACTGGGCGGCAACCTACTTCCCAGACTGGTCTGCATTTAATATGAGCGGTGGGTCTCTATTGTGGCCTGTCTATCGTGTGGCGCGTTGGCTTAGAACCATTTCTCCAGTAAGCCAGACAGTTTTGGGTCTCGGGCTGTTGGCAGCATTCTCCAAATATTCCGATGTCACAACTCAGATAAAGAGTATATTGCAATGCGTGACCGCCTTCTTGAAAACATGTCTGTCAGTCTAAGAATGATCTTTCCAAAAATTCAGAATGTATTGTTACTTGCGTAGTCATGCGCTTGTATGGTTAGGAGTTATCTGTTTTTCTTTATTACATCAAACTAATTTGTTCAGATGTTATTGATTATCTGGAATAATTCCTTACCATCATGCATGTACAGGTTTAATTAGAAATCGCGGACTATTAACTACATCCCAAACCATCATTGATACAAGTAGCCCAAGTAATAGGAAGTGAAAAACTCTATAGTCTAAATGAGATCTTGAGTCTTGCTCTCATATTGATAGAAAACTTTAGTTTATTCAAAGAAAAAGTCAAAAAATAAGAAATAACACCTGGCCAATTTCCCTCCTCGTGTCGAATACAACGTACTGTGGGCATGTACTAGAACTCCTTAGGAACCTGAAAATTGCCGAAAATCATCTGTTCCATCACAGTATTGAAAAGAATGAACAGAAATTCCATATGGCTTCTGAACGATGTTAGTCTCTCACTCACCCAAAGCCACCTGGGAGAAAGCCATGCCTATATGCATGCCAGTTAGAGACGTACCGGTTCCAAACAAAACACTGAGTTTTTTGGTATTATCATATCGGCTAGGCCATCTCGTTGTATGCCAAGGAAATAACCTATGATCACGCGTACAACCGCACGATGTGTGATCAGTAGTAAATGATCCGTCATCCCCTCAAGCTCTACAATCACTGAACGCAATCGATTGATTACATCCACATAACACTCCCCCCCAGGGCCTGGCCAGCGGTGTAACAGCTTATTTCTATTGCGGGCGGCAAATTCCTCTGGATAAAGAGTTTGAATTTCATCAAATGTTAGACCTGCCATATTTCCTGCATTTAAGTCATCAAGCATCTTCATTTGCTTTTTTATATAGTGATCTTCCGGGAATTCGAGCGCTGTCTGGATAGCCTGCGGCATCATCGACGTCCAAATGCAAAATTCAAGCGGACTCTCAGTGGGGTATTCTTTTCTTGACTGTTCCCAATTCTTTCGTTGCTTTTCTATAAATCTTGATAATGCCCTTGCGTAATTCCGTCCCATGTCCGTTAGGTGAGATGTACGTCCTATCTTTCCGCTTGCATCATCAACACTCTCGCCATTGCATGATATCCAGATCTGGCGCTCGAATAGGTTGAAATTGAGAAGGTATTCCACAACATGTGTCGCCAAGTATCCCCGAATCATGTGTGTATTGATCCTGCGTCCAGCGTCAATCATCTGGATATACGGGATTTTTTGTTCTTCCTCGGCCTTTCCAAGAGAAACATAAGTCTTCTCATAGTTCGCCACTCTGCCACGAAAATCGAAAAGAGCCTTTTCAGGATCCCGTCCTTTGTAATCAGGACCTGATAGCTTCAATTGAAAGTTCTTGTCCAGAAGTTCCTGATCGAGACAGCAGCTCTCAAGGTATAGGAGGCCGAGCTTTCGACCAACCTTGTTTCGAATGTGAGAGAGGACGAGCTGGCGGCGTACAAGGGTACTGTTAGTCGCATCTAGAATGCCAATAGAGCCGTCACCATGTATGAGCCATTCAAGTAACTCATCCAGCGCACCAAGAGCCAACTGGTCACGTAATTTAACCGCGTCGGGGTCATTCGGGTCGAAAAAGCTAGCCGAGGAGGATGAATAGTTTGTTGCTGTTGCTGATCTTGGCATTATCTGGTGAACAGTTGCTCTTCTCCTTCGTTCGCCGACATTGAAAATCCGAGTTTTGTACTGCAGCCAATTCAAATATCGAGCTAGCTTCTTGACTATGTAGCTCTTGCCTCTCGCCGGGAGGCCAACCATGACGATTATCAGTTTGGCGCCCACATCTTCTGTAGCGACCGACTTGTGCGTGGATCGAAGAGGTCGAGTCAATCCAGGAATTTCGAGAGTCGCAGGTTTATGATTGATCTGTAAGTCAACAATGGTGGAATCCATCACCAAACTAATATCTAATGGTAAGTAAATGCTTCAACCCCGGTGTCTGTACATATGGCTGCCACTGGGCTCATACATGTATATTACAAACACTAACATACATTTATTAAAAACAAGAGCTCCCGTCCTAAATAGCCATTGCTGATTAATAGATTACCTTTAGGAATTCAACAAAGTCAGCATTTCAGAATCTTTTCTCTTCGCTCTATGCGCCATCATTTCGCAATTATCGGCTCAACTGCTCAGGATCTCCAACTTGAGTACTATACCTTATTGAGAAGATCCAAATCTTCCATCTTCCGAAAAACTCGGCCTATATTTCCTAGAGTGAGCGCAATTATGTGTGTCCATAGGTGTCGGAAATCGACCCCGATAGTGGCTTTTTGTCGGCCGGGGATGCGGGACAACCCTAAAAGCCTCAAGTTGAAAATCCGATCAACTGACTAAAGGTAGGACGGAAAGAAAGCTGGTTACATAGTAGAGCATACAAGGTACTAGCAATATATACTCGTAGTTGAACAATAAAATACAAACCTCACGTCCAAATATATTTTTGTTCGACACAATGGCATCATACCAGGAACAAGCCTTATCCAAGGTACTTGTAATTCTATCTCCAAATATGAAAACATCGCTCATTCCATGCATAGCTACAAGATCCCAGTCTTTTTATTGGGGATGCTTTTATTGATGGCAAATGGATTTCAAAAGACAAGAAGTTTATAGTAACTGGTACGCAGATACAAAAAAATTTACTGCTCCTTTTCCCCATAGACATGAGAGCTAATTGCAACTACAGAACCGTCGACAGGCACAAGTCTAGGTCAAGTAGCAGACTGTGACCTTGAAGACTTCAAAAATGCCATTTCGAGTGCAAATAAGGCACAGCCATCGTACTTTGCAAACACGACTGGTGCTTCTAGAGGAGCACTTCTAAGGAAATGGTACGATCTGATCATGGAGAACAAAAACGACAGTATGTACCCACTCTCCACTGGGATAACGACTCAAAGAATAACATCTCCGCGGTGAACAGTTGCTACAATCCTCTGTCTTGAAAATGGAAAAACATTTGCAGAGGCTCTAGGAGAAGTGGTCTATGCAGCAGGTTTTATTTCCTGGTTCGCCGAGGAGGCGACTAGAGCATACGGTGTAACGATTCCCTCCTCAACTGCTCGCACAACACTTCTTACTATCCGTGAGCCCGTTGGTGTTTGCGCCATTATTACTCCCTGGAACTTCCCCGCCGCTATGATCACAAGAAAAGTCGGTCCGGCGCTTGCTGCTGGAAACACTGTTGTTATTAAACCGCCTAGCGAGACCCCCTTTACCTGTCTAGCTCTTACCAAACTGGCTGTTGAGGCGGGCCTACCCCCAGCAGTCATTCAAGTATGCCCAACCAAGAACCGTGAGGCTGCCACAGAATTGGCGACAAACCCGATGGTCCATAAAATCAGCTTCACGGGCTCAACAGCTGTAGGTAAACTGTTAGCCAAGTTGGCAACAGGAACGTTGAAGAAAGTAAGTCTGGAACTTGGAGGCAATGCGCCGTTCATTGTCTTTGACGATGCCGATATCGATCTTGCCGTTGAAGGTGCCATGTTTTGTAAATTTAGATGTTCTGGCCAAACCTGTGTGTGGTAGGTTTCATTTCTTCTCTTCTTGGCTCATCTATTTGTCAAAACTAAATGGAATCTTTCAAATAGTGCAAACAGGATCTATGTTCAAAGAGGTATTGCAAAACAATTCACAGCCAAGTTGGTAGAGAAGGTCGCTACTCTCAATGTCGGCCCTGGCTTGGATGCGTCTACTACTCAGGGACCCCTAGTAAACCGCGCCGCTGTCGAAAAGGTTGCCAGCCACATTCAAGACGCAGTTTCCAATGGAGCGAAGATTGAAATTGGAGGAAAGACGCCAGAATCTGCCGGATTTTTTCACATACCCACCGTGCTCTCGGGGGTGACACCAAATATGGCTGTGAGCAAGGAGGAGACATTTGGGCCCCTGGCTCCAGTAATCGAGTTTGAGACTGAAGATGAAGCCATTCGTCTTGCAAATGATACCGAGTTTGGATTGGCCGGATACTTCTTCTCGCGTGATGTCAGCCGGGTTCTGCGTGTAGGGCAGGGTTTACAAGTCGGTATAGTTGGCGTGAACACGGGTAAAGTTAGTGCTCCAGAGGCACCATTTGGGGGTGTCAAGGAGAGTGGGTACGGGAAGGAGGGCAGTCTTTATGGGTTGGAGGAATATCAGGTCATTAAGAGCATTACGATTGGTAACTGGTAGCTGCTTTCGTTTGTAACCCGCTGTGGTGTTACTTGTACGGACTATATGGCAACATGAATATTTTTCACATCTATAAAGTTAAAATACTTATTATTCGAGAAGAAATACATGTATTATGGGACTTCATGATCGACACTTGTGCGTAACCCGGCGCCGACGTTGATGTATATCATTTCGGTGCATACATACGACGTGCATGTGTGCTGATAATGCTACGGTGCATGGAACTCTACATAAAACAGGGATTGATTGAATAATGACGCATCAGTTGATTAAGCATGGAATTAATCAATTACATGCATAAGGGTGACGTGATAGTAATTAACTGCAAATGAAGATGTCCATATTATATAATGTAATTCACATGTTGCAGGGTTCGGCTATAATTGATATCGCTTGATATATTTATTACGTGGACAGATCAGTTGATGTCTACATATGTAATATTTCAGTTGGGGCCGATCCAGGCACGACAAATTGGTAATATTTAGTAAATCATAATTTTAGAGTATTGACATATTGGAAGTTCTTTAATACTGTGGCTTGTATAGATAACGCTTCCAACCGACCTAAAGAAAAACATGTACATATTCAGTGCATGCGCGATCGAGCTGTCTCTTAAGTATCTACATGTATCTTTAATGACACACCAGACAATCCAATTTTAATTGTACCACACCCCTGTCTACATGTACCATCGATATTGCTTGTCTAAAGCAGCACCGCAATAACGATGCCCCTCAGCAACAACCGTTATACACCCCCTCCTACACATGCAGCTAATAAACCACACTCAATAATATTAATATAACACATCGATACATTTCTGCAAACGTGGCATGGCCCGAGCTGAAACGCAATAGACAGGCTGCTCCCACACCCATCACACCCAATCCCTCAGCATCCGACGTATCGATGCCCAATCATGCACGCCTACGGCACGAATCCTGACCAGTTTACTTATAAGAGCGCAAGGATTATCCTAGTACCGGGAAGCAGCTTCTCTTCCCGCTTCCTTTCATAGTAATAGTAATAGTAATTTTTCGCCCTCGGCTTTGCCTCCTCCGATCGCTATGCTATCGCGTTCGGTCTTCACGGTTCGCCGCGCCAATGGTATCGCGCGTTTGGTGGGACGGTGATGCAGGACGAAAATGAGGGTGCAGGGATGTCGAATAGAGTAAAAGGGTAGCTTGGCGTGCAGATGAGGAAGTACGCCGTCTATTCTTGTCAGCTGAGAGTATGGACTGTATATTCTAAATAAAAATAAATATTAATGATGTCGAGAATAAATACATGTAGCAATACTAACGATATATAGAAGAGTCCAGTCGAGCAAGTCTACATTCAAAACCTACATCAAATTTACTAGTAGCGTATAGCTAATCTCTGTATAATTTATGATCATCATTAGCACCAATGTTAAAACCTGGAATGCCTAAATTTGTGATATTAACTACTCAAGGTACACTATGCAGGCTTCCCGCGCGAGCATCGATATTAGGCACCAAGACCAATAATTACACTACCTACATAAGCATTGACTGAAATGACTCATTGATAGCTTAAATATGATTGTCTAAGCCGGTCTAATGTATTCAACGGATCATTGACCGTACCTACTATTTACTACTTATTTAATAACACTGTACCCCGCACCAGACCATGTGTATCACCATCCATGTGGACATGTATGTATGGTATCATATTCACCGAACAAGCATTTCTCAAACAGATATCAGCCAGGTGGTGGTGCTGTACCATTTAATGTTATTCCGCCGTCTGCCGTTACACATAGGGACAGGTATACAGGGTAGGTGTACAGACAGGAGCGTTGTACCTAAGTATCGGTGTAACATTCGTCTCAATACTCTGATTATGATATAACGTTAAATCATTATAAATCATTATTGATTAGTTATCAACTATTAAAGATTCCAGTAATTAATTCTTCGATGTACTCCGTACATGTTTTACCAAAGTCAAATCCAGTTAAACTTTAACCTTCTTTTTTTGTTCCCCGTGCGCCACATTTCTCTTTTTTGTTGGGTCAGATGGTATTGAGGTCGGGCGATTCTGGAAAGAATTAGGATGTGAACTAATCATGATTCATAAATCAATAAAAAATTACATAAAGAGGTATGTATATCCGTGTAGTAAATTCTATACAAATACACGGATATACCCGAAATCCGTCGACCTAAACAATCCTCGGATATAACGGAAGTACTCTAGGTTTTCTAAACTTAAATGTTGAAGAAGTTAGTTAATAGCGATGCGTCATCATACATGATTTAATAAACTTGCCTGGAATTGGCAGTTAGTCTCAGGCCGCTAGACGAATATCGTTAGTCGTGCAACTCCGCGTACGCCGTATGGGCTATGTAGCTGTACTACCGTAGCGTTCGATACCTGCTTGGCTATGACTGGGGTGTAGAACCTTGCGTTAAATCGGTTGATGGTTATGGATGGAATGAATAATGTGACCCGTGCGTCCCGTGTGAGGTGGTTAGGTCGGAGGCGTGTAGATCATTTAATTACTCTAGCTACTATTAAAGGGCTGTGGATTATTTGGATGCCGAGAAACAAAACAAATCCAAAATCCAAAAAAAAAAAACAAAAGAAGAGGTTAGGGTAAATATCTTTTGTACATATCTATATCCTTATATATATTTATACATTTTTAACTGTAACAAACCTGCACATGTGGTGTTTGTACATGAGGACTGAGTGGAGCAAAAGACGACTACTGGATTCGTCGTAATCCGGCTGAGTGACTCCACGAGCACTGCCACATGTTGGATCCTCGGGAGAAAGAACTGAAGATCATCTTAGTAAGACGATAATACGGAAGAAGGGAATAAAAATAGAATAATGAAAATAAAAGAAGATAAGGACAGCCGTCTGAGTAATCCCGGGACATTTTGCATTTTGCATTTTCCCTTTAGCGGTCAATGAACAATAATAATGACAATAATAATGAATATATGAATACGGAATAGCAAAGAGTAAAGACAATGCACTTTCCCAAACAGGCAGTCGGGCTCTTTAAAAGGGGTGAGTGCCAAAGTGGAGCCGTGCAAAGGGAGAAAAAAAGGCCAAAAATTAGTCAAGCCAGGAACCAATCAGAGCAGCGCAGAGTAGTCATAGAGTAATGGTTACAGGCAGCCTTGGAGTTTATTCGTGATTAATAATAATCGTTCAGTGGGATGTATTTAGAGAGTCGGAACATGACCGAGTTTTATTCCGTGACTCTTGTTTTCATGGACGGGAGAATGTGGATGGCTGGGATTGGGATCATCGCGTGAAGAATGCATGCAGAGACTCCATAACTTGATTTATAGTAACTAAGTACTAGGTAGTATGCAAGCAAGCAGAGCGCGTGGCAAGCCGAGGATCTCTCGGCGCGTGTATGGTATGGTAACGTTAGTCTAGAATCTTTAGGGCCAGGGATGCTGAGTCGTTATGAGAATTAACAGACTTGTTAGACTGATTGTATGCAAGACCGTTGGCTATTCGTATTCTTATTCTTAGATGATTAACATAGATCTTATTACATACAACAGAAGCGCCGATTCTTGAGTTGACTGAGTACCCGGCAGAGAGAAGAGAGACGTATCCGGAGGATGATGGATCTCGGGCGTACACCTACATGCGGGATAGCCGGGCTGCTGCTTTAACGGTGTAAAGAGAAGACTAGCCGTAACTAAGTTACTACAGCCAAACTCTTCCACGTGTTTTCCTTTCAGATAAAGCCTAAAATTTAAACGAATCCCGCGTGGCCGTTAGCTGTATTACCGTATCATACCTTCATGTATACAATTATACATAGTCTGAGTCGACTTGAAGGTTTCAGCTTGTGTGGAATGTGATTGGTATGTGTAGATTGTCAATCAAGTCAATTTAGGGTAGGAGATATCCACGCCAACTTAGCCGGGTGTACCGGTGTAGATACCGCTCAGCATGGCATCGTCCCAGATTGTTGGGTTCAGATAATCACACCACTAATTTAATCAGTCTAATACTAATAGTTCATCATAATATGAATTCATAAGCAAGCATCATGTGACGCGATCAACTTATTAATCCAACAAAGTCGAGGTTAAGACCTGAGCTAGGTTTCAGACTCGAACTAGCCGTCCTATCCAGCCCTAACAGTTACTACTAGTCAGTCTGGTCGATGACAGGTCTGACAGTGCGGAAAGGGCCGGAGACATAGGCGTTTGTCCGGATGCTGTTTCACATTGACTTGAGTTTCTCTGCCTAATATGCTCTTATCTAGATATTCGCACGTATACACCAGATTTGTAGACTAGATTCCGCTGGTGTTTTCTTCTGACTTATACTGTACTGTATGATTAGTAATGTGTCGGGTACAGCTCCCGTTGTACCTAGATACATAGGTAATCAATGAGAATTTGCTCCAACAATGTATTCTAGGTAAATATTAGTATTATATAATTAACAGTCTATCTCATAAAATAATCTATGCTTGTTCGGAGTAGACTATTGCGGATGATTCAGACTAGTCTTCCACGTGGCGATACAATACAGTAGTTACTAGTTAGTTAACTTACTAACTACTAGTTGGTGAAGTATACGACTAGTCATGATTCATGAATCAAGCTATAACAGTCGCCATATAGCGTCCCGTGACCTCCTAGTCCTCATCTCCTTCTCGATTCGGAGCCTTGCATGCAGCGCATTCTTGGCAGAGCGCACATGGTGGAAACTAGTCTTTTCTCGGCGGCATGGTCACTGCACAGATTCATAAAGCATACCATTATGGTTTAGGATACGCAGTTATTATTGTAATGGTATGGCGAGTCGATCAGCCGCATGGCAGTCGCCGCGTGGCAGCCAGGGCAGCCAGGCAGCCCACTACATATCGTCGGTCAGAGCATGCGTACTCTTCACTAATAATTCAAGAGAAGGAATGGATCAGCATTGTTGTCCGCACACCGCCATTTGCAAGTGCTTCTACGGAGTATATTAATAATGATAACCTAATGGCTATCCGGACAGCCGAGTCCACGTGATAGGGCTGATCCGGGCCAACATGTCAGCTTCGAATTGAATATTGATTATTGGCTGCGTTATCTCGTATACATGATTAGCCTACCAGTCGTCAGTTGCCTAGCAGCCTAGTACCTATTATGATGATGCTGCGGCTGTATGAGCCGGCGGAAAGAATATACACCAGAACATACACCGCCATGTCAGCATTATTATTAACTCTTAAAAGAGAATAATAATGTCATGAATCATGATTCACGACCAAAGCTTAACTTCCAATACCACGTGCAGGAAAACCACGTGGGACCAGGATTTGAGTGGATTTATGAGGCTTGAGCGGACTTACTAATTTACTATTTCACGATATTTAGAGAGAGTTTGCAGTCCGAGCGCGCTTCAAACTTTTCCCGCCGGGATTGTTGCGAGGAATATAGCCGGATTTCAAATGCTTTTTCGCGTGGCGTGGGCGATGGCAGTTCTGGGTTTGCCACTATCGAGTATTTTTCTGTGGTTGATATGTTAATTTTTAATTTTTGAGACGAGCTTAGTTTCACGCTCCACTCTTTCGCGTGGTTTTAGCTGCCGATGAAGTATGAAACCGGCAAGCATGGCAATTGACCTGTATCATTATCATACTCGTTATTCTCCGATCGCTCGCCCTGTAGCACCCGTGCGACACTATAAGTGTTGCGTATTATACAGAAGTCAGAAATAGGAGTAAGCCTTTTGCTCGGCTACTTATCCTATGTTTCTCATTCATATCACTCATACCATCAGTCTATTGCTATAAAATTAATATAATATACTAGGTAATACAAAGTATTTATCGGATGTGTTGTGCGGCAGATTCCGCCGATCATACAGAAGAGCAGTACTGAATCGAGAATAGGGGTATGGCGCGATACGGTATGGTACAGTACAGGCAGTACCGAATAAGATGAAAATTGAATAATATGAATAATAGAGAGATCGTCGGCGGCTGCTTTTCGGCGCTGGGCTGCAGACCCACTGGTCAATTACGTACATTACGGATACCAATACCGATACCAGCTGCAGTACCGACGCTGCTTTATCCCAAACTTACCGATTGCCTTTTCCGATTGCCTCATCTTCCCTCCTCCTCGTTTCGCTCCTCTTCTTCTCTCCCACCCCTGGCAGTATTGATGTGCCTGACAATTTCCCGTCGATCATCATCCCCTCCCCTCCGCCTGATCTGGGTTCAATGACCACGATATCTGTTGGCAACGCTCAACTCGCTCCCTTCCCTGCCGACCTGCCCGCCGAGTCGACCACATCTACTCCTCCACAAACGCATACAACCACTCCCACTACATCGCCCACGCCGCTCTCGTCGCGAGCCAGTCGCCGCTCGCTTGCGCTGCTTGCCATTGAAAAGACCTCCAGCGCCATTGCCAGCCTCGCCTCGCGGAACAACAACACTCCCACTCCGTCGCTGTCCGGCGCTTTGTCCAAGGGCAAATACACCCAGCTCGCCAACGACCACGTCCGCCTGAGCAGCGACAACCCCGTCCAGATAAATCCTCGCGCTCCCCCGGCCCTCCTCAAGCGCCGGAATACTGTGCGACTAGTGCCTACCTCGATCGCCCTCGACTCCGAAAATCCCGCTATTGCGTACGCGAACAAAATGCATCAGACATCATCCCGCCTGCTCCGCATGACGGAGGATGAGCGTCCATTTACGAAGGTACCACCATATATTCCATATACACTGTGCTACGCCGACATACTAACTTACCAGGACTTTAATGATTTGTTCTCCACATTGATGGTGAGCTTGAAGCTCGACACCCATCGTGTGCGGTTCAGCAAGTTTGAGCATACCTTCACATCCGACGAGGCTATCAACAATCTCGGCTCTCTCAAATTCTCCCAGTCCAACCGCATGCCAGACCCCAAAGACCCCTCTCGCATCGTCACTACGACCACGACCACCACATTCTCCATGGCCAAGGAGATGGCCCGCTCCGTCTGTCAGCGCTTTGTTGATGCTCGCTTCATCGAGGCTCTCGACGGCGGCCGTGGCGCCTCTTACTTCCCCATGAAGGGCGGCCTGTATCAGTTGACCCCCAAGGGAATCAACATTCTCCAGCGCTTCTGCCAGCGCAACGGCATTACGGCGCGCCATGTGATGGAGGTCCTCGAGTCGCCGCGGAACACCATGCAGTTGGTGAACCTGGAACGGGACCCGGAAACGGACAAGCTGTCAGCCGACCGCGCCACCATTGAGGTGATTTTCCGTCGCTTTGCAGGACAAGACGGGCCGAATGTCAAGTCGAGCGTCTCCAGCTCGGACTCGGACTCGTTAAGCGATTACTCAAATGGTCTGGTGGGTGTGAAGATGGCCAAGGAGCGAAGAATTGGCGATAAAACTTATTCCAACACCTTCACGGGGAAAGCCACTGTCGACTGGTTGATGGACTGCTCGACAACCAATGACCGCCGGGAGACGTGTTTGATTGCGGCTTTGTTTATTAAGCATGGATTGATTACCTCTGTGCAGGAAGACCGGGTCCTCGCCCAGCAAGACCCTACTGCAGTCGATTTCCAGCCCACAAAGTATGCCATCTACACCATCACCGAGCACGGTCAACGGACATGCGGATGGATTGCTCGTGACCGGAGTGCCGTGTCACAGTACGACAGCCGAGGTGCCCGAGACTCAAACAATGCTCGTCTCAACCATATTCTGCATGATGCTGCTCTGCGACTATTGTTCCGCGAGTTTTTGCGGTATTCGTTGTGCGAAGAGAACCTGTCTTTCTATATGGATGTGTCTGAATTCACCACCAACTATCACCGACTAGAAAAGGACGGCGCGTTCAACAAGATCGACACTGTACGAGAAACGCTGGCTGCTGCTTATGGCCTGTACAATGCGTTTTTGGCTCCTGGATCGCCTTGCGAGCTCAACATTGAGCATGGACTGCGCAACAGTCTCGCCAGTCGCATGACCAAGGCTGTTGGCAACGACGAGTCGATGCTGAAGAGTTTACAAGAGGTGGTTAATTTGTTTGAATTGGCTCAAACTTCTGTCTTCAAATTGATGTCTAGCGTAAGTCTTGGCTTCATTATTGGATTATCGAACTATAAAACTAACAATCGCAGGACTCGGTTCCTAAATTTGTCCGTGATCCGAAATACTCGGTAGTCTTGCAAGAGCACGATTTCGACCTGGGGCAGAACGGCCGGTCGTATTCTCCCACACCGGCGCCGCTGCCCGAGCGGTCAGCGAGTCGTTCTGTGCGAACATAATCGATATTACGCCAGCAAGACTTACGATTTTCCTTGTCTTACACCTTGTCTTACTCATGATAGAACATTTACTCATGATAGACATGGAGGACCCTTTTACTCATCCTTCATCTTTCATCTTTCACTTTCTTCCTTCCTGTAAAACAGGAAAAGCATAAGGGAGCAATCTCTGAAGCATTGAGCAGGCGTTGTTGTGATTTTGGGTCCAAAGATCTATATATCTATATTCTTGTTTAATCGCATTTTCCTTTGAAGCATGCAGATACCTATTGCCGTTTCCTGAGCATACAGCGTGTCATGGGAGGCTGGATCATTCTTTATTATTTCTATTGTTACATTCATGTATATATTAGTGGCTGGAGGCTTCGTTAGATTTAATGCATAGATTGATCAGTACGTGCTTGACTTGCTCTTAATTCTTCCTGCTAAAACCCTGTCCCTATATTAGTGCATTAATAGTGCCGTGGTAGAATCACGTGACTGACCCACCCCCGACATCGAGATTCATCGTGAATTCAATATCTCCAGCCTCAATCCACACCACCTCACCACCTCACATTACCAGGACAGTCTGCGCAATGGCGTTAGACGCACTCCTGTCCGACCCCCTCCTCTCCCTCCGCCGGGCCATCGCAGCTCAAGCCCTACCCTCGCCCACCACCACAGCCGACATCACGTCGGCCTCTGACAACACAACCGACGACCTTGCGCAAGCCAGCCACCTCTTCTTCACACACCCACAACCACACACCATCCCCCTAAACACGCCCACTCGCTTCGTTTCCTCCGCCAGCAATGACACGCCGGTCGACCTGCGCAGCATCTTCTTCGCATGGCAGAAAAAGGATGTCGCGATCCCAGAATACATCGCCTCGGCGCAGCACGTCAACGAAGCTTTAGCCCAGAAAGCCTCTGCTGCTGGTGGTACTTCTGACGAGCAAATATTGAACCTGGTCTTCGTTGAACGCCTCGATCTGATTACCTGGCTCGAGGGCGCGTCAGATGAGAGCGAGTATATCAAGCCATTGGAAGGCGCCGCGGCGGTCGCTGCGGCCGCTGCAGATGCTGCAGCTGCAGCAGCAGTGGCGTCGCAGTCTGTTGTAACTGCGGTAGCAGACGTCACGGCGCCAGTGTCGGCGAGCGCGCAGGCTACGGCTGCTGGTGCCACAAGGCCGACAAAGGTGATCGATCCGCGGTTGCAGGAGATATACAATGGCGAGCGGAAGCTAGGGGATCGGAATACAGTGCTACGGGGGACCAAGCCGACGGTACGCCGTGTCCTATTAAAGGGAGGGTTATATGCTGACTATTGTAGGAATTTTCTCATGTCCGCAAAACCGCAGAGATCTTTCTCGGTCGGAATAGGAATCGCAGCCAATACCCAGCGAAGCCGGCTGGGGGAAAGGCATTATTGTTCCCACACCATCGGCTGGACTGGCACTGCCGAAAAAGCCCGGCTCGTCGTCGTCGTCGTCGGCGTCGTCGTCATCTCGCCAATACCCAATCATCCTCCTCTCCCCATCCGCCTCCTCGCCTATCCGGCTTTCCAATATCAAGTCATTCCTTCAAGACGGCGTATTCGTGCCCCCGGACCACCCGACGCTCGCGTCACAAACCACCTCCAACATCCAATTCATAACGCGCCAACTGCGCCTAGTCGGAGACTCAGCCAGCAGCAGCGCCACCGGCGGCATCAAACCCGGCAGCAGCACAGCACAATCCCGGCGCCCAACCCGCTTCATCCTCGCTGACAACACCGCCAACTTCCGGCCGGACTACTGGCAACGCCTCGTCGCGGTGTTCACGACAGGTCAATCGTGGCAATTCAAATCCTACAAATGGTCCCACCCGCCCGAACTCTTCCGGCATGCTGCGGGGATATACGTGAATATGAGCGGCGATCATGTCCCCGGGCAAATCAAGGATTGGGGGAGAGGAGTTAGCACGTTTACGTTGGCGCGGTGGGATGAGAAGAAGGGCACGGAGGGGGCGGGTAGGTGGTTGGATAGAGAGATTGTAGAGCATATTTGGGATGTGGTGGAGCAGAACATGAAGGCGAAGGGGCTTTTGAAGTGACATATCATAATATATCATAACCGGACATATGCGAGAGGATTGCTTGGGTTGCGACTAGAATTGAATTATGTGGTTGCGTTCTCTCGCGCCGAAGTCATTGTTCACTGACCTGACCAAACCCAAAGTCTTTTCCGCACTCTATAGCTGTCAACGCGTGGTTTTCAGTATCAGCATCTTATTATAATACTTTTAAAATAACTTGTGATTTCCTGTTCGGAGTTTATCCTTTTTACCTGGTATCCCGCTCAATATTAAGTTATGAATCTAATTTAGATTCACTTTTATAACATCCGAAATGGTGTAATGGTAACATTCTGCTCTCTCACAGCAGCCCTCGGGGTTCGATTCCCCGTTTCGGAGTTTATCTTTTTGCTTAGCATCCCGCTTAACTGTAGGATTTATGAATCTAATTTAGATTCCTCTCTTACAACATCCGAAATGGTGTAATGGTAACATTCTGCTCTCTCACAGCAGCCCTCGGGGTTCGATTCCCCGTTTCGGAGTTCCTTTTTTGCCTTGCATTTCAATTTTTCAGCATCTTTTCTTGAAGAGAGAGTGAAGACTAGGGCCTCTTTGTTTAAATAATTTTTCCCAATTTTTTTTAATAACTATATATCATAATTATTCGGAGTTGAGCATAGATCCACAGCAGATTTCAACTACTCCCTTCACTTTGCTACGAAGCTAAAATAAACACCTCGAATTTCAGATAAATAAACTTTGACACAGGGAGAGCTGTCATCGCAGAGCAGTATATTGATCCCGTGGGAAATATCGTTTATTCCTTTATGTTCTACTTGTTTAGAGTTGCTATCTTAATGTTGCCCTCTCTTGATCTTAGCAGCTCCACTCCATACGTTTTCAGAGCCCTGCCATCGAGGAGTTTTAAGGTTTTGATAGTCAAAAGACTGGAAAGAATTGACTTCGAATTAATCACCAACTTGGCGTTGATCAGCTCGACAGCTTCAAGTTAGGATTTAGCCCCCCTGCCACTACCACTTTTGTACGTAAATGTATAGGTATATGGATTTCTTTCGATTTTAGGAGAGATTGACAATTCCATTAGGAAGGAGAGTAGGGAACATCTTGCCTTTTCATTAGCTGAAATACAAAGGCGAACCTCAGGATGGACTCTCCGGGTCGGAGAAGTTTTTTTTTGCGTGCAAGTGCTTATGAAATAACCATGTTTTGATTGTTCCGGCGAGGCTTGTGGATTTACCCCTTGGATATGGAACTGCTGTAGTTCGATATCACCCTTTTTGCTGATGAGACCCCCCAATGAGTTATGTCTGTCGTTGACTCATTGGAATTCGACGATATCAGAGGATGTCACCTCTCATCTAGCGACGGGCCTTGGGTGCTAGTTACTGATCCACGATATCATGAAAGTATCCATCAAATGTCGTTTCAGATATATGGGAAGCTGTCGGATTAGTTCAACCTGGAATTCGGGCTTGACGGATATTCTCACTTAGGGTGTATTCAAGTTGATGTACAAGTTTGATAGCCTCAGGCTACGATTTCAAACGTCGGGGTCGATGACTTGGGCAATATTATACAATAGGACGAGGAAAAGTTGGGTTGAATATAGCATCACGATTCAGATTGTGTAAAGGAGCCCTCCCCATACGAATACTAATAATATTTGAACGTTTTGACATTGTCTACGAGAACATTCAAGTCCATATCTTCAATCTGACTTAAATTAGTGTTTTGATTTTTAATATTCTGTCCACCTTTCTGTTACGAGTGCATTAAGTAGAGTATTTTCTCAGTGATTACTTTGTCAACCAGTATTGTCCTTATTTATCAAGGATACCCATTACATTCACCTAGCCCTTCTTTATCGAGCATCAATATCTATGTTACCTACCCACTTCTACATTCAAAACCAGGAACTCTGCACTATCATTCGAGCAATAGCATATAATGTTTTACAGTGCTGTACATGTAATATGCCTCGTTTTTTCTTCAACTGATAATCGGTAACATTGAAGTGGAGTGAAATAAGTATATACAATCGGCAGATTGATAGTCAGATCAGACAGACAGCTCCGACCAGATCAGATCAAGTGCGCATAACATGCACGTCAGACACCAACTCATCAGTAACCGCAAATAGATACTAACATCAATCGAGACATGTAGACTGAGAACTGAATTGAATAGTTCAAATGTTGAAGAAGAAGAATGTGAATGTGAATTAATCTACCGCCATATCCGTAACACTCCCAGCCATGTCATAAAAACCAAACCCAGACACGCCGCATACGCCACGCCAGCCAGCCATCCAGAACCCGAACAAGCTAGCACAAAACGAAACTCAAGGTAAAGAAAATTTTGAAACGCCGATATAGAGCTCTCTCTCTCATTCATTAGAACATCTTTTGATAAAACAAATGGAAGGGAATGAAAAGTTGGGGTAGAGTAGAGGAGAAGAAAATCTAGGGTATCATGTTGGCGAGACTTGGTTTGTTGTGGACGTGGTTGGCAGGGGTGAGGCTGGAGGAGGGACATAGGGTGGAGAGAGGGGTTTGTTGTTGGGAACATCTTTCATCGCGACATCAGCGTCGACCTCGGCGTTCGACGGGGTCTCCGGTTTAGGGATTTCAGGCAGGTTCTGTGGCTCGCCGTCGGTGGATAAGGGTGGCGTGGTGGCTTGGACGGGCTTGCTTGGAGGTGCAAGACTGCTGTTGGCCTGCGCTTGGGTCTTTTCTGATGTCGGTGTCGCCATTGTCCCCCTGCGCCCGAGGTAATCACCAAGACTCATCTTTTTCTTGACTGGACTCGGCGCTGTGAGGCTGCCGCCGGGCGTTTGTGGTGGTTGGAGAGAGTCGGAGGGCGATTGAAGAGAAGGAGTAGCAGAATTAGGAGGGTTGATAGGTAGCGTGAAATTGTTCGGCGGAAGTTGTACGTGTAAGTTACTCGACCGCTGTTTCAACGATCCTGGAATCGGTGTGTTGTGTGCAAGCATGGAAGGTAAAGGTGAAGGTAGCGGCGGCTTGCTCATAACGTCTGGAGAGTCTGGTCGATCCGATCGAGGTTTTGGCGGCGTCAATTCGTTTCCAGCATCGGCCATTTCCACATCTTCAGTCTCGTTCGCCGAAAGAGCCGGGATGTGTGAATCGGTAGCAGTAGGAGAAAGAGCTGCGTCTGTTGTGGCAGGCGATGGACGCTCTTGTCTTTTTGAAGGCCACTGGAATTGGAGACTGTCCTCGTGACATCGTTTCAACAAGCGTCGACCTAGAGGTGAAAACTCAATTCTAGTCAGAGTTTGTTGAGACCCATCCACATAAGAGGACCTTGACAGAGGAGAGCGTTTGGTTGCAGACACTGCTGATTGTGGCGAGACATGTTGCCGAGAACCGAAAAGATATGGTGGGGAGTTCGAATGACGACCAGCGGTAGGATCTACCTTCAAAGGTTTTGGGCCTTGTGATGAGAGATGGTTTCTTGCTAATGGGGCCGGCTGAGACTGGGAGGATGTCGCACTACCGCGCTTTTTCTTCCGCGGTCCTCCATGTTGATCATGTTCTAGCTGCTCGAATTTCTTCTCAACGGCAGCAATCTTACGCCTGTCGCGAGCAGACAACTCCGAGTCAGGCAACGCCCATTCAGGCGGTGGATGTGTAGGCGTCATATCACGGCTGCGAGCCTGGCCTCGGGCAGAGCCAGAGGTTGACCTGTTGTCGGCATCGTCGTCATTCACAGCTTCACTACCTGCACGACTGCTATTCGACCGAGGGCCACTGGTAGGCGATACAGTAGACTTGGACTTCTTCTTCCGCTTGCCATTAAGCTGTTTCACACCTGGATGACGACGGCGATCTACAGCAGCCAAGAGACAGTTCTGCGATGGACTGCAGGCACAACCACCAAAATGTGCTAGAACATTACTCATAGCGATCGCTTTGGCTTGCTCTTGGTCATTGTCTCCTGATTCTTGCTTCCCCAAGTTATTCGAGCCGAAAAGCTGCGGGTCGAGATACCACATCGCCGTGACTTCGGACCCCGCGGCAATGTCTTGGTTAGCAACAAAACAAAAATGATACTCGACTTCGTTTGTAATAAAAGTCTTCATGGTGACATTAGGCCGACAAGATCGGCGAGTGTATCGAAGAATGGACCCCTCTTCCCGGGTGTCGATGTAGATAGGTAGCTGAGGATGGAAGAAGACGAAAGGCTGGGGGTGTCTAAGCTCAGGCCACTGATTGCTCGGATCCAGACAATAGTCGCGAAGTTGGCCGATTTTTCCTTTGATTTCTCCGACGATTTGATCCTTATGAACGATGCTTTCTGTCTTCAAGCATTTCCATTTCGGACGGAGACCATCAGTCTCCAAATCATCGTCGAATATCGTTTTGATGGAAAGCTCAGGCCACTGTGACGAATCCAGGCTATCCGAGTAAGTGAAAACGTCCTGTGGCGAACGGCCGGTAGCTGAGGGAAGAGCTGAGGGATCCTTCACCCAGGCGCCCATGTCACCTAGGAGATGTAGGTTGACAACAAGATTACTTTTCATATTCACATGACCCTGGTCGTTGTCGTACAAATGAAGAAATTCGTTAGAGTAAAGGGGAATTTGTGGACCAGATGATTTTGTCGGACTGCTCAAGGACGCGACGACGGATCCCGAGCGCTTCCGTGATTCTGGCAGCAACTTAGGGGGAGCTGAAACCGAAGTCATCGAAACGGATGACTTGTGGCCTAATTTTGTTTTCTTTGCGATGGTAGGGGGTTGATCTCGTGAACTAGAATCGCTTCGGACATGGAGCCCGTTTACCTGGTCAAACTCCTTCTGCTTCTTCTTCTGAGTCTTTGCTGCAGCTCTTTTGGCTTTCCGGTCACCGCTATCACTCTGCTCCCGTAGTCGGCGTTGTCGCTCGGTCGCGCGTTTTCCGTCGATGTAGCGAGGCGATGGCGAGCAGTCCGTGCAAAAGTGTTCGTCAGGGACTTCCTTGCCATGGTAGTAGCACTCGATGTGCTGCCATGTCTCACATTTCTCGCAGAAGACCGTGTTCCCATCATCATCTTGGAATGCGCAGATGCACTTGATGGTGTAGGGTTCTTCATCTTCGAACGGGACGGAATCCGAGATGGCGCCGTTGGCTAACGGGGAGTGAGGAGTCGCAGTGACCGGATACGGATCTCCGGTCGAAGGCGTTGTTGCGAGCAAGGAGGTATCTGTCATAATCCGACAGATAGCCCCCTTTCCCTCAACAGGTGATGGCAAACGTTCCTCAGCACCCAGGTTGAAGGCTCGCCTCGCCAACACGCATATCAGCAGTTGCGAGGGTGGTTATGAAAGAAATCGCGTCAATAGGTGATGCCCGAGGGATCGCGATGGAAAAATCGACACAGCCTGTGGTGAGGAGCGAGGAGACCAAGGAAGATTGTCACGTCAAGATCGGTCGCAAGGAGAGGAATTCCAGAACCAGGCGATGAAGGGCGACCCAGGGTGCCGCAAGAGTATTCTATCATCCACGCTTTCGATGGGCGCGGCGGTCGGCGAAGTATGGATCGAGTGGTCAAAGAGGATCGTGGCTGGAAAAGTCGACGCGCATTAAGCGGAAGGCGTGGAAAGAGAGCTGCGAGGTTTTGAGGAGCGGGAGAAAGGAAGAAATTAGGTAAAAAAGGGTTGTAGAAGAGAACAAGCGAACAGGGCGTCGCAAGCGAGAGAGCGAGAAGGAAATTACGGCGTGGGATGGGATTTGGCGAGTGTTGAAGGAGGATGGGCAGAGGAATGGAAGAAGAGGAGAGGGAGGAGATCGAGCGAGAGAGGAGAGAGAGGCAGAGGATAGATTTGATTTGACTGGGCCAGCCAAAGGTCGCGCAGGACCCAGGCGAAGCGGCGAAAGAGGAAAGGCGCGGGCTCGGGGGGGTTGGCGGGCGAGTAGTAAGCAGAGGAGGATACCTAGGACGTTAACTCCCAAGCCCAAGGAGCGATAACTGCCACGCACGCAAAGACAAGGAAAGAGGACGAGAGGAAAGATCACGGCCTGTGAAAATCGGTCCGATCGCAGCCAGAGGCCAGCGTGCAGGGCAGCCTCAGGCTCGGCTCAGGCAGGCCTGCGAGGGCGACGACTGCCTTGCCCGCGAGCCTTCGAGGGTACAGAAACAGGATTAGCGAGCCCGCTGCCGGTGGGACCGGAGCGGACAAGGACAGCCCGCTGGCCACTGCGCGTTCAGCCTCAGCACGATCGGCGCCATAGCCGCCCAAACAGGCAAGGCGCGGTGGAGCCCTGAGCCGGTCAGCACGGATCAGCCAGTCACAAGCGGACCTTGCGACCCGCTCGCTGTTTTCGCCCATGGAATGCCGCGCGCTAGCCATCTCTGGATTGGCGCCGCAGTGGCAGTGCACGTGCCTGGACGTTTCCGAGTCGGGCGATGAACACAATGAGAAGGAAATGGAACGACAGCGGGCATAGGGGGAGTCGGCATAAAGGACCCGGACACTGCGCAGAGGACCAGTCTGCCGCGTGGAGGACCGCGCGAGATGTAGATGAGCAGGGAAGAGGGAGAAATAGAGGGAGACAAGAGTAGACAGCCGCGTGCACACGAGTGTCACCGCAGGAATAGTCTCATAGATACTCCAGCAGAACAGCACGTTCGCTGAACGAACAGTAGCAGTGAGAAGAGCCTTTAATCTAGAGCCAGTTAGCATCTGCAAGCATTAGTCTAGCAACCAAGATTCTGTCAGGCAAAACAGGCCGTGACAGACATGGATCGATTCAACAATCAGCATACAAAGAGGACTCTGTTTGTTCGCGCATGAATAACAAGTGCAGATCGCTCTGAGTGTGCTGGAATCGGGGTCTTAAGTAAGGACTGATAAACACCGATGGATCGTGGCAGGGATGAAAAAGAGAGAGGTTAGTGACTGAATGCACGAGGTGACACAAACAAGTCTGTTGTGTCATCGGCCGAGTCATGATTAACAGCTGGATGTTTGGGGAGGGGAAGAGGCTGGTCACTGCGGGCGGCGACAGAGGGGAACACAGCCTCGATCAGAGGTGATAATAATAGGTTTGGGGGATGAGATGCCTGTGCATCAATGGCACTGACTGGAAGGGAATGGCAAAAGCAATAGCAGGAAAGGTGCCTGGGCAGGGGCGTGAGCCCAAAGCCCATCGCTGGCCAGCTCTGAGGCTGCAACGGCGATGGCGCCCAAGCCACTCAGCTGGGATATCATAATAATAATATGATTATTCCTCAGCGCTGTGATGTCGCGATGTAGCGATGTAGAGATGTCGGCAGGGCAGGGAGTAAACAGTAACGGCAGGCAGTGGTTCAGGCAGATTCAGGGAGAAAGGGAACTCCGACCGCCCGATGTGGAAAGTGGGCGATTTCGGGAGTAATGAGGGTACCAGCGTTGTGTGGGAGACAGACAGAGGACTCTGAGAGACAAAGACAGATGCAGACAGAAGCCTGCAAGGGCAGAGAGCACTGGGAGAGAAATAGCATGCAGCAGCGAGGCAACCACCGAATGCAAGAGCTGGACAGAGAAATGATAGTGATAGTGATTGCAAAAGGTTCTCTGTGTATTATTATTGGGAGCATTGTGCCCCGGTTTGCCACACGGGAGCCAGCGGGATTGCCGTCGCCTGGAGCCAGCCTGGGCCTTGCTTACACTAGCCCAGACACCAGACTCCTAGCACTGGCTAGTTGGTTGGTATTGCTGGGCGTCCTGTGACCTCGGGTGGACCCTGCGATTTATTTATTTATTTGTTGGCTGTCATGACTATTAACTAATCGATTAATTGCTGATTAGCGAGGGCGTGGCCTGATTCGTGTAGATCACGCGTCGATCCAAGTCTATATCGTATGTACATGTACCCACTTGAGAAAGCCGTTACACAGGGCAGGACGCATGACTCAATACGTCAATTAATGGATTAGGGATCAATTGGTATTATGGAGTGCTGAGTAGGAGGAATATTCAATTCATTTCTTGTTGATATATATAATGTGCACAATAGCCGTCGAGGGTATCATCAGGCAACCAAGCCGCGTTATTAATTGATCCTTACCAAACTCCTGCGGGAATCATCCATCAATCGTATCAGCTCACAAGCTCGTCGCTCATATCGGTCTCCGCAAACTCGAGCCATTCGCCTGAAATCGCCTTTTTCCAAAACCGCACTGCGCCGTCATCTCCAGACGATATTAAACAGTCACCTGAAAAAGTCAGCAACAGGTATAATGTATAATACAGAGAAATGTCAAACATACCCGCAAATGAGAACTGCACCTGCCAGACGTCAAGGTGTCGGCTGTCGATACACGCTACCTCTTTAAACTCGTGTTTGAATGGGGTGTCGCCCCCCGCAGGCCGGTGCGACGAGGTCGTGGGAGCCCGATTCGCAAGAGCACTGCTGATTCCCGACTGCACTGTAGCACGCTGGGAAGGCGACAGTGCTGATGCCTGTGACTGCCGGTGATTGGCATGCGCTCCCGAGTTGGACAAAGATGTATACACTTCAAAGATGCGAACATAACCGTCTTTGCAGCCGCTGGCAATGAGATCGAACCCACGTACCGAGCCATTGGCCCACGATATATCCCGGACCAGACCGCCATGTCCCGTCAGCTCGATTGCATGGTAGAACCGACGACTCGCGTCCGTCCGATAGATCTTCACGGTATTCATGGCTGCCACCACGAGTGACAGGCCTTTGCGGTCCCCTTCAGGCATCAATGGGTGTGTGACATCAAAGGCGTCGTGGTGGAATTGCACCTGGAAGCTGGTCTCTTCTCCTCGCTGCGGTGCTGGACAAACTCGGAATTGGTCCAGAGCCTGCCATTCCACCAAGCTGTCAGGCATGACGGGCTCCATCACCATCAGATATCCATCCCGGGTAATCAGAGCTAACCATGTGTCCAAGTCGACATTTCGGAAGTCTAAAGACACAAAGGGGACGCGATGCGGTGCTGTTAGCCGGTAGATCGACTTGAAGCGCCTCCCCGAGTTAGGAGGTTGCGTCACGTCTTCTTGCCAGATCTTCAATCTCATATCTTCTCCCACGCTGCCAATGTGCTGGCCGGTAAAAGGCCCATTCCAAGCAGCCTGGACAAACAAACAAGACATTAACAAACGATACCTCACGTAATATCTTCTACGGCTGGGAACTTACATCGCGAATCTCGGCGTCATGCGCGCGCCATGTGTCAGTCAACTGCCATTCTCCGTCTTTCTGATCCCAGACCTTTAATCGGTGATCCGAGGATGCCGTTACTATGCGCGTCCCGTAGAAATTGAACTTGGTGACCGTGACCAGGTCGCGATGGCCGGCATCAAAGTCGGTAAAGCCCGTCCCCATCGTAGTGAGGGGCGCGACTGCGCTTGGTCCCTGTTCCCCTGTTCTGCTCGAGCCCCCACTTGGAAGTCAGACAGCGGATGCTGTAGAAGCCGGCTGCTTCTTGTGCAACGCGGTAGTCTGTAGGCTGCATGTAGCACCTACTAAGCATGTAGCTAAGCATGTAGCTAAGCACGTATGTATGTATTGTCTCGTCTATGCTGCTGCTTCGGGGAAGGCGCTGATCGAGCTTCCGCGATAATACGCAATCAGCCAGCCCTGATTGGCCCCCGTGGAGACCGCCCCTGCAGGGCGGTCTAGTATATCCGGCAGAATAAACACTCTTGATGCCAGATCGCCCTTGCCCTGCGACGACGACGCCAGCGATCTGCTGCTCCCTGCCAACTGCCAGATGTGCGCACAATAAAGCGCCGTTGCTTCGACTCAAGCTGCAGCTGTGCTTGCTTTGAATGCTCTCGGCTCCAAATGACTCCTTCCTCCACCAATCTGTCGCGGACTGAGGCCTGGAGCCTGCTGGCTTTGGTCGGCGTGTCCGTCGCCATTGTCGCCAACTCGTTCCACGGCGATGGAGAACCGCTCATGGTTTCCATTGCTTTTAGCGTGTTTGCATTCTCTGCTACATACAGCCTCATTCGATGGCTAGGACCGAGTTTTATGAAGGTGGGGTTGAAAGGCAAGGATATGGCCAAAGCCAAGCGGCCTGAAATGTACGATTGGTTCTGCCTTATTGTGTGGACATTGCTAATGGCATGTCGTTTAGCCCGGAGACTATGGGTGCAGTGTGCGCCGTGGTTTACTTGCTCGTGTTGATTGCCTTCATCCCATTCCCCTTCTACAAGGATATCGTGGCTGCCACTTCGGGCGGCGGAAATCGCGACGTCGTCCAGGTCGTTGAGCATGTTGAGATGGGCCGATATCTCCATCGCTTTCCTCACAATAAGGTTGGTCTTTCTCAGACGGTGGGATTGGTAACGAAGCTAATTTCTGTAGCTGGCATCCTACCTGTCCGGCGTCCTCTCTCTACAGGCGATCGTCCTCCTTGGAATCGGCGACGACCTCCTGGATATCAGATGGCGGCACAAGGTTCTGATACCGGCATTCGGAGCATTTCCAATGTTGATTGTCTACTTTGTTGATTTCGGCGTTACCCAAGTCGTGGTTCCGATGCCTCTGCAGCCGTATCTAGGGGAGATTATCAACCTGGGCTGGCTTTACTATGCTTACATGGCTGCCGTCGCGATATTTTGCCCTAACAGCATTAACATGTTAGCAGGAATCAATGGTGTTGAGGTCTCCCAGTCGCTTGTGATTGCCGTTCTCCTACTGATCAATGACTCGCTGTATCTGTCGCCCTTCACCCCATACCCACACCCTGCTATGGATTCTCATCTTTTCTCGATTTATTTCTTGCTGCCATTCATTGGCGTGTCACTTGCTCTTCTCTTCCATAACTGGTATCCCTCAAAAGTATTCGTCGGCGACACATACTGTTACTTTGCCGGGATGGTGTTTGTAGTCGTTGGAATTCTGGGCCACTTTAGCAAGACTCTTCTCTTGCTATTTATTCCTCAGATGTTCAACTTTCTATACTCCTGTCCCCAGTTGTTCCACATCATTCCGTGCCCTAGACACCGACTCCCGAAGTTTAACGCCGTCACTGGTCTGTTGGAAAACTCTGTTACCGAATGGGCACATCCTCCACCAGCTCTAATCAGCGCAATACTCAAGATTTTAAACCACTTGCGACTAATCGGCATCAAGACGAATACAAAAGGCGAAATCATCGAGTCGACAAACCTGACTCTCCTCAATCTCTGGATTCTTTGGTTTGGCCCGATGAAAGAGGACCGACTTGCCCTGCACATTGTTTTACTGCAGTCAGCTTGCGGGCTCCTTGCGCTTTTTGTCCGTCACCGTATGGCTCTTCTTGTCTTTCCATCAGACAATCGGAACTTTCTGTCTTCTGTGTAATGTACATATACTTCGCATGCTCATGTGATTAGAAATACCCAGCTTTGTATCGCTGTATTGGCTTGTATTATTTATTTCATGTATAGACCAATTTTTTTCAAATACATATTTTTACATCAGCATTTACGAGAGAGGATCACAGGCTGATGTCGGAACGATGTCCGTTGCTCAGGGTTGACACCATCATGCTCCGCGATGGTGCAAGTTGATTAATTACCCGAATCGGCGTGTGATGTTACAGCAATTACGAATTTACGATACACCGTTTGAGAATCTATTACTGATACCTGATGCTTGTTCTAAGCTACTTTATTTGCTCTTTCACCCTACGTCCACTTGAAATGGAGCACGAATCTGTACGATCCACTGAGGGGTGACAACGGTCGAGAATGGCGCCAATTCGTGATTACTAGATTTATGACCTGATCTATTTGTCAGTCAATATTTGAAAGATATATATTCGCCTCGCGTCAATACACAGATAGACGACTCTCTATCCCGGTCGCTACTCTTTTTATTCGACGTTGATTCTGGTATTCAAAGGTCCATACCATAATGAGTCTTGTCGACCCTCTCCCAGTCGGTACAAGCCCTAGCAGCCATGTCCTCGACGGCACCAAAACCAACTCCGACGTGAGGACTACCTCAATCATTCCAGACTCCCCTCCAGTCACCGAAGCAGATTTGAAAAGTGAACCAACACCGCGCTTCGAAATCGAGGAACATCCAGTCGACCAAGTCCGGAATATCAAAGTCGGTATCATCGGTGCCGGTCTGGCTGGTGTGACAGCCGCAGCATTGTTGCCTGCGAAATTGCCGGGTATAGATTTGACCATTTATGACAAGAATAGCGACGTGGTATGGTTATCTCTCACTTTAATAATAGTCATTTATATTAGTTTGCAAAAAATGTTTGAAGCTTATGAGAAGGATGTTAGGGTGGCACGTGGTTTGAGAATACATACCCAGGCGTTCGCTGTGATGTCCCTGCGCATGTATATCAATCCGGCTTTGAGCCAAACACTCAATGGACAGAGGAGTTTGCACAGGGCCACGAGATTCGCGACTACTGGCAAAGCGTAGCAAAGAAACACGGCGTCTACTCACGTCTGAAAGCCAAGCAGAAGATCCTCAAAGCGGAATGGATTAATGAGGAGGCGAAATGGAAATTAACCATTGAGGATTTGAATCATCATAAGGTGACTAACTCCGTCAAGATTGAAGATGTTGGCGACGTCTGTTGACAGAGATAAAGGTCTATGAAGAAAAGCTGGACTTTATCGTGTCTGCTATTGGCCATTTCAACGCCTGGAAACTTCCAGATTATGAAGGAATTGACAAGTTCAAAAACACACTGTTCCATTCCTCAAATTGGAACCACAATATTGACCTTAAAGGTAAACGGGTCGCTCTGATCGGTAACGGTGCCTCGGGTCTACAAGTCCTGCCATCCATCCAACCCATAGCGAGTCACGTCGACCATTATGCTCGAAATCGTACTTGGATCGTGGACTCCTTCGGCTCAGTTGGTGTGCGCAGGCTCGAGCCTAATATTATTAGCGAAGAGGATAAAGAGACATATCGCAACGACCCGCAAAAATACCTTGAGTATCGCAAAAAGACCGAATCCGACTATTTCCGTCGCTTTGGGAATATATTCAAGGGAACTCCCGGTCAGGAAAGCTTGCGTGAAAAATGGTCGGAGCTTATGCTCAAGCGTGCAGGTCCAGAACTAGCAGACAAGATCATCCCTGACTTCCCACCGAATTGTCGACGACCGACGCCTGGGCCGGGCTACTTGGAGGCACTCTCGAAGCCAAACGTCAGCTTCATCCAAACCCGCATTCAGAAATTCACTGAAACGGGTATTGTGACTATAGATGGTGTCGAGAGGGAAGTGGATGTTGTTATATGTTCGACTGGCGCAAATGTTGACTTTGCACCCCCTTTCCCAGTTATTTCCAACGGTGTCAATCTGCAGGAGGCATGGAAACCGGGTGGATTATACGGCTATCCAAACATCTATCTCGGCATGGCTGCACCGGGATTCCCCAACATTAACTGGATTGGTGGGCCTTTATCGGCTGGATTTAGCGGTACAGTTCCTAACAGCTTCGAAAACCAAGTCACGTATATCGCGAAAGTGATCCGCAAGCTACGCAGTCAGGGAATCGCCGGCCTTGCACCATCGTTCGCAGCCACAAAGGACTTTATCGAATTCGCCGACCAGTTCTTTCCGCGAACTGTATGGACGGGCAACGACGACTCGTCTGAAAATAACAAGAACTGTTCATCCTGGTACAATGGCGGGATTCCCGGTGGCCGAGTCGTGGGTATGTTTCCCGGTAGTGCAGCTGCTGCGAATTATATCCGCAGAGATCCTAGATGGGAGGACTTTGAATATACCTATACGAATAAGAGTGGGAATAGGTTTGCGTGGTTGGGGAATGGTTGGACAACGAGGGAGTCGGGTAACGATGATGATGCCGTGGATTTGACGCCGCATTTGAGGTTGCCAGAGGATACGGATTTGAGGTCGCATTGTGAAGGGTGGTGGGATGTGTAGAGGAGCCACTCGACTATAGTTTATTCTAGATACATCATCGATATCACTAATAGATATGAGCTGGTTTTGCTTCGGGTAGAGATTTATCTATGCCGCTATAAATAATTGATACTCAATATTGTTTACAAGGCTACTCAGCCTGTGCATACTTGGGCACCTCTTCTCCTGCCTTCCAGAAGTATTGAGCCCCTGGATGAGCATCTGGCAACCTTGTCTTCCCCTTTTGTCCGTAGAAATTCTCCCGCATCGTCCCCCCTTTCACAGCATAATCATCCCAAAACAGCCCTCTTCTTCTCAGCTCCGGCACCAGATACTCAATAATATCATCAAACGTCTCCGGTATACTAGCATAACTCAAATTGAACCCATCCACATCAGCCACCTCAACCCACCGCTCCAACTCATCCGCCACCGTCTTCGCACTCCCAATAATTTTCGCCCCATTCCCACCAACGAGCAAATACTCTGATATCGTGCGTCGAGTCCACTTGATATCTTCCTTCCCAGGCACCGTACTTGCCCAATGATTCACCATACTCCGCACCGCAGGCGCTTCGACGAACCGGAAATCCTGGTCCTCGTCATACTTGCCCAGATCATACCCCGACCAACCCCCAAACAGCGCCAGCGACCCTTCGTGGTCACCGTACTTGATGATTTCCTCAAACTTGGCCTGTGCCGCTTCATCCGTCTCAGCGACGATAACCAACACCCCCGCGATGATCTTGATATCCCCTGGGTCTCGTCCAATTTCAGCTGCCTGTTTCCGGATACTGTCCACCGACGGCCGGACTAGCTCTGGGGCATGGCCGTTGAGGAAAATCGCCTCGGCATGCTTCGCTGCAAAAGCGCGGCCAGCTGTCGACGTGCCAGCCTGCAGCAGGAACGGGGTGCGCTGGGCTGACGGTTCGCAGAGATGCGGACCAGGCACATTGAAATACTTCCCCTTGTGATCAATCTGCCTGACACGGTCTGGATCCGCATAACCCGACTGATCATTCTTCACCGCATCATCCCGCCACGACCCTTCCCACAGCTTATACGTGACATTCAAGTACTCATCGGCAATCCGATACCGCTCATCGTGCTCAACCTGCGTATTCAACCCGAAATTCCTGGCCGCCGAGTCCAGGTACGACGTGACAATATTCCACCCGACCCGCCCATTACTCAAATGATCAACAGTCGAAAACCGCCGCGCCTGCGCGTACGGCGGGTCATACGTCGTCGACGCCGTGACACCGAAGGAGATACTTTCCGTGGCGGCAGCGAGGGCCGGGATGGAGTAGAGAGGGTCGTTGATTGGAAATTGAGTGCCGGCGGGGATTGTTGGATGGAGGTTTGCAGGGCCCTTGTAGACGTCGTATCCGCCGAGAACGTCGGCGAAGAAGATGGCGTGGAATTTTGCCGCTTCAAGTTTTTGTGCGAGCGAGATCCAGTGTGTGAGTTTGTTGTATTGGCTTCCTTGGTCCTTGGGGTATCGGAATACGCCTGGGTTGAGGTGGCCAGGCGCCTGCATGGCGAAGGCGTTGAGGATGAGTTGTTTCTTTTCTGACATTTTGGGTTTGAGTAAGGAGGTAAGGGCTTTGGAAGGGTAGGAACAGGGAGGTTGAAGTAATTAATAGCTATGTTCGAAAGGGACGATGTGTAACTTAGTGGTTCAAATGAATGAGTTCTCAGAGTTGTAGCTCTGTCCCGGGTAGGAATTTCAACAATTCAATGTTTCAGACCAAAGCTGATATCACTCATACAATCAACCTCAAAGCATAAATAATCTACTCAGTTCCTGACAGGGAAGGAACAAGAGACGCTACCACCCCTCCTCACCCATACATCAGTCGATTCATACAGTAGACGTACACACCTCTGCGAAATCGGCCATCAAATCGACATCAATTGATGAGGGGCTAACCCCCTCCTCCCTCCTTCGGTCTCGGATATTCTCCGATTGTTGAAAAGATAACTGAACTTAATTTAAGATTGTATGCATGGCAAGTGTAGATGGCGTGCTCCGCGTGCGTGGTGGTGTGAGGGAAGGTATGTAAAGTGGTGGTTTTGCAAATTACGGGAGTTACGAGGTTGTGTAATTTACGGGCCCACTCTCATGAACATTGACTGATGATTATCGAGGGAATAATGTGTACCAGATAGCTCTGGTTTGATTGCAGGTTGAAAGTATTGATGAATAAATACATTGATGAGTAGCGTATCGAGTAGACAACGGATAGGGTTTTTGAGTAATATCCTATTTAACGACCTCCTGTAAGACAAGTCTCTAGGATTCTATGAATATTATTATATGAAAGAATGAGCAGATCTGATATTCCAATATCAAAAAGAGTGTTCTTTTCAGTATTGAATGCTATTTGAATGTATGTAGCACACACAAGTTGGTGTCAAACAGTGACTCGACAAAGCCCTAAGCCTCCTGTCCGCATTTTGCAGGCTAATGCATAGCACTTTATAAATATTTGGAAATAAGCAAAAATTCTGCGTTTGAATGTCATTTGAGAGCAATCTATGTACACGCCCGTTCTTATTTACTGGCAAAGATTTTCTATATTCACTATCTGTATTTGATGAGCAGATGCCAATATATATATTTATTATTTATATATGTGTGTCACTCAAGCTGCTCCTTACAGTGCAGTAGATAATTTCTTGCCGGATCAATTTATATACTTTGACTATAATGGTGGGCAAGAGTATTGACAAGTTGTATAACATATTAGAGATATTACTGCTGATAATTAAAAGTAAATACGCTAGGCGCTGACGTGACTATCTTTCTTCAATCGATTTGAAAGAGTTGCTGCCGCGCTAGCAATCATTCCTCGAACGAAAACCCAGAGTGCAGGCGCCACAAGTGTATGTGATCGGCCAGAAGCCAGTGCACATTCATGGCTGCGTCAGGAAGGGCTACAAGGCTATATCGTTAGCCAATTTAATATGACAAACGGTTTAGATTATATAGGATTTCGTATAAATAATGAATATATTTCATTATATGAAAGTAATATTATTCATATAACTGGTAATAGCCTTACAAAGGCTATTTTATAGGAAACTAATCATCATTCGTACACGTAGAGACTATTAATGATCAATTTACATATTTATACTTGGTCTCGCGATTTCACAGAAAGCGTTGAATAGATTAATAGGCATATAGACGAGGTCGGCGGCCATTTCCAAAATAAAATCCAACTCTTAGACAACCTTGGATTCAAAGTTAGGGTTAGTGTCCCACCTGACTAGACACTGTTGGCATACTGGCATCCAAATTACGCAGGCTTTCCGGAAGTGGTAGGTATTGCCATCGATTCCTCCACCGCTGATAGCTTCAGAATGGCATATTTTCCACTTCATAGGCCTCAATAGACCCCGTGAGCCGATATATAATAATCTCAACTTACAGAAATAGGAAGCTTCTCATTTCCAGTTCGGTGAAGAATTGACGTTTTTAAAAGCGAATCCAGTAAACACGTTTCATAATAGCGACCGGATACACCAGTTCGAATGTTCATAAGCAAGCAATATTTCCTAGTTTCTATAACAATTTTATCACAATCGCCTGTTGAGGTTACATATTAGAGCGTAAATGTTTGTTTAGTATATCAATCTACCAGTAAACCACCTGAACGACTTTGGATCTCAAACATCCCTTCTCCATCTTCACAATGATGAGTGCAATTTATAAAGGTTACTTTCGCTGCTGTTAGCGCAAGGAGTTGAAATTTACGGTTCTGGGTATAGTTCAACACAGAGCCAACAATGCAAGTACCGAGTCTATATGCCAGTCACAACCTCATAACTGGAGCAATATCATCGGCTACTGAAATTACCTTTGATAATGCGTGCATGGACAAATTAATCTGTCGATCATCTCGAGAAAAGGCGGGGTAGACGTAGGAGTTTCCTATTCTGGAATCGCGCCTTGCGCCTTGTTTTTCCCCATGCAACAGTGCAACCGTAACACTTCATTTCTGCAAGGAATATTGAAAGGAACCGTCACTTTTATACGGTTGGTCCCATAAAATCACACCAGTCCTTTAAAGCCTAATTATCAGTGGAGCAACGGAACGTTGCCGGATGTACTTGTTTCAATAGCCGATTTGGTGTACATAGCCAAACTTATGTGCTAATTTTCTTATTTGCACAGTAATCAAGTTGCACGATAGAGAGCAGAATCATGAGAGTAATTTTATTTCTTTCTCTAGCGGTGGCGACCGCCATAGGGGCGGTGATAGAACGATCCCCCATATATCTCAATAAAGAGGTGTCGAGCTCCGCGGGACCAGCGGTCCTACAACCGTACATGTCATATTCAATTGAGTTTTGCTATTTCCCAGACTATGCAGGTATGTAGCCTTATTGGATTAGATAAATAATACTGACTGGCGAAGGAAACAAATCAAACCCTAACCAATTTTCTAACCAGTTGCTTGACAACCTCGCTGCTATACAGGGAACCAAGCCATACATACGAGTAGGCGGAAATACACAGTACGTGAATATTAAATCTTCCGTTTACTGAATGGCATAAATGACTGACATCAAATAGGGATTATGCGTTGTACAATGCCAGTTTAGAGTATGCCATCAATGGGACGATTATTCCGAGCAAGTCGGAAGATTATCCATACATACTCTACATTGGACCATCTTTCTTTGAGTCTTATTCTACCTGGCCAGACACCAAATTTATTCACGGCTACAATTTGGGCAAAAATGGCAGCGACAGTCTGAAAAGTCTTTTAGATACGGTTCCGTTAGTTTGTAAGGCCCTTCAAGGTGGAAAGTTGGCGTACTGGGAATTAGGAAACGAGCCTGATCTGTACAAAACTTCCTCACAAGGGATAGTCAGACCAGCAAATTGGACCGAACAAGGTTATGTTGATGAATGGTTGTCAAAATCACGAAAAATTCGCGCTGCGCTTGCCAAATCATGCCCGGAGATGGCCGCTGATGAGAACTATAAATACATAGCGCCGTCGTTTGCAGGGCTTAGGAACAGTTTGGACCCAGTGAAAACGTGGGAGGATGGATTAGATTCTGATAAAAACATCGCTCTTAATTCGGAACACGAGTCAGTACTTTATCTTCCTTATCTTGGAACTAAATATCAAAGATTAACGCAATACAGCTATATGGGGGGAGCAACCCAGCCTGGAGTCACCCTTCAGGGCACACTCATGAACCATACAGCCACAGTCAATAATGTCAATCCTTTCAAAAATCTTTCTCGGGTGCTTGCCGCCAAGAACTTGACTACAGATATTCCCCTTATTCTTGGTGAACACAATTCACTTTATAACGAGGGTGCACCAGGACTATCTAATGCCTTCGGTGCTGCACTTTGGGGGATTGACTGGAACCTGTACGCTGCCTCTCAAGGCATCCAGAGACAACATATGCATCAAGGAACCGACTACCGGTACGCATCCTGGCAGCCAGTTCAAACCGAGAAGACCACACTAGGGACAAAACCTCCATATTACGGCAATATCTTCGTCGCTGAAATGGTGCGTGGCGGGTCGAACGTACAAATAATGAACCTGCCACTCTCAAACGAGACCGAGGCCGCGTATGCAGCGTATGTGAATGGTCAGCTGACTAGATTTGCCGTGGTAAATCTTGTAGAGTACAACTATACTGATTCAGACCCGACGGCTACCCGACCATCAGTTTCGTATTCGTTTCAGCTTCCCTCCGGAATCGGGTCAGTGTCAGTGCAGCGGCTGATGGCAAATGGAAGTAATTCTATCTCAGGCATTACTTGGGATGGATACTCGTACAATTACGAACTTGCCGGTGGCAAGCCAGTTCGCTTGAGCAATGTGACGGTGGGCGAGACGGCGCGTGTTGACAAAGATGGCGTCGTTAATATTAACGTACCTTATTCGAGTGCAGTACTACTGACTGTTAATCATGGGGGCGGTTCAGCGTGATATCTTTGATTACATTGTGGCTCGTGTCATCAAAATAGGTTGTTCATCACTGAAAAAGTGGCGCTCAGATTGATCTGTGCCGACGAATATGGCCGACGCCTGACTGTTCTATACATCTGACTACTAGATTTCAATTTAAATTATCGGAAAGTTATCTTGTGTGATATATTCCTGTTGTATTGTAATATATTAAGCTTTATCCCTCAGTACGGATATGAACATCGAAGGCTCTGTGAGTCGTCATAGGAATGGTCAACATAGTATATAATAACTATGGAGGGAACTATAATATTCGCCACTCATTTTCATCTGTCATGCTACACAGCATGCAGGAACAAAATCCCAATCCCCTTGGCACCAGATCACTTCCCGATTAGGAAGCCATCTGGTAATGTGATATCAAGACGGTAATGTTCTCGGCGTTGAACTCAGCAGACCTATGGATCACCAGGTATCCAGTCTTAGAAAAAAGTAAATAGCAGGCCAAGCTTTTGTAATCCCCGGAGAAACGTGGACTTGTTCGCGTTGTGACTGCGGCATGTGACTGGGTTTGACCTATCGGAGTAAGCTTCCCGAGTTTGTCGATCAAAGATATTTCAACGCTTTGGTTAGGTCTTAACCGAGAGCATTTACGCTGACAGACAACCATTTAAATTAGTCTGATCATGCAAAAGTTATCGAAGGACGTGAATAAGGTATGTCATTTTTCGAGGTCGAAATACTATATGAGCGCTTTCTGATTTGTTGTATTTAGATTGATCGACAGTTTAGGTTTTACTGGCCACCATGATATTTGACATGCAGCAGACCACAGCCTATAAGAGATGGTGAAGATCCAGTAAGTCCTCATCACTCCTCTAATTCTTAATTTCTTTGATATAACAAAGCTCATGATCCGAGCGACGTGATGGTATTTAGGCCCTTGCGCGGCATCAGATGAGGCTTCTGGTGTGTCAGCCATCCCTGCATTCCACGGAATAGTTTCATAGTAACAAAATTAACACAGCCTTCGCGCAAGCATTCAATAGAGTATATATGAAATTGATTTCCTGTAAAATTTCATATTTGTAAATACTTTTGGTTAGCAATTATCGATTTTAATGTCATAATTTCACGAGAAACGAAGTGGAATGAATCTGTGAGGTGCCACACGTTAAATGACAATATTTTATCAGCATATTAGTGCATAATGATTCTTTTCTACTTTTTATTCTACGCTGAAACAATTCTCGCACAGCAACCTCCTCAGCCAGAAGATGTAAATGTCCCCGGCACGAATTTTTTGGACCATAACAGCCCTATTAGTTCCTACTTCGGCCAAGAATTCTTGAAGGAAAACATTCCTTTTATCGATATACCTGATGCAAATATTCAGGAAATATACTACTACCGCTGGTCCACTCTAGCGGGCCATTTGCGGTATATAACTCCTGGAACTGGCTATATCCTTACCGAATTCCTTCAACCGGTGGGTTATGCCGAGGCGTACAATACTATCGACGCTGCTGCTGGACATCAGATTGATGAGGCAAGATGGCTTAGAGGAAGTTTTTATGCGGGTGATTATATCCAGGTTTACACGCGTGGGCCTGGAAATACTACCCAGTACACGAACTGGATCACAGATGCTGCGTATCGCAGGGCACAGGTCAATGGAGACGTCGAGTTTTTGACCAGCCAGCTGGATGGATTTCTCCGCATGTGGGACGAATGGGATTTTGTCTTTGATGAGGATGCTGGTCTTTATTATTACACCCCGCTCTACGATGCACAGGAATACAGTCTTCCTGATTACGTTGATGCAGCTGAGACAAACGACACCGCCATTCAGTTCCAAGGACCAGATACATACAGACCTAGTCATAACGCCTATATGGTTGGTAATGCACGAGCGGTGTCTGAAACAGCAAAACTAGCAGGCCAGAATTCAGTAGCTGCCAACTTTACCAACCTGGCAGATGCACTCGAAACAGCCATGTACGAGCATTTATGGAACCCGGATCAACAATTCTTCGTCGACGTGATTAGACCCGACAACCCGAATCTCACTCAACTGCAGGGCCGCGAGGAAGTAGGATTGTTTCCATTCCGCTTCGGAATCGGCCTGGAAGATAAATACTGCACTTCCCCTTCCGAAGAGCTGTTCGACCCTCAGGGCTTTTATACTACTTACGCCCCGGCAACACTCGAGGTCCGCAATGAGTATTACTCTGCCACTAAGCCAAACTCTTACTGTTGTTACTGGAATGGCCAATCATGGCCGTTTTCGACTGCCCATGTACTAAAGTCTTTGGCGAGCATGTATCGCTCCAATAACTGCAGTCTTGTCGCTGAAAAGTACTATCAATACCTCAGTATTTATGCAACAACGCAACACAAAGATGGTGCGCCTTACGTAGCAGAATCGCATTATCCTGATATCGATGAATGGAGTGGTGACAGCTTCAATCACTCCGAGCACTACGATCATTCAACTAACAATGACGATGTTATCACCGGTCTCCTCGGCCTGGTGCCACGACTGGACGACGTGTTGCAATTCTCACCAATCATTCCCTCGAACTGGACATACTTTGCGCTCGAAAATGTCCCGTATCATGGCCATCTGATCACTATTCTCTATGATGCTAACGGAACCCGCTATAACCAAGGATCCGGTCTTCATATATATGTTGACGGCCAATCTGTCTACACAGGCGCTGACTTACAAGCTGAAGTGGAATTGTCTACCTCCTATCTGGAAGGTCAAAATGGAATCAACAACACAGTACCTGTCAATATAGCTGCTAACCCGCTCGGGCTTGGGGCTTATCCAGTCGCTAATGCGACTTACACGTTTGCTCTCGATGACCCTTACAAGGCTATCGATGGGTATTTATTCTATTACTCCGAGCCTGATAATCGCTGGACGAACTATGGATCGCCAAACTCAAACGACACCCTTCAGATCACTCTCGCGCGACCAAGAAACTTTTCCTCCGTTACTCTTGGGATCTACTCAGACGTAGCTCGAGGCGGTGCAATTGATTGCCCAGAGGCGATTGAAATTTACGGCTCGAGTAATAGGCTATTGGCAAGACTCGACCCCTTCGATACCTGTGTGCCGAATGAGCTGAACACGATCTCTTTCAATACCACCGTCGAAAGCGATTTCCTCTCGGTGACCATGTATAAAAAAGAGAATCTCTTCGTTGGTATTTGTGAGCTGCAAGTCTGGGTTCCGCCAGACCGAACCAGTGGCATTTATTACGCCGTTGATGCGGTATTGACAGGTGCAGAAGTGATTTTCAATTCCACGGGGTCCAGAGCAACACCAAATGGGGCTGTAGTAGGCTCATTCCAGGTTGGAAGTAAGGTGTTATTTTCTGGAGTATATGATGCTGGCATAAGCACGAAGGCAAAAGAGGTACAGTTGTCGTATTCCAATTCTGGTAATTCGCCTGCAACGGCAGAGATTGTGGTTAATGCAATGGATGGCGATACCGTATTAAGTTTGCCGCCAACTGATGGACTGTTTACAACGGTGTCTTTGCAGGTGGATTTACTTCCGGGCAGTAACTTTGTGGCTGTGATGATGGAGAGTGGGTATGATGCTGTTGAACTAGAATATCTGCTGGTTGTATAGATGAGACGGTATCCATGTAGATAGTTCAATTAGAGAGTCGTATCATCGAATGTGCAATGGTTTCTATTTGATTGAAAACAAGCAAGTTCCAATCTTATTCTAGTAAGTCTACTTTTATAACGTAGTACATATATATCTTTGTCGTAGGCAATAGTGCTCTGGTGATAAAACAAGCCAGCCTCCCTGAATCCGTGTATCAAAACAAAACAAAATCTACCAGTCCTTTTGAGCAGAAATTCTCAAGTTCCGGTCTAATATGAGGAAGAAATGAACTTCCTTTCTTGATCCTCTTCTTATCGGTCATCCTTCCCCAAATTGACAACAATTCTCTTCCCACTCGCCTCCCCACTCCTCAACACCTCCAATGCATCATTGATCCCTTCAAGCCCACCTTCGCTCTTCACAACAACATCCGGCGGAACCAACGCGCCATTCTCCAATAACCTTTCCAACCACGTAACCATCTCCACGCCGACCGTCGCCGATGAATGGAAGATCTTGATAGGCACGGTATGCGACTTAATGCGCGGATCTTTCTCCTTCGGGAGGCCCGTAAGCCCTAACAAATGTGCCTGTGGCCCATCATGTTCGCTTGTGAAAAGAGTTTTTTCGAGGATAGTTGCCGTCTCGCGGCCAACTATATCGAGACCGAAACGCAGGCGTCCGTTGGTCACGCCTTTGATTATCTCGACCGCGCGGTTGGTGTCGAAGCGATCAACCAAGATGTCCGCACCGGCGGCGTGGAGTTTGGCGCCGTGTCGTGCGATGTCAGCGATGCAGATTACTTTCAGACCACACAGTTTGGCAAGTTGAAGAGCGATATAGCCTGTAGTTGTAGACGCTGATTTGATGTTAGAAAGATGGTAAATGGGAAGATCGAGAGGGAAGAATAAAAACATACCTCCCCATATAGCAATCCAGTCCCCCTTTTGAACCACCCCAGAGTCGTTTTCCGCATGGAGACATTCCTCACGAACATCCTCTGGGATTTCTTGCACATCAAGCTGTCTCAGGATCTGTCGCAGATTAGGTCCTGGAACGTCACGTGCAAGGCCAAAATCTAATCCAAATGAAACGCCCAATGCAAGCGCCGCAGCTACATATGCAACACCTATTGATGCTCCGCTGTGCATTGATGTCGTGGGGGGGATCTTGGCAGCATTGTAGTGCGTCGCGACGGCGTATTCCTGAAATGCGGCTTTCCGAATGTCTCGGTAGTCTGTCGAAGGCACGAGGACGAGATCCCCCGCTTTGAGTCGAGAGTTTGATGATGATGTCTGAATTACCGTGCCAGCAAGATCGCGACCAAAGACCCAGGGAAGGCTGGGGATACCGAAGTTGAATGCCCTATAGGTTGGATAAGTATACACTTTGAATCAGACCCCCCCTCAAAAAAAAAAAAAGATGAGATCTCGGAATTAATTTGGTACGTACGGTGCCTTCCAATCAATTGGATTCAGACCAATAGCGGTTATTTTGACGAGAATCTCGTCTTGGTGAAGAATCGATGGGACTGCATGATCTGAGACAAGGGTATATTTCTCCTTGACGGCATGAAGCACGAGCGCGTTTTGTATGGGCGAAAGTGTGTTGGTGGGAGAATCTATAGAGTTTATTTGCGGAACTTCTGTAGAGGCTGCTTCTGTTATCGTTTTATGAAGTTCATCAGCCTGTGAGCTGGTGATGTTATCAGTGTGGCTTATGAGCGGCGCATGTTCGGCGTCAGTTCCGTGAATGTGGTGATGGCTATTGCTATAAGATAATTCTTGGGGCTGCACCCATATAGCAGTCGTTGACATGATTCTCAGTTTAATTAGTGAAATATGAGATCGGACTTAGACGCAATGCGAAGTCTCACTAGAGCGTCGTGTGGGTGTAGCGGTAGTTTTCAGAAAGAATGATCCAGTACATGTACCCCGCCAGATGGAAGCAGTCTAAACGGTCAGAGAATAGAAAGAATGTCAAGATCTACGAATATGAGGACTGAAAAAAGGTAAGTTTTATTTAGCCCAAGTTCTGCTCCGATAACAGGAGTCTATATTTGAAAAACGAGTCAGAAAGAGGTCATGTATTAAAGAGGGGTGTACCCACACGTATACGTGACAATTTCCAGGCGACTTACCTTTTTAAGTTCCTGAAGAATATTACAGACTGGAAATGGATAGTTAATGATCTGAAAGTGTGGCTCTGGTAAGTGCCGACTTGAGTCGATCGAAATAATCAGCAAACCCCGACCACATTCGAAATCGATAGGACAGTGACGCATGGGTGGGATAGGTGAATTACAAATCGTAATTGACGTAGTAAGCCTGAGAGTCTATAGTAGGGTAAGATTTCACACGTCTGGGATTGCCATATTCTAGTCGAACTGCCTGCATCATCAACCCGCTGCATGTAACCCTGTTATTTGCGTACTAATCCTGAACTTTTTTCTGTCAATTTCTGTGTTAATCGGAATTACTAAACAATCGAGGGGAAACAGAAACAGCAATGATAGCACAGTATTGCGTTTCGGTTGGGATGGATGGCGTGATATTAGCCTGTTATGGTAGGTTAATTTGTGCCTGTATCACCTCGTACTCACTGTATTTGCGTAACGCTGCATGCTACTGAGTGATAGGGACAGAGAACAGGGAATGAACTGGCGATCGGCAGATTCTTGTAATTTACAACGTTGCAATGTTGATGCTTTGCTAATTATTATTTAAGGTGTGAATAGCCCCGGTTCCTTTGGTTATGGTACCTTGGTCCTTGAATTAGGGCTTCCCGCATTACATCAATTGATATGCTCAATTATTTCGACAGCTGCACAACCGGTTATTTGATTAATGCTTCGGTGCTTTGGATTAGAAATCGACGTTGATTATTCACCTAGAATCGCAATCCGCAGCGGCGCTCGCCTCATAGATAAAAGGCCGTGCTGTGCGCTGTCTATTATTAATGCGCGCGCGTCGCATCAACCGCGCTGGGAATGACGTGCCAGCCCCAACAACGTCCAAGGGGGACAAGATGTCTCCAGCTGACAGCATCACTTGACATGGAGATGCACCTTTATTCTGGCAAAAGTCGTGAATTATCACCAGCCAACCCGAGAAAATAATATTTTCTCATCGTCATACCATTTGGAGCTGCAGGCTGGAACTGCCATTGCCCTTTTTGCCTTGTGATGAGACTGACATGAGGCATTTGTTAATAGCCGAGTATCAGCGAAACCTCGCAGACTAAATATTCAGTGAATAATAAAATAATAATCAAGAAATTACAACACAATGCCCGATATCGAGTCTTCAGAGACGTCTCCTCTTCTTTCACCGTCTTCAACTATTGTTTCATCAGATACGATATCCCCGGATCACCCAGATCGCTCTATCGAACATGACATCCTCCCTGAGACGGCCACCTACGGCCGAAATTTATCGTGGTCGAGTGCTTATATTTTGGTAATATCACGAGTGATTGGAAGTGGCATCTTTGCCACACCTGGCGCGATAGTCAAATCTGTTGGTAGTGTAGGGCTTGCTCTATCGCTATGGGTAGCAGGAACGATACTTTCAGCCTGTGGAATGGCGGTATCGCTGGAATATGGGTGCATGTTGCCTCGGTCTGGTGGTGATAAGGTATATCTTGAGTTTACATATCGGTATCCGAAATTCCTCGCGTCGACTTTGATTGCCGTGCAGGCAGTCCTGTTAGGGTTTACGGCAAGCAACTGCATCATCTTCTCGAAATACACTTCATTTGCATTGAATATAGAGCCAACTGAATTTCAGAGCAAGGTGTTGGCAGTGGGCCTGCTTACAGTGATTACTATAATCCACGGCCGTTTCATGAAAGCCGGTATTGCTATTCAAAACGCTTTGGGATGGGTGAAAATATTCCTCATTGTTTTCATGGCTCTCAGCGGGGTTTACGTTATTCTCTTCCACGAAAGGAGCGAAGTGGCTCCTACCGTATTGGCCAGATTTGGATCCCAAGATATAGACTTTTGGGACGAACTATGGAAAGATTCTGACTGGAGCTGGAATACGCTTTCGACTTCGCTATTCAAAGTATTCTATTCGTACGCCGGGTTGAGCAACATGAACAACGTACTTAACGAGGTTAAAAACCCGGTACGAACGCTAAAAACAGTGTGTCCGGCTGCGTTGATCACGGCGTGTCTTTTGTACCTGCTCGCAAACGTTTCTTATTTCTTGGTTGTCCCCATCGAAGAGATAAAACAGAGTGGAGAACTAGTCGCGGCACTCTTTTTCGAGCGTGCATTTGGCCCGCACCTTGGAAGGACTATTTTACCCCTGATGATTGCCGTATCGGCGGTTGGAAATGTCATGGTTGTTACTTTTGCCTTGGTAAGGTCTATTTAATCTCAACAATGGAGGCCAAATCTGACTCGATATAGGCCCGTGTCAATCAAGAAGTCGCTCGGCAAGGATTTCTTCCATTCGCCAGAACAATATCGTCATCTAAGCCATTCAACTCACCCTTATGGGGCCTAGTTGTACATTACGTGCCATCATTTCTGGTAATTACCATTCCGCCTCAAGGTGGAATATACAACTTCATTCTAGACGTTGAAGGTTACCCCGGTCAATTTTTTGCTCTCGCCATCACAGCGGGTTTGATCCTTCTTCGATACAGACGACCCGACTTGAAGCGACCATTCAAGGCCTGGCTGCCTGCTGTGTGGCTGAGAGTAGTTACATGCCTGGCGCTGCTGGCAGCGCCGTTTTTCCCACCAGTTGATTGGAAGGGTGATGTTGACTTTTTCTATGCGACGTATGCTATTGTTGGTATTGGAATGTAAGTGTATTTTTAATTCATTTCATGGAAAATGGGGAGCTGATAACTTGGCAGTATTTTGTTCGGCGTCCTGTATTGGTACATATGGACAGTCCTCCTTCCCAAATGGGGCGGTTATACGTTGGAAGAAGAGGTGGAGGTTTTGGATGATGGGACTAGTATTACAAAGCTAGTGCATTCCCACAAACTGTAATTAGCGATCCTGTGCTGCTTCAGAGAATTCCAGTGCCTTCACAGGGGTTACTACTATACTGCTTATGAGAAACGTATTATGCAAGGGTTAGAATATGGAACATGGGACCGGATGCGATTTTACCACGAATGTACAAATGATGTCGGCATATTGGTTTGGAACAGATAGCGAAATGGAGAGTTTTCAGGGATTTTTGTATTGTTGATCACAAGACATTAATATGTACTTGCTATAATACTCTATAATATAGCGAATATGCAACCTCGGCTCGCCGTATCGGCCACCCGATTGGCTCTCCTGCGCCGTGACGTATTGCCGCTTCTTCGCCAAAGCATCGGACGAAAAGACAATATCTTATTCTTATCCTCTACATATCTCGATATATCTCGATATATCTCAATGCGCAGGGTTTTCAGGGCCCCCAGAGTCCCTAGAATGTACACAAAAGGAGACATCATGTTGGCACACGACGGACCCCCATTCTGTCGGAGCATAAGGCCCACCTGATGCTCTATCGATAAGGCAATCAATGGTGGAGTCAGAGTTTTTTGCGGGATGCAGCAGCAATCCACCCTAACAAGGGGCTAAGGCACCGGACTCGCGTATCAAAAGCCCTCGTTTTTCTTTTTGAGGACACACATGTGGGCCGACCGATCACTAGGCAGGCGATTATACGTCTCCTCCTCGATTTCCCCGCCTTTCACCGTCTTTCGCAAAATTTCTCTGGGTTTTCCACTGATTTTTCGATATAATTTGGCATACTGGCAAAGGAAGGACCTCAGAGGCCACTACGACTCGAAATCAGAATGAGGGGGGGCACAACCCTTGCAATAATCGGCTGTGGCCAGATCGGTACCGCGATTCTGGAGGTATTGCTGGCCTCTCTCTCTCAGCCATGTCCGAACCATCAGCACCAAACGCTCCCGAACCTGTCGATGAAAGTTAAACCCACACGGTTCATCGCATGTGTCAATACCCAAGAATCCGTTTCGAGACTGCGCAAGCAATTCGGCCATTTCGCGCGAAGTTCCTTCCCCAATGTCCAAATCTCGCAGGGCCGAGTCGCTGAGGCCGTGCAGCAGGCTGACTTCGTCTTACTCGCGTGCAAAACCAGTCAAGCAGTGGAGATCCTGGGCGATACTTCGCTCGCCGAATCGCTCGCTGGGAAATTGCTTCTCAGCACCTGCGCCGATCTGACCGCCCGGCAGATCGAGCAGCTCATCTACCACGATGCGACGATCGAGAGCACAGAGACGAAGAGATGTTATATCGTGCAAGCAAGGGCCAACTCATCATTCAGTGTGCGGCAGTCGGCGACTTTGATTAGTACTACTGTGGCCATGGCAGATACAATACCGAGGGATTTTGAGGACTTGACGACGTGGATATTTTCTAGCATTGGCACGGTCACCTTTGTGCCTGAGTCTGTCATGAATGAAGCCTCGATAACGAGCAGCCTGGCGCCGGCATTATTTACTGTTGCATTGGAAGGGATTGCAAAGGAGGCTATGGCTAGGGGGCTGAGGGAACCCGATGCATTACATCTTGCCGCGCAGGCAATGAAAGGAACCGCGGAGTTGGTATTGTCGAAGAAGGACGAGAATAAGGGGTTATTTGCCATTGATGAGGTTAGAGATAAAGCGCTGGCTACGTCGGAAGGCAGTGGTGACAGGGGACTTGCTGTGTTGAGGCAGGCCATGGTGAAGGACACATTCGCAGAGGCGATGCGACAAGGCATGGAGAAAAGAGATCCCAATAATGCATATTTATATTCGAATTGGTAGATATCCTGTATTCTCTTGATACATACATGGTTCTTGTATACGTATATAGCTAGGATACGACGACGTGATGAATTATGATAATATGAAACGGGGACATTGAACGGGTATCAAAACGTGCCTTAACTCTATCAGACACCACAGAGGTCAAACGATATAAGCGACGACCACGTACATCGAGTGATGCAATACATAGGACACGATTAGTGATATCAGATGATATTTTTGACAAGCTGACAAATGCAACAGCCAGTCTCTGGAAACTGGTCGGCTTTCGGCAACGCACACGTCTTTTAAAGCAGCGAAAGTGCAAGGAGGAAAATGTAATAAAACCAAAACTACTGTCCAATCAAACACGCAAACTGGTATTTATCATCCCATTCATCGTCACGGGATGCTCATGAGTAGAGGTAGATGGCGATGTAGTAATATGGGATTGCGTGCTTCGGCCATCAATACCGTACGACAATTGCGATGGAGGATTAATAATGAGAGCTTTACCCCGCCTCGTTGTAGAAGATAACAGTTGGTGTATAAATACTGCTATATCCAGGTCGATTTGAGAGGAGCTTTTATGATCTGTCTCCGAATTCAAAATCAACTACAAGGAAAGAAATAGAATATTGATAAAAGCCCACAATGGCATCCGCTGCAGTGTCCTCCATCCCAGCTGACCAGCCCAGTCTCAAAGTGAAGACTTTTCCTGTTGCTCCAGCCGATAAAAGAAAGCATAATGTTCAGACGACGCTGAACTACTACAAAGCCAATGCAGATGGCTCCCCTCCTCACCCGACCTATGTCGGCAAGCCTGAGACCTACGAGCGCCCGACCGAACCCTTAGATGTGACTGTCAACGACATCTCGGGGAATGAACTTGACTATACTCTCGACGGCAATGGGTTTCAGATCTATTACCACGAAAGCAAGGAAAAGGAGTTCGTGGATGATGAGAAGATTAAGAGGGAATATTATCCCGAGACGGAGCAGCTGTTGAAGGATGCGTAAGTTGCATCGTCTTTTAAGCTTTATGCTATATGAAACTAATGACTGGTTCTTACTGTAGAACTGGCGCGTCAAAAGTCTTCATTTTTGATCACACCATCCGCCGCGCCTCTAATTCAAAGTCTATTGATAATGCTGCTGCGCTCCGTGGCCCAGTGCAACGCGTCCACATCGACCAAAGCTACCAGGCCTCGACCAGCCGCGTATCATATCATTTACCAGAGGAAGCACCCACACTCCTCAAAGGCCGATATCAGATTATCAACGTGTGGCGTCCCATCAAGCCAATCTACAGAGACCCGCTCGCCGTCGCCGACGCTCATAGCGTACCGGATAGTGACCTAGTCCCCACGAAACTGATATACCCAAACCGAGAAGGCGAGACTTACGCAGTCAAGCCAAATAAAGCTCACAAATGGTATTTCCGCTACGGTCAGACGCCGGACATTGTGACTCTGATCAAGTGCTTTGACTCGAAAACTGACGGGAGAGCTCGCCGGGTTCCGCACACAGCCTTTATAAATAAGGAGACTGATACTGAGGAGTACCCTTCGCGTGAGAGTATTGAGATCCGAGCACTGGTTTTTCATCCGGATGACACTGAGTAAGGGGCTCGGGTATTTCGGTATTTTTTTTTCTCAGGAATTATATGAGTTGGAGGATTCATGATGCATAACATATCGGGAGTGACGTAAAGGGAATTTGACATTATTGTAGTTTGAGAATGTATTTGAGATACGAATATCTATATAACGAGACTGTGCACTGCTGAAGCCCACTTGAATTCAATTAAATATTGATAAATTCGTTGCCATCTATAGAATACAGACCCCACTTTCAACAAGCCCATATGCAACTTGATAGTGTTAGCTCTTCAACATCTCGATAAGTTTATATCTATCGATATTGCTTATCAATATTTTGGCTACCAGTATGGGAAAAAGCTTCTGTCTAAAAGACGAGTGAATGAGTGGTATGCGGTTAAGTGATGTTAATATGAGTCACTATACAAAGAAGCCCTAACATGCCTCCAACCTCTATTTTGTTTACATATTAGAATCTTAAAATAATCGGATATTTAGCTCAAACCTTCATGTACCGTCATCAAACAGATTTGTATATCAACTCGACATGATCCACGATACCATGCTCTTTCACTTCACCCCCAGGAAGCTGGCTCAGTACCTCAATACCTCTCTCCAGGCGTAACTCTACACGCCTTTCACCTCCGTCCTGAATCTTCCATGACACGCTGGCAAGGTTATCCTTCCCCAGCGCAACTTTAGCATCCACGGCGTTGCTCAACCGCAAACGCGGCTTGAAGAGCACTTTGGTTGATCCCGGTGCAATCGGGTGTATACCCGCCAGCTCTGTACAATATTCATAGATAGGAACACTGCCCCAAGCATGACAGTCCGAGCGCTGCCGCACATCATCCTCTTCCCAGGTTGACAAATTATTCTCGAGCATTTTTCGCCATGGATTCCAGACGCGCTGCCAGTAATCCTCGTAGACCTCGTCACCTGCAAGTGCAAATGCTCTGAGAGCGTAGAATTGCATCATATACGAACATTTTGAAAAGCGAGGATTCGAGAATGATTCTGTCAGGAGACGAGATTTGCCTTCTATATTTAGTATTTCAGCGGCTCCAGAGAGTATTGCGAATACCTGACAGTGCTGGGAATACGCCAGGTCGTCGGCAATATCGGCGGTTGAATCCGTGAAAAACTGGCCGTCGTAGCAATGATTTCGGATTGCGCTGAGAAGCGATGCTGCTCGGTCTTCGTACTCACTTGCATGGCCTGGTCGACCAACTTCGCGGACCAGTCTAGCGGCTTGTTTGAGAACGTATGCATAGAGCATACTGAAGTATGTATGACAGTTTGATTTCCGCCCAGAGGTTGGGACGCCTTTGTCTGGATGGTCGTCTGTTGCGCCCCATGTTGTCACCCAGTCGACATACTGCCATACGTCCTCGGGTAGCCCGCTAATAAGACCTTGATCATTGACATGCGCGTCGAAGAAGTCAAGAACGCCGTCAATCCTCGGCAGGAAAGAGCGAGAAAACCGTGTGTCGCCGAAGAAAAGATGGTGGTCACAGATCTGCAAAATCCAATATAGAGAGAATCCGGCAATTATTTGTGGAACGTGTGATGGGAATCGTGATTGGGTCAGTCCTTCAGTTGTGACGGAAGATGCAAAGTTGGTGATGGCTTGTCGCATTAGTCTGTCATCGCCGGAAAGAAGATAATGGAATAAACCGACGGAGCGACTGTCGCCAGAGTACCTATTTTCTTTATGTGTGAGTGGACATTATTATAAGTTGAAAGTGTAGTGTTTGGAAGCAACTCACTGAAGTTGCTCGTAGAATGGACAGTCAGAGTATCCATCAAACATGCAGTTCCGCATTGTCCGAATCGACACGTCCCATATTTGCTTGCCATTTGCATCCTCCGGTTCGTTCCAGGTGGCTTTCACGGCCAATGGGTAGTTTATCTGGGTGACATCAAAAGACAGCAATTCAACGGGCTCAGATCCAACAGTAATCTCTAATCGCATAATGCGGAACGTGCGGAACCAAAATGGCTCATAAATGACTGTTTGTTTAGCTGGAAGATCCAGTATCACATCATCATATGGACCAATCAGGTGGCCCACTGTCTCGTCTAATCGATCGGCTTTCGTTCGAAAAAAGGGGTAAGATCGAGGCTCAAGCTCGTATCCCTCTGAGTACGTTATTTTCAGTCTGATCCGAGTCTGCTTGGAGGCCTGGATGGCCCATCGCACAAATGCTGTAGAATGAACTTCGGCCTTTAACTCGACATTATATGAAGAGTTACCGGATAGACTCAACGGTTTGCTGCCAGAAAGCCACGTATTCCAACTGTCCACAGGCATGTCGCCTTCACAAAGACGGATAACGCTGGTAGCTACCGGGCTCGTTTCGGGCATGGGAATTGCGCGTGGGCGCAGACGCCAAGGGGGATGTCCCCATTCAGCGTTTTAATACCATGTGTAATTGGTTTGACAGATGGGCTTGGTGAAGAAGGAGTAATGCGTTCGCTTATCTGTTGGCCTTTTGAGAGATTTTACTTAGTATCGGCAGAGATGAGAACCTACATGAAGAAACACATCATCCACCAGGCCCATGGGAAAGCTAATGCTGTTTTCCACTTGAGCCTCCCATCCTTCACTAGAGCTGAGATCTATGACTGTTGTCTCAGCATGCACTCTCCCAACAACAGTTAACCCTGGAATGGCTGTCCTCTCAAACGGCATTGCCCCTCGTGAGGACGCAAAGTATCGGATGACCAAGATGACGACTTCATTATCACCTGTATTCAGGTAAGGCGCGATATCAAGAGTATCATAGTACCAAATCAAAGGACTGCTTCGAGATGGGCCCACAGCAACTCGTGCGCCATTGACATAGAGTTTATAGCGCGTATCTGCGGAAAAATGCAGCAGTGCTTTCGTCAGACGACTGGGAAGACTGAATTTGCGCGTGAACTTGACGACTCGTCCGGCAGTGTTGATGTCAGAAGAATCAACCCAATTGGGAGTCCAGATCCAGTTGGCCTGGAGCTCATTAACTATCTAGAATTTATATGCCTGGTCAGTGACAGGATGGATAACAGTAATTAGCGAAAGACGGGCTGACGCGTACTTTTTGCTCCTCGGGCGACACCATTGTAGCTACAAACAAAGTAGCAATTCAGTAAAGTTCGCATGAAAAAGTACAGTCACTTGCAGAAGGCTATCGGATTTTTTGTATGCTTCCAGCCGCATCAGTGAGGTTGACCAAGCTGCGCGGGGAATTGGCCGAATCTCGGGTTATTTCATACCGGGAAACCCACAATTAATGTATATAAACTTTCGAATTGGGTATCGGCTATTGAAGCATGCGGCCTCTATTGCCGTCAAAATTTAAGGTCTCCCTCCAGATGAACATGTGCAATCAATGCATAACTGATCAAAAGAAACAGCCTTGCGCAGGGGAATATCGCCCCCCGGTCCCCTGTGGAGTTGGTGATCATCATTGGCTTGATTCCAAGCTTTATTAAGAACCGTATAAATAACTTGCTCTGCTAGGAAGGAAAATGGCTGAAATGTCACTATTGTTTCGTTGTCTATCTAGAAATCATTAGTTGATGATTTGATATGGCTCTTCTTTTTTCTCTTGGCCTCGTGGGCCACATCACCTCTGTTTCGGGCCTGAGCTTCAGCGTTCCAGCAAGTCCCCCATCAAATGCAAGTGGCCAGCTTTCTGCTGCGCCTGTAGGTGTTTCGTAGGTAAATGCTCTCTTCGTTAATGGATTGAGAGCGCTGACCCCATCAGTTTGGAGTTTTTTGCCTTCCCAGCCTACATGGAAGATGTCGATGCGACTACCACGTGTTTGCAAAACCTGAAAGATTTGACAGGTACTTGGCCACCATTGAGAATTGGGGGAACTACGCAGTAAGGAGTTATGCATATGTTAAATGAAATGCGTTTCTTATACCAACCTGTCACTAGAGATCGCGCAACATATGATGCAGCTTCTACAAACGCTGTGAACTACACGGTCGCTAGTCCCAGTGACGCGCCAGACTCACTCACGTTTGGTCCATCGTTCATCTCCATAGCAGCATCCTACGGTGGTGATATAATCCTGGGTCTTAATAGGCGTCTAGACAATCAGTCAAACACAATCGCCGCTGCAGCTCTAGCTAAGAGCAAGATGGATAATCTCTATGCCATTGAGCTCGGCAACGAGCCTAATTGTAAGCTTTTGCTTGAGTCTCCAATACTCCTAGTACTTTGTTAACATATATTATCAAGTTTTCACTAGCAGTGATCCGATCGCCGACGGCGAGTCTTGGACTGCTTCAGCTGACTATTCATCGGAGGTAAGCTGGCAGGATGCAGTTTGTGGGAATCTCTCGGCGTCGAATGTTATTTCGGCCGGCGTTTTCTTTGGCACCTCGCCAATGAGTATTGCTGGATTGACTGTTGCTGAGGGCGGTACAAATGCTTACGTCAAGGACTACTGTTCGCACAATTATCCGCAGTCAGCAAGCACGGCCAATTTGTCTCTTCTGATGAGCCACACCGGCATTGCTTCGGAAATTGAGCCCTTTGCTAAGGAAGTTTCTGCTGCTAAATCTAAGAATAAACCCCATATTTTTGGGGAAACCAACTCAGGTACTTTCTGCTTCTCTTTTACCTATATTGCGACTGGCTGAAGAGTTTTTTGTTCTAGCCACTCAAGGCGGTGGTGGTATTAGTCCAACCTATGGAGCTGGACTTTGGATCTTGGACTATGTGATGCAAACCCTTCTTTTGGGCACTGAGGTGCGTATCATGCTTTATGTATCGTTCTTATACAATATTGAGCTTTTCAATACTTACTATACATAACGCAGGCCCTGTACTTCCACCAAGGAACTATAGGAAACTGTAAGAAGTTCTTCCATCTCAATGTATAGCTACTAATTGTTCTTGTATAATAGGCCAGTATTGTTGGTGGGGTAGATACGATATGGGTTCACCTTATTACGGTGCCTACTTTGCAACCATGGCTCTGGCCAACGCAGACCAGATCGCACCGCTAGATGACCAGAAATCCGCGTATGCTGCTTATGCTATTTACAAGTCCGGGGCCCCAGTCAGAGTTTTGTTGTACAATTCCGACTATTATACTAGCGGCACACGACCATCTCAAACATACACCTTGTCAGGGTTGTCGTCTGGTATAGTAACAGCCAAACGTTTAACAGCTCCGTATTCGACTTCCAGAGTTGATTACGGCCAAAATCCGTCTGTTGCTGGTCAGACATTTGCGAATGGAACTTGTTCTATTCAGGGCACTAAAATAACCGAAAGCACTACAGTCTCTGCAGGAGCAGCAACTTTTACTGTTGGGGCATCAGAAGCTTTGCTGGTATATTTGTGAACGGCTGAGCAGTGAATTTAGTAGAGATATATTTAGGAGAAATCGGAAATGGAGACCCGTTAGCAAGTGTTTCACTATCAGGATCCTGCCCAAAATATACAATGAAATAGATGCACAACACAGATCAACGTAAGAACTGGATTCTGTCGGGTAATTTGTCACTTCAGTACGGCTAATAACGGCATTATCAGCCGAAAATCCAAGAAATTTAACTTCCAAACTCGGGGTAAAAGAACCCGGTAGCAAGAAGCCTCGGCAGCTACTGATTCATTCACTTAACATGATCAGAAGCTTAAAACCTGCACGTTGGTATTATGTGAATATTGTAAGGTCTTGATTCAAAGCTCCACTTTTAACTTCTCGGTCGACTCGACGGCTATCGAGCCGTCTATTGAACGGGTCAGATGAGTCTGGGGTAGAGTTTGGGGTCCCCACACCAGTGAGGGTTTTCGGACAATTGCCAAGCGAACCTCGAATATGGCTAATGGGAACCATAAAGACCTGAAATCTTCTCTTCTCTGATGAGTGAGTGAGTCAGATATCGGAGAACCGGTGTTTTTAATTCGACTTCACATCGACTGTCTCACGCCTAAGACTCTCACAATGAAGCGGGCTAAATTAGAAACAGAAACAGTCGAGCACTGCGCTCGCACAGAAACTAAAGACCATGAAGTCACCAAAGGTGGAGCGCCGCTCATGCGGTCCAAAGTCGACGATCTTAGTATCTGGCAGAGTGTGCGCCAATACAAGCTACTGGGGGCTGTAGCTATGGCGGCCGCATTCAGTGCATCGCTCGACGGTTATCGTATGATAATCTACATTTCAAATGACTTTTCTTGAAAAGTATCATGCTAATGGGTGAATACTAGAAATTAATCTTAACGGTGGGGTTGTTTCGAATAAAGGGTTTATCCGGCAAATGGCTGCCCCCGGGACTAAGATTATTCAAGGGACATACGTCTCTGCGTGGGGTGGAATCCAATCTGCTGGTCAAACAGTCGGCCAAATCGTATGTTGCTACATATTTCTCTGACGAAATAATGTCCTTTCCTAATCAATTACATTGGCAGCTGCTTCAATATGCAACCGAAGCTTTCGGTCGTAAAATCGCGCTATACATTATCTGGTTAACGCTTGTAGTGGTGAGAAATTGTGTTTTATAGCCTCTATGTTTCTATTATTGAATATAGGACAACTAACATCTGGTTTGAGTGCAGAGCGTCTTTATCGAATCATTTGCAACCCGTTGGGATCACTGGCTAGTCGCAAAGCTTTTCTCTGGTATGGGCGTCGGCATGCTTCAGTCTACTATGCCTCTTTATCTTTCTGAAATCGCTCCAACGCAATTACGTGGTTTCTTCATCAATGCATATAGTCTGTGAGTAAATTCGGTTTCTTTCCTTCACATTGTCTACTATGTTAATTACTAATTGGTAACTTCTCCTCTAGATGGTTTGTAGTAGGACAGCTTTTCGCTTCCGTAGCGCTTAATAGGCTCAATGCCAGTAGCCCCTACGACTTTCGGACTCCTATTTATACCCAGGTAAGCTTGAAATAGGTTGGCTTATTCGGGCCCGCAGGGCTAATGGGTTTTGTACTAGTGGGCAATGATAGGTGTTATTATCATCATCTTTGTTTTCATCCCCGAAACACCGTGGTGGCTCGTTAGCAAAGGGAAGATGGAGAGTGCGAGAAAGGTTTTACAAAAATACAATGGCAATGTCCAGGGATATGATGTCCAGGAACAAATTGTTCGTCTAACCACGTTATATTACCCACTAAGGTTCCCAGTGGTTTAAGCTGACTTTTTGATAGAGTATCATGAGTAATACGATCGAAGAAGAGCGTTATATTGCTAGTCTAAATTCCGAGGAAGGGACATGGTCCGTTTTCCGTGGCCGAAACCTGATCCGATTCATCATCGCAGGATGGCCGAAAATAACCCAACAATTTGTCGGTTTATCGGTATTTAATACATATGCTACATATTTCTGTATGTGATGCAACAAATTAAAGTCTTAATATGGTTGAGCTGACCTGCGTTATACAGTTCAATATGCCGGCAGCAATAATCCATTCCTGGTTACTCTCATTCTCTCCTGTGTTCAGCTTCTTTCCATGTTCTTCACTGTCACTCTCACCGATCGATTCGGTCGCCGACCATTGACAGTCTATCCTTATGGAGTCACTGTCTTGTCCGTTCTGTGTCTGGGAATAATTGGTTGCTTTGACTACACTAAGCCGTCCACGAGTTCACTCCTGGTATGACAATCACTACCTAGATATGGTATCTAGCTAAACTTTGCGAATCTGCAGATATTTTTCGCCTGTCTTGCTACATTCTCAACTACAGGCGCTTCGGCTATCGGCTATGCATACGCAGCTGAAATTCCTCAGCAACGACTGCGTGCGAAGACCGCGGCGTGGTCCCTCGCCTGTTCCAATATGATTGCCATCATGTTCAGCTTCTGCACGCCGATAATGATAAATGGACCGCTCACTAAATGGGGTGTCAAAACGGGATTTTTGTAAGACAGCAACAGACATGATAATATAACTCGTATTCTGAAGCTGACTTTGTTTCGTAGCTTTGCTGCTACTGGTTCTATTTCAGTACTTATAGCCTGGTTTATTCTTCCGGAAGTGACGCGTCGGACGCCGGCAGAGATTGACGAGCTGTAAGTTAAAATCCTTACCCAATCTACGTCTGTACTCTGGGAGTTAAGTGATCTGACTATGTTTACGAATTAAACAGCTTCGAGAAAAAGGTTAATCTTCGTAAATTCAAGAATCATGTCACAGATGTTCAGATACGCGCAAGTGAAGAGCACATTGAAATGGCTCCCTCAAACACTGCATAAGATTTATGGAAGTGGTGACGGTCTAATTGTTGAGAACATTTAGTCACTTTCTAGTTTGCCTGTGTAATATATGGAAGAGATGATGGATTTATACTACGTATTGCATTTCATTGAGGCTAACCACTTTCTTGAAGAGTAGTCATGACCGATGTGAACAAGCTTTGAAATATCAATCAATTACCTGAATAGCTAATATTAGGCAATTTCCTATTGATAATAATAAACCACATTACTGCAGAGTATTTCAACAGCTAATTAATTAAAAGCGGTGTTTCACTAAATGTACTAATGAATACCATAAGACATCTCCGGGCGGCACGTAGCCCTAATACTGTAACTTTATCCAGACCTCCTTTATCACAAAAATCGAGCATAGCGCCAAATAAAATACGTCTGGTAAAATAAATGACTGTATTTATGTTCGTAATAACGATATTCAAATTACCTTTGATACCATTATAGCAACATTAAGTGCTGATCTGCGCTATGCCGTGCTAGCACGTAATCCGCGTGGAAAACAACACCATCACCATCCCTCCCTTTACGTGAAGGCAGTAATTTCGGGATTTACTCAATTGATGCACAATAACCAATCACGATACATATTAAGACTTTTATTACCGCAATCACGTCAACTCATGTAGCTGGTCAAAGAACAGCTTTTAGTCGTTTTTGGGAAAGTATACCCGTATAATTCGCATCATTTTGGTAGGACCTGGTGGGCGATTGGTTGTTTGTCCCTCTCCATCATCGGAGTTGTGCCGTCTTGTCAAAAGAAGGAAAGATAAGCTCGTGGCTGAGAAGCTAAAAGAGAAAGCTATGGTAATCTATACTCCGCTGTATGCTGGCGTTTACGTGGATACGTGCTTAATGGGTTACACGTGACGCCACCTGCAAAAGAAATATCCGATTGAATTTTTCTGGAACCTGTCAAAAGCTTAACAGAGTATTTCGGGATTTATACTATTTATTCCCTTTGGCCCTCTCTGAATTGGGAGTATATCAATTCATATACAATCGCCAGCTTTCAGATTTCCAATAATTGAACCATCAATCGCAATCGCGACAATGGGAGAAACGGATAAGGATCTAGCAAATCCACTGAAAAATGAGGAGATCACTGGACAAGCAAGCTCTCCTCAATCCGAGTATGATAGCCCAATTGAGAGTAGTGAAAAGAAAAAACACCCAGGTAAGAAACAAATACTTCTACAGTGGCTCTTTTGATCCAGCAAACTAATAGATAATAAAAAAAAGTGAAATGGTACCGGTCCACCTTCTATAATGCCCTTATTTTAGGCATCTGCAATTTCCTCGCCCCGGGAATCTGGGGTGCGATGAACTCACTGGGTGGTGGTGGTAACGAGAAACCCTACTTAGTCAATGCCGCCAACGCATTGACTTTCTGTCTGATGGTTTTATCTTGTTTCGCTGGAAGTATCATCGTTAAATACATCGGTATTAAATGGACCTTCATAGTGGGCACAATCGGTTACGCCCCCTTTGCCGCTGGACTGTATACGAATAATCGGTACGGAACTGAGTGGCTCGTCCTGCTTGGTGCCGCGCTCTGCGGTCTGTCAGCCGGTATATTTTGGATGGCTGAAGCCGCTATTGCGCTCGCATATCCGGAGCCGTATAATCAAGGGCGCTTCCTGGGTTTTTGGCTTAGTTTCCGTGTTGGTGGCCAGATTCTGGGAGGAGCAGTCAACATAGGAATTAACGCAAAGAAGAATACTGCTGGAAAAGTGTCGTATAGCGTATTCGAGCTCTTTATTGCACTGCAAGCATTAGCTCCTTTTGTTGGCCTGCTGCTCTCGCAGCCAAAGCAAGTCCAGAGAACCGACGGACTACCAGTTCGACTGAAGATTCTGAATCACAAATGGACTGCGGAGCTGAAAGAAATGGCAAAATTGTTTGTCCGACGTGACTTCTTGTTCATTGTCCCACTCATCTCGCAGGCTGTATACAGCGAGGCTGTTTTTTTCACGTATGAAGATCTGTGGTTTTCCGTCAGAGCACGGGCGTTGGGATCGTTTTTGTCAGGCGTAGTCGCATTGATCTCCGGAAATATTTTGGGTGCTTTCCTAGACAGAAAGCAACTTTCTCTCAAGTCACGAGCTAGAGGAGCTTTCTTCGTGGTTCTGACTCTGCAAGGTGCATGGTGGCTATGGGGTACAGTGTTAGTCACGAATTTCCGTAAAACCAACCCTATATATGATTGGTCGAGTCCTGGGTTCGGGAAAGCCTTTGCGCTGTTTTTGTTCTGGGTTATTGGGTTTCAGATCAATTACCTATATCTGTGAGTTATTCCTGTTATTCTCCTATATGTCAGAGTTCTAGGACTTGCCCTAACATTGTCAGATACTTCGTTGTTGGCAACCTGGCTAAGGATGAGGAGGAAGTAATCCGCATTGCGGGTTTGTTGCGCGGTACTGAGTCTGCAGCCCAGGCTGTTAGTGTGAGTTCACCGCTCTGCAAGGGCTTTTTGAAAAGGGAGAACATGTAGCTGACAATGATCGAATAGTACGGCCTCTCCAGTGTCACGATCATGGCTACAGTCGGTAATGTGTATTTGAACTTTGGCCTGTGGGCTTTGGCTCTCATTCCAGCGTGGCTTGTCATCAAAGACATTGGCGTGACCAAGGGGGATTTGAAAATTGAACGCGAAAGAGCTCTAGCTGCCGAAGTAGCGTAATACGGTATCTTAATAGAATAATTAATCAAAGTCTTCAAGATAGGGAGTCGCTTTTGGATAAGCGCCATTGAAGGGCAAAGTTGGAAATCGAGATGTTTATATTGTATCTTTCGATATTACTAGTTTATTATAAGCGTTACTCGAAGTCTTGGAATCGCTCGACTTACTTTAAAATTCTATTTAACATTCAACTTTTGATATGTCTACGTCCCAGACTTAGACCCAAGACAGACTCCGGATCTCCCTCCCCCGTCCCCAAGGCACAACCTCAACGGCCCCATTTGCCGATTTCATAATGTCTGGAATCTTTTCACCTTTTTTCTCAAGGCGAATCTTCTTAGTTGAGGTTTGGGCAGGTAGTTTGTAGAATTTACGCCCAAAGGTAGACAAAAACCCCTCAAGGGCTTCAAGGGTGACGTCCTCTTCCTTGATCCATCCTTGTTCAATAGCTTCTTCGAGGGCTCCGATCACTATTTGAGAAACGTATGGTTGAGTGAAGCATCCAGCGGCGGTAGCCCCTGGTCCTTTTTTAGATTGGACAGGATGAGGTGCTGAATCGCTGCCTGTGAAAAACAGTGAGTTTATTCCTTTTGCACTGTACTTTGAGACGGGAAGTGATATATACCAAAGAAGAATTTTCCGGATCCTTCGATAGCGGCCTTCACTAAAGCTAACCGATCCTCCGGGGTCTGGAAGTTTCATTTAGTCTATTCCTTGGTATTAAGATAATTGAATGTTTGATATTTACCTTTGCAACCGGTTTGCAAAAGTTGAACACGTCTCCCACGGCATCATCAATGGTGATATGAAGGTGATGTGCTATCTGAATCAGGTATTATATCTACAATACGTGCAAATGGAATCTTACCTGTAATAGTTCCGGCAACCTAAAAAGAGTTAGTTGTAAAGCAGATGATCTGATCTTGAAAAATCTTACATTCGGGCCACAAGCACGAACAGCCTCCAATCCCTGCCTCGTACTAACATGCTCCAAGATGATCCTTAGGTTAGGGAAAGCTTTGTGCAGTTTGACAAGTTGGGGGATGAAAAGCGGTTCAGCATTGAGAACGGTAACAACAGGGTCTGTCTGCTTTCCCACGGCACTAGCAGGAGTGCTGATCATCTCACCATGCAGATTCAGTACTAGGTCGTATTTCTCCATGGCTGCAAAAACGGGATATAATTGCTCAATATCGAGGACGCCTTCTTGAGAATTTGTTGTAACCTTTTAACGACAAAGAAATTCCAGATAAGCTTTGATTATACGGATTTGATGGCTGATTAGCTTTGGATACGTACCCCTGCAGGGTAAAATTTGACCTGTTGAAAAGTTTAGCTTCATCTAGTTACTTTGGTATATGCAGTGTTTTTAGGTATGTATACCCCATAAATGACGCCTGATTTAGCTGCCTTTTCAATCTCTTCCTCGTTCAATCCGGTGTGTAAGTAGAGGGACATCAGGAATTTGACATTGGGAGCGATCTTGCTCAATTTTTCGTGGTATTCGAGTGCCTGAGAGACACTTCCTATTTTTGGTGTGAGATTTGGCATAACGAAGACGGTGTCGCATCCTCCTTGCTCTACCAAAGGGGTGCAGAGTTCCATCATGGCATCTTGTCGGAGATGGACATGCATATCCGCCTAGGCTATCTAGTCAGTGACCCATACTTTACTTAGGCGAGGAATATTGCAAAACGGAAAAATGTAAAGCTGAAAAAGTCAGGGAGGAACTCCAGAATACCATACCGTAGGCGGAAGATCAATTGATGTGATATTCTTCAATTGCATATTGACGATTTGCTTTTGTCAAAATTAATGGGATTATCTGGTGGTAAAAATATTAATAAAAGTAATGCGAGACTCAATGGTCGATTAAATGCAGCAGAGTCGATTACTCAAATGGAATTTGCCTTTCTGCCTAATATTCTAGTCCTGCGATAGAAGCACAATTATTATCACCATTCGATTAATATCGTCAAGCAAATCTATAATAATTTTGTAGATCGCCAGCCAGCGTGGGGTGTCTTGGCATCTCTCAATCTGCGCTTGCACGTGACTTCTGCTGATATCAGTGATTTATTACATGCACGCCGATTGGCTGGAGATCTACTTCAATAACATCGAGCTGGGGGATTCTACTTATATGCACTGATGATGTCATTTCATTATTTAACATATTCCATTAAACTTAGACTAGGAGAGAGTAAGAAACACGAGGAACTGGTATTTCAAGAGTCTGTTCCTCAGTTGTAAATATGGCATGCCTGATGAGGAGTCACGTGTGCTCCAGGTGCGTAGCACAGCTCGGAGCCGATGTCGGCCTCCAGCTGATGTCGGCCGCCGCACAGCCAATAGGATCGTGCAGTTTTCTGCTGACGGAGTATCGGAGCAAAATCGGAGGCTTCCTTCCACAAAAGCCCCTCAGGAATCGGTTAGAGAAGGCGTTTGGAAGCTGGTATATCAACGTTGCATACCCATGAATCCTGCTTTTCATTTTCCTCCAGATAACTATTCGCCTTGTACGGGCCTGTCTTTTTGTATTACCCTTTTTTTTCCTTCTCGAAACGCGTAAATCGGATTGTGAAGTTGATTGAATCGATTACGTCGTATACAATCATCATGCCTGGAGCCGACAAGAAGCCCAAGACTTTATATGACAAGGTCTTTCAAGACCACATCGTCAACGAGCAAGACGATGGCACTATTCTGTTATATATTGGTCGGTCCATGCCCTCATGCTGCTTACTACCATCCTTGCTGACTATTATCGAAACAGACCGACATTTGGTCCATGAAGTCACATCACCGGTAATTGGCCCCGCACCTGCATAAGGCCAACACAGAGCTGATAAGGATCTAGCAAGCATTTGAAGGATTGCAAAATGCCGGCCGAAAAGTTCGCCGACCAGATTGCACTCTAGCTACTGTTGATCACGTACGTACTGAAATGCAATATGTGACCCCTTACCGCGCAGAAACTAACGGATTTTTCCATCCTAGAATATCCCTACAGCACCACGAAAAAATTTCAAGAATGTCGAAACCTTTGTCGAAGAGGCGGACTCTCGCGTCCAGTGTATGACGCTTGAGGATAACGTCAAGAAGTTCGGTTTGACATACTTTGGTCTGGACGATGACCGCCAGGGTATCGTGCACGTTATCGGACCTGAGCAAGGTTTTACCCTGCCAGGCACAACTGTTGTCTGTGGTGACAGCCATACCTCTACACATGGTGCATTCGGTGCCCTCGCTTTCGGTATCGGAACTAGTGAAGTCGAGCATGTGCTTGCTACTCAGACTCTCTTGACAAAACGGAGTAAAAACATGCGCGTGCAGGTTGATGGAGAATTACACCCAGGTGTCACTAGCAAAGACGTTGTTCTTCATATCATTGGCGTCATTGGTACTGCCGGTGGTACTGGATGTGTCATTGAATTCTGCGGTTCAGTTATCCGTAGCTTAAGTATGGAGGCTCGTATGTCAATGTGCAACATGTCAATCGAAGGTGGTGCTCGTGCCGGCATGGTGGCCCCTGATGAGATCACTTTCGAGTACCTAAAGGGCCGTCCTTTGGCACCCAAGTATGACAGTGCTGAGTGGAAGAAGGCTGTGAGCTATTGGACTAGCCTGCGCTCGGATGAGGGTGCCAAGTACGATATCGAAGTCGTCCTTGATGGCAAAGACATTCTTCCTACGGTCTCTTGGGGCACTTCTCCTCAAGATGTCCTCCCCATCACTGGTGTTGTTCCATCTCCAGACGACTTTGAAGATGAGAACCGCAAGCTCAGCTGCAAACGCGCTCTTGAATACATGGGTCTCACCCCCGGTACCCCTCTCAAGGATATTGAACTGGACAAGGTTTTCATTGGCTCTTGCACGAATTCACGGATGGAAGATTTGCGTGCCGCTGCCAGAATTGTGGAAGGACGCAAAGTCGCATCAAATATCAAGCGCGCTATGATCGTCCCTGGCTCAGGCCTCATCAAAAAGCAAGCAGAAGCTGAAGGTCTTGATAAGATTTTCACCAACGCTGGTTTCGAATGGCGCGAAGCTGGTTGCTCCATGTGCTTGGGTATGAACCCTGATATTCTTTCCCCACGCGAGAGATGCGCCAGCACTTCGAATCGTAACTTTGAAGGTCGTCAGGGAGCCCTTGGTCGAACTCACTTGGTGTCACCGGCCATGGCCGCTGCCGCCGCTATCGTTGGAAAGCTTACTGACGTTCGCGACATTGCTCAACCTTCTTCTTCCACAAGAAAGGCTGCACCTATTTCTATTCAACCAGAGATAGAAGAAGTCGACACCGAGAGCGATCTTGAACGCATCCTCGACATTCCCGAGGACAACGAACCCCACGCCAACAATAAAACCAGCGGTTCTGCCGCAGGTCTGCCAAAATTCACCACGCTCAAGGGCATTGCTGCACCCATGGATCGTGCTAACGTCGATACTGATGCTATTATTCCCAAGCAGTTCTTGAAGACAATTAAGCGCACTGGCCTTGGAAGTGCTCTTTTCTATCAATTCCGTTACAACCCAGACAACGGCAGCGAGATCCCAGATTTTGTTCTCAACAAAGAGCCTTATCGCAGTTCCAAAATCCTCGTCGTAACTGGCCCCAACTTTGGCTGTGGTAGCTCTCGTGAGCACGCACCCTGGGCATTGCTCGACTTTGGCATTAAATGTGTTATCGCACCCTCATTCGCCGACATTTTCTTCAACAATACTTTCAAAAACGGCATGTTGCCTATTCCTCTTGACGATGAAGTCGGTCTCCAAAAGATCGCTGCTGAGGCCAAGGCTGGCAAGGAGGTCGAGGTTGATCTCGTCAACCAAGTCATTCGTGACTCTGCCGGCAATGTACTCGCTCCCTTCGAAGTCGACTCCTTCCGCAAACATTGCCTGGTCAACGGTCTCGATGATATCGGCCTTACCCTCCAAATGGAGGACAAGATCCGTACCTTCGAAACAAAGCGAACCATTGAGACTCCCTGGCTGGATGGCAGCGGCTACTTGAAGCACCACAGACGTGGTGCTACCAAGGTCGAAGCCGCACCAGTTCCCAAAACAAATCGTGGGGACGTTAAAACCGAGCCACTTGAGTGGTAAATCCCACAAAAGTGTGGTTAATATATAATTCAGTTTTGATTTGTTCTGCACTTATATCAATCATGCAATTCACACCGTCATTTATGTTCGCATTTTCGGGTACTTATTATGTCTTGGATGATGACAAATCCTTATTTTATATTGCTATTATACGTCGTGCATTATCTTCTTGCTCAAGTATGAGCAAGGGATGGGTGGAATGAAGTCAGTCAAATGGAGAGATAAGCAATTATATAGGTTATGATAATGATAACATAGTCAACTGATTTTGCTTAATTGACTTTCCTATTTGTAAATTATAGGCTCAGGCCAATATCACGATATTAGAAAGCAATGATACAAGCAGAGCTACAACTATCTCCGCTACTGGGAGTTTCGTCACATTAAGCATATCGTTGATGATATTGACTGTATTTGCCTAGTTGTGAAGGGGAAAGCGGGCGTGAATATCTTTGTGCGTATATTAAGATATTCTTGTAAGTTGTTCCCAAATTCAAAAAAAAAGAGATTTTTAGTATAAACACCAGTTTTATAACTTGAAAAATAGCTTAACACCCTAATTCTAGACCCTTATGATTTTTCAGCCCCTAGATAAAAACGCACCGGGAACTCTTCCCACCGCTTCTTAAAGGACCAACCAGGTGTTTGGGGGGGTCAGGACCTACCGGAAAATGAGGAATGTTGGTATCACGAGAAGTTTTTGCGTGTTGGATCCTTTCCTTCTGTATACTTTCACCATATCTACCGTACTTTCTGCCCAGGTGGTCGTTCGTTAAGCTTCTAATTTACTTATGAACATCTGAAGGATCATGTGCACTCTTCAGAGCTAGACAGGTGTCTTCGTTATATAATTTTGTCTTCTCCAGCTCACCCATGTGCTGGAAAGTATGAGGTACACCAGTGTATCTTTGAAACGTCAGTAATCATCCCCTTTTCATGATTCGAGGAAGAAGCCAACCGTCGGAAAGTGGCCCTGCAACCTGCCTTCACAAGTTTTAACCCATACGCCTCGCCTTCATCCCTCACTGGATCTGCACCAGCAGTTGCTATGAAAGTATCACATATTCCCGCAAAGTTCTCTTCATGAAGTGGCTCACTCCATAACTTTGGAACTTTTGATCGATCGCCAACCACATCTCTGAGGTACATTAAGCGCCCCCAATTTAGGCAAGGTGCTTTTGCGTTCTCGATATATGATAAAAAACCCGAGTCTTCCGGTTGGTTAAATGTTGTACGGCTCTGTGCCGTGGGAACACAAAGGATTGCTAGCTTTAGCTTCAGGCCTGCATCGCGGGCCATGTGTTGGTAAACGCAACTCATGAAGGCACCAGCAGACACTCCACCAATTGAGATGGAACCGGGACGGGAGTTTAATTCCTTGCTGTGTGTGTAAACCTGTGATATTGCGCTTAGCAGATCAAATCATTATTATTACTGAAGACAATGATCCTACCCATTTCAGCGCGGCCCAACCATCTTCAATCCCTTTTCCATATCTGCTCTCTAGGTATAGTGAGTTTAATACTTCTGGATATTGACGCACGGCAATTTACCTGGACAGAGACGGTAGTCAACATCAACAATAATAATTCCCACTCTTGCGCACATCAGCATACACCATTGAGCATCTTCTGTGAGGTCTCCGAAACAGAAACCCCCACCTTAAAACTGTTTAGTCAACATTAGGTGGAAGGGATAATATTTGCAACAAAGTACCATGATAATTTATGTGAACTGCATACGGCCCCGGGCCATACCTTTCGGGGTCAGGGTGGTAGCTCCGTGCCTTGAATTTAGTGCCATCCTCTGACGAGATTTCGAAAGTCGTTACACGAGGCTGATCGCTGAAGTCACGGCACCAGTTTCCTCGGAACCTTTCTGGGTTTTTACGAACGTCGGCGAAGACCACTTGGTCAGTTGCAGGACGTATAGCGAGTCTTGTATTGTAGTATTCAATGAAATCGGGATCAAGATACCCGTGAAAGTCCGGATCGATTGGGTTGACAACCTTATTGGAAGTGGCCATATTGGATTATGAATTGAAGTTAGCTGGCTCAAGCCTCAACACTTATGAGCGGTACGCGGAATCCCTTTTATACAATACACGTACCTCATACTCTTATTGCTTGATTGAGTCATCACTTTGTCCAAAAATGCAGAGAGCTGGGTTCTTTAGACCTCAACGTCGAATCAACTGTGGTCAATTACTTTATAGAGAGTAGTTCCCCGACTGGAGCCCATATTCGTCGCTCTTCTCCGCGCTTGGCTGCTCCTCGTATGAATATGTTTAACATGGGCCCTTTTTGCGGGGAAAATTGGCCAATAGATGCCGGCCAATTTATAAAGGCTTAGGGCAATTTCCTTAAATTCACGGACTTGAGCGCGATGTCCACTCATCGCATCGCTAACTTCCGCCTATGTACCACTATCGCCTCTCCAAACATGATCATAGCGGATATACTAACCGATAAGACTATACGGCTCACATCCCTCAGCAATTTAAAAATCTTTAAAAAGGCATGTCAACTGGCCTAAAAAGGGCATATTTCTAAAATAATTTCTCTTCTACAGATATCGCATGCATCAATTAGCCCAAGAGCAAATCTCACAATGGCATTCAGGGTTTCGTCATTCCCACCACCTTGTCTACGTTCTCCCTACTGGCAAAAGTACGTAGCATGATTCTAGGCATCTAATAACTTATCTTACCGATGTTTTATTAGTTTCATAGCGGGTACCATTGTGGGTATGACGGTCGGACTTTACCAGGCATTGAATTTACTCGGAGCTGGTGGTGGCCGTCCCAACTCGGCCCAAATGGTTCAAGTGGTGAACGCCTTGCTGTGTGGAGTGTTTGTTGTCTCATCAGCTCTTGGAGGCAGTGTGCTGAATACCTTTGGGCCCACTATCACAAGTATACTGGGTATCATTGGGTATATGCTCTATGTTGGTGGCCTTTGGTATTTTGACCGGACTGACCATGAATGGTTCCCAATATTTGGAGGCGTCGCCATTGGAGCAAGTCTATACCAATGCCCAGTACTGATAATTATGATATATTGACGTTCAAAAAGATTTCCGCGGGCCTTATATTTGTGACCATGTCGTCTATTTCTATATCCTACTCCGAGGAAAAAGAACGAGGATCATTCATTGCCATGTCAGTCAACCTTCAGGCTACGGGGGCAGCTGTCGGGGGTCTGGTTGCTCTTATAATTAATCGGCACTCCAAGGAAGCAACGGGAGTTCCATTGGCAGTGTATGTCTTCATCCTGGCCATGATGGGACTTAGCTGTATACTTGCCCTCGCCTTGAGACCTGCTTCGAAAGTAATAAGAGAAGACGGCACCCAAGTCACTACAATCAAGTCTCGTGGTTATTTGGAAGAACTCAAAGCAAACCTCAATATTTTCAGAGACTGGAAGCTTTTAATCATGATTCCAGCTTTTCTCCCTTCTGAATGTTTCCTTGTGTATGGAGGGTCTGTCAACGCATTTCACAATAATTTGAGGACGAGATCTCTCCTATCGTTCTGTGCCGTCGCTCTTCAAATTCCCTGCGGCTTCGTCCTCCAAAAGATTTTGGACTATGAGAAATTGTCTCGCCGAAAAAGGGCACTTATCAGCCTCGCAACCGTTAGCACTCCATTAATGGCGGCCTGGATCTGGGAAATCATACGCGTCCGTGACTACGATCGCCACAATCCACCGTCTACACCACTTGACTGGACTAGTGATGGATTTGCTCCTATATTCGTCTTATTTATGATGAACTGGGTATCTAGCTCACTTTTTCAGTACATTATTCTCTATTTCCTCGGCTGCATGACGAATTCTCCTCAAACTTCGGCAAACTACGCAGTAAGATCGTGTCTAATCCTGGCCATCTTTCATCGCCTCTAACTGATATCCCCCAGGGTGCCTACCGTAGCTTCTTGGCTATCGGTGAAACGATTTGCTTTGGTGTAGACTCAACCGATGTTCCATACATTAAAGAGGCAGGTGTAATATTCGCCTTCTATGCTTGTGGTGTGCTTGTATTCATTTTTTTCGTTACAACCCAAGTCACCCAAACACAGTACCTTGTTGGCGAAGAAGGGGTTGTCCTACCACAGCACGTTGTTGAGAATCATGATCAGCCTATTCGCGCAGCCGAGGGCATTGATATAAAGGGGGAAGATCCCTCTGACTGAGGAAATACTAGTAAGAAAATATGCGTATATAACATTGTGCTAGGGACATGAATGTATTTGAAAGGATATATCCTGTTCTAGAATTTCAGAGCATATTCCAGAGTAATTCCACGAATGTTTCCCAGACAGCCACGTATGCGGAACCCCTCTTCCAACGTGCGTTGAAAGACGCTAATAGAGCTGATACCTTCAAAATAGGACTAATTGCAGTGCTCATTCCCATGTTTGAATAAATATGTTTTTCTGAGGATGTTGTGGTAGTCTTTTGGTACAATAAATAAGCAGCCCAAACAACCCCAAGTTCAAGAACTCGCTCAGCTGCCATCCAAATGCTGATAATCTTATTTTTTTCGTTAAGATAGGCAATATGCGTAATGATTGTCGCGGCAGACCTTGCTATAATATGGAAGAGTCTGAACGAATGGCCTTCCAATTTCCCGGTCGACCAAACGTTCGTAGTGGTAAAAAGCGGATGTAGAGCGGCGTATAGTGTTGCAGATTGGATATCAATATCCGAATCTATAGAGTCTATCTGCAAAGGCCGAGGAATAAGTTTCTCAAACAATCTCTCTGAATAGAAAGTCAGTGTAAAAAACCGTTGAGTTATATTATGTAGATGACTCATAATCTTTAGCTCATTTGACATATTATTAGACGTCGAGAAATCATCAAGGTAGTGCCACAGTCTTATTTCGCAGAAGTGAGAAGGGCGTCGGAGATGTAAGGCAACACAACTATAGAGCGGTATGAGACACATGTCCCGAAAGTAAACATGAACACTTACCTTTCTAATTTCAACAATGAACGTTCTAATCGCCAAAAGTCTTCGTCTAGTTCTGTATTTATAACTCTATAGGCTTCCTGGAGATGATCCAAAGTAGAGATGGCTCTGCCAAGTAAATCCCATAGTTTGCCTGAAACTGGGCAGATTAATTCGCACAAAACGAGGCCACATAAAGTCATACAAGTCCTCTTTGGTGCCTCTATTGGGTCCATAGGAGATACAACTCTCTGATGCACTTTATGCAAATCCTCTCTACAGTGCGTTGCCACATAGGACAAGCTTGGATCTAAATCTCTAGTGATGAGTGCAGCTGAGATAGCGAAGACAATGCTGACAACCATCGCACCTGGGTCATTTTTATGCATGCTGCTCCATCTAAGAGGATTTTCGTGACCTCGTAGCATCGATTCTTGCGCAGGAGACAATAGCGTGTACTCTGGTGATACAGTCTCGAAGTAGTGTTCGATTATTGCTCGTTGTGTGGAAGGTGGAACAAGTGAATGAAGCTCCGATCTCCGTTGGTCAGATGTCAGTGAATATGGCCAGAGAAGGTTGCTGTCATGAGGTGCCATCTCTTGAAGGAACGGGAATTGAGAAATTTCATCGGGCAGTAGGCTCTTTGGTAATTGTATGTTGTTAACGAGATGCCAGTGAATGGCATCGTTTAAATGCCTTTCTATAAGCCGAGCCGAATTTCCTGGACCAAGGTAGGCTTGACGTGATTGGTATTTGAGATTGACACAATCTGAAGTGCGTAGATGATAACTATACTCTAGGGACTGTGTAGACTCGACATTCGCTCTCAAATCATTCGAACTCCCACGACATTGTTCCTGGGCAGTTTCAATTTGACTTTTAAGGCCCAGGACTTTCTGGCGAAGTGAATGAAGATAGCTAGGCACAACATATATCAGTGACGGGGACAATAGGTCACGGAACCATATTGCCGAACCTGCATGGAATCTTCTGACCGAGAGAGTCATCCCAGAACAGACATTCGACGTCTGCGAGCTTGCAATTCTTACATGACGGCAGCTGTAGATCGCACTATAGGCGAGTGATTAGCATGAATTCAGATTCAAGATCATAATCAAGACATGGCTCACTCTGATTTTTCTCTTGCGACATCTAATACATATCTGGTCAGACATCGCGCGTAGCAGAGGCAATAATCTATGGCGAGGAGGGTTGTTTCGAGCAACGAGATCATACAGCGCTAGAAGGTGAGTTTCAAAAAGAAGCCGGAGCTTATTGGCTCGGGTTATTCAGAACTGTCGGTTATCTTGGCTGGCCAACGAGCTAACGAGTCTCAACGACATCATCCTTAGTTAATGTTGGGTGAACCCAGAACTAGACCCGATAAGAAATCTAAATCAATGAAATGGGCCAGTCGGCTGGTGTTAGGCTATCTGAGCTCTAATAGTTTGCCATGAGAAATGCCGATTATATCTACTACGGGACAAGGGGGGATGGTTTCCCTCAAGAACTGAGTCGGTATTCTTTCCAGTCTTTTCCAGTCATACAAATAATAATATTAACGCGAGCGGAAATTAGGTTCTGGACGTTCCCAGAACGCGGGGTAAGTCAATTCCAGCGTTTTCCATTCCAGATCGTCGGTGGCAAGGTGCCGTGCCCATTAGATTTGGGACAAGTTCGGTTAGGCCCGGCTAGGCGAGGTAGGCTATTTACATCTTGAAGATATCTTCTATAGTCAAAAGGAAGAGGCTATTCACTCTCAGCGCTATTTCTGCGGACGCCTATGCGATTACTAATCTATATGTTACTACGCTCGGTCGATCACACAGGCTTGTAGAAGAGGGACGGAGGAGTGCCTAAGACCGATGCAAATCCCTCGTCTAGCATCAGAAAGTTTGCTCACCCAACTCGGATCATGAGTTCTCATCCACCCAATCGGTTGGGAAAGCGTCGGCATAGTAAAGCATGCGCACGCTGCCGCGGGAGGAAGATACGAGTGAGGAATCTGTTTGATCAATCCTAGGAGATCGATTCCGCTAACCGCTCTATTAGTGTGACTTTCAGTATCCAATCTGTGGTGCTTGTTCGAAAGCAGGTGCAACCTGCTTGGGCTTCGATCCTATTCATGGGGTAGATAAGCCACGAAGTGCTGTCTCACATCTAGAGCAGGAGGTAGCTCGTTTAGAAATCGAGCTAGGTCGTGTCAACGATCAGCCCAGGAATGTGTCTGATATTGCAAGGGAAAAGGTGGAAACACTCACCAGCTCCCTAGCAATGGCTATCCTAGAGCCCAGTTTTCCCCCTCAAAAAGAAACAAAGTCCCCTCCGCTTGCTTCAGCATTTTTCCTCTCCCATTCACCTGTACCATATCTCAACGACCCAGCTCCGAGAAATACAAGGGTTGTAGAACCCCAGGAACGAGGGAACGTTCCTGGTTCGCTCTTTTCAATTCCTCGCCATATCATTAATGTGCTGTTAAATCATTATTGTGCGACATACCGCCCACAATACCCAGCGATTGAAGAGCCGGACTTGTACAAGGCATGCAACAGGGTTTACAATGATACACAGCCTTCTGCTTTCGATAAGTTCTGTGTCAATATCACATTAGCTATCAGTGTTCGTTCCCTAGATTTCACAATATTGATGTTTTAGTAATGAAATTCCAGATGAACACGCTTATACAAAGCGATAAAAAAAGGGCAGCAAAAGCAACGTCTGTTTTCTGGAATACGGCTGTGAATCAGCTCGATGAACTGGGGCCATCAAATACATGGGAGTGGTTACAATCCTTGCAGCTGCTTGCTCATTACGGGTTTCTAAGCCCAAAAGATATCGATTGCAGCAAATGCGCTGCTGCCGCTACGAGACTATGTTTGCAACTTGGATTACACCATGAATTGCCTCCGTCAGCAAAGACAGAGCTAAAACCAGAAGAGCTTAATACTCGAAGAAGGCTCTTTTGGAACGCATATAGCATTGACTCGTAAGCAACCGTTGCTAAGTGTATCACTGAACTTGACCGTCTAAACTTGGCTAGTGCAGTCAACACGGTTCGTTGTCGACCATTTATATGGCCAAAATCCGCGTTAACAGCAAGGGTAATGTTTATTCCCCAGTAGAAAAGCGGAAACTCATGAATTCAGTTCCCAGATTTCGAATCACAATCATATCAGACTCTTCATGTCTGGCTACTGCGGCAGATTGAAACTGAAATCACATTGGCCATGTATCATCCGTCCATCGCCACTATAGACACGTTATGGGGTTCTTCGTTCGATCAGTGGTTCACACGCATACACGAACGTCTCAAGGAATGGCATCAGACTATCCGCCAAAATATCATTCTTACTGAAAGAATCGAGTTTCATGAGTTGCTCTTCCAATGCCAAATCCTGAGGCTTAATCGGCCTTCTCCCCGCTTTCCAAGCCCTACGGAGGAGATGTGCAGGACCTCATTCCAATCGTCTTTGGCTCTTATCAAAGAGTTTTCCTTTCTTGACCAGAAGGGTAAACTTTTCTATCTTTGGCATGCAGCCTACTATCTTGTAGAGTCAGGCGTTTGCCTTCTGGCCTCAATCGTGTCTGGGATGGAATTTGTAGGTCAAGAACGCACACAACTCGGAGGTGAAAATATCACTACTTTGATTACATATATACCAAAGCTTCCATCACTTCTTTGGAAGGTTTCGAATCGCTGGTCAGATATTACACCGCATGCCTCTGCTCTAGAATCGATTTCTTTCACAGTCTTAGAGATATTAGAACAGTGGTCAGTTGGTGGAACAATTGATGGGTTTATTTTCTACGAGATCAAACAGAAGCTTCATAAGCTTTCAGTCTTCTCGCCATTCCCCTTGGACCTACAAGTTCCAGCAAATGACTTTATTCAACATCCAGCATTAGGACCTGGAGACGAGTTTCATACTGTGTTGAATGACCAACCGACAGAACCCGACGTCGCAGTTTCTGCTTTTGATGCCGCATATTTTATCCCCAGTTTACCGGATCCCTCTTTGGTTCTACAAGACAGCTCTTCGATATTCCCTAACGCTTATAATGGAGAGTTTGGAAATGCCCCAGTGTTAGACTTCTCCGCAACAGATATAGAAGAAATCCTGACTTCACTATCTGAAAGCTAAATACCGAATACCTCGATTTCAACATGAAACTGCCTCATACTTTAGACGTTTTAATCTTTGGTTAACTAGATGGAGAAAATATTTTACCTAGCCTTGAGATCTTCTGTGTGACTGTACTCTTGGTGTAATCATGTATCATTTTCGTTGACTAGTGGAATTCTAGACTTGAGAATGACAACTCAGTTAATTTTCGTCATTGATCCCACTTGTGGTCGTCAGCAAATATTCCCACCCCTTTACCGTCTTGTTTCCATACAACACCGTCCTTCATTACAAAATCCACACTCCTTAATGCGAACTTGTCTTCGCGAGGGTCTGTCTGAAGAGCAACAATGTCTGCCCTTACTCCCTTCTGAAACCAACCAAAGCGCATACCACACAAATCTTTACCACAAGCCTCCCACCCTCCAATTGTACATGACTCAAGAACATCCTCTAACGGAATACCTGCCTCTATCATGAGTTCCATCTCCCGAACTCCTTGACCATGAGGAAATGTGCCAGTATCTCCACCACAGGCGAGCCGGACGCCGAGCTCGTAAGCTAACTTGGTTTGATTGAGGATATCTTTGAAACGAGCTTTATGTATTCGCTCATAAATGGCCAGAGTTGGAACCAATATACAATTTTTCTGTATCATGAGCTCGTATAGCTCCTTATTGCCAAATAATGCATGCTCAATGGTATTGACGCCAGAATTAACAGCCATCATAGCTCCCTCTAAAGTGTTTGCATGGCAACTCACTGGTATCTGTCCAAGTTTCGCTTCTTTCACAATCATATCCATCTCCTCTTGTGCAAAGACAAGCACGTCAGGATTTGGTTCCGCAGGAGGGTGTAAAGCGCTGTGAATATATGGATGTTGCTGAGTGGGTGGGTAACGCATCATTCGTCGTCGATAGTCCGCATAAAATTTAATAATATCAGCACCTGCTGCAATACGGCGCCGAACTGCTCTCTGTGCCTCATCAACCCCATCAATCACTTCACCTCCTCTGGGAAGGCAGACACCATTTGCGTGGTTCTCAGTACGAGGCTCATACGACCCAGTGCTAGCGAGTGCACGAGTAGCTACAAATAAACGAGGACCGGGAATCAAGCCACGGTTAATGCAGTCTCGTACCTGGGCGTCAGATTCTTGCATCGACTCAGATCCCAAATCACTAAGTTACTTAGCAGTGGCAAACTACATGAGTCACATTTTTGCGAAAATGGATCCTCACCGGTAGGTTGTATATCCAGAAAGTAATGCCGTCCGGCAGTGGCTGACTGCACGAATTATTCGCTCAACAATACTCTCATCGCGCTTCTGAACTAAGGACGAACGCTCCCTATGAACTTTTAATAGAGGCGCAACAGCTATATTATCACAGATATTCCCTTACTCGTAAGAATGGACGAAGATGTGAGTATGTGCGTCCACAAAACCGGGAAATACGGTTTTGCCTCGGAGGTCGATATCTCCCGGAGGAACAGAGGCCCCAAGGGATGTTGGTGTCCGCTTGGAGACTTCGACAATGAGCCCGGATACTGGGTCAACCGTTATTGAGATATCAGACACAAATGCCTTTATCTTTGGGTCGAATAGTGTCGAAGTGTGAATGGAATATGGCGCTGCCATGATTGCTTGGTCGTCTGCAATATAATTGCGAATTTCTTTTTCATCGAAGAATCGTCTCAAAGAAAGTCTACCCTTTTATGATTTTTCAAGAAGGCTGAAGAGGTGTAAAATTTTCGCCACCTACAAGCTTGTCCACTACGATTACTTTTCTCCTCATCAAAGGGGATCCATTGACCGCTTGGTAGAAAGGACATCCCATCTTTGCTCGCTAGACCCCGTTGTTTGATATATGTTATGTCCAATCAATGTATAGGGTCTTGTGTTGTTGGTAGATAGTGTTGCGGGTTTCAGCGAGTCTGGCACTCCTAAACTCGCTCTCTTCCGCGATCAAGCGGACACGTTAAACGGCCCAAGAAAATCTAAGTTTCAGCATAAATCTTCTCAACTAGGATAGATCCGCATTTTAATTGAAAATACGGCCAACAAGGAATAACTCATTCGTTACGATCGAAGACTAGCAACTAGGGGCACTCTAGGACACTCATTGGTTGCGTTAAGAAATTATAATCGACCAAAATAACGCCAAATTCGGAACGCAAAAATTACTAGATAATTCCACGTTTTCGACAAGGTCAATTGCGTTCATATTTGAAAAATATGACATCAATGCAGAGACTATTTGATAATTATGCCCTTCGATATTCCGTAAACAGTCCACCTTGCTGTCCGTTATGTTCCATTCGGTATAAAATTACTTCTACAGTTAGCTTGTTTCTGTACTTTCTACCACCATTTCCGTCTCAAACTTCTTCAAACAGGGGAGGCTTTTTCCAAATCGCGCCAGAGCTCCAGGCCAAACTCGCGCGCCGTCAACGAATTTCACAGTCTCGATAGTGGGGAAGAGCTTCTATTAACAGTTTGATCGTTAGCGCTTTTTCCCATCTTGTACGGATTTTTCAAGGCCTTCTTTTGAGGACTTTTGAGGTAAATTATACAAATTTAGCTACCAAAAAAGTCCGAATCACTCACAGGAATCTGCTCAAAAACTCTATCCCACTGATCTTGCCTGACGTAATTATCGTGGTTAGGATTATACTCTCCATAATCCGGATCGAATTCAACAATCCTCAGATTTGGGAACCGGACAGTTGGAACCAAGGTCGACGAAAACGGACAAAATAAGCGCAACCATTCCAGTTTCGAGAAAACGACGCCGTGGAAACGCAAATAAAAGTCATTTGTACTGTCTTCTTCGTGGAGGGTGCGCATATTAGCGCGTTTTATTATATGAGCGTAAATCTGTGCGCGAGATGGGTCGTTAATGCCTTTGAAGCAGGTGGTTATTTGAGCATCGACGCGTTCCCATATGAATCGCAATGCTTCTTGATGCCAAAGTCTGTTGACCATGCAACATCGAAATAACACGCCTAATTTGCCATAATAGTAGAATTTGGCGGGGTCTCTGTCGTAGAGCCAATCTCCAGCGCCGTCGTATGTGCGGACTTATACCATCATTAGATTCTATCCGTTTGTTATGTTGAAACAAGCGTACTGTTGTTATCTTGATTAATCCAATGGAATATTTCGCCAACTATCTCTGGCAATGAAAGGGCTTGCTGGGTCGCTATTTTTTCAACTTGGTCGCTATTACGATCGGCCATGTTCGATCGAATACTGTAATTTGAAATAGCGGTCCTACTTGGTAACATCGTAACAGTGGGCGACGCGTCCCGCTCTTAAATTAGAGAGTTAAACTGAGCCGCACCATGCTACTTGAGACTACTGAATCCGATAAAAGAGCCACGTGACATTTGTTTAAGAATGACCACGAAAAAAAGTATTTTTTGTTACAAGCTTCATATATTTGATGGTCTAGTCGCTACCTTCCAGTTTCTTGCAATAAGAGATCATTCCCAATAACAGCCTTCAGATTTTAGATACGATAAAGGGAGTAGGCTGGATACCACACATAATGCAAATGCGAACGTAAATAAAGGTTAATCGGAAGCAATAAAGTGAAAACGATAAATAATATCGTTCGGTAAAGATTAATTATTAAAGTCATCAAAGTTTACATTACAAGGACAAAGGGCCCGGGCGAGCCCTTGATTCCGTGGTGGACGACAATATACACTTATCCACACAACGAATTAGAGTAGAAGTAAATAGAATAACAATGCATGTGAAAACGTATCCAGCGCCATACAAGATGCAGTAGAACTGTAGTCTGAATCAGGGTATCAGGTTTGTACATGTCGATGATATGACTATGGTTTACTAAGTTGTTCTTTGCGGAAAAACAAGAAAAAGCCGCCACTATGCGAGACATTAGCATTTTTCCAATTCATGTTCTGTTGGCGAATTGACTTACCAAATGAGAATTTGAAAGAATAAACCAACCCAGAACCACGGCACCCATATATTACTGATACCTGTTCCTATATCAGGCGAGATATCTCCTGGCCCGATTTTGTTTGGCGCAGCAGCACGGGCGACTATCGTGGCAATAGAGCCTAGAACTTGAGCTCCGAGTAGAACAAAACATATGTGCAATCGAGTGAGTGTTTGTAATAAAATCATACCGAAGCCGACACCTTGAAGAGAGTCGAGAACGCCGAGCCACAGCCACAAACTTCGAGAAACCAAAGCTCCCGAGACATAACTGCTTACCCATGGAATGTACTGGCCCACGTTGGATGTTCCCCACCAAATTTGGGCCCATCGAGGAGCACCGAGGCCGATAGCGAATACTGGTAAGATCCAGCTATGGGATTTTGACAGGTAACACATAATTCCCAATAAAACACTCCATACAACAACGAAGAAGAGAATCACCAGGAGGACGATCTCCCAGGCTGAGGCGTGGTTGGAGCTCCATAGGAAACTCCAGTTTCGCCCATATGGAGCAGAAAGAAAGAAATTTTGTATGATGACCGCGACAAAAAACCAGAGAATAATCTTTCGCCGGTAAACCGACTTATAGAATGAGGCGACTTTGCCTGGTGTTTGCCGGTAATAGTCTGGCAAACCGAAAACTAACAAAAGCCCTATGGACCAAAGAAGCATAGCAATTGGAACCGTAATAGCTGTGATCTTCCAGCTGTTGATAATTGGCTGAATGTTGGTAATGCCAGCCTGTGTTTGCTTTGATAAGGAAGAGCCCCAGTACCATAGAGCAACGACGTACAACTGCTGAGTTCCCTGTATAACACAAGCTCGGAAAACCCAGTCCTTCACGGGCGCACCACTCTCGTCGCCGAAGTTAAGCGAAAAGAAAATAGAGCCGCTAGATGATGCAGTAGCGTAAACACCACTTGCGACATTCTGAATCCAAGCACGGTTATTCGAGTTGTGTTCAACATGTGCCACACCGATTAGAATGAATGCAAGTCCGTAAAAGAACCACGGAGTAGACAAAGCAACAACAGATTTGAAGCTTCGAAATACAAACCACCATGCTATAGATGTGATCAAGTATGTGGTGGCAATTGCATATAGCTCTTGCGGAGTTTGGCCAATTGCTCCTGTTAGTAGAGTAATCTGATAAGAATTGGCAGCGATGATCTGTCCAAGACCTAGAAATAGCGAGTAAACCGGCCAGTCTCCGATACGGAGCTGCATCCACTTTTTGAGGCCCGTCGGAGGTTTGTAATCAGCCCCAAGTAAAAATTCATCTGTATCTTTTTGAATATCACTATTGCTGTCTATATTCGACACAGATCCCGTAGGAGACACAAGCCGCCCCTTGCCTTTGATCGATGGAACAGGCGAAGAGTCTCGACCGAGGCGAGCGGCACGGAATCTCTCAAACCATTTCTTCTCACTCTTGACTAAGTATTCTTCTATACACAGCTGCGAGTCCGAGTTAGAGCCACTTAAGTCCTCTAATTTTTTCTCAAAGGCCCGATAGAATTCTCCGGTGCTGTCAGTAAAGAAAGGATCAACCTTCTGTAATTTGAAAGTCTTCTTATCGCCTACCACTGTGTCTAGAGAAAGCACAGAAGCATTACTCAAGCGATTTTCCGGTTCAACAAATGGCCGGCTTGGTGGTACTAAAGTGTCCTCCATATCTGGGGTGCTAGGCGAAGAAAACACAGATGGATAGAAGGTGCTATTTCGTCGCAATTCTGAGCCCAAGACTTGCTGGCTAGTCCTGGAGCTATGCCCTGTGAAAGAGCGGTGTGGTTCCATTTCCAATCGCCGACCGATTTCAGCTTGTTCCAGAGTCATGGTGTATTCATCTTCTATAAAGTAAGCTTGCAAATTCTCATCCTCGCTTTCATAGTCAGCTTCACGTTCACTGTCCATGTCCTCAGAGGATACGGTGTGGCTTTTTGGACGGAGACGATTACGTCTTTCAATAACCACACTGTGACCAGGACCTGACCTGACACCCAGAGACAATTGTCGGCTAAGAGAGGTTCTTGTTTGACCCTCCACTCCGGGAGTTGGCTCATCATTGTAGACTATCGTGTTTCTCTGCTGGGGGCCGACAATACTGTATCTAAGACTTGGATAATTCATACTCTTAGGCTCGAGTATCGGCGGTGTCTGCATGCCAAATGATGTTCTGGATCCAGATGCTAGTATCCCAGGGGCGCTTGCCCCACTTGGTGTACGATATCCTGTTGGCGTAGATAGCTGTCCGTTAGACTTGACCACTTCTTTTGTATGAATCCTAATAGCGGTGCTTTGCAAAATCTCCAGATCCTCGACCCATTGAGCCACGGGAAACCGTTGTTTGGCAGATCTAGCACGCATTTCTGCCCGGACTTTGACTTTTGAGTTCAAAGCGCTGTCAATTGCCAACTTGAACTGGTGGAGTAGATGAGACGTTGTGGTAGACTCAACAGTATACCACCAACCCGGCATTTGACCCAAGCCACCTACACGAGCCCCAATACCCAAGGCCCCCTTACGGCCAAACTCGACTGCCACCAGACCGAATGGTTCATCACGAGATGGAATCAGAGCAAACTCCGCTCCCGAGAAGATACACGGTGGTAATGCCGTGAACTGCGGTCGAGAGTACACCCTCCCAGGGTACAGCTGCATCATGCGATCTAATTTCAGTGCAGCAAATTTACCATATAAATCAATAACAGGCCCAACACAAATAAGTTGGACATTGGGCCGTGAATCAAGAACAGCGGGCATGACATCAGCAATTAGATCTATACCTTTTTGCATTGACCATCTGCCCACGAAGACCAGTAGGTCGGCATCCGGGTTCTGTTCCAGACCGGCCCATTCTTGTGCTTGACGTTTGAGCTCTGCTCTTGCAGATTCGAAGTCGACATCAATCGAGATTTCATTGTCTTTCGGAATTTTTTTGTCCCACACTGCGGTGTCAGATGGGTCGGGATTGGGTAGATTTCCAACTTTCTTAAGACCCCAGAAAATTGGATAGCGGGCGTAAGATCGTTTGCCGTATTTTTTAGAAACACCTACAGCACCGAAGCCTTGTTGATGAACACGAAGATAGCTAGCTCCTGCGTGCAGTAAATTGAAAACTTCACCGAACTGAACATAGCGTGTAGCTACGTCAACATCGAGGTTGAACACGGAACAGACTTCGTCTTTCTCTATTTGCGTTCGCATTGGCCAAAGTCCCTGAAATTCTGCATTGTGAAGTGACAGGCAAGAGGGAATGGTCTGTGGTAAAATATACAATGGAGCCAATGAGCCGTGATAGTCGTTAATATGGTAGAGGTCAATCGGGAATCGCTTCATTGCTTCTGCTATGCATTGATTCCAGGCTGAGTAGTAGATAGCACTGTCCAGGTCATCCATTCGCGCAGGATAAGGTTCTGTTTTGCTCTGTTGGCGGAAAACCGGAGCATCAAGGAGAACGTAAGTAATATTTCGCAGGACGTGATATTGAACCTTGACCTCGTAGGAGTTTCCAAGAACAGTCACAAACATGGGTTCCGCAACTTGATCTTCAGGATAGTCAACGTCTCCTACACAAGGAACAACCCAGATGAGGTCTTGGTGGCTAAGATTCTTCCCCATCAATTGAGCCATGACTCCAAGACCACCAATCTTGATCTTGATTTCCCAATCTTCAATATCGTACTCCATGGTAGCAATCATGACCATTCGACGGCAGTTCCCATTGGCTGCACCATTAAAAGCCGATGTTGTCTGAAGGAACCCGGATTTGTTGGCTAATCGCAGAAGAGGATTCGTCACCTCTTTGTCTACGGCGTTGCGCCGCTTTAACCTTCTCCGTAATACTAGAGGTAAAATTGCCTTCTTTTCAGTGACACCTAAATGATTTAATTTAACTCGGTAGAATGACTTCATAAAAATCCATGTACCAAAAGATGCGGTCAAGATTGGAAGTATCCAGAATAATGAGAATAGGATGATCTGAACCTTCTCAGAACCCACTGGAATGAGCTCAAATCTCTGGGTTCCATCGTTAATCTTAACCTGCCACCCAAGATAGGGACGCGGTGGTGGATTTGTGATGTTAATGCTCACTGACGATAGCGATGATGGAGGAAGACGGTCTAGTACCGAATCGCCGTCAGCATCTCCGAATACGAAGCCCTGATCTGGCCGACCATCGGGATTGATTCCCCATACGTTAACCTGTCCTTGAGCTGGCCATTCTGTTAGGAACCCAATCTTCCAAAGCCCATCGCTAGGATCCTGTGACATCTCATTTTTAAGTCCGGCATCGAATCCGTATTGGTTGTAGGGGCCGTTCCAAAAAAGATGGGGGAATCTTCTAGGGAACTGAGAGTCCCAGCTAGTGTCACCCTCCTGAACATAGTCACTGCTACCAGACATTCTGTTAAAATACTCCACGCGTACATGCTTTCCAGGCCATTCTTGGGTTGAGGTCCCAGACCAAGGCAGCTCGCTGATGGTATTATTTCCACCTTTATATGGCATCCAGGTTGAGAAAGAAGAACCCCAATTCGTAGAGTGGCGCCACATGTCTGCGCCAGCGGCATGGTGCTGTACGTAGAGAGTTCCATTATCGTCCCTATGAAGAAGGCTGGTGGAGTAATTGGCGGTATGGAAGATCATAGGGTTATCTTGTTGACCTACTCGTAGCAGAAAGTGATCAATAGCGTTTGATTGGGTATTTTTCAAGCTAGTTGCATTGGAAACAGTGATTCTATGGATCCCATTATAGACGTTGTCCATTGATGCTCTCCAAACCCACGAGCTCGGAATTTCTCCGATGAACCTCCTACCGCCTGGAGTCACATTCTCGCAATGAACATTGGCCTTGTTTAAAGTGGCGGTAATTTCAAATTCAGTTGTAGAATTAATCGAAATGGATTCCGTCACTGATTCACAACTCATTTCTTCCGAAAAGTATATTTCGATTGGAATTGATTCTGGCTTATCCGGAGCGACATTTGAGAGGATACGTGCGTCATGGCCGGGGGTGAAGCCTGTGATCATGGGATTTGGTCCTACCCATGTCTCCTTCGGTACGTATGCTCGGAAGTCCCAGGGTACCATTGTCAAGTTATCAAGACAGCCATTGTTTCCGGTTGAGCCATCAATTCCCAATCTGGCGGGAGAAGCCTGCAGGCTTTGTTCATCGTAAGGATAAAACAAGTTTTTAACCGTGGTACCGGAGTCGAATGGAGCAATCAAAGAGGTATTTGTATTGTTGGTACTGCAGTCGAATTGATAGTTCACCGTGACGTTATCGTTCTGGTAAAGAAGCCAGACAGACTGGTTATTGACCAGATCTTGTATTCCTTCAAAACGACCGCGTAGGACAGACCACATCCCTGTTTCTGTAGGAGTGCCGTTGGAACCAGTTAGAAAGACATCATGGGTTTGTTTTGAAAGGGATTGCAAGAAGTAGCCGTCGTTCAACACAGGGTAGCTTTGTCGTAGTTGAAACATATGCTTAAGCACGTTTCGTATTGGATGCGCAGGATTTCGGTGGTCGTATGTTACCGAGATGTCTTCGCAGCCATTGAGCGCACTGTCCAGAGGGAAATCGAAATATTGGGTAACGTTGATTTTGAAGCATCCGTGTGACCACCACGCTGTAGCCGGAGACATTGATTGACGACCATAAATATAATTGTCTGCTGTAGCGTCCAGAATGTAGAAGCCCTGCTCCTCTCCCCACAGTACAAGAGGCGCACCAGGCATATGGAGAGTCGTTATAAACATCCCTAACAGCATCCTCTCGGTACCACTTTCGATAGCTGGCCAACGAAAAACGTCCTGGTTCGTTGTGCCATACAAATGACGGGGGTCAAATTTCCCAGTGTTCGCATTCACAAGATCGTTTGACAAAAGCATAAGGTTCCACATGGTCACCCAATCTGTGGGCAAATCATATCCAGCAGCAAGGTTTCCATCGAGCCCTAAAAATCGCGTCAGAGTGCGATATACCGAATAATGAAAGGCAGCCCCGTCAATAGCCTGTTGTCCATCTCCGCGAATGAAGTATTTGTCCGAAGATTCGTTTGTCATTTGAATAGCATCCTGGATGTCGGCTGGCTGCATATCCGGCTGTCTTCCTCTGCCAATATAGATAGAGCCGAAGGTATTCCCGCCTGTGACCTCCCCAGACAAGAAGAAATTATTTTTTCCATGAGCCCTGGCGCACTGCCGCCAGCTTTCAGACATGTCACCCAACGCATCAACAGTTGCCTGAGTAGCCTTATCGAAACGGAAGCCATCGATGTCCAGGGATGCGATAATGATGCACGCATGGCGAATAAGTTTCTCTCGAACAGACGGGACCCATTCTCGTAGGCGATCTTGAACTGAAGCAAACTTTGCCAGCTCACGCTGGTAGTCGGGGAAAACACCAAAGGCTTCAACGTCACCGAATTGGTCGAAGTCGCTTTCATAGCAACCATGAAATTGACCATACACAGAGCTGTCCACAGGATAACCGGTCTCGTTATAAAAGCGAGGGTAGATGCAACTCTCATTAAATGTGTTGCTATATGCAAAATCGATATACTTGCGGGATGTCTTGTATTGTACTTGATATTCCTGAAACGAAAAGGGAGCAGAGCTATTGAGGTAACCATCAAAACCGAGAAGGTCCCCCATGCTTTAGAAAGAGCAACACTAGTCAGCTGCTTTCATAGTCCAACATCATTCGGATTGAATTACTTACGTTGCCAATGTATTGTCAAAAATAACATACATTCCACGCTTGTGAATCTCTGTTATTGCTGACCTCCATGTCGCAAGGTCGCCGTAGTGCTGATCAAGTAAAGTTGTGTCAAGAGCGGAATATCCATCAAACCCCCATGGCTGATTCATAAGTACAGTACCTGCCAGATAGATAGCCTATCATTAAAAGCTGGTCAGCAATAGCTCTATATTTTGAATTCAACGTCGAGTACCTTGATTCCCATTCCTTGAAGGTAATCCAACGTGTCAACCATTCCTAATACGTCCCCTCCATGTCGCATTTGTGTTGAAGAAAGATCATGTTCGTAATTAGTACCATTGATATTGTCGTTACTGGGATCGCCATTCACAAATCGATCAAGGAAAAGGGTGTATATGGGGAAACGCCAGTTTTCTGGGGACGGATGATACTGGTGATTGGGCCACTGTCCCCAGTAATCTGCGGGTGTGCTCGCTGTTTTGTTTTCGTTGAGGTTGTAGTCGACCAGATCCTCGTCATATGGCCACGCAAATGACGCTGGCGCCAATAATGCGAGCAGAAGACCAGCTGCCGCCCACATTGTGATGAGTGGCGGTTGTAGGAGAGGTGAGGATTTATATATAGTACATGTGTGATTTGTTCTGGGTTGGTCGGAATGCAATGTTTGCTGAATGGTAGTCGATGTTCGAAACTACAAAACACTGCACAAAGTAATCTCTGATACGAAAAGATAATCACCCAAAATTTCTTTTCCAGAGAAGCGCGGCTGTTGTTCTTCCAGCGTTTAGAAAACAACTAGTTGAGCCGAGACAGGTTATTGGATGAGAATAAAAAAGGCAACAAATACGTATCAGTGAGAATAGCACTTGGACGAGGACAGCGGTGGTTATCAGGACGAAGAGAGAGGGAAGTGACACGAGCAGTGGATGCTTGGTGTGGGTTGGCAGGGAGAAGGTAGAGAGGGCAGAGAGGGAAGGAGCAAACAGGGAGACTCCACAGTACAGCGCCCGGCGGTACAGTCTCTGCGCCCTGGTTGTGACCACTGTAGACCTTAGGGATATGTTCTTGCTCTCTAAGGATAAAGGCTAGAAAACGGGCTGTCCCCTGTGTACGAAGGATAGGTGGGTGTTGACGTCTATCTACCCCTGCGGCAGGACACTCACTTATGGTCCCTATTTTCACACTCCATCACGGACGTCATTTGGTTTCATGCTAGGCTTTTACAAGGGCCACCTAAGCGCCTTTAGAAGGTCCGGAATGACACCCAATTGGGACACTAGAGATCGAAACTTGCTTATTCGACTTCTAACTACGGCCAGTGGGGCGGTTGTGCAGAGTATTTTTAGGGCTTCCGGCGATCCATGCGGCTGCGAAGAACATGTACTGAATTCTAGGAATGTATCAAGACCGAGTCAAGCGACTGGATACTCAATTACATCCAATCCTTTCTAAGATATACTAATTGCAGTAGTCATGACCAGGTCTTAATCTCATTAGAATCGGCTACATTGTGACATATACCATGGATACATCAACAACAGATGATCTATGGGTCCTCTCAATTCAACATTTAAACATGAAAAGCTAATCCAGCTAGAAACACAAAAAATAGTCGACTAGCAAACCGAAATGAGAATAGACTCGGATAAGCTGAAATATTGTTATTGGACATGGAAGATAGATTAAAAACAGGCCACAGCGTGATCGTTATTTGTCATCTGACTGGTGAGCTGCAGCATGGCTCGACGCAGCGACAACCCAAAAACCTTTCGGACATATCTCTGTTTCACAATGTCCGCTTACGCTAGTATGAGCGTCGTCAGCATATGCGCATAAAAATATATATGCGACACCAAGCACACAGTACAGCACAGTTCCGATTTGATGGTGGCTGTGAGCACAAATTGAAATATCAACCGACAGCCTTCAAATTCGAGGCCAAAGCCACCTGGCAACCTTCACACCCCTTTATCGTACCGTTTTCATAGGGATAATAAAACGTTGAGGTCTTTCCAAAACTCCGACTCTGCAAAAGCGTAATCGCTTTACCCTGACCTTTCTGCCTTACGGCTCGAAGGGACCGACATCCCTATCATTCATCAGAAAACATGTATCAGAGGCCACAGCTATCTAATTAAGAGCAGCAGCCAGTAATCATTAAAAGAAAGCGATCGAATCATTGTCCACAACTCCGATATTAGCCTCTTCTTGTCGATCAGGGCGGAAGTACCCCTTGCGTCGATCAACGAGGCGAAACGCGCCGTCTCAGGTACATGGGTATAGATAGAACAGGTAATATTCGGATCTCGATGGCTAGCAAAGAGTAGATGACGCTCGGTTAGCTGCTGCATACTATGATGCAATTGAAAGCTCATTCTTTTCGATACAGCCCCGACGAACAAAAACCCCTGACCCTTAATCTCAGCGGCCAGCACGTACAAACAACGGACCATACGCTAGGCATCCATCCAACAAAGAGAAGTTCCCAGGACGGATTCCTTTTCCATACAGCCTGATCAATACCCCCAGTCTCAACAAGGGAACAATTGCGTCGCGTTCAAAAGCCGTCGGAACATAGATCTAGATCCACATTCCTGACTCGGTGGGTCTTAGACTTTTGTGTTTGACAGCAGATCGCCCTAGCTCAGAGAGCTCTAGTATCCGACGACATGGACGTCCATTGGCCAGCTACCACCAGCCTCTCTAAATCCCCCCCACTTGGCTCACCCAAACTTGCTGGGTTAGCGTCTGTTCCCTGCAGAAGAGCCTCCAGGAACAGCCATTGGCTCAGCTTCCCTTGCATCATGCCTCGCCCATTGCGCTGGTTGCACCTGGACTGGCGCAAGGCTCCGCTGGTGAATCCCTTTTCTTTGACAGGTTACCCCTTTGCTTCATCACAGCATATGGACAAGGTGGATTTTCCTCACTAGGCCCTATTTCGCCCATGTAAATTCATTGGGCTTATATCCGTCTTCTGAAGCGACTGTTATACTAATTACAGTTGGTACATGTTCTGCGGATTGCTTGTTAGGGTATTCCATTTCTGCATTGATCTTTAGGGGTCGGGCCAGCTTGAGGCTCAAGCTCCCATCCATTGACGAAGAACATGAAGATGTTGTTCTCACCGCTATTATTCAAAGATCTGAACAACATATTAAATACCTGGGTGTTATGATAATAAAAATGTTATCAATGATATGGGGAATAATATCTGCTAAACTATTTACACGAAACTAGTACGGCACTCGATTTACAGCCAGATATGCCTGCAATTACTTTATATCTTCAAATACAAATTTCCATTCCCAATTTCAACCAGCACATCGTAGGTATCTATAAATGTCATGATCTCTCTATTCGGCTTGGTACTTGGCCCGATATTCTTCCAGTCTGCGTACTTCATGCTCACCAATTTTATCGCCCAACTTCTCAATCAGATCTTGGAACACTAGCACTGCGCGAATAGGGATATCCCCACCAAGATCCCTCTCAGCAGCACCTATAGCACTCTTCCGCTCTGTATCACTGACGCGTTCTTGGCGATCGAAGAGCAAGACAACGCCAGCAACTTTGCCGCCTTCTTTCTTAATTATCTCGACAGCTTCGCGCAACGCAGTTCCTGCGGTGATCACATCGTCGACTATAAGCACGCGTTTGCCCTTGAGCGGTGCACCAACAATGTTGCCTCCCTCGCCGTGGTCTTTGGCTTCTTTCCGGTTGAATGAGTAGCTGATGTTGTCCCACGTCGATGTACCGGCGAGCGCATCCCGGACAGCGAGTTCATTGACTACACCTACACATTCTGGAATACCCTTGTAAGCAGGGCTGATATCCGTCAGCATATCGCATGCTCTCTTCCATGGAGCTATTGGAACTCTACCCGAAAATGATATCAAAGTTTGGCGTGATGGCTCCGTCAGCAGCTACCGATGCGAACGGTGGCAATGAAATAACATTGGCAAACGAGGCCGAAGTCTGGCGCAACAGGGGAGCAGTGTGCAGTCGACTGGACGTCAGGAAGTATGGAGATTCACGACCAGATTTCAAAGTGTAAGTGCCAAATGTGAGGGCATTGTTGGCCACGAGCAAGTTCAACAGACTAGACTTGTAGTCCTGGTCGGGAGTCACAGCGGGGGACATTTTGTCTTCGTAAATCCCGGTTCTTGTGTGGTATGCGACGTAATTCGACCTAATCGATATAGGATGAACCTGTATGCCTCCTCACTGGTAAAATTTTGGAGGGGATAATGCGCTAAGCGCGGCCAATCTGCCGGGCGGAAACGGTCTGATTGGCACGTTGGTGGCCTCAGGCACCGCGACCGGTCGCTCACCGAGTGGCAGAATAACTATTCTGCAGTCGGATTCTACTTCCCCTCTTCTTGAATATACTCATTTGCCATTATCTGTGCTCGGAATTTACTCATTACTGGGTAAGTAGCAACTCCTCCCCTGCTCTACCTCGTCGTCCTCTCTTTCCATGGAGGGGCAGCACTCTCCCACCATTAGCGGGGTTTGCTGGATCAGGATTAGCGCCTTTTCTCCGGACTCCGATAAAGGCGCCTAGGGCCTTTTAGAGTACCGTGATGGCGCCGGCGACGAGCACTTTCTTCGTTAATCTTCTCGCATGTTATTCTCCGAGCCTGTCACTCTTGTACCAGACCGTCTGGGTGTTTTCTTGTTTTATTATATACCTTATGACCTTTTGCACGAAAACTGACTTCTACGTTACTCCAGTTCAGCCATTGGAGTTCTAACTCCTACTAATTACACTGCCTGTTACACTTTGCGAGCTTGGCCATAGCTCCTCGACACTGTCTCTGTTCAATTGAGCGCAGTCTTGTATTACTCTACTGCTTTCTCTCGCTTTGGCCGATTCTCTTTTATCGACCTCGGGAGTTGATTTATCGATATTGTCGTCATGCACGTGGGACTCAAGCTACAGGAACAGGAGAGTTCCGGGCGGCCTGGAATCTCCTTCGAGTATTTCCCGCCCAAGACAGCTCAGGGTGTTCAAAACTTGTACGATCGCATGGACCGCATGCACGACCTCGGACCGGCTTTTATCGATGTTACCTGGGGTGCTGGCGGCAGTCGGTCTCAATTAACCTGTGAGATGGTCCGCATCGCACAGACCGTTTTTGGGTTGGAGACGGTCATGCATTTGACTTGCACCGACATGCCCCGCGAGAGCGTTGATGAGGCTCTGGAGGCTGCATACAATGCCGGATGTACGAACATACTAGCTCTTCGTGGTGATCCTCCGCGTGAACAGGAAAAATGGGAGGCTGCAGAGGGTGGATTCCGGTACGCGAAGGACTTAGTCAAGTATATTCGCGAGAAGTACGGGAACCACTTTGATATTGGTGTTGGGGGATATCCAGAAGGAGCCGATGACAACCCAGACGTGGATCAACTGATCGATCATCTGAAAGAAAAAGTCGACGCAGGAAGCTCGTTCATCGTGACACAAATGTTCTATGACGCGGATAATTTCTTAGAATGGGTACGGAAATGCCGTGCTAAGGGTGTCAACGTTCCTATTATTCCCGGGATCATGCCCATTTCGACGTACGATGCCTTTATCCGTCGTTCGAAGTGGACCAAAATTCATATCCCGCCTGACTGGCTGGAGACTCTAGAACCGGTGAAAAATGATGATGCTAGGGTTCGTGAAAGAGGCACCAAACTAGTCTCAGAATTGTGCCGGAGGTTGCTAAGCTCTGGCCACATCCACCACCTTCACTTGTAAGACGCACTGTAATAAAAACTAGAATGACCTACTAATTCTTTCAACAGTTACACTATGAACCTCGCGCAAGCATCTCGCATGATTCTCGATGAACTGAAGCTTGTTCCATCCTTGGAAAGCCCCTTGCAAAAGCCTCTTCCCTGGCGTAAATCTCTCGGCCTTCACCGCCGGTCTGAAGATGTGCGCCCGATCTTCTGGAGGAACAGACATCAGTCATACATTGCGCGTACTGCCGACTGGGATGAGTACCCAAACGGACGTTGGACCGATGCCAGATCACCCGCTTTTGGTGAGTTGAACGCTTACGGCGTCAGACTCAAGGGCACCAATGACCAGAATATCAAGCTTTGGGGCCGGCCCAAATCGATTAAAGACCTGTCTGAGATTTTCATTCGCTACTTGGATGGCAAACTAGACAGACTACCTTGGAGTGACGCCCCTATCACTGCCGAGGCAGATTCCATCAAGCAAAATCTTATTGAACTCAACCAACGCGGTTTCCTGACCGTGAACTCCCAGCCTGCTGTGAACGGAGTCAAGTCTTCGCATCCCGTGCACGGCTGGGGCCCTCGCAACGGTTACGTGTACCAGAAAGCATATTTGGAATTACTAGTTCCCCCAGTTCTCGTGGACAACCTCTTAGCCCGGATTGAGAAGAATAACGATCTCACATATTACTGCGTTAACAAGTCCGGAGAGCTACGGACACGAACTGACGAAGGACCGAACGCAGTTACATGGGGAATCTTCGCATCCAAAGAAATCATCCAACCTACTATTGTCGAGAGTGTGAGTTTCATGGCTTGGAAGGACGAAGCATACCAACTTGGAGAGGATTGGGCAAAGTGCCACCCCGCGGACAGCCCCAGCCGTAAACTCATTCAACAGATCATGGATGAATGGTATTTGATCAACATTGGTAAGAACAGAAATCTCCGATTTCAGATAATAGTCATGCTAATCTACTAATAGTCAACAACGACTTCCACAAAACGCACGACCTATTCCAGCTATTCGATGGGCTTGCTATTAAAGACCTCGATGTGGAAGTCCCAGGCATAAATCCTGAGGCAGGCAGAACAACTCAACCTATTCCACCTGCAACTACTACCGCGCAATCATAGTTCAACACTCGAATTTCTATCGATTTCATCGATAGAGGGACCAGAATAAGTGGCATTATTTACATGGCGTTTTTTCGATTTCATATTCAACAAAAGAGAAAAAATAAAAGGACTGGAGGTGGCACAGATTACTACTGATGACTTATGAAATTCAACATTCAATACCATTCAACATGCATATATAGATCCGAGACAACGATCTGGAGTCGTTGGGAAATGTGGAAAAGTTAATTTCTTGCCTCTTTTTTCACCTTGTTTCGTTTCTTTTATTTTTTTTTCTCTCTGCTTTTTCATAGTGTTTATGACGTGATGACTCTTGTTTTCGATATAAAGATACCTCAACTGCATCTTTCATCTTTTTCACATTCTTCTTTTACCTTTCTGTATTTCTTTTCCGGTGGAGAGCCTTTTACATGTCTTTTTACATTTTTTGCTTTTTACATTTTTTGCTTTCGGAAACCATGTTCTAATTCAACATTCAACATCCATACATCTGTCATTGGTATAATTACCAGAGATGTCACCCGATAAGAGGGGGGGAGAGATAGGAAATACCATACTTTAAATCTGCGATAGCAGTATATAACCAAAATATCCACAAACATTTCACATCTATAGCAGTTGACAGAAGACGCTCAACAAAGTTACAAGTATATCAATCACCAATCCTTCAGCACCCTCTTGGCCTTTCCCTCCAACGCCTCTTGCACATATTCATCAAATGATCTATACGACACTTGATCCGGATAGAGCTCCCTGCAGTCCAAGTACCCTAGATATTTGGCGAACTCAGGTCGATTATCGCCCCGAATACCCCACGAATAGAAATACTCCCCCATAGCCAAAGCAAACCCAGCATTTATATCTCCTGGACTTTGCTTCCAAGCTTCCGTGAGAGTCTGAACTGTGTTGATAGCCTCTTCCTCAGAAACCTTACATACGATTAGTCATTAGCCTGCATATACGAAAACAATACTCTACAAAATAAACCATGAACCAAGCGGAGAACTCACATAACGCCTCTCCATCTCCTCACCACTGCGCCGCTCCAGAATATCATATACCTGATTCCTCGTCAAAACCTCATTATACGCAAACACCTTTCTATTCAGCGTCCGCGGATCTGCAATGATCTTTGCGACCCATTTCCCTATATCCCCGACATGCGTCATCGCACTTGACACATTACCATCCAACCCAAGATCCCAGGTTGGCTTCAGACTTGGAATTATGCAGTAATCAAGTCTACCAGATGGAACCGGCGGGAGTGTAACCTCATACCACCATCCGACGTCAATGAAGGTATACGGGAGACCTAGCATGAGGACATGGCTGAGGATTTTCTCCTTCTGCAGTTATTTCATATTAGCCAGTATTGTGGATGGGGAATATTCCGAATTGTTTGGTTTGATACGTACAAGTTCTCGAGCTACCATGACTCCAGCGGGGGGGATAACAGGTGCCCAACCAGAGGGCACAAACCGCTTTACACCGGCACGTTTGGCGGCATTGGCAAGCGGGATTTCCTGTTCGATACTTGCAAAGCTGATTGTTGATATTACAACGTCATGGCCACTTAGGGCAATGATTAGCTCATCTTGCGGTCCTGTGAGAGACGCAGAGATGAGGTTTACACCGCGGTTCTGAAGATCAACATTGGCGGGCTTGGTTAGTGACGAGGGTCGCACGATGGCGGAGATTTGCTTAGGGAATTAATATTCTTGTTTTAGTATCTAACGTTTGTAAATGCAGAAGTTAGAGGGTTCATACGAATGTATGTTCTGATTCGAGAAGACCGTTCACGATTGACTGCCCAGTCTCACCCGCTGCGCCAACCAGGGCAACCTTGATGGTTGCCATTCTTTGTTGAGAGGTTAATCAGGTGTTTACCATAATGTGGATTGAAGAAAGTAAGCATTAGTAGTTGGAACAGATTAGGATGCATTGATAATGGTGATGGTTACAATGGTTCAATATTGTTATCCCACCGCTGACAAATATCCCACTTTGTACCGTGGGCTCAATTGATCGTAGTGATTGTCTATCAATAGTTGACATGACTCGAATTGTATATACGTGCTGTAATTTGCTTATCATGATATTTCCTAAATAGTATGTGTCCTTTATCTAGTAATTTAAACGCTCCATGTCAGCACTGAACTCGGGTTGAGTAAACCCTATAATCCCGTCATGAATGATACCCCCAAAAGAACGAATAAAACGACAATAAAAATGCTCAAACCCATCAAGTTCTTCATCCATTACGCCACCTGGTTGCCTTCACAGCTAGTCATCTCAAGTCGTAAAAAGATATTATTAAAAAAAAAAAAAGGGAAACGCTATTACTTAGTACTACCAATGAATCCTCCAAAAACCCATGCAAAAGGTTTGCAAAACCAGACAATCCAACTAGCCACAACAACAATGTAACCAGCAGCTCTACCAACCACAATCAGCACAAGTCCTAGTACAGCAAAATTAACAAGGGCTTGGCCGATATCCTTTGCGAAGTTGCCGAAATCGTCTGTGCATGACTTCGGTAGAGTTCCGGTCTCTTTGAATTCGATCCACGCTTCGGCGAGAGATTTGCAAACTTTGAAGCAGTGAAGAGCCATTTGTGGGAGTTTCTGAGAGTAGCGAAGAACGTCAGAGTAGATTTGTTTGTGGTGAAGAAAATCGAAGAGGTTGATGAGGGAGAGGTACAGTACTCCCATCGAAGGACTGAGGTCAGGCATAGAGTCTCTCTTCGAATTTCCGGTGTCAGTTTTTTTCTTCGGGCCGCTATCAATAGTGTCATCAGGAGACTTATTCTCTGTTTGAGAAGGTGCTCGCCGCTGCGCACCGGTTCTTCGAGACTTGCGCACCGGCTTTGCTTCTACTGAAGGCTTGCTGCTCCGCGGAACAGAAGTAGAAGCAGCGGTCGTGCTTTTGGGCTTCTCTTCAGCTTCTTGCTTCTGTGGCTCACTTGCGTTCTCTGTCTGCTCTTTAGCCTTTGCGGCTTTGTATGCTTTACGAGCCTCGTTTATCCTTTCAGTGTTGAGTTTTTGTTCTCGCAACTCATCCATAGGCGGCCTCATACCCTTAACGGCGCTCTGTGCCTTTACCCTATCATACGCAGCACGGGCTTCTGCGAGTCGTTCTGCATGTTGTCGAGCAGCTGTTAACCGGCTTGAAGCAGACTTGGCCTCCTCGGCACCTTGGCGTGCCTTTTCTGCTTTCATCCTGATTTCCATTCTGATGGTGTGAGTGCCCTTTCGCTCTCTTGGTTTGCTTCGTGGAGGTGGAGATGGCGACGCGCTGAGCGGTGGGCTTGGAAGTTGTTGAGGGACCTGGAGACCGTCCAACTCAGCAACACTGGGTGCCTTTTTGGCACGCTGCTTCTTGACTAGAAGCTCATTTAGTGCTCTTTCTTTCGCTGGTGAATGAATCTCGTCAAGCGGTGGCCCTCTCCTAGGGATATTTTTAAAGATATCGCTTGGACTTAATTTCATGCTAACAGCACTTGTCGGTGCAGAAAAGGGGTGATCATCTGAGGCAGGTGCGAAATCTTGTGTGGCGATGTGAGCAGAACCATCAGAATCTGGTGAGATAGATGTTGAACGGTATTCCTCGTCACCTGTAGTGTGAGGATGACCAGTTGGAGATGTTTCTGAAGAGGAATTCTCGGAAAAGAATGGGTCATTTTCGGGTGTGGTGATATTGTGTCGCAGGGTGGAACCCTTCTGAGCCAAAGTTCTCGGTGGACGAGTCCGGAATGGCTGAATTGTACTTCTCGTAATAGGTTTCAGCGCCACACGAGGGACATTCGAAGCACTCATAAAAACATCTTCCTCTTTTCGAGTAGCAGTACGTTCCACTGGACTCCCGTTAGTAGGCGGCTTTGGGATTCTTGTTGCATGTACCACTGTCAACGCGGGAGGAATTGTCAGAGCTGTCGGTCGGGATATTACGGGTATGTTGCTCGTAACCTTGTGAGGATTACTAGTGACCCGTTGACCAGCAATTTGAGGTATCTTAGAAGCCTGTGGCACTGGCAATTTACCCGGTCGTCGAAAAGCCTCGTCGGTGTTGCGGGATTTCGGCGCGGGACATGGTGAGCGTCGCTCTTCCTCCTCGTCGTCTAAGTTAGGGAATAAGAGTACTTCATCTGGGTTCTTTGCTCCCGCTTGATCCATTCCCATACATCCCATGAAGCATTCTGCTCGGAGCTTGTGGTATAAATCTTTCTGTTTCAATTTCGGTTCATCTGAAAGCGAACCAACTCTGGTTTGCCCAACTTCGTCTGGGCTGTAGTAGTGTCGTGATCCATCGCTTTTCAACGAACCGGATAGTGATGTGTCTGTTTGAAAAGAGCTCGTCGTCATGGCCTTTTGGAGGACAGGAGTCGAGTTCATCTTCTTAGGATGTGGAGTATTCCTATAAGCCGAGCTGGACTTTGGTGATTTCGAGGCATCCATTTCATGCCTTTTGATTTCATTCGCATGAAGTTTCCCTTTCTTCTCTTGGTACAGGCGGATTTCCTCATCCGTCATTGACGGTGGATTGGGTTCTTTGGCGGATGGCATGTTCACAACAAATCTATCCCCCCACCCTTCCGACGACGTATCGGTTGACTCCGATCCAGCAGATGATGTTGTTTTACTGAGTTTATATTCCGACACAGATGATATCGAAGATGGCGACTGGGAGACGTCAACGCAGACCCACTGATTCCCATTCACTTTCCACTTCTGACTGGCCCGTGGTCGCGGAACATGGTCTTCTCGTGAGCTATCAGTACGATTACTTGGGCTGATCATGCCAGTTCTCGGGTTTGCTCCTCTTTTGGTAAGTTTGTCCTCCGTCTTCACCTCGTATGTCCTCGGACCCTTTTGCTTCTGGGGCGTCAGAGGCCATCTTGGTTTGCGAATCTCACCGCCGCCCGGTCTAGCAGAGATGGCTTGTGCAGCAGCAGCGGCGATTTTCCGCTCGAGGCGCTGTCTAATCTCCTTCCAGTCCCGCTCAAAGGATCTCTTCGGACCAAGCTGATTACTATTCATGTCGATATCAGGACCACTTCCAACTAGATTGCTACTTCCATGACAGCGTGCGCAAACCGCACCTGACATCAGGTAATCAGGTCCAATGTCGTATTCATCGGCTGTGAACTGTCTGCTTGTAAACGCTCTAGGCAACATAAGAGAGTATCTTGAAGCCGTGGAGAACCGGGAGTCATCCCAGTGTTCAAAGTTATGATGTTGAGACAATGAATGATCTGGGAGTAGATGCTTAGCTCTGGTCCATACTGAGCGCAAAAGTCCCCCGCGTGGCTTGGGACTGCCATTTCGACATGTTCGCGGATTGTTAGATGGTGGCTATGACGAATCACGGTCTGGTGGAGCTGTCACAGGGACAGGTGTCCAGCGAATGGGAATGGATGGGGAGACAGACATTCGTGGCAGGAGACGCTTTGATCCAATAGATTTCATGGAATTGAATTAAGAATATGGAGACACTGGTATGCAAGACGGATGGTGGTTGGTGAATTGGGGATTAGGAATGTAAGAACCACCAGAAGACATGTGGAATGCTAACCCCTCCAATTTTTAAAACCGCGTCTCGCTCAGCCGGTTCGACTTAGGTAATTCTTTCTTAATTCACCGGGGTAATTTTTAGCCTCGAAGACAAACCCCGTCATCTCCAACAATGCAGGGGCGACTGGAGCTCTCCCAGCCAAATCTCTTACCTCTTTCCATTCCTGACCAGAGCCTTCCGCGTTTCGGAAGGCGCGAGCGTGAAACAAAATATCCAACCATAATTTGTACCAGTAAGAGACTTTACGTGTCGTTATTTCGTGCGGTATGTGTGTGACATGTTGAGTGTTCAACTGATAACACGTTCGATTAGGGTTATCGTTGTCGAATTACCGGATCCAGCGGACATGTCCCAAATGGGAACAAGCACACTTTCTAAAATTCTTCTTCGTTGAACATTCATTAGTAACAATGAATGTTTGCGACATATTGTTCACGGTTTACACGAGTTTCAATGTTTTTGTGGACAGGTCCAGAATGAGGTCTCGTGTATTGGATTATATAAGTATGGAAATGGGAAGAGCTCCAGTTATAGATTCCCTTTCATGCCAGTCAGGTGCGATTTGTGCCCTTTATGGTGCTCTCGTATCGCGTTGGGCTAAAATTTAAGAAAATACAATTTACATGTAGATGGTGGACGGTCACCATTTTATGTGACAAGGATGTGCTGCTGAATCGAATCCAACAATAAAGCATCCAGTGGTGTTTGCTCTGTTTATCAAAAGTAGCCTGTTTCTCTTCGACTTCCCTCGGTAATATGTCCCCATCGCTGCTGTGGACCGGCTGCACTACTCAATCCACCCGGGGTGCTTGTCCGTTTCAATGGACTTGAACCTCTCTTCGCAGGGCTTAATAGAGCAAATCTATCCTTGAGATTATTGTCTGCCCCTGGCCGGTCTCTGATAAAGTTCGCTGACGCGGATTTCCTAAGAGGAGAATTGGCGTGAGAGTAGACACCAAGGCTACCACCGTCACCTACAGCAACGGACGCTGTTGGCTGCCTGAAATGAGGCTGGCGCATGTTTGACGGGTTGTTTTGGATAACTGGAGACGCATCGCGTAGATGGCTAGGTGTATGAATGCCGCTTGATGGGTTAGATGGCATGAATGACTGTCGTCGAGAAGGTGATGATTGTTTATTTGCTGAGTCGGGGTCAACATGACCGAGGTAATTTGGATTCGGGCTTGTCTTAAATCCCCGATTTATGACATGTGTCGGTGTCCAAAGTTCAACTTGGTTGTATTGATCATCCGGACCCGGTTGTGTGGCATACTCTTCAGAAAATTGAGTACCAACATCCCTCATAAGCGGGTGAGTTCGGGGATGAACGAATTTCGTATCGTATTCATGTAACACCTCTTTATGAACCAAGGTTGAGTCCTTGGCTTGCTGGGAGAATGAAGTCGAAAGGAATGACATTTGCACGGAGAGTAAAAGCGCGAGAATAATCGTGGTAAATATTGTAACGCTCGGCCGAGGATCAGAAGAAAGTGTGGGCAGAAAGAGCCAGTACACAAGCACATGGCCCGGGCTAAACGAACAGAACAGACGAAGTGATAACGGAAAGGGATCCCAAACAGCGATCTCCCACACATCACGTTTCGGGTCAGGATGACGTCGCGACTCGGCGGATTCACCGGTCAAGATATTTGATAGGAAGCGAATAGGAGATGTTGACATCGGAGCGGAGGACACTTGAACTCGTTGCGCAGAGGGTGTAGCTGGTACTTTATCGATTGAAGACTCGAAAAGACGGTATCGCCGTTTTCGCCAGAAGGTATACACGGCATTTGTCACGGAGAACAAAGCGAGAATATGCACAAAAAACGAGGCCTAGCATATATCTCTATGAGCCAAATTCCACCATTAAAGCTCGACCATATCAACTCACCAACCAGCTCAGCCAGGATAATCCACCGTTGCCATCGCCGAATATATCAGCGTCTGCCCGACTGATTCGGGTGACGCTATTTGCTCTGGCGATCAAGAAGACAAAATTCAACGCAAAACCGAGCGGCAAGGCCCAGTCCTTTTCGAGCTGATCCCAGTCACTAGAGTCAACCTCCTCCGATATCCATAGCAGAAAATCCCAAGGGTTAAAAAAGCCGGCAATGCGCTCAGAGAGCGGCCGGCGACGCACGAGTCGGGGCATGGTCGCGAAGGGCCTGAAAGTTCAAGACTCAACTTGGGATATTCATTCAGCCTCGACTCACACGGCCCATGAGTTAGACCACAAAACAAGAGCAAGCGGCTCTTATGTTGATGACTTGTCGAAGCTGGTGAAAGGTGGTTAGGAAGGTCGAAGTGGAAGCTCAAAAAGTAAACAGAGATGAGCCCGCCTAACAACCGCCCGATGCGGCTTAGCCCGGAGCTTCGCTCTTAGCAGGAGCGGAACGGGCTGCTGAGCTGTGCTCACCATTGACTGCTCGACATAACGCAAAGAACAGAGACGGGGCTGCAGTCAGTGAAGCTGCCGATAATTAACGACCTGTACTATCCCCGAGCTACACGTTCGGCCTAGTCATCATGGCTGCTGCTGCCGCCTACAAGGTACCATCCCCGAATCCAGCCAAACACTCCCCGCATTGCGACCGTCAACTGACCACGGCCGTGGAGAATAGGACCGGCAATTCCTGGCTGTAATTGGAGATGAAGAGTAAGTTCTGACCATCGATTACTCTATGCTGGACTACGCTGACTTCGCTATCAAAGCTCTGTCACAGGTCTCTTACTCGCTGGCATCGGCGTACGTCCAGACATCGCCTCACAAGCAGCTTAGCTATTCTCAGATCAAAGCATTAACATCACCTCCAGCATGTCACCGAACCTCCCGATTTGCAGCGAAATTTCCTTGTCGTCGATTCCAAGACCGAGACATCTGCTATTGAGAAGGCATTTCACAATTTTACCCAGGAAAGGAAAGATATTGGCATATTGCTGATCAACCAACACGTACGAATTAGATGATATTCTTTTGTTGACAAAGATGTTTCCAATGCTAAGCTATATTCTATACTCAATAGGTCGCCGAACGTATCAGACCGGCAGTCGATTCGTATACGGAAGCCTTCCCCGCCGTGTTAGAGATTCCGAGCAAGGACCATCCATACGATCCAGAAAAGGACAGTGTTCTACGACGAGTACGAAGGTTGTTTGGGGAGTAGGCGGGGTACTCATTTTGTTCTGCTTATATCTTATCATGGCTTCTCAGGCGTTATTGCACATTTGTCTCTATATTCACAAGACCAGATCTACGTTATATTCAATACTTGCAAAAAATACAATTTACTCTTTTTGATGACGGCGGGTTCTTGACTCTCCAAAGGATATCACATTTAGTATCCCGAAATCAGAAGACTACTTATTTGTTGACTGCTTCAATGTTGGACAAATATAACACGCAGTACAGGTATTTAACATTCAGAACAAGTCCACAGGGGTACCGTTATTTGAATAATCACCACCAAAAGAACAAGCCAACTCCTAGTTGTGCTAGTATAAGAATGAAACTGGTAAACGCAAAAGGGCGGCGTACAGCACGAGCAAAAACCGATACTCTCCGATCTAAACAATGCACAGTTCAGCAGCAGTATGCAAAAGATAAGCTATTACACGGGAAATTTATTCCGGGACACGGATTATGGGTATGTTCGAGGATTGTCGAAGACAAAAGGACCAACTTGATCAGAAACAGGCAAGACACACAAATAAGCAGCACCAAAACAGACAAGAATCATGGCAAAGCGGGTAACATGTATTCAGCAATCGCTTCAACGTAGACACATTATGCATTATTAAAAGACGATGTTACGAGCTTGAAGGCAAGTAACACGCTCCAAGTCTTCGGTGAAAACATCAGCGAGAACGGAATATTTGCCCTAGGCAGAAAGAGTTAAAAAAGTTTTCTCAAGTCCACATGGAAATGATGGGATTCCTTACCGGTGGAACTTCTTTAGGAATCTCCACTTGCTTAGTGAATTTCTGCTTCCCTTGCAATGGACACTTCAGATCGGTATTAGCCTCGAGTTCATCGCAGAGATCGGCGTCGGTCTTGATCAAGCGAATCAGTCCATATTTCACCTCCAGGTGAAGCGTGGAGCCTTTGTCGACAGGGGCGTGGAAAATGCCTTCGGCTTCGATCGTGAGGGATTCGCCACTATTAAACAGGTAAATAAGTTAGCAATTATCGGGATCATCCTTATCAGAAGGGACATACGGTACTGGCGGGTTAGGCGACAGATTCACGGCAGTGATCTCCAGGATGTCGTCTGAAGGGTCAGCACAGAAGCCCAGCGGGTTTTCACCATGCACAGGAAACTCCTCCTCGAGAGGCCTCAAGGGGGACTGGCCAAAGAAGGGCAGGGATGCAGCCCAGATCTGGAGAGGAGCAGCGCCGAGGAGGAGAGCGGAGAAGAGCTTCATGGCGACGAAGCTCGAGGGTGGTGACGGGGAAAGCCACACGTATCTGAGCCTGCAGCAACTGCAAGCAGTGTCTCTAATTGTAATGCGGATTCTTGCGAGCACTCGACTTAGCTATGGATGTTATGGCGGTGATTTGAGTGGTTGAGCTGCAGGTTCCTGTCGTGATAAGAGAGAAAAGAGGAGGCTGTGAAATGACGAAGCCGCCGTCCAATAGCACGCCACGTGATGGGTCACACGCACGTCTCAGCCCCTCACCGCCCGGCCATCGCACCAATCCTAGTGGCTGCACGTGCTACGAATGTCTTTTCGCATTCTCTCTGCTCAATAAACATCGGCAGCCATAACTTATAAGTATGACGCTCTACTAGACTGTTATGGTGTTGAAGATCGCCTATGCAGCAGGCAGCCCAATCGTGTTGTTGTAACTGGTTGTCCAAAAAAGACTAGCGCGACTACGTAAGACTAATTGCGGCCCCACCAGACATCCTGGTTGAGTACCACATGACCGTCTAATATTCAATTCTCTAATACCACCATCGATTAATGAATAAATTTCGGAGAGAGGGGTACATGTATTCCTTTATAGGGTTGAATAGTAGAATTCCTCGAGCAATGCAACCCATCCTCTCCAAACAAACTTTCGACGCATGTAGTACATAAATATATATTTGTAGGGGCGCTGCGCTCAATATTTGATCTTCCCGATTGATACATACATACCTTAAATCATACATATGCCCATATATGCACTTAATCGACCCCGAAGATCTCTATCTGGAATACTGCAGTTGTATAAGGTTTGCGGGGATCAGGCAGTGAGCACGTAACATCATTGATATACATATGCATATATCCCGCAACCAACAACCCTCGTTATCAAATGTAGTCCTTCCGCACTTGCATTACTGAGGCTGACTATCGACATCTAGAGCCGATACCTCATCCCAATTTGTCGATGCAGATACATCGGGCATGCTGCATATGCATGTACTTTAAAAGCATTCACATATTAGACTCATTTCATGCAACTAACAAAATCACAATCCTACCGATATTGCAGGGATGTTGGCCAATCGGCTGCCACTTCACCTTTGCAGCACTCAAATCACTGACGTGGCGGAGTACTCTCGCTTATGATCTTCCATTACTATGAACGAGACAAAATATCGAGTGATTTTATGCGAGTCCATACATAATCAAGTGATGAGTATGGCTGCTTGCTAGGAATGTCTTTCAATAGTGTGTGATAAGTGACGACATACAATATGACGAGTAGTAGCGGGCATGCAGTCGACCACGGTCGTTAAACACACTTTCAATGTTATTGAAACTGTTGCGAGATGCTGTCAAATAATAATTGTATTCAGTCATTCAGCTGACGGTGGCATTTTCGTTCCCTCGTCGGCTTCAAAAGCCCACACACACACACACACACACACACAACAAATTGACTAAATTTTGGCGCGTATTTGTCAGTGATTGACTACCACTCCCTAAGACATTGACTTAAAAAGGATTCCAGGAAAGGCGGTTGCCAACGATTGCTGCTTTGACAAAGTTCTACTTTCCTTCTGCATTTTTTGACACCGTGTTATTGTGGGCCATGCCAGTCTTGTGTCGTGGCAAATTCAAGATGTTGGCTAAAGCCTTGATTCGGTGCAGCACTAAATATCTTTTCAAAACTGGTTTCTAAGTGATTTGCAAACTGTGGATCATATCATTGTTATTTGCCGTTCGGACCAAAGCCCAGTTTCAGAATGACGTGCAATCGTGTGGCTGGTCGATTAATATTTACCCGGTAAATACACCGGTGAAAACTAGGACCTAGTCACTAGATAAACAAGCTATTGGCTCTCGGGTTCATTTCACAGCGAGCATTCAGCTGCAAGGTGTGAACAGGCGGAGAAAGCCCCTGTTCTCTAGGCTTTGATTCGAAGATCGTCATAGCCAGCAGGTACTTAATCCGGCTACATGCATGATTCGCAACAAACCAAGCGGGGGCGGTACAATATTATTCACCTACTCTGTACAGAGGGCAATAGTAAGTACTCATAGCGTAATCATTATTGTTGTATGATTGAATCCCTCGTATAACATCCCATATCGAAGGGGGCCGTTCCAGGCGGGATTTGTACTTGCATTTGTGGCAAAGGACCTTCCTAATTTCACCAGCCTAGCCGCATCCTCGTAGCAGAAGGGCTACTGGCGGCCTTCAACTATAATGCGTAAGATGGCCAATCAAAATTCATGTGGACTGCAACACGGTTTCCAGAAAGTTCGGGATGACGCTGAGTATCTGATTGATAGATGCTGCTGTCTTCGAGAGATGCCAATAAACCAAAAGGAAAAAAAGTCTAAATAAGTCAAGTGAATAATAGAGAATTTTCTGCTGCCGATAGGATGCTCCGTACTTGATTCCTGTAAGATTGGGAGTTCCTTCGCGTGCCACGCAGCAAGTATTCCTTCAGTGAAAGTGGACCGGAGGCAGTCCCACGCGCTCCGGCAACTTACTCTGTGGCTGTAAATTTTTAACGAATCAACCAACGCTTCCCCTCGTGAAAAACGGCCAAGGCCCGTGCCGTTTCTAACACTAAAGCAGTCTCCATTTTTATAGTGAAGAATTTGTAGCAGAATTGACCGGACGGCCCGCGATATTAGTGCACTGTACTATGCTCGCGAAATTTTAAACACGGAAACTTACAATTGTGAACCATGGCGCTGGGTAGCTTACTACCCCAGGGAAGTGGTGCGGCTCTGAAAATCAATGTGGAAAATGCGTCTTTCTTTGGTTTGGAAGAGGGCCGACCCGACAGTCTGGATACCGCGATAGAACTTCCGTCCGTTCCCGCCCATTTCCTGCATGAGCTCCTCTCTTACATGCGTCGGACTGGACTGTGATCATTGTCGGGAAGACGGGAACTATGTTATGGTGTGCCATACCAGCGGTAACAACCTGCGCATGAGTAAGTTGCGTCGGAGACAATACTTCTTTGGCTCTTGATGGATCCCGTGTTTTGAAAATTACCAAGAGGGGGTCTAAAACTTCAACAACATAGTATCTGGCTTTCTTCGGTATCAGTAAATGACAAATTTTTACCAGAAAAGCCCCTTGGCAATCGGTCACTAATTCAAGGAGGGATTTCCATGTAAAAATGTATCCGTTCACTAATGATCCTTCGAGCTGAGACTTGAAAACGACTTCCACAGTAACAAAGTGTTATTTTGTAGCCGTTGTAATCTACCCCCCTCGTGGTTTGCAAGAGGAAACAATATCATACCAGGCTGACAATCACTGAAACCACACCAGGAGGTCATGTAGAATTTAGCACGCGTTTTAGGTCTATATTATAGACATGACTTGACCCGGAGCATGGCCGATTTTTGTAACATACTTTTTCACTTCGATTAGTCGCACACAAAGAAGCGGTGAGATGTCAGCGAAATTCACAAAATAGGCGTATGGAGACCGTAAGTCTAGGACCTGCATCTAAGCTGTTGCGAAATTTAGTAACATTGGTCCTCCACACTACTTGACGGCTAATGCCGATATTTTCTCGTGAGAATGGCACGATACCAAAACATGACTTTTGTTGAATAAATTGCACCGTAAACAGTGCATCAATCTCATCTGATATTCCGTACTGCCTGGTTATAAGCTCCAAATTACTTCGTGCTTTGTCTAAAAAGCCACATTGAATGCGACGTAATGGACTTTCCGTATTCAGTTTCGCATTTCCAATGGAACAGGTATTCGCAAATTCACAATTTCCTAAGCTTTTACAAACAAAAATGCATCGAAATAACTGCATGAAAACAAACATCCATTAAAGACTTCTAGTGAAAATATTGACACCTGTCATCCACAACATGGAATCAGTCGATGTGCTTCAATGTGAATCGATGTGACGACCCACGAGTAATAGGAAACATCACGGAAGTGGATACCTGTCTGCGGAATTCCGATTCACAGCACTGCATTGATCTTCTTGGTTCAATCGTGACACGAGCGGAACGTGGGCCCTCCATTTGGATGGTGGTAGGTTGGCCAGTTGGATCCACTAGACGAATACTATCAATGCTATTCAGAGTTATTGTCACAGGTGACGAAGAATGGTGCATCTGCAAACCGCTAATTTCGTCCTAGCTGGTTCATTATTGTCCTGGAAGACCAGATGTGTGCCCACTTTTTGGGCAAAGCGTCCGACCTGAGAGCCACGGATATCCCTCACGGAGTCACTCACAGTAAGCGCCGACCCTGCCCATAATTGTGACCACAATATACCAATGAAACGCTACTGTTCTTGCAGGTTTGATGGTCCCTCGGTAAACGCAATAGAATATTTTGAAAGAATTCTTCAATAGCGAAGTTGAAAACAAAGTTCGGTCAGCATTCAGAACAGCCTCAGGCAGTCATCTCACAGATAGTGGTGGGGATCGCCTATTGAAGCAGAACGAGGCTTTATCCCATGCGTTTCCTAAAAAAGGACTCCTTAATCGTGAATAGCCTGTATGTCTTGGTATCGTTAAGCGCCATTGTTGCCTTGTCCCGTTTGGGCAACAATTCTCTTAGTGATCGGTTGCAGGCTTGTTAGACAATACCAGTGCGAACGAATCAAGCATACACAGCACTTTTCCCGCGGCTGCCGAGTAACCATCAACGCGGAATTCTATTCCAATACTCCATTTGCGCCAATACATTCGTATCTTGAACCCAAATACAACGGTATTGGCCATTATCGTCGGCCAGACGACATCGTTGAGTCTTTCTCAGAAATCCCTTGTGGTGGAAGGCTGAGTAGAATGAGGTATGAGACAGTTTCTTGTTCACATCCACGGTGATTCAACTAATACTGTCCAAGCAACCCAGACGCAGGAACGACGTCTCTAGATGATGTCTTTCGGGAAATTACAGTTGTCCACGGTCGAGAGTTCCAGAAATATTCGATCAACAATCGAATTTATTTCTGCCCCATCGACGATGTACGATTTCTGCGGACCTTCAACTGTGAAATGGCTAACCCTCTCAGGATGAGATAGACCGACTCGGACTCCAACAGGAAATCTTTAATATGATTTTCGACAATCGTCTTATATTTCCGCCGATAAATCACCCTCGTCGAATATTGGACTGTGGTTGTGGGGGGGGAAACTGGGCAGTCGAGGTTGCAGAGCGCTATCCTAGCACTCAGGTAGGTTAGTTTAGGATCGCGCTCAGGTGCTAGAGCTGATCCTCTGCATGCAGGTAATTGGTGTTGATATATCGCCACATCTTCAGCCCCTCGATCTACCGGATAACTTATGGCTGCAAGTGAGTCTTCCCCCTGAAGGTTCGCAAAGCTTCGTGTAAAAGCCACCGTCATGTCTGAGTTGTGGATTCACAGTACTGTGCGAGAGGCAGCCAAAACTGAGTTTCATATCACGAAGCACCGCTTGCTGAATATCGTATTTGCAGATTGACGACTTGAACCGCTCCTTCACATTTCCTTCTCGACATTTTGATTTGGTACATTCGAGACTCGTTGCATCGGGAATAAACAGGTCGCGATGGACTTCCTATATTCGTGACCTGGTGCGGTAAGTCTTTGGGCCTGACATTTAGAATCATTCTTCGTTAAACAGGTCTAACAGAATATTTGTATAACAGGGTAACGAAACGTGGTGGCTGGGTCCAGATGATCGAACTAAATTATAATACTCAATCGGATAACGGGTCTCTGACAGATCAGCACGCGCTCAGGGAGTGGAGTAGGCGTTATATCAGGTCGTTGGAAGACCTAAAAGATTTGAGAATTGGATCGAGGCTCGGGAGTTTGATGACTGCAGCCGGCTTGGTAGAAGTTGACACAACGATGATTCAGCTTCCATTATCTGCATGGGCTCGAGGTATGATATGCGATATCAAGACACTGCGATATCACTCATGGAACTAAGCCAGAGAAAAGACTCACGCACACGTCAAATTGGTGCTTCCAACAGACCCAACGTTCACCAACTTTTAGAGTCAGTTGCACTCTACCCATTCACGCAACGTCTTCATATGCCCGAAGAGGACTTCTGGGATTTGATCTCTCGAGCTCGAGCAGAAGCAGATGATTTGAGCCTGAAGGCCTATTTTCCGTTGTGAGTAATCCTTAGTCCCATAAATTACTAAGGCTCATATGATTTAGATATGTGGCAATCGGCCGAAAGCCTCTGTGATATTAGCCCTCATCAAAACCTACAAGAAGAGGAAGAAATGACTCACATATGTGAAAGAGCACATGCGAGAAATTGACAAGCTGAATTGATAGGGTTTCTATACTGTTATTTACCACATATAATTGTCAAGTATAAGCTTCTGAATCCACATCTACTTTGATTTGTGCCTCGATGATATCGGAAAGAATCGTATTGACTGTCAGGTATGGTTACCTTGCTGCTAGAAGGGAAGTGTCGATCGTTCTCAGAGCGGGGCAAGTCTGAGATCAGAGTCTGTCTTGCAAAGGTATCAATGCCAATGAGACAAGTATATAAGTGTCTCAATTGAATGATGGAAAGGATTTCAATTTTGGAGGCATGAATTTCGAGGTCAGATAGTCATTGTGGGTGAGAAAGGGAAGGTTTGGAGGAGGTACGAGTGATCCCGTCACCTGACTTTTCTTAGAAGGCAAGAGCGAACCCATTGCACTGACTTCACTATTGCGTGCATGATTATTCTAGAAAACGACATTTCGAATTATCATATCAGTAAGGATGATAATTCCGATTGATTTAAGAAAGGCTAACCTGAATGACTGGGAAGGTTGTTGCAGAGCTTCCATTTTATGAAGGGGTTTGTACGTATAGACGGATTGGCATTTCTTGGAGCGAATATACCTGTCGTCGTCTGGGCCACTCTCCCTTGAAGGTGTCACGGTATGACACACTCAACCAGGACCCTGGGCTTCGAAGAAATGGTGCGGAGATACGGCGTACCGAAGTATGAAGAACGCGAAAGGTTACGTCCTCTTCAAACCCGCCGCTGACGTTTTGATTTCATCAATTATGGAATATTAACCAAAGAACATCAGAAGCATTTTGAAAATCGATTCGGTCGGAGATAAACAGGCGGAAAGTGACATATCAACACTGCCTCGGCTTTGTTTGTCGCGTCGGCTCTTTGTTCGTGACCCAGTCCCAGAGTTCTCCTACCCACAACAAATATAGGACTGCTTCCAATGTTCGCAATAGATCGCATTGAATCTAGCAATATGCCTAGCGCGAAGCTTACGAGGGATGAGATCTACCGTCATGCACGATGGAAAAGCAGGTTTGATTTAACATCACTGCGATCCCGCTACGTGATTCCGCAATGAGCCGGCAACGATGGAACACTTATCACTATGAAAAGAGAACACTTCTCAAGTGTGTCATATTGGTCGAGTTATCAGGTTGAAAGCTTTACCCAAGCTGTCGGTGGACCCGGCACTTATGGATAAGATCGTCGATAATTAATGACCGAACTCTAACAGCCCAAGGTCAACGCCCTTGTTCACCGCCATCCTGTTTCTTATTGGCAAACGGAGCTTCCCAGTCCATATTACTGCACCAGTTAGCTCACTCGGTATCTTACCCCGGAATCTCACCCGGCATGGAAACTTTACGTGAAGTCCATGAGCAATCGATAACAAAGCTCAAGATTTTGTCATATCAATGCACAGTCAGATGGGAAGGATTGTCATCCATAGAACCTCGTCGTATTAGGACCAAATATCCACCATAGAATTTGCCAGCTACAGCTACAAGCACCTCGAAACGGGTCTTAACAGGTATACGAAGCGTTAACGATTCGATGAATACATACGATGGCTATAGCGTGGTTTATCATTAAAGCGAAATGTCCGTTTCGGCTTGCTATTGGTATTGTCCATATAGGTGAGTTGTGCACAGTGAATTATTTTTTTGATTCATTATTATTGCCCCATTCATGTCGACGTGTTAGACAGGGGATTAAGCATTAGGGAATGGTCGAATATACGAATGAATCAACGTCCAACATCATGGTAGAGCAACACTGGAATGAATATTACCTATTTTTAGAAATCTTAGAGTAGATAACTAAGTATTCTGATTATTCTCGATGCGAACAATCTTAGTAAAATCGGTTCGTTATCATTGACTGAAAAATAGATGCCTAAGGCATAAATTTCTGCAAAGTGCACTAACCGCTTTTGGCGATTCAGAAAAATTTTGGGGCAAGCATCCGCCTTTGCGGATTTAATTCTTATCTTCACCCATCTTTTTTCGCATGAAGCATTCCATAGCCTAGACAGGATGCCTTCCACATACAATAGGGATAAACCGTGGGACACGGAAGACATTGACAAATTGAAGGTAACTTTAATGCAAACAATCTTCTAAAAAGATCGAAGTGCGGAGCTTATTAACTCTTCTTTTCGCCCGAATAGATCGATGAATTTAAGCCTGAACACAACCTTGCCGGCTCCTTTCTCGAAGAATCTTCCTTTGTGACTCTGTTTCCTAAATATCGAGAGGTATATCTGAAAGAAGCATGGCCGATGATCACAAGGATTTTGGAGAAGCGTGGAATTGCCTGCACATTGGATTTGGTCGAAGGTAGCATGACGGTCAAGACTACGAGGAAGACCTTCGACCCGGCAGCCATTTTAAAAGCTCGTGATTTAATCAAACTGCTCTCACGAAGCGTGCCCGCACAACAGGTGGGTTTTTAGATCGTCACAATTACAATCTTCAGGGTCCAGCATACTGATCGAGAGTCATGGAACAGGCTATAAAAATTTTAGAGGATGATATTGCATGCGATATTATAAAGATCCGCAATTTGGTCGATAATAAAGAACGTTTCGTTAAACGCCGGCAACGCATTCTTGGTCCCTCGGGTTCGACACTGAAAGCTCTTGAGCTGTTGACAAGTACATACATTCTGGTCCAGGGAAACACGGTCTCTGTTATGGGTCCTTTCGATGGACTTAGGACCATTCGTCAAATTGTCATAGACTGCATGGAAAATATTCATCCTATTTATCACGTCAAAGAACTCATGATCAAGCGGGAGCTGGCCAAGGACCCGAATATGGCCGGACAATCCTGGGATCGATTCCTTCCAAATTTCAAGAAGCGCACTCTTTCAAAACGTCGCGTTCCTCACAAGCTTACGGACAAATCCAAGAAGATCTACACTCCTTTCCCCCTGCGCAAGAAAAGAGCAAGATCGACAAGGAATTGGAATCTGGCGAATACTTCTTGTCAAAACAAGCCAAAGCACGCGTGCGTAAGGAAGAAATACAAGAGAGACAACGTGAGAAAAGGGAAGAGAAGATGAAGGAGCGAGAAAAGGATTTTGTACCGCCCGTCGAGGATGCTGATCGGAAGGAGAAGAAGGAAAAGAAAAAGAAGCGGAAGCATGCAGAGGACGGGGAGGAGTCCTCTGAAAAGAAAAAGAAAAAAAGAGAAAGAGCAAGACGGAAGATGAGGATGATGACGAGTAATAGTCCCTCTCTTCTCTTTTGAACTTGGATTCTGGCGTACTATTAGGCGTGTGTGCATAGTGGGCATGGTGTACAAAAATCTGGTTGATATTTGAGGATATCGTGTTCAATTGATGTTTTATCATAGGATTATTATACCCTATTCAAGTCTTTAAAATTACAATCCGTGTTCCTAAACGTATGGACATGCCTTTGACCTTCGCCTTGAAACTGGCACCCCCCTATTTATGTCCATGAAGGGTGAAGTCGCCTCAAAATAACGCCAATCTATCGATTCAAAATAGAAACAAGAATCCAAAGGAAGATAATTATATCGCCAACATTCAACTCAAAACATCTGGTTTTTCTTTCATAAAGTTTTAATGGAAACAGAAGCGAAACTAACGAGTATCAGCCGTTGAATGGACGCCTACTCGGTAGCTCTGGGGCTGGAGATTAGTTCGAATACTCTGCGCGCTAGGTCTCGGTAGACTTTCAGGAGCCTGAAGGTTTTCGTATGAAAAGATAAAGTGATAACTGTTTCCAAGGACCTCTTTCAAGGCACTCTTTTGAGACAACTGGTTTTGGTGATGTTGTGCACGCCGTGCTCCTTTGATCCACTCTTGAAAACGGAGAGCAAGCACAGCTTTGGCTTTTATGACCTCGGGTTTGTGTGGTGTACCCTCTCTAATCGTGGTTGTGGCGAAATGGGACTTATCAAGTTGCTGATCCAAGTGGTTTCTGCAACGTTCTGCCATCGCAAAACGATTGACTAACATAAGCGGGTCATCGATAAATCTGCGCGGTGGTAACAATCCGAACATGCACAGCGAATAGTAATCTTGGCGTCCCAGTCAGGTGGTGGCAGGGGGACAGAGCTGACATATCTGGTTCCATATATTTTCAAAATAGTGGTAACGAACTCTGTTCTTTAGTGTTCGAGAGACGCCATGCCATACCCATGCGCTCACAAATACCGGTCGCCATTGGGAATAAGAAGGAATTGATGAAAAGCGTTTTCCATTCCGTTTCCCGCTTTGTGCATAGTCATTCTCTACTGTAAGGAATGACATAAGAAAAGTAGTATTCTTTCGAACAAGTCTCCAAAAATGATGTAGTTCTGACACCGTCAGAGATGTAATATGTACCTCGAAGAATCATGCATTACCTTTCGAGCGACCCCAGCACAGGGTGATCACTTAGTGCTGTTGTTATATCTTTCCCATCTAATTCCAAGTCTCGAACGTTCCGATAGGATATGCGTGGAAAGTAGTATCTTGCCATTCCAATTCCGCTCCAGACAGCTTTTGGCTATGTTGCTCTCAGATAATATGTAATTCTTTGACCAATTTCAGGAACAAGCTCAGTGGTTGAGAAAGCAACGACTTGCGAATCATGGGCTTGGATTCCCCTCGAAATTGGAACATTCGGTTCAGGCTGTGAGACAAAGTCAGTACAGAAATATAACACGATGGCACGACTTTAACGTTAACGGAGCCATGCTTTAATATATGAAGGTCAAACATGAAGCGGAATTGCGAGGGATGATTAATGCGCCTTATAAAATCCCCATCAGAAGCGAGAACAAAACTACAAGGTGCCAAGAGCTGTCATTATCGGTAATTATACTTACCGTCTCCCGACAAAGTGAGTCGTTGAAGCGCCGGCGTTGCCTGTGAAGCCTTCAGAGTCCCCCTCATGAGGATTACGGTCGAAAACACCGTCTGGAATTACCATGGTTTCGGGGAATGGTACTCCCTTCTCGACTACAGTGCCATTTCTGTCCAACACATGCGAAAACCCAAGTCTAGAATAAAGCAAATCTTCAATCATGTGGAATCCTTACTGTACCCTCCATGGTTATAGTAGCTTTCATCGTAGCTTTCAATAAGGCCACCATTATTCGTTTTCGTGATATTAGCCAGGAAGACATCGAAGCCAGCTCTTTGGCATGCCTTCTGTAGTTTTATAAAACGGCATTGGTCAACACTATTGAGCCAATTAAAGCTGAGTTCGGCGTTAGTATGCTGATTTTCAAAGTACACAGACCTGCGCTGGTGGACAAAAGTCATCGAAATCATCAACATCCCAACGGTCTAGATAGTGATCCAGATTTTCAGCGTCACGAGCCCAGGAATTTAATACATTAATAAGCCTTCCTATCTCACTATCGCGAATTTGTAGGACTCTGGCTGACGGACGATGGATCAGGTTGTAAACGAGGACAATTCTATTTCTGGATGCAACAGTTTCACCTCATGCGTGACGTCGGCATACCAAGCACCACGATTATGCTTACCAGTCATAAAGACTCAGTCGACTCAATCGCCTCCAGAGCGGACGAACTCTTCTTTCACATTGAGGTCGTCTTCATCTTCCTTTTCCTGGTGAGAAGGCCGTGAAGACCGCGAAGAATACTGTGGGCTGTTCATCAGGGATTTCCCTGTCAAATAGGACGAGCCGCTGTCATGTAAATCTTCCAGAATTGATGGTGTTGGAATAACCAGCGCGGCAGGTAAAAACGAAAGGGGTAATAAGATCAGAAGTACACTGCACGCGACGCGTGGCCGCGTGATTCAATTAGTTGCACTTCGCCGAAATTTCAGGTCTGTTCCATAGCATTTCCCTTTTTCATCCAATTAATCAATATTCAAGCATTATGCCTCTTGTTAATGTGCTATCCATACTATTCTACACATGGCACTCTGTCGGTAGCTGTTAAAAGTCAACGTCCTTTCCACATTCCACAACCACATAATCTCGCGACATATCATATTCTCCATATATCCACTTTCCTCGAATACAAGTCTTCACCAGCTCCACTAGACTCCAAGATTCAGTGATATTTCTGGACTATTACAACGGAGAATATTGCTCAATACAATGAGTGAAGCAGTCTCATCGGTGCGGCTTTGAGCCATTCTCCCCGGGTGGCATATTCTACTCTCGGTGGCAGATCCACATCCAAAGCACCATCCCGCATTCCGCTTAATATATCCATCTCCTCCACTTTCAGGAACGGCTTCCAGCCTCGATGGTTAATCCGCGGGTCTTTGTGGTAGACAGAGTAAAGCTTCCAGAGAAGGTAGAGACCGATTACCAGAGGGGCGGCGATATAGTTCTCGAAAAAAGCCTGCGCATCTTTTGGCGCAACAGATACATAGAACTCAGCAATGAGACAGATGACATTGAGGGACAGTCCTATGTAGCTGCCGATAACGCCGAATGGAGCAGTGTAGGCCAATTCCTTGACATCGTGACCGTGATGTTTCCAGGCCGCACGGAAGCGAATGTGGGCGAGGCAGATGCTGCCCCAAATGAAGAAATTGGAAATACCGGATAAAGCCAGAAGCCAGGTGAAAATCTGACCGCCCGTCGATGCCTCATTGATGAAAGCCAGGAAACCGAATGCAATCTGGAGAAGAACACAGTAGAGTGGTCGTCCGGCTTTATCGACATAGGCCATGAATGAAGGAGCCATGCCGTGAGCCGCCAGAGCCTGGATGGTGCGACTCGATCCAAACGTTGCTGAGTTGGCAACACTGATGACCGAAATCGTGATCACTGCGTTCATGACAGATGGTAGACCGGAGATACCTGCATTTTGAATTGATACTACAAAAGGTGATGCCTTGGTATTGGCGCCAGTAGATCCCATAAGGTAATCCGCATTGGATGGGACGATCAATCCGACAATGAGAGTCCCCACGACGTAAAAGATAGTGATACGCCAGAAGACCTGCTTCGTCGCTTTTGGGATAGATTTCGCGGGGTTCGCAGCCTCAGCAGCAGCCAAGCCACTCATTTCTGTTCCACCGAATGCGAAAGCTGCGGTCACGAAGACAGAACAGAAGCCTCGAAAGTCCGTGAATGCGCCGGGGTCAAACCAGTAATGACCTCCAATATAGCCTCCTACCGGCGCACCACCGCAGTCAATCACGATTCCCAGGATGATGAATCCAAAAAGGGCGGTGACTTTGATCACGCTGAGAACGAACTCCACTGCAAGTCACACGAAGTTAACTTCTTGCATGAAACTATAATTGAGTGAGATGGTGGGACCTCTTCTTACCTTCACCGTAACCCCGAACGCCGAAGATCTGAATTGTGGACAAGACAACTAGGAACACAGTAATCCAGATGCCAATGTTGAGATCGCTTCTCCAGAACTCTATCGTAATACCGGCAGCCGTAATCTCGAAGGGAAGAATGACGAGCCAGCCTATGGCGTAGTCCCATCCGACGGCAAAACCCCTATAATCACCACAAGTTAGCGTGAAGGTCTAGGTATCCATGACATGCTGGATTTTCTGGGCCACAGACCAAGCAGGATCGATGAACCGGCAACAATATGTGAAGAAAGCCCCGTTGACTGGGTAAAGAACGGCCAACTCGCTCAGAGCTTGAATGGTCATCAACAACATTCCTCCCACGATCAGGTAACCGAGAAGCTTTTCACATGTACGATCAGTTTCTCGCTGGAGTATTAATGTTATGCCCAGCAAAATTCACTTACCACGGAACCTGGGCCTCCCTCCTGCAGAGCACCTCCAGTACCAACAAACAGACCAGCGCCGATAGCACCACCTTTTAGAAAGCACGCATGTCAGCCTAGAGACAGAGTTTCGGGTTTAGCATGTCAAGATGTGTCATACCGATGGCAATCATTTGCATATGGCGATTTTTAAGGCTACGCTTCAGGGGACTGGTGTTCTCAATAATCGGTGCATATGTAGTGATCACATCGTCATACGGAGCAGGGCTGTCGCTGACTGGTTCCACGACCCCAGCTCCCTTCTTCTCAATATCCTCTGGTTCTGAGACGGCCATATTGGCTGAGTATTTTTGCTATAGATTGCAACAGGAATCACTAGGGAGATGGTAGCTGGCCGATCCCTAGCTTTATGTCGCCCGGCTGGGAATCACGGAATGGCACAGGGATATCAGTTATGCCGCATTGTTCCATCCTTGCTGCGACCAAAGCGGCAGGAGGAGATAAGCCACAAGGTAAAATATAGCGATTGATGTCGCTACCCTGACTGAACCAGAGGGCAGGCATTCAACTATCAGTTTCGCTCGACGCAAAGCCCATGGACGGAGATTTGTCCAATAAAACACCCCCGGTAAATCGTTTCCCATCGCGCACGTCCTCCGAAGCTTTTGTCAGGGCGTTAGTACATAATCTTGGCTTTGTCTGCTGAGTGCTACTGTAAGTCCATCGAGATAAGCGAGAGAAAATGCCGGGTCATTGGTTGTACACCACGTGCAGAGATAAGAGAAATGAACCACCCAGCAACGGACCATCCTACTTATAAGACTGGCTTAATGTCACAAGGATGGAAGTTACCAATCACCATTGACTCGCCTCCTACTTGCCTGGAAGAGGCTTATATAGCTGCGCGCAGAATAGTACGCGCATATGGAAAACCTAATGTTGCGGTCCAGTTGCGTGACATGCCGAGTGGAGTAGTCCAATACGGTAGTTTGCCCCTATAGATATCACCCGCAATCAAGGTCAACTACGCCACATCCTGGTTTCTATCTGTCCACTCAATCGGGTACGGATATACTCCATGATAATTAGCAACAATCAATTCGAAAATATACCAGCTGTATTTGGTAAGTATGAGACCGCTATATGTATGAATTCATATCATCACATGAGCAACCAAAAAAGAGGAGAAAACCGCAAAGGTCGAAGGGATCACGTCTGATTCAAGGAAATCCATGTAGATATTTTGGTTCTCTGACAGTAGTTACTCTATATATTCCTCTTTTAAATTGATCCAATATCTGTTGGTGGTATGTTAAGAAGGTATAATCAAAGACGTGCATAACTTTGTCAGTATCGTTCAATCATTGCAAGACCTTCCCTTCCAGCATCCTGGGCGGCTTAAAGTTTCGGGGTTATGCAAGCCTACAGGGCTAATTAGAATTTGGATCTGGTCGCAGAGGAGGCCATTGTAGTGCTAATTGACAGGTCCTCACCTTATATTTTGTTTATCTATTCTCAGACAATCGGCCGCTAAACGGGCTTGCTCTGGGTAGGTTGAACCTATCTAGATGCGCCCTCCAGAGAATTCGTCGCTCGATTTTTTTCACCGCCGGGTAGTGAAATACATCAATGTGTCGATCAATCTATCAATCATTGGAAGAATCTATATCAACTGATAGTCCTAAAGGTTGAGGCCATCATGGGACAGTATCTCGATTGTGGTGCATACACCGTGAGTGTAAAAGAGAAATGCGTTGTAGGTATCACGATGTGCCTTCTATTATTGGCAACAAACTATTTATTCGTACCAGCTTCGTAAAAAAAAAATCCATCCCTGACCCGAACGCATCGCGTTGAACATTGGCTTGCGCGAGGCTAGTTAGAGCGACAATCTTGATATGATCCTTGCGTTTCGACTTTTTCTCGAACTCGCGGATTTGCATTGTTGATTCAAGGCCGTCCATGATTGGCATGGAAATATCTGCCATAACTTATATTACAGTGAAGTATTGATTTCTATTCGGTAGAACCCACCCATCAGAATAATACCGATATTGGTGGCGTTCTTTTTGCAAAGACTCGAGAGCTTCTTGTCCATCTTGCGCGATTGCGTAATCACACCCCATCTTTTTCATAAATTCAACCAGGAGTCTGACATTAATATCATTGTCAGCAAAAAGAAGAACAGTTTCGAGTAATTTTTCGACTGTGCAGGCGGGTCCGTTGAGCCTTGGCTATATGTTGGCGGTGAAAAACCGGTCACTTCATTTTGAATTCTGGATTTGGCACTTTGAGAAACAACCCGGTATCGAATTTACTAGGCGTCGGAGGGAATAACGGCCTCACTAGCTCTTCTAGTTTGCCCTTGCCCCCCAGTCAATCCGCCGCTTTGACTTTTGATGAGATTTTCCAATGTTTTGTTCAATTTTCGGGGCCCGCATGGTTGGCTCATAAACTCAAGAACATCTCTTTTCCTTGCTCCCGGGCTGCCACAAACATCGAGTGCGCTATCCTCGGGGAAGAGCATATAAGCATATAATGATGATAGGGGAGGCTAATAGCTGTTCCGGGTCGGGGACGATAGGGTTTGATCTCCATGTTCCCCATGTCCAAGAATTCTTGGGGCGAAATGTAAAAGGCACGATGGAAGAGTTGTGCTTCCAAGATACAACTATTCAGACGTTCATGTCAAGCCAGTCTTTGCCCAGCTTCTGGAAGGATGAACCTAGAGTCACGTCTAGATTGGAACTCCCAGACCTAAAATACCAATCTATTTCTCATAGACCAGATTTCACGTCACCGTGACAAACGAGCGACTGATCGGGTTTTTGGGAGTGTTCAGCTTGGAGATAGATTCATCCTCAAGGGGCGAGAATTCCATGAGAAGCATCGGGCGACAGGCTCTGCACCGAGCAGTGACTAGCGTCTGTGTTGGCTGACATTACAATAGCACCGCTTTCTGGGCCCAGAATTTGTGAACACACAATCTCTGCAGAAGACTGAGCCGTTGATGATTACATGACTATGTGACAAGTGTAGTTGAGATACCAGTCAATGCAACCTAAAGTGATAGATAGGCGTCAGCTCCCTTGAATCATCAAGCCACCACAACATACATTGATCAGTATATGTATGTTCAATCTAAGTCTTTCTATCCCTTCTAACTGCTGTCAAAGGCTGGAAGATGCCATTTCACACCACGATCTAGAAGTTTGATGCCAACAGGGCTTCACAAAGTTTTCATCGGCACCAGCGCCATCCACAGCCATTCTGTCCGTCAGACTATCTTGGTCGATCATGATAAAAAGAATACTTTTCTTCCACTTATTCTGTTTCTTCAGCCATCTAATTTGCCGGATGGATTCAATACCACCGCATACTGGCATTTGAAGGTCCACAAGGATAAGCTGGATCGCAGCTCCTTCACCAGCGGCAGCCAATAGCTGATGCTGCGTACAAATATCGACAGCTTGTATGCCGTTAGTTATGTAAGAGTATGGCAATCCTCTTTTGTTGCAATACCTCTGCATAATGCGGAGGTTAATGACGTTGTTATCGATAAGTAGCGCAGTAGGCCTGGAAGAAGTTGTGAGAGCAGTGAAAACGGGAATGAGCACTCTTGCCTCCACAGGAGCTACTGGATTAAGTTGATATATTGGTGGAACAGTAGGATCTATCCTGGAATTAACTGGAATATCTACGGGTGATTGAGCTGGCCGTCCCTTCGAATTGGACGAATCGACCATAGACCCGGCCTCTTCTTCCATTTTCGTGAGCGAAAGTGAGGGCTCGTCAGATTGAAGTAGGCGTAGCCGGGAGATTTTGGTTATCGAGAGAAGTTTATCTGCTTCTTCAAGCGCGAGGCTTCTGAGGCTAGGACTAGACAGATAGCGATTTGTTCTGATGGAATCTGCGACTCTATATCCGGCGCTCTTCCAAGTCGAGCACAAGATCAAGGATGGCAAAGCAGTCTTCTATGCTGTCCGAAGATATAAAGCCATTGCAGGTAAGGAATCTGGCTAAATAGTCGTATAATGTTGTATCATCCGAGCCAGATGACAGGTTGTGAAGTTTAGAGGGTATGTTCCTGAGCTTCGAGACCAGTGGCTGCGGTGGAAGAGGTGAGCAAGCACACTCAACTTCCCGGAACATGGCTCTGAAATGAAAACTGCGGTCAATGTCTGATGACAAAAGAACGACAGACCCGCAAAGGAGTGTTCCAAATTTGGATGCGAGGGTCAGACCAAGTCCAACGCACCCGACGACTGCGTGTTAACCTTCTCATACAGCTCAAATATACGCGCATTCTTGATGATTAGGGTAGATACCACAGCCATTGTCCTCAATATCGACAATAAGATGAATCAGTTGATAAGAAACGATAATATTGATTTCTATATAACTTAATTTCTATCTTTTATAATATTATATATGAAGATACATCAATTGATATAAAGTATTTATAGTTATTAAGCTCATTCTAATTTATAATACTTTTCTCTGCTTTGTATTTCTTATATTTTAAATTATAGAATAAATTTTGCTTCAGCTGCGAAATCCACCATGGTGATGGACTAGAGAGCTCGAACAGATGGCCATCATATCTAAATAAAAAGGTGAATTAAACTGCGTCTGTTTCTGCTACGCTTGACTGCTGGTTGAGGATGGTTGTAAAAGGGCGCGCAATCGCGAGATAAATTTAGTGCGCGGCAGGATGATCTATACTCAAATCAGCCTGAGCACTCTGCGAATTCACCCTTTTTACTCTTTCGCACGTTTCTTATGATTCTCTTCCCCTGAGGTGACAGATCACGTGTAATTAAAGAGGATGGGTGGACCTTTAGCTTCTATGCCCTGCGGCTAACCTGGAGAGACCTTGATTGGTTAAAGCATGTGGAATTATTCCAGGTACATTTTGACCGGTTGTTGATGGTGTTATCAGCCCATGATCTTGCTCACTAAAGCAAAGCCGATTATAGTCCGAGTCCAACTCATTATTAATAGGCAGCTAATGCTGACAAAACAGCAATAATACTGCTGCGGTCAACAATGAAGGGAAAAGCAACAATGCCCCTCCTTCAGTTTCACCCCACCTATTAGCCAAAACGTGTATTGTGACGGTAACTATCATCAATACAGAGAACGTCGATTGGTCACAGGCTGCGTAAAGTACTTTTATTCGCTAAAATCAGCGTTAATACACCTGTAATACGGCCTAGATGTAAAATAGGATTTCCAGCTCATTCTATTTACAATTATCGCTGCTCCAGGTATATAATATCCTAAATCCCCAGAAGTAAGCAATAAATCCACTTTAATCTTTTATCTCTCACACCAGGACTACTTGATCAAATATCATCAACTCTTCCGCGACGCGCCGTAATTGAGATCTTATATAGTTTAACGTTATCTTCAACCAAATTTATCATAATTCACCAACCATGGCCGACTCCTTCTTCTCCACGATCCAAGCCCGTCGCTCAATTTATGCTATTTCTGCAGCCTCTCCAATCCCCGACTCCCGCATTATCGACCTCGTTCAAAAGGCCGTCTTGCACGTTCCCAGCTCATACAATGTCCAGTCCGCGCGCGCCGTTGTGATCTTGAAAGAGGATCACAAGAAACTGTGGGAAGACGCTGATTCGGCGGCAAAAGCTGCTCTCCCCGAGGCTGTTTACGGCTTCCTTGCACCTAGAATTACCGGGTTCAAGGGCGGATATGGATCGGTGAGCATGCATCGAATACAATCCGTATAATCGAAGGGCGAGCTTTACTGATTACAATAATAGGTCTTGTTTTTTGAAAGCCAGGAAGATTTGGACGGTCTCGCTGCCCAGCATCAAGCTGTTGCACCATTTGTAACAGAATGGTCTGACACTTCATCTGGAATGCATCAATTTGCCGGTACGTGCTTCCTCTAAACGAAACTCATTGTATATATCAACAAGTCACTAACGTTACTTGGACGAAAAGTGTGGACAGCACTTAAAGCCGAAGGCCTCGGCGCAAGTCTGCAGCATTTCAACTTCTTGGCCCCTTGGGCTGAAAAAATCACAGAAGATTACAAACTGCCCAAGGACTGGAAACTTAAGGCACAGTTGGTTTTTGGCACCCCAACGGGTGGGCCCGCTCAGGAGAAGACATTCAAGCCCATTGAGGAGAGAGTCAAGGTGTTCGGCCAGTAATCTACGTGGATTAACTGGCTGGGAGTCGACATTTAGAAGCTATGGTTAAGTAGTCCTCTAGAGAGTAGAACTTAGATTCAAAGCCATATTACGTGGCTTATAGTTATTGATTAGTAAACTATTGAATGTTCTGTTTATCTTATCAATGCCTCGATAGAAAAAACATTCATTGTAGAGCATCATCATTTAGATTAGATAGATACATGATTGTACCACTCGTTCCTCAAGACAAAAGAAAGGCTTCGTAGTTGAAGCGTTCATCCTCATGACCATAATTGTTGCCATCTTTGTTACAATAAGTTTTGTTAGACTAATAGTTGTCATTGCCACGGCGCGAGCTTCCATAGCTATCGTTGTTATTAGAGCTTCCGTAGGAGTCATTGTTGCTGGAGCCGTAGTTGCTGCTGTTGTTGTTGGAGCTTCCGTACGAGTCATTGTTGCTGCTCTTGTTGTTGTTGGAGCTTCCGTAGGAGTCATTGTTGCTGGAGCCGTAGTTGCTGCTGTTGTTGTTGTTGGAGCTTCCGTAGGAGTCCTTGTTACCTGACCCATAGGAGTCATTGTTGCCAGAGCCATAGCTGTTGCCGCTGTTGTTGGAGCTTCCGTACGAGTCATTGTTGCTGGAGCCGTAGTTGCTGCCGCTGTTGTTGGAGCTTCCGTAGGAGTCATTGTTGCTGCTCTTGTTGTTGTTGGAGCTTCCGTAGGAATCCTTGTTACCTGACCCATAGGAGTCATTGTTTCCAGAGCCGTACGAGTCATTGTTGCTAGAGCTATTGTTGCTAGAGCCATAGCTGTTGTTGTTGTCACGGCCAGAGCCATAGGAGTCATTGTTTGAGGATCCGTAGGAGTCGCCCTTGTTGCGACTGTCGGAGCTTCCGAAAGAATCATTGTTGGACGATCCGTACGAGTTGTTATTGTTGTTGCTTGAGCCATAGCTGTCAGAGCCACCACTATACGAGTCGTTGTTACCACCGCCGTAGCCAGAGCGGCCACTGGAGCCGTAGGAATCGTTGTTGTCGTTGTAGCTCATGGTGAAGGATAAAGTATCACAGAAGTGATTTGAAATAGCAAAGAATACTAAAGAGGATATGTAATTGTGGTTCGAATGTCAATACGAGAAAAAATATATAATTACGAAGGGGGCATCGGCACTATTTATGTGCAAACCACGTCTCATACAACGCAAGCTATGATGCAAACGCCCCGAAGGAGGGAGGGGCAATTGAAATGACCTCTAGCAATACGACCGTATGGAGGGGCAGATCCAGCCTTGCTTCCCCCCATCCCAGTCGAAAGAGGAGCTATGATTTGAGAATCGACGCACATCAAGATTCGAAGCTAAGCTGCAGGTGGATGGCGTGCTGGGGGAAAGACTCGGAAATGAACGAAAGCCAAAATCTATCCTCGAGAAGCTGAGAGCATGTAATAGTGGAATACCCCAACATGTGGCTAGTGGAGGAAAGCTCTCTGGTGGAGACAAAACAATAATTATGATTGATTGCCTACGTACTAGTGGCAGTGCTTTGGTCGATGGAGAATCACGCAGGCGGCTAATTTGGGCAACCTGGCCTCGGTCAATCGGTCAATCACCGATCGGCAAGAGATCTGTGTTGAACGATCGATCATCGATTCGATGTAAGCAGCGTAAGCCGAATAAACTCGCAGTCCCAGAGTCCAACAAGGTGGTCGACGTGAATACTCCTGCTTATCAGCATGTCCGCCCTCCTTTGGAGTATGTCTCCCTTCGCAAGTCAACCGATGGAGGTCACCAACAAGCATTTCACGCAGCTAATCATCACTATCCAACCAACAGAGGACACGGCGTCACGCCTCCATGGAGAAAGCCAATTACGAGCTTGTACGACACGCGGGAGACGAGAAGTTCGCCACAGCGGGGTGGATGGATTGCATCTCAGATTTAGGTCAAGAGCTGGCCAATTTTTAGCTCATCACAATACCGGAGAAGAGCAAAAACACAAATGGTTCGGCGATGGCGAAAAAACCTTAGGCAAAACTATGTTCATGATTAGCGCCACACCAGCTGGTGGCTGAGCGGGGTTGTCCAGGTGTGGCTGTGCGACGCAGTTTTTCTCCAAAACAATAGAACACTACCCACTCTAGAAGTAAATAACTCGCGCCAAATACGTCCAAGCAGTCGGAATTCCCGCTGATGCATGGTATGTTGACAAAGTGAAGGATGTTGAGAGGAGAAATCTATCGCCAAAAAAGACCCGGTCCGACGAAGCCGCAAGTGCCCACTGAGGGGTTCGTTAGTCCACCCTAGGTTCGTCTAGTTTTACCACTGTGGCTGGTTGATTTCATTTCCGCTCAGAAAAAGGAGCAACAAGCTTCCTAAAATGTCAGGTTACACCTTCAAAAGTGGCTGTGCATTGTACTTTGGCGGGGGGTTCATATTTAGTATTACCCAAGGGGGGATGATGCTGGTAAGATCTCGGGTTGAATCATTGGATTGCACAAGGCCATAGCGCATGCAATGCCGAATTGGAACATGTCCCAAAAGGAAAATTTGTCCTTGTTGCGTCAAATTGGCTATGATTAGGTGTGAGACGGCATACCATGATGTGATTGACTTGCAGCGAGCCACAGCCACTAGCCACTGGATGACGCATGCAGTCCGTTGCTTGTGCGGCTGAAGCAGCTCCACGTTGACATGATAAAAATGGTCTATGTCGAGTCCATTTTAATTTTTAATTGGCACGAAAATAGCGCACTGGCAATAGATAGGCCGAGGCCGGAAAGGAGAACATTCAAGGCAAGCTCTTCCCACGCGGTCCTGGCGAATCAGGCTGGAAGCGACTTTCGAAGTCCAGTTTCTGTATCAATTGATCAATACATGTACGGAAGAAAATATATTCAAGTTGGTACGTAGAAAAGCCATAATGGAACAATAGCAAAAGGTGGACACACTAGTCTAGACAGAATAGAAACAGAAATCGAAATAATAACAAGTTTTGCCGAGCAAAGTAACACATTGCACTTTTTGATCCGATTAAACGGAATGATCAAGTGCATCGATAGGGTAGTAATAGTCGTATCTATCACAGGAATGTCAGTTCCTCAATGCGACTTGGTGCAAACACGTCTTTCCATTCATTCCACATGTATTCTAATTCCTTCAGATACCTTTCATGCACCTCGTCGATATCATCTGTATTAAAATTATCCTGCTCCTTCAATGTCGCAATCGGTCTCCCTATGACAACACTAACAGGTCGTCGGTGAGGCATAATCCCGAAGTCAAATCTATATGGGCCTTTTGTATAGAAAAACGGAATAGTGAAACCGAATAGCTTTTTGAATAACAAGTGGGCCTTCGATAGCATTGGTTTGGTGTGCAGATCAGCGACATCGTAAAGATCGTTCTCACCAAATGCTAGGACAGGCACAATATCAGCACCTGTACGAATAGCCAACTTGATAAATCCCTTTCGGTTCTTAATTACTGCGCGGAACGTTCCCGGTTTTGCTTCAAGCGATTCCTTCGCACCACCAACGACAATAGCAACGGCGTGTCCTTCGCCTTTATCGTCTTTTCCACCCTTTGTCAGAATTTTTTCGATTGATTCGCGTGCGACGCTGCCAAATCCCAGGGCAAGTAAGTAATCACGGAAAACTGGAATTCGAAAGTTTGAATCTAGAGTGAGAAGCGTAGTCTCAATTCCTGGAAACAATTCACCGAAACCAAGAGTTTCAGTTGCAAAAGTTGCGAAGACGCCATATGAGAGGATACCGTGAGGGTGGCAGCTGAATATATATTTCTTGTTGGTTGGTAGTTCCGTAGAACGGTACAGTCGGATCGGGAAGTACGATACCAGCAACTTCCAGATCAGATGTGATCGTAGGCTCTTAATACGGCGTCTCTTTGGTATAATATAGGAACATAAGACGGATATCGCTAGTGGCGTGATCGTTGGCAATGGCCATCGGATGGCGCAGGATACGATAGGAATCACGAGGAATACAGGATATATGGTGATAATATGATGAAAAACCGACCAGGACTGGAGAAAACGCAGGAAAATGGAGAGTGACCGCCCATTTTTTGTGCTAGGAATGTCAGTTTTAATTAATATAAGATCATGGATTCAAATTCATACTCAGTGTTCTGCTGGCCTGGAAGACCTCTGTGGGATATGATGAGATTCCCGTCATCGTCGGACGTTGACTGTCTAGATTTCTGGAGGCGAAATAAGCTTCTTGTGCCAGGATCATAGCTAACCAAGACCATGGTCTTGTCACTAGTCACAATTGGCTGTTCAACTGCATTGATTCTAGATTGATGAATATATTCATGACGCCCTAATTTAGAGGGCAGAGTGTAGCCAGATAGGGCATTTATTCCGCGAGGAAGCATCGTGGGTTAATGACCCAAACAACGTCGGGCTTTTCGATTATAAAATTGCACCAACCTTCGTAAAGTGAGGGTATATAAGAACATTAAGTTAAGGCTATAGATGGTATTTATTGATCAGATAGACTCGGATTACAGTCTACTTAGCCTGGAACACGTCACCTTCACCTGCCAAGCCAACCACCAGATATTGGAATGTAAGTAAGCAAACCAAGGGATTATTTCCGAGGCATTCTTAACTATCCCCTCATGTGAACAACTTGTGACGAAGCTGGGAATTTTAACTTTTACTTTTATCGTCAATAGGCTCGAGAAGAAGGAAACGCTTTACATATCAAAGTGAGTTTAGCACTTATATATAGCGTAATCACAGGTCAGGAGGAGTCGGATTTCTTTTTAAGATTATAGGGAGTTTATTATGCTAATTGGGTTAATATAATAAGTCAGGCCAACGATGGTATCAATGAAGCCGAATAAAAATAGCGAGGTTGAACAATTCAATAATTCTTAATAGGCATAAGGTCTATTGACTTTTCGAGATTTTAGAAATACGGCATAGGGAATAGACTCCACACACGTTACCCCTGTTCAAGTGCTGGGTACTAACAAATAAGTAGTTTCTCACCTCTGACTAGCTAACGACGTGGATCCTTCCTGATACAATGCGCAAGCCTTGTTATTACTATCTGGCCTAGGAAGTTTCTTACTCTGCGAATCTTACAAATCAATTGTCAAATACGGCCTGCTAAAATCTGTGGATTATGGGAATGTCTCATTCTGATAACACAATGTCGAGGGCGTGTGTGTATTTCATTTCGTAGTATCGTATTAGAGTTAAAGCGACCAGCAGTATCACGTGTGCAATGGATATACATCGATGTAGGAGACAAAGATACCCTCAGATGCGGCTTGTAAAAATCAACTGATATGCTGAATCCCTTTGATTACTATTTTTAGCCTTTATCGGTTTGTCGCTGTCCTTTAACATTGAGATCTTATTATTACGTTACAGAGGTTAATGATTACAATCAGTGCAGCCACGTCGATGATACTTCAAGCAGAAACGTCGTTTTTAGTCCCTTCTAACTAGTGATAGTTAGATCTGGCTTATATGCATACGAATATTCTCTCAAAATTTGGAATGAAAGTCGACCTCTTCCTAAAGTATTTCTAAGTTAGGTCACATGGAAATGTGCCTCGGTTACTATACCCACCACGGCGCCACATTTCGCGGGGTGGACCAGGAAGACCAAAGAAAATTTATATATAATGGATATACTACTTTTTAAGCTCATTGAAACATTAATAATTTAGTTTCTTCAAAAACGCTTAATGTGAAGAGCGTGTTAAACTTCATTCAACTGGGGAAGAGACTAAGCGTTGATCCTGTGGATCATATCCATAAAGACTAAACCCGAGGAAGCAATAACTAGCAATTAGCTGCAGCGTTTGACATTACACTAATCTATTACAGAACTGGAGTTTTCTCTTTCATTTGTTTCACAAGAACATTTCCGCGGCAAAAACAGATCCTGCGCAATGTGTCTCCTAGGTATCTTTGCTCTTTCACGAAATCAAATGCGCTAAGTTAACCAAATTCTAATACAATACGCTTTCACAGGCCTTTTTAGATGCTTTCAAAGAGGGGTTAGCCCTCTCTTTGCAATCCTTGCCGAGTGCTAACTTTAATGACACTGCCCCTTCTTTGTCTACCTCAACCGATTTTATTGGACGACGAGTGTTTGATCGACCAAGACAAATAATGAGCCTTAAGAGACTCGTGAACACATATGCAGTGTAACCGAGGCATGGGTAGTTGAGAATAAGTTCTAGCGAAGAGAGGACAAAGAAGATAAATAGGAGATAAACCCAACAATGCTGCAATAAGCACTATAGTAAAAGTTGGCTTTCAGCACATGTTTGTCTTCGAAGCTATAAAGAGAGGCTTGAAACATGGTTTCTGAGAACCCACCAGCGACCCACAAGCAAGAAGTAAACACAAGGACCCAGAAACGCCACATATCAGAAGAGCCATGGACTCTGTGGAACTGGTACCAGCATATTTACTGGCCATACTTCACCTTTCTAGTTATTATACCATTACTTGGAATCAAAGCCGCCATTAATACTCCTCTTCACAGAGAGACTTTGATCTTGAGTACGATTTATTATTTTATCACAGGTTTATGTATCACAGCTGGTATGTGCCACGTCCTACATTTTCAGGACAGCCTGCTGACCGTGTACAGGATACCACCGCTTATGGGCCCATAGATCCTATTCAGCTTCGTTCCCTTTGAAATTCCTGCTCGCATTATTTGGGACTGGTTCCTTGACAGGATCTATCATCTTCTGGGCAAGAGACCATCGAGCCCATCACCGATTCACTGACACCGACCATGACCCTTATAACGTGAAGAAAGGGTTTTTCCATGCCCACATACTATGGCTCATCTTGAAACAGCCAAAAAAGCATAACCCGGTTGATATTTCGGACCTCAGAAACGATCCACTTGTTAAGTACCAACACCGCTATTATTTCCCTATTGCCTTTTTCATGACTTGGGGCTTCCCGACTCTGGTCGCCGGCCTCGGTTGGAATGATTGGTATGGAGGATTCATATATGCCGGCATTATACGCACTTTTCTTGTTCAACAAGCAACCTTTTGCGTCAATTCATTAGCTCATTACTACGGAGATCAACCATTCGACGATAAGCGTTCTGCACGAGATCACTATTTAACATCTGTCATTGCTTTGGGCGAAGGATACCATAACTTTCACCATGAATTTCCCTCAGACTATCGGAACGGTATTGAATTCTACCATGCTGATATTACAAAATGGCTCATTCTCGTCTTCAAAACAATCCGCTTGGCTAGCGGTCTCAAGACCTTTAGGCAAAACGAGATTGACAAAAGTCGTGTCCAGCAAGCTTATAGGCGGCTTGATAAGAAAAAGGATGTTCTCGACTGGGGTATTCCACGGGAGCAGCTCCCTGTGATGGAATGGGAGGAGTTTCAGAATGGGGTAAAAGAGGGGCGCGCGTTAATTGCAATTGATGGCGTAATTCATGATGTAACTGGGTTTATTACTGAGCATCCTGGGGGAGAAACAATGATTTCATCCCGAGTTGGCAAGGATGGATCTGCAGCTTTCAATGGAGGTATTTATAAACACTCAAATGCGGCTAACAATGTTCTGGCAACAATGCGAATCGCAGTGCTTCTTGGGGGTTGTGAAGTGGAAACTTTGAAGGGCAATACAAATATGGAAACCAAGGAAAAAATGAAGATAAAGAGCTAGTTAGAGCGATTATGGAAGATTTACAAAGAGCTTTCAATATAATTGTTCACTGGTGTTATCATTCTGCCTATAATATACAATTCTTTTGTTTGAAAATTCGTTCACAGCATGAAAACAACATGAAAGCAATGTTTGTTTATATGCACACACGTATATGTATAAATTGTCATGCTTATTACCTACATAAATGAAACGTACAACTGTTATTGTAGCATTTTATATACTTGATCAAGTATTGATTTACGACATTTTGGAAAGAGGATGCCGGCAAAGGGAACATTTGTCCGGTTTTCCAAGTATTTATTCGAGAAAGTAACCAAATAACTCAGGCAGTATTTGAGAAGGACCAGTCAACTCATGTCATATTGTTGTCTATCTAGACGACAAAACTAACCTTAGAGGAAGAATTATGATATAAGCAGAATTTGACGTTTTATTTCTACCCACCGAATCAGTTATAGTACGCTCAGTGAGTGCTCAGCACGGATCAGTAAAGGAAAGGTGATAGGTTACATAATATCATGTAAAAGTGGCAAGCGTTGTTTTTAGGGAGAAGGAGGGGAAGCAGCAAAGACAGCCGCATATCTCTGTACGTATGTGGTACATTAATATCAATTGATGTAATGATATTACCAATTAATATATATGAATACTAAATATGCTGGTAGCGTTGATATCATTATCAATTCTGAAAAGATGAGACAATTGACTTCTATAACTAAGTGGGCTAAGAGGGGCGTTTTATGCCTGGAAATCTGACAAATATTAGGATATTTGTCATGGTTTAGAGAGGTCAGATATTTCATAAATAATATATGAAACATGAGATATGGGAGGTCATATTTGTAAGTAAGATATCCCAGCAAATTAATAGAGCTAGTCCATAGCAGCATCAATTAATTTATCTTTCGCGTCATGGCTGAACTAGGCCTGAGACCTACTCCTAAACATACATAAGACCGTATCTTTGATATACTGGCTAGTAGTTACTACAATAAGTAGCTCGATAACAGGGTAGAACCCAAGTTTAGCTCATAATGATTTAGAAGAGAAAAGAATATTTATTTTTCATTGTAAAGTGACACCAATAACTCGACGAAATTGGCAGCACTCGGAATACAAATCTAGAATCTTACAACTCCCTCCCGGTTGAGCGCCACCCCCGCAAAGTTATAAGTTTCGATCATATCAAGTAGTTAGCTCTATCTTTCTTAACCAAGTTACATCATCGAGAAAGTAACCCTAAGGAGTCGAAGAATCTGAGTGATTCCCTTGCTCCACGTATCATCCTTCTGCGGCCTGTCCCGCTACATCAGCCGAACCAATGAAGGCTAAAAGGAATTCTAGACGATTCTATCAATATCACTTAAATCAGAAGAGAAAAGGGCCAAGGGATAATTGCGTTATAGTGTGTTAGCTACTCGATATCGTGTAAACCTCGTAAAAGGCTAAAATATTGTCACAAAAATGCTCAACAGTCAACCATTTATAGAGTCGGTGAGGATTCATTGACTTCACAATAATACAAAGAAAATATGGCCTATCTATAAATGGTTGCATATTCAATGGAAATAAGAACCAGGGTTTTGAGGCTGTCAGCCACCTAACCGCCAAGGACAAGGGTAACACTGGTGGCTTGACGCCACGCAACCACGGAATGAACTAAACAAACAAAATAACAGATACAAAATTCCCGACACAGGCTTCTCAAAGTTATAAATCTAACAAGTTAGCTATTTAAAAGGATCTACGAGCTGGAAACCCGATTTGTCGACTCAAAACACAGCGCTAGACCAGAAAGAGCTTTAGATGGCTGCATGGGTAACATCATGATTGTCATCTTTTAAGCATTACCACATTAAGCAGTTGCTGACGCATTTTGTGATTGGTCTAGCCAACAAGATCTGTATACACCATAATTAAGTAGGCTTACCAGTAGCACGACCTTCCCTCGAACGAAACAAGACTACAACTAGATGGACATTAAATTATGCAGTAAAGATTGACTTTGCCAACATCCAACACGAACTGAATGAATTCATAGGCTTTACCGGCTACCTTGGATCCCGTTGGTCGCCTATAAGTACTCCAGACAAATTCAAGGAACTGAGAACTTCAACAGTCGGTTCAACATTCAAGAAGCTCACTGTGTCAATTTATGAGGGAATCTGATTCCTCTCCATCTGTCTCATTTGAATTGTGTCCACCACGGAAAATATTACATTTCCAACAAAAGAAAAATTTGCCACGTTCAAAATTCAAGGCTTGCCCCAGCGGGGATGCCATCCTTTTACTAGTTCAGATGCATATGATGACCCTTTTTTCAGCCCCAAAATATCCTCCCCCGGACTTTTGTTGCATCTAGATCGCTAGAATAAGTCTGAATCTTACTCCTACCAGCCTATTTTGAGTCTACAAAGCGTTGGCGAGTTATCCATTCTCTTAACACCGCGTACTCCGTTGTTACTAGTAACATCACTTTTATCCAATCAGTTTTAACGAAGGACGATAATTGGAAAGCCGAGCAAATCAGGAATTGTATCTGTGGGCATCTTTTCTATTTCCGTATATCAATCAATTAACCGATATTTGAAGCGAAATGATGCTACGCGTTTAGTACATCGTTACATTCACCCAATACGCTAAGTACTATCTAGTTGTCACGCGGAAGAAATTGAAGCATAACAAGGACTATATTTCATAGCAGCTCCAGACCATGATCGACAGTATAAATGAGTCCTAAAACCCACGACAAAATCATTCTTCCCAATCATCACTACAAATCATATCTCAAGCCAAGAAAAAGTCTTCCCAAAACTCTATATTTCCCTTCAGGAATTCCCATATCCAAAATCAAAATGTTTGCCCCCAAGACCATCATCGCCGTTCTCGCCGTCATGGCCGGCCTTGCCTCTGCTGCCCCTACCGCCACGCACAAGACCACCTTCGCTCTCGGTAACGGCAACCCTGCTTCAGGTGAAGGTGGCTGCGTCCTCGAGGTCGCTTCAGAGGTTGGAATTGGCTGCGTATCCATTGTTGTCCTTGACGGCACAACAAACTGTGACAAGCTCTCCACCGAGAAGTCTGGCCCTGCCTGCAACGGTACCGCCACGGTTGACTTCTCTGCCTCTCCTGCCAAGGCTACCTTTGTTGAGGGTGACTTCACTGCTTCTTGCACTCTCAATGGCACTACCTGCAGCACCTCTTCTTAAATTTACTTCTTCTGATTGATATAAGGTATGTTTGCTTTGGTCTTATATTATACCGGCCATAATACTAACAAATTCAATGAATTCAGATCGCCCGATTGATAAAATTGAAAATTCAACGTAAGCATGCCACTAAGAAAGCTCTCGAAGGAGGAAGAGTCGGGCAGGATTATGCAAAGCTAAAACTGTGTTCATATAAACCTTTTCCTTTGTCTCTGCATGCATTACATGTTTGGGTGCTTTTTGAACTCTGTATATATTTTATGTTGGCGACTGTACATACGCATGCCACCCGTCAAAAAATGATGATCGACTGATAGAACATCGAACATAAAACCTCGCTCGCTCCCATCTCCGTTCTAAAAGAAGTATGATCTACCAGTAGAAAACTTGAATATGTTGAAAGCCCTAATAATTCGATGTATTTTGGACTAGATGTATGATCGCCACCGTTATGTATATCCATTGATAGTGGGCGGAAGTCGATCCGCATATGAATACACCGAGATCCGTAGCCCCATGTCACTTCAACGTCAAATTCGCGTTACTACGGCATTTTCTCCCTATTGTTCTCAGCTGTTCTGGAGGTCGATTGAAGTGGCCTTTATGAATGAGGTTATGGCGTCATGACTTCACGATGCCTTATTTCGATTTCATCTATAATGATAGACTCTATATGCACTTGAAATCTTGGGATAGGTGAGTTTGTTGACCTCTGTAAATACTTATAAAGGAAGCACTTATATATACTTATTCAGCTACCCATAATTCCATAATCGTTGGACTGGTGTCATTTATTTTAGTTAAGTTATAGATGGCAGCCAGAGCCCAGTCGGGGTGTGATAGTCCAGTGCACTTATACACACCCCCAATATTTCATAAAAAACAGAATATTGCATCGAATTTTGAAATTCGAAGAATGGAAACGGCCAGTCTCGTAAAAACGGAATGGGAGAGGACAGGTAAGCTAATGGTCCCAACGAGGCTCTCAAATGTTAGAGAATCTGAAGTAACCCTAGCTTTGCTCCTAACATGACCCATCCAAATATAAAACTTACAATTCTCGCTGCAAACTTTATACTTAAACAAATAGTACAGAGATAAATGAGTATATATTTGAAAATTTACCAAAATACATTATCCACACATTGATTGAGAGCGATGAGCACTTTGAACGCGACTTTTTCGAGGTCGGACCATATGATATCCCGCGAGGTTGTCTATCTGTCACCAATGAACAGAAATTAATTTCATTTTCGTTATACATGCTATCCCAGAATAATCTCGCATGAAGTTAATTAAAAATACATTATCAAAGGTCGCCACGCTCCCAATCTCCGGAATTTGATCTAGCAACAGTGTAGAGTCAAGAGCTTCAACACCGTTTTTGACTCATAAACAGTCCAAGATACCACCATGAGCTTCCATCCTTACCATATCTAAAATGTGGCTGGCTCTGTATTGTCTTTGCAAAGCAAACCAGGTCTAGGTTCTGGCTTGTCTAGTCGAGTGGCTTGGTTTCTGCTCATATGCTATGATATATGTAATCAAGGATTATAGTGTGAATGGCGAATTAAAGCATCCTGTACATCACAGTAGCTAACGTCGACATGAAGCAGTTTTGTAGTGATCTGACAAGCTACATACGTAGTTAAGAGACTCGCGTAGACATACATATGTAAGGTCGAAGCGAATAACATAGAATGCTTGTCATTTATAGCCATGCACAGTAGAAATTAGTATGGCATCAATAGAAGCGTACAAACTGGAGGACCCAACGATATTCGCTACATATCTTACCTACAAACGTGTACTATGCAGATAAAAGTAATATCCCAATAACAATTAAACTGAAAAATGCACCTATTGCTTTAGCAATAACTTAACGCCACAGAATAATGTATAAAACGGCTCTAGCTCCGCATTTCGCACGAGCTTCCACTTCGACCTGCTACCTGTACACAAACCACCAGCCCTTGAAACGGTAACCCAACCAGCTATTACTCAGGCACCCTACCAGGACGAATATCTGCTCTCTTCGGTGCAATCAGAGGATGCCACTGGGCAAGTAACGTGATAGCTACAAGCAACAAATCAGCACACGACCAGAACTCTAGAACAGCTTTTTTATAAGACGAGCAAAACGTACCCCACATGAGATAACAAGCCGTAAAAGCGAGGATGAGGCTGCTCCGCCAGACACTATTTGATTCCATCCGTCAGCATGAATTCTCATTCAGAACATCCCAAGCACTAGCATCGATAGAACAAAGGGAGAGGTTACGTTTGATTATCGCCCTTTGGCGAGAAGAACCATGCGCAGAGACTGGCGAGAACGACGAAGATGAGGCCGATTATAATGCTCGCGCTGTTATATCAGACGGATTAGCGATGCTCTGGTTAGGGACGATGCACTAGGGAGCGAGATGTACCCATTCGCCATTGTGATAAGAGGTTTATGCTCGGTGTTTTCAACCGCTTTGGTGGATGAATAAAATTGAAGTATTATGTCGCGGCCGAGACGAAACGATTCGAAGATGCGCGGTCTGTGCAGACGTAGCTAGAGCTATTCCCCCTATCCACAATCTAGCGTGTGTATAATAGCTACCCAAAGCACTTTAAATTCAAAAGCCTAGAAAGAAACCCGTATTCTCTAGATATCCCGATCAAAATTATAGTCGCAAGGAAACTAGCCTCCTGTACCGATGATCGTTCCGGTGCGGTTCGCAAAGCTCTGAGTCGTTGAAATTCCGTTTCTCGGATGTGCGTTATAGCATCCGTTCGTGGATTCAAAGAGTGAAAAGAAACAAAGTAGTAGGTGGCGCGAAATAGCTTGGTGTTTCTGGTGATTTCAAGGTGGTGTTGGACTTGCTGTCTCCGAAAGCATGTCACTGGCAGGTCTTGGCATGGCAAAGCTTAAGCCGTTAATCATGTGACACCTCTCCATGATATCAACTTTCTGCAACTGAAATGCGAAATATATTGATTGATATACGATCAGTCTAAAATCCAGGTGAAAATAAGTAAAATGATGTTCGATTAATCATCGTATGGAAATAGATTTAGATAGCAGAGAAAAAAAGGGGTCTCTGCACCAGACAGATCATCAAGCAACCTACACGGAAGAATCCTTTCTTGTAGGAAACGACGGTATTTATACGATCCGGGAATCTCAAACATAATAAAAAACTAAAATAAAAAGAACATTTCATAACCAGTACAGAGCAGGCGGCAACGATTCGAAAAGCAGTCTCCCGACATACAAAGCTATACTGAGCGTTTAGGCGCCTTCGCGGCTCTTGCGGTAGTTAGCCTACGAGCTTCTATTTAGTATGATCTGGCGTATATGCGGGCGTAATGGGAAATACCTCTTGCTCTACCTGTAATCCGTCAACCACGGGGGCTAGCTCGGAGAGGATCTCGTAGGCCCGCTTGTGGTATTCTAGCTGAGCGGCAATCAAATCCGCGAGGTTTCGGAGAGGTTCAGGGGTGTCGAGGACCTGAATATGAATTAGTTATGCCACAGAAATATTACTATTGATAGTAGGCACGTACATTCTTCATCACGCTGACAGCCTCCTCGGTTTGTCCAACAAACTCATCCTCAGCCTGCTCAATTTCGACACGGGCGTCCTCGGTCAGGTTGTCCAAGTCGCCGTGAGCGGCAGCCTTCTTGCCGGCCTTGATAGAGTCGAGGGTGAGACGAGAGTTTTCGACATTGCGACGGGCCTTGGCGGCAAAGGTCAGGTTGGTGTTCAGAGTTGTGTTCCATCCAGCCAAGAAGCGGGACTGGATCTGCCCATCCTGGGCCAAACGAGCCTCGCCGACTTTCTCCAAGGCGAGAGCATATTTCTCAAGAGCAACGGCAAGAGGGTCTTCGCCGTGCGTACTCTGGGCGATCAGCTGTGATCCTGCAAGGGAGGCACGTGCAATGGCATGGTTGAAGGTCTTGGGCTGTGGCTTAGCAGAGGGCGGTGCGGTCAAAGCAGCCTGGGCTTCGGCGGGGGAGGAAGCGTGCGACAGAAGCTGAACTTTTTCGCCGATGGTGCGGCCGAGATCGTTGAAGGATTCCCGGATGTTTGGTGGGTAGTCATAGGCTTCGTTCGAGTATTGAGAACTGTCTCCCGGAGCAAGGGGGAAGAGTGTAAGCATGCGGGGATGGTAGTAGGCAACCAGGAAATCACAAGCACATACGTGACAGAAAGCAGCTTCTGGTGGACCTGCTTCAAGGCATCCACGCGCTTCTCGAGCTCGATGTACTCGTCCGGTAACTGCGTCTTCTCGTCGGCTGTGCCGAGCTGTTCCTTGACAAACTGCGATGTGCGAGCTGCAAAAGGCGTGAACTGGGCACTAGCAACAGAAATCAATTAGCATCACCCAAGTCCCAGCCATGATGTAGGCTAGCCGAATGGGACGGCAGCACAATGCTTCCCTCAGCTCGTGGATGCAGCTCACTTGAAGTTCTTTCCAAAAGCCTGGAGCTTGTCCATCTTGATCAACTTGAGAGATAAATCGATGGGAGGATAATTTTTTGAGTTGTTCAATCGGGCTTGGATGCAAGGATAGCTTAATGGCGGACTAGAGTTCGTGATGTTTCAAATGCGAGATATACCATCAGTGGCCCAGCCAGTCTAGCCCGCCGCCCGCACCCTGAACAAACTGTCCACTTGCGGCTGATACGTTGTTGCCTAAGGCAACCCGCAACACTCTTTCTCTGACAAAGTCCATACCAGTGCCAAATCAGTGTCCAATATTCGATTCTACAGTCGAGAATTATGCAAGTCTAGGCCTATAGCCTAATACAATTATCATTAGAAATAGATATCGCCAATGGTGAACTAATGTTCAGTGGCTTTAGAAATGCGGGGCATTATTATGCAGGCACCTCTGAAGTCATCGACAGTTGGCAAGGAGAAAAACAAGAGTAAAGCCCGAGATCCACCGCGCCTATCAATGCCAGATGATATAATTATATCCCTTGATTCCTTTCCTCCATCATGTAGGCCATTATTATGGTACAATCAGCAAAAATCCTCGCAAACAACGCCGAACTTCATAACTCGATCATCATATTCCATCTAAAACAATTGCTCGATCATGAGTTCACGTTAGAGTTTTCATCATGGCACGTAGGAGCCGGGAGTCGGGAGCTGTACGGCAGATTAACGGGTATTCATTCTTAAAAGGAGTTTTTGACTGCGGCTTACCTTTCCGGTCTTTCTTGATTTCGATATACTCGTCCGTCTCGCCGTCACTCCGCTGCACAATCTTGTCGTTGATGATGTCTACAGAGCCTACATGCTCCGGCCGACGCTCTATCTGGAGGATCTTCTGTTCCTCCTCTAATGCGCGAATTTCCTCGCGGACATCATTACCAGTGTACTGAGGCCGTCCGATGAGGACGACGGGACCAGTTCGGACTTCACTAGATTCCCGACGGCTTTCAAAGAGCCTGGGTGACACCGGACGGCGGAAAGTGGCTGATACCGACCGTGGCCGCGTTTCTATGATCTCTGGTGCTTCCAGGAAACGACCGACACGCACCCGGGAAGGACTCCGCTGTCGGTGACTAGACGGTGACCTTTCCAAGACGTACGCCTCAGCGTGTCTCGGAGGAGAGGCAACAACGACACGTTCGACAAATTCGCGTTCGCGTCTGGGAGAGGGCGATGGAGATTCATACGTCCGATAGGTAACGGCTACAAGAGTTAGCAACCTTCATCCATTGGGCCAGCTCATATCTCACTTTCTGATCGACGTTTGAAATCCTTGCTCAGATTGACGACTTCGTCAATGAGCTCCTTAGAAAGGGCCCGCTGAATGATGATAACTTTGTCCTAGGAGAGGGTAAGCCTAGAAAACGTCGTGACGCCATGGTCATGCAATACCTCTTCACTATACGGGTATCCAAGCTGTTGGATAGCACGTGTGTCCACCAGACGCCTGGGCATCTTTGTCTTGCCTTTGCGGGGATATGGTTTATCCTCTTTAATAATTCTCTCCTCCACGATTTCCTCTCTGACCGGACGACGCATCTCGCGTTCTCGGAAATGACGAAATTCTTCGTCTCCGTAGTACTCGGGCTCTGCAATATCGATTTCCTCGTAGACGTCTCGTCGGCCCGGCGATGACGGCCGTCTGTGATGAGACTGGCGGACACCGACAATGGGAGGAGCCCGTTCTATTCTGCGGGCAGGCTGTCTGTCAAAGGTGTCAAGGGAAGACTGACGCCTAATCAACCGAGGCGGACGAGGGGGCGTTTCGTCACGGCGACGGATGAGGGGACCTGAGCCACGGGAAGCATAAAAGTCATCTTCTTCGACAAAGCGCTCTCTGCGACGAGAGGGTGGGCCGTACCGGTCCTCTTCAACAAAGCGTCGTTCGAAACGCTCATCGTCGCGGCGAGGGTCGAAGTCGTCGAATGGCGGAGGGCGTGGTCGCGAGCGTTCCCTGACCGCAGCAGGCGCCGGACCACGATACATGCGCTCATCACGCTCGCGGGCGAACCGTTCGGAATCCCAGCGCCCTCCGCCACTCTCGTAGCTTACGGTCGAGGAGCGCTCGTCGTAAGGAGGCATCAGGGCGATGAAGGCGGCGGAATCACACGATTTAAGATGAACGCGCGATGGGTAAACAAACCGTCAGCCCAACCGTGGGTGTGACTCGGGAGAGCGATGCGAGAACCGTGGATGACCGTCTCCGCTGACTGGGAGCCCAGCGGGGCTCGTTGCGGTGGTGGGGGGGAGAATGAGCCAAAGAGATGGGCTGCGAAGTCTGCAATTGCGAGGCTCGTAAGAACAGATATAAGAAACCGAATGTAGTGGCCTAGTATCGAGGCTTCTTTTTTTTCTCTGTCTTTTTTTTGAGAGTGGAGAGATGGAAGACGAAGGGAAACAGTATTCAGCCTGGTCTGGTTGGGCAGGATCAAGTGACGATGACGCTTGACCACTGGCAGTGGCGGCGTGGGGCAGACAGGCGACTAGAGACCGACTGCTGCAGCCTCAACGCCCCGTCTCAATCAATTGCTGTCGGGCAGACGCAGGAACAGCAGGAAATGAATAAGCAGTCTGATCCAGATCAGATATGAGCTGTCAGGAACATGCATAGCATCCTCCCTTGCTTTTATATACTGACAATTGCGTTTGTGTTTGGAATATACCCGCTTTCATGTGATCTATAAATATACTCGGCGCTTTCCTGTGTATCAGCCTTATAGGCCACGACTGATGTGCTCCTATTTGCCGCGCTGTTAAAACGCTGAGACACCAGTTAGCATTGACGACAGAATCGACAAATCATATTCAATGTCTCTGCGACAGAAGTATCTTTTAAATAGACGTTCTACATGGATGCTGTTTATCACCACCTATACCATTGCTCTTGAGTAGGTGGAGCAGATCTAAAAGTAGAAATGCATGTAGAAAATGAGCAGCCATTATGTTCACATGATTTGTAAAAAAATGCAAGCTCGTAGGGGTATCATTCACATTGTTCGGCACATAAATTACATATTCAAACATCATTACTGATTCAAGCGCGTCAACGAATTCCAAAAAGACCCAATATCGTCTTCTCCACAACCCATCGAGCCAGCTGTCCAGCTACAGCAAGCACCACAGCTCGCAAGTACCCACAGTTCAAAAGGATGTAAAGGGCTTCAATGTTGTTCAGCAAGACCCACTGTGTGTTAGCCGCGCCTAGTGAGAAGAAGGAAACCAGAGAGTGTAAATCAAACGTTGACAGAAACGTGGCTAGCGATGTAATTTGATCAAGGAATGGTACGGACGCAGATTGTACTGAGATAGTTTCATCACTACTACCGGAAATCGATCCCAATGGTGCTGCACCATGCGTTGAAAGTCTTGCAGTGGATAGCAAGGACGATGTGGCAGTCTTGACAGCTTGGTGCACGATCGTTGCAGTAGCGCCATTACCAGCCAAACTTGCTTCATCAGGAGTTGTGGTCTCCTTGGACCCCCATATAACTAATAGTATCGGAAATAGCTTGGGACAGCTGCTGACGAATAAAGCAGTGCTAACGGCATTCGGGCTCGGAGGTGATGGTGGGAGGAGAGGCTGCACCTGCACGGGGGCAGTTGATACACGGCGTAGTGGCGTCTGCATCCCTGATGGGGGTGAGACATCGGGCGGCCAGTACGATGGAGGCAGGTGACCGGTATTGGGAATCGGAGAAGGGGGCCTTTGCAGCATGTCGTGACTAGAAGGAGAGCGACTCAGATTGACCGCTGGTGTGCTTGCCGCGGGCGTGGTCGGGGTATCACTAGCTAAGTCTCCAGCGAAAAGAGACGGTTCTACCTTGTGAGGCATGAGTGAGGCTCCGAATCGTACGACTAGGTGGTGAGACAATGTCGCCAGCGCATTGAGGGTGAGAAAAAAGAGATATTGCACGATGATTGGAGCCGTCGAGAGAGGGGTCGATGCGAGGGTGGAGGATTTCTCAATACGTGCCCACGTGAGGTATACATCGAATAGTAGGAGTAGTACGCCGAGACGTATGATTGAGCGCTAAACAGTTAGATTTGTCTCTATTTCGAAAGCCGAACACAACTCACATCGAACTTGTTGTCATCTCGTCCTAGCCGATTAAATAGTAGATGTCGGTACACCTGTTGACCTCTGTCAATTATTTATCCCTTCATATGTGAACATAGAATTCACCTGGGGCTTGATTAAAACCAGATCAATGAACAGGACGACATTGTCGTGTTCGACGTATTTATCGGCGAATCGTTTGCAACGAGGGCATTGGGTGAGACGCACGCCTTTTCCAAGCGCTCGGTCATCCGCTTTGCTGTAGGAAGTATAAAGATGAGAGACAGGATATGAGCATTCAATGCAAATTGGCATTTTCCTGAATTATCTCATTCTGCAACACGAGTCGAGCGCAATTTCAAGGGCTTCAGCGGTCGAGAATTGTTGATTGATGATAAGGAGCTGCCAGAAATCTGACCCATCCCTCTCTAGGCCTAGCGCTCCATTGACATCCAATTATATGCAGTTTTTCTGAAGACCCCCTCTCTATCCTCTATTGGCCAAAGCCATTCAAGGATGCGCTATACCATTACCGGTTAGGCTATATTTTCGTTAGGCTGTTTTCCAACAACTTTTAACACAGATCTCCTTCCAAAGAGCCAATCATGGAACATATCATGACTCTTGGCTTATGGCTAATACCACAGGATGTGCCTGTACTGTACACAGCTAAGTCGCGACAGTGCGGTAACGCGAATAAGACAATAGTGCCTGACAGCCTGTCACGCGGATGCTCTTGCATTAGCGCCTGTTCGTTGCAGGCCGTCTATCGCCCTGTCGTCTTCACACAGGCAATCAACTTCCAGGAAATCGATAGGGCGGTTAGGTAGATTGCATAAACAAGGAATAGTGGGAGGATCTAGCATGACGGCCCTGGGACTCTTTACGAGTCTTCTAGTACCGGTTGAGCCTTGTAAAAGCCATGGGGCGGCGACTCGCAACTTCGCCTTGTTATGCATCAGGGCTGCGCCTCTCACCATTATACACATCCCCACGTAAATTTGGGCACAAACCATCATGAGTAAGTAAAAAAATAAGGCTAACAGCCTAGGATAATGATCTCTATACGGTATTTCGACTATTCGAAGTTATACAATCACCACTGTCAGTGTTCAATATGGATGGGCTTTCCGGTGCTGCAAGCGTCATTGCCGTGGTTTCCCTCGCAATACAGATTGCCAGTGGTCTTAATACCCTCAAGTCATTCTGGGGCTCTATGAAATCAGCCCATAGCGACGTAAAGTCCATCATCGAAGACATTCAACTACTGCTCGACATTATCGAACTTATCCGCAGCAATAGCGAGAAATACGGATCGGACGGGACTACAGAGTCAGCTCTCCGAAGCTGTCAGGATCGAATTGAGGTTCTTAACAAACTAGCTCAAGATATAGAACTCGGATGCCGATCTACCAACAAGCGCAAGAGACTATGGACCCCTTTCAAAGCTGCGTTGAAACTCAAAGACATCCAAAAATTCCAGGATACACTTCACGACACGAAGTTGACTCTGGTTCTTGCGAGACAGACGTCATCTTTCGCAATCACCCAACATAGCTTGAACGCTATCCAGACAGGTGTGCAGGGTCTCGGGCTGAAACGTACAGTGAAACAATATATATCGACCATACCTTTCGAGAGGGATTTGAAATTCGTTCCACGTGTAACTGCTATGACCAGATTGCAGATGTTAATTACAAATCAAAAGAAAGCTGGCCTTGCTGGTATGGGCGGAGTTGGAAAGTCTCAATTAGCCATTGAATTATGCTACGACTTGAAAGAACGAGATCCAGCACAACATATTATATGGATATATGCCAGCACTGCGGCCCGTATTGAGCAGGCATACATGTCAATCGCAAAAAACATGCAGCTTCCTGGCTGGGATGATCCGGCATGCGATACGATGAAACTCGTATGCGAGTGGCTCAATGATGAGAGCAATGGGAAGTGGCTGCTAGTTTTGGATAGCGCAGATGATCTAGACGTTTTCTTCGCGACAACTCCACGCAGCCAAACTGTAGGAAAACAAGGAAATCTAGCCAGATATATACCTAACGGCTCCCACGGCTCCCTGGTCGTCACATCGAGAGACAGAAGAGTGTGTCAGAGAATGTTGGGAAATGATTCTGTCATCGAGATCGGGCCAATGACAGAGTCGGAATCAACTCAATTTCTCGCATCTATACTTCCGAGCCCACAGAACTCACTTACAGATGAGATTCATGCTCTAGCCACGACATTAGACAATATTCCACTTGCTATGTCCCAAGCTGCAGCATTTATATCAGAGAACAGACTGGAAATAACAGAATATCACCAGCTATTAATTCCTGATGAGTTTGGGCCGCTAGATGTGCTTGATGAGGACTTGAGCGAACGGCGAAGAGACAGTACAGCACACAGCTCGATATTCCAAACATGGAAGATCTCTTTCGATTTCATTTCAAACAGCCAGCCCCGCGCTAGCAAATTGTTAGCATTGATGGCTATGCTTGACCGGCAGGATATTCCAAAACTACTTCTGCAAGACGACGACGAGAAACCATTAGTGTTCCACAAAGCCTTGGGGACATTGCAAGCATTTGCATTGGTGGCGCAACAGCAAAGAACGCAAAGCTTCAGCATGCATAGGCTAGTCCAACTGGCTACACTCCGCTGGCTGCATACTAAGGGGGAGCAACGGCACTATAAGACCACCGCCTTGACTCGTCTAGCACAGAGATTTCCCAAAGGACTGTACGAGACTCAAGAATATTGTGCCGCATTGGCCTCACATGCACGTCTCGTATTGTCATATGAAGACGTAGCGGACTCAAACAAGCTCGATTCGGCGATGTTACTACAGAATCTAGCGTCGTTCGAGATCATGCAAGGAAGACTCTACGAGGCTCGCAATTACCAGAAAAGGTGCATCTCTATCAGGGAAACACTACTCGGAATATCCCACATCAGTACTTTGGAATGTATGCGTGACCTTGCATGTAACTTGAGGGACATAGCAGAGTTCAAAGAGGCCGAGAACCTTCATCGAAGAAGCTTGCTTATCTTGGAATCTTCCGGTCCAGCATATAATTCCGCGTTGCTGGCGACGAAGAGCGATCTTGCAGATCTTCTATGGAGTTTGGGAAAGTATGAAGAAGCCGAGACACTATCTCGAGAGGCGGTCGCTGGCCGGGCTGATTTGCTTGGGACGAATCATGCAGATACAATCACGAGCATGGGTGTGCTATCACTGATTCTATGTGCACTTGCCAAAAAAGGGGAAGGAATCGGGAACTCGGAGACCCACGAGCTCAGCCATACTCATAAGGCAAGATATAGTGAGTCTGCCAGTTTAGCAAGAGATGTATTCGAAAAGAGGAAGGAGATTCTAGGCCCCAATCACCCACAAACATTGGTGAGCATGAACAATCTCTCCTGGGTCCTACGGAATAAAGGCGATTTTGTTGAGTCAGAGCTACTTGCACGTGAAGCTTTGGAAAGAAAAGAGAAGGAATTAGGGAAAGATCATCACGACACGCTAAATTGTAAATATTGTCTTGCTGTTGTACTTGGGTGTCAAGGTCGGCATGAGGAGGCAGAGCAAATATATAGGGAGCATCTTGAAGCAGTGGTGAGAGTTCTTGGTAAGGGACATCCGAACACCATGAGGAGCATGCGAGGTCTTGGAAAAGCATTGGAATCTCAGGGAAAGGTCAACCAGGCGCTTGAGATTTATCGCGAGGCTTATAATGGCCTTCTGGGCACATTGGGGCCAGACCATATTTCCACCATGGAAAGCAAAGCACTGTTCGAAAGGTTGTCTGACTATACAGCGCAAGATAACAAGTACATATCTGTCCCAATCAGTTCTAATACATGAAACTGACGAGAAATAGGAATTTCGACAAGGTAGTCATACTCGTTCAGACTAAAGTTCCAAGACATTCCCCTTCGCTTCATACGGCACCTATTACTTAACGTTCTTGTTAGAGTGTGACAAGACCCAGCTAACGCTCTCAACAATGAGCTCCGGCTCAGTTAAGTGTATATTATGTCCACTTTTCTCTGTCTTAATATATCGTGATCTAGATGAGAGTAACAATATCTCAGACTGTAAGGTTTGGTCCTTCTCGTCCCAAGTACCGAGTATTTCCTCAAACTCAGCTTGTTTGGCGCCACCACCATTACCTCGGGCTAGACCTGCTTTCAAGAGCTTCTCAAAATCCGCTTTATTGTTGCCTCTAATGACATAGACAGGGTGGTCACCCAAGAATGGCGATGCTCTATGTAGCTGAGATTTTGATTTCAAAACAGAAAAGCTGTTTGGATATTCGGCGAATTCTAGGGCTGCTTGTCTCTGGTGCTTCTCTGTGCCTTTAGTGTCTTCGTAAATGCGCCATTCCTCGTCAGTGAGCTTATGATTCTGCGATATGCCCGTAACGTCAGAGCTGTTGACGCCAATCAGTAGATCTGACAGAGCCAACTGCCGCCAATCCAAGACGTCTAGCGTACGTTCTTGGTTTGCCTCAATGAATATCATCCCTATGATATCCTTAGGATGTAAGGCCAAAAACTCTCTGCTTAAAATGCCGCCCCATGAATGAGCGACAACCACATATGGTGGAAGTAGATTTGCATTCCTAAGAAGTAGGCTAAGCTCTTTGGCAATAGACGATGCTGTTGGCTTCTCAGTCGAGACATCGCTTTCCCCATACCCAGATCTCTCATATTGTAAGACTCGGGCGAAAGCAGTTAAACCGCGTCGGACAGCAGCCCAGCCCGAAGTGCTATTTGCTAAGCCTGGGATGATGATCACTAGCGGGTCGCCAGGCTTCCGATCTGGGCCGTGTACGCTCAACCATAGTTTGTGACTACCAATACTGACTCGTCCTGACATTTCACCAGTGTCCCAGTCTTCAGGCTGCTCTGTGTCCATGATGGCAGAGATTGAGGAAAGTCATGTGAAAATATAGTGATGAGTTGAGGTATGGTTTGCCGAAGTGCTTAGATTGTTATTTCACGTGAGTTGTTGTCATTTTCGGATTGCGTGACTAACGCGTTCATCCATGCCAGATTGCCTTAGGTTAGGGTTATATCATGTTAGCCAACTCCGCTCGCATTTTAACCCTAACCCTAACCCTATTTGTATGTATATGTGTCCTGCACTAGACGGGTCGTTAAAATATCTATCTTGAATAAAGCTCCGAGTTTCCATCTGATGGAAGACAAGGTGGACACATTATAGAGCTATATCTATCTCAAGACCCAGTGCTATTTGTCTGGCCTCTAGTTTTCTGGGTTATAAGACCCGCTTGAGACAAGCGGGAACCAGATGTGTATTAAGTGCTAAGCTTGGTTTAGTTCCTATATTGGGAGAGATAAGGGTCGACAACTTTCTGACTAGATATCGAATAATGCTCGAAGGTCTGTCTTATGGATTGCTATTGGGCAAAGAATAAAGATGTTAGTCTTCGGTCCGGCTTCCGAGAGAATTCGCATCCGGATCGGGAGCGCTCCCGTCACTGGCATTATTTGGGTCCATTTTTTGAGGAAATGATAAGATATCGACCGGATCCTGATCTGCATTAGAATCTTTGGCTCAGCGAAACCAATGCGATTCTGTTATCTTGCCCCCGTGTGTATTGATATGGTATTCATAGTTGACTGGCCTCTTGCTTATCTCTATCTATAGTTGCTGATCATGTCTACCACGGTTGCTTTCAGTTCTTTAACCGTCACTGCGAGACCTGAAACATCATTCTGGATTAGATGTGAAGTGAGGTCAATGGGTCACTGATAGGGTTGCACCATTCATCAATTTAAAGATAGCTCTTATCCGTATTAACATTGATTAAAATTTGCATGTATATCCAACTTGACGATAACGCTAATTACGATATAATCCCAAAACCATGTCATAACTCATAAAATAGCCAAACCGAATGGCCCTTAATGTCATTACCAAGCCAAACCTTCTTTCAGGGCTCCACAGCTGAGAGCTGCACAGATCTCCTCGTCTTTCTCACTCACTTCCGCGTTGCGTTGTATTTTGCGTTTCGCGGGCCAAATCTCCCGTCCCTCTGATTTTTCAAGCTCAAAATGCTTCGTGATGACATCGCGAACTGTACTCTGGAAAAATAGCGGTGCCTTCTCGTACTTAGGGTGTAGTTGACCACTAATAAAAACATTTCGATCGAGGTTTTTCTGTGCATTGTTGCAGAGGACTTTGTCTTCTTTCATGACGCGCTCATACATATCACTGATAAGTCTGAAGTCGTTTTCGGCGGAGTTTCTGTTTCGGTAGATCTCGTAGGCCATCTTGGAGCTGGTGGGACCCGTGGGGAGGAATTTCTGGATCATGATAAAATGCGGTCTGCCTGGGTTAGAAAACAATCTATCTCAAAAACACCTCTTGGGCGGCACTTACGAAACGACCATAGCAGACACAGGGAAGTAATATGTGCTGGCGGTATAAAGGCCTTTCTCCATCTGTTCTGCGGTAGACTCGCAATGGTGCTGGATATGTCCATCTTTTAGATCGCTGTCGAAAGACTCGAGGTTGAGAAATTGAGGGATGTCGGCGTGTGTTGTAGGGCAGTGATAGCATTCGTTGAAATTATCAGCCAGAATCTTCCAGTTGTAGTGACCATCAAGCTCATAAGAATGGTCGAGGTCGTAGTCGTCAAAATTGTAGACTTTATACCGCTCTTGTTTGTCGACATTTGCAAAATGCTCCTCCCATGGTACTTCTGGAACTTCATTCGCATCTAGATTAACCCAGATGAAGCCATTAACGTCGACCTTGACATGGATCCGGAAAAGGCCATTCTGTTCCTTGTCGAACCCATCCAGGTCTTGATATCCAGGAGCCTTGGCGAGTTTTCCATTCAGTCCATAAGACCAGCCGTGATATCGACAAGACAAGATCTTGTTATTTCCCGAACCCTCTTTCTCGATCACAGGGTATGCTCGGTGTCTGCAGACATTGTGGAATGCGTTGACATTATCCTGTCGATCACGAGCAACGATAAAGTCGAACCCTGCAATCTCATATCGAAGCCAGTCGCCGGACTCCTTTATCCGCGAGCTGTGGGTGAGGAAGATCCATCTCTTGGAGAAGATGGCACGACGCTCCAACTCATACATATCTGGAGAAGTATACCATGATGCTGGCAAAGCACGCACGGGTGCATCTTTAACTTGCTCCTTACCTGAGGGAGCGTTGTTGCCGAAGCCAAAATAGTGTAACACCGAGGCCGCCATGATTGTTGGTCACCAAGAGAGATTAGGAGAAAATACCTTCAAGGCCACGATATCTTGCTGGTTATCGTGACCGCTTCTTTATATCTTTGCCTCATATCATTTCTGATATCAAAACGGTTCCCATGTTGTATATTCCGATCAGGTGACAAGCCCGATATTCTAATTTGGTAAAGCAACCCCATAGCTATGTTTGTTGATTTACCAAAATTAGATATAGGATCCTTTGTTCCAACACTACGGTGCCAGATAACGGCCATCTTGAACGCCTGAATCCATTATCTCTGAGCTGGTTGGGCCAGAGTTAATCGGCAGGCCCGAAAGATACTCGGGTAGAGATCCCGTAGCCAACAATGTAGCCACCGACTTGCAGCTACGCAGACTGAATCCTTCGAACGCCAATTTAGTCCCCGGCCAATAGGCCCCTATATATCTACTGATAACATGACTCCTGGTGTTATATTCCCCATAAGGTAGGGTAGCTAATGTTTCGGCTTCGATGCCGATGCAGGAACGGCAGCCGGCATCCCCGAACCGTTGATGCTAGCCATGGAATGTGGCGTTAATGTCCTACTACACGTGATTTTTTGTTATCATAAATACATAATCCAGCACGGTTCCGAGCCGTATCCGATCCGTGGTGCTTCAAACATGACCGATTATTACGTGGATTGTGGTTACTGGACAACAGGTTGACATTCTATCGAGCCGGGTTTGTTAGTAGTGCTTCCGATTTCTCGCCACCAAATTATCGTTTTTACTTGAAAAGCTTATGTTCATTCAACCAATGTGTTGTATGTGGTCGTGTGACAGCAGGCCAAGGATAACAGACACTCATGACTCATTGAAGAGCCTTTTGTCCTAACTTCTGGAGACTTCCCCGCGATTTGAGACGCACATATACCAGTCATACATAGAAGGGAAAGGCAAATGTCACATTGGAACAATTATGGATTTCCTTCCGAGATTATGCAATAAAATATTCGCAGAAAAACTCGTGTACAGTAATACCTCAATCAACCAGATTCCGTTAGCAATCTGCCACGCTCTTCAATATTGTTTATATTGCCTCGTAGATCTCAGTCAAACGAGTCTGTGATATCCTCTTCCGCCAGCCAATCTGGTCTCACATCCAAGTCCTCATAGGGTAGTCCCGGGTTATTGATCTGGTCAACAATAGACAGAAATTCGTAGGAAGAGATACCAATACTATCAAGAGAATCAATATTATTAGCGGGGGCCAGTGGATCTGCGGAGAACGGTCGGTTATCTCGGACTGAAGACCGTGGAACCATAGTGGGCTCAGTCACGGGAACATCCTCTGGACGAGCTTCGTCGGGGATGTTCACAGGTGCCACCTCCGCAAGTCCCGGATCAGACAAAGTCAATATTCGAAGACCCTCCTGCTCAACCCGCCTTGCTAGCTCCTGAAATAGCCCTTCGATACGGCTTAGTTCCCCTTTTCGAGCTTCTGCGACCCGGTTCCCGCAAAGAATCATTTCGTCGAGGATCGAGTGGGCTACCTGGCTGTATGACCAATCATCTGAGGAGGAAGGGAAAAGCGCATTGGCCATGGTCAAATGTAGAGCGGCTGCATAGGTTAATTCAAGATCGAATGACAGGAATGTTTCTGGGAGCTAGTCAGTTGATGCGCTTTAACATAGTCAATTAATATAGTAGATCATCGTACCAAGAAGGCCATTTCCATCACCTATTATCTGAAGCGTCTTCTCGGCAGACTTGATACCAATGGATATCAAAGACTTGGGGAGAGCCAAAAATTTCTGCCAATCTTCTTCTGCGCGGCCTAGTTTTTCGAGCCTTTCCTTAAGGACGGACAGAAGAAGCGGCCTTGTAGCGACGATCACACACTTTATCAAGTCAGTGAGTGGAGAAAATTCATGCGATGGGGAGTACTCAATAAAGTACCTGGTGATACAATAAAATCGTATGCCGTGTCTCTTCAGGCACATTATCCATGGAACCATGAAAGTTGATATGAATCATCTTCTCGATTTCTTCCGCATACCTAGCCATGGTCTCTAATATACTTCGGGTTATTTCCAAAAACGTTCCGAGTTGAGTCTTTTCCGTTTTGTAGATTGCTAGTAAATCTGTTAGCAATGGTGAGGAGGTTATGAAAATTCACGCAGGACTTGCCGCCAATGATGAATTAAAGCATCCGTGTTATTCTTACTTGGAGGCTAAACGTAAGGTCACGCGGGCTTGAATTCGGTGGGTTGATCAGGGTCGTTATGTCGCTGTCCTTAGTCGTCATCGGAAGTCCCAACGATGGAGAAAAATGACGGTCCATGATGTACAAGGACCACCATAGATTTCGACATCGCGCAACCGTTGCTGGCCCGAGTACTTCTTCAGGGAGTTGAGTATGCATCCCTTCCATCTGTGCTATTCGTATAGCATGGCCAACCTATGCCAAACCAACGCCTGAATTAGCAGAATGCATCCGAGTAATCATCGATACTTACATGCACATGGGCTGCTTCTCTATGATCAATAGCATACAAGTATAGTCCGACAAGTGCCAAAGCCTCGATGGCTAACAAACTGTCCTTTCCGGTAGATGTATAGTTTGGCATGGCGCACATAGCACGATTGAAGTATTTTGAGCCAGGAGGGTCTTTCTGATTGCGAGGCCGTGAGAGAAACGCATTTCCAAGTGCAAGAATCATGAGAAACTGCACGACCCAGAAACGAGGCTCGGACGCTTTTTCATCCGAGCTACTGTTGTAAAACTTATGTATGTGTGTGATGAATGTGTCTTCGTCGAAGAACCGGTATGCCCGACCAAGATGAAACTGAACAGTTTGGAAAAGGTAGAGAGCGTAACTAAGGGAAGGTAGGCCACTAGTATCCGGAGGGCCAGGATTTGTCACACGGGTCCATGCAAAGGGGTAGATATCCCCATCTAAATAAAATTGTGGGGGTCATTATCCGAATTCTGGTCAGGGTTCTCAGTCATCATGAATATAAGTCGAGCTGTGAGAGACCATGCCGAGGATGGTGCCAACCAAACTGTTGAATATATCAGAATCGATCGCAGCCAGGTAGGACGATAGAAGAAAAACCAGTCTACTCACTCCAATTTCTTTGCTCCTGGTGTGTATCCTTGATAACTGTTGTAGGCAGCGTGAATGGACTTGTCCATATATTACATGATAGCTCAGTTGTAGGCGACGCTGGAGATTCTTCAGGCCTAGAACCAAAAAGCTCTGCAGAGGCTCCGAAGTCGTTCACGGAATTTCCTGCATCGAGATCATCATCAAAGCGAAAACAATCCTCTCGTGGACGTCTGGCCCATGCCGCACGTTGCCCATCGTATACTTGTTTCTGCAACCCACGAAGATATCTATTTCAGCCTTTAGTGTCCCCACAAAACACAGAAAAGTGGATGTGGCGAACCTTTCGGATACCAGGATCTTATTGTTTCCCTCTGAAAACTGACAGTTGAGCGAACGTCTTCGACAGTTGACGCATGGCTCATCGCCAGAGCATTTTATCTTGCTTTGACGACATGCAGTACATCTACCCATGTTCATTGTCAATGAACAAGTTCGCATTATGTATAGGGTGTTCGGGAAACCTTACGCAATAGCGGCCCTTCTTTGCTTTCGATTTGCACGATGTATATCTAATCGCTGCGCGGACTGCATCGCTAGTGTCCTCGTCGTCTGCCCACAAAGCACATAAGTATAACGTAGCTATTTAAATAGCTTCAAAATGACAGAATGTTGGAACATACAACGCATGTATGGTGTCCAAGCCGTGTCCAATGGCCTTGAGAACCTATGTTCTCCACAGTGTTTCCCCAAACCCCGCACCGGTCCAAATTATTTCCTTGCCGCTGCTTCCAGGCCTGGGGAGTAGAATGACTGTACTCTAAAAAGAAAAGTAAATTTCTATCGCCGCATATTTGGTACGAAGTGATTTCGGGGACTCATTCTAGCTTTCGCTGGGTTGGGGCAAAGATGAGCGTGCAGAGCATCGATCTTGGCAACTTTGCGGTCCATAGGGATGCGGCATAGGAACGGAGACATGGAAAATGCCTTGGAAGTTAGCAATGGTAGTAGAATAACAAGATAACAATTGAATGTGCAAAAATTAAGTATGTTTTAAAAAAGGGTTGACTAACTGACGACCTTATCCGAATTATAATATCTTATTGTTAAGGATGCGTGATACCAACTACACCAACTAGCCAAGGTTATGGGGGATTGCTTATTTCAACTTATAACAAAATATTGTAGACAATGTCATCTAGACTTGGGATCTAAACCTCGGACAATAATATCAACCCTTTTTTAAGACATAAGACACTCCATATGAAGTTGAGACTTAGAAATTCATTATACTTTTTAAAATATCTATATTTACATCAATTAAACTGCAGAATGGGTTCCGTTGTAGTATTAATTAATCTAAAGTAGGAAATGAGATTCATACTCGTATATATATATAATTAACTAAGAGTATGTGAACCCCAAAGCAAGACAGCACCAACATTGTTGAAAAGCAGCATTTGACGAGTATAACACTTCAAATGAATATGGAACATGCAAATCTTTAGATTCGGCGTCACTCAATTGAAAAAATGAGTCATTAGGGCTATGGTACGAGCATCTGAGAAATTGGAGGATAAGCTGATCGGGGGATCATTGCGCTCTAAGGTCTCGCTGTGGATGGGGAAGATTGATGGTGTTGCAAAGGCATTGACTACTTTGAAGAATGGGTGTCGATATACTACGGCTCTTGCGGGATGTCAACTCAACCTTTAGCGGACATTCATAAGTCGCATCTGGTGAATTTGAGGCTAGATAGGATATATGCAAATCTATGCTTGATATGGATCTTTCTTCAACAGGTTGAATGAAGTATTTCAGAAAGATCAATTGATGAGGGTTTCGGTTGATTGCGGGGGTGTACAGCTAGGATATGAATCATAGATTTGAGCGTCATATGCACGCTTTTTTCCATTCCATAGCTATACTACGGCGGGTTATCAATATGCAAATCCCTAAGGTCGGTTTCTAGCTCTAAGAGTCCCATTGCCCAACGTGAATGCGTGGATTTTGTCAATGTAATAAAGCGCCTGTCCTTGCTTGAATTTGGATTCGGCTGCTGATCGGAATACTGGTCAAGGTTTCCTCGATCCTCGACCTGTTTGAATAGTTAGTAGCGGATTCTATATAACATAAACAATGCGAACTTACGACGATGGTTTCTGTCCTATTGCTAAGATATTCGGATATATAAGGTGGTCCGCGTCCTGCCTTGGCTGTATGATACCACGCTGACTCACAGCCGGCCGCAATTGTTTCAGCCGATTGGTAGCCAGTGAGGCGAGAAATGTTGCGTAGTGTGGCTACAGTCCAACCCCTTTGTACAGCATCGGTCAATTGAACACCTGAAAAGAATATCGGCACGGTAATCTGGATTAAAGCAGCTCCTAGATTTGGATTTAAGTTTCCCGCTTCAGGAGTATACAATTGTGGATAGTATACTCCTGCGACAATCTTTCCGATAATCTGCGTATATCGAGCTGTAGCGCCGGCTGCGGCTACTGCAGAGATCATTGTTGCTGGTGGCATGCAAGGATGAAGACGATACAGCATCATCCTACCAGTGTAATACCATGCCCAGAGAACGGCGATCAGGTAGGAACGATATTGCAATGCAGGCCCAAAAGGTGTGCTAATCGGGGGAGTACTACCAGGCGGCAAAGGAGCAAAAGCAGACCCTAGTTGCTTCTCGTAGAAATCATAGGCAACAAGGATACTTTCCCATTCTCTTTCAGCCTCGAGTAGCGATATAGTTGATTCATCTTCTTCGAATCCGGAATACGGCGGGGATTCACCAGCATCTGTAAAAGCAGGAGGTGCAGGAGTCGGACCATTCGTTGGAGCCATGCCGTACATTGGCTTTTGCCTGGGGTCCTTTCCTGGTGGTGATTGTTGACTTGTTGTGACGTGGGTAGATTTATCAGTAGATGTAGGAGGGCTGGGTTTTTTGGAGGTTCCCCCCGCTGGCGGTTTACTTCCGAATCGGGCCATAAATTGAAAGAAGCCTTGATGAGGACGCCATTCACCCCCGGTAGCTTCGACGCTTTTGATCTTTCTCTTCCGATCCCTATATCCAAAGTCCGTCATGCGACCCATAAGAAGCGTAAGGTGATCAAAACTACCATATACAGCATCAGGTCGTCCAAGCGCGGCCCGAGGAGGACACTGCGTCCAGCGATCATATGGAGTGCTAAAAGCAAAGTCAGCATTGAAATAGTAGCATAGGCGGTGCCATTTACTAGAATTTGTTACCGCTGATCATACTCTGCGTAATATCGTGCTTGAGATACCACCAGTATAGATCGCACTGAAGCCGAAAATTCTCAATATCTTTTCGCGACAAATGTTTCTTCCCAACTGATGGCAATGTTCCCTCGTATTCGACATGTCCCATACGGTCGTAATCAACGACCTTTCCTGCGAGAGTTGAGATAACATTCATATTAATTTCCAGTTCTTTCTCTGCAAACGGGTCGTCTTCAGAGTTGCTGTATGAAAGGAAGTTGCTGTAATGACCCCATGCATCCGTGTCCTGTTGCCTGAGGGCCCGGCGTTGAGCCCGGATGTCTCTGCTCAAGCCGACAAAGTCGATTTCTTTGAGGAGCTGTGCGGAACCGGCGATGTGACTACCCCATTTGTTATGTTCTGCCGAGATAACTTCGTAAAAACAGAGAAGGAGGGTAGCAGCAAGAGTGGCAACCTGCTTCCGTCGCAACGGCAGACCGACAGCCTTGGACACTTTTCTCAAAGCGTATTGGTAATGCTTAAATGCAATAGTCAGATCGGATTGCTGTAGGTTCGCGATATGTAGACTGCTGATGGCTAGAAGTCCTTGAAGCAGGGCTGGATGCTCAAGCGCTTTGAGAGGCATTGTGTATGTCCATACCCCTTGCTGTGACAGCGGGACAGGCCCATTGAATAGAGCTGATGAATTTATGCTGTGGCGTTCCCAGATGGACAGTGAAGGGCCTGTTGCATGAATGAAATGGACCCAGATGCGTGCTGTCTTGGGATTGTTGAGCGGAGACGATCCCATCGACGGCTGGTAAGACGCGAGTATGTCTGGCTCGTTGAGAAAAGTGTTGTAGGAACGCATTGCAGTATCGTCTTGTTTGGCGGATGCCATGATTAGATTCATTTGATTGAAGCCCTCCGCTTCGGTTACTTCGTGCATTTCATCGTCGGAATCGACGTCGTAATATTCGTCTTCGTCTTCATACAACGCTGCTTGAGAGAAGGTCGGGGGTACAGTGTAATAGCCAGGTGCTGCTCGAGTCGAGACATTGGGACCATTGATCAGCCAGGTCATTTGCTAAGCCATCTAGGAAGAGACTACTCAGCCAGAGCTTACCTTCCTCTCCGGCATCCCACGAGGAAGTTCCTTCCTGTAGTGATATGCCGTTAGTTGAATCCCCAGGGACGTGGGTGCTGTGTGCCATTACCTGGAAAGGATAGGCTGTGAACCCTGGTTGGCTGTCATCGATAGGATGCCCCAAGAACGGATCGTCGAGTGGGAGGGAGCTTTCCAAGGCCTCGTCTTGGGTGCTGGCATTGTAATCAGGATGGGAGAGGGCGCCAGGAGCCGGAGGACTGTGATCAACTGTCTGCGAAGGCACCGAGACCTCCTGATAGTGCGCGGACTGGCGATCCACGGCTGGAAGAAGAGTGCGCCCAGCTCCCACCTGCGCGGGCGGGTCGCGAGACACTGGATAATAGAGCTGCCGGGCATCCTGCTGGTGCTGGAGCTGCTGCGGTTGAGGAGGATAGGCCAGTGACAGCGCGTGCGAGTGTGAGGAATGGGGGATGCGCGGTGCCAGCAGGCGCTGCTGCGGATTCAGCGCCTGCCCTGTTTGCTGCTGTTGCTGCTGGTGAGGAAGGAGCGGCATCTGCATGGGCGGCGACTGCAGGTCGGAGAAGGCGCCTCCAAAGGGCCCCAGGGCGTGCTTGAAAATCACCCGCTGCGTGTAGCCCTCACACTCTCGCCGCGCCTTGATGCAGTTGTTGCATCGCGGCTTCTCCTCGCCGCACTTGATCCGGCGTTTCCGGCATGCTGTCGAGTATCGTCAGCCACGCTGCCACTGTGCTCAGCACGACAACTACCTACTTAGACACCCCGTCTTGGTTCGTCGCTTCGGCCCACGGGGTACCGCTGCGTGCTTCTTGGCCTTGGGCGACAGTCTTCCTGCGCTGGCAGACCCAGCATCACGGCTGTCGGCTGGTGGTGGCCGGGAGGGATCTTGCTCTAGTGGAGCATCGTCGCTCGATTTTATCTTCTCATCGTCGTTCATTATGGTGCCCCGACGGCTGCGTGTCACTCTCGCACAGAAAGGTCCTAGGGAAGAGAGAGGGGCAAGAATAGGAGAATGCGTTGAGGAATCGCTAAGTAGACTTCAGCCACCCCAAAGTCTGGAGCTATATACACGAGCTTGTGGACGAGACGTTGGCTGGTCACACCAGAGCCTCCCTCCACTTGTCGTCCGACCTGGCTCTGGGGAGCAATTATACTTTTTTAGACTCCATTCAGCAACCACTCAAAAGTGGCCTGGCTGGTGCGCATGGAGATCGACACACACGCCCGGCGGGCACATTTGTCGATTAGACAATTTAGCAGTATGGAGCTGCTGTCATTCTTCGACTAGCTACTTGCAGACATCCTCAACCGTTTCAATCCAAATAACGATGGACGCTTGACCCGTAGAGGAAGTTCCAGGGCGGCCGTTGATAGGCTGGGGGCGTATCGGGGAAAATTGCCAGCCCCCATGGTTGTCACACGAAGGTTCGCAGCCAATCCGGCCTGCATCTCCCTCAGGAGCCCTTTGTTGCCATGTGTCGATGACTCTATGCATTGTGCAGATTAGGGGGAGGATAACCTTGGGACGATCTGGTCGATCTGCAATGGGAGATTGGCAAGGGAGGGGACTGTGAGCACTACTGTCGGCGAGAGCATAGGTCAAACATACTTTACTCGGTTGGTGTCTAGGGCCCGCGCTGGGCCAGATTTGGGGGCCTTCCGGGCTGGACCTGGGGCTACGAACACAGCTCAAAGGCCCTAAACTTTGTTCTTGCTTCGGGGACCATGATCTTCCCAATCAAGGTGCGCATCCCCCAAACCACGCCAGGACTACGCTAAACAAGCCTCATAATGAAAATGTTTACTCATCGGTCGGGGTTTGAGATGTACCGTGCCAGAACCCTGTCGACATGTGCAGAGGCTCTCCACCCCACCGGGCAGTCTGCCTTGACATGTTTCAACAATAATCGAGGTCGGGATTTGCGTCCAGTTGAAAAAAATGGCCTTTCGCTACTGGCAACACTACAGCTTACTGAGTCAGGCCAGTTTAATTAAGTCAAGATCCTTTTCCTTATCGAGTCATTTCACGGAAAATTATGAAAAGCTTATGGGTCGGGAAATCGGTGAGAGCGGCCGTATTATCCTTGGTTGTTCCAGCCTTGCCTTTTTGAGTCCCATGCCACGAGATCGTTGAGCAGCGGGCCGGCGGCCTAGTGAACTGTCCCCATCGTCTCCATCCAAAGAGGCAATGGCCATATCCCTGTCGAGTTCATGGAAAGGCCACATGCCCATGTGGAATCATAATGATTGCGTGGCATCCTGCATAAGCTGCCTTTGTTAAGGTAACACAACCTGTCCCAGTCGTTCTGCAGGTTGAATTCCAGCCATTCTGAATCGCGGTGGACGCGGCCAAAATTACCCCTTCAAGCTAAGTATGCTGTGCCAAGCTTCTCGAAGGGTCTGAAAGACACCACCACGATCAGGTTGCCACTACGGAGTAGATTCAGCTGAACTTGGATTTAGATACCTTGACCTTAGAGAGAGCCAATTGCATTCCTCTAGCCGCAATAAGCAGTACAAGCCTCAAGCCTCAAGGCATTCTGCGTGACTGCCTCGACGCCCTAACCCGTCAAATTCTAGTCCATATCAAAAGAAAGCCCGGCAAATCCTAAATATATACATAGCCCTGTTAGATCGCGGACTTGCGATTCCCAACCCATATAGCGTGAGCCTCGGGATTCGCCGTATGCGTATTCATCAGGCTAGTCACTTCCCACTTCGCAGCGTTCGCGCTCGAGACTAGATCAAGACTGGCTCGCGGCAACGGAGGATGTACAAAAACTCCGTAGTACGCGATCGACACCGATGATAGATGATTCACGTCACTGTTGTATGTAGTCGCATGAAAACAAGTAGTAAGGGCCGCATAGCCAGACTGACTATGTAACTTTAGCGAACCACTTCATGGCGCAAGGACTGGTAATGGAGGTACACATCGGGGATTGGATGCAGTAGCCGAGGCAAACGATTATTACCCCGGCATATTCAATGGATATTGCCGATGTATCGGAAATGACCCCAATCTGAAGATCACAGTTAACCGAAAAGTGATCACCAGATCAGTCGGGCGGAAGTCATGATAGCATTGATGGTTTGCGTACGTGTGCGGAATATTTCGAGCGAATACTACATATATGTACCAGAACTATGCATATATGAATTGATGTAACTAATTTGACCCTGGGGAGGGTAGTATTGATGAGATAGACCATAATAACAATTGCGCTTGGCTTTGCTCCGCGTAGCAGGACAATTTAGCCTAATGAAGAAAGAGGTAATGAAGTTCGAGATCATATCCATATGAATCCATTCAAAACACAAAACTGAAAGCACCGCCAATTGAAGGCCCAGTTTGTGTGGCTATGAGCGGGCCAGTTTTGTGACGGCGTGAGGCACCACCCACCTATCCGGCATGAGGCTGAAAGGCAGAAAAGGTGCTTGAGCTAACCAAATTAAATTGAATAAACGAGGTAATTGAATAGTACACCCACTGCATCCGTACAGTCTGTACGTATTATTATCGGCGAGGCACGAACCAATAAGAAAACAAGTATGGTGGCCCCGTTAACAGCTGCATTGAGCACTTTCATTGGCAGGACGAGCTTGTTGACCGCCTTCTCGCTCACCCGCTGCTATTGGCCAGATTCTTTGAAAATCCCGTTACCATATGAGATCTTTTTTCGATAACGAAAAATTTCTAGAAGAGTGCTTGAGCCGCTGGATTTGCCAGCACGAATATTATTTCTTTTTCTCCCTGAGAAATATACTATCTCGATTTATCTGTTCATATACGCCAGGCACTCGGCATGTTCGCCGTCCCAGGCTGGTCGGTCTCGACCTCTGATCTGAAGCCGCAGAAAGAAGCCTCCGCAGCCAAACCCCCAACAGCGACGGCGGCGGCTGATGTAAAACACGCTCCGTATAATCATGGAAAGGAGTCGCAGCAGAAGCCGAACAAGAGAAAGAGAGACCAGAATGGAAAGAACGGCACGGTGACAAAGTCGAATCTCAACGAGATGTTCCGGCGTCATATCGAGGGCCATACCGGGGATAACAATGCTCGCAAAAAGAAGAAGAAAAATAAGGAGCAGAAGGGAGCTGATGGCATGAAGCCTGAGAATAAGAATAATGGCGAGGAGGAGAAGAGCCAAGCCAAAGTTGAAGAAAGCCGGCCGAGCAAAAAGCAGAAAAAGAGCATTAGACCCGAGAAAAAGAGTCATGACAAGAGTTTGGAAGATGCTACGACGACCGTAGCTATCTCTGAAGCTGTTCAACCTACTCCGCCTCCTCCAGCACCACCTGCAGGCTCCAAACTCACACCCTTACAGCAGAAAATGCGCGACAAGCTCATGTCTGCTCGATTCCGCCATCTGAACGAGACGCTGTACACCACGCCATCAGAAAAAGCCTTTGAGATGTTTACGGCAAACCCGGAACTCTTTGCAGAATACCATGCTGGATTTACCAGACAAGTGCAGGAATCATGGCCCTCGAATCCGGTGGATGGATATATCGCCGCCGTTAAAAAACGTGGCGCAGTTCTAGCACATAGACACTCAAACAAATCAGGGCCAAACCAGCCTGCAGCTCTCCCCCGCAGACCAAATGGCATGTGCACAATCATTGATTTGGGTTGTGGTGACGCCCAGCTTGCGCGTGCCCTGACCCCATCGGCGAAGAAACTGCAGCTCAAACTTCTCAGCTACGATCTCCACGCCCCAGACCCATTGATCACCAAAGCCGATATTGCGAATCTGCCACTGGCAGATGGGTCCGTCGATATTGCTGTCTTCTGCCTCAGTCTCATGGGGACCAACTGGATTTCGTTTGTCGAAGAAGCGTACCGTGTTCTCCGCGGTGATGGGAAGGGTGAATGCTGGGTGAGCGAGGTCAAGAGCCGATTCGGCAGGGTAACTCGCAAAAAGGCGCAGATTGGACTGAAGAAGCCAGAAAGTAATACGCAGAAGAAGAAGAATAAGAAAAAAAAGGCCGGCAAGGGAGGAGAATCAGAGGAAGAGCTCGATGATGAAGATGACATCTACGCGGAAAATGCCCAGCAGAACAACCAATCCAACGCCAATGACGAAACCGATACCTCTGCATTTGTGGAAGTGTTCAAGTCGAGAGGCTTCGTTCTCAAGCAAGAGTCTGTTGAGAAATCAAACAAGATGTTTATCAAAATGGAATTTGTGAAGGCTGGTGGAGCGCCCACGAAGGGCAGGTATGCTGGAGTGACGCCTTCGGGAAAGCCAACTGCGGTGCAGACCAAAAAGAAGTTCATTGATCGTGACGTGGATGTCAAGGAGTTGACGGTGGAGGAAGAAGCGAAGGTGTTGAAGCCGTGTGTATATAAAATCCGATAGATACATATCCGTCCACCATAGAATATTCAAAGATAAGCCGTGACAATCTGTTAGAGTTATATTCTACAACCATTATATTTAGATAAAGTGGACATCGGTCTAATCGAACAGATCAATATTGGATGTAAATAGTGCTTGTTGTTGTGTAATGTTTCATGACTACAAATTCATTTTCACTGCTTAATTCCCGCCCAACTGACTAACAGCACGACCCATCTCCTCTTCCTCATAGATTCGGAAACCTTTCTCCTTGGTCACGCTGGCCAACTGAACGTTCTTGGCATCCAGCTTCTCTTCCATTACCTGCTTCAATGTCTTCAGGACTAGAGTCTCGGCCTCAGCAAGGGAAAGGGATCGGTGGTACTCGTTTTGCAATTCAGCCTGGGCACCTTCGCTTCCAGATCCGATGGCTTTGGCGTCATATCGATAGAATGTACCGGATGGTTCGGCATGATATCTGTAGAATCCTCAAGTTAACAAGATAATATTGAAGATCGTTATAGATTTCAAAAAGCTTACAGTTGTGGACCATCCTCGTCATAGCCTGCAATCAGCAACGCCACACCAAAGGGCCGACTCATGACGCTCTCCTCTCCGTCCGCACCCTCTCCAAATCTCAGAGCCAGATCGCAGATGGCTTGTGTGCAGCTCTCAACGCGGAGCGATTCGGCAAAGTGGAAAGCATGGTTCTGGCACTCAACGCGAGCATGTTCAATCATCGATCTGGCATCTGCCTGCAGACCTGACATGGCGCACCCAATGTGTTGGTCGATCTCAAGAATCTTTTCGACGGATGACGTTTCGAGGAGGGTAGAGGTAACACGCTTTTCGACACCGAGGACGACACCTTCATTCGTCGCTATCTATGCAAAGACTTAGTTGAGGGCCGGGAGAAGGATATATCGTAAGGATTGGGAGATTGAGAGATCCTGACGTACCCCGATTGCTGTGGAGCCGAGCTTGATAGCTTCAAGAGAGTATTCGACCTGGAACAAACGACCCTCGGGTGAGAAGGTGCTTTCGCGACGTGTTAGTGAGAGTCCGAATCATTTGGCAGATGTATGTATCAGATGGCGTACTTGATCCCCCGGTCTGATGAGAGCTGTTAGCTAGAAGTAGCAGTTATCGAGCTGGCTGGGAGCTTACCATATTCCGATCGCGCAATGAACATGGTGTATAATAGTCTGAGCCTAGCTATCTGGGATGCAAATAGGGAGCAAAACGAGGTTATTGGAAAGGAGAAGGGAAGAAGTGTGCTTGGAATGCAGAAATCAGAGAGCTAGTGAATGATGCTTAAGCTGTCGGTCAGTTCGTCCGCCTACGCAAACCGATCGTGCCTGGCCGGGACTGCGCTAAACCCAAACAAGAATCTCCATACACAACTCCGCCCGCAACAGAAGCAACAGACAGACAGACAAGGATTGATGCCCAACAATTGGACGGGCGCTTTCCGGGTCGCTAGCGGTCAATCATCTTGATACTTGAGCGCTGTACTGTCACGAATCATCGCGCACCGTATTATGTCCTCCAATGAGCACCGCTCTGTCAGCTACAACGTAGGCGGCCGTGGTACACGACCCCGCGTCGTCTCTTCTAAACGCGAAGCAGAGAAGCCATCGCGACAAGACAGCGAAAACAATAAATCTCCCCGACGTGTTGCTAATATGGACCACCTTCGAGGTAGTACATCCAGCGGGAGAGGATTGCACAGGGAATCTAGCAACGTCACTGAACGTCGCACGGAGCGAAATATCGTCACAACTCGCGATCGAATCCATGTTAAGACGCGAAACACCGTGAAAGAATCACCTAATGCCGGAAACCGTGGTGATTTTGAGAAACCTCGATCTAGGAAGGTAGATACAGCGACTCCTCCTAGGGGGAAGGAAAAGGAAGTAACAGAATGTAAGGATCTTTTCCAAGAGTTTACAAAATAAAGGCGTAAATGCTGACTACCATAACTCATAGTACCATGGAATCCCCAAGCTACTCTAATACCACACTCTGCTGCGCCGCTTGCATGTCGCGTGTCCGTTCCTCCCTTGGCCTCAATAGCGCCCGAATACCTGGAGCCGGCGCCGTTTAAAACAATGCCGATGGATGAACAAGAAGATACTATTTTACAAGATATTCTTTTCGTCTTCATGGGTTACGAAGGCCAATATATACGCTATAGCAACACATATGATCCTTCATCAGAGAAAGACCGATTGGTAGGCCCGTCATATCGAATTTCGCCAGGCTTGGACCCGAGTCTTAAAGATTTAACATTATCGATGTTGAAAATGGCGACGCATTATAGCGCTCTGGAAGCCTTTGTCGATGTTCAAAGTCGTCCTGAGTATGGTGCTGTTAGTCATGCTTTGTGCGCAGCCATAAGGAAGCTATTGAAGGACTATTTGATACTTGTTGCGCAGCTGGAAAACCAACTCATCAACAACCCAAATTTCACGCTGCATGTTCTTCACCTCCAGACCATGCCCACGAGTCAGAGTTTAGCACAACTTTATTCACTCGGCCAAGAGCTGTTGAGGCGAAATAAGTTGCTAGACCAGGACTTGGACGAGTCAATCGACGATTTTGACGATGTCGATAATATTCTAGAGCAGTTGAAGGAAGGCGGGGATCTGGTTCCAGGAAGCATGTCTAGCAAGAAGATATGTAAGGGTGGAAATGTCCTTGGGCTGCTAACAGAGCGACTGGCTACGTTTTCTGGTGACCCTGCGACGAGAACGCTTCTACAAACACTACTTCGCGAGGCAAGCAGGCCTTATATGATGATGCTGAATGAATGGCTGCACCATGGCGGGATTAAAGATCCCCACGGCGAGTTCTTAATTAAAGAACAAAAAGGAATTAAAAGAGAGAAATTGGAGGAAGATTATACGGATGAGTACTGGGAAAAACGATATACCATCCGTGACAACGAGGTGCCTCCACAATTGGAGAGTGTCAGGGATAAAGTTTTGCTAGCCGGTAAATATCTCAACGTCGTACGAGAATGCGGCGGTGTCGATATCAGCAAGGCCGTAAAAGATGTTCCAAAGACCTTTGATGATCCTCGGTTTTTGGACAATGTTAACGGCGCCTATGCGTATGCGAATACGTCCCTGCTGAATCTTCTACTTACCGAAAACTCTCTGACAACACGGTTCCGATCATTGAAGCATTATTTCTTTCTGGATCGGTCCGATTTCTTCTCTTATTTCATGGAGCTGAGTTCATCTGAACTTCGCAAATCCGCGAAGAACGTAAACGAAAGCAAGCTTCAGTCTCTGCTTGATCTGGTGCTTCGACAACCTGGCAGTATTGCCGCTCAAGATCCGTACAAAGAAGATGTCAAGGTCAAAATGAACAAGATTGGATTGACCAAATGGCTGATGCAGGTTGTCAGTGTATCTGGAATTGATCAGGACAACCCAGATGGCGGAATAGAAAAATACCAAACTCCGACGACCCAACCGGCCGAGGAAGAGAAGGACATTGTTGGGTTTGACGCTCTGGAGCTGGATTATATGGTTCCTTTCCCAGTATCTCTTGTGATCAGCCGCAAGACAGTTCTGCGTTACCAACTCATCTTTCGATATCTCCTCTCGCTTCGGCATTTAGAGAATTTATTAGTTACTTCGTGGCATGACCAACAGAAAGTGCTAGGATGGCGGCACAAGTCATCTGACCAGCGACTAGAACTATGGAAACGAAGAGCCTGGACACTGCGAGCCAAGATGTTGGTCTTCGTTCAGCAACTACTCTACTTTTGTACGTCAGAAGTGATCGAGCCAAACTGGCAGAGCTTGATGGAGAGAGTAAATGGAACTGTTGCTGGCAGTGACAGCGTGCCCACAGATGGATCCAGACAAGTAAACAGGACAGTGGATGAGTTGATGCAGGACCATGTCGATTTTCTTGACACCTGTCTGAAGGAGTGTATGCTTACTCAGGCAAAGCTTTTAAAGGTACACCTCCACCCTGCATGTTACTGACATGGTCCAGAAACTAATATTTTTGACTAGATACACTCAAAATTAATGACTTGTTGCACCATGTTCGCCTCTTGGACTGCCTCATCACTCGCTCGAAGCGTAGCCTCCGCAGACCCCGACCTATCAGCTGGTGCAGAAGGTGCACCTTCTGACGCTCGACCTTTCGACCCAAGTCGACTAGCGAAGCTAGAAGACACCCTTAAGCGATATGAAGACCACTTCAACCGTCATTTGCGAATATTGATGGATAGGTATGACTTTTCTCTTCAGGGGTCGAGTATATATGACCCTGTTGCTAATACGATCTCCAGTTTGAACTACTTTGCAGCAACCGAAAGTGTTGTCTTGCTCAAACTTGCGCATTCATTGAGCTCAATTGCCAAGGACGAATAGCCCTCTTTCTCCATCGTCTTTTTTCTGTTATGGTATTTGATTCAAAGCGGGTATCAGGTTGTTTGAGTTATAGGAATCCGCCATCATTATATTTGCATCGATGAGTGGACTGTTAGAATTGGATTGATGGATGATACCCTATCGGAGTTCAAGAAGCAATTATCAGATTATGCATATACAGCGACCTGAATGAATGAACTATTAATTATCGCGATTGAAAGTAGAATTCAGATTTCCGCCTGTTACTCACATAACATCTACGACGAAAGAAAAGAAGATAAGAAAGAACTAGCGATTAATCAAAGCTTTGCTCTACCACTCTCGATCTCAGCCCAACTTCCCCCGTCGAGCCTGTCATAACTAGCCCTCTTACTCCCCTGCCCGCCGCTCTTCAGCCAGTACAAATTATCGCCTCTCCAATCCATTTCTGGATCCCAGCCACGTTTTGAGAGGTCGCCTTTGGCTTGTTTGAATGTGACGCCAGTGGCGACCCTAGATATTGGTTAGTGCGTTGTATTATACTTGGATTGTGTAGATGGGGAGTGGTTGGGAACATACTCGCTAGTGATTCGTACTAATCGGGGCATGGCGTAAGACGGAATGCCCTTTGATTTGAGTGCTGGATAGAGGTTTTTCATGAACTGTGCTTCTGTGTTGGGAGTACGTTGTACTAGGGTTATGCCTGCAGCGCCTGCTTTACCGTCGTAACTGGTTGTAGGTCAGAACATGTATATCACCAAAAAAAAAGAAGAACAAGAAAGGGGGGAGGGAAAGCTGGGCTACGTACTTTTCCAACTTCACACCATAAACCACTGCATCCTGTACATTCTCAATCTTGCTAATGTGATCCCGTACTTCACCAGCCGACACATTCTCTCCTTTCCAACGAAACGTCTCGCCGACACGATCTCCAAACCGCACCCAACCATCCTGGTCCCGAACCAGCAAGTCGCCCATACGCTGAAACACATCCCCCTTTTCAAACACATTGCGTACAAGTTTCTTCTCCGTAGCATCGTTATTATTCAAATACTCCGTTAGAGCCTGCCGACTGCGAACGCGGCCAATCGCCTCGCCTTCCTCGCCCGCCTTGGCTTTTACGCAGAACCCCGTTTGCGGGTCACGATATGGCATTTCGGTTTCCGGGTCGTATTTGACTAGATACGTGTCTTGTTCAAGGAACTGTCTTATCGGCCCCTGGAATCCCACAGCCCCTGCACCCCATGTCCCGCCGTAGAAGTTGTCGAAGCGAGCAACGCCTTCGGTCGAGCGGTAGATTTCCCTGATTTCAGGCACGTTAAACCGCTCCTGGAATTTCTCCCAGATATCGCCCCGCAAGCCATTTCCATAGGCTACCTGACAGTTGTGCTTCCTGTCATACGGCGAGGGAGGGGATGCCAGTAGATACCGACATAGCTCTCCAATGTACAACACGCGATTAGCCCTTGACTCATGAACATCCTGCCAGAACTTCGACGCGGAGAATTTGCGTCGGAGACATAATGTGCCGCTGTTACCAACGGAATAGCAAATGCCTGTAAAAAAAGCTGTTCCGTGGAATAGTGGTAGAGAGGAGTATGTGCGTAGTGGGAAGTACTTTTTTGGGTTCCGAGTATCTCTTGGAAGCGGAGTGGATGTGACCATTATTCCAAGGTTGCGGATTGCGCATGCCTTGGGGTTTCCGGTGGTTCCTGATGTGTAAATTAGGACTCCTATATCTGAGGGGCTGCGTTTGGCGGGTTTTAAGGATGAGATAGTTGACGTGGGGATTTGCTGTATGGTGTCGAGATTGATATGCTCTATGTCTGGGGATGATTGGGGAGTGATGTTGTCAAATGAGGAGAAATTGACGGATATTCTTGGAAGATCCGACTTTACAAATTCAGCGAGATCGGGGGTCGAAATGATGAGTTTTGATGCTGAGATATCGAGACAGTGCTTGAATGTGTCATCTGGATGGATTAGAAGCATGTAATAATAATAGATGAGGCGAGCTGCCTACCGCGCAGGTTTGTGTTCAGCATAGCTACGACGGCTCCTAGCTTGGATAAGGCGTATATCGTGAATACCATCTCAGGGGAATTGGTCGTGAAAATGGCAACATAATCGCCAGATCTCACACCACGAGCATGGATATGAGCAGCGAAACGATCAACCACTGAGAGGCAGTCAGTTAGAGCTCTACACATCGGAAATGTATAACCCACAATCTTTGACTTGGTCATAAGTCCAGGTCTTATTCTCAAACCATAGGGCATCTGCGGCCCCCTTTCTGTCTACTTCAATCACGCGCTCCAACAGCTTGTACAATGTGCAGGTATCGCCCATCTGTGCAATGCGCTGGGTTAGCCGCTTGCCAAATGCGCGTTCATCTCTGAGACTGTCGATGTCGGTTCCCAGGCCGTATTTGGCATTTGCATAGGCAGCTGTTGCGAGAGTCAGAGCTACGCCCCCGAATGCAGCAGCGCCACCAATGCTGGCGGCTGCATCTGCGATGATATCCATGTGAACAATGACGCCAAGATTAGATTGATGGATCGAAAATAACAAATTTCGTCACAACTATGAACTTTTGGATGACTCTGAGTGATTCTGTAGTCAGAGTAGCCAGATTAGCCAGAGTGATCGGATGATCTTGGAGGGTCTTGGTAGTTACACTAAGGAAAAGGAATTGGCAACCCAAGGAAAGCTATCTTTTGAGGCCTGAGGCCTTTATGCTGTCACAATTGGCCGGTATTCATAGAAAGCATGTACCGACCAGGCTAAGAACAACAATGACTTTGCCAGCTAGCCAGGTCAACGTAGCTTGAAAAAGTCAGTAGGAGGCCCCACCGCCCCCTGGAGGAAGTCCGGACTCCACAGTGGCAGCATTTCCGTGTTATGATATACACTGTAATACAGCTTTAAGAACATTATATGATCCATTCATAACGATTTGATAGAGCTTTCCCCGCATAAACACTGTCAACAGCATGGGTAGGAGCCGTGTATTGGCCATACAGCGATACACTGCCTGAATACGCGCAAAACGCCCAGCCTCGGTAACCTGTGACACGTATCGTACGGTGCGTAACTTTCAGCGACGGCACTTGGAGTCGGCAACGAAAGCCGACATTTAACCTCGCCGGAACAGAGCATCGAGAGAGCATCAACCTGCCAGGCACCACAAGGCAAAAGCCGAGGCTGAAAGCTGCATAAACTCGGTCATCGTAATACACCCGCCGGAGAGCGTTTGTCTGATTGGTTCGTTTTCGTATTTACTGGTTACTGATCAGGTTTTTATCTATCAAAGTCGCAGTCGTATCTTTGTTCCTTTTTTAAAGAACCTGACCGTCGCATCTTTCCGACTTATTTTTGCCACTGATTCTCAAATTCAACGATAGAAAAATGTCATCAGCATCTCAGCGCCTGTCGGCAATCGCTGGCCAGATAAGCGGTGGCGGCGAGTCGGCTGCGAGAAAACGCCTGTTGGCAAAGAACCCAGATGATGTGGTCAGTAACATACAGACAGCCAAAATACACACATAATTAATACTGTATAGGTGATTACGTTCGCCGCCAGAACGCCTCTTACAAAAGCCAGAAAAGGAGGCTTGAAAGATACACCTTTGGACGAGCTTTTGATCTCCCTGCTAACCGTAAGTCCCGTCTCTTAAGAAGAGAAAAACATTAAAAGTGCTCAATATACGTATCAGAATGTCCGCGAAAAATCAAAGATCGACCCAAACCTCGTCGAAGATGTTTGTGTCGGGAACACGCTCAACCCAGCCGGCGCCTATGTCGCTCGCTCCTCTGTGCTTGCGGCCGGATTCCCAGAGACGACAGCTGCATCCGTGGTCAACCGCTTTTGCTCCTCTGGTTTGTTGGCTGTGCAACAAATCGCCAATCAGATCATCGCTGGCTCGATCGACGTCGGCATTGCCGTAGGCGCCGAGTCCATGAGCACGAACCCCGATCCCGGTGCTCCCACGTTCTCAGAAAAGGTCCTGAATCACCACCTTGCTTCCCAGAACCAGCAGCCCATGGGCCAGACCTCCGAGAACGTGGCGGGCCAGTTCAGCATCTCCCGCGCTCGACATGACGAGTTCGCAGCGGCTAGCTATCAAAAGGCCGAACGGGCCCAGAAAGCAGGCTGGTTCGATGATGAGATTGTCCCGGTCAAGACGACCATCAAAGACCCCAAGACGGGCGAAGTCAAGGAAATCGTCGTCTCGCGCGACGACGGTATTCGGTACGGGACGACAGCGGAGAGTCTGTCCAAAATCCGCTCTGCGTTCCCTCAATGGCAACCCAGCCATACAACGGGCGGAAACGCTTCTCAGATCACGGACGGCGCTGCGGCGTTGGTCATGATGAAGCGTTCTCGAGCCGAGCAGCTTGGGCAACCCATTGTAGCCAAGTTTGTTGGCGCTACAGTGATTGGTCTTGAGCCGAGGATCATGGGTATTGGGCCGAGCATTGCTATTCCTAAGATCCTGTCCAAGACGGGCTTGAGTACTGACGATGTTGATATTTTTGAAATCAACGAGGCGTTTGCTTCGATGGTAAGACTGGCCTTTTTATGTGATTGGTGGATTGCTAAGCTAAGTTGGAATAGGGTGTATACTGTGTTCAAAAACTGAACCTTCCACCGGCCAAAGTTAATCCTCGTGGTGGAGCCATGTAGGCCTTTCTCATCCTCTCACAATATAATCACCCTGCTAACATGGACTAAAGTGCATTCGGCCATCCCCTCGGCGCTACTGGAGCGCGCCAAGTCGTAACCGCGTTATCTGAACTGCGGAGAACAAACAAGCGAATTGCCGTGACATCGATGTGTGTGGGAACTGTAAGTATATTGCCTAAATTGCAAGTAATAAATGAACCTACTGACTCGGCATTTCCTTTGATTTAGGGCATGGGCATGGCTGGTGTTTTTGTTTCTGAGCATTAGTTTTCTTTTGTAACGAATATAGAGCTTTAAAATAATGTTGCTTTATGGAATAAAATGAGTATTTTATTGCTCAACCTATCAGATCCAAGTGATATCTATATCAATACACTAGTACCTTCCAAACCTCCACCTACTAAAAACAAGTAAATGAACTTGTTTACATCTACTCAATCTTGCATTTGCTCTTTTGACTTGGGGCGGAAGAAGTAGAAGGAGAAGAAGTAGAAGGAGGAGAAGGAGGAGAAGGAGAAGAAGGAGAAGAAGTAGAAGAAGTAGAGGAAGAGGAAGAAGTAGAAGAAGAAGAAGGAGGAGGAGGAGGATTCGAAGCCCCCGCCGCACCTTCGATAGACCCAATATTCGCATTCTTGCATTCACCGCCATTTGCACAGTTGTGATAAACCGACAACGTGGCTGGTCCACCACACATTTGCTTCTCATTGCCGCTGCAGGGATCAAGGCAGTTCCCGACTACTCCGGGGACAGGGGCGCGGTCGGATGGGAGGGAGTTTCCGCAGTAGCATCTGTATATCTGTCAGTAGGAGTCTTGCTGTGATTGGAATATGGAGATTGGGAGATAGTAGCCTTGACGTACTGAGTGGCGTATTCCAACCCGGCATATGAATATCCCGCATCAGAGCAGTACTGAACGCAGGTCTCGACGGTCATGTTGTTGGAACTCGTAGTAGCCGCGTTGAAGGTACGAGAACCGAGGTTGTCGAAACCGCAGCCAACGTACTCCCACTTCAGAGAGGTGGTTAGATCGGTGTAGTAGTTTGCGAGAGCGGAGTCGGTAATGCTGGCTTTGTCGTCACAGGTCTGCACGGTAGCTGGTTCAGGCCCCCAGGTTACGTCGTTGCAACCAGGCAGAGAGCCCAGCACACCCTTGACCGTTTCGTCCACGAAAGCTGGGAGAGTGCACATCGAGGACTCGGTGTTGGTGAATAGGTCGAAGTGCTGAGACCCGTCGGCTGCGAGACAGTCGGAGATTTGGCCGCTATCGTTGTTGCAGTTGTCGACTGCGTATTGGAGCACGTTAATGTCCCAGCCATTGACCTATGAAGGCATTAGAGCTGGATAATTGTTGAAGGGAATGAAATAGAACGTACGAAATCACCATGGAACCCGTATCCAGTAGGATCGCCCATAGCCCAGACAAAAGGCTGCTTGTTATCCCACCACATACCCGAAAAAAGATTGGTCTGAAAGATAATTTCGTAAAAGATAGAAACCAGATGAACAGGGTGGCTTTCCGGGCAAACACCGTCGTTGTATGCTCCAGATTCAGGATAGGCGACATGGGACTTGTGGTCTGCTGAATCAAGGTTCTTACCATCCCAGCACGACGGGAAGAAGACTTGGGCACGGAGTCCGTCTGGACAATTGTAGTCGGGAAACCCATTGGTTTCGGCCGTCGCTGGGCCATTGTAGTTCAAACATGCGTAACTGATGGCTTGGGCAGCAAAGTCACCGGTGTAGTTGCGTTTGAATGGGTTGCCGGCTAGCATTCGGAAGCCCTCTGGGAAGGCGTGCAGCTGGTCCTTGTTTGCACCAGGGCGTTGTCTTGATTGTGGTCAGTCGATATCAAACAAATAGAAGTTAAGGATAAGAGAATTCATACAAATAGTAGACCGTAATCCCACCCATGCTCCCCGAACCGTCACCAGACACAGGAACGTTGATAAACGTGCCATTCTGAGCGCGGTAGTATAAATGAGGAACCCAATAGTTCGATAAATCCGCCTTGATAGGGCATGAAGAGCAAGAAGAAGACCGAGCGTCTTCATAAGTCATATTGAATCCGAATCCACTTCCACCAACAATAGAATGGACATGCCCGGATACTTCTCCAGGGTTAACGATTGGATCGGCACGCTCATCCACTAAACGTCCGGGGCATGGCATGCGAAAGAAGGCGGATGCAGGATGTGCAAGGACGGCCAGAAAGCCGGAAATGAGAGTTGGCTTCATTCTTGAGATACAGAATGAGTTTTTTGCTGGTCACAATTTTAAAGAGCGTTAAATCTATGTTTGGAATAATCGGATCAACCGATGGAATATAATGAATGTGAAAAGTCGCAGACTTTGAATAGAGAAAGGAGTGACGAGAGAACGAGAGTCTGGAGTCGAAGAGAAATAGAATATGTGATCCGAACAATTCAATGCTAGAAGCAGGCCGAACACCCCATAATATAATCAAGGACGCAACATAATCGACCTGTCCAGATTCCAAGGAAACGGAACTTAGCGGATCCTTTAATCAGACTATGACGCCTAATGTCACAAAACGGTGAGATTAAGCTCCGTGGGTTTGCATTGGCGCTGGGGCTGGATGGCAGTTGACTGCTACGTTCCTGATGAAACATGTTCAGACGCCGCCATGTGGGTTGTTAATTACTGCGGTGAACATTCTGATTCAAGCTAGTGAGAAAGAAAAAATCTGTTTAGATTAATCCGATCAGACGTCATGAGTTAAAAATGATGTGTATAAAGATAACCAAAAGCCACGAGTTATCCCACCCTATCGATTGTTCAATGTTGGCCATTATCGAGCGAAAACCGTTTCAGCATATCCCCGATTATCTTGTTTTAGGAAGTGGCTAGGCGCCATTTATGTTAAAATAGGCAAGGCGAGAAGCCACCTTAATCCTCTTCTTACTGAACTACTGTATGCAGGGGGGTGCGGAGGACGAATTAGGTGGTTTGGCCCGCCCGAATTGGCGAACGGCGATTAAAGTTGCACCTGGAGGATAATTAAGCAAGGCGAACAGTGCCGGCTCCCCGAAATCTAGGCAAAAATCAAAGCCACAAAAACATTTAGAATGGTGGATGATTGAGGCTGAAACACCGGGAAATATGCTAGCGCAGCTATTCGGCCAAAACTCCCTCCGTCCCTGACTAGGCCGGCGCTTGCAAGGTGGCCATGGTTGCATTGGACACCATCTCACGTCAGTTGGCCCCTGTGAAATAAAGAGTGAACTGAATTAAATATCAATTTGAGCTAATAATATACGACTGATCTTATCGGTTGTCGGCGTGTCACTCCAGAGTCCGAGATGTTCTGCACTCTGATTGGCTGCTGCACACGTTGTCTGAACATGTGTTTCGATTGAATCTGTATCAGGTCGTTGTCAGTTGAGATGTAAACAGCAATACCAGAAGATACGACTTCTGCATAAAGATATTAGATACATACATCTAAAAATCATACCCTACCAAATCATAGGAACCCCCTTTCTCCAACGCACTCTGATACGCTTGCCTCTCGTGAATCTTCGTCAGCCACTTCGCTAGTTTCGGATATTTCTTCTCATCGAGGTACTTTTTCTGATGCGCAGAATCTATCGGCCATATCATATTCAGATCAGCCAATCCTAAGTCCTTTCCTGAAAACCACGGCTTGTCGTCTGATAATGCACGCTCCATCAGCTCAAATGGCTCGTCCACGTTCTTTCTGAACATGCTGGCAATTGGATTGAAGATGAGATACAGCAGCGGTTTCGCAATCCAAGGGGACTTGGCCGGAATGATCTGAAAATAAGTAATGCGATCGATAATCACGCTCAGCGTGCTATTCGCAAACTCTTGGAAAAAGATATCACGGTCTTTGTCTTCATCGTTGGGTAACCATTCGCCACTGGAGTATTTGTCGGATAGAAATTGAAGGATAAGACGCGATTCAGTGATCAACGTTTTCTTAATCTCGCCGCTGCTGCCCACAAACTTGAGGGGACGGTATACCTCTACGCCGGGGATCTCTAGTATAGGCGACTTTCCCAGAGGGAATATTTGCTTCAATTCGGCTGGTGCGCGTCCCTGTTGGCGCTTGTAGTATTTCACGGAGTATTCGAGTCCGTGTTGGATAGCCAGTTCCTCCAGCGCCCAGAGCACGCGCATGGACTGCGAGGAGCTTAGATGGTGGAGAATCGGCGCCGGGAGAGGGGTATGAGGAGTATCCATCTTGTGCCGCTCCGCCAGTCAATACCGTCAGATACTGGGCCTAGGAATGATGTCCGTTGAAGTCTTGAGAGCGATGGGTGCAGGATTAATTGTTGCATGGAGCTGGACGCGTGGGAGAAACGCAGGCTAACGGGAAAGAGCCATCATCTGCGCCTGCCGTGCGAGCCCCTGGCTTGTCCATCTTCTTCCACCCTCACAACTCAATCTGTACATCGTTTCATCTCGACAATCTAATTTCTTATTATTGAAACGAATCGCCATTGTTTCGCGCAACAGCCTGAATTCATTATCGGCAGGTCTCCCGCACATGCATACAATTTACCGCTTATTAGTCCTCAATGCGCCGTCGCAGAGCCCCGCTACGCACAGCGAATCACCTATCGTCATCGCAAACTCCCCATAAGCTGTCAAATGGCGCACGATAAGTCGAATAACCGCTCGGCTTGCTCGATGAGATCGGCCAATTCTGTTTCCAGTTCTGGATAGGCCGGGGAGCTGTGGCCCTGTGGGGGGTAGCGTAGTACTTGTAACTCCTTATCGTGCAATCATATTAAAGATGCTTGTGCCGTGCGACTTTTTTCTTCCCTCTTTCTTCCTTTGCTTGATTTTCCGCAGTTGTGCGATACTTTGATCATGTCGGCGAGCAATGATCCTGGCCTGCACGTCGCAGCCGCGCCTGATGCGGCGCCTCCTACGCAAGACGGGCTGGCCGATGTTGAAGCCCTTCAAGAGCAACGGGCAAGTCTTGATCATGACAAAAAGCTGGGTCTAGACATATTGCAGGCCGCGGATAGCCCAGAAGACGGCTCTGTTATTGCACCTGATCAATTTGATGATAAATACAGAACTAGCAAAAAGGAAATTTGGGCCTATTATGCGTGGGTTTCATGCATACCTACTGCTGCGCCATGTGATGCGCCGGACTAAACATGTGCAGTTACTACATCGGTAATAATGGATTGACTTTATTCAGTGTGTTTTTTTAAGTCTAAAAATGACTAAGTTTTGAATTCGTGCTGATAAACCTAGATTTTGCTCCGACGGCCTTTCAAAACCTGCTGTCGCAAGCTGCTGACTCGAACGGAAATTTGCTCTTCGCTGGCAAAGTACGCTCCATCAATAGTATCGTACTCCTCAGCAATGGGATTTCCTTCGCTATACAAATCGTCGTGTTTTTGGTCATCGGTTCATTTGCTGATTTCGGTCAATGGCGTCCTAACATCCTGATCGCCTTGTCGATTATTGCGTGGGCGATAGGTTTTGGCTGGCTCGGCGTACACGACGCGAGCAAATGGGAGGCAGCCACAGGACTATATATCATTGGCTTGATTGCGTATCAAACAACACTCACTTTTTGGACCGCTGCATTTCCGGGCTTGGCACGTAATACTGCGGAAATGAAGCAAAAGGCAGATGAATTGGTGTCCGGCTCGATCAGCCGAGAGGAATATGATTATGCGGATACCATGAAGCGCAGCCAGCTCTCCAACATCGCTTTCTACATCCAATCTGTAGGGGAGGTCTTTATCCTGGCCATTATTGTTGGAATCATGTTTGGGGTCAATGTTAATGCCACTACTGCCAACAATAATTGGGGGCTGAGTGTGTTGATTGCATTTGCATCTGGTGTGTGGCTATTGCTGTCCATTCCCTGGTTTATCCTGGAGAAAAGGAGACCCGGCCAAGATCCAGCACCGCGAAACATCATCATGGCTGGGTTGTGGCAATTGTATCATGCGGCTACCCAAATATTGCGTCTAAAACAGAGTCTGATCTACCTGATTGGTAAGCCTATCGATTTTCACTTTCTACTAATTAGGACAAGGCTGATCGAAAAAGGCTATTTTCTACTGGGTGACTCTTTGAACACCACAGTTACAGTTATCGCGACCCTTCAAAACACTATTGTCTCTTACAACACTTTACAATTGACCTATCTGTTGATTGTCGGTATTGCAGCACAGGTCAGTCTTTTCGCACTAAACGAGGTATGAAGTATATTAAAAACAGAATAGGCTGTTGGTATCTATAGCTTTTGGTGGATTCAGCAGCGTTTTTATCTTGGCACGAAAACCATGTTCAATGTCATCGCTGTAGCCATCATCTTACTCGATGGCTGGGGCATGATCGGAATCTGGACACAACGATTTGGCTTCCACAATACATGGGAAGTTTGGGTATACCAAACGTATTATGGTCTCTTCGTGTGTCCTTGGTACTCGTACAGCCAAATAATGATCTCCGAAGTCACGCCTCGCGGCAAGGAGTTTCTCTTCTTCTCTCTTTTTAGCATTATTGGCAAAACCTCGTCTTTTATTGGCCCGATTGTGTCAAGCGCGATTATCGATGCCAGCCCTAGTGGGAATAATTCCCTGCCATTTTACTTTTTGTTCGGGTTGAGTTTGTTGAGTTTTGGTCTTTTATTGTTCTTTGTCGATCTGGCAAAGAGTAGGAAGGAGCAAGAAGTATTCTTGGAGGAGGAGAAGAGAAGATTGAATAGATAGTGCGATTATTATATAGAATATGCCATCACACAATTGAATTGGGTAGAGGCGATCTCCCCATACCGATATTACTTTACTTGAACTCTGCATTGTCTAGGGCCGGATCCCAAGAATTCTCTATCAATCTTTCAATCGGACATAAAGTGGTGTAAATGCAGACGACGGCAAAATTTTTTAATACCATTAATTATACACGTTGGAACTTTCGTCATATTATTGTATTCGATGTTAAAAGCTTTTATATTTAGTCATGAGACATTGAAGAATTCATTCAAAGTGTTGCCATATCCGCATTCCTCCGCCCCCCCTCCTCCCCTGATTGTTCCCGATACAATTCCAAGGATACATGTAACGAACAAAAGAAACTCTGCCAAGTGATATCATCAGCCCTTCAATCTATATATGGATCCGTTTGATATCAATTGATTCAGCTATCAGACAGTCCGATTTAACAGAAATTAACACTACTATCATCCTGACTGAACATCGTCACTGAATCCGAAAAATCAAACTCCGTCGTCCCCCTCCAAACGTATCCGACATATTGATATTCACATTCACGTTCTCCGTAAAACTATTACTATCATTCATTCCCATGAAAAGCTGGCTATTGTTGTCCTGGGTATTATAATTGAGCGCAGCTAGTTGGTCATTCAACTGCTGGATTTCTAAAAGGTTCGACTGATTCGACTGTCCGTTTATGGCTGCTATCTCTGCATTTAATTGGGCTTCGATATTGGCGATATCATTGTTGCTGCCGGACTGGAAGAGATTAATATTCGAGCCACCGTTGTTGCTGTTGCTGTTGTTCCCGAATAGCGAATTAATAACGGAAAGGCCAGTATGTATATTTTGCTGTGTCTGCTGCTGCTCTTGCTGATGGAGTTGATTGGTAAGTAACTCGATCTGTAGATTGTCGATTGTTTGTTGAGAAGATGAGGGTTGTTGTTGGTTTTGTTGCTGGTTCATGTTCATCATTTGGATCTGCTGTTGGAGCTGGTGTAGCTGTTGTTGGATTTGTTGTTGACTTGCGGTGTCGACGGAATTTGATGGTGGGACTTGTATGGTGATGTGCGGGGTCGTAGAAGGCCCTGCTGCTTGCGGGGAGGAATGGGAGAATAGGTTGAGTTTGGAGGAGCTGATGGTTGTGAAAATGTTGACTGCTGTTGCGGTGGTGGTGGTAATTGGGTATTCTGTGGGGTGAAGTTTCCGGGGAAATTGGCATTCGGTGGTCCCTGCTGATTGTTGAGGTATGGATTTTGAGGTGCTGAGGGTTGTGAAAATGTTGGCTGCTGCTGCGGCGGCGGCGGCGGTGATTGGGAATTCTGCGGAGTGAAGTTTTCGGGGAAATTGGCATTCGATGGTCCATGTTGATTGTTGTAGTATGGGTTTTGAGGATGCCCCTCAAAGTAACCACTTGACTCACCACCTGTCGGTAAACTGCCATCTACCGGGGGCTGGTTACCGGCAAATGATGGATGTGGGTTATACTGATCAGTCACCGGAGGAGGTGATGACGAGGATTGCGGTGAAGGGTGAGTGTTGAAATTGGGGTATTGGTATGCAGTATTGTGGGGAGACTGGGGCAGCGAAGTTGGAGACGATGGATTAGTTGGCATAGTCGAGCTAGCATGTAGGTTGGTATGGTTTGCCTGATCATGCACGTGACTATAGTTATTCTCTTGAAAGTGCTGGGGATTTGATTGCTGGGATTGGGATGAATGTATCTCAATATGAGTCTCATGGTGTTGAGATTCTGAGCCGTTGACAGTTGACTGATTGTTAATAGCTGAGTGAGCGGTGTCTTGTGAATGTGCATTCTGGGGATGTTCAACTTGCTGGCCCTCGTGGTTTATTCCATTTGGATGCGCCTGACCAGTCTCATGCATTTGATTACTACTCGGTGGTTTCGACGGAATTGTTTGGGACGGGGTTGTGTAAGGAGATGTAGTATCTGCTGTACCCCCTGAAGTCCCAACGTTCTCATGGTGTGGCGGTGATTGACTTGTAGATTGCGTTTGATCAGCTGAGACATGTATATTTGTCTCTACATGATTGTTGACAGTAACCTGTAACTCAGCTGAATCATTTGACTGGTTAGCATTCGACTGATGGCCAGCTGGCTGTGAGATCTCTGCGTTTTGGCTCTGCGAATGGCCCTGTTCGGCCTGCTCACACGGCGGGATTGGCGCGAGGCTGGAGTCATAAGGAGTAGCTTCACATGCCGGAATCGGTGCCATTGCGCTTGGGGCAGATGTATTGGCCTCGCTAGCAGGTATCGGCGCCATCGTTTCTTCTAGATGCGGGATGGTTTCAGAGTCCAGAACTGGTGATACTGTGTTGGGTATGAAGCCTGGAGCTTCGCAAGCGGGTATTGGTGCCATTGAGCCATGTAGATGTTCATCGGCCTCACTTGTGGAAATTTGTGTAGCCAAATTTGGCGGCGGAGGTGCGGCAGCTTCGCTTGGGTGTACCGGTGCCATGGATCCTTGCATAGGTATAGCCTCACTAGAAGATATTGGAGCTGCCATCGTCCCATGCGGGGATGCATTTCCTTCACTCATTGGGATTTGTACAGCCGGACCAGGTAGAGAGAATGCAGCTAGAATGGATGGTGCCGCCGTGGATGATGGTTGCGTAGTAGGTACTGGCGCCAAGGGCCCATATTGAGATACATTTGCTTCACTTTGCGGAAGTGGTGCCATAAAATTTGGTTGAGCCATTACGGATTCGCTAGGAGGTATCGGTGTCGTCGTTCCTTGTAGAGGCACGTTCACTCCACTTGTTGGAATTGATGTAGCTGGATTTTGTGGAGGAATTGTAGCTCCGCTAGCAGGTATGGGCGCCATCGAACCCTGTATAGGGGTTGTATATGCCATTGCGTTGTTATTCGCCATTGGAATCTGCATCATAGGATTACCCGTAGGCGCACTGACTCCTCCATGTTGTGCAGACGTTGCCAAATTCTGAGCCTGCTGAAGCTTTGCAATCTTCTGTGCCAGCTGCAGCTGGGCATTAAGTTTGTTAATAGTCTGCATCTGCGCATTCATCGTCAAAAGCTGCTGCTGATTTGGCTTATTATTATTCAACAGGGCGTTGGTATTAATAGGAGGTATATTGACACCAGTAGCTTGCTGGATCTCGCCCCTGAGGATATTCACACCTACTGCCCCAGCAACCTTGGCAGTTCCTTTCAGAATGCTTTTGCCCACCTTTTTCATGGAGTCAGTGTCGATTTCCTTGGCCATAGTGGATGCCTTGTCGTACGCGGCGCGTGAAACGTTGCTTGTTTTGTCGTACATTACTCGAGAGGCATTTTCGATCTTGGGAGACAATGCTTTTCTTCTGATATCCGAAGGTGGAACCACTGGCTGTATGCTGGGCTGGATAGGAGGGAGGGTGTTCTGCTGTAGAGGGAGATTAACAGGCGTAAGCCCAAAAGACGCTGGTGTCTGAATAGGTTGGATTTGGGCTATTGAGGGTTGTTGAGCGATGCTTGGGGCTATTGGCTGAGCCACAGGCTGGGATGATATCGTAGACGATGATGACGATCTAGAAGATGGTGGTTTCCGCTTTATCAGAACTGATGGCTGTCGCTGTGCAGTCTGTAGTTGAACCGGTGATTGAACACCAGATCCTGCTTGAAGTACGGATGACTGTCCGGGGAGCATTCCCGCGTACTGCAGCTGTAGCTGCTGATCTGACATCGATTTCTGAGCCATAGAAACCTGAATAGCTAGCCACTCACTGCCGCGATCAACGGGGTCAAATAGTGTCATTTCAACAGTTTCCGCACAAGTGTGGCGCACTGGAATATTGCGTTTCTTGGTGCAGTCGAGACAGATTTTCCAGTTCTGGCAGTGATTGCACTGGATATAGCAGTCGCTATGTGGCATAATAGGTTTCTCGCATTTGTCACATGGCTTTGTGTATAGGCCAGGCATGGCTAGATATTGCCATAGATCATCGGGTGGAGCAGTTCGTATGAGAGATACGGAGACCATAATATGAGGATGGGAACGAGCACCGCCAGACTCGGCACAGGTTTCACACGTTATCAGAGTGCAGGTTGGACAGAGGAAAATATTGGAATTTACGGGGAATCCTGAACAAATACCATAAGTTAGAGAATATCGTATAGTGCCCAAATCATAGTTGACTTACTCTGGTTGCAACAATGGCACAGCAAGTTATGTGCTTCAGTAGAAACTGTAGCAATATCCCGGACTGGCTTGCGTAAACAGGCGCGATAATTATGATATATTCGTCGGTCCTTTTCTGCTTCTCCCATGGTAATTTGAAACCTGGTGTGAGGGTGTCGCGCCAAGGACTGGCCATTAAAAGAGACCCTGTGTTTCGATTAGTATGACAATATTTAGAAGCGTATACTGTAGCTTACGTTTGCTTACACTCCAGACAACGGACAATATTATACTTGGGATCCATATTCAAGTCAACTCGATACTGAAATGAAGCAAACTTGTGCGTCGGGTCATGATCTTGTTGTCCGGGGCTCTGGCAGTCTCCACAAAATCGGATTTGTCCATTGTAGTCTTTAACGCATGTTACGCACGCCCAGAAGCTGTCTCCTCTTTTGATTCCTACAGCAAGAAAGATGAAGTTAACATAAATATATTTTGCAGAAGCATAATAATGTGAGGACTGACCATTACAGCAGCGTCCACAGTGTGAAAGGGTACCGCCAGCTCGGCAGGCATCACAATCTATACTGTAGTTGCCAATCCCGTAGTCATCGGGAGCCTTGAGCATTGCCAGCTTTCCGTGTCCATGATTAGCTAGTGTGTCCAGACTGGTCGCGGCGCAATCCACGCATAGATTGAGCTGGCAATCCTCGCATCCGAGGCTACAGTGTGACAACCTCTTGCACTTCATACAGGCTTTTTGTGTTGGAAGAGCGCCTCTCGGTGTTGCCCGATCAAGAAGCCATTTGAAGTAGGGCTGGTGAGGCGTAGGATGTGAGCCCGGGCATTCCGCACAGAAACGAAGGTCGCAGAACAAGCACCAGAAATAATATCTGTCGTAGGGCAGGCCTGGTCGGAACATAAAATGGTTCGATGTCAGTCAGATAGCTCCCATACACATTGCAGAAGACAAAGTGCTGGGATAGAGTGTACCTCGGCCGCAGTGACAGCACAGACCCGTGGTCCGCACCGTGACATTTGGATTCATCTGCATGCTGGTGTAGAGTCCTTGCTGTAGTGAGAACAGCGATGGGAGTGAAGTGACCTGCTGGGCAGCATGATTGCTATATCTACTGTCCTGCATGTCAGCCTCGTTGTTCTTCTTTGTGACTTTAAGGTCTTGGAGAGTCGAAAAAGGTCAGAGTCGGCAGTGGCTAATGAGGCGAGGATTGTAACATGTTCCATGATTGGTCAGTCTACGTCTTCACTAATACCTGAAGAGCCAATCGTATTGCCGCCAAACCGAGAGGCGCAAGCTTGGCACACGATTATTGGCTGTCTTACTCGCTCTGTGTTGCCATTTTACCCTTTTGGGAAAGGCGGCTGGCTGGGCAATGAGGCTGAAGCTGTGTTGCTCACATGATTTGACCATTTAATACTAGATGGTTTAATATTGTGGCTGACGCATTATGGCGCAGTAGACATTTTCTCTTGGATGCAGATTCTCTATGTTAATCATGGAAACCGTTCCTTGTTACGGCTTTTGTTGATCGATATGGGTATATACTAACGAAATACTCCGAATCAAGGTTTTTCAGGACCTGCCATACTTAGAAACCGGTGATAACGGAGCAGTCATAGAAGGAGTGAATATTTCATCAAAAATGGCTATTAACCCCTGACATGGCTTGCCAAGGAGAAAACAAGTCTCACTGACAGAGTTAGTCTTCGGTGACTTCCCACTTTCAGCCTCAAAAACTCAATTATCGGGTATATTAATCTGATTGGCTGACAGCCTCTAGAATTCCACGTGATGGATCGTTAGGAAAATATGCAACACGATTACCAATATAATTTGAGCCCTTGGTGGTTGAAAATTCGACATGTTCTCTTACTTGGTTCCATTCTCTAGATTAGAGGCCACTGCAGCACCCCAATTTTTACGGGTTACTGATTCTGCCTCTAGCATGATATTAATCAAAATTTGCCATTTATATGGCAATAGTTGAACCCTAGACCCAACGTGCCTTTTGAGTCACTTATTCGGATCTCTTCGAATATATTCTTGTCTTCTCTAGTTTTGCTGAAATCAGACACTTGGGATCCTCTGAAACTCCACCTCTGATTCCACTGCCATCCCATTGTACCACTCGTTTTGAAACCAGCTCTGGTCGGTTCCCGTTAGAAAAGCTGTCTCTAGATCGATGCCAATAGTACCTGTCGAAGCCGGGCCATTAATAAGACTCGGCATATTATTGTCAGAAACACCTTTGTCGTTATCATTAGAACCTCCTTTCGGCGTTGCTAACATGGTCAGCCATGAATTCTGATGAGGACTGCTTGCAGACATTGACATGGAAGCTCGTGATGGGCTGAACTGTTGTCGTATAAACTCCAACGTATGCGGAAATGATTGCATACTCTGTTGGGGTTGAGTTTGCGGGGTAAGTGGGACATGCGTCGAATGATCACTACTTCTATCTTGACTAGCGAGCGTCGTTTGTGGGCTGCTAGTTAGACCGCTCCGGAATGACTGGGTAATCGAATCGACTGCGCTGCTCATCTCCTTGGTGATAGTGGCAGCCATGGCTGCAGTGGTAAAGCCATTCTGGGAGAACAAGTTGAAGGTATCGATGGCAGAAGTGACAGCGCGACGTGCAGAGAAGGTGTACGGACATACTGGGTTCACCAAAATGAAGGCAAGAATAGTAAGAGTAGCGTCCCAGGCGTATTGGTAGGCACTATGCCAGCAATTGAGAATATCCGTTTCAGTGAGGATCTGATGGATAATGGAAATCGTAGTCACGGCGTGGTTGAGAGCGTATAGAGCATTCCTGTTAGAAGTTTTGGGTATGGTAGATCCGACGCTTGACGCTGTGGCTACAGCGGAAGAGGGTATTTTCATGAACATGCGGTAGAGGGACATGATCAGGTTGTGATAGAGGAGTTCGAGAAGAACGCGTTGCCGTTGCAACCATAGTGGTTGATATACATCAATATCCAAAGGGGCACGGGAAGTCGAGAAGGGTTCAACAGAGCCCTTGCGAGCAAGTTTGAGGCATGCGGGTACATTCCCAGCCCAGGTTCGCAGTGACTCCATCGATTGGTGGAGATAGGTGGCGCACTTTTCGACGACTGCCGGCTCGCTGTAAATTGATGAATCAGTTTCGCAAACAGCCATCAGCTCACTGCCTTTCTGGAAGATCATCGTCGAGATGTTGCGGAATGCCGCTGTGAGTTTGATATACTGTGTAAAATAATCCAGCATGTTGACATCGCCAGACCCAGTCGCCATCGTCTCCGACCGAAATGATTCAGGGGTTCTAGAGATGTTTATATTCACGTCACAGTGGCTGATCATAGTGGGACGACCCAACGCGAGTGATAACATTGTGTCGAGAGAAACCAGAGAACACCAGATTCGTTGACCTAGAGCTTGATGTGACAAGCTAGGAGTTTTTGGAGAATTATGATGAAGTCCTATGGCATATGCCATATGAACTACCGTTACGAGCATCCGATGAGCCAGGTTTAAGGAAGAGGCATTCCACAAATATATCACGGAGAAGGTCCAACACTGCAATGCTGACAGAGATAGGGAGTCTTTATCGTTGGACTGAAGCCGTTGACACCGGCGATACAGCCAGTCCCCAGCAGAACTTAGGTCTCTCGATTCCAGTGACATTGTCGGTAGCGTGTCCCCCGATGCCATGAGATTCGCGCTGTGCTGCACACATAAAGCTAGAACTATATCCACCAAGGGGGACGGAGTCCGAACTGAATCGGAGATGGAATTTGGGTTGGAAGCCGTCCGCCAGAGGGAATCATAGTGCGCGCAGAATTCGGTCTCATCTATGATGGGAACGGTAGTATGGAATGACTGCCAAAAGAGACTGAGAAGAGATTCTTCTTGACTACGGGTCAGAATGTCAAGGAGCTGGCTGCTATCTTCCGATAATGTTGCCGACAACATCCGGTTGACTGTGAACGACTGCAGAGCGCTGCTAAGTCGTGGCTGATTCAGTGATAACTCCACATGGTTGCAGATGCGGCTTGTGAAGTACATAAACGAAGTCGGGCCATAATACTGAGGCAGGCTGTTTGAATTTTGCGGGGTGTGTATCCAGACGCCAGGCCAATGCCATTTGGATGCAGGCGGTTGCTCGGGTGTGACTAGGGACTTGGCTGCGTCGGCTTCTCTGGTTGCTTTCTTGAGCTGCTCCTCCAATTCCGTCGCGCGCGATCGGAGTCTCTCGATTTCTCTGTCAATTCAATGGTTACTCAACTAGTTGATAGAATATGCGTAAGCAGCAACGTATCAGTAGACGTACCTAAGGTCTGCAGCTGCTGTGCTATTTGCTGGGTCACTGGGCAGGCCCTTGGAACATTGGAGGTTGCGCGTACGACAGCTCTGACATGGATTACAATCGTCACATCGAACGCGGTTAAGGCGACACCAGTTGCAGGCGCGCGCCACGGCGACTCGCTTTCGTTTCACAGCGCCGTTCGGGAGCGGTGATGTGGAGACGGCATTGCTCGTACCATCCTTAGAGCTGTCGAATGTCACAAACATGGTGCGCCCTCATATCATGTAAAGCGGCAATTGTTTTGTCATGTCAAGATACAGAGCCTTCGGGGAGCATGGAAGCAGGAAGTAGATTGCGGGGGAAGAGCAGATTCGGAAGTGAGGGATTCGAAAATCGAGAGATTGTGAGTAAGGAGAGGAGAAGGAGGCGAGTCTCTTTCGCGATGTTCCTAGATACGGAGTACAACTTCGCTGTTTGATTTTCACTCGGATGCACAGAGTGCGATGAGCTTCAGCCGCGAGGAATCACATGGGCCAAACTGTGTATGCAGTCGCGTGCTGGAAGGATTGGTGTAGATATTAGAAGGTCGAAGAAATCAACGAAGAGTTGGTCTAATCAACTCAGCCGATTAGGTAGAAGCTTGGCCAATCGACGAGCAGGAGCAGCAGTGGGCTGTGAGGTATATTTACGCAGTCACGACTCGCAGCTTCAGAGCCTTGCAGCCTGAGGACGTCGAAGGGGGTGGTGCTGCCCGTGACGTGCTCTGGCCAATCGGTGATTAGCCCCGCAGTCGAACATAAGGGTGTGGCGTCTTGACGCAATGGCCGATCAGCCGACATATAGAGCGGCCAAGCGGTGCTTGCAGGAGTTATGCTTGTTAATAGCTGACATGACTCTATTCTCGCTATATATCTTTTGACTACCGTGAATTCAAATCACGCTAGAAATTAGCGATCAATTGGATACACGTATATCTGCTGCTTGGTGTTGTCGCTCTCTGTGCCCATCCTCCAAGGATCTACGCTATATATATACAAATTCCCAGTAATTGCCACAGCAATACGCAAACTACTGCTGGCACAATTATTTACAGTTTCGATATTCTGGTACACATCAAACCATGTGAATATTTAGACTATTTAGCATCGAATAGGATCAGTTACTGTACTGTTGGCTCAATTCTTTTGCCATTTTATACCGGCTATACCTCAAAGCCTTTCTGCGCCATGACTTTGTCGACTTCGGCAACTGCATCATAACCGTACAGCCACGGTTGGACAGTAGGGCAAGTCCTATTTGAAGTCCAAGTACATCTGTCAACACAGTGAAATATTTTGAGCGCATGTTTCTTCTTACCAGCGACTTGGAAAATTAGCTGTTGGCTCTTTTGCAAGACAAGATAGAAATATCGTATCCCTGTGCTGTTGTAGGGGCCCGTCCGGCAGATGAAAGTCGTCTCTCTGTTTTATTTTAGTCAAAATTTGGTTGCAGTTTTGAATTTATAGGAACGAGGTGACGGACTTGCTTCGATGCCTCACGTACAACTGCCTCACCCCGACGCTTTCGCAGCTCCTGATAGAGATCGAGTATTTGAGGAAGATCATCGCGACTTGTCACATACTTTAACAGTCTTCCTAAGACCGCACCATCTTCAATTGATGAATTTGCACCTTGAGCTAGATATGGAAGCATAGGATGGCATGAATCTCCCCTACCGAGTATCAGAATCCTCAATTTATTTTTTTTCCCTTTGTGTTTTTTTTTTAATATAAACGGCGACCGGGTCTGAACTTACGCCATTAAAAAGGTTCCTTCGTCGTTCTTCCATCGGTCGAGCTCAGTTACTAATCTTGTCAGAAAGAAAAGTATCTTCAAAAAGATGTTCTACACGTACAATGCATCAATTTCCATTTGTCAACGCTATTTACACAGGCAAGGAATTTGCTTAGGCTATCACAGTCAGCTACCGGCAATCGAAATTGACCAACAAGATCGGAGACTTACATAGGGTCCCAGCTTTCGAACAGTTTCCTTAGTTCTTCCAGGTTTCCTGGAGCTCTGCTCACGTCCTGGGGCAGGTCATCAGGGCATAAAAGAACTAGGTTGTATATCTGGCCTCTTCGAAGAGAATAGCCGACCACATGGGAGCCAGGACCGATCCAGAAATTAACTGTAGGCTTTAATAGCCACTCTTGTAGCTCCGAATCATCCCCAACATCTTCTATATTTAATACTATTCTGTAAGCAAGGTCACCCGTTGGTTTTGGTTGAAGGTCCTGTTTCAAGAAGAGGCTTCGGCAGTGAGACCATAAGCCATCAGCTGCCAGGATGATATCCCCGACCACAGTCTGACCATTCCTCATCCTCACCTCCGCCTTTTTAAAGTCAATATCTTCTACCTCGGCTGAGAGACGAATGTCGACACCGAGGGACTTGGCACGACCTATCAGAGCGGCCTGTATATCAGCTCGATGGACATCCCAAAAAGGCGATCCATATCTTTCTATGATCTTATCTTGGAAGCCTTCGTCCTTTGCAAGCAGTTGAGTCCCGTCATACCGTCGGACAAACAATGCAGAAGGTGTAGCGGCACATGATTCCAGTTGATCAAAGATCCCCCATCGTCGAAAAAGCCGTGTTGCGTTGGGTGTGAGTTGAAGGCCAGCTCCAATTTCCTGTAGCTCTGGTACCTTCTCGAGGATCGTAACTTGGTGACCTTCAAGCCGTGTACTGATCGCGGCCGCGAGACCAGCCAGGCCAGCGCCAACAATAACAAGGTGCAGCTGAAACAATTTGGAATAGCCTCCCAAATTATCTGCTGTCTTCTCGTGATTTTGCACAGCCATAGGTGAGAGCTGCTAATATTGAAGTTGACTACTTGGACAGCTCGGCGTTCCTAAGTGGTTTAACAAAGATATATAATGTTAAGCTTATCCAAAAGCGCGAACTAGGCCGAAGTCACCCAACGTTCGGCTCCGTTAATGGGAATTTTCAAATGATTCGGACACTCGAAAGAATTATGACGTCGCATTGCCCAATTCGGGAGTGCTTGTTGAATGATATATTCTGCTTACCAGAAGGAACAATCTCCCCTTCCGGTAAGGAACACTTGCTGGATGCAGTGAGATATTATTAATACTGCTATGAAGGCGATATCCAGGGATATCTTGTTGCCTCCCCATTGCAATAAATACGGCAAGTTAGTAGAATTCATATGCCATTTTTAGATGGACTTGCTGCGGCCCGAGCCGTGCCCCGTTTTCACCCGAAAATCAGCCATTTGTTGACCGGCCACACGCCACTCGGCGATTTTCTCGCATTCCTCTCGGTGCTTTTTTACCGACTTTTGCCCTAAATTTTAGTGCTGACTTGGGTACGGATTTTGTTACCCAACCTGATAAGTGGGTATCTCTACGCAAAACTTTGATATTGTCTGGGTTTAAATATAAGTTTATATAAGCCCCAATACAACTCATTGTAGTGAGAATGTCCTAATTGGGCCTGTTTGTTTTGGGTTATGCAATTTTGAATCCAGCCAATTACTCGGTAGTTCTCGACCCATCACTATCCCTAATGCTATTACGGAGGACGGATAAACTCACAATTGGACCAATGTTATGTTGTATCTATCTCTCTTAGATCATCCAAAGACGTTAGGCTAAAGTTAACTATTGACTGTGTTTATAGGTTTTAAAAATCAACAAAGAGTTGATAATTTATATTGGTATATATGTCTATTTGCTAGTACATAACCTTGCTCATATTTTGTAATGTAATGGTATGTATCATGATATAACACGCCAAGGAAACCAAGAAACGTATACGAGCAAAATTTTTTTGTTCCCACCTCCGGACATATACGAGAAAATGAGGTAATACTTGCATGTCTAGCGGTCATCACTAATGTTGTATGGATCCTGACAGGATTAATGAAGGGAATGAGGAGAAAAATCTTCGATTGCGATACACAGGATAGCCATTGTTTGTAACTAATCCTACCCAAAACCTCACTCTGTTGGGTAAACAGACATTCTTCTAGTACGGTGCTGTAGCTTCGAGTAGGGGCCATTTAGTCCCTAAACAATATAACCTATGTCTCAATCGCCTCTTCATTGGTACCATGTTTTTCAGCTCTGATGCCATTTGTCAATTGCTCGAAGTCGTTGACAGTGTCCATGCGAGATGCCCTTTCGTTGCTCCAAGAATCAAGTTTCTCTAATTCCGCCCACGGAGTGCGATGCCTGTAAGCAACCTCGAGATTTTTTTTATAAAACCAGGTATGACGCATCTTGGCATGTGCGTACTCCCAATCGGTTGTGTACTCTCTAAAGAATGGTTGATAACCGAGCAAACCTCCAATCCAACGACCGACAAGAATCGTAATCCAGTATCCCAGAAAAGTTCGAATCCTGAGAGACCAATTTTCAGGAACGAAGTTAGGTAGAGTATCTGGGAAAGGTAAGTAGTGAGCACCCGCATCAAATGTCTGCGGATAGGTAAGTTGTTAGCAAGCCCAACATCAGAAATACAGGTTCATAAACAAACTGGCCTCTCTTGGAAGGAAGATATTGACTTACGCAGCATTGTTGGATGTAATCGATTCCCTTGCCATATTTCAAACTATCGTGTCTCAGTCCATACCAATTCTCGAGAAGGACTCGGTCCATAGCAAGATCTTTGCCACTATCTGTGATATTGATCAAAATAATGGTCTCTTCGTTGTCAACATCATCGTCTCCCTTTCCCCTTCTTTTCTGACCATTTGAGATTGTTTTCTCACCACTAACGTCGCCATTGTCATCCTGGGATACATCTACATAAAACCGATGAATATTCCCCGCAAGGCATACGGCAACACCTCCCTCTGGCCCCAATACAGAGGTCTTCCCATTGACCTCAATGCCCACACGGCCCTTAACGACCTTGAACCGCTCAGTCTGATTGGGGTGGAAATGCCTCGGTGGTCCACGGTAGGCATTTGCCGCTTCACTCCTGGTCTTTAGGTCTTTCGGTAGTGGTTTATAGATTTGTTTGATCTGGAATGCAGTTCCTGGAGGAGTGTCCAGGAAGTAGGTGGTGATTAAGCCGTCGAATCTAAAGGTCGAGATTCACATACATTTCCATCAAAACTAGTCCGATTGACATTGTAAGAAAGTTAGATTTGGAGACTCACTGAACAAGGGGATTTTGGCCAGCAGTAATGGTCAAGGGCTGGAAAGGCATGCTTGAAACGCTTTCTGGTGATAGTGGGATTCAATTATTTTAATGCTATGCGTGCATTGTTCGATGTCAAACTGAAAAGTGGAATTAAGGCTGCTCACACTGGTAGTGTCAACAACCTATCTTGGTCCAATGAGAAAAATTTAACTCGGATAGAACTCTAGTTCTCGGATTGGGAATCGAGGAAGTACTATCTTAATCATTTTTATAGTCTAAAGAGGGAGTGAAACTAGCCTGTTTACTACCTTTGATTCTAGAGCCGATTTTCGAGCTACGCACAATTTAGGCTCTTATTTGAAGAATTATATGTAGTGGATCGATAAAATATCTCTTCATTATTACATGTTTACCATGATCAAAACGGAATTACTATATGGGGTTGCTGATATGGGTGCCTTCCCGAAGGAGAAATGCAAATAGGGTAGGGCTGGTTACATGCAGTGTCGACCACGGTCTTATCTCAACCTCGACTTAGCAGCCCACCCCCTGTGGAAGCTAGTAAAATTATGGGGCTTGACAAATCCAATGAGATGGGACGGTATCAAAACATGGCCTTCAAACACCATCCCCTTCTTACCTGTCTAGGTCTATTTTCTTTTTACGACATTTGAATTTTAGCCGGAAAATTGTCTAGACTACTGATCTTCTCTGTGGGTGGGCCGATCTAAGACCCTGTTGGAATCGGGCAAATGACTGTATCTCTTTCTTACTCCAAGGGGAAATATAAGTAGAATGCCTTCTAATGTCGTCCTAGCTTCTGTCTGTATCATGCATTCTTCCGAGGTCAACTTCAAAGGCTATGAGTAACTACCCGGATGAAACATATATAACAATTTACCCAACAGTGCTCCAACAGTCGAGAGCTTATTCTCCATGGTATTTCGGACGGTTTGCCATCGTATTCTTTTCATGACCTAACCAAAATGCATCGCATTGTAATATTCGCTGGTCTGGGCTCAGACTCACTGTTCTCGTCGACAACTTTAAATACTGCGAAAGAAGATGGAAGGCTTCCGGAGTCCCGCATAATTCTGCTGGCAGCTCATGAAATTTTCCGAAATGAAATTTCCCGAGCTGTTCAGCGGGGATTCCTTCGGGCTGATGAGATCAACCTGGACGACTTCAAGGAACCCGAAACACTTATTCAGCCTCCGGCAGAATATCATCATAATCCCATCATCCAGCATGTGACCCTCTACCTCGTACAGATACTTCGGTATATACGTTGTTTCAGGAGCTCCGATGAGGTACATTTGCATAGTGTGACCGGGTTTTGTGCAGGTTTGTTGGCAGCGGCTGTTGTCGCCACATCCACAGATAACATTGAATTTCTCTCTCGTGCCAACAACTTCTTTTATGTTGCACTTATTCTCGGTATTCGTTGTCAAGTTTACCGAAGAAACGAAATCCTCAAGACCCCTTGCTCACCATCTCTGCCATGGAGTATTATTGTAGATGGTTTATTAGTGGATCGCATATATGATTTGATCAATGAGGTATGTTCCCATAGTTTCTTTACGGAAAGACGAAGAGAACACAAGAATAAATCCAAACAGAAAACAGCATTTCTGACACAAGAGGCGATACAGCCAACAAATAGATTCCCGATCCATGTCAGCGCTATCAATACACCCACCTGCGTTACCTTGAGTGGGAAAGGAGATCAACTTCGACAATTTATTGCGGAAAATGTTACATCAGAATGCAGAGTTAGAACAACAAACATTTTTACTCTTTATCACAGTCGGGAAAAGCTTTCGGACCTCTACCATGAAACAGTCAAAGACCTTCAATCTAGTGTCCCCATTCTTTGGTCAACTTGCGCTTCTTTAAGAACACCGCTCATTTCGACTACTGACGGCGAGCTATGGACATCATTTTCAAAGGAGTCATCTAAACTCAGCTGTGGAAGAATAGCAGAATGGGTCCTCGAGATGATACTTCTAGAACCAGTGGACTGGGTTGCGGTCCAGTCATCCATTGTAGCAGAGGCCAAGTTGGCCGTCTCAGAAAATTCGGAAGAGTGTGAAATATTAAACTTTGGTCCTGGATATGGCATGTCCAAAACCTCTCATCTTTTGCCGGATAATGTGTATATCATCGATGCATCTGCCGCCGGCACCTATAACCCGCCAGACCAATCTCAAGGCTTATCCCTGAACGATTTGGCGATCGTCGGAATGGCGATCGACTTTCCTGGTGCTCCTGATATCGACAAGCTTTGGGAGAAGCTGTCGAATGGAGAGAATTCTTGCGCTGAAGTATGTAACACACCCTTTTCAGGCTGATTCTTTATGTTGAAACATTTCTTTCATTGTTGCATAGTGCTGACAGCGTTAATCTAGATACCATCTTCACGATTTTTCATTGATGACTTCTACCACAAGAAAGATCAAAAGGGTAATCGGCACAACCGTTCTCTGAATACGCGGTATGGTAACTTTTTGGAAAATCCTTTTTTGTTCGACAATGGACTGTTTGACATCTCCCCGCGAGAAGCCAACTCAATGGACCCCCAGCAGCGGGTTATGCTGCAGACTGCTTACCGGTCCCTAGAAAATGCCGGCTATGTGCCCGACTCTACACCTTCGTTTGCACGAGACACTTTTGGATGTTTTATTGGCAATGCAACGATTGACTATACGGATAATTTACGTGAGGATATAGATGTGTATTACAGTCCAGGTAAGCGCAATCCCATTCGAATCAAACAGCCAAACCACAGATAACAAAAATTGAATAAATTTGGCTCATGTCTGATGAACAGGGACTCTTCGGGCTTTTCAAAGTGGACGTATCTCATACGTTTTCGGTTGGAGTGGACCGTCGATTACATTAGATACTGCTTGCTCGTCGTCGATGGTAGCCCTCCATCAAGCCTCAAGAGCGCTCTTGGCAAACGATTGTCGGGCGGCCTTGGTAGGTGGCGTCAACGTTATAACCAGTCCAGACGTGAGTTTATGCTTGGAACTTTGACTGTTCTTATACAATGGCTGAACTCAGAATTCAGATGTACTTAGGTCTTGATCGGGCTCACTTCCTAAGTCCGAGTGGCCAATGTAAAGCGTTCGACGCCTCTGCAGATGGTTATTGTCGGTCCGAAGGATGTGGAGCATTTGTAGTTAAAAAGCTGGGCGATGCTCTCGCTGAAGATGACCGAATTCTAGCAGTCATCCGAGGCATCGAAGCAAATCAAAGTGGAAATGCTCATTCCATCACTCATCCACACGTCCCAACGCAGGAGCAGTTATTCGACTCTTTGTTTCGGAAAACAAAGATTCACCCGCATAAAGTGCGTTCTGAATTTTGCTGCATTCCTCTCAGACTCCATTATACTAAATAAATCTTAGGTTACGGTGGTTGAGACACACGGGACAGGGTAAGAACACTGCAACACATATTTAATTTGTATAACATCCTAACTGCGCGAAGCACTCAAGCAGGTGATCCTAATGAGGTACAAGCTTTACGAAAAGCCATATGTGAAGGACGAGATCCCCAAAATCTATTACATTTGACTTCAATCAAGGCCAATATTGGTCACTGCGAGGCTGCATCTGGGGCTGCAGCTCTTGCTAAAGTGATTCTGATGATGAAGTACGGCATGATTCCACCGCAGATCTCTCTGCAAACATTAAACCCCAAGATCCAGAACCTTGGCTCTGATGGAGCGGTTATCGATCGCAATGGTGCTCTGTGGAACCGGCAGAGTGGTCATCCGCGAACCGCCTTGATCAATAATTTCGGAGCAGCGGGGTCAAATGTAGGCTTGATTCTGCAAGAATACAAAGCGGAAGAACGGCCACAAGAGACTTCTTCCTTCTCTCAACAGCGTTCTTACACATTAGGGTTTTCTGCTAAGAAAAAGGGGGTATTGGTTTCACTTCGGGACGCATTGGTTTCAGCACTGGTCGCAGAGTCAATCCAAGGTGATCTTCGCGACATATGCTATACGCTTACTGCTCGTCGTCAGTTATATGATCATCGTATATCTGTTACAGCATCTTCTATCCCACAGCTTGTTGAAAGACTTGAACATGTTCAGCCTGATGTCATTTCGAAATCACAAAATGATCAGGCAGAAGCAGTATTTGTTTTCTCTGGACAAGGTTCTCAGGTATGTATTCATACTATGCCAACAATTTGTCTCTTATCTATCTCAAATGGTTTGAATATTGATTGATGGCTTGACTTGTAGTACCTAGGAATGGGAAGAGAGCTCATGCATATCTATCCATCGTTTGCGAAGGTGATCTATCAGTGCGACAATCTTCTCACAGAGAGTGGGTTCCCGGGTTGCCTACAAATTATCGACCCTGATAAGCATGCCATTGAATCTGTTGATGAGATTTCTATATTGCAAGCTTTTCAGTCTGCTATATTTGCACTGGAAGTTGCCCTGGCTAAGCTGCTAATATCCTGGAACATTGTGCCTACTGCTGTGCTGGGACACAGGTGAGTCCCTTCATCATTAAATTTCAGCTTCGGGCTTGACTAGGTTATTGACTTGGTTGTTTTTAAGCCTCGGTGAATATGCCGCCCTAGTCATCGCTGATGTCCTCGATCTACCGAGTGGAGTTCTTCTAGTTGCCCGACGCGCGCAGCTCATGATGCAGCTTTGCGAACTGCGTTTGACATCCATGCTGGCCGTCAACCTCGCTCCGACAGACGTGCTGCACGCAATAGACAATGACGAAAGGTATGACAAACTGGAGATTGCTTGTTGCAATGGCGGCACAGATTGTGTGGTAGGCGGTCCCCGCACTCAACTGCAGAATCTCAAAGAACATCTAGCGACTACTCGTCAAGTGAAGAGTAAAATGCTCGACGTGCCCATGGCGTATCATACGAGTGCTATGGATCCAATGCTCGAAGAACTCACTTTGTACGCAAACACTGTGAACATCTCGAAACCAAGGATTCCAATTGTGTCAAATGTGTTGGGTCGAACAGTCCAACCTGGAGAGAATGCTTTCACTCAAGAATACTTTTCCAAACATTGCCGAGAAACAGTGCAATTTGACGCAGGAGTACAACACTTCCTATCTACTAAGGCAGGCCACAGTACGCCACGATGGGTAGAGGTCGGCCCACATCCGTCTCTTTTGCCGTTATTGGCAACGCGTCTCGATAAGACAAAGACGACACTGTTGCCTTGTCTGCGAAAAGATGTCCTACCATCCAACACAATATCGCAACTTCTCAGTCATTTTTACCAGAACACGATAGGTATACACTGGCGTCATACTTTTGATAGCTATACCAAACCGCACTTGATTGACCTCCCGGGTATGCCATTCATCCAAGAGGAGTTTGGAGTTCACTATCCACACGAAACTGAGGATGCAACTCGTAGCTTACAGGAGATGCTGCCGGTTCACAGGAATGCTAATATATTCATTTCCAGCACAGTCCAAAGTTCTTCTGTGGCTGGAAACTACTCCGCAATATACGAAATCCCTATTCAGTTATTAAAAGATTTAATTGAAGGACACATTGTTTGCGACCACGCGCTGTGCCCAGCGTCAGTGTACCATGAGATCGCTCTTTCAGCCGTGCGAGATATTGAAGTGGACACAAATGATGACTTTGTTTGGTTCCTTTCCAATATATCCTATGTTTCGCCTCTCCTATACAATACTACATCGACCTCCCTGGTCCGCATCTTCATGACCCGTGACGACGCAACGATGGGGTATATGTTCACAGTGTCTTCATATTCTCAAGGATCTGATCCAAGTAATGGTACAGTGCACTGCAAAGGGAGTATTAAGCGAAAATTGAGAAAGTCTGTGGAACAGAAATACTCTCGCCGAGCACCGCAGCTGGAGCAAAAGATTCAGTTCATGTCCAAGAATGCCGGTCTATTAGCGCAGGACATATTTCTCACGAAAGCCATGTATGAAAAGGTTTTTACACGTGTAGTCACCTATTCTGAGTTATACCAGAAGGTGGAGTCGATCCGTGTCAGTCACGAAGCCAATGAGGCGATTGCAGTTTGTCGTTTCCCCGCTTTTATAGGGGACCATCCCCTTGATTCCCCAACTGGAGAGTCCATTTTTATGGATGTTCTTCTACATGTGGCAGGATTTGTTGCAAATCTCGCGATTGGAAATGAAGAGGCATGTATCTGTGTAGAGGTTAGTTCCGCCTCGGTTCTCCGCCAGCCACGACGTGCAGGTGAGCAATTTTATGTTCACTGTGTTATTATGGAATCTTCTCCCGAAAAAATCATCATCGCAGATGCACAGGCAGTCGATGCGCAAGGTGTCATGGCAATCTACAAAGGAATGGTCTTTCAACGTATAGAGTTGGCCAAAGTTCGACAAGCGTTCCAGATCGCGTCGAGGAGGATCCAACAGTCTTCTGATACATTGCACCAAGGCGGTATCCAGCGGACCCAGCTGAATCCATCTTCTAGGGAAACAGCTGCAGCAAAACCGGTATCTGTTCCATCGTTGTCAATTGGAACGGCTATCAAGGATCTTGTGGCCAAGACCTGTAGTTCGGACCCGGCGTCTATATTTGCAGACTCTAGCTTGGAAGCTCTTGGAATTGACTCCTTGATGATGATGGAACTTGAGTCGCAGCTATTGGAGTTTTATCCCCAGTTGACCATCTCTGCTTTATCTCAGTGTAAAACAGTGGGCGATATTGAGACTATATGTGGGCACAAAGAGACACACGAGCCCGCAACCGCACGTACCGTGGCATTCCAAGGTTCAGATACTGAAGATAGCATACCAACGCCACCAGATCAAAGTATTCTTGCCAGAACTATCATCGCTGAGACATGCGGAGCCAATGCGCATTCCATCACCTCAAGCTCAGAACTCCAAGCACTAGGCATTGACTCACTTATGATATTCGAACTAGAATCCCGTCTTCTGGAAATCTGTCAATCTCGGCACCTTTCGTCCTCCGAATTATCAGGTTGTCGTACGGTGGGAGATGTAGAGAAACTGGTAGGTTTTATGACCTCAATTTGAAAATGTATGTCTGTTTAAAGCGTTAAATTGAACTGAGTTTTCTAATTATCACATCTATGACAACCAGATTGAACGCAATCACAATGTCCCAAAATTGTACAGCTCTGAGGGACGAAAAAGTCCAAATTCCACTGCATCCAGTAACATGACATCTACGGCCCTCACAACTATTCACACACCCATTACTCCTTTCTCTGATTCCGAAGGAACCCCGGATCTCCTGATCATAGAGAAGATCTCTCGTGCCTTCCGTTTAGGCGAACAACCGGAAATCGTTCAGCCTTCGGGTTCGTCCGTCATGCACACCAATGCTATCAGGGCTCCCCTTTTCCTCTTCCATGATGGAAGCGGAATATGCATTCAGTATCATCGCCTTTTTCCACTTCAACGCCCCGTTTATGCTTTGCATGATCCGAAATTTCTTGACAGACAGGAAGGCTGGAGTGATCTTGCCGCTATGGCTAATCACTACGTCTCTGAAATTTTGCGCACATGTCGTAGCCCCTATCTCCTAGGTGGTTGGTCCTTTGGAGGTGTGGTCGCCTTTGAGGTTGCTCGCCGGTTGCTAGCCAGCAATTATTCTGTAGTTGGTGTTGTGCTAATCGATTCGCCACCGCCACTCAACCATCAGCCTTTGTCGGAGCGGATTATTGAAGCTGTGACTGGCGGAGGAAATTATTCCGGGAATGAGACCAAAGAAGCCGTCTATAAACTAACAACTCGAAGTTTTGCTGCATGCGCGAAGATGTTAGGCGCTTTTACACCTGATATGGGAATTTATCCTGCAACACCGCGTTTATTTTTACTCCGCTCAAATAAGGGTTGGGAGTTCCCTTCTATGTCCGAGGAAATTGAAAATCCCTGGCTACAAGATCGTTCAAACCCGAGGACTGCAGTGTCTGGATGGGAATTACTTACGAAATCCAATGTTCTTATGAGAGACATTCCGGGAGATCATTTTGGGGTCTTTGATGCAAAGAACATTAGTGAAGTCTCAGCTGCTGTCCAGCATGCTTGCGACGAACTAGAAGAGCAATACTGTTCTTCTCCAGGGTGAATTTTACTTTTACTTTGCGTTTTTTGGCGTTCCGCGCTTTGCCGGGTATTGGTATTTTGATCACCTGGCTACTTATTGCTTCCTTCCTTGTGAGTCTTGATTCCGAGACTCCCTAGGTTAAAGCCTGAGAATATAGCGACTACATTATTCCATTCTAGAATAGACTGCCGACTTGACATAGTTCATTATGTATTATTGATTCCTTCAAAATAGTGATGTACTCTTTTGTGAAAGGAGAAGAAGTATTCAATTACTGACCCGACAAAAGGCATCAATGAAATATTCTCAGTTAAAACATGTAGCTATTCTATGTCTAGTGATCAACATTAGTGATTTCGTATACTTGGACGCAAAGCCAGGCTTGCCCAAGATCTCAAAACCTATACCAGAACTATCGTACCATCCTCATTAATCTCAGAATTATACTTCAAAAATTCAAAGCACTGTATATCAGCCAAGAAAAACTCATACGAGAGAAAAATGCCAAGAATATCATGACAATGGTTGTTATCATCAAGCTCCCTGTAGAACCTCATACGTGGGCCAGGACAAATCCCAGTTTCCATTTTCAATACCCACCAAATCATCTAGCCCAATGATCTCCATGGCGTCGTGAGAGGAAGATAGTGTCGTCAATAGTGGGCTTGACGAATCACGCAGACCTAATTGCTGCGACGTTTTTGATGTTGCTGTCCGAACTTCTGCATCCATTCCTGTTTCATCCAAGTTCACCATGGAAACATTCAGTTTTGAAAGAAGAGATTGAATTACATTTTTTGCCATGACAGAAGAGGCACATGTGACGGAATAGTTTTCAAATACCCATAGAGCCTTCCTAATCGATGCGATTGCCGAAGGTACGCGAGAACGTTCAGGGCTAACGCGAATGAAGCCTAAAACGGCTGTAGTGGCGTTCCACAGAATATAAATGGCCTCAGGCCACCCATATAAAATATCTGACGACGAGAAAGCTTGATGTACTATACTAATCACCACAAGTGAATGTTGGAGCGCGCTCTGGGAGTGATACTGTGCCTTAGCCTGCCCAGGAGTCGCGAAGCAAATAAATGGTCTCTGTAGCATGATATACGTATCATGATACCAAAGAATCAATATAATTCGTTGGCGCTGAATCCGCGGTGGTACTCCCAGTTCAAACGCGAATCCATGTTTCTCGATATTTGTCTGAGCCATCGAATAGCCAGATGGCGGGGTAAACCTTCCAGATATTTCTGACATCCACGTATCCAACTGAAGAAGACTTGCTGAGATTCTATCAGCGCAGTGTTCAAGCACTATTGCATTACACGTCCCTTCGTATACCTTGTTCATAGAAAGCCGCTGTTGTATATCAGTCCAAATAATGGCCAGTTTAGTCATATGCGTGAGGAATGCCAGATAAGTTATGTCATCCTCATCGACAGTCGCGGACTTAGTCTCCCTGTCATCACTAACAGGTAAAGAGCATGTAATAATGCTAAGTTGGACTGCAAGAGGTTTTCCAAGCTGACGCGAACATTGAAAATCCATGACGAACAAGAGCCACCATAGACGTTTACGTAGAGTTTTCTCAACCGTCGAAAAGTGCTCTGCTGGATCACACTGAAGGTTTAAGCTAAGAGCATTTCGAACGGCACACCCTAGTACACGGTACGCTTCTTGGTAGCTGCTTGCGTGCATCAAGAACAGGGCGATAAGGAGGTCGCATTGTAATACCTCCAGGCTAACCCTGGACCATCCCGCCAGTATCTTGCGGCATCGTCGGATGTACGACCATCCTGGTCGGGGGCCGTCACAGGAACTGTTTCCGTTGACCGCAAGGATGCGGGATGAAAGGCCTGTATGATGCCCGTATTGGATGCCGAGCGCAATCATACAGTCGAGCAACGCACCATCAACCGGACGTTTATCATATAGCTGCTCCCAGTTTGAGTTGTATAGCTCTTTTAGCTGCTTCGATGTCAGTATCTGGATTTGTTGATGGAGATGGTCGCAGAACAGCCGAAGAAAATAACTTTGCTGATCTTTTGAAAGGTTGGTCGTCAATGTATGCTTGTCTTCTAGTGGCATAGGTTGCTCTGGAAAGACTGGAAACGGCCCTAGACCTGGGCCACTGGAGTATATCGATTCAGACTTGGCATCGCAGAAGAAGGTTTTCAATCTAGCCAATCCCCCTTCATCCCGTGAAATAGAGCAATCCTCATATGTAAGATAAAATTCTGTCCGAGGAGACTGCGCCGGTGAAGATGTGGGGGGTTTTGTCGCCTCTTTCATGGCCTCCGTGTTCTCATTTGATAAGGTTCTATACCTAGTTCTTGATCCATACTACATGTTAAATTGCATGTTTGGAAGGTTTACAGTGAAGAAGAGGCGGAAGTATATTGCACGGTGTAACAGATCTACGCTGTGAACTGGTGTCGCTCACCTTGAGTTGTCCCGTGTTCCAGAAACACGCGCCAGCCTGTTCATTGGCGACGTGACACAATTTGCCTTGTTTATAAGACACTGTGCGCATGGTCTCTGACCACATCGTACGCGGTATAGGCGACATCGGTCACAAGCTCTAAAGGCCTTAGGGCGTGAAGGAGTGAAATTTTCCCGTGAGATTGACGTCGAAGTAGGCTTTGCTATGCTAGGTTTCTCCGAGTTCATCGCATGGAATACGGAGAACATCTTCGACTCCGAAAATGGCTCGGAGGGATGAAAGAAGAAATTGATTCAGTGCAGTCGGGCCGAACATGACTCGTTGAGCAGCTATCATTCGCCTCATATAGTTCCATTTCAACGGATAACTGTACGCACCCGAAATACGAGCTGAGTGGCAGACACTTCTTGCTCTAATTCGCGCCCTGCACGTAAGCAGCAAGGGTATGGCCCTATCTTAAGGCGTTTCTTGGCTTAAGATAGACTCCTAAAGTGCCGATTAATAATTTAAAGAGTGCCAATACCTGTAAGTGTGGTTGAGTAGAGTATCGGATAACGTGTCAAACAGTGGCCGCCTTTCCTCACTTTTTCAGGCAAGCCTCCTCGTTTATGTCAACCCATGATTTGACAGCCATTTGGCACTGTAGGCCTGCTTTATCGACCCTGGCCAAAATGCATCGAGACTATGGAATGACAACATGCCGAGAAATGGTATCGGGTCCTGCTTACAATTAATTCTGCAGCAGTGGCTAATAACTAACTAGTGCGTGCAGAACATAATAGCCTGTTATGGATTCTAATGGCTACTTATCATCACTGAACAGTGCACATTCTCGGAGGGCTCCTTTTGGCAATCCGCCCGAATTTCTACTCCGGGTAAATACAGAGGAACGCCCCATCGGGTAATCGGTAAGACTTGGCGGCCGATGTTTGAATGGAGCCTAATAATGCGCCTAAGTCTGGGCGCTGCATATCCTGCAGGGGATCTACGTAGCCGTTAAGTTTATTAGTGGATGTCCCAAATAGGAATCCATCGGGAGCGCTCCTATCGGCAATATGTAAAACGTCCGTTTGTGATTCCTACCAGATAATACCTCCTTATGTAGATGTTTTGAATGTATTTCTCACGCTTTGCCACTATGAAAATCGCAAGGATATTTTTTGGCCAGCCATTTTTGTCCCGTCACAGACCTGAATACCACGACTATAATCGATTGGCGTGCTGCGTGCATTGGAGAAGACTAAGCAACCCCCCTACGGTCGGTCTTGTCTCACGAGTATCGTGAACTTAACGACATAATTTGATTACCCAAAGAGTCGCAATTAAATCCTAAGGAACCATGACTGCCACACCCCAAAGTTCATCAGCGGAGGGAGACGACGAGCCCAAATCCATCGATTTGGATACCAATACACATCTTGGAGGAACAGCAACAGCACCCGCAAATAATTCATATTCAGACGAAGACTTTCTCGTCTCCTTCACTGGCGATGACGACCCGCGAAGCCCGAGAAGCATGGCCCCAGCGCGAAAGTGGTTGATCGTGACCATTATGGCTACAACCAGTTTATGTGTCGCTTGCACAAGCTCACTTTACAGTGCAACCTATGGACAGATTGAGAAGGAATTTCATGTTAGTCCGACCGTCGCTACTCTGGGATTGAGCTTGTTTGTTTTCGGTTTAGGTTTGAGCCCGATGATTCTTGCGCCACTGAGTGAGTTCTACGGGCGGAAGTGGATTTACGTTCTATCAACATTCAGCTTCGTGATCTGGCTCATACCGTGTGCTGTGGCAACGAATATCGAGACGTTGATTGTAGCGCGCTTCTTCAATGGGCTGGCTGGGGCGGCGTTTCTGAGTGTCGCCGGTGGGACGGTCGGGGATTTATTCACTCGGGAATCTTTACAAGCACCGATGATGCTTTATACAGCGAGTCCATTGTATGTTATCCTTGTATTCATCCCTGTTTCATTGGCCGGGAATGATATGGGTACTGAGACAATAGGACAGCTTGGGTCCTGAACTTGGGCCTGTTATTGGGGGATTCATAAATTACAACGTGAAATGGTAAGGCAATTGAATTTCTCCGACAGCTAAAACCAAATTACTAAATTTGTCTAGGCAATGGTCCTACTACGTGCTCCTTATATGGTCCTTTGCCCAGTTCATCGCTATCTGCCTTCTGGTCCCTGAAACATACCACCCTGTTTTGCTGCGTCAGGAGGCCAAAAAACTACGGAAAGAGACAGGAGATAGCAGATACTATGCTTCAATAGAAAAAATGGACAGGTCACTGACACAGGCGAGTAACCTCTACATTCATTATATGCCTGTCTAACACTGAGGAGACCCTCATTCGATCCTGCTACAGACCGTTCCTGCTTCTTGCCCTCGAACCGATGTGCTTGTTCCTCTGCCTGTTTACTGCAGTATTACTGGGAGTTCTCTACCTTTTCTTCGGTGTTTTTGGTGTGATCTTTCAGAATAACCACGGCTTCAACTTATGGCAAGTCGGGCTATGCTTCTTGGGAATCGCTGTCGGCATGATAGTTGGAGTTTGTACGAATCCGTTGTGAGTGAAATAGAGTCAATTAAGTGCTTGAGCCATAATTTTCTGATTCAAAGATAGATGGCACAAGAACTTCATGAGACTTCTCAAGGAGCATCAAGCAAAAACTGGCATTCCTGGCTCTTCAGAACCGGAGTTCCGTCTTCCTCCTGCCATTGGAGGAGCTCCACTTGTGACGATAGGGTTGTTTTGGTTTGGATGGACAACGTGAGAAGCCTTGAACTCACAGCGACAGCCAGTATATTGACTAATTCTGGCTAGATATTCTTCTATCCATTGGATAGTTCCCATTATTGGTAGCGCCGTCTTCGGCGCTGGGTAGGTTACAGATTTCTTGACCAATTATCGCCGAGCCACGGAACTAACAATTCATTCATAGTGTCATAATAGTTTTCTCCGGAATCTGGACTTTCTTGGTGGATGCCTATCCACTTTATTCTGCAAGTGCGCTTGCAGCAAATAGTTTCACGCGGAGTGTTTTTGCAGCGGCATTCCCGCTATTCGGCTCACCCAGTTAGTATTATAACTCCAACACCTATGAAAGAGGTCAGTTCGTTAAAACGTTAACACGATTGCAGTGTATGAAAACCTTGGTTACCAATGGGCATCATTTCTTCTTTCAATGATTACCTTGGTTTTAGCACCGTTTCCGTAAGCAGTCGGTTCTTCCATGATTCTACAACCACTTGTCTAACAGGAGAGCAGATATATTTTTTACCGATGGGGGGCGCAGATACGTGCTAAGAGCAAATATGCCGGGGGAAAGTAATGTTCAAACTAACTGGGGGGAAATGGAAAGAATAGAACAAAATAACATAGAATCCAGACATTCAAGAGGCTGGCCTGGAAGGCTCGTTTTTCAAGACTTATATCAGAATATCATGGTTAAAATGTGGTTCGAGACTGGCCGGTGTGTGAGTAGAGGTAGAATTATATTTGCTTCGATGAGATTGTGGGAACCCTCTTTTCCATCGATTACAGCTTCAGAATACCCGTCGAATACGCATACAATTTAGGCATTCTCCTTCCTTTGGATCAGTAGAACAGCTAATCAGAACGACCTTTTTATGTGGTTATAGTGGATGTCACTCGAGGCGGCAGGATTGTCGACGACATCATCTATCGGAAGGATGAGAAAGTCACTGAATCGAGGACTTTGATAGTGGCTATCAAATACAACAGCGAGGCGGAGAATTCTATGGTGGTTCAAACAGCAGGGAAGATGGATATGATAAAATTTTCTTTGAGGTTCTAAAATAGAGAACTTCTCATGTTTGCAATTCTTAGTACCCAAACCTACTCTTTCTCCAAATTTTCTCCCAAACTGGCCCATCTATCCTTACTATTAATGCTTATAACGCCCCTAAAAGATCTATCAAAGCCGGAAAACCCTTGAAAGCCCTCATATCCCTAACAAAAATTATATTCTCACTGTCCATGTACACGGCAGAGCCTTCCCCGCTACTACTCACGCCGTAGTGACTTGGGAATGGATGATTCTACCGCTATTCGAGCTCATTGGAAGTCTTGTGATCTTGTTAGCTGTTATGGTGGGAACAAGGAAAGGAGGATTGGTCCTATAGACTAATAACATACTGGCATGTTTCTTTCACGGTCTTAACGAGCGACCTCTTGACCGGGATGCTCGCGAGAGTGAGGCTGCCATGGAAGATAAAGCCCATGAGCTCTTGATACAGTTTCAGCCGGAAGATGGAGGATGTCTGATTTTTTCGAAGCTGCCATAATAATCTCTCCAAGGTTGCTGAAGCGGAATAGTAGGTTTGCTACAATGTAGATGAAGTTTTTGATATTTAGACCACCAGGTTACCTACGCGGCAATTCAATATTACGTTCTGCAGCTTGTAAACAATTCGACCGTTTTCAACAAAGACGGCTGGGCTGCGGAAGACTGATTCAGTTGTCCTTCCTCATGATCAAGACACCTTTGCATTTATGACCTTCAATTACTGTATTCGATTTAAAAGGATACCTAAATTCGGAGTTTTGAACTGACTTAATATAGAATATCGATATGATTTTAAAATATTCCAAAATATCACTTAACAGAGTTGCAATCTTATAACCTTGTATGGTAATCTACATATATTAATCATAGATACAATCCTATACCGAGGTGGTATATGTACCATCGAACCCTCTTAGAAGGGGCCGTTGCACGAATATACGACCCGTTGGTAACTACATGGAGACACCTCATATATTTTGGTACTATAAATCGATCTAAAAACAAACTTCCAGAGGCAGAAGCTGGGATCAGGAATGAAGTCATTTGAACACCTAAGATGCCCGCCGGATAATTCATGACACACCTGCAATTGTGATGGTTTACCGGCGGCACTCCGAGTCCTACTCTACCTTAATCATTCACCACACAACCAAACGCACAGGCTATGTAGATTTTCATGGTTTTCCACAAATGTGCAACATGCTGCGTTGCTCGCTGTATCCCCGTACTCTAGCTGAGAATAGCATTAGACTGCCAACTTGGAGGACGAAGGTGAAGAATTGGGTGTATATTCATACATTATTGCTCAACAAGCCATTGTCTCTCCTTTCAAAATGTACTTGAAATATGCTTTAACCAACTAAGACTGAAATTGAAGTCCATACGCGCGCGGGATGCAGTTATCCAACCCGCTTCCTAAACTGGTTAAAGCTGAACTACCCTTTTCCTAGTTCCCGAAATATTTAGCGTGTGTCGGTCGGATTCCTCTCCACAGCTCCGAACCCGCGTGCACCTTGTGCACGGAATACAAAAGTTATCTATTTTTAAAGCTATCTCATTTGCCTCTGCAAGGTACCTGATGTTTTGATTGGTTGATTGAATACAGGCCTGGACTGATCAGCTTCTCAGTCCTTTCAGGCCACTTCAAACATTTCCTTCGGCCCTTTCCTTAGCTCAGCTTGGCTTCGTTATCCGTAAATTAGGTGCTCATATTTGATATATGAAAGTTGTTCCCAACGTCTATCAAAGCCCTTACTGTCTTCTTTTCCTTTTGGATTTCTTCTCATTTTATAATTCGGTTGAGCATCGAAGGTCTTATTGGAATAACAAGCTGCCCCTATCAGCAAATAGAAGTGCGACCATCATTCCGGCATCAATCGGATCTTCTCGTTTTAATTTTCCGCAGTCTTTAAGCACTTTCTATAACCACACTGGAATTGCCAAACTGAGGAGATTATTCAATTATGGCCACCGAACAACCCATTACATCCGCTCTGGTGGTCGGTGGCTGTGGCTCTCTAGGCCGACAAGTAGTCAAACAACTGCTTGCTCTTGCACCAACAGTGCAAGTCTCTGTGTTTGATTTGAGACTACCCAATACTGAGACCCGCGCGCTCACGGTCGAATATCATGAAGTCGATATCACATCGCGGGACCAGGTCAATGCCGCTCTCCACAAAGTTCAGCCCCAAGTTATCTTCCATACAGCCTCCCCTCTGCCTACCCTTCTCGACCTCCCTCTCTACTTGCGAGTCAACGTTGAGGGAACGCGCAACCTGCTGGAATCTGCCAAGGTATGTATACATATGTTGCCCTATATGCAATTTTGAGAGTTAACGACTAATGGTTTCACACAGGAAGCGGGAACGAAAGCCTTTGTCTATACATCAAGCGCTTCAGTTGTCCATGATTCAGTCAGCGATCTAATTGAGGGTGATGACTCCTTGCCTCTTTTGTACATGCCCCAACAGAGAGAAATCTACTCTCATAGCAAGGCCCTTGCAGACCAGCTAGTACTGGATAGCAACAGCAGCACCATGTTAACCACCTCCATCCGACCCTCGGGAATATTCGGCGAGAATGACGATGGAACGACCAAATCTATGGTCGAGAACGCAGCTGCTGGGAAACTAAGATTCACAATTGGCAACGGTAAGAATCTATTTGACTTCACCTTCAACGAGAATGTTGTCCACGCCCATATTCTCGCTGCACAAGCCCTACTAAGGAGCCATGTGACTCCACCACCGGCGGATCTGCGCGTTGCGGGGGAAGGATTCCTCATCACGAATGATGAGCATATACCCTTCTGGGATTTTGCTCGTGCAATTGGTGCTGCAGCAGGCTATCAGACCAGACCCGAAGATATTCGTCAGATACCCAAGATCGTTGGGATCGTTATGGCTGTTATCGCAGAGTGGGTGGTTTGGGCGACGTCTCTCGGGCGCAAGAAGTCGAGGATGAATGTAGTGGGTATTCGATACAGTTGCATGACTCGAACATACAGCATTGATAAGGCTAAGAAAGTACTGGGATACAAGCCACTCGTTAACCTGACAGAGGCCATTTTGCGGAGTGGGGGGTACTTCAACAAAGATGCAAAGAAGGCTGTATAAATCTGTTCTGATAACAAAAATCTAATTATTTAGTTAATTGAAATATTTCTTCAAAAAAGCAATCTGGAATATAAAAAAACATATTCTCCATCTAGACGCCTCAATTGAGGTCTAGATTGAGGCTAGCATAACTTCAAAAAGGGTTAATATTCTATTGTGACGTCAGTCAACAGCTCTACTTCGACCACATTGCTTTTCTGTGTTTTCCAAACCGCTTTGGATAATTTTCCGGCGGTATAATAATAGAAGCGGTCAATTATATTTTGGTATCCTATATTTTTTAGTGTGCGGTCATCTATTTGCTCCATCATCATCATGGCCCAGTCGTTTGAGAAAGAGAACATGGTTACCGTTTCTCGAATGGACATTTTCGGGGGAGAGAAGTTTGCAATCCCCATCATCGGCTTCTATTTTCGCCCAATACCAAATACCAAGCTCAAGTGTAGCGAATCTAACACATTACCTTCACCATCTCTGCAGGGAATGGCTTGAATCAGACTAGGCCGCCGTCAACGACACCGTCCGCGGCGGCGTATCCATCTCCTCCTTCACACCCATCAACTACGGCACCTCAGCGATCTTCAACAGAAACCTAAACGTAGCCGTCCTTGACGTCGCCGGCTTCGCCTCCCAACGCACCATGTCCACAGAAGAGCGCAACTTTACGCAGTAGGCGGCATCGAGCTCACCATTGGGCAATCCGATGGGAAACGCTACAGTTACACGCTAGAAGATGAGGTACTCCCGAAAAGGCCCAATAGGCTAGAATAGAGCTCGGTCAACTATAAATTTTGAGTTTGTGATGCCGTCTGCGGCGGAAGAGAGAAGGGTTTCAGAGAAAGACAACAAGAAAAAGAGAAAGAGGTATGGAGAAGTTTTGGGGAATTTCTTCTTTGCGTGCTGCGTGAACCATTGAAACAGGGTCGGCATCGAAATTATGATAAAGCTATAGAGTTAGAGTATTCATTAATACTAATTAATATTAATTCGAGTTGATTTCTTGCTTGATGCTGTATAGATAAAAGAGCGGCTGTGACGGGCCGCGCGGGACGGCCAGGATCATGGAGGTATTCCGCGTTGCCCTACTGCCCCTCACGGCCGAGAAACAGGTCATATAATTGATTGACATAACTTATCTATGGATTTGTCATCTGAAACTAGTTATTAAATAATGACGCCACATACTTTTATATTCAAATCCGTTAAACCTAAACTGCACCGGACCAGTGCTTGATTTTATAGTACTTGAACTCCTACTCACACTAGTCTCTCGTATAACTTCATCACAACAATGTCGCCTCAAATAGCATGGATCGGGCTGGGGAATATGGGTTTGGTATGTTTATTATGCTTTGTTCCTTATCAGTATATTTATCTATATAGAAACTCCGTACAAATGAATTTTGGTAAACTGATATGAATCCAGGGAATGTGTACAAACCTTGTTAAAAAAGGCAACCTCAGCAGTCCCCTCATTGTCTACAACCGCACAGTGTCCAAGGCTACCGCATTCGCCGAAACCCTAGGTGGGCCCTCCAAAGCGACCGCCGCGTCTTCCATCACCGAGGCTGTGACCGCCGCCGACATAATCTTCATTTGCGTTGGCGACGACCCAGCCGTAGAGGGCATCGTTTCCTCTGCTCTGACGGGTGATGTAAAGGGTAAGCTTTTCGTCGACTGCTCGACCGTCCACCCCGACACAACGCGCAAAATCGATGCGCAGATCCGTGCTCAGGGTGCGAGCTTTGTAGCTAGCCCTGTCTTTGGCGCCCCAGCTATGGCCGACGCTGGACAGCTAATCTGCGTGCTCTCCGGACCCAAGTCCGAGATCGCCAAGATCCTGCCCTACACAGTCGGCGTAATCTCGCGTGCGAATATGGACTTGACATCAGAAAACGAAGCAGAGAACGACATCGGGAGAGCCGGGGTAATGAAGTTACTTGGAAATAGCTTCGTCATCAGTTTCGTTGAGAAGCTCGGTGAAGGAATGACGTTTGCAGAGAAGTCAGGGCTTGGAACGGATCCGTTGAAGCAATGGATGGAATTGATGTTCCCTGGTCCGCTTGTCAAATATATCGAGCGCATGCAGACGGGGGATTATTGGAAGCGCGAATATCCGCTTTTCCAGGTCGATTTGGTGCGGAAGGATGCTAGACATATTATGAATATTGCAAAGGATAGTGGAATGCGGATGAGGTCGGTTGAAGTTGCGGATAAGTATCTCGTGGATGTGAAAGAGCATATGGGTGAAAGGGGGGATATTGCAGGAATGTATGGCGCTATTAGGAAGGAGAGTGGATTGAATTATGAGAATTAGGATATTTCCACATCTCTAGATGTTCCAATCACCCGAAATAGATGAGAATCAAAATTTGAGTTGATATTAGACATTGTTGGATGCAAATAATGTTCCTCAACAAGGTCAAGAGCTTCTAAAAATCAGATATATCGATGATACTAAATCAATTATATATAGCGGAATATATAGAATATGTCTAATATGTAAACCAGAATGTAGGAAGTTTGGAAGCATCAGTCGACGACACTCTTCTTATCTGCCCAACTAGGCTGGATGCTTCGACAGACAGCTTCATAATCCTTGAATTTCAAGGGACCATCCTCTGGGACCCCAGGTGTAGTCCAAAACATCGCCCAGTTGCTTTCATGCAACTTCCATGTCCCTCTTGATCGTTCAAAGTACCATTTGTTAACTGGATTATCAACTCTGCTGCGCCAGCATACGCCCTGCGGTAAGCAGGAGCGAACCATGGCGTTGAACACGATATCGGCGACGCCACCTGCGCCTTGGCTTCGTTTCAAGACCGCGAATTTGTCGAGATAGGGCACAAGACGGGAGATGTTTTTCGGGTTGTTGCGATCAGACTCGGGAATATCGGGTGGTGTTTCCCAGGTCAAGATGGCCCCTCCTTCGTATTCGCCTGCAATGATCAGACCAGCAATACGGCCATTAATGCGATTAAGATAATCTTGGATGTCGAGTTTGCGGTTAAAGGAGTCCTCGATCAGATGCACCAAACGTGGGAGATCAATGCGAGGGTCCCCAAGACTTATACTTGATGTTCCTTTGACATGGTTTTCTGGAGTCCACGGAGAAACACGGGGATCAGGGAGGATTGTCAATGGCATTCCTCGTTTTACGAATGTTGATTGCACGACTGGGGGAATAATCTGGCCATTTGGTACCTTGTTCGATCCAAGTCGACTTGATGGGAGGGAAGATGAGTGTAGTGGTTTATCGGTCAGGAGATTGTGGATCAAGGGGTTTCTCTGGCGGCGCGTTCCTACACGAGAAACTGACAATGTCTCCTGTGGTTGAGGGTTCGCGGAGTTTGCGACATCTTTAGGCGTCGCGATAATCCCCGAGGTTGATGGAGGAAGCATGGCCAAGCTTTGCTGTAATAGTCGTAGATTTTCCAAATGTCCGTTTAACGGGGAATTTATGGACTCGGTTCTTGCTTTTCTCTGGTCTGGCTGCGAAGGCAGGGAAGCAACTTCTGATGCGAAAAACTTGGATATAGGATTGTTGTTAGCAATGGCTGAATCCGCAGTCAATCCGTTTGTAGCAGTAATGACACCATTCCTCAACGACATGGCCCCGGTAAGCTCGTCTTCAATATCCTTAAATTCCTGTTCCATATTGATAAAGACATGACCCTGTTGAGTCCCTCTGAATGCAGGGATGCCCCCTAATGGATCAAGGACGATCAATCTGTCTACTGAGACTTCTTTTTGAAGAACAGAAAACTTCTGTGCAGTAATAACTGGGTCCTCATCCGGGTCATGTTCTCTCTCCAACCCTGCGAACTCCCTGGTCAACGCCAGAATGACATCATTTGCTGGAACTAGAAATGCCTTGCAGGTTGATTCGGAGTAAACCACAGGAGTGATAAGCACTGTATGATTCTGCCGCAGAGGTTTGAGTAGGACTTGCCGAGAGATGACTTTAGGTAGTGTTGAACGACTATCCTTCATGACTAAGGCAGAATCCAAGCGACGTGATTTACCACCATCGCAGCGATCGATTGCCGCAGATAGGCGATCAGCTTGTTCTGACGCCATCTTCTTCCACGCCGTCTCGTTCTGCACAGGGCCAGGATCGATTACAACACAAGAAGCCATACCCAAACGCATCAGCTGCGACAAGGTTAAAGCCACCCCCTTGATGGTTTCATCGTCAAGGGATTGTGGAGCATTCAATTTCACCAAGGCAACATGTAGAGTTTCATCGAGGGATAATGTTCGCTCAACCTCCGGCGTATCAACTTGCCGGAACACTGGCGCATCCATAACCGACCTGGTAACGCCATAGAATGTCCCCAAATTGACACCTGGCTTCTCAGGTTCGACGGGAGGTTTAACGTTATGTTTATGTTGCACGGGTGGAGGTTTCTTCCGAAGCACTGACGGAAATCTGGAGAGGTATGACCTTGCTTCACGTTTTGTCGTGGCTGAGCTCAGTAAACTAAGGAAGAATTCCTAACAAAAGCAGACTAGTCAATTCAATGTTCACAGAGTGCAATATCATTAGATTACTTTCCTTGTCAGCTAGTTTTTCACGAGCTCGATGGCGGCCAGCGTTCAAAGACTCCTTGTCAGTCCATCCTAATTTCCAGTCACGCTGTTGTGAGGATGTATGGTATGGTCGTGCGGGGCATGAGCTACACGATAATCGTACTTGGGAGCTCTGATAAAAGATACAATCACGGGCCTATATTAGAAACAGTGTTAGCAGGTTTTCGAGCTATGAAATAATATAATTTGTACCCTGAACAAGGAACGTTTTGGAGGTTGAGAGCTCATGACTCATTGTTTGGAGAACGACGAAATGAGTAGAAGGGGCGACAACGGAGGGGTATAGTAAGAGATAAATTATGTCATATCAAAGATAATGATATATTATATACTAAAAAATGAGGGTGCGCAGTCAATGAGGGGTTGCGATGGAAGTATGAGGTGTTTTTCGGCGGCCAAAGGACTCATGGGTGGAAGAAAGGCGGAGATCTGCGCGGCTTCACCGCCGTCATAGGGCGCCTCGATAAGATAAGCGATAAGATAACAGAAATGCAAATGAGAACTCACGAGGCAAATAAATGTATTGAACGTTTCCAATTTAAATAGGAGGGAATGAACGTCTAGAGGATATTATTTGGTAAATCCCTTACTTTTAACCTTTTAAGAAACTATGCAGTGTATGCATATGTAGGTATAGTTTATTAGTTAAGCATTGAACTCTTTAAATATCGGGCAGCTTCCATACGGAGGATAAACACAACCAGAAACATATACGCCAATTGATGCACACGCAAATATATCCAATCTGTTGTTTGATCTACCGGCTTCGTGTACCCAAAGCTTCACTTTATCCTTATAGCGTGATGCGCACATATTTAAAGATAACTCCGTTCAATGTTAAGTTTCCACTGCTGGCTGAACGGTTAATCGAGCAGGGCAAATTTGTAGTTGCAGTAGGCCGCCGGAGGGAGAATCTCGATGTCTTTCAAATACACGGTAGAGACATTTTATGTTATTTGCTCGGGTTTTACCTAATTGCAAATTATGTTAGATTGCCGCTGAATGAACTGGGCCTATAATAATCGCTTTAAAATAATTCTGCTGTTCGGCCAGAGACTGCTCTACTGTTAGTAACAAGCGAGTTGTACGTATTCGAATTTCTGTACGCTGGTTAAACACAAATGTCATCACAAGTATTCCGCGGCCTACCTTCTATCTCGACCTCATATGTGGTTGCAAGCTCTTCGTCCCGATGAATTAAAATGGGTGCCTCGCGGTTCCATCTTCTCTCTTTGACGCGAACTTTCAAACCGACATTTTTAGCAGTATCAACCCATAAAATACCCTCGTCGTCGTCGGGGAGGTTACTATCGTCGGTATTGATATGGTCGCGTTTTGATTGCTCCCTAAGCCAGTCTTTATATATGCGGATAACTCCCTCCTCCACATTGAGTGCACTGAGCAGCCGCGTTGAATTGTTGGCGACTTTCACGAGATTCACCATGGTACATAGTTGCGAAAAGCTTTCAAACTCGTCAAGGCTTATCTGCTTTTTGAAAAATCGAATTTCATTGCTTATATGACTGTTCGCTTCAACCACGTCATGATGAGCTCCGGTCAATGAATTTTCGGATACCCCATTGGTGCCTGTCGGGGGTTGAAAAACATTATTCGAGCGCGATTCTTGATCCGTAGTGATATGATCGGGTCTAAACCTGGAGTAAACGGAAGACAACCGTGAGAGTTTCTCTGCAGTCTTGCAGTTCTCATACAAGGACCCTTTCCCTTCGTAATTGTTGCTCAGGCCGGGAGTTCCAAGGTACGTGCAGAAAGAGTGCGGGTCGGTTAGCCTTGAGCTTGGGTGAAAGCACTCTAATATTAATTTGTATTCTTGAAGCGATGCTGCGAGGAGAAGTCTGTAGTGTAGGATGCGTAGAATGATGGCGTGGAATCGATGTGATACGCTGGTGAGAGGAAGCAACGATCGTGTCGTGAAAGGAGTCAGGATTTGTACGAGGAGCTATAGTATAGATATCTTGGTTAGCTGTTATATTTTCATAGATGTTTATTTATTAGATGGAGAAGAACTCGAGAATGGTACCTCGTTAGGGAGTGAATAAATGTTGACTGCCTCATTGCTGTCAGCCATGAGTTGGCAATGTAGATCTCCAGAGCTTTGATAACAGTGGTTGTATGTGATTTTGGCAGCAAAGATAGAACGAAATCAATCAAAAATAATCATTATTGCCCAATTACCATGGGTCTCTCACATTGTATAATACGGAGGATGAGTATCAATCGCAGGTGAAGTGATTGCGGGGTGATCCTGATTAACTCCCCGATAAGGATTGATAAGCTGAAGTGGTACCCTGAAAGCAGCTCGGAGCTCCATAGTACTGCATCAGCTCTTGACATTTCTAAGAATATTACAAAGAAAAAAGAATTAAATTAAACCAATCTCCTATACTTCCTAAGAGTCTCAATTGGTAAAACTTATTCACAAATATAGAGGTCTCCCACGTAGTCCACCTTGGACGGCATATAGGTAGCGGGCCAATCGGAGACGAGATAGAGCACGGACATAAGTTGCCACCATTTCAAGAGTGCAGATTCATTTTCAACTTTCTTCCATAGCAACGAGAGAGAACACGTCATGGCTGGCCCATTGGCCAAAGGCTTGCCAGTACCAGTTCTCGGGCAAGAGAGAGACAATCCAGATAAAGATTTTGTTTTCTTGACGGTGAACCACCCAGAAGACGTGAAGAGTCGCAAGAACCAACGCTCAATTCGGAGTCGCGTTATGAGGGACATTGGCCGATCACGCCGTACTCGCAAAAAATGCCCTGTACAAGTGATATTCTCTTTGCAGGAAACCACATTGGCCTATGATAGACTCACACTTACGATACATGACGAGTGCATCCCCAACTCATTAGCCTCATGGCCATTTCCTGTGGAGTTGGATTGGCGGTCCAGGGAATTAGTTCATTTCAGTACGCACGAACTTACCATTATAAGTGGCATATTCTCATAAATTACAGTGAACTCAGAATCTGATTATGTGTATCGCCCCTTTCGGACAGTATGGTTTTCCATGGCATTGACCGATGCTGGCGCTTTTAAGCTAGCCATGGCAAATGCATCAATGTTTCTGGCTCAAAGCAAAGATCCAGAGAAATTCCGGTATGAGAATTGCTCAGAGACATTGGAATATTATGGACAGTGCTTGCGTCTCGTTATCAAGCAGCTTGAGGATCCAGATGATTGCCTCGGCGAGGGGGTTATCAACGCTATTTTGGGATTGATATGCCACGATGTAAGAACCGTTTGCACCGAGCGACAGCGACATAACTAATAAATTTGGATTAGTTATATGTTGGAACCTGGGATAGATGGACAGCGCATATCACCGGTCTTCGTCTTATTTATAAACGTCGTGGAGGCTTTCAATGCCTACATCCCAATCTGTCTTTATTCGCGTCTTGGTAGTCTATTTCCCGAGATTTCTCTATTGACGGTAGCTAATTCTTTCAGGTTTGACGTCTTGGGATGTGCCATTTATGACAAGAGGCCCTACTTCTCAACCGATATATCTCATCCCGAACCAGTACTAACAGAGATTAAGCCATTGTTACTACAGAATATGAAAGAGCTCGTCCAAACTTCTGCGGAGCTGATACCTGTTGCAAATGCATTGGAGCGTATTGCCTCACTAGCCCAATTCATAAATGTCAACTCCGCGGATCCTAATTTCTGGAGTAAAGAAGATGACATGGATCCCCTGCGTCTAATGGGACCGATTTTACACATTTTACTCTCCATGCCGCGCTTGGAGACAGACATCCAAAATATTGATTCCATATCCTATTTGCGAGAGATGACAAGATTGGCGATGCTCATAATTATGGCAATTGTGAAAAGGGCATATTCGTTTTCATTCAACGAGTTGGGCCTATTGGACAAAAAGTTCTCATATTTATTATCCACATATTCTACCTTATTCGAAACTTTCTTTCAGGATATTCAGTTGTGGTCTATCTTGACCATAGTGGCTCTGCTACCACAATCGAAAAACCGCAATTTATATATAACACAGGCCCGGAGACAAATGAGTTTGCTGGGTATAATCTCAGCAAATACAGCACTGGAAAAGGCCAGGGGAATGATCTGGATTGACGCCATAGCTGGAGCTACGTTGGATCAATCCCTTTCTCATGAGATCGACGCAAGGATCGTGACTGATATCCTCAGCCTCCGGTGATTCCTCCACTGACACTAATAACCTGCCCAGTTACCCACCTACTCTTCTCAGAGCAGATTAATAACACTGCATCCGCAATATCGTCAACTGTTCCGACTCTCTCCTCCGCCTTAGTCATGGGGACTAGAGCACTGTGTATCCTGTCTGAAACCGCTTTCGGTAGCGCGTCTGTATCGACAGGACCCGGCATTACGGTGTTGATAGTCACTGCATACCCACGGCCTAACTCCATGGCCATTGAGAATGTCAAAGCATCAACAGCTGCCTTGGCAGCCCCATATATTGCAACGGGACTAAAACCTAATTTCGAAGCGATGCTCCCAGTGTTCACAATACGGCCACCGCGGGGCATATGAGGAATGACAGATTGAATTAGGTAAATAGGAGCAAAGACGACGGACTTGAAAATCGTTTCAATGGAGGACGAAGTCGCAGTAAGGAATGGCTCGGGCTGGCCAGCGGCTGCATTGTTCACTGTTCAAACGGTCAGGTATAATGTTCTGAATGTACAGTTGAAGGGATTATACCGAGAATGTCAACGTGTTGAACCTGGAATTTCTCAAGTGTTTGTTGCACGAGTCCCTTTGCGCCCTCTTGAGTCGATACATCAGCCTGCACCACAACTGCCTTTCCTCCAGCGTCGATTATCTTCTTCGCAACGGCTGCAGCCCGTGTGGCGCTTGCGTCCGAGACGTGGTTGATGACCACCCATGCACCATTCCGAGCGAGAGCCGAAGCTATACCTGCTCCAATACCGGTTTCACGGCCGGATCCAGTGACAATGGCAACTTTTCCGTCGAGGGAAAGAGTGTCGGGTGACATAGTTGCTTTTGGTATCATGTATGAATGTCAAGAGATAATATTGTAGATAAAGATATAGCCAAGAGACGGACAATTGAAAGATTGATAGTCCAGCAAAATAGAAACTGGACGGGCCCATGGCGACGTATTTATACCCAAGTTCGTCTCTTATGACTCTTCTCTACTTTCATTTTAGACCTAAACGAGTTAATCTCGCGTCTTTATCCAGTCCGAAACCGCGAATTTATTGCACGTCTGTGATGAAAAATGGATGCATTGAAGCATCCAACGTAGAAACCCGCCGATCGCTTCCTTATTAGGAAAACGGTATTCCTAGCTGCATGAAGCTAGTCCATATATATACTACCTCAAACTCAATTAAAGCGGGTCCTCATTGACTGGGTTTGGCGACCCTCAGCCACAGTTTTCAGTTCATTCTAGTTTGCCTGTAGTTTCAACAATAATACAGAAAGGGTTTTTCTCTGTCTGTTTGAAGTAGTGTTGAAAGTAGTGGGCCTTTCTGAAAACAGTTCTCTCTGGGCTTTTCTTTGGGATTTTCAAAATATTACCCTAGATATTTATATAAATTAGTTTCATGCGATACCTTCAGTTGGTTATCTAACTCGTAAGTGTGAGGAATGGAAATTATAAAGTTAGAATTCTATCTTGTTTTTATAAACCCCATTTGTCGTCTTTTATATCTTGTAGCCATCCCTCATTGAATTATGGCATAATAAAACCAGCTAGCTCAGATCCAATATCGTATGTCAAGAGTAATCGAAACATGACAGATAAAACATTTCACTCTAAGGAGACAAGAAGATGCAGTGTATTACATTTTATGGACACTATTATAGAGCAATTGCCTTGAAGAATGCCGAATTCTCATGTCCTTGCACGACCTTTGCAACAGGTGTAACAGCAGCATTTGGATTTGCATCGCTATCTTGAATATAGCGGACATATGCCTGAGTGAATTGAATCCACGATGCTTTCTCGCTTCGAGTAGCGTGGGAACCTTCCCAAACCCAAATCTTCTTTCCAGTGTCAAAAACAAAAATGTCCTTGCCATCCAAGTCCGATGGTCTGATGGATTGGCCCTCCTTGACTAGCTCAAAGAGCACCTGTCCGGAAGCATCGCTGATTCTGAGCAGTCTCTTAGGCCGAGATGACACGTCACTCTTAGAATCTCCATGACCAGTTGCCTGAAGCGGCCGTGCAGATTGGAATGAGAGTTGATCCACATCCCTGCCACCCAATAAATCAACGACGATCTTCGACCGTGCCTCGGCCTGAGACAGAACCTCAACGTCGATGTGTTTGGCAAGGGTCAGGTCGTGCACCACCTGGGCCGCTTTGGCCTTTTCCATTGGACTGCTTTTATTGCCCTGCCATACCCAGATTTTCTCGCCCTTGTCTAGAACGAAGACATCATTGTCATCCAGGCTCCGCCACGTAGGCTCTACTTCATGTACAATAAGAGAACCCGCGCGTCCAGCAGCAGGATGCTTGAAAATACGAAGCAGGGTTGTGATCTCCTTAGGTGTCTCTTCTTCAACATGCCGGAAACCAGACGCAACGCCGCCACTTTTGATCGACAATCTGGGGAACAAGGCGACGAATTCCTCGGAGGGATACTGCTGCACTTCGCGATGCTGCGTGGCTGCTCCATGTAGAAACTCATCCAACTCCACGGTCTTATACGCCGCTGTGCCGGCCTCATCTTGCGACGTTTTGGACCCAAGCCAAAAGAAGATTTCATGTCCGAGCTTGTCTGCAGCGCCGCCATCATTGTCTTTTACCGTATAAGAGTAGAGGACAATATAGCTGTCACCATCATAGAATTGGCCATATTGATTCTTGGGTAATGGTACGACATGGAAATTCTCAATTCGCCAAATATGCAGACCCGCCTGTGTACCAATTTGGCCATCATTCCACGCAGGTTCCGTAGCTGCAGAATTGTATTTAACTTTGTGATCAATATCACTGCCAATTAGCTCGACATTGCTGTCTTTGATGTCATACTCTTTCAGATGAACAAGGCCTTCGTGGGGTGGCATTTTGTAAAGCTTTTTTATCTTTGTGAATTTAATGTTGGATATGTTGTATATTGAGAATGTGACCAATATTTTAATCGGTGGACGTTAAAGGGCTGATTCTATGCGGGGTTGTTCCAGATCTGGTGGGGCTGCATCTGTCCTGTAACAGGCTGTGCGGCTATCCCACCATTTTGGTGTCGGGTGTATTGCTTCTTGGTACTGATAGCTACAAGGTTTGTTCAATTTATGATCTATATCTAGTTCTAGGAGCAACGGGTTTGATAACAATCTAGAAGACAGAGGGTGGAAGAACTAAGGATCTTGCTGCTTACTCATGTACTAAATTCTTTTATATACTAGACTTCAAGAAGTCTAATATTGTGAAATCACCCAACAGTTCACAACATTTGCTTGGAGATATTCTCAATAATAGGCCACTCAAAATAAAATCATATGCATAACTGCTAGACCGCATTAGACAGGTTATTGAAGGGCCTGCAATTTTCGTTGTTGATAGGCCACACAAGCACTTCTATCTTTTTCTTTATGGAGTGCCTTCTGCTGCTTCAAGTTACTTCAGGAATCCTGAATTTTGTTCAAAAGTAAGCATTTGGAATATGAACAGGGATAAGACGTTCCTCATGAGTCCTTTCCTAGGAGTAATAATTAAACTCTCCATTTTATCTCAGGTTCTCAGCCCTGACCACTTTTATAACCGTCTGTAGAAACTCCTCTAGATAGCATAGCATCGTTTAGAACCAACCCTTTCCTCTGAAACTACCCGATCGTAGACCTATCAATCTTCAGATCTCCAGGCTGTCATCAACACGAAAACGTACTAGATGGAGGACGCGTTGAGAAGAGACCTCTATTTACACATACCTTTCTTCTATTGAGAATTGAGCGAGCAATACCGTTCTTGGAAAATATTCTTTCATATATATTGGTATTATATATGACTGAAAGAACGTTTTTAATTTGATATTCCTTCTTTGGACTTGTTTGTGACATTGACTGCTTTGCAGCCTGAAAAAGTAACTTTTGTCAGAACAATGCCAGGGACAATATCCGCTCGAATAGTTGTTTTTTTTGCTAGGAAGGTGGAGATTTGTCTGAATTCGTGGTTTTTGGAAGGCAATAGCCTTTTTATAACCACAACAGCCGTGCTGGTCGAAATCTATTTCAACCGACTTGTCCCCCTCGCCGATTTGATCTTCTATCAGATTCTGTCAAACAGCTTCTACTATCAATTATATTTCTATCAATTATATTTCTATCAAACTAAACCGACAGCGAACTTATGAAAATTCATCAACAAATATGCCTTTATGTCTTTCACACCTTTTCTCGACGCCCAAACGCACCCCAGAAGACAATGGAACATACGTGCTCAGAATGAAGGCCCAAACCCTTTACATTACATCGGCGAGCTTTTACACCCACGGCTGAATGATCAAATACATACCCAGACTAGAGTACAAGCAGAGAATTCTACCAATACGACTGTGATCCCCAGCCCTACCCAGCCCTATCCAGCCACGAGAAATTGGCGACGGGGAGGTGGTACTCTGGAGCCCATCACCCGTCCCAGCTAAGCCTTTCTTTAGATGGGGAAATCTACAACACTCCGTAGCTGTTGCTATATTCTCTCCATCGTGCGGAGTTTTCATCAAATTAAGTCTTTTTAATCACGGCTGGAAATATATGCAAATAATCGAGAACATCACAAGAGCGTTGAAAACATGCCAGTATATCGCCTAATGATTATTGACGAGCTTAAGTCTGAGATTTTACGACTTGTACGTCCGGCCATTAAGCAATTCTTCTACTGCCGGTTCAAGGTCAAACCTTTCGATGACTCTGTGATAGTCAGGCCCGAACATGGCCCTGACGTGGAGGCGCAGTGGGTAGCAGAGGCTGGCCGTGTGGTAATTGCATTAACTAGGGGACTTGCGCTAGACAATGCTTATGGTAGAGTGCCGGATTTGTCTTGGACTGATAAGTTGACTGTGGTTGATGTGAATACTGTTCCAGAACCCGCGTGGGTTAGGCTCGTTGACCATGACAAAAAGAAGCGATACTTGGAATTTTATAGTCCTTAACATATTTATTAAATTTTAAAATCCGTGCTTTTCATATAGATAGCCGCATGGTTTGCACAACCCAAGACCCTCAATACCTCCTGTGTGTCAACACGAAGAATTCGACGACTCTGATTCATGTCGGAACAGTTCCGCTCGCCAGTGACCAATGTATGTTCCAGAATATTTATCACGACTATAAGAATGTTCGCAAAGGACACGAATAGAATATTTCCATGCTAATTCCATTGTGGTTATCATGCTGACTGTAGGTAGTTTTAGCACGATTACCACGGTCCTTAATATTGCCTGCTAACTCTATGAGAATTTTCAACAAACTTAGTCGAGGACTTAATGAGGTACGTACAAATGTATAGAATTTTCTCATCGGACCAGTCCGATCTGAAGGACTCAGCGCACGTGCCGCTGCTGTAAGACAGGGCAGCCATGACTGTGCGATCAAAAGTTGCTATCACTCGCTGTCGAAGACATATACCGACATGTCCATATGTGCATGTCCATTTGATGCTTTCCTATGACAGGCTTATATTCGCACTATATGGACCAACAAATATGCTCCAGTCATTGACACCTGTCCTTAGAGATAGGGAATGGCAGTCCTCCAGCGCCATGTCCCGCATGCGCCAAACCTTCTGAATGACTGCTCTTGTTCGTGATATATTTGAAAGGGATAACTTTGCCATGACCTCTAGAGTTTCCAATACTAATCTTCTGCCGCATACAAGCTCTCCAGTTCTCTTGTCTAGGAATTCCTGATCATCCGTCGGATGAAGCTCTACTGCAGCGACGAAAATAGGAAATGCTAACCCGGCGGCGAGGCCTGCTTCGACCAACTCACAAATCCCTTCTAGAATATCTCTTTTCAGTTGACAAACGAAGGGCGTTGAAGGGCACGCGTCGTATAAAACGCAGTGATGGTAAAGAAGCACAGATTTCCGCTTGAGCTCTGCCGCCAAAAGTAGTGCATCATCATCCGAGCTTCTGTCGTCAGTCCGCACTTGCATAGCTTCTAGCCGCTGCTCTAACTCCGCAGATTCTCTCTCCAGGAAGTCGGCGGAAATATCGTCCCCTGTTTTCAGCCTGCTTACTTCAGCAATACGGCACAGTATGCTCACCAGATCCGGACTGCATCCCATCCATGAGTCGATGTGACCAGGCTGATCAGCATCAGCCCAGTATTCTACTCCAAACAATGCTGAGTTGCCGCAAGCAGTCCGGCTGATCACATCTTGGAACGCAAAAAAACGTTCTGTGAAGGCTGTCAACCCCCCAAAATCTTTGCCAAAATGTGTCGCTTTGAGTTGTCTGCTCCGTTGAATGATTTCTTTACTGGCCCGCAGATGTATTACCCAGCGATGATCACAGTTATCAACTATCTCATACAGGCATAGGAACATCATTATCACCAGTATTTGAGGGTCCCATGAGGAGTCTGACTCTGGGGTCTCCGCAGAGAGCAATCTTTTGCGGAGAGAAGTGATCACTTCTCCTTTCAGGTTCATGGCAGAGCGAGACCATTGCAGGTCACCGATACATCTGTGGCGAGCCGACAAGGCCAATACCGCCCGGAGGATATCATCCTGGCCAGGAATGCTGAATAGAGGAATAACGAGTTGAGCGAAAGGGGAGGGTGTTAGGCGCGATGACGTTGTTAGAGGACAAAGGCGAATAAGAAAATAGTCGAGGAGATGGGAATCAATGTTGGCGAGACTAGGATATGCACACGGAGTCGGAGAGATTGGCCAAGTCACCACTTGAGCGCTTTCGCATTCTTCGCTTGTACCTTCAACATCCAACATGTCTCCGCATTCTCGGCCAGCTTCAAACCGGTTATCAAAATCCCAGTAACCGAAATTGATAAAAAGATGAACCTGAATAAATGGGAAACTGCATCTTTCTACGACAGACGCAGGCTCAGCATTCGTATACGAAGCCTCAGACTGCGGTTTTTGGCTTTTGCTCCATCTGCCTTCCCGACCAAAGGCGAGACCGCGGTCCGCAAATTCCTGCTCCCATTTGAGCTGAACGCTATTGTCGCAAGCAAGGCCCCGTTGCAAGCAGTTCCGGCATTGCGGCTTAGTTTCGTCGCACTTGACTCGCCGCGTGCGACAGGTCTTGCAGCCGGTGCGGACCCTCTGTTTGATTCGGTTGCTATCGGTCTGCCCCGAAGCCCGGCGACGTGGCATCGTGCAGCGATGGAGTAATGGTCTGACTGATTTGACAGCATCAATTAAAATAGCTAAACCTCTTTCATCTTCACACCACAGGCGCGACGACTGCGCGGATCAAAAAACAGACAAGCCGTCACGAAGTGATGAGATAAGATGAAGGGAGGAAGACCTAACGTTACCCCGCACAGACCAAAGTGTTATTGTTGCTAGTCCAGCCGACATTCTAGAATGTACGTACGTTATACGACTTACAGTGCAACGGAATAACTTTTAATTATGTGGCAAGAGAAAATAATGTCCTCGAAGTTAACTTCTACTGGACTTATAATTTTGCTCCTTTCCTTGAAGGATCTAGAACATCTCTGATGTCCTTTATCTCAGTCCCTGGTCTGGTCACATTCCTAATCTCTTTCCGGCCACCATAACTCCACTGTTTCTTCAACCCACGCTCCGACCCCTCGAGGGCATCGGCAATGTAGTCGCCAATTATAGGAAGCATCTTAAAAGCATGACCACTATCACCTGTTGCTAGCAACAGATTTTCATGCCTAGGATGTTTGTCTATTAAATAATGTGAATCTGGCGAGTCGGTACACCAGCAGACCCGGGCTTCCACAAGTGGCCGGCCCGAGAATTGAGGCATGACGGCCGCGATGAACCGCCTGATTCCATCCGCTGCTTCGGTGGGAATTCCGTCCTCTGGATAATCGCTGGCATAGCGTGGGATGGAAAAGATGGTCTTCTTGCCGGTCTTCAAATCGGTATACTCGCCTTGACGGCATTGGTAGCCAGGAAAGGCGTTGCAGATTTTCATCAATTCTAGCAGGATCATTTAGTACAAAAACTGCACCAATACCCTCCCGAATCATTCTTACTGGTCTCTGGATCCGGCTCAAATGTAAAACCCAATTCCATGTTGTCAATAACTGGGATTCCTTTCCATTGTGCGATTTCTTCTTCTGAAAGGGCGACGTGGGCAAGAGTCCAGCACTTTGACCACAACTGTGTGGATAGGATATCGGGCAATAATCCTGGGGACGCCGCCCCTGTAGATAGTATATACCGTTCGGCCCTTAATATTTCACCCGAGGCAACTTTCACTCCGAGTAACATATTGTTGGTGTCAAGTTCAAGCCCTGTCATCGTTCCTCTACGGCCAGAAATGAACCTGACGCCCATTCTCTCCGACTCTGCTGCTAACTTCTCAAGGGCTTTTCGAGCGTGTGCCCAACCGGCCTCCCGATTCCAAAGACCCTTCCATTCTTCTAGGCCTACTGCGCCTGCTAGCTGAGGGCAGTGTTTCACTATTTGTTCTTTGCCTTCTATCAACTCGATAGATTTGGCTGCGCCAGCTTTACACAGGTTCTCATAGGATTCTTTTAGATTTTGAACTGCGTCTGGATCCCCACTCGTTGTCGTTATACGCCCCTACTTAGGAATTAGATCCGCAGACGCCCAGGTGCTACTGGTTTAACACACCGTCTCATAGAAGATGCCATTCCACATAGGTTGTCGCCAGGCATTTAATGCTTCAAGAGCTAGCTCAGTGTACAGCTCCTCTTCATACTCGGTCCGAATGATCTTATTGAGGTCATAGCCAGCTGAGTCTTGACTCGGCCAAGGATGTCGATCAATGCATACAATGTTGGTATAGCCACGTTTTGCTAAGTGAAAGGCTGTGCTTGTTCCAAACGTTCCACTTCAAAAAGTTCCCTGGTAAGTCAAGATGATTGAGAGATAAGAAAGGCAGTATTTTGATACATACGCTCCAATGATCAAAATTGAGGAGTCTTTTGACAGTGACATGGCTGCAATCACGGTTACCGAAAAAAATTGAAAGGAAGAGAAAAAAGCAGTGTTGAGGTCCGGAGATAGTTTCTTCCTGGGGAGGAACTCAGTTTCATGCTCTTGTTATACCAGTAATAAGACTGCGAATAGCTCGACTGATGGGGACGAGCTAGCGGCGATAATTCACATTCAGTAAATTCAACAGTCTATCCAACAATTGAAGGATGGCACATGATTCGCTCGCCTGGACCTTCCGGGGACCACACTTTGAAAGGTCCGGAGATAGCTCCGAAAGCCCTATCTGAAGGAACAATGCCGAAGCTAAAACTTCCCCTGCAGCATCTCATAGGTCGGCTTGGACCTTCCATTGTATTCGGGCACGAGACACAAAGACTATTTCAGGGTTTCAATCGTTTAGGAGCGCTAGTGCGAGATTCCTCCACAAATTGATTGCGCTTATCAGACTTCACGATCAAAGATTGCGCCGGGCCGGGTAATTTATCAGTGCTCATGGCTTTTAGTGGGGTTTGGCTATGAAACCTAAATGATAGTTTGGAATTAACCGCAATAAAAGGCGTTGTCTCTCAAAAAGCTCTGTGCGGCGTGCGATTACCACACTATGGGTTATACTCTGTATATATTTGGGTAGGAAGAACGGGTTGTCCTGTCTGTTTCGTATCCCAAAGTCGGGACTTGTTCTTCCGGACTTGATCTTCCACAAGGCTTTCTACCTAGCTACTTGCTAACAGCTCTTGTTTTCAATATTTACGCAAAACCTAAACACCATGGCTTCAGATGAAGATCAAAGGATAGGTACCGAGGTAAAAAGTACCATCCGGCAGGACGGCGCTTCGTCTGCGCCGGACGACCTCGAAGAGAATACGGACGACAAAATACTCGATACTGCCATTGGTACTGTTGAGGATGTCTATACTATTGACAGTGACAATTCACCCTTTCCAGAAGTACGAGCCAATGTGCCCAACAACGACGACACGTCAACCCCAGTCAATACGTTGCGCATGTGGCTGGTCGGTGTCGTCTTCACTGTCATCGGCACTGGGATCAATCAATTTTTCAGCATGCGTTATCCCTCCGTGACTATCTCCTCGCTGGTTGCCCAGTTGCTTGCTTTTCCTGTAAGGCACTGCGCTTGCACGTATTCTGCCTGTGAAGACGGTGCGCGTTTTCGACCGATGGGACGTAACCATTAACCCCGACCATCACTTCAACATCAAGGAACACTGCGTCGTCACAATCATGTCGAACCTAGCATTTGGACCCTCATGGGCAACGGACATTATCCAGGCTCAAGTGTCCCCGACATTCTTCAACGCGAAAAAGCCTGTTTCGTACCAATTCCTCCTTGGTCTGACGATGCAGTTATTCGGCTTGGGTATGGCGGGCCTCTCCTACCGCTTCATCGTTGAGCCTCCACAGATGATCTGGCCCTCAACTTTGGCGAATGCTGCACTTTTTCAAACTCTACATTCGAGGTTAAACCCCAGTGCCAATGGGTGGAGGATTTCGAGGTATCGTTTCTTCACTATCGTTTTTTGTGTAGCATTCTGCTGGGTAAGTACTATTTATTAATTAAAACTAATATTAATTACTGATGAGCATTATAGTACTGGCTTCCTGGCTTCCTCTTCACGGCTCTTAGCACATTCGCCTTTATATGCTGGGCAGCGCCAAGTGAGTTTTCGTGTGTTGCATCTTGAACGAGGAAGTTGACATCTTATAACCACAGACAATACCATAGTCAACAACCTTTTTGGTATGACAACTGGCCTTGCGTATCTGCCCACCACATTTGACTGGTCTCAAATCGCCTACAATGGATCTCCCCTGGTGGTTCCCTTCTGGGCACAGGCCAATGTCTTTGCCGGTTGGATTATCATATTCGCTCTCACTACACCAATTTTATACTACACCAATACGTGGTATACAGCATACCTTCCTTTCTCCGGAAGTTCAACGTACGACAATACAGGTCAATTATATGATGCCACTCGCATTGTTGACCAGCACGGCAACTTCCTCGAGGACGCGTATCAGGCCTATAGCCCCATATTCATGCCTGTGACCTTCGCTCTTTCGTATGGATGCTCTTTTGCTGTCATGACCTGTATACCAACTTTTATTTTCCTAAACTATTGGCGAGACATTTTTGGCGCCTTAAAACCTGACCGCAAAAAGGATATTCACGTTCGTCTGATTGAGAAATATAAAGATGTGCCGTCTTGGTGGTACGCGGTCTTAACTGTCATCGTCCTTGCACTCACTATCATGGTACAGGAGGTATACCAGACCGAGATGCCAGTCTGGGGAATCTTTCTCGCCTTTGCTATGGCTCTGCTGTATCTAATACCCACGGGATCTGTATATGCCGTGGCAAACCTCAACAGCAACGTTTTAACCGTTCTGGGTGAAATTATTTCCGGTTATCTCATACCAGGGAAGCCTATTGTGCTACTCATCTTCAAGTTCTATGCATACACAGGTCTTAGTCAGGCAATGCTTTTCGCAAGCGATATGAAACTGGGTCTTTACCTCAAGATTCCGCGCCGCACACTTTTCGTTGCACAATTGACAGCATGTATTCTTGGCTCGTTGACACAGAATGCAGTTTTGCTCTGGATGCTGCATCATGTGGACAATATTTGCAGCCCCGACCAGTCGAATGGATATACCTGTCCCCAAGGAACAGTCAATTTCTCGTCCAGCGTGATCTGGGGAGCCATCGGCCCATCACGCCTGTATAGTGTAGGCAAGATCTACTCTGGCCTGCTTCATTTGTTCTGGATTGGAGCCTTGCTACCTATAGTGACCTTCGTGGCTAAGAACAGATGGCCCAATAACAAATTATTGAGAAACATGCATTGGCCGATCTTCTTCGCGGGCACAGGCAACGTCCCTCCCGCGACAGGAATCAATTACACGTCTGCATTCGTTGTCTCATTCATTTTCAACAAATGGATAAAGGGCAAATATGCCCATTGGTGGGCTAAAGTAAGTGCCATAAGCCTTACGTCGTTACTCATTTCCCCATTGCCTCTTCTTTAATTTCTTAATTAATATATTAACATACTGATGACTGAAATAGTACAACTACGTGCTCTCCGCCGCGTTAGATTCTGGCCTTGCTGTCTCTGCGGTCATTATTTTCTTCGCTGTGATCTTCCCTGGCGTGTCAGTGAATTGGTGGGGGAACACCGTGCAGGGCACCACGATTGATGGCAAAGGTACGCCATGGAAGCCGATCCCGGCAAATGGAACTTTTGGCCCTTCGACATGGTCCTAAGCTGGCATGATATTTTACATAAACAGTCTGGTAGTCCTAGTTCTCTTTAATTGACCTCGTTAATATTTAAACGCTTATGGAATGCGAGCCTTTCGTCGCCAAGATCATTGCTCAAGAATTAGGCTAAATTTATTTGTATTTAAGAAATCATTCAAAAGTGTTGGATATTGTAAAAGGATAGTCTCTTCTAATTGGATCACCTGATCAATGTCATATGTCTCCTAGGAAGCCAATTCGACCTTGTGTGTCAATCAGGTACGACCAAGAGGGAGGTTTAGTCTCTCCCAAAATGGCAGAGTTAAGGTTCATAGAGAAGATTTGTCTATGGAGCCCCGGATGTGCACGGATTCAATCGAACTTTGTTACTCCGCAGCGTATGGGTGGTACCGCGGTTTTTTAAGTGAAAATTATTTCTGGATTGGGAAAATTGTGTCCGTTTTGGTAGGCGACCCCGCATACAAAGAACAAACAAGGCACATACATCAGTACCCGTAAGTTTATAAAAGGCTCTACACTTGTCGCAATGTCTGCAGGAGATTCCAAGATATCGAGGTGTCAATTTTAATCCTTCATATAGGACTGCAATCTAATATCTATTACTCCAGAAATCTACAATAACATCCAACATCGCAACGGAAAGAGAAAGAAAGAAAAAAAGAAAATGGCAGCCTTGAGAACAAATATCAAGATGTTTGTTGACTCAGGCAATAGAACGTATCTGCTCACTACTGTCATCCTCTCTGTCATATTTGCGATTCTTGCGATCAAAAGAGGACTGCGAATCTTGCAAGGTATCTATACAATAATTGCTATCTAAACACTTATTTGTGTAAAAGACACACCAGAGCTAACTAGACTGGACACTTAGAGTGGAAATTCGCGCGTCTGAATCATTGTCGGAAGCCTCTAGTGGCATCATCTGGTTTTCTGGGGATTGGTCGCATGATCTCGATGCTGTCAGCGATGAAGAAATGCGAGGCCTTGGAGCTCATCCGAAGCTGGCATCAACAGTATGGGAAAACATATCGCACATCATTGGGCCGTACAGTCATAATGACTATTGAGCCTAAAAATGTGCAAACAATTCTTGCTCTCAAATTCAAAGATTTTGAGCTAGGGCACTATCGGAACAAAGCATTGGCGCCACTTCTTGGTCAGGGTATATTTGCCAGTGATGGCGAGATATGGGAACATTCAAGGGCTCTTGTGCGGCCGAACTTTGTTCGTAGCCAGGTCGCGGACATTAAAATCTACGAGAGACACGTCGCCAAGCTTATCGCAAATATCCCTGGTAATGGGCAGACTGTAGACCTACAAGACTTATTTTTTCGGATGGTAATGCCTCGGCAACAAATTTTGGAAAATGTGAGCTAATAATATATCTGTGGAAGACCATCGACTCTGCTACCGAATTTCTCTTTGGGGAATCCATTGATTCGCTCAGTGTTGGTAGTCAACAATCAGCTTTTGCGAATGATTTCAATACTTCTCAAGATGGACTGGCCATTCGCGTCCAAATGGGACCTCTAATGGTCTTCCACAAAAATAGCGCATTCTCAAAGGCAACAATTGACGCGCGTCGTTTCGTAGATCAATTCGTTCAGAAGGCTATTGACTATCGAAATGCATGCGGTGACAAGAAGAATGCCTCCAACTCGTTGGATCAGCAATATGTCTTTCTCTACGAGCTTTCTAAGGAAACTGTGAATAAAACAGTGCTGACTGATCAGCTCTTAAATATCCTTCTAGCTGGTCGAGACACTACTGCGAGTCTTCTTAGTATTACATTCTTCATTTTGGCTCGACGTCCTGACATTTGGGCCAAACTGAGAGAAAATGTGCTAGGTTTAGAGGCAGAAAGACCCTCCTTTGAAGATTTGAAGTCAATGACCTATCTTACGTGGGTTTTGAACGAAAGTGAGTCTAAAATTATCTTCAGCTCCCTTTCGAAGGCTAAATTCAATCAACAGCTCTGAGACTATACCCGGTGGTTCCAGTCAATACACGCATGGCCAATAAAGATACTTACCTTCCCGTTGGTGGAGGTCCGGATGGTAAAGACCCGATATTCGTTCCAAAAGGACAGGAAGTCTTCTACAGCGTATATAGCATGCATCGTTTGCCCGAAGTGTACGGACCGGATGCGACCGAGTATCGACCTGAACGATGGGAAAATTTAAAGCCAGGATGGGCTTATATCCCATTCAACGGAGGTCCAAGGATTTGCATCGGCCAGCAGTTTGCTTTAGCGGAAGCTGGTTATACGATTGCACGTATTGTTCGGCAATTCACGAAAATTGAATGTCGAGACACGAGACCTTTTAAGGAGGGTCTTACTCTTACCTTGGCTAGTAAGAATGGAACAAAGGTAGCTCTAACTCCGGCATAGCAGGATATGGGTTTCTTTAGTATAGCCAACATGGAAAATACATACTCATGTTTTATGTATTATTATGGTTATTGAGATCTCGTTCTAAGATGTTTCTTTTCCCAAAATACACTGGTAGATGTGTATTCCAAGTCGACGTGCCTTGCAAGTTTTCGGGTGCTCGGTGACGATTAGTTATGGCGCTGACCCGCGGATCCGAATGCCAAGTCGGGGCCGGTTATTATGCGTGGGCGCCTCGTGTTCAGCTTAGTTCTAACTGAAAAATGGATTTGTTAAATTTCCACGATATTATTCAATAGGGGTTACCTAAACGATGCATAAGAGGAGAGTACAGGGTGAAACCCCTATTAATCCATTAACCGACCCTTTTGTAAACCGCGGAGCCGCGTTACTTCATACTGTGTGATGTGAATATGATTGTTTAGATGGGCCATTGCCGTTGCTGTCATTCCCAGTTTGGTCTCAGTGTCTGTTTAGACTGTATCAATACATACGGACACTTTTGACTATATTCGGTTAGCTCCAAGGCAAGGATCGATGTTCTCATTTGCTAAATAAGTCAAGTTTCGAAGAGGATGCACTAGAGACAAAAACAGGACTAGTGTCCAATTTTTATGTACCTCTATTGGACCAGCCATTACCCCAGGTACAGAATCGGTTAGTGGATGCTTCATATCTATCGTTTAACCCCATTTAATAGTGATTGGTATATAAGCCCTCCCCAATCCTTGGATTTGCATCGCATGTGTGGTTTACTGGTGCCTTTTATACTGACCTGAGAAGTCTGGATCTTACTCTCTCGTTCGACAGCCCATATGGCGAAACAAGTCTCTACTCAATTTCAACCGTTCACAGATTGTCCGAGTATCTTGGTACCAGAGCGCGCTAAATTTGGTCCCAAGACATCATTCAGTCTGCGAAAACAAACGGCTTGCGATCGGTGCCGAGCAGGGAAACGGCGCTGTAACGCTGTTAAAGGACTACCGTGTGCCAATGAAAAGCGAAAACGGTTGAGGTGCTTGTCTTCTGAAAGAAGTCAGCCTAGGTAAGATCTTTTCATACCTTTTTAAAGAGATACCATTAATCATTGACCAATGTACTACATAGCTAACCCGAATTTGAAATAATTAGAAAACAGGTATATACGAATCAGTCATATGCTCTTGAAGAATGTTCCGTTTTTAAGTCACCTCCTGGTGACATAGACAAGCAATCCCAGCGAAAACGCAGGGCAGCATTTATGCCAGCTTTTGCCAAACCTTTTTCAGCTGCAATAACACCCGGCCATCTGCAACGTCTTTATAAAGATGGGGTTTTCGATGTTCCCAGCACCAGCTTACAAAATGCTCTCCTACGGACATTTATCAACTACGTGTTTCCTTGCATCCCAGTCGTCGATTTGGAATTTCTTGAAAGTATTACCAAATCCCGGAAAAGTGGGGAGGCCAATATTAGCTTGCTACTTTACCACTCCATCATGTTTTCGGCAACAAGTTATGTACCCATGGAGGACCTCATACGCGCCGGTTATTCTAGTAGGAAAGAGGCTTGCGAGCCCTTTTTTCAGAGGGCAAAGGTACGCATGCCAATACGTCAAAGTCATAAGCTAATTTCTTCCAAAAGCACCTTTATGAATCGGGCTATGAATCTGATGAGCTCATCATTGTTCAGGCTCTCCTTCTGTTGACCTACATGTCTGGACAGACAGAAGACACTAGAGACTGTTGGAACTGGGTAGGCGTAACTGTATCAGTGGCTCTGAAATTAGGACTCTTTCAGGACCATCCAGGCCCTGAAGTCTCATGCATAGACCAAAAGTTGCTCAAGAGAGTTGGCTGGGCGTGTTTTATGCAAGACTGTTTGATTTCTCTAACCTTAAGATGTCGGCCGAGAATTCAAAAGCATGACTTTCAGCTAGAGTGCCTGAAAGAAGAGGATTTTGATCTTGACACGTTGATTACGGATATTAAAGCGGGGTCTTTCGAGTTTTGCTCAGCGAAAGACTTTGTTATACAGAAGGATTTGATCCTTCTGTGTGTTTCAACTGCTAAGCTATGCGTTTGCATCAATATGGTGCTAGAGATTCAAGGGAAGAACAACAATCAAACGAACAACTCGGCATTGATTGAGGTTATATCATCGCCACAATACCAGACTCCAAGTTATGATCATATTGACCAACTGCTTACGTGCGATAAAAATTTGACAAACTGGATGCACTCTTTACCACCAGCGTGCAAATATCGCGCTTCAGGCAAAGCCGACACTGAGGACTCTAGTTTTGTTGTCTTTCTACAGCGCTGTCTTCTCCATATGATATTTTACACAACCGTCTCAATCCTACATCAGTCTCGTTTCATGGCTTCGTCGGCTAACCGCACGTGTGATGCCGCTTGTCAGATTACTACGATTGCCCAAGTGCTTCACGAGAGCAAGCTTCACTACTACTTGCCTTCTCCTGGCATTACAGCCATTCTAGTGGCCATGGTTATTCAACTTCTTGAATCGCAACCTCATCCTTCTCGACAGCCGCGGAATTCAGCAGCGAAGAATCTTCATTTATGCATAGCAGTGATGAGTGACTTATACGAGGTGTTTCCAGACGTGGAGGTAGCAATATCCGCAATTAGTAGTATCATACCGAAAATCACATCCGCGCCTCCTCGTTGTTTGGAAGATTGCGATTCAACTCTGACAGGTTTACGATTAAGAAATAACGGCAGCTTCCATTCTGATTCAATTGGCTACAACACACCAAAGACAAACCTTCTACCATTTGGACTCCCCATTGAGTTTGGTGACAACGTTATGACTGATTCTGGATGCAATTTTCCAGAGTATACCACTCCATTAAACAGTTCGTTAGCCTTCGGGAACTGGGAAGGTATCGACCCGCTCTTCGGATATCCAACAGAAGCTTCTCCCGGTGAAGAAGAATTATATCAGATATACTGCTAGATGCTGTCATATAATACTCTTCTGATCTGATATTTTCAATCAATTTGTAGGACTATTTCTTTTGGTTGAGATGGATTTCCTTCGGACATTATATCTGCTTGCATTTAACCTACTGTAGCTTCTCAATTGGATTATTATAAGCCAATCAGGGGTTTCGGATTACGTATGAATTATTTTTCAGGGCAGTTAGGATCTGGATGAATTTATATGACGACCAAGAATCATGTCACCCAGAATAATAACTAGCTAGAATTGATGATAATCTTCTTAATGAGGGGAACCCCTTTTTAGCGTAGTGGTTTTCTGGCCAACAAATTAGCATAATGACATTAATAATAATATTGAATCTGGGTTGCTTACTCTACCCCGCATTGTCATGCATGCGCCGTACTAACTGCATTCATATAAAAGTCTCCGTATTGATACCCGTAATCAACCATAAATTACATACACCCTGGTCTTCTTTTTCGCACACCCTTCAATCTCATTAACAAACCAAGCCTTGCAGACTCTATCATACCATTGGACGCGGTGGGCGCTCTATTATGCGGGGTACACTATCCGGGGTGCATAGGTTACAAATGACCTGTAACTGATTATTCAAGCTTGTTGAAAGGGGCTGACACGTGAATGACAGGTGACAGCTGCTGGTTATCGATTTCATCAACTAGAGCACGCGTTTTGCACAGAGTGAGTTAAACAGCGATTATATTGCGCCCTACTTCAGCTCTCCAGTATTTATAAACAACATGACGCCGAAGGCCTGTGACCAGTGTTATCGGAATAAAGAGAAGTGCTCATTCACACTGGCTGCCGAGGTATGCACCCGATGTCGGCACCTGAAAATCCCTTGCCATATGTCACGCAAACAGAAGCGACTGGGTCGTAGGCCAAATTCCAAAAGTTTTGTTCACGGCAGCCTGCATATTTGGGATTACGAACGAGGCAATCAGATCGAGACAAACAATTCTAGATCGTCTACTCGCGCTTCTAACTGTATTTCTCCTTCAACTAGTGCAAGCTGTCTCGATTTAGCATTGCCCCGAGAGAAAAAAGAAGATGACGAGCAAGATGTGCCGCTAGCAAGGGTATTGGATCAGATACTCCAATACCACTCCACACTCCAAACAACGACGGATGCGATGCGGATCGTGACGCATGATGTACAATTCGCCGTAATCCACATACCTTTTACGATGGGCCGCAGCTTTATGAATGATCTTCGAAACTCGGTCTACTCCGTCCTATCGCAGTCAGCCCCGACCCTCACAGATGGATATATAGCTTTTCTGGTGTTAGTGGCACATTGTCAAGCTTCCCGCCTTTACTGCACCACCCCCGATTTATACCGGGGAGCAAGAGCTTTGCGGGTTCTACGCAATATCAAGACAGTGAGGCATCAAGATGCAGTTGGTATTCTGCTTCTTGGCCAAGTTTTATTTGTATTTGAGATCCTCACCGACACTTTTACGTCTTCCGCCCATTCTATTGTCCGGAGCGCACTCATCTCAGCACGCCGATGGTATCCATTCCTGTTGCAAGAGCCTAGATTCGATACGATTACCATATGTCCGATAATTATGGATACAGTATGCTGCCTGGTATACCGAGAAGTGCCTGTAATTCGCTTATGCATCCAAAACCGAATAATCGTTGATCGCTTTATGGGTGTAAGCTCTACACTTATGCCTCTTTTGTATGACCTTTGTGTGATAAGCCATATCGCAAAGTCCGCAACGGCCGGAATTACTCTGAACTCCCCAAGGACAATAGATGAAGAGCACCCCGACGACTGTTACTCTGACATAGAGAAGAGCATTGAGGATTGGGTGCCGACCCTGCCTCCTGATTTCCTTTCTGCGTACGACAAGGCCGAGGTCCAAATGATGTTGACGCAAGCCAACGTTTACCGACTAGCAGGTTTGCTAGTCATTCATCGCCTTAGATATCCCTTTGGAGTACGGGATAGTGTCGCACAGCATTATGCTAATTGCATCTTTTCTGAAATGTCATCGTCTTGTGCTGCATTGACTCAGGACGGCATGAGAGCACTTCCCATCATGTTTCCCCTGTGGATCTCAATGTTTGAAGTTGAAGGTCCTGGTGAGGACCTGCTGGAGAAATTTAGTTGCTTTCCGTTGCCAAGTGTGTGCATGTCAAAGCTATGTGGTTTTGTAAAACATGTCAGGATGGCTAAGGAATCCGGCTACAACGGGTTATGGTTTGATCTGGTTGAAAATAACCTCCATTTTGCTGTTATACCTTAATGTCTCATTCTGGTCATCTAGAGAAGCCTTTGGCTTCACTTGTCCTATAATCGCCCTCATTGACGGGTATTTGGTGAGTCTTCGATCAGAACCTAGCAATTCCGCAGGCTTATATAGATTGGAGCAGACAACTTGCTACACAAACGCGAATCCGATTCTCGAATACTCTGCTAATGTCTTGTAACGAATCGTCCAAGTTAACGCAAAAGCCCATGCCAACAGCTATACCAAAAAGTATCTATATTCATCCGGGTCATTGAATTGGATCGGTATAGGAGCCAGAGGAAGGGCGGGTGGGGTCGATGGGTGACACAAAGCCTGATCCGTAACCCGCTGATCAGTAATCACTAATTATCGATTGATCCATAGCGTACAAATTGCGGCTAACATGTATGCATAAACATCCGCGGGTGGTTTCTGTGATGATTCTAACTTCTTCCGAGATATAATATTTACTAATCTGACCCGCAAAAGGTCGGCGAGAAGTCCTTTACGTACGAAAGGGGTCGGGCAAACTCCAATATAACCTGGAAACCTGCCACCCCTATGAAATGCGCACCATTCAGCCATCACGATTCCACCATTTTCCGTATATACCAAGGGTAAAGGTCAACAACAGCGTTGAGAAACCTTCCGCTTCGCAGCGATGGAAAATCAGACTGACGAGGTCCCAACACTACCCATGAAGTCAACCCCGACCAACAACGATCCTGAAAATGCAGAAATCTCGGCATCAAAACCAGAGGACTCATTGGAATGGGATTTGGCGCCTGAAAATCCTCTGAACTGGGCATCGTGGAAAAAGATTGTACTCATGGCTGCGATGTCCGCATCGGCAATATCAGTGTATGTCCACCCAATTCTGAATCATTTCCAATTACTTATTACTCATCCGTAGCTCAATTTCAACTTCCATCATTACTCCTGCACGTGATGAGATTATGGAGGAGTTTGGTGTTAGCAGCACCGTGGCGATTCTCTCCGTATCCTTGTATGTACTCGCGCTGGGCTTTGGGCCTGTGGTCGGCGGTCCACTCTCCGAGACCATTGGTCGTTATCCCGTCTATTTGGGGTCAATAATCGTTGGTGCCGCATTCACTATTGGAGCAGGCTTTACGCATAACTTTGGTGCTCTGCTTTTCTGTCGGTTTATGGCTGGGTTTGTTTGGGCGCCGGTGCTTGCTGTGGCTCCAGGGTCATTGTCAGAAACGTTTCTTCCCAAGGCTCGAGGACCAGCCTCGGCTATCTTTATTTTAATGCCCTTCCTAGGGCCAGGACTTGGGTATCTACATTTTTATTGGTCTTGTTTGCTGAGATTACTGATTCGTCGTTAGTCCGGTAATTGGTTCATTCGTCGTTACTCGCAAGGACTGGCGCTGGACTCAGTGGACGGTCCTTTTCTTCGCTGCTTTCAGTCTTCTGTTGACTCTCGCTGCAAGTGAAACGTTTCATCCTATTCTCAAACGACGTCTAGCAAGGAAACGCGGCCAAGAATTCACACAACAACCACCCCTCGCCACCCGTCTACGCCATTTCGCCGTCGTAGCCCTCGTCCGACCCATTCAAATGTTATTACTGGAACCGATTGTGTCTTTGCTTTGCTTATATGTTGCCTGCGAATTCGGTACTCTATTCAGTTTCTTCGCTGCAGTCCCTTATACATTTGGCGTCGTGTACGGATTCAGCCTAGATGATTCTGGATTAATATTTCTATCGATCATCATCGGCTGTGTACTTGGATTTCTCACGGTTGTCCTATGTGATATTTTCTTTTACAGAAAACAAATTCCTCGATATCCGCCTCATCGCGTTCCTCCCGAATATCGCCTTTTTCCAGCTATGATTGGAAGTATTGGCTTACCCATTGGCTTATTCTGGTTTGGCTGGTCTGCGCGCGAGGGGATATCCTGGGTGGCCCCAGCCGCTGCCATTATTCCTTTTGCATGGGGAAATCTTTGCGTCTTCGTTTCCTCGATGCAGTATATTACAGACACTTATCACGGCAGTGTCGTGGCAAGTGCCGCCAGTGCGAATAGTTTGGCTCGCTACGGATTTGCTGGAATCTTTCCACTATTCACTATTCAAAGTAGGCTCATATATGCTCCATTTTCCGATTATATAGTGGCTAATTAGATATGTCTTCATTAGTGTATGAAAAACTCGGCATAGGGTGGGCTAGTAGTTTGTTAGGATTCATTGCCCTGGCTCTTTTGCCAATTCCTTGGGTGTTCTTCAAGTATGGACCAGATATTAGAGCTAGAAGTCGGTTTGAAATGACGTTGTAATGATTCTATAAGGGTAGGAACCCGGTTCGCACTCTTTGACGATCAGAATAGGGATACTAGAGGTACCTGCATCTTTCACGGGTTATTTTGCAATGCTAAATTTAGATATTGCATTGATTATATAGACGCTAGATAGCTATTATCTTTTTCTTTTTTTCCTCCTTTGTAATTGATATGTGTATTACGACGTAATAATCAAATATCTTTCACCATAATAAAATTTCAGTTATTTTGAGTCAAATTCATGCCGACGGTCACTCGTTTAGTTCGACAAAATGAAACAATAATAAGCTATATGTTCAGTAAGAATTGGTAATCTAGTAAATTGTCTTATCAATATGAAATACAATGCTCTATAATGTTTAGGCTAAAAGATGAACTGAGAAACAGGCCGAGCCTCACACATGTCACTAGGGTCTGATTTGGGCTATGGCGAAGGGTTGGCGAACACTCCTTTGTGATTTAAAGGGAAACTGAATTAAGCTATCACAGTAAATATTATTCTCTGTAGTTATTTAATTGCTTAAATATTTGAATATGAGCGAATTGATAGAGCAATGGATTTGTACAATCTCGACAAAATACCCAGAAGTAATAACGCCAATGCAAAAGCTCCCTAATCTCCAGGCACGACGAGGAGATAATTTTCGCAACCCTCACAAACCCCTATATAAACACCCTTTTTTCCTAGCTAGATGACTATATTACACGGCCACAACCTAATGACTTCTAATATCTCATGTGAGAAACCCTCACAAGGGCTTTAATATCAATGCGCTAGTGAACTGCATTGCCGTATTTCGCCGGGCTTATTGAGACTCATATTAGTCATATTTCTCCATGGATATTGCTAGGTAACTTACGGGTTGGGATATGGGCTATAATCCGAGTTAATATTCTTTCTTCCTTTTCATAATTTTGGGGAAAGTTTGGAGCATAACATACCTATCGCAGTCATTTCTAATGTTCCATCTCCCTCTATTGAGACACCCCTATAAGTTATTTGAGTATGTAGAGACATAATCTGAATGTTTCGATACTTACCTTGACATCTGTGTCATAAAACGCGCGCTTTTCGAGCAGGTTGATCGGGGCGGCAAAGGCGGGGGAGGCTAAGGCCAAAAATGCAAAGGCAGCAACGAAGTACAGGACATGCATGTCGGTTGTATTCCCCTATTTCGAAAGTTTCAATTGGGTTTAGAAGTGCGTTGAGTATCCGCGCAAATGTAATGAAGCAAAAGGACAGTGAAGCATCTAGACAGCTTCAAATCTAAACATCGAAGATTGTTAATATGTTCAAAGGATTGGTTCAACTTCGTCTGTTAGATTATGTGCGACAGTCACATCAAGCTCCATGTGTTGTTTGTTCACAAATGATGCGGTCGCAGATTGTCGCTCAAGAGCGCCTGCTGATGTCTCTCATATGGAGGACCGTGCCACGGCGAAATATTCCAATGGTTTGCCTGATACGGCCACCCGGATTTGGATAAGACCACCCAGTAATCTATTTTTGGTCAAGCGCTGTTATCATTTTTCTTGGTAAATTCTTAGCGTTTTTGTTCAGATTAATCGCTTGATTACCGCTCTCACCTACTTCGTACAAAAAGGTAATTTAACTGCATATTCTAGTTCCAAGTATGAAACTCTAAAAAGCAGACCATTTGATTCAATTATATGTGTAGCGCATAACTGCCAGAAGGGATGCAGAGCGAGTTTTTCAAGACCAACATTCAAATTATATAAGTGACCTTTGGTTGGCCTGAGAGCTTCCAAATGCTTCGCCACGCAACGTTTATACGGCAGGGTTGATTTTTGTAAAGCAAAGCACTCTATATTGGGGCAGAGCGTTTGTAAATAAGCAAAGGCGCTTTATATAGGCAAAAATTCGTCTCAAAAATCTCTTCGATAATGGTTTTTGAAAAAGTTTTATTTGGGGGATGACCAAAAATACTAAGAATTTACTAAGAAAAATGATGACTGCACTTGGCCAGAAACAGATTCGCCGGGTGCGGCTATGCAAATCCGGGTGGTCTTTTGCAATGGACCAGCCCCCGGCTAATTAAATGCAAACTCTATATTTAATCGATATTATTATCATCCGGACTGCTCACGCGTATATGCACCGCTTTCCTTAATGCCCGAAGGCTGCGGAAAAACTTGCGAATTCTAACCGAAAAGGCTGCTGACAAGTTGACAAACTTCAATCTTAATGTTAGCATGCACTATCTGGTGGCTATTTAAACAAAATTTTTAGAAGCAACGACAGTTTTTCTCGGCGCCTTACAACAATTATTATTATGCATGCCTAACCGTCAGGGCTTCAGGCCCCGTATAAAATTACCGTACCCAACCCCAACTATGCACCAATACGAACCAACCCAGCTCGTGTCAATGCCTCGTTGGCATGGGTACAGTCAAATACGCTTAGACCCTTTACGGAGCTCGGCGCCGTCAATAACAAGCTTTTGTTGGGGCCACCGATATCCGGTCACCACGTTGCAAAATCGTTCAATTGGCTTGAAAGTAGCCTCGATCAACTTCCTAAAGACGTCATGGTGCAATACTCTCAGACATTATTGGCATTATGTCCCCACAAATAAAGCGATGCTTAATTCCCCACGAAAAACGTCGCGCACAACTACGATCAGAGCAGTGAGATGCCGATCATATCTGACGCCTTCAACAATGATGACATTTCCCAGTCGCGCCCCATTCCAATACTCTTGCTCTTCCCCCCCTCCCCGGTGACGTGCGAATGAAATACGGGAAAAGCAAGCAAAAGGGTCCAATTCCTGAAGGAAAAGCTGTCATCTGGCCCCACAGCTATGGTTCTGATTGCCGATCGGTTTCAGAGTACGGGACATGAATGGCCAGTTAATAGGATGGATTCAGTAGAAGATCCCCAATAGAAAATGCTGCAGCCTAGGCGCTAGATGTTACAAGTTAAACGCCGCAACTAAGGATTAGAGGCTCGAGGGTGTTCTTGGAGATTTTTTTTAAACAGCAAAAGGCACTCCTTCAGAGGTAAATCCATAGGTAAAAATGGGTAGGAACACACCCACTGCGATGCGCGAATGGCAGACTAATAAGGGCGAATCACATGGCAGCTTCATAGGCGACATGAGCACTTCGTATTCATTTATTATCCAGATTTTACAACAACTCTTGAAGAAACCATGAAGATATTATTGCCTGTAAACTACACGTATGTCGATTATCAAAGAAGGTAAGAACGGAATGCTGTTAAATATCTCTAATGTAGTCCTCAAAAGCACGCGCTGATGGTATGTATGTGTACGTGATTGGCTTGCTCATCATTAGGATGTTAGATGTAACACCGGGGTTAATAAAGATCGCGATAATTTATTCTTCATAGCAAAGCTGTATGACCACGTTATGTCATTAAGAATGTATTCTCAATAAACTCGGGTGTTGCATTCATATATGCAATGTTCTGTTCGACCATCAACAGGCTCTAATTTTTTATACTTATCAATTATTCGCAGCATTGATGAACATCTGCATATGTACATATGTAGTGGATACGACATAATTGTGTAGTAAATAGCAGTCCTGAAAATTGCATAGAAAATTAAAAATATGAAATAAAAGAACCAGTCATTGAATATCGAATTCTATACTCTTTCCTCATACCTTGTTAGTAAGATTATTTTGCCTCGGTAAGCTGTATGGTCCGCCGTAGCACAACCATGCTGACTGTAAACAAAGCCAACTCCGCAATAATTAGGCGTCTAATATCGATTTGTATGAGTCAATAAAATAACGAAAATGGAATCGGAATATAAGTATATATGTCCCAGACCTAGGATATCCAGAGCCTGTGGCAACTGCAAACTTAAAAGAACGCGCTGTTTCCGAGATACGCCGAATCAGCCATGTGAAAGGTGAAGTTGCATAGTTACGATGTCACGCAAGGCGGTCGATTAATGTATACCACAACTAGGTGCCAAAACCTCAAGCTAGAATGCAAGCTTGCTACAATAAGAGCCAAAGATTTAAAGAAAACTAAGCCAGAAGAAACCGATGTTATTTCCGAGCTGTTTCAAACCAAACAACAGTCACCTCCAGCAACGAACCTCATCGAGATTCATCACCAAAGATTCCAAGAAAAGTTTTCTATACCTGGACCAGAGGATGAGGTGTCATTGCCAAGCTGTCTAGACGAATCAGAATCTCGCCCACATATTCTTGACCAAACGAAAGCTGATCAGCTACTAAACAAGTTTCGTGCTAAGAACTCATATTTCCCTTTTGTTACGATACCAGAAAATATTGATTCGGCAGATCATCGCTTTCTTTATCTTGCTGTGCTTACAGCGGCATCTTCGGATGATATGGGTTTACTATGGAGCTTGGATGATAGATTTCGATCTATATTAGCCGAGCGAGTCATCATGTTGGGTGAAAAGAGCCTAGATTATTTGCAAGGACTGCTAGTCTACCTCGCATGGCATTTATCCCCACGAAATCATTATTTGACATTTACTGATTAAAAAGTCAGGTACAACTTACACCTACATCCTAGGGGTATTCAAGTTTATCAATATCTTCACATTGCCATCAGCATGCTGGAGGATTTAGGATATAGCAACAATGAGTTTCTAGGGATGACACCATCTGATATTATCGCCGCTAAAAATGCATGCCTGGGTTGCTATTTTCTGTCATCAGTGTATGCACAAGTTTTTGCTTCTTCCTAAAATTTACGATTCAGTTCCTAACAGCAAAACCAGCTTCACAACGTGCTCGAAGAGATCCAATAACGCTGTTTTTTCCGATCATATGAAAGCTTACCTACTTCAACTACCTGAAAATGGCTGTCCTCAGAGTAGGGCGATATATCTGTCCTTCCAATTTCAGGTGGCAATTGAATCAGCATATAAAAGGGACTGTATAGACACTCACTATTCAGAAATCAAAAATTTTTCGCCAAACGACTCTTTGAATCCTAGTAAGTCATTGGATATATAATAGAACTTTACCCTTTCTAACTACTAGGCTCTCAGCTTCAACCAGCATTGCACGAAAGTTTCTTTCCTTGATGGAAGTAACCGGGCCGTCTCTTCGAGGATTTACCATGCTGCAACCCCAACCCCACAAATTCCAGCCCATTATGGCTAAAGGAAGGGAATTTTTTGACCACTTTACATCAATCCCTATGTCTCACTTCTCCGGATTTACCATGGCAGAATGGAATCGGTTAATCTGCACTATTCACATTCTAATCGAAGCCCTATCCGCTTTTACTGGTACGCCACAGTCTGCCGTCGCGATTCGAGAAGAATCCCAGCGAGCGACTATATACATCGAGTGCCTAGCGAATCGAATGGAAAAGATGTCGCGGTCCGGCCGTAATCCTAATGAATTGCCAGATATGTTTTACATGTTCAAGTCGATATTGGATTTGCTTACTCCTTTACCTTTTGCCGACGAATGTGATAATGGCCAGCAATCTCAGCAAGGTCAATGTCCTTATTTAAGGGGACTTCGGGATACTGACTTCTGGGATGCGTATCAAAGCGGTTTGTCTCTCGTGTCTCCACCTGATGAGCATGATATGGGAATCGACATAGAAACACTGTTCCAGGATAATGACTGCTCAATAGAGCCCCATTCTGACGAGTGTTTGAATGGATCGTTTGATTTCAGTGGCATATGTGACACTCAACTGTGATGCATTCGTTTGATAAACCTATAAAACTATCCTATTGAATACTAGACGTGCAGCAGAAACCGATACAAAGTCTACTGGATATATTTACCATTTATATCTCTAGGAGTCCAATCCAGACTTTCACGCGCAAGTGCCTCCGCCGCCTCTCCCCTTCTACCCTTCACCCAGTGCTCGATCATATCAATCCCCGAAAATGAACTCCCAGCTGTCCAAAACTTCCCATCGACGACCCAATGCGACTTTTCCCATTTTGTTTCCGGGAATTCTGTGGCAACATAGCTCAACACTGTGGAATTCGTCGTGGCGCGCTTATTCTTCAACAAACCGACTTTGGCAGCCACAACGCCACCCGTGCAAGTCGCAAAAAAGTAATCGACTTCCTGAGCCTTTTCAGTCAGAAACTTTGCGTATGACTCTGGGATATCATTCCAGAATTCTGGACCGGGTCCTCCAATTAGTAGACAATCGAGTTTGGGGCATTTGTCGAACGTGGTGCTGGGGTTGAGACTGAGTCCGGACATGATCTGCATAGCATCCATGGTCGGTGCGATATAATGGAATTTAATATCAATAGCTGCAGAAGCTACATCATTTGTTACCCATCCAGCTGCTGCCATCGGGTCCAGTAGGTCTTTGGATCCAGCGTATAAGATATCGATTGGGCCGACGACGTCGAGGGCTTGGAAGTCGTAGAGGACGATGCCGAATTGGATAGGAGCCATGTTGAAAAATGATGGTTTTCTAGTTTGATTATGATGAAATAAAAGTTTTTTATTTTGATTATCGACTGATAGACAAGAATGAAGGGCGGTTTATATAGAGGGTTGATTGAGTACATCGGGTAAACCTTCCCTCCAGATTCGCCCTCGCGTAACATTTCCTTCCTGGCAGGAGTGCAAGTTGGCACTTTTGGAATCCAGCTTTTTATTCACACGACGATACTATATTTTATTGCGTGCTGTCATAAACCATATGGTTTCTACTAAAATTGCTGACATTTATTTACATAAAGAATGACATTTTATATGGATATATGCGTACAAACAAGCTCTGGATTTTAAGGTATATATAGAATAACTTTTTAGAATAACTTTTTAGGGGCTTTTTCAGGGTGTTTGGGTTTAGATTAAGATAGATTAAAATTAGACTTAAAGAGAATTAGGGGACTTTAGAATAACTTTTACAGAAAGTTAAGAATAATTATTAAAAAGGGTTAGTATTGACCTGGGGTGGCCTGGCCCACCCCTCCTATTGACCGTCACGTATGTTGGTTAAATAGCCTCCCTCCGGTGATGGAGTAAGGAATCAGGTTTCTCCTTCTTCAATATATTGGACGGGCTTCAGACTCCGGCGTTTCCCAATTAGGCAGTCGAGCGGCGAGGACTTGCGAATTGTAAGTCTTCGGTCTTCATAGCTAGGCCTCACAGCATTTTTGAAACTCTTAACCATGACTCCTAGGCTGCTTCCTGATCTACTCTCTGATGAAAAGGAGTACCTTATACCATGTTTCAATATACAGTCTACATATACCAGTTGACCCGTCGAGTCCTCCGAGACACCATTTCAACTGTACATCCGTTTCAAGTTTCGGCCCCTACGTGATTAGTAAACAACTTATTATCAAGAAACAACCCGCTGGTTAAACATCTTAGTAAGGCACGTACAGCTAAGACATATATACTCTCAGTCCGACCCTAACCTATCACAAGCCCGCAAATCGTAATTGGTAACAGGCCGAAAGCCTCACCAAATCCCAAAACAGGAAATGGTCTACCAAGGCGTTCGTTTAAAGAAGTGGAGGTCACATAAAGATGTTACACCTTATTTTCAAGGTAGCATTCATACCTCATGCCGATGCTTTTTACGTTAATCTACGTAGTATGCTTATTTCGCTCTGCCTGTTGCTATTGGTTAGGAGCGGACTTTCGATTGTAGGGGTCTGCAATGTAAATACGGGATTTAGAAGCATTGACTGATGAGACTGATTAGATTGGGGTATAAAAGGGCATGGGAATCGCTTGAATTGTTAATATTTTGTGCAGATCAAAGCATTGTATATTCTCCTCAGGAAAACCGAAGACAGAATATTTACCCTCACAATGTTCTTTCAGTCGATTGGTACCGCTGCCCTCGCAGCCTTGACGCTTGCATCTCCAACTCTGTCTACCCAGACGTTCGTCAACACCGGCACGTTATCTGGCTGGTCGACGCAGAACATCGAAGACAAAGGCAGCATCATAAGCGTTACCAATGTCGTCTACAACGGCACCTCGGCGCTGAAAATGACGCAGGTCTACGATTCGTCCTGGACCGGCCGCTTCCACTCAGAAAAGATAAAGACGCAAGTATACAAGTTAGGCGATGAAGGATTCTACGGATTCGCGTTCCGACTGCAGGAAAACTGGCAATCGACGCCTGCACAGTCGTTCAACATTGGACAGTTCATTGCCGACTTCACAAATACCGGCTGCGACGATTGGATGCCGTCGAGTATGGTCTGGGTGATCGGGGACCAGCTGGCCACGCGCGTCAAGTACGGTAGTATCTGCAACCAGCAGCTCAAGGAGTGGAAGAACTTAAAGACCGTGACGCCGGGCGAGTGGCATACGATCGTCATCAATGCAAATTGGCAGAGCGATAACACAGGGTACTACCATATGTGGTATGATGGGGAGAAAGTGGTTAATGCGACCAATCTCCCCACGATGATTGACGATAGTCGCGCGTTTGACTTCCATGTCGGTATTTACGCAAATGGGTGGCATGATGACAAGGGAATGAAAGGCACCCAGAGCACCAGGGAGATCTGGATTGATAGTGTTGGTATTGGCACCACCTTTGCGGATGCCGATCCTACGCGTATCCAGGGTTGATGAGGGGTAAGAGAAGGATAGAAAAATATCGAATAAATTAAGGTTCAAACTGTCAGCGCCAGCGACTGTGAAATTGTGCGACCTTTTTCTATTTGTTCTAGGCTTTGTGATGTGGGAAATTTCTTCTTTTTCCTATACGGGATATTCGTCCGCTGTTGCATTATTGATGTGGCAGAAGGATCGGGGTGAGATTTGATGGCCTGGCATGCCCAACGTTTATTGAAAGATTCGGATTTTTGAAATAAATTTCAACATCCCAAAATCCATATGAATGTAAATTTTGCAAATATTTTTTTAAAGTTCTATGACGACCGAATAGCGGTGTCGTAATTTTGTGTTGTTGAGTTGTAGCCTTCGAGGTTGTTGGGAATACTCACCAATACCCCAGTGGGCACTGCACCGAAATTGAAAAAAAGAGAGAAGAAAATATCAACAAAGAAAACGAGCTCCTCGAATAAACACAAACAATAACATCCAGTTTACCGCATCGAGTAAATTCTCCTATGATCAACAAAACCGCAACAGGCCAGAGGGCCGAGCTAAGCGCTAAGGCCGGTTGGGGAATAAACCAATCGGAGCCGCTGCCTGAACAGAGAAGAGAAACCGAAGACTAAACTGTATGCGAACCGTGTGGCCGGCGTTCCCCTCTTTTGCTTTACCATGCTCGGTCGTAGGTCCTGATGGATAGATTATGGTAGACTCGACGAGTAATACGGGGAACGCAGGTGGCTAGCTGATGGATCGTGGGAGGTGTATAATTTGTGGGTCTGGCTGGATTCGTACCAACTCCCCGTTGACCCCAATCTTATATAAAATGAATACCCGAAAATGTGTCATCCACTGCTTTAACTTTTAATACGGATGTGTGGCCTGGTTGTAGATGAGAAGAAGAATAGGAAGAAACGAACTAATCATGATGGATCCTTCTCAACATCCCATCATTTCTCTGCTGATTTTAAGCGTCATCTTTCTTATCGTCAAGAACGTGTATAATTCTTTGCGCTCACACTTGCGAGCCAGAGCTCTCGGATGCCAACCTGGCGTGTATGGTCCATCAGGTCCCTTTGGGTTAGGATTTTTCATGAAAATCGCCAAAGCCGCGAAAGAAGGAAACAGGATTCACCTGCACGACGACCTATACAAGATCCACGGCAACACTTTCAAGCAAAGAATCCCCGGCAATGAGATTCTCTTCACTATCGAACCCGCAAATGCCAAAGCCATTCTAACAGCTCAGTTCGAGGACTTTGGCCTCGGCCACCGGGCAAAGACGTTTTGGCCATTACTCGGTGACGGGATTTTCAATGCAGATGGCCATAAATGGGCACACGCGAGAACCTTGTTGCGGCCCCAGTTTACGAAAGACCAGGTTAGTGTTGTTGGCAATTTCCTTCTTCGCCTCGAAGTTAATATCGAATTACAATTCGCAGGTTGCCGACTTACAGCTCATGGACGAGCATATTAAGACCTTTATCGAAGCTATTCCGAAAGACAAGTCGATCTTTGATATCCAACCGTTGTTTTTCGCCTTCACAAATAGCTCATCCACCCATTTCTTATTTGGCGAATCCCTCGCTGGGCCAAAATCCTCGTCTGGCAGTGGCGCCGCAGAATTCGGCCGTGCATTTGACAAATCCCTTGAATGGGTTAGTCGACGCCTCAGTGCACAAAAACTAAGCTTCCTCGTCGATGGAAATAAGGAGTATACATCTGCATGCAAATTTGTGCACGACATCGCCGACCACTATGTTCGGTTAGCTTTGAATGCACGAACGGAGTCGAGAAAGTCCAGCCGATACATTTTCCTGCAGGCTCTGGCCGATGATACACAGGACCCGAAGGTGCTGAGAGACAACATTTTGAATCTGCTGATTGCCGGTCGTGACACCACGGCGAGCTTGCTCAGTTCCGTCCTCTTTTACCTATCCCACTCTCCGAGCGTATGGAAGCGACTGCGCCAGGAATTAATTGACGAATTCGGCGATCTCACACATCCAACTGGTGAAATTACACACGCAAAGATCAAAAACTTGCGATATCTGCGATATGTCTTGAATGAGAGTAAGCCTGACGAAACATCTTACCCTGTCTCCGACTCCCGCTAACAACAGTTCTAGCACTTCGGTTGCTTCCACCTGTCCCTATTAATAGTCGCATGGCGCTCAAAGACACGTCACTACCATTGGGTGGCGGGCCTGACGGGAAGTCTCCGGTCTTTGTCAAGAAAGGCACTATCATCCCATTCAGTCTCTATACGATGCACCGCCGGAAAGATATATGGGGCCCAGACGCCGAGCATTTCCAGCCTGAGCGATGGGAAAAGGACGGTTTAGTGCGCACATGGGAGTATATCCCGTTCAATGGCGGGCCGCGCATTTGTCTTGGTCGTGAGTACCCTTAAATTGCGTGCATTCAAGATGAAGGGCTAACATGGGATGATTAGAACAATACGCTCTTATTGAAGCCAGTTATATGCTTATACGCCTGGTACAGAATTTCGACCAGCTTGAGAACGATGGTGGCAGTCCAATGCCTAATGCTAAGGTCGACTTGACATTGACGCATCGCAACGGTGTGAATGTGCGGCTGTATAAAAGCAGCTCGTGATTGGCAGTTGGGGAGCGATTGTAATGACTCATGATGACTAGCTACATCGATTTATAGATATGATAACAGGAAAAGAGAATAAAAGACAAAGCCCTGGTCTGGCATAAAGCAGTAGGAGAAGCCGTAGGTGGAAGGAGTGTTGATTAAAAGGTAGCTGCAGGTCTCCACCCATATGCCCCGATGCGGCCTAGTGCCGTGCAGCTCTCCCGTGATTTTTTCGAAGCTCTTGCTACTTTTTCTTTCTGTTCAATAATCATTGACAGGCACTGCGCAACCCGACGGCACAAGGCCGTCGTAGCAAGGCCCCGAGATGGGGAGACATGAAAATCTTGTAGCGGAAATCTCGCGGGTGGTGTCGCAGTACTACAAGACCAAGCAGCCATACCGCATCTTCCATGGCTCGACGAACAGTACTCGGCCGCGCCCCGATGGCCGGAATCAAAAGTTCGTCGACATCAGCGGGCTCAACCATATTCTGCGTATCGAAAAGAAGCCGAAAAAGGCTGCCGTCGAGCCCAATGTGCCCATGGACAAGCTTGTTGAGGCGTCCCTCGCAGAAGGGCTCGTGCCGCCTGTAGTCATGGAGTTTCCGGGCATCACTGCTGGAGGAGGGTATTCGGGAACGTCAGGCGAAAGTTCAAGTTTCAGACACGGCTTCTTCGATCGGACTGTTACTTTTGTGGAAATGGTCTTAGCCAATGGTGATGTGGTTAAACTAAGCACCAAAAAGAGAACGAATCAACTCAGAGACGCTGCTGGTACGGTGGGGAGCTTGGGGATTACGACATTGATTGAATTGGATCTAATTGAAGCCAAAAAATTCGTCAAAGTTACCTATGAGAGGAAAAACAGCGTTGCCGATGCTGTCGCGGCTTTGGAAAAGGAATCGGCTGATCCTGACAATGCGAAGTTTGATTATATCGACGGCATCCAATTCTCACCCGACCACGGTGTTGTCATCAAGGGTGAGATGACAAATGAGAGGCCCACCGACGCGAAAGTACAGACATTCAGCAACCCATGGGATCCTTGGTTCTATCTTCATGCGCAGAAGATGACAAAGTCGCAGAATGTTGCCACCGAGTATGTTCCTCTCGCGGAGTATCTATTCCGGTATGATCGAGGTGGCTTTTGGGTGGGCGAGTCAGCATTCAAATACTTCAAATTCCCTTTCAATAGGTTAACGCGCTGGTTTCTCGACGATTTCTTGCATACACGCATGCTTTACAAGGCACTGCATGCAAGCGGCGAGTCGAGTCGGTATGTAGTGCAGGATCTGGCACTGCCATACGAGAACGCGGAAAAATTCATTGACTACACTACGGAAAAATTAAATATCTGGCCACTATGGTACTGCCCGCTGAAGCAATCGCCAATACCGACCATGCATCCACACAACACGCGGACCCGATTCCCTGGACGAATGCTGAATATCGGGCTATGGGGCTTTGGGCCATCCGAGCCGAAGGAATTCGTAGCAAAGAACAGAGATCTCGAGCACAAGCTGCGCGAACTCGGCGGCATGAAATGGCTCTACGCACATACCTACGCGCCAGAGGAAGAATTCTGGAAAGATTTCGACCGGCTGTGGTACAACGAGATGCGAGAATTGTTCTCAGCTACGACTCTGCCAAGTGTTTGGCACAAAGTCAAAGTAACGCCTCCCGGCGAGGCCAAATCGTGGAGCCAGAAGATTACTTCGATGCGTCCTCTGGGAGGGCTGTGGGGGATATGGAAGGCCATCGAGTCCAAGGAATACTTGAAGCACCGCAACGCGACATGGCGGACGCGACGATAAACCAGCCCAACTGTGTACTTATACTGCATACATATAGACATTTTCTTCATGTAAGAATAGAAGCAATGGCATACGCACTACTATCAAAGTAGGATTCCCGGTGAAAAAAATATTCCTCCCTTTACGCTAGGACTGGGCATCGGGAGCCCCGCTAGCATCTTCCCCCCCGAGTCCCCCGAGCATGCCCCGCATCACTGCCCGCAATATGTAATGTTGCATTCGATTTAAACTTATAGTTGATACCATGTCCAACCTTCCTTTTTCTTTTTATCTTCCTTTTCTACCAGGAAGTATTGTCAGGACTAGACGGCCAGTCGCGCTTGCTATTCGCAATGGTTGAGAGCGTTCTAGACGATATTTCGCACCGGAGGTACAATCCTTTGCGGGGATCCTATGTTCTGGTGTCTCCCCACCGGACGAAACGACCATGGCAGTACGTTTGTCTCTAGACGCGCAAATTGGATGTATAATGCTAACAATATTCAGAGGACAGCAGGAATCGCCTTCCAAAACGACCCTGCCCGCCTACGACCCCGCTTGCTATCTCTGCCCTGGTAACACGCGCGCGCAGGGAGACGCCAACCCCGCCTACAAAAACACTTTCGTTTTCGTCAACGACTACAGCGCCGTCAAGGAGGAGCAGGCTGAATACCACCCTGAAGGAAACGGTATGATCTCGTCCCTCCATTGATACTCACGTACAAGGAAGTAACATGGCATTATCCTAGAAGCCGAGTCTTTTTTCCTCAATGCCGAACCAGTTGTTGGAAAATGCTACGTATTGACCTTCTCTGCTGCGCACAACCTGACTCTGGCCGATCTATCGCCAGCCGAGATTGTACCGGTGATCAATGCCTGGATCGAGATTTACAGCTCGCACTTGTCGCCCCAGAACCCTCTTGCGACGGTTGCGCCAGTGACGCATCTCCCGCCCGATGCACCCACCGCGTCCCTTACGAAGCCGAAAATGCAGTATAGGTATATGCAGATCTTTGAAAACAAGGGCGCAGCAATGGGCTGCTCAAACCCGCATCCGCACGGCCAAGTCTGGACGACGAGCAGTCTCCCCGAAGAACCGGCGATAGAACTCGAGCAGCTGAAAAAGTATCGCGTCAAGCACAGTGGAAAGCACTTGCTTGGCGACTACGTTGCGCTCGAGCTGCAAAAGAAAGAGCGCGTCGTGTTCGAGAATGACGGGTTCGTGGTGCTCTGCCCATGGTGGGCGACATGGCCGTTCGAGACGATGATAATCAGCAAAACGCACAAGCGTGCGCTGGTCGATTTGAACGACAACGAAAAAGCCCAGCTTGCAGAAGCCATTGCGGAGATCACGCGGCGATATGATAATCTATTCGAAACGCATTTCCCTTACAGCATGGGCATTCATCAGGCGCCACTCGAGGGTACAGAGGAGGAAATCGAGTCGTCATGGTTGCATCTGCACTTTTATCCGCCGTTACTGCGGAGTGCAACTGTGCGGAAGTTCTTGGTTGGGTGAGTTTTCTTTCTATGCTTTCATTTATGCGACAATGCTGATTGTGGTAGATATGAAATGATGGCCGAGCCCCAGCGTGACATTACCCCGGAACAGGCCACGACCAGACTGAGGAGCTGCGGCGGTGAGCTGTACAGAAGAAAATTGGAGTAAATAGGAAGATATAGCTGTGATAATTTATGAATCGTTCAGTTGAGGGGTGGTATATAATTAGAATACTACCCATCCTTCCTTCCCACCTTTCTATAGCATATGATTAGACAGACAGTCATCCCAAATACGCCGCCCGCTGGCTTGCCATCCACACCAGCGCACTCGACGCAAAAATCAACGGCATGACAAACCGTCCTCTGACCTGCGCGGTGCCATAAATCGCCCACTCCGAGACAAAATGCGCGAGCGCAATGCCATACGTCCAGGTCGCGAGGTCATACGCGACCGAATTGTGAATGTTGTAGGCTGCATAGGCTCGGATGACCGACGACAACAAGGTCCAAGTCCCAAAAGTGCGAGAGGCGAGCGGCGTTGACGGCGACTGGTTGTTGGTACTGCTGGAGCCGATGAAGAGATGGGCGTGGTATTCAGTGGAGAGGTATGACTGTACGGAGTTTGCAGTTGAGATTACTGAGACCTGCAGAAATTGATCTCATGTTAGTATATGGATGTGAACAGGTAGGGGGTGGGATTTGTTTACTAGTAGCAGCCATGGTGGGAGCCAGCCTTGGTTGGTGGGTGGTAGGAGGGACTGGGGGATAATTGACGTCATTGCCAATACTGAAATACAGCAGTATTTATTCCAGTCTCGTGTTTTCAAGAAGACATAGCAGCAAGAGGATTAAGAGCAATTGTCACAGGTATCACAGGACTAGCAAGTTGAGAGTGGTGATCGACCCAGCCGCCGAGCCAATCAGAAGCTGCACGGGAGCTCAACAACTTTTTGGCTCTTACCGGGCGCGCCGAGGGAGAAGGTAGACTGTCTCCTGCGCACTCTTCTGGTTGTTAATTATTAATATCACGAGCTGCCTCCTTGCATCCTAGTCCATTGGACTGGTCCGATCCGATTCTGTCAAGTTCTAGTGCCTGTCAAGCCCTGTAGGATAGTCTTCTCGCCATTTAAAGAGTCGCACGCCCCTGGTCCTGTTTCAGCCGACTTCTCCCCAACAACCCGCCAACATGGAGTACTTACAGAAATACCAGAACAATCTGTCCAATTTCCGCGCTGCCGACATGTCGCAGACGCAGACTGCGATAGTTTTCGGTTTGGGAGCCATCGGCATTGCTTTCATCCTCTCTCAGACCTTCACTCTTCTCCGGGTGATCTTCAGTTTGTTCGTGCTTCCGGGCAGATCGGTACGTACAACAATCCCCGGTTGTATCAACCAAACAATTCTAACAGTCGCTATAGTTGAAAAGCTTCGGCCCCAAAGGCAGCTGGGCAGTCATCACCGGCGCCTCCGATGGCCTAGGCAAGGAATTTGCCTACCAAATCGCCCGTGCTGGGTTCAACCTCGTCCTTGTCTCACGCACCGAATCGAAACTCATCACCCTCGCCGAGGAAATCACCGCCAAAAACCCCTCCGTACAAACCAAAATCCTTGCGATGGACTTTGCACAAAACAGCAATGCAGACTACGAACGCCTCAAGGCTCTCCTGCTCGGTCTCGATGTGTCGATTCTGGTAAACAACGTCGGCAAGAGCCACAGCATCCCGGTCACCTTCAACGAAACTCCCGAGGATGAGATCGCCGACATCATCAACATCAACTGCCACGGCACGCTGCGCATCACCCAGCTCATCACACCAGGCATGATCGAGCGCAAGCGCGGCTTGATTCTCACCATGGGCTCGTTCGGCGGGCTTGTGCCTACGCCTCTGCTGGCGACGTACTCCGGCAGCAAGGCTTTCCTTCAATACTGGTCGTCTGCGCTTGGCGCCGAACTCGAGCCTTACGGTATCACCGTGCAGCTCCTCCAGGCCCATCTCATCACATCCGCCATGTCAAAGATCCGCAAACCCACCTTCACGGTCCCAACGCCGAAGGTGTGGGTATCGACTGCTCTCCGCAAGATTGGTCGAAATGGCGGTTCTCCGTATTACTCATATACCTCCTCCCCGTATTTCAGCCACGGCATCATGGCGTGGTTTATCACCTGTGTGATGGGGGTTTTCAGTAAGCGGGTTGCTAGTATTAATAAGGGAATGCACGAGTCGATTCGAAAGAGGGCTTTGAGGAAGGCAGAGCGGGAGAAGGGAAAGAAAGCTCTTTGAGTGGGTGGATAATGATCACCAATGTTCAGAGAGTTGAAAGAGACGGGTTGGATGGTTATGACAGTCTTGGGCAAGAAAATTGACGAAGTATATGCCATGGCGTGCATGAGCAAAGGTGCTGTTTCGTACATTATTGTAATGGGTTATTCTTATGCTTATTAATACAAAGTATACGCCTTAGAAATCTAGGGCGTGGATGTTTAACAGGCTTATCAAAGTCTTGATTTCGTGGATCTGAATGTTTAGCATTCGATATTTACCTATCCACGTCATGCAGTATCTCATAAATCTATAATAATACAGGTATGCAGGTAACTTTGTTACTCTCTTTCAACACATGATCTATACAGCAAGCAGCTTCCTACTCCTCAGCAGGTGCAACAGCGTCGCTGTCCACCTGCTGCTGCTGCTGCTCCTGAACCCGAGGCTCCTCCCCAGCAGCTCTACGAATATGTGCAGGCGCAACCCAGCTCGAGCTCTTCCACGGCTTCACACGACCAACATACATCGTATCAACCTCCTCGAGCGTCCGGCCCTGCGTCTCACACACAAAGAAATACACAATCACGGCCGCAGCAAACGAGCAGGCGGCAAAAACATATCCATACTGGAAATCAATAGCGCCCGAGATGAACGGCGTGAAGAATGAAATCAGGAAATTCCACGTCCAATTCGACGCCGTCGCGATGCCCATGCATGTTGCGCGGTACCGCGCTGGGTACAGTTCGCCCACAATTGCCCAGACAATCGGGCCCCAGGTGGTCGCGAACCCGACGATGAAGAAGCATGTAAACACAATTAGGGTAGTTCCGGCTTTCGGAGTGGCAGGCGGATTCTCGCGGTTCAGCGAGTAGTGGCCCACGGTAGCGAAGATCATGAAGCAGATGAACATCCATATGGCGCCACCAATTAGGGACTTGCGCCGTCCAAAGTGCTCGACGATGTACAGGCCGATGATGGTCACGCCGAAATTGACACCAGTCAGGATCATCTGTGTGACGTAGCTGTTGTTCAGGCCCGTGGACGTGAAGATGGTGTTTCCGTAGTAGAAAATGAAGTTTGCGCCGGTGAGTTGTTGGAGTGATTGCAGGGCGATGCCGAGCATAGTGCGGTAGAACATGCGAGGGCCTGTGAAGATTTCAAAGACGCCGGCTTTGCCAGCGGCTTTCTCTTCGTCGAGTTTGTCCTTCATATCGGCGATTTCCTCGGCGACGAGACGGTGGTTTTCAGGGACACCGTAGAGCTTTGTCATAGTACGACGAGCCTCGTCGATGCGGCCGAGACGATATGCGTAGCGTGGGGATTCGGGGAGGAACATGATGCCAATACCGAGGATGAGAGGCCATGCGAAACCGATGCCCATGGTGATACGCCAGGCGGCGGTAGATTGTATGCTCTCGGTACCATAATTGATGCAGGCGGCGATGAAGATGCCCAAAGCGACGAAGAGTTGGAAAGCGCTGACCATGGCGCCGCGGACATGGCGCGGGGCGGATTCGCTTTGATACATGGGGACAACGCTGGACAGAGCGCCGACGCCCAGGCCAGCGACAAGACGGCCGATAGCGATTTGGTACCATTTCGAATCAGTGGTGATTTGGACGATTATACCGACGACGTGGATGATACACCAGAAAGAAATGGATAGTTTGCGGCCGAAGCGGTCGGCAATGGAGCTAGCAGCGAGGGCACCGATCATGGTTCCAATAGACATCTTTTGTCTCGTTAGTTAGTCAGAGATTGATTGGGTTGGTTGGGTTCTGGCCTACCAATCCGACAATCAAGCCAGAGCGGACGTTGGTGAAGTAGTAGCCAGCGTCATTGTGCTGAGCAAAACGCATTTTGAAATCGTTCATGGTCTCGAATCCGGAGATTTGCCCTGAATGTAGGTTAGAATGGTATTTCTAAAGAGAAAGGTAGTTATGGCTATACGAACCAGTAGAGTAACCAAAGATAAAACCGCCCATGGAGGCAAGAACACCGAGAATTAAAGACCGCCAGGTGAGGTACGGCACCTTGCTGTCGTCATACTGGGCATTCTTCTCTGTTATCGACGCTGACCCGGACGTCGTAGCTGACGGGTAGGTAGTCTCTGTGTGTTCAGCCTGCTCATTCTGCTCAGCTTTAGGCTTGAACTTGTTCAAGATCTGAGAAACAGCCATGTTGTCGTGTTGATATCGACGATCTACAAGGCTTGAGAGAATGGAGGGAAGGAGCGTATGGTCAAGGGAAGGAAAAGAAATAAAATATGGCAGCTGCCCCAGAGTCTTTAAAGTAAATGGGGTCAAGGTACATTCGCAGTAATCAGGTGGTGTGGGCAGGCAAAACGAGGGTCCCGAATATCACTAGCACAATTCGGAGACTACATAAATTTTCTCCGATCATGGGGTTTCACTCTGAACCTGATGATGATTGAAGAGAATTATGGAGCAAGAAAGACTCCAAATATCTGTACACAGTATGGCTGACGGGGCAAACCAAACGGTAGCTTGCTGCTTCCTCTCCGGCCTTGCGTCGATGATCCCAATGTGGGTCTCGCATAGTTCGGCCAGGTGGGCGGCAGTATTGGTATTACTGTGATTCTTTATGGTCATGTATTTACGATATCTACGATATTTGGACGAAAAAAAGTCATTGCTATGTATCTTTCCCCAGAGGACACTCTGGCGGAAGCATATTTTCACACTGTATTTGCTTATGACAAAGATTGAGCTCTGCATTTTGGTGATGTTGACTAGAAGAGACTATCGTGCGGATCTCAATTGGTATAGATGATGCATAGACCTAAAACTGCTTTTTTGAAGGTGTTGAGGCCAATTCTTTTAACCCTAGAAATGAAATGTGAAATCAGCATGTTCGAAAACACCATATCGATCAAGTTCTCTAAATGACGTCAGGTTTAATCTTGATGAACATGAAATTAATGATCACTTTCTTCCAAAATGCTGAATCAAGACAGAATATCATATGCTCCATCTCCTTATAATTCCAAAACAGCTTTGTTGTGATAACTTAAAGATAAGTGTAAACGGTAACTTCGAAAATACCGCCGGCAATAAGCGGATCATCATACAGGTTATTAAAAGTGGATTTTTTTTAGCATCTAGAAGACCCATCCCTGCCTAGGTGGAAGGAACAAATAGCTTGTCTACCGCCATTTACGACCCTTTTAAAGTCTTTTCCTGAAAATAAAAGAAAAATTCTTGAAGCCTCTCATCTCTAACATCAACCTTCAAGTCAATTAGAGAGAACAAAGAAAAAAGAAGATGAATCAATCATGTTTTGGTCAAATTCTACATGACCCACAGGGCGAGCGCATCATCCGATACCCAGCGACCCACCGAGCCCAGGCCGTACCCACCTGCGGTGAAGCTGTTGTGGCAAGGCTGTACTTGAATCAGCATAAAATTTCTTCCGTGCACTTTAATTCGTTGGTAATTTGAACTAGATTCAAAAACCTCCTATGCATCCATCACAAGTTTACCACCGAATTTTTGACGGGGGGCAAATATATATAGTTTCATTGCCAGGTGTTCGGAACCTCAAATGTGGCATGTCCCTTCCAACGGATGGGAGATTCCAAGAATTTCTCATCTCCATGACAGCTAGGCATATCTCTACACATTCTACGCATAGCAAAACAGACATTCATTCCCTCATTCATTAAACCCGCTGTTCGGTGTACACTAAAAAAATCAGCAACCGACCCAGAGTCAATCAGTGGAGTCTTGTCTCATTCTAGAAAAGTCTTAACCACAATCCGACTATTCCATCTGTTTCTCGCCCAACTTCCGTAGCGAAATCGGTCCGTTTTTATGTCTAGTCGAGTGATTCGTATATTCTCCTTCGTGTTTCGAGGACCCACTCGGCATCGGGAAGGCCTTCGGGATCGGTCGGCCACAAAATGTTGAGCCCTTTCGGTGTACCGGTTCGGCATCGTGGCATAACATCGAATACGCTAGGTATGCCTTGGTATTTTTTTTCAGAGATATTATTATAGTTTCACGGTATGTTTCAATATTGGACTGGGAAGCTCTCTATACTCTATATTAATCGGTTCTATGTTGCATTCGTCCCCATTCGTTTGTTTCCATAGCTTAATTTCTTCTTAAATCCTATCTAATAATGATCGAAACGAAGATATTGTATCTGGTTAGATAAATTGTATTATGATTAGACCGGTAAAATGCTAGTCATGGATCATGATAATAATCGCTGATACGAGTTGTATTGTTGAATGACTATGGTCGCCCGGTAAACTGATGTGGTTGGGGACACAGTTAGCTAAGGCCCACTGACACAAATCATTAGTTACTTGATGTATCCTGTCTAGTCTGATTAGCGCGATACAAATCACCTGAATGCAATACCATAATTCATATTCCCCAAGCGTTTAATATAAAATGACTTCAGTCCACGTGACGGGGCCCGAGAGCCCTATCGACCTAAGTTCGTGAAAACGTCTTATGATTCAATAGCCTGTCATGGCTAGCGTAGAAATGTTTGTCGTTTTTGCTCTGGAGGCCCATCCCTTACAGTACTTAGTAGTGGCATGCTCGTATTTCAGCTCATCTAATGCCATACATTGTATGGCAAGCAAAATTCCTTGGGACTCATGAGATCCCATCTATACCTTAGATCAGAAGATCCTAACTGTATCTACTTCACACAGGTAACCGTTTCACAGCCGCATGGAAACGAATACAATATGTCACATTGTATAGAGATATCGAGTGCGGCTGATGCTATAACTAGTGATTGTAATATGATATGTGAACTTACAGATTCAAGGATAGGCTTTTAATGACGCAAACTGTCTAGCTGGAAATTCGTCTCTCGTTATATAGGAATAGTCATTATTTCAAGGTTACATATAAGCGGTTGACCTATGCAAAATAAGGCTGCTAAATTCGCGAATATTCTCCGTTAAGCCACAGCTACCATCAATAGCTCAAGATAAACCCAGCCAAGCCACGTAGGTCACCACTTTTTATCTTTAGTCCGCGATTGGTCATTTGTGAATAATTTCCGAGAATTAGCTCGGTGACAACGTGCTACGTGAATACCAATGATGGGCCCTGATACATCGAATGATCTTTATCGCTAAACGATCGCTATGTTTCTTCCCTGACAAGGATAGTATCACTGATCATCCCTGTAGAATTAATTTGCCACGCAGTGTAGTTGGGTGTCACTGAAGATGGCTGCACATGGCGAGACGGGATTGGTGGATGGGTGATGATTAGGGCTATCTTAAGACGCTCTGCTAAGACTATGACGCAATGCATCTTACTGAGGTTTTAACTCAGAGCCGCTCGATCCAAGCGCAATTTCTGTATAGATATTTTTCTAGGGAAAATTTTAATATTAATATCTTACTCTATCAATATGTGTAGACCTAATTGCAGAAAAAAAGGATGTTGTATGGTCTATATAGAATTATGGCAGTGTCAGAAGCCTCATCGTAAACTGCAACATGCAATGATGCTGCTTGCACAACCAGCCAGTTAAATAAAACGATGTCATGTTTTTACTAGTCTATATTAACCCTTTAATATTATATTGTCTTCTGCCAGGACTTTGTAGAGACTAATGAAAGCTTGGTGTGGCTTCACCATTGATCGACAGCCGGCTTGACGTCAGGTCTGTGCTTTGTACGTCATGTATCTACGGTGATCCTCCATACTGACCCCAGAGATGAGAATGCGACCTTGAAGGAAATATGAATGATATAAGCCCGCAGAAGTCTCCTGAGCATATTTATTGTATCCAATATTTTCTATTTTGTTGTTTAATAGTAACAACACCTACCTGATCCATACACTTCCCAGAAAAGGAGAGGAAAAAGCTTACTCCCTGTCAGAGATATCAATTGCAGAAAACAATTAAAATGGGTCTCTTCGGACGTCAATCCACCGAATCGGCTGCCACAGCCTCTTCTTCCGTTTCCTCCATGTCTCCCCGTCGGTCTCACCAGGACACCTCCCCGGATTCGCATCGCGGGAGATTCTTCAACTCAAGACGCAACGAATCCCCCGCTACGACAGCATCTATATCTAATGGTAGTATGAAACACAGTAATAGTGTCTTACATCGCAGCGGCTTTCACCGCGAGGATCCCACTATTGCCGCTGCCCGGGAACAAGTCAATCTCGCTGAGGGCGCTGAGCGAGCGGCCGATAAAGCCCTTGTGGCAGCGAGACAGGCTGTCAAAGATGCTAGAGAGCACGTAAAGAGGCTAGAGAAAGAGGCTGCTGAGGAAGCAAGGCTTGCTAAAATCAAACAAGATCAGGCTGCTAGCATCTCAAAGAGGGCCAAGCCGTTAGGTCGTATGTTATCCATTCCTTGGTATGAATAATTCTAGATTGCGGTGCTGACACTATATTTTACTACTAGGTCATGGTTAACCGGCTTTATGAGTACTTTAAGTTATTACCTCATAGCGTACCCTCTCAGCCCGTCTTGATATTACGTGATATGAAGTGTTTTCTGTTTGAATAATGCTGTTTGGTATCGAGAAGTGAGCTCTTTACTATGTTGTAATGCAATCCACGCAATGTTTTGCACGGGTATGCAAGTCACCTGATACCCTTAGGAGCCTGTTTGTTTCCTTATATGCACTTTCAATGATGTGAGCGATGTATCTAGTGTACTATATGCTTAATGACCATGATATTTTCGGAAATATTCGACTCTGTTGTAAACTATCAATTGATCTCTAAGAAATCACTGAGCCTTCCAATCATCACCGAAATATGATACCGCGACCCGGTATAATTAAGCCGTCAGAATGTATTCGGCTGTCAATGTATCTCCCTCTCGTCAAGCAAGACACATCACAGAATTCTCTGCACGTCACGGCTCTCCACAAAAACGCCATTCTCAAAAGTCATCATATCAACACCTTCTTTCTCTTTCCCATCTGGAAATCCTGTTATCCTGGAGTACAGCCAAACCCTCCCATTTCCCCTCTCAGCATCGTCGACTTCCGCAATCGCGTCCACTATCTCCATATGCAGGTCCGGTACGGCAGTGAGGAATTTGCTCCATAGATTGAGAAAGGCGTCGCGGCCACCTCCGTCGCCAAATGGTTTGGAGTCATGGTAAATTCGAAAGTCAGGAGATAGGTATTTCTGCACGATCGGGAGGTCCACGAGGGATTCTGGGCGTGGTTTGTTGGTTATGGATGGGTATATCGACTTGGCGATTTCTTTCAAAGAGGTGGTTGTGAGAGGGGTGGCCATTTTGACTGATTTGTTTATTTGTTAATTTTGGAAGGAATATAGTCAATAGTACTTGAAGCAATATTATGGAAGGATTGATATTCGCCTTATTGATAGACCTGGACTCGGATTCTCAACGGATCGCAAACATTCATGCTCTATTTATACTTCTAAATTACCGACAGAACATTAAATTCCACCATCTTCCTTCTTAGTTTTGAAGACGATTTGTCAGCTTCAAAACCATGTCTGCATATTTTTGCTTCGCTCGTGCTTCGATTGCCGAACTAACATGTTATAGCGTTCGAACCGGCGATTGCAAGTGGGGTGTAATTCCAAGTCTAGGATTTTATACTTGATATGTGATCAATGTAAAGGATATTATGCATAATATCAATAAAAAACCCAATCAACATCTCTATTGAAGGTTATGAGCAAGCTTGACCAATTGCTGACCGCGCAACAGATTTCCGTTTGGGGACTTAGCTTGCTATATTTGTACTAGTGCAGTCCCATATACCCATATATCTCTATTAAACCCCCACAGCCTTGCAATAGCAGACAATTGAACTAATAATTTTTTCTTAATAATCCATTGTGAGATCGGTATATTAAGCTCCGGAGTGCCGACTTGCTGGTGAGCCGCGCAACAGGTTTCCTAGCAGTAGGGAAGCAAAACGCGTTTTGCCTTTTCAGAACAACCCCTCAACATAGCTTCTTGAACTGTTGTAAGTTAAATTGTGCTATTTTTCTCATTAATGGTTAAAGAATATGCCCTCCATTATCTGAACTGTCTTATGAAACTTGCATATATTCTCCCTCGTCACAGCCAGTAAGAATAGTATTAAGTCTGTAGAAAACCGAACTCATATGGGCATATAACTTAATATAGAACAATTCTGGGAAATCAAAATTTTGTTAAACTGTTTCTGAGGCTTCAGTTTACCGTAGTCAACCCAACTTTCAAGAGTATACACACCTACACAACAGCACCTCTTTCACTACGTGACACATGTGTATATTTGAAATTGATCTCGAAGCAAAGTCTCTGAATGGTTGTAATAGCTGTATGTCAGCTGCTCTACCAATTGTGAGCCCCAGTTTGTAAAGGTGGACTAGATCAAGGTAGTATTTTAACCTTCTCCGTTAATATAACATTGATGACAGACTTTAGATGGGACATGTAGTCTAGTTCCTCAATATCTTACAACATAACGCTATTTATTGTCTCATTTGCTTGTATGTTGTGTCACACGCGTCCTACACGGCGATAATACAGTATTTATGTGATAATTCGTCAATAGAGGCTATGAGTGAGTTCAAATACGCTTCTCTAGTAGATTCCCTCTCCGTTGCTAGTGGTGATTCTTGATCCTACTCTTGTGACTAAGAAGTAGTTTATTTCTTGATGGGTGGCATCTTTATAAATATCCTGGGTTTCTATGAGTTATAGGAGAACCAGCGGTTTGTGTTGACTGTTGCACGCCATGTAGTTCGCCTTGGAAACTATCGCAATCAAGACCTCGGCATTCCATATGGTCCATAGAAGCTCCATATCGCCAGTTAAACGTGGCCTATTTCTCCGCATAAACCGGTTTAATTAGTCTCCTATGTCTCCTTACATTTATTGACGGTTTTATTATAAGAGAAATTAAGACATGACCCTGCAGACCTTTTCTCACTGGATGGCACCTGTGTTATATGACAACTGTTTTATCAGAGGATTGTCAAAATATGAAAGCTCGAGAACACTTATTACCCTAGATGTAATATTATAATATTTATTACATGTCTTTCTTTGTTATATGAATTTGGAGAAAGGAAAACTGTCAATAGTCGAATACCTTTGTAAATCACGGATGGTAGGGCGAAGGATCACGGAGGGTCGGAGAGAGTTGCGGGAGGTCGGAAAGTTGGGTGTGTAAAGCCTGGAGAGTTGTTTATTGGTCCGACAATGGTGTAACTGCTAAGGATTTGTCTTTAATACCATAACGACCTAGTCAGAAGTTATTTCAATCTAGGTATAAAAAATAGAAATATTTCTGCGTTTTCTCAAATAAAATTGTGCTTACCATAGTCACTTCAAACCAGCAAAGGAAAATAGGAGCCATGTTACACACTCACAAACTGCTACACATGGGGGAAATCACAGAGGTCGACGATAGCAACCCTCTCTATATTGCACGGATCAACGAGGAGATTGAGCTAAAGGACGGCAGTCGTATCCGGGCAAATGTATTTCTCCCTCGTTCTGGGGGGCCCAGGTGGCCGGTGTTGATGTCTTCTTCTCCTTACGGTAAAGATGTGTAGGCGAACCCTTAACTACGGAGAAGAATTTTTTCTTATAGGGGTCTGCTAACATTGAAAATCTAGCCCGTTGATGGATCGACGAGTTGCTGCCGTTCCGGAAGAGCAGCGTTCTAAGCACACGCGATTTGAGGCCCCTGTACCTTCATGGTGGTGTACCAAAGGCTATGTTCTTGTTTACCACGATCATCGAGGTTCAAGTCAGTCTCCAGGGTTCCTGGCACCTTTTAGTAGCCAGCATTACGACGGTAGGACGCTTTCACGCCGCATTCTTCAAATCTAACATTTCTTTTAGACTACGCTGAAATTGTAACATGGGCTGCGGACCAACACTGGTCAACTGGCAAGGTGGGCCTCACGGGCATCTCCTATCTTGCTCTAAATCAGGTAACTCTTAGTCTGGAGAAATTAAGTTCACAAATTTGCCCAGGCTAAATTATCAAGTGGTTTGTTGCTGCCCGTCAACCCCGAGGGCTCTGTTGTATCGTGCCATGGGAGGGCATGGCTGACCTGTATCGTGATGCTACAAGGCACGGCGGAATTACGTGTACTGGAGTACGTGCGAACATTCCTGATATTGAAAGCAGTATTTTGATATTTAAAGATGAACAACTTTTGGTTCGAACGTGCGGTGCGGCCCGTCCAATATGGGAAAGGCCGGGAGCTCAGCTTGCACGGCCCTGATAGCCCTGAAGGAAACCTAACAGAAGATCAGTTATCTGAGAACAGGGAAAACTTTCCAGAGTTAGTCCTAAGCAACGAGTTTATTGATGACGAGTTCTACAAACGCTGTGGAGCCTGTGATTTTTCCAAAATCACGGTTCCTCTCCTGAGTGCTGGAAATTGGGTATGTCCGAGTTGCAGAATGTGAGTGACGAGCTGAGATATCCTCTAGGGTGGGATTTTGCTCCATCTTCGCGGTAATATACTTGGTTGGATGCGCGCGGGATCTGAGTATAAATATCTTCGAATACACACTGGAACGCACGATGCACCATTCTACTCCTCGCCTGCAATGGATCTTCAGCTGTCATTCTTCGACTGTTGGCTGAAGGGTGACGACTATGGCGGCTGGAAGACTGGAAAACAAGCGCCTGTTTCATTTGCTGTACGGAAAGGTAATCCCGGTATCGCAGCCGTAGATGAGAAGGAAGCTTTCAAATACCGCGACGAGAAAGAGTGGCCGCTTGCCCGTACCGTCTATAAACAGGTTAACCTAACACACAAGAAAGAACTGAGGGAAGAGCTACAATCTGGAAGTGGTACTCTGTCGTATGCTGCTTTACAGTAAGTCTGCTGTCCGTATCTCGAATCAGACAAAACTTACAATTTTTCCCTAGTGGAGAGAGGATCCTATTCAAATCTGCCCCTGCCGAGGAAGCGTATGAAATATGTGGCCATCCCAGTGTTATGCTCTCGATGTCGCTTACCAATCACCCTCATGACGACTTCGCCGACATCGATGTTTATCTGGCACTGCGTAAATTTGATGCGGAGGGGAAAGAGGTTTTCTACACTTCCAGCCTCGGAACACCACAGGCAGTAACCTTGGGCTGGGTACGCGCCTCACACCGCACACTTTCCCCCAAACCGTATCCCGAGATTGAAGGTGAGCTTGCATGGCCGACCCTCAGTCACCGGCGAGATGATGTAAAAAGGGTGAGACCTGGCGAGATATATGAACTTCTAACAGAGCTTTGGCCAACCAACCTGGCTGTCGAGAAGGGAGAGACCATTGCCCTCGAAGTATCTCCTAAAGATGTCGCTGAGTCGGGTCTCAATACGACCAATGACGCCCTGTACCGGTATGTTAGCCTATTTGCGGATGGTTATAGACTAACAGATCTGTTTAGATCAGAAGCGAAGCTTGGAGGTAATAATAATATACACTTCGGGTCACAATACAAGAACTATCTGGTCTTGCCTGTAGTGTAAGCCGCTGAGTAGCCGGCAGTTTATAAAGCCACATGACATTCAGAGAAAATTAATTTGTCAAACGGTGACTTGTCCGATTCTGCAATTTTACTTGATATATCTCATGTCTTCGGAGAATCTGAAATTTATTTATATACTTGGCTTTCTCCCCTCCTTTTCCCTTTTGATGAGTAGTACACCACTTACTTGTAGTCATGGGGGCGCAACCAGCTCGGGAACATTGTAAATAGCGCTTATATCTCTTTCATATTCCTACAGCAAGGAAATATAATGGGGATATGACTGAGTCACCATCCTGCGCGGTTCCCCAATGGGCGTGTCGTTGCCAATACTTGGAATGTGGATGAATTGGTGGCAAGAAAAGAGGAGATCTTTGGGGGAAGCAACTGAAGATCGGACTCTTTGGCACATTTGGATCGAAAAAATTCCAGTGAGTGAGCTTTCAATTATGAATTTAGGACACCAGACCATATCCGAAACCAGAGAAGTCTGGCAGTAGTATAGTGTACGGAGGCTTACGAATTGATTCCAACCCACAATGTTAATTTAAAATCGGCTTCAATAGTAATGGTGCCTAAACGCCTCAGCGTATCCGAATATCATGCAATGTAAATATTTGAATACTATATATGCAATAGAAGCCTGTAACAAACTAAACTTCCTTCGCACTTCCTCCCTTCATCACGTAGGCTAATTTACTGAAGGGCATTCAGTCGTCATCTCCGCAAAAGAGGATTTCCTTCAGCGAGTGTCGGCGTGTGAAATCACGGTTAAAAACTAGATCCCTGTTTGCAGGTCTCACATAGTTCGGCTGATTAAATTTGAATAAAAGTGCGATAGTACGATGTTGACTTTTTCCTAGTTGATTCCATGTCTCCCACAAGTTTAAAATCGTAGCATTGCTCATCCAAGTATCCATCAGATAACCTTAATCTGCAATACTGCAGTCGGCGGTAAACCCCCCTAAGTAAAATATTTACACACATATCAATGTATATGTTCAACTTGTTTATTCTAGCGGTACTCTCCTCCACAATCTCCCATTGACTCAAACATCTCGGCTCTGTGGCTTCTTTGTAGTATATCCTCAATAAAGTGTTGATCCTCCCCATCTAGCGACCAGCCGAAACTAGCTGCATTCTCATCTACGTGCTCACTAACGCCCATTCTGGTACCAACAATAACTGCGCCAACGCAGTCATAATCAAGCACCCAGCGTGTTGCAATATTGGAAATCGACACACGATGTTTGGAGCCTATGGATTTCAAAGCTTGCAGCAACTCCTGAAAGAGAGACCAGCTACCCCAACTCTGAATCATGGAAAAGTACTATCAGTTAATATAGTTAGCCACCGCTGCCTATAAGACAACGAGGAATATGCACCTTTCTCTGGCTCGGTGTGATATCACTATCGTATAGACCAGGCTCTGCCTTTCCGACCCATTCTTCAGCCAGAAAACCGCCACACTTCCAAATTGTTAATACATCTATACAAAAGGCGAGTGTTCAATCTAGATATGTACCAGCGTTCCATATGTAAGCAGCTTGACGTTATATTTCGCACACAGCTGACTCATTTTGACCAGCGGTCGCGAATCGATTAGAGAGAACTATTAAACATTAATACGCGTAACTGTCCACTCAGAATATTGAAAAAAAAGGAAAAGAATAAATACTTGTACCTGGTTTGAATGCACAGTGATCCCACTCTCAAGCACACGCTGCATATGCTCTGTATCGAAATTACACAAACCCAGCATTCCCACACGGTCGTCCTCTTGTAAATATTTGAGGGCCTTGATGTATTGTATATCATCGTACTAGTTGAACTATTAGATCTCGAGAAAGATAAATAATAGAATTTCAGTATAAAGGGACATACAAACTGCCAGTGAAACTGCAGCAAATCGATTTTATCGACATGTAGCCTTTGGCATCGCTCAGCAACGTTTGCTCGGATGGCCTCGCGCGAGACGGTCATCGGTTGAAATACGCAGTATTTCGTCGCCGCGAAGATAGAGTCTGCGTGGGTATACGAGGATCGGAACCGTCCCTTCTTTGATGTCAATAAATTTCATATAACAACATATGAAAGACTTGTAGAAGGACACACGAATATTATCTCCGCATCTCCATAGTGGTCAGCCATGTCGAAAGCAGTAAAGCCGCTACGTACATGACGAGCAAACTGCTGAATAATTTTCGACGCCGGCGCCGAACCCCATGCTGGACTCGAGAGCTGCCACAGCCCCGAAAATATGCGAGGCAATTGTCTGTTTCCAAGCTGGAAGGTCTCAGTGGGGGTTGGGGGAATAAGTGCTTGTTTGGTATCAAGGTCTATGTTGAAGCCTTTGGTTATGGAATTCGGTGCAGAGTACCCGAGTAAATCGGCAACGGCCGTTAAACCTCTTTCAAACGGAAATTCTGCACCCTGCAAAATAGATTCTTCCAGACAAGCTACCAGGTTGTCGTAGAAGGTTTGAAGTAATTCAACGTTATCTACCGACAGCTGTCCGCCATCCATCATAGTAATAGCTTTTTGTACCGCAGTCGCTGCTTGAACAATATCTGCATCAACGGACTGTACAAACATTGTGTTTTCATTATCACGAGTCAGAAACTGAGTGGCCTGCTTCACGATAGATCCGAGTAAGGGCAGGCTCTGATAGCATAGGCCACAACCCAGCATGCAGCGAATTCGCTTTTGCATATTGTGGATATTTTCCCTTGACAACCTGCCTTCGTCGTCGGCTAGCCTGCCTGGTTTGAATATTTGGGACTGCAAGTAACTTTTTGTCGACTCTTCAAACACCGTCGTAAAGTCGGGCTGCGAGACTAGTAGAGATCGTATAATAGAACGTAGAGCGTCCGGTGGGAGATTGGCAACAATGGTATCGGTCATCATATTCACGTGAGACATTTTGGTGTTTTTGTTATGCGAGATTGCCATATTATATAACCAGCAATAGAGGCAAATTGAATACGTAACAACTGGCCCTTCACGCAAACTAAATAATTCAAAAACAATGAAAATAAGAGGAAGACAAAGAGAAAGTTACAAATTAACCTATTTTCCAAAGTTGAATATAATAACTAGATGGTGTTCATTCATATTTCCGAAAAACTACTATGCATGGTGACCGGCGTTCTAAACTCGCCGGCGTCTTACTAAAACCCGGCGGCAATTTTCCGGGATTTTGGCAGATAACAAGACTCGCCGAGGCGATAAGAGAGTTATCCGCTGCCTTCAATTGGCTGGCATGACTCACTACTTGCTGGCGGCCGGCTGGGCCTTCATCAGAGTCAACGCACCCCAGACTTATGGTGGATTTCGGTGTCTTCTCCGACCAGCTCTCTTGCATGTTCCTGCAAATACACCAAGCCCCTTATACTGTATCCTGAGATGACTGTACTTACGTGTGGCGAGGCGGTATATCAATATGCGTAGGTACAGTATGGAAGCCACAGTTCAGTCTAGCCCTAATGCAAACGCTCCTACGCGGAGCCATGTCAACAAAATAAATGCATGTCTGCCTTGTCGCAGAGTCAAAATGAGGTGCCGGCCGCTCCATGGGGATACTAAATGTGAGCGATGCTCTCACAAAGCTCTTGATTGTGTATTTCAAGAGCATCGCCGGGGACGGAAGCCTGGGACAAGGCAAATAGCTTCCCTAGCTGTATCTGCACTGAAAATAGACTAATTGAGATGTAGAATACTGAAGAAAAGAAGACCATCAACTGGTAGAGATGAGAATAAGATGCAGGAAACAGCAGCTACCCATGAGAATGAATCGGATACATTAGCCAAAGTAATATCGCCTGATGCGTGCAGTGGGCAACCCACACAGCAGGCCAGCTTGCAGCCTTCCGGACTGCTCAACCGCGAGGCGATGAAAGGGAAATTCTCTCTCCTTAGAATCCTCAGCACGGACAACGACAAGCCGCAAATTGTGATGGAGGAAGCTCTGGCACCTCCTACACAAGATGCGGTCAGAGCAGGACTCGTTAGTCAATCAATCGCAGAGTTCTTGTTTGACAGGTATGTAATCCTGCATTGTTGAGTACTTCCGGCTAATGCACATATAACTGTAGTTTCATCAAAATACTGAACCCCTATATCAGTCAATTAGACCCCGGTCATCATACATTCTCTTATGTCCGGCAAAGATCGTCTTTTCTTCTCAGTTCAATACTGGCCGCATCGGCTAAGATGTTCAATCCTGCCTTATATAAACCTCTTCGTGACTACGCAGAAGATATGTTTGTGCAAAACTTTCGATCTGGAAATAAGTCTACCGAGATAGCACAAGCTGTCTTAATTCTTACCTACTGGAAGGATCCCGAAGACACCCGCTCATGGGTGACTTTAGGGTACGTAATTAGAATGTGCATTGACTTGGGATGGCACAAACTGCGTCCACGATCAGCCCAAGACCGAGAACACTTGACGGAGACGCAGCGCCGAGAAGCGCGCAACGTCGAGAGAACTTGGTTCGTTCTATTTGTATACGACCGCAGGTATTTCACTGCTATCAATAATTTCCAAAGTAATTCCTCTGACAATGAAAAGTATGAGTTTGCAGACTGGGAAGCCGTGGATGATTGAGCGCAACGGATTCTTGGAATCAATTGAATCTTGGTGTAAAGACTCGATAGCAACAGAAAGCGACATCCTATTAGGGGCCTTAGTTACACTTCGCCTGCTTACGTCCGAGGTCTTTAGGCTCTTAGGACCGCACCGTCAAACCAACTCATTCCAGAGTACGTCTTCACTCCTGACCATAATTAGTAATCGCATTGAGGAGTGGGAGAACAAATGGTTGCATCTGTATCAAAATGGTATATTGAATAAAATCTTTATATTGTTGCTTTTGAACGCTAGCTGACGACTGTAGCATCTGAAAGTTGCCACCCCTTTCTGATCCGATTCTACGGAACTCATCTTCGTCTCCAACTTTACTCATTGCCACTACAGGAAGTGCTTGGATCATCACAACATGATATCACGTACAATCTGGAATCCCTCTGGTCAAGCTACTCGAGCGCAATTGAGATGCTGAAACTAGTGTCGCACTTTTCCCAGTTTCTATACTTTGCTCAAGACTCAATACACGTAATGACAGCCTATGCAGCCGCTTTCCTGATCAAGGTGCGTTCCGCATTCAATATTAATACTCATTACTGCTTACAAATGGGCATAGATTCTAATGTCTGCGCCCCGATTAATTGTCAGCGAGATCGAATCTGTCACTATCGAGACAATCCGCACAGCAGCAGCCGTCTTTTCTCAGCAATCTGCGCCAAATGACTCGAGCTGCTTTCTTCAATCCCGGTTTCTTTCCAAAATAACCTCCGACTACGATGATATTCGGCAACGAAATACGGAAAAACAATCATCGCTAAACCCGCGATCTAGTACTCCTTATTGTGATGTTAATACATCAACAGTCGACAATTCGACAGACGCCGAAGGAACGTTTGATACTCTCTACCAGGAATCTGCCGCCCCATATGAAAGCAACGAAACCTTCCAACAATTATGTACCTCCGCCAATACGACTATTCAGCGTCTGGAAAATGTAAACAGAGAGAGTAGAGCACCAAATTTGGCAGAGAAAATAGACTTCATTCTGGCGGATAACGATGTCTGGACAAATGCCTTGGCCAGCGCTGGATTTAACGCTCAAGACGTGTTTCTCTTTTCATAATCACGTTAAGAGTTGGTAGGCAACGGCACCACTGTCGTTTCGGAATGGCTGAAGGTTCGGATTCCTTCGCGAATAATCTTGAGCGATGAAGGACAGTTTGGATCCGGACAGGCAATCACCGTGTCCGTGGTCATCCAATCGTTGGGGTCCGTTACACGCTGCTTGGCTGGGAGCAGGGGGAGAACCGAAGCTTTTTGAGTCAACATCTTCAACGAAACCAGAATGGAGAAAACTATTTACATAAACTATAAATGCTTACTCCCTGATTTGGAGGAAGATAGAGCATCTCGCCCTGCAGGGTAAAATAGTCGCCTTCTTTGGCGCCGCACATGATACGCTTGCCAGCGGGGCAGGCCACTTCGACACGGAGGTCATAGAGCTGGAACGAGTCGTCTGTCATATCGAATATATGTTATCAACAGTCAATCCAAGAATTAATTATAACCATTTTTCTTCCGGGTCTGAGCAAATCATCCGCGTTTTATTAGTGTATATCAATGGTAAATTTATCGGCGAAATCCCCGCACCGGCGTCTCAATCGCTTTTATCTCCGGTAATCCACCGGTGACTCAATAGTAAGGAGCTATATCATTTGGAGAATGTCGATATCGACCGCGTAATCAGTCATATCTTGTGGCATGCAACCAGCGAACTCGATTTAATTTACGAATTGGGCACAGACCACGATCGATTTCTTACTTTGCCTATATAGCACTGGCTGAGTAACTTGAATTGATTCCACCATGATCTGCGATCTACCAACCGTCTCCAAATAATCGACTACTTCACTTTTTTGCATTGGAGGAAACATGGCGTCCCAAAAGGGCCCTCTCAAGACGGATCGCGACATCGAGCCTGGCATCGATGATCTCAGCTCAGTAGGAAATATGGAAGAGATCAAGCGCGATTTACGTTCGCGCCATATCAATATGATTGCCATTGCGGGAATGATTGTAATTCCAACTCACTTTTGAGAACCTCTATACAATTATTGTTGGGTGTATAAATGACTGATTGGAAATACAGGGTACCGGTCTTTTTTTAAACTCTGGCCAAGTCCTCGCCGTCGCAGGACCAGCTGGGGCGTTTATTGCCTATACACTGATGGGCTTTGTCACTGCCGGTGTATCTTATACAACCGGCGAGATTACCTCATTTATGCCATCGACTGGGGGTTTCGTTCGTCATGCGACAAAATATGTCGAGCCAGCGCTCGGTGCAGCGACTGGTTGGAATTTTTGTATGGCGTTCCTTCAAGGTCCTTAAGATGGCTGCTGATTGACCAGGGTATACGATGACAATCAATGTCGCAGCAGAAATTAGTGCCGCTGCAACGGTCATTCAGTTCTGGAATATTTCCGTCAACGTTGCTGTATGGATTACCGTTTTTCTGGTGTTCATTGTGATTATCAACTTCTGTGGAGTCCGACTGTATGGAGAGGTACATTTCGTCCACCTAGTCGCCTTTTACGACTTTCACTAATTCATGTAGTCGGAAGTCATCTTTGCCTCACTGAAGATTATGTTGATAATCGGTCTTATAATCGGCGGTCTGGTGATAGATCTTGGCGGTGCTCCTAACCATGATCGCCTCGGCTTTCGATATTGGAATGAGCCCGGTTCATTCAATGAGTACATTGATACTGGCGCAACCGGACGGTTCCTTGCAGTCTGGAAGGTACTTCTTTCTGCAGCCTTCAGTTATGGAAACATTCAAGTCGTGGCTATATCTGGATCGGAAACCCAAAATCCAAGAAAAGTCATTCCGGCGGCGACAAGGAAAACTTTCTTCCGCGTTTTCTTCTTCTATGTCCTAAACATTTTTATCGTCGGACTTATAGTGTTGGTTTATTACTTTTCACCCATCGTGTACTGGTGTAGCTAAAACAGTCAAATTACCAGACCATTCAACGACAAAGCGCTGAGTATCTCAACCGGCACCGCGCAACAATCTCCATTCACCATTGCCTTTCAACGTGCAGGTGTATCCGCCGTACCGTCCATCATCAATGCCGTCGTTTGTACCTCAGCTGTTAGCAGCGGATCGGCCTGCATCTTCATTGCCTCTCGAACACTATACGGCCTGAGTCGCGATGGTCACGCCCCAAAGCTTTTCCAAAGCTGTAATCGGTTCGGTACACCACACTACGCAGTGGGTTTAACATGCCTCTTTCTACCGCTAGTGTATCTTAACGTGGCAAATAATACATCCATCGTTTTCGGGTGGTTTGTTAATATCACCACTGTCGCTGGATTGATAGGTTGGATTGTCATTGAGATTACATATCTGAGGTTTTATTCAGGTTTGAAAACACAGCACATTTCGCGTAATGGTAGTAGATTCCCAAATTACGGCCATTGATACTTTGCAAGGCTGGAAAGATTGGTTGCTGACGAGATTATAGAATTGCCATATCGCAGTCCGCTGCAGCCGTATACGGCGTGGATAACCCTGTTTGCTGTTTTCCTGGTCGTATTCTTTTCAGGTAATTATTCTAAATCCTCCTACCGTACTTTTACATTTTACTGAATTTATCAGGATTTGATGTCTTCGTGAAAGACAATTTTACAGCTGCAGGGTTCCTCACGTCGTATCTTAACATATTCATCTTCGCTGGTTTGTTTCTTCTTTTCGTACATTAGTATAGTCCACAAGCTGACTGATCTAGGTCTCTATATCTTTTTCAAGGTTTTTCTCAAGTCGAAGATTATCCCATTATCTGCGATTGATTTTGAAACGGAGCTCGTATCTAGTAGAGAGGAGAAGCAGCAATACCAGTCTGTAGTGTTTGGGCAGAGTGACTTGGTAGAGAGTAGATTGCCTGGCAGATTGCTCGTTCGAGCGATAAAGTGGTTTTAGGAGTAACAATGATGGATAATAGTATATCACCCAAACTAAACCATTTTTTGAGGTATCAATTGATGTATATTTACAGAACACAGCATAAAACTACTACCATAACATGGTCCCTAGATTAAACCACACCCGCATTATGGGTTCACGATCCTGGCATCACTTATGTTATAAAAGACTAATTTATAGTATCTGCGAATAAAAGTGTCAGTGAAGTATATAAACACGAAAAGAACAGCAACAAACATTTACTAACTGAGAAATTCAGCCAATCGGAAGCTGTATACCTGTGTTGTGTGGGGCAGTGCGTATAGCCGCGGCCGTTGGCAGCGAACGACAATTAAATCTTAATCTGTGCTCCGCGAAACACTTCGCAAAAAGAATGACCAGCTGAATAAATAAAAGTCATCCAATTCAATTCTATGATCCCGTGACGAAATGGCAGACAAAGACGTGTCCCATTTCCAGTCCATCCCCTGGGTGTCAGCCTTACTCCGCGACCCATCATTCGTCAACATCACATTTACATCGCGACATCCCAAATCCACAACCGAAGATTCCTTCTATGCGCGGACCCTAAACACACCCTCGACTATTTCTGCATGTTTATTGCAATATCGCATTCCAGAGTCATCTCCCGTATCTTCTCCCACTTCTTCTACTCCCCCCACTAGTACTACCCATGTCCAAGAAACCCGCGCATTCTTTACCCTCGGCTCGGATCTAAACGGGTATCCGGGCACGTTGCACGGAGGGATGATTTCAACTATGCTTGATGAATGTACGGGTCTTTTGCTCACGGTTAGAGGGGAGCTTGATGATGCGTCTATGCGAAATGAGGATAATTTGTATTCGGCTCCTGTGACTGCATATTTGAATACCACGTTCAAGCAGCCAGTGCCAACGCCCGGTACTGTTGTTGTGCGTACGAAACTCTTAGAGGTGAAGGATTCGAGGAAGTGGAAAATTAGGGCAGATATTTGTGACGAGAAGGGAACAGTGCTGGCGACGGGGGATTGTCTATTTGTAAGGTTAAAGGCGAAAATGTGAGAAAAGTAAGGTGATTCTTTTATTAATTTCGATAGAGAGTGAAAGCCTAATGTCCGCCGATAGTTCTACAGCATGTCGTATTAGTGTCTAAACATTGAGTAATATTAAAAATATCTACAAAAAATACCAAAAGATAACCATTACTATCTCATGAGCGTCGTAGGTTAACCCCTCTAGCAGCTAGCGTTGTTCATGCTATACTAGATTCTTGAAAAGATGCAACTCACGCATCGTGCGACGAAAATAAATTTACAAGCACACCCTGGTCATGCGAGAGAGTGAGGTTAGACAGTAACACTGGTTCCTTGCGTGTATCTGGATCCGCGTTCTTCAAAGTATCGAAGTGCTGCATCAGCCTCACAATAGTATAACTAGCTTCCGTCAACGCATATTGTTCTATCATTGCAAAATCAGTATATACAATTCAAAATTAGAAATTTTGCACGTGTACTTACGGCCTAAGCAGATACGTGGCCCTCCATTGAAAGGAAGGTAGTCCCATCCATGCTTTGCATTTTCTTCCCATCGCTCCGGACGGAAGAGATGTGAGTCCTCTCCCCAGAAGTCTGTTCGGCGGTGCATGTTATACACACTGTATGCAACTATGTCTCCCTTTTTCACGTAAACCGGAGCAGTGCCGTCACGCCCGCCTCCAACCGGAAGACTAGTGTCCTTGTTCGCGACGCGGAAGTTCATGGGTACCGGTGGCAGTAAGCGCAGGACTAAAAATGTCAGTATACATGGTAAATGCAAATGACTGATTATAAAATAATGCTCACCTTCATTGAGCACGTGGCGCAGATAGGTGATGTCTCTGAGTTTTGCTTGGGTGATTTCCGCCAAGGGCTGACGGCTATCGCCGAACACTTTGACAATCTCCTGGCGAAGTTTGTTCCAGGTTGCCGGGTGACGAGCCAAATAGTAAAATGTGGAGCTAAGAAGGCTGGCAGTCGTGTCACGCCCGGCCAGGAGAATATTGAGCATACTATCTCTCAAAATTTTAGGGTCTTGTGTTTCAGCAGCAAGAGCATTGAGGAAGATGTAGCGGTCGCCTGAGAGCTCCTTCGACGGGCTTGCTCTTGCTTGCAAGGCAAGGTTCACGTAGTAATCCACAACTTCGTGAACTTTTCGGTTTGCTTCTTGAAACTCTTTAGGGTTAATCACCCAGTACAAGTTCTGAGCGATGGATCTGATGGCAAGGTAGTCTTGACTTTTGTTGAACTCTTCTGCGAACCCGGCGGCGCCTCCAACAGCAGAAGTATTCAGAATACTTCCTTTGGATGTCCCGGACTCTAAGGCACCAACGGACTCTCCGAAAAGAAAATGAGTCGCAGAATCAATTGTCAGCAAAAAGAATAAGCGTTGGATATCAAAGCCAGATCGGTCTTTGGGGATGAGATCAATTAGGCTGGTCACATGGTCGTTGAGAAGTGCGATATCAGCCACCTAAAATCCATATCAGCCTCGGAACGCTTTACTCTATTCCTGCGCAACTTAATCTATTAACTTACTTGTTCACGAGCAAACTGAGGACGCAATAACGCTCTAGCGTGGGACCATCCTGGACCGTCGAGTGTGAATATACCATCACCTAATAAAGGGTAGAATTGTCGGTGGCGTGTCCCAAGTCCAAAGTCGTTGAACTTTGTCGCAAGGATTGTCTTGACATTTTCAGGTTCAATAGTAGATGTGATAGCGTGGATTGGCGAGGACTGTCTGAAGGTATTCCCGTATTCATCATGAATGGAACCAATATAGGTGAGTAATCTCTTCTCACGATAGGCTTTAATCGAACGCACCAAGCCTGCCACGCCAAAGTAAGGAGCTTGAACGCGACGAGGATCTTGGCACTCCCAAGCTTGGGCCTGTCGATGGTGCTTGTACTTGGCTTGAATCGAAGTTAAGGCAAAGTATGCCACGTACAGCACAATGGCTGCGCCTAGAATCGCAGACAGCATAGTGGGCGAGATGTCCTACAGACGATGAGATCTCAACGTAGTAAGTAAAGTAAACTTTTTGTCTCCAGGAACTACATGCACTCTAAAAAGAACGGTCATGACATCTTATATCATCCAGTGTGGCTACCGTCTACCAAAAGGCCGAACCGGGACATCAAATCACAGCCGTGCCCGCAGTTTCAGCACCCACGCTAAATGGGTCGAGCTGGGGAAGTCTGAATGTTGTAATCACATCATGACGGTCCCAGCACTTCGGTAGCCGAAATTAAACCACATCTACACCATTAATAATTAATAATATACACCCCGTACGGCAGTTGCGAGCAAGGATACCCTGTCCTAGATTCAATCCTGTCTGTTCGTGCAGGCCACGTTGTGCAGGCTCCGTAGTACCCGTGGCGATGTCATCGACCTCGGTGGAAAATGGCCGGATTCACATGTAAAAGAGTGCTGAGAATATTTCCGTCCCAGAACGACGCCCGACATCCGAGACTCTAAACATACTCCAGCCGAGGCTGAGATCCGAGCCCCGAGAATGCCATTGTGGCATTGCCAATCATCTATTATTAATACTTCTTGGGGGCAGTAATTAAGTGTAGAAGAGGAATCGTTCGATGCTAGCTGGAATCCGGGAAGAGAATGGTATTAGCGTCAAGTTAATTAGCCCAGACCGGGATGACATATGCGTCATGTCGCTATAACGCAGATCTTACGTGCATCAAATGAGAGTGGAGCATCAAACGCGCAAGAAATTTTGTTGGGGGAAGTTTGTCAAGGCAAGTTTGTCATGCCGACTGACCGTGGACGTTGTCCACGAATATGTCCTCTATCAGATCGTAGGCAAGATTTCTGTCAAATTGCCGTTGCCACTGAGTACAGTCTTTCTGGTCTATATGTTTTATTCTTGACCATACGACCTCTGAACACATTTCACCGATCTTGGGCGCCTTCTTCTTTCCTTTCGGTGAGCTCTAGAAAATAATAGTGATTTAATGCCGAGGGAGGGTTTCAAATCGTGCGGCATGCTCAGCCCGGGTTGAAATTATCACTGAAATTGACAGAATTATAGCAGAATATTGAGTAACCATATTAAGACGAGGGAGTAAATAAAAAGAAAAAAGCATTCCTTCTACATCACGTTCATTCTAGCGGTTTCTTCTCGTAAATCCAGGCGCAAACCCCGTACAAGGCTGAAATCATACGTTTTCCTCCCTATTTCTCACCAAGCCTACACACCCCCTACTGGCGTAGGCTGCTGCTCGACACTCTGCCGAGGTCTGTTGCCTCCCGGCACCAGAATATTTCTCTCTTCGGACGCGCCAGCGGGTATCTTAGTTAGGCAACTCTGTTAATACATCGGTTATCGCAGCTTATCGTAATCTATGCCTGTGGTTTCACCATGGGACTGGTGCATCCCGGTAGTTTGCCTGAAAATTGGATGACTAGAAAATGGAGCACTTAAAACTCCGGAAGATGGCAAACGATTGTAATTTCTGAAATTCATAAATCGACTTGGTGGGAATCTATGTCGTTTTAGTTTTTTTCACAAATATTTTTAACGTGTATAGCTCATACTACACCAAACAAATATGGCTGCTCCCTCACAAATCAACGTCCGCAATTTGAAGGGAAATTGGATAATGGTAAGTTCTAATGATTTGGTCCTCTTGTGCGCGGGTGCCTACACATCTATAAATGAAATTTAAATCGATACTGATAGTTCGCTAGGATAAAAACCTCTCAGATGATACGGATCCTGTATTAAAATTGGTAAATTCTTTCTCTCATCTCTAAACTAATGATACATTTAACTTGATAAAAATTGGCGGCGCACGACGATTTCAAACTCTGCTTCTCTAAATGATAGTATTTTACTAACATAAACACCTACATCGCAGCAAGGCGTTGGCTGGCTAGTACGCAAAGGTATCGGCATGTCAACCGTAAACATGGAATTTATCCAGTCTACCGAGGTAGACCCAGAGACATCCAAACCATTTATCCAATTGATTGCAAACCAAACTGCTGTTGGAGGTTCTAACGTTGGAACCTCGGAGACACGAATTATGGACTGGATGGAACGCGAGCACAGCGATTTTATCTTTGGGGATGTTACTATTCGATGTCGGTTTGTCAATGGCGTCCGCGACTCGGAAGGCAATATTCGACCAGATATCGCATTGGAGACTCCTGGTCCAAATGGAGAGTATTTGAAAGAGATGGTTTATGCCCCTGGAGAAGACGAAGATGACGATCTCTCGGGACTTTTTATCCAGGATTATATTGTGAAGAAAACTGGATCGGTAGCAGAGCAGGTGAGCACGGTTTTCTCATACTTCGTGACTACATTCGTCCCAAATATTAAGCCATTATTTTAAGAAGAAATGCACTAATTCACTATTCAAATCATTCAGGTGTGGGGCTTTGAAAACATCTGTGGACAGCGCTGCTTAACGCGTCGGGTTCTTGCCTCCAAGGGTTCGTCGTATAAAATGGCAAGGGTTGTTTATAAGTTCATTCCATAAGTCAACCATTCTTTGACAAGTGCCAAGCATGTAGATTCATATAGTAACATGCCATCATATCCGTCTCACTAGTACAAGATGGATGAAGGTTGGCTATTACAACTAGACCTCACATATAATCATCGTCGAATAGAAATACTAAACGCTTTCGACTTACAAAGTAAGTTCAAGGAGAGTATCGGTATTCGTATCTTACTATAAACGTAGTCCTAAATTGTAAAAACTTCAACGGTGATGTCTTCGATCTTCGAGAAACTAAAAATCAAAATCATTTGTTTTCGATTTTACGGACTATTTAGATGCAATGTCTTTGATTATTGACCCTAAAGTAAAGTAGATTAGTTCTCCGGATCAGGCAGAGTGCTGCCTAGATGTTGACTAAGTGTGTTCCTTACTCAATATTTCCCTTGTCTATCCCCAAGCGCGCGCAGGCCCCCTACTTAGACTCCCTCCTATGACCCCTTATATATACATATAGCTAGCTTCGAATTTACTCTCGAAAGCGCACTCATATATTAGGTGCTTTTCTACTCACTACCATACTCGACGCGTTGCTAACCGCCTAGGATATGCTTAGGAACACCCTCAGGCAGACGAGGTAAGGAGGGGGGGAGAGGGAGGGGGGCGGTGGCATTGTGTTTATGTAAATAACTTCAATAATAGTGATACTTTGATAACACTTTATAAAATGGTAACGTTTCAGAACCGATTCAAAATTACTAACACTTTGGAAACTGTAATTGCCACTTGACATCCCGTCGACATGTTCCACTCTGGGAAACATTGTCAAATTTGGAAACATGTTATGGCAGGATACGTTTCCAGATTGGTAACAGTCGAACATGTATGAGGTATTATGCCACCTGAGGCAACTCAACATCTTCAACATGTGCATCCGTTGGGACTGAAATACCGACTTCTGCCGTTTTAAGCCGACCCTTGCCCGCAATACCAGAATCATGAGAGGGACCGGTGGTTTCAAATTTGGAAAACCTCCATGCCGGGACCTTAGCGTCAAACATCTGATCGATTTCTTCTAGATTGCGACCTTTTAGCTCAGGTAGACACAGAATAACCCAAATCGTTCCCACTGTCGTTATTCCTGCGAATATATACGCAGTCTTGGAACCCAGGCCTGCGTATGATGGCGAAAGAAGATATGGTATGGTAAAAACAACTGCAAAACCTATAATGACATTTAGAGCAGTCTAAATTTACCGTTAGTTGATTTGATCCTTCACACCAGAATTGCAACCCAGAAAATGCTTACTCCAAATGCCATAGTCTTTTCTCTCAATGACGCGCTTCCAACTTCGGCAGCGGTTGTAAAGGCTGCAGGAGCAAGTGAGCCGTGGTATGCGGCAGGGAATAGGATAAATGAAGCAATCATTCCGTTTGTATATTGATTCGAACGATCTTTTGACGAGCCTAGCCCTCCAATGAGCCACAAAAAAATTGACATAAGAGTCATACCAACTATGAGAGTCTCAAAGATGACGCTGTCAGCAGTTGGAAATTAATTAGGGAATAGACAGCCTACTTTTCGGCGGCCAAAAGCATCTAGACATAACATCCCAGCTAGACATGTGACAATGGGCACAACACTACCAAGAACCTGATCGTTGTCAGCAAGGATTTGATATAGATCTTTGTATGATAAATTGTTCACAGTATATAAAAATGCATTGGAACTTAATCCAACCGTCTTATAAAATGTAGGCCCATAGGCGCTGCTAAACGATTGTCCCGTTGCCATATGAAGGATTAGGATTACCCCAGCAATCCTAGAAAATTGTCAACAGACAAGAATTAAAAATTAACAAACTTAAACCTGACATACATTGTCCGTCGTATGTTTCTTTTATCAAACAGTTCTTGCCAAGAAGCTTTGCGCATTGTCGTGGCGCCATCCTCGACAATTGCAGATACTTCTAGTCGAGGTGCATCATTTGCAATGTCTTCTGTCGTACGTACCTGATTCAAGACTTCGATAGCGTCTAGGATTCGACCTTTGGAAACGAGCCATCGAGGCGAATCTGATGGCTAGTTAGGTACGGTGGCAAGCAGATCAGATAGAATCTTCCTACCTGGAGTGAAAGGTAACCCGAGCAAAATGAGAACGGGTGGTAAGGCCTGAATGGCGGTTGCAATGATCCATCCGGATTGATCATTATATTTTGAGAGGGAATTGTTTGCCAGTGCTGCAATCAAAGCGCCAATGAGGAGAAAGAGATCAATTGCACCCACAAAAAAGGCCCGGAGTGGCGCAGGGCTTATTTCGGCCTGATAGGTTGGAACAATCTGTATACCAAGAGGTGAAGTTGTTAACTTGATATCAACAAAGAAAGTTCAGATGACTCACATTTTCAACAAACCCAACGGCGGCATAGATAATTATACGCCCGACTGTAAATTGAACCACATGTTTACTGGTGCATTGTACTTCACTTTGTATGAGTATTGCGGAAAGACCTCTTGCAGGCGTTCTTACATATCACCCCAAGAATTTGAACAATACAAGTAATGAACATTGCATGTTTATGCCCCAACCGCACGATGATAGGGCCAACAGCTATTGTTCCAGTTAATTTGCCAATTTGTGGTAAACTATGGATGTGCTTTTAGCTGGGCTATATCTTCTCGGAACAAGGAATCATACCTATTTACCAAGGAGGCTGTTATAGGTGAAAGGATATAATAATGGAGAGTCTCGTCATAGTGGCCAAATTGTTTTGCATAAGGCTGAAAGGCTTGGACGCCCGCGAAGGAAGTTCCGTCACTGGGCAATGGATGAGAAGAATGGTTAGGAATAATAACTTTTAATACTAACTATCCTGCTTGGAGTTAGTGACTGGATTATAACAGAAATTAATTTGGACATACCAAAAAATATACTGCCCATTGAATAAACGATGCAGATAAACAAGAGTCTAGGAGTGGCGGATGCCCATGCTTGTCGGCCGACGAAAACAGATTTGTATCCCATTGTCAGAGTCGCGCAAATCGGGCCAAATATGCAAGAAAATATTTACTCTCACATATTATTCTTGACAGAGATAGATTTATAGTCAGTGGGTGGCAACCCCCGGTTTCTTGCTTGGTGCACGGCGTGCGGAGAAAGTTTGGGGAAACCAGTGGATTGACCGGTCAGTTTAAAATGTGCCGGGTTCCGGTTCCCTTTACGAGTATGCCCGGCAAGATATAACCATATTACGGAGTTTAAACTTTGAAATACGGCTTTCTTGCCATGATTTCTCATTTATTATTTCGTAACTTAAACACACGCTAATCTTATTTCTAAAGACAGTTGGATGATTTGATACTTAGCCGGCCAGCCTGTTGATTGACGTATTTCGGAAGACCTTACACTTACGATGGAGATCGATTGTGACGTTCTTGTTTATGGAGGTACTTCTGGAGCTGTCGGAACTGCTGTAGAAGGTGCCAGACTTGGTCTAAGGGTCCTTATGATATCGCCAAGTGAACACATTGGTAAGTTACTGTTGGAATATCTTTGAAGTTTTGCCAAGCTTACTACTGGTGAGGACAGGCGGTGTTCAAATCGAAGGTCTAGGCGCTACAGACATTGATGGACAGGTTGAATTTCAGAACAGCCCCAGTGTTGGTGGTATTGGCCTAGAATTTCACCACCGTATCAGTGCTGCGTATGGACGATCACAGAAATTGGAGACAGTCCTTAAGGAGGGCATCAAAGACCCCTCTGTCTGGCGCTTCGAGCCTAGAGTTGCAGAGAGTGTGGTCAAAAACTGGCTGGGAGAGTTTCCTAATATTCAAATCATTAAGGTAAGAATGTTCAAGGTTGTCACAATGACTGGAATTGAGCTTTGATCATGGCAGGCATCAATTTCACCCGCTAAGGCTGTCGATAAGAGTGGCGGTATAGTTACCAAAGTACACTTGTCAAACGGACTTCATGTTTCGGCAAAGGTCGGTACAAAATAATACTTCGAGTAATCTATTTCTCATATCGTGTTTAGATCTTTATCGATGCCACTTACGAAGGTGACTTCCTAGCTAGTGCAGGGGTTTCAACTACTTTTGGTAGGGAGGCTAGTTCTGTCTACGGTGAAATGTTAGCAGGAGTGCGGGACGAAACTATTTACGGACAGATCGAAGTCTCCATTGACCCGTATCGAACGCCAGGAGATCCGTCTAGTGGCCTTCTCTACGGAATTTCTAGCGAGCCGTTTGGTACACCCGGAATGGGTGATGATCATCTCATGGCGTTTTCTTTTCGACTCCCGTTGACGGACAACCTAGACAATCAACTCCCAATATATAAGCCTGAAGGATATGACGCAAGTCATTATGAATTGTATAGAAGACATGCACTGGCTGGAGGGAGACTTTACACCCCGATAGTCCGAATTCCTGGTAGCAAAACTGATATTGTCGGGTGTGAAGCGCCACTACATCTTGATTTAATAGGCATGAACGATGGATGGGCGGATGGATCAGCAGAAAAGCGCATGGAAATACTTGAAAGAGCTGCTCTCTTCACGAAGGGCTTGCTTTACTTTTACACGAGCGATGAATCACTACCCGTAAGCTGTTATTCTGCACCTATAGATCAGCCAGCTACTTACTCTGTCAGCTTCCATTCCGTAAGGAATGGCAACGTTTTGGCTACCCTCTCGACGAATTTCCCGACAACAATCACTTCCCGCGCATGTTATACATTCGTGATGGCCGTAGGATGGTTTCTGACTATGTCATTACCCATCACACAGCAGCACGTGACGGAGGTGAGCCGCTAGTCCACGACCCAGTAGCTGTTGCCTACTGGCCGCCGGATACTCATGACGCCCGCCGTGTGGTACGCGACGGAAGAGTACAAAATGAGGGATTCATTTTCAAAGATAAGAACAACAAGTGGAAACCGTTCGGAATCTCGTATCGGTCTTTGGTCCCCAAGCGAGTCGAGGCGATGAATGTCTTGACCCCAACTTGTCCGTCATCGTCGCATCTAGGTTACGGTAAGGGCTAGGAGCTGTATAGTTATATCACGCCACCGCTGATGTGAAGTCTAATCAGGTTCCGTCCGTATTGAACATCAATTTTATGAGCTCGGTCAGGCCTGTGCAATTGCAGCGGACATCGCAATCAAGCAAGGTATACCGGTTCAAGACGTTCCATATGACACTATGAAGAAGGAGTTACTATCGAGAGGTGCAATATTGGATGCGTCTAAGGTGGGAGTGCCATCATTTCCTGATGAGGGTCTCAAATAAAATGTGTTAGATGCAAATTTGGGTGAAGGTTGTTAGATGGGAGGTCAGCATAGCTTGATACTATCCTTGAGTAATTTTATGAGGCTCAAGAATTCTTCAATTAAGTGCTTCGTCATTTGTAAATGTTGCTCATTGGTCACCAAGCCAGTGGGGCGGCAGTGTTTTCTACCGCCTTGTCATTTCTCCGCAGGTTTATGTACCCCGTCTCCGCAGCTTTTGAGTTTCCGATATAGCCGGAATTTATAGCTCCCCATTAAACGAGTTACTCCACCCCCAAGGTTTTACGTTCTTCTCACTCTAACTTGGATTTCTAATGTTTGCCGTTTTTCAGCAAGAACACAACCTTCATTACTATTTTAAACTACACAAAACAACTAAGTAATTGCCCCATCGCACCGCTGTTCCTACTGGTCCTAATCAAACATAGTAGTACCAGTATGTCTACGGTAGACCCGGCTAAGCAATCAGCCGTCGCTGCCTGCGCTACATGCAAGAAACTCAAGGTCCGCAGACTCGTTCTTGATATTCGCACCTTTTACTCACTATAGGCCTCGCAGATGCGGTGTGCACGGACGCAGTCAGGAGGTACTGGCCCTTGTGATCGATGTCTTCATAACGGCCGCTCTTGTTTCATCCCACCTGCACAAAAACTTGGACGAAAGCGAGGTTCTGCTGGACGCTATCAAGGGGTAAACAAGGCCCTACGGAACCTTCAGCTTGCGTTACAAAAGGCGGAGGAAACAACGCCCACTGAAAATTCAAGAATCATCGGCAGTGTTTCAGGGATATTGAACGATGAAACGGTCACAACCCAACTTCATGCTGACTCTAAAAACACCTCATCCCCTCAAACCTCACTCGTAGTTGAAAATCCCTACAATACATCCCATTGGACTGGTCATACTCCAATAATAGTTGAGCAGCCGCTTTTGAATAGCAATGACACACAGAATAATCAGGACGAGGCAGGTGATCGCCATATGCGGCGAAATAGCACTACCAATCCTCTCTGGCTTATAGCCGATGCCTCTCGGGAGGCTCTAGCATCAATGGTATCACATCGAGAATCCAGTCGAATTTATGACACGCAGCCTTCACCAGGGAATATTCTGAACAGGAGTCGCTATCTACTCAATATATCAAGCTGTGTTCCTCTGGGTTTACAACTGGACCCTCAAGTTCTGGAAGAAGGATTAGATACGCTCTTTACCACTTCCGATCAACGAAGAACCGCGCTAGAGTATTTTAAATTTCGAGATATCAACCATTTCCCTGATACAGGGCCTGATTTTGACCCTATTGAACAAGGGCTTGTGACAATCCAGGAAGCTAGGAACCTCTTTTCTATGTTTGTGTCTCCCAAATATCTGTTCACGACTTTGGATAACCTTGTCCGCAGCTACTTTGAAAAAATCGATCCGATATGCTGTATTCTCGATTCAAAATTGCATACTTTTGAATTTGTTCGGTCCCGTTCAGCTCTTCTGTTCACCTGGGTTTTAGCCATCACTGTTCAATTTGACTCAGAACATTCTGCGCTTGCCAAACGACTGCGTGTGCATGGAGAAAAGCTCTGCCAACACATTTATATTCAGGGCTTCAAGTCGACAGAGATTGTTCAGGGTTATTATATCTACTTACACACAGCCACCCCGGCCCCATCCTACGGAGAAGAGCATTCAGGGCTTTATGCAGCGTATGCTTTTGGATTAGCTTCCACTCTTTATCTCGACGAACCTTGTAGGCGAATGAGACGTGGGATTGATGTAAGTTCATGAGTGTTATCCTTCATCCTTGCCAGTAACTTTATACCATCTTAAGTATAGTATGATGTAGGATATCTATCGGCTAACGCTTTGCAGCCACCAAGTCTGATAGATTATGACCTGTTATCGCGCAATCGCGAACGAACTTGGGTATGCTTTGCAGCCTTTACTTTGATGATGCTAGATCAGAGCTAAATCCCTGATAAGCTCAGAATTCTAGCTTGGGAGAAAGCTAATAGTGCCGTGTGCAACCGAACGGATGTGTTTCCGGAAAATGACATTGTTCGCAATATTGAAACTTGGTGGCGACATCCACTAGCCACGAGCACTGACAGATATACCTGCGCATTGATAGCACTTTGGCAGCGAGCTGTACATGTCCATCATACCAACCTAACAGGCATCAGGCTAATTATGTTACCCATAGGCCACACTACGTTCTGATCTCAGGCGCCAGACCGATATTGATAATCCTGATCCGCATTGGATAGCACGGAATGTGGAGGATTCATTGGCATTCTGGCATCAATGTTGGATGATGCAAAAAGGTGACCTTCTATCGAAGTCTTTGGGTATGAAATGCGTTACTAATCCTCTATAGAGCCAGCCACACAGTTTGAATTGATTTCTGATATTCAACTGCGCTACGTAAATCGCTTTCTTCCCGATTCGGTTGTTATATACTAACAATCTTTTTGTTTTCCAGATTTATATGCATGTCAGACTTTGGGCACTTTCCTTTCTTCTGAGCAAAATATCTGGAAAGGAATTGAAAATCAAAAGTATCGTACAAAACTCCTTTAAATTTGCAGTGGACTTCTGCGAGACGGTGGTTCAAGACCTCCAAAATATCGGCGAGCCGTTGTATCTTATGATGACTCCAATGTGAGCTAGTCATCTTCAATAGCATGCAATTACTAATCCATTTTATAGATGGGCTATGATGTGCTATGCAGCAATACTGTCACTCAATGTGTGTAATAGTGCCACAACGGATGTTTCTAAACTCTAATTGAGCGCAGTTTTTCCCTATTATATACGGTGATAAGCCAGGCTCAGATGCCCAACTAATCGCACTATTATCCCGGGTGGCCTTACAGCTTGAACAAGCTGGAAGTACGCCTCCGCCACGATATGGGCTGGCAGCATTACTAGGACAACATTTAAAGATGATTTTACAAACCAAATTGTCGGCTTTGTGTGCGGCGCCTAAGCAAGTAGCACAGACGATAGAGGGTGAACAGTCCAGAATAAGTCCGGATGCTTGCGACCAGATACCATCACTGGGCCTTTCCCATAATTACGATGACCTTGACTCAACGCTTCCCGCAACGTATCTTACAGGCGAAGATGACATTTTCCAAGAAAACTTTGGCGACTTCTTGCAAGAGTTCTTTGGTCAAAGGTTTGGTCAGTAGACTATTGAATATACTGGATAATCCACTGTAAACGGCGTGATAGTATTGAACTGAGCCAAATCCAGTCAGATAAATTAAAGTGAAACCAGTACAAATGTTACGGTAGATAAATGGATCCCCTCCTGTTCTCTCTGCGAAGTTGTCGCGCCTAAACAATGGGTCCGGTACTAGATATACCGAAACTTCAAAAGACGGTGTAGCATGTTGCCTCATCCATGGTAGCTATAGAATCCTATATGACTCTCTTCCTAGTTTTATTTATATCTTTGTGTTTTAATGCATAGGGAAATGCAAGCATAACATGATCTCTATTCCTCCCGTCTATGTACCGTTACAAACGTGAGAGTGAGATGCAATGTACTGCTTCTCACCATGTACAATGATTAGAAAAAGAGGACTTTGCTTTATTTCCATTGACACTTTCTTCAAAGGTGTTATTTACAACTACAGCCGGCTCAATCTTTCCTCGCCGCGCAATATTTTGTTGACAAAATCTGGGTCCTCTCGCAATGGCCTCCCTAAACCGCACATATCTATATTGCATTTGCCAACGGCCTCGGCCATGCGATAGCTGTCGCGCCATCCGCCTGACGTACCAATAATAGCACGTGACTGTTAATATGACCATCATTAGGAATTTGGCTTTGTTCGAATGCGAGGATGATACTCACCAGTACTTTCTTCATCTCCTGAGCCCACTCAACGAAATAGCTATATTGAAACGTCAACACGGTATTGAAACTTTCAAATTTAATAGAAAATGAAGAGGTGGCAGGGCAACAAACCTTCCACGTTGCTTTTGTGAGGATCTCTCTGCTAGCTGTACCATATTTCCTCTCCATGCTGGGGATTCATAAGTACCACCAGAGATGTCGAAAAAGTCTACACCGGCATCTTCGAGCCATTTGATGACGACACATTGTTCGGCAAAGCTTTGACCTCCTTCTATGACTGTGAAATGTTAGAGGGTGTGATAAGAAGGTAATAAGCATTGCCAAAAAGCAGAAGAAACAAAGGGAGTGTTCACAATCATGGCAATTTAATTTGGCGCTTATGACGAACCGATCAGAGGGCAACTCAGATTTTATGGCGTTGACAATATCCAGGAGAAACCTCGCGCGATTTTCTAGGCACCCTCCGTACTAGTATGAATTAATCAAGAGTAATGAAGGCAGTGGTTGACATAATTGTTTATCTCACCTCGTCCATTCTCTTATTTGTTTTAGGAGACAAGAACTGGCTCATGATGTACCCATGACTAGCGTGCAACTTTCACATTCATTAGTGAAGAACTTCAAATAGAATAGAGCAGATAGTATGGAGAAAGGAAGTACATGCCATAATTCCATCGGCTCCAGCCTCTACCAACACAGAAGCGGCCCATACATACCGCCGGATTAGATCACGGATTTCATCCCTTGTGAGAGGTGTTGGTTTACCATAGGTTTTATTGAAGCAAGGATGTAACTGCTCCGCCGAAGCTGATTTTGGGTTTTTGTTCAGAAATTCAGGGGTTTGTCGACCGGGAAATTGTAATTGAGGAAGACATATTGCGCCTCGAGATTTGGCAGCCTTTATGGCAGGTGCGAACGCTTCAACGGGGTTCCATGGGTTGTTGATATCGAGGACTGCGTTGTTATAGTTTTCTAAGTTGTCCCGATGGATGGGAATGTTGCCGAAACAGATCAGACCAGCGCCACCGTCGGCTAGTTCTATGAATAGGTGGATTATCAGTACCTCTCCTTCTATCTAATTATGGAACAATGAATTTGGAGCTCACCCTGGTATAATTCAGTATATCTTGGAAGCGGCTTTCCAGAGTTTTCCAGGTCATTTTCATCATAAGCCGAAGCATATTCACTTAAAGGCGTACGATACAGGCGATTTTTGATCACCTTTCCCGAGAGCTTGAGTGTTATAGGCTAGTGGCGCCATAATCATTAACATGAAATGCCAAAGGATGTTGGTGTAGAGATGCGGGATATTACCTCGGCCAACGGGGCAATGACAGGGAGCTCAACCATGATCACTGCACTGGGAACGAAGTCTTTCTCTCGATATTTTAATTTCCACTGATCACTTAATGTGGTCATTAGATAATACGTCATTATATACATCAGATTCGCTACACTTGTTTTGCCGAGACAGCTCTGGCAATGGACATTCGCACCGGTCTGTTTATTTAGAGTCCGGATAACCACCCTAGAATTACGTAACCCCTTTCGCTGATCCCCATTGTCTTTACAAAGCCCCACGGGGTAAGTTGGCATTGATAGCGCTAAACCATTTGATCGGCCTAGGAAGTTCAGCATTATACATATCGGGATTTTACAAATCCGATCGGGTATCCAAATATTCGATCAACATTGAGGAGGTATCGACAATTAGTAAGAATTTCCAATTTTCTCTCGTGCTTCCCTTCGATCTTTGCTATACCTTCGTATTATTGTATAAATAGCTAGAGTAGTTAGTACATTTCTAGCTTGGTTTATTCTTTGCCCCCTTTTCTCAAGAATTTATATTCTCCCTCTCCCTCTTCTTACCAACCTCTACTTCCATTAGATATACTTACACCACTTGATGTTAAAACAACCTGTCGAATACAACGAACAACGATCAATCCGGTTCTATTAGAAGCAAATTATATATCATATCGAGCAATTCACGGCATATACTCAGCATCAAGTCCCAAATGTCTGCACACATATCGCTCACCAAGGATACCCGATCTATATCGTTCGACGGTATGAAAATCATATATGACAGCTATGGGGTTGGTTACCATACCCTTGTTTTTATACACGGATGGAGCTGTAATCGTGAGCTGTGGAGTGAGCAAGAACCTATTTACAACAAGTATCGGTCAATCCTAGTCGATCTTCCCGGCCACGGGGCGAGTGAAGCCCCCCTAAATGTGGATTATAATAATGAGATGTTCGCTCGTGCAATAAACGAAATACTACAACATGAGCGCATCACACAAGCAGTCCTAATAGGGCACAGCATGGGCGGTCCTATAGCCACAATGGTATTGCGCCTATTCCCTCATACAGTCTCGGGAATATTCTATGTCGACTCATTCTGGAAGTATCCACAAGCTTACTTGACTCTAAAAGAGCGCGAAGAGCTTAAGGCCAAATTATGGGATGATGAAAAATTCTTTTCTATAATCAGCGCACTGTTTCGTGACAATGATGATATGGACAACTCTGTCAGGAATACTGTGACTAAGGTAATGATGACAACACCAAAGCACGTCCGTGTTTCTGTTGTAGCTACGGATGCGGTACCCCATGCTCTTGGATATGATGACGTATTTAATATTCCTGCAGTCCATGTGGTCTCCGAGAGGTACTCGAATATCGACAAAATGTGGTTACATCATCTCCCACAACTTCACCTTGCAGTGTGGCGGGAAGCGGGGCATTTTCTCCAAATTGAAAATCCAGAAGCCTTGAATAAACTTGTGAACAAATTTTTAGTGGATAATAATCTGCTACAAAACCTCTCATAGACAATCTCACTTTTCCAGTATTAAAAGAGAAAGAAAGTTATATCTATTATTTATTCATATTACATTTGTATATATATCACCCTTGGTCCATATAAGCCCATGTACCAGCAGTACTGAATGACAAGACCTCCTTTGCTACGATGATATCAATGAAAAGTTATATCCAAATCCAAGTCAATCAAACTGAAAAGAAAAAAAGGATAAATATAAATATCCCAGCTCGGAATAGTTCAAGACATTCAAGTAACGTGGCCTGAACATCCAAGCTTCTTCATAAAAATGACCCGGGTTTTAGGATGCTCACCCAATATGGAAACAAACTCGGCACATCAACCGGTGGTTCCTACCGCCGAACAACAGCTCAGCCCATAGAAGGTCCGGCAAGAAAATTAAGCCGCCGGATCATTCGGCTCAAATCCAACTCACATTTAATTTATATCTAGTCCGTATAATAATAGTGGTTATGATTAGTCTCTCCAACATGGAACTATGTTCAATTTTGATCAATTTTAACACTTCTGTCTCTGGGTTGCTTTTGTTTCTCTCAAAATGTCATCCAAGAAACCGGTTGTGATTGTCACTGGTCAGTGGAATCTAAACCACAGCGTCTAATCTGTTTACTTACTTGAAAGTACAATCATAAGGTGGTGCTGATGGATTTGGTTCTGCGATTGTTGATCGTTTCTCATCTGAGGGATGCAATGTTCTTGTGATTGACGTTAACAAAGAAAAGGGTGACACCCAGGCTAGCAAAGACCAAAATGTTAGATTCATTCATGGGGACGTTACGCTTCGCAAGACATGGGAGCAAACATTAGAGCTAGCTCAACAAGAATTTGGCCGTCTCGATACTGTTGTTAATAATGCTGGTGAGAGCATTGATGTCCCCTAGTGAAAGGAAATCACAAACTAATAGCCACTAGCCATCTGTTATGATCCTTCTGTATGTTCTGCATTAATTATATGATCAGACGCCTTCCCTGATTATTGTCCAGCCTGTTCATACTCTAGACATTTCACTCTACGATAAGGTTTTCAATATCAATGTTAAGGTGAGATGGAGTTGTGAAATACCGCATGAAAATATATTAAATCACTATCTTTACAACAGCCAATTTTTTTGAGTGTACAAGTTATTGCTCCGTACATGCTGGAATGTGGATCAGGTGTGTTTGTCAACATCTCTAGGTAAAAAGAAATTACACATCCTACTCATGTTACTTATTGGGCTGAGTCTGGCTGTAGCACTGGATACACGCGACCTCGATCTGGTTTTGCATTTTACAATGCTTCTAAAGCTGCAGTGACAGTGAGTATATGCCCTATTCCTCCTCTGATAATTATCTTCCAAAGTTCACACATGCGTTAAAAGACCGCTACTAGGACTATGGCATTAGAGTATGCTCCTATTATTCGCTTCAATTGTATTGCCCCTACGGTCGGAAATACCACCATGTACGTTCCACGCAGTTTTTTTGGCAGGGACTCATTATTGACACCGATTAGGCTTTTGCGAAGCATTGGAGGCGATGATGAGACTGCCCAGAAAATGAAGAAACTACTCAGTGTGATACCCATGGGAAGGGTCACAGAGCCGGCGGATGTTTCAAATGCCGTTTGGTATTTAGCTTCTGATCAAAGTTCTTTTATCACTGGGACTTTACTTGAGGTATATTTGAGTTCGATTGTTCAGGAATATATTAACTGAGGGGTCAACTAGGTCGATGGAGGCCGTGGCGTCTAAAAACTGGAACTGCAGTATATTTCTAAGTTCGGGCTTAATTAATGCTGGGAAAATTAGAGGTATTCTGCTGAAGAACAAGAATTGCTCGAAATTTGCTTGTAAAGAATATAATTATTTCTTATATAAGACAAAAAAGGAAGAATGCCTAGCAAAGCACTCACCTACAAGAAGTCTGCTATAAGCGACCGCATGGCTCGGGAATGTTTTGAAAGACAAAAAGTGAACATTATCTTCTAATTCCGGTCGAGCATCTTGAGATCTACATTGCCTGATAAAGAAGAAAAGCCAATTCCCTAATGTTCATCCCCACATTCTAGTAGCTTGAAGTTTGCTGTCCACGTACCAACGATACTGTACACGTACGGCGCCGGAAGGAAACTGGAGATCTTGCGCAGTAGCTTTAGCACTTTGAGTAGAAGTCCGTATCTTGGCCACCTAGTTGTTTCGTTGCTAGTTTCCCATGACATTTAGATTCTAACAAAATCGTTTCAATCAGATTACTACATTACGTTAATAGCTGACTTTATTTACTCCTGGATAGAATGTTTAATAAAGGGCTACAAGAGAGTTTATCAAGTTGAAATATCTACGAATATATTTAGTATGACTCTTATAAGAAAGATAAATACTCAATGATCAATTGATCTAAGTCAAAGTAAGCCTTTATGAGGAGAAAAGGCGCTAAGCAGACGCTAGCTAATAGCCCATGCGACTTATAAAATTTTAGACATAGGAAGAGAAGAGATATAATGTCATATTACGTAAGATATATAATGTGAGAAAGATCAATTGATCAATTGATGGTGTGTACTAGTTGACACAGTGAAACAGTCCTGGGCCACTTTCGCAAATTGGCATACTTTAGGTTTAGCGCCGAGATGCTGGACTGCTGTCTTAATATCTAGCTAGTGGAATGATAATTAATCTTCTGATAGCTTATAAAGGGTAATTAACATAAGTAAATGCAGCATTTAGTTCCTTTCTTCTTACAACACGATCTCTTTGTTCGCACCATTAAAAAAAAAATAAACAACTCGGAATCATATTATCACCTCAATTTTCCTTGGCAACAAGCATTCATCCCAAATCATGTGTCTTCTGCTGTTGCCTCTGCTTTGTGCAAAGAACAAAAAGTCCAAGAACAGCGAGATTTTAGCATACACCCGTCGAAGCCGAGTGTTGCGCGCCCCCTGTTCAGCTGTAAGCCGCGAACGTAGCACGTTCGCAAAATAGCATGCATGATGAGGATTAGCGGTATTTCGCTCAGCTGTAAGATTTCTTAGCCGCTCTGTCGGACATTGTACTGTTACGCAGGGAATGTTAGTGTGTGATGATCCGTTTTTGTCTAAATATGCGAACTGCCTACTGATGATGTCCTTCACCTAATATGTTACGTTTATACTCTTTTTCTCTCCGAACAAGAAAGAAAAGCCCCTGTGTGATTTTTCTTGCATTAGCTCGCGCATAGACATATCACGGTTGGTGCCTTGCCAAGCAACCGATGCGAAACTTGCTGGATTCGGAAAATCAAGGTAGGACTAATAATATTCTAACGAGAGATAGAATTGTGAATCAAATAATCTCTAGCTGGTGTTAACTGCAAGACAGTGTGATCAAGCTTGGCCGGTTGTGGTCAATGTCAACGTGGCAACCGAGTCTGTCCGCCGCGATCTGCTCTTAAGATTTTCGACGGTGGGGTGAAATTCCAGCGCCAGGCAAACCCTCCTTTCTCTCAGATGCCCAAACAAAAGACTCAAGGGGAGCAGGATGACATCGTCTTGAGCAGCGGATATGAATGTCAACTGAACGGAGTGATTTCGCTAAGCCCATCAGAACGATGGTCATGCGGTTTAATTGATACGCTGTGTATTGCGAAGCCAGCTTTTTCGTTACGAGTGCTCGGCGAATTTATGTGGCAAATACCCCAGCTACTGGGTCGTGGTCAGGTCCTTGATAGTGTGGTCGCCTGTCTGCTTTCCTCGCACGAGCGCCTTTTGCACGGCAGCGATCCGTCCTGTCGCATAGATCGACAATTGTATGCTCGCGCGTCTGCACCGTCTCCAAATGGCACTCAATGACCCAGAGGAATGGCGTTCGCTGAGTACCGTATATGCAACAGTCTTCATGCATCGACTCGAGGTTGCTCTTCCCCTCCCTCCCTCCCTCCCCTTTACCTGTTGTGCGACAATGCTAAAAAAGGGAATGTTGCAGGCGGCATTTGGGAACCTGCCGAATAGAGCGATAGCCGTGCATGCTGCTGGTTTGGCGGCTTTACTGCAGAATAGAGGCCCTCCAGATATTGAAAATGAGATGGAGCTTCAGCTTACAATGGACTGCCATCTTTCTATTGTTTGTCTAAGCGGCAACCCGGAAATGTGCTCGACAGACGTAGCTATGCATTTGATCTAAAAATGATCTACTTCCGCTTGTTACGACTCATGACACGCTGGCCGACCCTTGTCCGCGAATACTCAATGCTTCGAGAGGGCGGTGGCGATGTAGTATTCAACCATTTATCAGTATCTAAAAAAGCATATGCCGTCCTCGATGAACTGAAATATATTAATGACGACTGGGAGCATGTCATTGATGACCAAGACTTGCTCAGGAGCGCGCCATCTTATCGACCAAACGATCCACTTCCTCTAATGTTCGAAGTAAAGGACACTATGGCAGCATTAGCTATCTGTCACTACGCCATGTTTAGTATCATAGTTTGTCGAATCCTGTTATCACTGCAGATAATGTCATGCGAAACCGGGGAAACAGTCCAGTTGCAAGCAGGAATCGTCAATCAGTGCCACCGAATCTGGATGCTTATCGATCATAGTCTATGCCATAAGCCTTTGGGACTGCCAGTTATGCAAGGGGCATTGATTCTTACATTTGAAACAGCAGTTGATGATGATTTGAACATGAAGCGATATATCCTTGACGCTCTAAATGAATTGGATGCTTACCGGGTATTGGCCAAAGGGCCGTGGAAGGAGAACCAGGTGGTGTACATTGCACGGTCCTTGCGTGGGGAGTGTCCTTTTGGATGAGGCTTGTAAATGGATATATTAATTGTCATCCACCTAGAAATGTCAAGTCATGCACGTATGTGATACGGAAAATGTGACCAGAACATTGAAGCATTTTACAGCCGTATGCAAACGTTCTTTGTAAAATTTTTTTCCCGACCTTGCTGTTCTTGAGGAAAAGAAATTGCCCCGTTATCTGGATCTGGCACTTGGCCATGATAATTTCATTATCGGGCTGCAGTGTGTGAGTGAGCTTGATAGTCTGTCTGGCGTACGCTAATTGCATGTAACTAGTGATCATAAATACGCCTATATAGAGCCCAATTGCTGCCTCGGCCGGTCCCAGTCAAACCCTCCAAGCGGAGAGAAGGAAATTCTATCTTTGTGCATTAAACCTTTCCATATCGACGTTAATTCCATGAATCTGCCCCCGATAGGTCACGAATACCTTCATTGGTGACCCTAAGTCAAAATGGGCGTTGGACCATAAATGATTTGCCTTTGATTAAAAGGATGTCATGTGGTAAATCCAACAATGGGCGCCAGCGTCTATGCGGGGTAGGTGCAATTCTCCTTTAGTGCTGGCAACTAGGCAACTGTGTGACCATTATGACTCACAGAGAACAATTATATACATTCATTAACACACCCCTCGTTTTGCTCCACTTGAACTTTTACTTGAAGCTTGTTTCTAAACTTTGAACAAGGAGCGAACAAATCGGCAATTACCGGGCATACTGCGAAAATGATTCCAGCGGCCTTACAGCTCCAGGCGCTGTTTGAGTCCCCGCACAATCTCGCGCAGAATCTCCGCATCCTGGTTGACAATGATCCGTCAATGAAGAACCTGACCTTCATCAACTCATGTCTTCTTGATCAGATACACACAGAGGCAATTCCTTCTCATATTTTCCGTACCTGGCTATTTTTAGCTTCTCGGCATTCCTACCACCTTATTCCAGCTGCACTTCAAGACCCGTCACGTGGAGTTCGCTGGGCTGGTATCAGAGTCGCTCGAGATCGTCTTTTCTGCGGCCCTCATTGGAAGGTTCATGGATGGGACTTGCTTGGAGGCGCGGAAGGAATCAAAGACATTCTCGATGGATTGCCCTCGGCAGAAGTAAAACACCTTGTCAACGCCATTTGTTACCACTGTGGCTCTTGCGATAGACAAATGGTGATGGGATGTATCGATGAACTCCTGACTCTGGTCGAGAATACCAATGCTTGGACGGAGAGGTCGTTGTCGTACCATGCGTCTTTGTTGTATGCGTACTGTCCCGCTCAAAAGGTGACTGACTATTTAAGGTCACAAACATCCATTCCTCTCACCACCTTCAAACACTTAAGCCGTTTTCATATCACTCTTTTACGGAATATTGCAGTTGGGGCGACAGAAATGGCGTCAGATGTGCGGAAAAGTGTTATAAGACTGTGTCGAAACCCATTACTGCACTCGCAGGAAGAGTACATCCCGAATCGCTTCAATGAAATACATACAGGCACGCCCCCAGGTCTGATCTTCGGCATGGACCTGTTGCTAGCCGTTGGAAAAGAGCCTGGTCTTCAAAGTGACTACGAATTACATGACTGGATTCAATCAATCCTTCGTCTAGCCATTCGTAAAAGCCAACCATTTCAATCCATCCTATTTGTTCTTAACTCGAGTCTAGAGTTGTGTCAGTCTAGAGGTACTTCAAGATGGCTCTCACAATATCTTTCGAAAAATATCATTCAACTCTGGTCAATTGCCAAATTCGGGGGTGTTGGGAGTCATGCCAACACATCCAGGGAATTGTGGCATTCCCGGTTTCGGACAGCGAATAAGAGTTCTCTAGAACAGTGCTTGATTCAACAAGTGTTAAAAGTCGAAGACGACAATCTCATTATTCATCCAAGAGGTGCACAATTCACAAAAACTGTGGCTAAACTACTCTCCCTCGTGCACATGAAAGGAAGGCTTGAGCTTCTTCAGCTCTTGTGTCAGCATTCACCGACTCTAAAGCTTGATCTCACAGCCTGGCCTCCATCAGAAAAAGAGCGGCAGTTTATCCCTGTATGGGACTATGAGATTCTGCGTATTCTACCCCTTGATAGCTCCAAGCTACTCTTCAAACGATCCCTTCATATTTACCGTTGTGAAGAGTTTCTCCCCAGCTCTGATTTTAATCCCCAAAGTTCATGGGCTCTGTCGTGGGAGGAACAATCACTACTCTGGGTTCGTTGGGAGTGTTCAGCTATCAAAAAAAATGGCGGTTTTCCTGTTACTCTCAAAGGTACGCGACAATCAGCGCTACGAGTTCACATTAGGAAGTTTACTAATATAGAGCTAGTTATTGATAAGATGAAGCAAAAAGCTACACGTGCACGAGAGGCTACTGGGCGCCTGTATTGGGCGAACAAAGTGATAAAAGTCGCCCTGGAAACACAGTCACTAGATATCTTTAATGATGTGGTGAAATGGTGTAAAAGGTTCCTGCGAGACCCGGTACGATCTATCCACTACTTCAATCCCAGGCTACTGACTGCGATATGATTAGCTGGTCTTTCCCGACTTGATTGATCGGATATTGTCTAATGGCAGCCATATCCTCTCATGTCAGGCTGATTTGCAATCCATCACAAAGGCTTCAAACCCTCACCTTCTAAGACTTGTACAAATAGCCAATGGAATTTTGATGGATATTCTTGAAATATCATTACTCCTTCTTCGCGAACCCTGGGCTCGAATCCTAGTTCGAAGATTGACCCAGAGGATTCCCGGTCTGCTTTCTACCATTATCCGGGACAGAATTGATATTGTAAAATACAGCCGTCATCTTGACTCTATCACCGAACCAGAGATAATTGAGATCTTTCTCGACCCTCTGATACCGATATTAATTCATTACGAACGAGAAGTTAATGCGGAGGGTCAAAAGGAGATTTGTTGGAGCGGTCCGTCACGCTTAACAGTACTCCTTTCATGTTCCAGTCTTCCCAGTCCAGGGGAACTTTCGTTTATGGACCGGCTCGCAAAAAGTCGTGATGAGTTTTGGGAACAACACCGTACTCGAGTAAACCCAGAGGTCCTCGATCTGGGGGCTGGTTGGCCTAGAGGCCTTCCAATCCAGCATTTGGTAGATGACAAATTATTGTTATTCTACGCTATGGAACGCCCCAGCGAAGCACCCTACTTATCTTCAAGGGTAAATGAGGTCTTGTTCACTTCGCTAGATACCATCATGACTACCATACCTGAGAATACTGGCCCGATTGATTGCTTCGTAGATAGCCTTTGGTTTGCAATTAGTGCTCTAGTTGTGAAGGGCGAACCGGCAGAAAAGGTACATCATATTCTACGCATTTGGGAATATTACTCCTCGAAGTTGCAGCCGCATTCTCTATATTTAAAGTTGTTTCAAGACTGGTTATTCAAGAAAGTTCAAGCCGGAGAAATGAAGGGGGCAGCCCATCTTATTCGACCACCTTCCTCCGTCGAGCCGACATTTCGAAGGATCCCAAAGGGGCCAGAGGTGATTGAATGGGATCCTCAAGCTGGCGACGATAAAACCGTCCAGGTTGCTTCAGGTAATGCCAACGAGAAGCCAATAGAAGTACCCTACACGATTCTAAATTGTCGCATGGAGGGCGAAATTCCTGCCAACACTCGATCTATTACCATACACCCTCAACCTATCCTAGAGCCTCCCTCATTATGGTCATTTGCAAATAGTCGGGGTGCCTCAACTGACTTGACTGATTCCATCGTATTGTCGGCCTTGCTGTTTCTAGATACTTTCACCAAAGGCGCTCGAATCCTGCGGACTAAATTTCCTGACGTGGAACACCCGCGCTATACACCCATATATTTAGCAGATGAATTCATCACTAGAGAGACCAATGCCAATTCGGGAGGCACATTAAGTAAACCACTCACTGCCTTGAGAAAATGCGTCAATCGAGTTCCTTCTCAAATATTGCGGGATCTTATTTGGTCCTTCTTGGATACTCTGAAAGAGGAGCCAGATTCGCCCATGTATTCAAGACTGCTTTTCTGCACGTCCGATTTGATCCAAATTTTGTTATCAACTGAAAAACCACAGCTTGCAGTCGATGTGGTGCTTCGAATATGGAAAGAATTTGCAGGTGAATCTTCGTGGCATCGTAAGATTAGTCTCGTCAAGATTGGGCGAGTTCTTAGCCCGAAGCAAGCTGGTGAACTTATTACAAGGTTTTCTGAGCATGTTTGCGAAGGGCTCAAAGCCCAGCAGCAGCAAGGGGGGGATAAAGTTTTCATTAAGGTGACAACGGCAAAGATGCTTGCACAGGTTTTAGCCCAAGCGGACTTTCTCCCCCAGTCTACTCGAATGGACCTTCTACAGAACATGCTCGATGTCAGTCAACATATTGATATTCGAAGGGAGATCGCAGCATCGATTTTAGCACTTGTTAGTATTAGTGACAGCGACGAACCATATAAGGCCTTTGCTTCCATCGCTTTATCTGCCGCAGGACCGAACGAGCGATCCAAGACTACTGAAGAAGACTGGAATGCAGTGGAAAGTAATGGTGGCCCATTACCTTTCGTTGCCCCAGGCTCAGAGCATCCAATCCTGGATGTGGTTGTTTCTACAGCTGCGACGCAAATACCACAGAAACTTCGGTCCCACTATGTTCGGAAAGTTTTGCTACCATTACTTGAAGAATCGACTCGCCAGCATACTCGATGGATGGCCGCAATAGTTTCTAGAATTGGTCTATCAATATCAGATCTAGGAATTACAGAACTAGAAATCGGTCCATTCTCGCTATGTCTCATTGACACCATTCTTTGGCAGTGGACCGAATATCTCCCAAACACATATCTAAAACATCATCACCGTGGCTGGGCTTTGAGCTATCTACACGGCGCATCTTTTAGTCGCATAAATGAGAAGCTTATCAGCACCCCGGATACTACTTTACAGGATATCAATATCCAAGAGCATTGGAATATGTTCCTCAAGTCTCAGAGGTCTCGACCAGTTCTCTACCCTTTACACCGCCTGCTTGTTCCTACGCTCAGCCGGTCATTGAATGATTTCAATGCCGAGATGGTTATAGAAGACTTCATCTTCCGCACTCAAGCGATAGCCAGGAACCCGGTTCAATATGTTGATTCGCTAGACAAATACAAAGTTCATCCAGGATATACTCTAGAGCTCTTGTGGGATCTTAGAAAGAGTAGAATGGTGGGTTCTCTCGAAGGTCCTGTCCTGAGAGCAAAGAATTACGATAAAACTACCGAAGTCATGAGGCGGATAATAGCCTTTTCTAAGAAGGTTCGGCAAGAAGGATGGTCAACTGAGCTAGCAGTTGGATATCCGGTCACATTGCCAACCACTTTTGAACATGAAATTTTGATGATGCCATCTCCACTGTACAATGCAACAGCATCAGAATTTAACACTGCGGTAGAGATATTCATTTTGTTAATAATTGAGCTGATACGGAAGTATGCCACAGACTCGGTCTTGCTCCTCCGGTTCGACGCTCTCCAATTGATCATGAAGGAGGTCACCATTCAGAACATGGCGGCTTGTGCATTACGGCTTGGGTGCATCAAAGACGAGCCGCGTAATGACGTCGAAATATTCGTTAGGATAAAGTTGGCACGGGATTTATTGAGAAGCTTGCGGGAAAATAATAAGGTATTGGACAAAAATATCCTAGACATGATTGAGGAATGGAAGAGAAGTGACATTGAACTCGTCCGGCAGATTGGATGGGAATGTGAGTAGACTGCTGCCAATAATGTACGACAGCAACTTCTGCAGCAATTTTTATAAATCCATCTCTTACAGAACAAACAAAACCTCGGCTATTTCGTCATGCAGCCGACTGGTAATAGCTCTATTGTGGATCTTCAATCACCTAGCCCATTCTAAGGTTTTGTCCCTCTTTTCGCAATGCTAGGTCAACGACCTCCATTTACAGACACGATCGCGTTAATAGAGCCACCATAGTAAAAATTTCCAGATTGGGAGAGAATGGACTTGCTCTCCAGGGTCAATCGTATTTGCCTAACAGTGATATCTTGATCTGGATTGTCTGATTGACAACCTTTCTTACATAAAAGACCATTACCATAAAGCGATCTCGCTATTGGACGTAACGGAAACCAAGTAGAATATCATTATTACATTTGTGACGAATACATATATGCATAGAAAAGTAGGTATCTTACCTTGACAGGCTCCGTTTGGGTCAATATTCCCCGGAATGCAAAAGTTGACTTTGATAAAAAAGTGTAATACCCGGATGTCTGGCTGCACCGAAATCATATTCCGCTATCTTGGCATGTGGACTATGAGCTGATCTTTTTATTTCTTGCGGATTTTTCCTTCTATCTATGCATTTGTCATCTTATATTAGGGAAGAGAAAGTTTTAGGTGCGAACATATCTTTGTCAAGAATGTGGTTGTAGATTCCCAAGGAAAGTTTTTATTACCATTATCTGCTCTTTATATGTTCTGTCCTATGTATTAATGGGGGCCACTAAACGTTTTCTTGTGCAATTAGGTCTGTAGCTCCAGCAATCTCCTTTTCATATGTCCTGGGAAAACTCCACAAGATCATCTTGCAAAGTTTTTATCATCTATTATGTGGGAAAATATCTAATTAGAATGTTTGAAGCCAACATGAACTATATATAAGAAATCTAAACTAATATTGAATCTATATTAAATGACGATAGTCACTCAAGGGGGCCTGGTTCTCACTGGCCTGGATTGTTCCCATCAGCCTCGTTAGTGAAGGGCGGTGCAGTAGCTTAGCTTCGTCGCGTGGGCTACCCCATCTTGCGCCTTACAGCCTGGCTCATTCAGTCATCTACCGTTGTAAAGTTTCATGACATCAAGAAATCTATGGAGTGAGATCAGTCAATCAATACTCATGTCTATTATGTCAAGGCAGCCAACTCGTGATACCCCATTCACCCCAGTGATTATAGAAGGAGCCGGCCGAAGCAACATTACCTTTGCCTCACCCGCATCAGACCCCACGGCACCATCATTCGCTTTGGCAGCTGTTGAATACACGATCTCCCAGGATCGGGCGGCCGGATACGCCGCTGAGGAGTCGAATTACAATCTCCTGCTGGCTAAAGACATTTCCTTTGCGCAGGCTAATCCATATAGAGGTCATGCTCTACAGGATTACGAAATGCAATTGATGTTACTGGAATAACAGAATAAGAGAAGATTTATGATGGCTAGATCAGCAGGAGACGAAATAATTACTTCCACGAGAGGCACGTTCGATAGATCCTATAGCATACCAGCCTCTCCGAAAAGACGGCACGACTCAGATGAGGACGATAGCAACCGCGATCATTCCTCTAATCCATCGCCTTTACCACTTACTGATTCTCAAGTTACCAACGAACCCGAAGGCAACACCACCGAGCCATCAAACCCCCAGAAAAGGCAGAAAACTTCTAACTCAAGGCACCCGGTTTACCCCGAAAAGAAAAGGTAATGTGTTTTCATCGGTATATGCTATAGACCATTATGCATACTAAGAGTGTATAGGATGTACAAAGGGATAATAATGATAAAAGTCGTCGAACTGAGCATAACAACGACAGCAACGACGAGAATTATAATGATGAGGACATTGAGGATGACGGAAAGGATAACAAGGAAGGTGATCGTGATACAAGCGACAAACCCCTTGAGGACTTTCCTGCAGATATGTCACCCCAAAGCCTGGAATATTACTAGTGCTACCGCATTCTATATAGGGTAGCATGCTCTCAGCGCGATAAATGGCGTAATCGCCGCGTGTACTAGGATAAACCTCAAAGAGTTAGCCTCGGAGGTAGTCCACACTTGGCCGACAGCCGTTCCATATCCAACCTTGACGACTATTTCAACAAGAGCAATGGCATCGGATTTGTAGTCAATCGCGATTATGATTGTGATAACTATTCGAGTTCTTCCCCTGGTACAGTAAACAGTCATTCCTATACGAACGCTCCTCGAGAGCTTATTTACGTCATATCAGATCAACTGTATTCCGCTTTAAACCAAATTTCCAAGTTTGCTCCAGACAACGATTCTTACAAGAAAGATAAACACTATTACGAAGACCCATCGAAACAACTATCAGGGTCCCCATTGGAATACTCTCATTTTTTCTTATATCACCATCGCCAAGAGTTACGCGATCTCTCAGTTGGCAACGATTTAGCTTTGAAGGAGGCTATTTCGGCGCTCTCCGCTTACCTAGATAGTTCTCCCAATCCTATTTCGACAAATGCGACGAACTTTTCAGGCAGGGATTGGTTTCCTATGACACGCTGCCGTGGCTATTCCAGCCAAACGATATTCTCGTCTCTAGGGAACGGCCATTAGAAATAGCATGCGTTTTACGAAGAGTACCTACTGAAGATCTTCAGATTCAACTTGATTGCTGGAACCGGGGTTATGATGGTCATTGGCTCCACAGAAAGGGGAGGGTTCTCAAGGTGACTATACCGCGATATGGCACGGCCCACATCAATCAACTATCTGTGTATCCCCTTATGTATGCCCAGGTTGAAACCAAAGAACATCTCCTTGCTACAGGTAATAGATTCTAGTCGCTGAGAAACCAGACACTCGTTCCCTACGAGGGCTCGGACTATAATGGGGAAGAAGTTTATGTAAGTCTTATGTAAATGATATCGAACCTTCGCAAGCCGAGACCTAATCCCATGCTAACTTATAGTAGCCATCGGACTCTAGATGTATGATTGACTACCAGTTCAATAAGTACTTGCAAAAGATACATGGCCATTCAGATGAGGAATGGAGCCGCAATAATCAAATGCGCTAGATCAACCGATATGGCTGTTGGAGGCTTGAGGAGTGGGATTTTAGGAATCCCTTATAACCGTCGTAAATATACATGTAACCCATTTGCAAATACTTGGTGAATATCGATACCTAGTCTTCTATGTATATATGTATAGCTACGAGCAAATAACGCCAGTGAAGTCTCGCTTCTAGTGTGTCCCAACCCTGTTTTGCGCCAGTTTGGTGGTGATCTAAGCTCTAACCACACAGTACACAAAACCGAACTACTATTATAGCAACAATTTAAAACAAACATGGTCCTGTTGAGTTATTATTAAAGTCTGACGATGTCCAGGCTCTTGGGTGACAAAGCCTTGAGGGCTTCTTTGAACACGTGATCTGGGCATTTGTATCGTACGACAGACGGGCAGTGTAATCAATCGATTTCCACAATGAAAGAATTTCCCTACCCTGGCAACTCTTAGCATCTTTACTACAGTAAATTATCTTACTGCTGATGGGAGATGACAAATTATTGAAATGGCACCACAAAAGTAGATTCAGTAATCATACCTTCCCTGTATCAGCATTAATAACCTTTGAACTTGTTAAACTATCTAGGAACAGGATGCTAGGTATTTATATCTTTAATCTGACATATATTGATATGTATGTAGATAAAAAAAAAGAAATCTTAACACCTATATTCAAATTCTTAGCAAGTGTATGTAGGCTATGGACGAAGATAAATAGTGAGAAGGATAACAGAAGCTATGCCATTCTTCTCAAACAATAGCTATGGGATAGGATACTACGGTAATGGATCACACTTGATATGAAAGAGTAATAAGAGATGGAAGACAATCGAATTTCCTACCGGCATTCCGCAATCGTCCCTTGAGATGAGATCACCTCGGCACATTATAGATAGTAGTACCCGCCCGTTGATACTGCTGTAGCATTATGAGGATAAAAAGTAAGCAGGTTTGGAATTAATTATATGAAGTATTTGGCCAATGATAGAGCGAAATTCTCATAAAATGCAAAGGTGTCGTCTGCTGACGTGATCCGCGATTGCCTGAGGTTTCATATGTCAGCTGGTAATGTGACTAGCGATTCAGTCTCAGATTTAAGAATTAAATTATTACAAAGATTTTTAGCGAATAAGAAATCTTATCTGTGACACTGTTTTTATTAAGATAGAAATTCCGCGTTTGGCGATTTGAAGGAATTGAACATTCATGTGTACTAACTACCACCTATTTTCTTCTAAGTTGGCTTTGATGTGCATTGATTAAACGCACCTACACATGAATTTTGGAAAACCGCGACGGTAGTTGCGTCGGCTCTTCTGATTGCAGGAAGCTATATAGGGAATCCAGGGGTCGTCACTATCGGATCAGATCCGCGATGGAATGTAAAATCTAGGCTCCTTTCTCGACAGCGAGACCCCTTGGCAGCGTGTCAGATGGTCAATAATAATCTCATTCCCCAGAAAGATATAAACTTTGGACAAATCCTATAGTTTTGGTCTAGTTCCTTATGAAAATGACGGGTCAGACCCGGAAGGTGAAAGGAGCATTGTTGTAATATGTTGCTGCCTAATTCAAGTCTTGGCGGGAGAAAAAAGTGAGGTAGGAAGAAACAGATGTTCGGGGACCGTATAATAACCACGGATATGAAACAGCAGATGATTCATTAGTGGACTATCTATCAAGTAACTGATTCATCAACACTGCACACAGTAGTATCATTCCCAGTCATTGTGATTGGCTAGGGAGCCAGGGACATAGTGATGGATACTAAGCCTCCACTTCAAACATTTCAGAAGGCACTAATCTACTAGGAGAAAATGCATGCGCGTACGTATGTTTGTGGCTTATATGTAATGAACGATCAAACTGCAATGTTACCGCATGTGAGTGGTCAATAATATGAGGGATTCTCAATAATTCAGCAAAGGTCAAATGCTTATCAGTGCGTCTGCTAGGGTAACAGGGATGCTGTCTCGCCTCTGCAACTAGTTTCAGAGTGTAACCCCTTCCGAATACTCTACATGTATACAGAGTTGGGCACAAAACCTGTCTCGACATATAGATCCTCAACACGCCACACGTTGAGATTAGAAATCAAAATTGAAATTTATTATGATTATACAGGGTCATTGTATGATCGACACTACACGAGCCGCGATCAGATCATAGAAAGTATGAGAAACTCGAATGCCAAGAAGTCCGAGGCTACATTACACCCTGAAAAATTGGCTATTTCGCCTCGTATGCATTCGGCCTAGAGGATCTACACGGGTGAAAGCCCACCAGCCGAGTCGACCCGATATTATCATTGGCTGGCCGCCTAGTATGACGATCATTTCGGGAATGATCGTTGCATGAGTTGGGAACTCGATACTGCCGATCTTTTTGGAAGGAGAAACAAGGTACGTTCAACGGATCTCCTGGCTAAGCGTAACCCGTGTCAACTGTCAAGACTGGCACTGCCACTATGCATCCACAAAGTACATGTACCAAATAAACAGCCTCGCCCCGTCTGTTTCTTCGTCGTCCATAATCTATAATCTATATCTAATTATCTGGTTTATTTTTTCGCGCCATAATATATCGAGAACGGATCGTACCGGCAACTAGATTTCGCCTCCGAGGGCTGTATCCTGTATGTGACGTCGGGGTGATATAGGAGACCGAGAGCGAACCCCGACTATGATACAACTGCTTCTGCAGATCAGCCACCTGCCGCCTGAAAGCCTTCTTATTCGGCAATTGCCTTAAAGGAAACTACGTGCATGGCTACGACCTGCCGATAACGGTCTTGCCAAGTCTCGCCAAGTCTTCACATTGCTTCATGTTACAACAGATAAGCATAGACAGTCCCTCCCAGACTCCAGCACGTTTGCCTCAACAAACCACGATTGGCCTGCTTCTATCTGCCAAGAAGTCGGGAAATTTGCTATCGATCCTTATCTCTACTCCGCACATTTGCCTCTATAAAGTGTCTTCATTCCATCGAGAATAAAGTACTGGATTCGGAGTATTTTGGCCTGGCCAGTAGATCTTGTCTTGGGGAGAGGTTTTGCTACCGAGACTCATCAATATGACGGCGCAGGTTATGGATCTAACTCCAACATGTCCAGAAAATCACAAAATGGCAGCAATATGTGTGTCAGAATCATCTACTAATGCTTTTTCCACCCCAGTTGATACGCTCTCTCTCAAGTCACACATCTCGTTAAACCCCATAAACCCCCCAGCCAACAGCCCGGAGCCTTCAGGCAAGGCTCCGCATCATATTTATAACAAGAAACGGAAATGGCTACTAGTTTATATTGTCTCTTTAGCTGCCATGTTCTCACCGTTGTCTTCCAACATCTATTTCCCTGCAATTGACACCATTGCGTCGGACCTCAACACGAATACGTCGCTCGTTGCCTTGACTGTTACTGTTTATATGGTTGTGCAGGGAATTGCCCCGTCTTTCTGGGGTCCGTGGTCGGATATATATGGTCGTCGGGTCATCTTCATTGGCACACTGATTGTGTACGTTGCCGCTAATCTGGCGCTGGCATTTACCGTCAACTACCCCATGCTATTAGTTCTTCGAGGGGTACAAGCCGCAGGGAGTGCCGCCACTATAAGTATCGGAACAGGAGTCATTGCCGATATTGCTCTGCCAAGTGAGAGTATGATACTCCCACGCACCAAATGTTGACGAAACACTGACGTTACTAGGGGGCGGCTTTATCGGAACAAATAGCGGCATTCGCATGATCGGCCAGGCTCTGGGACCGGTGCTTGGTGGTATCCTGAACGGCATTTGGGGCTTCCGAAGCATCTTCTGGTTTCTATTTGCCTTGAGCATCCTCGTCCTATTAACTTTGCTCGCTTTCCTCCCGGAGACACACCGTGATATAGCCGGAAATGGAAGCGTTCCCTTACACGGAGTCCACAAACCCTTCATTTACTGGATAATTTCTGAACCAACAGAATGGGTTAGGAGTCCTTCAACAACACCGGGCCGGAAGACGCCGTCAGTAACTTTCAAGTCCGTCCTCACCCCACTAAAGCATCTGTTTGAAAAAGACATATTTCTTCTTCTTGCTTGGGGGGCCCTGATCTATGCTGTCTGGAGCATGGTCACATCCTCAACCACCACGGTGCTCAAACATGAATTTCCCAGCCTCACTGACGTTGAGCTGGGTCTATGTTTCCTCCCCAATGGAGTCGGGTGCGTTCTCGGCTCGATTTCGACTGGCAAGCTCATGGACCGCAATTTCAGAATGGTCGCCAAGCACTACCGACGTCAACACCAAATCCCCGACGACGTCGAGATCAAAGGCGACAAAAGCTTCCCTTATGAACGCGCACGCCTGTCACCAATGCCCTATTTATCCGCCGTGTTCATCATCGTTACGGCTCTGTACGGCGCAAGCTACGAGCTAAACGATGTAAACAGGAAAGCAATCGCCAATCTCCTAATCTCGCTAGCACTCCAGTTCCTGATTGCTTTCACTGCCACAGCGATTTTCAGCATCAACTCCGCTATGATGGTGGACTGCTTCCCGTCGGGCGGAGCCGGGGCGACTGCAGTGAACAACCTAGCAAGATGCAGCTTGGGTGCAGTTGGTGTGAGTGTTGTGCAGCCGATGATCAATGCGATTCGTATCCGGAATACATTTGTCGTCCTCGCTGCGGTGGTTGCGCTGTGCAGTCCGATGGTATGGGTGGAGTGGAAATGGGGAGAGAAATGGCGAACAGACAGAGAAAAGAGAAAGGGAGCCAGTCTAGGGCTTTAAGGTGGGAGTAATATACTCCGCGACAATATACAATAGATGGAATATGGTTCAAATACCAGGCCATTACAGTAACGATGTCACATGATTTTGCTGCAGCGTTTCTCTTTGCTTTTTTGTGCATAGAAATAGACTTTTGAAAGACTTTAGGGGAGAGATCAAGGAAAGATTATGGAATGTGATAGACAAAAGGGAAAGGCTTCTTTGCTATCGTTTTAAATGTTGAATTGGCTTGTTTATATATGCTCTTCATCGTCAACAATGGCAAAATGAGGAGATAAATGGCTACATACGATATTTGAGATCTTCATTTATTAATGTTGGCATCACAAATCCTGCTATATGTATCCCAATTTCATAATGGGGCAACCCCAGAATAATCCTAAACCCTAACCCTATATATCATTTTACGGTCTTGGTTGGGTGACAACTTATATTTACTACTACATATGAAGTACTGTATATGTGCGGGAATCAACATATCAAGTGCGGCTGCTCAGTGAGCGACAGTGAGCAAAGGGAAATTATTATTGAGTATCACCAGACAACTTCACATACCTAATTTTCCGGACTTAATCTCAATGTATTTTAGTTTATGCCAAGACCGCAACCCGTCTCTGTTATCCGGTCTATTAAATATACCAGCCAAACGGAACGCCACGGTTAAGGCACATATGTGTGCCCATCAAGATAAGTTGCAATTGTCTTCAAAACGAACCAAATTTAGGGAAGAAAAACAGACCAACTTACGATGACAGACAATAGCATATTTCTTGATCAACCTTACTAACAATTTCACGTTCCCTCTTGTGGTCTCTACCATGACGACCCCTATTATTCCAACAGCCTAGAGTGCGGGGTTTTGTTTAACTGTGTGCAGAGAGTCTACCAGCTTCCAAAGGCGGAAAAGACTCACGTATTCCAAATTCAACTCAATTTTGACAGTCGGGCTCTCGGTAATTAAAGCTAGAAATCCCAATTTTCCTTTTCCACAGATTGGGCCAGATACCAGGCTTCACTTAAAAGGCGGACGCAATAGATGATGACAATTGTACTTTCTTTGATGCGAGGGAGAATTTTAATACATTGCTTCCATTTTTCGGTAAGAGACATCTTCAGTTAGCCGAGAATGCATTATGCCAGGTCGGAGTTTCCATCACCCAGCATTTTCATTCGCAGATTTGCTCAATTTCAGAGGACGAGTTAAACTAACTAGAGGCAAGTGGCCCTTAAAGCAGCTAATATCATGACCAACCAATTACCATGACTAGGCAGAGTCTGTTCAGTATCTATATAGGATTATAGATTACATAAATATATACATTTAGATATATAATAAAGTATAGAAAGATTATATATAGAAACAGGATAATAATTAGAAACTATAATAAATATACACTAAAGGTATATAAAAATTATAGAGACACTTATCTATATAAACATATTCATTTCTATATATTTAGTTTATATTAGTATAGTTCTTTAATATAAATTATTTTAATTATATTGAAAGGATTAATAAGGTAATCATACTTAAAGTTCTATAATATTTTATAACATCTCTCTTACTTTAGTTGTATTCTATCTTTATTTAATTCCTTAGACAACGTTTGTATGTCGTCACTAGTTACCCTTAAGGAAACTCTGTGGTTCAACACATCATATCGTCCCTCGACACAGCCAGTGACAACCAAAGTGAGACCAGGTGCGTGACAGGAATGCAGCGTCCCAGACAACGAGACCAACACCAACACCCACATCAAAGCCGAACGCAACGGCAAGTCTACTGTCACAGTGAGATCAGGTGAGTTTTACCTTTTCTGTCTAGTTTTTATATGTGCTAATGAAAATGAAGTGCGGTGGAATGGGTTATGCAGGCTCTACTCGGTGCAAAGCTCCTTTCAAGTGAATTGAAGAAACATCTGGTGGTCAGTCATCTTGGCAATAGTCTTCATATCGGGCGCCGTATTCGTTTCTGGACGGCTAAGTGAGGATTTTCTCAGGTTGAAATCATGTCTGTATGAAGCTAGCAATCGCTGTGATTCATAGATGTGAACCATGCTTTCTGTTTATAATTGATAGGGGGGAAAGTGGAAAACCGAGAAAATACTTGCGTGAGGCAGGTGTTAATCCACAGGAGATATATTAGGTATATATTGACTAAGCTGTCACACCTATGGTTTCCTTTTCCTTCAGTGGACAAAACGGAAATCTAACCGTTTACTGCCCGTGTCCTTCGAAATAGCTAGGTAGTTCACCTTCTCCTACTCATAAGAAACGAAAGGTTAATCACAGCTAAGTACAAATTTCTCAACAGCTTCTACTTACTTGCTCACTCATGGCCCTCCATTTTCGATCCCGCTGTTTGTTCCGGAATATATAATACAACTTGGTGAGAATGAACAGAAGCAGAGCCACGAAGTTAAGTATCAGTAAAACAGTGTTTCCACGGTGATAAAGAGGGGCATCATCTGCACGATATATATTGCTGCCGATGATGCTAGCCAATTGCACAGAAACTAACAGACTATGATCAATGATCACGTCGGCAAAAGCAGAGTTTTATCGAGACTCTGGGAAGGTTTCTTACTGTTATATATGGCCGCAGAGACAGACCTTGTCCCGACATTATTAGAATTGGTCGAAATCCATCCAACTAGAATGGCATGAGAGTAAGGATAGCTCAGAAGGACGACAATCACGGCATAGGTACCCCATGCATTGTCTATCAAACCCGGCCAAAATCGCAGCACAAAAAGGCATGGAAGAAGCCAAACATTCTGCAACATTGCAACAAGACTTCTTTCATTAACCTGTTCACTGAACCATGTCAGTCCAACAATCGTGAAAATACTTGCAACTGACACTGGGATGGTTAGTAGATTGGTGATAACCTATCTTGGTCAGCGTGTCATTCCGTGTTTATGGCCAGGAATGATTTTTTACCGTGCTGAATCCAATGTTTCTTAATGTCAATGTGAGGTATGCTGATACTGGTACGATGGGAATATATACCAAGAGACCCAATATATATAGTGGCCAGAGATCGAAATCACATAAACTATTCCACAGTAGGCGGGGGGTAATGGCTTGTCGGTTGTGCATATCACCTATTATTGAGCATGTTGATTAACCCCTTTGGACTAAAATCGGTATTTTAACTGACGATCTTATTTACATACCCTTTGATGGATCGTTACGGAGCACGCGATTAACCGCAATGGCTGTTTCACGATCCGTAAACCATCCAGTCGGTCGGAACCAAGTCTTGGTTTCAACCGCCGAAGCTGGCATCATAAAAAATGATGCCAGCCCAACGGCGAAGGTCAACGCGCCTTCAATAAGGAATAGCCATCTACAGCAAAGTTCAGCTACTCTTAGTACCCATTAAGCTGGGGGCTATGATGCCAACCTCCATCCAGACCATCCATGAACGCCTCGCATGTGGAGAACGCCAAAGGCTATAAACGAGGTAACGATACCGGTCAAGGCTAACATGGCCCAAAATATGCTAGCAAGGTATAGAGCAATTAATACCAGCCTTCCATGCGATGTCTGGAAGGTATTTACCTTAGTCGGATAGGAAGCTCGCGATTGGTGTAGAAATAAGAAAGCCAAAGGACAATATCTGGTATGAAGCCCCCCTAATGGATTCAAATATTAGCAGACATTCGTATACAAGGGAGGGATTCTCTTTAATACCTCCAGAACTCCTAAGAGCGCTCGGGTGGCCAAGAAAGACCCTCGGCCACGCAAGCCAGCTTGTGCCATAGCCACAACGGACCATAGGGTGATCTGCATAGGGATCCATCGGTCGGGGCCAATTTTCTTGGATATTAGTTGAGAGGGCAGTTCCGCAAGAAGGAAGGAAACATAAAAAACAGTATTTCCAAGGTTAAAGTCTAGATAGCACCGATATTAGAACTTTGATCTCGTATATATGTTTGCGGGATACGCCAACCATTGGTAGTTAGGTGAAGATCATCCAAAAAGTTATCGGACACCGCTTGATTGAGATTCCCGCGATCCACTTGAAGGCTGAAGAACATGACACACTATAAGATATTAGATACAAATTATAAAATTGAAACAGGCTTGATGACGTACTGCCCACAGACAAACATGTAAATCCAACTTGCGAATCAGCACCTTCTCTTCCTCCGGACGCCAAGTTAGGGCCGGATCGAAGAGGTGCCGCCCTTCATATTGAGACTTTTCATAAATCAATGCATAGCGCTGGGCGAGCTCAGGGTTGAGGAATGGATTATTTTCAAATTCATCGACTTTGTAGGATCCAAAATTCTCCTGGTTACCCTTTACATCAGTCAAGGAAGGTTTCTGTGAGGGACTATCAGCAGAGTCAGAATCGACATGCTGGGTAGCAATTCGATCAATTACTTCAAGCATTGCGTCCGTAGGCATTTCCAAGAAGAGAAGAAACCAACAAAGGAACCGTAAAATAGTTATCAAGCAACAACTATTGTAGGGCATTCAGAACAAGAGTCCGGCGCTTCTGACTGCCTTTTATCTTCCACAGTGGATGTCGCCATAGCATACAAAATGATGAAATTTATACCTTTGACATAACCATATCAATCTGTATGATCTATATCATCTAAATAGATTAATTGGATGACGCACGTCTGATAGACTGTTCAGAATCACTGCAATGAATCGATACAGGAACGCCTTTTTGACCGGCCGCTCAGTCGCTGGTATGTGAGGCTTGCCTACATTTATTCTATGGGATAAGGGAGATTAGCCCTCAAAATGGGGGAATTATGTCGGATCCCTGAGGATAAGTAATTTAAAATTTGGAGAGCACGATTGTACTACCTATCTGGCTTAGATTCATCAAGGATCATTTTTAACAGGTCCCGCACCTAGTCATACAAATCAACTGCGTGGTCTAATATATGCAGTGTCCGGACTCTCAAGTAATTTTATGTAAAATTATTTGAAACAAATTTTGGATGCCATATGGCAGTGCCTTGTACCGGAGCATTACTATACCAGCTCCACTGGGTCCGATAGACTGGTGTATGTTCCGATTAACGCAACAAGCCAAGTTGTCGTCCACTGACATAAACATCAAGCCCGTAATCACTCAAATCCTAATTATGTCGTCATTAAGCCTCAAAATAGGTGATAGTTCCTTCGTTCCGAGCCTTGGGTTCGTGACAATGGCAGTCAGTTCATTTAGCGGGTAAATTTCCCGAAAGTTCGGCTTATTTAAAGATAATAAACCGAGAGGGTTTGATATATATACGTACTTTCTTCAATGTTGGCAAATCACGCAATTATGTGCGCGAATAACGATCTTCATCGATAATGCAATCAATCTCCGGTACTCGGTACAGTAGTTCTTTTTCAGTGATGAAATGACAGGGTAACAAGGTTTTATATAGCGAGGAGTATGCGCTTGATGGAGAGGGTATAATGAGTAGAGAAAGGAAGATATCCAATACTACGAGACGTCCGAAGGCAACATTTTGACGTCTCAGCCACGATAGTCGCTCAACGCTGGCATGGCTCCTCATGTGGCAGAGACCGAGCCCGTCTCCCCAGAGGCTGTGAAGAACGAGACACTGGTAGGGAATGCATTGGATTTTAATCATAGTGATGAAATCAAGGGCACAGCTACACAACCTGCTGCTTCGTTTCCCCATTATCTCCCCGTCTGGGATCCAGCTACTGCAAAGTGAGTGGATTTCTACGAAGTTTTCCACTACCATGCGCCTAATCATAGTAACTAGCCAGCCAGCCCTTAAGTCTTTTGAGCACTACGACCACGGCAAGGATGCCGATCCATCCTTTCGAGATCTTTTGCCTCAAGGACAAGTTATAGTGGACGACCTTACCCCAAGCATTGGTACCGAGGTTCAAGGAGTTCAGCTGAGCCAACTGACCAAGAAGGGAAAAGATCAATTGGCACTATTAGTGGCGCAGAGGAAAGTTGTTGGTAAGTCTAAATGTTGGATAAATAAATTAGCAAGCCTAAGCGTGTATCTCTAACACGGCTCTACTTGTCTCTAGTCTTCCGCGATCAGGATTTTGCCAATCTACCTATTGATAAAGCACTGGAGTTCGGGGAGTACTTTGGAAGACACCACATCCATCCTACCTCCGGTACCCCTCAGGGCTATCCGGAAATTCACTTAGTTCATCGTGCGGCCGATGATAACCTATTATCGGGGTTCTTGGCTAATCACACCACATCTGTCTATTGGCACTCGGATGTCACCTATGAGGAACAGCCCCCAGGAACTACATTCCTCTACTTATTGGATGGTCCAAAGACGGGGGGTGATACATTGTTCACAGATACCGTTCAAGCCTACAATCGTCTTTCTCCCGAGTTCAAGAAGAGGCTACATGGTTTGAGAGCAGTCCACTCAGCTGTAGAACAGGCTCAATCGAACAAAGAGCGAGGCGGCATTGTTCGCCGCCAGGCTGTTGAGCATGAGCACCCTATTGTGCGAACCCACCCTGTATGCTATCCCCGACGCTGATAAATTGGTACAGAAAGTCTAAGAATCGAGTAGGTGACCGGTGAAAAGTCAATATTTGTCAACCCTCTTTGTAAGTCCCATGCATTCGAGAAGACCTAGAGTTTGGAACAATCCTAACTAGAATATGCGCTCAGTTACCCGTCACATTGTTGGGTATAAGAAGGAAGAATCGGACTACCTATTGAAGTTCTTATATGATCATATCGGCCAATCACAAGATCTACAGGTGCGTCTAAGATGGCAACCGGGAACAGTTGTAGTCTGGGATGTAAGTATATCATATTCCAGTAAAACAATGCGGGAATCCATGTTAATCTTTCTTTGTAGAACCGAGTGACCTCCCATACTGCCATTTTCGATTGGCATGATGGTCAGCGGCGCCATCTTGCCCGGATTACCCTCCAGGCCGAGCGTCCATATGAGACCCCATTTGAGGGATAAACCCAGTTTAGGTTGAACATCGGGTTTAGTTTCACCATAAATCAGAGCTTTATTTCGTTGCTCTCCAGTTCTTTTTGAGGAATTCATATGTTGCGCTTCGTGTAGTCTTATTAGTAAGCTCCATAAATCCAGAATATCTAGTTATATTTAAAAGTAATTCTAAATTAGAAAATTAAAAGACTTCAAAATTAAATTTATATATTTAAATTTTTTTATTTTAGATTATTAATGTTTAATTTAATGAGATAAAGATATATATTATGTTTAAAATTTTTATGATATCAATTATAATATATCATAATTGATTGATTGTGGTATTAACTGCTTTAAGGGCTACTTGCCTTTTAATAGTTTAACTTGTCCTTAGTCTCATGCAAGTTGGTTTTGCAACATTTTAGGTCACTTGTCCTTTCCTAGTTTAACTTATCCTTAGCTTCATGTATGTTGGGTTCGTAACACCGTTCCATGGCGCGTTGGATTGCACTAGCTAGCTCACAATACAGAAGCTTGTCACTCCAAGTATTGTGTACGCCCTTTCTCCTGGTAACTGAATGGACCGAGCGAATACCGTTGGCCACCACCGACTTGCTTTACTATTTCCAGATAGAGTTACAGCCTCTTATCAGTAGCTTCTCACAGAAACAAACAACAAGAAACCATTTGGGTTTTGTTGTTCTCAACTTTTGAGAATTGGCAAGACTCTCTGTTGTAACGATTTCAACTTGGTCACTTCGCATAGCCTCCCCATTGACACAGATGGAGCGTCATCTTCCTCAAGCTCTTCCAAAGAACGTTCTGCAGACTCTGCCATGCAGCCTTCCAACATCACGTCTTCATGAGTCCGTCGATGTCGAAGGCATTGCTAAGCACTTTGTTCAATCTCTAGCTTGTCTCAGCTCTGATATTCTCTCCGCACAACCCATATGGCGGGATCTGTTTGCACTCAGAGGCACATTGAGGACGAGCTATTCTACTCACGCAATTCTTCGTGGCTGGTCTACTATCTGCCGCAGTCGACAAGCTCGTGATTATTAATGTGATTTCAGGCTCGGGGAGGGGTTTTAGACCTAACAAAAATACGAGTTGGCTTCATGTCGGCTTCAAATTCAGGGTGGCCGCAGCCCCAGCAGCCGAGTGCCATGGGTTCCTCGCGTTGGTGCTCGAAGAGGATGATCAGTGGAGGATTTGTACTATTAGAACAATCTTTGAACTACTGGTCGGATGTGCCGATGTGGACACTCTTCCGGAAGTGGACGATCAGGACCGTGACTTCGCCAACCGCACTACCCATGTTGACGAACATAACATCACCAACAGTGCACACAAACCTACAAGCATTAGAAATGGAACATGTCATACGTCACAGTCCACATACTATGATGCCATCGTTGCTGGTGCTGGTCAAGCGGGTTTGAGCACGGCCGGGCGTCTCCAGACGCTGGGAGTTAATTATCTAGTACTTGAATCGCACTCAAAGGCTGGGGAGAATTGCGCAGTTCGCTATGAATCGGCGAAGCTTCATACTCCCCGCGACTATAACCAGTTGCCCTTCGGCCGGATATTTCCTTCGTCATATCCAGAATATTTAGGAAAGCACGACATCCTCCGAGGTTACAAGGATTTTATTCACAAGTATGGTATTGAAAAGAATATACAATGGAACTCCACGCTCAACGGCGGCTCATGGGACGAAACCTAAAAGCTTTGGAATCTTCAAGTGACCAGGGCTGGAAGAGAGGAGATGATAACCTGCCGACATCTGGTAGTAGCTGTTGGCAGCGGAGGACAGATACCTATTATGCCTATATTCCCTAATCGAGAAGATTTTCAAGGCGAGGTCCTGCATTCTGTGGACTACAGCTCGGCAGAGGCATGGGCGGGGAAAAGAGCGATTGTAGTTGGGACGGCCAACACGGCGCACGATGTCTCGTCGGATATGGTTGACGCAGGGCTCAAGTTGATCACCATGGTACAGCGGAGCCGTACTTATGTCATTCCGGCTGAATATTTCAAAGTGATTTCGGACCGAACATATAATGGTACAGTGCGAATCGACGACGCTGACCGCGAACAGTACAGCCAGCCTCCTGCGATTTCTCGATTACTGGGTATAATGAGTTTACATGCCATGGCGAGTAAGGAACCCGAAAGATTCGATGCCCTAGAGAAGGTGGGATTTAGAGTAGAGCGATATGGCGACATCGTGAGTTCGGTTTTTCGCATAATTCTCTGACTGGTCACTGTCTTGGATCTAGACTCGGATTTCATACGTCTCCAGGGTGAGAGTGTTCATTAAATGATACTGACAATCTGATAGTCATACCAGATCATCGAGAAAATGGGCGGACACTATATTGATGTGGGCTGCTCTGAGAAGATTTCCAAGGGATTGGTAGGTTCACTTGTCCCTGTGGCCCCGTTCCTTGTTAGTATCTCCACTCACTGGCGTGCCATGATTGAATCTAGATCAAAATTAAACCCGACGCTCTTGTGACTCATTTTACTCCCGCATGATTAGCCTTTAGTGATGGAACCAAGATCCCGCCAGATGTGATCGTCTTTTGTACGGGTTTCCGAGGCAACATGCGAACCAACGTGGTGGAGCTTTTTGGCAGAGATATCGCTGCCCAAGTCGATGATTTCTGGACTTTAGATTCCGAGGGAGAACTCAAAGGCGCCTTCAAGCCTACTAGTCGTAAGTCCCAAATAAAACAGTTCTTTCCCAACGCATTAGATCCAGATATTTGTTTTTGCTATTCTTTACCTTCAGTACCAGCAATAGACTAACAGCTCTCCGTATCAAAAAAAGACCCTAGATTATGGTACATTTGGGGCACCATTGGATATTGTCGCTATTTTTCTCGACATGTCGCTCTGCAAATCAAAGCGGATTTGATAGGGACTCCATTGCCCATTTACAACAGTCAACGGAGAACAGGAGAGCACTGTTGAGAGACTATTCATGGCACTCTCATATCGACTTTGAGTAGCGCAATTTTAAAACTGGTCTAAATCAATATTGATAGATTGATTAATATAAACGTAATATTCCTCGTACCCTATTTTTACAAAATAGAATAATTCCTACCTTATTTAAAGGTAGATGCTGAGCTCAACTCTGGCGTTGTCAAGGCAGACCTAGGCGCCTACGCAGCCTACCCGGTTTCGGAAGGGGCAAATTATACATGGTTCAATCGTTGCGTAACATTACATATGTAACCAAATCGAAAGTATTAATCATGAACAACCATAGAAGTGCATCTCTTTTAACTACACCGGAAGGAAGGGAGATTTGTTCTTGAAAATTCCGCATAAGTTTGTGTTGATCTAGCCTACGTACAAACCCGAGACTAAAAAATCATGCCTGGCATTGTATTCCTGTACCCTATCATAGGACGATTCACCATCTTTATTTTAGTCACCGTGTCTAAAATCTCTCAGATTACTTCTGTTAGTCCCCAGGGCATTTGATAGGGTCGAAGGATCAGGTCCCCTGTTCGTTGCCACGTGGGAGATTTACTCTTGGACCCCACGTGAGCCTTATACAGTCAGATCCCTGTCAAATTGTTGACCGCTATATCCTTCTGTCCAATGGCTGCAGTTTTTATTTTTATTTTTTCAGAGTTGTATGCTCGGCGCTTGCGTTATGGGGCATGTGGTCGGTTTCGTGTGTTATTTAATAAGTTCTGACCGTCAGCGCTGTCTTCGATCTTCTAGAAGCGATATTTCACTAAATGTGACGATTCCCTTCAAAGTGGACTGAAGACTCAACAAAATTACTTCATTCTCAAGATTTCTAAAATTAAGGGCTAGCAGTCATGAAACTTTCAATTACTTCATCCCCAAACTACCCTGCGTATCCTGCTCAATGCAAAGAAGCAGAGAGCAGTTCAGAATCTCTCGAAGACCTAGATTTCAAGGCCATCTCTTCAGAAGAGAAGCATCAACATCCATATCTCCCATATACATCTCAAAGACAAAGGATCAGCACCAGCAAAATTTCCCTAAACTCAATTCGTCAAAAGTTGCGATCTCTTCGGGTTGACCTAGCCCTCCAGATCGGCCGATGGTGGATACCAGGTAGATCGAGCAAAATACTGATCATGAGCTTTGATGAAGGTTTACTCATGCTCCAGATCAAAAGAGCGGTATCCAAAAAACCATTTTCAACCGACGAGAGGCTGCAGCACCGGTCACATGTACGGGAAGGACTTATCAACTTGATGATAAGTTTGTTATCAGATCAAGTAAACGAGACGCCATACAGCCACCGCCAATCCGAGCACCTCGGCCTCACTGAGGATGTCAAGATCCAGATGAAACATCTTATACAAGAACTAGAGCTTGCCCTTGAGTCTCGAGAAATCACTGGTTCCATAGTATCCAAATCCGAGGCCCTGCACGAGACGCTCTATCAATTATGGAACCATTCATCTCATTTCTGGCCCCCACGATACGAGTGAGTAACATTTAACATTTCACTATTTCCATCAGAAAGCACGTGTATATATATATATATTTATATATATGAGTCCAAAGTCCTCATCTGATTCCATCTCAGCCTCCTCAATTCCATCGCACGCATTGCCGCCCCCGATTACATCCCCAGCGACAGGGACATCATCACAACGACAAGATACGTCAGCAGAACTCAACTCATCCCCCTAACCATCGGCCCATTCAGGATAGCCCTCTGTGAAATGAACAAATACCTGTCAAAACACAAACGTGTGGAACTGTGTGATGACCTATCCGCCATGTTCTATCAATTTGACCTTGGCTCATACACCAAACAGTCCTGGACTCTGCTCACCGAGATCCTCCTTGTTTTCCGTGTGCTGATGGAGTCCACTGCCCTGAAGCGCTGCTCAGTCTGTATTCTGCTGCTTTCCGGTTATACGGAGTTTCGGAGACGGGTTCTTGATGATGGCGGCGGGCAGAAGAAAGGGAATTGCAGGCACGGCGACAGGGGGGTGCTGGAGTGTGTTAAAAAGAAATTTGCTGATCTCGCGCAGGGAAAGAAGCATTTACATACTGTTGTAATGGATGATGTGGTGGATGTAGCAGCGGTGCGGTCGACGCTGCAGTCTATACCATGGATTATGCTACGGTATAAGCTGCGTAGGGGGATGAAAACGTTACGTTTATAGATAATGAGCTTCTGGCTAGACAAGAGGCGTGCGTGCTGTCTTTGTATGAAGGTATGAAGTTATGAATAAAGAAATACTTTTTTCGCATGTACTTAGCAGTAGTCACTATGTGTCGCTATATCAAGCTGGAGTCATAAACAGCTGTCTTCTGTCATACCTAATCCATCACAACTCCATAAACTCCTTCCAAATCCATTAAATCAAACCGATACAGAGATGGTATATGAAAACACACCCCGAATATTAACAAAGGCAGATCAACGACGCTGGGTCTTGCCCATGCCTCTCTTGCCGGAATACAAGTGCTTGGCCAACGCCACGGTCTGGTGTCGATCGGCCTCACCTTGTCTGGCCATGCGGTTCATCTTCTTCTGCGAGAGCTTGGCGAGTCGGTCGGCCTTGCTGCGGGTTGTTGTGTCCGTGACACCGTCTGTCAATCTGTTGGTGGCTGCCTGGCTGCGAGCGCGGCTCTTGGCACGCGCGATGGCATCGCGTGGGTTAGATGTAGAGTCAATGTCCATTGCATCGCCATTGTCACCGTTCTCGCGGGCCAATGTGCGGCCACGAGAGGGCTGGCTTTGGGCACGAGAAACCGCGTCCATGGTGTCGTAGCCAGCGCTGTCCAGAGCGGTTTCCATTTCAGAGAGCTTCTTGGCCTTGGCACTGCGAGGGATAGCGGCGCGGTTCTTGAGAGTTTTGCGCAACCGGGCTTCGTTCCTCATCAACGCCCGCTTCTCGCGGATCAGGTCTGCCTTCATGCGGATCTGCGCGTCTTCAACATCCTCGACGCTCTCGTCAGAGTCGTAGAAGCCTTCAGCTTCGAGTTTTTCCTCTTCTTCCTCCAATGCAGCCAACTTAGCTTCAATGTCAGGGTCGACGTAGTCGTACACGTTCTTGCCATTCCAAATCTCAGGCATTTTGTCGTACTTCCACTCGTCATCGGCCAGATCGTAGTTCTTCTGGAGGTCTACGCTGTAGACACCAGCACCGCCGTTCTCCTCTTCAATATCACGCTCCAACATTCTTCGCTCTGGGTCATTTTTATCATATTTCTTAAGATTCTTGACCGCCTCGGGAATGAATGTCTCGCGGACGCCACCCATGGGTTGCGCAACATGGATTCTGGCTAGGACGTCTCCAAGACGGCCGCTTGGGTTGCCACTGCTACTGCTAGTACCAGCCTTGAGTTTCTGTGCAACTCGTTCAGCAATCAGCTTGTCACATGCCGCATTCTTAACGTCTGTGACTCCTTCAGTAGTAGTGCAAGATAGCTGAAGCATCTCAACGTCGCTCTGCTTCAAGACAGAATCCAGCAATTCCTTGGTCTCTGGGTCAAGGTCTTCTGGGCGTCTGACATCGATCTTGTTGATGACAATAAACACAAGCTTATTGGCAAAAAGAGGCTTAATACTGCTGAAAAGTTTGATCTGGTCCGCGACCGAATATCCACACTGCTCCGACAGGTCCATAAAATACATAATGGCTGATCGCAAGTGCGCAATAGCAGTGATGGACTGCATTTCAATAGTGTTCATCTCTTCGAGAGGATGGTCCAGAATACCCGGAGTGTCGATTGCCTGGAAGCGCAAGTACTTGTAGTCAAAATGACCAACGAACAAGCTCTTGGTTGTGAAGGCATATGGCTGCACATCAACGTCGGCGCGGGTAATGCTGCGCAAGAAACTGGACTTTCCGACATTGGGATATCCGCAGATCAAGAGAGTGCGGGTGTTGGGGTCAATCGACGGCAGACGACCCAGATGCTGGCGCACTTGTTCAAGATAGAGGAGGGGGTCTTTGAGACGCTTGCAAATGGTGGCCATGCGACCGAGCGCAGCACGCTTCAGCTGCTTGGATTGAAAGAGCGATTGTGCGTATTTGATGAGTCGCACATAGTCGCGAGCAACCGTCTCAATTAGGTGTTTGGCGGTTGAAATTTGACCGAGGGCAATTCTGAAATGGTCGGCATCGTACAGCGTGTTCATCAAGTCCTTATCTGTAGCACGAAAATCAGCCGCGATTCAGTCACATTTTGTAAACTCTGCAGAGGTCAGTCCATACGGAAAGGATGAATATCCTGCAAGCGAGGAAAGCCATCGAGAATGGCCTGGAATTTCTCGCAAAAGGTTTCTGACGTGAACTTGACTTTTCGAGTATAGAATGCTGCCGAAAATGTGTGGTTAGCCAGCGATTCTCTTATCAGAGTGACAACCACCGTCATGCACTGCATCACGAAAAGGTTCGATTTCTGTGAGAATAAAAATACCTCTGATACGGCTGATCTGGAATCCAGCACGAATAACAGTCGGCAGTCGTCGTTGGGTTCGACTGAGGACGATGTCAAGGAATTCCTGGCTGGTTGGCACAGGTGCGATCTAAGCGATAAGAAAAGGTCAATCAAGAATTTCCTTTTTTTTTATCGTGGCATTCCAACGCCGTGGGTGTCCTTGGGCATACCTCTTTCCACGTGGTTTTCATGATGGGCAACCAACACAGACAGCAAACAAACCGTCTCGTTCTCTCGATCAACGCAGGACGTCTGGTTGTGGTGGTTGTTGCAGGCGGGCAGCAGGAAAATAATAAAATTTCTGGCTCGGCAGGCGGGACGAGAGCCTACGCATGGCAGTTCTTCGCGAGGCGGTGAACATTGTGCGCGGCAGGCGGAGCCGAGCACAGACAATACGTAGATTAATTTCATTTTTTATGTGTTAAAATTTTATTTTAATTTTTCTTGTCAATTTTTTGTATATTAATAAATCCTTTGAGTTCAATGATAAAGAATTAATATAGATATTAATTTTAAAATCATAAATTTCTAACGATTATGGTGATGAAGTTATTTTGAAATAACCACAAGTATCTTTTATACGGTAAATACATATAAAAGATACATTGGCGTAGAGCTGTCCGGAACGTTGAGCTGGCAGGGTTGCGTGACCTTAATGCTAAATTTATACGTATAGGGAATGAGTAGAAACATGCTATGACTACCATGCAAGAATACTGTTATTGTCTTACTTTACAGGTTAATCAGACATGCACCAGAACCCCATCCCAACTCACTACCACACCTTTGTAAGAAATTAATGCAAGAATATGAAATATGACCCGATTCCAACTCGTAGTACGCCCTGTTGAGAGATCCACGCACACTCTGAATCCAAACAAAGATTGCCGCACACATACAACACACCGAGACGACTCCAAACCAATAAAATATGCTGCAAATGTATAAAACTTTTTTTACTCGTCCATTTTTACTCATGTGCTTCCTCGGGAGGGAATTCATAAACCTGAAGAAAGAATAAGCAACGAGAGAATTGAATGGAGAATGGAGAATGAGGCGGTCTTACCATATCAAACCAGCCACCGCCGCCAAATGCACATGCGCTCGGTCCACGATTTTCAAACCCGAGGGATTCGTAGAAAGAAACCATGTGGTCGTGTGCAAGAAGCGCAATTCGTTCTGCGATAGCAGCGTCTTTGATGCGTTGTATGTAAGACTTCATGAGGGTAGTCCCGACTTGTTTCCTCTGATGCTCTTCCTTGACGGCGAGAGAATGCAGTGCAATTGTTCCACCTTGATCTTCGTGGCCGAGTACTTCCGTGTCGTTCTCATCAGGCAGGCTGCGCATTCGCGTTTGCCAGTCTGTCGGGAAGTCCATGCAGGCTTCGGTCACGCGCGGCGCTGATGTGCGAGTCGCGATCACGTGTGCAATAAGTTCTGGGCGAGACTTTTCTTGGTTTTTGTCCAAGACCGGCAGAGTGAATATCCCCAAGCTCAATTCGGGGCATTTTGTGAGGCGATATATAAACTAAGACATTGGGTCGCGGGTTAGCTCGCGCGTCTCCCATTGCTCTCAAACGATCAACACACCTTATCCTTCGAAGCTCGCTCGTGTTCGGGGAACACCGCTTCCACATCAACGCAGTCATCGACATTCGACATATTGAGGACGCTAGTGAAGGGATGGAGTTCATCTAACGCAGTTCGCGGGCGTCCTTGTGACGGTCGTCGGAATAGATACGAGTAATCTGAAGCATCGTCGTGGTCTACGGCGACGTAGTCATCCACCTCTTCTTCCTCGTCGTCGCCCATATTAAAGGATAGGTAGCCCTTACCAGGAATAATGCCGGCGTTGTTGAAGATGCGAGTCAGTTCGCTAGCTGTCGACGAAAGGGTTAGGTTTTCGTGCGCTTCGGTGAGTTCGCTATCGACGGGCGGCGATCCCTTGTTTTCGGCCATGCTGTGTTTTGAATCGGACAGGGTGAACCGGGTATTGTTTTTGCAGTCGTACAAATCGGCGCACGATGTCGTGCAAGGAAAGTGGTGAACCTGGGCGGCAACAGTTAGCAGGAAGGCGAGTTCAAAAAACAAAATAAACGGATGACATGAACAATATCCTGGAAACGCATAATATTTTGATACGTACTTGGTAGACAAAACCGAATTGCCTGAAGAGCAGCCCGCGCGGAGACGAGCAAACGGGCAAGCAGAGAATTTGGAGGGAAACGGCAAAAACTCGATTGCGCACGGGATAACCCTGTTGCAGTAAGACACCGATAAGGTGGGCACAGGGCGCGGGGACGCAAGGAGATAAGGAACCAACGTGATCTCACGCGGTATGCACTATGCAGGCCGAATCGGAATTTCAGTCGCAGACGAGGCTGTAGAGGGGTGAAGGGTGGGCTGGCGATAGTCAAGGCGAGAGTGAATGGTCAAGTGACGGAGAGGCTCGACGGGCCGGGAGATGCTCAAGAAGATCCAAAGGGTACCTTGGGATACTTCTGACGCTGCGACAGCGCCCGCGTAGACAAGGTACCGCCAGGTATCGCGAGTGCCCCGCGATATGGCCGGTTCCGTGGCTGCAGCCGATCTCGGTTTCCCGTCTGGTTTACTCGCCATCTATTCTACAACAGTACAACTAACAACTATCTTGCTGGATTCTCTTCCCCTTGTAGATTTTGCTTGGTTCCTGCAGTCTGTCAAATTACCACTTCAATAAAACTTGACGTGGCATACCTTACGATCGATTGTACTCCCTCTCGACACATGTCACTGATCCATCTCTGGCTTACATTGGAACAGCACGACATTACATATGGATTCTCTGTAGACTGCAGCTTAAATTCATTACGGTCGCCAGTAGCATACTCGACTTACAAACACCCCTGCAGTTTGCTCCCGCATTCTCCAGGACTAACCCTCAACGCATAGACATGCCTAGGCATTTCATAGTATACGGTATCATGGTGTAGTACAAAGCTGTAATTATGATACATCACGCCATACCTCTTGCCATACTGAACACTAAAGGGCTATATAAGCCATTTATCTCCATAGACAGCATTGATCTCCATGTCAATGGGGGTTATACCAGGCATCAAAGCAAGATACAGCGACTGCAATATACCCCAGCCCAGTCCCGTCCAGCTGAAGAGCAGCAGAAGATGAGGAGCTCTGCACGTGTGCTCGGACAGTTATCCGAGAAAAAAGAATGGGGATCTGTGACTCTGCCGATCTGCAGATGCAAGACATAGCGCGTACGTACTTGTCCAGATTCAGATATATGACAAGTCGTTTAGCCTGTATTCCTTGACAGCCCTTTCTTCATTCCGACCTGGATATAGACCCCCGCCGTCACAGAGACTTTCGGATGCTCGGGTACTTATCACAGAATAACGGTACAGGATCGACGGTGGGAAGGATGCTGGACGTGACACTGGTCGATGCGATGCTCAAAGTGTTCCGCCGGCGGTGATCCTTGAAAATCAGGCACCCAACCCACTTGCGTGTGCGCATTACCGACAGGTTTCTGACAGCAGGCTAGGAAAGCCTAGGTTTCCTTTCTGGTAGGCCTGCGGCTGGACAGGCCAGATAGGGAGTCGTTTGATCACGCCGTTGGATGCACCTCACCGCATCCGGATCGGCCGCCATGTTTGCTCGTGACATACGATGCGCTCTTTATCCTCCATTGTGCCTAGACCAGGCTGGCGGAAAGAATGATGGCTCCGGCAGGCGATATAAAGAGTCGACTCGCTCCCCCGCCGCTGGTCGCAGACACTTGCTAATAAGCATAATAAGCATAATAAGCAGTAACAGGTGAAGTGCTGCTGCTTCCTTCCCCACTATCGCTCTCGGCCGCCGTCCCGACCAATACAACGCTTGCTCCCCGCGTGCCTTTGCCAGCTCTCTTACGTTGTCCCTTGTTGCCTAGTATTGTCTCGCGACCATTAGGAGAAAACACTAGAACGCAAAGGAACTTCGTTTCGGAGCGGGCGGCTTGTTGCGCTGGCGATTTGTTCTCGCTAAACGGCTTCCGTTGCATTTCGTCATCCGTCATCCTACCGATAACAACCCAAGCTTGCTGAGCTTGCTGTAGCTACGAGAGCGACCAAACTGTGGAAAGATGTGAGTGATTGTATCAGGACTAGTTCCATCTCATACTTTTTGAACTGACGCGAAGTTTTCAATAGGCGCATCGCTGTCAGCGTTATCAAGCCCGACCAGTCGGACGCCGACATCATATCCCTCGATGTGGCCGGAGACATGACCCTGGAGGTCCTCAAGGCCGTCATCGAAAGCGACTCGAATATCCCCCCATCGGCACAGAGCCTTGTTTACAATAATCAAGTACTCGGTAATGATGCTGCGACGCTAGAGCAAGTCGGTGTTGGGGATGGGGATATACTCATAGTCCATGTGAGGATGCCAGGCCGCCAACAAGCAAACAATCGAGCTGGCGGTCAGGCAGTACAACGGATGGGGCCCCCGCAACAACAACATCAGCAGCAACAACAACAACCCATGTTTGATACCGAGACAGTGAGACTCAACGTGCTTGGCGATCCCAATATTATGGAAACTGTGCGCCGACAGAACCCCGAACTAGCAGCTGCGGCAGAGGACTCTACGCGCTTTCGAGAGGTTCTCCTTGCTCAGAAGCGAAAGGAAGCCGAGCTTGAGAGAGAGAAGATGGCCAAAATCGCTGCTCTTAACGCCGATCCATTCAACATCGATGCCCAACGAGAGATCGAGGAAATCATCCGGCAGCAGGCCGTTACAGAGAATCTACACAATGCTATGGAACATCATCCTGAATGTATGTGCAGTCCCCTTGTTACTCTAGGATATCATCTAACTGGTGAAAACAGCCTTTGGCCGTGTCAACATGCTTTACATCCCCGTCGAAGTCAACGGCCATCCTATCAAAGCGTTCGTCGATTCCGGTGCCCAAGTAACCATCATGTCTCCCGAATGTGCCGCAGCTTGTAATATCATGCGTCTCGTGGACCAACGGTATGGAGGTATCGCGAAGGGTGTGGGCACAGCAACGATCATCGGACGAGTTCACTCGGCGCAGCTAAAGATCGGATCCATGTTTCTACCCTGCTCCTTCACGGTCATGGAAGGGAAACACATCGACCTACTGTTGGGCCTCGATATGCTGAAGCGCCATCAAGCATGCATCGACTTGAAAAAGGGCGCCTTGGTGATCCAGGACCAAGCAGTGCCATTCCTCGGCGAAGCCGAAATCCCCAAACAATTCCAAGACGAATTCGAAGACGAGCCCATCATCCGCGGTGCAGACGGAGCACAGGTCGGAGCACGTTCCGGCGCCGTTACGCAACCGGCTGAGAACCCGGCGCAGCCAGCACCGCCACAGCAAAGCCAAGGCCGGACACTGGGCGCATCATCGCGCTGGCCTCCAGAAGCCATAGCCAAGATCACAGAACTGGGGTTCTCACGGGAACAAGCAATCCATAGCCTAAACGCCAGCAACGGCAATATTCCGCAAGCGATTGAATTTCTCGTGGGAAGTTGACCGTCGTTACTCCTATCCTTCGAAGATTCTTCAGCTTCATCATTTTTCCCCCTTCCTTCTCCAAGATACGATAGATAGATGCCCCAGATTTTTGACGTGAATACATTTCCATTCGCAAGTAGATATTCCCACAGATTTTTATATTCACTGCTCTTTAATCCTCTCCCGCTGTTCCCTCTGCCCCAGCAACGCGTCTTTCAACCGTCCATACATCACAACAACAATCCATGCGGCTGCATGCAAGTCAGCTATCCCCATCCAAACCAGTCTTTTCGCATATTATACTCGTGTATACTTACAAATACCCAAATACGGCGCATAACACCCCGTCAATCCCCACTTCACCTCGGTCGACCTATCAACCCAACTCCAAATATCCACGAGACAAAGCAACGTCGTAATGAACACCTCCACAGCCCATACAATCAAACCGATAGGGAGCAGCGGTTCATCTACACTCTTAGCTCCAACCAACCAACCCCGAAAAACCAAAAGGGTAAGGGGGGGAGGGACTCACCACGATACAACCCCCTAACAGCCCATATACACGTCGGCACATGATACAACAATTCCAACCAGGTACAAGCAACGAACCAGGGTGGCGGGTCGACGAAGAATTTGTCCTGGTATGTGTCAATGTAGAAGGAGCGGAGGGCGAGGAGGTGAGGGAATGGTGGGTAGGCATGGATCCAGGACGGGTACAGGTCGAGACAGTCGAGGCAGCTGGTGAAGAAGGTGTGCAGGCAGAAGAAGATGAGGAGGGCGAGGTCGGTTTTGCGGGAGAGGAGGGGGCGTTTGGATGGCATGGTTTTTTTTTTTTTTCTATTTTGCTATTGTTGTATGGGGCAAAGGTAGTTCTTGTGAATTGGAGTAGAGTCGCCAGAATAACAATAGGATTGAGGATAAGCTATGGCGGGTCTCAATGAACTACGCGGTACTCCACATGATCGACCACTCATATCAATCAATTGATTTCAGCACAGTTAATTCAACATAATTGATATGGCGATCCATTGGTATTTTAATATTTCGATATTTTATTGTTTATAATAAATTTAATAATATCAATGTCATTATTTATCCCTACCTATGCTCTTTCAGACTTCCAATGTCAAAGACACCTCAAAGCAAATATCACGTCAGATCGAATCACACGTAAATGAATAATCACCTCCCAAGTTTCAACACAGAGATACGAAGAAATTGGAAATCAAAGCTTTAAGCAGCCCAAGATACACGCTAAGTTTCTGACACAACTCTCTGTATGCATTTATTTCCAACACGTACCCCTCATATCTCTCTTATCGACAATCAACGCCAGAATTAAACGAATAAGATTGCGTGGACGGAATGGTATCGTAGATGCGGAGATAAATCAAAAAGGTCTATCGAATGCTGTTTTCGATTTGTACTCGTAATTCTTGCGCCAACTGGACGTATTCAGCGGGGATACCACTTTGTTGTACAAGAATGAGCATTTCTGATATTCGCGCCGCCATGACATCGTTGCCGAAGACTGTTCCTCCTAGCCGGACCGTCTCGCTATACCATCTTTGAATGATGTATAATAGGTCGTTGGCAATGTATCTCTTGTTCGTTCCAGTGAATGGAGCTTCGTCGTTGTAGAACATGCCTTCCAGTGTTGTGTAGATTGTCTCGTGAGGAACTTCTAGATCCAAAAACAAATCGACAACCCATGTCGGTGGACCAATATCACGCTGGTAATTGAATGAATAACGCTCAATCATGGGAAGAACGACGGAAATCGGGAACACAATCTCGGACATACGAAGGCGGCTGCCTAGCGACCGAACCTTTTCAATCACTGCTTCGTACGGTGCCGCATCGCCTTTTTCGACAGTTGCATTATGGACTTGGTCCAAGAGGTTCTCCCAGGTTGACCGAATGTCAGCTGTGTTTCGGTGGTCAGCAACATAGTAGATTTGCAAACAAATGTCGCAATATCCTCCTGCATCCGCATATCGGTTGAACAGCTATACAAATATTAGTGAATCATGTTAATAATTTCAATATATCTGACATACCAAAGTAAGATCAATGATCGGCCCGTCTATGTCGTGCAATACCTCTGACTTGTTTTCACTCAAGCGTGTATCTTCTTTTAATCGTTGCAATAGATCGTCTTGAATATTGGCAACATCCATAAGGGTGCCGATTTCTTGCAAAAGTTTCTGTCGTGACTGACGGCCGATATCGGGGGTGAAAGTCGAAGCATTGGCACGCGCCTGTCCGAGGTATTCAATACGACGACTTAGCGGAAGAGTGAATGCACTTTGTGCGAGTTGATATTGCACACGAGCAGCATCAAAGTATCGCTCCGACTGTCCGTAGTAGCGCCAGAGTAAATCGGCGTGATAGAGATCGTCGACGGATTTGCGTTCTAGGTATGTGACAACAAAGGGCGATTTGGTTGCGAGAAGACGATCGTTCCAGCCTTGGTCAAGATACCAGTCATATAAGCTGGTGAGGAAAACTTCGTCATCGGAGTCGGAGATTACACCGTAGGCTTCATTTCGTCGCTTAGCAACAGGTGTGTATTGGCCGTCAATCACCCCAGGGTCTGAAGCAGCTGATGTGTCTACTGCAACAACAACCTTGAAAATTAGATCATAGCATTGCTTGCGGAACGCGAAATAATTGTGTCGTGAGTCCTTGCAGAATGTTAGTAAATTCAACACTAGAGTCGAATCTATCGTACCTCTAGTGAACGGCCGTCCATGATCCAATTAAGAGCCAGATTGGCCTTATCAGAGCTTCCTGCAACAGCCAAGCAAAGTTGAATAGCACCTGCTTCGTGTTAATTCCATCCATGTGATCATCACTTGCTGACATACCTGCGAAAAATTGGTTCTCGATGTAATGGTTCACTGCAGATACAAGATAATCCATCGGCAGATCCTCGGCAACCTGGCTGAACAGGCGTAGACTCTCATTAAGTAGATTCCGACCCAGCTCTGAGTTTGCACCAGTCTCAGTAGCTCGCTTAAGAAGCTCTTGAGCTTTGAAGATGATGACATCTTCGGCACTGCAGAAATTACCACATCGGCGTCGTAATGCATCAGCCACTGTTTCAACATTAGATCCCTTTGCAATGTTCCTGTTAACTATCGCCTTGACGAGTTCCTTGGCGATCTCGTATCCTTTTCCGGTGCTGAATAGCTCCTCGAATGTGAGTTTCAAAAACCGTTGTCTAGCCTCTTCAGGAAGAGCGACTACAATCTCATCGACACGTTCATCAAAAAGAACAAGAACAAAGGAGATGCCCTCAATTGTATCAGACAAAAGCTGTACCAACGAGTGTAGTGCACGGTGCTCCGCCTGCAGAGCAATTTCCTCCTGCTTCGTTGCGGCACGAGCAAGTGCTTCTGGGCCGCTAAGGCCTTCGATGAAATTCTTGTTGGTCTTGAAAAATTCCTGCAGCGAAGACAAGTCTTTCTGGATGCTTTGAAGTTTGGATATGCTCACAGAAGGTGTTACCTCTATAGGCCCAGTCTTTGATGGTTTGGTGATAGCAATTTCCTTCTTCCAGATAGATCGAAGGAGGCGGGACATGTACAGTGCAATGCCAGTATGACGTGGAGAAGGAACAATGGCATCGATTGCAGGGGCTCCACTATCTGCAACAGCGTTCTCATTCATGGATGGGCGACCGCCATATTCAATAAAAACCTTTCGTGCGTACTCGAGAACATCTGGATCGTTGATTTTCGAGAGGCGAGAATCTGGAGAAATTTCCACTCCTTGACCGCATGCAACGGCCAGGGCAGTGGCGAGAGTCTCGCTGCGCCCGTAGACCCGAATGAAGCTTTTGATATCACCCTCTAAACCTTCATCGCCACCGCCATGGCGAACAAGTGCCGCAAAGATATCAACAAGACGACGCCGTCTAACAACGTGAACGCCTGTGTTGGTTAGGATAGCGAATTCTGCTGCCGGCTGATCATATTGTATAGCCAACTCATTTCCAAATCCATTCGCAGAAGCCACGGACGCAAGAGGGGTCCCACAGAGACCAATATCTTCAGCCCTACTACCTAATGAAAGCCATATGGCTGATTCTGAAGGTTTAGGGGGAATAACATTTTCGTGGGCGCGGGCAATTCTGCCCGAGTCAGGTGCAGAGACAAACAAGGTATCTTCTTTCTGTGAAGGGTCTTTGCATGTGAAACAGAAGAAAAAACCTGGAGGAAATCGTTGAGCCATACGCGTAGGATCAAGGGACTTAATAGCGACCGTAGCTCCAGGTGCAGGTTGTTGAAATTGCATCATTGAACCACTAGTGCCACCAGCGATCGAAGGGCTGTCGAATGGTGGAGTCTTAACGAAATGTGCTTGCATGCTTGTCGGAGGACTAGTACCGCTGGGAGCCGACGACCAGCTGTATGATCCTGTAGCGCTCAGGTAAATGCGGTAGCCAGTTGCTGTCGTAGCTACTAGATGATATCGCGACGCTTCGGGTGTCGGCACGGGACTGATAGACACAATCTTCACCTTGGGATGCAGCGTCTCATTCGTAGGAATAATGTGACCGATATTCGAATATATGTCGATAGCTGGTTTCGTGATAGCGAGAGCCAATGTACCGTCGGGCTTTAGATGGAAAACTCTAATGGTAGACAAAGACGAGAGTGTGTAGAGTAGGTTGCGAGTATCATCCATTACCATTTGCTCAACATGCTCCATCTGCTTCGGGGCGAAAGCGAGAGACGGCGAGAAAGATGAGAATCGTGAGCTTGTTTGATTGACTTTCCCACAACGACCCTGAAACCATTTCTCCTCCTGTTGATATGTGAATTCATAAACATCGTTGTCAGATGATCCGGCGAAAAATATCCTTCCAGTCGAGTCTGACGTGGCAATCACATGAATATCAAGCCCTCGAATTGAAGTCGACATGCCTGTCTGATACAATGTCACTTGCTTCGCGCCTCCAGCGACTATCTCACATCCCATTCCTAGCAAGATAATCTCTGCTGCTGTAGAGATCACGAGAACATGGGTTATCGATGGCAAGAAGACCCCGGCGCGAGGTTTCGCGAGCTTAACCGAATTTACGCTACTTGCCTGGGTCTCGTATCCAACAAGCTGCGGGTTTGGGTGGGTGTAGTCCCATAGATAGAGCGCATTGTCAATAGCAACCCAGGCGTGGTTCAACTCAGCAAACAAGCCCATACTCGTCGACACTTGTGCGCGATTGTACTGATCGAAGATTTGGTCCGGGATATTGTACATCTTGACTTTGTGAAAAGGAGCCCACGCTGGCTGGGAGGGGATGTCATAATCCGAGGAGAAACCTTCTGCGAAGCTGGTCAGCAACAACTAACTTAGAATAATCATGGATTGACGCACGAGACAGATAGCTGTCTAGATCCGGATATCGAGATTCATGCGTAAGAGTATCATTTATCGTTTGCGCTGCGCGCTCTCGTGTACTCAAAGTCTCGCTTCTCGCACTTGGAGCTGCTGGAGACAACCTGTGGAGGAACGAAGATGATTCTGATCGCGCGGCAGACGCCGAGGGCGTTCTGCTTGGGAAAAGCGGCCCATTGTTGACAGCAGGGGGGGCAGGCGTTTGAAAATATGTTCCAGGCAGAGGTCTAGTCGGCGTCAGAGCTGGATAGGACATTTTCGTGTCCAGTCCGTGGGCAGCACGGTGAGGCTCTCCCCGCGTGAGGAAAGCCGCGAAAACAGAGAAGCTGGAAAACAGGTAAATTAGAGATAGACGGCGAACGAGCGTTCAAGGCAGAGAAGGAGAAAGAATGTTTCGGCCGCGCTGGTCCTCTTTCCCACTCAACTCAGGGCTGAGGTTCAAGCTTCAACGTGCTAGAGAAAGCAAGCCGCCTGGTCAAGAAGGAAGGCGTCGACGCCCAGAAACAATTTCGCGCACGGACCACTGTTTAGCTTCGTCGAGCTTTCTACCAGCCTCACATTTCTACTTTGCGATTTGTTTGTACCATTGAAAAACAGCAGCAAGACATTTTTTCTTTTCGACACTGTATTATTATTCTCATATACATCTAATTGTTTGTTTGTCATGCTCAGCACCGTCAGATTCTCGTCCCGTCTGGGATTCCGTGCCATTCGATGGAACTCCACGACAGCAAACTCGCTGCCGCCATTGATGGCCAAATTTCGCTCAGATCTCAAAACAGCGATGCGCGAGAAAGACAAACCGAGGTGAGCTCTGTGTAGTTGACTTTGACTCACTTCTCAATGGCTAAGCTCTATCTTTGAAGGCTGAACGTGCTACGAGCTCTGATCTCCGAAACCAATAACGCCGCCAAAACGTCGTCTCCTATTCAAACCGACCTCCAACTGCTGTCGCTAATTAAGAAAAAGGTTGCAGCGAGTAAGGACGCGTCCAGGCAATTTGCGGAAGCTAACAGAGCAGACCTCAAAGAGACAGAGGATTCGCAAATAGCGGTGCTCGAAGAATATGCCGATCAGGTCGAAACAATCAGTCTCGAAGAAATCAAGGCGACTGTTTCCAATGCCATTACACAACTGCAGAGAGAAGGAGGCAAGCTCAACCCCGGGCTTGTACTGAAAACTCTGCTTGCTCCTGGGGGCGCTTTGGATGGAAAGCCGGCGGATAAGTCAGAGGTTGCTCAGGTCGTCAAAGAACTGCTTCCCAAGAATTAAACATGATTTGACATGTCGCTGACCCGTCAAATCCCAATTCCCCATCTCTCCTCAGCAGTTCTGGGAAGACTCTGGGGGTTTTCTGTCTGTCCAGGCTTTGAGTAGCACAACTACTTAACAACATGTACGAATACAATATATTAATGACGATTTGAAGACAATGCGCACATCACGGCTCCTCTACGCATCCCCCATTAATCTACTTCATAACCACAGGGCAACGCTAAGAATCGCAATCAAAATTCATTTGCAGGTATATGGAACTGTCCTCCACATTCCGTGGATACGACATTGGAAAAGAGATCACCCCACAGGGACAATGCTTCATGAAAATACCAAGGTCAACCCTCCCACAGAAGTCATGATGACGCCAAACCACCACCAAGACGAACCATCACGGATAACAGGTTCAATATGTCTCAACAAGGTGTTTCTGCCCGTTGTGTCATCAAGGATTATATCTCTCTTGGACTTTTTTGAATCCGTAGCATTTAAACTCGATGTAGGTAACATCTCAGGGGGGTTGTAGAGAATGTACAGCGGCTGAATTGGCAATCCATCGAGCTGTTCCAAATCCAGCCGGAGTACGCCGTGAAACTTGTCTGTATATACCCGGTAGCTCTACTCCGAGTCAGCACCACCGTCAACATGTCAAGTAAACAAAAGCCCTTGCCTTGAACGTTTCAGTCTGGTTGTAGCGGCTGTACATTGAAGTGCGACCAGCACATGGATCCGATAATAGCTGACGACCGTCCGCAGCAATCGGCTTCAACACAAGGGAGCCGTTGGGCTGAAGTGAATAAGACCCATGCTGCCACTGTAATATTCCCTTGGCGCATTCGGGTTGGGATGCTAGATTCCACCATTATATTCTGCTTGCTCTCAAAAATCAAGACCACTCACGTTCAGAAATCGCCCGATAATACGCCTCTTCATAATACCCATCGTCTGAAAAGGAATACGATATACCCGTCAAGGGCGGCTCTTTGAGTTCATCTGCAGCAGGGTCGTAGAATCCCTAAACAACCTACTGATGAGCAATCCATGCACTAGCTATTCACACTCTCAAGTTTCCTTACCGAACCCGTAACAACCTGGCGTGATTTCGACGTCCATGTTCCTGTCAATTGGCTATCCACCGCCGCCCAGGTGGTATAGATCAGAGAACTAAGCAGCAAGACAAGCGATCTAGCAACGTTAGCCACCATTTTGGCACACGGTCGGCAGTTGTAAAAAGAGACTCTAAACTGACCATCGACGCGATCCTAAGAAGGGGGCGAGAATGCTGCCGTTACTTAGTTGTTGTTGCTGCTGCTGTAGGTCTAAGGAAATTCCGTCTCCGCGGAATCCAATCTATCCCCATTTGACAGGGCTCCACCGGAAGACCCCCTCCTGCATCACCCACGCCTAGACGTCATACTGCTATCTTTTTTTGGTTACTATCGCAGATAATATGGCGGCTGTGAGTGTAGTGAAAAAGGAATTACGGCAGAAAGTCCAAAGTCTTCTCAAGACTCTGCCACAGGAATCAGCGACTGCTCAATGTTAGGCTCAAATCATAAATATATTTCCGCATGAATACCACGATATATAACTAACAGCTCGCAGCAACGATCGTGACCAATAAATTATTCACCTTACCGGAATATCTCAACGCGAAGAGAATCAGTGTATTTCTTTCTATGCCCTACGGAGAAATTTCTACCACACGTATCGTTCAAGATGCCTTGGCTCGTGGGAAAGAAGTCTTCATCCCATATACGCATAACATCAGCATACAACCAAGAGTTTCGATAATGGACATGCTCCGTCTGGAATCCATGGAAGAATTTACATCACTTGAGCCAGACAAATGGGGGATACCGTCGCTCGCCAAAAGCTCTATCCCCACGAAGCAAAACTGTTTTGGGGGGTTGGGGGTTGCAGTTAATAGATCACGGGGTGGTGCTCTAGATGATGTTGGCTTGGACTTAATTATCATGCCTGGAATGGCATTTGATACTGGATTGAAACGACTAGGCCATGGCAAAGGCTACTATGATCATTTTCTGAATAGATACAGTACGGAAATCGAAGGCTCTTCGCGGGCGGGGAAAAGGCCGTTTCTTGGTAAGAGGATCGATCCTTTGGATGGCTGGTAATTCTGCTAATACTTCCATTTTCCAATACCGTAGTCGCCCTTGCTTTGAAGGAGCAGATTATATTCCCTCCCGAAGAAGTCCCCGTCGCAAGTCATGACCAACCCGTAGATGCAGTCATTGTCGGTGACGGCAGCCTAATAGCCTCGTAACACACGCTCATATAGCCCATTGATATTTTCTATACCAAGACAAATCCGATTTTGTTTTTGTAAGAACAACCCGAACGCCAAACACACACAGATATGTCACACCACCGATTTCAAAGACACAATCATTGGACGGCCTGGATCAGGGAAACGTTATCGCCCTTCAGGAGGATTTGACCTGCGCAGCTTGTTAGCAGACTGGATAAGATAAAAAATATTTTACTTTATTAGACATACCGAGATTCCTCCGCTTTTCCTCCTCGCTCTTTGTCGCAAGTCTGACCTCGATGGCGTCGTCGATCACGAGGTTCATGAATTCGTCAAATCCCTAGCCAGAGCAATCAGATTAGTACAAGAGTCAATTCGATAGGAGCTGGCAAGCAGTCATACGCGGATTTTTCCCTCTATGCGGAAGGAGAGCTGCTCGTAGAGCCAGATTGAAACTGTAGAGCGCTGCTGGAGGAGCTTGAAAATGAAATGGATGGGCGCAAGAAGCGTCTTTCGCCCTCCTGTATTGCCGCGACCGGTCATCTTGTCGTAGCGTAATGAGCGAAGCAGGCCCAAAAAGATATCTGGGCGAATGCGCAAGAGTGTGTTATGTTGCAAATGCGGAAACGGGTTGCGGTCGTGTGCTGGTGGAGTTGCCGCAGGAAGTTGCAGGCCGACTTTGTCAGGCAGCTCAAGGTTGCGGCTCGAACTTTTTTTTGGCTTGTTTGGATTCCGTCACTAGAGCGATATGCCACTACCACCACCGATCGCCGCTCCTTCTCGCTTCCCAGCCTCAACCAGCGCGCCAGAGATCCTGCATTGCCTTTTTATTTCCCTTCATTTGACCTCTACCTTTAATTAATGCCTGTTTAGAGCGACAGACGGACTTCGATCGGCCTGTCAGTTCCGGGGCTCTTCGCTCCAGATCCCCACCTCTATCGTCGTTGACCCCTCACATTAATAAAATCACCACCATGACAAGCAAAGGTAGCGACGGGCAGGCGTTTGCCCCCGTGCTAAATGCAGTCGCGACAATGCAGGGCAATGTGTCGCGCTCCGATAAGGCGCACGCCCATGAGTTTCTTGAGAAATTCCAGAAATCAGTACGGTTATCTGCTCCCACATCCAGCATGTTCGTGGCTCTGACACCGATGAATTTCAGGTCGACGCCTGGACGATGACGCATGCCATGTTACAGTCCACAAATATTCCGATCGAGGCGAAACTTTTTGCGGCAACCACATTGAAAGGAAAGGTATAAGGGACTTCTTTGACATAGGCGGAAGGAAAGCATTGCTGATGCTCGGTAGATAACCTATGACCTCGACCAGTTGCCGCCCGATGCGGTTCTTCAGCTACGAGATTCAATCCTGAGCCAGCTTGTCACATTTGCTGCGGGCCCGCGTCCCATTCAGACGCAGCTTTGCGTGTGCCTAGCCAATCTTGCGATCCAGATGACCACGTGGAAGGACGTTTTAGCGACAGTAGGATCAACATTAGGGAGCACTGCGGGGGACTGTGTTCTGGAGTTTCTGAGGATTCTCCCCGAGGAAGTGACGGAAGGTCGCAAAATCAACCTGAGTGTACGTTCGAACGATTAATCACAACTACCGTCTTTACGCATGTCCATGTGTGCTACGGCAAGAAACTGAGAGTCTAATGTGTCGATGAAAAATAGGAAGAGGATCTCCAGACCAGGACGAAAGAGCTTTTGGACGATAATGCGGAGCAGGTCATGCACCTTCTCCTTCAATACTCGCAGTCTTCAGGTATGTGTCTTTATGGGCAGTTATTGGTACCGATGGCTCACTCTTTCTAGCTTCTGCGGCTACAAACCCCCGATTAATTGACTGCATAACGTCTTGGCTGCGCGAAATTCCGGCCACGCAGATTGTCGAGTCCCCACTGCTGGATGTTATTTTAAAGGCCCTCGATAACGATTCTTCTTTTGATTCGGCCGTCGACTGTATATGTTCGATCTACAGAGATACGCGGGAGGTGGATGACTCGGTTGCTGCAATTCAAAAATTGTACCCTCGGATAGTCTCTCTTCGACCGAAACTTAGACAAACGGTAGAGGAAGACGATTTGGAAGCTTTCAAAGGGTTGACTAGACTGTTCGCTGAGGCTGGAGAAGCTTGGGTGGTTCTAGTTGCCAGACTTCCCAATGAGTTCCGAGAGCTCGTTGAAGCTGTCCTTGAGTGCTGTCTTCTCGACAAAGAACGCGAGGCCGTGTCTTTTACATTTAACTTCTGGTACGAGCTCAAGCAATACCTTGTGTTGGACCGATATGCCGAAGCCAAAGCAGCCTTCCACGGCATCTTTTCCCGTCTGGTCGACATTATGATTAAGCATCTCGAGTTTCCAAAACCGGAGGATGAAGGTTCAACCGATCTTTTCGACGGTGACCGCGCACAGGAAGACCGTTTCCGAATGTTCCGTCATTCTATGGGTGATGTGCTCAAGGATTGTTGCGCGGTAATCGGGGTGAGTGAATGCCTGATGAAGGCATATCAGCAAATTCAGCAATGGGTATCAAAATACGCTTCGCAGTCGACCAACGAACACGTCCCCCACTGGCAAGAGCTCGAAGCGCCTGTTTTTAGCATGAGAGCTATGGGTCGAATGGTGGATATCGAAGAGGATACAGTCCTTCCTCAAGTTATTCCTCTCATCGTTCAGATCCCTGATCACGAAAAAGTCCGATTCTCGGCAATCATGGCCCTCGGTAGATATACAGAGTGGACTGCGAACCATCCAGAAACATTGGAGTCACAGCTTAATTATGTTATCTCTGGGTTTCAGCACAGCTCTCCAGACGTTGTTGGAGCTGCAGCCTTGGCTTTCAAATATCTTGGAACAGACTGTAGTAAATTGCTTGGGGGTCATATCCCTCAGCTGCACACATTTTACGAATCAGTTCTCGATAAGCTCAAACCACCCAGTCAAGAAGAGGTTACTGAGGGTGTGGCCGCTGTTGTTGCGTTGCAGCCGCTTGATAAGGTATACGAATCTATGAAACTCTTCTGCGACCCTATCATGGCAAGAGTTATGAACCTAGCCAACAACGCCCAGGACGAACAAGGCCAAAAGGCTGTAGCAGGTAAGTTCTCGGATTCTGAAGAGTACCAAATGCCATTTACTAATAAGATAGATCATTTGCAATTAATTACTATTTTCATTCAAATTGTGACACCTTACGTTGGCCCTCGAACCGAGAATCCTGCCGTAAAGTACTGCGGTGAAATTCTCCCGATCATGAACACACTCGTATTGAACTTCACCAAGTCGACACCTATACTAGAGCGCGTTTGTCGTTGCTGGAGGTACATGGTTATTTCATACAGGACAGCCATGATTTCCCTGTTGCCAAGTCTGGCGCAAAGCTTGGCTGCTGGCTTTGAGGCATCGCGAGAGGGTTGCTTCTTGTGGGCGACTGACGCCGTTGTTCGGGAATTTGCAGAGGGGGCAGAACTTGTGGACTCTGCAACTAGTCAAGCTGTGTATCAATTCTTTGAGCAGCAAAGTATTGCGTTTTTACGAATTTTGAACGACTTGCCTCCTGAACAGCTCCCAGACGGTAAGTATTACTCAAATACTTGACAAGATTTGTGCGCTAACTGCAGCAGTTATCGAGGATTACTTCCGTCTGGCCAGCGATGCTGTCCGCTTCTATCCTCAGGAATGTGTCACGTCATCTTTGGTGGGACCGATCTTCTCTGCTGGTCTCAGTGCCCTCACTCTACAACAGACCGACCCGCTTATTGCGACATTGCATTATTACCGTGACCTTTTGAGCTTTGCATTCGAAACGCCGTCGATGTCTAATTTCACCAGCTCCGACGGAAAGCCTTACACCAACCCAATCGAAGTTCAAAATTCGGTGAAGGATCTGCTGACAAACCAAGGCCAACTACTCGTTGAACGAGTAATGACAGGCATGATGTTCAGTTTCCCAGAAGACTGCTTCCCAGATGCATCGGGTATTCTTATGACTCTATTTGAAATGATGCCACCACAGACTGGTTCTTGGGTCCAGTCCACAGTCGAGAGACTCCCAGCAGGGACAATGAAGCCCGGGGAGGCCGAGAGACTCCTGACAAGTATTTCAGAGAGGATCCAATCTGGCGAGACTCGCAGGATACGTGTACTCTTACAAGGTAAGAAACTCACTGCTTCCTACCTCTATCTTCAAACTGTTACTCATCACAATGATAGATTTCACCAACTCATATCGCCGACGAAATGTGGCTCCCCGCGACGGCCTTGGAAGATTGGAAGCTACACGATTTCGATTCAGTGGATAGTCAGAGTGCGAGGATAGAAACAACAAAAGCATTTGAAATTATCTTCTATGGACCTGACCTGGATTCAAAGGCTATCAGCATCGTGTAGCAACTGCAGCAATTCTGAGCACACTCCCATCCAGGTATAACTTTGCCCATGGCCGAGGCCTGTGTCGGCCGTCTCGTAAGATCACATCACTAACAGGATCCCTGTTCGCCTTTCCAGGTTGAGATGCTGCATTTTGTGAGTCCTCAAGGTTATGTTTTCGCTGGGACGCAGGAATCCTGTTGCATCATTGCTTTTTGTCATGTAGTGTATAACAATTATACCCGGGGGGAATGAAATAGAAGGCGACCTACTGAACAACTTTTCTTTAAACCACCTCAATGTCCTGCCACAGTATCGTGATCAGCCTGCGGTTCAAAATATCAATTGATTGCAGATGTTGCATGGGAGAACTATGTCGATATTGTGGACTCGTGATCCTTGGCAGTTGGCGTCAGTAGAAGGAAGGAGCGACTGTGGTCTGCCAGTCACATGTTCGGCCACCACCTGTAGTTTCCAGTTCTCGCCGTTTCCTTGCGTTGCCATCTTGTATCCGCTCGAGAAAGATTGCATGCAAAGATGATATGATATTTCATACTTCATCAGAATGGAAGCTTGCATAACAGTAGTCTGGTATGTCTGTCCTGATCCCCCATCTCCCCGAGCATCCTACTTAGTCTCAGCGTATCAAGGTCACACGAATCGTGGGCCAATGACAAGACTCACCCCTCCCCTTGCCACTGGATTTCAGTTTTAATAGCGACTACGGCGCCTAGTATCAAAAACTCCTCATACGTAGAGCCGGCCGAGAAATTGGAAACGCCATAGAGGAGACAACAGATTGACGGAGGACATGCCATACCCTAATCTCTATCCTCTATGCACTGTCGATCAACATGACAGCTTATTGTTTGTCATTTCATCGTAAATGATAGCATAAAGCACTAGCACCCAACAGTCCCAACTACAAGCGTCACTGCGGGAATTTCGAGCACCAACGATACGTACGCGAGTCACGGTCACGCGGTATTACGAAGAGGCTTGCTTGTCCGAAAGGTGGACGATGACTCCACGTACTTAGGCGACAACGGACGACCATCTGCCGCTGTCATCTGCACGAGTGAGAGACGGAAGCTTATTCGAGGGAGAGATCGAAAGGTTCGAAGCTATTGCATGAAGATCTTGGTTGTTTTCAAACCACTAGGCTCTAGGCTCTGACCGGTTCGAAAGACTGCGTATAGTACGGCAGGGACTGGAATACGGTATCGATCCTCTCCATATGAATATGCTTACACTGTTACAGGCTTGTATCACAGTCTTGTTCATTGAATGATTAGATGTCGGAAAATGTAGGAAAGCTTAAACAGCAGGCCAATGTTGCAACAACTCTCAGGGGATATTCTCCTGAGATATTGCCTACATAGCCCCATGACAGGAGCTTTGTCAAGAAACTATCGAATATGTGTGGTAGGGCATGGTAGTAGGAGAGCCAATCGCTCGTCCCGTCTGCCTTGGTATTGCCTCCTTGAACAGGGGTTCGATCTAATTACCGCGTCTAGCAACATTGACTTGGATATGGAGACTCGCGAATTGGTGATGCTGCGTGTCAAGGAGGCGATCAAATCAAAAGATGAGAGGAATCAGCCGTCAATCTGAGATGATCGCCACAAGGCTGAGACGAATCGGCATACGACAGGAAAAACTCCACGTAGTATGTACTACTACATGGTGCTATTATACTAGTGGAGGAGGGTATATTGGCCCACAGGCAATTTCAGACCCTGAAAATTAGCAGGCTAAATCAACGGAGAGATTTTTACGGGTGCAGAGAGAGCTATTGTACTGCATTGTTAGTAGTTGGATGCCCAGACTGATCGTCTGGTGCCTGACGACTTCGAGACTGCTTTCAACACAGGTCACTGACATCTTGGTACTGCTCATCTTCACTTGCGTACAATTAGGCTTCACTCAGGCGCTGACCAGGCAAGAAGACTCGGAATTGCGTGATCGTACAGCGGCAATGGCGTGATGCGTCAAAACCAAACTGGTTCCACTGTCTCGGGTTCGACAAGCTCACACTAGCGCGGCCTATTCTGCTCGTATTCACCATTTAGCGTTGACCCTTCCATGTTATTTCCTGCGCAGGTGTGTATGGTGTTAGGAGGGGAGATCTCCGAGGGCGAATTAGCTCGACAGGAGTAGGATCTTTTCTCCGCGGCTCACCCTGGTCGGGGCAAGTGGCCGTCCAATGGGAAGGGTTTGCTGGTACATTTTCCGGCGGCTATCGCGAAATGCAATATTATTTCCATTATGGGAATGGGCAATAGGGCAATGACCAGGCAATGGGGCAACCACCAAGAACGACTTGGCTCTCAATTCATGATAGAATAATCTATTTATTTTCGACCAGTGTCTCAACTCGCGCTTGGCCTAGATAGACTCTATGAAGCGATGTGACTATGCCTGTCTCTCACGGAGATTATTCCCGGCGACTGCTCACAAAAACACGCAAAGGGAATAGATCCGAATAGACCAGAATAGATCAGAATAGATCACACCGGTGGCTAATATCTGATCATTGTGTCGATGAAAAAGCACTCATGAATCCTGCTAATCGGCGCCGGCTAGAGCTTGCTCGACAGTGACATTGACGATTGATGCTATTGGAAAGATCATGTTATTATAATTCTATTAGTAGTTATTAGTGCAATTACAGAGCAGGATCCAGGCTAATGCAACGACAGCGCGGGTTGGCATAATAGGGATGATCGGTGGCTATGCGAGCATTTCTGGGGAGTTATGCAGAATGAGCTGCGGCTTCTCATCTCTGGTTTGCTGCTCCAGCCTCACGCCTCCCCTGATTTTTATTATATTCTCTCCAGTTTAGATCTCGGTTTCCTGGCTTGGCCAATCGAGACAGGCCCTGGGGCCCGCACGTGCAGCTCAGGCTGTGCTAAGCGCTAGGTGCATGCTGGCTAAGTGCTGCTCGGTGCATGCTGGGCGGGCCTTTCCGTTGTGAAGACTTTTCTTGATAGCCATGTCATTATTCAATCCGTTATTGTAACGAGTATTCTCGGGACAGGCCGCTCAGCCTCACTTATCAGTCTCCGCCAGACACGCAGTACTTTGCAGACTACTACACCATCATCATCGTCGTCGTCGTCATCTAGTTCTACGAGGGCGTGCATGGTACTGTTTGGTGTTTTGGTTTGTTTTAGATTACCCGGTGTCGTTCTGCCACTCTCCACAACAACATTGAATATTTTAATATTAACGTGGCGCGGATGGGGCGGGATTCTTTTGCACAAAATGCTTCATTTCTGCCTCCTCTCATTCGTCCAAACTTTTGAATTTTCGAGTGGCGAGAGAGCCCCGTCTCGTATTCGATCATGATTTCTGTCGTCATTTCCGATCTATTATCATCCTTTTGCTCCAGACTGTTACCATTTGGAAAGATGCAACTGCAAGACTATCGTGAAACTAACGGCGAGACAAAATGTGGCAATCAATAATAGTAGACTGCTGACTCGCCAATGTGGCCATTATTGCTGCACGATCTTGCCGATCGTCTCCTCAAAATATGCACAGACGAATAGGAAGCTGGCATGCCATTCCCCAATCCTGTCAACTGCATATAATTAGCTATTGCGTGATATCAGGACGAAGACATACTCCATAGCCTTGTAATAATAACCTGGAGCATACAGCATGAATCATACACTGCACAATACGCATAGTATACTGTGCTGTGTATAGATTCCTCTTAGCTTGCCATCCAGTCGGGCCGCACCCACATGACGACGATCCTACTAGCTGCTAGCACATCAGACTTTAGGCGCATGCAGCGGCAGGGGCAATATTTGACCCAAAAACGTTTACATAATACTACTCCCGCTATATTATTGCGATAGTCGCGGTGGCAGCCAGAGCTGAGATCTCGGGCGGGGATGTAATTGACTTTGCCGGGTGTCGGGCTCGCCCTAGTCATGCGGCACGATGATTAGAGGATGGCAGAAAAAAAGAAAGAATAAAGAAAGCGTACGAGCATATCACAAAACGACGAGGAACAAAGTGATGCGGCATATAAAGCGTGACTCTCCCCGACAGTCCTCTTTGCTCTCTCTCGGTTTTGGACGCGCTTCGGTGGAGCTTCCAGAACATCTCCAATATAATAATATACTACGTGGTACGTAGTTGCATTCATAGTAAGTTGCAACCGCACTGTAAGCCCCGGCCTTTCCCCGGCGTCGGCGACTGCCGCGCCCCACAGGTGCATCTCACCCCTCAGTACTGACTACTCACAGCTCAGTCCGCTCGACTCTTGTCTGTTCTCACTACTGCTGCTTCTGCACGCCTGTGCACAGTGCGTGCCTGCAATATCATCTCGCGCGCCTCGCGCCGGTGATATTAACATAGCTGCTCGCTGATGACCGCGTACATCCCAGTCCGACTTCGGATTCCAACCAGCCAGAGCAGAGGCATCGGTTAACACCAGAGACGTCGGTGAACGAGTCAACCAAATCATTTTTCTACCACCTGAATACACGGCGAGAGATGACTGTGGCAATACGCACTATGGGCGCCGAGTCGCGGGACCATGGGGCTGCAGACACCAAGAAGCGAAAGAGGAATCGCAAGGCGCCTCCAGATAGGAAATTCGACTGCCAGCATGAAGGCTGTGGGAAGAGCTACTCCCGCGCCGAGCATTTACATCGACATCAGCTGAATCGTATGCTGCAGCCTCTACCTCTTCCAGAATTATAGATATCGTTTGCGGCTCAGTGGCTGACCCTGTGTAATTGCAGATACCCCCAAACAGATTTATCGCTGCGACTTTCCGGACTGTTACAGGACTTTTGTTCGACAGGATCTTTGCATTCGCCATCGGGAACGTCACACCACCCACGGCTCACAGTTGCAGAAACGCGACAACTTTGCTCAAGCCTCTGGCAATTTGCGAGCAGGACCATCTCCTCCGCCAGGCCCAACGCAGGATGAGAATACTTCGGCTACCAAGGCCTCGCCTAAAATACGCACATCAACGTCGACGCAGACCGGTATTCATGCAGCCGAATTCACCTCGACAGATGTCTCCTACCCGCCTTTGACACCACAAACAGGATTTGCCAGCGGTGACCCAGGAATCAGGAGGTCGGATAGCGCCAGCAGTTATGTAATGAGTCCTTCCAAGGCACAGACGGCAATGTATACCACTGGATCTTATGGCCCTGTATCCGCATCGACTTACCAGAATACCCCATTCAGCCCAAGCGACCTACGACGGAGTCCGAGTACTACCAATGCGGGAACGGCCTATATGTCTTCTGGTGGGCTAGCCACTAGTCCTCCTCTAGGCTCGACTACGTACATGTCACAACAGGATCTATCCATGTCGAACCTGGGATTTTCAAACTCAAACTTGTCTCAATCAGGTCACTATGGTCCGGCAGGGCTCAGCGCTATGGAAAATTCCGGCATGGTCTCTGGCTCTGCGGAGAATGGAGTTGGAGTGGATTCCTCGTACCCATACCCCATCTTTGGTGGAGAGACGTACAATCGCTCCCCGTTCGCCATGGGGGACGATTTTGCTGCCTGGTTGTTCAACGAGCCCACGACGGGATCGCCGGTAAATTACTCGAATATGATGGCGGGATACTCTGATCCATCACAGACTCATGCTCAGTTCGCCGGCAATGACCCGGCATACGGCTCCGCTTACCCCAATGTTATTCCACAGCATCCGATGAGTGTAACGAGTATCCTCGATTCGACACCCCCAGAGGCGATGATGTCGGAGGAGAAGCGACAAGACGTCCTTCACCTAATCAGCACGCGATTCAACGAGACGGCGCATTCGGCGGTGAATACGCGCAAGGAGGCACTGATGGAGGGCGATATCGATGCTGATAGTCATATCTTGAGTCTTCGGATGATGCAAACGTATGTCGGATCGTACTGGCTCCATTTCCATGCGCAACTCCCAATCTTACACAAGCCTACGTTCGTCGCAGATCGCACCCCCACGTTACTGCTCCTGTCTCTGATGGCTATCGGAGCGGCCACGCTCGAGAAGGCCCACGGACAGCTCGTTACCGAGGCGGCCGCCGATCTAGCCAACTTTTTGGCGTGGCATATCCGATGGGAGATTTTCATGGATGTCGATTTTCGGCCACCAGCAAAGCTATGGGTATTCCAGACGCTGCTGCTTTTGGAGGTGTACGAGAAGAGTTACTCGACCCGGGCACTGCATGAACGGGCACATATCCACCACGATACGACATTGACGCTGATGCGACGGGGCAGCTCTTTCTTAGGTCGATCAGCGCTTGATTCTCCAGCCAGTTATCGCGAGGGGAATCAGTCGTCCACGGCCACATCAGAGACCGGAGTGCGCGATGATTCGTGGTCGCAGTGGATTAGAACCGAAGCGACCAGACGCGTTGCTTTTGGTGCTTTTGTAATGGACTCGATTCACGGTACGATGTTTGGACATTCTGTCAAGATGGTTGCACATGAGCTGCGTCTGCCTCTGCCATGCGACGAGGCACTGTGGTCTGCCACTAGTGCAGCGGAGGTGTCCCGTATGCAGACCGTTCTTCAGTCGAACGGGGTCAAGCCGGTTATGTTCCTGGACGGGTTGAAAAAGACATTGACAGGACAGAAAGTGCGAACCAATGGGTTTGGCAGGACCATTCTTATGGCCGGCTTACTTAGTGTCAGCTGGCATATGAACCAACGTGATCTGCAGGTCAGCTCTCTGGGTGTTGCTCAAGCACTAGGTGGGCGAGATAAATGGCGGGCTTCGCTACTGCGGGCATTCGATAATTGGAAACGGGATTTCGATGAAACGCTGGCCGATTCAGGGTATCGGGGCGGCTATAGAAGCTTCTTCCAGCCGCAATACCACGAAGACGACACCTTCGAGTCCCGCACGGTGCTTCATCATCTAGCTCACATGGTGTCGCATGTCGATATCGTCGACTGCCAGGTCTTCGGCGGAGCAAGTCGCCTGCTGGGACGGTCAATCACGCCACGGGATTACAGCACGGCGCGAGAGAAAATGACAGAACGATGGGCCACCAAAGCCTCCGCACGGGACGCAACATTCTACGCTCTGAAGTTTCTGTGTCAAGTATTACTACCCTCTCACATATCTCGCGTTGGTCCAAACGGTAAATCCATGGTCAAGCCAGCCGGCTACTCTGCTCGCGAAGACTTTCTACTCCACCGGCCGTGGGTTGTATACTTGGCGGCCCTGGTTGTCTGGTCGTATGGGTACGCATTAGAAGGAGCCATTCCGTCACCTCCAGAGCTGCCCACTGCCGGCTCGCAGATCCAAGACATGCAGCGCTTTCTACAAACGATCGGGGCAGTCCGCGAACCCAGCGATCTGGAGCACGTTACGGGCCGCAATCAATGCCTCGGGCTGCTGATGCACCTCCAAGCGAGTTTTCGCGATACGCGATGGGAGCTGCTGCACGAGGCGGCGGGGTTGCTGGAACGGTGTATTGAGAAGCTGAAAACGGTGCAGAGCATTTTTTAATTAAACCTTTCTTTTTCTGTGTCTTTATTTGTATGTATTGCATGGCTTTTGCAAAAGGAGGCTGTTTGATTTGGCTGTTTCTTTACGATACCTGGATGGGCTGGGAGGATAGTTGTGTTTGTAACGATGTACATGACAATATATTTATTCGATAAATATTTACCTTGACTTATTCAATCAAACATCTATAATATATTATAATAATGAGTATATTCATTATTCAATATGTAAGTCTGTATGTAAATAGAGAGTGGGACGCGGTTACCCCAACAACGAACGCCGCCGCCCGGCCGCTTATCCCTTACTGCAGTTTCATTCTTCTGACAACAGACGCATTGTTTGACAGTTACTACTTACTACTCCTAGCTACTCGCCGTCCATCCTCCCAGTTCACTGTATCGTCGTCGATCCTGATCCTGCTCAAGCGCCTTGCGAATTCACGCTCTAGCCGCCATCCCTGCATCCCTTCTTGCCACTGCTACTCACCAATTCCTTGTGAACTGAACAACCGAGTCGACTAATTCCAGACACGCTGATCATGGTAGGTCCTGCTATGGCCCACAGAAACGAAGAGCAACGCGAGCAAGGAGCTGGCAGCAGCACGACGCTATGGCATCAGCAGAATTGTTGTGTTTTTGTTGTTGTTGTCAGACGGGACAACGCCTTCTCTCGCCTTTTGGTTCGCGGTTAATTTCAGCCAGCCAGAGCCGGCGGTGCTGTTCTCGGCGCATGTCTTGATCCGCTCGCTCACCACTCGTTGTGTTGCTGCTCCTCTTCGTTTCTGTTCTTGTTTTACCATCTCCCATTCACATCTTCGATTATCTCGATAACCATGTCTAACCACGACCAGGCTTCCACCAACTACAAAGAGGCATTCTCGCTCTTCGACAAGCGCGGCTCCGGCCGTGTCTCCCTATCCTCGCTCGGCGATCTCCTGCGCGCCTGCGGCCAGAATCCGACGCTGGCCGAGATTAGCGATTTGGAAAAGAGCTTGGGAGGGGATTGTACGTACATTGATCAACATCTGTGTGACCATTCTGACGGCGTTCGTGTTTAGTCGACTTTGACGCCTTCTCGAAAGTCCTCAACCGCCCTGGCGGCTTCCGCGACCCCGGCGAGCCCGAAGAATACTGCCGCGGCTTCCAGGTGTTTGATAAAGATTTGACGGGGTATATCGGTGTCGGACAGCTTCGCTACAGTGGGTAACCTACACAAGCAAAAAAACAGGGTGGGAATGCTGATGAGTACAGTCCTGACGAACCTCGGCGAGAAAATGTCCGATGAGGAGGTGGACGAGTTGCTCAAGTCGGTTGATACCAGCTCTGGCGAGATTAACTATACTGGTGCGTATCTAATTTCCAGGTTGATGAGAAAGACTGCTGATGATGTAGAACTTGTCCGCACGATCCTGGCAAACTGATGATACCCCGCGAGAGTGACGAGCGAACGATTCTTATTGATCTTTCTTATTGATATTGATATTTGGTTGGAGTTGGCTGTGCTGCATGATGTATGATATAACATAACATTACATAACAATAACAATCGCTGGATTGACTTAGTCTATCATCATACTTCTATATATATATATATATATATTCGAATAACTACCATCCCTCCCACTCCTTTTCCATCCCCCGCAACACCTCATTCCGCTGCACAATCGCATCCAGCCCGCCCTCGCCAGTATCATCCTGCAAATCCTCCGTACCAACCAACGACCCTGGCAACAGATAAAACACCCTATCCCTTCCCTCCTCCTCCTCCTCTTCATCCTCACCCCCCTCCTCATCCCTATCATGATCAAGCTCGCGCGCATTCAGGTTAAGCGGGGTATCAATCTCATACCCAACAACAACTCTACACCGTCCGCACCTGTGCAAAACCCTCTTCTCGAACCCGTCCTCGCGCCGCACAATCACGGGCTTTGCGTCGGGAATAAGCGTCGAAAGCGGGATTGTGTAGTGTGCCTGGACCATCCCCTCCCCCCTTCTCCCTTTTTCCATTTCTGTGCTGTTTCTGTTTTCTGTATTTTCCTCTGCCACAGCACCAACCCCCTGCGTATCCCCTCCGCTGGCAACAGGCTCTGTAGTAGTAGTACGACCAGCTCTCCTCCTCCTCCTCTTCCCCTGAATGTCTAGAATCAAAGCCCTATCCTGCGCGGCCGCGGATCGTCGTGGGAGTGGCGCGGAGCCGGACAGCAGGGCGCGCGTGGATGCGATGAGGAGGTGTGAGCAGTACCGGCAGTGGAAGGTTTTTATCGGGAGGCGGGGTTCGTCCATTTTTCTCTTTTCTTTTTTCTCTTCTCTGTTTTGTGTTTGTGATTATGTTTATGTTTGTTGAGGGGGTGATAATTGGATATGGAGGAGAATGGATGTGGAAGATGGATTTTGGAGTAGAGGGCGGAATTGGTGCCAAGAGCGGACTGATGCTCCGCTGTATTCCCCAAGACTGTCTGAATATTGGTTGATACTAAGTTATAACCAGTGGACTTGGGATAAGTTTTAAATATCTAAATTATAATCGATAATAATATGTAATTAAACTGAGGGGGTATAACATTCGGAAATTCTATCTATTGCACCTGGGTTTAATAGCAAATATATTCAATGATGATGTTGATGAGTTTCTTAATATAGATATCAATAGTAACATCTGAACAATTCTGATATATACATCAGTATAATGCGATTAAAATTGAACCAACCTTAGAAACTGTTGGGTGAGTAAAGTGAATTAATCATGAATATGAATTTGATTAACCATACTTGAAAATCCTAACTATCAGTTACCTATATAAAAGTATGTAAACTGCACGCTCATTGCTCAACGTAGACTGTAGCCATTGGACTCTATTTCCTTAATACAATATATATTTGTTATTTTTACAATTATTTTAATATACAAATGTTTGAATTCTTTTTCATATAGTGTATCAGAATTCTCAAACGACAGTCGTTTGCTCCCTCCTATTCGAAGATGAAGTTATTCGAAGATGAAGTTTAGCACCTTATCTATCTTTCCAGGCTCGCGTGGTATTAAGATAGCTTCGTAATTGTCAATATCTTCCTTCAATCCACCAAGAGTTAAATTTGCCGTTCCGGGCTGGATGTACTTGCTTCTGAAACACAACTTCCAGAAAGCGAAAGCCAGTATAAAGAATGCAATCATGCCGTAGTCCAGGAAGAACCACATAACATCCCAACCCCCTGCAAGAAACAAATCATACCCTCCGGCTAAGAGCATGAAGCTTGTTCCTCCCATGGCGATGTAGCAGGTGTATGGTTGAAACCGTCCTTTGTAAGGGAGAGTGTCTCTGGAAATTCCCTGCTTCTTCAGTGCAGAAAAGAAGTGTCTATACGTCAGGGCTGTGAAACCGTAGTTGATTAGCTGACAGCAGGTGACAAGATCGACGAGGTAGGTCATGACTACTGCCGAGGAGCTGTTGACTTGGAGGAAGGCCAAAAGGCAGAATGACAGGGAGGCAAGGAGAGCCCAGAGAGGAACGCCGTTGTTAGTGCACCACGAGAAGAAACGCGGCGCCTGACCTTGGAGGGACATGCCGTGCAAGGTGCGAGTCGCAGCAAATAATAAGCCATTGCCGGCACTGAATATCGATGTCATAATAAGAGCGTTGACAAGGTGAGGTAATCCGGAGATTTGAAGTCGTTGCATTGCAATGACATATGGACTATTTCCCGGTTAGACTCCATAGAGCAAACTGGCAAACACTTACGATGCTGCACCGGTGCCTGATCCTGAGATATCGCCTCCTAGAATGCCGAGAAGGGTAGGATCGTTGTACGGAATAACGATTCCCATGCATAGGGCAGACCCGACAAAAAAGACGAGGATCCGCCATACGAATGATCGGAATGCAGGAGGCAGGATCTTGCGAGGATTCTCGGTCTCTGCAGCCACCATGGAAATGTACTCGGGGCCACAGATACTTTGGATATGTTAGTTAAAAAAGGAACTGGTCAAGGAATGTAGATACGTACGAAAAACTAGCTTGATACACACATGAAAGGACACCCAGGAATTTGCCTGTTCCTCCCGGCACGAGGTGTTCGACAAATGCTCCCGGGTTGTCCCAATAACGGAATCCATAACGGTCATGAAGGGGATTTCCACCCAGCATAGTGATGAAAACGAAGAAGAAAAGCCCGATCATTAATACAACTTTGAAGATTGACAGATAGAACTCGGAGATGCCAAAGTAGCGTACGGTGATTATGTTAAGGATGGCATAGAGGACGATCATTGCAACAATGATAGCCTCAACAGGGACCTTGTCCGTCCAGAAGGTTATCATGATGTTCATTGCTACAATCTCAAAGGGCACGAGGAAGGCCATGTTGAGAAAGAAATTCCATGCCATGGCGAAGCCGAGAGCACCATCTACCCACTCGCCGCCGAAACGGATGAAGGGCGATGGGACAGGAAGGAAGGTAACCATCTCAGCGAAGCACTCGTTCACTGCCCACATTATAGCGCCCCAGATGAGAAAGGCGACGAAGAGCCCTGCAGGCCCGCCCTTTGGTAGAGCAGAGCCCATCTGCACATAGAGCGCTTGGAAGTTGTCAGTTTTGTTCAAATTTTGTATTGCTGATGACATACATGTGCCAATTGCTCCACCAATGGCGAAGAGCTGGACTTCCTTTCCTCGTAGCTTCCTATGCAGAGAATGTGACCTGGAAATCATCTCTGTGGACGATTCCTGCACGACTTCATCGTCTGTCCTTATATCGACAGACGGTGATGGAGGTCCCTTCTCGGGATATTTGGTTGCCGACATATTTTATTGATTAAAGGGCTATTGCAGGCTACCAGGGAGCTTAGTCTATGAAACTGTGTTAACAGCATAGCAGATGTACATGCAAGGGGCGTTGGTATTAAACTATATAAGACGGTTTCACTTAGAAGGCTCATTATATGTATATTCCCTGCCTAGATTATTGTCAACGGTGGAACGATATAGTTTCAGATAACAACATCGAATCAGATACGAGATAAGCGAATGAGGAATAGTTAATCGAAGAGAACGCCCGCCGGCCACTAGTCCGACAACCTCAGCGTCTTCTTATCGTTATCATGATTGCAGGAATTCAGATCGGACCTTCCGATACTTACCCCGCTTCGACTGGGTGGAGATGGAATTGAATAAGGAATCGAGTAGGGATACCACAAGTTGTGTACGGATGGCCGATTCATATGGGATTCATGAACCATCGTCGCAACCCTAACTGTATCCCCGAATCCTAGCAGGGGGAATACGCAAAGTGCTCGAGACAGAAATGAAACAGCTCTGTTCATAGAAGTATGGATATCGAATGCTGGCTTATTAGTCCTACAGTGTAGTGTTTGAATTTATCTAGCTCAGTGCTTAAAATGGCCCCCAGACAGATGTTCCTCATACTGATAATGAGGCTGAAATTCTACAAATAATGTCTCCTGCGTTCATATTAGCGATATTTGTCCTCGTCATTAAATGGGACTGCCACTTACTGGTGTGCTCGCCATCCGGAAATTATAAGCTGCTTCTTCGTCACTGACGATTTGCTTCTCAAGTCCAGCACTTTCAGCTAGCAACTGTACTTTGCAGCTTCTCTCCATCAAACAGAACAGAAACGCTGCCTCGTCCACCGTCTCTCCAACGGTCAGTAGACCATGATTCATCAGGATCACCGCCTTCCCATCACCGAGACTCTCGGCAATCCTCTCCCCTTCCGATGCCTCATTTGCAATACCCCCGTAGCTTGAATACACCGAGTGTGCTTTATAGAAGTAACAAACATCCTGGTTGATCATATCAAGGGGTTTGGCAAACGCAGACCACGCCCGTCCATGCACCGAGTGCGTATGGCATATTGCGTGCACGTCATTCCGCGAGCGATGTATCGCGCTATGGATCTGAAAACCTGCAGCATTGATCGACCCCGTCGTATTGCCGCCGATAACCTCGCCAGTCAGGTCTACGCAGATCATGTCGCTGGCCTTGAGTAGTCCGAAGTGTACACCAAGAGGGTTAATCCAGAATCGATCCTGATGCTCCGGGTCTCGCACGCTGATGTGACCTGAAATGCCCTCTGCATATCCTTCGCGGGCAAACACGCGAAAGGCACCAGCCATGTGCTCCAGTTGCCACTGCCGTCTCGCGTCGTGCGAGGCGAACTTGGGGATGCCGGGGAGGCTTTTACCCCTGTGGGCCATGGCGGCCATAGCATCGACACCCATGGTCTTCGATGGTTGTAGTTCTGCTGTTGCTGATGGTGCCATTGTGATGGTTGCGTTGGGATGACTAGAACGGACGACAGAATAAAGCCTCAGTTGCTACGACTCAACAGTCACTGGGGCAAAGCACTCTGGTCAACACAAGCATATATGACTTTTCTTAGCTCTAAATATAGACAAAAATAGATCGGATTTCCCACATCGTCTGTACTCAATATCTTCATTGCTTCGGCCTAACCTGCTAATCACTGACTCCTTGACCTGTAACAGATATGCGGAATCTCCGCTTTGGGCCGGATAGTGGTTATAACTGTCATTGGTATCTCGAAATTAGCCGATATAATGCCCTCGGAGCGGCCGATATCATCATTAGATGTATTACGTATGCAATCTTTGGTTCAAGATGATGTTCTCTCCCGTCATGTACCAATGTGGATGATTGGACAGTTCGCTCAAACATCATCGGACCTGCATGTCGGCCTATCCGACCGTAGCCTATTGGGCTGAAGAAGTAATTACCTCACTCACTGTAGTCCGCCGCAGCCTATTACTATGTTAACAATATAGTCTAAAACATCCAGAGGCGCAACAGGAATCTACAAAAGAGAAAAAGTGGCACAGAACATTGAGTAACGTGAAATCTCGGTTCCTATTTCTGTCGTGATTATTTCTTGCTCCGTCCACTAGCTGCTTCAGAGATCCTCGTCATGGATACCAAAATCCAGGAATTTATCATACCTCTTGGTTATCGATTAACTCAACTCAAGAATCATCAGAGTACCGGGCCTGTATTGGTGGCCCTAGGTGTTTTATTGATTTCTTACCTTCTGTACAATGTGAGAAGTCTTTCCTCCCCACCACCTTTTAATCCTCTCTAGTCGCCTAGTTAACGATCCTAAATAGGTCGCCTTTGCAACTGACATCGCTCACATTAAAGGGTTACCAGAAATCCCAGGAGCTGTTCCAGTTTTTGGTCATCTGTTGAAGTTGGGCGAGGACCATGCTACTACATGCGAAAAATGGTGGCGCCAATACAATTATTCTGTCTTTCAGATCAAGCTGGGTAACACTAGGGCCGTGGTGGTTAACTCGTTTGACGACTGTAAGAAAATGCTTCTCGGGAACCAGAACGCCGTCATCGATCGACCAAAGCTGTACACTTTCCACGGTGTCATCAGCAGCACTCAAGGGTTCACCATTGGTTCCTCTCCCTGGGATGAGTCGTGCAAGAAGAAACGAAAGGCAGCAGGCACGGCACTTGGACGACCAGCGCTTAGGAACTACCATCCAATGTTTGACCTAGAAAGCTATTGCATTGTACGAGACATGAAGAAAGACAGCTGCAACGGAGAGATTGAAGTTGATATCCGGCCCTACATTCAGAGATACGCACTCAATACCACCCTAACACTCTGCTACGGTATCCGTATGGACGCCGTCTATGATGAGTTGCTCCGCGAGATTCTCCATGTCGGATCGGCCATTTCACTTCTGCGCAGCGCATCTGAGAACCTGCAGGACTACGTGCCAATCTTGCGCTATCTCCCCAATAACGAAAAGAACGCCCGTTCCAAGGAACTCCGCGCGCGACGGGATGCTTACTTGGACTTGCTCTTGAATAAAGTCCGAGATATGATTAATAGGGGCGTCGACAAGCCCTGCATATCTGCGGCTATCTTAAAAGACGAGGAGAGCAAGCTTACTGGCGTCGAGGTCTCATCTATCTGCTTGTCCTTGGTGTCTGGCGGTTTCGAAACAATCCCGGGAACATTGACCTCCTGTCTCGGTTCTTTGTCGACAAAGGAAGGGCAGGTTTGGCAGGACCGTGCATATGAAGATATCAAGCGTTATTACCCGGATATTGGCGACGCCTGGAACAACTCTTTTATTGAGGAGAAGATACCTTATGTCAATGCCATTGTCAAAGAGGCGGGAAGATATTACACTGTCAGTGCCATGAGCCTGCCGAGGAAGACAGTTACAGAAGTCAATTGGAACGGAGCCATCATCCCACCAAAAACAATGATCTTGATCAACGCCCAAGCTGGCAACCACGGTAAGATGAGTCCGAGTAGAGTGTAGGGAGCCACATACTGATCTGATTTTAGATGTTGACCATTTTGGCCCTGAAGCGGGACGATTTAACCCGGAGAGATGGCTTGAGAGTCTTGCACCCCCTACGGAGATTGAATCTAGTGGCCTCGGCCATCTTAGTTTCGGAACTGGGTCCCGCGCCTGCTCTGGCCAAAACATTGCAAGTAGGCTGCTATACACTGCCTTGGTACGTATTCTGTCATCGTACAAGATTGTGGCGAGCGAGAAGAATCCACCCAACACGGACTATGTGGACTACAATCAGTTTAAAACCGCGTTGGTAGCTATTCCCAGGGATTTCAAGGTCAAGCTTGTTCCAAGGGATAGAGACGCGTTAAGCGAATGCTTAGACGCCGCGGAGCAGAGAACTCGTGAGCATTATAAGGAGTAAAATAGGCCGGTCTCTCCAGGTGATGGGGGACGACTATGAGCACGGATGGGCGTAATTGTATGTTGTCAGAATTTACCGGGAATGAGATTAGCAATTCAATACTTTCCTTGTATGAATATATCTAAAATAAAGCGATATTAAACCAAAAGAATCTTGAAGAGTGACAACTTGATGATGCTAGCAGTGACCAAACCAGTTGACGGCGGCCCGTCCGACACGAGATAAATGTAGGGATTTGCCCCGCAGAAACGTAGCTGGCAAACCCAACCGTCGCGCAAATAGTGTAAATACAAAAAGAAAAGAAGGCTACGAGTATTTATATCCCATATTCCAACACATAAGCCATGTCTTCCCTTAGTATCGAGCAGCTTTTTGGCGTGAAAGGCTATGTAGCAGCTGTAACAGGAGGAAGCAGTGGGCTAGGTTTCATGATAAGTAAAGTGCGAGACTGATTCAATCCTTCATAATACCATGGACATATTTCTAACGTGCTGCTGGTAGGGACTTGTGACGAATGGTGCAAATGTATACCTAATCGATTTACCGACTGAGCCCATTGAAGAGAAGGTGGCGGGGCTCAATGAACTTGGTCGATCATCTGGTGGGACTGCATACGGGCAAGTTTGCATGAGAATTACATGCTCTTTCTTGATTTACGCTAACCTATATATCTTAGCTTACCATGCGACGTCACAGACAAGGACGCTGTTGCTAGAGTTGCGACCTTCATCGCTGAGCGAGAGAGCCATCTTGACATCCTCATCTCCAATGCCGGAATAAGAAGAGATCCCCCGGTCCAGTGCAATGTATTATCTGCGTCTTTGACGGAGCTACAGGAATCCATGTGGTCAGCACGCCCCTCAGACTGGGCTGACACCTTTTGCGTGAATACGACAGCCCACTACTTCCTCTCTGTTGCACTGCTCCCTCTTTTAGCCGCAGCTTCAGAGCTCAACCTAGGTGGTGGTCGCCAGGGAAGAAGTGAGGGCCGCGGCGTAATTGTTATCACGAGCTCTTGTGCAAGTATGCACAATGCAACGAACGTGGACTTGACCAGTTACGCCACGAGCAAAGCTGCAACTGACCATCTGGTCAGGTTATTGGCAGCTAAATTCAGGAAGTTTTACGTTCGAGTAGCGGGGATCAACCCTGGCTGTGAGTGCTACATAAGCGCGAACTTCCAATTCTATATAAAGCTGATGGCTGATCCATTCTCTAGTTGTTCCAAGCAAAATGAATCCAGTAGGAGAAGAGGGAAATATGTTCAGCTCTCTTTTTGATCAAGTTCCCGCCAAGAGGGCGGGGAATGAGGAGGATATCGCTGGAGCGATTATGTACCTTGTTAGCCGAGCCGGCGTACGTTCCTCCCCCCCTCCATGATTCACATATTGCTTTGTATAGAGAAAACCAGAGTATATTGACATATTTTTCCAGGCCTACGTTAATGGGGTGTCTCTCTGTGTCGATGGGGGCCGTGTTCTTGTTGCCAATGGCCAAGAATGATACGATTGCAATAGTCAGTGGTTGGAGAGGAATGATAGTATGCGGGCGTTTTCTAGTCGAAATTGGAATATTCCCATTGCTCTGGTATCAACAGGTTGATATTGCACTGATCCTGATTCCTTTATCTTGCTATGACTTTTACTGTACATACAAATATGAACGCTATTTCATGTCAGAACAGCTCCCACTGAACCGCTACATATAGCGTTAATTTGACATCCATGGCCTCATTATTGGCTATATTTTACGAGGCTTTCATATAAAGCCAGAGGTAATAGGAAATGACAATATAAATAAATGGAGCTGATATATAGCGAGTGTTATTTCTGTGGGCTGATGCTAGTAAATTACGCGGAATGCTAATAGCGTTCGCTCGGGAAATGGCCCCGTATTGTCTGTCGGAGATACCGAAACTATGAGAAGCTAGAGAACGCATATACCGTGGAATCCCAACAACTAACTGTGCATCTCTACAACACTCCCAGCCCTGATGCGATAGTGTTCTGTAATATACTGGTTCCTGAAGGTTTGTGAGAACAAGAGAATACGCGCAGAGATGTCGATTATTTCACTTTCAGATGGGTTAACGTAAGAACAAATACTCAGCGGTAAACTCGTCATGTACCTAGCTAAGCAGTGTTCAATAGCTCTGACTTCACAGCGAAACATCTGAAAGAGCTCGTCGCACAACTAAGCATCGATATATCTGACAGCAAAGACTCCGATGACTATCTTCGTCTTCTATGGTCTCTCGAAGGTGTCATGAAGCACATTGATGATAGTCCCGATTACATTCATCCGGCACTAAAACCCCAGCCTGTGTCTACGAGTCGCAACTTTTGGAGACCAAGCTCCGAGGATAATCCATTTAATGCATGGAGTCACATCTGTGATCTCAGAGCCACCAATCCCATTAGTAGTGCCCTCAAAGGGCGCACAGTTGCGATCAAGGACAACATATCAGTGGGAGGGCTGCCAACGACGCTCGGGGCACCTCCTTCACTTCTGTCTGAAAAAGCAGTGTATCCAACCTCTCCCATTGATGCGACCGTTGTATCTCGGCTTCTCGGAGCTGGGGCCGTGATCAAAGGGACATCGACTTGCGAATGCTTCTGTGCTTCCCCTCTATCGTTTACATCCGCGACGGGACCGGTGCATAACCCACGTCTTCACGGCTATACCGCGGGTGGAAGTAGCAGTGGGTCTTGTGCCTTGGTTGCTGCACATGTCTTAGCATCCGAGCGAAACGGCGGATTGGGTAAGACGGTTGAATTGGCTATCGGCAGTGACCAAGCAGGCTCAGTGCGAATTCCCGCTTCATATAACGGCATATACGGCCTCAAGCCCACTTTCGGGTTGATACCCTACACCGGTGCAGCGTCCATGTCCCCTATGATCGATCATTTAGGGCCAATTGCGTCTCGGCTTGAAGACATTGCAGGGCTGATTGAGGTGATGGCGGGATATGACGGTCTTGATCCACGGATGACTCCAGAGTCTCCTTTGATAAACCGAGTGAAGCCATATTCACAGCTGTTGGCGGCATTCCGGCAGCAATTGAAATCAAAGCCAGAGGCAGGCCGGACCTGGCGGATTGGTCTTCTCATAGAGTCATTCCAGATTCCCGGTATTGCTCCTGAGGTCCGTGATACGGTTCGCAAAGCCGCAAGCGAATTTTTCAAGGCTGCTGGTGCTACTGTCGTAGATATTTCCGTCCCCATTCACCGAGATGGGCCAATTATATGGACTGCATCGACACGGCCCTCTATGTCTAGCTGGCTTTGTCAAGGCAAGCCCTCTGGTCACCTTTCGTACTTGTCTCCCCATATCCAACCCATATGGCCACCAACGCAAGACACCTACGAGATTATCACTGCATCAAATCCTGCTCTTACAAACATCATGCTAAGCGAGCAGTTCTCGCAGCGATTTATATCCGCAGGAACCGAGGCAAAGGCTCATCGTAAGGTCTTCGAGCTACGGGATGCCTATGACAAAGCACTCGAAGAAGTGGACGTGCTTGTCACCCCATGTGCCCCGACAATTGCAATGCCTCATCCAAGATCAGTGGACAGCCAAGGCAGGTCACTTTCAATCCTAGAAAGACTTGAGCATAGCATCGGCTTGACGAGCAATACTTGTCCATTTAATGTGACGGGCCACCCTGCTTTGAACGTGCCTTGTGGATTCTCTAACCCACCAGGTCGATCTGAAATATCTCTTCCTATTGGCATGCAAATAATTGGACGACGGTGGTGTGACGAGCAGGTTATCATGGCGGCAGCTTTGTTTGAGATGGGACGGGAATTGGCGTCTCAATAGCTCAACATTTTTCATGAAAGATGTACTCTAAATTATATATTGAATACATCAATATGTTGTATATATATATAAACATATAGTTGGAATTTCAATAGCTACTAGTAGTTGTTAAAATTGTGCTTTACTCTTTGTATTTTTCTTTATTTTTGATTTAATTCCAAGTCCATGTAGAGATCTAGGCTCTCAATGGGGTCAGTTTATGAGGAAGTACACTTTTGTCATGATATACCTTACTACGGTGCTTTTGCTAAAAACTCGGTGATTGTCTGGTCCATCCAATTTGTGTCGACTGGGTTTGCGCCAGCTCCTGCTATGTGACCCCAGATCGACGGTATCACCTTCACGATTGCGGATGGAATACTCCGAGATTCCCTTTCACTAACCTCCCAACGGAAGTATTGGTCAGTTTTGCATGGCATTAATAGTACACGCGCCTTAATCAGCGACAATGTCTGTTCCAATGAGCCACCACTAGAGGCATCCACTACCGTGACATCACCCTTCTGCCACATGTGCAACTTGGCAAGTAGATCATCAGGATCCCATCCAGAGTAGCCTACCTCAGTCACATTGGCGTCCCAGTCCCTCAATGTCTCGTATCCCAAAGCTTTGAACATTTGCTTTTCGAACCACTCGGCGCTTGTCAACCAAGCCGAGTAAGCCTTGCCAAAAGCGTGAAGGCCACGAGTTGGCTTTGAAGAAGTCCCAGCAAGGTCTTTATTTACGTAGTCGGCTGAATTCTGTAGCGCGGCCTTCGGTCCTTCTAGGAATTGGTAGTTGTGTAGACTGGTTCTGGCTGAGGAACATATGATGATGGCGTTCTGAACATAATCAGGGTACATTAGGGTCCAGTAGTAAGTGCATTGACCGCCCATGGAGAAGCCCATGATGATGTCGACTGATTCAAGCTTGAAATAGGCAGTGAGAAGTTCTCGCTGTGCACGAACACAGTCCCGGTAATCAATGGAGCTGGGGAATCCCGGTGTATTAGAGGAACTTGATGATTCACCGTTTCCAAATAACGCAACCACAATGATTCTGTGGTTTTGAAGCGCGCCACTGGCAAATGTCAAGGTTGACTGGAGCCGGCCACGAAAACAGGTGATAATTAGGGCCGTTTTTGTCTCGTTTGGATTCAGGTCAAGATACGCAAGACGGACAGAAGCCAAAGTGGTGCCGTCTTGAAACGAAAAGTCTCTTATCTCATAGTAATGTTTCGTGATATCTGCTATAGCAGCCGCTTGCAGAGGGCCAGTCGAGCGTTCAGATGGTAACGATGACATGATTGGAAGCTGAAGGAGTAAGCATTGATGCGAATTAGATGGCTATGTTCTATCTACGGTGTCTAGGAATTTGACCGGGAGCAATCATTCCGGTACGAGGTAAGCTTCGGTATGTAAGGGAGGCTGGCATGCTCAAAATCTGATAAACTCAATAAAAGAATAGTTGTTTATTCGCGAACTGAATCTATTATTAATTGCCTAGACCTAGAACTGTCGGAACTGCCGACGCATATGTGGGGAGTGGCGGTATCTCCGATATACGGCAGATTGCAATTCCATATCATCATCCACCGAGGAGGTTCAAGAGCACAGAGGCAGTGCTTCTGGTTTCATCGATATTCTAGGCTCGGCCTAATGAATATTTAAGGAGAAGGATTAAAGGAATTTTGAACAGCCTGGTAGCCTATCTACATTAGTTGAAGCTCTCATATCGTATATTGTTTAGCAAGAAACAAATTAATTATTTCCTTTGGATTTCACAATCTTTGAACACTGAGACCCGCCCTTCTTATTAACTCACAACTTCAACATGTCTCCCAACGGACAAGCATTTCTTCTCAACCCTGAGTTGCCCGAGGGACCTACACGGTTTCCTCAGGCGCGTATCGCTCCCGCCTCTAGCCACAAAACCATCTACATATCTGGCACATCGTGCTGCCGACCAACAGGTGAATGGGAGGGTGTCACAGAGAGCCCAGATGGCACAAAGATACTGGATATTCGCAAGCAGACGGCAGCTGTACTCACAAATATTGATTCCATTATCAAGGGTGCTACAGGCGGCAAAGGCGGAATCCACAATGTGATCGATGCTGTCGTCTACATCCTTGACATGAAGAGTCAATACGCTGGTATGAACGAAGAATGGAACAAGGTCTTTGCAGACCGCGCCAGTGCCCCAGCCAGGGCCACTATTGGGGTTAAGGAACTCCCAGATCCCCGAATGATCGTGGAAGTTAAGGCAGTTGCGGTATTCGAGTTTTAGTACCAGTATAGACGGGCCGACTACAATCAACGACGTGTCAATCTGCAATTGAATCAGCTTTGGGACAAGCAACCGAGGAGCAAGATTGGAAAGTGATTATACCGCACCTCATTCTTGAAAACGGTGTATACGCAGACAGGCAGGCGCAGGCTGATAGAGAATATTAACGGTCGAAAGAAGTCCTTAACGCACACTAGATATATTTCCTTTGTACTTACGTACAACTCAAATGGCTCGTATTAAGATATACATGTCAAGGTATAGGTAGATGGGAAAAAGATGGTGTTACCCAATCTTGACACCCCGCCATCCCGTAGATAAAGTTCTCGCACTGATAACACGGCTTAAATGATAAGCACTCCAAGGTATTCTGTCCCGCTTCCACCATCCCTCGCCTTTACAATTTGTCGGTACCTCTGGTAACCATGGCATCTCCTATAGCCACCGCGAGAGCGAGGACATCGTGTTATCGATGCCACAAGAGGAAAAAACGATGCGACAGGGCATTACCCTCGTGCAGTAATTGCGAAGTGGCTCACGTAAGATGCAGCTTCCTTGATGACGACCGCCAAACTGCGTCCTATCCTGTAGCGTAAGTCACATATTGATTTCCCACCCGCCTTTGTCTTCCCTTGATCGAGAGCCGTAATGAGGCTCATATGACTATTTCTAGTTATGTCCGCGGCTTGGAGAGGAGGGTTCGTGATATGGAAAAGAGAATGGCCTCCAAATCCCACATGCCACCCTTTGCAGATGAAGGACATGCGTCTCTCAACGATGACCACCCTTATGCGCATTCTACCATGGAAGACATGCAGATACTTGGTCAGGAGGATTCCAGCACCTTTGGAGCCGTTCCCAATGCCAGTGCGGCCAATAGCTCCGGGGACTTTCCTACTCTCCTTCAAGACCCACCACCATCCTTTGTCGGGGAGCTCAAGACTCTCTCGCTCGAAGCGACAGCGGAAAGACACCTTGGTTCTACCTCAGGCGTCTCATTTGCCAGGCTCACCCAGATGGTCCTCCGCCGGCTGACTCCAGATAAAGCCGATTTCGTTTTCATTAACCATCGCGAAAATTATAGTGGCGCCCACCTATTTGCCTTCAATTCTCCTTCAGAGCTTTTGAATCCTTCCCTATTTGAGAGCCTGAATGATTCAGTCTCCATCCATCCAATTCTATTTGGCGATGTTGTGTTATCCGACATCGCCGAACCAAGTGCTTCGGTTGCAGATTTGAACCTGCCGACCGACCAAGCATATATCGACCGTTTGGTCGAGTTTTACTTTGCCCACTCTAATACTCTGTATCCAATTCTATATCGGGATGAGTTCCTGCAGAGCCTTCGACAGGTCCGCGAGAACTCCGAGCATCCAACCATGAACTCCTCTCTTTCCCTATTCAGAATCTGGATGGTGCTTGCGATCGGGTCTACGGCATACTCTTCCGTCTCGTTATCTGAAGAGTCCGAGTCCTTGGTTTACTACAGTAAAGCGCTTGAGTACCTTGAACAAGCTATGGAATTTGGTGAGATGGTATGTAATTTAGAATGGCAATAAACTCACTTTCTGTCGTTACTAATGACGGGTTCCTAGGCTGCCTTGGAGGTCATCATGCTACAGGTTTCGTACTCGTTCTTTAACCAATTAGGACCAAGTTGGTGACATTGGATTGAGATATTTCAGGATACGGCCTAACATGGATGCAGATACTTGGTTTCTGGTCGGCTTAGCTGCTCGGCTGGCACTCGGCATGGGGTTGCATACTTCCTCAACATACATCGGTATGCCTCTCGACATGGAACAACGTCGAAAGCGTATATTCTTCTCTATTTACATGATGGATCGGTATGTTGCGCTCACCCTTCGTTACTTGACCACCAAAGGACTCGCTAATAATTCTCTGCGTATGTATGTTATAGTGTCGTGTCAAATGCACTAGGTCGCCCTTTTGCTGTGCACGATGATGACATAGACATTTCGGTGTGTTGACCATCCATATACGGCATCTCGCGGTAGAAAAACCTGCTAACTGAACAAAGCCTTTTGTAGGCGTCGACGACGAGAACATTCAAGCTGATGGTATACATACTCAGAGTTCCCTTCAACCATCCCTTCTGGCTATCCCACTCCACATTCTTGCACTCAGAAAGATTGCCAGCAAGATCGCGAAACAAGTCTACTCAAACCGCGAGACAGCTAATCTCAGCTCGAAGGAGCGTGAAAATGTGCTCCATACGCTGCACAAGGAGCTCATTGACTGGCGCCGCGGCATGCCGTTCCCCCTTCCCGATATTAACAGTCAGGTGCCCCATTTGACCACCAACTGGTTCGACTTCAATTATTACACCCACATAGCATTGCTTTACAGGCCATCACCTCTACTACCAACCATGGACCAGGAGAGAATCAAGATACTCCTGGAAGCAGCATCGATGTCTCTTCGTCAAGCCTTCAACATGCATCAACAACGACGATTCGCCTACAACTGGCTCAACTTTCTTTCCCTGTTCACTTCAACATTGTCACTCATTTACTCCACCACTGTGCAGCCCGACAACCTTGTTACAATCTTAAAGGAGACGAAAGCGATCGATGACCTTGACTTGGCTATTGGACTGTTCGATACATTCGGTGTCAAGTTTCCGGCAGCAAACAAAATCCGGGGAATGATTGCAGAGATATCTAGGCGATACAAAGACCTGCGCGACTCTACTATTTAATTAATTATTCTTTCTCTAGGAGAGGTGAACTCACTCCCTGGTCGCTAAATAATATACCCTGCATCAATAATGATGTTGGTCCCAGTTATGCTCTTAGATGTTGCTAGGCTCAAGACCTGTTCCGCAACGTCCTTGTGGTTTTCATTTGGTTAGGACCTGAATTGTGAGGGATTAAAAGAAATATCTTACCTCAATCTCGACAAACCTTTTTAACTTGGTCTTTTGCCGATGAGCCTCCTTCTGTTCTGAAGTGAAGCGAGTTGCCCACTCCTAATTGGAAATAAGCCGTGTTCCTTATTCTCCTATAAAGAAATATTGCATTACCGTTTGAAGCAGTCCAGGAGATACACTATTCACCCGAATCTTAGGTGCTACCATGCTGGCCAACCCACGAACCATATGTATCTGGGCGGCCTTCGTAGCCCCGTAGGCCTGACAGGGATATCAATATCAGTATCTACTTATGTTGTGTAAGAGAAAGAACACTTACGAGGGAGCTTCCCATTCCGTGCACACCCGCAATTGAAGACGTCGTTATAAATGCTCCTTCTGTCTCGTCGAGATGTTGCTTTGAAGCACGAAGAAGCCAGAGGTGGGACTTCACATTCAAAGTGAATGCTCGGTCCCAATCCTCCTCGATAACGTTATCGTCGATGGATGTTGTGTCGGTAAATCTCGTCCACCCACCGTTAGAATACACTACGTCGATTCGATCCATACAGGAATGTGTTTCTTGCACGAGGCGCCGAACGTCCGCCTGTGAGGCCAAGTCTGCCTGGATTGCGATATGGCTAATAGTCTCTCCATTAACATGATCCCTTGTATCATTCATCCCGTTAAGTTCCGCGACTAATATCTCCGCACGTTCAATGTCCTTGTTGTAGTTTACGACAACTCGAAATCCACGCCGCGCAAAGAGTCGGGCAACTGCAGCACCCAGTCCTGCACTTCCAGCAGTGACAAGGATCACGGGAGCCGAGTCCATATCAATAGTTACCCTCAAGTAGCTAGCACCAAAGATATTTTTTATTAAGTAACTAGAGTTGGTTGGAACAAAATCGACGGATAGGAGAGAAGCGGAATCGATTTTCTGACGGGGATTCGTCGTTTAGCAACCTTAATATCTTGATGATTTGTTTCGGCAACTTTGAACATGGGTAACCCCCCCTCCCCTAGTTATCTTTTGGCGGCATTGGGGCTCGATTCGCCCAAATGGATCTCGTCGGGTCCTCCGATCTTGGTGGGCGGACTTGGTAAGCTAAGTAGGGTGTCGGACTTGTTACAACCTGCCCAAAAAGACCAACCTTAGTGTTAGGGGATGTTCTTAATCTATGTTCTGTTTGACATAGGAGGATCAGGTAGATACAGCGCTTTTCGATTTCTTGGCTGGACATATAAGCCACTCTTGGCCAGTCAGGAATTATTATGGCTTTCCTTTGCTGTATAGCCCTTAAGTGAAGGAGGCACAAGCTGGAGTCGGGTTCTTGGGATATAATACATGGATAGATCAGTTGATGAGTATAAACTGTCACATAAATACCAGTTGATATACAGTTGTGCGATTTATTCTATATCTAGTTTACTATACTAGATTGTTATCTTAATAATATACTACTATTAAGTATTTAATAATATTTTTATTAATAATTATCTGTAATTATCATTTGTATCACTTACATACCATCTCTGCAGCTACTATATTGTGTCTGCATGCCTAAGTATGTGTGGATTGACTAGAGTTAAAGATTGGACGAAGTTTTGACTAGGAAAAATGGACTCATAACTCAACATATGGTAGATTCGTCTAGGCAAAATATATGTAAAGGGCATCGCATCACCTTCAACTACTACAAAAACTACCTTCCAAATTCTTCGAATTTAATGAGGCAAGTATGTTCCTGTAAGAGGTCAAGGTTAACACGTTTCTAATTCGTATAAGGATGGCGGCCTTACTATCATCTTAGAGTACCGATCATCTTGGAAAACTTCGAGCCGTGCAGTAATCCCAGGAGTAACATTTTCAAACCCAGGGGCGAGGGAAGTTTGGTATTTCTGGTATATTGTTGCTGCGAGTGTGGTCATTTCGAGCATTGCTAGACTATAAGTGAAATTAGAAAGAAGATAATTAACAAAATGTTGCGATAGTATCCAAAAAACATATTGCGAAATCCTAGATGTAGAGTGGTACACCTTGAGGATCCGGAACTGATGCTCCAAAAATCGAAAACGAAACCTACTGTAAGCCGATGCACATTCTTCCACCACTTGAAAATGCCCAGAACCAGCGGTTCATCTCAGCTGCATCAGGTCCAAGCCATCGATCAGGATTGAACGTGAGCGGATCCTTAAAGACCTCCGGGTTTCGGTGAAGAGTAAAAGGTGACATGCCCACAATAGTTCCAGCTGGGATGTTATATCCATCGATGACAGAGTCGACAGAACTGGATCTTGGCTCAAACGTAGGCAACGGTGCATAGAGCCTCAGTGTTTCCTTGATAATAGCCATGAGGTAGGTACATTGATCGCTAACGCTAGCCTTTGGAAATCCGTATTTATTCAATGATTCTCCAGAGAGACTGAGGACTTCCCGTCTCAACTTTACTTGGAATTTTCTGTTCCTTGGCTGGGAGAGAGACCAAACCAGGAACATTAGCGTGTCGCTAGTCGTGTCAAGGCCGGCTAAGAAGTGGTCTGCACACTCCGAGGCCATTTGTAAATCATCCATACTATCCGCCCGGTGACTCAGATGGTGTTGCCAAAGACGTTCAAGGATAGATAGCCCTTGACCTATTATTATATCATGTTAGCTAATTCTTCAAAGATTCCGATGCCGACATTTTAACACAGGGAGCCATACTGTTCGACGGGGCAAGCGATAGACCCTTTTCCTTCGTCTTCATCATATCCGAATGAAAACGCCTGTAAGCCTGCAGTGCGAACTCCCGAATGCCCGTATACGTAGCTGGCTTTTGCATGGGGAGCAAAGGCTGTAGAATCGTTTCCATTATCCCAGTGCGTGTATATAGCCATCTTGTAAACATAGGCAAATGCACTGAGAACCAAGAAAGTCGGCGCCGAGCTGGATCAAGAATATCGCTGATCAAAGCTTGATGAGATTCTGAGCCTTCCATAGCGAATGTCGACCCGTACTTTCCATAGAGAAACTCGGTGATGTTGTCCAAGGAATAATAGTGTAACGTGCTGAAGATATCCGAGATATGATCTTTCTCCGATTCGATGAGTGACATGTACTTTCCTGCTTTTTCTTCAACCATACTAGTAACTGGCTCCTTGAGTATGACGGACTTTGAGTATGCATGGGATAAAAGCTTTTTTCTCCGACCATGCTCTGTCGCCGAATGAAATGTGAACAGGTTTTGTCGACCGTAAACATCAAACATGCGATAGAAACCTGTTCTGCCGAAACTACTTCCAGGACCGTATATTGTTCGTAGGGCCGTCAGACTATTAAAAGAAACCTCATTTGGGCCAATGCGAACAGCCGGGCCATATCTCTGGTGCAACTGGTGAATGGTACGGGTACTGGTTCCCTTCCAATCTTCATAAGCCAATCGCCATTTTGTCAGTAGGAATGACTTGGGCCCTGGTATGCGGCCCAATGGACTTAAGAGGAGTGGATTTAGGAAGAAATATGTGGCTACGATGACGAACAGTGCTAGAAACACTGCTATCATCGAGATTGAAGTCATTGCAATGACCAAATTCACGAAACCTACTTCGAGGGACTATAAGGGAGGCACTGTACGGTCAAGTGCGTGCCTTTGGAACATCTTTCAACGGCACTGACTTAAATCGAATAAAACGGCTACCCCTCTTTTCTCAATTATTCCGGAAGTGGCGACGGAAATGGCTGAAGCGGTTGGCCCATAAACGGCGCCTCTTATACCTAGGGGTTATACGCCGGAGGGAGGTAATAGACAGCTATCATGGAATTTGAGGCTGGCCAAGAGCAACCTACACGTTCAGTCAAGAAAATGAGTCGCCGTATCTAACATACCCACTTCTCATACTTACTTATCAAAATCACCAAGACGGGATTAGGATATCGGACGGTCCGACGGGATTTGATTGGACGAGATAGTACTACATATTGAGCCTTATGTCGCTAAGAGATTGGCAGTTGCCTATGTAAAAACTAGAAGAAATCAATCTATAAAGTACTAATATTATTTATGATTATAGTATTATCTATCTATTACTCATAGTACGCTTACTGAGTATGCTCATCACGCTCGGTGAGCGCTTAGTACGGATCAGTAAAGATTGCACATGTGTCTGATGGATAACATTATATAATATAAAAGCGGTAAGAAAGCAATGACGACTCAGTTGCATATCTTTTATACATCAATTGATATCGCACATATAATGTAGCTGGGTGTTATGTACATATATGTACCTAAAACGAGCCAAGAGGGTAAGGACAAGACATTTTTATGGGTCAATTTGACAACCAGAATCACAGAATTCTAGACCTCATGCTGATCTTTCTCACTTACCTTTACCAGTGCACTTTCATTCGTATTTTGAATCATTGCCGCTACATATTCTCCGTCACTTTCATCCACGCCTCCAATGAAGAAGCTCAAAACGAGCGCGACCCCTCCAAAGCCCAAAGTGGAAAGAAACACAGTACTATAAGCCCGTGCATTACCCGTCCGATATGCTTGCTCGATCAAAGGAATCGCACTAGCAGTCAGTCCTTTGACCGTGACATTGTACAGAGAACGACCATCCTTCAGCGCCGTGATTAGTTCCGGCACTGCCGATTCCGAAATGCCAGTAGACAACGCAGCTGTCTCAATGGCAGCTGGAATCGTTTGACTGAGTCGATTACTTAGTATGGTGCTGTACATGGCGACCGCAATCGACGTCCCTGCTAGACGAATGCATCCACTAAGCCCGCCAGCAGTTCCCAAGCGCTCCTGGTTTTTGATTGGGAAAGTTGTCATAGGCAATCCAATCCCATCAGCCATGCCGATGATCAGATTTCCCGTGACAAGTAGGCCTAGAGTAAGGTCTAGGTTCAACGGGTTCGCTGCGACCGCCGCCAACAAGCCAGTTCCAATAAACGATCCTATGATGACCAATGGCTTTGCGGGTAGCCAGTTCGCAAAAAACGGGCCTGTCATTTGGCCTAGGACAAAGGACATGGTGACCAGACCGGATATTGTTGCGCGGCTATCTGGATCGAGATTCGGATACAAAATGGGGACCGCATTTGGCCAAATAAGACTGATTGAGATGATTGTTAGGTTCCAGATTGAAAATCTTACTGATATTAAGGCAACTTACCCAAATGCATAAAACGTCATTGCTTCAATCGAGCACCAGATTACACATGAGGTATACTTGATATTTTTGAATAGCTCTAGTGGCAGATATGGCTCTTCTAGCGACATCCGAAGCTCATAAACCACGCAAACGACGAGAGTGACGAAACCAGACAGCAATGTTCCGAGAACATATCCACTCTTCCAGGGATATAAGGACTACGACGAGTGATTTGTTAGCCTTAGGGTTATGGAATTATTCAGTAAAGAATAACAAAGATAGATCACTTACACCCCCCCAGTTCAGACCCATTAGTAGAAGAATCATCCCAGCCGAGAAAAGTAGGAGGCCAACGAAGTCGAAACCCAGAATCAACTGTTTTGCCCGTTTGGTTCGGTGCAGCATATTAAATGTGGGCGGATGGTAGAAGAGAAACCATAGCAACACCGACACCGTGTTCAGCGCTGTCAAGTAGTAAAAGCACCCACGCCATTTCACTGAAGTATTGTTCTGAATGGTGGCAGCGATCTTCGGCCCCAGAGTATTCTGTACAAGACTAACTGTTAGCAAGCTGGACCTCGTGAGAACTAATGATGAGAGAGGGGAGAGAGGTTCACTGTTGGTAGAGTGAAGAGAAATAGACCAGCATTGGCTATAAACCGCCTCTTCATAGGCACAATCTCAGCAACAACCCAGAAGAAGGAACATTGAAATCCAGCCGCGATTCCGATCAAAGTTTCTCCTGCAATGAGTTGTTCGAGTGAAGTGGATGTACCAGCAACAATACTCCCAATCAATCCGATGGAGGACCCGATAATGAAAAACCAGCGCCGACCAAAAATGTCGCTCAATCGGCCTGCAAGCATGAGGACAACGGCCTGAGCCAGCGAATACACAATGCCCACCCAGTTGACATTGCTGGATCCATACGCTATTTTCTTTAGTAAAGGACGCTATGTTTCAATGTTCCTTGACAGAACATACCCCCAAGATCACGACTGATCTCACTTAATATTGGCGCCACCAAGGCAAAACCACCTGTTCCACAGGCAAACGCGAGTCCTATGGCCTTCACATTACGCACAATTAGCAAATGGCAACTTCAAATGTAGTGGGGGTACAATCTCATACACAGTAGCTGCCGATAAAGTATGGACTGTAGAAATATCCTTTTGGCAACTCAGTTTGGTCCTTTCCTTGAGCTTCGGGGCGACGGTCGCTTTCTGCAGCTGTAGCTTTCCCTATGGCATCGACGTCACCAGAAGCTTCGATGTGCGAGACCTGCTGCTCCTGGACTTCTCCATCTTTCAGGACAGTAGTAGACATGTTGTCTAAGTCTGCAGAAGTCACGATCGACAAACATAAAGTATAGAAAGTTCAAAGTATGACACAGCCGTTTTGAGGTCCATATATTTGCGCTTATGCATGTTGCAGGGATCATATGTAGGGTGGTATTTAAAAACAATTCACCCCAGGCTGTCTGACCCCAGACAGAAACTTCTCCGCAATTTCCTAAACTTAAAAATAATTACTTTCCTCGAATGTCGAGTTGGACCGGAAAGATCCCGATCCGGCCGCGGAACGACATTTATATCAATTAGAAGGGTCGGGTCAGTAGTGCAACTTAAATTTAAAAGAAATGTGGCTATTATGGCGAATCTCCAAGTGTCCAATCAATTATTAATCATAATTAACATAGCTTGTTAGTAGCTGGTTAGCTGGTTATTTCCTCATTGAATATGATTCTCACTGGGGGTTGATGATCTTAGGGTTAGTTTCTCATGTTCCTAACTAAGTGTCATTCTGATGTATTTAATATTATATCTTCATAAATCCACAAAAGTCGACTCCATATCAAAATTTTAGTCCTTTTTATTGTTTTATATCATGTACTCAGAATCTGAAGAGCTGCTCATCAATAAACCGATGCTAGGAGATCATGGCTTCTTCACTCCAATCCAGTCACCCCAAGCTGGGTATATTGCTGGGAATGTCGAGATCCACCACTACCATCACGCGGGCAAGCTACCGTTTCTCCACCAGTTATCGAGCTGTGCTAACAACAGACTGGCTGCGTAGAACGTCCCGAGACTCCACCCGGCCCCTCCCTTTCGATCCCATTTCTCCGCGATGCTATTCATAACGCAAGCTTAGTCAGCTGTCCGTCAGAACCATAGTTACTTGTTAGAAACTTGGTCGTTCTATCAAATGAAATCGCAGAGTCATTCGCCTGTCCCTAGAAACATGAAGCTTAGTCATCCGCCTGTAAAGTCCAGAAGAGAGTTTGGGACTGTGGTGGGGGCTTGGAAATCTATTCTTGTCAAAGATTTGATGTACAACAGAAATGATATGTGAGATGGGTTGTCTTGGCTGGAGCGCCGTCTCGCGTTGATCCTATTATGGCAAAGAGTGGTGCGAGAAGATTATCTTGAGATAATTTTCTTGAGATAAACATTCTATTCCTTGTAGGACGGATCGAACCTGATGGATTGGCCGACCTGACCCACGTGGTTGGGGAGAAGGCATCCGATACTTGGTGTGATCCATGACAGCAAACATTGGACAATCTGTGTCATGTCTCCTTTGTCTGGACACTGTAGATGATACGAGACAGCTGGGTATCTAAAACATCCGTTCTGGCTGCAGGATCGTCTTGAACTGTTTGTCCTGGTGAATATCTCACAGCTGCTTCGTTTCATACTGTTATGCTAATTGTATCTCATGCTTAGCCTGTTGTTTGGGAGCTTTATGCGGCCTTAGCTCCACCCTACCCTAGGCCTATTAGAAAATTCTGTGCCTGAATCTGCGCGCACCTGTTTTTGTCTGCGACCGTTGTACTCTCCAAATATTTTCTTCTCGGAGTTACAGATACATGCTTCATGGGATATCTCAATTGTTTCGATCGACCATGTCATCGGGCGCGAACAACGGAGATTATACAAAGAAGAACTTGATGGACCTTCCAGCTGAAGTATTATAACTAGTATTTGCAAACGCATGAAGCCTCTCTTCACACAGTCAGACTCCATATTGATGATGGTTTAGCTGGAATCGTGGGGGGCCTTATGGGCACTCTATCATGCTTCCCAAACGCTGCGAGCTCACGTAATTCGACCACTCTTCCGGGAGACACTGATCGGGTTCCAGAAGGATGTCCCAGTATCTTTGAACTGCAGGAAGCTACCAATGAGGACAATATTTAACATACTGTTGAGGGAGATGTCGCATATACAAGACATGTACATGACGCCATCTTCAGACACGAGTTCTCTGAGTTTACTTGACTTCATGGGACGGATCCCAAACTTGAAATGTTGCGTGTATGGTGACTCCCGTCCCGTTTATGTGCGTTGTATAATTGCTATGGGATTCTGCATGGATCGTGTTGATGCTGACTTTTTGAGGAATCGAACCGGGTAGAGACAACAGAATCTCAAAACCCAACAAAGATTCCGTTTTGCCTGTATACGATGGGAGACAGGGGATGTTATCATCTGCTGCTTTGTTCATGGCGACCCATTTTTCAAAGTCTTGCGCCATGCAGAAGAATGGAAGACGTCGCCGTATCCCAGGATTGTTAGGGATTCTTTCAGCGATTGGGAGCCTGTTCGGTAGAAGCTAAGTGAGAGTACTTGCTTGGGGCGTACCGGTCCCTCTGAAAAGGGTTTGAAGTCCATTGAGATTGGTACATGTATAGGAAGTTTGAAAGTGGAGATTTGCTTGTACCTAGGTATATAGGGGGTACTGTACCGTTGCTTTATACGGAACTTTAGTGAAGGCAATATTTAGACTAAAGATGTCATGCCAGAAATATGCAATTTGAGGCTATCCTGATTACGCTGCACGTTGCGCTTCGCCTTGGGCTGAAGAGATGTTTATCTCGTTAGGGCTCTGCGGTGCTGATGGGCCTGGGGCTATTGGGTCCAACCCCACTGTAGTCGATCACGCTAGTTCGGCCCGTGTTGTGCGATCAGAATCCAACTCCACTGTCCCGTCTGTAGTTATCTCCCCAACAGCTAACTCTGCCTTCTGCGAGTCTGCATTTGCACCCAGCGTCATCTTACCACTCCCCGGCAACTCTGCCTTGCCATACGGTTCATTGATAGTAGAGCCTGCCACCGGTGGCATTTGCGTTCCTGAGCGGCGTTTCCCTCTACGCCAAAAAGCAGCAAGACCAACAACAACAAGAACCGCACAAGCCACACCAACACCAATACCGGCCTTAGCACCATCGGATAGCCCTCCTCGGCTTCCTCCCGACGAAGAGTTAGCAGCAGCAGAAGAAGTTACCGTAACATTGTACGATGTGGCTGTCGCTGAATCTGCAAAAACGGCCGGAGTGGGCTTTACAAAAGCCCCAACGCTCGAATTCGTTTGTGTAATGTTGAAATAATTACTATATGAAGATACGCCATTGAACATGCTGCTATCTTCTATGTAAAAGCCGTACATGTCGGTCGGCAGATCCAATGGAACTTTCCATACATAATAGCCGTCTGTTCCGGGGATATTGACTAGAAGAAGAAGAAATAGTTAGATCCAGGACGAAACTTTTCCACGACCAGTACTGGGATCACCACATACTGACAACTCCAAAGTCGGGGAGTAAGTACGTTCCCCTGTCCAAGCTTATGTTTGATGGCGGAAAAGCACCCTTCCATGAGAGGTTGAGTGATGTTCCGACATCGCAGTCAGGGAAATCCGTCGTGAATACGGCGGTGCTAGCATTCCCAAGACTAAATAGCGACAGAGAGACAACAAAGAAGGAGCAGAATCGTAACATTGTCGACGATTGAATAAATGTAAACAAAGTACGGCGAACCTCTAGGTCGCTGCGCTTGGCAAGCTGTAAGGCCTAACCTATTTACAGGTTGGGTTGGGTTGGGTTGTGGGCCTCGTGGGCTTTGACGATGTCTACTCAGCTCCCTGTGGCTTGGGGATCCGAGTGAAGATAACATGCGGATTTAAGAAAAGCAAAGCCACCAAAGGATCGACCCAATCAAGTGGGGAGAGAAGCGAATCGCTAAGGCTTAATCTCAGCCTCCTTTCAATCTTACGAATGAATCCTCATTTTTAATTTATGATTTAACTCGGTCCTAGCACATGGACTCCTTCGGCCTCTGGCCCTCTTACTCCTTCCAGTCGTTAGAACCTCTCGTTATATCTGCAACTTCCACTTTGACGACCCCAAGCTTATCCGCTCTCCGTGAAATTTCAATTTATTGCGAGAACATCGGTCGCTCTTCTATTTTCATAGACCTCACAAAGCTACCTCGGCTATCATCTTTTGAATTAGAAGTGTACGCAGATAAGGGCCTAACGCTTTTGGAGCCATCCTAGATAGTAAAGAAGGCTATTTTTATAATTTCTAATATCAAATTGAGCTTCCTTCAAAATGTAGGACAAAATATTAAAGAAATTGACCTAGCGTTTTATGTTATTTACTTATAGGGATATCACTTCAAAGCCCAGCTCCTACACCTGAGATCTTTGATTTTGCAAGATTCAATTACTTTCCTTCCTTTTTTGTTTCCAATCAACATCTCTTGCTTGGAAAAAAGTATCCATTACAACTGCCTTTGATTGTGGGTACAGCAAATTGTTGGCGCTTTTGAATTTGGAAGAGGGTACTACCGCAGGGTTGTCAAAGCATGATGATTCTCTCGTAGGTTTCGCAAGCCGGGTCTCACGATTAGTTGAGACACTTGAGTGGCCAGTGGACTACAATATTTGGAGTGATGAGATTTAGTGGCAAAGACAGTGATGGATCTGGTACAATGTATTTATCAAATATGTAACGTTCTGTCTTAGCGAGCCATTCATCCTTACCATATTTCTCAGCTGCAATCATGCACTGAGACAAATCAGCCAAAGCTCTTCGTTTCATCTTGGTCAAATCATAGTGCAGCTTTTCTCACTTTGATACCAATGGTCGATCAGCATTGATACCACAAAATTATCTCCCAACAGGTGGGTTTTGCTACCTTTTTTTGGATAAGGGGATTCCTCAATATATAACCAGGAATTAGTCTACTACAGAAGTTTTAGATCTGGTCTCATTTATTTGTATTATATAGTTAAATTCAGAATAGGAGATTTCAGGTAACTAACATATACTCATACCCACATTGTCGCCCCTCCATTTCGGCAGTAGAGTATATTTCTTGTTTCACTTCACAAAGTAGCTATATTCCTACTATTAGATACAGCCAACTTCTTACTGGCCAATCTCGTGTAATATCTACATCAAAGTTTGAGCAGGCAGCCACGTCATCCGCCAGTTTTAATTTCATACAAGTAGGTTAACTAGTTAGTGACTTGTTGTCTCAGATTCTCAGACCAATCCAAAAAAGGCATGGTCACGAAGTGACCAATCACGTCGGCGGTGAACCGCTTACGTGATGCTTTTTGTTTTTGGTATGAGCGCGTTTTAGTATGGCGCCTTACTAGATTGCGAGCGTTTTTCCGTGTATACTAGTTAAATCGACAAAATAGGCTTCATTCTTACGCGCTTATAACTCACCTAAATATGAATATTCTCAACTGAAAATTAATATGTAGATAGAGCAGTGAAGCATCTACATTTTCAGCTACATTTTGCTACATTTTATTTGCTAGGCATTGAAACCGCATTAATACAAGATACACGCGTTTTCCCCCCAAACAAACTTCAAAAGAATTTCCCTTTACGATCCGCAAAGTAATATGCCAATAAATTGGTCTATAGTTAGAAACGCCTTGTATCTACAATTCTGAGGGGTCATACCAAGAAATTACGATGGTAGTCGTTGAAAATACGCGTTCAAAATGCCACGGCGCGGCATTCGACATCCTCCGAGATCTAAAGCATCTTATAATGCTTCATCCAGTCAATTACCACCTAATTCGGCTTCAATCGCCTTAACAGTATCTAATTTAAATACGCCGGAGGGAGACATATCCAATAACTCTGCAACTACGCCGGTGGAATCTACATCGAACCCTAATACTCAACCTAAACCGGCCGTATCAGCACGGAATCTTGAAAAGGCACATCAATAAATAGACCGAGCGCAACAAAAAGGGATAATTATTCAGAGAAAAGCAATTCAAGATGCAATTGAATTGCTTTATCCATATCCTCCTCGTCCCGGGCAGCTTAAGGCTTTATATCATCTTTTATTCCTTCGCCGGGATCTTATTCTTATTGCAAAGACTTCTTTTGGCAAGAGTATGATCTTCCAGGCTATATAAATGCTGTTAGCACAAACAGTCAGTTTTATTATTGTGCCTCTGAAGCGAATTGGTTATGAACAAGTTGCAAATATATCTCGTCTTAGAGGAAAGCCATGCTTTCTAGAAAAGGATACAATCAACTCCACTATACTATGGGAGATTCAGCATAGGAAATATACGCATGTTTTCCTAAGTCCGGAGCTGGCAGTCGGTAAAAAATTGCGGCCGGTCATCATTGATCTAGCCAATCAAGGGTGTATTGCAGCTGTTTTTATAGATGAAGCTCATCTAGTAGCACATTGGGGTGCTAATTTCCGAAAATACTATGCTAGCTTAGGGCTATTAAGGTGTCTTATAGGACCTAATGTGCCTTGAGGTTGTTGCTGCGGTGTGTTCTGAAATATCTCATCAATAGCTTCGAAATGAATGCTCCGAATAGCTTTATAAATCCAATACTTTTGAGTTCGGATAGAGATAGTATCATCTTCCATATTGATAGGTGCGCAATATATATTGTCCGGGGTAAGTTGGATCTGCCGGTAGAACATTGATGTATTTAATCCCTCCGGAGGTATATTTAACCCCATACACAGTTTTCCAGTAGTAACAGAAAAGTGTGTATTCTGATTATTTAGTGTTCGGTGGTGAACAAGAGCATTATAATCAAAGTTATCCCAACAAACAACAAGCTGATGTTTGTTCTGCTGTGCTATAATGCAAAGATTCTTCTAATATTTTGTTAATAAAGGATATTGGTGTTATTATTATAGATTATAAACTTGCCTCTGCTTCCTCGGCTATAATATTATAATAGTATCTAACTCTATCATAGCTTAGACTGAAACCGACACTTGCCAATAAAGAAATCAACCCCCGATTTGCTCCTAACGTATGAAAATGAAGCCCCATGGCCGCCTGGAAAGTGTTCGATCTATAAGGAGCCAGAGCATGTGTTAATAAAACAGGGACAGCTTTATCCATGTATGATGAGGAAAACCGGGTTCTGAACGCTTTAAACCACTTAAAATTCGCTCAACAAACTTCTCCAATCACATATGGGTCTCTCCTATGTGTCAGGACTCTAGCACCCAGGTGGGAGAATTGACCGACTGGCATCCAGTTTAACTCGGCTCCTACACCTCTAGAGGAGCTTCGCTGACAATGGTTGAAGCGACGAGCGTCTCCTTCGAAGGTCGTAACACGAGTGAGGATGCGGGCCTGTGGTCTGTTGGTCAAATGCCGTTATTTCGATGCGTGGTCAACTTCATCCACTCCCAAGGGCAGAAAGTCGGCGTTCAATTACAGCACTGTGGCCGTAAAGCTAGCGTGACAGCTCCATGGCTCGGCTATCGACCTGCAAGACCAGAGTAAGGCGGCTTTCCCGACTATCTTGTTGCTCCTTCAACTATACCCTATAAGGGCAATGGAGACTGGCCGACTCCCACCACCATGACCAAGACAATGATCCAGAAGGCAATCGGCGACTTCGTTCACTCAGCCAGTCTCGCTGTCGAATCTGGTTTTTATGTAATAGAGATTCATGGCGCACATGGTTATCTCATCCACCAATTTTGCTCGCCTCTCACTAATAAGCGCACCGATGAGTATGGCGGTTGCTTTGAGAACCGCGTGCGATTTGTCCTAGAACTGGTGCAAAGAATCAGGCTTTTTATTCCAGAGAAAACACTGCTTTTCTACAGAATCAGTGCCACAGATTGGATCTCGGACACGGAGTCCTGGACCATCGAAGAATCAGTGCAGTTGTGCCGGCTGCTAGAAGATCTCGGGGTCGATTTAATTGATGTTAGCTCCGGTGGCTTAGCTCCAGAGCAGAATCTGCCTCCGCTTCAGCCGGCGTATCAGGCGTACTTGTCTAAAACTATCAAGGACGAGGTTCTAGGATTGCTCACTGCAAGCGTGGGTATGATCCACGACGGAAAAACGGCAGAAGATGTTCTCGCCTCCGGACATGCGGATGCCGTCTTCATCGCTCGGGAATTTGCGCGCAATCCGAGTCTAGTTCTAAAGATTGCTCATGGTCTGGGAGTTAAAGTAAAATGGCCAATAAAATTGCATAGGAGCCAGCCTTATCATAAGGATATAGATATGTGATAGAACAATTCCATTATTTAATAGTTGCTATCATGCGGTCAACATGACCAAATTTAGTTCCGTATGGGATTAAATATCTTCCATTTATATGTATCTTCAATGTTGTATTGATTCTTTATTATTATGGGGTTTACTAGTTGACGTGATTATATACGTTCTGAATTGATGTCGATATAAAATCTATTGAACAAACGTAACCCCATTTCTCAGAGTCCCGATCTTGGAGATCGACACATCCATCTGTGTACCAGGCTGCAACCATCTTGGAGGATTCATATCTCCTCCTACCCCTAAATAAAGAGAGATTCCAGGTTAGTGTTATAGATATATTACGGACATGGGAAACCATACCACCCGGTGTGCCTGTCATTATCAAACTACCTTTCTGCAGAGTAGTACCTTGGGACAGGTACGAGATAAGATAGCGGCAATCAAACAGCAGATCGGCCACCGACTCGTCCTGGCGCACCTCCCCGTCGATGGCCGTTTTGACATGCAGATCTTTTGGATCATCTACTAGACTACTGGCCAAAAGGCACGGGCCGATTGGCGCGTAGGTGTCGAATCCCTTGGAGAATCCCCATTGGGGGACTCTCCCGGCATAATTTGGGTCGCGTTGTAGTTTGCGAGACGAAATGTCATTGCCTACGGTATATGCTGCCACGTAATCCAGTGCGTCTTCTTGCGAAACGTCTTTTGCGTCTTTTCCGATAACAATGGTCTTGGTATACCAGTTAGTATGACTGGTATACGTACACCCCGTGAGGCTAGGAAATGGATTGAGTCTTACCAGCTCTCCCTCATAATCAGCTTGGTCATCCTGAGCGACCTTTGGAATCACTACGTTGTCGCCATGATCTAGAATTGCTGTCTGGGGTTTGAAGAAAATAAAAGGGAATGGTGGTGGTGTTCGCTTTGCTTGCTGGACTACCACAGTCAGTTTTATAACCATATTTCGGACTGACTGTCCACCTCATACTATGCTTCACGTAATTCAGGCCGACGCAGCGAAGAATTGGCACTTCCGACGGTGCTAGCGGAGACAAAATTCTTTTTACAGTCGCCACCTCGTCGGAGACTCGAGTCATACCAGTTTCGTCAAAAGGATCTTCTCCTACAATAAGCTTAGCCTGTAATTGATCATTCTCAGTCACGTATCCGAGGTCGAAGTCCGGTCGAGGTAAAATAGGCTCGCCCCGAAGGACTCTGCCATCCACGCTCTCAAATCTGATCAATCGCTGCCAGGGGAGTTTCATTGCGATCTCGATTCCTTCTGATTGGAAAAACCGTCTCTGCCACTCGTTGGTCTATTTTAATTATCGAAACTCCGAAGTTCCCGTGAGCATAATCGTCGTCGGGATGTACTGGGATCGTACCGAGGTCTATTCCGGGGCATCCATCCGACACCGTCGGAACTTCGTTACGATCTTTTTAGTTAGTTTCCATGGCTAAATCAATGATAAATGCAATTCTCTTAGTAGATAATAGACAAAGGTCGACGGACCAGCTTGTATTCCGATAATCATCACGATATTGATTGGATTAATACAGAACAAGGATGACTACCGAAACAGAGACTATCACCAACTCGATGACCTCCCAGAATCTGGAAAGCGTCAATGGGATAGATTCGCTGGATGATTTAAATGTATCTATGGAAAAACTTCAGGCTAAGCCCCTATGGAAACAAATGGCTAAACTGAACCCACCTCTGCCAAACCCTAGCTGTGTGCCACACATCTGGCGTTATGACCTGATCCGACCCAGTTTATTGAAAGCCGGTGAGCTGGTTAGTGAAAGCCAGGCAGAGCGGAGGGTATTGATGTTGGTGAATCCTGCTCGAGGTAGGATATTCTGTGGACATGGTCATGTGTTTGATAAAAGCTAATGGCTGATGGTTCCAAGCAGATGCCCCCTATACCACCGATACCCTCTATGCGGGACTACAGCTCGTGATGCCCAACGAGGTAGCAAGAGCCCATCGGCACACCGCATTCGCCATGAGGTTCATCATCGAAGGCCATGGAGGTTTTACTGCGGTACACGGGCAGCGCATCACCATGGAGCGTGGTGACGTGATTATAACACCACGGTGGAACTGGCATGATCATGGGAAAGACGGTTCAGGGCCGATGATATGGCTGGACGGACTCGATCTGCCGAATTTCCGGCATTTTCCCGTCCACTTCGTTTAGCATTATCAGCAACTACGATACCCGGCCGACGACGTGGATTCTAACACATCCCCCATTGTGTTCCCTTGGGCGAAGATGAAACAGGCTCTTGACGAGACTCCGGGGAACTGGGCATCCAAAGACTACTTGAAGAGCGACGGGCGACAGGGTATGTTTAAGTATCATGTGTTTAGAATTAAAGGCGAAAGAACTAATAATTGTGATACCCAGTCTCCAAAGTCCTAGGCGGATCCGTCGAGAGGCTCGACGCAGGAACAAGCTCACCAGGATTCCGAGAAACAGCATCATCAGTCTACCATGTTGTGTCAGGGCGGGGATATTCTATCATTGGAGAGAACCGCATTACCTGGGGACCAGGGGATACTTTTTGCATTCCCTCCTGGCAGCGATATCAGCATTTTACAGACCTAGAAGGAAAAGGAGAGCCAGTTTATCTGTATCGCTTCCACGACAAACCGATGCTAAACGCGCTAGGATTCTACCGTCTGGATGGTGTCGATGTCGAAACTTTGGTGTCTGATTGAGATAAGCAAGTTTAAGCGGGAGTACAGACATCCGGACGGCAGGACATCACCACGGACGATTCCATTTGTAATTAGGTGAATGACTTATTTATCTGTATAAGATTGTAGTCTATCTCTACAGTGACGGAAACAGGTCATAAAAGGAGCAACCCTGCATTCGCTAATCTACTAGTTGACATCTAATAGCGTTATGTCAGTAGTGCCATCAGACATTCATAATCATATACAAAACTTGGGGAGCAATAATACGAGTCGTTCATGGTGGCCGACACCCAAGAGAGGAGATTGGTTGACCCAAAAATCTTAATCGCGCAGTAGAAACCATCGAGATGTCTCGGACCTCGTAAAGCTCGTACGGCTTGTTGTTTCGCTCCCGGAACTGTCGGCTTCTTTCCGGCGGGATTCGCATTTCAGCTCTTTCCTCCTCACTGCAACATCCATCAATCGAAATCTATACGTTGGCTTTGTATAGACTATTTCTGGAAAGACACGGAATAGTTCCCAGGCGCAATGCTTGCGAACGCCCGGGCGACTCCGGCTGAGAGCCAGCAGCAGCAGGGGCAGCAGGCGAAACGACGCCGCGTCACCCAGGCATGCGTCTCGTGTCGAACACGGAAATCTCGCGTATGCTTGCTGGCTCTCTTTCTATTTATACTGTACTAAACGAAATGGGAGTAGTGCAGTGGCCAGCGACCGAAATGCAGCACCTGTACTGAGTTAGGGCTGACGTGCCAATATGTCGTATCTGCGCAGGCCAACCAGACCGTTTTAGTTGGAAAAGAGTAAAGCAACCATCCCTTGTCCCTTGAATTTACATTCTTCTAAGCACTAAGCAATTGACGATCGTAGACACTTTCAAGCGATTGAAGACCGTCTACACCATCTCGAGTCTCTGCTCGAAGAGGGTTCGATAAATGCCCAGAGCCCGAAGAAATCATACAACACTGTAGACACGGCTGAGCACAATGATCGCAATTCTAATACTCCTAATCTCATTTCCACGAGCGATGGCCCTCTTACTAGCTCTATGGAATCGGACGATCCCACGGATGGGATGGGGCATTTTGTTTTTGCCGATGAGGAAGATCGCGCCTATTTTGGTATGTCCTCTTTTTATTCGGGATGGCCATTCAGCAATTTGAAAAGTTCTCATCTCTGCCGTAGGTCCGTCATCCAATATAGCCTTCACGTCGGATCTGTCTCGGGCGTTGAAACGCATGTCACGTACCCGAGGCCGGTTATCACCTGGCAACCAGCAGACCACCACGCTACCAGAGTTTCACATCGCGAGAGTCTCGCGTCAAAGTTCGCCTGTTCGCCGTGCGGAACCATGGGAAACCGAGTGTCATCAAGACAATATATCAACATCGTCGATTTTCTACCTGCCACCAGACCAGGAGACGTCAGCTCTAATCGACCAGTACTTTGCTAACACAGGGCTGCTTTTCCCCTACCTCCACGAAGAGACCTTTCGCGAAACATATGCCCAGCTAAAACATAACAACGCGACAACACGGCGCACGTGGCTTGGGGTCCTTAATATGGTTCTCGCCTTGGCCACGCACACGACGGTTCTGCAGATGGGCCAAGTCGACAAACGTCAGATACAATCAGAAACATTTTATCGTCGCGCTAATGGACTTTGCGCGGAGTATGTGATGAATGGAGCAAGTCTAGAGATTGGTCAGTTCTGCTCTCAATATGGCTGTCACCCGGTAATTCTTGGTTTTCCATAATGTTAATTTTCAAGTAGTCCAGTATCTGTTGTTAGTCAGCCAGTACATGCAAGGAACCAAGTCATCTATTCAAACGTGGGCAACACATGGGCTTGCCGTTAAAGTGGCCTTACAACTCGGGCTACATTCTACAGAAGCCTCCAAGCGATTTCCCTCTGTTGAGCGTGAGATTCGAAAGCGGACATGGTTTGGTTGTATTGTCCTTGACCGGTACGTCGCCAAGTAAAAACACGGAGTCAAAGTCTTACCATGTTTCAGTGATAGGAGTTTGAGCATGACATTTGGCCGTCCTGCCTCGATCCCAGAGAATTATTCTCGACTTGAACTGCCTATCTATTTTGATCTAATTGAACCACGCGAACGCGTCGTCGAGGCACGACATCGGTGCCGATATAGCACTGACTTTTTCAATGCCACGATGTAAGCACTTATCTACATATACATTCCAAACCGCGGAAAGATGAAATATTGGTTGTGTTAATTATATGGCCGTCTACAGTCGCCTTTATTCCATTCTAGGCAACGCCATCGATCTCCTTTACGAAGGAAACCTGGGCAGCGAAGACAGAATTCTCAACTACGAGCTGTTAACCCGCGTCCTACGTATGCGTCATTTGCTCGAAGAGTGGACCGAACAACTCCCCAAACATATGGGGCTAATCCGGGCGCAGAACTGCGCCTCCCAGCTCGGAAAGGACCCAACCATCGACCGGTTCCGCACCATCCTGACCCTGCGGTATCACAATATCCGGCTTCTGATCCATCGCGTAGTTCTTGTTCGGCTTTGTGACTCGCTTGACGACTTCGACGCAAGGGGCCAAGATGTTCTGGCCCTGCAGGATATCTCCTGGAGCACGATGCAAATTGCCATTGAGTCTGCAACGGAGATAATTAACATCGTCCTCACCGTGGTGGAATCCGATTTGGTACGGCGGGGTTTGTTGGGAGCATGGTGGTTTACACTTTATTATAGTATGTCTTTTTGTTTTCTTCCTTCTTTTCTGAAGGCCATTCTGTCGATTATTGACGCGCATCCTGCAGCTTTCGATGCTGCCTTAGTATTATTTACCATATTCTTACTTACGAAACGATCTAACCTCCTTAACCTTCCAAATATCACACCGGATTTGACGAAGCAAACATTTGTCAGTTGTATTGGACCACTACGGCGGTTGGATGAGGGCAATCGGACGATTGACAAGTGTTGTCGGTGCTTGCAGAGGCTAGCGGAAGCATGGAATCTCATTGGTATTATCTTTCTCTCTCTTCTCTTTGGGGATGGTTAAAATCCAAACTATTTAGCTGATACGTTATCTTGTGTGATAGAATCAAACAACAATCAAGTTATGTCCCAGAATACGACCATGTTTACCCAACTGAATGATTATCACCATAATAATCAAGACAACTCGGTTCCAGTCGAACAAGTTGTAGACCAGAACCCATCGTTTCTTGACTTCGATTTTATGACTAATGAGCTGTTTGATGTTACGGATGGGTTTTTGCAAGGTCGAAATTTCTAATATAAAAATTTCGTGTTTTGATTGAATTAGCTAGTTATCATTGACAAAAATGGACGGGATCAGATGGTATTTATTTCATATTACACGTATATTTGTACAATTGGGTTTGAATTTCACTGCATTTTTCACATTAGAGACTTTAACCAGAGCCGTCTGGAGTGGTGGAGAGATTGACCATACACCTGCGGGACGTTCCCGAATATTCCGCGGAATGGTCTCCTTCGGATATACGCATTGACCTGGGGACCAGTCGAGGGATAGATTTTACACGCCTTATAACTTTCGCTTATACATATCAATGTTACTTTCGACTTCTCCCGGTTTGTACCATAATAAAAAAACATTTCACCACTATTTATGCCAGAAAACATCCTTGATTCTAATCTCATATCTCTAGCATCCAATGAGTCTACCACAGAAACAACTATGCGCCTGGGTGGAAACACCTGGTCCGGAGGCGACGATAGAATTCCGGAACATCGAAGTGCCCACGCCGGGTCCAGGCGAAGTGCTAGTTAAGCTGGAGGTGTCTGGAGTATGGTGAGAATGACAAATACGTCGCGAGGACATATCTGATATCGATAAAGTCATTCAGATCATCATTCAATTTATGGAAATACGCCAATGACGGCTCACATTGCCGGGCATGAAGGTGTAGGCATCGTCGTTATAGGTGCGAGATCCCCTGATGTTTTACATCAGCAGATATATATATCTGGCAAATGAGCCTGACTGTTAGGTGCACTAGTCGGGCCTAATGTCTCCAACGATCTTCTAAAAAGAAGGGTTGGAGTGTCGTATGTTTGTTGACTTCAACATACAATGGACTTGATAGTATTGACAAATGGGTCAGATGGCTTCATCGCGCATGCCGCAGATGTGAAATTTGCAAAGTGGACTATACTCACTGTCCAAACCAGGATAACTCAGGAAGAGTAAGTCCTTTATCAATCTAAAATTGACCGGTTACTTAAGGAACTAGAATGTATCAGGGACCTTCCAAGGTATATCCCTTTCGCTGTCCTTACTCCATGACTACACTGACAGAGACTCTAGAGTACTGCGTAGCCGACGCCGAGTACGTGTTTGAAATCCCCGCCGAAATTCCGGCGACAATAGCCGCCCCGCTACTCTGCGGAGGCATCACTATGTACGGCGCTCTTGTGCGAGCTGACCTCAACGCCGGCGATTTTGTCGTCATTCCAGGAGCCGGCGGTGGCCTAGGCCATTTGGGTGTCCAGATTGCAAGCAGTATGGGAATGCAGGTCATCGCAATTGACTCGGGCCCGAATAAGGAATCCATTTGTCGGGATTCTGGGGCCTGTCACTTCTTCGATTTTCGGCAAAGTGGCTCCTCTCTGGTGGATGATGTGCGTTCTGTCACAGGAGGCATTGGAGCACACGCAGTTCTCTGTATCACAGGTGCGCCCTCGGCCTATGATAGCGCTTTGGCAATGGTGCGGAGCCTAGGGAAGCTCGTCTGTGTAGGTATTCCGCCGGCATCATACCGGCTCGCAGTGAACCCTTTCGAGATGCTGGTTCGCGGTCTACGAATCATCGGATCAACTGTGGGTAATAAATCACATATGTCGTCGTTGATGGATCTCGTGCTTCAGGGCAAGGTAAGACCGAATGTCGAGGTCTATCAATTTTCAGAATTGCCGGATATTATGGACAAGCTGGAACGTGCGACAGTGGTGGGAAGGGCAGTTCTAAGAATCCAGAACTAAAATTTGACGCAATTGTTATTGTACCATATCTGATTTTTAGAAACTTCGTAGGCGATAACTGTCAATCACTTACCCGGCAAGGTCCTTGGAGTTAGGAGTAGGGTTTTTGTGATGGAACCCATACTAGAATGCTCCGAGGTATATACTAAGACCTTTCATAGAAGGAACGGGAATAAGAGTCAGAGTCACAAGACTAGCAAGCAGATAAATCTGATCCATTCATTTTGGCAAAATATAATCAGATTATCTCGGGGACTTAGGCCAAGGTTTCGTTAGACCCTACGATGATTTTACAACTATGGCTGGTTGCGTAGGGCTTTTATAGCCTATAAATCTTATTTTAAAGAAGCCTTAAAGGTCTTCAGGCAAATGACGAATTACCAGCTTATTGAAAAGTATCTGAACTCGCTACAATTGATACAAGAAGGTCTTCAGCTAGATTCAATGGAATTTCGAATCCCAAGATTGCGTCGTGCTAGTCTCATGTCAACGTCCTGCTAGATTGAGATTATATATTCATATCAACTCCGCTTAGTTCATCTCCCTTCTACCTGAGGGTGCTTATCAATGTGGTGGAAAATATAAATACTACTTTGTCCGAAATACAACATATCAATACATGATCAGTCCCGCCAGGTAATCGCTTTCGTCCTAACCCATTCTCTCAACCCGTCCGACCCATTGAAACGGCCAAAGCCACTGTCCCCAACACCGCCGTGAGGAAGAGACACCTCGTCGTGGATGGTCATATTGTTAATATGTACTGCTCCCGTCTCCAGTCGTTTCGCAAACTTCAATCCCCGTCGCAGATCTTCCGTAAACACTGCCGCAGTTAAGCCATATGGAGTATCGTTGGCTAGCTGCAACGCCTGCTCGTCATCTGCAACTGTGTATAGCGACACGGAGGGACCGAAAGATTCTTCATGATAGATGCGCATACCGGGTTTGACATCCTCGAGAACTACAGGGCGCAGGCGATTTCCCCCGTCATCTGCATAGAACAGAGAGCCATGCAAAACACTGGCCCCCTTTTTAACTGCGTCATCCAGAAGCGCTTGCACTTTTACTGTGGATTTCTCGTTGATGAGTATGGGTGCAGCCTTGTCGGGGCCAAAGAGACGGTTTAGTGCTGCCTTCAAAGCCGTGCGAAAGTTGCCGACGACACTGGCATTGACTATGATGCGTTCTGTGCTCATGCACACTTGGCCTGCATGGTTGAAGGCCCCCAGCGCGCACTGCTGCGCTGCCAACTCGAGGTCTGCATCTGCGCAAACGATCGCTGCATTTTTCCCGCCGAGCTCAAGCAGGCAGGGTTTCAGGTATTGTCCACAAAGCCCCGCGACAATGGATCCTACTGCGGTACTACCTGTAAAATTTACCTTTCGGATGGTAGGGTGCGATATCAATTGGCGAGTGATCGCAGCAGCATCACTTGGCCTGTGGTAGATGGTATTCAGGCAGCCGGCCGGAAGTCCAGCTTCATGTAGAATGGAGACGAAATGCCAGTACGTGGCTGGAGCTAGTTCAGGACCTTTCAGAATGACCGTATTCCCAGCAGCAAGTGGGAAAAGGCAGGCTCTCATGCCGAGGGTATGAGGAGCGTTCCACGGTGCAATACCCAACACCACACCATAGGGTTGACTGATGAACGCCGCACTGGTGTCTTTCTCGTCAGGGTCAACTAAAGTACCGTAATTAGCGGACAGTCCTGCCAGTTGGAGGCACATGTCTATCGCGGTGCCATATTCGAATCCGAACGGCTCAGGAGGAACGCCAGTCTCTGTGCTGCTGTATGTGTGGCTCTCATCACGACGGTCCTTTAAGAGCTGGTAGGCCCGCAGAAAAATATCTCGGCGCTCCTGGGGTTTTTTCCATCGCCATGTCTTGAAGGCTGAGGCAGCAGACGCAATCGCGTCGCGCACGTCATCCTCGTCAGCTGCAGAAGCTTTCCACAAAACCTGATGGTGGACCGGTGAAACCACATCAAAGGTGGTCTTTGTGACTCGTTGGGTACCATCCAGCCATAACGGAACAATAGAATTGCTGTCGAATGCGATAGCCATTTCCTGAATGTTTCTTGTTCCCTTCAGATGTTTCAATATGGTTGAGAAAACTGAGCGAAAACTCTTGTAGTGTACACTCCCAATTCTTTCAGAACGCAAAACTTTTTTTTAGGTGAATTTGTACGTAAGTGCTTTATATTGGCATGTTTGCGATTGCCCTTGATTTTTTCATCCTAACAATCTACGATTTGGTGGATTCACTGACCATACGGAATGCTGCCGCGGGATGGCCGGCAGAAGCTAATGCTTGCATAAAACTCCAAATCTTATACCCATATATCCGAATAAAATATATCCGGTTCTATGTTTGTTCGAGGATTAGCTATGTATTAAGCCTTAAAACACAGCTATCGATTATAACAGCTATACAGCCGCGCTATTCCCCAGGTATCATTATCGGGTTCCAAAGGCTATGGATGTATAAGATAACCAAGGAGAATCCCTACAAGATGAGTATGGAAAAGTCAAACTAGTGGATCCCGGCAGCTGGCAAGACTATGACTAAGAAATAAAGTATTTTAACAATCAAACCCGCTAAATCTCGTCATTCATAGAGGAATTAGCAACATAGATTCTTTTCATTTCACAGGCCTGGATGCCTTACGTATCTAACAGCTAATATTATTACTCATCTCTATCAATTGATATGCATATATTCACAACTCTAGAAAGGCATAGACGATTGGCTGTAATCGATAAACACCACATCAATCTCACTGATCATGCGTGATGAATGCATATTTTACCCCATGATAAATCTCAAAAGCAGTCACAGATCTAGTGCACATGTATATCTCTCCATCACTGCCCATGTCCCAAAGCCTTATTCACCTCCGCGACATCCCAGTAAAACGGTCTCAGTTCGACGATCACGCCTCGTTCCAGATCTACCGTGATTGACTGGCAGAAAGGGAAATCCATCTCCTGGCCAGTACTGCGTACCTTGAAGTGGACATTCGATAGGACGACGATGCGGTCTGAATTTGGGCGCTCGAAAATCTCCGGGTTCTGTACGTCAACAACGTCAAAGTAGTCGGCCATGCGCCGCGTCCAGTCCTGCATGCCATCGGGCCCAACGTATACTCCTGCGTACGGCAAAGCAGACGTTTGCTCCATGCGAACGTTCGGGGCTAGCGTGGCTGCGATGCCAGTAAAGTCGCGGTCTTCTGGCGCGGCTGCCATATACTCTCTTTCCGCCTTGTAGAAGGCGTCTAACACTTCTCGAGCTGTGTATTTTAGATTGGATGCCATAATGCTCACTGTTTCGAATATTGGGTTGTTTTCGATGTGTAAGAGCTCTGATAGAGGATTGCGTTGAGAAAGGCGCACGGTGAAGGATAGTGCAACCGTAAATTGAACACAATTTACAGTGCTCTCTCATGTATTAATAAGGGAACTGATTCTGCGGGCTTGAAACTATGAATTAATTTTAAAAAGTGGCCTATATAGGCTTCCTCGGCATTTTCGGATCTGTTCCGGCTCGTATGGCTCGTCGAGGGGTTCGTCTTTTCTTAACCCGCATAAAAGTTCCCCGCGAATTTGTAATCCTTAGGAATCTTTTAAAGCTTGAACTTTTACAAGCATTTTATGCTTCTCACTCTTCCCGGGCATATGTAGCATCACTAGAATGAACCAAGACTGAAATCCTCGATAAAGTTGATGCCACAAACTTGCAAAGTTCCTGGTAATAACTAATTTATCAGTCGGAATACACATGTATTACTTACCTCAGTAAGAACCAGAATACAATCATTTGGGTAAATAATGGCTTCGCAATCGCTTCTTCAACAGTCTCTCGAATCATATAAAACCACTAGCTCCGTCCAAGATTTCCACAGTCTGCGGGAGAAAGTGGTGGTTATCACAGTTAAGTGCAACCTTCTAAACAACTACACATCAAAGCTAATTTGCTTTCAGGGGGTGGAGATGGTATTGGACTCGCTTTAGTCAAGGCTGTCGCAGAGTTTGGCGGCCATGTCGCGGTGATCGGTCAGCGGGAGGTGCCCCATCCACAGTTACATGAGATCCAAGACATACACGAGGAGATAAAAGTGAAATATTTCTGGTGCGTCATTCCTGATGCGAATAATCAAATGCTTTTCTGGCTTTTTTTAACATGAAGACCGTCCCATACAGCGCCGATGTTAGCCAGGAGTCGCTATTAACAAAAGTATTCGACCAAATCTTGGCGGATTTTGGAAGGATTGACGGCGTGTAAGTTTCCATTATCCATATCGTGAGGGCTGCCTTTTGCCATTCTTCTATTATCAGATCACAGTCTACTTGGCAGCACTAAGGTTCTAACAGGATAGCTTGCGCTGGAGTCTGCGTCGAAAAACCATTTGTCGAACATACATGGGAAGACGTGGTCCAACTACAGATGGTAAACGTACGTGTAGATCACCTTCTGTCTCATGAGCCTCCAAATAACAAAGATACAGAGTGTTGGACTTTTCTTCACTGTACAGCTAGCCGTCAAGGCGATGTTACAAAACCGGCCTGGGCAAGATGAGCATACGCCAAAGGGCAGTGTCATTCTCATCGGGAGCATCGCGACGGATATCGGCTGCGAGAGCCAGGGACTAACAGCCTATTCGGCATCCAAGGGAGCAGCCAAGGGTCTACTTCACAGCCTAGCGGTCGAGCTGGCGCCGAAGGGAATTCGAGTCAATATGATCTCCCCGGGCCACACCATTACCGACATGTCAGTCAGTCAATGGAAGACTCGCCCGGAGTTGGAGACTGTCATGAAGAATGCAGTGCCGATGGGACGAATGGCCGAACGCAGAGATCTGAAAGGCGCCGCTGTCTATTTCTTATCAGATGCGTCGCTGTATACGACCGGTAGTAATCTAATTATTAGCGGTGGCATCCATGCTGGAAGGCTCTAATTGAACTGAATTCATTAATAATCGAATAAAATAAAGGTCGTATTGTTAATTCATCAATTATGAGTTATGTCTGCATCCAGCTATTCTGGCAGCAAGTATATAACCATGGAAGAAGCCACTACCTCTTAAGGGTAAGACCTTTTTGGTCTCGTAGTAATCAGTTGACATGCCAGTTGACAGTATATAGGTGCGTATAATTAATATTTCCTCCTCAACTTCGTAGCAAAAACCCTTGACGTATTCCCCCAGCGGAATCTCCCACTCCAGCACGGAATCCTTCAACAACAGATAAAAACTACGTACTAGCCCACCAACCGTTCCCCGATGAGGTTTTCGACTCCGTAATAATTTAGGGTTAGTGTTATTAGAGTTACCGCTTAACTCTGTGTGTGCATTTCCATTAATACTAGTATCAATCAGTTGGTCACGATCAGAAATAACTAATAACTCCAATGACTCGAAGCAGATTCTAGGGTTCTAAACAGAACGCGGTGAGACTTGACGTCTACTCGCAATGGTGACAGCGAGTCCTGCGATCTTGCAAAAGTTGGCCCACAATAACCGATCGATCCTGGTCCACCCGGGCTTCCGAAGGATCCGAAGAACTGGTTAAGAAAAGCTCGGCGGCGGTTCTAGATTTTCTGTTTTTAGAAATTTTTTAATTAATGGAATGTGGGAGTAATGATGGGTCATCTATGCGAGATACTCATCCTGAATTCCCCAAATTGTGGCGCTGGTGCACCGAAAATCTTGCACAGTATATGCACATAAATGAAACATTAAACCATTGATGTCAACGAATGAGCAATCAATTAGTTAGAGTTTTACGTGCAGTGATTACATCATATTGATAACTTTATTCAGTTGACGTCAAGTGGAGTACGCCTCGAGGTGGAGAAAAAGTTCCCACTTAAGCCATTCTCTATACGGATGATCGATCAATTAAGCCCTACAAGCATAGGGTTTCGTCGGGTGCCCGTAGATTATTGGACGTTATTATTTGGTGCGCTCTGAATGCAGAAGACGAACAGGATTTTAATATGGACATTTGAGGTCATCAAGATGAATGCTGCGATATCGCTCTGCACCGCTGTCAGTTTGGTGGGTAGAATCCACGTAATTCGAAGTAGCTTCTATGGCGAATTATTTGGCTGTGTCGTCTCCGGAAAATATGGGTTTCCGTCATAGACAGAAGATTTCCTGCGTGGTCATAGTGATTGAGATTTAGGTGGATTATTTCTTATAAGACCAAATGGCTAGACTTTTTGTAAACTTTTAGGAGTAGCTTCGTGTTGTATCCAATTTTTACTACAGAGATTAGAAAGGCATAGACTGAACTTTTCAGTATGAAATTCTTCAAATTTTCCCTGCTGGCGTTTCTACCAGCCCTTGTCCTAGGTCAAAACCTTACATCTTTGCTATCGAACACACCCCAATTATCCAGTCTCAATGCCTTACTCTCCAATTATCCCAGCGTGATCAAGACATTCTCAAATCTAACCAATGTCACAATTCTCGCGCCTTCGAACCAGGCGCTCGGCAATTACACTTCCAATTCCAGTACAGCTCTTTCCGTACTGAGCTCTACCAACCAAACCATATCGGATCTCTTGACGTATCATATCTTGCAAGGAAAGTTTTATGCTTCTAACTTCAGCGCCACCCCGAAGTTTCTCCCGACGTACCTAAATGATTCATCATTGTCCAATGTCACTGGTGGCCAGGTTGTGGAAGGAATTGTGCTGAAGAATAAGACTTACATCTTCTCCGGGTTGTTGGCGAATTCGAGTGTTACTCAAGCGGTGAGTTCACTCTCTGCTTTCCTTCAAAAGCCTTAATTAATACTGAAATTACAGAACCTCAACTTCACCGGTGGTGTGGTGCATATAATTGATAAAGTCCTCACCATTCCGGCAAACATCTCTTATTCTGCCGCTGTCACCAACCTCACCTCTGTCGCTGGAGCTTTGAACGCAGGTAACGACACAAACACGGTTGACCAACTCCACAATGTCACTATGTTTGCACCCATAAACTCAGCTTTCCAGGCTATCGGTTCTGCAGTCAGAAATCTTTCTACCAAAGCTCTCAATAACATTCTTGACTATCACATCGTGAACGGCACCATTGCATACTCAACGGACTTATGCAATGGCACTCGCCTGAATGCTCTGAACAACGAGACTCTCAGCATTCGTGTTCAGAACGGGTCTATTTTCGTAAACTCGGCGAAGATAGTCATTCCCGACTTGCTCGTTGCTAATGGAGTTGTGCATATTGTCGATAAGTATGGCCATCTATACCATGTAGTTTTTTCCGCTTGACACTAATAGAGTTATAGCGTGCTCAATCCTAACAATACGTTGGCCACGCCGATCCCAACAGCTTCCTCCCAAAAGGTTGCTTTCCAAAGTGCATCCGCGGCCAGTAGTATCCCATTTACGAGTGGTATCACTGTCACACCAACTGCTTTTGGGACTGGTGCCGGATTTGGTTCTATGGTCACTACTTGTTCACCCAGTCGTCAGGCTAGCTCTAAGCATGCGCCTGCCACAACATCAACTCATTCTACTACGTCTGCAAAGACTACCCATTGATAACACTATGAAGGTTACAACCGCTTTGTTCGACAATGGTTTCCTATAAAGAACAAGCAACAATAGAATACAATCTTAGATCCTAGGTGCACAAACAATTCAACTCGGCATCATGCCAGAGGCCCCAATGCAAGGATTCCAAGGTGTCATATCAACAAAATACTTATTTTCTTTTTTCATTTAATTACATATCAGAAGTTTATCTAATACTAGGTTACGCCAATTAATATATCAATCAATGTATCAAGAGCGGTCAACTTTCACACCAATAGGAGCCAATATTGATGGTTATAGCCATCTTATTGTCGCATAATGCTGTAGCTCCTGACATCATACATTAAATTTTCTAGCCGTAATATATCTGAAATGTTTTCACCCCTTCGTAACTATATCCTCCTGAAAATGGCCAATTATTCGTCTGGAGAAGCTTCCTACAATGAGCTCGAGCTTCGCGGACGCCAAATAACCTCGGCCGGCGCAATGTTAAAACCATACACGCTAGACATACTAGGCTCACCTCGCTGAGAACGCCAGTAGTTGGTTGAATCGAGTAATTCCTGGCATCCTCCAAACAGCCAATGCCATTTGCGAGCAAATTTCTCACTCATCTCCCAGGCGTGAGGGTCCCAAGGCTGGCCCCAGATAATGATCCCGACTTGGCCTTGACCCCCTCCACATTGCCCAACAAGGTCGTTACAAAGCTCTTCCTCGTCATAGAGACCAGAGGCCAATAATAACGTGTCGCGGAATGTAGGAAGCGGGAAAGGGTCTATCCATGGGTGGTGGATAATAGATTTCTGAAGCTGAGTTGGTGCCAGTGAAGGAGGTAGTGACGATGGAGGTTTTAAATCTTGAATATTAGAGCAGGAAAATGTTGATACCATGTCGCTTTTGATATCATCCATCGTGAGACCCAATAATGATATGTTGGTATACATAGCTCGCAATACATTGAATTGGGTTAATGAAAAAAGCATATCAGCCGATGGATCAGCGTCGGTGTGCATGCCGTGATAAACCCCGATGGAGAGTCGGCCTATCAGCTGAAGCATCTCAGCCGCATCGCAGGAACATATGGACAAATTCCTCGATTGAGTGATATCGGATTTGCTACTAGCATCTTGAAATATCTGGGTTGATATTACTGCCGACTGGATGACGTGAGGTCCATTGACAGCGGGCTCATTTGCCTTCTCAACAGGAAGAAGATCATTATCTTTGTCTAAATCAGTTTTTCTGGGCCTCCCTCGCGGACGACGCGCTACCCCGGCTAGAAGTGCCTGCTTGGCTTTTCTCGTTCCTAAGATATGATTTCTCGCGTCAGCTGAACAGATGCAATCGAAATGACGCTACACAATTAAATAGACTGCGGCGTACGAGATGCTCTTTGGCTGAGCCGATTCTGCAACCTTCTCCGTTCAGCTACGTTAGCCTCAGAATACGATTCGCTCATTGCCTCCTGAGTAGCGACTATCTGAGGATCTCTTGAGTTTGTGGTAATTAGATCTAAAAGAGAAATTCTGTTACACGTCAAAGTTTGATCAGGACTGGAAAGTACGCCCGCCTTTCCGGAAAACCTGACCTGATTAGTCTTAGATCTCCCGTCTACACTAAAACATTTGAAAGCATGCAATTACTTTCTAACCCATTTTGCGGGTTAGATCCCAGAATCTAATAATTGCCAATCGATCGGTCCGGATGTCACCGGATATGCTTACTTGAGCCTCTTTAAGTGCTTTCTTGTCCTCTTCAATAAATTTGACTTGGCGCATCACTTCACACTTTATATTCTCCTGTTTCTTGCTCCCCTCCATACCAAACAGAGTGAAAAAAAAAAAAAAAAGGAAATAACAATTGCGAACAGATGCCTTAATCAGAACTTAAAGAGCAAAGAAATACAGAAGCGTCGAGAATGGCCTAAGCTTCAATGTTATGGGACTGAAGTAGGCGATGAGAGTAATATGTTCAAACAGATGGCTTCCGAACTGTGCACACCATAGATCACAAGGTAAATCGCTGGTTCACAAGGGTTTCGCTAAGCTCCCAGAGCCTCTCAGCAGACGCAACTGAAGTTGCGTGCGACTGGACCTCCGCAATTTGACAATCGGACAGGTAGATACCCTCGGCGCCTTGATACATGATATTACAAGGTAAGCTAAAATTACAAAGGAGAACCCAATAAGCGTGACTTACCCTCCAATGCCCCCAATTTAGGGTCCAAGGCGGCCACCAAAGTTGTCGCGGCACCCTCGTCAGTTGTCTTAAAGCCCCCAACCCCAATTGTGCCATTAGGCTTGACGGCATTTTGACTAACGGTGTTGACAATTGTTAAATCTGAAAGGTGACGTATAAGACCAGTAACTATCGCTATTTGACAAAACCCAGTATTAGTATAGGAAAGGAGTCCATGTTATGTTGAAGAATAAAAAGAACGGATAGAAACATACAGCCAGGATGTACAGATACCGCCTGAATGCCTTCCTTCAATAGCCTGCTGCGGACATACAGAGCAAAAAGGATATTTGCTGTTTTGGACTGTCCGTATGCCACGAACTTTTGGTAATGGTCACTGTCAAATACAGGTGCATCAAGACCACGGTTGGTCATCGCCTCAATGCAAGGCTCCTCTTCCTCAGGAATGGGCTTGCCTTCGAAGTTGTAATCATTGAAGCGAACAGGGGAAAATCGGTGACCATTGCTGCTCAGCACAACCAAACGCACGGCGCCTTGGACTGTAGATGCCTTTGCAGCTACACGCATCTTTTCAAGGATGAGATTGGTAAATAGGAAATGACCAATGTGATTAGTTGCAAACTGCAATTCAATATTATCCTCAGAGAGCGTGCGCTTAGGAATAGCCATGACCCCTGCGTTAGCGATCAGCAGGTCAAGCTGAGTAATGGACCTGTTGACCTCGGCAGCAGCATCCCGAACAGATCTTTGCGACGAGAGGTCCAGGATCAAAGGCTGCACGACGACAGAAAGATTTCGCTTTCTGATTTCTCGCGCAACTGCGTCGATATTTTCCTTCGTGCGGGATGCTAGGATGAGCTTGGTTGGGTGTCCGGAAGCAATGGCGTATGCTGTATCTGCCCCAATACTGGTTGGAGAAACACCAGTGATCAGGACTAAAAGCGGTTTTAGCAATTTATTAGCCCACTACATGGCAATGGAGGAAATTACAGACCAGTTTTGCCCTTGATGTATTGGGACAGGGCTTTAGCCACGGTGGATGCAGTCGTGGTGCTGCCAAATGTTGCATTGGAAGTCATTCTCGTGCTATTTAGTGATACCTTGCTCGTACAAGCCCTTGAAGGATGCAATGAATGAGGAAAAAATTCTGTTCCTCGTCAGATCAATAGGCCCTGTGACCGAGAAATTAACATGAAACGGAATATGATAGCCTTTTCGGGGTATTCTTGATATTGTCTTTGTAAGTATGATTGTGGACAGGCAAATAGATATTGATACATTATCCCAGAAGCAATATTGAGATTTAACCTAAGCTTAAATATATATATATATATTTTTCCTCGACAGGGAACAATGGCTGTGCCTCTGTCATAAATTCTATTATCAATTCTATCATCAATTCTGTCATTAATTCTGTCATTAATTCTGTCAGCACGGTGTTTGCATCGACCAATAATAGATAAGCAGTCAATCTCTCCACCATTACGCCGGACATGGCGGGCTTAACCACGTAATTCGGCATTTTACATTCATACATAGTGGCACAGCAATTATTAATATTTCCATATATTGAAAAATATTATATGGTGATTTTATATGACAGAATTGATTTATATGGGGCAGGCTGCTGTGCAGCATTTATAATAGTAGGTAAATCAACTCTGTCTGAGATAAATTGAGCCTCACATATAAATCAGCCCACCATGTCGCTCATTCAAACGTGAGATTTGTCAATATTTTGCTTATTTCCATAATATGTGATTTAATTGGTTAAAAATAATAATCAGTTGCTGCAGGCGGTAGACGGACTTTGGGGATATTAGATACTCTTTCTGAATCACACATTGTCCATGACTTCGATTAGCACAGCCATCGCACCATATCATATGATCATGTATTTCAAGTCTTCTCATCTGTTCAACATTCAACAGACGCCTTGTTTTGATCCGTCGAGAAACCTTCAGATTTTCTACACCGATGGAGCCGCAGTGGCTTACGCTCAGCCTCGCGCTCAGCCTAGGCTAGCTGACTACCCCTCTCGATATACGGATGGATGAATTCGGTCCCCAATTTCTCCTTAATATCTGTCGGAAGAGCACGGCATTAAACTTGAGACAGTACTGAGCAATAACAGAATGGCCGCCTCAACTCTATCGCACAATGACTATACCGTTGTATGGATCTGCGCGTTGCCACTGGAAATGGCCGCCGCAAAAGCAATGCTGGATGAAACTCATGGGAGCCTCTCCCAACGGCCAAGCGATCACAATACCTATACCCTAGGTCGAGCACATGACCATAATGTAGTAATTGCCTGCTTACCATCAGGTATTTATGGGACTATATCGGCAAACTCTGTTTTAGAGCAGATTTTGGGCACGTTTCAATCTCTGAGATTTAGCCTGATGGTTGGTATTGGAGGCGGAGTCCCTACCAAGGCTGATATCCGACTTGGTGATGTGGTGGTGAGTAAGCCGACTGATAAGGGCAGTGGTGTAATACAATATGATTATGGAAAAACACTATCCGATGGATGCTTTCAGTGTACTGCATTTCTTAATAAACCTCCCCAGATCTTATTGACAGCGGTTAGCCAGATAGAAAGTGATCGCATGATGGGGAGACGACAGATCAAGCAGAGGATTTTCGAAGCGCTGGAGAAAAATGAAGAGATGAAAAAAGGCTTCTCCCGCCCTGGCAGTGATCAAATTTTCCACGCAACATATCCCCATCAAGACAGTCTCCGTGATTGTTCAACATGTGATCCAAATGAATTGGTTCCTCGAAAACCGCGAGCGACAGATGAGCCTTTTCTCCATTATGGATTAATCGCCTCTGGAAATCAAGTGATGAAAGATGCACAGACCCGAGATAAGATTGCTGAAGAGTCAAACATCCTCTGCTTTGAGATGGAGGCAGCGGGTCTCATGGACAGGTTCCCGTGCCTAGTTATTCGTGGAATTTGTGACTACTGCGATAGTCACAAGCAGAAACAATGGCAGGGCTACGCTGCTTTGGCAGCAGCAGCCTATGCAAAGCTGTTGCTGTCGAAGGTTCCCATGGATACAGCGGGAAAGGGGAGAGGTGAATTTAGCTCGACGAGTGGGAGAAAGTGGCTAATTGTATACGCTTAGCGACAGTTGCGAAGTATAACGAACATTATCACGTTCCTCATAATCCTTGTAGCTATTTCACTGGTCGCGAGCATATCTTGACGGAAATTGAAGCAGCTTTATTATTATCCGAACCTAGAACCACACAAAGAAGGTTTGTCCTTCACGGTATGGGTGGTTCTGGAAAAACTCAGCTATGCTCGAAATTTGCTGAAATCTATCGAGAGAGGCAAGTAACTTGACCCGAAGATACCGAAAAGAAAACTTTCTGAACGCAGCTAGGTTCTGGGGTGTTTTCTGGCTGAATGCTAGTTCTGTGTCCGCGATCAGAGACTCATTCGTCTACATAGCCCTGAAAGCTGGGTTGAAGCCATGCAAAGTGGACGGGGTCCGGTATCCTTCAAATTCGGTTTCAGGGACACATTTATTTCAAACTTGTGATGAGGAGCCTATGGGGCATTCCTCTAATGATGCTACCGAAATGGCCCTGGAAGCGATGAGCTGGCTTGCCAACCTCTCCGAGAACTGGCTACTAATCATTGACAATGCTGACGATCCGAAAATTGATGTTTGCAAATACTGTCCCTCATCAATATACGGTAATATCTTGATCACAACCAGAAACAGAGATTGTAGACGTATTGCAACAGCAGGGAATCAGGAGATAGCAGAAATGAGCGTAGAAGACGGCATTACATTGCTGTTAAAGGTGGCGGACAAATCGACGTCAGATCGCGAATGCCGTTCCCAGGCACAACACATCGCAGAAAGGCTCGGATACTTGGCTCTCGCATTGGTTTTTGCAGGAGCAGCAATTTCCGAAAAGCAGTGCGAGCTAGGGGAATACCTCGATCTTTATGCCCGAAATTTTCGGCGCTTGATGTCCTCCCGCCTCGCTCAAGGAAATGATGGTTACCAGTTCTCTGTTTACACTACATGGGAGATATCCCGTCAAACCATTGCAGACTCAAAGTACGAAGAATCTGCGCAAGCTCTCGAGATATTGGATATATCTGCTTCTCTGCACTTCCCCGAGATCCCAGAGATGATCTTCAACGGGGCACCACCAAGACGAAAAGCTAAGTCTAGACCGGTTTTTGAGCGAGTTGAATCGTTCTTGTCTTTATTCAATATCTTTCAAATGGGAGGGTGGCACGCGCCGATGATAGAGTCCAAAGAAGGTAACGTTGGTATACGCCAGGCCCTAGCATGCCTCAAAATGTTCCCATTCGATGAAGGCTTGCAACGGGACCTAGGCGGTACGCGTAAAGCACTTGTGTTACTGAATAAACTTTCCCTTATTAATTTTAATGTTGAAACCAAGAGCTTCTCAATGCATCGCCTAGTCCACGAATGGACAAAAGATAACCTCGATGACGAGAATCGCCAATGGAGCCGATGGGCGGCCTGTACCGGCCTCGTGTACGCAGCCACTATGAGTTCAGAAGGTAGACGAGAAGTCGCCACGGGGGACAGCCGAAGATGTCTAGCATCCAATCTTAGTTTTTTTCTAAGCAGTGGACAATCTGAGCTTCCAGTAGATAGGTATCTGAATGCAGCCCAGTCTCGTGTTGCCTCGAGATTGGCGATGATTTTCTCAGCCGATGGCAAGTATGGAGAAGCTGAGGAGCTCTACCGAGAATCCTTAGTCGGGATGGAAAATTCCTTGTCAAAAACCCATCCAGACACCCTCGTTGTCATTGATCGTCTTGCAATTGTACTAGAAAAGCAGTGCCAATACGATGAAGCTGCTGTGATGAACAGGAGAGCAATTGATGGCAGGACGAAGTTACTGGGGGAGCGAAATCCTCTGACTTTGGAGAGTATTAATAATTTGGCGGTCACTTTAGAGGGTCAGGGGGACTACTCAGAAGCCGAAAAGCTTAACCGCATGGTTCTCCAAATGAGGGAGGAGGTGTGCGGAATCGAAATGGAATCCACCATACAGAGTGTGAATAACCTTGCGTCTAACTTAAGACGCCGCTCCAGCTACGCGGAGGCAACAGAGTTGTTTACTCGAGCATATGAATATAGAGAGAGGAACATGGGCGGGTACCATCCAGACACGATGCAAAGTCTTAGTAATCTGGCTCTATCGTTAGACAGCCAGGGTCTATACGACGCTGCCGCAGAGAAGAGCCAAGAGGCTTTGATAAGGCGGACAATTGTACTGGGGAAGTCTCATCCGGATACGTTGATTAATATGAGCCACCTAGCTTTGATATTGCTTAAGCAAGGCGATATCGACAACGCCGAGAAATTGAACCAAGAGGCCTTACGCAGAATTGAAGGGCGACTCGGCCCATCAAATTTGGACACTCTCACAGTAGTAAGCACGCTCGCTGGGATATCGCAGGCGCGCGAGGACTATCAAAATGCCGAAAGACTATACCATCGATCACTCGTTGGGTTTAGGCTCCAACTTCCCCCCAATCATCCTCACATTTTGCGCACTTTGATAAATCTGGCTGTTGTAGTGCGGAGACAAACGCGATATGGTGAGGCAGAGATACTGCTCCGCGAGGCGATGACAGGTTTCAAAGCACAGTTTGGGATGAATCATCAGGACACACTGATTTGTCTAACGAACCTAGCAATCATGCTGGAAAATCAGGGAAAGCTAGCTGAGGCTGAAAGTACGAACAGGGAAGCTTTGTGGGGCTTTGAGCAATTCATGGGTAAAGACCACCCGGATACCTTGCAATGTCTACACAACCTTGCTGGGCTATTGCAGGTACAGGGGAAATATGACGAGGCAGAGGGCGTAAGCCGAAGAGTAGTGGAGGGACGTAAGGCTCGTCTAGGCCCAGATAAGCCAAAGACCCTCCAGAGCATCGCCAAATTGGCACATTTGCTCCATTGTCAACGCCGTTATCCTGAAGCCTCAGAGTTATACGAGAAGGCGTGTGCGGGATTCAAGGCGGCTGGCATTGATAGCAAAGCATCGCGAACGTGCTCCCAACGATTCAGCGCCATGCAAGAGGAGATAAAATCCGTCGAATCGACTTTCGCAGAGGGAGGAATGCACAGTTTGGACAGGATCGGCAAGATTGGCAAAAAGCAGAAAATCGTATCTCAAGGGCAAGAGACGGCACCAAACATGGGAATTAAACGCCGAAGAGCCACATTCGACGCCAGCGTTTTTGAAGATGGCAAGCTAGGTGAGAAACGTCTCAAATTGACCGCAGATACAGGACAGCCCGAATAGCCCTCGCACAAGGGAGCAGATTTGAAGGTTCGACTTTCATAATTTGGCTACTCTTCAATTGAGGTTTATCTCCACGTGGAATATGCCCACTCCCTCGGTTGTTTCTAGTCAATTCACTTGCTGCCCATAAATTCCTTTCAGATCTGCATGATGTGGTGATGATTTGTCAGTATTTCCCACCTTGTATCATCTTCACTTTCGCCGTAACATATCGTGTCAAACTTACCCGGAGGAATCGTGCTTATCGCTATGATTGTCGATGAAACCTTGCTCTTTTTCATCATCTAGACAGTAGAGTTATTGCGGAGTTTGCTATTCTACACTCCTTCAAATTTTTTTTTTTTTCTATCCAGCCTGAAATTATGACATATCGGATTGCTCATCGTGACTTGACCAACACGGCAACAAAGATTTCCGTATATTACCGGTAATACGTGGCGCTGGGCTGATGTGATGACCTGGGTTAGGCTGGCGCCTCATGAGGCTAAAGGCGCATACGATATGTCAACACTGGCTGGTCGACTCTGTAATCCCTGTATTGACGCGCCTGCATCCCGCTGCTGCGCCAACCATCGTTTCCAATGTTTACATCGCTCCCGATTTGGTATATCTTCAAACTCAGGCAGCAAAGCAATGCTTTATATTCCCTCATACTCCTAGTATATAATTAAATATATCACCAATGTGACGAACGCCTCGCTTTGAATCTCAACCAAGCCCCACAATTATTTTCGCCAAGGGGCGCGAGACAGCGTCAATCCCGATGCGCCAGCATGGTTCAGCCGAACATCGTCATCGCGCTGATTCTCATCATCTTAATGGTCATTTTTTCCATCGCGATTGTTGTGGTATGCCGTAATGCTGGATTGAATCGCTATGATACTTTGTACGATGAGGAGAGCATGAGTGGTCCTCCGTCTCATTTACCAGGACCCAAACCCACCACACCTTATGCCACTCATTTTCGACCACACGGTACTGTTGTTGCAGAGCAAAGTTCCCTTCCGCATGGGTTGATTGGACATCCTCCGTCTAAACCATCGAAACCGTCGAAACCTGGATCATACGGCCCACTACAGGATGACCACGGTGAAACGCAGGCTTCTGTTGATAGTAGGGACACATAAGGGACATCCTGGCTTTCATGAAGCTAGCGGCCTCTTCAAAATATTTGATGCTACAATTCTGTTTCACTTATCTTCTAGATGCCACACCCGTTGTTGGAGGCTGGCATGATTATCGTGACCAGTCCATCTTTCTTGGCTTATTTTATTGCGACCTCATCAAAGTGGCAGGAATTTCTCGTTGCATACGACACGCAATACAATCCTTTTCATTATGAAGTTCGCAGGTCCTCGAATTTTAGTCGCCAAAAAAAACTATCTAGAAGGTCTTTTGATGCAGTAGTTGAGAAGAATCGATGAATATTTTCACATTTCCACCTCAAATGTTAGAACGCCAACTGTCATTGACATCTATTTCGCCGGCTGCCAATAATAACACTTTAATGATCGTCTGCGCTTTTTTTACGACAAAGAAACTCACAACCAACTAGTATGGAGCATTAGTCCCTGGCTATACAAGTTTGAAATATCGACTTGCCAAGTTCTGGAGTCTTCAAATTCTATTTGGTATGACATTTGAAAATGCAAGCCAAATACAACATCCATTATATTAATTTCATATGTTGTTCGACGACTTATAATGCTGTATCTAAAGAAATCTCGCTACCTACTAAAAGTCGGTGGTCCTTAGCAGATCTAAGCGAACAGCTCATTCTGAATCTTGTCTTCAACCACCATGGCTCCTTCCAGCCTGATCCAGGCGGCGTCACGAGGTGTCTTTGTATATGAATCAATTTCATACGTCAGTGCTTCGGCCTCTTTCAGACGCCCTAGGCTCCGATATATTAACGCGAGGTTTCCCGAACTAGCTGATGTATAAGGGTGATCAGGGCCTAGGACCTTCCTACTCGTCTCAAGAATCTCTTCCACTAACTTGCCAGCTTCTTCAAACCGCCCCATCTTCTTATATATAAAAGCTAGATTGTCCATATTGACCAATAGAGACGGATGCTCAGATCCTAGGGTTATTTTTCTAGCCTGTAACACTCGCATTGCTAAGTGCTCGGCCTCATCAAATCGTCCTTGTTCTTGGTAGATAAAGGCGAGGTCACTCATGCTCATTAGTGTCAAACTATGTTGATGGCCTAGTGTTGATTCTGCTCTCTCAACCACCTGACTCTGCAACTCTTCAGCTTCTGCGAGCAGACCTTGTTCCTGATATATCGTGGCGAGGTTGTTCATGCTAGTCATTGTAGAAGGGTGCATCAAGCCTAGGACTTTTTGCCTCGTCTTCAATGCCTGCATCTCTAACTTTTCAGCATCTGTAAGTTTTCCTTGTTTCTTCCATATGACCGCTAAATTGCTCATTTTGGTTAATGTGAAGCGGTGATCTGAGCCAAAAATCTTCTGGCTTGTTTCTAATGCTTCTACCTCTAGTACTTCAGCTTCAGCAAATCTTCCTTGATTCTGATATATTGAGACGAGGTTGCTCATGGCGTTCAGTGTGGAAGGGTGCTCCATGCCGAGAACCGTTTTCATCGTGTTTATTACTTTTATATCCAGCGCAAGAGCTTCGGCTAACCGTCCTTGGCCCCTGTAAGCCGACGCCAAATTGCTGATGCTATCTAGCGTAATATGGTGGTCTGGTCCCAGCTGGATATTAGCTTCTTGAATCAAAACCTCAAAGGTTCTCTCGGCCTCCTTGAAATCCTCGTCGGCTAATAGAAATAGACCGTACTTCTCGAGGAATTGTATATTAATCTCAGCTGACTGGCGAAGTCCAGCTAACACAATGACATGTCGTGCATGTGGGAAGTATCGCCTCCATGATTCGAAACTGCCATACTCGTCAATAGTCATGATCTCATTGAGGCGGCTGATAACTTTTGGTATCCAAAAAGCCAGCAATTTCTGGTTCCTCAGCCAATTTTGCATCGCAAGCTGTACTAATCTGTGAACGCTGAGGTGGTCGCCATGGGAATTCCTTTCAACAAAAGAGTATGCCGTGAGTATTCCAATTGTATCGAGTTCCTTTTTCCTCGACCCTACCGGAGGTAGGAGAGAGATGGGGATTGCATCAGGATCAATACAAGAAATGAAAGCCATATAATCTACGGCCAACGGGCTGAGATCTCGAATCTGGTCGAACGAGACCAACCAGGTTGTGGCTACTGCGTTTTTCGTTCCTCGGTATCTCCTTTCATCTTCAAAGTCTTCGCTCAATAATTCGATGACGGCCTCTTTATCATTAAGAAGAGACAAATATTCAGACAGTCGAATATCGTTTTCGTTAATGTAGGCGGCGGCTTGCACTAGCGCAAGAGGAAGAGACCCCAGCTGCTGAATTATTTGTTCCTTTCTGTTTTCGTCCTCTAAAATATTGATTTCCTCTAAAGTATTGATTAGACTTCGGTCCAGAAGCTGCGTTGCTGACGTATCATCCATCGCTTTCACTGGAAAAATATGTGTACCGGCGAACTTAACCGCAACCTTCATGTTTCGTGTTGTTAAGAGAATAGTTCCTTTACTACTTTTAGGCATATAATCAATCAGGGTCTGTGAATCTCTTCTTTGCCCATCATTACCAAACCACATGTCCATATCATCTGCGTTGTCAAGAATAAGCAGCCATGGGCCGCTAGCTTCCTGACTCAAGCGATATTGTACAAGTCGCTTGATGTCGTGCTCCTCCTTTTCTGAATCAGGAATTTGGAGCTCATGGGCAATCATTGTATACGCTTGTTGCAAGGCGTCCACGTTAAATGTAGGTACCCAGAAAACAGATCGTCTATCTTTAATCTGATGGGCAAATTCAAGAGCTATTTGAGTCTTGCCTATCCCTCCAAGGCCACTAAGAGCAAATCTGTGAACATCATTTGTCTCGAGGCAATGATGGAGTTTGTCGAGAATCTCCTGGTGGCCAACAAATGAGGGGTTCCTTGGGAAAGGTACAGCCCAGAGTAGGCCAGATGAATCCGAGTGTGTATTTGATGAGGTAGCAGATTCATGAGGGGCATGATCATGACCTTCATCAAGAAGTTTGTCGTGAGTGGTTTCTTTCCGGTGACTTTTCATATGCCGAATAAGATGGTCCTTTCGAATGTAAGATCTGGTGCAGCCAAGCATACTACATGAATATGTCCGGTTTGTGACTATTGAGCGATGAAGGGCTCTTCGATGCCGATCGAGGTCTGATCTTAGACCAAACCTAGACCCGCACTCATCGCATTCGTAGGGGCGTGTATGTTTTTTTAAATGGCGGCTTAGCTTGTCAGATTAATCATCTACAGTCATGTCAGGTGTAACATACTTGAGATCGCCCGGGCGTGCATACGTTGCTTGACATATGTCACATCGAAATATAGGTACTGGATCGGTCTTTACTACTGTTTCTTGATTTGGTACAGAGCCTTCGGCCATCCTGTAGGTAAACTCCGTGAGCCACGCTTAGGTTCAGCTTGTCAGGGGGTAGTCGTTGAAAAGCCATGAAATTCTGGTGGCGATCATGTCATGTCGGGATGAAATGAGATATACAATGAAATCCAGCCTTAAGCCTGCATGAAATCGAAGGCAAAATCACCTCCGTCGCTGCGGGTGATTCTGTTGCCGCCATCACGTGCCGTGGAATTGATGGTGGTTTTCTATTTCACGTAATTAATTACAAAACTGTGTAACTTCTCAGCCGAATCATAAAAAGGCGGTAAGCTGTGTAGACCAATAGATCTCCACTAAGCTCTCGTACTGCCGATATAGCTTACCCCCACCGTATTTCAATAACACTAAACATACCACCCAACCCGTAATAATAGGGCAGCTTTGCCTAGAATTCCGGAATCAACAATGTAGCGAAACGGATAGCTTTCTACACGCATCTGTGATATTTTCGCTTTCGCATCTATCCTATGAATAAACCGATGGCCTACTGTTTCGAATAATGCTCCGTATAAGGGGACGACATGGGGCTGAGGACGAGGCGCGAGGCTGAAGCTGATTTGCGCCCTACTTCCAGCCGTATAAATGGTGGAGTTCCCCAAGTCTGCCCCCAAGCTTCCCCAAGTCTGCCCCAATATCCAACATTCTTGACAATGACTTCCCACCGACCTCAGAACGAACTGGATGGCCTTCAAGACTATATTGATGCTGAATTGTTAGAAATGGAGAGGCTGTCAAAATTAGAAACTGAAAAAAATGTTTGTTCTCGTCATCTGGTACCCAAAGGCAAGCTTCAAACTAATGCAATCGATAGCCGTCTGACACCAGCCTGGACATGAATCATACTTTGTGCGATACCATTGATCCTATCAATTTCCAAGACCTCATGGTATGGCATTTATTGTTTCATAGGGCCGATATTGACAACTTTATGTCCACAACGAAACTGGCACCAGTCTGACATCACCTTGACAGACTCCTTACCCAGTGTCTGTCAGTCATACCGCTGCCAAGGCTGTTTACAGCGATCTAGGATGGCTTGCAATGAGCACTGGAGATGGCACTGCAAGCGTTTACTTTAATCAATTGTTTCAAGCCAATGTTACAGCAACTAGGAACCCCTTCGAGTGGAACGGAGAGCACGCTACCTTCACTTCACCCTTTGTCGGTCTTGATCATACTCCAGAAAACAACCTAATCAATAACAATCGGCCTACACCATCCAATTCCACAGTTCAACACCACAATCGCCGCAAAGAAAAGGTACACTGCACTCATCAAGGTTGCACAAAGACCTTTGGGCGACCCAATGACCTCCGCCGCCATCTCAAGTTGCATATTAGTGCGCCAGACATTCCATGTACTGCCGAAGGCTGTAAGCGGATGTTTTACCGGATGGACAACCGTCGAGCCCACGAGCGGCGAGTCCACAAAGTCTTTGCTTAGCTCCAATAACGGAGGTGGGGGTTCTTGAAAACCGTCGGGGCGATGTAGATACGTGACCGGTCCTCACGATGTCTTTGCGCCGTTATGTCTTATTTCTGTGTCTTCTATAGATTTACACCTTTCATATAATATACATATATAAATAACGCGTTCCTTCCTAATTGGGAACGCGGCGATGTAAAAGTGTCAAGTGCTATTAGAGCAGTTGTATAGTACAAATGAAGTAGATGATGTGAATGAATGGCGCTTTATTTGTTTAGACTTGATCTGTATCTACCTCCTATTCAGACCAATCGATAACATATAATTTAACCACCACGTCATACGAACACTGAAATCGTCATCGCTATTTCGTGGTTTTTCTTGCTCGTGTAACTATTCCATCACGCCAACCCCAACTCCTTATAAAACGCCTCGGTCTTTGGCTCCCGCCCCAAAAACCCTGCCAACGTCTTCATCTCCTCCTGACTACCGCCCTTTTCGAGCACCATATGTCTATACCTGCGGCCCTCATTGGGATCCATCGGGTGGTTTTTGAAGACCGTGTAGAACATATCTGTCGAATAGACTTGAGAACTACAATGAAAGTCAGTATTGGTATAGAAACTGAATATGAAGGGGAAGGGGGCGGACCTTAGATATCCGTAATACCCAGCATCGTAGCCACCCATCAAATGGCCGAATGTCGCCTGTCCATGGCCCCATTCGTAGCCCTCCCCTAATGCCTCGGGCCCCTCGATCTGTGATATTTCGCGACGGAGCGTGTTGTATGTCTCAGTGGGGTTGAGCTTCTCAATGGCCTCGTGCGAGGCGGGCTCGTGCATGGTCATGTCGAAGATACCGAAGTGCAGCTGGCGCAGATTGAACAGGGCGTCATTGACGTGTTTCGTGCGGATCAGGCTGTCAATATAATCGTCGGGAATGCTTTGGGCTGGCGGAGTCGCGCTGCTGTCGCCCGCAGACTCCTGCCATGCCTTGAGGTACTCGGGTGATAGGGTCGAGTAGTGGCAGCTCAGCGACTTGAGTTGGGAAGGGGTCCAGCACCAGTTCTCGAGCATTTGGCTAGGTGCTTCGACGAAGTCGCGTACCGTGTTTGTGCCGTGAAAGCGAGAGTATCTGGTTTCCGCAACGAGGTCGTGGATTCCATGGCCGAGTTCGTGGAAGAGAGTTACGACTTCGTCGTGTTTGAGTAGACTGGGTTTTTTGGCTGTGGGTTTGGAGAAGTTGCAGACCAGCGCTGTGGCAGGGTATCTCCGGTTGCCGTTGGCGTCGATGAAGCCCTGTGATGTTAGGCCAGAACAGACAAAAAGGGGGGAAGGGGACTTACAGGCTGCAGATTGAAGTTGGCGGCATGTCCATACTTGCCCTCGCGGGGATGCAAGTCTAAATATAGATACCCAACAAAGCCGCCGCCCTCAGACGCATCATTCCACACACTAAACAACTGCACGTCCTCATGCCAGACGATATCCTCGCCTTTTCCAGATGGCGATATTTTGCTCCGGTCATCACCCGTAACCTCGACGAAAAGCAGACCAAACAATTTCTCAAAAATCTCCAGCATGCCGCGGATGGTTGTCTGCAGAGGGAAGAACTCGGAGATTTTCTGATGGTCTAATTGGTACTCCTTTTCAAGCATCAGACGGTCGTAGAATCGATGGTCCCAGAGGAAATAGTGGCCGTCGAATTTCTCTCCGCGAGACTCCAAATCGGCCTTTTTCAGTTGCTTCAGCTTCTCAATCTCCTTCAATCCACCAGCAGCCAGCCGAGATCGCAAGTCGCCCAGGAAAGTGTTTACAGTCTGAGGCGTCTTAGCCATCTTATCCTCAATCCGGAACGCGGCATGGTTAGGATAACCCAACAATCGCGCGGCCTCATCACGCAGAACCATCGCCTCTTTGAACAACGGGATGTTCTGGTTACATTTATTCTCATTCCCAATCGACACGCGCTTGCGAGTTTCGGCGTTCTTGGCATACTTCAGCGTCGGGAACAGATCGGGATATTTAAACGACAGACGGATCTTGCCCTCGTTCTCATCCTTGCCTTTCTCAAGCCCCGACAACACATCCTCCGGCACCCCATCCAGCTCTTCCGGCGTAAGCCAGATCCCGCCATTCTCCTCATTTAGATTCTTCTGAAACTCAATACTAAGCTGACTCAATCGCTTCTTGATCTCCTTGAATCGATCCCTCTTCGGGCCGGCCGGCAAGCCCAACCCGTTACGAATATAATCTTTATGTTCCTTTTCGAGCAACCGCTGCGATTCAGGGTCAAGTTTCTCACCCTTTTTCAACGCCGCATCCACAAGCTTGAATAGATCCTCGCGCATCGCAGTCTCAATGCCAAAGTCATCGAGCAGCTTCTCGGCCTCGCTGGACGCATCGCGCAGCTTCTGGTCGGTCGAGACAGCCTGGTAGAAGCCAAGGATATGGGCCTCCAGGGCCATGGCGTTTTCGTCATGGGCGAGCGGGAGCAGCGCGGTGCTGAAGGTCGCCGAGTCCGCGGTGACGATGCCGGCGACATCGTCTTGGATCTTGCGGGACTGGGTGATGAGACGCTTGGTGTCGTCGATGATGGAGGAAGGGGTAGCGACGAACAAGGGTGGGGATTGCGGGGGTGCGCGGAGCTTATCTGGAGCCATGCTGGCGGTAGTTATTGATCGGAGGGGATTTTGTCTTCGGATGAATTGTTTGGATGGCCGTTGCACTTGTTGCACCAGCGCGCTTAGTCGGAATGAGGCGGGGGAGAGGCGGAGCGGAGGAGCCAGGATGATTGAGATGCCCAGCACGAGCAGGAATACGATGAGGGACAGGGACGGTCTGGAAAGGCGGGGGAGAGCGAATGTGGTGGCCACGGTGGATTTGGGTAATTTGTGGTAGGCACAGGTAGTAGTATGCAGGTTGAGCGACTTGTCAATCTTGGGATGACGACGTCGGAGGAGTGTGTGTTGTCTCCACACGAGCTGTGGGACCGTCTCAACCTACACGTCTCGTGGGTCTGTCACTATCACAGTCAAAAGCCTTTCCTGCGTCCCAGCCTAAACAGCGCAGCACAGAGCTGGATGTGGTTGCTATTAATTATTAATCTCTCAAATACTAACGACACTCCTTTATTTTATAGAGATATCATCTTTGCATCGCCGTACATATAATATACCACTATCCAAGGTTAAAAGAATCTAGAAGCCTGATCTATATATATCCACTATAAGAACGCTATTTTGGCTGCTAAAGAGTGGTATATTAAATATTGATATTATTCCTAATAAGGAAATAGAGCGTAATTAATTTTTATTATATTTTTGAACGATTTGGACGTATAATCTAATATTTGGAGGAGTAATGCTTTTTTGGTAAGAAAGGGTAAATTTTGTGGGTGCGCGTTCAGCTAAAAACGCGAATACTTTTGGACTAGTACTGTATATAGGTTACACCCTCACCACCCAGCATAGAGATACATCCATATGTGCCATTTTTTCACTGTGTCACAAAATCAGATGGAGTTGTCTCGACAATCGGGCCAGTATACTCCTTCCGTGCATGAAAGATGTAATAGACAATCGACAAAAGTAAGGTAGCTCCGATGATGAGAATGTTGTAGTTCATGTTTTCAGCCGTGACAGGGTAAAACGAGGGCCAAAAGGACCAGAAGAGAGCGATGGTCAAGTAAATGACGGAGAATGCATTGATCAAAATGCCCAGAATGCCCGGGATGCGCCAGGGACCCCAGACGAGCCGTCTCCCGACGTTGTTGACCGGCTCGTATGGTGAGTCGTCCACGTCTGGCAGGACGATGGCTCCTGTCAACCGTCTGTACAAAAGGAGTCCGCTCGCCATGAGATAAGAGGAGTAGTAGCCTGATGTGACAAGGGCGACAATATCGTTGAAAGCCGTTGCGCTACCAATGCTGATCAGGGAGAGTAAGGCAGACACAGCAACGGTAAACAAAATACAGCGAACGGGTAGGGAGGTGCGAGAATCCAGCTGGAAGAAGATTGTTCAGCCAAATCAATGACATTCAAGTATGTTGTTAGATTTGGGTGGTGTATTACCTTGAGGAAAAAGCTCCAGCCGGGAATCGCTTTGTCGCGAGCAAAAGCCCACCACATACGCGAGGCGGCTGCCATATCAGCGATGTTACCAAACATTTGCATCACAGCGATGATGGCGCCCATGGCCACCGCACCACCAAGCGACCCAATTCCAGTTTGCAAGACGTATAGAAAGGGATACCCAGCCTCACCCGCCTCGCTGCCGAGGGTATCATCGATGCTGGTTGTGGCGTAGAGTGCAGCGAGCAAAATACCGAAGCCAAAGGCCCCGTTAATACCCATGCTGGCCATAATGGAGCGCGGCACGACGACTGCAGCGTCCTTGATTTCCTCAGACATGTGGATGGCGCCGTCGACACCAGTAAACAGGAAGATGGACATGAGCAGGCCGATCATGGTAGAGAGTCCCTGTGTGTCCCAGCCGCCCTCGTTAACGAAGTAGGCCCAGACCTCACTCGCGTCGCGCTTAGAACTAAGCACGCACAGTGGAACGAGCACACCGAAGAAGGCCAAGATATGGATGCACAGAACCGGGCCTTCAAGGGTTGGCAGCAATCGACGGGCGATGGTGTTTATGATGAAGCCAAACAGGAGCACTGCATAGATGATAAGAAGTCCCCGCCAACTAGTCGCTTCATATGAGGGAATTGTAATGGCAACTAACGTCTGAATGAGCGTGCCGGCAATGTAACCCGTCGAGGCGACCAGAGCCTGCCAGCCTACGGATGTCATCCAGCCAGTCAGATAGGACAGGAAACGTTGACATGAGCTGGGTGCCAGCATTGCGACCCAGAAATATTGACCAGAGGAGATGGGAGCCCTTTATCTGTTAGATTTTGCGCTCATTTTGAATGTTGTATTTTCATATACTCACATAGATGCCAGTTCACACAGTGAGGCAAAGGTACACCATGCGCCTATCCAGGCAAAGAGATACATATAAATCATCCCAGCAGGGCCGCCACTGTATTGATTAGCTTAGCTAGACACTCTCTGTATACGTAACACCAGGATCATGCGACATACTTTTCTAGACCAATGTTGAAAACTAGAAGAACACCCTCCCAGGTGACGAGGATGGTGGTTGTGAAACCGAGGATAGCCATGAAGCCATACGTTCGCTGATCATTGCATAAGCGGGTAAACATGATATATCTCGTATATGGTAAGGGGTACCTTCAAAACAGGTCGCTTACCCAGTCTCAAGAGATGGGCACGGTCGCGCTCCTCGCGGTCCATAGTTGACTTGCCCTCCATCTCGCGCGCGGTCGAGACGTTGGTCTTGGTTTGGAGCTCAATTGCATCCATAATAGAGTTCACAGTGTACAAAAGCTATGAAAAATTTAGAGATGAGAGTTGAGGAATTCTATGGGGAAGAAGAAGAAAAAAAGAAAGGAAGACAAACAATTCAGTACAAAAGCAAAATAAAAAAAAGAGAACGTAGCAATGTAGCAGCAGGCCCTGAAGGTGCAGGGATACCAAATTAAATACCGGCCTAGAACCTATTTAGCATACTACCTAAGTACTCATGATACTTCTTTTTACTGTATTATTACAACCACCCAGGTATCATGCAAGTGCCAGGAAAACACATGGAAGATGCAGTTTGCCCTGAATCCCGTGGCACATCGAGTATATCCATCCATAGCAGAAGGCCTTGTCTCCAGAACCATACACCTCTCCTTTGACTCGTTCTCACACCTTGATTTTCAGATCTTCACCCCTGACTTTGCCTTTGTCTTCTCTCGTCCTTAATTATTGTTTGAAACTACCATCATATGTCATGGCCACCCCTGGCGTTCAGATCACCGCGACAAATAAATCTCCGCTGATCCTCATCGTGACATGGCTACTGCTCGTCCTCGCCGCGTTTGCCTACATTATACGCTCCATTGTCAAGATATCGCGCCAGGCCATGCGCTTTGGAATCGATGACTATCTACTCACAGGTGCATTGTGCTTTTGCGCCGCACAGTCGCTGGCTACCATCCTCCGAGCGGCAGATGGGTTTGGAAAACCCTTCGACACTTTGTCTGTCGAAAAAGTGAACAAGATCACGGAAGCCGCCATGGCGGCGAACGTCCTCTACGTTGTGTCCTTAGCTTTGTCGAAACTGTCCCTCCTTCTCCTTCTAGCCAAAATATCCCCGAATAAACGACACAATCAAGTCATGCACGGCATCAGCCTCTTTGTTGTTCTTTTTACTTTTATTTCTATCTTTGTGGTCTCCTTTTCCTGCTCGGTGCCGAAAACATGGGATTACGCTTCTGGAAGGTGTATCAATAGGGTAGGGCAGCCTGGGAACTAATTTTCTCAATCGAATGGAAAGGATGGGGCAGAACCAAAGCTCCATTATTCATACACAATATGCTTACATTGTTATGCAACAGACCGTATGGTGGATCGTCTTCGATGCGTACAACATCATCACCGAGGCCGCCTTGATCTTCATACCTATCTACATTATCGGCCTGGTACAGTGGCCTATCTCACACAAGGTTGTGGTCTCCACTCCTTTCGTATTACGGATATGGTGAGCAATACAAATCGATACAGCATTAGCTGTATTTTTTCTGAAACAGTCATACTAATCTTGGTTTCCCTTTTCTTTTTCTTTTTCTCCTTTAGTACAATTGCAGCTTGCATTATTGATATGGTGCTGTGGCATAGCGTCTCGACCGCCACAGACCCTTACTTTGCGGAATGGACCGTTTCCGTGACCACGCAGGTTATCCAGTGCAGCTGTCTAGTGTGCACGTGTGTCCTATACCTGCGAAATTTCCTTTCGAGTATTGAAACCGGATTTGGGCTGGATGGAGATTTGTCGGCATCGATCCCTCTTAAAGATCGCACTACTGCGGGTTACAATCTTTCTTCGGAAAGGTTGACCGACTCTGTGGGAATGCCGGGGCAGATTCAGGTCACCACAAGGTATGAGGTGCATACAGAGACGGTGTATGGGGTGGAGTCAGGGGGGGAAGAATGATTTTACTGAAAACCTTATCACCTCTGTATCAGTAGTTATCTGGATTATGCGTATATCATAGGCTGGAAATGTGTATGTTACTCAGTGTGCATTTTGTAAATATGCACTAGCTCAAGAACATAGACTCATATGAAACCGTCTTATACTAACTTCCTAGTGAGTCAATGGGATCTGTTGTAAGCACTTCCGGGTGAGCAAGCCGGGGTTGAGATCCAGTATCTAAGAAAAGGGCGCATAGTCAAGCTTTCCAATGTTGATCCCTGTTCCTATAGCGCGTTCGTAATTTTCACTCGGCCAAAGGATGCGCTTGTCTTCTAGCCTAAAGGTGTTGACTTATATTGTCAAGGTTACAACAGATAAGGCTAAGGCTTGTGTTGATTGGTTTGCATTTTCCTCCAAGAGAGCACACCATTTCCTTGATATCGACGTGAGGTGATTGGAGCATTCGACCACCTACGCCACAAACTAGCTGGTCCTCCCGTGTCTTCCGCACGGTCCGGACCCTCGACCATTCCAATTTCCTCGTAGTGCTAGGATTAGGAGGAATAATAAGTTAATAACGATACCAGTGGACTCTGGGGCCAACACAACTTAAGTGGGACTTTATCCTTAACTCATGCGGGATTATCAGACTTTAGTAGGGATGGATCCAGGATACATACATGATACAATGTGATTCTGTCCAATATTGTTGGATCTTAGCAGCAAGAGGCGGCGGCATATCTAGTTTCTTTGGGTAACGTCCTGGCATATAGACTGCATGTCATGTAGTACAGAGTAGTACTACAGGATCCTTTTAATTTCACTCAATTTCTCAGAAGCCTACGATCCCTGCGATTGGGTACGTAATTAAAAGGATTCCACGAAGTTTCTTTTCTTTTCTTTTTTTTTATGAAATAAACGAAGGAAAAAAAAAGAAATTTAACACCGAGAATGTACTCCTTCTTGTCGCCTTCTACGCTTCTTCCAGAGCAGCTGTGGTCCTGGCCATGGCTGTGGCCCTGTGCATTGTCATTATCATGTCTTAGCTTGGCCGCACTTTTTTTACATTCGTATCTTTCCAACCCGCTTATTGGCGGCCTCTTCTCTATTCCTAATGCTCTACCAATAATTGGCCATCTGTATCTCCTAGGCGACGATCACGCAAGCGTCTGCGAAAAGCTATGGCGGAAGTACAACAAATCCGTCTTTCAAATCCGGCTAGGAAACACAACCGCTGTGGTGGTCAACTCTTTCCATGACGCTCGTCGAATCCTCGTGTCGCATCAATCCGCACTCATCGACCGGCCAACCCTGTACACCTTCCATGGCGTGATCTCATCGACGCAGGGCTTCACCATCGGGTCGAGCCCGTGGGATGATTCGACGCGCAACCGGCGTCGAGCAGCCGGTACGGTTCTCTCGAGACCGGCGATCCGCTCATATCACGATATGTTCGACTTGGAGACATATGATTTGATTTCCGACACTTATGCCGACGGCAAGGGGGGCAAAGAACTCGAGATCAGACCGTATATCCAACGGTTAGCATTGAATACCACCCTGACACTCTGCTATGGTATTCGTATGCGAGGCGTGTACGATGAGCTCCTCCGGGAAATCCTAGAAGTTGGCTCTGCCATTTCCCTGCTTCGGTCCGCCTCGGAGAATTACCAGGATTATATCCCTATTTTGCGGTATCTGCCGGGAAACAAAAAAACGGAACGTGCAAAATCATTACGGAGGCGAAGGGACAAATACTTATCTTTTCTGCTCGACACTGTTCGAGACAGGATTCAGATGGGCACAGATAAGCCATGCGTGTCAGCTACCATTCTCAAGGGAGAGGAAACCCGGCTGACTGACGTAGAAGTCTCATCAATCTGTCTGTCACTTGTATCTGGTGGGTTCGAGACCATTCCTGCCACCTTAACCAGCTGCATCGGAAGTTTAGCTACGGAGGCAGGACAGATCTTCCAGGAGCGAGCCTACGAGGATATCCGACGGTACTACTCAAATCTGGACGATATCTTTCTAGAATCCTTCGCGGAAGAAAAGGTACCATATGTGAACGCGCTTGTCAAAGAGGCGGAACGATATTATACCGCCTCCGCAATGAATCTACCCCGAAAGACCACGGTGGATATCACCTGGGATAACGGGGTGGTAATTCCCGCCAAGACGATGGTGTTGGTCAATCTCCAAGCGGCGAACCATGACGTGGATCACTTCGGAGATGACGCCGATGTCTTTAACCCCGAGCGATGGCTGGAATATCCAGAGAACATCCCTGTCGAAAGAAGTATCCAAGGATTACCACATATGTCCTTCGGCGCTGGGGCGAGGGGCTGTTCAGGGCAATTCGTTGCCAACCGCGTGATTTATACGGCATTGGCACGCTTGCTGAGCAGCTACCGTGTTGTAGCGAGCGAGGAATTCCCGCCGAATACCCACTATGCGGATTACAATGCCATTAAGAGTGCTCTTGTGGCCATTCCGAGAGACTTTAAGGTCAAGCTCATTCCCAGAGATGAGTCGGAGTTGCTCGCTTGTTTAAAGAGCGGGGCCAAAAGAACAGAAAAACACTATGTTGTCTAAATCCTGCGTATATCTTACGTAGATATAGATTAAACAATGTACGTACAGTACTCAATATGAGGATCTGCTGCTCGGCGCGCCTCTCAGGCAGTTTGTGGGACGCTGAACCAGAGCGGCATTTCATTGTATGAGTACGAGCTACCACCGTTGCTCTAATTGCTACAGATTTTTAATCTACGTATTTGATTTCTGCAAGATGTGTATGATGAGAAACGATCAAGTCGTATTCACTGCCATTGTATGGACATATCTAACGGTAAACCCAAATCACCAAACAAACCCGTCTTAAAAACGCCGCTAATTCGCTATAAAGAGAAATTCAGTCTTGAGTTGACCGAGGACGCGTTTTGGCGTCGAGGGTAGAAGTCATTAGAGTACAGAAATAGTCATAGGAAATGCAAAGGAGAGTAATTACAAAGGCAGAATTTTCATCATCATCTCATTATTCACGCAGCATCGGCAGTGGCGATAGGCTCAGGGATCTTGGTCACCTGCTCGCCCGCACGAATAATACGCTGGCCATTCGCGTCCCGCACGTAGTCGACGTTGGAGTTCTCCTTTTGAGAGCGCTTCCAGATCTCAACCTCGGATCCACCGCGGATAACACCAACACGCATGGTGGAGAGCAGGTTGTGGGCGGCGTTGGAGTGGTAGTAGACACCGCCGTTGAACATGGCGGTCGCGTCCTTGCCGATTCCAGAGTTGATCATGGCCTTGCCACCGGGGTGGTCCTTGATGAAGTCGGTCACGTCGTGGACGACACCGGCAATAGCGACCAGGCCACGACCGTTCTTGGCCTGTTCGACATAGTCATCCCATTCCATGACGGGAAGCTGGTCGAGAGGAACGCCCCAGTCGAGTTTAGTACGGCGTTGGTCGAGTTTCTTCTGTAATTGCTGGAGACGGCCCTTTTCGATTTCGTTGGAACGGAACTGCTTGAGGTCGTAGGCGAGACGCAGTTGTTTGCAGACCCAGATGAACCACTTGGTGGGGTCGTACTGGTGCCACTCGATAGCGTTGCGGTAGTCGGAGGGGAACTCGTGGTGGAAGTTGTGGTAACCCTCGCCGAGAGTGACCAGAGCAGTGACGACGTGATCACGAGGGGAGTTGCGGTCATCAAATGGCTGATCTCCGAGCCAGTGGGCGAGAGAGTTGACGCAGAAGGTGGCCTGCTGGACGAAGAAGACGCGCAGGATACCGGCGTAGATGAAACCACCCATCCAGTCACCCCAGCCCAGACCGGCAACACACATGGGGACGAGGAGACCCATGGTGATGACGACCTTGATGAAGTTGCGGTGTTGCCACACGACGATGGGATCCTCGTTCAGATCGGAGATATCGGTACGGCCGATGCGCTTGGGGTTTTGCTTCATTACCATCCAGCCGATATGCGAGTACAACAGACCCTTGCGAACAGAGTACGGGTCTTTGTCGGTGTCGGTATAACGGTGGTGAGCACGGTGGTCACGAGACCACCAGCGGATAGAGCCCTGGACAGCACCGCCACCGGCAGCAGCGAGGAAGATCCTCAGGGGAAGAGTTGCAGAGTACGAGCAGTGAGCCCAGAGACGATGGTATCCTGACAAATTAGCGCGTGTCTGGAGCATACAAGCATAGGAACTTACCAGCTGTGATGCCTAGACCGGTGTAGAAGTAGTATAGAACAGCCCAGACAGCAGTCTTGAACTGCAGAGGAACCCACAGGGACTGGACGAGACCGCACAGCGGAACGCCGATGATAAAGGTCACATTGAGCCAGTTGACGTGCTTGTACCAGTTCTTCATTGTCATTGGGGTTTCGGTGATGTGCACTTTCTTGGTATCAGCAGGCCGGGGCCGGCTGGCATCTGCGGCGGAGGCAGACATGGCGAAGACTGACGAGCAGGATGTGTCAATGTCAGTCAAGTCAGTCGATGTGAAGTGTAACTTTGTTAGAAGGAAGACAGTGGGTGGCGCTTGCTGATATAGTGTTCTTGTTCCCCAATGTCCAGACCAAAATGTGGCGGATCCACAGCGCCGTTGGGGAGGCGGGCTGCGGTTGGATGATCACTAAGAATAGTGAATAACTGAATAGGAATGTGTCGTGCAACCGCGGTCGCCCGGCCGAGGATGCGCTGATGCAGCAGCCTATGAAGAGCACGATAATCTCAGCAGGCCCCAGCACGAGTTGCCTTGCACTCACGAAAAGAGGCCGGAAACAGACATGAGCAAGGGACAACGACAGGTGATTCCACCACCAATCTGGGGAGAACCAGCCGAGGTTTCCGCTTTCGTTGGGTCCGCCGCCCCAACAGTTCGGGTCCCTGGCTGGCGGGCGGCTGCTGATTGGCTGGCGTCGCTGCCTTCCGCTCGCCCCATCAGCGCCGGTGTTGATTCTTCAGTATTCTAGAATACATAATACCAGTGTGATCAGTCTTAACGAGAGAGAAAATATATTCGGTCAGTTACTTTTTCATAGTCACAGTGAATATTTAATAATAATATACAATCAACACCACAGTGAGAGGAACGTTGAAGGAGTACGGCGATCCGGTGGCGTTGTTGGACTTGTGGGTCACGCCTTCCCCTGTGCCACTGCCGCTGCCTGCCCCAACGCTTTCAGGGCTATTTTGGGCTGCCTTGCTGCCTCGACCCTGAGGCATCAAATGTACTCTGTGCAGTGGGAGAACATTATACTTATCATTTTCTTTCCGTTCATCATCCTTGAATACTAATCACGAAGTGCTTATGTTTATGCTTATGTTTATCATTATCGTTATTATTTGTAGAGCCATCTGACATCAGTCGTCGTCACCCCAGCACCATAACCTCATTTTAAAAGCTGAAGATCGTAGTGACATGACATCAAGCCCATGCAGCTGTCCTTCACGTTCATATGCATTGTCATTAACAAAGAATCCTCGGTTTGGCTGGCCGAAGATCATGACTGATGATGCGGTCATCCGCAGCATGCTCCCGCCAATCACACGCTCACATCACACACTCACATTCCGGTTACGCCAAGCCTTCTGGAAGGAAGCATTCATCAATATTCAATGCCCAGCCGTGGAGCTTGTCTGATCCCTACTCGTCAGCTCGTTCATCTTGAGCGCAACATTCTTCTCCCGCCGCGCTTTCTGCTGCCTGCGTCGCCAGAGGATAACGAGGGCCGCCAGAACGAGAGAACCGCCCACAACCGTTCCCACCACGATGCCCGCAATCGCGCCGCCAGAGAGATGGCTTCCTCCAGTGTCGCTAGTAGAGGACGACGTTGAAGCAGCAGTCGTCGAGGTTGCCGTTGCCGTAGCCCCGACCGCCAACGAGCTCGTAACTGCAGTAGGGTTGTCAATGGAGACATTGAAACAGGGGACTTGGATAGTGAAATCTTTCAGCGCAACATAAGTGATGTCGGCACACGCATAGTAGGTTTTATTAGTATCAGTCTCGCCTTTAGAGATGTAACTGAGTTGTAGCGTGGCATTGGACCCGGGTGACACGCTTGATGGCGCGTTGGGCACTGAGTAGCATTCGTGGCCGGATTTCAGGTCGGGAAAGTTTGACGAGGAGACGAGGGTGCTGAAGTCATCGTTACTTGTGGGATCTGCCACTCATGTTAGCTGTTTGAGCTTGAGCTGAGCGTGGGCTTGGGGTGTTGGATGGGACAGAGCGTACTGTCTTTGTGAGAAACTGCGAGGTTGACATTGTATGATTCATCCTGGAGAACCACAGCAACCGCTCCATTTGCTACAGATGTTAGAGATGGTAAAGAATAATCTACTGTGACATACTCATAGGGAATACGGTACGATTCGTGACCCCCGCAGCTGAGCCGCAAGGTGCTGTGTTGTCGTTCACGGCCGAGAAAGCTCGGTCACTAGGCCACAGGAAAGCAGCTGGGCCCATGTCGTCATCAAGCTTGCTCTTGACGAGGACGCCCATTAAGGGCAGAATCCAAAAAGCTTTCATCGCGAATTCAAATGGTAGATGAAAATTAAGGGTGCGGCGAAAGACGAGAGGAAACAGGTTTGATCATACTATAAACCTGCGGGAGCATCGTAACATACCCCTCACAGTCAGCGAACGTCGGAGGTAGCAGACACGCTTTTACAACAGAGGCTGTCCGTCGCTGAACTGATTGGCTCCGATTCTCTCCAGGCGGGGGTTGTGTAGTATATTACACGTTGTTGGTCCACTAGATTAGATGCGACCAGGGGTTGCCATTGGTTGGCAATATGTGGCTTTCCACTACTATCCAATAGCACGCGGAAAGATGGGGCAGCTCGGATCAGATAACCAAAAAACCCCGGCCGAGCTCTCGCATGCTGATTCCGTGTAACCCGAACGTATCATCCTGCAACGCCCATAGATTGATGGCGTTAACGGGTCATGTTGTGTCCGCATGAGACCACACAAGAATAGTTCTCATTTGGTAATAGATATGACTCGGCTACCTCCGACTTTCGGCATTGCCGATGGATGCCTAGACTGATGAAGACTCCATGAGGAGTATATATTCCACAATTCTCTGCTATATATGCCAACTATTACGCGCTGTATGAATAATCTTTGACTCAGATACATATATGCACCCTTTGAATTGTTTTGGCAAATTCACGATGAAATTTCTCCACCTAACCGCCGTTTGTGGTATTCTTCTACAATGCCATGCTCTGGGATTGCGCGGACTTGAATCAGTGTTTGAAAAACGACAGAGCATTGCCCCGGGATCACCTCTCTATGAATGCCATTCCAACTGTGGTACGCCCCTTTTTATGACCCCCTAGCAACCCAAACCTGAACTTAAATAGCTAACCATAAACGCTATCAGGAAACGTAATTGTGCTCTCGCGCACCAATAACTACTGCTCAAACTCCACTTTCATCGCGGACTTGGACGCCTGCCTCAAATGCGCTCTTACGGAAGATATATGGCAGGATTACGGCAACCACGTTGCGGCAGCTGCTAAAGCCTGCGGCGATGATGCTACGCCTAGTCCATCGTCAGCAACAGGTGCTGCGTCGGCGACTGTGACTGGATCTGTAGTTTTGACTACTCAAGCTGCTGCCACTACTACTCAAGCTGCTGTCACGGCTACTCAAGGTACTGTCACGGCTCCTGCTGCTACGCGTTCATCTTCAGCTGTATCTACCCCTACGCCTGGAAGAAACTCGGTAAGTGCCTCCATTTCCACACTGTTATAGTTTGTGCTAATTATTCATGATAGACTGCACCGTCGTCGTCTACATCTTCTCCAGCAAGTCCTGTACACACTGGGGCTGCTTTGGCTATTAACAGTGATTACAAGTGGTCTATCGTGATGACTATTGCCGTTTTGACGGTGTGTCACGCCTTTATATAAGCTGTGTTGAAATCAATGCTGCTAGCATGCTACTGGTTACTAAATCTGGTAGCTATTGCTATTACATGTACTTATACCAAACTTTGTAGATTGATATCTAAGAAATAAACTTCGACTGAGAATTAATTACTGATATACCAACTCTCGCAAACCAGCTATTTTATTTATCTCCACTAGCCGCAATAGTCAAATAAGACCACTTCTTATCCTCCGCAGCCAGAGTCTCAGTAACTTGAGCAGCATACTGCAACGTCTCGGCCCCAATCAACAGCCGAAGAGGCGGCTCATCAATCTCGGCAACCTGCAGTATAACATCTGCCACCTTGACCGGATCCGTTGGCCACGAATCCGCTTTCGACCGCACATACTCGCTAACAGCCCCTACCGTCTGCCTATACGCCTCACTAACGGGTGCCACCTCCATCGACGTCCCCGACCAATCTGTCCTCATACCGCCCGGTTCAAGAACCGTAACCCTAATCCCCAGCGGCCCAACCTCCTTTGCCAGCACAGACGAGAATCCTCCCACCGCCCATTTCGCACTCTGATACGCCCCCAGGCCGGCCGAAGCCATCCGTCCACCAACTGACGAAACCTGAATAATGTGCCCATTCCCCTGCGCGCGAAGCACCGGCAGAATGGCTTTGGTCACATACACAACGCCCATATAATTCGTCTCGAATTGGGCCCGGAATGACTCGATGGTAATATCCTCTATGCTCGCGACGTCGGCGTACCCGGCGTTGTTGACGACGACGTCGATTCGGTGGAATTTCTCAACGCCGAGTCTGACGGCTTCGAGGGCATGGTTGTATTGAGTCACGTCGAGGGATAGGGGGAGGACCTTTTCGGTGCCGTGCTTGTCAACAAGGTGCTGTAATTGTTTGGCGTTTCGTGCTGTTGCAATCACGGATCCTCCGGAGTTTAGGATGGCTTCGACAATGGCGAGGCCAAGGCCTCTGGAAGATCCTGTGACGAACCAGACTTTGCTCATGATTAGGAAGGTAAAATAATGCGGTATTGAAGTTAACGTTAGGATATTAAGTCAGCGAAGGAATTTACTGATCTGTTGAATTTTCATCCACCGGGGGTTCAAGTCGAGACATTATATAGTAATGTGTTTTGATTTTGATTTACATTGTCTACTGCAAAGTACTGGGTTTGCGGCCGCATTGCTGCCAATATTTGACTTTGTTCGATATGAGGGGCGGCCGCATATATGCGGCCGCACTTGCCCGCATTTATACTCTTCCTTACATCACCTTGTTCTACACCTCTCCTAACTCACAAAAGTAACCATACCCATGAATCTGACTCCAGCATCCACCAGCACAGCCCTCCATGCGTGCGCTCCATGTCGCAGCGCAAAGCGTCGATGCGACAAGGCTCTCCCGAGCTGTGGTCTCTGCCAACGAACGCGCCGCAACTGCGATTATGCGCAACAGCCCGCATCAGAAGAGAGCCTTCGCGCACGCATTCGGGAGCTGGAGAGTGCGCTTCATCTTTCCAGCGAGTCTCCATCGACGTTAACCGATCTTTCGGATGAAACCGTGGCGAACTCGTCGCTGCGTACTAGCATCTTCTTCTTGGATTCTGATATCCACGAATACTCAAATATCCCCATCAAGGCAACCACAGGGGTTTCTATCCCGGAATACGTCGGTGAGCATCTCCAGGAACGATGCCAAATCGACGAAATTACAACTCTCTATTTCGAATCAGTCCATACCTGGATGCCGATAATCAACAAGACCAGACTCAGCCAACTCGTAGACACAGCGCAGACTCAAAATGAGATGCAAGCCGATCTCGCGCTCTTACTACTAACCATGAAACTTATCCAACACCCACCAGATGCCTACCCTGCTCAATCTACTTCTCTGTACGTCGCCGCTAAGCGGTTTTCGTTCGCATTGGACATGGCAGGAATCTGCTCGTTGCTCAGGCTGCAGGCAACTTTGCTCATCACGGTGTATGAGCTTGGCCATGCGGTTTTTCCTGCTGCTTATTTATCTATTGGGTCCTGTGCGAGGCTGGGCTTTGCGATGGGGATTCATCATAAATCGGCGCCGCAGATGTTGCGGAAGCCGAGGAATTGGATGGATTGGGATGAGAGACAGAGGGTTTGGTGGCTTGTTATAATCCTTGATAGGTATGTGTCAATATAAGTATTAAGCGGGATACTTCTAATCTATTTACTGCATTTTGTTTCAGATATATTTCCGCTGGAGGTGATTATCGCCCGCTGAATAGTGATGAGCCAAGCACGCAGTCATACATTTCTGGAGATGATGGGGCGTGGGATAGAGGGGTATATATTTCTTTTGGTTGCTATAGGATATAAAATAACGGATCTAGGAAATGGTGGTGGCACCTGAACGACTCCGCACCTCGACCGATCATCCTGTCAGCCAGTTTTCACGCATGGCCCAAGCCGCCCACCTACTCGGCCAGGCTATTAGGCATTGCAACGACGAGACATCTAACATGAGCTTTGTCCTTGAGGACATTGACGTGGTATGTCAGGCTACTAATTCACTGCTTAATTTGATGACTGCGAATCGAGATGATACAGTTTGCTATTACGTGGCTGTGGCGATTTGTTTTAGGTGAGACGGCTACATTCTACTTCTATAGATGCTCATTTATTTTACCGTCAGTGCTCTTATGAAGGTCAGCGAGTTCCATTCCTGCGACTCCTTCGCAAAAGAAAAACCACTAGACGCGGGAGCCTTCGCGCTCGCTCGGCAATGCACCGCCAAGGCGGTTCTGATCATGAAGCAAACCGCAGCGCAAATCATCTCATTTGTGCAGGTTCTAAACGAGTCATTACTTCTTGAAGAACGCAACCTGCCAACTCTCTCGCCACTGTTTTTTCACTGCGTGTACCGGGCAGCAGCGGCCCTGACGTGGGTTTCCTCCGAGACGTCCGGAGCTGAGCGTGAGCAGTATATTCACGGGATATCGCTCTGTGTGGAAATTCTGCAAAGGGCTGAGGCGAGATGGAAGTCTGCTGGTGAGTGATGCTTAGTTGGGCATAGGGGTATGCTAATCGTGTCTTGGCGTGGTAGACGCATATCTAGAGGCTCTTCGGATAATGGCGCAGTATTTTCAAGACGGATAGTGCTTATATGAGTATTTGTCGGAGCCAACCTGCATACTGACAATTGTAGAGAGTAGTGGTAGCCGATCTCCGTCGTCGGCAGCCATTCCCCGGCTCCAGCCCCAAGCAATCTTGGTCGTCAGCCACAACTAGTCGTGAAGCGCAAGTAACAACCGGGAACGGCCGACACGTCGGACCTGGCCTCGGCGTGGGATTTGTGCTACTGTTATGTGATTGTGGACTATGGAGAGTGACATCAGCCTGTGAGCTCGCAAAGCCTTATCAAGTCCCGCGTGGGCTTACTCCTAGTCGGCTGCTGCGGGCGATGATTCGCCCTGCCTGGCTTTATCGCGGGCACCGGCCCACTGCGACCACTGCTTTATCTTTTACAGCTTCAGATCGAGTAACAAAATTCTCCATATACGCACCCGCTCGTATGGTTGGCGGCATATATAGTTATATAGTGATTTGCCCACTGAGACTGCATCGATTTCGTTATTGATGCTCAGTATACAACCAATTAACTAAGGTGCAAATCCACCATGGACGGCCCAGACCAGATTGGGCCTGATACTGCGCCAAAACGGTCCTTTGCAGACCAAGGCAGGCGCGTCGTCAAGACTTTCACAACCAAGTGCGTGCGAACTCCTTTTCGGTATGAAAACATACTAATTATTGCAGAGATGGCTTGATCGGTGATTACGACTATGGCTTCCTCTTCCGACCCAACCTTCCATTCATGACGAAGACCCGACGGGCAAGCCCGTTTTTCGGCCTTCATGACAAAATGCCAGTTGTTTTGGCTTTTCTGCTTGGTCTGCAGCATGCCCTGGCCATGCTTGCCGGAGGTAATTGATCCGCCTGCAGCATCTATAACCTCAATCTAATGAGATGTAGTAATTACTCCCCCCATCATTATTGGTGGGGCAGCCAACTTCGACACCGAGACATCGCAGTACCTGGTGTCAACATCATTAATAGTCTCCGGGATCTTGTCTGCCATCCAAATCACTAGATTCGGCATCTACAAAACCCCCTACTCCATCGGCACTGGCCTGATTTCCGTCGTCGGAACGTCATTTTCAACCCTAACCATCGCTGAAGGCGCCCTCACTCAGATGTATAGCAGTGGCTACTGCCCCACTGATGCCAAAGGAAACAAACTAGCCTGTCCAGATGGCTACGGCGCTATTCTCGCCACGAGCTGCCTATGCGCACTCCTCGAAATCGGACTTTCCTTCATGTCCATCAGAGTGCTAAAGCGAGTCTTCCCACCCTTGGTGACTGGTCCCACTGTACTTCTTATCGGAGTCAGTCTTGTGCAGAGCGGCTTCAAAGACTGGGCTGGCGGCTCTGGCACCTGCAGCAGTGACCCCAGTTCTGGCGCCTTGTGTCCCAGTGCAACGGCACCACACGCTCTGCCCTGGGGAAGCGCCGAGTTTATCGGCCTCGGTTTTCTTGTCTTCCTGACCATCATCCTCTGCGAGCGCTTCGGGTCACCCATCATGAAATCCTGTTCCGTCGTCATCGGTCTGCTGGTCGGATGTATTGTAGCTGGAGCATGCGGGTACTTTGACCGATCCGGCATCGACGCGGCGCCTGTGGCATCGTTTATATGGGTCAAAACGTTCTCTCTGAAAATCTACTCGCCTCTCATACTCCCACTACTAGCACTATACATCGTGCTGATGATGGAAGCCATCGGCGACATCACCGCCACCTGTGACGTCTCCCGCCTCGACGTCGAGGGCGAAATGTTTGACTCACGTATCCGCGGTGGTGTGCTTGCGGACGGCTTTAACGGATTATTAGCTGGTCTCTGCACCATTACCCCGATGTCGACGTTTGCGCAAAACAACGGTGTCATCGCGCTGACCAGATGCGCCAACCGCAAGGCGGGGTACTGCTGCTGCTTCTTTCTAATAGTGATGGGAATTTTCTCTAAGTTTGCTGCCGCCTTGGTTGCCATTCCCTCGCCTGTGCTGGGAGGGATGACTACGTTCTTGTTCTCCTCCGTCGCCATATCCGGTCTGCGAATCGTCTCTACCGTGCCGTTTACTAGACGCAACAGATTTATCCTGACCGCGTCGTTTGCGGTGGGCATGGGCGCGACGCTTGTCCCTGACTGGTTTTCGTACGTGTTTACGTACTCGGGGGTAATAAAGGCCTGATCGGGCTGATTAACGCAATTGAGTTGGTAATGGGCACGGGGTTCGTGGTGACTGGGTTTATAGCGCTGATTTTGAATTTGTTACTTACTGAGGAAATCGAGGATGAGGAGGAGGAAACGAGGGTTTTGGACGCAGCGGAGGAGAAGAGACGATATCCGGAGACTGCAGTGCAGGCGACTCCATATACTCCCGAGAGTGAGCCTGGGGAGGCGAAGGCTAAGAGTTCTTAGCTAACATTATGCTCAGATAGTTCTAGAATACATATCAATTGATTACTAGTTATTGATACACCTACATCTATACTACATATGTACATGGCATACATTAAATCATTGACATCATCAATTGATCTGACTGCTTACACCTCGGGATCTCCCGGCGCCAACATCCGAATATAAAAATGCTCGCCCCTTTCCAACACGGCAATCGTATCACCGACCCTAATCTCGAAATCTAATCAGTTAGTAAGACTGATCACAAATACCAATTGATGGATATATCCACAACTCACTCTCCACAGCAGGAACGCACTGCATCCCCAAACACGCCAATTTATCCCCACCGCCTTTGTCAATACACCGATACCCCTTGAGCGTCTTTTCCGGCTCTCGGGGGTGTCTGTAGCCGGTGTCAGGGTCAACATTCGGCAATTTACAACGAACGGTACGACAACAAGTATAAATCTCAACATTCTTCCTGTCACCATTCGTCCGGCTTTGATGGTCGTTCCCCTCGGTGTTTGGGTTTGCTGCATGGAAGAGTTCTGGTTCTGGTTCTGGTTCCGGTTCTGCCGGGAGAAGAAGTATTCTCTTCCATTCATCCTCCGCATAGGCCTGAATCCCACTAACAATAATATTTGCGCGGAACCGTCGTGCACTCAATCTCGGTATTGCATGTACGCACCGCCGCGCCACGTCTTGTACAGATGCGAGACTAAGTAGATGTAGCGGATACGCATCTGCAAACGCGGTATGTGGCTGATAGCCCAGAACATCCCTGCGCGGCGCGTTTCTGTAGATAGGGCGATATGAGGATGGGTTAGTGCGGAGGAGGGTTATTTTTTTCTTTTTGGACTTGCTTGTTTCTTGGGGACGGTGTTGTAGGTTAGGAAGTTTAGAAAGGAGTCTGGCAGATGGCAGGCATAGTCGTAGGCTAGTGGAAAGTCTTTCCATATTTGAACATTGACCACTGGATACTGCTGCTGGGGGTACAGAGGTACCCAGAACGAGACTGATTTCTCTACCACCCCCAATCTCATCCCCATACTCAATATCCTACTCGACGAAGTGCGGGGATACTGAACCACCAAAACACCACCCGACCTAACCTCCTCCAAATCCCCTCCGTAATCTTGACAAGTCGGGTCCGGCAGCCAGATCTCCGTGCTCACGAGGGCGAGTTTATCATACTCCTTGTTCCGAAGGGTCCGAAATTCCCACCTCAGCTCGCTTTCTCCGTCCTTTTTTGTGTGTGCTGGAATGAGCTCGGCGATGCAGAATTGTCGATCGTACTCTAATCCCGTTGCGGCAACAGCAGAAGTGGAGAGTTCGATGCCGCGGCAGGATTTGAGTGGGTATGTGAATAAGGCTTTAATTTTTATATCAGTGGTAGCTGAAGGTGGGGAGAGGGAGAATTCAAATTCATCGGATAGATTGCTTTGGTCTGCAGGTAGCCCTAGACGACGACATCCCCGCGGTTTTGAGCTGTTGGATGTATGGGCGATGAAGAGGAGGATTGGTAGGATGGTGATAAAGAGGGATGTAGGAAGGTATACTAGAATGATATGGAGGGGCATCATGCCGCTGATTAATGCTTTGTTAATAAGTTAGATCAATTCATCGCTGTGCTAATGACGAATTAAATATTATGCTGGTAATGACATTGATCAAATCGGCGATATAGTTGACGTAGGGATAAAATAAAATAACGTAATCGGTAAGCGAGTGGCAACTGTAACCGAGGATTAATAGAATGGTCCTCAATAAAACGACCTGTCTACTCCGTACTTTAGCCTCAAATATAAGCGGGTCCTGACAAATTTACTGTAATCATGCATAATTGTTCACCAGTGTGTTTAACAGTTGGTTAAGGTGGAAATCACATCTTGTTATCTAAATGTGAGTCATAGATCACGTGAAGGACAAGGTCTACAGCATCCGCTAAGGACTGGAAATAAGAGTAGATTATTTTGCGCTTTAATATGATTAAATTAGAGTTCAAATAAATATCTTAGGTTGATTGGCGGGAACTGGCCTGATGCTCAGACATTTATAGACTGACTATTCTATATATACATTTTTGATCTCTGCTACACTGTTTTAGCCATTGAGATATTCTATCTCTGATTTGCTTCGTGAGGTTCAGTTTATTAGTTGATGGTGTGTCGTTTAGGTTATTATATGCTTTTCATCTGTTAGTCAGAGAGCCCGCAATACATGTCACCAGATCACGGTGGTCGATGATAGCTTATTATTGTCCAGAAATGGTCTGTACTAAGTCAACCCAGGATTAAGGATGTCAACTAAGAAATTTGACTAACCACTAGTCTGAATGACTAAGGATACCTATATAGTCTAGGTTAATGTTACTTGATGAGGGCTTAAATGTTATCAGCTTGCTCTAAGCTTCTCAGTTAGTGTACCTCTGGACCCTCTGTTTCTGGCTACTATGTCTTTAGCCACGAGCTCTTCAGTCACAGAAAGTTGAACCGCATCATCATCTAGCTTTGAGGATTACTTAGAGGCCTCCCTAATGATGCTTGATGACATGATCTTTGTGCTCCACTTCTATCACCAGTGATAGAAGTAATCAAGCAGAAGTTTAATATACAGGGAGATTCAAAACTGACATCACCATCACTCTTAAACCAATTCAGCCCCGTTGTGGAGACTATAATAAAATCACTAGTCTGAAAAGAGTTAATGCTATATGTTACTTGTTACTTGTTACTAGCCTATCGTTCTTACATACCAGTTACATTGCAAATTTTCAAGGGCCCAGTACACTCAAACGACATTAGGGTTTTCATTCACTTTGCATCTTTGTCAAGAAGCATTTTCACAATGGACTCACATCCATATTCAGCTGCTGCTTGCAATGCCGTCCTTCCATAATAAGATGCAGCATCTGCATTCACTTTCGCGCCTTTCTCAAGAAGCAATTTCACAATGGACTCATGTCCACGCCCAGCCGCAGCTTGCAATGCTGTCCTTCCATAATAAGACGCAGCATCTGCATTCACTTTCGCGCCTTTCTCAACAAGCAGTTCCACAATGGACTTATTTCCATATTCAGCTGCTGCTTGTAGTGCTGTTCTTCCACCCTTCTCAGCAGGATCCGCATTCACTTTCACACTTTTGTCGAGGAGCCATTTCACAATAGACTCATGCCCACGTCCAGCCGCTGCTTGCAATGCTGTCCTTCCATAATAAGAAGCATCCGCATTCACTTTTGCACCTTTCTCAAGAAGCAGTTTCACAATGGACTCATTTCCATATTCAGCTGCTGCTTGCAATGCCGTCCTTCCGTGATATTCTGCAGCATCTGCATCCACTTTTGCATCTTTTTCAAGAAGCAATTTCACAATGGACTCATGTCCATGTTCTGCTGCTGCTTGCAATGCTGTTCTTCCACCCCACCAATCTGCATCTGCATTCACTTTTGCACCTTTCTCAAGAAGCAATTTCACAATAGACTCATATCCATGACTGGCTGCTCTTTGTAATGCTGTTCTCCAATATGTATCTCTATCCACCTTTGCCCCTTTATCAAGAAGCAGTTTCACAATAGACTCATATCCATATTCTGCTGCTATTTCTAATGCTGTCTCTTCATGGTAAGCAGCATCCACTTCCGCACCTTGTTCCAGGAGCAGTTTCACAATAGACTTATATCCATGTTCTGCTGCTGCTTGTAATGCTGTTTTTCCATAGTAATCAGCATCTGCATTCACCCTTGCACCTTTCTCGAGAAGAACTTTCATAATGGACTCATATCCATGTTCTGCGGCTGCTTGCAATGCTTTTGTCCCATTGGTACCTGCATTCACCTTTGCACCTTTCTCGAGAAGTAGTTTCACAATGGACTCATATCCGTGTTCTGCTGCTGCTTGCAATGCCTTTGTCCCATTGTTATCTGTATCTACTTTGGCACCTTTCTCAAGAAGTAGTTTCACAATAGACTCATATCCTTGTTCTGCTGCTGCTTGCAATGCTGTTTTTCCGTAATAAGAAGCAGCATCTGTATCCACTTTGGCACCTTTATCAAGGAGCCATTTCACAATGGACTCGTATCCATGTTCTGCTGCTGCTTGCAATGCCGTCCTTCCATAATATTTCGCAGCATCTGCATCTATTTTTGCACCTTTCTCAAAAAGCAGCTTCATAATGAACTCATGTCCATGTTCTGCTGCTGCTTGTAATGCTGTTCTTCCACCCCACCAATGAGCATTTGTATCTACCTTTGCACCTTTATCAAGGAGCAAATTCACAATGACCTCATGTCCATTACCAGCCGCAGCTTGTAATGCTGTCTTTCCACAATATCCAACAGCATCTGCATCCACTTTTGCATCTTTCTCAAGAAGTAGTTTCACAATTGTCTCATATCCATGTTCGGTGGCTGCTTGTAATGCTGTTCTTCCACCATACTGATTGGCATCTGCATTCACTTCTGCACCTCTTTCCAGGAGCAGTTTCACAACGGACTCATCTCCACATTCAGCTGCTGCTTGCAACGCTGTCCTTCCTACAGATCCATATCCAGCCGCCTCTGCATTCACTTTTGCACCTTTGTCAAGAAGCAGTTTCACAATGGATTCATATCCGTGTGCAGCTGCTTCTTGTAGTGGTGTTCTTTGATAATCATAATTAATAGGCGCATTCACATTTGCACCCTTGTCAGCAAGGAGTTTCACAATCTGTTTGTGCCCATGGTAGACTGCAGCTTGTAGAGCAAAACCTCCCCAGCTGTTATTCTCTGATTCATCTATATGTGCCTCTGTTATATTGCTGGTCAGTGGATCGATGGAAACGTGATCTGCACCCAGGACCTGCAAAGCCATCCACAGTCTTCCGAGGTCCTCAGAATCCATATCCGTATTGTTGTCGATGAGCATTTCTGTAATCCCATATTTTGCGTTATCTGGGAAGGCAACGCTATCAATGGTTTCTTTACTCAGGAAGAGATCAATGATATCAAAAATACATCCCTGCCAGGGTCTCTCTGTTCGACAGATAGAAGCCAGCTCTCTCTTTTTACCAAATGGAACCGCATACCGAGAGCTGGAACTACGTAGGAAGCGAAAAAACGCAGGGAGAGAATCATTGCTGCCTTGTTGAATATTAGCAATGAGGTGATTGACAATCTCTCTTCCTGTCTGTTCTCCAGACTTTCTTGCGGACATCAGATAATCGGTACAAGCTATGACTTGCAATTTTTTGGATAACTAGGATTGCTACGTAGTTGAGAAGTCAACAAATATCGATATCGTCAGCAGCAAGGGATGATCAAGCAACAATATTATAAGTCAGGAAACAGAGTGGCTCTGGATTGAGAAGAGCTGAAGGCTCAGGCGGATTACTAATATGATAAAAAAACATCAAGCTGGTGCATGAGAGAAAGTTGCTATTTGGTGAAGTGCGCTGACATCAGTTTTAAGTCTTTTATCAACCAGGGCTTGAGGGAAGGGTGGCGAATCTCCTCTTGAGGTCGATTTGTAATTCAACAAATACCACAAGAATGATCACTTCCATGAATAATGGTTGGCAATGCATACCCCGCTCTTGGAACAGTCTAGACCTTAATATAAATCTCTAAATGCTCAGCCTCCTAAAATCTGCAGAATTATGAGATATTTCTATTTAGAAGACCTATATTCGTAAGGAATCCATTATCCCAAGTACAGTATACAAACACTAACCCAGAGTAATTAATGCGAAACACCTCCAAATTACGAGGATTGTGTATATATCATGTTAGGTGCTCATCTAGTCCCTCGCCTAATAGTTGATTTAATTGGCTAACGACTAGGTGAGTCATACCTCAATTTCATTGCCGGTGATAAAATCATATATTATTTAATCGAGGTGATAATACCTGACGTTCTGCAGGGCTTTGGATTCGGCTGTATCCCCCACTGTGACCTGAGAATGGCGCGGTCCGAACTGTCTCCAAAATAGGCTAGGAGAAATGGTGTGATGTGAGGGATCTTGTGATCATCTAACATTTTCTGCGTCGCCTACAGTACAAATGGATGGGTTACCGCCGGGGATTTGCGCCTGAGGCCATTCTGAGAGGTATGAGAAGTATGTTGGGAAAGAACGTTTTATCTCGCCTGTGAGCCTGGCTGCTGAGCCCGTGCCATTCGGTTCACCTTCTGGTAAGGTGGCAATGATCACATTATGCCCGTTGATATCGCCAGCATGAAACAAATGGTTTTAGCTGTGACTCCAGGGAAATTGCTCTCAATGGCGGTTATACAATATGTGCAAGGTTGCTCGTGCCTCTATTTCGAGCGGGGCGATCCATGCGACCGTATGGACATTCGGGTCGAGCTCCATTGACAAGTAGGTAAGTTATCATTGAAATTCCAATACATGTGTGTAACTCATATTTGTCAGAGTAGGATGCCTTAGAGAATTTCGTCGATTGCTAAGAATGGCGGGGCGCACTCGGCTGCGGGGTCGAAGGAGCTCAGCCACGTCTGCACGCCTACTCCTTGGGGCACATCACCGTGCAGATGGCTATATCACGATAAAAATTCATCAATTTCACGTATCGTAAATAGGGAACCAGCACTTGATTATTCATGTTATGATGCTCGATTAAATATACCAGAGAGAGTATATAGTCAATATATTGCAAAGAATTTCCAGACACAAGTTTAGGATCTAGCTCAAAGATTAGGATGTAATGTATTGTAAAAGTCAATACTCGTTCAGCCATTAAGACGTAGCGCTAACGGAAGAAAATTAAGGTTGAATCCGCAGTGGAGCTGAATCAAAGGTAAAGCCAGTCTCGAAATCGGTCAAAAATAGGTGCGGATAACGAAACCGCCTTCACCTGGAATACTCCTCTTTCCTTTAATTTAGTCCCATTCTCTTGATGGAGTACAACCACTAATATATATGTATTTAGTGGAATACTAGTATAATACATGGGTATTGTATATTCCGTGTTGCGCTCAGAAATTGACATAACACTGCATATCGGATGAAAATACCAATTTTTAACAGCCTAGTGTTCTAACTTACATTTTGAACAAAACATGACAATACTGACACCTTTGTTTCGCGGCAAACAATGGGACCAGCTCCGACAGTTGATAATTCGCACAATGGAAGAACGATTTGGAGACTTATCTCAGGTTAGGGGATTATCTACACGGCTAATCGTGGACGGGAACTGATTGACGTATTATGTAAGGGATCTTGCATAGAACTTGTAGTCAGGTGATAAACAAATAACATTAGACAGTCTAATTTTACAGTAGCATGCCCTTCTGGGTCCAGGATTTCTGTGTCCACAATGCTCGGGCCCACATCCCACCAGTACTTTCTATTTATAGTACGCTCAGGCGTAGAATATGTTTCGAGGATAAAATCTTCAATACTGTCTCAGAGTATATCAGTAGCAAAATAATATCCTACGAACACGAAGAACATTCCAGGCACATACCCTCAAGCGCGCCTACCTCGCCCGCATTGCTTAGTGACGCAATCCCTCGTGTCGATGATCGGGCGATAGGCTGTTATTCGACTGTGTCTGCCTTGATGGTGTGGCGGAAACTTGAACACATGGCCGATAAAGAGTCGTTCAAAATTTTTACTAGCAGCCAGATTCCATATCCCAACAGCTATGTCGTTGGTCTGGCACAGAAAGAAGATGAAAACTATATCAGTCCGATGGCAGCCATAGACCTAAAACCCAAAGTCAATTATACTTTCGTTCCTAGTGATAATATTTATGTCCAAATTAAAAATTTAAATCCAGGTTCACTACACTCCTTTAGCAATACTTATAATAAGAAAATAGCAAAGATACAGATTCAGAAAGTGTATAGAATAGCTATTATAATAAAACATAAAGATAAAATATTTAATATTCGCTATTTCTAATCAAAGACAGCTACTAGATAATAAATTCTATAAAGGATATAAATAAATATTTAAGTTATAGTCCCATAGACATTCATAGTTATAGCTATATTATAATCTATTAAAAAGGAAGAAGACTTAAAGAGAGATAAAGATTGATTATAATAAGTCTTAAAGCTTTTATTTTCAGATTAACTGAATGCTATTCTACTTATATTTAATAATATATTATGTAGAAGCCTAAGATTTAAGATTAGATATTTATCTTATAATTGATATAATTATAATAAGATCAATATTCGACATATATATATTACTTGTAGTATCTCAGTATAATGGGATTCCGCTCTTGTCATAACTGTGTTTACAATACCCATAATATCGACTACTGTCCCACCTGATCATAGTAAAATATCGCGTGTAACATGGTACAATATCATACCACATCATATTCTCATGTATAACATATATCACTCTGATTCCTGCTGCTTTTAATATAAAGAAGAGGTAATCATCATTTCCTATTACATAGAGCCTTCATATTCTTATTCTCTTAGAGTTTCCTTTATAGTCATAGACAGAGTTAATCAGAACATCTAATTAACAGAGTTATCTATTTAAATAAAGACTCAGCTTTATGTGATTTTCTTAATTATTAAAATAAACTACCCCGGCTCATCAATGGAACCCCAAGAGACACAAAAAAGAACAATGTCGTCTTATACATATACTGATAAAATATAATATCGCTAACCAAGAGCTGACAATTTTCAGTATAAAGCAATGGTTTCTGGAAAAAGAACTGACTAGATTAAAGCATTCTCTTATATATAGTTTACATTAGTGATATTATCAATATTCATATATATTTTATAATCAAAATTTTAAAGTAAAAAGAGTATAAAAAAGTCAGTTTTATATGGGTATTGCGGGTGCGTCACTCAATTGTATATGTCGCTCGCTGCGAAATACATCATAGGACCAAAACGTGGAATGGCATCCATTAAAGCGCCACCTAACACAAACACAATTCAAAATCTTCCAAAAGCTTAAAAAAAGCTCAAATCGGACAGATTGTCCATGATTTTTTTCCCAGCAGCCTTGGCCTCCTTGACCTGCTCGGAAATTATTTTCCCCGGTAGATCTGGCTCTTGCAGCGAGCCTGGATTCAGGAGCAGGTAGATTAAGAAGATTCCACCAACAGTCTCCAATAGAGATATAGCCAGCCATGAATACACGCGTGCATGAGAGACCTTGGCTTGGACTCTCGCTTGCTGGGGGATCGCAAGAGATATTGTGCCGCCTGTATCCCAATTATTATGGAAGCTGTCCCACGCGGCCAAATAACTTTGACGGATAAGAGTCTCGACATATAGGTCTAGGTTGTTCCAGGTTGGGAGCAGAGTAGAGTTCATCTGAGAAAGCGAAGTCATTACATCTGGAAGAAGCCAGACAGCCTCTTGTGACCATGTGTTGGGATCTATAGTGGCGTCGTCAAGAGGAGTCTGGTCTTCAATAACTCGCGGCGAGATATATTTGCTTAGCTGGCTAGTTGTTACGCCGGCCTCTATGGTCACATTGGCAAACAGATAACAACTACCAAGTGCCCAATAAGTCTTGAACTGCGGATAGCTGTTCACATCGCCAAACTGGTTTGGTGTGAGGTTCTGACAATGCGAGTACTGGTTGGCGATGATGAGAGCTAGAGAGTTGGGCCCTGAGACTTTGCTTGCCGTCGGAAACGAGTTCGACTCATAATCTTTTTTGTACCACAAATTATTGACATCAAATAAGATGGCATGCCCTGGATTCGTGTAGTAGGAAAGTGTGTCGTTCAAGACACTCGTTTGCCAGTCGTACGTAGTGGCTTGAGAAAAAGCCGCATCTGGGACCTCCGCTGCTGCCATTGCCCAATTTATATTCTGTATTTTGATGCAAGGTACAACAACATTTGTCAGTGTTGAATTCTCTAGAAGACCGTTAGAATTCACGACGTGACGGCACCCATTGCCTCTCAAAGAGGTTCCGTTGGTAGAGGCGGTTGTGGTGTCTGACCAAGCTATATTAGCATACCCTAGAGCCTGTCTAAGGACGTCAGTCCTCTTGGTTGGGTAACCGAAAACCGTGTATTGAGACCAGTAAGAATCACTTGCAGTTGGGTTTGTCGAATTCACGGGTACAGCCGCTGTTTGCGGACCGGCGACGAGAGATGGATTCCAGTTCACCGCACCGGAAAGAAGAGGGGCTATAAATGGCTGGGGAAAGGAACAGAGAAGAAAAACGGCTACTGCCCAACTGCGACGACCCCTTGGTAGCCCGAAGGGAGGTCTCATCCAAGGAAGTAGCTTATATCTCGTCATGAACGACACCTGCTTCGAGCTGAGCCCTGTGTTCGACTGGGTCAGTTCCCACGCACCTCTCCAGGTCGCAATAGCTGCCCAGGACGTGGTGAAGAACTTGATAAAAACCAATGCGGCCGAAACCAAGGTTGTGACATCTGACGATCGAAGAAGAAGCTTTCCATCAACATAATGCGGTGTGGAATCATCACCAGCGTTATATCCATCGACCGCATAAACGAGCACTAACGCCAATGCGATGCTCCCAGCCGTGTGCACGAGGAGGAGAGGCGTGGTTTGAAGGGCTTTTTTTGGTCGCGCTGGATTGGGAGAGTCATTCTTGGCCGGAACTGCTTCGTGCTTAACCTCTTCTGCCGCCGCTGGCGATGGCTTTGAAGGTTCAACCTTTTCACTCATGATTGGCAAAGATCTCAGCAATAATAAGAGTATTATCAGTGTAAGAGGCGCAAGGAAAACAGCATAATCCTAGAAAAATCAATGTTAAAGTCCCCGATACTTGCTACAGCGAGGGAACATATTTCTAGCAGTCAGCATCCGCTTGGGAATGGAACATTGAAAAGTTCAGGTTGTGTTTCCTAGAAAAGACTGCAGCAAGAGCGCACATGCCGCTATCGCTTATTCTTCCCTAGATAGATTAGTAGGTGCTGAAGGTGGCTGGCTAAACTTGAGCCTTGAGGGTTCGACGTAAATAATTAGGAAACACCACATGCGAGTAGGCTGACAGCCTTTATGCAGCGCCAAAGCTGTGAATTCAGCCGAAAAGCAGCCAGCCAGTCCCCTCCTCCACACGTAGACTTATTGCTGGCCTACATAGTTTCTGGATCTAACTCCTTTGGGAGCATGGTAGAGTTGAGCTAAGGGTGGGTTACACGTACTAGCACTACATACGTGGCTTGCTATATTGATCGGTGTTTACGGAGGTGGGCACAAAAAGTCGCGAGAAGCGCTAAATCTAATAATACACTAGCCTTACTATTGAATGTATTATCTAGGATTTTAATAGCTTAGTCATATATTAAATACCCCTCTTATGAACAAATGTGAAATTAACATATCATATTTTATTTTTATTGGTCATTATATAATGTCTTATCAAAGAATTTATGGTAATGTGTATTGATAAAACTCAAAAATACCAACTAAAGAAATTAGCGGGCGTCATATTCTCACGACTTTTTGTGCCCACCTCCGTAAGAGATTAAAAATAAGAATTAATTTATAAATAAAACAAACTTTATAAAATAAGGACTAAATAAAAAGAAGTTTACATTAATTTATCTATATTTAGCAGAATATCCTGCAGAAATATAACTCTTGCCAGAGTTTTCCTGCCAAACCCTAACAGTGATGTTCTCTCCCATCGATTCTCCTGGAATAAGATCAACCTATTTCAGTTACTGTATTTTCTGCATCACTTAGATAGAGGTGGTTATTCCCACCCTCTGTTGTTACTTCGTCGTCAATGTAGTGCTGGGATTCACCAAACACCATTTTCTTTCATTAGTGATCTCTTGCATCACACAGAATGTAATTTTTGTGATGAAGGGATGAGTGGGAATTGCCCACTGGGACCAATTCTTCGCTTTGTCGAGTTACGCACGTATCCATTGAATTAGAGCACTGGGTAAAGGCCAGTAGTACCCTACATTTAAACAAACTATTTTTCCTGCTTGATTAATAAAATTCAACTTATCAACGTATGTAATACGTATGCATGTCATAAACTATGTGCTGTTTTCTTATTTCTGCAGCCAGAACTGATTGACACCTGAATTTCTTTTGCGCCATATTGCCTATTTTCGTTTTTATACCAGAAAACAATCAGAGAAATTAGATGAAAAACAATTATCTACCTAGCATGAACTATAGCAACGAGACGATCCTAATGGATCGGCTGTCATTGTCTCAATGCTTTGATGTATCAATTTTAGTCATCATTTGTTTGGAGAAACGCTCACAAAACGTTTTCCAGAATCACAGACCACTGTTAAAACTTCCACTGCATCATCCATGTCTCCATCAACGAAGTATCAATCGCCTTTAATGTCCTCAGCGTGTGGCTGGCCGCTTGCGTCTTTGTTGTTTCAGTCCACGGACCACGCTCTCCTTCGCCCATGGCAATCCCCCTGAAGAAATCTAGAATCTTCAACGCAGGTTTATCTTTGAGGTCTTCCTCGGTGGGGCTCGTGAAGGATTCCAAAGTATCGATCCAAGTCTGGATATCGACCAGCTCAGCGTCGAAATACTTGGTGACGGCAGGAATCAAAGTCTTCCAGTCGGCTGCCGTCGGATTCACTATATGGAAAGCTGCGCAGGGCTGAGATTCTTGGGTTTGGCGACGTGCCCGGACGATTTCGGTGACGACTTTTGCGGTTATGTCCTGAAGAATTCAAAGTGTAAAAACGTTAGCTTGATATTCACTGATACAACGCCGATGGAAAGAAGAATATGCACCACTGGAACCCATTGGACTGAAACTGATCCCAATGATGAGGGAATCTGCTTGATCGTCTTAGATGTTGCGACCAGCGAAGGTAGCCATTCCTGCTTATTCCACATTCCCTTCTCTGTGGTCGGGCCCCCGATCTGGCCTACGCGATGGATGCTGGTTGGAACTCCGCATTTGGCTGAGGCACCTGCGCAGATCCGCTCTGATACATGCTTCGACTCACCATAGCCCTGGTGAAGGGCAACGCTGGGATCGTCGAAAATGGTCTCCGGGATAGAAGGGCCTCGTTCAATTGAGTAGCCTTCGATTGTGGAGATCGATGAGATAAAGTGAAGATGTGTAGTATGGTCGCTAGCAATGCAGAAATCGACCAGTCTGCGAACGCCCGCAATATGAGGTGATTCGAATGCCTCAGCACGATGGTTGAAGTTGACCTTCCATGCGTTATGGATGATAGTGTCGACCTTATGCAGAAGCTCCTCATACTTGGTCTCATCTAGGCCGAGTCTTTCTTCGCCAAACTGAGCTTGTAAGAACTCTACCCGTGCTGGGAATTGATCGAAGGTCACTAGCCCCTTCTCTTGAAGACTTTGCAGCTGTCTCGGCGCTGCATCAGCCGATCTATTAAGACAGTAGATCTTGTGGACACTACTGTCTCGTAGCAGCTCGTTTAGAAGATAACTACCTAGGGAGCCGGTGGAGCCGGTCAGAATGACACAATGGCTCTCTCCCAAGTCGTACGAGTATTTGTCGACCAAATTGGCTATTCGCGCTGATCGGTCGCTGGTACTTTCGATGACGGCGGGAACAGGAGGTGAATCTCGTCCTTCAAGAAGAGTGTAAATGTAGTCAGATAACTTCGCGATGGTCGAATGAGAATACAGCAGCTGGCTACTGAAGGCAGAAGAGGGAAGTTCTGGCAACGCTGTTCTAAGAGCGCTATGTAAGATACGGCCCAGTCGAAGTGTTTGAAGAGAGTCGAGTCCTAATGCAAAAATATCTTCATCCGAGTGAATTGAAGACATGGGGAGAATATCAAGGAGCGCCTTTTCGATATATGCCGCGATCTCTTGCGGTGTAGCATCCAGGGAGACCTGTGCAGCATCGTCCTGGACGCTGCGTGCATACAAGGCTTCGATCTCATCTGAATAGTCGTTTATGACTCGGCGTCGCTGAATGGTACCCTTGGGGGTTATCTTGAACGGTTTGGATGGCGATGCCACGCCAATTCGGTCTTTCATCAGGCGTGCATGACGAGCGGCCCCTTCGTTGGCCTTCTGCACTGTCGGCCAGATATCAGCGATCAAGACAGCATCCTCGTCTGTCCATACCGACCGGTCCGGCTCGATGAGGACGGCAGACTGGAAACGTCCTTGTCCAAGCACAATTGCACGAGCAACATGTGGATGACTACAAATGACCGCCTCCATGGTGGTCGGATTGAACTTTTCCCCATTGCTCAGCACAATGATATCGTCCAATCGACCATGGTACAACCAAGATCCTTCTACTTTGGGATGAGGAAGAAAAAGGTCTCCGGTGTGATATTCGGCGTTATTAGGATAAGTGTGGAAGACTGAGTGGACGTTACGGTCTTCTCCTCGAGGAACGACCAGCTCATACAGCCCATCACTCGTATCGCGCATCTCTAACTTATGGGAGGGATTCCACTCCAGATAGCGCCAGTCACTGGGGTCCTGATTTTTGAGACCGGCGAATAGTCCACACTCGCTCGACCCTAGGACAGACTGCAGATGAGTGACTGTAGCAATTCGGTTTCCAGCCTCTGCCGCCAACGGGGCGCCTCCATAGGCTACCATGCAGAAACGCCCTAAGCATTTCAGACCGATGTCAGACGAACTAAACTCCTCTAGAATGGAAGGAGGCAATATGGCGGTTTTAGCGTTCGTGTCATCGATGATTTGGGAAAGCAACTCCGAGGTCAACGGCTTATCGGGACCGAGAACTAACGGCGTAGAAAAGAAAATAGGAGTGATCATGCTGAGAAGTCCCATGAAGTGGAAGAAGGGGCTCATCACGAACAGGTGTTTTTCTTTCTCTGCGACGAATACCAGGCTGCTCACTCGTCCTGGTGGAGTGGGTAGGCGTCCAGTCTCAACAAGTGCAGAGAAGTAGCCATTCGTCAAGGGGACTGGTTTTGGCAAGCCTGTACAGGTCAGCAGCGCGATCGGAGATAGGTGTGTACCAAAAAAACGCACCTGTTGTTCCCGAGCTATGGATGTAAATGACTACTCTGTCTTCTTGGTCTGAAGTCGCCGTTGCATCGGAGTTCAAAGCAAAAGAAGATGTAGTGCTACGATCAAAAACCTCCCAGAGACTCGGCACTTCGTACACGTCGAGAGAGGGGTCTGCAGTCTTCAGCGCCTCGATTTCTCGACTGCGCTCAGGACTATAGACAAACCTCGTACATGCTGTTGCTTTCAACACGTGAAGAGATGCCTCCTCGGAGTTTCGTGATGAAAGAAGCAGTACCTGTATGAATATGAGCAAAAAGCACAGGAAGGGATCATATTACTTCGGCAAGGGCTTACGGCATGCCCTAATCTCATGCACGCGAGGATAAATGCAACATAGCGAACATCATTTGTTCCCATATATGCCAGCGTCGCTGGCTCCTCTCCAACTGCGACATTATCCTTGATCCAGGTTGACAAATGTTCAACAGCTCCGGCGAGATCGGCAAAGCTGATTTCTCGCCATCCCTCACTGATGTCTGCAGATAACGGATGCACGCAGTAAAGTCGTCCAGGGTCGTCCGAAAGGATAGCGTCAAAGCGACGCAGGATGGAGGTGCTGTCGAGACCGATGGATCCCATTGTAACTATTCCCGCAATTTTGTCGTTCACAGCGGATGGTTCGCGATGTAGAAATTCAAGACAACATAATGAGCAAAGTGATGGAACATGTCTCTTATATCAATATTTTACTTCTCCGATCAACTTCGATGGTCCCATGACCTGACTTCAACCTGTGTATCCAGTTCGTCCCCGTGGATTCTACTGTTACACAGCGTGACGTGTCGAATCGCATAAATCCAGGATGTTAAGTGCAGGTTTAGCGTGCATCAAATTGTGCCGAAAATTGAGATAGCTGTATGTTTAACGCCAGTTTTGACCACGAATGGATTTCATGTTGTCGCACTGTGGGCCCGCGCATGTCGATCAGCCAGTCCGACAAGAGTTATTTGTTGCCAATTCAACCTGCAGGGAGCTATGGGCTTGAGGCTAGCTGTCGATGCGCCTAGTAAAGCTCCTGCCACCCAATCGGAGTGGGTGAGGGACGCCTCCTTCGGTGGTCTCCGAAGAGACTTGGATTTGAATTTACTATCCATCATTGTAACTTAACATCAGCGCCTCGGCAAAATTTACAAATATTCGCATTCGTAGGAGACTGCCATCATGTCGATTACGAATCGAGTGCGAATGCGAATAACAAAAAATCTTACGGATTTGCATCCGTGCCTAGCCCTGATTCTCACACTAGCCGATGATTTCTTGCGTTGGAAACTGAAGTATGCTCTGGATAAATTTATCTAAGATCGGTTTTATTCAGTTCCAATAAGCCTTTGGCAGCTACTGGGGTTGGTTAATATCTCCACTCCTTCAGAGTAATGACGCATCCCTTTGCATAGACAGGGTCAGCTCAGTCACTACGGCAGCGCTGTACAACCAGTGGAATGCTGAGGTCTCGGCCTGAACTAGTCTAAATGATTGCTATTGATATTATCAATATGGTTAGACGGCGATGAAAGGAAGAGACGGGAAACGTAGTTTGAAGTAGAGATAAATGCCGAACCTTTCCATATATTCTCACCCTCCAACTTGATACCAACCGTGATCTGTTGCTCAAGTATCGAGTATCCTTTACTTGGCACAAGGAAGTCTCGAACGATGGAATCACAGATTGTTCCCTTATCCAAAGGTCTTGATAGTACTTCCTGACAGTCTCGGAAGCTTGGCACCGGACATCATCTACACCCTCAAATTCTTCACTGACATTCACCGTGTCATTCGAAGAGACCATAGCAAGAGGAAGCTGAAAACTGAATTTCGTGAACGAGGGAAGTGTAGACGTTGAGAAGTGGTTCTAGCTTCCGAGTTGCTCTCTTTTTGAAAGTCGAGATGTCGCCTAAAAAGAGAGGTCTAAATCGTGCTTAGCACCAAGCATCGACAGCTAGTCTGGTGATGGGAGGACTCGTAGAAAGATAATCTGCGGACGGCCTTGAGAATCAAGGGAAACCTCAAATCTTTCAACATCTTCGTAAGGATCGCAATCGACTCGGTGATTCCCATCGTCTATTTTATTATATTTTCTTTTTATTGGTATATATGAAACTAGATATAAAAGTTAAAATTTGATCTGAGCTTATTATGATAGTAGACTTGCCGTTGCATGTGGCTTTGATGTGTGCGTTGGTGTCGTTCTCGTTGTCGGGGATGCTGCATTCCCTGATCCTGGCTCAGAGCATGGTGACCCATGGCCCAAAATACTTTTGGCCTCCATAAAATAATATTGAAATTTGTGGCGGATTAGCAGACAATTGAACAGAGCGGACCTATATTTGATACCAACGCTTACACACTTACATCGATCTATCACAATGGTCAACTCCAAATGTTCACTAGTCATCCTTCGAGATCGGCCACCTCAGAGCAGACGGAATATTATATGACTCAAATCAATACTTAGGGAGAGATCGTAATGTTGAGACATTTCGGGAAGGTGCAAACTGGTATCAGAATGGCGGAGACTGGGCAAAGAGCAGCGAGATGATGCAATTAGGAAAGCAAACCAACAAACAACCCGTGACCTGATTGAATCGGCCGATGTCAATGCGAGCTTTAGCACCATTTGTGAGATATCAGACAATTGATTAGTGTTATCTATCACTAAGTAATCATACCTCTCATTCAATAGCACAAATGCAACTTGTCAATTCGTCTTCCTAATTGCTTTCTTTGTTTGGCTGGTATACTTGTACACCGTATTTCAATTTCTTGTTAGATTGGCAAGGGTATGCAAAGGCAGAACAGGCCATCCAATAATTTCCATTTCCAAATTCGCCTGCTTTTGGCGGCTACTTGTGCCCCTTCGGACTGAGCCTACTGTACGGGAATGGTGTCGCAGTTCGCGACGTGAGTAAAAATCAACGAGATGCATTCTCGGTCCGCAAAGGAAGAAACAGGACGGGCCTACGCGGTGCAACACTGTTTGAGTTCAAGCTCTGCATGTGCTGGAGTTGCCCTGGTATGGATTGCTGTGGCTAAAGTCCTGCGACATTCTTTTAGTTCCGCTGTTGCGGGTGAGAACCTGGTGAGAAGGGCTGACCGACCCTTCGTCCGTCACCAGCATAAAATTATATAACTAGACTGTAGGCTCTGTTCTGGACCTGCGAGCAATTTCTACGGGGTGAAAGATTGTCAATGTTCCGTACATGATGTATGACAAGCCGTACAGAGTCCGCGAAAGCTGGGTGAGCTGGACAGCCAGCATCTTTACCTATGAGATGCTAGAAACAGTTAATACAAATCAACCAAGTTGATTCCACTTTGCCTTTCCTGCTGACATCATCACCGACTCCAGTGAAAATACCTGGACCTTATCATAAGCTCCTTCGGCATACAAGTTATGCCATCTACAACGTAGGGCATCTGGTCTCTCCCAAGAATTCTGCGAGTCGAACAACTACAGCCGCAGGAGATATCATCTGTATACATACTATGAAACGAAAGACTCACCAACGCACAGGGCCATCCGTATAACACTTCCCCGCATATATGAACTACATATCACCCTTGCGAAGCTCCAGGGATTCGTCGAATCTCCCGGCTAAAAATTGGGGCGGGTGAGGGCCCCATCTCGCTTGATAGACCGCGTGTTCAAATAGCCCAGGCGCCAAAGTCAGAAAATGAACGCCAGGGTAAATGGATAGAATTCTCCCTGGTGCTGTAGAAGATGGAGATTGATGGAAAATCAACAAATGATGTATAATAAACCCCACCTTTTTGGAAGAGTATGCACGAAGATTTCTATGTATGTCTATCAGGGAACTATTCTATAGCTGCTTTCAATACCTCAACTGAGGTGAGATCTTCCCATTTTGGCAACTTCTCAGGAATTCTCTCATAGTCGAGTTCCGGATAGTGCTCTTTGATGGCTCTTATGACATTAAGGAACTCGACTTCATATGCCTTGCCGAGATAGTGTACTCCTAGTTTGCGTTCAGCCATGACCACAGGAAAGAAAACGTGTACCTCAAAGACTCACCGTCGTTCAGATAGAGGTTCAGCGGGGTTTCTGCCGGGCCATCTGGTAGACCATGGATTAGATCACCTTCTTTCCAGCCGAGATCTGCCATGATGAGATCCCACAGCGGAACAGCGGCGACATTGCACTCCTCTGCCACCTCCATGGCAGCATCACAGTATTGGCGGGCCCGAAGAGTGCACCGATCACAATCAAAGCGGTCTCCCTGCGTGTCGATGAACTGATAGTGATTAAAGGGACCCGGCCCGACAACCACGATTTTGGCCCCTGTCCTCTCTCCTACAGAGATGATGTACCTCAGATTGTCCTTGAATCTGGCAACCGGCACATGGTTCCGGGATTCAGGAATAATCGAGTCATTCGTGCCGAAGAAGACCACCTGGAGAGCCATGTTAGCTCAGGGTCATGGCGATGACATCTGCTTTCTTCACCATCAGTTTAATCTTGGATTTCTCAGATGTTTCTTGCTGGACTAGGGCATCGACTATGGCAGCAGCATGATCGGAGTTGTAGCCACCAAAGCCGCGTAGAATCACATCAAGCTTCCGGCAGTATGCTGCGAGATTCATGAATCGGACCTTCGTTCTCAAGATGGGACGGAATATATTTACCGTGCTGTATTGCTGACCCAAAGCAGAATCCACATTGTTGCTGGTAAGCAAGCTGGGTGATAGAGTCCCCAAAGAGAACAATTTTGTCAAATGAAAGAGCCATATTGAGATGGTCAGATTCAATCCAATTTACCTGTCTGACGAAGTGAGAATAAATACCCGAGGGTGAAGAGATCGTGAGGATACTGCGAGTCATATCCTTCCTAACCCCTTTGGAAACGGACCGTGCCCGGAATTGCAATCCCAAACTGGCTGTTGGTGGCTATAGTTACTATGCGCAAGATTAAGCTAGGCTAAACTTTGTCCTGAACAGACGCTTAACTTGCTACACCTACCTCCATACTACACGGACTTGGAGTGGCTGGACTAAACCGGTCATTTTGGGCGGTTATCGACGAAACCCGCTCGCAGAACTCCACTTGCAAACACGCCTGTGGAACCCTAGAACGCTGCCGATGCATTGGGTTTCCCTTCGTCCGGTAGGAAGTCAACTCTATATAGCCACTAGCGAAAGTTTCAGCCCAAAACCTAGAACACGACGCGTAGGGGTTTTTACCCTCATTGTTCAACCATCTTCCAATGTCCCCACAAACACCTTTACAGACAATATCTATTAATTCTAAGATTAGAAAAGGACTATCTCTATTTATTCAGAATTAAATATTCACTCTTTCATAAATTAGTTTAGAAAACTTTAAGATATCATATTAACTAGAAATTCTTTACAAAACTATCCAGTTGTCACGGTGCCAGCCCGCCGGCTCACCCCGCCGGCCTGCCTCTCCTGATATAACCGAATTAAACTATAGTTTCATTTTAGTTCAACTCCGATAAAAGCCATCCAACTGCGAGAATCCCGTCGTAGCTCTCTGCCTGCCGGCTTAGCCTGCCGGTGTCTGACCTGATAGTGGTCAATCCTCCATCTTACCCGCCACCCGCACCCTCCCCATGGGGCACTGGCTATCGTTCCCCAGGGGTTTTCCCTGCCCCACCTATCGTTGGGAACCTGGTACTAGCTATTCTGGTCTCGGGATGCATTCGCCGGGCTTCATTGGGAATAGTTTCACAAAATACTGTGGTTGACTCTAAAGCTTCGAGTCGCGAGAAATACTGGGTTCTTGCTTAGGCATCTATATAAAGGTCCTGTTCCCCAGTTGTTGGCCCGTATCTCGCACGCGAGACAATATTCAAGAGCAGCCAAGGGCAAAACTTTGCATTTCTCCCTCCCACACCCCGGCTCCAGATATGATCATGGCGGAACCGAAAGAGAGCACCGGCAGCACCACAATCAACTGCATAACAGAGACGAAGAGCGAAAACCAGCAGCACTCTCATGGCAAGGTCGACAAGGTGTTCTCAGTGGCATTGACCAATGCTGTCGCGAAAGATAATCCGTCGATGACCTCCAAATCGATGATCAGGCTGTTTTTGATTATGGTTCTGGTGACAATGGGTAAGTGATGGACCGATATATGGAAGAGAAACAGAAACAGAAACGGAATTTGGTTCTGACTCGAAGTTGTACAATAGCAAACTGCATGAACGGCTATGATGGCTCAGTGATGAGCTCCCTCAACGCGATGGACCCGTTTCACGAATACTTTGGCATTTCCATGGAGGGCTCGAGTATCGGCCTAGTCACGGCTTTGTACAGCGTTGGCAACATCATTGGGTGCTTTTTGGCCAGTCCAACATCTGACCTGATGGGACGCCGGTTTGGCATGTCCGTCGGATGCGCCTTCATCGTAGTTGGCACCATCGTGCAGGCGACGACAGCGACAATAGGCGGCTTCATGGGCGGACGGCTCCTGGTTGGTATGGGCGTCACCGTCGTCACCACATCAGCCCCGGTTTATCTGATCGAGATGGCTTACCCAACCTGGAGAGGCATCGGGAGCGGTCTGTTTAATGTCTGTGGCTGGTATATTGGTGCCCTGACAGCGTCATGGACCACATATGGCACTGGCCACCTGACAACCAATTGGTCTTGGCGCATTCCAGTCATCATTCAAGGTATTCCGGCTGTACTGGCCATGTTCCTGGTCTGGCTCATCCCCGAGAGTCCTAGATGGTTGATGATGGTCGGTCGTAGCGATGAGGCCCATCATGTGCTGGTCAAATACCATGGCAATGGATGTGAGGACTCGGCCGTCGTGCAACTCGAGTGTGCTGAGATCAACGCCTCTGTGGCACACGCCCGGAGCCTGGCCAGTGGCCAAGCCTGGTACGACTATCGTATCCTCGTAAACTCTCGCGAGGTGTTGTATCGGATGTTCCTGGTGCTCCTGGTCTCGGTCTTCTCACAGTTTATCGGTGGCTCCATCAGCTACTACATGCCGGTTGTCTACGAGAACTTGGGCATTACTAGCTCCGAGAAGCAGCTGCTGCTCAACGCGCTGAGTACTGTTGTTTCATTTCTCTTTGGTCTTATTGGCTCCTCCACTGTTGAGGGCTTCGGCCGTCGCAATCTCTTCTTGTGGGGAACCTTCCTGACAGGTTTGGTCTATCTTGTGATGAACGTCCTGGCCTCTCAGGCCAATGGACACATTAGCGACAGCATGGGGTACGCCTTCATTGTCATGAGCTTCCTCTACGGCGCCGTCTGGTCGTTCTGCTGGACCCCTCTGCAGGCCCTCTATCCAACCGAAGTCCTCCGTAATGACATCCGTGTCAAGGGGATGGCTGCCCAGGGCGTGCTCTCTGGCTTGGCCGGCTTCATCAACATGTACGCCACCCCGGTCGCTCTCAACAACATTGGCTGGAAGACCTATACCATCTTCTTGGTTCTCCATTTCTTGGAGTGGGCCATCATGTACTTTACAATCGTCGAGACCAAGGGTCGCTCGCTTGAGGAGCTAGATGAGATCTTCACTGACCCACATCCAGTCAAGAAGTCTCTAGAGAGGAAGGAAGTCCTCGTGGAGAGGGGAGTCGGTGTCTTGGCTAAGTCTGAGGATTGTTGAAAGGGTAAGGGCTAATGGCTTTTGTGCATCATATGCACTCCTTTCAAGACAGTCACTTCCTGTTCATAAACACGTCTCACAAAACCTTTTTGAAGCCAGCCGTATCTCGCAATCGCCGCATAAAAATATCTTAAAATATGTAGATTTATCTTTATTAATTTGACTCTATATTTAGAAATACTGATTAAGAGCACTGATCATCCTTTATCTATTTAATTTGTAATCAAATATATCTCTGCCTCATCCAAGAGTTTTAGAGGCATTCTATTCTTCGCTAAGGAGGGTCGCTATGCTGTAAATAGTCTAGACCGGAACTGTAAGAAGCTCCCCTATATTGTCTCCACGGTATGCGATTTCTATATTTTCAAAAAATAATGAATATTGCATTTGTATTGATGGTCCACTATCTTAAAAGACTTTGATCAAACTCATCGCCCCAGCTGTAGAAGGAATCAATCATTCTAACGTTCTTGGAGTTCACAATTCCTCTGACTTCTAGAATATTCTAGTGCAATATCTGATGCTCTCTTTGCTGGACAAACTAAGCGGATAAATTGGAATACCCTGTGTTCACACCTCACCTCTATCACAAGATAATAACTAATTAGCCACCATCTTTTCGCCCTTCTGTTATTGAATTTAGGGAGGGTTTAAATCAAGGTCCGTCACGATCAGTCTTTGACATATTATTAGGTCGAAATGATAGGCTCAAATAGTTTGTCAGATAGGCTATCTATGTCATCACTTAAACATGATGGGGTTAAGGCTACCCCCTCCAAAAGCCCCCCCAAAAGCTTCTCTAGTGCCTTCCCCGAACTCATAGCCAGATAAATAAACTATGCACAGCTATAGTAGTTGATTAATTATGGTATTAATTGTTTCAAAGGTCGCTTATCCTTTTCTAGTTTAACTCGTCCTTAGTTTTATGCATGGTGGTTTCGTAACACATGACGCTTACGTGATTTTGTGGCAGCGCGGGGCTTTGCACTTGGAGCCCAAGTGATGTCGATTCAACTGTCAAAACTATTCAGCAAAGCAAACTGGCGATTTTCTCTATTTTATTCATTTGAGTTCTTTGCTTGCCGTAAAAGCACCGCTTTCGGAAAGAAAGGAAATCAGGGGCAAGTTTACTCCGGAGACACTCTGCTCGCCGTACGATGGCCGTTCAGCAAATAACCTCAAGGTCCGGCGAGGTATACACTGTTCCAGTAAGTGCGTTGCGCTACACCAATACAATAAGTATAACTCATGCTGGTGACGATTTATGTAGGACGACACTCTAGATATCCACGTCCTTTGGCCACCCGAAAGCCAAGCAGGAACTACTATCAAGGCAGAGTGAGCTGAGCTATCCGGTCTTGAGTAGGATGTCGTTAAAAAGTTGTCATTAGCATTGTTGCAGTCCATGGGTTGGGAGGCGACTCCTTCGGAACATGGATTGAAAAGAGCTCAAAGGAGCTCTGGCTCCGAACCTTCTTGCCGAAAGACATTGCAAACGTTAGAATAATGACATTTGGCTACAATTCAAACTTCGTTCGTGATACAGCAACGGGTAATACATATAATTTCGCTGAGAATTTATTGGCTGCGCTTAGGCGTAAGCGTCCTGGAGAAGCGGTATTTATACACACATTTCTATATTAAACTTATCGACACCTTGGGTTAATGTATCACAGCGACGCCGGCCACTCATTTTTATAGGACACAGCTTAGGGGGGATTGTCATCAAACAGGTAAGGTGCCACGTTGGGATTGTGAGTAAGGACGAACTGATCGGTATGGCTAGGCACTTATTACCGCCAAAATAAGATCACAACAGTACAAGGATATCCTAGAGAGCACTTGGCATCTCATATTTTTGGGAACTCCACATCAAGGCTCACTTTTCGCCCCTGGGGCGGATTTTTTGAATAAACTAACATCAGTATTCTCTAGCGAGAGAACTCGTGTTACTAAGGAATTGAAACTCTGGTCGCCGGAATTACTTTCGATAACCCAAGATTTCGCATTTATTGCAGATCACTTTTCTAAGACAAGTTTCTGGGAGCGGGAGAAGACCAAAGGGCTCACTGTGCGTATTGCCTCAAACTACTGCCATGGGTAACTGTTAACTCCCACCAGATCGTGCATGAAGGCTCTGCGAGACTTGGGCATAGAAACGAGGAAGTTGTCGGACTCTACGCAGATCACTTGACCATATGTAAATTCGCAAGCCAGAGCAGCTCGTCGTACAGAACAGTGAGAGATACTTTGATCCTGGAGGTAATGCGTTTGGACGAAAGGGAGGCAACTGAGGAACATGAGCATAATATTCAGGAACTAGCACAGTTGGAGATCCCAAGAACCCCTCTTGAAAGTGTGTAATCATATAGTGACTTATCTCAATAGGAATCTTCGTTTACTTTTCTCCGTATGCGTTAACAAAATGAGTAATTTGCAACAGGAGCTGCATGAGATGGAACTCTGGATACTCCTTATTCGTTTTAAGGCCTGGGGTCAGGCTTGTAGTCTCGATAACCCACAGTCTAGACTACAAGAGCTTGACAATCCCGCTCTGCATGTGCTTGTGGAGAATGCGCTAATGCGGTTTGTACATCTATTAAGTGAGACAGACAGGTTGGAAGGACTGGGAAGCCGGAATTTACCCGACATGACATCATCTACCAATACGACCGCATTTCAAAGGCTCCGAAACATCTTGAATGATCCAACGGAGAGAGGAGGTCTTCAGCCCGTTCATCCCAGGAGGAATACTGACGACAGAGGGAGATCAGAAGAGACGGTTGAAGCCCTGAGCAATTATGTTGACGAAATAGAATCCTTAACCAATATCCCTGCAGTTTCAGATCAGCGACAGCGGATCATTGAAAAGGAAGTTGAGTCAATTTCAGATCTGTCTATACTTGAGCAGTTGGAATCTGCTAGATCCGGCACAAGCGCCGTTGTGTCGGAGGTGGCAAGCATAAGACTTAGAAAGCTTCGGGATCAAGCTGACACCGATTCGGATAAAGCCGAAACCGATTCAACTATATCGCTTGACCCTTCGTTCCAAACGGCACAAGCTTATCTACAAATTGATAAACAAATGTTTGAAGAAGCCGAATCTGATTTCCAGGACATGATGATAGCCGAAGGTGTCGGAAATCTGGATGCTCTATCGCCAGATGACCGCGCGCAACAGGCAAATTGGAAAGCGGGAAAACCAGCCTTTCAAATTCCACGATGGAGAGCTAGCAGTAAAACGGCGCAGTATGGATCCAAACTAGAGTTGATCCGAAATGCAAATGAAGTTGTCCGACAGGAGCAAATTTCAATACGACCCAAGAAGTTCACAGCTGCAGCTAACCGAATATTAAGAAATCTTCAGCAAATAATATCCGATGACGTGAAAGGGATCAGAGTGCTGCTACCTGTCGCTGATGACTTAGAGCATCTTCATGCTTGTATCGAAGGACCCCCAGACACGCCATATGAAGGTGGGATTTTCTGGATTGATATGCAACTTAAAGAATACCCATTTAAGCCCCCGAAGCTGCGTTTTATGACCAGAGTTTATCATCCGAATATTGATTGTCGTGGGGTAGTATGCGCAGACTTCCTCGAACAATCTAGCTAGAGTCCCGCATTAAGACTTCAGCATGTTTTGCTTTCCATGGTCTCCCTTTTAGCGTCTCCAACTCTCGCGGATGTTGAAGAGCCGTTAGTTCCTGAGATTGCCGAAACATACCGCGAAAATTATGAGCTATACTGTGAGAATGCACGCAAGTATACGCAGATGTATGCTCAGATTCTGACAACACCTGAGCAAGGAAATTATTAGCGATTGCGCTTCTACGTACTAAGAATATCCGATGACCTAGTTGATATTCCTGGAGTGTGGACTAAAGCAAAGCATTTGCTTGTGGTTTGCGATTGAAATGTGCGTTGGGACCACAGGACACTTGCTACTTTTGATCTAACTCAATCAAGTTCTAGTCAATGTCAGATGATAACAGTGCAAGAATATTCACGGGAAGACTAGGTCACGGTCACATGGAAGTAATGCAGTTAAATCGACTGAAATGAAAGCAAATATGTATATATTTGGAGAGATGATAAATGACTATAATGCCTCCTAGGTGATCAGGGGTCTCTTACAAGTATAATGTATGCATGACCACGTCAACATGAGAAACCGATAGAGTCTGTAGGCCTACGCTATGCAGGGAACTAATCAACCCCTAGATAGAGAGGTCTCGTCAAATATTGAAAGATGTTATAAATTTACCCAGAAATTAGTAATGTTAGCTAGAAGTCGTGGACGTATGTGGATGGTCTCTCTCTATCTAGCACCGCAAGCCTCTTATTTTTCGTCGACGAACACTGGCATAGACTAAAGAATAAGGTTGGCCATGGCGAAGTTATGAAAGGGTCAGATCAGATATAGCACTTGAGAATTTTGCTTTATAATATTATTGATTTAACGACCTTGAATTCTCCGGATTTCTTTTGTGGAACATGCACGCGCTGCACAAATCCAGTGGTATGTCACCAAAGACGAGAAAACTAAATCATTCATTCTAAATACATCAGCTAATTAATAACTTTCGAGCCTCAATCAAGGTGGCGCGGATTGACTTCAAAACTTCAATACATATAAAGTGATCGCAACCGGATAGCAACATTTGAACTTCCAATGGCTCTCCGCTGAGTACAAAACACAGGGGCTACCAGAAGTCATGTATCTCCTATGTCGAGCGCAGCTGCTAGGAGTATGTGAATATCTTCTTCTGTGAGAAAAGTGATGTATATGTCTGCGTAGTGACGAATCTCTTCTATCTACCTTAATGAATAAAAGAGAAAGAGTTTTGACTAATAAATATAAACACTTTACAGGGTTACTTGAATTTTAGTAAAGGATGGAGAATTATAGATAGATTTAGTATTAGATAGTACCAGAAGGCAGGCTTAATACTTTAAAAGAAGTAAAGATATGGTTATCTATATTAAGCTTTAGTTATATACAAGATGATAGATCTATGTAGCATCAAGGTCCAGGCAGGTTGAACAAATCTAACAATAGAAACTTCAGGGGTTAGCCTAGGTTTGTCAATAAACGCAGTTAAATATTATATGTCATATTGCCTAGTGTAGAGAAGATGTGATTATCCCTAAATCTCATTGTCATGGAGATTGTTCTCGAGGGAACGAGGAGCAGGGAGATGATGGAGCTTGGCGTAAGATGATACTTAACTTAAAGATTGTCTTTCTTAGCCCAATCATCACAATAAAGTGACTTCCCAGATTATTTATCCTATTTCAGGAGACAAAGCTGGTTTTGATCTATATGTGGATACTATGTTTTTCAAAAAATTGACTTAGCAACTGGACAGCATGCTATTAATAAGAGTAAATATGCTTATTAAAACAGCTAAGATTAATATCAGGAAGAGAATAGATTGTATTATTTTAGAATAATAAACTCATTAATTGCAGGCTTATAGACTCAATGATATGTTGATGGGACTTCATAGGGCACAATTGATCTTACTGCAATTCCTAAGGTACCCCTTACTCCATGTGTAGGGTATAATCCAGGTTTCAGGTAATCGTGTGAGCGCGTATCTTGCGTTTCTAGTGTCGGGGCGGGATTATCAGAATACGTTCCCGTATACATCTATTCAAGCATCCTCCAATGGGCTTGCATACTTCCGTGGGCATACCGAAGCTCCTTCGTCACACCTTCTTTAAAGTCACTTTTGAGAGCATTCTCAAAGTATCCATTTTGGGCCGCCAGCACAAGGCTGTGGGCTGGAAACTCTGATGTGCCGAGATGAAGTTCGACATCCGAGAGGCCTGCACTGTTAAGCCCTAATCCAGCTTAGTTGGCAGTGCCTTAATAAACCTGAGGCGATATACTTTGCAATAGTCGCTTGCAGGGTTGCCACGCGCGAATCATTTGTGGTCTTTATGGTTTGTTTGCCAGGATTGCAAAGGACGGCCAACCCTGAGCGTCATTGAACTATCCTTGCTACAGATTATGCCTTAATCGTTCTGTAAGACGGTGCATCGGTGCATTTTTCAAGCATCGTCCAAACCGCTGTAGTTAAATCGAGATCCGCTGTTCTTCGTTTATCTTCTTTTGTGTCGTCTTCCTCCTTACCATACCGTTTTGTTGGAAGTAGAATTAGATATAAACGGCGCGCGACCTTTAAATACCCGAATTTCCGGCTGCACATCTTTTCATCCCGACAGCGCTTTCTAAACTGGGGGATAATACGGGTTTGATTGGTCTCAGCACCTGAATTCTCAATTGCGGCGCATATTCAATTACCGTCGATGGAGTACAAGAATGCGGTGGGACCTTTACCCTTGATGCCACCCGAGATGCATCCAAAGAGGACGCTGTCTGCAGCAATGCCCAGGGACTCGCTCAGTGCAGGCCAACTAGAGACGTAGGGGTCGCGCCACCCTGTGACTGTGATCCCTGGGGGCGGACCTGGAAGCAAAGGATTGTTGTGGTGCTTTTGCCAAGTCTTGCCACTATCCTTGGAGGTCGCAGTGCTAAGAGATTCGCTGCCATATACATATGGTAGTGTATAGTGGATCGGGGAGTCGCTGGCGGACGTGTAGAAGTATGTTAGCATTCCGTCATCCTTCCCCGTAACACCTGGCTGGACAAGACAACCAGAGAAAACACCGCATCGATCATACTGCGTGCCTAGCTCGAGGTATGGAGTCAACGAGACGTCCCATTTGACGAGGTCGCTTGATGTTGCAGAGCCCCAAGATATGTTACCCCAATCATTGCCGTTTGCGTTCCACTTGAAGGCAATGTGATAAAGTCGCGAGGCCGGATTGTAGCCCAGACCGCAAGGGTCATTCATCCAGCCCCGAACTGCCATCAGGTGATACCGAGGCCGCCATCTCTGAAAGTCCTCCGAGCAAACAGTGCCTCGGGTCCCGATAGGTAAAAGACTAACACCTAATAGTGCCGATAATGAGTCTGTGACTGCTAGAGATGAATCAGCAGGCGGCGTTGGTGGCTTGTTGTGGGGTGGCAATATTTTGGCCATGATCGGTAGGTCTAGCACCGGCCAAACGGAAACATGACCAGCTCAGTTCTGTAAAAGAGACTTCCGTTGTCATCTTCTAGGAAGTTTGGGGATCCTGATGACTTTGAGAACAAATGGCTTGATCGGTCGAGTACCTTTGCGGGGCGAGATACCCCGCCATAAGTGAGGCGTGTGATCCTACTAGCTCAAATGTCGGGAAATCTCCCTCTTTGGCATAAAACCTAATATGTGGTGTGACACAACTATCATCATGCACTTGGAAGTTTACTGTGAACCCTGTTTAACGAGAGTCGAGACCACTCTCGGCTAAAGAGACGCTGTAGCAGTCGAGCCTCGCAAGAACCGATTCAAGTTTTGAACTTGGCCGCCGTTTGGCTACTAATTTAAGATACATGAACCAGGTGATATAGACCTCGCGCTAGTCGTTCACCTTTCGGCTTGCGCAAGGAGAGCCTTCCATCTTCTTGCCTTCTCATTGCCGAGAGCCGCTTCTAAGTCTCGAACTTCTCCGGACTTATCTCCATCTGCAAAAACGTATACCGGTCCGCCCACTGTCTTATCAAAAGGCGTCCAAGGCACTTGCCCGTTACAGAACGATATCCAAGCCTCTTGCACATGAGTGGCGGTCGCATTCCAGTTGGGTTGATCTTCGAGCGGTACCAGGTCAGGTGCCGCATTGAACACAAATAGATCGTGAACACCATGGTGAGCTTTGCGATAGTTCTGCTTTGCCCCTGGGTAGGGGTTCACAGCTTGGAAGTCGAAGAAGTAGCTTCTCGCAGCTGAATGCAGGACCGTATAGTAAGGTGGGACCCGGAATCCCAGATCTCCAGCAAGATCCATGAAGCTGTCATGAGAAGACGACCTGTCGCTTGAGGGTGGGTCGATGTTGTAGGCTTGGAGTACGTCCGAAGTCAAGAAGTTCTTCATATTTTCCATCATGCCATTCGAAGCCACTAATCGTTGTATGAACTCCAGTTCGTCGTTCAAGGAGTCCGAGAAGGTACCTTCGATGACTTCTTTCTGTGGTGATGTTAGACTTCCAGGCTGTTTGAACAAGGTCGAAGGGAGACAAACCTCGTAGTCACAGGATCCTATCATGATATCAGTACCTTCCTTCTTCTTATTGGAGTGTCGTTGCGCCGCAGCATTACCAATAAAATCAACATCAATCAAAGGGTGATATACGGATCCAAGTGTATCTGAGCAATTCGAAGCATCGACAATCTGTTCAACAGGAATGTCGATGAGTCGTGCTATAAGATCGGCCTGATCTTTCTTCAGACCTAGTCTCGACGTGTATTCATCGAACAGGGCTTGGTGTCGGTCCGAGCTCAAGGGTCCAATCCCCAAAGCAGTTCCACTGCCCAGAATTGCCCTTTGAAATCCACATTCCCAACCGGAGAGGAGATGATAATGAACTGAAGCCGCACCAGCACTGGTCCCATACAACGTGATCTGCTTGGGATTACCTCCGAGTCCATCACCAAACCGGACGACCCATTCAACAGCTCGTAGTTGATCATGCAGGCCATAGTTGCCCACAGGTTCACCATGAGCCTTGTTGATTGCTGCGAGTTCCGATGAAGTCAGGAATCCGAGAGGGCCAGTACGGTAGTTTATGCCGACCACCATGACCGGTTTGCCGATTTCCACGCTTTTCTGGACGAAGTCAATGGGGTCGTAGACATAACGACCTCCGGCGATGACTGTATGACTTCCACCTGCGAAGGCACCACCGTGCACCCAGATCATCACTGGCACTCTAGCAGAGCTAACAAGTGCTGCTGTCGGTGTGGTGATGGTGAGATTGAGGCATTTCAATTCGTCAAAGCCCGGGGGCTTTGGTACTTTCTCCTCAGGTGGCGTAGACCAGTATTGAGGGTATGGTGTATATGGCTGTGGGCATTCTGGCCTACACATCATGTTCAGTTATATCTTTAGGTCCAATAGCATAGGCTTTCTCACCCATATTCGGTTGCGACATAGGGCTGTGAAGGCAACTGCGTCACCAATTGAGACTGGCGGAACCGGCCGGGAATCGAGCCAAAGGGGATGCCTCTGAACTGCACGGTGACATTATTCCGTTGAAGTCCAACCAAGCTCCCCAGAAGGGGATGAGAATGTTGATAGTCCTGAGATGAAGCCATACCCGAGGTTGAAATGCTACGAAGGACGTTATTCTTAGCTTACAAGAGCAGATGAAGCCTTTGAGCAGGTGTAGTTGGAGTTGGATCTTAGGACTGTGCGCTAACAATTGAACGCGGGGCGCTGATTCATGCCTTCAGACCCCGACTCACCGCAGAGCGCCAGGAGACTCCCAGCAATTATGTTGTTGGACCCAGGTGCCCAAACTGGTGACTGTCGGAATCTTCCTGCCGCGTGGCTCGGGAATATTCCCTTTTGGTTGAGATCTGGGGATAATCTAGGGAGCAGGAGGTTCCTCGGCTTTTTTCCCAAACCGGTAAAGTTGGGGTCGCACTAACGAATCGACCTTTCTTCACCCGCGATTATTTAGGTGAACTACAGTCCCCACACTTCCCCAGGTATACACCATGAACTTTGGCATTGGACAAACAATCACTCTTGTGCTTCTATGCTACCATGGCCTCAACCGACGTCAAGATGAGTGAGCCCAGAGTTGCCCAGCCAATCGAATTTCACGACAACAAGAGCGCTCTTTACCACCTGCGTCACAATGGTCGTCTAATCGTCACAGGTTAGTGCTGCCTGTTTGCGTTCTCCATGATATCTAGCTTACAGTATCCATAGCTCTGCTGCTGTCGACAGCTTACTTCACCTTTGGCTATGATGGCTCTGTCGTCGGTGGCGTTATCGCCATGCCCTCCTTCATCAAGCAATTCGGTCATGCTTCAACCAGTGGTGGTAACATTCTCCCAGCCACCGATGTTTCAATGATCACTTCTGTTCCCGTTGCAGGGAGCTTCATTGGCTTCCTAATCGCAACTTGGATGGGAGATATATTCGGACGCAAGAAAACAATGTGGCTTGGTTGCTTGGTCAGTCTAATCGGAGCTGCGATTCAGACAGCTTCGAGCAACGTTGCTACCATTACCGTTGGTCGCGCCTTTGCCAGTACGGATGCTTATCAACACTTAACTTGAAAGGTAATTATTGACTGGTGTTTTCCTTAGACATCGCTATCATGATCTTTCTGAGCATGACGTCTTGCTTCTCAAACGAAATAGCGCCTGCACCTGTTCGAGGAGCAATCGTTGGCCTGTCGATTGTCCTGATTGACACGGCATCTGTGGTCACTTCGGGTGTCAGCTGGGGCACACATGAGAACCCGACAAGCTTTGCTTACCGACTTCCGCTCGGGCTTCAGGTTCTATGGCCACTTCTGATAGCAGCTGGTCTGACCTTTGTTTCGGACTCGCCAACATATTTCCTAATTAAAGGAGACGATAATCGTGCTTACGCTAGTCTCCGCAAAGTCCGTCAAGGCTACACCGACGATGAAATCGAGCTGGAGATGCAGAGCTTGAAGTACCAGGAATCACTGCGCGCAGAGGAGACCGAAGTCTCATGGTTCGAGCTATTCAAGGGAACCAACCTTCGTCGAACTATGCTTGCTCTCTCCATTGGCAACTTTCAGCAATTGTCCGGAATTGCCTTTGCCACCAACTATGCAACCATCTTCTTAACCCAAATTGGTTCATCCAATCCCTATCTGTTGGTTCTGGGACTTAACATCCTCAGTCTCGGTGGTGCTGTGTGCGGTCTCTTTGTCGTCGATTGGATGGGGCGACGTACCCTTGCCTTATCCTCATTCGTCGTTTTGTTCATCATCGACATGGTTGTAGGAGGTGTGGCATTCGCTGATCAGACCAGTCCAATCGTTGCAAAAATCACCGCTGCTTTTTGTTTGATGTTTGGATTTTTCTTTGCAGCAGGGTTTGGTCCATTGACGTACATCATCTCGTCGGAGATGCCAACGGCCCGTCTTCGAAACAAGACTGGTGCTTTAACGTTCATGAGCGTTTCCCTTTTCAACATGGTTGTCACGTTCGTGCTTCCATATATTGCCAATGCTGACGAGTAAGTTGTATTGCACTCCTATGTCAAAAGGAAAGACTGACTTCGATTCTAGAGCCAATCTTGCAGCCAAAACTTATCTGATCTTCGGTGGATGGATGCTTGGCTGCATAATAATCACCTACTTCTGTTTACCCGAGACCAAAGGGCGGTCACCTGCCGAGCTGGACGAAATGTTCAACGCTCGCGTTTCAACTAGAAACTTCAGAGGTACGACTTTGCGTTCTTTGCACTGTTTCAAGTGCTGTACACTAACAAAACTGTTTCGTGTAGGTTATGTCTGCGCCGTTGCTCCAGAGCACGTCGAAGAAGCTATGGGCAAATGCCTCTCGTTGAAGGCCGGCGAAGGGGTGCAGATTGAGAAGTTGGCCTAAAGAATGGCAGGCTTCTGATATGTCGAGTTTGTCCTCACTGGCATCCCTGGGACGCCAATCATACTCTCTTCGTCGTAATTAGTTGCAATTTATAGTAGGAAATCTTTGTACGCTTTCTCTGGAAATAAAAGTTGACAGGATTATCAAATGGAATGAACCTGAAGAAGTGTCCGTAGTTTATTGTTGTGACGGCCTCAGGCTGTCCGCCAGGTCACGGGATCAAGGCGTTTGTTCGCACACAAAAGTGTGAGATCTGTAAAATAGCTTCAATTCTTCTCCTATGCTTAGTATTCCAATAGATTGGCGTCTCACAATTGTAGCCTGCTGAAACGAATATAGACGGCATTGCCGGAGTTGTGTTAAGGAAGACTCCACCCACAAAGTCTCCAAACTGGGAGAGTGGGCGATTGGCAACCTGCAATTTTAACATAATGCGATGCGAGATGTCTAATAAGTCAAAGCGCGCCCTGATGTACCACCCCCCCATATGGACTGCCTGCATCCCTCCATTCATCGCTTACCAACTTGCTGAGTGTCACCGCCGGCGCGTAGGATTCTGTTTACGAATGGGTCGGCGGCAGCGCTAGTTCCGCCTGTGTCAAGACCCAGTCGGCGAGGCGAGTCTCCTAGTCAGGCGAGAGCCTCTAGTATTGGATCTGAGCATCGTGAGAGTTCTGACAGCCTTATAATGTTGTCTAACAATGTGGTCTTAAGGACTCCCCGCCGCACGGATGCTTTACGGATCGATATGCCAGCGGCGACATTGCTGAGCGCACTGCAAATATCGGTTTCCGTGTAGTCTCGCATGCCGAATACAATGCAGATGATATCAGCTCGAAAAAGGCTCAGAAATGAGGTAATTGAGCCCGTTCCTGTTGATATAAGTGGTGTGATTGTGGAGAAAAAGGGGCGGTCCACATGGGGAGTGGTCCATAAGGGCGTGCTTTGACTTACTCGGCTGCCACTACTATGTACTTAGCTGTGGGGTGCTGTAGCTTGGCAAAACATCTGATCTACCGGTGTTGGAGAAGGCGCTATCTCCACGCTCACACAGGTATAATCAGCCGTTTCCCCGCATCCCGGAACCCTGCCCCGATCCTCCAACTTTACTGACCATTACAGCTTCAGAGATACCCACCTCAATCGCGAAATGCCGCAATCGCACAAGAACCTTTCATTCTTGCAGTACCACGCCGAGACGAAAGCCTGTGATCAGTGCAATCTTCGCAAGTTAAGAGTTAGTCCTGCTTCGTTTCCTTCTGCTTTCAACATGAGAAATCATGCCGAATTTCTGCTGATCCTTTGAGCCAATAGTGTGACAGACAACACCCTTGTCGTCGATGCACGGAGAAGGACTTCACGTGCACATTTGATAAGAAACACAAGAGGAGGGGGCCGTTGGGCAGGTAGGTGATCTCTACCTTCACTCACGGCCCACTGAAACTAACGAGACATGTCATACACAGTCGGGTTGCGGAAATAAGGAGGGATCAAGGGACCAGTTTACAGGGCGGCTCGCCTCAGTCGCTACATGGAGAAGATGATAGACAATTTCCGTTGCCATCGACCACTCGTTTTGAAGATCATCAGGAATACGTCGACAGCTTAGAAGGCTCAGTCCAGACACCAAACTCTGGTGATCATCCATCTCCCCCAGCGGTGCTCGCTGGAGGAGAGTCGTGGAGCGGTGTCGAAGCAACAGATCCCAATGCCGAACTCTACAATAGCACCCCAATTAGTCCTAGTATTTTCTTGCCAGGTCAGGGCGATTGGAGCTATCCTGAAGCGGGACCAGAACAGAAGACACAGGATGTAAACATGGATGTGTTCCAGGCGATGCCGAACCTTGGCTTCCTTCTGACCTCAGACCGCCTCCTCCAGTCGTCATCCCTGAACTCTTTCGACTTTCCACCCTTCAGCATGCAGACCAATATCAACGACCCCGCAATCACCAATTGCTGCTGGCCCGCAAATGTCAATGAGTCGTTCTTGCTTCCGTTGATAGACACCTACTCAACGAGGCTTTACGCCACAGCTCCGATATTCAAACGATCCTATCTCCATCAGCGAATGATAGCTCAGGACCACCGGAGTTGTCCGCAATTCGGCGCTATGCTACTTGCCTTGGGTGCCTTCATGCTCATTCAGCCCATTCTAATCGACGAACGCAGCTCTATAGCATATCGAGAGTCTCAAGCCCTCCATTTGATGGGCGAGGCAGCTAAGCTGCGGTGTATCCCTAACTTCGGGCAGGATCCATCACTGGAAGCCGTCCTTACAAGTTACTTCTTATTCGGCTGTCACTTTGGTCTAGGGCAGGATAACGCAGCCTGGTTTCGACTCAAGGAAGCCGTTACGTTGGGCGATATGATGGGACTGCAGGATCCAATAGCTTACTCTGGACTGAGCGAAGAAGAAAAGCGCCAGAGGTTACGGACCTACTGGATTCTATCAGTCACTGAACGGTAAACAGCCTAATGTCCCACGCACATGTCTCTTCACGCATAGCTAACACCTCTCACAGAGCCTATGCCCTTCAGCGCCATCGAAAGATTCATCTTCGTCGACACCCAAGCCCAGTCAAAGACCCAATCCCACAGAATAACGACGAGGCGGATGCCAAAACCGTCTCTGGCCTGAAGCGCATGGTCGAATTATTCGACCTCATAGACGAACGACTCGTTGACTGTTGGAATGGGCACTGCGCCGCCGACAAAGAAGGCCGGTGTACCATGTTCACGCGTGAAGACGCTGTCAAGTTCTACAAGATCCAGTATATCACTCTCCAATCCCAAAATCTTTACACTCCCGCGAATCATTCTGCTAAACCTGGCAATCCCACCGCCATCCTGCCTGAAAGCGACACATATTTCGCCGACAGATTGCCCGAGACTCAGGAAGTTGATATCTTGATCAGTCGCCAGTGGCTGCACCATCGAATGTGGCAGCTTTGCCTGAAGCACGAGTATCTCACTCAAAATGACGAAATGCCCGAATTTCGATTAGACTACATTGCCACGATTGCCCAGAAACTTCTACGAGTCTGTAGGACATCGAGCCTAAGTAGTATGGAGGTCCATGGAGTTGGGCTTGTCAGTCTTTTGAGTTCCTTCTCCTCTCATTGACACACACTAAGATCCGATAATAGGTTGAGAAAGTTCATAATGTGGCAATGTCTCTCGTTCGATTCGCAACTGGCCAGATCAACGAAACAGGATCCGATACGAACCAGGGCCTCCAGAGACAGAACGCCGGTCCAAAGAATGCAGCTGTATTATCATCTTCAGTTTCGCCGTCGCACACTAGAGAATTGTTGAACGGATTTCTCGCCTTCTTTGCACTTTTCAGAGGTGGCAGACATCCATACTTGCAGCCCTATATAAAAGTTATGAGTACTATCACGCCTGTACTTGATGCAGAAGACCTGGAGGAAGAGTATTTAAAGTATTAATTCTGAATAATGCAATCGAGTGTCCTTAGCAGGTTTTGGTATCCCTTACTGGCGTCAAAAATACAGTCAGATAGGAGAAGTTCAACAAGAAATGGGGTAAATGACTGTCTGCCCCCTCATATAGCCATGCCGGACGATCCATATTTCTTGTAACAGCTCACGACTAAGCGCTTACGAGATAAAGATACTGAGTTATTGAAAATACTAGACAACTTATCATAGATGCTACGGGTTGTATCGTAAGAAGAGATCCAAGTTGTCTAGCAGCTGGTTTGCTATTAGAAGTTAGGGTGCCAATCCAACATTACCTGAGGTTTATCTCATTCTCAGACAGTTGACTGCTATCAGGGGCCGTACCCCATCCTTAACTAGACTTTTTATCAAACCTTTCATCATCTTTATACTTTAGTATATAATTTATTATATATAGAATATGTTAAATAGAATTAATAATACTTATCTAATCTAATACTATATTTAATCTGTTTGATTGTATCTAGATTAAAATTACTTAATATGAGGATAGAAGTGTTCTATATCTTTCTGCTAATTATCTGTATCTATTAATATTATCTCTATCCTAAGCAGCCATGAGCCTGCTATGCTCCAACAATGAAATTTTAGAGAGATATAGTACTAATGTCACTTTCTTGCATACAATAACCACATATGTGCCCAGAAATACACGAGCTATTATTATAGTTCCAGAACTTAGAATAATCTATCTATACCAAGAAAGAGTTCTTCTAATATAAATATCTTGAATATATAGATTTATCTTTATTAATTTGGCACTATATTTAGAAATACTGATTAAGAGCACTGATCATCCTTGATCTATTTAATTTGTAATCAAATATATCTCTACCTCATCTAAGGGTGTTAACAGCATTTCATTTTCTGTTGAGGAGTGTTGCTATGCTATAAATAGTCTAGACTGTTTACATCTGTAAGCCCCGGGTTAACAGACGTAAATTCACGAAAATGAACGATTTTGGGGTCGATCAACATATTGGAAGTCTATGGGGGAAGTCAGAGGTGGTAACTCAAAACGCCGTGTCAAGACATGTAGGTACTGAGACTGGCCAAATTACCTATATCTCTAGATTCTATTGCATTTATGGGCTATTATAGCAAACTAATATTGTTATATTTAAAATTATATAAAGGATATTATTTAATTTCTTTTTTTTAAAATATAAAATTAAACGCATATATTTAAATTTCTACTTTAAATTATCGATTTTTAATCTAAAGTTAATTTATTAACTCAGACACCAATATGCGCAGCCTGTGCTGTCCGGCGGAATCCTTGCAGTTCTTCAGTAGAACCTTGGTCACTGAATGCTTCCATAGGTGTCTCGACTAATTTAACGATGTCTGACACCATCCGTTCATGATATTCGCTATTCCCATACTTGAACATGGCTTCAGTGGACTCGAAACTAGAGAAAATATTATAAACGAAAGGTCTTAGGACGTGAATTAAGATGATAACACAAACCTCTCAATAACTATAAATTGACCCTTTTCCTCCACCCAGAAATGATAGGCAATAACAACTCCAGGCACATTTCGGATATCCCTGAGGTTTTTGGCTAAAAATTTATCAAGCTATAACAAAAGAAATTGACAAATCAGTCAGTATTGAAGTGAATTTGTTAGCCTTTATAACTCACCTCATCCTTCTTACCCGTCAATGGCCGAAGCACTAGTACACCGTTTGCAGGATCACCAGACATGATAACTTAGGAAGTTTGTCAGAAACAGAATAACTATTCACAGGGAAGCAGAAAGAGTATTTAGAGACACACAACAAGGAGATCGCGCTGAATTTATTTGAAAAATTTTAGTAAAGGTATCTATCCAGTTGCCGAAGCCGATGTACTGTTATAACTGGTCAATCATTTTTCGGCTATATCTGTTGAATGAAGCATATTGGATACGTCATCCGATACGGTGGATTGGCACTGTGGCTGTTATTGGTATTTCACGAAGAAAGAAATAAAGTGGCGGAGCATCTCTCGGCGAGGAAGCTGAGTGAACCGAGTCTTGCTATTCAGCTTCCGGAACGAGGCTCCCCAATAATGACCGATACCTATAAGATCGGATCGGATGTAAATCAAAATCGGATGTAAATCAAAAAGAGCCATGGTTTGACGCACCTTTAGGCCGAAGAACCAACTGAGTCTCCGAAAGACTTCGGGGTTGTACTGTACGGCAGATACGGCAGATGCGGTAAGAGCTTGTTGCAGTGGATCCAGCAATTTGCCCGATGATATCAGAGACATTCCACATCCGGGCATTCCACATCCGTGAACTTAGTCAAGTGGCTGTTTGTTGTCTATATGCAACCTTTGGGAAGAGTTCCTTGTAATTAGTTTAACACCTAGATGCGTCTGAATTTTTCTTGTGATTTTTCTACAAGTAACCTTTTAATCCCGCGACCGGTCTGTGAGATAGAAAAAGCACTCGTGAACTGCACCAAGCTTCTTACACTCTCCTTTTCCACGCCTCAGGTCATCCTAGCAACTATTTGTTAGTTCCATATTTGCTCAATTGTTCAGAGCATAGCCTTCCTAATTGATATGAAGTAAGTTGCTAATATAGGATGTAGCACAAAAGACAGCGATATGGAACAAGTACCAGTCAATCCCACGCCTTCCCAAATCCCTGACCGAAATCTGTTCGAATTCCCTTATGGTCCACCAATTAGCTTGGATGAAGCAAAGGCACTGATTGCCGCTAGTGAGACGGCAGCAATTGCGAGAGGGTTGAGAATGTGCCTTGTTGTCTTGGATTCTGGCGGCAATCTTGTTGCCTTCGAGCGAATGGATGGTGCCCTCCTTATTTCTGTCGACGCTGCTCGTGAGAAGGCACGAGCAGCCGTGCTGATGAAGGCCCCTAGTAAAGCGGCCGAAACTATTGTAGCAAGTGGGGGATTAGGTCTAACTTACTTATCGACTGGTGTCATGGCTGTGCGCGGAGGCATGCCACTGATTCGCAATGGTCAGGTTATTGGATCTTTTGGTGCTTCTGGTGGTTCATTGGAAGACGATGAGCATATTTCCTGGGTGGGAGCAACGGCGCTCCGCAGGTTGTAATAAGTGAAAACACTGGCATTGTACTATAACTAGTTTCGCCTTCTCTAATACAAGTTTTTCATATCAATTAAAAAGTGCATCTAGTCATCAGTAACATTGTCGGCATCTATTTACTATTCATAAATATTTTGTTTCAGCAATGTTGATGTAGATATACAAAGATGCTGATCCTGAAATTTTCGTACCAACTATCCCCCTGTGCCTTGCACAGTACCATTTTCAACAATCTTCTTTTTCCTTCCTTTTATGGTAGTAAACCATCAAACGGACCAATGAAATTGCTTGTACTAGTGAGGCTACGATCTACTGGAATTAGTGGTCGGGTATAGTATGCTTAAAAATTACCAATGATTTGCGAAAGGGTCCGCGCTAACACCGGAGGATCTTCGATGTCTTCATATACCATATTATTAGAGTTCAGTTTAGTTCACTTCAAGTATTAAGTACAGGATCCAACTGAAGATGGAACGCCTCACAGGTGCTCCTTGAAAAAGTCCACCAGCTTAGGGCCAGATTCTGTCAGGTTATCATAGAGAGCGGCATGATCCCTTCCTGGAATAATGACAAGTTCCTTTGGCTGTTTTGCAGCCCTAATCGCGTCTTCACTATAGAACTTTGTGCTAGCATCAGCACCGGCAATTATCAGCAATGGACGAGGCGAAATAAGGTAGTTAAAAGCGTATGAGTCGTAGTTGGCCAGTAGATCAGCGCTTCGGGTAGCAAATTTACCAGGTGCGCGCTCATGTTTGCCCCGTGGCGTTTTATAATATTCCGCTAACTCTTTGACAATAGGCGGATACTCAGGTGGAACATCCTCAACGGTTGGCGGGAGGGAGGGGTTAACTGGAGCCTCTTCACCCTTTCCCTCCGTAATCCGGGCATTATTGGCGGCCTCGAGTGACTGCTGCAAAATTTCTGGACTTCCCATTCCTGGTACAAGCCCTTCCCTTGTCATCCGACCAGTGCAGACACCACTAACAGTCGCGACAGCTTTAATACGTAGATCGGTCTGCGCTGCAAATTGCACATAGCCACCGGAGGCACATATGCCTAGTGCACCAATGCGCTCCGGGTCGACATCCTGGCGGAGGGAAAGGAAGGTAACAGCAGCTCTAATATCTTCGGCTCGCTGAGTTGGATCTTCAAGGTAACGCGGCTGGCCCTCACTCTCGCCTTGGTATGCAGCGTCGAATGTGAGGATAATAAAGCCAGCAGGCGCCAAGACCGTTGCGTAAAGATTGGGAGCTTGCTCCTTCACTCCAGTCATTGGATGGGCAATAACAACCGCCGGGTACTTGGTTTCTGGGGTATACCCGCGAGGAAGAAAAAGGTCTCCAACAACCTTAATTCCCTTAGAGGGAAAATTAACTTTCTGGGACATGGCGACTGGGTGGGGAAGGCTGAGTTGGTGACGGTAATCGGGAGATAATTGTGTAAGTGAAGAATGAACGTTGATGTTCGAAAGTTAGCGAAAACTCTCATGTTATCTCAGCTGTACATGCAATAAATACATGCAATATCCATGACATCAGAAACTGTTGGGTAGCTGATAAGGTCGCCAAGGAAGGTCTAAACCAGTTGAATAGCGAAAGTCCGAAAATTTTCGGACTTCCTACTTTTGCCGCCACTTGAAATTGTAAAATCGTGATGACAGAAAAATGACATCACGGAAAGTCCAATCCAATGTTACCGGAGGTTTATCTCATTCTCGGACGGTTGCACTTTTTGCCAACCTTCCATCATCTCCGCGCTTGGGTGCCTGATTTGTCGCGGATGGGAGTCTAATCCAACACTACGTCTGATCTGTTTGATCATACCTAGAGCGCGATTACTCAATCTGGAAACAGGAGTGTTTATATTCTTCTGCTAATTATCTGTATCTATTGACACCATCTCTATCCTAATCAGCCACGACCCTACTATGCCCCAACAAGTGGGTCTTACATTTCTGGTGCCCTGTCGTCACCTCTGCTCTGATTATCATACATTAAGACACGCATGATTTACTTCCCCATCCCCGTGGTTCCCGCGGGCTTCCGCGTGGTCTGATATAATCTTAATCTTGGATTATATTTCACTTCAGTCAGCTGTTTAACAATTTTCTTTATCTCTTCATAATGTCTTGACAGAGGAGCAATTCTCCTATATTATTCATTATGCCTAAAGTCCGTGAGTGATCGTTTCTTCCCAAATGTACGCTTGTTCACGGTTAGCGTTTGTGAAAGCAGCGCTTCGGCGTCCTTGTAATGTCCCCCGCAGCATAGAGCTGTTGCAAAGGTTTTTTAGACTGGCAAGTGTCTCTGGATGCTTGGAACCAAATGCCTTCATCCTTAGAATATATATCTCCTAAATTGGCTTATCCAAAATACTAAAACTAAAAATACATAAAAATAATAGAACAAATTAATAATATATATAACTAAATATTATAAATAAATATATTAATTTAGTGCCAAATATTCCGACACGAGTACTGTGCCACGTGATCAATTTTACCAGCCGTGCTCAGGCTTTGTCCTGATCTTCTTCTTCGACAGCTATTGATATCACATTCTCACGTCGGCTGACAGGAGTAACTCTGGAATGTACTCTACAAGGCTGTCCATTCCTCGTTTGTCCGCCTTGCGTCGCAAGAAACCGTTTCCCATGCCTTCTCGCGGGCCACCTTTGTCGCCCGGCATACTGGTTGATGAAGAGATCACGCCAGTATACAATTCCAAGTACTTCTACCCAGCGAAGCCCGGAGAAGTACTCGCTGATCGTTACCAAATCATGGTCAAGGTTGGTTGGGGCGTGTCTTCAACAGTATGGCTCGCGCGTGATTTGCAAGGGTAGCCTCCAATAATTTCTGTTCAATTCGAAGCTCTCTCTGTCTCTAACAAACATACAGGCATATAGAGGAGCCAGATATTTTCGTAGCACTGAAAATCGCCAATAATAATGCGAGTCCCGTAGGCCATGAGCGCGAGGTTGAAGAGTACATTTCAACGGCAAACCCGTCACATCGCGGTCGCTCACTTATCCGAACATTACTAGACTCTTTTGAAGTCAATGGTCCGGAAGGTTCTTATTCGTGCCTTGTGTATCCACTTATGAGAGAGCCGTTATCGATGTATCAGCAGCGCTTTGACGATAGAAAGATGCCACTAGCCCTCATGAAAATATACGTTCGTGCTCTTCTTACGGGGCTTGAATATCTTCACAAAGAATGCAGGATCATTCATAGTGGTAAGTTCATCTTCGGCCTTGCTTCCCGTCGGTGATACTGAGCCTAGCGGATGCCTAGATCTAAAGCTTGAAAATATCATGGTCTCATTCGAGGATCAAAGTGTGCTTGCTGATTTCATGGATTCTCAGTTTGAAAAACCGATGGCTTTTAAGATTGATTCGACGGGACGACCAGTGTATCAGTCCCGGAATAACTTTGGGCCACTTAAAAGCCTGAGAAGTATACCACAGCTTGTCGACTTTGGCTTGGCAGTCAGACTCGAGGAAGACGACGACTGGGGCGTCTGGCCTATTCAATCAGACCACTATCGGGCGCCAGAAGTGATATTGGGTAATGGATGGCAAATGCCTGCGGATATTTGGAATCTTGGTGTTCTGGTACGCCCCCTTCTCCAAAGTTATTGTACCCACTAATCCAGACCAGTTATGGGATATGATCAAAGGCAAAGAGCTATTTCGACATATCCATGACCAAAAAGGACAATACAATGCTAAACTACACGTCGCCGAAATAATAGCCTTACTCGGTCCACCCCCTCCAGAGATCATACAAAGGTATCAATACATGCGAGAGTATTCGTGGCCGGAACCTGTCAGACGAGAAGATGACAGAGTATGCGAGACCGCAGAGGAGTACTTCTGTGGGCCATTCTTTGACAATGATGGTATTACTGGGTTTCCTATCTCGAACGAATTACTCTCAGGCTCACGACACATTTCAGGTCGCTTTCTCTACGAAGACTTGATCCCCAACCGGAAACTAGGCGACACAGTTTCCTTCCTTGAGGGGGAGGAGAAAGAAGGGTTTCTGGATCTCACCAAAAAAATGCTTATCTGGCATCCAGATGCGAGACAAACGGCAGGCGAACTGGCGGGGCATCCCTTTCTTCAACCAAAGCAAACAAGCACCTGATTCCTGCGAGCGTTTGCTAGCAGAATGACTCGAATTAGTGGTTGATCCCGGTTCCGCGGTGCCATCAAATGACCGGTTGAAGCGTTAACGTAATTGTCTTTTTGAATGACATCTAATAGAGTCAGTTGATTTGTCTTGATAAATCTGACATTATATGAGTAGTCGGTGTCTTTTCTGAAAACGAAGGTGGAGCGAGTTTCATATATCCGCCAGAGGATGACTCAGTAACATAAAGGGAATCCGAACATCAGAGTGACGTTGATAAGTGGTTGCACTACACCGCTTTTGAGCGCGATGAGAATCACAATGCTATACGCACATTTCGTTTCGTAAAGCAAAATTAGAAAGAACACTGGCAGGTGTCTTTTTAAAGTAGAATGTGTTTAGAAAATAGAATTAGGTGATATCTCAGATCTTTAATTAGGACTACTGATTGAGTATTGAAGAGGGTTCCAAGATTTTTATAATTGTAACTTTCAAAGATGTACCTGTCCCCTTCGCGCCTGCAGTGGTGCTGTTTTCGTCGTCATAGTCAACTGTAATGTATAATGAAGTAACTAGAAGTGGCTCTTCAAGGGCTTTTACTAAGAAGCGACAAGTGAACTTTCTGAACAATCGTAAACTAATCTATGGCCTTTCGAATTTCCATGGCGTCCGATACATAATATACAGTCTGCTATTGAGTAGTTTAAGTTGCATTCAAAGAATATAGTTGTAGGATGGCATTGTGTGAAGAATGAGAAGAATGGTGTCAAGTACGAAACCCTGCAATCATTGAACCATTTATTTTCCTATCTTTTTAAACAACCCTACTTTTCTAGACGATAATTTTTGAGCTATCATTTCTCGTAATAGAGTTATATCTCATCAAAGAGATAAGTGTTTATCTGCAATATCAAGTTTACATACTATTATTTCTTAGCATGCTGCAGCTTGTAACTGACCTCTTCCAATCCTTCGTGTCTCTTTAAAATATAAGGTCAAGATAAGCCTTTATATTGAAATCAATATCATCTAATTAACCATGTTATTACTATATTAAAATAGTATAGGGAGGATGCAAGATAGTATGAAACTATGCGAGATACATGATAGACCATATCTTTGATTTCTCCCCCCCTAAATAGCTTGTATTTTTGCGTTCCTATTTACACATTCAATTTGGAGCTGAATTACTCTAGTTCAACTTGATGTTCCCTCGTTTACATCACAGATTCCAGTAAGTAGCACAGCGTGAAAATACCGCGGTTCAATTATTCTCTAACGTTGGATGAAATAGCTATTTGTTCCAAACATAATTTTTCCATTTTGTATAGTCGATCGTAGGCGTCATTAGCATTGTCCACTATCTTCGATTGCATTATGTATATTCTATCTCTCTATCGCGCGTTTCTATAAAGTCACACCCTCATGATGGATGCAAAGAAAACGTAAAAGTAATTCTAAGTAGATGTATCTTTTGCACCAAGCCAAACAATCCACTAGTCTATGTACTTGGGAAGCGTCTTCATGATGCCGTCCCGGGTGATATCCTCCATAGCTGTGGTAATCTCCTGGATAAACCTCTTGTCACCGCGTAGATCATCACCAAATAGGCTCTTGATACTGAGCAGCTTGGCCGGGTTGGTGCCTCCTGCGCGAGCCATTGCCTGGAGCTCCTCGCGCATTGGATCATCAACCTTGAATGTCTTGCCACTATCGTCGACGCCATTGATATAACAAAACCAAGCAGCCGCGACAAAACACAGGCGGCGGAATGGGCCAGTAACCCAAATAGCCTCGGCAATCGATGGCATGATAAATTGTGGAATCTTGCCGGAACCATTGAGGCAGATACGGGGCAACTGATCCAAGATCGTTGGGTTGGAGAAGCGCTCGATAAGTGTTTTGCAATACTCATCAAGATCAACACCAGGAATCTCAGACAAGAGCGGCTTTACCTCCTCCTGCATCATCTGCCATATGAGTTTGGAGAAGAGTGGATTCTCCATGACCTGGTAGACATATTCAAAGCCTGCTAGATGACCTGGATAGCCTATAGCTGAGTGGCTACCATTAAGCAGGCGCAGCTTATGCTTCTCAAACTGTTCAACATCATGGACATTCCGTACAACCTGAACACCAACTTTCTCAAATAATGGACGGCCATCAGAGAACTGGTCCTCAATAACCCATTGCGTGAAAGGCTCTGTAACAACAGGCCATGCATCCTCAATACCAAAATCATTTGCAAGTGTTACCTTGTCAGCGGCTGATGTCTGGGGTGTGATGCGATCAACCATAGAGTTAGGGAAAGCGCCTTGCTCCATAATCCAATTTGCAACCTTGGGGTCGCGCAGACGCGCAAATGACTCAAGCATGTGGCGTGAGATAGAGCCATTCTTCTGCATATTATCACATGACATGACGGTAAAAGGCTTGAGTCCTTGCTGGTACCGTTGTTCCAGGGCGGCATAAAGGAAGCCAAAAGTAGTGCGTGGTGCCTTCTTGTTGGCTGGAGCAAGGTCGAACTGAATATCAGGATGATCACTCTCCAATTCATGTGTATTTTCATTGTAGTAGTAACCACTCTCAGTGATAGTCAGTGATACAATATGCGTATCAGGATGCGCCATCTTAGCAATAACAGCCTCGCGATTATCAGGTGCAAAGAGATAGGAGTTAATGCTGCCAATAATATGGGCAGATTTACCCTTGGCCGACCGTTCAATAACTGTGTACAGATGGTCCTGCGATCTCAAGGCATCGCGCATGCTAGCATCGAAGGGCTGCAAGCCAACACCACAGATTGCGTAGTCGGTAACTCCGTGCTTCTGCATCAAGTTGTTGATATAGACAGCCAGGTGAGCACGGTGGAAGCCACCAACGCCAACATGAACGATTCCCTCCTTGACAGCGCCATCACGCTGGTAAGTTGGGACGGTTGGGACATTCGATTTACCTGTGGCTAAAATTTGCGATAAGTTTTTGCTGCTAAGCTTGATCGCTGCCATTACGATCAGGGAAATTGAACTGAGAATAAGGCAAAGGCTGTAAGTAATGAATTGTTTTCTGCAAGTGAATGAACTAGATTAAGAAAATTTGTATTCACTATTTTTAAAGTTTTATCTTAAATTTTGATGAGTCCGTAGTGGGTCCAGAGAAAACTCGGGTACCCATTCCTGTTGGCGGACCAAGTCTGCAATCTACGGATGATGCAAGATTTACGTTAAGCGTGGTGTAGACTTGCCTTTCTGCAAAAAGCGGTGTGAGCTTCCATTTGCAGCCAACAGACAAGGGTTTTCTGGTTTACCCAAATTGAACTTGGACTGGTGCGAGATAAGGGTGAGATATAAACTAAAGCTCAACAAGCGAAATCTATAGAATCCGAAGCCAGTCTTGCTGGGGAAACAAACTGTTAAAAAAAACGAACGATAAATAAAGAACAAATCAAAGTCCCAATCTTGAGGGTAGTAATCGGGTAACTATAGAATTAATTATTTTAAAGATATTAATAGATTTTTTTAATATTATATGAATTTGTATCTTTTTTATTAAATTAGATATTATCAATTCCATGTTTTATTTAGAATTTAAAAATTTTTATATTTAAAAAAATCTTTTTTTTTTTAATTCATTTAATTATTATGAAGATTGTGAGGCCTGGCGGTAGCGGGGCGCGGCAGCGCATGGCGCGTAGGCTCACAGAGGCTTATAAGTGTGCTAACCCTGGAATTGGGCATTGGCCCAATTACCTTAGTATTGCTTTTTGGCGCTTAGAGTTGGCAGTGGCAAGAGCCTTACATCGAGGTGAGTTGAAGTTATGTCTAATCGGCGAGTAACTGCGAACTAAGGAATGACGAAGTTCTTGATTCAACGCATGATTGCTGTTTACCCTGGTGGGAATCGCGGAGGACACAGGAGATGGTCTAGGCCTTCGGCACGCTGTTGGTGCTTGTAAAAGTGTCAGCTAGCTAGTGCGGTATAACGCGCTATGGAACGGTATGTCAGAGCCATGGTTTTGACGCGTTATTTTTCTATGCAATTTCCGAGAATTTGCCATTATTTGGGTCATTATAAGTGATCAGTTCCACTAGTAAATTGGGTATAAATTAGATCTAGTTCCCAGTTATTCAAAATTCAGGCTTCTTCCCCCTTGCGATTAGTAATACACTAATACTCCACTAAAATTCCTTGCACTAAAATCTGCCAACAAAAAGTTATCTCTTCTCGGGGCAATAACTATGCAGGACCGAGGATGACCATTCAAAAGGACAATAGAAATGACTTATGTTAGCCCTCACCAACCCCCGGCGATGATCAGATTACACCCACTACCCAGCGCCCGACTCGTAGCACAGTACATACACTCCCCAGCGACCTGGATATACGTCCCCTTAATGAGGCTTTCAGCCCAGAACAAGATCATGGGGAGATCGCCAGCCGTCCAATGGTATAGAATCACATCATATCCGATGCGTAGCGGCGGACCTGCACGGAATTTGAAGATGTTCTCCCGCTTGTAACCCTTGAAAGCTGCGCCGGGGAGGATCTTATTCTTATCGGCTGTCTTACAGCCACACTGCACGCCGAAGACCCCCTGTCCGCCGAACGGAGGAGGCTTGAAGTCGCCGAACTGAGCAACTTTCGCCGCGAGTTTATTCCCCGCTATTCGTTTAATGCTGACCCGGACACTTTCAAGATCAGATGAGAAATATATCGGGTTGCCGTGGATGTCACGCCGGGAGATACGCCGAGTCAAATTGCCCGCCTTCAAACGCAGAGGTGGGGGTAGAAACTCCTTGCCTATATCCTTAACGAGACCGACAGTCATATCTTTCGTCAATGACCGCTTGCTTGGATGATCATGGGGCCGGTGTAAGAGTGCCTCTGCCCACCCAGATATCATATAGATCGTCTCGCCTTCTACGACGGCCGTGGAGCTATCAATCTTGAACTGTACATGAACCAGCTCATTGCTTCGCGTGATCTTCGCCTTTCTGCGCTCGATGACACCGATCGGCACCAACTCATTCTCAAACGACGCGGCAACTTCTGCAAAATTCTCCATCGGATTCTGCAGACTGCCCACCCGGGATTCAGGTAAACCACACTCTAGCGCAAAACCGGCGAACACTGTATGATGCACTCCCAATGCAGCTGCAATATATCTCCTCGCAACCTTCTCATAATAACAAGAATGCACCATCAACTCCATCAAATCGGGCAGACTAACCTCCCCAATCCCACAAAATTGCGCTAGCCCCAGGACCCGCGCCAGGAGTAGATCGCGATGCGCCGGAGACCGTGCAGCATTGCGAACCATACCCAGCGCAAAGCGACTAATATCCCTCTTATCATACATCGGTAAGCCCTGCAGTGGGTTTCCTCGTTGCAGCATCGCCTGCCGCCACTGAGCAGGCCAAGTAGCACCCAATCGCGATCGTATAGACTCGCCCTTAGACTTCGAGTTCAGATTCACAACCAGCGGCTTCATAACACCCATGGTCTCCAACCGTGCAGTCGTAAGATTGAAATGTCGCCTCGCACGGCTGACATCGGTATATACAGAGAAAAATAGCTCTTCTGTACCCTTCGCCGTCATAATCCACCCAATTTTCGCCGTCTGTGGATCTGCTGGTGCCGACGGGATAAGGGGCTCGATGTATACCTGCTGGGTTAAGCGGACGAAGAGGTCCTTGATATCCTCGAGGAAGTGCTTGCACGCGCGATGGTCCAGGTAGAACCGGATAGTGGAGATTGTGACGTGGGTGAAGAGCTTTAGGATTGATCCGAGGGGGTCTCCTCTAATTTCGTTCGGGAGTATTTTCAGTACGTATATAGGAAAGTATGGAATGAGATGGGTATATTTAGACTCACCCGGCTGAGAGCGCCGTCAGGACGAGCTGGGTGACTACGTCGGCTACTGGTTCCATGCTTGTGAGGGCACTTGATGGGTGTATATTTCTACAAAAATTACAGAGACTCTGCAGAGGGCCGGACTTATTAGTAATGGAGGCTCTGCGATCAATTTCCTGACACGCCCTCGTATCTTAAGACAACCTCGTCAAAGCGTGGAAGGCTAGTACATATGCGGTAAGAGCAATTTCTCTGGAGGATTCGGGGCCCTAAGCTTAAAGTACAGTAAAGAACTACGCGCGCTTGGACATCGTCGTGGCTGTGAATTCACCTTTAGGGTGTAGTGGCCTCGTATTCCGACCAATCTGGAAGTGACACGTGCTAATGTTTGGATTATGGCGATGCTGCCACCAATAGATAAAAGATAACTTACAGCAAATAGTGAGAACAACTTCATGTATCAGCTTCGTTTTGTACTGAACAGGCTACTTTCCCCACCCAAAGCTCTCTATAAATTGTGAGGATGAATATTCCCGTTCTCCCGTCGTGCGTGCTTATGCTCGCGTGGGCGTTTTCGTGGCTTTCCGTTTGACGGTAAAACTTGTCCAATTTACAACAGCGTACCCAGTAAAGCACCTCTCTCTAGGGCAACACATCGTGGTGGGAATCCAATTATTACAGGGGATTGCTATAATGCAGTGGAATGCTTGCTAGATTCTGACCTGCCCAGCATCAACAACGTAAGACCAGTATCTAGCATATATATATGGCAGATCATATTCGACTCTATCAGACTCAATTCAAAATCGGCTATTCTCATGTCGTATATCCTTCTTTGGGAAGAATAGAGCTACAACACTGATACAGTATGGAGGAGGTGGTGTAATCATACACTGACCTCTTTTCCGGGGGATATGCAGGGCCTACAACTTGGTACCACCCATCTAGAATATTACTAAATAAGATAACAGTCTACTTATAGAAATTCATTCAATGCTCCAAGCCATTAGTATGTCGAAACAAGATGTGAATACATATAGAAATATTCTAGGATATTTTAGCACAGTAATCCCATAGACAATATTGAGCAAATCAATGGTGAAGTGGGAGGTTATTGGGGTATTTAATCTAGGAAATTTATGATTCTCAATTTTAGAGGCATCACTAATGCTTTCATATAACAGGTGCTCACTTCTCATAAATCGCAAGAAGGATTAGAAATACAATGATCACATCTAAGTTATTAATAGGCTAATCGAGAATCCTACTTCGTATTAACCCTGTGATTTGCATTATCATCATTGGGCATCTGAACGAGGCTGAGACCACGCTGAAGGCAGATATTCGTAGGATTTACTTCTGCCTGACTCACAGCCTAACTCATCATTTTCTGCTTTCATCAACTTTTGTCTGAACGCCTAATTTGTTCAGTTTTCCAAGATGCAGTTCCCAAGTCGTTTTCTCTTTGTTGCTGTGATAGCCGCCTTCAACGGGTTAGCGACAGCCTTCATCAATGCAACCTACAGCGGTTCTGCTTTAAATCATATGCTAGTAGGGTATGTCGGGTTTGAGCCGAGATCAGACGATCTCATCCTTCCAAGACAGGGACAGTGCTATCCAGGTGAAGGTAAGATCTTTGAGATATTTACTACAAAACGTACCCCCAAGTTTGGATGAGTATATAGGGCCTTTTGTTACTCTTCTAACGGGAAGCTCATGGGGATATTTAGTCGGCTGTGGTCAGTGGTGCTGTCCAGTGTTTAGCGTTTGCGTTGATGCTCATTCCGGTTACTGCTGTCCGGTCGGCAACAATGCCCAGTGTGGTATATCGGGCTGCTATAACTCCAATACTGATATTTGCTGTGGTTCAGACGGGCAGTTCTGTCCAAAGTCGACAACATGTTGCGGAACATATTGTTGCTATAGTGGTGAACGCTGCAGGAATGGGCAATGCATTTCTGGAAGTAGCAGTGTCAGATCTGGACTGAACTTTTGGGTGATATTATTAATTAGCAGCTCGGTGATATGGGTAGCTAAGGAAATGTAAATGGGAAAGAGGAGATCCAGCTAAACATTCAAAGTTGAATGAATGGATTCAATGGGCTCTTTCTTTTGTCTCAGATAGCTTCCTTTTCGTTTATCTAACTTACTATACCTCCTCTTCTCCTATTACATTGGAGTAAATCACAATTCAGGTTAATAACTGAGTGCTTTGTTGAGAAGAGATAATTAAGTAGGAGAATAGAATGTTATAGAGTTAGCATCTAAGAAAGTCTAAGCGAAAGATAGTCTCCCAAGAGCTTCTTTATCTTTCTTATCTAGATTAAGATATTGTTTGAAACTGATTAGATCCTTTTAGTGAATCCTTATTAGCAGCAAAGATTGAAGTTCACTAGCTGGTCATCACCAGAACACTATATGCCCTCAGTGCCTCAAGTTCTTGTGGTTATTCAGCATAACACATATGCACCTGACCACTTACTTAGAGCGAAATCAGTCAATCAATCTCACTGTTCCGGGAAGCCACGCAGTCCAAGAGTAAGAAATCCAGTCGTTTCCAGCTCGCTCTTTTTTGCCTTCAGTTCGTCAATATCCCAGTTGCACCAGATCAACTTGCCCTTCAGAAATGCGGCTTCGGGACTTGCCGCCCACACAGTGAAGTGTGCTGGCAATTTGACTTGGAAAGCAAAGCTGTCAGGAACCCTTTTTAAATATTAATATGGGTTGATACGACACTTACTATCATCATAGGGCAAGATAATACCGGCATCAATAATCTTTTGTTGCAACTCCGTGACGATAACACCGGGAGCAAGATTGATAACCTGAAGATCCGGATTCTCTGCCTGGACGTATTCGAAGAACTTGGTCGCTGCAAGCTTGGACCCACCATATGCCGACATGCCAGGCATGAACGGCAAGTGGGCGACGCCAGTGCTGAAATTGATCAGAGAAGCCTTGGCACTTGCATGACGCAGAAACGCCTTAGTGACAATGATGCTGCCTTTTACATTGATTTCGTAGGCTTCCCAGACATCATCAAGTTTGGCATCCTTGATCGGTTGAAGAGCCGGCTGGAAACCCGCATTGTTTACCAGAATGTCAATGTTGCCGAAAGTGTTGGCAACCTTGAGAAAGACGGCATCAATGGCCGCTTGGTCGGTAACATCTGCACGAGCCGCATAGACGTCTACACCAGGGAATTTTGCCTCGAGATCAGCTTTGGTGTCCAGCAACTTCTGCTCCCTTCGGCCCAGGATGGCGATTTTGGTGGCCCCAGCCAATGCAAAGGCATGGGCGACGGCCTGACCTATTCCCGCGCCGCCGCCAGTGATGAGAATCACCTTACCTTTGGCGGAATGCTTGGGGTTGGTTGGGTCAATGGCAGAGTACTCGGCATTATGCCAGGTCGGAAACGGGGAGGGCAACGGTGGCTGCATCTGGAAGGTTGTAGTTGCAAACTGCAGATTCGCTGTTGTGGATAAGGGCTCGAATAAATTAAACTCTTTAAAGAAGGCAAGTATTGAAATGGTGGTGGTTTGATTGACAGAATCTTCAAATGTTGGATGGGGCTTGCACTTCACCGCAGTGGGGAATTTTGTGCGTTAGGTGCTACGTAAATAATCTCAGCACCCGCTCACTAATTACTGTACAACTAAAGATGAATAAACTAATTATAATTAATGTAACTTAGTGTATTCTAGTGCTATGGGAAGCAACCCTAACCAGCAACGCCAAAAGGGCCAACAGTCATCGCTCGATTGCGATTAATCCCAAACCCGCTTGATATAGAACATGAGGTGACTATCAAATCACATGACAAATGCCTGAAGCCTAAGGCATAAATATTCTTATACTTGGATAGTTAGATTAAAGAACCATAAAATAATAAAATAATTAGATTATGAAATAAGCATATTTATATCTCTATTTTTTTCTACTTCGTATTATACATTTTCAGTATTATAAATCATATATTTTTATTGTCTTTATACTCTCTTCCAGTCCTTGTAATATTATATGGTCATATGACTCTATAGACCAAGCGTGTCATTGCAAAATCTGACATGACAAGGTTTTATTATGTCAAATCTGACAAAGTTGCATAATTTTAAAGTGGGTCTAGTATAAGTATTTTAATTGGCTGAAGTTTTCAATCAGTCAATAAAGATTTACACCTTTTACTTTCCAGCAGCCTAACAATTGCCAATATCTGAGAGTAGCCAGACTTTAATCATGTGCCTCATTTGTCACACTTATACTTACACAAAATGGTATAGTGCTAACTAAAATTTATTATTGAAATAAGTTATGATACAGGCCTCGAAAACTTTAAACCTGACAAAAATTTGTGTCCATGTCAGAAGCGGGTTCTGACAATATCGAACTCAAGTCGTGTTTCTATTGTTAAGCTGTGCACTGCCATGATAATTGGTGGAATGTGGTGTTAGCTGCTTTAACAATATCTTGTCTTTCTTAGGGTTAGGCTCAACTAGTCTCGTGCATGTTGGTTTTGTAACAGTACGTATTATCTGCCGTACTCTGTGGCTTATTGCGGCACGGGAAGGCCCGTCGATCCGCAGTCACCCGCGAGGCTGAGCTTCAACCATGCAGGATACGTCGCATCCTGTAATACAGAGAATGGGACTGCCCCTTGCAAGGCAGATTCGAGCCCGGATTATTCCATTGGTAGGCATCCTGAGTTGCTTGGATATCTCGTGGGCTTCGATTTTCCTCTGGACCACATCTAGGCACTTAACTCATCCCAAGGATAAAATGGATCATCCAGAAACCAAGTACAATGCCATGCTTCATAGAAAGCTATTCACCAAGGAGAAATGAATCAAAATTCGGAGGCTGAGTGATTTTTGGGAAATATCGGCGGCGTAATTCTGGTTCATTCCATAGTTATGTGCTTGCGCATACTAATGGCATTTTCGGCATGGGGGCTCAGCCTCGCGATCATATGAACTCCACGAACGCGCTAGCTAGCGACGCCCGCGTTCTACTTATAATGGCTGCCTGCTTTCTCGACAAGAAGAGAGGAGTCTTGATTTATCTGGATTCCATGCACTTCGAACATCGACAAAGTCAGGTTAGGACCACGACGTTGAACGTAACCTAGAACTACCAAGCATACCGCATGGGGCTGAAAGTGAACCGTCAAACGATGTTGGATGGAACCGAATCGCCTTCGAGCAGCTCTTCGAGTGAAAGTGTCTTTTCTTCCCCTCCCTCACCAGCGGATTTCCCATTTAGCCCCTCGGATTCCTCCGCCACCGATATCACGGATGACTCTGAATTGGAGACTCCAGTCAAAGGTCGAAAATCCTCAACCAAACCAACCCATGACGTCCCCAAGACATCTCAGAATGAAGAAAAGGACGAATTGGAGAGAACCGAGGATAGGGATAGCCAGAGAAAAACCGGCGATACACAATCCCCGACCAAGACCATAGGAAAGACCAAAAAAGCAAAGACTTTAAAACACCGACTCAGCGCCTCTTCTCTGCAGTTAGTGGATATTACCGATGCATTGTCAAGCAATAAAAGGAGAGCTAAGGAGAGCTCAACTTCTTCTGATAGGAGTAATGAATGGGTCTCCGACCAACAGAAGCGTATAAGTGAAACAACATTAACGGCACCGAAGACCCGGAGGCCATTGCGGCAACCCACAATCGAGTATTGGACAGCAAAACAGGCCAGCCGTATCAGCACTGATTTCTCTACGGGGTGGGTTCTCAGAGGTAGAGCGGTCAGCGATGTTGGAGGTGCCAGGAAGAAGCCCGCTTTGGATTCAGTTGGTTCGTCGGCGCAGAATCAACATACCGATAAATATCCGCCACCCAATTCAATTATACCAAGAGTTACCATTTCCCCTCCGGAAGATAGTGAGACCAACTCAGCCCAGGGTACGGACGACCAACGCAAACTGAATAGCAAGAGCGCGTCACCGGGAGACGGCACAATCCAAGAGGCATTGGCTTTCCTCCTCTCAACAACGCAAACCTCTTCGGCGTCTACCAAGGAGAAAGTCTCAATGCGAAAATCGCTTTCTAAAATTATACCGTTCGAAATTCGTGAGCATCTAAGAGAAGACAACCAACATTGTCCAGCATGGACAACTAAAGGCTTGCGATGCAAGAAGCAGCACAGAGCAAATGTCTCACACATTATACACACCTTAGACAACTTGACTGCCATCAAACCTAGTCAATTGTCGCAGTGCATGGAGGATTTGATCACTGCGACCGTATGTTCTGCGTCGCATCAAAGAGTCGCACGGAATGAGGTACAAATCTGGGAAAGAGATATCGACAAACTTTGTGAGAATCACAACTACACTGTCTCCCCTTCAAATTACCGCCTTTCAGCGCTCGCCGAGTGGATTAGTACTCTTGGTACAGGAGAAAGTTTCTCCAAAAAGGTGGAATCCTCCCCTCCAGCAACAGTTAAGGGCAACATTCCCAGCAACATCCCAAAGATATTCCCCTTGATCCAAAAGTTTAGGCCCTACATCACCAAGAAATCAGCACATTCTTCTGTTTCCGAAGTCCTCGAGAAGCTTCTGATCGAACCTCTCACTACGAGAGAGATCAAGGACGACGGAAATGTATATGTTTACTGGCAACCGGGGAATTTCGGGCACCTTAAAATCGGCCTGTCAAATGATATTACCAAGCGCATGAAGAAATGGAACAGCGACTGCAAGAAGCCGATGGAAGTGTATTATCCGAAACTGGGTGGTGATGAGGAGTTTCCCAATGTCAAACATGTCTACCGCGTAGAGAAGCTGGTGCACACGGAACTGAAAAACTGCAGACGGATTGAGGAAAAGTGCCCGGGATGTGGACGAAATCACGTGGAATGGTTTGAGGTTTCGCGCGACCTTGCAGTCCAGGTTGTGCGCAAGTGGATGGCATGGATAAAGGAAGCTCCGTATGAGGAGCGATCATCTAAAACCAAAACGGAGTGGGTATTGAAGGACGAGCAAATGAAAAAATTAAAGGAACTGTCACAGCCACTCAAGGCGGTGTCAATTTCCCCCCAAGTTATGGAGAAGGGATGGACCAAAGGCCCTCGTCATGGTCAACGGCTCTCAGTTTCTGGAAGTATTGGGACGAGAGCACTACGATCGAGGAGCAAATCAATGTAGTCCGAGCCCCAATCTAGACTCTATATACGTCTATGCTATTCATATATATTTTGGGTTTATCGAGAATACTAAAGCGTTGTTAGATGTCCTAGAAGTACCAATAAGGGACTACATGTAGACTAGACAGAAATCTTAGTACATGAGATTGAAGCACCTTACAGTGTGATGTCTCTCAAACTAAACATGGAATGCTGACGCTCATGTCATATCTACAAAACATCATCCTAATACCCCTCTAGTTTCAAGCAGTGCTGATGTCCTCCCCGGACTCCCCCCGGACTCAATCCCGGTCCATAAGAAGTAACTTCATTTTCACCAGAGGTGGATTTCCTGTCCGGCTGGATTTAGTTTTGCTTTACTTTTGCCAGATCATGGTGTTTTTGTGATCTGATGCGCCGCGATAGCGTTCGCTTGACTTTTGGGCTTTTTGTTGCATAATCTCAGCAATTACGCCCAACGTGTGATTAGCCATGGTCGTTTCCATTGCGACTGTTCTGTGGGTGCCCCATAAGCCTGCCACGTCGATTGAACATATTAATACGTATTAATAATTTGGAGTCTATTAGATAAACCAAGGAACAGCCATTTTTGAATCAAGGAATAGTAAGTCCCAGGAATTCGACCAACCTGGTTGATTGCCGCTGGTCTTACAGTCCGCAGCCAGGTCTTGCTGCTTCCAGAGTGACTGGATAATATCTCTCAGGACGAAGATATTGCCTATTTTGCGGGCCTCATCCATACGGTCCAGTATACGGAGGATTACTAATCTTTGATCGTCCGACTCAGCCTCAGAAGCGATGACGAACAAGGGCCAAGGACTTGTGCATATTGGCAGCTGGCAAAGTATTTGAAATGCTTGTTTCAGGTAAAAGTTTCTCTCTTTGCACCTGTCTAAATAATATGCATGAACACGGTGGTGGTATAACAAGGCTGCTATCCTGTAGAGCTCGGCGGTCAAAAGGACCTTGGGGCGCTCTTCGGCACCGACATTCTGAGACGGAGGACTGTCTATAGGATCCACGCATTGCGTCAGGGAGACGAGTCTTCTTTCCAGGATGAGAGCCTCTGTGATTTCAGGAGGACCTGCCATAATAGCGCATCGTATTTTATTCAGACAGTGAATTGCTTCTAGGACTTCTAGAGAACACCCCAGAGATCCAATAACCTGATACCGACGGTTAGATGAGCCCTACTCAGAAGCAAGTATTAGTGATAGAAACTGGAACTCACGGCAGTTTTATCGAAGTTGACGTCTGTCAGAAGATCAATGGAAGATGTCTTGTGCTGGATATGCTGTAGCGGCTGACTGAAGGCACCGAGAACTTCGTGGTAAATTAGCCATGTATACAAGAATTGATAGCGTAGCTTTCCCCCAGACATAGCCGACAGATGGTAGAACATGGCTTTTGCTCCGTCTAGATGAGAATACCAATTCCCGTCTGTTTCGTCAAAGACCTGTAGTTCATCATCAATGAATAATTAATAAATGTTTGGAGTAACAAAGCACATATGGCAGGTGAATGTTCATTTACACTGTAGACACAGAGCATCATCGATGTAGCAAGTTGGGTGTTCATAATAGCTGCACCACCACAAGTTTCTGATGACAGCGACGACGAGAGACATCGTACGGCCTTGGCCTTGAACGGCAAGGCGGCTGTCACTCCGCATTTGTGAAAGGCTGACACCGCCAGAATGGCATTACACAGAGCTAGCGATGCAGCACTGGAAGAAGCGAGAGCCATGGGTATGAGTTCGGAGCGAAACCCGTTGGTCGTGTCAATGGTCGATATCATGCGCGATATTCGACTTTCATCTTGCATGGGCGTTTATAAGCATGTAATTGACTTGACGAAAATGAGGATATAACAATACTCACAGTATTGCAAGATACTCGGTTCGCTACCGAGTAGATGGGGATAACTAGAAAGACAGGCTGAAGGCCGGAGCGACAGAGGATGGGCGCCGATTACTCGATTGATAATGTCATTAATACTAGGCCAGGAAGGCTGACGCAGATCATCAAAGGTAGTGTTGAGAAACTGCGACCCGTACGAGACTATTAGGGATGGAGGGCAATAATACCAATCATAAGGTGGAAAGAGTAGGCGGCGTCTCCGTCCGTCAGGCTGGTCTGGCCAAACAAGACGCACGCTGTAGCCAAGACAATCTCTCCCGGTGCGTCGGCAGTTGTCGCACGATGGAACGCCTTTGTCGCAACCAATCTTCCGCCCTAATGTTCAATCAGCAACCCCGCCGAGTCTAAGAGTGACTAGAAAAGGAAATAATTCATCCGGCAAACTCACTCTTGCATGTCCAGCAACCTTGCTTTCCCTTTTCGGCGGGGTTGGCCTCAGCTCTTCGCTTTGCAGCAGTCTTCATGGCCGAGGTAGCTTATGTCTGATAGTACGCTCCGCGGGTGCTAACTGGACTTCAGAGTTGCTAAAAATGTTAAAAACGAAGAGAAGTCATGTGATAAGGGCCGTCTGTCGGAATATTTGCACTAAGCATTTTGGGTATAGGTTCGAAATGCTCAAAATGACATTTAGCTATATCAAAACACTATGCTAAAAAATAATAAGAAATTCTAAATAATTGACTTTTCTATTATACGTTGATACAGTTAGCAAGCCCCTAAAAATGGCTACACTTGATGCTGTTTTTGACGTCTCGCTAACCGCCAAGACTGTTATCACGTGCTCTCCTCTTCCTGCCACGCTACTGCCCCTTACCCCCGTTTCACGATCATGTGACCATTCCTGGGACCCACCAGCCATTATTATTAATCGACGTCGCGCTACACCCCGTTTCTCTGTTTCCTGTGTTTCTCGTCATTCCGAATGACGATTTTGTGATTGTGAAGACGCGGTATTAATAAATGATATCCTTCAGCAGTTACAGTCTTCCCTCTGCTATGTCCCACCCTTTGATGGGTTTTGGGGTGTCTACCGCTAAGCGGTTATTCTGAAAGTCCCATAGTGACATTTCTGGCCGCGTTCCTGGAGGTCTATGGTCTAGCCACTGCTCACAATACCCACCGTTTATGGTCAGCGTCACTTGGACTACCATTTTCTTCTTCATTTCCACTTGAATCTTTCTTAGCAGAGACTATGTCTAATAACGTTGAGACAATTATTGAGTCAGAAAGGTGGTATACACCATATTAATAATATTATTCATACACCGTGGCCTTATTGCCCAAGCCTGATGGCTATGCGGTCCTTCTGCCTTTCTAAAACATACAGAAAACTGCGCCTTACAGCCGGGTGAAAAACTGCATGCTCCTTCTTTCCTCTCGTGTTCGTCCCCCCCGTGCTGTATCGGGGGTTCGTCCCCCATCCGCTAGTAGAGAGGGAGACCTGTCGTGCCGGTCCTAGGCCTTCTCTGGCCTTCGCCCTGGGAGACATTTTGGGTTTGAAAAAGCTGGTGATGCAGGCGCGTCCTACAACGTGATTCACCACGCGCTTGTGTTCACCGCTCTCTTGTCAAATACAGTACTTTAGTGAACTACCAACAACGACCTACCGGACTACTAAATATACACGTAATATCCCAACCTAACGTGTCTCTCCAACATTGTATACCAGTTTTTCCCCGCTAACCTTTCCTTCCTTCAGCTGCTGCAGGCCATCCAAGACACCCTGCAAGCCACCCTTTCCAAGCTTAGCCGGGTGGACCTTGATCTTTCCCTCCGCAAGCAGCGGCTCAGCAACAGCCAGAAATTCCTCCGCAAAGGCCTTGTCCTCCGGTTTAGCCGGGAATGACATGGGGCCAAGCTCGAAGGCCTCGCCGATGCTCGTGTAGACAATGGTTTGGCTACTATTAACATTGGAGCGTTCAATACCTACCGAAGGCCAGGAGTTGTACTTGCCGCCCTCGGTGGAGAGAGCATTGTCGCAAAACTCCGTGCTCGAGTCATCGGAAATGCAGTCCAACACCAGCTTCAGATTGTTGTTTGTGTATTTGCGGATTTCCTTCGCAGCCTCCGGATCCTTATAATCGAACACGGCGTCTGCACCCAACCGGCGGACGAGGTCGAAGTTGTGCGGCGAGCAGGTCGTGAGCACCATATAGCCGGATAGTTTAGCAAACTGGATAGCTAGGGTACCGGTGGCAGTAGACCCAGCGTAGATAAGGATTGGCACTGCGTTCTTGATTGGGTTGTTGGGAAGATTCAGTTCTAAATTCTTATAAACCTGCCCCACGGTGTTGATGCCCGCCCCCAGGGTCGCGGCCTCTTGGAAACTCATGCTATCGGGGATCTTCATTTGCAAATCACCCTTGGCCACAATATACTCTGCGAAGGCACCGTCCTCAGGCTGCACGGCATTGCAACCGTGCACAAACCCGCACACGCGGTCTCCCTGGCTGAATTCCTTTTTCACGTCTTTACCAACAGCTTCCACGACGCCCGAATAGTCGCTCCCGACAAGTACGGCGGGCGGCGCAAGGAAGGCGATGAGCTTCCAATCGGCGGGATTGACGGCCACGCTCACAGTCTTGACGAGGATGCAATCGTCCCTCAGAGTCGGGATTGGCCTGTCGGAAACGAGGCTACCAGTATGGGGCAGGGTGATGACGACAGCCCTTTGAGTAGCCATGAGAGCGATGGATAGTGGAGATGATCAATAATACAATGACCAAGTAAGACCGCAACTAAATAATAGAAAGGTGCAGACCAGGAATAGCTTTATAGATATTTTGATTTCAAATCCAATATCTTCTTAATTTCAAATCTAATGTATTGATGCAAACCTAATAGCCTGATATCGGGTCCAAGCTCTGGATGACAAATCTAATCAAGCACCCCCCCGCCTCGGTGGTGTGCACGGCTTGCAGGTGAAATACGTTAGTTAACTAGTTATTGTGGACTAATAAGTGATTCAACGATGACAGATTATGGTAGACTAACTATAAACATACCCTCCCTTAATCTCCGGGAGATTAGGGCTCAGATATGATTTCAAACCCTCGGCGACTTGTAAGGCCGAGTATTTGAAATCATACATGAGCCCTTATCTCCCGGAGATTAGTATGACATCAATAATGATAAGATTATCTGACGTAATCTTACACTGTTGTTGAAGAATCATTTACCTATATAAGCCAATTCCACATCCGGGCTTGGTCTGTCGAGGCTTTATTAGTGCACAGTCAATCTGATCCACAGCCGGAACGAAGTCTTAAGTCTTAGGTATTATGTCGTCAAATATTCTGATTACTGGTGCGGGGGGATACGTGTGGGTTTCCGTAGGCTGTGGAAGCTTATTGTGGCCTGCTGACTATTATATAGAGGGGGGTCTCTTATTGCCCATTTCCTGGCTAATACCAACGAGCTGATTCGAGGAGGTCAAGTCATTGCCGCGGTGCGGTCTCAGGAACAAGCTGAGGCCCTATCTAAATTGGGAATATCTGTGCTTCAGCTAGATCTTTCCGACGAGGATGCGGTGGTTAAGAGCGTGTTGCAGCACGACAGTACGAGGCCTTCAGGATTCTGGATGCTGAAGTCTTCGTGTTTGCTGACTGTTTCCTAGTCAGTATAGTTATTCATACTGCCAGCGCAATGGATCCGAGCATGGCGTTGCCTCTTATCACTGCTCTGAGCAAGCAGAAGCAGGTGAATGGAAGTGAAGCAATTTTCATTCATGTGAGTTCTCTCTCAGTTTCTTCTTTTATTGGTAGTTGACGTGGAGATAGACTTCTGGTTTGGGCGCGTTTTACGACAAGACCGGGTGGCCGGCGGGGTTGTTGAGAGATACAGACGCCGTCTTTGATACGGAGAAGCGTTTGGCTGATTCTTTTCCTATACGGAAGGTCACTTTATCAATCATACCCTACCTGCTCGGGCAATTCGTAGGTTTTGCTAACAACCCGCGCAGACTGATGTCGCAGTAATCGAGCATGCCGAAAAGAGAGGGGTAACTAGTTTCATTGTAGTGCCCTCAACCGTCTGTGAGTACCATCAAGGGATGGTGACGTTTGAATTGCTGTGAAATCTGACGACTTTGGTTAGATGGCCAAGGTAGCGGCGAGTGGAACAAGCTGTCTATTATCCTGCCGCTCTATGTTCGGGCCAGCCTTTCGGCGAAAGCGGTGTACAAGTTCCCAGACTACTCGGTGAGATATACGTTAAGTGGAGAGCTATGAGTTCGTTCGTTGACTTTTTGTGCAGAAGGTCGCTGGCGTGCACATTTCCGATTTGACTGCGCTTTACGGTTTGATTGTTGAGCAGTTCCTCCGTGGAGAGTCGATACCAAGTGGCCGAGAAGGCTATTACTTCGCGTTGGCTCATGATATTTTCTTGGGTGAAGTGGGTGATCATTTGGCCAGCGAGCTTCGGGATCGTGGCGTGACCACTAATTCCGAGGCACGCACATATTCGGATGAACAAGCTGCTGCGACGTCGCTGGGGGTTCCCGTACAGTTTGTGCAGATGCTGTGGGATGCTGGGTATGTGTTACCTCTATGTTGCTCGAATCAAGATCTGATTGAAATCAGTGCCAATATTGTTGCCGAAATTCCCCGAAGCATTGGATGGAAACCGGCCTGGGATAAAGCGCGGTTCTTGCAGCATATTGGAGATGAGGTTCAGGCTGTAGTAGATCTTGGAAAGCCGAAGAGCAGTCTTGTTGACTCACTATTGGCGGCGACGAGTGGCTAACCGATGCGCGACGCGTGTCTTATTGTTGTGGTATTCTGATCTATCAAGCTTTTAGCTTTCATATTTTCATTACCCTTGTTGATGGGACTTCGTAGTTGTTGCGTCCTCCTGTTTTTATGGGTTTCTGGCGGGGTTTGCTTGAGTAACTACTGCGGAATCGCCGGGTATATGAGAAGTGGTTCGAGACAAGACTACCCGTAGCTTTCTGCCTACCCACGCCGACCTTCGGCTGCCCTGCTTTGGCTTGAGTGTCGCTTAGAACCTTAAATTAACTCTATAGGAAAATGTCAGCCGATAAATACTAAATTAGTTACACTCACTAGTTAGGGAGGCCCTTTTTTGGTGTAGTGGTTTTTCGGTCAACTGAAAACTAGCCATTGCGGGAATGACGCAGAAAACGCCCACGCTCTCACCTTCAAAGCCACTAAGGGAGTTTACGAACGGTCCAAACATTCATAATCGGCTCGTTCATCAGAATACGATGGTAGAAGATTCTGTTTTATCACAATGGTTGAGACGGGGTGTGACATCAACGGCTGCTCTATCAATCTTAAATCATTGGTAAGCCTGAACCAGAATCGCATGGAACCTTAACTTTAACCCTAAAGTTTTATCGAGGCAGGAATTCAGGTTTTGAAATTTAAGTGGCAGTCTCGCAAAAACCGTTAAGGTCCCTCTTACAAGGCAACAGGCTGGAAATAGCCTAGATCAATACATGTAGCCAATTAATTGTTCTGGAAATCTTAGCGTGAAACATTTCCTGGGTGTTCGCTGTCTATTTCACGATAGTGGTTGTCAGCGAAACGGGATATCAATACTAATTAAGAATCAGTTCTTAATGGAAAGCTAATACCAGTCGAAACTTAGTTTGCAGCTAGACTAAACTAAACCCAAGCGATGAACCTTGGTACTTCCAATTTCATATGTCAATTTGCCATCCTATGACCATCCCTACACCTCTCATGGTATCAGTCTGCTTGTAAGGTTGGTTGAGCTTTGTTACGTTCTCACTCCTAGATAATACAGTTAGATATGTGGTTGTTAAGGGAGAGGGGGCGATTAAACTTACCCAAGATTATAAATGTAACTGTTCTTTGTCATGCCTTTATATCTTATGAAATACTTAAATTTGTCGGTGACATCTGTCATACCTAGGATAACAGATTCATATTCCAAGCTGTGAATTGCTCAGATAATGCGAACCCCCTGCACACCGGTAGCCTGCTCCCCCCTTGATCCATCGAAACCCGGCTGGACAAATTCCCATATCTCTAATCTTCTTTTGAACCGCCAATTCCTGCTGTCTCCTCTTCTCTGCCTCTTCTTGTGCCTTTCTCAATTTCTCTTCAGCCTCTCTCTTCGCTTTCAAAGCAGCCTCCATGCATCTTTTTTCCTGTCTGAGCTGCTCTTCAATAACTTTGCGGCGACTTTCATCCGCTAATCGTTTTTCCTCTTCTAACCGTTGGATTTCTTTTAGCCTGACCGTCTCGGACTCTTTATGCGCCTCGTAATCGCGCTGTTGGGCCGAGATGAACATGTCTTCGACTTGTTTCAGGGCCTTTTCCTCTGCGATGTTTCGCTGCAGTTGTTGCCACACCTCATCAGATACTCCCGGATCACGTTGAGTAGAGTCTGCAATGTCTTCGGAAGTATCCTTTTCATATACTTCTTTCTCATTTGTTGGAACTGGCTCGGCCGTTTCGGTCTTCGATGTGATAGACGACGCAGTTATTGGTGCCTTTGGTAAATCTTGCATCGGAGGAAGCAAGCTAGAAGAGAAGCCATGATTGGTTGGGTGAGTAAAGTCCTCTCTGCTTTCATTTCGGGCCATTTGAGATTTGAGCATCTTGTTTAGGTGTCTTAGAATGTCAGCGAATGTCACTCTCAGTTCCTTGGACATATTGCCAGCAAATGCATCCGAGCAGATATCCTTCGCGATATTTTTAACATCCCGGCCGTTTCCCCATGACCGAAGCCTGGAAAGCTTTGCAAAGATATCAATCATTTGCTGTCGTTCTACAAGCAACAACTCATTATTCAACGGCGGTGTAACTTCAATATCGTTTTTCTTCAATTCGATATCCAAAAGTTCAACACATATCTCTGGATCCATATTTTCAAAGACGACTTCTTCCGGAAACCGACTGGAAAGGCCAGGATTGATCTGTAAGAGTTCGTCGATCTGATGGGTATAACCGGCGAGGATCACGACAATCTTTCCCATATACTTTTGTTTTGTCAGGCAGTCGACGAGCTCGTTGACAGCTTCTTTTCCAAAATGGCCATCACAAAACCTGTATGCTTCGTCCACGAACAGAACCCGCCCCAGAGCCTCGGTCAGTTTTCCCTGCGTCTTTGGGCCCGTTTGTCCAACATATTGACCTATAAGATCGGACGCGGAGCATTCAACGTACTCGCTCGATCCCAGGATCCCCATTTCGTAGTAGAGTTGGCCCATTTTACGTGCTACTGTCGTTTTTCCCGTTCCTAACAGGATCATCGGTCAGCAGATGGCTTCGAATTTGAAGTATAGGGTTATTCTATTCTTACCTGGGGGGCCTTTGAAAAGGAAATTGAAAGGAACTAGAGTCCGAGGGTCTTTCCCCGTGGTCTTCATATTTTGGGCGATTTGCTGATACCTTTCAAGCTTTTTAATGAGTTTCTCACACCCTACAATATCGGCGAACAAGTCTCGACAGCTGAGTCCAGCCGCACTCGCTCTATCATAGTCCTCATCAAAGTCTTGAGGGAGGAAGAACACGTCTGGATTAATGCCATCTGTCTCGACTGCAGAAGTTCGCTTCTGTTCCAATTCCTTGGCGCGTGAGATGATGTTTTCGACAGCACCTGCATTGCCAAAATTAGGACGATCTCGTTCGCGTGCTAGAACTTCAATAGCAGTCCTCTTAGCATCTGCCGTTGCCTTTAATCCTTGCTCCTTCAGTTTGAAATCTAGAACATGCATCAAGTCCGCATCGCTAAAGTCCTCGAAATAGAATGCGTCCGAGAGACGAAATCGCCTCGCAAGGCCCGGATTCGAGCGATTCATCATTTCCTCCATTTGTTCTTGGTACCCCAGCAGGAGGACACACAAGTCTTCTCCTGGAGTATTCTGCACCTGGGCTACGATGGTGTCAATAACGGCAGTCTTAAAAGGGTCTTTGTGACCACTGCCCACGCCTCCACCGGCATCAAGACCATACGCTTCATCGATCACCAATACCTTTCCCGCAGCAGCTTTGAGGATTTTTTTAGTATTCTCCTCCGACTGGCCCAGCGCTGATCCTACAAAATCCGAGGGGTTTTTGACGACCACTACAACGACAGTCAGAATCAGGATTAGAATCTAAATCAAAGAAGCGGCTGCACATCTACTTACCCTCTCGCTTCGATAGCAAGCCCATATCTGCCAATATCGCGCCATACAACTTGGCAACGGTTGTTTTCCCTGTGCCGGGAGAACCAAGAAATACGCGATGAAGCGTAAACTCAAGGGGATCTAGATCTTTCAACTCCCTGTGATAGTTGCGTTGCATAGCATCGACAAGCGCCTTCACCGACTTCTTGACCTTTTCTAGTCCTACCAAAGACTGAAGCTTCTTCCATGCAGCGCTGTCTTTTATCACTCCGCTTGGCTCGTGCCCAATGATATCCTCTTTTGTGAAAATCAGGTCATCCGGTAAACCTCCTGCAATCCGTTCCTTTTTCAGCCGGGAAGCCTGGCGCTCGGTGACCTGTGCCCAAACATTCTCCAGATCACGTGCATTTCCATATCCTTCTGTCCCTCGTCTCCTTCCGAGACGTTTGGTAAGAATCCTGGCGTATAGGTCGGAGCCGTCATCCTCGAGTGTAGCCCGACCATTATACTTTTTCTCTACCAGCGCTTTCAACATGGTCAATAGGACATCGTCCGAATAATCAGCGAATTTTAGCCTGTGAGGCATCCGACTGTCGAATCCAGGATTGTGCTCGAAGAACTTCTCCATCTCCTTGTCATATCCAGCGAGAATGAAAGCGATGGTGCCTCTTCGTTCTTCGATTTCAGCCAAGATGAAATCGAGTACATTCTTCCCACCAAAGTTGTTCCCAGACGCGAGCTGATAGGCTTCATCAATGAAGAAGACTCCACCGCCAGCTTTGATAAGGCCCTCGATAATCTTCTTCGCACCAGCGACACCATCGTTTGCTAGTCCAGAGCCCGTGATCTCAGTAAACTCCTTTCCAGGTAATGCCCCTACAGAAGCGAGGAATCGCGCATATATACGCGCCACTGTTGTTTTTCCTGCTATTCATTAGCGAAAGAAAAGTGCTGTCTCGCTCAGATTTATTGTCATCATACCTGTACCTGGATTGCCCAACATCACCATTCCCATTCTCTCCTTCTTCACATCAATACCTTGTCTTGCAGCGGTTTCGATCTTGGTCTTAATGTCGAGGAATTTCTCTTTGACTTCCTCCAACCCAGAAAGCGCCATCAGATCATCAAGGGCAGCATTATGCTCTCCCTCGACTCTCTTCTGCCGCTCCCACTCTACTGCGGAGGCGCTTTCGTTGCGAGCAGATGGTGTTGAGACAGCCGATGCTTTCCGGTTATTAGTCTCTGACTGTTGAGGGGCTAAATATTTTTTGTCATTGGCTGCTGTGTTTGTGGTTGGAGGAGGTTGCGTTGCATTATGTTGAGCCGCCTCTAAGTCGCGTTTTTTCTGCTCCAATGCCTGTGCTCTTTCCTGCGCTGTCTTTTTGTCCTCGGCTTCCTCCCTAATCTTTCGTATTTGCATGTCGAGCTCTGCAAGACTCATCTCGTATTTTACCTGCTCTTGCAACCGCTTGTCCTGCAATGCCATGTCCCGTTCCAAGGTCTTCTGGTCCCGTTGAGTCTCGATCTCGCACTTTCTGCATTTTAGCGGCGAGATTTCAGAACATTTTCGAGTTTGCACATGTCCCTTCGCACACTTAGTTTCCACAATCTTATCACACTTCATTTGGGAGTGATCAGAGCGATAGTGACAATTTCTTGGACACTTGTGTACACCACACTTTAACAACGCGCCACTATATTGGTTTAGTTAGCGAGAAAAAAAAAAGTCCAGGTCATGCCAAAAAATTGCAAAGTCTTACCAGGGCTCCTTGCACCCACCATCGGGGCATTCGTTTTCGAAATCTTCAGGAGAGCGCAGAACAGCATGCCTTGCCGGATGTTGTTCACATTTCACCGGAAGCCCGTGATAGATATGATTCTTAGCCTTGAGCATATCAATGAATCGTTTCCATAATTTCCCTCCCTTTTTAGAGCTCATAAATGTTTCTGCATTCCCAATGATGATTAGACCATTTCTAGCCCGCGAAAGAAGTACGTTTAGACGCTCTGGAGAAGACATGAAGCCTATGTCGCCATTGTCGTTGCTTCGCGTCAGTGTCACAATCACGATCTCGCTCTCGTCGCCCTGGAAGTTATCTGTATTTATCAGTCTTCTATTTGAAGATTATCGTCCAGTCCATAAACTGACCTATCGTAGATATCTTAATCTTCGGTTTGTTGACCTGCGCGGTGGCAGGAGGCATCAAGCCGGCGCGGGCCAAGTCATGCGAGTCAAGGTCGTTCAAAACCGGGTCATTATTAGCCTTGCTGAGTTCTTCTCTGAGAAGATGGAGTTGGCCGAGATAAGGCGTCAAGATGACAATTTTGTCCGTTGGCGTGTTGATATCTTGCTGACCGAGGTAACGCAGGCATTTGATTGCCATATGCGTCTCATACAGGTTCCTCTTCGTGGCCGGTGATGTACCATCTTTCCAGTCGCGTACGTGTTTCATCTGCTCTTCGCTGTGCGAATGGTTGAGGAAGATTATATTGTCCTGCAATCCCTTGATTTTTGGTCGGTTCTTGGTACTGCTGGCATCCACTAGGTCTGGATATGTCAATTCCCTTACAAAGCCAGCCAATTCGGGCCGCATACGATGCTGCTGGAGCAAGGTGGTATAAGGATATCCTTGTTGTACCACGAGCCTTTCAAAGAGAGATTGATTGAGCTCGTAACCATCCCCCTTCTCGACACTGAGCGCGAAGTTGACTTTTGGTCGCAGTTGCTTATGATCTCCGATCAGAATCAGCTGCTTCGTATCCGGGCCCAAAGCAGTCAAAACGTGGCTCTCAAGTATTTCGCCTGCCTCTTCTACCAACACAACTCCAGGACGAGCTGAGTTCAGCATCTGCACATATTTCGCTGCCGCTGTAGTTGTGCAGGCAATGACGCGCTTGGAGCGAAGCACTGTGAGTTCTCTCTCCAAATATATCGATGCGACCTGCTCTAGTTCCTTGTTATAGTTATGTCCTGCTGAGTGAACGGCATCAAACCTCTCTTTGAGTATATCGGCTTCCCATTGCCGCAGCAAACTATGTCGGGCGGATGCTTTGATGTTCCATACCTCGGGGTACTGTTGGGCCATCTTCTTGAAGGGCGTAGCATCTTTTCCTCGGCGCCACCGATCCAGCAGGTAGGATGCATTGAATTTCATTTTTCCATTCTTGCCTACATGGACGATACCATCATTGCGCTGCGGGACTTGGAAGGCTGCAAAGAAAGGCGGGCCTTCGGTGAGAAATTCAAGGTGTTCGAGAATGTCGTCTTTCGAAGGGGCTTGCTGCTCTAGACCTGTAAATGCTTGCTGCAAGGTATCTCCTTCATCTCGCACTTTTGCCTTGACCCAATCGAGCATCTGACATTGCTCTCGCGTAAGCCTTACCAGCGATGCGGCGTCCTTTATTGAAAGGTCGCGGACGGATGCAGCAGCCTTTTTAGCAGAGCCTAGACGCACTATTTCGGTCTTCGAAATGCCCAGGTCAATCAAATCGATGAGGAACTGATCCAGAGCGTGGTGCTTATAGGTTAAGACGAGAATTGTTTCGTCAGAGTAGAGGAAAATGGCTTTTGCGATCAGTGCGCCAATGAACGATTTTCCTGTCCCTGCTTCACCATCAGATCAAGTCTCTGTCCATCGAGTGTTTACTGTTTAGCACGTGAGTGACTACTTACCAGGAGGGCCTTGAATAGTACTTAATCTAGTGGTCATCCCTGTAATGAAACACTCGGCCTGTGACTTGTCCAATTTCGTGGGACGAGGAAGTCCAAGAGCACCCTGAAGATCTCGAGAAGGGTTACGACGCAAGTCTTCCACTAGAGCTGTGATAATGGGGGAGAGCAGGTAGGCAGGAGGTTTGGGACTATAATTTTCTTCCCATCGAAGTATTTCATCCTCAAAGGGCAACTCCTTCATTTCTTTCAGCCGTTCCAGAATAGGGGCATATGAGAAAAATGTCGTGTTCAACTGCACCAATTTGACAACTTTCGCTGCTTTGATATAGCGCAACGCTGTTTCTTCGTTGGGCCCCGGGATTTGTAAACAAAGAACAGGTGGATTCGCAGCGAGAAGGTCTTCTTCACGGACCAGTGTGCCCAGTGTGACAACCTCATCATCTGCAATAACACAGGCCAAGGACTCATGTTTCAGGTATTTTGGATTGTCTTTGAGGAACTGCCGTCGAATTGCCTCGCTCTTCTTCGGCATTTGGGGTAGATCATTCATGCACTGTAATAGCAGAGACCACGGATTTCGCCCATCGCAGTTCACTCCCACCATTGACAGATGCTCGACTGAAAACGCTTTTTGTGCGCGGCCGCCGCTGCCTTCTTTCTGCATGTTCAGTGCCACGTGTATTTCCTCTCTCAGATCACGCAGCATATCTTCGCGGAGTAGGCGAAACTGGCCGTCCAGATAAAATGCCAGTCCATCTGGTCGCTTCGCCAGTGTTTTCGTCTCGTGGGCATGTGGGAGGTAAGGATCTTTCGCTGCGAGTTCGTCAGTAGTTGGGAGGATGGCAATTTTATTGATTTCAGCGAAGTCATTGTTGTGTCTTCCGCCAGGGCCACTGCTGCTGGATTGTTCATTCGAATGATAATTATCATGCCCTGCGATCAAATTTTCAACGATATGTGTAATTCTGTGTGCCCGTAGACGCACTCCCTGTTTGTGTGACTCGAGCAGTGCTCCCTTGATGCTACTGTCTTGTGCAAGGTGTACAAATGTGTAGGCTTTCTCCTTTGGTAAAGAAAGAAGTTCCAGCAAGAGCCAGGAAAATGCTTCTTCGCCATTGCACTCGCCGTCTCCGGCCAGCTGGCCAGCTTTGAAAGCAGTGATATATGCGACCCAGACAAGCTCAGCCTCGATAAAGCTTGTTATCAGCTGCTGCAAAACTACTCCACCACACAGCGTCTTGAGTTCTGGTGCAGCGAGGTAACGAAGAATCGGCGTGACGGATTCGTGGAGGAAGCAAAGCTCGGTGCTGGAGCTGAGAGCGGCTTGAAACGCAGCACGTCCGTGGTCGCTGGCTTGAATTTTCTGGACACACAGAGCCTTGTTGCTATCTTGGTCACGGATTGCCTCGAGGAACAACTTGGCGTTTTTGTTGTCGATGGTTTTTGTGCCCTTTAGCACGTCTGTGAAGAGCGCTCGTAGTCTGATGCTACGAGGAGAGGACTTTTGATTTACCATATTGTTGGGCTGGTTTACCTAAGTATCAATAATTCAGAAAGAGAGATGACGTTGCCTGGATAAGGCGAAAAGGTAATGAGAGTGTTTTTAAGACAGAAATACCTAGATACACATGCAATCATACGCATAGCAATCTAGCATATAAATTGATGGTTACCCCGCAACACTGCACTGACTGCTGAGAAAATGGGGGGGATACTGGTACTATGCATATTCCCTTGTAGGCACGCGCTGGCAGCATACAAGCAGGCTCTGTAGTCATACAGCCCAACGCACAGACCTCTTTACATGCATTAGAACCAGTCAGCTAGACTACACTGCTGGCTGTCGTTAGAAGTACATTTTACTATGCTGAAATACGGCAAGCAAGGGAGCGAGCTCGGAGACTGTTTCCACCCCTAAGCTAGTCATCCTGAACCAAAGCAAAGAAGGTGCAATGTACAAAGGACTTGACACAGTATATGAGTGATAGAAAGTCTACAGCTTTTATCTCTGCAAGTGCTTAAGTATCCTCGTTGACTACGCCAGGCTGCATTTAACAAACTTCATTTTAAGTACGCCAAGTCACGCATAGCACTCCCAGGATAGCATTAAAAATGAAAATATCCACTCAAACACATCGTGTCCCATATTCCAGTCTGCCGTTGGGATGAGCGAAATCACGTACTGCAAATGGTGAAAAAAGGAAAAGAAAAACCAAGGAAATAATAACCTAAACACGTCTCGCTGGGTATGGACGTGCATAAGACAATCTGTTAAACCTAACCCTCATACATAAAACATCGCATTCCTAACATTAGAATGTATCGTCACCAAACTAGCATCTGGAACAGCCGGACCTGTTGCTGCAGCAGTCCCCACCGAACTCGTATCCGGACTCGACGATGACGAGGGATCAAAAAGTCCACTCAAATAACACCTCGCCCTCGTACAGACCAGATCCGCATAATAAGCCGGTGGGCAGATACTCACAGCCTTTGTCGCCCGTCCAAAGAGATAACACAAGTTATGCGTCAAATCCTCGAGCGCGTCGGCAGCAGTCGCGAATTGCGTTGACTTCAAATCACGGAATATTTGGTCATAGACAACATAGTAATGCGCTGGCCTGGCGGTTCCCTGAATTGCGGTATGCGCCTGAAGGAAGAAATCCCAGTTCCTGGCCTCTGTCACGCCGCGGTCGACTACTGTGCCGTTCATGGGGTTTCCGCCACGGTCAGCATCTTCCTTTTTCGTGGGATAGAAGCGCGTATTGTGGCGTTTTCCGACGATGATAATAGTGATATGAGGTTTGTCGGATTTAGTGGCGGATACTGGATAGAGAGTCTTACAGGCGGCGCGTAGAGCTGGGAGTTCTTCGTTAATAACGATGTCGTATTGGCCTTCGGAGACGCCGTCTCTATACACGAGAATGTTGTCGGGTAGGGTCTTATTTCGTTCCCTCCAGAGTAGCAGACGCGATTTAAACATCGTTTCTAGATCGGCGACCATTTCCTGTCTGGCAGGCTGTACGCGGATGTCAGCTGGCCATTGGGACAGCCATTCGTCGACAGATGCGACGATTGCAGCCACGCTGGGGGCTTTGGTTGAGGAGCCAGGCGACGGGTGAGTACCATCAATTCCAACAACCATGGTTCTTTTTTGCCCTATAAAGCCTAGTTTTGGCGGATCGAGTGCCTGGTTTCGACCGCCTAGTTTCAGGTTGAATTTCAAACCCACGTTGGCTAAGTATTGGGGATTTGCCCTAGAGAATTTAGAATCGACGACACAGACATTCAAGATTCCTTCCTTCACGTCGCACATGTATTTGATGCGATTGTACACAACAGTCATGGCGGCGTCTGGGATGATCACTAGTATCAGTTTGGGGCGTCTGGGACTGACAGCAAATCTGTGTATCCATTGGTCGATCCCATTTTCCACCTGTTGCCCACTTGCATTTAAATGCCCTCCCGCCAAGTAATTGTTGACAGAAATGCCGAGTTCTCTGAGTTTGGCTTGAAGCTCATCCATTTTTGCAATGAAATCTGCCTCGGATGGCCAGGCGCTACGTCCACCCTGCAAAGAAATACGCAAGTATGTCCACGAGGGCAGGTCTGCTTTTGTTGCAAACTTTACGGACCGCATGTCCCAGCCTCCGAACCGCGGCATGACCACGCCAGGGGTTGAGTATTTGACTGCCGGTGCATTTAATACTCTGCCTGGGACAGTGATCAGTTTCGGCGGTACGGTGATGTTGAATGCATCCTGTGAAGTTGAGTTGTCAGCCTTTTTTCCTTTTCTCTGCGGACAAGATAGACTTTTTTTTACCAGTGTTGCATTCGTCGGCTCAAATCCCAGCAACTTCCCACCAGAGGTGACAATTGACTTGGCGTTATGCACAGGCCGTCGCACAGCGAAGCGAATCATTTGCTGCGTCTGTGCACTGCTGAGCTTTGCGCGTGCAGGCTGGCCTGGTGGGACTTCACAGACTTCGGCTGGCAAATACGAAGGGTTATCTTTTCCGTTGACGTTGATGACGGGGAGGGATGGATCCTTGATTGTAGTATTGTATTCTAAGATTCCAGTCAGTCAGTATGAGTCACAATATCGCAGGCAGACAATATCGAAAGCAAGCTTACTCTCTTTGAAGAAATCAAAGACGCTGATATATCTGCCCCTAGGTGGCGGATCAGGACCGGCTTTCTTCACGCCCTTCTTGCCCTTCTTTCCACCTCCACCAGCTGCAGGTCCGGGTTTGCTCGAAGAATCAACAGGAGAATCCTCCAAGTAAAACTGCACCTCCTTCGCGCCAGCGCCAAACTGCGGCACAATAGGCGGGTGTGCAAGTCTGCGGCCATCATCCTTGGTTGCGAAGCCCTCGACTTTCTTAAGCTTTGGAATTCGCTTACCTGTAGAATTCTTGTTCACGAGATGTGTTCTATCAATAGTCAGCCCCTTTACAAATTTGAGTAAGTCGACCTTATTCGCCCCCCGGTTGCCGGCCATAAAGGCCCCCATGAGCCTGTCAAGGGGTCCGTTTTCATAGAAAGCCATGTTCTTGACTTGCACATTGACGAGCACGCGCGCCGTTGCCGTTCGAACACTCATGAAAAAGCCTCGGATTACTTGTAAGCCGGCACCTAGGCTCATTCGATCTGTAGCTTTTGTGTCGAAATGTCGATTTGACGCTACCGTTATTGTAGAATCGTCTGCCTTTGGATAATAACCCAGGACGATGTTTAACGCCTGAATTATTTCCTCTTTCGAGCCAAACATCAATCCAGCCTGTGTCGAGGTCAGGTAATTGACGAGCTCAGACAGCGTCAGCGATCCTGTGAATTGGATGCGACAGCGATATTGGATCGCGTTCTGGGCGGGTACATCTTCCTCTTCGGATCGGTAGGTGACAACAAACTCATTGTTGCCTTGGCCTTCGTCTTCTTCGTCCAGGTCAAGCTCAACCCGACAGATCAGATTCGACTTAAAGTCGGTAGCGATATTGCTTCCGTAGGACCCAAAAAGATGGTCTTCCAGGAGAAGCTGGATAATCCTCTTCACTTTCTTGCCTACTGGCACTCTCCCTCTACTATCCGCAGCAATCGTAACGCTGTAGCGGTAAAATTCTACATCTTTCTTAGAGTGGAGATTGAAATAATTCGCCCAGAGTACGACTTTTTTTCCCGCAACGCCATACCCTGGTCTCTGGGGATTTGTTTCGCTACGTTTTTTTGTTTTCGCTTCAACTGCGGATTTGTTTTCGATTCGCTCAACTTCTGGGTTGGGATTTGGATAGTCCTTGTTGTCTTGTCTAAGCTTCATTATTAGTTGTATGACGTTTTATGTTGTTAAAAGCATGGACGTGCTTGAAGATCTCGACTTCAGTTGGGCCACTGCCACCACCACGACCTCTTCCTCCTCCTCCTCCTCCTCCTCCTCCTCCTCTCGCTGCGTAACCACCGCCTCGTCCGCGTCCTCCATCTCCTTGACCTCCACGAGAACTTACTCCCCCGCCTCGAGGGTGGAAGGGCATGGACTGCTCGCCACGACCTCTGCCTCTTCCTCGTCCACGGTCGTGCTGATTGCTAGACATTTTGCGACGTACTACACAGGTAATAGAGGCTCAGAAAATCGGGGGGAGTAATCCAAACAAATCTGAAGGGCTCATTCTATAGCGTGATTTACACGGCTGCTAATGAGGATCCTCCTCAGTCCTCCATAACACAGACTGTATGAGTTGACGATTCTGACCCTCGAATGGGAGTCACCGTCTCCCCACAGAATTGAATCAAAAGATCAGCTGATCATAACTTAAATTCATCGCCCAATATGAGTTCAGTATGCTGTTTTTGGAGGGTAACACAACATTTTTCAAATACCCAATGAGGAATGAGAGCTAGGGCTCAAAAATGCAGTTACCCCTCACTTGATAAAAGGAGGAGATAGGTGGAAAGTTGGGCAGCAATCTACAAACTCCTCCCAAGTTATTCACCATCCTTGAACTCAGATCCGCTTGCTCTTCTCATATCTGCTCAGTCAAGCCTCCCGGTATCAGTCAACACTATTTGGAACCTATTTGACAGTCACTCTCACCACCAGAATGCCTGATAGTTACACTTACAAGAGTTCCGGTACCAACAGCCAGGTGATTGACGACTGCATCTCACACATATATACGGCCTAACTCATCTATATTTAACAGGGTAACCATTATTGCGCCCGTGACTACGGCAGCGGAACCAGCAACTCCAACTCATTCCACTACTCTAATAAGTTCGTTCCCTCTGTTGGTAAGGGAGAGCAATTTGCTGATATTAGACCTGATACAGTGACGGCTCCTACTATTATAGTAATCCCAACGGCAGCACTTACTATAATGATGGCAAGGGCTCGTCAACCTACAATCCTCCGGGCGGTAGTAGCAGAAAAAGTTGAATGGCGATCGTGCGCGTAGTGTTTACAAATACAGTTTTCGCCTGGTGACATTGGAATTGCTTTACAGTATCCGAAATTACGACTAGCAGGAGGGATCCATTGTCTCTGCCAGAGCAGACGTCTATCTGTATACAGTTGGAAGCTTTTCAAGAAAGTGATATCTAGTTAATTGACTCATGAAATGGTGTGTTAAAATAGTGCATATCTACTCAGTGTCTCTGTAATAGAAGAGTGTATATATCTAGTGTCTTATTATTGTAGGTTTTATTGAAAGGTGACGGTCTTCTATTTAGAGGAAATAGATAACTGGTTTTTGCCTTTGACTATGATAATAGAAGTTATTGTCTGGTAGGGGGCCCCATTATCTGTGTCCTTTAATGGAATGAAATGATTGGAGTAGGGGACTTAGTAGAAGATATATATTTTGGTAAAAGCAAGCTTTTCTTAATATTATAAAATACAGTCATTGTATAAATTGTATGGATTTGTCACTCTAATTCTGTTTTCAACTTATAGTTGTTTTTGAGCATGATCATGGTGGCAATCAGCTAAATTTGGTGTTTGTTTTGTATCTTCCGTTTGGGCGAAGGATTGTAGTGCTACAGTACGCTCAGTGCAGACATACTCTTCTGGTGTAGATGAATTACAGAAGCAATGTGTCGTTTACTGAGGACTGTTCAATAAATCTCTAAGCTAAATGTTTGGCCTAACCCAAATTCATCCCTTTAACTATATGAAAACTAAAAGAAAATTCACAACTTGGTATGAGACATTAAAATGACGTCATATGTGATCCACCTGTTAACTATTTTTAGTCCATTTAGCCTAAGGATGCGTCTTTATTCAAAAGAAAAGGCTAAATTAAGGAAGATGTTTATCCAGTTTTGCCTAAAAAGGAAATGAAAGTGGATTGCCTTTTTCCAATTATTAGCAATTATCTTGGTGCATAGATCTTATTAATAAATTATAATATATTTAGGTAATTAAATTTTTTACTAAGCTTAATTTGTTATTAAATAATCTAAGATATATAAAGTTTAACAGAGCATGGCATTCCGGTTTCCACCAATAATTACATACGATATGGGCTAACGTTTACTTGTGGGACCCAAGCGAAGGAATAAAAGACGTCCAGGGCGTCTCCAAATACACCGTGTCCGGCATGCGACGAAGACTAGACAGAGATATCGCCAGCAATGAAAGCCGGGCGAGGCAATACAGCAATCCTGTCGTATAGAAGATAAAGACATTCAGGGTTCTAGGAAGCATGTTTTTCTGCGGAAAGACATTGGTTTTGGCGCTGTCGTTGAGCTTCTTAGACTTCCTCTCGTCGATCAAGTTAAGCAGGGCCTTGAACTGGTCTAAAAAATCTACTGGTAGATCAAGGCGGTTGGTGGGACCTTGCATAAAACTGACAAGTTGTCGGCCGAGCGGGTTTGGGGTATCTCCAGCAAATATTACCTTGTACCACTGGCGGGCCTGCTTGCTGTCTGGGTCTCGTAGTGCATATATGTTCTCCAGGTCGCCGTGTGCTTGGTCAACCGGGACCTTGTCAGCGACGTGCCAAGAATATTCCCTCAGTAGCCGAAGGCAGTTGCGCATAAACGCCTGAGGATCCCCCGCCGATACGGTCAGTTGTGCAAGAGGAATGGCGATGAGCCCAACTACGGGACTAACGGCGGCCATCACTGTAGCTGTCCGCCAGATAATCTGCTCGACGTGTGTGGGAAACTCAAAATTCCAGGCAATGGCGTGCATGGCCCCGAACAAGCCTGACGCGAACGCCAGGACGAAGATACCAGAGTGTGCGACCTGGTTATTGGACATGGGGATATTGTCATTTGGCACTCTGTCAACATACCTTTTGTCCAGAGACTCTTGTTTATCGTCTCGTCGTCTCTCTTCGTTCAGTAAAATACCCCAGAAGCTGTCGAAAGTCTTCTCGTACCTGAGTATTCGGCCACTGCCACCAATCCGGCTGTCGCCTGGAGCCAAGAAGATAGGCGTCTGGACATTCTGTGGTTTAGGCAGGTAAAGAATGTAGGTGACAACGCCGCAAACGGCAAATCCAAGTGTGACTGTCTCCAGCTGAGAGAAATCGAGGCTCCTATCGGCCCGGACGATCAGTGACAACGCCAGTTGCAAAAATTGCAGAACAGCAACAATCTTGGCAAACCAGTCTTGCTTGCTCCTATCATCAATCTCGTCCCCGCTTATGCATTGATTGCGGAACCCATCCATTTCGCGTGCTAGTTGCAGTGCTGTAAGCGGAAATCCGGATTCCGCGTCCCTATAATACACGCCACCCATATTTGCGAAGAGGCAATGCGTGAGTGTCCATCTGTTGTCTTCTTCTTTTTCTTCTTCCTCTCCTCCCCCTCGTCTTCCTTCCTCTTCTCCGTCTTGTAGGTCTTCTGGTCCATTAGTTTGAGCAGCTTTCTTTCTTTGAAAGATGTGCTTCAACAAAACAGCCAGACTCCGAACGGACAGAGAAGGAGATAACAACCAAGTAAACCACCACGGATATCTAACCAATTTGTTACTCTTATCCATCTCCCTTAAAGCCTCAAATCCCATTACGAGTTCAAATACCGCATGCAGAACGATGAACTCTGGGAAGAGAACAGTAATCAGCATCCATTTGACACTTCTCCACCAGCGCGTCCACTTGGAGTCCTTGGAGCTGGGAATGTTGAGATGTTGGATGCTCCACGTGCACGCGAATATAGTTGCTAGACAGTCGCTTATGATGCTCCAGGTACCTCGTCGGTCGCCTCCATCCTGCCAGCCCAAAGATTGATTGCCTGTATCGGTGGCAGTTTGATTTGTTGTGGCTGCTGCAACGGATAAAGATAGGGAGATTAAGAAAATAGTCACTGATACCAGCCATAGTTTTGCCATGACAGTCGGTGTGTTAGAAACCTGGGACAAAAGGTTGAAGCTCCCCAGCTATGCCAGCCAGGCCACTGCACGCTCGAGATTGTGAGAACTTCCGTGGAGCTGGGCATTAAATCAATTATTATTATGTTGCAGCTGAACTTTGATATTATAGAGCGGGTGGCTTCTGGTTGGTCAGGGTGTGGTCCTTCAGGCAGCCACACAATATCGCGGGTCGGCCAGTTGAGTTCACACCCAACGACAAGCAAAGATTCACAGAATCAGGTAATTTGTTTTATCCGATTCCCTTCCTGTCATACTCCCTGGTAAAATCACCAAGACATGTCGGGTAATAAGTTCCATTTTAGATTAAGATCAAAGCAAAGTCGTCACGATGGAAAGAGTGCGATTCATTGGGCCGCTATCCTTGAGGACACTGCCCAACTGGCTAGTCTCACCTCGTCTCCTACAAAAAGGAATCCCAATGTGCAAGACAAGTATGGGCGCACGGTTCTTCACTGGGCAGCCGTCACAAGAGGTGTCGACTCTGTAAAACATCTACTAAATGTCCGCGAGATAGACCCAAATCTACAGGATGGAGACGGAAGAACGCCGTTACATGAAGCCACAATCAGGGGATTTGAGGACGTGGTAGAAGCATTGCTCACGCATCGCACAATTGACTCCGATATCCAAGACTTGCACGGCCGGACAGCGCTTCACTGGGCTTGTGAGTACGGCCACTCGTCCATCGTTCAACTGCTCCTCGATCACGGGGCCGCTCCTTCGGCCGCGGACAAGGCCGACAGGAATACGGCCCTGCACCGCGCCGCCTATCGGGACAACACACACGCCGTGTCATACCTTCTCAAACATGACAGGGCGCTCGCTCGTGACCAAAACAACGAGGGCAATACGCCGCTTCACCTAGCATTGTGTACCAACAAGTCAATCGACACCGAGAGGTTCTCCGTGACGTGCGAGAGACTCATTGAAGCGCTGGATTCCAGTTTTATCAATACTGCAAATTCACGAGGGGAAACTGTGCTGCATTACGAGGCACGTGGGCGAGGTCGGTTTGTGCAAGACCTCCTCGACAAGGGGGCCGATATCGACTCAAAAGACAGGGACGGACGCACGGCTGTGGTGGTAGCCCTCGAAGCTGGAAACAGGAGTGCATTGCAGGTGTTTCTCGGGACTTTCATTAAGCCAGACCTACGGGTTTGGGGAGACTACAATCCGCCCCAACGTACCGTAGAGGAGTTAGCGCTGTTGTGGGCGGCGGCCATGGGGCATCTCGGCACGGTGGAGAGCCTCCTTGACCTAGGCAAAGCCGATCCGACCCTGACGAGTACAAGGGACGGCCGAACGGCGATGTGGCTCGCGGCTGCTGAAGGACATGTGCAGATTGTCCAGCTTCTACTCGATAGTAAAACGGACCCGACACAGCCAGACAGCTATGGTGTAACGCCGTTGGTAATGGCGCTCGAGAGATCTCACCGTGCCGTGTTAGACCTGCTTCTAGACAATCCGGAGGTCCAGAGCAGTTTAGACGACCATAACGGGACAGACGCACTTTGCATCGCAGCCAAATCTGGAGACGCCTGTGTCGTCCGTCAACTGTTGGCCCACGGCGCCGTGCCGCACCCCGAAGAGGAAGCAGCCAAGATGACACCACTACTGGAGGCTGTCCAAGGCATGCATACGTCGGTAGTCGATGCTCTGCTAGAACGACTCTCACCAGAAGAGATCAGCTTTGCGGCGTGTGACAGCAGCGGCAAGACAGCGCTCTGGCTCGCCACAAACACGGCGAGAGCCGACATTGCTGAAAAGCTTCTGTCCCATGGTGCTGAGGGTGATGCCAAAGCTCTACACTTGGCCGCAGAGCGCGGCGACGTCGACGTGCTCAAAGTCATGATCAAAAGCGGCAAGTTCAATCTGGACAGCCGTGAGAGATATTCTGGGCGAACACCGCTGTTTCGAGCCGTTGAGGTTGGCCAACGCCAAGTTGTGAGGATGTTGCTCGAGACCGGCCAAGTTAATATATTGGCTCCGGACTGCGATGAGGAGACTCCACTTAGACATGCACTCGACCGCGGCGACGTGAATACCCTGAAGATCATGGTCGAAGTCGGAAACGTCAATATCCACCAGGAGATTGGGTTTGGGCAAACAGTACTCCATAGGGCAATCCAAGCTGGACATCTAGACAGCTTCAAAATGCTGCTCGCCAATACCAATCAAGAGGAGTCAATTGAAGGACGAGAGGTTCTCAGCGCAGCTATCAGCCTCGGGAGGGAGGAGATGCTGAAAATACTCCTCGATACGGCCAACATCGACCCATTCATAGGCGGCCCTCCAGGAGAAGGATACATTGATAATCAGAAGTTGCTCAGAACGGTGCAACTGTTCTATGACAGGGGCGGACGATGGCCCCAGGACGACGGCACCATCTCCATTGAGGACTGGCTCGCATCTCACCGCTAAATAACCGCTGTGTCGTGAGGCGAGTCGGAAGGCCTTGGATAGATTTGGAACTCACTATATCGAGCCTTGAATCACAGATAGGCTATTGGTCGCATCTCAAGAGTTTGACCTTATACGGTGTGATTACGAACCCTAAAAGAATGCCTGGCAATCGCAAAACCAAATATATTAGCCCACCTCAGCCACGGTTACTTGGTGCCCAAACCCGCCCCCGGCAACATCATTAGAGTACGCTCTATTCTTGGTTCCACAAGACACTCTCATTTTTAGAACGAGTGTCGATCACTGAGTCTGCTCCAAAGCCTTGGGGATGGAGCATTCGTACTGGTTCATTACCAGCCCCGCGGTATGGAAAAAGAGGAACAGCAAGCCATTTGGTTATGTCAACACGGCTATTCGGAAGAGGTGGTGGCACTGGTCCGTTCATCAAGTACCGAGCGAATCGGTCGAATGTGTTTGGAATAGCGGCATCCTACCAGGAGCTAGAAAAACACTATATCGGGACCCCGACATTTCCTTTTCCATCCTTAACCTGTCTTGGCATGACGGCGGTTAAAGACCACTGCTAAAACTGTACAATAACTACTTGAATTCAACAACAACAACTCCAGCATTTCCATACGACTCTCTCGAATAACTACCTTTCTGGATAGCCTCATTACCGCTCTCTTTACGCTCGAGTGCACTGCGCATTCTCACAATTATGCCTATCTACCCATCCTCCAGTTCAGCCCGACTAGCCGACTCGTCATATCACTCTCCGTACTCGCGGAGCGGCGCCCCAAGTCCTCACCCCAACGGCGATCCGTATGTATCTCTTCGCGGCCGTGCGCTCTCTACGCTCGAGGCCATGGGCTTTGATCCCAACACCATGGTGGAGCATGGCGTCCTCTGGGCCGAGCACCAGGACCCTTATGGCCATGTTATGCAGGCCCAATACATGAGTTACTTAGGCGCCTGCTTCTGGCGCATCATGGAAAGCTATGACGAGTTTCTGAGCAAAGAGGAATGCGACGGCATGATTCAGGCCAAGACTGTTATCCCGGTGGTGCGAAAGTATGAGCTCGACATTCGAAGACAGGTTAAGTACCCAGATGCGGTCCGTGTTCTCCATTTTTTTCTTATTCAGTTATTGTTGTGCTCATCGTCATACAGGTCATTGCCGCGTATCGCCAAGAAAAGATTGAGCCGTCACGAAACAGCGGAACGACTATTCTTTACTCGTTGAAGCAGCAGACTATCGTCGCTGAAGTCAAAGGGTCAACAACGTATGTAGACGTTAGGACGGGCCGTCCGATAGACATTCGCACGCTTGGTGGTGGGTTCCCGGCCTTGTTTGAGGGCTTCACAAAAAAAGCCGAGCTTGCGAAGGCATTAAAGGAGAAATGGGAAAGCGAGCACCCCAAACCTCCAAAACGCAAAGATTCCAATATTTGAGCTGGACCTGATGGTGTAGTCGAAGCCACTCTTATCGCCTAGGGCCTCGATCAATTATTTGGTGAAGTACAATTCTCGCAATGGTAATTGTATGTTAGAAAAGAACATCTACTCATTTCTTTTGTTACTGATGAGTATTGATGACCTGTATATTGAGCCTGCTCCTTCTAACAAAAATTGAGTTGATCCATGTGAAAAATACCCTCCTCAAGACGCCGTAAAGGTTCTTCAGGTGACTAGTGCATATTGAAAGCACTAGATACAACCTGTGTTCGAGGAATTACAGCGAGTAAGGCTACGTAGCTCATAGAAAATAAGGCCAACAGTATGCCTGCTCTGAATCTATTCCTGGAATTACAACAGTCAAAGCCCACTCGCTCCTATATTTCACTATAGGAGTTCAATGGCTAATCTTTTCATCTCTGCTCTCACCTCTACTCTGTAATCATATTGATCACATTCTCTTTCCTAAGCAAGTAGGAATAAATGCTTTTGATCGCAAAGTGCTTCCGATCTGCAGTATTAACTTCCCGCGGACAAACGTGCCTGAGAAATCAATCTTGGTCGCAAATACTTCGCAAACTATTGCCATTCCTCTGGAGTTGTGGGACCTAGTGGGGTCAACGCTTTCGTGGTGGCAGAGCTTGTTTCTGCTTAAGATTGGGCTAATATTCTCAACCATCTCACTGGACAACGCACCTCGCCGAAGCTAGCTTTTTCGCAGCCTTATCGTATCACCTCGGTTCTTTTCCGTGCTGGTTGTCACCATGTGTGCTCATGGTGGGCCCACTATGGACTTAGCGCATCATAATCTTGTCTGTCCTATATGCTGATGGCTTGGGCCTGCAGCAGTGAACAAGGAGTCCATGTCACCTGGCTATCTTTCAACATTGTATTCTCTACAGCCCATTCGAGACCATACTCCATTTTCAGGGGCTGTATGAGCTCCTATATCGCAAGATGAAAGTAATGCCCAAGTGTGTGCATCACTGTGGGTTTGGAAGCGCTGTAGGCAGGGGATGATATATATGAGGATCACTAAATCCATGAAAATGAATAGAAATTCAGGATGCCTGGCTCTATTGAGGAATCAGCCTTGTTCTACCGCTGAGGAATCATGCAAAACACTGCCATGGCAGAATATATGCACATGCTACACATGAGGAAAAATGTAGTTTCATTAAATAGCATAAAGTTCTAGTTCACGGTGTTAATGTTGCCTGTCTGGGATGATATCATATTCGCTAAGCCCCAATTTTAGCTTTGGCTCTCGAGTATGGGATTAGAAGATAGATTTTGAAAGGTGTCATAAAAACTTTATCCCCGATTGTGTGCTTGCTTGCGGATGGTGTGGTTACTGTCGCGCTGGATTTTGAAAACTCCGCACGCGTGAGATTTTAGCCACCGTGTAACTCTGCTTAGCTTCCCTCTTCAAGAATAGGGACTGACACCGTAAATTACGAGGAGGTAAAATTCAATTATTCTGAATCCTTGACAACTGCAGTCACCCAGCATACGCGGCAGGGCCAACTATTAACTACTTTTGCATCATAGTTACATGCTTGTCCACCTTTGGGTTCACCAACAGACTAAGCAGATCTGGCCGAGCGTAGTGGCCCACAACATCGATAAAAGCTTTAGGGTAGTCAATGTCTCTGAGGTCCACATCTGCCATCAGAATTCCCTCAGCTCCGGCATCGATCGGCTCACACAGGGGCTTTCCGTCGGGACCGAAAATCATGGAGAAGCCACCTCCAGGAGTCTTGGTGACGGGATTCCCAGTCAAGTTGTTTTTAGCGACGTTCTCTCCGGTCAGGATCTGAGATGCTACGAGCACGAAGCATTGGCCTTCAATAGCCATGAACTGGCTCGCTCGATAGCTCGCCTCTCCTGTTTCATGGTATAGCCAGCTGATCTTTGCCGGGTCTGGCATCTCGAATTCGGCTGGCCAGCTGGCCACATGGATTTGCACACCCTGCGAGTACTCATAATACCTCAGTAGCGGCTGGAGATGTTCCCAGCAGTTGAGGCCACCGACCTTGCCAAACGGAGAGTCGACCACGCATTTGAGCGACTCAGCTTGGCCCTCTCCCCAAATAGTGCGTTCGATGTGTGTTGGTTTGATCTTACGACGGTGGTGCACGATTTCTCCCTGGGGCGAGATGAAAGACTGTGCCATGTACAAGCTAGCGCCCTCTCGTTCGCTGTATCCGAGGACGACGAACATGCCAGCTTTCTTAACAGCTTCTTGGATTCGCCGCATTTGCTCCGAGTCCCGCGGCATCGAGTTTGCCATATACTCATGGATTATGTGTGTGTTGTTGATGACTGCGGACATCCACATGCTCCTTGATTGTCCACGATATGGCTGTTAGTTTAAAGATCGTTGACAATTTTGATTTTGACGAATAATAGGTCAAGATTTGGGAGCAGAAAATGAGATTTGAAAATTGGGAGGGATATCAAAGGAAACGTTTCTACTCTCACCACGGGTATCCTGGAATCCACACCTCGGGGAATCCAAGAACCTGGACTCCGTCTGATGCTGCCTGTTCAATGAGACCGATGGTTTTGTTAACACTGCCGTCAAGGTCGAGCCAGACTGGCTCTGCCTGTACGGCTCCTATGCGAACCTGGTTGGACGGAGCCATGCCAGGCGGAGATAACGTCCTCTTTGTAAAGGGCAGTGATACTTGGGATTAATCCAAAGCCACGATTATTAAATGCGCATTATCTACTATTATATATACCGCCAACTAATCTTTTTATTTATGCTCTCTCCTTCACTCCGTAATTACAGCGATCGCATTCTCTTTCCTTAGAAGCCAGGAATACATCCCTTTGATCGCAAAGTATTTCCATCTGTAGTATTAACTTTCCGTGGAGAAGCTTATCTACAACTTACTCGAAACAATTGGCAAATTGTTGCCCTTCCGCCGGAAGTGTCAGTCTAAGTGGGGCCAGTCTTCTTGTATTATTTCTGTTAGCTCCAGATACGTCACCTTGGCACCAGACGTTTAGCAAGACTTTGCGATGAATCTTCTTATCCGTCATACTGGATATCTACATAATGTGAACCTTCGGCCTCGTAGTCTCTATTCGAATATCATCCATGATGACATTGAGCCGTGCACCGGCCGATAAATATCAATTGCACCCCCAGGCCTTACCACAGGGTAGCCATTATACTTCTCCCCCAACAATGGCAATGGTTTAATCACTTTGGCGTTCTCAACAAGTTCATCTATTAAATTATTCTATCCATTATCCTCTACAGGTACTCTAGCAAACTCCAGATCATGACGACAGGCACTTCAACATCCCGGCCATATCGAGCTGAAGGCCATCTGCAACCTCGACTGTCGAGGTTGACCATGGTCGCCATGACATTTGCCGTCCTCAAGTAGGGCTTCCTGTCCTGTGAAGGGAGATTGAGATATTGTTCACATTAATAATATTGGGCAATAGTACCTGGATTGCCCTCGCCGGATCCATCGGTCTTGTGCTTCCATCGGGTGGTTCCATCTCATTCCTTTACGGCTTCATATTCTGCGTAGCCTGTAACTTCGCTCTAGCCGCCAGTCTCGGTGAGCTCGCAGCCATTTGGCCAACAGCCGGTGGTCAATATCATTTCGTTTACGCTCTCTGCACCGAGAAGTGGCGGAAACCAATGGTAAGTAGAAGTTCACTCTACCTTCATTTGGACACAATATCAACATGAGATCTGTATTGCTGATACACGGAGGGTTAAACATGTAGAGTTTCTGGGTTGGTTGGACTAGTATCGCTGGCTGGCTTACTCTGGTAACCACCGAAGGATTTTTCGCCGGTAAATATTGGAGACTGCTGGATTTCACTCCGCTCCTCTTACTTTATCCAATCGGTTTCTGACTTTGTCTTTTCAAAAAGCCCAATTCATCTCCGCGGCCGCCGTGATGGCTTCGAACAACAGATATGTCATTGAAAGTTGGAAGACGTATCTCATCTTTCTTGCTATCCTTACCTTCACCACGGGGTCGAATATTTGGGGTAACAAGATCCTTGGTCGGTGGAACGATGCGGCTTGTAAGCTGGCGACATTATTGCGCTCTACCTTTTCCGACCCACTAACACGTCACAAACTTGGCTATTCTTAGTATACTGGTCTATCCTGGCAGTGGCTGTCATCAGCATTGTCCTTCTCGCAACCTCTTCCAAAACGGACGCCGAGTTTGTCTTCACCAGATTCCAAAACGAGACCGGCTGGCCCGACGGCATCGCTTGGATCCTCGGACTCCTCCAATCAGCACTGTCCCTCATCGGCTTCGACGCCTGCCTGCACATGACGGAAGAAATGCCAAATCCATCCAAAGATGCGCCCCGAGCCATCCTCTACGCTGTCGCTGTAGGGGGCGTCACCGGCACGGCCTTCCTCATTGTAATCCTCTTCTGCCTCACTGACCCGGCTACTATCATCTCTACTTCGACAAACATGCCTATATGCGAGCTCATCTACCAGGCCACGGGCTCCCGCGCCGCAGCCACGGTGTTAACGCTTATGCTGGCCGTGTGTTTTATCAATGGCAACAACGGCTGCATCACCAGCGCATCGAGGCTGACCTATGCCATGGCCAGGGACGGTGGCATTGTCCTACCCGAGTTTTTCTCACACATCTCGCCGACCCTCAATGTCCCTGTGCGGACTATTCTCCTGTGTTTCGTCTTCAATGCCGCCTTCGGGCTACTCTATCTCGGTCCCGCGGTGGCTTTCAGCGCATACGCGGCAAGCTGCACCATCTTTCTCAATGTGTCATATGCTTTTCCTGTCATTTTGCTGCTGATACGTGGCCGCGGTGTCCTTGCCGAATACCAAGCGTCCAGTCAAGGGTACTTCAAGATGGGGCGGCGTACTGGAGCTGCAGTGAACTGGATTGCTGCTTTGTTTGTTGTTGTGACATCTGTGGTCTGTCAAAACTTTCCATTTAAGACATTTTTTTTGCGGTCGAGGGGATACATTAACTAACTTGTGTGCTGAATTTTGGTTCTAGTTCTTCTGCTTTCCCACGTCGCTTCCTGTGTCGAGCTCGGTTATGAGTAAGTCGGTCGATATGCATGGTATCTGCTAAGAGTTGTCTGTTTTCCTGACACTAGCACTAGACTACGTGACTGCTGTAATCGGGATCTTTCTCATCGCCATGAGTTCCTTTTGGATGCTGTTCGGCCGTCGATTCGAAGGACCAGTTAGTCAAGGCATCCCTTTATGGAGTCCCCATGACGAGGAGTTCAGATAACTAACAAAAGACTAATTTCTAGAAACTCGAGGATATCATTGTGGCTCAACCTGTGAATGAGTTTGCTGCCGATACACAGCACCTGTCGGATACCTCGAACTCCAATGATTATTCCAAGGGGAAGGAATGACCAAGAGGATTTAACTTGCAAAGGCAGTGCAATTTTCTTGTCACACGTTGTTCAGGAAGTAATTTAACTCTTCCTGATCATCGAAGTAAAGTAAATTGTTAGTACTGATGTGGCACAATGCGTTCAAATATAGTAGATAAGTCAAACTTGATAAGAAAACCTTTTGAGAAGTAGCAACTGGTTGATGCTGCCCCTATGTTTATAATGTAAAATTCAGTGCAAAATATTGCGGCGTTCCAGTCTTTTCAGGAAGAAGGGGGCATTGGATGCGAAGGAATGACCCATACAAGGCGTCAAAACGAATGTACTGTGCGAGATAGGGATCGAATAATTCCTGATCAGAAGAGCAATGATACCCTTCACTGAAACTACTATATGTGAGAATTCTTCCTCTTGTGTAATATCCGAATGTATGCTGTTATGGCAGTGTTTTGCAGGAGTCCTCAGAAGTAAACAAGGCAAATTTCTAAGCAGCTACAACATTATACATCCGCGTACGTACTAAGCTCAGTAGTATACCGCTTCCTGGAAACAAATCAAGAGTCTCATCGAGGTGGAAATAGAGGGTGGACGAAAATATGATAATTTGATTCGCGTCTCCATAGCCTACCCCAAATAAACTCAATCATCCCGTGGTCATCTACTCTCACGTTATCACCCTTTTAATTTCAAAAGATCTGCACTACAGCAAACTAAGGTTGCGCACATAAACCAAGATCAACTTGACCAGAGATTCGTCATCACTACCCTCCAGCATTACACATTAGTTCAGAGAGGCTCAGCTTCCTCGATGTACGCCAGATCCAGTCGTTGATATGAGGGAGAGGACACCAACGCTCCGCTGAGTAGAACTAGCCAGCTTCATTTTTCAATTTATGTACCAGGCCAGTGTGCGATGGATAAGCACGCAAAAGTGCTCCTGCCCATTGGAAACAGAAGAGATCGAATAAGGGATGAATAGGAAAACAGACGAGCACGATGACTGGAGCCAGGCGCGGGTATTGGATCGAAGCCGACTCGGCGCCTGCATGCAGTCGATTAGAAGTGATATATCATGTTGGACCAATTGATCATTGCCACGTAGTAGAACGAGGGGTCGGAAATCTCCAATTTTTGGGACATCGACCTCTATAGAAACGTCAAGAATTGACGATCTTTGGCATCACATTGAGTGCAGATAACAGTGAAATCCAACAGAAAAGTAACATCAACCAATTAATCGGACTGTATGTTTGATTTGTACTAACTTATATAAGGTATTGAGCCAAGGGGAACCGCCGCATTGGGACTAATATGGGTTTAAATCCATATTTATGTATTTGTTGGATGAGTGAGGGGCCATAAGAGTCGACTCTCGGCGCCGAGTCAACGCCATATCGGCCCATCGAAACGGACTATAATGTCGGAAGTATCCTGATTAATCAAAGGTCAACTTTAAGATAGGAATATCAGTTAGGTTAATTGTAGGCAGTACTATCATAATTATTACATCTTTTTGTATATAATGAGCAGATGATAAATGATAGAAGTTCTTATGCTGGAGGACTATATGTTCTATGATCTGTAGGTGCGACACAGGATGTTGGAGGGTTGAGCATCACCTTTTTCAGCGGTCCGACAGGTTTGTATTTATGAAAACCGACTAGCCCTTTGAGATTTCAACAAATCGGGGCACACTTGCTACAGTCGCATCTGAAATGTCCTTCCACATGAAACATATGTTACAAGACGTATCCGCAAACCTACATATTTTGGCGTCACTAGAATATCCTAGATAGATTTGTGAAATATTTCCCCTTTTGGGAACACAAATATAATTACATAAGTAACTAGTCAGTTCAAATTGTGTCATCAGATGGGATAAAAAAATCAAAAACTGCAAGTCGAACAGGGATTGTGTCGATTAATTAAAATATCATCATCGGGATAAATATTTATATTTGTAGTATGTATGATAAAATGGATAGAGGCAGGTTTTCCATTTGTAGATGTAGGCTTGATATTTTCCCTACAAAGCCGCCAACACCACGGCGCCGACGAAACTACATCCCGCAACAACCCTGGCACAATTCCTAATTGCCCTTTTACTCCCCAATGCCAGCACATTATCCCACAGCAGATGCTTAACGCCGTTGAAGAAATGATACGTAAACGGCCAAGCGACGACAAACTTCACCGCCGTTTTAACCATCACGGGCACTCCGGCGAGCGTAGCTATGATGCTATTCACGTCGAACGCGCTCGTTTCGAGGACGAGTGGCGCTAGCAGATACCCGCCGAAGAACAGATACAGACTCCCCGATAGAAATGAGCCGGAGAAACGCTGTAGGATTGAGGTTAGGGACTGGTATTCCCATTTGTAGATCGTAATGTGTGGGGAGACGGGGCGGCGGAGACGTTGTTGGTCGAGAAGAGACTGAGGGGTACTAGGTTTAGAGGTGGTGCTGGGAAGGAAGGTTAGTGGTGGTTGGATTCGGAGGGATGGAGGGAGGGAGTGTGTTACGTGGTGTAGCGAGGGAATGAGATGGTTGTTTGGGGCCATGGTGTGGTTGGTCGTGTGACGACCAAGATGGAGGGTTGAACGATGGAGGTGCGGGATACTAATGGTTCAATGTTGTTAGGATGTGGTAGAAAGGGCTTATTAAAGGACTCACTGCTTATTCTAGACAAGCCTAGACTCTTGTTCGCTAGCATTGTAGGTGTGTAACGTGAACGTGCTGGTAGATATGGTTGATAGTTTGGCTAACGTAGTGGCATTGACTCCGAGTCCAGAGTTCTTGGAGAGGAAGATTAAGATTCAGGCAAAGATGCTATTCCCTTGTTTACCTAAATATGCGGACATCATACGACCGACAATACAACATCCAGTAGGATTCTGCTTGTTATGTTTTATCGCCTTTGACGTGGATGGTATTGTCTCGGCTAGCATATAGGCGGTGCGGGCATAAATCTAGATCCATCCATCCCTTCCAATTATGTACCAGCCAATGACATTCAACTTCAAAGTTATAAGGCATACCAGTTGAAGAAATTTCTTATAATTGTAAGGATGATCTGATGGCTCACTTTACCGTATATTCATAATTGATGTTATTAGCCTGTGCAAATGGCTGATATTGTTTATGGTAGAAAGTATACCGCATCCTCGATTGCAAGTTTGGCTTAACTTTTCCGCTTCAAGTCACGCGATCACTATAAACTAGATCTCATCTATTGTTGTCATTGTTATAAAGATGGCATACGGAAAATCCCAAATGAGACTAAAACCAAAGTAGTATTTCTAGAACATGTTTATGTTTAGGTTGTTATTAACAAGCTCAAGCTACCATCCAGCCAAGTAATAGCTATATCCACTGATTTAATTCTGCTACTATATCAGAATTAATTCTCATACATTCACACGTGTATAATATACCATATACCGTACCTATCCATCGACATAATCTAGCTATCGATTGTTGTATTATTTATTCATCCTTCAATACTTTTTCTATAACACAATTCCACTTCAAACACACTTACGTACCATCCGCCCTTTACATCGATGGATGTAGTTAACCCGAGACATGCCCGTACACGACGACACGCAGGCAGAGGCCGCAATGCCGACGACATGTGCAGTATTGTGCAGGCCGAGAATGATTGACCCGGTCATGGAGGACTTGTATCTTGTGGGATGGCTTGTTGCGTGGATTCCGATCGGTGTGAATGGGTGCTGATTACATAGATGACTCGTGCTATGACATTGCGGCGTATTTGGGGGTGGTGGTGAAAATGCGACAATCCCGTCGCCTCTCCATCGACCACTGCAGCTTAAAGATAATAGGGGTTGATATATATAGAGGGTAAAGTTGAAGTGCATCTTCTAGAAAGTGTTAGTCGTATCACATAAACACGCATCTTACATACCATAAATCTAAACCAAGTCTAAATCAAGTCTAGTCATCAATTATCTTCCAGTCCAAAATCATTAAGTTCATCCCCGTCCTCATCTAGAAAGTCCTCTTCCCCTTCGCTATCCGCAACCTCCTCAGCTTTCCGCTTCCGAACCGAGATAGGTAATGGAATGGATGACGGTGGCGGGAGACTCGTTTTACTGGTGCTTGATAGAGGATGAGCAGATAATTCCCGCAGTCCGTCCTGAAATAACCCGTCAGTCTGCACTAGGGGAGCAGGATAATAAAGATGAAAAGATAAAAAAAATAATAATAAAGATGATAATAAGATGAAATGGGGCTTCTCACATTCTCAATCACAAACGCGACAATATTCTCATCCGTTCGAACAGAAATCACCCTGCCACCACGCTTCATCACCTCCGCGTATCGCACTCTTCTCAACCCCCCCTCCTGTTTCTGATCACCATCATCAAGACCTAGCGGCGCCAAGTCTCTATACACCACAACCCTCGCATAAACACAACTCTCCCACGACCCTCCCGCCAACGCCGGAAAAAGCGTCGGTCTAGGCTGGCCCTTGATCCTCGTATGCGTCTGATTCAACACGACGACAGCGATTCTCCGCGCCGCAGCGAGTTTGACCAGATGATTCGCCAGATCGCTGGTCACATTCCACTTACGGTGCAAAAGCCACTGCGTCTGTTGAGGGATAGAAGACTGGCCTGCGAGCCGGGCTTTGAGTTCCGATGCATGGGGAAAGTAGGGTTGGAAGGGGGCAGAGATGGAGTCGATGATTAGGAGGGTGGTTCCGTTGGGAGGGAAAGATGGGGGAGGGCGGACCAGGAGAGCGAGAAGATGGGGCAGAGATGGGGTGCGGAAGTGCGAGAAGAGGGTTTCCATCTTCTCGTATATGGCTTCCACTTCTTTGGGGTCGGATTTGTTCGACGTCGTGACGCTCGCTGTCAGCAAGGCCTTCAAGCGAGGGGTTGGAATTGGCGAGCCGGTGTCTGTTTATATTAGTATATGCTTATAGTTTAGTGCATGCTAATGGTGTGTTGAATTGTACGAACCTATCCAGACAACACGCTGACCATCCTTCAACGCCTCGACAGCAGCACTCATCCTAGACCAATCAGTGCCATTCGACCATTTTGATAAATAAAAAAATAAAAAAAATAAAACTCACATCAACGCCGTCTTACCCACCCCCGGCGGCCCGTAGATTTCAGTAACATGACCTCGCGGCAACCCGCGATCTACGCCCTCGCCCAGCGACGCTATCGCATCATCCAGCCGCTCCAAGCCTGTTGGCACGGCGGAAGTAGACAACGATGAAGGCGCTGAGGATGGAGCAGCGCGAAGTGCCTGCGATGCAGAGATTGAGGGAATTCGCGCTGCGCTGATCAGTAAGCAATGAATCAGACGGTTAGTTTGATGACGTACGGAGTTCAGCGCTGGTGGTCAGCGTGGTATAATCGGCCATATCGAGTCGATTATGGATTGCGCGACGGAAGTGAGATGGCCGCAGGTGTCTGCATTGTCGGGCACTTTTATTTTAAATTACTACAGTGTCATGTTCTGCCTGCTGCGATGGGATGGGCTCTGATGGGATGGTGTACAAACAAATTAAGTTGGACGCGAGCCGCGCGGAGATCGATCGGGGATTTGTTACGTACTAGCACTAATCAGTCCAGGAATCACAAATTTATACTATTTCCATCAGATCGATTTTATGCTATTTATGCAGTAGCACCATGATCACATGTATGAGTGTCTTGATTTATTATGACAATATTGACTACTCCGAGGTCAGGCAAGGGTTTGAATTAATGGTGATCAAGTGGTTATATTCAACTAATAATAAACCAGTAAGCCGCCAGGCGGCAAGAAGTAAAGGAAGTAACAAAACAGCACTGTCTAATAAACCCACATATCCGTCTATTATCGTTAACGACTCCCTCCCAATTATAAAGAAACAAAAAAAAACACCAGATCCCTTCAACCACGCCCGAGTGGCAATGCAAGAAGTAAAAGTCTATCCGTTAAAAGTCATTGTATGTGAGATTGTCCGTAAGAGTGAGGAGAGCGAGGAGGAGAGCGAGTATGAGAATGAGAGAAATGAGAAAAGTGAGAATCAATTAAAGGCCCTCCATAAGTGACCCGCTGGAAGGGTTGGACGAGTTGTAACTGGACGTGTTGAGAACGTCTTGCACAGCAACCTTGGGAACCTGAGGCACCGGCAGCTTGCGTTGTGTGCCATCGGGACGGCTCATGATGTCGGTAATGCTGGGCCCAGAGTGGTGTTGGCCCGGGTTGTACAGACTCGGGCCCTCGGCCTGTGGCTCCATCGGCGCAAGGGCAGGAGTGTGATGCAGCGACAAATGACGAATCGATGGCAATTGCAAGTCGTTGGCACCGTAGGGACGCAAGCGCGGCGAGTGCGCGGGAGTAGCCAGAGGAGTATGGTCTGGAGTAGGCGACAGCGAATCGTGTGAAAATGTAGGCGAGGACGGGGCGGTCGAGTTAGGAGAGTTGGGACGAGATCGCTTGACCCGATGATGCGCATAGTTTTCGTCCTCCTCGTGCGAGTGCGATCGGCTCATGCTGTGCGAGATGGCATACGCCGACAACGAAGGGAGACGTCCAGAGCTGCCCGAGAAGCGAGCGCTAAAGGGGTGATGGCGCGATGACCCGTAATGGTCACGCTCAACCTGTGACGCCGCCGTGGCGAGCAGATTGATGTCCATCCCCGACGAGGCACGATCGCTGTTGCGCGAATAGGGGCCCAGTCCAGAACGCAGGTGCGAGGCATAGTTGGTGTACGAGTGCGGCGGCGAAATGTCCGGAGATCCAACCTGTGAGACCGGAGCCGAGCGAGTGATGGGTTTGCTGGGAGGAGGCATCATGGACGAAGCCGAGGTCAGACCCGTCGTATCCTGGTTGGCAGCAGCAGCAGCGGCCGCGATGTGCTGTGCCTTGTTGCTCCTCCGCGAGTTGGGGTTGTTGTGAATGCGCGAGTGACGAGTCAACTCATCGGAGCGGCTAAAGCGCTTTGTGCAGCCCGGGAACTGGCAAGCATGAGGTTTCTCGCCCGTGTGCGTGCGGATGTGACGGGTCTGATGTTCCAAGCGGTGGAAGGCACGGTCACAGAGAGGGCACTTATACGGACGGGGGAGATCCTGGCGCACTTCCTCTGCGGCCGGGCGAGCACCCTTCATGAGCGGTGGCAACAAGCTGACGGACGAAGCCATGGTGTCGTCAGCAGTCGAGTCGGCAGTAGTAGGAGATGAAGGAGTAGTGGTAGAGGTGGAGGTTGGTGCGGAGGCGGCGTTGTCGAAGGTATTATCTGGGTTGAGCAGGTGGGAAAAGTCCACTGCAGAAGCTGGGGGTGGCATGTGAGGCAGCCGACCTTGTCACGGGGATGAGGGTTAAATATGGGGAGCCGGGGGGATGCCAGATGAGGCGGCACGAGGCCGAGGGGCTATGGGAGCAAGGCGGTAGCCGAGGATGATCGGCCGTCAAGTGTGCAACACCAGCTAGGTCGATCGTCCGCTTTGGGAGGATACACTGTTCAGCGATAGGTGATACAGCAATCGGGACGCCCCTTGTCGATCCGATCCTGAAGCTGCAGCTGTAGCTGTAGCTGGAGGTGGAGGTAGAAGGGAGGAGTTCAGTTGCACTATGCAAATAGATGCAGGGTGCAGTTGCGCGTGCAGGGCGTGGAATGGGCGAGGTTGGAGCGACAGAATGCGCCAAGCGTGGGAGCGGGCAGCAGAGACGAGCACAGGAGGAGAGAAGGAGGGAAGGACAAAAAATCTGGGGGAGCAGAGGAAGCAGGATAGGCAAGCGATAGATGTAAGGAAGAGGAGGGAGGAATGGAGGGGAAAAAAGTATTAATTACGGCGACGGGCATCGGGGACGGGGGGTTATCCGACCGGCCAGGAAGGGCCTAGTGTGTGGGGGAGCGCCACGCAAAGATCTATGAAGAGTTTTCACTCGTGAAAAGTCTGTGCAATAATAGCAGTGCTAATTCGAGCAGAAATAGTATTAAATAATAATAATCTCAGGAGTGAGTGGGCCAAAAGCAAATCCACTCACCGGGCGCAGCGGCTGATTGGGTTGGCTTATCTGGAGTGGTTAATTGTTGCGATTTTGGGGTGGGCGAAAAGCGAAATGCGGCCGAAATAAGCGCTGCGTAGTACTGCCTGCCTACAGTGGGTGACGCCGCTAGCCCGGCCGTGGCATTTGGCCCCGTGCGTGCGCCGGGTATCGCGGTATCCATTAAATTCTGCGTGTATGGAGTATGTTATGGTGATTGCTCACGATGAGGTGAGGTGATCGAGTGATGCAGTTGATCTGGGCAACGCTTCCGACTACGATGTGCTATGTGCTATGTGTTATGTGTTATGTGTTATGTGTTATGTGTTATGTGTTATGTGTTATGTGTGGTGTTGGCGGGCAAAAGCTCCGGCATGACAAAGACGATTATTCATAAATTCGTGACACCTGTCCTGTCTCTATTAATTTGTAAATACCCGCAAAACCCGGGGAAGCCTCGCCGACTCCAGACTTTGGGTCGACGAAAATGTTTCGGAATGCGTGAGATAAGCATTTATTTTTATTTTTCGTCGCAGTCACGATGACGGCATTCGCAAACAATAGTTGACTTATCCAATATACAAATGATATGATCTATGATAGTATAGATAATTGTATAGGTTAATTATATAATTGTATAATTCGCCCGTTAAGTCGAATGTCAACTAGGGTGAGGCGTCTCATGATGGGGCGAAGCCGTGTTACTCCGTGGTGATGGTGTGGGAAGGTGAAACCAGCGTCTTATCTTGCGTGCTTGCATCACGCCAGCTATACGGATATATAGATATACACACATATATACAGACACACACACACATACACATATATACATACATATACATATATACACACACATGCGTATATGTGAGTATCATATATGATAATATGTAAAGATAAGCATGGTCGCCTCGCGCCTTCCTATTGGCTTGTCGCTTCTCCAGACTATTGATCCGCCGGGGGCCCGCCTTCCCCACCAATGGCGCGCTACTGCAGCCACACTCGATCCTCGTCACATTTTCTCTTATACCATATATTATTCATGTTTAATATTGTTATTCACGTATAGCAAAGTAGCGTTTCCTCTGCAATAATATAAATACAAATATAATTCTGGAATCGACAATATATGATACATATGTTCATCTTCATGTTCAACGTATAGGTTTATAAGAAGAGGGTGAGAGATAGGGTTACACCCTATCTCCGCCCATAGCCGCTATCGCCTATTCTCACTGCCTCGGGGTATCCTCCGATAGCGGTTCTTACAGTTTACACAAACATGACATTCTATTGTCTCTGATAGATTCTGCGGCCCGCCAAGCAGATCTACATCCTACCCCATAATCCGCTATCTAACAACATCATGCGTACGATGCAGATGACTGGAATTCTCGGCGGCTGTACTCTTCCATATCCTTAGTAATGTATACTGTTGGTGACGAAGATTATTACTCATACCCTCCTCGATGCTCCGTGTCGTACGATATGTAGGCTTATCAACAGAACAGACTCGGCTTTCCGCCCGGCCAATCATAATGCGGAAGCGCCATCGCGGGGCTATCGGGGCAATCGCGGGTCACAAAATTCATTCTCTTCTCTATTCCTCTTTCCTTTTCCTATTTGTAAGTCTGTCAATTACTGGAGGGTGTATTTGTATCTATGACACACGAAATGATGCCTGCCAAGGGTCCGCATTCTCCATTCCCCCAGGAATGCAGATCGCGCGCCCCACAGAATGCCCATAACGTTGCGGCATACCCAAAACAGTATACCTTACCACAAATGCGGTGACATGCAGTGACACTAAAGAAAATAGAAGAAGGTGACAGAACTGTGATTACCACCTTCTTATTCACAGCCAAGAGAAGGCTGAGTTCACCCCGCGTTCCAACTCCAGATTTCGCTCGCTGCACATTTCTCGGCCGGAATACGGAGTAGTTACACAAAATATATACAGTGGGGCGTGCTTTATCTGGGTCCGGCGGATTGACGGAGTAACTCGACGGCGTTTCTTCGCCTCTTCGTGACCCCCCTACGATACCTGTCAAGTGTGAATGATACGTTCGGGTGGGATGGACCGCTATCTGACCCCAGGCTATTAATATTGCCTATCTCGCTACGTATCACACAATCTATTCGCCTCTCTCCAGACCAATAGGCCGTCTTATCAGCAAGCCACCGCTGCTAAAAAGCCCGACGCTATCTCTGTATCTGCAACTGGACGGTGAACCATCGGATTCATGGAATGTAACATGTTTCATTGAAGTGAGATTCCACGGGGACGCGAATCCGGGGTACTCACAGTCTCTATTGCAGTCTCGCTTCTACGGCTGGTTTCAGAGTCACTATAGGACCGAGGCTTATCAGGAACTAGCGACACGGATCCGCCGTTTGGTATTTGCTCGGTTGAACCTGGTGAGTGGTGACGGTTAATTATTATCAGCATCAGCCGCCGGCTACTCCGTATTGTTGAAACTTGACCCCAAACCCCAGGACCACCACTCATTATTGAGTAGTAGTGAGTGGCGAGTCTCTTAATCACCGAGGCTGACCGTGCAGAGCATAGCCGTTACGACGCTGATAAGACAGACACATACAGAGAAAGAGAAAAATGTGTAGAATGCTCCTACTATTCATTGTTATTAATCTTAATCTTAACGCTCATATATTATAGTTTATACCGTCAAATCGTCAATAGTATGTGTCGCATCTCAGATCGGCGGAACCATCCCTGCTTCCCCGACCGACGACCCCGGCAAGTTCGTCAGGGGCTGCAGCTGCAGCAGCGCAGGAGCAGTCCGGGGCGGGCTGTGTCTAGAGTCTAGACTGCGATGTAAAACTTGCTACATTCATGTTTAGAATGCTTAGATTCAGGGCTTGTTGTGCAATCAGTAGAGAAATTCCAAATAAGACGACAGATAATATCAATCCAGTCTTCGTGTCGTCATATCATTTGCTTTCACATGCCATTTCCCTGCATCGACTGACGCTTCCCCAGGAAAACACCCCCCCTATGCACACGCACCGCGCCGCGTCCGCGTGTGCGGGGAGGCCTAGACTCGGATTATTCCGCTGTTCTTTTTTAACCCTTTGTTTTTTACCGGACTTTCGCAAGGATATGGATTGTTGCGTCATGACTGCGTATAATTCTATCTTTCTCAACTCATTGCCCCTTCCTTCCCCTACTATTCTTCGAAACCAGAACGTGTCTTCTTTTACGTTATAGGACTCGGTATAACTCTCCTCCGAATCTCGGACCCCATCGTCGGCATACGTTTGCCGTAGCCTGGGCGTCATCAGCTGTGGCTGCGCCTCCAGCTGCTGTCGGGTAATATCGGGGCCCCGTTATCTGCTGATAAGTGGTTGCCCTAAGTCTAGCTGTCTAACCCAGAAGAGTAGCCGTGGCCGTAGCCCTCCCGTTCCATGTGGTGAATGTGGTTAATGTGGTTAATTTCCTCGAATATGGCACGGAGTCTCCGATCTTCCCCAGTTGGAGTCTTCTCCATCGCGCTAGCTAGAAGCAGTAACAGTACGAGACAAAAAAATTTTTAAGCTGGATGAATGGATGGATTAATGGATAAAGCTCGGCAGATCTCCTTGGGGTTTTCGGTAAGGATTTACCCATGGTTAATCACGACATTCTAATACTTTCCTTTCACCTTCACCGCTGCTGTTTCTATTACGTGCGCATAGATAGGAAGTCTTGTTGATTGTAATTTACCACATTCTACCACTATATATATTTCGTCAGTGTCGTGATTTACTGATTTACTGATTTCCATAAATAATAATATGTGTGGTATCGGCTCGGCAGCCCGGTGAACCGGATCAGCTTTCTCTCTGTGCCGTCCCGATTCCGACCGTCGGCAGACAGCACATGTTCGGTTTGCCTTGGTCCATTGGCCTTGACCATTGGCCCGCCTCAATTCCCAAACTCAGCTAAGGGGGTTACTAGGAAGAGCCTATGGACTAGGACTAAGGCCGGTAAAGCCACAAGGTGACAATGGCGACAGTGGCATGACTCCCCAGCTGCCATCCGTTTCCGAGCCCCGAGCGAACTATCACATGCTCGAAAGTTAATATACACGACTATGATAGCTTTATCATTCAAGATTCAGTAGTGAATTACGTCCGTATCATCGGTTATCCTTCGACTATCAGACATGAGACATCATCGAGGAATAGACATTTTGACACGTGAAGATTGGACACGGCTGCTCGAGGATGACCTGGCATACCCACGAATTAGAACCCAGACGCAGTCAAAGATTCAAAGTATTCCTTGTAGGAGACCCTGCAGTAGCGCCAGCTACCCCTGATATAATGGAGGGAGCTGAGCTGGTCGAGAAGTTCTAGGCTGAGTGATCGTCAACTCCCCGTCACGCCACAATGGCGCCTGTCATCGTATGATCCCTGCGATGTTTACATGTGATAATTTTCGGTATCATGTGCATTGCATAATGTGTGATTCATTGTCATGTCTTTCAATAGTGTTGTCGTTCTCTCTTCTATTTCTCTAGTCCAGTGTCTCGGTGCCTCAGGCTTGAAACATATCACGTGACCAATGATATGCATATCACGTGATATGCCCATCTATCCCCTTCCGTCATAGTCCTCGTTCTGCCCGCTGCCACCGCCTCGACACGCGGCTGTGAGCGACCAGCATGGCGACCTCAATGCACTTCGCTCGCGGATACTGCTTGTATCTGACTGAATTATATATAAGAAATTGCTCTTGACTCTGAACCTCAATTCTCTACCTTAACCCCAACGTCCAATTCGCAACCACCCCCACCAGGAGTGCGTGCGAGCGAGTGCAAATGGCTCCCCCGCGACAGCGCTTGGTTGCTGGAACCACCACAGCAGGCTCAATCGACGATTCGCGCTCCGAAGCCTCAAGCGGCACTGCAGCCGGCAATAATCCCTCCAGAGGCCCCGGTTCCAAGCCCCGAAAATCCGGCGTCGCGCTCGCTTCTGGTGCTGGTGCGAGCGCAAAAGACCTCAAAGTTGCAGCGGCATCAGGTGCCATGGCTGCAGCGGCGGCGGCAGCGGCGGCGAATGCAGCGCTGCAGGATGAGGATAATGGGCCTAGTGTATGTACTCTGTTTTTGTTTTTTTTTACTCTCTCTCTTGAATTGGGGCTTTAGTGTATTGATCCGGTCAGATCCCCTGGTCCCAAATGCCCCTCTCGATTCTGCACGATTACCGACACGCCTACAAAATCTCGTCGGCGAGCGCATACTCCAAGCCGATATCGAAACTGCTCCTCTCGTCCGGCATTGGCCTGCGATCTCCAACGTCAATTGCGGCCCGGAAAGCCGAGCTCGCTTCCTCAGCAGCCTCGTCGACATCGACGAGCAGCTCTTCGCGCTCCAATCTTAATCCCAACAGCGGTAACCGTCGCGGCGGGGACGATCAAGACGGGAATAATAATGACGGCAACCACAATTCCAGCAGCCGCGGGGATAACAGTAAAGTCCTACACAAAATAATCGGCCAAGGCCGCGTGGGCAAAAATCAGTTAGCGCTCGCCGTGCGCAAGCATTTCAATGCCGCTGGCCTCGTGGAGCAAGAAGCCATCGCGCGGTTTCTGTACAAGGTGCGAGAAGAGGGGAAGGGGAGGGAATTCAGACTACGGTTTCAGCCTTGAAAGTCCTTTTGTCAAAAGATTAGAAAATTCGTTATTTGGTTTGGTTGTTTGGTTTGGTGGATTTGATACCCATATCTGGCGTTTTGTTGCGTTGTATATTTTTAAAAAAATTATATGCGAATGATTTGTGAATATTTAGTTAGATATGTATATTGTTATTTGTCTTGGTTAGCAGTTCTAATACATATGTGGATCGCTGGATATATCATTTACAGCTCCTCATCTATAAATTGAGTTGACGCTTTAATCTTCAATATATGTCAACTGGTATTTATAATATATAAATATTTGAAGTCATGGCTATGCAATCAATGTTGATGGCTCCTCTCATCAATTGATATCAATGATCTTTGCCTGGCAAGTGTGATCTCCAGTAAAACATCCTAGACATATTAATCCAGAGACGAATTGGTGTACATGTATGGATGGAATATATAACATTTGAAGGGCACCTATATAGCAGCTGACTATTTAAACACATGAAATCCCTAATGTCTCCCCAGTTGACGTACTGTATTTTCCGAAATATTAATCTACATGTATAAAATTGTAGGTTGGGAATGAAGACGGCATTACATATGTACTGACCAAGATATATTAGTTCTTTGTGTATATCTAATAGTCAATAGTATCCAATGTGGGGTAGCTTAGAGCTATCCATTACATCAATTGATGTGTCTTCGCTACATAAATTGCAGTCAATGGGTTCGACAATGAATACAATACAGGCAGATGTGAGAACTCAGAAACCATTCTGAAAACCATTGCGCAACATTATATAATGATTTCAAGCAGAGATCTTGCCACAGTATTCAGGTTGTAGAAATATAACCAAAGCTTTTTTAATATATAGCAGTAAAAAAAATATTTTAAATCTTATAAAATTTTGATATCAATTATACATATATATATATATGTCTTTCTAGTTAAGCACTGATAAGGCAGAGTGCTGTCAACTGGTCTAATATTGACCAACTGATTTCCTTATTCAATATTCTCTTATTTACTTCTCTTATGAGTTATGCGTGCGTGTATACCCCCTAGACTCTGTCCTATGAACTCTTGTATATATATATATAACTAGGTGCGATGCCACTCAATACCCCACTTAACACTGACCCAGGAGCACTGACAAACGCGCTGAGAGAGGGAGACAGCGAGGTACGTTAACACGCGTTCACGTAAATAATCTAAATAACTTCAACAATAATAATAGTACTGGCAATGCTTTTGGAAACCTGCTACAGCCGATTGACACTTGCAACATTGCTGTAACGCTTCCAGTTATAAGAACGCTGCCAAATTTGGAAATTGTTGGGCATGTATAACCTTTGGAAACATTTTAAACTAGAAACGTTGCACAACGGTTGCAGGGGGGTATCGGGATCTAGGATTTTTCCATATTGTAAGATAAGCATCCCTTTGTTTTGTGGTTGATACTAGATAAACTAAAGGAAAATACCATCAAGGCAAGGGCAGCACTTTGCAAACTCTTGCAATAAATTAGTTAGCGCTTCCTAGGCCAAGCTTTGGTTTTGTTAATTTGGTTGGCATTATACATAGACCAAAGATTGCAATTAGTAGGGTGATATCTGCTATCTGGTATATCCTAGCACACGGCATCTTCAATGATGCAGTAAAACTATCAATGAGTTGGCAAACCTGGAAGATATAACAGTCGAGTTCAACCCCGAGGAGGTCAAAGAGACGATTAGCATGTGCAGGGAAACGTCTTTATCCTACCCCTGTCTCTCCGGGTATTACAGCACCTCTTGAAGACAGCCTAAATCAGAATCATTACAATGCTTCGTAAACAAGACATCTCTTCGCCTAATACTCGCTTATCGATATAGGCAGTTATCTAATCACACTCCAGGATATCAATCCCAAGGATATTAATGCTTGTAGATTTTATAATAAGCTTGAGATGATATAATTCCTCCTCAATTATGAGGTTGCTGCTCATGAAGACGGTATTCAACAAACAAGCTGACATGTTGGCGAGTCATATTACTCTCAATAGTACTAATAGCCAGAAAGGGGTCATCGAGCCAGGATATTGCCGAGAAGGCGATTTTTTTATAGAAAAAAAGAGGCCTTTTAAATACTTCAATGGCCAACCTTGATAAAACTTGACTTGGATAGGTACTCTAATTTTCAAATGTTGAGAATCAATCACCCAGAGCCAAGTTCACTGAATATAAGATAGATTTTCCTTGAAGAAGGTAGTGGAGGAAAGACAATTTTAAATGTTATGTCATAAGGGTAATTTCGCTCTACAATGGATCAGAACGAGCTCGTAGTCTAAATGAGCGTAGAATATGGTTGTCTAGGATCATACTAAGAGAATATTTACCTACATAACACTCTCTAATTTTCACATTATACAGCGAATCACAGACTACATTTATATTTCAATTTAGTTACATGTCAACTTGTATCTGTCGCATATTCTAGGCAATGCATCGTCAATGGTAATAGATAAGAAGAGAATGTACACATGTAGGTTTACTTTATTTCTCATGATTCAATAGGAATAGGCCAAATCATAAATTGTTTTATTACGGCAGTAATTATTCTATTAATATTATTTTCATTACATATGTACATCAATTGATATGTACTATTACCGACTTCATGAAAATATGTTGTCATTCAAATGCTGATTCTCACATCATTGATAATCAGATGTCCTGTCGACAGCTTATTGCGCGGTCTTAGCAGAAACCTGCAACAGATTGGGCTGTCCGAGGGCATCCTGAGTATAGCGAGCATTGAACTTGAGCACGCTCTTGACGGCACGGTACTGCTGCACATTGATAGGCAGAGGCTCGGTGCTGACGTACCAGAGCACATTCTCACTGCAAGGAGGAGTAGTCAGGGATCCGGTGTAAGAGTAGATTCCATGACTGTTGAAGTGGTCAATGACGCCAGAGAAATCTAGGGTGTTGGTTTCGGTGTATGTGCCTGGGGTGCTGATGTCGTCCAAGTGCGCAAAGACAGAATCGAGGAGAGGGGTGGTGAAGCCAAAGGGGGAGAGCTCTAGCAAGAAAGCAATGACGGCAATATCCTTGGCTGTGAGAAGTTAGTATTATCAAAAGACTATTGAGGGGATGAGATTACGCACCCTCGGTCTCAAACACAAAGTGGACTTCCATGGGGAAGTATTCCTCATTGACACGGTGCTCGCTAGGGGTGTGGAAGTGGAACTGGGCGAGAGGGAAGGTCTTGTTATTGGCGACGAGGGATCCATTGGTGATGACCACTTCCAAGCCAGAGCCCAAGTTCTCAAACTTGGCGCTGTCGACAGTGGAAACGCTGAAGTTGAGAGCAGTGGCAGGCGTATAGTTGATGGCGTCCGTGACGATGTCAATGGGGGACTGGTGAGAGCCCTTGGCGCAAGCCTCATTGGCAGATGTGTTTAGGCCATACCAGTTGAGAGGACCGCCCAGGTTGGTGTAGTTGTATGAGTTGATCTTGACAAGACCGTCAGCAGCACGAGCATGGACGTGTGCCGAGGCGAGAGGGATAGCGGCAAAAAGCAAAGAAAAGGACTTCATTATGGCGGAAATTGATATTATGGAAGATTGTCGAGTACCTTGGAGAAAAACCACCTGCTGCCTTTTATAAGGTGGCCAGCACCCTAGGGGGTCAATCTCGATTCAAGTTTTCCAAATATCATTCGCAACTTCGCATGAAAACATTCATTCTAGGATATGATCGACACTGCTATAACAACTAGACAGAGCAGGTCCACAGTTCGTCGAAAATACGCAACCAGCTTCAAGTTAAGCGGCTGGTATTGGTTACCATTAGAGAGTCCCATGTTCACCAATGATCCATAGACACGGGTCGGGGAGAAAGCTCTGATTCCGTGTGCCCGCTGCTTGATTCGTGGTAGTTCTAGAGGTATGGAACGATGGATAGGTAGGGTGGAATCTACTTTTACGTATTTGGAATTGGGGATATTTCCCATTATTAATAATTCAACCCTGAGCTAGGATTATGTACCGCGAACGTCGTCCAGAACCTTTCAAAGCCTCTGATAAGTCTCATCAAGAAAACGTAAACCTGAGACCAGTTCAACCAGCCAGCGGAAAACATGTGTAGGTGGGATACTAAGTAACATGTCGCAATGCATCGTGGCAGTGGCAGACTCAACTCTCAAAGTGAGAATTCTAGTCATCATTCAGCTCAGGTGTGGATTCAGTGTGGATTCAACCCTACCACGGAACTCTACGGATCTTTGCCGCGTAGAATTTCATTGAACTGGCACATACATGTTCTAGTGACTCCCATAGAGTAAGATCTCGCACTCACTCGGCTGTATCTGATGAGCTGTTCGTCGGTGCCGCCGTTCCCAGATACCAGGACCTTAATACACGCTTAAAAATCCTCATAAAGGGTCCGTCCCTCGTTTATTGGGTAGAAATCGAGGTAAATCGGGCCAGTGACGAAGAGGCGGGACCATTCAGACAGCCACACAAGCACTAGTAAGGAACTGCCGTAAAGCTTGCCAATTAATGCAAAGAATATGCCGTGTGCACGAGCCATTCTTTGTTACTAGTATTTCCCATAATGAGGGACCCTATTCCTATCGAATCCATATTACAGTACGTCTACGGTATTCAGGAATTTTGGGTATTATTTTTCAGGTGCCGTGTCTTGCTCATTTTCAGCCAATCATAGCGCATCGGAATTTATCTAGGTGAAAGCTTGTCGAAAAGCTTCCGATGCAGGGCCACGATTGGCCAGAGCCTGGGTGGATAGGAATTTGATTGGACATCATCATTATTATTACTCTAGAAAATTTGTGGCGACAAGTTCCCCTTTTTGGAAATAGGAAAAGATCTCCGTATTGCCGTGGCAAGTTCGCTTGTATGCAAGATGACGGTAATTATGAACTAAAATGGACAAATGTGGAAAAGAATAACAACCTCTTTGGCCTTCTAGAAGCAGAAAAGAAACTTGAATGAATGCAACTAAACAAGCAGGGATATTCATTCATGATTTACGGAGCCTCAGGGAATCTACTCAAACGAAATTGAATCCAGTTGAGGTGACTCATGTCCAGATGGTAAATAATATTAAATGTTGACCCGCATTCATTATTAGTTAGAGGCTAAAAGGAGATTCACAGTGCGATCGTGACGTGATTTTATGACATTTATGTAAACCTGTTAATGAAAACTACCGCAACTAAGCCTATCCGCAGTAGTGTCGAGATCGGCGGAAAACTGGTTTATGCCGAGATTGCCGTGAGGTTATACCGAGGGAGTTGAAGATATACGTCATTCAAGTAACAGTTAACAAATGCATCTCTCTCGGCATAACACTGGGAGATTCCACTGATAACTGTGTTATAGTGCTGTTATATACCACAGTTGAGGCTGATATAATGTGATAGATGCTCTGTTCGCGCTCTGGTATACGCAAATCTATTCTTTCAATGTTATTCCTCTGCCAACTTTCTATATGCTTACGAGATAGTATATGTCATTACTCAATGAAGGTATTCAGTTTCATAAGATTAATAGATTCTGTGAATCATCCTACTAGAAATAGAATTCCTATTATGTAAGAGACCTACATAAATAAGGCGATTCTAGGGCATAATCGACTAATCTGGATTATTATGACGCACAGGAAGCCGAATTGACAGAGGAGTTCAAGGACCGAATCGCAAAATTCAAAGGCTGTCCAAACGTGCAAAGTGCCGTCTTACAATTTGATAAGCATTGCAGTATTCACAGCGAAATCGAATGAAATCCGAGACCATCGCCTTTCGTACAAAAGTTCTTCGGGTGTTCTTAAATAGTTGGCCTCATTGGAAGTATCTCTGCGCGAACTTGGGATTTGTAACATACAAAATGTCAATGTCAATGACGACCGAATATATGCCAGTATTGAGAAAGTGCTGCGAAAGTGCTGCGAAAGTTACGCGCTCTCCGATCAAACATCGTGACGGAGCACGATGAAGGCTCCCCGGAGGAAGACCTGTACTTCGACGACTGCGCGATTTTGTACGATGTGGGAATTTTTTGCAGAGAATATAGCCAACAGGTGCGGCCTCAAGAAGAGTGAGATGGAAATCAGCCGAGAGGCAGATTATGAGACGCAGCGAAGGTAGTATCTTTCCTCGGTAAGTGGTGGCAGGATTACTTTGACTCCTTTCGAACCAAGTTACCTTTTCTGAGACAGTTTCATATTGGCAGCGAAAACTGGGTTCGTGGCGTCCTATTCGAAAAGAAGGCTGAAATGGAGATTATTTTGGTAGCTGGCCTTCTATGATTCGTACGGGTCCAGTCCATATCTAGAACGACGCGTAGACTTTGTTTACGAAGGGTGGCAAAAGCAGTACCTGATTGCTATGAGGAAGATAAGGACTCCTTACGCCTACTTTTGCAGAAGACAAGGCAGACAGAGTTCGTGATCTGATACCCAGATTGGATTTGCGACAACTCTGGGGGTTCTGTCAGGTAGATTGTATTCTTCTAAATTTAAGTTAGATTATATAGTTCTCACTCATGTCTGTCGATAAGCACGCAGCGAAGTCGAAGCTATTATGCTAAGCGAGAACGTTTGTTTTTGCCATGGCTCGCCAAACAGTATCTCAAGCCCAAAGCTCAGAACCCGTTGCTTTTTCGAGACCCTTCCGTTTCTTTGACCTTACAGCGGAAGTTTGGCAAAAAATTTTCGAGTATACTAATTTTGTAGCCCCCTTTCGCAAAGCCAATTGGAGCCCTGAGAGTGGTTTCCAGGGGGAGTGCGTTTTCTGTGAATGTGATGGCAGTGTCTGTCTTGAAACTAATCTCAACGACGGCTCTAGATGGTTTCTGCGGTGCTTATTCGGAAATCACAGGCAACTTGTACATAATATGTCACAGGTCGTACTAATCCAGGTGTAACTATGCTTTCAGTCCGTTGCCTCCGCTGTTGATTAGCCGGGCAATGTATAATGAGGCGATCGACTTTTTCTATGCAAGGAATCAGATCGTAATTCAACCGAGTAGGGATCTCCCAAGAACAGTTTCGCTGGGCCAAACGCAGACATTCCTACCTATCAACTTGATCCTCCAGACTTTCCTTTTATTAGGGGTAGACCTGATCCAGCAAACATAGTTGGCGCTGCCAGATTACGTAACTCTGAGGTAAGAGATTTTCCTGGACAAAGTACATGATACATGATATGACAAAGCACTTTACGGAGTGGGTTGGACCTACGGCGCTGGAACTAGTTCGGACTCTAGAGATTGTACTCCCTCGGATTGGTCTGTACTTAAAACTTTCAGATTTTGGTCGAGCTAACAGCGAGTGGTGCACGACAATTAATTATTTGCCGTCTCTGGCTATTCAGGTGGCCTTTCCAAAATTAACTCTTATGGTCCATATCTGGACGACGCCGTTGGTTAGATCTCCACACTGGAGACTTGAAAGAACGGCACACATTCTTGAGGCGCAAGCACAGCGGCTTTTCAACCCCTTACGGGAATTGCCACAGCTGAACTACTTATTTGTGCACTTGGAATGGCCACACAATTGGTCTCCTCCAAAGTTACTATATGATTTCAAGATATCCGACATGCATAAGAATGAAAGCCCAGAGGGGAAATTAGGCTCCAATGGATGCCTGCTCAAAACAAGACATTTACGAGAAGGAGATCAAGTTGGAGAAGGTGGTTATGGGACCTGATTATGACAGCTACTCGATGAGAAAAGGGGATGAGTTTCGAAGTCAATGGATCCGAGGTCAATTGGATAAGTTGCTATGAACACTAAACGCTTAGCCCCTGCGGCGCCGAAATAGGTACGCAGTTATGGTATCTTGGGTTATCGAAAATTGGGTAATACATGCATTAATTATTGATTAGAATGAAATTGGATTATAAGTTATTATATTGTGGCCACGTAACAAAATTTTGTGCCGTCGTATAGCATGCTTGAAATTACACGGATGAGGGCTTCGTCAATCATGTGATTTTTCCAAAGTGGAAATACTCATAAATAATCCTTAATGCTTGATTGCTTGCCGTCATTTGGGCCCAGCGTTGCTATCATTGGTTGCCTTGCCAGATTTTGTTTTGCACTTCCTGTCCAATTGCAGCCGCCTTAGAGAAAATGATGCTAACTTTGTCTAGTGTACTCCGTATAAGGAAGAGGATAGAAGGCGAGGTTAGAATTGCTGACTTGTGTTGGTTTAAGATAACGGGAAGCTTTGCCGGAACCCATTTTTATTGGAGCCGGCATCTGTCCGCTGGTATGCAGCGGCCGCACCCTTCTTTGTCAATCACCTGTCAAAGATCTTAGCTGTGCGAGGAAGAAGAAACCAAGCTGCCGTCTAAAGGAACGCGGTAGGAACACTCCATTGGTCTTTTTTCGATCCGTTCACAGAAAGAATATTCGTTTCTCTTATTTTTCGTGTTGTGAGGCACTCATGCATGTAACGTTGCACGGGAGTTGATTAAGCTTGTATGAAACGGCGCCAACTAGCTGTGCGAAACTCCGCGGTATACTTACCCTCTGTGGCATCAGATTGCCGTGAAATAATCACATGAGCTATAAAAATATGATATCAAATTACAAGAGCTAACCAGCGTAGTCATAACGAGGAAAAGACGGAAACTATCTTAAGACTTTGCCAAATTAACCTAACAATTTGAAACAAACTTTTTACGATTACTCAACCTTAGTTAGTTTCCTACAAATATCAATATGAGTATTAATTCTTACATGTACAACTATTTTCTTATTTACTATTCAAATAAAACGTAAAATATAACTAGCTAAATCTGGAGATATGAATAAGAGAAAAGGCCAGCTTCTCCTACGAGTACTCGCTACTTACTAATTTATGGCTCCATAGATAACAAATCCTATACAGTACGGTCTGCTACGCTCCCTGTAACAAAGTTCGGCCCTGGCAATGGCGACACGGATCCATTCAACCCTAAATTCTCATATGGCGGCTGGATCTGCACTTGCTGTGTCTTTGCTCCTTGCACAGTTCCATTCGTAATCGAGCAACCTGGAGATGCTAGAGAATATCCATTACTGCCACAAGTATCAAACGCTTTCTGTAGTGCATTGATATCTGTCCAGCCATTCACAAAGTCACCATGTAATCCGTACCCGGTTATGTCGCCATTCGCATAGACGAGGTTCTGCCAGTCTGGATAAGGCGATGTATCGTAGAAGAATTCGAGGAAGACCGAGAATATTGCGACAGGGTGGGTGGAGGGACAGACGCCAGTATTATAATCGCCAATCGCAGGAAAAGACACCTTTAAAATTATCCAAGTATTAGCTTTCAAATGTATGTATTTTTTTGATATATAGGAGCATAATACGTGAGTATGATTTGGTATGTCGAGATTCACTCCATCCCAGCATGATGGAAAGAACACTTGAGAACGCAATCGGAGACAAGCTTGGGTTGGTAGAGAGTTGGTATAAACACTGTTTGAGCTTGTCAGGCACATGTGTGACTGAGCGCGCTGAGCGAAGGTATCCGTGTAGTTCCTACACCGATGTCAACCATACGACAGATTAAACGTTCGGATTCGAGATCATACCGAATAGATGGATTTCCAGAAATCATTCGTAACCCAGACGGGGGCGCCTTGGGCATGAATCCAGACGGACACGAGGTTCGGTTCTCCGCATAGTCACAAGCACGTTGTAGATAGTAAACAGCCTATCAATGGTGATTCGTATGAGCAATTATGATCTTCTAGATAAGAATAATATAAGTAAAATCACATTTCCTTGGAAGTTCACTGCTTCGAATCCTCCATCAGATCGTATATGATATAGCAGTGGCTGCCAGTAATTGGATCTGTCAATGGCTACCGAGCAAGTGGTCCCTAGTGCATTGGGGGCCGCATCTTGGCTCATTGAACGATTGAATGCAGTGCCACCGACAACGACATGGGTATGATTACTTATGACACCGGGACTGATGACAGGATCGCCTCGCTGGATTGTAAGGACATCGCAGCTAAGAGTGAATTCGCCTTGGGCATTGGCAATAGTGACAAGAGTGACGAGGAGAGAAAGAATGCATATGGCATGAAAGTATTGCATGGTTACAGATGTCCTTTAATTAGCGTTTGGTTCGAATCTGGTAAGTTTACTTCAAATGTTATTTCTTAGGAAGTCGAGATGCTTTTATAATGATGTATCCGCTGGTAACCGTAATAGGAAATTCCTCCTACAGAATTCTATCATGAAACTATTGATCCGGGAAGGAAGTGTCAACCAATAAGGGCGCGCGAAAACGTATATAGCATAAATAAGGAATTCGCAATGCAACTTCGTTCCCGCGTTGTAACAGGCTAGTCTTGAGGCGCCGATGATTCTCCGAGGGGTTATCTGTCTCTAATATTACTTTTGAGGTAGATGAAAGTCTGGAAGCATCACTGGAAATTATAAATTGTTTGTGAGCCTGGAAATCTATCCATTTAGCTGAGAGCACTGCAGCCCTTCAGCACTGCTTTATCCCTTTCCTAACATCCCACGCATATCGTCATCTAGAAATATGGGATCCTCTTGTTAAGATATTTCGCATGGATGGAAAATCTAGTATAATATCATAAATCATACAACCGCTAGTAAATAGATCTAAATACATGTGATAGGCACGGATACACGCCACTAATCCAACCCCCTTTAACTATGTAGTTATTGACTGAAACTCGCCTTTTTCTGAAGAGTGTTCTTCATATTCATGAGGTCACTTGCCGGAATCGCGTCAGCCCGAGCTTAAACAAGCTATAATATTAGATGTACATTTATAGGAATCGATATTTATATTTATTGTAAATGTAGAAGTATTGCGCCAAGATGATTCTGTTATCAAGATATTCGTGAAATAACTGGTTCGTTTTACGTGCTACCACCAATGAGTGGCTCTGGACGAAGGTGCTTGGAGCTTCACATGGAATTGATACCACTACAGCTTCAGGCAGTCTCACCGAGGCGGTTAAAGAGATTACGCGGGGCAACGGAACATCTATTAAAATCGATACAACTAGTGCAGTTCAACTCATTCAGCGGGGAATCGAGGTCACTGCAAACCAGGGTAAGATGATCCTACTCAGAGTAGCACCTAAGGATGCAAGTATTGAGATCAAGCTTGCTCAGTACATGATAGTAAGAAAAGAAGAAAAGAGCACCGATTTTGACTAGCGGTATGATATACTGACGCTCACTAGACTGGTGAACAACTCCTAGGCAGTATGGAAGGAGAAATTTAGTATGAGGAGGTGCTTTTACTAAACGCTAAGGAGAAAACCTTTCACAGGTAATCGAATAGTTTGTAGAACATTCCTCGAATGATTGGCTGGAACCGAACGGATAAATTTCCTTTGTATCAACGTCAATGTGGTGAGGTTCCATGTCTACAAGGTAACGACACGTTCAATATATAGGAATGCAGCGACTGTTGACATCAAGCCAAGATATCCGATTTCAAAGATGCCATCCATGGTATGGAGAGTGGAATCGCAATAAAACTGGTACTGATCTGGGAGTTTGCTTGTGTGTTTCCCAAGGTATAGCTGCATTTATCGATTGAAGGTATCGATAGGTATGAAAAGAATTCAACCATTAGGTCAAATTAACTATAACTTACATTTATCTACCTCCTTTTATCTAAAGCTTTCCAGTCTATTTTCTCAATTCACCCAACAGACGGATCATACGAGTCTTTAGCATACTCTTGATCCCAGTCCCGATATGTCACTAGTGGCCACCGATCCTCACGAAAATCATCTGGAACGTAAAATCGCTCGATCTCGATTTTGGACCGATCCACAACCCATGCCCCAGCCTTGAGTAGTATAATCTCGATCTCGGGTAGTTCCTTGGCAACAGACAGTCGCAGGGCTGCGTTCATACTCCGAATCCACTCCCGAGCCTGGAGTTCGTTGTCCTGATGCGATGCCAACAACGCCTTCACGGTGTTCTTGTTGCGTCCGATCACAGCGTGTTCGAGAGGCGTCCGGAAGTTTGAGTCCCTGTCTAGGGAATCTGCGCCACGGTCGAGTAGTTCAATTACCTCGCTAGCCGTTCCATTCGTGCAGGCACGATGCAGTGGGGTGAAGCCGAAATGGTCTCGTTCAAAGATGAATTCTTCTCTGCGAGGAAGTAGCCACTGCGTAACTGCCTCATGCTGGTGTCGAATACTTAGATGTAAGCACGTTTGGCCATAGAGGTCTGTTAAATTCATATCGGCATCATTTTCTAAGAGGATCGGGGCTACGTCCGCAGTCCCACTCCGGATGGCGTGGTGCAAGGGCGTTCTACCATAGGTGTCTTTTGCATTGACCCGAGCTCCCTTTTCAATGAGCATCTGGACGGCCGACATGTTCCCCGTCTGTGCCGCGTAGTGAAGTGGTGTACACTTGGTTTTGTCGACGAGGTTCACCGAAGTATGCCTGCTCTCAACAAATTTTTTAATAACAGATCCTTCAAGCCATAATGAAATAAGGTGAATCAAACTAAGTCCTTGTCTAGTCTTTCCAAAATCTCGCTTTGTCAACCGGGTGAAGTACTCTACGCCGCATCGATAGCCATCCTCGGCGGCCAGGTGAACCGGGGTAAACCCGCGCTTATCTTTGAGAAAAATGTCTGCTTTTGCAGCTACAATCCACGTAATCATGGTCAGATTGCGCTTGGAAACGGCGAGGTGTAGGGCAGTCATTCCATCTCGGTCTTGTTGGTTGATCTGGCCGGCGCACAGGTCCGTGATCTCGGTTTCTCTAATCTCCCAGTCAAATTCCAAAGCCCAGTGAAGCAGAGTTCGTTTGGCATGGTCTTTTGGAAGTGGCTTGATATTGTGATCATTCATGAGTCTTCGCACAATATCTTCCCAATTTTGGTTTGCACAGAGATGGAGAACACTATACCGACCCAAGCTATTTATCTTCTGAATTTGCTTAGTTGACAGACGTTTGAGATACTGGAGGAAGGTAATACGGCGTCCATAAAACGCCAACGTGCTGACGGGGCTGAGTCCAGAGTAATAATCGACGTGAAGCAGCTGGCGGTCACTCCGAGTCAGAAGGTCACCTTCTACACGATTCCACTGGTGCACGCGAGCGAGTTCCAGTAGCCGGGTCTTAGAATTCAGCGTACGCATAGTTTTCTCCCAGTCTACACCCATCATTTTCAGCACGGCGTCCTCCCACATCGGATGCTGAAAAGCCATGACTAGGGCAACTTCACCCTCCTCATCCGTCAGCCAGATGTCTACATAAGGCTGCTCCAGAAGAATTTCAACTGAGCTATGACGCTTATGATTTATTGCCATAAGTAGAGGGGTCCGATTGAATTCGCCCCTGCAATTCAAGTTGGTACGCGAGTCGGTGACCATCCGCTGCAGAAAAAAGGGATTCTCGCTGATAGCTGCCAGATGTACAGCCGTGTTGCAGCCCGTTGTTCCTAAATTGATTGACACAAGGTCACTCCTCATCAGCGCCAGAAAGGCCTCTTGACGATCACAAATGACGGCCCATCCTAGAGGGGTTACATCTCGTGGACCGAGGAGATTTGGGTCGATATCTGAATCAAGCATCGCCTTGATAAGTCTTCCAGAGTCGCCTCGGAGTATAGCATTAAGCAACGGGTGCGAGAATTTGGTGACAGGCATAAACCGGGCGATTGTCTTTGTGAATAGGGTGATCTCGGTCCAAAGCAGATGGAAGTTACTCCCAACCGAAGATTTGAAAAATTTAACGGCTTCTCTATCCAGCATCGGGGATGGCGTTGCTTTTAAATAATGTTCAAACCAGTAGCGCAAAGCATATAACAGGCAAGACGTTCTGCTGCTTTTTTGGATTTTAGATTTTAACGTTGTTATTATCATCATAGATCTTTTCTCCAGGGGCAAATTAAGTCTGTCGGCCTCATCAAGCGCTTCACGAACGATGCTGAGGATCTTGTTTCTGTTAAACTCGAATCCCTCAGCCTGAAATATTTTGATGCACATGTAGAACATGATTGCATGTGAATCTGACTCGGTCCGAATATATTCTTGAAGCACTTTGGCATTTTCTGGGTTTTTGGTTTCTCCCGCAAATAAGTCTTTTGCTGACTGATGGGCAAAGTTCACGAGCCCATTGTCGTTCTTGTGCACAATATATCCGCAGCGCTCGTGGATATAAAACTCGAAATCCGATCGTTCTTCTTCGACTGCTCGCAGGTTGAATGTCATTGAATTACAGTTAAAGTTCCAGATAGTCACTAGCAGAGACAGCTGTCTTGATGAAAGCCTTTCAAAGCTGATTCGTAATATTGCAAAAGCCCTGCGGGCCTCCTTTCTCCATTGTGTTGGTAGCCTCTTCAGAAATCCACAGTAAACCGTCTCCAGGTTAGAAGACAGCTTGTGTATCTCTTGTACTTGAAGCCGGATTGCATCCCTGGACCAGACTTTGACCCCGTCTGAAAACTGTCTCCAAACTAGAGACGCCATGAGAAAGTTCCCACCCGAGATTTCCAAGATTTTTGTCTCAACTTCTATGCCTGCCAGGGGGTTGATTCGCGCACGCTCCAACTGGCCGCGAACCTGTGCTCTAATATACTCCTCCACAATTTGTCGAGTCGCCAGATTGTCTACATCCAGTATAGCAGGTTTTACACTTCTCGAAAACCCCTCATTCGGTCGCACCCGATCGGTAATCAGCAGTCTCATGTGGCCACTCACATCGGCCGACAACAACTGCTCTAGTCGTTCCAGAACAGAGATATTCGATGTCTGCACCCGCGAAAGCTCGTCTACGGCATCAACCACAAATTGAAAAATAATGCCCCGAGAATACTGGATGATAGACAGCAGACACGCCCACAGAGTCTCTTCATCCAGGTCCAGTCGGTTTAGATGAACGTTGTCAAGGTATCGAACCACAAAGCCAGTACGACTATCATTGAGGATCTGGTAAAGAATGGAACTCGCAAATGCTGTACTAGTCTGGGTTTTAGGGTCTTTGTCGTCAAAGAAAAAGTAGACGGGCTTTCGGATAATTATATCCGGAGAGGTAGACGTCTCGCTCAGCTTGTTGAGATAAATAATGACCGTTTTACTCAATACGGTCTTGCCGGAGCCTGGGGGTCCATATAACCACAGAACGCGACAACCTTGATATGCCATCCAGGACTGAAATGAAGCGTGAGTGAAGAGCCACTGGTGGGATTGTCCCCACGGCAGAGGCACACGGCGGAGCATGTCTACTTCATTGATCACGCGCAGCCTTCTCAAAAACATGTCTTGAGTGGGTGTGAAGTCTATTACCAACAAATCTTCCGTGTAAGCCAAGATAATCCATTTCAAATAGGTCAAATTTGGGACTAGAAATTATAGAAATGATATATCTAAATAGTCAAGACGTACATGACTTTCCCGCGAGCTTCACCAACGTCTCAACGATCTCATCAATACAGTCACGCACCCGAATGTAGCTGGGGTTGGAACTGGTCAGAAACTTGCATATAGTCTGATGGTTCGCTTCCAGCGGAACGGCCGTTTCGTTGGGCAGATGCAGAACGGCAGAAAATTCATCGACAACCTGTATATACCACTTTACCGTCAAATTCCTCTCACGTAGATGAAAAAAAGTAGGTAGTAACTGAGATCTTACCAGGCTATTGATTACTGGCATTGTCAGTCTCTCGTACAGACTGAATATCTGTAGTGTCATCCCACGTTCCACAAACTGGGCACTTATAGTATCCAGTTCGCTCGACTTAGGCTGAAGATTGTCGAGCAGATCCTGTCTTAGCCGTCCAAGGACAGCGATGTTGGCAAATTTTGTCAGTAGGCCAGACCAGTATGCCATGTTTGAGCCTCGGTGAGGGGTGCCCAAAAAGACGACGCCTTTTACCGATGCTGCAACAGAACCATATGTCATAGTTCGTTCGTGCGCAACAATCAGTGCCTGTCAACGCCGTTAGATGTTAGTTTCCACGATGTTGCTCTTCCTCAATTCTGCGTATCTGACCTCTTTAAATACAATTCCACCCAGACTATGGCAGACGAATATTGTTTTAACCTTAAGTAATCCCCACTATCAGTACAATGCTAGAATTATCGTACGAGAATCTCTCACATCATCATTTGCCGTCCGTCGACGAAGCTGCCTCAAACTCTCAAGCAGCTGAATCGAATAATCACGGATTGTGGACTTCGAGCTGGTAAATGCTAGTCCAGCATTATATCCAAACGTGAGAATGCGCGCTCTGTTCAGGTCCTTCGGCAAGAAATCGCGAAGCCATAATTTCTGACCATCTGTCCAGGTCTTATACGGATGACCACCAAGACCGTGAATCGCAATGATACTGCACTCAACTAGTTAGTAGTAAACCTGAGAAATAAGAATATTAATCAGCTGTATTTACTCAACGTTAGTTTCGACCCCCGAAGATCCGGAAAGTTCGGGATCTGGATATAGCTGGAATAGGCCAACAGGCTGGTCGTCAGGCTCTTCTGTTTCTGGAACAGGAGGCGCTGGACTGCGACGTCCGAACCTTCTCATCTTCCAAGCATGAGAATTCCCTCGTTGAGTCTAAAAATTGGTGTAAGTGGAAAATATCTCGAGCTGAGAGGCGGCAATATCCAAGATAAAACACCCCGCCCAGTCAACTAACTGAGCGGGGTATTGGCATGACAAACTCAGTTCAGCCTCACGCTGACCCCAAAATAGCATGCAAATTGATAGTGGCGGCTGTAGTATTCATAGTGGAGCTGTTATTATCTATTGTAACACCTACGAGTTTCGAGGCTTCTCAGCCAATCGGCTATACTGACCCTCGCGCATCTTTTGCATGATCAGGCTGCCGACTGTACTAGATGTTTGAAATTTCCTTTTCGTTTCTTTTTCAGTTTATAATATAATTTTTAGATGTTATAATATATATATGATATTATAGAACTCTTGCTCTATGTAGTGGGCTTCTAGAAAAGAACTTGTGGCCTGCATTCGGGAGCCGCTTTGAGTGATATATGGAAGGCGAGTACTAAGTCTTGTCAGTCTTGTCATACTTTAAGACTGGGTTGGCTTCTCCCTTATGATTCCATCATGTGCCTAAGCATTATCACTAAAGCGCCAATGCTTGGCTGACTCGGATTCAAATATTCAAAATAAGACATAAGTTCAAATGTGGCGTTCGCGAATTTTCCATTATTATATCGATTTTCTTCATAGATACCTTTCGGGCAATGTAGAAGCCACACTTTTTCTCTGAAAACATTCATGGTTACGAATGACAAGCAATTTGAGACGAAAGCTCTACGGGCCACTATATACCCCCCCTCCTGGATGGTGGGGGGGATTGCGCGGCAATACGGCTAGCCCTAATTCCCAACCCCAAGAAACAGAAAAACACAACTTCGCTACAGAACACCCATATACGCGCACCCAGATCAGCTGGCCAAACTAAGACAACTACTGCTTATTTAGGGAAAGAGTCTGGACATTACAGAATGCCTTGAGGCTATTCCATTCGGTACCAAAACCGCTCTCTTTGTGGCCCCCAAAAGGAGCGATACAAAGTGAGTGTTGACCCATACACCAGCAGCTTGCATCTGTCTGGCAACTCTCTCGGCTTTCTTCAAGCCATTGGTCCATACGGATGCGCCTAGGCCCATGAGGGTATCGTTGCCTCGAGCAATTACTTCATCCTCGCTCTTCCACGACAAAGCGGTACAATGGGCGCTGAATAGTTGAGTTGGTAACTGTTCGTCCAATTAATTGATCAAGGTTCATGCCAGTTACCGAACGGCTCTTCCACTCTATCCGAGAATTCTCGGGCGGCCGGTCAATAACAGTAGAAGTAATAAAGCTACCATCGGAATCGTTAATTTTGCCTCCTCAGGCCACCTTCCATCCTTTTGTCTCAATGTCTTTAAAAAAGGGTTTAACGCGCTCGTACTATGGAGTTCTGAAGAGGCACATGGGTGATACCGGGTTGAGATCCATGACCGAGAGTTAACACAATATACCACGGCATCTTTAAATTCCTCGGAGACGAATTCATGGACATAAATGCGTTTGATGTTCAAACATATCTTCAAAGTAAGTAATAAGTAAACAAACTATTGAAAATTGGAAGTAGGGATAACAAGAAGGATATTATCTGTACTGAGTTGAGGGAACCAAAAAATGCCATCTAAACTCTCGCGTCAGCATTATTCACTGACAAATTTATTGGCCTTGTAAATATTTCTAAGTTTAGATGGCCTTTTCTGCAACTTTCGCAATGTCAACATCCGGGAACACAGTAGCTAGGTCGTTGCCACCACTAAATGCGGCATCCTATTAGCCCAATTTTTTAATCTTAAAATCACCAGACCCCAGAACTCACAGCTCAAGAGTAACCCTTTCAAAGTCTTACTAGCACTTTTCGAACTGGCTTGCTCAGTAATAGTAGACCCGGTGACGATGATCCTGTCAATGCGCGGATAACTGGTAAGCCATGGACCGAGATTATCATCTTCACTGAGTGACTGAACAACTTCTTTGGGGAAGAATTACTGGGCTAACCCGACAAGTCGCAAGCCGCAGTAGGGAGATAAATGGTTAGAGGGTATTGTGTCAGAAGCTTGCACCGGGTAGGGATAGAGACCCTCGACATGTTTCTGCTCACGAAGGCTTCACAATAATGACGTTTCCCATAAGCAGAGCTGGTGCAATTTTGGTAGCTGCATGCATAAGAGGAAAGTTCGATGACACGATTGCTCCAACAACACCATGTGATGTATATGTTGTAATTACCGTACGATACTTATTGTCTTCGATGATATCTTCGGGCAAAGGGATGTCAGACAACCCACGTATCCATGAGATAGTCCATTCTACCTCGTTGTCGGTTTGAGGTATCTGCTTGTCGATCTCTTAACATAATCTGACTGAATGCCAACTCTTACACAAACAGGTGAGCAACATCTGGAGAGACTCACCGGCCTCCTCTGTTCCGAAAAGAGGAGATCTCTAAATTCCGCCTTCAATTGATCCACTGCATTTGTCAAGGCAAGAACCACACTGCGTCGTTCCTAATAAGGAGCCTTTGACCACTTCTTAAAAGCCTCCTTGCCTACAGAAACTGCCATTTTCCAGGTCATCTGGAGTTGCCACCAGCACTTCCGGCCTGGGCCTTAGGTTGGCTAGGTTGATGCCATGTTGCGTGTTCTTCGCGGGAGGACTCACTCTGTTAATAATTTGAGCAAAGCTATTGTTCAAATCTAAGGGAACCGCTAACTAGTTCTGTGATTCTTTATGCTGGACGGTGTATAAAATTAGGCTAGGGAAATGTACGAAATGTACCGTTACGTGCAATATGTAGATGTAATACAACCTGGTCAAATTTGACCTGAGCTATTCCGTGTTTCAGCTTTATTTTTCGTATGGCATGTCATAGGCAGTTCGATTTAGAATAGACAGAGGTTCTATACATCTGACCCAATGGCTGTTCCAACTTTATAAATTATATTCTCCCTAAATTTGGGTATGAGACAATTCAGCTCACTACAGCATGACCCATGCAATCAATCAAGCAGACAAGACGGGAAGCAGGAGATGAGGTGTCGAGAAACAATACTAGGATGAAGTATGATTGCGGTTATTTCCAACAAGGCAAATAAAAAGAAAGGAAGAAAAATCTACTATTTTCCATGCTGTTCAGTAGGAGAAAAATTATTTCCATGCGTTAAGGCCAGCCCATGGATCATTGCCTGGAGAGGGTCCCGATTGAGAGTTTTTATGGTGATGTTGACTGGCACCATAGGGCCTGACTTGAGCATACCCACCGGGGCCGGACGGGTACGGACCCGTTGATTGTGGATATTGGGTTTCTGACGGACGTGGGGGAGGAGGGGGTGGTATGTAACCGGGAGGGATGAATTGAGGAGTATGAGAAGGCGCGGGAGGATGAGGGGTGCCAGTGCTTGGGGGGTACCCAGAATAGGGAACCGGTGTGCTGGATGTTCCTGGATGATAATATGCTTGGTTCGGGGGCGGCGATACGGGTGTTTGGTAAGGATATGCCATTGGGTTATAACCTCCCGATAGAGGTGTTGCAGCGCCTTGTTGGAATGACGGCGCGTAATATCCGGCCATCGCTGTTTGCGGCATGTACTGCCCGTAAGGAGCCGGTGACTGTGAAGGGGGAGGTGCTGCAGGTGTGGTAGAGGGATAGTGAGGTGAGGGAACAGGGGGTGATCTTGTGCCACTGGAAGCCTTGGACGATGGCACCGGCCGTTGTTGTTTGGTTGGTGAGGTTGATGGTACAGCGGGTTCCGTTGACAGACGCTCCATCAACTGCCTGAGCTTCTCTCTTTCGCGGTCTTCCTGTCCCGATGCGCTATTGACTTTATCTTGTTCTATTTGGTTGAGCAACTGAGCCCCCTCCGACCGGCGATTGCTGACAAACGTTTCAACATTCTTTCGCAAATTCTCCACGGTATCTCTCATTTCATCGTAGAAATTTTGTGCTTGAGAAACACCGGAAATCAGGTCTTTGAAAGCTGTGTAGATTTTATTATAACGCGCCATTACGGTATTTCGCTGTCGAGTTATCGTTTCATACTTTGATTGCTCTGATCGAACTCGTTTATCTTGCAGAAGATCACCATAAGTTTTGGTGAGGTCTTTCATCAATGAGGTTTGGCTATGGTTAGACTTGATGATCCGATTCTGATAGGCTCGGAACTTTTCTAGTTCAGTCTGGAACAGTTGTTGTTCCTGTCCGGTACCTAAACTTTTCTTGTTGAGAATAAGAACATTGGTGATATCATCCTCATGAATCTAATAAATAGTTAGTTAAGACAGTGAGACATCCATCTACCGATTTTTTGACCAAACTTGCCTTCTCTTTCAGGTCTTTCAACACCTGTGATCGTTCTCGTTTTACAAGGTTGAGTTTCTTCAGCAAGTCCTCCACTTTAGCAATCTGTTCCGCGACAGTCATGCTCACTTCATCGTCGACCTCATCCAGCAAGGTTCCTTCACTAGGAGAATACGGTGTTGTTTGACCATTACGGGAAGACTTTTGCTTTGAACCGGCTTTGATCATTGCACGTTGGTATAAAACATCAGCCTCGTCTGTCTCTCCTGCTGACCGCATTTCGTCGAAGTCGGCCTCGTATTGTTTCAGGGTCGCATTCAATTGGGTATCACTTGCACTTGCCTCACTTGTGGTGTCCCGTAAACTCCTGATGTCGCTTCGAAGCGTAGCAGTAAGCCGAGAACTGGGCTGCTGGGTCCAATCTGCACCGTATTTTGACCGCATCTTCTCGCACACACTTTCCTCCATATCCAATTGCCTTGTGCATTGGCCTAGCATATCAATAACTATCGCCTTGTTCTCTTGGAGCTCATCGATTGTCTTGTGAAATCCTTGGTGACCTGCCATTTCTGTACACCATTTCCGAAACTCTTCATCTACCGTCACCTCCTGGTCCATTCCACCCTTCAAGATATTCAAGCTAGCCGGAAGCTTGAGGTAGTCTAGGCTAGCTGCCATTTCCCCATTGGCTGTCTCCACTCTCTCCGTCTCTGCTCGAATCAATTTGGCCTTTTCCTCATCATACAAACTTGCCGACTCTGTAACTGACATCGGAACCAGTTTCTGGAAAATGTCAGGCCCAATAATTCGCTGGATATCTTGTCCTTGGTATAGTTCGCTGACTGGTATAGCTTTGGCGGCGGGTAACTTGGCAACGGCTGATAGACCAGCTTCGTTTGGAACAGGCTGGTGATAAATAAAGTCATTGTCTTTAATCATCGAAGCTACTGTTTCTTGAACTGTTGTTTGATGTTTTTTTATCAGCTCTGCTATAGTAGTCCCAGCATCTGCAGCGAGGTTGGAGCTTGCGGGTATTGTTGATGGAAAGGACTTGGCCCAGGTTGCAGCAGTAGCAGATAACTTTTCAGCGAGCTGCAACCTCGCAATAGCGACTCCGTGAGAATTGCTTTCCGCATCAGCCATTGCCTGATAGTAGCTCGCGACCGAGGCCAAGTGTGATGCTTTAGCCTGTAGCATCGAAACCCAGGTTTTATCAAATATGTTTTTGCCAACATACTCTTGCGCTGTATCAATAGCCTGCGAATATAGATACCCTGCTTGACTAGCGAGCTTTGCGAGAAAGGCGGGTTTTTTGCCATCCGTAGTTTGTTTCTCCAGGAATACCTCTTGCGCCTGTGCGAGGGTGATGCTGATAAGAGCCTTGACAGTTGTGCGACTCAGATCGGTCGAAGGAGCGTGTAAGAAATTCTCATTGATATATGTAAACATGCCGGCCGATGCCTGGAAAGAATGATATGCTGTCTTTAGCCCGGTGTCGTCGGCGCGGTTCTGGTTTGCGGCATGACAAGAAAGTACGGCTGAAATGTTGAATAGAATGGACGCTTTCTCGAAAGCGAGGGAAAATTGGGAGGTGGACTTGTTGGTGAACGCATCAAACCTATTTATCATGCCAGTTTGTTAGCCTTGCAAAGCACAATAAAGCCGAGAGGAGGAGTCACCATATAAACGATATCTTGATGTGGTTCTCGTCAACTGGAAACCGAAGGTCCAACAGCTCGAGCTGCCCATAGTATCGATATAAAAGATCCCTCCCTGATGCACTATCCTTGCCTGCACCGCGCATATCCTGACGCAAGCGGTTCAAGGTCGCGCATTCTTCGTGGTATCGCTCTGGGTCATCGCCGTAAGCAGATCGAATGTAATCCTTGAGCGGCTGGATCCAGTCAATCTCGCTGGTCTGCTTGAGCGGACACGAAATCATCGGTGACTGGACCATGGTGAAAGTAGATAGGAGCAGAAGCTCCTATCGCAAGTCGATGAACGTGGAGAGCAGAAGAGGGCTGACGGTGGCAGTTGCGGTGTTGACGACGTCAGGCAGGTAGGTGGCCAGACAGGCGCGGGACGGGCTGTGGGGTTGTGAGCGACTTGCTTTATCGGTGCCCACTGCCCACCCAGCGCATACAATCACTGCCAGAGAGTCCCAAAGAACGACAATTCTGCTGCCTGACACGGTCCCGTTTCACTCTACAGTGTCTGCTTCTAGTCAAAGCTGACTGGCGACTGATCGATGATGGCAGAGGTGAAGCGAGAGCCCAAGCAATTTAAGTCAGCAGGCGCTATCACGGTGCTGCTGCTGGAAGACTACTAATATCATCCTAGTGCAAGGACTCAAGGAGGCGAACCCGAACGGCGATAGTGTGAAGAAGCTAGACCAGACCCCAGAAGCAGGCAGTTTAACTGACGATAAATCTTCACGTTTTTCGGCATAGGCGCCTGCAGGTCGAGACACAGGGAATGTAGCGATAGACGCTGTGGTTGGCTGCTGCGCTGCACCTAGGGAGCCGCCGTCACGCCCCTGGATTGCACCAACCAATGCGCAAGGACGGGCTCGGGCTCTGGAGGCCACTCCAAATGATTGTCTACAATGGTTCTGTGGTCTGTTCTCGACTGCCAAGAGGTTTCCGCGCTTCGAAATGCATCCTTTGCCAGAGGATGGGACGAGAGGAAGTGTCTTTAGGACGTTCCATATATTTACAGGCCAATCGCACGAGCTTGTGAAGCAAAAGGTGGGAGATTTTTCCGATGCTACTAATGTACAACAGAACTCGCGGTGTCTCCGCCTATCTAATAACTATGATACATTTCAAAAGCCGTCGACCTGTACAGAAGCGACAGCAGGACGAATAAATTAAGACGCCCTCCTGGTGAAAGCCAACACCAACTCGCCAGCGCTATGAGTAAGACCAATTTTGTGCAGCGGAAAAAGAAAGATATGATAAATAGATGGAAATATGGCATAGACGAACCTGCACATGAGGCAAAGCGCAGTTCAGCTAGACCCCGATGCCCTTTTAGGCTCCTCTTGGTCGGATGCCGGGCCGTTCTTCTTTGGGGATTCGGATGGTTTGTTGTTGCCCTCAGCTGCTTTGTGTTGGCTCGTGAGACGATGCCATGCGGATTTAAGAAAGCCTTCGGATTTGTGACTATCACCAGACGATCCAGTCGAGTCAGAACCAGAACCAGGTGGCGCGTTACTTGCGGATTGTTAGTCGTTTCGGATTGACCGTCGGTAGAGAATCGAAACTTACTTGTCCTTGCCAACGTTCATGACACGCTTCGCTGTCTTGTCGCCCATCTCATCAGCAAGGACTTCGAGGATCGTCCTCTGGTTCTCACTCAGATATCTCGGCATTTGGACCTTGAATTCGACGCGCAGGTCGCCAGACGAGCTCAGGCCGCGACCCCGGCCACCCAGTTTTCGCATTCCCATTCCTGGAAGGGTGATCCGGTCGCCCGTACCTGTGCCTGTAGCGACCTTGACCTTTACTTCACCATCAAGAGTCGGTACCGTGGCTTCTCCTCCCAGTAAAGCGGTGGTTAAGGGAAGAGATGCGGTGTAGAGGATATCTGAGCCGGAACGACTGAAGCGGTGATCTGGTGCAACACGAATAGAAACATAGAGGTCTCCACGCTGTGTTCGAATACCAGCATCCGCTGAGCCTGTTGGAGGGGAGTCACCTTCGCCAGCGACTCGGAGTCTCATACCATCCTCCACACCTCCGGGTATATCAACATGAACAGTTCGACGATCTCGAACCACACCTTGACCATTACACGTGCCACAGTCGGATCCACGAGGAGTAACCATCCCAGAACCGTTGCAGGCATCACATGTACTGGCCAGTTGGAACCCGCCTTGCATAAAATGCACCCGAGTGCCTGAACCATTGCACGACTTACATTGCGTTCTTTTGGCGCCCTTTTTGAGACCACTTCCAGAACAGGTGTTGCACTGCGAAAGCGGTGTGATAAAAATATCCTTTCCAGCTCCCTTCGCTGCTTCCATAAATGATATATTGGTCTGGACCTCGATATCCTCTCCTACGAGAATAGATTCATGCGGCGAAGCGCGCCGCTTTCCACCCCGTCGAGCCCCTCCAGTAAACGCGCCAAATAAATCTTCAAAGTTGATATCACCAGCAAATCCTCCAGGAAAGCCGCTGCCGAAGCCGTGAAAGCCGCCGGCGCCAGCGAACGGATTTCCCCCAGCAGCTGCGTGCGGATCGAATCCTCCACCCTGGTCGAAGGCTGCAGAACCATAACGATCATATGTCTCTTTCTTCTTAGTATCAGAAAGAAGTTCGTATGCGGATTGGGCTTCTGCAAATTTGTCCTTGGCCCCAGGCTCCTTGTTTGTATCCGGATGATATTTCTTGGCCATCCCGTAATAAGCTTTTTTGATTTCTCCCGCAGACGCATCTTTGCCGACTCCCAAAACACTGTACGGATCTTTCATTGCCTGGAGCGTAGCAGAGGTATGGAATTTCTATAAATTTTATCAGAATAGTTAGCTACCTAGCATAAATCGAAAGAGAGAGATAAAAGGAACTCACCCTCGTCCGTAAGGTATTGTTGAATGATTGCGGTCCATTGAAAGGCCGGCTGGGAGGAGACGAAGATCGCTGATTATGAAAGGAGCGAGTATTGAACTGCTGGGAAAGACCATGACTATTCCCCGTACATGATCGCGGCGCTCTGATAAGTATTCTTGTAGGAAGAGCAACTGCCTTAGGCAGTCCCGCGGGTGTTGCGCCCATCTCGCTCCCTCTTCACACACTTGCAAACAGAGAAGAGCGTAATGGTGTAGTATACAGTCGACTTGTACCTCCTTGGATGAATATCTCGAAATTGCGGTCGTCGCTCTGACGTTGCGAGCTGTTTACGAAGCTAGAGGAAGTCTTGTTGAAAAGTTTCCCGAGCACATCGCGGAACCCGGAAGAACTAATCGCCGCGATGATCTCAGAGGTTCCCCGACTTTCGGAGGTAAGAGCATATTGATTTATCAGACAGACCGCTGGCAAGTCTGCCGAGCACGCACGAGTTCCTCGACATTCATCTCTTCCTCTCTCAGGTACCCCTTATTGCCTTCATTGCTCGCGTTTTTCTTCCTTTAATATATTCAGACTCGGCGATTCCCTTCAAGCTTGTGGGAACGGCCGGTTCCCTGCTTGATTCGCAAAGCTTCATATAGCATGCTTCGAGGCCAGGTTATATCATGGAGAGCTGCACTCCATCGTGCGCCACGCTATGTGGTTCATAGGTCATCGCCGCCTCCGATTCATATATATGCGAATGTACGATTACCATATAATGAGACAACGCTAGTGAGATCGTCAATCGCCACTCCTCGGTCTTTCTCATCAAGCTCCATTCGGCCAAAAGACAAGCCGCAAACCCCGGAAGACACGCCTGACGAAGTGGAAAATAATGATGAAAATAAGGAAGGGAAAACAACGAACAAACCCACAGAAACTCGACGAAAGTCTGGCGATGCGGCGGATAAACAAAGCTCCTCTCAAGCTTCAGATGCGCCTAGTCGACGGAAAGAAAAACCGAATACAGAGAAAGAAGACCAAGGGACAGTGGAAGACGCCAAAAAGAGCTCGAATGCTGAATCTCAGCGAAAAGCTCGAGAAAATAAATCCGATTCCAACTCGCCCTCCCCCATTCCGGTTTCCGGTGGTGGTACGGACTCGAAGCCGAGCGGTGGCAGCGATGATGGCAGCAAGAAGGGGAAGAGGGGGGAAAAGGCCTTGCAAAAGCCCTTTGTTCCAGATGTGTACCCACAAGTGATGGCTATTCCGATTGCGCGACGTCCATTGTTTCCAGGATTTTACAAGGCGATTACCATTCGAGACCCGAACGTCGCCGCGGCTATACAAGACATGTTGAAACGCGGACAGCCATACGTCGGGGCTTTTCTCTTTAAGAATGATGACGCTGATGGTGATGTAATTGAAAATTTGGATGATGTTCACGATGTTGGAGTATTTGCACAAATTACCTCTGTGTATCCGATCAAGTCAGATGAAGGCTTGACGGCGGTCCTGTACCCTCATCGAAGGATTAAAATGTCGTCTTTGCTGGCCCCGAACGATCCAGCACGAACTGGTATTGTCGAGCAGGCGACGACAAAGACCCCAACGGAAAAGCGGGGAGATGTGGTCGCGAGCTTCGAAGAGGCGTCTGCCGATCAAATATGGAAGGGACCGAATCATTATGAGCCGACTGCTTTCTTGCGCAAATATCCAGTCACCCTGGCCAATGTCGAAAATCTCTCGGAAGATCCCGTTGACAAGAAAAGTCCGATTATTCGAGCGGTCACCAGCGAAATCGTCAATGTTTGCAAGGAAATCGTTCAATTGAACCCACTTTTCCGAGATCAAATATCGGCTTTTGCCACGGATCACTTTCCCGGTAATCTTGGCGATGAGCCTGGCAAATTGGCTGACTTTGCTGCTGCGGTCTCGGCCGGTGAAGCGCAGGAAATGCAAGAAGTCTTAGAGTCAATGAACGTGGAAGATAGACTTCCCAAAGCGCTTGTTGTTCTAAAGAAGGAATTGATAAATGCGCAACTACAATCAAAGATTTCGAAAGACGTCGAGGCTAAGATCCAAAAAAGACAGCGGGAGTACTGGCTGATGGAGCAGATGAAAGGGATTAAAAGGGAACTCGGCATCGAATCCGATGGCAAGGACAAGCTTGTCGAGAAATTCAAAGAAAAGGCTGAGAAGTTAGCTATGCCCGAAGCTGTCAAGAAGGTCTTCGACGAGGAACTAAACAAACTAGCTCACCTGGAGCCCGCCGCCTCTGAATTTAATGTCACTCGAAACTATCTTGATTGGCTTACACAAATACCATGGGGCCAGAAGAGTGTGGAGAATTTTGGCATCAAGAACGCGATGTCCGTGCTAGACGAGGATCATTATGGTTTGAAGGATGTCAAGGACAGAATTCTTGAATTCATTGCCGTTGGTAAACTACGCGGGTCAGTAGAGGGCAAGATTCTTTGCTTGGTCGGTCCACCTGGTGTGGGAAAGACCAGTATTGGAAAATCGATTGCTCGTGCTCTCAACAGACAATACTATAGGTTTTCTGTAGGAGGTTTAACAGATGTTGCTGAAATCAAGGGTCATCGACGAACTTATGTCGGGGCACTTCCCGGGCGCATTATTCAGGCTTTGAAGAAGTGCCAAACTGAAAACCCTCTTATACTTATCGATGAAGTCGATAAGATTGGACGTGGTCATCAGGGTGACCCATCTTCCGCTCTCCTTGAACTGCTTGATCCGGAACAGAACTCATCTTTCCTTGATCATTACATGGATATCCCAGTTGATCTATCCAAGGTATTGTTTGTCTGCACGGCGAATGTCACCGATACGATCCCACGACCGTTGCTGGATCGTATGGAAATCATTGAGTTGTCTGGTTATGTTTCTGATGAGAAGATGGCCATCGCTGAAAAGTATCTTGCTCCTGCTGCCAAAGAACTTAGTGGATTGAAGGATATCGATGTCAATCTAGAGCGAGAATCTATCGAAGAGTTGATCAAGTCATACTGCCGTGAAAGCGGTGTCCGAAATTTAAAGAAACAAATTGAAAAGGTCTATCGCAAAGCTGCTTTGAAGATTGTTCAGGATATTGGCGAAGACGTCTTATCAGAGGAGCAGGCATTGACGGAAGAAGGAAAAAATGCGAAGGAAGAGACCGACAAAGAGAATATCGATCCTCAGGATGTCTTAATTGAGCCTGAAAAGGCTAGAACTGAGGTTCCACGCGTTGCGCTGAAGGTGCCCGAAAGTGTCCATGTCAGTATCAGCAAAGACTCACTGAAAGATTTTGTGGGCCCTCCAGTCTTCACGTCAGATCGTCTCTACGACACTTTCCCACCAGGTGTCACCATGGGTTTGGCATGGACAAGCATGGGTGGCGCCGCCCTCTACGTTGAGTCTATTCTCGAGAATGCGCTCACATATGATTCGCGGCCTGGCTTTGAGACCACTGGTAATCTGATGAATGTCATGAAGGAATCCACCCAGATTGCATACTCTTTCGCCAAATCCATCATGGCCAAGGATTTCCCTGAGAATAAGTTCTTTGAGAAAGCCCGAGTACATCTTCACTGCCCTGAAGGTGCTGTGCAAAAAGACGGTATGACAACATCTACTCCACCTTTTTCGATTCCTTGCTTTTTGTAACTGAGTTCTAACTGTCTTAGGTCCATCTGCTGGTATCACAATGGCTACCTCTCTTCTTTCTCTAGCATTTAACCATTCTCTTGACCCCACAATCGCCATGACGGGCGAATTAACTGTGACTGGAAAAGTGCTTCGTATTGGAGGGCTTCGCGAGAAGACTGTTGCTGCTCGTCGCGCAGGAGCCAAGAAAATTCTCTTCCCAGCAGATAACATGTCTGATTGGCTAGAACTACCAGAGGTAAGCATATTCTGAAACACTATGATAGAAAAAGTATTAATCAACGCCGCCATAGAATATTAAAGAAGGTATCGATGGACATGCGGTCAATTGGTATTCGGACGTGTTCAACATTGTATTCGCCGACCTAGACAAGGAAACAGCCAACCAGGTCTGGAAGTCGCAACTCACCAAACCGACCGATGCAGAACAACAAAAGAAGAAACACGACGATGATGAGTAGTTAATCTTCTTCTCGATCTATCAAGGTCAAACCTCATATCTGTTCATCTGTTATTTGTAATGTATCGACTGCTTTCTCTCCTGCTTGAGTATGTATATATTTACATATATTACGAGTTGTCTCAGTGCGTTTGTCTCAACAATCCCCTTTTTCTTCATCTTATCTGTTTCGGTCCCTGTTGATTGAAAGTTTCGCATTCAGAGAGAAAAGAGCGTGTTCTTCCTTTCATAATGAGGAATGTGCATTGCCCGGAGTTCTTACTTTTGCTTTATTTTTGGTTTGTGCTTAGATTTTCCTTCTTGGTCGCTTTTCATATCGATGTCGTCGCCTTGCACCAGACAACCTTGTCGTGTGAAAGGAGAAGCATGGATATAATTCTCGAGTTTTCCTACCATGTACATGTACTATAAGAACATCGAAAAGCATAGGGAAAGACGGATGAAGGAATGCTGTGGTGGAAGATAGAAGAGCTTTTCATCAGCTCGGAAATTATATGGAAGAAATCGCTTCTCCACTCTGAAAAAAGAAAATCAATCGAACAATCTTATAACATCAATATGCATGCGGTGTGCTACAGTGTCACTACATATGTACCATATACGTAAAAAGAGATGAGCAGCTGCCTCTGTTAGGTCATCACCACTTCTTGCCGCATTTACGTCACATAAAATGATCAATAAGACATTGCTCGCTGATCCATGCTAACCACTCGTCGAGCACTCACTGAGTAAACGTCAAGGGATATGCCAAAACAGAACATGTCATTCAAGGCAACTCTGTCTTTAATCAGTACAGACAAATGGAAACTTGTTACATCCGGGAACTGTATAATTCGATTAATAACAGAAAATACGGGTCTGATTACTCGAGTTGCTGTTCCCCTTTCCCCAATTCAGCGTATTCGGACTTTCGGACCTTCATCAATAAAGCCGAGGAGTCTAGCTACCCTAGCACCATTGCCGGTATAAGTTATATTACCCTTATTCAATGTTGGTTATTGGCCTTTTACTAGCAAGTAAATCCGAGAGAAGGGATATCCTCGTCCTTACAAATAACGATCCAGCTCTCCCTTCAAAATGTTGGACAAAATCCCATCAGCTGGTGTGCAAGATTGAAGCTTCCGCTTATTATTATTACTGTCGCCCTCCACACCAACAACCGCTACAATATGGCAACCGTGCAGAATAAGACGGTCTTGATTACGGGCTGCAGCACCGGTGGCATCGGCTGGGCCATGGCCAAAAACTTTCAGCAGCGAGGGTTCTACGTCTTCGCCACGGCACGCAATCCGCCTAAGACGGCCGACCTCGCCGAGCTAAGCGACATCGAGATCCTCGAGCTGGACGTGACCGTCCCAAAGTCCATCGTACATTGTAAGGAGATAGTCGCAAAACGCACGGGCGGGAGGCTCGATGTCCTAGTTAACAACGCCGGCGTCGAATTCAATAGCCCACTGCTTGACACCGATGTCGCCGAAGCGAAGAGGCTGTACGATGTCAACGTCTGGGGCCCTCTAGTCATGGTCCAGGTGTTTGCTCCCCTGCTTATCGAGGCCAAAGGAGTTGTCTTCAACCAGAGCTCCATTGACGGTGCCCTGAACATGGTGTGGGCAGGCATTTTCGCCAGTTCCAAGTCGGCCGTGGCTCGCATGTCAGAAACCCTGCGAGTCGAGTTCGAGCCACTGGGCGTGCGCGTCGTGACGTCCATATGCGGTTCTGTCGACACGCCCATGTTCGGTAAACCCGGTGGTCCCATGGACCTGCCCGAGACGTCGTACTATCACGGTGTCCAGGACGCGGCGTGGAAGGAGAGGATGGACCACCAGCGCCAGGCCATGAACGTCGATGTGCTCGCCGGAAAGCTGGTCAAGGACATCCTCGGCGGGGCTAGGGGTGTCATCTGGCACGGGGCTTTTGCTCCGTCAGTGCACTGGGCAAGCTGGTTGAACATTACATGGTTGCTGGATAGGTTGATCAACTCGGCACGGGGCTTGGGTCAGGTCAAATTGTGCTAGGATGACCACAATGGCACCGTCAAGTGCAAATGTCGTGTGTATCCAAACTAAGTACATTGTATATTGTATATATTTATGTTAATATTCTGCTCTGTAGCTCTGAGATAGCTGATTTATAGAATATTCTATATTTATTATTAATTAATCACTTGATCTTTTAGCCCTACAACCAAGATTCTATATTCGAGTCCTATGAAAATATATTGATATTTGTAAGCATATTTATATAGTGCCAGTCCGATATTGAAACCCATTATCAAGTGACACATGAGTAAAGCTTAAATACTAATAGGATAGGGTACAATTCATACATGATTCTTAGAGGTCTCACAATGACACTGAACAGATTGAATTCTCTAGGCAGCACAAATACATGGTCCGACATATCAACCTCCCAATATCCCCACCAGATCATCCATCTTTCGAATTATTCACTTCAACCTTCTTTGTGGGCGATCGTCTCAATCAGCCTTTTAACCTTCGCTAGATCCCAGTCTTTCAGTCCCAATAGGGGGTTATCGTCTCTTGCCCAGGGGTGTGCAAGCGCTCTAGTAGCTAGGCAGTACTGTATTTGGACTTCAAAAGTTGAGGCACTAATGTTCCCAGTCTTAAGATCCGCCAACGCATTTTCCAAAAGAGGTTCCATATCGTTGTATGTTGTTTCCCACCCCTCGTTCCCCAAAACCTCTTTTGTTGCGTCGAGAATTTGGTTCTGTGACATGAATACAGAGTGAATATAGACCGGGCGGTTCAGAGTTTCTTGTGGATGCAAAAGCACGCTCGCAGTTGCTCTGCCAACATCCTCTAACGTCGTCCATGGAACAACGTTGTTTCCATCGCCAAAGATGAAAGCTTTCTTCTCTTGAAAGCCCAGACCGGAAAACCCAGAGGAGAGACTCCAATCAAGGAATGCACCACAAGCTAGCAGCGTGTACGTCAAGCGGTTATCAGCCGCTTGTCTCTTCACGGCCTCATAAGAAGCTTTCTTTCGGGCGAAAACAGGCATATCATGAACACCTGGTAGGTCAGGGTCGAGTCCAAAGTCGCTGGTGATACTGATAGCGAGCGGAAACAGGGTATTAGCCAAAGACATACATACATACATATATATATATAACTTATTATAAAATTGATGACGGGCTCACGGACAAACGATAAACCCCAGCCTCGGCTGCCGCATCAATAAGTCGGAGTGGTGTTTCAACATCGGGCGAGAAAGTAGTATCGATGACTGCGTCCTGTCCAGCGAGAGCAGCAGATAATGACTTCACCGAAGTGAAGTCAACAACTTTCACGCGAGCAGCGGTCGGGAAGGGTTTGGAATTGCGACTAAGCACCGTTACATTGAACTCGAGATCGAGTAATGCACTGAGTACCTGAGCTCCGACATTTCCACTAGCCTAACAGCTTGTCAGCTTAGACAATGTAGTGTTTTCATTTTGTCCTTACCCCGGCAAGAGCCACATTCTTGATTGTATGTGACATTTTCTTTTTGACAGGAGTATTTGCAGTATTGCGTTTGAAGAGAAGATTGTTAAGGGGAAATAGCGAACGATAACCGCAGGAATTGGCTCCTGTTTAAATACCCTGAATATGCACCATAATACTAGAGCTATCAAGGCCGCAGCCTTTTTAGCTTGGTGGGATAAGTTCAACACTTATTTAGACACTCTGAATACACAGGGTTTGGTGGTGAGCGGCTTTGACTTGGAGCTTGGAACGGACATCACCGGGGATCGAGAATAGAGAAGCAAAGTAATAAAAAATGCTTTTCGGATTTGCTCTTATTCCGGCTTAAAATGAATATACCCTGGGATGCATAGCTCTCTGCCTTTCACGTTGGCGAGAAATACCACCGGACTCCGAACTAAACCCGGATATTATCTCCGTCCTTCCCACGATTGTTGGGTTGGGCGGGTGGAAAGGAATGAGATCCAGGAGGAAGCATCGGTGGATACACAGCCAACAGAACCACTCACGCAACACGAAATCAAAGCAACTGTTATAAAGATGAGCTCGTGGAAAGCTCCAGGACAGTCACAATCTGGAGACGAATCTGGCCGGTCGTCAAGAATTGGATTACCGGAATCGTTGAGCGTCCATCCAGCCTGGTAATTCTCCAATCTGATGGAAAGTGGCCAAAATGATAATATTGTTAAAGTACTGCCAAAAGGAGAGCGTCGTCAAAATCGTCAAAGCAGGAATTAGTCGCTGCGATGGAAACGAGGTTGGATAGAGCCAAGCAGGTATACGTAATCTAAGGCTCGGAACATCGGGCCTTAGGGTTAGGGTTATGTTGGTGTGCTACAGCCACGATGATTCCTCCATTCATACAGCCAAATAAAGAGAGTAGAAGATTATCATATTGAATAAGAAAGATAAAAGCCTCTTATACTAAAACAATCTATATCCCTAAACCACCTACCAGTAAACAAACAACAAGCACGCAGGTCCAGGGAGTTGAGAACCAGGAACAGAATGAGAATGCCAAAAAACAAAATCAAATCAAATGAAATGCGTTAAAACACCACCAAATCCGCGTAAAGCAAAACTCCGGTATCAAAGTAAAATCGTTAAATCATAAGGCCAAATGAAAATGATGAGGGATAGAAGCCAATGCTATATATAAGTGAAAAAACCATGGAGATAAAGACAAGACTGAGAAAAGGAATTTGGCAGAACCAAACAGCTCAAAATGTCGCACGAATATAGGGTAACATGTAAAGGCCTGAATAGGCATATGAACACCGTCGATTTGTTGAAATAAGATCCCGAAGCGCCAATAGTTATTCCCTGATTGTTAATTCAATTCGAAAGATAGGTGAGTTGACAGCGAAATGCGCAAACAGAGAACTCATTCAAATGCAATAATGATTGCTATTCCTTTTCCTCCCATCCTATTGACAACAAAACGATGCAAAAGGATTTCCATACTCCAAGACAAAAGAATAAAGAAGACAGACCACTCGAATCAAAACTCCATGAGTAATGCGCAACTGTTATGCCATGTGAAGAGAAATGACAGCAACCGAAACAAACAATCCAATCAATCATGAGTCGAAGATTTCGTTGCCGAATATGATTTAAATGATTTGAGAGGCGCCCAGAACAGAACAAAAGCCGTGAGGTACAATGCAAGCTACAATGCAAGATACAATTTTATTAAAATGGGTATCGTATCGCGCACCGTCCGGGAATGGAAGGAAGAATATTGTATGCAGTGGGGAGAAAGAACAGTCTGCTGCCAGACTGTCAGGTAGATATGTGTGTTGGTAGAGAGTTCACAAGATTTGAGCCGTCGAGCCAGGTCATCGAAGAGGCAGGGTTGATGGGTAGAATAGAGTCAAGGAGGAATGATGTTCGAGCTGGTGGGTTCGGTGGGATCTCGCTTTTGAGAGTTGTTGTTGGTGGTGATGGGGATGCCTGTGTAAGCGCTGGATTAATAGGAAGCCGAGAGCTGAAGAGTGAAATTTCCGAGGTTCCCTCGCCTTCAGAAGGACAGTGCGGGATTTCTCTCTCGGTGATAGGGGGTTCTTTAGTTTCAGGCACTACCACAGACATGCGAGGGGAGTCAAGGTCAATCATAGGCGGACTTTGAATGAAAGCATCCAATTCCAAGGAGGGCTTTGTGGAGGGTGATTTGGTCGCAGGTGGCGGAAGTGTACCGGATATTGAGAGTCCGGGTTCATTTTGGCATTCTAGTGAGAACGATGGATGACCACCTATGCCGGCTATATCACCCAGAAGTGCACTATTCTGGAGCTGGCCGACACTCTCTTTTCCTTCGTGTTTTGACTCCAAAATCTGCGAGTCCATATTTGCATCTCGTTCAACCTCGGCTTCTTTAGAGATGTCTCCAGTAGATGACGGCACAACTACCCGGCTCAGACCTGAACTATGTGCACTGTGCAGTTCTTGCGAGTCGTGAGGTTCTTGTATATTTTCTCGAAGTGCCTCAAACTCTTCCGCTGAGAACCCATCTGGGTTAACCAAATACTGAGTTCCATTATATTCCACTTCCTCAAAACGGGGCTCAAGTCTTATATCGGGAGATGCGGTTCGATAAAGCTCAAAATCGCTGTGTGAGACAGAACGACGTCCATCTATGTTAGGAGAAGCACTGGAAGGAAGATATGTCGACGTCTGGTAGTCACTAGGAGGAAGAGCATGCATGGTGGACGATCGACGGCCACGTGGAGGATAATCTATTTCCTGCTCATCAACCCCGGCTGGAGTTACATAAATAACATTCGGGCGGTCTGAATCATGATCATCATCTAGGCAAACACTGCGGTCAGATATTGGTGGAGGTAGAGGGCTATAATATGGCGGGCTAGTCGGGACTGATCCAGGGGCGATCCAGTGAGGTAGTGGGGAATATCCAGGCTGCAGGTCTGGATTCATTGGAAACATGTAAAGAAGCTCCTTGGCAGATAACCGATCTCGTGGCTGATCGCTGAGGCAATGAGCAATGACTCTCCTGTAATAATCCGGGATTTTAGCATCGACGGGAATGAACAGTGGGCGAGGCTGGCGTTCTGGCTCATCCTCCTCCATTGCGAGTGCCCATAAAGTCATTCCAAGCTGGAAAAGGTCCGATTTAACACCAATATACATAGAAATCCTCTGGTTGCTCTCAATCTTTGCTGCAATCTCCGGTGGCTCCCATCCTACCGGGCATCCTCTTCGGTTGATATCGATGATTTTCGCATTGTCGTCTCCATCAATGACAATGTTGGATAGTGTGAAATCCCCTTGAACATAGCCAGCTTCGTGGATCTCGCAAAGTCCCTGGACAATTTGGCGTGCCCAGCGTTCTCTCCGCCCGAGGGTCAACTGGCCACGGAAGTCATACAGTACATCCACTAACGCGCCCTGTTCAGCGAAACTGATTAGTAGACCCTTTACTCTCTCACGGTGGTCATCGACGATGATGCCCTCGAATTGAATAACGCTTTTCGAACCCGATAATCCGTGGAGCGCGTTTATTTCATAAAGAAACTCGTCGACAGTGTCTGGGCCAGGTATCTCTTTTTTAATGTAAGCCTTACCGTCCAACTGAACTTTGTAAACAAATCCAGACAAATGAGCATCAAACGATAACTTGTATTCTGGAATCAAACGACACCTCAAATGCCCAACACTCGTAATGGGCGGATACGGGATTATTTCATTCACATCTTCCGTCACATGCACATGTAAGCGGCCGTCACTCGTTTCAAGCCTGAGGTTCGTCACTGTGTCGTAGAACTGGATTTCCGGGAGCGATTCTCGGATTGACTCGTAGATGCGAGCGCTCTTGTCCCTTTGATAATGTAATTCCTTCAAGTCCCCCTCTAATGAATCCGGCACAGCACCGCGATAATCGCACGATATTGTCACTCGCCGCCAGCGATTGGGTTTTTCGGCATATGTTACAAAGAACTTCTCGCGTTCCGACTTATCTCGAAAGTGCATGCTCAAATTCAATATCCATTTCTTTTCCAATTCCAAGTCCAATGGCTCTTCAAAGTGTTCCGGTTGTCTGGCAAAATCGTCGCGGTGATAAGGGCCAGAATCCACCTGTGACAAGGTCGACGTGTCTCGCAAGTCTTCATGGGCTGAGTTGGTGTCAGTCAGCGTCAAGGCAGCAGAGGCTTGATCGGCCCATGTCCCAACCTCCGGAGCAGAAACTCTTGCGATAGCTGCGGGGGGTGGTGACTGGGTTCGCTGCACACTCAGGGTCCGCCGGCGGTCCGCCGACTGGGTTCGCCGTGGTTCAAGCTCTGTTGGAGCCAGACGGTCTCGTTGTTCCGAATTCTGTCGTCGAAACGTCGCGGGTCGCGGGAGGCCAACACCAACCTTGCGGGTGATGCGGCGGGAGAGGGGACCACTGCGCGGGTGCTGGTGAGGGTGGTCGGTGGTGGGGGAGCTTGCGCCGGAGGTATCGTCTCGGTGATGAAGCCATCTTCCTAATCCCAATCGCTGCCACATGCTCAACTTGGGGTTGGGTGTCGGCGACGGAGGCATTTGTTCGGGTTCGCGGAGGGCAGTGAAGAAAAGCCGATGAGAACTCCCGATGGAACTGTCGCGGATGGTGATAGCCATGAAGCTCGACTGTCCAGGAATTAAATTGGAGGTGCAAACGCGTCCGCCGGCGCGCACGAGGGACCTGGACAATCGGCAGGATCAACAGCTCCAGTCCATAAGAATGGCGCAGTCCTCGCCCGGCGGCAAGAGAGGAGCTGGTGGGAAGATCCGGGAAGGACGCGTCAAAAGCAAAGCCTGGCGTCGTCAGAGAGTACCCAGTCAGTCCGTCAGTCAGCCAGTCACCCCTTGGCCACCCCCAATGAGGACGAGTGGAGGCGCAAGGGGTAAGAGCAGAGAGAGAAGTGGGAGGCGGAGGAGGAGGGGTACGGTAGGTAGACCAGACCAAGCTTAGAGCAAGACGCGGCGTCTATAATAAGTTACCGGCTTTGGAGGCTGCACAGCTCCCGCCTCGCTAGTATGTGCAAATGTTGATATTGTTGGTATTATTATTGCTGATGTTGCCGCACGAGTAACTATAGGCTGCGAGCCTCCGCTGAAAATCGGAGCTCGATCCGACGTGTCCGTTCTGTGTAGCGGCGTGACACCGCGAAGAAAGATATTAAAAGTGATATTAGAGAATCAAACGAACAAGAAACGTAGTGCTAGAGGCCAACGATACCCGGCGGCTGAAAGGCTCTGTGAATCAATTGCATGGAGAAATGCAATGAAACGACACTAGAAGCGTCGATGTAGGGCAGAAATGGATGGCTGCAAAGTCGCACCGCACAAATCGATTGCAGCCCTTTTCTGTTTGCAGCAAATCGAAGACAATGACTTCACGATGCAGGAAAATTTTTTCACGCAGCTGGATAAAAAGGGTGATGATTTTTTTGTGTATGGACGACAAAGCTGACCGCTAATTCGGGTCAGGAACGAGTTTTATTTTTTTTGGCTTCCAAGACAAGTCACCACAAGGCAGCAATTGATCCGAGCTTGGTATATTAGTCGTTAGTCGCAAGCCTCGACAGAATCGGGACAGTTGATGTGTGATCGTTATTGATGTCAGCTACGTTGGGAAAAAAAGAAATCACAATATTGGTTATTGACAATTGTTGTGATGATACTCCGTGCTACCGAGTTTTTTTGAGGCTTAGAAGGCGCGTTGTTCTTTTGTTCTTCTTGAAAAAATCCAAGCCCGTGCTGCACGGCGGCCTGACCAGGGGGTTGGTGTCATAGGCTGGCCGATGCCATTGTAATAATCGGTTGAGTCTAGGCTGTGCCGCGGGATTTAATTTAATCAGTCTGAGACTATGAGTATTTAATACCGCAGTAATATTCCCGGGTTTAAATGTAGTATGTCGTTGCGTAGGAGGAAGAGAAAGAGAAAGAAAAGAAGAAAATCAGCAGAAAGCAGGAAGCAGGAAGGAAAAAATCAAGGCTTTGATTGAAAGAATCCATCTACTAAAGATGCATTGGTAGTTTACTACTTCTAACTCTACATCATTCCTACACATGCAAGTGGATGGTGATCTTCGCACTCGACGTGGCCATTGAGCAAGAGCCAGGCATGGCAAGCAATGATTGGATCTATCTGATAAACAGTTCGCACAGGGACACACCAGAGAATGGTTCTATTTTGTGGCTGCAACCCAGTAACAAATGATATTGTATCGAGTCGTACTGATACGGACATGCCTTTACGCTCAATTAATCTTCCATGCACCCTGGACATACGAGTATGCAACCTCAACGGCGCGCTTACTAGTGATTAATGAACAACCGATGTCATTGATCCATACATCCCGTACATCCCGTACATGGGCGAATGGAAAGATGTCTGTTCTGTCCGAGGATGTGAGCTTGCTCGCTAATTCAATAGTCCAACTGCGAAAGAAGGGCCCTAGAACAACAATAGTAGTAATACATCGCAATGCTTGTTCAATATTAATTAATAATGGCTCTATCTGCCCCATCTGGTGCATTCTCACCCTGTTGCACCCGGAAATTGCTGATTATTGCTTCTTGGCCCGAAATGGCTCCCTGACATTTTCGCTCACCGTTTTTCACAGTAATTATCTTCGGCCCTATACAGTCTTGCTACTAATAAAATTTACCAGTAAACTGACAAAAGATACCTATAAAAAACATAGCAGAAAAATAAGGTCAAGGAAAAAGCAAAGAGACCAATCTAGTGCCCCGATCTTCTCCCCTACAGGACACTGCTGCCCTTCTAGTCGCTGATGCAACGTGCTGCGCTAGTCTCATGCGTGGCTCCAATTAACTGGGGCACCGTCTAGTTTGCTACTTGCGGGCATCGCACTGGGACTGGCTGTTCTCCCCCCTCTTTGCAGGACCTAAGTTAGTTGGCTGTTTAGTACGCTGTGATATCACCTTTATAGTCTCCGGAAGCCCCGCAGCAGAACTTGCACGCACAAAGAACTAGAAAAGAGGCTATACGTCGGGGCGCTCAAGCCTTGGGGCAAAGTTCAAGGAGCCAGTCACAGGGCCTGACTGGACGGAGAGACCGATGTCGGTCTGTCGAACAACATTTGCATGGAAGTAAATATCACATGAATTTCTAGGCGCAAGATGAATTGAGTCGATGCTGGTCATCCAGCTACAAGTTCTCGGATCGTGCCAGTATATTTCCGATACGTCCATACATATATGGTCAATGGAGTCCATAAATTATATGATTGAAAAGAATATAGAAAATAAATATACGTACTAGGACGGCCTCGGCCCGACGCACAACGGCCCCTCCCGCTTCCAGGCTTTCTCTTACGCGGGTTCCGCCGGCACACTAGAATGTTGGCGGAAGTAACATTGAACCTATACTCAAGTACAAGTGCACCAAGGCTGATTAATTGAAGTGGTTGGTGACAAATGAGGTCCGTGTGTTTTGTAGGGTTTAGACACAATTACATACATAATTACAAGTATATTAGCAAGCATTTGCGTATGGTCACAACTCGAATGTTCTACAAGAGAATATCAAGCAGTGGAATGGTTCAATCATGTCAAGCTGCCTCTACTGGACGTCTCATTCTACGTGTTTATGGATCAATTATCAGACATCTTCGAATTTGCCTATTACTCTTTCTGCTTGCTGGCAGATTTATGCGAACTAACGACACGTCTATAGTATCCACTATGGAATAGCTAGCGGTTCATGCAACAAACCCATTTTATGTTCAAAATCTTAAGCATGATCGAGACCATATTCAAAAGCTAGCGATCGCAATAGCTACATGGGTAGACAAGTTCCCGAAATAAGGAATTGTGTCCGGGAAAATACAGATACCTTTACAGACTCTCCCTCTGGTGATATATATATGCACGTATGTCACATTGTCGTATGTACATATGTGGTTGTGAGAAACGCAAGAAGCTCGCAATAGCATCCCCTTCTCTATTTCCAGTAAAATCCACAAATGTACACATCTCAAAACGGAAATAAGCTTCTGCTCGCTGTTCCTTTCGATAAAAGTGATGCTTCCAATTGCCGAGCAATATGCATGTCGGCTGCCAATGGCCCGATCGGACGGATTGTAGGAATGCGCTTCAGTCGTTTTAGACGGTTTTAGCTTGAAACCGACATATTCTAGTATAGAAGATCGGGATAAGTAGGGCTATACTCTTATTTTCGATCCTCAAGGCCGAGGGAGTCTTATACGGAGTTGGTTAGCGGTAGATTATTGTAATTAGTTGCGGAAATGATTGAATACATATTGACTAGAACAAGCTGCTTGTCAATTCCACTAAATTACTTATCTTGAAGATATTCTTACTAGGTTTCTTTTGTAACGTCCAGGTACGCAGGTTCTCATTCTGGAAGTGTCTAATACGTTTTTTCCCTATTCACTACCTTGATTACTATGGAGCTTTTTTCTTTCGTTATATTATTATAATTAAATTTAAGTAAGCTGAAATTAGCCCATGAAAACTGAAAGAGAGAACAAGTGGTATTTTCTTTCACTGCCACACTGGTTGGTCGATCTATATCCATCAGTGAAGGCACAGGCAGAGCCTCACTTCCCTCGACCAAGCAATATGACAAGAAAACAAAATCCGAGAGACCAATTCCTTACACTTCCGTCTCGAGCAGAATCATAGGGCTACGAATCACACACGGTGTGCATACACTAACTAACTGCCAGCCTTACCCGAGCGAACGAGAAATTGATGCCCGAGCCCGAGCCGTCTCGCTTCACTTCATCTTGGGCATTACCGGCATAGTATACAATCAGCAAGAAAAGATGATGACACAATAAAGGCCGGCAATACGAGATTACGGGTTCCCACAGGGTATTATTCTCCGATAGAGAAGAACATCATTTGTGGAACCAGCAAGGCAACCAACAAACAACAAACTTTTGATGATGACATGCATATTTCCTTCAACCGACATAGAGGACATCATGAAACTGCATATGTTTGGGATTTTATACTAGTATTGATAGTGTAATGTGTCCGAATGGAATAGCTTGCTTTTTCTAGTTGATATCTCGTTTATATGCGTTATATGCAGATCTGTTTATATGCGCAATGCACACCATCTAGCGTGGCGCATAGGTATGAATTTCCCTTGTGTCGTGGTTCTAGAATGGACGGGCTACTGTAGTTTATAATCATGATTCATTTGATGTACTCAGTTGCAGAATCGGTTTCCCAAAGAGGAAGTACACGTGTAAGAAAATAAGCTGACATCAATTTCTACTCTGATTGTATCAACATACACATAGTAAGGAATGTGATAGACTAGGTACAGTTGGCATACGTTGGACGATCTTATTGGCGTAAATAATCTCATTATGAGAGACCAATTGATAGGTGGCAATTGAGATTATCAGAACCTCGAGCAGAGAAAGATGATACCTCCTACATATATAGATTTGAAGGTGTTCAAGTTGTTGAATTATGAGTCTGAACGTGAACAAAAACTATACAAAATAGTAGGAATCTAGAAATATAACCATTCATTACCATTCCAAACATCCAATGTCTCCATTACACAATAGTGCCATGTCAATAGAATCTCATGAGATTATAAGAAAAGCGGACAAGTGAAAAATTAAGAAGCGCTAATGAATATCCTTTAAAATACCATAATATAATCCTAGAGCTGACCAAATATCTGTCAACTCATCCTTGCATACCGATTCCAATCCGCAACCCTAATCAGACACATCAAACGTGCAAAGACCAATTCGAAGAATAAAATGAAAAAAAGTAGTAAAATACAGGCTTAGAAATTATGCGTATATGCATGAGTTCCGCTAGGAATGTGAACTTATGTGTATAGTCATGATATCGTGACTCGATCGACGTGATTATTCTTCTTCTGCAGCCTTTTCTTCAACCGAGATCTGAGTGGCATCGGTAGACGACGGCCCTGTGGTTTCAGCGGTTGACTGATCTTCGGTTGCAGAAGGTGCTTCAGTAGTTTCAGGTTCAGCAGGAGTGTCTTCCTTTCCAGGCTCCGGGTCGGACGGTTGTTGTTCGGCAGGAGTTGTCTCGATTTCGGCCTTGTTCTCTCCAGATTCTGAGGTGACCTTTTCGCTGGATTCAGTCTCGTCTGAGGAGGAGAGACTTGGCTTTTCTGGCTCTTCTGCTTCCGCTTTTGATTTGTCTGGTTCGTCGTCTGTTGGTGCTGATTCGGATTCAGCGGGTTCCACCTTCTCGTCCGATGGTCCATTCTCTTGTGGAATGCTCTGTTCTTTTGATGTATCTTCCACCGGCTCCTTCTCCTTGTTCTCCTCCGGTTCCTCCAATTTTGAATCCAATTTCTTGGCGACCTTGCCAAGTTTCGACATCGTCGTTGCTAGTTCATTATTCTCCTCAATGGCTTCTGCAATTGTCGCCACACTAGACCCTGTCGATGGACTGTGTTTGTGTCGGCGTGTAGTTGCGCCAGTATTCATGTTCGATGGTGTTTGTGGGATGCTGAGGTCGTCTAGGAAATGAGGATGTGCGACGCCATTTTGGTCCTTTCGCAAGACCGAAACTCTGCGACCATCTGCAGGAGGGGCTATTGATGATGCTGACGAGGGGATTGAAGGAGCATCATCGGCACTTTCTCCATCCGCCTGCTCCGCTTCAGCGGGAATAGTGTAGTTGTCCCCAGGAATCAATCCATACACATCACAGACTGTTTTGAAAAACACGTATAGACCATCTGTATTCTCCACCTGACGAAACACATCCTTATGCTGAAACCACGCGTGCGCAAAAATGCGGTAAAGTCGACGGAAAATATTTGTCAAGTGTCGCATGCTAGCCTGGGGGCCGCCAGCAGCTTCGGAACCTAGAGTGAGGCGGCTAGGAAAGTATTTTGGGGATGTCAAGATGTTTGTAGCCCAGTCTAAGGTATGGCAGCAGTAGTCAATCGCACAGCATGGCTTGGGCGGATCATGCACGGCGCACAGATACTGCCATTCAGACGCGCGCATCTCGGGACACGATTCCGCCGAGCAGGGTGGCTCTTCCGCGAAAAATGCGATTATAAGGTTGTTGACTTTCATCGTCAAAAAGCGACAGAGTTCATAAAGCCAAAGAGACCGCTCCACACCATCAGGAGGGTGAGCAAGAGAGACTGCGACTTCGCGCGTGATCGGCTGGATGGTATCCGACTCGTTGGGCACGGTGTAGTTGTGATAGAGAGCTTTTAGGTGTTCCTGGAGCTGGAAGGGGGAGTCAAGCTAGAAAATTCCCACGCATCGTCAGTACAGATACTCAAAAAGTATGTGCTCAAAGGTTGAAATAATGGTAAAAACAGACCTGCGATAAAGGAATCAACGGCAGCCCCGATGCCATATCAACGGCCTTGGTACCAGGCCTAATTCTCCTCGTCGACCCGTCATCCGTCTCCGACAGAGGCGCAAACAGCTTCTCGTTAGCAACATTGTCACCGACCGTTGGCGACTGAGGCCCAATCTGGACTTCTGGAAACGGCGGGGGGCTGGGTAGGCGCGGCGAGCTCGAAGGAGACACAGCCGCTGCAGCTGCAGCCATTTTCCTGGAGATCGACGTGGTCGCGGGGACTTTCAAAGAGACGGTCTTCTTGGACGGAAGAAGAAATAGCGGAGGCGTGGGAGGGTAGATCGAAGGGCTACTGCTACTGCTGCTGAAAATCAAATCGGTGTCTTCCAACCCAGCGTCGAAGCGCGCATGAAGCTCCTCTGAGCCGTCGTCGAATAGGATGAAGTCCATGGCCGCCTTGGCGCCTCGGTGCCTTAGCGCCTTGATGCCCTATGCCCTAGTGTCCGTTCTGGGATGCCTGCCCGCTTCTTGCGAAACTTCAGGTGTTGTTGCAAATATATGCTGAAAGATCGTGGTCTGGAGGTCCTCTCACACGTAACTGTTTATCTGGCTGGTCCGAACACATTCGACCATGGATGACGACGAGACACCGCCTGAGCTGGTCGAGGTGACGGCATTGCAAGAGGAAACACGGACAGAAGAAGTCGAGGAGCCTGGTGTCAGTCGGGTTCCCATAACTCTGGTCACTGGTAGGAAGGAGCCATGCTGCGCAGATCTCGACATCTTCAATGTTTCTTGTGCATGTCGAAGATCTGTATATGTTTTGCGTATGGAAACTGATGCTGCCGGACAGGTTACTTAGGCGCAGGCAAGACCACCCTACTCAACTATATCCTGACAGAAAAGCATGGCAAAAAAATCGCAGTCATAATGAATGGTTTGTGTGCAGCCGCTTTCCTTTTGGATGATGCTGATTAGATGGCTTAGAATTTGGAGATTGTAGGTGACACCGGTGTAGCCCTTGTCTAACGGTCACTCATGACGTATTCCCAGCAACCGACATTGAGAAATCATTGACTGTCAATCAAGACGGCCAGGAAGTTACTGAGTGGCTTGATGTCGGCAATGGATGCATCTGCTGCTCTGTCAAGTACTGCCATTGTCTTCTATATCAGAACTAGACTAACATCCTGCAGAGACTCTGGTGTCCAGGCCATTGAATCCCTGATGGACCGCCGAGGTTCCTTTGACTACATTCTTCTCGAGACTACCGGCCTCGCAGACCCTGGCAACATAGCTCCATTATTCTGGGTTGACGACGGCCTAGGTAGTTCGATTTATCTCGATGGCATCGTGACCCTTGTCGACGCAAAGAATATTCTGCGACTACTAGACGAACCTGCCACCGAGGAGATCACTCATGCTGGACATGAAGACCACGCGGGACCGGCTTTAACGATGGCCCATCTTCAGGTCTCACATGCAGATGTCATTGTATTAAACAAAGTCGACTTGGTCACACCGACCGAGCTCGATAATGTTCGTCAAAGAATAGCATCAATCAATGGCGCCGCAAAAATCCATGTTACTGATCATAGTCGTACGCCGCAGATAGAAGGCGTTGTCTTAGACCTACATGCATACGACCAGCTTTCCAAATTAGACTTTGATGAAAAGGGACATGCACACATCGACCCCAAAATATCAACCCTCGCGATAATCTACCCGCGAATATCTTCTGACCAAATTGCACGCGTCGACGAGTGGCTGAGGTCTGTATTGTGGGAGAGTATTTTACCTTCTATCCCTGAAGAAGAGAATGAAATTCCAAATTTTGAGATTCATCGCCTCAAGGGTATATTAGCTCTGAAGGACGGGACGTTTAAAGTGATCCAGGCAGTGAGAGATGTTTTTGAAATTAGAGACTCAGAGAACCGTGAGCGCAAGGAGGATAATAACGATGCGCCTGATCACTGCAAGATCGTCATTATTGGTCGTGATCTTGGAAAAAGTGCTGGGGCCTGGGAACGAAACTTTCGGTCATTCATGGAGAAAGTGACATGAAATTCATTTCAATCTCATAATTACGATTTGAAGTAGCATAGAAATGCATTAAAGGAGGGAGTTGGGTCATGATAAAAAATTAATTGAAATATTTATGCTGTACATATATGCAGGTATTCATTCCTCGTTCATCGTATCTCGTATATTCATCTCATCCTTCTCGGCAACGGGGATCCATCAGCCGCCAGATCTATCACGCTTTCGTCCTCCTCGTATACGCCTTCGTTAGTATCCAGGCCAACGTGGACAGCCGGAGACATCAGAGGGCTTTGAGCTATACGAGGCCGACTTTTAAACACACTAGCATAATCAGCGTCCTCAGAGAATAAGTCATCACGTGGCGTAGACGCTCCAGAGCCTGACAGCGAGTGTCGTTCTTTAGGCGGGGTCTCAAATTGGTTGATAGAGAAGATCTGTGATTGCCGTGTCTGGCGTCGTGCAGCGAGAGATTGTCGTGATCGGTTTGTAGGTAGCGGAGGTAATAGAGACATTGATTGCCTAGTTCTTTCCAGCAGCGAAGACGGGCGGTGTTCGAACTTGTCGCTCGGAAGAACTGGGAGTTTGGGTTCTGGTGGGCTGGATTGCTGCTCCAGATTTGGACTCTCGTCTTGAACCATAGGTTGGTCGAGAGAATCAACTACCGGCATATTTACGCTATCGTCGATATCAGATAATGACTGCGTGAAAGCGGGTTTATCGTGTGAATCCGGAGTCATCGGACGGGTTTCATGTTCCGGAGTTATCACCTGAATGTTGGGAGACGGAGAACGACTGTACTGATCACTATCAGGTATAGGGGATAAAGCGTGGATGTTATGTGAAAACTTATTTCCCGGTAGCCTTTCCAACAAGCGGGGATGAATCTTCTGAGCCTGTTCAGTGTTTTCAGTTTCCCCACCATCTATTTGGGCCAAAGTTTCCTTCAGTGAAGATATAATATCCCGGTGCTCTTCCACAATAACTGGGGTGTGTGTCGTTTCCTGGGCTCCTTTTGAGATACTTGCAACCGTCAATGTGAGGTGGTCTTTGAAGACAAGACTGTTGCTTTTGGCCTGGGTGCGCGCTGGTACTTTGATGCCGCTTTCTGTATCAATCTTTCGTATTGATGCTTTCAAATCGTTTAGACGCTGCAAGCGATACCGTGACTCTGCAATCCAACTATTCACATCTCGAACTAAACCTGGGTGCGTTGGCCTAACCAAGTCGTCGATGTTAGCATTCTTAGCTTGCGACCATGCTGTTTCAAACGGAAGCTCCAAGAAAGCATCTGTTTCAATATGAGACCCTCCATTCAACAGAGCATCCACCCAGCCCTGGCTGCCAAGCCAATTGGCCCTGACTTCTAGTTCCAAGCGCTCAGCGTAAGGGGCATCGTCGGCTTGAATATTTTTATTCGAGCGAGCTGAGAGCTCCTCGGACTTTGCATCAAGCAGATCAGAAAACCGTCTGTAATTTTCCCGTACCTTAGATCGATGTTGCCGGGTATTTTCCAACGCTGAATGGTGGGCCAATATCAATGGAACGAACAATTCAATCTCTTGATGAGTTACCGCCTGAGCAAAGGCCAGCCTCAGACCAGGCTCAATTTGAGATTGAGATACTAGTCTTCGTAAAACCGCAGTCGAGAAAACGGCCAGAACTTCCTCGAATTTCGCGCCTTTGCAATCGTCCAACATAGTCTTCCGCACAATTGTCTCCCTTCCCAGATCTCCATTTTTCTTCAAATCCGATAAAGCTCGAAATAACGCGGCGCGCAGGTTAATAGACTGCAACGGCTCCAAGGGTGGAAAGAAAGGACGAAGTTTCTACGCGTGATTATTCGTTAGAATTAGAAAAACAGAGCGTGGGAGGGGTAGGTAAACAACATACCGTTTTCGTTTCGGCAGGATCCCACAGGGAGAAAAGATGGTATAACGCCGATTCTACGCCTTTAACTCGCTGCAGCTGAGTGCTTTGCCCTCCGGAAAACAGTTTAGCGGAGAGGGCTGGCCAGTCCGGCTGTTGGTCGAGTCGCAGCAGGTGGACATTGCGTAAGAACACGGTGACGGGAGATGGTGTGGACCATGACGGAGCTGGCGCACGGGATGCTTGCATGAGAAATGTAAATAAAAATGTGCTGCAGTGGTAACCCGCACCAATTACGAAGCAGCGAGCATGAATGGAAATATGACTTCTGTAAGTTAATGATGTTGCAAGTTGTCGTCAACTGTTCTAATTAACTCCGTCGAGTTTCGGCATATCACGTGATACTTTCCATAGATGATAGATCACTTGGAATTAATTACACGTGTGAAGCCATTTTATAATTGTATAAGTTGTCAATTAAAGTATTGGATTAATTCTAATCGAATAAACATGTGGAACCGTGCGAATTCATACTCACATTTCCCGTCCATCTCAAACCCAAATAACCACCAATTGCATCGTATAGCACATCAAAGTCTCTATAAAAATGCCTTCCACTATTGTAATATGGACTCTTGGTATCTGACTGGGTGACAGAAACTTGGGTTGGCGCCATGTCGTTCCCATCTTCTCCAACTACGAGATTGTACATCGCCGCGTAAGATCCCTCTGATCCAAAATATACAGTCAGGTTCTGGCCATCTGCTAAAGTTGAGACTTTACCCGATGGGTTCGTTTTGCTTGGTTTTGAGATAAGCTTAACGGGTACGGATGGCGGAATTGTAAGATATGCCTGTGAAACTCCGGTGTCAAGTAATAGGGAGCTAGTTTCACATGCCGCACCGTTGACAGAAATACAGCCTGCCGTCTGGGTCCAGTCTCGTGGGTCATTGGTGTAAGAATGATTCAGTGAGAGTTTTACGAATGCAAAACCTTCAGTGTTTTCAGGTGTGAGGCCAACTGTCACTCCCTTTTTGGAAATGATATAGCCTTGGTTGAGACACAGTATGTCTTCCTTCCCATTTCTATGTGTGATGCAATCGTTTTTGAGCCTTTCCCCATCGATTGAGTCAATGTTGATGAGTGATATTTTCTCTGGGGTTCCTTGAGGCTGAGCATTGTACTCACGGCCAAACCCAACTCCCATATATCTCGTTCCCGATGGCATATTTGTTGGGGTAGCTGTCGTCCCATTGGCCGAAGTCGGGCAATAGTTTGTACCTGTTGACACATTGTACCAAGGACAGATAACGCTGCTATTAACCGCTAAAACAGGAATAGATGCGGTCATGTTTGCACCCAGAAAGGAAACATTCTTCGAAATCCAGTTTCCAATATTCAATTTTTTGGAGCTGGTAAAAAACTGCCAACCAACAGGGTATTTGGACGCAGACTCGGGATCGTAATCTACCATATCGGCCGCAGAGATTTGCAGCCCGGTAGATCCAGTGTCCATTGGGGTATCGTAGACCTTGCCGTCGATTGAGATTGATAACATCGGAGCGTCTGTGAAAGACGCTATATTGGTTTGATCATTGTAGAATGGAATAAACCTCGAAATGTTTGCGTTCGAATAACCTGGGCCATGATCACATGTAGATTGGATGGCGATGTCTGGATATGCTTTCAAGGAGAGGAACGTGAAGATCGAGTTCAAATTGGATAGCTTGCTAAGGAGCATTTTGGTCTTAGGAGAGGAAACAGCTTGCAGGCAAGTAAAATGAGATTGAATAATGTATCAGTGTGGGTTCAATATCTGATAAATTAATGAGCCGATACTGTTATTGATGGGTTAGAAGAAGAACAACATTCAAGGGTGTTGTCAGGCATGGTACACAGGGTGGGTCTGTGTATTCCATAGAGACAGCCAATGACGGTCAGTGACGGGCGGCAGATCTTCAGCTAGCCTTTTATGGAAAAGGTCTTTATCCACAATGCTTTAAGCTTATCGACCTTTCTTAACGTAGAATAAGGTCGGACTTGCCACGCTGTTAAAGCCTAGGCCTTAGTCCCAAGGCAGTACCGCAACGAACTGTCACCGACATGTGATGCAAGCGTGATCGAGGGCCCTATTTAAATCGTTGCCCACCGCGACATCTAGCACTGTCTCGCCGTGATCTGGTTCCCATCTCGTGAACACTTCCATATGCGGCCGTCAATAGCAACAACACCCTTCCGGCAGTCTTCAAATGTTAGACTAGGCTCCCTCGAGAAGTTACCACTAGAGCTCTTGTATGAATATGTTTCAGAACACGGTCAACTCAGGAAACGGATTAAGGCAATAGGGTGAAGAATTATTTACATATATTGTATGAAATCTGGTATCAGTATAACGCTCCTCAAAATAAAAACGAGGGATTGACAATATAGGTAGTTGGTAGATGTGTTGGCCGATTTCGGCTAGTTTGGCGTTATCGCTGGAGTTGTAACCGTAGCCTTTGAACAGTACTTATCGATCGATCATCCCAAGTAAAAGTTCACGGAAACTGCGAGCCATCTTTATATCGACAGATTTAACAATATTCCAGGTGATGGATAAGCCACTCACTACTGCTAATGTCCCCCGCAGTTTCTCAGCAATGCATATCTTGTTGGCCACGTCCCTCTGAAAGCGCTTTCGACAGACCAGAGAATATCCTTTGCTCTCTATGTCCCACCGCACAGCTACGACACAAGACCTGCCCCTGACACCAAAAAGCTCCCATTACTTGTTACCATTCATGGATCTAGACGAAATATCTCGTCTTTATATAATCTGAAGTACTTCAGTTTGCAGACTCAACCTCGTGCGCAATTGTCGCACCATTGTTCCCAGCTAATTTGGATGGGCCAAACGATTTAGATTCTTACACACGTCTTCAATCTAAAACTTTACGCTCTGATCTGGCACTCTTGAGTATTCTTAATAAAATAGCACACCGATGGCCGGGTATTGATGCAGAGAAAGTGTTTATAATGGGATTCTCCGGAGACGGACAGTTTACGCATCGGTTTCTCTACCTATATCCAGAGCGATTAGTTTCAGCCAGTATAGGAGCCCCGGGGCAGGTGACCACTCTGGACGACACGCAAGACTGGCCTCTAGGTGTGGGTAATGTTGATGGTGTATTTGGTCGATCCATCCAGAAGCCACTCATTCGTCAGATTGTGATTCAGTTAATTATCGGAGACAAAGATGTCAAAGTACATGGTGGAGAAGAATTTTGGGTATGGATGAAGGCCTCCCTGAAGAAGGTAAAAAATAACGGAGAACGAAATATTCCGATTATGAAAAAGGGTCGATTGGAGACAATGCATGAGCTACAGAAATTGTGGTCTAATAATGAGATTAACCCTCAACTGTGTATTTTCCCCGATGTCGATCATTCCTCTACAGGGGTTCTTCAAGATGTTCTTGCTTTCATGAAGCCTTTACTTCAGAAACAATTTTTGAACCAATCGTGAAGATTTATTTCTGAAATAAAGATGAACATCATAACCAGCAACTGAGTTTCATTTACACCTATATAGTTAACATAAGCAAATGGTTTTTTAAAGAAAGTAATATAATGATTTAGATGGCTTTTATTTAACTGCTATCATTTGTGGTATAAATAAGATCTTTAAATTTTATATAATTTAGATGCTCTTTCATGTTTACATTTCTTGTGAATTGACATCATAAATTTATTTTTACGACTGGTCCATCACGCCCTGCGGGATTGCCGTAAAATCGCTTGAGTGACACCCAAACGAACCAGGGACTTACGTCTTTTTCCCTCTTCTATAGTTTTGGTATGAGAGAAAGAAAACCCTCATTCCAGGGCGGTAATAATTGTTAAAATTTAACCCATGAAGTTAGTTTCAGTTCATGGGAGCAACGCAATGGCCATTTTTACTATCAATAATTTCTAGTTGCTAAGACCTCTCTTTGCTAAATTCAATAGAAGGACCTTGTCTATCAATTTGAGTGGCAGTGATATGCCCTCCTGTTATTTTATTTACATAAAAGACAATATTGCAGCATGAAGCTCTAGTTTAATCGGTGTAGGCGACGGAGAGAGAGTCAATCTTCTGGCATCCATCTCCAGTCGTGGGCCCTAAAGCCAGTGTACCATTCGGAGCGCCATCGAGAGGGCACCAGGACCATTGGGCAGAATTCTGGGCCACTAGCGTAAAGTTGTTGACATCGAATTTCACAAAGTCATGAGTGGTGTTACTGCTTGTGAATTCGCCGTTGCCGACGATTTGGGTATCATTGTTGAATTTCAGAAGCCCATGATCATCATGGTCAATGTAGGCGGCGCCGACGACAACAAAATTGACGACCAGGATCAGATGGTTGAGTTCATCGATATAGAGCAAATCATCTCCTGTGCTGGTGAGGCTCACCGACGTGTCGCCATTAACATTTGGCCCTGAGTGGAGGTAGTAGCCACTGAGCGAGGATTCAGGGCCACTTGTGCTCACAGTAGCCTCAAAGTATTCATCGGGAACTGTTCAAATATCGTTAGCTCGGCAAATTGGAGAAAGTGCAGGAGAAATTGCATACTAGTGGCTTGAGCTGTAGAAATTAGAGCCATAAGCCCTGCGATAGTGAAGGCCGACTTCATTTTACTATATTTTGTCAACGTGGATGAAGAAAATAAAAGCCTAAGGTTTAATCAGACTTCTAATACATGTACCCTATGTATTATATATAAGTAGGGAGTCTTTTCCAAAATTAACTTTGAAGATCGCAAGTGATCGTCCGGTCTTGATCCTTGGGGCTGACATTGAGGAGCAACCCTACCTTCGGGGGCGCTACCAAATCAATGTTACATTTTAGTGCCGGGAAGGGGTTTCCTAACGCTTAAAGATGACGAAAACGGTGCTAAAATGATGAAGTTGAGGCTGACCGTTGGAGTGGGATTCCCTTACTGGATATCTGTATAGGTCTCGATGTCTTCGGGCCGTAAATATCTAGCTGAGCCCATTTTAGTTTCAGTCCCCGAATATACAAGGTTTGTCGATCTTCTGATCTAACTACTCATGATCCTTCTGCCCTGTCGATCGTGGCCACTGCAGGGGCAGTTGCGCAAAGAAAAACGTAGCTGCCTACAAAGCAACAAGCTCCACTCAACTACCTCGGGATTTTCATGTACTGATGCACCTATATCGCTGTGTATACCCTACTGGTGGTTTCGTCTCAAAGCTACCACTTTGACCCACTGTGATCAACTAGCGCTTGCAGCTCGGCCTCATTAGTAGCAGCCGCACTTATCTTGGCCGACGCGTTGGATCTATGCTGTGCATCCCCATACATGGTATGGAGTTCCTGGATGTCCTTCACGACGTAAACACATGGTCACTCGTCGAGTGTAAAGGGGGTCTCGATGTTGAGCTGAATACATAGTTCTTTTCACTTGGACAGAAGCAGCCTTTCTGTCTTGTACAGGCTCTGCTTCGACATAGCCTACTGATAACTGATTTCAAATAGTCACCTGCTAGGAATTTGAAGGAATCACAGTCATTTCGATCACGTACTGTCTAGATTGAGTCCTAGATTTTGATCGCATCGCAGTGCTCGGTGATGAGCAATTGGTGGAATATGGCGATCCTCAGATGCGGTTGAATGGGGCCAACTACATTCAGGGAGCTGTATCATTAGTGACCGAGACTGTCTGTAATGAAGTAGATGTTGAAAGAAGAAACTATGAAAGTAAGCAAGGGTACTAGGGAAATTGCTGGGTAAGCTGCGGAGTTGGGGTTAGCCTTGGGGTTCGGGTTATCACGATGACCTTGAATTGCTCCTTTTTCGAAAAGGTTGACTTTAGTCAACCCCTTTACACTCAATAGAGTCCTTGACGAGAATGGAATTATCTCCTATACTGCGACTGGGGGTATCTTCTGTAAATCTATTGACCGTTTGGCTTCCGCGTTGGGCCGGGTCGAGCTCTTCATGACTTCGACTGCGGTCAATGGTCGAGATTATTAAGAGTACTTTCCGTATGGGACGTGTTGTTTGCCAACAGAAGGCTACACGTTGGGCAGTCATGGATATTCAGTGCTAGATGTCTGCGCAGCAGCACAAGGCTGAAGCCTTGACGTTCATGACTAACAATGCGAGCCTGATATCGTTATATTACACTACCGCGGTCCATTGTTTTCAGATTTTTCGTCTTTTGAAATAACCCTCGTAACCTGGCGAAATAGGTGTCTATATAATCTTTATTTCCAAAACGCATGATCATTATTCGATCGACTGACTGCAGTCTAGGGTTGCTAGCGTATCAATTCATTGGCTCAGTCGCCCGCCTACCCTTGTAGTTATTGATACAAGCAATATTGCCAGAGAGGGAAGACGCTGTGAGACACCGAATTTCTAGTTCTATACGACAATTCTTAATTTCCTCTTTTGAGCGTTCACTTGGAAAATTTTCGGGTTTCGATTTGTGTCCTTAAAGCTGGAAAATCTCAATATCCAGATACAATGTTTTTCTCACCAGGACGAGCGATTCCCAAGGGCAACCAAGTGAGACAATGGAAGAATTCTTGAATTTAATTCCAGCGATCCATCGCCTCTCAATTAATAATGTTGATCAAAACCGAACAGAAGCGAAATATTCGAAACACTTCGGACAAGGTCAAACGTAGAGTCAGTAATAAATCTCAGACTGTGAAAGGAAATGTGTCATTCAGTTTATATCACAGGTTCTCACCAATAATTTCATTGGTTCTGTGACTGATTGTCTGAATCTAGCCATCAAACATCGTCAAGAGATGTGTGGTAGTAAAGCAAACTCCCTGATTGGCGGTGAGTGATTACTTGACTACGACCGTGTTTGCTGTGTTTGCTTCCGCCACCAAGGCTGCCCCTCCCAGCATCTCACTGATTGTTGCACTCATTGTTGCCGACAACCTCATAACAATTAATTGCATTAACTGCTTTCGCTCTTTGGCATCTTCCCCACCTTGTCGTGTGGAAAATTTCCAGACAGACCTTCCCTTGTTGACACTTTCATTTCTTTATTACTTCGGTTGCAATGGGTTCCAACGAACCCGCTGCGCAAGGAGAGTGGACTCCATGGACAGGTAACCATCTGGATACAATAAGACGTCTCACAACATCAGACTGACGCGCAAACAGTTCTATCGACTATCCCTCATCCCATCGAAGAAAACAGCTCCTCCCCAGTCCCATTCTTCCATCTTTTGGAGCGCCTCAAGACCACCAAGCGCGAAGGCTGGCGTCGCTTTGGTCTAGACTGCGCCGAGTCGATTTCAGATCACATGTACCGCATGGCCATCATTACTATGCTCGCTCCTCCATCCTTATCCTCGCGACTGAATGTTCCGCACTGCACAAAAATGGCCCTGATCCACGACATGGCCGAGTCCCTAGTCGGCGATATCACCCCCGTCGATAAATCCGTATCCAAGACCGAAAAGGCGCGACGTGAGGGAGCAACGATGGACTACATCGAATCGACTCTATTGCGAAACGTGCCCGGAGGCACGCTTTCCGGCGGAGAAATCAGGCGCATATTCCAGGAATACGAGGACAACCAGACCCTCGAAGCGCAGTTCGTCCATGACGTCGACAAAGTCGAACTTCTCCTGCAAATGGTCGAATACGAACGCGAACACGGCAAGGATCTCTCCGAATTCGCACACGTGGCGAGTCGCATTACGTTGCCAGAAGTCAAGCAATGGGCCGACGCGGTCATGAAGGAGAGGCAACACGTTTGGAATAAGGCGTAGACCCAGCAGGACTGATTCGGTGCTGGAATCTGCGTGCAGATATGTATATGGATATCCATATTCTTGATTGACTTTCGGGGTTTGGGTTATTGCACTGGAGTGATTAAGTGCCACGACACTAAACGAAGGCGAGGCGTTTGGATGACTTTTGTGACAGTTGTATAATTCACATAGATTAGACAGTATCGATACAGCCGGATTGACGCGGTTAACATAGTAATGCATGATGTATGAATAGTCCTGACGTGCCCTGCGCTGTAAATGTCCACACCAAAGTTAGAACCCTTCCCCCGGACGAGGTTTCATCCCAGTGTTAAATAAATGCTCAATCATCTTTCTCCTTCTCCATCTCTTTCGCCAGCATCTGCGCCTCTCTTTCCATATCCTCCTCACTCCTCGGCGTCCGACTTTCGTTGTCCACAACAGGAAAATCCGTTCGTCTCTTCGCCTTACCAACATCCCCCTCCGCATCAGCCGCTTTGAGTAACTGCTTCTGAATCCTCCCTACATCACCTTCCTCCCCATCCAGCAGTCCATAAACCGCATCCGTACCGCCCTTATGGTCCAGGTCTGATTTTCGGCGCGGGATGATGTGTGTGTGGACGTGCGCCACGCTCTGTCCCGCGTCGACGCCGTCTTGGATCGCTATATTAAGGCTTGTCGCGCTAAACACGCGTTCGATCATGCGTCCGACTTTGCGCACCGTAAGAAACAGGTCGGCGGTTTCGTCGGGAGTCAGGTCCGAGACGCGCGGTACTGAGCGACGAGGGGAGACGAGCACGTGCCCTGGAAGAATGGGTTTGAGGTTGACGAGAGCGAAGCTGAGGGGGGTGAGGTAGAAGACCTGTAAGCCAATAGTAAGGAGAATCAGTATAAATCAGAGTAGCGAGTGGCTGGTTATTATTTCCTCGCGAGTCTCCGTGAACTGATGGGCGTACCTGAGAGGTGACGAGGAAGGGGCCGAAGTAAATCGGCACCTTGGTAAGAACTGTCATGCTCAGAAATTTGGGTCTGGCTAGCAAGCTTGATACTTTTCCCGGTGTGTTTGGGAAGCTCAAAGGTTGAAGTTAGGAGGAGCTTGTGAGTTGCGGTGCGGAGATTGTGGATACGGAGCCGCTCCGATGACGATCTATGAACTATATATATATAAGACATACAATGCTGTTCTCAATGAATTTTATTAAAGATTTTAACTTGTTCGTGATGGGTATTTCCAAACCTTGATTATTGTAAATCATGACCAGTTAATATGTATCTATCATACATTTGATATTACCATCAACCTCCACGTCTACGTCTACGGCCAGAGTTACGAGGAGGCGGCTTGTAATCCTCCTCCTCCTCCTCTTTGTCTACATCAACAATAGATCCCTCTAATTCGCTAAGCTCAGACTCGTCCTCTACTCCAACTAGAGGTCCGTGGTTTGGCGTTTGTCGGGGTTGGGCGTCACCATGATCAACGATGAGATTATCTTCACCGTCATCCTCTCCAGGCAGTAAGAACCCACCACCTTGGTCAACATTGGCCTCGTCATGGTAGTCACCATCCTCTTCGTCATACTCTTGCATGGGCTCTTCACGATCCTGCTTCTGCTGGTCATTTCTCAACTTCTCAATCTGCTGTGCATTCTCGTGCCTTCGTTGAAACGGATTGTGCATTTCCGCATCTCCATCATCACCATACTCAGCACGAACGCGCTCCATAATGCGCAATCCCATTAGGAACTTGCGCCATGTTTGTAAAATACGTTTTTCCTGCGCCAGTCGCTCCTTTTCGCGACGTGCCTGTTGATAAGCTTGCCAAGCATCTTTCAGTAACTCCACGTTTTCCTCAGCGACCACAACACCTTCAATGACAGGTACGGCCATTTTACTACCAAACTCAAAGCCAGTAACAGCTTCGGCAAAGTCGATTCCTAGCTTTTTGCATATGCGTACTGTTCCTCCATAGGGCACATGAACGGCACCACGGGGCACCATGCTCGGAACAAAACAATCGATATTCCCATATTCGTTTTTGGGGATCACGCCGTTCTGAATCGGTGGCGGTATGATAAACTCGGTCTGGTAAAGGGCATATAGCCCTTGTAGTGGCTTTTGTCCAGTTTCACGTTGCACTTCGTCTACCTCCCGTTTCCTCATGAGAGTCACAGCGCGAATAGGGACGCGTTTTAGAGGCGCTTCTCCGATTTTCGGCCGTCGGCCCTCTTTATGCCAGCTCTCCGCAGAGAGACATCTCAACACATCAGCACGGCGATAGACGTTCTCTTCTTTAGCCTTTTCTCCTTTTCCAGAGACGAACTTGCGCACAGCTTCCGCACCAGGTCGTAGCGCTTCCTCTCGCCGGAGAAAACGCTCAAGAACAAACTCGGTGGATGCTTTCAGGCTCTGTAGAGTGTCTCCTTCCTTTTTAACAGCCTTCTTTTCTGGCTGATTGGCAACGAGGTCCTTGGCATCTTCGACGTCGTCGACTATGGTACGCTTGTTCGCAGAACGTACATACCCTTTCATAGTTATTCTGAACCAGTCATAGTCAAATGAATAAGCAGGGCCTCTCTTGGATAACCTCGCAACAAGCTTTTCTATTGGCAAACGATATCCTTTGGTCTTCCCTGGCCATGTCTGTCGTTTTAGATAACGCGTGGTCACGTCTTTGGCCGTACCGTCGGATGAATGCGCTACGACATACGCGATAACCTGTTTCGCTTTGTCTGCTCGAGCACCACGAGGTTCGAAGGCGGCGACCATCTCAGGCGTTGCAGCAACCTGGTTAGTCAGAACTATGGCGTCCACGGGAATAACCTGATGAGTGATGGGGGACACGGCTTCTGTCCAGTAAACTGGGAAAGGAAGATCTCGATCATAATCTGTGCGCTTCGAGGAGGCCTTGCCTGGCCTCAAATTATCATCACTATCATTTTCGCTGTCCTCGCTACTTTCAGTGACATCTTCTGGCCCATTGGGCTTCTCCTCGAGAGGTTCGAAGGTATCAACTTCAGACTTGGTCCAGCCAAAGCCCAAAGGCTGTAAATTAGAGACCAAACGAGCCTCGATTTTTAAAGCTCTCAAAAGAGCTGTAAAAAGCTGTGCTCCGACATCCCGAGATCCTTGACGCTTTTCAGCTAAGACACGAAACTCGTGCTTGTTGCAGATCCGCTCCCCATGCAATGATGGATCGTATTCTTCCTGCTTAAATGAGGAGAGTACCCTTTCCATGCGTTTTGCAGGGCGGTAGCCGTTCTTGCGAAGACCTGGTGCCGTGATCTTAAAATTCTTCTTCCAGTATGCAGCCAGGACTCGTAATAATTGTAAAATCGGATCACCGCGGCTCATATCCGGTTGGCCTGGTTCCAGACGTTCTGCATCATCACCCCAATCCCTACCAGATTGTTTCTGTTTCTTGCCCTTTCCTTTCTTCCCAGCCTTCCCTTTTGTATTTGTATCTTCTTGCGGCGGCGGTTCTAGAGCGGAAGCGATTCGCCATCTCCGCAACTCCTTCTTGATACCCTCTGGTAGCTGGTTCCGTAGGATATCGTGAACTTTTGAATCATTGATCCACGCATTCCGTATAGCATTATGGAAAAGCAGACATTGTACATGTGCCCGGTGGGTATTCAGCCGAATTACCCGCTCGATCTTGGATGGGCCTTTCTTAGTATCAAGAAGGCTCATCTCTGGCACATTCGCCATAGGGTCCAGGGTCAGTTCCAAGTCCTGAAGCGGGGTGTCATGTCCGGGGCCACTGGTTGTGGGTGTGTCATTCATGGCATCCTCCCAGTCAACGCCATCGTCATGCTCATCATCGTCATTGTCTTCCTGCTTATCCTTCTTGGAAACATTTTTATGGCCGACATCTTCCCATTCGAGATCACTCGGTTCATTGCTCACAGACGAGTCGGAGCATGGCTCTGCTTTCTGCTTCCTCCCGGAACGGCGTTTGGAGGGAGGTGCGGCCTGGTCTTTGGGATCGGGAGACAGCGACCGTTTGACAGGGATAAATGGGGGCATTTCGACTGGCTATGCATGTTATTAAGCGTGTTACTAGTAGATTGAAACCGGTTCGCTCGATCTGAGTTATTGCTGAGTGATGATAGTAAGAGAAAGCGGGAGATGCTGGCAATATGGAGATTCTAAGAAAGAGGAGCGTGTTTGCTGATAAGATAAGGGTGGCGCTAAAAATACACCACGTAACAAGACCGTATCACATACTAAATATGTATAAAGCATCAAAATTTAGAATACCAGACTCTATATTATATATTTCATAGAACAGGCTTCAAAATTGTACTGCTCTATATCATTTATAATTGACTTACGTTGTAAAGAGTGCTTCAAAAATTATAGCAGATTATATTGAAATATGGTAGCAATTATTTTCTCATACGTAGAGTATCTTACCCATGCATATATGTACAAGGTACCTACAAGGATGCCTGCCAACTACCATCCTTCAGCATTATTGCTGAAAACCCTTTCTTATCCAAACCATTATCTACTGTTTACTTTATCAAAACACGTCTGAGGACGTCCAGTTCCAAGCATGCCAAGATGGGGATGAGACATGAGTACAGCTTCTCTTGCAAACGGCGCTGACATCCATGCAAGAAATGAGAATCCCCAGCCGCCGCTTCTCCTGGCTGTGAAAGAATGAGATAAAGAAGTTTTAATAATATATCAGATTATAAGAGTATGATCCATCGCTCTACCGTTCAAAGCCGTATCAAAGCAGCTGTACCAAGGCTTAGGACTAAGTCTGCCTTTGTTAAGGACCACGAGCATGAATGGAATCGGTCTTTTATATAGCATATCCAGAATCCTATCCATTCAGCCAATAAACGTGGCCAAATAGTTGGCTGCTGACCACGCCACCAAGTCCTCCGTTCTCGAACCACAATACCCAAAATCTTGGATGTATAGCAGCATGTCAAATAAATAGTCAACCATGGTTGGCGGTAAAATGTTGCGGAAGACTGGCTCTGGAAGTTGGTTGTCAGCAACCTTATTTCCGGAATTTTTACTCATAATCTGCACGACTTCCTCCGTCGTGTTGAGCTGAGTAACGCCGCAAAGGACCTTGCCTTCAAACTGATCAGGGTTGGCGAGGATAGCGGCGACGTATTTGCCAGTTTCCTCAATATTGATGAGCGGCAGCTTGGTATTGGGATCAATGATATTGGCCAGCACAGAGGTACCATCGTCAACAGAGCGCGGCTTCATATTCGTGTGGGAGTTTTTCATAAAAGGCCCAGATGCCAAGAATGCGCTTTTGATGGGTAACTTCCTTATATGGTCCTCCACTTCGGCATTGCAGTCGAAACGGAGGCTCTTGTCATATTTCCCACCGGAAACATGAGTGGTGTGGAAGATGGTGCTAAATATGAGGTAGTTTGCACCGGCAGCAACAGCCGCATTAGCGATTGCCTTGCTTTGAGACAATTCGCGCTCCTCGAGCCGCTCGTCGTAGATGGTTATCGTGAGCGAGTAGATAGTGTGAGCCCCCTCGAGGACTCGCTCCAAGGAAGGAAGGTCTTCAGCGTCACCCTGAACAACTTCAACTTTGCCCGTCTGTTGGAGAATCCGCGCCGCGGAGCTCGAGGTGTTACGTACAACAGCTCGAACTCGATACTCGTTAGCAAGGACAGGATCGTTAAGGACACGATCAATAACAGGCCCGCCTTGATTGCCAGTAGCACCGAAAACAACAAGGAGTTTCATCATGACATAAGGTGTTTATATATTAAAAGCAATGATGCCAAAGATGAGGTGCTGTTTGAAGCGATTGGGTTTTTTGCTCTGGGCTAATGATTGTGGGCAAAGTAAGTTCTCTTAAACTCTGGAAAGGCACAAAGCCGAAAGCACCCCACCGCTCCCCTGGATCAACAAGGGATTCTCTGCATTTAGAGGAATTATAGAAGGCTTTGCATTATGGTTTTTGAGAGGACCTTCTGAAAGCCGTCAGGATTTCTTCTACCGAAAAATGTTGTCAAAAAGCCGTCGGATTTTTTGTAGAAAACATCCGAGGTCATTATCCAGAGCAAGCCCACTGTAAAAAAGTGCTGGTAGCTACGGTGTTGCCTACATCTATGCCTACAGTAACTCCTGTATTGCTATCCACGTTATCATCCCTGAAGATATATATGAGAGGCTATTAAGTCCTTTCTGGGAGGACAGAGCATGCAATTCTAAGCAATATATATATGCGCATCTAATTAACATGCCTGATATGTCTTCACTCAACTCGCATTCTGTAACACCCTCGACCAAACCTTAGTTGTCCACCTACTTAGGGAATACAATTTCATTTTTTCTACCAGCGAAGCAATCCACAGTCAGGGTATTTGAGTCGTCGAACAGAGTTCAGGTCATGGATTGATCTCTCTCGTTCCATAAGAACCCGGGAGCAATGCTCAGTATGATCCCAGTCCGACAGATGTGAATCGATTGAAAGAAGGCCGCTGCTAGAAGCCATGACTCGATGCAGCCTCCGAAACATATCAACACAATGACGTTGATGTTCTGCCGGTTGTGGATTTGTATTAATAAATAATGATTCAACATAATCAACTTGATTCTAGAGAACGGAAAGAACTTACGTTCCCACTCAGCGTATAGACGGTCATATTCTCCAGTAGCGGCCTCATCCCAAGTGATTTCTCCTGTTCTGTTCTGGAAGAGCCAGAATTTCCATTCCTTGAAATTTTTGAAATCTTCTTCAATCTTCTCATCATAACACTGTTCGGGTAGCCATGCAAAGTAGAGCATGCCAAAACGACAGCCTCGTTCTCTTGCCTCTGCAGCACTCTGTCCACAAGGCGCTTTGAGTAGGAAGTCACGCCCAGAGGAATTGGTTTCGGGCGAATGCGCCGAATCTTGCCATTGGATACATTGGCCGTGTTCTTTCCCTTCTATCTCAGAGCTGCTCATACCAACAGCCTTTGAGCTGGCTGAAAGGTCCAGAAAGCTGAGTGCAGTCCACCTTGCCACAAGGTAGGCGAACCCCACAAAGACGATCAGAATACTCAATAGAATCAGCGCCTTTCCAATGAAACGATAACGCCTGTGTCGAGGTTGGCTAGCTAGATATGCATCGTCTATCTCACCTTGAGGGATCAATGGCTCCGAATCTCCACTATCACAGGAGTCCTTGACAGACTCTGCACTACCTCCAGACAGGTCTTCAGGCTTCATATTGCCAAGAAAGCGTTCAGTGATCTTGGAGAATATGGATGGTGATGATATGGCGACTTTAATTACATCGAGCGTCTATATAACTGACCTGTTAGCGTGAGAGGCTACGTAAGGAAGCTCCCTAGCCTGCCTGCGACCTGGAAGGATTTGTATAACCTAACCGATACATTGTCCGGTCCACATTGTTGGCAGGATACAAACCACGCGCTCGCCACTCCCACTTTATTTCATCATTTGAAAAACATGGGTCAATAACTTTTCATTCAAGCCCCTCCTTATTATTATAGTGGGAATGCGTTAATTTGAAGAAACACTAAAAACTAGCGCTTACTGATATCAACACATAGTAATTTATATACTAGCCTGAAATTATGTATTATTTAGATACTGTTTGACTGGACTTGACGGTTATAGTCTCGAGTTGGATCTAATAAAAGTTGTACAGTAAAATCTAGGATCAACCAACACCTTACTGCCACATAGATGAGAACCCCTGATTGCGGTTTGAGATCTTCATAAACGAGGCCATCTCCCCTAATAAATTCAGTGCAAGTTTGTCAATAACAAGAAACACACAATTCACGCTTTTTACCAAATTGTTCTCATAATTTCAACCCACTATTTCGGGATAAAATTACCACCCTAAATCCGACACTAGGTGCATTTGCGGGAATGGTTTGCGCCAGGTTTAGGTGGTCCTAGCACCTACCTTCTCGTCAATTGTGTCAGGCAAATAAGTCTAAGGTAAACGGTCTAAATGATGACTCGTTAGCTATTTTCGTTTTCATTGATACAAAATCAAGCAAATATGTCAAAGTTTTAAACGGGCCGATCACTACCCCCAAGTTCTAACAGAGTGGAGACTGAAGCGTTGACATAAAAATGAAAATTCAATTTTTTCAATTGATCCGACACAAAAAAAGCGTTTAGTTGATTGATCAGAGGCTTCATGAAGGCTTCACACTTCGAATTCGTGCTCAGAGTTTCTCATCCATAGGAAAAAATACAAGCTTAGTTCGATATTCATTGCTGCTCTACTGCGGCAATGGATGGCTATGAGCTCCATAAAAATCAAAAACTAGCGCATTATGTTGATAATAGGGCTGTTATGAGCCATGGGCACCAACCAGCGGACTAGTAGTGGTCGGGAGATGTAACTATCAACGGCACTCTGCCATCTTGGGCAAGCCCCCGAATAGGCGCAGGCATGTGATGCGCTTAAATACATCGGGAAGATTCGTCCTGATTTGACTATTTAAAAAATCAGAGCTAAAAGCGACTAGGGTTTAACTAAACAATGAGAAAGGGTAATTATACATTCTTTTCCGACTCGTGTTACGGTACACATCTATTACAATCTCCTAATGATCTGTTCATTTGGGAACATAAGCATTCCCATGACAAAGCGGTCAATCGTCACTCCTGGCTTGGAGATTGATATTTTGATACACACCGTATCATTCCGAGATCCAGGGATCTGACCCCTGAATCCTGGTTTTATGCCTAAACTACTCTGTACTTCGAAGAAAAATTGAATACTCTAGGGAACCTACAACATACTACTAGATATCTCGATGGAATGGTGTAGACGCTAGATTCGTCAAGTACTGGATCTTGCCCACCGCCAAAAGCGTGCGTTGGAACGTAACATTATGAGGATAAAGCGCGATATTGATGATTCATACTAACAACTCAATTCGGGGAAAGCATTTGCCACGCTAATTCAACATAATTGACCCACTTCCACAGCACAGCAGAGGTGCCCATGGTCCATACTCTCAGAAAGGGAAACGGCTAGCCAGTCTAAGATGGTCGAAATTCCTCAGGTATGAGTGTTTAATGACCTTGGAAGCCTCAAGAGCACGCTGACTGCTCGAATTCGTCCTGTCCCGCGTTATACGTGTCAGTTGCCGGAATATGTGCGCAAATATGCTAGCTTTTCTTACCACAGATCTCTCGACGATAGTCTCATCCGGAATAGTATTGCCGCCAACCTGTAGAAATTCATGTTAGTGTGTCTTATCCAAGTATTTCATATTTGAAGAAATACTACTAACATCGCGCCGCAAGGGTGTACAGCCTCTATGAGGGGTCGAGCATGAAGTCTGCGAAAAGGCCATCGCAGATTGTCCTAGAAGGACGAAGAGCACGATAGTTGTCAAAGTCTTCATTGAGTAGATTGCGAGTAGGTTCTTTCAGATTTTGTTGCAAATATGAGGATCAATTAGCCAAGGCCGAGAGTAATGACTTGGGATCATGCAGCTTCTAGGGAATATATACCTGCCGTGGAGACCCCGTGACTCTAGGAGTAAGGATTTCATGTCCTGGATAGCTTAGCTCACAGGATTGAATACTGAAGGAACGATATTGTTACATCGCCGTATTAGTACCGCAATCATTCCAAGTGAAAATACGAGTCAGCGGCATAATCTGGCACTATAAGCTAGTCCTGTGGGTAGTTGTAGAGTCTTCTCTGGAAGCGGTCATCTCTCACGGCGATTCCATTTGAGCTAAAAAGCCTCACCGTCCCTACCGATGTCCAATATTACTCGTGCAGTACTGTTCAGATCTTGGTTACTTCAAATACAATCAATACATCAATCACAGGGACCCGTCAATTCCATTAGAGCCTGCAGTGTTCCCTATCTTCAGCATGTCCTTGATCCATGCTGACAACTTGGCTCCGCAGCCATGGACCGACATTTTCACAGACGATACCTGCATCGACCGACGCAAGTGTTACCGAAAGGTGCCAATGAAAGTGCTCGGCCTAAGTGTTGGACGCACGGGAACAGCATGTATGGCTTTTTCTTCAACCTTTTTCTCCCTCGCGGGTCATGGTCACAATCTCGTGCTAAGTAGATGTCGATATCAGCTCTCCGTCATGCATTGGAAAGACTGGGATATCTTCATACATACCATATGATGTGTGCCAGTGTCGAAAATCCTCCAGACTGCTTGATGTGGCTAGACGCTCTGAATTGGAAGTATGACGGCATCGGCGATTTTGGCCAACGAGAGTGGGATCAACTACTCGGTCATTGTCAGGTAAGCGCCTTGCAGCCGTGGTAATTGATGCTCCTTCTTCCCTGCTGAATGATTCTTCTCTAGGCTGTGTGTGATTGGCCTGCTTGTGCCTTTGCCAAAGAACTGATTGAAGCGTACCCTCATGCAAAGGTGATCTTAACAACCCGCGACGTAGATTCATGGTATGCGTATGTATAATGCGCTCCTACCCGCAGAAAACAAGCAATTGATTATCAGCTAGGTCGGTTATGAAGACAGTCTACTGGCGAGCCACGGACCCCGAACACAAATTCGTCTCTCAATTGAGCTGGGCCGCTAGTATGTACTACCCAATGCTAAACAAATTCTTTGACACCTTCTTCCACGGCGACTTTGAGAAATACGGGAAACAGGTTTATTTAGATCATCTAGCTGAGGTCCGCAGCCTTGTGCCTCCGGACCGACTCCTCGAATTTAGAATCGACGAGGGCTGGGAACCATTGTGCAACTTCCTCGGAGAAGAGGTTCCAGATACCCCATTTCCAAATGGGAATGATATGAAGAGCTTTTCGGAGCGATGTCGGAGACGCAACCGCAGACAGCTAATGAATAGTGCCTTGCATATCTCTGTCCGTGTTGTTACTATAGGTGGCGCTATCCTAGTGGCAGGTGCAGGAATGTACTACAACTTTCGACGTTAGGTCCGTGCTGTGAAGATGCTATCTTGTCATCCTGTGTGGAGTAGTTAACTAGTTATAGCAGCCCGCTCTTTCTCTTAGCCCCAAAACTCCAGACCCCGGTTTATAGAGTTTCCGCTTTCTTAGTGCATAATCGTACTTTGTGCCGACCGAATTGTTGGTTATGTTTCCACTTAATTTAGAAAATAGGAGAAGTATAGTAGCTTATCTCTTTATATCGTAGTAGACTTAGTGGATCTCAAAGGATGAGTGGCTGATCACGAATTTTAGCATAATATCACGAACAAATCTAGAAATCACAAAAGAAAACCTAGTCGTCTGAGGAGGCTTGTATCAGTTTCAACCCTGCAGCAAACTATTGATTCCAAAATCCGCACCAAGGTTGCTTGTCGTTAATACTTGGCACGGATAGTATGCTAAAGAATCAATCAGTCAAAATTTACACATTTTAGCAGTTCCCTGGTCCGCATCACATTTGCGAGGACTATTGAACTCTCAACTACGTAAGAAGGCACCGCATTGTTATTTATGATGACATTTCACGACTTAATATTTACATTACATTTATTACATTACATACTCCGTAGTAACGAGTAAAACACTGGATCAACTACTACATTTTACTGGTATAATACAGTAGCACCTTGGCAGAGGGGCCAGAAAAATCAAAGATGTCTCTAATTTTAGTAGTGTCATGATTACTCATGATCATCAAAGGCTAACTAACTAATATCCGTGGAGACAAGCCTCTTTAGCGGATATAGGAATTTCTCTTAGTTTGACCATGGGTGGTGTCCGACTCAATTAAGCTGAACTCTGAAGGTCGGTTTCGCCTGTTATTTTAACAATGTAATACTGTTATGTACGAGTATTCGGAGTTACGGGTAGATAGCAATGCCGTCTTTAACATAACGAATAGATGATTATTTTAATAGCCACTAGTAAGATGCCAATTTCGAAATGCATTTTAAACCATATCCCTGCGATGTCTGCTATCAAATATATAATCCCAGAAGAATTTTGATCGAAAAGCTCCCGCCTCAATCATGTTTCTCCTCACCTTCTTTCTGTCTCTCGTACTTGGTCTCAGGACCGTCCATGCTGGTACGGATCTTGCCTGGAAAGACGATACTGATCTCACCAGTTTCATCACCGTGAGTCAAATCTAGGTATTTGCTGGAAATGTAGAGATTGAGTTGATCGTAAATTTGCGTGTAGCGTCCAGAAATCAAATCCCCTCTATATGATGTCAAGATACATAATCCGAACGGTATCGAGGAGGGATACTGGTTCGTTGCGCCCTATGTCAAAATTCACCAGGAGAAGTTCCCCGAAAGATATTATCAGACCTGTCAGACGGGTCCTCATATATACGATGCTCAAGGGGTACGTGCATGATGCTACTTCGAAGATGCATAAGGTAGCTAACATATTGATGTATACGTAGGAGTTAGTCTGGAGTGGTGCTTGTATGGTCAACAATCGTGACACCAACGACTTTCGTGTGGTGAAATACAACGACACAACATACTTGTCTGCTATCTTGCATCCCCTAGGATCTGACTTTAAAGGCCATGGTATTATCATGAATACATCCTTCTCAACAGTCAAATCGATATACAACCCCGTTACAATAACGAATTTCAACATGCACGAACTCAATATTGTCGATCAAGGAACTAAGGCGTTGCATATCGTAGCCAAGCCTGATCTGGCCGACGTTTCTGCGCTAGGTACTGGTCTGCAGGCTGGCTGGGTTGCAAACAATGGCTTTCGCGAAGTCGATATAGGCACGGGTGAAACGACTTTTGAGTGGTGGGCGCTGGACCACGTTCCACTTACAGAGAGCTCGGTAAATATCACCAACTTAGAGGGACCGCATCCCAGCGCTTGGAACTTCTTGTAAGTATAATAGCCCGACAGGAAGTATGTCACATGCGAAATAATGGCTGATAAGGATGGTAAACGCCTCCAGTCACTCGAATTCGGTAGATAAGAATGCTGATGGCGATTATCTCGTCTCCTCTCGCTATACGGATTGCATATACAAGATTTCTGGAAAGGATGGACACGTCATATGGCGCTTGGGCGGCAAAGATTCGTCATTTATTCTGGAGGGCTTCAACTTCTCAAAACAGCATGATGCACGATTTCTGCACGAAAACAGCACTCACACTGTACTTTCCTTCCTCGATAATGCGGCCGACCCTTTCAGTGAGACATCTGACTATTCATCTGCACTCATTGTCTCACTCGACACCTCAGCCACACCCATGACCGCCAGAGTGACTCAAAGATGGGAGCGGCCAGATAGACAACTCTCACGGCTTCGTGGCAATTTCCAACTCCTCCCTAGCGGCAACGCTTTTATCTGCTGGAGTGGAAACTCATACATCAGTGAACATTCTCCGGATGGTGAGGTGTTGTTTGAAGCAAAATTCACATCTCATCGATCTGTGAGTTATCGTGCGTATAAATTTAACTTTACGAGCACTCCGCTTGAGCCCCCGACGCTGAAAGCTTTCGGTTATGGGGAATCGCCAGCCACAAGTACTACTGTGTTGTATGTGAGCTGGAACGGAGCTACGGAAGTCAAGTCTTGGAATTTCTATCGAGCTGAAGACTCGACACTCATTGGCAGCAAGTCTAAGACGGGCTTTGAGACGACATACCACTCGCAGGGCTATCAGAAGGAAGTCTATGCCGAAGCCCTGGCTGCTGACGGTCGCGTGATCGGAACATCTTCCATTGAATCCACAGTTCTTCCAGCTCATTGGACCTCGGAAGGCACCAAAGCCTCTGAAGACCAACGTACCCATCACGAATGGTACAAGCAGGAACTTTAGGATCTTTCCTATTTCCCCCTCCGCAGCGGATATACGGCCCTCCCTTCCCGTTGGGTTGGCGGCCGTTAGAATTCGACATGTAGCAAGATATAGAGAAAAATAGAACTTTCAACCAGTAGAATCCATTTCATGTCATTAATTATTAATTACTTGCGAAATTGCGCGGTTCGCTTCAACTGCCGATGAATGTCGTATCAAAGTATCTGGCCACTAAGCTCCGTCTGCCCTGCAGAGACCTTCCTTAAGCGATTCTAATCCCACTCATATGGGTTCGAGGGAACAATGGCTCTCTTAATGGCTTCTTCGCGATATCGTAATAATGGCTGAGCTAATTCGCCATAGCGATCTGCATTCGTTCAAACAATGATATCTCGTTATCCCAACCTCATCGATCGAGTGTCGGGTAGCCGATCAATGAAAGCTCTCTTCGCATTCAGTGGTCCGTGCAGTTTTTGTCAGCCAATGCCACCGTTGGAAAATTCGTGATTGGGGTGAGAATTTAGTATGTCTTCAGGAAGTGTTAGCTCAGCGAAAAAAAAATACCTCATAGAGCCCCAAGTTAGGTATGCCCCCGTCCAGAGACTCCGAAGGTGCGAAGATACTAAACAGATGTAAGGGCATCTAACAAAGTAATTATTGCGGACATGTGTCTCCCCTTTCCAGTGTATGATTACTAATTTAGTTTCTGAATTTAGAGAAACCACGCTACCAGTTTGCTCCCCGGTTTTCTTATTTTGAGTTTAAGCGTAGTATTAACGGTATTGTTAGGCTAATCACTAATCGGGTAATATCATATCGGCGGTGGGTACCTCCCTACATTTTAGTGCTGATCATCGGGTAACCGACTGCTCAATTAGGAAGCATGGGACGCTAGGATTTCCACCGTTATACATTGCAATATCCCCTATGTGTTATCGCCTTAGTATAGAGTTAAGCCCGGTGACTCCGGTTATAGCCTCGGGATTTTCTTATTTCCTTACGGCTAATTACTCCACACAGAGCTGAAAGTTATCTTTGTGTACTCAAAGAGGCCAGTGTGGATTCTTGCTAGTGATGATCGGTTGTGGAAATTGCTGTATTGTAAGAAGACTAACCAAAACCTCTAGATATTCCTTTGGGGGTTGTTTCTAGCTTCTTTTTAACCAGATAAATATTGTCTTTGGACGTGATTCAAACCCAAGGATACCCCTAGAATACTTACGATGGCTTTGGGGGCATCTGAAATTGTACCATAATGTCGTCGATCAAACAACCTAGTATGTCACAATTTATTACCGCGGTCAAGTCTTTCCTTGAGGACAATGAGGAGGGCCCAATTGAAGCGTTCTCCTCTCGCTTGTCCCCGTACAGGATTGAGAGCCACCATTTTGGAGGAGTATCCAAATTGATTTTGGTCCTTGAGGATCAAGGACTGTCACAGTTAGCAGGTACGTGGTGTGCAGACGCGCTTTAAAGTTAATTCAATGTGGATTGACATCTCGCACATTGATCAAGGGGAATTGCGAGACCAGCAGCCAAGTAAACGTACTGGCAATCCTAGAACCACCCCTCATAGAGGCGTTTTAGCAAAAAGGAAGACAAGGAAAGGATTGATGACAAATATAATGCATACCGCTCGCGCTTCTCCAGGAGAGAATGAACATTGTCGAAGGATAGCATCATATCGGCGCACTGGGAGTAGAAGTTATAATTCTCGATCTACTGAAGCAGAGGTAATGCTCAACTTAATATTCATATCGATATGAGTCAATATAGCCCGTTGTTGAATAGAGAATACACCTTCAACTAGGATGAGCTAACTATAGAAGTTGCATAGGTTCTTACCTCTATCGCGGAGCCGTTGGAGACAAGAGAAGATGGAAATGATCCTGCTCATGAGTCACTGTCGGGTTTGTTTTGGAACAACGGCACGTTTTTCTCACCTTCTCGCGACGGTACTGGAGATTGTGTGCTAACAAATAATGCATAGTTAGCAGGTCCTGTTCTCCATGGATGAATTACGATGATATTGAGCCAAGCGCGAGCGAAAACAGCCTATTTTGTATCAACCCTATGACTTTCAACAATCCCTTCGCAACGATAACGCCCCCTATGTCTTCAATACCTGAGGAGACCACAAACAGTGAATCTATTGCCAACGATGGTGTGATATCCACCATGGAATTTTGCAGCCTCCCCAATGTCCAGGGGTTCAACACACCACCTACGCCACTTGCAGCCGCGAATGACTCAGAAGAGATACACTATGATAGCCTTAACATTCTACCCTTGGCGCGATCTTGCGAAGTAGATGATCAGTTTTCCACAGCTCATGACAGTCACTCTCTTGAGGCCTCAGAAAGGTCCCGCTCTAATATTCAAGCCATATCAGCAAACTGCATCCGGGAAGACTTTCTGGAAATACTCGAGGTCAACTTATCCTACTGGAAAGAGAACGGTCTATGGGGGCAACAGAATCTTCCAAACCCCCTTGAAGGCTCCGGCCACGAGAATCTAAAAATCGTCTACTTATGTTTATGTCAGCTCGACCGCTCTATCCAAACTGATCCAATCCGAGAACGTGTAGCGTTGGTAATTCTTTACCTGCAATTTCAGAATACGGTCAATAATTGGAAGATGCACGATTCACTAGAGGAGAGACCAGGACGGAAGCAGCTCGGCATTGGGCAGGGCAAATTGACTAGAATGATTGACTCTGTTCTTCGGAACAGTCATCCCGACTGGGACCAGTACAATGATAAACGCAAAACATATTTACGAGCCCGATTCCACAATCGCAAACGCTATGGAAAAAGGTGGTCCATCTTGACAGAGGAACTTGGTCCCGCCATTTTATTCTTATGCTCTCCAATACTAGCCAACACCGTGTAAGTATCGACCATTGGGTGTATTGAATGTAAAAGCTAACCTGAACCAATTAATAGGAGGGATACTTCTGTCACCTTGACGGAGCTAAAAATAATTTCATCGACGATTCACGAAGATAACAGAAACAAGATGAATCTTCTCGAGCCTATGCAGCTGATCGCAGATGATTTACTCCATGGCAGAGCATGCACCAATCATGATGTACACAGAGTCATGTTGGAGCTTCGTTATGCAGCTCAACCATGTTAATGCATTCCATGGTGGAGCATTATCCTTAGCCCAATGGCCTTCTTTCCTTTTCAGCGTGTTTGGAAGATTTTCATGCCTGAAGTCGATAAGATATACAGAGGAATACAGTGTAACAGTATGATTATACGTTAGATTTCTGCACATATGTCGCACCTTATACCGTTTCTTCAATATTTGTTAACTTAACAGATGTTCAAGTCTGATTTGTCTTGGCAAGTTTCATGCCTTTCCTTCATACACCACACCTCATAGAACCCGGCCGTATTTCTCGTTCGATCCAACCTCTGAGTAGCTTACGAAATTCTCCTCCTGTGCACAACACGGTGCGATCATCCCCCACTCTCGCTTTTGCTACTTCTTTTCGTACCTTCTTCCTCTTGCTCCAAAACCGCCAATAGCTGTGAATCTGCACCTATAGAACATCTCTCTACATCGCTGGACTTGTCCTCTGTGGAAACCAAAAGTATAGTTCTTAAATTTTCTGCCATAAATCGGGTTGGCCCTTTGACTGAACTATTCCTTGATACTCGAAGGTCTCAATCTAGCTGAAGAATACCTTGTTGCTAAATGCCATCGTCTTGGTATTATTATGAAACTATGGCCTCACGGTCGCACGTCTCCAGTTGAGCAATACCGTGGCTTCCTATAGCGTCTTGCTTAATTATCGAACCCCATTAATCGTAACGAGTCCATGGCATCTTCTCGTTTTGTGGGCTCCCAGCGAATCCGACATCCCAGACAGCCCTACATTCGGGAAATCGTAAAAAACCAACTGTAGAAATATCCACATCTTCCATGTTCCTCTCCAAAAGAATCTTCTGACAGTGTCTGGTATGATTCCAGTCATCAAGGTGCGAGTCAATATATCCACGTACTGTATAAGCACGATGCATGGCCATGTACATATAGGTACAGTGGACAATATGATATTCCCAGCTTACAAATAGACGGTCTTCTCCGAGGACCGCCAATTCCATAGGAACTTCGTCATGAGCCTCGGAAGCATTTGCAGAACGGCCACGATAGTATTTCCAAGTTGTATTTTGGTGATATGATAAAAAGTGATCGAGCAAATCCTTGTCATGACACTCCTGAGTTTGCCAACTAAAGCTAAGAAGATCAAATGAACAGTTGCGCTTTCGAGCTTCTGCTGGCGTGTCCCCGCAGTTTGTGTAGCGTGGAGGTTGCGGAGGATCATTCAGAAAGGATGGAAACATCTTCCATCGCCATATGTTGGAAGAATCTTGACTAGTGATCCATTGAAAAGCCAGCACTGCAACTAAAAGGGCGAGGGCGATCGCGATGATTGGATAGAAAACACTGGGGGTCCATCGTCTCTTCGATGAGGGGGGTGGGTTATTAGAATCAGAGGTGGCATTCTCGTCGGTCGGTATAGAGGTATACGTAGATGGCATCATGAGAGGGTGATGATCCTACCGGGGCCGAAGTTACATATGTATAGATAAACTATCCATTTGGGGGGAAGTGCAGATCTATTTATACTGCTTGGTAAGCGAGGTCTAAAATCCTAGTGAGCGATTTCCACTTTGACGTAGAAGTCCCGACGCTGCGCAAAGGTGCAATCTTCAATTTTAGAGCAGATTGGGGCTTCACCAACAGGAGTAACTATTCTATTCCCATTTGACCTTATTGTGGTGGAGATAATAAATATTATTTGAAATTAGCTACATTCCCATCTTGAACGAAAAAATTTATGTCGGAATTTAGATGATCAGTATGGAACTACCACGCACCGCAACTATTCGCTGCTTGTTTTTCACTCCTTCAGGAAAGTGTTTTGATTTTTTCAAATTTGATCTTTTAGCACAATGTCTAGCTCCGACCCCCCTTTTTTGTCCTCTTTTAAGCCCGCTCACACCCAACCATATCTCCTCCCTCACGCTACGATACTGGACGCGCGCTGCCGCACGCGGTATGTCAAAAGTAGCCTGAATAGGTTTAGTGTACAGGAAAGTCAGATAATGATAGCCTATGAAATTAATGCAACACAATGCTATAGTTAGACAAAAAATAGCAGCGATTGTAACACGTAGGAATAGAGCCGTGTCCGGGGGTGTCTGGATAGACTCGATGTGGGTGATTTGAAGCTGCACCGCGGGATGTTGAGGCTAAACAGCAGGTCTACTAGGATGATCTGGGTCAGTTTAGTTTATAGGAAAGTAAAAGGCTTCGACCCGAAGTCTGTTCAAAGCCGACGAGGCTTATATTGCAAGATATACAAAAAGATTTCAATTAGTTCCTTCCCTTTAAGCTGGAGAACCAACCTAAGCCTGATTTCTGGACTGAGGTAACTAATACCTAATCTAACTAGATACAGACATACATTGTGAGGTATTACGAAACCAACCTGGATGAATCTAGGGCGGAACTAAGCTGAGGATATTAAAGCGGCTAATAAGGAGGTGGGCACAAAAAGTCATACACATATGGGGCGCTAATTTCTTTGATTGTTATTACAGCTTTTATATTGTGTATTATTGCACTATGTATAGGTTAAAATTACGAAGTCGGCCAATGAAAGTGTAGGTAATAATATTGTAAACAGAATTTATGAATAACTCAGCATATCAATTACTTGACAAAACAATGTGGCACCGCTATTTAATAAAAACGACTAAAGCAACTATCAGAAAAAAAGCATAAATATAAAAGAAAACACATAGATTAACTATATATAACGAAGATGAGGGATAAATAACTCAGTAGTAAGTGGGAGATACTTATCAGCAGCATCAGTTGCTATCTTAAAAGTAGGCTTAATAGTAGCTATGTATAAGCTAATCTTTGGGTGACTTTCTGAGATTATTATAATATTTCCTACTCATTATATTGAAACTAATAGTGCAAATACTTTCGCCCTTTGAGCGATAGATTGTGTGAATCGGAATATACATATTCACCCAGTAACCAGCCTTGAGGTATGCCTTATCACCAACATCTTGGATTAGTTCAAAGTCCTTTGCTAAAAAGTTTCATTATGTAACTGCTATAGCCTACAGAGTCAGCTAGTAGTTGGAAGTAACCTGACGTATTCACTCATTCTGGATACAAAATAAGTTTAATGATACCTCCGCTTAAAACCGGCAGACAAATTATTACAACTCAATAAGCGGCTTCAGCGATACCAGCATAGAGAAGGTAATGAAAGCTAAATATAGCGCAGTAGCCACCGAACTGCAGGCGGCCACTACTCCAAGCTGTGCTAGTGTTTCCAAGCCCACCTCGGTAACCTTTTGTTCCTTGCGTTTCCCCAGCTTTGTTCTGCGTGAGAGGGTAGGTATGTATTTAAAATCAAACACGCTCTCCTCTCGCAAGCCCTGCTTGCTTGTGATAATCATGTAATATATCTTCCGGCGAAACTGGAAAATTAAAAAGTTAGAAACTACATGTATATAGCAACATTCATAGATAAAAGGGGAGAGATACTGCAATTGACGCCTTGTCAAAGACAGGGAAGAAGCGGTTCCCATAAGCGATAGTCATGACAACAAAGCAGTATCCATATATGAGGATCTGATAGTATAGGCTAGTTCTTGGTATGTCAAGATCATCAGCAAGCTGGTCGCCATTAAGTTGTCTGGCCATGGCATCCATAAATTCCTTGGAAGTGAATGTAGGAAATGTGTTCTCAAGACCAATGACGATGTTCTTGGCGAGGACAATGCCAGTCTCCTTTGGATGGACTTCAGAAACAAGGAGAGATTCCATCATAGCTCTTGCAGTAGCTGTTGTTGCAAAAGCCTCGTTGGGGGTGCCCATATAATAACCCACAAGTCTCCAAAGCGCAATGTAATCAACAATTTCTTGCTCGCGGAGCCGAATACCTTGCCGAGGAAGGCCCAGCCACACCACACTTGTTGAAAATGTGTTAATTGTTGCAATGCAATCAAGGTCACTGATTGGAACACCCCAGTTCTGAACATCGTAGTAATCGGGGTCTTGGTCCACAAGATCCAGGATCTTAGAGCGAACGGAGGCATGTAGCAGCCTAACTCGAACAGAGGATTGATGCCCAGAGCCTCCAGGCTTGATGGAGTCCAGGGAGAGAGAGACTTGAAGTACGTGTTGAAGGGTTTCGAGCAACCTGCGTCGTACAACAGTTGCTGAAAAGCCGCCAGTTCTGGCTAAAGTCTCAACAACACGAGGTGAACCCCTAAGAGGACCTTAGTCGAATTGTGTAGAATTTCTCACGCATTGCAGAACTTACATCCCACCTAGAAGGCTTTCGAAATTGAGCTTCAATAGTCGTTAGTATCGGGGTTATCACTTCTATTTATGGCAAACATACCACGTTCAACACCGCAAGACCGTAACGGAAGAAAACCTCCTGGCCTCGCTTGACCTGTTCCCAGTCAACCCATTCTGGGACAGTATTGATTTCGGTCCAGAGTTGTTTCAGTTTTGAGTCGTCATCTGCATGTTTTTCCAGCAGAGCGAACAGATCTCTTTTAGGAGGACGGTTAGATTCACTAGTCGAGTTTGTTTTGGTGGGAGGCGATAGTTCATTAAGTCTCTTAACACAATCATTCGCAAGCTTATCATATGTGAACATCTGCGGCCGCAGCTGTTCCCGGGTTTGATGTAGTTCTGTCCATTTGAAGGACACACCCCAGTGGTTTCGCAGCTTTGAATTATCCATTTATCCAAGTCTGATTCAGGGGTAGTGTTATCAAAAAGATAGGCAGAATGTGCATCTCATCAAGTGACTACGAAGTAATAGGAACTCATCAATTGACAAGAGAGAAGAGAAGCAGAGCAGGAGTGGGGACGAGAAAGAAGGAAGAGGATGGAGAAGGGGGAGGAAGGAGCGGGCGAGGGCAGGAAGAGATCGCAACAAGTATAATATCAATAAATACTCGCTGATGCAGCTTCGAGAAAGAAAACGATCAGTCTGCTCACTGCGGAAGGTGATATTGATCTTCACGTGAAAACAGGAGGTGCATGTAGTGATGACATTTGATTCAACTACCATGGACGTAGAGGAGCGTACCAAGGAACGGACCGAGGAACTCATACAGCACCATAACATACCTGCCTAGCTATATCCCCTCAGTAGTTTGTAGTGCATCTTCTTACCTCTTTGTCGATATTAGCAAGAGCGGCAGCACTTGGGCAGTGACAGAAGCGGAACCCAATTTGGATATGACTCAACTATGTGGCCATTCATTGCTTTCTTTCTCTTCAGCTTTCATTAGCAGATATTAAATACCATGCGAGGACTCCACCAGAGCAACAAGCTTGAGAAAGACGCATTTTTAGTTTCCATATTACTCCTCGACTTTTACTTTCCAAAATATCAAATTTTAGGCCGGTCTCTACAACTGTAAAGCATTGCGGCTCTGGATATTCATAAAAAAATATCAATATCACTATCAATATCAATATCGATGTGTATTGTAGATGATGCACGCCCCCGCTTTGGATTCAATGTTGGGGGACCCTGAAGATGTCAGCCCTCGGTCCGAACTGCCGAGGACGGCTTTTATATACCTGACTAGTTTAGATAACAGAGAGAAAACTCTAGGATCTTTCTAATTCGTATTCCCATCTACGGTTTATGGTCCATACCAGATCCATACCAGAAGGATTTATCTATTGTATGGCACACAGGCATCCTCGGTTGTCTTAGTTGCCTGCTGCCAGCTATTTGACGTATGATATTTCAAAGCGTACAATTGTGAAAAAATACACTTCATTCAATGATCATAGATTGATATGAGATGACGCCAAGGTGGGCAATGTACTCCAAAAAATCATCAGTAGAATGCTGATACACATGTAATGTCGACACCAGTTTTAATTTGATATGTTGTAAGCTGTACATCATTGATGTTTGATCCAATACTAGCTAGTCACCATTGTGGAAACCACCAAGAGACGGGCAAAGCTGAATGCACTGGATTCAATGGATATCATGTAGTTTTGCATCAGTTCTGTTATATCGTCATGTTATTATATTCTTATGTTATATTGTCATATAGCAATGCGTGGGCGGCAAATTCCGGGGCTGAGCACGTCATTAGCCTTGCCCCTCATCTCCGCCATCTACAATTGTTTCCGACGTCAATCTAGCAACACAAGGCTGAAAGATCAAAGCACTACGTTATCAACAGCCTACCTGATTTTCACCGCCAGCTTCATTACGGACAAAAATGACCGAAGCTGCGGTTGCGCGCTTCTTTGCGTCGCCTCGGTTCGCTGTGGCCGGTGCCAGCAACGACCCACGCAAGTTTGGCTATAAAAGTGTGTATAATAACAGTTTATGAGTCTTGCTAAAGGTTGCTGATTTCAACCACAGTCCTCGCATGGTATCACCAGCATTCACTGCCTGTCACTCCAATCAACCCTCGAGATCAGAGCATCAAGCTGCCATCGCGCGAGTACCCGACTGCGTCGTCGCCCAAGGCCCTGCCGGAGCCAGCAGAGACCTCGCTTTCTCTCGTCACGCCACCGCCCGTATCGCTAGCGCTGCTGAAGGAGGCGCAACAGGTTGGAATTCAGGCGGTGTGGCTGCAGCCAGGCACGTTTGACGACGAGGTGCTTGCTTTTGCGCGGGCCAATTTCGAGGCAGCGATTGGCGGCGATGGCGGTCTGGGCAGCGAGGGGTGGTGTGTGCTGGTGGACGGAGAGGATGGACTAGAGGCTGCTGGGCGAGTGTGGAAGCAGCAGAAGCTGTAAGGGTGTACTTAATATTGTCGAATGATGAAACATTAAGTTATTAAACTATTAAATGATCTGTGATATTTTTGTTATTGCTTTTTCGCAGTCGCGTGATCCCTGCGCGCTGATTGGTCGGACTGGGTGTCCCGGTGATGCGCGGCCCCGCCAGAGCTGCGCCTTCCCCAACAAGCGTCAACAATCAATCGTCTTTCGATAGTTACAGAACAAAACATTAAGCACAGTATTACGATCATCGCGATGATCCGGCCGCAGTAGCTGCACTGCCGTATCGCTGGTGTTCTTTCAACGCAGTCGCCCGGTACCCCCTTTATTATGGTCGATGGTGCCTGTGTGACATCCGCAGCTGCAGTCTCGTGCTTCTTCTATTGACGGCGCCCTCGCTCGTCGCCGCCAGGGTTGGTCCAGATGGCGTCGTTCAGCAATTTCGACGCGCCCTTCCGGGTCCAGTCGCAGCTTTTTCAACCCCCTCGCACACCCTCATCGTCCTCGTCCTTTTACCCATCCCCTGAGTATAGCGGTACTCGCAAACGGCTGCGTCGTGAGGCACCCGACGAGCGCCCGCCCCTCTGCGACCCCGTGTCTTCTGTCGAACTGGAAAGCCCAGCGCCGCTAGTAAACACCGACTATATTTTGGCTAACGGTGGCGAGGACCAGCAGCGCCTTGACTTGAAGGAGACGAAAGAGATCCTTGTAGAGGAGCTCGATTACCGGCCCAATCGATACCGTGAAAATAATGTTCGACCAGCAACACCCAACCAGACTGCTGAAAATAAAGACGTTGAAAATCGCAAGCGCAGTCGTAGTGACGCGACAGAAACAGCTATGCCATATACTCCCTCTGTGTCAAGCGGGACCCCAGGATGGGGTCGCACTATGTTTACCGTTGTTGGGAAGGTCTGGGACTTTTGCTGGACCAGCGCTTTTCGAGGCTTCTCTGCTGGGGGAGGCCAAGGATATACAGTAACATCACAATCATCGCTGCAGCCGATGACTGCAGATACAACTACCTGGCAGATGGTACATCACCAAGACCAACCCAGTGCATCAAAGTCACGTTCAAAGTCAGCGTCGACACCAATCCCGGGCCAATATCCCGAGGACGAAGTAGATGCTGAGCAAGTCCGGGATCGAGAAACTTGGGTTCTCGTTCCCGAGTCACCATCCACAAGAATTTCGCCTTCACGAAGTGAAAGCCCCACGCATTTTGCTCGCAAAGTCCCGCGACGGAGTAGTGCATATCGCCCCCAACCACGACGTTCGATTGGCGGCCTTCCTCGAGCGATGAATAAGAGACCGACTCTAAATCCTAGTCGTCCATCAAATGGGCTGTCATTATCATCAGCTGCGCGTCCATCCACGCCTACCAAACCACCAGTGAGTCCCACTAGGACATCGAATCAAAACAGCCCCGCTTCTAGAGATGCACAACGATTTGCAGCCAAGTTTCGACGGCGCGAACGCGAAGAAGATGCTAGTTTCCAGAAAATGAACGACCAGCTCAAGGCGTTAATTCGTGAAGGTCGTGAAGCCCTTGGCTCTCGCGTTGAGGTTGATGAAATGGACCTTGACGATGAGCAGTCGGGCAACCCTTGATTTAATTTCTTGTTTCTTATTTTGTCCTCTCGTTAGCAACGAGGCTGATGATACCCTATCGCTAGTCCATAACACCACTACCACTTTTATTTATTTAATCCCAAAGTCCTTTCACTTACAGAGAAAATTGCTTTGCATATCATGGCAACAGCATTGCTTTTCGGCCTTCGCTACTGAAGTCACTACCAAGGTGTATTTAGTCCTTAGTCTAGCTCTTACTGCGTGGGCATCGCTATGATGACCGTTACGACACTGAAATGACAACCCTGATACTTGCAATCCGAAACCTCGAAGAAACTGTCCAGGACCATCAATGAAACGGGTAGGAAGAAGAATAATTGATACATCAGAGGACTCGATAAGGAATGGCCATAGGAAGGCACCGAGTCCTAAACATCGCCCATACTAGAGTAAAGGTATGGCAGTAGGTAAAGTGAAGCTAGCCCAGATCGCACCAAGAAACTGAGAGGAAAGGAGGCCTCTCGTACAAAGCAGATCGGAACGACGACATCTAGGCCAATCTAGATTCTTAATTCGGAAGAACGGCCTCCAAGTCAACTCCAGGGGTACTTACACACTTGGTCAGAGGAGCCACCATCATTGATGGGTTTGCAACGACAGCCTTGACAACCATCGGGAGGTCAGTGCCAGCAATTGGAGGAACTTGTCTTTTGCCTAGCGGCCCTTTGGCAGGACCTTTGTTCGAAGGGGAAGGAAATGTCTTGGTAGCCTCCTCTGCGGTCTTCTCCCTTTCGGCCACCTCTTTTGCAACCTCTTCAGGACCAGACATTTCCTCATAATTGTCGTCACTATGCGGTTTTGCGGCAGTGAGTAGGACTGCTGCGGCAGCTATTACTGCATCTCATCGTCCCGATAGTGTTTGCCTGTGACAAGCTTTCCGAGATGGCTAGCAGCTGTCCCAGGGTTGCTGAGGACGCTGGCGGTTACGCCACCCAATTGGCGTTTTGCAAGACTGCCAACCATGCCATTGGCTGCACCAGAAGCGCTATTAGCGAGACCACCGATATCGTCGGCTTGACGTTTGGCAAGATCCTCGATGATGTCGTCGGAGGAATCCATATCATGTGAACTCGTCGACCTTTCTTTCTCTCCGCCCTTGCACCGACAGCATGAGTGCGGACGCGAGAATACTTGTAATAGGCGCTATGTTGCGCGTTAGTAGTAAGGCGTGACCTAGAAGTTGGCAATGTAAAAAAGTGTAAGGCTAGAACGAGCAATGAACAGTCCCGGGGGTAAGGAACGACAAGAGATCTAAAAACATTCACAAAGTCAGAAACCGAAGGGCTGATGACCCTGGGATTCCTGTCATCTTTATTAACAGATACGCAGCAACATTCTTTGTCGCATCTTTCAGCCTTTTTTCCCCCCTTAGCTGCAAGTAACCGCTCATGTCTTGCTCCAACTAGCTTGTTGAAATCTAAGATTGGAATGTAGGATGGATGTTGAGGACTTTGCTATCGATCCCTGCCGATCTCGCCAATCACACTACAATGCTGATTTGAGCAGGATAACGGGCTGAGGAACGCGTTCATGCGAGGAGTGCGTGGTAAGCGTGACAATATATTGTTTACTAGAATTTGTACGATGAAAACATATGCGCATACAAGCGAGTTTTGGTCTAGGGAAGACTCCGAATGGTAAATCTCCTTTAGAAACGCCGTGCCATGTTTCAAGTCTTTCTTCATTACACTGTCCTAAAGATAAATATGCCGGTCACTAGATACAAAAATTTAGCCCTTAGGTACTATTCGGAAGATAATCTGCAGTATTTTCCGTTGGTACGTCTTCCGGATCCCCTGGTCTGAGTTGATACAGCAATCCTTCGTACGGCCTGACCACTAACGGGTCTTTCACAACGTCTGGGGAGTGATAGTCATAATTCGACAGCAGCAACTTTGCGTCAGTTAAATCGATAGACTTGTTCCGTCCTGTCCAAGAAACTGCACCGGGAGAAAAATTCAGCACAATTAGATATTTCATCTCCTTGTACCGCCGAATGAAAGTATAAGTGTACGGGTTTGGTATGTCCAGAATTTGGACTGTACCTTTCAACTAATATATGGTGGGTTTTGTATTAGGTAGTGGAAGAATATAAGAAAGTGAAGCACAAGGAAAGAGAATAAGGGACATAGGGTAGTTGGGCTCGGACATACCAGAGCAACATGCGATTTTCGCATTCTGAGTATCTTTCGGTAGAAGTTCAGGACTGAGCTAGGGTTTGACCGTTGATTATCTATACACCAATCCAGTTCATCTCCAGGAACTGGCATCCACGGTTCTACATCACTGCAAAAGCCTCTATTGGTTTCAGGATTCCACTGGTGTCCGTTAACGACTGCGTCATGGATACATAAAAGGTGTATAAAACAAGCCATTACTCACCGGCATGGGAATTCGGGTGTTATCTCGACCCTTTTGTAGAATAGCCTTTTTGGCAAGTTCGATTTTATGTTCATCTTTGTCTTTGACACTGTCGAGGGCATTTAGACTTATAAAAAAAGATAATAAGTTGAGAGAATTTACTTACGACTCCCAGTACATAACAGTTTCCACATCCTGATTCATCTCCGGACAAAAAGACCCCGGATTGACCATACCGAGCTCCTGTCCTTGGTAAATAAGCGGAGTTCCGCGCAAGGTACATAGCCACATGGCAAGCATTTTGGCACAAAAGCCGCGAAACCTGGGCATTGAAGTAGTGAATCTGGATATACCCCGTGGCTGATCATGATTTTCCATCCACAGCGTCATCCAGGAGCCGCAATCTAGCATTTTGTTCTGCCAGTCTTCTTGAATAGCCTTCAGCTCCGAGAGCTCCCACTCTCGAAGCATCCATTTATCGCCATTGTGACAATCGAGCTCGACGTGCTCGAATTGGATTAGTAGGTTGAGTTCGCGACGGGGTTTGTACTTTGATAGGTATTCAGCTGCTTGATCCGATGTTATGCCGCATGACATTTCCCCTATGGTTACAATGTCGTATTTTGAAAATACGTTTTCATGTAATTCCTGCAAATACTCGTGCACTTTGGGACTAGCAAAATCAAAATTTCGTCTCTAATTTCAGCATATACTCGTGTAGATGAGCGAGAAAGTCATACCCGTTCGCGAACCAGACGTTTGCTTGCTGTAATTCGGCCCCTTCCTTGATCTCGGGAGCGTCCGGGAAGCCTTGATCTTTAGAGATGAGGTTTATACAGTCCAGCTAACGATTATTCGTCAATGCGAGATTGGAGTTTCCTTGATATATGGGCTTACTCACCCGAAACCCATCTAAGCCTTTATCAAGCCACCAACGCAACGCTTTGTATAATTCTTGTCGAACGTCTTCATTTTCCCAATTTATATCTGCCTGCTTGTCTCCGAAGATGTGCATGTCTATAGCTCCTATTAGCCTTCCGGTCGCCGCGCTAGAATGGTTCTGGAGGCAATACAATACTCTCCCGCAACGGGGTCAAATGTCCACGCTGAGCCTATCTGTCCATCAGTTGACTTCAGGGTTTATAATCTCAAAGTCAAATCTCCCAACCTCCAAATGCGCTTTCCCAATTGTTTGGGGGAACTCTTTCGCCCTTTTCACCAATATTGCCGGGGTGCCAGATATACCAGTCTCGTTTCGGTCCGTTGGGGTCTTTTCGACTAGCTCGAGATTCTCGAAACCATTCGTGCTATACATTTCTTCATTATTAGTCCTTTTTTATAGGCTTTGAAGACTTGTAAAACATCACCTCAATAGATGTATGATTTAACGCAACATCAATAATGACTTTCAACCCTCGCTCATGGGCAGTTTTTATTAATCGGTCAAAGTCATCTAGTGTCCCGAACACCGGATTAATTTCTATGTAATTTCGAATATCATATCTGTGCAAACCCATCAATTGTTATAAAGCTGTGAAGCGAGAATGAGCAACGTACCCTATATCATACATGGGCGAATCAAATATAGGCGTCAGCCAAATGATATCAATGCCGAGATCTGCCAAATAATCAATGTTTTCTGTCACGCCATTGATATCCCCTGTCCCATCGCAATTCGTGTCTTTAAAGCTTGGTACGAGTACTTGGTATACAGTTGATGTTTGCCACCATTTCAGCTCTTCGTCAACCAGGCCTCCTTCTCCTTTTTTTGCCTTGACAGCTGTCTCTTGAATCTCGGGTGGACATGCCATTACCGTGAGTGGTGATTGAAAAGGAATATTTTTCCTCGCGGGGTGGTAGTGAGCTGTGGGCAGACGCAAGTTTAGAATGCGAAAGCTCTACATTCTTACTGCTTCCTATAGAATAAGCCTTGCATCAATCGATTGATGAAATTGAAAGCTTCTAACAATACTTTTCCACAATTTTGCCTCAATGTATCTGGCTTGAAGTCATTCTTACGAGGGTCTATGGGTTAAGGCCGTATCCCCGGAGCAGATTCCCGAGAATACAAACCCTAATGAACGTCGACCTTTCGACCCAATATTGATGATATAGGGTGTAGCTTTTCCTAGCATGGAAAATATGACATCTTTAGAGATTATGATGAAATTTTGAATTTTAATATTTTTGGGCCAATGATACGTCCCGGGAATTGGTCAACATTAGTTGAAGTTGAATAGTTGAGCTAAAGCAACATTGAATGACCGAGAAGCATTTTCAAATGAGATTGAAAATAATAAAAATTGTTTTTTACTTGTTTCATAGCACATACCTACTAGAAGGCTGCAGTAAATAGATGCATTATGGAGCTCCCACGTCCGAGAAATATAAAATGAAGATTTCAACATGGCTGGTGCTTCTGTATATCAATTATAAATAATCTTTTGATTTAATCCGAGTAATAAAGAGTATACACGCCCCTTTTAATCTTAAGTCATGGATAGTTTTTAGAAAACAGGAGTATGCGGGCAGCCCTTGCAATCTAATATTCACAAATTTAGAACGTTGAGTTATGCCCTTTTGCTCTCACCCAAACATCAATGATTTTTGCGCTGTCCGTATCAAGGCTCGAGTCCACAACCAAATACCAGCCATACATTGCACCGGTCACACAAGCATGATTGGGATAAATTCTCACAGCTTGGCCTATCTGAAGAGGAATCTCGGTCGAGGATTGACCTGTGGAATTCTCCCACGAGATGATCGCGTGCTCTTGGCTGATTCGCTCGACAATTAATCTAGATGCAGCTGCTGAGGCTCGTCTCCAGGAACTAATAATGCCCCACCCTGGATAGCTTGCACAAGGCTCTCTGCCTAGGGCTAACGTTCCTGCAGCGACGAGAGCTTCGGGCTTGGATCGTTCGCCGTTGTTATATACACTAGACACCTCGGCAATTACAGAAATGGCAATATCGTCTTCAAGCCTGCCTGGGGTGATAGCATTTGTCGATATTTGTTGCATGTCAAGTATTGGGTATACGCCGGCATGAAGCTCGATCTTAACCTGCGCGGCGCCATCTAGCGGATCACGTAATAGGGCCTTTAAAGTCTCGGCCTCTGGAGAAGAAGACGAATTGCTATCTGAAAGCAGATTTTGACACGAGAGAACTTGTGGAGTTGCGCCAACGCTGATGATTAGCTCCCTATTCCTAGGCAGAAGATCCAGGTTATGTTTCACGGCTTCGTTACAGCCAACAATTTCCTTTGTCAAATGTGTCATTGCCTCTTCTGATGTTGTAGCGGTGTAACTGAGACTACTGTGAGAATAGACACCCAAGAACCTTGCGAGTCCAGACTTTTCTGCTTCTGCGAGCTTTTCGAGTAAGCCGTCCTTGTTCAATGCTGTCGGCGGGAGCCCAGCGCGATGATATCCCGTATCGACTTTGAGAAAAACATATGCTGGAAATTTAGCAATATTGTGAAATTTACTCAAATAGCTCAGTTGATCTGGATGGTCGATCATAACAGTGATACTCTTTTCTCCCAATTCCTTAGCAAGTGTTGCTAGCCTCGTGACTTTTGAAGGAACAAGAGGGATTCCATAGAGGACATTAACCATGCGACCTCGATTTTTCAGTTTCTTGAATAAAGGGAGGAGATGATCGATTTCTTGGATTGTTGAAACAACAAAATTGGCATCGGTATTTTCTTCTCCCACCTGCAGCTGAGCGACTTCTTGTGTCTGTTACTGTTTAGCCTAAATGAGCTGATTTACATAATTACGATAAAAAAGAGGATATATTCACCTTGTGAGTTTTAACATGTGTTCGGAAACCAACATCCAAACTTTTCACGGCTTGTAGCATTCTATCGCAATTTCGCTTGATAATGGCTCTGTCAAGGACCACCGCTGGTTTGGGCACGTCGGCGATGTCCTTGCCGATGAAGAACCTCTTGATGGTTTCTTCTTGAGGAAGCTTGAGGGACTCCATGGTAAGCTTAAATTTTCTCTGAAATTGCGAATAAAAAGAAAATTAGCAATAGGGTCTACAAGGAGGAAATTCATCCTTTAAAGATGCCCCGCAGAATCATCGCCTAAAAGTTCTACCGAATCGAATACAGGCGAGAACCGCCGAGTCGTCTGACGACATACAGACCTTTGGGGATTAAGTAGTGCCTAGTAGACATAAGAATCTATTTAGTTACCAAGTAATTAGATTTGCTGCTTGCTTACTCCGCATATTAGTACCGAAGGACCGAGACAAATCAAGGACGCATAAATCTCAACTTATGCTTGGAAGCAGTAAAGTGCTAGCGAGAGGTGGACACATTCTTTAGATGGGGTTTGGGGAATTCTTAATAGCAGAAATAAACTCAAGTCTACGATAGTGAAGAAAGAACTAAAAGTTTAAATTCTAAAGAGGAAAGCATAAGGTATCTGTGCTATTTTAGATGAGAAATGCAGCATCCCGAAAAACAAATCTCCGAATATACGCATTTATGTGCGCCAAAACCCCATGGGAAACAAATGATAGGAGACTCAGGACTAGGAGAAACGTATTCCCTCTTGGTTGAACGCATAAAGAAGGTGCAAAAATGCTGTCTCGTCGCATTTTTGACTTCGCTGGTTGGACAACTCGCACTTATCCAGCGCTCTCTGGATTTTGACTTGAATCAGCCGCGCTAACCGTGCCCTATCGACTTGCGTGCCATTAATGGAGACCATCTTGCCAGAAAGCTTTGGGCTGTCTTTTTTCTGCTGCTTAGACTTGTCGTTATCCAGGCCGAAGATAAGGTCTTGCATGGTATCATCTTCGTCAGCTGGGACGTCGTTATCATTATCAATATTATTGGTATCATCGTCGACATCCATCGACAAGTTTTCGATTTCCAATTGCCCTTGACCTTGCAAGAAATCTGTGTCTTCTGTTTTGACCTGTTCCGGAAACATGGAGGCCCACGTAACCCAATTTCGTTCAATAAGTTCACGGACTTGCTTCACAAAGAAACTCGACCGAAGCGTTTTGTTTTTCCTGTTGAAGCAAATACGTAGCATTCCATCAAATTCTTCCCACGATATATCTGGTCGATCGGGTCGGGGTTCAATTCGAACAACGCTGGATTCAACTTGGGGCGGAGGCGAGAAATTATTTCTGCCGACCTAGTTGGAGCCTGTTAGTAACCAATCTCCCCATTTAATAAATGGAATACGAAAGAATCACATACCTTCATTATGTGGCTGCATATAGCGAAAAACTGTGCATTTACACTTAGTCGGCCTAAATAAATTAGATTTTCTGCAACTGCTAAGAGACCGCAATAGCTTTGACTTACTGTACATGGCGTCCCCCGGTCGCGCAATCAAGCGCTGTGCGAATTCGCGCTGGACCATTAATCTGAAAGTATATGAGTATCCTACTAAACTTGAAAAGAAGAAAATGACTAACATAGAAACACGTGGCGGGCGGGGCATGGCAAGAAGTTTGAAGACAAGAGGCGACGAAATCTGATACGGGGTGTTTGAAATGAAGACGTCAAAGTGTCCAATATCGTTGAGATCAACTACTCAATAAAAAGTCAGTTAGCCCAAGTAAATACTGGACAAAACTCAAGGGGAATTGGTCACCTTTGATGAAATCACCGAGGATTATCCTCAACTTCCTCTGCATCGGCGTTCCTTGGACCATCTTCGTAAGCTCGGCAGCCATACGTGCATCCAACTCCACCGCCACACAAGACTTCGCTTTTTGTAGAATTCGCCTGGTCAAAACACCTGTTCCGGGACCGACCTGTGTTGGATGTCAGCCTTGAATAACAAGGCCACTTCAAAGTCTGTAAACTTATCTGCAACCACTTCATGTTCCTTTATATTCGCCTTATCGACAATCGCGTCCGCAATACCGGGATTCTTCAAGATGTGCTGACCTAGAATTATATTAGTCAGTCCAAAGCCAGAAATAAAAATAGAGAATCAAAGACCACTCACCAATGTCGGTATTGAATTTGAAAATCGGATTCTTTTTAACCCCGCCGGATACGCGTTTCGTGTACGGCGAGCCAGAAGATGCGCCATTGCGCTTCTTTGGCTGTATCTTCCCCATGTCTCTGACCGTGACGTTACGTGACTGCTGGCGTGTATGTCGATTGAAAAGCGGCTTACTGAGCGGGGGAGAGTGATTTTATCTTTTGACGATAACAAAAAATTTGTGGATATAACCAAGGCTCCACACCCCAGCTCGCTATCTTATCGCCACGTGACATCCTACTATATTAGGTTTAGCAGACATTACACATTACATGTTTGTTCATTCTATTTTGAGTGCTCTTGCTTATTGCATATGTAGCCAAGGATATTTCAAATGTTGGATTTACTAATAGGAATACAGATATATTCGACAAATTGTGTTCACCTGAGTGCGAAAAGACAACATGAACTTCAAAACTATCGCTGAAACTGACATAGTTGATTGGACAAAGTAAACAATACCTCGTTTTGAAGTCATTGCGGTTACTAATATGTACAAAATTCAATATTTACAAAAAAAGGAAAGCGATGCTAATAAGCAATCTCATGAAAAATTATATTGCGTGCATCGTTTATGCACAAACCGGCTCACTGCTTCCGGAAGCACCACAGTAGACGCTAGAACCGGCTTGCACACAGACATCCCCTGAAGGGCAAGATTCGATGACCCATTTTCCATTGTCACAAATCCCGAAGCTGTTGCCGGTGCAGGCGTAAGCACCGTTACTTGAGCAAGATCCTCCCGATACAGGGCAAGTGCTACTTGGGGCTGTGGAAGTGGTTGTCTTGGAAGTGGTTGTCTTGGAAGTAGTTATAATGGAAGTAGTGGTGGTAGTCTTGGAAGAAGTAAGGGTTGTTAAAGTAGTCGCAGTAGTGGTGGCGGTCGTTGAGGTTGTCGAAGTTGTTGCAGGAGCAGTGGTTGACGTCGTCGGAGCCGTCGAACCCGTAGGTAAGTAAGAGTAAACAGACGAAATGAAACCGTCATTGGCCCAAGCCTGACTGGCGTCCCAAATCATAATGCCACCGAAGCTGGAATACTGCTTGATAAAGCTAATCACTTCACCAACGAAAGAAGCCGGTTCATAGCCACCACCTGCACCAGTCCTTCCAGGAACACCGAGGTAGACTTTGACCTTAGGGTTCAACGAGACAGTCTTGGCCCAGTTGTCCCATACATCAAAGTTGAAGTTCCACTGTGTAGTGGCTCCAGGAACGTAGCTGTTTATACCACAGCCGTTGTTGTAGTACTGGACCCAAATAGCATCGAAGTAGACAGTGCCAGCCAACATAGGGCCGTCAGCTTCATCAGGGTAGACGCACTGTGGAGCTGCGGTCGTGTAGTATGTTTTGGAAGTGTCAGATGCATACAACTTCCGTAGCTGGTTAGCAAATGCTGGCATATTGCTCATTTGGAGGTTTTCAAAGTCAAAGTCAAAACCATCAATGACGGCATCACCAAAGGGACGAGGAATAGAGCTGTCGCTGGGAACTGGCCCAAAGACGTTCCAAACGGTATTGGCACCTGAAACTGCCGCAGCTTCACTGGTGAAACCGCCCTCGGTGTACGTACCACCTCCGGTAGACAGGAGAATGGTCTTTCCAAGTCCTTGACATGTCTTAATATCCTCTCTAATGATTGATTTTGTCAGATCTATTTTTCTTGAATAAAAGACACTTTGGGACCTTCATACGCAATTTGAGGGCAATTGAACAGATCAGTGCCGGAAATAGCAGTACAGTTGTCTTGAGCATTAGCAAAGTTGACCGCAGGATAACCGCCTGTGCCGCTAAACCTCGTGATGAAGGAGATTAGATAGATCTATTTTATTAGCATAAACCCTGATTGACTTTTTTATTTAGTAGAAGTTTCATACATCAACATCATTACTATCTATGAGAAGTTAGTTTTGTTTTTCCTTTTTTTTTAGTATTCCCACCCCCGCGTGGCGTTCTCTACTCACTTTGACAATAATATGACAGTCTCTTTTGGGCAGTAGAGTCGGTTGTTCCAATAGAGTTTTGACCTAGGCGTATTTTTTAGTAACTCAAACCCTCACATTTTGAAAAAAATCGTGTCTTACCCCAGTAGACTGCAATATTTTGAGGGCCGTTTAGATCAATGCTAGCCCGGACACTCGTCAAGGCAGCCGCAAAGGCTGAGAGCAAAAGAGTGGTGTGCATGATGAATGAATCAATATGAATTTAGATTTGAAGGAATGTACAAAGTGAACTAGCACTTAGGAATGAAGGAAAGACTAGTTGTTCCAAGACTGGAGAAACAAAAAGGAAATGATCAGAGGCAGTTGCACATTCTTATATAGAACATCCCAACATAGTAATTAAGATTCTGAACAACTGTAGCTATTCAAGGTTACACCCATGATGAGACGTCATCTAGCAGTGGGGAATTGTTGGATATACACATCGTATCTAATTGTTCACAGCCATTAGAAAAGATCTGAGTCGAGCGTATTACTAGCCGGAACTAAATCCGGCCGTCTGAGTGAGGAGATATACAGAGGACTAGACTGATATAGCTAATACCAGATAAGCTAGTTCTAGGCTCTAGATCAAAGACTGGGGTCTAAATGCTTCGTGACTAAACAGAGTACTTTCGCTATGCAAGTTGGATAACTACCACTACTACTATGTAACACTCCATGGCCACGAGGAAAGAGCTTTATTGGTTGGTTACTTCCATTTCTCCTTTTGGCTATGATCCGTTATCCTCTGTTAGAGGGTAGTTTAAAATGTTCACAGGGGCAAGCAAGGTCCTGTGTATTACTTACGCCACGGACCATCTATTGCTACGCAACTAGCCCACCCTCGGCGAGAGTCCTAAGGATTGCTTAGGAGTGAGTGCGTCAATAAGAGCCAATGCTATGCAACCCGCGGGGGAGATTTGATTATGCCGAATATTATTAATGTGTTTCAATGCTCACACAACTAAAGTTCACTAGTAATTATTATAAGATTGCCGCTCTATGCAGTTGATATACATCCGTCAATGTTTTGCTTTATTCGTCAGTCCTTTTACGCACGCCTACATATTATTTCTTCTAATTGACAAATTCATATCGCAAGAGTATCAAACTATCAAGTGACACGCGTCCTCAAAGTCGAGATGGCGGGATCACACTTCATTTATGGCGTTCTGTGGCGGCGCCACCGTATACAACCCTACATTTTGAACCGGCAGCGGGGAGATCAGTCAGGAACGTGGCTTTCGTCGCAGGGGCTGTTCAATGTGTATTAATATTGAGAGTAAAATCAATATATTTCCATATAATGATGTGGATAGAGCTTCATCAAGCAAATTATATCAAGTTAAATGTATACATGAATACTTTTGAAATATTTTGGTCTTGGTGGTAAGGTAACGGGAAAAGTGCCGGATGGCACGCGCCAACAGCCCAAGAGGTACAACCCTGAGCGGCACTAAAAGCTTAGCCCAGGAACATTGTAACCTTGATATCAGCATCACATTGAATAAGACTGTCCCCTCTGATCCGAAGCGCAGAAGGTGACTTCTTCGGTAATTAATCCATTTTAGATTGTTCTCTAATTGCCGAGTCAGTCTAAGCTTAAATGGATCAGTGGTGCTGGATAGAACCGCACAAATATTCCATTATTAAGACTAAATAACCATGATATCGATGAGTTTACATTGATTTATAAGTCACGTGTTGATAGAATTCCTCCGTAGGAAGGTCTTCTATTTGTTATACATACTATATTGTCGCTGAAGAATTTCGAACAGATTGACCATTTTACCAGGCCGCGCTCGTTGCCGATCAATAAATTCATCAACGAGAATATTAATAAAACCGTAGTCTTCATGCACGTGCCGTACTTCGCGTAGTCTTTGCTCTGCCCAATCGCGATGGATCGGGTCTTCGGTCTCAATCATGACCATGAAAATCGACCAGGGCATCCGCTGGAGTAGTATGGGATCAATAGAATACTGTCTATAGAGCATCTCGAGCATGCTAGCAAGAGCCTGTCGATGTACTGTTCCTCTAACATGAGATGTAGGGTATAGAAGTCTTCGGTGATACAATATTTGTGCATCAAAGGTGCACACCGCGAAATAAATTGTGTACAGAGCACGGCGGGCAGAAAGTGAACTTGTAAATTTGGCAGTGATGAACACATCGCTGAAGGCCTTTCGATACCAAATTATTTGTTAGAATGATATAGTGCGGTGTGTATGAAGCGGGAAAATAAATACTTAAAACTTACATCTCGAATAGTCATCAGCTCCGAAAACAAAGTCTCCGGAGTTGAAGTTACGGAGCGCTCACTGCTTCCCAATGCTAACTGCCAAATTTTGTTTCGCATGATCATCGCATGGTGAAGAAGTTCCAAAGCTCTATGGTTTTCCATATCGTCTAGAATCTGGTTATCAGGGTACTCTTCTCCCCACAGACATCGACCCCAAATGCGTGCACTTTGATGTAGATAATCAGGATGTAATGAAGAATTTCCTGAGTCGAGAAGGGTATCATAGAGAGAGCCTTCCAAGCCCCTATGGTGGCCAGCAATCTCCATATAACTGTTTTGAAAAGTTAAAATCAAGCTTAAAACCGATTTCAAAATTGAGCAGTTTAACGTACAGGATCCAGAGAAGAAATTGGGCCGGCATGAAAGATAACCCTCCCTTTGGATTTGATCCTGTTGTTAAAATTCTGTTGGTCATATCTTTGAGAAGAAACATTTCCGGGTGGGCCTTGAGTAGACATCGCACTCCCTGTAGATGAAGTTGGAGATGCTTCACGGAATGGCCGTAATGCCATTCAAATGAGATCATCAAAAACATGGTGCAAAATATCATCTCGAATTCAGATTCCGAGGCTCCTCCCTCTCCTGTCTCATTACTGGTCCCGTGTTCAAGATATTCTCGTAAATCCCGCACAGCTAACTCATAATGATATCGACCGTGGTTTCTAGCTGCTTCATGCGATGCTACATCTGAGATTAGCCCACGGCGATGCATATCGCTGGCAGCGAGTGCAAGGATCATTCGCATAATCAGTTTGTTAGCTGCTGCCGGTCCTTGATAGATAAATCCAAAACTGCTCCATTCCCACGGCTTCATATAGTAGAAAACCACCGAAGAGGAGGGGAAAAAGCGGAAATAATTCTGATCAGCGACGGTTAATGTCAGCGCATTCGCACACGATATCTCAGGATTTGTCAATGTCGTTGCGTATAGATTGTATTGTGGCAAGGATGTGTCTGTCATAGGAAAGGCTGGCCTTGATAGTATAGGGTACTGTAAATCTTGCCTCCAGGGCCAGGGACCGGTTTCGCCATATGAAGACTGCTGAAGGAATTCTTTACCAGTCCACGATTTCGATGAATCTCCATAGTGCTGCCACAATGACGATAAATACCACTGTCGATTTCTTGCCGCAAAGTGGACGTTTCTGACTTGAATACTTTTCGACCCTCGCTTGCTAGATAAACCCCATTCACAGCCCAGTTTCAAGCGACCGCAGCGATTACATACAGGCCGGGCTTCGTCGCATTTGACCTTTCGTTGTCGACACGTCTGACAGCCTAAAGACGGATCATCAACTTGATTTTCACTCGTGAGGGACTCGATTCTTACCGCTTTTCGATCTAGGTGCGTTTCTTCCGGCCATTACATATATTATATCCAGTTAACATCCAAACACTGATTGAGGTCAAAAATAACGCTGAAGTCCTCGGCTCGCGGGCCTTTGCAGTGGGGAGGTATGATAAGAGGAGAACTAGTCGAGTGGAGACTAATCTCCCCGCAGAAGATTGATGGTAGGCAACGAGTATTAGCATTGAGATGAGGAGAATTTCAACAGCTCAAAGTTTGTTACGAGAGTAAACCGGTCCACGAACTCTTCAATGAGAAACTACTGGAGAAATTGATACGAGCGAGCTTTGCTAGTTAAGGACATTCAAAATGCTTTTTGTCTTTCTCATTCTTATCTTTATCCTAGGATTACCCGTATGCCTTGAAGATAGCCATTATTCCATTATTCAATCAGTATATTAAATTAGAAACAGGTCCTTAAAATATCAGAGCTTAGCCTTCGGTTCATTATGCTTCAGATCCTCTTCCTCCGAGAGTCTATATACCACATTGAAAAAAGACCCCGTCGGAAACAAGTAAAATCATTTAGTGGACATGCCCCAGTATTGACAAGCCCATGCCCTGCATTTCCCGGTATAAAGATTGTAGCCCTCTGAAACCGAATATATGCTGTTGTTAATTGTACTGTCTCCTGATCCTTCTAGAATATGGTATATTTCGGCCTGTGTATGAAGATGGCGGCAAAGACGGCTTGTTCGTGGGGGACAAACTGCAACTCCTGCCGAGAGGTCGGTAGAGGGTGCTTTTTGGTATAGAAAGCAGTGCGCGCCATGTTATATTGCCTCTAAAGGGAGTGGATATTAATGAGGTGCTGGATTGAAAACTTTCTGCTGGTATTTTCGTTGTATAGTTCGGCCGAATTACGACACCTTTTGATTCTTCTATTGCTATGCCGAACCCTATGTTTCGGTCCTACTGAATACCGTGAAAACTTTGTCTTCTATATTGTTAAGGGGAATTTATTAATTTTCATAGCATATATTAAATGCTAGGGCAATGAGATTAGAAAATCAACTCAAAGAAGGGTAAAATATACTTTATCGATCATGGTCACGAAATTAATTTGTCATGTCTTCTCAAATTTTACAATATACAATTTTAGGCATAATTGATAATCAATATTTAATAACACAAAACTAATATCTTCCTCATTTCCACTTCATACTATCACGTATATCAATTGTATTCAACCTTCAAGTCATATTCATCGCCCCCCCCTCTATTCGACGCAGGACATGGTGATACTAGCTTTCAGCAACGTTTGCCTTAAAGTACTAAAGGGCATTATGAACTTAGGAGGAACAAAGGTAAGAATAAATGCTCAAGGATATCTAATTTGTCTAGTATTTGTTTCAGATTTCTAGCTACGCTTTATTGAGTTCGTCTGAAACGGTTAGAATATTTTCTTTTCTGCATATTCTCGATAATGACGAAACTTTGTGCCCTAAGGTAGGCATCCTAAATATATTAAAGAAGATATCTAAAGCTTTCGTTCTCTTTGTCCGTCACATTTAATAATTCAAATTGCAACTCCTGATCAACCGTCAGTGCATCAGGCGAGCCATATATTCTATCCCTTCGTCGATTCTCCCGAGTATAGTACGTGTATAAACTTAGCAAGGCTATGATACCTAGAGCGAGGCCGGAAATGGCGGAACGAATCCCAGTCTAAGGCTCTCAGTATACTGATGGCTTGAAAATTGAACAAAAGGAGGGTTTCACCAACCTGGTAAATAGGCTCTTCGGAAGCCAAATAAAATTGTGGTCCTACAATGTTACCCACACAATATGCGATGAATAGCATCGCACTAACGACACTCTTCTTCGTCATACCAGCGACATTTGAAGTAATCAAGCTCAGAGAGAGAGGAATGTTGGCTGCGAAAACAGCACCGAGACACAAACCGGCCATTTTTGCAACTCTAGCATCCTCGTCTAGCTTATAGATGAGTAAGTACCCCACCATAGCGACGAGACAATTGACTATCATCATGATGATGCGAAAAGAACGAAAAAAAGTGGCAAAAGTGGACGTGAGCAGGAGGAATATAAGCTGAGCAGCACCAGAAGGCATTGATATGAGTAAAACCTTGAAGGTAGAGTAGCCAAACCCTTCGACGAGAATAACAGAAAACTACTCTCCTTAGTCTGGATCTGGGAATATGATGATATGGGTGACAGAAAACTGACTGTAGTGATACCGCCATTGCACAGATTCACACAAAAGGTATACACCACTAATAACCATGCCTGTGGGTCCTTTAGAGCAAGCCATACGTGACTCTTCTGGAATTTTCCCGCATCCAGTATCCCTGTCTTGTTTGCCAATGTCCTCTGTAGGGCAATGGCGCGTTCGTGCTTCTTCAAGAAGATGGCATTGGCTGGGGAGTCGGGCAGGAAGAAAAACATAATCACCGCATAGCCAGATGTGACTGCTCCAAGAATAAGAAATATTAATTGCCATGAGGATAAGCTAGTGCGGTCGATGTGGCCGATTCCATAGCCGACGATACCACCAACAGTGTTTGCGACACAATTTCCGATAAACCAGGCCGCTTGTCTAGTTTATTAGTCAATAGTTAGTGAGTTAATCATGGATAATCAGTAAAGGAAACTCTAAAGTAGACACACCGAAGAGGTTGTTCTTCTCTTTTATAGAACATGCCGGTAATCAAGGCAAATCCCGGGGCGATAGCAGCTTCTCCAACGCCAAGAAAGAACCTAGCAGCCATCAAACCGCCAAAGTTCTTGCATGCTGCATGACACATGAGGATTCCACCCCAAAGGAATCTGGATATTTGTATTAACAAGGACGTTGAATATGGATATGCCAAGAAAAAACAAACACTGATATAGATAGATACTTCCCTATTGGGAAACGGACAATCATGTACGCGGTTGGCCAGCTCCAGACAAGATACCCAAAGTAGAAAATGGCTGAGGCCCACGAGTATTGCATACCATGAAGACCCTATAACATAAATACACGTTTAGCTTCATCAGTATAGAAGAATACGCTGGGACAATACCAAATCTGCACGAATATTGAATAATGCCGTCTGGCTTAGTGCTAGTTTGTCCATGTATTGCAGCATATAGCAGAGCCCCATCAATGGTATCATACTGCCATGCTCGATTAGCCAAGCATACCATGATAGAGAAAGAGAGAGTCGGACATCCAATCAATTTTCCACAGGACTTTTCGTTCTATACGCGGCGTGGTTTCGACCTCGAGGATCCGGCCTAAATCAATATCTTTTCCTTCACTGAAGGAATGATTCTCGACCATAGCCTTCAGGTCTGTAGCTCGCATTTCTGTCGATTGATGAGGATCCTTCTTCTCCATGTGGACTGACGGTCGGAAATTAAAGATTAAAGGTTAGGATATGGTCTAGGAGTCTTTGGGCACATTCAATGGACATCATTGTCACTTATATACACAAGCATGCACCTGTTTAAAGACAGGTCAAAGCTCACCATCCTTAAGTATCTTGACTATACACCACAATATCAGATAAAAGCTCAGCGAATGACGGTGTACGGTGCTCTTTGCTTTGAATCTACTATCTGCGGCTCCGCTTTTTCTCCCGTTATCTCGGCAGTTTTGGAGATTATTTTGGATTTGATTGGTGTGTCGGCAGTTGGTATGCACGTCGGCAATTAGCGGCTTGGCGCTTGTCTGGGGTAGAGTTCTTCAGTGATTACATGGTCAATGCCGTTCAACTCGTGATCAAATAGCCTTTTGTATAAGTATAGCTTCGGCTTTCTGCATCTATGCTGTGGGTCAAAAGGTAAACTGCCTCGGCAGTGAGTAAACTTCTTATCTATATAAGATTGCCTCCTGGGATGTATTAGAGTATGTTTCGAATCTATTCAGGCAAAAATTTATCATCAATTGGTATCTGGAACATTATCTCTTATAACAAAAGTTTTCACCGTCACTATGTCTTCCTCAAACATTACTCCCCACGAAATAGCTGAGGTAAAAGCAGTTGTTGATGCCGCAATAGAAGAACTACACACGCAGTTGCGTGAAGTGAATCGACAGGTAATTTCCTGCCAGTAAACTATTCGAGGCGTTTGTCCTAATAGTTTTCAATGTTATTCTAGATCTGGTCAAACCCAGAGCTTGCATATCAAGAGCACCACGCTCACGACACAATCTGCAACTTTCTTGAAGCACAAGAGTTCCAGGTGACTCGCCATGCGTACGGCCTTGAGACTGCATTTGAAGCTCGCAGTAGTGGTGGTTCAGAAGACGGTGTGCTCGTTAATTTCAATGCAGAATATGATGCTCTGCCAGAAATTGGACATGCGTGTGGCCACAACCTTATTGCAACGAGCAGCATTGCCGCATTCGTTGCCTTGTCCACTGTGCTAAAGAAATTCGATATCCCAGGAAGAACGCAGCTCTTAGGAACGCCAGCCGAGGAGAATGGTGGAGGTAAAGTAAAGCTAATTGAGAACGGGGCCTATAAGGGAGTTGATATTTCTTTGATGGCGTACGTGGTAAACTAAACATGATATTCCAATACGCTAATGAACCAATTATAACAGCCACGGTGGGCCATCCTTAATGGGTGATGGTATTGCTGGCGTATTATTTAATGCTCGGAAGCAAATTCATGTCGAATTTACCGGAAAGAATGCACATGCTGGCGGTAACCCATGGGAGGGAATCAATGCACTCGATGCTTTGGTAGCTGCATACAGCAACATTGCTGTCCTACGGCAGCAGATCCTACCCGAGGAAAGAATTCACTGTGCCTTTTTGGAAACACCAAAAGTGGCCAATGTAATTCCATCTCACACAAAGGCATATTGGCAGGTTCGCAGCCCCACGTTGGCAGGATTAAATAAACTTACAGTGCGTGTACGAAATTGCATCGACGCGGCCGCATTAGCGACGGGATGTCAGGTAAAAATGAATGAGTATGTTCGCTTATCAAGTTTCATCCAAATAACGAAGCCAAGCTGATGTAACTCGCATCAATATAGGGACAGCTTATACACGGATATTAAGTTGAACGACACTCTTTGTGAGAGATACCAAGCCCATATGGGCCGATACGACCGTAGCGTTATCAAAAGTATTGACAAAGTTATGACCGCGTCTTCGGATATTGGTTTGTGGAATCATTCAATAGCCTAATTTACAATGAATTGACCAGAGAATAGGTAACGTGAGCTACGTGGTGCCCACTCTTCATAGCATGTTTACGATTCACGCTCCTGAGGGTGCCTATCCCCATCATCCATCCTTTGCCGCAGCTGCAGGGACGGATGTGGCACACGAGGAAGCTTTGCTCGTGGGTAAAGCGCTGGCATTGACCGGATGGGATATGCTCGCAAATGCCGATCTATTGCAACAAGCAAAGCAACAGTGGCAGAAAGAAATAAATAACGATAGTCCGCATGACCAGCAGACATTTAGTCGTATATAACAATAACGGCAGGTGTTTGATTCTAGAAACGTTACCGCGCGTTTCTATACTCTGATATGGAGGTCAGCTGGTGTTACCATTATAAATAAGATAATGAGTATGTAACATTAATTTTTGAAATTATGTATTATTTTATGTTGAGACAGCCCCTAAGACCGGTTATGACCAATATATATACTGCACATCAGAACATCTAGTATACATTGCACGCATGTTCTTTTTGTCCTTATAGTGGCAGCCGTCAGATATCCCGCAGTCAGTAAACCGTAACGCTAAATTCCTCGTAGTTGGACTGAGTTGAAACCTTCTGGGGTTAGTATTAAATAGAGTGCAGGGTACAGACACCAATGCATTCATTGCAACTCCTCGGGACGGGGTACCTCCTTGATCACTTCAACGTTGACTAATACTGGCACAGTTTCATCAGGAATGGGCCATCAATTGATAACCCGTGCAACCCTCCGGGCTGTCGGAGGTTGTGTTTCCGAAACCTTTCCATTTACTGACCATCTTGTCCATACACAACCTTTTTATGGATCACTCAAAAAATGACATCATTCGTGTTGTCGTTGTTGATAACCTCTGACCTTTTTACGCTTATGATTGTCTCTCGTAAAAAGCTTGTGCTTTGCCTTGAGCTCAAGCTCATGCGCCGCATTGACCCTTTCGGGTGGTCGGGCGAATGTAATAGCACAGCCAATTAAGGTCAAGGTGTTGAACTGACCTAAATCCTCCACCGTTTCCATTCCGGCTTTCCGAAATAATTGCGATAACAAAATTGACTGATTTTATATGCCAATTTGATCGCTGTCGTCGTCGCACCTACAGGGGTCACTGATACTACCGATCCATGGTGAAGGTAACAGACACGGGGTACCGAGCTCGATCCAACTCAATCCCCGCATCCCAAATAAACTTTATGGCGGCAAGAAATATCCGTCCTAGGAATTTCCATTAGAGGCATAACACTGGCCGAACCAATCTCTTTGATTGGCAGACTCGCCGAGACTCGCTCAAACCAGCCGGCGATTTTCATCTGTTTGACTTTTTTAATCCCCACAATATTGATTTGAAGCCAACCATTGTCTGATATTTGACAGTACATGTTGGTGATCTAACGAGTGTGGTTTAGCCTGAGTGAACAGACCATTTGTTTGGATTTACCCCGGGTTTTTAGTCTCAAATACCGTCGGTCTATCGGGTGAATATTAGCCTAAAGGGGAGTTAGCTCCGTGTTTTCATTTGCCATCAATATTATTGGTCTAGACTCATGTGCATTTCCAAGAACCTTTGAGTGTTAAAGTTTGTTGAGATTTGTAGTCTTGGCTGTTTGAAAGTTTTTCTTTTGAACTGGCTGCAACTCGCGCCGAACGGTTCCCCCGTGTTTTCGTTAAATGCTACTCTCACTGCCGCTGATGAGGATCAGGTAAAACAAGTGCCGTAACTCCGCAGTCTTTTAAGTCCCACCACAAGCCGGGTGTGCTTGTTTGTTAGGTGTTTTGAAAGAAATTATCTAACAGAGATACACATCAAAATAATGAAAGGGTGATTATCTTGATCTGAAAATCTCACACGGTGGAGTGCCGACAAAGACGTTGTTACTATCGCAGTTTCAGGGCCAAACAAACCGATCAAAAATAAAGAGAATCAAAAAAAGAATGCAGGCCGTTCTACTGCATGCACTTAACCTGGGCTGATCTCCAAGTTGACTGCGACTAATTTTATTAATACATTCTAGCTATTGAAGCGATCAGCTATCGGTATGTCAACCAAATGAAGACGTGCTCAACATGGGAGTGCCGAACTCTGAAAGAGTCACTCGACCAACTGAGCCAGACGCCCTGGTTCTCGAGGCATGGGGTCAGGGAATGATGGTGGGAGCGCTGGTGGTTATGGCTGCAGTCACCATTTCTAACATGCGGAAACGAGTGCTGCTTCACAAGCTAATTCTAACCGAGGTAAGCTTTTCAAAATTCCCCTAAGCATTCCTTTCTTGGAGGAAATCGCTGAATGAATAGCTTATCCTGGCCATATTCCATGGGACTTGGATTTTTGCTCATCCACCTGTCTATGGGTGGTATCTGTCCGTCACTGCAATCGGTCTGAATGTCTCGTGGAGTTTGCATAACGTGATTGCGTGGATGAAAAACCGACCATTCCTGTCGCGCCGTGTCTCGTTGTTCTATATCACCACCGTAATCCTGGTGCAGCCATACTGGGTGCTGGAGATCTACGCAAATTTTACCTATTTCAACAACATCAATCAAATATTTCTCAAGACGAGGCCACTAGAACCTCTGTTTCGGTGCGTTATGCCCCAAATAGCAATATAATAATGTATTAGAAAGGCTTATTGTTTGAATTCTTAGTGACCCATGGTGGCTGTTCACTACATGCTCGCTATTGTACACTATTAAAAAGGAGTATGACTTTGGTCTTATCGAGCTAATCCGGGTCAGTCCGCGCTTCGGAATTGTGCTTTTGTCGATGTGTCTATCGTTAGCCTTTATTCTCGTCGACACATTGAGCGTGACAGGGGTGTTCTCGTCTATTCTACCGACAGGTGTTGAGCCATTCTGGAAGGTAACTTGAACGTCGATTTTTCCGATGAGAGAATTAAAACGACTAATATGTGTATATTCTTTCAGCTATCTTTTATCTTCAAATGTCTTTGCGATACTGTCATTCTCGACGACTTCAAAACTGCCCTTGACCGCATGCACGCCTACTGGCTGCGACGAATGAACCCCAATTCAAATATAAGCGCGAATGCCTATTACTTCTCTTCCAACGATTACCATGATGATATTGATGACCCTCGTTCAGCGTCAACAATGGATCCCGAAATGGGAAGATTAGGGTTTTCAGTCACGAGATCAGCTACACGGCATGTAAACATGGAGAAGACGACTACTACAATCACAGATTTAAAGGCATCAAACAAAGGAGAAGAAACACCACAGTCAGTTCCTTTTTCACAACATGTGACGGACCTTTGTCTAAACAAGAAACTACCCGTCCCACCCACATGGACGGATTCGGGCTCCGACCTTGTACGCCCCAAAAGGAAGAAGGGAAACAGGAAAAGTCGGAGTTCAACAGTTCTACTTGAAAATGACTTGCAAAATATTGTTGACATGATAGATCAATACCCGGACACTCCAAAGAAAGTTAGAATAACAAATCATGTTCGAGGGATGTCGTCGACTTGATAACTCATATAAACTTATACAACTACGCCGCCTATTATGATAGCCTGTTTTTGACTTTCACAATCTCGGTGATTAGGGAGTTATAGGATGCGTGGAGTTTTTAGTATGCACATTTTGGTCACGATTTTAATGTTATACCCCTCGGAATACCGACTTTCATAATAATATTACTCTATAATAGGAGTCGATTTACAAATATTGAACTTAGAAATCCTATATATAAATGAAACAAAATTACAATTTTCAATGTTATCGTTGACGATCCTCCTATCAACCTACTGCATATTCACAGACAAAGTGACCCGTCCATTATCCGGCCCTCGATCTATGTTCCAACCCCTAGAAAGGATGTTTCAGACCTAGAGTGGTTTGCACATTCAGCTTAACACCTTAATCTCTCAATGGTTTCTTTTGAAATATGTGGCTAGAGACGCCATGACAGATATAGTTTGGCATTATTGTAATGCCTATGATCCACCAAGCTTTCAAGAACCTCATTGGGCCTGCCGTGGCCTAATTACCATTTGCGTTGTGAGGCGTGCGACTTGAAATTTGTTGTGACGCTTCTGCGACACTCAAAACACTAAATACAGCTTCCACCGCCATAGTTCGCGAGGCGTTGTCAAGCTTACGTTTCCGGCCTTCTCCAGGACCTCCATAACTGAGACGCTGATAAAGCGGCCGCCTTTCCTCCATACCTTCTTCCACAATTCCATCAAATTTGAACAGACCACCAGAAACGTGGATTACATTTCTCGGGCGCTGCATGTGCAGGGGTCGTCGTCGAGAAATCGAGAGGTCTCGGCATTTGTGGATAACCAATAATGCCCTGTGTGTGATTCCCTCAACAATGACCCACTATGACTCATGCCTCTGATCACAGTCCATCTTCAAGATTTGGAGTGCAAACCATATCCTCCAGACGACACACACCTCGCGGCCGTTGGGATTGACGCGTAAGGATGATGAGCGCACGGCCAATTTGTATCCGACCTGAGACAAATGGCGATGCGCCAGCCATCGAAGAAGTCACCGCAGCCGCATTTATGAATGCCGAGCACTCAAATCACAAAGAGCAATTCATTATCCGCGGCCTCCGCGAAGCAAACCAACTACCAATCTCGCTGGTCGCAGAAGACGAAATCGCACATACCATTGTGGGCCACGTCGCCGTCTCACCTGTGCATATCTCGAATGGCAGTGAGAATTGGTATGGGCTAGGGCCAATCTCCGTTTTACCTCAGTATCAAGGAAATGGCATTGGGTCGTTGCTCATGGAACGTGCGTTGGCAGATCTTCAGGCTTGCCATGCGGCTGGATGTGTTGTATTGGGAAACCCGACATACTACACGCGATTTGGGTTTAAGGCAGATCCTTCTCTGCAAATGCGGGGGGTGCCACCGGAATATTTCATGGCTCTCACTTGGCATAAGCAAACACCGACTGGGACTGTATCATATCATAAAGCTTTTGAGGCGCCCGCATATTTCAAAACATCTTCATCGTATAACATCCTCGTCACTGGCTCAGCTGGTCATCTCGGTACAGCTTTAATGCTCACCCTACCTGGTCTAGGCTTCAGACCTCTAGGCATCGACATTCTCCCTTCCCCAACTACGACACATGTGGGCTCTATTAGTGACCGCGCCTTTATTGCCTCAATTTTCGACACCAATCCCATTAAGCATATCCTTCATGCTGCGACATTACATAAACCGCACGTTTGCAGCCACAGCAAGGAACAGTTTATCTCAACAAACATTGTCGGCACCCTAATCCTCCTTGAAGAATCTTCCAGGTTCAAAGAGCAGATAGAGAGCTTTATCTTCTTTAGTACGACTAGCGCTTTTGGTATGGCACTAAGTCCCAAGCCGGGAAATCCCGCCGCTTGGATCGATGAATCTGTTCTTCCTGAGCCAAAGAATATCTATGGTGTGACAAAGGTTGCGGCTGAGGACATGTGCGCTCTAATGCAAAAGCAAAGCGGAATTCCTGTTTTAGTTCTTCGCACAAGCCGCTTTTTTCCCGAGGAAGACGATGATGAAGACCGCCGTGCGGCTATGAGCGATGAGAACCTGAAGGTATTGGAACTGGCCTACCGCAGATGCGACATTGAAGATATTGTCAGCGCGTCAGTCTGCGCAATGAAAAAGGCCAAGGCAATTCGGTGGGGAAAGTATATCATAAGCGCCCCGCCGCCTTTCAACAACAATGCACACACGCTCGATGTCTTGAATAGGAACCCCGCAGAGGTGGTGACTAAAATATTTCCTGATGTAGATGTTGTCTTCAAAGAAAAAGGATGGAAGCATCTCGCAAGGATTGATCGAGTCTATGATTCAAGCAAGGCAGTGAAAGAGCTAGGATGGAATCCAAAGTATACATTTGGAAGGACAGTGGATAGGTTAGTTCGCGGCGAGCAATGGAAGAGTGACTTGACGGTGAAGGTAGGCACAAAAGGTTATCATACTGTGAGCACTGGGGTGTATACAAAGAGATGAATATAGTGATTGTCTAGAGGTAGAAGCAAGTCACCGATTATGATAGATTAAAAAAGCATGTAGACAAGCTCCTACGTGCTGATTTACTCAGGTTTATCAACGCTATATAGAGGGTTTGTAGTCGTTCCAGCTTCAGATTCCCCATTATTTCCTGGAGTAGATTCTTCTGCTTCGTCTAGGTCCTCCCATCAGTACGCAAAGAATCCTCTACGCTCATTAGCTGAAGTTAAATTATCAATATATGCCGTCAAATTTACCTGCTATACTAGACATGCTAGTAGAAGATATCGCCACGCTCGGAAGATTCTATTGGTTATTCAACGGACTATCCTCCATTGGCTAACGCTAGCTAATCGTATGATTATCCGTTGGTAGCGATCTAGTTGATATGAGTGGCCATGATCCTGATGGTAAGTTCAACAACGAGGTCAACAGTGCGATCGATACTAAAATATCTTGATAGAAAACTACAATAATAATCATAAATCCTGAAGCTACACCTGAATCTAGTTTATCCATCATCTTATTAAAAGGATATATTCCAGCTTCAGTTTTATTGAATTTCTAAGAAACTATACATTAGAATAATCTTGGATAAATTATGGGACCTGTAGTTATTCTGGAGCTAATTATTTATCTATTAGTGTTTCTTGGCAAGCATCTAGAACACAGCCATGAATGTTTCGACTGTCAGGCTGAATGTGCAACCCACTGTACCCAGAAGACAATTGTTTCATGAACAAGATTATCTAAACAAAACGCTGAAATAATAAGTAGAGACCCTTGTAAGCTCCATATTCATTCTATATATTTTAAAATGTGTCTGCATATTTCCAGATTAACGCATCAAAACATTATTGACACGAACAGCTGAATTTGGAAATCGATGATCACATACGTAGTATCCTACACCTTTCTGTTGTCTGGGGCAAATTGGGAGGTAACTAGAGTTAAAAGTTGACATCACGCACTGGCAACAAAATACATGACAAGGGAAAAATGATGTCATCAAAGTATACTTGTCGGTATTCGAAACTCAATACTAAAAAAATCATGGTTTTTATTTCGTAAAAAGAAAATGAGAATATCCTGATCGGTCATCTAATGAGTGAATATTGCCTTTGACTATGGAGAACTTCAGCCAATCTAACAACGGCTGACATAGTGGGCATCGGTTCAGTTACATGCAAATTGATGGAATGAATTGAGTCCGCTTGAAAGAACATTATTACTCTGGCAGTCTATGAATTCCTAGTTCTGATACACAAAGAAATATTTATTCTAATTATGAAGACAAAAGATCCTTCAATTGAAAATGTAGGCGTGGCAATTGAACAATTGAAATGTTGTTCGCTATTGCGGGCTTATGTCTTGCCACAAATTATCTTCCTCTTTCTATGTTCAGCTTCCTAATAATCAACTTAATTATAATTTTTACCAATGGTTTCAAGAGTTTTTGACTTTCCTCATAAATTAGTTGCTATTGATATTTCTTAATAGTACCAGCCACTAGTTGACGGGATTAGGAATGAGTAAAATGATGCTAGGCATGCCAGATAGAGTATCTACGACTCCATAGCAATTATCAGATATAGTATCGTCCTGGTCGCGATTTTATCAATTAACCAATTCTCAATTGATTTGCTGAAAACTGCCAAGCGGGTTCATGCGATGCACGACATGTTGAGTATGACAAATAAATTTTCCGAGCGGGAAAAACAAAATAAAAAAACGTGGGAACATTTGAAGGTTACACAGACTATGTATAGGAGCAAGTTATAAAAATCCGAGTCATTTATTGAATATCAAACGTGACAATTTAGCCATACATGATCGCAAACATACATGCATAGTAGAGACGACAAAAAAAGAAAGAAAAATAGGAGAAATCTTGGTATCTTCAACTTATATACATACTCATCAGTCATGAGAGTCATTCCGACATCCATCTATCATCTAATAACCCTCAAACATACACAGTCAATCAAGCTCCGGGATGATAAAAGGAAATATTTAGAAAATAGGCATATCGACGGTATTAGTGTAATCGATACCAAGATCCTCGATTCTGTCACGGCAGGTGCCGAAGATAAGGTCCCACAGTCTTGTCTGCTTGCCATAGTTGTGGCTGCTCTTCCAGCCAGTGCGATGGTGCAAGTCATGATCCTCAATGACCAACTCGGCCCCAAACCATTCAAGAAGCCAGCCAAAAGTATTCGGCGGAATCGCGTGCATGCGAAGTCCAGAATGACCGGCAAGCTCGGCATACACAACGTACTGCTGGCAGATCCACCACTCGTAAAAGCCCATGGGCATGCCCATTAGTTTCATAGTGAAGTAGGTCATCAAAGGAATGCCGGCAATGTCGAAGAACTCCTGCTCATGGTCGGCGTACAAGGTGAGCAATGGGTTCGGGTGCTTGGTGAGATGGTGGGTGCGGTGGTATTTCCATAGTCCTTCGAACTCATGCATGACGCGGTGATACCAGTAAAACCAAAAGTCGAGGATAATGCCGTACAGGCCAGCCTCGAGAGGGAGCCAGTACCAGTTGATGGACGAGGGTGCTAAGGCGGTACGGTAGGCCAAGAAGACGGTGAACATGGGGCGGAAGGTAGATGTCGACACAAGCGAGTGCACAACTTTTCCGACACCTATATCCGGGACTTCGTCACGGGGATGCTTGTCACCGTCGAGGAAACCATAGAGGTGGCCGAGACCTCGCATCATGTGCAGTTGGCGAATAGCGATGAGCTTGAAAGCGGCGCTATAGAAGGTAAAAGCAGCCAGAGGGCCTAAATTCTGGCCGGTATACTGAACATAAGCCTGATGGATGATGAGGGGAATCACTGCGTGGGCGAGCACCCAGCGATGTTGTTTCCAGTGTGATAGATATGGCATTGCATCTGTTTTGGCGTGCACAGGGACATCCTTATCCAAGGCTGTGGGATGGACGCCCAATACTTCATAGAACCAGTGCCAGATGTTCCACTCGCTGCGGCTGAGGTGACGCCAGGTCGACTTCATCGAGTCTTTTTGGTTGGGTCCTGGAACCATCTTGATGTGTTCAGTCTCAGTGTGAGCGTAGAAAGAAAAGACTAGGACAACAGTAATTGAATGTGGTACTCTCAAAATCACAACCCGGGGCTAGTCTGGGGCGGGTGAGGTCCCTCTTATACTATACTCATAGTCATCGCGCGGACTTAGCGCCTGTAGATCAAGCATTAGCCCATGGCTCTATTTGGGCATGTGAATAGGCTCGGCTCGGAGAATGGGTCGCCTCTAAAAAGAACCCATCCCCAACGGAATGATTGCACAGATGTGATTGGCCACCAGCCACATGGGCTCTACGAGACTACAAACGGCACTGTACTCGTTAGAGGGATATGCGGACTTGCAAGTGTCGTCTGTAGGACGTCATCTAGGCAGATGAATAAAGTTGATAGACATCATCTGATGCTAGCATCGTATTCACAAGATCCTTATAGTAAATCCTAATTTTGATCTGAATGTAGACAACATCACACACCCTCACATTTGCAGCGTTTGAGCCAGCCAGGCGAGACGTGAATCATCAGCCCACTTCATTCATTTTCGGTATATTTCTGGATTGCGCTATCAAGAAACAGCGATGCCTAGGAGAGCCGGTTGGCGTCGCACATCCTCGCGCCACATAGATGGTACAGGCCTAGAGTCATCCAGTCTAATCCCAGTGGAGTAAGATTGTGGGACTTGCTGGACCCCGGATACCTCTCATGGACAATCGGGACACTAATCATAGGGAGGAATACATATGTGCCCACGACTGCACCCATGATTGTAAGCGAGTGTTTGGCTAGTCCAAGCTGGATGAGATCATGGGCGACAATCTAAGACCTGTGGGGGTATGCCGAGGTAAAAATTTGACCAGTGCGGGTTTCGCAGGTCAGGTGACCTCGTTGAACACTATTACATGCAACGATAAGATTAAAAAATGATAATAAAGATACGTGGCTAGCCGGTTGTTTAGGCTACAGAATATTTTACATACGATCTTGCTGATCAATGACCATCTAGACGAAATATGCATGTAGCCTAGATTCGAGGACCACTGCATAGATTGCACATCGCGATGTCAAGCATATGCAAAAGCGGAACTCTTCGGCAGACAGCAAAGAATTCCTGTATAAGTCAGGATATATACCCCGTGTCTTAGCATGCTTCGATAATGATGTTCGCAGGGACGCTCGCAGGGTTAGCAGAATCGGCCAATAGGAAGGTCACTACTCCACGCGCCGAGGCGCCGAGAGACTCCACAAATACCTAAAGAGGCCTAGCCCTCTCACTGGAGCGGCGCTTAGAGAATTTTCCCTTTGGTGGCGCCTCCAGTGGGGCAGCTGGCCACAGCTACGTATAAAACGAGCCGCTTTCCACCATTACGGGCTACTATGCTAGGTCATGTGATCGAATAACTTGACTGTCACTAACCTCACTATGCACAGAATATCCCAAACGACTTGATAGTGACTCACATGTGCTATGTTGTGCTGTTATGATGGGGCCTGGGCACGAAACGCTCGAACAGAAAGCCACACAGAGGCTAGGACTGAAGTTTGCTGTGTGTAGCTATGAGTTCGAGATTTTAATCTATGCATAATCAAGGTGGTGTAATGGTAGCATAGCTAGTGGCACACGATTTTCATACATGATTCTCGGTTCGAATGCATGCGCTAGGCACCTATTTTTTCTATTTAAGCAGGGCGTCGAGATCTGACAGGCATAACGAAATCCAGGAATGTAATAGCAGCTAGTCTCATCATCCCTTAGTTGAGCGACTTCCTACCGATTTTGGATACCATTTCTCATTTGTTGACTAGTGGAGTAAATCAGTATTGAACTTTTACAAATCTACAAACCGACTATTGAATGTCGAACCGAGGTAAATCCCATTTAGCCATTGCTCGATGTCATTATGAGTAGCTGCGTGTCAGGGTAGGCTTCTTGGATTACTCGGTCGCTCAACTTCATATTTCAAACACCCTAGAGGTGCTGGCAGCTTCTCCGGCCCCTTCCAGAGCTTGTAGTTTTGTTCATTGACAGTCATACCTGCCGGTTTTATATTGTCCGATGCTGTAGTCCACACATGCCATGTATTAAGTAATTTAAACATATAAATATCACAAATATCATTGAGTTGGTATTACTCTATCACCGACTCTATGTTTGTACACGTCAGAAGGTGACTCCCTACCTTATCTTTAGTCGGCTTATCCACGAGTAGAAAAATCAACAACGTATACGAAAAGAATTACAAGGCAACCGCTTTTGCGGTCAGCTAAATCGTGCTTGTGCAACTACGAGCTAACAGGTGAGTCATTTTTTCTCCCCAAGGCCATATATCCAAGCAGCGATTCTCGCAGCGCCGGCTTGCTCACATGTGCTAACTCCTAGTAACACCTAGCGGTGGTTAGCATTACGCACATGCCAGCCTGATATCTATCTGTGAAGGCATCGCTGCTGCCTAGAAAATCTTTCTCGGAGGCTAGAGAGCCAGAAACTTGACGAATTTCAACTATAAGAGCTGAATACTCGATAACCCAGCAGGCAGTACTTAATTTCAGGACGCAAAACTCATTTGCTATCCGTAAGTCACGCACGTATATTTGTAATTATACATATGAAAAGTGCAATATGAGTTGACCTGCTTAGCCATTTCTCGTTCCAAAATTAGAATCAAGACCTTCAATTAATATACTAGATAGTTGAAGAACAGAGCAAAATTGAATGTAAAATTTAAATTACGGATCAACAAGTAGATTCTTGTGATACAGAAGCTGATTGGTTCGAGATTTATTTTTATTTTATTGGGCTTTTGGGCGCGCCAGGACGGCACCTGTGGGATATCTGAATATAGTTTTCATGTAAGAGATGACTTTAACTCACATGCATAGAAATCAAACACTGAACACTCATACAAAGAAATCATGCTTTAAAAGAGAAAATAACTCTCTAGAACTAAAGTAAGATAAAAATTACGTCTTTCAAGTCTGATTCGAAGCTCTTCGATTTGTTAAGCTACAGGTGTATATAATGTCATGTACCGGCCCGATCGAAGTAGGATCTGAGATAGAATCAAGAAAGTACTTTACATATCAATTGATGTAGTGGTAGCAGACATCCAAGAACTATATGTAAAGGAATGAAAAACATAAGTTAAATCGGAGTTTCAAACTGGTTAGAAATGTACGATGATGAAAGTGTTTGAACACAAACCTGGCAAGATTACAGCTACATATATAACATGTAACAGTTGACATAGTTAAAATTACTATCGGCAAAGACATTAACGATCATACTAGATTTAGTTTCTCGATTGATTGACGGTTCTATTTCTACTGATTCAAACCGGTCAAGTATACGTGTGTTCTTTATATGACCGAATTGCAGACACGCTACACCGCATCAATACTTTTTGCTTATGCAATTTTCAAATGCCCAACATTCGACATTACACATGTGCAGTCAATGACCCCACAGCCATGATAAACGAGAATTGAATATCAATTGATACATGCCAACTAGTCTAAACACAGATTATTAGACCGAATATTAGGAGCATTCTGATAAACGCACAGGTGACTGTTCATTAATTGGTATATATCAATTGACTTAATACAAATATGGAGATTTGTCATTATCGTAGAATATACATTACACACGAGATGAAAGCCGTATTGAAAACGTACAAAAGAATATGGACTATATATTCCTCACCATCCAAACACCTCAGCGGAGGAAAAGGAAAAAAGAATGGGAAAGATAAATCAAAACTCCCGACTTTCTCCAATATCACAAACATCGAAGGTGCCTTTTTCCGGCAACTCGTTCCTCTTCAAGGCCTCTTTTAGCTTGACTGGAGGCTCAAGGACGTCTTCTTCTGTTAGAACCCAGGTGCCCCAATGCATACCGAGGGCACGCTGGCACTTGGTATCCTGGAAGATGTTGACGGCATCATGCGGATCAGCATGCATGGGACTCATGATAGATCGCGGCTTATATGCGCCAATGGGGATGAGGCCTAGATCAAAGGGGCCTCTTAATTCGCCAACCTGCTTGAACGCTGGGCAAATTGGGAAGTTATATTCGGGGGCGTGGTCGTCAGTCACACCTTTGAGCAAGGGGACAGAACGGTAGCCGGTGTCTCTGGAGGGATTATTAGATTAACCGTGAAACATGAACTTGGAATGTCATATGGTAACGCACCCTGCAAAATAAACCTTGCGACCGCCAGACTCCACACCCCATGAAGCCCAGAGGGTCTTGCAGCGATCAAACGGTGATCGCGCACTGAAATGCTGACATGGCAAACAACTAATTGTCCCGATTATATCCCCAGGGTCTCTCTTCGGTGTCGTCTCATCTCCGGACTTCGTCGTCTCCATGTGCTGCGTCTGAGGTGACAGAGTGATATCGCGCTGGTCCCACCAATCCAACTCCGTGACGTTTGTGATACCAGAGTTTTTGAACCACTGCTCGTTACCGAGGGGCACGAAAAAATGGCAATTGGGATGGCGCTCCGCGATCTCGGTGACGGTCGGCAGCGATAAATGATCGTAGTGGTTGTGCGATATCACGACGACGTCTATCACGGGAATCTCGCTGACTTTACAGGGTGGTTCGGTATATCGTTTCGGGCCGAGCCAGGAAAGCGGGGAGCAGCGGTCTTCGAAGACAGGGTCAAAGAGGACTCGAAGACCACCTGGAAATTCCACATAGAAACAAGCATGTCCTAACCATGTTGCGCGAACGGATGAGGAATCAGTCTCTCGTGAAGGGAGAAAAGTTGGCTTCTGTACAGGGACGGTGGGAGGGGTGGTATCGGGGTGATTTGCTTCGCCGGTGAGACGTCGACTGAAGTATGGAATCCAATTAGCAGACGGATAATGTATGGATGACCGCCAAACTCACCCGATCAAAGCCTTTGTAATCTCCCAAGATGTAATATTCACGAATGATCTATGTTCAATCAAGGATCAGTCAACGATCGAAAATGCGAGAAATCTTGTTTGAAAAAGTAGGATGAAAACGCACTCCCAGGGATTGGTATATCCGCCATTGATATGATGCGCCTTGGCAGCAGCGTCTTCAGGAACCGCAGGCTTCGGGGACGTTGCCGAGACAGTGAGAGCGTAGAGAATGGCTGACGTCGACGAGGTCATGTTGCGACGGGTTGCACGACCGAGATACAACGGATTTGAGGAGTGATAATACTGTTGGTGTTGATGGCGCCACTGAGAAAATAGGCGTCTTATAAACGGCCGCATGTGCACGGAATGTAAAGTAGGGAATGAAAAGAAAAATAAGGAAAGGAAAAATCAGAATCGAGAAGAGGCGCAACGGATGCAATGGGCTCAGGTTATATGTGAATGGCGAGTCGTCAGCAAAGATATGCCTGATGAGCCGAAGCAGGAAGAAGCCAACCAGGCTAAGCCCTGCGGACCAATCAGAAGCTGGTGTGCTCGGTGGGCCCCGGAGTTAAGCATCGTGGCGGACAAAAGTGCTGGGTCATACAGCCGGAAAGATTGATCCGGATGAAAATATTAAGGTGAGGGAGTTCACAGGTTGATGGGATTAAACGTATTATTTTAAAATGTGTCCGTACTCGCTGCCTATAGCCGAGCACAGGAAATTAAGCCTCGATTAAACATGACTATCGTCAACACCACGGTGCTTTAGAATCTATCCCATCCATATTCCGTCGACAAAAGAACAAATTACAAACTGGCCTTGCCTCTCGGCTCAAAAGGCAATACAACTGCCAGCGCACCCGCAGCCAGGAACAGAGCTCCACTGACATACACCGGCGCAGCGCTGTTGAGATTGGCGAACATTGCAATGATGGGTGACATGATGCCGAAAATGCGATTTGCTGAGGCTGTGACCGCATTACCCGTTCCACGATCCTTGGTCGGGAAAACCTCAGGCGTGTAGGCATACAGAACGGCATACATTACATTGCTCATGAAGCTGTACGCGCAGTTGAACCCCAACAATGCATCCGAGTGGGTTGCCGTGGTAGACGCAAAGAGGAAAACTCCTGTCAGAGCTGTCGACAATGCTAGTGTGCCTTTGCGGCCGAATCGAGGCAATTCGACTAGGAAGCCACCAAGTATGCAGCCAGGAATTCCGAGTACGGCAATAATCACTTCATTGCGGTAAGTGATATATGTTGAACCGTCGCCAAAGTCTGTTCCGCGCGTAGACTGGATATACGGCAGAAAGGCATTGTAGAGGGGGAACCCGAGACCGATAAAGGCCCAAATAACAGTGATCAACGATGTTGAAATGGCCATCTTGGTGGTCGAGAAGAGCGAACGCAAGTGATCCATGTTGACCTTTTCAAGCTTCCGCTCCAATGCGGCTGCGGCCGATGTCTGCTGGGCATCTCCTTGCTCTGTCTCATCAGCGAGTACGTTGTACTGAGTCAGGTCCTCAAGCGTCAGAGTCGAGGTTTTGCCGTTGCGTCGAGCAACTTCATGAATGACCTCTACTGCCTCAGCGTCTTTGCCGCGTGACATCAGGTACTTTGGAGACTCGTAGATGGTGAAACACACAAATCGAATGATGAACATGGCCATAGCCAGGCCACCCATGGCAATCATGAAATACCGCCAACCCATATTCTTGCTCTTAGTGCAGACTGTGTTTTGCTGGCAAGTGTAGTTGCCCAACAATGGCCATGCCACCAAGGTAGCGACCAGCTGTGCAAATGCCCAGTCAATGGACAGAACAGTTAGGAGATACTGGTGAGAAGCAGGCAAAAATTCAAGAAAAATAGCAGAATCCACAGGCAAGTTACCGCCCACGCCCACGGACCAGAGCGCTGCAAAGACACCAGCGGCTGCAAAATTCGGGGAGCCGGCAGCAATGAGGCCAAACACGGCGGTGATACCAATTGTCAAGTTGAAGGCCCATCGTCTCCCGAATATATCACAGCCAAACCCCCAAAAGACCGCACCAAACAATAGGCCAATGTTTTGTGCCAGCGTCAGGAATTCGCCATGAACGGGGTTGAACTCATTTTTGACCGGGGTAAAAATGAGCGAAGTCACGATCGGCCACAAGTTGTCACTCGCCCAGCCAAAGCCGATGACGACAAAGAGCTGCCACTGATAACGGCCCATACCGATTTCCTGGATGGCTTTGTTCAGCACGCGAGCCTTCGCCTCATAAACTGGGTCGAAGGTGCCCGAGGGAAGCGCCGTTTCTTCGCCCGGTTGCACATCGTCGAGAACCCGGGTCGCAACAGGCGAAGCATCTCTGCTCTTGCTTTTATTGTCCGAAGCCATTTGTACGGCCTACTCAATCAAGACTGAACAGCGCAAGGACAACGTCGAAGCTGTTTGGAACTAGCTGTCCACTGAAATGTTTCTCGTCGCTATTGAGACTCGAAAGAAACACCCGCATGGGGCAGATCGAATCGATCAAATCGAGAAGTCAGGAAACGAAACCACAAGAGCCTGAGGAAGGGCAATCTGGTCTTTTGTAGGTGATTTCCTTTCGCAATAAGCCACGATGAAAGAAATCTCTTCCAGACTAGAGAAAAACGTGGAGGCGGCAGGGTCTCCAACGGGTCGCGGCCATCACAGAGATCTCGCCGACTCGCTAATTATTCTTGCATGACAGGCTAGGGAGGCTGCATTGGGGGTCCATGCAGCGAGAATGAGAGTGAGAGTGACGAACTCAGTGGGAGCGATGGCGTGATTATATGCATGTTTGCGCGATAAGGAATCAATGAATGCGGCCACTGTCAGAGTTACGTAGGAACAACGGAAAACTGCAATAAGAATACGAGCTTCGAGCGGCCTTCGAGAAAGGGCTGGTCGGATTGGGCTAGGGCAATGCGACCTGGGGCCGGTGTGGGCGCACCAATCACAGGGCCGTCTTTCGGAACCGGAAGCAGCCAGCCCGGCAAATCACGAGGCGTCAGTGGCCTAGTTAGGTTGCTCCTGCCCTGATCCGTACGTACTCGGGGATGGACCCACCTTCCCCGGCACGCAGTACGCAGCGAGGCGGCCCGAGGCGCCGACTGTGTTCTCTTACGGTGCCTGAGGCATTGTTGATGCTGTATTTCACTAATTCAGAGCTAAGCAGATTATATCTAAGGTCCAGGGAAAAGCCAAAAGAGTGACGCTCCATGCTTATGTCCCATATTTGATTGAATGTCATTATCAACACAATCATGCATCTCCAAGTCGCGATGAGAGCACATATTCATAATCCAGATGACACTAGTAAGAGGAGCAGGCGACGTCAAAAACAGAACAATGAAACAACCAGCAGAAGAAAAAAAAAGGCACGTGCTTGTCTATACGAATAATCAAAAAGTGAACAATCGCAGATAGAAAGACGCAGCCAGAATCGTAGTGACAATACCGTCACTCCTTGCATAGTATACAGGCTCACATAAGACCTACATGGACCGAGGCAGGAGAAATCATAGCATTTCTAAGACGACACTCTGAATCCAGCTCAAAGACAGGACGTTATCCGAGAGTTGTACGCGTCAAGCATACATGTACAGATACAAGAACAATATGGTATCAAAGCGAAGAGACCGAGAATGAAGGCGTGGAAAAGGCTTCAAGCATCAATGCTGAGAAAAAACAGGCACATACAAAACAAAAGAACTGTGAAGCAAAGCAAAGGCCAGGGAGAATAGGGAGAAAAAGAGAGAAACAAAGGAGGAGGCCATGTGCAATGCAAGTGTCAAGACATGTCGGTAAACCCTCGGACGACATATTCTTCACCTCGGACAAACACCCTTTGGCCGGGTTTCCGCCAGTTGTTTTTCCCCTCCTGAGCAGCCGTGAAATCATTTTTCCCTCTCACCATACTGGGCAGGTCTTTGCTCTCTGGCCCTGTGGAATACTTCTCGACCCAGCCTCGCTTGCCGGCATACTCTTCATGTCGTACACTGACGCCTTCGGTATCGCCAAATTTTTGGAAGGTGTATCCCGTATTTTTCGGTGTCTGCACAATGCGTGTCGGTTGCCGCACAGCTATATATGTACCGCCTATTCTGGCTAGAAACGTTTCGACCTCCTTGCTCTCCTCTGTTCCGGCACCATCCATGTTCTGTATCACCGAGACGTGAGAGCCTGCGCTTTCCAGCACATAGGCGATATTCGGCCCGGGAGTGGCAATGGGCTTTCGCTGTCGCCAGACTTCTTCGTATTGTCGCGGAAATGGGCCAGCCGGATCAGAGGGTCGCAGCATGGTGCCGGTCTCCAGCTCGTCCCCATTGTCCATGGGCGTGAAGAGACCCGTGTCGACGTGTTGAAAGGTGTTGCGCGAATTGATAGTGTGGAGGAATGTAACTCGTCCTGTTAGACAAATTCAGCCATTAGCATCACACCAGCCTTGTTTTACAAATATTGTCTGTAATGCGATTGATAACATACTGGAGTCGGTTTGATCGACGACGCGCACCCCTGCGATCGCCCAGTCCAGCTTCTTCGTGTCCTTTTCGACCCGCAAATCCACGAAGAAGTTATTGACGCTGAGAACAGTAGTGTCGGTGTTCTCGTACGCGTCTTCTGGCGGCCATCGAATCGACACCCTCGTCGACATGGAATATGCATGCTTGCCTGTCGTGAGGGTCTGCGTCTGGATGGGATTCGAGTGCACCATCATTGTCGCGGTCGCAAACGTGATGCTTCCTTATTGTAATAATTGCGACGAAGAAAAACAAAAAAGATTAAAATAAAACACAAAAACCCTCTCTCCGCTTCCCCTCTCTTTTCTCTATTTCTCACTCTATCCCCCTTCTTCCGCTTGTGCAGGAAGAAGTCGGGTGCTCCCTTTTTGTTGTTGTTGTGGCCCTCCGTGCTCCCGGATGATGTTATCAGTGAATGAGCTTCTCCACCAGGAAAACAGGCAAGGTTAACGTTTGCGGAAAGGCACACCACACACACACACAGACACACAGGCACGAAAAGTAGGTCAGGAGCACGCACGACACATGACAAGGCGACTCCAGCGACGACAGATCGAGATCTGACAGCTTGGCCTTACCCCGCCCTAATTCCGGTTAGGTCGGGCTCGGCGGGCGATCGCTATTGCCCTGCGGGGGATGGCGTGCTGATTGGCCCGTCGGCGGATATACCGCTGCGATGCCAACAAAGGGTGAATGCATGAGAGTGCAGAAAAGGAGATTGTAGCGACAAGAGACGGAACAATATGAATGGAGCCACTTGGTGACCCGTCTTATGCGCAACTCTCCACGTGGCCTAACAAGCAGTAGCCAGCACTAGGCAGCACTGGTGGCTGGCACATCGCTGCCACAATCGCATCATCCCCATATCGGTGGATCTGGGGCGGCCAGGATGGCGGTTAGTGGTGTTGCACTATCTGTATAGGGCAGGTGAACCTATCGAGAAGGATGCGAGATCCGCAGTTGCTAGGAACTACTAGCCGGCCGGATACAACATGATGAATGCGTCAAGAGGCAGGTTCATCCAAAGCAACGAGCAAAACATTGCTATAGCTCGCGCCATGCTTTGCGGTTTCCACTTCCAGGCAGGAAGTAGAATATGACTACGGCACATGTCAATCTAGCATCGCTTTAAAATCAGAACGGAGCTTAATGGACCAATCAGAGCATTTTGGAGTTTAGAATGTTTCATGGTAAACTAGCAAAGCTCACCTAAGCTTTGCTAATAATAATAAATAACAGAAGTGTCTATTACTATCTTCACGTGACAACAACGCGGCAGGTCACAGGGCTCCATGGCGCAAGAGGAAGGAGCTGGGTGCGGCTAGAAAAAGCAACTACGAGCATCGCATCGCGCCTTCCCCTGCTGTCATCCATCACCGCCATCCAGCATCAATCGTCAATGATCAATGATCCATCATCTCTTCATCATGCATTGTCCAGACTCACCCATCTTTCGAGGAAGACATCCAGCTCGACATCCTCTGGTACGCAGTTATTAATGCCCCGGCGAATGGCCACTGCAAAATTAGGATAGCGGCTGCTGAACGCCCTTGTACGACTATCACCGGCCCGCCAGCAGCGTTCCTCAAACTCGCGGAAATATGCGACAACGTCTCCCGGCAGAGGACGGTCCATTCTTTGAGCGGTTAGCTGCACCATACGGACCATGCCTTTGGCCAACGGCAATCGTTGCGCAAAGTAGCCGTGCGCCTTGCACAGGTTCATAAACGCTTTGTGGTTGTCCGGGTTCTGCAGGTCCTCCATCAAGATGCACAATGCAATTGTAATCCACTGCGCATTGACGACTGGGCCTGGGTCGGACCGAGAAGATGATTGCTGGATCTCAATAAGTTGATTGATCGCATGGGCAGATGAGAGGCACATTTGCCTCGACTGCTCTGCCCACCCTAACATGTGTGAATCCGCGTCGGGTGGCGCCGTCTTCAAAAATGCGTATATTGTGATGATGATACTGTGGTAGTACATGCTAGGACCACGTCAGTTATTACGAAATGACACTCTATAGTCAACGCATCAGTGGTATTGGGGAATAACGAAGGAAACAGCTGCTAAAGAAAAAAAGAAGATCAAGGAAAAGAGACTCACTGCAAAGACAGCAAACTAGGTATTGGGGTTATACGGTAATCCATGCACTTTCGACAGCCGTTCCACCACTGCACCAGACGTGAATGCCAGCGTTGAACCGCAGCCACCAGCTCGGCATGGGTGTAACTGGTCTCCCCAAACAAGAATGCTGCAGCATCCCAGGCGATATTGCTAATCCTCCCAAGCTCATTGAGAATGCAGTCATGGTGGATGGGCGATAATACCCCAAAGTGAGCATAGAACGGAAGTTCGTTATGGTGAATATTCGCGTGCATAGAGACGTGCCCATCTATATGCATTATCCGGATCGAGGGAGGGATCTGAAAGGTCAAATTTGCGCTCCTACAATGTGTTGTCATGAGAATCCAAAACTAAGCATGTCTGCAGGAGGCTTACACAAACGTATTAAATTGACCGAGCTCGATGCGGTCGAGGAGCTGTCTCAACTCGCTCGCAGATAGACCTGTATTCACGACACGAGATTCGGCTTTTCGAAGGGATTTCATGACTTCTGCCGCTTGTATTGTGTAGACCCAACCAGCTCGATCCTTGCCCATGGCACAAGCACTTGACAAAGTCAGAATGCCATTCATAGTCGCAAAAGGGACCAGAAGGTAGGAGCATGTACCAGGTAAACATGATACCCAACCCTTGAGTTGTCGGAATAGACACCCTGCCCTCTTCTTCGTCTAAAAGTCTTTTGGCTTCTTTCCAAAAGTGTTCGCCCTTAGTCACGGAATCGCCTGCGATCGCGCAAACTTTGGGATGGTCGGAGAGAAACTTGTCCGCTTATTAGCAAAAACTTTAACGTCAAGAATATGAACGCACACATGCATCAGCCAGCATTGCATTCACTAGAAATGGAGAACACAGTGGTGATCGCAAATCCCTTGACCGCATGGCTCTAAGAAAGAGTTCTTGATCAATATAATTGTAGCCCGGAAAGCTGCATGTAAACCACAATGAAATGAGATGAGATATAAAGCTATCGTCCTCAGTCACGCTGGTCCAAGGACTTGCTGGTACTCTGAAGCTAGGAATATCCACTAGTCCGGGGACAGGCAATATGGGTGTCCTTTTCTGAGTTGAAAGCTTTTCCTGTGGCTGTTGCTCTGATATCCATTTCATATCATTTTCAACTTCAATCCACTCTGGACTCCATTGGGCCTCTTTTCGCATAAGGTGTGCTTTGAGATACAACTTGACATCGTTTATGTTCTCCAACGTTCGAATGTCGTGAACTAACTCCGTATTATACGACTGCGGGCCTCTTTGAAGAGTTTCCATGAGCTGCAAGAGAAGTCGTCGGTCATCCTCCAAACTGTCGATCTTTTTTTTCAGATTGAGTTTGCGGCGCTGGTCTCCTTCGGTATCGATAACGCACTCGACTTTGGACTTCAGACAGGTTTTGCACGGTGGTACTCCGCTACACTAGCAGTTGATTCATCGTACTAAGTCTTTCATGTGAGATCTAAAAAAGAGCAGAAACACGATGTACCTTCAATTTGCGTGCCTTGCACGCCTGGCATGCCGAACTGACATTTTTCCTCCTTTTGCTCTCATAGGCGTGGGGATCGTGGGAGCCTGGAAGAGCCGGCGCTAACGGACGATTGTAGTTCATTTCGGTGATGCGAGCTTCGTTGGATTTGACAAAGATTGCGCATGGTTGTTCGGGCAATCGAAATTGGGACGGAGTGGAATTTCGAAAATTCAAGTCGGAAGAGAGATCTCTTTAAAACAAAAGCTATGAAAACGCCTTGCCGCTGGGTATTCTTACCATACTTGCACTCCTCTGGAATACACCAGTGCATCTCATCCACTCCCTACCAAGCATCCACTCCCTACCAAGCGCCTTCCAACATAAGCCAGCCGGCCGACTAAAAGTCTAGAGAAACGAAGGCCGCGGCTTAGTAGCCTGGATGCAATCTCCGACCCAATCGGGTCAATGCATACCATTTTAGCGGCTGTCAAATAGGCCAGCTAGTCCGACTGTCCATGTGCGATGCTACGTCGTAGGCTACGGAGATACAAACCCGATAGTCTAGCTGCCAGCTGCATTTGTCTGACAGCAATGTGCGAGTAGGCCAGCAAATCGGAAACCTAGGGCTTGAACTATTTGTCGGCTAATATCCGACCTTTAATAGGTCTGTCTGCCTTTGAATTTCGGCTTAAAAGATCGACATCGATAATGAATTTCAACACGGTTGCATGAATGAAACCGATCGTGTGAGAGAGGGTGGCAACACGATCTACGTTACTAGTGCAAGATAACAGGTTCTTCCTACATCGCTACTGAGGGGACCAAACAATAATTATCACCCCGTCGCACGTGAAGGTGGGTTAAATCAGGAGAACTACGAAACAGTTTTAATACTCCGGCCAGGCAAGCTTACAACTGGCTTCAAATCCGTTCTTAGACTAAGTCTAGAAACCTTGCCAATGGTCAGGAAAACTCATCCGGGACAGCACCACTTTCTTACTCTAGGCCATTTTTCATACCACTTGCCAATGCCATCCTAGCATCCTAGCGCGAGGAGGCATGCTGCGCATTCAACATGTATGCTTATATTTCAACTATATATCAAGCCGATGTACTAGATTGGAGATTTTTCCAAATACCTCAGCCAGATGAGAGCTTGATCCATGTGTGCGTGGCCTTCACCGATGAAACATGAATCGTGAATCATTAGCATGAAGCCAACCGGATATAATTTTGAGACAACTGCTGGTTGGTCAATCAATTATTCATTGACCGAAATAAGACACAAATGATATCAAGTGGACTATATTACCATGATATTATAATTCCGCATCATCCTCTTACATTCCGGGCCATGTCATGTTGATCATCATCCATGTTAATATTTCGTTTTATATAGATTACTTGCCCATACTAATAGTTATACGAGCCCATGCGTGCAATTCCGTGGATTTATGGTAGAAACTGCAGTGCGACCAATGCTGTTAAGATATGAACTTTGAAGACTTCATCAGAATCTCATATTATTTCTCATTTTGCTCTCTTTCCCTAGTATTTCTAAAATATGTTGAATAATACTGCTGGTTAGTGTAGTGTCAGGTTCCAGGGATTTGCTGACTACCCAGTGCGGTGTTTGCTTTGCTTTGCTTTTTTCACAGAGTTCTTTCAGCGTATCGATTTGCTGACTCCAAAGAGAGTAGTGAAGTCACAACTAATCCCTGTGGGGTTTTGTATGTACGTCTTTCGTTCTATGTAAGCACTCTGATTTGTCGGGAAATTTTTGCGGACCGCCTGTTTTCCCCCAAACAACATACGATCGAAGAAATGATTCAACGACTGCAGATCACATCTCCTAAAAGCTAAAACCTGTTATTTCCATATGAACAGTTTTAATTTCATTGTTTCTCATTTCAGAGCATAATTACAAACCCGCCTTTACGATTGGTTTTCAGCATTGATTGCTTATTCTTCTTAGTGCCATAATAACAGTTCTGACTAAAGTATTACTTGATTATTGATTCTTACAGGGTGACACTTCGGTCATAATACATGTACATAAATTATTTGAGTTATTTCATGAGATGGCAAAAGGTGAAAGTGGTTGGGATTGGCTTTCTTTTCCTGATTGGCTTAGATATATTCTCCGGCCAATGTTGAATCCTCGAGACTCTTGAAATTACAAGCCACTGGCCAACCTCTGACGCGGGGTAAATGATTGTCTCTTCTTTTTTCGAAAAGGAATGCTTAATCGGGTAAGTGATATCGTGTCGAGCTGCACGGCGAGAACGAGCTCGCCGACCGCATTCAATCTCTGACCAGTCATATGGTGTCGTATTTTTTCGGTGTTCAATGTTGGACGAGAAGGAAATTTCGGGAAATTGCACGAGTTGTGGGTTCATAAATTTGCGAATTGTGACTAGTCTTCCTCGGACTTGATGGTTCTCTAGTAGGAACAGTGATGTATCCACGAAAATCAAAATATATTTATCCTATAGATGCGTAGATTCTGCGTCTTGAAAACTTTGTCGACCGCCTTTCCTAACAAACTTTTCAGTTCGTTGTCGTAGCTAGTGGCACTATCTGAATGGTTTTTCTTTTTCTTTTTTCCCGCCTAGCTAGCATCCCGTTTTTAACAACTTGTTAAGGAAACGGCCTATATTGTTATGGAAAGATCATAGCTGTTAGTATACGTGATAAAACTGAAGTTTTTAGTTTCCTAGGAACATAACGAGTCTTCGATACTCCTAGAGCTTGACTTCGAAGATAGAAAAAAATTTCTTTCTTCAATGAAAACTTATAGGAGGAACATTAACCTTCAAGCTATAACGACCATCTGTGCAGAGTGAAGTCCAGTGGAATTAGTCTAGACTATTTATTTACCGGCTCAGACTGCTCATGCATTCTATATGTCTGGACCGCTATATCTAACTGTATTACCTCCATAGAATTAATAGCATATGTTTCATTTTTTCGAAACATGCTTCAATTTCACCGAAGTCTATGCACTAATCATATAATGTACAAGAAATTCTCACACCCAAGAGCACTCATTTACAGGAGAGCCGCCTTGCACAGGTGAGGAGCACCGGAGTTATCGTTGTTTGGCTTAGTGCCAATACCGCAGAAGTTGAGGTACTGGTCATAGTAGACTCGGATAGGACCAGGGTTTGTGTTTCCCTTCTTCGAGTCCTTGGGGTAGTTCGACTTCTGGCCGATGACGATAGGAAATTCATAGACGGTGTGGCCCTTCTTATTGCACGGCTTCGCAAACTGGAGGCCGCCCTTGTTTTCGAATACCTTCGGGTAGCCGCTGAGAGTGCCTCCGTTGGTGGCTCCGGCGTATTTGGCGCTTTCCATGGCCTTCTTCTTGGAAATGTCGGCGATCAAAGCACCGGAGTTGTTGGTCTTGGCCTTGTCTGTGGACTTTTTACAGTGGTATGACTGGATTCAAAAGTACGTTAGCAATGTGGAGGGTAGCATATCAAACGCCCAGCTAGGCTTTATCTAATATACTTACGGTGTCGAGGAGTGTGCTAGACACCTCAAGAGGAGTAGTGTCAGCCTGGGCGACATCTGCCTCAGTGATCTCAGAGTCAATTGGAGCTGCGATGGCGCTGGCAGCAAAGGCAAGGAAAAGAAGGGATTTGACGTTGACCATGTTGGGCTAAAGGACAGGATATTTTTGTTGAATCAAAAATTAAAGGAAGTGAAATATTTTGGTAATGAATGAGTGACTGATCTTTGATTCTTGTGATTTGATTATGTCTACTGCAATATCATGGTGGTGATCCAGCAGTACTTATACCCATCTGGCCATGCAAACCTCATCTTCAATGTTTCATGCATAGTGGGTCGCTGTCAGATGCCTCCATATAACTGTCAAAATGTAGTTTCATGTTTAGTCAATGTCACCACGTTGGTCATAGGGAGGTAGATTGAGATCCGATCATCCTGTTGGTAAACGAAATGCCGGGAAAGTCGGACAGGAATGCCGACGCTACATTTTCGCTAAAGCCTTTTTGTTTTTCTTTTATGTCGAATAAAATTATAGCGAATTACTCTCAAGGCCCTTGCGTTAGTTACATATTGCTGACTGGCCTCCTTGAGGCCTTTAGATGTTGGTGCAACCTGGGGGCGCCGATCAAAAAATTTACCGGGGCAGCTCGTCTAAGTACATCGATTTGGGGCGCTCCCCCACAATCTGAAACCACATACGACCAGCGAGATGCTTGGCTTTCTAGCGCAGTCTATTTTTAAAGCGGCTCCGCTGGGCTGAAATTTTTGCCTCATTCTGAGGCAGCTCACCTTAAGGAATTCTAGTATATCAATAAAAAAAGAAGGGAAAATAGCAAATCAGGAAATCAACGCTTTAGAATAATACTAAAGATACCGTTTACGAATAAAAAACCAGCCGAAATTGAGCAAAGGGGGGAAAATGGCCAACACATCGTTGAGACTTAGTTTGGAAGACGACGATCCTACATCATCCCAACAAAAGATCTTTGACATTCTCAATGAGGTCCTACAACCTGATAGCATCACAAGTCTTGAAGATGCTGCCAAAAGACTCGATAACCTTCATCCAGATCGTCGGCCTACTGAGTCTGAACAAGAAGATCCCAGTAACTTCATTTACGTCTTCTTCCAGCCTTTTCATACGGTTGCAAAACAGATCCCAAATACACATCCTTCGCAAGACAAATTGGCTGCACTCGTGAATACTATTCAAAACCTGCCGTCTAGACCGATACATGTTAATGGATGGGGGGATTTTGAGTTGTGGAGTAGCTTGCCTTTATTTGGTGAGACCTTCAGTGACGCGTATGATGTGAGTCTCGGCCTCAGCCTACCTTTTATCGGCTGGAAACATCTGAACAATTTCTGACGACTTCCGCAGAGCGATCGTTCCAAATCCTTTGACCCTGAGGTCAAGACACAACGAAACTTGAACTTTCAGAGCTATGGGGCACGATTGATGGGCAACGGCACTATACCGAACGATAGATATTGCATTTGGGCTCTGGCCGATGCATTGGAGGGTCGATATGACAACGGCAAAGGTCGTAACCGCCAAATTCTCACTAGTCCCGCGGCTGATCCAGAAGTCGACTCTCGTATTGCTGTTGCAACTGAGTGGATTTTGCATGCTGGGCATGTTTTCTATCGTAGTGGCCCCACGGTGGGTGGTGATTACCACGGGCCGCTTGTAAAGGGACCAGGAAAAGTGGCATTCAGCTCCCAGCGATGGCAGCTGTGGAAGGACCGACTTGTTGAATTTGCAAACTGTGACGAACTGAATGCAGACACAAGAAAGAAGGCCCAGGTAGCTGCTCTCAAGATGGAGGAGATCGAAAAGGCTTCATGTGAGCAGGCATAGAGGTACATAAAGAATAATGTATATTATATTTTGTATCAATTAGAAGAGATCAGCCCTTATGATAAAACATAGAACGCGAAGAATAGAAATTAAGGATTGCTCGGAAGCCACATCTTGTTCTGTATGGTAGTCGGAACTGAAAATTAAGCTGTCAGAGTAACCTTATAACTACAAGGTGAGTTTGAGTTAAAGGTTCGTAATAGGTCATGGAGAGAGGAAGGTAAGAAAGGTGCTTTTTGCAGTCATTTAATAGTTCTTGACGTGATTCAGTGTCTAATAGAACGAGGTTTTGTTTTACGCCAGTGCAGACTTTGAATCAGGCTCCGGGGGCACACGGTATGAATAAAGTGCGGAAACATCATTTTGTGATCGACAATGACAATTTAAATAAACGTTGTTATTATTCCAATGCATGCTAGCTTGCTGAAGCATTCTCCCATAGTGATTTTAGATTTCAGACAACACCGGATGTCCGGTCAAATTTCAGTGCTGACGTATCGCTAAGCCTATTGATTCTCTCGTTTAATTCTCTCGTTTACTTGTGAGTCCAGAATACTCCATTCAATTGTCAACACATGTCTTTTAGCTCTGGGATACGCCACGAGGGAAGGCAAGAATGCCCACACTACACCTTCTCCTGGACGGAGTTGATGTCCTGGGGACGGTATAGCGGGCTTTTAATTGATGGAACCTAGAAAAAGGCAGGAGAGAAACTAAACTTAACAGAACCGAGCGCATTAGTGCATACCATATACAACCCAAATGTTCAATAGAGCAAAGTTTGCTTCGTGAAATCCGAACTTCCATTTTCACCAACTATGGCTTTCAATTGAACAAGGCGGTTCAGTGTACTCGTGCGATTCATGTATCAAGCTCTTATGTTTTACTAGTCTTCTTCTTCCAAACCGAAAACCTGACCTTGATGACCCGCCATTTCACTGGCAGCTATGGCCGAAGATCGTTCTTATCTTTGACTAGAGGCATGGACTATTCCCCGCGGTGACGACCGCCAGCACTTCACAACGATTGCGACTTCGCGCCATTGGTTTTATCCGCCGGCATTTACAATGCCGATGAACATGGGGAAATCTGGTTAGCTTGATCGGTCGTCAGCGCCCGCAAGTTGTTTCTTATTCTCTCACATTCACGACCTGTAGAATGGAACCCTTGAATGGCCGACATAGTGCATTATAAGAAAATATTAGTGAAATAAAATTTCCACATGAGAAAAGTCAGCTTCTTCACAAGTTCATTCTATCAAGTAAATCCGGCTCAATTGCAACAGATTGAGATATTCCTTTTACCACCCCGAAGCGCAACAATTATGGTGATGGATCTACAAACTATTCAAGAGCAACAAAGCAAACATTTCAACGTCGGACGATGACATCACAACCAAGAATGAAAAGGGCCTGAAAATCCACCCGTAGATAATAAAACTGGTCGTTGTGGCCTAGTCAGAACGAAATCAATGATACGATGCACATCTATTATTGTAGTGACTTGTCTACTGTGTAAATAGATTGTTCCGAACTAGTTACTATTATTCTACTGTTTTTAATTCTATTAGGAAACTCGTTGGTCAGCATGAAGTAGTGTTAGGGTAACCCTTAAGCCAGCTCAAGTCAACGTAACCCTAAAAATCCTTCGTCTTTAACATCAAGATGGCAGCCGAAGAGGTTTTCAATGGCTTGAAATAAGATGCTAGCCATATAGGAAAAGAATATTGATATCCTCTTAGCTATGAATAACCGGCCGTAAGAAATGTCACTTAGGCGGTAACTGACCAAACTCTACGAAATAAAAACAGTCAAAGTAAATTAGATCCAAGACCGTTACTATTCGGTTTTGGCCCCAGAAACGACCACACCAAGGCCCAAGCAAGACCGAGGCTTTCTTGGTTAGTTCGACTTAGTAGTGTAAATGAAACCGAGCTTCTACTGTAACGCTGACAAGCCACATCAGGCTCTGCTATTATTTTATTGTTCCGTAAGGCGGCCAATCCACGTGGATGGCGCACGACAAATATTTCGAATAACTGGTATTTCTGCTAGGATTTATTTTAGCAGCTTCAATAGGCCTATGGGTATGCTCATTAATTCAGAGAATCCAACAAGTAGGAGAGGTGTATACCGTTGACAAAAGCTGCGCAAACGAAAATATTGACATCTAGAATAATGCCCTTCTAGATCACACTAAGGAGTAGGGAATACGTTGGAACATCAGACTAATAGCTACTACGCCTAGAAACTTTAGTCTTCGAGCTGCCGCTTTTCTAGATTTTAGTTTAAATTTGCCTTACTATAATTTTGGATCTTGAATTCGTACTATGACTAGCCATGCTTTGAGGCTAGCTCTTACAATTAAGATGAACAATCCTTTTACTCTTAAATATGCGATGAGGGATAGAGCTATTATATACAAAAGGGTATTACCTCGTAACCTTTGTAACGTTGACTGTCCTTTTCTCAAAACTTCTACCCTCTCTTGCAAAATCCAACTTGCCTTTCTTTCATTTCACATCTTAAGAAATAGTTCCAATCTGCCGTTCTTTCCATGCTGAATAATAAAGCCACAAGCGAATCTTGAATACCACATAACGGAACCAAGATATCAATCGTTTAGAATCAGGAACACATCAAAATGAGGAAATTCACCGTGGTTTCCCTTTTATCACTAACCACCAGCACATTCGCTGTTCCCTTGGCTGGTGCTGGTGTCAGATTTTCTGGACCATATCCCACAAAAGCAATCATTAACCGCGACCAACCTAAAGGAACGGCCATCGGAGGAGCAATGAGTACATTTACTGGCGTCCCCAAGGCTATTTTCGCCTCAGCAAACAACACCACCACAACCACTACTATCACCACCACATCAGGCTCTTATCCGCCTGAATTTGTGACCATTACCGTCATCAACTCCTACGGAAGCGATATTACAACATCTCACTCAATTGCCACTGGTGCACCGACGCCAATCAGTGGCGATGTAAGCACAGGCACGATGACAAACGGCGAGACAGCTGCTTTTGCTGTCCCCACGGGCTGGATTGGAAATATCGCTGTCAACGATGCAAAGTACGCGACTAGCGGAGACGACAGTTTAATTGAAGCGAACTTTGTTATACCATATATGGGGACTGTTGCTGTTGTGGATGTCGACATCAGCTATGTGTAAGTCTCATTACCGAAATATGAAACCTCCAAATGGTCCTATTCGATACTAACGTGATGATAATGTTAGCGATGGCTTTTCAGTACCTATCGTGTGTTCTTGCAACGATGTCGTTGTCACAGGCTGCACCCTCGACCTTTTCTCCTTGAGCACATGCCCAGTAAGCTGACCCATTCCGAATAGCAAGAATATGGATCTAACAAGTATATAGAACAATGACGGCCAGAATGCCTGCGTGAACCCACTCCGGGCTGATAATCTTGCCACCTCAGCTTCAGACTTCTTCGCACCCTGCGCTGGCATGGCTTACACTTTCCCCAACGACTCTGCTGCTAACAGCATGGGTGCGTGCCAGACCGGTCAGATTACTTGTTGCATCGGGACCGACTGCCCTGCGAATCCAAAACAAGGATAGACATTCTCCGCCAGATAGCAACCAAAAAGAGCAGAAACGTGTGGAAGACTTCAGAAGTCGTTCACGCGACAATATAACTTAGATATTAGATCGCAGTACAGGCTGTAACGAGATTTATTAGTCAAAGAGACCTTATTAATTCAATACATATTATATATCATTAGAGACAGTCGATGCTACTTCGTAATTGGCTAGCTTCAAATGTCAATTGTTGGCCTGAATCTAAAAGCTTGCCTCATTCCCGAATAGGATGGTGCATGGCTGACCCTTATCATCGCCGATATTTCCTCCGAGTGGCGCAATAAGTGCGTGAGATATGAGACGCGGTTAGCCAATTGCAACATCATGTTACCCCGCGCGATCAATGCGTCTCGTGAAGATTCAAGCAGTCACTCTGGCCTTCTTCACAATGGCTTCAAGCTATAATTTCCCTAGTTATCGATAACCTTGGCGAAGAATTTCATGTGGCCGAACTGTTTGAGCTATCATAACCCTAAACTGACCCTTTTGGTCCAGTCAACACCATTATCACTTATCAGATAAGCCGTTCCGAGAATTCCGCACAGGCTCTTGATATCATAAGCATTGCAGAACGCACGTAAAATGGCACCAGCAAAAATATTCACGAAGACAACTACCACAAAGGTGTCCTCTATCCTCGATCTACCCGTTGACAACCGTAACGACCTGTCCCTCACCCGTCTCAACCAACTGCTTTACATACCCGAAACTGGTATATGGGCCCCCGGAAAGAAAGCCACTCCGATATTCGACTTTTCTTCGCGATTTAACCGATCAGTCAACAGCTGGTTTACCGCTGATTATGTCGGGTTTAACGAGGATGTCATGACGCAGGCGAAAAAGACAGCCGCGGCGGTTATTTCCTCTGACGATGTCTCATCACCATCCCCGGACCCATCGATTATTTTCAAACTATCGAGAACTCATTGGTACAATGACTCGAAACTCATTGTTACCAAGCCTGGTCACGTACACCGGACCGAAGATGACGAAGTCGACGCGCCGATAGCCGGTAACGAAGGTAGGAATGATACCGGTAGTGGCAGCAGTGGATCGCCAATCCTGGCAGAGTACTCCTCACCTCTGCTTGCGTACGGCGTAACGCATATCTCGTTTCCAGAAGATTCGCTACATTCAGCTCATGCAATTAAGATACGTCCACTAAATGCAACTCGGCGTAGCCAGAGTTTCGTGCAGGACTCCGTTACCTATGCGTGGGACATGAATAAGAAGCTCTTTCCTGGTGGCGGAGGCGTTCTGAGTTTGTATAAAGGGATTGGTGCGACTAAGAAAGTTGAAATTGGTAGGTATCAAAGCGACAATGGCAAATTTGTACCAGGTGGGATGCTCGTCATTGACTCTGACGAGGTGGACGTGCTGGTAGCGGTTTTGACACTTCTGGCTGTGTTGGGACAGAGAGATAGTTTTTCCTTTCCCACTGGGACACATGTTCCTTGAATGATTCCATTTCTTGGTCAATGCATATTTTGTATATTGAAAATATAAGAAATTAAATGACAGACTACATGACAGAGTCAGGCATATGAGATTGAGAAGGTGGAAAGAAATGGAAAGAAAGAAACCGCGTTAACGCGGAATAAAGAAACCATTTACAGTAATATTCCTGTCCCTGAAAATGTCTGTTTGTACCCTGATTCCAATTCGATGAAAGGGAATTTGTCCAACAGCGCGTTGCCCTGCCAGTCGCGCATTTGCGTAACCATCCTTGGTCTTATCAAGGAAACTGCGAGAAGAGGTATCGAGCAAGTCACCAGACCTCTGACTTGCTATAGAAGACGGTGTTTCGGGGCCCCAAGCGGGATGATCCAGGGTACTGTGGGTGAGTTCGATATCACAAGCTTCGAGGACTAGGAGTTCTTCCAACCCAGTCTGATGAGTGTCATGGCTTGAGATTGAGTCTGCAGGGCGGATAAAGCCCATGATGCGGATTCGAAGTTCTGCTGTGGGTGGAATATCAATCTCATCGATGAACCGAACTGAAGCATTGACACGGAGCGATTTCTGAGATCGTACATTTGCTACTTTTTCTTGTAGAACGATGCTGGATGCGAAAATGATACATCGTTGCCATGTGAAAGCATCGCTATTCATATCACCTATCGCGTACCCATTTTGCCCCGCGGAGGATAATTTGGCCCAGCCGAAATAATGGCCGTGAAGTCTCTGTAGGATATGGGACGGCACTCCTACAAGCGGGATCCTATGCAGTCCGGTAGTATCAACATTCGGAGGTCCACCTGAAACATCAATTCGGGCCACAAAGTTAATTGGATAGGGTGAGACAGGTCCCGACTCAATATCAATTTCCACACCTCCAAGTCGCGTGTATGCTAAGCCTTCTGTCTGAATGTAGCTAGTGTTGGCGTCCTCGATGTTGGAATTCACCCGATCTTCAAAGCCACTGACCGAGTATGCGGTTTGCGCAGCTGCTTGGGTTTTGGAAGACGGCATAATACCTTGAGTTGCGGTCTGTATTTGAGACGTCACAGGGGTGACTACCTTTGCCGCTGTGTTGCGAAGATACAAACTTCCAGCCCAGGCCCCCAGCTCCAACGGTAAAGTGCTCAAACTGGCACCACGTAATGACGACGGGTCTGATGAGGTCGAAACCACCCGAAAGACGGGACTAGTACATAGAGGCTTCCTTTTATTGTCACCCTGACATAATACAAACTGATAATAGGCATCGGTAGCCTCAACAGGGATGCGAATAATGGCTGTTTCGCGTAGTATATGACGCGATTGAGAAGAGCTTGTTGCTTTCTTCTTAAATCGCTTGATATCTCTCTGCCAGGCTCGTTCATCACTTGCGGTTACCTGATCGGACTGGATTGCCATTCCAGGTGTGACATTAAGCCAACTATCGTTCAACCCAAAGAGGGCTTTGGCACGCATTCCGGTCTTTCCAGTCCATCCTTTGCATTGCATCCAAATTGTTCGGTCTAGCGGCAGTGGCTCATCGGCAAAAATAGAAATGGCTAGAAAGGTGTTGCTTCCCTGATAGAATACAATGCCATGAGAGTGGCGTAATATGCTATAGTGCTTGGTGCTGACACTTGGATGCGCGACCAATCCTCCGACAAAATGCTTTGCCTCCTCCAGAGCCTTTTGAGCGTGATCTGCTGTTGTCTTCTTCCAGTTGGATGATTGCACCGGGCTAGTTTCCTCCGGCGTAGGAGAAGCTGAATTAAGCTTCGTTGAGGTCGAAGAGCTGCTGAGGGCATCAGGACTGGCTACCAGACCATAATCAGCATGAGCTCTAGGAAGCGACGCCGTTTGCAATGATACATTAACGGGTCGCGGTCGATCTTTCTCTAGAGCCTGGACCTCAAGTATCTGCTGTTCTAGTGCTTCATCCTGTGCCTTTGTCGTTGTGACGGGATCGTCTACAGTGCCGCCATGAGGATTATTCCCACGGTTTTTAATTGGTTTGCGGCGGATCTGGAACTGCACAGTCTCGCTGTAGGGCGGAGGCAAGCCCCTTACTCGTGCCTTGTCTGGCGACTGAGATGCCATCCTATTCCTAACCGCGATAGCTCATGCCGGATAAAAACGAAGCTCTATTTCCCAAAGCCGAAGCTCAAACGATGCAAGCTTCAAGTTCTCTGATCTCCGACCCGCCACCTCCGAGAAATAGGATGCGGTCCGCGCTCCGATTGGTCACCAAGTGGTTGTCTTGGCAAACGCCTCCACACCGTTCGACGCTATAACATTTATTTTATTTATTTGTTTGGTTGTTTGGTTGTTTCTTTATTACCGATATGGAAGACTAAATTCTCAGTTCCCTATTCTATTTACCATTTCTCAAGCCTAATTGTGAGCATCATATCCACAGATCTAAGAAGATCCCTCAACTACCCGCGCAACAGTCTCCTCAACACTTTCAAGCTTGAGGCCCAACAAATCATTCGCCAACTCCTCATCCTTTGCATAGTTCGCACGGAGACCCTCCTTATTGCTGAAGCTTGTGGCGCGTACTAATATCAGAGCGCCGCTGAAGTCCCCTTTGCCTAATTTCTCAACACCCTCGCTGACTTGTTCGTCAGTTGTAGTGTTGGCGACGGTCCACTTGGAAGTAGTGGCTTCTTCCAGAGCTTGGAGAATCTGTTTCTGCGTAGTTTCAACAGATGAGATGTAAAGGTTCTTATTGGCAGTTTTCTCTGGACGCTCGAGAACAGCTACGACGGCACGTTTGAGCTGATCTTCGTTGGTCAAAGTGAAGGCCTTGTTGCCGCCGTCCCAAATTGTAGCTGTACGTGCTGAGAGGTCATATCCGAGGAACCCGTTTTCTAGGGCCTGTGCTTTTGCATGAGACCTTTCTCTTCTGTTTGTTCAAGGGTTTGTAATCTTTACTTACCCAATCGAATAGCAATGCGGTCCAGATCCCGGTCCACGTCAAGCCCGAACCCTCCTTCGCCTTCAAATAATCCAGGACTTCCTTTTTCTGTTCAAAAACAGGCAAAAGCTGCAGAACAGTCGGACTGAGAGTATTTGCCGAGAACTCAGAGGGAATGAATCTTTTCACGCCCGCAGAGATAGCAGCATCAATGAATTTCTTTTGCTCGGTGAAGCCACCCAACCCCACGACACAAATGACCGTATCCTGGCCCTTGAATGCAGACACCAAGTCGGCCTCGGAGAAGTCGGATTTGCGAACGGTCACTCCAGCTGGGAAGGTCCTGTCACTGGACTCACGAGTAAGAGCGGTTACGTGAAATTGGGGAGCATGGACGAGAGCATCGAAAACGATTTTGCCAATGCTTCCGCTGGCCTAGATTACCACAAAAAGTCAGGTATAATCTATAATACGTATGGGAGATAGGTAAGATATACTCCAATGACCGCGATGTTTTTTAGCTGAGATGCCATTGTGATGAGAGTTAAACAATACAATCCTAGCTTTCAATCAGTGTTCGAGAAGATGTAGCGAGGAGGATGCCGGTTCTTGAGACGTGTTGATAGAATACAATAACCAGGGGTTTTTATATCCTGAAGGCCCTTTCTTGTATTATATTTCTCTTCCTCCTGTATAGCGACTTTCTCATTCTCTATCACCACATTTTGGTATCTAGTATTTAGTAATCGAATACTCAGCTTTGATTGGCTGGAGCGGCATCGCGGAGACAGGTCCGCTCCCAACCTGACAAATTCTTTGCTTTCTCCTCTTAGGAATCAACCAAGGAATCTGTATTGCGTTATTTGTTGCTATTTGCATTTCTAATCTCTGATCCATACTTACTCTCGACAGTTACTTTGAACACTTCCTCTACCGTTGCGAACTACATCTAGTCTCTTGTCATATGCGGACCTCCCTCCGCCGTCTCCGCTCCCGCCAATCGGCGCCAGCCCGCCTCCTGCGATCCCTCGTCTCTGGCTTCCTCTCCGCTTGTTAACCACGCACAGGCAATGCTCAACATGCCTTCTCATTCGCCATCAGGAGGGAGAGCGGCGCGCGGGAGATCGTGTCTGGAATGTAGGCGACGCAAAATTGGATGCGATCGGTCGCATCCTTGCTCGTACTGTGTGAAGAATAAAATCCAATGTACCTATCCTGAGCTTTCGGGGGGACCTTCGTGCACGGACGCAACATATAAGACCGAGATTCTACGACGGCGAGTTGATGGCATTGATGAGCGATTGGGTCTCCTCGAACAATCCATGAACGAGATCAAAATACTTTTAATGGAGAGAAATACTCCTGTGCTGGGTGGCTCGACAGATTCACGGCGGACAGTATCTAGAGCAGTTGCCAATCATGAGAATGATATGGCAAGCCAGCCGATACATTCATCAATGACCATCGACTCCGCCCTAGAAGAGGCAGATATATTCTCTCCCACCACTCTAGTTTCCATGTGGCAGACATATTTGGAAAGAGTAGACCCGTTGATCAAGTTATTCCACGCGCCGTCTATGCAAAAGATCGTCATGCAAACATTCAAAGACTTGGAGGCCTCGAGCCCCACCACAGTGTGTTTGACCTATGCAATTGTCTATGCCGCAGTCATGAGTATGTCACCAACAGAGTGCACTTCGGAGCTTCACAATAGCAAGGGAGTATTACTGGAAGGGTTAGTCCGGCCTGTCCGTACACAAAGATAAAATTTACTTATATACAGCAAGTTGTCGAACCAAAGTAGACCAGTCTCTATCTAGGGTTGATGTTTTGAATACAAGGAACATGCATGTCCTACAAGCACTTGTGTTGTACTTGGTAGGTGGATAGCCCATTAAGAATTTTAAAAATCTTTTTATAACTAACATACAAAGATTTGTGGCCGCCTAGATCCAAAAGGGCCTAATGTTCACGGTCTCATTGGAATGGCGATTGGAATAAGTATTAAATTGCATCTCAATCGCGACGGCGATGCGGGAAGTATCCCGCCATTCGAAATCGAAATGCGTCGACGGCTTTGGTGGCATGTTCTCACTCTCGATGTTCTAACTGCTCAAGATAAGACCACAGATCCGTGTATTCTGGGAAGCTCGTTTAACACAAGAATCCCGTCCAATGTTTCCGACAATCGACTGGACCCAGATATGAGTAAGGAACCGATAGACAGGCCGGACGACACAGAAATGATATTCACTCTAGCGAGATTTGCCATTACCTTTTACTCTCGGCAGTTTATGTTCTCGAGTCAATTCTGTCGCGAGAACTCCTATGCGATATTGTCCTTGGCAGAGAAACGTGATGCAATTCGCATGCTGGAAAAACAAATCGAAGATGAATATTTACAGTATCTCGATGAGTCAATACCATTGCAAAAAGTCGCATTGTTAGGCACAAGGCTCAATTTGTTGAGGCTCAAGCTTTCTACAAATGATCAACCGCCGAATAAAGCTGGACCTAGATATGACGACAGTTCCATCCAGGATTACACAAGATACATAAAAGATATCACTGCTATGAATAATTATGAAAGGGGTATTGGTTTTATGTGGATTTTCGAAGATTTACTGAACTATCCTCTGTAACTCGAGCGATATTAGGATAGTATGGCATGAATGCATGAATCTTAGCTCATTGTGGCAAGGGCGGCAATCATGCCTCTACAAGCGCATGTTAAGATAGCATGCCAAATTGCATCCTTTCATGCCGATTTATTTTTGTTCAACATCGCAGGCTTATGATAGGAAAGCCGTGCGCCTTGACTAAGTAAATTCCGGGCCAACATCTAGCACATCGGCGAAAATACTGTGCAACCTTGACTGGAGATTTTTAATTATATCCATAGAGCGGCTTTCATAGTTGGTGATTATCATTCGCTGATACTTGGGGCACAGAGATGTCTTCAAAGCGTGGTGCAGTAGCTCTAGAGTGTAGTAGCCCAGGCGCATACGTATTTGAGGAAAGAGATAGTCCCACAAAAATTCCCTTTCTTTCCATCTTTTTTTGAGATTCTGCACAGCTCCAACGTTGGGCACTCCGTAGACACGTTAGAGTCAACATTTGTTTGTAACTCAACAATGAAAAATTCTAGTGAAGAAAGAACAAGTGATGGGCGTGTTCGGAATTTCTATCTAGGCAAATGATGAAGCTAGATGATTAGCATTACAGACATTTCAAGGTCGATATCGTAAGAACGCGGATCTCCATAATCACAGCAAGCCTGACCACAATGCATGATAGAACGCAAGGAAAAGGGGGAATGACCATAGAAAAACAGCCAACCACGGAAGTCTAGCTGAGCATGCGCCGAGAGCCGCGTAATCGGAGAAAACACAAGCGGAGGCAGGTGTAACAGTAGCAGCGCATTCTCTCGCTAAGAAAAACCAAGCTTTTTTTAACTCTCAATCATCACCAATAATCTTGCCATTCGCTCTGGTGACCCCTGGTTGCCGGTGTCACGAGATCGGCACCCCCAGTAGCCATCGATCGTGTCAGCTCGACTCGTTCACTGGCCGAGGGCTGAAGATAGTTTAGAGAGAGCGCCACATGCAACCTCTACGCGGGTCGGCCAATACAATTTCAGACTACAGCATCAGTACCTAAGTTAATAGCTATTATTCTATGCCAGAATGGGTTAATAAGGCCGTCTGTTCAGTAACATGTCTGACAGTTGAGATCCACGATCTGCTCTCCTTTAAATAAGAGGCCGCAAAGCTTGTCTTTAAAAGGGCAGGTTACCCAGCAAGGTCCCCAAGACTGCCCAGCAGTGTACTAGTGCCTTAGATTAGGTAAAACACACAGCAGGATGAGAACTTCCGTGGCGCTCCCAGCCCTAATCGCGGCTGGCGCTATTGCAGGCCAGCCCCCCGAATCGTCCCTAGCTACCCGCGATTTGGCTTCGGAGATTTGGGACGAAATCAAAAACGCCGCTACCTGCGCTGGCTGTCAGGTGAATATTTTCCGATATTTTCTTTCGCTGTCGTGACCATGCAGTTGACGAAAATTCTGTTTTATACAGGTCATTTTGGCAGCATTGAAAGGTGTTGCCGACCTCGGGACGACACTCTTGGTCGATACGCTGACGGAAGTCTGTAAAATCAGCGGGGTAAGCTTTATTATGCGATGAAAATTATTAATCATCATAGTTAGTCGGTCTCTAACCTCAAACCCGGGGCGTATAGGCAGAAGACGATGATGTCTGCGAAGGAATTATCTCTCGCGAGGGCCCAGTGCTCCAGTACATCTTGACCCAGCTATCTCTAGGCTCAGAAACATCCGATGTGCTCTGCACCAGCGCATTCGGTCTCTGCTCATACCCGCCAGTACGCAACTATACTCTCACATTTCCATCCCCGAAACCCGATAATCTTTCGCGCCCGTCATCTAGCGGCAAGTCCCCAATCCAAGTGGTGCACTTTAGCGATACCCATGTCGATCTGTCCTACGAGACTGGGTCGAACTGGAACTGTACGAAGCCAATTTGCTGCCGTTCATATGAATCTTCAGATGCACCAGGGAACACGACTACCCCATGTGGGCCGTATGGAAATACGAAATGCGATGCGCCACTTAGCCTAGAGCAGAGTATGTTCGATTCTATCAAGGCAATGGAACCAGCTCCAGCGTTTTCCATCTACACTGGAGATGTCGTAGCACACGACATCTGGCTGGTTGACGAAGATGAGGTCTTGACTAATTTGAATGCCACATACAGCTTGATGACAGAAGTTGGAAAGGTGTTTGCGGCTATCGGAAACCATGACTCTGCTCCAGTCAATGACCTGCCTACGACACAAGTCCCCAGTGACTACAATTCCAACTGGACATACCAAGCGCTGGCCCAGAATTTCACTACTCTAACCGGTGACTCGTCTGTATTGTCTGTAGCCGATCAATACGGATCGTATTCATCTGTCTTCACTGGCAGTTATGGCACCGATCTCAAAGTCATCTCGTATAACAGCATCTTTTATTACGTCGACAACTTTTATGCTTTTCTTGACCCAATGCCCTACGACCCAGATGGACAGCTAGCCTGGCTCATTGATGAGCTCCAAGCATCTGAAACGGCAGGGCAGCGTGTCTGGCTGATTGCGCACGTTCCGACCGGCACATCTGATCACTTCCATGATTATTCGCACTATTTCGATCAAATTGTACAACGTTATGACGCCACAATTGCTGCTCTATTTTTTGGTCATACTCACACCGATCAATTTCAACTTTCGTACTCAGATTATACCAATCAGAATGCCGAAACTGCCTCCGAAGTTGGATACATTATGCCATCTCTTACGCCAACATCAGGCCCGCCCGCATATCGTGTATACGATATTGACCCAGTAACTTTCGGCGTTCTCGATTTCACCGTGTATATTGCTAATATCAGTGACCCCACATATCAAAATAGCCCGACGTGGGCTAAATATTACTCTGCTAAGGAGACTTATGGCTCTTTACTATCTCCACCGGTCACTGACCCTGCCGCAGAATTGACGCCTGCATTCTGGCACAACGTCACAGCCATTTTTGAAACAGATGACGACGCTTTCCAAGGCTACTATGCTCGCCAAACTAGAGGATACGATGTTTCAAATTGCACTGATGCCACTTGCAAAAATCAAACAATCTGCGGTATTCGTGCTGCAGATGCTCAATACAACTGTGTTGTTCCCAAGATCGGCTTTAACTTTGCCAAACGGGATGGAACCGACCAGGCTCATGTAAAGCCGCAGAAGGAAAAGTGTGATGACGCTGGGCTAGTTTCGTTACTCGGCAAAATGATTGCAAATGGTAAGAATTAATCTAGTAGGCAATACCACTGTCTAGTTTTACATAGTGTGCATTTCTTGTGCTTCAAACGAAACCCATGATACTGAAATTAATGAATGCGTTTCTCGGCCTGTCTATATTTTGAAAAAGGGGTCAACGGAAAAGGTTCAAGCACGTGAATGTTTTTGAATAGGATTTACTAATTCATGACCAAAATAGCACCTAGAGCTGCATGGCCGTTGTATTTCCAAGGTTGCATGACCAGGGGTGACGGCTTGCTGAGCTTGGTCGCATCCATTGCCCAAGTCAAATGGTGCCTCCAAGTCTCATCTAAAGCATTAAAAATTGCATAGATAACCACTATGGCCCAGTCCTTCATCCACCATACAGATTGACCCGGTCCACGATGAAGCAATACACAGTAATAACCTAGAATGACCAGCGCGAGAGGTTTACGGTTCTGTAGCAAGAGAGTATATGGAGTGGATCTCGTCAACCAGCGCAATGCAAGAGCCCACTCTTCGGGATTCGAGGCCACATGGTACGATATAAGGTGGAGTATTGTTATAGCTTCTGAGTAGATTTCTCGCTCTACTAAGGAATTTGTTGTTGTGTCGTTGTTTAGGTTATGTAGTCGTTTCATGGCTGACGAGATCTCAGGGATAACGCCCGAGTTGTCGATACGTAGTGTTTCTTCCTCCAGCTCGGCTATGTCCATTTCCTTCTTGACCTGGGTGTACATCTCCGCCTTTTGTGGATTCCATGTCTCGTAAAAGGATAGAGGGAAAGAAAACCACAAAGATGTAACGCGTCGAATAAACAATATCATCTGCAAAAACCGATCGATCTCGTCTTGCCCCTTTTGCTGATGTGGACCAGAGACAAGATTGCCCATAAACCCCAGCTCACAGATTATAGTCATACCCGAAAAAGTAAAAATTGGATCCATGTTATCCGAATTTAGAATTCTCTCTGCAGTGCGGAACCGGGATGCACCTTTACCAAGGTATTTGACGGCCATGTTGTGATATTTGATGCGAGATAATGGGTCACCAGACGAAGACGCACTGTGTAAATGATTAATATGAAGGGCAGAAATACAAAGAAGCGCATATACAACATAATCACAAGACTGAACATAGGTTGGAACTAAGTTAAGTATGCGACGTTCCATTGGACCTTTTGATGACATGCTTCCAGATGTAATGGTGAAGAAATGGTTTAGGAGCTCCAGGTCATCTTGGTCTAGATAGGGATGGTTGATTGGAAATAACACCTTGATATTAGGTATCGGCGCGTATACGCAAACATCTCGACTCTTCACATAAGCCTCACTATGTCCGGAATTGCTAGCTCGCTTGCGGCGTCTATTGGTAGGACGGCGTTGAGTGTTGCTGTATATCGCTGCACCGGCTGATCGGCGATCAAATTTGATTGATAGCTCTGGTTCCGAGGCAAGCGTTCTTGTATCTAGATTTACGCTCGTCGAGGAGTATTCTGTTGTAAAATAGTCCAGATAGTCGCACCTGATGCCTAGCTTCGTGCAAGGTCCACAGGATTGTTTTCGCTCGTCGCACTATTTCACCCATGTCAGTTGAATTGAGGCGCATTGATTGGGATATAAATCTAGAATTTGATCTTTACCTTTACCTTTCTAGCCTTACATTTTGCACAGCCGTGATGTGAATTTGTATGGCTTCTTCGCGAACCAGAGGCCATCATTATACCCCAGCTACTAAACTATCGCTGCTCGGTCGGACAATTTAGGCTGCAGCAATAATGTCAAAAGCACGCGAGCTCGAAAATGGAGTAGTCTGAGCCCCGTTCGCACACCATTTGAGCCTCGTTGGTTTCCTTGACTGCATCTGGAATTTCGCTCGGGGTGATACAGCGAAAACTAGGGGGGAAAATACAAACAAGACTGCGACAATTGATGATTTTCGGCGTCCCGCGACTCGGCCAGAATCACGGGATGAACTTGTCGTAAACGTTTCCTGATACAGTAACGTTTCTTCCAGCTAAACTTTTTTTGGCAATTCTTCAGCTATATGGGACGGGAGCCTAAAACGGAAAGCTAAATGATGTACCCGTTAACGAGAGCGATTTGGCCTATGTTGGTTTGGGCGACGTAGTACAGCGTATCGGATATTTATTAGTGTCACTAGCATGGTATATACGCGTAGAATGGTCTTCTCATATCCGACGTTGGCGATATTTACATTACTAACTGAATTCCTTCAGTTGTTCCTCTCATATATATTGGAAGTTATAGAACTGGACTACTACACTGGATATTGATGCGGTATCTGGAGCAATATGACCCATACAGAAGAAGGTAATACAAACACTCTCGAGGAAGAGAAATTGGGGTTTCCGTCACAAATCAATGCAGATAGAAAGTAGCGTTATGGATAAACAGCAAAATGATGATGAGTACTATCACAAATATGTCCACGGCGCAAGGCTTATCGCTATCCTAGCCCCAACTACTCTTGTCTATTTCTTGGTGATGCTCGATAGTGCTATTATCTCTACATCCATTCCGCAGATTACATTTGACTTCAACTCGCTGCTTGATGTTGGCTGGTTAGATTGCTCTCGTGGAAAGTAATCGATATGAAATGTTGACTTCACTATGGGCGTGGGAGTTTTTACCAATTGGCAAGCTCATCTTTACAGCCACTAAGCGGTCGTATATACTCTCACTTCAACACCAGGGCAAGCCTTGCAATGAATACTATCTTCTTTGCGATTTTGAAGCTATGCTGACTTACCATTTTTTGGTTCAGCGGTCGTATCTGATTTTTCTTTGCAGTATTCCAGCTTGGATCTGCGCTGTGCGGTCCTAAATGCTGATAGTGGGAAGGGCAGTGGCTGGACTTGGCTCTTCGGGTCTGACGAATGGTGCTTTCACGAAACATTATAGTTAGGTTTCTTGTAAATGACAAACCCGCGCTCAATTTACTAGGGTGATGTCCTTAATTTTGAAGATTTCAAGTCCCTCATTATAACAAATGTTTTTATCTCATTGGTCATATTTTTTCGCCTGGTTGGAGGCGACACAGCGGAGCCTTCTAAAATTCGGAACATCCCGGCGACAGCTGATGCCAAGTCCGAGACATATTATATGTAGAATGGAAAATGGTCACTGTTGACAAATATCACTTATTACCTCAATATCTACAAATAGATTATTTCACGCGCCAACTGATTCAGAACAATTCAATATCAAAATTCAATTCGCATTTTATTTAAGAGACGCCCCTCACTTAAGGCAGACGCCAAGCACTAAATGGAATCCACATATAAAACGCATTGACCTCGACAATTCGAAATTCAAGTCAAAGCACCATCGAGAACATTAAAAATGGCAGTTACCGAGCTTGCTCTCCTTCATCTCAAAAACAACGACGCCATCACTGCAGCGTCAAATTCGGCAGTACTATCCAAATTGCGAACCGCAATCGCTGCCCAGGCTTCACACGCAAAATACCCTGTTTACCTTTTCAGTCAGGTTGAAGATCTGTCTTATATCTATATTCTTGGTGGCTGGAGTTCTATCGCCGCACATGTGAACGACTGGATTCCTTCGGCCTCTAACCAGGAAGCCATGGCCTCATTAGCTGACGCGGTCGATGTTGTTTGGTTGCAGCACCTGGAACTGGATCCAAAAACTGCTAAGATCCCCCTGGATGCACCAATCATAGCTATTGGCCGCTACTTTATTTCCAATTCCAACAAGGTCGGGTATGAGAAGACATTTTCTGAGACGAGGCAACATCTGGAGGCATATTCTGCTCCAAGATCGCTCGATGGAGGGTGGCGATTAGATATTGAAGAGGCCGGAAAAGAAGAATTCGTGTTGTTTAGCGGGTGGACGGCAGTAGAAGACCATTTCAAATTTGCCGAGTCGGAGGGATTCAAGGAATTTGGCAGAATTAAGGATTTCATGGAAGGTGCCGAAATCAAGCACGTCACGCTATGTGAAAGCGCCTAATTTTCATACTCAGGAGTTAATATTTTTGACATGGTATGGCTTCGAGATATATGTGGGCGTCAGATCATCGGTGATCAACTCCATAAATATTGATAATTATGATACATTGCCTATTCAGGCGATTATAGTGAAGCAATATACAAACTATACTCCATTTTCAAACGATTTTCCACCAGCTGCAGCATCGAGCATCAACGCCTGTTTCAACCCTACAACATTAAACAGATCTCGCGGGCTAACCCCTTCAGATGCAGGCGGCACCCCATCTCTCTTCAACATTTTTACGGCTGCACTAACAGCACCATGGACACTACCCAACGCTAGACCGGGGAAAATTATAACTCGGAATCCAAGTTCTTGAGCCTCCGGTACCGATAGGTCTGGGGAAACACCTCCCGGTACGGAATTGAAAAGGACCGGGGTCGGGCTTAGCTCCTTACAAGCATTTTGTGCTTCTTCTTTGGATCTGACGCCCTCCAGAAAGGCAACATCTGCACCAATTCCGATCGCACGTTTCAAGCGAGACATGGCAGCATCATATCCCAAAGATTGTAGTGCGTCTGTGCGGGCAATCAGGACAATATCACCCCCTGACTGCTTACGCGCATTGACGGCGGCTTGTATCCGTGAAAGAAACTCATCTTCATCAACGAGCTGTTTGTTGCGCAAGTGACCACAGCGCTTAGTAGTTACCTGATCCTCCAGATGCAAAGCAGCAACACCGCTCCGGATATATTCTGTAACGGTCCGGTGAACCATCAAGGAACCTATACTCGGTCATTATAAGATCCCTGTGAAATTGCATTGATAATAAATAAACGTTTTAACCTTACCACCAAATCCCGTGTCAGCATCTGCTATCAATGGAACAGCCGTATTCAAATTGGCAATCATCTCTGCATTTCCACGCATTTCATTTAATGTGAGAATACCCAGGTCTGGCTGCCCCAGTACTGATGCGGCTGTTCCTGCCCCGGTCTATTATGCCTCTGAGAAAACTGGCACATACTATGAGGTAGTAGATATATCCATACCATGTATAAGGCGTCGAAGCCTTCATTTAACGCAATTCTAGCTGTGAGTCCATCGAAAACGCCAGGGCATACGATAATTTTACTCTCGTCCGCTAGAAGTTGTCGTAGTCTTGCCACTGCCTGAGCCATTTTTTCTCTATTTCTGTGGTATTTCTTGCCAACCCTTAACAGAATATGAAATTTTTTAAAAAAGAATAATTATTTTACATGAGAAAATCGATAGTTCAGTGTTTGGTGTCACGATCCTATATTATATCCTAGTCGGGCCGGAAACGGGCCGAGCAGCAGCGGCAGCGGACCGGCTCAGATTATAACCCTTTCACGCCAGTGACTATATAGACTGATTGAAACATTGTTGGCTAATATTAATAAAAAAGGAGTCTCATCAAGATATTATACGACACTGTGAACTCCTGCGAGGTAATAATCAAAATGCCGGAATCGAACAAGTCCAGCCTCGATCAAGTTATTCAACTCCTCGAACAAACGAGAGGCCTTTCCTTGGAAGACGCCGAACGTAAGGCATCTTTAATATCAGGATGTATATTGAAAATGAATTAAAAATGTGCATAGTTGAAAAGCTACCCAGAAGCCGAGGCATTTTGCCCCAGTTGAAAACTTTGGGCGATATCTTGCTGGCTCATGGCCATCAGCGCGAGGCCAATACCATCAAGGATGTTCTCACAATCTGTGAGCAGCCCTCTGACCTAGGGGGTCTTGGCCTAAACGGCGATGTGGAACCTTTTCCAGCAGAAAAAGAATCAGAAATCGTTTTCCTTGTTTCCGCTTGGCTCGAGTCACTCAATTCCGCTGATAGATCTAGATCCCGGCAAGCTCCGCTACCTGTACGACCAGAAGGTCGTCGTGGAATGACTCTAAGCGAGAAGATCTTTGCACTACATGATGTTGACCAGAAAGGCTATGTTGCACCTGGGGATCTGATTCGAGTCGATGTTGACTGGGTGATTGCATCGGAGGCTTCATGGAAGGTTCGTTTCTCAGATCATTTTGGCTCATCATAAATCTAATGATGTTTAACCCAAAGGGAATGGAGAAGACTTATGAAGGTCTAGGGAGACCTAAAATCTTCAGAAACGACCGATTCTGGCTTGCAGGCGATCACGTCGTGGATCCTCGAATAACTAAGATCCCTCAAGTGAAAGCTCTGATTGATGCCAGTGAGAGAGCTAAGCACGTTTTCAAAATGACGGATTACCAAGGAATGAATGTCAGTATACTATCCTTTAGCATTCTGTCTTTCTTGCTGGAAGTTACTGAACTATGTCTAGTATACTATCCTCCACACAGAATTCTACCGTGAGCGAGCTCAGCCAGGAATGATGATCATTGGCTCTGATTCGCACACCTGTTCATCAGGGGCCTTAGGCTGCCTGGCCGTCGGTCTTGGTGCTGCAGACGTTACCTTGCCTCTAGTCACTGGGGAAACTTGGTTCAAAGTCCCTGAGTCTGTGAATATCCGTCTTGTTGGTGAACCAAAGCCCGGGATTGGCGGTAAAGATGTGATTCTATACATTCTGCAGCAATTGAAGCGGAACACTGTTGCTGCTGAAAGAATTGTAGAGTATACTGGCCCTGGACTCAGATACCTAACTCCGGACGCTCGTTTCGCGATCTCAAATATGACCACGGTACCTTATATTTTCTCCCCCCGTTTTATTCTATGAAACGCTCACATCATTCCAGGAACTTGGAGGTATCACGGGCATATTTGTGCCCGATAAAACGACTTATAATTTCATACAAAAGCGCCGACTACCGCGACACAAATCCTCCAGTATTTATTTTCAGCCAGATGAGGACGCACAGTACGCCGAAACGCATGAAATCGACCTAGGTAATGTCCGCTCGTTCATTGCCAAATACCCAAAACCAGATGACGTAGTTCCCGTTCCTGAATGCGAGGGAATGAAACTGGACGGTTGTTTTATTGGTGCGTGTACTACTGCTGAAGAGGACCTTATCCTCGGCGCGCTGGTCCTCGAACAAGGGCTCAAAAGAGGAATAAAACCCGTTAAAACCGGAAATAGAAAGGTTGTCCCGGGTTCTCTACCAATTCTACGTAAACTCCGTGATTTGGGCTTGGTGGATGTCTATGAACAAGCCGGTTTCGAAATTGGTGTGCCTGGGTGCAGCTACTGTGTAGGAATGTCGGCCGATCAGGCAAAACCGGGTGAAATTTGGATATCCTCACAAAATCGAAACTTTGAAAACCGAATGGGCAAAGGTAATGTACAAATTTCTATTTCATTTGCTATTTTTGCTCACCTGTAAATAAACAGGATCCATCGGGAACCTTGGTTCTGCAGCCACCGTTGCCGCCTCATCCTTTGAGATGAAAGTTAAGGACCCTCATGAATTACTTGCTACTATAGATTTGGATCGGTGGGATTCCTTAAGAGGAGTATCAAAGGCGCCAACAGCCGAATCACCGCCGACCAACATCTTATATGTTGAGCCATATGGAACTTCTTACGCTGGTACAGAGCCAGCCGAGCAAGAAGTTGAGGCGACCTCAACCGAGGAGGCAGTAAACAGTAAAGACACAAGTGCTAGCGAGGAAATTTTGACAGGCAAAGTTCAAAGACTCGGTGACTATATCGACACAGATGCGGTACGGTTTATACGCCATTTGGCTTATTTCAATATTTTAGACCTAGTTTTCTTTTACTGACAAATGAAATAGCTGGCCCCTGCAGAGTTTCTAGTAGGATCAGCCACAAGTGAAGCAATCGGTTCGCACTGTCTTGAATACACGCATCCTGATTTCCGCCAACATGCCAAAGATGGATTTAATATCGTCGTAGCTGGTACCGCCTTTGGATGTGGCTCGTCTCGCGAACAAGCCGTCATGGCATTGTTGGGTATGTTAATGTATCGCCCCTACGATTTAAGCACAGTGTGCGTGGAATCAAACTAATAAAATATATTGCTAAATATAGGAACTGGTGTGAAATGTGTCATCGCAAAATCATTTGCCTTTATTTTTCAGCGCAACATGCCCAATCTAGGGCTTCTGGGAATAACCGTGTCTGATGAATCCTTCTACAAAGCTGCTGTCGATGGGGCCGATGTCTCTATCAATCTACGAACCAAATTGATTCACATAGACGGGAAATCGCTTCCCTTCAAACTAAGCCAGATGGAGCGAGAGCTGTTTGAGCATGGAGGGATTACTTCTGCATTCAAGAAGTTTGGTAATCACTTGTTTCAGGCGATGACAATGCCGAAGAACTTCGCAGGGGTCAATAAACCCGGAAACCCAGTAGGGCCACATGCCGGACTGCAGTGGTGAGCCATGCTCCATACGTGATATCATGTAGTTAGGAAAATATGAGAATTTCAAAATCACCAATGCAGATTAATTGTTGATTATGAGAAATCATCAATCAACGCAGGACTTTTTGCCACTTGTATATATCCTTGCAAGATTTCACAACGATATTAAGTTCTTGATTGAGATCACAAACCGAGTATGGCGGATTGTTAAGCTGAATTAAACATTTTTAGGGCTTTCGCCGACACCAATCTCGAACAGGCAAACTTACCGGCAGGGCACTGATGATCAAGCTTGGGTTCCGTACTGGCGTACCCCATACGAAGAGTTCTGTCTGTGAAGCGAGTCAGGCCACTTGCTAACCGGGGTATGGGGTAATGCAATTTGAGGCCCAGCAGGGGGTTCGAGAGTTAGTCCAGCGCCGATCCCCAATTAATTTCCCGGTTTTTCTGTGCGGAATCCGGGAAACCCGTGCTCCGATACAACCCAGTAAATTTAGTGCATTAAGCAATATCTAGTCATAGGATAATATACAATTTTCGTTTTCGTATACTCGGCTCAAACCCGTAATCTGGTTCCTTTCATGTGTTTTAATTACTCCCACAACGTAGCCCCAGTCATTGGAATGTAGCCATTGATAATGGTCTATCAACTTCAGCTTTTTCCAAAGAAAACCAAAAAAGGACCATATCTTTCGGCCTTCAAACCGATAAGTTCCAGCAGCATGAAAGCCGTTAAAAGTCTGCTATTAAGGCTAAGAGCCACTCGGCATGGTCGGCCTCCACCGCTACCGCCAACACGCTCAATATAGACAGCAATGAGAGATAATATAATAAAATTAGCTATACGAGATAAAGTGGCCTCGGCCCGCTCTAGCTTGTTGTGTTAATTCTGATCCTTCTCGACATTTGAAAAACAGCGCTTCATGCCTTTCTAGCTATATTAAGCTCCCTTCACTCCCTTCACTGTCCCATCGGGGTTTATGCTCAAACGAGAAATTGGTAATAATCTTTCCAGCTGGAATCTGTTGAGATAATCAAAGAAAACCATGGCGGCTGGTGTCAGGACTATGTCGTTTTACTCTGCCTTGTCCATAGGCTTCATGGTCCTTGCTCCTTTGAAGGCTTCTGCACTCACAGCAGGTCCAGCAGCTTGTGCTAATCTGACCAATTATCTGGGTAGCTCAAAGGTAAACAGCAATCAACTGAGTTTACAGTACATCAATACCCGCGAAGACTATTGGAATGCGGTGCAAAGCAACTATGCTCCATCTTGTATAATCTATCCAAGCTCTGCTCAGGACGTTTCGGTTGCGTTACAAGGGATCCGTGCTGCCAGGAGCCGCTTTGCTATTAAAGCCGGAGGCCACAACCCGAATACATATTTTTCATCCGTGGATGCAGGTGTTCTCATAGATCTTGGTAGTATGACAGACATGTTGTACGACAGCGAGACGACACTTGCAACGTACGAACCAGGTAGCGATTTCGGCCACTTGTACAATTATTACGTCCAGTTTAATCGTACCGTGGTAGGTGCGAGATTGGCAGGAGTCGGTACAGGGCTTGCTCTTGGTGGTGGTTTGAGCTTTCTATCACCACAGTATGGAATGGCCTGCGATGGCTTCCGAGAGTTAGAAGTTGTTCTCCCAAGTGGAGAAATCGTCACGGCATCTAACACAAACAACCCTGACCTTTTCTTTGCTATGCGTGGTGGTGGCGGCAATGCATATGGTGTAGTTACAAAGTACACTGTTCAAAGCCGTCAGATAGGCGAGTTTTATGCCGGCAACATCATCTATCTTTTCAACCAAACCACTGCAGTTGCCGAGGCAATCCAGAATTTCATCCAGTATAATGATAACCCAAAAGCAAGCATAATAGGCACATATGAAATGCTTCCAACACCAAGCCTTGGCCTTGACTTGGACCGAGCTGTCATCATGTTCCTTGTCCATGATGGGCCAGATGCAGGAGATGTGTTTCAGAATTTCACCAAGATCCCCAGCCTTATCAATACGTTGGGGATCAAAACTTATCCAGAGGTAGCCAATATGCCAATCTCTATGGAAACTGAGCTCTCCCGTGGCGATAACATTTTTCGCGTTGGCGTCCATCGCATTGGTGATGGAAGTTACATGACTGCGTTGAATAATTGGTTTAATTGGGCAGAAAGTAACAAAGGTAGCTACGTTCTCAGTTCAATCGACTTCCAGCCGATCCCAAGAAGCTTGACCGATGCAAGCAAATCTCAAGGAGGCAACGCAATGCAAATGCCTGACGGACCCTGGTTCTGGGTTAATTATCTTATTTCAACACCGCCTGGAATGTCTCAAGAAGACTACAATGCAGCGCAAGCTAGTTTCCGCGAACTGGTCGCTAACACGACAAACGCCGAAGGCTTGCCTCTTTTCATTAACGATGCTAGCTATGACCAAAATCCTCTGTCGACCTTTTCAACATACTCAAAGTTGCAGGGAATCAAGAAAAAATATGATCCGGATAATTTCTTTGCGGATTACACGGGAGGATGGTCATTCGAGTGAGTAGTTAGTGTAGGTGATCTTTTGCGTGGACAGATTTCGTATTCTTATATTTTTGGTGATCATCAGGCGGGAAAATGGTCTTCCAGAACTCGGCAGATATGTACAACTACATATGTCACTATGCTCACCTTTGGCTTAAGAAATTAGGTTGCGTGATTTCTTCATGGTTTATAAACTATAATACCACATTGTTGAAGAAATGTATATCGGAAATCCATTGATTTGAAAGAAACGCTTAAAACTTCGCATACAATCGTATATATGTATTCTCAGCAAAAGATTTGTAGTCTTTATACAAGCATTTATGCTTAGAACACAATTTCTAATATTTTACAAGTAAGATATAATTCCAATTGAAGCACTCCAATGGTAACAGTATTCGAATAACAGCGTTCCACTGATTGGCTTAAACGATAATTTCGAATTTTTTGACGGCGATTGGCTGAAGGGCATTCCGCTAGTCCGATTACGTCAATCGCCGATCTACACCTCATGCACGTGATGTAACACTAACATAAAAGCTGGGGTATTAGTTGGTTGACGATGGCTGTGGGGGCTGCCGGGGACTAACAATCGAGTCGCAAGACACAACTCATCTCAATTGTGCAGCTATGCACCCATGAATTCGCTGGACGCATGAATCTATCACCATGCACTCTACTATATGAGGAGACGGTATACCGAGTTCCTCTATGCGGGTTCCTTTCTCTCGTGAAACACCATGCCTCGCGCACGACAGAGGACGGGGACATCGGAGGCTACCGGCCAGAGGAGCCGCCGCATCGCTTGTCGAAACTGTCGGCAAGCGAAGGTCAGTATTTCGATGACCCTATCCCTGTCTTCAAAAATGTAATTTAACATCATTTCAGATGCGTTGTGAACTGTCGGCTGGAGGTCCAGTTCCTTGCCATCGATGCCGGCGGTTGGACCGCGAATGCAAGGTAGATACAGAGTATAAAAGAATCAATAGACAAGAGTGAGAGGATTCCCACTCTATGCCATTTCTTGTCATGGTATGCAAGTTATAAGTCGCGGTGCTGAAACTACGGCTTCTAGGAAACTCGAAGAACTGGAAGAGGAAATCCGGCAACTGCGGTCTTCTATAAAGACTACCACATCGTCCGATTCCCGCACAGTTGAGAATAACCCGCCTGTGAATGGTATGCTATCATCGCAGTTTCCGACGATGTTAAGCCCAGGGGTGTCTGTGCTTAGTAATGAAATTCTTCCCGCTGTGCCCGCGATTTCGTTTGAAGAATCACCTGGATCGTCGTCTCGGCGTCTGAGTCAATTTCCAGGTTCTTCGTCCTCTAGATCAATAGGTCACATCAGACTCGAATCGTCTCAGATAGATGCATACTTTCACCTGTACGTACGGATATATTCAATTTCACGCTGATATTTAGATACTTACGTTGTCAGCTTCTTTGAGAAATACTTTCCACACCTACCATTCCTCGACCCTTTTGTCTCACCAGATGAATACTATCTTCGATCACCTTTACTATTCTGGATGATAGTCTATGTATCATCGCGCCGCGTACCCGACGAGCCAGGCTTAGGGGTCAGTTTGATTCCTCCAGTGAAGAAACTTTTATGGGAATCAATTTCTAGTCCTCCCCACTCTTGGGAGTTAGTGCAGTCTATTATTCTTGTATGCATGTGGCCTTTTCCCACCTCGTCTCTATCAACGGACAATAGTATCGTCTTGGTCACGACGGCTCAGACAATCGCCATGCGGCTCGGTTTGCATAGACCGGATGCAATTCAAGATTTCTCTCGAACGAATAGACGATTATCTAAAAGTGAGGTCTCCGAAGCATTGAGGACATGGTCGGCCTGTTTTATCGCTGCTCAAAGGTATGCTTCTACGGGACCACAGTATTCAATGAAGACTAGTTGGCTGATATCTACCTGCAGTCTTGCAGTTACAGACGGACAACCGTTGATGGCGTCTGATTTGATGATTGATCGACTGTGCGATCAAGAAACTACCGATATCATTCCAGAGGCTTTAAGATTTCAACTTGTTGTAGCTAGGTTTGCGGCACGAGTGTGTTCCGTAATGTCGGGTACTTCCAAGTTTACAACTGATGTTCCGCGCCTTGGAGAAAGCTTGTCGGTGCTAGCACTTCTTGAACAGGAATTCATGGACATGAGTTCATCAATAGCCAACAATCTTACAGGTGGGATCCACCCTCTCGAAGTGCTGGCTTTGATTGCTTACCGTATGTAGTTGAGGATCGCATTCTTCTGGACGGCACCGGTCTTCATCTGTACGTGTTCTTCCTTATCGAGCCTGGTGGGTCGGACATTCGCCGAAGGGCCCTTTTACGGGCCTTTCATATGGCAACTACATTGATTGCCCAGCTACATGGCCTTGATAAGGAACATGGTATGATAGAGTTTGGGCCTCTCTCACATTTCCGTACTGTCTCACTATCTGCCATGTTCATCCTGAAAATTGGTCACTCTAGCTACGCCGAATATCTCGATTGTGAAAGGGGTAAGCATTTATTTCACGTGGCAACTCAATTGATGAGGAGAATGTCGATTGAAGATAATGACCTACCGGGCCGCATGTCAAAAATAATGACCCAACTCTGGAGCGCACAAGCTCGAATCGACAAGACAAATGAAGAACCAAGCTTGAAATTGAGGACGCGATTGTCGGGCAGTCTACTCCATGACTCGCTATGGAGTTGGCGAGAGACCTTTGGGGGACAAGCTGGCGATGTAGATAGGCAAAATGGCCTTGCAGGTATTTGAGCCACAATACATATAATTTAAAAATTAACATACTGACTCTATGTGTGAGTAGCCCCATCCGCTCCTGAAAGCAGCGCTATACATGAAAATCAAGTCACTGAATCCACATCCGAGATTGGAGCCGAATTATTGCTTTTGGAGGACATGCTAGATGCGGAATTGCTATCCTTGCTACCTTTCAGCTTCGAAGGAGATGCTCTCCTGACCAATTGATTAGCGTTTCAATTACCGATCTAAGCGCTTCTTCAACAATGGACCTTAAGGCATAGACTTGCACTGGAGCTTACCATAGAACAAATGAAGACTGCTCTGAATGAATGGAAGAGTGGTTGGGACATTTGCGCCGGCCCACTGGCCCTGGAAGATTTTAGGCGACTGGGATTTGTACAGTATGCTGCTATCGAGCTGTGGCAACTTGCGACTAGGATGATTTCGTGATGGCTTTTCCGTATCTACTGTAAATTCGAATCCTATGCCTTTTTTAAAATATCTCTTCAATGCCTCGTTTCCTTTCAATATTTTCCATGGCTGATAATTACATTGAAATAATGCGGTGCTACTTTACTCCTAGCCTTCACATGTCTTACGATCATTCAATTCAGACTTCATTTCGGCGTTTTATGTGCATATTTACTGATGATCATCATCAAGATTTGATCGGACAAAATAATGGCTCGGCTTCATCGTCATTTATTTTCTATGCTTTTAAATTATTGTGTTTCACGACAAGTGAAAACCTTTTCCTTTTTTGTCCTTTTTCTTTCTGCTCCCCCTTTTGGAATTTTTTTTTAATACCATTTCACTATAATTCTCCTTCTACGTTCGGAGATGGTCCAAGTTTAACTCCTCCTTCGTCACATCCATGTTGGTTTCGTAACAGGTGACCAACTCGGGGTGGATTACATTAAGCGGTGAAAGGACTTGGGTTGAAAAAGTTGGACTTCCTGTAGTCCGCCGTACGTAGCGCTATTCGTATGTGACACCGTCTAGTCTATGGTTTGATTTGTGGTGTTTCAGAGTTATACCTTCTTTCCTGCCTTTCGGATTTTTTTAACCGTGAGCACGGCGGACTGAAGGGCGGTCCATCCTTTTCAACTTTTGCAATCCAAGTCGCTTTACCGTCCTAAATCAAATAAGCGAATTTAATTGGCCCGGACACTATATACACAAAACTTTCTCAGCTGAAAAGCTAATAGTAGTGCCGCTGTCACCTAACCCCTCAATTTTCAGCTCCCTTCCAGTCAACTTTGAAATTGGGGTTAGAATGTAAGACACAATATTCAGCATTTAAATTGCTGACTCACCCTCTCATCATGAGGGACAAAAGTGGAAAAATTCAAACGTTCGATAATATTTGTGCTTTGGCTCGCTATACCACTTTCTTCCATTTTGACACCACACAAAATTTCCATCTTATCATCCTTTTCTAATGGCCCCAACAAAGTCCAAGGTAGCCATCATTGGCTCAGGCCTCGCAGGCTTAACTCTTGCTCTTGCTTTGCACCAGCAGAACATCCCAGTCACTGTGTATGAATCTCGACCTGCACCGTTGAATATCGGGGGTGCTGTCATGCTTTCTCCCAATGCGCTCCGGGTTCTTGATAATCTAGGTATTTACGATATTTTCAAGACCAAGGGTTACAACTTCACGCATTTGGAGTATAGAGACTTGGAAGGCAACTTGACAGAAACGTATCCATTTGGAGGAAAGGAAAAGTACGGGTATGACGGATTGCGGATCTACCGTTATGTTCTCATCGAGGAATTAGTAGCAGCGTTGAAAGAGAAGAGCATCCCCGTACATTACGGAAAGAAATTCACACATGTAGTGAAAGATACAGTGGAAGAAGGAGTGGTCTTCGCCTTTGCTGATGGTACCACTGAATCCGCCACCCTCCTCGTTGGTGCTGACGGTATTCATTCAACCGTGCGGCGATACCTGTATCCCGACTTGGAGACAAAGTTCATTGGCATGGCAGGCATCACAGCTGCAGTACCAACTTCCCAGCTGAAGCTGCCCCCTGGCTACTATTTACCGGTCACTATCACGTCCCCAAAGGGGGCATTTGTTATTGCTCCTCAGCAGCCCGATGGCTCCGAGGTTTTGATCGGGAAGCAGCAACGCGTCATTGCACCGGACCAACCCGGCTGGGATCGCGAATTTGTCTCTGACAAGGAAGGGGCTATTAAGTTTCTTCAATCCGATACAAGTCACTTTCCTGAATTTATACAAAACGCTGTCTCGTACATTGATCCTAAGAAAGTCAATAAATGGCCATTCTTCATCGTACCCAAGCTGGAGAAGTGGGCTTCAGAGACACGCCAGGTAATTATTGTTGGTGATTCAGCTCATGCCATCCCTCCCTCTGCCGGACAAGGCATCAACCAGGCTTTTGAAGACGTTTACATTCTCGCCCTGATACTTAGCCGTGAGAAGCGCATCAAAAGTTTGCAAGATGCACTGACTTTCTGGCAGAGTTATCGTCAAGAGCGAGTTGATAAAATTTTGGAACTGAATCAACAAATCGATCTGCGCCGCATGCCTTCGAATGATAAGGTTGTCGGTGTGGATAGTGGCGTTGTCAAAGCGGAATTTGACCTCACCTGGCTATACAATCCTAACTTCCCGAAGGTTGTTAATGATTGGGTATCTCAGCAGGAGTAATATGATAGATATTATTCAGTGATGAGACTTTATTAGATTGAAGTCTAGATTATAGTATTTTCGCTTAGGTTTCTTAATCTCATACTGCTTCTTCATTGTTATCTTTTCGGTCGATAACATCAACTAATTAATTCATCCAACTGAGGTTCTCCAAGAAAACAAATGATATGGTTCTATAACCAGTTTTCTTTATGGGAACGACTCGTTAAAAAGGGATAAGCAATGAAATCGTCAGGAAACTATGATTCAGTGACGCGTCAGTAGCACGAACGCGCAGGTGTTGATTCCCGATTAAGTGAAGTTCGGCGAACTCGAACTAAGAGTTTACGACCGTAAGGTCCGAACTGGGAATACCGACAATCGCGAGCAATTTTCGATGAAAGAAACAATGATGTTTTATTTCATAGTTGCGAGAATTAAGGACTAGATAATATTTGAATTCAGCTGGGAGAGGGAAATGCCGATTGTCCTAGCTGAGTATCTCTATGTAGCCCACTTGAGGCGTGAATTCAAAATTTTCGGAAAATTCGGAATTGGGGAAGAGTATCTGTTGAAGAGACCAACTTGACTACAGGTAGTTAGTGGTAGCAGTTTTCAGTCAGCGTGATGACGACGTAAAACTACCTTTTGTAGTTGCTTCAGATGAATCCTTGACTTCTAGTATAGCACGTAATGCTCGTATAAAGATTTTTCACGCAGAAATAACTACACTACTCTCAAAATAGAAAGTCATTGGGAATTTATTGGGTCACGCAATTGACTTCTAGCCCCCTTGGAAGACCCAAATTATCAATAATGAGTGGCGGTGATCACGTCCTGCATTTAGAGATCCTCAATAAATATCGATTGCAGCCATAACACATTCCTTCTAGCGGATCGCATCTGGTACCTTGCCAAAGTCTTCCAGCTTACATATTTTATCAATAATCGCTCTTACACCTACCTTTCTACTCTCGAGATACCTTACACGTAGTCCAAGGCACTACATTTCGGAAAACGATCTGAGCTTTATTAGCATGCTTAGAACAATCATTTATGGCAACAAGTACGCTAACTCGATGATTGCTATATCGTCGCCGAATACTGTTGATGGAGACACCTTCAGTGTGCATGCATCTTTTTCGTAGACTCCGCAATAAACCAAGCTTCCCGCCTCTAGAGCAGAGGATGATTGAATGCTCCAAGACACGTGGAGAGCCAGTAATATATCAAAGTCATAAGGATACTTGGACTTTGAAAAGGCCTATTGGACTTCTGGAGTCTCTCTATCTAGCTCGATATATTCATCCGTCGCGTTTTCAATCACTTGGCTAGATGCATTTCACGGTCGTCATTCGAGGCTAAATGACGTACTTTCCGCCATTGTTCTTAAGTAGTTGGGCAAGACAAATACCAGTTGGCCTGAGCCAAAGAAAGACCGCGCTAGATCCAGACCCTATCATGACAAACAAGTGACTCAAGCTTTTCCTGGCTACTAACTACGAGTTAGGAGTATGAACGACCCTTCTTTTTTCGACTGATGATAACCGAAGAGGAAAGTTGACTCTTGCTATGAAATTCATCGATCGGAGCACTGCCCACCGAGGCATAGTCTGTCTGGAATTCAGAATAATCTACCTTTGCCCGCATTGTAGAGCTGATTGAAGTTGACATGATTTGTTGGTGTCGAAACTTTCGTCTATCCATCAACATCACATCCGTAGGCCTAGCAATACATATTGACCTGCTTCCTCCATAGTAATATACTTTGCAATCTTTATTCTTAGCGTGATTAGAAGCTTCAAGTATATAAAACGATAGAGATCCAGTCTCCTCGCCGCGATATGCTGATTTAAAAAAATATAATCTTTGTGATAAAAAGTCCTAAAGATTTTCCTATTTTTGAAAGTTCGCCGAGACTACATGTAGGTTAATTGGGGGGACTACGATTAGGATGTAAGTCATTTGGTCATCGCGCATAGTCAATACCACAGAGCCAACACAAAAAGTATCACAATACGGTTCCCTGTACTCCTGGTGTTGACATTCCCTCAGTCCACAGGCATTCAAGAGAACGGCTGCGAAGGCCAAAACATCACCCACTATAGTTCGTTGCGAAACGCCACCCGATCTACACAGTCCTCGGGCAGCTTATTGTTGCTGGGCCGAACCCTGTTTCGCCTCCACGGATCCCAATTGGACTGCCAGCCCAGAGCACGCCATGAGCAGGCGCAATGTTACCACATTGATGGGTTCTTATTGAAGTATGGCACAACCCAATTTCATGCGGTCATGTTCGTCGTTCAACACCACAATGATGCGACAACAGTCGTGAGGGGTTTGGTGGGAAAGCGGGGAAGAAGCATATAATGCAGAGATCAATCGATATTTGCTCAGCTTTATAATTTCGCCCTTGATTCCGAGTGACTGGGATATATTTATATCGAATCTGATTCTCTCACGGTACTCAACTTTAATCTAACAACTCCACGAATATTCTATATTTACTACTACTATTTTGCCGTATTCAGCAAGCAAGCAATAAGAATCGATTTGACCGTTGAAAATGTCCGTCGCACAAGAATTTGAGGCTGCAAACACCAAATACGCTAGTGGATTTACTAAAGGGAGCTTGCCTCTTCCTCCTGGACGGTATGATTTGAATAATAAACGATTGAAATACCCGGTCAGGGGAATGGGTGACTGATTTTGAGAACAGCAAAGTTGCCGTTATTGCATGTATGGATGCTCGTCTTGGTATGTCCATATCTTTATGCCACAAATCATCACATTCGAAGCAGCCATGGTTACTCGTACTAATCAATGACAGATACTGCACGCGCGCTCGGACTTGAAGAAGGTGATGCGCATGTAATCCGTAATGCTGGCGGTCGCGTCAGCGACGCCCTCCGTAGTATTGTTATTTCCCAGCAGCTGCTCGGAACTCGCGAGATCGTCATTGTCCATCATGTAAATATATCTCCTTTCATTGACCTTGTCAAGGCCGTTGGAAGGTTGACAAAAGCAATGTTAACATCTGTGTAGACTGATTGTGGCATGCTTACCTTCTCTGATGAAGATATCCGGACTAAAATCAAGAGCGGTTTGAAGCAAAACGTGGACCATATTGCATTCTTACCATTCAAGGACCTGAAGCAAAGTGTTCTGGACGATATCCAGATTCTCAAAGATAGCCCGTTAGTTCTCGATGTGCCGATCACTGGCTACATTTATGAGGTCGAGACAGGCAAGATTGTGAAGGTTGGAAGTGCTTGATTTTGCCATGATTTGTTAATTGAACAGAGATACTGTGGACATGCAATTTCATTTTTGATTGCGTTCTCAATATTTTATTTAAAGCAGGTGCTGGAACAATGCATTGACGCCCGTGAAATGCAGAGTCTGAGTTCTACATGTTAATGTTGTGTTTTTTCTTGTCTTCCTGGATAACATGCTGGTGAACAAGTACAACTTCGTCAGATTGATTCAAGTGCTTTTTTAAAGTCTTCGATAATATCATCCTTATTCATAGTGGTATTAGTCTCGCTCCAGCATATTAAGGAGCGACATACCGAGTGTTCAAGTCCTACTGATACACGAATCGTGGCATCGTCCACTGCTGAAATACCTGGTCGGGAGGCTAGACCCGCATAGGGGACATATGCAAGGCTTCTGTATATCATGGTGAGGGTGTATTCGAACACATTGTAATAGCAATCTCACTTACTGGGCAGTTCCTAGACTAATATAAACGCGTTAGCTAACAGTCCAAATATAGAAATGATTAACTTACCCATCAGAAAATCCCACCATTTTTAAATTCCCAACCAACGTCTTGGCATCTTCCGATTTGGATGTCTTGAGTGTAAAATGCAAGATCGCACCGTAGCCTTCCTTTTGCCGGAGATACTTCGCAACCTGACTGGTAGCCTGATATGAATACAGACCGGGGAAAATGACAGTCCCGACCTTTTCATTTCCTTCCAGCCATTTCGCAAGGGCCAATGCATTGGAATTATGTCGGTCGATTCTGGGAGACAGACTAGCGAGGCCCGCTAGAGCAAATGCCGCCGCAAATGGATTCAGACAGGGTCCGACGTCACGCAGAATAGCCATCCGTATATATAAGATATACGCAATGTTTCCAAACTGCTCGACAAAGTTCAAGCCGTGATAACCGGGAGAAGGCGTGGTAAGATGAGGGAATCTATCCTGGTTTTCTTTCCAGGGAAATTTCCCGCTATCAACGATCAGTCCAGATTCTGTCGTACCAGAACCAGTTATCCACTCGGATGAAGAGTGGATGACAATGTCGGCACCATGATCGATAGGTCGGATGAGATAGCCAGCGGCGCCGGCAGTATTGTCACTGGAACACTTGTTAGAGAACGATGGGCAAGCTCTTCTTTCTCGCATATGGCTCACACAACAAGAGGAACACCGGCTGCATGGGCCACGGATGCTACAACTTCAATATCGGCGATCTCTAGACTGACACTACTAATGCTCTCGATATATATGGCACGGGTCTGTTCATCTATCGCGTTGCGAACTGCATCAATGTCGTTAATGTTTACAAATTTGACTGAAATGCCATGCGACGGAAATCGGAACTTGAAATGAGTATATGCGTCTTCGGATATGGTGGCTGCTGCTATAATATTCTCCCCGGCCATAGCAAGACCGGCGATGGCCATCCAACGAGCAGCCTCCCCTGACCTAGGTTCAATTAGTAACGTCACTCTTTGAGAAAATTTCTTTCTTACGCCGCGGGAAGAGCAGCCGCACCGCCTTCAAGCACAGCTACGCGTTGTTCGAGTACACTTAGGGTTGGCTACTCGTTCCATTAGCATCATCCGTGTGAGCACGGGGTAGACATTGAAATACATTTCCCAGCCGGCTGTAGGCGTAGTCTTCGGCGCGTCCGGCAAAGATATCAGCGCCATGTTGAGAATCATTGAACGTGAATGACTATGCATGGAAATGAGTGTTTGGCGGATTCAAAAAATGGCCTAACTGGAGGCGTTACCGTAGACGCATAGATTGGAGTTGTCACTGCTCCAGTCCCCGTGTGAACATTGTGCACATCCTTTCTAGAGGTGCTGCGTCAGTATGTGGTTGGACAATAGCGTCATTACGGGAGCGTTATATACCCCGCATGAATCGACAAGCTCTCAAACTGGAGCGATCGATCGTTGTCGGGCATGGCTGTCTCTCCCGCACTTATACGGTGGACAATTCTGGCCGATTCCCAAGAGACGAGCAATCCAGCTAAATATTCCGAGACAGCTAGATGAGTTGCTTCAGTGTCAAGCGCGTGACCAAGCAAGGTTCCCGCGAAACAGAGCCGGTGGTGGGGTGTGCTGATAAGCTTAGCTCTCTGTTACTAATCAGTAATCATTTCTGTAACTTACCTGAGATACAAGCCCGGGTGCTTGCAGCGTCCATGTCCGTCCCTTCTGCGTGTTTCTCTCTCTTTTCTTGCATCCTGCCAGTCAGGCCTGTATCGGATTCTTCTGCAAGACTTCGCAATCACAACGTCGCATTGTCCTATCGGGTCACACGTGAAAGAAGAAGGAAAAAAAAACGGACGCCGACGGGGATCCTGAGCACGCCATTGCCGGTCGTTCCCTCTTTCGCGATAATCGATGCGCAATACTGCTCTAGCACAATGCAGGTGATTTTATCGGCCAATGATCTCGCCATCTAATGACCGTCGTTCGCCACTCATAAAAACGTATCGTCTCACGACTCGTGTTCCTCTTCTTTTCCTCTTTCTCTCTCCGTAGATGTCGTTCGATATTGGTGATTTTCTGCTCGGAACTTCACCCGAGTCTCGTATTTTGTGGGCCTCGTGGTTGACAGCTGCATGGCGTGTGCAAGCCACGCTGTTGTGTCATTGCGCTAGATCCCGTCTGCAGAAATTGCCTGGTTTGGACGGACTTTTCTTATAAAGCTTCATCCAAGGGTGTTGGTTCGCGAGAAAATCTTAGAAAGATATATGTCGCCGCAAGATGGCCGTTCTTACTTCAAAATTAGCTGTTGCGCTCTGGGGATCAGATGCCAAGGACCGCGCGCTGTTGGCGAAACTGGATTTTACGTTACTTCCGTACTTCTCGTTAATATGGTTCCTGTTCGGTGTTACGCGATCAAGTTACTCCTCCGCTTATATTAGTGGTATGAAGGAGGCCCTGGGCTTTGAAGGCAAGCAGTATAACTATATGAATACTGCGTATCTTGTCGTGTATGCCGTCTGTCAGATGCCTGGAACAAGTCTTTTGACAGTGGCACGGCCAAAATACGTCTTTGTTGCAGCGAACGTCACTTGGAGCATCTTAACGCTGATCACATTCAAGATGACCCATGCCTGGCAGGTTATTCTGTTGAATGCAATTGAAGGAGGATTTTCTGCGATCGCATAGTAAGTTCTCCGAGGCATGACCGAGAAAACAGTCTAACCAGTATTGGCAGCGTCGGAGCCCAGTTTATTCTCGGTTCTTGGTATAAGAAGTCCGAACTAGGAACGAGAACCGCGGTATTCTGCGTATTTGGTCAATTGGGAACTATGGCTGGTGGTTGGATCCAAGCGGGCTTGCTACAGTCTCTATCAGGGAAAAGCGGTCTTCCTGCGTGGAAATGGATCTTTATCATTGTGTCTGTCATGACTCTTCCAGTTGCCTTTTTCGGTGTGTTTTCATCCCCTTGCGGAGATGGTAACAGTCGAGTTGCTCATAAAATTGTATAGGCTGGATTTTCATTCCTGATCTTCCCGCTCATAGAGTGGCCTGGTATCTCACGGATGAGCAAAAGGAACATGCTGCCACTCGCCTCGGTGCTACAAGAAAGCAGGCATGGGACTTAACCGTGGTGAAGCGGATCTTTTTGAGCTGGCAGTTCTATCTTCTGCCATTCATTTTCATGCGTATGGAGACCCTATGACAATTTCTTTCTTTCTTTCTTTCTCTCTAATTATTATTAGTATATTCTCTCTGCGTGCAAATGCTACAAAACAATGTTATGGCCTATTGGATGGCTTCGCGCGGCTACACCACCGTCCAGCAAAACAACTACCCGACTGGGATCTATGCCGCCGCCATCCTTGGAACTGTTGTCTACGCTGTCATCTCTGATAAGCTCCGATCGCGCTGGGAAGTGTCTATTGCTATCGGCCTCACCTTCATTATCGGCTCCGCCATTCTTGTTGCCGACCCGCCTACGGCCGGCTACTTTTTCGCGTTCTATTTGCTCGGAACGACATTTGCGCCTCAGGCTGTATGGTATTCCTGGATGGCAGATGTTACAAGTCACGATCTCCAGCTTCGTGCGATCACGACAGGATTTATGAATTCCTTTGATTTTGCTTTTGTTACCTGGTGGCCACTGATCTTTTACCCGGCCACTGATGCTCCTAATTTTAGAAAAGGGTATATTGCTAGTCTGGTGACTGGTGCATTGACGCTGCCATTTATTGGCTTAATCACGTATTTGGAAAAGAGAGATACGGCAAAGGGGCTTATTGGAAGGGTTCCTATAGAAGAACAGCTCAATGACGAACAGGAGTACCGTACAGGTTCGCCAGATGATGGACTACAGTCCAAGTCAGCGGAGAACGTCCGTTCGACCGAGGTGAATGTATAGCTATTTTCTAGATTTCTGGGGGATATGAATGCACAATTGACCATTGCGTAATTGTCCTTGCTTCTGAACTTCTAATGACTGAATATCCTAATTATATCTATTGAACCATTCCCTTATCCCAGTCTAATATCCTTTATTTTATCATTAAATAACCATCTACCCAACCAAAAAAAGACGGCTTCAGAAATTAATGGCAATATTGCGTCGTCAACTTCATCCCATTTGGCCCTGCGAAACCGGTGAAACTGAACTTCCCATTGAGCTATTTCTCACCACTTCGTTGACTAAAGAGTTTCCGAATAGCCTGGTTCCATCTCTTCGATCCAAATTTCTTGCTCTTGAAAACCTCGTCGATTTCTTCCAACGATCTCCCCTTCGTCTCGGGCATTGACAACGCACAGATAACAGTGGTAATCAGTGCACACCCACCAAAGAGAAAATAGATCCCAAAGCTACTACGCGCTAGGAGGATTGGAGTAGTAAGAGCAACCAGGAAATTAGCAGCCCAGTTACTACCGTGAGCCAGACTGGTTGCCACCGCTCGGGTGCGTTGGGGCTGGATCTCTGCGGCATAGATTTTGATGCCAACTCCCCAAGATAGCGAATATATTACGGCGAATATGTAAATGGAAACAATGACAATCCAGCGGCCAGTGCCGGAATTGGCATGCACAGCGTTTCCAGCATAGAGCCCTCCGACTAGAAACATGACGACGGTGAGGCCGATGCCGCCGAAAATGGTGCTGTGACGGCGACCCCAGCGATCGGCCCAGATCAAGGCTGGGATGGTGACACCAAATATCGCAAGGGCGGAAACGCCCGAGGCGAGAAAGGATGATTCAGAGGACGTTAATCCGGCTTGTTGGAAGAGAAGGGGGGCATACTATTGCACGTTTTGTTAGAATAGAGCTAGTGCAGTATTATTAGTAGAGACGGAAGACTTACATATAGAACCCCGTCAATACCACTAAGCTGTTGCATACCCATCATGAAAAGTGCAAGGGCTGTACGCCCGCGTACATCGTGAGCAAAAAGCTCCCGGAAACTTCCTTTGTGGCGTGGTTGCTGCCTCGTGTGGACGCGGGTGACATTGGTTACATCTTCCGTTGAGGAAGGGCCATCAATGTCGCCTGAGCCCTCCACAATCATCTCTCTCATCTGCTCGGCTTCCACTTTCTCACGCTCTGCATGTCCGACTCCGAGCAGATCCCAGGTTGTCGAAGCTTCGACTGAGTTGCCATGTAAAGTGAGCCATCGCGGAGACTCAGTAAGCCAGAGGAGCGATGCAGTTGAGAATACGAACGACAGACTCGCTAAGAGTATGAAGGGAAGTCTCCAGGACAGCGAGGAATCGACTTTCGTTGTGCCATAGCAAGTAAAGAAGCCTATGACCAGACCAAAAGTAATGAATAGCTGTGGACCGGTTGAGAGTGGTCCTCGCTTGCTTGGCGGGGAAATTTCACAAATATACCTGAAATCAAGTTAACTCGCTTACTGAGGTTATACTCCAACTGATATCGTTGATGTAAGGCGTTTGGCGTGTCTTACACCAGTAGTGTCCCGAGATATAGTCCTTCGCCAATACCCTCAATACACCGACCGATAATGAACATCGCTAGATTCACTGCACTCGCCTCTAGGGCAGTACCCAAGCCAAAAATGAACACTCCGATGCTAATTCCTCTTGGTCTCCCGAGGAAATCCGCAACACGCCCAGCAAAGCAGGACGAAAATGCAGCTGGTATTAAGATGGCAGAGACAACCAATCCGTGGACTGTCGACGACAACGGGCCGAAACGTGAGAGAAAGCTACTCATCACAGTGACGGGTCCGATGATACCAGTATCGAACCTTTAGTAAAAGCTCAACATTAGATGGGTTTACTTTGGTTTCTAACATGTTGACGTACATACCCAAACAGAAACCCGCCGAAAGAGCAGAGCATACTCGCAAGAACATATCTCGGCGGTAGGCTGATTAACTGCATCTTGAGAGTTGCGGGCGTCATTGGTTTTCGTAGTTTTCTATGGGAAATCGATTTCCAGGCCGTGATAAAAATCTAAGTGCGGCCTCTTCGCACAGCGTGGAGCACTTGTAGGAGGAACAATAATGATTTTGTTTTCTCTTCTCATTTCCATTTATCTATTCCCTTCCCTATAATCTTTTAGAGGATAAGAGATTTTCTCTCCATTAGTAATCTAGTCTATTAATAATCGGTAGATAGTGTGGGTAGCGAGATATCAATACTATTTATACTACCGCGCAACTGGTGACTCACAAATAATTCTCGTTTCGGGCAGGTTACGCGACTAATCTGGTCAGCAGCTTTTCCTTTTGAGGAGTGCAGCTAATGCACACCAATCACCATGAATTTTGAAGTTTAGATATCGCATGTACGTTGATATTAAGCTGGTATTTGCATCTGTATTACCAGGGGATTATATTTTATGACTCATTGCACGCATTGTGGGCTGCCAACAGAGCAACAGCATCGATTGGTAATGTTGTTTGAACGACAACCACTTTGTCAGCGGCCACTGCTTGCGTATAAAAGGGCATCTGGCTATAGAGGAATATTGACTGCTCCTACTATTACTCCTCCCATGAAATGCTATTCCCAGCTAAGACGTAGATACCCCCAAAGGTGAATAGTGGTCTCAGGTGTCCAACCTTAGCGGGACTACCTCGTGACACAGCTTAGCCCTAGCTCCCTCATACCAGACTCACTGCAGGACATACCAACCACTGCCACTCCTCCTACCTCTCTTCATCCTGTCATTTCTGCATCAGTATGAGTAACTTGCAGCTGCTATGGCGCCATCGGCCAACAGCGACCATGACTCCGATTGGCCCGCGCGACTAGGCGGGGCCGACTGCGAATGTCGCATGGAAGATTGCTGTACATTCGATTTATTTGCTATCATTCATCACAATTTTCTGGTCGTTCGTATGCTCTGACTGACCCTTGCCGCGACGACATGGCCAAGACCTTCGACGAGAGAATCCCCTTTGTGAAGAACGGGCTCGAGTTCTACGGCCTGCTCAAGCGGGGGGAGCCAGCGCTGGCGCTCCCGCTGATTGTGTTGCTTCATGGCGGCGGAGCCACCGCCGCGTTCTTCGACAACTCAGTCGTTTCGTATGCGCATCTTTCCGCGTTTGTCTACTGCTGCGAGAAGTGCAAGGCTGATGCTATCACAGGGTCGTGCAAGAGTTCAACCGCCTTGGCCATGACGTCCTCAACATATACCGTCCTGGGTACGGCGGGACACCGACGCCAACCACGGAAACACCTCTCAAAGACTCGATCCCCGTGTTTATCGACTTCATAGAACAAGTTTACAATGAGAAAGCTGCTGCGAAACACGGCAACGGAGGTATCATTCTTGTAGGGCACTCTCTCGGCGGTGCATTCTCCCTGTCGATTACCTACGAAGCACACGGACGACTGCCGATTCTGGGTGTCAGCTCGATGGGTTGTTTACCCACCACAACAAACATGAAAATCTTGCCAGAGCCGGATAATGAGCCGGGCAGCTTGCGATATGTAACGGAAAATAATGCTGAGAATATTCGGAGATTCATGGGCGAGGTGGAGTGGATTCAATTGGATGCCTTGACTAAAGAAGTCATCGATGATGTGTTTGAGCCTGGTGAGTGTGCTCTATCCTGCCAATAGCGAAGGATGCTAACATCATGTCAGGGATTAAGTCTGAAATTCGGGAATACGGAACAAATGAGTTTTATGAGTACATGCTTAACGAGGTCTTTCCCGGCATCAAAGTGCCTGTGCAGTTTCTTGCTGCTGAGGCAGAAATTATTTGGGATAGTGAAGAACAAGGAAGACCCATTTTCAACAACCTTGTCTCTCGTTTCAAAGGCGCTCCCAACGTTGAAAGCGCCATTTTGCCCCGCGGTGGTCACAATTACGAATTTTCACACAACGTGGGCCAACTTCTGCAGAAAAGGAATCTATTCGTCCAAACATTAGTAGGTCTCAACTGCGTTAAAGAAGGTCGTCTAGGATGTGGCACTAATTTGATTATTCAGACAGCCAATAATAATGCTTCGCCTGTTACAAAGCGGATCAATGGACATACTTCCAATGGCGACGCATTCACCTCTGTCCCAGTCTTGGATTACGCTCAAACAGCCTCACTGAGCTCCCGAGGACTCTTTTTACAAGCCCTTAAGGATGCCATCGTTAATGTCGGATTCTTCTACCTTAAGAACACAGGGGTTCCTGACGAAGTTCAGCGTGCTTTCATCGAGCAATCGATTGCACTATTCGATCTACCACTAGAGAAAAAGCTTGAAATTGAAATGGTCAATAGCAAGCACTTTCTTGGATATGCGCAATTAGGGCAGGAAGTCACCGCGTTAAAGAATGATTATCGTGAGCAATTTGATGTATGGGTCTCCTTACCACGTCAAAGTCGGATAATAGACTCACAAGTTTAGTTTGCCACGGAATTGCCGGCACCAGGCCCCGATGAGCCGCTATATCGAAATCTTCGAGGACCGAACCAGGTGAAACCCCATCTATCCCTAGTGTTTTGCTGAGAACTAATAGAAACTAGTGGCCTGACCCTGAAGCTCTGCCTAAGTTCCGCCAAGCAATCGAAAAGTATTTAGAAGATATCAACACACTAGCGGAATCATTTAAATCACTTGTCGCCGAAGCCTTAGAACTGCCACCCAACGCCTTTCGCCAATTTTTTGACTATCCACAGCAGAACAAATTGAAACTGATTAAGTACCCGGAACCGATTGATAGCAAACCAGGCGAAGATACTCAAGGCGTCGGCCCACATAAAGATTCTTGCTTCCTCACTTTTCTGCTTCAAGGGACGCCGCACACCGGCTTGGAAGTACAGAACAAGGCTGGCGCTTGGTTGCCCGTAACTCCTATTCCAGGAACTCTTGTTATCAACATCGGTCGGGCACTCGAAGCTATTACCAGCGGAGTATGTACTGCAACTACACACCGCGTTAATCTTCGTAAGGAAAATTACATGGATGGGAACGGCAAGTCGCTTGGCCCGCGATTTTCGTTTGCCGTATTTCAAGGTGTGAGTCTAGACCTTGGTGCCCAGAAGATTAATGTCAACATTCCGCAACATATCAAAGACTTGGTTAAGGACGCTAAGGTCAGATCCGATGCCGAAGCGACTTTCAATCAGATGTTCACTGGAAATATTGGCGAAGGCACTCTTATCGCGCGAATAACAAGCCATCAAGATGTTGCGCAAAAATGGTATCCTGACCTCTTGGAGAAGGCTCTGAAAGCTCAAAAGGATGGATACCTATAATTATTTCACTTTTATAATAAGGTTTCAATATAGACAGTCATGTCGTAACGCATTAGGGGTATCATATATTGAGCATAATATAATCAGTAGAACAACATCAAACGGCATCATGTTTCTTAGCAAAGATATCTTCACTCTGCGTCAATTGTGGCGATATCAATGACACAGCGGTCTTCAGCCCAGCCTTAGTCTTCATCCCTTCTTTCCTCCCTCTAAGGCAACACTTCCAGACCAGCGCAGCGATGAGAGCCACCAATACTATGCTAACAGCGGCCACAATCCGGACAACCGTGTAGATATGCTCGCCAATCCATAAAAACACCGAGTTGTCCCAATTCTCCCACGTCTGCCCCGCGCCTTCGTTCCAAAATACCCATGGCTCGGCTCCGCGACGACTGTCCATAATGACGCGATAAAGCGGCCCATTTTCGTCTTGTGGTTGATCCGTGTTATGGTAGTGATTCTGTCGGTGGTATTTCTCCCAGATTGCAGTTTGAAACCATCCACCAGAGGCATATTGAATGGTAAGGTATGGGAATGGCCAATATAACCAGTTAAATGACGGTAGGCTGTCAGTCAAGAGTTGGTAGTACGGATGCTGTGGCATAGATCCGAGAATGTTGTTCAGCAGAGGGCCTTGGTTGTTGTCCGTTGTGAAGACAGGGTAGTATCGAAGTGGTTCCAGTGATTCCAGACAGCCCTGAATTTCGTTAGAAAGATATCAATATATTTCTAGGATGCAAAAAGTACGTTATCTAGATCAATGTATATGCCGCCGTAGTGCCTTAACACAAAATATTTCATTGCATCGACACGCTGTACTGGATAGCGATAGCTATCGTATACGGGTAAGAACCACGGATACTCTCTCAGTAGAAATTCCCTAGATTCTGATGCGCTCCATAGCTATGTGGCCGTAAGTATAAATAGAGATTTCCATGAATGACACAGTGAAGAAGCGCACCTTGTATATCCATCCCGGATGCCGGTCGATACAGCTTGCTCTCAGCCTCCCCCACTGCGCTGAATGCGGCATTCCATTTCCCGACCAGTCATGGTATATTTGGTGAATTCTTTGAGGTATCACGGCCTCGGGCTTTTGATCCTTCGCCGTGCCATTATAATATGCGTCTTTGATAGCCGACTGACTCAAAGGAATGCCGGCATACGGCTTAGTAGAGAATATTTGTGCGAAGTTGGCGATTCGAGTTATGATGAAGTAATGGAGAATGAAAAGAGGTAGGATGATGAATAAAGGCCGTATTCGTAGTTTCATTTTTAAGATGTTTTCTTGAATATGTGGTATTCGCTCGTAGGGGTGTTGTTATGTGTGGGGAAAATGCGCAAAGAAACATTTGAACCCCATCGGTGTTTTTAGGAGGAAACGTGACGTAAATTGTAATAGGTCTGATATGGCGAGATCCTTTGGTCAATAGAAAACCGCAACCAAACGCATGTATGTACAGCGCTGGCTAATGTTGGTTTCGCAGTACTGGGGGTGCCGTCGGTGCTAAGCCCCTTTACAGATGCAAAAACCACTTATGCGATCGTGAAAATGCGACGCTGACGGGTTTAGATAGCGCTCACGCTCGGCGCACACATCATCTCCCTCGCCATAAACTGTCGCTCGTTATTGCAAGGCTGAGTCTTATAGCAAGGCGGCGAAGTATGTTTGTTGAAAAAGTGCAGCCTCTTGACCGGTGTCCAGGAAACGGCAGTTCTCCAACACAAACTCCTCTCGCGTTAGTTAGTGGGGAATTGGGGCTAATTATTAATTAATAACTGGCCGCAAAAGACGTCTGTGTGGTGGAGATTCCATGGGCGGGCAAAAGTGGTGTAGCTTGTCGATCTGAGCGCTGAGCCATCGCCTAGTTGAAATTAACGATGAACACTTGACATGCGAAACGAAGCTAGTATCCCGTCCGATCAGTAAGATGCAGCTCATGGCCATCCGTGTTTAGAATAACAGAACACCTAAAAATTACTTAAAGTTTAGAGATACGTAGACGATTGTTTCATCGCGAATCAGGGTCTCTATTCAGACAAGTAAGCATTGATCGACATTTTATGACGCAAAACACGAGCGCTTCTATCCACTTGTATTTTCTCCGCTTTTGTGCCTTGGCCGATGTTCGCCCTCCACATGGCAAGATTGTATTACTATTCGTCAGTGCGCGGACTACTGCTGTTTTTAGTACGTACTAAATCCCTTCTAGAGTCTCCTGACCTAACCGGACACGGACAACGCCCCGGCGCGTTCAGGAGTGGAGGCAGGCTGAAGGATGTATTTGTAGTCTGTGGAGCACGAACGCAACGTAACTCGTTCTGTCGACACCTATACTTAGTCTAGATTCTTCAATGAAATCAGTATGTGTGCACTGTACAGTTCGTGTCTCGGCTAATTAACTAAAACGAACAAATTTTACAGTCGAATGAGCCTCACCCATTCTTCTCACATAGTCAGGCTGTAAAAATGATAGATCTGCCGGTCGCATAGACTAGGCTTCGAAAGAAAAACTACGCTCTAGATAATTGATGCGATAGACAATATCCCAGGGCACTGTTCTTGGGCACAGGTATGGTTATTGAATTTCTGTTCCGGTATCTTCATCGGCGTCTTCGTCCCGAACTAAACACTTCATTCGATCTAGAGGTTATAGAATCTGCAGCAATGCCAGGAAACTCAATAGTTTTACGATTCTGGTGATTCATAAAGATTTGGCACTTTCAGATGTATGAAGCGACATGAGAATGTATGGATTGCAACTGCGTACTGTATTACATCGTCTTGAAACAACATAACGGCAAATTAGAACCGGCAAATATTGCAATATTACCACGGAATTTTCACGGGAACATCTTCTCCTTCCTCCATCTGCCAGAACCCGTTTCCAAACATCGAGGTGTCAGAATGCAATAGGGCAACAATCACCTTCGCGCCATCCAGGGGATCTTTTGTTCCGCGGTAGTTATTAAATGCTGTCTTGCAATGCCCCGGGCTGACTGTTTGGATAATGAGATCTTTATTCTCCGGTATCTTTGCATACTCCACCGTCAGCATGTTGAGTGCAGTTTTCGACAAACTATATGCGATAGCCTTCGTTGGGGGTAATTTCCCTGAGGAGGATAACTCCAAGGAGCTGCGTGCTGACGACACATTGATAATTTGACCTCGAGATGAGCGACGCAAGAGTGGCGACAGCACTTCAATTGTCATCGCCACAGATGTGACATTGGTATCAAGTGTGCGATTATATGTAGAACGCATTTCGGAGAATGAGTCGTGGAACAGCCCAACACCGGCATTGTTTATCAAGACTAGACAGGTTCTAGTTAGCAAAAGACCCTCAAATACTATCCAATGAGATAAAATTTACCATCCAGTTTCCCATATTTCGTTTTGACTTTCTCGGCGAGTGAAATCAGACTGTAATCACAAGTCACATCCACTTCGAGTACGTCGATCTCTGACTGAATACCAAAGTCTCTTAATTGTTCCACTGCCTCAAACCCCTTTTCTTTTTGTCGGCATGCTAATATAAAGTTGTCGGTTGGGCTTTTGAGGCTTAGGGCTTGGAGGGTTGCAAACCCAATACCTAACATTAATTAGTATGAGACAAATTCCGAAGCATCAATTCCAGTAGCAAGAGCGAGTAGAGACTCCGGGCATACTGTACCTCTATTTGCTCCAGTAATAAGAATAAGTCTTGATGACATTATGAAATCGAAGTAGTCCAGAGAAACAGCCAGCTCCGTCGTGTGTTTTTTTTTTTTTTGTGGATGAAGGAAGCACAGTTACCATGCATTGTCGACCTCTTTATACAACCACCACAAGCGCATCAGAAAGCATACATCGGCATTAAGGAGGACATAAGCCATATGAAAATGGAGATATCGACCAACTTTACAGTGCTGTTCTCCATTTGTGTTTTTATTCTGACACTATTCCAGTTGCGCACTTTGCCGTTTTCGGTATCTACCGCGATAGAGTTTGCCCAATTCCAAAGAGGGAAAATGATCTTCCCATCAAAGGCCATCATACGGCCGGACTTAAGAAATCAAGTAATGAGGCGAAAGATGCATTTCTCTGGTTAGAGTTCATCGACAATGTATTTTCCAAACTTGCCGTGTATTGATCGGAGTACGCTGTCCACCCATTCTATCATTTCGGAGCCGCCCTGTAATCGATCCCGAGCAATCTGAAGTGGAAATGAAAGAAGATAAATACCTTTATTGCCGTGTTGAATATGACGCATGTAAGGAGCCATACGAATAATCTCTTCGGCTATCAGCTGGGGAGACCCTTCCCTCGGGAGAAGAGGGTCATGACAACTTCTCAACGTACTGATTTCAATACCCAAAGTGTGTCCAATTCGTAGAAGAATGAGAAGAACCGCATTATATAGACACAGCTCACCAGCTCTTTGGAGATTTGAGAACAGCAAGCTCGATGGAATGGAATTTTGCGGAAGTATGATTTGGTTGTCGACTGACCAATCTGCTACTCTTTGTTGCACCACGCGGATTGTCTTTGCATACGTCGCATCCCACTGGTACCGCCAAGAATATAAAGCTTCGATCTTGGATACAACAGTCAGGCATAAATTCTCACTTGAGGTATTGACTATATTGACTTCTTGGGTCTTTTTATGACTCTCCAAGTTGCTAAGAATCCCCGGTAGAGTGCAGAAAATGTCATGAAGAGAGTCCAAGAAGGGTTTCCTTGCAGGTTCTCCGCCCCAAGGTATCGTAATCCAGGACCAGTTTTCGAGGAAACATCTGCGCTTTTGGTGCAAATATCCAAGGGTCTGTAGGGATTGTAAGTTTATCTAGGCTTCTAAGCATTGCTGATCATCTTACAACAATGTATCTCAAGGCATGTAGCGTTTGTCGCCTGTATCCTGATGAGTATTGCTCTGCGCCATTGAGTTGCATCTTGAAGGTATCAGCTTGACTAATACCCATTATAAAAATAAAAATAATCACTTACTATTTTTGCTAGCCCGACTGCGTGATTTAACCATGCCCCAGGATGAGTTGGGGCCACAATCTCGTATATACATAAACAAAGTATTGATAACGGAAGATCTTCATCTCTTATGTGTGACTTGCACTGGACTTTGGATTGCACAAGCTGAAGTGCTCTCAGATAATTACGAACACCCCAGCTCGAAAGAAGTGCTGTCTCTTCTGAGTTACTAAAGAATACCGAAGCTAGAGCACAGACCGAAGATGACAGAGGTTCAGGTGTGTTCGGATGCTGCAAAGCGGTTGCCATCCACCCAAGGTGTTTGAAACTATCATTCGGAGACCCTATATTGCGAGCAAAATAGATAATGACTCTATCTGCATCGATGAGTGTCGGTGTTATCGAGCGCGTGGGATGCACCAAAGCAACGCCTCCTTTGCACTGATTTCGCTTACTACTAGTAGGCGTAGAGTAGATTGATGTGTCACAAAACCGGCTTGCTTCATTCACAAACTCCGAGTACTGCTCATAGCCCTGGCAAACAAAGCTGCCAACTTCGCATCGCTTGCATATTGGCTTTGTTTGGTCCACGAGAAAGTAAGTGGATGGTTTGATGGTAAGTTTCACTTGAAGAACCAACCACATTTTACCTTTCGTCTCCTGCATGTTCGACAGCCTTTGCTTCTTATCCCCATCGACACCCTACTCAAGACTGACGCCAGGGAAATTTTTCTAGATAGTAGGCGAGACTTTGAGTGATATCATCTCATAAAGAACCAGTGGCAATAATGCGGCGATAAGAAATGGTGATCTCATATATCAAACGCTTCTCTGAAATGTCACGATCTTAATGTTACTCCTGCTGCTAAGACGGTGGGTTGATCAATCTTACAAAATGGAGGTTTTCGAGGATGGGAAGAAATCCAAAGTTACGAGGAGGCTTGAATCTCGGAATCTACGGGTAGCCATAGGAACCTATCCGGCAACATGATCTTTAGTATATTTCATATAGGGTGAATGACTCAAGTAATTAGTATCTATATACAAATTACAACGATCATGAAGGAATAATATCTTCTGCCTGTAACTTGATCTCTAGTTCTTCACATAGCATCTAAGCAGAGTTGTCTATTGAAGGCTTAGAAATATAGAGATCCACAGATACAGCTTTATATTAGCCATGTATAGTGGTTTTTGTATCTCCATGGAATTTTGTTCACTTTTTTATTGGTGAGATACTATATCCATATACTCGTAAATGAAATATTAAATTTGGCTTTGCATTTAAGTCGATTTCTTCGAATTACTTCGGATAAAAGTGTGGATAGTCTATGCCATTGTTCATCTGGTTTCATAGAGTATCAGAATTGAAGATTGATCTCATCTTTTAGGAGAGTGCATAACGTGAACGAGAAACCCAAGCACAATTGACCTTAGTAATAAAATCCATTAACTAAAGACGATGTTGGGAGGGTCCGGTCAGGTGACAAACGATGCAGTGTCTGCGTTTGCTTGCTCCTTCCCCAAGCTCTTTTTCCAGTTCTTTCCGGACACGGCCTGCTCTTTGCACTCTCCACCTCAGGCTTCGAGCCTGCGACACCATCAAACGCGATCGTTCCACTCTACATCTATATGAAATTGATTCAAGTATGGTTTTACTCATGTTCATTGGGATATTCATCGCTCATGCCAACAAGTTGATGAATGGAGCTGGTCAAAGATGCGCTGTAGCAGGTGTTTCCGAGTCTCCAACAGAGTCTTCAACGCGACCGAGAAGCCTGGCTTCCCTAGTACCACAAATATATCAAAGCATGAAGCTCCACCAATAGCCCCCAGGTAAGCAATATTGCATGCATGCACAATGTTGCTGGTTCGAGAATGATTAATCATAAAACAACTGCAGGACCCGCCTCGTTCCTCTCTCGGGGTAGAAAATCGCAGGATTCCAATCGGGTAGTGGCGTTGCTCTGCAATGAAATAAACACTGATTAGGATAGTTAGGTTTGATTCAGCCAGACTTGATCTAGTCACAACCTTGAACAAAATTCCAAACCTATTTTCCGCATCTAGCTAAGAGGCTACTTCAGCATACAACATGCACTCTGACCAACCGGGCATGAGGAACTCCAAGTGTTGTCTATTCAAACTGCTTTATCGGGACATGGAAAATGTTAGGCGCATTGTATATTTTTCTTAATAGCTATGATATTGCGGATTGGTTTTGGTACTGTTGGCAGCCAAGGTGAGTCTACATCCAAATGCTGTGGGTTGGTCGTTACCTGACAGACATCATCAGGATACAATACACTGCTCAAACCTGAGGGTTGTTGGAGCCTCGTATGTTGTGAACAGATAGACATGGGTGGATGCTTGGGTTGGTCGTCGCCTTGTCAAACGACAAGTTCTCAAGCCACCTCCCGATTCTCGTACGCCTGGCGGGGTGTGCTGCCGGTGATTCCATCATAGAATTAACCTAGTCGATGTTGAGAGATCCTCTCGCTTCGGAAAAGATGGCCAATGACTTCAATGAGTCAGTGTATACAACCAATTTTGTATAGCATCGATTCGTAAGATGAACATAATTTGCAGCTTTGAGTTGCTTTACCCGGTGCGTCAGGATGGGATCGTTGGAATAAACTTGCTCAGAGGTACCCACGAGTCGTGGTGTTTAATTTCTACTTTTCTCAATTATCATGGAGCAGGAGCAGTAGCAGCAGCCTCATCATCATTAACAGTCAAAAAATCCAACTTTCAAGAAACAAGAAATCTTTCTGAAGCATTGACAATCATGAGAAACAACGATAACTGAGGTCATTGACAGAAAGGTGACATATTCGAGGAATGTACTTAACAAACAACCGAGTGGGATCAAAACTGCCAACATCCAGAGTATCTTTGTCTCTGATCAGTACGAAGGGTTGATATGTAAGCAGAGGGATGAGCTCTAAATTGGTGAGATCATGTGACGATTAACCCCACGCCTGATTGGACACATGAAAGCCCAGAGTGAAGTTCCCTTTCCCTTTTCGGGCTGGTCTCGCCTTGTGCGTGCCTGGGGGCCCTCTGCGGTCTCGAAGTCAATATATCTTTGCTGCAGGATGCGACCCAATATGCCGACAAAACAATACAGTTGCAAATGCTATGGCTTCACCTCGACGCGTCAGCTACAGATCATCACGGAGGATGAGTGAGCAACTAATGGGTTCCTCCATTCGGCTAGACACGTCCACATCTTAATTTCCACATCTTCCAGCCGCACGAGGAGTGGGCCCAGCACAGTATTAGTGCTGATTCTGCTGCGATGGTATGTACTCGAAATTTACAGGTCCAGTCAGGAACTTCGCGGTGCAGAATACCAAGAGTAGGAGGTAGGGATCAACTATAAAATGGCCAATTGCTCGTCTCTTTATATGGGATTGCTTGTTGCAACCTTGCAATGCCTGGCTAGTGACTTGGCCACCATCAGAGCCTCAGCCTTGGCTACAAGGATATAGACTATCAATCATCACAGTGATTCCAACGATCTATGAGAGTTGATTACTAGCCAACACGCCCAACTTTGGAGGACTGTCAAAAGATAGAATATGATCGTTGTACAGCTGATTCTATGGCCATATCCCAGAAGGCCGAGTATGGATTGCGTCGTATTTGCGGTTCCAAAGTTTATTTCACCATTATGCCAAGATAATGCTCGGCTCGACGCGTCGCTGGAGCCAATGGAAATTCCATTGCTTCATCGCCAGTGGAGAATCCTGACAATACTCCGCGATGACTACCCGAAGGCTGCTGAGGCTGACAGCCAGTGACAGGGGAGGTCTGGAAGAAAAAGCACCGGCCAGCAACCACTACTAGCACAAATGAAAATAGCTGGACGAGGGGGGGAGCCCACAATTGTAGCAGGCCATTATTATCCTTCCGTCTTTAAGCTTAAAGAATTGCTCCCTAAAGAACTCTACATCATCGCATCACCGCGTTCTGGGTGCCGCCGTCCCTCGTATTTGCTGTCGCCACCGTAGCGACAGTCCGGCTGCTTGGGGGACATCTGAAATTCACAAAACGCGAAAACCATTGCGAGCTGAAGATGAAATTAAACATATTAGCCGTCGTTTTTCCATCACTAACGATAGCTCTGAGGGCACCAGTTCCTGATGCGACGGCTCATCCCCACGGGCAACTACTTGCACAATATCCTCAGCCTACGGCGTCATTTGACGACAATGAATTTCATGCGGCTGTGCGACGTGACACCACTGGCTCGTTTACTGCAATCCCAACATCGGGTTCTCTGTCAACCTCATACGCACCAGCCAGCTTATGTGGCTGGGTTGGCCAAGATCCCAGTAAGCAAACCCACGGTCGTACCTTGGTCTTTCGTCTACCATTGCCTCGCGTCTGAATAACCGCCCAATCCGTCTAATGCTCTGTATTGCTCTAGCCAACAATGTATTTTGCGCCGATGACGAGAAATGTGTTTTCCATGCTCCAAACTCCGCCTGGCCTGGCATGGGTGGGTGCTGTCCTAACAACGACGACAGCAATTGCGGTTTCGAAAGTACCTGCTACGACAGCTTCGAATTGGCTTCTACTCCCGCTCTCCTTGCTACGAACAACCCATTTGCCATCTATTGCACTGAGTCGGCGTCACGAAACTGCGTTACATGGTATTATATTCAACTAGGGATCACGGACTATGGTTGTGGGACGGCATATGAATTTGAGACCGTTTACACCGACGCAACTCTCACGACCGATCATGATACATATGTCACAATGGTGTCTGTGTCCTATGTTCCAGACGCCTTGTTGCAGCAATTCGCAAATGGAGGCAGCACCATGTCTACTGAGCCGGGGAAAATAACAACATCTGGGAAGGCTTCAACAGCAACATCACTACCGACTGTGCCCGCGACTTCCGCACCAGCGGCAGCAACATCTGTAACTTCATCCAGTTCATCAACGCCAGTCGGCGCCATTGTTGGCGGGGTTGTCGGAGGTGTTGTCGGCCTCGGGGCCATCGCTGGCGCATGCTTTGTGGCCTGGTTATGGATGAAGAGGAAAAAGGAAAACAACCCCATAGAAATGTCGTCTCGAAACAGCACCCAGCCTGGGGGTTACCAATCAGTTCCACAATATCAACTACCACAGTCTTGGGACAACGCTACATCCACATTCTCAGAAGCTGGCGCTAAGGAAGTAAGGAAAGGACCAACTGAGTTGCCCGATGGGCCTATTATTGAAATTGATTCGAACAATCGGAACGTTGTTACCGAATTACCGACCACGGAGCCCTCACAAACGAGCCACTAAGAGGTTAGATGTAATGTTTATCATGTATATAATACTTATTATAATCGGTTAGAATTTTGTAATGTTAGCCTATGAACCTGACTGCATAAGCGAGTGTTTATATAGAGCGATATCCTTGAAGAAAACATTTTGTGAGTAGTTTCTTATTTGCAAAGTTAGAGACGATATGAATATAGCCAAATTGAGACAATACTCTAAGGTGCTTGCGCCAATACGTGTATAGCCAGACTCGTTATTATCCACCCTTTGAGACAGTAAAGTGGATCTTTAATACTATAACAATTTGGTAGAGAAGGAAGCTAGTCTAAAAATGAAATCTGGCAAATTTATTAATTGTTTTTATGGCAGTGCGTGGTTTCAACAATAGTTGATCGTACTTTCAATTCTCCATTTGATAGATTATTTCATTTAATAAATTCCTAAAAAGCGGGCCTTTCCGTCTTATATCGCAACACTACATATTTCAATTCCTCAAATTCATTTTTCACATCAAATACAAAAGTTTACAGTGATACAAGTCATTCCCTTGTCGAATATCACTCATTTTAGTGTCTGCGAGATGCTGGTAGGAAAGTTGTTAGGTAAATGGTGAAACTGGTTTTTCTTCCTTGACACCATCCACCCAAATATCGACCTTTTCATCATAAAACGCTATGTACCCTTTAATTTCGACACTTTCGGCCGTCGGATTCTTGTACCACCACGCAAGACCAGTTTTCTCCTGCCCATTGGGCAATTCTACCACATAGTAATCCGCGTCACCCTGTAAAAGAAATGTTCAATATATAACAAAAAAACACTTTAAAATGACACTAACCTTATAGGGGCAGCTAGTCTTCAGCTTTTCATCCGGCTTCAACAGGTCCAATCTAACATCTGTATGCGGGATATACTTCCTTATGGGTAGACCTGTTTCGTACAAAAGCTTCGGGTGGGTGGTATTTGCTACCTCGACACCATCGATCTCAACACGAACGTGCTTCGAAGACTGCAAGATTTGTATTCGTTTGTATGGGTCCTTTGGGTGTGAGTATACACGTTCGTCTTCTTCAAACCATGCGTCGGCCTTGTCGATTCCAATTTTGGCATAGCCTTCGAAGTCTCCAGACGTAAAAACCGTTACGGCAGATGGCGATGTTCGGTCCCCAACAACTAAATCGTAGAGTAGGACGCCTGGCTGATCAGTTTTCGTTTCATTGGCGAGATATTTGTCCTTGACAACGTCCGACTGAGAGAAGTAATAGATCGGATAGTAAGGGCGTTCCCATCTTCACTATGGTTAGTCCTTTGCTTCTTTATGTCTGTTCCCTACCCTCTTGAATTATGATAACTTACACGAGCTTCGGTTTTTTCGCATCAGCAACATACTTTCCATTGAAGACCACCCGGACTCGTCGGATGATATCCTCCGAGTATCCTGCAGCGGGAAATGGAGGTGGCATTTCGTCGATCTTGTCTATGCAGTCTTTAACGTTTTCTTTGATAATATGCAAGTACACTTTACATCAATGAAGAGAAAGCGAGGGGATAAAAAGCTGTTATTTCGTCATACAACAGAATGCGGGGTACATATAGCGTCATCCGATTCGTAAGATTGAAATGATGTGTGAGATTTGATTATTAATCGCAGATGGATTTGCAAACAGTCTAGATCAGATTTTAGTGCCTACTATTACAGTAAACAATATGAGCATTTACGTGTTAAGTTCGTATTCCCAAACTATTAGCGTAACTAAAAAGTACTAACCTTGAAACCCGTTTGGCCTAAATTGGGGCTTATCCTTTTGACAAATACCCAAACAGTTAAAGTTGCAGGTATTCTAGATATGACTTAAAATTACATATTAGTGTGAGCATCAATCGATTTTGTTGTCTTTTCGCTGGTGATTCTTTGGGGCAAAAATATGTCACAGGTTTATAACTCAGGGCTGGAAGCGGTCGTTCCCTGGGGACCTCACAATACGACAAGTATTGGCGGCAGTGCAACCTTCAACTCAACTTACTATATTTCTGGCCGTAGCAATGGCGTGGCTCATGTAATGGGTGTCGCTAGTGAATGTTGTACGGTACGGATCATTCATCTGGTAACCATTAACTTTATACCTAATATATCTACGGGAGCGGCCGCGGGTGAATGCTATAGCATACAGTTAACGGACAGGTGTCGTTTTTGTAACGGATCGAAATTTGGAAGAAAACGATCCGAAAGGAATTATCATTGATCTTATGGAACCGGTAGATCGTAGGCGAAGTTGAAGTCAATAATGTCAGCGATAAGAATAGCGGTAATGGACATCATGTTGGAAGCAGTCTGGATCAAATAGCATTTGATGCAGCGAATGAGCGCTTCTACATTTGTAGTCGCTCAACGTGGGTCATGGCGGGGAGATTATTGAGGTTGATACTTTTGACTTGCAAAGCAGCAATACGTTCAGTCTTGACAACTGTTACCCAGCGGGCATAGTGTTTGGTCGTGAGTAGAACCTTTGTGTTGGGCAGCGACGAACGACAGTCACAAACGGGTATTCAGGATATAGCCTCGTCCTTGATACTGGCCAAGGCTGGTCTATTATTGGCAACATATCCGGTATATCTGGTATCAGTCAGGCGACATACGGCTCAAGTACAAAGCTATATTATGCTGCAGCATATTAGGACCACAAGATGAATGTGACTGAGGTCACCTTATCAACAAACCCAATACCGCAGCTGGCGAATATAAACGCAACTTCGCATCAGCTGCAGAGTGAATCGTGACCGATGATATCATCTCACGAACAGTGGCGGTTGATCCCAACACGCAGAAAATAATGATACCAAAAGAAGCGGGAATGCAGTGTATGCTCTCTTGGGTAATGTGACGCACGACCCGCAAACAAGTGCCACAAGCAGGATTTCAAAAAGTTCGTATGTGAGTGTAGCCTCGGTATTGTTCAGTGTGATTCTATCGTTATCACAGAGTATACCTTTATTTTCGACACACTGATTTGATAAAATGAATAGCCGAACGGGATACAATGTCTTCCTAGCCCAATATATGTTTGTTTGTTTTTTAATTGTGGATGATTTAAATCCAAGCGAACAGGGTAAGGAATTACGGCCGAAATTCAAATGACGTGCTTGAAGGAGTAGCTGTATGTTGAAAAGGTATAATATTTGAGAAGTGGATTTCGTGGGCATTCGACCGAGTATCTCCGTAGGGCCGCGAAGAAGGAAGTACTTGAGATGATTTGATGGAACGCGTTTTATGAGTTTTGGAAATATAACAGTCAGATTTTAATTATGATCCACATTCGGAGCGTGATAGTCATGCACACGTATCCATATCTCGAAAAAAGCAAAGACATGAAAACGGCGATGAAATGTAAAAAAAAAGAAATGAACCCAATCGGTACGATGTCCGAGCAAACCAGCTACTGCCTATTTGGTGTTCTCGCATAGATAGCAAATGGTCCATGTATCATGCATCTTATCTGTCACATTATTTAGGGCGCATTACCCTCCATTTTAGTTTGATATGCATGTGCATTTACGGTTTCACCGGATCTCCTTTGCTACTGTAGTATGATTGGCGCTTAGCCGGTACTCCATCTAGTCGTTGAATAAAACCACGAATAAGAATTTGTATATAATAACCTCGGTAAATACAGCCTTTTCGCCGCTATATGGCTTCAATTTTATCTTTCCACATTATATGACTGGTTGCTGTGGTTTTCTCTTATTCGAAGTCGATAGTGTTTGTGTGACTATGCAGCTAGGCGGGCCTGTTATTGGCAACTTCCCAAAGCGATGACTTTCCATTTCACCCGAATCTTTTGTAATTTGAATTTATCTTCGTGTGATGGCTTTCGGCAGGCGCCACAGCGGCTGGGTTCTTGACAATGACATCATTTGAGCCTCAGGCAAAAGTGCCCGATTGCACGGCACAGCCTATACTATATTTGACCGGAACGACCGTGCGATAATAGTGTCAGTGAATTATCGAAGGCCGAGAAATCGCCTGATCATTGATTCTTTGATCATTGTAGTCAACCCCCCCCCCCCCAAAAAAGCCGGCAAGGCTGACACGTTGCCAGAGCAGACGATTACACCATGATCTAAAAAGCATTCAGCTGGGGTGGCTAAACATGTAGATGATATGGTAATTTGGAGATTTCCATTACGTTCGCTGGATCAGATACAACCAATTATAGTATGGTCTAATGATTGACGAGGTGGGTAAGGACAAGATAACTGATAGGTATGACCGTGTCGATTTTTCGGGTAAGATGTCAAAGTTGAGGTATCAAAAGTAATTGACCTGAGACGCAACAAAAGGCTGGCCTTGGACGAATATAATAATCATTCCACTCGAAGAGATTTAGACTAAATGTTTCTCCTCTTCTCCGAGGCCAGGATGTTGGACACAACATTTAAGAGGACAGTATTTCAAATTACTGTTAAGGGTACATTCCCTTGCAACCGCAGGCATAGTGTGTCTGTTAAGTTAGAACATACGTTGAATGTGTTGTTTATAGACTCTAACTATATAGGCACTCTTTGAGTGACCAATTCGTCTTAAATCACTGATTGCCAACACTGACCTTTCATGCCAAATATATGTCCATGGGGTTGAACGACCTAATGCCGTAGGTAAGAAGCCAATGATACATCTGGAAGATGTGATACATGTATGTGGTATATCTGTCGATAGATTAACTTTATTCTATGTAATTAACTCTATAGAAGATAGGTATTTAAGTGGGACCCTTACCTATTGAAGTTTTATTATTCCCATCGATTTAGATAGGGTAACTATATCCTAGTAGGATTGGGCTTCTTCGGTGTTTTCTCTTTTCTTATTCCTATATATTTCGGTTTCCATCTCGTCTTGCATCAGTTCATGCATGAATCATGCATAAACAACTAGTCGATCACTCCGATTTTTCTTTTTCGAATTTCAAACTAGTGGGCGGGAGAGACGGCTGGGTGTTTAGGCAGTAAGGGTAGGATTTTCATAATATGAAAATATAGGGAAACCTGGCTTATGATCGAGATTGAAATCACTAAGAAACGTCACGTAGAATACCATGCCAATATCGAATTTTAATTTTTTTACAAAATCAATTGAAACAATTAGTTTGTCTGGATAGTTTGCTCTTGCTTACGTGTAGTTCAAGATAAAACAACATAAATCAGTTGACAACTTGATGTAGTTAATACTGGCAATTTAGTTCAAAACACAAGACGATACGTGATGACTGTACAATACAAAAAGGCGGTTAACGGGACAAAAGAAAGGAAAATCAAAACCAAAATTTAAAACATCAAAATATCAGACATCCATAAAGTTCTCCCCTGCGCTAATGATCCAACCGATAACAAAGAAGGTTCCCGTGTAACTGTCATCTGGTAGGCGTGTGGAATAATTATCTGCGTCTATCGTAGAGTGATGCATGCGCACAGTGGCTGAACAAGGTAGATTAGCGTGTACAATCGGTAGGAAAGGCGGTCGCTTTTGACGTCACGGAACGCAAACAGACGCAATATCAAGGCCATGGCCAGCGTAGCAATGATACTGGAAAGAATTATGGTTGAGATATCAAACCGGTAGTTGAGAATACAGTTCCTAATAAGTAGGAACTGTGAAGCAAGCACGCCAAGCGAAATATAGACTCGACCTATCAACCTCAGCCATGAATAATGAGGCTAAAATCGTAAAAAGAAGGAGAAAAAGAACATACACGGCAAATCACCTAGGATAATTGGCATAGTGCGTCTTCCGATAGCGAGGTCACCTGGTACGTCCCGCAGATCCTGTACGGAAATGGGAAGAACAACGTACATGGCGATGACCTTAATCCAGGACCAGCCAATATCGTAAGGAGAACCACCCACCAACCAAGCGGCTGTCAGCTGGGCAACGCACCCAATGCCAACGCACAGGTCCTTAGTCGGTCCAAAATCACCTAGATTGAGAAAGTTATGCGAAAAGGCAATCAAAACCCACATGAATGACCAAGTACCGACGCCTAGATAGGTGCCATACCCAACGTATAAAGCAGTCAGAACCGCCCAGCGTATGCGGGCCGCCTGTAGCGAAGACATACCGGCAGCAATGGGCCGGTCAGGCTTGTTGATACGATCTTCCTGGACGCCGCAGACCTGATTGCCGACAACAAAGCTGTAGAGGAATAGATAGCCCAGGAGGAAGCTTTCTATATATTCCGATTAGGATCAGCTGTTTATTCAAAACTATGAAACTTCTAGAGTAATTGGAGAGAGTATGCAGCATACTCGGGATTGTAGTTGCCATGTCTTCCATCGTTGCGTTTCGGTAAAGCAACGAGGCAGTTGTAAAAGCAGGCACAGGAAGCATACCCATGCTAACATCGCGATGCATAAATCCATAGCAGAGCTTAGCCTCGTGTTTTACGACCGCCCATACCTTATCCATGACCACTGCCCAGTCGGTTGCAAGAAACGCCATATATCCTGAGTTGGGTGATACAGTTGAATATGCCTTGCCAGTGAATGATGCAGATCCCAGTATCGTTGGGTTGGAACAAGTAGTAGGGGAAGAGGAAGGCCCAGTAGGAGAGGGCAATGGGACACGGGAAGAACCGAGTCGAATGGTATGGGATTCAGTCATAGTTGCGGATAGTCACGGCGTGACTGCTTTGTAGAGTGAAATCGAACTGGAGTGTATTGAAACAATAAGTGGCAGTGTTGCTTCTTGCTAAGAAGATTCGCTCATTGTCTTACTGGTCTTAGGTTCAAATGTTCCCTTCCGTGTTCGGCTCTAGTTTTCTATTCAGAGTCCAAAGCACAAGAAAGGGCAGTGGCAAGTAAATATAAATAGGTCCAGAAGAGGAGACCCATGCTCCCATAAAAGGTACAAATGGTGGGGGCACGCTGAATGGCGGGAATAATGGGCAGGTGAATGGGAAGACCCCGCTGGGAACACTTCCAAACATAGTTGCATATGTAAACTGAGGCGCTGAGAGAGTAGAGACGCTGGATGTGCCCTCGGAGAATCTCAGTATGCTACGGTCCGCAAAGCAATGGCGACTGACCTTGAAGGTGGAGAAGGATGGTCCTCCCTCCCTCGCGTAGAGTTGCACAACTGACTCGTGATAGTGCGTGCTGCCTCACTCTAGTGTTGCGTCGATCAACTTTCCAGGCTTGTGCCGCGGATACCAGATCGCACGCCGCATCTTGTGTAACAGAACCGGGCATTTTCTTTTTGTTTAGATCAGGGATCACACTGATCAGCCCGTGCATTGATGACAGGGGTGTGCATCATGCGAACTTCGCGTTTATTTTCTTCTTCCGTTGGGGATATTTTGGGGCTCAACGAATGTTAATCTTCGTCTTTCAGAAGTAGCAGATCATCGAGTGGTTGCAGCAAGGCGAGTTCTGCCTTGCCTGTCCATTGGCGAACTGAATAATCGTTCGTCCTCGCAAGTAGACGAACAGGTACTACTCAGTAGGGACGATACGCTTCTTCGCAGACTAACGACGAGCCTTGACGGGGTCTAGACCGATTCGCGGCCCGGTTCGGAACTTGCCGTGCCAGGTCTGTGGCGAAGCGCCGATCAGAGCAATGTACCCAATTGGTGGCCCTGCACTGCTGCCCAAAACAGACAAATCACAGCCGGCAGAGCGAACTCTAAGCGCAGAGACTCCAGCAAGAGTCACGGCGACGATCGTTCCGCACGTCGCAATTGGCCATTGGCTAAGCGCCCATCTATGCCATCGAATCGCTGCTGACCTATCGCGGTCTGCGGGGTGGGACGGTCCATCGCGCTGGAACCCAATCGGGAAACAGTTCAGCAGCACGAACTATATACCGACACTATCCCTACCAAATCTACATAGTAGAGCCCATTCTGATAGTCTACAACTAGTTCATTGTATTTCTATGACGTGTTCACCCAACATGCTGGTCAACACTGACACTATGCCTCGTTTATGTTCTATCACGTGTAACAACACCGTGTTGGGACGTGTCTATAGACATAAGATATCCTCATGTCCGGCACCAGAAAACTCCGCGAAGCCAGCAGGACGAGTCTGCTCGAGGCACGGTCCGGCTTGGAGAAAAGCGGGGACCGGGGGGGGGAAGACACGCGCAAGTCCGTGCTGTCGACAGCGTGACAGTAAATCGATCAGAGGACAATAATTCAATTTACGGAGCAGAGGATTTGCTACCAGTTGTCTTTTGCATGCTGCTTATCACAATATCCATCCGGATCGTGCCCCGTCCAATCATGAGGCAGACTTTCTTTGCGGCCCAGTGCTCCCGATGAAGGATCGACGTAAGGGCACGCGCGCCACCCACGAAGACTTGTTAGTTGACGAGTCCGCTTTTCATCGTGCAGCAAGGAAGTCTTGGCTCTAGATCACATTTCTGGTTTTTGGGATTTCTGCCCTGGAAAGCTGGTATGTGGCGCAGTAGAATAGAATCAGACTTACCGTCATCATGAATCCCAACGAGTTTATGGTATGCTGATTGTGTGACCTTCATGCATGCATCTAATGCGTACACGCGCATTAGGGCAAAGACTAGTGACCAAGGCCTAAAAAGTAAATATTGAGATCGCCAACCACCACCAACCAGTCTATATGTTCTCCAAACGCCGAGTAGGACGAATGCTTTAGGCGACGAACTCTTTTCTTCTCTAGTCATATGCCGACCGTGTTTTTGGTTCCCATATCGGTATTAGAAATCAGTGTTTGGACGTACCCGACTTTCCCGGCTTGTGGCTAGTTTCTACGCAGATCTTGGCGTCGTCAATCCAAGCGCTCAAATCTTCGATCCAGAAAATAAACAGAAAAAGAAACGAAAACGACATTGCCTAGTAGAATTCTTTGCCGTCAATCTCCGATGTCGCTGTATTGTATATTAAGATTTTCCATCTTTTCGCGTCGCCGGAAAAGAAAAACAGAAAAAGACACCAAACGCGAATATATCCACCAGAAAGGCTACCGCCTCAACCCTTACTGATCCAAAAGAGGCCCGCTTAAATGGCCGATATATGTAGTTTATCGACACAATAAATGCCAGGTAAAGCACTTAATAGCAGACAACGTGGAAAAGGTACGAACCGTGGTTGAGTATATCGGATTTATGCCCGTAATACTGTTGTATATGGTGTGTCGAAATATTGCTTAGTTGCAGCAATATTAGTAAGAGTAGTAGTTACACAGTAGGAGTAAGCAACACGACCAAAAGGGAAATACTGGTGAAATTGATCGTCAAACCATCCTAGTCTATGTTGACGATCGTCTCGTCTCTGTTACCACCTATTATCTAACTTTTCCATCGTCTTCAATGCTCAACCAATCCCATTTCCTCAAAAAGAGATCTAATTCCGCACTACCCTCCTGATGTGTCTCACGATGCTTTTCTCTTGCACCTCCTTGTTTATCGTATCCTTCTGTTTCGGAATCGCCGATACTGGTGCGCCATGTGCCCCGTAATGAAACTACAAAATTTGGGTAGTAGCTACTAAACTTGTCCAGGTCATGCGTCCGGTGCCATTCCGCCTCAAAGTCTTGGAAAATGGGCCTGACCTCCTCTGGCAGGGCTATCTTCTCCTGCCGGGCCGTGACCTGAACGAGTCGCAGCATGCCTCTAGCTAGCTGGAATCGACGTGCCATTGCACGAGCTAACACGGCGAGGTACACAAACGCTTCTCGACTAGTATTGGTGGCAAGATCATCCAACAAGGTAAATAGACTGACAATGATGACCTGTGTGTATTCTAGTGGAAGGTATTCTATGCGCCTCCACTTAGCTCGGTGGGTGTGAATGAGATCCCGTACGGCAAGCACAAAACCAATGCATCGCTGATGAGCCGCCGAGGAGGCAGCTTGCGGCGCTGATGGATGCACTTTGATCAAACTGTGTAATGTTGCTCGGTAACCATAATATCGCATACTGTAAAAATCCCTTCCCCAAAAGATGGGCAGTGGGGATTTCATAAATTAGTTGCCGTCCTTCGGGCATTCAAAAGAGAAGGAAGATAAAACTACTAACTGAAGCTCTAGAACACCTGGAGTCCAGCTCTGGCCCTCACTGATACAGATAGGTAAATTGCGGAACCAATCCGCCAGGCGAGCATCAAATGAATGCACTGCTTTCTCAACATCGGCATAATGACGCCGTGACTGTTCTTTATCTGAGTAGAAAAAATCCACAACCTCGTATATTATTAGATGCAATTCAAATGACTGATTATGAACACAATTGCGATGTGCTGGTTGGGGAGGAAGTCGCTGCGGGTAAGGACACCATGAATCTGTTCTATCGTGACTTTCTGGGAGATGTTTGCGGTTTGGTGGTTTCATTATGACTGGAGTTTGTAAAGAGAGACCAGCAAGTCTGTGGACATGACAGACACATTCTGTGAGCTAATTTTCAATTCTGAAGGATAAAATGTTGGTGCACCAACGTACGATAAGAAGCTGAAAAGACCGCGAACGGTGATTTCGATCGACCGCGTCATTTGATCTCCTTCAGGGCCCGCCGCTGCGATAAACTCATCACTTCGAGAAACCAGCTCTCGTATTGAATGACAGGCCTGTGACATATAGTGCAGCCCTACCCGGTCCTTTCCCATTAGGCAAGTGCTGACGATGATCAGTAAGCAATTCGTTATGATTATGACATTTGAGGCTACCTGAAGTAGAGCATACCAACCCCCTGGACGGTAGTCAGGTTTACCCGTCCTTCCATCGCGTCTAGACGTCGCTTTGCCTCCGCGTAAAAGTGCTGTCCACGAGAAGAGACATCATCTGGATCAATGAATGCTTCGGGGTAATTGGAATAAAGCTGTCTGTGCGTTAGTTGAGATCTGGTGCAAAAATCAACAACAGGAAGGTTCAAACTAACACAAGCCTGAGACAGAATCGCATTGACGAGAAAAGGCGAGCAAAAAGGCGAGTTGACATCACCAGATTGCATTGCTTTGATGAACAAATCTTGATCAATCCAATTCCGGCAGACGTGGTCCCATGACAACCACAGGGATATAAGATGTGAGATAAATGCGTTATCTGTCGTTGTCTCTGTCCAAGGCTGCGCAGCAAGCTCGAAGAGTGGGATTTCAGTGAGTCGATCAATATCCATGATTTGTCGCCGCATGCTCTGGTGGCTGTGAATATTATACGGATTAGAGATCCATGCCTGGGCATTATTGGTCTGAGCTTGAGCTGTCCCGGTTGCATCAATGGACATTAGCGAGCTCGAAGATGGTGAGGACCGAGGAAATCGATCTGTCAATCGGTTCTCCACGGCCAGTCGGATGTCATCCAGCGATGCATTGCTTCGGATGAGGTTAAAAAGCTGTAATGCATGCTGGTCATCATCACGTAGTGCTTCAACTAGTCTGAGTAAAAACTCGCGGTCTTGCTCCAAGTCTTCAACTTTGCGTTTCAACGCGGTCCTTCGTCGCCCATCTGTTTCATCATTTATTTCGCAAAAAAGTGAATTTTCTTCGCAGTTCCTGCATGGGTTAGTACCGATGCACTGGGGTTGTGACCTCATTAGCCTGGATCATACTATCGATATATCGGATCATTTCCGGTAAGTTAGTTTCTAACCTTGATTTTCCGTTTTTGACACTCGCTGCAGGCACGAGAGGCATTTTTGGCTCGGACTCGACGAGGTACTACCGGCCATGCCCGCTGGTTGTGATTCTTGCCAGGTGCAGGAATCAAGGGGTGTAACTTTGCTTTCTCGTCGGTCATTATTAACCACGCTAAAGACGTTCTATGCACTCGGCTTTACGTCATCTAAGGCGATTCACGCCCGGTTCTGCTGAAACAGTTAGGGGGAAACCCAGTAACTCCGACGGATTTTGAAATGATCAATCCGCCATCTTGATGCTTTAGTTCAAAGGAAAAAAAAATAAAAAAGAGAGAAAGAGTAAGCAAAATCGAGAGAGAAAAAAAATAGAAGAAAAGTCGCCAGGAAGCAATTCACGAGACACCTTCAAGCTAGTCACGCTGGCGGAATTTGCAGCTGCAAACTAGCGTTATCGTATAAGTTCTGTGGCAATGAGCTGATCGATCACAAAATGACAGGATCATTAAGGCCAGGAGGAATGACTGAGGGTGCATAACCGAGATCCCACACACCACTCAATTTCGGCTTTATGGGTTCATTTCGAAGGGACTGGTGATTGCCAAATCATCGATCGAACGCTCTTGCAGCTCGCTCACCCCTAATTGGGCCGATCGGCGGATTACGTGCAACTTGTGGTATGTATGAGTGGATTCGCCGTTCTTGTGGTGCGGCATTACCTAGGGATCGCCCTATCAAATTATATCGTGCAGGAAATATGCGCCAGAATTTCCGACATGGCAAGCAACGTAATGATTCATAAATTAGACGGATCCAACACCTAAGAGGAAGCTTTAAACATGGCCATTTTCTAGAGCAAGCCTAAACCCGGCGACCGGCGACCGGGCTTCTGAATCATGGTATCCAGTGCGGTTTACGCAGATTGATTGGGCGTTTTTCGGGATTTGCGGGGGTGGCTAATCTTTCGCTGGTTATTGCTCTGCCACATTACGGAGCTACAGGATCAGGCCAACGATAATCCTTGTTGATTATGGTGAATAACGAGTTGGCTGGCTTGCTGGGAATCCAATCGACATCGAGCTCCACCGAGGCGAAAATGGGGACAGCAGAGCAAAGACCAATGCTCGTGTATGAACCTGTTTCTTCGGAAATATTATCTCCACTCCCTCCTATAGGTTTCCTTCTAGGTAGCCAGAGGGATTCTTGCCAACACAATCGCACCATTGACGAGGATGCGATCTTCCGGCTGTTGTCTACTGTCAGCCTGTCTACAAAAACGCAAAACAGTCCTTGCGCTCCGACCACTGGCACTCTCGATGGAACTGTACACGGCCATGCAACATGAATGGCCTTCGTTGCAATGATGAGGTTCGACACACTTTCTCTGTGAATATTGGGAATGGAGCTACATGTGGAGATAATGTAGCCATACAGTAATCTGTACCTAACTTCCTGAGATGGCTGGTATGTACGGAGAGAATTGGCGTTTAGGGTAGGAAGAACGCTCCCGCCGATAGTATCAAAGGAGCATGCAATCTTATCGCCGGAATATCTTACCGGACCAATAGCTGGACTGAAGGCCGAATTTGGATAGTGCTTCAGACCGCTTATTCGATGCTTCAGACCATCTATCCATGTTAGTCACCTGATTCAGATGGCAACTTGGGAGCTACCGAGGAATGGCCACGCCTCTGATGGGCTACACAATCTCCTACGAATCCCGGTCATCGGCGTAGTCAGCATTCGGCACGGGCCGCGGTCGATTGAATTCTTCAGGAGATGGCGGAGCTACTCGCACAAGCGTTGTTTTAATTTTTACTTGTTCATGTGTATGGAGTATAGCGCAGATAAAATTAATATTGCATCTCGATTTTCAATATTGCCATGTTAAATGAATCATGCACCGCACGGACACCTTTTACTATAGTGTGTTTGTGCACAGACACTACCACCTGATGGGCTATTGGAGAGAAATTTGCCATGTGGGATCTCTCTGTTCGCACTGGGCCTCGGATATAGAAATACGGCCATGTCAAGGCGGAGAGACTTTTCTATGTTATAATTATCAACCAGCTCATCTCCTGGCGGGCGTACGGTTCTCTTATCTGATTGCCGGACTGTGATTAGTATGCCGTCCTTTCATAAGAGGCTATAGCTCACTATAGTATCTAATCTGGAAATAATAACCGAGCTATGTAGATCATCCAGAAAACAATTACGGGGTATTTATTGATCGATCATATTAACATCTCATTTTTTGGGGTATCTTGCCAACTGTCCTAGGCTTCTGCATAATGATATCACCTTACAGTCTACTCACAGCCCTGTTTGAATCATTTTACAAAAATATGGAAGAGAAAGGAGTGGAAGACTGCCGTAACCACTGGTTGATTGTACGTTGGGGTAGATGGTGGATGTAATTTATTCTCAGAATTGCATTTCATTCACATCTACGAGTCGTATGTTCCGACCTTGGTTTTGAGCCTGAAGCGTGTGGGACTACTTCTCGGGAAGGAGTTAATAATGGTTAAACACAATCGGATAATAATAGGTTCAAAATTTCCTGGCACTATATCGTTTGTAGAGGATTGACCAGGCTTTCGTTTCTTTGGGTTAGTTCACCTTGATTCATGTCAAAGAGATAAACCTACCTTCGACAAACCATAAGGAAATAGGCTCCGTCAATTATGCAAATATCAATTATTATAGCAGGCCATGAAATATATATAACCAAATGTACCGTTTCTAGGTTGTCAACACCATAGAGCGTCAACAAGTGGGGTGCAAAACGGACTTCAATGTTTCGTCTTTGTATACATTAGACCAAGTACATCTGTTGAAAAGCAATGTGAAAAATAGAAACATGAAAACATCGATGATGCAGTCTCGAAGTCATACACCGGTATTGACACTCAGCTGAAGAACCTATCGCTGCTGGGACTCACCATTCTAGCCCCCCTGAATCAACGCAGCACCGTTGTCTGTGCTGGATCCACCATCCAATACTTTCAAACTGGCCTGATTCGAAATTTTATAAGTACCGTCTGACTGCCGGTCAACCCACTAACGCTGATTTGAGTACTGAGTGGGTTGTCATTGGATTATTCGACTGTTATCTGTATTGTTTCCACAAGGACAGTCTAGTACTTCCCGTATTGCAAGATTAACAATATTCCATGTATTGTCTGAGTTTGGGTAAGCAGCCAGTGCTGATTCAGACCATCGTTTTGGTCCCATTGAATCACATCATAGCCATTTCTAAAGGTACCCGCACTGTCAATTGCCATTCCTGTCTTATTATTCGTGATGACATGGATCCCTCCAATCTCATTCGGCTGAGTTACAGGTGTGTATTGGAACCATGCCACCACTCTAACAAACTTATTTGCCATCAGCGCATTGTCGTTCGGGCTAGGCTGATCCCAGGCATTCCACGTGATATTAAGATCACTTCATCCATTGACTAGAATATCGTCTGCCTTTTGGGCTTTCCACAAATATTATTCGTCCTATAATCGTTTATTTCGCACGAAGCGTCCGCCACGAGCTGCTTCGTCCGCCCATGTATTGAGATAGGTTGCGTTATTGCTGAAAACGCCATTACTGTGAGATTGTTTAGTGCGTATTCAATGGGTTGCTGGGAAACAATATAATATGTATAATTCCCAGTTATTTCATAGAGTAGGTTTGAAATTCCAGGAATGTTCCCTGGTTAGATGCTGCTGCGCCAGTATCGTCGCTTTTGGTCTCATTGATTCCAGGGTTTATTTGCCGCGTGGTTGGGTTGTAGAGATACTCTAATACCCAGTCATAAATTTGCTGACACTTATCCAAGTAACCCCTTCGTGAGAGTTTTGATAAATCATACAAGCAACCTTGCCGAGGCTATTGTCCACATAGGGCCTGTTTGGTCGGTGTACGCGTTGGAGTTTCCTTTGCTGCATACTCGGGATTCTATTCTGAGATGCCTCCATCACCGTATTCGGTATCCCAACCGCGACCGAAAGCCCCATTTTTGCGTTGTCGAAATATGTTGAGTTGCCTGTTATTTGATAGCTGCTAATAAGTGCCACCAGCGTAGCCCAACCAATATCGTTGTTCCACCCATCCCGCGACCATAGGGGAAGGTTGTTATTTAGCCACGTCGTCAATAAATTATTCACTAATGCCTTCTTGTCAGGGTCTCCGGCCGCTCATAGGCGTCCTAGGCTCCGGAGAATATCGAGCAACCCTCCTTATGTTCCGTCTAGGTCTCCTTTATTCAATGCTGACTAGTAGAAGAACTCGGTGCTGGAGGTACTTAGGAAGGCACTCTTTAACCCATCGAACATCGCCTCCGCACCACTCTGCACAAGAGCAACTACTACCTGTGCAACCGCAAAAGCCCTCCCAATCAAATTCCTAGCGGGGTTGAGTAATTGTCTTCGGCAGATCTTGTGATGCCAGACAATAGCTACAACAACACCAGAAAGTAAATCGGATTGTGAAGAAATGATTCAATCATATAAATCGAGTAGACTGTAGGTAACGGGTGTTAACCTTGTTCGCTAGCCCAATATAGATGGGTAACTGAAAGACTTCCGGGGCGACGGAGTCCTAAGCTTTCATCAGCTCGTGGAGAACCGGTTAGCAGCTATGGGTCTCGGCGAAGCCCGCATATAAACGAATTGGAAATCACTGCGAACAATGGCTCAAGCCCCACAACGAATCTATGGTTAGACCAGAGGTATGCTGAATGCTAAGTAGTAATATTCAAAGATTAAAGTGAATAGGATACCGGCTACGATTATTAGCCCGGGGGGAAAACGAAGCGCAGAGACCCAGAGGCCTGCAGTTTAACTTGAAGGCGAACGTGACATCTTCTATAACCACTCACTGTGCTTCTTGGATCGCACCAGCCAGCAGGTGTAGCTATATGATTGCTTAATGTCAAATACTGCTATTTCGTGGTTCCTGATGGGTTTATAATTTTTGTATCATTGGTAATTGGATCCTATCCATCGTCTTGGTGCATTGACTCAACGGGAATAAGTGCAACAATAAATCAAACTTTCTTTTGGTCTCACAGTGTTTTCGATGTGGTCATTACTTCCAGCCTTCGCGCTCGTCCAGAGTCTCAGCTCTATGCCATTGACTTCATGGAATTCATCAATCTAGACTTGCTACTTTGGAATTACCCAGCCTTAACTCTAAATTTAAAATTGCGAAAATTACGGTTCTAAAGCTACCAAACTACTTGGTATGGAAAACTATAGGTTGTTAAATACTCGTTCAATCGACTGATCCCTAACAAAAGTCTAGGGAAGTGCATTATGATCGATAGCAATTCACAATCGAGGACCTTTCCTTATTACAGTCAGAGTATTGGTGGAACTATTTTCAATGGGGGAATTAAGTTACTGCTTGTTACAAAAGAAGAAAGTAGTCGACGACTGCATGTGATTTTGATTGTGTCGCGGAGATAAACTACTGATCTATGAGTAAACTGGTGACTCGCTTCCTGTCACCAGCTATTTTCGAAATTAATTTACAGAAGCGGAATTTGTCATTCCTTTGGTATATAGTCATGCAAGGTCATAATTTGACCCGTTGAATAGTAACCTAGCAAACACTACCACCGCTGTGACGTATATGAAGACGACCTGACATCATCTTATGAAGTGTGGTAAAATTATTTTCACGATATCAAGCTTAGCTGAAGCCTAAAAAAAATCCCAACGGTTCTAATTGCTAGAATATAACCACTTGTATACATGCTGAAAGTGAATGATTCATCGTATCTAAATATGACCGAAGAATGTAGAACTACGTGTTTTAATCATACTTAACACCTAGTGTTTGACGGACAGTCATGTTTGGGATCTTCGATAACTTTGATTACTCTACGGTATCCTTCAATATAATTGTGAATTTATAGCGAATAAAACCTTTATATCATGCTGGTTCATGACACAATCCACAGTACTCTGAACGTGCCCAATTAAGTCATAAATGGAAGAAATCTTGTTTTGATGGTGTTATGAGAGACTAATGGTTAATTTGTTTCTTCAATCATGACTGTATGTGAAACCATTTGTGGCACCGACAAATTGACTCATATCAAGGCACTTCAAGTCTGACCCAAGATATGATCATCTACTTTTTTGTGGCACATTATTCTTTGATATACGACTTGTCGTGCAATTTCTTGAGGGTGAGACACCAATAATTCCGATATTCTGAGTCACAGGTGTAGTATTTAAACACCTTTCAGTTTCGCATATTTTTTTCAAGTTTTTATACCACTAAATATAATCACAAACAAAACTTTATTAAATGAATCAATCTCAAACATACTTCTTTTCCTGCTATTGAATAGACAAGTATCACAGACGCGGCTCCAATCTAGTGGGAACATCAAGAGTATTATTATATTGCAGGGCTGATCCTTGTGTAAATTGACAGGTATTATGCCGACAGTAAGTGAATTGCAGGAGCAGCTGGCAGATGCGGAAAGCCACCTTCGTGTTGCCGTATGTATTACAATGGATCCCGCCCCACTGTATCAAGATCCCAGAGTGTTGTTCTGTCGTTGAAAGCCCCCTTTTAACTTCTGGAAACAATAGAAGGCGATCAGGTACCAGGTCGTCGTTCTCGGAAACGATCGATTACAAACTACACGAAATAATGCACCAGACGGGTTTTCGGATGTCGACAAAGACAGATTCATGAAAAAGGAAACGTGGGACTTATACAAGGAACCTGGCCAACCCGACAAGGATATCAAGAGCATCACGGAGCGGTTGGAAAATGCTAAAAAGGCGGTCCAAGAGGCAAAAGAGGTGGTTCAAAAGACCAAAGGCTGATTTGGCTTCACATACTCCTGAGGGTTCATGAGAGTGACAAGCTTGTGTCATGGGGACAGAGTTTGAACCTTTACAATCTACCTTTTCCAGACTGCATTAGACATCTAATTAAAACTAGCCCTTTCGGGGGTTTCTGACCTTAAAGGCATTTTACAATACTTCTATAAAGTCCGGGACATCATATTATTATCCCATAAGGACATCTAGATACATCTCTTTACGGACTAAACAGTATCTATTTAAAAGAAATATATACATGTTCTATTTTCGTCGAGAAAGATTAAATAGACATCTAAACTGGATGAATAACTCTCATTTGTTGTATGGTTGCTCGAACTTTCATAGCAAATTTCCTGGCACTGACCCGTGAATTACTACAAGCACAATCCGAAAGCTATAAAATATCGATAGCTGTCGTCGTCACGGTAAAGAAATATAATTAAAAGTATGAGTGGTCATGGTGAGCGTATTTCCTGCATGGGTATATACTCTACTAATGGCAATAAAGAGTCATTACAAGCCCTCGATTGAACGATCGTATCGCGCAGCCTGGCCTGCACACGTCAACCATGAGCAAAGGAATTAAAAAGATTACTCGAGGTCTCAGTATAATTGTCATGGAATTGCTCATTTTGGAGATGTTTAATAGTCAGATAGTGAGCAAATTGGCCTCCACTGAATGATTGCGAAATCAGAATGACACCGACGGCCATTGGCATATAGAATCAACAATTAGTCAATGACTGGGTATAAATGAGATGAATTCGACATTTCAAGCTTGTCATTCTGTAATCTTCAAGAACAGATTCATCAATCGAAGCTGGTTCCAGAAGTACCTTAATCTTATCGCCTGCATCATGTTAGCATCGCAGTCATTATGCATTGAAAGTATTGGGATCATACAATAATCCATTTCAAAAGAAGATAGGGCATCGCCATGGATAAAGGAAAAGTCATTGATGCCGCAATGTTTGACGCTGCCTTGAAAACTGCACTAGTATACTATGAAAGCTCACAGAATTTACCAATGGTGAACATCGCTTTAGAATCCATGGATATGCACTTCGTTCGTGCCGATCTAGATATGGCAATTGCATTTTGTCAAAACTTCAACCCGGGGTAGATACTATTTAACTAAGATTTTTCCGGGGATAATCGTATTAAAATGTTTGATATGCAACGTTCGCATTGATGTATCTATCAAATATCACTGATTTTTATCTATAAACAACAAAAGACTATATATTCTCCCGTCTATTCCCAAATTCCCTGAGATTCTAATACGTTAACCATATCAAGCAAGAATGAGTGAACATTCGGCTTGAGCTACCACTCAAACATAAAACTCCTAGGTGCACATGTGACGAGCAAAACTGCATATTGACAGAGCAAAGGAACAATTTAAATCAACTTGGAAATGGCTAAGCCCATGCCAGTCAACGAATCGAGTTCAAAAATTTATCCCGTCGTACATCTGTACATGTAGTATTGGTGAAGAGCATGACGGACATTTTTATCACGTTCATTCACTTGGATATTTGTCGCATACGATATTTATGTGCATCGTGTAATCGCTTGAGCATTACGTTAATAGCGACATGAGCTCATACCTTCCTATTCATGTTTCTCTGTCCTAAAATTAATGTCGAAACTCCGGTTAGCCCTGCCCCAAGTAGTATTGAGCATCCGCCGAATAGTTGTAGTCCTAGGAAGTCTGAATTGTTTTGCCGTGCTAGGATTGCCCCCATAATAGGAAGGCCAGTTAAACACCTGTTAGACTCTATGTTAGTAATCACAGCTTACTCGGTAGTAGATACGAATAGGTTATCGCACTTACGATATAGATATTAAGCTTTGAAATGTGCCAAAGCGTTGCCCCAGGGTATCTAAGCTTCCTGCCTTAGCCGCACAAGGCATAAGAAGACTGACGAAAGCGCCGCTACTAAAGCCGTATACCGCAGAAAAGGTCACAAGACCAGCATGGGAATAATGATAGTTAAATGGAACCCAGAGGCTTATTATTGCAAGACTGGTGATAACCATAACAATAGTCATAACATTGTAATGTCCAAGTCTATCTCCGAGGTAAGACGGCAGGATTCGCCCTGGGATGGAAGCTGCACTATTCGTTGATTAGAAGTTTGGTTGTTCACATGACCTCAAAGATGGAAATCATACTTAATAATTGATATGAGATATAATGCCAAGGAAGGCGAAAAGCCAGCGGATTGGGCCATACTAGGCAGAAAGTCGAATGGAGCCCATAAACCCCACCTTTGTTATCCATGAAAGTTAGTAATTGAGTGTTGTCGGATATACCTTAACTTACATCCCAAAGAAAGACCCAAATGAATAAAGGGCAAACTGCTTGTCCCTGAGGAGGCTGACATCAACCCATTTCAAATCCCGATTCCACTGTTTTCTGGGCAGTCTGCTTTTAACAAGTAGACATGACATTGCAAGAACAATACCGATAAAAAGCGCAGTATACCTAACTGTGCCGTAGAATCCTACTTGCTCCATGACTTTATTGAAGAATAGCGGGAAAATAACACCTCCTAGAATGCGATAGTATCAGCAAGCAGCAATATAGACAGGGATAGGAAAACTGCCATTTAGTGTTGACAAAAATTCAGATTTTGCTGAGAAGGGTGACTGAAAAGGTATTTAAGAAGAAGCAATAAGTAGGAGCTTACCAAGACTGCTTCCAGCTGCTGCCACTCCTATTCCCAAACCACGACGCTTGACGAACCACTGGCCTGTGCAAACCATCCCAGTAGTAAACACACCACCAGCTCCAATACCATAGGCTAAACCCTGAGCCAGAAAGATCTGATAATATTTTGTGCTCAGACTAGTCATGCACAGCGCAAACACACATAACAAACTGGATGGATACATGACCAGCTGGGGTCCGTAGGTGTCAACAAGGCGGCCAAAAAAAGGACCAGGTGCCCACATGAGAGCCAGTTGCAGTGCAAAGATCCACGCAATCTCTGATGCACTGTAATCCTTGAGCGTCGTTTGTTCATATGTAGTCTGAAACACCCCGATCCTGTTAAAGACGGCCTTGGTCAGTTCATTGGAAGATGGAATTTTGCGAACAGAACAAGATAAACGAACGCATTCAAGAAGCCGAAAGTTGCGAGGAAGCCAAGAAATGCCCCGAACACACACAGCCATCCTGCAAGGCCTTCCTCAGGAGGCAGAGTCGGGGTCGGCTCGGTCTTTGGGGGACCTGCTGCTTCAAGCTGGTCGACTTGACCCATTTTACGATGACGATGAAACTAATCAATTTGATCAAAACTAGATTTGTGAATTACAATTGAACTGACCGTATTATTGAGAAGTAGTCGCCTTGGGTGGGTTTATATACTCGCTATAGTGGATGTATATAGGCAACCAGCCAATCAGAGAAGACCCACTCTATTGCCAGTTCAGCGAATAGAAAGCCTAGGGCTGGCATTTATTAACCTGCTGAAGCTTAGCGGCGGCCGCCGAAGTGCATTAGCGTCGGCCGTTTTATTTTAGGCTCGTGTTCGATTGTTATTAATAATGGCGTCGGCCCTCTGCCTTTGAGCGGTGCAAAATGCAACCATAAGCTGTAGTCTTGTTCAATCACAGACTATATTGCGGCATTTAGTGTCATGGAACGAGTGAAACGCGAGACTACGGTGCAGGCGCCCCAGGTGTGCACCGCATGTAAAGTTCGCAAAAGAGGCTGCGACAAGGGCCTTCCGAGCTGTAGTTATTGCAACAGGTATGTGGGAACATTTTTTGCTTTACTTTCCGCCATCGCAAAGCTGTTGCTTTACTAACAACGCTGGCTACTAGCCGAAATTTACTATGCGAGTATTCGTCAGTTTCGGCCCCGAAAAAACCTTCTGCCTCCGAACTACGTAAAATGTACCTGCCGGTGATGGTACCGCCACAGCCGACACCAGACTTTCAACGCGGCCTTTGTCCCAGCGTCCGGGCTTCCGTAATACTCATGGACGCGGTAATAGATTGGTTGCCATCCCAACCTCTTGCTGCTGACCGCCTGCTAGAGATTCAGACTGTCGATGATCTGTTATACCGACAGGTCTATCGAATAATCCAGACAACTGGCCTATTCTTAGACGATATTACTATTCATTTCTTTCAAAGCATTCACAGATGGATCCCAATAATATCAAGAAGCCGACTTCAGGAGACTCTGGTCGGGAACTGCTGCCCATGGCCCGCCGATTTATCTATCCTTTTACTGACTATGTGCTTGGTGGTCTATCAAGACACCAGTGAGCCTTCGACCCCTGACGTGGAAACACTATATTTGAGTACCAAAATGCTATTTGCTCACATTCAGAGCGTCATTCCAATATCAACAAATCTTATCCAGGCTAGCATTTTGATTGCATTCTTCGAATATGCCCGTTTTCAGGTCGATGCGGCTTTCATCTCACTCGGCCTTTGTATAAGGTTATCACTTGCGGCCGGTTTGGATTTGCCTGAGAGACGACCAAGGGGACATGATTGGAGGGAACTGGAAGAGGAACGAAACATGTGGTGGGCGATTGTTATTCTTGAGCGGTGAGATTACCCGTGTCGTGTCCACCTCACTGGGTCTGAATCAGAATAGAATGTTTATTTGTGAAACAACACTACCCGGAAAGCGCTTAGCAACACAATTTCCAGCCACTGAGTGCTATCTTCCTTCTGAAGCTGAAGGGCTTGATAGACGCACTGAGACGTCACTGCCATTGTTAAGCGAGTCTATGAACAACCTTGCGACAAGAGTAGACTGTTTTTGTCGCGAAGTTCAGGCAGCCCTTTTGCTCGACAGGGTGTGGAGTGTAGTAGACGAAAAACGCTCATTCGACATGGAAATAGATTCAATGATCTCTCATATCGACAAAGAATTGTGGTCGTTTTTGGGTATCATCATGGAACAATGTAATGGTGTTTACGGGGTTTCGTGTGGGGCGATTGCCATAACTCTTCGGTAAGGTTCAGCATTGTTATTTATGAGAGTTGGGTGTTCACACGATTGAATCTAAAGGGCGCTGGATACCCTCCATTCTTACCTCTTGAACTCGACTTCAGCTCCTCAGTATGGCTTAACATCTCAGACCGCTATCGACAGCATCGTAAAAATGACAATCGATATTGCCGCCTCCCATAATACGATATTTACTGAGGTTAACGTCGACACTGTTCCTCCATCGTGCGGATACATTAGCCGTGCTGCACTTCGACATTTGGAAAGATCTTCTAGGTTTCATGATCTCAAACCTGAATGGTTGAAAACATTGTCGAAGTCTGCTAAATTTTTCAACACTCGCTGGGGCATGATATCACCTCGAACCCATCCCGCAGTGTAATTGCATGAAGATCCTTCGAAATCCGCCTAAAGAAATAGCATCGGGCATTTAAATTGATTAGTCCACTGTACCTACTAATGACATGTGCTAGCGGAGGTTTTAATCCTTCGCGCAGACAAAATTATCTAGAGTTACAATTAATTCTCTCAGTCCAGCTGGCCCAACTTGCAAGTCCTTTTCTCCTATTGAACTCTCCAAATCATCATATTCTAGGTCGAAACAATGTTCAAGTCCTGGTAGCCACCAATGGCGAACTGGGACTGTCAACTCTCCGCACCTGTTGACAAGAGCCTTGCTATCTTCAATGGGAACATCTCTATCACCAGTTCCATGCACAATAAACAATGGTGGGAATTTAGAGGACATATTATCAAAGTCAATCGGAAACAACTTTTGGGCAGATTCTGGGACAGTTCTGGCCTTCATATCCTTGTACTGTTGCCAGTCAACTGAAGACTGACTGTTGTGTTAGTTACCCGTCCGATTACTGTACGATGGTACAGGAGAGCTTACATTCAATGCAATCTTCTGACTGAGGCCTTTAATGCCGGAAAGATAATCAGCATAGGTGAATGTTTGAAGAACATACTGGAGCACTGGCCAGCGTGACTGATAAATAAGATCTTCGTCCTTTTCAGCAAACCTTTCGCCAAGGCTAATGTGTCCATTTTTAATGTCTTGATCAATTTGTCCTCGTACTTGATCTAATTCCTTTTGTGAGAGTGTATTCTCCTCGTGGTTCATCGTAGTCCACCAAGGAGAAAGTAAATCGATCATTGGATAAATTGCCAACACTGCAACTGGTCTTGGTATGGCTATTTCAGTTCCTCTATCTTTCAGTGATAGCTCCTCGATGCTGGCATCCTTTTCTACTAGCCGTTGGCTGCATGCCACAGCACAATATCCGCCGCCACTGGAGCCTGCAATGATGATGCGGTTGGGATCGATGGCGCTATCTCCCGAGGAGAGATCTTTGACGACGAAAAAGTATGCGTCAACACAATCTTCTATTGCATCATGACCTGTCGATTCAGGTAGACATCGATGGTCTGCGGAGATGAATGTCCAACCCCGCCGAAGTGCTGCCATAAGAAGCCATTTCGGAAAAGCATAACGATCGCCCGTAATCTACAGAGTAGTTTTAGCTTGAAATTCTCGTCGTTTCGTATAAAAATTTTAACAGGTGGGGGGAGACATGTTATATAAGCCGCGACACATACCACATATCCATAGTGGAAGAAGAGGACTGCAGGTTGCTTTGAGGCCGGTTCAATACTGCCGTTGTCCACCGAGTATACATCTAGGAGGATTTCTTTGTCTTTTATTTTCTTAAACGTATATGTTTTCTGCGTATAGTGGACTCCGTCCACTTTTTGTTCTTGCTCTCCCTCTCCCATTTTATCTTTCCCAAATAGAAGGTTATATAGAGATTTGGAATATCTTTTTCGATAGTGAAGCAGATCGATTTAGGATCCAGCTACGTAATGTAACCTAATGGAATGTATGTTAGTCGTAGTTCTAAGGCATTGGATAAATTAGAGCTTTTTACCACTGAAAGGAAGGGGGGTTGACAAAAACGACGGATTATTGCTTACGCTTACGCCATATTTGTGCGGGGTATATTTTGTTTACTGTTGGAGAAATAGCTCAAACGATGGATTGACCCACTTGCTTCCAAAATACACAATGGGAAACTCCTTTTATGAAATAATTCAACACTACACAATTCCCAACAAAGGAAGCCGATCGGCTCCGGTTTGCACACTACAATATCACGCACGATATTGTTATTGTCTGGCATTACACACTTTGTTATCCTCGTAATATGCAGTGCGAAACGCACATGTTTTCAAATTTTTGATCCGAGCCTAGGAGATAGCTGCAAAGTAGTGAAGAACTTGACCATCATGTTTTCCCCAGCCCAGACATATTAATTAGATCCTTGAACAGCACACGATTTATGATTTGTGTGTCTGGAGGAGAACGGTGATTGACCCCATAGTGAGTGCCTTCGCATTGGCTGTCAAGGGTGCCGCAACATGCTTAATTGCAATCAAGTTGTCTCCATCAGAGTAATCCGGAAAAAGGAAAAAACGAAAAAAGGAAAAAGAAAAAAGTCAGTCTGCATGCTTCGGGAACGCACATGGCCTTTGATAACTGGCGGTTAGCTTCACATATATCCCTCTCTTTCCCCGCGATTATATCCAATCAATGATAGCCACGACACATAATGCTGATCTGTCTAGGATTTTGCAATTTTCCGATTTGGACATCTTGATAATTGGGGGTACTATGATATTTAGGAAATTCAACCTCCACTTTGAGCAATCTTATAATAATAATTGCTGCTACTGGCAAAAGACAGAAGCTTGAATACTAAGCGATGGCAACTTTTGAACCGTATGTCCTTTCGCCATTGGACCACATGTCCCCGCATGTCTACATGCCATTCTTTCTATTCTTCTCAACCCTAAGCATAACAGAATCCCTCGATTCTCTGGAGAAAGGCATTGGTCGATTAGTAATGGAATTGCCATTCCTAACTGGGGAGGTCGTTAAGTCGAACAGGCTCGAACACAAAGCAAACGTGATGGAAGTTCGGCCATCTGATGCCTCAACCCTAAGGGACCATCCAATTCTACGTATCAGATATCATGCGCAATGTATTGAGCTGCATAATGTTCGTTCGACCGTCACCATTATTTCGCGCGACAACCTTTCCAATGAAAATTTTATACCCGTTCCATTAGCCATTCCTCCACCCGAGCCTTGTCTCGTGTGTCGATTCCAGGCGAATGTCATGACTGACGGAATAATTTTGGCGATTACCCTTTCTCATCGAGTAACAGATGGCTATGGAATGAGCTTAATTTTACGGTATCTTGCTCAATGCTGTCATGATCCTACTAGAAAAGACGGTCTATTACCAATTAACCCTTCCAACGAAACACGTTTGCGACGCCAGCTCTTTGTGATCAATTCAGAGTTATCCGAAAAGCCCCCATGGACGGGCGAGTCATTCTTCACTCAGAGCGCGCCAGTTCTTGACGAAGAAGTAGTTAGCCGGAAGATAAAGTTGCATTCAACAAAGATAAAACAGCTAAGAGATTCTTGCAATTTTTTCTTTCAAAATATGCCTCAAGGAATTGATATTGATAATAGCTGTGACTGGCTTCAAAGATCAGAGCTCCCAATCTTTTCGAATAATGACATCGTCACGGCACTGACATGGCTCTGTATCGCGCGATCGCGATACAACTCACTAAAGCCGAATAAAGAAAGTGTTTTGTTTATGCCTGTGGACGTGCGAACTATTTTAAAACCAACATTATCATATTCCTACGTAGGATGTTCGGTATTAGGGGTATTATCTGAGTTCAATCTTGGAATTCTCGATGAACCTCATATGAATGTCCCATCGATTGGGATCCTAGGGCTAGATAACAGTGACATATATCTGTTATCTCGTCTCGCATATATTATCCGGAATAATCTGAGTGTCATTGATGACGAATACGCCCGACGTGTGATATCTACTATTTTGAAAGCCTCAGACTGGGACTCGTTCCATCTGAGTGTTCCAGATGTTGTAGTTAGCAACCTCAGATACTTACAGGTTTACCAAGATTTTGGCTCAGTCCTCGGGAAACCATTTGACTTTGACATCTGTGACACCAGGGTTGATGGGATGAGCTGGATATTACCAAATCGGTTGAGGTCTACGTCAGTTCAGCATCCGTTCGAGTTGAGAGTATCGTTGCGCACGTCTGCTATGCGCAAACTGCAAAGTGATAGATTGATCCTGTGGGCGTCAATGAGTACGTCAACGCAAAGTAAATTTTAGAAGTCAATAGAATATTTTAGTTCACAGAATGCTATTCTCTAAATCCTGCTATTGCCTGGACACGATGCGTATTATCGATTCATCGAAGCTGGCCGTTCATTTTCACTAGGCCGACTACGAATGCCAGACTGCTAGTATTAGCGTAGATATCCTTACCAACCCGCTCTATACTACTGTTATGTCCAATGCTGATATTTATATGTTTACGTTGAAGTATGAAATCAGTCACTAGCTACAAGACGTCGACTGCATGCTGTGTGGCAGAATAGATATACTTATCGATCGCATGTAGTGCTTGCATTTTGTAAATGCTGGCGGCCGAATAGAGCCGTAGGATCTATGATGGGGATGACAGTCCAATATAAAGAGTACTTAAGATATAGATCTAGTTGAAACCACGAGTACAACTATCGATTGCTTGTAAGAGTAACTACAAGTTCAGGGAGCTCATTGAGAAAGAAAACATTGAATATCAGTAGCTGATATCGCACACTCATGACATTGCCACGCTTGGCCGCGCTTAGTTTTGTCAGTCACTCTTTCCGGTGGAAAGCATTCAAAGAACGGCGCAAATACTTCTTCGTTGAGACGGCGACGCCAGCTACCAAGCGGAGAATTATCTATAAGCGTATTTTTCCCGGCAATTGCTTCAATGGGGCTAGAATAGGTTGGAGTTTCATAATTTTTTTGGCGTATAGATGCCCGAGTAGTAGTAGTGGCGCTGCCACTCCATTTCATTCTTTCTGCTAAACGATTACGAGCCAAGCGTACCCTTTCCACATTTCTAGCAACTTCATCATTGTCCGGGGTATAGCCACCGCCTCCGAACTGATACCCGATGATGCGATCAACTTTATCCGTGCCTTGCTCATTAGCTTGATAGGCATATTGATAGGTAGAGTATTCACGCTCAAGCCGGTCTTCCCGTCGAATGTCGACATGAGATCGATTTCTTCGAGGTATAAGATGAATGAGGTTGCGAACATATAGTGGGCAGGGATTTGGTGAGAATCGGAAGAAAATGCTGCCATCGGCATTATTATTTACATCGTATGCGTGGGCCTCACGAAAACGATTTCGGCAAGCACGAAAAGAGACTAAATCGCTATGTATTATTCCCTTTGCTGGTTTTAATGTCCCTACAGTTTCAAATAAGTCGACGTCCAACACAGACTTGGCGCGTCCCAAAAGCGATATTTTAGCTGGTGCAAAATTCCCTGCGGTATAAGCGAAATAAAGTTTTCCGTCACGGTCCAGAATGACAAATGACAATCCTTTCAGATCCAAGCGGTCTAGTTCAAGCAGTCCTGCATCCCAGAATGAACTCCAACAGGCATACGGTGGGTCAAACAGCTGCACCTGGACCGAGAGAGTCCGCAAGCAGTCACATACCGTGGCAAGAAGCGAAAAGAGGTCATTCCACTCGGCCAAAAACTTTGTCATGCCACGAGCCTCGAGGATTTGAAAATTAAGATGTCGGATAGACCGGACTTGCCAGATCTTCAAACAGTACAAAAAGTTGGAAAAAGAGCTCAGGTCATGTGAAACAAAAACGTTGTCTGTATAAGGGATATGTCTCGCTTCAGTGTAGGTTTGTCTGCACGCCCGGAGCACAGACAGATCCAAACGAGACCCGGCTCTGTCCAATAGTTTGACACATGGGAAATGGGCGGCATGAAGCTGTGCATCTGATGTAGTGCACAGATCTGTTGACAGGAGGGTGACTATTTTGGCCTGGCAGTCGCGATGGCTCTGATGCTGCAGAATTGTCTTGCGGGGGTCTTCAAAGTCAACTGGCCACCACTGGCGATACACAGCGCACCAGACCCTAGCTGCACATCGCCTGATTTCAATTGGTTTGTCCAGCACGAACAGGGCTTTGTAAACCATCATCCGGATCTCCCCGGGGAGACGGAGAAACTGGGGGGACCTGACACATCTCGTTCAGCACCTCGTGTGCTTGTGGGTTTGTTTAAGGGCAGCGGGGACATTGCAAGAGCGGCCTACCTGATATCTGGCATAGTTATACCAGCTGGTTGAGTGCAGTGGTATTATTATTAACTAGTATTATTGCGTCTTGAAGGAGGCGGGGTAAATTCTCCAGCCCCAGCTCGAATCACGACCGCGTACGGCGGACTGTAACACCGCGATTGATCGGCGCAAAACAATCGCCGTGGAGCGTCCGACATCATTGTCGTATCGGAGCAGCAGACAGGACAGGGGTCGACGCACAACGAAGCGAGGACAACAATACAGGGATGGTAAGAAATTGAATAGACACAAATGTTATTGTTACCCCAGGCGGGCCTGCCAACCAACCGGGTAGACGGAGCCGACCTCCATACGACCATTGATCGACTCTAATAACTGCCACACCACTGTAACAATTAGTTTCGATGCGCAAATGCCGTCCAGTGCCGCCGGTTCCCCCTTTACGGCGGACTAAATCGATCTAGGACAATGTAGGATTTTTTCTCATATTCTTGATTTTTCTGCCGAAAATTATGCTTGTTTCCACGTACTTTTATTTCATTATTACATAGGAGGTTTTAGGGGTTTATATAATAAAGCTAGCAATAATGATTAAATAAGTTTATACTAGACCTTGAGATTGTAATATTAAAATATATATAATATACTTCTCCCTCCGCTGAGGCACCTGCTGAGGCACCCGCTGAGGCGCCCGCTAAGTAAAAGACAAGGCCACTGAATTCGTAATAAATTCGTAAATGTTTCATATATTTCAAAAACTATATCATATAATTGGTTAAAAAAAATACTAGTTGCCATAGGCGATGGAAGAACTTAAATGAAAAAAAAACTTGCATTGTCCTTGGGATCGATTTAGTCCGCCATACCCTTGACCCTTTGCGCGCGGGTCATCTGCATGGAACCGGCCAGTCAGACACCAGACAGTAATCACAGGAGATGCAGCTTCGAGGCTGATCTTGCCTTTCTCTTGGCGCCGATGCCGATAGGCCGCATTTCTCAGCCTGCGATAATCTACACCGCCAGTGCGCTAGGAGTGCCCTGGAGGGGCCTCTGGCTTCGAGCGACAAGTATGAATGACATACCTATCGCTCTACCGGGTCTCGATTCTATAGTTTGGATAAATGTGTGCGGCGCCGAGATACGTGGTATTATAGCTGTCTGGGAACGTAATGAAAGGCACCTGGCTCGATGACTATAATTCCAGGCGCGTGGCCGTCCGCCGGCGACCTCTGTATAGTTACTATGTGGTGGTAGCTTCTATAGCGCTGGCAGCGATGATATTACTATTTGGGTATGACTCGTTACTATTGCAGCTATCAAGACATGTCCACTTTCTCGCGGAACCATCTGCGCCAGTTGAGACAGCGTTCAGCTGGAGCAAGGTATGTACCATAAATTGCCATACTCATTCTAGTCGTGGGTAGACTTACAATAACCTCCGGCTTAGATCGTACCATCACCGGCACTGGAATATCACCACTGCTTCGACGGTTTCCAATGTGCTCGACTTGAAGTGCCAATGGGCTACCACCGTACAGATGGACTGGGGAAACGATTTGCCATTGCAATTACTCGTCTCCCAGCAAAAGTACCGGTTACTGACCCTCGCTATGGGGGTGCTGTCCTCATCAATCCAGGTATTACTACTATTCAATTCATACTCACGTACGTATATATCCACTAACAAATAGCAGGAGGGCCCGGTGGTTCTGGGGTAGCCCAAGTCCTAAGTACGGGTCGCAACCTACAAACAATCATTGACGCTGAAGTCGGGCCTAGTCCGGAAATGACCCCTGGTTTCAATCCATTATACTTCGACATTATTGGATTTGATCCACGGGGTGTCAATAATACTACCCCGGGGTTCAGCTGCTTCCCAAGCATCTTTTCGGAGAGAAACTTTGAGCTGCAGGCTGAGGCCGACGGCATGCTAGGTAGTTCGTCCAGCTCTTTAATGCGCAATTGGCAACGCATGCTTGCTCTCACACAAAGTTGTTCAGACAGTCTTTTGAACAAGGGTGATGACCCAAACAGCGAAGCTATCGGCGAACATGTGAATACGTCACCCGTTGCCCGCGACATGTTGGAGATCACCGAAAGACACGCAGAGTGGCGCGAGAAGCAGGGGCTTGAACAGCAACGAGAGGAAGACCGAATCAATGGCTATAATCCCGGGCAGACGATTGCCAGTCGGACCCGTTGGAATCGTGGAGAAGAAAAGGTCTTGTATTGGGGCCGGTCCTATGGCACCGTTTTAGGTGCCACTTTTGCGGCGATGTATCCGGACCGAGTTGGACGCGTTGTGTTAGACGGGGTAGTTGATTTGCACAAATATTACTCCGGCGAAGGAGTAAACAGTGTCATAGATGCAGATGCCATCTTTGATCGTTTCTTCTACTATTGCGATATGGCGGGGTCGGTGGCCTGCCCCTTCTATGTTAACGGCGGCCCGGCGAGTATCAAATCGGCTTATTATGCAATCCAGTCTCAACTATTAAACGCGTCCATTCCAGTTTCTGCTTCTAGCTCGCGAGGACCAGAGGTCGTTACTTGGACCGATTTGAAGACGATCCAGCGAATTTCTGTGTATCAGCCGCTTTCTGTCTTCCCATTATTTGCAAAAATTTTGAGTGAACTCAGGGACAAGAATGGCTCTTCCTTGGCTACATTCAAGCAACGAAATCGCAAACCGTCTTGTCTGTCCGATGAATGCTTGAACAGTGGGCTCTGGTCTCAGGAATGCACAGGTCCCAGCACAGGTGAAGCCTACTCCACGCAAGCCATTCTGTGTACGGATGCAGAATATGCAAAAAATACGGACATGGGCGCTTTCAATGAACTGTGGAGCGATTTACGAGTAGATAGTGAAACTATTGGCGATTATTGGGCCTCAATCCTTCTTGACTGTGCTGGTTGGAAGGCCGCTGCAAAGTGGAGGTTTAATGGTATGTTTTCCTAGCATTTATTTCTCGTGCGTGCCATCGCTCATGCTAGCCCAGGTCCATTTTCAGGAAATACTTCACACCCTCTCCTTTTTGTCAGCACTTCCTTAGACCCAGTAACTCCTCTTTCAAGGTACCATTACCTACGCCGAAAGGCTCGTGTAAACGCTGACTATCGGACTAGTGCAAAGAAAATGTCTAAAAGCTTTCCCGGGTCTGTTGTACTTGAGCAACAGTCTGAGGGCGTGAGTACTTGATCTTTACCGATGAATAGAAGCAAATAGTGCTGATAGACATCCTTTTATTCTGCCAGCACACGACTATCTCGACTCCTTCACTATGTGTCGCTCGACTGATCCGCAATTACTTCCAAACGGGTCAACTGCCGGCCGCCGGTACTCTTTGTCCAGTGGATATCAAACCACTTATTGGTGTTCCTGAAAGTGAAGCCGGTGTGAATAAATTCAACGATATGAGTTCGGCAGATCGTTATTTATACGATGCTCTTCTAACGCAGATGCATATCCACCTACCCAGCGCAAATCTACCGTTATGAAATTTAGTTTTGGAATGGGGCTTTCGCTAATGTCTGATAATGAGGTATCGAATAAGGATATAAAAAAGGAGAATAAATGTAATGCTCATTTGACTTTGTCTGCTTTTTTTCTCCCGGAATGGTAGAAATCACTAACCATGCTTCCGTGGAATAGAGTCTATGTGCAGTTTACTTGGATTTCTACGTCATTGATTTAACCATATGAATTGATATCGTTAAATAATCAAGTCTGATTCATACGTCGTTTTGCCCCGATATATGTGTTTGGGTCCCACTATGGTCGTTCCGGATGTAACAAAAACCTTCCTACTAGCTTTTTTCCCTTGAAAAGTTGCCAAATGGACGCGTCAAGTGATATCACACACTCAACTAGCGACCTTATTGATTCAACCTTGCGAGACAACATTAATACTACTGACTTTCAACATCATCATCAGGGTAGATCGTTTTCAAGATAGAATGCCCTAACCAATGCACTAGATGACACCTGCATCATAGGCCAAATTCAAAACCTAAACCCCACTCACTTGATTTGCCAACAATCTCGCCCGCCCACCGGACTATATCAACCTATCCCACACTGATTACATATAGAAAAGCGAACGGATCAATGAGAAATTGGCGATTTTGGAATTTGAATTATATTTCGGATGGCGTCGAGTCGCCGAGAGATTTGTCCGTATTAGATCCATGGTTGAAGGGCTGGACAATACCTAACTTGCAAAAGTCCAAATACTTAAAGAGCACCCTTGCGCCTCAGAACATCCGGCAACCCGAACGTCCTCAACGACTTAGAATTTGTTGTCAACCTCGGTCCTCTCTTGATTTTCCATAAATATCCTGCCTCCTCGACCTAATAAATCAACCATGTCGAAGGTATGGCTCATCACTGGTGCAAGCGCAGGGTTTGGACTGGTGCTGGCTGAAATAGTCCTTAAACACGGCCACCAAGTCATTGCTGCGACCCGTGATCCTGAAGCGGCAGCCTTAAAAAGCCCCCATATAGAGGAACTCGGTGGCAAATGGATGAAACTCGATGTATCGTCCCCTTCGACAGCGCAAGATGTCGATAATGCGATCAAGGCTCTCGCTGGCGATAGGATTGATGTCCTTGTGAACAATGCAGGTTTCTTTATGGCTGGAGGTGTTGAAGATTTCAAGTAATCTTCCTCGATTTGCCAGGTACTGAACTATACACGTTGACTGACTCTTTTTATGACAGTGAGGAAGAAATTCACGCCCAATTTAACATCAATCTTTACGGTTCCATACGAACAATTCAAGCCGTGCTGCCTTTCATGCGTGCCCAGAGTTCAGGTATCATAGTCAACTTTAGTAGCATAGCTGCTCTAGATGGTCTACCTTCCTGTAGCCTATATGCTGGTAGTAAGTATGCGCTAGAAGGCTTCAGTGAGTCACTCTCACGTGAGGTTGAATGCTTTGGCATCAGGGTGTTGCTTGTTGAGCCAGGCGCATTTAGAACCAACTTCCTAGCTGGCTTTTCGAAGGCGGCAGCTGGCTTGAATCCTGCCTACAAGGGCACTCCTCTTGATTTGATCTTGCAAAAGTTTCACGGTATGGATCAAAAACAAGCAGGTGACCCGCTGAAGGGGTGCGAAATCATCTACGATGTCGTAACAGGAACTGGCGTTGGCGAGGGGAAGACACATCTTTTGAGGTTGCCTATCGGTCCTGACTTCTACCAAAGAGCTGATGATAAACTCTCCAGCTTAAAGGAGAATATAGATGCGTTTCGCACGGTAGGGGTGATGACCAACTTTGACTGAGTTCATGTTAGCGAGCCGCATGTCAGCAATATAACGGATAAATCGCAAAAGGGAAATACAACCACAAATGTACTATTCAAAATTTCAGAGTTAGGCATTACTGCTCACTCTTACTCATTTGCTATCCAAACAACATACCTACGTTCGTACACAGGGAAGATCGTGGGGGTATACTGCTATTGATTATTACAATGCAACCCCGAAGTAAAATATATTTTGCCACATAATCGGGACCTAAAATCACTGAAGCAAGATTATCAATATCTCAAAGAGAATGAAAATTTTGACGAGTATCAGGAGACCTCCCAATCCGAACGTAGACCCAGCAGAGCTCGGGTGTGGTAATGCCGACAAGGCCGGTCGGAATAGCCACACGGCATAAAATAACGAATTCGGTGTGGTGATAAAAGTGCCGAGCTGTAATTGGAATAACAAGATTTTAAAAAACATACAATCAAAGTAAAATTAAGTAAATTACTATCGTAGGTGATTCAACAATCTTTAGTGACGCCGCCCCCAGAAATTCATGTTCTCCTTCAAAACTATAACCAAGGTTAGTGCGACATAACCAAACCAATCCCTCCCGATGCGGCCGCGATTACTATATCGCCTACCAAGTTTCGGGCATATTTCATGAGAAGCCACTTAGCTACGTAATAAATAGACTCTTGCGTCATATGAAGCCGATAAGTCAGGTCTCACTACCGACTCCCTCCAAAGTGTACAAGTTGACAAAGCGGCCCATTAATTGGCACCGAAAAGCACATTCGTTTCCATTCTAATAATACACATCATCGGGCCTATATCACTCAGGGCCGAGATTATCACTCAAATTCCGGTACTACACATTCGAAAAAAAGGATTAAGCTATCGTACTATCATTGCTCGCCTGATGGCATTCGCCTAGCTCTAGTAGGGGTTCAGGAAAAATGATCATGGTATGCCAAGCTTCAAAGATTAGCCCATCTCCATTTGAGCTATACGAGTATTTGTTTTAATACCGATGGGTATAATAACAGCAAAAAGTGACTAACTATAGCGAACGTCGCCAACCGGGCCTCGGTCTAATAACAATGATAACTGATATCGGTCTGAGATTCTGGAACTTCGGCTGGGTAAGAGGATTATCATCTAGCTCTTAATAGTTCAATTTCAATAACTGAACCGTAAATAAATGAATACTCATTGTGGGCAATTATTTGTCTGTTTAAAGGCGTGCCGTATATTTTAATTCTTCTAAAAAACTGGTTAATGGAGTGCATAATAGCCCTAAATCATGGCCGTCGACATGTCAGTAGAAGACATCAGTAAGGTCTTCGTTCTAGGTGGAAGTGTTCAGAATACACCTGCTCATATTTCCACCTTCCTGGGCAAGGAACAGGGGCCGATTTTGGCATCCTTCTTGGAACATGCATGTCGAGCTCTTCGCACAGAAGTATCAACCTTAACTGGACCGTTGGTCAAAGAAATACCTTCATTTTCGACCGTCAACTCTCTGTGCTCCCTTGAAGACCAGGGTAAACTCCATCCTACTCTTGGGCATTCCTTGGTGTGTATTTCAGAACTCGCATACGCCATAAAGTAAGTTCGCATCTTTTTTCTTTTTTTCCGCCATGGTTCTGGACTAAGTAACCTTTTCATTTTCATTGAGTAGTCTATTCGAGAGTCACGATGGATCGCTTCCAGCTCCAACAGAAACTTTGATTTTAGGGCTGGGCTTCGGCGCTCTAGCTGCAGCGGCAATTTGTGCCTCCCAAAACCTCACTCAACTACTGAGACTATCAATTGAAGTTGTGCGAGTCGCATTCCATACAGCGATAACAGCTCATATATCCTCTAATGCGATTGAGAATTTTCGTGGACCAACCTCATCGTCATGGTCCTTTTCAGTGTCCGATGTTACATTTGACAAGATGACAGACATCATCAATGAATTTTCTTCCCAAACGGTAGGTATCCTCACTGCTGCTATTTGTTTATTCGTGCTTATCACTCTAGACTGGTCCCTATGCATTTAAACCATACATAAGCGCGGCCACTGTCAACAGCGTTTCCATAAGTGGCCCTCCAGCAGTGCTAAAGGAATTCAGAGACTCTCCATCCTTGCAAGGGTTGAAAATAAACTATGAGCCAGTATACGCAGCCTATCATACAGCTCATATTTATCAAAAGTGTGATGTTACTCGTATTATGGAAGTTCTCTCCGAGAGAAACCTGTGCGCGTACCCCAGACGTTTGCAGTCCGTCTGCCCCGCCAAAGGCAATTTCTCATGGTCACAAACATTTCGGTCAATGGTTGAAGATGCAGTTACCAGCCTTCTTCTTGAACCTGTTAGAGAGGATTTAGTCAAAGGTAGCTTAAATACCAACATAGGACTGACGAAAAAGTGTGTCGAGGTTCATTCAGTGGGTTTTGGCGGCTCTTTCTCAGACACGAACGAGAACCAACAGAAATCACAAAGAGGAATTCCAGTTTCCCCGTCAGTTCAATCAATCTCTCAGTCGAAAATTGCAATAGTTGGGTATTCGGGACGATTCCCCGACGCAGACAATTTGCAGGAATTTTGGGATTTGCTTTATGAAGGGCGAGACGTTCATAAAGTCGTCCCATCAAGCCGATGGGATGTCAAAACCCACGTTGACGTTACTGGAAAAAACAAAAACACCAGTGCAACTCCGTACGGATGCTGGCTGGATAATGCAGGTCTTTTTGACGCTAAATTCTTCCGTGTATCGCCTCGTGAAGCTCCGCAGATAGATCCAGCCCAGCGTTTAGCATTGATGACCGCATATGAAGCCATTGAGCACGCTGGAATAGTACCCGACAGCACACCGTCCACCCGAAAAGACCGAGTTGGCGTCTTCTATGGAGTCACTAGCAATGACTGGATGGAAACAAACAGCTCTCAGGATATCGACACATATATGATTCCAGGGGGGAACCGTGCTTTTATTCCTGGTCGCGTGAACTATTTTTTCAAGTTCAGTGGCCCAAGCTATAGTATAGATACCGCTTGTTCTTCCAGTTTGGCATCGATACATGCTGCGTGCAACTCCCTTTGGAGAGGCGATATTGATACAGCTGTTGTTGGCGGAACGAATATCTTAACTAATCCGGACTTTACAGCCGGTCTAGATCGGGGTCATTTTCTTTCGAGAACCGGGAACTGCAAGTCATTCGATGATAGTGCCGATGGTTACTGCCGAGGCGAGGGTGTGGTCACCTTCATTCTGAAGCGATACGAGGACGCATTAGTGGATAAAGATCCCATACATGGTGTCATTTTGTCAGCTTATACAAACCATTCTGCCGACGCGGAATCTATTACTCGGCCGCATGGAGGGGCGCAAAAAGCGATATTGAACAAACTGCTATATGACACTGGCTCCAATGCGCGTGATATCAGCTACGTCGAAATGCATGGCACAGGCACCCAGGCCGGGGATGCCGAGGAAATGAAATCCGTTCTAGACGTATTTGCACCTCAGGAACCATCTTCTATTCGCAGAGGAAATCAGAAGCTATATTTAGGATCCGTGAAGGCAAATATTGGCCACAGTGAGGCCGCCTCAGGAGTTTCCAGCTTGGCCAAGACCCTCCTCATGATGAAGAATGACACCATCCCTCCTCATTGCGGTGTCAAAACAAAGTTGAACACAAAATTCCCCCAGAATATGTTTGACCAGAATGTGCGGATAGCGGAGAAGCCCACACCCTGGCTGAGGCCGTTTAATGGTAGTAGAAAGGTTTTTGTCAATAATTTTAGTGCAGCTGGAGGGAACACTGCATTAATCTTGGAAGACGCTCCTCTGGTTGGACATGTAAACACTGAAGATAAGGACCCACGAACCTATCATACGGTAGCCGTTTCCGCTAAATCGGTTGAGTCCTTGAAGGGCAACATTCGCTCCCTGTTGAACCACCTTGATACTGCTCCGCTTGGTGCCTTCACTTTGCCAACGCTTTCCTATACTTCTACTGCACGACGCATTCATCACGCATTTCGCATCATGGTTTCTGGCTCCAATTTGCTTGATATAAAAGCCAAACTTCTGTCTGCGGAAGATGGGGCTAATGCAGTTCAGAAAGCAAAAGCAATTCCTCGCCCAATATTCGCCTTCACAGGCCAGGGAGCTCAGTATCCCGGTATGGGAGGAACGTTCTATCAGTGTTTTTCGTCATTCAAGCGCGATATCGATCGGCATGATCGGCTGTCACAGCTTTTAGGATTCCCATCCATTCTTCAGGTAATCACAGACTCTACTCGGCAACTTGTGGATTATTCCCCGTTGGTCGTTCAGATCGCCACAACGTGCCTAGAGATAGCGCTAGGGCGGCTTTGGGAATCATGGGGCATCCATCCAAGGGCTGTCGTTGGACACAGCTTGGGTGAATACGCCGCTCTGTGTATTGCTGGTGTCATCTCTGAATATGATGCGATTTATATGGTTAGCCAGCGAGCCCAATTGTTGGAGCAACACTGTACTCCAAATTCCCACGCGATGCTAGCCGTCAGGTGCACATTCGACACTGTTCAGACATTTCTCCCAGGTAGTGGCTGTGAAGTCGCTGCCATAAATGGTCCCGAGGAGATTGTGCTTAGTGGAGAAAATAAAAGTATCAAGAAGGTGCACGATTCTCTCAGGTCTCACAACATTCATGGGACATTACTCCAAGTTCCTTATGCTTTTCACTCTTCACAGGTTGATCCTATTCTTGACAAATTCGTTTCTAGAATTTCGATGGTAAAATTTTCGGACCCCAAGATCCCTGTAATCTGTGCCACCAGCGCATCAATCGTACGGGATAAAGACTTCTTTGATGCATTTTATTTCGCAAGGCACTGTCGCCAGGCAGTCAACATGTTTGGTGTCATTCAAAAATCAAAAGAGGATGGTCTTCTAGACTCGTCGTCTATTTTAGTGGAGTGTGGTCCACAGCCAGTTGTTTCTAGAATGGTCAATTCTTCCCTTGGTTCGGCAATGGATATTTTACCATCCCTACAGCGTGGACAAGACCCCTGGAAGCTTATCAGCTCTGCCCTTCAGACACTCTTTAGTAGGGGTCTTGAGATTGACTGGAAAGAATACCATCGGGACTTTGACTCCTCACAAAAGGTAATCGACCTTCCATGTTACAGTTGGGAATTGAAAGAATATTGGATTCAATATAGAAATGATTGGTCTCTTCATAAAGGAGAGTTACCAAAAAACGACTCTTCGCTCCCTTCATACACGGCTCCCCTCAAAGAAGCTCAAGAAACACCAACTCCTTCATCAAAGCTTGAGTCTACTACCATTCATAACGTCATAGAGGAAGATGTGGGGTCTCAAACAGGAAGGATAGTTGTTGAAGCCGATATATCTCGCGCAGACCTAAATACTTTCGTGCAAGGACACAAGGTGAACGATATTCCATTATGCACACCGGTAAGATCTATCATCGAATCTTCCAAAACGATAAGAACTTCTTTCTGATTTAGATTTCGTAAATAGTCCGTATATGCGGAGCATGCTCTCACAATCGGATACTACCTTGTTGAGCGATACAAGCCTTCCCTAAAAGGGTGCCTTGTGGAAGTATCGAATATGGTCTTGGAAAAAGCATTGATTGCCCAAACCTCAGGGCCCCAGATTCTGCGAACGTCAGTAAATGTTGACTGGCTAAAAGACGGGGCCTCTATTACCTATGAGAGCTATACTGTATGTTTTCCATCTTTCCTAATTTACATTACTTCCCGCCATGTTCGTGGACATCTGTCTTTCCTTATTTATTTTCTGTTCTGTCTTCCACGTTCTTCGTTTTACAGTGTATATATACAGTTTCACATACTCCATAACAATATTGAATTTTCAGCTGATGGCAGTTCAATTAGAATACCGGCAAAAGGCCCTCTAAGCACGCTACTGCGAAAATTTGCTTCAAGGATATGGCTCAAACGTGTGCTGAACTTGCCGAGAGGACGGTCACAGTAAAAAGTCGGGCATCACTACTTAAGACAAGTCTCGATACAGGAAATGCTTATAGGTTCAATCGCTCAATGATCTACAAGATGGTTGGTGCTTTGGCACGCTTTGACTCAAAATACACTGGTCTCAAAGAAATCATTCTTGACAGCAATGCCCTCGAAGCATATGGGTCAGCTGATTTCTTTCATGTACCTTCAACTGGTGAATTTCACACCAACCCCGCATTTATCGATTCTTTATCGCAGATCGGTGGTTTTATCATGAATTGTAACGACAAATCTAACCTCGATGAAGAAGTATTTATGAATCATGGATGGGATAGCTTTGCTATGATCGAGAACCTCTCTAAAGAGAAGGTTTATGATATTCATGCCAGCATGCATGAGGACTCCGGGAACAAATGGAAAGGTGATATTACTATCCTAAATGGTGGTAATATTGTCGCATATTTCAACGGAATCACGGTTAGTAATCCTTGCTTCAACTATCCATGAATTCCTATCGCTGACGAGGTTGCTACAAACAGCTCCAAGGTGTAGCAAAAAGGGCATTACAATATATTCTTTCACGTGAACAGGACTTAGGAGCAAATGTTAAAAAGCGGCTCAAGCAAGTGACACCCAATCCCGTTTCAGCGATGCCTCTACCTAGCTCCGGTCAATCCATGGCGCCTATAGCAGATCTAGGCGAGTCCAACAGAAATCTACCTATTTCGGGGCGTTCCAGCAATCGTCTCAACGGTAGAATATCAGAGGAAACACCGTTGAGTTTAGAGCATCCACCAACTACTAATGAAAATGCGTTCATAGCCGAAACGTCTGAAAAGGTGGAATTAGCTTTGAATATTATTTCAGAAGAAAGCGGAATACCACTGGCTGATATGGATGATAATCTAGAGCTCTCAGAGCTAGGAATCGATTCACTGTTGGTACTTATAATATCTGGACGATTTCTTGAGGAGTTGGGTCTACATATAGACTCAATGGCCTTCTCTAGGATGTCCACTATCAAAAGTTTAAAAGGGTTCATTACTGATGGGAGCGATGACGAGGCCGGGAGAAGAACAGGGCAACACTCTTTCGACTATTTACCAATTACTTCCTCTCAGGGACATCAATCTCGAGCCACCCATAGACAAATGGGTTTATACACAGCCTTGCCAGGCCCAGATCCTACATCAGCGGCACCTACCACAACTTGGCCCTCTCTCCCAAGAGGGACGCCTATCATGCAGCAGAAAAACATCTATTCATCTGAAGTCACCTCTACTTACCACAATCTGCATAGTATAGATCGAATATTTCACGCCGCACTGGAAATCATATCCGAAGAGAGTGGCATAGCTGTGGAGGATATAGTAGATGATACGCACCTGGCAGACATCGGCGTTGACTCGCTTATGTCGTTGATAATCGTTGGCCGTTTAAAAGAAGAACTGTCTCTTGATTTCAACTTTGAAAACTCGCCTTTTATACAATTACCCACAATCGAAGACTTTAGAATTCACCTTCAGCATCGCGGTGTCGAAGGTGGGATGGATTCAACAAAGTCAACTTCTGCTTTGGGGGTCAGGCTTCACTCGGATTCGACCTCCAATGCAGCGAGTGCAGTAAACAAATACCACCTATGTTCAACTGATACAAGCACAAGAACCTCAATCCTCACCCCTCTTAGCGAAATCTCAGCCAGTTCGCAGGTTGAAAAAAAGGAGAAAAGAGCAGCCAAATCCATCATTATCCAAGGAAATCCATATAATGACCCAGATATACTCTTCCTTCTTCCTGATGGCGGTGGCTCTGCTGCGTCATATGGTCGCTTACCACTGATAAAGTCGGGTCTCTGCGTTATAGCTCTCAATTGTCCTTATGTTCGTCACCCCGAAGAAATGTTAACAAGTAGTCTAGAAGAACATGTCGACTCATACCTTACTGAGATCAAGAGACGGCAGATTAACGGGCCTTACGCCCTTGGAGGCTGGTCTTCCGGTGGAATTATGGCATATCGACTGACACAACGCCTAATTCAACTTGGAGAAAATGTCACTCGACTAGTGCTCATTGACTCACCCCCACCACAAGGGCTCGACAGACTACCACAAGAATTCTATGATCTATGTGGAAGCGTTAATCTCTTTGATGCAACCAAGAATCAATCGGCTTCAGCCGGCAACATTATGCCACGAGAATTACTCGCTCATTTTAAATCTAACATTGAGCTTTTACACGATTACTATGCCGATCCTATTCCTGAAGGCCTTGCTCCTAACACAACCATTATCTACGCAACTGAATGTGTTTTTGATGGAATAGCATTTCCCAAACCATTACCATCCATGGTTCAAAATGACGGCATTAAATTCCTCACAGACCAACGCACTGACTTCTCAGCTAGTGGTTGGGGAGAATTGCTTCCTGGTGTAGATATCAATATTGAGAAAATAGCCGGGGCAACTCATTTTTCTATGATGGTAAGAGACTCAAGAGCCATCAATTGATGTTAATAATTAACTATTTTATATTCTAACTACTTCATTTTTTAGGGAAAGTATGCCGTCGAATTAGCACAGCTAATTAGGAAGGCTATAGGGTAGAGCCTTCAGGTTATCTATCGACAGTTTCTGTTGTTCCAGACCATAGACCATCAAAAACAAAGATGTTACCGGCTTCATATAATGGTAGTAGTTTATCATCCGTGTATCGAGCAAGCCTTAGCTTATATTTCTTGTCATTCGTCATTCAGCACGACCTGTATGTGTACAAGAGCACCTTGAAATGCTACCATCAACCTCATAACAAGAACTTGTAGATATACAGACGATGGAACTACTTGTAAACCCACCAGTGAGATTTGTAGTATCTGGGGCACCATATTAACATCCAATAGTTGCACGATAAGCCTGGACATTTGAACGTCTGAACACATCAAGGTCTTTAATAAATATGCATATCTATGACCTACGTATGTAATGATGTTTCCATGCTTCAGATATGACCGTGATTGACTGGACATACCCATTGATGTTGTGGAAAATCAAGACAGAGGTACAACGCAACGGTTATAATCTAAGAATACCACATAACATTTGATCTATTGTAGGACTAGGTATTTCAAACGTTAAACAGGTGCGATTCATCAGCATCAATATGTTTTAACATAGACTGGACAAGTGAGTTTATAGTCAATTGAATGCCTAAGGGCAGAATCGAGTCATGGTAGTACAATAAAAGCAAGCCCGAGCATCGCTGCTAAACTCCTAAAGTACGACTTGGTTTCCTAAGCAGCTACTTGAGCGGCTTCGACCGCGGTATCGACGAACCTCTCATCTGGAGAGACGCTCTTCGTGCCAATCTTTTCAAGACCCAGGTTTCCACGTACTAAATTAGCTCTTAACCCATCGTAAATATTCGCTGCGAAGAAGTCTCGAAACACATGCTTTACCATACGCAGCATTCTTTGTTCCTCGTGAGTAAGGGCCTCTTTCTCAATGCTATCCGTGTACAGCTTTGAATCTAATTCCACATCTGCTTTTGATTTGGCAAGAGCTTCTGCAGAGAATTCAACAGCGTGCGAGACATCGTTGTGGGTGGCCTTTCCATTCACGTCAGAAAGACCCTGAATCACTATGGGTTCGTTTGAAAATTAGAGAAAAGTCCATTGGACTCAAACGTAATTGATACTTTCATTCACCAATTCGAACTCACCTGGTCGGATAATATGGAAAGCCCCGTCGAACCCATCCTCGTTTTCACTGTTTAATATTGGGACTTCTTGGGCTCGGATTTGCTTAGTAACAGTCATAACAATAAGCAAGAATCTTGTAAATCTTTCGCGGACTGCATTCGAATGCCATTTCCACGCGGTCTCCTCATCGCAGTCCTTGCGTATAGAGGCACATATTGACACAGCAGCAGAAAGAGCACCTGCGAGGGCTAAATGTACACCAGAGGAGAAGTAAGGGTCTATAAAAGCTCCTGCATCCCCAACAATGCGCAAATAGCGGTTACCGTATTCTGAAGCGCTGTAGGACCAGTCGGAAGCATGCTTGATATCCGATTCAAGAGTGGCATTCTTTAGTAGGTGGGTTACACCACTAGCGTCGTTAATTGATTCAAGATAGAATTCACGGGAATTACTACTGCTAGACTCTCTTTTCTTTCGACTTGATGCTTCCTGGTTCATTACCACCCCGACAGAGACGGTTTTGTCATGCAAAGGAATAAACCAAACCCAGCCACTACCATCTGTGTCTACTCATCAACCCATGCGCTAACAGTCATGACTTAAACCTGAAAGCTTACCGTTGAGAGCTTCGAAAAGGGGTTGACCCTCTTTTGGGGTGCCAATCCCGTAGGATATGGCCCCGCGCCAGTAACCCCAGCTAGCGACATTCTTCAAGTCTTTATTGTAGCTGCGATTTTTCATGTACTTTGTGCTGACCATACCGGCACGGCCACTGGCATCGATAAGATAGTCGAATTTGATGCTGCCACAGCGTCCATCTTTGGCTGTCCAAGATGCAGAAACTGGTCGTCCTGGATCAATAGCAGATCCATCACTCTGAGGGGAGGGGTTTTCAGTGGCTATGAAATCAATTCCCGTAACCTTCACCCCATCAAATATCTTTGAGCCGCATTTGCCTGCATGTCTAAAAATCAGCTCGTCAGACTCGGAGCGAATCACATTCCAGGCGTGACTATCAGCCCCGGGTTCTAGAATAAAGTCGGTGTCTGTTCATTAATACAGTTAAAAACAAAACTTGACCAAGCATCTGCATTTAGTGTCATCTTACAGGCATCTTTCTGGCGATTTAGTTTGAAGGCGGCTCCAGTCTAACGAAGTCATAGTATGGTTAGAAAACGATCAAAGAAGCCCTTTCATACTGATATACACCCTTACTGCCGTACCATTAAAGATGATATTGTCTACATACCTTCTTTACAAATCCATACTTGAGAAACGTGTCATCTAAATCGATGAAACGTAAGAAAGGACGCATAGAAGGTATCATACTTTCCCCAACATGGTACCTTCATTTCGCACAATGTAAGTGAGTATCAAGAAAACGAGAAATTTTTATAATCCGGAAACTCACCGAGGAAAGATATCGGCCTCTAGAACGACAGTGTCAATGCCCTCACGAGCAAGCGCAGAGGCTGCGTAGGAACCGCCTGGGCCACCCCCGATTACTAGAACAGTGGTCTCAGATGGAATAGACATATTTATTTTCCGTTATCAATTAGAACTAATAGGGCGGTTCATATACATAATTTAATCCTGTACAAATTTAAATATTGAACGGATCCTGCAATTTAAGTATTAATTCATCTGTCAGCCCGAGTCACTGTCGCAGGCCCTACGAGGTTCTCATACTTATCGGACTTCTAACATTGAACGTACTATTGGTATTTCGGATCGACATGTCAGTTCCCAATGGGCTACGAACGCTGCAGCCATTTATGAGCCAATGGCTTACCAATAAATCATCACCTATATGTCAGAGGGTTGACTATCCATTCGTAGGTCATCGAATTACTAAAATTTAAGCCGAAATTAATGCCGAAAGCAGTCAAAGTTAAACCGACTGTGCTTTAACCTGCAAGCAAGTTTAAAGTATCGGGGGTAGATAACAATAGCGCTAGGATGTAGGCCGATAATATCGGGCCGATGGCCATGATCATCGTTTCCTGGCAATGAACAATACGATAAGGCTGGCCATTTATTCCTATTCAATCCATTTTTAATATATTGTACTATTGATTTCAGGTGTTTCTTAACCTCTAGGTAGTGGGTGGTAATAATTGCAGGGTTAAAATAATTTCCATAACTTGAACTCCAGAAGCCTTTGATCCTTTCTACATTGAAGCTAATACAAATACAAAGCAAAACATATTATTATTCTTCTAAACCTTCAAGTGAGAGAATACATGGAAATTCGCAAGGAACGGATAATCGTTGGAATAGAATCGTTCTACCATTTGCCAAGTTTCTCATGCCAAATAATATCATCTCATCAGGGAATCTTCATTAGTATGTTGAAGTTGTTGTTCTAGAAATGCGACGAGGCTTTGTGCAGCCACATCTTTATACGATGCTTCGTCAATTTGTATTTCCGCACCCGAACAGCCGATATCGGTGGAATTGTTCGAATAGTCACTAGAGACCTCGCTTGTAGTGCTGGTTGGTGTGATATAACATGCCGATGTATCTAATCTGGTCTCTTGGATGCGTTCGTGAAGTATTTTCCTAAGATAATTCATCATTTTGAGTTCGCTCTGAACTACCTGCACTCGTAACTTGTTTTCTAATGAAGGTTCGAAAACATATTCACCCATCAAGAGTGGCTGATTAACAACGAATTTGCTGTAATCTTCACGGTTGTCATCTTGGTCGAAAGTTGGAATAGAGTTAGTACTTCCCTTCGTGCCACTGGAATGTGCTGCCAGTGGAGACGATCTGGAGGGAAAAGGGTCATTGTTGCAATTAACCGGCAATAATGCATTATACCAGACCACTAGCTTATTATATATTGCGACTAAAACAAGCTGCATAGGAACGTTGAGGGAACAGGTACAATTAACGATTCGGGAGACTGCTTGGATGGCTTGTCTGTTTGCAGTAAGAATAGAATCCGTTGTTTGTGGTGAAGACATCGTTGCAGATGGGACCTTGCCACAAACCGACAAGCAAAGAGTAGAAGGAACATGCAAATTTTTAAAAATTTTCAATGCCTGGGTCATACAGGACTCCGTTTGGTTTGTGCATGGTTGTATGGCTTTAAGAATGTTGGTCTCAGGGACATCTTCCGTAGGGTAACAAGGCACATGACGTTGGTAAGATTTTGTAGTACCGAATATATGAGGAAATGTATCACTTGAGGCTGAAAAGAAGTTTTCGGCGCTCTGATAACTGCCATTCTCAAATTCAGAGCCAGTCATGTTTGACTGAAAAGCCGCTTCGGACGATGATTCACTTGATATGTTCGGAAAAGATGCGAGCGATGAAGAACCGGCAGTAACTTGAGAAAATTGAAATAATTCGTCTTCTAAGTCATAGTGGATATCACTGCTACTTGGTGTCTTTTGATGATCCGTCATTAATGGACTGTGGTTCATATCTAGATCCATGGGCAACGCTATGTCTTGAGAGTGTGGCATTGTGATAGTTACAGTGAACCTCCGGGTTGGAAATATGTATTAAGTAATTTCAGTCACTGTAAGCGCTATGTCTACACGTAACTTCGCTTAATTTAATTTTTCATAATGATAATCAAAGCGGCCAAACACTATCGTAAGCACTACGAATAGCAGGTAGCTGACCCGAAGCTATATGCCGCCAACTTTTCTCCATTTCTCCGTGAACGGTTCTCCATACAATGATCATTTTACTGTGAGGAAAATAGAAATTCGACCGCTTGAATCAGTAGGAATTTGGAAACTCATTACGTTTTGCGTTCAGGTTTAATTTGACTTATGTGTTACTTTCTTGCACAATCACTCTAAATCCTTGTGTATAGGTAAAAGCTATAGAAAATTAATTTTTTTAATTGCCAAAAGCAGGCGGGTTTGCATAAACGTCAGAATGTGTTTCCCCGGTTCATAATCGCTGCCAAATGCTTCGGCCGAATGACCAATCGGTAAGCTGAAGCAATGACTGTCCGTAAGATTTTAGTTCCATCATATCCATTGCGTCCTACGAGGGTGCAGCAATCCTGCCTCCACATGGCACTTTGCATAGTCAAAGAAGGTCTAAGATAGTTTTGACAGGAGTGTGGTTGTACAGGTGTCAAGCGCTAGCTTCTCGATCTCAAGGATCTGCTATGCCGGAAGCAAGCACATAAAACCTAGCCCCTTTTAATGTCCAGCTTATTCATTGTAACCATGTTACTAATTTTTGGGAAGGATCTGGGTATCAATGTATTCAAAATGATCGTAATATAAGAAATTACCGTATAGCGGATACATCTCTGTCTATTCCTGTCCGAGAAGATGTATTTACTATTAGCAAAGACGGACCCTGAACTGGTATTTCGTATTTACCTTAAAACTTTGACCAAGAAACATAATAGGATCATGATATCTGTAGGACGATGGAAAGACAAAACTATAAAGACTCACGAGTGATGTCCCCAAGATCCCTTCCCGCCAGTATTTCTGGAGGTTTCGGACGTTAGCAATTACTGCTGTCCAAAAATCGATACTGAAGATAGAATATCAAGAAGAAGCAATATAGACCATGAAATGTAAGGAGAGAATGGGAAAACAATAAAGGAATTGCGATATATTTTATAGTTTATTTAGTACAGATATCAATTGATGCGACTATAACGTGTGAATCTCCAGGGTCAAGCTACGGGCTCTCTGAGTGTATTCTTTAGTGTAATGACATTGAGTGTTAAATTGTTATCCAGCTTCATTGAAGGACCTTGTTGAATATAATGTCCCTCAATTCACGCCCCCTCCCTAACTCCAATTCAGCATCATATGTATCAAATCTAATTTAAATTCGCGCCACCCAGTCGGTAACGTCGTCAGTAGTGGACTTCAGCTTGTGGTTCATGGAAGAACTCAATGCCGCCATTAGGTTTCTAGTTGTGGAGTCAGTTTCTTGGGAATATCTTTGAGTGAACTGGGCCACAACGTTGGCTACGCGAGGTAGTTCTTCAATTAGTTGCATCATATGTTTTTCGCCGTCATGATGACTGTTGTTTAGTCGATGATTGTCATGACGACGTACACCATGGCCACAAATGTTCTTCTCGGCTTGACGGTTATTGCTCACGCTACCCGATTTTCCTATCGTGTTGCCCGATGTATCTTTAGATGTTTTGTCACTCTCCAGAAAGCAGGTTGGAGGACGTGACAGTTCGGAAAGGCCGCGGAGAATGACTTGCATTTGATCTAACAATGATGTGCAAATGGCCGCGACCAAAAGCCCGATATCGACTTTCATCGAGCAGGAACAGATAAGCATTGAGGAGATGCGTTTTATTGATGCGGCAGCTATCATATTTGGTGGAATTCCTGCAAGTGGTGACTCTCCACCAGTACAGAACACCGGTTTTCTCAATTTGTACATGTCTATATTCTGCAGAATTCCCAGTGCGGCGGAAACACAATCGGAGTTCGTAGGAGTTTCTGGGGGAGCTGCATGCCTACAATTTATGCATGAATTGCCACGTAGATACATGTTGGTCGGCGACGCGCCGTTTGGAAATTGAATTATAGGATCGTTGATTGACATCGTCAAAGGGTGGTGGAATTCAAATCGACTATCAAATAGAGTCGTAAAATTTTCAGACACGATACTTCTCTCCATTCCAGGTTTGCCCTTCGCTGCTTCACCGTAGAGCATATCAGATTCCACGGCAGGCAAAGAAGGGTCCTGTACTTCTTGACCTTGCGGCTGCGTAGGAAGCCTAGAAGTAGCAAGTTGACGAGAAAAGTCTGTTTTCAGTCGACTTATTGACTTGTCCTTTATTGTTTCCGTTGATTCAACAAGAAATCCTTTCTGCAACAAACCCCGATTTGGAGACTCTCCATGGCTCGTTGAAGAAGAATTGGGTCTCTGTTGGCTATGACGGCGCTTTGGGAGACGTCGAGCCGGGCTATAGAAGCACGGGTAACCCAATCTTTCACAACGACTGCAAAGTGGTTTTCTTTTATCACATTTTACCTTGGACGCCGAGCACATGTCACAGGTATCTTTCAGTTTCCTGGGTGCCGGTGCACGGCCTTGGGATGCACTAGCACGACGAATCGCATAATTCTCGTCTTCTGTCATGATATTCTTAGGACCCGTTGTTCTTCTCGTTTCCTTTTGGCCAAAACTTGTGATAGTTTTACACTATTGTAAATTGCTTAAAAGGGGAATATCATTCTAGAAGTGGTCTTTACATTGATGTGACGCCTGACCAATAATTGTTAATATACGGAAACCGAATAACAATTCGGAACCCCGCAAGGTTATCTCTTGAGCCCCTCCACTTGACCCACTAGTTTTCGGGACTATTTTTACGCTTATTATGCTCTTCGTATATATACGAAGTGATCAGCCAAACACCCAATCGAGTCTTTCGTATTTGCATATGCGAGCTAGTGTGACCTGAAACAGTAGCTTGCTGTTTATGGTGTTAGTATCTTATCCAATGGGAGGAAACCATAGGGGAAATAAACCTCTACCATATGAAAAGCTTCAATTGGTTTATTCTGTATATGTGAAATTACCAAAAGTTGATAAACGCCCCCAATGTTCAATATTTGAATATGGAGGAGATTTTCAACCTGTCAGTGTGACGCTAACTTAGCACGTCAATTGATAGATTGCAAAGTCGTAGGATTTAAATATAAGTAGCGCACGAGTATGAGACCATGAAAAGTTGACTGGGGTATTTGTTACTGAAGCATTTGCCGCCAGTAAATAATATGATATTTCGGTGCTTTATTACGGATAAGCAGTGTCGCTTTTCCCTTGTGTGCGAGATGTCAGAATTAAGTACTCCGAATTTACTCGGCGACTATGCATTGCTAGCACCGTATCTTGATTCGCCACTTGTCCGGCAGTCGGACTAGACTTGCCTCACAACGTGCTCCAGATTCTTGTCGGTATTAAATAGTCGGATATCCGACCAATTCGTTGGAAAGTGCAGTGTATCTAGTTAGAAAGGAATTTCGATAAGTGCCAGAGAGAAATTGTGGCGGCTATTTGAATTATGTGTGCCCTTGTATCCTATTGTGCTTTGCTTGTTTTACAAATGATTATTAAAATTTATTTATCATCTAAGTTATAGTATGGCTTGCTCTCTGCCACCATCTGTAGTTGGCATTTTAGGCGTTTTCGCCTTAATTGCTATTCTCTGGTCACGAAGAGATCGTCGCCTTGACACCATCCCTGGGCCCCGGGGTCACCCAATTGTCGGAATTGGCCTGGGCTTCCCTCCCAATGCAGCCAATGTATTTCGCCAGTGGGCTCATGAGTATGGCGACCTGTTTAAAATTCGCGTTGGCTGGTACAACTGGGTTGTGGTGAACAGTCCTGAGGCGATGAGAGAAATTTTTGACAAACAGGTAAGAGGACGAGGACTCCACGGTAATTCATTTAATAATGTATATTGAGCAAATAAAAAAAAACAGTCTGCATATACATCCTCTAAGACACCAGCTCCAATTCTAGATGACGTCGTAGTGGGTGGAATGCGCATGTTTACAATGTAAGGGAGCAGCCCTCGTATCTGAACAAGAGATATCGCAGAAAGGGCTTATATCAAGGGGCTGACAATAATTAGGCCATACGGTCTCAAATGGAGGAGATACCGTACGATAACTCATCAGTTACTCGCGCAAAAGGCTACCCAGAGCTTTATTCCAACACAGTCCTTTGAAGTTAAACAGCTGCTGTGGGATCTGGCTCACGACAACACCAGTAGTGGGGAATTCTATCAGCACATTCGTCGAACTTCATTTTCTATTGTCATGACCAGTACATACGGTCGGCGAATTGGGCACTGGGATAATGAGGACGTCCGCCACGCTATCGAGAGCACCCGAATCCTAGGAAAAGTTACTCGCCCTGGACAATTCATTGAGGATGAGATACCCATTCTCGCCAAGCTACCTCACTGGATGCAACCATCTCGAAGACGCGCGGAGCAGTACGCTAAGCCAGTACTCTGGGCTAAGATGCGGCTATGGAATCTGATGAAGGCAGCCATTGCAGATGGGAGCGCGCCACCTTGCTTCGGAAAAGACCTAGTATTGAGTGACTACCAATCGCAGGGGTTGACAGACGAAGATGCTGCCTGGATTGCAGGTGGTACGTCGTCTTCCACTTTATCCTCTATAGCGAACATTTTCTAACTGAAAAATACAGGACTCGTCGAGGCTGGTGCGGAAACAACAACTGCGACTTTAAATAGTCTTGTGCTCTACCTTGCTGCAAACCCGGAGGTTCAAACCAAAGCAAATGAAGAGTTATCCAACGTTATCGGCGATAGCCGAGCGCCAGAATTCGATGACATCGTAAATCTTCCATATATTCATGCCTGTGTAAAGGAAGTTTTACGCCTGCGTCCCGTGCCAGTCTGGGGTATCAAGCATTTTACCGATCAGGACGTTGTTTACAAGGATCATATCATCCCTAAAGGCACAGTCGTGTTAGCCAATACGTCCGCCATTCACTACGATCCTACCAGATACGACGAGCCATTCTCCTTTCGTCCCGAGCGCTACATTCATCACGACAAATATGCCGCCGATTATGCGGTAATGAGGGACCCATATGCTCGGGATCATTTTACTTTTGGTGCCGGGCGACGAATCTGTCCCGGCTCGAGGTTCGCAGAGAACACACTCAACTTAGCTCTAGCAAATATTTTGTGGGCATTCGCAATCCGACCGCCTGTGGCGATAGTTGACGGCAAGGAGCGGGAGTTGGAGATGGATACATCAGATAAGGCCCGGGAAGAAACAGCATTCCAGGCGCCAAAGCCATTCAAGGTTCGCTTTATTCCCCGCAATGAGGAACGTATGAGGATTTTAGAAAAAAATTGGAAAGTGGCGCAGGAGACTGGCTATACTCTCCGAGGAAGGCATGTTGATATGTATGGGATAGCCCGACCAAATCAATAAAAGAGAAATATCTTGGGCATTTGTTATTTGCTGCTCTATCCACAGTCTTCGGGTGGCCCTCAGATCCATCCCGTGTCTACAACAATATGTAGAGATAATTAGAAATATAGGAAGTTGTATATCGATTTGCAATTAGTTAGGACAGTCAAAATATAGGCTCCTTAAAAGGCCTCCATCTCACTGACGATTATCGGATGACTGCCCAATAAGTTTAAATAAATCCAAGTGGGGCTGTTATTATCGACCAATTATGGGGATGGTAATTGTCCGAGCTGGCACCAGGTGACCCGCTCTACGTCAATGGCTGGGCCAGAAGACGTCAGAATGCCCGCTATCTATTCAAGCAAGACGACTGTTTTCATCTCGTCGGGTTCCAGTTTTTATATTAGCATTGTAATTCCATAGTTAGGTCTTCCAGTTACAGATTTTTGTTAAGAAACAGAAAAGGCAGTGCACAAACAAGAATATGGACGGGCTAAAACAAGCTACGGAAGCATTTTCCCAACATACTGAAGAGCAAAAGCAGCAGCAGTTCTACAACAGTCTTCCCGCCAAAGAGCAATATAATATGACATACGCCGAGTGGGTGAAAGAAGCCTATAATGAGCAGTATGAGAAGTGGATGCCCTGGATTGAGGACCAGTACTTGAAATGGTTCGGAAATGGCGACAACAAGGCATCCTATACCGTCAAAGGTTGATTCTTTCATTTTAGAGTTTGAAGTTGTTATTATGAGAAGTAACTAACATGAATACAGATACACTGAACAAGACAAAAGTAACCAGCGTGAGTCAGATTGATCAGCTCCAAGACGATGTCCACAACCTGGTCGGAAACCAGGTTGGCGAAAACGGCATTGCAGCACCACTCGGAGATATAGCAAGCAAAGAAGGCATCAATCGCATGGAAAGGGGTGGCAGAGATGACAAAGGGTCGTATGGCGGCCCAGCAACCCAATATACAGACCCGATGATTCAGAACACAAAAGATACGATTTCTGGGGGTATGAAAACGGTAGGCAACTCGATTTTAGAAGGTGCAGAGAGCACGAAGAGCCATATTGGGTTGGGACGTGCAAGCGACAAGTAGTAAATAGTAGAGGACCTTCGTTGTAAGAACCAAGGAACGCAGCTTATGGATCATTGTTTTTTTGTTGGTGCAGAGTTTTGGACTCTCCTGCCATTCTCCGCACCCTTTCTCCTCTGTTTTCCTCTGTCGATATTTTATCCGCGCATTAATGAGCAGTATTGTATTTGATATTTCAATTATCAGCGTATATTCAGAGTACGAGGGAGATGATATTGGCGACAATGTATATACGACTGTAAGCGGGTCCGTGCCACTTCTATGAAGTCTCGTTGGTGAAATATGCTTCCGCGCTAGTGAATTTCGGGCAGCGGAGTAACGGGAGGTCCGTACCTAGCTAGTCTAGCCCCGCAAACCCGAATAGAAGCAGTGTGATTTGTCGGCCACTGTTTACACTATCGCAAGGCTCGTTTATTTCTCTATATTTTCCTGGGGCAGTGGACGAGCGGAAAGGAAGTAATTGTGAGCAGCTATGAATATTTTTCCCATTAGCCCAATCAGTTTTCTAATGTCCAGTTTGTTTCCTCCTAATTGCGCTATTTGCACCACACTAAGCCTCTTGTGGAACCGGAGTTATCGGACAACATTTGAATCCGCAGCAAGTATCGTGGTGGTTGGATAGTTTTGTACGTTTCTCTATTTATCTGTATCTGTGTTAACTTTGATCGGACACATTACAAATCATGATTACACATATACCTCAGGCTGAATGTTGCGTTTGACCTTCCTGTGTCGATATATAAATGTATGTACACACGTATTAATGTTTAAACATCGAATCATGAGTACAACTGTCACACGCACCATTAACCAATAATTCATTGATAACTCCAGACTCGTTATTGGTCTAAATTTTTTAACACTTCAACTATCAAACAAATCTAGAAACTGGTTGTGAACTTCAACCGAGACATGGAGGGGAAAAAACATACGCCGCGCTCGATTCTGGGGGCTTTCTACGATGCAGAACGCGTATATATGTCCGCGCCGGTTGACAAAAGAGACTTTAGTGGCATATCTGCCACATTGTCACCTGATGTGAAACTGGAACAAACCCCGAACCTTCCTTACGGTGGTGTCTATACAGGGGCAGCTGGTTTCCAACAGTGGTCAGGGAAAATGGCAGAGCTATTTGATGCTGTGGATGTCAAAGAACCGGAGATATTCGAAAGGGAAGGTTCAAACCGAATCGTGGTTCTGTCAACGGTAAATTTCAGGGTACGCAAGACTGGCAAGATGCTGGTATATCCGTTTTGCCAGGTTGTCTCCGTTGATTTGGAAAAGGGCCAAATCACCGAGATGAGACCATTTTATTGGAATGTGCATGCACTGAACGAAGCACTAGGGTTCAGTCATTAGGTCAATTTTGGCACATTTTGTTCACTAGTCCTTTTCTTACGGAGAGGAGCTAGGATAAACTAAGAAGAATATGCTATTTCCCTCAATCGAACCAAAAATAGATTAGTTTTAGAATTTCACCGCAGGGTTTACCCCCATCTTAAAAACAGGACTGTTTTCAAAGTTATCATAGTCGAGAAACGCCATACTGCACTGTCTTGAAATTTCTACTTCTTCACCCCGAAGCAGAGCACCCTTATCGTATGTATCTATGGCGTCTTGCAAAGGTACCTTGTCTCGTTGCACTGTAATTATGTTTTTGACCAATTCGTCAGCATCTTTAATGGCAAGGTTACCGCCTTGACCCCGGTGGAATGTCATACTATAGCAACTGTTAGTCTACCTGAGCAATAATATACTCAATAATATATTGAGCGCGTATATGTACCTATGCGCAGCATCACCAGCCAAGGTTATGCGTCCGCGGTGATTATCCCACGGCCTAGTCTTCCAAATTCGAAGCTGATCTGGCTTGATTTCAACGTCATCCGGCACATTGTCAACAACAACCTTGAAGAGATCAAACCAGTCTCTCATGCGTGACCGGAGTTCGCTCAGCCGGCTTCCAGGATGGTGGATTCCTGCATCGCTTAAACTCCATGTAGAAAGGATGTAGAATACCCACGTTTCTGGCCTCTCGATATCAGGTTTGTCTAGTAAGAAAACACCCAGGTACATGTTTGAGGGGTGCGCGCCAACGTCTACGGTTGGGTTCATCTCTTTGTCGAGTCGCAGAGCTATATCTGCAGGAAGCGTGAATGAAAAATTCATGAAGTCACATGGCAAGGCTTCTGGCAAAGCGAGATCTCCCAGTAGCCAACGACGAACATGCGACGCTCCTCCGTCTGCACCGACTATTGTCGTGCCAGTCTCCGAGGTTCCATCGTCAAAATACGCCGTTACACCGGCATCGTTTCCCGGGGCAAGAGCAATATCTACTAGTCTTTTGCCGTACCTTATATCGAGCCCTTCAGAAAAATGGCGTTTTGTCTTCTGAATATTCAATCGACGGATGCTTGGAAATCGGCTCACAGTTTTAGCCTCACCGGTGGCTCCATCGCGAACAAGTAGGCCTGTTTGGCCGGCTAGCTTGGCGTCTAAGTTAGGGTCTGGCTGGCACTGCTGGATACTGTCGTAAAGATTATCAGGAAGAAGCTTTTGTAATAAAGGCAGCGCCCAGCCGAGCGTGATTGCCCAATTCCGGTCTCTTGGAGCCGTTTCACGGTCAACAATTACGTAGGGTATGTTGTTCTAAATTATTGTCAGACTTTCATAATTTGGAGTTTGACCTCGAGAATATATCAACAAAAGCACTGTTTCACGCACCTTTTTTAATCCATGTGCGATAGCTAGGCCGGCAAGACCTATAATCAATTAACATGCGCGCCATTGGTGCTCGGGTCTATTCCCTCACCGGCACCAACCACTATTACACGCATTGGCTGCTGTATCATATCCCAACTGTGAAGGATCAACTGTCAAGAACCAAGTCACTGACTTGAAACATGTACGCACGAGGCCAAAGATGACAACGCAGATACTACAGAGGGTATTCACTGGACGGCGGGTTCGACGAATGCGGATAGCATACATTCCAGCAGCAATTCGAGAGCAGCTGAGTGGAGTCGACTTATCGACCAGCGAAATGCCGAGGGGCTGCATCAAACGTCACTGTTGGTACGCTATAACTAACTAGTCGTGACATTAACTGATCGAGGCCATAGCGGGCACTCCACGCGACAATCTAGATTAATTGAGCTCTTTTTACGCTGCACGCAAATGTTTCTTGGTAGCATGAGAGACATCGCCGGCGTGATTCGTTTCCTTCTACTTGCATCTCATACAGAGAGTGGCTCTCGCTTAGATGCTTGGGACCTGAAGATTGGAGCGAGATGCAAGAAGCGAACGGATGCCTGCAGCCGACCTGTTGTTGATGATGCCTCAGGCCACCAGCGTCGGCCCAGGCGCAAACAATATGATCAATATTTGCCATCTAAATTAAATAATAATAATAACAGCAACAACAACAACGATGACCGATGCTTCCGAGAGCAGGAAATAATACAATATGAATAAGAGCGAAGAGGAACCCTAAAGATAGCCAGGCAACCAGGCAATGAGGTAATCAGGCAGCCGCGAAACAACGACGCTAGAGTTGGCGCTCTCATTCTCCTTCTCTTTCTTGTTCTCTTTCTTGCTGTTGATGCTGCTCCATACATATATCATATTATATTAACGACAGGAGCAACAACAGCAACAATGGGCCAACCGACAGCACAACAACCATCAGTGGCCGTATCGACGCACACTCTCCGCGACCTCCACGACGACAGCGACGCGCACCCCGATGGCCTGCCCCCATCCTACGATGAAATCACGGCCGGCCCCTCTCAAGTGCTTCCAAGTGCCAGTGCTGGCACTGACTCTACCTCACCGCGAACCCCCGATGTCCCTTCTGCACCGACCGTCCGCCTGATTGACGTCGACTGCCGAATTCCCGGCGGCCAGAAACCTACGACCATGTCGTCACGAGTTCGGGATTGCACTATCGTCACGTTGAACCCAGAGCTTTCCAACAACGCGCACGAACTGTACACGACAATCGCTCAGCAAATCCATATCCCCCGCGCCCACAGCTCGTTATCACCGGAACCCACAGCGAGTCGTCCAAAAACAGGGATAAGAAGAAGAACGAGAGTAATCTGGTGACGGACTTTAACTTCCGTTTGGACCTGGCGGAAACACTGTTGACAGGCTGGGAACGAGCCCAAAGTGATTCATGTGTTACCTGGCACAATGTCGACATAGCCCGTGATTGCGATGGAGTCAAAAGATACCGGGGCACCCGATCGAAAACTGTCACTTGGCGGCCTCATAATCGGAAAACTGGTGGACAACAAGCCTCTCCAATTCGTCTGCCGGAGGACGACCCTGAGAGCAATCGGCCATACATGAACCTAGGAACTGGTCTCGGCGATTACGATGAGGACCAACATCCCCTCGTTCAACCGGATACCTACGATGAGTCAGCTGGGCATGATAGAAGGTTCAATACCAAGGCAGATCAGGAAGACTTTATACAGTGGTGCCGTCGATTTTGTAGTGATCCGTCTGCAGTCAAGTCGTACGTATCAAAGAGCATACTCCTACTTGTTTTTATCTTTCTTTGCGGCCTTCTAACACTGCACTTCGTTCATTCTAGGTTCACATTAAAGCGTCACGTTCGCAATTTCAACCACCAGGAGGTCATCCGCTGCCTGAAGTCACATATCCGCGATACAAACTATCGAGGCAACATCTACATGGAGCTCGTAGTCGCCAAGGAAACTGTTACGATATATTCACCACACTGGATTAACAAACTCCGCAATCACTCTGCTGTTTTTTGGATTTGTGTCATCCTTCAGTTATGGATAATTTCCTGGCCAGTGATCTGGCTTCTGGAGAAACGCTATGAGATCGTAGATTCTTGTTGGTACGCATCACATGCAGTGGAAGATGGCAACGGCTATACCAGATCAAGAAAATATGCACGGGGTCGTGACGAACGAGCGCTAGGCGAATTTTGGGCCCCAGCCGTTAAGCAGGCTGCTTGGGCTCGTCGTCAAAACGGCGAAATCGTTGCTCTAGAAGATGCGCAACGGCTACAGGGCCTGACAACTGAACAAATTCTAGTAACTGGGTTATCCGACTCCCAGTCCGAGATTGAACGGAGGCAGCGGATGGAACGTGGCGAGGGTTCATTTGTGGATTCGGTGGTTGGGCTTGCTCGTGGTGTTAGCGAAGTCAGGCAAGGCTGGAATATGACTATGGGATGGGGTGGAAACACATGAAGACAGCATTTCATTATATCCCGTGTCTCAGATTTTATCCACCTTTAAATATTTACTGTGCTAGACCAGTCAGTACGCAAGCGGAATGCTATCCTAAGGAATCAAGGATAGCTATGAAATGCTTTCTTGTGCTGATGTTGGAAACTTCTATATATCCAGCCTAACATTTGAAGACATCTCCCTAACGCGATTTTGCTTGGCCACATTAATTGATAGCAGTCGATTACAGCTATAGAGAATCATATCGAGAAAAAGCGATCAAGGAGCTACCACATATGGTCGTTATTGAGCTTAAGCTGAGAAATCCAACCAGATACTTCGTTCACTCCTTATACTTGTACCTTTCTTCTAATTCCTATATATGAACGCACTGATCAGTCTCATGTCGGGATTGAAGACCTCAACTGCTACAGTACCTACCCAGTACTTCTTGAAGCCTACTCCCTCAACAACCTCATCATAACTCAGAATCATGTCAGGCGCTCCAACTGTCATACTCCGTTTGAGGCTCTCTAACGTGTCGCGAATACTTTTCAATTTTGCCGCGACTAAGGTCCATGGATAAGCAACAGCTGCAAAACCCAACTCAGCTAATTCCTTTGCCGACAGATTTTCTGTTTTGCCACCCTCAATAATGTTAGCTAACATAGGCATATCAACCTCGTTCACGCAACGCTGCATAGCTGCGCGATCCGGGAGGGCTTCTACAAAAATAGCGTCAACTCCGATGCGCTTAAATTCTGCTACACGGGTCATCGCCTCCTCCCCGCTGATAATGAGAGCATCGGTTCGAGCCAGTACAAAGATATCCTGGCCTTCATTGCGAGCATCGCATGCTGCTTGGATGCGTGCGTAAGCTTCTTCGCGCGACACTACCGACTTCCCTTTCGTATGGCCGCAACCTAATCTAGTCAGACTATATTAATTAGAATAGCGACATTTGCATTGCCTCTCACGTTTCGGCCATGTCTGGTCCTCAATCATGACGCCGGCCGCACCGGCCTTCGCAAATGACTCTACCGTACGTCTGACATTCATTGGACTGCCGTACCCAGTATCACCATCTGCCATGACCGGGATGTTAACCTGGCGCACAACTTCCTGGAGCTTTTCGCACATTTCCTGCATGGCGACATATCCGGTATCGGGTAGTCCGAATGAACTGGCTATGTTGAAGCCAGACATAAACACGATCGGGAACCCAGCCTCTTCTACCAGCCGCGAGGACAGACCATCATAGGAACATGGGAAAGCCAGAATTTTCTCTGGGTTTTTGTACCCCTCTAACCACAGACTACGAAGTCGAGCGGCCTGAAAAGACGGTATACGACCGCGTACATTTCTCAAGTTTATAGTCACCTCGGTGGAGCGCTCGGGATGAGGCTCGGAGTTTATGAGTTCTTCCGTATCGAACTTGAAGGGGTAGGGCTCTATCTGTCTAGAGGCCATCTTTGTTGTGGGGTGAGACGCTATTATTATATAATTATGTGCCTGAAAAAATGTGTGTTCCTGGCGATGGCTGGATAATAATAATAAACGCTCTTTCTTGTGTTCATTTGATGACCGGTATCGGGTTTACCCACAGCGGGGATGCAGCCAATACATGATCCCTAACAATTATTTCCCCAGCGGGGTACCAAGCACACACAATCTGGCTCGAATAAATACCTCAACAAGTTCCGCCCCAGTATCGTGATTGCAAGTTATCTATACAGTTTGATGGAGATTTGAGCCCCAGCAGGTGTAAGGCTTTGCAACGGATATTGTTGCAACAAACCTAAAAAATTAAATTTCAATCGCCGAACGAGACGGATCAGCAAGTGGGGACAATCGGTTTTTCTTAAGTAAAATGGCCCACAGAAATCCGCCATCCGTAATGCTCAAAGCCTTGAGTTGCCCTTTTTGGTAGTAAGCCGCCTTCAGCCATGCATAGCTTTGCACGGATTGAACAGGTGAGGATAGAGCCGGTTATTGAAGGATACAAAGGCCAGAACAGCCTTCAAGAAAGAACAATTGAATACTGGAAATGGAGTAGAGATATCTGTACAACAGCTGCGACTTGGAATCAGCCAGGCAATCTTTGAAGAGGCAAGGAACCAGAGAACTTGGAAGTTTGCAGACCCACTTGACTTTTTTCTTCTTTTCCCCTTGCTATATTTCTATCAGTCATAGAAACCCGGCCTCCATAATTTTCTCTCTCACTTTTACTATCTTTGTCTTTCACATTTGAATGTGTTGAGTTATAGTCGACTTTTTTATCCGGAAGCGATCGAAAGTGGTGATCATGTCTTCGCCCGCAGATGCCATCAACAAGGCTACCCCGGCATATCCTGAAAATGAGATTGACAATTTGGAGGAGGAGAAACAGGGACAGGTCGTGGATGCCTTTGGCAACGAAGATGGGGCAGAAGTCAAGTATAAGACGCTTGCGTGGTGGTATGTTTTTTCAATATATTCCGTGGGAACGCTAGCATTGACTAAACGCGATTGATAGGCAATGTGGAATGTGTACGTCTCATTCTTTATCGATGGTATTGTGACAAAGGTTGACGAGTGAGTCTAGTAATGATATCGGAGTCAGTGTCTTTGGGTGTTCTGTCATTACCAGCTGCAGTCGCCTCATTAGGAATTGTCCCGTGAGTTTCCCCTACCTGCTTCTTAGTATATGTCAATTAGAACCCATCTGACGAGAGGTATTTATTATGCAGCTCTATAATCCTGATCGTCGGCCTCGGTATTGTAGCAACGTATACAGGCTATGTGATCGCACAATTCCGCATACGTTATCCGCACATCCAGAACCTGGCGGACGCTGGCGAGATCCTGCTCGGTCCGTTTGGCCGCGAACTTTTTGGACTCGGCCAAATATTGTTCTCCATATTCATCATGGGTAGTCATATTCTCACTTTTGCTGTGATGATGAACACGCTCACTGACCACGGAACGTGCTCGATCGTGTTCAGCGTGATCGGTATGGTGATTTGCATGGTCTGCTCGCTGCCACGTACTATGAAGAATATAACGTGGATTTCAATCTTGTCATTTTTGAGTATTTTCTCTGCTGTGATGGTTACAATGATTGGCGTCGGGGTCCAGGCTCACGGCCAAGGTCCGATGGTAGAGCTGACGGTGAAGACGGGACTCGTGCCAGCATTCAGTGCCGTCACAAATATTGTCTTTGCATACTGCGCGCATGTTGCCTTCTTCGGGTTGATCTCGGAAATGGAAGACCCTCGGGACTTTCCCAAATCACTGTGCATGCTGCAGGTTTTCGAGATTACATTGTACTGTGTCGCTGCGATGGTTATCTATCACTATGTCGGGCATGATGTTGCTTCGCCAGCCTTGACCTCTGCAGGTCCTATCTTGAAGAAGGTTGCATACGGTATTGCAATCCCAACGATTGTCGGAGCTGGGGTAGTCAATGGTCACATCGGATTGAAATACATCTATTACCGACTGTTTAGCAAGACAGGGCTGATGCATCGCCGGGACGCCATGGCCGTCGGCAGTTGGATCGCGATTGGTGTCTCGTGTTGGGTGATTGCACTCATCATTGCGGAATCTATACCAGTGTTTTCCAATCTCCTAAGTCTTATCAGTTCGTTATTTGCATCCTGGTTCAGTTATGGGCTCGGTGGCGTATATTGGATGCATCTTAACTGGGGGCAGATGTTTTCTTCTCCACGCAAGATTGCATTGACAATTGTGAATGCCGGAATTATCCTTATTGGGGCAACTTTGTGTGGGTTAGGATTGTACGTCAGTGGCAAGGCTATCCACGATGACTCTAGCACATCGGCCTGGACATGTCGAAACACTGCTTGATGTCTAGGCTTTTTACCATGTTGTTAAAATAACAGGGAGCATTGATAGACGAACAACGGCGTTTGAAGGATTAATGGAAACGGAATGAGTTGACGATAGTCTAGATATAGATATGAATTGGTACATAGAAATAATTGAAATTGAACCAGCAATAAATACCACATTTTGCAGCTATAAAATCATTGACGCTGAAGATTCATTTCAACGATTTTTTTACTGCCGGTTTTCCTCGTTATCGAACTTCTTCCTGCGGATTCTGACCATCGCTAACATTTCATTCCAGAAGCCGATGTCACGATCAAGCGTAGTCAATTCATACCTCTCAATCGCAGGTCTGTCCCAGACCAAATCGGCCTCGTGCGGTTTCACAAACTTGGTACGTTTGATAATTTTCCAGCCGAAGAAAGTGAGGATACCCAAAAAGACCATGGCATAGTGTGTAAAGAAGTCGCTAATACTCCAATGACCAGGTAAGAAAGCAGCATAACCGTAGCAGACCACCACGCAAACTTCAAAGCAAAGAGCAAAAACCGTACTCCAAGGTTGGAAGTAGCCGTAGTAGGGTAATTCACGACGATTGACGCCTTGAGCCATGCAGGCACGATAGAAAAAGATGTAGTTGACACAGATGACAATGTAGTCGATGATACCACCGGCTGTGACAATGTTGGTAAGCCTGCGAGAAACCAATTAGTAATTCAATGTTATTGGAAAACGCTGAATGGAGTTAAAATACCAGGTGAGAACCACGTAAGCACCACTAGATAGTTGTAGCAATGATAAGAACGGGAATACCATAACAATACTGAGACAGTATAATGGAACACCATTGCGCGTGCACTTCGCCAGAAACTTGGGAGCGTGGCCGTCTATGGCCAAACCATGTAGTGTACGTGAGGCGCAGTAGGTGTACGCATTCCCTGCAGAGAAAATGGACGTGAACAGCAGCGCGTTTACCAAGTGTGGCAATCCGGTCACTCCCAAGTTTTGCATAGCAATAACGTAAGGCGAGGCAGCACCGGTGCTTGAACCCAAAACACTTTCCAGAGTCGGGTCATTGTAAGGGATGACGATGCCAACGCAGAGAGCGCCGCCGATGAAGAACACGCCGAATCGGATATATATGGATTTGAATGCGCGCTTGAGCGTGATGCGGGGTAACTTGGCTTCTCCAGCAACCATAGCCATGTATTCGGGGCCAACGATAGCAAAACTAGCTGCCCACAGCGACCCCAGAAACCCTTCCCAACGGCCCATGCTTCCGGTACTGAGGTATTCCGCGAATGCTCCCTATGACAGCACACCAGCATTAGCAACGAGATGTGCGCAAGGTTTCAAAGTTCCACAAAGTAATAGGGGATCTCACCGGAGTTTTCCAGTAACGAAAGCCGTATGAGTCGTGATGGGGGTTGCCTCCGACCATAGTAACGAAAGTAAATGCGAAAACAATGCCCATCAGAAGAAGCTTTCCCCACGAGAGCCAAAACTCGGCTTCGCCGTAATACCTGACTGCAGCTACATTGATTAATCTTTAATCACCGCATCGGGGCACAAACGTTAGCATATGACATGGACAAAAGACGGGTATAAGGTGAACAGGGCTCAGAATTCGATCAAAAGGCAGAACTGGGAGGGTGGCGCGATGGAAATACCCATAAGACACAATACACGCGGCGCATACGGCTCCAACTGGGATATCGTCTCTCCAAAATTTGAGAATCAAGTTCAGGGCGCTAATCTCAAAGGGAATGAGAATGGATTCGTAGAAGAAGAAGTTCCATCCCGCCATGAAGCCCCAGGCGTCGTCGACCCAAACGGAGGCATGTCGGATAAAAGAGGCGCTCACGGGCATGTAAATGGCCATCTCGGCCATGGCGTTGCTTACAAGGGCCAAGACACAGGCGTACAATGTATATGACAGAAACAAGCTGGCAGGGCCGCCTTCATTCAGAGCCGAGCCGATGCTGACGAACATGGCAGTACCGATGGAGCCGCCAATGGCAATGAGTTGCACTTTGCGATTACTTAAATGTCGCTTCAGGCCATGGTTATCGTCGACTACCTCGCCAGTATCAATGTCGTTTCCGCCGGCATGTTGGACGACAGTGTCCTTGCCGTACTTGGGCTCCTCCATAGTCGGAAGGGGGCTGCTCGGGGTGTCCGAGTATCAATTGAGTTGTCGCCGATTTCACGGGGATGAGTAGAGCTACTGCGGAGGGTGTTAAGAACAGAGAACAACATCAAAGATAACCCATTCATGCATGGCAAATGGAATTTTGCGGCTGATGGGAGCTGGGCAGTATTTAAACTAAAAATAATCGTCGACGGGGAGAGGGCAAGGCTATCGCATGGTCTGACACTAACAGGCTAACAGCGACCGACAGACTAATTGGCCGGGGGCAACGTGTATTCCCCCACTTGGTGCGGATTGGCATCGATGCACAATGATTTCAAGAGCGGCAAGCTGCGTCGCGATCTCTCTCTGTTCCACGGGCCATTCTGAATCAGATATTTTCTGGGGTGCTTCTAGAAATACGCTACTTATACCCCCTTGGCATTAATTAGAGCGATACACGATCATCTATCAACTATCAGGGTCAGCAGCAGGGCTTTGCATCTTTGCATGCGGAATAAATCGATAAACGACAGCCTTGCCAAGCCCCGCGAATGGGTTTAGTTGGTGGGGCTATGCGACGGTGGCACGACGCCACCCAGTCAGGGCGCGGGAACGGCGACTGGGCGGTGCCGCCAACGCGGGGACCAATCACAGATGCCAGTTGAATATCTCGGGAAGCCCGATTGGGCAAGGTGTTGGTGGCCACGAGGGCCTAGCGCGGGCAGCAATCGCCACCGAGTCAGAGGCGCTCCTGTTGGGGCTCCTTAGTCGAGTCCCTTGATCACAATAGCTCACGAGTCAAGTGCTGCAGTATTTCAATATTTTACGTATCTACCAGTCTTTTTTCCCGAGGACTCGAAACGCCCCCCCTTGGCCCTATGATTCATCGCTATGCTCACTGTTTTCGTTAACCGTCCGTTTTCATTTTTGTCCAGCCCCTCCCGCCCCTTCAAAACACACCAACCGTTGCATTCGTCGCGTAAGAAGAGCCCGCCGTAGTACAAAGACGGCACAATGCTACACAGTACAAACGACAAAGAAAAAAAGGTGCGAGATCAGGCATTGGCGCCTTGGGCTGTCAATTTCGGGCCTCGGCATAATAATCTTCCTTGGCCGGAGTCAGATCACGGGGCATCCAGACATCGAATATCAGGCAGCAGATATTAAAAGGCAGATCAACTGTATGGAATACTGCATATGCTCAATGGATAACTATTACTTCAGATCTTGCATCAATTGATGCTTAGTAATAAGAGCCCTGATTTTGATTCAATGTTGTTTGCCGGATCAAAACCTGCATCTTAAAGCTTCCGTCTCTTACACATATCCAGGTGATACATATATCAATGTCAAATATCAATCAACTCCACACTCACACTTACGCGAAAGTGCCTTGATATTGATCAATTGATGTACATTGACCAAGAGCACATCTGCACGCACTTACGGCAGTAACCTGACTAGGTAAGCTAGAATCATGGCTACAACTTTAAAAGGCGAATTCCTCAAACTCCGAAACCCGATGATCGTATGCTCTATACTCGGGAATGCTTCTAACACAATGACGCAATATCGAGATATTTCATTTCATAACCTCACACGAGTTATAACTCTTCAATGTTGTAATTATTTGTTTCAAGAGTGAGGTGACGTTATCTGCTTATTTGAATGCTATTTATATTTCGAGAGACTTTTCTACTAGATTGTTGGATTGCCTATGTAGCAAGACGAACAAAGAATGTGAAATGTTAGTGGCATTTGGAATTGAATTATACTAGAGCTGGATACAATTTAAAAATACGATTAAACAATCATACTAGATCAGATGATAGAAATTAATACCTGCCTCACTCAAGATAAAGATGTCGCACCTTCAACTAGTTTCTTGCCCTCTCACAAGGCTACTATTGACATAGAGCACTGGATGCACAAATAGTCAAATCTATGTTGTCCTTCCTATTGGCGAGGTTGTTTATATCTCCCTATATCAATTGATGTTGGAAAGGGGTTAGGAAGGGTCAACATTTGCGCAAATTTAGATTGAGGGCGACAATATTAAGCTTAATAGAAGGAAAATTTGTACACAAAAAATTAGTGCCGAGTTTTGTTTCTCAAGAGTCGGAGTCTACACCTTGGCTGGACTGTTGCAAAGGTGGAGGTGATGTGAAAAGAGAGTATAGCCTCAGCCACCGGCGAATTGTCAATGTCAATACCAACATGTCAATTTCAAATGGGAATAATCCTTCTAGGCTACAAGGCCATACAACTTACTTCCTTTACTTCTTGCCGGTCTGAGTCATCGCTTCTCGCTATTTCGAGAGTCCGACCACCGGCCTCTGCCTAAAAAAGCACGAATGGTAGCAGCTCACGTGGGGTCGCGTCTCTTGGTGCGCGTGTGAATTTGGAGTCGCGATCGGAGTCGCGTAATTGAGGCCCGACCATGAAAGGAGAGCTGAAAACACATAAATATCGTGTAAATCGCTGGCCATGATTTATGCCTTTGACATTTGGTTTAATCACAGCAACAAACAACCAAGTTGAGAAAGTTTATTATTGCGCTGAGCATACATTTCTGTCGAACCCAAGGCTTCACCGTAAACATGACCCTATCGCAATCTTCTCTCATTCCTGTTATAGCCGCCTTTTTTGGGACTACAATCTCTGCCTTCGGAGTGAACGCAATCTTGCGGCCTGCACATGCCTTGTCGATGTTTGAATTTGACTATCCAACCTCTGCACCGATAAAACAACTCGTCGATTACTTGATGATCATCTATGGCATACGAGATATCTACATAGGCATTGCCATATTCTCAACAACGTACTATGGCCATCGGAAAGCTTTGGGCTGGAATTTGCTCGGTTTGGCCGGCACTGCGTTTGTGGATGGTGTGGTGTGCAAAATGAATGGACACGGAGAGTGGAATCATTGGAGTTACGCGCCGATGGTTGCTATTCTTGGATGTCTGTCACTGGGAGCCCTGGACTTCGCTTGATTTGATCCGATGAGTTAATAAAAGCAGTTTCGGACGATATAGTTATTTCCTTGAACCCACTTTGTTGGGAAGGAGGATTCCGCCTGTATTTTCGAGAATCAGTAAAGAAGAGCATTGTGTCGGCATCATGACGATTCGAGAGGTGTTTCAATAATAGAGTATTATTGTAAATTTGTAACTGAGCTTTCAATGGGCTCGTTGGAAATTGACCGAGATATGAATGAGATCGGTGTACAACATAGGCACTGCAAAACTCGGTACAGATCAATTGACGCTTCCACAATTAACACACGCCAAGATTGTAAAGGGAGTCCAGATCTGTGGGAATAACGCCGGCAGCCACTGCGTCCTGATATGACCAGCGATAATCTCCAAGTTCTGACTTCCACGACCAAAACACCCAGCCTTCTTGTTTCTCATAAGTCATTACCTGCGCTGCAAACCATTTTTGGTAGAAGGCTTGGTTCGTGCTGGGATCCCAGTCGGAATTCCATTGAACATCATCTGGCGGACTTAAACTCCATTCACCTACAATAGTAGGCCAATTGCCACCCCGATCGTCGTTGCAAGATGTATTGAGGTAGTCATCCGGGGTCACCGGGACACTGGTGTCCCATTTTAAATAACGATGATCGTCATATGCGGCGTACCAATTGTCTGTTAAATATTGGGTAGGGTCACCAGATCCCCACTTCTCATTCATCATCTCGATGTGTAGTTCATTCCCTTGAGAAATATTCAAAGCAGCTTCGGCGGCGCGGATTCTCTGAGAGAATATTAAACGTCGGTTAGAGACATGCATGCACTGAGAGTAGATAATGCCATTTTGGGGACAAGGACATACAGTGAACGCATTAGGGTAGTATGAAGAGGTGAGTTCTCCAACTGAATTAGGGTCTTGCACTGGCTCGTTCGCGATTTCTAGCATACCCACGTTCCTGAAGTTGTTGTTGGTGTGAATATTTGTGGTCATCCACTCCAGGAATTCAAGAGCCCTCTCGAATTGATAGTCAACGTAGAATCCGGGAGAAGAGGCGTACTATACGAAGAGAATGGCTGTTAGTATAGTGAAAAACGAGATAGAAAAAGAAAATTCTCCGTACGAGATTGATGACATGCTTACTTGGCCCGTGTCCGCATTCTGGGCTACCTGTGCACCGGGTGCACCATGCAGGTCGATGATAATATAAAGTCCATGATCACTAGCCCATCCACAGACCTGCTCCAGGTATGACAAACCCCCTTGAGAAAAGTGCTCGCTGTCTGTATACACAATGTCTTCACGCAGCCAATAACCCACTGGAATACGGACAGTATTTAGACCATAAGTAGTCATATTGATAAAGTCCTCTTCGACGATCCAGGAATCCCAGTGGTTAGAAAAGCTGGTATTCGCGGCTGCTTGGCCAACGTTCATCACACAGTCAAACTCGGAAGCCTGGTTCCCACAGCCCATATTGCTCCATGTATTCTCAGCAATCCATGGTTCAAAGACAAAAAGCGAGCCCAAGTTAACACCTCTAATCTTTCCTGATGTAGGCAGCGTTCGCTTTGTGATTGGAGATATCCTTTTAAAGAGGTTTGCCCCTTCTTTCGAGTAGATGTTCCTGTCAACACCGGGCATCCACGCTGCAGAAAGGCCGCACAGCGTTGCAATGACTGCAAGAGATCTCATCTTGAATAGCCAAATCGTCGCTATTGATGAAAGGCAACGTAGGTAGCGTGTGGCTTAGAAGATTTGAAAACAACTGGGCATGACTCAGCTTTTAAATGAGCCTTTATGGATAAAACAATCGGTTAAAGTAAGTGGACACCGCAATGTCGTTTCGTGACAATTATGTGACGGTTGCCCCGCAGCCCCAAGAATGAGATCTGTAATCTAATTATTGATAGTCAAATTGACAATTTATATGGCCGGACCGTGATCAACCAATTAAGGGTATAGAGAGACATAATCTTTCTTGGTCCCGTAACTATTACTAGTACTATGTGGAAGTAATTCATGTGAGACTTACGACTCTACAGGTAAATCGGGCCTATTCTCTTCCTATAATATGTAGAATTATTAGATTATACTTCATAATTGCTCTAGATAATGTTCTAAAGCGCAATCAACATAGTGTATGTCCTGGTATGTGGCCGGAAAATGTAACCCCCTATAACCCATTTACTCCTTCCGAATCATAGTCAAAGCTGTTACATAGATATTGACCTGACTCATGGGGCCGATTGAGTGTTTAGAATAGTAACACTAATAAGCACCGGACCCGAACAAGGTTTTGGTATCGAGGCTGTTGAGGAGGACAAGCGAGAGTAATCATATGTCAAGCGAAAGCAGAAAGTGGCCCTTAGCATTTCTATAATGGCCCCATCAACTAAACTGTGCTATTATAAGAATTATCCGATGGCATGAAGTCCAGAGTATATCCCACTGGCGTCATATTCCATTCGGCTTTGCTTCACTAACACCATGGCGAAAAGTTGACCATATCAATTGATATATCTATAAAACAAGGGTCAATTTACTAACACATACCGTGTCATGATACTGAATCATGCCTCATAAATTATTACCGCTTTAAACTAGCCGAATGATAGGGGAAAATCGCAAATTGCCCTTCAACTTCTAAGGCCCTCATATATTGCAGCTGACACAACGCGGGGGCTAGTTTCAAGCGCCAGGGTGGGGATCTCCCTATATCGTCCACGCCGTTGAAGCGGAAGTAAATTAATCTCCGATCGGGAAATAATGCAATCAAAATCTAATTCTGGGGAGTACGCACGGAAATTAACTTGAACATGATTGATGCAAGTGGTTTTGTGCCGCTGTCGTGTAAGAACGAATCCTTTAAGCTTAAATTCCGGTCGTTACATCATCAATTGATGTCTAGAATAGCTTCTCAAAATTTCAATGACCCCCATACCGAATAGCATTATACAGAGAACTACACAATGAGTCAATCGTCTATTAGGTTTGTGGAGAAGATCTGTAGATCAGTCCGGTTTATTCAGGGAAATATTATGGTGGGAATTATTTTACTGTATGTTTACAAGAGGATATCCTCTTTATATTTAGATACAGGCTACTTTGGCCAGCCAATACTACGTGCAGCTGACAGTTAGAAGTATTACTATAACCAGGCCCTCATATTTCCCTCGTATATACCAAGCACTGCCTTAAATCAGTAACAATTAACTCTATTACTCTATTTATACCTACAAGACGTGACAAGAAAAGAGCAGCGATTTAGCTACCTTTGCTTTCTACAGTTTTGTATTCTAACCTAGTTTTTCTTTTCGTACTAACCTTTAATAGGCTGCTGGCTCCCTGAAAATCACAGCCCTATTAAGAGATTAGAGGTCAATAAAACAGAATTTGCTTTATAAGGGCTGTTACCAAGTAAATAAAATGCCTGCTTGAAGATTAAATCATCGTTCTTTAATGAAATTGTTGTGTTTGTCCTCTTCCTCCTATAGTACAGAAATAAGGCATCCCAGGTGGGAATCGCACCCACTGTCAGCAATTGCCTTCCCTGACGCCGCCACGACGCCACTGGGGCTACTTTGGGAAATACTATTAAGGTGATGTTACGGCGTCCCGCTCTCCCGAATCCATTCTATTGCTGCTCATATCACCTCTTTGACTTACACTACTTATCATATGCAACTTCTGATCCTAACACAGTAATTTTATATATATAGAGAAACTTTTGTCTCATGTTCTACCGTTCCGGCCTGCGGCATATATACCTCTTTAGTTAATTAGAGTCAACTTATATTATTCGAATTGGCCATGATTTATGTTGTCGGTTTGCATCGAGGGCCTATTGATTGATTTGAAACATCTAGATACGTCAATACAGGTCGACTGTCGTTCCTGGTTCTTGCCCCTGTTTCTGCGTTCACCTACTTAGACAAGGCTTCCAGATTCACCACATCGATATGTATGTTTATATATCGTGTTTCCAGTTCGGTTATGCTGGCAGCAATAAAGATGTCATAAGTAGATGTATTTTGACCACAAGCTATATACATAAATTGATGTAAGTGATGCTTGACACCCTGCTAACACCTTAGCCCTTACCATATGTGCGAATTGGGTATCTATTATCTCCGAATGCATGTTACCCTTGGAATGACACAGACACCAATCTTCCATCAAGTGTTCAAATAAATTAATATTGTTACATATGTACCCATCAAATGATATTCTCTGTGTAGTGAAGCACTGTTTATGGTATCCAAACATTCCATGTTGCACACAACACCACGTTTAAAACATTGATGTATTAATACTAGGGCCCATATCTTATTTTACTTAGCCACCGAATAGCTATTTAATTAGAGGAATCAGGGTAGCAATCATTTTAAAATCCTGCAAGGCGTAAAGTTCTTATCGCGTGATGGCCTTTCTCGACTGCAGCCTTTCCACTGGTGGATGAGTCTACCAGCGTGCTTAACTGGTAACCTGAGCCCAGCTTAAGTTTTACCTTGCTCCGTATTATCGATTATTATCCTTGGGGTGTTGTTAATTGCTACACTAGGCATTTGTTTCCATATTTACAGTGACCTATTTAGGAATTCACTGACTACTGTCATGCTCCTTCTGTTATGCACACTGAGTCTGATTTGTATTGATATAAATATACCAAAGAGCGTCATAGAATTGACGAAGATTTTTCGTTAGATAAATTAAACTTTTAACATATCTATTTTTATCTAATTGAAGAGATGTCTATCCAAATACATTAATGTTCCTCCTCCTCGCATAGTCCTCATAAACATTTGGCAGGCTTCAGATTCGTAGGTCCCTTTGGCGGATGATAGGAATCTCACTGTGTGAGCAGGGCTTTGGGAATAATATTCCTTTAACAATCTTCGCGAAGATTCATAATGGATCGAGAAATTTCTTCAATAGTATAAGAAAAGAGTTTAAAAAAGCGATAAAAATCGCTACATGATCAAACACTCCAAGGCTTTGCCAAGGAATATCATGGGGAGAGGTCAAATAACATGACTGTTTCCTAGATGCCGAGAAAGGATTTACAGCAACAAAGAGGCTTAAAGAACAGTCCCTGCTACTATGCATGATATTTGTCGCCGGTCATTTAATCAACCATGGTCAGGAAGAACGTGAGTTTTGGCATACTTAACTTTAAAAATTTCAAAGCCGGACTAAGTGTTTATTATTGCCTGCATAGAATGTTTGGAGATGGAAATTAAACAACAAATCCGCTGTTCGTGTCAAGCAAAATCTGAAAACTGCATAGGCGACTTCGTGATTCATCAGGGGATTTACAGCCGTAAATATCGGCGAACGCCGATGCTTGATGGGATTCGGTAAACTAACTCAACCTCAATTTCTGCAACTACATTGATCTCGTCGATGTGGCAGTGCTGCGCCTGGTGCGGCCAAGTGAGTATTTCTTTTTCAGACTCTTTACTACTACCTTGTTGTCGGCTGGTCCCTGCCAACCTAGACGGCTTCACAGATGAGAAGTCGGTGGGTGATCTTGGGGACTCTGGTTGGCCGTATTGCTGAATATTACTGTAACTATGTAACTTTAGTCAATAGCGGTAGTCTGGTGCACTGCGCTACGGCTACAGGTGGGATCGTGCGATGTGCCACTCGGCATGATTCACCTTACTTAAGTGGCCTTAGAGGCGGTTTGCTGACGATCTCAGAAATTAGCTTGAGTACGTACGATTCTTGGTTGGATTAATCAACCGACTTACATACGTATGCTCAGACAACAGTCGCTAATTCGACATGGCTAACATACATGATGTCGCTGCGTGTGAATTCTTACCTTGCTACGTTTGAACCGGCAATTAAATTAAATTCGAGATTGCCGCAATACGAACGAAAGCACATGCCCGCTTTGCTCAATATCATCCATGTCCCGGCAGTGTCGAGAATTCAACACCGATAAGACTCGGCGATCACACCTTACTATCAACGAATCCGGCTAGCTGCTCTTTTGATTGGCGGACAAAATGACAAGCCTATTTTGGAAGGTTTGAGGCTGCAAGTTGAATGTACATGCATAGTATGCGAGCTGCACTTGTTGACGCCACTCACCTGCCAAGCCTACGAGGGAGACCGCCAATGGAACCCTGCTATCCTTGGCTTTTGAGTCATGGCGTATCAGGTTGACCCTGCGAAGGCTAAGGGATACCCGGGCCTGTCGATCATATATCCATATTAGAATCGCCTTATCTGATTTGCTGATTGAACTAGATATGGCTCGGTTTTACCGGCTTCTGAATTGCTCAACTTGAATATTGGTTGGACAGCCAAGAAACAGAGGCTTAGCCATGCTTGTTGTCGTATGAGTCAAAATTAAATGCTACTACTAGGTTTGCTAGTTTAAGTTTATGGTAGACAGTAGCCGTAATCCATCTCTTGTTCCCTCGGGCTTTAGCTGCCTGCCCGCAGATTCACTTTCTCCTATTTGGCAGGTATGTGGGATGGCGTGCTTTCTTGTTCCGAATACCACTTTTCAGCAATTTCAAGCATCGTCTCTCCTGTCATCTAAACAAGAAGGTCGCATCGAGTATGTCGTGATGGGCTTTTTTTTACCATTAATCGTAACGAATTGCGGTTCTGGCGGGGAGATAACGTCTTGTAGTTGCAATGACAACGCTTTAGTTCACTGGATAGCTATTTGCAATGGGTATTGGTCAATTGATTACGCTATTCGACTACACAGACCTTCTCGCTGTGTCTGTTAGGATATAAAAGGAGTCATTGTGCCAATCCCTCCTTAACTTTTCTCCTCAGCTCATTGCACCAGTCTTTTATTTGAAGTTTTCCTTGAGCAAAAATGGTTTCCACAAAAGTGATTGCGGCTATGGCCGTCTATTCTGCCGTTGCGGCTGCGGCGCCTACCGCACCACAGACCAAGACTTTTTCTCTAGTCCAAGAAGCAGTTCCCAAGTCTAGCTACCGGGCCCCTGCAGCGAAACTTGCAAAGGCTTTGGCCAAGTTCGGAGCCCCAATTCCAGACCATGTCGCCGCTGCGGCTGCTGCTACAGGCAGTGTTTCTACAACCCCTACCGAGTACGACTCAGAGTATGTCACCAAAGTGACTGTAGGAGCTTCTACCCTCAACCTCGATATCGATACTGGTTCGGCAGACTTGTGAGTTTCATGCATTAATGCCACTATTGCAAAGATAGTCACTGAGATTGATCCCAGGTGGGCGTTTTCATCGAAAACCCCCTCATCTGAGCGTTCTGGCCACAACTACTACAAACCCAGTAGCTCCGCTACTGAAGTCAGCGGTGACAGCTGGGATATCAGCTATGGGGATGGTAGCTCGGCAAAAGGCGTTGTTTACAAGGACAAGGTGACCATTGGCGGTGTTTCCTACGCTAAGCAGGCTGTCGAGGCAGCAACTTCTGTTAGCTCTGAGTTCACTTCGGATACCTCCATTGACGGACTATTGGGTCTGGCTTTCAGCAGTATCAACACTGTTTCTCCTACGCCGCAGAAGACATTTTTCGATAATGTGAAGAGCTCACTTGCCAAGCCTATCTTTGTCGCTATTCTCAAACACGATGAGGCTGGTAGCTATGACTTTGGTTTCACCGACTCTTCCAAGTACACTGGTGAGATTGCATACACGGACGTCGATGACTCGCAGGGTTTCTGGTCTTTCACTGCCGATTCCTATTCCATTGCTGGCTCCAAATCTGGTGGATCTATTACCGGTATTGCTGGTACGTTGTACACTGAGCTTCCCCAAGCTTGGCACTTTTGTTAACAATTAATCTCCTTATAGACACTGGCACTACCCTTTTGTTACTTGACGACTCTATCGTCGACGCCTACTACAAGAAAGTTAATGGAGCCTCGTACGACAGCAGCCAAGGTGGATACGTATTCTCCTGCAGCGCTACTCTGCCTACGTTTGCCATCACTGTCAATGGCCACACTGCAACAATCCCGGGAGACTATATCAACTACGCTCCCGTCGACTCTAGCGGTAGCTCTTGCTATGGTGGCATTCAATCCAACTCCGGTATTGGATTCTCTATCTTCGGTGACGTGTTCCTCAAGAGCCAGTATGTTGTGTTCGATGCCAGCGGTCCTCAAATTGGCTTCGCCACACAGGCTTAAATGATGGCTATCACAATTAGGAATTTGGAATGGCTGTTCCTTGATCAGCCGCACGATATGGAATAGGAAGATTGTAGCCCTCGAATTCAATGTTATTTGATTTATTACAAAGATATGATATGAGGAGTCACGAATAGCTATCGAGGAAGACAGAAAATCCTAATTTGTCCTCTCGGCAGTGTTCAATAAATGCCTATATGAGAATATTCCTTGTTGTAGTAAGAGAATGTCTTCCTGTATTTGTACACACATATAGTACCGGGCATGCAAGGGTTCCTGTCAACCGGTATTGATTATGATATCAATAATCGCAATTCATGCCCATATAATTAACACGCACGGCGTTTATTGTCCAAGGTATCCAAACAGCTTCTTATTCACACTAATTTGAAGTGATTTAGACAATCTCACTCCATACCCTCCATCCACAATGCGATGGAACAGCCTTTGCAATTTACCTACTCTCGCTTGACTACGGGACACGTCTTATGTTACTCATCTGCCTAGACTCTAAGAAATCAAAAAACCCGGATTCACCATTATTTAAGAACAAGAAGCATGCCGTCTGACTTAAACTTTGAATTGCGGCCACTGGTCTAATGTGCCCAAAACAAAAACTGCCGTTCGAAAGCTTGTCATGGCACTTGATGGTTACTCGTATGCGAGGTTATGAGATACATTTAAAGCAGTACCACATAGAAAGGCTGATTTGAAAATTACGAAGAACAACTTGACATGTATAAGAAATTCAGAATATTGCGTGGTAGCTTTGCGACCATATTTAATTGGAAATTATTCCTCCAACTTTGCTTTCCCTAATTGTGTCCAGATATTGGATATGACTCAGTCAAAAGTATCAGAAAGATTCAAGCCTCATGTAGCAACTCAAGTCGCCAACAATCACGTAAGCATTTAAAACCAGTTAGCGGCAGATTTCGAGGGCTTCTTGAACTGTTTACGTCGATTCCACGCTGCTAACTCACTCATACCATTATTTCGTCCCTAACGAGTCTTGAAATTTCGCCTAGTAGAATGTTTCCCCTAAATGATCTTCTAATTTTCCACTAATTCTGCTCTTATCTATGCGGTAGACGTGGTGGCGCCACATCCTTGATTAGGAAGGTCCCTAAAGCTCGATCTCCACAAGTTGATGCGGGGAAGGGCACGATGATGGATAGACGTATGCCCCTAGCCTAATATTGAAGGATCTGCAAAATTAATCTTTATACGTAACGTGACATTATTTCTATAATGAACCCTTTGCTGGAGACAAAGGTTACATGGGAACCCGTGGCTTGCGGTAATGTCCGTGAATACTCACACGAACCGCTCCGCAGCGTGGATGTAGTTTGGTGGCCAAGATAAATTCGATCTTTTCTCTCACCCATTAAAGACAAAAATACTACAATAGATCACCAAACTCAGAAGTAAAGGAATACATGAGAAAAATGCAAACCACGCGTTTGTTTCTTGTCCTGATGGGGATATTTTCTCCGTACTCTTTTGCAGCCGGGAGCACCAGCCATAAAACTGTTTCTTCATTTACATACAATGCTGAAAGCTTCTTACTCAATGGAGAGCCATATCAAATAATCGGCGGACAAATGGATCCGCAACGTGTGCCACGTACTTATTGGCGCCAGCGACTACAAATGGCGCGCGCAATGGGCCTCAACACCATTTTTTCATACGTCTTTTGGAACCGACTAGAGCCTGAACCAGGTCAATGGAATTTCAGCGGCCAGAATGATATAGCTGAGTACTTCCGACTAGCACAAGAAGAAGACTTGCATGTAGTGCTGCGCCCGGGACCTTATATCTGCGGTGAACATGATTGGGGTGGATTCCCTGCGTGGTTGAGTCAAGTACCTAACATGGCAGTAAGACAAAACAATCCACCATTTCTAAATGCATCGAAATCATATATTACCCGCCTAGCGCAAGAGCTAAAACCAATGCAAATTACTTACGGCGGGCCGATCCTCATGGTGCAACTGGAAAATGAATATGGGAGCTTTGGTTCGGACAAGACTTATTTGGAAGCATTAGCAACGATCCTGCGAGACAATTTTGATCTATTTCTATACACCAATGACGGTGGAGGGGAGTCTTATCTTTCAGGTGGTCAATTGCATGGAGTACTTGCAGAGACAGATGGTGACCCTCGGACAGGGTTTGCGGCTCGGGACAAGTATGTCACAGACCCAACCAGCTTAGGGCCTTTACTGGATGGAGAATACTATGTTACCTGGCTTGATACATGGGCTAGCAATTATTCATTCGAGACAGATGTTGGAAATGCCGCTGCCACGAAAGAAGTAATCAGTGACCTCGACTGGATTCTTTCTAATAATAATTCCTTCAGCTTATATATGTTTCACGGCGGCACAAACTTGGGATTTGATAACGGCGGAATATGGGGCGGGACATATCTCGAGGCGGTCACAACTAGCTATGATTATGGCGCACCACTTGACGAGAGTGGCAGACCGACAGAAATTTACTATGAAATCAGAGATTTAATCTCGAAATATGTTCCTGCCGGGAGCATTCCCGCCGTACCAGCTTTGCCGAACTTAACAACGATAACTAATATCAAACTCGAACCGTCAGCAGATTTATTTGACATTCTTGAGTTCTTTCCAACAAAATCTGCGGATAACCCTCTTAGCATGGAAGCTTTGGGTCAATCTTATGGATTCGTCCTGTATGAGCACATTGCAACAGAATTTATCCAAGGGACACTTACACCTGGTATTGGAATCCGTGACCGTGTTATTGTTTATGTTAATAGTATACGTATCGGTGTTATGGATAGTACGTATACGACACCGTCATCCGTGACGGTTTCTCTACAGAAAGGGGACTATTTGCATTTACTGGTTGAAAATCTCGGACGTGTCGATTATGGGCAGGAACTCAAGGACCAAACCAAAGGAATAATTGGAAATGTGACCGTTGGAATCAACTCAACAGTTTTAACTGGATGGTCAATGTATTCACTCCAGCTGGACAGCGTTCCAACTGCCTCTATTTCTTTATCCAAACCCCCAAACCTGGAAATAACCAAACCCCAAGGACCTCCTGTTTTTTACTATGGTTCGTATCGAGCACCACCTAGTAATTCGCCCTCCAGCCTTAGCCGCGATACTTTTCTCTCAATACCTAGTGCCATAAAAGGTGTGGTATGGGTGAACGGCATCAACATAGGTCGATACTGGACGATTGGGCCCCAGCAAAGCCTTTATGTTCCGGGCTGCTTTTTACATGACAGGAATGTTTTGAATGAAATTTTAGTATTGGAGTTGGAGCCGCAGGCGAACTCTACACTTTTTGCACGTGGACTCGACCGACGTGAATGGTTTAATAACCCGGATCCAGATGCACCTTAGTACGAAAGGGTTGCACAGGTTAATTAATCGCATATATTTTCTATTAGGTATAATATTGGTGGGTTCAAAATACTAGAAAAGATATAATCAATCAACTGTGATTACTTAAATAGTCGTTTTGATATTTTGGAGTCTTCGGCGATAGGAATAGATGAGTTCTACTATGAAGTAGGACAGAGTCCTACTCTAATCCTTGAACCTCATCTCAAAGCTAAAAGTAAATGGATAGTATATATATTTGTTGTTTAAATAATTTATGAAAGAGTTATAGAGGGATTTCTGTATTCACAAAACTTCGACACCGCTGGGCAGTCCGAATACTTGACTGTTGGCCTCTTGTTGGCATGCAGCGGTACCAAGCGTGCCATTTTCCAGTTCAGTTAGACAGTGACCTGAAGCAAAATTGACAATATTTCCACTCAAGTAGTATTTCCATTGCTGATATTTGTCTTTTCCGTCACAGGTGGTGACAAAAGTCTCACCGTTTGACCTTTCTGCTAAACACTGAGAGTATTTGGCGAGGTTACGAATTTTGCCGCCTGTTTCAACATGCCATACCTGTCCATTGCTGCCGTCACATGAGGCACTTAACGTAGAGCCATTAGTGTCTCCGTCTACGCATTTTAATGATGCAGTGTTGAAAATCATTCCTGTTGGTACAATACCCCCACATGTCGATGATAAATTGATCCTCAAGACGGCTGTGCCGTGAGCAGGAATATTGGGGACGGAAATATAAGCAGAGTGCGATTGTGTGATATCTCCAGTCCACAAGTCCTTTATTTTGAATGCACAGAATTGATTGGTTTCGATTCCAAGCCTTGAGAGACTAATGTGGTAGTCGCTCGATGAGTTACCGCGATTGAGAACCGTAAGCAGGCGATCACCGTTGGACAGGCTCTTTGTCAGAATATCCCATGTCCCGTCCTGGCTGACTAATGTGGCTTGAAGACCAAGTTCATCTTGGTCAACTGCGATAAGGTCAGCGTTGGTCAGATATTTTAATTCCTCTGATGTCAAGCTAGGGACGTCCGCACTGATGATCAGCGGTGCGGAGAAGGACGCCCAAAGGGCGAAATGCGACTTCTTTTCATCGATGGTCAGGTCAGGCCAGTCTGGAATTATAAAGTCGGGATCGTTGAAATACCCTGGTTTCTGATAACGAGCTAGCAGAACCTCCTGACCATAATTCGTCAAAATGCTTTCCCAGGTATTCCCACTGCCATAGGTAGCAATATCATACGAATGTCGGGCTAATTGACCGTAGGATGGAACCCAGTCCATAACACTATACCAGTCTGTGAGATTCTGCTCACCGCAGAAGTATGCTGGAGCCGATTCGGAAAAAATCAGCGGTTCTGTCATATTCGAAAATATGGTGTGCCAGGTTCCGTAAATATATTTGTAGGTTTCCTCCGATGTCAAACCAGATTGTGTGGGCACATTACACCCATCGAGCTTGAGATAGTCGATTCCCCATGAGGCAAATGTTTTCGCGTCAATATCCTCATATCCAAGGGAACCGGGGAATCCACCACATGTCAAAGTTCCCGCATCCTCGTAGATCCCGAAGTTGAACCCTTTAGTATGTAGAAAGTTACCTAGCCACGGAAGACCATCTGGAAATTTTGTGGTGTTCCACTGAAGGGTTCCGTTTGAGGCTCGCTGAGATGCCATCCAGCAATCATCCAGGTTAATGCGGTTATAACCTGCTGCTAAAAGGCCATTCTTGACCATTGCATCGGCGGTGGTAGTAAAAAGAGTCTGATTCAATTCGCATTCAAAACGCGCCCAGTTATTGAATCCCATTGGCGGCGTTGGCATGAGAACGCCCGACGCATGCACGAGTACAGGCCCAAGGGCTATAGCCAAGCGCCACAGCATTGTTGAGGATCGGATCTGAGATGGCATAGCTGGTTGAATAATAAAGTCAGACTAAATGATAGAACTTGAAAGACCAAGCGTGACTCGGACAATGAAGATGACCGTGATTCTTTTGAAATCACGATTACTTTTAAAGCGCGATACACTACCAGATCGATCAATTAAATACAACACAAACTGTTACCGTTGCGTAGATTTGGGGCAATTGTTCTACCACGTAACGAGTGCAGTGGAATTTCCGTATGAGGCATCCCCAGCAGGTGGATCATTTCATTTTGCACCACGTTACAGAATCTAGCAATCTTAATAATGTTAATCGCATGCAGATCATTACCTCAAAACGGGTGATAATACAAACGATAATGCGATGTGATTTGTCTTCTATCAAGAGGGAAAGAAACGACTAAAGACGCCAAAAGCTTTAATTAAAATAAACTAGAATTGCATGGCACGGTACCCAAAAAAGTCCTCTGAGGTTTCCTTTATCGATTTCCACTATCATTGATACCTACTACCGCACCACGAAATTCCGCATCCCAGGGAACGGCCTACGATTAATCATAACTAGCCATCAATGGTCTCACCCGTGCACGTCCTATTTTTACAGGAATTCATATTTAGCCCCGAGAAAATTTTGAATAAAGATTTATTAAACTGCTAATAGTGATAATATGCTATACGACCACCGGGGCTAAGCGTTGTAGCCCGAGCAATACTTGCGGTCCAAGATTTGTTAATTCTCACATGTCCGCCGCATTAGGATGACTTATGAACTACTAGAATGGTACATCGTCTGCACCTAGATCATTGACTTGCTAATCAATTGGGGGGTGGGGTAAGCATTGTTGTATCTACTGTTTTTGAATGGCGGCTGGAGCCGAGCCCCAACTAAAGCATCCATTGCCTCGGCATGTCCCACGTTGCAACACACGCCATCGGCATCGTGGGGACCACCTAAATCTGGACAGATATTAAAGGTCACCTTTCTTATTAGTCTGCCTCTGGTTATGGTTGATAGCTGCTGGGTGGACACTAGACACCATGTCTACTTTCCTCTTCTCTGCGGATTAGGTCCTTTAGGCTGAAATGTAACCGCTGTACTTAGCATGTGATCGACTTGAAATATTATAACTATCGACGACCTTTTCATTTTCTATCGCTTTTTCCATAGCTACTACTGCAATGGTAGATACCATGAATAACTCTATGCATGACATATATAGACCACGTGAACGATGTCATCGCTTATAAATGCCCTCTAGCCAAGTATCGCACCACCATATGTTCCGATATCTTATGGGATTCCAATCAATCCTTGACTGGAATCTTAAGCCTCCACGTCTAGAACTTAATTCCATTGCTATTATTAGCTCATAAGTCAAACAGAAAATCGAAACACACTGCCAATTCAAGAAAAAAATGAAACGTATAATCTGAATTGAATTCAAGGCCCTAAATATGCAATCGCCCATAATGTTGGGGGTAAAAACCAGATATCATGATGCGTAGTTGGAAAAGACCTGGTGATCGTAAGTTGTAGTGTACGTGAAGAATGTGATAATATTGTACGCTCAATCCTAATTTCAAGCCACCGCATTATAGAAAGAAAAACTTGTAACATCATGGGGAAGCCTGAAATCCTTAATAATAAGTATCAAATACGCACTCTTCATGATTCGATGCACGATAAAGGAATTATAAGTCTGGATATAGGTATCAATTTCATGGGAAATGTCTAAAGCGTGAGGCGTTACAAATACATGAATACTTGGAGCAGAAAATCATTGAAGGTCAAGACATGCGGTTCTAAGAAGCTGGATTTTCGATCCCCACTTTTTCAGATAAAATACAGCCCTTTCCTTTTGTCCAGAGTTGTCGCTATGCAAAACAATTGCTCTCAAAGGGTGCACAATTCGAATATAACCACACCCAGCATCAATAGAGTCGATGAATGCCGCCGCCGTCAATATCGTATTACAATGAGCCGCAATTAGTTCGTATTTGGTGGTAATCAAGTCGGAGTGGGGAGTGTTTGCAAGTACCAGTATCCAGGATAGGCTATATAATGCCAATGTAACCGCAACTTCAGAGTCCCGGTAATCAATTCTAAGAGCAACATAATCCCAAAAGGGATGTTTCTCTGCTGTCTCGCTTTCAGTTAATAGTTGGTTGCCACATAGACAGTCACTGTATGTTTCCGTAACATAGAGCCACAGAGATATGAGTACGTTGATATTACTGTCCTCTGTTATAATATTACTCGAGTACGATGGTAGGGATTCGCTGCTGGGAAGTTGAAGGAGAAAATCGATAACAAAGTCCAAGGGTCGTTTCGATTTATTGTGGAATGGGATATCAGTCCATGTTGCCGAGGCAAGAAGGGTTGTTATCGACTCCGTGAGACATATGTGTACCTATGATGTCCGAACTCTTAGCCGTGGTAATTCTTTTCGAGCCTAACATTGAATTTCATAATTTAATACGTCAAAAACGTACCATATGAGATCTCAAAGTCAGGAAAATACCATGCAACCGATCATATTGACAGGCATAGGGGCCAACTGTACACAATAGAGCCACAGCCGCTTTGACATGTTGAGAAAAGGAATTTCTGGATGTGGGTATAATGGCGTCACAATACGCCAAGAGTATTGTATACACAACATGCCGCTCCGTTTCTTCAAATGAGAGATATCCTGCTCGGTTACGTAGCAGTTCATGTTGATACTGGATCCCTCGATCATACCACTCGTAGAATTGCATCACTGCATTCCAATTTTGAGAGTTGGTCACGTACAAGGCTAGTGCTGCAGCGGATATAGATGCATCCCAGCCTTTCAATAAGCTAAAATCCACGTCAGACGCGCAAGAAACTAGCCAAGACTGACTCTTCCCTTTGTTCATGGCAGTCCTGCCGAAGAATAACAGGAAACACGAGACTAATTGGGTTTGACATAGGTCACTAGCTTGTGGGACCATGAAAAAGTTCGCGTTTGAAATTGTAAGGGTATCGGATGAAATTGTTTTTGTTTCACGCTGGGGCGAGGTTTTTGTATTGTTCTCTATCCTAGTTGACTTCCTTGGGTTTCGTACGTCAGATGCAAGGAATACGTTACCCGACACTGGGCCGGAACAGTCCCTTCCATCAATCAGGCAGCGACGACATTTTGGCTGTGTTTCATCGCACTGAGAATATGTAAGTAGACCGTAATATTGGACTGGAGAACTGGCGGGATACTAGCCTTGATTTTACGTCGTCGGCATGTTGAGCAACCCAGGCTCATGCCCGGGCGCCGCACCATTTTTAGATGCAGAGGCAGCCGCGAGGTCGATAATTGGGCCTTTATGAGACTGTTCTCAGCGCAATCCTGCTTATATTGGCTGTGGATATCAGGCTTATAGTTGTTGTTGAGACAATGTGCTGTATGTCTCACGGTGCCGTGGCCATCCGCCCTCCGCGAAACCGGACAGTCTAACCGAATACGTCAATTATTGCGACCGTCATCGCCGGTGTCGTGATGCACGTACCCCCATACTGTGATGACGGCGAGTAGATTTCTAGCATAATGATGTATAAATCAACGTTGAATGTGTTTCGGGAATGTATCCGGTGGAACACAGCACTGAAGCAACCGTAGCAGCGCGATAATTGTTGAAGACAAATATAGAACTTGGTAGAAGCATGGCTAATATATAGATACAGGAGATGAAGCTCAACTAAATATACAAGTCTCGTTCAAGAAATAAGAATCTCCCTAATAATAAAGAAACGCCATCACCCTGCATGTATAAAAGGCAACACCATCAATGGCTATAAAACATAAAGGCTTCCCTAGAATAGTTGATACATATAATCATCCACTGGAAGATCACGAAGAATTATTATTTTCGATGAGAGGGCCTTCGATCACTGGAGCACTGACTAATCCCCTGTACTGGTGGAACTGGTACTTGTTTTGTTGCCATTGCTTGCTGCCGCGGAGGTTACACAGCCGGTTAAACCTGATGATAAGTAGGTTAGCATTAAAAGAAGCAGAAATTCGGCCTCTGAACTCACTGCACGCAGCACTACTACCCTCCAGCGATTTGCCATTCTGGCTTGCTTGTCCGGATCCAACCGAACCCAAATATCCGTTGGCATTTGAAACGGAGCTGGATCCAAGATGGTTCCCATCTCCATCGTCGCTATCCAGTTCGAGCCATCCGTCCTCAATAGGAGATATGTCGCCGAGATCGAGATCTTTCACGTCGACACCGAGAGGTGTTGTGATGTCCTGGCGAGGTAAGATGGAGCCGTTGTCACCTGGTGTGAGTGGGAGCCCGTTCGCCAAGGCAATGACCCTCATGCCGATCAGTACAGCAAGGCTGTGAGAATGTAAAATCCGCATTGCTGCTTCAATCGCGCCAATCTGGTGCGAGTATACTGCTCTGCCTGGGGATAATATGAAAATATTTCAGAGAACGTTTTAACGGGGGAAACGAAGACTATCTGTCTAGCAGATTAAAAATGATGAAAAAATGAGACTCGTCAGACAACGTTGAACAAGAAAAAACCAGTCGCCTATATATACTTGGAGCATATATATGCATCCGGCGCGCTAATTCTATACTCTTAGCATCAGCAACTCCAGAAAGCGTTTAATAACTCTTCTCCGAATCCTCAATAATGCGCCTACTTGTAATTACCGCAAGCATGATGAATGTGATTAGATCGAATAGACTAATAGTTGATCTACACCATGACGAAGTTATGGCAATCAAACGAGGCTAGAGTCCGCATTGGCAATGCGACAAAATCAATAGCCACGGCTGCCTATTGAATTTCTATCCCTGAATACGAATTAGGGAAAGATGCCCATGATGCTCCATAATTGAGTTGATGGAATAAAGCATGGTCGGATTCTACCTTGGCAACTCAGCAGAGAGTGACTTCGCCCAAGTGTCATCAGTTCTATGTTAACGATTAGCCAGCGATTGATAAGACAGGTTTAAATTTCAACCTAAAACTCATTGATCATTTTCACCAAGGGCTATATTATTTGTCGCGTTTAAAAACCGTCACCAAGCATCTTTTATGTAGCGTAGAGGATTAAGATTGCTTAATCAAGTAAACAAAAGAAACTCCGAGAGACTGTCGATCTCAACCATCGGTTGAGGCAAGCCAAGCAGACAAAGGCGCACTAGTTAACGGTCTCCGAATGGGCCAAGACGTTGAAGTTGAGGAGTCTCCGAATATTGTACGATCCGGAATTAGCCCTTGCAGGACGCCAGCAGATCATGGATCAGCATGGATCTGCCCTCCGGGACACCGCCTGATTTCTTTTATCCTACGCGTATGAAACATCCCTCAACCGATGAGAAAGGAAGGTTACTCGTTTCCGGCGCGATTCGCTATAAGCTTTCAAGTTGAAGTTATATGGTGCATGGTAAAAGGCAAGGATGGGTGACCATAATCTGCCCTTTTACAACTAGAATGTGAGTACCTGTGGGGTTGACGCTCAGAATGACGATTAGTAAAGCCATTTTCAGCGTTATTTCCACCCGCCCATTGTCCCGCCACTTAACAGCCACCTTCCTCATATAACTTTATAATTCCTACGAGCGCCTAGCGTCCCAAGTTCACCTAAACATAAAAGTCTAAAAGCAACTTTTATTCCTGAACTATTATAATTCCTCTCATTATGTGTCCCAAACCTTGCGCTAACCAGGCTCAGCCTAGTCACCCTATAAAATGGTCATCTCTCCTCCCTTCCAGACGACCATTCATGTCTTGAATAAGATATTAAGCTGTGGTTCTTTATCATATCGCGCCTCAAAGCCTCTTGCTGAAACTCATCACTAATATTAGGCCCGATGATCAGTTGCAAGATTCTGGGCTTGATGACTACTCCAAGAGATGCAGAAATATTTCAACAATTTCAAGTCCGTAGGCGAAAGAGCCTCGTGACACGAAAAATTTTGTGTCTTGGTAGGTAGAGAACATTGTGGCAGTATGGATGCGTCTATAAGTTGATGCAATTCATTAATAAAGTGAGGAAAAATAAGAAGTTTTATGTCGGCGAATAAAATGTTATCATTACCGGATTAGGCTCTGATAAAACTTTAGGTTACGAAGGTACTTTTCTGATTTGAACCTAACATTAAAAAGTGAATATTTCTATTGACTCAGCAGATATAAGGATAAAAAAAAATACCGCATATGATTGTTGGAAGAGAGTTCTTTCCAAGGATACTAAAATTATAAATATATGTAATGGACATAAACATTTTTCTTTTTTGAGTAGGGAGGCTAGGTTGCTTCAAACACAAGATTTAATTAAGAAACCAATTCATGGGGTGTCGCTAATTCTCTATTGCAGGTTCATTTCTTTAACCCTTGAAGCACAGTCTCCACACCAGCAAATCGAAGTTCCTTCAGGGTCTCGTCCCATAGCTGAGCGGTCAAGCGACGACCAGACTCAGTATACATGTAAGGAGGGTACCTATAAGCTCGAATGTTAATATCAGGCACCAAACACGGGTTCTTTTCTGCTTTTCAAGACTTACGGCCTGACCTTCCAATCGCAAAATGATCCATGGCTCTCTTTTCCAAGCACCAATGCCGAGTGCAAGTATTGTCTAGTCCCATCCACAAGATTTCGTCCTAAAAGTATTCCACTGAGCCATACAAGCAGTCGTGGCAGTACTGTCTCTGCTTCACGCATGAGTCGCGTGCCTCTCACACCGCTCGGGTTGACAAGGTTGATGATGCAGTCGTCAGGGCTCACGACTTCGGCCAACTTTGACACGAACATTACCAACAACAGTTTCGATTTGCCGTACTGCATCATCCCATCAAAGCCTTGTGGACTGTCGACGGAATCGAGAATGCTTAGAGCGTTCTCGTCCAGCTTTGGCCAGAACGACATATCCGAGGTGACGATCGTGATTCTTCCTGGAACCTGGAGGGATTGTCCAGCTTTCCCTACGATTGCGCCCTTGTTCTTGATGATGGGAGCGAGGAGCATGGCTAGTAGTACAGTGGCTAGGAAGTTGACTTGAATCGTCACTTCACGGCCGTGGTCACCAGCGCAACGCGTGAAACGCATTTTCCCACACCCAGCGTTTAGAATTGCAACATCAAGTCGGTCGAGTTTCTCGCAGCGAGCAGCGAATTCTCGCACTGAGTCATAAGACTCCATATCTAGAACCCAGACCTCGATGCGGGCCTTCGGGAACTCAGCTTGTAATTTTGACGCGGTGACTTGGCCCTTGGGTTGAGATCGAACGGCTAGGATCAGATGTGTGAGCTGTATCTGTAAGAGTTGACGTGCACATTCTGTCCCGAGGCCCGAGCTTGATCCAGTCACAATGGCAACCTTGTCGGACAAATTGATATGCGGTGGAATTGGAGGCACGCGGTGCAGAACTTGCCGGGCAAACGTCCCGGCCAAGCTGGCCTCATGTGAGGCTCTTGCTTGCAAGCCAGCAGACATGGCAGATCGCGATAGTGTGTCAGTTGAGAGTTTTGAAGCAATACGTATTATTGAACAGCCAACAGACACTCAACAAGTTAAACAGATAAACAACGTAGAGATTTGAAGCTGAAACCATAGAGATGATGAGGTGTGAGAACAATGGTGGCAGTCACAGCTAGACTCCAGTCCAAATAGCGGCCCCCCATTTTATATGAGCAGTTACCGATACGAGCCTTGACAGCATCAGAGAAGGGCCTACGGCAATCCGGTAGCATTGCTGTCCTGTAGAGATGATCCATTTCTTGAGATTCATGACCGTGATTCGGAAAGGAACTTTTTCTAGCCCCGTGATTGGCCGAAACTGGGTCTGACTGGTGTGGTACCTTACGTCATCAATAGGGAACTTTTTAAAGCCCATTCATTGGCTCGCTGGCCAGTTGGTCCAGATCGGCTCGGCCCAATTGTCAGCCTACGCTCTATGCTTCTCATCACAGCCAGAGATCTCTTCTGAAACCGGAGCGATGTCAGTCTGCAGTAGGCTGATGGGCGGATCCATTCTTTTCTCCGTAGCAACAGTCTAGTCGGAGTCGAACAAAATGTTCCTTCTTTTCGATAATCGAAAGATCAGCCTCCTTCATGGCTTCAGTCCGCGCTCCGCCCCTGGCCGTTTTGGCCTCGAAGCCCAAACACCAAGAGACGCGGGAGACAACTTCGGCGACACCAGGTCTACACAAGACGCACAGCGAGTTGGAATGGGCGGCCATGTATCCACACATCCGGCGGCTGTACGTCTATGAGCGTCGGACACTTCGATACGTCATAGCGCACATAAGGGAGAAATACAACTTCCAGGCTACGTGAGACCCCCCCCCAAAAATCATTCACCAACATCCAGGGCGCACCGACTCCATATGTCAAGGCCGTCCTGACAAACTAGACCGGAGGGGGAGCTAACTTTCATCAAATTGAAGGCCCCAGATGTACAAGAAACGCTTTACCAAATGGGGCTTCTACAAAAACACACGGCGAGCCCGTGTTAACTCGACTTCGCCTCGAAGCACAGAGCCAAGCGACGTGGTTATGCCATGCCAGACTCTATCTGGATATGATCATCTATCACACCAGATATGGCAACCACAACTTACCTTGATGCCCACTCTAAACCGCACTGATATGTCAATCTTGATATTCCTCACGAATATACGGACCTGGTGTTCTGCCTTCTTTGAAACCGCACGGGAGTCGCACCTGGATTTCTTAGAAGGCACTTCCCGACTCTCACTGCTACTCCCGTACAAGCAGACAGTATCATATGACCAGGAGCAGATTAGCGCATCATTCAGGCTCGTAGCGGACCTTCTCGTGCGTGGACAGGGTCACCTTGCCGGTCGACTCGCGCGCAAGGCGTTCTTGCAGATCGAGCATATGTTACAGCTGGAAGGTCCTCCTTTTATCTGGAATTTGTTAGAGATTCTACATAATATCATGTACCTTAAACAGGGTCGGCTATTCAGTATGCTGATTATTCATCTCATGAGCCTCGCTCAATGTCATTATCCGGAAAACCACTCAATCGTCCAACTGCTGCAAAGCTTGTGGCATATATCCAAGTCTTCGGAGAACGACTTTATCCAGTTGCTACCAGCAATACTGGAACGAGGTTGGTTGCTAAACGCAGATATCTTGTTTAGTAACTTTAATGAGCGGTTTCTTCTTCTGTACTACCGCCTCATGTGGAATTCTGGTTTGCTTCGGCTCACAGAAGACAAGTTGCGCGAAGCCGACACATGGTTCTCGTTACTAAGTCTCAGAGTCCCTATAGAGGCAATCATGGAGGGTACTGCCCGCCTCCATCCTGCCGTGGATTTTGCACCTGCTGACGCAAGTAACCTTCCGCCTGCAAATTACGAAGATCTCAAAAGGAAGGCCATTGCTGACCTCCACGAACGAGCCGAGTTGGAGTCGCCAGAGCCAACTACTAGATTTCGCCTGCTATCTGGATTACTCAAGAGCAGAATTCTTGATGAGAACGTGAAATTCCCAGACGAAGGAGGCAAGGAAGGTAGTAACCTTATAATGGATGATAATGCCACAGTAGAAACTCGTGGCAGGGCAACTCGCCTGCACGCCAGGATCCTCGCGTATATATTAGACCTTTTTACGTATATCGACATGGAGAAAGGCGGCAGTGAGAACATTATCATCGAGAGACTAAACAATACCATCGCTCTCCGTGACTATGGAGAAGGTGTAACCGCTCCGCAGGTTATAGTCGAGATATGGCGATTACGCGACATGCTGTTACAAAAAGGCAAGTTGCTGGAAGCGGCGGAGATGGGGAAAACAGCACAAAAGAGACTCGAGCAGTATCTCGAGGATATGCCTTGCCTACACATCTAGGACTGCTGCTATTTACTGGACCCGAGCACTAGACTGCGACCAAATATACGGGAGCACAATGCACCATTACAGTGTACCCTAGCTCGGGCATGCGGTGCTAGATACTATGGCCTTCCGTCAGAGCCCCATACCATTAACCACAGCCAATGGATTAGTAGCGGACGCCTATTTCATAAGCAACAAAATCGAAATGGTTATCATACGAAAGAAGGCTGGGGTTTAGTTCGTGACCGTTGCCGGTGGGGCTGGTAAACCCGGATCATATAATAGGCAAAGCGGAGGAGAATCACTCACTAGAAAAGGTCGCAATGAAGATCTTCATTGCGGTATTTTCGCCACGGATCCATGTCATTTTGTGAATGCTAGCAGGGGCTGCACAACAGGACCCGCATCGACGACAAAAGGCACAGAGCAGAAGTCAGGCATTGTGACAGCTTATCCTAGGCATTTACATGCTATTTATCCTGAATTGGCTTTTTTAACCCACACGAATCACTTACTCCCACTAGCAGGGTATGCATGTTACTTCTTACCGGATACGATTTTAACTATTCCTGTCATCATGACTCGGTCTTGATTGATGGTTTGAATTAGTACAAGGGAATGATCCGATTTTGGTTGATTTCCTCGCAACTGAAGCCGCTGTCTTATTTGACGCGGTTATTGTACAGTGGCCGAATGCTAGTCCTAAACTGCTTTACCGGCCGAAGTACTTCAACTCCAAATACCTAGCGGGTATATAGCTGATAGCAGTCACAACAAAGGTAAATTCATTTGCGACGTCGCCACCACCATCTCCAATCAATTTTGCGAGAGGCCCAACGAACCATGTTTCATCCATACCCATACACCAGGCAATAACACCCAAGAGAAAAGCAACAATTGCGCCAATCCCCAGCGGCAACCGAGCGGGGCTGTTCCAACCTTCGAGATCATAGTTTTCAAAATTACCCTTGCGAAAGATAAAATGCTCCTCAAAGAGGATGATGCCGTAACTGGTGCACCAGTAGCCCAGCAGACTGAGGAAATCCTGCAGATAGGTGTTCAGCTCTTCTCTACCACCCAGGGCTAGTGCTAGAATGCACGCGAAACAGAACAGAGTCCAAATGAAGCGAGGGATGGCCGAAAATGGTCTCGAGAGTTGTTGGAACGAAATCGCGGCGCTATAAATACTGATCACATTGACGTTGATTCCAGACAGCACGAGCAAAGTAAGGAGGAATTTGGCAAATCCTCGTGGGTACAGCATTTCCTGAATAAGGTAGCCAACGCCTTGATTTTCATAGGTATCGTGCCATTCTGGTTTGTTGTTGAGTGCAGAGGCGGCAACACAGCCTGCAACCATGCCGATAGACGTGGGAATTGCAATACCGAACGTAGTCATGAAAAAGACCTTGACGCGGCTGACGTTTGCCGGGTAAAGGACATAATAGTCACTAGCCATGGTCGCCCACGACGCACTCGATCCATAGACAATGGCCAACAAACTGAGGACGGAGGCGCCGAGGTTGGCGCCAGTTACGGAGGCCGGGCTGGTGTTGTCGGCGTATTTTCCCGTTTCGCCAAAAATGATGAGAAAGATGACGAAAAAGATAACCCAGGCATAACGCTCATATACCAGGATGGCGTTCAGTCCAACGAAGGAAATGATCAAAGCCACCACGGCCAAAATGATGATTCCCACGACTAGGGAAACATGGCCATCCGACACTGCGGTGAGGGCCAGGCCACCGGTTATACACGCGACAGCAGCCCAGCCCATTTGCTGGATGCTATTGAGCAGTGCAATAAGCTTGTTTGGCCACCATCCGAAGCTGTACCGACTGACACTGATCTGGCGCAAGCCGGTCGCGGCGCCAAAAGTTGCGCAAAATCCGGTTATAGACGCGCCGAGTAGTGAGGCAAATATGGTGATGACGATAGATTGCCTTAGACTCAGTCCAAATTCCCAGCCAAGAAAGCCAGTAGCGAAGCAGGAGATATTCATGGTTCCGCTAGCCCAGAGCAAGGCCATTGATAATTGTTCGGTCCAGGATACATTGCGTTTGTCTTCGGGACGCTTGCGATCGATGGCTTCCGATTCGATATGGAATTTTTGGTCCATGCTGTGCTCGAGCGCACGTAACCGGCCAAGCACGCTGGTCGTTTGCTCATAGGCGACATCGCGGTGGGGAGGCTGCGCTTCATCGTTGGAGCTGCTGTCCAGGGCAGCTTTGGTGTCCGCGGCAGAGGTGGTTACGCCGTGACCCTTTTCTGGATCGACGGGATCCATGGTCGAAAAGGACTGGTGATCGCAATTGAAGGTGAGCGACGAGGGTTGCAAGCTGCTTCACACCCAAAAGGGCAGCCGGGGATGGCTGCAGCCTTTAAAGAGGAAAAATCGTCCTGCTGTCGCGTGGCCACCGGACTTAACCGCTGTGGGCGTATGCGCGGGTCGTATCGATAGGGACAGCCTGATGATTGGCCAGCGCCTGTCGGCTGTTCCGCCCGGACCCTCCAGCTTATCATCCCCAGCCTAGAGCTACCAATACGCACTCGTGTTTAGCGGACCACCTGCTTATTTCAGCTAGTGCAAGATAGGTACGATCCGCCGGGTTGCATCGGGCGCTGATTGGTGTGAAGAAACGACCACAAGAGGAAGGCCCCCCAAAGACCCTTACATAATATTCAATTCTTGATCTATGCCACCTAATCAGTACTTGGTTCTAATAGTGACAAGACTTAGAGTCATCTTCTGACAATAAGAGCAGTGGTTATTGCTGGCAGCTCACCAGCTACTGCAGACTACTGCCTGGCCACCTCGCTGCGGCTCTGCTACTGCTAGTCCTCTGGACAGCTGCCCTCTTTATGTCTGTGGAACCCAACAGGACGACACGAAAGTCAACTACCAGGTAATCAGCTTCCATCTCGCCGAGGTATGATGGCGGATTTTCGGTCCAGCCAAGATCAATGGGACTGTCAATAGCGTGATGGCAACGAACAATCCTGCCAGCGTGCCAAACATCTAGAAGAAGGGGTGATTTTGTCAGTTATGCGCTCTGCCTCCAGGACCGACAGCCACGGACAAACTTACTTTGGCATATCCCTGAGCTGATGACCACGGGATAGTTGCGTGGATAAAACCAAATGCCACGACATTCTTCAGTCCGTTGATCACCTCGAGGCACTCTGCTGCCACAGGGAAGTACGTGTCAATGACATAGGTCATAGACATGCTCACGGAGCTAGTGAGCCCCAGGCTAATGAAGCCGTATGCGACGAATATTACCGCCCAGTGCATTTGTTGCTGGGCTGCAAACCCAAACAAGACGATTCCGGCGAAGACAACGGCCGAAGGGATGAAAATTAGACTAAGCCTACTCTCTGGTGTGAAGAGACCTCCAGATCGCCGTGCTCGATATGCAGACCATTTATCCATACATACACCACCAATTACCGCCCCGATCGCTTGGCCAACTATCCTTAATGTTAGAATACATCGTGGTTTTGACTTTGAATGAAGATATGTACTTAGCCCTGGGATGTTGAGCAGTCCCACCGCACCGATGGAGAAATTGTACGGCGGAGGAATGAGTAGCACAGAGCTGAGGACGTTAATCATGACAGTCGGTGCTAAAGTTATAGAATCTAACAACCGTCATCCAAATATCCCATTTTCAAGATATATCAACGCTTACACACTAGAGTTGAGTAGAGGCATGCGGGATAAGCAATTAATGGAAGAGGTCGAATCAACAGTTCCAAGTAGGAATCCTTCGACAGTCCAGGCCATGGGTTGAGCATACTGAGGTATGACTTGCTGCAGGCGGCCGTGCCAAACGGCCGCTGTGCCGCCGCCTCCACGTCTTTTGGCTCTGGATCGGAGATTTGCAAGCTTCGGGCAAATCGTGTTTCGGGCAGCAAGAATACGAATAGAAGCAAATTGACTCCAAGCGCAATTGTGCTTACCCACTTAGCCCAGGCCCATCCAAGCTCTACCAATTGGCTCAGGTAAGCCTCTATAAACTGGCATCGGTGAACAACATGCAAACTCACTTTGAATTATATATCCTCCGCAGAGTGGCCCTATCGAGCTTCCAGAGGCAATTGAAAAGATATAGTAACCCATCTTCTCCCCACGTTCATGTAGGAAATATATGTCCTAGACTAGTCGTGAATAACCAAGTATATTACTATCACTTCAGGAGAGGTTAGCTCACTTTAATAATGGCCGCACTCAGGGCTTCCGATGCGCCTCCGCCGAATGCGCCCACAACTGTAGCTGCTTGTAGACTGCCGAATGTTGGAGAAAGAGACGCCCATAACGCTGCAATAAATGCAATACTGCATGCCAGTAAAAAGGATGGACGAGTCCCGATCCAATTCGCTGTTGGAACCCAGATGAAGTTCTGCAATCGTCATTCAACCAAATTGACCCTTGTTTTAGCGTCAACGATCAGAGAATTGTCACTTACCGACAAACCCAGCGTCAAGATTACCCACGATAACAATCCAGAGGTTGAATCGATGGTTACACCTAGATCCTGGGCAATAGGAACGAGGCTATCGGACAGAACTGTTCCGCTAAAGTTGTTGAGCATAGCAAAGAGACATGATGTGCCAAATGCCAGGTCCTTTCTCCAGCTAGGCCATCGCAATGGATCATCAGGATCATCAGATGGCGGGGGGATCAGGACAGGGTTCTCCGTAGACGTGTCATTCTGCACTGTTCTATTATGTATCACCGTCTATATGACAGGGTAACAAGCACACCAACCTTGAAAAAGCTGATGTGTGCCTTCGGAATTATCCAACTCTTTCAATGTTCTTAATTTCATCGCGCTTTTGTTATAGCGACGACCCCTGTAACCTGTCGATATTGATGACAAAAATGCAACCAATTAAATACGAGGCGACTGAGATAGACTTGGGCCAACTGATCAAATAATTTCTGAGCTCTTTAGAATTGAAAATTTCTTCATACATGAGAGTTTCCATCGAAAACATCGGATTCCGCTCCCTTGTTTTGTCCGATCGACGGAAATCCGGTCCAATCACCAAGAATGTGAATCAAGTCGCCCCCAGCCCCGGCCACCACCAAGAACCCACAAACACCATGGGAAGTTAATGTAATTTGGTAGATGTATATGTAAGTTATACGAGTCGCTTCGCACCCACTTCCAAAGTCTGCACTACCAGCATTGGTCAGCAAAGATCTATTGATTCTACTTGAATTTTCAAATGCTTCTGTGGCTTAAAATAGACATGTTCATTCCCAGCTACATCTGTATCCGACCCTTACCTGGATATACATACTCTAGGCACAATCAATGAACGGGACATCTGTGCACACGTTCAACAGTATACGTTGAATGTGGCACACATACAACTCACATACAACTAAATCCAATCTGCCGAGCGATACATTGTAGATCGCAATGCCTGACACCGAACACTCTGGACAACTCCCTGCTTATCAAACCCAATCGTGAAGGTATCCGTTGCCAAATTAATATAGTTCAGCGAGTCAACCATTAGCCACTCATTATTAAAAACCGCCGAGAAATCTTGTGTAAAAGGCTCGCCATTCTGTTGCAACGAGTTAAGATGGTAAAGGTAAAATGTCAGACCATCTCTTCCCCTCGAGGTGTGCTGCTCCGTTGGATACAAACGGAAATCGCTGTAGGCAGCTAAGATACCAGTGAGAAAATCGGTACCATTGCTAACCAAGCTTGTGATTGCGACTCCTAAGCCCCCCTCGATAGCGAGAGTGATCGATGAGTTACGATCATTGGCAGCAAAAGTGCCCGTAAATGCCTTTTCGGATTTTTCTTTGGTGGCGGTTTCTGCAGCTGGGTACTATTCATCCAGTTAGTAGGCCTGTGTCGCGGAGATTCTTGCGTTAGGAAATATTGATATGTTACAAAGATGTCGACAATAGTATCACGGATTGCATATACGGACGAATCAGGCGCATTCCAAGCAGCAAGAATTGTCATCCCAATATTATAATCAGGAACAAGGCCAATAAATGTTGAATATTTTCCCACGTCTCCTGATTAAGAATACGTGTCGACAATACGTCCAGCGTTAATGATTGTGTTTGCTTGGACTTCTTTCCGATAAATCTCCCACGGCGCCTAGTCGGCAATATCAATTGATCAGTTTAGCGTACGAAAGCAAATATATCGGAGGTGAATGCTTACTCCTACTGCCACGTTCCACTGCGAGGTAAAGACCTCGGCTTCATCCATCTCCGCGTGATATACGACGGAAGCAAGGCGCTGCTGAGAATAGACTGGCCAATTACCCTCAAATCCTTGGTCGATGTGTATTCACCACCAGCCCTGTTCAGTAGGTTAGTTTCAACTGTCTGTTCTTGACATCATAAGTAGAGATATTCATACGGCGCCTCGAGTCCTAGATCGGATGAAAACAACGAGAAACTGTCGTTATGAGGGATTATAGCATCCGCGCCTGGCGGAGGGTATCTATATGTGGAAGACAAGCCTAATTTCTCGTTGAATATCCGGCTGAAGCCTGCATCGAAAGGAATGCCTGTAATTTCCTCATAGGCGAGAGCGAGGATCGCAATTGCTAAATTGGAGTACACCGGGGTTATATAAGACGGATACACGGGTGGGTGTTGAATAACACCATCCAAGAGCTCTACTAAAAGTTAGAAATCATGAAATCTCACGAGAATTATAAAAATAAACATACGTTTGCGAGAGCAAGTCTTTTGTGGGCCGTAAAAGTTGCATTGTGGGACGGTTTCGTTCAGAGGAGGATAACCAAGCAGGACATCCTCAGCTACCGGTGGAAGTGTGAAAGTCGTAAGAGCCAAATCGCCAGTATGAACTGTATGAAACTTGAATATGCAGTGTAATACTGCTGGTCTCACTTACAGTCTCGTCTGATCCCAGATATTTGACTTGCAAGGGCACCGATTATCACCTCTCTCCAGTTCACGGAGAATGGCGTATAGGTGGAACTATTCGCCGCATGGGCCAATTCAGGCTTGTAAAAAATAATCAGCTACTTTGCCCTACTACTCCCTACTACTGGATAAGAAAGATGTATGGGGTGGAACTTACAATATACTTTGTGATTGGATCGTTGAAAACATCATCGCCGATGTCCACCATCCATATATACATCGTCAAAAGTTTTGCCATACTTCCAGTTCGATAGATAGTTTCCTCTGTCAACTTTCCTTTGACGTACGAACCATTCAGCCCAGGCGCTTCGAAGTGTTATTCAAACAGTGGCTCATCGCTGCCCACAATGAATACCGAGGCCGAAAATGATGTGTCTGTAGTGTCCAGTACACCATATGAAGTATTTCCAGTACTCACTGCTTGTTGGACTGCCTTTCGAGCCTGTGCCTCGGCATTCACAAAGGCATTTGCAGATGGATTTAACTGAGCTTGATACACAGGACCCAGCAGAGCTAAGTAAGTCTTTGGAAATGAAAATGCAGCATTAGCTGAGGTAGCTAAAGCCGAAAGGAGTGCAAGTCGCTTCATTTTCTTGCTTCCTGTATTGTTTCTGTCGTGCCCGGCACAATTGACAAGAATTCATCGATTACAGTCACAGTCATGACAAAGGGCAATGACTGTGATTTAAATAAAATACCGAAATAACAAAGGCTGGCTTTCGTACCTATTACATGCAGGCCAGAGAGCAGCCTAATGCATGCAATAGTGCATACATGCCGCATGCACGTCTTTCGTAAACTCCTAGCGCATGGGCCCTAGGTAGTATGCGTATTGCATTCATACTAACCAGGAGTAAACAGCCGAGCTATCATCCCCTTCGTTATTGATAGCTGAAATTGACACGGTTAGGCGATGTACGCTGGTCGATGGCCTAATGCGTTGTCTCAGACCCAGGACGAGGAACGCTTTCACCGCCTTCGCTGCCGCCTATGCTAAGTCTTCTTGTGTCTTGTTGCTAATGAGATTGTAGGGCTTAGTTCCTTGTTAGAAGGTCTGAGGAGCACCTCAAGCAAATATACATGAGTAACTACTTCCTTTCCAGTTCAAATTTCAACAGTAAAAATTTTAGGGTTGCGCTTCCTCTCCCCACACATATTTTCCTATCTTTAATATTATCTTAATCGATTCCTTAATAAACGCTCTATATCGGCAACAGCATCCTAGCGAAGTCGTTCTAGCGGTGGCCAGGCTTAAAAAAGAATCTTTGTAGGCCAATGGGAGGAAAGAGGGGTGGCAGTAATTTCTGCCTCACGGAGCAGTCTGAGCACGACTACCAGTCAACTTTCCCCCCCAAATATCCTCTAGAAATGCAATGCCTAGGACGTGGTCTGTGGAAGCGACTTTATCATCTCCCACTTTTTAACCTAATCGTACATAGTATGCAGCTAGTACATCGAATATTACGGTTAACGCGCTGCTGATGAGCAATTGGCCAATCAAAGTCCTAATTTTTATGAAATCAATTAGCGCAACTGACGATCCAGTGGAACTGTTGATAGGCTGACCTCTCAGTGTATCCGTACGTAAAAAATACTACTAGTATTTCTACTGCCCCACCAAAACATATCGTACTTATTGGATCATATCGCACTTAGGCAGTTAACTTGAGATACGTTATATAACAATGAATACATAATGGAGGAGGAAGAGAGGAATGGACAATCGGCTACAAGCACCTAATTATCATAGTACACAAAACTCTTATACGTTCAAAATCTTAGTTTTGATTACCCAATGAGTGATGGTTGCAAAGCAAACCCAATGCAAAAGTACAGAACTAAAGTAGAAGAACATTTCCTTATCGTTATACAATAAATGCCTTACATTCGAAAAATATCTAGTCATTCTCTCAATAACAATATCAATCTCGGTCTCCTGATTATTTTAATCTCTTCAGAGAAGGCCACTCGTTCTCAGCACTCTTATGAGCCAGATTATAATGACCGAGAAATGATTCCTTTGGTCTTTGGGATGAGACCCTTTCCAAAGGAGGGCTTGGTGCTGCTTTGACCGACTTTTTGGGTGGCAGGTTATCGGTCAATCTTTGCGGTTGGATGTTTCCTCTTTTTAGGTAATGGATTTTTATAGGTCAAGATTAAACTGCTAACTGTTGCGCCTGGAGTTACTGGTCACTGCGAGAAGAAATCCTTTCTATTTACAATAGCACCTATCATTGACAATCAATAGATTAAGATGAAAGGTGAAATGAAAATATTATTTTTATCACACATTGCCTCTCCCCTCCTTACTTATTGGTACATTCAAAAAAAGTTTCAATGCTTTCTTTCCTTATACAAAGTGGCCGAATCAAGCACAGAACCATTTCGGCTGGCCACAAATTCATGGGTCAAATGAGTTTTATTGTGGAATGTCAACCGGCTCCATCCATAGGCATCATCAAACGCAACAGCGGAATATGGTTGTAGGGGGTAAACCAAGCTATCCAAACCATCATAGTGACCGGCAGCACCATTTGTTATATACCACGGAGCCTTGGGGTTATTGAGACCGTTGGGGTCAGCGACGTAGTTTGCAATAGGAACATTGCGTTCGTAGAGGTGGACGTGACCGGAAAGGACGAGGTCAACATCGTATTTGATGAAGTATGGCTCAAAGACGGATTGACAGTCGAGACAGACGGTGCTGCTCTCGTTTTGGCCGCTGATGTACCAGGGACGATGGCCTCCTGTTTGTGGTGTATTAGAAACGGGCCGACAAACGAAAGAGAAGCATCCAGAAACTAGATAAATAAGGACAAGAAAGGTGTAAAAATAGACCTACCAACAACAACCCACGGAGTCTTTCTACGATCGACGGACGCCAAATCGCCTTCGAGCCATTTCAACTGAGCATCTTTGATTTGACTGAATGGTCCACTGTCTTCATCTTCGCTGCCACCCACCTCATCAGGTCCAGTTAAGCCGTGACCAAGGTCGGTCTCAGTGTCGAATTGAATGTAATGTACCATGCCGTTGTCGAACGAGTACCAGAAGTTTTCGACGCCACCAGATTCGGCGCTTGGCATGCGGAAGTGGTTACGGAATCCGGTGAAGTTGGTTTGACCAGGCGCGCATATAGAGACTGTGTAACTTATGTTGTGGGCTTTGTCAGTCGTGCCACCGTTGTCACCTGGTTTGTTGTGTTAAAAATTAAGACACAAGAACGAGAGGATATAGGAAGTAGGGTTGTGAACGAAGGACAGACGCACAGTTGGCTTCGTGGTTACCAGGTCCGACCATGTAAGGCTTTTTCGACGTAATCGGGACAAGCTCATCATAATACTGGTTCAACAGGCTCTCATACACCTCGTAGCCATCCGCAATAGTCGTATTAGGGAGGTAGCCCTGAATCTCCTCCTTCAGCCAGTAGTCAGCGTAAGCGATGTCACCAGCTGTTCAATCAGCGGTCCTTAGTATATTTCGCGTTCTTGTCTAAGAAGTGGTAAATTTACGTACGATGCCACAAGAAGTCGGTATCAGCGCCTTGAGCTTGCAGTGACTGCTGAGTGTTTTTATCTCCAGGGCCTAATGGGTTGGCGGCACCTTTTCCAACACTCGTGCTCAGGCCATCCTTCCCCATCAAGCCCATGTCAACCACTACCGCGACGCTATAAGGAGTCTCGTCACCGATTGGTCTGCTTGTTTTGAATGTGTAGGGGGTGGTGGCATTACTGCCAAACGGCTGATAATAATAGAGCGTGTCAGGCTTCAGGCCAGTGATCTTGACATGATTGTTGTACGTGGTCGAAGTCGGGTAGGTCACCGAGATATCCGAATGAGCGGACTTGTCAAGCTTGTTGGGGTGGCGGCCATAACGAACGGAGGGAGTGTCAAGCTTCGAAAATGTATTCCAGCTGACCATCATACCCTGATCACCAGCATATGCAAGACGCATCTGCATCGGATTTGTCTCTACACTAGCAGGTGGAGCAGGTAATCCACACACAGAAGTTGGGAAAACAGCAGCGGCCGCAAAACCGAGAGAAACGAGTGACAGGACCGCCATGTTGGCTTGATTGATGCAGATGAGAGAGAATGGAAGACTGATAGGCAACAATCCGCAAAGTAAACAAAACCCAAGATATTTATGCCCATCCCCGATTCAGCGATGACGCGCAGGCACACGCTGATTGGCGCGCGGTGCATATAGAATTAGAACCCTCCGTGGAAGCTTTACGGCAAGCCGCACGCACGTGGCTTGCATCGGCTCCTTATAGGTGGAGATGATGGTTATTGTTAATTAGCTTGCCTCTCTGCTTTCCCTACCTCCATAAAATCTGCCCCTAGACCAAAAGGCGACGCAGCGATTTTTCTACCCTATTATTGAGGTAAATTCTCCACCCATTACTCATCTAACACTATGCCTCTTCATAGGGCTTAAGCATGCGCTGAAACAGCTTTGCCCAATTAGCCTGTTCATAAAGGTCAGCAGGCGAGAGCAATAAGATTAAATCTGCATACCCTCCACTTAGTGTCCGCCAGAAGACGATTTCGGATTGCCTGTCGCCATACTAAGTTGGTGTGGAAGAAGGACAGGCGGGGATCGTGCCACCAAGATGCCGTGTTCCGTCGGTCGGATAGTGGCAGAGTTGTCTCATACATGACTACTTGTCCAACGCCGAAAATTCTGACTAGCAGATGAACGCGATGTATATGGAAGCTAAGATAATTTTTGTACAAAAGATCATTGGGCGATCACATCAACTAAATGTAGCAAATAGCATGTTTCACCGTCCACTTGGGATCAAACAGCTCTACATTACTGTCACATTTAGGGCTTTCAGATCGCTGGGGTAGTTAGTTATCTTTGCCTTGTTGATACAATATTCTTCCTTTCAAATATACCACGGTATTTGAAATTGCATCCGAAAAACCCCCATATTTATATTCCAAATCATCTCAGAGAATATGTTGCCGAATGATGCTTAACTACGGTCTTTGGGATCCGAGCATCTTACAGGTTTGAAATATACCATTATCACATTCGTATTTTACCCTAGGACCCTATATTTTTGGTTTCTCGCTTCTATAGTTGCGCCTAATTATGAACATTCTCGGTTTTATTTTTCATTATGAAGCCTGAAGAATTGGTATATGGGACAAAGAAGAACTGGACAGTGCCTTCGAGTATTTTGGAAGGAACCACTTTGAGGCGGAGATGAAGTGTTACAACAACTACCTCAGCTATAGCTCAGCTGTTATGAATGAATAAGTAGCCTCCATAATGACCTGGGTCGAATATTTTAATCAATAAAAGGCGACGGAAAGCTTTGGAAAGCTTTATATAATGTCCGGTTTCGAAAATAAGATTGCTACCTATTTATAAAATTGCCCCTAGAGCCTCGGCACAAATCGCCAAGGAAGCCTTAGTTTCATATATACTCTATAAAACTTAAAATCCAAGTGTGGACATCGAGCAAAAATTCAAAACATTGGAAACTCCGAAATCCGAAGCTCTGTACTTCGTAGATGCGATGTCAATTTATATAACGGGATATTTCCAGTTATCTGCAAAATGTTGGGGTAGAATATATTAAGTGGCAAATTTTATATCTGAGAAAAGCCGATTATGTTTTTTGTTCTTGGGATGCCATCGTTTGGTGCGTAAACACGCCAAGGCCAGGATAGCGATAGCTAATGCGGCCCTTCTGATTGGATGTCTGCCGTAGGGAACCAGCAGCGCTTCCCCGCCACCAGCTTATTCTTACATCCAAACATATCAGGGAGAGAATAAAAATGCAAAGCAAACTAATATAAAAATACTGAATAGGCTACATCAGCTAGCCGCAGTTCCAGATGACAATTGATCAATTGATATTGTGACCCTCCCCTAAGGACATGCGGGGCATTGCGGCGAATATAGATCACGTGTTTCAGTAGACCGTCTCCGGCGATCGTCAATCCCCATTAATTTGAAGGATGTCGTCACCGCTGCAGAAGCTGATGGCCCAAATTGAAGTTGTTGAATGCTTGCATGATAAATTTCCTCTACATACGTTGCAGAGTAGTCTTTGAGGCTTCCACAAGGCAATTACAACACCTACAATAATATACATGTTTCTGATTACAAGTTGACAGTTCCGGACCTCCTGTACATATAGCGTCATAGCACGTACTCATTATATATATCTACTCACCAGCCGATTTACTCTTGGTTGCCCGTGGGTTAGTGCAAACCCAATCAAGGGTACGCAATGTCCAACATTGGACAGGAGGAAGGGTCGTGTTTCCACATCAATTGATGAACAACCTCGGCGGCTCGTAAGCACAAGGAAAGAAGCTAGGATTGATCACTCTATATTGATCTCTATCGGAGGCATTCCGTCTACTCACGTGCAGTGTGCGGAATCGCCACGAAAATAACACGGCCAGGAGTAACCCCTCACCGGATGCAGTAGGGGCAGCCACAACTGGCATAACAGCGCATCTACATTCATAGGCTCATCACAACGGCGGTTCGACGAGTATTATTATTAGATAAGCACCAGAGCCCAGGTGCGGAGGTGGAGACGGCAGGCTGCACGGTGATTGGTGGCTGAGTCGACTCCCCGCACGAGAACAAGTGCAGTGGGGCATGGCATGACCATTGGGGGGCGTGTGATTGGCCCACGCTCGCCAGAAGCCGTCCAGAGCGGTGGCCGGTCTGGTCTGGCCCTGCCAGGATTGATAATCCGCCGGCAATGGCAAGAATGCATGAGTGTATGAGGTGATGCGCGTACCGCCGGCTGACGAATGATGCGCGATCCCGCTGACGATGCGTCGCCAATCGCCCATAGCCGGCCACCGTGGGCCCGCGTTTGCCGTCTATAAGGGCGCGGGGTAGGTCGCTCCTTCCCTCTGGGCCTCTGCCTCTTGCCTGATGCTTGCTTGCGTTCTTGCTTGCTTCTTCTCCCACCCACAGACCTGCCTACCTGCCACCCTCCAGTGACTGCTGTGCAGGAACAAGATACTCTTACCATCTCTCTATCTCTGTCACCCCTCATCCTTAGCAGAATCCTCCAATATTATACTCTGCCAGCCCCCCCACCATGGCAGAGAGCAAGTGCCCCGTGAGTGACCGTGTGCTCAGGGCCAACGTCGCCGGTGCTGGCACCAGAAACGGCGACTGGTGGCCCGAGGCACTGAAGCTTAACATCTTGCGCCAGCATACCAGTGTATCCAATCCCCTTGATGACGGCTTTGACTATGCCGCTGCCTTCAACAGTCTGGACTACTTTGCACTCAAGAAGGACCTCCATGCCCTGATGACCGACTCGCAGGACTGGTGGCCTGCCGACTTTGGCCACTACGGCGGTCTGTTCATCCGCATGGCCTGGCACAGCGCCGGCACCTACCGTGTCTTTGACGGCCGTGGCGGTGGTGGACAGGGCCAGCAGCGCTTTGCCCCGCTAAATAGCTGGCCGGACAACGCCAGTCTCGACAAGGCCCGCCGTCTGCTGTGGCCAATCAAACAAAAATACGGAAACAAGATTTCGTGGGCCGATTTGTTGCTCCTCACCGGCAACGTCGCCCTAGAATCTATGGGCTTCAAGACCTTTGGCTTTGCTGGGGGCCGCGCCGACACCTGGGAGCCTGACCAAGCTACCTACTGGGGTGGTGAAACCACATGGCTTGGCAACGACGTTCGTTATCAAGAAGGCAGTGCAGGCCTAGCCGGCCATGGTGTCCTATCGGGCTCGGAAGAACCTCATCGCAACATTCATTCTCGCGAACTGGACAAGCCCTTGTCAGCTTCCCACATGGGCTTGATCTATGTCAACCCGGAAGGTCCTGATGGTATTCCAGACCCAGTTGCCGCTGCTAGAGATATCCGTGTCACTTTTGGTCGCATGGCAATGAATGACGAGGAAACGGTGGCGCTTATTGCCGGCGGCCACTCGTTCGGTAAGACTCATGGCGCTGCCTCGGCCGATCACGTTGGCGGTGAACCTGAAGCTGCGGGCATTGAAGAGCAAGGTTTGGGCTGGCGCAATGGCCATGGTTCGGGCAAAGGCCCCGATACCATCACCAGTGGCATCGAAGTCATCTGGACCAAGACTCCTGCCAAATGGAGTAACAATTTCTTCGAATATCTTTTCGGCTATGAATGGGAACTGACCAAGAGTCCTGCTGGTGCAAATCAGTGGGTGGCCAAAAACGCCGAAGCCATCATCCCTGATGCATACGACCCCTCGAAGAAGCACAAACCCAGAATGTTGACCACCGACCTGGCCCTGCGCTTTGATCCGGCATATGAGAAGATCTCCCGTCACTATCTACAAAACCCCGACCAGTTTGCCGATGCTTTTGCCCGGGCCTGGTTCAAGCTGATTCACCGTGACCTAGGTCCACGCAGTCGCTACCTCGGTCCCGAAGTCCCCGCCGAAGTTTTATCCTGGCAGGACCCAGTGCCAGCCGTGGATCATCCGCTTGTGAACGCAAGCGATATTGCCGCTCTCAAACAAGCCATTCTATCCACCGGCTTGGATGTATCTCAACTTGTATCAACAGCATGGGCGTCGGCTTCCACCTTCCGTGGTGGTGACAAGCGCGGTGGTGCTAATGGAGCTCGCATTCGCCTTTCTCCTCAGCGGGACTGGGAAGTCAACAACCAGCCGTGGCTGCGGAACACCCTCAGTGCTCTAGAAAGCATTCAGAAACAGTTCAATTCGGGAGGGAAGAAGATTTCTCTAGCTGACTTGATTGTCTTGGCCGGATCTGCTGCAGTGGAGAAAGCCGCCAACGATGCTGGCCATGGAATCAGCGTACCTTTCACTCCCGGTCGCACAGATGCTTCACAGGAACAGACTGATGTCGAGTCTTTCAATTACTTGGAACCTATCGCCGATGGATTCCGGAATTACGGCAAATCGACCTCTCGGGTGCGAAGCGAGCAGTTCCTCGTCGATAAGGCTGAGCTTCTGACCCTCTCTGCTCCAGAGTTGACCGTCTTGGTTGGCGGTCTCCGATCTTTGCGGACAAATTATGATGGCTCATCTCATGGTGTATTGACAAATCGACCAGGCCAATTGACAAACGACTTCTTCGTCAACCTGCTGGATGTTCAAACAGAATGGAAACCTGTAGACTCTAGCAAGGAAGTCTTCGAAGGTATTGACCGCAAGACAGGTGCTAAGAAATGGACTGGTACCCGCGTCGACCTCATATTTGGCTCTCAAGCAGAGCTTCGTGCCATTGCCGAAGTATATGCTAGTGCGGACGGTGGGCGAAAATTCGTCAAGGACTTTGTGGCTGCTTGGGACAAAGTGATGAACCTCGATCGGTTTGATTTGCAGTAAGTCACCCTGCCTTGGGCTATTCCGATTTCTTGATTACCTTTTCCCAACTTTCTCATATCTGGGCTTTTCCTTATCAACTATTCACAGAAATCTAGGAAATAAGTCCAGAGCGAGTCCTGTGTCCGTGATCTCTGTTCTATAGCATACATTTCACTTTATTATTACCCTGAAGTCCCATATGCTAGGTCTACCGGTCGGTCTCGAACGATTGGGCGAATGAAAATTCGAAGTGGATTACCAGCCAAACTTATTTCGTGATCATTATGCACTATCAGTATGACTAGGTAGATATCTCAAGTCCGAAATCGCATTATTGAACCATATTTTCCAATTTCAAACTGTGTAATAAATCATCAGCAAAGAGTCTATCGTTTTCTCCATTTTCCCACGAGATAATTTACCTGCAGTTTTGAGCTCTGTCGTAGCTGATACTCGTTGATTACACATTTCACAGTAACCTTTAAAAAGCCGAATCATGCTGAGCGATTTGGCCTGTATGAACGCAATGGGGACTTAAAGCCATCCATTCTGGCGCTTGGTTCAATTTTGCTTTCCAGGTGACCATATATGATAAACCTCGAGTGTCTGGCGGTAAGCCATTTTCACGCCATGAATTTTGATATTCCTTTGGTGCCTATGTCATCGATTGACGCCAATTATTTCGAGATTAATCCGCAAAATAACGAGTCCCAGTACCATTCAAAATTTACGTAGGCCAAGATTCAAAATTTCTTTCCGAAGCATAGATCGTGTGAAAATCAAAGGTTTCTTTTTAGCCACCTGAATATATCTAGAGGGCGCCGCGCTGGCAATCTCCACTTTTACCGTGTCCCGCGGAACTTCGGTTGCTTCTCTTTCACAAAATATGTACCGGCTGAGAGAATTTAGCCTACATACCTTGGGGTACTAGGCCTTGCGTATATTTATTAGAGACACATGATATGATGGCCTGCATGTAGATCGAAATGAGTCCACCACGATCGGCCGCAACCCTCATAAGTCGCGCCTGTCAATTCTGCCGAGCACGCAAGATCAAGTGCGACAACAAAAGACCCCAATGCGGATCCTGTGCAAATCATGGTCGGCAATGCACCTATACTACCGAGCCCCCGCGCCAGAGGTAAAGATGAATTTAGTCGCTGATTTATATGGATTTTAATCAAACTGACCAAAGCCAGGCCTTCTCGTGCGTTAATTGATGCGGCGCAAGAAGAGACAAGGACTTTGCAGCAGGTATTGATCTCGTTGAAAAATGCGAATGAAGAAGATCGGAATCGCATCTTGGATTCAATGAGTTTAGAGGGAGGCACTTCTTTTCCATCTACAATTTCTCTGGGATCGGTTTCGACGCTACCAGTCGCTCATGAAGTTGTGCCCGACAACAAGTTCTCTAGAAATCCTTCCCACCACCAACCAGAGCAAAAACTCGCTACTAGCCCTAATGAAAAAAGTCTGACAACATTCATATCACGCGATGAAACTGGGAAAATCCGTATCTTTGGGCCAACCTCTAACCTTCGCATCGACAGTCCCACTAAAGATAAAGTTACGGTCGCTTCTACGGCACCACCAGGATCTGGAGATGCACCAGACCGCTATCAATTAATCGCGAATGCGGCCCTACAAAGACAGAGAGAGCATGATCTCCGTATGAAGGAAAATATAGGTGGTATACCATCCGAGCTTGCTATGCATCTTTTGGATTTGCACTGGAATCGTCAACATCATACCTATCATCTAACATATCGGCCCGCTTTCATGCGAGATCTCGCTGAAGGAGGTCCATACTGCTCTGAATTCCTCCTTAACGCAGTATTTGGTTGTTCCAGCAAGTTCTCTGAGCGAATAGAAGTTAGAGAGGACCCGTTGTTACAGGAAACCGCCGGAAAGATGTTTTTCGATCGTTGCGATGAACTGATAGCAGAGAAATCGCTGCTGGAGGCCTCAAGTATTCCAACTATAACAGGACTACTCATGCTCGGAGCTACTTTTAATGCTAAAGGACGCACTTCGAAAGGTTGGCTCTACGTTGGATATGCCCTGCGTATGGTTTATGATCTTGGACTGCACCTCGACTGTAAAGAATTCTCAGGGAAAGCAGAAGATGTTGAAATTCGTCGGCGTGTGTTTTGGGGCGCATTTATCTGCGACAAACTACAGAGCTTATATTTCGGGAGGCCCTTCATGATTCAACTTCAGGACGCCCAGGTCTCCTGGGACTTGGCCGACACTTTTGAAGAAAACGAGATGTGGTGTCCCTATATTGACCCGAAGTCTAGTAGCATGGTAGAATCCAAACAACAAAGGCCAATTCGACTTTACTCAATCACGACCTTCCAGCGGCTATGCTCACTATCTCGGTTAATGACTAGTATCGTTGACTATTTTTACGTTGTCGGAGCGACCCCAGAAAGCTCGAGGCCATTTTTAGACCCGACAAATGAAAGGCTACGCTCTTGGTACCAAGAATTGCCACTAGAAGTACGCTTTGAGCCATGGAATACCTCTGCATCTGATGAAATGCCGGTGGCAGCACCCAATGTGATAGCACTCCTCACAACATATTATTCGCTTGTCATTCTTCTTCATCGACCTTTCATTAGAAATGGCCATCTCTGGGCTCTAAATACGTTGACAACCGACTCCTGGGAACGTTGTGCCACGGCAGCCAGAAATATTACGAGCCTAGCCTTGGAATACAAATCGGCATATTCTTTGCGACGAGCTAATTACATGCTTAGTTATGCACTTTACGTAGCATGTACGATTCATGCCCGGAACCCAGCAGTTCGTGAAAGCACTAAAAAAGGGGACATCTCTTCGCCTTTGACAGTTTGCTTGAGATGCCTTGACGAATTAGCTGTGCCGAACTGCGGTGTATCTGTACCGGCCCAGATAGTCAGGAAACTGATGCAAGCAAACGGTATTCCTGATATCTCCGGTATTACGTGTCCAATCCGCACTTATAACAGAACTGACTAACGTATACTAGTACCTAAATCAAATAACGATGAGATACTCCCTCTTGATTTCAACTTCAACCAGCAAGTATTTCCTGATACATGCATTGACAATTATACCGCTATTTCAGAATTTCAGCCTTTTATCGAGGACTTGGACTCGCTGTTTGGCTTTTTGCAAGAGTCTGATCCTGCACAATTTGATGGTCGATATCAATGCCGATGAATTAAAAGTGCCTTACGAAGAACCAGCAGGGCATATTTTTACGGGCCCCTGTTGACCCTGGTACCATCTCCTTTTAGCTGCAAACCTTATTGAGATAACTATGCTAAGTAAGAGCCACAGACCCCACTAAGTATGAATTTCTGCATGATTAAAGTCTCTGATCTCGTGTTGGTCAATGATAAAGGCGAAGTCATTGTCGGAAGGGCTCATCATCCTGTCAACAGTCCTGCATTTGCAATTCACAGCAAAACCCAAAAAGCTCGTCAGGGTCTAAATGCTGCATGTCATGCTAACTCGGTGTATGGACAGGCATTCACACCCTTCGCTTGTTTAATAGAGATGATTTAACAAGACGTGCTCTGAGTCTATATGGACATAGCTGTTTACAGCCGCTCAGAGGCACCGTACTATCTTCAGAAGAAGGCGAACATATTGCGAAAGCTCTCGGGCCGACCTGCCTAAGTGTCATTTCGCAGGACAATGGTATGATAACGTGGTAAAACTGTTGACGAGGCGGCATTCTTATCCATTGCCCTCAATTGTTGCTGACACAGCAAGATAATGGCAAATGCAGCAAGTGGGCCAGGCTGGGAGAATACTTATACTGGAAAGGAAGAAGCAGAAATCACCAGTAAGAAAAATGGGAATTCAAACAAAATGTGGTTGACTTTTCAGCCGTATTATAATCAAATTGTCCAAGAGGATTCCTTAGTCTTATCATAATGGTAGTGTCGACATTTCAAGCTTCATTCAATTATTATGCCACAAACTATATGTAATTTCCTACCCGTGTTCTTGATCTTCAATTGCTAGACAGACTGATGTTGCTGGAGCCGAAACACTACACGAATTTAGAAAACAGCCTCACTTTATTTTGATGTCAACTGATTCATTTCACAACAATTTGTGCCCGAGGTATGAAACTGTTCCATGAGCCTGTATATCATAAAACTGTTACTAAAAACTATCATTGACATGAATCATCACATAATTATGTGAAATCTATAACAATACCACCATTAAAATGAAGTAGTGGAGATTTGCAATTATGCAAGGTATCAAACATCACAACATTTGAACACATGAACCGACAATAAAAAAAAGGGATAATCTATATCAGGCCTTTCCAAGAGGATTAGGGTTTAAAGCAAGCTTGGTGGCGAAGGTGATAATTACGCCTACAGAAACTGAAATTCCGCTAAAAATCTCAAAGTCAACTTACTAGATACATGTAGGGTTAGCTTATGGTTTATGGGAATTATAAGATTAGTTTAGGACTTAAAATTTAGGGTTCAATCTTTAGGATAATATCAATATTATGGTGGTTAGGATTGGGGCATTTCAGTTATGTAAGTTAATAAATACAAAGAGACAAAATGACAATTTTCTAGTTGATCAAAATTGGAATACTAATCAGTAATCCGATTACACACTAAACCGAGCTCTCGTGGCCGAAAGCATTCCTTCGTGGGCAAGTATTCCTGAAAATCCCCTTCAACGATTCGAAAGGCCTGCAAATTCCGCAATCTCGCGCGTTAAGAATAGCGTCCAAAGATAACAACCAATCAACCAATGATAACAGCAATAATTGTCCTCCTAGGGTCCTACACATAGGACGGCAAGCTTCGTATCTGAGAAAAAAATGGAGTGCAGAATTGTGTGATACAGTTGACAAGACAGTGAGTGGACCAGTCGTACTCGAGACGTCCTTTAACAAACACAACAGGGGGGTATTAACTAATCATTTTGACTTGGGGAGAGTGGCAGTGTAATCAATAGTTGCAATGCCGTACTTTGTACGATGAGGTTGGCTCGGCATCAATATTAGTACCGAATAACCGACAAAAAGCCCGACGTGGATATGTTTTTGGGCACATCACTTTACCGTTAATCTCAGAGATGAGCCACAACTGCAACTGGTCCACAGTTCAGAAAGAGTATCACGCATTATATTTAGACCCTCTGTACACAAATATCTAGACGATACCCAGGGAGCATCGTATCTAGACGACTCTTTCGTATTTCATATGTACTTCAAGAGTCTCGTGCCCTGGGGTTTACTCAACAGGGCATGCATGGACTATTGAAAAGACAGTGCATGTTTGCCGAATGCAAGTTGTGTAAATTCCCGAAATGCATACTAATTAATAGGCCAATACTCAAATCCATAGAAGCCTTAAGTTCCCCTCATTATCATGAAATTGGAAACCCCGGGAATATTCTTTTAGACAACGGGCCATCCAGTTGAAAAATCAATGCTGTTCCATCCAAACAACTTCTGGTCGTCGGCATACCCGATTGTAGTGTCAACATAATGATAATACAAAACAGGACCTAGGGTAGGATCGGTAAATACACCTCTATATTAAATTGTGAGTAAAAGTCTGGAGTCACGAATGTGACGAGCGATATCAGAAGTGAGAAAAGGGTAAACGCACTGGCCGCCAGGACCATACACTGTTCCATGGCTCTCTAGCACGATTGTTCCACCGCCATCAGTACAAGCGACACCATTGGCATCAACCTATTCAATAGTCAATTTCCCCCAGGTGTATGATCACTACGAATCAATTATATAAGGACATACAAAGCCTTTTGTTGCCGATGTTGAACGACAAACCTTGATTTTATACTCCTCTCCAGAGGCCGGCATCGATGTGTCATATCCGCAGCAAATTCCAGCCGAATAGAACAAATAATAGTAACTACCATACTTATATAAGTATGACCCTTCCTCAGCGTGATCTCCCGATGGATCATACGCTATGTTGTGTGAGGAAGACCCTGAAGTCTTTGTCGCTGCTGAATTCATCTGTACTTGGTATATATCCCCCAGAAGGAGCCAAACTGCATATAATATGTATCACCATCCAGGAATAGATTACCATCAATAGCATTATACACATCTCCATAATAAGAATCAATCCCCACTCGGCCATGGTCAGTCCAGGAGTAGAGATCCATGGTAGGTGATGTTGCAAGGCCAATAGCCGATTCCTGTGATCCAAATGTCGAAACTGAATAAAAGACGTAGTAAAAACCGTCAACGAAGTTGGCGTCTGGGGCCTAAAACAGCTCGAAGATTAGTAAAAACCACGAAGAATAGCACGTCAGAAGGAAAACGGGACGATATTTACCCAAAGATCGTCATACCCATCAATATCAATTGAAGATCCACTTGGTAACATAGACCCAATCGCTGTCCATGGCCCTTCAATTTCAGATGCAGAAGCATAGGAAATTTTGTTTCCTGTTGAGAAACGAAAGTATATTCCATCGGACTCTCTACGGATCACAGCCGGGTCATGGACATTACAAATCCCTGAACAAAAGCCAGGGTTTGCATATCCATAAGCAGTGGATGCCAGTAAGATGATTGGCAATAGTGACATTGTGCAATGCATATCTCTAGTTAAGGATTCTTTGTTTATATTACTAGAGTCTACTACGCTTGTTTTATGTTTGTTCATGACCCCAACATGCTCAATATATTCCAGTTGATGTTAATATGCGCGTTCATATCCTACAACTCAATACAACCCCAAGTACCATATATTACCTTATTGGTGGACATATCCGAGTTGTTTCCCGGAAATTTTGCCGTATCTTCAAGCCACTAATATCTCATAGGGTCAGACGGACAAAATTGCGAGGCTAATGCACTCGCCAATTACTTATGTAACCTCTATTAGAGTTATGTCTATTACTACATAGCTATTATCAATACATTGGTTAACACGTATTCAAAATTCGATGGTAATATGCTTTTTCAAATGTTACGTTATGCAGTTCAATCAATGCCCTTTCCTTCAGTTCTCCCCTTTTCTAGCTCATGAGAGGGGCAATTCTCAACAGAGGCATAATTTTCTATTTATTTTCTACACGCTATTTCCAGTGAAGAGTTTTGTGAACGAGAAAACAGTAAGCCATTGGATTTGGCAAGATATGAGCCTTACTATTAATTTATTTTAAATCCCCTCCTTTTCCTTCTTCCCTATGCGCAATGAAAGAACGTGGCCCAAATTAATCAAATGATAAGCCTCTTATTTTATGGGGACAATGCAAGTGCCGACAATCCCCAGGTTTCAGGTACATTAAGCTTATCAACTACCGACCTGAGCTCGATATTAGTTCGGTATAATGATGCGTCTCAAAACGAATGACTTTTTAATCTGTTGTAGGCCAAGTTTCAATTATGAACACCCAGTCATGCGCTTCGTTTGCCCCAATTATCGTGTAGCAGCAGTCATCTCGGGCTCTCAGCTGTGGTATATATTGCATCCGCAGAAGATATCAGATTGATATTATCAGAAGCCTGACTATTTTCACAGACGTGTCAATTGATTGTTAGTAAACCCAACTAACAATGCACATATGTACAAGTTAAAACATGCATATTAAATTTTTACGTTTGGTTCTTTTAATTACTCAACTATTATCCGGCATACCTAGTAATTGGTGGTTTTAAGACCCTACTTGGAGCGGACCCGAATGCGAAGTAGGCGCCGGTTATTTATCCATATGATGGAGAATTCATGCGCGTCATATCCACGAATAGCTACAAAGGATTCAATAGAGCCCAGCTGATTCCAGTTTCCGAGCTGCCGCCTCACCTCTAGCATTTCAATAATGCAATAAAGAAGAATTGTACAAGAGCGGAAAATGTGGTTTGCGTGATTCCGGTTTGAAGGGTCGTGAAATATACGCAAATTCCATTAAAGGTTTTATTTTGTTAACTTAGGAATTAGCTGGTGCATTTGTTGTCTGTACTTCTACTGTTTTTAATACCCCCAAGGAAATAGAATCACCATGGTGGACTAAAGAGGATGTACTAATGTGTGCATCATACTTGCTATTATCCATCGCATCCGCGCGCTCTTGGTCCCAGATAGTGTTTTGATTATTCGAGTATTGCTGCCGGTTCTTGGATGGGGTGGAAGGACTATGCCAATATACTCGAGAAGACTGACCCCCCGTACCAGAGCTTTGATTTCGGACAAATCTGACAAGACCGGGGAGTAAAGGAATGGAGCCGGCAAGGATGATGGAGGCGATTTCAGCGATTCTAAAACGGTACACGTCTGTTAAAAAGGGGGAAATTGCGCTCGTGAACAAAAGAATACTTACGCCCACAGCCCGACAGGCATAATAGCCCATGTAAAATCGTATGTCTGGGTGAGCTTCACCGTGTAAACGAGTCGAAACATGCTAGTGATAATTCCACTGTATATAGTTAGCCAAAATAAATCTCTGTGATAAGGTGCATAGATATGTATTACAGTATAACTGTGCCAAAAATAATGCCAAGAACAAATTTCGTTTTCTTGGGTAATTGGAGACCAGCGATCACGACCAAAGGCATGATGAAGCATGTTACATCCGAAAGAACATTGATCACTGAGGATGCAATCAATGAGACCGAGGTTGACTGGCAATGGCCTGATATAGATGGGTTCCATAGCTTTTCACGTGGCACGCAAGTAAATATAATACTAAGCATTAGCCCGAGATACGCAATAAGATTAGCCCAAAGAATGATTTGATGCAGCCAATACATCCACCCTTTTTTGACAACGATGAACACTCGTCGTAACTGAAGCAGCAACGCAACTTTAGCTCCGATTATTGTCGGACAATAAATGACTTCGATAATGTTTGCCAGCTACTGGTGTCAAAGTTGATTTTCTCCCTTTTTTCAGCGACTTCTGGAATCATATGGATACATACCTCCACAACCTTTTGAAAATGAGCAACTGAGACATTCCATTGGTGTGTTCCCTGTCCCAACTTTGTCGAATGTATCATTAAACCGACAAACACAACGAATCCGCACTGTGAAAGTAGTAATATTAATTCCTCCAACTGTAATGTTCGCACAACACGACATTTGGCCAAGATTCGCACGACGACCGCTAGTATTGATAATCCCAGACCTATAGATGCAGTGATATACATGTATATGTTAATGTTGTATGGGTTGACAAGGTTGCTAGTTTCTCCCGCCGGCGGACTGAGGGCGGGAATATTGTTTAGGTCGATTCCGGGCGGTAGTGCTGCCATGATTGCAATGCCTTCTTCATGCATGTAATGAGTAGGTGGTAGATGATATAAGCCCTTGTGTTGGGGACTACATGTCCTATGACTTGTAAGTGTGACACAGGTTGAGTATCACATTTTTCAACGGTCTGACATGTTTGCATTTATCAATACCGACTTGCGTTTGGGATTTCATTAAATCGGGGCACACTTGCTAGTTAAGGTTCTAGACTTGAAGCAGACTAATGGATCCACTACCACTCTGACCGCTGTGACAGGTCCGTGCCATGTTTGCAGCGCTCAAACCAATCAACGGTCGAATCTGGATAGAATTTTCACTCTATCCTTGTCTCATTTTTTATTTCCCCACATTTCCCCCCAGCGAGGCGGCTTGGAACTGCCTTTCGCGGGTATCGTAATGTTCAACAATTCAATTATAATCGACTCTAAAATTTAAATAGGGCGCTCGTGGCATCAGTCCACCTTTCTCTCACATAGTCATTTATTACGTATCAGTAACTGTCATTTGCTACAGGGTCATCCGGAATGTCACAGTGGGGTTGACTAGTTGACTGTTAATTCTGACTTCCTCGGCACTTCAACTAGTCAAGCCCCTCAGCTGGGAGTGAGATCAACATGTGTTAGTATTATTATTATTGTTGAAAAAGGAAACGAAAACAACCTATAAAGTTTCTGGATACGAGGGAATTTTTAATTGGGCATTCAGACCATTCCTTAGTCCAAAAGATGGATATTCATTCTTAACTACTAATTCCCATTGATTATTAATTTTTTTTATGCTGTCAACACCGAAGATCAATATTCAGGGGGCTGACCGCCAAGCAATGGAAATAATAGCGCAATGTGGGGAATAGCCAATCCCCACAAAGTACGGAGTCCCAAAACGGTGGCAAGCACGAGGATAGCAACTGCCAATACCTCGTGTAGCACTGTAGCTATCTTAATTAGAATGTCGATCTTTAAATAATGCAGAACTATTTTTACAAACTTTAAAAAAAAAAAAAGGTGAGGACCACGAACTACGAGACGTGAAATGACGTGGTCAGGAACATGCTACTCTGAACTGGTAGAATCTGAGGATGAAATCCCATGAATTAGATATCAATAAATGCCGAATCTTGATGGCAAAAATGGAGAAGCTAATTGTGATAAAATAAATCGCACTGTATAACGGGGAGCATGAGCAGCACATGACAATGTTGTGGGGAGGTATCATTGATGGTTAAAGGGCAAGAGATCATCGAACAACTCCTTTTTAGATATAACTGGTTTCTGGCCCAATATAGAAGCTATGGCGTTATTTGTGCTGCATGATAGATTTTCGTGTGAGATAAGTTAGTTAAATGTGAGATAATTCGCTAGCCTATAGCCCGGCGAAGAAATAAGATTGCCCACCTCCGTGGTAAATGTATCACACGGTTGAACATGATTTTCTTTGACTATAAGTGTTGCGGCTTATATTTTTTTTGCAGTTTACTTCTCAAGAATCCAGCAGGTCCTGACATAGAAAAATGCGTGAAAGTGATACTCAAAACAAATGAGAATCAATTGATCTATTTAATATTTGCGTCTCGTATAACATCGGATTTTCATAGATCTTTACCAATATGCCTGTGTGAAAAATACCTCGCGTAATTTAGTAATGTCTAGAAGACGGCAAAATATCTAAAAAGCCTTATAAAACATCAATGATTTGGTTGTAGGTGTCAATTACGTCTAATCAAATTAATGTTTTCCCTCAATCATTATAAACCTGAATAATCAGAAATTATACTGATATTTATATATTGTTGTACTATAAATCGACGGATTTGATAACATTGTAATTGTGGCTAATATATAAAATAATTACACGTACATCAATGGAGCAATTTTTAGATCACGACATGGTTTCGTTGATAATAACAGTGTCCTTGAATAGGGAGGAACGAAACATCTTTTTTGGCTTTATAGTCTACAACCAAAGTGTTATTCCAGCATCCGCAAGAAAACTTTTCCGCTGAAAATTAATTCTCTGGGTACAAGGCTTCTGCAATATTTTCTACTGACATATTAACATCTATAATATTTGAGGCAATGTACCTAGGTGCAGAGATATTTAAATAGAGAAGATAACAATAAACATTAAATCCTTCTTTCAATGTTGCCTTATTACATAGGAAATGGATGTATTAAGGTAATATAACAGAAGGGTAAATTTAGTAGCACGGTTGTCAATTTATGCTCACTGCTAAAGCAAACAAGGTGATGGTCTACTTCAAACCACCCAATGTTGCTACAAGGCGCCAGGTGGTAACTAGTTCTGCCATAATCAATGATATCCTGTAAAAAGTTGTATTAAATATAAAATTGAATGGTTTAACTTGGGTCTACATGGTAGCTGTGCCTAATGAAGTTCAGGGACTATATGTCTTGTTAGGATTAGGTGGATTCATTGTGGGCTCAAGCTATTCATGAACACTAGCACTAGTAAGAGGCATGGCAAATTTGGTTACTATATTTCTAGGTGAAAAATGCTAAACTCTCATGTTAGATATTAGTTATATGGAAATGTAGACCGAAAATCATGGATTCATTGGGGGCATCTAGCCGTATCATGTAATGCTTACTTTAAATGACAGGGTTTTGTATGCCCTCTGCCTTCTTTGCATTTATTGTATTTGCAATCCATTCACTGCGCGACAAGTCGCTGACAAAGTGGACTTCTCTCTCGAATCAACGGGCCAAAATACAACAAAAGAAATGGAATAGGGATGCATGCGAAACTTAGAAATCCTAGAATAGATGTCGCCCACGAAACACCAAGTGATTTATAGAGCGGGTTCGCGGCGAAAGGCAATAAGGCTCCGACAATACTCCGAATAGCCACTGAAGCTGCCAGTGCACTGGCAGAATAAATCTTGTATGCGTCGGCGACATATGTCAGCAGTGAAGTGAAGATTATCTGGTTGCCAAATCCGAAGACTAGGCCCGAGGCCATGGGTACTGCCCAATGAATGCTTGACTTTGCTGTCCATGCCAGCCAGAAAATACTGAGTGTAAGGCATGGGCCAGAGAAGCAGGAGAGGGGAAGCCGATGCAGCTCCGGACTAGAAGTCCAATTCTTGCCTCGCTTCTTGTTCCTCTCGTAGAAGATGTCGTAGGCAAGTGTCACAAGTCCAGACAATGATGCGCCGATACCAACTATCTAATTAGACTGATCGGATATTCTAAGGTAGGATAATATCACTTACTTGGTATGTATGTGAGAGAGGTCGTCTCAATATCAAGATTGAATGTTCCTATTCAAGACGATCGTTAATACCGCAACCTGGACGTTCCGTGAAGCCCCAGGTGGACAAACCTTCAAAGATGATTGGGTAAGCCTGAAAGTAAAAAAATACCAAACTGTAAGCAATAGCAATATAGACTGTTGTGGAAAGAATGATGGGCTCATAGACAAGCATTGCGATGGGGCGGGTTATAGTCTGAGTTCTTGTAAAGGCGGAACCCGACTCTAACTCGTTCCGTGAGAAATACAGATTGCATCCTTCTTCTTTTCTCATTTTTGAAGCTTGCCGCTTCAGAAGAACGGGTACAAAGGTTTCTAGTTGATTAATCAATTATATGTAACGAGGCATAATCGTATATTGTGAGTATCACGGTACCGGAAGTGAAGAGAAGAGCAACCCAAGTCACCCCTGCCACGATGAAGCTAATACGAAACACCCATCGCCAGCCATATTTAACAGAGCATCCGGAGATAATGGCCCCTAGAATAGGACCAAAACTTGACGCCTGCACGTATTAGTAAAGAATATATGTCATATATGAAAGTACTTGATTGCACAACAAAGCATACCGACATATATGTCACCATGGCCCGACCTCGAGTCCGTGCATCAGAAAACAGATCAGCATACAGGCCTCCAACCACAGTTTGAGGAGCAGCACCGGCAATACCACAGATAGCTCGAAGAATCAGAAAACACCACCAGTTCGGTGCGAAGGCACATCCAAGCGTTGACAGCACAAAGAGAGTAAAGGACCCAACAAGAATAGGTTTTCGCCCCATTGTCTCGCTCAAGGTACTAAAAATCATGGATCCAACTACGTAGCCTAGTAGATAGACTGCAGTTGGCAAAACTTTTAGCTCATCTCCAGTCTTTTCTAAATCCTGCATGATTTCAGGAATAGCATTACTTGGCAGTGCGGTTGAGATGCCGCTATTAATCACGATGAAAAGCGCTACCACAGCATTGTAAAGTTTCTTTTTCTATTTGATATGTCAGTCCCGGTGTTATATATGCGTTTTTAAGATATAAGGTTAGGCACAAGATTCCAGTTGGGTGGGTTTGCCGAGGCTCCTTCGTGAAATTCCACGATGATCTCGTGGTGGGAAAGCGGGACCAAATTGTAACTATCAGTTATTTTCCTGTCTCTTCTAGACTCGATGAAACGAGTTGGAAGGTCTATATCACTAAGAACTTGGTGTACTAGCGAGCAGTAAGTCAAAGTCACCAAAGCAGAACGTGGATCCTACCTAAAGAAGGAGAACTTGTTCGGACCGAAACACATTCCTTGGTATCAGAAGTCATTTTCATTCAATACGGGGCACTCGACGTCCAGACATCAAAATAAACGGTAGTAAGGAAAAAGGAGAAGGTATAGCTATTTTAATTACTAATAGAATGTCGAGTAAATTCAACAACAAGAATAAAGTCGGGGCTTGCATTTACTATATACATCACTGCGGGCCTGTTTCGCATTGCACCTTTCACACCTGAAAAGCGTAGAAAAGAAAGACTCGGACGAATGAGAGCTACTGTTGATCTGTTTGCCTGGCTAGAAGAATCCGAAACTGCATAATGACCCTGTATACCTGTTTTGACTGATAATACAGCCAATGTGAGAGGGTGTCTATACTTGAATTTTGAGCCGGAAAAACGGGGCCGAAACGGGACCGAGTTTAGGACCCACTTCCGGTGCCGACCAGCCGGCCCGATGTGGATGCCTCTACACTTATAATTAATATATCGTTACATTTGGCATTGCGCCTGGATTTGTGTTTGACTTACTGCAAATAGGAACTCACATGTAATATGCGAGGTTGCTGCATTGCGGCCTGACTTAGCATTCACTTTACTCAACAAATCGGTAATGTAAATAAGTTCCTGGTCAATTGTTTACTGTGGCAGGCGGCGAAAATGAAATAACAGTATTGGTCGAAATAATTATTGCGGTATAGAAGGCATTGTAGGTAAAAAATCAAAGATATCATTCTGTCCTTCTTCAAAAAGGCCAAATGAGTCAGCAATGGAATTGGACATAGTCCAATTGGGAGCATCCATCGATTCGGGAAATCGAGAATTGGGAGGCCTGGCTGTAGAAGAAATGCCACCATTTACCACTGACGAAGATTGCGAATTCTTATTAGGCTGTGTGTTGGAACAACCTTGGTAATAGGTATCTTCAAGCATGCCTTCTCTTGCTGGAAGAGGTTGTGCATTCACCATGACACTGTCAGAACCATTGTTTGAAGGTGATAATTGATCACATTGTTCGGATAAAATGATATCATTACCATGATCCTCAGTTTCCCGGCGTTGAGTGGCAATTAAGGCACGTGCATAATTTACGAAGATGGAGACGGTGCGGTGAATGTCAGGGTATGGAGGCTGCTTTAGAAAATCGCAGATCTTTTCCGCTCTTTCTAGAAGTAACGACTGATCTATCAAGCTTGGACACCATCTTGCGATTCGAAGAGCAAACGTTGCTAAAAAAACATTAAAACAATGTATAGAAATAAGTTTAAATATCGCTAACTTACTAACAAATGCGACTGTTAAAGCTGGGTATGTTGGTGCCCATGTTAGCTGATAGCGATAAGATGACTCGTTTATTAGAAACGCTAATTGCTCCATGATGGTAGTTATAAGTGATTGCCATAGTTTCATGACGTTTTGATCCATCTTTTCCGGATCTGAGTTTACGTAAGCAGGCTGTAGTCGTTGAATACGCGCCAGTGAAATACAAAAGACAAAGATTCTGGCATAATGAAGCATAAGCTTCAGGCTGCTGCGTTGGAAAGCTCCTGCATGGAAGCCGTTTTCTGTAGATATTGTCAATAAAAAATTCATTTATCTCACAATCTTCTTTACAGGAAGCATGGCATACGGTCATGAGTCTGATCCCACTTTGTCCACCAATTTTCAAGCCTTCCCATAATGGCTGGTAGCTCTTTGCTAATAATATCAGATGTCGTTGTCGTACTGTCGATGACAACTCGCGATTGACCTGTCAAAATTAATAATGATAACGACATATTATATGTTAATTTTTCATACCTCGTAACTGATGAAGTTCAATTATACTCACCGTGCGCATATCAGCCGGCAAAGAAAGTGGACAATCAAGAAATCTATAGAGTTTCGCCACGTCCACCTCAGCAATGCGGGACTTGCGCCCAGTGCCGGATGCTACGTCCAATTCCAATGTGAAACTGATAAGCCAGGTTCTCGTTTGCCATACTAGCTGACGATCTGCCATAGAAGCAGAGAGTGAGCTCCGTGGTATATCGTCCTGATACAGCAAAGTGTCTAGTGATTTTTCTAGCCCGGAGTCCAAGGCAGTACGAAGAATAAGCGCTATTGAGAACCAGGTTTTTTCCGAGTAAGCAGCGAGAAGAATCATGCCCTGAACAGTCTCTAGCTTAGTGGGTCGTTCGAAAAAACTGTCTTCGGCTAGGCGATGTGCCTCATCCTGCAAAACCCTTTGCATGTGTGTGTCACCGCGCAAATCAGATACGGCGCGACTCGCGAGATAGATAATCACCGTAAAACAAAATAAAGACCGTGACCGAATAGAGTCAAATGTGTCCCGAATTGGATCAAACAGAGGTAGAAAATTCTTGCTTCCACCAGTAAACCTGTAATAGATAAGTCAAATGCATATGACACTTGTTAATGGTCGAATATATTTGATTGCAATAAAAATCGCGTACCGTTCATACATAACACGGGCGAGCTCCTCGCTTACGATGCCGCGAGAAATAATGTCACCTTTCTGGTCGCCATTTGTTGAATTTTCCATAAAGATCTGCAAATTTGGAATTAGGATAAAAGAGTGCACAGTATGACTTCGACTCACATTTTCAGAGCCTAGCAAGTTTACGGACATTGAATGAACTGCGGATACTGGCGCAATCATTTCATTTGTACTCAACTGTTGAGACTCTGGCTCGTTTTGTCCGCTATTCTGAGACCTTAGAGTGACGAGTGAGAAGTCCTGTTCCGTAGATGCAGGACTTTGAAAGGCAGCAGCGCGTTGAATTGGTGAATTCTCGATGTAACGTCTGCAAGGAGTGATTATCATCGTTTTGTTATCTATGATAAAGAATATGCGAAAGTCTTACCGTATTGGCGTAGTACTTTTGTGGCTGCGTTCACGACGAGATCCACTGCTAACAGGATCAATGATACAATCGCGGCCAGAAGAGCGACAGCGGAAACATGGGATTTGATTGCGCGCGTCACAACGCATTTTCTGTCGCCGACACCACCGACATGCTTTGAAGAACCGAATCGGAGTTTTATCGGGTCGAAACACGACATTTGAATCCTTTTCGCTCATTCTAATTTTCGGCCAGGTCCATATAATGATGCAAGAAAAACAGCTTGACCTGACGATGAAATCAGTTATGGATCAGCTGGTTGGTAAATGTAGATAGTGATCTTATTCTGCATTTTTGGATGGATGATTTTCTAACTCGGCAATTAGTCTGACACACACTGCTCCGGTCACGTGATAACATTGATCTCGGACTTTTTACGCGTTAGAACCAATTGAGTTTACTAGCAAATTTGATTGGATTGAGATACAAGCCTGAGTTGCAAAAACTCATCTACCTAGAGATATTTATATATGAATTTATATCAATATGTATTATCACGGATAAGTTATTGAAAACTGAGGAATGTTAATTTTTAATATGGCATTTCGGCTCATTTCCCAATGTGCTTAGTGCCAAAATTTCCGACAAGCTACGCTAATGTGCCGGGGTGGCTGCTAATGAATTCCGGAGTATACCGGGTACATATGTAACTAGTATTTAACCAAGGTTTTTCCAACCAAAGTCAACAGCAACGGGTATATATTAATTCTGCATACACCTCTATATTAAAGTTTGAGAGAGATTGAAAAGCTAAAATTTTCAATTTACCAGAGGCTTGAAGATTGGGAAATATGGTAAGGCTAATATAGTTGATTTCTGAGGACTTGGAAGTATCTCGTCTAAGTCAGGGTATGAATCATCATTAGACATCAATCATTGCTCTTGTACCATCAAAGTCCTCGCGCCAGATTGCTGTGATCATGAGAGAAGTCCAAGTCAGTATTGAACGAGTTGCGAGGCTCGAGAAATGCTGTGTCTTGGTATGGGAAGACATCCGTGACAGCGGGGAAATGACAGTAGAGATAGGTGTGAAAGCGTAGTTATGATATCGTTTACTTTACTATAGCCTGCCTAACATGACTCCAGACATGATCTCTTACTGGTTAGGTGAGACTCCAATTAACGATCGACATAAGCAGCACCGGCTACTCAACACGGTGCTAATCTCTCTAGATTCACTCAACGATGGAACGCTCTTCTACAACAGGCGCTAGACAAGACTGTATATATAAACTGTAGTGAGTATAGGAAATAAAAAGATAGCGGATATTGACACACTAACGGCTAAGCAGATATAGGAAGCAGAAAATCAGATTGGTAAAAAGAGAACGAGCCCCAATGAGAAATGGCGGGCAGAAAATATATATTTAGGAGAAGATATTCTTCACGAGATGCTCGAGAAATCAGGCCTCGGATCAGACAAGACAAACATCACCCCGGAGGTTTTTATCAGACTCCTTGCTTTCTCTGACCCTAGTCCCTAAAAATACTGTTGTTGGGTCATTACACGACCAAATCAGGTCTCAGCTTTATGATCTTATCGTCCTCACTACTCCTGACCCTCTTGATAAACTCCTCAGGGTTATAATCGACACCAATTGGATTCTCCTCAAACTTTATGCCGTTCATGAAGTCGATTGCTTCGGCTGCTGTCTCGAAGTTGTCCACTTGCATCTCGAGCTCATTACCATCCGGGTCTTTGTAATACATACTAGTGCTCATTCCGTGGTTGACTGACCAGAATGGCAGAATACCCTTTGCCTTCTTCTGCTCATAGCTTGTGGCAAGCTCGCCTAGAGTTTTGAAGCCGAATGCAATGTGGGCTAGACCAACTGTTTTGTCACTGAGTGGTTTTAGATCCGGATAATTAACGATCGCGATCCGATGATGTTCATAATCATAAGTCAAGAATGTGACGCGAGGGTGGGTGTGTGTCGCGTGTGCACCAAGAAAAGTAAGGTAAAATCCCACCATCTTAGAATAATTTTCAGTACTGGTGCGAAGGACCACGTGGCAGAGGCTAGAAGGTGAGATAGCATTAGCTGAGGAGGTAGCATATGCCTCGATTTGTGTTGACATGATAGTAAGGAGATTGGCGGTCCAGAAACCGTGAATTAAAGAAGAAAGTTAAAGGCGATTCCTGAAACTTATGTTCGATTGTTCCTATTGTTTTGAGTGCTTTACGAGATCGAAACTCAATACTTATATATGCTGAAGAAGACGTTAAACGCGATGTTTTGAGACCAGCTAACTTTCGGCTGCCTGCCGTAGGAATGTTTCTACCGATATAGAGAACTTATGATATTCTGCAATAATGTGGTATCAGCTTTAAGTTTGAGATGGGCGGATAGATTTGCATCATTTTTGTTATTAGCCATAACAATATGCCGAATAGCGACTTGAGAGATACATTGCCTGAAGGTTCGGATCGAGGATGCCGAACGCTTTGGGAAGGTGGTGGTGGCAAACCCTATGTATCATTGAATTAGTAAGTCGGGACTTAGCCTAGAAAAGTATAATAATCATATGTGTAGATGTTCTGTGTGATTATGGAGATCTCTAGGCCTGGGAAATTTCATATATGGTGCTTCTGCCTGGTTTTGTAGAAAAAGGACAAGCTTGGGTGAGGGATTCTTCAAGCTACATCCAGCTACGCTATATGTGTTCTGACCCTACTAAGCGTTAAAAAGCAAAGTTTCTTTCTACTCTGAAATAAGAAGCATTCGAAAATGTCGTCTGAAAGTGAATTACGGGACATAAAGCGGTATATTACCACCCATGATGAAGCGGGTCGATCAGTGTTCGCCAAATCTCTAGATGACAATCCTCCTGCAGCTGTGAACCCAACGCCAGCGAGTCTTTTTCTCTGTTATGCCACACAAAATTTTCCAGTGGAGATCCAGCAGGAAAAGGATATAGAACGGTACAAACAGTTTATCAAGAATCCACCTGGAATTATCGTACCGGGAGGCTCCGCAGCGCGTATCGTCGACTTTCCGCCGAGCTACACATCAGCAATGCATCGCACTGTTAGCGTCAACTACAATTTTGTTATAGAGGGAGAAATAGAGATTATTCTAGATTCGGAGCAAACGAGGTTGATGAAACCTGGAGACGTGTTAGTACAGCGGGCGATAAACCATTATTGGCGAAATCCTAGTAGTACCAAGTGGGCTAGAATAGCAGCAGTCTCGTTTCCAGTGGTTGCTAATGGGATGGCAGAGAGTGGTTTAGAATCTGTATTTCAGTCTAACTAAACGGCTCTAGACAGATTGTTGAGACGGTTTGATTACAGCTCCAAGCATTGACGAGTTCCTGGTTTCAGATGCTTGCCACCTCAGAAGTAGCAGTTGAGTAGATAAAGAAAGTATTTGTTGGCTGCTATGCTATGAGTCCTCTTCCAATCTTGAGAATCTAAGTTCTTAAATAGCTCATCCTCTAGCGTTCCGATGTACTTGTATATTACCGTTCTTTGCATTTCCCCAATGCTGAAGGTACACTCTGTATCTAGAATCGATAGGGTCTCACCGGTTGATCACATTGGGCTGATGTTCAAAAGTAGATAGTCACGCTCAGGCTTCCCCCAACTACATAAATGATGCCTATTTCTCACTTAAGATCATTGAAAGAAACTATTTTCAGGACCAGCATAATATAATGATATTGCTTAAATAGCCCCGGCGAGCTTGAAAGGCTTCTAATATAAGTACTGCTATTCTTAATGTAAACAAAGCCCCATCATTTAAAGTATCGAATAGAGCATGGCTATTAATAGCTTGACTGGCTGATTCTAATTGTAGAAACAAGTAAGGTCGACAGCAAGTTTCATTTGCTCCTGAGAAGAATCGTTCAATTAGCAGTCGGCTTATACATAGCACGCGGTGTTCTAGAAAACAAACTCACTTCTGCTAACCTCTTATAGAGACTTGGGTCCTTTTTTGCTGCATCAAGAAGTGCAAAGAAAGGATCCTTACCGTCAAGTAGCGAATCTGAATCACTTCGAACTCGGTTCAAGTTCAAAGTGGAGATTACATCGGTAACTGTATGGAATACGTTTCGTCGAGACTCATCATATTTATCGAGTATGTCCAAGCCTACCTTTCCCTCATAAATACCGTAGAAGCAGTCGACGAGACTTCCAATATCGGCGATTCCAGTGGTCAAGCCAAGACCTCCCCTTCAATCTGATTAGCAAATGACCGAACTCAGAAACTATGAAATATTCACTGACATGGGATTGCAGAGGTGTGCAGCATCGGCGGCTAGTAGGATACGGCCAACTCTCATACGCTCCGCACATCTCTGATGCATTACATAAGGGTTGAATTGAAGAACATGGTACTTATCAGGCGAAGGAGCCCCAGGAAGGATCTGTTGCAATTTCCCGGGCATTCGTTTTTGGAGTTCTTCACGAGAAAGACCAGGGTCTTCACCGTAGGACACACGCCATACGCCGTCCTGCGTAATTTGGCAAATAACAGCAAAATGCTCTGGGTGGATAATCCAAGACGTATCTTCCCAACCAAACTTTTTGAAGTCGTAAATAAGCTGCGGTGAAAGTCAGTTTGGTGCAGTCTTGGTTGAGCGGTGAATTGTCTTTGGAATTACATTAGTGCCCATGATTATCTTGTCCCAAGTTTTACCATCAAACCTTTGGCCAAATAGCGACTTTCGAACGGCACTGGAGGCTCCGTCACAGCCGACAACGAAATCAGCTTCGAATCTGCCCCCACCCTCGATATCAACCCAGGCACTCGCTTCATTTTGACCAACAGAGATGACTTTGTGGCTCCAGTGTACTGTGACACTAGGTTGCTTGTAAACTTCCTCAAGGAAAATGCGGGAAAGGTCTTCCGCTGGGTGAATTACAGTTGCACTTTCCTCACCCCCTTTCGAGAGGCCTGTTAGACCATTCATGACCGTGCCATCGAGTTTACGCCATGTCAGAGAGTCAGGAGTGAGCCCCACTTCCCGTATTTTGCTCAAGACATTGGCACGATGCAGTACTCTTTACACATCAGTTAGTTGCCTACTTAGCTTAGAGGGTGCTTGAAAAGGTTCGAAGACATTGTGACGTTGTATGTACTTACACGGCTGCGGCTGGGCCATACGCCACACCACGTGGTCTTTTGTCGAGTCCATCCAGAGCCTCTACAACATCGACCTTGATACCATGTTGTCCCAGCATCAAAGCCAGTAAAAGGCCGCTTGGCCCAGCACCCACCACAAGAACATTGTCGAACGGTGTAGTCATATTGGAAAATATAATATCGGAACTGGTACACGATCAAGTACGTAGAATTCGTATTTCATCAAGAAGCTCCTGACAACGAATATGGTTATTTGGGAAACATCTTCGCCCTGATTATATCGCCTCGCCAGCCATGCGTGCACCGGCCTCAACAAGACGTTCCGAGTACGGCATTTGCATTAGAAACGTCCCCTTTACCGCTACAAACACTTTGAAGGAGACACCCATTTTTTTCGTTAACATATGTACCTATAGCGATACAATAATTACACAAAACCATGCTCCGCTGGACCGCCTCGATATGGTATTGCCCGTGGGTGCTGGACATCATCCGACAAAATGCCGAATAGAATAGGTATAGCCACTGTAATGTGGGGAGGGAAGCCTTGGCTTTGTGGGGCGCAACCTCGCCGGGGAGATGGTATTCGTTAACTATATGCAGCAGACTACAATAGGTATAGTGAGAGGAATATTTCGATAGCCTCAAGGTTTCGTTCGGCAAAGATTCCCCCATTCTACACATCCAGTGAATAACCATTCCGGCTTAGTTCAACCGAGCACCCTAACATAACTGCTATTTTATCATGATTCTTACGCCGGAGCTGACCTGTGCGGCCCCATCTGAGTAAATATCTCTTTCCAATCTCACTCTAGAGCCCGGGGAAATCGCAAGGGCTTAATTTGCGACGCCCGTGCCATGGAAGGCCGAGTCGGGAGCACCCAGATGCCTGCCAAGACCCGGCGAGCACAAGCATGCAATCAATGTCGGGCAAAGAAGATTCGATGTATGTCCGACTAGCGTGCCCCGGAATCGACTCTGTCATCTCACCATAACACTCACAGGCAATGGAAATTTCCCGTGTGCGAATTGTTTAGATCGGGCCGTAGATTGTGTCGTCACGACTCGACGTCGCCCGCGCACGGCAGGTAGACCAAATCGCGAGTCAACAGATTTGACTCGACGTATTGACCAAATCGAAAACTTGCTGCACGCCTCAGCGGAGAAGGACTCGACGACGCCTGCAGCAGTCCAACCTAACTCTGATCCCCCAAAATATCTTAGTGAACAGTCTGTCATCTCGAAATCGCCAACCTTCATCTACCACCACCCAGATGGCCAGGCGATCGAGCCGCTTGTGGTTAGCAACTCATCACCAGCCGTCCTTGATGGGCAGGATATAGAAGATGAGAGCAGCAGTGTGTATGCGGCTGAGGCGGTATGTTTACACAATTTATTACCATTTCGAGTAAACAACAACGCTAAATTCAGCTCGCAGCTAAATCTTGAGTACTACGGTAGACAAACAGACATACACTCTACTGCTGGAACCGTGGAGTTGCTGACTAATAATAGGCCCGCGATCCCTATTATCAATTTTCTCGAAGCCTGCGGTAACATGGATTATGTCGAGGGTGAAAACCCCAGGTTTTAATATCATAGCCCTACGGTTTGTTACAGATGTTAGTCGGACGTTGAAGATCAACGACACGCTGTCATCTTCGCGCGCCCCAGAACCTCCCCCAGAAATTGCATGGCAATATACTAAGGGTAATATGCTCAGGTGTTTACTTTATCTCTACGAGCCGGATCTGACATTTCCTTCCTAGCATTCTTTGAAGAGGCGCCTGCACAGGCGTTTGGGATCGTGGACCGCGTTTGGTTTGAGTCCCGACTTCGTGCCCACTTCAATAACAGCATGCCTGATGATAAGTCCTACTACGCATTGCGCAATATTGTCTGGGCCTCTGGCAGTCGGATAGTGCTCTCTAAGACGGTTACTAGCTTTGTTGAAACTTGGCAAGCTTCATGGGCCTGGTTTGAAAATGCTCTTTCCGTTCACACTGAAATTATTTTCTTCCGTTCTTCCATGATAGCGGTTCAAGTTCTAATTTTGATGGTAAGAGCTGATCTTTCTAGCTAACTTTTGAGGCCATGGCTCTAAATCTATAAGATAGGCATACTACAGTGAGGGCATGGGCAAAATATCGTTGCAGTACATGCTTTGTTCTGATGCTATACGGCTTTCGTGCGCCAAAGGACTACATAGACAACCTGCTCGTTCCTGGAATATTTCGCTACATGAGATCTCTCACAGAAACTGGATGTTCTGGTCTATCTATTGCTTAGAGAAACAAATCTGCTCGCGATCAGGCCGTCCGTCGGTGCGTTCCTTATACGCAATATGTTCCGTTGCTGTTTAAGTGTTGAGATTGACCCTTCGCTAGATCATAGATGACGATGAAATTAGTTCTCAAGTACCAGAGAAAGCATTAAGCGGACAGCTAGGTGATACCATATACTGCCATGTACTCATTCAGCTGATACGACTCTGTTCCACTACTAAGAAGCGCCTCTCTAGCGCACAGGCGTTGCGACAAACGCCTGCTCAGCTGATAGAAACCATCCGTAACCTAAATCAGGAACTCGATGGACTAAAACGCTCCATACAGCCAGATTTCGCCCTTGATGCTCCGCTCGAGACTTCTCAATTGCCAAAGGGGATGACATTGCGCCAGGCTCAATCGCTTCAATCACATTACTTCTCTCTCGTTCTAGATATTAACACTCCTTTAGCCTACCCGTGGTCAGGCGTTCATACATCTATAGACCAAGATATGGCCGCTCTTGCTCAAATTGGGGCGTCATGCGACGCTGTGGCACGCGCTTCGAGAGCAGCTATTCTTGCGACCCGGCAGATCCGCGTTGATGCCAGCTGCACAGCACTGTAAGCTTTTGCGCTGTTCCATCTTTTATGTTCTTTTTCCTTGTTACACCCTCTAGCGTATTAAGGTGCTACGCCATTCTAATTGCAGTGTAGAGTTGCCACATATACCCCGGTATACTGTTTCAGCAACCTTTTTCTTCATATTCTACGGAATACTACCACGGCGCAGTCCGATTTGGTGCTTTTAGGTATGCCTTTGCGATCCATCTATCGCTCAATTCCTTGACTCTTTAAATAATTTTACCTATATTCCCATCGCCAGTGACCAGGCGTGTTATACAATGGCCGAGTCGAAGACAGACACTGACATGTCATTAGATATGGCTCTTGGATATTTTTCCAACATCGAGTTCGTCACAGGTCTTGAGCTATCCTTCCGGTTCGTAAGGGAAATGTGCCACTTCGCTCGCCTAGCAGTGGAGGAAATGCAAAAGACCAAACAGGGCGCTGGTGAAATAAACAACCCTGCCGAGTTGACTCCTCTGTCTCGTGACCATATAATGGATATAGTTGCTTCTGATATGGTGGATAATTTTCCTCTGCATGTACGTGTGCTTTAATTTTGGATCCCTTCTAATTTCGTATTGGTGCTGGTGCTATCTATCCGCTTATTTGCGGGATCAGTCTAGTGAAGAATAAGCTTTGATTTTTCTATTCAGTTGTCCGCTTTGTTTCGCTCGTTTCACTCCTTCCAGCTTTGTTATTTTGACAGTCCCCTTTTCTTTTTGATGTACATTACACAAATCTGACCCAAACGCTTTAGGAAGACGAATTCTTCGAATGGTTCCCGGACGGAAATGCCGAAGCATGGGGCAGTCTACTCCCTTTTATGGAGTCAATCGATACCGTGCTATGATTCCGAGGGTTATGTCGTAGAGGAACCGGACGATGGAAATACGAGGTACTACAAAACAGTCCGTGCGAAGCTCTTTCTTTTTGTTCAACTAAGAAATATACGTAATTACATGTACTATTACTAGGTGGCTTCATTAACCTTTTGCGACTTGAAAACAAGTCGCTTCCACTTAATAAGGAGAGGTACTACATATAGCACCTCGGCCGATACCAAGGCTTCTTTAACCAACTCAATATCATCAGCACAGCAACTCTTCTTATTTCCAGATATCTCTTGATCGAATGTTAATGCTTGACGACTTCACAAGCCTTGAGAGAAACATGACGTATAATATATTTGTGAGAGGAAGGGATTGATTATCAACATGATATATACTCTCACCTCCATTCGCCATCCTTTTTCTATAAACAGCTTATCTAAACATCCAAAGAGCAAGGAATCAATTGTATCCACCTTGTTTGATCCCATACCTGGTAATACCATATAGGTACTGGACACGAGTTGTTATTTTCCACACACAATAATGTTTATAATTGCTTTGTTCACTCAAACTGCATCATATTTCTCAATGTCCCGATACCCTCAATCTCTACCACAACCTCGTCGCCATTCGCTAAGAATTGAGGTTTTGGTTTCATTGCTGCACCGACACCGCCAGGTGTACCAGACATGATCAGACTGCCTGCCTCGAGTGTCTGACCAGTGCTCAAGAAACTGACAAGTTTCTTTACTCCAAACAACAGGTCAGAAGTATTCGAGTCCTGTCTAAGCTCTCCATTGACATAGGTCCTGATACGTAACCCTGTCGCATCTCCTAGCACTTTGGTGCTGACAATTGCGGGACCTAGGGGTGCGTACTTGTCAAAGGATTTAGAGAAACACCATTGCTGTATCATGCCAGCCTTCGCTTTGTCCAGCTGCCAGTCTCTGCAGGAAACGTCATTACCTACAACGTAACCCGCAACATAGTCTAGTGCAACCGCCTCAGAGACGTTCTTCGCATCCTTTCCGATCAAAATGGTTAGCTCGCCTTCATAATCGCACCTAGCCTGCGCAAGCTTTGGAATTGGGATGGGCTCTCGTGTATTGGCAATGGTCTGATTGGGCTTGATAAACAATGTCGGATACTGAGGATAGTCAAAACCTGACTCCGCAACTGGAATGTTCACTGATATCAGGATCATGATCTCTCTAACGTAATGAATGACAGTTTAGCGCGGACTTACTATGACTTCTGTAGTTCAATCCCGTACACCGCACAATTGGGACCTCAGCTGGAGCTAGAGGGCTAAGAAGCTGCTGGATTTCATCCTCCTCATCTGTGCGCATGGCTGTTAAAGCACTTGAGCCTTCGAGCACTCGAACCTTTAATACTGCTCCGGCTTCAATCTGCTGATCGATATTATACGTGTCATCAAGGATAGGCTCGCCATATCGTACGTGACCATCTTTTGCCGACACATACCTGACCAAACGGTCCCAGTGCGTGAGCTGCGCCATGGATTAGGGCAATAGCTTGATCAAATACTCAAGAGTTCTAATCACTTCGTTTTGTTCGCGGCCAGAAAATATTCATACAGCAGGGTTAACAAAATGCCTTCGCGGATTCATAAGAAATTGTGCGGCATCGAATGATAGATATGAATATCGATAAAGTGCTTATCATGAAGTAACAGGTCTCCCTCCTAGCGCTACGTTTTTCCATGAGTGTTCCTTCCCCGGGTTTCTAGTGTAGCCCGATTAGGTCGGCAATCGGCGCGAATTGCCTGCGACAACTACAGTGGGACCAGGAGCTTACTTGATACACTTGGCGGATTCCTTGGAAACCCGAGCAAGAGGATTGCTGATAAGCGTTGCTGACTCTATATGTATTACTGGTGGATTGTTGCGTCCAAAATCTGGAGAATTTGCAGGCCTAAGGATAAGGTATTCCTTCAGCGTAATCGTCTCAATAAGTCGTCATAGAGCAGTTTTATAGTTATCATGTTAAAAGTAGCATCTGAATCTCTCTCTAGAGCCTTTCTCTGGCCTTGTGTATCCTTCAATGTAGAGTTTTTAGGGACGTCCTACGTCATATTTTTACTGGAGGTATATTCGAAGAATGCTTTCTCTCACTCATCTCTTGAAGGCCTCTGGTTTCGGAATATTGCCTTCTTGGTCTGATATGACAATTATAGGATCTTTCGCGTTAGTACGGAGTCAGCGCGTCAGGCGCGCGCCAGGCACAACCCAGCTGGATGGCATGCCCATAGATAACTGTGCATAGTGGCGCTCTGATCTAGACTTCAGTGATCCACTGTAATTCCAGACCTTTGGAAACGAGCTTGTCGGATTCGGCGACACAAATGCCGGAGGCACTAACCGTGGTATATAAAAGTGGCTTTTATTTTCTCTTTGTGGAGTTGGAAGTTAGTAGTTGAGGGGTCCGGGGCGGAACGGGGACCAAGGTAATATGCACCCCAGATTTAACTTGTTTAATTCGGCAGACTGAATACCCCAGTTTTTGTGTACCAAACCCCCGGATTTTGTTTATATTGCTCTGATCACCCTACGTCTTCGGTCCTTGCATTTTTTTTGTTTTACCTCTGTTCCTCGCGATTTCCAACTGATTCCACAATTCTAAACATGGGTGTTGAGACAGTTGAAAATGAGTTTATTGAGAACGCTCCCGCCGCTGATGTGCAAAGTCCTCCCTTAAAAGCACAGGGCAAAATTGGCGAGGAAATTCTTGACTCTCACATTTACGAGGATCACGGGGATCCTCACCAGGCGGCACTGGATATCAATGCGGACGGCAGAGTCTCAGCATCGACATGGGCAGCAGTATTCTTTCTCGGCATGACGTTCCTTCCGTCGATCACTTTCTCACTGAGTACCTTTGTCCCTGTCGGAACGACAGTCGCCCTGAAACTTCAGGGCAATACAAACAATGTTAATTGGCTCGCTGGCGGGTGGTCCTTGAGCGGGAGTGTCGCCTTTGCCATTGCTGGTCAGCTGAGCGATTATATGGGTCGGAAGCAGGTCGTGTTTACCGGTCAAGTGTTGCTGCTTATAGGACACCTCGTTGGTGCTACTGCCCAGGGCCTGAATCAAATAATTGCTGCGATGGTAATCATTGGAGCCGGTACAGGAATTGTTTTTGTGTAAGCTACCCCGGTTCTTGCTCTTAAGATCGTTTCTGACACGCGGAGGTTTTTAGAATCTATGCGAGTATATCAGAAATACTTCCTAACAGATGGCGGCCATTCGGAATTGCTTCACCCGAGTTCCTCTTATGTGTTGTGGGTTCTTTTGGCCCAGTGATGGCTAGAAAACTTACCCAGAGTGTTACGTGGCGATGGGTCTTCATTATTGGAGAAATTACTGGCCTTATTGCTACGGCCGGGACATTAATCTTCTACAAGCCCCCTAGCCGGACGTTTCAGGATCGCACAAAAATCCAGGTTCTATATGAGCTGGATTATCTCGGCATATTTCTCTACGCGGCAGGAGTAACGCTCTTCCTTCTTGGTCTAGGCTGGCCCGGTATTACGTACCCTTGGAAAAGCGCTGCAGTAATCACGCCTATCACACTTGGCGGCATCTTTTTCCTGTGCACTTTCGTCTGGGACTTTAGCGGCCGTGTTGGGAGACCGCTTTTCCCGTATCGATTGATGAGTAAATTCCCTGAATTTACTTCGCTCCTTATAATAAACTTTTCCTCCGGACTCGCACATATCGCTCTAGCCAATTTTGTGCCCCAGCAGATTCAACTTGTGTTTACGTCTGATCCCACTCTTGCTGGATGGTTCAATATTCCAGCTGGTCTTGGGACCTTTATTGGCGGCTTTGTGCTCGGTAGTCTGGCCCCCAAATTCAAACACTTTCCTCTGCAGCTGCTTATTGCCAATGCGATCCAGGCTTTAGGTTGCGGTCTTTTAGCCATCGCCACGCCTAATCGAATTCCTGCAGGTTTGATTATTCAGGGAATTGCCAATGCTCCCTTTGCGTGGACTCTTGTCCTCAGCTACACCACCGTGGGACTTCATGTTCCTCAACGAGACATTGGTTTGGCGCTTGGCCTACTCGGCGCCTCTCGATATCTTGGAGGAGCAATAGGATCCACCTTGTTCAATACCATCCTCCGCGCTAGAGCATCCGAAAGTATTCCGTTGAGGGTTTTGGCGGCTGTGGAACGTTTTAACTTACCTCTGTCCCGCGTGGATGGCCTGATAGTAGCACTATCATCCAGTAATGCCACCAGTTTGGCCACATACCCTGCAAATGTTGTCGCCGCTGGGACACTGGCGATTCGTTGGGCATACAGCGATTCATTAGCCTATGTCTGGTATGCGTCTATACCCTTCTGCGTCATAGCTTGTCTTGCCTGCCTATTTGTCCGAGACCCCTCGCCTTATCTGACGAACCATACTGCCGTTGTTACTACTGATACCACTTTGGCAAGGCAGAAGGACGCCGCCAATAGATCAACTTACGAAAATCAGATATGAATAACAAAAGATTAAGTTCTCAACTTCATAACTTGAACAGTTACTCAGAAGGACTACGTATTGCAAGGTGTAGGTTATGCTGTGGTAATCACGCCTATATAAATGGTGTTTGTAGGTATCTCAATGAGCCTAGCATCTTATGGGACAATTTGACAACTTTAGAGCATATAGTATTTCTTAAAACCTTTAAAAGATGTGAAAACATAAGGAGACTTTGAATCTATCGAAAACGGGCCAAACGGAGCGGGTGAGCTTTCCTTTGCGACCACCTGCATGCAAACTCGTAATATGTTAATTAACCCCGAGCGAGCTAAACATCGGCTTTAAGATACACTTCTGTCTTCCTCTTCTTGTGCAGCCATAAATTGGCGTTTCTTCTGTTGAAATGCCTCTGCTACGACTAGAAATCCTTTTTTCCTATCAAACTTACCGCCTTCCCCTTTTGGTCGTTCGGGTATGTGGTGCCATATCAATTCCTCCACGTTCCCTTCCACCGTCTCACCCGTTCGCCCCTGCTCGACCCAATCTTCGTTATTAAAATTGGCCAAATCTGCCACGGCGTCAAAACATCGTATAATTGTACTCATGGGCGTGATCTGCTCTGAAGGGAGTTTTTCCACCAACCCAGGAGGCAGAGAACCTGTGTCAACTATGGCTGGGCAGACCGCATTGACACGAATATTTGTCTTAGAAGCCGATCCAGCTGCCGCCAACGCACGAACGAGGCCAATAAGAGCGTGTTTGGTGGCCGAGTACTGAGGGAGCGCTGGAATTGGGAAAATCCCCCCTCCTGAAGATGTAAGGACTATCTTGCCTCCTGGCCTAGTTTTGCCACCTTTTTCGCTAGATACCGTCATATAATGTGCGGCGAGCTTCATACCGTAATACCTAGTTGTTCATTAGTCTATACGTTGATGTAGGGCCTTTCTTCCAGCTACGCACGTTCCGGTGAGATTGACGGAGAAAGTTAGGGTGTTTGGTTTTCGAGGTGGCTTATTTATGTCGAAGGAGAGAGAATCGAATATATCGTCTCTATCATCCACACCTGCATTGAGGGCGCAAAAATCTAATCGTTTGCCCCAGGCATAAGCCACTTCGAACATCTTTGCTTGTTGATCCCAGGAGGTTATATCAGTTTGGATAAATGTAGTTTGTTGGATCGACACCTTTGGTGGATTAATGTCAGCGATGACAACCTTCCATCCTAGAGAGACGAGATGCTGAACCAGGGCCAGGCCGATGCCAGAAGCGCCGCCAGTTACGATTGCTACAGGAGGCGTCATGGTGAGGATGAGTTTTAAACGCAGCTTTAACCTAGGTAAGGATTTATGGATGTGTACTTTGAAGGTCCGAAGCCTCAGCTTTTAAATTCCTGGCCAAGTTCGAAATCTCATGCATAAATGTCTCACTAGTTTTATATTATTACTGGGGGCCGCGTATGCTCAGCCTGATGATTTGTTGAGGTTGAGCAATATTGCAGGCGTCGGGAAGGGGGTAGGCCGAACCGAACTGATCGGGAAATTCCGAGCAAAGGAGGAAAGGTTCGCCTACCACTAGCCCTGACCCAGACTCCTGCACTAACCTGCAAGGAAAACAGTGCACCAAATTATTACTGTATATCCAGGTGAAGCATGTCTGTATTGCCGTTTCCCGTGTGTTGGAAGCGATGTACCTGTAAACCTATTTCCGGGATACTTTCAAGTGCTCGAAAATTCGGCGTCCCCCACTTACAAGCTCAGCGTTATATCATAGAGTCTTGGAACATCCGAAGTCTCATTATTTATTGAGATCTCCTTCCACCTAATTCAAACAGGGCCTCACAGGTGCAGCAGAAAAAATTTCGCAAAATGACTCCACCGCTCATTACGCTCGAGGAGCACTGGTATTCTACGGCAGTCTTGAACTCGTTTGATAATTCGATGAAGGAAGGCATTAAGCGATGGCCAGGAGCAATGGAGAAGCTTCTCGATGCCGGCGAAATTCGCCTCAGGGATATGGATAAAGGAAAAGTGTCAATGCAAGTCATCTCGCATTGCGCTGCAGACAACCCATCGCCAGAGGTTTGTCAGGCCGGTAACGATCAGCTGGCTAATGAAATCCGCAAGGCTGGGGAGACTTCGAAGCGCTTCGCTGCGTTTGCCATCCTTCCCATGGCACACCCAGATGCTGCGGCAACAGAGCTCGAGCGGACAGTCAAAGAGTACTCCTTCTTGGGTGCCCTGGTAGATCATAAGAGTGAGAAGGGGTACTGCGATGGTGACGAGTACGATGTTCTCTGGAAAAAGGCGCAGGATCTTGACGTTCCAATATATCTACACCCTTCGAGACCGGAAGATCAAATATTCCGAAAAACATACGGAGGTAACTATTCAGATCGCGCAACAGCAGTTATAGGCGGCGCAATGTGGGGTTGGCATAGCGAAGTTGGAATACATGTTCTTCGTCTACATGCGGCGGGAGTTTTTGACAGGTTTCCTAAGCTTAAGATTGTCATTGGCCATTTTGGTGAAATGATGCCATTCATGTTACAGCGTATTATAGACCAGGAAGTGCTCATGGGCCAACGAAAACGTCCCTTTCGGAACGTATGGGACGAGAATATCTGGATAACTACATCTGGTGCATGGAGCTTGGATCCGATGAGGTGCATTCTTAGCAATACCAAGATTGAGCATATCATGTACAGTGTTGATTACCCATTTACAACAAATGAGTACGGCCTCAAATGGTTTGAAGAACTTGAAAAGAGTGGCCTGGTAACGAATGAGCAGCTCGAGCTGATTGCGTACAAGAATGCCGAGGCACTCCTTGGGGTAAAGGCAACTTGAGCATGGCGTCTTTCAAGGTTATTGGGAATTAAAACCAATATAGATCTTACAGAGATATTGAAGAGAAATATCCCGGGTGAATTTGAAGGATGAGTTCTGAATCACCATACAAGGCGCTCGGGACAATAGGGGTCAAGTTACGTATGTAGAGAGGCGAGACTAACTCTACATCCAAATCAAATACAGTTGGAACTTAGTCTCAAAGTGATGAGTACTACACCACATAAAGGGATTGTACTATACCGATGATTTAGTTTCATCGTCATCTTCTTAAATCTACCAGGCACTATAGCGCGTAATTTAGGGTAAGAGCCACATCATAGAGCACAATTTATACGATCTTGAGGCAGGTACAAGACCTTCGGTATTACTAGCCATAATTAGATCGACACTCAACCTGGCTCCTTTTGTAGAGTAGTATAGAAAGTACCAAGGATGGATCGACATGGCCTGTTCTATTAGTCAATAAATATGGTCCAACACCTATGGTATCTTGATGTTAATTTTTCAATAACAAGCATCACAGCTTCTTCTTAAGTTCCACAATCTCAGCGGTGCTAATGTGTCCTCAAAATTTCAAATTATTGTCACCTTTTTGAACCGGGTCTACTAAAATCTTCTGCCCATCAAACAAGCTTATTAGCACGAGTAAATCTATCACTGTCAGTCAATCATAATAGATTTGCTTGAATAATACAATAATTACTATATATTAAACAGTAAGATCTCATTAAGATGTTTTACATCTTTATACTCAAAAGATATACCTAATTCAACACCTTCTTATAAAATAGTCAAGGATATCTAAACGTTATGATTTAAAGGGATTAACTTTAATATGAAATCTAATCTATATGATAACTAGTGGAATATATTCTGATATCTGAATTAATATCTTTTTATCTTTAACCGCCGATTGACTATCAGAAGTTCTTACACATAATAAGATAAGCAATCTATCCTCATTTATTAACCAAATATCAATTATAAAGCTGTTATTTTCCACCAGATTCCATACCACCAGACAGTTCCTTTCCTTATTCAGGTGGAAACAGAATATCTATTGTATGAAATGCATTAAATGGTGTAATTATAAGTCCGATAATGGCTTTAGAATCATTAGCAGCTGGAACACGATGGCAATCGAACTCCCGAGAGCGACATGAAACGCCCTGTGTGATGAAACACCAGCCAGGTACCTACAGTCTGTGATGAGCTTATTCCTAAATTCCATGCTATATATTGATCATAATTACTGAGAATGATATATAGATATTTTACTAACTAATCCCCTTCTCTATATATATTACACCATGATGGAGTTATGGCTTACAGTGCGGCACTTATTACCATGAAAAGCACTTATTGATATCTTGATGCCAAGACAATGCCTACAAAGCATCTAAAACATATGAGAATTATGGTATCTTGAAAATGTATCTATCCGATCATCTAGGATCAGTACTATCATTGCTTATACCGTTCACTAGTAGAAAGAGTGGGCATATTGTGCCTTCCTTGGCAGCAGAAAGGCACATGGTGCAAAATTACGGACTGGGCCAATATGTTTGATGGAAACAAGAGTGAAATGACTCGTACAAAAATTACTGGTGCTGAATCATCTGACCACTTTATCTAATGCCGACGCATGGTTGGTCTAGGAAATGGAGCTGAATATGAATGACTAGATAAACAAGATACTTCAGCACAATGTGTTATACAAGAATTTCTGCTCCATGCTTTAACTGTCAAAAATAATATTTCATCATCGGTTGACTTGTAGCACACTATGAAAAGAGCTTAATCTTACTGCGTTACAAAGTTGCTACAAAGAGTGAGGACCGCGATGACGACAAGAGGTCCGGATGAGAGAATCATGAGAGGCAACGGTGTGGCAGCATTAATGGTACAGTACTTACTATACAAATCAGATTCTACTCCTTATTCTCTACAAGCCCCAAAGTAACCCGCTCACCAGCACTCCGCCGCAAAACCCAACGACCCACCAATGATTTCTCCACCTCCTGCTTCGCCCACCCCCTGACAGCCCCATAATCCATCCGATCTGCATCCTCCAAGATCGGCCACATCTTTTTCGAAATTACCTGCACCACCATGTGCCAGTAACTCCCAATGAACGAGACCCCAGTCAATCTCACAAACCGGACGACGATCACTACTACAATGACTGAATAAATCACAATAAGCACTGTCCCCAGCACAAAACCCATCCACTATACCAGAAATCATAATGAGCAAGAACGTCATCACAGCTACAATCAGACTGACTATTCAACTTGACCAATTGCTCATAGTATGGCATCTGATAGATGCGGATGAGCAGGGCTTAAACAGCCGATGCCAGACTGGCCATCGTTATAAGAATGTCCTAGAATAGATCCACGTGAGTCGGATGGGCGTTGCCGACGGTGAAACCGGCGACATTGCGGGAGAGGATCAAGCGAGGGTCGGAGGTATAGTTGAGGCTGGAAATGAGGAAGTTGGCAAGGATGACCATGAAGAAGGGATTTGGGTTGACTCTTAAGGTATCCGCTGGGGGGTGGAAGATTTCCCATTGAGATCAGGGCTCCAGCGTAAAGATACCCCATTGGTTGGTAAAGCTCGTATTGCCTAAGGATAATACGCCTAGTTAGAGACAGAAGAGTTCAGTATTATAGCTTTAAATATGATAATCCCAGGCAGTCTTAAACTCAAGATTATCAGATATACTATTCATCCCAACAGTACAAGTTTACATACTGAGATTGGTAAGACAAACAGAGATATAGAGGATTATGATGTTAATGGATTTGTTAGAGACTATCATCCATGGGCTGTTGGTTCAGATCATCTAGACGGCTAGGGTGTGGCCTAATGTGCCGATCATTGTGGTGGTGGAAATGACATCAAGGACCATGAATAGGGTCGAGGCCTTAGGGAAGCCATCAGGCTAGATTAGAAAATCTTTGTTAAAGACCATCTAGTTTAACCAGCTATTAGAGGTACACAAGCTAATCTCATCCACCATATTATTATCACAGAAGCTTGGGATTAGTAATTTGTAAGTAAAGTTGATATAAAATTAAAATCCAGATCAATTAGAAGTAAATAGATCAAATTCTCCATAAAAATCTGTCTAAATAGATATACATAATTCTGTAAGGCCGCATCTAGATTCAAGTTAATTAGAGATAGACTGGCATAAACAACTTAATGATCTATAACTAGTACTGGACTATAAAGCTAATATAATTTAATTTATTACGCCTCCTCCTTAAAAGAAAGAAAAGCTTAAAAGGTATATCCAATATCATAAAACACCAATTAGTATGGCATATCACTTAGCCACTATTCGCATTTTTGAATGAGCCACCTTGACTTAAGTGGGGTGTAGGAGAATTCGTTCAAATTCGATTTAAAGGTGTTTCAAGGGGCCTATGTATATTGCTGTTGATTCGTTGTGGGCGGTACCCTGACTAGGCGTTCCTGCCTACTCCCATTAAAACTTTCTTACACCTCCCAACTCTATATCTTGATATTCTTTCTTAATAGTATGCTCCTAAATCTCTACTTTCTTATTAGTTGGGTTATGCTGAACCCGCTCCGCTTTATAGCGATCTAAGGGCCAAGTATTATTAATTTTACTAATGAGATCAGAATGGGTAGGTTGGTTCATAAAATCAAGGTTCTTGACATCTACTACTATTTGTAGATCTAGAACTCCTTGATTATTCCGTGCTATACTTCTTCATCTTATCAAATTGACAATCTTGTGCCATAATTACCTATTTCTTCAACAGTGGGATAAAGCCCTCTACTATTGTTGTTATAATCTAAGGCATGTGTGCATTCTGGTTATATGTGGAAGATTGTTATATCGTACATGAGAGGGACCTAGGGCTCATATATATAGCCAAAGGTATACAAAGAACATCTATCTATAGCCTGAAGGGTTTCACTATGGTGAAAGCCCTTTGATCATGACAATTGTCTTAAATTCCTTGTGCAGTTTAGTATACTATTACGTATAAAAAGATCGCTACTGCTGCAAACTATATCTCTAGACCAATAATCTTGATACAGCATTTCTTAAAGGTAAATAGGTGGATAGATGAACTAAAGCACATTTACAATTTATAATTATTAAAGAGAAGCCTATTGAACAGGCTCTAGATCTATTTAATATATAATAATGATTTTATTAATTAAGTAATACTATGTAGAAGAATATTATCAGTTATAGTAGCTTCTGGAGAATAGATAAAATCGGACTCTGAACCAGTGTTCGACAAGATCAATAGATTATTGTGCTTACGGATGATCATGACATGAGTAAATCGTCTCATATTATTGAAGCTCAAAGCTATCATGAGCAATATACTGTGGTAGACAGTGTTTCGACTCCTAGTAGGAATATACCACCACTGGTGATTATAAAAGAAGCAATTACTGTAAAGAGAAGGCTTACTGAGCTACCTTCGGAGCTAAGTCTAGAATGCTAATTTTCATAATGGCACACATCCTTGCGCAGAGATCTATTATCTGGGTGTATTTATCCTGTAGCTTTGTTAGTTCCAGTGTCCATCATCTCTTCCAGTGTGGATATGGCTTCACGGTTGGGTATATTTGAGACAGAGCTTGTGTCATTTTGGATAGAAGCCGTTCAATAGGTTGGTCAAAGTTCTCAGAGCTGCAGATTGGAGAAGGAGACGTGGCGGGGACAGTAAACTTATGTAAGACTTGATGCCAAAATTGATTGAATGGCTTAGTGATCGGACCTATGCTTTTTAAGATATATTTAATATCGGATTAATTGGGCTGCCAGTTTAGGTAATATAAACATTATGTCAATGGTTGATTTTCCTCGGAAACTCTTTTAATTTTGCTCCCAGCACGCCTTCACATTCCCTGCAAACTCCTTAAAACTCCTAGGTTGCCTACCCGTAACCTTTAGCACATTGTCAGTCAACCCTTCCTCCTTTCACTCACTGATTATCACATCCAATCTAGCCACCATCTTAGCGTGCTCTTCCGAGAAGGCATAAGCATGTATTTGTAGGGCTAATTGCACCTCGGAAACCTTGACATGCGTGATTCTTCCATTGAGAATCTTGCTGAGAGTTTCTGTAATCTTTTCCCATTTATCTCAATAAAAGTTCAAGACAATTTTGTGACAAGCGTGGGCGTAAGAATAGAGAGAGAAATGTGTAGTTCCTTACAGCATCATAGGATAGTGACTCAGGACCAGATATAATATGATTCGTATTATGAGATGCCACAGCTGCAATACCATGGACAGATATGAAGGGCGCCGTCCCCATTCTAGTCGCTGATACAATTCTATTAAAATCCCTTATAGGGAGAAGCTTAGATTTATTATTTTAAACTCTTAAACCAGTCTATCTATATCTAGTAAAATATATTCTACGTAAAATAATATGTATTTAAGAAAACTAAAAATCTTAACCCTTCCGCTGTCAACCTCGACGTGCATGACTAGGGCTACCGTTGACGTTGGTCGCTACAACGGCACTTTAGAGGCCATCAATTGGAATCGAGTCAGCCCCCTACTTCTCGCATAGTCTGTTACCATGCCTATTATTTTGCATTCTGGGTGGGATTTTGATGCGTGAGCTTACACTTTGCGTATGTATACTAGCCATGCTACGGAGTCTATATATTTAACCAAAGTAATGGGGTAGGTAATTTCTCCGGCTACACAACTTAGCTCGGTCGAGACTGGTGCGTTCAGCGGTCACGTCAATGTAGTAAATGATATGAATAAGACTAACTTGCCAATGCTCGAAGGCAGTGAAAAGAATGTAATGTTTGAGAACAAAGAACTAGGGGATCAAAAAGGTAGTGTGTACTATAGTACCAAGTCTCAGGGACATGGTCTCATCCTCAATTTCGTGAAAGATGCTGCTGCGCCATCAACACAGCTTCGGTGTCCATAAGCCTTGTTATGCACTGATATTCAACCCTGATTTTAAATTTGATTGGAAGGAAATCCAAGTTAATACGTAATCTTGAAAGTCCAAGTGTAGTTATCCGCCGAAGCTATGTTGTCAGGAATATCTAGCACCAGATTATCGCCATCCAGTTCCGAGTCGACAACAGATCCATCTTTAAAACCCCCAACCACCGTGACGTTATCACCTGAAAGGTACGGAACAGCATCCGGAACTTTAAGAAGTCCATTTGGCTTGGCCAAGTAGTGAATGTAGAACGAGTCATCCGTGACAGTATAACGGAAGTTACCGCTTCCTGGTCCATTAGGCCAGTACTTCGTGTCAAAGATGCTTTCATGATGCGCTTTGATCCACTGGCCTGCGACCCGAAGATTTGTCTGCATGATATCAGCAATGATTCCATCTGATCTCGGTCCAATATCGAGCAAGAAGTTTCCATTCTTTGATACAATGTCAACGAGGGTCGTCACAATCGCCGTCGCGTTCATATATTCTGAATCAGGAGTCTGGTAATTATAGCCGAATGAGAATGGATCCATGCCCCTACATGCCTCCCAGTGTTTAGGAGACAATTTTGTTGTGCTTGCATATTCAGGTGTGGCGTAGTCTCCGACAATCTGCACGCCATTTACCTGGCCACAGCGATCGTTGAAGGTCACTTGTCTATTCTGCTGGAGAGCATAGTTTAGCCAAGGTGCTGCGAACTCATCTGATAGAGATGGGCCGCCAATGTCACACCACATAATGTCGGTTTCATAGTCATATGCCAGTATACTCATCTGGGGAAGCTGAATTCCGGTCAAGAAGTCGTCTACTTCGACGAATCCGGTGTACGGCACCACTTCGTTTGTATATGGATTCCTCGGAGGCCCTATGCATTGCGTCAGCGTGAGGAAGAGCATGAGCAGTCCTAGTCAGTTTACCCATTCCAAATGTGCCGTCGCTGTAGTTGGAGTACGCTGGATTATACCACTCTGGTAAGCTGAAATATGTGCCCCGGCGCAGTTCTGGCTGGTAAGTTTTGGCTGCTTCAAAAAGTTCCTGGAAAACACACATATTAGGTTTCCTGACCGCCACAAGGATGCCACTACTCTAGCAGAATAAAGACTCACCTTTATTAGATCACGATATGGCACTTGTTGTACCGAGTTTCGATTGGACACGTTGGAGGGCATGTTGAACAAAGCAAATCCTTCATGATGCTTGGTCGTCGGCACAAAATAGCGAGCACCAGCATCAGCGAACAGGTCTACCCAGTCTTTGGGGTTCCAATTCTCCACCGTAAAATTTGCAATGAAGTCATCGTATAGAAAATTGGCACCATACTTGTTCAAATGATATTGATAGGTCATCGTTTTGTCGTTTGGGTTCATCTGATGATTCCAGTACCTAACCATTGTACTTTTAGTGAGCCATTTCTTGAACTGCACCGGAACGACGGCTTACCACTCGGCATAGCTCTCATTATTGTTTGTGTTTCCATATGCAGGGACGGAGTAAACACCCCAGTGAATGAAAATTCCGTACTTGGCACCTCGAAACCAGTCGGGAGACTCATGTACGTTGACAGACCCTGGGGTCGCCGAGTATGACGGAATGCCGTAGGTGGCATTGAACTCCAGAGAGGCAGATTGGTCATTGCTCCATTGAGCAACTGCTATAGAAGGTCCAATCGCGCCCAGCTCAACACCAGCGGCATTTTGAACGCCTACCTCCACAACCGCAGAGTCGCCTGGTCGAAGGCGCTTGACAATTGCAGGCTGCACCGTGTTAAGTTTGTCAGACTGTATGACGATCTGGAGTTCATCGGCTGAAGTCAGCCAACCAGACGTTCCTGTATTGTTCAGGACAATATCGAAAAGTTGCATTATGCCATTGCAGCTCTTCTCGCAGTTGGCCCATCTTGTGCTAGATCTTGCCGAGGTGATGCTCAGTTGAACAGAGTTTGCTTGCAATATCAGATGACCAGTCTTTTTATGATTGTTCTCGAACTAACCTTTTGAGGCTCGCGACGATAGAGGACTTGCGCCAGCCACCGTGAGCAGGATTGAAGAGGTGGCCAAGTTCCGAAGTCGCATAGTGAATGAATGATAAAGAATGTATTGCTGATATGATAGTACTCGCCCGACAATACTGTTTCTAGCAACTTATTTTTTCCTATGGCGTGGGTTTTGATTCTCATCTCAGGAGTTCTTTTTCGAACTTCTTATAGCCGCAAACCCTAGCGCTCCTTGTCTTATTTTAACCCCTTCAGGACGGTGATTTATAGAGATGCAGGGAAAACTCAAGGTCTAAGGTTGCACCTTTGTGATCGACATGCGGGATAGGCTAATCAAGGAAGCTTTCCTGCTGGGTATATTAAGAAAGGGGATTCAAATCCATCTCGAGTATTAGTCAATTTTTTTCGTTCACTGAAGGCTTATTTTGGTAGTTAACACCTCACGAATAATATTAATATTTCCGCCAATTTTCCGCAACCATCTCAATAAATCCGTGCTAGAATAGGAAGGTAGGATTCCTCTAGAATGTTTATCTGCACTTTTTATGTGAATGGCAAAGAAACGCCACCTATCGCAAGAGGGACTAATCTGTGAATGCTCTAGCATACTCTTTATGCACGCAGATACGAGGTAGAAACTACATAGGGCAAAAAGACCGGAGAAATAAACGATTGTTTGTCCTCAACTCATCTTAATACGGAAATGTTCCTGGTGTAGTCCATATGAGATATTCACGACACAAAAGAGAATCGGGTATTTTTCGGAGGTAAAATTACATATATCCCGCGCAGTCAACGAATAGGATTATAGGAAGATCTTTGACAGTATGACTCGCATGCTTGCAGTCAGTTTGATTGGTGCCACACATCTGCTAAACTTGCACGGCTTATTATCCGGGCTTAGCCGATGCCTAAGGTCAGGTGGTGCGAGGCGCTTTGAACCCGGCAAGTTTGGGTAGAGCCGTCGGCCGGTCCAAGACGTACACGTTAGTCCCTGTCATGACATGATCTGTCGAACTTTTAACCACTATACCAAAAAGCGCGCAACCCTTACTTAGTAAGGATTTCTAGTGCTATGATAGTCGCATACTTTTTCTGACACGATTTTTTCAAATAAGCTTTGTAGATCGCTCGTCACGTCTCAGCCTGTACGGAGTAATCAAACTTCTTCCGTACCGGTCAGGTTGGGGCCTGTGCTTAGTAGACCTCAGGTTACTAACTAATCAGTTCGGGTGTGGCGGCTGCAGGGCCACTTCCATTGCTCCTTCCTAGGAACCTACTTCAGCTAGTTTATCAGTTAACCGTGCCATCCTGCGCACAAACACTCCCGCTTTTGGTGCGCACCAGTCCAATCCAAAAGTCACTTTACTATAGGCTTTCCATATAAAAGGCACAAATCATTACAAATCATTTTTTTAAAAAATAATTCTGTAACCACAATGTATTTTTCTATTAAAATAAATAAACTAAATTTTATGTACATTAATTTAAATATTTATTTAATAAAACTCTTTAAAATTTAATTTCATTATATATAAAAATAAGATAGAATATTTACTATATAAAATTTTTAATTAACAAAAAATTAAAATCTTTATAATTTTATAAATATTATCTTTACTTAGAAAAATGAAATACTTTCTAATTATAATTGATATAAGATATATAAATATTTTAAAACTATTATTTTTTAGCGTAAATTGAATGAGTCATTACGAAAAAATGATTTGTACCTTTTATATGGAAAGCCTATAGTAAAGTGACTTTTGGATTGGACTGGTGCGCACCAAAAGCGGGAGCGTTTGTGCGCAGGATGGCACGGTTAGGGCAACGGGTACCAGAAATGACAATGCGAGTATTAACCATCAAATCTATCTAGACGCGGAGCAATCCTTTTGCTGCACTCACTGCTCTCTTTCCCACCGATGGGGAAGGCAAATATATAATTCAGAGTGAAGGTATTTTGTTAGAAATAGTTTTTGAAGTTTAAAATAGTTTCTAATGATTATTTTTAATAATAATTTTATTAAAATTATATAATTATTTAAAATAATAAAAAACTATTTTAAACTTATTATTAATTAATATAGTTAAAAATAGTTTTAAAAGTATAAATAGGCTGTCATTTGGTTCAGTTCTGGTCCTGAGTTTCTGGACCAAACCCAAAAGTGGGTCAGTTCGGTTTGGTCTTTAATATTAGAACCAGAACCGAAAACCGAATGATTCTGACTCTCCAAACCGAAACCAAACCACGCTAAAAAAGAATTACTAATTATGGTTAGATCGGTTTAAGTCTAGTCCGATTTTTATTTAGATAACTAAATCATATTAAAGAATTTTTAACTATAGTTAGATTTTATCCTTAAAAATATATTAAAATCTTTCTAAATTTTAGTGAATTTAATAGATAAATAATATAAAAATTAGAATTAATTATTTAAATTATAATTTTCTATCTAATTATTAAAATATACTCAAAAAATAGATAGGTAATAATGAATACCAATTATACTATAAAATGGATATAGAAATATATAGATTAGCTGTACAACATAATCTAAAAAATATAAATAAAAAATAGAAAAGATATTATTGCCATCTAGATAATTCTTAGATTATAATCTAAATATTAAGAATTTATTATAATATTTATAAAAATATCTAAAATAAAATCCTAATTCAAAAAATAAGAATTTAATTCATAAAAAGTGTAAGGCTCCTTAGCACTGCCAACCTCTAAATGCCAAAAAGTAATACTGAGGTAATTGGGCCATTGCCCAATTCCAGGGTTGGCACGCTTATAAGCCTCTGTGAGCCTGCAGCGCTCTCGCTGCTGCCAGGCCTCACAAAAAGCTGTTTTAGAAATAATTATATAATTAATAATAATTATAAAGAATTAGAATTAATCTTAAATATTTTAGTATTATTAATGGAAATCCACTAGTATTCAGATATTCAGATAAAACCAAACCGAAAACCCAAACCGAACCAGGCTTAAATGGGCCCCAAAAAACCATATGGTCCTGGACTTGGTGAACTGAACCACATCGGTTCACTGTATATAGGACCAGAACCGGACCATTCGGGTTTCAGATCGGTTTTGGTTCGGTTCGAACCGAACCAAATGACAGCCTAAGTATAAATATTATTAATAAAATTATAAATAAATAAATAATTATATGTAACTATTTTATACCTAAAAATAATTATATATAATTTAAAACTATTTTATGCTTTAAAAACTAAAAATAACTTTCTACAACTGTTGCACAGCCGGTTGTGAGACGGTTACTGGAAAGCAGGCAAACGTTGGGATTTACTGGTCGAACGTAGGGCTCGGTTAGATACAGACTGATTGCTGACCTGCGGCATACGTGGCCGCAGGTGCGGATTATATAGTGTCTCGGCTAGCTAGTGCCTTGGCAGCGGCGCTGTGAGGTCCTCCGAAGGTGCCTCAGAGGCGCCGAAGGGTTATAGACCTCTTATAACATGTAGGGCCTCACACCGGTATCCGCCAACCCAGTCGGGCCGCTACGTAAGCTTAGTTATCTTTCCTTCAATTGTTATGCTCATCTAGTAGTTCTGGATAAAAAGCTCTACAGGATTTGATGGACTCTCTGCAGCAAGAACAGTTGGAGTTGAATAGTGCCTCAATCGCGTCCATGTCACTTATACAGATAGCACAATACAGATAACCACAACCAAGTATGCGCCAGAATTTGTTTGACTTTTGACAGATCCGACACTGCAAGTACTTGAGTTTTGTCCGTTCATCGAGAGCCTATTAAAATTAGGACGACGGCAGTTTAAACTTCCAACACATTCTCCCCACCATCAGAACCCAGTCAGAAACGAATATACCGGGTTTCTTTACTTCTCTTGCTGCACAGTATGCGCAGAAGAAAAGAACTCCAGATGTTAGAAGACTCAAGACAATCAAGGATACGACTTATGGAGATGGTTCACCCATTCCGGAAAAGTACCTTGATGTGTTACTAGGAATAACGGAGTAAACCCGTGTGTTGCACAAGTGGCAGCGGGGGGATGATTTGGTTTATGACAATAGAAGTGTAGTTTATTTAATTTTGACGTTTTGTAAAGTAACATGCTGACTTTGCGTAGTCGCTCAGTATGGACGTGAGCCTTGGGAGGGAAAGCAGGAGGACAGACAGGTTTTCGCATCGTAAGTTTTGCCTTCATTGACCTTGTGAAATTGCTGTAATCAATTTGACAATAGCTGATTCCTGACAGGCTATGGGGACGGCCAACTTCCTGGCCCATATGGAACTACGGCATTTGCTAAAGTGGTGGCTGCACTATTGGATACGCAGGTATGACTGCATTGTATGGATTGAATAGCAGTCCACACATAGTTGACAGTAGAAAGCATCATATTGTATTAGTTAGGGTTGTCAAGTCCAATAATGAAATCATGAAAGTTCTGTCATCAGGCTTAGGGTTAGGGTTGTCGATTGGGGATCAACACCTATTCCTTTTACAGGATAGTACCTTTTCGTCGCTCTCATGCTCCAGAAAGGGCTAGCGCCAACTCCGGTGTCGCTAAGATTGTCTCGATCGGGGCGGGGGATGTTGCGAACTCGTCTACAATACGGTGGCATTGTTACCTGCCTACTCCGGCCAAGGGAGTATGAGCTTTACTGGGGAGCCGCTAATATGGAGTTTGTTCATAAAAGCAGTGCTGTTATGCGTCCCCGATATTGGATACTTCATCACCGCTCGTCGGGCAGTTTAGGCGGCGTTCTACATTCACCGGGCTATCACAATGGCACCTACGGAAAATGCAACCTCAGATATGCCACCATCAGAGGAAATCCCGTCCTCCGTTTCCATCGATGATGGCAAGCAGCATGCGACCAAGACCTCTCCTCTGAACGGGGACTTTGAGAAACTTGTCCGCCAAACGTTGGACAAATGGCATATTCAAGGCGTCGCCGTTGCGGTCGTTGACGGAGACGAGACCTGGGCTGAGGTACCCTTTTATGCCATCTTGTTGCGCCATTCACTGAGAAACTAATAGGGATATGGAATCGCAGCATTGCCAGATGTCCCCGTTCGTCCTTCTACCTTGTTCTACACCGGAAGTACGACCAAATCCTTCACTGCTGCAGCGGCCTCGTTGTTAGTAGACGACGACGAAAAATACCCGAGTATCAAATGGACCACCCCTCTTAGCCAGATTATCCGTGATGACTTTGTCCTACCTGACGAATATGCAACTGCGCACGTTACTTTGGAGGACGCGCTCTCGAATCGATCTGGTATGTCAGGACACGAGTTGACATTAGGTCGCCCAGGTACTGTACGAGATGTTGTCCGAAATCTTCGCCATTTGACAATCAACAAAGAGATCAGAACGACTTGGCAGTACTGCAATGCATTATTCATTGCTGTCGGGCATATGATCGAAGTTGTAACTGGGGAGTGGTTGGGAGACTTTCTGCGTAAACGCATTTGGGAGCCCTTGGATATGGAGTCAACCTTTTTTTCGCTCGAGGATGCACAACAGTACGCTGCATCCAGCGATAATGACTCCACAGTCGCAATACCATATACATGGGACGAAGTGACCTCGCAGACAAAAGAGATTCCTTATTTCGACGGTGTGTTAGGTGGTGCCGGTGCTGTGATTTCTAGTGTCCTTGATTACGCCAAGTACATCCGATCGATGATGCGGCAGTCTGGCCCGCTATCAAAAGCAGGATATGATGCCATGCTTCAGCCCCGTTCGTTCTGTCCGCAAATACTGCCACAGCTCGAGAAGCAGATGTTGTATACATTAGGCTGGATGTCGACTACATATCATGGCGAATTTGTCATGTTGCATCCAGGAGGCCTAGAAGGCATGACTGCGACTATGATCTATTTCCCAGAACGGGACTGGGGTGTTCTCGTCTTCTGTAATACAGATGGTCCAGGACGCGAAACGCTAGCGTGGCATCTTATAGATGATATGCTGAATGTCCCGCAAAGCGAGCGTATGGATCTGTATGAGGTGTAAGTCTATTAAACCTCAAGGTCATTCATTGCTGTATACATACTAACTAATGACTTTCTAGAACCCAGAAGAAATTTGCCATGAAGAAGGAGTACAACTCAACGGCCCAGCAACGCCTCTACCCATCCATCCCATCTCCACCTCGACCTCTCTCTCTCCCATTAGCAGACTATGCTGGCATATATACACACCCAGCTCATCCAGACTTCATCATCAGCGTGGCATCCAATGATGAACTGCGTGTCGATGTGACCGGAGGATTCCCTATCCGAATGTACTTGAAGCATGTCACTACCGAATATTTCCTAGCTGAGCTGTTTTTCTTCAGGTTTGGTCAGAACAGCGATGTTGTCAAGGCTGAGTTTCAGCTTAATATCGAAGGCAAAGTGGCTAGGTTTGGTGTTGCTGTTGATTTTGCAGATATGCCGGACACTTTGATTTGGTTTAAGCGTTCGCCTGAATAGAAGGGGGAACTATTTTATTATTTGCATTATAGTTCTATTCTGCTGCCGCTCTTGGACACAATTTAAACATCAGGTGTATAATATATGAAAGCAGTTTAGCACAAAGGACGTTTATCTCCGGGTTCCAGGTAAGTAACCAAACAGACACTGGATAATAGAGTACACATAAGAGGCAGGATGTATGGATTCGATTCTTCAAAGAAGTGTCTTTGCCCAAAACCCAGCCTGTAACTCGGTTGATCCTCTGATCGTCTTCGCCATATGAAACCCATACCCCTCTCCTTCAAATATTGTCATTTCAACTGCCTTCCCAAGCTGCCGCATTTTCTCCTCCATTCGTTTCGCCTGCCAAGCTGGCACAATCGTATCAACATCTCTCTGTAACAGCAGCAGGGGTGCCTTAATCTTCTCCACATGATACAAAGCAGTACGCGCTTGTAAATAGTCTCTATTTTCTCTTCACTCTTCCCTTCCTTAGTGACCAACACCAACGAGTCAATACACCGACTTTCGAATTTATGCGTGTCCTTGGCAAATTTATGTAAATTACTGATTCCGTAGATACTTATGCTGGCAGTCTAGATATCACCATATAAATAGAGCGCTTGCATGATTGTATAGCTACTGATGTTCTTACTAATAATCCCGACTTTGGACATACTGATTAATCCTTGAGCGCTGAGGTATGCGACGCAGCTTGTTGTATTATTGATATTGGCAGTACCCTATTAGCCATCTAGAAGCTTATAGTAAGCATATTTATAACTAGTAAAGCTGACATGATTGATAATTATATAGGTATAGCCATATGATGTTCAGTACTGGGTAGTTAGGGTAAGGCGCAGTAGAACATGGTATATTGAATCATTGTGTATCTAGACCAGAAGGGGGGCTTTGTGCCTTCTGGAGCTTTGGAGGCGTGTTCTTTGGTTTGACGAACCAGGAATGAGCTGATCCGGTCTTTTCTGGGCTGTATACCCGCGGAAATGTAATGTGTCGTGCTTATGAGATTATTGAATTGGATATGTTAAGCTGGATGGTTCGTTTGAGGAGCTTTACAATAATGGTGTTGCCGAGATCGACGCGATAAAATGTCTAAGAAGTAGTATAGATGCTGCCTATCACGGCAAATAATGAAGATAAGATATGCCTGAGAGTATTTTTTTAAATGGCTATGCTTGACAGGCATGGGTCTTTCAATGAGTTTGTTTCTAGATTAATTAAGATTAGGGACGATGTTATATTCTTATTAACAGGTGTCATAATAGTATTCTTATCTAACTAGACATAGGTACAGCTAAACAATATGTTAGAACAGTTTTCTTTTATAGGGATGTAAAGAACAATATGCTTGTCTAAACAAGGTTCTCTGCTTCTAAATTCAGGTGACACTAGTCCACCTAGAAGGATATGGGTTGATGATTCCCTATTATACCGATATAGCTGCCAGTAACCCGACTTGTCACTTATAGAAGAGAGTGCCATCTATACTCCATCTTGGCTGACAGATGCTTTCGATGTTAGCATTGTCGGAAACCAAGCTACGTCCCACAATTTTGGCGTATATGGTGTGTCGCCCAGGTGATAAGTCCTTCCATCCAGCAGAAAGACAAAACTTGCTAATCCGATACATGGGAGGGAGCACGATTCTTGGAGGTTGTTACCAAGTCGGTATTTGGAATGAATCCCCGGATCCCGATCTAGCTGAGAACATTAAAACGGGTTGTGTTGCTCTATACCCAGCCTTGACGCAAGGGAAAGGTGTGGATGACCTGAGCGTTATTCGGCACGGTGTGGGCTTCCGCCCGTTATATCCTCAGGGTGTGCGGATTGAGACTAAGTACGTTAGAGGTATACCAGTTGTGCATAATTATGGACATGAAGGTTGGGGGTATCAATCTTCGTATGGATGTGCGGCTGCGGTGGGTTTGCTTGTAGAGCAGGAGGCGAGTGCTAAGGCTAAACTTTAGAAAACACCTGATTGGGATACTAGATAAAGGAAAGAAAACAATACTACGCTGAACAATAATATGTACCACAGACGTAGACAGTCAGAAAAGAGACGCGGGTTGTATTAAGGATTCCTAGGGATGGTAATTGTGCATCCCCCTTTGATATCAAGTGTGCACATGCTGCCAAACAAACTATCCAGTCAAGAATTCTCCGTTGGAGTGGCCTTTTCCTCCTGACCTACATGCACCTTCTCCTTCAATGCATCCACCGCACCAGTCTTCCCAATAACAATTCCCTTGTAATCCCTGCTGTCGTCGACCTCCCTGATATTCTGATCGTGAATGAACAAAGAAATGACAAGCGCAACACTAACAAGAACCAAACCTGCAAGTATCATAGTACGGAAAACGCTGGTGTATGACTCGTTGATGGCATCGCGGATTGGGGTTCCCCATGCATATGACATTGCGACGACAACGGAACCTACAATTTCTTCTGCAGCGCCGACGGAATCAGCAGGCAAATTGGCGCGGAGCTTGCGAGGAAGTAAAGCTTTGAAAGTAATTTTGTTAGCGCGCTATCCTCAGAAATTATGCTAGTAGTCTTTACTTGACCAGATTCCTCCAGCAGCCGCTGAACCAATGGCATTGCCAACTCCGACAGCCGTGTAGTACAACGCCGTTCCTGTAGCCATTTCTATACCACGCGGTTAGCAAATCAGCGTAGCTTGTTAGTTTGATTCGTGCCTACCAGCTTGGCTGATAGAAGCCTGAATTCCAAATTGGATAGTCGCAACGATGCCGGCTCCAATTCCCAAGATCAGCTGTGAAACAACGAGTTGAGGCATCTGTCCACGACCATTTATATATTTATAACTCAGACCCATTCCAAGGACAATGGCTGCGTATCCAGATACAATAATCCACTTGTATCTTTTCACATACTTGACCAAGAACCCCGACCCGAACTGCCCTACCGATCCTCCAAATGGGATCAGCATATATATGTTCGTAGCCGCGTTCACTGACAAATCGGCTGCGATCATTTGGTAATAGAGAAGGTAGCTTTGGAGGAGATAGAGGCCGACGTAATTAATTAGCAAAGCTATTACTCGTTAGCCCATCTCCCTTGTTGTTAAGGCGGAGGGAGGAGCCATACCTAATAACCCAAAAATAACAGTCCGACTTTTGAAAATAGTCTTAGGAAAAATCGGCCAGCGAGCCCATTTCGTTTCCCATGCGGCTAACCCAATTAAACAGACACCACCAACAACTAGTTCTGCGATTGTATGGCCAGCCTTCCAGGTATTTTTATCCGACGTCGAGAGCGATATTGGTATCAACAGCAGTGAAAGTCCAGCTGCTAGCAAAAGCAAGCCGAGAGGATCAAGTTGGATGAAATTTTGGAGGTGGTTTTTGGGCTTGTAAGTGCCTTCGGCCTTTCGTAATTTGGTGCCTTTTCTCTTGTTGATATATAGAGAAACTAGGACAGGGAGCGCAAGTGTGGGAATAATAATTGCGAAAATTCCAAATCCCCATCTCCATGTGATTTTGATGATTCCTGATGCGACCGGTCCTGCAATCTGATTCAAAGCATTAGATTAATAGCCGGCTATATAAAAACAACCTGTCGTTTTGGACTTGGACTTACCCAACATGTAATGATTGAAGGGGCAAGTGGAATTGCGCTAAAGAGGGCACGATTGTACATGTCGCTAGTATCTAAATGTTGAGGTTGTCAGTGGTCGAGACCAAAGGAAGCGTGTGAAATGCGAGTCATACCGCCAGCTAAGATCTGAAGCATCAACGCGATTCCTATATAACCGAACGCCCAAAACACTTGGGCTCCAGCATAGACGCTAACAGTGTTTGAGGATGCTGTCATGATCTCGCCGATGGTTATCAGTACCACAGAGAACGAAAACATCTCAAACCGCCTGGAAACACATCAGTGTGATTCTAAAAGAGGTATTGCTGGACGGTTGAGTATATACTAACCCGTATACATCTGCAAGCCTCGCGAGAGGTTGTAAAGCGACCGATGTCACTACAGCCTGCACCACAGTGATGGTCCCCAATAGCGGAGCGGAAGCAAAACTGCTCGTAGCATACGAGGTAAACGAGGCCGATGTTTGGTTGTTCAAATTGGTGGCGAAACTCATCAGCAACGCCGATATCCATATAACGATAAGAGTTTTAAGATTCCAGCTGCGCTGGATGCCGTCTAGATCAGCCAGTCCAGCCATTTTGGTCGTCTCACTCTTGATGCCAGCCATAGCGACGCTTTCAACATCAGCGACGTCAATAGAGAGGTCTTTCTGGTCGGTCTCGTGAGCCATCTTTTAGGAAAGACAGTTTGTCAACGAAAATAGGTCAAATGCGATGAATTAACGAGAGCAATGCCTTCAGCATGGCGGATTCAAGCCTCTCTCTATATCCATTGTCCAAGCTCTGCGTTATCAAGCCCTGGTGACAGAAGTTGAATCTAAACTATCCGTCTCTAAGTGTGGGAGTTGATGGCTGGCGGGCTATTCCCGTTCCAGCTGGCGAGGCTGTCGCTCTCCTATGCCGCTTTCGGCCAGCAGATCCGACGCTCATCAAAATTGCGAGTCAGTTGACTTACTACTGTACAATGTAGTTAGCTAGTTGGCCTGCTAACTATCTTCAGAGTGGATCTGCCCAGCCTGTCGGTTTGTCGATAATCATCTCACGCGTGGTTGGTAGGACCGCAGAAATGGCACAGGAAATGCTGGTCAAAAGGGACTTTGGCCGAGTCTAGGCTGCACTCTGGAGAACCCTATCATATCCAGGCCGCAGGACCTTTATAGTTTATTCGAGATAGTTGACTGACGGCGATTTAAATCCTGGTGGAGAATCAAGATCCTTCGACTCGGCAGAATTGTATTTCCGTGATCCGATGGGTAAATAACCCGAAGTAGTTCGACCAATCAAACTTCTTTTTGGCATGCAATTTCTGCATATATTCTCTCTCGCCTGATTGTCATGGATGATGCTTGCAGGTTCTCACTGTCTAATCATGAGACAGTACAATTGAATAGAGCTCGTCTTTTGGAATTCTAGACGACACTTGGCAAAGACCCGGCAGCAGACCTAATGTCAATTCTCTGATTTGTTGATGAGAATTGGAACGCCTGGTATCATCAATTGCCTTGCACTGGATCAATCTTCGGACAGTTAACACGCTGCGTGATAAACTTGAACCCAGTCCATACTTTTAGTAGGACTAGGGTTACGGCGATCACGTTTGCTGAATTTAGCGTTATTTTTATGTCTTGCCCTGTGGATATAACATTGATAGAAGTATGGGATAGCTGATCTAGTGAGGGAAAACTATCACCAACTGCTAGAATAGCGGCTTCTATCCTATATACTACGAATGCACAATCGTGATAGGAGAGTAGAGTGTGCTGGATGAGGATGACTGGTATTTGTACCTTCTAGAAAGTATTGCATCATCTCAAAATTGGGCTATGGGTAGGCATTGGAATAATCATCTCAAGGCCACATAGTCTATGTTCAATATGAAAGAACGACAAGAAGGCAAATACAAACTCAGAGCAGAAATCTAGAACAATACATATGTCGCAAACTGAGTCTTGGTGTGATCCAGATCAGATTAAACTCTTTACTGAACGTCGGTTCAATAGTATTCTACTAAAAAGAGTGCTTAAGAAGGTGAGCGAAGCAATAGCAAGGGGTCAAAGTGCAATAGTAACAGATTGATCTGTGAACAGGATGTTCATGGTATTGCAGTTATAAAAGACAATAGAGTAAAACTAAATACATGGATAAATAAGTGTCCTTATATATCCTTCATGATGAATCACTCGATAAGACATATTGAATCGCTTGCCTTCATATATTGTATCATTTGATACAATATATGTACTCATGCGATTAGCCCTATTCAAAGTTGGACTAGCGTCTGCGGCACTCCTGTGAGCCCGTGATCTCTCCATATTTACCGTAATAAAATTTGGGGAGATGGTTCAAGATAATCCTTTGTTCCTCACGCAGTAGCGTATGTTATCTATTGGCTGTGACGTTTCGATTTCTCTGGCAGGATTCTTGCAGGGATGAATGACGGGAAAGGAGGCAATTGCTTCCAGTATTGATGAAGCACGGAAGATTTCCGCTTTTTGCAGAATCTTGTACGCCTAGTGAGTTTTGGAATCAACTTCGCGTACTCTTCAGCAACACTAACCACTCACAGCTTCCGAAACTTCACTACGTCTAATCAGATGAAAAAGAGCCCCACTAGGTTACAGAAAGTTGTATCTTTGGTTTCAAATGTTATGGCAGTTTTGTGTCAGCTTGTGTCAGCTTGTGTATATATTACAATACATAGCACAGCCACGCTTTGATTGTGTGACAGTTCAAGACAAATACATCACAATGCTGTAAATATATGGTAACAGCAATAGAAAGAAACAATCCTCAAACAAGGGCCTCTGAAACTCGTTGTCGTCAATTATTTAACCTGGTTGATTCAATTGTAACATATTCCACAAGCACCCTGCGCACCTGTATATTGCATACAAAATAGCCATTTTTATAATAATTAGATCTTAATAAAATTATATATAAACTATAGCTTATAATTAAAAATATATATAATAAAAGTATTAATAATAATATATATAGAAATTAATAAATCTAAATAAGAATTAATTAAAATTATTAAAAATATAATTGTGAGAGGGCTGCCTGGCTGTCACTGTATCAGCCCTCTCTCTTATGTGTACAAACTAGTTCAGCTTAATAAGTGTCTCCTATTTAGATAGCTTTAATGCTGAGTGTTTTTTTAAATCTTAAATATTCAGTTTGTATATTAATTGATCTTTTTATTTAGTTTTATATCTATTAATTTATTTACTTTTTATAAATATCTTTAATATTTTAAATACTTCTATTTAATATTTAAGAAAAGGTTAATGAATTAATAAATTCTTTTTAGTTAATAATCTATTTCTATTTTATAAGAATATATTTATTAAGAGATAAATTACTAGTTTAATAGTTTTTCTAGAATCTTTATAACTAATTATATAATTAAATTAATTGTGAGGCCCTACATGTAGGCTGTCATTTGGTTCAGTTCTGGTCCTGAGTTTCTGAACCAAACCCAAAAGTGGGTCGGTTCGGTTTAGTCCCTAATATTGGAATCAGAACTGAAAACTGAACAGTTCTAGCTCTCTAAACCAAAACCGAATCACACTAAAGAAGAATTACTAATTATAGTTAAATTGATCTGAGTTTAATCTGATTTTTATTCAAATAACTAAATTATATAAAAGAATTTTTAACTATAGTTAGATTTTATCTTTAAAAATATATTAAGATCTCTTTAAATTTTAGTGAATTAGATAGATTAGGCTGTCATTTGGTTCGGTTCTGGTCCTGAGTTTCTGGACCAAACCTAAAAGTGGGTCGGTTCGGTTTAGTCTTTAATATTGGAACTAGAACCGAAAATTAAATAATTCTAGCTTTTTAAATTGAAACTGAACTACACTAAAAAAGAATTACTAATTATAGTTAGATTAGTTCGAATCTAATCCAGTTTTTATTCAGATAATTAAATTATATTAAAGAATTTTTAACTATAGTTAGATTTTATCTTTAAAAATATATTAAAATCTTTCTAAATTTTAGTGAATTTAATAGATAAATAATATAAAAATTAGAATTAATTATTTAAATTATAATTTTCTATCTAATTATTGAAATATACTTAAAAAATAGATAAATAATAATGAATATCAATTATATTATAAAATAGATACAGAAATATATATATTTTTTCTTTAATAAATAGATTAGCTGTACAACATAATCTAAAAAATATAAATAAAAAATAGAAAAGATATTATTACCATCTGAATAATTCTTAAATTATAATCTAAATATTAAGAATTTATTATAATATTTATAAAAATATCTAAAATAAAATCTTAATTTAAAAAATAAGAATTTAATTTATAAAAAATTATTTTAGAAATAATTATATAATCAATAATAATTATAAAGAATTAAGGTTAACTCTAAATATTTTAATATTATTAATAGAAATCTACTAGTATTCAGATATTCAGATAAAATCGAATTGAAAACCTAAACCGAATTAGGTCTAAATAGGTTTTAAAAAATCATATAGTCCTAGACTTGGTGAATTGAACCATATTGATTCACTGTATATAGGACTAGAACTGGACCATTCGGGTTTCAGATCGGTTTTGGTTCGGTTCGAACCGAACCAAATGACAGCCTAAGATAGATAAATAATATAAAAATTATAATTAATTATTTAAATTATAATTTTCTATCTGATTATTAAGATATACTAAAAAATAGATAGATAATAATAAATACTATAAAATAGGTATAGAAATATATATATATTTTCTCTACTAGATACATTATACAATATAATTCAAATATATAAAAAATAGAAAAGGTATTATTACCATCTAGATAATTCTTAAATTATAATTTGGATATTAAGAATTTATTATAATATTTATAAAAATATTTAAAACAAAGTCCTAATTCAAAAAATAAGAATTCAATTTATAAAAAGCTACTTTAGAAATGATTATATAATTAATAATAATTATAAAAGATTAAAATTAACTCTAAATGTATTAGTATTAGTAATGGAAATCTACTAATATTCAGTTATTTAGATAAAATTAAATTAAAAATCTAAACTGAATTAGACTTAAATGAGTCTTAAAAAACTATATGATCTTAGACTTAGTGAACTGAATCATATCAGTTCACTATATATAGGACCAGAACTGGACCATTTGGATTTCAGTTCGGTTTTGGTTCGGTCCGAACCGAACCAAATGACAGCCTAATCTCTACTCTGGAGGCTTCAAGACTAGAAATCTTATCAATAAGTAATGCTTCGCTTGTAATATCTTATAATATTCAGTCTTTATAGTGCTAGGCCAAATTAATAAAACAATTTTTGAAGTGATATACTATAAGTCCTTCTTCTTTTATAAATTAGGCTTTTAATTAGATGATAAAAGGACATTTAATAGTAATGCACTTTGTAATGATATTAATAAAGAAAAACTATAATCTATAAGTAATAAATAAGTATAAAGCTAAAAAGAAGAAATATTGATTAAGACCATTTTATAATGAAGATATTTTAATTATTATTAAAGATTAGAAGCTTATTGTAATACTTTAAAAAGATAATTTATCTAATCAATTGACTACTCTAGGAGAGGCTTCTCAGCCTCATAAGCACGCATTATCTAAGTGTATAAATTATAGATAAATAGGGCATAATCATACATTATGTTGAAATAATTCTATATAGAAATATATGCAATTTTCTATGGTTAATTATGAATCCAGGTTGCTTCAATATGTAAAGGTGCGGGTGGGTGATCCAAATGCCCGTGGAATACGTTAGTTACATAGATACAAAACTATAAAGAATTAGGGTTAACCCTAAATTTATTAGTATTATTAATGGAAATCCACTAGTATTCAGATATTCAGATAAAACCGAACCAAATGACAGCCTACTAATTATAATTAGATTAATATAAATTTAATCTAATTTTTATTTAAATAATTAAATTATATAAAAGAATTTTTAATTATAATTAAATTTTATTTTTGAAAATATAAAATCTTTTTAAATTTTAATAAAATAAATAGATAAATAATATAAAAATTAAAATTAATTATTGAATTATTAAAATATATCAAAAAATAAATTATATAATATAATTCAATTTAGTTCTATAGAGATTAAATTATTAATTTTTAGTTCTGGTTTAAATAATAAGAACTAGAACCGTATTGATCCACTTTTAGGTTTGGTCCAGAAACTCAGGACCAGAACTAAACCAAATGACAGCCTAACAGTGACCAAGTTAAGAATAGAAGTAAAGTTATTGGTTATGTTTCAAGATAAGAGTCAATCAAAAGCTCAAGTTAGTACCGAGGTACCTGTCTCGTCGCTTCTCTCAACCAATTAATGAGTTGGTTAATATAAAGCTACTATTTGCATATACCAATCTTATCGCTTCTTCCCACCATTTCAGGCTAATATCTAGGTACGTACCTGTCTCGTTGCTTCTCCCAATCTGTTAATAAGTTGGTTAACGTAAAGTTACTCTTTACATATGCCCATCTTATCGGTTCCCCCCATCCGTTCGGGTTGGGGGGACCGACGAGACCATACTAACCCAAACGGGTTGGAGGAAGCGACGGTAGTAAAGAGTAGCTTTGTGTTAGCCAGCTCATTAACAACACACTTATTGCAAGATCCACTAAATCTAGACTTAGAGTTTAGACCAATAGGAGGAGCCGTGTGGTGGTAGCAGTCGGTACCGGTACCAACTGGATGTAACACTCAGGCACTGCAATGGCCCCTCCACTCTCGCCAGCTTTGTGGCTATATATTCCTACCGCTGCTGTTTTTCAACTGCAATAACTTCAAGTTTTCAAGTTTTTGTCAAGGGCATGCGTATTTAGACTCAATAGAACTGCACAATTGCTCGACATGGCGAACACATGGAGGCCAGCCGTCCTGCTGGCTGCAGTTTCTTCTCTGCTGCTGACAACAGAGGCTAGCTACGCCATCAAATGGACCAACTGCAGCACTGCCACCTCTCCGCGTCTTGAATGTGGCACCCTGGACGTCCCAATTGACTGGGATGAGCCCCATGGCTCCATGACCACTATAGGTTTTCAACGCCTCAATGCCTCCAATGCAACCGCTCGCATTGGCCCGTTGTTTTTCAACCCCGGCGGCCCTGGCACCGCCGCCTCGACATTCATCAACCGAACAGCCCTGGGCGAGCTGATCTTTGGCGATACGATCAACGAGCACTTCGACCTTATTGGACCGGATCCGCGCGGCGTCGGAACGAGCTCGCCGATCAAATGCGATCCAAATGCGTGGAACAACCGAGTATCTATGTTCCCCACGACGGAAGCCGAGTGGACCGAGCTGGTGGCCTGGAACGAAGCGTTCGGGAACAGCTGCCGGAACCTTACCGGCTCGCTGATTGAACACGTCGATACATTGAGCAATGTGAAGGACTGGGAGGCACTGCGCGTTGCGCTCGGTGGAGAGAAGCTCAACTACCTGGGCTTGTCGTATGGCACTTTGCTCGGAGCGACCTATGCGGAGCTGTATCCGCAAAATATCCGCGCAATGGTGCTGGATGGCAACATGGATCATTCGCAGTCCGAGGTGTCGACGTTGGTGGCTGCATCGACCACTTACGACGCCGTGCTTGGTAAATTCGCCGAGTGGTGCGAGTCCAACAGCACATGTGCTCTGTACGGACAGGATGTGCTGCAAGTGTGGGATGACCTGGTGGCAGCGGCTGACATAACGCCCATCCCGGCACCAGAGTGCGAGGCTGCCGGCACCTGCTACCCAAACGTCACCGGCGCTGACATCCGCTCGAACAGCCAGTCATTTGTTATCTTCGAAGAAACTAACGTCCCGTTCGGGCTTCCCGGCTGGGCTTACCTTGCCTCAGCACTGAACGCGTCTCTGCATGGGGACGCCAGCCAACTGTCCAGCGGCTTGGCGACAAGCGAGACTTACGCCGGTTTCCCCAGCTATCCCGTGCTATGCATCGAATGGACGCATAATACCAAAACGCTGTCCGAAATGCTGTATAAAGAACAGCTGGCAAAGACCGTCGCCCCGCACACGCAGGGAGCAGGCGGGACATGGCGGTTCCAGAGCAACTGTATTGGATGGCCAATGCCAATACAGTATCCGCAAGGTTATTATAAAAGTAGTATCGCGGAAGCGCCGCCTATCTTGATGGTCAACTCGCTCTACGATCCCGAGACGGCGTTTATCTGGGCCAATGGCGCGCTTGCGCAGATTCCAAGCGCGAATCTGCTGGTGCGCAATGGCAGCGGGCATACCTCGTATTTCCTGTTTGGCGAGGCGACCGAGCTGATGCAGAATTATCTTGTTACGCTTGAGCAGCCGGCGCCGAATACCGTTGTTAATTCATGATTGTGATTTTGATGTATATAGTATGATTTTACGCATTCTCTCTTCAAATCATCTGTACAGAGGGCGACATAACTATTTTGATAATAGCCATGGATACATTCCCATCAACACTATCAAACTTGGTAGCTTTCCTTCCAGCTACTTAGACGCAACATCGAACTCACACAGAAAGAACAAACACATGTCATCCAATCTTAGATGCCACTAAAACAACCCGCATAGCCTAGTTCAACACCAAAGCTGGAAAAATGCCCCTCGGTAACACCCATCTATCCATTGCCGGCTGAGCATTCGAAATCACGCTCCCGTTACACAAGAGACAAGTTTCCTCCGTTCCATAGCTGTAGGTCTCCTGCAGAGCAATTCTTTGTTAGCGGGCGTTATCTGCGTCCAGAGACGTTTTTAATCAACTTACCGTTCCATAGTCATTGGTTCCGATACATACACGCTCTTGATATAAAGTTCGCAGGAGTTACTTACAATAACTCATGAAAAGAAGAAGAAAAATCCCACCGGCCGCCATCATCTTCATTATTGACCCGTCTCAACAGCCCAGGGTGGTCCGTCCCAATAGCAGCAAAATCACAGTTGCCAATAGGAAATGCAGCAAGCGCATTGCTGGTAACATTATTATCGGGAAAATTCTAAACAGCGCAATATACCTCAAGTATGTTAATGCACCGCCTAGGGAATGGCCAGTGGAGTCGAGCGTGTAGTCTGGATATTACTCAATCAAAGATGACACGTCCTGAATGACTTTTTTGTGGATGGAGCTCCAGGGACTGAAGACGTCTTCCATGACCTGGACTCCAGAGGGGAATGTCACACCGGATCGAGTACCGTGACAATATATACTGCTGCCAGCAGTCTTGTCTTTGTATCAGAATCAGTGTGAGTCAACTGTAGGAGACCCACGCATGAGGACTGAAATCTGCCCTTCGGTCGTCAAGTACCCGATGAAGCCCTGGTCAACTTAGCAAGCAAATTTCATTTGATTGATAGAATTTGCAAATAACATACCTGAGTATCAGTGGCCTTGTCGTTTAATTGCGTCGTGATGGTCGCATCAAAGGCCGTGCCTGTGTAGCCCGTATAGGCCGCAGATGACAACTTGGCAGCTCGCTGCATCTCAGCGAAAACACCAGGATCTGTTTGATAATTAAAAGAAGAACTAATATACACCGAGATGGGGACTTTACTAACCTGAAGTAGCGCGTCCTTGGAGTAATGGCGAGGCATAGGCCCAAGTTATAAGGGCAATAAGGGATAATCCGGTCACGGTAGAGGTATACATGATGATAAGAGGGATGCTCTTTGATAGTTTGGTATTGTCAAATATTGTCCGTAACCTTTGCTTTATCTTGGATTGCAGAAGAGATTGTCGAACGACTTCATGGCCAGGACATCATGGCTATTAAACAAGATCACCAACGTCAACATACACTAATGTGCCCTAACGATGGGCGATGCCATTCCCAAATCCCTCATAGCGCGGCGTTGTTTCTTCTTTGGGAATGAGACTGCCGTTTTGGGACAGCAGTGCGAAAGAGCCAACCACAGCAGTGCCACGATCAGTAGAGACCCCTCCCTCTGTTACATTTTACGACCTTTAGTCGGGTCCATATAAAACCACAGCGCTTCATTTTTAGGGCCGTGATTGCGAGGAAAAATGCATTTTCATGACGCAGCCAATCTGATACATCGCAGTCCCGGACGCGCCCACATTATCGAGGCCAGTTGGTGACGATTCACAGGGTGCCAGGCCAGGCAGCCTTAGCAGCCAAGACTGACGCCAGTAAGCCAGCCAGGGGGATAATCGCCTATCATTTGGCGTACATTAGGTGTGCATGCACCAAAGCCAGAGCCCAAGCGAGAGCCCATTGGATCTCTATAGCTAAGAAAGGACGTGCTTATAAGCGCCCACAGGGTAGGCTCTTAACCCAGTAGAACCCAGTAGCGGCGAAAGCACTAAAAAGTGTGGTTAGATGCGTCTTCCAGTTTAAGATGGGGCACATCCTAGGAGGTGCCTACCTATTCCAAATTATGGCCTAAGACACGGTGGCCTGAAGCGTCTGTCAAGCACCCAAGGAAACAGCGCAGCATCTAATCCTAGAATGCAGAGCCCACTGGAGGGCCCAAGCAGCACTATATAATATACTAAGGCGTGAGAACGTGCAGCTACCTGCAGCCAGCTAAAGATAGCCTGCTAGGATGCATATTAGTAGAGCCTAGAGCTACTAGAGCCATGCTCCAATTCCTAATAGACATGGGCAACTTTAGCGGAGGCATAGACACTACTAGAAGGGCTGCCAGAGGCAGTGATTGGGGATAGGATGCCCTAGAGGCACAGAGAAAGATAGGAGAAGGATAAAGAGCGCCAGTACTACCATCCAGGGCCAAGGTGATTACATGGTGGCTTACGGGCTGACCCACGGCACACCAACTATGCAGCACCACCAATGCACAACAACAAGAAGGGGCCATATAGGGGGGTAGCCTCTATAAGGAGCCCCCAAAGCCCTGCACATTTAGGCGGCCTAGTGCAAGGAAAGTGCCTGGACTAGTTATAACGTGTGAGACTCTACGGGCACCATGTACCCCTACTGCTGGGGGATTAAGGGGTGCCGCTGTACGACTAGTTACAGCGTGTCATAGCCTAAGGGCTGGGTATGCACTATAAACTTGAATAATGATAATGATAACGATAAAGAATATCATACTAATTTAAAATAAAAAACCGTTTCATCCAATCCTGTCTAGTCCATCCCACCGGCCACGGCCATCTCGTGCCACTGTGGCAGGTCCCCTTCGATTCCATCGAGTGGAGACATAAGTCGGTCGTCGTGCCACAGCTTCCATCACACTACCAACCGACTCAAGCGTCTGCTACCAGCTGGTGGTGGTCCATCATGGGTTCCTGTCCTCGCTCTGTCATGAAATGGTACTACGGTGCTGCGAAATAGGCCAGCCCCCTTCACCGGACACGGCTGGCCGAGCTGCAACGCCGGCCTATGCCGAGTATATGTACGGCATAACTTCTCCCCAATGGCAGGAAGACTATTTTTGTTGAATGGGACCGAAATACGATAGCGAGAGCCCTCATTGCGATGCTGATCTACATGCTGATTGGCCACTTCTGGGCGGCGAACCATGCTTTTTCGGTTCCTGGGTGAATGCCACACATAAAGACTCTACACGAACTATTGTGGGAGCTATAATAATTCAGCATGCAGTATGGATTCGAGATGACATCGCATCGTCGCTTAAAACCACACGGAAGAGCACGGGCTGGAAAGAAGGCGGCCAATAAAAACAAATCAACCAGTCAGCCTGTGAACTAAACAGCCGGGGTATCCCTCTTCATCTGCAATGGATCCCCGGTCACTGTGATGGCCCTGAAAATGACGTGGCTGACTGTCTGGATGAGGCGACAGTCAGCCTTAATAAGATATATTCTTTCTGTCAACTAGTCTCACGCAAGAAACTATACTAATCATCACCCCGAAATCAGGCCTATTTATTAACTCAATTACAAACTGGACACTCGTAGTTGGTAGTACATGGAAAGTTCCTTTAGTTTCGTGAGGATAATAAATATGAATGCGGTGTAAAGGAAATGATCATCCATGTTCTAGTAGATTGCCTGAATTAATAACAGAATGACAGAAACTACAGAAAGGGACTGACGAATTGTTGCCTTTCAAACGAAAGGAGGGTCTTATTTTGAAGCTCCATGCTGGGTCATATCGATAAGCCAGAACTATTTTGAAAAACGTAGTAAGTATAGTGACTAGATTAAGGATTTTCTACTAATAATTTATTAGCAAGCTATCTCTGGCATGTCTGTCAGATTCGCCGATCTAGCTCTTCGACTTTTAAATATAACAGCAAACTGTGTTGCTCATAAGCAACCTTTTTCGGTAATGAATCTACAGATCACAAAGTTGAGGAATCGACTGTCTGTAGAGAACGCTGATAAGCTTAATTTTCTCCATATCAACAGTCGCGTACTAAGCGACGTCATATACAGAAAACCAAGTGCTGAGGAGATAGATATGCAGAAAATTGAAGCAGAAAATAACTTAATTAGTACATGGGCACAAAGTCAATCCGTCTTGGACTGCCAGCATCGCGATGGCGAAGCAAATACCGAGGAATCTGGCCCTGTTGAAGCTGTTGGACCTCTTATTTTGATATAATTGGTTTAAAAGCCAGGAAAATCAATGATTTTAGGCAGTATGCTAAGGCGCAAAATTTGTATGGGTAAAAATATTTCAGAAAAACAGAAAACTTTTCGAAACTTTTCAATTTCGGCTGAAATTTCAAATTTTGAAATTTTTTTCCTACCCCTTAACGTAATCGGACAGCCACCCGCTCACTTGCTTCTGAATACATGCAAGATATTGATTTCAAAGCTTAATTTATAACCCAAAATAATTATTAATTATAAAAAATTAATTGCCAATATAATTAGAACATTAAGGGCTTTGATGCCTAAGAGTATTACACTCATTACATTGAAATTAACAATATATGAATACTGTAACACGGTCTGGCAGGACCGTGTCCGGGGGTGTCTGGATAGACTCGATGTGGGTGAGTTGAAGCTTCACCGATTGATATCGATGCTATAGAGCAATGCTACTAGAGAGAGAGTTATCGGTTTAGGTTATATAGTTAGGAAAGGCTTCGAGCCAAAGGCTATTCAAAGCCGAGTAGGCTTATATTGAAAGTTATATCAAAGATTATACAAAAGATATTGCTTGGTTTCCTCCCTCCGGGTGGAAAACCAAGCCTATATGCCTGAGTCCCTATCTCAGGTCATTGATACCTAATCTAACTAGATAAAGGCATATATAGCGAGGTGAGGGGTACTGGCATCATGCCCGGGGTCTTATGGTATCAATTGTGATATATCACAATTGACCCCGGGGTATCCCTGAGCCCCCCGGTCCTGCTGGATTAGGCTTGAACATGCTCTC